CGGAAAATGAGATCTGGAGTCAAAAAAGAATGATATAGCCGCCTATTACCCCAGACACGGGGGTTTCATTCACCTCCCAGACGCATCATGACACCTATGCTGGAATTGAGCCCTGGTACGGGCACCGCATCGGAAAACGTTCATGATCACCGACGTTTCCAACTGCATTGCTGAAGCGACCACGTATACAGTACCCTGGCTGCGGCGTCCTGTACCGTGCTCTCCCCTCGCTCCGATCTCCCGATCTCTCTCCCGTGAAGGAGATCAGTCAGAAGATATGTCGAGCGTTTAATGTGACTTTACCAGAGATACTCGCTATTGAAATGGATGTCACCGATAAATGAGCGTTAAAGCGGGCGGCAACCGAGTTGGGAAGGCTTTCCGTCATCTCGACATACTGTACAAATAACGTCGGATTTCTGGAGATTTAAAACCGGCTCCTTGAATAGGATGTGTATGACTGGTGTACGACGTGGAGGGTCACCGCCTACGGCCTATATCTGTGCACTGGAGGAGCGTCTTTGCCCTTACTTCTGAGAGGACCGGACCAGACTATTGTGAATGGCAGCGCAATCGGTGCGCTTTTCTATGTTCCCGGGAGCCAGCGCATATCGAACCGCAAGGCTTGCAGTATGTAGATCTACTGAATTGGTCATTTTCGACCACGCCAAGTAGACTGTGTTATTGTGTACACCCGGGCGCCATTAATACTGAGCTGTCCCGCAAGATGCCCAAGATCTTGAGTCAAGGGCTGATCGAGTCACCTGAGCTTGCAGTGAGTGGTCTCGTTTACCTCGCAAAGCAGAGGCCCGAATGGCTGACTGGAAGATATATCTTGCTGTCATGGGATCTGCTGAGTTGTCGAGGCGGGAGGCTGAGATTTTAGAGCAGGATAGGTTCAGGGTCAGGCTAATATTGGTCTAGGAACTGTCAGAATTTCAGTCGGAGCTGATTTTTTGAGACCTCGACGAGATGTAGCTGCATCCCTCACTCGAATGCTATCTTCCGCCATCGAGGCGTAGACTCATTAACGGACCATGTTGTGCTGTCCCAAACGTGTCCCTCTCACCAAAACTACCTTGGTCCCAAGCGCGTCGGATGGTGCACTTCCATGCTAGGGCCGGCTTGAACCACATGAGCGCGAGGATATCGTCTTCGGTGCATTGCCAGGCTCTCTTGACAAATTTAGTGTTTAGAATGTCGAGATCTTTGACGTATTCGTAATCCTTGTATGAGCTGAACATAACGTCGAATGTAATCTCATAAGGCCCAGAATTCTTCGATCGCACCACTCTCGCCAGGTCTGGGAGGTAAAAGGCTTTCCCTGAGGCTCACTATTTTAGCCAAATCAGGAAAGTTGCCCACCTATGAGACTTTCAATGACCGGTTTCTCTTCCGTTTTGACCCAGCCGCAGGCAGTCCCATTCGTCGTGCCGTTGACTATCTTCACTGGCGTTCTTGTGGGGCTGATCGATCGATGGGGTCCACCAATTACCCTTTCTTCAATGGGAAAGTCAGACGGGTCCTCGACCTGCATGAGATGGTACACAGTAAATTCACAGCACGCGCCTGCGCTGAGCTCGAGTGGTGTGCCGGGGGAGGCGAAATTGCCGGCAGTAGCAACTTGGCCGGGATAGGCCCCGTGCAGAACACCGACCCGAGCACAATTTGCAATGGCATTCGATAATCGTTGGCTTGGTGCCATCACCTCGCCATACAGTCCAATTTCGTGGATGGAAGCGTTGACGTTGGGTTCAAGATGGGCCATGACTGCATTTTTTCCGTAGAACTTCCACAAGAGCTTGTGCGTATCTGGCTCGCTTCGGAGCACGGGGAACATGTCTGCTGTATTCTCCCATGTCTTGACGGTCTGGCAGAGTCAATGAAAAGGTTGTTGAATCCACTTACGAAGCTCTCGATACCACTGATCAGAATAGGATCTCTGATACCTCCTAAAAACACCGTCTTGAAACCAACTTGTCGAGCACCTTCGAGCTTGAGCGCGACCGGCTTTTCCACGATTTTTGCTCCTGATACTCGGACCGCACGATCGCTGATCTGAGTATACGTTGCTGCTCTGATGTCCAAGAGTCCACCCGGCCCAGCCAAGAGGTCCGGTCGAGCTGTGATCAGCCCGTATTACGGTCATATAAGCTCACTCTTCTCGTACAACGTGTGTGCAGCAACCGAAAGCTCCGTACACCGAGTGTCGGGGTTCATTGGCAGCAGCTCGAACGCGTCGCGCCGCACCGTCGCCAGGATGACCTTGCCTTTCGGTATAGCGCAGATACCGCCACACTCCATGATCTTGCCCATGTGCCATGCTGTAGGTCTTGCCTCATGCCCGAGTCTGTGCAGCGTGTAGGCAATGAATGGTGCGGGATCGTACGCTCGGCCGCCCTGAGATTTTTCAGCTGGTAAATTCACATGAGGTCCCGGATGGACTCACAACGATGATGTCGGGCTCGCTTTGGAGAGCTTTTAAGAATGGTTCGTATCCAACTTGACATACAATCTGATCTGATATATGAATTTTCTCCTCCACAAGCTGAGGAATGTCGCCGCAAGGTTCGATTTGACCCAACTTCAGTTTCCGCAACACAGTCTCCTTTGAAACGTCCGAGTAAATGGCCGCAACCTTTAGACTGTATTGTTTCTCCATGACAAGTTGAGTGATGATCTCGATTATGAAGTCTACGTGCGCTTTGGGGCCGGCTCCTCCAGCGGATGAAATCAAAAGCTTCACGCCATGGTGATAGACAGCATCGATCATGGGTGATACTGGCCGTTGCATTGAGCTCAATCATGGGGCGATGACAACTCACGATCCCTCTCGTACATCTCCCTTGAAACGACAGTATGGTTCAGAGCGAGGTCATCTGGTCCTGAGAGGTTAGTGTAGTCATTGCCCATACCCTCACCGCCGTCAGTACTTCCCCCATCAACGATGATCGCGTCCGCATGGTATTCTGTCACTCCACGCCACAAATCTTGCTCGGGATACCCGTAGCCTGATGTGTTGTCAGTCATTTGACATTCCAGAGGCTATACCTAGGATTGGCGAAGGAGTCAGGATACGTATAGAGTCTGTAAGCGTCATGACAAGGGATAATGAAGCATCTCACCTGACTCTCCGCGGTCTCTTTTAAGCAACCGTACAGGCTTTCTCCTTCCTCGGAAAACAATTTCCGACATCGGAAAATTGCCTGTCTTTTCCCGAGCTTCGGGAAACGACCTTGGGGCTGAATAACATAAAGTGGACGAAGGGCAACGCATACTCCCTCACCTCAACTCACAATGGGAGCTGAGCAAGAGGTTGAGTGTGTCGAGGACAAGAGGCCAATCCCTCCTGATGATGACGAACTAGCAGCAATTGATATTGTGTCACCGAGCGAGGAGGTTGAAAAGGCGAAGGAGCGGCGTCTGTTGTGGAAGCTCGATGCTGTAATTCTACCAATGACTGTCTTGCTCTACTTGAGTGCTAATCTCGATGTGAGTAAGCAGATGTCGCCAAGACTTGAACCTACTACAGCGCGGCAACATCGGTAATGCGCGCCTGCAAGGCCTTCAGAAGGAATTGTTGGACAACAAAGATGAACGATACTCGGTCGTTCTCCTTTCATTCTACATCACATACATGCTTGGAAGCATCCCCGGCACCCTCTTGTCCAAAGCAATACCGCCGAACTACGCTATTGGATCTGGCTGTCTCATTTGGTATGTCTCCCGTCTCCCGTCCCCCTCTACCCTTACCATTCATGCTGAGAGCTTCAGGGCCGTCGCCGCATCAGCCATGGCCGGCGTTAGGAGCTATGCAGGTATAATCGTTTGTCGACTATTCATCGGGCTAGGAGAGTCCATCTTTGGGCAAGCTGTCGTGCTCCATTACTCTCTTTGGGTGAGGACATGTGAGGCGCACCCCCCACTGACTCCAATCAGTACAAGAAGGACGAAATTGCGACTAGATTGGCATTATTCATCGGTGCAGGTGTTCTGGCAGGTGCTTTCGGTGGTCTCATCGCATTTGGGGTGTCCCATATACAGAGCTCAATCGAGACATGGAGAATCCTCTTCCTAATTGAAGGGATCCCGTCGATTGTTCTGGGCATCTGCGTGATCCTGTTCCTACCTGGAAGGCCTGACCGGTCTTGGCTCCTCACTGAGGAGCAAAAAGCGCTGCAATTTAGACGACTTCGATCGCAAAATTTGGACGAAGGAGACGACGGCATCGACTGGAATGGGGTAAAACGTGCTTTCACCGACTGGAAGGCATACGTTGTGACAGTAAATCTGCCAATTCTTCCTGTCGTGCTGAGTCGTCAAACAGTTCATCTACAGCTGCATGCAGCTTACCTTGTCTTCGCTCTCTGGATTCTTCCCAACAATCATAAAGTCGCTGGGATACACGGTGAGTCCGCCACATTCGGCAGCTCACGCCACCAAGAACACTCAGGCGCAGCTGTTCACTGTTCCCCCATACGCAGTGGCCTTTGGGATCATGGCGCTTCTCAATTCTGCGTCGGACCGGGTCCGCATCAGAGGTCTTTTCATCATGGGTGCCTTCACCATCAATGCAGTCGGCTGGTTGATATTGCTCACTGTCGTCCACAATCTCCACGTGAGGTACTTTGCGTGCTTTTGCATAGTGACCGGGGGTTACTGCACCATCCCGTTGATCCAGTCCTGGGTTGGTGAGTGCGGTCTCGTTGACTTTTCTGATCCACAGCAAACAACACTGGCTCACAGTCTCAACGTGCTGTGCAATTAGGCTTCCTGAACAGTTTGGCAAATTGGGCAGCGTGAGTCAGTAGGTTAATGGTAAAGCATCTGCTTATAGTCAACAGCCTGACGTCTCCATTCATATTTCCTTCGAAGGACAATCCACGATGGCCATTAGGCTTTGGAATGAACCTTGCCTTTAGCTTTGCTGCGATCCTAACCGCTGCCTTCATGACCGTATGGTACCGCATGGAGAATCAACGGAGAGATCGAAACGAGGGTGGCCCACCATTGTCAGGATCCAAGGTTGAACAGGCCAAGTTGCATGATCTGGCTCCAGGCTTCAGATATACTCCGTAGCTGAGATCACGACATATACCTTCTCATGCGTGGATACCGCCGCCCGCAGAAGGAGAGAAGGTGTCCTGAACGGTCTTCATATGGGCGGAATGAAGTAAAATTGGTACATAGAAAGCGTTACTGGAAAGAATACCCGTGAACAGGGAATGCAAGGGAATGTCCGGAGCGTAATGAATCTTTCAGGCAGGAAACTGCGGTCGGCAAACTCCAAAACTCACTAGCTCCCAAAACTTACACGAAAGCAGTAAGAGGCTGCCACATCTCTCGGCAAATGGTTCAGCATGGACGGAATCAAATCCCCTCTTAGAAGTGATTCAGGAATTCGCATTCAGTCATGCTTTATCAGGGTTCACTAGATGCCTGCCAACAGACCAATCGGTAGACCAAAGGCGAGCTGTGCAGAATGCCGTCGTTCCAAGTTGAAATGTAAGATTTTGATTGATCCGCGACTTGACAGACCCGCGACTTATGGCTTTCAGGTGATCGGAACGTGCCGTGTAGTGCATGCGTCCGTGCCGGTGGGGCTTCAAGCCGGCGAATCTCGAGCTTACATGCAGGGTGCCCCAACGCCTGTCCCAATGGTACCCGGAAGCCCGCATTATCTATACAAGGTCTTTTGGAGGAGATACAAGGCGTACGCACGGAATTGATGCAACTGAGACAACAGGCGGGCCTCGACTCGCCACAACACCCTCAAGTTTCAGATCAATCTTCGACCCTTTCTCTCGCGGGCCCGGCACCCGAACACCAGAACTATCACGAAGGTACACATGAACCTGCATACCTGGCTGGTGATAGGCAAGGCGAGACAGGTCACTTCACTGTCGATGGGGAAAGAGGTTCTCATTTTCTCGGCGCAACTGCCGCCGCCCATCTGCTACCGGCCGATGATGAAGACTGTCATCTGGTTCAACCAGCGTCACCATGGCATGGGGACCCATCTCATGAGCGAACATCATTCGTGACCTTCCCTTTCCATTCGAGACTCGATAGTTGGTCAATTCTAGAAGCAGGGTCGAAGCTTCCTGAACCAACGCGATTGAGACGCCTGATCGACGTCTATTTTGCCGAAACACCTTGGAGATTTGCGCCAGTATCTAGAAACTATTTCGACGGTGTCTTGGATCTGGTGACCAGCGGAAACTCTAACTCTAGTCTCATTCAGCAAGCTGCACAACTGGCTATGATTTTCGGTCTCATTTCTGTGGGATGCTTGTTTGACGCCTCAGTGCCCTCTCACTCGGACGAAGCCAAATCGTACAGCATGCTTTCACTGCATTGTCTAGGCATCGCCAATTTTCTGACTCACACCTCGACGGCCTGTCTGTAAGTGCTCTGCACTGCAACCCACGATACGAAAATGTGACTCCTGGACAGAGTTTCGTTGCACCTCTACTGCTGCTTTCTCATCAATGAAGATCGACCGCGCGTTGATGAGATATTTGCCATCGTTGGGCTTGCTTTGCGGCTAGCAACCATAGCTGGCTTCCACAAGGACGGCTCGCGATGGGGCTTGCCCGGGGCAGAAGTCGATGCCAGGAGGAGGATCTGGTGGGAGATCCTGACTCTGGAGAGAATCAACGTGAGCAGTACTCATCGCGCCTATGTTGAGATCATGTCTAGGCGAACCGCTTCGGCCTGTCTCCTTTCATTCAAGCCGACGTTTTTGACGCATCTACCCCAGCTGATGAGTCTACTGATGGCTTTTTGGCGTGGCGTTGGGAATGGGACAACATCCTCCATCAGCTCATTAAAGTGATCCAAGAACCGTCGTCAGATCCCTCCAGCGTGCAGCAGCGGGATGGCATTGTCCGATCTTACTGGTCCCGCCTGCCAAATCATCTCAAGTATCGACAAGTTCGTGATGGCGGCCGGACGGAGAGTCTTCAGCAGATCCGTTTGGCCTTACATTTCAATACTGGATTACTCCAGTGCCATCGTTCGAGTTTTCAATTGGCGCTGAGGACCCATTCCCGGGAACCCATGGAGTCGGAAAGAGCCTACTCAGTGGAGAGCGTTATAGATGAAGCGTGCCCTGCCATCATTGCTCTAGTCGACGCTCTATATGGGGATTATGGCTTGATATTTACGCGTCACATCGTGGGTCTTGGGACCGTTCTTGGGAACGGAAAGATTTCATCAACGCCTAACTGCGCATCAGGTGGCCGCACTTGACCTATTCAGCGCCATTGTGCCTCTTGCTGCGCTGGTGATGCGCTCTCCTCGGTCGACCAAATCTGTTTCTGCGCACAATCTCTTGTTGCGTGGTCTGGCCCTTCTGGAACAAGCCGCCGATGCGACTCCTTGTCTGTGGTACGCCGTCCTTCTGACCCGAGGTAAGCGCATGGCTGCACGTGCAACATCAAGATTGGCATCGAGATGGACCACGGAATCTCGTCATTCAAGTCCTCCGGTGATGCCGCAGGGTTCGGAGGTTGGGGTCATGACGTACGAATACTCGGATGGTGGGCGAGACGACTTTGACTTTGATCAATGGTTAGAGTCAATCTGGGAGCCGCTATCGACCCCGGATCAGGAATCAATGTTTGCCATTTTTGGCGATACTCGTGGACAAGGAGTATGACACGGATCCGATTCGGTATATGGTGTCATTCCAATGTAATCTTTGAACTCAAGATTTGCCGCGTTGTCCAGGGGAAGGCACAGCTCTAGAGTATCATGTGCCGGTGCTTGCTCGGACAACGGCACGATATCGGAGATCCGACTCCGTCAGAGAAAGCTAGCATTACCTTGTTGTCGAGATCGGTTGGCAGCATCCGCTAGCCGCCGTTATCCGGAAAATGGTGTCTTCGTAAATATGTATGCATATTTTCTTCTCGAAGAGCTATCCAGCTTGACATCCCTATTCAGAAGATTATTATTCAATTGGGACACTCGAGCCGGATCGCTCTGTTCTTGACACTGTCCACCGCAGTCAAGTCAGGCCTCTCAGCAACATCGTCGTAACAGTGACAGGCCACCTGCGACTTCGAGCACCGCGACATACAGTGAGGAAAAGTTTGATGTCCTCGTGCGCTGCATTTTAGGCCGCTGCGTTGTCGGTGAGTGCAGCTGGATAGACGGGCTTTGAACAGCTGAGCAACACGCTTGAATGCCTGTCTCTTGGGACTGCCAGCGAGAACTAGATCATCGTGCGACAGTCCAGCTGTGATTTTGTAGCCTTTAGTGTGGGTCAAGTGAGCATGTTACCGAGTATGACCGACGATGCGTTTATCTCACGCTGCCTCGCGAAAGAAGGAGGATCCGGGAAAGACTCGTCGACAAGGCTGGAGCACCGATATGACGATCACACTGGGTTCACATCAGAATTGCAATACGTACATACGTCTGACTGCAGTACATACGTCTGACTCTTGTTTCACGCGAGAATTGTCTCTACGAAGTCCAGTCCAATAATATCGTCGTACTCTGGGGGTGACAGCCCGCCTGTGAAGCATTCTGCAAGTTGTCACCAGAATACCAATCTTCGGATTCATTGGTCTCAATGATCACTGGTTTCCACTGGAACACTGTGCCAGGATCGACCTGCGCTGAGCCTGTCCACAGAGGACTATCAGCCGTGTATCCATTTGCTGAAAGCTTGAGACCATTGGCTGGTGTCCAGTCGCCAAGCGCTGAGATATCGCCCGCGATCACAACCGACTGTCCGTAGCTTGTTGTCACATAGATATCAAAGACCACAGTAGCATTGGCGCATGTAGTAGAGCTCCCAACCGAGGTTGGCCCCGCTACCGAGTCAGCTGCCGTTCACCTCACCACCCACCAGTGTAAGTTGTGCATAGACCACTGGACTCGAGAACAGATTGTGTCACCAAGGCCTTGGGTAGACCGCCGCCAAGAGGCATGAAGAGGGATCCATCGGAGGCCGTGGTGTACTGCTCGCAGGAGAGAATATCCATGACTTGTTCAGCACTTGAGAAGCCTGTGTCGGTCTGCGAAAGAGTCAACCCAGAGCTCGCGCCGCTTGATCCTCGGTTGTCGTATATGCTGACTATCTGATCACCGCTCCGGCCTTTGCGGGCAACGATGACGTGATCATCATAGTACGGAATTTGCATCTCGTCTGTCACGAAACTAGCGTCTTGCTGGATCGCTGCGGTCCGAGCTTTGTTGATCGAGGTGATCATCTCGTACAGCGGTGCTGACTGATTGTATCCACCTGTGGACCAGAGCGCTTCCCGATTGTAAGGGACCTCGCCACCGTTGAGATGCTGTTCCTGCCCATAGTATACAATAGGGATGCCATCTTGTAGCATGACAAAGGTGATCGCATTCATCGAGCGTGTGATGTCTTCTGTCAGACTGATGACATTAGCCCAAACGCTGCTTGAAGATTCACCTTGGGAATCTGGGATTGTCTTGGTTCTCCAAGAATGACCCAAGAAGGGTCACATCGCTGCAGTTGCCTCGCATGTAAGAGATTCCATTCGCCAGTCCACTCATGCTACCGTCACTAGTCGAAAAGGCGTCTGTGACATAGTAAAACCTGGAAGTTAGCCATCATTCAAGCATCATCGACTCACATTGGATAATTCAAAACTCCGGGCATGCCTTCCTGCTGATAGGAGCACACTCTCTTGGGGTACTCTTGAAAAACCTCGCCGACCATGTACATACCCCCAGTCGCGTTAAAGAAGGATGGGAAGAAGAACGAGCCAGACTGTTGTAGACTATCGATCCGGAGCCCATCGACTGAGGCTTTAGCGGTGCGATTGACAAAGGCTTACTTGAGTAGTCTGAAACCAGGCCCGAAATCCATGAGTCAAACACTTTCATGGTCAGCAGCTATCTTCGGGGACGCCTTACTTTGCTGCACTACCGTGTCTTCGGTCCTGAGATCAGGGAGAGGCACGTTCTCAGAGCCCTCCCAGCACTGAAGATCAGCCCGACACGGCGTTCACACTCACATCCAAGATGCTGGTAGCATTGTTGTAGTCGATCTCGCAGAACGGATGAAAGTACTTTTCGCTGTTGAACGGATTGTAAATGCTGTAATTGACCGTGCCCTGAGGTCCACAATGTCCATCAAGAGCCGCACCACAATAGTATCCCATGTGGTTGACAACTACATCGACCATGAGGTACTTGGTGATCAGCCATGGTTCGAGTGACGCAGCTCACCATGTCGTTATTGTGTAGAGCTTGGGACAAAGCTTTCAGGCCATCACTGCCCCCGAAATGGTCATTGATACTGTATATATCTTTAGCCCAGTAGCCGTGATACGGGGAGCCATCTTTCGTGTATCCATCTGGTGTCCCCCCTTCGATGTTCTCAACGACGGGTGAAACCCACAGCTAATACGACTCAGCTTCGATTTGGCACCTTGAGCTCACCGCTGTGAATCCCATGTCTTTGATGTACTGCAACTTGTCAATGAGTCCATAGAACGAACCGTTACAAAAGATTGACAGTTCAAAATCGCCGGTACATGTCGGTGACAAGGCTCCACCGTCAAGAGCGAACCGGTCTGTGACGACCTGATAAATGGATTGAGCTCTCCATTGCTCAGGACTGAGGGCGACAACGACTGAGGCTGCTCCCAGGAGTATAGGAGTGAGGAGCATCATGTGTCAAGATTGGTCGAACATGACCAGCCATACGCCGGGCTATTTGTATCTATTCGTCTGAACTCATGCGGGCCCGAGGTCGATTGTTGTCTAAATTTGAGACTAGTCTGAATTTAGAACGAATCACGAAGTATCAGAGTCGTGACACCCAATGCCGGAGTTATATCATATTTCAAGGCAGAAAGTTATAATAAATCTTGTAGCCAATCTCATGGCCGCTATATTCGCCGGACGGGACCTTGACCAATTAGCATCTGAACCGATCGGAATTTTGAAGCACACCTTGAGATCAACCTCCGCTGAAGGGAATCATGACGCTGGGCGGAGAGGCGGTACCCGAAAAGTCGGGACCCGCTTGCGATCAAGTGAGTGGCCCTGCCAGCCCTTGTCCGCTCATGCTGTAGTGCAGCATACGCAAGATCAAAGTGAGTTCCTTCATATTCTGAACTAATCCGCATCAGTGTCGGCCAAGCACCAGCGGAGATGCCTGTCTAGGTTGCGCGCATAGCGACCTAAGGTGCACCCGGTTGAGGGTGAGAGACCTGCTCTTGCAATACGCTGAAGGACCAGACGCACAAGCGAAGAGGGCCCAAGCGGTCTAAAACACTCGCTTTTGAACGCCCACAGATCGACAACCTCTTGAGCCAGAGCGGGACGGATACCGCCTCGCGAGCGACTCCTGAGCATCGAGGGCACCGTGCAGTGAGATCCGAGGAAGTCTCATCTTCTCCGACCTCAGCCGACATGACTTCTTTCCTGGCGTCTCTCGCGAGTGCTTCTCTGCCCAGCAAGAGTCAGGAGCGTCCAATGTGGGAAGTCTCTCAGTCCGCTGAGGGAGACGTCACTGTCTCGTCGGCCACAGTCGGCTCTTCAGCCTCTGGCCCGAACAGTTTCGATCCTTATCAGCTTGCTCATAATCATACTGCATCTCAATCCCTACAATGGGCCGACACGACGGGCGCTCCACTTGACAGTCGGTCTCCTCTCAATTACTGGTCGATACTTGGATCTAATGGAGAGGACTCAAGAAGTACTTTCCCTTATTTTGCAAGTCCGCTCACCTATATGCTGCGCCTCTGCTTACCGCTTAACAGGCTTGGGCGCAGATCTCGAACGAATTCAACGAGGCATCGGAAGTGTTTCTGCCCGATCCCCGTGCAGCTGGGCTCGATTGGTCAGCCACCGGTGAGTGATGGCATTTGTCTCCGCTCAACCTGCAGAGGTGCGGCAAGAGGCCAATTCGCATCCCGAAGCCCCGCACAGGTTCGCCCTGCCGAGCAATATGAATGTTGAGCGGTGCTTGGATATTTACTTTGATCTCTTTCGCCAATGGTGCCCTATCCTTGACCGCCGTCGCTTGGAGGAGGTGTTCAATCTCGCTCTCTCCGGCAAGGATGCTCAAGCATGTGACCTGGCGGACTCTATAGCTGTTCTCGTGGAGACCCGGATCAATGCCAACAGCTTGTCATCATCGAGCACGATATCGGGCTCCCGTTTCGTCAAGCTGCTTGAAAGATCTCAGAAACCTCTGCGGGAGGACGATATCAGCATCATCAAGGTTGTGACGGCACTTCACATCTTTTTGATGTGGCAGATCTACGGGGAGGGTGTCGCATCCTGGCTTCAATTCCACCAGGCATTGACGCTGGGCGAGATGCTGGGCATTACCGATTGGCGTAGAAAGCTTGTGCCCGCTAAGCCACAGACCTCTGACGAAGAGGGCCTCCGGCTTCTGTACACTCTGTAGGTCTTCCATGCGACACGATACTGACCTCAGCTTCATTATCGAGCGAGCGCATGCAATCCTACAACATCCCACTCAGAACCAAGCCCTTCCCTCACTCCGTCTCCCCGATGATGCATATGGAGTAACTGCCCCGTTTCGTGTCCTGCTGGCCTCCAACGCGCTGGACGACTTTCCGATGGATCATCTCCGTCTATTCAGTCTCGTACGCTCTCAGCACATGGCCTGTTGGGGTGAGACATGCGACGCCTCTTGCAGCATCTGGAATTCAGAATCGGCGAGTCGCTTCCAGCTGGACTTGGGAATAGAGCTGGACATAGCCGTCGCCAAATACGAAATGTCTCTTCAATCGCCTCAGATCAAACTCTCTGTCAATCTCATCATTTCTTTGGCTTGGTTCAGGGAGTGAGTTTTGTTGACACGTGTCTTGCTGATATTCAGCCGTTTCTGGACTGTTTGTTTACGACACGGCTTGATTCGTCCTGGAGGCTCACCTGGACTCGACCACCGATTCGTTCTCGACAACCTCGGACGGCTCATCGGGCTGCTCTCCGGATGGCAACCTTCGGACTTTGGTGTCGGCCTCGATTATGGTGCAAAGTTGTTCAGCATGGCTATGACAGCCATATCTATCATCAATCAAGCGCAGTCCTCGAACGATTCGGCATCTGAGCTTGGGCTTGGTCAAGATGTAGGCACACTCAAGGCTGAATTATCTGGATGGGTGTTCCAGATAATCGGGCTACTCTCAGCTGTAAGCATCTGCTGTAGGCCGTGACTGATGGTATCAGCGGACGAAAGAACATGACCCTCTACTGAAAACCCTGGTGAGGGCACTCGCTCCGGTGTTGTGATTTTGAGCCGTGGGAGACTTCATTACAACTAGATGGAGAGGTTGGTCTCAAGCCCAATGGACCCTATCCCCAAAATCTGCACTTCGCCGCAACTTACAGACAGGGAACATGCCGCGGTGATCGGTACTTGGTTTGGATCTGCTCATTGCCATGGCAAATCGCTCGTTCGCGAAAACCTCGACCACATCGCCCTTTATCAACACCTCGAGGCGCAAGTCTTCAAAGTCGTGCGCAAGTTTGAAGAGCGTAAGACGCTCAGATTCTTTCATCGTATTCACGTCATCCCGCAAGGTGGACTTTTCCCGGTTGATGTCAAGCGTCTCCACGGTTGCCGCTCGGCTGACTGGATCCGATTCGGATCGCTCCCCCGGAGAGATTCAGCCTTCTTCACTGGAAAGTATACACAGGTCTTCCCGCCAACCATTGATCTAGCAAGAGATACGCTCTCGGATCCTCGCTTGTGTGCTCTCTCCAATTGATTCAGTAGGTCTCGTGCACTGGTGTAGACTTTGGTCATCTCCGCAGACGTCTGCACATGCATACTGCCGTTGAGTATTGACCCCTTCAATGTAGGATTCGAGTGGCGCAAGCGGTGACTATCAGGTCAGACCCGGCTACGGTCAAAGCCACTCGCGCCGCGGTCGACATGACGCTACATAGTGTATGAGGTCGGTGGTCTCTACGTGTCCCCATCAAATACGATCACATTGAGCGCTGTGTCGGATTTCACAAATGGTTGAACTGAGGATAGAAATAGGGAGCACACGGATTGATCGTGCCCATGCTCGGCGCAGTCCCCCACCATCTTGTCTTATACCCTCCCCAATGCGACGTCGTGGTATGCCGGTCTCAGACTTGTCGTCCCAATCCCGCTCTGGCTCGTACTTGGAGTGTCTCTAGAGCCATTTTATGGTGTTCAACTTTGCGGGGCCATTTTCCGTTAATTTCCCGTTTCTCCGTGACCTGAGGGCTCCAATTCTCTTTTTCCGGAGAATCCCCGGCGCCCCGCGGTCCGGATGAAATATACTTAAAGACTCAGTACTACCTTACCTCGTTTGCTGCAGAAACATTTGTCCGCTTTCCAGAATGTCTGCACCCAATGAAGATATCTCCAAGTATGATTCCACCTACGATGAGGACGCCAAGTCGCGGGTCAGGGCCCATCAAAAGATCGACGGGCACGAACTCAAGTCCGAATTCGATGTCCTCACAGTACCTCAGGTCATGTGGAAGTTCCGCAAAGCCCTCTCATTCGGCGTCATCATTGGTGTTACCGCACTTGCAGATGGCTACGCCGGTATGATCAATGGGTAGGCCATATCGTAAACGGCTTGGCTAAACTCAGTGTGATCATCGCCAATCCTGGCTTTGTCAAGCAGTTTGGAACAGTCACGACACCTGATGGCACTAAAGCTCTCGCGCCAAGTATAGTCTCCGCTTGGGGTGCCGTGCAGGCGGCTGCGCAGATCCTCACCTCTCTGACTTTCTCAACGTAAGCCAAGGCTCCCTTTGCCGCACTCATGTCAGTTTCTCTGACCGATACGGACGGAAAGTCACCTTCTACACAGTCTGGGCACTCACAGCTATCGTGGGTCTCAGGACCATGGCTTCGGCTGATAGTTCAGTCTTTCGTCACTTTCCAAGTCTGTACTGAGTGGAAGTTGTTCTTGGTATCCCGTATATTTGGTGGCGCTGGTCTCGGTGCCGCACAATCCTTAGCACCGTCTTATATCTGTAAGTCCGCAGTCTGTCATCATAACTCACTCGTTCCAGGTGAATTCGCGCCTGTCCGGACACGTGGTCTTGCATTGCTGGTGTATTACATCTGCAACTCCCTTGGTCTCCTGATGGGGCCCGTGGTCATGGAGATCTTATCTCGTACACAACCCGAGAACTATAAGATCGCCATCTACACCCAGTGGCCAGTTCTTGCCTACATGGCGTTCGCTTACCTGTGAGCTGACCTATACGGATGAAGCTCATCCTAAAGTTACGTCCCCGAATCTCACTGGTTCTACGCCATCCATGACCAAGACGAAAAGGCTAAGAAAACCATGCGCCGTGCCTATGGCAAGATCGAGAATTACGACATTGACACTGAGTACGCCATCATCAAAAACACCTTAATGGAGGAGCGTGCTCAGAACTCTTACGGGACCTTGCAAGATGTTCTCAAATCCTACGTTGCGGTCTTCCAGGGACGGAACAAGGTGAGCTTGCGTCGTTAGACTCGGCTGACGGCTCCGCAGTGGCGACTGATTGCTGGAACTGTGCCACTTATGTGTTGCCAGCTGTCAGGGGTCAACCTTTTCGGTAACTACTCTGCATGTGAGCTTCATATCATTGTCACCCGTTGACATCTTCAGACTTCTTCTCGTTGGCGGGGTTCAGCAACCCCTACCTCGTTCAGGTGCTTATTTGTGAGCCCTAGGTCGACGCTTGTGCTAAGATACCAGTCGGCTCCACACTAGCGACACAGTGTGTCACAGCTTTTGTCGTCGAATACGTCGGTCGTCGGCGACTCGTATTTATTGGTGCTATTGTGGACTGTATCTGCTGCGCAGTGATCGGCTTGATCGGTAGCCTTGGAAAAACTCTGGTCTTAAAGGACTTTGTCATCGCTGTGACTATGATCTGGGCGGTCTTCAACACATTCCTTGGAACACTTGGAGGTTCATACACTGCAGAGGCGCCTTCGAGTCGTATGCGTACCCGTTCCGCCGGTATCTCCCAAGGCGGAGTTGCCATCATCGGTCTTGCCCTCACCATTGGCATCCCGTACATGATCAACCCACCTGCCAAGTGAGTAACTGTGCGACGACGCATCTGACTCGCTCCAGCCTCGGTCTCAAGTCTGGCTGGGTGTTTGCTGGTCTCATGTTTCCCATGTGCTTTGCCGTCTACTTCGTAAGATTGGGTCAATGACTCCTGCTCACAATCAGCTGGTCCCTGACTTCACTGGACGATCGCCGTCAGAGCTAGACGAACTCTGGGAGGCGCGAATACCTGCCTGGCGCTTCCATAAGACCAAGACAAATATTCAGCTGGATCTGCAGCAGAGGATGGAGTACGAAAAGGCCATGTCTGGAACCCCTGCCGTTCTTACGGAGGACTAAAGGAGCGCACCGAAGAGCGCGCCAGACTAGGGAAGCACAGTTGTCAGAAAGTCCAATGCATGCGAGTATCCCTACGAGGGACTATCTGGTTCGCCCGATTCATCCACTTACAAGCTACTTACAAGTCGTACTCTCAGCTGAATTCATACCCGAGCCCGCAACGATTTCTCCGTCATTTATCCGTCTCTGGCCTGTTCAGAAAATACAGACCACCTGACAATCCTGCTTGTATCTTGCTTGACAAGCTTGAACGATGACTACGAAATTCAACGCCCTTGTCGAAGACATCCCCCCTCATTGCAGACTACTCTTCAAGCCAATTGCTGACGCCACCAGCGATGGCTGTCACATGGACGTTTGGCTGCCAAAGAACGAGGGTACCACTGTCCCACTCGCGATGTGGGGCTAGCATGACTAATTGAGATCGCACTGACACGATTGCAGCATTATACACGGTGGGGCTTTCACTCATGGATCTACCAAAGATATCGGCTTTCACCAGGTTAAGTGGCTGGGTGAACAAGGCGTTGCTGTCGTGTCTTTAGAATATCGAATGCTCCCACAGTAAGCGAGGATACCTGATCCCAAGCTGATTTCTAGAGTCACTCTGAGAGAGATTCGAAGCGATCTCTTCGACGCATACGTGTTTATACAGCGACACCTCAACCAAGAAATAGAGAAAGCGCGACCAGCATCGCCGGTCGTAGACACCACACGATGCCTGGTGACAGGCGGCAGTGCAGGAGGCTCTGCTACCTTGTGGCTGGTGAGAGAGGTCCGGCCGATCACGGCTGACTGTGCGAGTGCGCCGATGTCGCCAGATATAACGAGACCGCGTCTCAGCCCTTGCCTGCTATCAAAGCGGCACTTCCTGCCTACTGCGCAATAACTCCGGATGCCTTGAAAGCGGCTCCTCGAGAAGCGATTTACTCGGTCAAGGAGCAGTTTGGGCCGGAACGATTTGCACTCGTTGAGAAGCTATTCAACGAGAAGGTATGCTGCGCCGATCCGTATCGATTCAATGTCATGTTAGTTATGCTAATGGTTGCCGTGCTGACCTGATGTAGGGACAAGAATCCGCCGATGAAACCGAGAAACCAATGGGTGGTTGCAGTAAGTGTCGTTATATTCCCTTTGACTGAGCACCGGTGCTCCAGGGGATGATCACAGGCACTATACCCTCTTTCCTCCACGGCCGAGATCCACCCTTCCCTCCGGAAGATGAGATTCTCAACAACATCACGAAGGACTTCCCACCGACCCTGATGTACGTGGCGCTGGAGGATGATCTGATACCTCCGGAGGGGCAGAAAGAAGCCTTGGAAAGCAAGCTGGGACAATTTGGCATAGAGTGTCGTGTGGTCATGGTCCAAGCGCCTCATGGCTTCATAGATCTTCCCGCAAGATATTTCCCCGAGCGTGCTCAGGGCTGGTGGGATGAGACGGTTCAGCCAGCTTTGGAATGGGCGCTGGAGAAAATTGGGGTCTAAGCGGGGAAATGCATGCTTGGCAAATCTTTCGTTTTCCCGAATCTCCGCGATTTGGCCGTCTCCACGAAAGATATACTTTTGAGCATACCAGAAACGCTCGCTGAATAACGCAGCCTGCTAGCAAACTCGTCATGCCTTACCCAGTCATTGTTGTCACTGGTGACTCTATCGCCCAGCAAAGTTTCAAGGCTGGTGGCTATGGCTCTGCATTGGTCGATTTCGTGAGCTCAGAGAACAGGGCCGGCCCTAATGCCGCAGTATCAAGGCAATTACGATGTACTTAACAGGGGGATGGGTGGCTACAACTCGACACAGTTGCTACAGAGGTTCATTGAGGGGCTTGATGTTCCCTCCAGTGCCGACGTGAGACTATTCGTGATTCACATTGGCACAAATGACTGGTGAGGCTGCATCACGACCCGGCTGATTTCCAGTGCCGAAAAAGGATATCAACGTGTTGGTAAGAGAGCGTTGACACTGCTAATGGCTAGACCTCGGCGTCAGAATATCGCGATAATCTCCTTTCCATCATCCAGCATATACGGACAATCTACCCCGCCGCCGAAATAGTCTTGTTAACTCCATCGACCGTTCAATCCGATGTAATACTAGCACTCGAGCGTAGCACTGGCATGCCCGAGAAATTTATCACGATACGTACCCCTGAGCGGGCTAGAGAGATTGCAGAGATGTGTAAAGCTGTCGCCTTGGAAGAGAAGGTCGATTGTTTGGATGTCTTTGCCATGCACGAGGGTCAGCGGGATATTTTCAGCGATGGCCTACATTACAATGCCAAGGGATACAAGGTGAATTCTGCGCATCTTCTCAGCTGACTCGGAGCCTGTGAACGACGCTTTAATCCAACTCATCTGCTCCAAATTTCCAAAACTCGTACCAGACGACTTGCCAAGGGCGTTTCCCATATTTGCGACGTATGGCCGCGAAGGTATCGACAGCTTCGAGCAATATGCTACTGCCATCAAGGAAATTGGGCAGCGGATGAAAGCGCAAGCCTTGGACGAGACCGGTTCAGAGGGAATGCAGTCAGATGGATCATCAAGAGATTGATATCATGAATCGTAGATGCATTGTGAAGGTCACAGGCTGGGCAGACGTCGCCTAAGATGAAGTGCCCGCGAACAGGACTGGAATCGGATTTGTGAGAGATACAGTAGCTTCCACTGTAGCCCTGTAATGCTTCTCGACTGGCCTTGCGACGACACTATCGACCAGTGTCGTGCATGGCGGGGCGCGTCGTTTCCCATCTCTCCTCTGATAGTGAACAGATGAAAGTTGAATATAGAGCATAAATGGAGGGTGGAAACTGACCCCCACCTGGCTTTACTGTCCTCACACCAACTGCTCAGGCACCCTTCTTGGAGGCGAATTTTCCTCCCATGCCGCCATCAAGCTGATCAGAGTTGCTTCGCTCCACTGCCTCCCAATGAAAGCCATGCCGAAGGGCTGTCCATTACTAAGGTAACCAAGAGGGACTGAGACTATCGGGTACCCAGCCACAGCGGCCAGAGAAGAAGCATAACCCTCCGTGGGCAGGACCAAAGCGTCGGCTTGATATTTGTCGAGGACGTAATCTATACCATTGGTTCGTCCAATGTTGTAATCAGTGGCGCGGGCATGGATATACTCCGTCGCGTTTCGACCCGTTGTTTGCACGGATCTTACCAGGATCTCTTGGCAACATTCTCCTGGCGCGAACTCAAGATCAGCATGAGCATCGTCAAAGTCGATCAGATCTGCCAAGCTTTCGATTTGGGAATTGCTGAGTCTCGAAAGATAGGTCGCCAGGTCTACCTTGAAATCTGTATCAAGGACAATCGTCTCCGCCGTCGAAGTAGCAAGCTGATCGGCAGAGGGAACTGAGGTGCCATTGATGACGATCGCCCCAAGCTCAGCCATCCTCGCTATCGCAGCATTAAGAGCCATGTTGATTTCTGGTGGATTGCCGCTGATAGTCTCATTCTGAAAAAACTGGATTGGGACCGCCAGCGTCTTATTCGCAAATGTAGCGTGCGGATGCAGTGCAAATCGAGTGTAGTTCGAAAGGGCGTGCAGAGACCCGTTCTTCGTGTATGGGTCCAAAGGATCGGGCCTGTGAGCGACCATGTTCTCTAAAATCAGGGCACAGTCATAAGTAGACTTGGCCATGGGGCCCGTCGTATCTTGAGTGGAGGAGATCGGAATGACGCCTGTGCGGCTGGAAAGCCCGACCGACATCCGGATGGTATACAGAGCTGCCCTATTGGCCGGGCATACGAGTGAGCCGTCTGTCTCTGATCCCAGTGAGGCGCTGCTAAATCCGGCGCTGACTCCGACAGCGGAGCCAGACGAGGAACCACATGGGTCCCCACCAGCAGCGAAGCCGCCTACCACGTACGCAGACTGAGTCTGGCCGCCTCTGGCGGACCACCCGTTGGTCACGTTTAGTGCCTTATAATTCGCCAGCTCACTGAGATTGGCCTTGCCGATAACGATAACACCTTTAGCTCGGAGTTGTGCGGTGACGGGGGCATCGCCAGGGACTTGAGATCCAAGGAATCCATAATTGCCGGCCGTTGTATTCATACCGAGCGACACATCCGTCGCAATGTTGTCCTTGAGCAGCATCGGTATTCCGTGCAGTTCAGACAAGATCGTTCCGTTAGCCCGGAGATCATCCATATATTGAGCTATGGCCATCAAGTTCTCGTATGGTCCGGTCTCGATTACTGCACGAAGCTCGAGCCCAGCATGATTATTCGCAGCGATATTGTCGAGGTATCGCTGCGTAAGTTGAAGCGATGTGATTGTCCCATTTGACAAGTACGCTTGCAAATCTCGAATCGTCGCCGAAAGAAGATCGATCTCTGCGGGAAAATACCATCTGCCTTGCAAGCTGGGTGCGGCTGGTGTCTGAGCAACTACGGCGATAAAGGCCACCCTGATGAATCCTAGGAGCGTGGCGAGCATAGCGATGCTATCTGACACTCTCATGACCGTAGATCAGCAAATCTGTGCGACAAGCACATCCTGATAGATATTATACGGACTAGTGGAGGGGTCATTGGTGGAGGTAACTCGGCGGGGACCGCCGTCCACGGCGGATGCCGCTGATAGCGTGTGATGCGATCCGAGTCAGACACTGACGGACGAGCTTCTGCGCATGATCGGAAGAAAGATTGGCACCAGGCCGACCCACTGCAGCTGGGTGAAGCTACAAAAATTAGGCCTGATCCGTCTGTCTCGAAGCGAAAAGGCGATGATCAAGATCTGCATGAGGGGGATGTGGTGTCAGGGATACAGTTCGATGCTGGGTGCAAGTGACCGAGCGTTTGAGCAATGAGAGTGTCTTTAGCAGGGCTCCTATGGCCAGCAAGGTCTACATGTCATACGCGGAACCGAAGTCGGTGTCTGAGAGGCCAGCATTGCGCAAAACCAACGGACTCGGTTGCTGAGATAGCCGGTATCGGGCCGCGTGCTTACGCCGACGTCGCGCCAGGCGAGATCCTTTCACACAAGATCCCGCAGCGTGCAGCCCCGGGACTAGGCCCAGAATAGATATGTTCTTTTCCCAACTTACCCGCCCAGTCTGACACGGCATGCTTCTGTTTTGGACCGGAGCTATTTATAGCCTGTTTAAATGGCCGGCCTCGTGAGCGTGACCATAGAAAGCCTGAGTCAGCAGCGAAAGCCATCACAGAAGAGGCTTCGCCCCCAATTCCCAATGCCCCGCGCCCTGCGCTGCAACCGTGCGGACAGCTCTCGGCGCGAGGGGAAATAATCTGGACTGACAGAGTGTAAATACTGGAGACGAATGCACCCCTTTCGATTGTATCCCCTAATCCCTTCAAGATGGCCGAAGTCCGAATGGGCACGGCTGGACACGCGTCCGTCATTGGAAAGACTAAGCCAGCTCTCATCAATTATGTCGCAGCTATCTTCGCGTGAGTGCTGTTTCCTGAGGACTGCTCACTCTGTCCAGCGCCATTGGTTCTTTCCTTTTTGGTTACGATTCTGGAATCATCTCGTCCGTCATCTCACCCTCGTATGGTCAGTTCCAGAAGTACTTCCACAACCCTCAAAGCAATGTGACCGGAGCCATTGTCTCTACCTTCGCGGGAGGCGCATTCTGTGAGCAAGTCACTGAAGACGCAGCTGATCCACAGTCGGCGCACTCTTGGCTGGTAGAACAGCCGACTGGATTGGCCGTAAGCGGACTATTCAGCTGGGATCGATCATTGCAATTATCGGTGAGGGCGTTTTGAGAGATACCAGCTGAAGCGCGAAAGGCTGCACTCTTCAAACCGCGGCTGTGAACATTGCCATGCTGATTGTTGGTCGATGCATCTGTGGAGCGGCTATCGGTGTGTTGAGCATGATTGTGCCTATGTACCAGGTGAGTCATATTCCTCGCCGCGTTCTCACCCGTGGCAGGCCGAGATCTCGCCACCCCATGCGCGAGGTCTTCTCTCTGGCATGACACAATGGATGATTTCATGGGGATTTTTCATTGGTGAGTGAAGGTGTTAGCGGCTTGAGACACCTCTGATTTCCCGTAGCGAACTGGGTTGGATATGGATGTGGTTACATCAACAACACGGGACAATTCCGAGTCCCCTTGGCCATTCAAATCATCCCAGCACTGTTGCTCTTGATGTCAGTGGTGAAATGTCCTCACGGCTGATGTTTCAGAGGAATGTTTATCCTGCCGTACTCCCCTCGATGGCTCGTAATGCAGGGCCGTGTGGACGAGGCCCGAGACACTTTGTATCGATTGCACGGTGGACGAAAGAATGCCCACCCCGAGGCCATCGAAGCGGAGTTTCAAGAAATCTCGCAACAGGTTGAGTGGGGTGAGTGCTTAGACGTCTATCTCCCTCACACGACAAGATCGGGAAAATCTTACAACTCGATACATTGATCTGGTGAATACGAAGCCCAATTTCCACCGAACGTTCTGCGGTTGTGCCGTCCAAGCCATGTGTCAATGGACCGGTGTCAATGTAAAGTGAGCAACGCGAAGACGGCATTGCTGACCATCAGCAATTACTTTGGACCAACCATCTACACCGATTTGGGATACACAGTGAGTGAGGGCTCTCCAATTCTCGCTGACCGAGCAGGGACATACAACCCTCATCATTAACGCCATTTCTGGAACGTGGGGTCTCATCGTGACCTTTATCTTCATCACCTGCATTGGTAAGTCGCGTTGTTAGGTCAAATCTGAGCCTTCTTTCTAGTGGATCGGATCGGTCGCCGATGGCCGCTCATCATTGGAGCCCTCTTCTGCGCCGCTTTTATGGGGATGGAGGCCGGAACGAACAAGCCATTCAGCGTCATCAAAGACTATCACGATAAGTCGACCGGTATTGCAGGAGTAGCCGCCGTGTTCCTGTTCTCCTGGGCATTCTCGTTCTCCTTCGGTCCTGGTGAGAAAGGTCCTTGATTTTCCGCTCTGACGCATTCAGTTTCATGGATCTACCAATCCGAGATCTTCCCCATGAACATCCGTGCTCTCGGGACGTCCGTCTCGACTGCCACAAACTGGGTGGGTTCCCTAAATCTTTCGTGCAGAAAAGCTCTGACGATCGATTCAGGCGAACAATGTGGTCATTGGTCAGATTACTCCTATCGGATTTAAACATCTCAAATATAAATACTTCTTCGTGTTTGTGGCCACGAACTTCCTGAACATCGTCATCGCTTACATGTACTTCCCCGAGACCAAGAACCGTTCCCTAGAGGAAATTGGATTGCTCTTTGGAGATGAGAACGTTCGTTACCTGATGGAGCAGCCCTCGGAGAAGCCTGCCAACACCGAGAAACTGGTGGAGAACCGCCAAGGCAAGGGGGATATGCTGGCGTAGCTGTCGTCGACCTCGTTAGCGCGTGACGTACAGAGCCCGGGAGTCGGCGCGAGCATCAGTCACCATGATTTGGTAATTCAGTCAAGCTTTCACCTGATGCATGCTAGGAGTGCACGAGGTTTCGACCACACTCCAGTCATTTGGTTTTGGGATTGTGTAGTTAAATCATTCAAGTAGGCTTCCACCTTCTTCAGTGCCCTTTGAGGACGAGCATCTGCACCAAAAGCAGCGACAATGCCGCCCAAATAAGTAGATTGGGCGAACTTATCTTTAGCTCAATCGAATAGCTCACTCACGGGGCCGGTCTACCAGCGGTGGCACCAGTACTGGTTGCGTTGACAATACTGTAGTTTGCACTTGTCGTCCAGAACATGCCATTCCCATCGATCGTTGCCTCCCCAGATAGCTCTAAGACGCTTCAGGATCTGTCAGAATTCGTGCTACAGCCGCTTTCCGGGAGACTCGCAAAGATTGTCCAGGTTGACCAAGCATGATGCCCGCATAGGGGTAGCTGAAAGGAGCTACCGTGAAATTGACATAGGGATGCGCAATCATGTGAATGTCGTCCGAAGAAACTCCTGTCCTGTTAATCGGGTTACTACACTGGCATGATCTCAGCAGATTCCAGCGCACAATACTAACGTATATATTGCCCCTGGCATCCTGGTAACTGCACAGCATCAGCGACGCATCAGAACCCATCCGTGACTTGCACTAGTGATACATTGTAGGGAGGGTTGGCATATGTCGGAACGGAGAAGGTTACATTTAAAGTCGCATTTTGGGTAGTGTCAATCTATCAATCAACGCTGGTATCCTTGTCAACCTGCCTGAGACAACGTCTTTGACCCATAGTACATAGAATCGAGGTCGTCTGGTTGGATGCTGTCGATGCCACAAACAGCAACGTTCGGGACACTTGTTGACATGATGATTGGCGGAGCCCCTTGTTAGAGTGTGAAAGCATAAACAACAGTTATTATATGCAGCGCCTTCGATACATGCACGGGGATGGAGTGGAGAGAAACGGGACCCCAATACCCCGCTCCGGGTGAGATCTCCAGCCATCTGCAGGCACGATCACGGAAGCAAATTGCTCGCCGCAGATTGATTAAAATGCTCCTAGAGCATTAGGCTTTTTTTGCTCCCTGACGTGGCTAATAAAGGAATCTCCGATCTATCATCACACGTGACCGGATCTGACCCTCGCCGCTTCGGCCGACAATATAGCTAAGCGATGTTCCGCTCGGAGTACCACAGGCGAACTCAGTGGAGAAGGTATAACGGTATATAAGTGAGATCTGTCCTCCACATCTTCCCATCTTCGTCGCCCAACATGCTTCACCACCTTCTTACTCTACTGACTTGTCTATCAACCACCATCGCCTTGCCAGCGAAGCACCTTCCCGTTCGGCAGTCCACAGACTCCTTTCGTGACATTGCGTATTACGCCTACTTCCAGGATGCGAATCATCAACCGTATAATATTTTGCCCATCATAGAGAACCCATCTCACATCACTCACCTCAATCTTTTCTCTGTCGATCTCCGGACAAGCGGCCCAAACCTCACGATCGGAGGCGTTGCACCGACCGATTCATCCTTTCTAGGTGATCTATGGGGTGAAGTAAAACAGGTGCAGCAAGCGGGTGTGAAAGTTCTCGCTTCGATTGGCGCATATCAGGCCGAGTGTTGGATCCTTCTACAGGACGATTTCAACACTTGGTATCCCATTCTTTTGGACTTTCTTCAAAGATACGAGCTGGATGGAGTGGATCTGGACATCGAGCCAAATGCCCAAGGTCAGACCCCGAACGGGATTGCAGCCCCTCTTCAACTCATCCAAGCTCTACGTAATGACATGGCTGCGGACTTCATCATCAGCATGGCGCCCGTGGCCGCAGATCTGACGGCCAATCCCCCCGAATATTCTGGATTCGATTACAAGCAGCTTGACAATGCCGCGGTAGGCCCGGACGGCCAACATCAGATCGACTTCTTCAATGGTCAATTCTACAATGGATGGGGAGACTGCAGCGACGCCTCGACTTATGATTCTATCATCCTGAACGGTTACTCCCCTGACAGAGTCATCTTTGGCGTTCTCGCAGACAGTGAAGATGGAAACGGGTTCTGCTCCATCTCAACACTGACGACAACAATAAAGACCATACGTACGACGTATCCGACGATGGGAGGAGCAGGTGAGTTGACACTTTCGGAGACTTGTCAGTCCGCTGATCCAATCCTAGATGGCTACGAGCTGGTGCGTGCCGGACAAGATGATGATCTTCAAAATTGGCAATGGTTCCAAGGCATTTACAATGCCAGCACGACGGCTCTATTAGCGTTATGACATGCCGTGGCTGTTCTAGCATGCATTCAGTAACGAGTATTGGTGCAGATCGAACCTCCGCGTCTGACTACTACGAGATTGCTGATCATGCAAGACCTTCTGATCTCGTTCAATGGCATGAGGCAGCAGAACTCGACCATAAGCTCAGCACCTTAACCAGTGTTCTCGATTAACGATGCTCCTCTCTCCTGGCTTTAAAATGCGACCGACACACACAACGGGAAAAGCTCAGATCTCTCGGCGGTCGCCAGGCAGTGTTTGCATGCTGCATGCAGGCAGTCACGATAAATTAAAACAACCCGCTCTCTGACCCATCTTGTTGAAGATCTTTCACTGATACTGGCCCTGTCCAGCGCCAAAGTGCCCGCCTTCAGCGAGCACGAGCCTTGGGCAGCCATAGTCGCCTTCGCAGCCCAAGCCAGTTACCGTGTTGCCCCACCAGGTGGGGAATGCCAAAGTGCCACTCTTGGGAATCTCCAATGCGAAGAAAATAAACAATCCGCAAAGAGCGATACCGCAGGAGAACGCGGCAGAGATGACATAGTTCCACTATCATACTGTCAGCTATTGCGATCATCCGCAGTTGTCACCCACCTTGGCCCAGAATGCTAGGTAGTGCTTTCGAATATATTGGAAGGACAGCAAGTTGACGTAAAGGTTACCCAAATTGAAAGCCAAATTGTATGGCGCACCGTAGCCGACGGGGCCGGTGATGAGCATGACAGGGTGGAAGTTTCGGATCCATTTCTTCTTTGGGAAAGCCTTCAAGAGACCCCAGTAGATCAGTACGAGGACCAGACCGAGGGGGAAACCGAGCAGCATCATGTTGTATCGTTGGCCGGGGCCGAAAAGTTTTTTGGGACCAATGACTCCCCAGAAGATGGTGGCGGTAAAGAAACTCGTTTGGTACGGGCAAGTGAATCGGAAAGCCGCGTCAGGGGTGCATACGTCTCGTAGTCCCATGATAAAGTTGAATTCGAGCGCTGAAACAACCGAGAAGATGAAAGTAGCGACAATCTGGGCCATGAAAGTGACTCGAGGTGGAATCTTCTGATAGTGAGCCAATTTCAAATCGTTGGCAAAGCTAAGAGCTTGCCACGAAGAGAGGTATGCCCAACACTTGAAGTACATGAGACCGTTGGGATGACCGGCATTAATCAGTCCCCCAAGGATGTCACCGATGATATTGAGCGCGACCGAAATACCAGTGACGGCTTGAATGACTCCGATGGGAATAATGAAGACCACCGGAATCAAAATACCGTAGAAGAGAGCGCCCACAGACGCGTGGGTGGGATACGCGGCGACTGCGGCAATGCCAAAGAAGAAGGGGACGATGAGCAGTACGACATACCACCAATCTGGCGCATCTCTATAGGCCTGCATCAGTCGGAAATGCACATCCTCTTCGAGTTCCTCCTCTTGTCCCTTTTTGAAAACATTTCGGTAAATCCCCTTCAGTCCAGTCTTGATGGTGGAGGAGTGGAACATCCACACATAGGTAAAGCACGCCGTGTATTGAGCAAAGGCGAAAATGTTGTAGACGATATATCCAGCAGAGAACCAGGGCTGCGAGTAGTCTTGATATAGCTCCTCATTCAGCGCGCCATCGCTGTCCAATACCCGTGTCGCATTGTACCGGTTTCCGGTGTCATCGAAAGGCCCGTTCGAGTTGATAGGGAGATATCCGGTGTTCCACGCGTTCGAGAACCAAACTCCAATGATCATAAGCGCGGCAACGACGATACCGATGCACTGATTCACGACGGCAAAGGTTGGCAAATACAAACCTGAACCTCCAAATATATTCCAGTCGAAGGTCGGCCAGGGGTTCAGGCCTAGACCTCCCTGGATACCGCAGATGGCATCGAGCGTAACGTTGTTTGGCGCAATCCATGTCATCCACGAGAAGATCGAAAGGGCGCCGAAAATATAGCCAGGGAAGAGCCAATAGCAGAACATTCCGGCTGTCCCGACAAGGAAGATCTTCTCTCTAGAGGCTCTGTAAAGTCGTTTAAAAGGTCCTTGGACGGGCTCATTGCTACCCTCGTGGAAGGCCTTGATCAGGGCGATTGTACTCAGCGACGAAGGCCAGATGGCGATGGATGGCCACACGAGGAATCTTCGCAGAATTCCAGCCATTCCGTAGCCAAAGAGGTTGACCGCGAGCGAAATGCAGATCTGGTAACCTGGTCGCTTCGCAAAGGGCATGTTGAAGTACTGCGGCATGGCTTGCACCGGGATGATATAGAACGTGTAAGGCGCCCCGAACGAGACGTTTGCCCTGCAGGGAACTGTTCAGCTGGTACTCTGGCAGGTCCTTTGCGGCGCTCACATGATGGTGATGAGCATGTGTTCCTTACGGTTAAAAGGACCAGGGTTGAGGGAAATTTCAGAGCCGAAAACGCTGACCCGCCAGTCTGGTAGTACCCGAGCGAAGAAGCAGCCAATGGGGTCTGACTCATTCAGCACATACTTCACTGAAAGACTCACAGGCCACCAGCTGCGCCACGTTGACTCCAATGCTGATACCTGGGTATCGGAAAGCGAACAGGGTGTCGATGAAAGTACCAAACACCGAAAAGACGATCCCCATAGACCAGGCTCTCACCGTAGAGCAAGGCAGGTCAGGGTCGTCAACGGGATCCACATTTGCCCGGACTTCCGGATATGGAGAGTTCTCCGTGGCAAGAATTGCCTCGAGTTTCATGGCGTAGATGAGGTCCGCATGCTTGTCTGGAGAGGCTACTATGGAGGGGTCCGCGATGAAAGTTTCCATCTTGTCATACATTTCGTAAGAGAAGTTCGGGTCTCCCTTGTGCATCTGGACCAGCTCGGTGATGATGCGGACAGTGCGCTCGAGAGTAAGGGAGCCGACTTGCTCCTCGAGCTCCAAAATTTCATTCGCATTGGTGCCGAGCTCCATACGTCTGCAAAGATGAGCGCTTGATAAGGACCAGCATTACTCACACAACCGGCTCATCCCCAAGATGTTCAGCGGATGTGATTTGGATGTCATCATCACCGTATCCAACCTTCTCATCCTTGATATCGTCGCCATACGAAACCTCAGTAGCCATGGCAGGTCGAGTTGGGTGGGACATTTTCGGTGCGGTATGGGAAAAAGAAAGGTACGCTGAACTTGAATATAAGATTACCCCGCAGACCAGAATAGAACCACAAATCCGGGTGTTTCGCCGTTGGCTAAGGATTGGGCTGATAGCGCGATAGGCCCCATGGCAGAAAGGCTGAGGGTATCCCGGGATTCTACCTCGGTACCCCGCAGAATCGGCTGATTCTCGGCGATTGAGGGCTGGCTTCGCGCTACCGACGGAGCTCCGTTATCGGGCATCAGGGCGTGTCCCAGGCGTAATGTTGACCCGTGTTCGGCAAAGCACTTGGCTTCCCATCCCTCATTAGCCGATAAGCGATCCCCAGTCTTTCACGAGGCTGCGCTACCGATAAAGAAATGGGCATCCGCGCATCCACTGTCGGCGACGAGACTCCATGGCCTGCTGAGGTGCCTGATAGGCAGGACAGGCCGCATCCACAAGAGTCATTCTCTGAGACGAGTAAGTTACCAAGTCCGCCAGGACATTGACTAATCGACCAGTTATCAGCCCAGAGTCGTTCTTCGGCGATCTTCGCTCACTATTTGTGCAGACGGTGCTGCTTACTCAATTGCAACAATTGCGCAAGCAAGGTAGTTACCATGCATTCAATTTGCAGTGGAATACCAAATATGACATCAGGAAGTTGCATGGCGCTAAATGTCCGGTGAGGCGAATGTAGCGCCAATCCTGACACCTAGATCCTGGGCAGTCCCCCAACGCTCTACTGGGACTCAGACGTAGGAAAGTGGATAGAAGCAGCATGCTACTTCCTGTCGACTGCAGATGGAAAGACCTCCCCGCTCGCGTCGGAATTTGACGCAGCCATTGAGGAATTAGTTGCAATGATAATCAAGGCTCAACAAGCGGATGGCTATCTCGGAACGTATTTCACCGTTGTGGATCCAAAGGGGCGTCTGAAGAATTTGAGGGATATGCACGAAATGTGTAAGATTCATGCGCATGGCCCAGCTGAAGAGCAGACTGTTGCGGTCATCTCGTCGAGGCTGCGTTGGCTCATCATCATTACACCGGTAGAGCTGATTTCCTTAACGCCATGATCCGCTACGTTGATCTCCTCTCCGCAACATTCGGACCCGGGAAGCGACAGAGGCATGGCTATCCTGGCCATCCCGAGCTGGAACTGGCTGTTCTTCGCCTCTACAGTCGCACAAAGAATCCCAAGCATTACGCCTTTGCCAAGTTCATGCTGGAGGCCCGAGGCACCAGCGAGTCTGATTTGGGTGACAAGACATTCTTCGTCTGGGAAGCGGAGCAACGCAGAGACACTTACTTCCATCGGACCATGAGTGACATCCGAGATGGTCGGTACCACCAATGGCACGCTCCGTTGCATGACCAAACCGCGATCCTCGGTCACGCAGTCCGGGCGATGTACCTGTTGACTGCGGCGGCGGACATGGAGGGAGATCTGCATAACGATGCCAAACGTCTGTGGACCGACGCAGTGGACAACAAAATGTACGTGACTGGAGGCATAGGCAGTGTTCCCGAGATTGAAGGATTCTCCGAGATTCCCCATTTTCTCCCCAACAGTACGGCGGAGGGGGGCTGTTATGCCGAGACATGTGCCAGCATAGCCTGTATGATGGTGTCGGAACGGCTGCTCAGTCACAGATTGGATGGAAAGGTCCGCGATGTCATGGAGCGGTGTCTTTACAATACAGTCATTGGCGGAGCAAGCCTGGACGGCAAGACATTCTACTATGCCAATCCGCTGGCCACATCAGGCGATGAGGTCGCGGACCGCTCCGAATGGTTTGATGTGTGCTGCTGCCCACCAAATCTTTGCCGGACTGTTGGTCTGATTGGCGGCTACGCATGGTCCGTCGAGCCGTTCACCGATGAAAAACGAGTGATCCATCTAAATGTCTACCTATACCTTTCGGCTACCCGAAGCATTCCACTGCCTGATGGAAGCGTAGCTACAGTGGAAATGAAGAGCGAGATGCCCTGGTCAAGCAAAACAACACTACGGTTCCACGCCCCAGAGGGGTGGTCGTGGCGTGTGAATTTGCCCAGGCCAGGGTACGCCTCTCGGTTCTCAATCGACGGACAAAGGCATTCATCTGAAGGAGATGGCAGCAGCTTCGTCAACCTGATATTGGACCACTCTGCCCAGACAGAGGTTCATTACGACATGCCTATCCGAGTGCTGAGCCCTCACCCTTCCACTCATCAAGACACTGTGACAGTCACCCGGGGACCGATCGTTTATTCTGCCGAAGCCTTCGACAATGCCGCGTTGGATCGATTGTCTCCTCACTTTGACACTGTAGGGCTGCTGGAGTCGGCCAGTTTTACCGAGGCGCGCATCCGTATCGGACGGATGACAGTAATCGCCTTGGATACACGTGACGCCTTCCAGGTCAAGCGTCAGGGGAAGGATGACATCGGTTCTACTAAGGTAGTGAATGGCTCAGCACAGACGTTGGAGAAGGCAGATAGCCCTCTCAGACTGATCCCTTTCTTTGCTCGCTGCAATAGGCAGAAAGATGAACGGATTCGGACGAGTTTCATACGAGTGCCACGGGACAGCGTGTAATTTCTACGTCAAAAATGTATGAAAAAATGCTCCCGTTCAACTTCATGTTTTCCACTTCTCTCCTACCATACCTTCTTCCGTCCACGATCCCTCTCAAGATGCAACGACGCAGAGCAGCACTTTTCGGCGCTACTTCCCGAATCGGCCCGGCCATCGTCTCTGCTTTCAGCGAGGACACTTCGGCCGATGCATGGCATCTGTATCTGATTATCAGACCGTCGTCCAAAGCACCAAAACTTCCTGAAAATTCACGCAACATTTCTGTACACACCCTTCCGGCCGATGAATCCTCAACCCAGGAATTGGCCGATGTCTTTGAAAAGTTGGACTGCTCGGTCGTTATCTCCTCCCTCAATGCCGGTCTTGCAGACCTGCACAAGAGCATTGCAGAAGCTTGCGTAGCCGCTGGCGTCTCTCGCTTCATCCCGGCTGATTATGGCTCAATCAGGTCAGATGACCCATGGGCGCTGGATCTCATGGTCAACTTCCGCAACAAGGCATTTGTACGGTGGCGTTGTCAACGACTTGCCGACCAGCATCCATCTTTCTCGTGGACTAGCCTGGCGACGGGTCATTTCTTCGACTACGGACTTCACACCGAGTTGCTTGGATACGATTTGAAAAAAGGCACTGCCCAGATATTCGACGGTGGAGATTTGCCCTTCAGCGCCAGTACGACCGCTCAGATAGGTCGAGCCGTGGTCAAGGTCTTGTCGCATGAGAAGGAGACAGCAAACAAGATGTTGCTCATTCAAAGTTTCTGTGTGACCCAGAATGAAGTCGCTGCCGAGATCGAGAGAGCTACCGGAAAACCCTTGCAGCGCATCCAGGTGGATGGGAATACATATCTGTTAGAGAATGCGGCTAAGGCGGAGAAGGGCGATGCAGCGGCGCTTGAAGAGGCCGTAGCAGTATGTGGCATATTGCGCTCCAATTGGCAGGGCAGGCCAGAATATGGTAATACCTTGCTGGAGCTGGACGAGGAGGACATGCGCGAGGTCGTCCGTAAGGAGATCGGAAGTACCTAGACGGAACGCCACGTGATTCTGCCCAATGCTATTTTAAGCCCTCCTACTATTCGAGGGGATCTCGTTTATTTCATGCCAGTTCGTTCCGACCTCTTCATCCATATTGACGATGTCGGAAAACGAGTTTGACAACTCGCGCTTGGCAGATTCAACAAGCGCTGCTGTGAACATTCCTGAGTTTCGTACCGCTGGAGACGACAAAATCCTTCAGGACAAGGGGTTTGACGGAGCATTCCTCACCATCTCTTCCGTGCCGAGATCTACTCTTCCTGAGTATACCTTATACAAGCGGCGGTTCATTGCTTTGGCTCAGCTGTCGTTGCTCAACATCATCGTATCGTGGTGCTGGCTCACCTTTAGTGCATCATCCACTACTACTGCCCAGTATTTCGGTACCAGCGAATCCAACGTGAACTGGCTGTCAACGGGATTTCTATTCGCCTTCGTCGCAGCAAGCCCGGCAACATTATGGACGCTTAACCGAGGTCCTAAGCCTGCCATGTTGACTGCAAGCGTCTTACTAATTGTGGGAGTATGGATCCGATACGGCGCTGCGCGTCTTGGCCAAAGGGATTCCTCCGCTTTCGGTTTGCTCGTCTTTGGACAAGTAATCATCGGATTGGCCCAACCATTTGTGCTGATCGCACCGACGAGATTCAGTCACCTGTGGTTCTCCGAAAAGGGCAGGATAACGGCAACAGCTGTCGCCAGTCTAGCTAACCCTCTCGGAGGAGCCGTGCGTTGTCAGATCTGGGATACGGCTAACGCGATTAGTTGGCCCAGCTGATTGGACCCCTCATCTTGACAGACCCAAGCAAGACCCCTCAGCTAGTACTTTACGTGGCGATCATTGTGAGTCGTCAGTGGTACCTTGCTGAGTCTAGACGTCGGCTATCTGCAGTCTGACTATCTGGGTTCCAGCGGCTCCTCCGACACCCCCCTCTGCTTCATCCATCATACAGTCGGATCCCTTAACCTTGACCGCGGTGAAGACCACGTTGCGAAACTCATCTTTCCACCTGCTGGTATGGGCATTCATGGTCTACGTGTCAGCCTTCAACGCCACTTCCTCACTGTTGAACCAGATTCTCGAGCCGTACGGATACACGGAAAACGAGGCAGGAATCGATGGTGCGGTGCTCATCGCTGTAGGCTTGGTTTCCTCCGCCATTGCCTCACCCGTCATTGATCGATTCCCTCGACTGCGCCTTCCCGTCATCAAGATTTGCGTCTTTCTCATAGGTAGCATGTACCTCGCTCTCATCTTCGTTCCTGCAACTCGGACAATGGCAGCGCCATACGCCGTATCAGCCATTATTGGATCGGCATCGTTCATCATTCTCCCTCTGGCTCTTGAAATGATGGTGGACGCTTGCCATCCTATCGGACCAGAACTAAGCAGCACAATAGCCTGGGCTGTTAGTCAACTTGGCGGAGGGATTTTCATCGTTGTCATGAACGCGTTGAAAGCGGGTCCCAACGCGTCGCCGCCGTACACCATGAGATATGCTTTAGTGTTTCAAGCCGCAATCGCGTGGGTCGTGCTTCCACTTCCGATGATGCTCGGCGTCCCTAGATTCAAAATAGTGTAGAGACTTTTGTATGCATGGTTGTAAGATCTGCCGGATCTTCGGGGAACGAAGGCTTGCAGAGTTGTGCGGTTCAAGTGAGGCCAACTCATTCCCTATGGGTCATCCAAGCTGTGGGGTGGTGATCAGGACCCTTTCGTCCCAGAGCATCTGCTCGGTTTCCAACTTCGATAATGACTGGACACTTGCCACAGCTACGCCTAGCTCACTGTCGCCCTGACCTGAGTTGGGGTCAAACCCGCTTGCTAGCTTGTGCAGCACTGACCGAAGTAAAGAAACCACTTGCCCTTGAATCGCACGAGCCGTTCGCTGAAAACTACCTGATCAACCTGTCCTTCTTCCTCATTCTGCTGATCCGGTAGCAATATTGACAGCAGTTGGATTATAAACATAGGCGGACTCCCAATCATGTGATGGCTCGGGGGTCAGGATGGGATTGCCAGAGTACGGAAATACGGGAGGGATATAGTTCTGGTCACCGAGTGTGGTATTCGGTCGTATTACGAATGGCAAATCCGAGCTCGAGCGGGAATTGACAGCACCGATGGAAGAAACGCAGAATATTGCTGCGAAGAAAGTAGTATACAGCATTTGAATACGCATGACTGAAGATCTGGGTGGTCGGGATGAGATCGCGGCACTCTCTATGTGTAAGCGGGGAGACCTCGGTAACGGGCTATCAGGGCCCCAACATACTTCAGATCAGAGTGGTATCGGCCCCGCGGGGCAAATGTCTTGGCTGTCGTCATACCTAGCAATCTTTCTCAATGATATGAACATGCATGCAGGAGGTGCTAGATCCCGTCAGCGACGCATGAGCGTCGCCACTGACTCGCAATTCTCTCTGTCCAGTAGCCCGTCGATCACTGCGATTCTGAAGCTACGTGTCAAGGTCATCCCTTTCGGGATCTCGACCCGGTCCTTCCAGGCTACCGCCGAGCCCAAGCCTGGATAAGCTTGCTCTCTTACGATCCATGGATCTTTCGAGCTCGTGGAGTCGCCAGCGATGAGGACCAGAGTGGCATCGCCGCACGCGCCTGGACGTCCCTGAAAGCGAGCGGACCATGCGATCCAGGAGCTGGTCGAACCGTGGGCGGTCTCTTCCCCCTCGCCATCTGCCGAGAGGATCCTAATGTTTGAGCACCGTGGGAGTCGCCAGTTGAAGCCTCCATAGCCTGCGTTTACCCTCCCATTTGTTCCCGGGCTTCCAAGAGAGACGTCTCCACTGACGGCCTCCAGACGTGTCTCGAACAACAACTCCCAGCCGTGGAACCCTCTCAGCTCCTCCCACTCCAAGCGTCTATGTTCACGAAGCCGAAGAGAATCCCCTGGATCCCTCCAAGCCAGGGTCTGAAGCAGCTTAGACCCCTCGCGATAGGACGACTCGAGTTCTTGTCGTCCGTGGTTGTTCAACATGACATACCCTTTGCCATGGACGTAGGTACCTCCTCCCCAGAAGCTAACACCATCCACATCTGGCACGGCAAAACTGACCCCAAGATGCCAGTCGTGGTCAGATGGCCGAGTTGCAGTGACCTCCACTCCACCAATTGAGGTGACAGGGTGAAGATAGGGTCGAGCCGATGAGGAGGGAGGTGTTCCTTTGCCATCCTGTATTTGGAATATAATTCGGTCTCCGAGGCTCGCCTCAAAAACTGGCTTGTCGGTATGGCTGAAAGCCCAAGGCGTACCCACGGTAGACAGTAGACTGTCGGCATCAGCGGCTTTGCGGATCCACTCCTCGACCCTTTCAATGACAGGATAGCTCTCATCAGCTGCGCCATGGACCGTGACGTATCGTCTCTCGATGTGATGGGGCTCTCCTGACAGACGAATGGCATCCAGGACTCGCATGTATGCACCTGAAGATATGAGGGGCGATAACAACGGGGTGCCCTTTTCCAGGTGATCCAAAAGGTTTTCCGTTAGGTCGGTCCTTCCAAATTTGCTCAAGTGACCGGTGCCGTCGAGGGTCAATTGGACATCGTCGGTGGTATACTCGAACACGGCAGTTCCGCGCTCGCCTACCACCTCGATCACTGGAGAGACCTGCTCACTCGCACACAAAGTGAGACCAGCGGTGATGATAGGTCCCTGTCTCAACGTGATTCGTATCGATATCGTGTCGTCCGAATCTACAGGATTCGCTCTATAGCCTTCGACCTGGACATCTAAGACATCATCGACTCTTCGGGCACCAGCTATACGCAAGCCAGTCACGACAGCATGGGAAAGTGCGTTGGTAGCAACACCGTCCATGACCCAAACGTTGTCCAAGCTTCGCTTGCCCACCCAAGGCGAGCGATTCCAATAGGCTTTCTTCCTCAACCACAGCCCCATGGCTCGTACAGCTTTGATATGACCGATTTTCATCTCGTCCGCGTCAAATGCCTCAAGAGCGGTCGACCCAAGACTCTGGAACCCGACTTGAACCGCAAGACCTGTTTCACGTTGAACGCAAAGCAGATGCTCGAAGTCGGCCATGCAGGCGAACGGTGGCTTCTCCAGATAGACATTTGCGCCGGCTAGCAAAGCCTCCTTGGCGATGAGAGCGTGGATGTGGATGGGAGTGGATACAATGACAATGTTCGGGACACCCACGCTCTCTACGGCTTCGGTCAAGGTGTTGAATAACGGCGCATCCTGAGGGATGTCTTGGCTGCCAGCGTCAGACTGCCTTTTGACAGCTGGATCGACCAAAGCTATGAGCTGACAGCGTCCAGCGGCATTGAGACGACGTTGATTGGCAAGATGCCACGAACCGAAGCCGGCAGCTCCTACCAGAATTACGGAAGCGACCATGATGTTGTACAGGAGTAGTGAGCAACAGTCGCTCGGTCTTATGATATTCCAGGGGCCCGGAGATCCCGGCACGAGCGGGCCGGTATCGGATTGTGACGTGGCAATGTATGTCTTTCATGTTCCTGACAAAAAGCCGAATGCGGTTGTCTGCATATATCCGAAAACTGTCAATAGTGAAAAAAGCTCATCAGCCCATTCAACTGTGCATATAGTTGTTGATCTCACAGCGACATTGTAAGGTCTCGCTCAAGTTCCCACAACGATGGCGATTCAGGCGATGCATCCCTTTCTGGCTCCCCCTCCGAATGGAGGTCTTGCCTCGATGGGCGCATATGTGAGTCAGGCTCTTCCTCCTATCTCCACCCCTGCTGTCGACTCCAGATATTGTGCTGACGAGCTGCTCGTTGGTCAGGATGAGGGCGCCTCATTTGGAACATGGTGTGGAAAGTATTATCGTGCGTCTCATCGGCCATATGAACGCTGATAGGACAGAGGTCGGTGCGCCTCAGCCCACTGCCAGGCCAGAAGGCAGTCTCTTCGACTATCCACCAAAATCCGAGCAGCCGTTGTTCGACTTCCAATGCACAACCAAGTCTTCGATTTATATCGAAGGGGACGACCATTATGACCCTCCAATGATCTTGGTTGATACCAATATCACGCATGACATCGGTCAACCTTGTGAGGTCGTTCCCATAAATCAATCTGACGAGTTGTAGACCACAGCGACTGGTCCTCTAAAGTCCGCGTAGATGTTTGGGTCGACAATGATCACTACCTTGGGGGCGATGATTTCGTCATGAATACTCTGGGAAATCTCATCCCTTTCAACGTCTCGTCCTTGAAAGCCGGGTCGACTAAACACAATCTCACCTGCAAAGCCCAGGTCCATGGACAGGTCTATTACACTACCTCAACGCTGACATATCTGCCGCCAAATCCATACGGCGGGAACACGGTGAAAATCGATCGCAAAACTCAGGCATTGTTGGTCCGAAACGAAACGAGCGGGGACAAGGCTTGGCAGACTTTGATTCCTTTCGGATACTACGACGTAAATGGGTCGTTCCGCAACACGCTGACAGACAGAGCTATAACACCTCAACCAGCCTTCAGGTCTGTGGTAACAGCAGCAATTGTGGCGAAGACGTGAGCATGGTGCCGAGCTCCCAGACTGACAGGCAGGCAAGAAGCGACACTTTGAATCGGCTCCGAATGGCCAAGGATCTCGGCTTCAATCTTGTTCACACCGTTCCCCCTGGAGGATTTTACCCTTACACCTTTGATGCTGAAGCCACGGCTCAATTCGAGGAATACATCTCGACTGCCGAGTCGTTGGGTCTTTACATCCAGTACGACATGCGTAACTCGTTCAAAAACCTCTCTTCAGTTGCCTACCAGATCGACTACCTGCGCAATCGCTCAAACATCTTGCTGTGGTATTCCGGGGACGAGCCTGACGGTGCTGTGGGTGAGTTTGTGGGGAGCTGACACAGCTGATACAAGACCCCATCGATTCTACCAAGCTGGCTTACGAAACCATCTATACCCACGATGGATACCACCCAGTCTCGCTCGGTAAGGGAGGTGCCCAGAGTCCCACTGACCGTCTAGTACTCAATTGCGAGAATTACTTCTTTGAGGAGTACGCTCTACAAGGTAGTGATATCATCATGGTCGATCCGTATTCGATAGCTCTGAACGCCGCATGGTCCAAGACATATGTGAGTATGATGAGCGTGCCCGGCTGATCGGTGTGCGCAGAACACAATCGTGACTGAGAACTTTGGTGTATCTGGCTGTGACGGCTGCGTGGGTAACTTCTATGACATCTCCAACCGGGTCGAGGCCTCACGAGATCGAGCTCGTCTCCGAGGTCAGTGGAGGAATAAACCTACTTGGATTGTCCCGCAGTCGTTTGACGACGCCCAGCTCGTACGTCTTTTCCCAGAGATTCCCTTCATCTTACATGCTTCAGGAATTTTGGTACCGCGCGCCGTACGGCTCGGAGAATGCCTGTAACAATATCTTGGGCTGGAACCACGGAGCACAAGGGTCTGTTGCCTGGAATTCGCAGTACAGCACCCAAGAGCTCCTGCGAGTGAGTCAAGTGCTCGTGAGGCATGCTAATCTATAAAGAACTCGTCGGCGATTGCCCATCTCGTATTCAGTCAGCGTCGTTTCCTTCTCGAGGCGTACGAGACCCGTCGACAGATTCTCTCGGATCAACCTTATCCTGGCATGAACGGTATAGACATTGCTTCTTGGACCATAGAAGACATAAACGGCACTGGCAAGACCGAAAGATTGATCATGGCAGTCAATGCACAGTACGGACGCGGTGAGGAGTCGTGGACTTTTGGTCTGCAAGACTTTTTGGGTACTGTAAAAGAGGTTCTATACGGCAACGTGGCCAAGGGACCTAACGGGGAACCGGTCTTTATGTTGCCAAGGACTAGTGTGGCAGCGGTCATCCTGGAAGAGTGAAAACGGTCATACATTCTATAGCCTTTTATAATCGCCTGCAGATAACTCACGCACGCACACTAAGCTTTCCAGAGTATGCAGAGTGATGCGTGCCATGGTGGTGTTGCCATTGCTACTGATCTGCAAAGTTCTCATTGCTTCTCAGAAGTTCTCAAGAATATGCAGCGAGCGTCACTTGCTGAGCTTCACATCGTGCTTCAGATATCACCCATTAGTCAGTAAAAACCGGCATTGCATTGTAGAGCCAGAGCCCCGTGCGATTCTTGCCGCGATTCAACAAGATGCAAGCGGTATATCACATAAAGTGGGGAAGCCCTGGAGCCCGCCATGGAGGAAGAGATATGCAACGTAGATTACGCCTCGCTTCACCTTATCCGTCTGAACTTCTCGAAGGCATCCAGGTCGACTGCGTTGCCCATGGCCAATAGTCCAGCAGCAGAAGGATGGAGATAATCAAGTCCTCCGAAAGCTGTCTGCAGACGTTGCGGGTGCTGAGGATCTCTGGTGGCGGCGTCAAAGTCAAAAACAAAGTCATAGTCTGCCTCTGTTCTGATCCAGTGGTTGATTTTTTGCCTGGTAGCCTCCCTAACTGGGTCATCAGACGGTCTGGCGCCGTGCAAAGGTGGGGGAAGGGTGTAGTTGGGCGGAGTCAGGAACGGAGTGATTGTGGCGCCGAAAATTGGGATGCCGGCTTCGTGAGCTCTGTCAATTAGTTGAGAGTGTGCGAGTCTGATGCGAGTATAAGCTTGATCTTGAGCTTCAGTCGTGTTTGCATGATACTGGATATCGTTGATACCCATGAGGAGGACCACATACTCCACACCTGGTCTTGATATGACGTCGCGATCGAATCGAAGGATGCCACCTCCATAAACGGTGTCACCAGAGATCCCCGCATTGATCATGCCGATCGTCCTTAGTGACTCTGTCGATGAGGATAGCAGCCGCTGGGCGAGTCTGTCGGTCCACCCGTGATATTCATTGATCGGTAATTCGCCCTGTCCCTGGTCTGTGATACTGTCGCCGAAGCAGACGACCGCTCGATGTTCGTTGGGCAGATAGGCTTCGATCGATGAGACATAGTACCAGCGTCTAAACTCCGTTGCACTTGAGACGTCAAAGCTGGGGACGTCGAGAAGATTTCCAAAATCCATCCAAGACATGGACTTTGCTCCTTCATGTCCAGGAGCCCAGTCACCGGCGGCTCCCTCCGCGAAATATAAGGATACCGATATGTCTCCGAGCTCTTCCAGGTCGAGGTTGACAGGATCGGAGAGAATAGAGGCCCCCTTCGGGATGTCTACAGATTCAGAGCCAGCGAATGTTAGGCGAACCGACGAGTTTGGGTTGATTGCAGGACTGCCTGGGAAGTGATCGTGATATTTGGCAGGTAGGGCCACGGATGCGCCAGATACGCTCAACTCCTCGGAGCTCCACTCGTTAGAGATCCGGACCCGAATGAGCTCAGATGCGAAGGATGTTCTGAACGTCTGTCTGATCGTTGTATTGACAAAGAGGCGAGGCGTAGGGTTTCGGGGAAAGGCTTTGTGCTCCGGAAAGTTCAGGTGGGGTGTATGTCCCCAGTAAGCCGTCTCCCAGATATCGACCCAACGCTTTGACACCGGATTGGTAGAGTACATCACTGGTGTAGAGAGGACGTGGAGACCCAGGATCCACACCAGTACGTTTTGAATCAAAGCCAGGGGGTTCATGAGTCGAGTTGTGATGTCAGTTGTAGGATTGACTTACCCGACTTTTTATTATGGATCAAATCCGACGGGCGGAAAATCAGCCGGATTTCCGGTAGATTTTCTTGTCAAGCCAACCTGGGCCTTTTGGCCTTTACAGATCCCATGCGCCGTATGCTGGACCCAGCGACTGGTAAAGAAACGCGCTCACAGCGGTACAGGTATCTCTGGGATGTCCCAAGAAAATCGCAAAGATCAATGAAACGAGTGAGCTGAATTATGGGATGCATAAGATATCGCGGGCCGCACGCAAGTCAGGCAGTAGACAATCTCAAATATACCACGACGAACCAGAAACCCGATCAGACCTCCTCCTGGGTAGCAGCCTGTCCAACGTGCTTCGTGCCAGCAGCGATGTGAGCCTTCTCGTCCGGAGCAACGGCGCTTCCGACCTTGATGGGCAGGTGTGCGCCATCGGCAGTGAGACCCATCTCGCTGGCAAAGGTAGCGTGAGGAGTCCATCCAGCAGACCTTCGGGGACTGGGAGAGCTGTTAGTGACCCTTCAAGAATGGGCATATGACACTCACGAGCCACATTCCTCCATCATTCGGTCGACTTGCTCCAAAGTCAATCCTTTGGTCTCCCAGACGAAAAGATAGGTGTACTGCTCGAATCAGGACTGTTCTTGACGACAGAGGAAGAGTGTTTGACTTACGACTATGCAACAGCAGCAGAGACTGCCCCACAGGAAGAACACTTTCGACTTCAGATCACCCTTCGTGGGCGAGACAAGGTAAGGAGTGATGACTGTGATGATGGTGTTCCACAACCAGTTTGACGAGGCCGATAGAGCGACTCCACGGGCTCGGATCGGGATGGGGAAAATTTCTCCGACCACAACCCATGCACCGGGACCCCAGGTTGACTGTGAAGGCTCAGTCACAGTCCATGCGAGAGACGGGAGCGACTCACGGCAAAGAAGGAGATGTAGATGCAGATGAAGGCGATCTGAGCCTTGACGACACTGTCCGATTGACTGACGGTTCCGGAGATGGCACAGATGAACTCGCAAACAGCCATACCGATGGCCCCCCAGAAGAGAATTGCCCGTCGACCGAAACGCTCAATGGTCCAGAAGCTAAGAAAAGGGTAGGTCAGCTGCGGGTTTTATTGTTTTCGAACCCCATTCAGGGCAGCCCAACTCACGAGATAGGGGTAGAGCACACATTGACGAGCGTGGTGATGAGGGAGATCAAGAAGGGGTTGCTGATCGTTCCCAAGGAGGTGAAGAAAACGGTACCAAAGTACTAATTGCAGGTCAGCCACAAAATCCGCCACAAGTGCCACAAATGCGCCTCACGAAGATAAAGTTGACTCCGGTCCATTGTTGCATCATCTGCATCGAAGTTCCGAGAATGGTTCGTCGCAAGTTGGATTGAGGGTTGAAGACAGAGCCACGGAAGCAAGCGAACCAAGACTCGAAGTAGTTGCCTTGAGGGATGAGCTCAGTTTCGTACTCGTGATTGGCGATGATCTCGGCAAGTTCATCTTGAACAAAGTCTGAGTCGGTGGGCTGTCCTCGAACAATGGAGAGAGATCGAGCGGCGGCATCGACACGTCCTCGCTTGACGTACCATCGAGGTGATTCGGGAAGGAAGAAGAGTCCCGAGGCAAGGATAATAGCCCAGAGGAATTGGACACCGATGGGGATTCGGTAAGATCCGGTATCCATTCGGTCTTTGCTCGAGTAGACGACACAGTTGGCGAGCAAAATTCCGATGGTGATGCAGAACTGGTAGCCAGACACAATGGCACCTCGGACCTTTCGAGGGGCGATTTCAGAAAGGTAAAGAATAATGATGGCAGAGATGAATCCGACACCGAATCCAGCAACAAGTCGACCAGCGACAAACTGCATAGATCAGCATAGCACCGCGATTTGATCAAATCGGCTCACAAGTCCCAAGCCGGAGGAAGAGGCGGTCTGGAGAACACATCCAAGGGAGAAAACGGCACATCCGCTGATGATGGTAATTCGCCTTCCAAAGTAATCCGCAAAGTCACCGGCCATCAAGGCTCCGAAGAAGGTACCAGCGGAGAGGATAGAGGTCATGAGGGACTGCTTCCAGGCAGGAATTTCAAAGTTGGCGTCGCCGGGCTTGAGACCAGTGTGCAGCTCGATGAAGTAGGGCATGGCTGGAACATAAGTTGGAATCCTCTGGGGCTGAATGGTAACTTACCGAGAACACCTCCCATCCAACCAGTGTCGTAACCGAAAAAGATACCTCCGAAGGAGGCGAAGACACAGAGGAAGTATGCTTTCGCCGTAATCGGAGCCTCGACTCGGTCGGGGTTCGACGTGGCGTGCATGACAACGGCACCGCCTGGCACTGATGAGAGACGTGATCAGCTCGGAGACAGTCGTCGATAAGAGATGAGCTTGACTTACTGTTGGGCTAAAAGGTGATGAGGGTAAGCGATGTGCGAAGGATGTTGTCCTTTGACTGGAGTGGCCAAAGAGGTGTGGATGGACCGTGCGAAGAGAGCGCGCTTCTCACACGGTAGATGGCTTATTATAAGATTTTTTGACTGGCGAAGTGTGTCTGACCTGATTACCCGGTGATCTGTGTAGTAACCTTTTTTTAGGTCGTGTGCCTTCTCTTCGCCAAGTCCAAGGCAGGGGGTGGCAGGCTGAAGCGACGGCTGGGGGGGAGAGAGGAGATGGGATTTGGCATTTTGGCTTCTGGCAATTGGCAATCAAAAATTGACATGCGGGTTGGGACTAACATTCGGGTGGGTCCCAAGGAGGGGGACGACGGGGATCGCGGAGGTAATAGACAACGTGTGGCGGATAGCACCAGTATGACAGAGGAGGCGGGAGGGATTCCCAAGGGGGCGGCGGGGGAGGTGTGTTTGTCTGAACACGACGTCCTCGTGTGTTTGTGCCATTCTGCGCCTCCATCCGGTCAATGCTCTATTCAGGTTAGCCGGTTACTACCATTTTTTTTAGCGTGTCGCACATGGTTCGACTGTGTGGGCGGGACGAGCACAAGGTTTTTTCCATCTGGGCAAGTCTCGATTCGGAAGATGTCGGGAGCTGCACAGCGGAGGGTGCCAGCGGCGATGTGACAATAGGGTCGCGATCGAGGTGGAGCATACGACCTGGGAACTATGCAAGTCCTGGGCATCTACTATTTGCAACCGAATGTCTGTCTCGGCCGGAACCACGGCATCAAAAGGAATTATTTTCGACAGGTCGACAGACCAATTCCCGTAAAAGACGGAGAGTGTGACTCTCGAGCGTGGGAAAAATGAAAGACTAATGCGACCGTGAGAGACTGAAGCTGAACTGCCACAATCACGTGGCTGAGATCTTCAAATCCATGAATGTGGCACTTCCCACCTCCGCTCTAGGGCGCCGCCGAGTCCCCGACAGCCCATTGTCGGAGTTGTGAATGTGAAATGAGGGGTCGCGTCGTGCATGCACAAGTGCTTCATGTCGGCAGATCAGTGCATCAAGGGCCACTTGATGTCCCAAGGGAGACCCCTCATGGCCAGCATCCTCTGTTTCCTCAGCCCTTCTGCAACTCTCCAAGCGATGAAATGTCCAGTATCAACCGAGATTTCACCGAACGCTTCTGCTAAAAGGTTGGCCAAGATAAGCATCACTAGTCTTTCTTCCTTGTTCAATCTGCATGACGTCGCCCATTTGAGGCATATGATGAGATAATCTAGTCTAGACTGTGGCTCAATCGGACATTGGATCACATTCAATTGGACATGATCTAAACCATCTACGAGGCCATGAGGTGAAGCTTGGGCAGATGCCTTGGATCTGATACGAATCCACCCCAAAATTCGTCGTTTATCCGACCATTATGCTGCCCCTCATTCGTGCATGGACACGACAACCTTTGCAGGTATCCATCGAACTATATCAATCTCCGGTCATTCTCTACGACCAAGCAGATGAGACCTCGTCCTCCGACATACCTGGTGGAGCTGTAAATCATATAGGTGCATCCATCTCACTCTCCAGCGAGACCGAGGTCGCCATTGGGGGTGTCACTTTGATCAGGCAGGTCCTGCTCAGGAGAAAGAAACCCAAAGTGAAGGAATGGACAGAATGGGTGGAGCTTCAACGAGCCGAGTTCGCCGTCATGGGGGAGTACAAGCTAAATGGCAAGCACAAGTAAGTATCTTTGCGCGCAATCTGTCGACTGATATTGACATCGCAGGACCGACGCTTACATACCCGTTCCTTGGCGCTTACCCGAAACTAGACACACAACATTTGACCAGATCGTCCACTTGCTGACCGCCATCGTGCACGACCTATCTCCATTGTACACACCTGTGACTGCCGATCCCAGTCGCTTGGATTTGAGTGAAGACATGGACGACTCGCTTGCTTCGGTCCGTCGTCCGCGCAAAGGCGTCTTGGCATTGTGCCACTTGCCGATCGACATTGTGCATTGTCCCTCTCTTCGAGGAGACACGCCTCAGCTAGAAGGCGAACAGATTGTACGACTCAGTGATTCTGGCAAGGTCAGCATCAAAGCGGCTAGCCGGCTTTTTGTTCTCGGCTCCAATGTCGATATCTCCCTCGATTTTGAAAACCTGACTCAAGATACGACGATCCATGCCATCTCTGTAATTCTCATTCAAGAAACTTTTACTCCGCCTCAAGAAGCTCTTCCAGATCTGAGCAGACCGACAAACATAGATTCCGATGAGACACCTGCACCGTCCGAGGCAGAGGACGTCTCGCCGGCAACAAGAGGCCGCCGACGGAGGCGTCCGATGCTCACTCGTCTGTCTAACATTTGGGCACAATTCAAGGAAAAGCCAGCGCTACCTCAGTCCTCTGTCATTGACGAGTACGCATTGATCAGTGAAGGTGTCCAGTCGACGCTGCATGGCCACGGCTCCTCGGCCATGAATGGATTTCTATGGCGTGGCGCAGCCGGTCGCATCCTCGATGCTAGACGAACCAGTGAATCTGACGTTTACATCGACGATTCCAAAACTCAACACGTCGAAGAGCCTGGACACGCTGCCTCGGACTTCATGGAACGTACCACGACCACATTTCGCTTTCATCGTCGAATCAGACTGCCCTCAGAGGTCAACGGAGCGCATCATTCGACATCGACCATGTCATCTGTTCTGGCCAAGGTTGGGCACCGTCTAGTCGTGGACATCATCTACTCTGTCCTGGGTCAGGATGAGTTGGGACGCAAAGCCTCACAAGTCGAGGGATCAATGAGACGCTTGACGACAAAATTTGAGATTGACCTTCCACCGTGTGGCTTGACCCCGTCGTCTCTCCAACCACCGTCTTACCGCACAACTCGGGTCATGCAACGACCTTCTCCACGTCTGGCATTAAGACGCCTTCCTTCGACAACGCCTTCGTATCACTCAATGGAGCACTCACCAACGAGACATACCGCTATCACATTCGCGCCTGCTCCGACCATGTCTCGACTAGAAAGGCACTTGTCGGCCACGTCACAGACCACCGCACGATCCATCGATGACGTGATATGGCACATTGAAGAGATTGCTCATTCACGCGCGTTCAGAGCGAGTAACGGTCGGGTCATCGCTCCGAAACGAGTCTTTTATTCTGAGAGCGACATCAAGACTGCAGCAGCCAGACACAAGAAGGAGAGGGGCCATTGCGCCTGCTCCTTATCATGAAGTACACGACAATGATTCGCTTTGGGACCAAGGATTTGGAGATTGTTTGTACATACGCACAGGAGTACGATCTTTCCATGTATGCATCGCAAGTGTTCACGCTCAGCGCCAAATGCACCATTGACAGTCCCCAATGATACCAGCCTGACCAGCCGTCCTGGCCTAAAGATTATGCTGCATTTTCAACGACTTGTAGACTCTAGGCAGACGAAGGCTTTCCGTTCATAATGATAAATGCCCACGAGTGGTTGCGAAGGGTCCGCTTGGCACCCTGTTCATTCCATTCCTTAGCCGAAAGCTTTGTGACATCGGGTTTGATAAGCTCTGGTTGCATCCACGTGTTCTGCGGCATTGATTTAGCGTTTCATGCTGGACGAACACAACTCACCGCGGAATCTAGATTTTCCGTGAAGATCTCATGAATCTCCACGTCGTTGATTTCTGAACGGGTCAGAGGTGATGTGTATTTGAGAACCTACCGATGGAGTTTATGTCCAACACTGCATCCCATTGCGCGGAGGGATGACGGTTGAGCAAGCTGATTCGAATGCTGACGTCCTTGTTCTGTCCCGTGACAGCGACGGCTACAGCGTCAATGTATGAAGGTCGAAGTCCAAGAATCTGAGTGCTCTCGGGATGGTTCGGTCCATCACTGGGAAGGATCAGCCTTGTTCAAGATGATCCACTCACTATACATCTTTGAACGGCGCCATGCTCAAGACATGGCCATCCTTCATGTAGTTGCTGAAGAGTTTGAACCTGGTGGGTCAGCGCTGCATTATTACAGTGGCCTCACGGGAAGTAGATCGACTGGTACAAGATGCCATCGGCATTGCAGATGATGGGCGCGATCTGATGGTGAGCTACAGGCGTGAACGAGTACACTTACATCATTGACACTCTGTGCCAGGCAGGCCATCGGGCAGTCCTTCGATTGGCGCACCAAGAGATTCATCCACGCACAGAATCCAAGCATGTCGGTATATGTATAAATTTGCTCGTTACCCTCGGTCGGTTTCGCAACGACTGGATCCCACACATTATACTGCAAATCGTCAGCTTCAATGTCCGCTCATAAAACTCACCTCGTCGAAACAGATCTTGATGTCTCGAGGCTTCTTGCCATTTGCGCACTGCTCCACGTTGGCAATGTCGATAAGCGCTTTGCAATTCTGTATGTTTCTTTCCCCAGCCTGTACGCCATCAGCTAGAGCAGCGTATTCCCACTCACAGCCGGACCGAAGACGTTCGCCTCGTAAGGATAGTTGACGGCCAGAGCATTGTCTCGGTATCCAATCATCGAGCTGGACAGAGGTTAGAGCAACAAAGGCCGCAGAAACGTACTAAAGATGGATAGAGTGCATGTCGATCACATCGAGGCATTTTTGAAGCACCTCACGATCCCAGTCATTGGATCCCTGCCTGGTCAACGGGGCGCGCAGGCATTCCTCACCTCCTTGCCACAAGAAACGAGCTGGATAGTTGGGTCCAAAAGTTTGAGTGCGTGTCCCCAGCGTCTAGCCTTTTCGGCGTATCTGAACTGTCAGCAAAAGCAGGACACATCAACCCACCTATCCGCTGTGAGGTGACCAACTTGCCAGGTTCCCCACACTGAGTGTCAGACGGGCATTGGACTGGCTAAACCCACTTTCATTGCCAAGACCCCAGAGTTTGACGTTGTGAGGCTCCTCCCGACCAGTATTCTTTCGACGCTCGTTGGCCCAGCTGTAATCGTCAGCACTGGAAAGCTAAAGTCGGGACATACTAGGTGTCTCCAGTACCGTTGCAGTATTCGAGCCAGTCGAGAGCATCCTCCAGGGATCCCGTACCCACTGTGCCGCGTCAGACATTGATACTAGTCCGCGACTCACTGTTGACGCATAGGTATGGCTCGCAGCCACTCTCTCTGCACCAGTCAATAAATTCATCGGTACCGAAGCTGGACCAAGTCAGTCTTCTACCCATCGCTACGCGCTCACAGATTGGACTCGATCGTCTGCCATGCCAGCTCCCTCCTCTTCCTTCGATTCTCGACAGGACCGACTGCCTCTTTCCAGAAATAATTGGACACAAAATTGCCTCCAGGATATCGCATCATGGGGCATTCGAGGTCCCCTTTCTTACCCCAGACTTTCAAGACATCCTTCCTCAGACCCAGTCGTTTCTTGCCAGTGCCGCCGGGGTAGTCTCCTTGGTCAAGCAGCAATGACTTGGAGGCAGGCTCATTAGGGTCATCACATACACCGCCGTAAATGCATCTTCCGAGATGTTCGATGAAGCCTGAATAGAGCAAGGACGAGACTGGGGCAGCCTCGGGATGCTGCAGGAGCCGGTGGTCCAGAACGATCGGCTGAGGAGTCAACTCTTTAGGGTGATTAGGTTTGGTCGAGAGGACCCGCTCAGTAGGAGCAAGCGTATCGAGGATGCTCATGATGTGTTTTCAGATTGCTAAGTGACAATAGGTTGTTCACTGTGAACCTCCTCGGTGGATAAAGTCATTTCAGTTGGAACTCCCTTTCAGCCGAGATTGATAGTCTCCGGCCCGGCATTCCGCCGAAACGAATGGCCGGCTGCAGCCGTAGCAGGAGACTGGTTGATTTTCCCGGCTGTTGCAAAGACTGCAGGGAGGCCACACCATGCTTCACCTGCCTGTGTCGGACATTGGACCTGATGACGTGCCTGCAGAGCAGCTGGCGCTACCTGACTCCGAGAGAGTCACGGCAAAGACACGGCATGGGCCCATCTTGGGAGGTCGTGTAAAGAATGGCGTACAGGTGTTCCTGAGTGAGGTCTTGGTCAGGATCCCAGATCTGACGCCAGTTTAGACGTTCCGTATGGATTGGACGGCGGTCGCTTTGCAGATCCTCGGCCCTTACCAGAAGACTTTGTGTATGAAGAGGCTGATTATATCACGGATAGATTCTATGCACCTCCCCCCGACGTGTATCCTCCAGAGTCGGGTGGGTGGGCAAAAATACCAGAGCTGAAACTGCTGTAAGATCGCAAAAGTAGCGTAGGGCTAGGGAGGCCCACTGAATCCCCATTCTTCGCCAATATCTATGTTCCGTCTTCATATCGTCTCGGAGTAGACCCCGCCAGGCTACCGGTCAAGGTGGGCTCAGTACATGTGCCTGACTGACATTCAAGGTGTTCATTCACGGCGGTTTCCTCCAGGGAGGCAGTCCTTCAGGTAGCTCAACCTCACAGCAGTTCTTTGCTGCAGAACAGTGGAGCGAGATTCGAGTCTTGCTCGGCTACAGACTCGGTGTTCTTGGTTTCCTGGCCTCAAGTTCACCCAAGCTTGATGGCAACTGGGGCTTCAAAGACGCCTGGCTGGGTCTTGAGTGGATACAGAGGAACATACAAGCATTTGGAGGTGGGACGCTGACTGTTTCTCGTTTGCTGACTTTCAGGGGATCCCGGCAATGTTCATCTCTCAGGTCATAGCGCTGGAGCTCACCTCGTTCATAATCTGCTCCATCATGCTGCTCGGCTGGCGCCAATACAGGTGAGTCTTGACCTCGAATGCCTGACCAGTGTCCAGGCCCCTTTCAGAACTGCCACCCTGCTATCTAATGCACTGTATGAAGACCCCTTCACGCTGGAGGATCATCAGCCTCAATTCGAAGCTCTCTGCAGGAGGTGCGCAATTGACCCAACGGGAGCCAATATTCTGGATCAACTGAGGGACCGGAAGCGCCTGCCTATGGAAACGTTGTTCCAGCACGTTAGAGATCTCGGCCTGCAAAGTAGCTTCGTCCCTGCATCTGGCGGCTGGCTGTTCAACGACATGATGGGATACCAGCAGAGAGGCGATATGGCTAGGGAACTACTGAAAGCCGGCGTCAAGTGTATCATCGTTGGAGACGCGAGAGACGAGGTGGGCGTAAAGGCCTTCTCGCTTGCTGAACTATTCAGCTCGAAGGTTATAAGAATGCCCATGAGGTTTATTCCGAGTCTGACATCCTTCACAATCTGTACCGTTGGAACCGTCCCCAGAATGTCGATAAAATGTTTAAAACATGGCCTGCGTTGCCGGCAACAGCATCTCAGGAGCAGTTTCAACTACGCCTAGGAGATGTCAGTCGACTCGACCGAGCAATGGACTGATACTACGTAGTGCTTAGCCCAGAACCGGGTTCACCTACCCGTTCGACTCTTAGCCCAAGATTTCATCAAGGGCGGTATGCCTGTCATTCGATATACCGTCGAGATGGTAGCACAGAACCTGGAAACAAATGGTAAGCTGAGACGTCTGCTATATCCTGATCCACCCAGGTCTGGTGCCACATGGTTCAGACCTCGCACTCCATTTCCTCCGCTTGTCTGTCATCACAAAAAGGGAGATGCAAGTGGCTTTGGCCTTTCACGACGAGCTCCAGCGCTGTATTGACGAGGCGCTGAGTGGCAGAGGGGCGTACCGGCAGCGTGAGCTACGGTCCGTGCTAGCTTTGGAAAGCGATGGGGCCATCAGATGGAGGGACGATTGGCGATGGGAAAGGGTGGCAGAGCTCAGCAGGATAGTCCGAGACGGTACAGCTGCGTAAGGAGTGAGTGTCGAAGATGCATCTCATACCTCATGTAGATAAGTATATATGTCCTTGCTATTGCTGTTCTGGAGCATGATACATCCGCTCTACGATGGGACTTTCGTCCATTTAGAAGCCCAAAGACTCACGGAGATTGCTCTGAATGGATTTGGCAGTCCGCCACGACCAGCACACACGTTCTACTGCTCGGGGAAAACGCCGTTCAATTTTCGTCCTGCAAGGCAGTTTACCCGCACTCTTTTTAATTTTCGAAGCGAAACTTTGAAACTTTAACATTCTAAACATTCACTCACTTTATTCTGACGAGCATGGTTAATCTGTCGTATCAGGGAGCGGTTAACGCGCTGATCTCATGGCTGGCACTGGTCCTTCCAGGCGATGAAGAGGTCGCTGCCGTGAAATATCAAGCTCCGTCGCGTGTTCCAGCCTCGTGCCCGGATTACAATGACTACTCGCAAACACCTCATGGACCATACTCTGACGGCACTTTGGGTCTGCCCAGTATGCGCCCAGAGCCAGAATGCCGAACTTTCCACAGTGAAGCGATGGAGAGAGTCATCTCAGATATGAGAGAGCGATTGGAAGACCCCGATCTGGCCATGTTGTTCGAGAACTCCTTCTCGCAGACTATCGACACGACCGTGCAATACTTTGATGAGGAGAAGAACCTTGCTTTCATCGTCACTGGGGACATCACAGCACAGTGGCTTCGTGACACGTGAGTTTTCTCGTGCGACAAGCGAGGATGACAACTCACTGTTTTATACAGCGGAAACCAATTCGCCCATCTGTACCAGCTTCTGCCACATGACGAGAAACTCCAAGCGCTTGTCAAGGCAGTGATCAACACAGAGGCTCGATACATCCACCAGTTTCCTTACTGTGGTGAGTGAAGGATAGGTTGGGCAGTCAAGACGTCCTCTGACATGTATGCAGGAGCGTTCCAACCTCCTCCGGAATCGGGACTAGCTCCTACCTTCAACGTGAGTGCCTCCATGTTGCTCTCGCTCAAACTCAGGAATATGCGTACAAAGTCGATATCCACCCGTGAGTGTCTTATTTGCCTTTCTGTATCCGAACTGACGCCATTGCAAGTCCGGTTGACAACCAGACAGTCTTCGAGTGCAAGGTGAGTACCGTCCTGTCCCCAAGAGGTCAAAGGCTCATGCGTGCCGCAGTACGAGCTCGACTCGCTCGCCGGATTCCTCAAGATGGCCCACAGGTATTACAAATATACTTCGGACGACTCATTCATCAACGACAACTGTGCGTATTTCACCATCACCTGTGCTGACCTGCTTCAGTCAAAGCGGCGATGCACTCCATCATGACTTTGATCGAGCACGAATCCTTGCCAACATGGGATGATGATTTCAACGTGGTCAGCTTTTACAGTTTCACTGGTCTCCCAGGATCGCCATCTCCATCTGTCAAGAATGACGGAGTCGGAGAGCCTCGTGCTGGAAATGGTCTCGTCGCGACTCACCACCGACCCTCTGACGATCTCTGCGTTTACCCTTACATGACTAGTGACAATGCCATGCTAGCCGTGGAGTTGGAGAACATTGCTCAAGTGCTTGAGGCTACGGGAACCATGGAACACGTTGCAACCGCCGCCCAGGAACGAGCCAAGACCATCCGTGAAGCGATCTGGGCGCACACTATCACTCCCAGTGGCATCTTCGCCTACGAGACCGATGGATTCGGATCCATCTCCATCATGTCCGATGCAAATGTGCCGGATCTGGTGTCCCTGCCCTACATCGGTTTCCTCGACAGGAGTGACGAAACATACCAGCGTACGAAGGCGGCCATGTTCTCAAGGCAGAACCCTTACTATGGGGAAGGAGGCGGATTCAAAGGCTTCGGGTTGGTCGATGCGTAGGTAGAGTGAGCTGACACGTCCAGAGGACCTCACGCCGGTCTCGCTCATCCATGGCCTATGAGTCTGGTGTCTGGCATCTACGGCACGGATGACGACGAAGAAATCAAAGGCCGTCTTCAGATGCTTTTGAACAGCACAGCGGGTCTCGGACTGATCCACGAGAGTGTCAACATCCATGACATGAGCGATTTCACCAGGCCATGGGTAAGTCCGTTCTTCCGCCCCCTCCATTCTGACCTGCCTTTCAGTTCGCGTGGGCAAACAGCTACTTTGCGGAAATGATCCTCGACCTCGCAGAGCGGAAGCCACACTTGATCTTTGCGGATGCTCAACCATACGTACCGGGAACATCCTGGAACTGAGATCCAGACGACTCTCATAGAAATGCATCGGGATGAACTGAGACCCTCAGGCAGCACGTGAGCGTTCCGAGAGCCAACTCTCATCGTCTGCATCGCATCCATGAAAGGTACTTGAAGCCAGCAATGACTCGTCACCGAGGTTCTGTTCCTGAAGCCTGCCTCCTTGCGATAGCTGCACCAAGTTTCATGGTCGATACGGAGAGAGGTAAGGACATCCCTCCGCCCGAGTGGGTTCCTGTCCCAAAGCGGCCCGATTGACCGACGGCCTCTCGGCCGACTGCTGCGCGGTCTTTGAGTCTTCCGCGGACTCAAAGACCGCGCAGTACTGATGCTGCGGACCCCCTGGTTCACACAGCTCACACATCACGGCTCAGCGGTCCGAGCTGCATCAAAAACAATAAAAGACTCCCCGAGAATAGCTCGAGGCTGCACCCTATTCGGTCCGATGATCCCGAATGTTCGGGAACTTGGCGAATGCTATTCTAGGGCAGAACGAGTGACGCGCGAGACCGGAGAAAAGGGGATTTTCGGATATAATGCCTTCTACATCCCTAAAGGTATCGTTCCGGTGAGGGATGGAGTCACGGGCCGTGAGCTCCGTGGAGGCGATGGGGGCAAGGTCTGGGACTCCTCAGGGGGGTCTCACAAAAGTCATCATCTTTCTCACGCTCAATCGTCTTCTCTCTCTCAACGTTCAACTCATTCCGCGAACTCCAAACAACATGTCGGCAAAAGGACACGAACAAGTCGATCAGTTAGAAAAAGATATCCCGACTCACCAGGATGTGGTGGATGTCGAAGTCGCCGCTCCTAAATATGCGGCGAACACCCAGCTCGACGATGCTGCAAAGCTCCTTGCTGAGGCGGGAGGCCATGTAGAGTATACGCGAGCCGAAGGACGCCGTGTTCTACGCAAGATTGATCTCTACGTCTGTAAGTACCTTCTAGATGAGTGGCGTCAAGGAAAGAGATGTGGACAGCTAACGTGCTCAGGTTTGCCCATGTGCCTCGTCTATTTCATTCAGCAAATGGACAAGAGCAGTCTCTCTTGGTCCGCAGTCTTCTCCATTCAAGCGGAAGCTCATCTTGTTGGGGTTGAATACTCTTGGCTCAGTGTGTTCTTGCCAGATACTAGTCTCTGTTGAGAGGGCGAAACTCATATTCATCTCAAGGTAGCTGCGTCTACGTGGCGCAGCTCGTCTGCCAGCCCTTGTCGGCCTATGCTCTCATCGTTTTCCCCGTCAAATATTGGGTTGTCTTCAATTACGCGTGCTGTGAGACGATCCCACAACTTCAGGAGGTCATACTGACGATCATAAAGGGTCTATTGTCACCTGCTGTACTGCAGCTGCCCACAATTTTGCTTCCCTGTTGATCTGTCGGATCCTGCTAGGAGCGTTCGAGGCAACTATCCTGCCCTCATTTGTGAGTCGCGATTCTGCTTCGGTCGGCCAAAGCTCAAGCTTGAGACACAGATCCTGATCACTCAAGTGAGTCGACACTGCTTAAGCGCTACTATGTATGCGTACTAAATCTTTTGACAGATGTGGTGGATTCGACGAGAGCAGGTGCGTATTTCGGTGCCTCTCTTTACCAGGACTGACTTCCATGATTCTAGAGTTACCGAACGATCGCTTATCAGATCGCCAACTCCTGTGCTGGGCTCTTTGGCCCTTTGCTGTCCTACGCGGTTGGCAAAGCGGCGCAGAACAGCAACACGATCAAGTGAGTGGCATCATCGCTCTTCTACTGATGACCATCAGGCCTTACTCAGGGATCTTCTTATTCATGGGATGCATATCTCTTGGCTTCCTCCCCATTGTCTGGTTCCTGTGAGTGATAGCATCCCTCGACGAGCATCTCTTATCCTCCGCAGTCTTCCAAACTCGCCCACGACCGCCAAGTTTTTGAGACACGGAAACGATCGTCTGATCGCCATCGACCGATTGAAGGACAACAACACTGGTACCAAGGCTTCAAAGTTCAAATGGGACCAGTTCTGGGAGACTTACAGGGACCCAAAAACTTACATGTGAGCGATATGAAGCGCTTGATGGGCTTTCCGCTGACTAATCTATTCCTTCAGGTGGGCTGTGAGTGTGGAAGTCTCTTCATCACTTGCGAGCTTACACTCTGACCTTTAGGGCATGTGGTTCTGCGCGGCGACCCCAGCAAGTCTTTTGATTACATGACCGAACTTTCCTCCACTGACAGCATCTCAGTCCGGAGGTATTGGCGCTTTCGGTGGCCTGATCACAAAGGGTTTCGGTAAGTCTCGATGTGCGTTGCAGAGCAGCAGTCGTTGATCGTTCAGGTTTCAACACTTTCAACACGATCCTTATGCAAATGCCTCTCGGGGCTATTGGTATCATCATTCTCCTCACGGCGATCTACATCACCAACAAGATCAAGCTACGATGGCCCGTGCTGGCGTGAGCACGTTGCTCCTTGGTGTGGCGTGTCACTGATGGACGTGCCAGCGTTTTGACATTGTTCCCAATCGCCGGAGCAGTAGCTTTGACTCAGGTTCCTCGAGATGAGCCAGGCGCTTTGATGGCAGCGTATTACATCACTGCTTTCTTCACTGGCATCCGTGAGTTCTATCGAGTAGCTTTCAAATCTCTGACTGATCTTCATGTAGAGCCTTTGCTGATCTCCTGGTGGTAAGTCTGATATAAAGTACGACTCGGTCCGTAATCACACTCTGCTAGCAACCTGTCGGCAGGAGGAACGACGAAACGAGTCTGTACCACAGGCGAGTTTCTCGATTCTCGTTTGGAGTTGTGCTGACTCGACACAGCCACGTGAATCCTGCACCATATCGCGCTCTCAGAGATGATTACTGATTTACTTCCCTCAGCATGTTCGCTGCCCTCACAGTCGGTAATGTCGTTGGTCCCCAGGTTTACCTCGCGCGCGAGGCCCCAAAATACTTCACTGGGCTCTACGTCGATATGTGGGTCCCGATTCCTGCTGGGTTCATGAGCAGTTCCTGACGAGCCTTTACAGTGCATGCTGGTGTATCGAATTCATCCTCGTCGTGTCCATGGGATTCTACCTCGGCCGACTCAACAAGAGACAAGAGGAGAGACGCGTCGCAATGGGTCTGCCTCGAGACATCAAGGACATGTCGATCATGTCGACCGTCGAAGCTGAGGCGTACAAGGTTGAGCTCGCGGCCATGATGGCCAGTGCTGGACTATCGATCGACCAATTCAATCCTGCCTCATTCGACGATATGACAGACTTTGAGTGAGCCGTGTGCCCCTCCTCGCACACGAGATCGTCCAGGCGAACTGATCTCGCTCCAGGAACCCTTGGTTCATGTATGTCAAGTGAAGCACGATTGAGTGGACGATGGTCTCCCGAGTTGTTTATCTGTCATGAGGATGAAAAGTCTGTTTCATTTAGCAGGATGACCATTAATATAGAGACACTGTGCGAATCCCTGAGTGTCTATGCATGATCCGCTGCTTCGTTGTTGGCTGCTGCTGCTGCTGCTGCTGCCTCGACTACGCCACGCCACACTACGCCAGATTCATGTTCCGGGGCTACGGACGCGGACGCGGATTCCGGACTGGACTCGACGGAAAATCCTTCCGAAAATTTCAATCATGAACGACAACTGACTAGCTGGCGTCATATTTACATTCCTGCTTTTGGCAGGGGCTATTCCAACATGTCGACCAGTCCCATACAGCTCACCAATCTGCAGCTCGCCTCGCCGAGGCTAGACGGTGATCTCGGCGTCTCAGGATCCAGACCGAAACGTCGAACATCTGTCGTGGCGAAACCCAATCCTGGGCTCTCGTCCTTGATGAAAGATTCAAGTTTGGGCGATCCCGAATCTCTCTACGAACTGAATGACCTCGGTTTATCCACCATCCCCGTCATACCAGAGTACCCCACTCCTCTCGCTAGTGCAGCCGCGTCTGTCGAATCCTTGCATGATCCCAACGACACTTCGGCACCTTTCATCGCTGCGCTTCCGCCTGTAGATACTGGCAGAGATGCCTGGCTGTTCTTGATTGGCGCGACGACATGCGAGATGCTCATCTATGGTGTGCCTTTCTCTATTGGAGTCCTTCACTTGTACTGGACGGAAATGTACGGCGCAGGCAGTGAGAGCACGGTCACCCTGGCATCGACTTTACAGACTGGACTACTGTACTTTTCCTCGGCAGTCTTCGGACCGTAAGTCATGCCCGTACGTGCGTCGCTTATCTCAGTCTCCTCACATCATATCCTTTCTACACTAAGCAAATCCAGTATGCCGGTGCTGTGATCGCTGCCACGTCTTTCATTGGTGCAGGCTTCGCCAGCAAGGTGAGTGATAATCCGTGCAGTCATGCTGATTCTCGAAGCCGTGGCACTTGGTGCTGACGATGGGATGTCTCTACCCGTTTGCCGGAGCGACGTACATGCCATGTGCTGCTCTTGTCTTTGAATGGTTCTTTCAAAAGCGCGGTCTAGCGACAGGTGAGCCCCACTTGTTCGACTTTTCGCTGAGAACGAGGCATTCTTTTCAGCGGAACTGGCGTTGGAGGAGGCAAGTAATCCCCAGCGCTCTCCGCTGATACTTTACAGCTACCATCCCCTTTCTCATCTCCTTCCTTCTCGCTCGTTTTGGATACCGAGCCACTATGGTGTCTATTGGAATCGGCTATGGGCTCATCCTATCCGCCGCGCTCGTCTTCGTCAAGCGACGTGTGCCCCTCGGTCGTGTTGTCAGACCAGAAGAGAGGAGATCCACCACCATGGACTGGAGGTGTCTCAAAACTCGAACCATGTTGTTCAGCTTAGTAGTCATCTTACTGACCTCGCTGGCGAATTTTGTCCCATCACTTTGGATTCCAAGTGGGTGTAGATTCAAAGGTCGTCCCGCTCACCTTTCGCTAGCGTTTGCCGAGGAACTGCAAGTCAGGAGACCTACTGGAACGGGCCTTATCGCCATTATGAATGGTGAGCGATCGACACTTCCGTCCAACTGACCCTGACGTAGCCGCCTCCGTTCCTGGTGCCATGTTGACGGGTCTCGTCTCTGACCACATACCGGTCCGATATACGGTTCTCCTATGCTGCGGCCTTGCCAGTCTCTCGTGTGCTTTCCTCTGGGGTTTTGCCAAGAGCGGCGGACCCTTAGTAGCATTCGCATTGCTGTGGGGATTGAGCGGGCTGAGCTTTGTCGGCTCATGGTCCAAGATTGTTTCGCTCGTATCAGGTGAGCAGCAGATGAACGTCGGTAGCTGATCCTTTGCGCAGGTGAAAACCAAGGCTCAGCCGTTCTGGTCTTCTCCATCTTCACAGTCCTCAAGGGGATTGGCAACTTTTCTTCTGGTGAGTTACAACCCGTGACTTCACTGCTGATTCCATCAGGGCCACTTTCTGCTGCGCTGCTCAAGGTCGATGCGTTCAGAGGGACACCTTACGGATTCAAGAATTACGTGAGCAATGCACAGGCGCATCCAGACCACTGACTCGCTGCAGGGCGTCTTATTAGTGTATACTGGTGGAGTAATGATGTGTGGAGCGATCGTGGGTGTGGGGTTGAGAGCGCCATCGACATCGCGATAATCAAGGACATTGAAATGCATCTTGTACTGGGTCTGATGCTACAGGGCATTGATTGATACGTCTAGGGAGACAGAAAGCTCTAACAACCGAAATGGACATATCTGGGAAGCGCTCCATGTTCTAAAAGTACATCTGATCAGTCCTTTACGGTCCAAGTACATTTGTCTCTAATTTTGCGGCCTGATTTGAGTTGTCAGCGAAATGAGACGCATCTAGTGAGGCTTACCGTAAAGGTAGAAGATGAACGGAACGGGTGTCAAGACAGCGGCAATGATACCAAATAAGCTGATAGTCAGCGTAGTCCTTGCGAAGGTGACTCACGTCGTGGCCCATGCGTTCCCCAGAGTCTGATACATTTGCGGATACGCAAGAATGACGAAACCTGGCACCACTACGAAGGGGTCAGTTGGATCCTCTTCTGAATTTGAGCCATACGTACCGTATCGGACCAGAGTCGTAGTGGACACCTGTTTCAAACGTGAGCAGATACTTCTTCAAGTGGAGGCGACTGACTCACAGCAGACGCAGCGTATTGCCCATATGCATCCTGGATGTACAGCATGGACGCTTGGAATATTGACAAGAGACCGATCCCAAATGGCAAGCCGCTGGATCAAGTCAGACATAGCTGGACATATGAGTTCTCACCTGACGATCGGGATCCAGACATTAAAATGTGATTGAGAGGTCCATGCCAGCCATAACAAGCCTATAGGGAAGAGCACATTGGCAGCCATGACTGAGCCAACGGTCAGAATAGGCTATTGGGAGATCCGCTCACGAGGAATCAACCTCTCCTCTGGCTCAACCTTGCCCTCGTAGATACCTCTTCGCTGCTTTCCCTGATGAGCATCCCGTACCAAGCCTTTGTAACGTATCAAATGGAGAGCGTAGACAAGCGTCAAGCTGAGGAATCCCACTCCAATGGGGATAAAGGTCAAGCCGATCTGTCGCTGGTTAAGGCCATGGTCGGCGAATATCAAGGGATACGCGGTGAAGCTTCCGTATAAACAGATGTAGGCCACTACGCGTGTGAGCATTCAAATTTCACGCCGACTCACCGGTCAAATAGACAATGAAGAACTGGAGGACCGGCTCAGCCGCCATCATCTGGAATGGCCGCTTGAGAGTGTTCTTGAGCGTCGGGAGAAATTTATTGTCCTCCATCTTTGCCCGCCACTTCGGATCGCCAGTGACCTTTCTCATCCTCACAGCTTTGAGCTTGAGCGTTGCTTGAGCCAAAGTTTCTGGCATGCAGAAGAAAACGAGCAGGAAGGCTAATGCGTTCCAAATGGCTGAGACCCAGTACATCCATCTCCAACCGAATCTTGCATCCGTGACGATGTAACCGCCCATGACCGGGGCCAGTATGGGTGCGAGAAAGCCTGCCGAGGCAAAGACTGGGAATTGGATCGTCCGTGAGACTGGAGTCCCGATATCGTGCAATGTTCCACCAGCATTACTGAGAGGCGCCGAAGACACTAGACCAGCAAAGAATCGGAGAATCAACAAAGCCGGAGCGTTGGGCGCCAAAGCACATCCAATCTCGAACAACGTAGCGATGAGCACTGTGATAACGTAGACAGGTAGACGACCATACACTTGGATAGATCAGTCTCGAGTCCAGTCCGATTCAAGATACTCACGTTCGCTTAGTGGAGCGGTGGGTAATGCTCCCAAACCTGCGCCGACCAAGAACAATCCCGTGGCGGCCGTCGCTGTGATCTCGTCACAGTCAAATTCTGCTCTGAAACCTGCTTCGGCCGGCGCTCCAGCAGCAGACGCGAATGTCAGAGATAGTGTGAGGAAGGTGAGCTGACCAACGACCCAGTAACGATACAGCGGAGACCAGTTCCTCGGATTACATGGATCATCCGGTTCGAATTCCACGTAATCGCCACTGGTAGGCTTCTCCTGCGCGTCTGTATTCTCAGGAGCGATCACTGTCGTCGTTTGAGAAGAAGCACCGCTGGTCGATGTGACAGGTGTATGATCTTCCTCAGAGCCGGCGGTAACGGATGATTCGATAGGCGTCGGTGGACCCGATCTACTCCGACGGCTCGGGCCACTTTCATCTGGCGGAGTGAATTGTCGATATTGTATGTAAGCTTGCATCGTGAGACACGAGCAGGAGCGACGTTGCAAAAGCTCTCAAGCCTCACACTTGTGACACGAGTGTGAAGTAGAATGCAGAACAACCATTGCGTCGATGACCTCGTCCAACAATTTATTATAATAGATAGATCTTTCGGCACAACTCTCGGCCGTACTTTATTATGCCTCTTTTTGGATTCAAGACCCCCCAGCTGCTTCCACAGTTATGATCAATGCATTTTATCTGACTCAGCCGGACTACCGTGCGGATTGTGAGCGCAGAGCTTTCAGTGCGACCTTGCCAGTGTACGCAGACACCAACGCCAGCAAGATGAACATGGGTAATAGCTGATTCACGGATAGCTCAGCGGCATACTTAAGGAAGCGTTCTGACGTCACTGACCTGGTAGAGACGGAGACCGACCCAGTAAACAAAGATGAGGGCTTCTAGGGCTGCTAAACTGACGAGGAAGAGGTACGCGGAGGATGGTGGCGTTTTGTAGTCGAGTTTTGGCGAGATTTGAGAGTACTGTATAGCGTCAGTAGCGCGCGGCGTCACGCAGAATCAGCTCACGAGCCCCAAGAGCACACCCCAGGGAGACAGCACGACTCCAGTACCTAGAGCACTCTTGATGAAGCCGACACTCTTTTCACCCTGGTTAAAAGTGTGGAAGAGCTCTTGCTGAGGCTGGAATGCTGGTTCACCCTGGCGTGGTGGAAGGTCGTGACGCCTGCGCAGAGGCGCTTTGAGAATGGAGGAAGGAAGTTGAAGTTCGCCAATGGGATAGTGGAGAGGTGTATGGGAGTCAAGTGCGGATAGGAGCAGAGTGAGATGCAATGGGCCGTGAGTGTGAGTCAAGGCGGAGATGGGTTTGGCAGTGTTCTATGCGTCCAAAGATCAGTCTCCCAGCACCTCTGGCTCAACGCTTTCACCCACAAAGGTCCAGCTCGCTCGGCCGTTGCTCTTGACCGACACGGGAAGTGTGACGTCCTCGCCGCCTTTGGAGTCCTCAAACAATAGGTGGGCCTGTTGCGGGAAGACAGCGTTGCCTGAAGCCTTGTCCACCGAGTTGAAAGTGAGCTTGAGCGTGGATCCTTCGGAGAGGACGATAGGCTGGCTCAGCGATGTTGGCGGTTCCAGGCTGCTCAGACAAAGATCAGAAGGGGATGCAAGGGGGAGGGAGGGCCACGATGTAGATGTTTCAACTCACGGGTATGTTGCATCATGGAGTCCATCCGGTGATGTGATGGCTATCTTACCCTGCTTGATACCCAGAGCAGGTGTTTTGGATCCCAGCACCAAGGACGCGGCAGCCAAGATGGTAAACAGCTTACTCGCCCACATGATGTGACCGAATGACTGTCCTCGAGCAGAGCTACGCCGAGTCCTAAGGATCTAGTGGACATTGGACGTGGAGGAGTGATAAGCCACAAGTCGACCTGAATGCCACATGTTCGGCGTTATATTTTTGAGAGCGGCGATATCCGCCCTTTGGCCCCGCAGCAGCAGCTCAGCTGCCTTTCTTTCGAATTTGATTTGTGGCTGATTTCTGGGCTATCTATGGCCACTTTCTTCCTTCCCATCGACTGTGAAACTCCCTCGGAGGGAGGGAGAAGAGGATGATGGTCCACCTGTCTGTCCCGCCGGTCGGACCCTATATCCAGAGCCTCAGGGATCAAGTGGGCTACTCACTCTCACGTTTGTCTCTCGATTGCAAGGTTCACCGTTCCCATCTCCACCTATGAATAGAACAATCGTCCATCAAATAGGCTTAAGCCGCCCCGTCGGAAAGTATCAGAATAAAAGTGCGCAGGCCAGAGGTGGACGCCGGCGCAGCCCTGGAAAGTGTAGTCGACGACAGAAAGGTGGAGGTCCAGAAAGAAAGAGGCTGAAATTATGAGGGGACAGACTGCGTCGATCAGTGCCTTGGGAAGTTTTGGGTGAACAAAAGACCCCCCAAGCCCGACCGACAGAACCCACTAAACCCCCTCCCTTTGCCTCTCACCTCCACTTCCCTTCCTTTCAACGAGTGTGCGAGGTGTGCGGTCATGTCAGATTGTTGAGACGACTGGTTCTACTTCATCCTATACACCATGCTCAGGCTACACCATTGGGTCAGTCTCTTACCTGTCGTATCCGCCATGTACTATAACAATTCCAACGACTACGCAACGGGTGCGCTCGGACAATACCCATCGATGACATATCACTCGTCTGACATCCAACCGTGAGGTCTATCTCCCTCGCCGATATGTAGACACGACTGACTCACACCCCTCCTTCAGACCAGTATGGAATTTCAACAAGTTCTACGAGACAGACCCTCTCCCAGGCTATATCATCATCGCACCTCGAGGCACTGACTCTGTACCAAGTGCGCAGGAGGGTCCTATGATCTTTGACCCGTATGGAGAGCTCGTATGGTCAGGTGCCAATATCTCTGGTCAGACGCTATCGTACAACATATTCACCTACAATGGCAGCCAAGTCATTGGCGTGTGGACCGGTCAATTCGAAGGGTCAGGGTACGGTATGGGGTACGATCTCGTTTTGGATACTGCGTACAACACGGTGGCGACGATGTGAGTGGACACAGACATGGATCGAGGCTGATTGCATCAGCAACTCAACGCTTGGTTCCCCGACCGACTTTCACGAGGTGAGCCACCGTCTTTGAATCTGTTTCTGACGTTCTCTCCAGCTCAGCATCACTCCCGATGGAACGGCTCTCGTCACCGTTTACGACAAGGTGCCTTACAATCTCTCGTCCTATGGAGTGGTCACGGATGATCCAGCTGGAGGCGCCATCCTTCAGGGTCAATTCGAAGAGATTGACATCGCGACTGGTACGTCGTCGCCACTGAAGTTAATGCTCATGTTCCCCAGGCAAGGGCATTTTCAACTGGAGCTCTTTGGATCATGTCGATCCCAGTATGAGCTATGCCGACCCTGGCACGACGGGAACTGACATGAGCAATGCTTGGGACTACTTCGTGAGTCGATTCCATCAAAAGGCCATACTGACGAGTCCAGCACATCAACTCCATCGACAAGGACGGCGATGGCAACTATCTCGTCTCGTCGAGACACTGTCACGCAATCTATAAGATCGACAAGACGGATGGACATATCATCTGGACGTTGAACGGCAAGAACTCTTCGTTTGCCTTGGGTAATAACACGGCATTCTCATGGCAACACGATGCGAGATGGCGTACCGACTATACTCAGATGAGGTGAGCCATCTTCAAGGCGTATAGACACTCGCTCACACGATGCCAGTATCTTTGACAATGCCGCCACCGCGTTCGAGTCGGACGCCGCTTCTTCTCGAGGGCTCCTCTTGAATATTGATCAATCCAACATGACTGCCTCATTTGCTCTAGAGACCTACCCTTACAACTACACCACTTCCGACAGCCAGGGATCCATGATCCTGCAGCCCAACGGAAACTGGCTCATGGGGTGAGTCACGAGTGAATCAACGGAATTTCCACAGACGACGCTTATTTATAGCTGGGGACAACAACCCTATGTCTCCGAGTACGACCCTTCGGGCAACATGCTCTGGTCATTCCAATTTGGTCTAGGTACCACTCAGTCCTACCGTGCTTTCCGATCCAACTGGACAGCATACCCAACGACGAGTCCCAATATCTCTGTCGAGAGCAACTCTTCGTCCAACGCTTATGACGTTTACGTTTCCTGGAACGGAGCGACCGAGGTACAAATGTACCACCTTTACCACTCTTCGTCTACCGACGGAAAGGGGCTCAACTGGCTCCAGACAGCCAACAAGACTGGTTTCGAGACTTGGCTCAGCGTGCCCATGTCTTCTGCTGCTCAGAGCGATTACTTTCAAATTGTCGCGGCAAACAGTGCCAACAAGACGCTTGGCTACACCGACTTCATGTCGACTGACGGAACCACCAGATCCCCAGCAACATCTTCCGAGTCCAGCTCTGTCGTCAGTCAATCACCATCTCAAACTTCATCTGTTTCTCCGTCTTCCTCTTCGTCTAGTACGAAGACCGGAGCGGCCTCCAAACGATCATTCTTGTCTGCATGGACTCGTTCTGGCTTGACATTCGGCGTACTTGTTGTAGGCATGATCATGGGATCAGCAGCGGTCCTCTGATAGAGCTTCTCGTATGGACATTGCATATATAACGATTTGTCGCGCACACACACACACACCCACACACGGATTCATGCATGATGTTTGACACGCTCAGCCTCACGACTGCTCTGATCATCCTCTCTCGGACATCTCCCTAATGAAATGCTCCGGCCGGCCCGCTTTTGCCCGGTTTGAACCAACCATTTTGGAAATCTTCGGCGTTGGTTGTCGAATGAATGATCATGCAAATGTGAAGGGGGCCAGCCTCTTCGTTCTTGATGACCATAACGTCCATCAGTCCCTCTGCGCCGTGTTCTATTCCCATGATCCCATGTGACATGTATGAGGTGTGTGTCCAGGAAGAGCTGCCTCGACGTTGGAAGTATCCATGGTCCGGTGTCCATCCGTCTTGTGAACCGGTTTCGAGCATCAAGGAGGGGAACGACGCTGCATAGACTCTCTCCAGCAGTTAGGTGTCACATCAACTCATTGTTCTCAAAGGTCAATCCACAAAATCCGAGGTCTCAAACACATCCTCTCCATTCATTGATTTCACTCGCTCCGTGAGAATAATTGACTCTCCATTCGTGCATCGGCAACGATTGTCTTCTCCCCTAATCTCATGATGAACCTATATATGTTGAACTAAAATGAGTGCACAAGCTCAACATCCCCCTCGGAATCGTCTCTAAACTGCCGAACGATCAGATTCCTACCAAGATGTCCCTATCGCAAGCTGTTATCCAACACGGGGTGCCTTCCCCGGCACTGGCCATGAAGGAGACAATCAAACATCAACCTGTTGCCCCTTCGTCCTCCATCGTGCAAGGTGATAAATGGCGTATCACCGTGCTCCTTGACGGCTTGATTCGATTCGAATGGTCAGAGACTGGTCAGTTCGAGGACCGAGCATCAACTTTTGCTGTCAACAGGGATCTACCCACTCCCAAGTTTGAAGTGGTCGAACGTGACAATCAGATTGAAATCATCACCGATAGAGTTTACATTGAGTATGATCGCAAGGCATTCTCACCTTCAGGTCTGTCCGTGACGCTCCGGGCGAACGGTGAGTCATTGTTCCGAGAGCTCCTTCCTTTTAACAGTTCCCCAGCCAGATACTACAACATTATCTGGAGGTATGGTCAAAAGTTGGAGAATCTTGGAGGGACAACGAGGACCCTAGACTTTGTCGACGGCCGAACGGCTCTGTGGGACGGAGTATTGTCCAAGGTAAAGCATGCGCGCGTAGCAGGTGTCACTGACCTACGCCAGGATGGTATGGCCGTTCTCGACGATACCGAGTCCATGTTGTTCACCTCCAAAGGCTGGATTGCGACTCGAGAGCAAGGCACCAAAGACCTGTACCTGTTTGCGTATGGCAAGGACTATCATCAAGCTCTCAAGGCATTCTACGACGTCTCAGGGCATTGTCCCATCTTGCCTCGATGGTGCCTTGGCAATTGGTGGTCGCGATACTGTGAGTCGCATCAAGTGCGGCGTGACTTGGCTGATCCCATAAAGATCCATACTCCCAAGACGAATACATTGGCTTGATGGACCGATTCAAGGACGAGAAGATACCTCTGTCGGTGGCCGTCATTGACATGGACTGGTGAGTTATCAACAGCTGGCCTGATCTGATTATCAAGGCACGTCGTGGAGGTGGATGAGAAGTACGGCACTGGATGGACTGGGTGGACGTGAGAGCGCCCCCTGAGGGATCACTGCTGATGCTTTCAGCTGGAACAGGAAACTGTTCCCTGATCATGTCAAGTTCCTCAAGCAGCTGCATGATCGGGCTCTCAAGACGACCTTGAACACCCATCCCTCAGATGGTATCAGAGCGTACGAAGCGATCTACCCAGACATGTGCAAGGCTCTGGGCCGAGATCCCACAGCTGGGCATGTGAGTGAAAAGACGTGGCATGCGACACGCTTCGTGCTGATCATGCTGTCTAGACCATCTCATTCGACCCTACTGACCCCAAATTTCTCGACTGCTATTTCAACATTCTCCACCGTTCTCTGGAGAAGGATGGAGTCGACTTCTTCTGGCCAGATTGGCAACAGGGGGAGATCAGCAAATTGGCTGGGGCCGATCCCTTGTTCATGTTGACCCATTTCCACTTTTTGGACCACGTCAAGGAGGGCAATAGACCTATGGGATTTTCAAGATACATCGGTCCTGGAGGACAACGTTATCCCATTGGGTTCTCAGGAGTGAGTAACAGGCAGTGGTCGAGCTTACATTGTCCCCTCAGGATACCGTCATCACCTGGGATTCTCTCAAATACCAACCCGAGTTTACTGCCACAGCCCCGAACGTCGGTTTCGGCTGGTGGAGTCACGACGTCGGGGGACATCATCAAGGCTACAAGGTGAGTCGTCACGGGTTCTTCTGCGTCTGATCTGACTTCGCTCTGTCAGGACGAAGAACTCTACGCGCGTTGGGTACAAGTCGGACTGTGGTCACCTATCCTCCGTCTTCACTGTTCCACTGGAATCTTTTACGCCCGAGAACCGTGGCGATACAACGCGGAGACCCGAGATGCCGCCACGAGAGCCCTAAGATTCCGACACAGGCTGGTACCTTACTTGTACACTATGGCTACCCGCAGTGCCATCGAGGGACATTCACTTGTTGAGCCCATGTACTACGACAATCCTCATACAGAGATGGCGTACAAGTATCGAAACACGTTCAAATTCGGCACTCAGCTTCTTGTGGCACCCGTCACCACGCCCCGTAACAAGGATACCACCTTTGCGGTGACGCCTGCTTGGGTTCCTCCTGGTCGACACGTCGATCTCTTTACTTCAACTGTGTACGATGGCGATCGAACGATCTCGTTCCATCGACCGCTTGACAAGATTCCCGTCCTGGCCAAGGAAGGTGCGATTGTCCCTCTGGACGCGAGTGACAATCTGGAGAACGGTTGTCCACTGCCTGCCAAGTTGGAGATCCTCCTCGTCATCGGTGCTGATGGTCAATTTGAACTGGTTGAAGACGATGGAAGCGGAGAAAGTATCGATCGTATCGATTTTTCCAAGACATTGATCACCTATTCTCACGAGAAAGGTCAACTCGTCATCGGCCCTTCTAGCCATGCGCTCGTTGCGGAAAGACATTGGTCCGTCAGACTTTTAGCCTACACGCCAGACCCGTCCAAAGTCAAGGCTACTAGTGGTGGTCAGCCTCTGCCAGTCCAGGTGTCCAACCCGGTGCAAACGGCTGATCCTCATGGATGGCTCATCGATCTCGGCGTTTTGAGCGCGAGTCAAAGCACGACGGTTGACCTCGGCGAGGCACAACCGCAGCTCGACAAACGTGGCGTCACCGACCAACTCTTCCGAGTCATTGACGCTTCACAGATGGACAACGTCATGAAGCACAATCTGTGGGAAGTCGTCCAAACTGCTGGCAAAGTCACTCTCAACGTCTTGATCAGCAACGTCGACGCTATCCCTTGTGATGACGCCCTCAAGCAGGCAGTGTTCGAGATTCTCCTCGCAGACTCGAGAATGTGATACAGGGGGCGAAGCGGGTCCGTGACGATCGACGAGGGGGATCTTAAGAGACGTTGTGTACTATAGCGCAGCCCATGGTAGACATTCATCCTTCCATGAGCATTGTTCAGCCTTTCTCGAGTAGATTTGCGTGATCAGACTTGCCTCGTCGCACTAAGCCCCTTCCCAACCTGCTTGCCAATCCCTGTGACCTCCAATGATCGAGACTGCATCGCATAAGGCTCCACACTGGATGTATACATTGAAACAGGACAAGGGGACAAGGCTACAACTCTTTTTCTGCTCACGTACATCATACAGCTCGCCGCATCAGATAGGACTCATGGTGGTCGGTGTTGGCTGCTGGGAACCAGAGATCCTCACGCAAAGGGGAACGGTCCCCTCCTGTCTCTTTCTCGCCTCATTTCTCAACCTTGCAACCTGTTCGTTGGCGTGATTGACGGCGTCTTGGAGAGGAGTCTGATCCGCCGTACCTGCCGCTCCGCCATACTCCATATCTTCAATCGCGAACAACTTGGCTTGCTCGAGCTCGGCCATTCGGAGGTTGAGCTCCATCCGCCATTCATCGAGGGTACTATGAATCACGCCTGTGGCGACATCTCAAAAGGATGAGCAAAGCACAGACCGTTCTGCACTCACCAGAGACTTCTGTAGATGTGTATACCATCGGCATGGCGGCAAATCAGTACAGGTAGGGATATATTGATGAGCGAAGATGTCAGGATCAGGGTCAGAGCACTGTGAGCGATACCCTCGTCGACCAGTCTAGCTGGATCAGCTTAAATAAGGGGGCATCCAGAGCTCCTTCTGCGCCTTATATGCTCTTGTAGATTTGTCGCACACAGTGTATTGGCCACTTGGTCAAAGGTGGTCCACACATTGGAGTGAGTAAGTGTTTCGGGAGCATCAAAGGGTCAGTCGGTGGTGGATAGTGGAGGTGGAGTGTTGAAACGATAGAAATCTTGAGGTGCAGCATCCCGGTAATGGAAACGTGTGCGGCATTGCTGATACGTCAAGCAAGGACTAAAGCCTGGCTCGGTGTGCACGACACGCTGACTAGGGCGGAGCGTTTCTGAAGGGTAGGCGAAAATGCATCGGAGAGGCGTGATTGAGCTTTAGACTAAGATCTGGTTTGGACTCGAGTGCGATGATTGACATTTCCGGACTGGTGTCAGATACAGGAGGACACTGCGGGCTATGTCTTCATACATCAAGACTTCATAAAGTGGAGATGACAAAAGGATGCGAGACCGACCTCGAGGCAATCGGGAATTTGAATTGATTTCTTCATCGTTTGACCTCGTTCCAATTTGCCTTTCCTCAGTCTCGTTGGCCGATTGCTGGCCAGAATACAATGCCTCCAAATGCATCGAGGACCGTCTTTGGTATGTCAAGTCGCTCCAAGGTCCTGTGAATCGACGCTGATGCTCCGCCCGCAGTCGCCAACATCCCCTAGTGTGTCCCGCAATTTCCAGCGTTGAGTCTCTGGTTCCACCCGACTGACCGCTGGTTCGTAGTGACGTTTCCGAAGAGCAGCTAGCCAATGTCTTCTCAGAGGTCGGCCCAGTCGCCAACGTTGAGTGAGTTTGCACCCTTGCACCGTCGTCTCTAAGCTCATCACGCTTCATAGAATCAAGTTCGATCCACAGACGGGCAGAAGCAAGGGATACGCCTTTGTTCAGTATACAGACGAAGCGACGGCCTTCTCAGCCGTTAGAAACTTACATGAAGTGCCTGTGAATGGACGGAATCTCCGTGTGGAGCTATCCACAGAAGAACCTGGACCGAGACGTCGTGTAGGCGGGCCAGGAGGAGGAGGAGGTGATAGTGGTCCACCGGGAGGGGGTGTTATTCGGGGTGGACCTGGAGCAGGAGGAGCAGGAGTCGGAGGAAGGCGGAGCGGAGGTGATAGAGATTTCTCACCAGCGCAAGGAGGGGGAGGTGGTGGTGGTGGTGGTGGACCGCCAGGCGGCGGGTACGGTCGCAGACCGATGGAGGATGATTACGGATATGGGGGACCAGGTGGACCCGGATCTGGACCCGGACCTGGAGCAGGAGCTGGAGCTGGGGGACCACCTATTGATCTCCATCTGATACCTCAAGGACGTGATGTTCCACCTGGACAGAAGGCTACCGATGTCATCAGTAAGACTCTGGCAGGTATCCAACCTGGACAAATGCAGGATGTTATGATGGGCATGAAGGTGGGTCACAGGATCTACAAAGTATTTTGCTGATCCACTCTCTTTCATTCAGACACTCGTAACGACTCAACCGGACAAAGCTAGACAAATGCTCATGAGTAGCCCACAACTGGCGTATGCCTTATTTCAGGCCATGCTTCTCATGAACATTGTTGATCCAGCTGTCCTCCAAGTAGGTCAAACGAGGTCTCCATCCGTAGATACAGCTAAATGCAGTTCAGCGCATCACACCCCTACCGCCTGCTGCTGCTGCACCACCCCCTCAATCACAGTATCCTCCACCACCACAACAATCCAGCTACCCGTCTTATCCTCCACCTGGTCCTCCGGCACAACCATCCTTCCCTCCTCCTCCTCAACACCACCAAAGTTATCCGCCTCCGCAGCCAGCGTACGGTGCACCTCCTCCTGGACCACCAGGTGGTTACGGTGCGCCCCCACCAGCTGCTACGCCTGCCCTATCGCCCGCTGTACAGGCACAGCTTGCGACGTTGCCGGCGGACCAACGAGTGAGCTACAGCCATGATTCTCGAGCTCAATGCTGAAATTTTAAACCCGCTCAGGATATGCTGATGCAGGTCCTGACTCTGACTCCCGAGCAAATCAACGCCGTGGATCTAACACAAAGAGAATCCATCAGGCAGCTAGTAAGTGTTCTGCTGGACTTGTGTAACTCATATGCTATCAGCGCCAGCAGTTCCTCGGTACCGCTTAGGGACAGTAGGGGCAGGCGTCAATCCCCCAGAAAGAAACAAAATAAATGTATACATTCCATGCATCATCTGGTCATGTCACATGCATTCAGTCCTCCTCGGCATCTTCCACGGTTGTTTGTCGGTGTTTCAGTCCGCTCGAGGGTGTTGAGACGCCAGTGCTCTGGGTCTCGACGGCAGAAGGCAGGGATACAGCATCTGGGACGGCAGGCGTAGCATCGGATGCTGTTTGAGCATTTGCACCACCATTGGAAAAGGCATCGACTCCATTGGCGATCGAGACTTTGACTTGATTCGATCCCTTTGAGCCCTTCTTCTCCGACTTCTTGACCAATCTCCTTTTCTTCGTCTTGGGTTCGTCGTAAGCCCATCCGGGGATGAACGAGTCGACCTGTGAGATGTGAGCTGACAGCACAGAGTTGAAGCGGGCCAACTCACAAAGCCGACATCCTCAAATAGATTTGGAAAGATCCAGATGGCTCTCTTCATGGTGATCACAGTGATACACCAGAATATCAGTCGAACAATCGCCAGGACGATAAAAGCTCCGACGAGACCAAAAAGACCCATGGACAAGTACCAAGCACCGATGCGAAGTTTGATGGGCCACAACGGGAACATGACTCCAGCTAACATGACGGCGACCATGGCGACTCCACCGAGGATGGTATATAAGGGTGAGCCGTCGTAGAACCAAGCGTAGTAGCCTTTCTCATCGACTGATTGGGAAGGTGCTAGAGCGAGTGTCTTGGGGGTCCCAGCGGGTGGAGGAGGGTCGAGTGTGGGCCTGTCGACTCGCAGAAAGAATGCGCTGGTGAAATGAAGCGAAGTCAGCTGTGGTTTTGAGCCGAAGGGGAAAGCTGGCTCACTGTGGTAAGACCTTCAGCAGAAGTGCTTTAGCCGCCTCTTCATCTTTGACTTCAGGAACCTTCTTCGACTTTTGGTATGCTGGTCCGGTGAGTGTTCTTATCGCTGTGCTACCTGAAGACGAGTCAGCACGGCTTTCTGGCGACCCGACTCACCTTTGAAGTATTCCACTCGTTTGCCATTCAAGATTCCACGACGGACCTTGGGGCCATTCTTGCCCCGCAGGAATTCAGCAACGGCCTTGAGTTCTGCCGGTGCCTGGTCACACGAACATGAGTCAGACCAGTTCACAGCTTCGTGTAGAAGAAGGCTCTCGGCGAATTGACGACTGGCATGAGTGAAAGACACGTACCCGTTTTCTGTAAGTGCAGCCATGAGCACAGATGCTAGAAGGATTCCTTGATCGGAAACCACTCACTGAGCCTCAAAGACTGGTGTAGCATCCGCTGGCCCTTGCATCTTCGTTCTCCAATGATCCTCAATGGCTACCGAAGCAAGTCTATGTTGACAGAAGAGTCACTGATGCTGGAATGATCTCCCAATTAATTGCTCGTCACGTGGCATCAGCCTTAAAGCTTGTGGCGGCGGGGATAACCTGCATACGAGATCAAGTAGCCTAGGCATGGCCTAATGGGCGCGCGGCGCCTCGCAGAGACGTTGAGGTGGACGAGCCTCCATCTAGCTAGAGATCAGATCAAAGCTCCAGCTGCAAAGAGATAGGTACATCCTCTGAGACCGAGTAGATGACGACCAGGGAACTCACCCGAGAAGCGGGCCTACCCGACACCGAGGTCCAGAGTCAGAAAACGTAGTGCTTGGATGACTCGTCCTAGGCCTTGAGCAGCTACGTTTGCATCGAGCACCAGACTGTAGCGATCTACAACTCTCCCTTGAGATTGACGGATAGCCTTGAGATTGACGGATAGCTTACCTGTGAGCAGCCCATGATCGTGACGTGCGTTCCTGGGGCTTTCACGCTGAGAGAGGGCGTCCTGGACTGCCCAATGTCACATCAGCGCCGATGTGGAATACCGTACCGTATCAGATTGACTGTCAGTCACTACGACGAGCAAAGTGATCTCCGACACAGGCATAGACCAGGTCATCATCATCTCCTATAACGGCGTCAGCAGAAAAGAGGACTACATGCAGAGGTCTGAAGCGGATGCCATGGGTGATTACTGGTGACGTGGTTTGGATGTGGATACGAGGTTCCCCCTTTGCATGCAGGTTCCTCTCTGAATAAATCTATACAGCTTATCGGGTTCCGTACAAGGCATGGTCGATCTTTGTTTCTTTCAAGCCAACAGATCAAAGTTCCGCATAGTCTGCGCCGAGAGTTTCCCGTGGAACCCGGAAACGGTGCCTGAAGGCGGCACATGTTATTATAACCGTCTGTATCAATTGTACAAATCTCAGCTAGACCATTTGTACAGACATGTCGATTTCGACGATGCCTCAGATAGACTGCCGCTCATCGCAGTCACAGTCACAAGTGACGAGTCCACGCGCAGTTCTCATGACCGACGGCTTTGCATTACATGGGATCGATCAAAAAACGTCATTCGCCGGAAAATACGGAAATTCAACCAGACCCACATGACGAGCAGCGTGGTTTGACGGCGTAAGTATGCCGCCAGATCGAGACGAAAGCCCTTCGGTCAGACTCATCTTTCTGTATCTGTAACAAGCTCCATCATCTCAAGTTGACAAGCATCCTCATCTCATTTCAAGCTCTATCACCATGCCAACCGTTCTCATTACTGGCCTCAATGGCTTCGTAGCTGTCCACACGGCTGTGATATTCCTCTCCAACGGCTGGAGTGTTCGAGGAACCGTCAGGTCGAAAGAAAAGGCGGAGAAAGTCAAGTCACTGCCTGTGCTCAAGGAATATGTCGATCAAGGCAAAGTCGAGCTTGTCATTCTGGAGGATTTGATCGAAGGAGACTTTTCTGAAGCCCTCAAGGGTGTCGACGGCGTGAGTTGTCGATATGCCAATCTGTCCCTCATATCCCCTGTCTAGGTCGCTCACTGTGCCTCGCCTTGGCATTTCAACGGAAAAAAATGGGAAGACTATCGAGAACCCGCCGTGAAGGGAACCACAAGGATCATTGAACAAGCTGCCGATGTGCCTTGTGAGTGCCGAGTCGGAGTGCAGATGGTAATGGTCCCAGCTGTCAAGTCTATCGCCGTGGTATCTTCATTCGCTTCCATCGGCGATTTCTCCAAACCCGCAACGGAGCAAGCCGGCAGGGTCTATACAGAGGAGGACTGGTGTCCTAACACTGATGAGTTTGCCGCAAACTTTAAAGGGTAAGAACGGCGAATCAGCGTTCTCCTCCGGCATCCCAGCTGAAGTTGGACTTGTCAGCGATGCTGCCCCTCAAATCTGGTATGTTACTTCCAAGAAGCTCGCCGAGGAGGCAGCCTTTGCAACGGAAAAGAAGATTGGAAACAAGCACTCTCTTGGAACTGTCTGTCCCCCTTGTGAGTACAGTACAGCTTGACTCTCGCTCAACACCCCATGGTCATCCTTGGCCCCGCCATTCACTGCGCCGAAGGGGACGATCTGTCCAAAGCCGACGTCTCGACGTCGATGCTGTACTCATTCTTTGCAGCTGGTAAAGACGCCAAGCTCGAACCGACAGATTTCCCCTTGTGGGGAGATGTGAGTAGTAGAGGAAGAGAACCGTATTGAGGCCCATATCTAGGTGCGCAATGTCGCCCAGGCCTTGTTTGAAATCGTGACAAAGCATGCCAACGGTCGTTTTGCCATTTGCAACGGTGCCTTTGCTCCCCAAGCCCTGGCCAACAGAGCCCGGGAGTTATACCCAGATCTCGCTAAAGCCGGTATCATCCCTGTCGGAGAACCGGACAACACTCCCTCGAAGGATGGTGCATTTAAGCTGGATGGAAGCAAGGCCGAGCGCGAGTTGGGCATCAAATGTAAGTCAGTCTGCTGTCAGCAAGCTGACCCTGTAAGATACGACCGTCGATGAGATGATCAAGGACACCATTGAACAGATGAAGAAGATCGGCGCAATCAAGGCGTAGAATTGTCAGCATGGAGCCTTGAAGTAAGCGATTTGTGCACACCGGACACTGTCCCAAACCCCTCTGTGGTCGAGTCTCTGAGCATGAATGAAGTGCAATGATCCCAATGGATCCGCGTCATTCACTCCAATGTCGCTTCACCGTTCGATTCGAGTTCACTATAGAGAGTTCTCTCAAAAGCGTTAAAGACCCCATTCCATGGGTCCGGCTCCGGTCCGATGACTTGGGTACTGCAGACAGCCTAAGATCACACCATGAGTTGACAGACTACAGTAGCATGAAGCCGTCGAGCTCACTGCAAGACCCGACGCAGGGTCGATCCAAAAGTGTGTCCTCGCCATACCGTACCAGCCACCTGATCCAGCGCGCCGTCCATGATCACTGTCACAGAGGTTGACGGCCAGACCAAGAGAATGGGTCATATTCTCCACCGTTGGATCCGGGGACCAACGACCTTCCCAGCGATAATACTTGACTGCCTCAGCCTTTGCCGAGTCTGTTGTCAAGGACGGTGCGAATAGCAACTTGAAGGATGCGGGCGATATCAGAGGTCGAGCAGGAGGAGATAGGTTGCTTGGGTCGCACTGTAAAACAGCTCGACAAAGGGCCAAAAAGTCCCGAGTGGTACCGAACAATCCGCCTGATCCAGCTAGAAACTCTTTACTGACCGTCTCCACGGTGTTTGGACGATCATTGGAAAAATTTGGATACTTCTTCAGGTCACCATTATCCAGACGAAGGTAGATGGCCGCTTTTCGCTCAACGATGTCGGGTCGGGGGTAAAAGGTCGTATCTGGCATCTTACCGGGCACAAGGTCAAAGATTTGGTTCCTGAAGTATTCTTCGAGTGTGAGACCAGTCATGCGATGAATGAGGATACTTAGCCAATCTGTACCCGAGCTGTACATCCACGTCGATCCAGGTTGGTGTAGGAGGGGAGCGATGAGAGAACGAACGGAGGCTTTCGTCGACAAACCGTCAGGAGCTTGGTGTCCCTGCTTTGCATACCACTTGGCGAGCATTGCATTACGTTGAGGGGTAGTGCAGCCTGACGGGAAGAGATCAGCCTAGATTCTGCATCTTTGTGTGTGCCTCGCTCGACCTACCCGCCGTGTGATTTAGCAGCATTCTGGGTGTTATGCGAGCGGCTTGAGGCAACAGTATAGCATCATCATTCTCGTCGTAGCCCTGCAGAACTTTCTGATCTCCAAGCTCTGGTAGGATACGGTAAACGATGTCCTCATCGTCCAAGTTCAGCTGTCCAGCATCCACCAATTGAAGGACCGCAAGCTGAACCGAGCGTCAGCGAGACCATGTGAGGATATACCTACAGCTACGACAAATTTGGTCATAGAGTACAATTCGAGGGCTGTGCTCGACAGTCAGGAGCATCACGGATGATCGAACCCACTCGTCTCTGGCGTCACCTGTCCCGACGTCTCATCACCCATAATCCTCAGTCCAGCTTGATTCTCATATATGGTCTCTTGGGCATTGGTAGCCGCCCAAAAGATGCAAGGGAGTGTGCCTTGGTGTATCTTGTCTTGCAGTAATTCATCAAGCCTCTGCTTTGAGGACTCTGAGAGCCTTGAAGTCTGGTGAGTCATGATGTAGTCTCGTCAGCACAGTACCAACGGTCTCCCACTGTCCATCCTAATGAATCCCGGCTTGGCAACTTCCGTCCGGGCCGGATATTCCGCGGAATGTCAAACCGATCCAGAACTCAACCAATGGTCGATGGGGGGTGGCTTAATGCAGGCCCCATTCAGATCTGTCGCATTTGGCGATGCATACGACTCACACTTGTTCGTCGACCAGCAGGAGTAGGCCACTTGATGATCTGGAACGACAACTACAGTGCTCCCCCACTCACTTACGTAAGATTTTCGGGCCGGATGACCGGATCACCCGCACACACGACACGACAGCGCGCTACAAGTCCGAATACATATCTATCTCAGATCTACGAGCTCATCTCCAGGATGTCTGTCAAGGTAGCGTGTCACTGCGGAGCATTCAAGCATGACCTGGAGATCACCACAGATATCCCACACGAAGACACATTCTGCTGCTGCGACTCGTGTCGTCGACGAACTGGTCAACTGGGTCTCTTTCCGTTCCCCGCCTCCGCATCAGACTCTGAGCTCGTCACCAAATCCTCTCTCAAGCGATACGACACCCAGCCTGGGACTGGAAACACTGTGAGCTCCTTCTACTGCGGACAATGCGGATCCAAGGTCTTCATCCAGACTGTCGGGCCGGACCAAGAATTCAAAGGTGGAGGCTGGATGCTGGGATGTTTCGACAAGATGGAATTGAACGACAAGTGCCTGATCGATATTCACGGATTCAGTTTCGCAGACGAGACTATTGACGGTGGAGCAGCTGCTTTCTGGACTCAAGTCAATGGCAAACCGCTGAAGAGCTATGTCGGTTGTGAAGCTGAATGGAAGGCCCCTGCAGAAGCAGGAAGAGACGACAGTGAATACCTCAATCTGCATTGCAGATGCGGAGGCTTTGACGTGCATGTGTCTCGACCGAATCCGGAACTCCCACTACCCAAACCATGCTGGTGGTATCTTCCGCCAAAGACTGAAGCGGGAATTCCTCAGCGATACATGGCGAGCTGGTGAGTGAATCAGGATTGGTTGAAGCTGCTGAGTACTGCTCAGGTGCGCATGCAAAGACTGTCGAGGCGCTACTGGATCTTGCCTCCCCGCTCATCCATGGGTTCAAATTCCATTCGTGGACATCCACACAGCGACCAGCAAAGACGCCCCTCTTCTGCCCGCTGAAACCAAAATGACAACCAAGACTGATTTGCCCGGTTGCACTCGATACGAATCTTCAAAAGGCATCGCGAGATACTTCTGTTCCACCTGCGGAGCGACAGTCCTCTACTTTGATGCGGACAGGGACTTTATCGGAGCGTGGGCCGTCGGTCTCATCGACTCGAAGGAGGGTTCTCTTGCGCCGAGCTGGTTATTCTGGTGGACTGGTCGTGATGGGCATCCGAATCCCCCGATCCACTGCAAAGAGACTGGCGATGCATTCTGGGGAAAAGGTATAATGTCGGACTTTGAAAGCGGATGGATCGAATGGGGCAAGAAAGTCGGTCAGAGGACGTAAAGTGAAGTTGAGTCAGTCTTGCAAAGTTCAGTCAATCCAGCGGTCCCGTTACCGATCTGAAAGAGGTTTCCGTCACGTACAAGTTAGCATGCATCATAGTTTGTCGCCATCACTGGCTCATATTCTCCTCATTGACGGTCGACTCTTGAGAGCACTTCGTCCCCTGGTTCTCAGGAGATAGACCGTCATCGCTGCTGTACTGACGGAGAGAGTGAACCTGAAGATCCGCGAGGTCAGTATAGCTCCGAAAACGAGGAAACGAGCAGCCTACCAGATGACAGCATACGTTGCGTGCTGATTTCGGATCTCAACCGTCGGCGGCCGACCAATTGGCTCGCCTTGCGCCATCATATATGTCAGGGGACTCTTGCCATCTGAGGCCGGTGTGAACGGTGTTTTGCGACCATGTCCTGTTCCCACTCACCGTCTAGGACGTCGACAAACACAGGCTCAACCTTTCTATTCTCCTTTGAGACCCAAGAAGCCATGCTGATGATATCCTTCCAGAACCACTGATTTCCCTCTGGGTTGTTCTCTGGCGTCCATCGACCTCTCCCTTCGTCCCATTTCTTGGTGAGCATCCCTTGCAAGACGACTTCTTCAGATTGTCCATCTTCCTTGATACCCGGCGGTCGATCTGTCCCATCTTTGATAGCTTTGACTTTGGCCTCTGTCAGGAAGCCTCGATTGACGAGAATCGTTGATCCCCCGGTCGAGGATCGAGAGAAGGGCAAGACAATGTTCCATCCTGGTATACCTTGCTCAACTGCTGGACCCATGAATAGGGGTGGACCTTCAAATTTGCCTTTGAGTAGCACACGACGGAATGCGAAATCGGGCAAAGCGGAGAGGCTACGGGCAGTGTCAGTAAGAAGATGAGCTCTGTGTGTGAGTGAAATTATAGTCGCACTTGATGTTTGGTGGTAGAACCAATGGATCCTTTTCTATATTCCTCTGAATGTCATCGATGAGATCCAGCTTCCATCTCAAACGCTTGACTTGCCAGACTCCCAGACCGAATGTAACAAACGGCACGAGCATGACGAGTACGTTGATGGGTCGGAATAGCTTCTTCTCGCTAGCTGTGGGGAAGGGCGAGGCGGCATAGCAACGTCTGAATGATAGCTGGATGGGAGTCGGGGATGGTCTGGGGGATCGGAGTGGGCGAGCCGAGAATGTGAAGGACGAGCTCGATGACGGACTCGGTAGTGATCTGAACTGCCTACAGCTCCTTATGAGAGCACTTGAAGAGCTGCTGGCCATGTTGATAGTATCTCAAGGCAATAAAGGTGAAGATGATGATCATCGAGGTGACTGATATTCGACCGAGTTTCGGCAAACCCATGGCACCCCGTCATGTTGACATTTGCACTCTACACCACACCGCCGCCCATGACAGCTTTTCATTGCCAGCATGATCGAGAGGACACTGAGAGCGAGCAGTAGAGCGTTTCAGGGATGAGGCGGATGGGGTCAATCCCGTGCATGCGCTCGTGAGAAAGCCGGTCGCCATGACCACTGTGACATCCACCATGACCATTCCAACACAAACAATACATTTCGCGGCACCCTCTTCTTCTTCTTCTTCTTCTTCGTCATGTCATCGCCTCACGCTACCATCTCACGGGCAGCTGCAAGCATGGGTACAACGTCCTCATGCGATCACCAAATGCACAATCGCAGACATGTACGCAATGCAGACTTTGGTCCCTTCTGAAGTGGACCCCGAGTCATATACCATCCGAGGTGAGTCAACCGATAACGGCCCCCCGGTGTCTCGATGGCTCATCATTCTCAATGAACTCAGATGTATTTTTGCATGGACAATGGCCCTGTAGGATGGTCGAGATAGTTGCATGGGTAGCTGGCGTGGACTACAAAGAGTCATACATGATTGTGACTTGTGAGTCTGATCTTGTCAACATACTCTGACCTTTAACGTTCAGTGGACGACGGGGATGGTAAACACGTCTTGCCGTTGATCTTGAGATTCAGGGAGCTGGAGAAGGCAGAGCACTCCGCTCACACGATGACCCACCGACGTGATCCCTCCGCCGCTGCGATGAACGAGACTGAAACGAGCGGCAGCAAGTTTTTCATGCCGAAGAAGGACAGGAAGGCTTTGCGTAAAGCTGCTGCTTTAGAGGAGATCAAGTACGCCGACAAGTTGAGCTTCGCCAAGCATCGAACGCCGACGTTTGAGCAAGTGGACGTCCGTGTAGGGGATACTGTACGAATCATTGGGAGAGTTGAGGAAAAGCAGAGGAAGAGGGCCGATCTTTGTCTTGAGCGGATCCGGCAAGTCGTGGTTGCAGAAGGATTAGGAGGAAGTCTATGTACGTCTACTGCGAATTGAGGCTTCACATGCTTGCATGCTGACAGGGTCCACAGCTGTGGTTGACCCGGACGAGCAGTATGACCATGCGCAGATGTGCGCTGAACTTTGGGCGACTACGTACACGAGGCACTTCGAGATCCCCGCCGTACCCTTGCCCACTATGCCGTCCTCACCGGTCAAAATCCCGGATCGCTCGGATAGCTTAGACGCATCCAGCGAAATTGGCGATCTGGCGGAAGATGAAGTCGACTTCAAGGTGGAGCTCTTTATTCTCGCTCGAGTGTCATGCTGACTTGCTCTCAGCTCCGAGACCCATCAAAGTTGCGCCCTTCCCAGTTGACTGAATCCACGTTCCGACAATACCTTCTTGACTATGTGAATCAAGAACTGCTGTCATCGCTCTATGAATGCGCGGATCTCCAAGCCAGCGTGTCTGCGACATTCCCAGAATATCGCGATCTGCGAACGACTCGGCTGGATAAAGGCAAGGGCCGGTCAGATCGAGCTTTCCAATCGAGTACAAGGGACAATCTTTCCGCTACGCCGGCCGAAATTCTTGAGGGGTCTGTGAAGAGAGAGCCGATGTCCCTGAGTCGGGCCAAGCATACATCGTCCATCGCGTCGTTCACCTTGGAGGCACTCCTCAAAGTGCCACACCTAGGTGAACTCGCTCGCCTGGTAGTGGACAGTGAGACCAGACGGGAGGAGAAACGACGTCGCATACGGCTACGAGACGGGCAAGCTCGACCTCGTGATCTCGAAGTAGAGCGGGAGCGGCTACGTCGAGGTAGAGGGGCAAAAGATTGGAAATTGACTGAGGAAGAAAGGCAGAGCAAGATGCTTCGATTGGCATCTTGGGTCATTCGATCTGCCGCTGAAGACGGACAAGTGGTCCAAGTATCCCTGCAGGATCCGTCTGCCTCCGACATGTCCGATGACGACGTTCCGGTCAAGCGCAAACGAGTTCATTCTTACGGTTACCTACCGACACCTCCAGAGCTCATCTTACCCCTCGTGATCGGTATCGTACAGAATGAGCAGATGGCGCGTAAAAAGCTGTTTTTGAAAAAGACGGATCCAAGACGAGGACATGGGATGTTCCTAGAGGAGATTGTAGGAACTCTTCAGAGATGTGGAACGGATGGACGATGGGAACGAGTGAGAGAATGGGTCATCAAGGACGCCATCGCTCTTGGAGTGACCAAGGGGAAGCTTCGACAAGAGGGGCGGGGATGGTGGGTTGTAAGCGCCTGAAATGTTCAGGCATTCACTATATAATCAGGGGACCTATCTACTGGTCTGATGTAGCTCTATAATGATCGGAACCCGCGATGCATCCATGATATGGCTCTTGTGGATGTCATCATATACACCTCTCGCGTCGCCGTAGCCGTCGCCGTCGCCGTCGTCCGCCACCCTGCCACCACCACCACCACCCACATTGTTTACGGTTTCAGTTGCCGGAACCGGGTGGACGTCGGCGGCGGGAACTTCGTCATCGAAAATCTTTTGGGATTGACATACATCCTGTAACATTCTAACGTCTTGGTACTCTTGAGCTCCCAAGATGGACTACTCCAATCTGCGACATGCGTTACAGACGCCCAAGTGGTCGCAAGCTCAGGAACAGGTGAGTTCTCCCATTCCATATGTGTGATTGGCGTGAGACTGACTCTTAGCCGTTGAGGTCCTGTGCGAGCCGTATACGTACATATCTGCCAATCCAGGCAAAGAAGTGAGGACCAAGTTGATCGATGCTTTCAATGCTTGGCTACGTGTGCCGGAGCAAGACCTCAAAGTCATCACGACTGTCGTGAGAATGTTGCACAACGCCTCGCTCCTGTGAGTCACCCAGAAGGCTCTTCTCGCATGCGGAAAACAATAATCTGACATGCGAGATGAAAACAGAATGGACGATGTGGAGGACAATTCTGAGCTGCGACGAGGAGTCCCAGTCGCTCATCAGATCTATGGCGTACCTCAGACTATCAATACTGCCAATTACATCTACTTCTTGGCCATGCAGGAACTTATCAAGCTCAATGGATCCGTCAAGGGAAAGGAAAAAGAGACGGACCTCATGGCCGCTGTGACTGGTGAGTAAATGGATCGGAAGAGGCTTTACAAACGAGAGCTTGGGTAGCTGACGGATACCAGATGAGCTTCTTGACTTGCATCGCGGACAAGGCATGGATCTCTTTTGGCGAGATAGTCTCACTTGTCCAACAGAGGAAGAATATGTACATATGGTGCTTGGAAGTGAGTCACTCAGCATAGTTCGTTAAGCTCATGCCTTCAGAGACCGGCGGGCTCTTCAGGATAGCGGTTAAGCTCATGATGGCAAGATCAGCATCCAACGTGTGAGTCTCTGTCTTCACATCGATTTCGCCGACTCTCGAGCTGACCAAAAAAATCGTGCAGCGACTACGTCCCGTTGGTCAATCTTATCTCGGTCTACTTCCAGATCAGAGACGATTACATGAATTTGCAGTCTACTCAGGTAAGCAAGCAAGCATACAGACTGGCTACTGGACGGGATCGCTGACACGTCATCAGTACACCGAGAACAAGGGTTTCTGTGAGGATTTGACAGAGGGCAAATTCTCCTTCCCCGTGGTACATGGTGTCCGGGCAGATACGTCAAACCGACAGATTCTCAGCAAGTCTTCCCCACATGAAGCCTCGCGCCTCTTCACTGACAATGGTTTCAGACGTGCTACAGAAACGGACCAATTCCGTATCGTTGAAACAGCATACCGTCGATTACCTTCGAAACCAGACTCGATCTTTTGCCTACACTCTTCAGGTCCTACGTACAATCCACCAGCAAATCGTCGATGAGATTGCAAGTCTTGGAGGCAACAAGCGGCTTGAAGCGATTGTCGAGGCTCTACATCTCCCGACGGACGAAAGCCTGGACACATAATGGGTCACAATTCTATAATACTCCTGCTGCACGACCTCTTGAAGGATCGAATCTACACGTTTATTACAACATTCTGTCTAGATCCCCATACTGTACCTCTATCGCACACCACTTGCATGCACGATTTGATCGATGATCAGGATGGCTCTGACGACCTTTTCGTCCTCCCACTTTCGACCGACGACTTGCAGACCGAGAGGGAGACCAGCAAATGCCTCTGGACTATCTGGACCCGTGTCAGCCTTACTGAGATAGAGGTTGCAACTCACATGCTTCCCAGGCCTGTCGATCTGACGCGCCCCAGAATTCCGTCCTCCCCTCCCTAACGTCAGAGGCATCAACGTACAAGCCAGCGGGGAAGACGCCAGCAGGGACATCGAGAACGTTGAACATGCTCGTGTATCCCCAGTACTTTGATGTCCCCAGCTTTGGCGCCGGACCAGGAGCCGGAGGACAAAGCAGTACGTCTATCTGGAGCGATGCAAACCATTTATGGTAAGCTGCCTGATGGGCAGTTCGTCGATTATTGAGCTGCACGACGGTGAGTGAATCCGCAACGCGACAGGAGGTTCCGTCCCGACTCACATCGATAACATCTGTGGCTGAGAGTTCTCCTGCACCTTGATCCAATATCCACTGGGTCAATGGCAGAATTGGCTCTCCGCTGGCTTTGATGGCTTCTCGAACCCGCTTTCCTCCGTCAGTGAAATAGGCTCTACGCTAAGACTATGGTCAGTTCAATGACCATCCAGTACTTCGTGAGCACTAACGGCGATCTCCCAGCTTTCCTTACAGTCGAAAGGAGCTACTTCGACGATTGTGACATGGGCCGCTTGCAACTTGTCAACGACAACTTGTAGAGCTCGTCGCATGGGAGGTTGTGGCATGACAACGCCATCATGTCTCATCACTCCGACTTTGGGCTGGGGACCACCAATGAATGTAACGTCGTCCAGCTTCCAAGGCATCTTGATACAGGAATGGTCGATGTTCCAAGGCTCAGTACCCAGCGCAGCGCTCATAAATAAGTCAAGATCTCTCGCCGATCTTGCTATGGGTCCATTGGTCCCTATGATAGAGGACTGTCCACTCATCGGACTCTTTTTGGGTGAGAAAGTTTGGGTCAGTATTGCGGGTGAAGAAAGGTTGAGATCGATCTCTTACTCACGATCACACCGCTCAATGGCAGCCGACCTAATGTAGGTTTGAACCCGTAGATACCGCATAGAGCGGCTGGTCCGCGTATACTGCCGCCAATATCTGTCCCAACTCTGGCTCAGATGTCAGGCTTCGCCATCAAGAGAAAGAGAGAGGATACCGACCCTATCGAACTAGCTCTCAGAGCCAATAGTGCGCTCTCGCCCCCACTGCTTCCGCCGGCAGTATGAGAGGTCTTGAAAGGGTTCAGAGTAGGTCCCAGGAAACTATGCGTCTCGAGATGCATCACCGTCTGTGGGCAAGTTGTCTTCGCAAAGAACACTGCAGCGCGTTCAGCGTACATTCTGAGTCGAGCACAATGAAGAGCCTCACCCGCACCACAGTCTCGTAAAGCACTCGTGATTGCGGCATCGAAATCCATTGTCTTCACTGTGGACAAGATGCCCATGGTGTTCTGCTGTCCGGTCACAGATACGATGTCTAGCATAACCATCATTATGGGTCCTTCATGAGTGGTCTCACCTTTCAAGGATACAGGTAGGCCGTGCAGAGGTCCTACCGTTTCTCCTGTCCTCGCAAGCTCTTCGTCGAGCCAACGTGCTCTTTCCATCGCTACATCTGGAAAGAATGCCATCAAGCAATTGGTGGCTTGATGAGCGACGGCCGCTGCTTTGCAATAGACGCTAGCGACTTCAAGGGCTTTGTATTGTCTCGATGCCAGACGATCCCTGAGCTCTGTCGCATCTAAAGCTAAGATCTCCAATTCGAATGTACTAAAGAGACCGCAGGATGTGGTTATTCGTGAACAATCGGGTGGAAGAGGAAGGAGGTGGGAGGGGATCTGGCATTCTAGAGGTATGCTTGATTTCAGCCTGTCCTTAAAAGCTTGTGCTTGTGCTTGCCAGTCTGATGACATGACTTCAGCTGTTGAAAGTAATGTTCGAGATTCAATGACTACAGTGTATGTCACCTGGGGATAATCACGAGCGGATCTCGGAACGAGGGCGCAATAAGAAGACTACCGGTTGCTGCATCTTTGGAATCTCACTGCTTGCATGCTTGTCGGGGGCCACGAGACAAGTCTATGAGAACAGGGAGAACACATAGAGAGTAGGACTGATTGGTGGTTGACGAGCGAGATCTACAGGGACTAGACTTTGACCCGAACTGCAGCTTGTGCGTAGGGCTGCCGACATGACATCGCCAGGGCAATGTCACCATCTTTGTTGAATGGCTCTGTGCCTGCACACTCTGTCCTGGCGAGCAGGCTGAAGTCATGTACAGACGTCTGGAGTCGGATGACATTGGTGGACTCGAGTTCTAGACCAGAAAGATCCCGCATTTTTCTGGAATAGTTCAAAGACGCTAGAAAGCGCCTCTTGGAACTTGAGGTAGACCTGTGATCACAGTCAGCTGAGGACAGATGTGGATCTGTAATGTAGTGTGTCTAACCTTTGGAGACCTCCTTTGCCTTGACACCCTGTTCTTTCCGTTTAATCTCTGCCCTCCTCATATCGAAGATCTGCCTATGTAGAGCGTATTTTCGATGTGTGGACGGGGGCGATGCTGTCGATACGGGTAGATTCGACATGTTGCTCAAGTCCACACTGTGAGCTGGACTCTTTTCTGCACCCGGATTGACGGACTTCGACTTGTCTTTCCCCTCAGTGTCGTTCTTTGATCCTTGCGGGCTCTCCTTTGCGTCTTTCTCTGTCGGAGATGCCTTCTTCGCTTCTCGAGCGTGGTAGTCTGCAATGACTTTGCGTATGTCTTCGGGTGAGGGGCCAGAGTTAGAAGGAGGAGGAGCGATGGGAGAAGCGCTGATCGATGTTGAGGGGAGACGGTCAATCCATGCGAGAGAAGAGAACAAGCTTGAAGACTTACAAACCTCTACGGACTCGATGATCAGCAATCATGTTCTGCTCTGCTCTCTGAATATGTGTCTGGTCCCGACAAGAGGGGAACGAGAACGCCAGACACTCACGGATCCGATAGATGACCATCACATGTGTACAGAAAGTCTTCCGTCTTCAACGTTGCCAGAACAGTTTCCGTCGGCCGTTTACAGATATAGCACGGACGAGCCGTTGCAACTTTCTGACCACAAAATGCATCAGTATATTGCCTGCCTAAGGCTGCTGCTGGACGCAAGTTGCACCTCTCTCACCCTCTCATAGTATATGTTCTGGAGTGGAGTCGAGGTGCTCGAAGACGCCATGGTAGATGTCAAATGGTGAATGGTGGTGACGTCGAAATGACGCGTCAATGTGGACGGGCTCAGATGAGAATATGACACTCTGAATAGCCAGGCAGATCTCTCACATTCAGTCTGAGGTTATCGTCGACGAACCGGCACATGCTGGCCAAAGATGCATTGACAGGAATCATCACGAGGACTGACTGCTCAGATCTCTCCATACAAGTCAGGTTGAGACGAGATCTTCAGCACTGGGTTTTCGATTCAGCACCTCTCTGCCAAATCTACCAAATGAGAGCAGGATTTGAACCCTTCCTCGCAAACTATCTATGTAGCGGCCAGCCTTGTCGCAATAGCTGAGGCATGCTCACGAGGGGTAGCCGATGCAAGGCACGAAAAGGGTCGTAGCGAATCTGCTGGACCACTCTGGGCAGCGAACTCCGGGTGCACTCCGCTGTCCGAGCCGCCGCATAGTGCAGGCGCTCGATGGCTCAAGCGCCGGCGTATAGCTCCGGCAGAGACCATTCTGTCGATGCACAGTTCTCGGAGCTTTCGAGTGGAGCTCTCGCTTCTAGCTTGAAACGAACGTCAGGGCTCTTTCATAGCTGAACGGGGACCTCCTGTCAGATTTAGTCAGGCTCACGCCATGGACGAGGAAGCTCTCTCGACTCACGATGATCTCACTGGCAGCCTGCTCGTCCACGGGATCTTTGAGTCCCTGTTGACCTTACTCCGCGGTCGTCGCTTTTGCCACAGTTGTTGGTCCGACCACGCAGACAGGGGAGCAGGCATGTCTGAACGCAGCGGATGAAGGACATGCTTGGTGGAATGTCATCCGGAATCTACGGCCGTTCGGAGCGAAACATGATGGAGGAGTCGTCGAGATTGAGCGAGTTGAGGTATATTGAGAGCGAAACCTTCACCTCCAAGCACAGAGTGGCGATGTCACAGGAGTTGACAGCGTGGTGGCGTTCTGGGCAATGTGTATGGTGATTTGCAGGAATGCAGTGGGGTTTGCGGCGTACCAGCCGTCCCATTTGTCACGCTACGACCTATGCCTCTGCTTCGACGAGGAGATCCCGTGCCTTACGAGCTTCTTCGAATAAAGCCTTCATCTCATCCGTCTCGTCTCCCCAATCGAGACCCATCTCTGATTCGCCCCAGTCTCCTTGTTCGACTTCTTCGTCCTCGGAGTCTGGGTCTAGCTGAGGTATGGGGCCCATCTGCCGAGAAGCAGATAGCACTGAGGAGGTGAGGTTGCCAGGGGTAGATACGAGTGAAGATGTGTTTCGGCGAGACGTGTGTGTCAGTGGATCGGGGTCCGACACCTCTACCTCTGAGGTTGGCAGTGATGCACCTGGCGGGGTAGGCTTAGACTTGCTCAGGGGTCCGTTGGTCGTGGGTGGACAATCTGTAGGGGCTGACGAGATGCTCTGCGATGGACGTTCAATGATCGTAAGGCTCGATATCATATCGGCAATACTCGACGGTGACGATGAGGTCGACGAATTGAGGGCCACAGTTTGTATACGCTCCTTCCAGGGCTGTATGGGCTCGGTAGGCTGCGCAGCTTCATACGATCGGGTTGGACTTGCTTGAGGTTGCCCAGCACATATCGGCGGAGCTTGCTTCGTCCGCTGTGCCGTTGTCGAATTCTGATCTTCTAGATCTTCCAAGAGCTCTATGACTCCAACTTTGCCCGCTCGATCCCACACATTGACTTCAGAGAGCTTCTGCTCGACCCATCCACTTCGAAGTCTACATTTGTCACTGCAATAACCCTCTTCTTCATTGCCTTGCTTTTCACGGATGGTTCGATTCGAGGTCGATATTTTGAATCGGCGGTGAGAAGTGTATGGGTGTAAAGGGGCATTTGAGCATGTGGGATACGAGCAAAGTCCATTGAGATGTCGTTCGTGAAGTACGTCTAGGTATTGTCGAGGTGTAAGATATCCGCACTGAGCCGGAAGAGTGGTGTCAACAATGATAATAATGGTAGGTATCTTGTGAGATGTCATCCTGACTCACTGCCTTCTTGAATGTTTTGATGTCCACTGCCTCCTCCATCAGCTTATCAGACCATCTCTCCCCCTTCTTCGTGATCTTCACTCGGTTTAACAAGCTATGCGCCAACGTATCAGCGTCGGTCGAGCTGGATTCTTCGGCAGCTGTTCCCCTAGGTCCTAGGCGCTGAGCGACTGTCAGGCGTGAAGGGTTGTCGAGGGTTCGAGTAGGTACCGGCCTACGTGACGATTCGCCTGATTTATCAGAGTCCAATGAGGCCATCGCGGTCGCAGTGACTCTCCTCCGGGAGGAAGTTAGTTGCCAAGGGATGATGATTGAAGTGGTGAGGTCGAGCGGATCAAACTCTTGCCGGTCGAAAAATATGCGCCATATCGTTGATCTCTTACTTTGACCTTTGTTCGACCATCAACAGCATGTATTCATGAGGGCAGCACACGAGCTCGCGGGCATAGGTACCGATCTGGATAGAGGCTCTTTCCAAAAGGCTGCTTGCTCGAGACTTTATGTGTGCTGGCGTGCTACCGCCCTGACCATTCACAAAAGGGAATAGGACGTGGGCAACCACAAGCGTTCTAACCCTGTTCCCGACTCAGCCGGTCCCACCATCTTATCCACTTCGACCTGATAGAGCTCCGGATGATGCTACGATGTATCTGCCAAGCGAGCCTTCGCTAGTCCATGCCAAAAGACCCTCTGCACCTATACACTCACCGAATCACTCATGGCTCAGCCGTATTTCTCAACTTTCTACTGATCCAGCCATCGTGCACAATGAATCTGCCCATCTTTGTACCTTCACTAGCTTTGCTCGTCGCCGAAGCTGGCTTCGTCGGTACCGATGCAAGTATCCAAAATGCTCCAGGTCATTGAAGGTTGGTTGACGCAGCAAGCTTTTTCTGGTCCGGATGGTGAGAAGGCTGGGCTTCGATGTCTGCCCCGAGGGATACATCTGCTAATAAGTATCGATAGACTTTGACGCTCCCCCTCTGCCTTGCCTTTTTGTACACTGTCGAAGTCCTTCATCGACCATTTGGAGCACCTGCAGTCAAGGCCTTGATCTGGGCGAGGGCCCTGGCCTGCTACGGTTCTGCAACACTAATATATATGGCTTTCCGACGTATCTCGCTAAGCGAAGGCCTTAGCATATGGAATCTCAAGCCGTTCCCAACTATGTTGTTATGGAATCTGCTGATGGGCAAGGGGGTCACAGTGATACAGCTTGGTGCTGCTGGTGAGATTGATTGACCTCAGGACGGGGTGTTGATGCACTCATGGTGTCTTCTCTCTTCGGTTGGTGCCAAAGAACATCATCGTCATCTCTGGTGTAGTCTCTGTGGTAAGTCGATCTGTTTCCACACCATTCGCTGGTCATGGCTGAACTTTGCCGACCCAGTATGCTGCGTCAAAACCACCCGCAGCGCATGAGAAGCCTGCATCGAGTGAGGAGGACGGGTCGGCGCCTCTTCTGGCGGAGGATGACTTGGCGTCTCCTCTCATGCCGAGAACGACGCGGGAGTCGGGGTAGAACTTTGCTGTCAGGGCCATGTCGCCTTCTCCTCGCCAGCCAAACATGAGCTCTTCGAGCTCTTCAGCCCTTCATGCATCCTCCGTTCATGTACACCGCCAGTCCCATCCATTCCAAACCCGGTCGAGTGCCACATTTCGAAAAAAGCCACGTCGATGAAAGCTCGGCGTCATCTTGTTGCTGTGGTCCTGACAGTGCCATTCCTGCTGCAACATAGCGAGCTCAGCTGCTTTCTGCAATCTTTAGTGTTGCCATAGAGGACACAGTGGAAGTGTCGAGTCACACCGTTTCAACATGAATGGCAACTTTGAAGACGTCGAGGACAGGGATGGTGAGTGGGATTCGGACGGTTTCTTTCGCCCAATGGAAAACAGCGGCTGATTATGTCTGTCTGCCTGCCTGTTCGTCTGTTCCAGGCGTCCGATTCTCCTGGAACGCCTGGCCCTCCAGTCGTATCGAAGCGACTAGGACCGTCGTACCTATCTCGGCGCTTTACACGCCGTTGAAGGAACGACCGGATCTACCACCTGTAATGTACGAGCCAGTGACTTGTAAAGGATCCTGCAAGGCAATCTTGAACCCGTATTGGTGAGTTGGAAAAGGGCGATGGCAGGCAGGGAGGGAGGATCCTTGATGACGACTGACGATTCATCACACAGTCAAATCGATGTGCGGGGGAAGATGTGGATCTGCCCATTCTGTCTCCAGCGAAATCCTTTCCCACCGCATTACAAGGACATCACAGCGACCAACCTCCCCGCTGAGCTCTTGCCCAAATACACGACAATCGAATACACTCTCAGTCGAGGTGCTCAGATCCCTCCAATCTTTCTATACGTTGTCGACACGTGTGTGGACGAAGATGAGCTCAAGGCACTCCGAGATACACTGGTCGTCAGCTTGAGCTTGTTACCTCCGAATGCTTTGGTTGGGTTGATCACTTATGGCACAATGGTGGGTCAGGGTGTGCATGGACCCAATCTCGAGAGGTCCCCCGTCACTGACTGTACACGATCCAGACTATGGTACACGAGCTCGCTTATGCCGACTGCCCTAAATCCTACGTGTTCCGAGGATCCAAAGACTACCAACCGAAACAGATTGCCGACATGTTGGGCTTGAACCCTTCTTCTCGACCTATGCAAGCGCCTAGACCTGGTCAACCTATCCCTGCGCCCGCGGCGTCCAAGTTCTTGATGCCCGTTCAAGCTTGCGAATTCCAGTTGACAAACATCCTCGAGGGTCTACAACGGGATCCATGGCCAGTGGAGCAGGACAAGCGACCTTTGAGATGTACAGGCGTTGCTTTGGCCGTTGCAGTATCCCTGCTCGAGGTGAGCAAAGCTAGCGCAACCATGGCCATTCAGCTCACAATCACAGGCCGCCTTCCCCAACACTGGTGCGCGCATCATGTTGTTTGCTGGTGGGCCGGCAACCGATGGGCCTGGTTTGGTGGTTGGACCCGAGTTGCGAGAGCCTATTCGATCTCATCACGATATCGATAGGGACAGTGTGAAGCATTTCAAGCGAGCTACAAAGGTGAGAAATGTTTTTCGACTGTCTTCAATTTCTGTTGACACGCCTCGGGTAGTATTATGAGACCCTCTCCAAACGAGCCTCTGTTAATGGTCACGCTATCGACGTATATGCCGGATGTCTAGATCAAGTCGGTTTGCTGGAAATGAAATCGCTCACCAACGCAACAAATGGATTCATGATTATCTCCGATTCCTTCATGACTGCTATTTTCAAGCAGAGTTTCCTACGTACGCTTGGCAAAGACGAGCAAGAATTCCTCAAGATGGGTTTCAACGGGACATTTGAGGTCTTGGTAAGCCGCCACAGGTGTAACAACGACAGCCGGAGCTGAACCCTCCAACTTCAGACGACGAAAGAGCTCAAGATCTCTGGAGTCATCGGACATGTCATCTCTGCCAACAAGAAATCCTCCTGTGTGGGCGAAACTGAGATTGGTATCGGTCAAACATCAGCTTGGAAAGTCTGCTCTCTCACTCCAAAGACATCCCTCGCGACGTATTTCGAGGTCGTCACTCCTGCCGGTCAACCTGTTGGACCGAACCAATCGGGTCTGATCCAATTCGTCACACACTATCAGCATTCGTCCGGGCAATATAGGCTTCGAGTGACGACTGTAGCTCGAACGTTCCACGAAGGCGGACATCCAGCGATCGCTCAGTCCTTCGACCAAGAAGCTGCGGCGGTCCTCATGGCCAGAATAGCGGTCTTCAAGGCTGAGATTGATGACTCTCCAGACGTCTTACGATGGTTGGATAGAATGCTCATTCGCCTGTGCCAAAAGTTTGCAGAATATCGAAAAGAGGATCCCGGCAGCTTCCAACTTGGTCCAAACTTTTCAATCTATCCTCAGTTCATGTTCCATTTGAGGCGAAGTCAGTTCTTGCAAGTATTTAACAATTCGCCAGACGAGACGGCATTCTACAGGTGAGGTTCTTTGTCGTAAAGCTGATAGCTTTGCTGATGCTCGCTTGCATTTTAGACACGTTCTCAACGATGCAGACGTCAACAACTCGCTCATCATGATTCAACCTACACTCATGTCTTACACTTTCGATACGGATCCACATCCTGTTCTCCTCGACTCGGTCTCTATTCGACCCGATGTCATTCTGCTTCTCGATACATTCTTCCATATTCTCATCTTCCACGGCGAGACGGTCGCTCAATGGCGTAAAGCCAATTACCACGAACAGGAAGGCTATGAGAATTTCAAGGAATTGCTAGAGAACCCCATTGCAGACGCTCAAGAATTGCTCGAGGATCGACTACCTATCCCTCGATACATTGTCTGTGATCAGGGTGGATCTCAAGCTCGATTCTTGTTGTCCAAGTTGAATCCTTCGACGACTCACATGTCTGGAAACTCGTATGGAGCTGCGGGTGGCGGGGGCGGTCAAGCCATCTTCACTGACGATGTCAGCTTGCAAGTCTTCATGGAGCATCTCAAGAGATTGGTGAGTGACTCAATGTCTGGGTCCCGTGTTGACAGGTTATCTTCAGGCTGTCGGTGCCTCCACCAGCTAAGCCTCCGAGTTGTGAACGGTGGTCGGTGGTCTGCGGCGTCGCGGTCCCCCGTCTCATGAAGGTTTACAGATGGTTGCATTGGGATGGATAGATCGTACAAGGTAAACGATTGATGTGCTCAATTGAATGCAAATGGATGATGTCAACGAGTCTTTTGTGATCGTTGAATTGCCGTTTCCCCAACTACACGCTCGTTGTCTGCAGTCGCTCCGATTCCCACCCACTTGCCTTCTGCGTTTCCATCGCACATCGATCCCACCACAATCGTTTCGCGATAAAGTTGTAGGCCTCTTTTTGCTCCTCTGACAAACTCTTCCAATGGTCCCAGAACAAAGGGTTGACAGATCCAGGTCGAGGACTGAGTAGTTTCTTCCATTTCAACCTCCGGTAGTACATTTCATGTTGTCTATCCCAGCCTGTCGGAGGATAAGGGTTGGCGCTTTGATATTTTTCAAGTTGATCAATGTTCATCTGGAGGAAAGGTTGTGGTACACCCTGGACGTCTTTGGCGAGATATCCTGGGTAATCGGATGAAAGAGGAGCGATCGGTGAGAAATCCGCTTCATCCGAAGCGGTGATGTTGGAGGAGGAGGAGGAGGAAGAAGAAGAAGAAGAAAACGCTGATGAACGGGAAGATGAAGAAGACGTGGAGAACATTTCGTCACTCTCATTCCCCCAATCCGCTTCTATCATCTCCAGCTCCTCCTGCAGCATCTTTCGATCCTCTTGTATCCTTGACGCACTGCCTTTCGGTGCCCCTTTTCCTAGACTCGCTTCGTATTGTCTGACTTTTGACCATGGGGATCTGACATCTGGTCTCATTTCCGGTGCGATCCTCAATGCGTGCCGTTGAAACACTCTAAATCCCGATGGGGGAGCAGAGAGCTTCAGGGCTGATAGTTGAGATCTCGGTCGCTCGTGATTACGGTCAACGTATGGTTTGAGCTGTTGAGAGAAAGGTGAAGAAGAATAGACTATCAGCATGGATTCACAATTTGCGAAGTCTCAGTGAAGATCCCCCAAGTCCAAGCTTCAACATCTCTTTGTGAATCGGCCCTGAGGGTACGGAGAACCAACCCCATCTAAGGCTTCCTATCTCGTGGACCAAATCATCGAACTCCCACAGCCGGAACCTCCGCCAAAAAAAAGGGAATTCAATCATCCGTCCACCCACTCACATTGGTCTCGTTCAAAAGGCTCAGCGGAGGAGCGACGAACACTCTGACTTTCTCATCGTCCAATTTATATCCCCTCGTTCGGAGAACATGTTTTCCGGGAGCTCCTGTTCGAACACCTGCACCAGGAGCAAAGGCCTGACCAGTACCTAGAATGTAGTGAGCGGGGCGAGCGGAACAAGCATCGTGATTGGGGGAGTTGAGGACCATTCAACTGACCTTTGTAAAAGTCTTTTTTGGCCTGTTTCGATGTCAGAGGGAGACGTCTAGCTCCGCAGTTGGGGAGAGTGGGCTTCATGGTTGGTGCGTGAGATGCAACGCTGTGCTGTACTGTGCTATAGCTGCTGCTCGCTATCCAAGTTCTAGGTGCGATGTTGAACCGAAAGAATTTCAATTGACCCACATTCTACCACGTGAGCCTATTTTTCAGAATAGGCACACATCACACCATCACCAAGTATTATGCATCTCGTGCCATGTCATTGTCCTCTACAAGATCCCTTACTCCTGAGTCTGCCAGAGCCCATATGACTTGCCAGGATTAGTCTGCCATAATCGAATGGTTCCTTTAGATTGCGTCAGCCATCATATAGATGATGATGATGATGATAACATGCCACTCACCGTCTTCTGACCCAGAAGCATAGACTTCTCCATCAGGACTGTACGAAGCGCACAGTACAGGGCCGTGATGACCCTTGTAGACTTCCTTCTCCTGTCCTGAATCTAAATCGTAAACTCTGACCCATGGATCGTTGGCTGATCCAGCGACGAATCGGTCTCGAAGGAAAGGATGGAGAGAAGCGGATGTAGGCGGATGAGGTAGAGGAACGGTAACGGGAGGATGTTGACGCATAATGTCCAGGAAATGGACCTTGTTCCCAGCGGTAACGCTCAGCGTTCCACCTCCGTGTGCCAATTCCATAGAAGTGATGGGGTCTTCAAGGTTGAGACTGCCGGTTTGAGACAGCGTGCGGAGGTCCCACCATCTGCACGGGGATTAGCAGCATTCACCCCTCGAAGTGAAAGTGTCTCACCTAACAATGCCATCTTCTGCGGCACTGACGCCCACTGAGCCCCCTTGCGCCTCATCCCAGACCAAAGAGCGGATGGTCCCATCACACGACAGTCCATCGGGATTGGAACCGAGAATCAACGGTTCCGCATCCGGTCTACCGAGGTCGAACAGCCTGATTTTCTTCTCGTTTCCGCCCTGATTGGCATCAGCAGCTGAACGCGACAGATCATGAGAGCATTGACCTACCGTGAGGAGATATTGTGGCTGAGGTTGTGGACTTAATGCCACAGACCGCACGATGTGGTTGTGCGTGAAGGTATGCAGAGCCTCCCCACTGTTGCAGTCCCAGATTTTCCTGCGAGAGAAAGAGGTAAAATCAGCGTAAATCTACATGGACCAAGGGGAGCGACTCACGCGCTGAAATCGGCACTGCCGGTGACTGCGCGAGAGGTGTCCAAGGAGATCTTGGAAGACCAAACAGCTCCCTTGTGACCTGGGAGTCCGATCAGCATGTCGTAAATTTACATATGCCATCATACTTACCCAGAAATGTGCCTATCCAATCACCGAGCCAGCTCCGGAGCATTGGATTACCATCTTTACAGGCGGATATGAGGAGATACGTGCCGTCTTCCAGACTGGGGACAGGATCAGCGTGCGTTCCACGACGGAGTGCCTCACAGATTTGAGAATTGCAAGTGAACCACAGGTCTGGTATGTCCTGAACACAATAAGGGTTGGACTTTGACGCCACCGTTTGTCTGAGGTTCAGGTGTATGCGAGTTGGACACTGCAGGAGAACCTAAGTTGGAATGATGATTCGGTTGAGGGATATGAAGAGAGTGCTGTTGGGACTGTTGGAGAATATTAGGGGAGCGTGTCGGGTAGCCGTTCACGTATGCCATAGTGGCCAAGCTGAAGCGTATCGCAGGTGCAGATTGGCAAGGTTGAAGAAGGCAGATAATGCACGAGAAAGCCAAATCGTCGCTGGTGGTCGGAGAGTCAGAAGGAGGTTCTGACTATTATGTCGACGAAGAAGACAATGACTCGAGTATACGAGTCTAGGTATCCTAGCTGAACCTCAGGTCGTAATCTAAGCGACTGACCGCCTTGTGAGGTATCCAATAGCGGAGAGGTGCTTGAAAAGGGTCGTGATAATGTTTTTAAGCAGATGTCTCTCTCGATGAACGGGACACGCAGCGTTGAGAGGATATTGGAACCTGTCTCTGGACGGTCAAAGGATGTGATGTCTAGGTTGAATTTCGAGTTGGGGTGGAAGGATGTGCTGCTGCTGCTGATGACTGATTGATTATTATACTTTGATTACACCGGGTTGGTTTAAAGGGTTGTCGATGCTCTGTACAAGGATGAACAGGAAAGTCGTCCCTGCTGACGGAAGAGGGGTCAGGGAAGTAGATTGATGTTGGAGAGTTCTCTGTGTGGTGTCGATCTGGAGAAAGCTGAGCTGAGCTGTTGTTCGTATCGTATTCGTATTCGTAAATAAAAGGCGGGCAGTGTAATAGAGACGGGGGGGGTGCTTGGGTTGAGGTAAGTTACGAGTTGGTGTGGGAGCGTGCCCGCGAGTCTGAAGAGGTAGGTATTTCGATACGAGTCACCGGAGAGGTGTCTGATCAGATCAGATCTGATCTGGTGAGAGAGACAGAGAGAGAGAGAGAGAGAGAAGTAAGAGGACAAAAGAGGGCTAACGGGAGAGAATGGGATTGGAATGGACACCGAAGAAAGGGAGGGGCGTGCTGTGAGACCGAACCGAAGTGCCACAACAACAAATTCCCATTTCTCACCCAAATTCAAACGCCGAAACGCCGAAGACGAAGCCAGTCAGCTTACTCGATTCTCCTTTTTGACATCTTGACAGCTAGCTAGCTATATCAGACTCCGACTCGGGTATACTTGGGATCAAGAGCTTTCCTCCTCATTGATCCATTCCAAGATGAAGCTCGTCAGGTGAGTTCTCCGAAGGCTGAGCGAGGAAGCGAGGAAGCGAGGAAGCAAATCCATTGACGCTGCACTCTTCCTCTGCAGATTCCTGATGAAGCTCAACAATGAGACGGTCACGATAGAGCTCAAGAATGGAAGTGTGATCCATGGGACAATAACGTGTGGGTTTATGGGAAAGCGAGCATGATGTTTTGAAGCGTCACGCTGACCTGCTTCCTCTTTTCTTCTCTTCTTTTCGCTCCCATCGTCTCGTATGACTATATGATCGATTGGATCGATTATTTCTTGCTCCGTTTGGGACGCAAATCTTGCGCGTCATTCCTCGCTCGCATCGCATCCTTCATCGTCTTGGACCTGGAATCCCGTTTTACGGACATGTCGTCCTCTGGCTGTTGCTCGTTCTTCACTCTCTGTCATGTCCGCCTCGTTACTCCGCTCGACGCGCGACCGCAGCCGTGGACCCGCAAATGAACACCCATTTGAAATCCGTCAAACTCTCCCTTCGAACCGCCGCACCTGGTACGCCTCCCCTCTCTCTCGACAGCTTAGCCATACGTGGCAACAATGTCAGATACTATATCTTACCTGATTCCTTACCGCTCGATACTTTATTGGTGGACGATGCGCCGAGAGCGAAGAAGAGGAAAGAAGGTGCAGCAGCCGCCGCTGGAGCCAGAGGCGCCAGAGGTGGACGTGGCGGGCCAAGAGGTAGAGGTGGACCGAGGGGCGGACCTAGAGGCGGTGGAAGGGGACGTGGATTCTAGATCTGGAGGGAAGCTCGCGACCTTTACAGAAGGCGAACCGAACGATTGTCGAGATATGGAGAGCAATTTGGAGGGTAGGATACAAAAATGTCGAATCACGTCTCGTGTACTGGACGCCATCCACTTGGACTCACACGCGCAACGTGAATTCGACTCGGGCTGGGGCCTACTGTACGATGCAGTCGCCCATACGTTACTCTGACGACCTGGCAGTCGTGCAAACGCCACATCAATGTATGCATCATCGCATGTACAATATGGAACCATCCCTCCTTCCAGTTGCAAGAGATATGATGGAATTTGAGACAATTTATGGATCTCTATAGACGATTTTTGGGACGCAAGTGAAATTCTAATACCCCTTCTTGACATCTACGACGTTGAAGAACGTCCCCTTCTCCCTGAATCGCTTGACATTCTCCATCACACATTCAGCAGCCGCGTCCGAGTAATGCTCATAATCTCCAGACGTGTGAGGGGTGAGCACAACACGAGGGTGAGAATATAGCGGGTGGTTATCAGGCAGAGGTTCTGGATCAGTGACGTCCAACGCTGCCCCGATCAGACCGTTGGGAGCGTCCAGAGCTGCGATGATGTCGTCTGAGGCGCGAGGTGGCAATCAGCATTCCGACTTTTGAGAGAGGTCGTGATTTTTCAAAGACTCACCGGACGGTGCAAGATCACCTCGACCAATGTTGACGAAGACTGAGCGATCTGGCATCATGTCTGGGATCGAGAAGATAAGCAAAATGGTCATGGCACTTCGGGAGGATCATCGACTCACCGAATTGCTCTTTGTTAAGCAAGTAATGTGTCTGGGGGGTCGAGGGTAACGAGCCGATCAGGATGTCCGATTTAGACAAAAACTCGTGAAAGGAGTCTTTGTCAGTCGTCGAGTAGTACTCGTCGGGGATTGAGCCTGATAGAAGAGTGTCAGGTCTGCTATTCGGCACGTAATTGTCCCAGATGCTCACCATCGGCATCACCGGTCCCAGGGAACATGAACTAGGGCGAGACGAAGATTAGCGTACTCTCTCTTCGCTTCGCCAACATCGCTGCCTCACCCCATCGTCCCCCTTTTTCGAACCACTCGAATTGGCAGCGATGATCCTGACGTTCATGGCTTTCAATTGCCTAGCAGCTTCACGAGCGATGGAGCCGTATCCCTGGTTGTGCCAGTCAGGCTCTATAGACAGATAAGGAATGGCAAGGCCATGACGCACCAGCATACCGGCTGTCTTGCCGTACAGTGTCATAGCATTGTGGACAGGGAGCTCAGACTTGGAGAACCATTTCTTGTCATCCTAGGAGACCATCAAGTCAGACCAGGCTCGATGCTACTCTTTGACATCAAGCAGTGAGACTCACTCGGGTCTTGTGAGTTTGCAGATAGGCAGAGTTGTACACTATGTTAATGTGTTTCAGTAGCGATACACACCACTCAATGGCTCCACGTACAGCTGATTATGGACATGACAATGTACTGAGGGATCGCAAGACTGTGAATGCCTGCGAAGGACCTAGCGTTAGTCATTGAGGTCACATGTGGAGCAACTTTGAGACTCACCGGATGCTGTACACAGGGCAAATTTCTTGTCCCATCCCGGATACGAGGTGAAGACTTTGGAATTGAGGGCAGCGTTGGCACCGGCTGAAGAGTGTCAATGTTGTTAGATTCGGAGCCAACATGTTTCTAGAGAGGAACAGCAGTGGGAGTTTGGGCGAATCAAGCCTTTTTGCTGGTCTCAGTGGCCCTCCGTCGAGGCAGAGGGTGGTGAGAACACAATCGGGACAAGACTCTTGAGCCAGACAGTATGACCAAGCGCGCCATTCTCCGACCATTCTGACGAGATTCGCAGCCCGCTCGCTAGCCTACTACAGTTTCCATGTTCTCGCCCCAACTCACCACTCATCAATTGGACCAACTTTGTCTTTTTCAACTCGTCCAGACTCTCAACCTCTTCCGGTAGCCCACGCCAAGTCGCTGCCCAGACTTCAATCTCTGCCAAATGTTCTTTGGAGATGGGTGACCCATCAGGATGGTAATGAACAGTCTTGAATGTCTTTTTGACTCGATCGAGCGTCTCATCAGACACTTTGTACAAGAGTGCGAGAGTCTGGAGTTGATTATTGGTCATGGTGTAGATCTTCCGCAGCTGGGTCGTGGTGTTGCCGATGATGTTGAGATTGATGATATCCCACAAGATAGTCCTGAGAAGAATGCCGAGGTACAAACAGAATGTAAGATCGAGTTGAGCAGAATGAGAGATGCGCTCCCCCCGCCTCCCTCCACTCGGCACTCGGGGCAGATCTGCGCCGGAAGGGAAGTTCCGAATCGTCATCATTCGGGTGTGTTATACATAGCAGTTAAGCTTTCATGCTCTCGCTGAGAGAGCTACGATGATTGCAGCGGAAAGGATACAGGATAGCTAGACAGCCTCTATGGCTCTGTCCACGGCATTGTATGCATGCATGCCTACCTGAAGCTGACTGGCCTCTACACTTGTGGGCTCGATGACTTTGTCCGGAACAACGGACCGATGCTCAAAATTTCGGCTATCTCCGACCCAGTTCCGTATCATGTCGAGTGAGAGATCCCTGTTGTGCTCCATCTGTGAACCTGGCCGTGCGGTGCTCCATTGCGCCATCACGCCGGTCTCACACACTGCACACGGATTTCTTACCACTCGCGTTCTCATCCCTGAGCCTCCTCTCCGCCATACGCATTCGACTTGTGTTTCGGCACAAAGTTCCAACCTTGTTCCACTGGACCCAAGAACATTTCCGAAATCTTGATCCAGTCGCCGACGAAAGGACTGCTGAGCAACGTCTCAAGTTCACTTCGACCTCGATAGGCAGGCGGTCTTTCGTTCAGCATCGGAGGCAGACGTTCGAGCAAACCAATAGGGATATACCGGTGTTGGAAAGAAAGCGCCTCGCATAGGAACCGACGGGTTTTGGAGACTCCCTGGGTATCAGATCCCCAGTGACTCAGGCCGTACTCGGCGAACTGGGAAACGGATCAGCAAAGATCACCGTGCGCATTGGAAGAGATGTCACTTCCATAGGCTTGCTCGGCTAGCCTCTCCACCTTGCTCACCTTTCTGATTCCATCCAACCTCTCCGTCGCACTGATATCCCATTCTCTTCTCTCTTTGACCTCTGTGAAGATCCAAGGCTTGATCAGTGCGCCCCTGGCGATCATCACGCCGTCCACTCCGCTCTTTTCCATTTCCTCGTAGTATGACTGGGCAGAGAAGCAATCTCCGTTCCCGAACATTGGGATGCGGGGTAAACCAGCTTCGTCGGTAGTTTCTCGTAGTGTGGTCACGCATTGACGGATGTATTCCCAGTCTGCAAGTTTGGAGTACCTCTGTTGTCTAGATCGCCCGTGAAGCTACGCGATCGGCATCATGAGCATATGATCAACACAAGCCTTGCATCAACCCCACTCACAGTCATGGCGCTGGCTCCCCATTCTTTGGCGAATCGAGGGATCAGCTTGTGCGCGTTGGGCTTGTTCATAGCAACTCCAGTGCGCTGTGGACAGGGTCAACCACCGACGACCACCGACGCGCATATTTAGCTTGAGACGTACGAATTTGACTGTTAAAGGGACTGCACAGATCGTCAGTCACATCGGTACCTCCGATGGAAATGGAATCTTGCTCACTGTCTCCAAGCGCCCGGTTCATGCCTATCAGGAATTTGCCCAGACGTCCAGGAGCATCCATTACTGCGATCGGCGTCAGTCCATTTCATAAGCATGAAGCTTGAGCACATACAAGCGCTACCTGCGCCTTGATTAAAGATTAGGTCGATAGGACATCCCTGGAGCTCAGTCAGAGAAGATGAAGGACAGAGGCTGTACTCACCAAATTGACATCGACAAAATCTATACCATCTGAAAACTCTCTAGCGAGCATCTCTGCACAAGGCACCATACGATTGGCGTAACCTCCTGCAATCTGTACACCAAAGGTCTTCTCAGACTGGTGTTTTCTGAGCAGTGCAAATTCATCCATTTGGCCCAAGACAAGAGGTTGAGCCAGAGCCATCTCGGAGAGGGTGATGGTGGCTCCGTAATCAACGCAGAGTCTTCTGAATGGCTAGCAAAGGGCACGACATGATCAGTCAACACCAGGTGTGTGCAGGGTATAGTGCTCACTAGATTGCCCACAGTGGTCAACGGTGCAAGGTAAAGTCCACCTTCGAAGGGTAACTTCCGCTTCTCCTCTGGTCGCAATGGAACGTCTAAGCTTTCCGTCTGACCGTCCACTACCCCGTGATCATTTGTCATGCCACTTCCACCATTCGTAGCGTTCATCGCTGCTTCCTCGTCGGTCATTCCATTCGGTCCGGAGACGCTGGTACTGTCCTGCTTCGGACGCCGGTCCCCTTTAGGTCCCAATCTGAACTCTTTTTGCGGCTCAATATAATGCAGATATTTTTCAGAGAATCTGAAGGGGTACTGCTACCGGTCAACTTCGAGACTGGACGGCGGAACCTGACCAGAGCTCACCGATGAAGATCTGAGATCCGCCACTGTGCCATATGCAGGCCAATTCGTCTCTCCTCTTGACCATTTCCCGTGCTTGCCCACTTCGTCGTGTCCCAGGAGCTCCCATCGACCGATGTGTGAAGGACCGGCAGTTGTCTCGTCGACTTGATCAAGATATTTGATATGAGCCCCGAGGAATCGACATCTCCATCCGAACGGACACCATCCGATATCTTTGAACACTGGGCATTCCGTCCCAAAGTCTAATGACTTTCCAACTTCGTCCTCTTCTACCTCTTGCCTGCCTGACGATATCACGCCGTCCTCCTTCGGACGGACGAACGGAGCTTCATCGTACAATGCGGATGAAGCCATGAACGATATATCCCGGGGTTTCGTCTCAAAGTAGTCTTTCCAAGAATGGGTGAATCGACAATTCCCCTCCTTTTCCCGAGCGCAGGTCCCAGTCGTCTCCCACGATTTACACATCTTGACATTGCTGTCCCTCATGATGGGAAAATGTCTCGACTTGTTCTGACCTCGTTCTTTCTTCGAACCAGGACCGCCCGCCGTCTTTCGTCGTTTGGATCCCCGAGCATCGATCGTCGTTGAGCCTTCAGCGTCATCGTCGGCAGTAGAGTACGGTGCTTCAGTGTTGAGAGCATGAGACGACGTAGATTCCACTGTTGGCACCTTGTCTATCAGATACCTGAGAGGTAAGATTGTCAGTTTGTGCTTAGGAGAAAAGTCGACCAGAGAGGAATGCCGACTTGCTCTTTTTTGATCGGCGCCTCGCCTCGAGACATGGATGGACGGTCATTCAAAGAGGTCTCTGGTCTCGGCGTCAATGCTGGATCCTCTGACATGCTGCTGCTGATGGTCATTGTCCCAGTCTAGCTCATGGGACTGGAATCTGATGGTGGACAGAGACGTATATAGCAAGCAGTTCACCAGCACTTAGGAAATTTCTTGATTACGTAATCACTCACATCCGGCCCAATGCCTCTTCCAGCGTGACTCCCAAACTCCATCCCATCTCATCTCATCTTCTCGTTTCTACAACACCTCGGAGGTTCACTTCTCCTGCAGCTACATCGGAAGGAAGAGGGTACAAGCTCACCTAGAGCTTACAGGCTACTCTCCAAGATGCCAGGCTGTGAGTGGGGATCTGCCGCGCGGGTCTGAGAATGCATAGCTGACGCCTTGAATCGACAGTCCGTTTCCTCGAACTCGTGCGACCGTTTATGTCGATCCTTCCTGAAGTCACTGCTCCAGAGAAGAAGGTGAGAGCGAGTGTGCAGAAAGAGCAGTGCTAATCATTCCATCCAGGTCATATTCAACCACAAAGTTCTGTGGACAGCAACAACCTTGTTGATCTTTTTGGTCTGCTCCCAAGTCCCACTCTATGGAATCATGTCTTCCGATTCGTCTGACCCCTTGTACTGGCTCCGAGCTATCATGGCTTCGAACCGTGGTACATTGATGGAACTCGGTATTACGCCCATTGTCACTTCTGGAATGATCATGCAATTGTTGGCAGGAGCTCAGTTGATAGATGTCGATTTCAACCTCAAGGACGACCGCGCATTATTTGGTGGAGCACAGAAACGTGAGTCTGGATGGATCAGAGCCACGGCGTCGCTGACAGAACCCAGTGTTTGCCCTCATCATCGCCTTTGGTCAAGCCACAGTTTACGTCCTGACTGGTCTCTATGGTTCCCCTTCATCTCTGGGACCTGGAGTCTGTCTCTTGTTGATCCTCCAGCTCGTCGCTGCAGCGCTCATTGTCATTCTTCTCGATGAGCTCTTAACCAAGGGGTACGGCCTGGGATCAGGTATCTCGCTTTTTATTGCGACCAACATTTGTGAATCGATCGTCTGGAAAGCCTTCTCACCCACTACCGTCAACACTGGTCGTGGACCAGAATTCGAAGGCGCCATCATCGCCCTCTTCCACCTCTTCTTCACTTGGAATGACAAGACTCGAGCCCTCAAAGAGGCGTTCTACAGGGAACGATTGCCAAACATCATGAACCTTCTCGCAACCGTTTTCATCTTTGCCCTTGTCATTTACCTCCAAGGATTCAGGATTGAGATCCCGATCAAGAGCTCAAAGATGCGAGGTCAACGAGGTGCCTACCCTGTCAAGCTGTTCTACACTTCCAACATGCCCATCATGCTCGAGTCAGCCCTGACCAGCAACGTCTTCTTGATCTCACAGATGTTGGCTGGACGATTCCCCGACAATCTTTTGGTCAAGCTCCTTGGAGTCTGGGAGGTGAGTAAAAATAATGGATTTAAGATGGCTGACCCGTGTCCAAGCCCCTTGAAGACTCTCCTTCGCAGCTCTCTGCGGTGTCCGGATTGGCCTACTACATTTCCGCTCCTCATTCACTCAAAGCCGCTCTTACTGATCCCCTTCACACCGTCATCTACGTCGTCTTCATCACTTCCGCCTGTGCCTTCTTCTCCAAGACCTGGATCGAAGTCTCCGGCAGCGGACCCAGAGACGTCGCCAAGCAGCTCAAGGATCAAAACATGACATTGGCCGGACACCGTGAAGCCTCCATCTACAAAGAGCTCAAGCGAGTCATCCCCACTGCCGCTGCGTTTGGAGGTGCTACCCTTGGTCTCTTGTCGTTCGTCGCCGACATGATGGGTGCTCTCGGAAGTGGAACAGGTATCCTCATGGCTACTACCATCATCTACGGCTGTGAGTGCCACATTGTGCTCGGGCTTGGCCATGCTGACTCCATTGGTCCAGACTTTGAACTCGGAATAAAGGAGAATGCCGGACTTGACGCCGCCGGGCTCGGAGATCTACGTGAGTTGATCAAATCGGTTAAAGACATCAAAAGCTCACGAGACCTCAGTCTTCTAAGTCCCTTATGATTGCTGTTGAATTCGATGCTTCTGGACCGGTAGCTCGAGTTCAACCCATCATACCGTACCTCCCCCCAAAACCCTCCTACCCTATTCTCCAATATGCCCCTCCTCATATCCTTCACCCCTACTCCCTTCTTTGTAGTCTGCAGCTCTTCGGCGGGTGTCGTCCTAGGTGCTGAGCTCTCACTACCTCGAAAAAGAAAATGCATTGAAGAAATGATCGAATGCGTGCCGACACGGGTCGAAAAGCTTTCAACCTTGACATTTACAGTGCGAGCTCGCTAACGCAATTGCGTCGTTGATTACATTGTCCACCCTTTGTCTAGCGTAAACATAGGCGTGTAGCGGACCGTGAAAGCTGCATTCTCGCTCGATGCTCCTTTAGATCAAATCTTCTATCAAACCTTCGATCAAAATTTCTGATGACATCCTTGTCCCGCCATGAATCCTCTAGACACGCCTTGATCCGTCATAGTCCTCATCGTGGGCTGACTTTGCCATCTCAATTTGTTCGATCTCTTCTTCTCGCTTCATACAATCTCGGACTGTTGTTGCTCCGCCTCCAGATTGGAAGCCGAGTCTAGCCTGTTCAAAGTGACTTCCGTCCGCCTCGGGTCCGACCAAGATACAGCAAATGATCCAAAAGATGATGACGCCGAGGAATAAGCCCATGATGGTAGCATAATCAGGGATAGATTTCCCCTTGACGATGATTCTGAATGTCGATCCTGCATCCGCTTCGATCTGAGCTGCTCCAGCGGAAGCTGCATTTCCTAGTTGATAGACCATACCTGCAAAAGTGGCTCTAAAAGCAGGAGGAGCAATTTCGCCGAGGTAGATGGGAATGACTCCGAGAGCACCTTGAACACCAGACTGTACGAGGAAAGCACCAGCTGCGAGGCCTCCAAAAGATGAAGGGAGAATCCAAAGTGGGATCCAGGCCGCTGCCCAGCAAACGCAAGCGATAATGGCGAGCCGTCGACCGATAAATTGCGAACAGTGACCCGCGACGGCGCCACCAACGATCGCTCCAACGTTGGCAATGATAGTGGCGAGTGAGGCGTGATGAGCGGTGAAAGATTTGGTCGTCTCGAGGTAGAGAGGATACAAGTCACCAGTGGCATGAGCCATGAAATTGAGTCCAGCCATCTACACAGGATCGTCATGGTCAGCACAGAATCTCTCTCTCTCTCCCTCTTTCTTTGCCACTCTATTCGAAATATGTATGTATTCGACTTACAAGACACAAGCCCCAGATGGATCTCAACCAGTTCGTCCTGAGCATACTCTTGAATTCACGGATGAAGTTCTTGGTCGCCTCTCGCGTTGAGGTGCCGCTAGCTTTCGCTTCTTCTCTGGCAAGCTTGAACGATTCGCTCTCGGGCAAAAGGGCTCTCAACAATGCTGCAAACAGGGAAAATCCAGCACCGACAAAGAAGATGGACTATGACAACTTTAGAACCGTCTAACCAAGTGCCTGACTCACTCTCCAAGAGTACTTTGAGTGAGGCACGACCCCGATGTTGATAGCGGCAGCGATGAGATAGCCCAGTGAGTACCCCTTAGTGGCGATTCTTGAGCCTAGGTCTGTGACCTGCCAGAACACCGCTCACCTGCTGCATGATACCGGATAAGAGACCTCTAGCTGCCACTGGAACGTTTTCAAGAGCCGTGCTGGCTGCTAGACCCCATACGCCACCCATGGCGATTCCGAACAGACTTCTGACTGCCAAAAATTGAGAGTACGTATTACAGAATCCTGAGCCGAGTTCAAAGACACAGATGAGGATCATGTTGCAGACCAACGTCCACTTTCTTCCGAATCGATCTCCAAGGATGCCAAAGATCAAGGCGCCAAGACTTCGGAACAGCAATGTGAGAGTGATGGCGGTGGTGATGTGCTTTGTGTCAACTTGAAATTGTTCCGATAATAATTTGAGAGTGAGCGAGACGCAGAAGAAGTCGTAGCCATCACACGTCCATGCGAACCAACCCTTGATGAAGTCAGTATAAGCCGTGTCATTGCAGTTTGCGTTCAACACACCACAATGAACATGAGCCACGCCTGGCCACTCATTGACTTGAGAGCCTTGAGTGGATTCTTGCCATAGTCTGGGCTACCACTCTTGGAGCTCCAAGTAGGGATCATTCGACGGAGGAAGGATGCTTCATCAGTGGCATGCCAGCCAACTAGTTGGGTTTTAAACGACCAGTCGGTCTCGTGAATGGACATGTTGTCTTCGTCAAGTTTGGACATGTCTTTGCTTTGAGTTGAAGGTCTTTATAGATTGTAAACAGGAATCATGGGCACACTGGGGTCTTCTCACGCCCTTTTTGAGGGGCTCGATCTGGAGTTGATGAGAGGTAAGTGGGGTAGACTAAGGGCTTTGACCAAGACGCCTTGAGCCATCGACTTGACAACGATGTCTCCGAATTTCGGCTTTGTATGCTTGGGCGACGGCTTTTATCGGTCGCTCTGCGAAACTCGTTTCTGACAAGCTTATGTCACGCTGATCTCTGCTAGATCTGAGAGTGAGCGAGCGAACAAGACGCCTGCCGCCACAGCACAAGATGTAGGAAAATCTTGGCTTCGTACTCCTTTCGGGTGGATCGGTCCAAATGGCCTCTCTGCTTCTACGAAGCTCATCTATAGGCTATTACAATCAAGCGCATAGACTCCGCAGGCTTTAGCGCGATGGTATGACTCGAATAGGCAAGTAAGCGTGCGGAGAATCATGCATCTAGTCGGTAAGTGCACCAACCCCGCGGGAGAGATCTAATACCGTAGATCTCATTTTGTAGAAGAAGACGTTTCAGACCGAACAAATCCAATGGCTCTTTAACTCTCAGAACCGAATATCGCCGATGGACATTGTTCATGAGATTTACAAGACGACGATGCACGAGTATAAGAAGGTGAATGCGTTTTGGTAGAGTGATCTTTAGTTACACCGACTACAAGGCACTCCATCATGGCGACGCAACGATTAGCTGCATGGGCCACGAGCCTTCGACCCGAATCCTTGCCGGAGGGAGTCAAGAACGCAGCCGCGAGATCGCTGTACAACTATGTTGGGTGTGCGATCGGAGGATCAAAGCATCCAACAGCGACCAAAGCATATGATGCCATGACGCCATTCTTTGGCCAACCCACTTCCACACTTCTTGGACAACGACGCAAGGTCGATGCTCAACATGCAGCCCTGATCAACGGTATTGCGAGCCATGTCCACGATTACGACGATACACACCTGGAGACCATCATTCACCCCACTGGTCCCGTCGCTAGCGCATTGTTGGCTTTTGTCGAGTACAGACCGAAGTCTACGGCTGGCACGGAGGTACTGTGTGCATTGGTAGCTGGCATTGAGGCCGCTTGCAAGCTTGGTCTTTCGGTCTGGCCACACCACTACGATATTGGTTGGCATATTACTTCTTCCACAGGGAGCATCGGCGCCGCTGTAGCCGTTGGCAAGATGCTGGAACTCGACACCGAAGCCATGGCTCATGCTATCGGTATCGCGGCAGTCCAATCAACAGGTATGAGGGAGATGTTCGGGTCCGATACAAAGTCTTTCCATGTCGGCCGAGCCGCTCAGAACGGTCTGCTCGCAGCCATGCTCGCCTCAAAGGGATTCACGAGCTCTCTCTCGGCATTAGAGGCCAAGAGAGGCTGGGCAAACATCGTCGCTGGAGGTGGGACACCACGACTGGATCACTACATTGATCAACTCGGATCCATCTGGGAGATCGAAAAGAATGCTTTCAAGCCTTTCCCTTGTGGTATTGTATGTCATCCCGCTATCGATGGCTGTATTCAGCTACACCATGAGCTCGCCGAGAAAGGTATCAAGATCGACGACATAGTCAAAGTCGAGGAGAAGGTTCACCCATTGGTCATAGAGTTGACGTCGAAACGAACACCATCGGACGGACTCGAAGCCAAATTTTCAGTCTTTCATGGTTCCGCCGTCGGTCTGCTCCTGGGCAAAGCTGGGCCAGCACAGTATGAAGACAGTGTGGTCAGAGACCAAGCGGTCATCTTCCTTCGGGATCTTATCGACGCTCATTCCGATGAAACCCTCATGGCGGACGAGACGTACTTGACGGTCCACCTCAAGGATGGCTCAACACTCGAGAAACACATCGAGCACGCCGTCGGATCACTCGAAGTTCCGATGACAGACCAACAGCTGATTGACAAGTTCATCGATCAATGTTCGGCTGTCGTGGGCAGCGACAAAGTCAAGGGTGTAAGCGATGCTTTATGGAGATTGGGAGACAGCGAGGATGTCAAGCAAATTCTACAGGGCATGTGAGACATTTCGACACTGCTCTTTACATGATATACATCTCTAGAATACATAGAGTGATTGGCCGGTTCTGACAATCACGCCGGGGAAGAACCTATTGCATATCTCTTTACGAGGGCTTTCATGGAAAGCTATACTCAGGTGCAGCGAGAACCTCTTCGAGGTTGACAGAAGTCACTGAGAAAGGTTCATGGGCGCCTTCCATTGCTCCATCATATGTGTCACCACCATAGATCAACAGATGGTTAGGCAGACAGCGCAAGATCTCAACGGCTCGGGAGTAGACTGCCCCTGCTGGTGTGCCGTGTAGTTCCCATTTATCGGGATCTCCTCCAGCTGTGTTCGTAAAGACTCCAGTGTTGTCCGCATCGGAGACGATAATGGTTCCCAGCGGTCCGCCATCCTTGCTCCAAACGACATAAGGAGAGGCGTTAGGAGCAGTCTTATTGTTCACCACGAGGGGGATATCTGGACTGGGTCCAAAGTCGACAGGGGTATCTGCCAATTTGTAGTGAACTGGATAGTTGACACCGTATGAAGACGAGTTGCCAATGGGCGTCTCATGCACGAGGATCCACTTGTTGACAGATTGAACATGAGCGATGTTGGTCATTCCGGGTCTCGCGTCATACGGCTCCAGAGCGACGTCGGTAACGACTGGACCCCAAGTCTTCAGGTCGTACGAGACCTGATGGGACAATTGTTGGCCGTGTTCTGGGTTTCGCTGATCAGAGTAATAAGCTATCACCGAGTTGTTCCAGGGACTATGAGCACAGTCAGCTGAAGCATCCTCTGGCAAGATCGTCGACTCACAGAAACTTCGGCTCCCACACGGGCGTCGCCCCATTCGTCGTATTGGCTCTGCCACCCTCTGCAACGTGACTGACAAACTCCCAAGTCCTGGCACCATCTGTACTGGCATACAGGTCGATGCGGGTAAAGTTGAGCCCAAAGATATTACCACCAGCTAGGATGGTACCCTCGGGATATCCTCCCAGAGGGAAAGTCAAATGAGTGATGGCGGGTTGAGCGGTGAAACCGACACCTTCAACCTGATCACGCAGATCGGATACATGTTCCCAAGAGGCGCCACCATCGTCCGACCGGAAGATTGGGAAGTAAGGTGGTTGAGGTCCTCTGTACGCCGTAGTGGCAAGAATGGACCCATTTTGAAGTTCTGTGAACCTCGGATAACTGACACTGGCATTCCCGCTTGTCGTCATGATGGTGTTGTTGGTAAAGTAACCCCAAGGCGTGGCCCCGGTTGTAGGTGCGGCAAGTGCCACAGAGGTGAGGCTGAGCGCCACCAAGTGAATCATAGCATTCATCGTATCTTCAAGTGATGGCTAAGTTCCTTGAACAAGGTCCTTGAACAGACCTCGATGCACTTCGAGCATGTATATATATACATAGGGCATGGAGATTCTACCTCGGTATAGCGTGGACCATTCTCGGGAGGTTGTTGAACTTTGAAGACTTTCGGGTCATTTTCCTTAGCGTGGATCTGATTGTAATCTCGGCTGAGCCACCACGGGGATCACCGATGCGCCCCTCCATCCGTCCATGCATGGGCTCCAACTGCTGGAGACCGACACATAGCTTGTCAGCAATGTTCGGAGCGAATCCGGTGGAATGGGACAATCAATATGCATGGTCTTCAATGTAACGGTATACGGTGTTCGAAGTGCCGGTCGACCGGGCAGGCTGCATGGCGACTTGATTGACTCGATTCCTCCTCATGTGGAGGTGAAAGGGAACATGCGGTCCTTTGTACAGATCCTTTCGTTGACCTGGACTCCTCAAGAAGGCAAGGCGATGTATTAAGGTCTCCTGAGTGGAAATTCCCCCCACCTCGCTCTTCAACTCAAACCACAGCGTTTCGCAGCACATACAGCCATACAGCCGAGATGAAAGACCGGACTAGTTCCATCCGGTCATCGAGCACCGCACTCTGGTCTCTGGATCCGAGTCAAAGAGTCGAATTCAGAAACTACGGTGGGCGTAAAGTGCGCAGCGTCGCTCCTTGTGATACTATGAACAGCGCCTTATCGCAGATCTCACTGACCGCAGGCTCCGAGGTCTGATCACTCGTCAATGCTTATTCTCAAGGTGCCAGAAGTCTCCACATGAGTCAACAGAGGTCGACGGCTGGAGACTCCAAAGACCGTCTCAGGCAGAGCTGGATTCAAAGTGGAAGGCTATCTGTGATCAGTTGCAGTCCCACACGAGTGACTGAGAGGGGATAGCATTGATCCGAGGTCGTCTCGCATCCGATGCTGCTGTTTAGTGAGTCACGCTACGATTTCAACAGAGGCTATACGTGCGGTGGATATGTCACTCAAAGGCATGCATACTTTAGTCTCAAGACAGCGCTGTTGGGCTAGCTTTGCAAGCTGTCACGAGGATTTCCAAAGATCTCAGTCGTGACGCTCTTCCTGAGGAGCAGGACCGATCCAGAAAGACAGGATAGCTCTCCCTGATTCAGTCCTTTCCTGCGAGTCGACGAAGCCTCCCTGTATCTCTGTCTCGTCCTCCTCATCAGGTTCCCAAGACTGGATGCTAAGATCTCTGACCACACCCTGGTTCCCTCCGATCAAGTCTGGGATAGTCTTGTAGTGAGTGTGGCTCAGATCGATGAACAATTTGATGTTCTCATAGTCCTCAGCAAGTAATTGTTGACCTTCAACGTCAGTGATATTGGCAGTTAAGGTGATTTGACTGAACTCAGTCTTCCATTCAAGCCAATCCTTCTCAGCTTGCTCCACCTTTTCGTTGAAATCTGGGCAATCCAGAATGAAATCCCCATTGAGACGGCGATAACTGACAGCGCCAGGCGCACCATACTCAGGAGCAAACAAGCTAAGACGGACAATGCCACTGTCTGCCGGCCGTCCATGTATGGTCATTGTCGTCACTTGCTCCCCTTCACTCGTCTCCATCCAAGACGGCAGCGGGATAAAGGCTCTCAAATCGTCCTTGTATTCCAACTCAAGCTCTTGGGGATCGCCTCGGAAAGGGTATGGATCCAGATTGTGTAGTCGGGTCTTGCTGTCTTCTGCCTTCACAAAGTGAGCATGGCAAGGCAGGCATCGAAATGACCAGCCCGAGGAGCACTCAGCTCCCTTGGCACTGGACATACCCTCCTCAACCGGGAGAAGGACGTCGATGTCACTGAGGTCGCATTCTGCAGTGGTGTCGTTAGACTCGGTTTGCTGTATGGAGCTCATTGCGATCTTATGCGTCGTGGTCAAGTCAATCGAGACTCCAGTCAGTGTATCACAAGGATCGATGATTCCCTAATTCTGTGGAAGAGAAAAGGATAAGGGCAATACATCAGTCATGCATTGGGAACTTCTTCTTATAGATCGATGGAGAAGAGCTGTTCCCAATTGTCTGTGGCACGCCATGAAGGGAAGTGCTGACTGGCTTCGCAACTCGAAGTTCGCACAAAGGACAGGCCCGACCAAAGTCTTGGGGCTCGCCACAAAGCCGCGGCCAATACGCCATCGAACACGTAGACTCCCTCCGAAGACGGTTCGAAACTCTTTGTGACCCCTGTCACGGTGGCCAGTCTTGATAGGCTGTTTCTGAAGATAAGTGTGTCTGGACAAGTGACATGATACATTAAGAAAGACACGTCTATGGGTGAACGAGTACCATACCGGTATGTATGGCAGTCGTGCGCAGGTCTACCATCCTCCCATCCTGCCTCCTCCATCCCAGTAGGCGTCTTCAAAGCCTTCAAACGGATTTGCCGGGACATCCTTGACAGACTGCATCTGGACTTCTAATCCTTTCAATTCTTGCGGGGTGAGGTGCTTTACAGCAGAAGGCTGTATTTTCATATCGGTACAGAGACCTCTAGAGGGACTAGTATACACGTCCATTCGGAAATGGTTGAGAGCGGGAGATGAGTAAGAATCGTTCAAAGGTCGTTTCTGAATCCAGACATCAGTAGAGGGACCGATTGGGCACGACAGAGACATTACTGACAATATGAGAAAACAGGTGTCCTCTGCCGATACCAAAGTCCAGGAGATGTTTCAGCAGATTGCTAAGAAGGGAGGTGAGTCATATGCTCTAGGCAAATCAACCCATCCGCTCACGAATGAATGAACAATGGTAGTGCCTTCCGCTCGTTCACAGATTCTACCAGATCGTATTGAACGATAGAGCTGGCGCAGGAGGTCAGAACTCGTCCGTCGCACTTTGCGTTTAGAACGACCCACTGTCCGCAAAACCTATCTGCATCCCAATCGTTGAGCATGCCCAGCGAGCTCATCCATCTTGAGGGGTGAGCCCAAGTGAGCCCTAAAATCTCAAAAGCCCATCGGAATGTGTCCTTGTCTCCACCCGCCATGTGGAACCAGAACTCGTGTGATCCTGTCAACGAGGATCATGAGCGATGCGCATTCGTTCGAGTCAGTCGCTTAGAGCTCACGTTGCATGTAAGCCGCTATTAACAGCGCTGCGTAATTTAGGCCATGGTTTCCTCCCTTGTCAACGACCAGCTGGCCAGACTCTATTGTCCAATGATCCAGCGTACATTGCTGACCTACCAAGCGCCAGATGGCATTGCTGGGGTGGTCTTTGTACAGGTCAGGCCAGAAGGCTGCTCGACCATGTGCAATATAGAGAGGACCGTCGAATAGATGGCTCGGATCGCGTAGCGGCACATTGTCTGAACATGGTCAGACTGATCGAGGGGACTTGATCCCACCTGAATCGAGGTACAGGACCTCCTGGAATGAGGACTGAACGATTGCCAGACCCTTGAGGTGAAAGTTCTGGCAAGCTTTAAGCACTCCAAATGGGCTGTTGATGCCTACCTTCCACAGATTCTCCTCCTTCTCGAGTCCCTGCACCTGCTCAAATCATGAGCATCGGAGCCATGCAGACCTGCATACTCACAGCTTTCACCGTACCTCCCAGTCTCTCGATCTCTCGCCTCTCTTGCCAATCGCCAAACTCGCCTGGAAAGTGGAACACTTCGACGGGTAGAGTGACGCCTACTCGCTTCAGTTGTTTGAGGAGGAATTTAGAGCGTTCTACCGTGTCCTGTGGTGGTGGAGTCAGCCGTGTACTGCCGACATACAGATACAGAACGCACCCTGTTACCTGCAGTCAAGACTATGCCCCTTCCTCGACCCGTGCTGACACCATCAAAGACCACGCTCACGCCCTTCAACACCTTTTCTTCCAGTTCCCTGACGATCTCAACTCGGCGCTGGACGATATCATTTGTTGACAATGCAGTCCAGAAGTCTGATTCTCCCCTCAGTTGATCCTGGTTGACCAGCTTGTCCGAAATGTCCGCAGGGCAACCGTCAAAGTTGGCCCCTTGAGCCTGGTCAAGGGTCTCAATTGGTCTACGAAGGAAAGAATCGAGTCTGCGAGCCAATAATCGGTTTTCTGGCGTGTCGAACTCCTTTGGAAGGCCTGAAGGAAGAGCAGACGCGTATATCTCAGGTAATGGTGAGAAATTGAGAGGTTCATGGTCGAGTGAGAGCTTAGCGATGGGATAAATGGATGTTAAGTCGGATTTGGAAGACGCTGAAAATAGACCACTGCCCGGATGGGTGGTTTGCCAGTATACCATGTAAGAGCAGGCCAGTAGGCCTGCAAAGGCGAGCAAAGACGTTCGCGAGAGCGACCGCATTGCTCTGACGCCCTCTTCTACTGATAGCTGCGCCAGTCGTCTATGCCAGCCTTGGGTTTGTCACTGATGCCGGTTGCGGTTCTGATGTCATGGAGATCTCATTGGATTGATCCAAGATCGCACAACTCCTAGACAGTCCTTTGTTCAGCAGGTGGATACTCGAGATCATCGGGACTGTGACCTCACCTCTGAGTACCTCCTTCGACCTCACGGTGCATGCATGATGACCCACCCAGCAGAGCCCAGATGGGGGATGTTGATAGTAACCAACAATTCAAAATCAATGGACACTGTGATCTCATTTGATCAGGGCCGGAAACAAAATCGTTTCTGGTTGCCCGAGTGGCCGTACGGTATCAGAGGAATATTACAACATGCCCCGTCTCGAGCTCTATCCCGCCTTCTCCTCTCGCAGCGGACTGACTCATTGTCCATCACCGTTACTCTCTGTCTCATTCTCCTTGCTCAAAGAGTGCAAGAACTGGTCAACGTCAAAATCTTCTGCGGCGGCAAAAGCAGGTGTATCGAAATTGTTGATGCTGTCCGCCGTCGCGCCGTTCATCGATCCACCTTGAGAAAGACCTGTCGTCACTCCATTGAGATTTGGAACTCCAAGGTTGGCCAGTGCGTCCGCATCTAGGCCACTAGTCCCATCATCTGTTGGCAGATCCAAACCCATGCTTCGGATGAGAGAGTCGATGGACTCTTGAAGCTTTTCCACGTCGCCTCCCATGGCTGCTGCCTGCTGATAAGACTTGATCAAAGCATCGTTATTTTCCATGAGGGCAGTTTGATTGGGTAATGGAGAGAAAAGAGCCAGAGTTGGGTCGGTCTGAGATGGCGCACTATTCCCGCGTAGGGTAGTGCTGGTAGTCTGAGGCTGTGCCTGGCTGATTCGAGGATCGATGTTACCGCCCGGAGTCTGCAATGCTTGACCCTGAATAGAGTTGTTGAGCGAGTTGAGAAACATCTCAGCTGCTGCGGGAGATTGCAAAAGGGATCCAATAGTGGTTTGCAAGATGGATGGATCAAGGTTGAGCGCTTGGGCAAGTTGTTGATCCGTTTGTGTATTATTTCCATATGGTATCATCACTCCTGGGTCTTTCGCACTCAGATTGGGATTGGCAGGATAGGTGGTCCGAGGGTTCTGAGAAGTATTTGAGCCTGGGCTCCGGGTCACGGGTGATGCTTGAAGTTGTGGAGAGTCGTCGGGTAGGGCTTGGAATCGTTGAGATGTTGATGACCATGTTTCGCTGTTCGCAGATAGTGGCTCTGGCTTGAGTGAGCCCCGAGATCGCTTTCTGCCGACTTGCGGCGCACGATAGCTCGACGAGGGTGTGGCAGATTCTAGTGAGACATCAGCAGGGACCGGGCAATAATTGCTCACCGCTAGGAAGCTCCACGATCTGACCATTCTCATCTACATCAGCCTCTTCTCTGCCGTCGCTGATCATTCTCTCTACGCCAACTCGTCTCCTCTTCTTGCTTCCGCTCGGGTCGTCAAACCCGCCATCCTGATTCGATCTTCCCATTCCGCCTCTTCTCATTGCCTCCTTTAGACCCTTCAATCCCTCTCCTTCTGTGCCAAACAGTCTCTCCAAAAAGGTGACGATCAGGTCGATCGTCTCCTCGTGCTTCCTATGTATATCCCGCGCCTCCAGAGCTTCTCGCCAGAGGTGCTCATTGCTCGTTTGCAAGGCTTTCAAATCAGCGCCTATACTAGCTTGAGTTTGTCGGATGGCAGCGATACCAGATGTAATGGCTGATAGGTCCAGCATCTGCTGTCCGGTCGGACCGACCAGAACGCCTCCTCCCGCTTCGCCTTTGGTGGACCCGTCGGTGATGAGGTGCACAGGATGATATTGGTTGCCACTGAAAGATTCAGCTCCGCGGCCAGAAGCTGGCATATTGACGCCTGGTCGATTATTCTTCCTTGTCACTCTCCCCAGGAGCTCGGGATGATCTCGTTTGAAGCATGGGTTTGTGAATTCCCATAGTTCGGAGCCATCTGGATTATCGGATTTGAGCACACCAGTTTGCGGCTGTGGGACCTTGTCTGCATGTCGTCAGCTCCAGTTAAGGGGTTCCGGTTTTAAGCACGCACGGAAGCCATACCTGTGGCATGGGTCAGCGATCTGTAGGCCATCTGAAGGCAGAGAATTCTCACATATTCAGCTGTCTGACGAAACTGGAAAAGTTGGAATGCTTGAAGAATCTAGGCAATAATTCCTTGCCGAAACGCTCCGTGTTCGGGACTGAGCACCGTAAGTGAAACAGTAGCAGGGCACATGCACAGTAGACCTCACCAAAGAATGATGTGCCGGCATCAGACCAGTATATCAGCTCATCCGTCGCTGAATCCGATACCATGCTACCGAATAGTCAGTTAACAGGATATGACACGCTGCAAGGAATAGGTCACACCGACCTGAAAAGTTTATTGAGGAAAGCCGGCACTTTTGTCACTTCACCCTTATCATCAATAGTCATGCCCTGCTTGGATATCCCATGAGTGGATCCGGCAGAGATCTCTTTCAAGTCGGATGCTGAGGGTGTGTCGCTGTCCGGGCTCGCAGGCTCCACTTTGGGCGACCTGTTGATCTTCGACGGGCCAGCGACAGCTTGAAGATTGGTAGTCATATCGTAATCCAATACTACTGAAGGTCCGTCTCTGCTCGCTATTGCCTCCAAGGGAAATTGTCGTCATGCAACCCCCCGAGGCCGTCGACCGAGGGTGAAAGGAAGACCGAATCGGTATATCTCCCAACGGTGACTTTCGGTTGCTGAACCTGCTGTGTATATGATGCTGGGCGCTGTGGACGCTAATCCATCTGAATCTCCTGTTATGGTCCTCAGGTCCTTTTCATTCCAATGTACGCTCCAATGATCACTTGGTCAAAGGTGTCAATGATGATGTCCAAGAGCTGACGAAAACAGTATGAGGAGGAGATGGTGATTCAGGCCTATTTTAGGTGCCACGTGGACAAGAAGAATTAGGCGTTAATGTGTTCCTGGATGGGCGTCGTGACTTTGAGCCCACAACGTCACAGCAACTGATGAAGGTCGTGCTTGATCCCAACTACAATCAACATGAGTGCTGCTGAAGACGAGACAGGGGAGAAGGTCTCAGGGGTCATATCGTCCTCACCAGACGATATCGGGTCAATACCGGTCATGGTGGATTCCGAAAAGCCAGATCAGCCAGATATCACCTCTAAAGTCAGTGATTCAGAGCGGTCAGACGACAACGTCGCAGTCAAATCGAAAGCCGAGGTCCCAACCGCAGAGGATTCAAAGCCGCCCGTAGATTCGCAGGATCCCAAAGAGGCTACGGGGTCTCAAAATGCGCCCGCTCCGGCGGCTGCTCCTGCTCCGACCCCATCCAAACGACGCCCGAATCCTCCAACTAAAGGCATTCTCAAGCCTCCACCACCACCTGCCAAACCTACTCTCGGGAACAGGCTCAGAGACATCGTCACTGTCGTTGGAGGCGGAGCCAAGTCTCTCTTCGATGCTCCTTTCGACCCGGAGTCTCAAAACAACGCCAATGGTCCTCACACAGCTGGTCCGAGCACCGTAAGCTCTACATCTGGGCAGAGCGTTTCGGCCAGTGCAGTAGGGGGAGCTCTCAATGCCTTATCTGGACGATTGGGATTAGGAATAAGTAGGCTCGTAGCTGGCGCAAGTGGTACACCCGTCGCATCCCCAGCCCATTCTACCAGCACCTCGAACGATGTCACTCCCGTGGGATCGCCAGGTCCGTCCCGTTCAATCAGTCTGCCGGATCCTCGAAGCAGTGTCGACAAGGGCAAACGGAAAGATCTCAAGAGGGCTACCTTCTTGCTCCCGAGTTTAAGTATCACGTATCCCATAAGTTCTCAAGGAGAGCCTTGGAGCGAGAAAGTTTTGCTAGAGAGGCAAAGTGTAAGTTTTTGGAAGTGGCTGTTTGCAGAACTGACGCTTGTCTTAGATCGAATCAGCGCATCGATCGCTCTTGCATTCGTCCACTGGTGCCCAGTATTGGACCTCGCAGCGTCTTGTTGCCTTGTATGAAAGTGCTTGTAAAGGGAGGGAAGAACGTCCCAGGGTGGGAATCGTCCGAGCCTTAGAGGTGGGTTCGTCGCTCTCATCATTGATAATCTCGCTGACTCACTTTCAGGTGTTCCCGAGCCCTCCCAGACCCAGAACGCTACATATCATCCTACGACCATTTGATCCCACCGCGCCACCTCTTCCTCATCCTGCACCCTACACTCTGGAGACGCCTCTCAATCGCCACGCTGCAGAAGCTCTGGCCGATGTTTTGTCAGTCGAGTGCGGTTTGGCAGACATGCGCTTGGAAGCTGGAGCGCTAGATGGAGACGATGCTTTGAAAGCAATTTTACATGCTTTGTTAGTCAGCGGGACGCTACCGACTTTGAGTCTTGCTGGAAATAGGAAGATCAAGGCGGCAGGTTGGAGGCTGTTGGGAATCTTTTTGAAACGGGTGAGTGGGACATATACATCCACGCGTATTGGCCTTGACCCTCCTCAGGCTCATGCTTTGCGGTATCTGGATTTGTCGGAAACGAATTGGGATCGGAAAGGCGTCGAATACCTTAGCCAGGCTCTCAACGCACATCGCTCAGCGGCATCACAGCTGCCACTCGAGACACCCGACAAGGCGCAAAGAGTACTGGGCATGAGGGAACGGGCACGATCGGAGCCTGTAAACGCGACCATCCTGCTAGATGATGCTGCGTCCCTCTCAGAGTCAGAGAGCGTTGTTGCTGCAGAAGCAGCCTCGGTGTACGGAAGCTTCATGCCGCCGGCCCCACTGCTGAAGTCTTCGGGCGGATACGAAGGCCCGTCCTCTTTACAAACTTTACGAATGGACGGATGTGGTTTCAGAGGCGCGGTTCTGGAGGCTTTGGGTGAGTGCCCGCCCAGTTGCAGCAGAGCTTCTCACTGAGATTTCTGCAGCCCAAGGTATTCGTGCATCGGATCTTCGAAATGTCTCTCTTCGGCGAAACAAGATCGGTTCCCTGGGTGCCGTGGCTTTGGCTCTCATGATCCGCGATTACCCCGATTCTGCCATGTCCATGTCATCCTTCTCTCCTGGACTCACAGCGTCCGTCTCGAACTCGTCCCTGGCGTCCTTTGATCAACAACTAAGTCCCTCGCCGTCGCCAATCCCTCAATCACGACAACGAAGACCACCTGCATCGCCACTCAAGGAAGAAATTGCATTGCCTCCCAGTCCGAGTTTGTCACACAATAATCAAGTATTGCAGAATCAACATCTATCAAACGGCAAGACTACACATGCGGCAAAGTCTGCGCTACCGGTTCCCAATGCCTCTTCAAGGGACGTGAATCAATCTGGAGTGAACACAGTACCTGTGGAAGGAAAGTTGTCGCATGCCGAGTTTGGAGGCGCGAGCATGGCTCTGCAGAGGAGTGTGCGTGCCTTGGATGGAGTCGAGCGGATCGGTAGATTGTTGACCTTGGACCTCAAAGGCAATGAGATTCGAGTAAGTGCCGCGCTTAGGAGCCATACACATGCCTGATGCCGCCTGTAGAATGGCGTCGGGTATATCGCTCAGGTCCTGAAACGCAATCGAACGCTCAAGGTCTTGAACCTCAGCGAGAATCGCATTGAACCGGCGGGTCTCGTTGCACTCGCTGAGTCTCTAAAGTATAACTCCACCCTGGAGACTCTGGACCTGAGTTCAAATCCATGCTGTGGACCGACCTTCGAAGGCGTGAGTTCAGGTGGCCTTCTGTCTTTACCGTAGCTCACCTACATTAGATAAGCGCACTTCGCTCCGCTTTCACTGTCAATACCTCACTGAAACGCTTATTCCTATCGGACACCGGTCTAGCCAATGATGGTGCCATCGCATTGGCTGAGTTCCTACCCGAATCGAAATCTCTACTTCATCTTGATCTGAGCTCAAACCCTATGATCGAAGCTGCCGGTGTCATGGCACTATCGGTTGGCTTGAAATCCAACACGATGATCCGATGCCTTGATCTCTCCATTGCGCCAGACCAAACTGAAGTCGCCGAGCTATCTCAAAAAATTCTTCAAATTTGTATCCGAAACACTGAGCTCGCTGCCTCTCGATTTGAAGGTCGAGCCGAGCTCATCTGGGGACCGATCAAGAAGAGTAGCCTCGTACATGACATCAAACGAGCCGATGATGTTCGAGCCGAGACGGAACGGATCGAGCAGGCAGTCTCGCCGGAAGGTCTGGCCCGAGAGTATATTTATACTCTCAGACATGAAAAGGTCATACCGGTCACCAAGAGCACAATTGTCGACTTAGAGAAGTGGTATGCCGCTGGTAAGGCCGCGTCTGCCTCTGGCTTCACAGCATGGCAACCTGGTCAACTTCCTAACGAGGACTTTCAACCACTGGTAGAGAGGGGTAGAGCGCTCCGTGACAGACTTGTCGAGGTCATCCAGGTGTCTTCGGACGAGGTGTTGGAGGATCTGCTTCAGCTCAATGATAGGCTGAGCAATCTGGTCGAGAGATCCAAAGGGTTCAAACCGCCTCCGAGATTACTCTTACCATCTCAAGTCGTATCGCCTGATCGTCAATCGACCCTGTCACCGCATCGTAATCGATCAACGTCAGGAGCCAGAAGACACATGCGAATATCCAGCCTCGAGATCTCTTCACCGAATTTCTCCATCGGCGATTCAGACAACGATAGTGATGCGGAAGAGCTGGATCCGGAGACGATCAACAGTACACCTCGTCCTGTGTCGAAGTTTAATGCACGGAGAGGAGACGCGGAAGCTCCAGTGACTCCCAAGACTCCGGAGATTTCCGGATCAACTGCTGGAGCGTCTGCAACCCTTGTCGATCTGGATGAAACGGGTGGACAAGAGTCTGCCCGATCGTCTGAGGAAGTTACGAGCCCTGTTGAGCGAGTCAGTCGGGCATGGGTAGAGGAGGAAGGTGAAATCTTCAGAAAGGGTACGAGATTGAGAGTCGTAGAGGATGAAGAGGAGAATGATGTATCTGGAGAAGATCTGAGACAGGAGGTAAATCAAGAAATTCGTTCGTTATCCGGGCTTGAGCTGAACTGCTTTAGATCCTCGATACACCAGTCGCACGTAGTCCGACGAGACGTGTTCTGTCTGTGGAAGAGAGTGAACGAACATCCGATGACGATCAACCAAAACTTGCGGATGGTGACGAATAGGGAAAGGAGACGAGGACGTAACGACCATGTTGTTTGGAGGTATGACGGCACGATCACGGTTATGCATTGTTTCTACGCCAGGTGACTGTCCCTCAACAGCTTAGTCGCATCAGGGTCTTGAAGTGCCATCGGGTCATGGCCCTCGACTCGTCTCTCAAGATCCCTGATGTTTGGGGTATGTGGCGTCTCCATCAATGGAAGCTCCGACTCATCGCCTGAGCCCTTCGCCGTGGGAACTTCCGAGTCGCCTTGCATCTATATGTTGAGACAAGTGAGCACCCAAGTCTGAAACGAGAGAGACCCCGCGTACAATTGCCCAACATCCTGCTACTATGATGATGATCGTTCCCAGAATCTGAAGCAGATTTGGAATGTTCGCATAGACGACGACTTGCCACAGCACAGCCCAGAGGATCTGAGGAAGTCATCAGAAATCATTCGGGAGATGCTGGCCTCACCTGAAAATAGCCTAGAACTGCTACTCGAGCGCCTGTCGCACGCTGAAGACCCAAGATCATGGTAGCTTGGGCCAACATCCCGCATAACTGAGCGTAGTGAACCTCAGAGGATCATGATATGTCGCGATTGACTCCTACTTACTCCAACCCACAAAGCCATCGGCACCGAGCCCGCTTGATCGAACACCTTGATACTGGCACCAGAGTACAGGATCCATCTACCAATGTCAGCTTTGGGCACATGAGGCGCTCGCTGTCTCAACAACTTACACTGGCGCAGTGACTGTACCCAAGGCTGTATAGGCGAAAAGCATTGGTACCCATCCAACAGTGTCTGCCATCTTGCGAGATGCTACGACTGCAACAGATTCCTGGTCAGTCACGAGCCGGAATGAGTCGCAAAGCTGATTGGCGTCGATAAAATCCGAGAGACTCACTTTCCAAAGCACCGCATGTGCAGGACAGAAGGGTCACCCCGACGCCGACATATGTCGACCAAGCTGTGGTATCTCCTTCCGGTCTGTGACGGCTGAACAGAAAGTCTGGCTGAACGACTATAATGATTGCCGAGAACGAGATGACTGGACAGTCTGTCAGCCTATGTGTATAGCGTGAGGATGAAGGACGCACCACTAGCGATCAATTGAGCTCTTGTAGCCTTTTCGCCTAAGATAGCATAGCACGCGAATATCGTGGGGAAAGGTCGGAGGTGATACAAGGTCATGAAGAGCGATAGGGGAATATGAGATACGGCGACGTAGGCCAAGGACGTAGCCCCGCACGAGCATACAGCTCTGGCAAGTAGCCAAGGTGCATCGGGGCCATAGAAGAGCTTGAACGATTGTGGGTCTCTCAGCGCCATAATTGCAAAGCATATGACGGCGTTGATGGACTATTGATGGAATCAGCGTTCGATGAGCATCTCTCGCAGCCTTGACTCGGGTGTCCACTGACCATACGGTAAAGAAATACCTCAGAGGCCTCTACACCTCGGAGTTGGAGTAACTGTACGAGACCATCCATCGTTGTGAAACCCATGTCGGACAGCAAGATGAGGTGCACCGGAGCGGAATGATGAGAGAGGGATCGATCCAAAAGAGACGCACGTCGTGCAGTCTTAGTATCGCTCATGTTGGCAGGATTAGTCTCAAGCTTCAAGGTCAGGCTCCTGAGCTCATGGAAGAAGGAAGATGAGTCGAGCTACAGGGGTCATATAAACCGAATAGAAACGCGGTCCAGGTTAGCGAGGTCCCCTGGAGAGCGATCCGCTATCGGAGGAGCTGAAAGACATCCTTTGTGTGTATGTACCAGATCAACTAGTCGATCGACACATCTCTTACTCCATGATGGACAAGTCTCTGTGTCATTCTTCCTTGAGCGAGTCCTAGGGGGTGGCATGTTGGAATGTTATCACTGTGTTCCGGTCGGACAGGCATTTCGGTCCGCTTCTTACCGGTCGATCGGATATTGGAGACCAGGCAGCGGAGGGCTATCAGTACCAGTAGAAGAAACTGTAGGGCATACGCCAGAAGCGAAAGATGACATGTATGAGATTGGCTACATGATCTCGATCCTGATGTTCGGCGGCAGTCACATGCCCTTATTCCTGGACTCAAACCCTAACCTCATGTGGGTCCTGGCTCTCTCTGGAACGGAGAAGTGGCATGTCATGTTCCTGGTCCGTTTCAAGTTTGGATCTCCCCTCTTCACCATCAGCACCGTAAATCTGCAAAGAGCGATTCTCAGCGCGAGAAGATCAGAGAAATACGCACGACGCTCCATACACCCGCTAAAGTAATGAGGACCATGCCGGCTAGCTCAGTCAGATTCGGGGCCGTGGCGTAGATAAGCAATTGCCAAACGCAGCCCCATGAGATCTCATAGAGGATCGTCAGCGTCGTCCACAGTTGCGGAGAGCATTGAGCTCACCTGGAGGTACGAGAGAATGGCGACTTTGACACCTGAAAGCCGCCTCAGAGCCATCGTAAATGATAGCTGTGCCAACACCCCAGACACCTTTGATGGCATTCAGCTCTGGGTTAACCCAATGACCAAGTCATCTGTGAACATGGCCTCACGATCAGACAGCCGAGTATAGCGTAGGAGCCCAGTGACTGATTCAATGCAAGGCTTGTGCTCGTGAGCATGATCCATCTATGGACTTTTCAGCAGTAGTAAAGATCAGATTGACTGGTTTTCACTTACATGATGCCGATGGCTGAGCCAACTAAAGAATACCCCAAGAGCTATATCATCAGCTCGGTAATGCCCGGCGAGCATGCGACAGAGCATGACTCCAATCCACGTCGGAATGATATCAGCTAACCAAGTATGCAGGATATCCAACACGTACAGTTCCACGAATTCATGGTCGTACAGCCCAAAGTTGCCAGCATACCGAAGGCTTTCCGCCATGGATCGTCCGGGTGTGCATTATCGACGCCATGATGCTGAGCAATGTGGAACAGAAACTCCGGTTGAGCAATCAGTAGGACACTCAGTGAAGAGATAGCTGCTTGGAACTCAACATCATTCCCAAAGGCCATGCTTGAGTGCTCACCGCTCGCTATCAGGTGTACTTTCGTGATGGGCTCGCCAAGCCATTGCCAGCACATGAAGGCCACTATGAAAGGTCGAACATGGAATATCGTCATAAAGTCCGACAAGGGCATGTATCCGAGAGCTAGATATGCCAAGATCATGTCAACAGATGTGACCGCTGATCTGAGCCACAGGGCTCCACGCATGTCGTGAGGCGAAGCGATTCGATGGACGACTCCATGATCGTAGATGATGAAGTAGGACGACATGACGATGGCCGAGCCGACCTGTCTTCTCAGCAATTCATGCTTCCTACGCGGCGGTGACGATTGCCCCTGTGAGACTCACCATTGACCCTGCAAAGATAGTCTTGATTGGCAAGCCTCGCACCTGTAAGAGTTGAGCGCAACCATCCATCACTACGAAGGTCATGTCGGCGGCGAGAACCAAGACGAGCGCTCCGGAAGGCGAGGATAGGAAGAGCTCTCATCGAGACCTGGCAGAAGAAGCCTTTGCGTCCATTTTCGAGGCAATGGATGAGCAACTCTCCATCGCTATATCAAACGAGATCGAGGTCTCTACATCATGTGTCTCTTCATGGCCGAAAGGACATCTCATCCATCCCCTTTGGGTCCAGGTCTCGCTTAGCCAACGTCATTTGATATCCCTGCAGCATTTCATCGAGCCAGCCATGGGTCTTAGCATCTATTGAACATTTGGAATCGTCAATGCCGCATGTACGGCCGCCTTCAGAGCTCGATGAAAGACCACAACACGTCCCAGGCAAGGTCTGTGGTCTTCGGTCCACGGCCGCCGCAACACCGACAGCATCTGGAACTCAAGGTGTTGGGTGACCTCTCGATGCCTACCGTTATGACCAGACTACACTGAGTGTTTCGGCAAAGTCAGGCATCGCAGCATGAAAGATGCCAAAGACGCTTTGATGGAGACCTTGCAACCTGACTACCATGAGAATCGACCAAAGCTGATGCATCCTTGCCCCTGACTACCGCACTCAAGTCACGAACTGTTTCTCAGTCAGACTCATAACCATGATACTCACGATCGATAGACCCATCAAGCATGGTTACCTCTTCTAGGCCCTGTATTGCTCGCCTGGACTAGCGCTAGGGCGAAGGAACAATAGTCAAGGCGACAAGGAAGCATCCAAGTGATGCCATCGAAGCTACCGACTTGACGACCCAGTCGCCAAACGACAGCATCGCAACTCGAATACGATATCTCTTGGCGCAATGGGAGGAGCTGAAGATATAAGAAGTCGCTGCATCTTCCTTGGAAGGGATACATTCTACAGTCGGTCTTCGCTCGACGATCTTTGCACCTCTCGACACTGGCTGTCGACCCTTATTTCCGTCTCTCTGCCGCCAGACGGCCTCGTTCCAAGTCAAACCATCCGTCTCCTCTGCTTTCGGAACGCATCGACACCTGCCTCAATCCAGCACATCCCAGTATGACAACGTCGTCTCTCGCTCTGATCTACCTTCTCCCGCTTCTTGCTTCTCTGGGAGAGGCTAGGCCAATCTCGCGCGGTGCAGTGCACAAAAGAGAAGTGCCACAGGGTGAGCACCTCGTTGTGTGGACTCCGCTGACTATCAATCTGCAAGAGCTCTCACACAAGCGCTTCTTGACAGCCGTGCAGACGTCTCTTCAGGCCAACAATCCAGATAACATCGTGGACCCGTAAGTGCATCCGGAGGGCACCTGGTCGGACAAGGCTGACCTCCTGCCAGAGTCTTTGGTCTGCTCGGAGACGCTGCGGCAAGTCAAGGTGCTGGATCTATCACCGACCTAGCATGTCTTCAACAAGCTACTGCAGATCAAGCGTTTATCAATGCGAAAGCTGCTGGTGATGTTGATGGAATGACAAATGCTTTGATCTACAGAGCGTTGGAGAGGAATACTGGCAAGGTTGGCCTGGCTAGTGCCATCTGGTGAGTGCCACACGAGTCTTCAGGGCTGCGGCTGAATGTCCCCCTTTCATCAGCACTCAGACACCCGTCAACCCAGAGATAGGTAAGCTTTGTCTTTCTCGTCTTTAATGTGACTGACTGGATCCAGGTGCGGTCACTCAACACCAGGACCCCGCCTCGAACGGAGCAGCAGCCACCAACAAGGCCATCACTCTTGCTCTGGCACAACAGAGTGAGTTAGCGCAAGATGATCCTCTCCCCCATCTGCATTGTCTTCGTTGACCTGCCTGGTCAGTCGCTTCAGTTGGCGGTGACCCTCAGCTTGCACTCCAATCAGGCACCTTCACCCCAGGAGACGTGACGGACCCTACCGGGGCCGGAAACACTTGCGATACTGAAGACTGCATATTCGAGCAGAATCGACTGGTCGAGGTGAAGTCCAACGGATGTGGGAACCGATGGAGTGCTGATCAGAGACCTGAGAACAGGACGCATCCCCTGCTGAGATCGACGCCGCTGTCGCTGGCAGCGGAGGAACTGCAGGTACAACAGCTAGCGGTGATGCAGGCAATTCTGCCGGGGGCAATGGCGATAATGGAGCGGCTACTGTTATGGGCAGCGCCGTAAGCTTTATCTTCCGACTATTCCAGAAGCTGATCATCTCAGAACGCTGCAATGGGAGGCGACAATACCGCTGCCACAGAAGCCAACGCTGGCGTTGCTACTGAAGGCGCTGCTGCCGGTGGCGCTGTCACAGTCACGGTCAGTGATACGCCTATCCAGTTCGTGATCAAGATAGCTAATACTGTCCTAGAACAACGCGGCAGCTGCTGGAATCGATGTCGGTCAATGTAGTGAGTTCCGATCTGGGATCGATGGTCTAGTATATTGAGACGACACTGCAGCGGATTTCAGGATGACCTTCGCTGCTGGCCTTGAGAACCGAGGAGCAGATGAGTTTACCTTCATCCCAGTCAGTCAAGCCTCGAAGGATGCCGATATCCATTGCTGAAGAGTTTCCCTCTTTACGACAGACCGATCAGACCAACTTCAAGCATGGATCGGCAAAGAACCCAAAGATCATCTCTCAGGTGCGCCAGCGCGCCACGATCTGTCTCTGCTTCGCTGACGGGAAGTGTGCCATAGTTCATGTGCGACACCTTTGTCAACGCTTGCGGCAAGTCGAAAGCGACGCAAGCTGCTGTGAGTGTCCTGAGCGTCAGATCTTGACACCGTGCTCGTGCTGACCTTGTGCAGTGCGACACTGTAAAGACCACGATCGATGGACAGCTGGACTCTGGCGCCCTGACTGCTGATCAGTCGTATGCCGATGCTTGGTTGTCAGGGGTGAGTGTTGAGTAATAAAATGTCTGACGGAGCTGCTTCAGCTCGAACAAGCCTTTGGTGTCCAGTCGACTGGGTCAGGCGGCGCCACTGGAGGCGCCAATGCAGGTGCAGCTGTGGGAGCTGCCGACGATGCTGCTCCAGGAGCCGGAGGTACCACTGCGGATGCGGGGAATGCTGCACAAGCTGGGACTGGCAATACAGGCAATGCTGGTTCTGATCGCCCGAACAACAACGCCAATGGAGCTGAGCAGAACGGTAACGGCAACAACAACGCGGCTTCTGAGGGATCAGCAGCTGTAAGTGCCGGAGGCAATGTCCAGACCTTTGGTGGAGCTCTGAACGGAGCTTCTGCTCCAGCTGTGATTCAAAATACTTCCTCGAACCGACGTGAGTTCCTCTGAATCGCGCCTTCTTGACCCCCTTCGCTGATCTTGATTTTTAGCCTTCTTCGTTGGAGGCGATACCTTTGTGAACAAGGGTGCGGCGATCCAACGATCATGCGACCAACAGGCTAACGCTTGGTGAGCTGCACAAGCTGTGCTGGTGAGTATGAGCTGACAACTTGTCCAGTGCCAACGCATTCAACAGTGGCTCTGGGACTGCTCCAGTCAGCGAATGCAATGCCCAGCGGCAGTGAGTCGCCCTCTCACACAGTGGACCCAAGCTGACATGACAATACAGGCAATGTGTTGCAGCTGGTGGAGCATGAGACGACTGATGGGCTACGTGTCACCGTTGAGCGGGGACAAGAGAATGTAAAATAGTTCACTCATGCAATTCCTCCATCTGACGCCGCGACGAAAGCGGATGAAAATCATTCGCGTCGGAATGTTACTGTATGACGTCGGATCAGGTCTCTGAGCTCGTTCAGACGTTGATCTCCACCGATAGGAATCGTGCTGCAGCGGCCACTATGCCACCATTCCAGGCTCTGACTCTACTCCAGCACCTACGATACCCATCTACATTATCTCTCCTCGGGCTGAGCCGTGCTTTCGGGAGCGCCGCGGCCACACCGTCAAATATCGAATGTACTCGATTCCTACCTCGCCATCCGTCACCTATAGCCCCTAGAGAATCGCCGACACCTTTAGTCTTGATCCGTGCTAGAGGCTTGGGGCTGGATGAGAGCTCAGAGGAACGTGAATGGACGACATGGAGTGCAATGTTCGCTGAAAAGGGATACACGGCGGTAGAGATCGATATCTCGGTGTCTGCAAAAGCAGAAGGAGGTAGTGCCGGTGCAAGCGGTCCAACAGGACTATCAGATCCAAGTACTCTCCCATCCATGGCGAAAGTGCTCTCCGGCCAGATCAGACTCATGGCTGTCCCCTTCCCTCCCATTGTCATCGCATCTGGTCCGAGCTGTCTGCTCGCTCAAACGTTCGTGGGCGATTACCCAGTATCCGGACTTGTGATGCTCGATCCTCCTTCTGATGAGGCGCCAAAGACGCTCAAGGACAAATCTTCATGGCCTATGTTCAACTATGAGCCCAAGTTCCCGATACTTGTCATGGCGGACAAGGATCAAGTGGATACCCTGGGACAGCGGAACAGGGTGGCAAAGGCCGCTGAAGACGGCGTGAGCAGAGGAGGAAAGGGAGTCAGCATAGAGACCATGGTGGATGGTATCCGGGGCGAGAAAACACGGACGGTGAGCTGTTTGACCGATTGCGATGCAAAGTTCTACGTGCTGATACCCAAGTGTAGGAGGTCGAGCGATGGATGGACAGGTGTGGTTATTAAGGGCTGCACTGCTTTGCTTCTAGATTGATTTTCTTGTGTTTTTGATAGGCTAACCGGGATCATGAGCCATCCTCTGACAACTCGTTATGCGTATGCTAGCTGAGCGACCTCAAGACGACCCATGATGCTGCTCTGTGACCACAATATGCAAGGGAGCAAGGTCATCCCCGATCCCCATTAGAATCGAACAATCAGCAATCGAGGTCTATCCGAGAGGCTCCAAGGAGACCAGACGTCCCGTAGGTTAGGACTTAGGTGTTGATGATCGCTTCCTCGCACCGTGTACGAGATGATATAGCGCAGTGAGTTGAACCTCCTCGGACCTTGCCTATCTGGGAGTGTTCGAAAGCGTCGTTAGAAGCTCGAGTCGAGCGACATACATTGAGCAGATGATAGCTGGCCTCCAAGAGGTGGGCCTGCCAATGTAGACACAGCAGTCACGCAGATTGCTATGGCAATATGATCTGCTGCCACTGTGTTGAGCCCGACACCACCGTGCCGGGGCAAATGCAGTCATTCAAGACCCATTGCTCAGGAAGGCGGCGCCTCGGCGGAGACTTATCCTTGATGGTGCTCACTACACATGCTCATCACGCTCAGCAGGTCATTGGCACGAGGAGGAGACACCAGCTACAGAACATTCATAACTAGGTTGGCGCCACATCAGCTACGTCACGTGATCTATTCGATCGGCTGTTTTCCCGTGACTGATTTGCTTTTCGCGACTTTGCTTCTTTGCTTTCAATCATATCACTTTCGGCGACAGCGAGCAGTGACGGGAGCGTCTGCATGAGGGCAAGTGTCTTCAGCGATAGCCATGGGTATCCAGGGTCTCCTACCTATGCTGAAGGAGATACAAGAGAGCGGACATATTGAGCACTTTAGAGGGAAAAGGTGAGTCTGCGGCTCTTCGAGTCGCGTGCTCGAAATGCTGATATTGGAGATTGACTGACGCGCCGATGTCAGATTAGCGGTAGATGTGAGGAAGCCGCGTCCCCCGAGGCTTCGAGCGCTTTGCTAACACGATCCAGGCCTATGTATGGCTCCACAAAGGGGCATTTGGATGTGCCGAGGCTCTAGTCAAAGGACAGGTAAATACGAAGTGAGTGAGCAAAGGATCCTCGCAGGCGACCAGCGATGTATGCACACACTGATGCCGAGTCTCTTCAGATTCGTCGACTATGCGATGCATCGCGTGAGGCTACTTCGGCACTATGGTATCGAACCATACATTGTCTTCGATGGTGGACCGCTACCCGCGAAGAAAGTGACAGAAGTAGCCAGAGCTAAGTGAGCTGCGGCATGGCTTTCAGGCACAAGTCCTAATGCTCGATACAGATCCCGAGCTGAGAGTCTCGCGAAAGCGCGGTCACTGGAGTCACAAGGGAGAGGGCACCAGGCTAGAGACCACTACACAAAATGCTTGGATATAACCCCGGAGTTGGCATTTCAGCTCATCAAGGTCGGTTCTGTCGTTCACCTTCGCAGCCATTGCTAAAACCCTTCTTAGGCATTGAGAGCCGAAGAAGTAGACTACATTGTTGCTCCTTATGAAGCAGATGCACAATTGTGTTATCTCGAGCGGGAGGGTATTGTCGACGGTATCATCACGGAGGACTCGGATCTTTTGGTGTTTGGATGCAAACAGGTCCGGTGGCTATTCCTAGAGTCCACACACGAGCTGACCGTGATGCAGGTCATATTCAAGCTAGATGGTCAAGGTCATTGCGTTTGGATCAACCGGGAGCGATTCGGCGAGACCTCTTCGTTTCCAATGCATGGATGGACTGACGTAGAGTTCCGACGTATGACTGTGAGTCGATATCTGAAACATCTGATCGATTTGCCAACGGATCCAGATGCTATCTGGGTGTGACTATCTGCCATCGATTCAAGGGATGGGTCTCAAGACTGCTCATAGGATGCTGAGACGATGCAAGACGGTAGAAAAGGTCAGTCGCACGGGATCGACGTCTTGGTGGAAATTGATGGGTTCTAGACACTCGCCACCGTACGCATGGAGGGATCAATGGATATTCCTTCGACATATCTAGCTCAATTTGCGCAAGCGGAGCTCGCCTTCATGTACCAAAGAGTATATTGTCCAAGAGCACAGAGGATCATAACACTGAACGAGCTGCCTGAAGTGGGGATCAGTGAAGACGATCACAAGTGGATCGGCTTGTGAGATGATATGTCAAAGCTATTCTGACCCCACTCAGGGACTTTGACGTCGAAATCGGACGGGCCATTGCCAAAGGCGACATCCATCCAGAAACACGAGAGTCTATTCAAGATCCATGGCCGCAATATCGACCGGTCGCACTGAAGTCTTTTGTCAAAAAGGTGAGCTCATTTGCTGATCATGTCACATTATGTCAATGGACCCCGGTTGACCCTTCTGCACAGGCTGTACTTCGCGAGAATTCGAGAGGCAACGTCGTTGCTGGACCCATGGACGCCTTTGTGAACAGTCAGTACTTGGCCACACGGAGCGAAATCTGATCCATCTCAGGGCAAAAGATTCGGAAACCTCTTCTAGTCAAGCCCGTTGGATCCTGTGGAGCAGACATTTCCAGCCTCTCGACCAGAGGCTCCTTCGATGCGACTTCGGTAGCCGGGCCTTCGAAGTCACGCTCTGCTGGGAATAAGGACATCAGCGTTGATGCGGACAGGTCATCGAAATACTTTGGACGAAAACCGACCGAGAAGCAGCGATTGGAAGCCAATATCCAGACCACGGCGGCAGAGCTTGAATGGGAGAAGAGTGACGAAGAGGGACCTGATGTGGAGTTCTCTCAAACGCCTCAAAAGGATTTCAAGCATGAGACGGGTGTCATGATCGAGAGGCATCATTCCCCGCCGCTCGACTCGCCCCGAGATCCTCAACACGTCACACCACCTCGATCCAATGAGGCTCGAGGACCGCCATTCCTCGAACCTCCCAATGTTTCTATGACCTCCTCCCCTAGCAGAATGCCAGAGCTCACCAGCCCGGCCCTGTCCTCACCTGTCGATCGGCCAAATTATGATGATGACGATCATGTCTTCTCGCCTGAACGATTCGCGTCTCGGTCCGGTGCTTCCAATTCACCTCTGTCTGGCCGTCATATGGAGCAAGAAGTCGTCTCAGAGACGCAATACAGCGTCCCGGTCCTCATTCCCGCCTCCTCACCTACCGTCAAGTCTCTCATCTCGTCGAGACCATTACCTCGTTCGTTCCAAGATGCGCCGGCTGCCAGCGCTCGAATCGCACCTCTGGGTTCGAGTGACAGCATTGAGGAAGAAGAGGTCAGGACGCCAGAGGCTGGCAGTTCGCACAAACGCAGGATTGTGAAGGATGAACACATTGATACTGTCGATCCCTCGGAGCAGGAGACGGCAAAGCGTGCAGAAATGATTGGGATTGGCTGGAAGGCAAAGTTTGCGTTCACAGCGAGCCCGGTGAGTCGCGCGCCCGCCAAAAGCCTCACACTATGGTGTCTCGCTGACATGTTATCTAGAACTTCCCCGCACCTCGTTCTACTCGGATCACCAAAATGGCTAAGACCATACCTCCGCGTCTTGACTCCCCAAGCGCAGCGCTGTCTTCACTTGGAACATCGCCGAGCGTACTTCGAAGCAAATCAGCAAACTTGGACGTGACGACGGCTAAATCTCCCAGTATTGACAGAGCGTCTCCAAAGCGAGCCAGAGTCATCAGACCTGTATCGTCAGTGAAAGAGGTTGAGAATGTGCCTCTGGACGAGGATATGGGGGAAGAAACGCCTGGCAAATTTCGAGTGAGCTCTCAAGCGGCTTCTATCCTAGAGAAATTTAGGTATTCTGGAGTGAGATTGTGATTGGCGAATGTGTGAGCATCACGAGTTCTTGTATTTACTGTAGTCATATTCCATAGCATAGTGCATCGTGACCTCTGTTGTTTCGGTCTTCAGTGTCATTGCCGTCTTGCTAGGAGGCCAAATCGAGACCATCATCAGACCACAATGACTGGATTGGATGCCTATTTGATGTTCTGCATGCTGATAATTCCCTTCTATGGCCCAGAACGTATATCTGTCGCTCCTCCACTCTGTAAGACGTCAGCATACTCTTCATCCTCCGGAGATAGGGGGTCAGAGTGAAGACGTTGCCCTTGGCCCGCTCACCATGACTGCTTCGATTTCCCGCTCAGAAACCTCTTTCGGCATCCATAACCTCTCTGGAGCGTCCCAAAAATTCTCAAAATCCGCAGACTTCTTTTCTAATGGTCCTCGGGTTGTATCATTGTCTTGAGGTGTTTGACCCTAGAGGATGCACAGGTCAGCGGGAAGGGCTCTTGCAGAGCTAAGGCAATAGAGGGTGGATAGAGGGTCATGACCTGGACGCCTGCCTAGGCCATAAACTCCGGTTCCTAGGCCTGCTGAAGAGGGTACATCTTGGGAGCCCTCATAGGCTGCTCCGGGCTCCGCTCCTTTACCTTCTCTACCGGACTCACCTTTGAAGACTGTTCAACTGATTGACCCTTTGGGGTTGAGCTTGGCCAATCTGATCCTTTTGAACTAGATTGCAGCTTTGCGAGAAAGGATTGAAAGTTTTCAGCGACTTCTTTAGGTGCCTGAGGATGGGGAGCGGGAGCATGGGGAGCTAGAACCGTTCAGCCCGTGAAAGTATACCGTTTGAAGGCCAGATCGTAACTCACCGTTGTCGTAGGACCTTTGGCCAAGGAATTTAATCATCGGTGTATGGGTGAAAGCAGGTTTTGCACGGAGGACTCGTGAGGCGAGCATGATGGAGGTCTATGTCCCACTGATCAGCCTCAGGATGAGGGATCGTCGCGGCCTTGAGAAGGGAGGAAGAGATATCAAAGACGGATGGATGAATGGATGGTCGATGAAATCATGAGAGGGGTCGGTCGATTCGCCCCGCCACCGAATAACTCCGAGAGTCAATGGAAATCCTCAAAATTTCAATCATATCCATCCACTGCCCTGTTCTGCTACAACATCCAGCTGGCATTGGAGACTAAAGCAGCGGCCGGGGTTCACCAACAGCGAGGACGGTGAGGACACGGACGCAGCGATTAAGCCTCACTGGACTGCACATCATTCTTGTATCCTGGATTGCACCCTTGCGTTGCTCTCACGATGCCCATTCGTCCGACTTTCAACATTACCTCCAAAGTACCCAACAAGATCGCCAGTCTCGCGGGTCCCCACCGATTAGCCAAACTCCTGTCACTTCTCCCTCACAATGGCGTCCAGTCTGTCATTCAGCCCGCTCTAGGAAATCATGATACATTTTATCTCGTGACGAGGACGAAACTGAAGTATAGGGCTGTGGAATTGAGGGATCCAAATGCTGAGAAACCAAAAGGACAGGATGGCATTCCGCTCGCCAAAGGGGATAATAAGTTTTGGAGACCGGTGGATCCAATGGAGAGTGGACCGGAGGCGGGGGAGATGAAAGCCTCGGGACCAGTATGGGTTATGCGGTTCAAAGATGGTGAGATTTGGATCGCTTCAGGACCGAGTCGGTTTTGAAACCTATCTGACATTGGTCACAAAGGTCGTTATGTTTCGCCGAGATACAAATCTGCCATGCCCGATCAGCAGATGAAATTCGTCGCTCAGGATCCTTGGCTAGCAGTGGACAAGACTGCCATACCGTCTGAAACACGCGAAGCTATTGCTAAGTGGAAGGAGAGCTACGATCGTCAAGTGGAGATCCGTGAGAAGGTGATGCTCAAGCAGAAGAAAGCCAGGGAACAATTCTTAAAGGACCAGGAGGCCAAGAAGAAGGAGAAGCGGAAGAATCTAGAGTCGTGGAGGAGGCAAGCCAGGAAGGTTTCGATATTGTATTAGAGCACATATGGGGCATCGAAGCGACTCGCCCGATGTATCATTATATCACTAACCCAGCGGTCTATCGTAAGCTGGGGAGAATTGCATGCTCCATCTACGTCCATGATGTGGATTCATCCTGCGCGGTCCACAATCACCTTTTCGAGTACTTGTGGATACACTCCAGGAACCATCCCATGTCGTCCGGCTTGACGTTTGGCGTAACACCATGACCCAGATTTGCGATCCATCCTCCACCAGCCTTGTGGAAAAGTTTGCAGACTCGTTCGACCTCTTTCTCGATACCTTCTCTCCCAGCATACAGGATGACAGGGTCAAAGTTGCCTTGGAAATTGACTTTTTTGCCTACAATTTCCCTGACTTCGACGGGATCGACTTGCCAGTCCAACGAGAGCGTAGCGTAGCCAGTAACATCTGGGTCGGAGATCAATCGTAGAGACTGAGGGGCATGGACGCCTTTGGCAAATAAAGTTATCTTGACATCGGGATGTGAGATAGCTTTGAGACAAAAGTGGACCTTGCGGGAGATGTGCAGGAGAGCGGGGAGTTCGAATGATTCAAAGTGATGCGGTGTGAGTTCTCCGGCCCATGTGTCGAAGACTTGCAGCATCTAAGAAGGAGACAGATCAGCGACGACTTCTCGACATGTGGAGAGGTATTCACCTGAGCTCCTGCCAGTACCTGTCCAACCAAAAAGTCTGCACAAGCATCCGCGATCATCATTAAAAGCTTATTGCTCTCCTCCGGGTATCGATACAGCCATTGCTTCGCCTTTTCAAATGTCTTGCTTCCTCCGCCTTCGATCATGTACGCCATCAACGTCCAAGGAGCACCACAAAAGCCTATTAAGGGGACTCGGCCGTCGAGTTTCTTCCGGATCATGGTGATCGCGTCGAAGACATAGCCAAGGGTGTCGTCAATGTTGACCTTGTTGTTCAACCGAGAAAGATGAGAGGGATCGAGTAGTGGTTCGGGAAAGCTTGGTCCTTTCTCGGGAAGCATCTTGACTTCCATGCCGAGAGCTTGAGGTATAACCAAGATATCGCAGAACAGGATAGAACCTGATATCCTCTTGAATCGCTCGATAGGTTGCAGCGTGATCTCGCAGGCTAATTCAGGCGTTTGACAACACTTGAAGAACTCGTGCTTTTCACGCAGTGCACGAAATTCAGGCAGAGCCCGACCTGCTTGCCTCATCATCCTACAAGTCTCAGCACCGTTGCCTGGGACTGAGTAACTCACCATACAGGAGCCTCAGGTGTCTCCTCTCCGTTCGCGGCACGAAGCAAAAGGTCATTCTGCAACTCTGGGAATTCCAACTCCTTCCACGTCTCAGCGAGCTTTAGCTTCGGCACAGCGAAAGACATGGCAGCTCTGGTATGATAAGTGGTCTTTTGGATCCACTTGTCCCTTTCAGTCGCTGTTCTAGTGGTCAAGGTTGACTTCTACAGTGACCTGCAGACCAGGACAATTCAGGACAGGATTCCGAAATTTTGATTCCGCCCAAAAGCAGGTAGTTGACCTCCTTGGCTGATTCCTGGATCACAGCAAGGTTCAACTGCGAGAAACAAGAGATTCTATTGAGATCCTAAATGCATGGGTTTCAAAAGCTTAGCCAAAAGCTTGAGACAACAGCAGAGCCTGGCTGGTAATCCCGACTGGGAAGGTGCCCTTATTCGACAGGCTCGCCTTCGGCAGTCTGAAGAAGCCTGTCAGCAACACGACATTGTGAGATCCTCGTCAACGTACGACGTAGCACGCATGAAGACCTCCATCGACCAAAAAGTCTGTGCCGTTGACGTAAGAAGAATCCTCAGAAGCCACTAGGAGTAGTATTAGCGGGTTCTCGCGTGGCATCGTGGCACGATCGTAGACGAACAGAACACGACAGCTTTCGCCTGCTCAATGGCTTCTCCAAATCGACCTTGTGGAAGATGAATCCGACGCCTGTTTAGCTTCTCAGGAGTATTGAGGAAGTCCATGAGAAGCGGTGTTCGAATGGGACCCCTATGCGGACGATTTAGTCAGACTGGTTTACCGGCACATCTACCCGAACGACTCACGGACAGAGAGCGTTGAACCTGATTTTCTCCCTCGCATGCACCATGGCCAGCTCACGGGTCATAGCGAGCACCGCGCCCTTGGATGCGGTGTCTGGTTTCAGAACCAAAAAAAACCAGATCAAATGACTATTCGGTCAGATCCCCAAGGACCACTTACACGCGAGTTGAGGAGTCGCTGCACCCATGATAGCGACGAAGGAAGCGACGTTGATGACGGATCCACCTCTTCCAAGTCCTCTGGAAGGGTCCGCTTGGTTCTTCATGTATGTCAGTCGGTACTTGAGGATGAATATGCTGTGCGACTCGCCTTTCGCATGGCGATGACTGCGTGCTTTGAGCCATACCAGACTCCCTTGACGTTGATACTCTGGGTCAGATCCCAGATCTTCTCTTCGGTATTGACGGCGTCATCGTCACTGAACAGATGAGTGAGCTGCCGAGAATGGGGCAGTCAAGCTGGTGACTCACGCAGGGTGCATGATTCCGGCATTGTTGAACTTGGGTATCGTCAGCGATCCTTCCTTCCTGCCTGTCCTCCTTGCAACCCTGCTGAGGACGCCCTAGGTACTGCGATGGAGGGGCATCCCCCATGACACCCTGATTTGCGTTGGAGTCGCCCATCCCGGACTCACCATAACGTCCAGTCTTCCCCACTTGCTCACTGCCCTCTCCACAACAGCCTGGACCTCGCTCTCATTTGACACATCGCATTTGACGCCTTCAGCCTCGGACCCAGGAAACTTGGCTTCTACATCCTTCACCACGGCGGAGAGAGCCTGTTCATTGATATCACTGAGCAAGAGTCTCGCTCCCTCCGCGGCGAATTGATGGGCTGTCTCAAGACCGATTCCGCTGTGACCGATGCCATCAGCCTCTTACTTTGTGGAGGAAGCAGGCGGAACAACGAGCGAAGCGGGGTCTTGCGACAGACCTGGCGATCTCATTCGTCCTCTCTTAAGGTATAGAATGAAAGTATTGAAAGGGGGCAGAGACTCACGATGCGGCGCCTGTGATGATGCAGACCTGCATATCGGGTCAGCGTTGAACTCGAGCAACTGACTCCGCGGCTGGTATTTGACCAGGACTCCAAAATTTCACCTTGTTCTCGAGTCTCAATCGCGCAGCCATGATGTTCGGGCTTCAAGACAGGTGCAAAAGGTAAGACGCGAACGTGAGATTTGGCTCTTTGTCGTGTATGAATGCAGTCAAAAGTAGATTGAATTGTGAAGATCTTATCTTTATTGCGAGGCTCGGGACCTGAGTTGGGACTCGGGATTTTCTATTTACCGCCGGCTAAGTGCGTACCAGCGGGCTCAGCTCACATAATGGCATGGGATAGGATGCTGTCATGATACAGAGTGACTATAAACGAGGTGAGGTATTCTTGAGCAAGGACTAACCCTCTTGAGTGGGGCCTACTTCTACCTTGTGACTAGACTCCGCCGCGACTTTGACTTCATCGATCGATTCCATGCTGGGCTCAGTGGCTGGAGCACTCGGCTTTCCTTCCATCTCCTTCCGACTCGAATGCACATTGACAACTTCTCCATCCCTGCTGTCGACGACCATCTGCTCCGCAAGTCTATCCGCAGTCTCTTCCGATGGCTGGGGATGAGATTCGACCTGGGCCTCTGTCTTCTCGACTTGGTTGAGCTGTACCTCGTCAATGACGCCAGGCTCTTGAGGGTCCAGTGCATCCGTTGGTGCCGTAGGCTCAATGTTGCCTGTTCGGTCTCGGGAGGCATTCGACAAATCGCCATTCCTCGCTTGAATGGTGTCTCCTGGCTGGTTTGACGCTTCTGCTTTGTCCGATTCAGTCGAATCTGACGACGACAACAAAGCGGCGGCCAAAGTTCCAACAGCCGACCCTAGAGCCGACTTCGCGGTGCCATTTGTTTCGATATGCTCGACCTTGGCTTTTCCAGCATCTGCTTTGGCTTTATGATTACCTTTCGGCCCGGTTTTACTGCGCGTTGAACTGCGGTTGGACCAAGCTGATGATACGCCTCGTGTTCGAGAAGGCGGGGGAGGATCAGGAAGCGACAGGGCAGCTTCAAGTAGCTTCTCTGCAACGGACCGGCGACGGAATGACAGGGTATCTTGTTGTTCACCCGCTTGATCCTTAGAGATTGACTCAGACTTGCCAGGAGTGTCGACGAGTAGGCCGGAAACAGGACCCTCATGGGGCGAGCCGTTCAACTCGCCGAGGGGTTCCACCGCACTGCTCGGCGAACCGCGTCGGGGTGTTCCGTTTGGGACTGGGGTCAATGGCGTGGATGCCCGACTTCCGTCCCTGCCGACAGAGCCAGGGCCGGTCTCGAAACCCTCGTCCCGCGCAGAACTGACTTGGTGACCGCGGAATCCACTCGAAGCTCGCTTGATGCCCATGTGAGGGCTCGCATACCCTGGAGTGTCGGTTGCTCCCGGGTGCTCTCCATTCGCCAGAGCCGCCAGATGCCTCGCTCGACTATCTGCAGCTTGAGCCTGGATCTGAGCCTTCCTCCTCCATTCATCTCGTATCTCTCGAGTGTTGATCCAAGCGTACCTATTTCGGTCAGAAGTGTCTGACGGGCTCTCTGGAACTCACCAGAGCACATTATACAGCTGCAGCACGTCATTTTTCCAGACTTTGACAAAGTTCTCGTTTCGAAAGTCTTGTGTAAGCTGCTGGCACCGAGAGACATTGTCTGAAATGGAGTGAGTAGGAACGCGGAGGAAGCAGCGATGAAACTCACGAGGGCTGACAAAGTCAATCGCGATCTTGATACAATCGGCAAGATTGCAGACTTGATGGGCACACCCAGCTGGAATGAACACCGCTTGGCCCTGGAAACAATCAACTCGATCCAAGTGTCTTAACGAAACCGACTCACTGGGTACTGGTATATCCTCCAGCTGACCACCCCGTACGATTCATACAGCTCCCTCCTCAAAGACGCGTTCAAGTAGAATAGTTGTGAATGGATAGGATCCGTAAAAATATGGCTTTCATCAAACTTCCTCCCCAAGAACGCCCGAATCTTGTCGGCGTCTTCTGCTCGGAAAAGATCCCAGACCGCGCATCCGGGTTGGCCATCATCCCGCTTAGAGGCGTACAGCATGACATTTACGGCGTCCGCAACGTCCATGTGGAGGCTTGTCCTGCATCCGATGAGCTGAAGTTTCAGAGAGCTCCCGCAGACTTACGAGCCCCTTCCATTTGGACCTTCCTGTGCTTCCTAATGTTAAGATGAGCGACCGGTCATATTTCATTTCAAGGCCAGCTCACAAAAGCGTTGTACATCTTGGGTCCGATATCAGGTCGAGTAGGTCCTTTTGGAAACTGCAAAGTGAGCAATAATAGCTAGACTCCACTCACATTCGCGTAAAGATTCAAGACACCGTCACGTCTGGTGAAATCAGGCGCAGGTAAAGCATCGCAAAAGTCATTGAATAATGCCGGATGCGTATCAGCAAAGTCATCAGTTTCCGGCCAGTCCTAAACACTGCCTCAGCAATGGCCTTGACGGATATACGCCGTCGAGTTGTTCACCTTTAGTTTGAGGATTTCCTGTGGTCTATGCCCGCGGCTCTTGAATAGCTCAAAGAAACTCCGCACATTCATCATGTCTTTCTCATCAGTCTGACAATTGACAACGGCTGTACAAGGTTAGAATTGAGGTGACATGGATAACGTAGAGATGACTCACCTGCTTCTTGATTTCCAAATCTTGCGATAAAATCATCAGGACCCCAGCTCATCTTCAATTTGTCGCCAACCTTGTCGACCAAGATGGGTTCGCCGCGACGCCACAGGGTATCAAATACAGAATTGGTCAAATCTTCATTGTCGATCTTCATAAATGCTCGTGATTCTTCTCCCAAGTCGGCAGGATCCGGTATCTTCTCTGCGGTCGATTTTGAAGATGTTGTATACAATGCAGAGATCTGCTCATCTGTCATTGGCGGATCACCTATTGTCATCGACTGAGGAGGCCGCAAGGTCATCCATTCTTGAATCGCGTCCACTGCACTCTCCCCAGCTTTTTGCAAACCGAGTGCCTCTAGCCGCTCGCCAACACCACCTCCGCCTTCAAGTATGAAGTCTGCAAACGCAAGCCAGTGTGATCTGAGCTCGGATTCGCTGAAACGGGAGACGGGCTGAAGATCTGGTCTGAAATGGAAATTTGGCGCTCTGCTCGACGAGGCAGGCGCGCCAGTCGTCCCATTGCAACGCAAGAGTCTCGGTCGTGCAGCGTCAGGTAAAGGCCAGGGAGATTTGCTCATCGTCTCGAACGACTCGGAGAAATGTCGTTCGCAGACCAGGCAATAGTCACGACCACATCGCTTGCAGAACCACCATCCGGCAAAGATGGTCGAGGCGCAAAAGTCTGGAAAGAGATAGCTCAGCAATGAACCATATTACGAAAACTCACCGCATACCGACCTGTGTCTTGCTGCGTCTGTGCCTCGTTTTATCGCTTTGTTCTTGACGACATGGCGCAACTCGCGAGAGATCAGGGGGAGGAGCAGAGGGGCGACCGTCCGCTGGGACAACGTCAGATTACGTTCGGTGAAGGGCACAGCATGCTCACTTCGATTCGCTCAAGGTGGCTCTGCTCCACCCGACGATTGAAACTTTTAGGCAGAGGAGTCATCTCCTCTGTCCATTCGATCGACTCGAAGAATCCGGGACCAAGGATATCCGTCGTTTTGGGATCGATCCTATCTCTGTCAGTCTGTTCCAATGACTGTGGACTCACCGAAATTTTCTGAAGTCTCTGAAACGACAAGAATCTCCTCCACTTTTACTGACGCACTGTGTGCATTTACCCCACGGAGCGTAACGCGGCCGGAGGCAAGGCGTAATCTGAACGTCGAATTCTTTCCCTAGGAGGTGCTCTTTTATCTGAGACTCGATGATCACCTTGGCCCCTGGCGAGCTTGTCAGCTCGAGTCCTTTGTACGTATCACATATCAGATTCACGAGGAGCAATCTTCTCTGGATGCTCGCGAGGCTCTCCGTCTAAGCCCAGAGCGTGATCCAGCATCTTCCGACTCTTGGCACCTGAGACGCTCGTCAATTATGAGCACGCCCTGCTGAAGCGTGACGCACTCTTGTAACTTTTACCATCTTCACCTTTCATCCGCCTCCGTTTCTTCGTTTCACCATCGTCGTCGTCGCCACCAGCCTTTTTCTTCGGTTTTCTCTTCACGGTTGGCTTCGGCTTAGTCCTGATCTCGTCCTCAAAGTCATCTCCCGAGGCATCTCCAGCGTCGTATGCGTAGCTGATCACCTTGCCTTCGTTTCGACTCCGCTTGGCGGGCTGAGCTTCAACGAAGAACGGCGAGGATTGGACGGTACCATTCGTTGGCCGCGTCGATGGACCAGCGATACTTTGTCCATCAATGGCAGCTAAGTTGGCTGGTTCAGCAGCCGTCGTAGAACGAGCGAAGGGCGATAGCCTGGAAGGTCCAGCTTCTGGGTTTGTGATTCGGTATTGGGCCTCTGAAACTGTGTCTCCGTTCAAGTGATTCCGGGAGATTGGAGAGCCTGATGGAACTGGAGCTGATTCTAAAGCTGGGTCGATTTGCTCGACTACCTCAGGGTCCTCAGGCAAGTCGAGTTCGTTCGGTAGATCCGGGACCGATGAGAGGGGGGAACTCAGCACTGAATGGCATAAGCTCCGTCCTCTAGGACCACCTTGTAACACTGCTCACTTCGCTCATGTTCGACTGGTTCTTCTTCCTCTTCTTCGTCTAAGACCTCGCCAACTTCATGCCCGCTCTCAGACACTGTGCCATCGTCTTGACCCTGCGTTTGCGCTTTGAGGCTCGCTAGGATAACCCTCAAGGCAGGATCATCATCCGGTACGAGCACGTCTTCGTCGACTGAGCTTCTACGCTCAGCGTCTTCTTTTCCTTCAATCATTCCCTCAATCCCTTCCAACTCCTTGACGGAGACCATGGATACGTCTGCTTCATCTGCTCCGTCTGCTCCCTTGTTTACGGCCCCATCCTTTATCTCGGCGGCTGTGCTTGCCCCGGCTGCTTCGTTCAGTCCCAGTTGCTCAACGGAGTCATGGATCCCTTCTGATTCTTTCGGACGCGCGATCTCATCCTCCTCTTCATCTGGAATATATGTTGTTGGAAGCGGGACAAGATCGGATAGTTGCTCTAGGAAGGGGTTAGACGTTTGTTCCCAAGCATCAATATCCATGGTGATGGGTGAAGAGGACCAAGGACCGGCAGGGCCGCCGACTATAGCATCAGATATCGTTGTGACTCCGCGCTCGAGACCGGTCAAAGCTCGTAGAGCGCGTCCTGCTAGAGATCCAAGACGTATGAATAGGCTGCTAGGGGGTATGTAGGTAACACGGCGACATGAATCGCTTGCATGAACAGCCGACGAACGAAAACAATTTTAGACCATTGTCACGTGGCTCAAAATGGCGAGAGTACTAAGTACGTATACGGGTGCATGTACATGTAGTATGTTATAGACTGACTACAGAAGACCCTTACTGCTGGTTCGACTGTCTTTTGGGGGGTCCTCCCCCATAGGGCCTCATGTCCATATCGGGGTATCGGTTCGACACGGCCTCTACCATATCCTCGTCTTTCCAGTAAGCATGATTGACACCTGGGAATCCGACCAGTTCCCTCTGTTTAGGATCCGACTCGACCAGGAACTTGACATACTCCTTGCATCCAATCCTAGCTTGATGATCTAGAGGTGCCATCCAAGGTGCATTAGTGGTGTGAAAGCCTCCGAATTGAACTATTCGACATCCTTCTTTGGCTTTCATCGCTGAACCGCGGTGGAAAGTTCGCATTGAATAGAAGATGACTGATCCGGCCGGGACGACGACGGGGACTTCATGTTTGTAGAATTCTGGGTATTCATCACGTGGTGCGAAACTTTGCTTCTTCAAGATACCAGTGTGTTCTGTGTGAGTTTGAGACAGAACCATGGTGGGCCCAAGGTCGACAGTGACATCGGTAAGGTAGACGATGATAGGGATGTCGATCCATTCTTTGCTTCGTGGAGGAGTGACGAGAGCGTTATTGCCGTAGTCCGAGTGGAGTGTCTGGAAGCGCATCAGAGCTTCCCCATTGAGGGGTGAAAGTCCTAACTCACCTGGTCATACTCTTTTCCGGCATATTTCCCAATGAGGTGACCCAAGCTTAATGCGAGATCTTCGGTCCCCGCCAAACGCTCCGCAAAGGCCACCAAGAATGGATGAACGGCCAGCCGATTCTGAGCTGATTCGATGTAAGGGAAATCATATCGAATGAGGCTGGGGTTCGTCTTGACCGAATTGCCATGGACGTTGGAATACATGGTCTGACGGGACTTGTATTCCTCCCAGTCCGGCATCAGTCGATTCCAACCGGTCGTGAGCTCGTCAAACTCTCCGGTCGTGAGGAAATCCTTGATGATGACATAGCCATGTTCGTTCCAGTGGTCCACATCGGACTGTCGGATGATCTTGTCGTATCGAGCTTTGGCGTCCTATTTCACCGACAACGAAAATGAGATCTTATACAGCGGTGGAGATGAGCGCGAAACTCACCTGAAACGATTCGTTTTGACCCGGGACGTAGGCTTGGATATCTGTTCTGAGCTGTCGGGATCCAGGAGCAGGTCCACTGGGATCGGCAGCGTCTGGCATAGTGAATTGTTCTGTATTTGGTGTTGAGGTGTATGAGAGTGGAGTAGGGAAAGTTCTGAAGCAACCGAAATCAATCGGCATCATAACCGGTCCGTCTATTGCTCCGATCCCCGAGTGGGGGAGAAAGTGGGGGAAGAAAGATGGTGCTGTTGCGCATGTCTTCGTCGCACCTGATAGCATACAGAAAAGCTGAAGCCGATTCAAAAGGAGCCTTCTGGCTAGCTCTGAAACTGACATTGAACTTTGACGACAGTGTCCATTGTCGTTGAGTACATGTAACCAGTGGTCAAGGCTCTTGACGAGGGTACGCCACGAAGGATCTCGGATCCGAAGCTGAACGAGATCGATTCGAGTTCCGAGAATGTCTGTGACTCTCATTTGACTCTCACACTTCGTCAAAGATTGCCAGCTGCCCCGAGCATTCACCATCAGAGGTATCCCAGCATTTTGAATGATATGACGAGTGAGTCATTGTATGAGGACGAGACGCTTACCGCCGACTAAGCTCCCGCCAAGACGTCTTCGGCTCCGCGTCAGCGTCTGAGAGAGCTCTTGCCATTCGTCAAAGTTGGACGATACCCCACAGGCAGACACAATAGCATTACCGATGTCCCCGGTCTCCTTGTTCATACTGAGTCCATCCGTAAGCCCAACTCGGTGGACGAGACGACGGGAAAGAAACAGCTCGCTCAGAATACCGGCGTCACCGTCATTCTGCCACGGAAGAATTGGTTTGAAAAGGGATGTTATGCCGGAATCTTTCGCTTCAATGGGTCGGGCGAGGTGAGTCTCCTAGTGTGGCCGGCACCTGCGATTTGCTGACCATCAATGACTCAGATGACGGGATCTCACTGGCTGGAAGAGACTGGCCTGCTGCACTCCCCCGTGGTCATTACTAACTCGTTTGCGATTGGTCCTTGTTGTGAGTGGACCTTTTGCGATTGTACAATGTTCTCTGATCTATACCACAGACAGTGGAATCTATCAATACGCGCTCAAGCACTACCCTCCGAACGAGGAACACGGTGTCGATTGGTTCCTGTTGCCCGTTGTTGGCGAAACATTCGACGGGTTCTGCAGTGATATAGCCGCCATGCCCGTCACGCCAGACATGACGGTTCGCGGCATCGAGAACGCCACGAGTGATCCTGTCAAGGAGGGATGTACAGGCGGAGGAACCGGCATGATGTGCTGCGGTTTCAAGGCTGGCACCGGGACTGCCTCTCGAATCATCAAAGGTTCAGAGAATGGTCAAACGGTGGAATATACCATCGCTGCATTGGTCCAGAGCAATTTCGGGAAGATGGACAACCTCACATTCTGTGGAGTTCCCATCGGTCGACTTCATCTTCAAGAAGTCGCTTCGAGATGGAAAGAGACTGGCGAACCAGAGCCGAAATTCGTCGATCCCAGACCTAAAGAAGGAAGTATCATCGTGGTCATCGCTACGTCGGCCCCTCTGAATCCGGTCCAACTTCAACGACTGGCAAAAAGAGCTACCTCAGGCGTATCAAGAGTCGGCGGCTGGGGATCCAACTCTTCTGGAGATATCTTCCTGGCATTCTCAACAGGCGTCGAATTGGAGCGAGACCCGCCTGTTTCCCTCTGGGCTCCTACCGCAGAACAGGGCGGTCCAGTTGCGTACGACGTCAGTCTGAATGCTCTATTGGAAGCTTCCGCAGATGTCACCGAGGAGGCTATCATGAACAGTCTGTGTATGGCAGAGACGACTGTGGGTCCAGGTGGACGGGTGGCGCATGCTTTGGATCTCGATTGGGTGAAGAAAACCATGGAAAAGCATTACGTCGATGCGCCATATTTGGAGGTCAAGTAGATAGCTTGTAAGCCAAGAATGTATCTTGTTATCAAGAGCAGTGCGTCAGGTCAGGTATGCAGACGAGTCACGAGCAGCAGCGCCTAGCTTCGCAGAGCAGCAGTGTCAGCCAACAGGTCACGTCACGTCACGTGACTGACGGACGGACGGCCGCGAATTGTTTTGCGAGCGCACTCAACGTCTCGTCTTCATCTCCATCCATCTCTTACCTCCAAACTTCAGCAGTGCACTGGTGCACGCTGACAGCGACATCTGCCCAAGATGGATAGTGAGCGGTCACGACCTGCTTGTCTGTCTAAGCTGACGGACTTCAGGCATGCGAGGCACCACGATGGGCCAAGACTCTGTGAGTTCAAGTCATCATCTTCCCGACCCCCCATTTTCCCCGTCATTCGTCATGCCAATGAGGGGCATGCGACCCCCATTGATATCTCTACCCAGTGCCTTGCACTTAAGGCCAGTACCCTTGCTGACCTTCCCCGTAGCGGTTCAAAGATAAAGAAGCTGCTTCCATAAAAGCTACGAAATTTCCTAAAAACTTCAACGAGAAGGTGAAGCGAACAGGTCCTTCGCGCCTGCAGATGGCAGACGTTGACGCACTTCTCCTTCAGGTCGATCTTCGTAAAGTCAATTTGTCGGTCTTACGCGGATGGATAGCTCAAAAAGTCACCGAGCTGATCCGGATCGAAGATGATGTCGTTGTAGAGTATGTATTTGGGATGTTGGAGGATAAGGATAATCCAGTGAGTGCGGGCGCATCGCCGCGGCGCGAGACGCAGCTTCCACCTTGGCTGTCTCGGTGCCTCTGTATGGTGAAGACGACTTTTGTGCTGACCTATAAATCCAGATGCCCGACCCTCGAAAGATGCAAGTGTCCCTAGTAGGCTTCATGAACAAATACGGTGCAGCGGCATTCATGGAGGCTTTGTGGACTTTGCTCTTGTCGGCCCAAAACACGGTCGGAGGTGTCCCTGCGGAGGTGAGTCTGTCTCATGACTTGGACGTATCAATAAAGTAATTAGCTGACGCGGTGATCCAGTTCATCGCGGCGAAAAAGGCAGAGCTGGAACAACGTCAAATGAACGAGCGGAATGGGCAGGACGCCTCGAGGCCTCCTCCAAGGGACGGACGAGGCCAAGCGTCGGATTCTTTCGATCGCAGGGTGAGTGTGCAAGAGCGTCAGTGGACGAAGCTAATGTATACAGGATAATCGGTTACCTCCCCGACCCGACACCCACGACTATCGTAAAGGTCCTCCACCTCGTCGTTTCGACGATAGAAACGAAAGAGGTCCGTATGGGCGAGATCGGGGAGATAGAGGTTACGATAACAGGCAAAGAGATAGTGGATATGGAGGCAGGTTTGGAGGTAGTGGGCGAGATGGACCTGATGGAGGTGAAGAAAGAAGGTACGGGCCTCGCAATGGAGGTGACAGAGGAGATCGTGTTGATCGCGGGGACCGAAGTGACAGATATGGAAATCGAGGAGATGATCGACCGCCCCCTACCCGTCGAAGTAGAAGTAGAAGTCCACCTCGATATCGTCGTCGATCGCCTTCGCCCCCTCCTCGTCGAAGGACTCCCTCTCCGGCGCCTCGCGAATCGGCCAATCGTCAACGATCTATCACTCCACCACTTCGATCTCAAAAGGGGTCGGACGTTAGAGCGGGCTATGAGGACCGGAGGCCTGAACGACCTGATCGAGGACGAGCCAGCCCTTCGCCATCGCCTCCTCGCCCTACTCGGACCGAACGACAGCGTGGTAGACCGCGCTCGGTGACACCTCGGTCCGTGTCTCGCTCTAGGTCAAGGTCGCGATCACGATCGCCTACTGTAACTCCGCCTCGTCGTGGACGTCGAGATTCGACGCCGCCCGTCAAATCTAAAGGCAGAGGATACGACAACGTGTCGTCTCGATCTCCTGAACCAAAAAGGCGAAGACGATCACCTAGTGATAGTCGTAGTCCGCCGCCTGCTCGACGACGCCGATCTTCGACTCCTCCTGCACCACGTAGGCAGAGGTCACCTTCACCGCAGGCGACCAGAGACAGGGAGACAGTAAGGGGAAATGATGGGCCTGAGGAAGACGTCATCAAGAAAGGTCGAGGGAGATTCACGGTGGAGGATGAAGAGGCTAGGGGGCATAAGAAGAAGCTTGAAGGAAGATTGGCGCAGTCTAAATGGGCTCAGGATGATTGAGGTGGAGGTACGATTCTCATAGGCTACGAGCGAGGCAGTGAAGGCTATGGTCATACCATCACAAAATGCATTCAGTGTGCAATGATTTCACAAATGTCCTTTCCCGGCCCCCACTCAGAGCGGGTGAGACCCGATTCCCAGAGCCTTCAACTCTTCCAACCTGGCCGGCAATCCCTTGCGGAACTCCTCATAAGAAGGTCGTTTGTCACCCAGATAAGCGACGTCGGCGAGAGCGATGAGTCGCGGGAAGACCATGTACCAGAGATGGTCGATTGTGGGGACGTATTCTGTCCAGATTTGAGCCTGCATTCCATAGATGAGGTCCTTGTGTTCCTCCTCGATACCCTTGTAGGGGTCAAAAGCATACACTGCTTCGAGGTCTGCACCAGGTCCGATGGACAGCGGTTCCTTGTCTACTGGTCCTTGCGCGTGATCAAAGTAGAGTAATCCGGGCGCTTGAATGGTTTGGACGCCGGCAGCTGTTGACCTCTGAGCTGCTTTTGTCCAATCTCTCCATGCGACCACGATGGGATCACCTCCAGGGACACCTCCATCGATGATCTCGTCCCAACCAAGCATCTTCTTCCCCTTTTCATGCAAGTAGGCAGCGATCTGAGTGGTGAAGTGTCGTTGAAGTTCGTCCATGTGTTTACCGCCAATCTCTTTCAACTGTTCTCTGGCCGTTTGAGATTCCTCCCATTCAGATTTAGGACATTCGTCTCCTCCGATGTGAATATAAGGCGAGTCGAACACCTCGCAAAGTTCATCGAGGATGTCTTTGCAGAATTTCAGGCCCAGTTCATCGACTCGCAGGACCTCAGGATAGACACCCCAAGCTTTTCCAACTTTGAGGACCTTGCCGTCGTATCCTAATTCAGGGTATGCAGCTCGAGCAGCTCGCATATGACCTGGCATATCGATCTCGGGGACGACAGTGATTCCCTTTTTCTTGGCATAGGCACAGAGTTCTTTGAGCTCGTCCTGAGTGTAAAATCCTCCGTGTTTCTTGCCATCAAACTTGTCTTTGTATGACTCGGGGTAAAGATTTCCATCTTCCCATTTGGCAGGACGACCGACCAAGGTTTCGTCTCTCCAAGCTCCGATCTCGGTCAACTTTGGCCATTTCTTAGATTCGAATCGCCAGCCTTGATCCTCTGACAAGTGGAAATGAAGGACGTTGAGCTTGAGCAAGGCCATGCCATCGACCAGGCGTCGGACTTCTTCCATTGGCCAAAAGTGTCGGCAGGCGTCAAGCATGAATCCACGCCATTGAAAGGCACCATCATCGGAGGGCAGGAATGACATGGCGTGAGGTTGATCAGGGGAAATGTGCGTTAGAGCTGCAATGGGAGTTGGAGTGAGTGAGTGAGTCCGCTGAGAACGCTGGAAAGAGCCTAGATATGTGGAAGCGCCTCCTCCAGATGCGCCCCACTTGGAGATCCCCACTTCTCGGATCAAGCGGCGTTAGCACGTGGATTTTTCCCGGCTGAGTGACGTGGCTTATGACTAGGTGATAACGGATGCCCGACCCTTCGGGGTGGAGGATGGCTTTCCCTCATGCATTTGGCACCATTGGCCGAACGATGTGGAGGTCGATCAGTCGGCGGCATGATGTACAGGTCGTACAAGGCATACCAAATGGGATGACGTGCCTGTCCTCGGCCGTCGGGAGCTGGCGTCACGGCACGTTGTCAAGATCTCAAGCAAGGCGGGGGGCTCAGACTATATAACCAGATGGTCTTGGATGATGTATGAAGTGTAACACGGCATCTCTGTCTGTCATACTTATCGATACAGATCCATCAAACATATCAATATGTCCTCACGAGCCTTGACCAACACCGCTGTACCTGGACTCAAACTGCTCAGAATCGGTTTTGGAGCCATGGTACGTTACGGCGGGTTGGTGCATGAGTACAGCGACTGATAGACATGAACTTTTTACAGAGTCTCTCCACAAACGGTCCAATGGAAGATGAGCAAGTAAGTCTCTCCCAGTATGCTTCATAAGACATTCCATTGACGACGATCAACTGCCCCAGTGCTTTGAGACGCTGAAGCACGCCATCGATCGCGCTGGACCGGGTGAAAAAGTAGTAATCAATTCCTGTGAGTTGCAAAACGTAGCTACATGAGAGCAGCCAACTCATCGATTCAATGATCAGCCGAACACTATGGAGCCAACGCTGCGAATCTGGAGCTCCTCAGCCGATTCTTCACCAGATACCCCGAGACCAAAGACAAGGCTTTTGTCGTCGTCAAGGTGAGAGAGCCTTACCTATCCTACCATGTGGGTCAGGCTGAGACCCCAATAGGGAGGTCTTGGAATCTTCAACCCCGGTTCAGATGGCCACATATCTCCCGACAGCAGTCCTGAAGGTCTTCGACGATCAGCGGAAGGGATTGCGAAAAAGCTTCATCCCAAGAAAGTCGATGTGTTGGGTCCCGGGCGACTAGATGGAAATCATTCCGTGGAAGAAGTCATCAAGACGCTCGTGGAGCTTCAGAAAGAAGGTCTATTCCTCTATATTGGTCTGAGCGAAGTCTCCTCATCGACGTTGAGAAAGGCTTCTGCTATATCTCAAATAGTGACTGTAGAGACTGAAGTATCACCGTTGGCATGGGAAGAAGAGACTCGAAAGGTTTTTGCGGTAGCTGAAGAGACTCGGACTGTCATCCTGGCCTATTCTCCGCTTGGACGAGGCGCTCTGAGCGGCAAGTCCTACGAAGAGATTCCGAAACATGTTCGAGACCTGTTTCCTCGATTCCATGAGGAGAACTGGGAGGAGAATAAAAAGATTGGAGAGAAGATTAAAGCTTTGGCAGAGAAGAAGGGAGTGAGTGTCGGTCAACTGACACTGGCTTGGGTATCTTCGACTTGTGAGTGTACGGTTTCAACTCGCGGATGGGTGCTCTTAGTCTAATGGGCGCGCAACGTAGCTCCCCAAGTCATTCCCATCCCAGGAACCACCATGCTATATCGGGCATCGGAGAACTTTGACGCGATGGATGTTGAGTTGAACTCTGAAGAGAGGCAAGAGGTCGATGCGGTGTTAGAGTCTACAACAGTCAAGGGAGGAAGATACCCAGATGCGTACAAGAAGTTCACGTGGTCGTGAAGTGTACAGCCTTTTGGAGCGATGCAATGTGATTGAGTTGAGTGTTCATTTCCCATTTGATAGTCCTGTTCGGTGTATGTGTCCGCTTGAGGAGGAGGAGGTGGTGGAGGCGGAGGAGGGCCTCACATACTTTTGGGGCACTTTCTTGTTTTCATCACCCGCCTCGGATGGATTGGGTCATAAGGAGACACCTGAGAAGGCATACAAGAACCTCTCGTCAAAGCTGTTGTTCAAGCGAAGCGAGGACCCTAAACGTTGTCGCTCATCTGGCAGAACCCAACGTGGACGCGTTGCATCCGTCACAGGACAACGGACAACAAGATGTTCGACTGTCAGCTCAGATTCCAAAACGCAAAGATGCTGAAATGAACCTGCCGCCGCCCGCCGCCGGCCCTTGCAGATGGTGATTCTAGCTTCGGCGATGCGGAATAGACCATAATTAGATGGAAAGGATGCAGTCCTCTCGCATACCATGATCTCTTTCAGACGTGACTTTGTGTCCTCTCGTATCTGGCCAAGTCAACAATTGTTTTTATCGTCTCAAACGGACCACTGTATGCTTGTATTCAAGGCCCATGCAACTCCATGTCTTGTTCATCCGGCCCCCCCCCCCCCCCCCCAGCCATGTGGAGGAGAGACGCCACACCCTGTCTCTTGTTTACACCCAAACGTCACAAGACCCCGACGGACGACTCAGATACCTAAATCCACATCATACAAGTAGCACCCTCAGAATAGCAAGACCGTACTGTAGATGGCAGCTAGACCTCTCTACGCCCGACCCTTCCCGGTCTCTCCGCCATTGCATACAATGTAACTCGACGCGACGGAAGATCTCGACGAACGCTTGTTATAGGCTGACTCGCTGCCCACTCACCTGATCCATTTAAGCTTAAATCTGACATTCAGGTTTCCGTCTTCCGCCCAGTCAACCGAATGTTTTTTGCTGTTTCTCTCCCCCGTCTCTCTGTCTGTCTCTGACAACCAATCCATTCCAAGTCTCTCTCACTCTTTCTCACTCTTGTCTCGAGTTCACGGCGATTGAATCTCACAGTCTTTACAGGTCAACCTACAAGGTCTACACATCTGACACAACAAGTCGCTCCGTCACACATTTGCGCCGCCCCGCACCGCCCCTCCTCGATGGAAAGGGAAAAAAACACACAGAGATATCATCCACAGACTCTGCTTGCAATCCCCGATCATCGAGCTCGAACAGAATCCTCACCTAGCAGTCACCATTGCACGATGCTATCCTACCTTGTTGCCGCTGCTGCTGCCTTGGCTCTGCCCTCGCTCGCCGCTATCAATCCCACTTCGCCCGACTCGAGCACGGTCGTCAAAGTGGGAGATGACATTACGGCTCTCTGGACAGCGGATACCACTGGGCAATGGACCAATCTCGAGATACAGCTCATGACGGGTCCAAACTTGGATGTGAGTGGCTCTTCTATATCTCTATAGGCTTGTACTGAAGTGGCCCGTCTTGCAGATGGTCCCCTTGTCAGGTGAGCTTTGAATCTTTTTCAATTATTGCTTGGACCTTGTTTCTCCTACCAGAATGTGGAGTCTGACATGTCATTTCGCTGCAACAGTCCTCGGTCAAGGAATCGACGGTACTACCAAGACCTCTTTCTCTGCCCCGGCTCCTGCAGTCTCCCCTTACTCTCAGATCTACTTCTTGCAATTGTGAGTTTTGGGCCGCAGGCCCCTACTGTGTCTGGCTGGGTCAATCAGACTCATCCCTGACTCGCGCGTTTCAGCACTCAAGGAGGAAATGTCTCGACGGCTCTCTGGTCGACTCGATTCACGGTGAGTCAAGAATGAATAGAAGACCCTTCTCTCAACTTATGACCCCTTGTATTCCCGCAGATTGCTGGACCTGATGGCTCTACAACTCCTCCTACCAACACGACCACTTGGAACGGTCAAGCCGTGCAGTGGGGTGAGATTTGGTCACATGACGGTGCAATTTCACCACTAATTTTCCCCCCTTCCAGGCACTGGCGTCCTCACTGGAGGCTCCTCCTCTTCCAACTCGACAAGTGGATCAGGTACCGCCGTCGCGACCTCTACCGAGATGGACCCCGATACGTTGACAGGTCTCTCTACTTCCACCACTTCTACCGGAGCAGCCATTAATGCCGTCACATCCATTTCCGCTTCCACCATGGCTTCAAGCTCTACCTCAGCATCCGCAGCTTCGGCAGCTTCTCAATCGGCTAAACACAGCGGATCAGCTGGCAAGGGGATGGCTGTGGGAGGTGGTGCAATGTTGTTCGCTGTGCTTGGATGGTTCCTTTAATCGAGGTCATGATGTTACATTCCATTGGCCCGTTGTAGCTGGTCATAGCTGCTCGGTGGGTCTGCTGGATTCCCGATTCCGGCATCATCCCTTATTCTCACCATGGACATTACCAATGTTTGGTCTCCTCTTGCATCTCAATGTATGGCATTGTGATTGCTGCGGATGCCTGCATTTGTTTCTCGATGATGCTAGAAGAATGGCGCTTTGATGATTTGGAAGAAGCAGCGTTTGCCCTGGGGGCTGACTTTTTGGTCCACGTCCTCGCCGCACCCGAGAAGGAATCCCGCTGCGTCAGGTAATACTAGATGTCACTTTCCATCCTAGACCCATCGAATAGTCGCCTTGTGTTTCCCCAGACCAATTTCCTCCCCTCCGACCCAGAATCTCTGTAAGACCACGGGGAGGTCGATTCCTACGACCTGACCATCGTCATTCAATCTCGCGCCATTTTCAATCAGAGCGATCATCAACCTCGGTACAGCGGCCGCCGTCCCGTTGAGCGTGTGAGCGAAAAGTAGAGACGGGCTGTTGTCCTTGTCCTTTGGATCAGAGCCAGGGACGTGAGCTGGTTTGTATCGGATATGGAGGCGTCTCGCTTGATAATCGGTACAATTTGACGTTGATGTGATCTGATTGCTTCATGAGCTCGACCCTTTCCCTTTTGCAAATTGACTTGCTCACCTCGCCCCATTTACCTCTACCTGGCATCCAAGCTTCCATATCCCACTTCCTAGCGGCACTGGCTCCGAGTTCCTCTGTCGGCATCTCGAGTACTCTGGATGATTTAAACTCGTCAGTCTCAGCAGAGAGGGAAGTGCTCCCGTTTTCTTTTGTGACGCTGACCTCACGGGAAATCCTAATGGTTCTATAATCTCCCTCTGTATCCTTCCCAATTCTTCGAAACACGCCTCACTCTGTCCAACCTCGGCAACGACAAACATTTCAACCTTTGTAAATTGGTGAACTCTATACAGGCCCCTCGTATCTTGACCCGTTGCGCCCGCTTCGGCTCTATAGCTCCGACCCACACCAACGACTTTTGAAGGCAACTCTCTGATCGCAAACATCTTTTGAGCATACATCCCACCTAGGGGAATCTCGGCCGTCCCCGTCAAACACATTTCGGGTGTACCGGGATCCGTATGGAGTTGGTAGATTTGAGTCGCTCCATTTTCCGGATCACGAGGTTGAAATCCACATCTCCAAGCGATATCTGTCCGAACAGCATCTGGCGTGATGATGGGAGTGAAGGATCTCGAGCTGCAGACTGACAAGGCGTGATTGATAAGAGTCATTTCGAGCTGAGCGAGAAACCCTTTGAGGAAAGGCCATGATGATCCGGATGTGAAGGTAGAGGCTTCATTATCTAACAATTGGAGTGTCGTGCAAATGGTCAGGTGATCTCTGTTTTTATCCTCTGGTATGGGCTTGGGACCGAATCGAGCGACTTCTCGAGCGTTCTTTTCGGGTCCAATAGGAGACGAAGGATGACTCCAATTAGGCAAGAGGAGTCCCAACTCCAGAAGCTCACTCTCCACTTCATCCAGTTCAGATTGCAACGATGCTACTTGAGCTTTCAACGCTCTCGCCTCTCGTCGAAGAGATTCAGAAGCATTCTTTTTCATTTCCGCTCCAATCTTCTTCTGATTCGTCTTGTATTCGATCAAAGATCTCTGTAACTCATGTTGCTTCCCCCAAAGTGCATTCATTTGTTCCATATGATCTGGAGGTAATCGTATCCTTCGGTTAGTGTAATTCTGCACCGTCTCGGCGTGTGAAGCTAGCAGGGTAGTGTAATCCAGATGAGGCTTTCGGAGCGATGAGAGACCTGAGCGAAATATTTGCGCGACAGGTGAGGAGCCGCTGGAGGAATCACGATGGGACGATGGTGATGATGACGAGGATGAGGAGGACGACGACGAGGAGGAGGAGGAGGCTGCTGATGAGGGACCCTCTACATCATCGCTGGTTGACCTGCTTGATTCGCGAGCTGGAACAGACGCGAATGCTCGTCTGCGAACAATTGGCGATTGGCGACATGTCAAACAGCTGAATTCCTCCAGTACCGTTGACAGAGTCTTCCTCGACGACCTCGTTCTCATCGTGTACCTGTAAAAGCCGTTAGGGTCCATTCTTCAAGAATCCAACTCGACATTTCGTTCGGATTTCGTGCCGACCCGATAATCACGTGGCGGAGTGGCAGCTGAAGTCCTCAGGTCAGGTCTGATGAAAATGCAGTCTGCAAGTATGGTACGGTCTAGTTGGCTGCGCTGAGCTGTCGGAGCTGATTATCATAGACGGAGAGACAGCTGTACATGCTTGTAGACCTGTGATGACGCGTGACCCGGACTATGAGCCGCATGCTATGTATCAATGTCTGGTCTACCTTTTCCGCTTCTGCTTCTGCTGCTTCTGCTTCCTTTTTCTCCTTTCTTCACTCTCCTTGAGATTCCCATTTACGCCTCCTTTACGTTCATGGCTCTGACCAATCCGTACGCTGCACCGGCACCGATCGCACCTACAATAAGTGTGCTAGTCGCGCCGTACAGGTATCCTCCGAAACCACCTTTAGCCCCCGTGAAGTACGTTTTAAAGGCTCCAAAGATGAACAGGACGAGACCGGTCACGCTGGCTGAAATGATCAGACCGTTCCTCGTATCTGCGTGAGCCATGTAAGGTATCAAAGGGACGAGACCTCCGATAAAGTATGACATGCCGATAGTCAAGGCGGAGATCCATAATCGGGAGATTGAGACGGCCTCTGAAAGGTAAGGGAAGGTTTTCATTTAGCACACGGAAACCTGCGGTATGGGTGGTTCCGTTGATGCTTGACTCGACTCACCCATTCCTTCGCCAAACTTGACCAAGAACGGCGTGAGTCCAATATCTTCACTTGGTCCTATGGATCCTGTCTCCGCAGTATCGTTTGACCGAAACAAGGCTTGAAAGTTGAATCGAGAGATGTTGCGTCGAGGAGGAGGGGATGGTGCGAGAGGGAGAGGGGGAGCAGGCGTATAGACACCTTCGATGCCCATTGAATTCTTCGGTGAACGATGTTCTCTTCCTCCTCCTTCTAATCCCGCCAGTTGATCGACGATCAATCGACTCGTCACCTCTTTGATACCGTAGGGTCCGAGAAGTTCATGGACTTCCCTCTCCATTTGAGCCGCGCATGAACGGACGACCCGGGCGTGAGTCTGTCGTTGAAGGTACTTGTAATGATCTAGTTCGGCTTGCGATGCGACTGATAATGAGCGAATCGAGTGAGTCATCGTCAGCAGCGCGCCCTAGGTTGTTTCCGTTCATGGGTTTTGGAGAAGGGGAGGACAAAGTAAAAAGAACTCACGGAAACCTCCGAGACCCATTGATATAGCTCCAGCGCACAGTTCTGCAAGACCAGCTGTCACGACCAATCTCGATGACCCGATGGACGATAGTCCAGCGGTCAACGCAAACGGGACAGTGAGGCCATCGGACAATCCAACGATACTGTTTTGGGCGAGAGGGACGGGAAGAAGAGGTAAGCAAGCTGATTGCTTCCCCCGTTGGGGGGGGGAGTGACACAAATTTGTAAACAACTCACATATCCCTGACGACGGCTGGGGCTATCAGATGTCTCTCATCCTCTCCCTTGAGCTCTTTACAGCATGTCTCCCTGTGCATCTGTTGGACTTGACATTTTTCACTCAACGGTTCGTCCCCTTTCGTCAAATGGTCAAGCTGAGCCTGGAGATTGTGCACAGACGTCCTGGCACCCAAAGGAGGGGCGGACTCAGGAGGAGGACGAGGAGGAGGAGGATCGACGGACCAAACGGGTGTAAAGGTTGAAGGGGACGATTCACCTCGTGGGGAACGAGATAGCGCAATGGGTTGTTGGGCTGAAGAGGAGAGATTTTGACTGTTGTTGGTGTTGTTGATAGAGTTGGACGAGCTGGGCAGAGTCATGGTTTGTGTATTCGAGCTTGTACAAGGGAGTCTGGTAGTTCAAGCTAGCCAACTGCGTCAAGCGAGGGATCAAGTAGAATGAGATAGGCTAACTGAACGACGAAGGAAAGAAAGAGGGGGGGGGAAGGGAGAAAACTATATATATACTATACCGCTGGCATGCCTCCCGATCAGAACGTGATCGCCACCAAAAGGTACGCCACATGCCATCATTCAGATCTGATTCTGACAATTCCTCGAAATCTGATTGGTCAGAGGGTCAGAGGGGACATAGTGGCACTCCTTCCAAGCAATGATCCGCGCACCACGCAGTGTTCAATCATTTCTATGCATTGGGATTCTTCAAACGTACGTCTGGCTGCGGTCATCTCTGTACCCTACAACCGGCCGCTTGGCTGCTGGAATCGAGAGCAAGCGACAAGAGGATGAATCCAGACAGAGGGCACGTCCGATGAACAGGGAGCGAGCCAAAACGAACATCAGAGGACAATAGCAAAGAGCAAGGAGGGAGGAGAAAGACGAGGTTCGATATGTTTCCTGTCGAGCTTCCAACATGTCCATAAGATTTCTTATTCGTCCAGTCTTCATCGTATGATATTCCGTCCACTTGATTCGATGGGCACGTTCAAAGAACCCCTGGTACACGATGTGGCCGAGAGGGGGCATGTTGGCTGACGGACAAAAGATGGATGTGATATGGTAAAGGTGTTCTGGCGGGGGATTTTGTAGGAACAGATGGGATCCAGGGAAGAAAAAAGGTTGAACCATGAAAAGACGGAAGGTAGTTCCTTCCCCCTCGATCTGTGTTGTACACTAATAGACACAATGTTGATTGTTAGGAGCGAGAAAGAAAAGGACCCATAGATTGACAGCGAGAGAAGCGTTGCAATAATCGCCTGGAGGAATGGAGCAGAGAATGGGGGTTTGGAAACACATCGAAGACACACATATCTGTTGGTCCCAAAAAAAGAGAAATGATATAGAGAGCAAGAGAGCGGAATCCATCATTGCAGGAGGCAGAAGGAAGACAGACACAAAATGTTGCGTGTAACCCGTGGAAAGGTAGTGAATGCGAGGTCGGGGTCGATCTATCCTTGATTCGTTAGATTGAAGAAACACTTGGTGTGAGGTTTGTGACAGTAAAGCAGACAAGACAATCTTGATGATTTGGTATAGTGTTGGGACAGAGGGGGTATCATTGAAGACGATTGTGGTGGATGTTGGGCTTGGTGGGTGAATGATGTCCCTTTTCTGCCGATCTGTATTTGTTGATCCAGAGAGGATTTTGGATCCCTTTTGGAGATGGCGAATCTCACGGCACGACGACCTCTCCACCGTCGGTATTGTCATCACCCAATTCGGCGAGGTACAATCCAAAGTCGAAAGCACCATCACCCATATTGACCAGACTCGAGAAATCGAAATCTCCATTGTCAATATTCGGCATGTCCGCATTGAGGTCTGCCCCAGACGAAAACGCGAGACTGTTGGATACAGCAGACAAGGAAGGAGCCGTAGCAGCACTATTTGGATGATCAGATCCAGTCTTGCTGTTGCTGTTAATGGGGTTGACAGTGGAGGAGTTGGTATTGTTAGGGTTCGGAGTGGCATTGGACGTGGAGCCGGATGGTGGTGATGGTGTGAAGCCGTGAGTGGATGCTGCAGACCCCTCGTTTGCAGGAGGGACTGTAATGATACCATTGGCAGGGGATGTGTGTAGAGATTTTGGAGTGGCATCGCGCTGTGGGGAAAGAAAAATGTGGTGTCAGATACTTGGTTACTTTGAAACCGCACGACAAGTTGTCGCCAGCTGCTACCTCTACTCACCGGTGTCTCCTCTTTGATCGCTTTTGGCGTCTTGCCCGCTGCGCTCATCTTCGGAGTTGTCGCTCGTCCCATTGTGACGGGAGATTGAGGCGGTAACATGGCACCTTTACTCTCCACCCTTTGCATGGCCCTCGACGCGACGTTTCTCGGTGATTGACCCACGCCAATAGGTTGACTCGTCGTAGCGGGTGAAGGAGCATCAGGATTCGACATGTTGGGCGTATGAGGTGTAAGGGCAGACATGTGGACGCCATTCGCTCCGAGAGAGTTTTGCCTCATCAACTGATCCTTGTGCATTTGCTTTTCGTACGCCAATCGAGCTTCTTGCGAAACTTGCCGTGAAGACTGGGAGGGAAAAGAGTGTTAGCTGCCACAAAAATGAAGAGAAAGTCGCAAAACCGCTCACCTCGCCCGAATCACTCTGATTCGATGGCATTCCGACACCGATCTGAAGATGCATTTGATGTGGTGTTCCAGCATTGCTGCCGTACATCTGTTGAAGAGGTGTACTACCAGGTGTAGCCGCGGGATAAGGTGAAGGAGCTGCAGCGCCTCCGGAATTTCTCCGCATCCGCTTTCGCTCCGGTGGGGAAGTATTACGTCCACCACTGGATTCATCCTGTTGCGCTTGCTGGTGCTGCGCCTGTTGTTGAGATTGATTGTGCTCGAATCCAGGCATCGCGCCGTTGGGCCTGAAGAGTCACATGTCAGCACTCTGTTGGACGGAACAACGACTCTTCTCACCTCATCTGAGCAGCCTGAGCAGCTTGCTGTTGCTGCTGCATCCTCGCACTAGCCGCTTGGGCCTGAGCATGAGCCAGTAGGACCTGTTGAGTTTGTTGGTGATGCTGTTGCGTGGCCTGCTGCTGCTGTTGATGGAAGTGCTGCTGCTGTTGGTGTTGAGGCTGCTGCTGCTGCTGTTGCTGTTGCGCGGCGACGTGAGCAGCTTGAGCCTGATGTTGAGCTTGAGCTTGTTGCTGAGCCATCATCTGCTGTTGCTGTGGTGTCGGGGGTTGAGTTCCAGGCATCATCCGTCTTTGAGTCTCCTGCATACTCATACGGTATTGCTGGATCAATCGATTCTAAAATTCGCCGGTCCAAACTCAGCGCGCATTCCATCCACGTAGGCAGAATCCGACTCACCCTGTCATCCTCCGACATTGCACTGACGTCTCTACCTCCTAATCCTAAAGCCTGAGCAGAATTATGCATGACTTGAGGGTTGACGGCTCCCAAACCCAAGCTCGAATACATGTGATTCGCAGCTTGTTGCATTTGCTGTTGTTGCATCGCTTGGAGTTGTTGATGGGTTAATTGGACATTTCCAGAAGGAGGTTGAGGCATCATTTGAGCTCCAGCTCCGGGTCCTCCCGGCCCGCCTGGACCACCAGCACCCTGTTGCTGCTGATGTTGTTGTTGTTGTTGCTGCTGCTGCTGTTGGAACACAGCTTGAGGATCCATCATACCCTGTTGTTGCTGCTGCTGCTGCTGTTGTTGTTGTTGTTGTTGTTGTTGTTGTTGTTGTTGTTGCTGCTGCTGCTGCTGCTGCTGCTGTTGCACCTGCGCTCGCTGCATGGCCTGCTGCATCATCTGGTGCTGTTGAGGCGTCATGGGCGCTGGCGAAGGTGTGCTGCCCGGATGACTATATCCTCCATGTGGAGTTGGCGCTCCTTGTGGTCCTCCAGCGCTTGCTCCAGTAGCAGCTCCGCCTTGTGCTTGAGCTTGAGCTTGTGCCTGAGCCTGAGCCTGAGCCTGAGCCTGTGCCTGGGCCTGAGCTTGAGCCTGGGCCTGGGCCATTGCTTGTTGAGGCGTCATGGCTCGCATCATCCCTGGACCAGCCATACCAGGTTGTTGTTGACCCTGCTGTGCCGGACCGGTGGTGGTGCCGGGAGGTCCGTTCATCGAAGGTGGTCTCATGGCTTTCTGATGAGGGGATGGCATGACGCTCTGCGGGTGAGGCTGTTGCATCATATGTGGAGAGGGTTGATTGGGTGAGTGAGCATGGGCCGGTGTCCCTGCAGGAGGTTGAAGACCCTGTTGTTGAGCGTACATCGGGTGAGGATGTTGACCAGGTTGAGCCTGCGGTGGTCTAGGTACAGGTGAGACGGAAGGACCAGGAACGCCGCCGGCGCCGGCGCCGACGCCGCCAATTCCGCCAGCCGCTCCTCCAGCACCTTGATTCATCCGAGCTTGCTGATGTAAGAAAGCTTGTTGAGCCGCCACTTGATTCTGTTGAGCCTGTTGATGCTGAAGCTGTTGCTGGATGGTCATCTGATGGACTGGCTGAACACCAGTGGCCTGCGCCTGGGCGGCAGCAGCCTGAGCTTGTTGTTGACGATAATGCAGAATCTGTTGTGGAGTGATCGGTTGAGCTCCACCTTGACCATGCGGGCCGCCGTATTGACTTGGCTGCCCAACAAAGCCCATGGGCATGGCCATTTGCTGCTGCCGCAACGCTTTGAGGCGGTTCATAGCCTGAGGAGGTCGTTAAGGATTATAGTGGGGAGCAGACTCACTTCATGGTAAATTTGAGGACTTGTGGGACCCGGAGCACCATTAGCACCGCTGAATGTCTCCCAGAATGATATCCACATTCTGACCATTCGTGAGCACGAAATTCCGCAGACGGCTCACAACGCTTGACTCACTCTCGTAATAAACCATCGGGAACATTGACGGACGCCCGGTGATCACCTAGACCAGCTTCCGCAACAAAATGCTGTGCAGCTTGTTGACAATTGCACTTGAGCAGGTAATCCAAGATGTACAGTTTCAATCTGTACGTATGGATTAGCAGATGACCGGTAGTGTACGACGAGGGCGGCGTCACTACTCACTGTAAATCCGCTTCTCTCGCCAATGGGTTGATCTGAGCACCACTCCCTGCTCTGGCCATCGCGTACGTTTCCTGTCCATTCATCTCCATACCCGGATGAGGATGTGGATGTTGCAGATGCTGACCTACTGCAGCAGGGGGCGGACCCGTACTTGAAGATTGGGACATGCCATTTAAACCTGGTTGAGGTTGACCTGGCTGATGAGCCATTTGCTGAGGCTGAGGATAAGGATGTGTGGCCGGTCTGACCTGTTGGAGTTGAGCGTGAGAGGGTGGAGGTTGACGCATGGGTGCTGGAGATTGAGCGACGCCCGGCGGTTGAGCGCCATGTTGGAAATGCTGGGGATGCATTCCTCCCGGTCCATTCGCACCTGGGAAGCCCTGGTGGGCCAAATGAGGTGAAGGGGAGGGATGACGCGGGGAAGGTGGGACAGCACCTGCAGCCGCAGCTGCACGTTGTTGCTGAGCTGCAGCCGCTGCAGCGGCAGCCTGTTGTTGTTGTTGTTGTTGCTGCTGCTGCTGCTGTTGCTGCTGAGCGGCAGCATTTTGCTGATGTTGAGCAGCGGCAGCAGCCTGAGCCTGAGCTTGCTGCTGCTGTTGAGCCTGTTGTTGTGCCTGCTGCTGTTGCTGTTGCTGTTGAGCCTGAAGATGCTGCTGCTGCTGCTGAGCCAATTGCATTTGCCGTTGTTGTTGTTGAGCCAACGCTTGAGCCTGTTGAGAAGACATCGGAACGGCATTCGCAGCCATCATCTGCTGCTGCTGCTGCTGTTGTTGTTGTTGTTGGTGAACATTTTGATGAGGCGGTCTCGGACCAGGTCCGCCAGCACCAGCAGCAGCCATGGAATTATACGGGTGAGGATAGGCAGGTGTGATTTGGATTGGATTCGGTTGGCCCATGCCGACCGAGAGGCCGGGTTGACCTTGCATATGGGCAAAGGAATTAGGGTGATTGGGATAATTGGGAGTCAGAGCTGGGTTATGTCGCGCTTGATTCTGGTTGAGCGGAGGATGTGACAATGCCATGGCCTGGGGAGGGGTGTGTCAGTGTCAAGCTAATCAGCGGGCTCTGGAATGTCATATGGAGGGACCCATTTCTCGGCGAGGTCGCGCTCTGGAACATGAAGACTCACTGTCTGGCCAGGTTTATCGATCTAGATACCCCTCCGCTCGTTGATCCCGAGTCAGAGCCAACCTCTCAGCGACGCGCGATGGGTGGATGGAAAAAGGGATGGATCACTCCGAGGGTATCAATGTGTGGGCCAAAGGTGTGGCTAGGGAAACGTCCGCACCAGCAAGGGGGAGACCGCGATGGGAGACCCAAGAGTAAAGTAAGAGCCTTCGATATGGGTCGGCCTCGAGGGATCCGGGGTGGGTGTTCTCGGAAGTCACGGCGATAGCTCCTTGTGAGGGTTTTGTTGGAACCCTTCTTCTCTTCCGTTGTATCCACCTAGGACAGTTCACAGAGGATCCGTCACGTCTGACCTCTGATGATCAAGGCTTCCAAGGCCGGATATACACTAGGTCGGGCGAGTCTGTGTGTGGTCCCTTGTTTCTGATCCGATTAGATTGGGTGAAATATCGGTCGGAGGGAACGACTGGACGTGTCGGTTGGTTCGTGAAAGGATCAATGGCTCCGATCTGTTTCAAGGTCTCTGAGGGACACTGGTAGATCTCTTCCCTTTTGGTCTCCGTCTTCCCTCACTCCTACTTTACCACCACCTGCCTCGAGAATGAATATCGTGAATGGATATGATGTGTGAATCCGGTAAGGGGAGCCTATCGGCGTGATCCCTCCGAAAAGGTGACCATTGGATTGATTGTTCTATCCACACGATGAAAAGGAAGATCTCGATACGTGGGAGTCTTCGGCTATGTGAACACGGTGGGATGCTCCACTCGTCCTTGGTTGCCTATGACCTCAAAGGGACTTGAGAAGCAACGTCTTTGGTCTATCCTCTCGGTATGGAATCACGTTTTTTGGGTAGTCGCCTTGTGATTTGGTCGTAGTTCCCCTTTCCGGCTCTCTCTCTCTCTCTCTCCTTTTTGTGGTAAGGGAATGTGGAACTGGAGGCGGATGGATGGAATGATGGGATGGATGGTGATGGAGAGTGGGATGTTGCTCTGTATGCTACTGCAGCAGGATAGGAAAGTGGTGTGGTGATGGATGGGTGTGTGGTTGGGCAGTATAGTCGCGGCGTAACAGGCTTGGGGAGAGGGGAGTGAGGGGAGGGATGGGAGAGCAGCAGCAGCGGTTTTCTTCCTTCGTTTTTTTTCTCATTATTGGCATTACCTTTTTTTTTTACACTGCCGCTAATTGTTATGATCATTATTTCAGTAGTGCTGCTGCTGCTGCTGCTGCTGCTGCTGGTGGCCATGCATATATGGGGCATACAGCTGGGCAGCAGGAGGAGCAGCTGCTGCTGCACGGCTGAACCATCGACTACTACAGCGTTTTCTGAGCATCTGGCGCATTTTACACCCAAAAGGTAAAAGGGGAGAGGAAAAAAAGAGAGCGTGTGTGTGTCTCAGAATGTGTGCGATGGAGTCTAGAGTTTATGGTATAGGATGCGAGCATGTTGGGTGTCGAGCATCGAGTGGCGAGAGGAGGCAGAAGGGAGAAGAATGTGGACATGGAGAGAGAGATGATAGTCCATCTGTTTGTACAGTGTGATGTGCCAGTGGAGGACTGCCCACACCGAGTCCCCGCCACATGTGAGGCGATCGCGGGTCAAGGAAGCGCTCTGAGCCAATGCATGGCCCGCGAGTATTCGAACAACAACAGCCTTGTCCTGCAGTCTGTCAGGATCTCTAGGGCGTTCTCTCTTCTGTATATCATTCATAGCCTGTGTGGTGATAGAGTATGATCAATCTAGGTGGCCGCCACACCGGGGGGTCGGTCGGTTGGTTCCAGCTTTTTCCCATTAGTAAAACGAGGATTAATCAATTGAACCTTTATTACCCGTTTCGGCTTGGACTGATCGGTTGATTTTTTGGCTGTTGTTCATTGAAAATGGGAGCTGCTGCTGCTGCTGCTGCTGCTGCTGCTGCTGCTGCTGCTGCTGCTGCTGCTGCCCGCGGCTGCCTGCTGCTGCTGTCGAGGAGGAGCATAGGCCCAATCTCTCGATCCAATGGCTAGGTCCCCTTACTCAACGGTCATTCACTGGCCGACATGTCCCAACGATCACTACGTCAATCAGGGTCCGGAATGTGAACATGGCGGTCACTTGCTTCTGTGCTGAAGGAATAAAAACGGTGACGCCACTTGGGCAACGAAAGAGGCGTCCTGGCCTATTCTTCATACGGCTGAGCCATGTGGTTCAAGACGAGGCAGTCCACAAAAAGGCCGAGACACATTTGACATTGCCCAGCGGATGCATCGGTTTTGGACTCTCCCCGCGCTCTGGTCTTCTTCTCATCGGTAGTCCCAAATGTCTATTTGCTCAGAGCAGCTTGAAGTCCCTCGTACACTTGCACCTCGATCTCAGCTTCGGCCTTTTCAGCATCAGGAGCAGAAGATGAAGCGACACGTTGAGCGTCAGCGAGTCCTGAGCGGATGTTCTGACGAGACGACAAGTGTCAGTGGGCGGGGTTCGTGCAAAGCCTTCGGGGTGAGACCACCGACAAACTCACTTCGAGAGAGAATTTGTCCAAAGAGTAGGCTTCGACGGCGTTGATGGTCAAAGTGTTGTTTCCGTGCATTGTAGCGACGCCAGCGGAGACTGAAAAACGGGGGCAGGAGGTCAGAGTGGGCCCATCGATATTCAGACGGGCGAGGCTAGGTCAAGGAAGCGGGAGCAGACAGCACTGAGGTCAGCTCCCGAGAGGGGACTGACCCCTCCATACCATGTAGGAGTTTGATACACGGCGAACAGCCGAGCGCCAGCTTGTACAACAAGCCGGTTTTTCGGACAAACATCCCAGCGACTGTCGAACAGCTCCTACGATGCCCTCCGAGGCCCTCCGTCCCAGACTCACCGAAGAATTTTTTGCTCTGTCCACCGGCATCCTCAATGACCTCTACGACTCCAGGTCGAAGGGGTTCGATGGATGGTACGTGGTTGGCCAAGACACCCATGTCACCCGAAGCGGCGGGCAGGTTGACCTGTGTGACTCCGGAGGCGGAGAAGAGGGACTGAAGGTGGAGAAGGAGGAGGGAAAAAGGTGTCAGCGTACAGATAATGAGCGACACGATGAGATTCCGCGGGAAGATATGGAGAAACCACAGATGTCCCGTCTGACACGCTTGTGGCTACCGGAGAATGATTGTACTCCCAATCATGGGGCTTCTCGGGGAATACGACAGGGCTATCCAGGGATAGACAGACTCGTTATATCGCTCCTTCCAACGGCATGCGATCCTAATGTCGACGAGATCCTCTCCCTTGGGAATGTGTGTATTCCTCCCAAATGATTGATCTTGGTCCATTCTGCATCCTCTCCTATCTCCCAAACCGAGATGTTCTTCTCCTGCTCGCTGGACCGACCCACTGACCAACCGTCCAATCGAGCGTTCCGAGCGCCATCCAGGGACTATCTTCCGACCGACTCACCTCATGAGGCAGGACCAAGCTCAGTGACAGTTTTCCATCAGCAACATCTGCGTATCCTCTGCGAGCGACAACGAGTCGAGAGGAGGCGGCGGGGGCGGAGCGTGGAAGGGATCGGAGAGCGGGTAAGAGACGAGACATGGTGAGGGTTTTTGAGACTGGAACGTTCAACACAGCGATGATAGTCTGTCTATTCACTTCCTTCAACTCGGGACAATGAGATGCGAAGAGGTGCAGCAGCAGGAGATAACGCCGCTGGTAGGGGATCGGGAAATGGAGCAGTGTGGCACCTGGGATATGACGTGGAAATGTTCAATCCCGATAGTGTATCCCCGTTATCAATTTCAGGTCGGATGCCGGCATGGCGATCGGGGGGTTAGTCTCGATAATTTTGGAATTTTGAGTGCAACGACAGCAACGGCAGCTAGCAGCGACATTACTGGAGGTAAGCTAGGGAGCTACATGTAAAGGGCTTGACGTACGCCGATAACCCTATTCTGGAAGCAGCAGAGCTTTCCACCATCTCTGAACCAATGGCTCGAGGTCCATCACGCGGCTCGAGGCCATTTACGGCCTCGACGTCTTCAGCATCCGCCGGTTCATCTTCCAAGGGCAAGCACGCCGCAGCAGCAGCAGCAGCTAGACTGTCCAAATCAGACGAAGCGTATACCTTCATCCCGTCTTTACCGAAACATCACAGGACGTCTCAGCAGACATTATCACTCTCAAGGGAAGAAGCGGGTCCCTCGAAAAAGCGCAGGACGAGGCGGCCGCTCTCATCGAACCAGGATGGCGAGGACAATGAGGACGAGAATGATGATGGTTCGGACGATTCGGAAGGCGGGGGTGGAGGAGGGATGGCTGCACGAGTCAGGAAGTTAGCGATGATGATTGCTGGGGATGATCTGGCGGAGCTCGAAGAGGATAGTGAGAGCAGTATCGACAGTGATGAAGCTTGGGAGGAGGAAGGAAGTGATGAAGAGCGATGGGGGGATGTCTTTAGGGATCTAGATAAAGGCAAGGCGAAGAACAAGAAGGAGGCAAAGGGAAAGGAGGAGACCGTCAGGAAGGTGAGGGGATTTGATCGATATATTGGGGCCGTGTGCTGACTGACATGCTCCCAGGCGGCGATCCCGCTCAATATCAACCTTGATGAGAGTGATGATGAGATAGTCCTCCCGACCAAGGGGAAAGACAAGGGTAAGGGCAAGGCGAGAGAGATGCCGAATGGAAAGGGTGCAAAAGCGGCTCAATTTGGCCCTACTGGAAACGACTCAGACGCCATGGAAGATGAGTTGGATCCGGAGCTTGACGGAGAGCTCAGTCCGAATGAGTTCGAAGGTGTTGGCGGGATTGCAAAGCATGATTTTGACTCGGATGACGAAGGAGCATCAGCCGAAGAGGCTGGGCGTGGCTCGGATCATTCAGGAAACTCTGATGATGATGATGATGAGGAGGAGGAGGAGGAAAGTGAGGAGGAGGAGGAGGAGGAGGAGGATGACGAGGATGAGGACGAAGACGTTGAGCTGCCTTCTGACCTTTCGGACGGCGACGACATGGACGATCTAGATCCAAGTACGCTCGACGGTTTGGACGCATTCGTCGATCGACTCACGGCATCTTCCAAGGATAAGGACGGGAAAGCTACCTCATCAGAGCCCGTTGCGCCTGAGAAGAAGCGTCGTGTGTTGGAGACTATCCCCGGTCCAGCCCTTGATGGTAATGAACTTGGGCTAAAGAGCCGTGAGTGACCTCTGAAAAGTTTCGCATAACGCATTTCGATGCTGAACTGCCTGTTACGCTCAGGTCAAAAGCTCGATTTATCTACCTTGATCGCTTCTCATCCATCTCTGTCCTCCGCCTCTGCCCTCTTGCCGACCAAGACCAAGCCGAAAGACTCCTACAAGACTGGATCCATCCTGAAACAAGGGACTTTATCTGCTCCTCTCCCCACGTCTGTACAAGACCGACTGAACCGAGAAGCGGCCTACGAAGCGACCAAGGAAGAAGGAGCGAAATGGGCAGGCGTGATGAAACGGATCAAAGAAGCGGAGCACCTGTCTTTCCCACTTCAAGCGGAGGAGCGTGGCGGCGTTAAGAGTTCAGGTGCACTTTTATCAGAATATAAACCTCGACAAGGTCTCGAATCCGCTGTTCAATCTTTACTCGCTCGTGCCAATCTGACCCAAGATGGGATCACAAAGAGGGAGAATGAAGCGCTCGAATCGCAAGAATTGAGCGTGGAAGAGATGGAAGAGAGGAGGAAGAGATTGAGGGAACAGAGAGAGTTGATCTTTCGTGCTGAGACGCGAGCGAAACGCGTGGCAAGGATCAAGTCAAAAACATTTCGAAAGCTCGCCAGGAAACGAGCTGCCAAAGCTGCTGGAGCTGAGGATCTGGACGAAACGTTGGAAAGTATGGATGCGGAGGATCGAGCGGAGGCTCTGGAGAAGGCTGAAATGGATCGAGCGAGAGAGAGAGCGACGCTCAAACATGGTGCTAGGACCAGTCGGTGGGCCAGACAAGCTGGTGGGAGTGGGATGGGCATGACTGGAGAGGAAGGAAGGATAGCCAAAGAAGATATGTTGGAGATGAAGAGAAAACTGTCGAGGCGGATACAGGGCAGAGGTGATGATAGTGGCGGCAGTGACGATAGTGACGAGGAGGGAGATGAGGACAATGAGAATGAGGAGGAGGAGGAGGAGGGAGGTGAAGAAGCGATCAAGAGACGGGCATTTGATCAACTGGCAAAAGTGGCTAATGGATCGAATGGAGATACCGCCGAGGCGTCCGGCTTGATGGGCATGGCATTTATGAAGAAGGCTGAACAGAGGCAGAAGCGAAAGGCAGCGGAGGAGGAAGAATCTCTCAAGCGGGATATTGAGATGTTTGGAGATCTCGACGAAGTCGATTCGCAGGGATCAAATGAGGAGGACGATGGAACCATGATGAACGTCGGAGGCACAGGTGGACGTATGGTGTTCTCCGGTCCATCGGTGAATACTATTTTATACTACGGAGATCACCCTGAACGCTGACCTGTCCTTTAGCGATCCTCCCAATCTTCAGGCATCCAGAAACCTCCCCTACCTCAAACTTCTGCTGTTTCAGGCGATACTTCGAAGCCAAAAGTCCGATTCGAGTCTTCTTGGACAGCCAATCAAGAGGATGAACAATTGAACCCTTGGCTCGCGCAACCCACGTCCTCCATTGGCCCTTCACGAAAGCGTCAACATGGTATCGGTGCAAACTCCTCAGCCGCGGACAAAACAGTACAGTCTTTGAAGAAGGCTGTCAAGGGATCGTCAACAGCCGAAGATGACAGTCGTGTTGAGATTTCTCTAAACCCAGACGCACAGCCTGGTCAGCAAGATGGTGATGAATCGGGTGGAGACGAGAGTGATGGGGATCGCATGGGAACTGTACCTCGTAAAAGGGTTCGATTGGGGCAGAGAGACCTGGTCGCGGAGGCATTTGCGGGTGACAACGTCGTCGAGGTGAGAGTCAGGCGAAGGATCCAGCCCTGCCATTTCTCTACCTGGCTTCAGACTGTTTCTTTAAGAGTCCGCCACTGACACTCTATGGTACAGGACTTTGCAGCTGAAAAGGCACGAACGATCGAAGAGGACGCTCCAAAAGTAGAAGATACAACTCTTCCAGGATGGGTGAGTCTCTAATCACCTGAGACCTCGTTCAAGATCCATGAGCTCATGCCTTTGTCCTTTCTTTTTCGAATCATTCCAGGGATTATGGGGCGGTAAAGGTCTGAAGAAACGGAAATCCAACCCTTCGAGATTAGTCACGAAACCCGGTATAGACCCCCTCACGCGACAAGATGCCAAGAGAGACAATGTGATCATTTCTGAAAAGAAGGACAAAAAGGCATCCAAGTACCTCGTCAAGGATTTGCCTTATCCGTATACTTCCAAAGCGCAGTACGAAAAGAGGTTTGAGAATCCACTGGGGGCCGAATGGAATTCTAGGAGTGGGCATCAAAGAGAGACCTTGCCGAGGGTCGTCAGGAAGGTGAGAGGCATCAAGGAGCCATGGATGATGGTCATGAAGCTGATGTGTGGATGTGTTCTTAGCCTGGTGCAATCATTGAGCCTGTCAGGAGGTTGTTCTGAGGAGGACGAGGTGACGATCGCTGGGAAAAACGTGCAGCGTCTTCTGGTAGATTTTCCCGTCACTCGTGTGTGCTTTGGTGATAGCAGCTTCACATCGCCAGGTGTGGGGTAATGTGGCGGACGGTGGCGAAAGCCATGCGTCTTACACCCATTGTGCTTGCATATTGTGTGAACCGTATCTATGTACAAACGATTGCCTTTGAAAAGCTTTTAATGCGATCTGATTTGGGCGTGCACTCGCACGCTCGCTCGCCTGTACGCCTGTCTGTCTTTACTCCCAATCAAACTTGTACAAGATTGTATTGTACCCGTACCCGCTGATAGCTTGTGTGTAACTGACCCACATGGCGTTCTCCGTGGGACTCGACAACAAGGCAGGGTTCGCTTGGATAGTATAGTGGAACCCGGTCAAATGGTCGTTCTCGGTATAGATCAATTTGGGTCCCGTCCATGGTCCTTCAGGTGCTGGCGCTGTACTGATCAAGACGTCAAACGCAATATTGTTCTGAGGTTGACCTATCCAGACATAGCATTGCCAAACTTCCGAATAATAGAATGATCCTTGAGCTCCAAACGTTTCAGGGAGCCAAGATGCCGAGTCGTTGAGTGCAGGCATGGTCGACGTCCATTGACCGCCGACAAAGTATTCGTAGTCTGACACGTTTTCCTCTGAACCTTGAGGAACGCGTGCGAGGGAGACATTGGGAGCGGCGAGAGGCTGTCCGTAAAGGTATGAATAACCGTTCCCAGAGACGCTACCATAGGTCCCATAATTCCATTCATTCTCCTTGAAGAACTCTTCTTGAACAATGGTGACCTCTGGCAAGGTGTCACCGTGACCTTGAACAGCAGGATCATAATCTAGTCGATACAGCGAAGTGGCAGGATAAGGAATGACGACGCTCAAATGATCTGTAATTTCAGCCTTCTTGATCCATGTGTAAGCTCTGATTTTTCCATCACCACACGTCGACGACGACGACGATGTGTTCTGAGGCGAGACGAGGGGAGGCGAGTCTGGCCAGATGACAAATCGAGTTCCGGCTGTCGTATTACCACCATTGTCTTGTGGATCTTCATCCGCTTGAAGAGGATAAAAAGACATATTGTGATTGTTTCCATACGTCGGGAGACGGTATTTGAACCCCATCTCGTATCCGTAGTCACCGTAGGCACTCGAATTGTAGGGCTCAAAGGGGAGACTCCCATCGGCGTTCTTGTTAATATACGATGCGGAGGAGGAGAAAAACGCAGCGGTCCCTTTGGTCGTGTTCTCGCGATCGACGTAGATCTCAGTATCTCGGCAGACGTAGAGCTACAAAGGGGGCGGGGGGGGGGGGGGGGGGGGGAGGAGAAGAAATCAGCGAAAGTGTGTGTGTATGTTAGAGAGAGAGAGAGACAAGGAGACAGAGAGAGAGAGAGAGAGAGAGAGAGAGAGAGAGAGAGAGAGAGAGAGAGCGAACCCAGTGAAAGGGTCAAGAAAAATGACGAGGGAGACGGAAGCGACTGGTGTGACCCGCCACACAGCTACCCAAGTGCCACAGCACACGTTCAGCACAAGATTTTGCAGGCAAAGTTGAAGGAAGCATAGTGGTTAGACAGACCTATGTGTGGACACACCTTCCTGTTGTCGGACTTAAGATGCTCCACTCACCACTCGATCACCCCATGCAGTTGTACCGCAGGAATCTCTATCTAGATAATTGGGTTCATACTGCGCAATGACACCGTACAGCGTGGCGGTTTTGATGGTCGGGTCAATAATGGCTCGAGGTTGGACAGATGTACCGACGGCAGGGTTCGTAAAGAGGAGAAGGAGGAGAGCAGACCACATAGTGATCGAGAGGGGGAGAGGTATCTGTGTGTATAGTTGAAGGCTTCAGGATTCGGTTTCCTGTGACCCTCGAAAGTTTCAACCCTTTTATATGCCTGCAGGTGTACGGGTGTATGGGCATGCATACAATAATGATGGCCGATGTTCTCTTCCTGGCGTAAATTTCACAGCTAGTCTACTTCTATCTTCTTGAGAGGGGAGGGGGGCAACATAGGACAACCCGTGGGACTCGACTCCTCAAGGACCCCCATAACGATACATGACACGACTCCCACGACTTGCCGTGCGTGCGTGCGTGCGTGCGTGCAGGCAGGCCCCCCACCCCACTCTGTACATGTACACCGCGTGACGAGGGGCAGTAGCGTGAAACCTTGTCGGTGCATCGGGGTAGAGTTGTGAATCAGCCTCATTTCAGACAAAACCTTTTGCAGTGTGTGCCCGCGCATCTGCAACCTGCACATGCGTATAGATCCGTGATCCGCTGCTCAAAGTCCGAAGCGGCGGCCTTTCGAATCGAAGAGCCAAGCTTCGTCAAGCAGACATACAGGCAACATTATCGCGGAGTCGCGTATTGCGCATCTCGGCTGGCGGTCGGACGGTTTTTTCCTTCTTCTCTTTCGTTTCCGTTGTCGGCGTTTCGGGCGAGAGAACTCGCGACCCCCAGGGTTCCGATGAGATCTGATTACCTCTTGCTCGGCTCTGGCGTCAAAGAATGACTGCAGTAGACATGTTTCCTGGGGTGCATTGCGACTACATAGACGTCCGCACGCCGGCGGATGTGACGCCAACTACCACCCTAACGCGTCCACGAGATACTGCCCTAATCCTGACATGTTCTCCTGTATCACATCTCCCAATCTCTCTTCCACGGCACCAAACGCCAGCCTCGCTCTTTCTCTTTGACGCTGGTTCAAGCCCATATCATTCCCTATCCGTTCAGCGCCACCACCTCGCGCGGCACGCTCCTCTTCTTCCTCCTCGCGCAGAACAGTCTCCGGTATCGGTAACCCGAACCTTTCTTCCATCAAATGTTTCTTCCTCTCTGCCAGCCCTTGATCCGTCATGGGTAGACTCGATTGTATTTCCGTCCTGAGACACTTTGCCAAATTTCGAATGACTAATGCTGCTAAAAACGTCGTGCCGGTCGGTGTATGTCGCTGGGGATCCGTGTGCGTAATGACTCGCTCGAAATGCAACTTGTGACTCGGTCCTAGAGGAGGCGGAGGGAAAGCGGTGATCCGCGAATAGTTGTAAAGGTGTTCAGGCATGGACTGAGGGACAGTGATGGTCTCTGGCATCCGAGGAGGTGCAGAGTCGGTCGAGGAGGACGGTAAGTGAGTCAAAAGGTGCGAGAGGGAGAACGGAGAGTGTGTGCAGGTAGACCAGCAACACGCGGTGGGGGGCGATGTGGCGGAGATATGATTTGTTTGAATGTGGGTCAGGAGATCAGACGTGGTCGTCGCGTTGGGCGGAGCATCGCAGTCTTTCCAAAGACACAGGTAACGATCTTCGTCTTCTGCATGAAGCGCATGGGGTGTTGTCAGGGTTTGCTTTCAAGACGTTCGAGAGCGAATACTCACCTGAGCCTTTTCTAAAGCCGATCCCAGCAATCACAAACTTGCTCTGACCCTGTTCATCCGTATACGCCTTTGCCATCGCCCCGGGAAACGCGTCGGTGACATGTCGAATGACTTCAGATGCACTGACGAGCGGTTCGACCGTCTTGGAGTGCTGGAAAAAGTCTCGGTAGGCGTGCCAGAAGGTTACCTGAAGGAGCTGAGAAGTGGACGAGTAGACAAACGTTTCGTGCATCCTGCATCGCAAGCGTGAGCGAGAGAGCAGAAATAAAAGAGGGGTGGGGAGAGAGGAGGGGAAGAGAAGACGACACTCACCATGCCATGGAGCGCCTGGGCTCTGACATTTGATATAGCTTTGTTCTCTGTGCCAAGCTCAACGATGGTGGTTTGTCGCCTGTCTCTAACTCGACTCCACCTTGAGGTAAAGTCTGTTGAGCTTTTTCTCGTTGGATCGCACGGCGCCGACTGGACTCTTCAGCCAGCAAGGACCCGAGCGCAGGGTTCTTGATGACTTTTCCGACGACTTGAGAAGGGGGGTCCGAGACGATGGTCGTCCGCTTAGCCCCGTGTTCGAGGAGCATGACAAGGTTTTTGAGATGAGCTGGGAATTGTTGACTGGCAAGGATGGACAGTGTGGGGTTTTGAGAGCTGAGCGTCAGAGCGACGAGGAGGTCGAGAGAGAGTTCGAGGATGAGCGAGGACGGTTGGGATGGGTCTTGGAGTGTGATGAGATACAAGAGGTGTGGGAGGAGTGAGGGGTCGCAAGGTGGAAGCGAAGGGATGCGTAGAGTTGAAATGAGGAGTGGGAAAATCAATTTGATCATTCCAAGATCTCGAGATTGGACAAGAAGCCAGGGTAGAGTCGACGTAAAGGTCTTGGCTAGACTATCTGTTCGAGGTGATCCAGATTGACGGGCGAGCGGGAGGAACGGAAGTGTGAATGATAAGAGGTTCAAGAGATGATGCAACATCTCTGGTCGTTCCATGCTGATATCCATGAGCGTCGTGCAAGGCAAGCTGAAGAACGATTCCAGAAACTCGAGATAATCTTCAGAGCGTCCAATACACTCTGCATTGCTTGATTTACCTTCGGAAGGCTTGAGAAACGCCGCATTACGAAGGACAAGCAAGCATTCGCAAGCTCGTTTCTCGACCACTGGGTCGATGAAAAGCTGCTTGGATGATGAAGACGTAGAAGGATACGTCCACAGATCGACGGACGGTCGATCAAAATGGGTCGAGCTGGAGATCTGGGGCATCTCATCATCTGCCATGTCGTCTGAAGGATGCGGGAAGGACGGTCGCTGACCCTTGGTCAACTGCTTGATCCACCTCTGAGGCCATCTAAGCAATGTCGGGACACTGTCGATATACGCGTCGAGCCTGAACAAATCAGCTTGGACAGCGGCGTAAGAGCCCGTGACGAGCTTGGGTAGTGCCCATTCGATCTCTGATGGAATGTCAGATTTGAGAGCTAGAAAGAGTCGATTGCGAGGTCCTGGATGCAGGTCGTTGATGGTGGGAAGATACACTTGAAAGGGTTTAGGAGGATTAGCATTGCTCGATGACGAGTTTCCAGCGCCAGTCGAAGTGGATGCTTGGGGACCGCTTGAGGCTTGGGGCCGACCGCCTTGGTTTGGGTTGTTGGACATGCCCGGTGGTCGGGGATAGGATGGGTGTGAGGTTTGACCCGGCATTTGTGGGGACATGGAGGAGGGCAAATGTGGAGAGGCATTGAACCGTTGAGGAAGAATTTGAGCCATTGTAGGATGCTCGCCTGCCCGACCCAGTCTCGGATGAAAGATATCAAGAGAGAAAGAGGTTAGGGAGAACGCGAATAGACAAATTGTTGACTTTCCGAGTTTTCGGCTGGAGGCGGCGAGATTTCAAAGGTCGGCGTCAGATCAGCTGGCGATGAGGGACAGGGAGAAAGGCATGAGCAGTGACGCTGGCAGCACGAGATGTTGCACGACTGCGACGACAGTGACGCATGAGCTTTGGGAGACCTTTGGTCGTTTATCTCGAACATCAATTCAAGTCGCGGACAGCAGCAGGCTCATGTACTACAATGTCAGGAGACGGATTCATCTCAACATAGGTAGCGAAGACGAAGGTGTAAAAAAGGCGTATCTACCCACGAGTCGAGGTGACAAGGAGAAGGTCTGTTACAAAGAGGGATAAGATACGAAAGAGAATGGATCCCGAATGATTTCCAACCACCATGAATTCTCTCTCTACTTGGAGCTAGAGAACTTGGTGACGGCCTTGGTGCCTTCAGAGATGGCGTGTTTGGAAAGTTCACCACTGAGGCCAGGTATGTCAGCCGAGGTGGCCCAGAGGAAAGGATGGACCGGATAGACTCACGGAAGGATCAATCGGACAGAGGTCTGGATTTCTCGGGAGGAAATGGTAGATCGGTGGTTGTAAGAAGCCAATTTGGAAGCCTCAGAAGCGATTCGCTCAAAGATATCGGCGACGAAGGAGTTGAGGATAGCCATGGCCTTGTTGGAGATACCAGTGTCGGGGTGAACTTGCTTGAGGACCTTGTAGATGTAGGTGGAGTAAGACTCGACCCTCTTCTTGGTCCTCTTCTTGGCGTCTCCGGATTTGGCAGCAGTCTTAGCGGCCTGATGAACGAACGTCAACGGCGGCCAGGTAACAGAAGAATGGATAGTGCTCACCTTGGCAGGGGCCTTGGAAGCACCAGCGGGAGCCTTGGAGGCTTGAGAGGCAGGAGCCTTGGAAGCGACAGTAGATTTGGGAGCCTGCGGGAGGAAGGCAATGTCAGTGATGATCGCGAGCGGTGGCAAGTGACCACAGACGACGACTCACCATTGTGAATGGGTTGTTGTTGGGGTTTGTGACGAAAAGTCTTAAGACTGAGAAATGTAAGAAGAAGTAGAGTTGTTGATTGGGTAGAGAAGGGAAGAAAGAAAGACACTCGAGGTGAGATGTGGATGGGTTTTATGAAGCAAGCCAATGGTTGCTTCGCGTGTCGATAGATCTAAACAACACGATGGAGGGTGGGATGGTGGTTGCAATGAATGACAGAGAGGCGTCCAAATTGACATTGTATACGCGCGACCTAAAACTCCACCAGGGCTGAGAAAATGTTCCACGTCATCAGTTTATACGCGTCACGTCTACAAATCTTCCACGTCACGATATTTTGGCTGTGATGATTGGGCGTTTTGTTGGGATTTTCAGTGTAGCTGTCATTCATTTCCATCCCGGGGCATAACATCCCTTCGACAGTCCCCAAACAACGAAAGCCTCCCAACGAGTCCTCTTTTATAAAGACTTGTTCCGAGCTTCACTCCTTTTCTTCCCTTAACCAAATCAACCCACTTCACAATACACTCTTACACTCTTATCCCACCCAACCCCCAAACCAACTATCAACAATGTCCGGCAAAGGCGGTAAATCTGGTGCTGACACCAAGTCCTCTTCCCGATCCTCCAAGGCGGGTCTTCAATGTGAGTCCTGACACATCCATCGAACGTCTTATAGGCTGCAAGCTTACCTCTCTCTCAGTCCCCGTCGGTCGTATCCACCGTCTCTTGAAGAAGGGAAACTACGCTCCTAGAATCGGATCCGGTGCTCCCGTCTACCTCGCCGCCGTCCTCGAGTGTGAGTGTTGAATGGCCATCGTACACATCGCGGCTCGGCTGACGCTTGGTATCAGACCTTGCTGCTGAGATTCTCGAACTTGCCGGTAACGCTGCCCGAGACAACAAGAAGTCACGTATCGTCCCCCGTCACCTTCAGCTCGCCGTCCGAAACGACGAAGAGCTCAACAAACTCCTCGGACACGTCGTCATCTCTCAAGGTGGTGTCTTGCCCAACATTCTCAACGAATTGCTCCCTTCCAAGGTGGGTCTCCACTTTTCTTAGCTCGTTTCATCGAAACATCGTGCTGACCTGTTTTACCCCAGACCAAGAAGGGTGTCAAAGCTTCTCTGGAAGTTTAGAACGTTTTCATGTTCGATGGAGATTCGAGGCTTTGATGGGACGTAGCCTACACCTTTGTACACCTCTTTTCGCTTTCGCTAGCTTTCTTTCCTATGCCATCCTATGAGATGCAACCTTCGTGACCTGACTGTGTGCTGTCCGTTGTTGGCATCTCGTGCCTGTCATATCCGTTTGGTGTCTTTTCCGTCGCTGACCTGTCTGTTGATCTCAACGCTCCTGTAATCTTCTCCAAGAGCTGTTTGCGAGCCTGTGCTATCGCCCCTTGTCAAGGTTCGAGGACTCCACATAACGTGTCAAGGAGATGCGTACGAGAACCATTCATGCGCCCATCAAGCAGAAATTACGGATAGCCTACGATGTATCGCTCGTCTCGTTCCGAGACAGTCGCGCTCCTTGACTCGATTGATGTGCCCACTGCGCGAATCCATGAGGCTGCTCAGTCCATGGCACAGACGCGACTCACCTCGCAAATCAGTAGCGGAAGCAAAATGAACACGAAGACCGGCGGTGGCAACCGGTGGCAGGGTATGTGACGGAACGTCCAGTCTCTAGCTTAAGCTCAAGGTCGCATGAGGGGCTGGAGGGGGTGATTCCAAGGTTTTACTGTCGTCTGGGGTGGGAGTGTGTCCTCTTGGTATCGCACATTGGGCTTCAACGTTCATAGACTTGATAGTCAGCCCATGTTTAACACTACATGCCCCCCGCATGCCGGCGACTTGTCAGAGCTGGTCTGTACAGCAAAGTGCAGTGCAGGCGAGCCATGAATTGGAGGGATACTCATCTATGACTCTCCGACAAGCTCAATTTGGGAGCTGGGAAGGCTTGCGCTAGGTGCCTTCCTTCCCCCAATAGTCCTAGATACCTTCGGGTTATGGCAGATTGTAGATTTGAGGACATCAAGCGGTACATTTATAGTATTGTTTCAGAGTCATCCCTCTGATACGGGCACTGCGGTTCACTGTCTGGTCTTCTTCTGTATCCTTCGCATCGTGACCTTCGTCGGTTGTCGCCTAATAGCTGACTACATCACAAGCTTGACATCGTCTTCACTTGGAAATACCCAACTTCTTAAAGTGAGCTTTGACTGTCCATTATCTGATCGATGTGCACACAACGACCCAAGAAGACCTATGCATCCGGATCCCTCAGTCTCCTTCAGAGACAGTATAGATGACGTCGATTCTCGTTTTCTGAACCGCTGAGAGCCCTGACGGACGAGGAAACGGGCATACTGTATTCGCCCAGGTATAGCACCAAACACTCGAGTGGCGGGCTGACCTCTAATATGTATATGGAGGATTGAATTGCATGACATACAATGTCTGACGGGACTATCGATGCAACGAACTGCGACATGGCGGGTGGATCACACCATCTGGCAGGCCAGATCCGATCATGGTTCTGCCAATGGAGCTACTCAAATTGGATAGGGATCCTTCGTAATCCACAAGCTTCATATGTACATTTCGGCGGAATCCGCTGCCACACGGCGCGTCCAGGACCGATCGAGTGACTGCAGCGAGCGTATGCCTTTCCCCTCCTTCTGGCCACAATCATGCATAGACCGAGCATGCTACGCTGATCTGATCCAATGACAGCCTGGAGCCTCGCCAATGCAGAATGCATGCACCAGAATACATACATCAAGAATAGTCGCCCTCCGACCGCTCCTCAGCCAAATCTCGCCAAAGCTCCAGTCTCTTTCTTCACTTCTCCCGAAGCGATCTTACGCTTCTGTTCATCGGCTTGACGCTGGGCAGCAACTTTGGCCCGCATGGCAATCTAATGTGGACGCGAGTCGAGTGTCAGCCAGTGAAGCCGAACAAGCTCTCTCTCCCGCCGTCCGGCCGGAGGTGAAAAGACACTCACCAAAGCTGGATCAATAACGTTCTTTCTCTTCTTCTTGAGGTACTTCTTCATCCCTGTGCCTTTACCTCGAGCCTTATGCCTCTCCTTGTCCTTCTTGATCGGTCGAGTGCTCTCATTCGCATTCCCGTCCCCATCACTGACACCTTCAACCGTCTCACCATTCGCGACCGCGACCGCGTCCGAGTCCTCGCCCCCCTCGCCAGCCAAAGCCAACCTTTCCATTCTTCCCAATTGCCTATAACTCTTTCCTTGTCTCTCCTCGTACGTGCCTCTATCTTGGTCTCCGACTTTGCCGAGGAACTCGGTATCGAGCGTGATAAGTTCCGGTCGAATCTTGTCCAAAACACCCCTGACTTCTCTCTCTCTCCTCCTCGTCCTCGATTCAAAGACATCAAGTTCACCAGAATCGAAGTTTGGTTCTCCTGAACCTGGTACGAGGAGTGATGAGATACCTCTTGAATGACCCACGGCGAGTATATCGTCAAAGGGACAGAATTTGGCAGAATGTGCAGTGAGACTAGGCGTTGGTAGATTAAGGTATGGTGCAGGTACAGAATCGGCCGATGAACCAGAGTGAAGATCGTTGTACACTGTGACGCCCCCTTTACCACCTATTGCCAACATGCCTCGACCTGAGAAGGACAGAGTTTGCGGTCGATTCCGGAGATGCCACGATTTCACTTCTTTCCCCCACATGCGACCGTCCCACAGTTTGACCATACCGTCCATGCCTCCCGTGACGGTGTATCTTCCCGCACTCCTCTCACTCGGATCCACAGCCATACAGCTGACAGGACCACGATGAGCCAATAATTTGACGTGCGGAGTCGTCATGTTGGGTGACCATAGCGTCATGGTCCCATTTGTATGACCCAGATGGATGATGCCGGAATGTGCGTTCTGAGTCATGGATGGGGGTGATCCGAGTCGAGAGGGGATCTGAGTGAGGAGGGTACCTGTCGATACGTCATGATACTTGAGGTACCCTGCATGACCAGAAGATACCAGCAGGTAGTGATAAGGCAGGAATTCAAGATGAAGAGGTTCAATATGTTGTTTTAACTTGTGCAGTTCGACTCCGTCTTGATCGTAGATGTAGACGTACTTCTTTTGCGCAACGGCGTAAAAGGACTCGGACTGAAGGAACCTGAGTATATGTCAGATCGCCTACTTTGGGAACTACCCCTCATCTCCCCTTTCAAGAGCTCACTTGATATCCCGTACGGTCTCCCTGAGCTGAATCTCTGAATGCAGCTTTCCAGCCTGCCAATCGAATGTAGCCACATGACCAAGTTTCGAAGCGATAGCGAGGTGTCTGAGGGACAGGCTCAGTCCCTCAAAAAAGGCATCGGCCCCACACCTGCCCAAAATTACTCACCGTCCATTCCTCGTATAATCCACGACGTATTCTCCAAGCCCATCAAATTTCAGGTCGAATTTCTTGCCTCTCGAGCTCAATCCCACAGCACTCTCAATCTCTCCTTGACCTATCCTCCAAGTCCTCTCTCCAGCCTCGTGATCCACTTCGATACCACCTGCGGCCCCACCCAAAGGCGCATTCAACCATTCATTCACATCGTTTCGTTCCCTATTCGCTCGTTGAGTCGCTACATCCGTTCGGGCGACTTTGGCACGCAGCTTTTTGTCCTTGATTTTGGACACAGACGGATCAGGACGTAACGTCGAGGAGCTAGTTCCAGAGCCCGAGGCATGCGGCGTATCGTGGAAGGCGTGTGGGAGCCGAGTCGAACCGAGGATAGATAATGTAGATGGATCGATGGATTCTTTCTCTGATCCTCTATCCACCGTCTTGTGCGAGGTCAAAGGCTTTCGACGACCATGATGTGGTGCACCTTTACCAGCCTTCAATGGACCCGCAGCGGCAATGAGGGCGTCCATGCTTGCGTCTGCAGCGCTGAGTATCAGGTCTACAGTGCAGCAGCAGTCGTCGGCAATGCAGTATGGAATAAGGGTGGACACAAAATTCTGCCAGGATGCCGGTAGAGCAGCAGCACGTGGCAAATAGGTGAATGAGTGGCAACCCATTCTGATCTTTGTGGCTCGGCTGTAGAGATTCGCGCGCTGTGCATGGTCAAAGCCTTCAGAGCGCTTCTGAAGACGAGACTCGGTGTTCATGTCAGGATCTTCTGAGACGACAGACCATCAAGTGAATCGGTGATCCGTCGATGCATCGTCGCGGCCCCGCGTGACAGCAAGATGGATCAAAGTATGCTTTTCAGACACAGCCCACAACGATCGCCCGTCGATTCTGCCCTGTCAAGCCATAGAGATGGGATGGACATGAAGCCTTTCCCTCTCTCCGTACGTCGATACTTGTTCTCATCTAGCCTGAGCTCTGCGCGACATGGGCCCAGAAATGCGGAACATGTGACCCGACACGCTGAACTGATAGGTTTGCTCCCTTTGCTCCTGTAGACGCCGACCCAATGCCACATCATTGTACTTCAAGCGGACCTGTGCCACATCTTACAACGAACGCCTCGAGGGTTGCGGAACTCGTCATGATCCTGGCCAAAAAGTCACGACGCGTCCCAACAACAACAACATCATCCAACCTGATCCAACGCAAAGACAAAACGCCGCCAACTGATCTTCCGATCATTCGAGATCACGTGATTTTCGGACACGGTGTGTGTTTTGTTTTGTTTACCATCCAAGTTTTTATTTTTTTTTCAATTGGACAGACTGACGACGCCGCCGCCCACCACCACCTCACCCACCGGATGATCCTATTCTCCACCGTGTTCTGATATATCAACTCGCTGTCCTCCCCTCCCTTCTTCTTCTTCTTCTTCCTCTTCTTACCCTTGTCCTCATTAACAATCATTCTCACTATCACTTGACTTTTCTTTGTCAACGACACAAACCCAATCATTCACAATGGCCAGAACTAAGCAGACAGCACGAAAGTCCACCGGAGGAAAGGCGCCTCGAAAGCAGCGTGAGTTGGCAAGCAGCGAACCAAGCGCGACGCGACCGGGACCGTGCTGATTGAGCCACCCTCTTCCTCCTCTAGTCGCCACCAAGGCTGCCCGAAAGTCTGCTCCCTCTACCGGAGGAGTCAAGAAGCCCCACAGGTACAGACCTGGAACTGTCGCTTTGCGAGAAATCCGACGATACCAGAAGTGAGTGTGACATGTGACGAGGGCCTTCAGGTCGAGGTCGAGGTCGAGGTCGAGTGGGAGTAACAGCGTGCTGACGCTCCGTGGCTAGATCCACCGAGCTCCTCATCCGAAAGCTCCCCTTCCAGCGATTGGTCAGAGAAATCGCTCAGGACTTCAAGACTGATCTCCGATTCCAATCTTCCGCCGTCATGGCCCTCCAGGAGGCTTCGTAAGTTTCATACGTTTTCGTGGACCAACTCATGGACGTTGCTGACGCTCCATCCAGCGAGGCCTACCTTGTCTCCTTGTTCGAGGACACCAACTTGGCTGCCATCCACGCCAAGCGTGTCACCATCCAACCCAAGGATCTCCAACTCGCTCGACGACTCCGTGGAGAGCGATCGTAAGGTGCTTCTTTTGGCAGCCTAGTGTAGTCTGAGAGGAGGAGGAGGTTTCGACAGGTGGTGGACAGATTTACTTTCGATTTGTTATTCCTTATTCCTTTGTTTATGCGCCGGCTTGAGAGGAGATGCATATAGCCTGGCCCAGAACGAATTTGCGGTGCGGTTGAGTGGTGATCGTTGCATTGCTGTGGCTTCGCGCGTTGTCTAGCTTGATGATGATGTCAGGCTTGCGATCGAGCCACACTGTTCAGTCCCTGCTGTCACGGCGTGATAGCTCTCGAAGCCCGATCAGCTGCCCTCGTCAATCTGGTATCTGTGCACGGCGCAAAAGGCCACGTCCAGCGGCGTACCTTTACCCATGATCCAGGTACATGGGTACCGCATACATGCAATTGAGGTTGAATCGACACGCTCACAAATGGATCATCTCCTTGACGCCAGGACTCTCACACGGTCAACTGGTATTCGTACTCGTCACTTCCGCTCTGTGCGACCCACAGGACCATTGCACTGGGAAGGGCATCAGAACCGGTCATGGTGCTCGAGATTGTACAGCAGAACGCTATGCGAGCCTCGCCGATACTCACGACAGCATAATTCCAGCGTTCATACCGACATTAGCACCACCATAGTAAATATAACCAATGTAATCCGGGATGATGTACTTAAGTATCAAGACAGTCTGTACGGCGAGGCATCAGCACTTAGACACAACACCAGCGACACCTCAAAACGACTCACCAGACTTCCTGCGAGACCACCAGCCATGAATGCCACTCCGATGAAAAGGACAACTCTGGCTCGTACGGCTGCTGGACCTTCGCTGCCCCATGAGTCACCTGAGAATGCGGATTGAAGGTGAGATTTGTCGAGTAAGGAGGTGATGAGGAAGCCGACTGGGAAGTGGGGTCAGTCAGTCTACCTTTGTTCGTGGGGTTCCACGCGGTTGGGGGGGGGGGGGGGGGGGGGCTGCATAGCGGAGACATGAGAGCGCGCCGACGAAGTAGGGAGGGCGCAGAGGACAAGGAGCAGAGGATGAGAACCTGCCAATCATCTAGCTTGGTGATGGCCGGTTGGTGCTGCTCGCTCTCACGCTCGTTTATCATCTCGGTGTGCGAGTCCTGGGACAAAGGGGACACCGTGATTTCCTTGTCAGTACTCACCTGTCGAGCATATGGCCGGGATCCAATCGACAAAGCTCATATGGACCGGTACTACATCATGAGGAGAATCCGCGGGTGGCTTAGCATGTGATGAGAGGGTGGCAGCATCGAACAGGAGGAAAAAGGAGAATGTGAACTGAGTGATAAGAGTCAGCGGTGATGCTGGGGGGAGGGAGACATCACGGAGTCTAAGGCATCTCGCTGTGTATAGGTCGACATGCAGGGTCGACCACAGAATTAGACCTCTTGCGACGGGTGTCTTTGTTGCTCCGAGTTCGCCCAATGCCCGCCTCGCCCTCAGACTCACTAGTATACCCGCCAGATACGTCCCGATCTGCCTGGTCTTGGGACCAACTTCGAATTTAGGAAAGGCGATGGTGAAAACCCTTCGAGGGTCGTAAGAGGACTACAGGGGTGGATCAGATGGTGCCAGAAAATCTCGATGTATCATGAAGATGCTAGCTTACCCTTGGAAGAGCCATGTCTGGTGGAGGTCGTTGGTCGAGAGAGATAGCAGGCAGCTAGCTAAGCTGATCGGACGACGCTGAGTGACGGACAGGGGAGGCGGAGACGTTCATTAGTAAATATTTTTCTAATGAGAACGAAAGATGGGATTAGTAACCCTCGCTTTGTCTAAATTCCCCGCCTGCAGACTTGCGTCCATTGGGTCCAAGTCGGGCGTTGTCTGTTCGAGTGGGATGTGAGCTATGGCGAGAAGATGGGCAACAGTATCTGGACAGGTATCAACGAGCGCGGGCAGTGCTCTCTCATCTCTTATTCCGCTGACTCTATTCGTCGAGTTAACATCGCAGAGCGACCACGGACGTAGAGATATGACATTTGTGACCAAGCGAGGACATGAAGTTTGCGCCAAGATGCCCCCCCCCCCCCCCCGCGCGCCCTGGGGTATCCTTTGACTCGACTGACTCTGATTATTCTCTCTCGTTGACTTCCCCTCCCATTCAGCCTCATCACGTCTTAGTCGCGGGTCGAGCGCACGATGGATGACCGATATCAATATCAAGACCAACAAGGTTACGAGCCATATGCTCCTCCGCTTGGACCTCCTCCTCCTCCTCCTCAACAGCAGCACTACTACGGCGGATATCAAGGATACGACAATCAAGGCTATGCACCACCTCCTGGACCCCCTCCAACGCAGAGGTAAGCAGTCTCTGCGGGTCCGTCTCGCACTAAGGCGCGCTCAATTACAGATACGCTGGATACGCCCCTCAGCCAGCTTATGAACAGGCTTACCAGGCTTATGACGATGCTGGTCAAACGAGAGAAGTATATCAACAACAGGATGCCCAAGGTCACGTTGCAGAGCAATCGTTCGAGTACTCGAGGTGTGAGTGGGTCCTTAGCGCTCAGGATGCGATAAGGGATTAAAGACTGTGATTTCAGGCAACGGCAAGAAGAAAGCTTTGTTGGTGAGACCAAACTGCACCATTCGACAAACTTGGGCCCGATGCTGACGTTGACAGATCGGGATCAACTACTTTGGATCCGATGCTGAACTGGGAGGATGTATCAACGACGTATACAATGTCCATGCGTTCATCTGCGGTGAGTCGGGCCTGCCGAACCTTAGAGTGGCGTCTTTCGTACTGATTCCGCTGACACACGTCGTAGGACGATTCGGATACGATCCTGCAGATTGCGTGATCCTGACGGACGACAAGCAAGATCCAAGATCGTATCCTACCAAAGACAATATCATCCGTGCTATGGCCTGGCTGGTAGATGGTGCTCAGAGGGACGACGCATTGTTCTTCCACTAGTGAGTATGTGCCAGGCCCATACTGCACTCTTTGGAAGATGCAAGTGGATGAATTTTGACAACTGACGCTCGTCCAGCTCTGGACACGGGACGCAGGTCGAGGATGTCGATGGAGATGAGCATGATGACGATGATGAGGGTGAGAAAGTAACAAGGAGGGCGCGCCCGGTCTGACTCGGCTAGCTATCTGCCCCGTTGACTTCCAGCAAGCTGGTCTGATCATTGATGATGATAGTGCGTAAATGTGCAAACAAAATTGTGTATGAGTTCTAGCTGACTTCAAGCGGCAGTGTGAGGTTCTAACCGGGGCATCCTTCTCCCAAGACCAGACTGACCACCGCTTCCTAGCCATGACCTCCTCGTCAAGCCTCTTCCCGCAGGCTGTCGTCTCACTGCGATCTTTGACTCGTGTCATTCCGGAACAGTCATGGACCTTCCTTACGCGGTATGCCCATCTCTTCCTCCTTCATGGTGACCAGTATATATCAGTCTGACCAGATATCTCCAGTACACTGTCGAAGGAAATATCAAGAAACCCAACCTGTTTGAAGGGACTCAAAGTCATCTCCTTGACGCGGGAATGGGCGTCCTCACGGGAAACACTGGCAACCTCTTTTCAGGTCTTTTTAGAGCGGCTCAAGAAGCTTTTGAGAATCATCAATCGCAGGAAATGACAGTCAAGACAAAGACGAGTCCGGCGGATGTCATCCAATGGGCTGGGTGCAAGGACTCCCAGACGGTGAGTGAGCTATTGAGCGAGCTCGTACCTCTTGACACAGGTCAGAGGTGGTGAGCGGCGCAAGAAGCTGACCCTAGTCCACAGAGCGCAGATACGCAAGAAGCCGGGAAAGCGACTGGAGCCATGTCTTATGTGCGTGTACTTTCGTGATGTTCTCGCCTGACCAGTCTGCCACTCTAGGCGTTTATCGCGTCTCTTTCTAAGTATCCTGATCAGAGCTATCAGCAGCTTCTGGAAACAGTCAGAGAAGAGATGAAGGGAAAGTACAGTCAAGTGCCACAATTGTCGGCGTGTCATCGTGAGTGAAACATCGCGTCGCTCTTGAAGTAGCCTGAACGACCTCACCATCCCATCACAGCCATTGACACTTCACTTCAATTTGTCGCTTAGGAGACTCGCCCACACGAGCAGGATGCATAAGCATTGACGGTGAAGTGACATGGCATCAGGCGCCATCCATCCACTCTGCTGGCCCACTCGGTCGATAATAGTGATCTTTTTTTAACCCCCCCCCACCTCAATGTGTCAGCTGACAACTGACTATTTCTACGCCTCGCCTTCACTGTTATCAACCAGGTCCTCTCGCGGATCGCTTCGCCCGCGGCCCTGAGGATCCCATTCACCCTTCACGTGATAACTTCTGACGTCCAGGAAAAGTGGCATACTTCATCGAGATCTTCTCTGCTTGTCGTCTTTCTCTTTCTTACTTCTTACTTCATCCATCGCAGTGCCTATAGACATCGACTCGGTCACTTATCGATTCTTCAAAGCTACCGTCTTCATCTTCAACACGTCGATTTATTTCCTCATGGACACTCCTCGAAGACCTCACTTGCCCCGCCAATCTTCCTTCATGAGCCTGTTCAAGACGTCTCTCACCCCGGCTCAGCCAGGCGTGAAGAGCGATGATCCGCACCCGTCGTCCTCTCTCACGCCTGAGGATATTTCGTCGCCCCAAGGCCCTGTGACAGTCCTCGGACGAAGTGAGGAAGCTAGCGGATGTCCTTTGTGCGGCGTGCATGGTGATACGTCAAAGGGTTCAAAGAGCGTCGCCACACAAACGTGGGATGAGGATGAACACGCCTATCGACGTCGGTCCAAGCCTGCTATGAGCCGTCAAAAGGTCAACGAATTGAACCACTTGGCGATGACTATGACTCCTTTGACTAGTTTGGAGAATCAGGAAGGTGCGTAAAATGACGAGAGCGGGACTGACACGACTTGCTAGGCACACCCACACCCACGCTCACGCCCCGACCTCCTACCCCTACTACTGAACCAGACGATCGATCCAGTAGCACGACCTCGACGTCCGAAGTTCAACTTTCACCCGCCATGGAGCTTCCTCGAGTGCCTTCGCTCACACTCACCGACATGTCCGCCTCGTCGATCAGTATCGCCTCGCTGGCATCTCAGCTCTCTCGATCGCTATCTGTGGCTTCCATGAGCTCCAAGTCGATCAGTGGCAATGGCGAGGGTCTTGAAGGCGCGATCGAGGAGCCACCTTGTCTCGTGCATTATGATTCGAAGGGCAATGTACAAGGCGTCTGGCAGTTGGCTTATGGACAGGAGGGCAGAGTGGCATCGGCCCAAAACGGGACGAACCCTGTGTCGGCCCACCAGATCATGAGATCCAACGAGTCAAACGGTGGCGGAGTCAAAAAAGGAAAGAGCTCTGATACTCAGACGATGACAAACGAGAGACACAAGAATCCCGTCTCATCACAGGTCAGTCTGACTGGCAGACTGTCACTGCTCAAGCTGAAAATCTCACCAGATACAGCGTAAGACGTGTAAATCGAGCAGCTCTGTCTCCTCGAGCACTTCCACATCTGCTCTTCGAGAGATCACTCAGATCGTCAATCGGATCGAGACCTTGAACGAGCATGCCAAAGCTCTGAAAGTGCATCTGGAAGAACGCCGAATGGAAGATACGACGCTATGGACTCGATCCCTCCGAATAGAATGGGAGAACGAGAATCGGCGTATCAGGTTGGAGAGGAAGGAGTGCTTGGATGAAGTCGACAACTGGATGGCAGTGGCCAAGTTGCTACAAGAAGATGACGAGGCGGTCTAAGCCTCTGGTCGCGAGCCGATTTTTGGAGTTCTCAATGACTTATGTGCTGTACAAGGCCGTAGAAAAGCCCTATTTCCTGGTCCGTGGATCATACCATCATGCATTTTGTGTCGACTGATAGTCAGTACGGAGGCGAGCTGTCGACTGCAGACTTCTCAGACCCTTGAAGCCACTTTGAGCGCAGGATGAGCGCTGCCATCCCAAAGCTGCTCGTGTCACCATATCAATGAGTCCGTCCTAACTGTGCACTGTGTAAGGGGACGTGTCAGATTGATGCACATTGAAGGTGATCTGCTGACAGATCGGATCTGACCAGTCGATGAATGGAAATAATGCTGGGATTGACGAACGTGGCGGAATGGAAAACTTTTCATCCATCGTGTGGTTCGCTCACAGCGACAACAGGAGCCAAGGAGCGAGGGTTTATGCATCCCTGACTTTCACTCGTCTCTGTCTCTATCTTTGTCCCACAGCAGAGAATACTATCCATCAACGTCCCTCCTCGCCTGTCCGATTTCTTGCGCCCGGAGTCTCTGCTGCACCGTCTCCCCCCCCCCTTTCCCCCCACTTTTCGGGAATTTCAAGTGTTCGGATGAAACGTGTATGGGACGAAAAAAGTTGCCTTATCATGGTGAAGATCAAGGTCAGATGACCCAGTTTTTCTGTGACAAACCGATCAGCACACAGAAGCAACGAAGAGGTGCCGAGGCCTTTTGTATAGATCAAGTGTTGAGATGCATTCGTCCTTCTTCTCCTTCTTCCTTCCCCTCCAACTTGAGTCCAATCCACTGCCAGAGAGATCTGGGTGAAAGTGGGACTATATCCGGTTGACGCTGACCGGCAAGACGGTCGGTCGACTTCTTGTATCAGCTGGCGGAGCGTCAGGCGTCAATCACCGAATCGAAGCGGACCACTTCACCTTCATCAGCAACTCAGTTCACCTCAGATCCTGTGCTTCTACTTACTGTATTTACATTTCGGCCACGACAGTCTTCCACTAAGCATCAGCGCCACACGATGGTACCTCCCGCGCATATCCGACGACCGCTCTTCTCTCAATGGTCCAGTCCCATTCCTATGGCCTTGATGAGTCCTTCAGTCTCCTCATCGACCCCACCTCCTTCCTACTGTGCGATACCACCCGGTACAGAGGCAGCTCTCAATGCACCATTCGTAGCTCAAGAGACACCTTCACACTCACCCGTCATCACCACCGGACGAGGAAACACCGAGGCTACCGCCACCGTGAATCGTGTCACCACAACGATGCCGCCGCAGGTAGTTCATCATCCAGGCGTTGGACCATCTGGGTTCCTTGATTGGCCAGCGGGTCATCTTCAACCTTCCGCGACAGATGAACTTGAAGCTTTCCTCCGACTACAGTCGTCGGGTCCTTATCCTCGTATGCCACATGAGATTCAACGAGAAACAGCGTCAAGGGGACAAAGCGTCATGCGCTTCTCTGATCAGCGAACATCTAACGGACAAGGATCTTGCGATCCCCTCCATCGGTCCGTTTCGAACCCAGGTTCCGGACGCACTCACACGCGCCAAGTCCACGCCCAGGAACTGTTTCGTGCTCAGACCATGACTCGGAATCTCAATCAAGGTCCGGTAGCTCGAGCAGGACCTAGACAACAGCCGGATGCTCTTCATATGCGTAACAAGATCCTAGCGTCAAATCCTCTCGCCACCATCTCGTCACATCATTCCCAAGAAGGTCAAAGTGGCACGGAGTCGACGATCACGAGGGCCAGCTCGACCAGGCGTCAGAGAGGAGAGATGGCGAATCGTCCAATCTCCAGGGTCGATCCGAACGCCGTGGCAGGAATGACGCCTATGCGCACTGAAGAGACTGTCAGCGCTCCCAGAGCTGTGGATCTCAAAGTGGTTGAAGGTCATGAGGACGTGACACGCGAAGGAGAAGCACACCGAACCAAGTGAGTTGTCCCGTTTGTGGCTTACATGCTAACTCGTTTTTCTAAAAACCAGGCACAGAAATCGCTCAGGGGCAGGAGCCCGTCAAAGCACTGTTCATCATGATGGAGCGCTCAAACAATACAGTGGATGTGAACGATCTCACCGTAAAGAAGCGAATGTTGAACGACCTCCGACTCCTCCTCCCAAGGACGGAACTGTGGCGGCGAGCGCCCAAGATGAAAGTGCCACTTTCGTCCCTCGTCGGGGGCATGGCGCCACCATGGGTGGAGGATCGGACAACACGTACAAATGGGTCTTGTATGACGATCAGGGGAACGTGAGGCGAATCTGGAATCTAGAGTATGATGGTGACTCGGCGAGACGAGGGGATCACCAGGCCTCGGCCGCTCGAACGACCGAGACTGGGGCTCAGCGGACAAGAGCAAAGGCTGGACGCTGTTGTCGGGACAGTAGCTCCGGCGATAGGCACCGTGCTTCCACAAGCAGCAGGACTGAAGCCGTTACCGCTACGACGGAGGTGAGTCATGTCCCTCGTCATGAATGAAATCCGCTTACCTACCGCCTTCTGCTGCAGTCATTCTCCCGCTCGTCTCCCAGCCAGACATCTACCGAAGTCGCAAGCTGTCTAAGCATATTTGAAGCCCAGGAGCACATATCGGCATTGGAAGCCGAGCTCGATTTCGTCCGATCAGAAATGATGAAGCAGCGAAATTCAATGATGTGTCTACCTCATGATCAGATTCAAGCAGCTCTTCAAGTCCGAGTGGACATGAAAGGACTGCTTAGTCAGATCCAGGAGGAAATTGCGGGCTGGCAGGAAGTCGTACAGTGTTTGAAGGGGAGCTGTCAAGTATGACAAGGGCGGACCGAGTGCTGAGTGCTTGGCCTCACGCGGTAGCATGGTTGTTGTCCATAGGAATTTGAGTAGAAACAGAAGAAAATGTCACAGCCTGCTAGAGTGAGAATTGCTTTGACCTTTCGATTAAAAGTGAATGCACAGCGTGGTACTGTCAGAAGCTAGAGCTTCCCTCTCTTCAAGATCAGACAAGCTCAAGCGCGTTAGGCATAACGATTTCAGCAGTCTGGCTGCATGGTGCTGTGTTCCATACGGTCCTCTGCCACCTTTCCCTCCACCACCTATGACTGGCCCGCCAGTGGACAAACACAGCCGCCACAGATCTGAGATTCCGATTACGTCATTGAAGATACCTACCAGCAATTCTAATAACATTTTGTCCACACCGTTATACACTCTGTCTTTGCCCACTTCCTGTGACAGTCTCCGGATCGCCCAACTGCCAGCACCATGTCGAGCTACGACCCCGTACCTGTCTCTTCGTCGTCGGGACGAAGAGCAGTCTATCAAGCACCCTCACACGAAGGTCTGATTACCGCTGAACAATTCAAAGAATCGATGCGTTTCGTCAGAATGCAAATTGCGGTCCCCATATCAGTATTGATCGCCATGGGGGCGAATTTGGTATGCGCTCTGGCTCTGAAACCTGGTTTAGGTGAGTACAAGGGCGAGTAGAGGAATGTCCATGCCTCAGGTCCCTAGTGCCTGAGAGGAGGGGAGGAGAGAAGGTCGATTTGCCTGTGGCGTGGAACTGACTCTCTCACGCAATAGCCGGGATCAATGTCCGCTATCCTACGCTCGTCAGCCCGAATTCTATCATGATTGGATTATATTGGGCAGTCCTGTACTGCCTTCAAGGTGAGATGCATAGAGTACCATGTAGGGGGCGCTCGCTGACACTCCTGTGTCAGTCGGATTCTGCTTGGTACTTCTTCTCGCTAGGAAAGACGTGACGAAGGAAACTTTGGTGTATGGCGTTGGAATCAGATTCGCAGTTGCCAATTGGCTCTTGGCAGCTTGGGCCGTGTCATTTGTGAGTTTGGCCTCCCGGTCAAGTCGAGGAATCCAGAAATGAGGCTGGGACAGGATGCACAGATGGTGCTCACGCTTCCCAATAGACTTTGCAGGCATTCGCAGTTGCTGAGATTCTCATTCTGCTCAACGTCGTCAACCTGTGAGCCCGGGGGTCGCGCTCCAGAGTACCACTCGTTCTCCCTGGTTTCTGATTCCCTTGACAGCCTCACGATCCACCTCACCTTGCTCAAATACCCACCTACGATGAAACGGCCCCTCGATACCATTTTCATCCACGCTCCGATGGCATTACTCCTCGCCATCTTGTTCGAGGTCGATTGGGTCCATAACGGATTCATTGCGCTCAATTGGAGAATTCACGATCGATCGGACAGAGACGACTACACTTGGCAAGCTGTGGCTTTTATCGCCAGTGTCAACATCGTCGCGGCCCTGTGGGAAGGTATCAGAAGGCAATAGTGAGTAATCACTGACTGACCGCCTGCCTCCACTTGGCCCACACACCTTCTGACACATCCCAATAGCCTGATGACTGGCGCCTCGATCTACCTCCTCTTCACGCTCATGTTCGCATCCCCTCGCGGTGATCCGGATCTGCCTTCGTCTGCTCTGCCTAAACCCACACCTGTCCTCGTCGTCTCCATTGCGTGCCTCGTCTTGCATGTCGTGGCTCTCATCGCTGGTTTGGCATGGAAGCGAATGAGAGATAGGGAAGGCAGGATCAGATTGGAGGAAGAAGTCGAGCGGATGGAACGGGAGGAGTACGAGGCGAGGGATCACTAGCGGTTGGGGATAGGGGATGAAGGTCACCAATGTCATAACGAAGGGGACGCTTCTCTGCGGGACCGAAACGAATCTGACACGAGCGATCAAATTCTGTTCATGTTCGCGAATCATCTCGCCTGTGTTCATGCATTGGCATAATGCTTTAAACTATACAACAGGACCTTTCCTCGTTGATTCCCCGTAGCGAGGTAATCGCCACCGGATGAGAATGCCATTGCGTTGATTCGACCAAGCGGAGTGGTCTGAGTGGGCCAATTACCATACGCTGAACCAGACGCGAGGTGATACTAGAAGCATGCGCGGTCAGCAAAGTTTGAGTGAGCGCAGTCAGAAATTGGCTCACAAGCTTTAACCTGTTTCGCTTGCTATCTGAGGCAGTGACCAGCAATTCAGAAGATGGATGAAAAGCGAGTGATGTGATAGGCGTCGTGAGGTGTTCGAGGCTCTTGAACGGTTCTGGGGAGAGGTGCTGAAGTGCATCATTGTGGGATGATTTTCCTCGGAGATCGGACGATTCGTAAAGGTTGACGATACCAGTAGACGAGCTTGAGCCCGTGGGTCAGCGTTTGACGACAAGGAGACAGAGGTTCTTTTTTTGGTTCTGAACTCACCCCACAGCCGTCCATTTTTCGTCCTCTGACAATCTCATGATGGATCCTCCGTAACACCTCTCATCTCGCCATTTCCTCACGACAGACCTGGACCCGACATCCCAAACTTCAACTTCAGCTCCATCTCTTCCTCCCAACACGCTCAATTCCTTTTGACCGGTCCAAACGAGATCCACGACGGATCCTCCACGACCAGATTTCAATTCCGCCACTACTGCTCCTACACCACTGCCACTCCAATCAAGGATGGAAACGGCGCCTCGTCGACCCGCGACGGCTAGCAACGTGCCACCAGGTGAGAATGCGTGTCGAGTCAGAGTGTTGGGAGAGGAAGACGTTTGAACGGAGCCAAAAAGGTTTCGAGGAGATCGGACACACCGAGAAGCGATGAGGTCGTAGGTGTAATAGTAAGGCCTGGTACCGGTTAAAAGGAGGGATGTACCGGATGGATGGAACGTTGTTCGACCAAGAGGGAGCGAAGGGAGATGAATGGTCAGAAGAGCAGCATTGGTATGACCGTCAATCTAAAGTAGCGGTAGCAAGGATCAGCATGAAATCGTTGAGGACGTATCGAACGACTAACATTGAAGAATCGGACACGCCTATCTCCTCCGCCTACGGCCAGAACTCCGACCCTACTACTGGGGTGCCAGGCGATATCCACGACTCCATTTCCCGCATTACTGGCTTCCTTCTTTCCAGTTGTGGGATTTTGATGGTTCGCATCGAGGAGACGTTGCATTTCGATGACTCCACGCGCTAGAGGAGGTCGAGAACCTGAGCCATTGGCTAACGGTGAGACGAAGGACTTCGTGGATGACAGCAAGGATCGTAAAGCTGGTGTACCGCTTTTGACCCGATTGGATGCCCATTGGGGTCGAGGATGGAGTCGCTCGAATCTGAGCACATTCCGGTCAGCGAAACATCAACGAAAGGACGACTTTTGTTGTATGACTAAGTGGTCAACTCACTGCTCCCTCAACCTCTTTTCAAGCTCTCTTCCATCCACCACTCCCTCTTCACCCGCTTTACCTCTGGCCATCTTCCGCATTCTCCTGTCTTTTATCAGGTCCACGGAAATCATCTCATCCGCAGGATCGACCCATAAGGCCTGTCGCCTTTCTTTCCCCTTGACTGATGGCGAACCGGAGCGTGAACGGGAAGATGATCTGGAGCTTGAACTGGAGCTGGAAGACGATTGAAGATCGGCAGGAAAGGTGATTTTGACGTCCACATCGGATACACCCTCCTCATCGTCGTCGTCGGCATCTACCTCTGCTTCAACAGGTTTGAATGTTGTATCGTCCATGTGGATAGATGGACCAGAGGCATCGCTTTCGTCGTCGTCCTCATCATCATCTTCTTCTTCGTCAGTTTCCCCATTTGCGAAACGATCCTGTCCCTCTGATTCGTCCTCAGACACCTCTTCCCTATCCTCGTCGTCGTCCGTGTTCCCTCCTCCGTCAAGATACGAAGCCACAGGTGCGTCAATGGTGAACAGCTGATCAAGATTCAGCCTCGCCCAAGCCCAAAGATGTCGATAACAGACTCACATCATCATCTTCCATGTCTTCCATCCGCTTCATCTCTACGTCTTCAGACGTTACATGACCGTTCACCCCTGCGCCTGACCCGACACGCTTCTTGCTCGTTCCAAAGAGGGCAGACTCCAATTCGAGCTCCTCATCGTCCTTCTCCCAAGTGTGAGAAACGAGTTTTGTCGATACTGGGTCCAGAGATACTCTCGATGCTTTGCGTTTCTTGCCCGATACCATTGTTGCTATGGCCAGCCGTCTCAGTCATGTAACTCAGGATGCGAGAAACAGAAGATCGCAATGTGAAACCAACCAACCACCGGGTTTTCAACTTTTTCAGAAATTTTTGGGCCGCAACGGAAGTGAGAAATGGGCAGCTGGTCCGGTCCGCAAAACATGTCCCTGTGAGCGACAAGGGTCCACTGCGTCCTACAGCATGCAATAGATGGCTTAGATTCATGTTGTGGTGTTATGCAGAAGTGTATAGCGCCAACAATATCACTCTCCCCTTTTTGTTCTACTAGGCTACAGTGGTATCCGTGAATTAAACCTAATCAAAATCCAGAGGCACGAGTCTGCGTTCGTTCTCTCCGCTCCGCTCCCTGGATGCTTGTATACGATGGGCTAAAGGTGCAATGTCAGCGCGAAAGCGCCATGCATGGGCGTTGATCTGCTCACACGAAAAGCTCTTCTCGTATGATCGAGGTGAAGCGGCAGACCGACATAGTTTGGCGTAATGTAACTGGAAGGGGATTTCATTCAGCACGATCCTCGTTTCGACTTGCGGCTCTCGCCAGACTCACTCCACACGGCTCGCACAGACTTTTTGGGCCATCAGGACCTTCCCTCCATGCCATGGCGAAGCCTGACCATCCACACCCATGACATCTGCCTAGTGGTGTTCCATCTCTTGGATCTATTCGGGATCTCGAGTGGGAGGAGTGAGATTCCAATTCACCGTCTCCAATGACCGCATCGTTGATGCGTGCATCCTGAGGCTCGGGGAGGGAAGCGGGACTAGGAGATCTGGATCCCGAATCTGACGAGACTGATTCTGCAGAAGTTGATCGTTGTTGTCGTTGTTCGACCTCGTGTTGAGCCGTTTTGGCCTGAGCGGCTGCACGAGCCATCAACATGTCTCGACGTTTGCGTATCACATCCATCTCTCTCTCGGCATCGCTTTTCCCTCCATTCGGACCGTGGAAAGGGTATTGCATGAGGGGCGTCGGGCGGAAACCGGGTAATAGATTTGGATCGACAAGATCAGACATATCATAGAGGGATGAGCTGATCAGTTTGGACATGCGGTGAAAGTGGTTTCGGAGGTAAAGAGGAGGTTGAGCGGGTTGAGTCGTGGAGGATGTTGCAGCTGGATCTAGGGTGTTAGCGATGAATCAAGACGAGGACTCGGGATGAGACTCACCGAAGGGTCTCATGAGCTGGATGAGTTCATCAATGTGTAATCTCAACTGATGGTTGTCATGTCAGCACAAATTTGAGGTCGGGTTCTGGGAAAAACCCTCTCACATCGTCGATATCCCTCTGGACATCCTCTCGTTTCCGTTTGACAGGACTATGACTGCCTCGCCGCCGTTCAGCTGACCATCTGGTCTGCTCTGTCTCCTCTTCATCATCACCCTCATCCTCATGTTGATACCTCGATCGATCCTGATCGACCCTCCGCCTACTTGAATCATATTCTTCATCCCATAACGGTCGAGCATGCCCACTAGATCTAGGTTCTGGCAATCGTTGACGCGAAATCGTTGGTCTCACTGTTGCTGAGCTTGAAGAAGATGATCCTGATTCCATCGGTCTTGATCGATCTTCTCTCATTCTGGTCGCTGCAGCTTCACTCAACGCTTCCATCCCGAATGAAACTCGTCTCGAAGGACCCGAAGCGTAATCGGAGAGACGTGCATCCATTTCTACAGAGATAGGTTTAGGTGAAGCCACTGTCGATGTCGATCGAGATGGAAGACTGCCATAATCTGCGCCGAAGGGTAAACTGCCAAGGGCGTGAAAAGTGCCTGCGAAATGGTTTTGAGGGGATAATGATGATGATGATGATGATGAGTGCTGCTGCTGCGTAGTCTGTGGACAACGATGAAGGTCGAGAGCGGCGGCGGCGGGAGGGGATACCCCTGGAAAAGGAAACCAAGTTGGACCTGTATACCGAGGTAGATCTGGTCGATTTGATATGGATCTCAATGGGTCGGCACGATGGTGATGAATATTCTCGGTCAGATGAGGATCCGATTGTCCGAGGCCTGCCGAGCGAGAGGAAGGGACTGAGATAGGTGCGTTGAGAAGCAGATGATCGAGCGATGATGCACGACGTGGCGGTGGCAGGTTGGTTGTTGTTGCAGTCGCTGCTGCTGCCATGGTGTTGGTCGCCATCGCCAGCCGAGCAGCTGGATGAACAATGATGATGAGCAAAGAGACAGACACACGGGGATCTCCAAAGCGATTTTTACAAAAAAAACGAAAAAAAACCGGGTGAAAAGAGAGACACACATGGAAGGGATTCCAACGGAATCGAACCGGGCGTGTGGCGTCAATGGTTGTGTTTGGTGTGGCGACGACGACGACGATGGCTATGGCGATGGCGACGAGCCAGGTGCGGCAACAGCGGCAGCAGCAGCAGCATGGGTCACTCAGTCCAGTCACACACATGTCTAGCTCTCTGATCACTATTGCATCTCCGGGCAGCTCTCTTCACGGGAGATTTGGCAGACAGACTCGGCCGAGCACGAGGGGAGGAACATGGCGTTTACCTCGATGAACCGTCAGCCAAATTTGATCAGCATTAAGGGGGGATGATCATCATCGGCCATAGAGGTGTGGGTATGTATCACTCTACAACATCCATACCATCACATTTTCCATGTCACGAGTCCACGGCTATATGCCTGTAAACGTTCATCTTTCCCCTACGACTCAAGATGATGTCTGTCTCTCTAAAGATGAAGACAGTGTAGAGCCTTTCCGGCCGCCGCTCGATCCGCAGGTCATCCATCGACATCGAGGGGAGGGGGAATGGTTTGACTGGTAAACTCTGACAGCTTAAAAAGAGTCCCGCGGTTGAGGAAGAAGAAGTGGGGTGATCCTTGGGCGGCGTTGGTATGCTCATCAAATGATCTTCATAGATCTAGGAAGGGGGCGGCGCCCGAACACAGAGTCGCGGAGATCCGGTCAAAATAGTATTCAGATCTGTTCGTTCGCTATTCTGCCTGAAATCCTATCTTGTAATCATAAATAAAAATACACCGAGATCCCCCGAAAGAGGGAAACAGATCGGTAGATCTTGTTGATATAGGCGACGGCTCGGGCAGCCATTTGGACAGATCATTCCATTCCCACTTGGATCCCCAAATGACTGTGTAGCATCCTGGAACCTTGGTGCCTTGCAAGATGCATGGACAATGAAAAGTTGCAAGATGATGCATCGGCAAGACGGCCGGGAGCATTCACTCGTCATCGTCATCGTCGTCATCACCATCATCATCGCCCTTGCCCTTGCCCTTGCCGCTGTCTGCCGAGTCGGCAGCCGGATCTGGCTGATCGACCTCCATGCCATTTTCTGCAACATTCCTCGTCTCTTCCTCCGGGTGCGTTGGTGCTTCAGGCTCATCATCCTCGGCAGCATCCTCATCAGAGTCCTCAATGAATGCTTTGGATTTGCTGTGGTCGGTCACATTTAGCAACATTAAATTCCAGACTGAAAGAGGGCATACTCACAATTGCTTCCCACCTTTTCTGGTGGCCGTTGCCCCGCCTCCATCTTCTTCATCAGGATCTTCGTGCTTCTTGACGCTCTTCCGCTGCAAGGAAAGACGACATGATCAGCGCAGGTCGTCATACAAGCCTTGTTTCCCCCACCTTTGCCTTCAACTTGGCCAACTGATCCCTCGCCCTTCTCTTCTGAGCGACTTCTTCATCCTCCTTCTCGTCTGCCGCCCCTTCATTAGGCGTCAGACTGCCCTCTCTCTCACTATCATCCCTGTCCAATCTCGCACGCTGATCCTCATCCGTCGAAATCTCACTCTTGCTCCTAATCTTTCGAGATTGTTTCGTACTCTTTTTCCTCTTTTTCCTCTCTCGCTTCATCCCCGGTTCAACGCCTTCATCGGCAGAATCAATATCTCCAGCTTCCTTTCGAGCCTTTTTCTTCTCCGCAACTGCAGCCTTTCGAGTCTCTTCTTCCGCTTGACGCGCATTCAATTCTTCCTGCCATGCTAAAGCTTCTTCACGTGCTCGACGTCGAGTCTCTGCCAACTCGGCCGCCTTGGCTTCAATCTCTTGACGACGTTGCGCCTGTACAGGTTCATCAGTAAGCAGACCCCATCGCGCGGACAACGATCGCCTATTCCTCACCTCGGCTGCCTGAATTCGAGCTTGTTCTTCGGCTCTAGCTTTCCTAGCTTCTTCGACTCTCGCTTGGAACTCTCCCTCGTATGCCTCTTGTCGAGCAATCTGTTCCGGCGCTTTTCGGAGCAAACTTTCACCATACAGCGCTCGTTGCTCGGCAAGCGTCCGGTCGTACGGCAAGGCTTTGGACTGGTCATCGGCTAACGAGCGGAAGATCCTGTAAACAAAATGTCAGCAGAGCTCTGAGGACACATTTGGCCGTACTCACGTTGCGGCCTGTTCTGCCTGTTTCGTCGACACGTGTAGCTCTTCCAAAGTTCGCTTGCTGGGGTCCAGATTCTGCAGGAGTTCGGCACCCTTTTGCAATATCATTGCGATGTTGTATAGGATCGCTCGGTCAGAGGGAAGAACGTGCATGGCCTACGGGGCAGAAAACATCAGCCAACGCAGTCTCAGACATCGTCTCTACCCACCTGTTGAGAATAGGATAAAGCTTTAGACATGGCTGAAAAGTTGGCATTCTTCGTAGCGTATCCGTACCAAGCTTGGGAGAGATACAACAGTATCGGAACTCGGTTGCCCTTCCACGCGTTCAGCGCAGCTTCGTACTAAGCAAATGGATCAGTCGAGTCCCGCCCCAATGACTTCATTTCACTCACCTGTTGAATGGCCTTTTCTTCATCGCCCCGGGTGAAGTAACAATGCCCCATATTGACGTTGACACTCCCATCCGTTATACTATCCGCTATCCTGCTGAACACTCCCAAAGCCTGTCCGGCAAGTTTGACGCGGTGACCCTCTAGTGGAGGATTCGCGCTCTTCAACAAGAGGGAGTCCTCCGTCAATGCGATGGCCAGACCTTGCGCTGCCGTAGCGCAATTGGGATCCAGGTCCAGAGCTCGCTGATACGCCTCTGCAGATCTCAACCATTGTTTCGGTCGTCCAGCAACTTCAGCAGGTGCTTTGGCTTCACGTCCGAGAGTATAATGGATCCATCCAAGAGAACAAAAAGTTGCAGGGTCCGATCGATCATAGTTCAGTGTTTGCGATGCAAAGCTTAAAGCTTCACGATAGTTTCCGCTGGAGATCAAGAGATTGGTATAGACTGATCTGACTGTCAGATTCGACTCCTCCGCTTGGAGACATTCCTTGACGAGAATTTGAGCGTCAATCATTCGACCTGCTGACGAGGCAATCATGGCCAGTCGGAGTTTAGCTAGAGGTGGGGGAATCAGTCATATGACACAACTACCCAAAAGACCTACATTCAATATGCTCTGGATGCTTGGCCAGGATCTGTCGATACCACTGAGAAGCCAACGTGATTTCTCCTTTCTCCTCGAACGCTCTCGCAATGTTATAGGCCAAAACCGTCCGCAGATACTCGTATTCCGTCCCTTCATTCTCCGGGATCTTGCTCAAGGTCTCCTCGTACATCTTCTCCGCGCTCTCAGTGTTGCCCTGAAGGTGGAACAGTGCTCCCAAATTCGAAGCTGATCTAAGCGCTTTCAGGTCCAGTGAAGCATCTCTAGATGACTGGTCCGAAGCGATCGATACCGCTGTTTGGTAAGCCTCCGTGGCCTTCTCCAGCGATTCATCCTGCCATAATCTAGCCAGATCAAGGAACAGATCGACATCCCCACCGATTCCTCGAAGTCTGGCCCAGTCTTCGTCGGTCGTCGCGGTAGTGACCGACTGGTGTATATCTGATAACATGTTTCGCGCCAGATGTCGATTCCGAGCAATCTCATCGTCTTTCATACCGGGATGCGGGTAGGCAAGAAGCGAAGCGTGTAAGACAGAGTACTCCAATGGACCAGGTCCATTTATCCGCTTGGCAGTCTGTTCGATAAAGTTTAGGGCTTCTCGCAAATTCCCTTAGAGACTATCAGCCCTGCGCCCTGAAGATTCAGCAAACGAACCGTTTTTAATGGCTATTTGACCCAGAGTGAGCTCCGCCATCGTGTTTAATCCAGCCTCTTCATTCTTCGCTGCCGCGAGGAAAGGTCCAGCATCAATCACGTCTCCAGCCATGAATCCCAATCGACCACGCTCGGCGAACGCCAACGCTGTCTGACGCTTAATGTCAAAGTATTGGATTGCCCGTTCTGCCAGCTTTGAGGCTAGGGGTAATTGTCCACCCTGACCCGAGACTGTGGCCAAAGCGAGCGCTGCAGCTGGTGACTTGTTATTGAGCTTGAATGCTCGTTGAACGTATCCTACGCCTTCCGTCTCGAGTTGAAGCTTTTCTTCTTGTGATTTGGACGGTTCGCGAGCTGCATTAAGCGATGCTAAACCGAGAAGGAGCAGAGCGACCCATGATTGGGGGTCCTGAGGGTCTCGCGATGAGCTTGTGCATAGACGTTGGCAGAGGCATGCTCACCCTCTGCAGAGCTCTATTCCAGGCCGCTCGAGCTCGATCCTTCACACCTAGACTCCAAGCACACAGTCCCAAGCCTATCCGGGGATCCGGTAACATGTTGGGGTGATATGTGATCAACTTGGTATAAGTCTGGAAAGCACTCTCATATGCTCTCCGAGAGAACTGAAGTCGAGCCTGACAACGATTTGTCAGGAGTAAGACTCGCGGCGCGAAGAACAGACTCACCTGTACCAGGAGAGCAAGGACATTGTTTGGTTGGCGGGAGAGCAGACGCTCGACCATCACAGCTGCAGTCTTGGGCTCATTACGACCGAGGTAGAGAAGGACTGAAAGACATCGTCAATGAAATCGGCAGATAAGTCGCACTCCAGCAACTCACTCTTGCCCATGGCCAGGGAAGACGGTGCATTGTCTAAACTCTCTCCCGAGGCATGAAGTGCCGAGTCTGCGCTGTTGAGATTTGCGGCCGCCTCCTTGAAGTGCCACTCCTTCGTGGGAGTCTTTGGGTCGACTTTGTCGTATTCTGGCAACAACAACAGTCACCCAGATTCCGGCCACGATGGTCGGGACAGGACCACTCACTGGCATACTGGAACGCCATCTTCGGAGCAGTCCTCGCCATGGACAGATGCAAATGAGCCATCATGGAGTGAAGATTGAGCAAAGCAAACGGATCAGAAGGACGTCCATGGCCACCTTTGAAGACTTGAAACACAAGGGACCTTAGCTCAGCTCCTCTTGATCCGTTCTTTTTGGACGTCGCAACTTACACAGTATACCTCTTTCAAGGAGATCCTGAGCTTTGCGAATTCTCCCTTGTCTCCAATGCTCGCTTGCCATTTTCGTCCAGTCCTTCAATTCCGCAGCGTAGTCAGTCAAGAGATCAGGTAAGACGTCCACGACATCTTCGTTCCCTATCGTATCGAGGTCGAGGTCGATTTGCAAGCCTCTGCATGGGGGAATGAGGAAGAGTAGGTATCAGCTGTAGAAGTGTCGAAAAGAGGAAACGCTCAAAATCACCCTTGACCCACGATGGTCCACATACGACCTGATGAAGGCGCTCCTTCCACCGCCTCAGACATGATTGTGTGAAGCTTGTCTTGCTTCGGTTATTGCACTGACGGTACCACGTACATCGTTGACACGAAACAAGAGATGATCATGGTTCATCTGAGAGAGCCGAAATCATGTGAGAATAGGCGTACGAGTGATCGACCGAATCAGAATAGGCGTATATCGCGCTAGTTATTCACCAAAAATGTTTCAACGCTATCCAAGCTGTCGACTCGACATCCTCCATCTACCGCTATTCAGCCAGCTCTCAGCGCCATTCTTGGCCTGTTCAGTCCACGTCCGGGACGCTTGTATGCTCTTGAGATCGCTCAGAATACAGAGTCATATACATCAGTCTAGTCCAATCTACCTACGCTCATTCTCCAGCTACAGCTGTCGAGCTCTCCGTTTCCCAGTATTCAACCCTATCCGGTACAATATACGATCACTTCGTACGGTCATGGCGTCTTCTGCTCCTCATCCCACCTCCTCGACTTCTGAGGCTTCAAAACCTGCCGAAGGAGTGCATGATGTTGTCCCTGAGTCTGCGGCTCCCAAAGCCAAAGGTCCACCTGAAGGCAAGGACGGTAAGAAGAAGGAGAAAAAGGACAAGAAGGGAGGTGGTGGTAGTGGGGGACCATTGGAGCTCAGTCCGCCTCCTGAGTACTTTGCAGAGAGGATAAAGATCTACGAGGAGTACAAAGCAAAGTATGAGAAATTCGTCTCTGGTGGGTCTGTGAGCTAGAATTGGAAAATTGAGAGGTCCACTGATCACATCTCCGAGCAGAGCAAGAGCGTCGCCCCATCACTGTAACTCTGCCCGATGGCAAAGAAGTCTCTGGTACAGCATGGGAGACATCTCCGATGGACGTTGCTCGTGGGATCTCTCAGACTTTTGCCGATAAAGTCATCATCGCCAAAGTGAACAATCAAGAGTTATGGGATTTGAATCGACCCTTGGAAGCCTCATGTTCCCTCTCATTACTGGACTTTGATTCACCCGAGAACAACTACGAAGCTCGTCAGGTCTTCTGGCACAGTTCAGCACACGTCATGGGCGAAGCGTGTGAGAGAAGTTTTGAAGGCTGTTGTCTCGGATACGGACCGCCTCTGGAAGAAGGTGGTTTCTTCTATGACATGGCTCTGGGTGGACAGAGGACAATCGGATCGGAAGATTACAAAGGCATCGAGGAGGTTTGCAGGATTGCGGTCAAGGAAAAGCAGGCGTTCGAGCGGCTGGAGCTGCCGAAAGAGGTCTTACTTGAGATGTTCAAGGTGAGCTTAACGCTCCCTCTCTTGAATGACGCTTACACTCTTCAGTACAACAAATACAAGCAACATTATATCAATGACAAGGTTCTCGACGGCACAAGCTCGACAGTCTACAAGTGTGGACCTTTGATCGATCTGTGCTTGGGACCTCACGTTCCTCATACTGGCAGAATCAAGTCTTTAGCCATCACAAAGGTGAGCTGGGCGTCCGTGATGCATAGCGGCGGCTTACTCTGCATATCCAGAATTCCTCGTCGTACTTCCTAGGAGACGCCAAGAACGACACTTTCCAACGGGTGTACGGAATCTCCTTCCCAGATAGCAAGCAGATGACGGAATACAAGAAGTACCTGGAGGAAGCTGCAAAGAGGGATCACAGACGAATCGGGAAAGATCAAGAGCTGTGGATGTTTAGTGATCTCAGTCCGGGCTCTGCGTTCTTCTTACCGATGGGAATGAGGATATATAACACCTTGATTCAGTTCATCAAAGAAGAGTACTGGAAACGTGGATTCACGGAGGGTGAGCTACCCCGTCCACTTCACTTGTCCCTAGCTCACGTGTCTCCAGTTCAATCGCCAAATCTGTTCAACAAGAAATTATGGGAACGTTCAGGTCACTGGCAACATTATTCCGAGGACATTTTCAGGCTCAAAGTCGATGAGGAGGAATGGGCTGCGAAACCCATGAATTGTCCGGGACATTGTGTCATGTTCGAATCGAGGGAGAGATCGTACCGTGAACTGCCGATCAGAATGGCAGAATTCGGTATCCTGCACCGAAACGAAGCTAGCGGTGCTTTATCCGGACTCTCGCGAGTCAGAAGATTCGTCCAGGATGATGGTGAGCTCGAACACTCCTGTCATGAGCTCACTCCATCTAGCCCACATCTTCTGCACGGTCGATCAGGTCGAATCTGAGATGGAGGCAGCTTTGGATTTCCTGGAAGCTGTGTACAAGCCATTCGGATTCACATACAAAGTCGGACTATCCACTCGAAATCCCAAAAAGTGGATGGGAGACCTCAAAGTCTGGGAGAGCGCGGAGAACGACCTGAAAAAGGTTTTGGAGAAGCGCTTCCCAGGTCAATGGCATATCAACGAAGAGGATGCTGCATTTTATGGACCGAAAGTGAGTGGGGCATGGGGTACAACCGGACGTTTCTGACAACAATACAGCTCGATTTCCAGCTCACAGATGCTTTGAGGAGACAATGGCAGTGCGGTACCATCCAGGTGTGTTCACAATGAAATGCCCGAATTTGTATCTCATATGTCGACTTCAGCTCGACTTCAACTTGCCTGAGCGCTTCGATCTGAAGTACCGTGGACCCGACGCCGCAGCTGGAAGTGCCGATGGATCCGACCTACACCGTCCGGTCATGATTCATCGTGCCATCTTGGGCAGTCTAGAGCGATTCCTTTCGATTATTACCGAGTCTTACGGAGGGAGATGGTGCGCTCAGTGTGGCGTGATCCCCAAAACTGACGCTTTGTTCTAGGCCATTCTGGCTGTCCCCTCGTCAAGTCATCGTCATCCCTGTGGCGGCTGCGCTCAAAGACTATGCGATCCAAGTGGCTCAGAAATTCAAAGACGCAGGCATGTTCGCGGAAGCTGATCTTTCGGACAACACCTTGAACAAGAAGATTCGAAATGGACAGACATCTCAATGGAATTTCATCATGGGTGGGTCGTCTTCATCATCGTGAGGTCATGGCTGATTCGCGCCCTCCAGTCGTCGGTAACGAGGAGGCTTCAGCAGGGGCTGTCAACATCAGGAACCGGGATGATGAGGTGCAAGGACGAGAAGAGATCATCAAGGTCGATTTGGCGGTGGAAAAGTTGAAGAAGCTCAAGGAGAGCCGTGCAGCAGTCAGCAAATTGGACTAGGGAGGTATACTGTAGGAGGTGAGATAAAGCGTCCGACCAGTCATGATATGTACATAATTTATTGGCATCGGATGCTTGATACACGATTCTAGCTTTCTACAACTCGTTCTTCAGTGGACCCACACCCAAAGACTCGTTTGCTAGTCCATAGCTCTTCTTCACGACTTCGCTGGCATACTTCCTCATCTCCTTCTCATACTCTGCAGTGATACCGTCCGCATAGCCTCCATTCTGAGCCAAGAGTTTGCCTAATAAGGCTGAGTCCTGCATGGCTGTGTTTGCTCCTAGTCCTCCGGCCGGCGTGACGGAATGAGCGGCATCTCCAATGACTGTGACTCGAGGAACATTGTCCCATTCAGGTACACCGGTCTCGGTGGAACATGTAATCTTCCAGAACGCAGCTTGGTCGACGTTGATCTGATCGAAAATAGGTTTGAACCTTTTGTTCCAATTTGAGGTGAGATCCTGTGCGAGCCTCGCTGCGGGTTCGCCGACCAATGAGTAATTATCACCTGGAGCTTTGATGAGACCAGGAGAGGCGATGATGGTGAATCCGAATTCTTTGGTCGGATCATCCTTATCACCCGATCTGACATTCGTAATGCAGCTCATCGTATGGTTGTCTGCTCTTTTATCAGTGAAAGAGAATACGCCTTCTCCGATATCTTTAAACGCAGTCGTCGGAGCCTGTCCGTGTATTCCTCTGGCACCTGTATCGAATACTTTGAGTCGGCCATCGGAGACTTGCTTGGCGATGGTCGATGAGATTCCATCTCCAGCAACGAGCAAGGATCCCTTGGTAGACTTTTCTCCATCGGCGAAGACGGCAAAGACGCCATCTTCCACCAGCTCGTATGATTTGACCGTCTTGCCCCATTGGATGTCATCTTCACATCCTTCCATTAAAAACTTTCTGAGGTCACCACGAGCTATCCCAATGGTTTGTGCCGTACCGGGGGCTATCCGCTGTTCGGCATCATCGTCCATGCGTTCTCCAGTCACCGCATTGTACTTTTGCATTCCTCCTCCAGACGTCTTGCCGCAGATCTCGTAGAATCGTTCGTACTCCTCAGGTCCAACCACATCCTTGACGGCTTGAAGACCTTCGCTTGAAAGTCTCAATCTGTAGCCTTGTCCCCTGAAGGACACGGATTTGTCACGTTCAAAGATCACGAAAGGGATCTTGGACCGTCGTAGAGATTGAGCAAAGAGGAGGGAAGCGAGACCTGCACCAGAGATCAGAACGGGGAGCGTGGATCCAGCTGCCATCGTGCGATAGGTTCAGCAGGGCGACGTAGTGGGTTCAAGGAGAATCCAGTTTGTAGGCATCCGTCTGCCTCTGACCAATTCAATAACACAATCACTCTCCGCTACCCCGGAGCAAGGTACCGATCGCCGACGGCTGGTGATTTGTGGCACGGGATCAGTGGCACTCACAACATACTGTACACTCGTAGAGGGGTAGATTAATGGGACGCAAGACGCTCGCTCAGCAACAAAGTACTTGAGAGCGAAAGGCCCCGGTCACATCACCTCCACAGATACATGAGAGTCTGTCATGCAGAATATGTACGCCTGCAGAGACTCCTCGGAAGCTCATCTCCAGCTGAATGTCAGGCAACAATCACGCGAATGCGAACCTGACTCTACGACCTTGACTTCGACTTCCATCCAAAAAAGGCCCAGTATCCTTCTCTGCCTTGCTGAGTGCTGAGGTCAAAACCGCGGCCCATATTAGAATCGGGATCTTCAGAGTCTTGGCCAGCAGTATTACCGTCGGTGGCTGAGGCTGCGGTTTGCGCATTTTGGCTGGTGGTAGACCCCCGAGAAGTCTGACTAGCTCCGGTCGAGCTAGCGTTGGAAGTGGATGTGGATGGCATGGTTAATTCCAGCGATAAAGTGAGTCTGGGGCTAGTGAGTGACTGTATTTTGATAAGCTTTCGGTGCCGATTGCGATGATGAGGCTTGAAGTAGAAAGTCAGAGCAATCGGTGCTTTACAGTCCCTTTTATACGTACGATTGGGAGCTCTAGAGGCTAATGTATTGACATGTCATCCTGTCTACGAATGGGTAAGTGCGCTAGACCAGCCTTCTTGAAGTCCGATTTGGTCTCCCGAAGCGTAACAAGAAGTTCACGGCAGAATCTCAGAGAGAATTCGGGGACGCCATCTTCGATCGAAGACCACTTAACAAGTCCGATTATCTTCTTATTGAAGACCGGGCAAGATCCGAACGAAGGCCAGAACCGGTCTGAAAGGAAGGTTGTGAGGGATGTTTTGCATCGCTGGAGTACCCCAGCCAAGAGAACGGGGGATGACGGTGAGCTATACGCCCTGTCCGCTCTCAACTTCATAATTCACGGAGCGATCTTTAAGAGGAAGGCTCTGCAGCGCTGTGCGTGTTGTCGTAAGCCAGCTTTCCTCTGTATCAGAGGCGTATCGGAGGAAGGCCCTCAAAGAGATGACGACTCAATGAGAGTCTAGGGGTCCCCTGACATCAGACAGCCAATCGCCGCACAGCCGTCCATGAATTCGCCTAGCACTGTCTCGAAGTCACAGCTTCATCCAGACATCTGGCCTGTAACATTGCGATTGATGCATTTGCAGGGCGCTTTACGAACAGCCACAAACAGGATATGTACAGTATGTATCATCCTGCGACTGTGGCAATGCCAAATTTTACATTCTAGTGTGCTTGCCCACATTTCGCATCGTAAGGCCCATCTCCTCATCATCAGAGGATTCCTCGTCCGGCTCTTCTAACAGCCTTGTTCCCGGGTCATTTTCGACCGACTGCAACGAGGGTGTAATAGGAGCTGAGACAGCCATAGAGTTTCTCGTCGAGTCCAATTCATTTAAGGAATCTTCTAGTGCGTTGCTCGGCCTACCAGGCGACGAGAGACTTCCCTCACCGCCAGCTGGTATCCCCTCGTCACTTTCTCCTTCTGACGATGACCCGAAGACTTTGCCCGTCCTAGCTTCCCAATACCTCCGGTTGGCCTCTTTGGTTTCCTTGTCAAGGAGCGTTCCCCCCTCAGGAAGGTCTGGTGGAGGTGGTCGAGAGGGATCGTTTTCGCAATTCTGCCTCAGGTCCTCCCTGCACTGCTGGAGATCTTTGGATGAGAGCGCTGGCTGGGCGGAGGCAAAGTCGCGCACGGAGATCCCTTCGGATTCGAGGCTGGGTTTTCCTGGTGTGGAGCTTCCCGTTGCATGCTCTGCTTCTCCATCAAGCTCACGGGTGCCCGCCTCATCATTCCAATTCGTCTCCTCCTTTGCCATCTTGGTATCATAGCCTCCTTCGACGGTGTCGACCAGAGTGCTGGATCCAGGTCGACACAAGGACTCGTCTTTGGTGTCAGCAAGGACTGTTCCTGCTCCCAAAAATTCCACTGTAGCTTTACTGGAAGGCGGCTTTCCGGTACCAGTCGTGGCTCGCGTCCCCTCAGTACGTCCTCCTCCGCTGAGCAGCGACCAGATCACTCCGGACAACGATCCGATTCGGGACGATGTGCCTCCGGGCTCTTCGGTGGATGTTGTGTGGTAGGTCCCAGTTGTGGCAGGCAACGCCGAGCTTCTTCGTGTCCCGGGCACTAAGTGGAAACGCGCCGGTTTGAGACCGGCATGAGTGGTAGGGGTACTGGTTGCTGTGTAAGACATTTCGATGTTTGCGTTTATGTGTTCCTCGATAAGTAGAGGTATGTATCACATTTGCCGCTACCACTGGGATATGTCTTTACACCCTCGTCGACCAATACCCAAGACAAGATAAGGGGATGAAAGGATGGTCATGGTAAAACGCCAGATCGCTGTGTCACCCTCGTCTGCAGGAGAGAGAACAGTGGATCTCAGAAGCGCAAGCGTTGGTCCGAGTAAGTCCGTCGGTCCAAGAAGTCAATCTCAGCACGACATGGTCATGAAACGGTCAGATGAAATATGAGTGACGGGATATCCTCTGAGTCGCACTGATTCTGACCCTTCAGCGTGTCGACAGTGCACAGACATCACGTCCACACAGAAACGGGTGACGATATCAGCCTGGTAGCATTCCCCGCCTACATGCAAATGCATAGGCAGCCAACGTCGAGTCTGCTCGAGACACTTCGGGAGCTCGGCAGAAGAGCGTTCAATCTCTCTATTTGGCGGCTGCCGAGCTTCCCCGGAAAAAGTTCACGAGCTTATCCGTCAATGTAGTCGGGGTGTTAGATGTGCCCTCGGCGACTGTGTTCGTCGTGGCACTATTCGCCACAACATCGGTCGTCTGGGACGACTCGCTAACCTCAGATCTTGTCGTACCATTGCCTGTGTTCCCCTTGGCTGCTGGGTCTCGTTCGCCATCCGACAAATCGTCAGGAAACTTGAGTTCAGGGAAAGATTCGAAAGCGTGTGGGCCCGTAGAGGCTTTCGACGACTTCGCCGTCGAAGTTGAGTGTGCTTGCGTGTGGCGTCCTGGCATTGTATCACTAAGGGCGGATCAGAATCGCTTTTGGAGTAAAAGAGGGAAGCCTGGGCGTACGAAGCAGGAAATTCAAGTAGTCAGGATCAGACGACAAGCTGAATGTGAAAATGGGGCTTCATATATACTCTTTGGTGTCCGTTTGCCACCCCTTCACCTTAAAATGGAGGTAACCGTGGTGAAAGGATGGTCCACGGAAGCTGTACTCTTGCGATCCAGAGCGTTTCCGTATTCTCGCGTCAGAAGGCGTCAGGCTTCATAGCAGACGTCAGCATGAACTGTTCCGCCTTCTCGTCAAGAATTCTCCAAGACCGCGGCCCGCAGCCCCGGCGTCTCCCTCGCTCAATTCCACTTCCGTGATGTCAAGAAGGGTGACGAAATGAGCCCGAGTGGATGGACGCTGCAGCGTAATCGACCCGAAGATCAACGATTATCCTACAGCACTGTTACAGGTTATCAATCTGCAGTGTTGCATTGCTCTACGGGACCATGAATTTCACGTACGTATCCCACAGAGTCCGGTATCGAGCCGCACCCTGAACGCCTGTTGCATTACTTGGCACTCCAGACCTCGGAATAAGTTTGCAGAGACCCATTAAGCCGAGACGTCGAAGCTTGAAACCCGCCCGTATGGGCGGCGCCTTCCGTCTTCGCTGCTTCATTTCCAGGAGCTGCACGTTCGGCTTCCGATGAGCACGATCCAGTAGATTGGGCCGTCGGAGTTGCAGGCCGATTTGCATCGTAAATGACAATGTCAAAGCCCCCAATGCAGTGCGTTTGAATAGACATGGCCGGTATTTTCTAAATATTCCTTCTGGACGATTTTGACTGCGTCTGGTTGGGCTATTTGTTTGTTGAGAAGAACAGTGTGCGAAGAAGTGCGTAGCGCGATTGCAAGTTCACGTCGATCAACTCAGTGTCAATCTGTTGCCTTGCCAAAGGAACCGATCCTTTCAGTGACTCTGCTGCCGCGCTCTCACGACAAAGCAGGAGAATGCGTGTTTTCCCAGCCACGTGTAAGATGTCCGGTCCAGAACATCGCGCGAGTGAGATGACATCCGTGAATCGGTCGAGGCGGATGGGGAGGTCGAAGTGTCCGCATGTCGGGCTCATGGTGGAAGCTCAACCAAATACACTTGCAAGTACGCCTTCCATTCCTCCTCCATCCTTGTTACCTTCCACAGTCTTCCTCTGTTTATAATCCCGCCTCGCCTTCGCACCCTCCGCTGACGAGGCCGCTGAGCTTCTGGAAATCTCTTTGAGAACCTTGTCATCTCCGTTTGCTTGCGACGTCTTAGCCTTGCGCTTGTTGAGTACTCGAGCCAATTCGACATTCTTGAGATATTCCGATTGCTCAGATTTCGAGCGAGCGATTTCGTTCCGCAATCGAGCCTGATGTGCTTGCTTTTCGTATGCTAGGTGTGAAGATCAGTTGTGGGTCTCGTCCAGGCGAGTAATCAAAAGCTCACCGACTTGTTCACCCAGCATCTCCCATTTGAAGCCACTGAGATACCTCATCGTCCAGATATCGTCTCGCCATCTGACCCATATGAGCGAGGACCCCAGCGGCAGAGAAGCGAGACCTCAGACTCACCGGTCGCCCTTCTTTCCTCCGATGACTTGAGCGTTGAGCATCTTCGCAACTGTCTTCGCTACCGCCTTGTCTAGGAACTCGACCCAGGCTTCGGAAAAGTTGGCTTGCACGTGAGTCTTCTTCTTCTTCTCATTGTGATGCGGATCGTATCCCGTTACGGCTGGTCTCGTTGTTCAGCACTGCTCGTGAGAGCGTAGCCGAGCAGCTCACCATCCTTGCGTTGCGCGTAAACTTTTCCTACATCGCCCCATTTCGCCATCAGATGCCTGACTTTTTGGGGCGTCATGCCTGGCGGCAGACGAGATATGTAGACTATCCCTGGAGTCGGTCGTTTGGATTTCTTCTTAGACTTGGACGAGGAAGGGCGTGATATTCCAGGTTGGTCCGGATGAGCATCTGAGGGTCCAGCCTCTCTGTTAGATGAGATCACATCCTCCCCATCAGACTCTACAACATCCTCTGCGCTCCTCTTGACCATTGTCACCGTTCGCTCAACGTATGAATATGGTTGGTTGGGTATAGCATCCCCCAAAAACTTTTCACGCAGTTCACTGGAATGCGACAACGGAATCAAATATTTTATATGGTGCATCGCTTGGAAAATGACGTCCAGGACTCAACACACATCAACAACCAATTCCATACCTGCATCTGCTAACAGGGTTGGGTGTTGACGACGAGCAGACGAGGGCGGACACAGGATCTTGAATACGACTTCACGACCCTTTGCAAGGACTCACGACCTCTGAGCGTTCTTTTCTGGATAACTGAGCCGTGCGACGCCGCCTCAAAAAAAGGGAGCTTCTCGCTCAACATGACTTCCCGACCTGAGCCGAGAAAGACGCTCTCATCTACATCCCTTGGGAGAATGTATCATGGTCCGAATGGATCCCTTGGGCCACCTGGTCCGGAGGAGATGAGCGATCCGAAATTGGACTTCTGCAACGCCTTTTGGGGCCAAGGAGATAAAGGATATGAGGTGTTGATGGCGCGGTTAAGAGGAGCAGGGAGGACAGTAGAAGAATTGAGGCAATTCTGGAAGGAAAGGTGGGTGAAGAGCTGGCCGAAGAGGAGGGCAGCTGACGATTCGCTGTAGAGCGGCCATCGAGGAGGACTACGCGAAGCGATTGACCAAGCTGTCAAAATCTGTCCTCGGAAAGGATGAGATTGGTGACTTGGCGGGATCATTACAACACATATTGAACGAGACGGAGGCTCAAGCTACATACCACCAATCACTGAGCACTGAAATACGGCAGACTGTGGAGCAGCCTACTGCCGAGTTTGGTCTGAGACTCGGAAATCTGAAGAGAGGTCTCCAAGCCAGTGTGGAGAAAGCCTACAAGAATAAGGGCCTGCAGGAAGGGCACTTGGCAAAGGTGATTATAGTCCTCCTACCCGAGACGAGCTCGCTGACTCGCTTCATTCCAGGCCAAGGAGCGCTATGAGTCCGACTGCTTGAAACTCAACTCCTATACCGCAAATTCATCCATGGTTCAAGGGCGAGAGTATGACAAGGTCCAATCCAAATTGGATCGAGTGCGGCAAACTATCGGATCGAACGAGCAAGAGTTCAAGCAGCTTGTCAAAGTGCTGGAGGGGACTCAGAGTCAATGGGAGAGCGAGTGGAAGGGCTTTTGTGATGTGAGTGTCAGGCTGTGTACAATTCGATCACGCTGACACCTGCGCAGCATGTTCAAGATCTGGAGGAAGATCGATTATCGCTCATCAAGGATATCGTCTGGGCTTATGCGAACGCAGTATCCCAGGTCTGCGTCGACGATGACAGTGTGAGTCAGGGTCATGGTATCATCCACACGCTGACAGGCCGTCAGTCCTGCGAGAGAATACGGGAAAAGCTCGAGCAATTTGAGCCACAGAACGATATGTTGTCGTTTGTGAGAGGATGGGGAACAGGTGACACGATCTCAGGTATGCCAACTCGTGTCTGGTATCTCGCACTCGCTAACATCTGTCAGATCCTCCTCGATTCATAAATTACGGCGCAGGCGAAACCTTTGCTTCTGGACCCACATTCCACCACGCCAACTTTCGTCGAATCTCCAGTCGGCCTCCCATGTCATCCACGTCTGCCACTGGCGGCCTGAATGCGACACACGATGCTCCTGCGATGAATGGAGACTCCAGCCGAGCCATACCCAACATTGGTGGTTTAAACATCTCGGAGCCTACTCCGTCACCCTCCATCGAGAAGAAGACGCCATTTGGAGGAGTCGCTTTACCAGGCATGGCGGCACCGAAACTGCCCAACTTTGCCCAGACCTCTGCTCCACCTCAAGTCGACAAGTCTATGCCTCCTCCGCCGGTTCCAAGCGCGTCAGAGATTCGCTCGCCTCCTCGTGCTGGCAATGCGACCCCCATTCACGATGATGACGATCCCATGGCGAAAGCTCTGGCTTCGCTGCGACGAGAACCTCCCCCTCCGGATAGCATAAGACGCAACCAATCGCATCGTCGCACCGATTCGCTGTATTCAAATACCGGCTCACAACGTGGAGGAGGAATCGCCAGCCAAGGTATCAAATCGCCTTCTTCTCCTGCTCCTGGACCTACAATAAGCGCCGGAGCCTTTACATCCTCGTCGCCGATGCCTGCTCAACCTTCATTCAGCCAGCCTCCACGTCAACCCTCGCCAGCGCCACAGAGGCAACCTTCCCCTGCGCCTCAGCGACAACCCTCCCCTCAACCTCAATATCAGCAACCCGCCCGCCAGCCTTCTCCTTCACCTCAGAGGCAGTACACGCACCAGACGCAGGACAGTCTGGCTTCTCATCGCTCTTTGGAGTCATCTTCCCTGATTCCTCCTGCTAGTGGTCATACAGCTGCGGCACTCGCCAAGTCGATGGACGACTTTCAGCGCCAGGCCTCTCGAGACAAATCTAGACAAAGTGTCAACTATTCCGGGTTTGCAGATGATATCGTCGGTGCTCATCCCTCTTCTCGGCCCGCCACACCAAGTGCTCCCGCACCTGTCAACAGGGCGCCTAGTCCCGCAATGATGCAAGCGCCTGTTCAGCCTGCTACGCATATAGCCGACGAGGTATTGTCGCAATATCACCAGGCGTTCCCTGGGGAGAGAAGTCGATCTCGTGCCAATTCCGCAGCTGGCTCTATCATTTCTTCAAGATCTCGTGCCAACTCTTTCACTTCGCAGGCTCCTCCTGCTCCTGTGCAGCAGCAACAAGCTCCACCAACATCCTCCCCATCCGTTCCCCGTGACGGCTTCGCAGGTATAGGCGCACGAGGTAGAAGTCCATCCCCTCAGCCTCCCCAGTTCAGGTCTCCGAGTCCGAGTCCAATCGCTCCTCAGGGATCTTTGGGTCCTCAGAACATTGGCATTACGCTCGACGAGCGGGGAGGTGTCGCGCATGATTCGATGGCCGAAGCGTACAGGCGACAATATGAGCAACAGCAAGCGCAGCAAAAAGCGGAACAAAGACAGTCTCAACCGCCTCCCTCCCAATCATATCAGCCGTTCGGTTATCAGCAATCACAGTACGGTCAGCAACAGCCTGCTCCGCCTGGCAACAGGCCCGTGTCGAGTTACGGAGGGTCTCAAGCAGGTTATGGGCAAGGGATGATGCAGTCGCCTCAACAGCAACAGCCACCACCTTCTCAGAGCTTCATGCAGAGTCCCACTCAACCCACATATCAGCCTCAACAACAGCCCCCTCCACAACCTCAACAGCAGTTTTATCCTTCGTACGGGTCTGTGCAGCAACCACCGCAGCAGCCGGTTTCCTCGCCTCCACCGCAACAGCCATTTCAGCAGCAACAGAATGGTTATCAGCAACAACCAGCTCATCAGTATGGTTATCAGCAGCAGCAGCAGCAGCAGCAGCAGCAGCAGCAACAGCCACCACCACCGCAGCAGCAGCAGGCTCAACAATACGGTCGCGGACCTTCCCCTGCGCCGCAAATCCAACAACAACCAGCAGGCTTCGGCTACGGACAACAACATCAGCCCGGTCGTTCGCCCAGTCCTCAACCCCAGCAAGCACCACCGAACCCCACGCCGACGGGACAATGGTCGACGACCGGTCAGCCAGTGTTGTTCTGTGAGCTTTTTGCGCAAAAGATTGTCATCTACTGACACGATTGACAGATGTCAAAGCCTTGTACGATTACTCTGCACAGTCACGTATGTCGACCGAATTCTTTTGGTGATCCTGCTGACCCTTTGGCTAGCTGCCGAGTTTGATTTCCAGGCTGGCGACATTATCGCGGTGACTTCGACGCCGGACGACGGGTGGTGGTCAGGTACGTGATGCCTTCCTCCTTGTTTGCCTAGAAGCTGAGCATCTCAGGTGAACTGCTCGACGAAGCGAGACGTATACCGGGACGTACTGACTTCCCGAGCAATTTGTGAGTCAGAGGTGTAGGTCATGACAAAGCTGATCGTGTTTCAGCGTCTGTCTGTTCTGATGGGAGAGAGAGAGAGAGAGAGAGAGAGAGAGAGAGAGAGAGAGAGAGAGAGAGAGAGAGAGAGAGAGAGAGAGAGAGAGAGAGAGAGAGAGAGAGAGAGAGAGAGAGACAGAGAGAGAGAGAGAGAGAGAGAGAGAGAGAGAGAGAGAGAAAGAGAGAAATGGTGGTGTTCTATGGGTTGATGAACTGGATAAGACAGGACGATGCAATGGACATGATGGAGTACGAGTTAATGAGCTGTAGAGGATCTATTCAGGAGAGAGAAAGATGAATCACGATGCATTCCAGAACCGAATCGTCAGAAAGTGGAGGTCGACCGAAATGATGCACTTCCCGTAGGTGACGAAGCATTCTTCGCGTTGTTCATCGTTGCGCTTTTCAATCGGGTACTAAGACATGGACATCAGGCCCTTACCTTACATAGATATTCAGGTGGGTGTTCCGTCATCTCAGAGGGTCTGAATTGACGAACCGTCCCGCAGCACGACGCACTGTCTGTGTTTGACGACGTTGAGCAGGGCGTTGTTGGATCAGAGGATATTTGGGTATCGGGAGTGAGGATAGAGGGCGTAGCGAGGTGAAACAGCTGCTGATGGGTTTATGACAGTACAAAGCTGGGTCGTCGTCTGTTCATGGACGAGCTAGAGTTGTACCGAGGGAAGGAGGCGGTACGGAAATACGAGCTCGAGATGGTGTAGAGATCAAGAGGTTGTCCAAGGTGAGCGGGCGTTTCTTCACGCGATCTGTCACTTCTTGCGTCTCTCGCTGAAGACATTTAGACTCACTTTGAGGTTTCGATACCGGCCCTGCATCTCGACAGGATACCTGTCAAATTCCCTCGAGCAGTGATTCATCCACCATATACAAAGGCTAGCAAGCTTTCGGCGAGTTCAGAGTCTGCGACCCCTTCACTAGGCTTATTGGCCGTCTCCTAGCCACCACTCCAGGTCAATTCGATAGCTTTATCACCGAATGGCTCTCATCTCCTCGTCGGCGGACCAGATGGGTACTGCGGAGTCATACCTGTTGGACCTGGCGCCAACGCTCAGGATATGATCCAGTTCAAAGGTCACGTAGGGGATGTGCTGGATGTTCATTGGTTTCCTAGCGGGGAGGTGGGCAATCCACTTGTGTGAACAAATCATGATCCTGAGGCGTCCTTTAGGTCTGCTTGACGACTGGGTCGGACTTGTCTATTCGCATATGGGGCTCAAAAGACGGGATAAACCCACGCACATTAACTGGTCACTCTCGAGCCGTCACAAGCCTTTATATCGTTGGCGTAGGCAAACAAATACTATCAGGTAGCAAAGACGGAACGGTCCGACTGTGGGAAGTTGGTGCATCCACGCAGCTGAAAAGATGGAATCTGGATCACATTCGACCCGTTGAAGCTGTACTGGTGATTGAAGATGATCACGGCAAGGCGGTACTTGGTGCTCAAGAGGAAGAACGACTCGTGTTGGTGCTCACTCAAGTCGGCATGGAAATTTGGAATTGGTCAACTCCCTCTTCTGGCTCACCGCGACAATCTTTGGAATGGCAGCTAGGATCCAATCTCGTTTGCGGAGCGTATTGTCCATCCCTTGGTATACTAGTCACGGGTCACACGAACGGTGTGATTGCCGTGAGGCGGCTCGAAACCCTGGACAAACCGACATTGTTCAGGCGTAATGAGAGTCCCGTCTACTCCTTGGCCTTCAAGGATACTGCCCTGTACGCAGGCACTGCTGCAGGACTTCCGTGTCGGCTAGAAGTGAGTCTAAAAGAGGGCGATCAGATCAGTCTAGAGGTCAAGGAGGAATTTGCAGGTTGGGAAGCGGTCGGAGTGGAAAGCTGGACTATAGGTCAGGATTCCATGTGGTGTGCAGGTGGAGAAGGAGGCATCAGACGGTACTAGAGGCTAGGCTAGTGGATGGTTGGTACACTGAGTGTGCATATACAAAGGTGAAATCCAAAAAACGAAAGTGGTGAGAAGGGTATCACCAAGCTGCGCTCCTGTCATCTACCAGCTATCATATCGTCTCGTTTGTCGAAGGCTGAAAGAAGTCAGCGAATCTCCTGTGCGTTCCAGGCCAGCTCACGATTGTACTGTAGAAGCTTTTCGATCAAGTCGACTAGTCGCGTTTCAGCATAGTCCCCCGATAATCTGTTCAAGAAAGCTACACACCATGTGTCATGACCATCCTCCGACAGCAATACCGTTTTCTAAGGAATCATGATCAGTCTTCGATCACTTGACCTCGAGCAGATCATTGGATCTCACAATCCCAGCTTATCCATAGCCTCGCTGAATCAATTCATCAGCATACTGAATGTCTTTCCTATCTCGAGACTCGGACGAAGGACCTACCCCTCATTCACGCCTGCACCTAATAACTCGACATAGCTCTCCCATAGGTTACCAACGACTTTGCCACATGAGAAGCAACGGACAGGAATGATCTTAGGAAGGTCCATATCAGCCTTCTCCCCACATCTCTCTTGACTATGCTGTCTCGCTCTACTCACCATCCTGATCCAAGTCCGCTGTGATCTGCTCGATGCTATCGATGGGCTGCTTGGCCGTATGCAACTCGACTGAAATCTTTGCTAGGCATCACCACGTGGATCCGGTTTGCCACGTCATGTCATCTCCTTCTTTGATAACGCCATTCGCGACTTCTATTTGTTTTCCCCCGTTTTGCCATACTGTCATGTTGAACCATTCACAACTGTTGGGACGTCTGATCAGCTACCGGTTCTAAAAGGCGAAGAAGGGATCAGGGGCAGCTGATACCTCAGCTTCGTTGGAGATAATGTCTTCGAGGACAACAAGGACAGCTGTCACGCGCTCGAGAGCTGGACAGTCAAACACTACAAAGTCAGGATCATCTACGTCGAAACCTGGCCAGCCGAGCACGGGTACAGCACCTGCGTCAACAACAACGACGACCGGTCGCGTCATCGTGAGAAAGCCAACTGCGGCCAAGTCCAAAGCGGTGGCATCAGCGGCCGGTGAAGAGTCCGAGCAGCTGGCAAAGGAGCTCGACAGAGTTCTGAAAGTCACTCAACCGAAAGCTGGTCCTTCAACTCGAGCTGCATCGTCCTCCACGACCAAGACCGCTGCGCTCAAAGCGACGACGACTAAGCCCCTTGCAAGGACTACAAGAGTCAAAAGTGTGGTCGATAAGGGCAAGTGCAAGGCTAAGGATGAGGTCACTCCCCCGGAATGGGAGACTGCTTTGCCATGGATCACCGCAGGTGACATGAAAACTTCGGACAGGGCTCGAGCGGCCATGTCAGCCATCAACGCGTCTATGAAAGTTTTATCATCTGCTGTCGCGTCAGTGTCCAAGGGCTCAGGCGACGACGGAAACACAGCCGAGACCCAGAAGGAGATCAGGATATCAGAACTGGCTCTTCAGGCTTTACGAGAGATAGAGAGTGAAGGCAAGCTGGAAGGGAAGGCGTCGGAGATCGAACGGGCCGCGCAGGGACTCATTGCTAGATTACTATCGCTCAAGATGGTAAGAATATCTTTTGCGAGCGGAATCCACAGTCACTCTAACGCTTCTTCGTCCAGTATGACCGAGCTTTGGAACAACTTGAAATGGCCCACTCAATCATTCAGAGACAAATTTCTCACCGGAAGGGCGAAGCAAGCTCGTCATCCTGTGCGAGAAGCGAGAAAGATCATCTGCACTTGTTGCCGTTGGCCAATCTGGACGATACGGCAACAGAAGCTTGGAGGATCATTTCGTTCCAGTGTATCATTCATTCTTGGACGGCGATGCTCGCATCGAGTATCTTGAAGCCTGAAGTGAGCTAGCGAGAGCGTCGTGGTCATAGTAACTCAAACGTCTCTCCAGATGGTGATTGACTCGTTCCCCTTACCTTCATCCGCCACAGACTCCTCTTCGGTGGAACATCCTTTCCGGCTCGCTTTATCTCTCCCTCTCACCTCCGTTCAACCCACACTCAGTCTGCTTCACCGACAGCTCGTCAATATCGTCACAACCGACCCGATCATTTGGCTTCATTCTCGTATATTGGCCGTGCATTGTCTAGCTATACTGGCCTCGACTGGGTCTGATGCAAAGGTAACACCTCTGCAAGTGTGGGATCACGCCTCGAAGACCGCTTCAAATATCGTGGACAAAGCCAAAGCCGATGCCAAACTTCTCAAGACAGTGACGACTAGACTTGGTGACCTGGCTGATTGGATCGAATATGCCGTCAAGATGCGAAACGGCGATCTCGCGGAATGGACAAGCTGCTCAGAGTGGACACGGTTCGCCGATTACTGGATGGGCCTGGCGAGAAAGGTACATTGGACGTCACGAACTTATGCTAATCTCGCATAGGCCGATGATATGTCTATGATAGACCGGGTGCTCGCCCTCATGACTCGAGGCGTCACGATCTCGCCCAGGACTCCAGCGAAATCAGCGAAATCAGCAAACCCGACACCGATATCTACACCTCAGGTCATTCCGTCAATGAGCAAGAAATGTGCAGAGGATGTTGAGGCGCAAGTGACATCGTGTAACGCTGGTTTGTCGAAACTTGACGCCGTACAGAGGAAATATCAAGGTGAGCCCTTGTCTGCTAGGACTTCAGCTGATTTCTAAGATGATAATTCTGAACTGGACGGCGCCGCTCTGGAAAGCGCATTCGTTTCCTCGAATTTGACACTGCTATCAGACTTGTTCCAAGGGATGGAGCCTGGTCCGAAGGCGTCTCAACTGCTCAGCCGAACTTCCCGCGCGGTCGAGCGTGTCAGGAGAGGAGCTCTGAAGATCGTGCCGAAGACAAGTGGGAAGGCTGTCGATGAGACATCGTTGCATACTTCAGCGAGGCAATGGCTGATCAATGCCATCGATCTCGTCGAGGATGTGATGCCCATGGCTACTGTAAGCACTTCTTCCTCGGCTTGCACTGAGACTGCAGGATTCTTCAGAGACCACTCATGAGTTGCTCATGGGCGCTATAGACAGTCTTAACTTTTTGTCGACAAACCCTGCTGCGTCCTCTAATCCGTCGATCGCTCATCTGAGTCGGGCCTATCGTCTGGCTTCTCTGGAGTCGTCTTGTATTGCACCCGCTATACGGGCTCACCTCCTACACTGCATCACAGTCACGGCTCATAACATCGCTGCCCAACATTGGAGATCTGATAACTTCAAGGAATCTTTGACTCTCGGCATCATGGCCTGTGACTGGTCTAAAGAGAGTCTAACTCTGTACGGAGAATCAAAGATCCCTCTGAGCGACACGGACGAAAAGGCGGTCTCATCTTTGAGAAATGGCCTACTGAAACGTTACGAACTTGTAGGGGCTTGTCATCAAAGGCTCTCCAATCGAAAGGTGAGCGCAGCCGATCATCGGCACCGTATCCCACTCACCCTTCGCAGGCAGCTGCAGACGCCTACTCACAAGCTCTGGCAGTGCCAGCGCCCACGTTCGTCGAGCAGATCGAGCAGCGCGTCAACGAATGCTCCCTGGCTCAAGTCTTTCCTACCCCCAGTGACTACTCTACGCTCATCTCTAGACTGCACGCGGTCATCGCTGGTGACCCGGACGCATGTAGGGATATGCCAGGCAATCTGATCAACTTGATGAGGTCGGAGGGACTGAGCGAGGCGTATGTTGGAGCAGCCGCGGAAAGACTTTTCATTCTCCTGTCGAAGAGTGGCTCAGATGATCTGGAGACTTTGACTCAAATCGTCTTTCAGCTTGGAGATCAGGTCTTGGACATTTATAAAGAGACTGAATACCCCCTCAGAAGATTGAGGTGAGCTGCCGCTGGCAAGACTGATATGGACGCTCACGATCATCAGGGTGTCAATTCAGATCATGACGCTCATCGCGCGGACTGGTCAAAGACTGAGCGATTTTGACAAACTTGCCAAAGCCGCTGAGGGCACCTTGTGCTTGGAAGTGAGTACCCTTGCCAACCAATTTCTGACCTTTCGCAGAGCCTGGGCAAGGACACGCTTCTTCGACCTATGTTACCTAGCCTTCTGTCCATGCTGGGTGTCGTCCGGGCCCTTCACACGTATCATACGCTCCCCGATCCGACCACTGTAGTCCTGGATCTCGCCCGAGAGGCAATGTCAAAACTTCGAGCTCTGATACTTCCTCCTACCCAGTCTCCGAAAAAGGCACCGACAGTCAAACGGCCTCTCGGACGAGCGGTCACTACAACTCGAACGGCTGCCCCTGCCAGAGCGAAGGCCTCGACGACTTCGCGAACTGCCTCAGCCAGCAAACTGGCAGATGCAAAGATCCAGACCGAAGCTGCCGCCGCTGCCTCAAACACTAAGCCTCGAATGAGTGGATCACTGCCCGCGATACTGGATGATGCGCCGACTCTTGCTCGTCTACTCGGATCTTTATGCTCACTTTTAGGTCTACTGGGCTTGACGCTCCAGAGAATCGAGTGCCTCAAATTGCTGCGCGCCCTCATGCGTGGTCGTGAGGAAGTCATTGGCGAATACGTGCTACGGTCTGCGGAACTCGGAACAGAGTATCTTCACCTCGGCAAGACGACTCGAGCGGGAGCTGTCTTCATACAGGCCATCCGGTGTATCGACGATTCTAAAAAGGCTGTTTCTCCTCATGTTCGATCCGAGTTACTATTACGTTATTGTACATTCTTGGCGACGTCTGGACAGGTTCAAGATGCTATGGAAGCCTACGAAAGGGCCATGGAGCTGGACAAGACGTTAGACAATGTTCAACGCGATAGCTTGGCTGATCGACAAGCTGCTGCCGTTGCAACGAAGGACAGAATGGTCTTGGCTAGATATGCCGCTGCTGCCGTTGCGCGCGCTCAGGTGAGTGCATGCTTTCGCAATGGTGATAAATCGGACTGATATACCTCACAGGGAGATATGACGGGCGTGGTCATGCACCTTGAAACGGCTCTTCGACTCCGCTCCAGAATTTGTCAAGCGGCGTGCAAGTTTGCCTCTGATCAACCGGTCGAAAGCCTCAATGAGACAGCAGCGAAACCTGCCGACGATCCATTCACTGTGCCCGCCGCAACCAAAGCCGTATTACCAGATCAGCAGCCTGCAAAGGATGCAACAGTGAAATCGACGTGGGAGAGCGAAGCGCTGAGTCGCAAGATCCTCAATGGTCTGCAATGGCGAGCTGCAGAGGTGAGTCCATTGTGAGGGTGTTCACGGGACGCTGAAAAAGCCATACAGATGCTCGTGACTACGGGCTTGGACTATGCAGAGGCCCTTGCTCTGCGAGGGTCGGTTTACGAGTCGACTGGCGTGCTCATGTCTACTGCGGCCGTCGCGAAGGCCGTCAAATCTCCTCTGATCATGTTACGGGTCTCTATCCGGCAAGCTGAATTGTTGTATCGTTCCGGAAAATACGATCTGGCCGAAACAAAGCTAGAGTCGGCGGTAGAAGGCTGCCCTACGGTGAGCTTGTCGGAACGACCTGAGACGATGGACCTGATCAACTTTACCAGGCTGAAGGACTCGACGGGGTCGATATCAAGCGAGTTCGAGGAGACATGCTTGCGAAACTTGAAATGATTCACGAAGCTGGTGAAGCTTTCACCGTTGCTTCGAAGCAAGCTCAGGGTCTAGATTCAATGTTTAATGCTGCCGAGGCGCTATTACCGTCGCCCATGAAGAGTCGCTTATCTGGCTCAACTGGGGCAGCCAGAGCGTCTCTCAACGGATCCGTATCGAAGCGAGAGCCATTGTTGCCGTTGACTCTGGCACACGTGCTTCGCCGTCAAGGTGAGGAAGGGAGCGTGAAAACCTGCTGACCGTCTTCTAGCCTGGATCCTACGTGAAGAAGGGCAGATCGACGCCAGCGATAAAGTACTCGCTCAGCTGGACAGCCTGTGCCGAATAGGTCAAATCCAAGCCGAGAAATACCACCTTGACGGACGGATCGGCTTGCTCGACGCCTTTGGCCATTTCAAGGCTGACCTATGGATGAGCTCATTGACCGAATCAACCATTGCCATGCCGATGGGATCGTCGAAAGGCCGAATGCGGGATCGACAATCAACTCGAGATTCCATTCAGATCATCCTTGAACGGTCTCAGGATGCGTATTTGAGGGCACTGGAAATGTCCGCTGCGAGCGGTAGAGTGGAGGAAGTGAGGTCGGCTTGTTTGTCATTGGCCCTACTTCGGGCATTTCAGACGTCTTTGGGTCAAGGATCGGAGATCATCACGGCTGCTGCGGCGGAAATGCTTGGTGAGGGACATGGTCGCTGCCCCGCCCATTCAGGGTGCTAATGATCTGTCTAGCTTCGACGCCTGCTATCACGCTTCATCGCGAGTTGCTGGAAAAGATTGAACATAAGCTGGCGGATGGACCGTTGGACGATACCAAGTGGCCCGTGTTGAAGAGAGCAGTGACGATGGATCACCCCACATCAGTGGCCGACTCCTCCACGCCTGTCAAGGGCGCTGAAAATATCGACGAGGCGTGCCTTGTCCTCTCCTCCTCACCCAAACAAACAGACAGAGACAGTGCCTATCGGGAATACTGGAAATCCGTCCGAGCGCGATATAGGGCAAGTTTTCTGCAAGTGGACCAAGAACAAGTCGATTCATTGCCTGCCGAATGGGTCATTGTCACTATCAACGTCACTGAGGACAAAAATACAATGTTCATCTCTCGACATCAGAGAGACCGAGAACCATTGGTATTTACCCTTCCGTTAGATCGTCAAGGCAGACGGGACGGAGAAGCGGAAGAGGACCTGTTCACATTTGATGCGGCGAAGGAACAGATGAAGAGGATTATAGACGAGAGCAACGACGGTGAGTCTGAGCGAGCGAGTGAAGCGAGGGGAGTGGAGGTGCGGAGGCCAAACTTGGCGAGGCGAAGTGTCAAAACTCGAAGCGCAGTCAGAAGATTGAATCAGAGGGTGTTGATGTCAGGATTCTGACTGACGTTCGTGACCTCTCTCAGGGGCTCGAAACGCCAAACACGTCACGAGTCAAGCTGGGAAGACTGCCTGGTGGGAGAAGCGATACTCCCTCGACAAGCAGCTTAAAGAGTTGGTTGCGAACTTGGAATTCTGCTGGTTGGGAGCGTTCAAGGTGAGCAGCAAGCAGGGTCAAAAAAGCATCGATATTCGCTGACAGGGTCCTTAGACTATCCTGAGCCCTCGGCCTGCTCTATCTCAATCTGCACTCGAAACGTTTGGCGCCAGATTGGAGCGAATATTCCACTCCGCCATCGCTGGCGGGGCCAGAGCTTCTGATGTCAAGACGAGGGTTCAGCTGGACACCCCACTGTTGGAGTGCTTTGCAGCGTTGTCTTCGAAGTGTAGGGATGAAGAGGCAGAAGATCTGGTCTATTTCATCCTTGACGTGTACCAGTTCCATGGAGTTCCCGTTGCGCTCGCAGAGCTTGATATTGACCTGGTGAGAGGCGTCACTGGCTGAGATGTTTGTGCTAATGTGTAGATCGGTATTGATCTGAGATCCGCTCTCGCCGAGCTGGAGGCTTCTCGACCTTCGTCACCTCAGCCTAGCGAGACTGTGTTTCTCGCACTTGACAAAAACGTCTCTTGTTTCCCATGGGAATCCATACCGATCTTGAGAGGTCGGAACGCCAGTCGCGTCCCTTCGTTGCCTTTCCTCCTGCACCAGTGGTCTATGCGGGATCTCATCTATCCCCTTGCATCGGAACAGGGGAAAATCTTGGTGGATTCGAAAAAGGTCTTTTACATTCTCAACCCGAGTGGTGATTTATCGCGCACGCAGACTCATTTCGAACCTTGGATTCAGAGTATGGAGAAGCAAGCGGGATGGAAAGGCATCATGGGTCGTCCGCCGACGGAATTGGAGCTCGAGGCTGTGTTGAAGGAGTATGACCTGGTGTTGTGAGTGCACTCGATGGATGGATGGATGGATGGCTGGATGGATGGACGAGGGAGGTAGGCACTAATGCTCTCTGGCAGGTACTTTGGACACGGCGGAGCTGAACAATACATTCACTCTCATCGCGTCTCCAAATTGACGCGTTGTGCCACCACGATGCTGTGGGGTTGTTCGTCTGGCGCTTTGGTTGATCAGGGTGACTTTGATGTGCGAGGGACTGCCTGGAGCTACATGATGGCGGGATGGTGAGTTGGAAATTAGCTCACAGCACAGACTGGAAGAAAAAGTTGCTGATGAGGGACGCGACGCAGCCCCGCCCTTGTAGGGACACTATGGGACGTGACGGACAGGGACATTGATCGATTGTCTGAATCTGTCTTTAGCAAACTCCACCTCGACCCGAGTCACGTGTCGTCGTCGACGACGGCGGCAACCACCATGCTCCCGATCTCAGCGGTATCCTTGCCCGAAGCAGTGGCCAAGAGTCGAGATGAGTGCAAGTTGACCTATCTGACTGGAGCTGCACCTGTGGTCTATGGTTTACCCATTTGGATGTAGATATATTGTTTTATGCTTATTTTTTGGGGAAAGTGTACGTAATAATTTCCATTTTCGTCCTGGTCGAGGTGATCATCCGGCGGGGTGGTTCTCAACATGTCTTGGGTGAATGGCATGAGCAGCAGCAGCAGCATGGATGTATAGAAGGAGGACAGGAGGTATGCATTTGGGGGTTGGCATGAGACGCAGGCGTTGAGGAGATGAATGGCGTCTGAGGGATGAGATGAGATGAGAAGTCACCGAGAGTATCTTTTGATCCAGCTCGCCATTTCGGCTTTAGCATTTTGAACGGGGGGGAGAAGAACCTGTTCGGATCTGCTTCCCATGTTGGATAGACTCTGTTTGAGAGAGAGAGAGAGAGAGAGAGAGAGAGAGCGGCGAGCGTGCCGGTACACCCTTTATTATTAGTAGTCACCGTGACAGACCCATCTCTCATAACAGTCGAAGCCGCCGCCGCCTCCTGAGTGTGTGGTACGAGTTTTTCCTTCTTAACCCCATACATACCAAACGACGATCACTCAGGCGACTTGCGTCCAGAGGGGGGGGCAACCATACGCTCATCATCAAGCTAGCTCGTCGATGCAGCCGTAGCGTCATCCATCCATCCATAGCAGGTGTGAGTGCTATTAGCTGCTTGCTTGCCCCGAACGATTTGTATTCAGGCACGCGTCGACACTTTTTGTGGTGAAAATTCCCCCTCCCCTGGCTGACTTCATTTCCATGTTCAGACTCCATCCATCCCTTCTCTCCCATTTCATCGTCGTCCACCACCACCACCACCACCATTCAACACACCATGACATCCCCCTCGAGCACTCGTCACAGCTCAATCTCCCCTTCTCCTTCTCCTACCCCATCTCAACATACATCCTCAAGCTCGACGAACCAGAGCAGCACTACCATCTCCATTTTGGTCGTGTTGCCCACTCCGGAATCTATTCAACAACACACATCTGTATCCTCCTCCTCATCCTGCGAACTCAACAACAACAGTAGTACAGGACCATCTGTCCCTTCTGCTCCTATTCCCAGTCCGTTGACATCACGTCAAAGTGCGAGCAGAGTACCCACCCTGAAAAATACTGCGACGACACTTCTGGAAAGTCATACGAATGATCCATCAGCAGGGTCTGGGCGAGCCGTCAATGGCAGTAGTAATAGCAGCGGCGGTGGCGCCGGGGGTGGGGGCATCACTGATGTGGTCAATGCGGGCAGAAGATTATCTCTAGCGCCTGGATTAGGAGGAGGTGGACCTCATCGTTATCGACCCACTACGTCTCATCAACCGTCACCTAGGATCGAGCCCAATTCAGATTTTTTCGAACCGAGATCAGAAGGAAATACACCGTTCCTAGGTGGAAATCCGAATGGATCCATGACCTCCCACCCCCCCACTCCCATCGTCCATGAATCACCCGATGTTGTTCCCGTTCCAGCATTCGGCAGTCGATCAGGCGGGCCCGCCGCCCACGGATCAAACGGGATAAGTCATGGCAGTGGACCAGGATCATCCAGTCGAAGAAGACCCATGACAGCTGCTGCACCTACCATTGTCAATCGATCATCACTCGTCGTGCCTAGTGCCGTCCTCGGTGGACCTGGAAGGATGGGCGGAGCTGGAAAAACGAGACAAGGATGGGAAGGGGATCAAATCGTCGAAGTGCTCAGAGCGAGCTCTCAAGAAGGTGAGTTATTGTGTCCTCTCGATCGTCCTGTCCCCCATCCATCTCGATCTTCACCGTGGACGACGTGATCAAAAGATCAGGTCCAATCCAAAGGAACCTCTCAATGTTCATTGCCCCTGGGGAGACCATCAGGACTCCCCCTTGTCCAAACATCACTTTCACTCTTCCGACCCCTCTCACTCCCCCGCTTCTAACCATCTATCATCCTCTCGTGGTCACTCCATCTTTCATCTCTCATCTCTCATCATCATTATTTCCTTGCTCTTCTTCAATATCAACAGTCTCACCCCTTCGTTCACCTCCTTTCATTCCTTTCTCGTCGTCGTGTTGCCCCTCCTTTCAGTCATTCTAGGCTAACATTTTGTCCCGTCTCTCCATCCGATCGCATCCCATCCCATCCTACAGTCACCGTCGTTCGCAATATTAGTCAAGTCTCTTGCATCCTCACTCCCTCCTCCGGAGGCATACCGACGTATTCTACATTCAGCACACAGACTCTCACTGCCGCTCGATCTTCCTCCGTCACGCCCGTCATCCTTGTTCCGCTGTGCGATCAGCCCACACTCCCATCCCTCTCTCTTCTCTTACAACAAGGTACAACACCTTCTGCTGTATGCTTTCAACAGGATCTCCTTGAGCGAGCTCGTCAAGCTGAGCAGACTTGGCTTCCCACCGCATTGAATCGAGTTCAAGCAGCCATCAGAATAAGGGATGAGGTAAATCGTCTGAACGTCGATCCCAATCGCAAGAAACCATCCAACACGGACACTCCCATCATCTTGGCCTACTCAGCCAACCCGGCCTTGTCCCATCAAACCATCGCGGCGTGTGTCTCTGCTGGCTGCTCGGGTGTCCTGAAGCCGCCATACGATTTCCAAACTGCCAGAATGGTCCGACGAATGGTTCGTGCAGCGAAAGAAGGCCGCATCTCCTCCGTGGTCGGTCTGCCCAATCGCACTGGCGATCTCTCATCACCTACAGGAGATGACGAAGATGATCCTATCAGTAGAGTCATTCTCCCGCCAACCGCATTGAGCATGGGCGGCGAGCATGCCGGTGAGATCGTTCTCTCTGGTCTCATCAGGCATAATTCGCTACGCAATTCGGGTGCGACACCTCACGACAGTCGAAATGGCTCGCCTTTGTCCAACTCTAGAAACGCGAATCAGCAGATTCCACCGCGGAAGAACAGTCTGGGGCGACCATCCCCACTGGATCCGAAAAATAAACGCGATTCGCAATCGAATATTCGGTCCACACTATCCACATCGAACTCTTCAAAAAGTATCGCTACACCCACTTCGACCGCTGCTCATTCTCACAGCCTCTCTGATAACCTTGCACGACCGCACGATGGTCGACGACGAAGTGTCGATGTGTCAGGCTTGGAGTTTGCCCTTCGACGAGCTCAAAAGGCATTTGAGCAGAACAAACGCCCTCCATCTAAAGCTCGATCAAGGTTCTCCGCTTCCAAACCGTTACCGACGATATTCACTCCTGACGACGAAGGGCCTCTGGGCGAGAAGATGGACATGGACGAGCCAGAGTCCGGAATCGTCTCGACACTCGCTGTCGATCCACCGGAGACCAAGGAGACAGAGCTGGCAGAGCTCTTGAGCTCGATGTATCTCCAAACGCAGATGGCCATACGTGTGCAGGTCGGCGATGACGACTACGCCAGGTGAGCAAATCTGCGGCAGTCTAAACTCACTTCCAGATTGTCTGAACCTCTCTCGCCGGATCGTCGACGAGCCCTGGTCGACGCGGTGGCAAGCTGGAACTTCAAACCACACGGTTTGAGTGACGGCGATTTGTACCGTGTGGCGTGTCTCCTCTTCGAGGTCGTCGTCCACTCTGAAGCTTTGGTCGGGCTCGATCTAAAGCGAGGTGAGTGTTGTTTCGTCGTTGTGGATCCTCGCTTAACCCTCACCACAGACCAGATCAACCGGTTCCTATTTGCTATTCGGGCAATTTATCACGCTCCGAACCCATATCATAACTATATCCACGCGATCGATGTCCTTCAAGCGACTTATATCTACCTTGTCCAGCTGGAGCTCGTTCCACCATTCGAGCATATCCGATCATGGACTCCATCGACGCCAGCTTGGAAAAGACCCCCAATTCGATCGGATCTCAGGCCGGGATCTCTCCGAGCGCGAGAAGTCATTCGACCTCAAGATGTGCTGGCGATTATGATTGCAGCTGTCGGACATGATATTGGTCATCCGGGATTGAGTAACGCCTTCATGGTGAGTCGGTCTCATCGTGCTCATCGGACCGAGTCACATGGCTTACCCGTGCCCACTTAGAAAAACGCTCAGACACCTCTGTGTGTCGTATACGACGACAAATCTGTGCTTGAAAATATGCACTGTGTCTTGGTCGTTCAATTGCTACGCAAACATGGCTTCGGGTTCCTACTGGATCCCCGACACGCCTCTGAAGGCACCTACCCGAACCCTCATCGTGCGGCGCTCGACGCTAGGAGTTTTAAGCGTGTCCTGTACTCTGCCATCTTGGCAACCGACATGTCGCTGCATTTCACATGGGTACAAGGGTTTCAAGAGCTGAGGACGACCCTGGAGCACCGTGCGTGGGCTGGACTCGAGGCAGATCCCAGCAGGGACGAAGAGGAACGGATCATCCTTGCTCAGTCGTTCCTGAAATGCGCTGATATCAGTAATCCTGTGAGTCCATAGAGTCATATCAGACGAGATTTCAGCTCAGACTTTTTCAGACGCGCCCCATCGATGTCTCTGAGTATTGGTCCTCTGCTCTTTTGCGAGAATGGGCTATTCAAGCATCTCTCGAGGTTGATCTAGAATTGCCAGTCTCCGTCATTGCGTCTGCAGATGTAGCTCTGCAAGCAAAGGGACAAATCGGGTTCATCGATCTGTTCACTCAGCCGTTATTCGATACGGTCGCGGAGCTTCTGCCAGGTGAGTAGACTTTCGACCCATCGGTGGACCAAACCTGATGCATCCACAGAATTCCGACGTTATGCCAAATGGTGCTCTGAGAATCGTTATGTCTGGGAACAACGATTGGACGATGCTCGCGCTCAAGATCCTGTCCTGGTCCAACCGCTACTATACGACGCATCGCAAAACAAACGATTTGCAACCCTCTTCCCAATGTCCCTCCCTACCACTCTTGTATCTCAGATGCAATCCGCTATCGGGTCCAGCGATTCCGCCACCGATCTCCTCTCGGCCCTATCTGTCCGACCTCCCGAGGCTCCAATTTTCTCCAAGAACCCTCAATCTGAGCTGGCAGCAAGGGCAATGAGGGCAGTCTATCATTCCGATTTGAGTAGCCGACCAGCCGCGCCTGGCCGAGTGGCGAGCTTTGGTAGAGGGACACCTGGTCCAGGTTCAGTATTGGAAATGGAAACGTATCTGGAGGGTAGAAGGTCGTCCAATCCGGACATCCTGCCGAGTCATTTGAACGAGGGAGTGAGGACATCTTAGGGCTAGGATGAGGTGTAGGTTGGGCGAAACGGGTGGGAAGCGCAAGGAGAGCGGATCGTGAGCGAAGATGGGGACAATGGGAATCATTGGCATAGATTTTTTTCGTTAACATGTTGTAACACTTCTCTTGTGAGCATTTGATCTTTCTTCTCTTTCCAGGGTAAGGGCGCCTCTGCCATGTACATGTATGTATATTGGGTATTCGTGGTATGTCAGATTGGATGACCACATTGCCCTTTGGCTGTCGCCGGTATCGACCCACGGCCATTCAACGTGATATTGGTCCGGACTAGACTGCACTATGCATGCGCGCTTCTGGAGAAACTCACTCTACGTCGCGCCATCGACCTCCATAGCATCTCTCTCCGGCGTATCCTCTCTATCCCTCTCGAGTCCATCCCCTCCTTCAGACTGCGAGCCATCTCCTTCCCCATAATCCTCCTCCTCCTCCTCCTCCCCATCCTCGTCTTCGTCATCATCGCGTGATGCCGAAAAGACCTCTTTCCCTAACCTTGAGCTTCTTGGTGTCCCGCGTTCAGCCGGATGACGCCTACGTGGAGAAGCGGTCGTACCACGGCGTGAAGGAGTAAGTGGCGATGGGAGGGATGAGACTTTACTTGAAGACGATGGCACGGGGGCGGAGGCCGGTTGAGCGTTGAGAGAAGATGATGGAGGTAAGCCTGAGGGCATTTCGGACTTGGCTCGAGATAGCGGTGAGGGGTTCAAGTGATTACATCGAGGGCATATCCATTCTGAGGGCGGCGGGGCGAAAGGCGTACGTGTCAGCGCTGAAATCTGACCAGAGTTTTTCACAGTATAGGCCAACTCACGCATTCGCTCCCACTCATACTTGCTCCCCACTAGTCCATTATGTCTGAAACACTCGCCACATACGAGCGCGTACTTGCTCTGAGCTCCTTGCGCTAAAAAGCCGATATAAGCGAAAGTGATTGGGTCACGGTGCCTCGACTTGTACTCACCAGGGTCTTCACCCAAGATGGAATCGACGACTCGGTCGTACCATCGTTTCTCTGGGGTCGGAAGGACAGGCTGAATAGCTTGCATCTGTAGTGAAAGAGCCGTAGCTTGATCCGGAGTCAATCCATCAGGAATAGGTACTGGCGTCCCGGGTACTTGTCCTGAATGAAGCGGGGTCTTTAATCATTTTTTCTCCCCCAACTGACCTGATCGTAGTGGAGAGACTCACTCATGGGAGTTCCGCCGGCGCCGGTCAAATGGCCAGGAGCACGAGGTGTTCCGGGCTGCTGGCCGGCAGGACCTCTTTGTCCATCGATACCCTTACTACCCTTCCGTATCGGTGTATTTGGCTGACTGGGTGGACCTGTACCGAATTGCGAATGAGCAGGGGAGGGAGGTGCAGAATCGTCGTATCGTTCAATGAGCTTTCGCGTAGAGTCGTAATTAGTCGCTTTCTTGATATCTTCCAAATGTTTACGCTGCTTCGTGAGAAGATCTCGAAGGCGAGATTCTGAGCTCAAAGGTCAGCACTGCGGTGCAGACAGAGTGTTGTTCTCATTATCATAGGACCTCGGCTCACCGGATGAGTTCCGTTGTCTCGCAAAGACGAAATGGAGGGCTCGATTGAGTGCCCAAAGTCTAGGTGAAATTTCCTCCGATTTAGCCAGAATACCAGGCATCATCCTGAGTGCAAGTCCGAAAACCCACAAGAATGGTCCCGCTGCGATGCCTCCTATTCCTATAGCCTTGCCTTCCACACCTGCCCTATCAATCCCGACCAAACCCATCGGTATAGCTTTGAGGTACCATAACCCGACCCATATAGCCCATAATAAGACGCCATAAGCATTCACCAGCAAGCTCCATCGTCTTTCTCGTAATCTGATCTCTGAGAGATGAAGTTTTGAGTCTTCAATCTCGCCACTCAGTCGAGAGAGCAGGGTTTCATAGTCTGGCGCAGAGGACTGAAGAGAGAGAGAGAGAGAGAGAGATTGTGAAGGTCAGTGGTGAATCTGCATGACTTGACCCTTCACTCACCTTTCTAAACCATGAAAATAGACCCATGGTCCAGTTCCAAATCTCGCTTTCAAGAGGTCGTCGCTGTCCTCGCTGTACAGTCAAGCGTGAGTTACAGCAGCACCATATACTACTAAATAACAACATTGACTGACCATTTCATTGCACGTCATTTCTCGCCGCTGCTCTGAAAATTTGATTCCGTCTTCGATCGAAAGAATTGTTGACGAGCAGCAGCAGCAGCCATCCAATTCATCTTTTGGTTGACCATACGATCATTGTACATACCAGCAGGGCTGGTCTCCCGTGGATAGTATCGCAAGCTCTGTTTTTTGTGCGCTTGCATCATGTGGAGACATGTCGAGAGATCAGGGCTACCTCGACCAGCTCGACTATGTCGGCCGACATCACTCGTTTCTCGCCGTCTCTCAGTTCGTCAGGCTCGAACAGATAATGAGCATGGAGGTTCAGTCAAGTGCTTGAGAAGGAGGATACATATCTCACAACATAGTCACTTAGGGATAGTGCAACACTTCTCGTCGACTTCGCAGGCCGCAACTAGTAGCAGCACGGCTGCGGCTCAGTCCGTCAAAGGCAAAGAGCCCGAGCGGAGGAAAGGTGAGTATCGATCGAGAGCCAAGACCACTAACTGAACAAAAAAGAGCCTCGCAAGAATGTTGTCGGTGTTCAGCTACTGTCACCAAGTCTCCACGCTCAGCTATTCCCAGAAGGTTCATCAAAAGCGCCTTTAGATCACCTCGTCAAACTCTCTAAAAAGCACCTCAGAGAACACGGTCTGGAGCCCGGAGAATCCGCTACGATCAACGAGATCAATTTCGAGCTCCCTGCTCTCCAAGGATCAAACATCAGACAACATTTCTACAACATTGGATCTCAAATCGCAGGACCATACTTGCGCCTCGCCGAGGAATTCTCAACTGCCACTTTGCCTCCCCAACCCGAGTGGTTCGTGACGGATCAACCCGGTTGGATCCGATATGATCAAGATGGAAGTTTTATGCCTGTGGATGATCTCAGTGATGAGACATTCGTATCGTTCGACGTGGAGGTCCTGTACAAACTGTCCCCTTATCCCGTCATGGCTTGTGCGGCGAGTTCGACGCATTGGTATTCGTGGCTATCTCCTACCATCTTTGAAGATCCACCAGCGGAGCCTATACCACCCCGTCCAAAATGGGACAAGTCGCTCAAAATGGAACATCCACACGATCTTATACCGCTTTTCGATGGCTCCAAGCCCCGGATCGCAGTTGGACATAATGTCGGATACGACAGAGCTCGAGTGGCGGAAGAGTATTCATTGGCCGGCACAAAGACACGTTGGATGGATACTCTGTCCCTTCACGCTGCGTCGCGGGGCATCTCTTCCAATCAGGCCCCGGCATGGCACTCGTATCGGAAACAAAAGCAGAACGACGAGATAGTCATGGATGCCATCCTTGAAACTGAAGATCAGGAACTCATCAGTCGATTGACTCAAAGCGATGACGATGGGGGGTCTCAGACCCGTTGGGAAGATATAACGGCGATCAACTCGCTTTCAGAAGTTGCCGCTCTGCATTGCGGCTACGCTGTAGACAAGTCTGTCCGAGAGCGGTTCGGCGACGAAAGCATCACTCACGCTTCTCAACTACGAGACGAGCTTCAGGATCTCCTGCAGTACAACGCGGACGACGTCAAGATAACCCATGACGTTTACACAAAAGTCTTTCCTCTATTTCGGGAATCATGTCCTCATCCCGCTTCGTTTGCTGGCATCCTTCCCATGGGAACATCATTCTTACCTGTTGATCAGAGTTGGCAGACCTACTTGAAAAATGCAGAGGAATTGTATAGGAAGATGGAGGAGAGCGTCAAGTCGGGGTTGAAACTTTTGGCGGAGAGAGTCAGAGAAAAAGGACCTCAGGATGATGACCCGTGGTTATCTCAGCTGGATTGGTCACCGAAGAAGGCGAGATGGGCAACAGACGGAGCCATAACAGCAACGGATGACGCCTCATCCGCTTCATCGAAGGCGTCCTCCATTCCCGCAGAAGGAAGCAGCACTTTTGATGTCCCCCATGGTACACCCAGTTACCTCGCCGCGATGCTCTCAGATCCAGCCACGTACCTCTCATCACGCACTGCCGCTCGAGCACTCCCTCTCCTTCTCCACGTGACGTATAAAGGTCATCCAGTCGCCTGGACATCAAAAGGCATGTGGTCTTTTCGAGTCCCCAAAGCCGAGGCCGATCAGTATCCAGAACATGAAGAGGTGGATCTTGTCGATTCTGACGAGGCTTTGTTCCCCTTCCTGCGGGATTACAGTTTCCTGCGGGTTGCCCGAGCAGGCAAGAGCAGGGTGTCAAAAATCCTCGCCAAAACGTTCGTCAAATCTGATGGCGATCAGCTCGACAGTGATCATCCAGAGCTGATGAAGCGCGTTATTGAAGGCTCGGCAACGACTGACGAAATAATGAAAATTGCCCAAGATATGAAATCGACCGGTGATGACGATGTGTGGGCTGCTCAGCTGGACTGGTCCGACGCTAGCCACCCGTCTGCGAACTCCGGCAAAACCCGGAAACCCAGAGTGGATTACGGGACTTGGCCGAAATGGTACTGGGAATTAACATCTCCACATTCTACAGAGCTGGACCTCACCCAGAAAAAGGCTGTCACGCCACTCCTTCTCCGCTTGCAATGGCAGGGCTACCCATTGGTCCGACATCCAGAGTTTAAGTGGCTGTTCCGAGTGCCAAGGAGCGATCTGAAGCCTGACGTGACTATCGGTGTACCTATCGACCCTAATGACAGTGTCAAAATCACACCAGAGACGCTTTTCGACGATATCACCTATGCGTACTTTCGCTTGCCGCACAGAGACGGCGAAACGAAGAACGTGGGTTCGCCATTCGCCAAAGCATTTGTCAATGCCATCGAGTCAAAAGAGCTGGCTCCTGCTGTCGATGCGAGCGATTCGACTGATGAAATGGCAAGAATTGCTGCAGACGCCATGAACTTGAATGTCTTGTGTAGTTACTGGATCAGTTCAAGGGAACGAATCATGGATCAAATGGTCGTTTACCAGAACGAGAATCAAGGTGTGATCTTACCACAGTGTCTGGTCATGGGAACCGTCACTCGTCGTGCCGTCGAGGCCACCTGGCTTACTGCCTCCAACGCAAAGGCCAAGAGGGTCGGTAGTGAGCTCAAGGCGATGGTCAAGAGTCCGCCAGGATACGCCATCGTTGGAGCCGATGTGGATAGCGAAGAATTATGGTTGAGTTCAGTCATGGGCGATGCTCAATTCGGTTTCCACGGAGCCACTGCGATCGGGTATATGACTCTGGAGGGCTCTAAATCAAAGGGAACAGATTTGCATTCCAAGACTGCAAGGTGGGTGACCTCAGCCAGACTAGCGGGGCTGATTGATACAGTATCATTGGAACGTCCCGAGATGCGGCCAAGGTCTTCAACTACTCGCGTATCTATGGTGCGGGACAGAAACACGCTGTCCAGTTATTACGACAGGGTGACGCCACGTTGACTAAGGAGGAAGCAATGGAAAAGGCTGTCAAGCTATACGAGGCCACCAAGGGCCACAAATCTCGACGAGGCTCGTCCAAGCCTCCAGCGGCGTTCGCTTCGATCTGGCACGGCGGCTCTGAGAGTTTCTTGTTCAATCTCATCGAAACGATTGCAGGTTCTGAAAGTCCTCGAACGCCAGCGCTTGGTTGCGGAGTCACTAGCGCTCTTCGCAAGGGCTACTTGGAGGATGGGTCTGCCTACTTGCCATCGCGAACGAATTGGGTCGTCCAGTCATCCGGCGTGGATTACCTCCATCTTCTCATCACGTCTATGGAATATCTGATCAACAGATACAACATCAAGGCGAGATACCTGATCTCGGTCCACGATGAAGTCCGCTATCTTTCAAAGGAGGAAGACAGATATCGTACTGCCCTGGCACTGCAGATTGCCAACGCCTGGACTCGAGCATTGTTCTGCTACAGCATAGGCATGGATGATTGCCCCCAAAGTGTCGCATTCTTCTCTGCCGTTGACCTCGACCACGTTCTCCGCAAAGAAGTCTTCTTACCCTGTCAAACACCCAGTCATCCAGAGGCTATCCCTCCTGGCGAGTCATTAGATATGGAACAGCTACTGGCAAAGACGAACAATGGTGATCTTGGACCTGTCCAATCGATCGAAGCATTCACTGAGGATAAGAAGGACGATTCGTCCATTCTGTCACTGTTTTCCAACCTCGACTCGCATCCTCATTTCCTTTTCCTCCGAGCACAAGCAGATCGATCTCCCATACTGGCTCAGCGATGGCTTGATCAACAACCACCTCTCCTAGATACGCTTGGTCGACCCCTTCCCAAAGAGAGGAAGAAGCGGAAAGAGATCATCAAGGCGAGTGTACAGGAAAACCCTGGACATTTCCAACGACAGCGAGAGGCAGCTTTCCAATTTTCTCCAGAGGAGATAGACGAGATAACAAAGCTGCACCCAATGGATGGGTCCATTTGAGGTCGTTTGATATGGTTGCTCGGCGGAGGAAGACAGCTCTATTGCGTGACACTCTGCAGGTCGAAACCGTTCGGCTGACATGATCGATCCATCCTTGGCTGTTGATTCTCGACAAGATTTTCTCAGCGGGCTACCCTCCCTCGAATGTCCTTCCTTTGATGACTTGCCGCCCCCGAAACAGACAAATATCGCAAGGAGCTCTCTTCGGTCGATGCCCTACAGCGAGCTGGAGGTCGAGCTTTCCAATAATACTGCTCTTCATCGAATCTGATTGCAGCGTCCCGCCACCCTCTCTCTTTCTCTTTCTGCCACATTCATCAACGCCATGAGTTCCGCAAGCTTGAGCCAAGAGGGGCCTGAGGGCCTGGGGCGGCCTGAGACCATCGAAGACGATGGTCCACTCTTTCCCTCGACATTCACAGATCCTGACTCCCTTCAGGCTTTTATCGCAGTCGATCACAGCCCCTCGCATGAGGAGCTGGAAGAATTGCACATTCTCGCTTTGGAAGCGCTGGAAACGGTCGACCCCATGAGAGAACACTACCAAAATTGTCAGCTTTGGCCACTTGGGTCCCATTGTGGACCCAATGAACAATGCTGTCTCCCCTGGGATCCTTGTATACGGCAGCACCGATCTCCGGTACCATGGCTCGAAATGCAACGACAGCACGTGCCTCGGATACCAGCAGGAAGAGCTTGCGGCGGTGCACGATGGTCCAGAAGACCAAAAATACTTCGAAAGGTATACCTGCCAACCGAACGAAACCCTCAGCCAGAAGGTCTACTCAGATTGGCTGAGGCAGGGAGTGCATCTGATGGAGGAGTCCAAGACTGGGGCACTACAGCAATGGCGTGAGAATAAAGCATTTCGTGTGTCCGATGAGGCTGCCAAGGAGACGGCACCTGACACACAGGCCAGCTCTAGTGCCTACCGTAAGCATCCTTCCGGGTCCTCTCCATTCTACATTGAAATGGCAACTTCGAGCAGGAGACGGAGACCCCAGAGCTATTACAAGCAACGATCACGACCACGACCTATAACGACGAGCCGCCAGAATGTCTACTTGGGGACGATCTTACAACGAAAGCACAAGGATGGCAGTGACGACATTGTGACGGACATTGCGTCTGAGCGCCAAATGATCCACCACCACTCAAAGGAGAAGAATCCTTTCTGTCTAGGTTGGAACGACACGGAAACGACATGCAGGGCTGCGTCAACGCCCAGTTCAGACGGGTCCGGGAAGACTTTGGAATGTCGATGTCGGCCCGGCGAGGGCCTCTCGATCGAGGCTCATTTTCACTCCGCCTTACGAGCTTCCTATAAGTCAGAGTCGGCCGAGATGCCGGGCCTATCGTTCAGAGATTCAAGGGCTGGGAAGGTCGCAGTGCATTTCCCTGGCGTTGCATCGCTCATCGATGGCCTCGATGCGGATCTCGACGATCTCGACTCGTCGAGATCTCTGGCTATCAAACCACATCAGTCCATCCTTCCAGACAAGGTGGACCACGGAACATCCACATCATTTCTTCCGGCCTCGCCTTCAGTTTCCGACCGCTCAATAAGCGCCAGCATCTCCACCGCAAGTACAACAGGGACCACTGGCACCGCTATTCAAATGACGAATATGGTAACCGATGCCAGAGACCAAAGGCGAGGCCCGAAGTGGTCGCCAACTGGTTCGTTCGTCTCAGAGCTCTATTCTCCCCTAGATTCGACTGCGGTCGTCGTCAAGGACGAACATATCGAGTACGGGTCTGGAAGTTTCTGACGATGCCGCGACGGCTCATGCATACTCTGTCCCTCCAGACTGCCACTGATCCCCCTTCGAGCCTTCTAGATCGCAGAGTCTTGATGCGCGATGCCACCCTGGGCACGGGAATGAACTCGAGGAGATCCTATTGCAACAATATAGAGCAGGACAAGGTTGAGCACATGAGCCAGAGGAGAAGCGACACTTATGCCCCCCCACATTTGCCAGAGAATCTCAGAAGCATACAGTGCATTCATATTTTGCATAGCCCATTCGTAAACACCATCGCTACATATTCGAAGCCACGTCCGATCCTCTGCAAGGCCAGCATTGAATTCCCTGTCATCCAGTTAAGCCTTGTACATGACGCAAACCTCTCCCGCCACGACGAGACATCCCACGATCATGGTGACAACCAGAGGCAGCCAGTTCCATCTCTGAAACTCGCGAGTCTTTACATGTATTCCTTTCTGACTCAAGATGTTTCTCCAAAGTAAGCCGGCAAGTGAGGCCGAGAAGCTACGTCAGATCAGATGTCAGCCAGCAACGATCTGAGTCCAATGTGCGTGTGATAATCAAACTTACACAAACGAATAGGCGCCGAAATTCGATCCCACAGCCAAAGCGAAAACGGAACCGTACAATACACGCTGAGAAACGTTGCCTTCAGTCGCCACCCATTGCTGCAGAATTCGACTGAGCATAATGGTGGCACCAATGTTGGTACCGAACACCTGCATCATGGTCAATGCATGATAGACCAGAAAGGCAGACTTACGTTGCAGCCCAAGACGCTGATCAAACCCATCATAAAAACACATCCCGCAACTCCGCCGACCTCTGCCCATGCTGCCCACCACTTGCCGAAGACTCGTATCCAGCCGGTATGCTGAAGCGCTTCCACAAGAATGAACATACTGAACGCAAAGGGGAGCAGGGAGAAGGGCAGACGCGAGATGGTCCCCGAGACGACCGGAATTCGAGACGTGATGGGTCGAAGGAGAGGCGCTTTGAACTCATCGTCATTGGCTGCTTCCTTTTTGGCAGTCTTTTCCGTTGAGAGTTCCGGTGACGAATCTCTATCCGCTGACGATTCTACAGGAGGTGTAGTCGCTCGAGGTGTAGGTGCAGCGGCCAACTTTGATTTGTCCTCCTCGTCGTTTTTTAGGGTCGCCACCTCATGAGTCTCAGGCTTTTGTGCGTGCGCAGCTCCAGCAGAACCCGGTCTAGATGGTTGCGGGGAGTCTTCGGCCTGCTTGATCTTCTTCTCCAATGCCGTAGCAATGAGCTCTTCTCGAACCTGGCCAACGTCTCCATCGTCAGTCTCCTGCGGACTGAGAGTGGGCGAGCCTCTCTCCGAGTCGATCCTGACCCTTTCCTCAACTTTTTTCTCGGTGATCGCCGTCTTTCGTGCAGGTTTGCGCTCTGGTCTGGTCTTTCGATAGTCATGGACGATGTCTCTTGATAGCATGATCAGCGCCGCAGGCGCTGTCACTGTCCAAACACCTTCGACGCCTTCCAGCTTGCCGCCAGCTGACAGTCCGACGAGCAAGACAATAGTGACCAAAAAGAGGGCAGCACCGAAGATGCCTCCCCATGGATCCTTGAGAGCCTGTTTGGCATCGACTTGGGGAGGAGATAACTTGCGAGGAATCCACTTGTCCTTTCTGAACTGGAAATATCGAAGAAGCGGGAACAAGACCACCATTGCCGCTACGGTCGGTAGCGCAGTCCATGCAGAGTAAGATAGGAAGGATATGCCAAAGGCGGATGTGAGCACCAGATTGGTAGGATTCGATGAGACGAGAAGTGCAGATACCAAGTTGCTGACTTGGAAGATGCTGAACAGATAAGCTGTCGGATCGATTTTGGCATGATTCGTAAAGTACACCAGGAAGGGCGTGGCAGACAGCGTGACGGGGTCATTGCCGACCAATAAACCGACGATTGAGATGAAGCAGTAGAAGGAGTTGTAGAGTAGGGTACCAGACGAGGAAGCTCGAGAAGCGACCATGAAGGCGAGATAGCGCAATAGGCCTGTGCTATCGAGTGAGACTGAGATGTATGCCTTTGTATGGTCAGTCTGTGATCCTGTAGGACAGACTCACAAAGCAAATGAACAAAGTGAGAATGTCATATGGCTTGACATGGTCGGAACCGACTATACCTGAACGAACGACCTTGCCCGGGATGCATGTGGTCGCTAGGAGGAGCAGCACGCCGATCACTGGCGCAGTATTGAGACCAATGGTTAAATGCCATCTTTGTGGTCTATTTGTGGACGGTTTGGACTTTTGGTTTTCGGCGACTTCTTGGCGAGCCTCTTGGTCCGAGTCGTCAGTGGATGCAGGTGGAGACGGAGGGGATGCATCGGTAGACTTCGGTTGCTGCGCGGGACGTGCTCGTAGTCCGACAAGGATGAGCAGCTTCTCGCATGCTCTCGAGACGAAGAATGGGAGAGGTATGCGAAGAGGGAATATCACGAGGATATCTACGTCATGAGCACATGTTCAATTTCCCCGAGCCCTACAAACCGACTGACTCACTGACGATGAGGAAGATGATCAAGGTGGCGATAGACCATCCATCAATGTTTCTAGATGATCCATCGAGATTGGTGATGACTTGTCGCTTCGCCATGACGGCTTTGAGAGTAGAGTAGATTCTACCGGGCATGGTGGAGTGAATCAGAGAGAGCTGTGCCTCAAAGATGGGTTGGCGCAAAAGGGGGGCAATCAAGAGCCGGGTAGTGGAGACTATGGGAGAAATAAGGTCTACCCGAAGTGCCAAGGAGGTAGCGGTGTTCAAACGAGCTCCACGAAGCTTCTTGCGGTAAGTATCACTCTGCTCGTCATCATGTATAGGAAGCGACGATTGAAGAGAGAGAGAGGAGAAGTAGAAAGCCAATGCGATGGAAATTTAATTGTCCCAAACGTGTTTGACGTTATTTTATTGCAACGCTTTCGCAGTTCAGCGACTTCCCCTTCATCCCGACAGTGTAGGTCAGGAAGGAGGACGATGCTACAGACCAATCTGCTAGCTCCAGGGCATGCAGACTTGGTGACGCGTGCGTGACTCCGTGTTGTGCATACAAACATATTCCACTGACAATCCCGACCCACAGATGTTGTGTATGACTTCTACGGGGAGCGCAGTCAGTTTTGAGCCGACTATCATGGCTTTTTCTCTGACGATACTTGTATCACAGTCGCGACATGCTCAGCGGATCAGAGAATCAAGATCTTCAGACGGTCCAATGAGGGTTTATGGGAGCCTGAAGCAGATTGGAAGGTGAGCCGAGCAAGGATCCATTCGGCTAAGAGTCACGCTGACACGCTTCGCTCTCTCTCTCTCTCTCTCTCTCTATTCAGGCTCATGACGCTGCGATCCTCCATTTGTCATTCTCGCATCCACTTCATGGCTCTCTATTAGCAAGCTGCTCCCATGATCGGACTGTCAGGATCTGGGAAGAGGGTCCACGATCGCATGGTACCAAGGAAGGAAGGTGGATCGAACGCGCAGTACTCGGAGGTGCCAAGGGGAGTGTAAGAGTGCTCGAGTTTTCCCCTCCAAATCCGTCCTTTGGTCTGAGATTGGTGAGCTGCCAAAGAAAAAGGACGTTGAAAAGCCTCTGCTGATGGTCTTCAGGCTGCCATCTCTACCGACTCGCGCTTACGGGTCTACACTTCACTGGATCCATCTCTGAATGACTGGTCGACTGCGCACGACATACACCTTCCTTCATTAGCATCTCCGTACGCTGGTCAAGAGGAGACTCGCATCAACGAGAACGCGACAGTGGAAATCTCGACTGGTGGATGGGGTCTTAGCTGGTGCAAGGAGAAGTTCTGGGGGAGTCTGTTGGCTGCATTTTCTGGTACCAGTCCGACTGTCAAGGTGAGCCTACCGCCAGCTTTCTCATTGACTTGCTGACATGTTTCTTCAGATCATTGTCCTTGACCCTGCTCCTACCGCTCTGCTTCATCTCACTACACCGGCACCTGCCTCACCTTTGACATGCGTCGCATGGGCCAACTCGTGCGGCCGCTCGTATCACCTCGTCGCGACTGGATCAAGGGACGGTCGCGTGATCATCTGGAAAGTTGAGCCCCCTGATCCAGAAGAGAGAGGGAGAGGAGAGTGGAAAGGCGAGATCGTGGCAGATTTCGGCAAGGGACCGCGTATAGGCACCGTGGACGTGAATATATTTCATGAAGGACTAGCTGACATCATAGTGGAATGCGACGGGCACAACGCTGACTGTCAGCGACGACGACGGGATGATTAGGGTCTACAAGCGTGAGTCCAATCAGCACCGTCTTCCTGTCTGACCTTCTGCAGCGACATACTCGCGTGATTGGAAACTCATGGGCCAGATGACGGCCGAAGAACCTCCGCCAATGGATGACAGGGGTCACTGATGTTGACCAAAACCTGCAATGGGATGCATCTGCTTACATAACAGTCTTATCCCTCCTGACTTGACGGCGTCAACATTCGATCTAGTCACTTCCTCCCGTACTTCTCCTCAAGATACTCGTCCAAGGTCTTGGGCTTTCTTCCGATGATCTGCTCCAATACGCCATCCGTTTTCGCAAAGTCGCCATTGTGCATGGCTTTGACCGTGCCGGAGAACATTTTAGCCATGGGCTCTGGAATCCCGTTGGCGACAAATGAGTCGACAAAGGTCTTGTCTTGAACCACATTTCGTTTGATTTCTTTTCCGGTGATTTTCGACAGGATCTCGGCGGCTTCAGCCATGTCCCAGCTCTTTGCATTGACGAGATCGAGGTACTCTACTCCCTTGGTATCGTACTGTTCAGCCAAGATCCGAGCGCTGGCCTCGGCAAGATCCAGACGATCGACCCAAGAGACTTTGCCATCCTCAGGTGCAGTGATCGATCCCGACTCGATAGGTTTACCATAAAGGTAATCCGTGCCAGACAGGTAGAATCCATTTCGGAGCGAAGTCCATTCGAGTCCACTCTGCTTCAGTTTCTGCTCCACGTGGTAGTGCTGAGATCCAGGTACGAATTCAGTGTGCTCCCTTGCGCCAGTATGAGAAGTGTAAAAGATCTTCTTGACTCCGACGGCTTTTGCTGCGGCAATTGCATTGGTCGTGAGCTGCTTTCCTTCGTCTCCAAGGACATTGGGCGAGACGATGAAGAGGTTGTGGACGCCTTTGAATGCCTTTGCGAGGGATGGCGTGTCTTTGAAGTCGGCTTGTCGAACGTCGACTCCTCTTGATGATGCTTCTGAAGCCTTAGAAGGGTCGCGACAGATGGCAATGATCGATGAGGCGGGAACGAGAGAATGGTTGAGAAGAGCTTGGATAGTTTTCGAGCCTAGGTAGCCATTGGCTCCGGTGACACCGATAGTGAATGACATGGCAGAAAGGCGAGCTGGTAGTTGATCAATGGGGGTTTAACACTGCGAGGACATGAAGTCTAGAGTACAGCGTACAATGAACCCTGTTTAAAATATATATCTTGGCACGACGCCTCGGTCAAATGCCACAAAAGATGACCGAGATTCCAGTGAAATTTCATAGATCCATGGATCTATCTGGGAGGAAATGACGATGGCTCGGGCAGCAGCAAATGTGGCAATGTCATCCACCGATTTGATCACAGCTCTTTCGTGATTCAGTCGAGGATCATCGATGCTTTTCATGTCATCATCTATGCTTTCAAGCCAGAGACAGTTGCCGACTGAAAGATACTTATGTATGAACCTATGTCTCTGGTCGTGAAGGAAGAGACAAGACCTAGAGGCAGCTTGCGGATCACTCGCGCCGCGTTGCTGAATCGAGATCCTCTCACTCCGCTCACAGACAAAGGGTGGGATCGAACGACCCACACGGAAGTCTAGCAGACCTAGCAAGATCCCCTATGACTATGAGCAGAGAATAAGAGACTTCCCTCCCTTCGCCTCGTTCTCCTCCCATTTCCGACCTTCTCCCTGAACAAAGCTCCAAACGAATTTGTGGGACTTCGCTTTTGGGTCTTCCTCTCGAGAGCACCAGCAATGCACAGTACTTTATTGACGGTCATGGCAATGGCCGAGGTCAAAGGATCAAGCCCTAAGGGGGTGAAAGGTAAGGATACCAGCACAGTGCTCATGCACAGGTGGAAGTGCGCTGTTCTCTGCTTTGGCACGATGAAGGAGGGGTCACACATTCGGACAAAGGGTTATTGGATATCTTGATACGTACAGTACCGGCTTATATGAAGGAGGGATCCTTGCGTGCACAATGGCTACCTTTTGCGCCACCAGCTGGATCACCATGCCCAGACGAGACTCAGAGCCCAGTATCCCCCTCAACGATTTAGTCAGGATGATCCTTGATGAACGTCGGATACGTACTGACTGCCGTGAGTTCTATTCACATGACGAGGGTGAGTGAGTGTTCATTTTGCATGCCCTTCAACAACACACGTCGAAATCGATCAGGACCCTTACTGATGTGCACTCCTATAGACGGAACTACGCGAAAGTCAGTCACTCTTTGTACTTGAACCCGACTGGGATCTGACTTGATGGTGTCCATCATCTTTAGGCTTGACACCGACGATTTGAAGGAGCTCTCCGCGCAGTTTGAGAACACGGTGGCGGCTAAGAAGTGGCTGATCAATCAAGCTACTGCAGCCGAAGTCCAACCTTATCTCGATAAGTACACCAAAGCTCTGACGTCGAAGCCTCAGACATTGGATCATGATGTCGATCCGGACGAACTTGCGATCAGGACTTACAAGGACAGGTCACTCTGGCTCGATGAGGCTGAACGTGTGATGGAGGATGATCCGGGTTATGTCATCTTCGATTCGGTTTTGGCCTTTCACGACATGCTTCACCGACTCGATGATCAAGTGGATGAGGCGAGTCAGCGGTATGAGGCGATGTCCAATACCTCTTCCGAGACCGTTCAGCTGAATGACAAGACGGCTCAACCACTCTCAAATGAGAGAGAGGTTGAGACGGGGAAGACGAACGAGACCGTGACGACGATACAAGGAGGGGACGAGATGGGAGATAGCGAGCAAAATCAGATCTCTGTCGTAGCTGACGGGGGACTGCGCCAGAAGCTGAAGCACTACCACGCTGAGATTGAAGCGGCGCATGAAAGGTACGAAGAAATAGTCCTTGAAGTATCGGAGGGATCCGGCATTGATCAGGTAATGGCTAACGCATACTTGGAGGAAGTCAAACGCATGACAGTGGAGCTGGAGAGCATATCCGACATCATATCACCAGCAGTATCTTCCGGTCAAGCAAACGCTGCTGAGACGAATGTCTAACGGGAAGCGTTCTCCACTAATACGACGCTGAATTCGTCCATGAAACAGCGTGCCACGTATTCCTTCGTACAAGAGATCACATTTATCCACCACCGAAAGACACCCACTGACTCAAGTTGCACGAACCAAGTCGGGATGACCTTGCGCAATCAACTGTACATGATCCAAACTTGCATGCAAAGTTCTTTTTATAACAGTAATGCCAGAGGGGGAAAGTGCAACATCAGGATACGCATGAGTCTATATCTGATTAAGGGTGCCTAGAAACGTCCATCGCAAAAATAGCAGGAGCACAGATGAGAAAGGTCAACAACATAGTAGCAGTCGTCGTAGCGCTGATCCACTACCTCGCACTCTGAGCCGACTTGAGGCTCCCTCTTCTATTCGGAGCGGGATTGACAGCTTGAAGCGCTGGAGATTGTTTGATTCCGACAGCATTCGCCTTGCCTCTCCTCCGACTGACGGGTAAAATCTCATCATCATCGTCCATATCTTCGTCTTTGTCTTCGTCATGATGACCATTGATTTGAGCTTCGCCGTCATCATCTCCATCACCAGAGACAGAATCCAAATCGTCTTCTTCGCCTTGGAGCATATCCATCTCCAGCAAATCCTCCCCTTCATCACCTCGTACTTCTTCACTCGATCCGAGTCGAAGTCGTCGAATCTCGTCCCGAAGCTTGTCGATATAGCTATCTCGCTTCTCGACCTTGTCGTGGAGTCTGACAATGTACTCGTTGCTGAATTTGAGAAGGGCGACTTTGGAAACCCCACGATTCGGATTATCGTCCGGGACCAGAGTGGATTTGGGCAACAATCTCGGCGCAGAACTGCCCGGTAGCGGCTCTCCAGTCTCGGCATCCAACGCTTCCGTATTGATGGGCGGTAACAGGAGTCGTAACTCATCAAACCCAGACTTGAGACTGTCTCGCCGTCTCTGCTCTGCCAGCTTGTGAGATGATTTGCGGGTTTCTCCTTCAGACGGTGTGGCAGCGGCGGCAGCGGCACCTTTGGTAGCTGCTTTTACACCGACACTAGGCGGACGCATCGCCAATGCTCGCTTGCCCGCGGTGTTGAGGGCGAGGCGGCTTGTTGTACGTTTAGCCGGTGGTGCCGCTGCATTGGATGGCTTACGGACCGCCGCTGTATTCGCTGCAGCTGCGACTGCCGCCGCTGCTCTTGGCGGAATGATCTTCGGGGCCATATTCATCAAAGTTGCTGGGGTCATTGGCGAGACATTGAGCGACTTGTCGTTCGGGACAGGTGGAGGCGGCATCATTTGAGCAAGATCCACTGGACTGGGTGTTGATGGCGTCGAACCGGGATTGGACATTTGCATGGACTGGATGGCCGAAGGGGGCAGAGATGTCAATGGAGCATTGGGCTTGTTGCCGGGCTTGAACGCCACTGGAGAATTCGGTACGGAAAATGCACCGTCACGTTTCCGACCGGGAGGGGTCGGCTTCATCATGGGAGAAGGTCGAGATCTGGCTGGAAGCGACTGTCTATTCGGACCGGTACCATGATTCAGGGAGAACTGACTGGGATTCTGGTTGACTCGGCCTTCGATGAAACCTTGAAGGTTCGACAATAAATCGGCATCAGCAAGATCGGAGTTGGCCTGTGGTCCGAACGCCGGACTGAGTGTCTGCTGAGCACCTCCTGAGGATCCGACTGGATTCAAAGCGGGACTCGACAGAGCAGACAGAGGATGAGGTCTACCTCGTTGAGATGCGAAATGGCCTGATCTATTGCTCGATTCCAAAGCGGGTGAAGTCAGAGGAGAAAAGTAACCTGGTGAGCTCGTCGAGGCATTCGAATGGGGCCCTGATATCCCCGGAGTAGTGACTGGGCGCGAGGGGCCCGCAGACGAGGCAGGCATGTACGGTGAAATCGCGACAGCAGCGGCAGTAGCTTCCAGCTGCCGCTGTTGATGTTGTAGCACTGCCAGTTGATGTTGAAATTGTCTTTGTTGTTCCTGCAGTGCTTCGAGGGGTGAAAGATGAGAGGGAGGTTGGTATGGCATGGCAGCAACGGGAGAAGTGAAGGTGGAACCGTTCTGGGATGGAGCGGGAGATAGAAGCGGGGCGACACCAAGCTGAGCGGCGAGGAGTGAGCGATGCTCTGAGCTTGCGTGAATGGTCTTACATCTGGGTGATCATTCCGCAGGTCTAGCTGCATCGGCGCGACCAGGTCTGTTCTGTTTTGTGGGTACATCTCGCCACTTGGCGCTGACCACAGAGTGAGCATGATCACAAGTCAGGTGCCATCTGAACGTACCCGGTGTGAAGACCCCATGGGCTGCACTGAATGCCGCCCATTTTTCCGCCAAGGTCTGACCATCTGGGAACGCTTGATGTTCTGGGTGCTCACTTTGTAGATTCGGATGTAACATTTGAGCGAGAGCTTGAAGAGGGGATTGAGAGGCGGATGGATCAAAGACGATGGGAGATTGCATGTGGATCTGTTCGAGCTGGAAAATTGTCAGCTGGAGTCTGGGATTTCCACCTCACTTGTTGTTGAAGCAATTGTGCTTGGTTGTGATCGAACTCGCCGGCATTCTGCCCATTCTGTCCATTTTGAGCCTGCCATAAGGCTGCTAGACCCAGTTCCATCCCACGCTGAGATCCCATCAACGTTTCAGGCGTCATACCCATCATCTGACTCGGTCCAACAGGTTGTACTTGTCCTTCGTTTTGAGATAAGGATTTGGCCATATCTCGTGCAGAGGATCCCGATGATGACTCGGGTAAGGATGACGACAAGTTGTCCATTTGAGACGGGAGTTGAGAAGCTGCTGAAGCGTTCGCGTATTCCATGCCCATAAAATTTAAGAAATCCAAGGGCATTTCACCGTCGTCCAGTTGAGGTTGATAGAGCCCATCCGTGGCTGGGGAGGCCATGGCTGAGACTGGAGCAGACATGTCGACGGGTGGGAGGAAACGAGAGAGATTGAGAGAGGTGATGACTGGATCAAGGATGACAGATTCACCAGATGAATTGTTCGGATAAATAAAGGCAGGCACTATCAAGGGAAAGACGAATTGTCCCTATCCAGGTCATGAATCGCAGTCTTTAGATAATTATATCGATAGCGAGATCAGCTGGAGACGCGTGCCGAACTGCCCGTCGATACGCCTTGTTCGTGGATGCGATGGTATTGATGATGATGATGCCCAGTCCAAGAGAGCCGTGCCTCTTCTTTATTCGGGCACCGGAGTCATTGTCGCCGGTGATTCGTGAGCGAAAAGTGATGGCGAAAGGCTTTGAATTCGGGAAAGCTCTTCGCCTTGAGCCACTAGAATGATCCTCCGTAGCCGGGGACGCTGCTCCACTTGTCTGCCCAGGAAGATCGATGGGGGAGTGAGTGAGATGGTCGTCGATGGAAGAGAAAGAAGGAGGAAGAGGAAGCCCAAAAAAAAAGGTAGCAAAAAGTCGGCAGTTGATCCTGTTCAAGGATTTATTGCCACTTTGAGTAAGTTTTTGATGGAAGTGCGTCCCGAGTGACTGACTGTCCACCCAGATCATCATCATCGTGGCCACTTATGGACATACTCTTGTCGACCTGGATAGCCAGCTTGAGTCTTCCGACAAAGAGGTATGGGATCTATCTCCACGCCAGACCCTTCGGCTGCCTTGGTTATTGTTTCCTCCGCTCACCATCTAGACACAGCTGGGATCATGGCTCCAACTATGACGAGGTTAAAGTCTTTACGATCCTGCCACCAGAAAAACCTTCCGTCTATGCCTGGTCCAATCTTCTCAATAGATGCATTAGCATACATGACATTCCAACCATGATATGTAGCCTGTGTTGGGAGGATGAATCAGATTCGGTTCAAACCGTTTGATCTGGCTCAGAGCGACATTTGTAGTGCTCGTCAAGCCATGATTCCATCTCGTCGACAGGTGGCAGTGAACAAGTCAACCGCCTGGGAAAGACGAAGAATGCCTCAGATGAAGTTAAATGGACGAGTAGCGATGTTCGGACATGAGCGAGTATGAGAACAATAATAAGGTCGTGCAACCTTCATAAGTCACTGGAATCTCCGTCGAGGGCAGCTAGCGAGGTGAACACTGGGTACATGCTCTTCACTGAGTCGAGGGCATGGTGTGACGATGACAGGGACCCATACGCACAGTCCTACTGTACATTGTCTGAAAGATAAATGTCATCGGGGCGGGGGAGAACAGAGGAGGGGATCGGTGTGATAGACGAAGTGCGGCAAGCGATCCGGTCCTCGGTTGCCTCGCTCAGCCGTGATCCGTTTGTCAGCTCTTCGGCGTCCACACGAGCACATGTGCTGTCTGATTCTCCCCTCTGATCTGTATAGTCTCCTTCAATGTCTCTTCGAATCCTAGACGTTGATACCAACGGACCTATATGTGTGACCAATCAGCGCAACAACCAGTGATGACTACTCACCGTGTCTTCCTCGCCGCAGCCCAACGTCAAGGGAACACCTAGGCTCGCTGCTTCTTCCTGCATTGTGCGGACCAATGCTCTACCATAGCCATTACGTTGAGTGGAAGGATCCACACCCAGTACGCTGAGATATAGCGACTCCTTAACCGATGTGTTCTTCTTCAAAGTCCCTCGATGGAACGCGTCAGTCACCCAAGGAAGATACTGAATTCGAATCGAGTCTTCAGTTTTAGAGTCTATCAATGGGCAGGGCACGCTGCTTAAAGACCTACCGTATCCTCCTTCCACTTGCGCAATTCAGGATCCATCTGCTCTTTGAAAGAGGGTATACCTTCAGGATGGTTCTTACTGCGAGTCGCTTCAACTCATGGTGGTCCTCATGACATCGACCTCACCTCTGTCCAAAGGTATATCCAGGTGGAAGCGCATGCAATGCACCTTGTATATCGCCTTCTTTCTGCCCAATGACCCAAACAAAACCATCGTCCGTACCGATCTTTGCTCGAGCCTGGAATGTCCGTCTAATGACATCGCCATGAAATGCGTTGCCCGCTTGGATGAGCCACGCTTTAGGGTTCAGGTTAGTCAGACTTCCTCTCTCCAGTCGAAGCATGAAATCCAGGGACAGCTGTCACACGACGGGGAAAGGGGCAAGCCTGCTTACCATCTTTCAACGTAGTATTCCAGATATCAGCGATACGAGCTATCTGACTCTCTGTCGTGTTGACAAAGCATCAGTCTCGCTGACAGTATTTGCTACAGCCTGCCTTACCGTTCGCTGATGTCAGCCGCTGGATCCACATCCTGTATATACCTGAAATACAGCCGACCAAGGCAGTCGCAGTGATTCTCTCATGTCCATCCTTATGTGGAGTGCATATCTATGGATTTATGCATATTTGCGCGGTCATGTATCAGTCGAGTCGAGTCATAGCATTCGACTCGATTATGAAAGTTCGCATGCGAGATCCTGAATCGGATCCCAAGAGGTGGTCCATAGCACGAGCTACCGGACCTATGTATGATTAGTCGCAATAGACACATCTCTGCCTCTCTGGTCCAAGTATCTCCCCCAGGGAATCTCACATTGATGTCTTCTTACCAGCTTGACCATTCGGAACAGTGCCGGGGATTTGTACTTCGGCCCTCCATTGAGGCCCTCCACAGCATCACATGCACTCTGCCTTGTCTTCCACGGATATCCATTGCGTCTGACAACACATCTTCGAAACCCGCTTTCTCATACCATCGGACCTAGAAGGATTTAGCCCGATAGGCTGCTTTCCAATGCTGACAGACTGACCGTATCTTCCTCTCCGCACGCTAAGCAAATGATGGTATTCAACTTGACAGCTTCTTTCTTGAGGACGCTCATCAGTGCTTCGCCTATACCCCTGCGTTGGGCTTTTGTATCGACACCGATGACACTGAGGAAGATGGATTCTTTGAGCGTTGTATTGTATTTTCGACATGCTCGGTCGTAGAGATCGTCGAGTCTCGGCGAAACCTGAATGGCATGATCAGTCGATCGAGAGCTCTCTTTGATGAGGACACCAGAGGTGTTGCGTTGCGCCTTGCCTCTCTCAACTTCCACGCATACACTTGCGGATCCATCGCATCTTGCCAAGTCGGCCAAGCAGATTTGGCCGTCTTCCTGCATGGCGCCAGTGCGAGTCAGTCATGGAAACTCGCTTCCTCTGTGGGTCACGCCGTGTGATGGGTAGTAGAAGGCTCCTGAGTGGCTCACGAGACCCAAATATCACACCCTTTGGGAAAGACATGCATCGCACCCTGGATTTCTCCTTCTTTCTCCCCTGCGACCCAGACGCAAGCATCGGTTACACCGACCTGAGCTCGATATCGAAAAGCTCTCGATACGATTGTCTGATCAAAGCCATGATTGGCTTGAACGATCCATGCTGAAGCCTCTGTCAGTCTCTTGCACCAGGTTGCTGTCATACTGGAACAAGTCTTGACTGACCATCTCTGAGGCTCGTAGACCAGATTTCAGAAATCCGGTCGAGCTGCTCATCTTGCACCGACCGTCAATCACGGTAGCCTTGAGGTAGTGTCGCGATTGTGGACTCACCCGTCGCCCACTCAAGCCTTCTGAGCCACATCGTGTGAGCTAGCGACGATGCATGAACATTGCTGCGACGGTCAGAGACGAGGTAGGTCTGAGTCGTGTTGAGCGACTGCACAAAGAAGCGACGGCTGTGGCACTAGATGGAGGAAACCAAGGCGGCTATCGGCAGAATGCCACAACTCCATGGCCCGTTCTGCCCTCAAGTCTGCTGCTGTGTTGCCCGCCAGGCGCCGATACACAAGGCAAAGCACCAGCGCAATATTGTGCGGTCTGCCATAAGCTATGTATGACCACATGATACATCACTTGTATTGGTCACTCAGACTCTATCGGCGGATCCTCGACCCGCCTGAAACATGCTATCCACTTATCTCCTCCATTTCTTTCCACCTTTTTACCTTCTTCTGTACTCGTTCTCGCAGCTACCAATATCGCGTCCCCTGCAAGCTCTTCTGTAGGAATGTACTCGAACAAGGGGTGAGCATGTAAATGGTGAGCCATCCATTCGTGGAGGTCTAGAATGCGGAGATCAGCAGCCAGGCAAAGACGAAATAAACGCTCACCCTTGACGTCTGTGACAGTATATAAAATCCCTCCAGGTTGAAGAACATGGGCGTACTCCGACAGCAGCGTGGTTCTGAATACCGTCAGTCATCATTCTGGACATTCGCTGTGACATCCTCTCTCACGTTATGATTCTAGCTTTCTGCTTCCGTACTTTAAAGTGAGGATCAGGGAAGAGGAAGAACATCTTGGACAGCTGAAAACGTGAGAGAAGCAGTGAGCCTTCGGGTACCTCTCGGATTGCTCCGCTTCTCTTCAAGACGGCTCACTCACCTGGCCTTTGGCGAAGAAATTGGGAATATGTTTCATACTGTTCGCCCGTATGACCGAGACGTTTTGATATCCTCCAGGCAACTTGTCCGGCGAATCCGATGCTAAAGTCTCCTGGACCTGTCGAGAGGCTGCGATTCGATCCGCGACGTACGCTGTGACAGCTGTCCTAATTTCCATTCCTGAACATCCATATCAGTCTCTGTCTCCATCCCTTGCCCTGACTGAATAGACAGGTCCTAAAAGTGTAGACGAACCCAGCATAAGTGTGTCTGGAAACATTGGCGCGAGCGCCATTAACAGTCCTCCGAATCCACACCCTACATCTGCCCATTCTACTTTGTGATTCGGTTCAAATTTACTGGACGATGGGTCGGAGGAGAAATAGGCAGGGTAATGAGTCGACCAGTCCATATCGTCAGGACTCGTCGGGCTGAAGACATATGAGCGGATTGACGAGGCGGTAGTCGACGTCAGCGATAAGAAGGAAGAGATGATCGGCAAAGGAAGACGACAAAGGGGCACATAGCGACAGTATGGATCTTTCCTCCTGTCGAGATCACTCACTAGTCCAGGGAATGGTCTACAAAGACATTTGTATGCGCTCGTTGTCTGTAGAAGCGTTTCTGAAGATGAATGAGCGCGATCGACGTTCAAACGGTCAAAATTGGCTCACTTGAGGGATATGCAGCTGAGTGGAGCCCTTCAATGGTACTGAGGGGCCCGCTTCATCCTCTCTGAGTCTTTTCGTCATGGTGGGAAGCTCGTTGCTGCTCGTGAAAGATTGACTGCTATAGAAGACGACCACAGCTCAAGCAACTCGGAAAGCGAAATCCGCCACGTGGCTTCGAAAATTGGGAACGATGCGTTTCGGGGGCTGGGAGATGTCAGTTATCGACCTCTTTAATCGTCGTTTCTACTCCCTTGCTTCTACTCGTCTTCATATCACTTCGGGGGGATCACCTGTGCCGCGTTGTCTGCGGGCTTCTGCTTCTGTACACTCTAGGGAGCAAGGAAGTGGAACGGGACCTGCGCACCTCTGGGTGGACTACTCTTAGGATGATTCCCAGGCCATTTCGACTCCGCCTCCTTGGAGTGACTCATCGGCAGCTCTCCGCCAGACCAGCATCTTCCTGGTCCCTTTCTTCTCGGAAGGCGACGAGCTCTCGAACCAGTGATGTCGCACCCAAGATAACCTTGACTGCTCCTTCAACATGGACGGACTCGCGTTCGCGTGGATTCGTTTCTGCTACTTCCCTTGGCCACTCAACTTCATCTGGATCCCAGGTCACCGGAACGAGGTCGATGCACACGTTCGCTTCCCGCTCCCTGAACCATGGTCGTCGACGTCGACGTGCGTTGTCTCTAGCTGCGGCTAGAGAGAAGCAAAGTATAGCATCCTCATTGTCTTCTCGTCCGGAGGGTTCATCGAGGTTCATGCCTTTACCTCGACGATCATCACCCGAAGCGCCTATTCTTTCATCTCCTGTCCAAGCGGCAAAGCACGTCAAAGCTACTCCATCCCATCTGCCTCTTCCTATCCCCCTCGGAAATGACATTTATGATCTTTCAAACGTGTTGGACCCATCTTCCGTCTATGGCTCTGAGCTACCTCCCTCCATATTTGGCGAGCGTGGTTATTCCATTTGGTCAGACAGGAATGATCCGCAAGCCTTGGTGGCAGCACGACGAGAAGAGGCCTTTGAAGATCTGTTGGCTGAGATGCAAGATAAATCAGGAGGCGCCGCGACGACCCTCACGGGTCATCTGAACATTCTCGCTGCCCTGGATCCTGTGGATCTGGCTCCCCAGACCAGGACTCTCCAAGAGGCTGATGCGGACTTGAAGGAGGACGAATTTGAGCCATCAGAGCTTCAGTCGCTGTTGAGGGACAAACAAACCCGATACAACATTGAATCCCAGATGGAGTGGAACAAGATCCTCGCTCATCTCGGGGATAAATCCGTCAAACTCCCTTCGGACGCCCTGTTCAAGTCTTTCTCTCCTCAAGATCTGTCGACCTTGGAAATGGATCAATCGCTTCAGGTCAAAGATGCCATTTCAAATCTGTTTTCAACTCTCAAACGGATAGATCCTGGCCACATTCGTGGCGGAGGACGTCTGCGAAATAGGGTTCTTCGGTTTGGTGGACGTCATCGACCACCACATCCAGAGACATTCGTCGAAGTTTCCAATTCGGACAATGGAGAGACCATGCTGGTCTCGGTCATGGGAGATGAACATGGTCGAACACGATACAGTATCATTGGTGATGAGGAAGGCGACGCCGTATACCAAATGACTTCCGTCGTTCGAAAGAGGAGACTCAAGATCAAGAAGCACAAGTACAAGAAGAGGAGGAAGGTGAGTGAATAGCGATGCATTGATTGCCTCCTCGGCTCGCTGACATGGCTCCGTTTTAGGCCCAACGAGCACTCAGAAGGAGACTCGGTAAATAACCTGTGGACATGTCTGTTGAATTTTGCCGCAGAACTTTCCTTCATGCATTGCACATGAATAACCATCGTCAATCCTGGACCATGTCTCTCACGAGCTGTACACGATTGCCTTTCCGTCCTCATTGATAGCATACACGCTAACAACATGTTGGCACACGTTGAGGGCCGTAGGGGCCTAAAACGCCGCGGTGCATTGATCGAGTGTGGCACTTTTGATCATCCGTCATCCCCCTCCACGTTCCAGTGCATCACCATCATCATTCACCTCGTTCAGCAGTGCTATTCAAGGTCGAGCTCGTCGTGCTCGCACTACCACTGCTGCTGCTCCCGCGACCATCATTGAGACTCTATCGTGGTGCACAGTTAGTCACCAGAGGGTAACGCACGACCGCCCCTCGTTCCCAATCGATTTATTACTCCGACTGCAGATCGTGTACGTCCACCCGCGTTCATTCGCCTAAAGTCGAAGGCGTCGGATTCGCCATGAGCCAGCCTGCCATGTTGCCTCAGGGCTGGGAGGCCAGATGGTGAGTGTATCAGGTATAGAAAGAGTGCGAACGTTGGGCGAGTTACGGTCGCATTGGATGCGCTTAAGAAGCTGCTTGAGGGATGTTCGGCGGGCTTCCGGGGCTTCGGTCTCGCTCGAGAGTGCTTGTTTCGACAGCAATTGCTGACCATGACCATGGACGCAGGGATCATCAATCTCAGCAGTATGTCTACATTGGTAGGTCTCAATATGCTAAGCGTGATATTCGACCGCTGACTTGAGCCATAAGACCAATCTACTGGCCGATCTCAATGGGAAGTCCCAACCCAACCATCATACCCCTCCAATGGAGTTTCTGCCCCGTCTGCTCCCCCTGCCGCTCCCGCTCCTGCGCCTTCCAGTCGGCCTGGTCGGCGGCAGTACCCCACCGCTCAGATCCAACAGATGTACGGTGGTTCGGGAGGTGGTGCAGGAGGATACGATCAACAATCCCAACAGCTGCCTCTCATGTCGAATTATCCAGATCAACAACAACAGCAACAGCCGATGGCTCCACAATTCTTCACGCCAGGTATACAGGACAACACACCTCATCAGGGTTACCCTCAACAAGCTGGTGGACCTCAACAGGGCTATCCCGGTCAACAGCCGCAGCAACAGCCTTTACCTCCTCAGCAAGGTGGTTGGCAAGGTCAACCGCCGCTCCAACAAGGCGGAGGGATGGACCAGATGGCCAATCAATTCCAGCAGATGAATATGGGTCAACAACCTCCAAATCAGGCTTACGGAAATCAGAAACAGATGCACTCGATGCAGACCGTCAACCTGATAGGGATGCAACCTGATGTCAGGGGTCTCGAAGCTCCACCACCACCCTTTCTCATCCCCCAAAATGCGGCCGTCACTCAATCTCCTCACAGTCAACCTGATCCTTCTTATCAACGCTGTACCATTACTTCCATGCCGACCACCCAATCCCTCCTCAACAAGTCGAAATTGCCTCTGGCGCTCGTCATTGCTCCATATCGATCCATTCGACCCTCAGATGGAGATATGGAGGTTCCCGTGGTGGAGGATTCAGTGATCGCTCGATGTCGACGATGTAGAGCCTACATCAACCCATTCGTCACCTTTATCGAGGGTGGAAACAGGTGGAAATGCTGCATGTGCGGACTTTCCAATGAGGTACCGCAGCTGTTCGATTGGGATCAGAGGGAAGGAAAACCTGCCGATAGATGGTCTAGAAAAGAATTAAATCATGCCGTCGTGGAATTCATCGCTCCGACCGAATACATGGTCAGACCACCTCAGCCTCCCGTTTACGCATTCTGCATCGATGTCAGTCAACAAGCTATTCAATCTGGAATGGTCGCCACGGCCGCGAGAACAATCCTGGAATCCCTTGACACGATACCGAATGCTGACAAGCGCACCAAGGTCGCCATTATTGCTGTCTCTTCTTCTTTGCATTTCTTCTCCTTGACTCCAGGGGCGACAGAAGCTTCAATGCTTGTGGTCTCGGATCTCACCGACGTGTTCTTGCCGAAACCCTCGGACATTCTCGTCAACCTGGACGAATCTAGAGCTGCTCTGGAAAGCCTGCTCGGCCGTCTGAGCGACATGTTTGCCGATTCCCACGTCGTCGGGACAGCCATGGGCTCAGCACTCACTGCGGCTCACCAGCTGATCGGCAAATACGGTGGAAAGATCATCGCCTTGACTGCCAGTCTGCCGACCATTGGAGAGGGTGCCTTGAAGGCCAGAGATGATCCAAAGCTCCTCGGGACCAACAAGGAGAGCACACTTCTCAACGCAGCCAATAGCTTCTATAAATCCTTCGCCATTGAATGCTCAAAACAACAGGTCACCGTTGACATGTTTCTCTTCTCTTCCAGCTATACCGATGTCGCGTCTCTCTCATGTCTCCCACGATACACGGCAGGCCAGACTTATCTCTACCCCGGATTCAATGCATCCAAGCCTGAAGATGCGATCAAATTCGCGACTGAATTTGGCAAGCTCCTGGCGATGCCAATCGGACTGGAAGCTGTCATACGTGTCCGAGCGACTCGAGGTATCCGACTCTCGGCCTTCCATGGCAACTTCTTCACTCGGTCGACTGACTTGTTGGCGCTGCCTACCGTCTCACAGGATCAGAACTATGTCATCGAATTGCAATTGGAGGACGACCTCAAGGGACCTTTCGTGGTCATACAGACGGCCGTCTTGCACACGACTTGCTACGGTGAACGACGGATCCGCGTCATCACACACGCTATGCCTGTTACCGACTCTATTGCTGAGCTGTACGCCTCTGCAGACCAAGTCGCCATCATGACCTATCTCACCAATAAGGCTGTAGAGAAAGCCATGTCGTCATCATTGGAGGATGGTCGAAATTTGGTCACCAACAACTTGTCGACCATGTTGACAGTATACAAGAATCAAGTGACTTCTGCGGCCGGCGCTTCCGCGCAACTCGCTGTCCCGGACAATCTCAAACTCTTGCCGTTGTTAGCCTGCGGTCTGGTGAAGCATGTCGGTCTTAGAGAAGGTACCAACATGTCTCCCGATCTCCGAGCATACGCCCATTGCCTCTTGACGACTCTTCCTTCCGATTCTCTCGTCTCTTACATTCACCCCAGATTCTACTGTCTTCACAATATGCCTGCCGAGGCTGGAACTATTGGCGAACACGGTGTCATCCTTCCTCCTGCTCTCAACCTCACCTCGGAACGTCTAGAACGCCACGGTCTATTCCTGATAGAAGACGGGCAACAAATGTTCCTCTGGGTGGGACACGAAGCTGTCCCTCGACTCATACAGGATGTGTTTGACCTCCCTTCCTATGCTGAACTTCAAGGAGGAAAGTATACCTTACCGGAACTGGACAATCCTTTCTCCCAACGGGTCAACGCGATCGTTGCCAAGACTCGCGAGCTGCGCCGCGGAATCTACAGACCGCACCTGTACGTCGTCAAGAGTGATGCGGAGCCGGCGTTGAGGAGCTGGGCTCTGAGTCTGTTGGTCGAAGACAGGATGGACAAGATGAGCAGTTATGCTCAGTATCTGACCACAGTGAAGAACAAAGTGAGTGGTCGTCAGGGCAGGAGTAACGTAACGTAACGAGAGGATACTGACCCTCTCGTGCGTGCAGGTCAATGGATCATGATTACGGAACGAGACTGTATCGATCCGGTGTCAGTCGATCATCCTTATATACAGTATTGTTTTACGCATGTGCATGAAAGGAATCAGCGGTATCATCTGTCCTGAGGGATAAGGTCTATATGCGAGATTACAGAGGGCTAGCTGGACTACCCCAGATTGGGAACCCGTTGCCGCCGGCCGGAAGGGTGGTTTCCTCCACTCTTATCCCTTCATACGCATTCACCGGAATTCCGTTCGGGACTGAAAGCAAGTGACAGCGGTGCGCGGGAATCTGGAACAGCGCAGAGGGAGTTGTCAACACTGATTTCTACCTTTTGATCTGAGGACAAGCTGATTATGGAAGGCCATTGAGCATGAAATATTGCCCCGCGGTAATGCAATTTACGACGAAACTTGCGGCCTTGAGCTGGTCAATTTGCAAAGTCCGTGGCAATCACACCCTTCTTTCATCAGGCATTAGGATGCATGCCAGCCATGAACCAGAGTACACCTTATACTGGGATCTTTTAGCCTTCTCGAGGGAACAAAGTCGAGCCTCCAGGCGTCTCAAGTGACTAGAGTATGCCAAGCACCACAACTAATTTACGCCCTGTTCTCATTTCCGAGATCTCGGCAGGCTTCCTTAACTCTCTCGACCAAGACCTTCTCACCCTCTCGAACCCATACACGAGGATCGTATTGCTTCTTGTTGGGCTTGTCGGCGCCCTCGGGGTTACCGACCTGAGACATGAGGTAGTCCTTCTTCTTGAGGACAAAGTCTCGGACTCCAGACAAGTATGCCCACTGGACAAGAGCGAGCGTGCATCAGTCAAAGCGGACATCAAGACCAGCTTGACACCCACCTGAGTGTCAGTGTCAACGTTCATCTTGACCACACCGTTGGTGACGGCCTCCCGGATCTCCTCCTTGGTTGATCCGGATCCTCCGTGGAAGACGAGGAAACTGTTGCGAGGCATCAGCTTGAGCCTACCGTCATGATTTTCTGCAGTCATGTCTCATCACTTTGACACCTCCTCCTCCACGAACGACCTCTCCGCAAGACTTTCAGAATGAAGCTGGGTGAAGCAGAAGAAGCAGGCTCTAAGGTGATGGGATGTCTATCTACGCTCTCTGGATCGCACCGATTCTCATGATTGAGGAGCAACCGGGCACTGTCTAAGCGAGGGAGCGGGGTGTGTGTGTTGGGGGGGGAGGAAAGGTGATGGTGAGTTCACTCACAGAGGCTTCTCGCCCTCCTTCTTCAGTTCCTTGGCTGTGTATTCCTGGTGTTTACCGAGAATATCGGGTCTGAGTTTGACGTTACCAGGCTTGTAGACTCCGTGAACGTTTCCGAATCCAGCGGCGATGGAGAAGTTGGGGGAGATCTTGGACAGAGCAGAGTAGACGTCCCAGATGTCTTCAGGTTGAGTGTAAAGGGAGGCGTTGTCGATTCCGGTGTTGTCGACACCGTCCTCTTCTCCACCAGTGATACCGATTTCCATCTCGAGCCATTCTGAGAGGTGATCAGTCCTGTCTCCGCAGAATGGGACGCACGGTTCATCTTAGCCATTCGCTCAAAGTATTTCACACAAGTGGCGATGTTCTCCTCCTTGGACTCTTCAGAGAGATCCAACATATGAGAGCTGGCGAATCGTCAGCTGGAAGTACCTCCTGGAAGTACCTCCTGGAAGTGCCAACTCACGAGAAAAGGGGCTCGCCGTGCTCCTTGAAGTAGGCTTCATCGGCGTCAAGCATACCGTCGAACCAAGGGAGGAGTTTCTGAGCACAGTGGTCGGAGTGAAGAACGACGGGGCTGGGATGATGGTCAATCATGGTCTAGCGCTCGACAACTCTGTGGACCTACATTCCGTACAGGGGGGCAATGGATCGGATGAAGTGAGCAGCGGCAGTAGCTCCGGCGATGGAAGCCTCTTGGTTTCCGTTGGCCAGTCCCTTACCTCCAAAGAAGGCAGCACCTCCTTGGGAGACCTGAAGAATGATGGGAGAGTTGATATCACGGGCAGCTTCGAGACATGCGTTAACGACGGAAGATGATGTCACGTTCTGCGCAGGGTCAGCGGGTGTATGTCAAACAGGTGGATCGACGCACAATGGCCTATTGAAAGCGGGTCGGAAGGATCATGTCAGTGAATTGTGTCCGCATCACACGGCACCACGTACAGGGATAGCGAACTGAACATTGGCGAATCAGTAACCGGCCGCCGACTTTCTAATGCCAAGCTGCTCACCTTGTTCTCTCGAGCGTATTCGAAGAGCTTCCGGACATTGTCTCCGGTGATGACACCGGCCTGTGAACGAGCTATCAGTACCACAACAGTCTTGTATGCATTTAACAACAGCGTCACTCACAGGGACGATGGACAGAGCGCCTTTACCTGTACCTGGCATTTTTGGAGTTGAGGTGGTGATGGTGTGTGGAGCTAGCTGTGAGGGGAGCAAGAGCATTCAGCGAGAAGGTCGACAGAGTGAGTTTGACGGTCAGAAGACCTCTGTCTCTCTCTCGTCGCCAGAGCACTCACGTTTGTAGATACAAGGGGGTGTTGAACGTTGTTATTGAAGAGAGCGAGAGAGAAGTCAAGTGAACCCTTCCCATGAACATTTGGTTCTCCCCAAATCTCCCGGGTAGCCGCTTTCAAAAGGTAGGATCAATTAAAAACGTTGGTGAGTATTTGAGCCGTTCATATCCGAAAAGATGATGCGGGGTAGTAAGTAGTCGAAGACCTGGAACGCCCATGCATCCTCATGCTATATACATTCAATGACGATTTGCTTTCATAGTGTAACGAGCTGAGACGAAGATTACCTGCAAAATACCATGGCCCATCATGAATCCAGATGCAACAGAGAACGGTGTATGATGAGAATATTTCTGGGATTCTTAAGCCAGCGACAGCCACGTCAACGCCAACAAGCAGGCAGCGCCTGACACGCCAACTTGCACTGAACAGCGTTCAGCTATAGATTGCCACGTTGAGAACAAGACTCACAAGAGAAACTTCTGATACCACCGCAGGTCTTGACCGCGGAAGGCATGGCGCTGGTGTCAAATTGGACTGCCGACGAGTTCAGGCCAAGAAGCGTTGTAGGGACCGACGATGGCAAGACAGTCGTCATGGTAGGTCCATCGACAGCCGACGATGACTTTGAATCGTCGTCAACAGGAGATGAAGGGCTTTCAACTTGTGCAGAGTAGCTCGGGCTACCATCTCGACGAACCGGTGGTGACTCAGGCCATGCTGGAGGGATCACAGGGTGCGATTGTCCTGTCCACTTGTTGAACGGATCTGAAAACCTCGACAAGAGTGACCGCCTGCTGTTTGGGACGTCCTGGACGTACTCCAATTTCCACCAGAGCGTGTAGTTCGATTCGCCACAATTGACCCCTCCCGAGGGGAACACAGCGGTAGAGTGCCCAAAGATTGGACCTTGCGACAACCTCTGGAAGGCTTGTGAGGGAATCATCACGGCATCCGTCGTCACAATCCCAGAGCAATCAGTGAGCGCATTTCGGGCGGATGCTTGGATCGCCGACAAGTCAAGCGGCGCATACTGTGCTCCAGAAGCTCTGAGTGCCACGCCAATGGTGGAGGTATTGACTGCAAAATTGGCCGCGGTCTGTGCCCAAGCGGAGGCGTAGTTGATAACAGTATCGCTGAGGGCTTTTCAAGGCGTCAGCGATCCTCTAGGATGTCATAGACTTCACATACATTTCAGGAGACTGTTGCCCGGTGTGCCTTTGATGTTTGTGCCCAACCAAGAAAAGGTCCAAGGATTGCTGGCATTCCAAGTGAAGTAAAAGCCAAAGCTGTCGGTGCCGTAGTCTGCCAAAAATCTCCGCTGACATTCTGTCGTGTACGCTCGTCCGTACCGATTTATGCGCTGCAGAGCCACGAGAGAGCCATCACCGTTATCACTGGGGCCGTTGATCTCGAAATTCAGAAAGTCGTGGGCGTCTTTGCCCCCGCTCGCCAGCGAGTTGACGGTAAAGTTGTACAGCCCGATGTGAAAGTTTTGCAAACCAGTCGGCAAGGGATTTGAGGTGGTGGTTGTCTACAGGAAGGTCAGCAACCACGCTTTGAATATGTGCAGACGAACAGATGTGGGAGGCGGCGTGTCAGCTCGGCTGAGTCGAGTCAGATTATACGTCAAAGTATACATCCAGTTGGGGTTGCATGGTTCTGGCACGGTGACATTGCTGTCAAACGCGGAGAAGGTGATTGTCCCTGTGATGGGTTGTTGACCCGCAGAATCGTACTCCAAGGAGGAAGCGATAACGATCTCTTTGGAGAGCAACAGCTGCTGACATTGCGATTGCACGAGCAGCGGATCCACTGCGCTGTCCAGAGTGCTTTGATCCGGGATATCCACCACATCGACGCTCCCGTTCCCGGCAGCAGGGTTATTGCCGATCCTTGGCAAGCTGTATGTCAGGGCTAAGTCGAATCAGATGCGAACAATTCAAGACTGTATCCATACTCACCCTGTGACACTGCAGCAGTAGCATTAGGTGCGTTCCAAACGGTCATCACGAATGATAAATCCGACGGATAGGCAACGAGGGTTTGCTGCCCACCCGGGATATTGGTGGTGACAGATTGTCCGGCTCCTAGGTAACCTATACTTCCGACACCGTATTCGCGATGAGGGAGCGCAGCAGTGCCAATGACAAGGCTTGAGGTACCACTGGGATCGATGCTGGTAATGCAATGGATAGAAGTGATCGTAAACAGCCAGGCGCTGATGGGATTGTATGCCCTGCGCAACAATTCAGTGTCAGAATTTTCCCTCACTGGAGACCTTGCTGTCTCACCTGACCCCCAGCCAGATCATGCCGTGCATTAGCAACAAGGAGATCAGCATTGGGATTGAGTTGATAGAATGGATGCGAGCAGGAAGATGTCTTGCACGACTACGATGGTTCGAGCTTGCATTCTCCCCTTTTTATACACTGACCGGACCAAAGCCTCGGGCTGGGAACAGATTTGCAATAATGGCCTTTGTCTGTATTGAGGAATGTGCCTCTTGCGTCAGTCCATGCAACTCTTGAAAGAGCGGGTCCCCCCTTGGTGACTAATACTTGGATGATCAGCAGTGCCTGATCGGCGGGGCCACCCTCCCTTTTTTTTTTTTTTTCAAAATTGCGGCGCTCTCCATTCTCAGTTCTTTCAACTTCTGATTCCCATCTCAAGGAGCCCACAGCCCGTTGTTTTAACGTAATGAAGCCACCATTTACAACTTGTAATCAGGGCTAGCAAGACGCCCCGTGGGAAGAAATGAGTGATTTTAACCCGCGCTCTACCCCCCTGCCCTCCCAACCATTGGTCAGAGGCGCTGTGAGTTAGCTGGAGGGAATTCGCAGATCCTAGGCACCGGCGATAGGCTCCGGGTCACCCCGGTCGGTGCATTCCACCAATATAGAGGTAGATGGCAGTGCATGGCCGATGAAGATCGCCGCATGACCCCTGTGACCTTGCGCAGACCAAGGAATATAAAGGTTCCACCTCGCCACCATGTCGCCGCCGAGCACAGAACATCATCCCTTTGGCAACTTGCTGCATCCTCTCGACTTGTGTTCGCCATGGTGGGTGTATCTCCGAAGGCGGAGAACAATACATTCTTTCGCTGATGTTCGTTCGCCTCCGGCAGCACTTTGAAGCCTATATCAAGAAGCTCACCATCATTCACACCGCTACGCCTGGGAAAGACACGTAAGGGCTACCGAGTTGCCAAGGTCTCACACTGACTTTGAAAACAGTGTTCATCAGCTCCTGGCCTTCCGACAGAACGACGTCCTGCTCTCCCCCGAGAAGAACCCAGCGTACTCCCACCGTGGGAGCCACAAGGGTGGCAAAGAGCTCACCGAAGTCAAAGGTCAGCTCAATGTCGACGTGTTTGGCAATGAGCCCATCGTCTTGTCCATCTTGGTCGCAAACATCGCTCACGGTACCATGGGACACATGGAGGCGGCATTGCAGACCATTGAAGGCAGGCAAAGGCCCGGCCAAGTAATTGTAGGCACTCCGCCGCAATCTACCTATGGGCTCAGTGAGTGGGAGGTCTCCAGCGTCTCGGGATTGAGAGCGGTCTTCCTTCGTGTGATCCGTTTCTCGGCGACCATGCCCGTGTTCCAACGCACATCGCGAAGGCTGAGGGGAGCGAGCTAGCTCAGCACCTTCAGCCGCAGTCGAGGCCGTCACGGGACGAATTACTCTGGAGTACCTGTTATGCAGGAAAAGGCTGACACGTTCAGCTGTCAAGGGGGCCAATCTGCAAACCGCAACTCAGCAGGAGCTTGACCGACAAGCAGCGATATTGATCGAAAGTCTTGGGAAAGCCATTGGGCATGGGATCGATCACTTCACGCGGGAGGCCGTAAGACGACTCCAGAATCACGACTGTATCCTCATTTACGATACTATCACCATCAAAAATCCCGAGGCATGGGAGATCAACAAGCCCATCGAATTCAAGACCCTCCGCGGCTTCCCTCAGGCCAGCATTGGTCACCCGGAATACGCACTAGATCTCGTCGTCGTGAGGCACACCTAGGTAAATTGATGGAGGAAGAGAGACCCCCGTCTCTCATCACCATTTATCCTCGTCTTCAGACATGAGTAGACTCAGAATCTGTTAGTGAATGCCAAAGTCAGTGTCAAATGTCAACGTCTAGTGCTCTGCCACGCGACGATGCCGTAATTCCCAGAATTTCCAGACATTCTCCGGCCGAAATCCTCACTCACTTGGACCCGGTACTCTAACTGGCTGGCTGGCTTGAATCTCTTTGGAGTTTATCTCTTTCTGAGAGGAGACGGGGGCGTGAAGAGAGAGAGAGAGAGAGAGAGAGAGAGAGAGGACCGTGAGGGGTGTGGAGACCGTTCTTCCCCAAGATGCCGCTGCTGTATCCAAACTTGAGAATCTCGCAGGTATTCGGAGGTGAATAAATAGCTCGGCCTTTAAAACGATGTTGCTGAATGACGATGTTAGCCAATACCGATGTCGGGAAGACTCTGCTTACAACGGCACTGGTCAGAAGTACGGCTCTCAGGTACAAAAGACAAGGTCTAGATGGTCAGAAAGTGCTTTATCTCAAGCCAGTCAGTACTGGACCTGATAGCGAGTCCGATGTCAGGTCCGTCCATCTTCCTCTTGCCTTCGGAGCCAAAAATGGCCATACTGACCCTTCGCAGCTATGTGCTTCGGAACGCTGGTGATCATCGGAAGATGATCAAAGCTGAAAATCTGTATCAATATCGCGAACCCATGTCGCCTCATCTGGCTGCTAGACTTGCGCGGGATCTTGTTAGTCTCCTTGCCCCCAACCCCCTAGCTATCGGCTGATACCCTCTGAAGCCATTCCCAAAGGAAAACGACATTCTCGTTCGAGCTGTTACATCATCTATTCAGTCCTTCAAGTCTCAGATAGGCTCCTCCAAAGGTTCCGTTTTCGTCGAGACAGCTGGGGGTGTCCACTCGCCCGCTCTTCATCCACCACATACTCAATCTACATTCCTTCGTCCACTGCGCCTTCCTTCCATCTTGATCGCCTCGCCCCATCTAGGCGGGATATCTACCACACTCACATCTTACGAATCCCTCCTAGTCCGCGGCTACTCCATCTCGGCTGTATTGTGCTTGCAAGACCGAGAAAACTACTATCGGAATCACGAGTTTCTCTCCGAATACTTTGGAGAAAGGGGTATCAAATGTTGGAGTGTACCTCCTCCACCTGAGAAGCGAGGAACACTACAAGAGGACACTACCAGGCTAGGAGAATGGTACGAGAGTTTGGAGACGGACCATGAGTCTGGCGTGTCGGCGTGTGTTGATTGGTTAGAGAAAGAACACGGAGATCGTATTGAGGAGCTAGACGGCATGGCAGAGCGGACACTAAACACCGTCTGGTATCCCTTCACACAGCACGGCATAGTGAGATCGAGCGATAAAGATGATTACCTGACACTTCTAGGTCAACAAGAAGGAAGATATCATGATCGTCGATTCGGCGCACGACGACTTTTTCGATGCATATTACTCCAAACCCAAGGGCGAATCATCCAGACCGACCAGCGCCGACCAGAGTCTCTTGAGACCTTATTTTGATGGATCAGCGTCTTGGTTCACGTAAGCGTACCTTTCATGGAACTGCAGTTGGGGCTGATCACTACCTAGACAATCCCACGGGCACGCTTCTGAGCCTTTGACGCTCGCTGCTGCAAGTGCAGCAGGCCGGTACGGACATGTCTTATTCCCTTCCGGTTCAAACAAACCCGCTCTCGAGCTGGCCGAAAAGTTATTGGAGACTGTCGGTCAAGGCTGGGCCGAACGCGTGTTCTATTCCGATGACGGAAGTACCGGTGTGGAGGTGGCACTCAAGATGGCTCTCAGAGCTGCCGGTCGAAGATATGGCTGGGATGGAGTTGATGGAGAGGAGGTCGGCGTGATTGGCTTGCGAGGAGGATATCACGGGGATACGGTGCGTAGGGAATGAGTCTGGGAAAGTGGACTGAGGCTGTTTCTAGATCGGCTCTATGGATGCCACACCCGCTTCGACTTATAATACAGCGGTGGATTGGTAAGTGCGAACTCGCTTCGGTGGGTCACTGACTGGCATCAGGTACAAGGGACGAGGTCATTGGTTCTCTCCTACGATCGTCACTTACGTCAATGGTCGACCGACAGTGTACACGACGTCACCAGATACATGGGCGCCATTAGATTCCTCAGACGCTGCATTGGATGCTTCATCTGACGGATCGGGCTGGAGCATAGGCTTTGACAAGCTTGATAACATATATGATCTATCGACTAGGCTGTCTACGCCAATGGCCGATTACTACCGTCGACATATCCGATTGACATTCGAGGATCTGGTCCTCAAGCAAGGCAAAAGGTTTGGCGCTATGATGATCGAGCCAACTTGTCTCGGAGCTGGAGGTATGGTCTTTGTGGATCCATTGTTCCAAGCGTGCCTTGTTGAGGTAGTCAGGTCGTCATCGGACCTCTTTGGAGGGTCAGGATCGTACAAGGATGACTTGAGCGGCTTAGGCAAGCGAGATACGTCTGAATGGCAAGGACTACCTGTGATTTACGATGAAGGCAAGTTACACGATCACTCAATTCCGCTCCCACGGAGCTGACACTCGCTCAGTGTTCTCTGGCCTGCACCGTTTTGGGTATCATTCCGCCGCATCTGTCCTACATCACACACCAGACATCTCGATATACGCCAAGATCCTCACAGGCGGTCTCTTACCACTTGCCGCGACGTTAGCCTCTTCATCCATTTTCAAGGCGTTCCTTTCACCTCACAAGGTCGATGCGTTATTACATGGTCATTCATACACTGCGAATCCGGTCGGATGTGCAGTCGCGTTGAAAAGTATGGAAATGATGACTGGACAAACTTGGGAAGCAGAACGAGCATTGTGGAACGGTAGTCAAAGATGGAGTTTCTGGTCTGAAGCATTTATCAAAAACGTCAGCCAAGCCGATGGTGTCAAAGGAGCTATGGCCATGGGAACTGTGTTCGCCATGGAGCTAGAGGATGCAGAAGGAGGTGAGTAGGCGAAGGGACCGCGGATCAGATTCCACTGACGAATTGCTTTCCTTCAGGCTACTCATCACATCGCGCTCAAAATTTCTTAACAGAGCTCCGACAAGTCCAAATCGGCTCTGAAGACGAAGTCACGCCATTCCAGATTCATTCGCGTCCGTTGGGGAATGTAGTATACATTATGACCAGTTTATTCAGCAAGCCCGAGGTGATCAGGACGATGGAGGGGGAGATAATAAAGAAGCTCTGGGAGACATAGAGATATACAACCATGATCATTCGCACCGCATAATCAATCAGTACAAGCATGCATAGACCCGAAACCGAGGATCCAGGAGCTACAACGAAAAATGCTTAGAAGAAATATCGTCATGCAGGATATTGAGATCCGCGAAACGATCACATGACTACTTGGTCATGCTCTTGATGACTTGATCTACGTCGCGTTGCGCTAAACCACTCGGAGCTGTCCGACGCAATTGCCTGTCAAGACTCAATCAATGAATCCCTTCCCAGTGTCTGGATCACCACTCACTCTAGCTTTGCCTTGTCGCCCCTCTCTTTGGCTGCCTCAGCAGCCTTGCCCCATTCAGCGCATTTGACGTAAAGATCAGATCTCGCCTTGGGGTCGCATCGAGGGACGAACGTGGCGGCTTGACTTGGGTGCGGAGGACTCAGGGACAGCAAGTGGGTCTATCAAAATGTCAGCGTGATCGCACTATGAGAAAGATGGGACTCACCACAAACGGTTCGTAGCCTATCGGACTCTTCTTGGACTTTGCAAATGCTTCTAAACCGTCCCAATCTTTCAGAGCGGCAAGCGCTTTGAGTTTGATCCACCAGAACCTGAGCGTTCGTCAGCCGGCCAAACCAGCATCGTAACGGAGAGCCAACACACCGCTTATCAGGGACTTTCCAGTCCGCTCTGACCTTTTCCGCTCGCTTATTCACGCCAGCCAGTAACAATTCGTAGATGAATTGGTTGACACTCAGACCAGCAAATTTCAAGCCCTGACTTGATAACTCCTTTTCGTACGTCAACTGAAGCGTCAGCAATCGATGTGCATCATCCGTCATCTGAAGAAAGCATCAGCAAGGATGGACGAGTAACTCTGACTCACCTTTGCCTCGAATGCTCTATCCTTGTGTTGCCCGAAAGATTGAGCAGCTGCAGCCAGATGATCCAGTCTTTGCTCTTGGCTTTGGCTCGCTCCAGCTTCCTCCATTTCCAGACAGGCAGTCTCAGTTCTCCTGTCATCTTGATAGTAAAAGTCGCGGAGGAGTTGACGGTCACCCTCTCGCGCATAGACTTGCAGCAATTTGACGGCAGGAGTGAGACCAGGCGAGACTGAGTCATCGAGGATGTGGAAAAAGTCCCCAGGGGAGAGCGTCCTGCGCAAATGCAGGAGGACGTGATATACTGAAGCGGGAATCAGCAATACACTACGACGCTTGGCAAAATACTCGCCTAGGTCCGTATCACCCGAGGCGATGGCTTTCACAAGAGCCACCTTGTTCTCCTTCATCTGCAGCAAAAGAGGGACCTGCTCTGCAGCTCGGAGTTCGTGATCCAGTAGCTGAAGAATCAGCGGACGGTGCTGTAGTAGGGCAGCTCACCATTGTTGCCAACGTCGTCCTGCCCGACTCCCAAGCCTTCTTTGCAATCTCAGCGTAGCTCACGCTCCTCTCCCCTTCCTTTTCAAACTTTGCAACAATGGCTTGACAGATCGCTTCATCAGTCTGTCCATCCATCTCTCTTGCGTGAGAGATTTTAGCAGTAGCCCAGTGCTTTAAGACCATATCTGGGCGCAAACCTAGATGCTGAGATATTCGAAGCGCGAGAAGGTGCAGATTCCGTGATATCAGGTGGGTTATGAGGGAGGTGGCCGATGAGGCAAGGTATCTTAGGCTCCGTCAGTGTGAGTCCGGATCACTAAAGCAGCACGCACTGTTCGTATGTAATGGGAATACCAATCTCAAAATATCGCACAGCGTTGAGCACTTTGAGCGTCTGACCCATGGTTACAAAGTCGCTTGGGTTGTACAGATCCATGAAAGCACGTCCAAACTGCGCCGCCTACCAAGTTGTAAGTAAGCAAGACCTTGAGTGATGACCCACCCTTAAGAGCTTCTTCTGCCAATGAGGCTCTGTCTCTCTTCCAGCAGCTTCGATGCATGTATCGACTGCGCTTGCTAGTTCCGGTCTTATTGCGCGTATGCTCTCATCGGCCTTCGGCGATTTGCGCTCGAAGTGATCCAAGGCGTCGAACAGTATCGCAGCGGGATGATCTGATCCAGGACGAAACACGGCTAAAGATGGGTCTAGATGACAGTGAGCGATCTGAAGGCAGCCCGCAAACGTTACCTGGGACTTTTTGAACGAAATCACAGGTCGACGAGGAGATGATTCTCAATCCATCAATCTCCCCTGCAAGCTCTGCAGACGGGGAATAATCATATCTGGGACGATCTCAGTACCTGATCCAGATCGCCCTGCCGACTCTCACCTCAACGCAGCCCCTCCAGGTCCGACAACTACGACTTTTCCACCCCAGCGCAACACCACGGCATTGTCGCCACACCAGGCGGCCTGTTCGACCGGCCCCTCGTGACCATCTAGGCCTTCGATTTGCGAAATCTCCACTTCCGATAAACTCCTCGCAAAGTCCGACGACACGACCCATAGCATCCCTGAGACAGTGATGAGGGCCAAAAAGCGGCCGTTGGGGGATAGGAGAATATGATTGAATGGCCCTCGGTCTATACGTTGATCTATACGTTCTAGCGAGTCGAGAGTGATGATCGTCGATCCTGTCGAAATTAGGACTTCAACATGGCCTGAAATGGATTGATCGGGCGGCACGACAGTCCATGACGAAGGAGGTTCCGTGAGTTCTTGAGACCAGGTCAGAAACTAACGGGTGACATTAGGGAGCTTGTCCGACTCACGAGATGAGGTCAATTGAATTGGTCTGGCTCCATGCCATCCCTTTACTTCCATGAAATGGAGGCCTCCATTGAAGACTACAAAGCCATCGTTGTACGCCACGGCGAATACAACTCCCATCTCACCAGACTCTCCTCCGAGCGTATGTTGAGCAAAAGAACCAGGGTTGGAAAGATCATACAGTCTATAGGTGCCTTCATCGGAAACGACCAAAAGATGAGTCGGCGTGAAGTGCAGTAAGACGGGAGGTGAAAGATCCCACTACTGAGAGTGAGCAGGCGACAAAAGGTAATTCTTCCTGACTTACTGCGAACGAGTCTATAGGCAATCCTGACGACGTGTACATGTATATTTTGGGCTTGCCAGGCATGTGTTTGCCTAACAGCATGACTTTGCGCTCGTCTCTCATGATGGCTGAGAGACTCGACGTAAGCCTCGGGTAGCAAAGCCGCCTCATCCATGATGAGGCTACCTACCTATCGGCCCTCCATTCTTGCCTACGGCTACGAGGTAATCTGACAAATCGGGGATTTGCCAGGACATTTGGTATACCTCGTCTTTACGATAGAATACATTCTTGATTGTGTCCCAGCTGACGATTGAGAAGCGGGAGCGATAAGCTTGCGCACAGTGAAGAAGTCCAAAGAATCACTCACCTGCTTGTGGGGGCAGGGACAGACATCGCTCGGGTTATAACTGAACAATGAGACAAGAGAGAAGATGGTTGCAATGCTGCATGGCCGTCAGAGGTCGCCATCGGACCTCGGGTCAATGACGGCATCCGGAAGGTCGCGAATGATTTTTCGCGAGCAGCTCATTACTCATACATTGTGGCCGGGATTGAGTCTCGAATGATAGTGACAGGTATCTAGAGCTTGTTCTAAAAAGGGCACAGGTGGTCTCATAGCTGTATATACAGACCGGCATGCAGGGTATAGGTCTATATCTCATCTCAAGCTGTGAAAGGCGCGACCAGACCCCCGAGAGTTCACCTCGGCGAGTGCGACGAGAAGAACCAAGATTCTGTGAGAAATCGTCAGCAGACTTTCGATGCTGTTATTACACTCACGTCTCTTGCCTGTCCCTTCATCCTGTTGAACTCGCGCAAGAGGACTAGAAGTCCCGTATAGCCCAGCGACCGGAGAGGTGCCTTGCTGAAGCGAAACGGGTCCCCCTCCTCCGCCTCGTAACGGCTTGGCTATGCGACCATGATTGTAGGTGTTTTGGTTCTTGTTTTGAGCTGCAGAGAAATTGAGCTCGTTTCAAATGTTCGTAAGATGCAGCACTTCACCCTCCAATAGCTTTTCCCTGAACGCCTGAATATGAGCCTCATACTTTTGATTCTTCGCTACGACCTTGTTTTCAGCGGCAGTGAGCAAGGTTTCGAGGTTTTGAATGCGGTCGTTACGAGCGAGTAGTTTACGCTCTGCAATAGCAGTCTCCTTTTTCAGAGCAGTGTTCTGTTCGACAAGCTAAAGTGATGGGTCAGCTCTGTCACGCCTCGCGGTACGAGCACCCCACCTGCTTCTGCACATCGTTTAAGGCATCCAAGTTGTGTTCCAGGAATTCAAGTTTTCGTTGCTGGGACTTTGAGTTGGCCGATCGAGCAATGACTTTGTATTGCTCTTTGACCTCGTCCAATTGCATCTCTAGCTCAACAACCTGAAAAACGTCAGCATAACCATGTGGTCGCTAACCCACCTTCTCGCATCGGTTCTGCAAATCTTTCATCAAGCTCTTCTTGACGATGTCGAACTCTGAGAATTGAATTTCGTAGTTCTTTCGTATCCGCTCAAATTCACGTGTCGAGCTCGCAAATGATTCTCCTCCTTCCACACTGGACGAGGCGGCCGACAGAGCGCGCTGCAATGTGAAATGTCCGAGATTGGGGAATAACAAAAGGGGTAAGGCGAGGAAGCAAGTGGACGAAGATATGTTTAAAGAGAAAAGAAAAAGGTGTCAGATAATGACAAAAAAAGAAGACACAGAAAATGAGGGCAAGGAAAGAAAAGAAACAGACAAACCCTGGTCAGCCCGAGATTCCGATCCGCGATATCCAGGTAGGGCATCGGCTCACATTGAGCTCCTCGTTCGACAATTTGTAGCTTTCGATAGTATTTTGCAATCGCCTCATCTCGGCGGAACGATTCTCCAGGTGCTCGCTCAAAGAGGCCACCTCGTTGCGAAGCATCTCTTCTTGAGCGTGGTATCGAGCTTCGAATTGGGCCTGCAAGCAGGGTTGAGCAACGAGCAGTCTCTTACCTAACCCACCTTGATATCCGCTACCGCCACAGACTGACTTGAAGCAGTCTTGTCTGAGAACACATCAACGAACATGCCAATCGGAAAGCGCTTCGCCCACCTAGAAGCTCCTCGTATGCCTGATCCCGCTTCGCCAACATCTTTTCGACCTCTGCCCGCCTCTTGCCTTGCACATCGACCTCCTCTTGACTCATTCTCAGTCGCTCCTTGAGGTCTCGAACCAAGTCCTGGTTCTCCGCTAGATGAGTTTTGATCAACTCCTTGGCCTGTGCAGATAATTGAGGTGACGCGTTTTCCTTGTTGGTTTCGAGGTCTTTGAGGACGTGTCTCAGCTTTTCTCCGGCCGAGTCCAGGGATGCTCCACCCTGCAATTGGTGTCAGCGAAGTTAAGGGAAAGATGGAGGACTGACCATGTCGATCTTGCTCATCATATCGTTGAGCATCTCTTGTTTTCGCTTCTCCTTCTCTTCCTCCTTCTCGCGGCTGTGTGACTTCTTCATCTCCTCGACCTTTGCTCGTTGCTCCTCAATATCTTTCTGCAACTCTGCCACCTTCTCTTTATAGCTATCCAAGGTGATAGTGGCGTCCTTGGCATCCGCTTCAAGGCGAGCAGCACTGATACGAAGCTCGCTAAGCTCTGAGGACATGCTCTTATTCTCCTACGGAGTCATCAGCTTGTATTCGGTCTCGGTCTGGACAAGAGCAGGCGCACTTTTGAGGCACTACCCTCCTGCTCTTTGAGGTAAGCGATCTCGTCTCGCAAATCAGCGATTGCCTTTTCTTGATTGGACAGGGCAGATTCCTGATGGAGTGTCAGCCAAGATTTGCAACCTATTATCCACCACCCCACCTTTTCGGCGAGTTGATCACTGAGCTCATTCTCCCGTCTGAAGAACTCTTCTCGCTCGTCCTTGTCCATGCTTCCCACACTATAGCTCGGTGTATCAGGTCGGCCATCCATAAGAGAAGGCAGTAAGCCACCAGGTGTGCCGGCACGACTCGGCGTCCCACTTCCCGGTGTGACAGGAGATGGACTCATTGTCGCTTTCCTAGCTGCCAGTGTAGATCCGGACGTGCTCTTGAAACCCTCGGAGATTGACGGTGTCCACTTATCTTGATCGACCGAGCCACCCGATCTCCACGTCTTGACTTCCTCTTCCAATGCCGCAGCGTGCTCGCGGACGGCGGCCAGCTCAGCAACGGTCCGTTTGAGCAAGGCTTTGAGCTCTGCAGGGGACATCTCGACGTTGACATGAGCCTTGTTCTTGATCGATTTGGCCCGAGTGCCGAAACGCAGCGTCGACAGAGTCTCTGGCTCGTTAAAGCTGGCCGGTGAACAATTAATGATCAGAGTAGTCCGGCTGTTGCCTCCGAGCGATTCTGTATCCTTGTCAGCTTACAGTGTACAATTACCAGCTCACCTTGAAGCAATCTTGTGAGCTTGGAATCTCGATATGGCACATGAGAGGACTGACGATCGTCAGTGATGAAGTTCAATTTTAGGTACCTTTCCGTCGGTCAGAGCATTGATGACCATTCCTAATGCCGACAAGCTTTTGTTGATTTTCTTTGCTTCTTCCAATGTTTGACCTGTAGCACCAGTTTTGCCGACCTGAGGAGAGCATCAGAAAGCTGCATACAGCTCGACCCGGATTTGCACACCTTTTCAGATCCCGCGAGATCGACAAGATATAAATTTCCGCTCTTTTGACTCCCCGACTCAGTGTTCCGCTGGTGAATGCCAATGACAAAGATGGAATGTGAACGAGAAGATTCAGCATTCATATCTGAGCGCGATGTCAGCTTCACACCAGAATGACACCGCGGCTCACTGGTTGAAGACGTCGCTCGACTTGCTCCTCCGGCCTTGAGGACTTTGTAGACCTCTGACTCTGATCCCACATACACTTCAGTCAAGTTCTTCACGTAAACTCCTCGTTGCTTGTCCTCATGTATGGACAGATTGTCGTTTTGAGCTTTGAAAACATCAGGATTTAAATTCCGAAAGAGACGCTCACGAGCCAGCAAATCCTTGATCCGCTCCATGTAGATCTCCATATAGCTGACTTTCACGGTGTACTCGATCGTAACGTCTGCGGACATGATTGAAGCGAAGATTTGTTCAACGATTCGAGGGATGAGACCTCGCATCTCTTGGCTTTCGATGTCCGCTCCCTGGAGACGTGATCAGTGGAGCTGGAGGGCCATTGATCCTACCATCATAGCTGAGGGACCATTCAGCAAGCTGACCTGTTAAATATTCGCTTGACTCACTGAAAGACTTTCCACTACCAGTTTGGCCGTAACAAAAGAGCGTCCCATTGAAGCCGGTCATCACATCTGCGAACATTCATCAGTTGGACTTTGAGTGAGCCTGGAGAGCGACATACCCTCAACGATCCCCTTCACTCCCCACTCAAATATCTCTATCTGTCTCGTGTCCTGTTTGAACACTCTATCAAATGTGAAACCTGCGAGCACGTCAATCAGGCATCGCTTAGAATATCACTCAATCAGACCAACCATCTTTCTCGGGACCCGCTTTGAGAGGGTCAGCCAGCTTCAACCGGGCCTGACGCCATATTCCTCACCTAGACTCGAGGCGTTCGGATTTCTCAAAGCTACCGTTGTACATTGTTCGTCGATATCGACGCAATCCTCCGATCCCGCTTCAATCTCCATACGATTGAAGGGTCGGAATCTGAAAGGTAGGCTTAGTCGTGCATGCATAGATGCGGATGGAGGCAAACTCACCGGCACACCACCTATCACATCATGAGTGAGCTCTACATTCTCGATGTAACATGGATCACTCACCTTGATATTGTTCGACATCTCGACTCGACCCCGATCTGGTGAGGTATGCTATGGGCGGCGACACCCTTTTTACCCCTGGCCTCGGTATCCAGAAGTCCCGAGATGCTTCTAAACGCCTGTCCCTCAAGGAGATGTCAAGTCTCAAAAGTTGTCGATCGTCACTGATGTGGTTGTTGATACCAAAACCTTGCAGTTCATCAAAAGACCTGAGTCAATGTCTCTCTTGTCGTTGCTGAATTAGATGAAAGAGTGGACTGAAACAATGGCAGAAACCTTGAAACGCGATCAGACGCGCGCGTGGACGGAGATTGGATCAGATCTCCGCGTCATCGAAAAGTTAGCAGCAGACTGCGATCGCATCTCAGAGACTCCGGAGTGTGATTATATCCATACATACTGAAGATGTCCTTAGGTTCCAAGATCTTCCTTGGCGGGTCACTCTTAGGATCTGTTGCTGTTGTATGGGGTGTCCATGCGCTGCAAAAGCGTGAGCAAGATGTGGGTGAATGATGGTCGACGAGTCTTTTGGCTGACGGATTTTCTTTCCAGACAATGTATCAAGGAGTCATTAAGGACGACATACGGGTTCGAAACAAGGCGACGGCAGCTGCAGCGGCTAAGCTTCAGGCAGCCGCCGAGGGAGCGATTCGTATACCTCCTCTAGCACCACTAAACACACCTGGCGCACCGACACAGCGGCCTTACGATCCTACCATTTCGTCCTCCTCATCTTCTTCATCGTCTTCCACCTTTCGCCCGATACGGCGCTTTGACGAGGATGATGACCGGCCCTTGATGGGTGTAGGTATAGCTCAGCCTCCACCATCGGTCGATGAGGACTGCGCGACGTGTGTTATCTCCCCTCCGCCTCAATTGGTCGAATCGCAGTCAAAAGAGACGAGGCAGAAGGAAAGAGAAGAGCGTTTAGCAGAATATGAAGCGCAGAAGAAGCTGGCTGGGAGACTGCAAAGAGAACAGGGTCTACACGATGAGCCAGAGAGTGGAAGACTGGTGTAGAGGCCTTCAATCGACGACTGCATTGCCTGGTCACCGATCCGCACTACAACATATAATGATGTACACAATTCATGTGATGTCCGCGCATCCTCACTTGTCTCGCCCATCTGAAGAAACCGACGCCTCTCGCCTGAAGACCAGGTATACCGACGCTGTCCAGGTGTAGGACAAATCTCTGTTGCCCTGTCCCGTTTTGGCGTCAAAGTTCTCTGCAAATCCGTTCTCTTCGCAGAGACTGATAAATCTGCTTCGGATTGTATCCGCCAATTTGTTGGCTCTTGCAAGCCGGACGCCGGATTCGAGCAGCATTGTCGACGGCGCCCAAACTGGTCCTCGCCAATATCCATCAGGCTCGTATAGTGTAGACTCAGGATGTTCAGTTGCCAGACCCCACCTGGTCAGATGACCCTCTATCCCTCGCACCAGGCTTTGAACGATTTCGGAGGGCAGGTATGAGGCCGCAACTACGGGCATGAAGCTGAGCAGACTGGTCGAGGTCCACGTCTCCCCATTGTAAGCGTCTTTAAACGCGAATGCCTCAGCTTTCCCATCCCATAATTCATTGACCAAAGCGTTGAGCGTCGTCTGCTTCAATTTGGCCCAGGAGTGAGCTTGTTCCTCATGTCCCAGGACCTCGGCGAGCTTGGCCAGGAAATCGGCCTGAATGACCAAGAAGGCCGCTAGATCAGGAGACACTGTGACGGTCTGTCGATCGAAACAAGTTGCATTGTCCCATCCGCTGTCGTTGCCATGAACGTAGTAAGGTAGCTTTGAGATTGACGTCCTTCGCCGTTTGAACCAGAAATCGGTGTTGGTACAGATGTTGTCGTATATCATCGGCAGATTGTCTTGACCCAAAAGGGTGAAATCTGGCTCACTGAGGGGATCTTTCGACCCTTGCAGTTCCATGAGCTTGAACATCGTCCATCCGTAGATAGGTGGCTTGGTATAGTCGTACAAAACCTCGTTGCGCATGATTGAATCCGGTAGCCTGCCCTCTGGTGTGATGTGATCGAACGGTAGGAAGACTTGGCCAAGGGCTCTAGCCATAGAGGCGGAAGCCAATGCCAGGCCATTGATACAATTATCCCATGACCAGATCTGCGATCGGATCAGTATAGAGGTTCGATTGCTATGCCTACCTTGTTCATCCACAATTTTGACATGAGCACAGTCTCCGATTTCAGGAACCCGGCCGGTCGGATAGTCGATGTCCACTCGACGTAGGAGGCGAGCATGTCCGCAGGTGTCGTCTGTTCCAGGCCCCAGGGGCTTAGCTCAGTGGCATATTCTCTGAAATTGGCTGCCATGGTTTCGACCGAAGATTCGAACGGCTCACTCGCATCAAGCCCGGCGTCTAAGGGAAGTGGGTCGCTCCTCTCTGTCTCTTTCTCGACGATCAGCATTTCCCAGTGCGGATGCCCGTTTGTCCTGGTAATTGAGAGACGACGACTATTGTCCTTGAATGTGCTGTTGTAAGGAGCACCATTGAACAACTCTGCCTTGCCGGAGACAACGATGAAGTTCAGAGCGACATTAGGCAAGCAAGTGTATTCGATAACCTCTCTGGCTTCTTCGTCATTAGGGGGTACACGATGGAGCCAGTTTCGCCAGTGATCTACATCCAGCTTTCCTTCGGTATCGAAAGACATGTCTACCGTGCCTCTGACTCTGATTGTTCGGTAATTTACAAAAGTAGCCTCGGCCATCGTGTTTTCCTCGTATGACCAAGTGAAGAGGCTCGGTGTGGCCGCGAGATCGACGCCAGACGGAGTCGTCGGGAATCCTGTAGGTGGCAGAGGTAGCGATTGACTGACCAGCGGCCGAAGTGAGAACAAGGGGAGTCCAAAGCCATAGTTGTGAGAGATCAGATAGGCATCTTGACCTGGCGTGAGTTCACCACCATCTCCGGCCCGAGTCGCCAGGCAGAGGTACGCGCCACGGTACGACCATGGGATGATGCTCGGGTCGACTGGGACTTGGAACACGCTCTCGTGAGTTGTGATGCCTTCGCTCATCATGACTGAGGTTGCACAAGTCGGAAAGCGATCATGTCTGCTTCTGTACCCCCTTGAATGTCTGATCCGAACATAGACATTCGCAAACCCGATATCGGAACCTGCCCGAGAGGACACCGGCGACATCTCGGTCATTTGCAATATCGCCGAGATCTCGGCGATCAGTCCAGCAGCATCATCGTGATCTGACCGTCTGCCTCTCAGTCGGAGCAACAGTCATGATGAGATATGCATGGGTGACTGCCCGTCCTTTGGGTGGCGAAGAGTGGCAGATGTCCGCATAGGATCGCTAGGCGAGACATTGTGAATCAGACCTCAGTGATGCGCTGCATTTCGGAAGTCTCAGATGACCTGTGGGACACCGGCAGCCTAACTGACTGACTCCTCATAATTTCCGCCATCGGGTTGTTCGGTCTTGCAAAACATAGAGATTGATCGCGGAGTTTTTTTCCCCCTATCATCACATGTCCCAGGCGGTCACGTTGCCTCCGTGACGTTGCTCGAACTCGAAGCCGACTTGTTGCTTCTCGTCCGGCTCATCCGATCATGTCAAATGCTGCTCAAGCTGATAGCGAGGAAATTAAGAGAAGTATGTTGTTGTCAAGAGGCTCGGCGTGATGGCCGAAAAAAGAAAAGGCTGACCTGTGTTGTTCGCCGTGCATACAGTTCCAGCATGCGTGAGCATTGGTGATCGAACCTTGGTTTGAGGAAGCTAACGATCGGAAAAAATGGTCTCAGGACGAATGTCGACACCACAAGATCAAGTGCATAGATAAAGATAAACCACCATGTAAACGGTGTCGAGCGTTTGGCATCTCATGCACGTTCGGGGCTAAATCCCGTATGGTTCCGTCCGCAAGGACGTCGGTAGACCATGGAGCAGACGTATCGGATCCAAGGTGAGCCCAGTCTTCTTTCGCTCCAGTGACAATTCGCTCACAGCTACCTAGTCGACTGTCCAGCCTGGAGAACCAGATGCGAGATGTCCATTCAGCGCTGAGAGATATCACGAGCCTCCTCCGGGCGCCCGGAGCAGTAGCCATGGGGAACCAGCGAATCGGCCCCGATTCTTTTCACCAACAGATGTCTGCGCCGAGATCACTCGACATTCCTGATCGAGATTCCATGGTCCATTTTGAATCGTCCTCTTCAATCTCAAACCTTGATAGAAGAGCGCAATCTGGTCTGAGGGATTCTCGACCTGACATCAGCATCTCACCCGAGGGCTCGACATCTCAACGACACTCGTCGGTCAAACCTTCGTTGTCTCAGGAACGAGGTCCCTCCATTGGATTCAGTCCTCTCGATCCACCATCACGAGCTGAGGACTTCTTGGCTGCTGCTGCAACTACTGCCCCGATGAGTGAGGTTTTGTACGAGGATGAACAGGCCCGTCTGAGGGAAGATACATTACCGGACGAGCAGAGGGGCTCAAGTTCAGACACATCTCAAGCACAGCCAAATGAAAAGTCCCATTTGAGAGGGAGGAAGAGGAAATTTGCCCGAGATCCCCATGAGGACGAACAGGATCCGTTTGGACCAGGAGGAGCTTTCTCCGATGATCCAGACGCTTGGAGCAAAGACCCGATCGATCAGGGACTGTGTACCTTGGAAGAAGGGACTTTATGGTTTCAACGGTATGCTTCGAGGGCTTTCACAGATCACTCATCGTTCAACCAGTTTCTTCAATGGCGCACACAATTACCTGCCTTTGTTCGACCCACAGCACGACACGTTCGAAAGGTGGAGAGAGATACGAGAATCAGATGTTGACTGGCCTTAGACTCCGAAAGAGGTCGCCATTGGCCGTCAGCGTCATACTCATGGTAGGACAAAAGACGAGCGAACGTGGGATGGCCGGTCGTAACATAGCTGACTAGCGACTCTAGCAACTGAAGACTCAAAAGCGGTCCAGATGAGACTGAAGTCGGCCGCGGACAGACTCGGTGAGGTCTGGTCTACGGAGTCTCAGCTGAACCATGGCAGCCTCAATCACCCTCTTTTCACCCGTCTGCTCCATTGAGCTGGTGTCCGCGACCTGTGGGTGTGGCGTAGGATTGCCTTGATCACGCTGAATGATGTCCAGTAATCCTCTCTTGCTGGAGTGATACTGCCTGGAGACTTGGAAGTGAGCCATTGGTCTGTACAGTCACCTGATAATTCCGCAGTGCAAGCCTTGGCCATTGCGTGAGCTGCTCGCGAAGACTGGACTGAGTCTCACAGCGTCGATCTCGGCATACACCGGTGTCTGCCGCGACTGGTAGAGACTGGTATGGGTTCGGGAAAGACTCAAGAGGAGCTGGAGCGGGAGAGACCCTTAGTCGCTGGTGCGCGGGTGTTCATGGGTGTAAGAGCTCCGACTTTCGCTCGTTTGGCAATTTCTGATTTTGTGTGAACAGATCTGCAAGACCATCATAGAGTCTGTCCAACGATCCGCTCCGGAGACAAAGCTGACGGCTTGATCAGGATGTGTTTCAACTACGGACGACCCATACCGTTCCCATTTGAATGGACAATGAAGTCCGCACGGAAGCTGTTAAATCATCCCCTTTCATTAGTGTTCGATAGCCGACTAGTGATGGTCAACGAGGTGTATGCTATGAGGAGTGAGGCAGACGGACCAAAGCACGAGCTGAGCGACTTTCTTCAGTTCCCCTACATGAACCATGGACCCTAAAGCCGACGAGCAAGTCCATGAATGACTCGTCTATAGTGGAAGCCAAGACGAGACTGCAAGAGTGGGCCACGTATTGGCGAGCATACTACGGTGCGTTCGATAGGTTGCCGCAGCGCACAATCGACTGATATTGTTGCAGAGCTTCAGGAAGTGATGCCGGATCATTTCTTGGTTACTGAACTCTTCACAATCGAATGCTATGCAGTGTAAGTCTGTCAGTCAGGGCTAGGTAATTCGGCTGATCCCCGTCTCAGATTGCAGATTAATGCAGCCGTCTTGTACGGCGTGCGGGATAAGGAAGATGTTTTAGCGCTGACCGTTGAGAGACGATCATGGCTAGAAGCTGCGCTTCAAGCAGCTTCTACACTAGTCGCAAGAGTCGCCCGGCGATCTGAGGTCAGTCTAAACGACTCCGCCATCTAGGCCATGCTGACCTCCCGCGTTCAGTTTGAGAAGTTGAAATATGGTGAGCTGGTGACCACACTGGAAGATCTATCTCAAGCTGAAAGTATTGCAGCCAATCGATTTGCTCGTGAATTGTCCCGCCCTTTTAAGTCACTGGACTACTGCTGACATTCGGCAGATCTCGGTCTGGTCACTGTCGCTCGCTACTTGATCCGATTAGCGTGTCTCATGCCAGAAGAGATTGACCTGAGGCGAGCCGCAAAGGACGTCGAGCTAATGGCTGAAAAGCTCGCCACAAGTAGGATGCCATTAGCGGTGCCGGCTGACGAAGACAGTCTCGGATTTCAGACTCGCGGGCTTCCTCCGCAGTATCGTCAATAAAGCTAGAGAGCAATCTCAATTACCTCCTGGTTCTCGGATAGGAACTCCAAGCCGCGATATGAGCTTGCATATGACGCGAGAGTCTGAAGGTGATCATTCTCGGGGCAACGCTCTGGATTCTTCAGGAGACCCAGGTGCCATGTATTATGCCAATCAAGAGGGCATCCCATCTCTTGACGGTCTCAATTGGGCTTTCCTCCAAGCTGATGATCTGTTCTCTTCACAATCTTGGATGGAGACATCGGAAGTGAGTCAGCAACGGAGAAATACCAACTGAGCGTTCAGCAATCGTTGGATCCGAATGTTTGGTCACATTCGTTGCCGTTAGGTGAGCGAGAACCAAGCACATGTAGTGCTGATACGTAGGACCAGAGTTTGCCACTGGATCTCTCCAGGACACGTCAATGCCTGGGAACGGATACTGGGGAGGGGCAGATACCCCGTTCTGGGAAAAATAGACATTACATCGTGCTGGATGCATACGCGGACACTTGGCAGTTCTAGATCTGCTCAGAGTTGGACGAGAGACCGGAAATGGTTGTCCAGATGTCTCGAACCATTTCTTCAGCTCGCTTTTCGATCGCATCATTGCCTCCGTCGAGGTGGCCAAAAATTTTCTCGTTGATTGCAGGGGAGAGCGGGAGAAGATGGGTTTCGTACTGTGAAAGGGTGTCAGCAAGAATTCCCCACATGATCCACAGACTCACTCTCCGCACAAACTCTCTATACCAACCCCATCTGCTTCGCACGCCCCACCAGCCAGATTCACCTCCCTCCAACAGCATCAAGACTCCTTTCAGCCCTTGGCCACCCTCGGAACTCGATGTCCAGGGTAAAAGATCGGATACGAAGTGTCGCATGACAGCCAATAGGACCTTCTCCAGCCTGTCAGATTGGATATCAAGCGATGTCTGCGCATCTCGAGCTTCTTTTGATCGTTCCAACTTGGCTTCTGCGGAAACGTCAGCTCAAATCGGCGACGCAAATTCACCTTCCGGCTCGACATCCTCATTTTCACCCACACCTTCGCCCCTATCCAGCTTTTCTGCCGCTCTCTTCGCTCTTGCCGCCTCGTCCTCCTTGTCTACCATCCTCACTCTGCGTTTGATAGCCATGACGCGGCCAACATGTTTCTCCAAGCACATTCGTAGTATCTCCCACTTTTCTCCGTCTGTCCAGCCGTCACCTCCCTCTCCACTCTCTCCGCCGCCGCCGCCTGCCTCTCTTGAAAATACCCATTCCACTACGTCGAGGCCCTCGAGAATACCATACTGGAGATACTTATCGACAGTGATTAGACGCATCTGACTCGATCGTCTCCAAAATGATGCAACGGCTTCCAGCAATGTCCGACGTGCCGATTGATCGGGTGTCAAATACCGCAGCGTATCCAGATACCGTTCCGTGGCGTTCAAGAAATGGGAGAAAGATCGTGAGCCGAGATGGAGAAGTGTTTCAGCAGCCATGATTCGGATCGATTCAGGAGATGCAGAAGTGATTGAGCCTAGGTGATCGCGTACATCCTGAGGAGATGCTTTTTGACGGTACATTTCCAGCAAGGTGGAGGCTTCCGAGTGCATGGGGTTTTCTGATTGGCGTCAACGGGTGGTTCGCGACTGATCGACTCACCAGGCTGCTCATATTGCCACACGGGGTCAGGTGGATCGTGAGAGATGACGCCAGCACCTTCGACCGTCATGGGCTCAGGCAGAGTCTGCAATATACGGTCGTGGTATGCTAAGCGTACTTCGAGTTCCACGACACGCCGCATAAAGGCTCGTCTCGGGTGAGCAGCGGGCAGTTCCAGTTCGGGAATCCTACGACTCGTCAGCACATTCCTATCTGCTCACCGTTGAGACTCACCATTCCTTCCACATCCACTGAAATCCGAAGTTGCTGAGATGCGTTGCGAACCATTCGGAGATCCGCCTAGCTACTTCAACTTCAAGGCCTTCCGCTCCTAGTAGAGAGAAGACACGTCGGACAGCTCTCCCAACTGGTGGCGCTACGGTGTTTGGGCTGAGTTTGCACAGTTCTGTCAAAACACTGCCATAGTATAGGAGAGGGAAAGGTGATTCGGGCAAGGCCGTCATGGTCTGTAAGATAGTTTGGACGATGAGCGATTCGAGGGACCTTGTCGAAAACGATTGATCGGCTTCTGAAGGCGGGTTGAGTGGTTTGAATGTTTGACGGGTGACGAATTGACGGAGGGAAAGCAGAATCCTCGCGCATTCTTTCCGGTTGACTTCGAAGAGGGTCACGATATCCAATATCAAGCTTCGGAGAGTCCATCCGTCCAACGTCGTAGAGGGATGAACGACCTGTGATAGCTCAGCTCGAGCGCCTTAGAGCCCACTCACGTCTTCCGCGAACAAGACCAAACCGCCTGTGCGCCCCTCTCCATCCTCCATGCTTGGCTCGCCTGCTTCGTACATCTCTGGAGGGATGCTTGCAGCTGCAAGATCGAACAGAGGTGATCGACTACAGCCTTCAGGTAGCTGAATCTCCTCCCAGTATCGAGGTAGGCAATCCGGGGGTTCGTAAGCTCTACTCCGTAGATCCTCAAGGACGGTAGCGAGCTCGCCAAGTGTCTAGGACTTCAGCAAAAACGACGTGAGCAAGCTTACATCTCGGAACGTCTCTTTCTCTTCTCCCTCCGCTAGTATAGGCGCGATGGGATCTATCAGATCAGTATTCACGCTCCTCGAGTTGATGGCGTGTTCAAGTTGGCCCATGATGGTTTCTAACTCTGCCGTGTGATCCTCATTGAGGGCTTTGGCAGACTGCAAGGGAGATCAACGACATCCCAAATGAGTCGACTGACCCTCATGAGACCCTCGCCGAGCGCGCGAATGACACGCTCTGCACGATTTCCACCACCGCCAAATTCATCCAGAACCGTCAGCAGAGAACGGTAGACTTCGAGCAGGGTGGAAGGTGACACCAGGCGAGCAGGAACAAGCAGAGAGAAGAATTGGATCTGGGATATGTGAGATTGGCTCGCTCAGGCATCTTAAACTCACGCAACATCTCATGCTTAGCCATTCTCGCCCTTCGACCCAGGTTCGGAAAGCTTGAGATAAATCCTCGAGAACCTCCCTGCCATATTCTGGTTCGCCGCTCTCGGCTTTGCGCTTCTCTCCGGTGTGATGATCCTCGTCATTGCCATCAGTACGATTATCGATGAACGAGAGATGGGTGAGCAATGAAACGAAATGAGGATGCTTGTGGGGTTCTTGTGACACCCTGGTCGAAGAAATCAACGACGAGGCAAGAGTAGGATCCATCACCATTGCTCACCCGACTCTGAACCCTTCAAAGACTCCCTTTGAACCTTCCCGCCATTGACGTTTGAGTGCTCTTGCCAGACGGGGAGGATCCTCGATCGGATGAAAGTCCTGACCATTTGAGCTTCACTCCGTTGACTGGCACTCACCTCTTCCTCTGCGAACCGAATGATCATCTTCTTCATCCGGTTATAAGAACTCTCTGGAGGAGGTCCTCTCCCGTCTCTATCTCTATCTCGATGGTCTCTCCTGTCCCTTCCGTCACGTCCGTCGCGTCCTCCGCCCCCGCCTCCGTACCCTCTGCCTCTCCCTCCTCGTCCACCGTACCCTCTGCCACCACCACCACCACCACCACCACCTCCCCCTACTCCCCCTCCGTATCCCATGTTCATGCCCATGTTCTGCATTCCAAACCCTGCTCCGCCATTGAAGACAGGCCCACTGTACCCGTTATAGCCATTCTGATAGCTCATTGCGGTGACCAAGTCATGGTACAGTATTACTAAGACGCATCACAAGTTCTCGACACAGACGACGGAAGCAAAATTTCGAAAAGCCTGGTGACCATCCCGGTCTGTCAAGCACCTCCCATCTGTCTGTACTTTGCCAGTCTCATGGGAGCGTCCGAGGTAGCAGCTCAGGGCACATTCGAATGCCTGGAAAGACGGCAAAGGATCTGAAGTGTCAGGTGTGTCATGAGAGTAGCGCCAAGTACAGGTGCCCGGGCTGCCCGACCCGATAGTGAGTCGGCAAGTGCCAAGGGGACTCGCAATGCTGACTCTAGGGATTCAAGCTGCTCTGTCCAGTGCTTCAAGTTGCACAAATGTGAATTCCTCCCCGCTGCTCAGACGCAGATTCCTGAGCTCATATTGAACAGTGAACGCCTGTCAGGCAGACGCCAAGCCAGATGTCGATGCATCGAAGGTCGAAGAAACACTTGTGAAACCGGATCCGGATGGCATTCTGGATGTGGGGGGGATTGCGACCCCGAATGAGGAACCACCTTCCGTTAAGGCTAGAGATGGTCCGCTTAAACCGCTCACAGAGCTCCTCTGGCCGCCTGAACCCGATCCGTCCATCTTCATGGATCCCTTGACGCGGGAAGATCCTAAACCGCTGAGGCATGAAGAGCTACTTCGTATAGGTGAACATCAGCTGAAAGGCAAAGATGCTGATCAACCACTTCAGCTACTTCGTCTTCGCTCCGGTACCTATTGAGCTCGACTCCCTTACCTCGGATCTTGAAGATTCTTGACTCGCTTCCCACCGCATCTGCACGCTCCTCCTGTCTCGCACGATTATTAGGCCTGGACCCCATTTCAATGGCAAAGCCCGATAATCCTATTCTGAATCAGAGGGATTCTCCTCCACCGTTGGAAGATTTACTCAGAGCTGCGATTGGAGAGAACAAGTCAGAGACTGGGTCAGGAGCATGGGCTGATGATGAAGGCTGGTGGCTCGAATGCAAGCGTGGCGAGGGTCCTCGGTCAGATAATGAGAGGATCTGGATAGGTTCTGAAGAGAGACGGGTCATGCGGCTATTCGCCAGTGTGGTATGTCGCGAAATAGACGGAGATAAGGCCGATTCCTCCTCTATGGGCAAAGGGCACCTCGAGTGGGAGGTATGACTGGGGCTAGCCATGTGTCGACATATCCTATCTACCTGTATGTATGCATCTACGTGATCTCATAGGCCCCCCAATCCCCCGTCTCGATGATCGTTGCCAGTCATCACGAGACTGGTTTTTGCGGTGGCGATTTTGTCTTCGTGCCGCGTCCCGCTCATCTGATTTCTGCATCTTCTTTGTTATCACTCTACGCAAACGTGCCTTCTTCGTGCGAGTCACAGCAGCGAGCTCCAGTCATGATCAGTTGATCCACTGTTGAGCTCGTACAATATGCTGCTGCGTGTACGCGGACTCTCTGAATCACCCCCCGACCTGACCTGAGAGCAACGAACCATCTGGTGACACTTCATCCGCCATGGTCGCCCTTCCTTCATTCTTCAGCTTTCCATGGAGCTTGCCTCCACTCCCACCTATATCACTGCCCGCAAATATTCAAAGAAGATTCCTCTCGTATGTTCTCAAGAGGACGCTGGGTCGGTTCGTCAAGCCGGGTGGACTGGACGTAGATCGGATTCAGGCCCAGATGAGTGAAGGTTGGGTAGAGATTGAAGGATTGGAGATTGACGAGAAAGTGAGAGAACCGAGCGCTCGTGGGATAGGACTGATGCACCCCACAGGAGATCAATAATCTTCTGCCACCGTCAATACCCATCACTCTGTCCTCTGGAAGTCTGTCAAAGATCACTGCTCGGATCCCATTCCCAAATCTCTGGTCGGCCCCTCTGTCCATCTCCCTCGATTCATTGACATTGGACTTTACCATCTCGCTGAATGAATCGTCGAGCAAAGGAAAGAGTAGAGGCGTACCACCGACTTTATCTCGCCTGGCGTCACCTGGCTTGGATCTGACATCATCAGTGACCAACGCAGCCGATGAGTTCTTACACGAAGAGCTCGATGCGTATCAAGAGGCCGAACTTGACAGATCCATTCGCCAGTCATTGGTTCTATCGCAGAACGACCCTTTCACAAGTGACGAGGGGTTACCGGGATCTTTCCCTGCTGCTGCGGCTGCTGCTGCAGGGGCTGGACAAGCTTCTCAACCAGGACCGTCCGCGCCACCCACTATGGAGAGCACGACTATCCTCGCGGGAATCATTGAGCGTGTGTTGGCCAGACTCGACTTCAAAGTCGCCAATATCAAAATTAGGCTGCATCATGCAGACCCGCATCATGGAGGTCTCTTCGAGCTCAGAGTTGGAGAAATCAAGTACATCGACGAGACAGCTCCAGGTGAATCGACAAGATCGACCGTCCGAGTAATCAAAGTATCTGGATTGGAAATATGTACCTTGCCGCTGGCCAAAGGCTCAACAACGCCACCTGCCTCGGCTCCAGCTCGATCCGTCTCATTATCATTATTTTCCAGATCATCCACCGGGTCCGACAGTACAGACGAGGAAGATTCAAATACGGAAATGATGATGTCGCTCGCTGTCGCCGATCTGAGACAGAGTGTGGCAGAGAGCGACGCCGGTGAAAGCGTGTACGAGGATGCCTTGAGCGAGCAAGAAGACGGGCAGGACGAGACAGAGCATGGAACCTCTAACAACGACATCGATCCAATGGAAAGGTCTACAACGCCAAGGGGATTCGACATGGAGCCTAGCGAAAAGCCCGAGATGCTTCTTTCGTTTGGCACTGAAGGAGTGACCATTCGAATGACGAATTCACGCTCGATACCTCCGCCAGCTACGTCCTCGACCGACATCACCTCACCATCGACACCCGCTTGTGCCGACATTGAGATCATCATGGGCACAATAGCCATCCTGCTCACCCCGGACAAGCTAGGCTCGATATTGTCAGCGGTCCAAAGCGTCCTCCCGCCGAGTACAGAGCGGGAGCCTGTTGCTCCCGTAAAGGCTATCACTCAACCCCGACTATCCATCAAGCTTAAATCAGATCATGTGATTGCTGCGATTGTCTATGACATGCAGCGAACACAATCCGCCGAGATCGATAACGGCATCAAGCGGTTCTGGTCTCAAGCGACTACAACCTATCTACCATTAGGACATCTGAAACTTCGCATAGACAACATCAGAGCGGCTTACGAAACATCCGCTCACAGCCCGGCCTACACATCCCGGCATGCGAATCGTGCCGCCACAAGCGATCCCAACTTGACCTTGTCCATCGCTGACCTGTCCATATTCGAGTACCTTGCTTCGGCGCAGACTGACTCGGGCGCAATGCCAGGAGGCATCTTTCCGGTACTGATATTCGATTCCGACCTGCAGAAACAGTACGATCTCCCGTTGAATCCAGTCACAGTCTCATCTGTCGATGACGGCTTGCCGGGAATAGGCACCTCTGAAAATACCTTCCCGAGCTATGACACAGTTGATTGGCGAGACGTTCATCATCAGCGTAAAGGATCCAGCGAGAAGTTGTGGAAGGTCCGACCCAAAGGTCGTGGTGCGCTAAAGGTGGCTTCCACCGGCGAGGAGACCGGATTCGCGGTTCAGATCGAGCAGGAATACTCTGGCTCATCGGGTGAGCCAATCTCTCTCAAATCTAGTTGACATTCAAGCGGCAGTCGTGAGACTGAGTTGCGTACACCTGTTTCTCGACCTCTCTTTGATGGAACGCCTATTGCCTATGCTACGACATATTGCGCCAGCAACGAGACGGTCTCGATCTCCGATAGCCAGTCCGGTCTCGTCGGCACCTCGAGTGACCCGACCAAGGTCATTACACGCTGTCATGGATGACCTGCACACACCACAATCTACTGAAACGTCTCCGTCTGGCGTAATTGCCGTCGTACGCTGTCCGGTCCTTCGCTGTGACGTCCGATGTCCGGCACCTCCGAAGAAGCGTGGCACCTGGGGCGACAGCGGTAGCTTGAGATCTGGCATTGTCACCTTGGACGTTCATGATGTGACCGTCCAAGTAGGCAGCGGGCCACCTTCCCACGGATCAACAGTCACACGTCACACTGCAGAGCCAGTTGCAAATGTAGCCTGTAGAAAGGTTATCGTGCTGTTCTGTCGGGCATCTGGTGAGTACTGCTCGTCCTGATCCAGACTGACAAGTTAGAGAAACGCTCTGCTGCATTCTTCGTTTTAGGTCCTTTGGCCTCTGAGACAGTCGAAGCTGCCCAAGACGTGGCTCTGCCATTCATCGAAATCGCGCAAACTGATGAAGTCGGCAAGACTCGAGACATTATGTGTCGTGTGCCCGCCATTCAATCTCAGATTCGACAATCAACGATTGAAGGTTTACAATTCTTCGCGGATGACTTGACACACTGGCTCGATGGAGCTTTCGGCGATGGGTCGAGGCCGAAACCAAGGGATGAGCTCAAGATGATCGGCAGTCGATTCTTTGGTTCCAAAGGCTCATCTTCAGCGTCGAGCTCTGTGGTGGAGGATGTAGACGAACCTCGGAACGGCACCAAACTTCGAATCATGATCAGCGAGTTTGATACTCGGTTACATGTACCGAGGATTGATGCTTCCGCCGAACCTGGTATATTCTCGTTGCGAGCCTCTGACATTGAAACGAGAATCGAGTCCAACGTGGCTGACCGCAAGGAGACTAACCTCACACTTTCTATCATGGACGCGGAATTCTCGGACCGATCTGACCTGTCGCGCTGTCGCCGAGTCTTCAGCCGAACCACCAAGCCGAGCTTGGCCATGTCAACTCCTCCTATTCTCCATCTTCATTTCTACACCAGTACGGATATCACGGATACAAAAGAGACAGGCGTCAAAGTCTCCCTCTCGTCTTGTACGATTCACGTCGATGACAATTTATCATGGACGGAAGACCTGGCGGCTTTCGCAAAGACCCCAGAAGGCGTCTTTGAAGATGTCGAACCGTCTGAAATCACCCGAATCAGCGTCCTGCTCGGGGACGTTTCGGTTCTCGTCAAAGCTCCGAACGAGCTAGGGGCACTCGTATTGGTCCTCAGCCATGCGGCTGTCAAGACGGATGTGATCAGTGGTGCGGACGAGGGTGTGATTGAGCTCGGGTTATCAGGGTGTCACTTGATGGCTATCGATAATGTAGAGGCGGGGACAGCGTTGTCTGGCGGTCAAACGTCATCATTTGAGTCATGGAAGGTGAGTGTCTGACCGCATCGAAAACTGCTCACCCCTAGCTTGCTGGTTGGGCAGCGCTCGTCGAAATGACTGCAGATTGTCAAGTCCTGCGCGACCTCACCGGTGCGACCGGCATCATGGTGAGGATCAACTCCTGGGCTCCGCTGACCGTCAGCTGGATGTCATCCAGTCTCAAGTCAAAGTTACGGCTTGTGCAGACTCGCTCGCATCGATGGGCGATCTGGTGGCAGATATCGGAACATCGCTCGCACGTGAAAAGTAGTTGTACAGAGACTCGCGAGATGCTGATGTCCTCAGGCCTCCTGCAGTCATCCCGGCCGCCATGTCCATGTCCCAATCGATTGATGTCTTTGGTGAGATCCACCCTTTGGACGATTGCTGAATTCTCAGCATCTGTCGACGAAGAAGCATTCCATCGCATGCCTGACGTCGCATACGGTGCTGACCTGATAGAGGACGATCTGCCTACCAATCTGGAGTATCTCGACGAGACGAGCCACCGACAGCCAAAGACCAAAAGATCGCCGGATGAAGATTTGATCGCATCTGCTCTCGAATCGTCGGTACTTGAGACAAACCGAGCACCTGTTAATGGGGAGACCATTCGAATTCTCGTCGATGACCCATTCGATCAGGAGCCTGATTATTGGAATGATCTCCCGGTCCTGTCAGGAGCCAGTGAGGAAGAGTGGGTTCGACACCTTGTCTTCTCTGCTGACTCTACTAGTACCTATACGGGCAAATTTCGCGTACACGTACAGAATGCCTCGGTATCTGTACTGCTTCACGATGGCTTCGACTGGCAAAAGACTCGCAAAACGATTGAAGATGAGATCAAAGCGGTCAGAAGGAAATTGGAGAAAATCCGTCAATTGCTGGCATCTGGTCAAAAGGCCGACGAGCCTATCGTCCATGGGTCCCGTAGCGTCCTCTTCAACAGTATCTATATCGGACTCGATGAGCAAAAGGAAGACCTAGATTCTGCGGCGCTGCTAGCGGCAATCGATGAAGAATTAGACGGGCTTGGAACCGCCGAGACTGCCTCTCAATCCTCATGGCAGACTGATTTTCCTCCGGCTGGACCGGCCAAGCGCGACAAGAGCCATAGGACTCGACTTCGCGGTAAACGGTTAACGAGATCGAAAAAGCCTCAGATTGAGATTGATGTTCGTGGGATCAATCTCGATTTGGACATTTACGATGAGGCTTCGAGCACTGCGTCCCGAGTCGACGTGACGGTAGCTTCGATGGAGATCTTAGATCATATCAAGACGTCTACATGGAAGAAATTCTTGACGGAAATGAAGTCGGATTCGAGAGGCAATATGCGAGAGACGGGAGCAGATATGATTCGGGTTGAGTTGGTCTCTGTTCGACCCCATTCGGGATCCAAGGCCGTCCAAAGTAGCAAGGCGGAAACGGAGGAGACGAGATTGAAGGTGGGTTAAATAGGACGGGTCGGACACTCATGGCGCCAGGCCAAAATCCTCCCACTGAGGCTGCATGTGGATCAAGACGCTCTCGACTTTTTCAAACGGTTTTTTAGCTTCTCCATGTCCAAGACGCCAAAAGTGGCGCAGCCAGCAACGAGCCCATTCTTCCGTGAGTCCGGCAATCAGACTGTGGGCTGATCGAGCACAGAGCACGTGGAGATATTTGCGATCGAGCTGAAACTCGATTACAAGCCTAAACGGGTAGACCTGGCTGCTCTTCGAGAAGGCAAGACGATTGAATTGATGAACTTTTTCCACTTTGACGGTGCGGAAATGACGCTTCGCCACATTACCCTGTCGGGAGTGAGTGGAGAGCTCTCTCTCTCTCTCTGTGTGTGGAATCTCTGTACTGATCTTTTCCCAGATCACCGGATGGGATCGCCTGTCAACGACTCTGCAAGACATTTGGACACCTGATGTCAAGGCGAATCAATTAGCGGACGTCATCTCTGGCGTGTCTCCCATTCGATCTCTGGTCAACGTTGGCTCTGGAGTGGCAGATCTGATTCTCTTACCTATCGAACAATACCGCAAGGACGGTCGTGTGACTCGTGGCGTCCAACGTGGAACCAGCTCATTTGTCCGGTCTACAGCTATGGAGATGATGAAGCTCGGCGCAAGATTAGCCACGGGGACTCAGGTGGTGTTGGAGAAAGCTGAAGGTGTTCTCGGCGGCAAAGTGGATCGACTCGAAGTGGTCGATGGACTCGAGACAGGTCTACCTCTGCCTCTCGGATCCGACATCGACAGTGATGACGAAACGTTGGTTGGTGACGAGATGCGTCGACGCGTCAGTCGGTACGCCAACCAACCACTAGGAGCCAAAGAAGGTGTTCAAGCTGCGTACAAGAGTCTCAGTAAGAATGTCAATGCGGCTGCTCAGACCATCTTGGCCGTTCCTATGGAAGTGTATGAGAGGTCAGGTCCAGGCGACCAGGTAAGTTCACATTGAGTTTGAACAAGATGGGGGAGCGCCCGGTCATGTCGTCAGTGCGCTGATCAAAGGATCTCTCAAAGGGTCCGCTCAAGGCTGTCGTCAGGGCTGTACCTATCGCCGTATTGAAGCCCATGATTGGAGCTTCTGAAGCTGTCAGTAAGACTTTACTTGGCGTCAGGAACAGTCTGGATCCTCAGTCGAAACGAGATTTGGGAGACAAGTACAAATGAGAGTGTTGTCTGTATCATTCCCATCATCGTTCCAATCATTCCACATTATCGTTCCCTCCTCAGTGGATGGATGATACACTGTTGTAAAGCAGCCCGCCACAATCAATCATAACGCCGATAATTACGTAACTCTCATGCTACCACCTATGGCCCTGAATGCGCGTTGCGCGTTGACTTTATTTCCCAATGAGGAAATTAGTCTAAAGGAAAGGGTAAAAGGGGAGGAAGGGGAGCCAATGACCCATCATCTATGACTGAACTGACTTGACCTGACTGACCGACCACCAGCACCACCACCACCAGCAGCACCGACTCACTCATCATTCACCAGCAGCTGCTGCAAGGTCATATTTCTCCCAGTCTTCTACTATTACCCGTCAGTCGGAGCAAAGAGTTGAGATCAGTCTCAAAGTATAAGCAGGATCAGTACACGCTCGATTCAGCTGTGAGTAGTCAACATACCCCACCATTGCCACCTCGCTCTCTCCCCTGTCCATGTCTCTTTTCCCCCCACAGGAGCCCTCTCCCAAGGTCGGTCCATCATGTTGGTGTCATGCAACCAGCCAAACCTCCCCAGTAGCCATAGCGTTGATCAATGTCGGCTGATGTATGAGCTAAATCGATTTACAACAGCGCCACAACGTATTCCCCCCTTCCCTTTCATTCTACCTTGGTTCAGTGTCGGGTTTCAACCACGACAAACGCTGGCAGTGTACTGGAAGATCTCCTCCGAAGCCCCCTTCCTTTGTCTAGCTCCGTTCGTCGCTGAGGAGCTGTACTGCGTTTACGCTTTGGAGAGAAGAGAGAAAAGCAGAGGACAGATCTTTGATTGGAGCTGTTGTTGGACAGTGTCCAGGACGAACCGACCCTGCTCGAGGCACGCCAAGCTCAGTTGACGAGTCGGGACCAACGAATTTGAGAACGGTGAGTGGGATGCGTTTGTGAGGTGTGGATTCAAATGGTGCCGGACCATGCGAGTGAAGTGCCTCTCTTCACATCACTGTGGTATAGTGAATGCTGCTCCATTCCCTCGCCTGAGCACTCAGGTGTGGAACATCCCTGGGCCTATGGACCGGACTGGACAACGGACCGGCAGCTTGAGCTGTAGCCAGCGTCAGAAATGTTGGGAGTCTTAATGGCACAACTTTCTTGGAGTCTGTGTTCGGTCTCAAACGCCGTCTAGGAGAAGGTCTGGGGTCTGTCTGTCGTCTGTCGGAGACCTGGCTTCCTCAAACTCCGCCACGGTCCGATAGCTGACGCCTGTTCTTCCTCCTTCGCCTCACACTTGCTCCTATTGGTCTCACGCTCGTATATCGGCTTCTTGTCCCTCCCCTGCCCCTGTGCCCCTCTGTGACATGGCGCTCGCCGCATCAGATCACAACCTATCCCCTTCACACTGGAGAGTCATGTCTGGAGTAGTCAATGGCGTCAAAGTGTCGCGTAAGTCGGCATTGTTCTCACTATCGCTAACCAGATCTCAGCCGATGACCCTCAACGCGTCACGACGGTCACTGCGTGTGCCGGTAAATCAGGCAAGGAGATCTTGATCCAGTACACCGGAGCCAAAGTGGCTGGAAATGGGAGTTTTGGAGTCGTCTTCGCTGCAAAGACATTGCGTGAGTGAAAGTGGTCTCGAGCAAGAACTGATCTGTCTAAGCCGGCAAGGATGAGAATGGAAACGATGTACCTGAACAGGAGATTGCCATTAAGAAGGTATTGCAGGACAAGCGTTTCAAGGTGCGTCTGAAAAGGTAGAAGCCCCGCTGATGTGGTTAGAACCGAGAATTGCAGATCATGCGGTCGGTCGCGCACCCAAATGTCGTGGACCTGAAGGCATACTTTTATTCAAACGGTGACAAGGCGAGTGGACGATCGTGTGAAGCGGGTTTATTGCTGACCTCGGTCACAGAAAGAAGAAGTCTTCCTCAATCTCGTTTTGGAGTTTGTTCCTGAAACCGTGTTCAAGGCGTCAAAACACTACTCTAAAATGAAGCAACCCATGCCGTGGCCCCAGGTCAAATTATACATGTATCAGGTAAGCTGACTCGATCCGTCTACTGGCTCACACATCCAGGTCCTCCGTTCCTTAGCTTACATCCACTCGGTCGGCATTTGTCATCGAGACATCAAACCTCAGAATCTGCTCCTCGACCCCTCCTCTGGTATCCTCAAACTTTGCGATTTCGGTTCAGCCAAAATCCTCGTGGCGGGCGAACCAAACGTGTCGTACATTTGCTCCCGGTACTACCGTGCGCCAGAGTTGATCTTTGGAGCGACGAACTATACGACGTACATTGACATTTGGTCGACGGGATGTGTCATGGCGGAATTGATGCTGTCGACGCCACTGTTCCCAGGGGAATCGGGTATCGATCAACTGGTGGAGATTATCAAAGTTTTGGGAACTCCAACCAGAGAGCAGATCAAGACGATGAATCCAAACGTGAGATTTGGACCGCAAAGGCTCCTTGACTGATCAAGCCACAGTACATGGAGCACAAATTCCCTCAGATCAAACCCCATCCATTCACGAAAGTGTTCCGACCTCGCACACCCGCCGATGCCATTAGTCTGATCGACCAACTGCTGCAGTACACCCCAACGAGTCGTCTAACGTGGGTTGTACGTCTTTGAAGCACGCTGATGATCCTTCACAGCGCTCCCGAAGCTCTCGTTCACGAATTCTTTGACGACCTGAGGCAACCTGATACTCAATTGCCGAACGGCAAACCTATGCCTCCTCTGTTCAACTTTACCCGCGAGGGTGAGTCCAAGCTCAGCTCTCGAATACTAATCTTCTTTTCAGAACTCTCTCTACGACCAGATCTCATCCGCCAATTGGTCCCGCCTCATGCCGAAGCGTCCCTTCGAGAGCGCGGAATCGACGTGGACAACTTCCAACCTATCCCGCTGGACCAACTTCGCATCAGTCTCGATGTGAGTGGATCAAGGGGTCCGGTGTAGATCTACTATTGACGCCTTGCAGTAGTGAAACGAAATGAATCTCTAAATGTACAAATGTTAGCTAAGGAATCGTCTATATACCCTACCCGCCAACTTTCGCATCTGGCTCGCGGGCTGTCCCTTTGAGTTCCATGCCTATCGAACTCGCCTCTCTTACTTCTCGCTTTTGTGTTTAGATCTTCCCATCTTCCTCTCTCGCCCTGTGTGCCTTGACATTCGCCCTTCTACCTCGACGCTCTCTGCACAGACTATCTTTTTTGGGGGCTCCCAAGCGATTGTACGACGAGTGGATATGAATGATGCATTGATTACAAAGAGTGCTGTGGTGTCGTCGTCAATGATTGGTGTGAAAAGTGTTCGCTACTGGCTACTCGTTGCGATCATGCGATTGATGGGATAAAAATCATCGAGATTCCAGCTGGAAGTGGCCGCCCGCCGCCAATTTTTGTGGTGAAAAAGGCATCACCGTCTCGTCCGACATGCCTCTCTCATCCGGTCTTGCGACACTGCCCACTAACCCGGTTCGCCAGCTGCTTGATCACATTCGATCGCTGTTTGTGAGGGTTGATATGGGCGGGACCCAAGTCGATCGACCAGTGGGATTGACATGAGCAGGAGTTTTGGATACTGCTGGCACCGAAGATAGGGTTCATGAGACTAGAAGGATGCTGAATCGTTGACATGACTATGCTTGCTCTGCTCCCCCATCCCTTCAAGTCCTATTGTACAGTTCACTCACTAGAGATCACAGGAGTGATGTCATTGATGTCGAGGAGGGCCAAACGTAGCTGTCAGCCCTCAGTATATCTGCCTGTCCGCCTTTTCCTATACCGAAACAAACCACTCGTGTCCATGCTCAAACATGGACCGATAATCTTTCAACACCTCGTCAAGGTCCGCTGATGCTGCACGACGTTGTCAAGGGGGAGAGAAGGATATGAGGCCCCTCCTTACCTTACGGAGTGGAAATGGCTAAGTGCTGACTGACATCAAAAGCATCCCTTTTGGCTTTCGTTCTTTTGACGAGATGGTGATGTGTCTCCGTTTGCTCAAAGGCATGGCATGCATGCGACTGAGCGATGGGCCTATGGGATTGTTTACGGTATCAGACTCATGGACTCACGGTGGCTCTGTGTCCCTCCTCTTCTTCTTCTTTCTCTTGCTCATCACTCCCACAGACGCTTCCCATATTAAGCTTCCCCTGTCAGACCTCACTCAACAATCGTCAACATAGATTTGGATCAATCAATCAAAGCAGTGGTGAGTACTGGATCATTGAAAGATCACTTCAACCCATACTCAACCCTCAATATCTCCTCCATCTGTACTTTGAGCTCTCGGGGCTGGCTGGCTCCTGCCTCGATACTTAACGCTTCTCTCATCCCTCTCTTCTGATTCTCTTCCCCCCACCGTCATTCACCCCAAGATATTGACAATGATGATAGCCTCACTCTCATCCCCTCGCCACCACCACTTCTCCGCCATGTCGGCCTTCGAAATGCCTTCAACTCCTCTCCGTCAACAAACCTTTGTCGCTGACAAGGAGAACACCACCCTCTTCGCCTCGGCTTCATCGCCTAAACCACGTCTGGGAGGTGTCGGTCGAGCACCTCGAAGACTAGGTCTTGACAAGCCGTACGCTCGGAAACACTCCACCAACAGTCGTGTCAAACATCGTTCAACGTCCATTCAGCGAGCAAAACATCGCGCCAATGCGGGGCAAGGCCTGAAGAAGGGTCTCCAAGCCGACATAGGCGGCGGCAAAAACGCAGCTCAGGAGATCAAATTGACAGGTCGGAAACCTACACTTCGACTCAGACTCGTCTCTGCTGCTCAACATCCTGCCTTAGCACTGTCGATGAGAAAATTGGGACCTATACCCGTTCGTCCTCTACATGTCAACGCTTCGTCAGCCAAATCAGCCGCTTCGTACCCTTCGAAAGCTCGTCCAGTCGGTCGAATCCCTATCCAATTACCGCCTATTCTCAAAAGACCCATGATACCTCCCGTGCTCCACGATGAGCAAGGAGATTGTTCCGTAGTGAGCGTTCTAGACGATTTCAGCGTGACATGAGCTGACACTTGTGGCTCTTCAGCCTATCGACTATGTCATCCAACGTGTTTCACCATACTTTCAGACCATTTACTCCCTTCTGCCTCATTTCGTCGAGGCCGATGCGAGCCTTCGAACGCCGGCTCAGAGGATCCATTCGCCCATCTACACGACACCTGATGGACCCATGCGACGAGTCGACGACATGTTCGATACACTGCCATTTTGGATTGGCGAGAGTATCCCCTACGGAGGATTAAATGAGACCATGAAGCAGAAATGCTTTCATTGGGGTCCTGATGCCTGTCTCGTCATCAGGCGAAAGGGATGCTCAGGAAGTTTGGGATCTTTCTTCCCAGTCAAGTGAGTTGGCTCCAGTGGCATGAAAGATGAGATGCTGACAGCACATCTCAGAAAATTGGTGGTGTCATCTCAGTGCGCCTCGTTCAACAAGCTCGCTCTTGAGGCTCAGTCATGCCGAGGAGAGTCGGTCGATAACCTAGACAGGAATCAACCTTCCATTGCCCGTCAACACCTTATGGATCTCAAATCACGTCTCGTCCCTACGTCTGAAGAGAGAAATACGAATCAATCGGTTCAAACTCCTGTCAAAGACTCTTCAATCACTCGATCATCCTCCGCCTCATCCTCCTCGACTATCGTCATGGCGACCGAGGAACCGAAACCAGATTCGTCTTCTTCCCATCCCATGTTTGTCCTCCCTGAACCGTGTACTTCGCCTGTCCCACCTCGGCCTCCAAAGATCGGTCCAGAGGCATACGCCACACGACAGCTGGAACTCGTCCCCATCTACATCCCTGACCCCAATTCATTCTCTCTGATCCTCCTTGCTCTACATTATCCAGATCAATCGCCCTTACGCCATCTGCTGCAAGTGCCTCATTCGGCCGATACCTCGCGTGGCGAAATCGTGGAACATCTCCGCTGTCTTCCGCCCGCTCAGCTCGATCAACTCATGGGACGTCTGCTCGGATTTTATTCTAATATCGTTGAACTGGGTATCAATAACGAAGTCGTCTGGCAAGCGATCAACCAAGCGTGGTCCATGATGTACATTGCGAAGCAGAGAAGAACGTATGTACATCCCCCAATGATCATGGATTTTGGCGTCAAGTTGCCGCCTGTCATTCAATGGAGGACAGTCTTGAGTGTAAGCGGGAAGCCAACGAAGAAGGTCTAGTGAGGCTTGGAGGAAAGCGATGGGAAGCGACTCAGCTCCGTTGTAGCACTATTGTACATCCTACTTACCATGCATCTAGGTCCCCTGGGCACTTCGCCGAGGCCATGCGGTCAATGCCGCGATTTTCAACATGGTCTGCGGCCCCCGAACTATAGAATTCGTGCGGGATTGCATCATCTCCTCGATCACTCGAATTCGGCTTGCTGACTTGACTACAGCCAGATCCTCCAGCATCCACACTTGCATGCTGACAAGGTCCCTCCTTACGACCCTCTCACACACTCAACGATCCTACAGAGCGCTCTGGCAATATCCTGGCAAAAGCGGAAGACGGTATCTGAATATGACAGGTCAAATCCCAAAGACCATGAAGGCCATCCAGGTAGGCGCCAGTGAGCCAGCGATAGCCATACAGCTGATGCTTGTCTCCTAGGTCGATCACACTGGTGGACCTGAAGTAAACAAGCTGGTCGAGATTCCAGTCCCGGAGCCGAAAGATAACGAAGTTTTGATCAAGGTGCACTATACGTGAGCGATGAAGGACCACGTCGCAGATCAACGAGTGGGGACTGATCCATCATGCGCGTATAGCGGAGTCAACTTCATTGATACTTGCAAGTCTATACTCTTTGCTGAAAATCTGTCCACATCGCTGATGGCTTTGGTCAGATTTCCGAACTGGCCTGTATCCCAAACCTACACCCTATATCGTCGGACAAGATGCCATCGGAACCCTGGTCACCCTCCCGACGTCCTACACTCAGCCGGATCACTATCCTTCGAACCTTCCACCGTTGAAGGTCGGTACCCGAGTCCTGACTCTCCAGGGACCATCCTTCGCAGAATACATGACAGTACCGCTCAGTAAAGTCGTTGCGTTGCCTGAGAATGTTGATCCAAAGGTAGGTCGACAGGGAAAGAGAGGGTGAAAGCTCTGGAGGTTGAACAAAGCCGTTCAGGATGGAGTGGCTCTCGCGACTACCTCTTTCACATCCTGGGGACTCGTCACTGAGTCTTACAAAGTCAAGAAAGGCGATTGGGTCTTCATTCGAGCAGCATCAGGAGGTGTAGGCACAGTCCTCTGTCAGGTGAGCGTAGAGACTGGACGACGCTCGTTTCTGACGCGCTTGCGGGCTAGATGTGCGCTCATATCGGGGCCAACATCATTGCTCAGACGTCCACAGAGGAGAAAGCAAAGCTCGCCAAAGAAAACGGAGCGCAGAACGTCCTCTTGTCGACGTTGTCTTCTGAAGAGACGGTCAAAAAGACCATGGAGCTGACGAATGGACTTGGGTGTCAAGTCATCTACGATGGGATCGGTAAAGATACTTTTGAGGAGAACTTTTTACTCGTTCGGAGACTGGGAACTATCGCCCTGTTTGGAAATGCGTCGGTCAGTCGCACATCATCAAGATTTGTCCCCAGATGGTCAGATCACTGAATTCTTCCCGGTCTCCTCAGGGACCTCCTCCTTCATTCTCACCTCTCAAACTCAGTCCCAAGGCTCTGAAAATCACGAGACCGCAGATGAATGCCATGTTGGAAACTCCTGAAGAGTTCAACGACTTTGCGGGTCACATTTTTGAGCTCTACTCGAAAGGAGCTGTGAAGGTAAGGTCTGCCCCCGAGAATCGACTGGCTCATGCTATCTAGGCATATATTCACAAGACATACCCTTTGACTGCAGAGGCTGTTGCTCAGGCTCAGGTCGACATCACCTCGAGAGGAACCACGGGTAAATTGATCATTGAGGTGGCACCGTTTTGAGCCTATGGCGATGTGTCAAGATGCACCATGTTGTGTGCAGGTGATCGGATGTATACATCACAGGTCAAACCAAGACTTCAACCACACAAACATCTATCTAGCTTCGAGCCATTTACATTACCACACACCCTTCATCCTCCACAGGCTTACTCACAAAGCCCATCTCGGCGAATGTCTGAGGACCAGTGTCCCATTGCCGATGTTTCTCCTCCTTCACTGGCGTCTCTCTTGAAGCACCAGATGGGATCCCCAACCACGCTGGTTCATCCTTGAGGGACAGACCTCTCGAACTGGGGAATGAATAAGTCGATCCCGACAAGGTACTATCTCCGCTGGCAGCCGTGAAAGCATGATATGGGATTGGTCGACGAGACGGTGTAGAATTCCCACCTCCCATTCGTGCTGGAAAAGCCATGCCGGGCGACATGACCTCGCCCACTCGCGGTGTTGGACTCGAAGCGAATCCATTCTGAGCATACGAGTCGCGATGACCATGTCGATGTGGGAGTCTCGCAGCTCTCTGTGTATCCATCCACACTCGTTCTTCGTCCTCGTGCCTCCTGGCTAGAGTCTGACCTTGACCAGATCGTTCTGACTTTATCCTTGCAATCGTACGAGTGCGTATCAATGTATCGTTCATTTTGGCTTGATGATCCGCCAAGGAAAAGGTCGCAGGTCTAGGTGCAGATAGAGCTGCAAGGCGAGCGATGGCATCGCTGTTGTCTAGTTTCGCAGCCTGGGGGGAATCAACAGGCGATCACATGGCCGGCTCACCCTCGTGTACCATTTCCTAGCTTGATCCATATCTTTTCTCCCGCCAATACCAAGCCTTGGAACCAGTCAGCGAGCCTCTCGGTTATCCATCCCACTTACTCAAAATAGTAACCCATAGCGAAACAACCATTTGGATGACCTCTCCTCGCTGCTTTCTCCGCAAACGTTCTCGCCAAATCCTCATTCTTGCCAAAATTCCCTTCGGCTCCACACAAGAACCACTTGCTCAACGCCATGTCAGCTTCAACCTCCCCGCCCTGACTAGCGAGCGAGTACCATTGGACCGACATCAGAGGGTCGTATGGGCATCCGAGGGTCGCGTGCTCGTAAGACAGTCCACACTTGTACTGAGCAGGTGGGTGGCACAAGTATGCAGCCTTGTCAATATTCTCTCTCGCCATCATGCCTCGAACGTCGGCAGAAGGGCCAAGTAATTCCTCCGGTATCGGTGGGAGGGAAGGGGGAAGCTCAAAATCTCCCGCGAGGAGCATACCGTAGACGTAGGCTGGGTGAGGTACATCAACCGTACTGCCTTCCGCTGCTTGGATCAAATACGGAATCGCCAAAGAGGGGTTGGGGGGAAATCCAAGTTGACCGAGCAAGTGAGCCATTCCCATTCGCTTGAGGTGTCAGCTTCGGTGAACGGTCATCTTCAAACTCACATAGTTACACTCTGTATCACCCTTCTTGACACCCCGATCCAAACAATCTCTAGCCCTCCCTTCATCCCCGACACTTTCGTAGTCCCTCCCTAGCATGAACCAACCTCGAGTCTCTCCTCCTCGGGCGGCAGACTCAAACTCTTTGAAGGCTTGTCTCGGATCTCGGGGCAGGTAGTCTGGGCACAAACCCGTGGACGAGAAGATGCCTTTGAGATAAGATGCCAAGGCAGAGATTTCTCGATCTGAATGACTCGTTGAGGAGATGATGATGGGTAGAGCGAGATTCAGAAGTACTGTCAATGATCCAGACACCTTTCGTGGTTTAGGAGTCTCGCTAGATGTAGACAAGTGAACGGGTCGTGTTTGTCTCTCTACCACTCGATAGACATCTTGCGCCCAGGCGATCTTCTCAGCATCACTTTGATGTTCGAGATTCCCAGAGCTCGCTTTGAGGCTCTCAAGCGTCGGGAATGGATGAGTGATAGGAGGAGCTGTAGACGCTGCAGAGACGACGGTCGAAGATGACGATGGAAAGGCTTGATGCGCTGGTATTGCCCTTGATCCTGGTCCGGGACCCGGAGGAGGCGAAGCGACTCTAGGTGAGAAGATACTGGCAGAGGGTGCAGGCTGAGCAAATCCCGAGGGTATAGCGATGGACGTCATGATATGCTTGGGACCTCGGCCGAGAAAGGAGACGCCGCCGCCGCCTTGGAAGAGTCAGTATGAGTAGGATGGATTGGTCAGGTCAGCCAATTCCTTGTTCCTCTGGGATCACAAAAAGTCCGCTTCCAAAAGCTTGTAAACATGTCTTGGAAAATGGCCAGCCAAGGCTGGTGGTCTGGATTAGAGCGAGTGAATCGAGACACACAAGCTAGAGGCCTCGGGATTTGATCAGGTGATCAGTCGCGTGAGAGACTCACAAGGTGAGACGTGACGGCAGAGGCGTGAGTTCAGCGAAGGTCGCATGATGCTCTGCGAGGCCATAGAGGCTGCTGAAGATGCATTAACATTGCTTGGTGAGAAGATCGTGCGTGACGTTGACGATGTCCCCTAATGGCTCCTCGAGGGCAGGGCGAATCTGTAGCTAGAGAAAATTGCCGGGGGAGTGGACCTTCGCGGCATTTTCCTCGTGTGGGTGTTGGGCTTAGTTTGGAGCATGGAAAGATTCGGTAACCGCTGTCAAGACGTCAAGAAGAGCTCCATCGTCTTCGACACGATTGGACGTAATGAAAATCATCTTGGCTCGAGAGTTTTTCGGTAGTCCAGTCTCGTCGCCGCGGCCTGATCGACAACGTTCGTTGTCCTGTCCGATATGATCTAGCCAGTCTTCCCATCGTGTCACACACTCTCATGCTCTCTGTTACCGCTCTCACCATCGGGAGGCCTCCAAAGATCCCCGGTCTGTCTCCCGGGGTCCCTCGTTGCATAATCGATCAGTCAACCCTGACCGAAGAAGTCGAGATGGCCGAAATTTGACGTTCGATGCGGCCCATTATTCATCCATCACATGTCTCTCGGCGGCGCCATTCAACCAGTACAGCCTGACCAAACGTCTCCTGGATGCACGACTCTGGACGCTGTCAAGCGCTCAAGATCACAGGAGATGGGCTTTCGTGGCTGAAATACTCTTCACATCTCAAGAATACAAAGAAAAAGATTGTGCTAGAGAAAGGTATACCATGAATCCGTTCTACGGCATCCACTGGACATTGCCAAGAGTAGCCTGTGTCTGTCCATTCCCCAATTGATTAGCTCGAGATCTCAATCCCGCGTCCAAAGTAGTCTCATTCTCAAGCGTCTAAATGATCAGTCAGCTCGCAACGAAAGGGTCCAAGAGATCATTGCTCACCTCCAACAATTGTGTCATGACGTTGTCAACGTCTTTCGGCGCCAGAGAGCCTCCACATCCAGCTGCGATGAGACGTCGATATTTCTCAATCTTGTCACCAGTTCCAGACTGGAATTGTCAGCTCGCAAGTCGTCGTCGAGACTCAGACTTGCTCACCTCTGCCAAGGCCTTTGTATACCGATCCACTAATTCTTCCCTCCTCTTCCTCTTCTCCTGCACTGACCACGTCAAGGTATCCTCATCCCCTCCATTGTTCACAAGTTCGTCTAGATCGTTATACGACTCTCCATCGATCCCGCCGCCGCTATGCCGCGCTTCTCGACCTTCTTGACCTGCATTCCACATTTCCCAACCGCCTCTCAGGGCTGTAGACAACTTGGCCTTAAGCATGGCTTCCAGACCCCCCAGCTCCTGCCGTGCCTCGTTCATCGGTCCAGTCTGATCGGCTAGAGATTTGACAACACGACTCGCTTCCGTCACTTCGGCGTGGATATTTGTCAACAAAGCCTTGGCCTGAAGAATATCCCGCTCCTTGCTCTGCAGCTCCAGATCGAACGATCGCGCCAGGCTCTGCATGTGCGCCGTAATGTCTGCAAGACATGAACCGCCAGCCATGCGCGCTGCATCCGAATTGAAGAGCTGGGGTACGCCTCCACGGTCGCCAAGAGTTCCACTGAGAGATCCCCGAGAGCCACCGGCCTGGACAGGAGACGATCGGAAACGTTCATCCTCAAGTATGTAATCCTCCGCTGACTTGAAATCGCGATTCTTGATTTTGGGATCCGCTCCGTGGTCCAAGAGGGCTTTGACAAGTCGCCGACTCCGAGCCCTTGCTGCAAGAGTCAGAGCAGTCTCGCCGTCTTCGTCTTGAAAGTTGATCACATCAGCCAGCTCCTGGGGGTAGTCCGATAATCGCGACAGGATGGTCTCCATATAGTATCGAGCAGCATGAGTCTTGCCTTTGGTCAACGCAAGGTTGGCAATGTGGTGAAAGACTGTCCGATTATGCTTGTCAATGTTGAGAGTGGATCGGTGAAGCAATTCGTATAGTTCTGGAAACTTGCGCACGTCGTAATTGTTGCCAAACATGACACTCCGCATAAGAGGAGTCTGCTCTGCATTGTTGCCCGTGAAGATGGACGCTCCGGCGGTCAAAAGCAATTTGACAACTCTGACACGACCCATGGCACACGCCCAATGCAGAGCCGTGTGACCGTCCTCGTCGATGGGCGCATTGGGATCGAAATCAGGTGGCGGAGCGACGAGGATTGGGGGGATCTGGGTGGTTTCAGAGACGAAGTAGGTCAAGATGATGTCGGCGTATTGGTCTGGACCCATTGGTTCCATGGGTAATCCGGGTCCAAGCGCGCGTGGTGAATGATGGGGTGTGTGGACGGCACTTTGACCTCGAGCGCGTTGTAGTTGAGCATACTGATCGTCTTCTTCCAGCATGATCGTAGCGTTTCGTTTTCTCAGACTCGCTGGAATGCCATTTAGGACGCCGTCTACTTCCATTTCTTCGCCACGGGGCGAAGCGACAGGACTCGGTGTGTCTGAGGATGAGTCATCATCTTCTGGTGAGTTTGTCAAGCTATCCTCTGCTGAGCGCATCGTGGTATCATCCGGGGTCGAGTCGATGCGCTTTTTCTGTCCACTGGCATTACGTTGAGCTGCCAATTGGGCTTGTGCTTGAAGCGCGGCTGCTGACATGGGTCCAGTCTTGAGTGGCGTACCATCTTTGCCTTTGCCCTCTTTGTCCTTTTTCGTCTTGGTCGGCGGGGCGACAACGTGTTTTGGTGCGGGTGGTGGAGAAACCGAGGTCGGGACGTAGTCGATGATCGGTCTGAGCAGGTCCTCCACACCGTATTGCTTCGCAAGAGCCAATCCACGCTCGATGGGGATCCAGGTGCCTTGTGACATTAGCGGGCAGAGCCAACGTGTCGCGCACCTTGGTATTTTCCATATCCTCCCTGGACCTTTTCGTGCTCTCCCTTTTGAACTTCTCGCTCGAGGACCCTTGTGCGCTGTGGCTTGTCAAACCCTGCGACCTTGAGGATCTGAGTCGCATTGAGATATGCATCAGAGCGCCGTCTCATGACTGCGACGGTCCGACATAGCATCTCGTAGACCGGTCTAAGAGAGGTCAGCAAGGCTCAATCTAGAGGTGACTCACACTCCACTGAGAATGACGAAGAATCGAGATCATTAGCTTTACGTCGAGCTGTCTAGTTCATTTTTTCTCACCTGTATGTTGCCTGAACATGATGGTCATCAGCATTCTGATCATGTCTCCATATGATCTCAGACTCACCTTATAGATGGTATTTGGACCATTCTCAGTCCCTGCGACGACTGGCTTTTTTCCCATGTTAGACCAAGATGTATATGCCTCGATGACGAGGTCTGCAGTGTGTAGGCAGCGACAGGCGGAGCAACGAAGCAGGCGAGCGGACAAACAGAGCCTCTTCCAGCTGTCCCTTCCCAAATTCTACTCCAGACTACACACTTGAGCTCAATCAGTAAACCTCTCAGAGCAAAGATCCTCAAAAAGACACTCCCTAGGGCAGGTCGAAAACGAAATTGCGGTCGTCGTCGCGGTTCTACGCGGCGCGTTGAAAGTCGCGACGAGTGGAGGGGAAACCGGAAGCAAATCTTTTTGGACCAGCTTGTCACGTGATCAGAATATTTGGCTAAGCTTAAGCTATATAACGATTGCAGCTGAAGTGATTCTGTAGCTATAAAATCAGACTTGAACTTTTGCAACATGATGATAGGACAGATATAGCAGTATGAAGGTCCGTGGCTAGCTCTGAGATAGCATTGTCTTCGCTGAGTGTCCTCAGATCTCTACCAACCCCCCACAACACCTCTCCAACTACGAGGTTCTGACTCACTTCCTATCGCTCAAGGAAGACAATGATCAACTTCAGGCGGACATAGCGAGCTATACAGAGAGGGCGAAAGGCAAGGCGAGAGCAGCGATCAAGTTGCAGTCAGATAGGAAGGCACACAAGGTCAGGGATCAGTCGGAAGAGCAGACAAAAGCAGAGGAAGTGGCATCGAGGAGAGGCTCGAGCTCGGATCTGATCTGGGTTCAGGATCAGGCGAGTCATCCATTCTGGTCGCACGGTGTACGATAGGACAGGGACTGAGACGTGACCAGGTGATACGATATCTATGCTCCGACTTCAATGCGACTTCGCGACAGGACCCAGATGGCGTGGCTAGACTCGCAAAGGATGTTCAACGGCATGGATTGGTCAAAGCGGAAGTATTACAGATATGTAATTTGGCACCCACGAAACCTGTCGAGCTGTACTGTGTGAGTAGCTGAAAAGGGAGGACGCGCAAGTCTGACAGGGCGAATCCGCCCTCAGATCATTGAAGAGCCAGACTCGCGATTCCAACCTAATCCATCGGAACGTCTGACTGAAATAGCGTACGATGTCATGTCCACCCTGGCGGATACTCCGCATCCTGCCTTGGCACAGTATTCGACTTACAGAACTTCATATGGTGATGCCGGAGGTGAGCAGGAGGGTATGGACGGAATGGAAGAGGCGATGGTCAGTCAGGAATTCGTACATGAAGCGGAGTGGGGAGCGGGACACGAGGAAGGGGTTGGCGAAGAGAAGGAAGACCATATGGAATAAACCCCGCCACAAATCAACGCATAAACTCACAACCTGCACTATATAATCATCACATGGATACAGTATAGATACATTGAAGCTCTATCCCGAGCTGAACGGGTCACCTCGGATTGCCCAATTGACTACAAAGCTCAATAGACTGCCTCCTAATAGTCCCCCTACAAGACTGAAGGCGGCCAGATTCCCAGCGACATCTTTCTCGGCATCCGTTATACGGGGATTCAGCGCGGGTGACGAGGCGACGATCATACTGAGGGATGAGATCCACCTGAAAGAGGGTCAGCAATACGCTTCTCATCTGCAACAAACCCATTTGTCAGGCCGCAACTGAGCAGAATGGCGAAGAAAGCCATGTCTGAATTGATCAATGGGGCTCGTCCATTCCCCGGGCTGACATTGCACCAAGCAAAGAGAGCCAGGTACACCACTCGGCTCATGGAGAGCCAGAGGATTTTGCTTGGATCCGTGATCATTAATCTTGGGATGACGGGGAGGTATGTTCGACCGATATAATCTCCGACTGGCTCTTTCAGGGACAGTGTCTCTACGGCAGAACTCACCATTAAAAATGAAGAAATGCAGCGGTATGAAAACAGAGGCTTGTAGCAACATAGGTGGAGGAGACCGCACCGATGTGATTGTGCTGGTGACGGGCGGGAAGACAGCCTTAAAAAAGAATCAGTCAAGTGATAAGGAACAGCAGGACCTACCAAGGTGATGATAAAGACGAGAGCTACTGCAACTTCCAGGCGGATATTCTTCTGAAAGACTGACCTGGATGTTTGATCGCCGAAGAAACCCTTTGCCTGGGTCTCGGTACCATCTTCTCGTGCTAGTAACGGGGCGAGGACGAGATGGCAGTCTGGATGTCGGAAGAGATATCGATGCGCAACCATGCAACCGAGAGTACCTGCAAACACCAAGAGCCAAACGCCGACAGTCGCTGATCTCGATGGATCGCCTACGCTGCCTTCGTCCCGAGATCCAGGGCCAAAGGCTGCCAAGATGGACACGACGAGCTGAAAACCTGATACCAGGACCGCCACACCTCCTTGACCAGACATCACCGCGAGGACGGAGTTTGAGCCCCAGAGAGATGCGAGGGCAAAGACGGTGGATTGAAGGATCCCGGTGGCTACAGACAAGGACACGGTGATGATAAAGAGTTGGAACGCCGGCACGAATGGATCGTTAAAGTTGAAAGGAATGAAACATATGGCGGGCAGAGCGAAGACGCACGCAGTCATGAGGAGGCTGAGAGAGAACCACTGTCTGTTGTTGAGCGAGGTCTGCGTATGAGTCAGTACAACGCGCCTACGAAGAGAGCACTTACCGCGCTGTGGTTGTTTCTCGCCAACCCTAGGCAGACGAAATTACCAAAGCAGTACAATGTACCGAGATAGCTCGCAAGGTTGGTCCGAGTCGATCCCTCTTGGAAGAAGAGACTCATCAGCGGGAATGAGCATATCAGGGCTGTAGAGGAAAGTCAATGAGCACTAGCGTGTTGAGATCTCATTCTGACACGCACCACTCCAACTGAGCAAGATGCCCGCCCCCAGCGTCCAGAAGGCGACATGTACGCCCTTCGAAGTGGTCGGAATGGGCCGAAGAGCTTCCGTCGAGTGGACCAGCTCGTCCCCTTCTTCTCCACGAATCACCTCGTATCCTTCATCCGGGGCATTTATCGGCTCAGCCGACGGTGATACAGCATTCCTGATGCTGTCTAACCATGCCATATTGTATCAGTCATTGACGCGAAGAGCCTTCAAGCAAGGACAGGCAGTCCAGCAAGATATATATGAACAAGTTCACATGACCAACGGAACCAAAATGTTCAGGCGTTCAATACAGGCGAAGCCTGGCCTCCAGCGGTGACGAGCTGTCAGCCCATGAAGTAGAGGATATGACACGGTGTGTATTGCTACAGTGATGTCAAGATGGATATGCAGGTACTATGATGGGATATTCTTCCAGGTATACGACGTGAAGAGATCTGAACTGCCCTTATTTCGAGGACGCAGCATCGCTCTTTCTCTTGCCACCACCCCTGCCCTTCGGCTTTTTGTCGACCTTGACGACCTCTTTCTCGACCTTGCCCTCCTTGTCGAGCTTCTTCTTCTTGCCCATCGGACTTATAGGCGGAGGTCGAGTAAGTTCAGGGGGCGGCGGAGTTTTCACAATCTCTCGACCAGTGTATTCGGAGGAACTCTGAACACCAGTGACAGCATCGACATTGACGTCGGCGGTAGATGCAGACTCCATATCCTGATCGCCGGTCGTTTCCCGATTCACTTCTCGCTTTCTCAACGGCGCTCTGACTCTCAGAGGCTGATCTTTGCTTAAAGGCCTGGATCCGATATACCAGTCGGTCAATGGGGCGACCTGAGGTATCTTTGTAGGCTTCGTTAGCCTCGGCGACGAGGTCACGCGAGATTTCCATCCAGGAATAGGGTGCCATCCCTTGACCAGGACGGGTGGAGGAGGCTCATCATTGTCGTCCTTGCGATACACTTGACGCCCGATCAATACTGCAACAGGTCAGCCTAAGCAACACAATCTTTTGTCGCTTACGGAATCCAAAGCCGTCCATGGAAGGGATCACTTCGATCGGATCAGATCCAGTTCTGATTCCAATGACATCTCCATGCAGCGCGGTCAGGGATCCATTCTTGCCCCGCTTGCCATCGACGCGACTGGCAATCTTTAGTAAGCCGTCTGAACCAAGATACAAGATGGCGAAAAGGCTCTGTGGCGCAATGGTAATACGCTGAGACGATCCATGTCAGGCGCATGTCGCATGCGAGAACTCACAGGCTGAAGTGATACGGGAAGCTGAGGCGGAACAGCAACGATAAGCAATGAATTGAATCTTCTTGAAAGCGTGAGCGGTCAGTCTATGGAGGAGGTCAGAATGTAAGCTCACTCTCTGTCCCCGGGAAACATTCTTCCAGCCATATCGTTCAGCAGATCCGCAGCACTGAGGCAGAGCTCGGGACATTTCTTCCATTTTGTATGCTTTCCAGCTGGGATGGAATCGATGACAGGTGCTTCAGACCCGCAGAGAAAAGTGTAGAATGGAGACACGACTTTGTCAACGACTACGACTTGTTTAGCACGGTGTCATGTAGTGGTGTGCATTCAAAGTCACTCACCTCGCTGATCCGGGTACGAGTGCCTCCTGAGAGGTATTTCCGATTGACCCTGAGTTTGCAATTGCTTCAACAAGGAATCTGCGACATCATCCTTCGAGGCGAGCGCATGCTGGACTTCCGCGCCTTGGCCCAGACCAGCTTCAACACTGTGCTTGACGACTTTAACCACCTTGACTCCGTCCCTGTAGAGTGTCCAAGCTCGCGTCGATTCAAATGGCCATGAGGGATTACCATCCTCCTGCCGAGGACCAGTGTATGTCGCTCGTGAAGGGGATTGTAAGTCTTCCACGCTGTAGATCTTTCGTGCAGGTTGTATTGTACGCTGCATGATCAGCGGCGTAAGCGTCTCATGAACATACGTGGCACGCTTCACATTCCCATCCAAACCATCTCTTCCTCTCTTGCGCAAAGCCACATGCACCGCACACCCAAGCTCGCCAAAAATCTCTCCCGGCGTTCTGTCTGCCGGTAGTTTGAGAGGACGCAGAGGGTTCTTGAGGGCGGAGTGACAGTCCAAGAGAGAGCGGTGTTATCCGGGGCAAGGGTTCCAACGCAGCCGGCGTCAATTTTGAGGGATCGAGCAAAAGGTGTTCTGACATGAGTCGGACTTTGAAGTGACAACTCACTGGCTATAAAGCTAACGCAATAGGCCGCGCACTCTGGGTTCAAACACAAAGGCTCTTCGAGCGAGTACACTCGGGTTGACGTCTTGTCGCAGAAGCTACAGTGGGAAGCAAACGGGCTGTCGGATTTGCCACTGTGACGGCCTTGTTTTCCGTCCTCACGAACAGTCGTGCTATACTGAATTCCGGAAATGGAGGCTGAGATGTCTCCCGGTATATCGTCCACTGCTGGGAATTGGAAGGGCGCGGATTGAGGCAGCCACCATGGTTTCGATTGGCCCGAACACCAGTCAAATCGGAAACGCCAGCGGAATGCCAACGGAGGAATCGCGAATGCTCCAACAGGCTCCAGCTTGACCGGTCAGCGTGGTCAGGCCTAGCTTCTCACCCATGCTTCCGTGACCCAGAACCATCCGAGGACTGTCATTCGCCGAGGTACTCTGAAAGGCGCCACACGGTAGTCTGTTGTCACGCACAAAGCCACAGGTGTTCTCGCTCTTTGTGCCGCAAGGAGAGCAGCGATTTCCGGTGGATCATGTGCATCGGCAGAGCTCGATGCTGGGACTGAGATGTTCGGCAAAGTAGGAGACAGAGGTGCGACGTATGTCTCCGGCATCACCGTAGACACATGATTGTGCTTTTCCGCAGGTTTCAGAGGTCGTTCTGGCCCACTGTGGTCTTTCAGCTACCGCATATCTAGAGAGCTCACATTGAAGTGATGATTGTTCCTGGACTTTGGTCCATCTGCCAAAACGTCCTGTCATCTGGCGGCTCACCCTCTAGAATGACGCCACGCGCTATTCCACCTACGCCAACCTGCACGCTGGCACCGTCTGTGCGCACTGGTTGCCTGAGATACTCCACTGCTACCTCTAGCGTTCGCTTGCTGTTTGCCCATACCGGACATGCGCCGGACATATCTGACAGACGTCCCTTCGCGGCGTTCACTTGAATCCGATGCATCATGTCTCGATCCTCGATTTGCGGCGGCGAATCGTCACGCATCGCCAGGGGGAAACCGGGTTTCGATGTCCTGCGCATTGGTTTCGTAACCGAGCCTTCGTTCTCCACTCCGTTTAGATGAGTATCGCCTGCCAGTGATAGTTTCCGCCGTTTCTTCACTCGTTTCCCATGTTCTTCTTCATCCGAAGTTCCATTCATCATGTCGTCGTCAAAGGAAGCAGATGCCCGACTTTTGCCCTTCTCCTCCGCTGTCAATCGTCTGTTGCCGTCTTCGATCTGCTTATTGACTTCACTCGCATTATCGGCCTTGGCTCGACGTTTGCCTTTGGGTTTCATGACGCCCCAGAGGCTTCCCGGGACACAAGTAAGATCTTTGGTCGTACAGCGGTAGCACTTGGGAAAGCCACGATCGCAGAACTGAGCTACGGCCGGGTGATTACATCCCCGACATGTCGGGGGAAGGAAATAGACAGCTTTGGCTAGATAGATGCTTAGCCCTGGAGTGTAAGTAACATGAAAGCTCACAAGTCTTCTTCTCTATGCCCATCCAAACGCTTCGTTGGTCTATTCTAGGGTCGATATCGTGAGGCAAGTACGCGGGTCGATAGAGGGATCCTGAGGGAAGATTTCCAAATGTTGGCTGAACGTCCATGCTACCCCTGTGAGGGTTCAACATGGCACCATCAGGATATTCCACGCTGGAGGGAGGTGTGTAGGGTGGTCGTCCCTGGGCAGTTGCACTGGACAGATTCAGCAAGAAGTAAGGGGGAGAAATTGCTCACGAGGACGAAGGAATTTCAAATCGACCGCTTGATCCAGGATGACTATTAGAGGTCTCATGGAGGTTCTGGGCACCTCGCGTGGTCGGTGACGCATGAGAGTCGTGACCATTTGGCCAGGAAGTGGACTGAAATCCGAAATCTAGGCTCGTATCGCCTTCATCGACATCGAGCTCGGTGGAGGCCAGGACAGCGGCTGCAAGTGCGCCTAGAGCAATCGGCGAGTCAATCATCTCCACATCTGTCTGTGAAGGGATAGCTGGCGTGTTTTCGTCCGGTACGGGAGCACCGCTGGATGAGGCATTACGAGGAATAGGTGGGACTACGCTCAGAATTGCCTCCTGACTGTGGCCAGGGTTCCCAGACGGCGGTGCCCTCAGAGGCGGATCTGCCATGCTGAGATGCCTCTCTAGGTCTTTCCGTGAGCTCGCTGCAGGCCAGACGCTCGTAGCAAGATACAGGGTTGTAGACTGGTGATAGTAGTGGATGAAGAAGAAAGTAACAACTCGACGGGATTTTGGCACGAAAACCCGCTCGAAGTTGGCACGCCGCAGATGCCTCATGATATGGCCAGGTGGGTTTGCCCTGAGGAGTGGTTTGGACCAGGGCACGCGACAATCACCGCAACACCTCGCCGAGACTAGTATAATGCAATGTATGCTATGTTTATGTCGCCTTGCTGCCATCACTCCATCTTGACATCGACCTCCAAATCCCCGTTTGTCTTGGTCTCTCCCTCCCAGTCTGGCACCTCGAATCCGATGGTCTTGGTCTCCAGCGTCTCCAGACAGCATACGACTATTTGTCCAGTCTTTGCAAAGCTAGGAACGAGGATAATACGCGTTGGAGAATCGTCTAATAGAACCCATGAGCCATAATAACCACCCCAGCAAGAGCTCACCTCCAACTACAGTCGTCTGGAATTCTGGCTGATTGCCGATTATATACAGCTCGGGACGTTTGTGGATGATGAACGGATCGGCATCAGGGAAGGGATAGACCCCTGGCTAGGGTCAGATCACGATACCAGGATACAGGATAAACGCACAGAGGGTATCTGGAGCTGTCGGAGCAACATGACGCCATTCAAGCGTCCTCTGTGCCATTCCTAACCTGCCTTCGCTAGGGACATATTTGTAGATATCGTCAAGAGTCTGTCCACCAGTCACTAGCAGACTTGAAGAGTCAGCGGGATCCCCGAGGGCCAAGCTCACCTCCGACCACCGATTTCAAGCCATGTCGGGTTCGTGGTGCAATCTAATCCTCCCGCTTTCTTACCACCGAACATGACCTTTGGTAGTGGTTGCTGCGGCAAGGTCGCTCCAGCTGGATCAGAGGGCCCTGGCACCATCGTGACGGGTAATGAGGAGGATAAGAGATCATTGAGGAGAACGCTGAGAGTTTTGGTGGGATGATTCGTGTAGAGGGGTTTAGCTGTCGAGTTGAAGCGTTTCTGGAGAAAGATTAGTAAGTGTACAGGATCAGGAGCACGACGCACTGGCTTCTTGTCGTCCTCTCCTCGGATAGGCTGACTCAACGAATTGCCCGCCAGAATCAACCTGGCTATACGATCCCCGGCCTCGCCATCCTGGATTTGTGTTAGCCGGTGAAGAACCTTGCTGTGCTGCTTACCAAAGGACCGCCATCTTCGCCCAATAGCCACTCGACGAGCAGCTGTGACTTGAGATCCGCGGGAGCTTCCTGAGATCCCACTGACAAGCCGGAGACGATAGCGATCCAAGTCTCGTTCCTGTGATCGGTATCTAGAAGTTCGTGAATTACAACTCCTTCGTTGTTGAATGTGCACTGACCACCTTGCCCGTTCGCATCAGCCTTGCTCTTGCCTTTTGTATGTGAACCGCCATTTGACGGCCCTGCCTGAGGTGTGTACAGCTCCGGAAGTCCAGCAAAGCACAAATCGATAACTTCAAAGTCTCCCGCCGAGGTCTCCATTCCCAGAGCCGCCATGATGATGCCTGATGAATATTGAGCCGAGTTCACAGATCTCAGCGCTCACCGGTCACCAGTCCACCGTTCTCCCTATCCCTCTCTCTGCGTATCACTTCTCCGACCAGTCTCACTCGACCACTCTCGTCCTCCAAGTGAACGGCATCTTGACCTGAGAAGAATTTGGCTCGAGGTGCCGGAGGTGCTATCCAGTGCTGACTGGTCAGTGCGTACATGTCAGATCGTCACTCACGTCTCTCGCCATGTCCTCAAGAACGTTTGGCTTGAGAGGCATCTCCAAGTAGACAGTACCGACAATATAACATAACTGACCCTTCTGCAGGTTCAGGATACGAGGCAACAGCGGAGGTTTCCCTAATGAGATAGACTTCAACAAATCTCTCCGAGAAGATTTTGACTCACCTCTGACGCCACCCCATCTCGCCTGAGCGTTCCTCTCGACTATTGGACGAAGCTCGACGAGTCGGACAAAGTAGATATTGGAATATTGATGTCTGTAGGATCGTTGAGCTGGATCAATGTGGAATGGGGCAGAGAGTTCGGCGAGGTTGGAATAAGAAGTCGATGGCCGTTGAGTCGGTTCATTCTCCGGCTCCTCCAATCGACTGGCCATATTGACAAGTATCGTCCTTCGTAACTGTTGTCCGTAGAACACAGATAGATGGCATGGAACTGCCCAGTGATCACAGAGACGCGACATGAACATTTCAATTCGATTGGCACGTGGCGTTGTCATCTGATTAGGATTTTGAAACCTAATGACATTAGGAAAACTCAGTTTTCTAATCTCGATCCCAGTCAACCCCCGTCGCGAATGCTTTTTCAGGGCAGTCACAGATTTGTTTTCAATCATGGACAATATCAACTGTGGACCATGAGTCTCTCGACCCATCTCATCGAAGCACACGAGAAGAAGCCATACATGGCACCTCCTATATCTCCATGGCCCCAGTCAGTCTACAGGGCAGGCCATCCACCGCAGCCGCCGCAGCCGTTTCAAACACCGGTCAACACGACCATGAATGATGGAGACTCGAGCTGGATGATGGGGCATGGCATGTCGAGTCAAGTCTCTGGTATGGGAGGATTTACAAAATGGTCAGAGGAGAGGGTGGCAGCTCTTCAAGTCAGGCTCGCTCGAAAGCTTGGGCCAGAGTACGTGACTCAGCGACCTGGACCTTCTGGGGGACCGAAACTGAGCTATATCGAAGGGTGGAAAGGTGGGTTTAGCGTGAATGTGTTTTCGCCCTGGATTGACGTATGTCCCAGTCATCAATCTCGCGAATGAAGTCTTCGGATTCAATGGCTGGTCCTCAACCATCAGCTCGCTCACTACAGATTTCGTAAGCTTGCGGTAAATCCCCGAGAGCTTACACCCTCAGATCGATGTCAATAAGGAAGGTCGTGCATCGGTCAACGTCACAGCTATCGTCCGCATCACCTTGGCTGATGGATGCTGGCACGAGGATGTGGGCTGTGGACAAGGCGAGAACCAGCGCAGCAAAGCAGCAGCCCTGGACAAGGTGAGTTTACCAGGCCAGTCACACAAATCTCACTCGCAGGCCAAAAAGGAGGCTGTGACAGATGCTACGAAGAGGGCACTCAAAACCTTTGGCAATGTACTCGGATTGTGCCTTTATGATAAGAGTTATACGAGTGAGGTCGTGCGCATGAAGGTTCCTCAGGTGAGAATCATGTGCGTACTGTGACTAACCTGTCCAGGTCAAATTCAACCCCAGGGATCTCGAGCGACGACCCGAATTCGTAGAACCAGATGCTCCTGGGCCTTCACGCCCCACAGCCATCCCAAGCCATATGCCCAACGTCTCCCGTCCGCCTGCACCTCAGCAAGCTCACTCTGTCCGAGAGTTACGACCAGACACACCTCAAGCGCCGGATACTCCTCTCAAAGAGATTCAAGAGCTAGGCGAGGATGTCTTCATGGACGAAAGCTTTGACGCCGAATTTCTCGACGAGCAAGACGAGCTATTCTATCAGGACAGACTTCAAGCCAATACACGTCAGAACGTGGCACAAGGTCCTCAGAACCCAGCAACATCAGCTCCTGCATATCAGCACCGCCATCGCCCAGATCTCCCGCCACCGAATTTGGCTGCGCGAGGAGAGTTTACGAGGTCAGTGTCGGATCCTGCGCAGAAATTGGAGAATGGGCGACATCTAGGCCCTCGCGATTCAGGCCTTGGGAACCGTGCCGCTGCAGTTAGCGAAAGGGGCGGCATGGAACCAAAGCCAATGCGCATGCCGATGCCTCGCCCCCAGAGTAATTCCTCAGCCGGAAAATCTGCTCGAGCTCTCGCCATTTCATCCGCTCTGGCTGCCCAAGGTGTTCGACCGCCACTGCCTGGCCCACCTCGAGCCGAGTCACCTCGTATCCCTTCTGGGGGTGTGGCATCCCTCTCGGCCCGAACTACGGGCCAAATGACGGCGCGGGCAGCGGCTCTAGGTTTGGAAGGCAACGAGGGAATCCCAACGGGCGATTATCAAGGATTCGGCAGTGCCAGGGGATTCAAGAGGACAAGATCGATTGAGGAGAGGCCGTGAGTCGCGATTCAGTTACTCTGGGCATTATTCTGATAGACCGTGTAGCGGAGCATCGCCCTCCAAGTCAGCTGGATCACCCACAAAGAACATTGGGCAAGATACGTTTAGCCGCTCGGGTCCTCGTACCGTTCTCGGAGAGCTGGCTACTGGTGCTGAGCCTGAGGATCTGTGGGCGAAACGATCCCGAGGTCTTTGATCGACAAGAGAGAAGGTAGCACGAGGAATTCGGCGAGGGAGCCATCGTAATCCGACCTGTAGCGTCATATTCCCATGTATCTCCATGTCATCAATCCAACAATAATCATACATCATGCTACTTGCTGTTAGGCCCAAACGATTGATTGTGGAGCATACTAAGCCGTCCACAGGCGTCTGACCAGCTCAGTGAGACCTATCCCAGAGTCAGCTAGCTAAGACTGCGAGGACACCTACCAATGTCATTTGTGTTGAACTCGTATAAACCCCAGACAACACCTCCAGTTGCTAATCGCAATAACCAGGTCATGATTGGACCAACCACTGGCCATTTTCTCGGATGGAAATAATCGGTGATGGAAGCGTCGAATCCGATATGAGAGTGAACGACGAGAGAAAGGGCGAGGACAGCGTCAAGGATTGGCTGGTAGATCGGTCAGCGATACATGTGAGAGGACAAGTCTAGACTCACATGAGCGGTCCCACTAGTGACGACAGCACCTCCGAGGATGGGAATGAGTGCAGCTGATAGAGTGCGCTCAAATGCCCAGTGATATGATCCATGGGTCTTGGATGGCTCGGGGAAGGTGTTGGCATCGTTCACTGTGCCCTTGAGGACGGCTGCGTGAGGAGTTAAGATGATTAGCAAACATACCACCATTGATCGATGAAACTCACGTCCGCCAGCTACATACTTGAACCCTCCAGTCTCATTTGCAGAGACAGTAGCATCGCGACGAGGTGCTGATACTCTGATGGACAACACACGACCTGTGTTGATGAGATCAGCCATTGTATCATTCGTCTCGAGATCGATCAACTGACTTGTGTGCAATGATCTAGACCCTAGCCCAGTTCGCAGCGTTGCAGGAGTTTGCCTGAGAAGTGACATCTTCAACGCCAGGCGGACCAGTATCGATGTGTCCAGAGACTCGATGGAGAATCCAAGTCGAAATGTCACAAGTTTTGTCTTCCCAAAGTAATAGATGGGATAGCCTGGGATTGGATCGAGGTGCTTTCTATAGGCAGTCGGATGGGATACACCGGGAGATTACGGGAAACAGCGAGCCACCATTTTGGGGGGCGGCGAGGGGACATCGAATGTGGCACTTTGTTTTTTTTCTGCTTGTGACATACAAACCAGTGGGCTATAGATTTCTGGATGGCATCTGTTTTGTGGAATCATCGAAACGCAGTCACTCTGACTGGCTTCGACACATGGCAGACCAGAGCTCAAGAACTAAGAAGGGAGCTCCGCGCTGCATGAGGCAAGCTCCGTAGAAATGCAAGAGAACAGATCTTCGTTGACGTTAATGTGGCACGAAAGGGCAACTAGTACAGGAATATACCACTTTTGACGTCAACAGGCCTAGCGGACAGTGTTTTTTGCTTGCAATGGGTATCTCAGAGCTGTCAAAGATCTGAACGAGAGTGAAGCAGGCCAGGTATGAGATCGGTAAGACGGGAACTGTCAAAAAATGGGGTGAGACCCGAAAAGCCTCACTCAGCACGGCCCCTGTCTCATTCCATCGCTTCCTGGCATCTATTGGAGCCCGGGAACCCTAGAGAAACCAAAAGCACAAAGGCACAAAAAGAAGCTCTATTGAAGCCCCGGGAGCCTTCAGAAACCAAAAACACAAAAAGAAGCTCCTTGCCAGAGAATTGAACTCTGATCTCGACCGTGACAAGGTCGCATACTAGCCATTATACGAGCAAGGATGAGCTATCCTGTGAATCGGCTGTAGAAACCGTCGCACTAGACTAGATGTTACTGTTGATGTAAGCATGGAAATTGAGCGTATATATAGGGTGTTTGAAGATCATAGACTGAGAGCTTCAAGATCTGAACCGGGGATCCATACTTGCCACTAGCTGACCACTCAGGCGTGGGACTTAGAGGATTTGAAGCATTCGAGATCCCGCACGGAAGATTTCACTGCGGGACATCCACGACTGGCTAAACAGGGAATTTTACGTGAGATTGCGGATGAAACTGTCTGAGAATAGGCAACCTGCTCTGCGTGATTCCGCATCATCCCGGGGAGCCTCAGTCGTTGTGTGTTGGATGTCTGATTGTCCCGTCTGCCTGCTGGTGCTAGTCGGCATGTCAGCTCCCTCGGCCCGATTCTCGACTTCGAGTCTCTGTATCGTCGAGATCGGAAGACCAGTGTTATGCATTTAAATCGCAGATCTCATGCGCTACATGGGTCGAAACCCAGTGGCCATCTCGTAACTGTGTTTATGGCTGAAGTGAAAGACTGGTCGGGTCATCTTAAACAAATCCGCCATCACCGGTTCCCCCAGCCTCTGTCCCTAAGTGTCATCTGTGAGGTCTTCGTCGCCGGATCGCAATGAAGTGCTTTTGCCACTCTACTGTACTCAGATGACCTTCTCTGGCCGGTTCCGCGGGATCTTAGAACGTTCAAAACATGGCCTCCAGCCCAATGACCAGGCTTCGCTCACTGAAACACAGATTCGTAGGTAGAATCTCGAGAAGCTACCGGCCATCAAGTCAGATTCTGGATACTCTTGGCCAATCGGCTCAAGCAGCTCAAAGTTTCCTAAGACGCATCGTTAAGTTGGGTTTTGTCACAAGGGACAGATGAGACCTCTGTCCAGGCCGTGGACAGTCTTGGCGAAGCTGACGGACCAATAACCAGTGACAGAGACTGTGGACCGGTCCATAATGGTATGTGGAGGTATTCCATGTCAAGCGAGATCGATGCATCTTTTTCCCTTTGGCTCTATCATGATGATTGAATTTTCTCAAAATCAGTCATTATGCATGCATCAAAATCAGAAGAGCTTGGGCCTGATGCTCCATTGTCCTGGCCTGGTACTCTTCCCTTCCCTTAGCGGCTTGTTCAGCTGCTCGAGTGTTGGCGGCGTCCAGGAGCTTTTGAAAAGTGGTAGAATTGTCATGAGAATCGACATCATTGACGCTTGTCCCCGTCCGCTTGGCACTGGCACTCTTCACCATGCCCCTGAGGATTGTATGCTCTTGCTCCAAAAGGATCTTGCTTGCGCGTAGACTCTCTATGGACAATGTCATAGACAACAATTGAGATTTCACAGGGTGATTGTCCCTTTGAGCCTTGTCCATCGATGAACTGCTGTGTATCCGCAGGAGCGTTCGAGGAAGGAGCTGAGTGCTTACGGGCCGTCCCGGGAGAAGACGAAAGTTCCGGTAGGAAAGCAAAGGGGAACGTTTGTCGATTCAATTCGGAAGGATTGAAGTGCAACCTTGGTATGTTATCCGATTAAGAAACCGGACGGATCAACTGATTATATAACGACAACTCGATATAAACGGAATGGAACACCGAGAGGTTCTGGCAGAGTGGAGGCCTCTACCTCTGCTTTACTCATCCCCACACCGATACTTTCTTCGAACCCTCTGGATTGATCATGAAACTCTCGAATCGATCATAGAATGTATGATTGAAGTCGGGAACCGAAGGGAGAGTGATAAAAGGTGAAATGACGTTATAAAAGGTTGGCTGACGGAAGCAAAATCTTCGGCTTGCCTCACCTTCGTAAGGAGTCAATTCACTGAATTGTCCTCGCGACCATGATCACAGATGACACAGGTCAACATCTCCAAACCCTCCCAGATGATGTCCTGAGTCACTTACTGAGGTACCTAGATCTTGAAGAGCTGCTGCGATTGCAACAAGTCAATCGTCAGCTGCGAGAACGAGTGGGTTGTGCCGTCTTTACCGCCGCTGATCGTCTCCCATCCATCAGGTCATCACCCTGGGATTGCCACAGTATTTGGTGCGCCATGCCCAGAACCACGTCACATTATGCCCTCAACAGGACAGTTGGAAGCCCTATGACCTCGTCCGCCGGAACCTGACCATTCTTCAAAATCTCAAAGCCCGACAATGGCATGCTTTGCAGATTGGCCCGACATGGCAATCCCCGGTGATTCCAACATTGACACTGACCCCTTCCATGTTGTTGCTCGGCGTTGGCGGGAAACTACTCGTGCACCCTCTTCATGATTGGCCTACAAGTGGAGGAAAAGTGGTGGGACGAGCGAAAGAGCATCTGATTGCGAGTAAAGGCACAGGAAGTGGAGCAGACATTATCGGAGTCGCGCCCCTCGTCGATGACGGATCTGCATTTACTGTGGCTCAATTCGACGGGACCTTGCAGACTTACACCTATGAGAACTCTGGGCTCCGGCCAGGGACCAGGTGGAGACATGCAGACGGAGCGAATGTTCACACTCTTTCTGCATCTTCCAAAGGTGATTTGATGCTCACATCGACGTCTGCCGGAGTCGTGTCAATTTTCTCCCCAACCTCTCCTCGAGGCCCACTAGAGGCCTTTTCACTACCCACTTCTGCCAGAGCTTGGTCAAGTCTAGTTGCAACATCCCATGCCTCGTTAGATCCCTCAATCATGGTCGGAGTGCATGGTGGCATACTCATCTATCCGATGAGCCCCACTGGGGTAGTGAACACTCCGCGCAAGCTGCTTGGACCAGACAAACCATCCCGGTCATCACCATACTGCTTGACCTTCCCCTCTAAACCTTCAGTCCATCACCCGTCGCTGCTTCTTTCCGCCTGGTACGACTCGCACCTGCGCATACATGATCTCCGCTCTCCTGACATTTCACCCCAGATGGAATTTGCAGACCCCTGGCAATGGGCGGACGCAAGCGCCATGTACTGCGCGACATATTTTGCCGAGAATCACATTGCCGGCGGAGGCTCACGCCACGGTACAGTCTCACTGTTTGACATTCGCCAACCCAAAGCTGGGTGGTCAATCTTCACACCAGGCGGCAAGGGCTCCCCCGTCTACGCGCTGCAGGGAGAGGGTGGAAGGTTGTGGGGAGTCACGGAAAGAAGGGCATTCGCGCTTTCTTTCGATGGCAGCGGTGGCATCCCGGCCGGGCTTGTAGCATCGAACGCGAGAGCCCCGCGTACGGATGTGAGGCACACGCCTTCAGGATGGAAGGGACGTGGTGGCAAGTGGAGATGGACTGTGAGGTACAACGAGTCAGCGGACGTCTGCACAGGGTATAACCACAGTGAAAGAGGGGTCAACCTGTTTGAGTCTCTCGCCGCGGCGTAGAGATGTCGCATATCGCAGATGCCCATGCATTTCACCTAATCGTCACCGATTGACGGCGTGATATCGCCGCTACTTTCCTCACTCCTGGCCAGGAATCCCGCCCGTCGTCCGTTCGGCGTACTGCCTCCAGAAGGAGCATAGAAATGACTTTGTAGACTACCACTAGATACGTTCGCCGTATCATCCTCCAGACCCCAGAGATTCGCCTCGATACGGTCGAATTCGACAGAGCTGTCCATATCGGTCGATGAGTACGATGGGTTCTGTGCATGGAAGCGAGGTCGGGGAACCCCTGCTCGAGCTTGGAATCGATCGACATTGACACCACTGGAAGTTTGCAATGGCCGACGCGTGAGATCGTCCGAATTGTGATCTGAGGATGTGGTAGAGGCTGTAGAGTCGGAGATGGTATGTTGATGTTTCCGAGTTGAATCCAGCGATTTCTCAGATATCGGGCTCGAGATGGACTGATTGTGTCGCCCGCGCTGTATGATCAGCAGAGATTGCGGTGATCAACTCACCGCCATGACGATCCTCAGTCTTCGATCGCTCAGACTCTCGGATGGCTGCTTGTAATGATATCCCTTTGTCTTCGTACGCTCCGGGCTACCCTCCAGTCCATCGTCAAAAAATTGATTGAGACTATGTAAGGCGCCAACCAGGTCGCCCAACGACGCGTTTTCCATGACGCCGACCGTTGACGCCTGTGGCGAGGGTAGATCCAGCGACACCTGGCTGGGGTTCTCGAACGGCTTCATGTCTTTGAACTGCACCACCGAGTAATGTGCTGATGCGGCCCTTGTCTCTTTAGCGCAGGTCTTGAAGACAGCGCTGACGTTGTCCCGGGTCACGATGGACAAGTCCTTGGCGCTTGGAATGCACCATCCACTGGACTCGATATGACCAAATATACTTTTCCCCTTGGTCTGGTCGGATTGCATTACGGGGAGGTCTAACAGGTCCAAAGCCGAGGTGGCGTAATTCGTACCGACCAATCGCAGGATGGGCGCGAGCAGCTCATCGCCGTGATGGACTAGACACGCTCGAGCTTCGGGGTACTGGAAAAGAATTTTGAGCACTGTGATCGCTTTCTCTCGCATCCAATCATGACTGTTGAGGACGAAGCCGAGAAGAATGGTAACCACTTCCAATGCCTTGTCGCGACAAAAGTCACGTAAGAGTGAACATGCCTGGCTGACAAAGTCGTCCTTAGATCGGAAACGGACGTGAGCAAAGGAAGTGAGGAGACGGGCAAATGACTGGTGCCCTTGCGCCTCCGCAATGGCGGCAAGATCCAATGCCATTGTTGCGAGTTCTTCATTCGGTTCCCCGATGTCTGTGGACTGTAGCATCCACGGAAGAGCCGCCACGAAACCATTCAAGAGGCGATCGTCCGACGCATCGACAAGCTCGTCATTTGGAGAGGAAGCAAGTCGCCGGATCAGATCAAATGTCATCATCACTGTCTTGGAGGATCGCAGGCCGACCAAAAGTAGACTCTGCAAGTGAGGTGCGGGTCCGACCCATTCGGCTGGCCGATTAGCCATGAGCTGAGATATCGTCTCTGGGTCCGACAAATTGAATTTGTCCAAAATATGCGAGAGCAGTTCGATTACTTCAGTGAATTCGTCCTCGAACGGCGTGGTCAAACATGCCATGGTGCACCAGAATAACTGTGGATGGTTGGACGCTTCCGAGGCTGAAAGATTCTGCACAATAGCGGTGAACGTGCGTAAGACTTCCAAGTTGAATGATAGAATCTCAGGGGATGCCGAAGCGATAGTGCTCGATAGCCGAGCCAGCGTGTCAGAGATCATCCGAGCGTTGACGCGCGGTCCTAGAACTCGGTACACCTGGAAAGATCGACACGCAAGATGCCGTATAGGACACGATGTGGCCCACAGTAGAGCCAGCTCACCCCACTGTTGTCTGAGTCGAGGTTGTAAAGGTAGAAGGATACCGAAAACCTTGAGGATCAAGGTGGACATCTTGGTTGGTGCCGAAAAGGCACTGTCTACTGCTCCAGCATCATCTGATTTCCAAAAGATGCTACCTCGTGCGCGTGACAAGGAAGTCACTTTGGCTTGAGCGATGGACCAAGCGGAACGAGAATCGTCTGGCCGGACCAAAGAAGTGTCGCAAGTCCAGGCGCGGAGAACTTGAAAGAAGATGCTCTGACATTGATCCCTCAGTGCCGAGCCGGGGTGATCACAGTGAATTAATGCGACATGCAGGAGGGTCAACATACGCTTGCTGAGCTCGGCTTCACCAAGTCGCAGCGGTAGGAGCTCCCCAATGAAAAGCAGGGCCAGCTGACCGGTCGAAAAGACCTGGGATTTGGAATGCGAGGTGAACAATGAATCAAGGTTGACCAGCGATGAGTCAGATTCTGGCGGAGGGTTCGCTTCAGGCAGTGCAGCCATGGCTGACGGCTCGACGAGACTGAAAATGTCGTCGAACATGGTCTCAACAGCTGTGCTCTGAGCCAAGCACGCCATGACGCGCTGAGCATGCGAGACGAAATCGAGCGACTTGCGGCGACTCCCTTGATCAAAGAGGTATCTGGTGAGGGCGTGTGTGTTACCTGAATCGGGGCTCTCGGCGAAGGATTTGAAGATTCGTCGGATCTCGTCAAGATGGTCATCCCCGAATCTCACGCTGAGATACATCAAATTGGATAAGGCGCCGTGTTCTACTTTGGCATCTTCGTCTGATACCATTGACGTGTCGGGTGCCAAATCGAGGTGTGACAGCCATGCAGGTATAATTGACAGCGTTGCCTGCCGTCGAGGGGCCTCCAGCTGACCAAGACGAGCGGTGCATTCGGTCAAAAAGTCCAGAGCGCGATCGCCATAGACCCGTGCGAGGCAAGCCGCAATTTGCTTCTGAGCGTCGAGGTAGATGCCGGTCGCTTGACTCCCGACCGACGGATACAGTCGCTCTAAACAGTCCGCATTGCGGTCCTCTTCAGACACCAACGACAGACACAGCTGGAAGGCTCGCTGGCGCACATCGGCAACTGGATGACCCAGCTTCGATAGGCACAAGCACGCGGTCTGCTGGACCGGTAGTTGAACCAGACCCTCAGCCAATGTGTCCGCAACAACGCCGAAAAAGGACGAGTCGAGCGAGAACTGCTCGCCCTCACCAAACGACTGGTGTAGCACTTCATCCAAAAGGCGGGTGCAATGCCAATTGTACTTGATTAGGGCAAACAACGCTTTACTGCCGAAGTCAGTTACAGCACTGGAGCGGATCTACCTTGCAGTCTCGTGATGCGCCGTATTGGGCGAAGAGAACATGCCTCTAATCCACCGCAGCACTGTCAACGGCTCGACGACATGCTCCGAGATCTGCGCCGCCGGAGTGGTCTCGTTCGAGATGAGCTTTCCTTGCTGAACATTAGCGCAGTCCAAGAGAGTCCGACTTACGCAAAGCCCAGCCATGGCATCAGCGGCGGCTGCAGATAAGAGCTTGGTCTTTGCCTGCAAGTCGTCCAGGTATTGAGCCCTGTCCCTCTCTCCCCTGTAGCCCTCAGCGGCCGCCTGTAGCATATGCGATTCGCGGGCTTTGGCCACGTCGGGTCGTCGTCCGATGTGACACCACTCGAAACACAGCTTGAAGATGGCGCCACGCATATCCTCGCCGAGGAATCTTTCAGACGAGTCAAGCTTGCCCAAGGCGTTGGTGAGATTCTCCACGACAATGCAGAAAGACCTCCGGAGTGACTGCAGGTCAAAGTCGTCCTTGATGCCTCGCTCGGATAAGAGCGAGTGAGTAATCTTGACAAAGCTGATGATGGAAGAGAGATTGTTCAACTGAGATGCTCTCGACTCTAAAAGAAGAGGAGAAATGAGCCGGAAGACATGAGCCAAAGCTGTCCATAGCGCAGCATTTGGCATCGACCGTCTTGAAGCTGCCATCTTTGAGCCGTCGGCGAGCCGCCGTACGACGCCCAGCATGATATCAGATACAGGCCGCAGCAGTGCCTGACCGATTGCGCCAATAGCGTATACAGCTGCATCCTTGAAGCGGGGGTCCTCCCATCCAAAGACCCAAGTCAAGTAGTGGAACAAGGCCGGCGAGCTGATGGTGTCGGGCGTAAGAATGATTACGTCTTTGGTACGCTGCACAGGAGGAGTGGCGGGCGTCTGAAGTTGACCGGGCATGGTGACGCATAAGACAGATAGGTATGCTCTCCAATACTCCGCTAAAGAGCCCATGTCGACTGTATTCCTTCCTGAGCTAGGGTGGGTTCGCATTCCTGGCGTGGCACGACTGGCCGCGTTCGAGGCGGTTACGGCGATATGACCCTGCAGGCGGAGCACCATCGTGATGACGACCGAACGGAGGCATTGTGCAACGTCGGGGATCTGCTCGACAAGTTTCCCCACAAACAAGGGGAAGATCCCCAGCCATAATGCTGCGTCTTTGCTATTATCACTTTCAGCGATCCTGGCCAACAACCTAGACTTTTCAGCCGCCAAAAGGTCTAAGCGATGCCGATCTGTTGAGTTGAGCCACGGCGAAGATCGAATGCGCTTGATTTCTCCTTCATCGAGAGTCATCTCGAACAACTGTACCACTCGAGTGAGGGTCTCTTTGCCGATGTTGATACGAGAGTATCGGAACGGAGCTGAAGGCATACGACGTTGAGGTTCCAGATCACGAGCAGCCGCCAGGATCCTAGTGGCAAGGCGGCGCAGGGAAAGACTGGTCGAGCAGAGAAGGAATAAGCCGCACCCTTCAATTCTTTGAATGAATCCAGCAGCTAGCTTGAGTCCGCCTTCGTCTTCGTCTGTCGATGCCAAGCGCTGGTGTCCGACAAGAGTCTGTAGCAGATCCAGCCAAATCTCAGTGACCCGATCAAATTGTCTTTCCAGCAAGCGGACGCCCATGAAAGTATCTCGAAACACGTGTCGAGTCTCAAAGACGAATTGCATAAAAGTCGTCGCCAAGGCGAGACAGTGCTGTGAATCCTGTGAGCATCGTCGTATGGCGCCCCCCGCAGCTGCTGCTATGACCGGATCTGCTGAAAAGGATGAGCGGCAGAGGATATTAGCTACTTGACCAAAATTAGTCGCGTCAAGGCATCGCGGCATCAGGTCGAGCAGGGTCGCGCAGAGCCGCATGGTTGGAACGTGACGGCCCGAAAAGGTCACGTAGATGTCGCCGTGCTTCCGTGTGACCTGCTCCGAGCCCTCTAATGCCGCACTCGATGAATGCGAGACCACCGAGACGTTGTCGTTGGACAACAACAGGAACCCGATGGAGCGATCACAGGACAGTAAGAGCTCGGTGAGCGCAGTTTTGGCGTGAATGAGAAATGAGGTAATCTCAGGTTTGGCCGAGAGATCATCAGAGAGCGGTTCTCCTTCGAGAGTTCCGTCTTCGTCAAAGGATTCGAAATCGGATGCACTTGGCCATGCTGCTGGGCGATCTTCCACCAGATCTTGGAGGACGCGACCAATGGCCCGAACAAGGGATGTTGTCCTGTCCATCTGAGCCAAGGCGTCGCCGCGAAGGAACTCAGATATAAATTCTTCACCATACTCGAGGTCTCTCGCCATGATCGCGTGCAGAATGGCAGCAAATGGGTGGACGGGCAAGTCGGGTCCAAGCAAGCCACCGTTGGTCGAATAAACGAGTCGAATGATTGGATCTAATCTCTTCCTCATAGAAGTTGAGCTCTCCGAGCATCTATTGAGGTAAACCCATAGCATGCGGTGCAAAGCATTGATGGCGATGGGCCGTGTTGGCCGGTCCTGCCGGTCAGCGAAGAGCATTCTAAGACTCACTCTCAATCTGGTCGTAATTGCCTCCAAACACGATATCCAGTTGGACATGAAGACCTCGCGGGGAGAAACTGCCAATGCCACTATAACCAAAGGAAAGGCGATTGACCAATTCCGGGGCCGAGTGACCATTGTCTGCGACCTTGACAAGATCAAGTCGACAGCTTTAGACCACAAGGGATGGTTGACCTCCGCCGTGGCGGTCTCAGCGACGGGATGGAGTAAGTGTGTAAAAGTCTCGGTATAGGCCAACCTCAAACCTTCTCTCTGCACATTGATGTACAGGGTCGCCAGTTCTTGGACAAATTCGGCCGAGTTCTCCAATTCGCTTTCAGGATAGACCTTGAGCTTGAGCTGCCGGACACCATGCAGTAAATGTTCCATGCGAGCATCGGAATCCCTTGCTTGGCTTGTTGAAAGCTTCGCCAACTCTCGGGAAAATCGATCACTAACGGTGAGAAATCGGGTGTTGGACAATGCGCCAAGGACCCGCATTTCTAGTTGTGAGACTGCCTGCCGGTGTGGGAGCTGCATCTCTTCAAGATTCTCCGAGCGGAACGCATTGAAGGCATTTTGCTCGAGATCCAGGCCTAATTCGCCCGCCAAGATGTCGCGAGGTATAGCAGCGATGAGCTCGAGCAACACACGATTGAGCAGAAACTTTGAAGCCGAGGACTTGCGATCGCTCAAGATGGCAGCCGCTTCCTCTAATCTCATTGACGCACCAGCTGACCTGTCCATATGGCTCCGAACTTCGTTGGCACCGATGCCTTCGCAATGGTGCTTGCACCAAGCGTTGACAATGTCAAAGACACGTCTCGCATGGCGTATACCCAAATGTCCAAAGGATACGAGAAGGGCATCGAAGGGGGGATCCATGCCCACCTCGAGATACGCAGGGAGCGATGGTTGGGTATTGAGCGGTCTCCCACATATCCGAGCCACCTTGCTGTCTGCAGCGGACCGAAAGTCTGCCCAGATCGTCTGTAGAGCTTCATCCGCAGCTGATTTGGGTCCCTCTTCATCTACATCTTCCAGTCCTCGGATGCTGCCTCCCTGACGCAGAAAGCGATATGCACTGGTGTCACTGCCTTGCCGCCTTGAAGGTGTAGATCTCGAGGGCACGGGTGGCAGAGAGACATTGTCCTCAGATGGACGATAGGTCAAAGATGATTGAGAATTGGCTGATCGACCTCCGGTCGATTTACCAGAAGCTGTAGGTTGTTTTCTGAGCGCATTGTGTTGCCGCGGAGATGAGGTATACGACGGAGAAGCAGGTGGTTCGAACCGAGAGAATGGATTTCGTAATGCTGGGTACGCCGTATTGAGGTTCGGGACGGGAGGGACGTGGGTTGGACCCGTCGGTTTGAACGCATTTTTGATGGATGCCAGTGATCCTTTCCGATTCGGCAAGAAGCCAGGCGCAGAGCCTATAGAGGTACCAGGCGTTGCCAATGAGGCATTGGAGCCATTGGAGAGCTTGCCGAGTCGCCGTTCGTCGCCTGGGGTGGAGTAGCCTGTCGAGTAGCTTACAGAGGTCTTCTGTAGTGTCGGTCTGGCAGGTGTGGAAAGACTGGGTCGGGGCAGATTCTCGACCGAGGCATTGCGCGGGTACTCTGACGTGGGATAGATATCGAGCGATGTGGTGCTTGAGGAAGCACCGAAGGATGGGTTGGAGAAGGAAGGAAGGCCAAAGTTGTGCACGCTCTCGTCGTCGTCAAAGGCTGCGGAAGGGCGGAATCAGCGGGAGACCGGAGGATACGCCTACTGGGCAGAAGGATCTCATTCCCGTCACTCATCGTCACTATATAGCCCACTGCTGTGTCATAAGATCATGTCAAAGTCGTACAGAGAGTTCGAAGAGATGGAAGATGGATTGGATTTCATCCTGAAACATTTCGAAACGCGAACGCGCGACGTGCTGAAATTTCAAAACCGAAATCTTGAACAAAGACGATGATGATGATGATGATGATGATGGTGACAATAATGATGGATACATGCTGCTAGTCATCGTACTCGACGCTCCCATCACTGTCCTCGTCTCCGTCATCGCCGTCGATATCGAAATCGTCGTCCTCATCTGAGCCCGACTCGAGCGCATCCTCCTCTTCCTCTTCTTCGTCATCATCACTGTCCACCCCATTCACCCTCATGTCAACGTCTTCCACTTCTCCGTCTCCATCGCCTACTTCAACTCTCACTTCGTCGTCACTATCTGAATCACTCTGACCCTCAATATAGTGATAGCCTTCACCCTTGCCTTGAGCTTGGGAAGCTTGAGCTTCGGCAAGACGACGTATTTCAATCTGCGACAAGGCTAGGTCCAGGCGGCCAGAGAGCGACTGCAGTGGCTGATACAGCTTCATTCTCTCCTGCAAAAGATTCGACAATTGTGCAAGACTGATCGACAGGGATGGCATCTGCCGAGTGTCAGAGGGACTCCAGCAATTGCTCTACTCACAGTCATCAATAGCGATCCCCGCTCGATCAGCACGCCCTTGACCCATTGAATGGTACCCCTCGCTTGCTGTTCATTCTGAGCGGCACCTCGACCACCGCCACGGCTGTGGGCACCCTTGCCTTGACCTAATCGCTCGATGCAGGCTTTTAAGAGCGGCAGAGCAAGGGTAGGAGGCATTTTCCGAATGGTGTTGCGGATCAAGATGGGGTCTCGATGTGTCAAGACGAGGTTCAGGAGGGCAGGATCTGATGTATGCAGGGCCTGCACCAAAAGTCGAGTGAGTGAGGCTGCGTTTGTCGGACCGGTGGTCGGAGGGGCTGATTCTGGATTCGCGTCACCATTCGGCATGGCGAGTAATCTTTCACCGAGTGTCAAGTCGGCCATATCGACATCGGCAGGCAGCGCAGCGGCAGGTTCTCCATCGTCCTCGGCCGGAACTTCCAAGGGTGTCGGGGCCACGAACCGCTGAGTTGGCACATCGCTCTGATTGGCGGAAGAGACGAGGTCCTGACCATCACTCTTGACAACTGTTTCGGACTGTATACTTCCATCGGGTGACTCGTACGCTGCTCTGACCCATTTGACACGTCCGCCTCCAAGAGATCGACCACAAGCTAATGCACCGTCATCGACAAATACTGCGCCACAGAGCGTAGCAAGCCGGCTGTCCTGTCCATAGACGACTTTGATCGTGCTTGACTGGCCAGATTTCGGACGAGCGAGATCGAGTTCTGTTGGAAGTGGGAAGAGAGATATCTCGCCTGAATAATGCAGTACGGATAAATGCGAGGGGTTAAGAGAGCAAGAATGTACCGGAGAAGGAGTTGGTGCGGCGTATCGGTAGGAGAGTTTGGCGAGGGCAGAGGGTGAGGGCAATGTGTACTGAGAGACTGTCCTGTCATCGTGGGAGACTACGAGGAACGAGCAACCAGATTTGGATATCGGCAGCGGGTACAGGGCGGTGACATGAGTTGTGGAGACGGGTAATGGTGGGGATGTGTGGGTGACTTTACTGGTGGACAGGTCGAGATGGAGGGAGACGATGGATGAGGTAGAGCCAAGAAGAACATGCAGATTTTCTGGCGAGGAGGTCGGGAGGATGGAAAGAGCTGTGATGGGAGCTGTCGAGCCATGTTCGAAGCGGGTCGATGTGTTGTTAAAGTTGATGTCTACGAATACGAGCTCCTTGGCAGTCGCGAAGAGGCTGCCTTGGGACGAGCTCGTGGCAGCCGTGACCTGACCGACTTCAATCTGCCGTATACGTTCGCTTCGTTTCGGAGAGAACGCTACGACGGATCCCAAGCTAGTGCTGATAATTAAGGCTTCCTCGGAGCCATTGGTTGTTTCGGACTTTCTCCTCTTCTTCTTGCTCGGTCCAGAGCCGGAGACGGAAGACCAGGTCAAGGACGTGGCCTTTGACGCGTCGAGCTCTAATTCCGCAATGACACGGTCCGTGTTGATGTCCCAGACAGACACCTTGTCGGCGGAGCCGAGAACAGGCTGAGCACAGGCGTAGAATGAGCCCGAGGCGTTGAAAGCGGAAACAGCAGGAGGAGGGGGAGGCGATTGAGAAGATGATGCCTTGATCCTTGATGGACCAGCGACAGGCTGCTTTGGCGCCATGCTGATGTCTTTGTCAGCGACTGTCAAAAGTACAACATTTATCGAGAACAGGGAGTAGGTTCAGATTGGGTGTCCGTAAAATTGGGTCGGACGTTTTCAGCAGTCGTGTCTAAGTAGACCGTCGTGATTGGATCATCACATATAGGCGATTTGGAAATGATGAAGGATGGAAACAGCACTCACATGATCACAGACTCAGATCGAGACGATTCTGGACGGAGTCAGCTCTGTCCATGCCATACTGATTAGACAGGAGACAGGTTCAGATATTTAAAACAGCCATGTTTCGACAGCATTTCTCTGCTCCGTAGAGCAGCGCTCAGTCGGTAATTCCAAGTGTATCATCCGCAAAATGAGGACAGACCTAGCAAGAGATAAGACTCACAAAGGAATGTAGGCATTAGAGAGAGTCAGGGAGAGGGAGACTGGTCCAAATTGGCCCAGCTGCAAGTTGGTCAGCTTCCTGAGTTGAGCTGAAGGTCGCAGTGCAGATGAGCGAATCAGAGTTGGGTGTTCCGCCTCATGGCAATTTCTGCTCAGAGACTCTAGTTTGAAAGGACCACAAGATCATCCGAGAGGGGTGTGGGGGGAGGTGCGAGTCGTAGAGGTGGGCACTCACGAGTAATTATGGTAAGATTAGATAGAGATGGAAGACGACCAGAGATGGAAAAGCATTCTCGAAATTTTAGACTGGCTGGAATTTCCTGATGACGTGGCATTTTCAGTGAAAAAGCTGTTTGTGGCAGATGTTTCTCGGGGGTTAGGTCATACATGTGCGGTGCCCTTCATTACAGAACTACTCATACCTGCCTCCTCTTCTTACTGTTGTGCCGCTTCTTCTGTCGGATCGCCGCTTCATCATCACTGTCGACGTCATCTGCGGCCGGACGTTTCGCAGATATGTTCACCTTGGGAGGAGACGCAAATCCAAAGCTCTTAGCGACCTTGGCCAGATCCAACTTGTTGATGTCAAACACCGACTTGAGCGAGTGAGAAGCGTACGCCTGGAGATAGGATCGGAACGCCTCGCGGGCCGATTGGTTGAGATAATGGTTCTTGGAGATGAGATTCTCCAACTGAGTTTGGACATTGGCGATTTTCAGGGGCGGACACTGATATTCGTTCAATGGGACCTTGGCGATCTTCAAGAATCGAAGGAATCCAAGTTCAGATGGGAGGAGGAATAAGAGAGATTTTCCAATCTTTCCAGCTCTAGCTGTTCGTCCAACTCGGTGGATATAGTCTTTGGGGTCGGCGGGACAATCAAAGGAAATGGAAGTATGGACAGAGGGAATGTCAAGACCTCGAGCAGCCACGTCGGTGGCCAGCAGGGTACCATGTTGAGCGTTGGAGAATTCGAAGAATGTGTTAGACCGTGAAGCCTGCTTCATCTTTCCCTAATAAATATCAGCTGAGTAATCTTGCCGTTCAGACTCACGTGTATACTCAGTACAGGGACATCCAGGTAATTTAGCAGCTCGGAATAGTAATTGACTGCATTGCAGCTGCTGAAGAACACGATGATCTTCTTCTTGCTGTTTCGCTTGAGATATGTGTATAAGAGCATGAAGCGAAGATCCTCAGGAACGACGATGTATCCTTGTTGCAATGTCTCTGGCACCGCTTCGACCTTGTCCTCGTCCACGTTGATATATAAGGGGTTCGGACGGAGCGAGAGTTTGGCAAGGCTATTGACAGATGTCGACAATGTGGCACTGAACAGTGAGGTCTGTCGTTCCTTCGGAAGGATCTTCAAGATCGCCTGGAGCTCCTCTTCGAAACCGATGGAAAGGAGAGTGTCCGCTTCATCAATGACCAGATTTTTCAGATTAGAGAAGCGGAACCCCTTCGTGTTCTGCAAGTGATCAAGCAGTCTTCCTGGCGTCGCGACGAGCAAATTGACGCCCTTGGCCAGCTTCTCCGCTTCAGCCTTACGGTTTGCTCCTCCCATGATCACCGCGAATGTCTGAGAATGTCCTTGCATGAGCTCTTTCGCCACGCCGAAGATCTGCAATGCTAGCTCTCTCGTTGGCGAAATGATGACCACCCCAGTCCCATTGAGCGGCTTGAACCGTAGAGTGTTCAGCAGTTCCACAGCGGGCACCAGAAACGCCATCGTCTTTCCACTGCCTGTCTTGGCAGCACCGAGGACATCCTTGCCAGCGAGTAATGGCGGAATGGTTCTAGCTTGAACGGTTGTCATGTTCTGAAACCCCATCCTTTCGATAGCGGAAGATGTGGCTGGAGACAGGGAGAGCGATGAGAATTGATCAGTGGGTGCCATATCGAGCGTCTGCTTGGACGAGCTAGCGTCCTTGGACGCCGTAGAGGTCGCAGCCATGTCGATCTCAGTTCTGGATGCAAAAGAGACAGCGCATCACACAAAAAATTGCTCGGTGAACCTCGGCTCGCGCAAAATTTTGATTCCGGTCAACTTACGTAAGTTTACCACGTCGGAACAACGAAATGCCGCCACACTGCTCACGTCGATCATTTCACTGCGTCAAGGAGGGGCATGGGTTCGATCGCTTCGTCACGTACTGCACTCAATGCATCTCCACTCGAATACCTCTCGCGAACAACGCGCCAAAGCCAGTACGTATGTAAAACACATTTCTCAATTTCATTTTTGGGTTCCGCCAGTCAGCTGCATCCTCTGCGTAAAAAGGTGACAGATGACACGTGTCTAGACGGTGCCGGAGGCGGTGATGGTAATCTTGGCCTTGGGCTTGCCAGAGTCACTATTGAGTGGTTGTCAGCATGAACCGGAGAACCCATCAAATCTCGTGAACTCACCTTCCGTAACTCTCAATCTTCTTGACCAAGGGCACTGATGTGGCTTAGCTATGATGATTCCTCATCGAACTGGGCGCAACTTACTTCCGTCGACGACCTTGCCGAAGACGACCTGCATTCAAATCAGCGCCAGGACAACTCATGGTACAGGGTGTACTAACGTGCTTTCCGTCCAACCAGGAGGTCACGACCTGAGTAGAGGAGGGATCAGCGCAAGCACAAGGTGTAGAAGGATTCGCGCACGGTGGTGATGAAGAATTGCGAACCGTTGGTGTTGGGTCCGGCATTGGCCATAGACAGGAGACCTAAAAGCTTGGTCAGCGCGTATAAAAAGCACAGGTCCGTCTACACGTACCAGGCTCGGTGTGTCTGAGCTTGAAGTTCTCATCGGCGAATTTGTTGCCGTAGATGGACTCTGCAGCCTCTGTAAGCCTCGGAAAAGCAGAGAAAGAGTAAGAAACATACTTCCACCGGTTCCATTGTGTGCGGTGAAGTCTGTGAGGACGTCAGTGTCCACTCAAAGTGGTGTTGAAGATGCAAGGAGGATGACTCTGAGATGAGATCGCTCCGAAGCATCTCCAACGTTGCAGGTTCGGACATACCTCCTCCTTGGAGCATGAAGTTGGGGATGACCTAGGTACTGTCAACTACAGAGTCATTCTGAGCGCTTACTCGGTGGAATCCTGAGCCAGCATAGCCGAAGCTATCAAGGGCGTAAGCTAGAGCTTATCCGGGATGATTTCAAGGACGAGACCGTGTGAATTCCAAGACGACGCGGTTCGAGGTAACACCACCGGTGCCACTTACCCCTTCTCTCCAGTGCACAAGGCTCGGAAGTTGTCTGCGGTCTTGGGGACGGTCTGGTCGAAGAGCTCGAAGACGATCCTGCCCGCAGGCTGGTTGTTGATGGCAATGTCGAAGTAGCAGTTGGACATCTTTGCAGTGCTCACAAATCGTCTGATGAATGACATGGAAAGAGGTGAAGACGGCTTGGAGAACTCGTGGAGCGTCACGGAAGAATCGCACCACGGCAATTCAAAGATAATCCCGCTCTGTGGCGGTTGTGTCGCGTGGCGTCTGTTGGATGAGATGTAACTGGTCAATGGTCCAACGATGCATGAAATGGATGCAGACTGCCGATGTACGTCGTGGCGACAACATAAATGTACAACAATATGCCCTCAGGCGTTATGCTCTCGTTAAAATGCTTGGTTCGGGTGCTTTGAGCATTGTAACTGCTGCCCCTCAAACTATCCCCGCCTATACCGAAGTCCACCTCTATCCCCTGGTTTCTCCTCCCCACGGCATTGATCTGCAAAGTGACCCTTCTCACCGCATCGCTGTAAGAGGGCATCAGTACCAGAATGAAGAAGACACGTTGTGAACTTACGAAACATAAGACCGTCGATAAATCTTGAACCCATTTCCGTGGCCTTGATGAATCGTTCCTCTCACTACGCCGTGGTTTCTCGTCCTGCTGATCATTTCTCCTAGCATTCACTGCCAGCATGCCGCCTCCTTCTCTCCACGCACTCAACGCTCCTCCTAAAGCAGCAGTTCGATCCTGAATGACATTGCTGGGATCAAAGCTCTTCAAACTTCGACCATAGCCCGCGGGAATGGGAACTTGAAGATTATGATCTGGTATAGGTTTTGAGGGCTTGATGTAAGCGCTTGGCGGTGGGCGTGAAGGAGAGGGACTTGTTCAGTGTCAGCCTTTTACGTTCAGAGGCATCATATTACTCACTGTCCAGCCTTGCATTTCGGACCGTCAGGGCAGAACCCCGCCAAATAAGCCGGGCACAAAGTCTTTCTCGTGTGATTCATTGGGCAACCTGGTCCTCTTGGGCAGAATCCTCGCTCATAGTCCGGGCAAGACCCTCTCCAATCCTCATCTGAGCGATGATAGTACAGGCATTCGGATCCGATAGCACATCTGTCAGAGTCAGTGCACAGTTGTCTTATATTCGTATATTCGCTCACCTTCCATACGTCGTCCACAGGTGGCACTCAGGATACCGTCTAAGATTGAAATCGTGTAGGAACGGGCAGTCTCCGGCAAGTTTGCACATTCCTCGAAGCCAGTGACGGCAGCACACGGCAGATTGCTTCTGAGGCAGCTTCTCTGGCAGAGTCTTTAGATCGACATGTCTGAGTGGACAAGCTTCTGATCCAAGTGGACATCCTGGAGGTAGCAACGACAATGGACATATTTCATTGTCTTTCCCAATGTCAGTACTGGCTTAGTAACCACACTCACCATTTGACAATCTCAATTTCTTCTCTCTCTGAAGCCAGTCTTCCAGTGCCAACGGCGTCTGATGGAAGTCTGGCCTTACAAAATCTGTCGCTATGCCCAGCAATGGATCGGCCAGCGTCGCTACGGCTGTCATGGTCGATGGCAAATTGAATGGTTGACAGTGAACAGAAGAAGGCAAGCAATGCCTGCTGTTCAGACAATCAACCAACGGAATCAAAAAATGGTTTCTCGCGCCGACCACAAATTTCCAGGCGTCATTCGACCACATCTCGCTATGTTTCTCTTGAACCTCCACGGTTAGACATATGTAATGGCGCCCAAGAACAAGGGCGGAAAGAAAGGGAAGAAGGGCAAGGATGATGATGATGATGAGTATTGGGAGAAGAAGGCCGCGGAGGTCGAGCAGAAGAACGCAGAGATAGCTAAAGAGGTCGAGGAAGCGCCCCTGGGTGGCGGTAGCGCCTTTGATGCTTTGGACGAGGACGATGAGGAGGAGGGAGGTCTGATGGTGAGTCGATGAAACGGATATGTACCTTACTTCGGCCCAGAGCATGATCAACAAGGCCTCCAAATCAAAGCCCAAAAAAGCCAAAAAGAAGAAGGGCCGAGCGGATTCAGACCTGGAAGAAGATCTCGACGGTGATGTCGGGCCTGTGACAGAACCGGTTGACACCAGAGTGGACCCAGACGATGAGTGGCCAGAGGAGGACGTCAAGCCGAAGAAGGGCAAAAAGGGCAAGAAGGGCGGTGCTAAGAAGCAGGTTGACGAAGACGAAGTGGAGGAGGCGACACCAACGACACTCGCCCCAGACACAGCTGTGAACATGGACGACGAGTGGCCAGAGGAGGATGCCAGGCAGAAGAAGGGTAAGAAGGGCAAGAAAGGAAAGAAGCAAGACGATGAAGATGATGTGGAGCCCACCGAGGCAGCGGCCCCCACTCCTGCTCCTGCCACCGAGGTCAACATGGATGACGAATGGCCAGAGGAGGACGTCAAAAAGTCGAAAAAGGAGGCTTCAGCTCCAGCGTCGGCGCCAGAAGCCGAGGCTGATGCTGGCGGATCTCAAGACGAAAGAGATGATGGCCCAAAGGTGAGCTCATTCCGTGCACACACGCGCTGACCAGCTAGATCTTGACAAAGAAGGAAAAGGAGAAGCTTAAGAAGGAGCGTGAAAAGGCGAAGAAGAAGGCTCAGGCAGCTGGAAAGAAAGCTGCAGGAAACACATCTACTTCTCAGCCTCAAGCGACGACAGAGGCTGCTCCACCTGTCTCCTCTGGGGCCGCCTTACCGAAGGGCAAAAAAGTTCCGGCGCATATTGCCGCTATGCGTGCTGCGATGCACGAGAAGGCTCGTATCGAGGAAGAGATCCGAAAGGCAGAAGAGGAGCGTTTGCGGAAGATTGAAGAGGAAGAAGCTCGACAAGCTGCAGAAGAGCAACGTATAGCGGATCAGAAAGCTGCCAAGAAGCAGAAGGAAAAGGAGAAGCAGGCCAAACTCAAGGCGGAGGGCAAGCTCCTGACACCGGCTCAGAAGCGGGAACGAGAAATTGCCGAGCAGAAGAAGCAGGCTATGCTGGCAAGTGGAATGATCGTTGCTGGTCTGCAAGGTGGCGCCTCAACGGAGCGCAAAAAGCCAGTCTACGGCAAGAAGAAGGGCAAGGGACCAGTGAAGCCTGCGGCGACAAAGGAGGAGCCCGAAACACCTCAGCCAGCAGCTCCGGCTTCTTCTGCTGCTGCTGCTGCTCCGGAGGAGGACGATGAGGAGGATGATTGGGCTCAAGAGGAGAAGGACACGGCAGAGGTGGACGACCTCGTTAACGGAGTCGGAAAGGTCAAGATTGACGATGTGGATGACTGGGATCAGTCTGAGGATGAAGTCAAGCCGGAGCCAAAAGTAGCTGCTCCTACCAAAACTGCCCCGAGCTCGACACCGGTGCTCACAAATGGCACGGACAAGGCACCGGCGAAAGCTCCCGCCAAGCCTGCCAACGGAAAAGCACCAGCAGCTGATGAATCATCCTCTGAGGAGGAGTCGGACGACGATGACAGCAGTGAGGAGGATTCTGAGGATGAATTCGAGAATCGCAAAGAGGAGGCGTTGGCTCGGATCATGGAGCGCAGGAGGACATACATCGAAGGCGAAATGCGTGATCCGATCTCTGTCATGTTGGGGCACGTCGATCACGGAAAGACGCTCCTGCTAGACTCTATTCGAAAGAGTTCAGTCGCCGCCGGGGAAGCTGGCGGAATCACACAACAGATCGGATCGACTTATGTTCCTCGAGATGCTCTCATCGAAAAGACGGCTCGGGTCAACAAGGATAACGAGCTCGACATCAAGACGGGTCTTTTAATCCTGGACACTCCTGGGCACGCCAGTTTCAGTAATTTGAGGTCCCGTGGATCTAGGATGACTGATATCTCGATTCTGGTCGTGGACATTACGGTGAGTTGTGGATCCAGCCTATTCTGACTCTACACAGCAAGGGTTTGAACCTACCACTCTCGAGGCCCTGAACCTGTTAAAGAAGGAGAGGATCCCCTTCATCGTTGCTGTCAACAAGGTGGACCGACTGTATGGATGGAAGGCAATTCCTGGCGCTGGATTTATGGAAACCTTTGAGACACAGGCAAAGAATACCAAACAAGAGTTCCAGGACCGTGTACAAAGGATCAAACTGGCATTTTCCGAGCAGGGACTCAACTCGGAGCTCTTCTATCAGAATACGTCCATGGCTCGAAATGTGTCTCTTGTGCCCGTGTCTGCCATGACGGGAGAGGGTCTGCCGGACTTGCTTTACATTCTGTCCAAGCTAGCGCAGGAACGACTGGCGGACAAGCTGAGGTTCTCAGAGGAGCTCACCGCGACGGTCTTAGAAAAGAAGGTTGTGGAAGGTCTTGGAGTCACACTGGACGTCATCATCTCCAATGGAACACTGCGCGAAAACGACCGAATTGTCCTGTGCGGTACCGATGGACCTATCGCGACGAATGTCCGGGCTATTTTGAGTCCACAACCGCTCAAGGAGATCCGGCTGAAGAACCAATGGATACACTTGAAGGAGGCACGTGCATCTCTCGGTGTCAAAGTTGTCGCTGTCGACCTGGAACAAGCTATCGGTGGAGCCAAGCTCTACGCCATCAGAGGCAAAGAGGATGTCGAGGCGGAAGAAGCTGTTTACAAAGAGATGGCTTTGTCGGATCTGTCAGATCTCAGGCGATATGCGAGCAAGGGACCGGGTATTTACGTTTCTGCCTCAACGCTTGGAAGTCTGGAGGCTTTGCTGAGCTTCTTGTCGGATGAAAAGATCAAGGTGAGGTCCATCGCGACGAGGGTCCTCTGACAGAGTAGGTGCGCGATTTTGGTATCGGTACGATAGGCAAAAAGGCAGTCCGAAGTGCTGCTCGTATGGTCGACTCGCATCCCGATTCAGCCATCATCATGGCATTCGACGTTGAGATCGATCCAATAGCAAAAGCGGAAGCCGCATCTGCCGGAGTGACCATATTCTCAGGCGAGTGACCTGTCATCTTTAAACATCAATTCTGACTCGTATTGCAGAGGACGTCATCTATCATCTGCTAGACAAGTTTATGGCGTTCAAACGAGAGTTTGACGAGTCGAAACGACAAGCTGCGTTGCCGAATGCCGTTTGGCCAGTGCGACTTCATATCTTGCAAGCCTTCACCCACAGAGATCCTCTTGTTCTCGGCGTGGAGATCATCGAGGGTACATTGAGAAAGGGAACACCTCTTGGTGTCGTCCGCGCCGGCAAGGATGGTGGGGCCAGGGAGATCATCAGTCTAGGCAAAGTGTGAGTGCTCCAAGATGTGATGTTGGCTGATCTAATAGCGTATCCATCGAGGTCAATCACAAGCCTGTGACCAACGAGTTTGTCAGACGTCAGCATATTGGGGCCGGAGCAGCAATCAAGATCGAGAAGGCTGTGCATGAGAGCTCTAAACTGTATGGAAGGCATTTCACCGACAAGGACGAGGTCGTCTCCCTGATTTCGCGATCTAGTATTGACACGCTGAGTGAGTCTACAATCGTCCCTGGTGATTTCCTCTCTCGCTCACACTCAACCCAGAGGCCAACTTTAGGGAACAGGTGGACAAGGGTGATTGGCTCATCATCAAGCAGATGAAGACTGAGCAGGGCATTCCATGATGATCCTACGCATGCATGCATGATCGACCATTTCGCGCTTGGCATGTAATTGCTGCCGGCTGATTTGCAGCACGTGGTTTTCGTGTAACCCTGCGCCGAATCCAGCGATATCTTGGCCGAAGTGCTCGACACTGTTTATGCTTTTGATATAATCTCCAGACACTCAGCAGGGCTCAAACGGAGACGTCCCGGGCCAGTACAATGGTGGCGGGACTGAAGATTCATCACGCTGAAGAATACGAGCTGGGCAACACCGACGCCACCGCTGGACCGTCTTCACGCGTCCGAAACACCCATGGAGGACACCGGAGCACCGGCTCATCTTCCGTCTTGTTCGATGTCAGCTCGTCTTCTCCGAGCGATCAACGAGATGCAGGTGCTCGGCCTTACTTATCTCCTCGTATCCTTCGACGACAAAGTCTCCCTCCGCCTCCTGATTCACCTTTGACGCCTAAGAGAAGCTACCGTGCTCAGTTTCTAGAAGATGAGGGGATCGATATACCGAACATTAGTGGAATACTCGGACTGGATGATGACAAGGATCGATTCGCGGTAGCGACAGGGATGTCAAGTGTGCCAAAGAAGAGAGTTTATCTCTTGATGGAGGAGCCTAGCAGCTCGCGAGAGGCATTTTATATCCATATCTCTGTTACTGGGATCATTCTCTTCAGGTGAGTCCTGGAAAACGTGACAAGAGATCAGTTTTTGCTTACAACTTTCAAGCGCTTTGTTGACCATGCTGTCTACACTTCCGACGTTTCACACAGACCCCATCAGTGCCAAGATCTTGTTTGCCCTGGACATTTTCCTTGTGCTCCTCTTCACGGCTGAGTTTGCCTGCCGAGTGTACGGCCATAGCGATTCATGGACCCAGCTCAGGGACTGGCTCTGTTCGTTCTTGACATGGATCGATCTCTCAGCCATCCTTCCGTTCTACGTCGAACTGGCTCTCAAATCCGACACCTCAGCCTATAGATGGAGTATTCTTCGAGTGTTCAGACTGCTCCGAGTATTCCGATCGTTCAGTCATTCCTCGTCCCTGCTGCTGACGATGGAAGTGAGTCCAAACGACACCATACCTGGAGCTGACATCCCTCAGGCAATGTTCGTCGCTGTCAAAAAGTCCTCTAATGCCCTTCTCTCCATGGCTTTCTTCCTCATCATTGTCATACTGACCTGGTCAGTCCTTGTTTGGACAGCAGAGCGAGGGGAATGGGATGAAAATCTCCAGCTATTCGTTTCGCAGAATGGCGAGCCGTCCCAATTTACCTCGATTCCCATCGCTGCGTGGTACGTTCTTACCACCATATCGACAACGGGTTATGGCGATTTCGTGCCAGTGTCCGCCGTCGGTAGATTGTTGACCGTACCGCTTTTGGTATTTGGTGTGTCCTCGTGCCTTCCCACAAGCTGACGCACCCTCAGGGCTCTTGTTGCTGGCTCTGCCGTCATTTGTCCTTGGTACGTCATGCTCCACTGCCACGCTGACCCAACAGGTCGAAACTTTAGCATAGTGTTCGATGCCATGGAACGCGAAAGACATACCATCCATCGTCCTGGAGCCACCCGGACCCCGTCCAATCGTTCATCTGCCGATGGTCCTGCCATGACCAACTTACTGACTGAGACACCGACCATCCGCAGACCAACTCCCATTCCTGTTTCCAACCCCGCCGGGGATGACATTTCCAACATAAAGCTAGCAAAGAATCAGGTGGTGAGTCACTCAGGTGCAAGGCCCGCACGTGTTGCTGATCGCATGTCAGGCTCTGATGGACCAAATCGAGGCGTTACGACGGACATTGGATCAACAGGGAGCTATGCTGCGGTCCCTCGTCAGCGCCTTGGACGCGTCGAAGAGTCAGACGCCGAACGGGTACCCTCCGGGCGATCATCACTTGTGATGAATTGGATGATGGACTCGCAGTGTTTTGCCCGGGCGATACAAGATATGATTCGACGTCCAAGAGCTCTTTCACTGCTATTGATATCAAGTTCGGCCATTGCCCTGACCTCATTAGCGCGGATGATTCGGCTCTCTGGTACAAAGATCTATGTGGTTGCATGACGTCTATAATGATGCAGGATGCTCGTGACTCTCGTTATCATCTCCCCTCTGAACCTTTTCTATCAGCTGCCTCACGCCATCTTCACCATCGACTCGGTGTATCCTCTGTTTCATGGTCTCCATCTTTTTGAATTCCTCTGGCATTACGTCTCGGCGGAAGTCGAAGTCTGAGAAAGTGGCTTTATCCAAAGCCTTCTCTACGGCTGAGCTGAATTTGGCTGGGTGGGCCGTACTGAGCGAGACCCAGGCGCCGGAGTGGTCCGTCTTCTGCTGTGACCGGAGACCATACAGACCAACGGCTGTATGTGGGTCCACAACGTACGGTCCATACTTTTCCAGCTTGTAGTACTGTCGGATCTCCTCCAAAGTCTCGTCATCAGACACGGCTTCTGCGACAAAGTCTTTCGAAGCGGCCTCCTTGACCGCGTTGCCCAGGTCCACTGTGCCGTTCCTCTTCAACTCGTCCATCCAACCGCGGAGAGTAGCCTGCGCTCCTGCTCTGGATCCGTCACCCGTCTCTTGAGCTAGATAGAATAACAATCGCTCAAAGTTCGAACTGAGCAAAATATCCATGGCGGGAGAGTGTGTTGCCTTGACCTTGCTGGATTGCTTGCCATCGCTCGATCCATTGACCACGGCAGTCTCGTTTGCCTGCTCGGAGAGATCCAGACCCCCTCGTCCATACCGCCCAGTCTTCAACGCTTGAGCTACTGTGTCGTTCTCATTTGTGGCGATGACCATTTTGACCGAGGGCAACCGCATGAGTTTTGAGGCGTACCATCCCGCCAGAGCATCTCCAAAGTTACCGCTGGGAACCACAAATTTGACATTGTCCCGTTTCTCCTTTGGCAACTGGAGGACCGCAGACACGTAGTACGTGATCTGAGCTAATATACGTGCAAAATTTATCGAGTTGACCGCACCCAGACGATGTTTGTTGTTGAAATCGTTATCAGAGAATAATGTCTTGACGACCGTTTGACACGCATCAAAATCACTGTTGGCAACAGAGACACAGAAGATGTTCTTGTCCTCCACAGTCGTCATTTGCGCCTGTTGTATCGGTGATACTCGGCCTTCAGGATAGAGGATGAAGCAAGAGATGTGAGGCTTCCCACGTAGGCCATAGATAGCAGCACTCCCAGTGTCTCCAGAGGTGGCACCGAGGACGGTCAAGTGTTCAGGCGTCGGGGCATCCTTGTTGCGTCGGGACAGAAAGTAGGAGAAGAGGTTACCGAGGAATTGTAGAGCCACATCCTTGAATGCGAGTGTCGGTCCATGGAAAAGCTCGAGCACCCAGGTGGAATCCCCGACTTGACGTAGGGGTGTAACGAGAGGTGTCTTAAAAGTCGAGTAAGAGCTGTCGATGAGAGATTGAAGGTCTGCGTGGGGGATACAGGAGGAAGGAATGAATCTTGACATGACCTCAAACGCCAATTGTTTGAAGTCGTAGTCTGCCCATGTCGTCTGCCAGTCATTGGGGAATGTAGGTAGCGATGTGGGGACGTAGAGTCCACCGTCCGGTGCCAAGCCGCCGAATACGACCTGGGCTGTGGTCAACTTCGAGGCGTCATAGTCACGCATCCAACTCACTTCCTCAAATCCCAGGGTCTCCTCACCCCCTCCTCCTCTTGTTGAGAAGTACCTTATATTTGAATCGCTCATACTCAATATCTAATGCAATGACAACAACCCAATGAGCATTTCAGCTGATGATCGCCGGTCGACTCGAACACCCCGCAGAGGTGTAATGCAAAAGTGCCACATTGGTCAAAGTGCCACAAATCGCCGATTATCGCCGCGGTCGCATGTGACGCGCTTTTGTGGTTCAAGATTGACTTTTAGAACAAGACGTTTGTTAGCAACGAGCTCGCTCAAGAGGGATAGTGTAGAGGACACTCAAGGGGGAAGTGACGCACCTCAAGATGTTCGGCTCTTCCACCTGGGGTCAGCAGAACAATCAGCAGCAAAATCAGCAGCCGCAACAGCAGCAGCAGCAGGGAGGAGGACTCTTTGGAGGTGGCACCGGAGGCTTTGGCCAGCCGCAACAGAACACAGGTAGAATGATTGCCACCGTCTGCGTTGCTTCCCGCTTAATGAGCTTCCAGGATTTGGTCAGACGAGTACGTTTGGTCAGCCCCAGCAGCAGCAAAATACTGGGGGTCTCTTCGGCTCTAGCTCAACCACCAACACTGGTTTTGGAGGTAAGCTGATCGGTTCCTGACCATTTTGTCTCATGTTGCCACAGGCGGAGGTTTCGGGAGCACACAGCAGACTCAGAACAATGCGTTCGGAGCTAGACCTGCGTTCGGAGCCACGGGCACGTCAACGTTTGGCGGGACAACGGGCACCTTTGGATCTCAGCCACAGCAGACCGGTGGACTCTTCGGTGCTAGACCGGCAACGACCTCGACGTTTGGCAGCAGTACTGGTTCCAACATGTTTGGATCGGCGCCGAGCACCTCGACGTTTGGCGCATCATCCTCTGCCAATCCTAATTCCGTACAACCTTACTCTGCCGGTCCTTTCCCACCTCCACCACAAACCGGTACTTTGAACCCAGCCTATTACCCCACATGGAATCAGGAGCCTTCCACGTCGTCCGTTAACACGCTACCGCCTCACTTGTTCAACAGTATATCCGCTCAGCCTGATTATCGAGGTGGATCTTACGAAGAGTTGAGGTTCCTGGATTATCAGCAAAATCGTAAACATCCGACTGCTCAGGCTACGGGCGGTTTTGGTCAACCAGCCACCACCAGCACGTTCGGACAGCCCACTAATACATTTGGACAACCTGCAGCATCCACATCCACCTTCGGCCAACCAAAGCCTGGTGGACTATTCGGAAGCACAACTGGTGGGACAGGTTTCGGACAATCAACCGGAGGCTTTGGCAGCACGCCGCAGAGCGGAGGCCTTTTCGGCCAGCAAAATCAGCAGAATCAGCCAGCCACTGGAGGCCTATTTGGCAGTCAACCGCAGCAGTCACAGCAGACTGGCGGGCTGTTCGGTCAGACTCAGCAAAACCAGCCGCAGACCGGAGGACTCTTTGGCGCACAGAATAACACCAACACAGGTGGGGGACTATTCGGTTCGACAATACAGAATAATCAGACGAGCACATTTGGTGGATTCGGAGCCAAACCAGCTACCACAGGATTTGGATCCACGCCAGCTTTTGGACAGACTAACACAAACACTTTCGGACAGCAGCCCGCCACTACCGGCAATACTGGATTCAGTTTTGGAGCGCAACAGCAGCAGCCTCAACAAAACACGGGTGGATTGTTTGGCTCGACCGCTAACAATCAGCCCAGCGGCGGGCTGTTCGGCGCCAACACCCAGCAGCAGAATCAGCAGCAACAACAAAGTGGTGGATTGTTCGGGAGTACTGCTGCGAAGCCTGGAGGCTTGTTCGGGAATCCCACAGGGAATACAGGAACGACGAGCACCGGCTTTGGAGGTGAGTTGAGACGGTGTAAATGTCTGACATCCCAGGATTCGGTCAGACTCCTGCACCTGCGCAAACATCTGGCGGACTGTTTGGCGCAACCAACACCAACACGAACACCACCGGAGGACTGTTCGGCCAGCAGCAACCCCAAACGCAGCAACCCGCCCAGACATCCACCGGGGGCTTGTTTGGAAGCACGAACAACGCCTTTGGCGCTAAGCCTGCAGCGCCTACTACATCGTTGTTCGGCAGTACCCAACCCGCTCAGCCAGCCCAAAGCAGTAGCTTGTTTGGCAGCACAGCCCAGCCTTCGACGACATTTGGGGCCACAAACAACACCTTTGGCCAGCAGAATCAAACGCAGCAGAAACCGTTCTCCTTTGGCAATTCGTTTGGATCTACCACCCAGCAGCCGACAGCTCAGCCCTCCACTGGTCTCTTTGGCAATCTCGGACAATCTCAGCCTGCACAGACCAATACCTTTGGAACCTCGTCACTGTTCGGCTCGCAACCGCAGCCCGCTCAACCTTCCGGAGGACTCTTTGGCAGCTCACTTGGCCAATCTACCACTCAGAATCAGCCACAGCCTACACTGACCGCCTCGATAGACCAGAACCCCTACGGGCGAAGTGACCTATTCAATTACACCGGTCAAAAGCTCGAGCTCACAGCCTCGACAAAGAAGCCCGCTCTCCCACCTCTCACCTCTTTCAACTTCCGTGTGACCCCTACCAAATCGCAATTGAATAAATTACGTGGCTTCTCCTCACCGTTAACTGCATCGCAGAGTCCGAGTCGTGTGGCATCGCCGCTTGCGAGCTCTTCGCCACGCGCGTCTTATGTGAACTCGCCAAGCACCACAGACAGATACAAGGGACTCACGGATGCTGCACTTTCGCCCAACGCCTTTGTCCCTCGGCCAAGTATCAAGAAATTGACGGTGCATCCGAAATCGAGTCTAATGAATGGAGACGACCCGCTAGACTCTGTGCTGGGGAAATCTGCCCTAAAATCGTCCAACGGCACACCGTCGTCATCTCGCGTCACCACAGCAGCATCGCCCAAAGCTCCGACATTCAACTCTCCCTCTACCAACGGGTCCGTCCGGCGACAAGCGGGCGACGTCACGGGCGGGTCAGAGCGACAGCCAAAGAAGGGAGAATACTGGTGCAAACCGAGACTTGAGAAGCTCAGACAGCTGGGGACGGGCGAACTAAAAGCATTGCACAATTTCACTGTGGGCAGAAAGGGGTACGGGGAGGTGACCTTTCTGGAGGCCGTCGATCTCAGCAGTATTGATCTGAATGACCTTTTTGGCCGTGTGGTCTTGTTTAACGACATGGAACTGGCTGTCTATCCGGACGATTACGAGGACAAACCACCACAAGGCAAGGGCTTGAATCAACCTGCACAGATCACTCTGGAGAACTGTTGGCCAAAGGACAAGTCGACCAAGCAACCCATCACCGATCTCTCCGATCCCCGGCATACTCGATTCCTCAAACGCGTCAAGACCATTCCCAACACCGAATTCGTCAGCTACACCGATGATGGCATGTGGACATTCAAAGTGGAGCATTTCAGTCGATATGGTATCGACGAGGATAGCGAAGACTCGGATCATGATGGGCGGGAAGCCGAGGCAGAATCGGAACATTCACGATCAAACGAGGCGTCGATTTCTGGAGAATCCCCCTCCGAGTCTGATGACGACGACAGCGATGACTTCATACCTCCCACACGTGGCCTGCACGACGACGAGTCATCACCAAGCGAGGAGACAGCATCACAGACTGAAGCCAGCTCGATCGAGGATGACGCCATTGAGCCTCCGCCATCTGTGGCGGTCGACAATCCCGCCAAGAGCAGACTTGGTTCCGAAGGCATGCGGAAACTTAGAGAGATGCAGGCTTCCCTGTTCGCCCCACAAAGACACGACACTCTCCTGGACAAGCAAGAGCAAGAATACATCAGATACAAGAGGACTCAGGATTTTGAGCCTGCCGAAGGGGATAACGTGATGCTTGACCGGGCAGTCAAGCGCACCTCTTTCGGCGCTCCACAACCCACCGCCCAACAACTCCGGACTCCTCGCAAATTTCAACGTGTTAAGCTCCTCGAAGGCATTGATCATGGCTCGGACGGCGTTCAAGTTGATGCCGGACTCGCGCTCGGAAGGTCATTCCGCGTGTCTTGGGGTCCGAATGGAGAGCTCGCGCATCTCGGCAAGATTTGCGGTCCGAACGAGCAATTGTGAGATTTCCGCCACGATATTTGCTGACACGCCAGCCACGCCTCGCCCGAACCTCTACTTACGATTGAAACGGTACCCCTGCTGGCCGAACCGGATACCCTCGAGTCCCGTGAATCGATCCGTTTACTCCAAGTCCAATTGGATAAGTCGCAGATCGACATCGACGACGGTGTCCCCGTTTCCACATTCGATTCATCGACCCGCTTCCGAGACCTGGCTAGGCTGTTCGATCGCGGCGACACCTCGCACGGCGCCTTGGTGTGGCGACTTGGCGTTGCCTTGTTTGACGAGATTGATCTGCATCTTTCCGCCGACTGCAAGGATGATTTCGTGCATCGAATATCTGAAATCCGCCGTAAGCTCGCCCTGAGCAAGTGGCTGGAGGATGCGGTGGCTCCCTCGGTTGATCGTGATCTCCTGACGGCTGACAAGGGGCCTGAAGAGGTGTTCACGTTGTTATCTGGTCATCAGCTCGAGCGCTCCGTTCAGTCAGCGCTGGACAACGGAGATATGCGGTTAGCGACGTTGATATCTCAAATCGGCAGTTCGGACTCTTTTCGCGCGGAAATTGAGCGACAGCTTGGTGATTGGAGCAAGTACAAAGCTTCAGCGCTTATATCTGGTGCCTATAGACGGCTATACGCGCTTCTCGCTGGCACTGTCGATGTACTCCCCGGGGACAAGTCTCGAGGCGTCGATGGCTGTCCTGACGTACTCGTCTCGGATAGATTGGACTGGAAACGAGCTTTTGGTTTGCGTCTGTGGTACGGTAACCCTTTCGAAGACACCATTGGGGATGTCTTCCACGCATATCGGACTCAGCTTCACAGAGCTCATCCACCGGCGAAACCTTTGCCACCGTATCTTGAAACGACAACAGACTCTCGATCCTGGAAGATGGCCACCGAACCTGTCGACGTCCTCTTTGGCTTGATTAATCTGTTCGCTGATGTCGGCGTCTCATTGGATCAAGTGCTGCGCTCGCGCGACTGCACGTCTTCTCCCTTTGATGCTCGGATCCAATGGCACCTGTACATGCTGCTGGCACAAGCGCTTAAGAAACGAGACTTTGAGGATCGAGATGGAGGTTACAGCGCCACCGCGGACACTATCACTACGGCGTATGCGACTCAGCTCGAGGGCTTAGGGCTATGGACCTGGTCCGCATTCATTCTGCTACATTTGGAGACCGCAGAGGGTCGCGTCGCGGCTATTCAAGCGCTGCTACATCGGCATCCTGTGCCCACTCAAGCGGAACGCGCCTTTCTCATCGATAAGTTGTCCATTCCGGCAGCATGGATCGCCCAGGCAGAGGCGGATGAATTAGCATCTGAGGACGAGCCGTACGGCGAGTTCACGGCTTCGACAGAGGCGGAAGATTACGATAGGGCGCATCGAGTTCTGTTGACTAAACTCGCGCCAGAGTTGATTCTCTGCTCGGATCACTTCTTGCTGCGTCGCCTGTGCACTCAGCTGGCGGAGCAGGAAGTTGCCGGATGGGAATACGGCGGCAAGCTTTTCTTGGACTATGTGGACATCTCGGATGAGTTACCCACGCTACTTGCCAATATGCTCCGCTCAGCGCTTGATGCGGACGGGTCGATGGTGAAACGTGTCACACATCTTGCGCAGGCCATTCCGCGAGTCTTGTCGCTCGTTCCTGCACTTTTTCCTCGAAAGGATGATGTCCAGCAGACTGCGGCGCTGGCGGAGATGCTGTCGAACCTGCATCACCTGGCTGGACAGGTATATCTGGCTGGATATGTGAGTGACCCATGTTGGATTGAGCTGACTGATCCAGATTCCCCGACCAACCATTCCGGGCCATGTGGCCAATGCAGACAAGCTGCATCTGATGCAAAGTCAAGCGCAGGACATGTTTGAGAAGCAGCTGGCCGGGTTGCCCGTTGCCGCTTAAGGGACTGTATTGTAGGTAGAGCATGTAGATACATAGGGCTTTCGCCATGACCATAACGATCTGGGTACGAAGCATGAACCAAATGCATGGGTATGTGTGCATCGAGTGTACGTTGGCCTACAATGTCGTGATGATCGTGATATACAAGATTTTACATGGTCGCGGCGCTATCTCCTGAGACCAGCCATGACCCCGGGAGTTGTTGCGGGATACGCCCCTGGTCCCGGTGTGATTGGGGGAACTGATCCTCGAGGACCCTGTTGAGGCGCCGAAGATCGATGTTGAGGTGGTGCTGGCGTCTGTTCACCTCTTCGACTCTGTTCTCTCGCTTTCCAAGCTGCTCGGATGGCATCACTCTTCGATAAAAGCTGAGGACAGAGAGATGAGCGGATAACATCGAATGAGCAACCTCACCGTCTCAATCTCTACGCCGTCTTCTATACTTGCCAGGACTTTCTGGACGACCGAAGCGTGGTTCCCATTCTCCTTGTCGTTCCTATGTCTGAAATATCGCCAAGCTCCTCGTTCCGTATCCCAAAAACACTCTACGATTGTATCGTCAATCTGGCCCATTTCTTTGAATCTGAGAATTTCATCAGCAACGCGGCGATCCTCGGGCATGCACTCACTTTTCCCACTCATCATCGTCTACTTCCAACTCGTCAAAGAACTGGTATTTATCCTGTCCTCGACTGCCGCCGTGCCAGACTGATAATAGAAACACTGGTTTGGCGTAAAAGTCAGGCTCCGAGGGGTCGGCTGGAGATGGTGGGAAGCGGAGATTCAGCTTGAAGTCAATGGTGTTTTCAGATGGCTTCTTCCATTTTAAGCTGAGACCAAGGTCAATTTTTAGTGTTCTCTGCAGTGCACACTCACATATTCTCGTCGGTTCCAAAGACATAGGGGCTCTCTGCGTTTGTGAAAATGATACCGTCGTGACCGTGTAATAGGCTCGGTATGTGCACGTTCAAGACCTGAGCGATATGGTACGAGAGCTCTTGTTTTTTAACGATCACCTCGAACGGCAGTTCATCTCTCCATTCCGGTATCTGCTTGAGGATCCGCTCAAACGGAGCAACGACCCATTCTCGGAGCCTCTGGGGGAGCGTAAGCGCATACTACCACAGGAGCAGAGGAGAGCTCACCCCGAAACGCTTGAGTAATGGTCGACCAGTGACGTTCATCCCATTGACTACGAGGCAGTCGAAAGCGTAGTATCGCAGAGTGCGCTGCATTTGGGTCAGCGTCTTTCCCGCTAGAGATCTACGCACCTCCTTCGTTTTCGGATCCTCGTCGATAACGAGCTCGCCATCGATGATGGTATCTCTCAGCGGCAGGTCAGGACTCTCCCAGTACGGGAAATGAAGTCCAGAGACTTTGTAGAATTGCTCTTTCCTGTCCAGCTAGGGACAAATCTCAGCTCTCACTGTGAGTCCCGAGCTCTCACCAGCCAGGTTTCTTGTTCCTCAGTGGCTGAATTGACCACGATCACGATGAGTAGTCTCTGGCCATCGCTTTTCTCGCAGGTCCAGAAATCATACTTCATGAGTTTCTCTTCGATGGACGAGACGTTGAAGCTGACTGGCTGAGAGCCTGGAAACTTTGCCCTGGATAATCCACACAACTCTGCCACTCGAGCGAGGAGGAAATGATGGATTGCAGGGTCCGTCAAACGTTCTCCAGGGGGATCTGGCACCGGCCAAGGCTCCGAAGAAGACTGGGAAGGCATGTCGCAGAACGTCCAGCTGCGGACCCTTAGGCTGTGAGCTCGCAAATGGTCGAGGATCGAGGATAGGTATCTTGGGCATTTCAGACGGTCGAAGCGGAATCAAATTATGGTGATTCGTCCTGTTATATAACCCTCGTCCATCCATCATGTGCCAACTTTGCTACGCATAGCACACGTCCATGTAGATCCAATGTGGCCCTACTATCCCAGTCCAAGGCGGAAATCTAGCGGGTCGACTCCATCTCCGTCTACGGACAGACCAGCGGCCAGTCCTGCTTTCGCTGAATCTCCTCAATCTATCGCTCGAACGATTCACTCCAGTCCAGTCGACTCACCTCATCTGAACCATCGTCCGAGTCTGACTCGTGTAGATGAAGACACTTCAAGGACCTCATCGCAGGATGAGCCGGTAGTTAGAGATTACGCTCCAGGAGTAGGCCTGCAGCTCCCGGAACAAGATACCGATCATCGCACACAACAGACGCATTCTGACAGTTTCATCTACATCTCCGATACCGACTCTGCATCGGCGCAGGATGTCCCAACTCTCCAGAGACCTCCGCAACTACACAGAAGATCATCCCCCAAGAAGGCAAGTGCCGCATCGCTACCGCCTGCGACCATTCACGATGATTTCCTCTCCAAATTCATCACGCCTCTCTCCCTGGCAGATGACGATCGGCCAGGTCTCGAGCGTTCCGCTTCTGCTCCCGGGATCGCCGGGAGTCCTCTTCAGCCTTCTCCTCTGAGCATAGATCCGAGCTCCCTGGACGGGAAGCCGATCTTTGATATATTCAATGCGAATATTTCTCCTTCCGCCGAGGAGATGGTCAAAGTCCTAAAAGGTCACTTGGAAGGCGTTTTACGGGTACAAGAAGAGATCGGACGCTTACATATAAGTCTGGAGAAAGTTGGAGAGGAGTTCGAGGCTCCTCAGTCTGCGAAATCGGCCGGAACGTCAAAACCAGTCGGAACGCCTCAATCGGAACAATCAACACCGCCAAGGGCGAATCGCTCTTCAAAAGCTCCAACTCCATCGGGTGCTTCCAAGGGATCGGACCCGGACGACACCGTGGCTAAGCGAGAGAAAGGCGTGGAGGATATCATGGATAGACTGGGCCAACTCAGTGAAAGATTACGAGCGTACCACGCTTTGGGTACCCCTCAATTGTCTTTCCCGAAATCTGGAAACACCCCCAATCCTTCTGGCAAACAAGGCACAACACTCGACCCATTGTCAGCCAATATGAGACGATCAAATTCGCGAAAAGACGGTCAGACGTTTTCGCCTTTACGGCCTAGTCCGTTACGACAGGTGGGCGAAGCGGGACGTTCGACCAGTGGTCTGGCAGGCAAACGATCTTCATCGACGCTTGGCCTCTCAAGTCAAGGGATGACTGAGATATCGGGAACGGTGACGCGGGAATCGACAGATACAAGATCAAAGCGATTATCTCTCGAAGAAGGGCAAGCTGGGTCCTCGCCCTCTACTGAACGGAGGTCCCGAGGAGATGAAGCTTGGTATGAGCATATGCGGCCACGGTCTCGCGGCCCGGGCTCACCTAATGCATTGGAAGAGGAAGGATATGAGATGTTTGATCGCTCACGACCATGGTAGAGATGGCTTTGTTGTACGACTCTAGCACTCGTTGTATTCGCATGGAATGGCAGTAATCGCATTGTACACCAGGTATGACTGAGACTCTAGATACGGTTGCCCGAGAAGAGACGCATCTTATTGAGTCTAGGCTCAGACGCGATAAATGCGGATTAGTCGTTGCCTGTAGTCGTCAGCGAAACAGGTGGCTCCAAACTCACGGCGTCACGATTCTCGTACGACACAGAGGGCATTCTCGACTTGTCGCCATAATCAAATCAGAACAGTCTGTGCAATCGTCAGTTGAACGCTCAGCGCCCAATTTGGCAGATCTCACGGCTACACATTGCGAGATGACCACAGTCTACCGCAGCGAGCGTAGCCTGCTCATCTTGACAGACTACGCAGCGATCATGATCCATATCCGGCGTGGGTCCCGTTGGCACCTGTCTTGCCTCCTTTTCTCCTGTCGAGCCATCGGGAGCGGGGGACGCCTCCCTCGCCTCGGCGCTCCGACCCTCTGCCTCGAGCTGCTCTTCACGAGCTTGTCGTTCGAGCCGTTTTCGCTCGTCCGTCACCAGCTCGGATACTCGCTTCACCAGCTCTCCCCTGGAAGTAGGTCAGTTTTGGTTGATATACAACCACCTACTTCTCCAAAACTTGACTGAAGTCGACTCTAACGTGATTCTCATACAGAATAGCCTTGAGAGTGCCTATACTCAGACTTGACAGGTACGATAGCGGTAGGCTGACGAGAGAGTACAGAGTCGGGACGGGCGGTGGGGGTTGCGCAGGCTTGGGAGGGGCAGGCTGATTTGCAGCACGAGGACGAGCTGGAGAAGGGCCAGTTGATGTAGGAGTGGCAGGAGCGGGACGAGAGCTGGTCGGAGGTGGTGGGCGATACTGCTGTGGTGGAGGGGGAGGAGGTCGGGATTGGAATGGTTGCGTCGAGTGCATGGACTGACCATTTGATTGAGGTGGTGGAGGCCGGAAGGAGGGGCCAGCTCGTGCAGGCTTCTCAGTCTGGGGTGATGCGTTCGATGTGCCGGAAGAACCAGAACCATTGCCCTTGGGCACAGATTTGCGGCGATAGTAGCTCTGCCGCAGTCAGCTACATTGCGACATCAAAGCTTTACCTCTGCTTCGGGCGACAGACATCCTGTTGTTGGATTCCTGGCTTTAAGCACTGCCTGTACAAAGTCTTCCTTCTCTTTGGGTCCGACACACTGTTGAGAAGATTAGCACAGGCATCGAGGGGTCATGACCCACTTCGATGTTGTAAGCTTCCAAATACCCCTTGAGCCGTTTCAACGGTAACGACCGTAGAATATTCAACGGCGCCGCGGTGACTTTCGACATCAGTCCCGAGCGACACATCTTGAACCCACCCTGCAGCATGCTCAGACAGTTCAGACAGACACTCTCCACATCATAACCGCTCATCGTCGACTTCTTTTCAGAAAAACCCAACTCCTCCTTGATAGCGGTGAACGGATTGGTTGAGGTAGAGCTGGCCCCAGGTTTCCGAGGCATCAAAGCTTGGCCATCGGAAAGGCAAGTGGAGCAGTATTGATAACCGCAGTGACCGCAGCTATGAGCTCTTCGCCACAAAGGGTTGAACTCCTTGTTACATCGTCGACATTCTATCGTCAGCAAGTAGGCATGATCAGTTCACGGTATCGAATGGATCCGGTGTCAGGCGCACCTGCTGTCTCGACGATAGGTGGAGGTCCAGACACTGGTTTGGAAGATGAGCCAACAGCCCAATCAGGATAGTGAAGTAGCTCACGTATTGGCATTCCCTTGGGCGGGAGAGAGCTCGCCTGTCCGGACGACATGCTTGCCGCTGCTTAGCGATCAGGCAGTGACGGGGCAGTGATAAGTCTACGCAGGTCCAGTGATGGATTCGCCCCGATGGCCAAGCCGTTCAGGAGTATTCAATAACCCCGAATATCCTTAGCTTGACCGCCCACTGCAGCTCCTAATGACCTGACCAGTTGAACTTCCAATGTCGAATGCACCAGAACAACAATGAAAATGGTGGCCCGAGTGCGCTCGATACAAACGTCACCGGCAGGCGGAGATCGCCGCCGTGCCTCGATGCAACACCACTGCCTGCGTCAATACTCAATGGCGTCCATAAGTCTGGAGTCGACGAGCAAGGTCATTGGAACACACTGCGCTGGGAGAAGAGATCGACGGGATGATAGGGTAGACGGGCCACCAACTAGAGTACCTCAGCTCCACTCTTCTAGGAGGATGTCGGATGAGCTTGATGGTGATGTGCTTGACGGTCCGCCAACAAAGGTGAGTCTTGCGCGCGCTCAAGATGACTCTCTTACTGATGTTTCCTGCAGCCTCTGATCCGGCACATTACGGGGTGAGCGGGGCATGGCATTCGTAGGATATGAGCTTATGTCTCGCAGGATTCGCATACACCAATTGACTCTGCCCGAATCCATCCCACTCGCTTCCAAACTCATCTCGGATCCACCTACTGAAAATGACGAACGCTACACCACGCTTGGCGAGTCGTCAAAAGTCCATAATTCGCCAGAAGGCCTTTCTTCATCGCTATCGCTAGATCACGGAGAATCCCGTCGAGCTCGACGAGAATCTACGTCAACGTTGAGACCATCCAGATCCCCCTCTGTATCGGCTCATCCCACTTCGCCCATCTCTCCAGTCCAGTCTTCTTTCCGTCAGAGAATCCCTCGACCGAGATCTCAGACTTTGGCAGGGGAGGCGATACAGCATGGTCATGTATCTTCTTCTTTCATCGAAGTACAGGAGTCAGCCATGACGACTAGACGACTAGCAAGAACATTCATAGTGTTCAGGCTTCCACAGACTGATCAGCTGGATGCTAGGCCTCAAGCTAGACGATTCGGATCCCAGGAATCTTACAAGGACTCTGTGACGACTGGCTCATCGCCCTCAAGAGCTCGGTCGTCATCCTCTGCGACGTCTCCTCTAGGACCTCACGCCCGTTCGCCAATACCTTCGCCCCTGAGTTCGCCCAAACTCGGTCCAACAATTCGTACTCGGATCGTGTCGTCTCCCACTGCATCTCCTTCCGCTGCGAGCAAGGATCTGCCGAGCATGATATCAGGCTCACGCAAACCTCTATCTCGACCCTCTGTCCCCCCTCTGAATCGGTCCTTTAGCGGCAAGCAGATCCGACCTGTCTCGTCTCCACGATCCCCAACGTACTCTTCTCCCTTCCCCCGGCCAGACGTCCCCTTCTATATCTCACCCATCCATCACCCGTCCATTCACCCGAGATTCGTTACACTAGCATCTGAGGGGGACTTTGCTCCCTGGCTCACGACTGAGGAGTCTGGTCTTGACACATTCGATGTGGAAGTGTGGTATGAGGACGATGACAGAGGCTGGCGGAGGGCAAACGATCTGTGTCGTCGTATTCGGTTGCAGGATCTGAGGCGACGCGAGAAACAGGTATCTGACCCAAACACATTTGAAATAACACTGTCTTCGGATCCTCGCGGAATATACTACCTATGCCAGGCTCCGCAAAGTCGCTCGGCCAAGACCAAGACGCAGACCATTCGCCATATCGTACAACGCAGTCTCAGAGAGACACGCATGAAGGATGGAGTCAGTGTCGGCGGACTACTTCAGTACGTGCACGCGCACAGCTGCGCTGATCTCCAGGCTCGTCAACATGCAGTCCGTCCTCGCTGACACTGAGCGAGAGATTGCTCGCGTACAGGCACGCATTGAAGTGTTGCTGCAGCAGGATGTGGACTGGCGGGCTCTCGTGAGCGAGGTTCAAAGACCGCACTGACCATGCTAGCGCCGAGAGATTGCGCAGCGAGAAACACGATGTGCCTGGGTCCAAAAGGCTTCAGGGCATGTCGACAATATGTTACAAGCGAGCGAGGCACATATCGTCCAGCGCAAACAGGCCAACGATCGCCGCCGGTCAGACCTTATCAATGCAGAGCAGCGATCGGATCTCATCAGCGGAGAGTGTGCGGATCTTCAACTTACGCTCGACGCTGTAGAGTACGTCAATCCAAGTGTCAGCTTTCTGATTCTCCAGATCTGAACGGTTAGGTTCCTTCCCCGCGATACACCGTTGGCGAATGTTCCATGCCCAGTCCTTGGACGCACTTTTCCCCATCCAGTCACTCCACCCTCCTACCTTGCTCTATAGCATTCTGGACGTACCGCTTCCTATTCCGGCGTCTCCGAAAGATCCCGCTCCACCTTTGTCCGTCCCAACGTCCCATCTGCCTGCTGGATGCAAAGTCGATGAGCGGACGACCGCATCCGCGTTGGGATACGCTGCCATGGTAGTTCAAATACTCGGTCACCTGGCGGGTCCGACCTCTGGACTCGCATACCCTGTCACATGTGTCGGCAGTCGAAGTCTGGTCAAAGACGTCATCAGCATAATGCAAGGTCCAAGATCGTGAGTAGTGCAGTTGTATCCTTCTGAGACGATTCAGGTTCCCGCTGTATGCGAAAGGGGTCGAGAGATATAGATACGAGTATGCCGTGTTCTTGTTGAACAAAAATATCGAAATTGTGAGACGTCAGTATCGACTCTAGCTAAAACCTTAGCTCATGCAAGAGTCCAATATCCGAGCGATGGATGTTCGCCAGACTTTGCCAAACCTCAAGTCATTGCTCTTGACTCTCTCTTCGCCCGTTTCAAACTCAAATCAAACCTTGGCCAGCAGCATGACGATTGTCAATTCGAACAATTCATCACGGCAGACCTCTTACACATTTGGCAATATGACATTCGGATCTCCTGGGAGTTCCGTTACTGGACGCGAAAGTCCCAGCAGCTCTCGAGTCATGTTTTCAGGTCAGTCGGCCCTGTTCCGAGGTCACGAGCGGAGATCGAGTCTGCGTCCGATGGTCGACCTGACGCGATCGCTACGAGGAGAAGATGAGGACGAAGACAGTGAGACGGAATTGGTCAAGGAACAGGGCGGGCTCCGCCAGGGAGGTGTAGCGGTCGTCCACTCGTAGAATACGACCTGCGCATGCGTGCCAAAAAGGGCAAGACTTGCCTTCCGGCAATTCACGCTGCAAAATCGGCTGTATCATCTCAACGCTACGATTGGGCGGTTTACGTCGCCTGATGCTCCATTCCCAATGCATATCATAATCGTATGCTCGATGCACTTCCATCTACCGCAAATGGGTCTCTCAACACCGGTTCTCCATTTACGGCGGTATCACTCGGTCCCAGTCCCCGGGCTGCGATTTGTGCTCTGGACATGTCCTCTGCTTTACGGTAGACTACCCGCATTTCTGACTGAAGGTAAGATGCTGTCGTAGCCCAGATACCAAGTACAGCGGATGTCATGAACACCATGCCGAGCTGGGCGTGGGTCAATTTCGGCCAGACTTTTCTGACTGCGAACGCTGCATGTGAATCAGCTTGTGAATTCTCGCGAACAGCCTCACTGGTCATGCCTGAAGCTGCGATCCCTCCGACAAAAGCCCTCTTTGCCGCTTCGATCCTCATTCTCTTATAATCTTCGTCAGTGAGCAAATCAGAAGGCTTGATCCGTCCTTCTTGGAATGGTCTGGATGAAGCTATCTCATTCTCGAATAGATGAGGTCGAAGAGATCGAGGCTTAGTGCGAGACGAGCTGGGTTCTGAATCGGCAAGTCAGGGTGGCTCGGGAGAGAGCGATGAGGCTCACTGACCTGCGTTGGGGTCTGTCGGTGTCTGCATATCATATGACATGATGATTTGACGAGAAGTCGTGCAAGATGCAGTTCAAGATCAGTGCTAGCTGAGAGAGAGCTTTGGTATGCATGATGACCTCACAGGGGCGGAGACTGCCGCTGTTACGGGCAGCTATAAAATGTATGGCATGGGCTGCATCGATGATGAAGATAGGAAGACAGACAGCAGCGGAGCTCAGAATCTAGCAGCGTTGAGAGCATTTCCAGCTCTAACTAGGGTGACCATTGAGCAGACTGAGAAGATGAATGAGCACGAGTCCAAGTCGAAGGACCTACAGTTGCTGAGCCAGTAAACCAGGGATCTCGCGTAGCTCTTCTTTGGGTCTGTCACCGTAGCATAGAGGTAGACTGCAAATGTGAGCTTCGTGACCGCTGCTGTTCAAACCTCACCGTACGTGAGTCTGAGACCGAGGTATATACCAGCGACTGCGTTGAGATAATTGGCACTCAGTCCAGCTGTGTTTCCAGCAACCTTTAGAGTAATGATGCGATCAGCGACGGGCGCTTCCTAGCAGAGACCGAGCTCACGATGGCAGTACAGATGATAGGCAAGCCATCCCACGAGTTTCTCTCCGCTGCTTCCAATCGCTTGAGCAGTCCGACCTGCTCTGGACTAAATTTCTTGGATTTTGAGATTCGTTCAATATTGCCTCGAGGGTAAACATTGTCATCCGCATCCATGGAGATGAACGCTGGTCTCGAGGTGAGGACACATTGGAGAAAGATGGGCACGAGGAGGTGGTAAGAGTAGTTAGACATGGTCGATGGTACAAGAAGACTACAGCAAGAAGAGGTTATTTGTCACCAACGTCCGAACATAAAATGCCAGTCCACAGGGGTCCAAGACGTCATTCGCCGGTGACTGACCCGACACAGAATCAATCAATCAGTCACGTTGACTTTCAATCATAGCTTACCATTGATTGGACGGGATCGCCACAGCTGGCAATCAAGATTGCGACTGAGGGTCACCGTCCGGCTCAACTTCTCTCCTGAATCGCATTGGGATCCTGCCGTAGGGCTACATCTTCCAGAGGTCTCGATCACGGTGCCACTGCCGCATCCTCGTTACGATCGAATATCAGGATTTTGTTGTTTCGACATCTAACACGAGAAGTCAGTTCCACCCCGACTCGCGATGAGCAAAGCCAATGGAGGTCCAAAGATGACTCCTATATCGAAGGATGACAGTCGAGATGAAGTGAAAGGCTCCAAGAAGAGCTACGATGCATCGAGACCACGTCGACATCTCGGTCACTTCCTCTTTCACAGCTGCACGGCTGGACAGATGCTTAACGGATTCTTGGGCCTAAACGCCATAGCACGGGACAACAAGGTCGAAGCTCAAGTAGGTCATGCTATCTGCTCATGGCTGACTTCCTCCAGTATGGAGGTGATTCGTCCGTTGATCCCCCTTGGCTGACATACAGGCTTCTTGCAATACCTCACTATTGTAGGGTGAGGCATCTCCGCTTGAGTACCTACTGACTGTTCTCAGACTATTCATCTCTATCACTGCCATGCTATTGTCAAGCATGAAAGACCTCGTCCCATCGCTGCGTAGTAGGTACCGCCAGTTGCCCCCATGTCACGCTTTAATGCCTCAGAACTACATCGAATCAAGAGGGGGTTGCTTTTATTTGCCCTTCCAGTGGAAATCGTGATCGCTTCAATCTATGTGAATCTTGATGTCCTGTGAGACGCTGACAGTATCAGTGGCCACTGGCCATCTTCGCTCCCAGTCTGATGTTCCCCAAGAGCCCAGAGGATGTTTCGTCACCCGTCCCTTCTTCAGTTCCCGCGACCGACTTGCTGTTCAAGATTCCTCTTAACATGGACCTATCGATGCATGCTTTACCCGCTTTTGCGTTGCTTTTTGGTCAGTCCTTCCGCCCTATAGACCAGATCAAGCTGATGACCTCTGCAGATTTCTTCTTCCTCGAGAAGAAATACACCCCTCCAGCATCTACTATCGGAGCACCGCTCCTCGCCCTTACATTCGGGACGCTCTACGGCGTCTGGGTGGAACACTGTGCCACCATCAACGGCAAATTCCCTTACCCCTTTCTCAACGTGATGGACTTCATTCCTCGGGTCATACTGTACATCACGGCGACCTTCGGATCGCTCTTTGCATTCTGGGGACTGAACGGGCTTCATGAGTAGTGGCGGCATAAACAGACCAGTGCTTTGCGTGTGCTCGCCGCATAGTAACATTTACACGCACGGGCTAGATTTGTACACGCATTCACATTGCCCCCCTTTTTATGCCTTTGACTGCAGCAGGAACCAGTGCATCCCCTCATCGAATCTGCCGACCTTTTCCACCTTGATTTCACCTTGACTGCCAGTCCCATCTTTAGATTCGGGCTCAATCAGTCCCTCATCCACAAGTTTCTTGACGAGCTCCCTGTTGCCATCTTCTCCTAGACCCCAAGAGATCATTGTCTGACCCATCCATTCGTCCATCTTGAGCTCGCCTTTGACGGTCATGAGATTGAACAAGAGCCATCCACCCGGTTTGAGCCATTCCGTCGCTGCTTTACGCAGAATCAGCTCCTCCTCGTCCGGCGGAAGATGCCAAATGGTATAGAAAGCCATGATACAGTCAAATCTCTCTCCATTGGGAGGCGTGAACGAAATCATGTCTGAGACGTGGAAAGTCGCGCCAGGTACTTCGCGTCGAGCAATCTCGATGAGCTTGGAGGAAACGTCCACGCCGGTTACGTCGTATCCGAGTTTGACGCATTGTTGAGTGGCCGGTACACCTGATCCACAGCCTAGTTCCAGTATCTTGGCATCTTTAGGTAGAATGTGAGATAATCGATCAATGTAGTCTGCTCTGTCTGTCGTGGGTCGCGGAGATGCCCAATCGTGATATTTCTGCGCAATGGCATTGTATGAGGAAGAGATGGTAGATTTTTGAGCTGCAGTGTCGGACATGGTGGACAGGGATGAGCTATGTGAACCTTGGATGCGGCTAATTCATACCTCTATCATTTAGTCTGTTGACCCCCAATGACATCCCACTGGAATATAGAATAGAACAGCGCTCGTATGGGATCCGGGATTGCCCATCTCATTTTCCGACGGGACTGAGGGATTTTCAAGGTGGTGGTGGCGGGTATGGAATGGACAGGCGGCTACGAACATGAAGCACTGTGATGGCTAGATGGACGCGAGCATGCAGCGGAGAGCCTGACTGGATGATGGATGTCTGGACTGTTTCACGTCTGAGCGGTACTCCATGTCTTTGCCGGCAGGATGTAAGAGATTCCAATGAACAATAAGCAGAACGAGCCACATGTCTTTCCTTTCGAGTAGGCTTCGAAGCTGTATGTTGACATGTCAAGCAGTGATCATGGCTATGAGTATTGATTGACAGCTGACATCGTTCTCGAGAGACCTCAAGAGACGAGATGGTGAAGGCATGCATAGGGGTATATCTAGCTCGAGGTGGTGAGGGAAAGATAAGCACTCATCCACTTCATCACAGATATTCAGCGCCATCCCACAATGTCCCGCTCTTTCGTACCTTCTAGGCCTGCACCTTCTCCCCCTTACGCGGTCAAGACACCTAATCTCCCACCCAATCACCCCTTTGCGACGCACTACGTACCAACCCACAGATCGTCCGTCGAAGTCAGTCCCAGACACCGATCACTCCCTGCCACATTCAGTTCAAGCTCTTCCGACTCGTCATCATGGGGGTCATTCCGGTCGAACACATCGACTCCTATCGAGTCAGCAGCTCGCAGCTCTACATCAAGGCTCGCTCAGCCTCTCAGCCCTCATTCGCGCTTCTACCATTCCGAACGGCCGATAAACGAACCTGCGCCGCAGGCCCCTTCTTCCCCTTTCACTCTTCCTGCCGAATTATCTCTCTTCGACCCAAAACCAAGGGAGAACCTCGTATCGGATCTCGAGACCATCTTTGGCACAAACCTCCGACCCCGGTTCTTCGCGCGATCGATTAAAGTCAAGTCGAAGGCTACACAGTCCAACGAACCTAAAGACAAGACCATCGGACGACCAAGGCGGATCCTGAAAAAAGCAAGGGAGAGGAGTTGGGAGGATGATTTTGTCTGGGGAGAGCTCAAGTCAGAAGAGGACGAGAAGAGTGTCTACAGGGGAAGCTGGGTATAGCAGAATCGCACAATGCATACCACTGTTTGCCAGACATCCACAGTTCTATTGCTGCATCTAACAGCTCTGATTCAATTGGGCAACGGTTGACTGATTAACGGGATGATCAATTAAAATACCACCACCAATTCGAACACCTCCCCTCTTCCATCCATCCTCCAACCAGCCTTATACCTCATAGTATTCCGGCACAAACAGTGCTAGATCGGTTCAAGATGCTCAGGCAGCTCGCAGCGACGCGATCACTCCCGAGACATCTGGCTGCGAAAGCTCAGCGTGGGTCTCTGCGTTGGATCTGCATCATCGCTGACTGACCATCGGTCACAGTCACCCGGACATTCGCATCGAGCAGGGCTGCTCGGGCTGATATTACCTTGACTGTAGACGGCAAGGAGGTCACGGTTCCGCAAGGTGAGTAGAGACATTCTGATGGAACCCTGACGTCGTAGGTACCGCTCTGATCCAGGCTTGCGTGAGTGCTCTGCCCAAGTAAATGTAATATATACTGACATTTGATGCAGGAAGCAGCGTACGTAACGTCCAAGAGACCTGAGAGACCCCATACTGACCTTCTCTCAGCGGAGCTACTGTGCCTCGATTGTGAGTCTCATTGTGCTGAGATTGCTGACATGCAGCTGTTATCATGATCGATTAGCCATTGCTGGAAACTGCCGGATGTGTTTGGTTGAGGTGAGCGATCAAGACCAGCTTTGACTCACTGTAACAGGTCGAGCGGTCACCCAAACCCGTTGCTTCATGCGCAATGCCTGCCATGCCAGGGTCCAAAGTCTTCACCAACACTCCTCAGGTCCACAAGGCACGTGAAGGCGTCATGGAATTCCTGCTAGCCAATCATCCTCTTGATTGCCCGATCTGTGACCAAGGTGGAGAATGTGATCTACAAGATCAATCGATGCGTTATGGTTCAGACAGGACTCGATTCCACGAAATTACCGGAAAGAGGGCGGTCGAAAACAAGGATCTTGGACCAATCGTCAAGACATCGATGAACAGGTGTATTCAATGTACTCGATGTGTCCGATTTGCCAACGATGTCGCTGGAGTCGAAGATTTGGGAACGACTGGACGTGGAAATGATCTTCAGATCGGCATGTACATCGAAAAGACCCTTGATTCTGAGATGTCTGGCAACATTATCGATCTCTGCCCCGTCGGAGCCTTGACTTCGAAGCCGTACGCTTTCCAGGCTCGTCCTTGGGAACTGCGTAAGACGGAAAGTGTGGATGTCCTCGATGCCGTTGGCAGCAATATCCGCGTAGACAGTCGTGGCGTCCAGGTCATGCGGATCCAACCGTGGATCAATGATGAGGTCAATGAAGAGTGGATCAACGACAAGACCAGATATGCCTACGATGGTCTGAAATACCAAAGATTGACAACGCCCCTCGTTCGACAAGGCGACAAATTCGTCCCAGCCACATGGGAACAGGCTTTACAGAGAATCAAGAAGGGGCTACGGCAGTCCGGGGCGCGGAAGAATGAAATCAAAGCTGTCGCTGGACACTTGGCAGACGCTGAATCGCTCATCGCGCTCAAAGATCTCATAAACTACCACGGATCTGAGAATCTCGCCCTCGATCAGACTCTTGGGGACTCGGCTCTCGCTCATGGTGTCGACATCCGATCTAATTACCTGTTCAACACTGGAATAGAGAATGCCGGCGACGCCGATGCCGTTCTCTTCATTGGCACCAACCCTCGACACGAAGCAGCCGTTCTCAACTCTCGATTCAGAAAGTCATACCTTCACAGCGGGGCAGAGTTTGCGGTTATTGGCGAGAAGTTCGACTCCATCTTTGAGTACGAGCACCTCGGAACAACCCCGAAAGCCGTGGCCGACTTCTTCGAGAGCACGAACAAGGGCGGCTTCGCGGAAATCTGGAAGAACGCCAAGAAGCCGATGGTGGTCGTCGGTAGTGCAGTCATGGAGAGCAAGGATGGAGGGGCAGTACTCAAGTCGGTCGCCGAGCATGTTTTGAAACAGGCAGACAGGTTCTTGACAGAGGAATGGAACGGATTCTCCATCTTGCAACGGGTGAGTTGGGCCCGAAGCGAGTCTCGCTGATGTACAGGTTGCCTCCCGTTCTGCAGCGTTTGATATCGGTTTCAGTCCGTCGGCCAAAGCATCCGCTACTACACCAAAATTCATCTATCTGCTCAACGCCGACGAGATTGACCCCGAGTCAATCCCGGAATCTGCCTTTGTTGTTTACCAAGGTCATCATGGTGATCTCGGAGCTCAATTTGCCGACGTCTGCTTGCCAGGTTCAGCCTACACTGAGAAGGCTTCCACGTGGGTCAACACAGAGGGCAGGACACAGGTCGGCCGAGTGGCTGTGCCTCCACCAGGAGCCAGCAGAGAAGACTGGCAAATCATCCGAGCTCTCTCAGAAGTGTTAGGTACCCCATTGCCATATGACGACATCATCGAGCTCAACGAACGAATGTGGGAAGTTTGCCCGTCTCTCTTGAGACCGACATCGCGGGAAACAACTTCTTTGGAAATCCTCAAGGCTGGGCTGACCTACCTATCCAACGTCGAAACCGATGCGCTTTCATCCACTGATATGAAGAACCCTATCAAGGACTTTTACCGAACCGACCCAATCTCCCGAGCCAGTGTCACCATGGCACAATGCAGCAAGGCGTTCACCAGCAAGGACTACGTTCCTTCAGATCAGGAGGATTCCGGCGAGATGCAGGTGACGTATGGTTAGGTGTGGCCAGTATGTCAGGGGGAAAAAAACGCAGTTTTTGTACGATTGAGCATGCAACGTGGGATGGACTGGATGTGCGCAAGGGCCAATCGGCGTCCTGCATCTAGCAGTAGGATGCGACAAGACTGGCATTGCGCCCAGCGAAGTCTAGCGGACCAAACATTTGCCGCCCGGCAAGTTTCGGCCCGGGGAGCCTTTAAATGTCAGCAATTGAGATGAACTCCATCTCCTCATCCATCGTCGCCAACCATGGGAGACTACACACCGATCGCACTTCAGCACGTCAACTTGACAGTCCCACCGGGTAAGCTACAGCTTGCAACAGAATTCTATGGTGAAGTGATCGGATTTCACTCGGATCCCGTGCCGGCTCTCCAGAGGGACATGTTGTTATGGTGAGTTGAAGGGAGCAAGATCGACATGTCTGACCCAGTATCAGGTTCCGTATAGGCAACGGACCTCAGCAGGTAGGCCATCATTTGTCAGAGAGAGAGATCCTCTGACAGTCCTCTTAGATCCATGTCGCTTTCGAAAAAGACCCCACTCATCACTCTACTCAATCCAGTCGTCATCCCTGCTTCCAGCTATCTTCCCCTGAGGCGCTCTTAGCTTTACAAAAGCGAATCTGGGAGCATCACAAATCCGGTTCACAGGCCGCCGCACTTGAGTGTGATGAGCCTGGCAAGGAGAATTCAGGAGCGAAAGGTGAGACGGAGTAGACTCGTCCAAAAAAAAAATGGTATGACTGATATGTTGTTCTTTGTCTTCCAGGTGCCGAGTATCCTACGCGTTTCTTTGCCAGAGATTACGCTGGAAATCGCCTCGAATTCTCAGCTATCCAGTCTCAATAGCTATACGGGCCTATAAGCCTCAGGGCTGCCTGGCATCACTCATGGCATCCATAGCATCGTGTCATGCTTTGTCCCCTCAACATGACATGAAAGCAAACCGAATCCCAAGTACCTTGAATCTGCGATGTTGACCGGATCCTGATCGCGTTTCCCTCGCTTCGGACAGCTGGAGTTCCCGATGTTCCTGATGTTCCTAGCACAGCTCCAACTTCTTTGACTTGGTGCGTGGCTGCCCCAGCTCCTCCGAGCTACAATGAACCAGTATGGATCCCACCTTCCCTCTCACTTTTTCACGTCCATTTAGCTGACACAGTCCACTCCTAAAAGCTAACAGCTCACACTCAAGACCTTTCTCTGAATGCTGACAGATATCAGCAAAGCAATCGTTGACACTTGTGCCACTCGAACGAGGATAACTCACATCAAGCAACGATAAACTAAGCACCCGGACCCTTCAGCGTGAAATTGGTCATATGTCACTCTTCCGCGACGTCTCTCTCCACCGCGGATGCGATGAGCATCTACGAGCAGCTGCTCCCGGTCTCGAACCACGGACGGAGAGGCTAAATTTAACGACATGCAGGCATCGTCGGATCATTCGCGCGCGATGAAGTGTAGTCCAGCGGTTCCGGACTCTGATCTAAGTTAAGAGGACTTAGCTAGAGCAGGAGGCTTAGCGGTGAATCCGCGTAGCCTGTATGAAGAAGACTCGGTTGGCTCGTGAGATCGCAAACGCCCTCTTATTTCGCGCAACAACGCTTCTCGGAAATGTATTTGCATTCTATACAACATACCATAATCGTGATCGTAATCGTAATCGTTGTCGTCGGCGTGAGAAATTCTCACCCAAGTCAGTGGTCTCAAATCCTCTTCGATGGCGAGTTCCTTGTTGATTTGACAACTGCAAGCTCCAGCCGCACCTGCGTACCCATTCCAGCATTCATCTTGCCCTTCGACGCGGCCAGAACAGCCGTTTCCTTGCTCGGTGAGAGCGACTCTCTAGGTTTCAGTGAAGTCTCTTTAGCAATGGCCAGAAGAGGGAACGGAGCGGGTGGTTTTCGGAGTGGCTTAGCCGGTTTAGGGGTCTCCTCGTCCGAAGAAATGAGACTAATCGGGGCATCCTTGTTGCCCTTGGTCGAAGAATTATCTCGGGACAATCTGGCCGATCGCCTGACTGGCTTCTTGGGCGGCTTCGCTTTCGATGATTCGGTATCGGCCGGTTGGGACGATGCAGATCGAGATGAGCTAGAAGGAACTCGACTCCTCTTGATGATGTAAGGCAATGACGAAGATTTGGCGCAGAGAGCGCTCGATCCGGGAACATCGGGTGATTCAGTCAGATCGATGGTCGGGACTGATCGCTGCGGTGTGGACGACCGAGTGGAGGGCGTCTCAACAGGTTCCTCCACCTCTTCCTCCTCGGCTACCGGCGCTGCAGCCTTGCCCTTGCCTTTGACTTTACTGAAGAATGATTTGAAGGCTTGAGCATCCTCGGTGACGGCGACAGCCCTTTTGACCTTCACTCCGCCCGACTTCTTCGCAGCCTTCGCGTCTTCCTTAGCAATGAGACTGTCCTCGTACTCGCTAACAAGACCGGGCCAGGCTTGGACGAGCATGAATTCTGGGAGCCAGACCCTGAATTCGTTCTTCTGGCTTGGGGCTGAAATTTGCGATGCAGAGGGGATGTCTGGGTCCTCATTCCCGACGAGTCCAAGCTTGGCTCTCTCGCTGGCAGACAAAAGTTTTGGGTCAACACGAGAGCCCTCCATAGCATCGTGACATCGTGAGGTGAAGTCGTCCGTCCGATATGAGAGGCGGTATTCGGTAAGATCATGGTTTGTGGGGTCGCTCCGCTTGCCACGTATCTTGACGATATACGGAGGCAGCACAGAGCTTGATGGAGTCGTTTGAGTGTGGTGGAGAGCCTTGGCGACGGTCGAAGTGGACGGCGAAGACAGGTGAACGGTTGCGAAGAACGAGGTGATTCGACCAGACTGTTTGTTGAATTCTCCTCTTGTGGACGACGGTCCTCCAACATTGTTCCCTCGAGACATAACCCAGTCCCGAGCGTCATTGACGATCTCCGAGCCAAATAGACCGACACTTTCGCCTGCAAATTTTTTGCCCACAAGCTCTTTGGTACCCCATTCAAAGTATTTTTCGCAGGCTCTAGCCATTCCTTCGAGGTCACCCCGTCCCTGATTTCTCGCTTTACCTCGACTCCGACTCGGCTCGCCATTACCAAAACCAGGCCAGCCATTGGCGACATCTGCAAGAGGCGAAGTGACTGGCCGCAGATAGCTATTGAGAGCTGATGGGGAGAAGATCTCATTTGGAGCCATTTCGCTCAATTTGGTAGCACACGCTTTGTAACGACGGCCGAGGAATTTCGACTCATCGGTGCTCAATTCGTGAAGAATTTGTTGGCGGACAGTAGCAAGGACTGATTGGAAAGCTGGTGAAGCGGGATCGTACTGTCGAAGGAAGTCGGCGAGACCAGCATGCGCAAGGCCGTGAGCAATAGTCGGGCCTATAGGCAGTTCAGCCAGGAAATCATGCCGCGCACCCACCAATACTGGACACGCCCTCGGGAGCATAATCTCCTCCTGCCAACAGCGCAACCAGGATCATGGCTAAGCGGCAATCCTCTTCTGTCCGCAGCATTGTACCTTCGCGAGCAGCCCACTCGTCTCTGATGGCTTCTAAACGGTACATTTCATATTGTCTGCTATCGGCTCTGGACGAGGTATTTTGAGTAGAAGCATGAGATCCAGACAGAGTCGGCGAGTTACTGAGATCATTGTTAGACTGTCCATTGACAGGCTCACTTTCTCAATAGACACGTCGCGCCGAAGAGGAGCGCATCGACGTCGTCCGAAAGTACGGCATCGATCTTGCCTTGCCGGTTCATGACGGCAAGCTCTGCCTCTGCTTCTCCAGGTGCCTAGGTTCTCAGCGGATTCAGCTACATGCTACTCACATTCCACCACTCGAGTCCACAGATATCTAGCAGCTCCTTGAACTTTCGACTATTGTGATCGGCCGTTCCAAATTGACCAGCAACCCGTTGATTTCGCTTATGTGTAGGTTTGTTGGGTCCGTCTGGGAGTGTCAGCACGAAAAGAGGTTCCGCACCCACCAAAGACAAAGACAGGCAAGACAGGCTGCTGTAACAATGATGTAATCTTGTAGAATATAGTCCTCAAGAAAGGGTTCTCCCCGTACATCGGTACTTGGGCGTGGAAGATCCATATGCTGCCATTGAATCAGCTGCGAGCGGACATCGACGAGCTCACGATGCATCGATACCGATAGTCAATGCCCTCAATCCATTCTTATTCGCCAGGAAAGCATCTCGGGACAAGGTCGACAATGAAGCTCTCGTTGCGGCGGGCCGCAAGAGCTGAGCATGTCAGTGATCATTCAAGATGAAGACGGAGCAGCACTCACGTCCCACAGACCTGGCACTCCCATCGCGTCAAGATCGGATCGGAAATTCAAGATTTCTCAGACGAGAGCACCTGATCGGCGGTGCTGGGAGATCTATGTCTCGCTCATTTGCTAACGTTCATGATCGAGATGTGATCACTGTTCGATCGCGTCTTGATTTCTTGTTTGCAGACTTCAACTTTGCTGCATGCAACAATTTACGTAAGGGGATGTTCAGTTGTGGCGGCGCCACCAATCTCATTGGATGGATGCCTTTGAGAAGAAGTAGAGTATCATCAGATCATAGCTGGCCTTCATTGCTCCAGCAGCCATGAAACTGAACCTGATCCACCCTCTTCCAGCCAAATATCCAGTGACTGATGGGCCAAAACTCTGACAAATCGTTTTGACGACGTTAATGATGCCCATGACCGATGTTCGCTCCTTATCAGGAATGTAGTTGGCAAGGAAGGCTGACCGAGGTGCTCCATCCATTTGCGCCGTGCAAAATCGAGCAATGAGCAATGCTCGGGCGACGGTGAATGTAGATGCCAGGGGTATCATGGAGAGAAAGACGGCAGATGGTAGATGAGTGAAAGCCATTGTCTTGACATTGCCAATACGTCTGGACAACGATGCGGCGACCAGATTTGAGAGTGCAGCGACGACGGATGTGGTAAAGAACGTGGTGCCCAGCGTGCCTGGGTCCAGGGAGAAGCGAGTAGAGAAGTAGTAGATCACGAAAGATCTGGAGGGTGTAAGCCATGCAGAATCTGCATTCATCAACCGACTCACAGTGGCACCAAGCCCGAGGCAGTGTTGTCCAATCCGAATAAAAGACCCAAAGTGATGACCTTCTCCTTGGTTTCTTGCGTCAAGCCAAGGGCATTTCGAGGAGGCTCCTTAGGTATCGGTGCTGGCTGGCCATTTTCTCCTCTCTCAAGCAACGGCACCTGATCGGCGGTACCATCGCGACTATTCTCTTCTCCCGGCGGATTTGCCTTCTGCTGAGCCGACGCTCCATCCACCTCGCAACGATCGCTCAACAAGAGTGTCAATCCACCCTTGATGATGCCCCACATGGCGTACATGGCGAACACAAAGCGGTACGAATCGATCTCGGACCAAAAGGCCTCGTTCTGTAGATATTGAGTGATATGTCCGGCGGTCAGAGATCCGAGAGATGCTGAAAAGGCGGAGAAGAGACCATACCAGGCGAAGATGGTTGAACGGTGTTCTTTAGGGATTAGCGTGGCTAGTGTCGACTCCTCGATAGCTTTGAAAGGTCCAATCTCATTCCCGCTGGACAAAGTGAGCCTCACAAGCTCAAGTTCTGGATTTACCTCGGCGATATCACCCCAAAGATAGCTGCGAGCAGCAGGATGAAATACGACCCACTGGTGCAAAAGACCAATCCACTCGAGACCATAAGCCCGCACCCAATGGTCAAGACCTTGCGTCGGCCCCATTTATCCGCGAACAAGGTCAAGACCAAACTTCCCAGAACATCACCGACCAGCGTCAAGGTCATGAACAGTCCTATTCGAAAGTCTGATATGTTCAACTTGTTCAGATACTGAACGAGGACCAATGTAGATTGTCCATAGGCTACCAACCGAAAACCTCGCTGGAGGATGAGCAAATGAGCATCTCGAGGTGCTTTTGACAGGATTGACAAGCCAATCTCGTCCGCTATAGATTGTAAGATAGGCATGTTGGGTTGGACATCGGATTGCAGCTGAGTGGGGCGTATGTTTCCAAACCCGAAGAGCCCATTGGATCTACTCTTTTTATAGAAGACACAAAGTGGAGGTACAACTCCGCCACGTGGCTGGAATCTCGGCGGTCACCGCCCGTCCCTGGACAAAAAAGTTGAACAAACGTCCTCCAGACGATGTCGAGGAGCGACGACGAGGTGGTGTAGCATCCAATTTCTCATCGGTCATGTCGTCAGCTGAGCGTAGCAAGAAGAGCCACAAACGTAAATCAGTGGCCGTGGAAGATGGCATGGAGGCTGGACCTTCTACCCTGAACGTCACCGTCACGGAACCGTCTTCATCCCTTGGTCCAGTCTTTGGTGTGTACACCAAGATTTCATCCCTATAATTGCTGCTCACGCAAGGTCACAGTCAACTTCCCATCTATTCGGCCTTCGAAAGATACTCCTTTCAGGCTCTACTCCCGTGATGCCGACTCTGGTGAAGAACTTGCCCTTCAAGCAACCCTATTGGCCGGCGACACTGAAGATGTAGACTTTGTCTCTTCCAACAGGAATCATGGAGGCTCAAACGAGAGCTCGGATTGCCAGTGAGTGTACCTATCATGACGAGTCTGCAGCTCGCTTATCAAAACCAGGTATCTACCTGCTGTGTATGATCCCGACGCCGGTACGCTTCAAATTCACGCTTCGTCCCCTCTATACCTCATGGTCCACCGCTCGAAACGAATGACCAACGTCGCTCTCCAGATGGAAAAAGCAGACGATTACAGGACCAAGCGAAATAACCTTGGAGAGGTTTTTGGGACGCGTAAAGCAAAGTCCCAGATCCGGGCGGAGGAACGAAACAAGTTGAATGCAGATGCCATGCAGGATGTTAGAGGTCACCTGATGGAGACCATTGGTGCAAAAGAAGCTGAGGCTGAGGGTGGGTGATCACTCAAGAATCCAGGCTGATCGATCTTCAGCCCTGCCGTCAGAGCTTATACCGACCCCGAACACATCTACGGATGATCCCGCCCAGGTCTATCCCCGCGAATCAATGATCAGCGACGGGGAATGGAGCTGCATCGATGCATCTACTTTGCTCAAACAGAAGGATGACCGGAGCCGGGCGCTATTGCTGCCGTATCGTCGGAGCAGATTCATCGAGACTAAGATGAGGGAGGTCTCTGGATCCGCAATCTCGTCATCCCTCAAGAAGAGCTCAATGTAAGCGTGGTCCTCACCAGCTGAGTCGACACTTACCGCTCGGCAGGCGAATGTGCTTCTTTCTCTCCTCCCTTATGGCTCTCAACGACCGGTCTGGAGACATTGCTCGTTCGACGACTGCGGAACTCGGGTCAAAGTTCTCAGCGATCCCTGCGCCATTGCTGAATGGTCTGCTCGAACGCTTCACCGAATCTTTAGGGAATAAGCGCAAAATAACAGACAAGCTACAGACCAAGCTCCTCGCTTGGATATGCGTAGCATACCTTCACCTGTCAGACTTCAAAGCAGACGTTACGTCCATCGCAAAGGATCTCAGCTTCCAGCCGGCAAAGTGAGTCGTACCTTTCAGTTCTCGCTGACTTTTACAGACTCATCAACATTTTCAAATCACTCGGCTGTCGTATCGACATACCTTCGCCTGAGGAACGAGAGCAGCTGGGAGTGACCCTCGATGGTGCCAAAGCTTTACGAAAAGCCGTCCTCAGAGCGCCGGTTCAGTTCCCTAAACCCAAGACACGAGCCCCCGCCAGAGGTAGACGATAACCATCATGACACTCATCTGCATGACATGACATGACATTCGGCGTCTCGCTGTTATGAGGACAAAAGATGCTACAAAGATCTGACTCAAGATCAGGTTACAAGACGGTATCTCTTTTCAGGGTGATTAAGCGCCCGCGCCTACTGATCCTATCCGCCTTCTTATGCTGGGTTAACGATTGGGCTGGATGCACTTGCCGGTAATGAGATTTTCCATCGTCGTGTGCCGTCTCGGCTAGTAACATTCACTATTCCTCCCTTTCGGAGATGGGCCGCCACTATTGGGTTGACGAGAACCATGCGCCCCATCCCTTGAGTATCTCTCGCCTGAGTCGAGGGATGAAAGCCCAGTCGCGGAGTCTGAATCACCATTGGCGTGAGGGGGGCTTGTTGGAAACTGGCCGTCCGTGGCGCTGGGAAAGCAGATGGAAGGGGAGGAGAATGAGAGGATCGCTCGCTCCGGACGAGAACCTGATTATGCATGGACGCTCTCGGCGTCGACATGCCATCTGTGGCTTCAGGTGAAGTGACGAAGATCATACGTCGAGGGTGAATGTTGAGTGTTGGATGAGATTTGTTACGACGATGTGGTGATTGTCTGACAAAAGGGAGAAAAGGGGGACAATCTGATGGTCAGTGCGGGCTCTCGGTAGTGACGGACCGGTGACTCACTTCAGTGAGAGTGGGAGACGATTGAGATGATGAACTCTAGGGGGAGGCTTGCAGGGGCTCAGAGACTGTAGCGTGATCGTTAGCGGTGGGGGGTCCGCTGGTGTTGTGAGTAAGCTTACCCTAGACGCGAGTCGTAGACGGCCAATTGACGGTGAAACGCTGGAACCGATAGACTCTCCTTCATCTGTCATGTCATCGCTGGAAGTCATCAAGGCGTCGCTGTCGTATGCTGGTAGATCAGGCAGCTCGGAGGGAGCTTGAGATCTGAGTTCGTTGTAGATCAGTTGGGGATCGGGGCGAGAGTACATTGCAGAGCGAGAAAATGTTGTTGTCATGATGAGAAGGTTGAGATGATTTGTTAAGATCTCAGGTCGGATGATCGATACAATGGCCGGCGGAGGCGAAGGACAGTCGACAGGACGAAATGCAATGGCGGTGAGACAAGAGAAGATCAGCAATATGTATGTACACTATATATGCTGGTAGCGGATTCAGATGCGACTCCTGGACCTCTCTTGTCTCGTCAGAACGATATGACACTATGCATTGTCATGGACAAACAATGGCAATAGCCGAACAATAGCCCCGAACAATCTGCGAGCGACAATAGAGTAGAGTGGGTGAAAGCACGGCAGCAGGCGCGCTACGCTCAGATCATGGGGCTCTCCTACCAAGCAGAAGTACCAATGACCTCAGTACAGCTCGGCTGGAACGCAAGCAGTACGATGAGGAGATATACGTAAGAGATTGTAGAGACATCGGATGGGATTGCCACCCAACTTGTGCTGGACGGTGAGCAGTGCCACAGTTTTCGATTTCGATGCGAAAAATGGGACATCAACGTGCTTTCTCTCGGCTGACGTAGTGGACGAGGGGACAATAGATGATATGACCTAAGATTCTTCGTCCACGAGCTCACACCTCTTGTTTCGGAGGCTTCACTTCTTGCGCTTGCAAACAACACATGAATGCAAGAGAGGGTTGTACAATAGAACAATAGGGATGGCTTCAGCTTTGAGCAACCCCGATGGACGGAGGAAAGGAAAAGGCGGAGGTTTCCGCTGACGTTAAGTCACGTGAGCGGGCTCAAAATTATCGCTGCAACGAGCAGTAGAAGTACACTTGCACTGTTGCGAAGGTCGTCTACACTTCAAGATCATAAGGACTGTTCCACATCCCGTCAAAAGTCAAGCGCCATCTTTCTTCAGTCAGTTTAGGCAAGAGGACGTTGTAGATCTCACGAGAAAGCTTCCGGAGGAGTTGATGGAGAATGGCTGGAGTCAATGAAGAGAGACCCCTTCAGCTGGACAATGCTGGGACCTTGAATCAATCCGTCTCGACTTCGCTCGAGGTTGACAAGATTGGGATTGTAAGTGGATTTCGTACAGATAGAGCTTCAGATCGTGCTGAAGCGTTGCTCAGCTGCCAGGCCACGAAAGCGATTACAGCGCTTGTACCTTTGTGTTGAACCATGAAGATCATACATTGGGCAATGCCCTGAGGTGGATGATCATGAAGGAGTGAGCGAGGGCGAACTGAGGGCTGCTCCAGTCAGAAGCTTACCATGTCTCAAGTGCCGATGTCGAGTTTTGTGGCTATAGCGCTCCACATCCTTCTGAGCCAAAGATCCATCTTAGGATTCAGATGTACGGTGAGTTGGCGCGTAGTCTTTTGCCATCACCCTCATCCTCCTTTGCGGCTGCAAATCCCACGAGTCCTCTGCAATGAAGCTGACCTGTCTTTAGACAACATGTCTGCTGTGGACTGTTTACGGAAAGCTCTGAGTAATCTCAGGGACCTCCTCAGCACCGTGGATCAAAAGTACAAGAAGAGTCTCAGGTGAGCTATCTAACCCGATGATCTCGGCATAGTATGCTCATGGGCTCATCAGAAACGACAAATACATCAAAGAGGATGATGTGGACGTCAGGGCTGTGGTCGAGGAGACTTTGAGAGAGCGAGGCCGTTTAGCCAGCAGCGGGGATGCCATGGATACTTCATAGATTGGTTTGCGGCGATCTTGTTCGAACATTGTATGTATCATAGCTGCATTGCATTTCCATGGTCCGCCCCTGCGACACCAAGACTGGCCATTCGGACTTATTAAAGACTGCTCAGACAACAGACATACCTATACCATGGCCATAGATCTGACAGGTTACGACGGAATCAAAATCTTCTACAATACGTCAATCTCGGCCGCGGGACAGTTATTATTGACGCAATGTCGACCGCGAGCGAGTGTCGAGGAGCACCCGGCTAGCGACAACGACTTCCCTTCCCTATACGGATCTGCTTGTGCAGCCGGGAGGCTCTTCCAACGACTGAGAGTCGCCTTTCGCCAAGATGGACGTCCTCAAAGCAGTCCAGACATACCTGGCAAAGATGATCTCCGAAGTCTCAGGCATGAAGGTTCTTCTGCTGGACTCGCACACCGTGAGATCCGGAACATCCTTCATGTTATTGACTTTATAGACCCCTATCGTATCTCTCGTGATGACCCAGAGTGATCTCCTGTCACATGAGATTTATCTCACAGACCGGATAGATAAGTGAGTTACGCCTCTCGCTCTCTCAACTCTGATTTGCAGTATCGCTCGCGAACCTCTGAACCACTTATCTTGTATCGCTTTCTTGTCGTCTTCTCAGGCCACAGTAGACTGGGTCAAGAAGGAGCTCGCTGATCCGCGCTACGGAGGATACTGGCTGTGTGAGTCATTATGGGCAAGGCAGCAAACTAACACGCATCTCCAGACTTCTCCAACACTCTCAGCAAGACCCAAATTGAGGAGATGGCCACGGTCGACGAGTTTGAAAGCGTCAAAGAGGTTCAGGTAGGTCAGAGCAGCTTCAAAGCTGCATGCCTCCTCACCTGGTCTTAGGAATTCTTTGCGGATTATCTCGCACATTACCCATCCTTATTCACCCTCACCTCAGCTGCCTTGGCCGACGGAGGCGAAGGTCCGTCTAACGTGAGAGCGCTTCCGTAGAAGGCGAGCTGATGACATTTCAGCCCCCTATATATCTGCCTCCTCCCATTCTTGCCCCTCCCCCAGTCATCTCTAATCATCTCCAATCGATACTTGCCGTCTTGTTGAGCTTGAAAAAACGACCTGTGATACGCTGGGAGAAGATGTCCCAGATCGGCAGGAAGCTGGCTGGAGAGGTACAGGTGAGCTGGCTTGCACTGAACATAGCTCATTCATCTAGGCAGCCATTCAGCAACCCCCTTATCGTGATCTGTTTGACTTTAGACCAACGGCCGGTCCTGCTCCGCTACTCCTCATACTAGGTAGGTGATCCTTCAGTAGTATTGAGCTGAACCAGGCCAGACCGTCGGAACGACCCTGTCACCCCTTTACTCAGTCAGTGGACATATCAAGCCATGGTACATGAACTGTGTGGAATCACCAATGGACGTGTCAAAATAGAGCAGGAACAAAAGCTAGAGCTGAGGGTAGGCTTGGTTGGGGAGTGTCTGGACTGACCTCTGCCAGGACATCGTTCTCTCCACCTCATCTGATTCCTTCTTCTCCCAACATCTCTTCGCCAATTTCGGAGATCTCGGTGCAGCGATCGCAGCCTATGTGAAAGACTATCAAGCTCGGAACTCGTCGATTGGCCCCGCATCCACTTCTCGGATAGAAACAATTGCAGATATGAAGCGGTTCGTCGAAGAATATCCGGAATTCAAGCGTTTGGGTGGCAACGTTACGAAGCATGTGACACTCGTTGGAGAGCTCAGTCGCTTGGTTGAGAGGGACGATCTACTGGCCGTTTCAGAGGTAGAACAGAGTCTAGCGAGTCAGGAGAGTCATCAGGCGGACGTCAAGGTGCGACGGACGCGAAACAATGTTTGAAAGCTGATCGGCGCCGGACCTTCTGTAGAGCGTGCTCACTCTGATATCTTCGAGCAAGGTCCCGGCTGGCAACAAGCTCCGACTGGCCATTCTTTATGCGTTACGATACCAGAAATATCCCTCCAATCAGATCTCTCAGGTCATCGATGCTCTCATCGTCAATGGCGTCTCGGCAGATCGAGCCAGGCTGGTCTATGTCATGCTCAACTTTGCAGGGGCAGACGTGAGGCAAGACGACTTGTTTATGAACGAGAATTTCTTCTCAAGAGGGAAGAGCGCATTCAAGGGTCTGAAGGTGAGCAGCAGCGCCGCATTCGACGGCTGATCTCATGGCTCTTAGGGCGTTGAGAATGTGTACACACAACACAATCCCCATTTGTCGCAAACTCTGGATCTGCTGTTGAAAGGTAGATTAAGAGAAACGAGCTATCCATTCCTCGAAGGGGATGAGAATGCGCGTTCACAAAGGTGAGAGCAGACACTGGACTTATTTGCCATCGCTCACACCTATCCTAGACCTCAAGACATCATCGTTTTCATGGTCGGCGGGACGACGTATGAGGAAAGTCGCGCCGTGGCGTTATTAAACCAGAGGCTTGCCAGTGATCCGGCTGGCCCACCGGGAGGCACAAGGATCCTACTGGGAGGCTCCACAGTGCACAACTCCGCAAGGTCAGCGACATGAGCAAGTCTTGGAATGGTGCTGACAATGATGTAGCTTCTTGTGCATGGTCGAAGCTGCGGCTGAGCATTTCCCTCCCTCAATCTACGGTCCACCGATCAATAGCTCTCCGGTTCCGCCTCCACCTCATGCTACGTCCTCTTCCGCACCGCAGTCAGGCTTCAATGTTCGTGCAGGGGGTTATGAGCTATCAGTAGGAGGAGCAGCAGGCTCAGGCCTTTACCGAGCCAATCCCAATGAAGTCGGAGCTTCATTTCAAGTCCCACCGCAAGCTGCTCAAGTCGCCGAAGGTATCAGAGACGGAGCAGGAAGATTATGGGATAATGTAAGGCAAAAGTATGAGGAGAGAGTCAGTCGGTCTACCACGCCACAGGGTGGTGGACGGTGAAATGCATCGTAGGCCTAGAAGGCCGTTGTTGTACACCGTGGTCCGGTCGGACCTCCACCTTTTCGGCAAAAACCTGATCGTCACGACTTGTGCTTATGATAATCCTTTGTTATTTGGACTTCGACGTTGAGGAAGACCACTTGCTGGTGAATGCTCAGACTGACTAAATTGATACGTCCTACTCCCTTATACACTACTCTATCGCATAAGACTCTCAATACATTTAGGGCAATGTCCGTTTTCAATACGTCCCGGTAAGTTGTTGTTCCATCGGTATCGATGGTCGTCACTGATGTCCTGCAGACTCGAGGGAAAGACTGGTGAGCAGAGGCTGCTTCAATGGAACACCACAAACTTATTCTTCCCTTATTAGTCCTCATTACCGGCGCTTCAGCAGGTATAGGAGCGTCCACCGCCAAACTATTCGCCAAAGCTGGAGTCGCAAATCTCATCTTGACTGCTAGACGGGCGGACAAATTGGCCGAAGTGAAGAAGGAATGCGAGGGTGCAGGCAAAGTCAATGTGATAACTGTTGAGGCCGACATGACCAAGCGAGAGGATATCAACCAGATCTTGCCCAAAGCTGGGAATATCAAGGTCGATATGTTGGTTGGGTTGAAGAGAGTTGTGCTGTGATTGACGAGATGTCCAGCTTGGTCAACAACGCCGGGATGGTGTATGGACGTGAAGCAATCGGGGGTGAGCAGAGCGTTTGTTAGACTATTGAGAGCTAAGCTGATGAGTTGACAGACATCGGTATGCTAAGTGCTGGTACTGGAAAAGTAAAGCTCATTCTGTGTAGCCGATTCGGACATCGACGTCATGTTCAGCACCAATGGTGGGTCATCAAGGCTCATCCGAATGGCCAAGCTAAAGATGTTTTCTAGTCATCGGTCTGATCCATCTGACTCAGATCCTGGTCCGGGAGTTCAAGAAGCAGAACTCAGGCGTGAGTGGAATTCCACCAGGCATCTATCCCCAACCGCAAGGTCATTCGACGGGCTGACGCCCCCCGCTAGATGGTCATCAACCTCGGTTCCATCGCAGGTCGAGAGCCGTACGCTGGAGGCGCTATCTACTGCGCTACCAAACACGCCGTCATGTCCTTCTCGCACACTTTGCTCCGAGAGCTCGTCAGTACGCCCATCAGAGTCGTCGAGATTCAGCCTGGTAAGCCTAGCCTTAGTTTGTCCATGACACGCCGCTTATCTGGGTCTCACCTCATTCAGGCATGGTAGAAACCGAGTTCTCTCTCGTCAGATTCAGAGGAGACAAGGAAGCTGCGGATGCAGTGTACAAGGGCATGGAGCCGTGTGAGTTTGGTGTATTCTGACGTTTTTGGACGTTTGAGCTGAAACCCTTTAGTGACCGGCGAGGACATCGCTGAGGAGATTGTCTGGTGCGCTTCGAGACCACCCCACGTCAATATTGCTCAGATGCGTAAGTCGAGGCCGCTGATACCTGCTCTGACTCATCTCAGTGGTCCTACCCGTCGCCCAGGCCACAGCAACCATCAGCCACAAGAAGCAGTAGAAAGGGGTGAAGACTGGTCCCTAATGATTAGCAGCAACTCATGCATGAACATATGTGTCCTCTCAAGGCGTAATGCACTCGCACCAAAAGCGTATGTGTCTCGTCTACTGCCTGCTCTGGTTCATTTTCTGTACCGCAGAGTCTGCGACCGGACTCGGCTGCGGGCCGTCCGACCGGAGAAAACATGACCCAAATGTCGTCACTGACCACCAGACCCTCGAGTTCTTCATTATACCTTCATCTCACTGTATCGCTATGCCTCCTGCATCGCGATTTGGAGCATCAAAATATCGTAATGCTGTCCCTCACGTACCTCACAAAGATGAATGGTATCGCTCATCTTTGCCAGTGAGCTCCACGTCGACGTCGCCGACCTCGACGTTCAGCTCTGAAATCAAGACGAACCGACATGGGATATTCACTTTGACTACTAGCGGAGACTTCAGCTTCAGACCCTATGATGGGCAGCATGGAAGTGTGAAGAGTCAAAAGGGTATAGGGGGAGGAGGAGGCGTGGGAGATTGGGATGTCTCTGGACTAGAAAGTGGAAGGGTGATCGTTGGTGGTCTTGATGGGTCGGTGAGTGATTTATTAGTGACTCGGAGCATCGCAAAGCTGATATGTAAAACCAGGTATCAGTTTACAGCTTTGTACCTGATGATTCTGAGTCCTTGGACCTAGCACGTACTATTCCAGGGTCTGGCTCACCTGTAAGCAATCTGGTCCTTCACCCGACGACTCCAGATTTGGTTTTGGTATCAACCGCCAGCGGCACTTTGTCAATTTACAATCTAGCCTCAGAAAACACTAGTCCTGCCATCACTCTCAGCTGTCCTGAGCCCAAAGGATTGTGGTCTATTGCTTGGTCGGCCGACGGGAAACGCCTAGCTGCAGTTGGGAAAAGCGGAACAGGCTACATCTACGATCCCAGATCTGGGGTCGAGCCGGTGACGAAGCGGCTTCTCCCAATGCAGCCTCTCAAGCCGTCTCGTATAATATGGATAGGGGACAAAGTTCTCGTCACCTCGACGTCGAAGATGCGGAACAGGGAGTATTCAGCGTTCAAAAGCTCAGACATGTCTACAGTGTTCACTCAAACACTCGATACGTCCCCGGGTTTACTTATCCCGCTCGTCGATGAGGAGAGAAACATTGTATATTTGACCGGCAAAGGAGATAGTACACTACGTCAGGTCGAACTCTCTGGACCTCAAGGCTTCCAAGAAACTTTACACGCCCTCCCCTCACCTCTACCTTCCGGATCTTTCTCCCTGGCTCATCCAGCTACGTTGCCAGTCATGCAAGCTCAGATAGCCACAGTCTTGATTCCTACATCGGACAAGGAGGGAGATGCCATCATCCCGTTTGGTATTCGCGTCCCAAGACGGCAATTGATTGATTACCATGATGATCTATTCCCTGACATTGTAGGGACGGGTAAGTTGGACCGCGGAGTGGCAAGAGCTGATGCAACCGCGTTTAGTCCCTGAGCAAAGTGCCGATGAGTGGTTGAAAGGAGGGGACGAAGCACCATCGTCTATCTCTCTGGATCCTTCTCGGCGAGGCTTCTGGGAGGAAAAGCTGGCTCATTCGGCGACACGGAAGTCTTCGTCAAATCAGCAACAGGGTGCGACCAGAGAAAACGAGCCTAAGTCTCAGCCAACGCCTGGAGCTATTCCGTCAGCGGCGGGCACCTCTCCTAGTCCCGCGATACAACCAGCAACAGCTACCACTGTGTCTTCTCCGGCAGCCACAGATCCCTCACTGCCTCCACTCGAAAAGGACGAAACTTACGCCTCGACCTCTTACAAAGTTCGTGTCATTGGCAACTTCATCACTGAGCAAGTGGACAGGCACAAGAAGGCTGGAGGTAAAGGTCCGATCATCATTGGCCTTCAGGGACCTCAAGGATGCGGAAAGACCACACTTTCACGGGCACTTCTGGATGTTTTGACGTCGAAACCTATCAACCTCAATTTGGCTGTCCTCTCCCTCGATGACCTCTACCAGACTCATTCGGGGCTCAGAACGCTAGCAACAAAGCACTCCGATAACTCTCTACTCCAGGGTCGAGGGCCACCCGGTACACATGACGTGCAACTTGCCTCTCAAGTCCTGTCTGAGATCCAGAAGATCAACGACGAGCCCAACACCACGGTGTCGCTGCCCGTATTCGACAAGAGCTTACGTGATGGCGAGGGTGACCGCAGCTCACAAACGGTGCCTGTGCAAGGTCCCTTGGACGTCTTCATCCTCGAAGGCTGGTCTGTCGGCTTTGGCCCGCTGTCTCAGGAAGATCTACAAAGTCGTTACAAGTCGAAATCCTCCCTTACTGATACGTCATTTTTCATCAAACACCCTCTGTCATCCTTAGACACTCTGAACCACTACCTCGACCAATTCGCCAATGCGGTCTACCCATCACTTGGAGCCATCGTCGTCATTGAGCCTAAGAGCTACAAGTACGTATTTGATTGGCGATTGGAGCAAGAACGTACGATGAAATCGCAAAATGGAGGCAAAGGAATGGACGATGAGCAAATTCATGGTTTCGTGGAACGATATATGCCTGGGTACGAACTGTGGAAGGGTGGAGTGAGGGATACATCGATGACTTGGGCAGGCAATGGATTGGTCTTGACATTTGGCGAGGGGAGAGAAGTCACGGATGTTGCGAGATTAGCGGCACCGAAGGTGGATCAGTCTGCTCAGGTACAAGGGCGCAGTGAGAAGAATGACATCGGGAAAGAAGCCAACACGCCAACAAAGGCTGAGCCGGTCAAGCGATCCGCCCCTGCCAAAGCTGTCAATCCGACCTGGTCCCGCAAGTTTTTAGCTGGCAAGTCGCCCCTTATTCCGACTTACGACCAAGTCCCAGCCATCTCCACGCTACATCAGGATTCACAGATCCTCAAATGTACCTCTCGTCTAGCATTCTTCCCCATCTCTGGTCCGGGAGGCAGACTAGCGGTCCATCCTTTGTCGAAAAAAGGTAGGATGGACAACAGTGAGCAATTCTACCTCAGTGGAGGTGTCGACATTTCAGATTTCGCGGTAGAACATTTTGGCGATGATATCTGTCGTGTGGTGATCGCTGGGGAAGATGGAATCGCCAGGATGTGGAACGTCGATGGGTCCGGACTATCAGAATCCGGCAAGGAGCCTGACGCAACATTGCAAGGTATGTTCATCTGCTGGCGGTTCTGTCATCGCAGTGGTCCAACTGATGAGCTCAGGGGACAGCTCAAACAAGATCACGCAGGTGGCTTTCCACCCCACGGCCAAGGATCTCTTGAGTGGGGCGGCCTCAGATGCGATCTACCTGTTTGACCTGTCGAAACGCGAATTGGCTCTCACGGTCCAGGTCGAGGCGCAAGGCGGAGCATACAACGTGTCGTGGAGTCCTAGAGGAGATCGATTAGCCATTGCGCTGAAGGACAAGCGTATGGCTGTCCTCGATCCTCGAAAACCATCTCAGATTATCTATGGTCAAGCGCATGATTCTCCTCGCTCTTTCCAGATCGAATGGCTCGACGAGACGCATTTGATCAGCGTCGGCTTTGCACGTGGATCAATGAGGAAGATCATATTATATCAACTGGCGGGGGAGACTATCATTACTGTTTCCTCCTTGTCCATCGACACCTCTCCTTCTGTCCTATTCCCGTCCTATGATCCTGATACGAGCGTTCTCTACGTCTGGGGTAAAGGTGAAAGACAGATTCAAGCGTACGAGATTCACCCTGAAAACAAGGTCGAACCGATCGCGCGACTACCCGGATTCACAGCTGGCTCACCGCAGCTCGGGCTCACATTCTTACCTAAACGAATGGTGGATGTGAAGAAGGTGGAAGTGGCCAAAGCGTTGCGATTGACTGCGAAATCTATCGAAGAAGTTTCCTTCACCATCCCTAGGAACAGGGTGAGTGATGTGATTGGCCTCTCAACATGGAGCTGATGCCCTTATCCTATTAGCCTGACTTCTTCCAAGATGACATCTTTAGGGATACTCTGGACAATGAGACGCCAAGTCAGACTGCTGAGGAGTGGCTGGGTGGAGAAGATGCAGAACACAAGTATTTGAATTTGTGCCCACCAGGCATGACGGCGTGTAAGTGTGGCATCGTAGATGCCAGCTGTATTGGCGCGTTGGATGATGCCCCTGACGCTTTGCCTACACACAGTGTCTGTCGCTCCTCAAACGCCAGCAAAGAACAAGCCTAAATTCGTTCCTGCAAAGGACATCATGACGGAGGAAGAGAAGAAGAAGCAAGAAATGGACAAGCTGTTCGCGCGAGCTAAATTGGATGATAGCAGTGACGAGGAGGATGGTCCGCCCAAAAGTGGACTGGACCCGCCTGATGATGACTGGTAGGTGTCAAGCTGGAGGTCCCGGCGTCGTATGGTGATAAAGGAAAATCTGCATCTATTGTTTGGGCAAGTCACAATACGCGGCCACAGGCCGATTGGAGACTGATGATCGCTGATCGGCTACTCACACGCCAGGAGGGCCTGACGTGGATCTAGCCTACCCCAAATTGACTCCTTGAACGCTGACCTACTAATCAGCTGATCCTTTGATGCGTCAAGGGGAGTCTGTGGGAAAGGAGGTCCAAAAAGGCTAAAGCTAGGACTGGTTGAACAACATCCTGTTATTGAATTGCAGTGACAATTGATTGATTGATTGTTACGTCGACCAAGATGAGTCAGGCCAAGCCGTTCACACAGGTGAGAACTCATCATCGCGTTGCCGGCTACTTCTGACTTCTTATCCCCAAGAGATGTATCATCTACGGTCTAGAATCTGAGCAAGTGTTCAAAGATGAGTTTGAGCGAAAGATGGGTGAGCTTGGGTTTTTCTTTCTTTTCCGGCTCCCTCTCTCGAGGCTTTCGCTGAAGTTTGAATAGGCAAAGTCCATGGGATTTCCCTCTCGCTCTCAACGCCTCCGCGATACATTGCTCATGAGTACGGGGCGGATCATCATTTGGACGTGTACGTGGAAGCGACTTCGTGTCGGTCCTCATCTTCCTGCGACGCGAACCGCTACGATCCCGCCGCGACGGCGGCGGCGGCGGCGGCGGCAGCATCGATGACAAAGGTCGAAAAGAATCGCGTCTTTATCAGTTTGAAAGCCGCAGCTAGGAGTGTGGGTTGTGAGAGTGAGCTTCCAAGCCGGGCTTGTTATTTCTAGGACGAGGGATTGACATGCTTTAGTGTGCCCTGTCCGACAGACCTCGGGCTGAAACCCGGTGTAATCGAGCGAGGGCCTGTTAAAAGTATGTCCTTTGATGCAGTTAGCTGTAAGAGCTACTCAAGCACCTGGATCTGTACAGATCTACACTATTCATAAATTACACCAATTGTCGCGATGAGCGGTACGAGCACACAAGCTACTATTCTATCTTCATTGTTAAACGAAATCATCTTTCGCTTGAATGAGCTAGACAGTCTCCGTAGTCTGACTGAGAGCCCTGATCTCGCCACGCCACATCTACTTGACTTGAGTTGCGGACACGAGGATACCTCGCTATCTCCTCCGTCTGAGCTTCTCTGGAACTTCACTTGGGCCCTTTGATTCCGCCATCATGATGGCGTCATGCTCGGTAGCTTCGACCAACTCGACGTCGAGTCCTTGTTGGCCTTCTGGTGATTTCTCATCGGGGAATGCACCGTTTCTCTCTTCCTCATCCTCATCTCCAGCATCACTTCGACTGTCGGCTGCACCTTGACCTGTGACCACCCTCACGGCGACCATGCAAGCCATGTAGAACCATATCGATGCGAGGCCATAGAGGAAGACTTCCATACCGATGAAACCATAGTATGTCGTCTGAGTCAAATATTGGCCAGTCTGAGGACTCCAACGGAATTTGATGAATTTAGGTGCGTCGACGTAGGAAGTGTAAATGACGAAGGCGAGTCCGATCTGGCGTGAGACCAACCAGCCGATCAAAAAGGCAACAAAGGTGACATCGCAAAGGGTGGAGAAGGAGAGGTAGCGGAAGAGTTTTGCGAGCTGAGTGAGAAGTGTGAGCCTGGCATGTGTCAGCTGTTGGAATCTGGACTCACCGGTAAGAGGATATCACAAAAGTCCATCAACGCATGTATTAAAACTCCGACGCGGGAAAAGTTGGCGACGTAGCTCCCGCAGATCAAAGAGATGCTTAGTACGTGATGTGTCAACATTTGCCAGTGGTCCGATCTCCGTTGTTCAGAGTTGATCACGTAGATTTGATGTAGCCACCATCCAAGTTGAGCGAGATAGTAGAATTTGGTGAGGCCAGGAAGATATCGAACGGGATAGCTGCCCCATAAGGATTCGGGAGAGAGAGGCGCTTTCAATTGCATCAATATGACCTGAGGGGGGGGGGGGGTGGGGAGGGAAGATGAGCAAATGGAGAGTATAGCCGTCATGTCTTTCGACTCACCATGCCTAATGACCAGAAGACTGTACAGTATGTCAAGCTCCAACTTTGCTCCGCGAATCTTGTGACTGAATGTTGGATGGCTTTCTTCTCCAGTTTGTTCAGTTCCCTCGATGGCATCAACCAGTATCTGGCAAACGCAGAGAAAATGTACTCCATGGACAGATTTCGAAGAATAGTGAATCCAAAGGCGCAAGAGATGGTGATACATAGATCCATGATACCCTTGTCGTAGAGTGTCTCTGGAGCCACGAGCGAAGAAGAGGACGAGGAGGGGAGGAAGGAGGATCCAAAGGAGAATGGAGTGGATTGATTGACGGCATAAGAGAGTTGGAAGAATGGATGAAGTTGCGGTGGAAGGGTCGACAGAAAGTTATCGTACAAATTTGGAAGGGTCATTGAGGAGGCCATGGTGCAGAGAGTCTATGCACGAGCTTTCAAAGCCCGGATGATCGCGCGTGTGTGTGTATGTGCGTCTATGGATGTGAAGTTGTGGATAGTCTAAGAGATCAGGGGTTAGTCACTGGACAGAAACCTATCCCGCAGGTGGGCGTGGAGAAAGAGGAATGGGAAGCAGCAGGCAGGCGCGTTGCACATTCTCTCTCGGGAGTGAACCGAAATCCGATGGCGAGCCTACGCGGTGTACCTGCCTGCTCTTGCCCCCCATCCCCTCTCCTCGCCGCCTCGCCACCTCGGACTCACCAAACTTGAAATGCAGCGAATTCGGACTGATGGACGATCTGAAGAAGATTTCGTCGGGAAGCAGGATGATCTCTGCCCCCAACGAGATCCCGAGTAAAGTCGCTACTGGCTGGCTATGATGGGAAGAAAGAGAAGGATGTAAGAGAGAGACAAGTGTGTGATCTATGCTGTCTATTAAATCCCAAGTCTAACCTCCCTATGACGCCAACATATCCCACCCAAGAGTTGCTTTTAGTCCATGAGAGACGACGTAGGTCGAGTATAGCTGGTTCGTCGCTGTCTCAGTCGTCGTTTGTCGATCGGGTGCAGTCTATTGGCTCCAACACCAGATCAAAAAAAAATGACGGGACCACGTTGTCTTTAGTGCGGGAAATTGTTGATTATGTAAACTGTATCTCACACTTTATTCGATCATACCGGTTCGTATATTGGCTCGCGATCACACCTATTAAGTTGACAAAACGATTTGAGTGAGTGCTGTTGGTGTATAGGACCCCCAACATCAACCATGGCACTCCAGACACCATCCCTGTCCCTGTATATCACAAATATAGAGTCAAAGGTGAAAAAGCCAGGTGAGTCTGAGACATTGACATTGACGTTTTCCCTTGAGAGCTCATCGCATTGTAACCAGAACTCCGGTCACAATTGTATGCTCTATTCACGCCGTATGGTAGAGTGTGAGTGGGTCTTACTGGAAAGTATGGGGGGTCTGTCTTCTAACGTTAACTCAGTATCGACGTCACCGCGAAGAAACACGATGGAGGTCGAGGACAAGCATTCGTCACGTTTGACGATCAAGCTTCAGCGACCTCAGCTATGAGAGGATTGACAGGCGAGAGTTTTTATGGAAAGCCATTGGTGAGTGAGCCCCATGAGCCCATGACCAACCCTCCCCTACCTGTCCTCTTGAAAGGGGAAAAATGTCCGCATACTGATGGAATGTAATCTTTTTCCCAGTCCATAACGTATTCTAAGAAACCTTCCAACGCTACATTGTCACGCTTAGATCCTTCAGCATCTCGTGATGCAGCCGCTATCAAAGCTGCGAAATTAGTAGTCAGTCGAGCGCAAGGCGAATACGAACAATTGGAGAAGGAGAGAGAGGACGAGGAGGCAGGTAGAGGAGGTGGAGGTGGAGGAGCCGGAGCAAAAAGAGATTTGGAAGATGGAGAAGGTGGAGACGCTTCAGGCAGAAACACCAAGAAACCGAAAGTTGAGGAAGATGAAGCGATGGAGATTGAGATGGATGAAGACGAAGATGAAGGAGCAGCTGCAAGCTCGAGTGGTGGCGTAGCGCTGTTATGCTCAAACTTACCGCCAGAGTGTAATGAGATGGTCCTCTCTGCTCTCTTTGGACAGTAAGTCGGGGGGAAGAGTGTGTGCCAGCCCATACTGATAAACCCCCTTTTCTCTCCCAGATATGCCGGATTCACCAAAGCTTCCCCCCTTTCCTCATCCACCTCACTCCCTTCTTCTCACTCAAAACAGAACCCAGGAGCCAAGTCATTCCGCGTGACATTTGGATCAAAAGCAGAAGCAGAAGCCGCATTGCAACCTACAAAAGGCTATCTCATGCAGCCAGGATGGGAGATGAACGTGTCATTGGAGAGCTGAAGGAGGCGATCGGTCTGGAGACGCTGTATCAACATATGCATGTGGGGTCAATGGCACGATATGGTCTCGTCGGTCTTCATATGGGCTCGAAAGTTGAAATCGATGAAATCGATACTTGCGTGTGGCACGGACTCTTGCTGGCTTGGAGACGATACAGGATTGAGTTGATGATCTTTTGAGGGGCACTTCACTTCGATTCGATCTTGGACGCTCTTCGGAATGCTACTTGCTGACTAGCTGACCAATTTACTGAACACGCAAGCCCTGTCCTCCAAACCGAGCCATCATTTCACCCACTCGAGCCAATTGATTCTGGAAGTCTAGGATGTATTGACGGGTTTGTTCTGGCAAAGGGGGGCGTGAGCATCTCTACACATTGTCATTCAGCTGCTAACCATGCTTAGCCTCCTGTTCCTCAATGTCTTTCGCACCTTGTTCAAGCTCGTCTCGAATTCTGGCATTGAGTGCGTGGATTTCAAAGAATACTCTACGGACAGAGAGCTCACTGTGTCTCCATTAGACAGGACGGAAGCACGACGGATGCCCTGCACTCACGCAGCCGCGATACGGCTCTCGCCCCATCCTGGAGACTATGAGCTGATCCTCGCTCTCTCACTGGGTTGTGCTCACGCTGGAGGTATGGCCAGAGCTCGCTCTGGAATTTGTTCCAATCCTCTACGAGCTCAAGCTGAGCGTCAAACTTGGCGACCTGAAGCGGATCATAAGCGTCTGACTCGGGTCAAATGCTGCCAACGGACCGGAGCAGTGGGATCAAAGTCTTTCAACTCATCCTCTACCAAGTCTTCCGATTCCCCCTGGACCAATTGAGCTTGATCTGGTTTCATCGGCTAAGTTGGTCATTCTGCGATACGTAGCTGAACCCGGCTCACGAGCATACTGCTCCTGCTCTTCGCGTTTGTCAGACACGTCGACCTCATCTTCGTATTCTGGTACGAGAGCCGGCTTCAGAGGTGTTGACCGTTTGATGAGCTTGTTTCGCCCTCCAACACTAGAGAGTACGATGTTCCCTTTTAGGTCATCTGGGTGAGAGTATCTGGTGGGTGAGGGTGACGCGTTGGAGACGTTCATGATATTAGAGAGAGCGGCCGATCGTTTCTGCGGCGTGGGACCGCCACCTACGAACGCATAAGAGAGGTCCAGGACGCGCTCATTCGAGATCGCTTACCATTGAGAAGTTTTGAAATTGAGGAAGGTGTTTGAGCTTGATCTTGTGGATATTGTTGAGCTTGATTGGACTGAGGATCCTGAGGCTGTACTTGTGAAGCTTGTTGAACTTGCTGAGCACGCTGCATAGGGTAAGGGGGAGGAGCAGGAGGACCTTCAGTATCGATATCTGCGTTAGGGGGATTGACCCCAATCCATGAAGCGAGCAGGTTTGACATGATGAGTGGGATATCAGGCGCTCGTCAGTGTGAGGTGAGGTGAGGTGAGGTGAGGTGAGGTGAGGTGAGGTGAGGTGAGGTGAGGTGAGGTGAGGTGAGCTACAAGTGTGAGAGAGATGAGGTACAACGTCAACAATGTATCCAGGAGAGATGGTCCGTTTTTATCCGTTTACAGAGTTGAGTCAACTCGTCGAGCAGAGGTCAAAGCGTAAAGCAAGCAATCAACCCTGAAACATTCAAAAAAGGGGAGGGGGGATTCTGTCGCGTGGCCATGGTGATTGTCTATAATGGTCGTATGTGAATGCATGAGATGGGCTATGGATGTCGCTGACGAGCTGGCCATTCGCCTCGATCCGTTCGGCTGGCCTAATCGATGAGGTATTTGCGTTTGAAGAACGATCTCAGGTGTATCAACTACGCAATGTTCATCATGATTAGCGAAATAATGATCACCACGCAGTATAAATCCATCAACTCACCTGCCACACACCCAATGCAATGATGCCAATGAGTATGAGTATGCTAAAGTTTTTGACTCGTTCATTGGTGCTTTCTGTGGAGGAGATGGGTGATGAATCAGTAGCGCTCCACAGCACTAGGTCGGAAACGAAAAACGTTGGAACGTCACTCACCATTCGTATCTCTCATTCTCATTTCTCTTCGTTGCAAGTATCCCATTTCATCTACGATCTCCTTGGTCACTGCCTCTAGCTTTCTCATTTCTACTTCGAGAATCGACAGGGATTCTTGGTTCGCAATGGCACTGCGGGAGGGGTACGAGTCAGCCACTTGGCGATTCACTCATGTTGAATCGAAGGAACACCAAGCGGGACCGGGTAAAGGGCCCGCGGAGTAGATCGACACCCAAGGATGAACCCCCAGCCGAAGCCTTGTAGCCCCCGCCTTCACGTCCTCCCGCACGCAGGTTTTCTGCGAGGCTCCCAAGCCTTCTATTCGTTCCTTGGCTCCCTGCGCACTCACTTGTAATCCACTGCATCGGCTCCAATATCCACATCCAGCTCCACAGTCCTACTTGTTTTTCCACTGGAACTGCCTATGAACAGGGGATCAGTTCTCAACCAGCCTCCAGTCTATTCTCGCACGGCTCACTCACCCTGTACGTAGTTCCTCAGACATACTCCCACATCTGCACTTTCGTGTGTTGTGATCGCCAACCTAGTCTCGCCTTTTATATCCTTTCAAAAAAGGGAGAAGCTTCAGCCCCAACTGCCGGCTTTGCATGAGGTGGCAGGACTCACCCTTTTAGAGAGATACACATTCCCTCTTTCTGACCCATCGAGAATGTCTATATCTATCCTCTGACCCACTTCGAACGGCGCATTCGCAGTGACAATGACGAGGGAGTGGGCAGCTGCAAAATTCCATATACTGTGAAAGATGGGCAATATCAGTACTCTTGAGGAATGCACGTCCTGCACGTCTAGCAGTTTCGATAAAAGGTGACGCACCATCCTGCAAAAGACTGTCAGTCACGAAAGACACATTATTTCTCGGCGCAAGAAACGCTTCATAGACAGACACTCACTAGGTTTCGGATTCCTCTCCGCTTGCAGCTCGAGTTTGACGGCTTGCGCAAACCTGAGGTGTAAAAGGAGGAACACAGATACCACGAGCGGAGAAGGTACCCATGATCTCATCGCGGCTTAGCGAGGGGCTTCCGACGCGACGATGGACAAGGGGTTTATCCCAGGACGAGGAGTTGAGTAGCTGAGAGTGTGTCTACTGTTCAATTCGCGGTTGCTTCCTCGCTGGAGGGACGGCGCCCAATCGAGAAATAGGTGCGTGTTGGTTAAACACTGGGTCACGTGCGCCTATTGCCCTTTGGTTGTAACTCGGCTTCTGCAACAGGATTATCTCTCGACATGAAATATCACTTGCTGTAGACGACAGGCGGCGCGGGTGTAGAGTCAGAGGAGACTGCATGCTCTCATTGAGATCAGCTCGAATACTTGTAACTCCTCTCCGTAGTCCAAGAACTCAATCTTCACCTCTCTTCAACCATTCCCGAGCTCTTCTCCATCAGCGACGACAGCTCGCCAAGATGGCCGCATCTACCGAAGATAGAGCGTCGAGCTCTATGCCTGTATGGATCAAACCGAGTAGAGGGACAGAAGTGCCAGTATTGAAAGTTTACAATTCCTTGACCCGGACCAAGGTGAGCGGACCGAGTGTCTTTACCTAGAATGACCAATCCACCTAACCCTCTCAGGACGAATTCATACCTACGAAAGGCATGTCGGTCGATTGGTACAACTGTGGACCAACAGTGTACGATGCATCTCATATGGGTCACGCGAGGTGAGTTGAACCAAGAATTTTGTGTATTCACTATCAGAAACTACCTCACTCAGGATATCGTTCGGAGAATTCTGAGAGACTACTTTGGATACGACGTAAACTTTGTGATGAACATTACAGATATCGATGACAAGGTGAGTTCGGGTCTTCAACCCAAGCGCTTGGCCATAGGCTTCTACTCGAGCTCATCTAATGGAATCAACTTAGATCATCCTCCGTGCGAGAGAACAATACCTTCTGGATCAAGCCATCGAGTCAAATCCAACTCTTTCCTCCACCCTCTTAGAAGATACTCATACCGCCTTTTCAACCTTTTTCGAATCCAAACTTCTCAAATCTCTCCCCTCTCCCGTTCCTCCTCGATCTCCCAATGACACCACACTGAACCACTTCGCACTGATAGAAGAGCGGAACGCTAATGATGCGGAATTTTCACGTGCTGCCAAGGAGAAGGAAGAGAAATGGAGCATGTACCTGTCGAATCTGAGTAAATCAGCTCAAGCCATCAAGCTGGCAGAGAAGCGTTCGTCCTCTGGCGAGACGGGAGGGGATAGCGTCAGGGATCTGGTGGAGGGCACGTCTGGTGTTTTGGGACCATATTACGGCCAAACGGTGATTCAGCCCACTCATGATGAGAGGTATCAGCTCACATTCCACTAGCTGGCGCATACTGTGTCCGATCCTATTGGGATTTGCCGGAGCCTGACAGCCCATTGGGAAGCAAAATTCTTCCAAGATATGGCTCGACTCCGCGTCTTACCTCCGGACGTTATCACCCGAGTGTCAGAATACATCCCTGAAATCGTATCGTTCGTTCAACGCATAGTCGATAGAGGATTCGCGTACGAAGGGGGAGGCAGTATCTGGTTCGACGTGAACAAATTCGAAGGTGCTTCGGAGGAAGAAGAAGGAAACAGCTTCAAGCATGAATATGCCAAACTTCAACCATCCTCCAAAGGGAACAAGAAACTATTGGACGAAGGTGAAGGGGCATTGACCGCAAGCTCGGGTAAACGCCAAGCGGCAGATTTCGCAATCTGGAAAGCTAAATCTAAACCTGGGGAGCCAGCTTGGGCATCGCCATGGGGAGAAGGAAGACCAGGATGGCATATCGAATGCTCCGTCATGGCGAGCGCCATTTTGGGGAAAGGAATGGATATACATTCTGGAGGTGTGGATCTCATGTTCCCACACCACGATAACGAATTGGCTCAATCAGAGGTGGGCAATTGCCAATTGAAACGATATGCTGATGTCGTCCAAAGGCGTATCACGGCTGTCAGCAATGGGTCAACTACTTTTTACATACGGGACATTTGCATATTGAGGGATTGAAAATGTCGAAGTCCTTGAAGAACTTTATCACCATTGATGTGAGCAGCGTAGCGGTGGAGTATCGGCTGAAGGCTTTTACAGGAAGCATTGGCAAAATTCTCCGCTCGACAGCTTCGTCTAGCATTCATGTTGCAATTGTGGAATGCCAAGATGGATTTCAGAGAAGATTTGCTCAAAGATGTCCGAACAAAGGAGGATCTGTTTGACGTGAGTCTGAAAACTGCGAACACTTGGCCGATGGGTCTTTAGAATTTCTTCTCCAACGTCAAGGCTCGTCTCAATCAAGCTGGACAATCGGGTCCTTCACCAGATGGCAAGCATCACTTTGATGCACCGGAACATGCCTTGATGAACGAGTGAGTGTAATTGTATCACTTTCTCCAGCTGAAGGTGCACCCAGATTCCACTCTGCTCAACAGGCATTCCGAGCCTCACTCTGCGATTCCTTCAACACCCCTCAGGCCATTTCTACCCTTGTGAACCTCGTCGGCGAGGTCAATACCTACATCTCCAAAGCTTCTTATAACGCTCACGTCCTCGAGCCCATAGCAGAATGGGTGACGCGAATGTTGCGCATGTTCGGTCTGGGTGAAGGAGGCGCCACTGGGGGCATCGGATGGGGTAAAGAAGGAGACGAAGCGGGTGGAGCGGATGTGAGTATTGGAATTATCTGAGGGGGAGTACTCTTTGTTTGTTCCTGACGGATCTGCAGTTTGAAAGCCGATTGGACAAGTACCTCAAAGCAATGTCTTCATTCAGGGACGATGTGCGAAAATTGGCCATTTCTGGAGGATCCTCCAAAGACATGTTGGCATTGTGTGATAGGTTCAGGGATGAAGATCTGGTCAATCTCGGTGTTCAGCTCGACGACGGACAAGGCGCGGGTGCGTACAGCACACGATCCATGAGTTGTATTGATCCCGTTCTAGATGGTTCTGCCTTGTACAAGCTTGTGGACCCGGCTGTCCTCCTCCGAGCAAGGGAAGAAAAAGCTGCCATCGCAGCGGACAAAGCTGCGAAGAAAGCTGCCAATGCCGCTGCTGCAGAAGCGAAACGAAAAGAACAATTGGAAAAGGGTAGAGTCGATCCCAAGGACATGTTCAAACCTCCCAATGTTCCTCAGGGGGCGTACACAGAATGGGACGATGCGGGACTACCACTCAAGGACGGAGAAGGGAAAGACGTTGCCAAGTCGCAGTTGAAAAAGTTGGTCAAGGAGCAAAAGGTGCAAGAGAAATTACACGAGGCGTTTCTTGCATGGCAGGCGAGTGGTGAGAGCTGAAAATGAGCGACGCTAGATTGGGCAGGACGTCCGGTCTGGATATCATTTTTATGCGGAGAGATTCTGTTACGGATCTGTAGGCAACACTGTAGACGGATTCGTACGTCATCTAGATCATTTCATCTTGCATGAGACAAGTAGCGGCGCTACGTAGACATAGATTTCAAGTCCCATGGACTCTTGATCGATCTGACCCCGACAACATAGTGCTTGTCTAGTTGGTTGAGCCGTAGTATTGTTGATGAGGAGGGGGAGCTGAGATATTGATCAGCCCGGTCAACTGTCCGAGTTAGCTTGAGGCACTCACGAGCCTGACTTCCGACGGCAGGTCCATTGCCCACGAACTCTCCATTTCCAAGGTACGTGTATCCGTGTCTACCGTACGTTTCTTCCGCCTTGATCCGTCTGCAAGGGTGAGAAAGCGGGGTAAGCGCAGGCCCAATTTGATCATAAACGGCATAGAAAGAGGAAAGGAACTCACTTCCAAATGATGTACAGACCGTGAATATGGCCTGGGATATATCCCAAAAGGGTCAACAGGCTGTTTGAATGAGGTCAGCCAATTCGAGCTCGGCGGTCTGAGCGGTATGTATGCGCAGGTTGACCTGGGGTATGTAGCGCTCGCTGTGCTTTGGGGGTGCCGGGAGGGGGAAGGGTGGGGAAGAATGGACGCGAGAGATTCTACACTTACACATTGATCAGGAGGTCACTAGAGAATCAATCAAGCAAAGTCAGCAATGAGCCCAGAAGGCGCATTCCATGATAAGGACACCCCCAAAGAACTCACCAAGAGCATCCGGTGATGAATGCTACGGCGGCAGGAGGGAAAAGGATACAGACGATGATGAGGAGGATGTCACTTCCTTGAACCATGATTGTCGAGCGCGGGTGCGTTGCTTGCTTGAGTTTGAAAGATTTGCTTAGGAACAAAGATGCTGGAAGATGTTGAGAGTTCACTCCAAAGAGGCGTGGCAAGCGTTTAATGAGGGAGTGGCCAACCCAGCCAACGTTTTTGATTCCGCTCCGGGGTTAAAGGAGTGATGACGTCAAATCAACAAATTGGCAGTGAGTGAGTGAATGAGTGGCCGCTCGTGGCTCGTGGCTCGTGGCTCGTGGCAGTCTTTGATACAACGAATCGAATGTCAAAGAGTATGTCAGGAAAGATTGCACTCACTCGCGCACAGATACTTCAGAGCCATCTGTGTTGAGGCTCTACATGGACCCCATGCATCACATTTCCAGAAGAAGAAAGTCTCTTAGATCATCTAACCCATCCGGTCCCTTTTCTTCGTCACTCTCCTCCTTGGCCATCTTCATCTCTGCTGCTGTACTGCTGCTCTTCGCTCCTCCCAACGCTGTACAGCCCCACTTGACCTCTACACCCTCCACATCATTCCACGAGAAAGGCCCCTTCCCACCCCATATCAATCCCTCTGCATCTTCATTTTCCAGCCCTTCACTCGATACAGCGACGTTGGAGCCGCCAAATAATCGGGACCAGAATGAAGTGGTAGAGGAAGGGACACGGGACATGCCTTCAATCTTGCCACTTTGGGTCCCTCGAGCTGATTTTAACCTGTCCATCTCGCGTGTCAAGATGGTCTTGAGGCGTTCTAGAGCGGTCGTCCGTGTGGATTCGGGAATTACAGGTCGAATGCCTGCCGGTGGTGAGGGTCGAATCAAAAGGTCAGTCTTGTGTGACAGGATCAACAGCTGGATTGGATCGCCGTGAGGTCGTTGAGAGGCCGTAGACGCGAGCAGAGTGAGCAGAGAAGGCAACAGTCTGCGACGCGAGAAGGGAAGATGTTATTAGCAATGGGTTTGTCGAGACTTGAATCATGTCCCACTCACTCTGCCACTTGCGCTGAGTTTCTCACCAGTCCAACGATATCCACGACAAATATTGCGGCAGATACATCCTCTAGGTGTTTCTTGATTTCATCGGCGAGCCTAGGGTGACCAGGAACATCCACGAGCCTGATCTGTCGACAGGCTCCTGATGAACAGAGAGCAAATGTCGTATCGCTGACTTGGATAGAAGTGTGTGTCTGAGGATGTTCACCTTGCACCAGCTAGAGAATGTGTCAGGAAATCAAACACAGCACAAGACTCCTCACATTGACAAACAAGGATGTCTTGCCTCCGTCCTGTGGTCCGACGAGGAGGGCTGTGGGTGTCCCGCGCCGGCCTTTACGAGACTTGGTCCTGGACTGTGATTCTAATTCCAATGAGCTCGATCAAAGCGTATTCAATGATTAGCCTACGAGTGAGGAAGAAGACAAGGTATCCAAGGATTAGTCCGAGAAGTATGGCTTTCCAATGCTGAGAAGCGACTTTTGACAGGAGCTGAACCAATCGTGTATACAGAGAGTCATCGATAGAGCCATGTGGACCGAGACGAGCGGCATCTCTGAGTCTTTCCATCGTGTCGCCCCCTTGAACTCCCTATCTCTGCTGCCCTCGGTTCTCAATCACAATGAGTTATTACAGTCCCAAAGTCCATTTCAAGCAGCATTTCGACGCCCCCCTCCGGTCCGGGAAATTTGATTCCGCGTGCCAGAAGCAACCTGCCCCTCTGACGTACATGTTCGACCTCGTCGGTAGTGATATTAGATACTATCTGTTGAATCGGAATCCCATTGACTCGTCACCTCTCCCATCTCCCTTCCAGAATCCTCCACCATGGCCACCGTCACTGATCCTAAAATTGCCGAGGGTGAGCTGATACTACACTCGCCATGATATCTGTCGTCTGACCCGTTTGATACGTAGCATACGAAAATGTCCGGTCCAATAGTGACGAGACGACATGGATGATCTTAGACTACGAGGTGGGTGTCTCGCATCTTTGTCTCCTATCGGTATCGGTGAGCCATGCTAATGCCCGCTTTTGCAGTCTGATAAATCCGATACCTTGACTCTCACTTCGACTGGAACAGGTAACCTCGAGGAATTCGCATCCAAGCTCGAACCGGGACACGCTTCGTTCGGCTACATCCGTGTAACGTACAAGAATGACGATCATTCGTCTAGAGAAAAGTTCTGCCTTGTCATTTGGATAGGTGAACAAGTCAAAGTCATGAGGAGGGCCAAAGTGTCGGTTCATACGGCAGATGTGAAACGGGTTTTAAAGGCGTATTCTATCGAGGTTTCGGCATCGACCAAGGGGGATCTACAGGAGGTGAGTGACGAGCGAGCAACACGCACCACGCAACACGAGCCAAAGCGAAGTCTTGCGAGGCGCAACCATGTCCATATCCCCCCCCCCCCCCCTTTTCCAAAAAATGACTTTTTGTGGCCGTCATGTCGTGCCCGGACCAACGTCGCTGACCTGTTTGCCAGAAAGACATTGTATCCCGACTCAGAAAAGCAGGTGAGTCGACGGTCATGTTCATTGGGTAGTGAATCCTCTGCTGACCCCCATCGACTACCCAGGAGGAGCAAACTACAACAGAAGTGATTTCGACTGAGGGGTTTTGTGAAAGGGATTCAGATCAATCGCATGCATGGTGTTGAAACCAGAATGATTGTTCTGCTATTTACGCCCCTCGGTGCCTTCTAGATAGCCAGAGTGCCGACCTCGGCCATCCAACATACCATCACTCCTCCTCCTCCTCCTCCTCCTCCTCCTCCTCCCCCTCCTCGGGCAAGTCCAGCTTTGAGCTGTTGTCAACCCAGGACCGAGACGCTGTCTGGGATCTGCAGCATACGTCACACACCAGCCAAATTCCCCGGTTAGCGGTCATTGAAACCCGCTTTAATTCTTATTTACCACTGCAGCAGCAGCTCCTCGGTGATCCCATTTTCACGAGCATGTATATATATATATGTATCATGCCTTCTAGCCCATGACGATCAGCTGCTATCACTCCTGCCTCGCTGCTCACACTCAGCCACCATGTCAAGCAAACACGTGATCATTGTTGGTGGAGGACTCGCAGGACCAGCGTTGGCCATCGCCCTCGCGCGACAATCCATCCGATCCACCATCCTGGAACGTCATGCCTCTGTTCAAGATATAGGTGGAGTGATCATGCTTGCTCCAAACGCAATGTGCGTTATGGACAAGACATTGGGGCTGTCAGATCAGTTGCGCAAGGTCGGGACCTCGTTCGACGCCATCAACATTTGGCTCGAGAGAGGTGGTGGTCTCTCTCACGTGGGAGGATTCTCGACTCTATTCCATGAGCGAAGTAGTATCAGTATTGGACGACCGGTCTTACATCAAACATTGATGGACGAGTGCGAGAAGCTCAAGGATAAGATCAATATCCGCTTCTCGTCTCGTCTCCGATCAATTAATGAAGGGCCCGAAGGCGTTGAAGCGATTCTCGAAGATGGCCACAAGATATCTGGTGAGATCCTCTCAAGACATCCGAGAGGTTGCTGCAGAAGCTGATGCGCTCGGATCCTCCAGGAGACATACTTATCGGTGCCGATGGTATTGGCTCCAAAGTGCGTCAATATGTCCTGGGTGAAACGATCGACCCGACCTACAGTGGGATCTTTATGACCGGTATGATCCTACCCAAATCAGAAATCTCTTTGCCCCCTTCCATGTCCTTACCAGTCTTCTCCTACACGCGACATGGGACCTTCCTGATATTTGACATGGGCGACGGCAACGTTCAATGGGTGACAAGCTTCGAGGCGAAGGAGAGGGACAGGAAAACTGGTTGGGCAGAATACGTTCAATCCGGTCAAGCAGTCAAGGACGTCAAATTAAAGTATGGAGATCTACGTATGGATCCTATCAAGAGTATGGTGGACAAGCTATCGACTGAACACGTCAGGTTCTGGGCCCCTTATCTCATGCCACCACTCGAACGATGGCATACAGATAGAGTCTGTATGATCGGAGATGCCGCACATGCTATCCCTCCGTCCGCGGGTCAAGGCGCGGCTCAAGCCTTTGAGGATATCGGCTTGCTCTCGCGTTTGCTAGGCAAGGCGGTGGCAGAGAACAGTCATCCAGACTTTGGACCCATCTTTGAACGATTCGAGAAACTTCGTCGACCGAGAATAGACCAAGTTCGGACCATGACGGTCAGGGCGGAAGCGACTCGAAGGGAAACATCGAATGGATTGATGTGGTGGTTGAAAGGGACAGGCACAAGAGCAGTCTTTTGGCTGCTCGGGAAGAATGGGTATCTGAGTAATGAGGATTTTCTGGGGTACGATGTGAATGCTTTGCCTTTGTAGCCTATTAGTCGCAGATTGGGGGATGATGTCCCGTTGTTGTTGCCACATCATCATCGTTCTGCCACTCAAAAATTCCGTTAGACTGATCAACGTTTCAGTTGTAACATCACGTATATTCCGACCTCACCACGTACGAACGATGCTGGGGTCGACAATACCCCTGGGGTTCAGAGCCAGCACATCGACGCTGCGGTGTCTGACCACAGGCACGTGTCGCCGCTACGCCTCGAAGTCGGGGCGAAAGACATCACAGCCAAAACCCAATCCAGCGGGTAAAGCTTCGTCGATCCCGTCCGGTCCGAAATCAAACCAGAAACACCCATCTACCAGCTCTGCGTCTCCGTCGAAGGCGCAAAAGTCGTCTCAACAGAGACCTTCGACGTCAACTTCCGGAACTCCTCATCAAGATCATGCGAAGCTGAAGGCGGGCACCGCTACTTCTGCTGCTGCCAAGTTGAAAGTTCAACCTCCGATAAACAAATCTTCTTCTTCTTCGAAACCAGCGCAGAAGTCTCAGCCTGCTAAGGGCACAAGAACTGCTGTACTTGTCAAAGCTGCCACCAACCCACAGGAGAATGATAGGAGATCGTCGGTAATTGGAACGGCGACTGAGAACAATGGATCACCACCTCAGTATGCCTCTCCCCTTCCCCCGCAATCGCAAGAAGAACCATCCAGTGTCAACACACCATCCTCTGCTCCTCCTCCCAAGCTCATCGCTCTGACACCAGCCAAACTGCCCCCGCCAAGCTTGATACGGCCCTCCGGGCACGGCCTCTCAACGAGCAATACTGGACTTGCGCCGTCTCTTCCAACTTTCCCTGCTGGATATCGTGACCCATCTCTCCCTCGAAGGTTTCGACCTTCCACAGAGGACGAATGGGGATGGGAGGAGATTAAGTCGGATGATCCAAACTATATCGTGCAGGAGAGATTTGTGTACTGTCTACCAACCCTTTCATCGGGATATGCGACTTACCAGATCATGGGGGGTTCGGCCTTTGTCTGCTTTACCTGTATAGTTGCATTCATTCTTTACCAAACGGGAGAAGCGTAAGTACCAGTAAAGGGTTCATATCCAAGCACAGAGACGCTGACGACGCCCTTTTGCAGACAACGGTATGCTCAACCTCGAGATCCAGATTCGCTTATGGGAAAACTCATGGCTTTTCCCGTTTGGCTCATGGGCACACCAGTCTTCTTACCCCTCGTCTTTACATTCTTTGCTGGCGGTATCGTGTGGCTATATAAAGGTCATCTCAAGCCCGTCAAGAAGATCATCCAGACTCGAAACAGGCTGAGAAGACTCGCTAAAGATGAGCGAGGCAAACCTTTACCTGGACAAGAGACCGTGACGACTTATCTCGTACTGAGAAACGCTGAAGGTCTACCCAAATGGTTCAGATTCGTCTCGGGAATTCAACCGTTTAGGGAGATCAACGTCAATGACATACAGCTTTCGTGGTACATTAAATCTGGTGAGATGGGGTAGTGATGAGGCTGTAAGACGCTAACACTTACAACCGCTCACAGACCGTCTTGTTCGCATGGACATCACTGGCGAGTCTCGGCGGCCTCTTTCTTTCAATAACAAGATTCTCATTGGATTCCAGAAACCCACTGAACCTCAGCTGAAGGCTGCTGAGAGGGATAATGAACCTGTTATAGTGTCCGTTCAGAGGTTGGAAGCCGTCTTTGGTAGAGTGAGAGGATAGAGTGTCACCCATTGCATGGTTCATCATGATAGAACGTTCTGGGGTGGTGCCACATTTGGACCTCTCTCCATTTTCTTTTCTGCCTTGTCGGGTGGCGGCCGGATCGTCATCGTCAGGCCCCCCTCATATTGATCTGTCCACCTTTCTCTCCCACCTCACATCACACTCCGTACATCGATCTCTAGACGTGTACAGACCATGGCAGAAGCTTCTTCGTCCTCTGACGTGATCAAAATGTGATGCTTTGAAGCTACATGAACACGACCCTTTGCTGATACAGCCCCAATAGCACTGTCAAAGGCCCATCCGAGCTCAAACTATCGATCGAGATTGACCCTTCAAAGACCGTAGCAGAACTCAAAGAGGTCATCGCGGAGAAGAGCGATGTAGAGAAAGATAGGCAGAGGTTGATCTATTCGGGTAAGCCTTGCTGAGGCGCGATAGGAACAACCCAGACTCAACTCTCTTTCTAGGCAAGGTATTGAAGGATGAAGAGCAGATTTCAACCTACAAGATCCAAGTGAGGCGCCCACCTTTTTGAAGCAGACTCGACTGACTGCGTTGTCAGAACGGACATACTCTCCATATGGTCAAAGGAGCCAACAAGACGCAAGCTGCTGCTGCTGGCGGTGTTACTGCGTCTCCGGCTGCAGGAGGATCAACGTCTCAATCTCAGCAGCTCCCTCGAATGGGGACAGGATTGAACGTTGCAGGTAACCCAGTCGATAACATTGAGAATATACCTCATGTGAGCCATTGTGATTTAGCTCTAGATCTCCATTCAGCTGACGTCTGGAACTTAGGGTCTTGGCGGCTTCAACCCTTTCGCCAACATGGCTGGACTGAATAATCTCAATGACCCCAACGCCATGACATCCATGATGCAGAACCCTGATTTCCTCAGAGAAATGAGCAACATGATGTCCAGACCCGAAGTCTTGGACCAAATGATCAACTCAAACCCCCAATTGGCACAGATGGGACCTCAGATAAGAGCAGCCATGCAGTCGCCAATGGTCCAGCAAATTCTTCGTGATCCAGAAGCTCTGAGATCTGTACGTCATTGCTTGACTCAGGACTCACAGGCACTTTCTAACATTTGAATTGCAGATGATGGCTATGCAGGCTCAGATGGGAGGCGGAAATCCAATGGGAGGAGGAGGAGGAGCGTTCGGGAATCCATTCGGAGGAGGACTTGGAGGAAATCCATTCGCCGCTTTGGGAGGTGGTGCCGGTGCCAGAGCGGGGACGGAAGGATCAAATACCGCCGAAGACCCATTTCCGAACCTCTTTGCGGCGGGTCAAGCTGCTCAAACGGGAGCTGGCGGTACAGGAGCCGGGGCACGAGGTGGAGGGGCAGGGGCAGGTGCCGGCGGGAATCCCTTTGGAGCTGTCAACTATGAAGCTCTCACTCGAGCCATGATGGGAGGTGCGGGCGCCGGCGTTGGAGCTGGAGCTGGGGCTGGGGCCGGAACTGGAGCTGCGGCTGGAACAGAGGGCAATGCAATGGGTCAGGCGAACCCTTTCGCCATGTATCAGAACATGTTCGGCGGGATGGGAGCTGGCGGATGGGGAGGCATGGGAGGATTCGGTTCACCACCACCTCCGGCTGATACGAGGCCGCCTGAGGAGATCTACGCGACGCAATTGGGACAATTGAATGGCATGGTGAGGCACGATTTCTCGGAGCCATGTGAGCTAGTGCTAACGCATCAGCACAGGGATTGTGGGATGCGCAGAAGAACATCCGCGCGCTCCGAGCCACCGGGGGCAACGTTGAAGCTGCGATTGAATTGATATTCTCAGGATCATTAGATCAGTGAAGGAGCGCCTGACAAGGCAGACAAAGTTCCATGCCTGGTCTCTTCGTCCTCACATGCATGATTGTACTACATGTCGTTCGAGTAGCCTAGTGCACAGCTTGACCCGCTAATCGATGTTGAGCTTCTGTCGCTGCGCCTCCCCGGGCAGCTTTGACCCAATAAGCACCATTGGGGAATGCAAATTCCTCCATGCTCTTAGGGTACATTTCGATACTGTACCCTTCGTTAGGGTTCAGTGGGACGCTGATCAAAGTCAGTATGGGGTCTAGACACGCACGGTGACTCACTTGTATCGCCCATCCGCGTTGATGGAACATGGGTAAAGGAAATTCTCGTGCAAGTGGCTGTGACTTTTTAGCACCAGGACGCAAAGGACCACTTACTCGACGAATTCAAGGACGTTGCGGTCCATATCTCCAGATACGGCAATGTAGTCGATCAGAGACAGGTGAATCTGTCATGTGTGAGCAACCAGGGGCGGATTATAAGAATTCCTCACTGTGTACTGAGGAGGTGAGGGTCAGCGCAAGTCATCGTTCCCTCAAACGCTAATCAACTCACTTCACACAAACCAACTCCACCTGTAGAGTGTCAAATTTTACCCCGACTTGCAACGGCTCACCTGAATGTGGGCAAACGGGGACACCAAATTTGGCAGCCATTAACAGAATTGTAAGAATCTCGTTGACTCCCGATGTTCGACAACTGTCAATCTGGCACACTTGAAGAAGAGTTTAGACATGGGACACGCGGGAACGGATTCACCATCAATAGCGTCGAGCTGCAATAGCTGCTTAAAGTTCATCTGGCCTGTCGTCAGTGGGAGTTCCATTGAGAGGTGTGTTTGTCCTTAGCTCACTCGGTTATGACTGTGCTCTCCGGTCGCCACGCCGATCCCATAAGGTTTGAGCGCTTTTCGGATCGCGGCGTGTCCTACACAGTCGTCCGGCGCTGTGGGTTCTTCAATGAACCAAGGCTTGATAGGTTCCAGCTTCTTCATGTACTCGATAGCCTGAGGGACATCCCAGACCTCTACGAGAACGATTGAATTAGCAGGGCGGCGATCCGAGAAGATTTGGGTGCTGGTAACGCACGATTCGCATCGACCATCAAGACACATCCCGTTGCCGAGGCGTTCTTTCCGGCAATTGTCTTGGGATCAATGACCTTGTCTTTGGGTCGGTTGGCCGGGTCATCGATCAATGATCGGATAAGGAGACCTCGTCGAAGATCGTCCTCGGGATCAGCACCGACCTTGAGCTGAACGCCCGAGTCAGAAAACAGTTTTGCCGAGGTTTTTGACAGAGCAGCTCACTCACCTTGAAGTGGTTGAACCCTTCAGCCAAACCTTCCAGTACCAATCGTTTGACTTTTTCGTCACTGTATCCTACAAAGTCAGCCCAAGCAACGAGCTCTTCCTCACCGAGCCATCCAGCGGAAGTTGTGTAAGCTGATGGATGACTTTTTCAGCGCTACGTATCATTCACTCGGGAATCGATCAGACACACCAGGATATCCCCTCTTGATGACCTCTTCCTCCCTAGCCTTCTTTCCGGACTCTTTCGCTCTGAGCAACTCCAAAGCCTCTTCTTTAGTAATGGCGTCCGAGATGTATTTCCAAGCACAACACTTGACAAATCTAATTCAAGCCGTCGTCAACAGAGTCCCCCCTCTTCACCATCATCAGGCTTTCTAAGACCCACTCTTCAGGTGTAAAGTCACAGATCAACTTCCACAATGGCTTTTTCCTCGACTTTGCCATCATATCCCAAATGGCATTACTGACAGCAGCAGTGGCGAGTGCAATAACTCCCTTCTCAGGGCCAAGCCATCGGTGTTGAGGGTCCATCGTCACTGTATCAAAGCTCAGTACAGGATCTGACTATATCTCCAAAGACACAACTCACGGAATTCGAAGAACGCGCCCATATCGCCAAAAATGGTCTCTACATCCATCCCGACTATGCGCTTTGCGACTTGCTCAATGGCGAAACAGCACTTTTGAAAGAGGTGAGCGCTACCTCGTGAGCGATCACCTACGATTTCATTTCCTCTACCAATGGCTGGATGTTCAGTGCGGGGTTGTCAGAGCCAAGCTCACTGAATGTCATTCCTTGACCTTGGAGCTCTCCAGACGTCTTAATGACGATATAGGCTGCACTGTAGTCGCATTCCTGAATGAAGGTGTGAGCGGTATCCCGTATGAACATTCTCCTACCTTGTTCATGGCATCCGTTCCATCTCCAGTGACGTTCTGGAGAATCAGCAAAAGAGATACATGATTGCAAGGAAGAGCTCACGGTGGGGAAACGGATATCTGGAAAGTCAGCACAAACATGCTTGGTGCAGCTCGATCTCACCATGGACGCTGAAGCTTGTAATCTTCATTCCAGACATGATGCAAAATGTCTTCTGTGTGGTAATGTAATAGGCAACGATATCTATCCAGCAGTATACATAACAAGCACCATATATTCATTCCCCCCAGCCAACCGACTTTCTCTCAGCCGGCCCGATATCCGTCAACGGCCCGGGAACGGTAAAGTGGGATTTTATCGGATAAATGGTATACATGCAACAACACCATAGTGGATGGATGGTCTCAGAAGTTATCAGGAGGAGGACCAAATATACGAACATTGCCCTGTGGAAGGGAGTTCGGTCAGCTTGATATGCGCTGACAAGCTGTCACCCACCTTGGACGTGAGAATAGCATGACGACTCGTAGCTTTTATGCCCATCTTCTCACACGCCTCAATCTCTGCCTTGCACAAACCCAGCTCGTCCCTAGGTAACCACAATACTCGCATCTTCTCTTTTGTTGCGGGATGGAAAAAGGCATACGGATCATTCGGATCAGTCTCTTGACCATTTCTAATGCCAGGTCCACCAGGTTGCACGAGGTATCCAGCCGGCTGATCTTCCTCAAGTTCGGGGTCTGGCGTTTGACCTACATTGCCCATTTCGATGGCCCCGCCGTCAAGGCCATCATACCCCTCGTGCAGGGCGTGTGTGGAGCCGACGGGAGGTCCGGCAGATGTGGGATACCCAGGAGTACGCTGCATCGTCGGAGACAAGGTACCTTGTGAGGACGACGGTGGTCTGTTATTAGAGGTGCCATTTACCGGGGACATGGCTTCCGGGGAAGAAGTGACATAGCCCCTCGGAGCCTTCTTCTCCAAGTCGTCTCGAAACTTCTCTAGAGCCCCTTGTCGTCGAGGGACAATCTTCTGAATCACTCTGGCATCTTCTGCAGGTCGTTGCAAGGCTTTCTCCACGGCGATCCTGTGGGCCTCGTCGTCCGATTCCTCTCCAATCATACTCTCCCCACGGTCACGCTGCGTCCGAGGCATACCATAAGACAAGTGTGCGAGACTCAGCGGCAGTGAATGACGGAGCGGTTTGTATGATGCCATCAGGACGTAATGTATGCCCGCCTTAGAGCTCAGTCCTGGGCGATGGTACATGACTCACGGTAGCAACAATCACAACGATCATGATGATGGCTTGAGGCAAGGCGGCCACGTTCCCCTTCTCGTTTCGTGAGAGGAAGAAGAGAGCGCAGAGGCAGACTTCTTGAATGTAGATGCCGACGAAGACGTGATTGATAGCTTTTGGGAAGAATAAGCCCCCAGTATCGCTTGATTCGGGTTGATCTACGACCCAGATGTACAAGTACTTGTAGACGACGGCAGCGACCGCAAAATAGGCGGCAGCGAAGCCGTTGCTATTGCCGTTCAGCCGAGCTTTATGGATCAGACTTACACGATGGGACTGATGACACAGTACGCCAGCACTATCATCAGGGCGAGAACGGCCGAGGGGACTCACTGATGACGGCGTAAACTGTGACTCCCGGGAAATCGGTTCCCCAAGATGGAGTTTGAAGAGTGTATCTGGTGCTGAAGACTGATCGTGGTGATCCTCCGAGCAGAATGACCTTGATGTAGTAGAATGCCAAAGAAACGACTTGTAATAAAGTTCCGGCCAATCCTGTGAGCTGTGTCAAGATCAAGGTGAGGAAGAACGTCGAGGCTGTCGGCAGCTGTTTGGCCAAGATGTTGGCGACGGATCCCGGATTGTTGAGAATGGGCAAGACGGAAGCAACGAGTCCGGATGCCAAAGTGACGATGAAAAAGGTGTTGATGACGAGGAACACAAAGTACCGGTTCATCACATCTAGTTCCACCTCGGTCTTGCTCGGCTTGCCCTCAAAAGCGGCCAACTGACGCAAGATGGCCGGTAGGAGCAGCATGAGAAGGGCGAGCAGTACTGGCGGTATGATACCACTGATGACACCTTGGAGCAAGCGTTTGCCAAAAGATTTGCCTTGGATCCATGCGAGCCAGTGGAAAGTCTTGGTAAGAGTGGAAACGCTGGACAAGATACCGATGAAGGCGACTGTTGTCAGCTCAGGAATGATTTGGCGCATTCACCTGGGAATGACCATCCGATGATCAAGCCTCCGGTCAAAGCATATGAAATAGCTTGGCGGACTTTTGCCTCATAAGGGTCGAGCCCGAGCGATCGCCAAATTACGTTTTCAGGGGCTTGTTCAATGTAGCGATTTGCCATTGCGTAGCTGCAGGTCAGGACGGTTACCTAATACGACTCACGGCATATTATGGGAGAGAGCTTCAGTAGCCATGTGGGCAGCGATCTAGAATGAGCTGGTGGCCTGCGTTTATCGCTCACTTGCTGGTTGAAACGGATGAAAGCACTACTGCGAGGTGGGAAAAAGTCTCCTTCAGAACCCTCTTTGCGGATATCGTCTTGGAGCTTTTCGCGACACTTCTGAAGAGCCGGTTCGACCTCGAGGATCTCCTTTCGAGCCCATTCGATCGTGTCGACCTTTTCGCCTATCCCCAAAAAGCCCAGACCGAATGGCGCCCATTTTGGCTTGAGGCGCATCGTGGGTCGCTGAGATCGAGGGACCAGCTGATCGGCCAAGGAAAGCTGTTCTACCTTGTCGATAAGATCGGGATTCGCTGGACCCGTGAGAGAATCAGGGATAGGTTTACCCTTTGCCTGAAGCTTTACGATCTTTGCTTGGTTCTGAGCTCGACGCTTTCGAGCAGCTTTGATGAGGCTGACTTCTGCGGATTCGAGTTTCTGAGCAGCCTTTGTCCGTCTATCCCAGAGATCCGGCATGTCCTTGAGGTTTCGATTGAGCCAGATCGATTTGACTCCTCCAGGAAGGGGTGAATACAAGTCTTGTAGTTTCTGCTCGTCCATATAGCTGTTTGGGATGCCCGTGACCAGGACTTGAGCGTCAGTTTGCAGTCTACTTGTTTTACCTCACTTGTGCTAGCTTGGGGCAGTCTCGAATGCGCGGGGCTGATGAGGTATTTCTGTCTTACGACTAGCCAATGATGCATCTCTCCGACGATAAGATAGATGATCCAGCCTGAGAGTGTCAGCTTGTGCGAGAGTCTGACCGCCTCACCAATGAACACGATATCGAGGATCAAATGTGCCCATAATCGGTTCTGATCCTTGTTCGAGATGTTTCCAAAGGTGAACCTGTCCACGCCTGTCTTTCCTGATCCCGTATTAACGCTATCAATTGGCATGAGAACCACCCAGCTCAAAAGCCAGATAGGCACCATGGCCTTGCACATCATGATGAGGAATCGAACAAAGACATAGGGATCGACACCATTCTTGTTGAGTATCTCCTCAGGGTCGGCTGAAAGCGTCAACACAATGCTGCAGCAGAGTCTTGGCCTCACCAAATATGATCTTCCATACAGGCCACAACAGGTTGGAGGAAAGGACTTGAGCTTGTTCCGCTTTGGGCGGCACGTATGTCCTCGGTTCGTAGATCGCTTTGATCCATCGTCGGAGGAGGATAAACGCTACGATTTCTCCACCTGCGATGGCTGAGTTGACTGCGAGAGACGTGACGAAAGAGCTCGTCGAAGCAGACAGAGCTTGGGCGTTGGCATTTCTAAGCAGAATCAGTGATGCGCTGATAGTCCAAACTCACTCCGCCATGGCTGAAGCGTTCGCTGTGAGATTGACTAGCTACCAAGCGAGGAAGTAGAAGTGGAATACAGCAGCGGTTGTGACCGACCTATACGGTCATGGGCGAGCAGCAAAGCGAATAGTCTAGCATTTGCTGCTCGCTGCTCGACGCAACAGGAATAGTGATCACTGTAACAGCCGCAGCCGTTTGGACAATGCGGAATGACTTTCAAAAAACAACAAAAGCTGCAAATCAATCACAGTTACGTCACCAGACTCAAACCCCGCGTCGCTCAAAGATGAACGAGTGAGGGTCCTTGCCTTCGACAATGCCAACGCATCCTCCCATGATGGACCTCATAATTGACACTTCCACAGGCTCACAGCGTATGCAATGGATTCCAGGTACGAATGGCTATGCGTACTGATCAATATTTCTCCTCGTGGAGCCTCCGAGCTCCGCAAGGTCGTCCGTCCTACTCTACCTCCTCTTTCTTTCTCTGTTCCTTCCTCGACTACTGCCTCGCCGCTCCGTGCCCTGAGGGTAGTCTTGGACTGCAGATATCTACACAGGAGATGGTAGGAGCATTCTTCTCGGGTCCTCGATATACTCTTTGACGCGGACTATGAAGGGAATATCAGGATTGGACGGCTCATGTACCTCTTCATCGACTCACCCAAGAATGTAGTCGCTTCTCTACCATCCAGTAGCCTGTGGTCGTATGTCAAACACACGTACATCATGGGCTGGTGAGAAGAGACGTTAGTATGGACTACCGACAAAGAGGAGGGCCCACCCTGATCTCAATTTTGCCATTCACAACCACAGGCCGTTCTTTGATGGTGTGCATTCCGAGGACTGCAGCTTGTGGCAAGTTGATGCTGGAAGGGAGTCAGTTACAGACCAGCCTCCAGATGTGCACTCACATCGGTGTACCAAATAAGGATCCAAAGACTCCACCATTGGAGATTGTGAAGGATCCGCCAGACATGTCCTCAATACCCAGAGCCCCATCACGAGCCTGAGAGACGGGTCAACAAAAAGTCAAGGAAACCAAGTGCGCCCAGCCTCACTCACCCTTTTACCCAGCTCTGCGATTGCCTTTTCCAAATCTATCAAACCCATCTCCTCGGCATTCCTGACGACTGGCGTGACGAGACCTTTTGGAGTAGCGACAGCGACACTGATGTCCACATAGTCCCTGTAAACGATAGAGTCGCCCTCAATACTGGCGTTGGCGACTGGGATCTCTTTCAAAGCAAGACAAGACGCTCGAGCGAAAGCAGACATGAATCCAAGTTTTACACCGTCCGCCTTGAGGATTCCATCCTTGTACAATTTCCGGAACTCCATAATGGAAGACATGTCAATCTCGTTAAAGGTGGTGAGGGAAGCAGCGGCGTTTTGAGAGGCCTTGAGTCGTTGAGCGATAGTCTGACGCATTCTGGACATTTTGACCTAGGATGGCGCATGAGCACCCGGATTGCTGGCATTTTTTTTGGTTGTGACCTACCCTAGTCTCTCCTCTCGTTCCCGCAGTCTTTGGTGCCTTGTCCTCCTTCTTCGCAGGTGCCTTTTCCTGCTTCGGTGGGGCAGGTTTCTCCTCTTTGACTTTCTCTTGAGCTGGCTTCTCCTCCTTCTTTGGCTGATCTGGTTTGCTCTCCTTGACTTCGCCTGCACCCTTCTCCTTGTTCGCAGCTGGGGCAGCATCGTCCTTGTTTCCTTCCTCCGGGTTCTTCGGTTCCGATCGAGCGCCTCCCTCTGGAGCAGCTTTTGGTTCACTATCTCCCGAATCCTCACCGGGCTCAATCTTGAATAAATCTTGTCCTACTGTCACGGTGGAGTCCTCTTCCACGAGCAGCTCAGTGATTTTCCCAGATTTCGGGGCGTTGACCGAGACGTCGATCTGAGGAAGAGAGGTAAGCGATACTGTTGGCCATTCTACACCCACCTTATCAGTCTCAATAGTCGCAATCTCCTCGTCTTGCTTGACAAAGTCGCCCACTGCCTTGCTCCATTGTTTCAAAGTTCCCTCTGTTATAGATTCTGCCATCTGAGGAACCTTGACAACCTCGTCTTGGTTTGGATGAGCTTGAGCTTCCCATCAAAAGACGGAACTCACCAAGGAAAATGGCTGATGAGTGAAATGAAGCCCGGAACAGAGGTCTAGGGATGAGCGCAAGAAGAGCGTGAGAGCTTGGATATACGTCAGATGAGAAGAGGGATTCATAGCATTCCGACTCACAGAGGCGCCTGAGAGCTTCTACAGATTCCCCTGGTTGCCGTCCGTCGGATGGCAGAGGACGATGCCATTCTCAAAGCTGTCCTCGTGGGTGATCGCAGCATGATGAAGGAGAAGTGGGAGGGGGGTTCGAGCGGTGCAAACGTCGAGCGAGCAATGGATGGAAGAGCTTAGCTGTAATGTGGATGAGCAGCAAGAGAAAGAGAGAGGAGGAAGGGGGGGGGCCGGTTGGAAAATCGCGGAGTTCGCATTTGAATTCCGTGTCTTCGGCTTAATATTCCGCCTATTGCCGATCACAAATACAACTGATACGATGTATATACTCTACTCTACTCCCACTCGCCGGTCTGCATGAGTTGAGCAAACACTCCGCCTCGTCTGAGCAGCTGCTCAAAAGGTCCTTCCTCGACTACTCTACCGCCAACAAGACAGATCACTCGGTCACATCGTTTCATAGCTTCAAGTGAATGAGTGATGAAAATGGTGGTCCTGGTCTGTCCCCTACATCAGCAGTGTCCATACTTTTGGTGGGTCTCGCTCACCTCTTTGACTCTGCCTATCGTATCCAATATTGCCCTCTCGTTCTCACCATCCAATGCACTCGTACATTCATCCAAGATCAATATTCTTGATCTCCTGACTAAAGCTCGAGCGATCTGTAACCTCTGAGCTTGACCGCCAGAGATCAATGAAGCGTTCTCTCCGAGATTCGTATCGTATCCTCCCGGAAGACCTTGTATGAAATCGTGGATATTGGCTGCTCTCGCCGCTCGTTGAATCTCTCCTATGGGCACATTGGATCCATAAGCGATATTTTCAGCGACAGTCGCGTCAAACAGATTGGCCGTCTGAGATACGATCGCAATGTGGTTCCTGAGCCATTTGACATCTGCTTGAGCCAGATCATACTTGTCCAGATGAATCGTGCCGGAACTGGGCTCGTACAGCTTTTGGAGAAGCGCCGCAATGGTCGATTTGCCACACCCCGAAGGCCCGACGATGGCCACTGCCTCACCAGGATGCAGACTGAGAGAGAGGTCGGAGAGAATGGGAACGTCAGGTCGGGTCGGATAGGCAAAAGAGACGTGGGAGAAGGTAGCTTGGCCAGGGATTGGAAAGCGAAGTGAACCTGCACATTCTGAAGTCGTCGTTGAGAGATAATAGAGTCGATTGAAGTCTGTCGCGGCAGCACGACCTTTGGCCATGGCGGGGACTAGCAGTCAGCAACGAAGGTCTCAAGCCTCTCACTGAAATCTAACATCGCGGTTCCCATGGTCAAGGAGAAGAGGATTAGATTGTAGACTTGGAGCATCTGGGCATAATTGATATACCCTTGCAGGATGAAGACACTCCCCGCCCAGTTCATCAAGGCTGTCATGAGCGGTGTTCGGTGGGACATTCTCACCTTGAGCAAAGAATGGCATTCCAGCGACAAAGCCGATACCAATAGCCACAGCCCAGCCTGTACGTTTCCCGGTCGACAACGCGGACGACGCATCCGCCTCGAAACGAGCATTGAACGTCTTCTCCAAGGCCATCGCACGAATTCCGCGAAGGTTCGCCACGCACTGGATGTCAGCCATTGCAACGCACCATGGACGAACCTCGTAAAATGTCCTTGCAACTGCCTCGCGTTTGGCCTTGTTCCGAACTTCAGCCTTGCCAATGAGGGAATTATTGAACGTCATGATCGATGCAAAGACGGGTGCGAGTCCGACGCCAATCAAAGTCAATCGCCAATCGACGATCATTGCCCAGATGATACCCATTCCAACCATGATGACGAACACTGTCATTTTGCCAATCACAGAAGCGATCAGCGCTCGCATGTCATCGGAATCCTTGATGATGGATTGCACGAGGCGCACGGGCGAATGATCCGTTTGGTCGAACCATGCTTTATCCTGCGCCAAAACTTTGCCGTACGCTTCGGAGCGGATCTTGTTGACCCACATCGCCGCGAGAGAGTACAGAAAGTACTGTTGTAGCCAGTCTGCGAAGGCTTGAGCTGCACAAATAGCAAGGACGATGAGTCCGAACTTGGTCAAGGCCGGGTCCGTTCCACCAGATCCGACGATGGTCATGAGTTTCGATAGGAAGAACGACCAAATCGGTGTGGCGACACCGTGAAGAATGGCGCCAAAGAGGCCAAAGAAGAGGTTCTGTTTGCGAGGAAGGGTCGGAAAGTAGGAGACGAGGAGAGCGAAAAGCCCAGGCGGGCGCGTTGGTTTGACAGGAGTGACCTCCTCCAGTGTTTCTCCCTTGTCATCTGTAGATACGTGCAGCTGGATAGGCTCCTTCTCCACGAGCTGAGAATACCTCTGGCCAGGCGATCGTCCATGCTCGCTGCGATTCGACGTGAAAGACATTTGACTTGCTGGGCGGGGAACGACCAAGCTGTTCCGCGATGCCCTAGAGACGAGACTGCTTCTCCTTACCAAGCTTGTCCGATGAGATGCCTTTGGATCCTCCCAGCTCAGCCGACTCAGGCGCTTAGAATCGGTCTTGGCATACTGCTCCAGAACATCGAAATAGGCCATGCTTTCTCGCCCAGGGAGTCCGAAGGATGGAGTATGAGGTCGAAAGGGTACCTCGTAGGCGTCATATGCATCTTCAAGAACCTCTTCAGGGTCCCAATCTTCCATTTTCTCTGCCAAAGGCTCCAAGGCCTGTTCAGCAGCCATAGCTGCGAAGATGCCCGTCACCGCTCCGTTCAGTGGTGTCTTCTTGACCAGATCAGATCGAAAGCCTTGTTCGGCGACCACTCCATGCCGCATCACGTAGACAAAGTCGTCCGGCACAATCTGGGACAAGTCGTGAGTGATGACTATGGTCGTCTGGTTCTTCCGCCATGTTTTTATGTTCTCAAAGACGAGCACACGAGAAGTCGCATCGAGTGCCGAGGTCGCTTCGTCGAGAATCAGCACGGTAGGGTTTCTGATTCTCGCTCTGGCAATGGCCAGACGTTGTCGTTGACCCCCGCTCAAGGCGGAACCGCCCGTGCCGAGATTTGTTTCGTAACCCTCCGGTAGGCCTTCGATAAACTCATGGATCAGGGCCATCTTGCAAGCTTCTATAACTTGTGCTCGCGTGGCGCCGGAAGGTGAGCCAATGGCCACATTATCATGAACCGACATATCAAATAGGATGCAGCCCTGCTGCACTGCTCCAATATGTTGTCGTGTCAATTCAGGTGAAAGTGTACGATTGTCCATGGTTATGAGACCTCCGTTGGGATCGTATAAGCCAAGGAGGAGTTGGGCGATCGTGGATTTGCCGGACCCAGAACCGCCGACGATGAATGTTGTTTCTCCCGGTGGGAGGAAAAGGGTGACATTTTTCAGAATCACAACCTCAGGACGAGAAGGATAGGCAAACGTGACGGATGAAAGGGTGAAATCGCCTCGGACGCGAGAGCCGGGCGAAGAGGGTGGAGCCTGGGATGTGCCGGGGTCTGAGAAAATGTCTGTCTTCGCCTGAGCACTTGACGATGTGAGATCATGTTCAACGAAGGGATTCGAGATGATCGCTGGCTTCGCCGCCACGCTCGTAATCACCGTCCTCAAGGATGCCATCGAGTTCTTGCCTTTTGTGACGACAGTCAACTGCGGGACAACCATTTGTAGGAATGTTGCCGATAACAAGCAAGCCCAAAAGACAGTCATGACGGTCCCCGCGGATGTCCCATCTCGTACGACCTTTGCGCCGTACCAAAATCCAACGACAAAGGTGCCAAGCAGGAAGAATTCAGTAGTCGAGATGGACAAGGCCCAAACAGCCGACTGACGGATCAATGATGCTCTTGCGCCATCTGCGACCCGAGTGAATCGCTCAAGCTCCGAGCCTTGGGCATTGTGTGCTTTGACAGTGGCGATAGCTGACGTCGCGCGGTCTACATTCGTCGAAGCCTCTGCATTACTCCGCCTTTCGAGTGCGTAGAGAGGTTGACAGACGATTTGGGTGATGAATTGTATGATAACGATGACGGGGATGGTGGAGAGGGTAACGAGAGCGAGGACTGGCTGAGTGGCGAGTGCAAGGATGAAGCAGGCGATGAAGGTCGAAAGGTTTTGGACCACGAGGCCAAGGGCGATGGATGAACCAAGTCGGACCTCGTCGGTCTCTCTGTAAACGTCAGGGATGCAGAGATCATCAGCACCTGCCTTGTGAATTTGGCCATGAGACCACCCGCACCGATAGACTCTCCGGGCATACCCATGCCGAGGTCGAACCACTCAATTGGCTTGTCTCGAACCGAGGCATAGACGGCATGTCGTAAACGATGCGTGACGTTCTCACCATGCCTGGCCCACAGAACTCCCTTGACGTAGTTGAGAGCGACCGCTGCGGCACCAGCGATGGCGAGTTTCACAGTGGTCAGTTTGACGTCATGTCTCAAAGCCTCGCGCTGAGCTTCGCTGGCGTTATTGTCTAAGGGATAATTGACAAAAGCCTCAAAGGCGTCCCCAACTATGACGGACATGTAAGGTTGAACGAGAGCAGCTGTCATCGATACCAGGACAGCTGGTACCAGATACAAGAAATGATCTCGGGGAGTGTGGAGAGAGAAGAGGCCGCGAAAAGTCGGTGTAAGTGGTGGACTTTGCGGAGCGAGGGGAGGTTGTAAAGGGGTTGGAGGTGGCATGGCGTCTTCACCAGATGGATCAGTCCTTAGATAGGGTTCATGATCTATAGCGTAGCGATCATCGAATGGAGATTGTCTTCCGGGTCGAGAGATGGCATGGAGCTCCACCGAATCTTGGAGACGATAAGAAGAAGGCGGGGCAGAGAGATTCTGACCTCGACCGTATGTCGATGTGCCTGAGGAATAGCCTTGTCGAGGTGTTCGCGGATTACTCGAGCTTGTCGAGGATGGGAGTTGAGTATTGCGAGCGATGGACGAAGGACTTCGACGAGGTGTAGAAGGTCCAGAGCGATGATTTGTCAGGTCGACTCGGGTACGAGAAGAGGAAAAATCTTGCAAGCTCATGTTGAGGGATCCGATTCTAGGTTGGCAGGCCAGGTTCGAAAGGATGGGTAGATGTGCTCGTTCAACGAGTCCTCTTGGAATCTAAGGTGACTGCAATGTAAGATGGATTGAACGGAGTCATCAGAAAAGACAGCACGTAGTCAAGACATGACCAACGAGTCCCCGCCGACACATATTTGCATGCTGCTTGCACTCCCTCACAGGCATTCGGGCAGAAAGTTTTGCAATCCCTCCCCGATGGATCTTATTGTTCTAGCCTCCCGGAAATTTCGCCATGCATGACGTTGGGCATGAGCGGCGGAGGTGGTCAAGCATGAGGAGAGCGGGAGATACACCAGGCATCGCTGCAGAAGAACAAAGAGGAGGGACAAAGAGCAAAGCACAAAGATCCACTAAGAGAACAATAAAGGGAATGACCCCGATGCAAAGAAGTAGAGATCACGTGGTGTGGAAAAAGACGGAGTTGAGTCTGTACTCCGCGTGTCTCCGTCTCGGAGAGACGCGTCTTCAACATTGATTTTCTCGTCGAGATTTCCGGGTTTCGAACACTCAGCTGAACACATAATGTTCATTGCCATCGCAGGCACACCATCGTCGGGCAAACGTACTTTGCTGGAATACCTAGTGAATAGGTATGGATTCACTCAAGTCGGACTGGACAAGAAAGGAGAAGTTGGTCCCACCGACTCAGACTCATCAGCTCATCTTGAAGTACCGCTGAGCAGTCTAAGTGTGTCTACAAGTTCAACCCCGGCAGTCGTATGTTTACCGTCCTCTGAACTCGAGCTCACTTCTTAAGACAACCATTGCCACTCTTCCTAATCCGCCTCTGCTCCCTTCTACTGCGACCCTGTTGGACTACACAACTCGGAATTGGCTCTCACACCACGTAACTCTCGATCTCACATCTTATGAAACCATTGAGCCGTTCGTCAAGCGACCATTCTTCCTCCTTGTCTTTCTGGATGGGCCATTGAGAGCGCGATATGAGCGAGAGCGACATAGGTCAGCATATCATTGCGAGCTCACAGCTGATCATCATAGACGGAAAGACATTACGCTGGATGAATTTTGTGCAGAGCACGACGTTCTCTTAAATGCCCCTGAAGCAGACTTTCGCCGAGTGGTCAAAGCGGCGACACTGAGTATATGCAACAACGCGCCTACAATAGCAGAGTTCTACAAGCACTTGGATCAGATGGATTTATTGAATGAAGAGCGGTTGAGACCCGGATGGGACAACTACTTCATGGTGAGTGAGCGAGCGAGCTTGCGGAGAAAAGAGTGCGAGCAGGATACACTCCGTCCGAGTGAATCGGGCAACCGGCTTGTACCACATCTCTCGAATTAATTGACCGCTGACATTCGTCCTCCTCTTCTTCCTTCCTCGCCCTCTCGCAGACCCTCGCCTCTCTCGCCTCGCACAGGTCTAACTGTATGAAACGTCGTGTCGGCGCCCTGCTTGTCCGTTCCAAGCGCATCCTGTCCACAGGCTACAATGGCACTCCGCGCGGGACTCGAAATTGTAACCAAGGTGGTTGCAGACGCTGCAATGGGTCCGCACGAGGCGGCGAGGCGTGTAAGCTCGAACGTCTCGAGTACCAGCTGACCAAGATAGTGGACGAGTGCCTCTGCCTACACGCTGAAGAGAATGCCCTGCTCGAAGCAGGTCGTGAGCGTATAGGAGAAGACTCGGTCCTTTACTGCAACACCTGTCCTTGTCTGAGATGTTCAGTCAAGATTGTCCAGACGGGCGTCAGAGAAGTCGTGTACAATCAATCGTATAGTATGGACGCAGCATCCGCCATGGTCTTGCGTGAAGGCGGTGTCACATTACGACAGCTTCTGATATGATGCATTCATCAAATTATATGTTGTTCAGCAACGACGGGGCATCCGTCTTGCCGAGGTATGACCACATCCCTTGTCCTGCTAGAACACACCACAGCGCATCTCCATCTCGCTCGCCTAAGCATTTGTATACTTCCATCGCTTTGTCTTGGATCCCTTGGGGTGCACATCGATCAAGCAAAGGTCGGAAGAGCACCATCATCTCCCACAAGAGCGAATCGTTGACAGGGACCTCTTCCACAATCCATTTGGCGGTGTTGAGAATCGCGATGTGTAGTCGGAACGAGACTGTCCACTCGCTCCCGATCATTGCAGAGAAATGATCAGCCTTTTGCTGAACCTCCAAAATCTTCTTCATCTTTGGCCACGCTTGATCCAGAACTCGACGACCCATGAAATCGCCGCAGTGTTGGCATAAAGCAGCGACAAGCTGGGCAGCCTCAGTGACCACGTACGGGAGATCCTCGAGGCGATTCAGGATGATAGTCCACGAGCGATCTATGAGAGGTAAGAGATCGCCCTCTCGATTACCCATCGCCAGGACAGGCACAGCGCGGGTGATTAAAGCGAGGACGCGGGCTCGGAGAAAGGGTGAATGGTGTGAGACAAAATGAAGGGATTTGTCAACAATCTGAGCGCAGACCTCCTGTCCGCGAGTTGGAGGGATCTCTTCAGGCGCTTGAGGTTCTGCTGTCGTCTGCGCCTCTGTCTGAGATCCAGCAGCGACGTTCTCCGCCAATATGTCCAATTCTTCCTGGATGAGCCTTTTTCGCATCTGGAACCATTCTTCAAATCGATCAAAGTCTCTCTGTGGATCCGGCGGCTTCTCCACTCTTCTCATCTCTGCGAGTTTCTTCGCTCTCGCCTCGCTCACGCCATCTGCCTCATTCTCATCCGCCATGACTTCGATCAAAGCGACTAACACAGCTAATAAGCCCGAAGTCAATGTCTCGTATCCGTGGAAATCGTCCAGTGCGTCAAATATTTCGTCAACAATATCATGGACCATGGGGACGATTTCGGCACCGACCAAACGAACCATGGCAATCAGGACCAAGGGAGCGGTGGATGATAATCTCGCATGAGTGAGTCGTTGCGAGACCGCGTGGATAACATAATCGCTATTATCAAGGATCATGACCTGCACGCTGGGGTAGTCCGTATTTCTGGCAACCCGGTGAATCGCATCGTTCGCAGACTCCTGCACGATCGCCTGCGGTGAGGCTAGATGCTCGAGTAAGTGGTAAAGGGCGTGAAGTAGTAGCGGACGGAATAGACTGCCGAGAAGCTGCGAGCTGAGGGCGAGGGAGGAGACCGAAAGTGCTGAAAGAAGACTCCGCTGGGCGAGAAGATTCGGCTGAGGATTCTCTTTGGGAGTCGCTATGGGTCGAGAAAGTAGGGACACAGTGCCAATACCGCGAGTATGCTCTGCCGGCACGAGTGCGTCATTCTCCGGCTCGGGGACATCCTCCATGTCATCGGCATCGCTCATTTTGCCAGTCTCGTCACCGACTGTCCTCGCCATCTCCCGTGCCATCTTTCGCGTCGCACGGCTAACTCGTCCCTCGTTGCTGACCTGGCCTTCTGCGATGCCCCCGAGAACTTGCTGCGCCACCCAAAGGGCTGAGACCCGTCTCGCGACGCTACCTCGATATTTGAGCAGAAATTCAACAGTATGCAATCCCGCATCGTCCGCGGCATGACCCATCGTACCTAGCATTGTCTTGATCGCTCGGTACGTCTTCCCAGATTCCAAATGTCTTAGACGCATCGTGGACCCTCCAGTCATAGACGGCCCTTGCCATGCTGATTCTGTCAAGCGCTTGGCCGTCTCATTCTCATCTCTCCAGGTCCAAGGTTGGCCGAATTCGAAACATTGCAATAATGCCCCGCTCCAACGTTCAATATGCCCATTGGGCCCAAGGAGATGACTTATCGGTTTAGGAGACAGCTGAGCGATAGCTGTAGCGACTTTAGCCAAGCGTTCCACTTGGTCGTCCTGCTGCGAAAGCACCAAGCGAGGAAAAGTTTGAATGGCGTCGGTCAAGATGTTCAGGAGGACAGCCTCGTGATCCCCCAGGGGCGTTTCCATCGGGATCAGATCATCCTGAGAGAGGAGTAATACCGTTGTTAAACAATGAGGCACGAGCAGAGGTAGGGATTCGGAACATGAGGTGAGAATCTTCAGAGCCAGCGTCCCTGCTGCTCGTCGGACTTGATATACCGCACTGGATGATAGCGACAGCATCGGTAAAATGGCTTTGGCCAGTTGAGTAGAAGTAAATTCGAGGTACGTGGCGGAGAGCGGAGGGAACGGATCGTTAGTTGATGAGATGCTTGGTGCAGGAGACCATTCGTCGAGCTGTGATAAATCGTCAAGCGTCGCTTTGAGGACGCCCAATCGCTTGAGTGAATCGTCGCCTAGTGTCATGGATACAACATCGCCTACTAGCCCCAAAGCTTGTTCTGTCACATCGCCCTTGAGGTCGGAGATGACCCTGGCGACGGAGCTCACGGTACCAGGAAGCAGGGCGGCGAGAACACGCTCTTGTCCACCGAGATAAGTCTTCAAAACTGTCCTGAGTAGTGTAAATGAAGGCAGTGTCGGCGTGTCCAGTAGCATTGTCACAGTCTGGAATAATGTAGGCATGAGAGGACTTTTTGCGTCTTTCACAAGGTCTCTCATGGCGGCTGTCGGATGACTGTGTGTGGGTGATAGAAGAGCAGACAGAAGAGCTAATGCTTGCTCGTCTGAGGCCACGCCTTTGCCCTTCTCTCCTCGAACTGGCCTAGCCACGAATCTCCAGAGCTGCTCCCAAGCTACTTTGTCCATACCTCCCGGTAGGGTCTTCCACACGTCAACGACATGAGCCAGGAGCGCATAGACCGCTTCGAGAAAGATGCCTGGGAGCGTATCATTGCGGCGTATGATCTGAGTGATAGGGAACACAACGTAATTGATGAGTCCAAGGGATAGAGGGACGCCCTTCAAGTCTGCTGAAAGCTTTCTGACCAGTCGAGTATGAGGCGAGAACGCTGTGACGGGTTGGGAGACCAATCCCATGAGCTCGACGCAGATCGGTTTGAGCTAACAGGGCTCAGCGTTGACATATTCCACCACCTCCTTACCATTTGGAAGGGAGTTCGAGATGAGCTGGCATGATTGACAGACGCATGTCCACTCATAGCCCCGTTTAGCATCGATGTCACCTCCTCCTTTGTCTGAACGTCCAGCGTCTCATCATAGTACTGGATTGGTCAAAATGTCAAAATCCGTGAACCGGTTCGATCACACTCAATCGCAATTGAAAAGTGGCACTGCTCATCGTGGCATTCATTCGTAGCTCTCTACCACGACAAGAATCCTTCTTTCTCATCGTACCTTCTGCCACTGACCAAGGTTGACTGCGGGCCGCTCACTGGAAGCAGCCTCGTAGCATGAGTTGATGTCGATTGGCGAAGGGGATTAGCTACCGGCCGTGCCGGGCATGTCGGACCATTTTACAGATTGTTGTTGACCCAGGCACCGGTCACAAATGTGACCCGATTGAGGCCAAAGATCTCATCAATTTTCACACACTGTCGCGTAGCTCATGCATCGCAAAATACCTATCGTTTCGTGATTCGACTCCACAGAGCTCTAGCGGCATCTCTCATTCCATCACGTGGCGGCTGAGAGGATACTTCCTGAGGCGTCTCCGCGGGCTCAGACGGCTTCTCGCTCTTCTCCTCGTAAGGCGCCCACCACTCTAATAAACGCTGGGAGAGAGTGGGTGTAGTATAATACTGCCCTGTCTCTGGTTCTCCAAAGACTTGCTCAATCCTCTTCACGGAGATGACTACATCTTGATTTCCTGCACGTTCCAGGACTTTCTCCTCTGATGTGAAAAGTAGGGTATAGTTTTGGGTGAGAAGAGTGTCTTTCGTTTTGAGTCCCAGCTCCACCACATTCGCACCTTGACATCAGCACGGCTCTTCATCGAGCGACCAACCCTTGTAAGACCATCGGATGGAGCATTTTTTCGGATCAATGTCCCTAGGTCTGGGATATGGCTTGACTTTCCAGATGGGGATTCGCATCTGGTGATTCGGTGTAGTCAAGCGCAAGACTATACGGTCCTTGTTGCCTTCTGTGTAGCGAACCTGTGATAATCGCGTTACGAGACGGCCTTGAAGATAAATCGCGGCGACTGGTATCGCCGAAACAACAAGGCAGATTGAGGGATAGAACCACCACGGCATGCCTTCGTCAAAGGTACTTCCGAACTTCCCGCGGAGCCGTTCTTTTCTATCAATGTCAGCTACTTGGTAAGATCTCCTTTGCCCACGATTCAGGAGGTATCTCCACAGGATCCACGAGGTTGGCTACAGTCCAACCGACCACTACGGTGAGAAAGATCAAAGTGTAGATTGGCAGATTCTCATTCCGATCGACATAAGGTCTTGAGAAGACGATACGTTCCATCTCGACGACGCCAGGTGTTCTGGAGGGAATGACAACCCATGGCCATTTAGGATCATGAGGAATGGCTACCCGTGTATGAGGCGTTGAAGGGATCGGAAGAGGCAGGGGCCGGTCCTGTCGAATCCTGGCTTTTGCTGGAGGAGGAGGAGGAGGAGGTCTAGCAGGTCGACCCTCGGTCGCATAGAGTCTGACGCTGGTCTGCGAGATCAGACATCTGACATCGACCTGGAACCTCAACCTTGATGGCCCAGCATGGGGTATCACTGTCCTCAGCATGATTTGTATCAAGCTGAAGAAGCATTCCAATCCACTTGCTCGCTGCCTGCCTTATTTCCGAATTTTTGGCTCGGCTGCTCCGGGAAAACAATCTCCGTCTTACGTAAGTGTGTCATCGGTTGACGGTATTTCCCGGTCAAACCGTGTCAAATGTCCATTTCATGTTGTTGTTGCAACCATACCATCACCACCAGCGGCAACAGCAGCATGCCAGACAGAGCAGGATATGAACTTGTCGTGTACGCCATTGACGTGTCCCCTTCCATGGGAGAAGTCAAGGTAGATGGTATAGGAGAGAGGACAAAGTTGGATCTAGCGAAGGAATACGTTGCTAGGCGTTGTGAACCAAAGGTGGGTCCGGATCCAAGCCTTGACGCTTATGTCCTAGATATCCAGTGGACGGAAGACTGAAGCTATAGGGATCGTATCGTTTGGAGGAAGTGAGGCCGCCGATCGAAGGGCCGTGACTTACATACTTTAGGGACGAACAATCAGGCAAACCAAGCGTATAAGGCTCAGAATCCGGAGGACGATGACCCTCCATACGAGGCAGTATCCTGCGATGTTGCGATCCAAACGGCTAAGCCAAAGACTGTCGAGGAGCTGCTCAATCTGGAACTTGGGAAGGTGGAAGGCAATCGTGAGTCGGTCCGAACGGCACACGCTGACAGACAGCTGTGTCGGCGTTGATGGTGGCTTTGGACATGGTTCACACGCACAAACATACCAAGAGCTGGGCTCTCGAGGTGGTCCTAGTGACCGATGGTGGGTCTCATTAATGATTTTGCTGATTGTTAGGCGAGAGTGCTTTCGCTCAGGACGAGTATGAGGAGTTGATGGACCGCTTCGATGATATGGGCGTCAAGTTGACCATCGTGTGAGTCATCCCACCTTTGACCTCTGCTGACGCTTAGCGGGATCGGATTCCAGGACCCCGTGCTGCCAGTGGAGAAGGACAAGACGAGAAACAAGGTGAGACCTCGTCATGCATGCTGGCTGACCTCAGCGACTATCCGAAAAATTCTGGCGCACCTTCTTTGAACTTCTTCACAAGCGCATGGCCCCGAATACCGATTCCGATGCCATCCTGCCTTCGTATTGTGTGTTCGACGAAGCTTTGGCGGAGGTTCGGTTGCCGAAACCCGCAACAGTGAATGGGACGGTGTCAGGAATAGATCTACATATTGGATCAGCCAGTGTCGACCCAGCCCAAGCCATCACGATCCCCATCAAATACTCAAAAGCAACCATGAAAGCTCGTCCACCGTCGCTGTCAAAAGCTTGGAAAGCCGCCATGCCGACAGAGGCCGGACCGAGCCAGCTTGCGAGGTTCCAGCCATCCGGCAGCACCTTTGAGACTGGTATGATCTCTGCCGAGGTCAAGAACTTTACGAGCTATGTCATTCGCCATCAAGAGAAGGGGAAGGAGAGGGAGCGTCCGGAGCAGAATTTGGAGGACGACGACTATGAGCCCGTGGCGACCCAGGAGCTACCCATGGAAGAAGAGGATGAAGAACCAGTGGCCAAGGAGGATATAGTGAAGGCTTGGCGTTTCGGCTCAACTTGGGTACCCATGGAGGCCGACACATTTGAACCGCTGGATACTCAGAAAGGCGTGGAAATACTGGGCTTCTTTCCGAGATCGTCTGTCAAGCGGCACCTGTTGATGGGAGAGGTCCGCTTCGTCTGGCCTGACATGAGCTCCCCGAAGGCGCAAATTCAATTCTCTTCGCTCGTCGAGGGCATGTCATTACGCGACATGGTCGCGGTGGTCCGATGGGTTCTGAAGGATCGTGCTGATCCCGTTATCGGTCTGTGCGTACCCGAGATGGATTACCCAGGAGATGATAAGAGACTTGATTATATGTTTTGGGTCAAAGTGAGTTGGTCCAAGGGATCTGCTGACGACTAGCTCCCGTTCGCGGAAGATGAGCATACTTTCTGGTTTCCCTCCTTGACAGAGTACAAGACGACATCGGCAAAAAAGGTTACTGAGCATCCTCTCTTGCCGACCAAAGAGCAGTGCGCTTTGATGGACGATCTGGTCGAAGGCATGGACCTGGATGCGTATGCAGACAAGATTGAGGAGGGGTGAGTGCTGCTAGCTTGCCCCTCTCACGACCACGAACAGATCGAGGTGGTTTGAACCTTCGCGATCGTTCAACCCTGTCATACATCGCATTAAAGAGGCCATCTTCCATGCCTCGACCTCGGAAGAGCCTCTTGGGCCGCCTCACCCTGAGCTGACCAAGTATTTCGAAACGCCAGACGAGATTCTCGAAGCTGTCGATAAGACCATGGCGAAGCTGCAGACAGCCCTCAACATCAAAAAGGTGCCTCCGAAGATGCGGAGAAAGATGGAGAAGCAGGCTCTGAGGCCTGACGAGGGATAGTGAGGTCCAGTGGGAGGCATGACTGACCGCAGCATCGACATCGATCAACTGTTCGACGCCAAACCTGAACCTGGGGTCAAGGTCGAGTCACAGGACTCTGATGTGATTCTCAAACGTGGCCGTTTGATTTCCAACGAGCGGCCCGTTGAGGATTTCAGACGCGTGATTGAAGGGGAAGGCGACGTGTTTCGCAAAGCGATCCGAGATCTTGGCGTCGTGATCAAGGAGAATGTCGCTGCTTCTTTCTCGCGGCAGGCATTTCCCATGGCTATTGAGTGTCTCGAGGCGATGAGAGAGACAGCATTAGTATATGAAGAGGTGGAGACGTTCAACGAGTGAGTCGGAGCGGCGTCGTCACTGATTTCAGTTACATGGACGAGCTGGAGGCATTCATCGTTGCACCTGGGTTCAAGCATCAGGACTTCTGGGATAGTGAGTGAAAAGTAAACAAGCACTGCTTATGGCAGGCGTCACATCGGCCAAGATTGCAAAGATTACACCGGAGGAAGCGAGGGCAGCGCTCGAAGAAGGTTACGAATAGATGTTGTACATATGACGACCTCGCTTGCAACGACCTGACGAAAGGAACGTTGACGCCGAAAGCACTTCCTGACTTACTCGACACTGACGACTGACTCACTCACTGGAAACGAACTCAAGGACGAGTCACTCGCCTTCATTCATTCACATCCTCGTCAATCAGATTCACCATGAGAATTTTGAAAGCGTGCACAGTGATTCAGCCTTCCCAAGCCTGGAGCAAGTATGCCATGCCGCCTATGCACGGATTAATTGCTCTGGCGACTGGGCAAGCTAAGTTGGCTCTCATTGACTCTGATCTTGAGGGAGTTTTCTCCCGAGTGGTCAGCTTCCCCCATCCTGCATCCCTTTTTTGATATGATGCTTGCTCCGTTAAGGTCAACAATCCCCCGCCCTTCGCCACCCCTCCTCTTCTACGGCCTGATAGCCCACAAGGATCCCTTTCTTGGAGTGAGTCCATAAAATACACACTGAACACTGGAGGTCTTCGTGTCGATGCAACTCGACGTGTGGGATTACGATTCAATCTTCCCTGATGAGAAATTGGAGGACCGTCTGGCTTTTGTTCGAGAGGTCATTGGTCATGCTCTTACAGTACTATACAAGTGAGACTCCCAGAGACTTCCGAATGCTGATACAAGGCCCCGGAATCTCTGTACAGTTTTACAATTAGAGGGAAAGAAATGCAGAGATCTCGGTTGACATGGAATACCTCTATATACCGTTATAGACTGGTCCACGTTCTCTGCCATCGAATATGGTGCTCATTGGTCTCGAGACCTTGCCAAGACAGTTCAGGGCCAGGACAGAGCTCTCATCCGTCCCTTGTGACAAAACGCAAGCGGGAGACACTGTGCGCCACTGAAGCCGCAGCTGAGTTTAGTGAATCATACTGGTCAAGCTAACGCAGAGGTTCTGCCTTGACCCATTTGCCTTCGGACAATGCGATGGTACCATCTCTCAGCTGAGGGGAGTGCTAGATTTGAGGTTCGACTGGTAGGGGCGGAGGTGCTAGAGCGCCACGGTCAGCGTGTGCAAGAGCTAGAGGCGAAGGTTTCAGAATCGGCCGAGAAAGTGGTTCTTCTCCAGCAGAAGGACGCAAAGATCAATCAGCTGGAAAGTCAATTGAATCAGTCTTGGAGTGTCATGGAAAATGCTTACAGGGCTCAGATTGGGCTGCTGACAGAGACAGAAGCAGGAATATTTCAGTTGGAGAAAGATCTGATTCAGTCGCGAATGAACACCGAAAGCGCTCGTAAGCAATTGGAGGCCCTGTAGCGAGACCAAATGATGAAGAAGGAGCGTCTTATTCCTGTCTTTTTCAGTCTACCCTACCTCCGACCGTGACCAGAACCAGCGACACCCGGCGTCTCCCAACCATTCAGACCCAAGTCAGGACACCCTTACTGTCCCGGCCACCGGCTGCATCTCCCAGGGCGGTTTCGTTTCCACCAGCTCCAAGTGTGTCGTTGCTCTGGATCGACAAGCCGGTCGTCCTATTATCGCCTGGGCCTCTGATACCAGGCCTTGGTACTTCCCAGCTCGTAGATGGCCTATTTCTCAAATGTGACTCGTCATGCTCTTCTCCACTGAGGAGAGCTTGCTGCCACCGCCATGCATGCCAATCTGGATTTTGCCACATCTGCCACTGTTGACAACCTTGCCTGACTTTTTGCACCGCACCTATCGCTCTCATGCCCTCGGATCGAGTCAAGGGGGCACCGGCTGCTCTACCGTGCGACCAGTGTCGCCGGTCCAAATCTAGATGTGATAAGCTATATCCGACGTGCTCATCGTGCTCCAGTAGGGATCTGCAAGTGAGAAAAGCCGCCGTTCCTCACTGACACCCATAGTGCGAATACAGTAGATCTCGAGATAATCGGGTGAGAAGCTTCCATCACAAGTCCAAGGCGGGATGCAGGAACTGCAAAGAGCGCCGAATTAGGTGCGATGAGGCGAAGCCGGTCTGTGGATCCTGCCTCAAGCGAGACGAGCGGAGTCTTGTGCGTCGCTGAGATAAGGCTGAACTGAGACATACAGTGTGTTTTTAGTGATTGTCAAGGATCGACGCCCGCAAGCACAAGTGCTAGTCAAGATTTGGTCGTCGCGGGAAGTCAGGTCGTTCCTTCCACGTCGGCATCGTCTCCATCGTCCGTAGCCGCCATTTGGTCCGCTTTTCATGAAGCCAGCCGTAGCGCTTCGCTCCTTATGTTGGTTCCCCAGCCCGACCCCCTGATCGCATTTTTTCCTCGTCGACTGAAAGGCAGCAGGTGAGCTGAGACTTGTCGTTGATCTTGCTGATTATAGTTTCACCACTTTGTCCTTGACGCTGTACAAGCTCTGATCGTTATACCAACGCTCCACGAGGCGAATCCTTGGCTCACACACCTTGCACCGCTTGCCATGAACAAGCCCAAGGGGCACGACATCGTTCATGATGCCCTGCGATACGCTTGTCTCTCTCTCGCCGACGCAGATCTCGCTATCAAGCTCAAGGGTCGATTAAAACAGCATCACGCGACTATATACGCTTCTAGCGGGGACTATTGGCACCAAGCAGTATCGCAGATCCAGCTGGCGGCAGAGCTCGGGATGCATCTCAATGATCAGGACACTGGCGATGTGATCTTGGCGGCGGTTGTCATCTTGGCCACACGAGATGTCAGTCCGATCTCTGGGCATGACTGACCTCCAGCGTTTGGCAGGATGGTCAGAATGGGAGATGCCCTTGTCGGTGGGGTACAGAGTCTTAAGAGAACTTGGTGGACCCGATCTGTACATCGCCTCGAATCCGACCCGTTTGCGTCGCTTTCTTGTGGAACAGCTCGTCAGTATCGAGCTTCTGGGTGAGATCTACGATCGCTCCTAGCTGACGATAGCGTGCCTTACTGCATTCAAACAACCGATGATTGGAGACTGGTACAACCACTGGCTAACTGAAGGGGGCGGAGATCTTGAAGCTGTCTACGGCTGGGATCGCGAGGCTTTCCTATATGGTCTGAGAGCTATCACATTGTGTGGCGATTGCGTCCGACTCTACATCCTGCGCACGCGATGCTCCGACAATCCGTCCAAACAAGTCAAGGAATTGATCGAGACCCAAATCGACAACTGCAAAGCGCGGATAAGTAAATTTTTGGACACTTCGGAGGCGGTGCGAGCGATGCTTCAAGTGAGATCCCTCATCCAGCCTGACTAACCTCAGGCGATCCCGAACTCGGCAGTCAGATCGAGATCTATATGCCTACAGGCGTGCGTCGAAATTTGCCTTCTATGGATCCTTGCCGAAGGCAACGACACGATAGAGGCAAAGAGTATGGCTGACAGATTGTCGCAACGAGTCGAGGCTATCGTCCAGGTGGCCGATGAAGCTATGGCCAGGGGAGATTATGCGGGGTGAGTCACAAAGAGGATTTATCGCTCATATCATGTTCAGAATGCTCTTGCCCCTGACCTGGGCAGACGGCAGCGTCACTCCTCGTCAGCGAGAGTTGATAATGCGCCTGCTCAATACATTGGAAGCCAATTATCATCTGGATCATGAGAGTCTCTGGAGAATCACACATATCGATTGGTCAGCAGTGGAGGGCTTTGCACCGGCTCGATGGGAGGAGGAACTCAGGCAAATGAAGATATACTTTCCAATCTATTAGTGTCTATGATCTACAATTGTGCTTGCACCAGCTCAAAGTATTTGCCTTTCCTCCCAACAAGCTCGTCGTGTGTACCAGTCTCGACGATCTTACCCTGATCCATAACGTAGATGACGTTGGCGCCAATAATGGATGACAAACGATGACCGATGGTAATTGTCATGCTGAATCTCAGCGAAATTTGAGAGTGGAAACTTACCGTCCAGCGGATGCCATGTCCAAGGCTGTCTGGACCGCTGCCTCGCTTTCACCGTCTAATGCGCTAGTCGCTTCGTCCAGCAAAAGGATTCTAGGTTTGCGCAAGAGAGCTCGTGCGATGCAGAGTCGCTAAACTTCAGCTCGACCTGTAGAACATCACTTGCCTGTCTCTGACCACCACTCAAACGCCTGCCTTTCATACCTAAGTCTGTATCGATGCCCTCTGGCAAATTGTGTACGAATGGAAGAATGCTGCGTTTAGCGCGAACTTTTCGGAAAAAACTCACTTTGCTTGCTTGAGAGACCATTCGAGATCCCCTTCCGATGCGCGAGAGCCCGGTTTCAGGCCGAGCTAACATTAGTTTCCTGTTGGACACATACCCTCACCTCGAGATTAAATCGCACAGATCCTTCAAATAAGATAGGCTCTTGACTGACATAGCCAATTTCACCACGCAACTCGGCCAGAGACATTGATCGGACATCTCTGCCGTCGAGGGTGATCTTTCCACTACTCGGCTCGTAGAAACGCTCCAGGATAGCGAGGATACCTAGTTTCAGTGACGAATGGGTTTCCTACTCACTGCTCTTCCCGGCTCCACTCGTGCCACAGAATGCGTAAGACCTCTCGTCCTCGAAGTGCGCGTGAATACCCTGAAGGACAGTCACATCGGGGCGGGAGGGGTACTGAAGGGCAATATCGTGACTGGAGTTAGTGGATATCGAAGAGGGGCTGCTCACAGAACCAGCCCAGATGACTTTTCACCATCATCTACGTCAGGTGCCGTGGCCTGTATGGGCGCTCGATCCATCCATTCCTACAACTTAGCGATTGCCAGCCAACACGCGCCCACCTTGATCGTCCGCATGGCTTTCCTCATCCGTTGAAAGTCTCCTCCATACGTTAACATTTTCGGGCACACGTATAGCGTTACGAGAACTGCTTCTACGACGGCGAAGAGACTCGCGAGGTCCTGACGTCAGACGTATCGTACCAGTTTGACTCACCACACGCTTCTCGCTGACTAATGTAGCACCCCACCAGAATATCAATGCTCCGAACAAGTCAACGACAGCCTGAATGAAGCCCATGGTCGCACTTGCTCCTATGAGATTCTTCATGTCGATCGACTTTTTGGCAAACTTGGCTTCAAATTGGCGCATGGTCTCAGCCTCTCGCGACAGAGAAGCAATGGTCCCGATAGAGTTGACACTCTCGGCGACAAATGCGGCCTGCTCGTCCGATTGCTCGTTGGTAGTCTCTTCGAACCGCTCAAGAAATCGGAAATTGAGATAACCGATGCCACTTGCGAGGACAAGGGGAGCAATAACCATGGCCGCGAGTCGCCAGCTCAAGGCGAAGGCAAGAGCCACTGTGCCGACAAAATTTGACAAGGACATGATGACCGAGGCAAGGACGACACCGACAAAGTTGCCTACGTTGGAAGTGTTCGAAGCGACAGCGGCAGTCAGCGAGCCGGAACCAGTCTTGGTCTTTTCAAAAAATGCCACTTCTTGGCGAGACAGGGCCCGAACACTCTCTCGTTTGAGATCTGCGACAAGCTTCTGACCCGCCCATTCGATGCCAAAGGTGAAGAGGAAAGACGAGAGACCAGATACAAGAGCGACTACCAGGAACCATAGGGCCCATCGATTAACTTCGCGTCTCATCTCATGAAGATCTGGATTGTTGAGCGCCGCCACGCCTTGACCTTGCAGATAGCCGATGGCAGTAAAGGCGCCACCGAGTACGATTCCAAGGAAGGCACTCGGGATCAGAATGGGGGCGATGGATCGAAAGACGTGCCAGGGAGATGAAGGCGCCGGTGGAAGGATGTAAGGATACTCCAATGTTTCGTGTATCGATTCTCCCTTTTCGGAGACCACGGTGGACGTTGATGGCAGGTGTTTGGTAACCGTCGGCTTTGCCTCGACCATGAGTCGAAAAGTTGGATCAGGGCACGATGGTGAGACGAGCTCGTCATAAGTCCCGCTCTGTACCACGCTACCGTCTCGCATGACAATAATGGTATCGGCGTTGATGAGGGTGGACAAACGATGCGCGATGACAATCATCGTCATGCCGGTCTCCTTTTGCTCAGCGATGAGCGATTCTTGAATCTTGGCCTCGGTATCGGCTGACACAGCCGAGGTCGCTTCGTCAAGTAGCAGACATTTTGGTCGTCGGACAAGAGCTCTGGCGATAGCGATACGTTGGACCTGACCTCCAGAAAGTAGTCCCGTCCGCTCGCCAGTGATTTCAGTGTGAAGACCCTTTGGAAGCTCAGAAACGAAGTCCCATGCCTGAGCCTTGCGAAGAGCGGATTCGATAAGAGCAGAATCATTTTCACTTCGTGTAATCAGGCCAGCGGCGACATTTTCGTAAATGGTACCTGAGCTGAGCTGGGGATTTTGCAGGACGACTGCCACCTGAGATCTCAACCAAGTAACATTGAAATCCTTGATGTTCCTGCCAGACATGCGAATCGTACCAGAACTGGTAATGTGAGGACCAGATATAGGCATTTTGCCCTCATCAAGCGACTTCAGAATGGCAGCGTCACGTTCGACGTCGTGGGTCAGTGATTCCGGGTCGTACATACGCTGCAGGAGCGATCCAATGGTCTGAGTAGCATTGAACATCAGTTTTCTCTCTCTCTCAAAAGGGAGACACTGGGAACGCACAGATTTGCCACTACCGCTGGGACCAGCCATAGCGGTAAATTTGCCCGCCTCGATGCGGAAGCTGACATTGTTCAGTGCAGCGTGCATAGGTCTGGAGGGGTAGGCAAATGTCACGCCGTCCAATTCAAACGAAGGTTGCCAGTCAGCATCGAAGCGGAGACCATCTGGGCTGCGGATGTCGATCAAAGGCTCTCGCTCGATCTGAAGTCGAATGTTTCCCAGATCGCGGATGGCATTGGTAGTCGCGATGAAATGGGGGACCATACCTGCCGCTGCGAAGAAAATGTTCACAAAGTTGTAAAATGTCTGACGTGAGCGAGGAAATGTCGGCTACTCACTGTCAACACATTGCCAACCGAGGTCCCTGACGCTACTTCCCTTCCCCCGAACCAAAAGGACATTGAGTATACAATGAGACCCGCTCCGAATACCGCCCCTTGCTCTATGGCCTTGACGAGAGATAATCGCTTGGTCAACTTACGCCAGGGTCGAAGTAGTGCAGTCTCCATCCTGGTCAGCAGAGCTGGCGCCATATCGAATGCGTGAACAATGCGAATGGATGAAAGGACTTGTTCGATGTGTGAGGAGATGCGTCCATCAAGTGCACTCTGACGGGCAGAAATCTTATCCGTTACGACACCCAGGCCGAAGAGTAAAAGAATGGTAGTTGGAATGAGGGTGAATAGGAAGCCCGCTTGACGGGGGGTATGGGCAAAACCGGACACAAATGCCTGCAATGAGCGAAGCATGAGGGGAGAACTTACGGCTAGGATGGTACTGAGGGACCAGCACAAGTAACCTAGACGTTCTCCCATACCGATTCGCATTGAGTCGATATCCTTTCTCGCTCTCGTGGCGATGTCGCCGGATCCCACTCGATCGAAAAAGGCGGGATCCTGTACCATGATTGCTTCAAGGTATTTCTGCCTGGCCGCATCGGAAAGCTTGATCGCGGCAGTGATGACTGTTTGCTAAGTAGAAGCACAGACTGGGAGACTCACAGCATGTGAGGAACACTGTTGTACATATGAAGAAGACGACACCGACGATCGTCATGATTAGACCTGAGCTGTCACCACGACCGCGGATCTCGCTCGGAGCTCCTTCTCGGATACCATTGGTCCAAAAGCCGAATACTATATCAAATGCCGGTAGACCTAGACCAGCAATCGTAGCTGTTATCACTCCGGTGACATACAGCGTGTAAGGGTGGACAGCAAACGCTCGAGGTTGACGGAGAAGCGAGGGGACTGGCGGGGCGAATGAGAGGATGTACAGGAAGTTGGGGAGTGTGGATCGATGAGCCACAAGCAAAGGCGTTGGAATTCCATCCTCGGCGTGGGACACAGTGTGGGACATGGTGTGTGAGTACAAGGAAGCATGATATCGATGGTGAACGAGTCATGTATATAATAACCTATACGACCGTACTTTTTGTTTACGAGCGAAGTAAGAGACCCCCATGACGGAGATTGCCGGTATACGAGCGAAGAGACCGCCGGATCCGCCGTGGCCAAGCCAAGGTCACGTGTCACTTCGTCCTGAGCTTAAGCAAAGCTCAATCATGCCAGAGCACTCGCTGGGTCAGGCCCACCATCAGTCCAGGCAGATCATTGCTTCGCAGGTATCAAGAGTGTAAACCTGCTTGATGACTGATGGCGAACAATTGCTCGGAATTTTTCATTTCCCAGCGGTCGCAAATTGAGCTGGCTTGTTCCCTTGATCCATCTAAGGGGGTCCACATACGCGGGTCCCGTCTCTAGTCGAGGAGGCACACAGAAATTACGTGTCTATCTTCATTCAAGGTGCGGCATGGCACGCTCTATGCGGTGGGCTCGAAATGCAGGAAAAGAATCGAAATGACCACGGTCCGTGCGATATGTCGCACCCAGATTTGTACTTGACTGAAGCGAGAGTCTCCGAAGCCTACTTTGCTCTCGTCGAAGAGCAATGTGATACAGACTCATCATAGTCTCGCATGATCAAAGTCGTTATCCGTAAGGGGATAGGTTGTCCATCAGAATCGACAGGCGAAGGCGGACTTGATCCCGCTTTTGCATCTGAAATCGTAACAAAGGTATCTTGAGGCTCTTCTGTTGAGGACACAGAGTCGGAAAGATTCTCTACCTGCTAGGACATCTTAAGCTGCCGACAGACCTATTCACCTACGAGACCGCGGTTGCAGAAAGCCTATGGCAAAGCACCAATCTAGGCCGCCACGTGACCCGTCACCACGCCTCGCGGGGCGCCACAATTCGCCACGTCCAAAGTGACGAACATGCTTTCGCCTCTGCTGCGTCCATACCGCGACAAGATGCGGACACTGGCATGTCTAGCCCTGTTGGGCCTCACTCGCCTGATCAGTGGAAGCTCCCCGCCGCTCATAATTAGCTTAGAGACAGGCTGGCCAGCTCCCCCCTTGCTCCACGAGATCCTGTATGTCCTACTGAGAGTCTCCGCTGACCTTTCAGTGAAACAGTCTATGACGAATCGCCATCTGCTTACTTTGCGCTCCTGGGTCTCCTACCGCATGAGGAGCTCAGTCCCGAGAAAACCCTCTCGACTATTCTCCACCTGATAGATTCTCACAGTCTCCTTCCAGATCCGTCCTCACTGTCAACGCTGCATTATGCTCTTGGACTACACACGGCGGTGCCTCGTATCGAAGCGTTCTACAACTGGTACGAGGCGAGCATAGACGAGCACAGACTTGGAGTAGAGGGGTGCGGCAGCTGGGTTGAGTACAAAGGCAAGGGATACTGTAACGCAGAGGATTTGGACGCAGCTATGGCCGACACATTCTCAACCGCGAATCCCATGGACCTCCTGCCTTTCGATCATGCTAGAGATGCTGTGGGAATACTCTATTATGACCCGAGCTCGCAACCCTTCGACGTAGACCGCTTTATTGTCCGGTATAAACCCGCACGTCAAACCCACCAGACACCTATGTCAGGCTATGGCGTTGAGCTCGCTTTGAAGCGCACCGACTACCTCGTCGTGGACGACCGTCAAGCAAAGTCGCAAGGCAAGGCCACGCAGTGGACGCATAGTGGACCGTTCGATGACGTCCTTGGCTCTAACCCATGGCAGGAGCTGTCAATTCCACTGACTGCGAACGAGACCAACAGTGAGTCCCCTTGCCTGCTGTGCTGACTGTAGATCTCGGACTAAAAGCCGCAAGCTTGATCATGTCCAGCCCAGATCCTCTCGCCGCTTTGACACATCTCTCTCAAGACTTTCCAAAGTACTCTGCAGCCTTGGCTCGTAAAGTCAATGTTTCAGGGCCTATCTCAGAAGCCATTGGCCGAATGCTGAGCCAGCCTGTCCCGGTCAGGGGTATCTTCATCAACGGCAAGCTTCACGCGGAATCGGAAATAGACGCTTACAGGTGAGGTCTTTTGCTCGAATGAGCTGACTCTAGTCTTCTCAACACACTCCGAACGGAACGAGACCTGGCAAAGTCCCTTGTTGACCTCGGCTTGGCACCTTCCCAGGCTATCCATCTCTTAACTGACTCGCTGATTGGCCGTCAACAGACGGAGGACGACACGTCGGACGGCCTCGTTGATGCCAGCGATAGACACGAAGGCGGTAACGTCATCATATGGTGGAACGACATTGAGAAGGATTCAAGGTGAGCGAACATGGAAATTGGAGCTGATGGCAGGTACAAGGGATGGTCAACATCAATCTCAGGAGTGAGAAACCCATTTGAGACTTCGCTGAGAACAGTACCTCCGACCCCTCTATCCTGGCCAGATGCACTCAGTGAGACGGAACACTTTCAACGCAGTCGTAATTCTCGATCTTTCATATCCTTCCTCCCTCGAAATCATCACCGAGCAGATTATCGCGGTGATCAAGGGTGGCATCCCGATCAGATTTGGTGTAGTGCCAATGCTCTCTAACGATGCTTGTAAGCATGCGCGCGAGGCTGCGACTGACCATCAGCCGTGGCCATGGCAAATCTTCTGCAATACTGCGTCAAAACTTTCGGTCGAGGTTACACTCGGGAGCTCCTCATTAAGGTATTGCTCCCGCAGAACATGACTGACAGCAGATCCATGCGGCGACCCCGAGGAACGCCCGAGTATCCATAAACACGATGCACCAGGCGTACGAGGTTGTTTCTGCGGACTCGGACAAGGAGCATCTTCCATTCGAACAGGTTATCGCATCCGATTCTACCGATGAGGTTAGGCAGTACCTGTCAAGACTCGCTGCAACGACCGGGCAGGGTCACATCTTCCTCAACGGAAAATACATTCCCCTCCACTCGGTAAGTTTTCATTGTTCGTTGCTGACCCTCAGCAATGGATGCAATATTTGTCGGGAGAACTCATGACGCAAGTCAATTTCCTCCAACAACAGGTGAGACACCGTTGTGAATCTAGCTGATATCAGCTCATTGCCGATGTGGTCACCGATGAGAATATCTCGACACTGTTCTATGACTTGCCCTCGACATCACTCAGACGAAATTTGCTTATCGTCCCTAGTGCGACGGACAACAAGCTGAGGATTGTGTCGCTAGACAAGGTCTTCCCGGCAGAAGCCTATGAGCAGCTGATTTATCCAGGTAAGGTCAGAACATTCGCTTAGCTTATGTCAGATCGCGAGGTTCTTGGAAGCGTCTGGATCGTTGGCGACTTGAATTCGGAAGAGGGACGCAAGCTGGTCAGCAATGCTGTGACATACCTTCAGGATTCTGCCTCGACTGGTCTCGGTTTCTTACACACTCCATTCCGTCGACAAGGGGTCCCATGTTTGATTGATGGACTTATCAAATCGGGAAGACTGGGCAAGATGTCTCCTGCAGAGCTTGCTTCGACATTGGACGGTCTTGACGAGAATCAAAGCTGCTCGGATGATACCATCGGCCCGAAAATCGCTGAGGCCCTCGGCATCACAACCTCTCACCCTTACATCCTCTACAATGGACGCGTGAGTCATCTTTGCCTTCTTGACTGACCTGTCAGCTCGTTGGACCAGTCACAGAAGCCTTTGTCGCCGAAGACTTCGCCGCCCTGGAAGCCTACGAGATGCGAAAGAGAGTGAAGCCAGTCTTTGATCTACTTCAGACTATGATGGACACGAGTACTTACGACAAGTGAGTTTTGCACACTTCCCTGTTGACCTTAGGCCCCGACTTGCCAAAGTCATCTCCATGGCATCAGCAACTCTTGCCTCTGCTTATACTTCGGCGGATGACGGCATCTTCACCCCAACGCCCCTCCCTCGCTCTAGAGAGTACGAGCTGGCTTCCCCTGCATTGTGAGTCAATGTCGTGACTCTGCTAACCTTAGAACCTTCTCTGTCGGGGACGAACAAGCGCTGGTTCGCATAGCAGCGGTCCTAGATCCCATATCTGAAGGCGCTCAGCGGGCTGCGTCTCTCTTGCAAACAATGGCTGAAATGGATGGTGTGTCTGTGTCTGTCCATCTGCTGCCAGCTCCTATGATGAGAGAGGTGAGCGAAGAGTTTGAGAAGATCTGACGTTAGGTCCCACTCAAACGATTCTACCGCTTTGTGTCGAGTCCCAGACTCACCTTTGATTCTCACGGGTGAGTCGTCTCCATATCCTGGTGCTGATCTATAGCAACCCAATCTCGCCCGAAATTCTTTTCGAGGATCTCCCTTCAACGCCAATCTTTACCCTAGCTATGGACACACCTCCCGCGTGGATCGTTTCTCCGCGTCAATCCCGTCTTGATCTCGACAATCTTGTGACTGGCTCAGTCAGCGACTCGATTCACGTCTTCTTCACGCTCAAGCAGCTGCTCATCGAAGGTCATGCCCGCGAGGCGAATAATGCACCGCCACGAGGTCTCCAGCTTCAGCTCACAACAGAGGGACTGCAAGTCGCCTCTGACACCCAAGTCATGGCGAATCTCGGTTACATGCAATTCAAAGCGACGCCGGGAGTCTATCACCTTGCAATCCGGCCTGGACGCGGAACGGAAGTCTATGACCTTGAAAGCGTGGGCAATGAGGGCTGGGATAGTGCCGGGGTCAACGTTACCGGCACACGCATCGCCCTCGCCAGCTTTGACGGAATGACCATCCTGCCTCGATTCGTCAGGCGTCCTGGCATGGAGACTGCCAATGTGCTGGTCGAGGCACCAGTGACGGTATCGTATCCTCAAGCAGTGTTTTCGAGGTAAGACAGAGAATTGGCAACGCTGACATGCAGGATGAAAGAAATGGTCGGTCTCGCGCCCAAGCCAGCAGTCAAGAACGCAGATATCAACATTTTCACGGTTGCTTCGGGATTGCTCTACGAGGTGAGTCGTATGCTCTGCCCTGGCTGACGATAGCGCTTCGCGTCAATCATGATTCTCAGTGTGATGAAGCACACTACCAGCACGGTCAAATTTTGGTTCATCGTGCGTGCTTTGACCGTTCCCGGCTGACGAATAGGAAAACTTCTTGTCCCCTGAGTTTCTGGTGAGCTTGGCATAATATGGGGCTGATAGGCAGGAATTCCTGCCTAAAATGGCCGAAGAGTACAACTTTCAGTACGAATTTGTGACATACAAGTGGCCACGATGGCTCCGTGCTCAGACGGAGAAGCAACGAATCATCTGGGCGTGAGTGACGAGGCGTGCCTTTCCTGATTTTCAGCTACAAAATCCTTTTCCTCGACGTGTTGTTCCCCATGAATTTGGACAAGGTCATATTCGTTGATGCTGGTGGGTCAGTTTTCCGTGATCCGGCTTAATTCTGCAGATCAGATTGTCCGTGTGGATATGAAAGAGCTGGTCGATGTTGACCTCCATGATCACGTGTATGGATATCCTCCAATGGGTAACTCGAGGGAAGAGATGGAAGGCTTTAGGTTCTGGAAGACTGGGTACTGGCGAGATGCGCTCCGGGGTAGACCATATCACATTAGTGCGCTCTACGTGGTTGACTTGAAACGATTCCGACAGGTAAGTACGTGATGGGTCCCTTGGTTGACTTTCAGCTCGCCACGGGTGATCGTCTTCGAGGGCAGTATCACGCGCTGTCTGCTGATCCTGGATCACTGGCCAACCTGGACCAAGACTTGCCGAACTCGATGCAGGATCAGATCCCAATCTTTACGCTTGAACAAGATTGGCTCTGGTGTCAGACTTGGTGTGATGATGAGAGTCTAGCTACCGCTAAGACGAGTGAGCACAGATAATCCGTTGACGATGCTGATCCTCTCAGTCGACCTGTGCCAGAATCCCTTGACAGTGAGACGTGGATTGTGCCTTGCTGACGTTTTGCAGAAAGAACCCAAGCTCGTACGGGCGAGACAGATTCCCGAATGGGATACATACGATCAAGAGATCGCCGCATTCGCAGCTCGGGTATCCAAAGGTGACATGGGACTCGCAGCTAGTGTAGATGATCTGGCCAGCGGTCCAGTCACTGCGGGCGATAAATCGGACGACCTTGCCAAGAAAGACGGGACGGGCACGCCTGACGCATCAGAAGGAGAATCCGGTCATCTACCTGACGAGCTGTAGACCGGTCATAAATAGACACCATTGAACTTTGCATACATTACTTGATTGCGCTCTAATGATCAGGTACAAACCCGTCCGTGGAGCACGAAATTTGAATACATTACTGGACTGCTCTAGTATCGGTTATAGCCTCCTGGACCATAACCTTGCCCAGGAGGTCCCCATTGATCCTGAGGCGGTGCATACTGACCAGGCGGCGGACCACCATACTGATTTTGAGGAGGTCCTCCATATTGACCTTGAGGCGCATATTGGCCTTGAGGTGGCCCATACTGTCCTTGAGGCGAATACTGACCCTGCGGGTCGCCGTATTGACCGCCTTGGGGAGGTCCACCATAACCACCGTATTGACCTGGCGGACCGCCATATGCCCCACCAGGAGGACCGTAAGACTGTTGTTGCGGAGGCTGATAGCCTCCTTGGTTGCCTCCTTGATAGTACGAGTCTGCATGTCCTCCAGACGGAGAAGGCTGCGAATAGTTGCCAGGATTTCCAGGATGAGATGGACCCTGTTCATATGGCGCAAGAGAAGGGGGAATGTCATTAGGAGCAGAGGAATTGATGTCTCGCCACGCGTGTTGACCTCCAGATCCGAATCCTTGGTCCCATGGCTGACATGTCAGCTCGAGATCAAATCTTCGACTCACCTTTTTACCTCCGAGAAGATCCTGACCCGCATTCAAGATCTGCGCTCCGGGCTACACAGTTCAGCTATGGCCCCAAAGGCATGTCCAAGACTCACAATGTGGACGTTATGCTGCGCTAGAACTTGTTGCAATCCACCTTCGGGCAACATGGAATTGTGTACGTGTCCAGTATCGGTCGAGTTGTCGCCGATTCGCTTGTTTTTACCGGCCCTTACGTTCTCAGATGTCAATCTGTTGAGAATCTCGTGCTGGTCCCTTCCTGTCGACTGGAACCAATGCTTCATCTTGTCCAGCATCATTCGCTGTACCTGGGCTAGAGAGATTAGCTGGTACCAATCATCAGGCTTACATCGACCATCATGGAAGTCAGGGTGGAACAGGCATTCGAGGATTGGTTCGGTGACTTGCTGAGTCGACATTCCGGGATCGTCCCAAGCCTTAACGACGAGATTGACAGCATATTCGACGACGACCTTCGCAATCTCTCCTGCAGGTTGATTCAAAATGAGTGCAAAGTGGTCCTGACTTTCAGCATAATTCAAGCCCTTCGCTCACCTTGGACAAGAAGGAATGAGTCGGGTCAGACGAGTTCCAATCATTCCAGACTTCATATTGATCGTGAGAGTCAATGACGGCCTGAGAAGAGCTGGAAAGAGCAGAGGTAGCAGAACCGAGCAAGGGCTTGACGAATGGTTCGAGTGTGGTGATGATGAAAACTGAAATCGAGTTGGTGAGCTTTTCGACGAGCGAGGCGAGTCCAGGAATTCGATCGATCGTATTCTTCCGTCAGCCAATTTCGACCATCTATACTCACTTCGATTCGCTTCATGACGGAGTCTCTGAAGCTGAGGATCTTCCACAAAGTTGCATGAAGCTCTTGGGGTGACATTTGACTTGGGTCCAGGCCACCCGGCTGACCAGCTCTCATGCCAGTGATGCCATCCATATCGCGACTCAAGCTGTCACCAGCACCTCCAGGTAAATCCAGGAACATGCTTCGAAGCGCAGAAGCGGACGCCGAGTTGCCCTCGGAGACTGATCGAGCATTCTTCATGGTCTTGGTGAGATCGGAGACCGAGGCCTAATATCAGCATTGTAGACTTTAGTTCTCACCTCGCTCAAGTGGTCTGTTGCCTCTCCCAGGAGCGAGTGGATGAAGTCCGCTCCTCCAAAAGTTCCAGTCACCAGGGGATACACCATCTTGCCATTCGGCGCCTTGATCTTGACATTTTGTCCGACGTGAGGGAAGATGTTATTGTGTCCCATCGAGATCAAGACGAGCTCGCAGAAATTTGAGTGTGCGGTGAAATCTTCTAAAGTATGCAGAGCCCGGCCAAGAAGCTGAAATGCTTGATACGCATGAGCCTTGTCACCAGACTGTCGGTACTGTCGACCCATGTTGATGCACTCCACTAACGTCCTTCGCACAAGCGCTTTGGAGGTGTCCCAGTGACCAGATTCTGCCGTGGTAAGCAAGATCTAGCAGATCAACTCACCATCGGCAATGTAGCGCTTCATACCGGACTGAAGATCGATCTCAAGCTCGACGGCCTCGACCGGAGGGCGAAGACGTCTGTCATATTGCCTCGCATCTTCGCCTTCGGCATAGCCTTTGGGATTGTCGATGTGCTCGGTTGGCAGGTATGCACTGACGTCAATCTTTATCGGAAAGCTGTAACCCACCCGAGACGCTCTTCGGTTACTTCGAACTCGCCTGGTGGTTGAGCTCCGCCTTTCTTTCAGCTTACCTGTGGCGTATCCATGAGCCAAGAATCCGAGAACCATGCCTGTGAGAATCAGTGCTATCATATGAGAAGGGCATACAGATATTCATGATAGTCTGGAGTGGGACCTTCTTCAGTGCACCGACATCGACGGCCTATGAAAGATCAGTGAGATATCGCGTTGAGAAGTACTGACCTGACTGTAATCTCGGAGCCTTGGCCCGTCAGTGTCCATTCAACTTTTCTCAGCTCACCAATTGCCAAAGTAGACCCGCTTGACATCCAGGGGCGTGAATTTTGTGCCTATCTCGTCAACATCGTGGGGATGAGATAAGATGCACCTCTCGACAAGAATCCGCCCCCGGCCGCCTTGAACAAGGTGGCAATGACGTCCTCAATGTCACCTAAACCGATCAGGAATGGCCAGGCAGGCACCGCTCACCATGTCTAAAGGCCTTGTCTTCAAGGTACGCATACGAGGGGATATTGCCTGGTGACATGAATTCAGATATTAGGCAGACAAGGGAGTTAGAGAGAACGGTCTATCCGTTTCTCTGCGCTAGATTCCACATATCACATACCTGCGCCGAATGCTGCTACCCGTGGAGCGAAGGAGAGACCGACAATGACGAGGAGGAGATACAACAGCACTGATCGCCCCATAGTGCTTGAGTGGATGGCAGTCGCTACTTGACGGAGTAAATGCCTATCGCTCACAGCAGTCTTGTGTAAAGTAGAGATGGACGGAATTCAGTTGAAAATGAAGCAAATGGATGCCAAGACAGCACAGCGTCACAATTGGCCTTGAACACGTGGACCACGTGAGTCCTGCTGAAACATCAGGGGTAAGCTATGTTACGTAAGTAGATTGAGTGGCCAATTCGGCACGCGCGTAGGGGAAAAAAGTCAACAACTGAGACCTCATCCTCTCTCTCTCTGACTCTCACCTTTCACCTTTCATGTCCGCATCGGTCATTGACGTATCTCTGGATACATATATCACTCATCTACTCTCGTCAACATAAGTCTTAGGCCGGATAAGTGGGATCAACTGCGAGGTGAGTGGACTCGACACGCTTTCGGTTATCAGGACAGGACACACGCACGGCCTTTGTTTCGATCTCGCTTCAACCGTTGACCAATTCGGGGCTGTTCTTTCTCGCACCTGACGATGGGAAGCTGACCATCACAGTACTTCTTTTTATGATCTGAATCTCTCACAAATATGTAAGCATCATCTCTCCGCACACGCAACGCCGCGCTGACGTTCTTCCAGCCAAACAATTCGTCTCTCACCATGGACGACCCCTTTGGAAGTCCAACAACATCAACCCTGCCCCGGCAAAGGTCACGACCCAATCTTGCCCACCACCTTCCAGCACCACCTTCGTCTCGGTCCCTCGCTTCCCAGCTCCGCGATTCTCCAACTAAACCCTCCCAGAAGCTTGAATACACTGGTCATGCTCTCCATCAACATCTCTCCTCGCTCCTCGAGCAAAAGACTGCCCAGCTTCAGATGTTGGGAACAATGGGGCAAGAAATTTTGAAGCAGCAACAAGAGCTCGAGGAACGGATCAAAGGCTTTGACGAGGATGATGGCATCGACGAAGAGGTCGGCGAAGACACAAAAGTCAAGCTCAAAGACCTGGACGAGGCGATGAGACAATGGGAAGCTCAAAACGAGGACATGATGCGAGAGCTCGGCGGCAAGGTGGGCGTGCGTATGATCTCACTTGCTGACGTCAGATGCCCGACAGTCTGGAAGGTCTCGATCTGAAAGCTCCCGTGATGGAGAATGGCACAACCTCAGCTTCCATGAACCGCCGTCAGCGCAACGCCCAACATCGCGCACTCGACATGGAATTCGCGACTGAGATCGGTCAAAACCTCCTTGCCGAAGTCCGACGGCTACAATCGCTTCTCAATGAACGCGAGAAGAGCGTCGAGAAGCTCAACGAGGAGAAGGACAGCTGGGAAGTGGAGAAGGCCAGCCTCGTCGGTGCGGTCAGAAACGCCGAGTCCAGTGTCGGTGAGCTGTGCCTGTTGAAGTCGGCCTAACGCGTCAGACCGCTACAAGGAGGAAAATTGGAATCTCGAAGTCAACCTTCAAGAACTCCGTGCTGCTCATTCGGACGCTCAAGAGCAACTGACCAAGTCCAACATAGAGCACACCCGACTGAATCGCTCCATCCTCTCTGTCCGTGAACTCGCCGAGATGCACAAGACAGATGCTGAGAAAAACGCTCAACTACTGGAAGACCTCAAAGCCAAGCACGAGACTGATATGGCTCAGGCGAGAAAGAACTACGCAGGTTTGCAACGCGACAAGAGCGACCTCTTGACAGAGCTTCATGTGGAACGCAACCGTCGCGTGTCGGCTCTGAGGGGTCGGATGTCCCGAGGTGCATCCGCCAGTCCTGGTCTATCCACACCCGGCGGAGCCGACGAATCGTTCGAAGAGGACGAGGATGTCTTTGCTGCCACTGTGGACGATGCTAGAAAGCGCAGTCTTGCGGCTGAGAACAATGCTCTTTCACCCGGCAACATCACTGCATTCTCATCTTCGCCCGACCCCACACCGTCCAAAGACCGTGTTCCCCTCTCTGATGTCTACATCAACGAGATTGACGAGCTTCGCGAGAATCTAGAAAGGGCACGAGCCGAGATTGCCACGCTCAAGGGTGAACAGCACAAGGCTCGACGCATGGCATCCCGTGAGGACATCACTCCACGAACATCGGGCGACTGGGAAGAAGAAGACTCTATACTCTCTGGTCGAGGTCGGGGAACAGTTCGAGGTAGACGAGGTCGAGGCAGAGGTTTCGCAGCCAGCCTTTCCCGCAAGCTCGGATTTTCTCGTGTTCCAAGCAGTCTCAGCAACGGTTCGACACCAAATGACAAGTCCTTCAACTCGACCAGCACAGGCACACCAGACCTGCTCCGATACAGGGAATCAGTCTCCCCTGGTCTTGACTCACCCTCCCTCGCTTCTCGAGCCCTCTCGTCTGAAACGTCTCTCGATCGCCCGACCAGCTTTATGGGTCCTTCAACGGCTTTAGCCGATGAGCTGGGCTCTGGTAATTTGGATTCTATGGACTACGCTAGCGGTTCAAATGCCACGGATTGGTCTCCAGAGAAGCAACCTCAGGCCTACCTTGAAAACCAAGTCGAAGTCACGACGCCCACTAAAGGCGTGTTCGCCGAGTCGACCAAGTCCAATATCGAAGAGTCTACCCAACCCACCGGTGAACGTACACCTACCAAACCTGCGAAGGCTCTGCCCATTGCTGTCATCTCGCGACGACCTTCGTCCGTCGCGGATACCACGACCGATGGCGAGACGGATTATGCAGACGCTGAATCCACCATGGATGTTGCGACACCTCGTGAAGGTACAGCCGAGCTGCCAACGGACGCCGATGAATCTTCCTATGCCACAGGCAGAGAATACGCTACGGCGGAATCTAGTGCCGGATCCGACTCTGACGAAGGAGACTACACTCAAAGACTTGGCATTTCCGGAAGTATGCTCGGTCTCGGAGGAGCTGCTGCCGCTGCAGGGGGATATGCGGCCTACAAGCAGGCCCATAAGGTTGCGAGTCGTGATTTGATCCGCGAAAAGATTGTCGAGCGGATCGTTGAAGTTCCGGTGGAGAAGATAGTCGAGGTGGAGAAACGGGTCGAAGTGCCCGTCGAAGTAATCAAGGAGGTCATGGTGGAGAAGCCGATCGAGGTGATCAAAGAGGTCTTTGTCGACAGACCAGTGGAGGTGATCAAAGAGGTCATCATCGATAGGCCTGTGGAGGTCATCAAGGAGGTCATCGTCGAGAAACCGGTGGAGGTCATCAAGGAGGTGTTAAGTGAGAAACCGATTGAGGTGATCAAGGAGATTATTGTCGACAGGCCTGTGGAAGTGATCAAAGAAGTCATCGTGGAGAAACCAGTCGAGGTCATCAAGGAGGTCATTGTCGACAGGCCTGTTGAAGTGATCAAGGAAGTCATCGTGGAGAAACTAGTCGAGGTCATCAAGGAGGTCATTGTCGACAGGCCTGTTGAAGTGATCAAGGAAGTCGTCGTGGAGAAACCGATCGAGGTCATCAAGGAGGTCATCGTTGACAGACATGTCGAAGTGATCAAGGAAGTACCGGTAGATCGACCCGTGGAGATCATCAAGGAGGTCATTATCGACAGGCCTGTCGAGGTCATCAAGGAGGTCATTGTTGACAGACCAGTCGAGATCATCAAGGAGCTTGTCGTGGAGAAATCCGTTGAAGTGATTAAGGAGGTAGAGAAGCCAGTCGAGGTGATCAAAGAGGTTGAGAAGATCATCGAGGTTCCCAAGATCGTCGAGGTTGAGAAGATTGTCGAACGGATCGTCGAGAAGGAGGTTGAGGTCCCGAAGATCGTGGAAGTAGAGAAGATTATCGAGAAGATCGTCAACGTGGATCGTGAGGTCGAGAAACCGGTCGAGAGGATCGTCGAGATACCCAAGATCGTGGAGGTGGAGAAGATCGTGGAGAAGATTGTTGAGAAACCAGTCGAGGTCTTCAAGCAAGTCGAGGTGGAAAAGATAGTCGAGGTGGAACGGATCGTCGAGAAACCGGTCGAAGTGATCCGCGAAGTCGAAAAGATTGTTGAAGTCCAAGTTGACAGGGTAGTAGAGGTGCCAGTCGAAAAGATCGTGGAGAAGATCGTTGAGGTACCTGTGGAGGTCGTCAAGGAGGTCGAGAAGATCGTCGAAGTGCCTGTAGAGGTCATCAAGGAGGTTGAGAAGATCGTGGAGTTACCTGTTGAGGTCATCAGAGAGGTCATCAAGACTATCGAGGTCCCCGTGGAAGTCCTCAAGACGGTCGAGATTCCCGTCGAGGTCATCAAGGAGGTTAGCAAGACCGTTGAAGTCCCCATCGAAGTTGTGAGGATTGTCGAAGTGATCAAAGAAGTCGAAAAGATCGTCGAGGTCCCAGTGGAAGTCATCAAAACTGTCGAGGTACCTGTGGACCGCATTGTCGAGAAGATCGTGGAGAAACGGGTCGAGGTTCCGGTCGAAAAGATCGTCCCAATGCCCTCCCCCACACCATCCTCTCCGACCGTGTCTCCCGACCTTGGGATCTGGCGTGTGCAACCTGGTGCCAATTACGACTTCCTCAAGGCGCCCCCACCTTCTGGCTCTCTGGGAGGCAAGACCCGTGCTTCCACCGAAACATCCGCGCTGGGGCTGGGTTTCCCTGCGGACGATGGCTTGCCCGCCACAAGGGGGCTCTCGCCAGCTTTGACGGTGGATGGTCTTCCACCTGCCTCGCCTTCCGCATCCGTCGACAGGACCCTGCCTCCTACGATGAGCTTACCTCCTCCTCCTACGATTCCGCCGCCTGCCGAGCAGAAGAAGACCTCAACCGGGCCACCTCCCAGGCCACTATCTCCCCCACCAGACGAATTCGTCTCTCGTACTGCTCGCCGCGCGTCCCGACCAGCAGTCGTCACCAAAGGAGCCATGGGCCCTCCAGAATCCGTCATTCGAAAACCATCACGTACGTCCGTCCGACCGCCTCCGAGCCCTGCGGCGTCGGCATTCGAAACCAGACGTCGCGGACACCGTGGCACACTGCCTGCTTCTGGACAATCCAGCTTCTCAATGCGCAATGATAATGGCTCCATCTCATCCATGGGCAGTGTGGTCCCACCGGGAGAGCATAAGCGAAGTGGATCCGTTGTGGCCGGCACCACTGACCCAGCGACCATTCATGCCATTACTCAGACCATGATTGGAGAGTATCTTTGGAAGTACACTCGACGAGCGCTTGGCAAAGGTCAGAGTGAGAATCGACACAAACGATTCTTCTGGATTCATCCGTACACTAAGACGCTTTACTGGAGTGCAAGCGACCCAGGCAGTCTCGGTGCTCAGGAATCATCAGCCAAGAGCGGTGAGTCGAGTCTCTGATTGCAGAGCTGATGATGTCAGTTGTAATCACCAATGTCAAGGCAATTGACGACGCCAATAACAGTCCGCCAGGGCTGCACAGTCAGAGCATCGTTGTGTCTACTACTGGGCGAGACATCCAGTTTACTGCCGAGTCGAAAGATCGACATGATCTGTGGATGTCTGTGAGTCATCCGAGCTAGGTTGCTGGACGAGGCTGATGCTCCTCAAGGCGCTGTTGTTCCTCCTATCGGAATCCGCTCCTACCGGCGTCGCCAACACATTGAAGCATTCCAGTACAGTCCGAGCCATGTCTTCGCGAAGTCTCGCGGCGGATGAGCAAGGCAGATTGACCTACACTCCAACCATCCCCAAATCCCCTATGTCGATGCGATCCCTCCACTCTGTCAACAGCTTCACCATGACGCCCAAGGCATACCCTCGACCACCTTCCGCGTTGAGCGCCAGAGCTGCTTCAGCGATGGAGAAGCGCTCGGGAACTCCTGCATTTGAGTACTATAGAAGACACGAGGTCCCCGCCACTATTCACGGTGGACATCGATACAAGGGGACATACAAGGGTGCGCCTTTCATGGAGGATTTTGACGTGATTACTGCGGAGGATGGAGATGATCCGGACGCCTCATTTGAGGGGATGGACAATGTCAGGGGTGAGGTCATCTGCATACCTTTCTGCCTTCCGTGCTAATACGCTATAGCTTGCTGTGACGGCCGACACACGGTCGGACACCATCATCACCCCGAGAACGAGTCTGTCACTGGACCTCCAGAGCGACCGGCCCCTCGATCCGTCACACCTTCCCTTCGAGCATTTTCTATGCGATCGAGACGTGCTAGTGCTGCGTCGTCCAAGCGACCTGGAATTCCAAAGGGGAAATTCCGAGAGGAGGAGCCTGCCGTGCCCAAGATTGACGAGAGGTCCAAGTCCGTCACGGGACATATCTGAGAGATAAAAGAGGACGTGATGATCTGTACGAACAAAGGCTGCGGTCGAGACTGTGTATATAGCTATGTGAGGGATTTTTTTGGGTATGCCTTTCTGTATGATATGCGATCGATTGGTGTGGTACACCTTTCTTGCTTGCGCGATCATGCCGCATTCGACGTCGTGCTCAAGCGTATCGGAAGTACTCCCATCCGACCCAATTGGCGATGACGAACCAGGATGTGACTGGGACTAGTAATGGAATGAGGTATTTGTAGTGCGCATCATTACAGAGAGGTCGCAGCAACGGTATCTTCACTCAGGAGTCAATGAGCTGCAAGGGATTAGCAATCCACACTCACATCAGGACACCATACATATGATACCGCTAAGAGCAGAGCGAGCAGTGAGATGGTGGCTGAGATCGCGGCTGCAGAATACAGGAAGAAGGGAGAATGTCGCTTGGAATTACCGCCCATGTTTCCGGGGATTCTTCTACATGGGATGGTCTTTCAGCGTCTGGTCGTGGATTCTGTCGATCCTTCAATACGATGAAGAGCTGCGTCCAGAGAGCTGAGTGTCATCTCGCCATGGTACACCAATGATCTCAATTCAATGCTCCAGTTCCGCCGCCCTATTACGCCATTTTGGTGGTCGTTATCATTTGCCTCCGTTTCCCATTCATCTACCATGTGCCCTCTTCTAATAAGTGTGGGATCGACGTCAACAATTCCATTATTCGTGTAACATCTTGTCTTGTCTGTCTTTTTGGACTCTCTGGAGCTCACTATGATGGCAAGTCTTTAGTTCCAACAGATACCATGCGTCGATTCGACACGATGGACGCACTGCAGAGCGGTGTCTAGTCGGAAAAACAACCCACCCATTCATCCGGCACAGTTCATCAACAAAGGGACAGATTGTGACTTTGATCGACGATCTGCCAGGCGAGGAGTTTCAGACAGACTCCAGGTGGTCAAGTTTGATCTACAAGGTCATCTTGATTCAATCTTTGATTGTCCAACCCGCTCAGGAAGTCGGTGACGGCTCTTGACGATTGGGGGCATACACAAACAAACAATTGGTCGAGAGCTCGTCCCTCACGACCATGCCGTCTCTCCGGGTGTTTCATCGTGCTCTGCCTCTCAATGACCAACGTCACCCACCTGCGTCCCGACCAGCTCAGTCTAGAGATAGTCTCACTGTCCCTGTTGCTTCCCCCGGCCTCTCTGCTGTCTCTAGCAACCCTTCATCTAGCTCATCCCTCACGCCAACGGCGGAGCACCCTCCAGGAGGATCAGCTTTCCGTGCTGCACAACCTGGCGAAGCCTCTCGGACGCAGGCTTCATCTACCGATGGTCATCGAGTCTTGTCAAGACTCCATGCGCTATTCAACACGCCCGCAAATATATATGCCCCTGGATCCAGGCCGAATGGGGGCACCGCGGAGATATCTCGAGTCAAGACGGAGCCATCGGGTATCGGGCTGAGAGATTCGGAGATCTTTGGAGTGACCAATCAAGGGTCTCAGGTGCCAGCGGTAAAGGACAGAGATGCTATCAAAGTGTTGATCGTAACGTGGAACATGGGCGAGACGTTGGTGAGTCACGAACTGGAACAGTCTTCCAAGCACGCCTGACATGTAATGCTCTAGCCCAAAGGAGATCTGTCTGTCCTGCTTGGTGATGTTCCGACCTATGACGGCTCTCATCCTTCTGGCCCGCTACCTATGTTTCCTACGGAGCATGGCCATCCATACCACATCGTGGTCGTCGCAGGTCAAGAATGCCCGACACACAGTGGTGTGCCGAGAGGATGGGGAGGAGGGCTGATGAAGGGCGTCAGGGGTGCTCACAAGAAGCACAAGGATGAGAGGCAGAAAGAAGGGGACAAAGCCGTGATTGGCGAGGAGGATGAAGAGATGGACGAAGACGAAGGCTCGGAGGCAGCGCTGCATGTGAACGAGGTGCAAAGGCTCAAAGTTGAAGAACGAGCAACAGCCCAGAGCAACAAGTGTTCTCCGCTGCCGTCTCCTCGACGCCCTCAATCACCAGCAGGTAATAAGAGTGATGATGCCTCAAGCGCAGACGGCCATTGCAAATCACCTCGTGTGCCTATAGACGACGATGAAGGCCGCTCTCAGAGACTTTCTCATTCTTCGTCGATGGAGCGCGGTCACGGAAGTCTGCTCCATCGACACAATCACGGTGGTGGATCCAAAGGCTGGAGCACGATGCTGGATGGTAAGCGTAGCACTAGAGGATTCTCAACTGAGACTTTCGTAGATTGGTTCTGTGGACCGTCCGCCAGCAGGCGGGCGAATCATTCGTCTCAAGATTCTCACCCTGCCCAAACTCCCAACCATACCTCTCTCTCACCTCCGAGAGCTACACCTCATCTCATCAGATCATTTTCAGCCCCTGAATCCCCTACGTCCGCCAGTCTCGTCCAGCCGCCATCCCCTTCAGATAGACTGGCAATACCGGTCACATCTCGCTCACCCCTATCCAGGTCCATATCTACGACTGGTTCCATCGCTAGCAGTGATTCCTCCTCAGCCTCGACGCCTTCGGCAGACATACCTGTAGAGATTCTCTCAGCATCGCCGCCAGCTCTTGCCCTACCAAAACCTTTGGTGCCACCGATAGACATTCCCAAAGGAGGATTGACCGTTCCTCACCCTGTCCACGTCGGATCGATTGATGAGCGACTCATGGTAAAGCCCGAGCTCGTTGTGCCGCTCGAAGAGGGTCGAACTGTTGGTGGGGAGAAGTGCTATCTCCACTTGATCAAAGAGAGACTGATGGGCATGTACTTATCGGTATACGTGTACAAGGGTTGCGAACATCTCATTCAGGGTAAGTATGCGGCTGAGGAGAACTCGAGCTTACCTGCTCATAGGCGTCGACAAGGATTTTGTCACAGCTGGCTTGGCTGGTGGACGGGTAGGCAATAAGGGCGGAATGTGAGTGCACTAACCCTCGCTCGACCTACTCACATTCTTGCAGCGGGATCAGCCTCAAACTTGCGGATCACAGATTCCTTTTTGTTAACTCTCATCTCGCTGCTCATACAGCTCGAGTCAATGCTCGACTCTCCAATATCGCCAAGATCAAGTCCGAATTACGGCTCGATACCTTTTTGGCCAAGGATGATCAATTGAACGAGCTGGAAGACCTGACTGACAGATTCGACACGGTCTTTTGGTGTGGCGATCTGAATTTCAGGCTTGATCTGTCGAGACTCCATGCCGAATGGCTTGTTGAGAAAAAGAGTAGGTGATGTCCGTGACTGAGCTTACCCATTACAGAGTACAGCGAGGCACTCATGTGGGACCAGCTGAAAAATGCCATGAAAGACGAGGCGAAAAATCCGTTCCCTGGATTCCAGGAACATACGATCGACTTTCCCCCAACTTTCAAGTATGATGTCTGGCGATCACTCAAGGCTACAAATCGGGAGCTGAGGCGCAATCTGCGTCGAAGGGGCACGATGGACAATCGCCAAGCCAAGCAGATCACGAATGGTCCTGAGACGCCTGTCACGCCTATACAAGACAAACTGCCCCACGTTCTCGAGTCCCACGCAGAGCACGCAGGGGAGTTGGCGGACAATCGATCGTTCCTCAGTCAACGGGAAAGTGATGAGGATGCCAGAACCATACATTCTCGACGTTCCATCGATTCTTCCGTCTATCAGTCTGGTGTACCGTCCACTGCGGGCACCGATGTCTCAGATGCCGAATCCATGTTCCGCCAGCCGATCGATTCCAGTGCCTATGGCTCTAAACATAAGGCGCTGGAAGTTGCTATCAAGAGCAAGACGAAGAAATTCTTGGGTCTTGTCAAGATGGACGGAGTGTTCAGATCTGTCTCCTCCTCATCTCGTCGAGCATCTGATCGCCGGCCTCAGCTGGGGAGAAGTTACGAAGAAGACTCCCCAAGACCTAGTGGAGATTTCGACGCTGAATCCCGGAGGACATCGATATCGTCTATGGGGACCATGTTGACGCAGGACAATGAATTTGCAACGAGCTTAGGCGACGGAAACAAGGTGAACGGATTGCTTGTGCCTGGCGTACTACCCAATCCGCAGACTCCAGAACTCGCCCCAGCGTCGAGTCCCATGTCCCCACCTCGTCGAGGGATCAGAAGACTGTCAATGGTGCGGCGTATGCCCTCTACCAGGTCCACAAAGGATCGACAGTCGCATGAGGATCACTCACGGGAGGGCGAGCTGGACGAGCTAGACACTACGGATCGGAGAGAAGGTGTATATGATACGTCTAAAAAGCAGAGAGTACCAAGCTGGGTGAGTAATATTCGTGGATGTCCCTGCTGACATCGCAGTGTGATCGTGTACTATGGAAGACCCGAGTCGTTCCCGACGCACCCGAGTCTCCGCCTGATTCACCCTGGTCTAGTCAAATGATGGATTCGAGTCATTCCCATAGACCCCTCAACCGTTTATCTCAAGCTTTTGTCAATTTCGGGGGTCATCTCCGACTGCCCGTCTCGCGATCAAATACGATCGAGCCTGCTGCGTCCGATCGCCATCTTGGCACACGAATATTGGGATCCATGGCTCGACGTGGCTCGATCGAAACGCGGTCTGAGTCACCTCATCCTGTCGATACATCCGGTGGCCCCGCTCTCCTCGTCAATTCGCCCGAAAATAGTCCCCGGGATCTCGTCACTGATCAGATCTCTCCGCACAACACCAAAATCACCATCCCTTCTCCTCGCCGACCTACCCTGATCATTCCTGATACAGATATGAAACGACAGCGATCGGCCGGCGTATCTCCGCATCCTCTGTTAGACAACCTCGGATCGAAGATCTCTCCTCCAGCCGATCCGAAAGTCACGTTTGACCCTGCTCTGGCTGCGGACAGGGATCGAGGCATGGCGACCGCGGTAGGATCGATGTATCGACGTCGGGCCAATTCAGATAGCGTACCGGTTGGAATGACCTCGCCTTTGAGCCTCGAACCTGATAAAGAAGCTAGCTCCCCAAGTCTACGCTTTGATACCAGTGCAGCTCAACCAATTCGACGCCTGTCGCTCCCACGCCATACATCTCGGCACAATTCGTACGATCAAGCGAAAGGCGTCCCCAAAGCTCCGACAGAGACCACACGCCGGACTTCGGGTGGATCTCTCCGCATGCGGTCTCGAACTAGGACGTTGGACTCTGTCACAAGCACAAGCACGGCCATCTCGTCCAGGATCACACCTCACAATTTGTTCCGCGGATCGACGAGCGGCGCAAATGACCGAGGTGATGATGCACAGGATGACAGTAATGCTTTTGTCAAGTTTCTCCGAGACATTCAATCATTGCCCAATTGGCTCCATCGAGGGAGCGTTGTGACTCCTGTCAGTCCAGTCGTTGCGCCTGTAGTCGAGGATGTCAAACCTGCACGGCATCAGCATGGGGAAGTCGTGTGTATGCACTATGGCACCATCGACGATGCAGGGTGAGTTACGATCGAAGTGGGAGATCGTCTGACTGACGGCTGTGTTTTGCAGTATGAGACAGCTAGAAGGTAGATCGTGAGTGTCTGCGTTGTTGATCGATGCTTCCTGGCTGACACTGTGCCATCGTCAGTGATCATCGACCGGCGATCTTTTCGGCAGCTGTGTATGTTGGGTAGAGCGAGGATGCACTTGTAGAGCATAGACTATTGATCTGTTTTCTTATAATACTTGTGATCTGCTCTGTGAACATGTAGCCAATAGCATCAAGGCAGACCTGCCAATCTGAAGATGAGGCTGCGAACCGTTTTGCAGGTTTGTGTGCTGTATCAATATACATGGGTCACGGCTCTGACTGAATAAAATTATGGAATGACGATACATCATCAAGACGACGAGCGGCGATTTCGTAATGTCTGGTTTGATATGTACATGCGGTCTGGTTTGATGTCTCCCGTGGGACCCATCACTGAATCGCAAAGCCTTCGGGAGCCTCGCCAGCAGCCCCATAAGCCTCACTGACGTCTGCCAAAGGTTGATCTCCAGCCACCCATCGAGCTTTTCCTTCGCTTCGACCCTTTGAGCTCTTGCCAGCATGTGACTCAGTCAAACCTAGATGATCCTCCACGGCATCTCCCAAATCCACACCTGCTCCTAAGATCCCAGCGAGAGCTCGACCTTTCTTTAATGAGAGAGCGCCTCGACCATTTCCAACAAGGCCCCGGAGTTCCAAGACAGTTTCATCTCTGACACCGACCATTTCCGGTCCGACAAGGCATTGGGCGCGGGAGAGAGCATTCTCACTGTTCTCACTATCTGTCCTGAGATTCTTTGGCCGCAAAGTCTGAACGGGGGAATGTATACCGAGAGCGGAGAGAGATGAGATAGATCCAGCTTGACGGCGTGTTTTAGACCGTGTTCTCGAAGCCGGGGAGTCTAGGACCGAAGGTGCTACGTTCTCCTTATCTCTCGTAGAGGAAGATGGAGTGCTCAATTTGCCCCTCTTCATTGGAGACTCGTATGATTTGGAAGCGTTGCTCGCAGCATTCTCTTTGAACCGAACGACCGAGGCGGATTTGTCCCCAAGCTGTGATGGGAGATCTGGTTGAGGAAAGGTGGACACGGCGGTATCGGGAGGGGATGGGAAGGCATCGAATTGCCGTTTGGATGTAGCTGAGGCCGTTGTCTTTTTCGATGAACCGGATTTACGGATCGACCCTGAGGGTTTAAGGGAGGAGGCGGTGGTGGTGGTGGTGGTGTTGGTCGATGTCGAAATGGCAGTTGTGGTGGTGCTTTGCTTGGGGTTGATCGGTACCTTTGGTTTGTCGATTGCAGACGCATTGACTTTGTCGTCGGATGGCTGGACAGAGGAGAAGCCAATTTGAGGTTTGACAGCCGATGCTTGAAGTGCAGAGAGCGCTTTCCGACCCGTCGAACCGGATAGAGGAGGGAGGGTTGAATTAGATTTAGGATGGGATTTGAGGGTGGAGGACGCCTGCCTGAGGGATCGTTTGGTAGGCGATACGACTGATTGAGAAGTCCCAGCTTCATTTGATGCTACTGGCGAGTCCGCGTAGATGGCGAATATCGCGCCCTTCTTCTTCGTGACGGGCATGTTGCGGCGATTCAAAGTGTGTGCTGGACTATCAATGTATGGTGAGGTGACGGGGATAACGTTGAATTTAGTGGGTTATCCTGGCAACAAGAACAAGAAGAGGGGGAGACAAAATCTGGTGACCACTGAGCTATTCCAGACCCGCCGTTGCAAGACAACGACGATCAGGGTTTCGAGAACGATGACAAGAGAATGTTCAATGATATTATTCTTTCTGAATGTGCCAAATAGAAAGCAATCGCGGTCTCAAAAAACAATCCAAACAAGGGATTGAGCATGACGTGGCAATATACAGGGCGGCGGGGATCTGTTAGAGAGCCGAGTTGACGAGTAAGATAGTGAAGGAAGCAGAGTCTGTATGCACACTACGGGTCAGCAGCATGACGGTACAAGGTCTTACTCAAGCCTCTGACCTGTTGGTTCAGTTCTAGATACGACGTGACACGTCGAGAAAGGGCCGACGAGACAGGAAGACCCCATCCCCCGCCTTATCACCCGCCCGGTGCCACTCCGACGATCCGGACATTGAAACGTTCCGAGTTGCACACTCGGCCAGCTAGAGATCATGCAACGGCAATCCTGATGTGTGTGCGGAGCTGGGAGTACTGAGAGATCCCCTGAAGTGAAGTGCTTGTTCAGAAGCCAGTGGCTGCATGATCCGCAAGCATGTCTGGTGAGCTGCCTCTTACCTTGGTGTCGCCAAGCTCATCCCTCTCAAGGTTTCCAAAATGCCAGTGTTACAAAGGGTGGGTTTGCCGAAGGGAGCCCTGAGAACGAGACTCGATGCTCAAGCAGTGCTCTAAGGGATGATGATGCTCCTCGGTATATCTTCCCTCACTGTGTCATTACTAGATGTGAAGCCGTACCTGCACCTTCAGCTCGTTCCGCACATGACAAAATACCATCAGGTAGGTGCCATCTGGGCTGCTATCTGCCGAGGAGCAACTGATCCGGAGGACAGTTCTGGCGAATCGTCATTCATCCACTGGCATTCACCAATTCTTCTGAGCTCCTAATGGGCTTGGTATTGCTGTATACAGTCGGCATACCGATAGAGCGGTGAGCGGGGAACCTCTATCGCGGGAAAACAATGGAACTGATCAAGAGACAGGTCTTTTGGCCCACGCAAATACGCTGTGAGAGCTGATCACACGATATCGTGGTTCCTAAGGTCTCGCTTATGACATCCTGACAGTCGTTTGTCCTCGTCTCTTCTCTCGTCTCAACCGTCTTCTCACTCATGGCCCTTGTGTTCCTGCATAAATTCGGTCTGCGATATATCCCCGCAGGCCCTTATGGAGTACTCTTCAGCTTGTAAGCCATTCACGGCGAACGCTCGCTGAGACCTCAGACTATGGCAACATTACCGTATCATTCCTACGCTGTATACCTATCGAATACTTGGCATCGAGCTTTCCGACAAGGCCATCGCATGGATGCAGGCGTGCATCGTGAGTGTGCAGGCGACTCTTCAGTCCGAATCTGAAGTGCAACTCAGCTCTACCTTTCCGACATTCCCGCATCGGTCCTCGCTGCCTCCTCGGGTCTTCTCACTGGCTATCTCTACAGGACCGACACACTTATTCCTCTACCGTCATTTCGATATCGTCGACTCCTGCGACCATTGAAGACTTATCGAATCCCTTTATCCCTTTACTCCCTATTATCGAGACTATTTACACCTCTCATCGGTGAATCTACTGCACCTCGTAGAGCCAATCGTGTGCTTCCTGGGCAAATCAATTCGACCAGCTCGGCATTACGTCCCGGAACAGCTCCCAGCCTCAGCTCCTTACTGGCTGGTCGATTGGGCGGGGCTAACCTGACTCGACGCCCGACGGCGACAACTCCAGTTCAGACCGAGGACCGACCTGTCACACCCCCTGTAGGCACCCCTATCAACACCGCTACGCCATCACGCGCCGCAGCCATTCGCCAGACTCTGCTTGATAGAGCGGCAGCCACGTCAGGCAATGGGCCCGGTGCTGGTAGTGCTAGAGGAGCCGTTGGTGAATGGGTCAGTGACTTGACAGGTAGAGGGAGTGCCAGAGCTCCAACGGAAGAAGAGATTGGAGCGTGAGTCGGCGTCCGGATCAGAATCCGATTACCAATACTGATCATGGTCGTTCAGCTTGTCCAACATGTTTCCTAACCTCAGTCGAGAAGTCATTGTTCGAGCATTGCAGCGGAAGTGAGTTCGCAGTCATGCCAGTTGCATCTTAGGGGCTGATGGGTGTTTCCTCAAAGCGATCACAACACAGCTCAAGCTGTCGAGGCGTTGCTTCAAGAGGGGAGCTAGAACGTGCTTCTTGTTTATCTTGTTCGCCTGGGTGCTCTATCATGCATATGTGTATTGCTACAGGGTGTTACATAGTGGTGCGTCCTCTGATAAAAGGGGTGTCCCTGCTCGAAAGGTTCGTTCTATGAGCTGATTGTTCAGCGGAGACAAGGGTCAGGGGTTGAATTCGCTCACTGTTCCTCTCATTTGCGTAGGTGTTTGCTACTTATTTGATTCTGCTTCTTCCTTGTCCTCCACATTGGTACCCTCTTCGGCCTTGCCATCCTCTGGCCCCTGACCGATCTCCTCTTCGACCTTGCCTAGGTTCGCTAACAGCTTATCCAGCCGACCGTCCAGATCATCCGCCACGTGTTCAGCCGCATCCATCTGAGCGAGTATCCTGGCGATTTCCAGATCGCCTTCTCCCTCGCCTTCCGCACCTTGGCCTCCATCTTCATCTCTACCAAGGCCAGGAGGTAACATACTGGGATCAGATATCCTCAGAGCCTCGATAAGCGGTCTGAGGACCTCCAAATCTTGAGGAGATAGCGATGACAAGTCCACATCGTCGATCTCCAAGTCTCCTAAATCTCTCAAAGCCCGCATAGTCTCATCATTTTCTTCTTCACTCCTCTGAGCCGATGATTCTTTACCGTTCACCCGACCATTGCTTAGAGTATCAACTGGCAGTACTGGTACAGATGTCGTGAACTCTTTTGAACCCGATACTGATCCTCCCGGTATCCTTTCTCTCGCCGTTGCTTGAGCCACCAGATCCAAATCTGACATGTCCATGTTAGCTAGGGATGCAGGTCGTGTAGAAATGGAGATATAGTCATGAACTGTTGAAACTCCATGGCAAGGCTTGGCTCGATATTCCGCTCACACCTGAGGTACATTACGTAAAGCAAAGGAGGTTTGAACCGAAGCTGCTCCTCAAGTTTGTATCTTTTGAAGCTTCCGAGTTTCGAGAACCAAGCGATATGGCAGCGTCTGATACCTCAAAGCTCGGCAAGAGAGCTCGCGAAGGATCACATGGTGCAGATTCCCCCGAGGATGGACAGGAAGCTGGTCCTGCGGTACCGGAGATGCCAGGTGCAGATGTAGAGGACAGTTCAGACGAAGAGATTGGACCTATGCCGAGTGCTGGAGGTGATGGAGTCAATGAGAGTTCAAATGGCAAGCGGAAGAAGAAAAAGAGAGCGGGTGAGTGACGGTCATCTGGCGGATGATGGCGCAAAGCATGCCGTAGGGATCAATCTGACCTGCGAACAGTACTACCTCACGAGCGACTCTACCTGGATCATTTACCAGATACGGATAGGTATTACAAGTCTTTCATGCACCGAGACGTGGTGAACTACGTCGCAGTGACGAGGTAAGTCCAGGATCCGAATTGGCCTGTATCTTGTGAAACACCAGTCGCTATTAGCGCAGAAGTTAACCAACCTTTTGATGACTTCTTGGTGACGTATCTAGATCTGCTTCTCTCGAGGTCTGGTCCGATGCTGGAGCTGACCATTGACTTTAGGACCAACTTTGTGATCACAACCTCTATCGACGGGCATTTGAAGCTGTGGAAGAAACAAGACCAAGGCATAGAATTTGTCAAACACTACCGAGCTTCCCTAAAAGCCATTGTTGGGGTTTGTGCAAGTGATGATGGCAAATTATTTGCGACCGTCAGTGAAGGAGGAGAGGGCAGAGTCTTTGATGTGGTCAATTTTGGTGGGTCGTGTCTCACAACTTGTTCCGACACAGCTCGCTGACATCTTGCTTCCTTCAGACATGATCAACATTTTCAAATTCACATTTGTACCCAAAGCATGTTGCTGGATACATGAACCTGGTGCTGGGCAGACGCTACTCGCTGTTTCCGACATGGCCTCGCCAACGATCCGCATATACGATGGCAGAGGAGATGGAAATCCATTGTACAAGCTGGAAAAAATACATAGGGCTCCTGTCCACCTCATGGTAGTAGGTTACTTCACTGTCCGCTTTGTCGATGCTGTGCGCTTACTATCAACCCAGTACAACTCTCGATACGACTGTGTGATATCCGCCGACGAAGCTGGATTCGTCGAGTACTGGCAGCCGAGCGAACCATGGGGTCTACCAAGCATACCAAATCTGTGGCAATTCAAATCTCAGACCGACCTCTTCCATTTTAAAAAGGTGAGTCAAGATTGCTACTCGATGGGAATGTCTGACGATGCTGGCTTTAGAACAAAACCATTCCCACATCCCTCACATTCTCACCCTCTGGCTCACATTTCGCCTGTCTCGCTCTACCCTCACGCGCGGTCCATGTCTTTTCCTTCCACAGCGCAAAACTTAAACGGACATACGATGAATCACTTACGGCAATTCAAGAGATGCAGCAGGCAGGTACGGCTGTGTATCAGCTCGACGATATGGATTTCGGGAGACGTCTGGCCATTGAGCGAGAGCTTGAAAGGGATGGTAGCGGTCCAGGAGGTGCTTTGAGGACAGCCAATGCAGTCTGGGATGAGAGTGGGAACTTTTTGTTGTACCCTACCATGTTAGGCATAAAGGGTGAGTTCAGGGATTGATACAGTGACGTCCTGCTGAGAAGGTGTTCTCCAGTCATCAACACCGTCACCAACAAGGTCGCTCGGATCATTGGCAAAGAAGAATCGTTACGTTTCCTTAATTTGTCCTTATATCAAGGCGCTCCGTCCAAGAAGGGTGTTACAACACTGGCAATGGCGGCGTCTGCCAATCCGTTGTTACAGGAGAAGGCGGTCAGAGATCCTCACTTGATATGTACGGCGTACAAGCGCCAAAGGTTTTACATGTTCGCCAGGGAAAGCGAGTGAGTCGCGTACCTCGCCCACGCTGGCGACTCTTCTGACACAACCCTCAGGGAGCCGAAGAGCGGCGAGAGAGATGTCTTCAATGAACGTCCGACCAGAGAGGATCAGACTATGGCTGTTGCGCCAGCGGAGGAGAAGGCTGCATTGCCTACTTTGTGCACGATTCATACGACTGAAGGGGACATCGTGAGTACTCTGATGGTCAATGAGCTGACACTGGTTGCAGAAAGTCAAGCTGTACCCAAATATTGCGCCGAAAGCTGTCGAAAACTTTACAACCCATGCGAAGAATGGCAAGTGTACCGCATTACTCGGCTGATTTCTCTCAGGCTACTACAACGGTTTAATCTTCCACCGTGTCATTCGGAAATTCGTGAGGTCGGCCCCTTCGGCCCGAGTCTGACCATCCACAGATGCTCCAAACGGGTGACCCCTTTGGTGATGGTACGGGCGGAGAATCCATCTGGGGAGGGACTTTCGAAGATGAAATCTCTCCTGATGCGCGGTTTGATCGGCCGTACACGCTAGCCATGGCCAATGCTGGTGAGTGAAAAGGAAAGGACGCTGTTGTTTCGCTGAGGCATTTTCTTCTTCGCTTTGCAGGACCCAAGACAAACGGCAGTCAATTCTTCATCACGACGGTATGTCGGTCAGGGGGGGACGGAATTTGTTTTTGTTGCTGATGTCAACAGGTCCCATGCCCTTGGCTGAATGACAAGCATACGTGAGTGGAGTGGGAGTGGGAGTGGGAGTGGAGTGCGAAGAAGCGCTGACGCTTTTTTTCGCAGAATCTTTGGGAAAGCCACTGCTGGGTTGGATATCATTCATAATATTGAGAATGTCAGTGTGGATAAGAACGATAAGCCATGGGAGGAGATCAAGATGATGTCCATATCTGTCGAGTAGCAAGGCGGGAGCCAATGCATAGCTGTCAGTTCAACTGGGGTATGAGGCCAGCGAGGCAAGCCGCGACACCGCACTATGATCCAGGATGACGCCATGCAAAGGGGAGAGCCACATGGCGGATGAGCTCCACGTGGCAATTTGTCTAATTCCGCCCTATATCCCCCCCCCCCCCTTATCCCCAACGTTGACCCTTTTTGCTTCTTCTGATCTTTCTCCCTACTTTCTACTGCTGCTCCCACTGCTGGTTATACACTCTATATATCTTCGTCTCAACAACTACATGTACAAGACCCGTCTAGTACAATCATTGAAAGCCACACCACTCGTTGCTCGTAGATCTTTCAGCGTATCATCAGCCAGAATGGGAGTCACCGTTGAAGTAAGTTTGGTTCAGTGGTGAAGGGGAAGTCAAAGCAGAGGGAACAGTGTTACACGTTTGTTCCCTCCTACCTGTGACAACACCAAAGGGTCAGAAGGAATGAAAATACTGATGCTGGTCTATGACAGACCATCTCGCCCGGAGACGGCAAGAACTTCCCTAAGCAGGGGTGAGTAGACTGTGGTCCAACGTAGGAGGACGAAAGCTGACGGTACCCGTCTCAGAGACACCGTTCACATGCACTGTCAGTATCTTGATGGCTCGACTGGGTTCTGAGTCTTGGCTGACGATTGACTTGCTTCTCTTCTCTTCTCTACTCATTCACTGTCACGCCTCGGAATACCACAACTTTACTCGACTCCTCTGTCGGGTGCTGCAATCTTTTTGGCCTTATTTTTTGATCATCTTGGGTCGCTTTGCGACTATGATCTGTACCCGACACACGCTGCGCATCCGTACTCTGCTTAATCGTGGGAATTTACATCTCACAGACGTTGGAACTCTCCAGGACGGATCCAAATTCGACTCGTCCCGAGACCGTGGAAGTCCCTTCGTCACTCCCATCGGAGTCGGTAAGTTGCAACCAGCTTTCAACACAGAGATCTCGTTTCTGACACACTCCGTCAGGCCGAGTCATCAAAGGCTGGGATGAGGGTGTCCCTCAGCTCTCCCTTGGACAGAAGGCCAACCTTATCTGCACGCCCGACTACGCGTACGGTGAGCTACGGGTAGATCTGCTCATATTTTTCGGCGTCAAGCTTATTTTTTGGTTTACAGGAGCTCGAGGATTCCCTCCCGTCATCCCGGCCAACGCCACGCTCAAGTTCGAGGGTGAGTGCATGCCTTAGGGCTTGCTGGCTGGCTGGCTCGAGAATCAATTTCCATTCCCAAGCTGACCTCGGCCAATCCCAGTCGAGTTGCTCAAGATCAACTAGAAGATTCTAAATTTGTGGCGCGGTCAGACGCGCAACACGAGATTGAGGATTGACAGAAATATTCGGAGGTGATTGAACATACACGATACCAACATTCAAAAAAGTAGCAGCTTGATCATGACAAGATGCATCGTATAGACCGTGATTAGATCTGGGCGGTGAGGCAACAAGGTCGGTCAAGTTCAGAGTCACTCAACACACAGAATGCATGCCTTCGATGCTTGATCTACTCGTGCTCGGGCTCTTCCTCGATCTGCTCCTCTTCGATCGCGCCAACATCGAAAGCATCCTCCGGCACACGGTAAAGTCGGACGATTGGCTGCGGATTGTGAGCGCTGTCCAAGCGAATATGCAAGAGCTGTACTCACGTTGTTCGGATCCTTGACAAGCACGTATTTGCCCTCGGGCTGCTTCAAGACAAGATCGGCAATGGTCCGCACGATACCCCATCCGTTGTTCAGCGAGACATTCATCTGTCTGGCAAAATCAATGGGTTTGTAAGACTGAACGCCGACAATGACATGTCGGGCAGCATCACGAGGATTGGCTCGAGAAATGTATCTGAGCACAGGAATCAGTCACTCCGGCAAAATAGAGGGGATTGCTCGACTTACCCCATCTTCATCAACTCGGCGCCCGCCAAGACACTTTGCACTGCCCACCTAGCCAGCTTGACGCTGTTGTTCTTCATTTCTCCGGCGACAATGGCGCCCTTCTGTGTGTCCAGATTCTTTCGCCAGTCAAGAGGTTTGCCCGATCCTCCTTGAACTCGCGGATCATACTCATTCAAAGCCTTGACAGTGACGAGCGAGTCCTTCTTGCCGAGATAAGCATCCACTTCGGTCCTAACGATAATATCCATGACTTCATCCTCATTGACGGAGAGGTCGTATTTTCTGTATCTGTACAGGCAAGACGCAGGTTCGTCTTGCTCTTGTTCGGCCGAGTAGAAAGGGTTGGGCGAAGGTTCATAGGTTTTTGATTTAGGAAGAATGACTTGAGATGCAAAGTTGTGGTTGATGTACGTCGCTTCGAGCGAGAGAGAAGCTGGCGAGTTGATGTTGTTTGGATCGTCAGAATCCACAGGGGGGTCCGCGGCGTTCTCGTTGACACTGACGAAATCGAAAGGTCCACCTTCCCTCTTGTCCATGAAGAGTTGGTCTCCTCGTCGTTCGAGGATCAAGTCCCATGAATTGACGGATCGAGGTGCGCACATGAGGACAGAGAGGATAGAATCCGTCGCGAAGACATGAGCGGCCTTTTTCGAGGCCAACTGAGAGATGATAGGGTCGTCCGAGGTCGAAGCATTGTATCGGACCCTGTCCAGAATCTCCAATGGTTTTTCGTTTCGCGTGTTGATGCGGTCAAAGTTCTTGTCAAAGTTCTGAATCATTCCGTGGGATTCACTGGGCACAATATGGGTTAGCGAAACCCTTTACAAAACCTGGCGGAAATTAGGTGCTCACAGATCCTCGGGTTGATCCACCCCTAGATTGAGCTTGGACAGGCGAGAAAATTCGATTTCCTCAAGCAGCGCCCAGTCAGGCGATATAGTCACGGACGAGTCTCGATTGCGCTGAGGCTGAGATAATCGTTAATCATTCGTTTCTTCCGAATCAATCCATTAGGCACACCTTGTTCCAATCATTGTATCCTCCACGTCCACCAGTCCTGTAATTTCTGGCACCGGCACCACCTCGCGCACCGCCTCTCGCACCACCCCTATTCTGTCCAAATCCTCTTCCCCTTCCAGCACCGAATGGCAATCTCGCCTTGGTTTGTCTCCTCTGTCCACTGTCAACCAATGAAAAGCTCTTTTCGTCTTCTTCATGCACGTATCCAAAGGCATTCGACTCTGAAGCTCCGTATGCCTCACGCGTCCGTCGTTGAGAGGTGTATCCAGCTCTGCCACCTCGAGTGTTGGCCTCTGCAGCATCGTGCCAGTCGGCAATTCGAGTGATCTTGTCTGCTTTAGAGTATGGTGCATAGGGAATGCTAAGAAAGGGCGTTGAGCTCGAGGCCCAGTGATGGAGTCTACTTACTCCTTGAATTGAGCCGGGAGAGTGCTGGAGCTTGGTCCCCATGACCCGTCTTCGTTGTCGTGGATGGGAGGGAGAGTGAAATCTAGCGTCATGGTGATAGCTTCCAACCCAGCCGATGTCCAATGATACTGGAAGCTCAAGTCGAAACTTTGCAGATACTGACCCCCTCCCCAATACTTTAATCGCGCCTCCCGATTAAATTTTGAATTTCACTGGTCCATGAAAAATGTTCCTCTTGTGCACACTTTCGTAGATTCGCAGTCGAGGTTGTTGTGAGCGAAGCGTCAAGGCTCATCTTGAGGCTAGTTTGGCGGGATGGAGGCCGAAAGTATGGTGTCCGGGCCATCGACACCTCGAGAAAAGCGAAAGAAGACCCGTAGTAAGCCTCACAGCGCCGTCAAAGAGGGGTCCGGCTTTACCCCGACTCTGGCTATGGACCTTGATCCACTGGTCCAAGCGAGCTCTTCCAGGACACCTCAAGCTGTCGAGAAGACCTCATCATCTCGTAAAAAGAAGCGGTCCAAGGGTACACTTCCCGCTGGGGAACCGGCTGCCGCTACACTCGTCGATAAGACTGGCAAAGACCAGGCAAAGGTTGATAAAGTCAAAAAGCGAGAGAAGAAGGAGAAGAAGCTGGCCAAGAAAGAAAGGCGAAGGGAAGAGAGAGATAAAGGAAAGAGGAAAGATGAGGAAGTATGGGATTATGTCCCGCTCGCTCAAGATCAAGCGTCCTCTATACCTCCCATCTGGTCCCGAGATCGAAAGTGAGTGATGGGTGTTCCTGTATGAGATCGATCAAGTCTGACCCTGTCTCCAGGTTTTACTTCACAGTCTCCCACACTTCCATACATATCCATTCATCCACCGGTCCGACGTTCAAACGGCTGTCAACATTGTGTTCCACTCATCGCGAAGGACATAGGAATCGAATCACTGGCATTCAACTGCACCCGACCAATCCATTTCAGTTGATCACTTGTGCTCTCGATGGCAATGTCAAAATCTGGGACTGGATGGAGGGAAGATTGATTCATACGATTGAAGTCGCTCTTGGAGGTCACTTGAATCATCTCTGCACAGGACAGGTCGACGGAAAGTGGTTCATCTTCGCCACGGCCGCCATTCGAAAAGAGGGTAAATCCCCCAAGCCTGATGGTAAGCGTTCCTGGCGCTCCGCTGTGTCGTTGCTTATCCGTCACAGGTTCTCACCTTCGTCATCGTGTTGTCAGACTGAATCTTCCGCAGTCAAAGAAAGTCGATTCGGCAGAACCAATACGACATGTCGGGAAACTCTCTGTACCGCCCTCGGCCCTATTCATCTCTCCCAGTAACTCGTACCTCGTGGCATTGGCAGGCAACAAAGCTTACACCTATCGCTTGCCATCCTCGACCATTGATCCAGCGTGGTCACCGAAATGTGTAAAATTCGTTTCTGATCAAGTCTTCACCTGTGGTTTGTTTGCGCCTGCTTCCTCGTTGAATGATTCAGACGACGAAGAATGGTTTGCTACGGGGGACGTCAAGGGCATGATACGATTATGGCACGGTCTATCTACGGCGTTCAGACAGCTGGAGGCCATCCGCGATGGCGCGGATCCAAGCCCTGAACAAGAAAAAAGATTGCCAACGACCTCACTGCATTGGCATGCGCACGCCGTCGGAGCATTGGCTTTCAGCCCGTCTGGCGCTCAGCTCTTGTCTGCTGGTCAGGAGAGTGTTCTCGTTCAGTGGCATCTGGCAAGTGGAAAACGCGAGTACATCCCGAGATTAGGCGGACGAGCCATCATATCCCTAGCGGTGAAAGACGCCAGTACCGGTACTGATGAGGAATGGTGGGCAGGCATGGCCGACGGGACCATGATTCGGATCGGAGCGTCTTCTGGTCAAGTTTCAAATGTCGGTCAAGGCGTTCGCCTGGATCCGCTTCGACCGAAGAACGCCAGTGCACCATATCCATTGGCTCTGCATCCACCATCCAAATCAGTCGTTCTGCCCTCATCCCATCCCTCCACCCTGCAGTTTGTCGATCCAATCTCATCGACAGTTCAATTCAATCTTGAAGTGTCTCCCTCCAACCGTGTCTCGAAGCGGGATGAAAAGGAGCTGGAGCCTATCGCCGTCGATTATGTAGCTTTCAATGATGCCATGGACAAGACGCAAGGCGACAGATGGATGGCCACGATCGAAGGGAGGAAAGGCGATGAGCAGCAAGGCGGAGGATCTGTCCGGACGCTCAAATTTTGGAAATGGCTCGGAGATAGGTGAGCTATCATGATCCTCCTTGAAATACGAGCTGACGAATCTCAGGTATGCCGTCAACACACAATATCCACAACCGCATGATTTGGACGACATCGTCTCGCTCACATTTGCACCCGCACGATCTTCGGATCTCACTGCCGACCCGCTTCTTTTGACTTGTTCAACGAGCGGTACAGCCAAAATCTGGATAGTCAGGCAGGCCAAACGGAGTAGTGAGAGTGAGTCGACCGAGCCTGTGTTCGCATTTCACACCCCTTGCTTCCTACCCCACGGATGAACAAAACATACATTACCCAGTCTTCACTGGTTCACCGACACACCATGTGGAATCACATTCTGCAATCCTGATCGTCATCTTTTCCATCAAAACGTTCACCCGCCGCAATGGGTCGCTGATCATTCTCACAGGCAAAGCCGGCAAGAAGCTTTCGATTGTTGAGAGTGAGTCATTAGATTTCTTGAAATCCAGTCACTACCTCTTTCCGCCCTATGATGATCAATTATTTCAAGCTCAACAATCTGAACTCCTGTTGATTCATACTCTTCTTCTATTTCTTCTGAGGGCATCCTTCCCATCACAATTTCCACCTTGCACCGTTTTGCCGCTGGACGAGCTGACAATGTGCAGAGTTTTGGACCTTGCGCAATACGTTCTCCTACCGTGACATGCCTATTTACGCCGCTTGCTTCTCTCCAGATGCAACGATAGTTGCTCTGGCACACGGATCAGTTCTCTCGCTATGGGACGCGCAAACCGATGTCTTGCTCAAAACCTTGAGTGGGCCCCTCGAGACGCGTCAGATGTCTTTCATCACATCTGACGGGCGATATCTGGCGACTGCTGGGTTTCGATCGGGCTTATCAGTTTGGGATCTGCTATCCTGTCAAGGTACGTCTACGATCATAATGTTTGGCGAACGTATTTGACCTATAGTAGCTGCATACACGTCCGACACCAAAGTGTCTAGACTCGTTGGCATGCCTTTGCAGGACACGTTCGTCATCGCTGCGCCATCGGATCATGAACTTTGGCGCACGACACTCTCCATCTATAATGCGACCGCCTCCAATCCTATCCGCCAAGTTGTTGTTCGTGCCAAACTCGCTCGTCTGATCGCCCTGCCTGGTACACAAGGATCAGACCAGCTCGAATTCCTGGGTACGACCTTGACTGGTGAGGTCTTGCGCTTTGGAGACGATGTCTCTTGGAGTCGAGGACGCCATGCCAGAGTCAATAAGAAGGAGGAGAGAGATACGTCCATATGGCAGGAAATGTTTGGCAAAGAGGCTTTCGTGAACCTGGACGACACTGCGGCAGCTACAGAGGCAGCATCGAGCGAAGTTGTGGCGAGACCTCCTGGCCGTCCGAGCGAAGTATTCGATGGACCTAGTCACACCCTTCCTCCACCCAGTCTGCTTTTCGATTCTTTCATCGATCAGCTTTTAGGCTCATCGGATAAACCGACCAAGGTCATCACTGTCGACACTCAGCCCGGCATCACTTATAGCACCGGTACTCCTATCGAGGCCTCGGAAACATTTATGGTGTCGAACGCCCCAGAAGTCAAGTCTAGGAAAGTGACGGACCAAGAGGTGAAGGAGATCCAAAATCTATTTACAGAGATCCTTAGCTGTGAGTTGATATGTCAGTGACATACTCTCAGCTCATCCGTCTTCAGTGCCGACATCGATCCCTGCTCAGCCTGCGTCGTCGAAACTTCCAAATGGGCACGGGCCTGGGACACCTTCGAAAGCCAAGGCGAACGGCCACGTTGAGGATCATTCGATGACCGAGGATGCACAGACCGATGGCTTGAGCACGTTGTCAAAACAAGCTCGAAAAGTTAGTCGAAAGTTGTCGACCAGAGTCTCCCAAGAAAACGCTGTCAATGGTGCTTCAGCAGCGAGCGATGCGGAAGCTGAAGCTCATGAAAGCGTGGTAGTGGGGAAAAAGAGAAAGGCGGCTTCGAGAATGTGAGGTTTACGATCATTTTTTTCGCATATCATATTCTTCAAGAGAAACGCATGGTCATCTTGCATGTCAAAACAACTTGTGCATCTGAGATCTGTCTATCAGTCATGCTTAGAGAAGGCTCTAGCAGCCTCATCCGCTTTGACCAATTCATCAAATTTAACACCTGCGCCTCCGAAGATGTCAAGGGATCTAGAGGATTCTGTAAGCGCGACCGGTGAGGCAATCGACATACGAGCCAAACGTTAGATCGACTTTGCCATTGGAAAGTTTATCGACCAAAGCAAGATCCGAAAGGTCTGGAGGATCCATCAGAAGAGAAGGTGGCATGCTCAAGCGTCCTCGGGACTTACCCTTTGCCCCTCCGGCGTAGGTGCAGGGTATACTGACCCATTCTCCAAGTCCTAGAACGAGGTCAGCCTTCTGCCAAGTACTCGGTTTCGCGGTGTCTCTCACGCTGTACAAGCTCCTCATCTATCCCTTGGCAAAGTCCTTCCACGTCCGCAGCATGTATCAATAACTCTGAACAGTACTCTTCAATCTGCTGTATGTTTTCTGCCTTGATGATCAGCATGACATGACCTTGAGCTCCGAGACTTGAAAGCCCACCCCGGTTCACTTTCATATCTGTCAAAGTCTTCCATCCGTTCATCGCGACAATCCATTCCTTATCCCGTCGGCGGCACCTGAACGCTCGATCAGATACGCTCTGGACTGAAGCTCAAGCTCTCACGGCTCAACCGAAAAACTTACGAAATGTCAACCACTAAGCGATCCTTGCCAATCTTCTTGGATAATCGCCTCAGCCTGTCCATATCGCAAGTAGCATTGGGAAACAACCAGCTAGTGACGATGACCTACGAACACATCCCAAGTCAGTATCTGATCAGTGTTCGTGCCTCCCCAGACCCCGAATGGAAGGTGAATAGCTAGAGCGGGCTCTGAATAGCAACTCGGATTCCTCGTCTCAGCTCGCTCACCTTCTCGGCACCTGCATTCAACCAGTCTTCCGCGTTCTCCTCATTCATTCCTCCTCCAACTTGCATTCCGTCAGGCCAAGCTTTCAGCGCTTCTCGAGCAGCTTCATCATTCCCAGGTCCAAGCTTTATGATATGACCTCCGCGAAGGTCGTGAGCGCGATACAGATCCGCATAGTATGACGGCGGATGCCTAAAGCTCATGAGTCTTGCGTCGTGTTCAAAGTCTAAGCGCGACTCACTTGGCTACAAAGTTTTCTTTGGGTCCTTCCCCTTTCCCATCTTCAGTCAGGTCCAATGTACCTCCTACAATCTGCTTGACCACCCCTCCATGCAAATCGATACAGGGCCGAAAACAGGATCGTCGTCGACCACTTCTAGAGGACTCGGCAGTGGAGTCTGACTGCATCATGGCAGCGGACATCGAACCTGCTAAAGGAGACTGGAGCTACAAGCTGAAGATCACAATCGTGTACTCGCTTCTGCACGGCTGCGGCTGTCAATCGAGCCTCTCGGGGCTCAAAGTCGTCAAATGACGAAGAGCATCCATTTCTCTCGAATTTCGAAAATGAATCGAGTCTCCGCGTCGCCAACCTGGATGAGTCGTACATGCAATACAACAATGAAGATGACAATGTGATGACCTCAATGCTTCTTGATTCCCCCTCCCTTGAACTTGTAGTAGTGCGGACTGAGCTATCAGCATCAAACATACAGATGAAGATACCATCAACTCACGCTAAATCGACCAACCATTCTTCCTCGATCACCGTCAGATCCCGCATGAAGCTCTTAGAGGTCTCGATCACTTCGTGGAAAATGACCCATCCGGTCGATGGCTGACGAGTGAACATGACGGAAGATGGGTGAACGTGTAGTGTAGCGCCTTCTCTCGCCGATCTGTATGTTCCGTCGGGCATCATCCTGGCAGCGTTCTAAATAGGATCAGCCTCCTGCCGGAGATCTGGGTCGTTTGGCGGACCTTAAAGTACCCCGTGACGAGGCAACGCCTCAGTTTCTTCGCGTCTCCTTCGCAGCTCGAGCTCTTGATACCAAACCTCTCGAGGTACTTTTTGAGCTGCTTGCGAATCGATACTGCTCGCGAGAGAGCCTTGTGGTTGATTCGATGGTTACCACACCATTGCTTGTCTCTCATACCGAGGCGGACGAAAGCGTTGTAGACGTTTAAAAGTGTCAGATGATCCTAGGAGCGTGTCAAAGCCTGTTGTCGAAAAGATGGAAATCTGACTTACGCCTTCCTCAGCGGTAAACTTCCGTCGTTCCAATTCAGCCATTGTCGCTTTCATGCCCCCTTCGGGAATCACAAATACGTTCTGGTTCGAGTCAGAAATCTTTAAAAGGTGTAAAGCTATATGAGGCACCTGCACTTGCGTCATGGCAGCGATAGTCAACATCTCCTCGCTGCACTTCATCTCGTGCGAGTTGAGCAGCTGTAAGCGTTGTCAATTAGAGCATCTTCTTCCGGACTTACGATCGCAGCCATCATGGGATCAACAGGCACTTCCGCCATTCTCGCGCCCATCGGTCGGGTGAGTCTTCCCTCGTCATCAATAGCGTTGAGTGAATAGAGGAATTCCAGCGCTCTGATCATCATGTCACTCGGTGGAGGACTCATAAAGTCAAACTTGGCGAGGTTATCGATCCCAAGAGCCTTTAATTGAAGAATATAAAGGGATATGTCGGAGCGAGTGAGCTCTGGCGGCGTCGTGATAGGCATTTGACTGCCAGAATTACGAGTCGGTAGCATTGAAGGAGGGTACAGACGGAAGCATTTGCCGGCGGAAGTACGACCCGCTCGACCGGCGCGTTGATTCGCAGAGGCCAATGAACATGGCGTCACGGTGAGTACGTCCATCGAATTTCGGGGATTGAAAGTTTTGATCTGAGGGAGTCAGCATGTTCTGATGGACAGGGCAGATAGCATGAACGCACCTTGACGAAGCCCGAATCCACCACATACTTAATTCCATCGATTGTCACAGATGCCTCGGCAATGTTGGTAGCAAGGATCACCTTTCGCGTATCTCTTGGCGGAGCCTCAAAAATAATCTCTTGCTCCTCGACAGGTAATGTAGCGTATAAAGGGAGGGCCAGCATCTTTGGCGCAGCTTTTGGCAGTCTAGAGAAGCCGTCAAGAGTCGACGCTTCAAAGTATGTTGATACTCACGTCTGTAGCCGATCTGCGATATTCTGCAGAGCTTGGTCGATCTCTTCTCGACCAGTCAAGAAGACAAGGACATCTCCCGCTGGCTCCTGAGTCCCGCGTTGAGCTTTTTCATACATTGTGAGGAATGAATGAAGCTCACTTTGAGGTGTATGTCAAAGATAGTGTCGATCGCTGTATGGACATAGTCTGCAGTGGGTTCTCTGAGATAACAGACCTCCACGGGAAACATGCGGCCCTCGAGCGAGACGACTGAGACAGGAGTCAGTCAGAACCAAGCGCTCTTGATGGATGCGACTCACTAATTGCGTCGTCCTCTGAACGGTCAGAGCCATCCGCATTGCTGTTGAAGTATTCCATAAAGTCCTCGCTGTGAAAGTTTCAGTGGACTCATCGCATATTTGTCACACACGCCTCAATAGTTGCCGAAGAGATGATGACTCGCAGTTCTGGTCGCTTACGCATGATCCTGTACACGTCAGAAGAACCAACGAAGGCTTGACGCACTTCTTGACCAGTCCTAGCAAGAGGTCTGTGTAAGCGCCTCGCTCGTGGGCTTCGTCGATCTATCTCCTTTTAGCCATGGGGAGAGGTGTAAGACCAGGTGACTGACCATGATGACGCTGTATCGACTCAGGAGTGGGTCCACCATAGTCTCCCGGAACAGCATCCCATCCGTCATGTATTTGATCTTCGTCCGTTCCGGTGACCATAGATCCTCGAACCGAATCGAGTATCCGACCTATTCAAAAAAAGGTCAGAAGGGATACATCTCGAGGCAACAAGAAAGGCTCACCTCATCACCCAGAACGCTTCCAACTTCCTCGGCTACTCGTGTCGCGACAGTGGTCGCAGCCACCCGACGTGGTTGCGTACAGGCTACTACGTGATTCTGATTTGTCCAGCCGGCTTCATGCAAATACTGTGGTATCTCTTCGGACCGGAGGTCAATAGCGTCCAACACAATTGCGGTCTTGTCAGTGACTCACGAGTACTCTTACCACAACCAGTCTGACCGACAACGATGACTGTTCTATACTTCTCCACACACCACAATAGCTTCTCCCTATGCTTGTAAATTGGTAGCCTTTGCCGTTGAGCTTCTAATGATAAATGTGAGATTGCTGCCGATGCAGAAGGAACAATAGACCCCTCTGACTCTGTCTCTCGATCCAGAGAGCTCCCTGGAGCCGCTGTGCCAGGTTTCCAGAACTGAGGCATCGTGCAGGCTGTCTTCCTATCTGTGCATGGTGATCGCTCATAATGTAGGATGCAACTGTACTTCAGAGCCGCTCAACCGGGAAATTCTGATTACGTCAGTAATCTTGTGGGTGTCTTCAACGTGTTTGAGAACGTAGAGACATCATGCATAGTCCGAGTGAATTCGAGCTGAGAGCCATGAGGATCTCAGTTTTCGTGTTTCCTTGCTTGGATATGGTGCCAGGCAACTTTCTGACCTTCTAGAGCACGCTTGGCATTTTGTTTGGCTCTCCTCAGTCCGTACGCATTTGACTCTGCGAAACCTACAGGAGCGGCATTGTCCCTCGCCGGCTGGTGTAAAGTCAATTCTGTCTGAGTAACAGAGCGGTGTACTCACACCAGGCAAGTGTAGCAAAATCATCTTCCTGAGAAGAGTCTCCTCCGGAAGACGGTTGATCGTAAAGACCTCGATGAATGTTCTGAAAGTCTGACAGTTGTGTCCACAACGGATCTGAGGTGATACATGGAACAAGATCTATCCGTTCCGAGTGTACGGAGGATCCTGATTCGTCCCGTGGGAATTTCACCGGGGAGTCCTTGATAGCGAAGTGCTGATCTTGTGTGATGATGGGCTGCGTGCTTAAGGTAGGACCTCGATACATGGATTGCTGCACGTTGTCTGGCAAGCTGGGCAAAGTGGATATCTGGCCGGAGTTTGCATTGGCGTACTCACAGGCTGTGAGAGACTCGTCACCCGTTTCCGTGACCTTCTGCCTGAGTGTCTGTGAACTGGGTGCGTGGCTCCAGTTGCACGATCCGAAAGGGTATGTCTGGTTTTCGAAACTCATTCTCGCGAAGGTAGAGGTGTGTGTAAAGAGGAAAGATAAGAGTGATTTCTGGATGCGACATGCCCGGTCCCAGCTATATGAAGTAGGCGTTCGAGCGACACATAGAATCCCAGCACGGTACTCCTTTCAGTCTCTCGAAAAAGGGAATGAGACGTCAAACAGGACTTCAACGTTTCACATCAGAATGAGCGATGGCATTACTTGCCTGGCCCCTGTCTTGGGTTATCGCCAAAGGGCTATGCGTCGATGCGAGAGGCTATCGAGCCCTGAAGACTCGCCACGAGTGCCACTGATTCCATGCCAACAAGACTTTTGCGATCGAATTGGCGCGGAATTCGCTTGTCTGACCTGCGCCAAAAGATCCCGATGGATCGACATCTTGGACGGTCATCATACATCGTATCAAGCACCATGTCCAGGTTGAGGGAGTCGAGTTGGGCCTCTGTACCCATACATCTCAGAGCCTTGGGGCTCATTGGAAGTGAGGTGATCGCTAACGCTGCTATCTGGACAGCAGCGGGTGTATGCTTTGGCAAAGAGGACGAAATTCTAGGTCTCGCTCTACTGGCTTGGGCGAGTGATGGTAGGTACCATACGGGCTGATACTCTGCCCAGGCAATCGGTCTCAGACATGGTCTTGATGCTGATCATATCTCCGCGATTGATAATGCTACTCGCCATCTGATCAGTCTGGGTCAAAAGCCCAATATGGGTTCTCCCCCCATTATTGGACACCCTCCCCCCCCCCCCCCCTAAACGCGTGTTGATCTCATACCTTTGTTGACATTGATATACATCGTCTATATGAAAGTCCATCATGAGAGCAGATCCAGCTCAGATCGAAGCGGCAATAGCTACCTACAGATCAGAGCGACTGTCAGGATCCGTCCTTGTTACAGCAAAGACGGACGGACGACGACGGTTCACTATAACTCACGACAATGGTTGTATATTAACCTGTGTAATGGTTGGATAACTGTGAAGGTCTGGAAGGATCAAGCAGACCGCTGTGAGTGAGACAAAGAGATGTATGCGAGAGGAAGAATGTATCTGAAGCTAATTTGATCCTTAGAGAAAAAGGATCAAAGGGCTACAAAATACCTGTTTATATATTGCTGTTTCTACGAGGTGGTGGACAAGACTCCTTGAGAATTTCGCATGACCCTTCGAGTATTTCTTTCACTCCATTGAGGTTCTCTTTCCTAGCTGCGATAATCTCTTTGATTGCACGAGAACCTCTTTGATTGTACAAGAATCTCTTTGATTGCACGAGAATCTCTTCGATTGCACGAGAATCTGTTTGATGCCTCTGAGAACCTCTGTTCTACCAGTGTAGATCATGCCGGATCATGACAATGCCCGACAACAAGACCATCATCTGGACTTGGGACCGTGTCGACAATGTCAATGTCGACAACCATCGGCTCAGAGCTTGGGCCATTCCAAATGAATGAACATTGGCGTTGCTCAACATGGCAAATCTTCCCGCCCTCTACCACCATGGCCAGACGCAGCTGGTCTTCAACGTCTGCACTGTCGGCGTCGGCTATCTATTGCCAGGCCGGATGTGCAGCAGAGCTTTTGTCCAACCACGTGGATGATCCACATTGACGGATGGGATCATGCACGGTTGGACCGCTCTTAGCGGTCTTGCAGACGCGGTGTCCGAGCAGCTCGGCGAATGACTCAAGGCAAACGTGGTCCAGAGGATACAAGTTTGAAGGTGGGAAGCTACGTGTCATTCCTCTCATGAGACCACAAAGGACCATGTCCCTTATACTGATGGGACTCGCAAGCTGACCCATGCTGTCAAGGTTCGGAGCTCTTCGCTGGGAGCCAGCCTGATGCAGTCACCCTGATCATATAGGTCAGCAAGGAGAGTATCCGTTATCATTTTCCAGCCAAATGGACTGGTGGGTCGGGCAGAGATCCCAGCTGTGGTGAGTATGAATGTCGATGACGGCTCTTGCACTGATTGAAGCTCGGGAGGTTTGAAGATCAGGCTCGAAGCGCAGGGGCATGAGCAACTCTATGATGAGCGCGCAGACTCATTTTTTTTTCCTTGTGTTTTGATCGACGGCCTTGCCTTCAGTCGCCTTAGCTCGCCTTAGCTCGCCCACAGTTGCCTTTGATAGCCTTGAGTTCGCCGAACTATGCCTCGACTACGTTTTGCAGCCAACCTCTCTTTGGTCCTTTGACACCAGCCTTTGTCTTACCTTTATTCGCGTACCCTCGCCAAATATCGACATCCCTCGTCCCCTCTCGCCTCATCTCGCCTACCTTCGTCAAGAATAACCTTCTCAGCCAACGAAATCTGACAATTTGGGTCCATGACCCAAGAGCTTAAACATCAGCTTCGGCCAGACCTCATCAAGGGCCAACAAAGGCCACATATCTTTATATTCCCGCTCATATCTCTCAACCCGGTGGCACCACCCCCGGTCTCCAGCCTCCCCACTACATGGACTTCTTCTGGAGCCTCAACCCCAATTCAGATAACACGACCATCGACACCTTATCTCTTATTGGATGGCAAGCGCCTCAACACATGCTCCGGGACGGTCCCTCAACCGCCTTTCAGCCCTTGTGGCATCATGAAGGACAACAACTGCGTCTGTCCTTGGAGGTTGCCCAGCAATGGGATGCGGACCCGATTAATTTCCAACCAAGGTGTCAGCTGGGCTTGTCCTATGCTGGACAGTGGGAGGTGGTTGCAACTGCCATGCTTTTGGATTGTGAGGTGAGTGAGGCTTGTTGGCCCATTAGACCCTGACCATGCTGTAGCATTCTATCTCTCATCGCCACTGAGAGAGACTCAATGAGAGAGACGTAGGGAGGACAGAGAGGGTAGAGAGATTCAGATTGACCAGTGCTGTCGTAAATCGACAAGCACATGCCGTACAAGTTGTATAAAAGACGGCCATTCATGCAGTTATGCTCTGAGACTCAGGCAGGTCGGACTGATCTCAGTGTATTGTAATTGTAGGTCGCCCAGATTTGGTGATTGTTGGACGCTCTATGGACGTGTGGCCTTTGGTGGGAATATATCGACTTCCCATCCAATTCTGTATGCCCGTGACCGGGACAGAGCAGGTGAATCAAACAGGGTGAGGGGGCAACGGCCTCGACCTCTTCCAGTTGAGGAATCATCCGTCGACTTGGTAGAGGAGACCAGATGTAAGGTGTCTCCTATAACACCACTGTGTCCGGATTCAAAGACTTGAAGACCATTGACCGAAGCGCAACAAGATGACAGCGGTATCAACGAGGTGTCATTGCCAACTTCATGCGAGCAGTACAACGGATTACAACTATCATCAAGCTTGATCTTCATCGTCCTCATCGTCCGACTCTACAGCACTATCGGTCTCTCCTCCGAGGCCGAAAACTGCTTCCATCCTCCTTCTCCGCATCAATTCCACCTCACTAACGTCTCCGACTTTCTCAGGTACTAATCCCGCAGCAGCGAGCGCTGGTGACGCGGCTCTTGCGCCTGCAACGGCAGCAGCTACGAGCGAATTTGTCCGAACAGAGCCATGAGTGGCACTTGGGCGACGTGCGAAGAGAGATGTCGAATTGGTACTAGACAACGAGGGTCTAGATCTAGACTCAATGGCAACAGGAGGGGATACACCTGATGGTTTTCCACTCCGAGACGAATTAAAAAAGGCGAACGCTCGGGACCCTCTAGGTTCGGAGTTTGAAGCAGGCAGATTCCGTGTAGACAGTGTCGGCGTCTGTAGATGTACAGCCTCACCTGAGGAGCCTGTCTCGTCGATATCAAACCTCGGGGCAGAATCAGAACGATGGAGTCCGAGATTTTCTTTACTCCGACGACGGACAACAGGTTGATATTGGGACGGAGGGGGTCGTTTCCGTCTTGCTGATCTAGGGGTAAAGGTAATCGTCCCATCCTCTTCGTTCACCGTAATGTCTGGTGCAAACGGTGCACCAAGGTCTGCACCACCGAGGGATTGCCGAGATCCAGACTCTTTGTAGGATCGCACAGGCTTGACATGGGTGGATGAAGGTGGAGGGATCTGCTCCGTAGGCGACAAGAGTGCTGGATCCTCCCCGCCAATTGTCCTTTCCACAGCAGCTATATCTTGCTCATCCTTCTCAATCGCGGCTGCCCTCTCGAAGGATTCGTCGATCCAATCCGCCATCTCCGTCATGATAGAGTCGACTTCTTTCATCAAGGATGCCATCTGTAGGAATCCATGACCCCAACCAGCAATGATCCTCGCTACGACCCAATCCTCCTCCGTTTCTCGAAGGATGCGATCTGACTTGCCAGCCTGGTCTCGAGCAGAAGTAGTCATTCTCAGGCCTTCGCCGAATCGTGCGCCGTTCTGTTTCGATTCCGCCTCAGCCTTTCGATGCCGCTTGGCGTCACGGATTTTGCCCGCAAAGATGACGGTGTCATCAACGAACGGATCTCGCTCGCCACATATGAGGTAAACAGGCGGGAACTGCGCGAGAAGGTGTGGCGGTGCAAGGATTGGTGAGATGTAGTAATCGGTCTCAAAGTCAGGATTTCGGTGCGGTCCAATGTAGAGAATGGCCATGGCACGCATCTGTTAGCAGTCAGTAAAGGACTGCGATCGACAACTTACCATACTCGGGGAGATGATCTTGTCCTGAAAGTATCCCACGCGACTCGTCATGGTCAGTCGAGTTCCTATCGGCGCCTTCTTTTTCCTGGGGTGTCCAGGCGGTCGATTGGCCACATCCTCTTCCTCTTTCGCCGCTTTACGCGGTGACGTTTTGAGGGGACTCAAGTTGAAAGACCTCCTCTCTTCGTGAGGTGTCTTGACACGCTCTCGCAGCGATTTGTCTGCTTCGCGCCTCGTATCAACTCCTCTCACAGTGATAGTACCGTCGTCATCTGGATCAGACTCTTCTGTGCCGGACGACAGGTTCTCGGATATCAATTCACTGACAGGTGGATCGGGAGCGAGCCAACCTGCGATCTTTGTCGACATTGACCGTGGTAAGGCCTTTGTCCAGCTTGACCCAGTTTGGGATGCATTTGGCAGAGAGCTCAGCGTCTCCTGGAGAGGCGACATGGCGAGTCCGGCGACCTTGGAGCCCAGGGTGTGACCCCACGATCGCTGTCGTTGACGTTTGTCGCCCACATCATCCACGGCACTGAGTGGACTTTTGTGTCGAAGATGATCCTTTCCTTGAATGATGGCGGGCATGTGAGATTCTGATTGTTCAGTCCGCAGGACACGGATATCGGCAGGTGACATCCATGATGTAAAGTTGAAATCGAGAGCGGGATATCCAAGAATTAATGACACAGGTCTAGGGATCTTAGCTGGATGCTCAAGGATTCGCAACATAATCGTAGTGCAGAGATTGGCGCCGCTGTACATGATAAGTCCTTGCTGAAGCGCCCTTATATAATTCAACTCACGCAGAGTCGCCAGTGAGGACGATGCTCAATTTGCCGCTAGTGATACCCAGCCCTCTGCCCCGAGTCTCTACCAGCGTTCTATAGGCATCTAAACCCTCCTCAATCGCCCAAGGAAAAGGATCTACTTCATCAGTACATCGGAGACATGCGTATGCTCACATTCCGGTGCTTTACCATATCGGACACCTAGTACAGGCTTTCCCGTTCGCTTGGCCCAGCGTCTCAATCTCTCTTCGTGACACTCTGGGCCCATGGCTATGAATCCACCTCCTGGGAAATCCATGATGAGATTCTTCGCTTTTGCCAGATCTGCATCGGTGCCGTTGAAGAACAGCATGGCTCGAACAGGCGGAAGATGGGACCGAGACGACACCGCTGGTCGCGAAATAAGCACATCGCGGACGATTGGCAACGATGGTCGCTGGAAGTAGGTTGCTAAGCGGATCTGAGGTACACTCAGCCCTCATCGATCGCCTATGACTCACGTATGGGTTGTTGGTCTTCTCCCATGTCGTGCGCAGCATTTCGACTGTACATAGGGCTCTGAAACGTCGTAGCTAGCGTTATCAGTTACAGCGCCTCCGGAGTCTGCACTCACAACTTCGTCTCCTTCAGAGACATATATCATGTAGTATGCCGAAAAGAGGACGCTGAAGATGTCTCTGACCCATTTTGGCCTCATAGCCATCGCAGAGGCAAATCCGGCATCTAGAGCAGTATTGATGTATGTTGCACGGTAGAATGAGCGTGTATACTGAGGGTTGTCAGGAATGATGACGGCAAGGGACGGTCTTTGGTAGGCGTACCAAACTAGCCAGCGGCTCAGGCACTTTGAGAACGTTCAGCGTGTGTCTGCTGGACGAGGCTTACCTTCGAGACCAAAAATGTCGGAGACATGACGAAGAGCATAAACCAGGGTCAACGTTCCGAGAATCAGTTGATACGGCGTGAAGTTTTCTAAGACGAATCGTCAGTGAGATCCTGGCAATTCCTGGAACAAGGCAGCTTCGCACTTAAACGTTCATTTACTCTCCCTATCCACCTCACGAACCGCCTTCCGACCAGTCCGATCCATAACCTCACGAGCCATCCATTCTTTCTCCTCCCTACTGCGGACGACGCCCCTCGTGCTGCGCCAACGCGCACACTCGGGTACGGCACTGGAGGATAGCCGTGAGAAGGAGTCGGTTTAGGTCTAGGGGCTCCATCCCCTTTGTACAGCCTCCATACCCAAAATGAGAGCACCAACAGGATCTGAGCTCGCCTCAGAGATGGCGATGGTCGACCCAAGATATGATCAATCATGATAAGGCGCGGTCGATCTGTGGATCTGGTCCAAAGTGGCGAGTCACTCGAGAGGCTCTTGCCGCCTTGGCGCGAGGACTGAGAAAGCGATGACGGCTACCACATTGTAGCTTGGGTCGTATCTGATGTTTCGACTGGAGTTGAGATTCCCAGACCAGGCCTCTACGCTCTGGTCGACGCTGTTGTTTGAGACTGAGAGGAATGAGAGAGATCGTGAACCAGATTTCACCGTTGACGGACACTTTGAGTAACCGAAATACCGGAATCAGATTTCAGGCGAGAAACGGGTCGACACTCCATGCATATCCCAGTGGGCCATCCATCTTTCAGCAGCTCACAAACGCATAGCCAATCAATTCATACATTCGAAGGGATCAGCAAGCCTTCCGGTGGCCATCTACTACTTCTTCGGCGTCACAGACTCACTCTCACTTCCAACGAATTTTCACCTCACTCTCCTCACTTCCATCATGGTCCAACAACACATGTTGGGGCGCATGATCTGTCAGACGAATCAAATGTTCAGAATCAACATGGACGCCGCAGGACATCGAGACTTTCGAAAACGATTTGGAAGGTTGCTCAAGTTGGTTCGCTCCTCGCCTAGCGAAGCATTCCACTATGTCCCCCAGGAGAGTATATCCTTCTCGCCTCCTCACGCGGTTTGGTGTCGAGAGGCACCAGACAGACGACACGATCGCACCATGGAGATCTGGAGTGATGCCTCGATGAGAGGTCTCGGTGGACACCTTGGACGCGCGCCGAAACCTGAGGCAACATGGCATCAGGCCGATCCGCATCCCCAGGACATAAGTGCTCGCGAAGCCAAAGCCCAGTTGATCAGTTTGGAAACCTGGCGTCAAGCGTTGTCAGACTGCAGAGTCATATGCTATACCGATAATTCACATGTAGCCAGAGCTCTTTATCGTGGAAAGAGTATGTTCCCGGTAACCCAGGGTATAATCGACCAGATCAAGGACCTCGCCTTATCAGCCAATATGACCATCGTTCCCCGTCTAATAGCAGGCAAAACGAACGAACTGGCGGATCGCCTGTCGCGTAAGCAAAGTTATGATCTCACAATCTTGTCCGACCAAGCGCTGGCGGCAACGGGTGGCAGTAGTAGAATCGACAAGCGAGCCCTCAAGTCTTTGTGAGGCATCATGTCACGCTCGTTCCCATGTGGGGACTGGGATGGCCCTCAGGCGTTGGCTCAACCTCAACTGGGCGGAGAGTGACTTGGAGACCAAGGTGCACTAGAGATCAGACAAAACATGAAGACATGCTATCAGCAAAAGACCAGGTGCTATGGATGTATATGCAGGTCCTTCGGCATGCATACACATTGTGAGGAGGTAGTCTCGGTGGTCAAGTGTATCTGCCTCAGTCTCGAGCGGCGAGACCAGTGCTGGGATCGCGAAGTCCAAGTGTCTCTGCCGAGACGATATTTTATTAGTTTCCGTTGCCTGAAGCTCCATGGCGACACAATTCCTGTCCTTTCTCATACCATCTATCTTCTCCCTCAGAGCTCGGTTGTCATTGTATGGGACCTCGGTCATCCTGGTCATGCTTTTTATATGACACTCGGCACTCTAACGTAGCGCAAGACGCATCTTTCACACTTTAGGTCCTACCACTCAACATGACGCATTCCGGCCCCCGACCCGTTGCCGTCGCTCTCGTCTTTTCACCTGAGACTCAACGTTTGTTGATGGTCACCAGTAGGAAGCACACAGATATGTGGATACGTATGTGAATCTTGTCTGCTATGTTGCTTGCCGCACTGACCACGGTCACTCTTTGCCAGTGCCGAAAGGAGGCATTGAACATGGTGAAACCTCATTAGCTGCTGCCATACGGGAATCATGGGAGGAAGGTGAGATGTTGCCAACGCTCATAGCTTCTGTACTGACCGCATATCCAGCTGGGATCCCGAAGGAGACCAAGGGGAATGATGAGACTCCACTACTGGTGATCAACCTAGATCCGGAAGGCAGTAAAAGTCAGCGAGCAGCCAAGTGTTTCGTGCACGTTGTCAAGGTCTCAGAGATAGCAGTTGGCGAGGTACAAAGCTGGTGAGGAATCTCCTTGCTTTCAACACCAGAAGACGTCCTGACGTTGCTTTCAGGCCAGAATCCCACGAGCGCCGGCGGGCATGGGTGAGCTTGCCAGAATCCTTGGATCGAATACGATCCTGGTACTCTGATCCAGCGCTTTATTACAGTGACATCGGCCGCGCCGGCATAGTTGAGGGCAGTGAGGCGCATCTAAGGGGACGTAAAAAAGATCAGAAAGGAGTAGCTATGGAGCTGGCCGTCCGGGCTCTCGCAAAAGCAGAAGGATTGAGCATATCATGATACACCGGGGATAACCTATCTGAACTCATCTATCACCCACGGCTTCCGACCCCCTTAGCTATCAAGCTAGGAGTGGTCTTCCTGTAACTGAGACTGATGGCTCTCGCCTGACATTGCTCATCTCAGTACTCTACCTCTCTCAGATGGTACACAAGCTGGTGATCATAATCAAGGTCCATATGCATCTTGCTCTCAGCTTGGTTCGAGGGTGATATGCACCGCCATGCGATAACCAATGCGAATTTGAAGGAATGCACTAGTGCGTGCCTCCTTGTCCAGTTCTGATTGAAGTTCTGTAGTGTCGTACAGGATATATGAGCATAGCTTCGTTATACTGGAGGTACGATTGATCGAGCTCAGGCTCGTTGCCTACCTTCTAGGGGGCCAACGGCAAAAGTGCCCACCAAGCATTGAGCGTCCCGCACAGTGTGTACAGCAAACAACCATCCAAGGAAAGAATTCGAACATTGCTCTCGTCATACCAAGCGACTTGCAGACTACTGTACAGCATCTATGTACATATCAGAAAGTGAGCCTGAATGTCCTACCCAAGGCACTACCGCGACATCTGTTGCAGATACGCGGCTAGGCAGAGGTGAGCTTGATACCTTGTCTCCGATACTGAATGTCAGTGATACCGTTGATCTCAAAGAAGTCAACGTTGAGCCTCCTCCCTCGTGATCTGCCACTCACACCAACAAGTCGCGGGATGGCAGTGACGAATGTGTATTGACCGGTACTGAGCGTCTCAGGTATATGCACGACAAACGTGACGTTGCCGACAGGAGGTACGCTGGGGTTTCCACTACATACACTGGTCAGACCGTGGTTCCGCGATGATGAGGATAAACTCGCAGGAGAGTGACATAGCCAATCCTGGTTCCTACACAAGTGGAACAGACGCTTGCCGAGCTTCCAGCAAGACCGAAGATCGCCTGCTCATGGGTCAACTCAAGGAGCAACAAATGGGGAACGCGATATTCGTGCTTACCGCAAAGTCATCATAGGTCACTGGCGAACCGATAGTGTGGAGTTTGACGGTGATGTTCTGTCCGAGCTTTGCAGTGATTGGCACATAGACCCCAGAGATCTTGGCGAGAGCGATTGTGGCGGTATGCGCCACAGCCAGGGCAAAGAGTATGAGCTTGAGCATGTGAAATGGTCGGTCGTTTGAGTGGGTACAATGGCTCTGACGACAGTAATCGTGGCCACCACACCAGGTCTCATGTACGTATCTTGCCTCGCTCTCATACTCACTGCACGGCCACGAGAAGGTGCACTCGAGTCGCTTCTATTCGGTTAGCATGCTGCACCCTCCCTATTCAGGTACCATCATGACCAAAGGGGTAGCCGGAGAGTATGGTGCCACACAGCCAGAGTCTTGTCACGATTGTCCGTCCTGCTAGACCTTGGGGATGCATCACGCTGACCGCAATGAATACAGGCCTACAGGACTGCCCTGATGAGCACGAGGAATGTAGTCAAGCTGGCTCAAGATGATCGAACGTGGATCTGCCGTGCTCAGATAGGAGGGGCAATGATTGACATAGTTTGATTCCAAGTCCTGAATCCGACTCCACCACTGGCCTGCAGATGCGTCAGTACAGTAGCTTGTGAGAGGCTATGGGGTCTCTGACTCACTCCAGTAACGTAGGGCACAGTAGCAACGAAGTAATATTCCCCATCTGCTACAGCGGGAATGGAAACTTCGAACTGCGTGCTGGCGACGTGGTGCAGGTTCATGTTGTCACTTAGGCGCGGTCCTCAGCAGATGCTTAAACCCTCTGATAGACTGACTGTAGATCCTCGTATCCAATCTGAGAGCCTATGCAGAGCTCACAGTACGGCTGGCTTGTCGCTTTCAAACCCCAAATGACCTATGTGCAGGTCTACGTCAATTTCTCATAGACGGGTGTAGCTAGGTGCTCACGCCAAGGTCGACCCAATTCTGCAAATAGCCTTCGGATTCAAGGGAGACCGTGAGAGAGCTACCTGAGGTGACCGCTGAGGGAGCTCGAAGGTCAGTGATTCGTGCAAGCGCGGAACTCAGAAGTGTCAAGGCTGTCAAGGAGAAAGTGTTGAAGTGAAATAGCATCGCGCAGTATTGGAGTCGACGCACGAGGGTGGCAGAGAGAGTCTTGTGTGACAGGAGCAGGCCGTCAGTAGTGAATCGCTGAAGTGGAAAGGGAGGTCGGAGTATGGAGTGTGGAGTTGTGCTACGCGATCTGAATGAGAGAGGCAGTGTAGAGGAGGAGGCGAAGAACAAGGTTGAAGGAAAAAACAGAAGACTACAGCAAGTACGCTGCAACGACAGTGGTAGAGGTAGGATCCTTTCAAGGTTGGAGTCAGAGGTCCTTTCAACAGATACTGTATACATTGAGAACGGCGGTTTATCTACGTCAATGTATGCATGGTTGTGGCGCTCTGGGTACGACGGTACTGTGGTATGGGAGATATTGTCCGAGTCTGTACAGGATTCATTGTAGATCGTTTGCGTGTCGTGTAATGCTTTAGTTCATGCAGTCGCCAGTAATGGTGAAGGATTGGTTCCAAGTTCGGAGTTGAACTCCTCCACTCTCCTGAGAGCGACGTCAGCTGCGAACTAGCCTATGAGAGACACAGCTGTGAACTTACTCCGACCTCGTACGGGATGGTGGTGACGAAGTAGTATTCTCCGTTTGGCAGATCGGGAATCTCCACTTGGAAGGTCTCGTTTCTTCCGAAAGGAAGCTTTTCGTTTTTGCTGAGAGACGTTTAGTGCGAGGACTGCCTAAGAGAGCCGAGACAACTCACGAGAGATCCTGATATCCAGCTTTGTATCCCAAGCAAGAAGTGCAGTTCTTGAGAGAGGCTGGCTTGACGCCCCAGGCAGCACCAAAGACGAGGTTGTTGGTCAAAGACTCCTGACCCTGAAGAGTGACTGAGATGTTTTGTCCGCAGACTCCGGTGGAAGGTGCGATGACATTGGAGACAAGTCCGAGAGCTGGGAGAGCAGAAGCCGCGAGAGCAAGTGTGGCGACGACGGAGGGGTACATTGTGAATTTATTTTTGGTCGACTGATTGATTGGTAGTTGTCGGCTATTGGTCGCTGTTGTGGTTGTTGTGTTTGTTATTGTTGTTGAGTTGATGTTGTTGTGGATGTTCAATCTCGAGTCCAAGTTGGACTCGTTATATATCTTTTGGACACCACCACTCCACCTATCATGGTCATCGCCATGATTAAAGAGATCATCGCATTTCAATCCTGAGCGTCATTAGGGTTTCAGGTCTTCAAGCTGATCTCGATGAGATCTCGGTAAACCTCGGCCGTTTCTTTGCGGCTCCAGTTCAGATCTAACTTAACAGCGATGCAGTCTTCTTTGCTCCTGTGCAGTGTCTGCCGCCTGCTCACGAGTGCCTGCCTCTCATAGCCTGTAGGCCGACTGTTGCCGCTGTCACGTTTGACCCTACGGGCATACTGGTGGAGCGGGTTGAAGATCGACGTAGATTCGGAGCGGTCGCCGAGACACCTGACACGTGATGAGAGGATCTCCCAAAATAGTTTAAGCTTTATTTTTTTGCCGCACGGAAGCGCCACTCATCAAGTAGATCATCAATCGGGAACGAGCATAGTTGGGGACTATTCTCGTACACAGCCCATTGGAGCGAGCGGACGGTGGGACATCGGTGACGTGAGTAAAGTATGATAAAGAATGCGCCAATGTCCGCACAAGTGCTTCATGTGCCATAGATAGACGATGGATGAATGATTGAATGGACATACATGGTGGGGCTTGATGGCGCGAGAGGTGTGACTTGGTCAAAATGCGACGATCCGCTGACTGAACACCCACCCCCTGGAGAATATCACAACAGCTGTCTTCCAAGGCGTACAAGGGTTCCCTATCAGATGTGCAAACGATGTTGAGGGACAGCTTTGAGGCCGCAACAGCGCCACGCTTCATCCAACATTGCACTACACTGGTCCGCAGTGTTAAACCCGATGAAGTTTATGAAAAGGCATTCGGCGTTCGGCATTTTCTGGCACTGCCTCTCTCTTTTCGACCACATGTGGTTCAAATCAAATGTCATCGTCTGAATCTTGACTTTACTCTTCGGAGTTCATGGAAGCATGAAGAGTGATCGGACCAACAACGAGTGCCTGCTGACCGCTGCTCGGGGTCAAAATGCAACTTTACGCCAAAAATTTCGTCGGAAAGCCATCAATGCCAAGGCGATGAGCTCTATAATGATATATAAGAGCTTGAGAGATGTCAACGTTCTAAGCAAGACTCTGATCACACTTCCAAACACTCGAAAGCTCGAATTCCACAGTCTGTTAAATATCGAGACTTCTCACATACGCAACTATTCACAGAATGTTCACCGCTGCTCTCCTCATGCTCGCTCCTCTCGCTGCTATGGCCTCGCCCATCGCTCGTACCGATGCCACTTCTCAGCGAATCGTCTGTAAGTCGCAGAGGATGTTCAATGCCGCAAGCCGTTCTCTGACGCTGGCTGTAGTGAAGTCAAACACGAAACAATGCGTCACGGCCTATGGCCTCGCCCCTCAAGCCGGAGACATACTTGCCATGTGGGTTCCATGTCACCTCTACAGAGCGTCGAAACCTGACAAGCATGCCTCAGCGCTCCTTGCGAAGAGCCTGCTAACCAGTACTACCTCCACCAATTGTGAGCTCCAGCTAATAACACCCATGTCACATGTCGCTGAACCTTTCTGGCGTAGTTTCTTGACCGAGGGAATCGACAGTACTGCCCCTGTCCAACTCGCGAGCACGAACCTCTGTATCGACGCTGGCAGCGACGCTCCTTCCGAATACACCAGCTTGACATTGCAAGAATGCAACGGAAGCAAACAGCAATCGTGGTACTGGTTCGGAGCCAGCGAACTTGAGATCAATAGTAAGTTTCTGGCTCGTTCCTGTAGAGAATCTTGGCTGACCAGGCACTCCATCTCTTAGACCAATGCTGGGCAGCCGTCAACACGACTCAAAAGTCTGGAATCTGTGCAGGCACTCAGTTCACGCAGCTCCAAACTGCCACTTGCAAGCCTTTCGTTGATTCCCAGGTGCGTCAGGCGAGGCGATGTTGCGTGACATTGCTAAAGTCGACGATAGACCTTTACCACTGCCGGCCTCTACGACTACTAAGAATGTGATCAAGTGACACATCATTCGCGCAGAGCGAGGAGGAAATGTACAAAGGGACATTGTATGATGACATGCATAACCGCTGAACAAACGAGAATGGCAACGATATGTATCCGCACCAGTCAAGTCACAACGGGCAATACTGTGAAAGAAAATGCGAGATGCACAGCAGACTACAACGACTCTAACGAAGATGCTAGCAATTCTGAACCCTTTCGGCCACCTTTGCGGATGTCTTTCACCGACCCTTTGAGTGTACTTCGGACCTGCCCACCCTTGCCGTTCTTGTGAAGAACCGAGATGACCTCGACGAGCAGCAGGGCAGCGTTGCCCTTGGCGACGTTCTTCACATTGTCTTCTCCTCCAGCGATCTCCGACGCGATAGCTTCCCAGACGCCATCTGCCATCTGCCGGGAAAGCTCGGCGTCGACCGCATCAACGGATTGAGTCTTTGAGTTGTAGTGTCCGCCTGATACTAATGTCTTGTACGTCCGTGAAGCGTGTGGTAGGTCAAGAGTATGAGATGACTCTGCGTTTGTCTCTTCATCAGTTGGGGCAGGATGGGGATAAGGTGTTTTGAGCGGTTCTATCAAGGCGTTGACCGCGCTAGATTTGTCTATAGTCGACCACTCAGCTCAGCAAACGGTGAGGTTACTGCAAATCGCCACTAACCGCCTTCAGAATACAGCATAATCTCTTGCACTGCGAGACCCGCGCCAGGATCTCTGACCCACTCAGCTCCATGCTCGGTGACAGCCTCTAGAAGTCCTGGACTGGCATATCCTACAAGCTCCTTACGGCGTGTCGCCGGATCTTTCTTGCTCGTTCCGATATCTCTGGCCTGTTGTGCAGAAGCAGCGAGAGATGTGAGGGCAGAAGGGATATAGTGCTTTCGAGAGGTAGGAGTGAGGAGGTAAAGCAGAGCTCGACGACCGTTGATGTCGCCGACAAGTGATGGGGCGAGCGCGACGATATCCTGAATGTGAGTCAGACCATGCCTCCTCCTTTGACGATCCGTACTCACCGCCACGAAAGCTTTGCCCATGAGTTTAGTGTCACTTAAGCAAAGCGTCAGACCAAAAGTCGTGCGATGCTGGTGCGACTCACTCGACACAGTCAAATGCGGTGAACAAGACCATTTGCGCGTCCGAATCCTTGCACATCGCCTCAATGTGCTTTCTCAGCTGTTGCAAGATCTGCTTTCGGTCCTTGAAAAGAGCATGAGCCGATGCAAGCAGAGATCCAACATACCTTTGCAGATCCTCTGACGATGAGCTCTCTGACGACTGCCGACCCATCTTTCGTGTGAACAATATCTGGCAAGCTCTCGAGCGCACTGCAGATATTTAGCACATAGTTTTTGCATGTACCATCGACTCACGCAGTCAATAGTTCGTGCATCTTTGTGTCTGCCTCTTCTGCCGTTAAGAATCGATTGACACACGCAAGGTATTCATTGACGAGTCGGTGGAATATGCCTTGAGCTAAAGCAGTCTTCTGAGTGGCGTTGAATCTGAGCGGTCGTCAGAACATGACTTCGATCTCACAGAGTGTACTCACACATCAACAACAGTTTTCTCGACCTGACTCAAAACTCTCGATCGCCCTGCACCATCTCCCATACCCTCTAGGACCTCTTGAAGACCCTCCTCACCTTTACCCTCGGCGAATATTTTGACTTCTTTGGGGTAAAATCCTCTGACGAGCAATCGTCTCTCCTTGGCCGAAGCATATAGGTCGAAGAAGTCGGATAGAGGTCCAACTGCTTCTGCATGGAATAAGAGCGAGCGAAGATGAGGAGTGATGGCAGGAATGAGAAGCGGTCTTAGTTGAGGGACATAGTGAATCAATTTGGACATGAGAAACTGCAAACCGATTAATCCTTGTTGGCCGCACGAAGTAGGAGACATGACTCACCTTGGAGTACTTTGACTCCATCATTGCACGCCACTGCGGCTCGAGCTCCATTGCCACTCCAAGTCTCTCCTCTTTACCTCCGTATTTGACGATCTGCAAAGTGTTAGACTCCAGAACCCCGCGCTTCGCAGTCGCTTGACTCACCGTTTGCAAAACACGTCCTCCCTTGTGACCCCTACTGACCTCTCCAACTCGCCCCTTGACAGCATCCCATAGCTCTCTTACAGCTTTCAGTCGCTCCTCTTTACCTAGATCCGCTCGACGAGCGGTCTCCCATAGCGGTAAGAGAGTGTTCTGTAAGAGAGGTGCAGATGGCAAAAGAGCAGTCCGATGCGGTTGAGCAGCGTGCAAAGCTGCACGTTCAGCTTTGGTCATTCGAGGTCGCTTTGCCGGCTGTTGTTGTTCCTCCTCTTGGTATCCTCCATTCTCCTCATCTTGTCCGTTCATGTCCATCTCATCTCCATCATCCGAACCTCCTGAAACTGGTTGAGGCTTGGTGATGGGCTGCTTTCGTCTCTTATCTGGTTCGGCAGCGACTGCTTCTCGTTGAGGCCTCTTGCCCTTCTTGAAGTGGTCATCCCCGCCATCTGCTGGACGCTTCTTCGACTTGAGCTGGACCATGATGACCCGGGACAATATGCTAGAGTAGTAGTTAGTAGTCTTCACTGCATGATCTGACCAAAATTTCAAAGAATGCAAAAGGTTTTGAATGGAGCCCCACAGTCCAATGACGGAATCAAAATTACCCTTTTCAACGTTGAAGATCCATTTCCTTCATAGAACCCATTTTTATTACAACATTCCCGAGTCTCAACTCTCAACTCGAAACCATCATCATCATACACTAGTCATCTGTCAAGTGAGCCTGTCTCTGATCGCAGGGAGAGGTTCCGGAAGTGCGTCAACGCCAATTCATTCATCTTCCATCCGACTTCTTGGCCCATATTTCGACCGTCGAGGGGATGAAAGGAGCAGGTCTCGTGTCGGCGTCGGCATCAGATCCTTAAATCCCCTCTCCTGTGTGGTCTATCCCGCCTCGAATCCCGACAGCAGGATACAGGATCATGAACCTGTTTCTGATATTGAGTCACATCCTCGCTGTCCTCCTTCCCTTCTTCCTCCTCGTTCATGCCTCCCCTTCACCGGATCCAGCCCCCGCTCCAGCTATCGTCTCTCTTCCTCCACGGCCCTCGAACCACGGCCCATCTGGACGTGTAGAACCCGAAAGGATAGAGGACGAACATGATCTACTACCATATGTTCTCATATCAACGATCGACGGTGGCCTTCATGCCGTCGATCGCGACAAGGGCAAGATCTTGTGGAGCTTGACTGAAGGCGTTGAACCATTGGTAGGCGGTGGGAGTATGGGAGAGGGTTTGGAGGAGTTCATCGTCGAGCCCTTGACTGGTGGCTTGTTCCTTTTCGAAGATGACGAAGGAGCAGAGTCGCCAAAGATCAGAAAGCTTCCCTTGACCGTGGAGCAACTGTAAGTTAGAGCATCAATCACTCTCAGATCTATCGTTGAACTATTCCAACCTAGTATCGACATATCTCCCTTCACATTCCCTCAATCACCCTCCCGCATCTTCACCGGGTCAAAGCAAACGTCTCTTCTGACTATCGACCTACGGACCGGTGAACAGGTCGACTACTTCTCTAACAGTAATCTCAACTTCTCCTCGAGAACATGTGCGAACGACCAGATGTTGGACAACATGGATCGTTCCACTCGCTCCAGTCGAGATACACTATTCGTCGGTCGAACAGATTATCGCCTGGTCATCCATTCCACGCCTCACCGTCAGTCCTCGCCCGATGCCACATTCAGCCTCTCTGGACGCAAAGACGCAGACGAGGCGGAGGGTGTACAGGAAATCGTCTACTCAACTTATACGCCAAACACCTACGACAAGGCTCTTGCGGAACAATGGAGCAAGATTGGAGTGGATGAGAAGTTCTGGGAAGCTGATGGAAGCGAGTCAAAGAGGGTTCGCGTGGAGCTCAAACACGATGGGTTCGCCGTTGGTATTGAGAGGGGAGTTGGTGTCAAGTGGACAGAGAAGTTGAGCAGTGTGGGGTGAGCAGAAATGGCTTGGGACACGATACAAGCTGCTGATACTATCCCTAGTATCGCCGTCTACGATATCCTTCTGCCTCTCGCCCATCCTTCGGCAAACCCAATCCTTGTGCCACAGCCGCCATCCAGCATCAGATCTGTTTCTGCGGTCAACTCGGACGATGGGCAGAGAGCCAATGTATTTGGTAAAGCGCCGTCGACGTTCATCGCTTCAATTTCATCTGCCTACCTCTCGCTACCATCTACTGGATCGGACTCGTCCCCGAATCAGTCCGATATCGGTGATGACGGGGTTGAGGTCATTGCGCCAAGGCCTTTGTTATACGCTTTGTCTTCCGACTCCTATCCCTTGGTGAACTTCGCGCCTCCACCTCAACCTGGTCACCTATCAGGCGGTTCGTTCGTGGTGTCCGAAGATCTGCCTACGCCTTATCTATTGGATCCGCCAAAAGAGAACGCTGTTCCCGCAATAACGGACCAGGAGGAGAAGACCCCTCTCGAGCCCTCGCATTTACCAGATAGCGGTGTCGAAAGTCCTTCAAGGAAAATTATCTGGTCGCTTGTCGGTCTGCTCGCTTCGCTTTCCATCCTTGGCGCCTTCTGGTTCGGAAAGAATCGCCAAACGTCAGTCACAACCAGCAACGCGATACCGGATGAGCGCACCCAGCTTCTCGTTATTGAGGAGAAATCGGCTGTAGTTGAAAAGGTGGATCCCGTCTCTAAAAGTCTGGAGCCAATCACAGTGACCAGCAGACCTGCATCGGACGACAGCGAGGCTGACGCCATCGATACGGCTTCAAAAAAGGAGACTGTCAACACGGCTATCAAGAAAAAGGACGACGCCGAAGCGACTCCGAAGAAGAAGACCAATCGTCGACGAGTCAGAGGCAAGAAGAAGAAGGACAATCAGGTCTCTTTCGCGGTCGCCTCTGACGACGAAGAGGAAGACGATGACAAGACGACTGTCTCCTCGAAGTCCAGCTCGAAAGCCAGTCCACCTTCAACCGTCCTCAAAAAGGATGAGAAACCTCTTCCCGAATTACCCAGAGTCCTTGAAGCGAACGATCCAGTCGGACCGAACGATACGCAGAGACTGGTAATTTCAGACGAAGCCATCGGTGAGCATGGTCCATCTCACAGCTCGCTAATTAGTACAGGTCGTGGATCCCACGGAACCGTCGTGTTCAAGGGCTTTTGGGGAGCGCGTAAGGTTGCAGTGAAGCGATTATTGAGCGAGTTTACCCAAATTGCATCGCAAGAGGTGAAATTGCTGCAAGCCAGTGATGATCATGTCAATGTCATCCGATGTGAGCCCAGCGGACCCATTTTTGCGATATCATCTGACCTTTTCCGTAGACTACTGTCAGGAGAAGAGGGACAACTTCCTATTCATCGCACTGGATCTCTGCGACGCGTCGCTTGCAGATTTGGTTGAGAGTCCCGACAGACATCAGGCTTTGGCGCCTTTGTTGGATCCTAAAAAGGCACTTAAAGAGATCACCTCCGGAGTGAAGCACTTGCACAGCATGAAAATCATTCACAGGGATATCAAACCGCAGTGAGCTCATTGGGAGGTATTTAGAGCCGGCTAACGTGCTGTAGGAATGTGCTCGTGTCGAAGACTAAAGATGGATCTTTACGCATGGTTGTTTCGGACTTTGGTCTCGCTAGACAGCTGGATCAAGGTCAATCCTCCTTTGCGCCCACGGCCAATAACCTCGCCGGATCTCTTGGCTGGCGAGCTCCCGAGTGTATCCGAGGCCAAGTCAAACTCAGTGACGTGATGGATCCATACTCCACTTCGGGCTCTTCCTTTGGCTCTATGACCAATTTGGACAACCTATTATCGGATCTGGCCGCCGATCTCGATGTGATTCGGGGCATGGACAAGGGCCATGCAAGATTGACTAAAGCCGTCGATATATTCGCCTTGGGATGTCTATACTTTTGGCTATTACGAAACGGCGAGCATCCTTATGGAGAAGCTTACGATCGAGAAAGTAACATTGTCAGGGGAGATGTCGTCAATATGGGTCATCTGGATGAATTGTGGGAGGAAGGCGTTGAGGCGAAAGAGTTGATAGGACGGATGTTATCCCTGGATCCCTCCCAAAGGTGATTTGACTGAAATTGCTCTCGCAGCACCGGGCTGACACGCCGCAGACCGGACACATCATCATGTCTGATACATCCCTTCTTTTGGACCCCTGCCAAACGGTTGGCGTTCTTGTGTGATGCTTCGGATCGTGAGTGTCAATATTGTGTAAGCAGGAGTGGTTGACCTGTGCGCAGGATTCGAGATCATGGAGCTCGAGCCGCCGGAACCGACATTGGTCTTACTGGAGGACGACGCAGCCTCAGTCGTTGGGAAAGATTGGTATTCCCGTCTCGACAAGGTATTCACGAACAACCTCGGCAAGTATAGAAAGTATAAGGGGAATTCAGTCAGGGATCTGCTTCGTGCGATGAGAAACAAGGTAAGCGAAAGGCTTGATGATGGAGCGATGATTGGTTGACGAGTGGGTTAGAAACACCACTATCAAGACTTGGAGCCGGTCGTCAAGAGACATCTTGGGTCTCTGCCAATTGGTTTCCTGCACTACTTTACCTCACGCTATCCGAAGTTATTCCTCCATGTTCACGGAGTCGTACGTGATAGTCGACTGCGGCACGAGAGTATGTTCGAGGCGTACTTTGCGGATTCTGCGTGAGACTGAGACTGAGAGGTTCAAAGGTCATATTTGTATGCTCTACACTGTTGTATACTAGTCTTTTGTCGCCCTATTCGTGCGTCACACTGCATATGTACTCTTAGTGCATGTCTACCACCAAGCCGGACGACACAACGTCATGGATCGGATTTGACCGACGAAGATGGGAAAAATGCGCACTGGAAGGAAGTTCGTGGCGATTTCGGGTGAGATGCTCAACCGGTATTCTTGCCGAGCACTTCGGTGGGAGTCAACCGCTGCATCGTTGCTATTCCTGTACAAGCTAGACACAATGTGGAGCGTCAATGAAAGTTAAGGATTCGGCCCGATACAAGTCTCAACGTCGAGGTGCTCATGCGGAATGAGGGGCTCAGAGTGGGGAAAGTGTGATATGAACATCTTTCGGGGTATTGACTCGTGCATCTTGCGTGTGTCCTGCCCTTGCCATCTCGCCTTCTCAAGCACTATTCGGACTGGGGTGACCGATCTTATCTTATCCGGTTGTTGTGCGCACCGACTGCAAAACCTACATCTGATCACTTCATGGGAAACATCATGAAATCGTCGCAAGGGCAGGTCGACGATGCCGAAGTCGCTGCCTACGAAGAGAGCGCTCCTCTGCATCACTCGGCAAAGATCTACCTGTACGCCTGGCTACCCTGCTTAGGCGGGCTTGTTTTTGGCATGGATACTGGGAGCATGAGCGGGATCCTTGCAATGTCACAGTTCTTGAATTACATGGATCATCCAAGCAATTTCACGCAAGGTGGAATTACAGCCTCTATTCAAGCTGGTGCATTTGTCGGGTCGCTCGCCACGGGCGCTTTCCTAGCAGATCGTTTCGGACGTAAGAATACCATTTTGATCGGTTCGGCCGTCTTCACCGCTGGTATTGCGATCTCGACGGCTGCGAATGGCGTCGCTTGTCTGGTGGCGGGCCGAGTTATCAACGGGCTCGGAAATGGTTGTTTGGCAATGATGGTACCATTGTACCAAAGTGAGATTGCGCCGGCAAGTATCCGTGGTCGTGTCATCTCGATGCAACAATGTTTCATCAACCTAGGTGAGCGGTCTGGCTCTGGCCACAGGATTTTTAGGACAGCAAGACAGCACACACTGATCGCTTCGCAACCAGGTATATTGTTGGCTTTTTGGATTCAATACGGTTGTTCTCATATCAATAGCGATGCAGCGTGGCGGGTCCCCATTGGCCTCCAAATGGTATTCACAATCTTGCTCCATGTCATCATGTACTTCCTTCCTGAATCTCCCAGATGGCTCGCACAGAAGGAGCGATTCGCGGATGCTCAAACATCATTGGCTCGACTCCATGCGGATGGGGACGAGAGCAAGCCTATTGTGTTAGCGGAAATCGCAGAGATCAGAGCGAAACTGGAATGGGAGAAGCAGAATTCAGCACCGTCGTACTTGAAAATGTTGTTTGGATCTGAGCGTCGTCGAACTTATTTAGGCATCGGAGTAGTGAGTGTTGATGAGGTTCGAGGTTCGAGCATCAAAATCAGAAAGCTGAGGGGCCTGAACAGCAATTCATGCAACAAGTCACTGGCATCAACGTGTGAGTGAGATGTGATGTGATGTGATGTTTGTCTCGACAATGCTCGTCCGCACTCGCCACTCGTCCAAGCTCTTGGCTAGCTAGCTATAGACCGTTTTCTCCTTGAAACCGCATGCTGACCGCGCCTCGACATTCAGCATCATGTACTACGCCGTGTTCCTTTTCCAGCGTGAGTTCAGCGATACATGGATGTCCAGGCTGATCTGATACAAAATATCTTCTTTAGAGGCGGGCATCAATGGCACCAAATCCGCTCTCCTAGCAAATGGTATCCAAGGTGTCGTCCTCAACGTCTTTACCTGGCCAAACATGTACTGGATGGATACGTGGGGTCGACGAAAACCAATGATCATCGGAGCCATTGGACAAGGCATCGCCCTCATGATCATTGCCATTCTCATGAGCACCAAAGGGGATCCTTACTACGACCCAGAGACCAAGAAGACCAATTTCAACTTTACCAACAAGATCGATTCCAATGCCACTATTGCCTTTGTCTACATTTACGTCTTTTTCTTCGCTATAACCTGGGCTTGCGTCGCCTGGGTGTATCCGAATGAAGTTTTCAGTATGAATATGAGAGGAAAAGGGACGTCAATGAGTTCCGCCACAAACTGGTTTGTGGTGAGTTCTATCATAACGTCCTGATACACCATTATCGTGCCGACCACCATTGTCAGAATTTTTGGTTTGCATTGTACATACCCACGGCGATGGACAAGATTTCGTGAGATTCCAGCCACGTTGAGAGTCAATGCTGAAAACCCGTTCGTTAGCTGGAGACTATATATCATCTTCATGGCCCTGTGCTACGCAATGGCCATCGTTGTGTATCTCTTCTTCCCAGTGAGTCCGCTACAAAAGCTGCAAGACATCCTTACCGATCATGATCGAATACTGTAGGAATCCGCTCGCAAGTCTCTCGAGGAGATGGATTTCCTATTCGAGGAATCACGGACCATATTTGTCTTCAGAGACGAGTCTGCCACTCGAGTAGGGGCGGTCGTCTCGCGGAACTTGGAGGCCGGAGGAGCCATCACTGACTTTGGCAATCGGAAAAAGTCAGTGGCAGAGACAGTGGAGACTGTGCAAACGGACAAGTGATCATTAGTGTGGCAGGTCTTAAACCGGCTACGCCCAGGCGTCTTTTGAGAGGAAGATAAATGGTCAGAAGGAGATAGAAGAACAAATGCAATGATCAGTCACTCCGCAGGTCATACACCAGCGGACAGGAATCCTGACGGCATAGTATCGCATTTTCCACAGTAGACCCTGATTGCGCCATCCATCACAGAGTCCAGGCCTGTCACTCATCTTCTTCCTCATTCTCGTCTTCTGGATGACGTTGCAAATATACCGGGTCATTGAGCTGAGAGCTGATCTCAGCGTTTGAAATGAGGCAGACGACAAACATACCACCTGAACCAACCCGATCCATTCGCCCATTCCCCTGACAAAGTCGTCACCACCTTCACCGGCCCCTCCGACCCGCCACCATCCCTTGTTGAGATTGAGAGCTTGAGCGTCCTTTGCGGCAGCGTCTCCGGCTGCAGCCGATGCTTCTTCGGCTACAGCTTTGGCTTCCTCAGTCCTTGCAGCATCTGAATCTTCTATGGAGCCTGGATCCACCGACTTGCGTGATACGGCTACTTCGTCCTGTCGGAACCCGCCTAATGGAGCATCAGGTGTCCACAATGTGATGGACTCGAACCTTGACACCGGACGAAGCTGTCGAACGCAGTTTGGATCAGACCAGTTCTCGCTAGTCTGGCCTCGCTCTTCGATGCCTGACTCCGTTGGAACGACCTCCACATGCTGCACTTCGCCCGACGTACTCCCGGGCTCGACCTTGAACAAAGGGGGTTGATCCTCCGTAGAGGGTGAAGGGACAATCGGTTCCTCGCTCGCTTCGGACTTGACGCTCTCTTCAGATCCCGATGCCGAATGAGCCCCATCATACGACTCATGATCATCCATACCGGTTGGTCCACGTAATCTGAATTGGGGAACTGGTTCCTCTTCGTGTGGCTTTCTCGGAGTCGGACCTTGGACCTTGATCTCCGGTACGATGATCGGTACAGCCTTGACTGGTGTTTTTGTTTCTCTCGCTCTTCCCCTCTTGGGAGTAGTCGCCACGGGCATCGAAGTCGGCGCTTCGTTTTCGTCCTCCGAGTCTGAATCTAGACGTAATCTCTTTCTAAGACCTCGTCGGAAAGATTGGCGTGGTTTTGACAGTGCAACTTGTCCGGACCCTTTGACTTTTCTAGGGCTCCTTCTTGCTCCAGAGGACTCGCTGCTGATGTCATGTGTCTCTGATACGGAAGCCATGCTCGAGCTGGACGCTACTGATGTAGAGGGGGTCAAAGGCCATTTACCAGCTACGGCTTGACCTCGACCCAGTTCCATGCCTCCTCCTCTGTCTGGCCTATTACTCGTTCGGAGAACGATGCCCTTATACCCAGCAGGCACCTCTAGCTCTTGACCCACCAGCTGACGACCTCGGAACGCCGCGATGGGGGTCCCTTCCTTGAACGATGGATGATCGGCTGGACATGGCCGAGGTTGAAAGTAGGCTGAGATGGAGGCGGAAGTAGAGGCGTAGGGATTGGACGTAGAACCAAGCGAGAATGGTAGGAGATGTATCGGACTGGATGTAGCCACATGTGATAATGCTGGACCCAAGACGAATGAAAGCTGATCCGACATTTGCTGTAGATGTATGAAGGAGCTGCGCTGGTCGATGTTCGAGGTTCGACGGATACGCGAATTCGGCTTTTTGACGCGCCTAGGGTGGTTCGCGCATCAAAAGTTGCGTTACGTAACATCTCCCCCTTTCGGGTCTCGATTCCGAATGATCCGAATGAATTGCGCAAGACCGAGAACATGGATGAACATTTCCATTCTTGGCTTCCTACCTCGTTCTTGTGGATGACTAGCTCATCATGTCACTGCGCCAATGTCTAGCATCGACTTCAAGAGCTACTGCGACAAAGACTCGCCCGAGACTGACCAAGTCACTATGTCTGCCAACTTTGTCCGGGATATCTCGACTCTGCCCGACTGGCCCAGCACCGGTTCATGTCAGACACGCATCTACCCTCCCACAACGATCAGATCGGTTTAACAAGTTGACGAAAAGCCATATAGGAGAACTGAGAAAGCTTGTTGGATCCTCTTCGTCTATCCTTTCCACGCTCGACGGATCGGCTACTGAAGACGATCTGAAGACTTACAATAACGATTGGATGAACAAGTATCATGGTAAAAGTCAGGTGGTCGCTCGTCCGAGATCAACAGAGGAAGTCAGCAAGATCATGACGTGGTGTTATGAGAACGATATCGCCGTGGTACCCCAAGGCGGGAACACGGGTCTCGTCGGTAAGCACTGTCAATTACCCCGATGCATTTTTGGCAAGATGTACTGACTCAATACCTCGTAGGCGGTTCTAACCCGATACACGATGAGCTCATCATCTCCCTGTCATCTCTCAACTCGGTACGATCGTTTGACCCAGTCTCCGGTGTACTAGTAGCGGACGCAGGGATGGTCTTGGAATCTGCAGATGGTTATCTCGCGGAAAAGGGGTTCATCTATCCCTTGGATCTGGGCGCAAAGGGTTCCTGTCAGATTGGTGAGTGTTCATCGATACTGTGAATGGTAGCTCATCTCATTCAGGCGGATGTGTTGCAACCAATGCTGGCGGTCTCAGATTGCTCCGATACGGCAGTCTGCATGGAAGTGTACTGGGATTGGAGGTCGTGTTACCAGATGGCAAAATTTGGAATGGCTTAAGCACATTACGGAAAGACAACACTGGTAGATTATCCTGTGGTGGTCCCGATTACCGCAGGCTGACGCTCTCTAGGCTTCGATCTCAAACAGCTTTTCATTGGCTCAGAGGGTTCCATCGGTATCATCACTGGTATTTCCATCCTATGTCCGAGGCGATCATCCTCCACCAACGTCGCCGTCTTCTCCCTTTCCTCCTACGAAGATGTTCAGAAAGTCTTTAGCGAGACAAAGACGCATCTTGGCGAGATCCTCTCGGCTTTTGAATTCTTCGACGCGGCGAGTTACGCATTGGTTAGACGCATGCAAAAGCATCACGGGGAAGAGCCGAAAAAGGTTTTCGAACAAGAAGGAGACTTTTACGTCCTTATCGAGACGTCTGGATCCAACGCAGAGCACGATGAGGAAGTGAGTGAGAGCACTTGTTCCACACTTCGTTGGCGGATGTGACTGACACACCTTGATGCAGAAACTCACCAATTTTGTGGAACACCTCATGACGTCTGAGATGGTCCTTGATGGTGTTTTGGCTCAGGATACGACTCAAGCTCATTCTCTTTGGAGTCTTCGAGAGTTGATCACGGAAGCATGTACGAAACTTGGTGCAGCGTTCAAGTACGATCTTTCTACGGCCCCAGGAGAAATGTACGACCTTGTCGAGCAGATGCGAGCGAGGTTGACAGAAAAGGGATTGTTAAAAGGTGATTGGGAAGGTGATGTAGGGGCTGTTGTGGGGTTCGGTCACATGGGAGATGGTGAGTTGTGTAGCTATACGAAGAGAGCCTCATCCAGCTTACACGCCCTGTTTCAGGCAATCTGCACCTCAACATTGTCGCCAAGCAGTTCTCGGAAAAGATCCAGGATGTCATCGAGCCATTTGTATATGAAATGGTCAAGGAGAAGGGTGGTTCCATCTCGGCCGAACATGGTCTAGGTCAGTTCTCAACGTTTAGATCTCTTGTCTGCGGGCAGCGACTGACCCATATCAATTGATCAGGATCCATGAAAGCCCCATATATTGGCTACACCAAGTCTGAGACGTCCATAGAGATGATGAAGCAGATCAAGCAAATGTTTGATCCAAAGGGTTTGATGAACCCGTACAAGTACATCGTCTAGTCGAGCGAGCGAGCGAGCGATTACGAGAGCGTTGTATACTGCTCAATCATTACACGTTGTCATGATGCATTATGCAATTAGATAAGATCACGCCTAGATGTGAGCGGGAAGATCAAGGTCAAGATCAATATCTTCACGACGGCTTCACTCCTTAACTTCGACCATGCTCGGTCTCAGTTCTTCCAGCTTGTTGACACCCAGTAATCTCAACGTCAATAGAATCTCCTTCTCGAGGACTGAGCACACGCGCATCAGACGACACATCCACGTTGAAGCAGATGACAAACGACTCACTTCCCACAGCATGCTCGACCCCTTGAACGCCGGCCACACTCTGAGCAAATAAGAAACCTCTCCCAACTCCAACGGCGTTAGCACCGAGGCACAAAGCCTTGACGACGTCCGTTCCTCGGTGTATGCCTCCATCGACGTATATCTCAAAGGGTCTATTGCCTTCTTTGTCCATGACTTTACCGATCTTTACTTCTTCTTTCGGGATCAGCCTCTGGGGATCCTTCAAGGCAGACTCGATCAGACCTGTTGGACCGCGATATTGTGGTCTGAGGAGTTGTGGAGCGTGCTTTCGAATCTCCAATAGGACATCGAGAGAAGGTCGAGTAGTATCTAGTTGTCGACCTCCATGGTTGGATATGAGGATACCAGATGCGCCGTGCTCATACGCCAGTAGAGCGTCCTGGTATCCTTCTCGTCAGCGGTCCTTCCTTAGCTAACGGAGAGTCATCGACTGACCTCTACACACTGAATGCCCTTGACGACGATGGGCATATCTGATAGACTCTTGATCCATCTGAAAGGGAGCGTCAGTTTGAAACGTAAGATTTGGCCATCTTCTCACTTGATATCCTCCCAATTTAAATCAGGATCCACCCCTGCAAACATGGCCTCTGAAACGCCTTTGGATTCGCCTTCACCTTTGACCGCCACGCCTCCAGCGGGTCCTTCAAATTCCCCCTTCAATCTTAAATCTCGTTCTCTTTTCCCGCCGACGGGTGCATCCCCCGTCAGGAAGATGGCATCGAGGTTGAGCTTGTTGAGCTTTCTTATGAGGTCCGAGGCGATATCTCGATTACGATTCACGTAGAGCTGGAAGAAGAGGGGCTGGGAAGATGAACGAACGGCGCAGAGCTCGTCCAGCGAGCAACTCGCATTAGAAGATATCTGAGGGAAGGGAATCGTCAGGTACCCGGATCTGGGGCCAACTCGATTCAACAGAACGTCAAAGGTCACTCACAACTTGAATAATACCGGTACTGTGTGCACCTTTTGTCAGATTCACCTCTCCGTCTGGATGTCCAAGTTTAGCCATAGCACTGATGGTTCATCAGCTGAGAGAGCGTCGTGGATGATATGTATGGACCCACGCGGGGGAGATGAAAACAGGTATCGAGCTCGCTTTCCCCAGTATTTCTGTACTGCAATCTGCTTGAGCGACTTTGCGCAGAATTCTAGGTCGGAAAACGACCTTTTGGTAAGCGCTGGCGTTGGTGTTCTTCGCTTTTGTAGAGTCAGCTCCTTCCGGGCCCAACAGGGGATCTCAGCAACGCTTTACTCACTGATCTCATCATCTGCAGCAGACGCATAGTACGCCCAAGCTACTTTTGAAATCATAGGTTCGGCGTATTTCTACATCAACAGAGGGGTCTGTCATTTCGTCGTCTGAGCATTTTCATCAGCGCGACTCACCTCAAAGTCTCTCATGTTCACAATGACTCCCAGACCTCTCTCTTCCATCGCTTCACGCTCTCTTTTTATTCTGTCATTCTCCTCCTCTTGGTCCGAAGACACTTTGAGCCGTATTGATGCTGAGAACGATGGTCAGCGAGCGGTCGTACTATTGCACCGAGCGTAAGCCTGAGGAATATACGCACCTTTCTCCTCATCTGATGCGTTTTCCAAGTCTAGGGATCCTACACGGTGCACATTTGGTGGGATGTTATCTGGATCAAGCTGATCCGAAGGATGTCTAGGATTGAATATCGGCGTGACGTCCTTTGAACGATTGTTCAGGATGATGTCTTTCCCGCCAGGGTGATCGTCCAGAAACTCAGTCATACTGCGAGAAAAGTCAGGGAGTCCAATGATCTCCAAGGAATTGCGCCGTACTCACTCGTAAACATCCCCTTTGATGACCACCCAGACTTGATCACCTTTTTCATGATCCAGTACGTCCCGGATGGATACTTGACCTTCAAACTTTGATCGATTTTCCTTTTGGCCAGATGCGTGCACGTAGTCTGGTTTACTGTTTCCTGTATCTGCCAAGACCTTTTCCGACGTGACCCAGGCCTATGGATAGGTGGTGAGCATTTTGCGAGTGTCCTTTCTAACGGCTCGAAGTGAGTAACTCACTGCTAGACCCAGGGCTACTGAGATACTTGTGACCTGCAGTAAGCGATTGGATAAGTGGCCACTGTGAGATGGTCGTGAGGAATAGCTCGAATAACTTCTATATCCTTGCCGACATCTAGCATCGACCTTTGAAGACGTCGAGCTCAATCGTTTCGTGCATTGCCGGATATCTTGTCGGCAGTGAGCTCGCCATGTCATGTCTGCAGCTCGACCAATGAGGGACATCCTGGTCGAGTTCACTAGTGGCTCAGCCAGACGAAGAAAGGATATGTACAGCGCTTTCAACTGAGCCCGTTCTGCTGTCCAAATGAGCACGATGGAATGCCAGCTGAATATAGCCGATGCAGCCAGCCAGAAAAAATGGAAAGTTCTTCGGCTGAATGATAGCGGAATAATGTTCTTCCGAAAGACCGACTTAAAGATACAGGCAAACTAGGCATCAAGCTCTATGGGTCTTGGATGGATGGCCATCCACGAGTAGCTGATGCAAGCAGGCAACGAGGGATGCGTAGAAGATGTCAAGGCTTTGAGCACACAAGATACTGTAGGTTCTGCTGCGCTGCTCGACGGTGCAAGTGGCGCTTGTGGAAGAATTCGGGCTTTGATAAACCGAGGCAAGTGTCCAGTCGTCAACCCCTCTGCGGGTCTGGAGAGTGCTCGAATTGACCACAACAAGCATGTATCGCTACGTGCAAGGTGACGATGGTTTCCATACATTGCTCTATGAGAAACCTCTAATCGCTCTAGTGACTGACAAACGAATAATCATGTAAATGTATCCAAGGCCCATGATTGTATTCCCACCTAGGGGGCATGCAAGGTCAGCGTCATTTCCCCTCTCTATAGGCCGGGCCTCCATTGCGCATGCGCATGGAATTTGGAAAAAACCTACAGTTGCAGACCTATAGCCGTTCCATGCTTTTGACGTCCATCCATCTTGTTAAAGAGATCCACCAGATCCCGATGACAATCCTCGACCTGACCTTCATCCTCTGCTTTGTTCAAGATTGTCACGTGAGGCGAACGTAAGGGTTCAAGATCTTGATCCGTCAGAGGTGATGCAGACCCACGTCTACCACCTCGTTCTGCTGCCTCAGCGTATTGTTTTGATCCAGGTGGAGGACCTTTTTCGACCTTTGATAGATCCCTGACGATGGACGAATGAATACCCTCAATCACACCCCTCGAACCACTCTCTCTGATATGCAACATGACCCCCTTTTTACCCATTCTCGAAGGTCGCGCAATCGATATATTGAACTCTTTCTGATGTTTACAGATATCTTGGAGTAAGCGATCGAGTTCTCCCCGTCGATCTGGAGGGATCGCATGGAATAAGGTCAAATGGGCATTGAGATGGTTTCGATGTTTGGGAAAATAGTTCGCTCGAAGACTCGTCAAGAGCTCAGTCGACCCTTTGTCCAGCTTGAGTGTCAAGACAAGTGGCCTCGACATGGTATGTACAACAAGGTCGAGAATCACATCCGAAGATTTCAAAGACTTATGATCCATGATCCACCCGGGTAGGAGGGGAGGGAGAAATGACGACATGAGTGTCGATCACCATATATCCGGCGCAGCGGGATTCCAGAGGATACGATTTCATATGGGGAGTACATCTCTACATGAAATTGGGCCAAAAGTGGATAGCAATCTGTCGCTATCAAGGAACAATGCTGTACCATATCTTATCTGTTCTCATCACGTAGGACTTCCTCGTGTGTGTCGTCAAGCCGTAAGAAAGGGTTTGTCATCGGAACCATCTATAATCAGAACAGAAAATGAAAAAGAGGAAATAAGTGCCCATCGAGCCTCAATCTAGTGAGTGGGTTCGTGCGTCTTGGCCTGGTCGGCAAGCTTGCTAGCTTCCTCCTCTGCTCGTTTCTGATAAGCGTCAGCTGAGAGCGACCAAGAAGATAGCGTCCGGCTGACCTTGGCGCCGAGCACGTAGTCGTAGATCTGGTCGACGACAGGTTTGACGTGGTCCTAGGTGGTGGAGGAGACGTCAACACCAGTCGTTGCGAGCTTGTACTTGCACTTACCACAACATATCCTGCAAGGGCGTTTGATTTGTCCTGGACCGTGGTATCCTTTGCAAGGAGGATCTGCTTGACATCTCCAGTCGTCTTTGTGACAGTCTGCAGCCAATGTTAGCCAAATGCTCATGGAAGCAGAACTCGAACTCACATCAAGAAGATGCCCAGGAATGACCTTGCCCTGCGCAGTGAGCGTCTTGAGCTGCTCAAGTAGCGCATGAGAGAGATCTTGAGACGTTTGAATGGCATCGTGAGCTCGAGCGCCAAGAGCAGAATTGATCTCTGCAGTCTTGTTGATCACGTCAGAGAGGACGGGTTGGGCAGATTGGATCCATGGAGCGATTCGCTGGAGCTAGTTAGCAAGTGACTCTATGGTGCTTGTCACACTCACCGCATCGTAGACTCCTTTGGCCTGCTTGACGACGATGAGATCTTCGGTGGGCGTCTTGAAAGGGTCTGTAAAGGGTTAGCTGAGTGATTGTCCGAATCAGGGTAGCTCACAAGGGAAAGTGGCTTCGGCACGGTCGATCCTGAAGAGAGTCAGTACCTACACGGGTCGTTTTCAATGCACGACTCACGTCGCGACGGCGAGACCATCGGCTGATTCGAGCAAAGGCTTGGTCCTGCTCAAGACGGGAGTTGCGAGGTCATACGATTCTAAAGCGAGTGAGCTGGCACAGGGACAGAGACAGGAGACCGACGGCTCACTCGAGGCGAGAGCAATGGCAGTCGCATAAATAGTTGATGTGGTCTGAGTGGACTGAAGGAGGGACCTGTAGTGGGTAGTTGGAATCACCAAGTGAGAAAGAGAAGAAAGTGAGTGGGGATTACCCGTTAGCGTGATCTCCCATCTAGGTCGAGCTGAGACCACTAACTGGGCGTAGGACACTGAATCGTGAATGATAGGTACCTTGTCGAGTCTGTCAACGATTTTGAACGCTGCGAATTGATGTTGGATCAGCGAGGTGACAGACAGACAGTGGGCACAGAAGACAGTTCCACTCACAAGGTACCTCTCCATTGGGTTGAGCGGTCTGAGCAGACATGATCGTTATCGGCTGTGAGGGTGGTTGTGAGTGAGTGAGCAACAGACGGGATCAAGTGGTCTCTGGTGGAATGTCAAACGATAAGATGGGATGGAATGGGAAACGAAAAGTGGCGAGCCGCGAGGGGGGGGGGGGGGGTTTGAATAAAGGGTATGGCTATAGAGGTCTGTGCGAAGCTGGACGATGACGATGAGGAATGCACGTGGAAAATGGATTATGATCATGTTACCCCAGCTGATGAAGTGGATTGGATTGGCACCCTCAGATTCACGGGCAGCGAGGTGGGCTGCTTGTGAGGACCATCTCATGGCATCCAGTGATCTGCTGATCCCTTGACATGGTTCTATTGGCCCTCCTCCGGCGACTCTTGGACGCTAAGATAAGGATGTTTGAAGTTTTAAAAATAATGACGCAGAGATAATAATAATGATCGAGTGGCACCACACAGAGAGGATAACTTGGACTTTGACTTGCACTTGACTGGAGAGCAACTCACCAGGTGATGATCCGAAGTACGCCAAATGCAAGGTTGTTGGTCGTTCAGAAAAGTAGATGTAACGTGTGTCGAGAGCTGAATCCAGTGAGTTGTATATATGCAAGACCCGCAGCTGGCTCTGGTGGTGTTTCCCAAGTGCCGCCCTTTCCCACTCCCTAAAAAAAAAATCCGTTCTTTGTCAACTTTCGTGAGAAGAGAGAACAGCAGCGACAACGTTTTATCAATTGGAACTCGACGCCATTTCCAAACTCTAATCGCTGCGTGAGAACATTGTGAAGGACTTTTGTGGCGGATATACATATACACGAACGAGGAAGCACAAGGACAGAGAAAGAGGGGAGAGAGGCGAGGGAGGGACCCTTGGTACAGCGCAACTCGTAGAACCTGGTCCGATTCTCGCTGGCCAGTACTTGTACTCTCATGATTGACTTGTCATCATCGGGCGGCTCCTGCAAACCAATCATCTCACTCCGAAAACTCAGGGTGAGAGTCTAACATCATCACTACTCATTCCAAGTCACGTCATGTCAAAATATATACACATATATGCATACCGCAAATCGCAGCAAAGGGCCAACTCATGGCGGGAGGCAACGATGAGACCCTACAACAACGTCTTGAATCGCTCCAGGGCGAGTCGGATAGTTTCCAACTCTGCATCGGTTTTTTCCATCTGCGAAAAAAAATCAGACATCTGATCAGCTGACCTATTCCCCCATCCATGTCCCATAGATTTTTCCTCTCGGGTTCCACACCTACCTGGTCTGCATTCCTCGCCCTCACTTCGTCCTTGATACCAGCAGTATCAGCGACTTTTTGTAACTTGTCCCGTTGTGATTGAACAAGCGCAGATTTCTTTTCAAGTTTATCAATCTCCGCCGCGGCGTCAATCTTGCCCTGCGGAGAAGCGAGGTTCAGCGAAAACACTGCTAATCACTTTTCTAAACCATGTCAACCCACCTCGACAGGTATGTGAACGGTCACTTCCACATCTACTACTTCACTTCCACAGCCTTTTGGGACCTCGGAGTCCTCCGTGATGATCTTGGCCTGACCGCTTCCCTTCGTTAGGGCCACAATGATGGGAATCTGAGATTCAATCATGCTCCTAACTTCAGGTTTACGAATCTGCAACAGGATGGCAAACTTCTCATCGAGTGTCTTGCCGTTTGTCGGTAGATTGTACATGGCGGCAATAGATCGAGCAGATTTGATCGTCTCGAAAACGAGGTCAAAGTCACGCAGAGCTTCGGGGAATTCCTGCTGAGGGATCTGACACAATCGTCAGCGTTTCAGTTTGATGACATCCTGACCCACCTTCTCAGGGAAGCTGGAAATCATTATACTCTCCGTTGCATCCCCTGCTCTCCTCGGTAATCGCTGCCACAAGTCCTCCGTGACGAACGGCATAAATGGATGCAACAGCTTGAGACCTCCCTCGAGACAAGTGTACAGAGTATTTTGAGCGCTAGCCTTCGCGGGAGAATCGACATTGGCTTCAAACAGCGGTTTGGTAGCTTCGATGTAGACGTCACAGAGGTCATTGAGGAAGAAATGATACGCCGCGTCCGTAGCGACGGAGAAGTCCCGTGTCTCAAGATTCGCAGAAACGGCGTCTGAAGCTTCGTTGAGTTTGTGCAGGAGCCATTTCTCAACGAGTGACTCATTGCCGGTGGGCTGAAGTAGGATTCAGCGAGGACGTTCCTTGCTCTGAAAGGCTTCGCCGCAACTCACCAGTGATGACTCGTTAGGCACGAAAGATCCCTTTTGTCTGACACCTTGCAGGTCTACAAGATCCAATCGGAAGAGACAGAATTTGGTCGCATTCCACAATTTATTGCAGAATTTACGGTAACCCTCAATCTTCTGGATCTCCATGTTGACATCGCGACCTAAGATTGGGGAATCAGCGTCCGGGGAGGACGATCCTGAACTGCCTCTCTGCTCACCTCCCGAAGTCATATTGGCAAGGCCGAATCGCAGTGCGTCCGAGCCGCATTGAGGCATTCCCTTGGGGAACAACTTTTTCTGGCCATCTTCAGCCTTGAGGATCTCTTTTTCGGGCAAATTGCCTTGCCTCAGATCATTGTGTAACTTTTGGAGCGATTGACCTGTGATCACGTCTAAAGGATCGATGACGTTGCCGAGAGATTTGGACATTTTTCTTCCAAACGCATCCCTGATCAGCGGATGACAATAGACCTCTTTAAACGGCATTTGGCCAGTAAAGGCTTGTCCGAAGAAGACCATACGAGCGACCCAGAAGAAGATAATGTCCCAACCAGTCTCGAGAATAGAGTTCGGGTAAAAGTGTTTCAAGTCGGCGGTCTAGGAGTGACCCATCAGCAAATCACAAAGTTCTCACGCTGGCAGCCTAAGCGCACCTGATTTGGCCAACCCATGACTGAGAAGGGGAACAGACCCGACGAGAACCAGGTATCCAGCACGTCGGAATCTTGTTCCAGGGTGTACGCTTGACCACCCATGCGTTTATCAGCCTCCACTTTGGCATCTTCCAATGATCGGGCAACGATCCAGTTTTTCTCGTCCACGGTCTGGCATCCATCGTCAGCTAGAGTCTCGGCGATCGCAACCCCATGCGCTCCACTCACGTCCACCGCCTTGCCTTCCACCTTGATGAGGTAAGCCGGGCATCTGTGGCCCCACCAGAGTTGTCGAGAGATGCACCAATCCTGCATATTCTCCATCCATCTGACGAACTCGGCATGTGAAGTACGAGGTTGAATCTTGAGCTCTCCGGCGGCGGTGCGCTAGCGATCGCATGAGCATCCACTTATATCGACTCATAGGTTCTCTACTCACCTGTAGAGCCTCGTCGGCCATTGGCTTGCAGCTGACCCACCATTGAGGCTTCATGATCTGCTCAATGACGTCTCCACTTCGACTGATAGGGTAGGGGTATCAGCTCAGACTATGATTCGGGCTCGGATTGGACGAACCTGCAAATCGGAATCGCCATTTCATTGTCCTTTTGTTCGACGAACATTCCCTCTTCTTTGAGTCGTTTGATGATCGCGTTCCTAACGTGCATTCGTCTCATCCCCTGTTTCCGTTCTGGTCAGCGGGCCTTCATGCCTGCAAAGAATCTGCTGCTGACCTTGTATTCTCCGGCATTCTCATTATATGTTCCATCATCATTCATTAGACTGATGAACTCGAGATTGTTCCTCATTCCACATTCGAAATCGTTTGGATCGTGAGCAGGAGTAATTTTCACGGCACCCGTTCCAAACTCCATATCGACTGTGATGGCATCCGTGACGATGGGTATACGACGTTTGATGAAGGGGTGGATGGCGTATTTTCCATGAAGGTGAGTGTAGCGTGGGTCATCGGGATGGACAGCGATGGCTGTATCTCCAAGCATCGTCTCGGGACGGGTTGTGGCGACCACGATGCGTTCGTCTGGAGTCTCCTCAGCGCCATAGATGGGTGGTGTGGATTAAAACTGCTCACCAGAGTTCTCAATAGGGTAGGCAAAAGAAGTGATGACTCCAAATTCGAACCTCTCCTTCACATCATATCCCTTAACGTTGAGCAGCGTCCTGCCCTTCAGTGGCATTTGGTCGACCTGAGACACGCGTGTGAGCTCCAGGTTACCTGCAAATAGCTCGACTCCGACCCACCTCGATATTTGACAAACTAGTGTTGAGGTAGACACACCAGTTGACGAGTCTATTTGATCTATACAATAGTCCTTTCTGATGAAGTTGAACGAAACCTTCCGTCACGGCAGTGGAGAGTTCCTGTGGCGACGATCAGCACGGATGTCTCTCTCTCTAGAGCTCAGCCGACACACCGGAGACATGGTGAACGCCACTTTGTCCCAGTCGAAAGAACCTCCCAGTCTCTGCATCTGCTTGGTGATCTTCTCCTGGTACCTGATTCAGGCGTCAGCTAGGAGGCCAGGAACAATTACCTTGGATCCAGCTCACTCGTCCTTCCACTTCCAGACCCGCTTGATAAACTCCTCTCTTCCATAATCGTGCCTCGACTTGCCCTCATTCTTCAACAACCTCTGCTCAACCACAGCCTGGGTGGCAATACCCGCATGATCGTATCCAGGGACCCAGAGGACCGTATACCCCTGCATCCGTTTCCTAAGGGACAAGCGTAGCTTATCAGATCATGACCAAAGTGATCGAAATCACACTTACCACCTGATCATGGCATCTTCTAGCGCTACAGTCAAAGCGTGGCCGATGTGTAGATTGCCAGTGACGTTTGGCGGAGGAAAGACGATTGAGAAAACGCCCTTATCCAGTGGCTCTCCATCTGCTTTGTATTGAGGTTTGAAGAATCCCTTGGCTCTCCACCAATCATACCAAGCAGCTTCGACCTGAATGGGATCGTACCCTGTGATCGGGAGATCTCCAGAAACGTCTGAGAGGGTCGGTCAGTCACCATTCCACAAAGAAGAGATTGACCCACCCTTCTTCTCCCCTGCAGGAGTCGTATTGACCCACGCCTCCTGTTGTACCACCTCCTTCTTCTCCTTCTCTTTCTTGTCTTTCTTTGGTGCAGTCGAGCTCGAAGTCACGGATTTCAAAGCTGCCTTGGCCGCCTTTTCCAATCGCTTGGCTTCTTTCTTAGCTGCCAAAAAAAGAGCGTCAACGCCTTCCCTCCCAGGCGTTATTGTACCTATCGTCGTCCACACTCACCGGCACTCTTTGAGATGAGATTGCCTTCTTCGGCGTTGTCCCGTGATCCAGATGCTTCTCCCTGTGCAACGACAGTCTTGGAGCTAGCTGCGGTATTGAGCTCCTCGGGCGCACCTCCACCAAGTTTCTTCGCTGTTTCTTGCTCAGCCATCCTGCGTAGAGCTTCCGTGAGGAGTGGTCGTTGTAGAGTCAAAATGGAAGGTTCGTTGAATACCTTGACGGCTCTACTTCCAGAGACGGTGATGGAGACTTTCGAAAGAGGTCGATGTATTGCAAGCGACCACGATCGAAATAGCATACACCTTTATACTGACTCTGTCCTGTCCAACTCTGGATCGCTCGACTCGAAGGGAAGGGATGAAAGGAACTAAGCTCAATATTCGACTCAAAATCACCTCAATGGATGGATTCGTTTCCCAACTTTTGGGTGCATTTTGGTCCACTCTGAAACCCCCCTTACCGAACGGGCTTATCAAGTGCGAAAGGAAATCTCATGACGTGGATTATTCACTCATGCCGCCCCGACGACAGCGGGTTCATTGGCGTCCGCGCATCCTCTATGGTGCATCATTGTGGTATTCGGCCATACTCCTTGGACTTAGGACTGTCGACGACGGACACAATATATTGAGAGGACGAATTTAGAATCTCTTTTCGGCTCATCGTCTGCGTAGCAAACGAGACATGATCTCTGTGAGCTTCGCTCACACGGCCGTTCTTCCGTCAACAGCTGATGCATCATCATTAGGCATTCTTTATATTCAACCAGAAAGGAGAAGTGAGTAGAAGACTGATACGGAACCGGTCTTGTTCTCACACGATACTTACAGGTCCTCATCTCCCGTCTATTCCGAACAGATCTCAAGTGAGCTATAAGCTTGATCTAGACCCAGCTCACAGCTTCTTCAGACGTTCCATCTCCGATGTCTTCCGTATACAGGTCATCTCCAACCCAGATGTCAGATCACCTATCATCACCCTCGGCTCAACCTCTTTCTTTCATGTCAGGATAAATAACGTTTACGTCGTGGGCGTCACCAAGTGAGTCCGACTGAGCATTTCGCTTTTGCTTTTGCTTTTGCTTGCCTGACATCTCGACTCAGATGCAATGCGTCCGCAGCGTTGGTCTTTGAATTCCTCTACCGCTTCATCCAGATTTCAAGAGCTTACTTTGGCAAACTTGACGAAGAGAGTGTGAAGAACAACTTTGTTCTCATATACGAATTACTGGACGGTGAGTTGGATCAGGACAAGGGATGCAAGACGTCGATTGAACGACTCTGTGCTCTCCCCAGAAATCCTCGATTTTGGATATCCACAGAATTCAGAGATTGATACGTTGAAAATGTACATCACGACGGAGAGTATAAAATCAGAACTGGCAGTGGTGAGTAGAACACAGCTTGTCAGAGGTCTCTGTATGACCCGCCTGACGTGAAGACTTGCAGCGCGAAGATTCGTCCAAAATCACCATTCAGGCCACTGGCGCGACTTCATGGCGTAGATCTGACGTCAAGTATCGTAAGAACGAGGCGTTTGTGGATGTCATAGAGACTGTCAATATGCTTATGAGCAAGGATGGTGAGCCGATGAGATCTTACCATTGGCGTATGACAGCTGAGACCCAAAAGGGGCCGTTTTACGCGCGGATGTCGATGGACAAATCTTGATGAGAGCGTATCTGAGTGGAACACCAGACTGCAAGTTTGGACTGAACGATAAGCTCGTTCTGCAGAAACGGTTAGTCTTGGTTTAAATCTCGCGAGGGCGAGATGCTTATCACCGCTTCTGGTAGTGGAGCCGACCAAGGCCCCAAGTCAGACGATGCTGTCGAATTGGACGACTGTCAATTCCATCAATGTGTCAGGCTGGGTAAATTCGATTCAGACAGGTCCATCTCGTTCATACCGCCAGATGGAGAATTTGAGCTCATGAGGTGAGTCAGCTTGTTTGCTTCAACACATGACATGCGAGATCTCTCCGACTCACACGTTCGACCTTTCAAGGTATCGCTCAACCACGAATATCAATCTCCCTTTCAGACTCCAAACCCACGTCACGGAACCCACCAAATCCAGAGTCGAATATACCATTCATCTGAGAGCCTCGTACGATCCAAAACTCAACGCCAACAATGTGGTGGTGAAGATTCCGACACCGCTGAACACTACCAATGTCCAGGCTAAGGTCGGGGTAGGTAAGGCCAAGTACGTGCCAGGGGACAATTTCATTGTATGGAAGTGGGTCCAAGTCTCGACGGCCTCCACAGAAAAGTCGCTTATAGCGTTTGCACTCAGGATACCGAAGCTCCAGGGATCTCAGGAATGCACCTTGACGGCGGAAGCCGAGCTAGCCACCACGACTCATCGACAACCTTGGTCCAGACCTCCAATCCAGGTCGATTTTTCGGGTAAGCCCTCTACCGAACTCCTACTTGGTCTTGCAGGCTGAACGCTTCCGCAGTGGTCATGTTCACTGCCTCTGGGTTACTAGTTCGCTTCCTGAAAGTGTTTGAAAAGAGCGGGTATCAATCGGTCAAATGGGTTCGGTACCTTAGCAAGGCGAATGGATCTTATCAGATCCGGGTGAGCGGACGATAAAACGATAAAAGGAGTTGCTAATGGAGCTCACAGTTCTAAACGCGCGTCAATGTTTCTTTTATGCCGGACTTTTTTTTGCTGGATTCTTGTAGATGTGTTGTCACGATATATCATGCATTGGTGGATGGGTGGCCCCATGAGTGACTCCTTGCTCTGCATATTGTCCAAGCTAGAGTTGTGGTCCGTTATTCCGGAATCCCCGTGATTTGCTCCCAAAAAGAAAGAGCAGGAGCAGAAGAAAAACGCCGAACGGGAAGCCAGTCGCGCGGGGAGAAGGTCTTTTTTTTTTCCTTGGGTGAGACCGGAAACGTGTGATGGATTTGGTGATCATTTGGTGATAACCTCGTTCCTCTAGAATCATTGTCACAGCCATTCTTTGGGATCATGCCAGCTTCACCACCTCTGCTCCCATCTCATAGTCGAGATTCATCCCCTCTGCCATCGCCTGGCCTCAGCCCCTCACCCATCACTTCGTCCCGGAGGTCCCCGTTGCTCAGTCGGAAATCCGGTTCACCGATGGAAGATAAATTCGGAGCTGCAGAGAATGGGTATATCAATGAGAAGGATGGAGGGGTGAGTGGATTCGGAAGGGAAGGGGAGGGAAGGGAAGGGAAGCCAAGCGATGGGCACGACAAGGAGCCTGCCTTAGCTAGCAGAGCTGTCCCACAGTGGCCAGCTCTTCGCTGCATCCTGAGCGGTTCTCCCGTGTCCGTCCCGAGATACGAAAGCCATCAGATGGACACACAGCCTTCATTCCACGGCGTCGAGCGCCGGCGCCGCGCTCAACTCGGGGCTCTTGGCTGACTTGAATTGCTCGACACAGCTCGAAGCGGCGACCAAAAACATTGAGATCACTCCAAACCTTCCGGACGAGAGAGAATCTGCCAAGAAGGGACGCCTCGGAGCAGCTACGATCAGTGAGTGCACTACTATCCCTTGAGTGTGATATCCGGAGGGAGCTGAGCGACCATTTAGTCCCCATATGGATTGCCCTGTCTTCCGCAGTCATCCTGTACAATAGTGAGCTCTGATGCCACAATGTACTGGTTAGACGAGCGTTGCTTATCAGTGCGGCAGAATACTTGTACATCAATCTTGATTACCCTTACGTGAGTCACTCATCGATCCTCAGCATCAGACGAAACGCTAACTCGGCCTCATAGCCCGTCTTCATGTAAGCTCGACTTAGGATTGGACTACGCGCATCTCGACTGACTCTTCGTAGCACCTCATACCATCTCGGATGTGCCGTGAGTAACTTTCATGCTTATTGGATCTGACGCGTCCAGGCTATCGGAACAAGGATCCTCAGAGCTACGACACATTTGATGGACGGTCTGGATCACATCACGATGACCGTAAGGCTCTCCCCTCCTCGCTCAGTTACCATATACGAGCTGATCGTCCCACAGAAAGACCTCTACTTCCGCTCCATCGTCCCTATCGGAATCTTGTTCTCTGGATCCCTCATATTCAGTAATACCGCCTACCTGACGTGAGCCTGCTCATAGATTTTACTGAATCGGTGGCTGATTGCGAACTCAGATTGAGCGTCTCTTTCATCCAAATGCTCAAGGTGAGCCTAGAAGAGGAACTACAGGTCGGGATTCAGCTGACTCCTCGACGCAGGCGTTCACACCCGTTGCCATTCTGTTGATCTCGGCAATCTTCAAGATCCAGACGTTGAACTCTCGTCTCGTCGTCATTGTCCTCGTGGGTGCCTGTGCAAAGACTGCGCGCAGAAGGACCATTGACTCCAAGCCAGCTCATCTCTACTGGTTGCGCCTTGGCCGCTGCTGGCGAAGTCCATTTTGAGATGTTTGGCTTCATGTGTCAGGCAACAGCCGTCCTTGTGAGTATCATTGATCCGTGCTGTGGACTATTCACTGATTTCTGTGCTAGTTTGAGGCCTCGTGAGTGACTGACAGCGTCTCTGCACTCGAGTCCGCTGATAAAGTCATAGACGTCTCGTCATGATTCAGATTTTGCTGCAGGGGTTCAAGGTCAGTCATCCAGGACCCTGACACGAGACTTCCAGCTGATGCTGTACTATAGATGGATCCATTGTGTTCGCTTCACTACTACGCTCCGGTGCGTCGCGCGTCAAGCTCACTGCTCCATTCCTGAACACTTCTCTCCCCTCAGGTGTGCTCTTTGATCAATGCGTGTTTCATCCCTTTCACAGAGGGAATGGCTCCATTGAAAGAGGCTATTCGAATAGGACCTCTGATCATGTTAACGAATGCCGGGGTCGCATTTGGCTTAAACGTCGCCGCTGTGTTCTTGATCAGTGCCGCTGGCGGCTTGGTCCTTACCCTTGCAGGTGTCTTCAAGGTAAGTCTAGGGAGCGTGGGCAAATCGCGAGGCTCACCTTTTGCCCAGGACATTCTTCTCATCTCTGCAAGTGTCATTTTCTTCGGCAGCTCAATCACGCCCATGCAGATCTTTGGTGAGGTTGTCCTCCTTGACACGTTCAATGCTAATACAGCTTTAGGATACTCGCTGGCACTTGGCGGCTTATTCGCATACAAAAGCGCCTCTGGCAAGAAGTAAACGACTTGCTCATACATCATCTTTTCATTCTCGGCTTCCCGCACATGGCTTAGATCAGCATGCACATTAGACTACGGACTGCAATCGACCATAACCGATCGCGGGCGAGAAGTCTGAAAGCTGGGGCAGACTCGCTGCGCCACGGTTTTGTGGATCGATCGATCCCTTAACACAATTTTCTATCAACTGATGTTTCCGTGACCTGGCGAGAGGGACATTTCCTCGATACCGTCCTTTGGCTGGATAAGCCGAAAGATGTTTTCTCCAGCCATTCTTCTCCATCCTAATGGTATACCCCTCGCTGATCCTTAACTCTTTCTCACGGCCACGGATGCGAACCACAAAAGTTCCTTTATGCCTAGAATTCCAGAGAGGCGAAAACACCTCAGGGGCCAATAACCTGATCTTTCTAACGGGGACCTTTTTGAGGTAGTCTGGGTCATTCCCGTCCAGGCAATCTGATCCCATGATCAGCTACTAATCATTGACGAGCTCCTTACAATGATTGTTCATCTGCTGTCTCCATTGGACTTCTGGACACCATCAGGTGGCAGAATCGGTTCTTGACTCTACATTTACCCCCTGTATCTTTCGCAAGATGGCCAATCAGCGATTTGCTCAGCACTGAAGCGCAGGAGGCTTTGTTCAGACCTTCGGGGGCACGCTGGCTTCTGCAGTAACTCTTGACATTGCACCTCTTCTGGACGCCTAAGCCCAACAGAATGTGTGAGACGTCGCCGATAACGAGAATTTACTCGCAGTCTACGTGAGTCATACAGGATCCGGGTCCTCAAGAAACAGTACATTTCTGACCCAGTTTCTCAGTGCAAAGATTTCTACAACATATCTCACCTCGGCACTTGTCGTAATCCCCGGTACAAAAACAGTTGCAACATTCACTACCTCAGCATGTCTCGCTCCTTCGGATGGATCTCGCGCCAGCGCATGGACTTCGTCTTTAACAGCAGGCACAAATACAACATGGTCCAGTCTCCTGCCGAGGTCCACTTCGGTGGCATTACCTAGGCAAACTACGTCTGGTACGACGCAAGGATCGAGCAACTCAAGTGGCAGCTTGGGAGGAGTGGAGTCCTCTTCGTCTTCACGACCATCGACATCCTCCTTGTGGAGCGTTCTGCTGGATGACAGGGATACTGAGTCTAATATCACTAGCTCTCAGGGTTCATTCAGGAGGAGCATCCGCGAGAATCCTCGGAGCGCCAACACCTCACCGTCTCGACCGTCTTTCGCATCCCCGAGTCCGACAGGGCATCATGCGTCAATCTACCACGGCCCGGAAACTGCCAACCGGGCTAACGTCGCCCATATATCCACGGACCACTACACGAACTCTGTATTTCAAGACAACCAAGGGCCTCCCAATTTCAAGCGACACAATTACCTACTAGACTTGCTCGGACATGGTGATTCCTCGGAACACTCGGACAGTTCTGACCACTCGGACTCGAGCAACTTGGATCTTTCTGACAATTCGGATAGGAATGAAGATGACGGCGCTTGTACATCGTGGACGACCATAACGACGTATTCTACCGGTTCGGGAGAGCCGACCTCCACATTTTCGACCTATACAGTGATGACGACCACTGACGTTGTCACCAGTGTCCTCGTATCGACCGTGTACGCTTCTTGCTCCGCGTCTCCAACAGGTATGAGTCAGCCGAGTTCGAACAAATGGACCGGACCCAATGCGGGATCCGTTGGCCTTCAGACAACTATGCAAGCCTCTATGAAGCCATCACTAGCTGCTGCAAGTCCAACGCTTTCTGCGTCTGACACGTGGTGGGAGACATCTCAGGCAGCATCATCGAGCTCTACAGAGAGTAAGCCAGAAGCTATTTGGTCTTTCGTGGCACCCTCTGACTGGAGTGTTTCAGCGGTGTTGAGGAGCTCTGAAGGTGGAAATGCAGAAGTGGCAGAGGTGACGTCTTCCCATGACTGGGATGCTGCATCGTCATCATCAAAGGAAGAGGCCAGTTTGTCTTTTCCATTGGTCGACTCAGCTTCAAGCCAGTCGAGTTCGACTCAGACCAAGATCTTGGGTCTTCAAACGTCAAGCATTGAAAACACCTGGACCCGCCTTCCGACTCCATTGTCCGTGACGATATCTGCATCTTCAGTTGCCGGATTGGAAGAGCATCCTGCGGAGCAGGGTAATGCCACCTCATCAAAAGCTGTATCTGCCGGCGCTGCAGTCGGAGGTGTGGTCGGACTGCTGCTGGCGATCGCTGCGATACTGGCATTCATCCGATGGTGGCTGCAGCGAAAGCGGATAAAGAGAACAAGGATGATGCGGAGTAGTTGGTTCTACGGAGGGGACGTAAGGGAGGAAGAGAGGTACGACGATGATGAGAATGAAGTGCGGACAGAGGTGAGTAGTCTCGAGCGGTTTAAGTTTGAGTTCAGCCACACAGACCTTGAAACTGACATTGTCGGACCCGACAGCAGAAGCACCGATCGGCTGGACCTCAATCCCGCTTCTCTACCACCTCTTCCAGTGCTCATCGAGACTCTCGGATGCCGAGCTATCGACCCAGTATAGTACCTTCGTTTCTGACTCTCGGGACTGCTTTTCGCCATTCTAGCCATCGCTTTCCATCCATGTTGCCGACGACTGGAAGACACTCTGGACGGTTCCCAACGATGAGACAAGATTTCAGAAAATCAATCAGTGGCATGGCTGGTCCCGGGAGACGTCGTCAGTCCGAATGGAGATACACAGATGAGATTGAAACGTCGCCGCCTGGCCTGCCTCCTTTGCCCGTGAAGACTCCGCAAGACGCTCTGGCTTCTCGAGATGATCCTTTTGCGGATCACCTCAACATAAAGGAACTACCTCCTGTTCCGCCTCTGCCCTCAAGCTATGAGGCAGGACCTCGAGCATTGCTTTCTGATTCCGTTGTACCTGCTTCAGCGGGATACACTGCTTCCGGGTGGACTGCCGCGGCGCCACCTTCCGGACTTGATCCAGCCCCTCGCCCAACTCTGACTTGGGGTCATTCATACGCTTCGCCATTCATTCCTCCATCGTCACTCTCCAGCCAAAGCGAAGAAGCATCACGACAGTCCAGTAAGGCTCAGACAGAGATACTGTCATCCGCCGCGTTGCCCTCTCCCATTGGCCATGCGGGATCTCCCGATAGCGAAGCTGAAGAATCGGGTTCGAATCGAGGTCAAAGTCATTACTCCAATCTAGGAACTGTCCAATCAATCTACTCTCAAGCAGAGAGCTTTTACCTCGCCGACTTGCCCGAGGAGATCGGCCGAGCGATCACTGCTCCAGGTCGAACTTCCATCGAAGTTCAAGGTATGGGCGGCGTATCCTATAGAGGTTCAATACCCTTCCCTGAACCTCGTGTACATCTCACATCGAACCCATCCTCGATACCTTCAAACCAACTTGGTCGGACACTCACTGTTATCTCACAAACACCTTCGTCCTCCGCTTCGGAGCAGCACGCCTCGATCCAGCCACAAACGCAATTGGGGGACGATGGTCGACGCGAAAGGGATAACAGCGTCTTTGAATTCTCAAGTATGGCCGGCGGAAGCGAGATAGGTGCTAGACAGACTCAATACACTCATCGGACTAGTCGTAGTGCTGCCGATACAGAAGTCACGGGCAATTGGTACGACAAATCACTCTGGGATGAAGGAACCTCAGGCAGGGTTCCTGCCTCGAGAGTCCCCATCGGTGGCGTCTCAGACAAGGGCAAAGGGCGTCATACCGATGAGAGAAAGAGCCGAGGGAAGAGTGTGAGGTGGGGAGACGAAGAGGAAGAACCTCTTCCTAGGGTATTTGAGCTGGCAAGGGCACTGTGACTGCGGGACCCCCGGAAATTATGATACATCTGGCTCTTGCTAGTGTGTCAACTGTTTGCTGTTACAGCACAAATTTCTAAAAGATCGTGTATGACTAGATATCTAAGTTTGGAAATACAATGTACGATGTATCGCTACAACAGATGTACCAGGATCCTCCCAAGCAAGCTTACGCAACAGCAGGAAGTGCAAACGTCTACCGTCTCCGTCAACAATTGCGGCGAAGCGGCTTTCTTGAAGCGCTCACCTCGACAATCTCCAAGAGACCCTTAGGGCATATAGCTAGCATGTCTTGATCTGCCCGACTCAATCTGAGAGCCTGCATCCCTCTCTCCCGCACGACTTCGCACATTCTCCCATTCCCGACTTCTCGCACTTCGGCCCTGCCTCCTGTTTCTTCGAAAAGCAATAGGTAAGGAGGTCTGAAGGCGACGTAGGACGGAGTCACGTTCCACCGAATGAAAGAGCCGTCACGAGCGATCTCCCCATCTGTCGGGGGCGTTTTAGCACCAGTGAAGACCCTCTGTTATGTGGGATCGAGACCTGCACACTTACACTTTGTCACAAAGGACGCTCCCCAGTCGTATACCAACGCAAATTCATTCTCCGCCACTTGATACATTGCCATTGGTTTCCCACTGCCCAAGACTCTCATAAGGTGAGAGTTGCCCTGTACAGCGAGGGGAAAAGTTGGGATAGCATTGAATGTCGGGTTCCCAGCCTCCGCAATGACAAAGCCCTTTTCGGTGACGATTGCTACTGTCTGTTTGAAGAAGGAGAGATCAGTCGCAAAGCCTGGGATCGTGAGAGCTGCGAAACGACGAAAAGGGGTAGTGGCATATGATCGATCGGGATTGGAGGCGAGCAGTGGTTCTTCGAATGAGATATGCGTCTGATGTGAGTTTCTGGAGACGAACAGGACGGTCAGTCGTATGCACCAGCGCTTGACCGACGCTCAGCTCACTTGGCATACGCTACGTGAACCACTAGTCAACATGATCAGCGAGGAAAAACATCTTTTCCCACCTTACTCACCCATTGTCCGACCTTTAGTGACACCAACACGCACAAAAGCTGTTGGCTGCTCATGCGCACTGAGATCGTACCCGCCGCCACGACTCTTGGTCTGCCAAGTTAATGGTTCATGAGTTGGAACCAGCTCATTCAAGCTATATGCGATAAGGGAACCAGATATAAGGACGAGGAGCCATCCGAATTCCGGGACCACCGAGACCGACGTGATGAAACCCGATGAAAAGCGGATTAATTCTCGGTATGCTGTATAGTATCATGAACCGCTGTCCAGGGTTCAAAGATTGACTCACATCGTGAGTCCCTGCGCCAACCGAACCACAGACTTCGCATCGTTGCGACGCAGATGGTTTCGCGCCCCAACCACTTGAAAGTGTCCGCCGCGAGGATCGGATCTGCGATCTCTGGAGGTATGAAGATGCTGTGAATCGCGAATAGCTGAATGGTGTCTATCAGATGGGCTCATCACTGGACACGACAGGCCTACACGATTGCTTTCTGCGTCGAAAGCTCTTAAAGCCTTCGCGTTCTCGATCTTCTCCTTCCACTGAGCGCTAGAAGTATGTCAGAACTCGGATAGGAGCCTCTTTTAGCAACTAACCGAGCATTCGCAGTCCTAATATACGTCAGGATAGTCAAAAGCGCCGATGATCAAGGTCACTCACGCGGTACACAGAGTGTAGCTATGATTGCTCGGTCTAGCTTCAGACGAGACGGTAAACGGATACATCAACCTCTCAGATCGCTCCACTGCTTGATTACTGTTGCACTTCAGCAACGTTCTCTAGGAGTTCGATTGCCTTACCTTGCAGATCGAGCGTGTCGCCTGACAGTGTTCAGATAATCGTATCGACGTTCTGGGACACCGTCCGCGGTTTCCAGAGTCAGAAAATCCAGATGAATAGGCTGTAGAGGGTGAATAATATCCGAAGAGCGTAGTCACTCACCCTAGATACGACGACGTATTTGCCGCCCTCTTCATCTCGAGTGAGTATGAAGTAATTGTCAAGGAGGAAAGCATGGAGATCTTGCCTGTCGATGGCGTAAGCTTGGCTCGAATATCAGCTGGATCGGCAGCCTCACCATCCATGCCAATTTGTCTCTGTTCTGACACGACGGAAGACGTGACCGGCGTACACTAAAGTCCGCTTCGGATCACCGATGTCCAGTTCCTGCAGAGCGTGAGGTTCGTTTCAAGGAAATCAAGGGATCGAATATACCACAATCTCTCCTTTTCTGAACATCATCCGCTCGGCAACATTCCAAAGCCTGATCTTAGCCTCGGCACTTTCGATGCCAGGCTTAGTCATTCGTCAGCTAGCGCAGTAGAACAAGGTTTGCGGCTCTCACCTGGCTGGCTTTCAGGGCTCCCGTCAATATTGCAGAGACAGTCGGTATCTCCTCGTGATCTGGATGATCCTCAGGCGTGATCCTCAGCAGCGCCTCGAGGAGAAGGAGCAATCGAGGCAATCTTGTGATCGGTCGAGATAGAAAGACCGACTGCGTCCCGTTAGTGCTGCTCGGTCATTGGATTCAAACCACCCACCAGATCGCGCTTCCGAGTAAGTTGTGTTGTGTTGCGAACCTCGAGAAAGTTCCTGAATCCGGGATTCTTGGCCTTCTCTCGTCGCACTCTCGCCTCGGCGAACGGATAGTTCTTCATGTACTGCAGACATACTTAGTGGTCTTCAGGCGACTTTTCATAAGTGTCAGTCGCTCACTTGTTCGTACAAACTGACATGCTCGAGAAAGTGTTGAAGTAAAAGATCGGTCCCAGATGTGAGCTATCAGAGTCAGTCTTTCTGCCCCGGCGCTGTGCCACTCACCAGAGGCCATTCATACCTCTGTCGCTCGAGCAGTTTCAAAAGCAATCTTTCATGAGCTTCTCTGAGAGCTGGTGCACAGCTAAAGACTTCATCAATGAAAAATTGCAGGCGCGATTCCGGCTTGATGAGTGGTTGAGCGCGGTCTCTCAAGGGTTTGATGAATGACTGTGACGACAGATCAGCATAGCGAGTTAGTATTGCAACATGACTCACATCGCAGACTGTCCTGAGATCTCTGACGTACTCCACTTCTCCCTTGACTAGTTCCCACCATAGCCCTTGTCGCCTGACCTCTGCGCTGCCCAAGCTTTCGAAGAATGATGATCCTACGAGCTCGTGCCATTCTGGATCAGCCTTGATCAGTTGTATGTGATCGCTTGATGCTGAGGGAGAGGCGAGAGGAAACAACTTGGGGGAAATCACGGACGTGTCGTGGCCTGAGGAAGAGGTCGAAGATTGAAAGGCCAGAAGGAGATTGTAAGATGCAGTTGGGTCGATGTGCGTACCCTGACGGAGATCATTATAAGTGGTTTTGCCCTGAGGAAGAGAAGGAAAACTACCCACCTTGGTCTTTGGGGTAGATGGATCCGGCAAAGGTTCCCGCGAGGCGTCGATGATGGTACGAGAGACGGTCGTAGCTGGACTGCTTGGCGCTGACTGCGTCGACCTCGTCGACTTTCGAGTGGGCTGAGATGAATCAGCAAAGGACGTGGAATGATTTCGCATCACCGAGCTCACCGTGACTCGCAGCTTTTCTCTTCCGACTAGACTTGGGTCAATCCAGCTATACGCATCTGGCTGAGTGTCGTCGTCTGTATCCACGTCTCCATAGTCGTTACCCCAGTGATGTGATCTTGGGCGGAGACCGTCCGTGACACCGCTATCATTGTTGCCGCGCTTGGGCTTGGTCCAAGGCCATCCCTTGTCGGACCGTGGATTATCCGTATCCAGCATGTCGAGCTGAGCAAATCCTTTGCCGAGTTTGACAGTAAGATCTTGAGCATCGGATGAATCGCCATTAGAGTATTCAGCAGGCGAAGGCGAACCGCTTGCCCTGTTCCTGTCTTGATCGGATGTTGAGCCGCTGGACCGATCACTCCAACGCGAATTCCCCGAGGTCGTTCTATCCGCCGCCATACTCCAAGGCCGAAGTTTCTGCATCGCCGATTTGGAAGATGGTGATGGAGTCGAGAATGGGTTAGGGAAGGGCGCTGGAGGATCAGGTAAAGCTCTGGTAGGAGCAGAGGACACGCGGGCGTTCATAGGGCGGGAAGGACCAGCTGCACTAGGAGAAACGTTCGGGTATGATGGGACATTGTTCTGACTAAAGGAAGTGGGGGGAGGTGGCCTTCTTGTCGGTGTGACATCTGTCGGAGGTGGTGGAGCAGGGCGATAAGTTGGTGAGGATCTAAGATGGGTATGGTTGTAGGAGGAATGCCGAGCGTGTCCTTTGGCTGTGACGACGGGAAGACGAGTCGATGAGGAATGATTGTGCCCGGACGAGTTCATCATGCTGAAGCGGACTGGATGAGCCGTTGACGAAGAATTCCAGGTCTAGGTGTGGCATCCGCTGTTGATGATGTAGGGTTCTCAAGATGATCGTCGTCAGCGTTCAGGAGTGTCATCATCCAGCAGAGGCAAGTGTCGTCTCTGCAATCATCCTCGACTCCTGCAGGTCTCGACTAGCTTTTATTATTAGCTGAAGCCAAGTGGACGATATGGATCGATGGATGGTGGTAAACAAAAAAAAAAGAAACAAGCAAAAAGTCCGGAGAAAGAGCGGCGGCGGCGGTCGCGGCAGCGGCGGATCATTCAATCGAGGTCATGGACGATGCATGGCATGGCATGGCAGGTTCCAAGGTTGTTGAGGTCCCACTGATACCCCGTCTCGCTCACTCACTGCTCATCACGCGACCGTATCGCAACGCGCCTCATCCTCTATAATGTCTCACTTCATATCCGGCCTTGTCCGATCCCAATGCTCTCCGTACCTCCTCTTCACTGACGTTGGACTGGGCAGAAATGATCTCCACACCTGTTACCTGAGCTTGAGAGGGGCCCTTTTTGAGATACGCCTGGCTGAGAGAGTCATCATCAACGAGTGCCAGTGGTCGTCGGTGATTTCTACGACTCACAATTCTCTGATCTTCTCCGTTGGTCCTGCTGCCATACCCTCCACACTTGAATCTGGGTGATTATGGCACCATCCTCTCAGACCAAGTTTGTTTGCCCTAGCTTTGCGAGTCAGCTCGCTGCCGATCAAGAGGATGAAAATGAGCCAGAACTCACTCTTTCTGTGTAGTCTGACGGAAAAAGACGCCCTGATGGTGGAGCAGCATGAGTCCTGCGCCAGAAAACTCTGTCTCGCAGAACCTACCTGGACTGTCCCAGTCCTATGTCAAGTTAGTCTGAGGATCTCATGTCGTCCAGCTGCGCCCTACACTTTGTACTGGATGAGGTCCATGACACCTCGACAGATGCTAGAGGGTCGCAGATTGAAAGCCCCTAACTCTGGCACTTATCTGAGCCACTTAGCGGTGGTTCGATGTGTTTATGCTACGGTATCGCCGCCCGACTGATCTCGTGAGCCGCTGAAGATGAACAAGCCATGCAAAGCATTGAATGCATCCCTTCAAAGCCGGCTTCATAAGACTTTCCCGGCGAACCGGAGCCCGGCTTGGAGGGATGACGTAACGAGAACTCCAGAGGATTGAGGCGCATTGCATAGGACCATGGAAACCTTACAGGAGGCTTCTTATGCAGTTGAGATAGGTGTTGAGAGGGTGACATCTACTTAGTATCGGCGACGAGAGCCCCGAGAGTCCTTGGGGGGGAAGAAGCGGGGGAAAAGCAGCGGTGAAGACGTTGAGCTGTTGATGTCGAGCGGCCGACGTCTCCAAACTTCTCCTGATGATTGAGCGTTCGGTGACTGTGTATTCATCGAACACATGCTTCATCTGGCCGGTATCGACCAGTGCACAGAAGAGGTAACGTTTCTTAGATCGTCGTTTAGTTTGCTCAATGACTCGGGTCGAGACATCACCCCTAGCTCGATCTCCAAGATAATCGTCCTTCTCATCTGCAAAGATTCCCCACTGATCACAGGAAACAGGTCCAAGACCGGTACCGGCCTACTCCACAGTCGAATGGCGACCATAGCAAGGTACGGAGGGTCCGGAAAAATGCCGCGTTGAGGGTTACTCGGCAGTAGTTTTGCTCTAATGGTGCCGTTCTCCGTAGCTAAGACGGACCGCGTTAGGCAAACGCTGGAATATCGCAGGTCAGGGTTCGCTTTAGGTCTCAGATACATTCGGGCCAGAGTTCAACAGCGATCTCAACATCATAGACGAGCTCATCCAGTCCGTTTAGTCGACACGCTGCACCACAATTGATGGCAAGGTCTACATTGAGCCGATCGAGGATGACGGTCATTGCCACGGAGATCTCATGGAGCTGAAATGCTTGATGCCGACGGCTCATTCAAGCGTATCGAACACCTACAGTGAATCGAACACCTACAATGACTTACTATCACATCATGGCAGTCCATGATGTCTGTGAGGGCTGGACGCACCCAACATCTGACTGCACATGGCGAATGATATCGTGGTATGAGGAATACATTCAACGGAATGGATGATCTTCTGTATACTTTATGCTTAAATGGAGACTCGCCTCCCTGGTTCACGGACATCAAAATCACGTGATCATTTCCGGATGCAGCGACAAGCGCCGTTCCGACTCGGCGACTCACTTAAATTCCATGTCAATCACCGTCTCATTGTACAACTTGGGTCTTGTACAGGCCAAGCATAGCGATGCCCAGGCTTCACGTGGGCCTTATATCGTCTCCATGTCTGGCGGGACCATCCAGGCTGTCGAGAGCGTCCAGCAAGAGTGCATTGAACCGCGAAGCACCAAATCGAGATCCCAGGCGGAATGCTTCAACCTCTAGCACTTCGACGACCCAAGATGCTGATTGGCGATCATGGCTGAAGCGTGCATCTTCATTTAACATGATACAAGACGGCTCAGGCAAGGGTAAAGCATTGCTTTTTGCTGGTCTGGTAAGTCGTGTGCTATGAATCGTGTCAGCATATCCACATTAGCTGAAGCTCAAGATCAGGGCTCATATCCTCACACCCCTTATTCGCCCACCCAAAGCTCCCTACAGATCTGGGAGTCGGCTTCCGAAGCACTTCTCAATCCCGATGCGACCATAGGGTATTGGCCGAAAGGCATGGAAGAGTTTGCGGATGCTCTTAGGGGCGGTATCGGCATCAGGGGTTGGTTGCGAGGTTGGGTTGAAGGGAGAAGCTTGGTTTGTTGGCCTGCGCGCAAGTCAGGACTGAGCTGACATTGACTCAGGATGAGTTGATGCGGCGGGCGGATGTCACTGCCGCTTTCATCTTGACATCGTCTATTGCCATTCTCGCAAGTGCTCAGGTGAGGGCAATTTTGTGAAAACCTGGACAGCTCTGATTTGGTCCCACAGGAGACTGCAGGGTCAAGCTCTCTCTTACCCCGCGGAACTATGTATCTCGCTGGTCACGGATTTATCGGCACACTCACTGCTCTCGTTGCAGCGGACAGATTGGACTTGCCTACCGGCGTACGCCTAGCGGTAAGCATCAGTTCGTCTTTGATACCTAGGCTGATCCCACTCAGATGATGTACGCGTCCTTATCACCCTCACCTTCGTCGTTACCCCACCTCAAGCCCAAATTTCTCAGCACCGTCATGTCCGCCAGGCAATTTCATTCTCTCTCGGGACCCTCGTACACTGTGCCACACGTCAATTCGGACGAGGATGCTGAATCTCCCGACTCATCTGCAGAGCGAAAGAGGGCGATGCAGTTAATATTAGATGAGGTCCACGGAATGCAGAAAGGGTGGTGGGACAAGGGAGGGGAAGAATGGGCAGCGCCTGCGATCATCAACTCCAGCAAAATCCTGGTCCTATCGGTGAGTTGCCAACTTCTCTTCTCAACAGTGAATTCATGCGCCTGTTCAGGGCACGCAGATGGCGGTGCTGGACGCTATAGAGCGGCTCGAGGTCATGGGATTGGCAAATCCAGTCATTGACATCCCTCAACCGTATGTCAAACCGAAAGTTGTCATGTCCCGGTTCTGATGGTGCAACGTCAGCTGCCCTTACCACACTCGTCTGATGGAGCATGCGATCCCCAAGTTCAGAGAAACGTTGTCGCTGTGCCACTTTCGTGACCCTGATCCTCATGACGCGCAGATGCATGCTGGCACAGTCGGACCCATCATCCTGGATCCCATGGCGACTCATCCGGTAAGCAAAGCGCACCCATTGCCTTGCCCTGGCTGCACGCTGATGTATTGCACAGATGGGTTCTATCCGCTCATCCCTGCTACCCCATTTGACCGAACAATTGAGGTGGCACAAGACGCTCTCAAGATTGTACAAATATCCTTCGACTGATATTGATACTTTCCACACCATCGGACGTGGAGCGAGAGGACTGGGTATCATGCTACGTGGAGAGATCAAAAGACGGTATAAAGGTGCCGAAGAGATCAAGGTGGAGGAATTCGGTGTCAAACCGGGTGAATCAGATCGAGAGAAGTTGATACGCAAGGCCGTGGCGTGAGATCGATCCAGAGGGCAATGTTGTACTTCAGGAGCGAGCTGCTCAATCCCATGTATTGTTCATAGTCAGGTCGTCCATGTCAATGTTCCGATCGGTCGAATCCGGCTCATCAGAGCACGTCTAATAAAATAATGTTTCCGGCGGCGGCGGCAAATGACAAGGATGACGCAAATCGATCGAACGATTGTCCGCATTTTTTGGTTGTTTTGGTCTGAGACGATAGGATCTCAGGTGTAGTCCATACAGCTTGTCAACATCAGCTTCAGATCATTGGATCTGGCCTGCCCTGCCTGACCTACCCTGCCTGAAGCGTGTAAGTACGTGTGAAATCATGTCGTCGAGCCGCAGCAGTGCCGATCTCGACCGCCCACCAACACCGGAGCAACTCGTCGAAGCTCAATCGTCGGAGCTCTTCGATGAGGATGGCCACCGGACGACTTTTGGAGAATTGACCAGGGGCAAGCGAGTGGTAGTGATCTTCATCCGTCATTGGTGTGAGTGGTATATGGCTCGTGGACTTGAGTGGTTGGTTGATCTCGTCTTTTCTAGGGTGTATCGTTTGTCAGACATACATTAAGAGGTTAGCAGCTCAGATACCGCCGTCCAACCTTCCAGAAGGGACTTCTGGTAAGTCGAAGACGCTAGGATCTCAACCTGATCTGATTTCGGCTAGTCATCGTCATCGGATGCGGTGGCTATGCTCCAATCAAGGCATACAAATCAGGCTCTTCGGACATTTACCCAATTTACGCCAATCCTTCGCTCTCACTGTACAAGCTATTCGACTTTACAGCCAAATTGAAACCTGAGGATCCTGATAATCCCAAAGAATATACATCAGACCTTGGGTCGAGTGTTCAGAGGGTGTTTACGGGGCTCAAAGTGGCCTTGAAACGGATCGATCATCTGAATTCTCATGGCCCCATCGCACAGAATGGCGGAGAAGTCGTATTGGAAGCCGGTAAGTTGAAGACAAGCGCTGTTGAATTGTAGGTATTCATTCCATCGCTGACCCAATGGAGTAGACGAAAGATGCTCCTTCTTTCACCGGATGCAGAATACTGCTGACCATACCGATCTGATTCACCTCGCCAAAGCTATCGGAGCAGAATACAACCCCCCTAGCGCCGCCGAGAAAGCCAAAGAAGCAGAGCCAATGACGTGTGATGGACCGGTCAAGGCTTAAGTGACGGCGAGAGCTTCGTGATAGATGCTACATGATATATTGCGTGTCTTACTCAGTCACCATCGAGAGAAACAACTCTAGCCGACCGTCGCAGTTTCAACACCTCCTCCCCAACTGCTCACCCAGCGTCTCCACCACCCACTCTCTTCTCCTTTTCGACCGGCTCCCGATCTCAGATCACCCATAAGTCCAGAAGCCTGAGGGTCAGACTGAAGAGTGACTCTGTTCTGTAGGATGTGGGAAGCGGGGTATAATGCAGCTCTGATGGATGTTGCTGTAGCGGCCAAAAACAGAGTTCCCCAGCCCCATAAAGCACCTTGAATCAAAGGAGAGAACAGCTACGTGGAGAGTGGTCAATAAAACAACGATTGTCGATCCATAGATGAGCAGAGAACCCACCTGATCCCGGATAGTGACATAGATAACCATTGACCAATCCACTCGCCAACGTTTATCCCAACCGAATACCGCATCGTTGTCCGCTGATTGCACCAGAGAAGTGGTGGCTTGTGATGCATCCGCCGTGCTCTTGGTGCGTGAAGAAGAGGCAGTCGTCGAAGGAGAGAGAAAAGGGCGGATGGATAAAAGATACGACTGAGTTTGAAGTGATCAGCGGAATGAGGAGAACAATATTCTCCGTTGAGTAACGAACCTGCTCGTATCTCAGATCAGGCATTGGAGGCATAGCTCCTCTGACCCTTCTCCTAGCATCTCGCTTAGCCTTTCTCTCAGCATTGACACGAGCAGGTAATCGATCATCGATAGAGAGATCATCCACTTCGTCCTCTGAATCCCCGTCTATAATTCCAGCTCGTTTCTCATCGAGGGGTATATCGTCTGCTCGATGCACGGCTTGAGCGTGTCGGCCAGAGGGGTCGCGAAAGATATTGTGAGATGGATCTAGGGTTGTCATGACTGTTGCTTTGGCGCCAAAAGCAGTGACAGAGAACGACAAAGAGGTAGAGAGAGTGTTGGTTTTAATGACAACGAACGGGATAAACGGAATTCCGAGAGATGGGTAATAACTCGTCTCTACTTCTTATTCCCTTCAAAACCTGTCACATCTGTAAGCGTCGCAGCGAGCTTGCGTGTCGGAACCACTGCCTCCATCGATTCAAGCTCCTCCCTTCTTCTCAGCATGGATACACGAGCATCGCTCCCGCTCGTGCCCCTTCATTTGACCTCCCTGGCGATCCTTACTCCGACAAATGCACCTCTCTATGTCCACTCGTTCACAGGCAGAGAAGATGAGCTGAGGCACTATCATCTCGCACACGCAGCTATCGATGTCATGGAAGAGAGAAGTGAGTCAAGGCGATCATGAGACCCATGGCTGACCATCACAATCAGTCGTGATGACTTCAACGCCAACAAAACCCGCTGACTCGTACCTGGGCCTGTTGTTCTGTATGGAGGATATGGCATTGTATGTGTCTCAAAGCTGGCCAAAAATGGGACTAGACTGACCTTTGGGGGTGCAGCTATGGTTTCCAGACAACGACAAAGCTGCGAATGATTCTCTCCGTAGCTCTCGTCGACGCGATGATCAAAGATGGGGATATCATCTCGGTAAGGACGCGCGATGCAATTCATGCCTCGCTGCAGCTCACGTCCCTACCCTAGATCTTCCGAGCGGTCCATCATCTGATAATGACAGCTGTCAATAATCCGTTCCTATCGCTCCCTTCGTCGTTCAAGGCTCGCCCGGCTTCGCGGACTGAATCAGTCCATGGCCAGCTTCTTGGCTCAGCTGCGGCCACGCAGCAGGCATCCACTGACGAACTTCCGCCAAGGAACGAGAAGATCATCAACGCCCCCTTCACGAGCGAGAAGATATTCGCGGCTGGTCCTGAGGACATTCAGGAGGACTGGTTGAGGAACAGTCGAAGGTTCCAGTTGGGCATTAGGCGTTTAGGGGATCTGCTGTCGGGAGGCAGGAATTGATGGGCGATCGTCGGCATGGTAGGTCGTAGCGTACCGAGACAATCTGCTGATGATCTCCTAGTCTATTGGTCTTCATTAGACGATGACGCGACAGCGCATCGACCAGATCCGCGAACCCCGCCTTGAGCTCACCGCCAAAATCCCGGTCAACGACGCTGCATCTTGAAGGACGAGTCTGGTCGTCTTCCGTTTCAAGTCTGCCCAGTCCACCCCTCCATTGTAGCCCACGCAGGTTACACGGAGGGTTCTGACCTAGATCGAACGCGAAAATGCCCTACTTTTGACACTGCGATAGCCAAAGATTTGTGGTCGTAGTGACAGATACTGGGCATACAGATCTTGTAATGATGCTATATATGAAAGGCACGATTAACGATTGTATAAAATTGCGCGCCTTGAGCCAGTCGCAGAAACTTCCTCTCTCAAGCCTTTCATCACATTGCTTCCCTTAGTGATGCCAGTATCTGCTCGGCCAGCTGTCGGTCATTGGAAGACTCTAAAGACGACCAATCCGAGTCTATGAGGAGTGACTCGTAATGGGCGCCCAGCAATCGCTCCTCGACTTGTCTGAGAACTCGGTCGGCGGATCCCGTCGCTTCTGACCATGTCAAAGCGATATCCGTGATCAAAGCCTTTCTCGAAGCGATCTTCGCCGTCTGAAAAGGAATGAGAATGAACTACATCTCCCCTGTAGCAGCTCACCAACTGATTATCACCAATGTGCGACTCTATGAGGTTGGTAAATTCCGGCGTTTGACCATACGTCCAATCCCAAGATTTGAGCTCTTCTACCCCCCGCAGAACGTTTGGTTCATTCATTTGATCCTCGGATACTTGTTGCACTACCATGCTCTCCTCAGAGCCAGTATAGACCGCTGAAAACTCTTGCGTGACGGCTGTGATAAAGTCTTCCGGGGTGATTGGATGTTGTCCAGAAGACAGATGGGAGTTGAGGGTTGTGACTGGCGATCGGAAAGATGGGATGCCTTTGGTCTCCATCTGAGGCTGTAGCGGCGTAAGCGAAGTTGTTCAATTGATGATGAACTTCTGCCGGACCGCTGCACCCACAGAGTTTGATCGGAGAGCTTGTCCCAAATTGGACAGATCTGACGAAATGAGCATCGTGCCATGGTGATACGCTCGATGCTGAATGATCTTGTACGCTGAACCTGAAACCTTTGAAACAAGTCTCATCATCAGCCACTTGATCTGTGTAGCGTTCCTCCAGCCCATTCTCACCTTGAGATCTCTTTCGGTCGTCCGGATGATCACGTCGTTCCTGTCGTTCACTGTACAGCTGGATATGCCCAATCGATCGCGGACAGCCTTGGCGACGAGCTCTGCACCCTGATTTCGAGTGAACAGTAGTCGAGGTAACATGATGGAGAAGTTGACATTGCCTAGATCCTGGTGACGTTGGCTCAGACGACTTTCGCGATGTCAACGTCAGAGATTCTGCTCACGTGAAACACTGTTCCTCCTCCTGATCGACGACGGATGAGAGGTATATCTTGTTCTCTGAGCCACTGGGGTGTACTCTCTTTCCATGGATTCTGGTTCGATGACCAGCTCAATGATCGACGCAATGTGGCAGAAGAAACGAACGCACTTGATTCCTGCCTATGACGACGCAAGGCTTGTTCCGATATACAAACAAGGTCGGCTCATCGTGCGGCGTGTTCCTCAGCAGCCTGGCGGATGATCAAGCAAAGTCGACCAGATCCTCTCAGAACTTACCAGTCCTCGTATGATAGGTTGAACCAAGGGTCCGTAGACTCCGAGACGAATCCTCGGGGCTAAGATTGAGAGGAAAATCAGGACAAGCGAGCGGGTGAAGTAGCTTCACTGACCGCCAACAATTGAGGTTTGCGTTCCTGCTCATTGTGCTGAGACTCCCCTACGCTAGCGAATGGACGACGGCTGGCATTGGCAGATCGTCTCAATAGCAACGAGGCGAAGGATGAAGAGCAGGGTCGAGTCAAAATCCTCAGAGCACTCTGAAGCGCTGACATACTGATCGTGTATCGCAGACAATGAGGACATTTCATGCATGGCATTCAGGATTCATTTCCTCGTTAATAATTGTCCAGCCGGGACTCGATCTACCTCCGCCGACGTTTGCTGCAGTCATAGCCCCTTCCGAAAGTCACATTCATGTTCTAAGACTCTTCAAAATTCAAATAAGTCACACTCTAGCCCACTGACAACTTTCCAAGTCCATCCATGCATGCCATGGCCTCAAAGCTCGCTGCTCATTCACGCCATGGGACCTCGGACGATCCCACGTGGCATCCAGTTAAAGAAGGTGTACGCGTTTTTATGAAAATTGAAAAGTCAAAAAAGACGACGCGCGCTGGCAATATCATTCAACTGATAATCATCTACATCGACTCCACACTCCAGCCACTTGTGTGCCATCGCTCCATCGATAGAGCTGGACGTTTCTAGCTGGAACGCAGAATGTCTCGCCGTGGGCATCTCTCCCACAAGGTGCCTAATGTAAAGCTGCGACCAGCTCCTGCGCCTGGGTCGAATGACCCAGCACGCAAGATGAGACAACTTTCTCCAGATATGTGGAAAGAGACGTACGGATATGGGCAGGATGAGGATGAATCGGGCCCGGTGGAGACAGGAGAGAGCTCTAAACCATGGCAAGATGTCGTCATTACCATAACAGGGCAAGAGGACAAGGTAGGTCGGCTCGTCGGGTGAGAAGCCTTAGAGAAATCATCAGCTGAAAGACCGCCCTCAGGTCCACCTGTCCAGCCTTATTCGCGAGCTTGGCGGTACGGTCGAGAGTGCATTGACTGTTCGCGTCACGCATGTCATTGCCTCTGCTCATAATTCTGCCAAATACGTGGTGAGTCGATCGATGAGGGTCAGTAACCTTTGGTCTGACGGCAAACAGTATGCTGTGGAACATCGCATACCGGTCATGACCCCTGAGTGGGTTCTGCATTCTCACAGTCGGTACATACATGCCGAGGATGTGAATCTCGACGACGACATGGATCGATTCCGGCTTCTCCCTTTCATCGGTCTGACGATTGCCATGTCTGGCATCGAGCCATGTAAGTAACATTAGGCAAAAAGCGTAGGTATCTCGAGTTGACACGACTTAGTGGACAGACGGCGCCAGATCGTCCAGTACATCAACGATAATGGAGGAATATATAACAAAGATCTCGGACGAGGATGCACACACCTGATAGCTGCGAAGGGAACGACTGAGCCTGGTCAATCGGAGAAGATAAAATGGGCCGTGAAGGAGAATCTAGACAGGCAACGGAAACGGAAAAAATGGAAAGTCCAATCGGATGATATCAACATTGTCTACGAAGAGTGGATATGGGACTGCGTAGGGTTCAGGGGGAGGTTCCCAGAAGCAAAATACGATGCCAGTCAGCCTAGACCAAAAGCGAAGGTCGAAGCCGGTGAGCTTAAAGCACAACTTGATAGCGTTCGCGGCACCGGAGCTGACGAGCATCAGAGAATGTGCTCGACGGCACTGCTTTTAAGGAGGTTAAGGCTGACGCTGTGCCTTTGGATCAAAAAGAAGAGGAGCTGCCTGCAGTCGTTCGCAAACGCAAAGGAGCTACCGGAGGACCAGCAGCAGGGGAAATGGCTGCTGTTATCCTATCTTGCGCCAAGAAGCCCAAAATGGATACGAAGCGCGCTGAGAACGACGACACGGAGCAAGGGTTCTCGGTCCAGACTAATGGAGCTGAAGTTGGCACTTCCACAAAGACCGCGGCTGCTTCCGTAGCCGAAGTTGATAGGGACGAGCTGCGAGACGATACGCGCTGGAATCATCACTCGAGAGCAGTGGAACAGGAGCGAAAGCCTTCGGTCCTGACGATGCCTCGGACGAGCTCGTTTGCGCCTTCGTCAGCCTTGGCAGGACCGTCGAAAATTACCATGGCACAAATGTCCACGACGAACCAGATAGAGGCATCGACAGCGGATCCACCGAAGACAGGCGAGGTCCCAATCGCTACTCCCCGTATTTTTGACGGGCTGCGATTCAGCCATGTCATCCAGGAGAATTGCGAGAGTCTAGAGAAGGCTCTTGTTGGACATGGTGGAATGCTAGTGTCGGAGACTGAGAGACTGGCTGGAGCTCAGGTGGACTACATAATTGTCAGATTGTGAGTCATATTCGTTCGCGCGGTGGACACTGATTCTCCGTGTCCAGGAACTCGTCAATTCGACCCGAGATCAGCTCTTCCCCCAACCAGCCGACACTCGTTACTGAATGCTGGATCGAAGGCTGTTGTTTCGAACGTCGCATGGTCTCCCCGGATGATCATCTTGTCTTTCGGCCCCTGCCTGCCACTCTTCCGATACGTGGAGCGAATGACTTCAACATCCATCTCAGCGGGTTCAGTACGTCGGAGACAGTATATCTGAAGCGTCTACTCCGAGCTCTTGGTAAGTGGCAACCAAATGCTATGAGCTCACAATTGTCAGGTGCTCGACACTCTCTCAAAGTCTCCCGAGAGACAACACATCTCGTCTCCCCGATCCTCAAGTCTCGCAAAGTGGATATTTGCCTAGAATGGGGTATCCCCGTCGTCAAAGATTCTTGGCTGTTCACGATGGGCAAATCAGGCGTTATGGAATCACACGAGTCTCATACGCTTGTGGGCCCTCTCACACCGGGCCAGAGGACTTCCAACGCGCTTATGTCGGAAATGTTTGGGACGCCCGATGTGGATCTCGATTTCTCCGGCATAAAAAGCTCGACACCAAAGGCTGCATTTCTCAACAAGGCCGCCGAGGTCAAACCTTCCTCGTCGTCGCCAATGTCCGTCATCTCCCAGAATCGATTGCTTAAGCTCACGCCGACCCATATTGATGGTATGGATGGCGGGGTACGGTCAGCTGGATCCAGCGACTCGATGGCGGAATCACTCCCATTATCTGCACCTGGACCAGAGCGTGAACGTGCTTTGAACAAGGCTTCTTCAGCTTTCGAGATCAAGAACGACACTGTGGAAAGCAAGCTTTCCCGGACAAGCTCTGCGCCTCCCATTGGGTCGATCAAGGAGACTGCACCTGAAGCGGCCAAGCGATCGCCTTCGGTGGGCGGAAGTCCAGCTGGAGTTGGGCCTGGGACTGGTATGACTGAAGTTTTGAGGCAGATGGCTTCGAAAGGAGATGTCACGCCGAGGGATAGGACAAAGTCTGTGAGTGTAGTCGAAACACGGGGGAGGATTCCGGCTTATCGGCTCTTCAGATCCGTCGACCACGGACAGGCACGGGCTCCAGGCTCAAGGTGAGGCATTCATTCTTCCCTGCGGAATATACAAGCTGAGAAATACACCTAGTCCTCAGTCACTGTCGGCTACACATCAGTCACTGCCCTATCACCCAGTTCCAACATGTCTTTAGAGGATTCGATGGAAGTCGAAGGGCTTGCTCGACCGACAACCACGGATGAAAGCATGCGGATCAGTTATGTCGATCCGCTTGCCGAGAGAGAAAGGCGCAAGTTGATGGATGCGATGCAGAAGAGTGAGAAGCTGCGCAGGGTGTAGCGCGAGCTGGGAGACCAAGTCAGCGTTCAAGTTGTCGCAGGGTTGCCAAACTATTTTCATCGTCACTTGTCATTTGTACCAGTGTTTTTGCATGCTGTCAGGCACATTCCCCCGTAGGATTTAATCGGCCGTGGCGATTCGGTGCGTGGAGTGAGTGGCAGGGGGACAAGGATCTCCTGGCCCATTGATCAGTCTATCCAGGTCATCTCGAGTGGCGACAAGCTGAGCAGCTCAGCTGACAGCGATCTCTCCTCTCAAGCTTGTTACCCGCTCACCGATGTGCCCCAGTCTAAATATGGGATTCCAGTCTCGAGTCGACTCCAACATTCATCACCATGCCCCACACCACACGGAACCCCGTCCGGTACGGTATTAGAAGACATTAGGATTTTTCATTTGATTTTTGTTCTGCCTGATTAGAAAAGAAAATACAACAAAAAAGAATTTATGGAACGCCGAGAATGTCAGATTGAAACAATAGTCCAGTGACTGACACCATCCCAGAGTCTCACTTCATCTGCTTTGCACACTGCATCCCTTGACCCGATCATCGACTCGAGGACCAAAGCTCTTACCCAAGGTGTTGTACCAACCTGGCTCAGGTGAGTGTCGACTTATAGCCTCGCCTCGATTTCGTTTCGAAAGAAGCAGACTTTCCGGTCCGTACCGGAGCAAAGTACCGGAATCGTCGATGTCAACCGTCCTTTAAACAGAGAGAGGTCAGGTTCTCCTGGTTTGGGCAAAGTATCAAACGTCGCCTCATTGGCCTCTGGTTTGATCCACATATCATCCACATATCACGGGGCAAAGTGGACCATACGTTGCTCGGTCGTAGCGGGACAAAATCTACCATCTTCCTTCATTCCTGCAAAAACCGGGGCTGAGACCCCCATCCCACTTTGCGCGCCGCCCCATTCATCGATATCCTTTCCTTTTGACGAGACCAACCAAAGGACCCGCTGGTCTGTGGGCTCGACTCTATCGCCAGTTTACGCCGTTGATACTCTCAGCTGTCGATGCCGATCTCGCAGCAAGCGCGCTGACCTTCGATCCAGGGCTCCAAGTCTGAACGACCCTTTCGGTAGTTTAGGACAACACTCGTGGAGACGACGACGGTCCGTCACGATCAGCAAGTCGACACCGAACGGAAGACTGCGATAAGCCTCTCAACAGTGCTTATCTTTATCGCTTTATTGCACCACAACTCATCGGGACCTCAGCATTGCCCGTGGACGCACCTCTCTCGGCTCCAGCTCCACCCTTTCCGAATCCATCTCCTGAGGATGGCTCAAAGCATCCCTACAAAAGAACAATCCGTTTCAGCTGCTACATCTCAGATCAACACCCCCAACGCAACTCCTCCTACGTCTGGCCCGTACCTCCCTTGGACCGCATTCACTGAAGGTCGTCTTCAACAATTGTTGGCTCATTTTGACTCTGGAACACACGAATTCGATCGCGCAGATAGAGAAACGCCTTTCGAAAAGCGAATGTCGTGGAGCGAAGGTGGGCGGTTGACGGTTCAAATCGCGATGAGTCACATACTGATTCTATATCCTAGATTTCCCCAATACCCCCTCTCAGCACCAAAGCCAGTCCTCATCCTCCCGTCGTCCGTCTTTCCTCTCTTCCTTGAGCCTCACTAGATTTGGAGCTGTCCCTCAGCCTTCCTCAAATCCAGCTTCTGGGAATAACACTCCCGCCCATACACCCGTCACCAGTACTCATCCAAACCTTCCATCCTCCCTACAAATGACCAACACCGTAGCACCTTCCTCATCATCACCTTCTCCTACTGCCGACCCAATTCAGCGTCCCCACTCTACACCCAACATGTCTTCGTCTACTGCTCCCACAGACTCGGTCATCGAAAGTCTGAAACGAACCAGTCCTGTCGCTTCTGCACCTGGAGACCAACATGCGCCGGCCCCGGCCCCGACGATGATGATGCAGCGATCTAATACGCTGCCCGGAAACAAGACCCAAGGGGCTCTTGGTTTCAGCTTCTTGCAGCGAAAAGCTAGTATCGGACAAGGGCTTGGTGCGAAACCTCTCATGGCGGGACTCGAAACCATCGACTTGAACCAGGAGCCTCAGAGACACTTTGACCCGTCAAAAGAACCTCGATTGCACGGGCTTTTGTAAGCGGAGCCAGCTCGACTCCCTGATCCACCAATTGTGTATATTAGATTTAGATTTTGTCACATACTACTATACACTGCCATCTAGAGTGTCCACAGCGACCTCATTTGTATCATTCACAGCAACCTTTCGCAGCATCATGCATCTCGTTTGATCGTATCAGAGTACCCGAGGTGTCCTCGTTACCAGCCACACAGATGCATCATGCCAAGTACAATATTATTATATAAGACACAACAAGGATCACGACAGGATCTGCAGAGTCATGAGCTCAAGTCGCGCCGCGGGCCACTCACCGCCAGGAGAACAACCAAGATCACGACCACCAGAATGATCAACAGACACACCATCCGTCTGCCAGCTTTGCGCTGATATTCATGGGCGGTGGTCAGCTCGTCTGCTGCTGAAGAAGTATTCTGAGCAACCGAAGTGATATTGGATTCGATGTTATCTAAGATGAATCAGGAGAGCATCCCCAATGAAGGAGAGAAACGACTGACCTATGAGACCACCCTGCTGTTCGACAATCGTTCCTAGATCTCTGAAGATATCGTTCAACTCGTGAATCCCCGTCTCGATCTCTCTGATCTCCGCTTCTCGCTCAGCGATGAGTGTCTCTTGGAATTCTAGCTCTTGGGCGGAGACCCTGTCAGTGGCAACGTGTCAGTCTAGTCGAAGTTGACGTGATTCAAGCTGAGTACGCACTGTTGGACCTGCTGCTGTTGCAATTGCTGTTGAGAGACGTGTCCCAACTCTACGCTTCCTCTTGGCTCATCGGCACTGGCGAACGAGTCAGATAAAGATGTTGCGATGTTTCCTGGCCTGTACACTCACATTGATTCATCCTCGACTAGCTGATCCACCCTACGTTTCTGATCTTCCACATTATGTCTCTGTTTCTCCGCACTGAGCTTTTGAGCGCGCTGAAAGGATTGTATGGCCGTGCTGAATTCTCGTGCCAACTTGGCCTGTATAGGTTTCCGTGCGGCCTGGAGAAAAGTCATCATCAGCAGATACAGATGACCTGTTCCGTTCTCCACGTACATGTGGTCCTCCAGCGGGAAAAGCGGCCAACTTTTTGACGTCGTCTGTCGAATTCTTCACCATATCCCGAGTCGACTCGGTCAAGTTGTGTCTTTGATTCCATCAATCTCGACACCACATGAGCGAACTGCATGACCTACAGGCTGGTCCGTAAAGCTGGACCGTCACCCGGCCTGCCCAGCTTGTCCACCAGTCTCTGAATACCAGTGACATTGCTCTGAATCTTGAAGATCTGTATGGAGACGGAATCCTTCACCGTCGTGAATACCTTGTCCTCCTCTGCGATCACAGTCAGCGACAATGTCAGGACTGAGCAGACAAGCGACACTCAAAGCGCCGAGCGGGGATGTTCAAAGCCTTGCCACGAGAGATGACTCGCGGAGGTAGCTTAGACGAATACATCAGGGAACTCACCGGACTGAGCGCCACTCCGCCGTATCGGTTGAGATGGCTCTCCTCGCTCTAGATCGTTGAAACTCATCTCTGTTGACCAATGGAAACGGGACAGTGCGATAGAGGGACAAAGTGGAATGCGAGCTACCAAAGGACTTGCTCAGCGTAATCGCTAATGGGATCCATTTCCTAAAGCGGCAATTTCGAGTGATTCTTGAATGTTGTGGCAACCTCACTGAGTGATCGATAGTTGGTCACCCATGACTCTGCGAGGCAGATCCTGACCCTCTTCGCGAGCGACTACATCGTGCTTGTACCGCTGTTGAAAGGCTATGTTGCACGCCATCTCCCTAGTGACTTCGACCCCTCTTTCATGGCTTCTTCTTGGGTTCCCAATGATAATGCATCCATTTGGTTGTCCAGCCTACTCACAGCGAGCTGATGAAGCTGCACATCGCGACTGGTGATTTTAGGCGACTGCAGCGATCACACCAAGTCATCCCTTCCAGAAGGCATGTCTTGGCTATTCAACACGCCCCGATATGTCCCCCGAGAATGGAGCTTTCTGAAGACGATGACAAAATTCTCATCGAAGAGGACTTCTCTTCAGGGCGGAAGATTCTCATTCTGCAATGATTTTTGGAACGTTACATTTGAGGATATGAGAGCGTCAATGACCACATCGCCAGCCTTTGAGAGCGATGCGATAAATACATAGACACATTAGTTTTTTAGCTCCCCCTTCTGGGCTTCGCCGAGGAGCTGGCAACATTTCCTCATCACGGTGTCCAGTAGATAGCTAAAGGAGACATTCGAACCGATATTTGGACAGAGGTATGATTGATGCCTGTTGTCCAGGCTCGGAAGATTGGAAGCACTGAATGAATGCCGATTGGCAGACAGGTGCACAAGTCAGACCGACCTGCTTGCCCACGAGAGAAGCTCTAAAGGACGACATGATCAACGAAGCTGCCCCTGAAATTCTTACGCTTCATGGGACTTACTTGGGATCTCAGAAGACAAGATGCTCCAGAGAATGAACAGGCACAAGCCTCCCATGAGGCCACAGAATATCCATTCGTGTATATTGATCGTGCATATACGTCGGTCTTGTGGAGTTCGCGATATTGTAAATGAGATTTGTGCCATTTTCTACGTCCTCCTGCAAAGTCTCACTGTCGGATCTTCTCGACTGAGATGCTGTTGTCTTCCTTGGACACCAAAGTCACGAATGATGGCTTTTCATGTACATCGTCATTTCACGGAATGTCACCTCAATTGTGGAGCTCCGCAAGCAACAAAAATATCCGGTAAATTCGAGCGGTCATTATTGCCCTCTCGTTCTGGAATGTTGTGTCCTGAGCCTACTACAGGTCAGCATGCAACGGGAACTCGGTCCAGTGCTTTACTTTGTGCGAAAATGTGTGCTTTGAGCACGTCTTTGCTGCATCCTTTACAAAGCAATCAAACCTGAATCACGGTAATTAACACTGGAGGTATGTGATCCGAGTGGCCGTCGTGGCGCCACAGAATGTGTGTCGACATCTCTTCGACAATCTACCTGATCTACGGTTCACTCTCCTTTCCAGCCAAGACTTTCGGTTGCAATCGACCTTCCATCCTGTCTTTGTTTGCAAAGTCGGATTGAGGCTCATTAAGGTTACGAAAGTAGGTTGGGAAGACCCATGCAAGGCAGAATGTGATGACTGCCAATGCTGTCCAGGGCCAAATCAACCATGGGTCTTGAATCGCATTGGCAAGTGCTAGCGACAGAGCTGCCGAGATGGCAGAGTTGAACAGGGCCATAGCATAGACGAGACCCTGTATAAGCTGTGAGGTGATGCATTCGGGGAAGCACACGTCAGGGACTCACCTTCATTCGGGCTGGGGATCGGGTGTAAGCCAGTTCATAGCTTGTGACCTTTGCACGAGGGTCAGCATCGTCTAAGTAGGCTGCAGGGGACATAACACTGGCATTGACAAAGATTTCTCCAGCTGCTGGGATCATGATGATTGGAATCTGCCACCAGATTGCGACGGGAGACACTTCGGCGCAGGTAGAAGCGTACCATCCGCAAGGTGAAGTCTTATAGATCCGCCATTGAACTAGGGCTGCACAGATATCACCGAAACTAGCCATCAAGAATCCGACACACATCCTGGTCATGGGTTTCAAAGGGTGACCGATCCTGGTGAAGAAAGGGTAAATGAAGTACGTAGCGAGAGGCGTAAAGACAATCAAGGCCAAAGGGTTGAAATTTGAGATCAAATCGTTGGGGGCTCCATTCAATGTCATTGCGGTGGACATGGAGTTGACCGAGTTACCGATGCCGCCATCTGCCATGGCGAAGAAGGGAATAAGGAGGAAAACTTGACAGGCGTGGATCGATTGTTTGATCTCATCAACGAATTTGTCGTCCCAGAAAACCTGCCCATCAGCTGTCTTCTCTGGCGAATCTGGACCCACCTTGTTCAGGTCTAGCTCTCCGTCACGATCATAGATGAAAGTCGGCTTTGCCCTGTTCCAAAAGTCGTCTCCACCTTTCCACATGCGCTTCCAGCCTCCGTCAGAGAGCAGGACCCTAAAGACCTTTATAGCCTCGAGCACAACACTGCCTTGAGGTGGAGCTTTGTACAGGCCTTTTGAGGCGATCACGAGTACAGCAGGCATGAGGATGTAGATGATACCGGGGATCAAGAACGCCAGCCAGAAGCCGACTAATCGGGACGAGTACGACGTGGCAAGGGCGAAAAACGCTCCGACGTTGATGCACCAGTAAAAGATCAAGAGGTACCTCTCGACTGTAGCCGAAGGGTCCACAATGACTCGTTCACCACTCTTGAGCGTTTTGAGCGTTGGAACCTTGACGGGGGATTGATCACAGAGCAGAGGTCCCAAGGAGGGCTTGATGAATCCCGCTGCGAAGGCAAGGGAGACGATACTGATGATGAAAGCTCCGAGAGATCCATTAGGATTTTGAATGACCGCTGGAATCGCGGGAATGACGAGGATGATGTGTGCAATCCCACCAACGGCCGTACCGACACAGATAGTCTTGAATCGACCCCATTTAGTATCTGCCACGATGGCTCCGTAGATCGGAATGACCTAAGAACGGGTCAGGCCATGGCGGAGTACTGTAAAAACAGCCGCCCCTCACGTATGCCAAAAAGTCGAACATGTTCACAAGGGCTGAAGCAGCCACCGAACCTTTGCCTAAAGCTCCGGCACTCTGATTGATCCCAGCAGCACCAGGTGCCACAGCACCGGCACCATTACCTCCTTCAGGTAGAGGATTGTTGACTAAAAGAACGTCACCCTGAAGCTCTGCTTGGACCCGGGGGTAAACTCACTGAAGTTGTTGAAAGGTCCCTTTGAACCGTAGTAAGAAGCGCGCTCGCCGAATTCGATCAGACACATGGCGACTGCTACCCAGGGCAGAGGCGCAGAAACCTTTCTCAGGGTACTCATTTCTTGCTCTGAGGGAGTGTCCTCCGTTTCCAAGTCTATGGCGGCAGAGACGACTACCTTGTCCATGTCGGCGGGGTCGTACCCCTTCTTCGACTTTTCATTCACCGTCATTGGGGAAGGAACCGCAGTACGGTCAGTACTTGGTTCCACTTGGTGGGTTGGGAGACCTGTCGCTGGCAGAGCAGCAGACTCGTAGTCGAGCGGGACGGCTGGTTGACCTAGGGATCTCGTAGTTAGTCACTTGTGCCACGATGCCACACTAGCGACAATCGTTGAATACAGTAGCACTGGACTCACTCATGTTGAAACGTCAGTTCAAGTCAGAGACAGCAGAAGAGATGTATCAGTGGCCTCTACAGGAGGACACAGCTCCCAGCTACTCTTATCATTTCTCTCTCCGCCGAAAGTCTTGTGCGACTCCAATATCCCAAGCCCTATGCAAGACCTTATCGAAATTTCCTCGTGCTCCGGACATGACGCCAAGCCAGATATGAGTTCGACCCGGCGTTAGTCACCGCATAAGTCCCATCTGCTGGGGGGCCCAAGAAAGTCTGCATTAAGCATAGGAGGCTATGACGTCCAATAAGTGGTCCAAGAACTATGTCGTGCGAGAATTTTCCTCCTCCTTCTGACGCCGAGCGCGAGAGATGGAGGAGAAGGAATTAGATTCAAATATCGCGCCAAGAATGACTTGTTGCGGTCCTGCCCACAACTGAGTGAAGACAATACAGAGCAGTCCATCGCTATCAGATCTATGCAGACCAAGCAGTGTTGGTCAAAAAGTGTATCACATGGGCCCCTTGTCTCTCAGCTGGCATCGGTATCCTCCGGTGCCAAGATTGAGCTCTCTATGGCGCCCAGCCAGACGATTTGGGGCGTGGTGATCGCCGCGAAAGTGATAAGCCGTACGAATTGCAGTTGCAAGGACACTGCTTGGCTGCCAGATGTGCAGAAAGTACTGCTTGATTGCAAGCCCATTTGTCAGTGACGACTGGATATGGTAGAAGCATGAGGCATTGATAGGGAACCGAATCTCGGACATGACCGCGACGCGACATCATATGCATGATCATTGATCATTTCGGAAATTTCGCCAGTTGAGAGATGATAGCGACATAATCTGTATCCAGAGATGCTGTGGTGATCGTTGAGGAGCGCCCGCCATGTCCCGACCAGTAGCTCCGTGAGCTTAATCGATAAGGTCATTAAGCTCACGCCGACTTCAGGGTCTCCAAGGTCACTGCTCATTCCACCTCGTTGATTTGCCAAGATATCGATATCAGGGGAGATGTCACGGTTGGAGCGGGCAGTATCATTCATCCCAAAGCGAGTATTTTGGCGGTCGGAGGACCTATCGTGATCGGAGAGGGCTGCTTGATCGAAGAGACGGCGGTGATTGTCAATCGGTGGGGTATCTACCGCCTTCACATGGAGAGCTGAAGCTAATAGCTTCCGACTTTAGACGGAAAGAGGTGTTGAGTATTGGAAACAGGAACGTCTTCATGGTCGGATGCAGAGTCGAGGCGCTCAGTATTGGTCACTCCAATTCCTTTCAACCGAAAGCTAGAGTCTCGGGTGTGCACGTATCTGACCATTGTGTCTTTGGTGAGATTAATTTGGGTGATTGATTGACGCAGATCAGGATCAGGAACCGTGACGCTTCCCTCCATTCCGACTGGAGAGCAATCGTCAGCCTCAGAGACACTTCCTCCATATACTTCTGTCCATGGCTCCTTGTCGGAACGCACAATCTGGGATGGCTCAGGCCAAGAGATGGAGGAGAATGTGTATGCCAAACACGTCGACTATCTCCGAGAGATATTACCAAAGTAGGTCGCCATGTCAGCCTTGACAATCTAGCTGATAGGATGTTCTCAGGTTCAACAGGATGCGAGTGGTATAACGAGCACTACAACGAGCCATGATTTGAGATGCATGAGTAATGTGATTGATTAAATGCAAGATACGCGCATGTGTCCGTGATGTATAGTAACATGGATAATCGTCTAGTAGCTACTCCAACTTGTCCAACGCGGCGGCAAGAAAAGGCTCACTTCTGGCTCGTAACGCATGCTATCATTTATTTCGGTCCAGAAGGGCTCAAAATTCGACCCATTACATTCGACCTTCATAGCGTGTCAGCCGGATGTTTCTCGAATCCTACAAAAAGGTTACCCACCTCGGAGTGTGAGGCTAGTCTGTCGACTCCGATCGTCATGTCTTTGACCCTGACCAGTCGCCGGACCACGGTCTTGTCTTGAATGTCGTCCTCTACGATTTCCACATCCTCGTGCGCTTCAAGTACAAGGTGGATATCATCCTCCCCTCGGGTTATGGTGATTTCCGCTGGAGGAGGGAGAAGTTTTGGCTTGCTAGGTTGCGATTGACCACTTTCATGAGGATCCAGCGCGCCAGAGTCTACAGGCTTAAGTCTTGTGAGGTTCTCGGTGTAGGCGTCGAAGAAGGACAAAACGTCGTCAGGTATATCTTCTTGCGGAATGACTTCGGACGAGCTCATTGATAGGCGCGCATCGTTGGGGCTAGAGAATCAGCATACTACTGCAGGATGAAACTCACTGATCGGGCATCAGGATGTCTATCTCATGGATTGCGCTGAATTGAGCATCGAAGATGTCCGAGAGGTCTTCGCTTGGTGCAGGATCCGGGGCGGATGACCTTTCATTGTCGTTGCTAGCGTTGTCTCTCTCCTCAGCAAGCCATGCAGGTTGAGACGAGCCAGACATTTTGGCAAGCATATCGTCAAGTTTGGATAACCAGTTTTGGGATTGTCCATTATCGTCTGGCGTTATTTGATTCTCATGTTCTCCCGCGGGATGAGTAAAAATGAAGCTGGCGGCTCGGCTTCCATCTAGCGTGCGATATCGCAGTCGACGCATACGCTTGGTACGAGAAGTCGGCGGTGAATGAACAGCAGAAAGCACCAAGCTACAAAAGAAATGTCAGACTGGGTCTCGTTGGAAGGTAACTCACCCTGGCGTGAAGACGGGTCGGAAAGATTCTGCGAGATGTGGAGCGAATTTCTCCACTGGCATCTTCCCACGAATCGGCGGACTCAAGGCAGATTCGGGAGCTGATGAAGTCTGTCTGACTAGCATGTGGCCGAATCTGGGCGATTCAGTCCTGCACACTGCAACGATGGCTTACGTGATTGTAGAAGCTACCTGTTCAGTCGACGGGAAACGGGATCGGATTTGTTGATGTAATTCTTGAAAGCTAGCCGGCAGGGTGACACGAGCCTGCTCAGGATCCCAGATTGAGTGAACAGTGCTGTTGGCTAGGGTGGGTCCTCCAGATGGCCCAGGTATGCCGCTCATACTGTGCCATTGTGCCGGTCGCTTGAGTCGGAAGAGCAGGGCGGCAAATGATGTCGTGAGTGAGTCCCAAGGTATTAAATATGATGGGGATGGGAAGAAAGGGATGAGAGCGAGGTCTCGGGTCTCAAAGAGTGGCATCTCTAGGCCAGGTGACTGAAGGGCAATGAGGGGTCGTGCTCGGGGGAGAATTCGAGCCTGTGGGCCAGTCAGCATGATTCACTCAGGCTTAGCCTATTTCACTTACCCGCAAGGTAGCGAGCATGATCAAATTGCGTGCAGACTGCACAGACGCTGGCCGCATGGAAGACACGCGGTACTGAAGGACGTGTCAATGAGGCCATGTTGCCGGTAATGAGGTCGAGCCCATTGACTCACCCCAGATTCGTACGACTCAATGTAGGCTCCAGTAATGAGGGACAGGAAATGTGCAAGGGCGGGTTCCAGCCTGAATCCGTTCATATCTTCGTGATCGATGTTTGACAAGGTCATGTACTAGAAATACCGTCAGTATATGTCAAGGATGATGGGGAGGGTGTTTCACCTTTCGTTTGCCCTTCAAATCATATTTCACTTGATCGATGGCGCTCGCCGGTCCTTCGATCTTCAATCTCACTCCAGGCATATCACCCTCTACCTCGACGACGGAGAAGACAACGCCTTGCTGTATCATGAATCTCTGTAGATATTGAGTGTCTCGCAAGAAAAGCCATAATTCGTTTGGAGGTATATCCAGGACTGAGAGACGCAGCTGTCAGCTTTTTGGAGTACACAGGCTGATCACTCACGTTCAGATACGATCAAATGTGCTGATCTCTCGTCCACAGGCACCGACCAGCCCTCATTCTCCATGAGCTGCTGCACGATGATAGGCTTCGTGGCGTATTTGTTACCCTTTTTGATGGGACCTCCCGACACGGCCAACATATCGCTCTGGGCTCCTAGTATCTCCCTTAATTGCTTGACATTGAAGGCTTTGTTGACCCGATCGAAACCTTTTTCGTAGAGTGCCTTGCGCTCTTCGTATGGCTTCTTGTGATCTCTGACTCTCGGCCGACCAAGAACCCGTCGAAAGTCGACTAATCCAGGGAGCTCAACGGGCTCGCTCGAGGATATTTCGAGCGGCTTCTCGATCTTGTCTCGCATCGCTTGAGCGAGCTTGAATGCTGATCCCTGCATCCATTCTTGATCCTTTTTCCGTTTACCAGCTTTCCGACGTGAGGTCGAAGTGAAGGTCCGATGATGAGAGGTCGAGCTCGAAGCGTATGTCGAAGCCATGGCCTCAGCAAATCCACAGGGGGCCCTCCGCACAGCGGCATTGTAGCCTGTACGAGAGGCTGAGGCACTGCTCTGCCCTACTCTGCCCAGCATCTGTGATTTACCATGCGAGAGACCAGCAATCGGCCAAGCAGAATGATGATGCACCCAGACATCGACCAAAATTTGGTGAATGCCGTAAACACAGTGGCCCAAGGATTGCGGGATCCGCCGACCTCGTTCAATTGCATGATACATATCGACTGGTCTGGTCGGTGCATGATGAGTTGCGGACGGTATTGTGGCCTGCAGGCCACCACTGCTCAGCAGCTCCGGGAACAGTACAGGCACTCCCAGAACACAATGAGCATCTCCTGCAATACAGTGCATAGAACATATCCACGCCGCACGGGGGTGACTCTCGCCTCACAAGCCGTCTCTCGTCCATTGCACATGAGATTTGCTTGTTGTTAGGGGACACGACATCACCTGCGCGCATGAATGGACAGCACCCAGAGTGTGCCGCTCATGACGCTTCTGTGCAACAGGCGTCGAGCTCGCCTGCCAAGCAGCAGCAGCGGGATCGATAGTCCGCGGAAGGCTCAGATGGCATCCGCGGAGCAGTGACGACCACGTGCGAATGTGCCTACCCCCCGGACATGAGATCTGATTTAAGATCCCTGAGCTTAGTCAGATTTGCCTCTTTTGGGGGGGGGAGGGGGGTGAGATTGACTGATTTCTAATCAGATTAAGAGGAATGATTAGAAAAACAGAACGCTGAAAAAGGTAATCTAATTCCCCCAAGAGCCTCGGTCTTGTCTGACCGCCGCCGCCGCCCATGCGTCGACTTTTTCTGAATCGGCAGCGATAGATAGCATAGCCTCGACAACCCCTTTGCATGTCACCCATCCTTATCACTTCACATCATCGCCGTCAAGGACACCGAGTTGTACAACAGATCAAACCCACGTCGGAAACGAGTCTCCATACCATCGAAACTCGAGGAGGACGGGAATATATACCTTGAACACACCCCGGAGATACCACTCTGCCGGGCCATTCAGTGGTAGCCTCGGGCATCTCATCAGAGCACTCTGTCGAGTGTTTTTCTCGTCTGTTTCGATATTTCGGGATCGATATCTCCTTTCATCGAGTCTTTTGAATAGAGTGAACATCCCTCAAGAGGGGGCAGGGAGCATACGCTACGCATCATCGCTACGCATCATGTCACAACTCAATGGTGAATCGACATCTCGGTCAAACAATCTTTCGAGGACACCACCGTTGACGGGTACCGTTCACGTCGACACGTCTGCTTCCATGCCACCTCCTACTGGACAAACCAACCTCAACGATATTGCAGGGGTCCTGAGGAGAAATCAGGCTTGTCTGAACTGTAGAAGGCGGAAATTGGTCAGTCGAACGTGTTGTCAACGACACTACTGATGCTGATGTCGTTTCTCCCCCAACAGAAATGCGATGCAGTGGGTTTACCTTTGATGAACGACAGTCACAGTCTCCTGACCATCCTTCCTAGGTCCGGCCCAATTGCTCGACCTGCGTACGATCCTATAAGCACTTGCTACGGACTGCACCCAAGACCAACCCTGTTTTATGCTGCGAATACGATGATGGGCATACTGGGACGACATCGAGAGATCCTCAAGAGGTCATCTCCCTCGCGGACGAAGATTCCGACGATGATGAACCCGTCGACTCCCCAAAGAAGCAGAAACGCAAGGCGACAGGAGAGGCAAAGAGAAGGAAGAGCAAGAAGGAAGATTCAACGGACGCAGACACAGAAGCGTTAAGGAAAAAGATTGGTGCGTTTCGAGCCTTGTGCGGGGTCGGACATTTACTGATCCCCCCTTCCTGCAGAGAATCTCGAGGCTCAGCTCCGGTCCAAGATTGAGCAGCCACAACCGTCTGCCGATCCACCTGCGCCTTTCGAACAACATCGTTGGTCTGGAGGAGCAGCATTCTCAGCCACGGCCGTCAGCGCTCCCTCTCCCACTGCATTTCTCGAGATGCTCTCCTCTGCCGCTTCCGCCCAAGGCTCTGGATCGGTGCCTCAAACCTCAACCGTGCCTGGTTTGCGTGATGGTGCATCAGAGAACGCCATGATGAGCCATTCTTGGGCCGCGACACCGGGCGGTGATGGACCCCACACTGGCTTGACGCCATTCCTATCTTTCAGCGACAATGCACGAGCTCAGCCTGCGAACGAAGTTGAGCGAGCAGAACGTCAAGCTACAGGCTCATCAGCTCCGGAGTCATCTCGTCGATCAAGCAGTCAAGGTGGCAGTATCTCCATTGGAACACCTGCAGGACCTCCGCCCCCTGGCTTGTCACCAAGCGGTGTCTTCAACTTTTCTCCTGCCCCCTCTGGTCCAACCGCAAGTGCACCAATGGGCACTCAAAGTCAGACTCAAAATTGGCCCGCTCATTGGCCTCCAGCCCTCAATTCCGACACGATTGAACCCTCTCAGAAAACGGAAGGACCTTGGCGCGGCGTTGACACGATCAATTCTGTCTATCCAGAGGCGGCGCAATTCAACCAGACGAACACCAACGCGGATTCGACTCAACCATTCTTTGGGGACGAAGCCCTGCAGCAACAATTGCTGCTAGACCTGTTCTGGCCCGGGTGGCCAGCCAGCCTACCAGAACCTCATATCGTGAACGACCTCGTGGAGGCATTCTTTGATCTGGTGCCAAATATACCACGACTTCTTCATCGGTCCCGCTTCCTTGCACGACTAGCCCTGCCACCTACACACCCGAATTTTCCTCATCCAGCCATGATTCATGCCATCTGTGCTTCCGCAGCCTCTTGGTGCAGTCCAGACATCTACCAAAAGAGTCGGATACTTCAAACTCAAACTGTGATGGGCGAGAAGCCAGATCCACGGGCTTCGATGAGTTTTGCGCTTAAGCAGGCAGCATACGGCAAGGAAGCGGTGCAAGATGGTTTGAATACTGGTAATAGGTTGTTTGACGTGGTACGCGCCATGATCATCCTGTGTCGAGTATTTATAGATGATACGAGGTGAGTTGTGCAGTCGTGCGAAGAGGAACGTTCTAAATGGTGATAGAATGTTGGAGTGCTGGGCCTACTCTGGTCTCGTCTCACGTATGATCCTTCCGCTCGGCCTCAACGTTCGAAGCGCGGAATTGTCGCTCAAATCGGTGATGCTTCCCCCTCCTGCCGATGCATTGGAGCGTGAAGAACGCCGAGCCTCAGTCTGGATGGCTCTATATCACGACACTATTGCTAGTGCAGCTTCTGGATGGGGAACTTCGATGAACCTGGACGAGCTCACTGTTCCGCTTCCAGTATCCGCTGCCGACTTTGAAGAAGGACCTGAGCGTATGCCACCGAATCCTCAAGATATCGAATCACCAGATTTCTGGACCAAACATCCAATACCAGACTCGTTTGTCATGTGCGTCAAGGCATCGGTCCTGTTGAATCGGGTCAATCGCTTTGTTCGTAAATGGAAGAATCGACATTTACGAGACGACGATGATCTGGACGGCATGAACAGGCCAGAATTTAGAGAGCTCGCCAATGCCATCGCGTGTTTCCAAATGAGTTTCCCCGTCAGCTTGAGGAACCCCACTCGACTCAACGCGAAACGAAAACTCGACATCGACCTCATTGCGGCGCACATGATGCCTCATGCGGCTGCGATTTGTCTGTACGAGCCATTTGCGGACGTTTCTGATCACACGGATCAACCAGCAAGGCGAATCCTTGCGGCTGCCCAGAGCATTGTATCGATCGTTCAGCAACTCGCTGGGACCGTTGGAGACGGCGCCAGCAACTTTTCATCCATCATGCACTCTTCTGCATCGGTTTGTTTAGTCACATCGGCCAGGACGAGCTTGCTGTTCTACAGACATGCCTTGAATCAGCGTGACTTTGCAATGGCGGAGACGCACCGTATGGATATCGAAATCATTAGGTGAGCTGATACTGCCTCGGACACGATACTGACGCCCTACAGAATGGCTCTCGGCCAATTCGGACTCAAATTCAAAATTGGACATCACCACTCTCAGCTCATTGAATATTTCCTCGATCGTGCTTCGAACCCTACATATGAAAAGCTTCAAGCCCATTACCCAGAACACCCAAGACCTGGAGCGTGAGTGCATGCGTAGAGCCTTTGGCGCGTCAACAGATCCAACATTGACCCATTCTCAGTCCTGAGCTCACGCCAAACTCCAACTTTGGAATTTGTATCCTCAATGCTCTCAATATCAAGCGAGGTTTCTGGCGCGCCGCGACCAGCATGTCGTCTGCTGGACCATCCCCCTTTGGCTCGACACCAGAATCAGTCGCTGGTGCTTCAGCTGCCGCCGCTTCTGCATCTGGACGCTCAGCATCAGCGAGCGGTACTGGATCCGCGAGTCGAGTCTCGGTGGCTCACATCGATAGCGTATCTCCGGTCGGCGGCTCGCCACACTCAGCACCGGGCTCAAGGTCTGCATCCGTCAACAGCAAGGACCCCTTCCCATTTAATCTGAATTCGGCCCAATGGTTTGTGGCCAGTGGCGATTCGGCAGATGTGAAGAATATGCACTTCCCCAGACCAGAAGAGTCTGACGCGGCCGCTCAACAGGCTATGCAGCCGGCGTGAAATGGTTTGAAGGGGTCCCGCCTACATTTGGGTTTTTTTTGCAATTGTTGATTATTCCGGTCATGTCTCGTCAATTAGATTGTTGCGCAATGGATCTGATGTGTATTAGTCATGTATTCGTATCGTGGTGCTACGTAGCAGGAAGAGCTGTACAGGGCTCGTATGTGGACCGTCCAGTTAATAATAATAAAACAACGTGCGTCATTCTGGCTTTCCGATCATTCTTGTTATTACCCGACACCCGCCGCCCCCGCATTTTGGGCTGCCACCGACGCCCGTGGGACTTGGCACGATGCACGTTTCCAAAAGTCTTTTGTCGGAGATCCCTAACGTACCAGGTGGAGTGATGGTGGAACTAGGCTTTCTCGAAGACAGCATGATCTGTTCATAGTCCATGACATTACACTGCACTGCACTGAAAGAACGGTCGAGATCATATGTGGTCCCTCATCTTACTTGGACTAGCTCCCGCTCTACCGGCACTGGGCGCTCCTGTTCTCGCTATTCAAGCGGGAGAGTTGACAGGACCCAAACGCTGGGCGAACGAAGGGGTAGTATGGCAGCATATCCACCATGGAGAGAATATCTTGGGTGAGATGATCCGGAAGCGTTCTGAGGAATCGAGACTGAGTCTTGGTATCTAGGTACATGGGAGCCTTGCGACTATATGTGCGATTGGATGGGCAAGATTGAGGACGAGACGCCGTTAGAATCCGTCAATATTCCTGGCACACATGATACAGCTACAGTAAGTGAGCTGTACCTTTTATGAATCTGAAGGATCACCCAGTGGAACTACACACAAGAAGTTCAAGATCGTTACCTTGACATTACGACCCAAGGAATCGGCCCTGCCATCATGTATCAGTGAGTTTCGGGCGACCTCCCCTCTCTAAACGTTTGCTATAGGTGTCAAGATCAAAGCATCTTCTCCGCCCTCAATCATGGGATTCGAGCATTTGATCTTCGTATAGGGCTATCACCACTGGATAACACGAGTATCATCTTCTACCACGGTTCCGCTATCATGAGCCTTGAAGCGACCTTGGAAGACGTGTTCTACGGATACTACAAGTTCCTAGACGATAATCCATCAGAGACGATCGTGGTGTCCATCAAAGTGAGCAGCTTAGATCAATAGGAATCTGGCTGAAGCGATTCCAGGTTGATAATACCACCTGGGGTACACCTGAAAAGCTGGAATCAGAAGTCTACAACCTCATCTTCTCAGAGCCCGCTTCGTCGTACTTCGTGCAATTGAATGGCTCACTCCCTACAATTGGCGAGGCCAGGGGGAAGATGGTCCTTCTGAGACGATACGATGATTCAAAACTCCCTCTTAACGACACCAAGGAGATTGGTCTGGCTGTCCCTCCCAACGTTTGGTTGGACAACGTCGCCAACTTTAGTATTGAGTACGCCTCATCAAAGTTTGCCTATATTGAGGACTACTACGAGATTGGAGGTCCGGATACTGTCGACAGCTATATCACATGGAAGTACAATGCGACGACTGCGCATCTTATCTATGCGGGTCAGAAGCATATGGACAGTCTCTTTATCACATTTGCATCTGCAGAAAAGGATAGCGAGAGTGTTTGGCCGAGGGTGAGCAGACCCTCGCACGTTCGAAATTGTCCTGATCGACTCAACTCTAGATCATTGCTCTGGGTAATGGGACGGCAAGAGGTGTCAACCAACGGCTCACGCCTTGGTTAAAAGAACGATCTGGCCAGCGTAGAGGACTAGTCTGTGAGTCTCGATAAATACAATCCAAGCTCCTGATCTCACGCTGATCCTCTTGTCGTCTCAAGTCTTGGACTGGTGGAAGCAGGTGCCGGGGCTGGTAGAATCTGTCATAGATCTGTGAGGCGGAAAAACCTGTATTTGCCAGGACAGACGAATCCTTTTGAGCAACTTCAAAAATAGTATAATCCCGTATGATTTGCATACAGTCAGTTGTATCTCTATGTATCCGCCTCCTTGAAGATTCACCTCTCATGCACCCCTACTCAGACGGCAATACACCGCCAAGCAGGAGATGGCGCAAACGTTCGCGCAGAGAGATATGAAAGTCGTCCATTTGAAAGTGTCGGGAGTACACAACACCCAAGTCATGACAAATTTCAACACCGCAAAGAAACTACAAACGGCGGGTTGTAGTGCTATCAATTCGTTTCGTCTGACGTGATGTTGCAGATCCAATTGAAGTAGCTTGAGTTGAGCCAGATCGAAGGTTACGTGGAAGGCTCGAGCTATAATGATACCCCCGAACATGAACGAAGAGTAAATTCGACGTTGTGCCGGCGTGGCTTTCGTGTCTCTGTCATGGAAGAATCCGTAGACGGTGAAAATGAAGCAGATGATTCCGAAACTGAAGGCGAAACGAGTCATTGAGATTGGCACAAGCATACTCACGTCAGGCCAATTAGTCCAGTCTTCTTGGGTCCTACCTTCCGCTCCAGTGGAAGGTTGATGAACGGTCCCATGAGACTCGTCAACAGGCTTAAAGCCTGAGGATGAGAGTCATCCTTCTTATCACTGTATGAAGGAGCAATGAGTGTGCCACTCACGCGCATGATTGCGATGAAACCGTCGGAATACGTGGTTGTCATTTTGAAGTATGCCACACCGACGGCATCTGCGAAGACAAGCTACAGTGAAACACATGATACATAGAAGCGTTCGAGGCTCACCAAAGTGAAGGGTTGTAAGCCAGGTAAAGGCGAAGGAAAACGTCGCTAGCCAACTTCTCAGTTGGGGTAGTCTCGGGCGTCAGAATCAACTCGCTCACTCAATGCAACGGGCATGCCGAGGAATTCTCTCCAAGCCGCCCATTCCCGTTTCAAGCCTTGATTCTGAAAGCTTTTGCTGGCATGAACTTCAGTGTCGTCCTGCTCTTTCCTCTGCCTCCGCTTCAGATCTTCGTCGATCTTGAGAATGGGAAAAGCATCATGAACGACCTGAAGCCAATAGTACTCGGTGATCCATGAAAGTAACGAGGCGCACAAGAGGAATTCGGCTGCGCCAATATCTCCAAGAGACCATGTCAGGATGGCGAGAATCATCTGGGAAGCGGAATCAGAAGGGTGTTTCAGTACTTCAAGGACCTACAGCCGACACCGTCTTGCACAGACTATCTACCGAGTTCATCCAGCTGTTGAGCTTGGTCAGTCGTTCAGAATTACCCTGACTGATCGTCATGACCCTAGCGTGGCTCATCAACAAGAAGATGCAGATCTTTGAAGACAGTTCACACACCAGTCTCGCTCGATGGATACGTTGATTCCGACGTTTGCTAGATAATTGATGATCGAAAACAGGACGAGCAAGACAAGCACTGTCCAGGTATAGACGATGGGGGAATGATCACCAATGAATCGGTATCCTGGTCCCACCATATCTGTCATTGGTCCGAACATGAGTAAGAAGAGACCGTACACGACGATTTGGGAGAACTCAATCATGTCAGTCATGAGCTAGAGTGGAGACACTATGAGACCTACTTTGAGATACGCCACTGCTGATCTTACAAACTTCACCCTTGGCATAGTATCGACCAGTTCTCCTATTCTTCGGCTGAAGATGAGACCACAGAGCATGGACGTCAAGCCAATGACGCTTGCGGGTGCCAATGTGTCCTTGTAAGTGGTCACCACTGAGCCAAATTCAGCCTCATCCTTCGATCTGTAATGAAGCTCACGGAAGATAAACGTCGCGAATTGGTAACAGCCAGATCCAAGCGCGCTAGTTCACGTATCAAACTGACTGCACTGTGATATGCGTTCACTCACCTTGAGGTATGCTGAAGAATAAGGTAGACAAAGGCTTTTGATTCGATCGCCGTATCAACACTGTCACTTTTGGCCAACAGCGGGTCTGTAGATGATTGGCTCTGTGCGCCATCTTCAAGATCAGAGCCCTCTTCCAGCCCCGCAAGCACACTTTCTTGAGCGATGGGGACCGCATCACTGTCGGCAGCCCCAAACTCCAAATACAATAATCTGAGACTTTGAAGTGAGCTTGCCCGTCTGCGTCCTCTCTTTGCGACCACTGTCGCGTCCGCTGACGATGGCGACGATTGGACTGCTCCGTAAGACTGCGGAGAGGTGCTTGCGACCAGTCTGTCAGAGGAGGTTGAGTTTCCCGTCATGACTATTTGGAGCAAGAACAATGCATAGAGACAGAGATATAGCTTGTGACTGTGAGTATGCGCAACTCTCCTTTGAACCTTCGACATGATCTACAGCCCATCATCTACCTTTCTGTCTGTGATCGTCAACTCTCAAAGCAGTCTTTTTCGCCACATTGCTACATAGGTTCGCCACTGATGAGATTTTTGGTTCCGTCTCCTGGAGTCTTCGTGCTACATTTTCAGCCGAATCTCGCATGTTTGAATATAACGTTGAACCTGAGCAACCCAATCATGTCATATTCTCGGTCTCCCGACGGTGGCCGTAGGCACAGAGATAGGCATAGTCCATCTGGAAGGTATGACAGACCCCACGGTAGCTCTAGGCGCCCTGACGATCGCCGGTCAGCTCGATACGACGACGACGACGAGAGGCGGGATGACTATCGAAGGGATCGTGACAGAGACAGAGCGAGGCACAGTGACAGAGATAGAGACAGAGACAGAGATAGAGATAGGGACTGGGACCGAGACGGAGATAGGGATAGGCACAGGGATAGGAGCCGCGAGAGAGATAGGTACCGGGATGCTGAAAGGTATCGTGAGCGAGATCGGGACAGGGACAGGGAAAACAGGACCAGAGAAGATGATGATCGGCCAAGGAGAGAAAGAGACGACAGGAGTCGAATGAGTCGACGAGACCATGACTCTCCGAGAGAAAAAGAAAGAGATGCTCGAAGGAGTGACCGCGATCGATCACCAGCAAAGTCTTCTCCGGCGCCTGTCACTCCGAATCCTGGCGGCCAGTCCCCCGCACCCAATGGCGAGGATGCAAAGCCAAAGACGGCCAAGGAGAGGTTAGAAGCTTGGAAACGACAGCGAGAGCTCAAGAACAAGACGGACTCATCCACTCCGGAACCCGCTGCTGCTGCTGCTGCCGCTGAGAAGAAGCATTCTTTCAGTGCTACCCCATCTGCTTCAGGTGAGTTCGTGCTTCACAGAACAGTTGCAGTGCTCAACAGGACACAGGCACAGCCTCACTACCTCCTAAGCCAACTGGATTCTCCCGTGTCGGTCTGAGCCGCATTGGATTGCCTATGAAACCTGGCTCCGCACCTTTGAAGAAATCTGCCCTCGCTTTTGACGATGAAGTCTCGACGGATCGCAAGCTGGAGAAATTGGATTTACCAGAAGTCAATCCCGAAGTCCAGAGTGGCGAGGCAGCCCAGTTGGAGGTGATTGGAGGGGATATGGCTGCGGAGGAAGTGGAAGCAGACATCAAGCCTTCTGTCGAAAATGGAGATTCGGACGCCATGGATGTGGATAAGAAACCTGAAGCTGCAGACGAAGAGGACGAAGAGGATCCTTTGGACGCATTCATGAAAGCCAACACGGAACAAGTAAAGCAGGTCAATACGTCCGACGCTAGACGACTCGGATTGCTCGGCGATGGCGAAGAGAGCGAGGACGAGGCAGAGATCAAGAATAAGCAAGAAGAGGAACTCGAAAAGGCAGAGGCTATCTTGCAACTTGCGGCGACCAAGTCCAGGAAAAAGGATCTACCCAAGCCAGACCATTCCAAGATTGACTACGAGCCATTCCGGAAATCTTTCTATGTTCCACCAGTTGAGTCATTCGACATGTCCGAGGAGGAAGTCGAATTGATGCGATTGGAAATGGACGGTATCAAAATCAGAGGGAAGGACGCGCCCCGACCAGTACGTAATTGGGGGGCCTTTGGACTGCCGACGTCGTGCTTGGATCTCATCGAAAAGAAGGAATGGGCAGCTCCGACCTCGATCCAGGCTCAGACGATCCCTGCCATCATGTCTGGTCGCGATGTCATTGGTATCGCAAAGACGGGCTCAGGAAAGACGATTGCCTTTCTTCTGCCGCTCTTCAGACATGTCAAGGACCAGCGTCCAGTCGGGTCAAACGAAGGCCCCATCGCAGTCGTCATGTCTCCGACACGAGAGTTGGCGATGCAAACGTACCGCGAAGCGAAATCTTTCCTCAATGTACTCAATGTTCGAGCATCCTGCTGCGTTGGCGGTCAATCGATATCCGAAGACATCGCATCTATGAAGAAGGGCTCAGAGGTTGTCTTCTGCACTCCCGGACGGATGATCGATCTTCTGACTGCGAACAACGGAAGAGTTACCAACCTCAGGCGGTGCACTTACATCGTCCTAGATGAAGCGGACCGAATGTTTGATATGGGCTTCGAGCCGCAGGTGATGAAGATCATCGATAATGTCAGACCCTCGGCGCAAAAAGTCCTTCTTTCCGCAACGTTCCCGAAATTAATGGAAAGCTTGGCGACGAAGATCCTCAAATCTCCTCTGGAAATCACAGTCGGTGGTCGATCCGTCGTGGCTCCAGAAATTGATCAACGTGTCGAGGTCAGGGAGGCTGATACCAAATTTACCCGTTTGCTCGAAATCCTTGGTGATCTCAGTCAGGAGAACCCGAACGAAGATGTTCGTTCACTCATCTTCGTTGACCGACAAGAAGGGGCAGACGATCTCTTCCGGGAGCTTCTACAGCGTGGTTATGTCTGCGCTTCATTACACGGTGGCAAGGAACAGGTCGATCGTGATGAAGCTATCAAAAATTTCAAGAATGGGGATGTACCTACGATTGTGGCAACCTCCGTCGCCGCCAGAGGGCTCGACGTGAAGGAATTAAAGCTTGTTGTTAATTACGATGCTCCGAATCACCTAGAAGACTATGTCCACCGAGCTGGTCGAACCGGACGTGCTGGAAACACTGGAAGATGCATAACGTTTATCACGCCGGATCAAGACAAATTTTCGGTGGATATCGTGCGTGCGTTAGAAGCGAGTAACGCCTTTATCCCCCCTGAACTCAAGGAGATGTCAGATAGTAGGTTGACCAGGGCGACGAGGACGTTTTGCTAATCAAGCGCAGAATTCCTTGCCAAGATTAAAGCTGGCAAAGCTAAAGCCGCTTCTTCTGGATTCCATGGCAAAGGTCTGGAGCGTATCGAAAGGAAGAGAGAAGAGAAGGATCGCGCTGAAAAGGTCACTTATGGCGATACCTCCGAGGCGGTCTCTCTGTCCTCTCGAGAAGGCGCCGTCATTCCTTACAAACCCAAGACAAATGAGTTCAAACCACCAGAAACTTCACACAAGGGAGATTCCGACTATACCTTTACAGAGATCCACATTGAGATTATCGATGGACCTGCACCGGATCGACCAACCAACCCTGAGCTTTGGTCCTCTGCTGGTCCCGGTACAGCGCCGTCGGCGGACAAGAAATCCACGTCGGCATTACCGAAGCAGACTTTGGAAGCCCTCGAAAAGGCTAAACGGGAAGGCCGCTCTGTCGACGCGGAGAGGTTGGCAAAGGTCGTCCAGAGATTAACGGACAGCATTCAATTGACCAAACAGGAGAAGTTTGCAGCCGCCATCGCTGTCGAGGCCCCGAGAAAGGGCAAAGACCCAGATGCGACCAATCATCAGTGAGTAGTTTGACTCTCATACGGGACAATGCTGACGTTATTTTCAGCTCCATCGCGCCTATCAATGACTATCGTGAGTTTCTACGGACCCTTGTGCTAGAGCTATATTGACGCATTGAGCAGCTCAGAAAGCACGGTGGAACGTCACAAGCAAGGAAGCTCTAGTCTATCTGAACGAAATGAGTCAAGCTTCCATCACTATGAGAGGACAGTATTACCCACCAGGTGCTGAACCACCGGCTGGAGGAGAGCCAAAGTTGTACTTGCTCATCGAGAGTAATGATCGAGAAAAGGTCGTGGCTGCTGTAGATGAGATCAGGAGGCGATTGATTGAAGGATCCATGTCGGCACTGGAGAGTGCGGACAGAGGTGGTGCGGCGGGAGGAAGGTATTCGGTCTGAGTGTGGAAGATTGAGGAGAGTAGCTTCCGCGTCGGTGGGTGCGTGACTTGACGTCGGTCATGTATCTGTATCTGCTGGATGGACACAGGGCGTTGCAGTTCGGGCCTCCACCTTTGAGATCCCAATCCCCGCTCCTCCGGAATTCGGAACGCGCCGCCTCGCGCCGTTATTATACTATTCGTTCATCTTTGCACCATTCTGCATATATCCTGCACTGGGTGATGGCCATGGCGAGCTCTTCTCGATTCACTCTGCTGCCTACAAGCTTCCTCGCATCCCAGGATCCAAATACGGAAACGACTCTGCCATCCCTGATCGCAACGTCCGAAAACCTCGCTGCTGACGCGAAAGAGGCTCTTCCCTACGCCTTCGACAATTGTACATATTCCCTAGGGTATCTGAGACAAAGTGTATGGAGCTGCATAGATTGCGGGGAGAAAGGGGTGTGCTACGGATGTTCAATCACCTGTCATGGAGGTGACTTTTGGGCCTTTGGGGGAATAGTGAGAGCCAGCTGACGAGCTTCTGCGTCGCTGCGCTCAGAACATCGGCTGGTGGAATTATGGACCAAGCGGCACTTCCGATGTGATTGTCCTACGAGCGCTATGAGTGAAGATCCTGGATCATCCACTTCGACGAGTGGACCTTACTCTCATCGAAAGCGGTGCAAGCTCAACGCGCCCGAGTCTCAACCCCAGGAGCTCAATGCTGACAATCGATATGGCAAGACGTTCAAAGGTGTCTTTTGTCGCTGTGGCAGAGATTATGATCCTGAGACGGAGACGGAGGCTATGGTCGTCTGTATCGGATGTGAAGTGAGTAGGCGAGTGTACTCTGTGACGTCGGACTAAGCGTACATAGGACTGGTTCCACGAATCATGTCTGAACCTGTCGTCGAAGAAGGATCCTACAGTACGGGCAACGACAGCGGCGACTGAGGACGAAGACGGAGAGGAGGAAAACGTCCTTATTCCGAGCGATAGCTACGATGGTCTCGTGTGCGCTGAGTGCGTGCGGTCCAACACCTTCTTGTCGGCCAAAATGGGAACGCTCGGATTCATGATTATTGAGCCGGAAGTGCCAGAAGGCTGGCGGGTGATAGGGAGAGAAGAACGTATCGTCGAGGCAGAAGCGGGAGAAGCGGGAGAAATGGTAGAAGAACAGAAGCGTCAAAGTGCCTCCGATCAAGTAGACGAGTTCAACGGCGATCTCATTGCAAGCAATACGCTGAAATGGCGCTTGGATGCGCTTGGCGACAATTTGGACAAGAAGAGACGGATCGAGCAGGATGCGACGCATGACTCTTCAGACCCTAAAAGGGATAACGATGGCGTGAAGATACATGGCAAAGGTGACATCTTTCTCGCTCACGGCATTCGAGACCGTCTGAACGATACCTTGCCGGTCAGTCGTACAATCTTCTCCCTTGACACACGCCTGACAGTCCTTGTAGGCAGACACAGCAGCATCACTCCCCTTCCCGCTCATCGACGAAGAGATCTATGAGCCGCCGAAGGACGAAGATGAGGAGGAGACCATGGAGCAAATCACTGAACGTGTGGTTGGCGCCTTGCCGAGGGTACAGGCGATTGAAGCCCTCCATGGATATCAAAACATGAAGTGGGTTTGCGACTTTGTTTCAGTCTGACAGTGCAATCAGGGACAGACTGAGGACTATGCTAGCCGCACATGTCGTGTCCGGTCAAACAGTCAGCAAAGAGGATATCGACAGGGTCTTCGCCGAGCTGCGCGCGGCGAGGTAAGAAATGATAGGGTCACAATAGTGTGAAAGATCAGTTTGCCCATCGCTTCATCATGATCATGCAACATCATCATCATCACCCAGGTTGCCCCTCTGGTCTTTACTTGCCAAGCACTTCCTCTCTATCCATGACTCTCCTGTCGAGCTTGATAAGGATGACTGTCCGTTGGGGGTATTGATCGTTGGGTACCGTGTGTGCGGTAACACGAGCGGGCTAGGCGGGTCAGCGGAGTATCTGAAAGTCATCTCTCAAGTCTCACTACATCGAGTCCATCCAGAACGCCCTCGACTATGCCCGCTGTGAATGCCTCGCATGACAACTGGGACATGTCCTTCGGTATGGAAATGTGCTGAGTCAACGGTGGTTGATTCATCGACAACATGTCTGCGTTCATCCACGGCTCAGCAATGTACTCTAGTCCCAGGTATGGTAAACTCACATTCGTCCTCGCCTTCTACACTCTTCTCCAACCCATCTGCAGCTTTACCGAAGCAGAACTTGTACACATGGGTGTGCACAAATTGCAGGATCGGGATGAGACGGTGTTCTCGTTTTGGGTCCTAAACCGACTGTCAACAGTCTATTCAGGGCAAGATCCTCGTCTCGTCTCACTTTAACCCCTGCCGCTTGCGTGTTGCGTAAGAGGATCAAACTGAGTATTCTGGTGCCTGCTTCGTATCCCAGGGAAGACAATCTAATCACCGTCAGAGCAAGAAGCGAAGCGGTCAGGCGCACCTCTTCTCCAGATCCAAAACGCTATCACTCCTTGTCTGACTATAGCTCACGATTTCCGACAGCATAAATGCGAACGCGTTCAGAGCGACTTCGGCCCCCTTTGTCCGGTTCAAGGATCTATCCAAAATTCCAGCGCTAGGTGTCGGGATGCTGGTTCCCTTGAACAATTGTTGCTGTAATGATGGAACATGGGATGATGCTGAAGATGGTATGCGTGAATCTCTAGGTTGGGTTGAAGGACCTGCAGATGATGGCGCTCCGATCCCTATGGAGCTAGAATAACGTGCAGATGTCGAAGATGATGAAGGTATGGAAGGTGGAGCTGGTGGAGGCGCTGCAAATGCTGTAGATGACTGCATGGCGATGAGAGTGAAGACCTTTGAGAAACTGGAATGATGATGTATTCAGGCAGCTTGGCTGCATTGAATTCAGACCAATAGTTGTATTTTGTAAAACGGTCGATTGTGGCGGTCATCCCCGTGAGTGATGGAGGCTCCCAAGCCCAATGTGATCAACAGGCGTTCACAGAGTCGCATGTGGAGCCCGTACTTCAGCTGGAGTCCCCAATTCAAGTCCCTTCATGCCTGATCTCCAGCTTCTCCATGACTCATCCGACCACGCTCTCAGCTACTGTCGCTGCATATCGAGCCCTTCAAATGAGAGAAATTTGCTTCCGCTTAATGAATGTTAACCCCCAGCTTGGGGGCCTGGGCTCATTTAGCCACTCGGCTTTAATCTCATCGTTCCCACTCTCTCTCTCTCTCTTTCTCTCTCACTCTCTCCTCTTCCTCTGTCTGTCTCTTCATCCGCTGATTCAGCTCCTTTGTCATCGTGCAGCTTCAGGCTGGTAGCCATAGCAGCTGACACATTATCAGCCCAGCGACGTAACTCGATTCAGCTGGATATCCCCTCGGACGAGTAGTAGTAAGGTATCCTGTCACGCCTCCGGCATCAGAGTCCGCCGGATCCTCAATCCTCACTTCAAAAACACGTTTGAGACATCGAACACGTAGGACTTGTGAATCTCAAGTCTAACCTCGTTATCCCTTCTCTGCCGAAACTCCGCGCCATACCTCTCTCCCATCATGGGGCAAACACCGTCCAAGAAGATGGGTCGGACGCGATCAAAGGAATTATCCGCGTCAGATCTCGCAGACTCATTGGCATCCACCAAGCTGTCATCCACCACATCTCGCACATATGACGGAGCCTCCTCTCCACCAGGTCAAGGTACGTCCTCCTCTCCCATCGACACTCCCAATGGTGTTGCGACACCTCGAGCGAACATTCGTAAAACACCCGCTGCAAGAGGATCCGACCGTGCCGGGTCCATATCTAGTGTAGGATCTGCAAGCGGTCCGCCATCAAAGGCTCAACCCGCGGATGCCGCAAGCAAATCTCCACAACCTTCTGGCTCGCTCACACCAAGTGGATCCAACCTCTCTGTTCCCACATCCCCCGCCATCCCCACCACCACAACCATCCTCTCCTCCCCTGGTAGCGGTCTCCGCAACTCCCTACTTGGTACCTCGCCCCCTCCTTCCGCCATCCACTCGACACCGCATCGTCCACCTTCGCCTATACCCGGTAGTGTGGGTTCGCTCTCTCCGGGAGATACCCTCACCGCTACTGTTAGTCGGTCAAGTCTGTCTGGACCGTCGCCCCCCGGCGTACAAGTGCTTGATGTAGATAACATGATTGGACGATTACTTGAGGCGGGATATTCGGGCAAGGTCACTAAGAGCCCACCATTGAAGAATGCAGAGATTGCAGCAGTGTGCGCGGCGGCACGAGAGGTCTTCCTGAGTCAACCGACTCTGATCGAGCTCAGTCCTCCTGTCAAGATTGTGGGCGATGTTCATGGACAGGTAAGCTCTCAACGGCAGGCACTGCTGATGATGTAAAGTATGCGGATCTGATTCGGATGTTTGAGATGTGTGGCTTCCCGCCGCAAGCAAATTACTTATTCCTCGGAGACTACGTGGATCGTGGAAAGCAGTCCCTCGAGACGATCCTCCTGTTGTTGTGCTACAAGATCAAATTCCCAGAGAATTTCTTTCTCCTGCGGGGCAATCATGAATGTGCCAATGTGACGAGGGGTGAGTTCTCATGCCAATGGTACGGGTCTGACATTTCAGTCTACGGCTTCTACGATGAATGCAAGCGGAGAACAAACATCAAGACCTGGAAAACGTTTATCGATGTTTTCAATGCCCTACCTATCGCCTCCATCGTCGCCTCAAAGATCTTTTGTGTTCATGGCGGTTTGTCTCCGAGTTTGAAAAGTATGGACGATATACGGCGCATACAGCGCCCGACCGACGTGCCGGATTATGGTCTGTTGAATGATTTGGTATGGTCAGATCCATCGGACACAGCTTTAGATTGGGAGGACAACGAACGAGGGGTCTCATTCTGTTACGGTCGATCCGTCATCAACTCTTTCCTTGCTACACACGATTTTGATCTGGTCGCTCGAGCGCACATGGTCGTTGAAGATGGATACGAATTCTACAATGATCGATCCCTTGTGACCATCTTCTCGGCTCCCAATTACTGTGGCGAGTTTGACAACTTTGGAGCCGTCATGTCAGTCTCCGAAGACTTGCTGTGTTCGTTCGAATTGCTCAAACCATTGGATGGAGCGGCGTTGAAGAAGGAAATGACAAAGTCAAAGCGGAAAAGGTACGCCATAGTCCAGCCGCCCCCGGAAAGTAGCGCCAGCTGATCCCATGCTTTTACAGTCTCCAAGCTCATCAAAGTCCTCCGAATCAGAGTTACGTGGCTCAAAGCATCTAGCGACCTCCTTAAACCTCCGTCCCCTTTTCTATTCTATTCTTGGGCCTGCGACGTAGGAAAAATAACCTTGTATGTCACCTCTTTTTTTCCAAACTATTCATGTCTGTATGATGCATCCCGTCCAAGGTTAGAACGAGTCCCTGTCAAATGCGATGCATGGCTTCGCACTGGATGAATGCTGTGGTCCTCGTCAGGTAGAAATAGAAAGAGAGAGAGAGAGAGCATTCCTCAACGCAGGAGGTGTGTCAGTCAGCTGCAACCGCTTCTCCTGCATCTATCTTCCTCTTCCCCCCTTCAGGCGGCGGTCTTCTTAGGCCTGCCCCGAGAACGAACCGTCTCTCCAGCCTGGGACTTGATCACTTTGTCTTCCGGACCGTCCACGACGCCATCGACGACATCAGGATTGCTACCATCATGAGTCAGATTCTTGTGGCGTTTTGAACTGATGAGCTGGTGGTTGACTCACCCCTGGGCGAATGCCTGCTCGTTGATCATCGCAATTTCAGCGGCGTGAGCCTGAGTGGTAGTCGATTAGATCAAGGTGCTGCGCAACGGTGTTCTGAGAAGGCTCACCTTTTTACTTCCAGTAGCGACACTGGAACTGGGTTTACGTCCGACGTAAATGGGTACTTTATGCCCATGTTTCTCCGATCTCTTCAGAATTTGCTGTAGTCTAGGCTGAATGTATACCCAGGCTCCATTGTTCAGTGGCTGTCATGTCAGTCATTTTACATGATGACCTGACTCACTTCCTCCTGGACCCAGAAGATCTCGGTATCTTTACCATATTTGTCGAGATCGGGGCTGATGAGCTCGTATGGAAGAGGAGAGAGTTGCTCCACTCGGGCAATGTGGACATCCTTGATACCCTTTTCTTGTCGCTCCTTGAGTAGTTGATAGTATACTTGTCCTGTACACAGCAATACCCGCCTAGCCTGCTCTGGAGGGACGAGGTCGTCCGTACCCGTTTCCGGTAGATATCTCTGAAAGCTTGAGTCGCCGATGAATTCTGATAGGTCTGATTTGACGAGAGGATGTCGAAGAAGAGATTTGGAGAAGAAGAGAATCAAGGGCTTTCTGAAATCCCTCAAATTCTTTGGGATACCATCAGCACCGCCCTCCTTCACATAGCATATAGCACTCACCTGACGTCGGAGGACATGGAACAGATTGCTTGGTGTACTTGGGTACACCACCTGCATGTTGCAGTCCTGGTGGGCCCTCTCCAGCTTCTCAGGCGATGGATAGACTCTCGGATCGTCGTCCACGAGAGACAGGAATCGCTCAATCTTTCCAGAACTATGTTCAGGACCTTGACCGTCATATCCATGAGGGAGGGACATGACTAATCCGGTTCTTTGAAGCCATTTCCTTTCTCCAGAGGAAATCTGCAGTTTCTTATCAGCGACACAGCGTTTGCGAGGTTCTGATCGCTCTCACAAATTGATCAATGATAACCTGTAGACCGTTAGCTCAGTAAACCTTTTAACAAGACTTGACACACCTGTGCACTGTTACTAAAGTCTCCAAACTGAGCTTCCCAAATGGTCAAACTGTTTGGCGAGACGAGCGAGTAACCGAGCTCGAATCCAAGGGTACCAAATTCAGACAAGTGTGAGTTGGTGACGGTGAAAGAGCCCTGTTCGCTTCCAAGATGTTTGAGCGCGACGTAGGTCTGTTCATTCTCCTGGTCATGAACGACCGCATGGCGCTGAGAAAAGGTTCCTCGTTCAACATCTTGACCAGAGACTCGTACGTGAGTCCCTTCAAGACACAAGGCGCCAAATGCGAGTGCCTCTGCCGTGGACCAGTCGATGCCCTTTCCTTCTGAGACTGCCTTGCCACGCGAAGCAATGATACGGGCGAGGTTCTTGTGTGGCGTGAAGCCTTCTGGGAAGCTGGAGATGACCTCTCCAACTCGCTTCAGAGTATGCTCATCGGATCCAGTGGGGAGATGGGGCAAGACGTTTTCAGCGAGCTCTTTGGGGGTGGGAAAACCTTCCCAAGACGAAGAGAGCCATTCCCTGGGCGATGGTGTGTAGTCTCGAGCTGCGTCCTGGGCCTTTTCCAGCATTCCCCACACCCATTGTCGGTGTTCATCGACTTCCTTCTCGGTGAACGTTCCCTCTTTGATGAGCTTGTCAGTGTAAAGGGTCAAAACGGTCGGTTGTTTCTGGATGGCCTTGTACATGAAAGGTTGAGTGAAAGAAGGCTGATCGGTTTCGTTGTGTCCGTATCGTCTGTAACAGACAATGTCGATAACCACGTCCTTCTTGAACTTGGCTCGCCAATCGGCAGCGAGACAGCAGACAAAGTTGACAGCTTCAACATCGTCTCCATTGACGTGGAAGATGGGGGCGTCTATGGCCTTGGCGATATCAGAGGGGTAAGGGGTGGATCTTGCAAATCGAGGATCGGTTGTGAATCCAATTTGATCTATGTATATGTCAGAAGGGTCCACAGTAGAGAGTCGACTTACTGTTGACGATCAAGTGAATGGTTCCTCCCGTTCCATAATTTGGCAGGTTCTGCATTCCCATTGTCTCATAGACGACACCCTGTCCCGCAAATGCGGCATCTCCGTGCAACAAGACTCCCATAGCCGTAGTGTGTGAAGACTCGTCGTCTTCAAAGTGTTGTATGGCGCGGGTTTTTCCAAGGACGACGGGGTCCTCAGCTTCCAAATGCGAGGGATTGGCAACGAGAGACAGCGATACCTTTTTACCGGAAGGTGTGGGCCTGACATAATTGGCACCTAAATGGTATTTGACATCTCCACCGCCCGAGTCATCCTTGTCGGCGTTTCCTGCGAATTCGTTCAAGATGGCTTCGATGGGTTTTCGAATGACGTTTCCAAGCACGTTGAGACGACCACGATGAGGCATACCAATGACGATGGATTTGACTCCCGCGTCGACTGATCGGTCGATCAAAGCTTTCATTCCGGGGATCAAAGATTCGCAACCTTCCAATCCAAATCGTTTCTCATTGGGGTACTTTGACGCGATGAATTTCTCAAAGAGCTCAGACCACATGGTACGGTCGAGGATCATTCGTTTCTCCTCAGTCGTATAGTTCCATTGTTGAGGGACCTCGATACGTTCTCTGATCCAGTCGCACTGTCCTCGATCGGTGATGTGAACGTATTGAACACCAATGTGCGAGCCTGAAACGGAATCAGCAGTTTCTCAGTTCAAACTCCAACTCACAATACATCCTTGTGAGCTCGTCAATGATCTGCCCGAGGGTCATAGTGTCATCGGGGACCTTGCCGACGAATCGTGGTAGGATACTGTTGATTTTGAACTCCTTGCTCAGATCGTCCTTTGTCCATCCATAGTACTCCAATTTGAGCTCTGGAGGGGTCCGAGTGTCAAGATCAGCATCGGCGATGCCCAGTGGATCGAGCTTGGCGACGTGGTTGGCAGTGACTTGATAAGCACGGACCAAGAGTTGAACCTGTGATATCATGTCAACACTAGTCTCGGATCGTCCCATTGCTTGGGTTGCTTGTTTTTTCTCTCTCACCTTTAAGTAATCAGTCACTTCACCACTGTTTGCCGAGACGTCGATACTAGAGACAGCGCCACTAGCCATAGCGGGTCCACTAGCTATGCCTGGTGGTGGAGTGTACGCGGAGGCTGATGGAAGACCCTTGTCGAGTCCTGCAAAGTACGTTTGCCACGAGACGTGAACCGATTTGGCATCCTGTTTCCAATGACGATACATCTCTTCAACGTAGTACGCATTGGATCCATTGGCGAAAATGTCATTTGGGCTAGGCGGAGTAGCAGCCTCAGTCGCATACTCTCTGGTGACTGTACGAGGCTGGGAAGCACGATGTGAGAGGAGGGACAGAGAAGCGATTTGACGACATGGCGTTGTTGTTCTCAGGGGTTGCCTGGCGAGATTCCTCGCCGCCGGCCGAATGCGCATCATCTTGAGGCAGCAGTGGAAGGTTCCCAGATATATGTGGAGGTCTTCAGCCCTCGATCAGAGGTCCCAATCAGGACAGCAAGTGTTTTCCCAAGTTACTCAACGATGGCTAACACTCTCAGCATACCTACCAACTCTTAAAGGATCGACCCGGTTTCAAACCGCGGCGGAGCATCCGAGTCACGTGATGTACCGTTATTTTCGGCTTTTTCGGATGATTAGAGAGATCATCCTGGCGTGCTGTTCCGTGGCGGGAGCTCGAGTCTGTCAATGTGCGTGTTTGCACGGCTTTGAAGTGGAAGCCTCTGGCTATACAGCAAAGTGAGACATGCAAAGCAGGGAGCAGAGCAAAGAACAACAGTGCTACAGCGAAGATGAGAAGTTTGTAGTCGATCTAAAACGGCTGGACATTCTCAGAGTCTGACGTCGGCAGGCATCTTCCGCATTGCTTGTCGAACTCCAAGATCCGCGAGGACATCTTCAGCACCTCCAAGGACCGCATCAAACTTATTGCTCCTTTGGAAGAGCTCTGAAGACAAACAGGCAAACGATCAGCTCAAGCTCAGACGGATACAAATTGCAGCCAATCCGCACCGATCTGTGATATCATTAGCCATGAATTATTAGCCGACGTGTGTAAATCTGCTCACTCTTTTGCCCATTCCAGTCTTGGTCAGCGCTCGACCTCCCCAACTGATAGGAGTGTATCAGCAGATGAATACACTTTCTGTGTCCCAGTGATGTTGCCACTTACATTTGCACAGCGTCGTCAGATATCTCAGATGCAGCTCGGGTGGCATAAACCTTGAGGAAGGCGATTTGACCAGCTTCACCGGCATAATCTCAGTCACGGTGCCTTTCGATCTTCCCAACTCGACCTACCGAGGTTTCGAGACTGTTCTTTGTAGGTCTAGATACAGTCAGCGAGGTCGTCTATCTGCCGGTATAACATGTCCTACCATGTGGCACATTTGATAAGTCACCTGTGTAGATGCATGAGCGAGATACCCAAATCCTATATCCAGCGCTTGACTCACATTCTCGAGCCATGCTTGCATAGCCTCGACCTTGGCGATCATACTTGCAAATTTGCTACGAATGACCGCTTGAGACATGAGAGGCTTGCCAAAGACGATTCGCTGGGATGCCCATCTAAGAGAAGAGGCAGTGGGATCAGTCAACAAGCTTCGGTCCTGGTTTCATTCACAAGACTTACTTCATACTCTCCTCGACGATGGCGCGACTACTCCGGACACTGGCGCAGACCATGATGAACCGTTCATGGTTGAAGTTACTGAGGATGACCAACAGGCCTGCATCGACTTCTCCCAATCGATTTTCATCAGGTACAACGCAATTGTCAAAGGTGATGTAGGCTGTTCCGGCGGCAGTAGAGTAAGACGTCTTGATCTGCTTCGTCTCAACGCCTTCGGATCGAGGCACGAGGAAGACTGTCAATCCTCCATCTGTGCGAGCCCCGACGGTCTGTCTAGCATTAGAGATACGTCGCCAAGGCATGGCGGGGCCGTTATCTTTACTCACAAAGTAGTCACTGTGCATGCCTCCCGAGATCCACTTCTTAGTACCATTGATGGTCCAACTCTTGCCATCTTCACTGCGGACAGCCTCAGTCTTAAGGCCAGAGACGTCTGATCCGGCGAACGCCTCGGAGATAGCCAAGCTGATTACCTGTGGAGAGTCAACCCGAAATCGTAAATGGGACCTGACCTTCTCGCCCCTGAAAACTTCATCGAGGACTTTTGATCTCAGTGGCTCTTGACCAAAGTTGAGAACCGGAGGGAGACCTAGGTACAAGTCAGCAAGAACCTCTGATCGAACCCGTGCTCGACTGACCGATCACCATTCCAGCATTGAGACCATCTGCATAACCTCTCGCGGCAATACGTACGAGCTCTTGCGTAAGGACCATCTCGCTGTGTCAAAAGGCCATCAGCACAGGACACTGCAGCCCTGCAGTGAAGATTTACTGGAAATAATCAAACTCTTCTCCCTTTACGACCCCTCCCATCAAGTTTTGGCCGTGAAGGTGTTTTCCAGGTCCGAGTCGCATACGATTGAATCCGTTTTCGCTGAGACCCTGCATCAGCTTATCGCCATGGTGCACGTTAGACTCTCACGCCATGGCTTTTAGAACCTCCTTGCTTGCTCGCTTGCCATTCTCTTCGCAGAGCTGTGCATCGGGATACAGCACTTCGTCGACAAACTTGCGGACAGCTAGGCGGGGGTAAAGAGGTCAGTGCGCATTAGAAGGACATTGAACGGTGGAAGAGGGAGTAACGTACCCTTCTGGAGATCCCTGTGAGACTGCTTGTAGTATGGACTTTTAAACTCTGGGGTGAGCCAAGTTGGCTCTCCATAAGGTACCTGCGATCATCATCGTCAGCACTGTAATTTCATCGCTTAAACTTTGAATTGAGACCCACCGTGGAGAGATCACCCGGCAGAGGCATCTTGATCTGCGGCTTCTCGCCTTGCACTTGACCGATCTTTAACCTATCATACTGAGGTTTCATGAGGACTTCGCTTCTGTGTAATCCAAAAAATACGGTCGTCGCATCTTGACCCGCTACTTCCTGATCGAGGAGAACACCCGCACCTCCCGGATGAAGATTGGCGAATTTTGACAAGTCATAGACATAGCTATTGACGATGATCCAGAGATCACCTTTGGTATTGTGCTATGATTGGTTCAGGAGGTCAGCAAAAGATTCGATCGAAGATGCTGCGATTTCGCCCCTCTTGACAACGGGAACGGAAGCGGCCAACGCGTACCTTGGCCACCTCTTCCTTGGTGTAGGTTTTGAGATTCTCCTGCGTTGCCATGGTGACGGATGAGATGTGATGCTGCTGGATGGGAGCTTGTGGTCTATGAAAGCCTGTCTATAGATGACTGTGGATGTGTGAGAAGGGTAGAAGTCAAGCAGCAGCAACAGCAGCAGCACCCTTGTCTCTGTGTGTTTCGTGCAACAAGAAATCCCGGCTAACCCAGTGATAATTTTTAACCGGGAGACAGACATTCCAGCCACAACCCTCACAGTACTAATACTCTCTCTGACCAATGACAGAATAGGCAAGTCAAAGCATGAAGGTTATTCATCTTCAGCTAGCGATGATGCATTGCATTCTCAGAAGCTACTGTTATTGCTGATTCATGGTACACGGTATGTATTCGGGCTGCGGCTCATCTTCCTGAGGTCTCCGTCTCTGGCCTGTCGACCTTGACAACCAAGGGGATGCTGGATAGATCAGTGGTCACCTCGATCAGCCTTGACCTGAAGAGTTGCGCGGGTCAGCAGTGAACTCAGAAGAGAGAGAGAGAGAATTGAGGCTTTGGGGCATTGTACGCGCGCCGTGGCTGACAACGATGCGGATTTGCCGGTGTCCCCGGACCAATGACTGATATCATCACACTCACGGCCTCTTCACTGCCAGTCTGAGCCTTTTGGTGCTTTGCATCGTGGTGCTCGACTCCATGCTTGTGTCCTCCCTTATCATGGTGCGCATGAGTCTCTGCAGCCTTGGCGTCAGCCTCGGTCGTTCTCGCACACCACATCATGTGCATTGAACGATCGCCGACTCACGCGCAACCGTGGCATCTTGTAACTCCTTCGTTGGCTTCTCATGCTTGGTATGGTGATCAGCCTGAGGCATCGAGCTCATCAGTATTGACTTGGTCTTCTCTTCACGACGGTAGTCCTGGACGCACCTTGACTGCGGCCTCGGAGTCCGACTGCAAGGGGACGTCAGTGAAACGGATCCCAATGACACAGGCAGGCTATCTGTCCGTAACGAGGCGGCATCTGAATGTTCCATACGATGATGATACTAGGATCCATCTCACTCACAGCTAGATGCTCGTTCCATCCTGGTGCACCCTCTTTGAAAGGGGTAGACTAAGTTGATTTAACGGAGGGTTCAAAGAATTATCTCAAAACGTTGACATACACTGTCTTGAGTCCCCTTCAGATTTCTAGCCTTCTCTCGCCCGAGAACCTATACATGGTCAGCATCCATCCTACACGTGTGTCCCTGACTAGTTCCTTTACGCCTCGGGAGGCCTGCCAGCTCATACGGTCACCGTACTCACTTCCGGGTCATTGCCATGACGACTGGCAGCTACAAAACTGCTCGAAGCGAATTGTCTCTTGGGAAACGAAGCGCTCAAAGCGAGTCTTCGGGAGGCTATTCGGAACATGGACATGGCTTCAGATTCAACAGTCGGCAGTAGCAAGGTTGTTCAAAAGGCTGGTTGGGAAAGAAGATGCTCAAGTGGTGGTTCGAACCAAAACGCCAATAAATATCGATCTGTAATAGTAAAATGCACACCACACATGCATCCGCCTCAAGCGTCACCTGACGTCACTCGGCGGCGATCGCCATTTCGCTGCGAACACTGATTGAACCATTCATTCTTTCCATCTATACACTCCGTAACGAGGTAAGTAATATCAATTTTACAAGGGAGTGCGGACATAAAACTATGGGAACGATGACTATGGGTGAACAGGAAGAGAGGACATGTATGTGAATGACAGTTGAAACAGTCTGAGCAAAAAATGTCCACCCAAAAGTCCTTGACATCCAGACCCCTCACTCACACCTCTTCATCACTGTCTAACGCCGCGTAATTTCTCTCCGAGGGAATGGTACTCAATCCCGTCTCGGTTCTTTCAGCCATACCGGGTCTTACACCATATCCTGCAACTGATCCTGATCCACTCTCTTCTTCATGCTCGAATCCGACACCGCCTTTGAAATGTGAAGTATTCTCAGTCGATGAACGAGGATGGTCAGGTGTCAATGTAGGCATATCCAAGCTGAGTCTCGGTAGCCCAGCAGGGCCATCCTGAGATATCCTGGACGAAGACATGGGACTGTGGCCTAATGGAGCTGGTATTGCAGGCGCATCGTCAAGGATTGACGAATGCGGTTGGTTGATGGGCGTAGGCAGATCCAAAGCCTGAGGTGGTGGTGGATTCTTGGCGGGTACAGCGGGACCCTTGGATTGATTGGCATTCGTCAACGTCGTGATGGGTGCCACGGGAGCTCCGGTCGATGGGCTCATGCTTTTTGGCGGGGATCGACTGAGCGACGCTGAGTTGACTTGGGTTGAGGAGAGTGGACTACTTGGTAGAATGGTAGTGGGTGATGGACCACTCGAAGGAACGACAGGCGACGAGAGAACGGACCCGGATGGTGGCGTGGTAGATCGATTCGGAGTCACGCTTCCCGGATTGGGTGATCGACTGGGACCAGGCAAATTGGGATTGGATGCTGAGAATGTAACGTGCTTGAGAGAACTTGCGGCACTGCCAGATCTCGATCTTCCTCCAATCTTGGAGAACAACTTGGAGGCTGTCGACGTTTTTTCCTTGTTCCCGTGAGGATCGGAGACACGCCTAGATTGAGGTCCTTGTATGATGATGGCTGAGCTTGATCCAGGTCCAGGAGTTCCGTTTCTGATCTCGTCATCCTGCTTGCGTTGATGTTCCTCATGGTCGATGAGAGAGAGGCGCATAGCCTCCATGATCATGAGCTAGGGATTCGTTCAACAAAGAGCGAGGAGAGGTAGAGAAGGGCTGAAAGGGGATGCTCACCTCTTCTAAATCACGTCCGCGCGATCCTGTCCGCCGTCTGTCTCGACGAGATGGCGTGGAGCTGCCACTCCCAGATCCACTGCGCTGCCCGCTAGCCGGTGCTGACGAGCTGAAATCGGCAGTGCCGGGTGCACGAGCTGATGTGTAGCCGATAGGGATGAGACGATCTCCGACCTTACGTACGTCAGCATACACCCTTGCCAGCTGACGTACCTGTCGCATGACAACACGCCTCGCAGCCTTTCTCGCGGCCGCCGCCTTGACAGCGTTGAGCTTTCTCTCCCAGTCTGGTCGGATCTCGTCTGTATGGTGAGTCAGGGTTACCCGGTCATACCACCTACCAATGAGGACTACTTCTTTTGCTTTCGAGCTGACGCTTTTTCGTCTGATCGTTTCCTGAGCCTTTGGGTTCATCCCGATTCCCACGCCCAGCTCTGCGTCTTCATCCTGGGACGTCAAAGCTTGACTGAGGCCACCTTGAAGTTCGGGACCAGGAGGCGAGCTCGGCGAGATGGACAGTGCAGATCCGTCCGGTGGCGACATGGCGTGCAGAGAAGATGATGAAGGGAGGGGTGGGCGTTCGTATATGACACCGAAATCCGTCTCGACACAGAACGGACAACTTGCAGGATCCGACTCGAGATGCGTAATAGTGGCTTCGGATCGTTTGATTTGGACAAAACATTCAGTACAGATGGGTTGCTGACAGCACCGAGTGGTATTGATATTTGGTGGATAATTCTTTTGGTGTCGCATGAGCCAGTGATCAGATTCAAGGACACCGCACTCACCAGGAAACAGATCGGACACTCTACTGCTCCTAGGTATGCTCTCTTCTCCCGCCTATAGGCTTCATCTCGCTCTTCTTCATGTTTATGATCCCGTCCTTTATGGATGCCAATCTTCTTGACGACCTGTGTTCCGACCTTGCTCGATCCTTCCCGCTCAAACTTCATATGTTCCACCACCGAGTTCTGGACGTTTTCCTCGAGATCCTTTTGCCTCACTTCGTCCAGTATCCGCCCGATATCAACTTCTGTGAAATCCTCCTCATAATCCTCGATACCACGGTAGAACGGAGCCAGCCTCGCCTCCATGACGAGACGACTGACGATGGTCTTACTGTAGTCCATAGCTTGTGGCAAGGCGAGAGCATGAGGATTCTGTGGTGAGAGATGACCGCCGTAAGGGAGGAGAGGGGGAGTAGAAGGTGGCGGGGGACTTGGCGTTCTGGGTGGAGGCGTCAGTCCAGAATGAAATCCACCAGGAGCAGGATGAGCACCACTGCTGGACGTTGGAATGGGTCTAGCGGTCACTGTAGGCGTGCTACCCGAGGAAGGATGAGTCGAAGTAGATGGTTGGCCATTGTTCCCCGGAGTGGGGGCACCCGATCCTTCATGTGAAGAGGTGTTGCCCATGGTGGCTCGCCTTGGGCCAATCCAGACACACGTAAAGGCGAATGAGGACTACGTCAGGCGAGAGAGACGTTCCGAACCAGGATGTGAATCCTTTAGGTGTTCCCCCGTTTTTCCTGCCCTTGAGCCCGAGCCTGTGTGCTGTCGTCACCTGTGATTGCAGGGGCTGAAAAAGCTCTTAAGTAGACTGTATGTTTGACGATGTGTATGAAAGGTCAATCCCAAGATCGATTGGATGTCCCAGGTCGATTATCTTCCTTCTCAGTTCACACACACATATACACCCCTTTACGCCGTTCTCGTGCTAGCTTGGAAATGTGAACCGGATACACCCGGCTTTTCCTATGCGGCGAGGGGGAGGGGGGGAGGAGGTGGGAAAGTGTTCAGGCGGAGAGGGAGACGACTGTCGATTCCAGGCGCTGTAGTCAATGTAGAGAGGTCGCCGACCACCGAGACTCCCCCAAGCTGAGACGAACTTTGCGTGAGGGATAGAATGTAACTTTGTGGACTCAAATGTACAGTTTTCTTCAAGCAGCTGCGGAAAGATGAGAGTAGATGATAGTGACGAGGACCACGAGGGTCGATTGGAATGACTCTTATTAATGGACTTATTTCATTAGCAAATTGAATTCGGATGATCCTAATACCCATTACAAAAAACTATCCGTCGGTCAAGGGTGTGTGTGTGTGACATCATCAGCCAACCGATTGATGCTACGTAGCCTCCCCCATCATCACTGTCAACAAGAGAGAAGACGATGGTCAGTTGGTTGAGATACGAAGCCGGGTCACAGTCTGAACTTCCATGGCATCCACCAATATCTTCAGAGAGAGAGAGAGGGGGAGAGGACTCTGTGCCTATAAAGCCTGTTCATGGCCACACAGCTCTCGTGATGCGCAAACCAAAGGAACTGGCGCAAAGGACCGAACGCGCGCGCGATGATCGCTTATTGACCTGCTGGTGATGAGAATGTGAAAGATACGCTGACATGCTGATTCTATTCCCTTTTACTGACCCTTCTGACAGTCCTTGTTCGCATACCATCCATGATACGACCTACGATTAGACGAAGGTCCATCCATGCCGTACTAGCCCTCTGCCTGATCACAGGGCTGATGCTCTTGTACGGCTACACCCGGACCTCTCCATGGAGGTTTGACCTTCTGATTGGACAGACCATCCCGCCGCGTGTGAGTCGACCATGGTACATGGATGTGGGTCCAGACGATTGTGGATCTTGGAATTCGACTTGGGCCGAGGTGGACGACCCGCTCGGGTGCAGCCGAGCGAAGCGATACAGACAAGTGGAAAAGGTTTTGAAGCGAGAACAAGAGGGAGGACAGTGAGATAGCATTGCACCTTCGTCCTTCTGCCTCAGAACTCACCATATTCTTATCCCAGCCCTCTTGGACATTTACACACTCCCACAACATTCACGCTCTCCAGTCCCTCCTCTCTTGTTACCTTCCTCTGTCTGATCCAGCCCACGTCGATTGTCCGCCCAGACCCCTCATCATCGCTGGTTGGTGGTACACCGCTTTGGTCCTTGAGCACGCTACCACAGGCGAAACGATATGGATGACGAGTCTCGTAGAAATGCTGGACGAACTGAGATTTTTTTGGATCGCCGTGGGACCTTATGAGAATTGGATAGAGGTCGTGGAGATGGTGCCTGATATCTAGTGGGTCTCTTGATCTCAGAGCCCTTGAGGTTTGGGGATTGACACTATGACCTGACCAGCCGATCAATTTGGGTTGCCGATGTCGAAATCGTTTCCTGCGTGACGGATCCACGATGCATAGCGGCGGCGGATTACACACCGCCAATCGGCGAAGAGAATCTCTCGAGAGTAATACCAGATGAAGACCGTGGAAGCATTCCCATCTGGGCTCTGACTGTCGTTGATTATGTGAGTTCCCTTAACCTCAAATCCTCTGAGCTGAACGTTTCGCAGTGGGGAGCAAGACCGCTGGAGATCGCCAATAATGACTACTGGTGGGGATTGACGGAATACGGAGACTGGACGTATCATCCACTAGGTCAGCAGTGGATAGCGACGTGAGTAGGAGGTATACAGTCCGATCTCAGGGTCTTCCTCCTCATACTCTATCAGCCCCTGGCCTCAGCCTGGACATACGCATCTGCCCTATTCCATCGAAAAGTCATGCCTTGCCCTGTCCCATATCCCGCAACAAGATCGGAACGACTCGATACTCATCTATGCCAAGCGGTCAAGTGATTCATCGAAGGTACTTCACCCTAACCTTTTCTCTCAGGATATTTCGACTTCCACTATGTGTCCCCGAGATCGTTCTGGACGCAATTGGCAGCTGAGAAGCTCAATCCTAGAGTCACAATCCTGACGACAGCTCGAGAGGAGCCCGATCATCAGCTCCCTGATGGTCTCGTTGTACTCCCGCGACAGACTCGAACCGACTACGAGCATCTGGTAGGCAACGTCAAGGCGATCCTCGGAATCGGCGCGCCATCACAAAGTCCAAGTGTGTACACTGCATTGTGCCAAGGAACCCCCGTTATCGTCCCTTATTTTGAGAAAAACATGCGGCAGGATGGATGGTACCGGTACTCCGGGTGAGCATTCAGGTAATCGCTTTGTTTCCCGTCGCGATCTGACCCGTGGTTTCCGGGCAGGACCGCTCAACACGGTCCGGCAGCATCCATTGGGGAACCATATGTCTACACCTATTACGCCCAAAATTACGATTCCTTATTGGCAGCGGTTCAGAAAGCCGTGACGACCCCGATTCAACGATACATCCCTCCTGATATGCGATATGATTACGCACTGACGAAAATGAAGGAGTTCTTGGATCGAGATACGCAGGGAGACTACGAGAGGATAGTCCGGCGGCGAGGTGGCGTGCCACCTTTACAAGCTGGCTTGAGAGAAAGATGTTATGAGCTTGGAAGGTGTCGACCAACTTTGCCACCCGGTCAACGGTCGAGAGTCCTTTGAGCTTCGAGGGCGGATCATCGCTGCGACCGAAGAACTGTCAGGCGGAGACGGAAATACGACAGCGCCAAATTGTGTTTCATCGATCTCGGCGCGAATCGCTAATCCATGCAAAACGTTTTGATTATAGTATACCTAGACGGCAAACAAGCTAGCATCCTCCCTTGTCCCCGCCAGATCGATCTCCCCGCTACATGCAGTCTTATGACGCCTTCCTCCCCTCTCCCAACAAGACCTCCTCTGTCGGTTCTCCGCCAAGCTCCACGCTGAGCCTTCGGACCAGTTTGGCCTCCCGAATCTCCTTCAAAATATGAAGGGGCAATGGCGATTTTGGCCGTTTCTCCCCCGAGGTGGTCCGCTTTCTCTGTACCACAAAGCCGTGATTCTCCAACTCTTCGTTCGTCAATTTGGCCTCGAGAAGGGCCGTGTCCATTTTTTCTTTCGTCTCGAGGTTTTTAGCTCTAGCCAGGAGCATATCCTCTTTCTTTCCTCAGTCCGTCAGTCTCTTTGCTTGCTCAGTTTGGATGTAAAATCCCACTCACTTCTTCGGTGGTATTGCCCCACCTAGTTGATGAAATGGCATTTTGCAATGCCAGAGCCTTATGAATGAGTCTTATCATCCGACTTTTATGCCTCAAGAGGCGTGCGATAGCCTCGTCTCGCTCATCCACAGGAAGCCTCTCGACTGTGATACTGGACATTCTGGATGTGGCAATGTGAGTTAGTCGCGGTGATGGATTTGACAGGTCTCACTCACATTTGTTTGATGTGTATAGTTGACGAAGGAGTTGTAGTGGTACTTGAGAGAAGTCAAGGTCGAGGGCAGTGGTAGCTGCACTAGTGAGGATTTGGAAGTGAAGAAAGAAGAGGATAAGTGAGCAGTCTCTGAGATGCGCGACATAAATGTGTATCACTGTCTTCACTGGGGCCCGCCGATTCCCCTGGTTCCCCCGGCTTCCCTCCCCGCGGGACTGCTTGGCAGTGCAGGCGGACATGCAGTCAGAAACGTCTCAACTCCTGGCACATCGCCGAAGAGTAGCGTATCACCACTTTATCCCATTCATGAAGTCACAAGCCAACTCTCGGTAAAACCGACAAGCAGAAATAAAAGTCAGTCACGAGAACTGGGCATGATTCTTTCCCTCTGGCACACGGGTCCCCACCCATGTCGAATGATCAGGGGCGGGGAGAGGCTACGCGCAGCCTCTATGGATGCTGTCGAATATTTCCGGACCATATAGCAAGGTATTGAACAGTGCGTGCTGACTCCCGTTAGTGCTGTGTCCATGGTTTTACGATGGCCTCTCGGATCTTTGAAACAAAATGAAAAACGAAAATTAACGGCCCAAAAAAACAAACAGGAAAAACCGAAAAGGCACGGAAAGATCAACGGGTGCAGATCTTGCGACTGGACTGGCTGCGAAACAGTTTGGAGCTTTGATTGCAAAGTCGTACATGCTGGAACATTGGCGTATTCCGTGTGAAAGTATACGAAAGGAGTGTGCTCCATCCCTTATGCATGCTCTCGTCATTGGACGTCGTTAAATCTTTTGCTCCAGCAATGCTCCTTCCACCTGAAGTCCCTCGACGAGGAAAATCTTTTCCTCTGCCAGACATATCATCCTTCCGCCAGGGATGAAGCAGAAGTTGGCGCAGTATGTGCCGAGGAAGCTGAATCAATCAGCATCATTGAATCATCGGGGTGACACGTGAGACTTACATCTTCCCAATGTGCTTGCCATATTTGTCTACGAGCGGTCAGCGGATTCTCCGTATCTATAACGTACTCCACACATGGACACCGTCGCCACAACCAGAGTAAACGTTGCCCGCCGTGTCGCACTTGACTAGAAATTAGAGTACCCTATAAGCACGGATTCACTGCGGAAACTTTTATCGCACTCACTGCCATCTGGTAATCCCACGTCAATGAAGGCGAACAATCTCCGATTGTGTAAGGTGGGGCCGCCAATTGTCATATCCACATCTGGCCAATGAACGTCAAACGCATAGCTAGAAGATTAGCTCATGGTTCCTCCCATTCAGCTCACATCGTTGCCGGTCTTCGATGACTGATATCTCCATTTCCATGTACTGAGCCCGTATCTGTGACATAGCAGACATCTCCTTCGGGACTGAAGCATAGTCCATTCGGGTGATCAAAGCCATCAGCCACAGCTCTCACTTCGGAGGTCTGTGGGTCAAAGCAATAGACTTGACTTGGCATCTGAGGTTTCTGTCTGAAACCTTGTTCGTGCCCGTATGTAGGGTCCGTGAACCATAACGTCCAGCCTGAGGGAGGTCCACCAGGTAAAGAGGAATTGTCTGTAGTCGCAGAGCCAAGCTTGACGTTCTTTGGCGGAGGTAACAGCACAGCATCGTTCAGTGAATTGAAATGCCGACCGTAAAAGTTATTCAATATGACAATAGGCTCTTTTGACGAGTCCTTTGGATCGACCAAGACGAACGAACTGGGTCTATCCGGTCCAGCTCCTTGTTCGCAAAACAGCACATATGATCCATAAGGGCATCCACCGTTGGGTGTGAGGATATGTTCAAGGAGATCATCTCGTGTGGTCACTTTGCCCGAGGGAATCGCAAGTTTACTGATCTCTGCTCGCTTAGCTTGGAGTTCAGGATGTTTCGCATTTTGTTGACCGTCAAAGTAGAGGTTACTCGTGAGCCAGACTTCTTGCGTTGATTCGACCCAGACCCCAGCTTCATGCGCGAACGCCTTGGAATCCTCCGCTATGACTTGTATACTTGCGGAGGAGCCGAGGATTTGGGATTTAAAAGAATCGTGGACAGAGATGAAGGATGGTTGGTCCTTGCCGAATGGCTCATGATCGTCCCGGTCATCAAACTTGGTTCTCAAGGACGAGTCGTGTGTACCATGACGCAAGAAGGGAGCTTGGACCACGCAATGATGAGCGGTGGGGATGTCCTGTTGTTTGGAAGCGAGGAAACCAGGCGCGATAAATCAGTTGGGATGGCGATTGACTACCGGTCAGCTAGCTGTCTGGCGTGCTCGAGACCGTTGCGACTCACCTGCACAGTCGTATATTTCTCTCCGGTCATGTTCAACAACGAGGTGCGATTGCTCCTGAGGTGTCAAGATGGACCACGGACAGAGTCAACGCTTAGACGAGAAATGAAAGCGAATGGACGTTGGTCTGGTCAGTAGATCTAACCCCTTTAGCTGAAAGACAAGTTGATCCCTCGAGAAAGAAAGAAACTCCCTTAGTTAGCTGCTCCACTCGTAATTAGATCTGACTTATGCGGGGTTGTCCCAAAAATACACCCGGAATGAATTGATGTCCGGACCGATAATCCGAACGAGGCGAACTCTTTTCGTGGCACCTGAATTGTCGAGGCTGCGTTCGTTATGAGATCGTACCGATACAGAGCAGTCAAGATCGTAAATCTTCATGCAGAGGTGCGCACTCAGCGTTGGTCTTCTTCTTGGCCTCCTTCACCTGCCTGGCCTTCCGTCAAGCTTCAGGTCTGTTCAAAGCCCCCGGATATCTCTCCTGCAAGGGTGTCTGTCAGAGGCACTAACCGTTGGCCTGCAAACGGGTCACAGGGCTTCTCGATGTTCTCGTAATCCCACGTAAGCGAGGCTACGGCAGTAGAGGCAAGTCAATAGTGTAAGGAGCCCTCGGAACGTAACGGAGATCCATCTATAGCTCTCAAGGTGCTTCATACGTCGTATCTGTTCTCTTGGTGCGACGCATAAAAACCATGCATGACCTTAATCTGCGTCTGACTGTGCCCGCCCCCGCCCTACTCCATCTCACATTTGCCTTCTCTATCTCTCGATTGGTTTGGAAACACGCCCAAGAACTGTACCGGATTTCCGGACCGACAGCCAAAAATGGCATCAGCGTCGTACACGTTCTCGTCGCCCTCATGTGGTGGTCTCAGCACGCACGTCATAAATTTTCATTCGTCGGGTATTGAGACTCGAGTTTAGCTCCGAGCGAAATATACTATGTATCGTCGATCGAGCAATCTTTCAGGATGGATATATATATATAGGTTAAAAGGAAAACAGCATGCATCGTGGGCAACAAATCTCATACGTTGAGCGATAACTGCTAGCCATGGGACTGCCATTACTACCCACGTTTGGCTCACACAGTGGTAGGCCACTTTTGTACACCATCACGGCGTTGACATCCTTCGGGTTCACGTTGATCGGGTATGATAATGTGAGTGAATGGGTCTCGCGACCTGTGATCTACAGGCACACAGGATCTGGATCTGACCTTGTCCTTTTCTTTTCCCCCTTTTTTTTGGTGGGATCTCAGGGCGTTATGGGAGGTATCATCAACAATCCACCGTTCAAGACTACGTTCGATAATCCCAGTGCAAGTCTAGTAGGCACCATCGTCGCCATCTACGAAGCGGGCGCAGCGATCGGTTCATTGCTTTGCGCGGCGGTCGGAGAACATTTAGGACGAAGATGGAGTCTGATGCTCGGCGCCATTCTCATGCTTGGAGGAACGGGTTTCCAAGCTGGCGTTTCGAGTTCAGGCGCTTTGATCGGAGCTAGGATCGTCTCTGGCTTGGGGATGGGATTCTTGAATTCGACGAATCCAGTTCTTCAGAGTGAATCGTCCCCGAAATCAAATCGAGGGGTCTTCATCTGTTTCTTACTATCGATGCTCAACCTGGGGATCATGTTGGCTTATTGGGTCGGTTATGGATTCACAGAAGTGGGAGGATCAAAAGCTTGGAGAGTCCCAGTGGCTTTACAAGCCATATTCATCATTCCCATCATTGTCTTGTTGTTCTTCGTCCCGGAATCACCTCGATGGCTGGCGGCGCACGGAAGAGAGGATGAAGCTCTGAGAGTACTTTCACGACTTGCAGGCAAGCCAGAAGATGACCCAATGGTCAGGGAACAACATCAGGAGATCCTGGTGAGTTGTGACACTACGAAACATGACTTTCACTGAGCAGTCTTTCAGGTCGCCGCTCGACTTCAAGCTGCTGTAGGATCAGGAACTTGGTCGGATTTACTCCGAGAGGACGAATTCAGCTCTCGAAAGAGACTGTTGATTGCCTGTTCGATCCAATTCTTCCAGCAAATAGGAGGTATCAACGCCCTGAACTATTACGCGTGAGGTTTAAATCGGGCACATTGACATCGCTGATTTATGAAGCACCAACCTCGTTCTCGCTGCGGGTGAAAATCTACATAACGCCTCACTGGTTTCTGGAGGTCTATTCACATGGTTCTTCCTTGCTTCTTTCATCCCCTGGTTTCTCATCGATAGGGTCGGTAGACGAAAGTTATTGCTCGTCACTATCACCGCCATGGCCTGCTGTTTCGCCATCGAAGCGGGTTGTGTCAGTGCGGTGCAGAGATCGAATAGTCGAGCAGCGGGTGCAGTCGCGGTCGCGGTATTGTTCGTCTATTTGGGCTTGTTTACCGTGAGTCTACTGTACGACGCCGTCAGGGACATCTCACCAACAGAGTGTCACTCACGCTGATGAACCTTGTCAGATTGGATTCCAAGCTGTCGTCTGGGTTTACCCATCCGAGGTCTTACCTTTACGTCTGCGTCAACGTGGTAGTGCTATATCGACATTCTGCAATTGGATTACCAAGTGAGATTTGTCCTTCTCAATTGCTTAAAAGCCCTTCACTGACCCGCTGCTCAGCTTTGCCATTGTCGAGATGACACCACCTGCGCTGAAGAACATCGGTTACAAGTTCTACATCGTGAGTCAACACCTGCTGCATCCCAAGAATTGCGTTGAAACGGTTCGTCGTAGATCTTCGCAGTGATCAATGCCTCTTTCTTACCTATCATCTACATCTTTTATCCTGAAACTGCTGGCATGTCCTTGGAGTCGATTGACGCCCTCTTCAAGCGGGACGGACCGGCCCTCGGTGAGACTGCCAAGAGGAGGGAGATGGAGGAGAATGCGAAAGCTAGAGAGATTGTCGAGAGGGAGTATCAGGCCACCAGCGGAGTGAGTCGCGTGTGAGATCCCGAGGTCCACGAGTACGTATCAATTCAAGCATCATTTGGTCTCGGATCATATAGCTCAGAGCTGTCGAGTCTGGTCTACTGCATGTATATCGTTCCATTCAGTTCTCTTAACTGTCTCCGCAGCGATATCCCAATCGTTACTACATGCAGGAGGTGCAAAATGAAGTCGATTACGCCGCTGCTGCTCCAGGAACTACCCTCCCATCCACACCTCTCCCTTCCTTTTTCTTCTTCGCAGCTTTCCGCCTTCCTTCCACATGATCCTCTATGAAATGCTCAATAGGCAACTCGACATATGCCAAAGGTGCACCACCTCCCTTGTCGGCCTTCAACTTTCCCCAAGGTCGATCTTCTTCTTCTCTCCACTGCATGACCCTGCCGAGCTCTTTTGCAACGCGAACAATGTCCAATGGCGGAGATCTAGGTCTCGGGTATATATCATCCGGTGGAGGCGTCACAGGTTCACCAGGTGTCGTGGACGGACTAGCGATAGGTCGAATGGTCGTGGTAGTGAGTGTCGCTCGTCCTCTTCCCTTTCCACCTTTACCTTTACCCAACGTCAAGACACGACGTTCTTGAGCTGGTAAAGCAGCAGGAACGGGAGTCGGACGAGGGGGACCACCATTCAAAGTAGGAAATGCGCCGCCTCCTGATTCAGCCACGAGACGTTCTTGACGTTCTCTCTCTATTGCATCACGTTCGGCTTTTTCAATAGCGAGTTGCGTTTTGATATCCATTTCAATCGTGAGGAGGATACGAGCGAGCTGGGCTGGGGAGAAAAGAAGGTTTTGACAGGAAGGGCAGGGCAAATAGACTGAGTGGAGGGAACACACGACGAGACCGCAATGTTGGCAGATCGGAGTGTAGCTGGACAGCGGGTGGTTTCGGGCTAGAACGAACATGAGAAGATCGCTCTGGAACAGACACCTACAACCCGATAGGCATCAGTCGAACTTACCCTGGCAGAAGCACTCAGGATATGGCTTTGCTTGCACCTTTCCATTCCCCTCTTGAACGGCTAATAATTTCTCCCTGATCTCCTCCAGACGCTTCACATCTTTACTTCTCGGCATGTCCCATATCCTGTCTTCTGAGCCTTCTTTCTTTCCAAAATCAGCAAAGCCAGTCCCACCAGTCCCACTCCCACTCCCGCTCCCGCTCCCGCTCGCCTCGGATGATTTGGGCGGAACATGATGTACTGTCAACCGTCCTCCAGCTCGTGCACCTTCATGAGCTTGAACGTGATGTCTCTGATGCGGTGTGCTGGATCCAGAACCGCTGGAAGAATAACGACCAAACAGATCCTGATCAGCAGCTTGATTCTTCATGTACATCTTCGCATGGGGACCGAAGGCGTTCTCTAGATTTTCTCTCAGACCATTGGAGGATTCAGAACGAAACATTGGGCCCTCTGCGGGACCCGATGTGGGAGCTGGAGCAGTCGAGCCAAATTTTGACGGCTTAGACGGACTTCCTGCCCTCGGCTTTGATCTCGACACCGTTGGCGCTAAAACGGCCGAGCTCGTCTGGATACTGGGGAACCGATAGGCAATGTACTTGTCAATGAAGATCTTTGCAGGTGGAGAGGGACCAAGAAAGTCCTAAGAGTTGTCATTCATCAGCTGCGATGTTGAGTATTTCGAATGCCCCCATGACGCGCCTGAAGATGTGACTTGAGCTTGACTTGATTCTGCTGTGACTCAAGATCTGGCAAAATGGCCTCTTTGACCGTCTCCTCATCTGACGCATGTGAGCAAGAGGCAGTGTAGAGCTCGAGGTCTCGGCAAGGATGAGCTCACCGAAGGAGAGAATTTGAGAAAGGCTTGAGATGATCCATGATGGGCGTGTCGAAGGCATCGTGAGCTTACTCACGGATCTCACAAATGAATAGGACTGTATGATCGTATTCAACAACACACTTCGGGACTTTTGGTCGAACCTATATTTCGGATCCGAACGATGTGATGTAAGGTACCTCGAACAGTGGCAGCTTGGCGCCGGAGTATACACAGCTCGGCTGCGCCGAGTGAGACTTGAGCGCGATGCATGGAATGGTCTTGTGCGTATAGACATCGTCAAGATCGTCAAGAGGTCTACCCGTAAATTCGTAGTGATGTGTACAGAGTCCGACAGTTAATACAACGGTCCTCTAGGCATTCCTCTAGAGCGGAGGTGTAACCCTATCGCCCGGCCCTCGTCCGCCATCGTCTATCATTCATGTCGTCGTGAAGAGTCATTCTCGTGCTGTTCAACATAGCCTATCACACGGATCTTGAGCTCAAAATGGAGCACAGCCTCGGACACTCACAACACCTTCAATCCCAGATCATCACATACCTCCTTCCAATCCCATCTGGCATCACCTCGATCCGATCTGGTCCACGACTCCATGACGATCTTGGCGGCGGTATCGATGTCGAAGCAACATTGAGCTTTGAACCCTTCGAGCAAGGTGAGGCACCAAGATCGAGCTTCTGGGGCAAGGCAACAAGCAGCAATCACCGCGGGCCATACCAGACTGAAGGAATGACCATTTATTTAGCTTCTGGCTCGACCTGAAGAAAAGGCTACGACTCACTCTATTGGCATGTTGAGGACTGCAGTAGAGACTGTACAGTATCTGAGAACTTCCAGAGCAGCAGATTGAATACTGACGTCGTGCCGAGGGACATCGTACACTCTTCGAAGGAGGAGAATCTGCAAGTCTCAGCGATGTCCAAGATCGCTCGACTCACCCTCATGGCGAGAGCGTAAGCCCGATTTCCAACATGAATACGATCCTGGTCCAAAGTATTGAGCTCCAGATGCTGGATCCAAGCGTCGACGTCCAATCGAAGTTTGCTAGCCTCTTGTTCAAGAGGATCGGCAGGGTCTAAGTTGGCAGAGAGAGTAGGTTGCAGAACAAATCTCTTGCCCGATTTCCCCACACGAGATAATAGTCGGGTGAGTCGGGCAAAGAGGTGGACCATGATTCGGGACACTGCACAGGCTTCAGAGACAGCGAATAAATGGATCACTCACTCCCGAATTGCTTCTCCACCGAATATTTCTGATAGGTCGACTTGCATTCGAACCTGTCCAACCGTCAACACAGTTCGCCTAGACTGGAGCAGACGAAGCCGACTGACCACCATTCCTCCCATTGATCACTAAGTAGAGTAGGCTCCTCTCCAGTAGTCAGACAACCTACAGTTCCGAATAAGCTGTCATACCCACATGCCCATGTGGACTCACCAAACGTCTCATAAATCGCCAAGATCTCCAACATCATTCTCGCGGGTGACAGCGTGACCCCCTCGGCAAGTTGACGAGGTTGTGACATTTTGAGCATCTCTGCCGGCCCGCCGCGACTGGTGGCAGCATTCAGCACACAGACCATGCCGATCCGAGAGACAGGTTGCTCACAATCTGACCATCTCCTTGGCCATTGAAAAGTTGTCGAGCCAACCATTGCCCCCGAAAAAGATATCAATACTGGCGAGAGCAGTGATTGCCCCCAAAGTTCCGTCGGACGCCGCTCCATCCTGGCTCATGCTGCTCCTCTTGACCATTTCTTTGCCCTTATCCCTCAACTTGGAAGCGAATTGGAACATGTTGGCAGTCTGGTGATTGTTCACTCCGCTTCGTGACAGAAGGAATGCCTGGTGGATCGCCCCAGTACCCAGAAGAGCCACGCGCAGAGCGTCCGAAGCGAGATTTGTGCCTTTGGGGCAGGCAAGCGCGAGAGGGAGGTTGATAGCGAGCATGGGGTTCAGACCGGAAGGGATGGCCATCATGAGCGGAGCGGCATTGGCGGCGTAGTGGAGGATGAGTTCTCGTTCCTGAGGTGTACTGAACCAGGGTAGGAGGTCTGGAGGTGACATCAGCATGGATGAAGAACATAAGACTCACAGTCTGGCGCAGTGAGCATCGGTGCGCTCCCTTGAGCTCCGAGGCTTTCCACAGCGTCTGAAACGTTGTTGAAGGATCGAGCTCCCGAGACAGTTGATGGTGTTGCTAGTTCCGTTGTACCGGCAGCTTGTGAGTCCTGTTCTGGTTGAATGGGCTGATGATCTGCCGCTGGGCCAAAGATCTCTTCGGTGACACCCTCTGTCGCAACTGCACTCCCGCTCCGAGCGTCCAGATTGCCGCCGGCGGAGAGAGACAAGAACGACTTGTGCCATGACGAGGATGAAGCGCTCTCGCCAGTATGGTCAAACTTGGTAATATGCCCGATTGTTCTGCACAAATCGTCAGCATACTACGAGACAGTCTCAGGTCGATCTCGCTTACACTGGTGAGTCTGGTTGAGCAGTCTGCTCCAAGTTACGAGTACTCGACCTCGTTTCATGAACTCGACGTGCAGTGTCTTCGACGACCAGAGCAGCCTTCGCTTTGGTCCTCACTCGGCTCTTGCCCTTCCTTCTGGTTGATGACTTTGCTTTCTTGGGTTTGGGAGCTCGATTCGCAGTGTTTTCACCCTCGTCCTTGCGTTTCCTAGGCACTGAAGTGTTTTCGGGTGGGTACTCGCACTGAGACGAGGACGGTACTATCAGCCAGATGCTTTCGCTTTCAGCGTTCCCATTGACTCACCTCCCTCTTCGCAATGATACATCGCTTGCACACCGGTCTCTTTTCGTCGCACTTGATCCTTCTATGCCGACAGCAAAGACATCCGCTTCGAGTCCGCGAATACTTCATCTTCCTCTTGACGCCCGCGCGGCTAGCCCTTGGCGCTCTATACGTTGACGAGGTAGAGCTCTTGGTAGGACTCGGAATATCCGGAGAGCTCTGTTGAGAAGCCATCTCATACTTGGTTTCCTGGGGCTCAAGCTGATGTGTTCCGTCACCCTCCACACCCACCTCCTGTCCGTGCTGCATGTGCCGCTCGATCGCCAAGCCTAGCTCTAGCTGCCCCTCATCGTCTCTGTTCAAGTCTGCGAAAGATGATGTGGGAGAGAGGGAACGATCATCTTGTGAGGGCGTTTCAAAGATTGACTTGATAGGCGATACTTGACCAGTACGCAGAGGTGAGGTAATGGTTGATCCGCCTCCTGCAATTATCGTCTGAGGACTCACTGATCCATGTCCATGATGGATGTGGGATGATGGACGAGAAAGGCTTTGATGCGCTGTTGGCAGAATGAGAGGCGGCAGAAGAGTGTAAGGATGGGATGAGTTGAGAGAATGCACAGGCACATATCGCAAAGGTGGGAAAGTATGGGTCCGAAGTCCAGGTGAGGAAAAGGATAGAGGATGGTTTAGATGCTGAGGAGAGGTTGTATGCGAATGATGGTCCTGCCACCATCCTCTGATCGCAGACTCGGCGGGCATCGTGGGTGTCGACGTGGTCGGAGTGGTCCAAGAAGCATGAAGGGTCTGAGGTGTCAAAGGGAGTGACAGGGCGGCGGGATGAGTTGGAGGAGTGCGATTCTTATTGTCAAAGGATACCAAGAGTGGGTCAAGGTGCAGAGGCGTGTGAAATAGTTGATGGTGGTCTTGAGCGATGTGCAGATGATCCAGCTGGAGGTGATTATACCGTGTCGTCGATATAGGAGTCAGAGGTGAGAAGTGATGAAGGGGTACAGAAGAGTTGGTGATGAGGGGTCCTTCGTGAATACTGTTCTCACTGCCTGGCATGCTGATGGGCAGGAAGGGGAAGAGGAGTAGGGGTCCCTTTGAGTCTGGGCAAGCGGTCGAGTCCTCCTTGAGAGGCGGCGGGACTGCAGAACGCTGCCGTCTCCTATTGAGGTCGGGCGACTTCGCTGTTGGCTGAATGACCGGGGGCGGTGTGCAAGTTGAAGAATGAGTCTATGCTCAAGAAGCCTGAGGGAGATAAGTAGAATGGCAGGAGAGATCAAAGTGAATCCCAAGGGGGTTGCTGTTATATGATCTCGCAGCAGTCTTCTCTGCAAAAAGAAAAGCCAAAAGATCTCGCATCGACATGAAGAGGGATGTGCAGTTCCCAAGGATGACTGGATGCCTCGTGTGGCTCTATTCTTTCCTTGGCTTTCATTGAAGACTTTCATTTTCACAAGGTTTGTGTCACAGTCAGTAGTAGTCAGTAGTCAGTAGTCAGTTGCCTCGTGGTATAGGTGAGGCCAGGGATCCTTTGGGCTAACCCTTCCACCCCCTGGAATCAGCCCGATGTTCGGAGATCCAGAGGGGTGGTGTTACATTGTCTGGAACTTGCAGCACACGTCAGATGAGTACTATTAGAGCGTCTATGTGTTGTGTGTGTGTTATGAATCTCCGTCCGAATATTATTGGCTTTTCGGCCGACGGGCTGGCTATCTGGCTGGCCTCATTGTGTATGATACGCATTCGACTTCTCGCCACGAGGTGTTCTGATGTGAATGTTTGAATGGGACGGGCATCAGCTTGGCTTGGAATCAACGGCCTTAGACGGCTGGATGTCCTATCTCGATAAACGGGGGGACACAACAGGTCCAGAAAGAATCCGCAACAGTTCACTTTGTGGCGATTGTGCCAAAATGACACGACACATTCGAAGAAACCTCTCACAAGGCATTCTGGACCACCATCAGTGGATTTGCTTCGAACGCGTGAGCACACGCATCCCGAACACTCTTGTCACGACGTTACATACGACATTCAAGTATTTGTTTTGTGCGGAGAGAGAGACAGGGGAGAAGAAAGTAAAAACGGTATGGACTTCTTTGGTAATTCTGTTTTCCGAGAGCGACGTGTTGGTTGGGAGAAGATGTTATGAGCATGAATGTACGTTCGATTCGATGGAAAGAGGAATATGTAAGAAAGGAGGAGAGAGGGGAGATAGGAGTCCGATAATACACAGTTGAGACTTTCTACTCGAATTGACCGTGTTTTTGATGTCCGGTGCGGATCGTCGAGAGGGCGGCTCGGAACAAGGGGGAGTGGGTGCGGGAAAGAAAAGCTGGGAATCGGTCCAGGCTATGAGGTGGAAAATGAGAGCTCTCTGAATGATCCACATGGCAGTGAAGCCGCCGATTCCAACGGTGTGAGAAAACGTAAAAGAGGTGTGAGAAGTCGATGGGAGCGATGGAGTATAGGAGGCGGCCAGATTGTCCAGATAAATGAGCAACTTGCCTCCGTCCCCTTGTACATGCGTCTAGAGAAAAAATAAGTTGATGTCGTCGTCGTCGTCGCAAACATTTCCCCATGACTCTTTGTGCTGGTGGGAAGCACTGTTACGAAGATACTCCAGACATCTACTTGCCACCCTTCTTGTTCTTTCTCGGGGGCGTGACGGCGGCTGTGAGTGGGGCGAGTGACAAAGACGAAGGCGAATGAACAAAAAAAGAGGAGGGCAGATCTCGTCAGCGGATTCTCCTCTGAGACAGTAACGACTTACGTCGTCCTGCCGCACCGTACGCACCACCGTACTTTGGAGCCTTCTTCTCGGCTGGCTTCAGGATCTGGCAAAAGCGTCAGCACACTAGTGGTACACGTCTGAGGCTGACGCACCTGGAAGGAGCACAAAAGTGTGTCATCCACACTCATCATAGCACCGGCATTATCAAACTCTCCACAGTAATTCGGCGCGGAGAACAAGGTGACCAGTTGACGTTTGGCAAAGAATTCGTATCCATCCTCGACGACCTGCACAAGCCTCAGCATAGGTCCCAGCAGACCTAGCAATCGTCTCACCTGATGCGCTCTGCAGATCAAATCCATATCGTGTTTCTGCAGGAATCTCGACACGACATCCGGTCCAAATGTGAACGAAACGCCTCTATCGTTCTCACTCCAACCCGTTATATCCTTATCCGGGTCGGCCCACAGGAGATCGCAGAGCAGACCTAGAGCAGGTTAGCTTGAATTTTGAACATGAATCTCACCTGTATCAGGTACATCTGTTGGTCGCATGACTCGTCGGATCTGCTCCATACTTTGTAGGTCGGGACTCTGCGCACAAGTCAGTCCCAGAAAGCTTAATCAGACCCACCAGTCCTCCGTGCATTGTAAAGATCTTCTCGTCAATGATAGCGGCGATAGGTAAACAGTTGAAGCAGTCGGTAAAAGTCTTCCACAATTTAATATTGTAGCGACGTTTGCCTAGACACGGCAATTCGTCAGCTCCACTCCATCGCAAGATCTACAGGCTCAACCCACACTCGTCGTAAAACCCGTAAATCCTGTTGATACTCGCGCACTCGTGATTTCCTCTGAGGATGAAGAAGTTTTCCGGGTATTTAATCTTGTAAGCCAAGAGCAGACAGATTGTTTCCAGACTCTGCTTTCCACGGTCGACGTAATCACCGAGGAAGAGGTAGTTGGCCTCTGGAGGAAATCCACCGTACTCAAACAGCCGTAAGAGATCATAGTATTGTCCGTGAATGTCTCCACAGATTTTTATCGGCGCTTCTAGTTCCAGAAGAATGGGTTGAGAGATGAAGATTTCACGAGCTTTAGTACATAGGTACCGGATTTCGTATTCTTGCAGCTGGACCGCTTTACCTGGACGGTTGCCGCGGACTGGAAGGGAGACAGGGAGTCAGTTGGGTTCGAATCAAGAGGCGTAGGGGCCTGACTGACCCTCTAGAAGACGGTCAATGACCGAGTCCAAGTCAATCTCGCCAGTCTCGTTGGACATTGTCGGATAAGTCTATGCAGAGGAGTGAGAACGGAGGAAGGGTGGAGAGGCGTGAAAGTGAATGTGCCGTGAGAAGGAGTTCTGGCGAGGATTGATGATGGCAAGCAATTCACTGGACTGTGTGTCAGCATGAACGTCCCTGTATAGCACCGCGCCTGCCAAGTCGCAGTCGATTCGAGAGAAATGCAGGATGAGGGGATTCCGAGACAGCATGATCGTCTGCCGATGACCATGGTCTACATGTCTGGACCGTGCGGTCTATCCAATGACCAAGATGTATGACTCTTTATCGCGACTCACCGTTTCGAATGACGGGTCGTCGCTGTTTCAAGATTTCAGCTGTCAATCTTGATCCTTTTGCTCTCTAAATCTCCAGTTGTCCTTCTTCAAGCTCGTTTCTCGTCTATGCACGTCTACACGTCACGTCGGATCAAGTCGGGCAGAGTATGAATGGGCGTCTGTTGTCTTGTGACGACTATGCCGGTGGGGTGGATGGATAGATCGTTGAAAAGCTTCGCGATGCGGTGTTGGAGAAAAAGACAAGAAAGAGTTGAATTGGAAGGAGGGTTTAGGAGTATTCGTCACGGGAGAGTCCAAGAATATAAGGAGCGTCTATACGATTTGGTCAGAAGATATTCTATCCTCGTGATGTTGAGAACGAGAGGATCATGCAATTGAACTGAAGACCGCCGAGGAGGAGGAAAAGGAAGGGATGGAAGGAAAAAAACGAAGAGAAAGCGAAAGAAGAACCAAGGAAGAAGAGCGAGACACACAGTGAAATCCGACTTGGCCCCTCAGAGTATCCTATTGTCGAGTGAGCGGCGGAGAAGGATGGTTTCAATCGCTGTGGTCTTGCATCCGTCCAGTGAAAGTGGATGAGATGATTGGTTTGAATGATTGAGTGAATGGAGTGATATAATAATACCCACGTCGCGCCGCCCTCTAACCTCCCCTCCTCTTCGGGATTTTTACGAAGGGGGGGAGAAAAACAGATCCGCCACATCAGCATCTAACGCCGAGTGCCATGATGAGTCATATCTCCGTGGCAGAGTAGAGGGCTTTGGTGGCTACTAACCAAGGGTACGGGAGGTCAAGAGTGCATCCGAGTGAACAAGGAACGAAGACTGCACGGTGCTGACATCGGTGCACAGGGTTGGCTTCAAGATGCATCTATCGTGCTACGACAGACACCATTTTAAAATGATCACGCATAAACCACTTATCTACGTCACCAGCATAAGTGACAGCCACATCCTCATTGCAGCCTGGGTCCTCCTCACTGTGGCTGACCTATTGAGACGGCGGCACAGAGCCTGAAACGCCTGCCCCAGTTGTTGGGGTAGCGGACGGGACCTCGACATGTGGCACAGTGTTGGTTGTCGTTTGAACGGGACGGAAGCTGGGATCGGCTTGCTGCAGTGAAAAAGTCAGCAGTGAACAGCAGTTGAGAGGCTTCGTCCATGTGCGACAGACAGTGCCGCGCAACTCACGTTGAGGTATGAGTCGACCTTGTCTAGACTCTTTTCGGCAAAGTCGGCGACCTGCGTTAAGATACCAGGTTTGTCACCCGATGCAGTCTTCTCATTGATGGTGTGAGTGACCGAGTTGAACGTGTTCTGCGCCCGCAGATATCAGCTCGCAGTCTCACCACTATGATCGACGAGTCCAACAGACTCACAGTGACTGTGGATGAAATCTGTCCGAATACAGCCTTGACCTTTTCACCCGCTTCGGCCGCGGTGGCCGGTACACCGTGAGCTTGGGCTTGGGCGCCCAGTCCAGCAGTGACGGTGGACGCAGCGGTACCGAGATCTCTCGGGTGAGTTGTGGTGGTATCTGTCGAGGTAGCAGTGGCGGTAGTGGACGGCGCAGCTGCTACTGGAGCCCCGGGAGCCGTAGATTGAGCGTGAGATTGCGGAGGAAGTCCAGCAGCGGCCTATTGGGAGTGTCAGAGAGAGCCTGTCCTAGAATGCTGCCAAGGAGCGCGAAGAACGAGCAGCACACATTGCGCTCTACCTCATGATCCCCTTAGAGACCAGTGACTCCACACTCACATCAAGCTTATCGACCAGTTGATGACCCTTCGCAATAGCAGCGTCGGTGTAAGGTTTAGCTTTCTCCAGGTAAGGCTTGGAAGCCTCTTGGACCTGGTTAAGGAGCTGATCAAAAATCATCAGCACCTTGCATCATGTAGAGTCAAGCTTGAATCAATCCTCCGCGACGCCGTCGCCGTCGCCGTCGTCGTCTGAAACTCGCCCGCGCCTCATCATCACCGCCCCTTTACTCCAGCCACGCACTCACCGGCATGACGGTCTCTCTCGCTCTGTCCAACATACCAGGTTCCTTGTGGGCTATGCTGTCCAGGACATGGGCTGGTGGTTGAGTGATAGACTCGGCGGGTGCCACTGGCTTGGGGATCTCGCTGTCAGACATGCTGGTTCTGATGTGACGGGGTAATTGAGCAATGTTGGGGATGGATAAATGGGTTTTATCTGGGCGGAGCCGAAAAAGATGGGAGAGCTTGTAAAAGAAATGATGTCACCGTTGGGGGAAAAATTGCTAATGAGCAGATCCATCCATTAGCGTCTCTCACCAGGCACATTAGGATTCGATTCCTCACCCCGTGTGTGTTTCCCCCGGTCGTGGCGGAGAGACTTCACAGTTGCTATGGCACCTCGATTGGACGCATCAGGTGCATGGCCTCAACAGACCTACCAGCCTTCGGGGCGCAGATGGATACTTGACTGCCTCACTGTCTTAAGCAACCTCGGTCGAGATTTCAGCTCCTACTGATCCCTTGAAATCTCACGCCTCCCCCCCTCCCCCCCTCCCCCCTCCCCCCGGTGACCGAGGTGAGGCTCGGAGGGGCAGGCTCGGAGGGGCACTGTATAAGAGCAGTACTGTTCCAGTCCATTTGCGTAGCGTATAGGTAGCCTCTTCCGCGGGCTATAGGCGGGCATGATTGACAAGCTGTCACCTCGCGATTCGAGCTAGAGGCCGGACATCGGTCTGGATGGATGGGCGAGGAGAGTGGAGGGAAAAAGGGCACCTGTTTCGCTAAGAAAGACGGACAGATACCCTCCACCAAGAGTATATATACTGAGAGGGGCACAGAGAGAGACTAGTCATCTCGCTCTCTCTCTCTGTCTCTCTTTCTCTACTTCCTCTTCCTCTGACTGATCGAATTTTCCTACTGTCCCTATCGTTTCTACCAACTTTCCCCCCTCACTCATCGGAAATCAACCCTGTCACTACACCATGCACGTCTTCATCACGGGCGGATCAGGACACATTGGTTCTCGAGTCATTCCTCTACTGATTGCTCACGGACACACCGTCACTGCGCTCGCTCGCTCAGAATCCTCCGCGAAGAAACTCGAATCTCTAGGCGCCGAACCGATTCACGGCGAACTGAGTGATGTGGCACTTCTCGAAGATCAGGCCAGATCTGTCGATGCCGTTCTCCACCTAGCCTTCCACCACGAGCTCCTGCAAGGTCCCAACGCGGACTTTACGGCCCCTGGCAAGAAAGACCGAGCGGCTCTCGAAGCGTTCGCAAGGGGATTAGGAGGTAAAGGATCTGAGAAAATCATCATTACAACCTCTGGAGTTCACTTTCGAACGCCAGGAAGACAAGTCACAGAAGACGATGTCGAGCCTTTGGCCTTTCGACCTGATCACGTTCAATTCCTCAGAGACCAAGGGATGACTGCCTTCGCCGTCCGAATGTCACCTATCACTCATGCGGATGGTACTGGAGGGTTTTTACCCATGTACGTGGATGCGGTCAAGAAACTAGGTTACGCACCGTTCATCGAAGATGGTCAATCTCGATTCGCAGCCTGTCACGCGGATGACGCAGCAGACATCTATGTCAAGGTGTTGGAAAACGCTGCCAAGCTCGACAACCTTTTCTATCACGCAGTTGGCGAAGAGGCAGTCACGAATAAGGAGTTCGCCGAAACCACAGCGAAGAAACTCGGTCTCGAGACCAAATCGATCTCTCAGGAGGAAGCGGGCCGACTGTTGGGATTCACAGCGCACATGTTTGGTGCAGACTGCCCAGCTTCGAGCAAGATCACTCAGAGGGAATTGGCCTGGAAGCCAACTGGACAGACCCTGGCAGAGAACATTGCACAGCACGTAGAGTAAAGCAGTCGTCGTTCGTTCAAAACTTTCAAATACATGCATCGTGATCATGTTACAAGATAGAATGACAAACGATTGATATCCATGTTTGCGTCGGGGCAGAGTATCTGCCCTTTTTTCGATGTATTTCTTTCGACTTAGTAGTGGGAGTAGTCGATGTCATCTCTCGGGACCATTGAACGAATCGAGCGTGGCGCGAACGGCAATAGCGTGAGGATGGTCTCCGCCTGTTGTCCATAAGACAGGGGATCGGTTGAAGCCATTGAAGGTACTGGCGGCGCAGAGGGTATATGCTCCCATCTCAGACCAAGCGATCCAATCGCCAACTTGGAGACCCTTAGGCAATTGGACAAGCTGCCTGACACAATCGATCGAATCGCAAGTGGGTCCCCAAACACTGGCCGCTTCAGTGTCTTTGTAGCCCAACTGAACGGGCAGATCAACGGGCAGATGGATGTTAGGTGGAGGAGGGAAGGAGGGTGAACACTTGGTAATCTCATGAGAGATGGTGAGTGGGTGTGGGTGGACGATTTGATGATCGAACATGATGCAGTTGAACGAGCCGTAAACTCCATCGTTGATGTAATCTGGACGAGACGTCAGATGATATCAAGACCACCAAAAGTCAGCACTTACACATCACGTCTGCCCCTTCGTGGTCATCCTTCGGAGTAGCCTCACCGGAAGGCAGGGCCAGCCGACGAGCGATGATGTTCGTGGCGAGAGTGAAAGCTGCTCTCAGTCAGCGATGCACAGCGCATTCAACCGTGCGACCGTCTCACCACTCGATACAAGCAATCTGCCTGGTTCCGCAATGACCCTGACTCCGCTGTGTTTGGGGAAATAGACGTCCAAACTGTCACTGACAACTTGGCTCATCTCTGCAAAGGTCTCTCGCTCAAACCCGCCTCCCACATCGAGGAATTTGAAATCGTATCCAACAGCCTTTCCCATGTCAAAGACCTTTTTGGCTCTCCAAATGGCATCCGCGAATTGGTTGGGATCTTTGCACCCGCTTCCAACATGGAACGAGACGCCGATGACGTTGAGTCCAAGCTGAACAGCGAGAGCCAGTAGACCAGGACAGGTGTCGAGTGGTGCTCCAAATTTGAGGCCCAATCGGCAGAGCGACTTGGAATCGTCTGTCAGGATCCGAAGCACAAGCTTGGCATCGGGGAAAGACCGTTTGACCTTGTACAGCTCGTCGGCATTATCGAACGTCATCATATGAACCCCAGAGTCTGCTGCTGATCGAATGAATGAAGCGGGCTTGCATGGATTCGCAAAGATGATCCTGTCGGGCGACGGAGCTGTGGGCAGTGACAAGACTTGATTGATCTCGGCTGTCGAGGCACAGTCGAATGACGTGCCGAGCAGGGAGAGGAGGTGAAGGACTGGAGGCGATGGATTACATTTCACAGCGTAAAAGATTTCCACGCGTTCGCCAATGGCGGACTGTCTCCACATCTGCACCGCTTGATAGATCGCAGATAAGTCACAGGCGAAAAAGGCAGACTCATCGCCTGATCCTGACAAATCACCAATATTTCGTTCTTGAACCACTTGTCGGAGGAGATCGTGAACGGGCGTATCAACCACGTTGACAAATGCAGGCGAGTCCTTGTCAATCACCCTGATCGGCGATGTGGCCGGAGGTGTTGGAAGGTTGTGAGCTGGAACATACGGGATGGCAGCATGAGGATCCAAAACGTGGATCAGGTTATTTGCACCGCTTATATTAGAGGCGGGAACATGTTGAGGAATCGTGTTCGACCACTTGGTAGATGGTCGAACCTCGTTGAAGGATTGGGTAAGAGTAGCAGTCATCGATAAAAAGACGAGAGGAAGGAGAATAGATGATTCTTCTCGCGAGATCGACCGTCGTCTCAAGGGATATCTGAACCACCTATTTGGAGAATGATCGAGTCAGCTCCAATTGACCTCTGTCGCCTGACCACCTCTCGAGGACAGACTCACAGTCAGGGCACAACGTGGGGGATCACACGTTGAGTCGCTTGAGAGGGGAGACGACGGCGTCGACAAGGCGTCTTTGACGCTTGTAAAAGGAAAGGAAGAGAGGTGAATGGGATGGGATGAGATGAGAAGAAAGAAACAAAGAGGAGAGGAGATGAAAAAAGGCGGAGTAGTCCATGACGCCTGTCTTCGTCTCGTGGCCACTCCAATTTTCACCTGCGGTGACCTTTTTTTTTTCGGTGTTTTGGCAGTATCGAATGTGGCGAAGCCGAGGGGGGGATGTGGCAGAAACAGGAGCGCTGACTCTTGGAATGAATAAATTTATGTGCACTTGATACATGTAGTCATCACACTCAAGGCGGTGTGGAGATGGGATCGGGGCGAAAAGATCTATGTCTCCCTTGTCATCAACGGGACATTCGTGGTTAGCTTGCAGAGTCTAAAGATTTACAAGCGTCTCCACAGCCCGGCCCGAGAATCACTAAATCGTCGGTGACGTCCTGTCCGAACCCTCATCGCTCACAGTTGGAATGCTTGGCGTCTGCTGCTCCTTATCTAGGCTCCATTGATCTCGTGCAAATCGCATGCTCCTATATACGTATGTCCATCCCTTGGAAGCGTTGATCCTCGAGACATCTCTTGGCTCTCAACGAGCTATCGGCGGATGTAGCCTGTAAGGCTCACTATGAACTCAAACGTTGACTCCTGCGAGCCTTTTCGGAGGGATAAATTACTGATGCCTGATTGCGACGTCGAGACCTGTTCTGGACACACAGAACACAGGGAACGGTGCGTGCTAGGTATTTGCCTCGCCTGTCTCGCGTTCACCAGGCATGCACATACATACACAACGTCAGCTCTACCCAGTGTTGATCCTGAATCTCCTGACCTCTCCTAGAGCCACAGAATGTCCACTCCATCCGTCTATCGTTACCTCCTGGGCTCGTGATTATTGGCTTGTGGGATTGTATTATCAGCATTCATGCGCTGCATGGCAAGCCGAACGAGGATCTCGACTCGTTTTCCGGATGTAGGACTGACTGCTCGAGCTTGTATCATTTGGACTATCCGATATGCGGACTGATGGGCGTGCCTTACAATGCCCTGAGAGCAGCGCTAACAACACCTCGAGTGATGAAAGACCGACACAATATCCTGTAAACTGGAGGAGGAAGGCCTGGAATTGATTGTGGCACTTTTGATTCACAGCCTGTACGTAGTGCGACGCCCCTCGACTGCCCAATGAGCATGGGCTGTGAATATCATGACATGCATGAGCATCGCGCATACTCTTCCTGCCAATACGTGTCAACGCAGCAGCTTCAAAAGCCTGGATATCCTCCTAGTCTTGCATGCGTCCCATCTCCAAATCTCGCCTTTTGGATCTGTTCCAGAATCGCGACCATGCAGCGTGGACCCCCGAACCGACCTTGCAAAGCATCTCCTTAGCCTTGTTCATGGCGAACTGGGAGATCTCTCGGTAGTTCACTTCTTGCCCCCTGGCTCCACGATCAACACTTTCGGGAGTGATGCTCCCTTCAGGAAGGTAGACGGTAACGGTATTATGGATATTGGTGATATCGGCAATCGTACGAAGAGAGTCAAACGTCACAATGGTGTCCAAGGATCGAGACATAGGATCGTAGGCAGAGTCACTCGAGTCGTCACTGTAGGGAACGCGGGTCTTGACTTCGTCGAAACGCCCGTGTGCATCTACCGCTTGTTCGTTGAACAAGAGGTCCAGTCTCTCGAGAATGGACAGTGGTCGGGGAGCGTTGGCTGCGCCAAGGCTGACTGGCAACTCTTCCTCGACCGGAAGGTTATTCGCCTCATCTGGATTCCGTCGTCCCTCCTGAGCTGGATCTGGCTCATTTGAAACCCAGACATAATCTTCCAATCGGAAAGGAAGTGTGAAAGGGAGTGGTCCGCCATATCGGATCGCAGGAACGTCATTGTCCTCGGTGGGGACTGAGGCCTCATGATGAGGATCCGAAGATGTCGCGGGAGGTATGAGCCAGAGGTCCGCTTCTTCTTCTTCTTCGGTGGAATCCCAGTCATAAATGTCCCCCAAAGTGAAGGGAGGGATATCTCCAGCAGTTTTATACACCTAAGCGTAGGGTCAGACTTGTCTCGATATCGTACATATACTGCCTCGAGGGCCGCCTACCTTTTCGATGGACTTCCAGGCGGATTCTTTATCGATCCCTTTAGTGAATGCCAATCCCATCAAGAATGCCAAACGGAGCTGACGATCGTCTTCTGCCTGAAGGGCTGGCGTATGATCGTGTTTTTGCAGCTCTGGCTCGACCGGGCATCCCCAAACGAGGTCATAGGGCGTGATGGGCACACGCAGAGGATCGGGCATCTTGTCGAAAGAGAGGCGAGTTGCGAGCTTTTTGAGTGTCCTATTGTCGTACATATCGACAGATGGCTCTGCACATGATGTACTATCAGCGGCGCTCCCTTAGTGTACACTCGGAGCAATTATTCCTGGGAGAACGTCACTCACGGGTACGGGGACCAAAAGCAGTCATCGATTGTGGAAAGAGCTCTTGGCGGGCAGGCGTGGAGTAGGCGGTCATCCTGATTCGATTGAGCACGTAAAGATGAAGTCGAGAACTAGGCCTTTAGAAGATTCTGGTAAACGGATGAAGGGCGCAACTTCTGGCTGAGAAAGAAAGTACTGTACATGGACGAGATAGAGCGAGTGAGTTTCATATTCTTAAGCACCTCGACTGCCACTTTGCTTTGTATGACGATGCAAGTCACGAGACATTATTGCTCTCCTATCCCATTCATACACCGCCTGGAGTTGATCTCGGTTCCAGTTTGAGTTTTCTGAAGTAAACAACGGCACATGACCTGTGAGTTGTGGAAGAGACATTCACTGGACCGTCGCACGCTTCGCTCGTTGAGCTTGATCTCTGGGATGTAGTGAGGGCATCCGGGGGAGAGGACTTGAGCAGACCGTTGGCCATAACAGAGCGAACGTCACGCTAGATAATGGTCGCTGACCTTTAGATCAAAGTTGGTCTGATGCATCAGTATTGCCCTAATTGCGAGGTTGATTCATCCGAAAACTTTTCGCCCTTTCGGCTTGCCTTTTTTCGCCCGAACAACTTCGGCATCTTTGGCATGGAAGAACCCTTCGTAGCGTCGCCCCGAGCAATGGGAAAAATGTGAGAACAATGGTGATCGCTTGGCGTTTGGCTTGCAAGTACAAGATCTCACATGCTCCTAACGATGAATCGCGTTCTGCCCTTGCCACTCCGCAGACGGAGATCGAAATCAAGCTGAACAGTTGACATGTGATGAGACATTGAAAACATTTTTCAGTTTCTCTTTTCTTTTGAGAATTCTGGTGTTTCAGATACTGCGTGACGCGGAAGAAGGGATTCCGATGATGTGGAGGAAAACGATTTGACATGCAATTTTACAGGCCACAGGAGAGGCTATCTCGGCCACCCCGACTCTAGCGTCCCCAGGTGAAGCTTTGAATAACCGGCGACAAGAGTGACTGGTACTGTAGCAAAGAAAGAGGCGGTGGAGAAAATCAGACCGGAGTTGAAGCAAAGCCCTTGGGCCACCAATTTAGTACAATTAGCGGGCAGAATGCGACATAATGTACCAGACGATGCTCGTAACGCATCAGTCACCAGTAATTGTTGACAATTCCATAGAGATTCATGCATGACGCCCTCTTCCTCTGATCTTCCTAGCGGTCGGTGCTCGAAGCATCCAGGCGTATTTGCCACCTGCAGCAGAGTTGATCCGTTGATGTGGATCCGGAGAGTCCAAGTCATTGACGATGTGTGTCGTAGGCCTTGTTTTGTGCTTCTGGGGTGACAATGACACATCGGTATCGATGAAAGGCGATTGGTCCGTTGTACTTTGGGACCGGGACAACATCGGAGGAGTTTGTACATTGTCCAGCTCGCCTCCAGCGTTGAAACGGGTATTTGACTTGTCTCCGTTTTTTACGCCGACTTCATCATGGGTGTCCGATGACAAGGTCCGAAGGCTTTCCTCCTCGGATGAGGTTTGCGGAGGCGACAACATCCACAAACAACTGTCAGGTACGAGGTAGAGAGCCTCCTCTGGACAAGGTCGAGGGGTTCGAGGCCGTGTCATGCCCTTCCTCAGACCCTCAAGCCATGACTCGATACGATCCTGGACTGGCAACCAAGGTACAAAGATCGTTACCAGAGGCACTGAGTCTGATCCCTCCGAGGCACCGTACGAGGATGTGTAGCTTGCCACGCTTTGTCCCATGCCCTCGAGCTCCTAAAATGCAGTTGTGAGCGATGGTTTTGGAAAGTCGCCTCTTTGAGCTTTCTCACCTCAGACCCTCCCATCGTCGCTCTCATCTTTATCAAGCCACATTCGAATCGACTTCTCAGTCGATTCTCATCCTGCTCATGGATCTGACGAGGCCTGTAAGGCTCGACCATTCCCTCCCGCGGCAATCCCCACACCTTCTCATAAACCGTATTTCGGGATTCCGCCACCACGATATAGCCAGAAGTCGGGCCGGTTCTTTGTGGTCGGGCTTCAACGGACATATGGGAGGATTGATGAAATGTGCTTTGTGGGACAAGTGAAGTTGAACGATAGTTGATGGACGAGGTGGGGTGTCAAATTGGAAGCTCAAGAGCTGATTTGTAGACAGAGAACAGACGAGGAAAAGTTCAGGCAGACACACTTTCCCCAGTCCCTTCCAGTCACGAGATCTTAGTACTGTATGTATCGAGAACCGACTCTTTTCTCCACAAGGATGTTTGAGATTCCATTCACTACGGCCAAAAAGAAAAATACCTTGATTAGCCCAGTACCCGTATCCTGGCACCGCAATCTCAATGGGACTCTATCACCCGGTCTAGAAGAGGCCTCCTGACAAGGCAGTAAGCCTGCAGTGATGAAGTGGTCTCACCTACCCGTTTGGCAAACGGAAGCGATCTATTGACAAATGGTTGTACTTACAAAAACTATATCCAGGACATCTGTCTCGTCTTGTATCTCAACTTCAACTCTCATCGCGACGCATATCAACTTGTCGCGCAGAATTGATTGGAACGAACCCCGAATCAAGTATCGAATCACCCTTTTCGCTTATCAAGGCATGTCTACCTCCAGCGATTCTTGCATCTCCGAGCAGACTAGCTCCTGGGGACAGCCGGAAGAGTACCCTACACCGGCGACCCAATCCTTCATCCTCCCCGAAAGCCCAAAAGAAGCCTGTTGGAAAATCGTGAACTACAATGAGGCCACCGCGAAACACTTTACGACGGGCTTCTGTGGACGAAATAACGTTAGCCCCCGAAACACGCCACCCGACCAATCTGAGGCCAGCTCACCGGTCTTGGCCTAACGCCGTCCTGAGATTCCTCATGCTTACACCTTGGCACTGGGAGACTTCGTGCGACCGCAAATCCCTCCTACTCCTACGCAGTCTTGGTATCAATTTATGGACCTTGATCCCGATTCAGGTTCATCGGACAATGGCCTTGAGGAGATCGAGAATTACATCCCTCACCACACGAAACGACTTATCTCGGAGGATGATATCCTCCAAATCAAAATTTCCGCGACGGCTTGTCAATTGGACACTTTGAGGGCGGAGAATCTGGAATACACGAAGGAACTTCTGGCCTGTAAAGTGCATCTTGCTGTGAGTGCGGACGCGTACTTTGCTTTGTGATTGTTCTGACCAGACTGGGCTGGACAGTTCTTGATGAGGAAACCCGGGCTCTTTTTCAACGAAGACCACATGAGAGCTTGCTACCAGGCGAGAATCGAGTGGTACGAAAAAAGTATCTTTGAGGTTCGGGAGATGATTGACGAACTGGAGGGCAAGCAAAAGACATTCAAGGCAGAGTTTGTGAGTGACTCTCAGTATCTTTGTTATTCAATTCCACGCTAATAGCTCCCTGACCGTTAGTTTGGGGTGTCGCAATACCTCTCGGGAACATCAGATGCGGATGAATCGGACCAGGAGCGCGATTTCATCGATCCAGGATACAACTCAGACGGAGAGGATCCTTTCGTCAAGGCTGTCATACAGAGGAGATCTGAGGACGCTGAAGCGCCTGTGATCAAGAAATGGCAATCCGTGAGGATCGATTGAATAGATTGATCACCGACATGCATGACGCCATGCTGCTGTTCCGCGAAGTTGATTGATTGCTCGAATAGGTACCACATACACGTCACCGGATTGCCACTCAATTGTTGCTTTCCCGCCCCGAGTTGAGTTTTCCCATTGATACATAAAAAAACCAATCATGTGACAGTGCTCTACCGCTCACATGTGAACAATGTTCGAGATCAGATTACGGCATTATACAAACGTATGCGAGAAGGCTACCTAGGCTTATACCAGTAGTGCAAGTCTTATGCTCATCATCAACGCAGCTGCTCGGTGCAGTACGTAGGGGTTCTTTCTCGATTCTCCAAGCCTTCCGTGCGCGACCAAACTTCAATAGCTTCGTTGCGGGGTACGATGTAATCTGATGGGCATTCTGAAGCTGGAATCTGACAGGTGCTCCAGCCTAGAACACGTGTTGAAGGGGTTGACACAGAATGCAGCTTGAGCGGAGATGAGGGAGAAAAAGGGGGAAAAAGAGAGGAAACCCGGAGATTGTCAATTGCTCTTGGCGTCCAGGAACCAGAATTTTGTGCAATAATCGCTGGAACCGCTTTTCAATCTCCGCTCAATGGGATGAAAGTGCTCTTCAGCCATCCTGATCAGTCCAGTTCTTCAGATATACCTTTTTCGTAACTGTTTTGGGGCTCACTAGGTCAATATGGACAGCGTAGATTTTCCGTGTCCAATAGTGACAGGTCCCATGACTTGTAATGAATGGAACTCACCCTATGCAACCAAGAATACATATACTGTACAAATCTGTCCGCCTTCCTCTACCTCCTTGCACACCCTATCGCTTCTGCCAGTTGAGAACGATCACTATCTCTCTTCAGCCAACTGTCGACGCATAGCCTTCAAACCTCAACGACAATCTTCTGCTTTCATCTAGAGAATGACGGTGAGTAGTCCATATCGCAGTCGCCACAATGAACACGACTGACTTTGATTCTGCTCGTAGATCTATTCTCCTGCCCTCTCCAATGACCACGACGAGCAAATCTCGCTAGACCGAGAAATGGTCAAAACTTCTCGTGGCGGAGTGAAGAGGAAGGCCACCTGCATGTGCTCTGCGGCAGAGGACGCCGATCGACCTGCAAAGAGATTCGCTCTGGATAGGGGAGGATTTTACCCGTCTCCAGAGAGTTCGACTTCGTCCCCGAGTTCGTCCTCCAGTTCCCCGGTTCTCCCATCCACACCTTTTGCTTCGGATCAAAGTCTCGACTCCAAGGCTGTCCACAGCACTCGTTCTCCTAACGACTTGGCCGCAGCGGAATCATTGGTGTCCATGTCAGAGATTGACACACTCTTCGATCAATACCCTACCCGCCGCTCAGTCACCGATGCTCAGCGAAAATTGATCTGGCAGGGAGTCTATCTCAATCAAAAAGCATCTCTGCGACAACAAGGAAGATACTACGGGAGAAAAGGTGCCCTGCTTCAAAAGGATCTCGACACGTACAAGGTGGGTCCTGCCCTATCCGCGCCACCAAGCGTCATGTATTTTCCGCGTCACTAACCATATGTGTCTCTGCCCCTTAGAACGTGGTGCCTCGTTCGGACCGAGATCCCGAGATCTCGAAAGTCTACAGAGAGATGGAATGTGTGATCCTCCATAATACCAGTAGAGTGCACACAACCATCAGGAAGTTGGACGAGACGTTACGCAACAGTCTCAACGAAAGTGTAAGTGCTTTTTGAAATTTCAGTCCGCGTCCGGCTGATCTTCCCCAGTCTCAAGCCTCAAAGAGGAGGACTAAAGTAACGTTCTACCTTGGCCCAGAGCGGAGAAACTCCCTGGAAGTCGATCCAAGACTCGAGACGCTTGCTGGATGGAAGGAGAAGGTGATGGTCCCCATCGTGAATGCGACGCAAAATTGAAACCCGTGCCTGATTTTTGGCACTCATTCAATGAGAATACAGGATTGTGGCATAGATAGGGATCACTGGGTCAAGACAAGCAGGGCACGCACTGGGGAGATGACTTCTAGGATGAGAAATGGACTATGGCTGGTCTTCGAGGAACGATTTGTAATGAGTAGTCTAAGCCTGTATCGCTTACGTTGAAATGCCAAGGATCCAGAACCCAATGTATCCATACCTTTGCTCTCAAGACATGATAGATGCTCATCCACAATCATCAGATGTAAAAAGTGATATGTGATAAAGATACTAACCGGCGCCTTCTCCCTTCTCGTCTCATTCGTGTCTATGAAATGTGCTGTTGAGGCGTGTATTCGTTCGTTCTGGTCTAATGTAATGTCAGCCACTGATGAACAGCGTAATGCCGGCTTGGGAGGGAAACACTTACTAGACCTGACCATCATTCTCGAGGGTCTGAATCGCAGCGTGAGTCTTCAGTAACAATGCTCCTTCCAGCGAATATTTTCCCTTTGTTTTCTTCTCGTACAAATTTGGTTCGGCCAGTTTATCTGCGCGCGTCGTGAGCCCTAGATGTCGTCGACCAGGCTCACTGTTCATCACGGCGTCAAAGTTCTTCCTCGCATTGACTTTGTCTCCCCGGCGGGCATACAGACGTCCAAGTTCATAGTGGCAATGGTAGAGGATATAGTGGTCCAGCTGAGAAGAGCAATTAACGAGTCGCCAGCGGTCAAGAAGAAATGGACCTACCCTGACTTCTGGACCATTCTTCAGACACTCCTGCAAGTCCCTTTCGGCACCCCGATCCAGCTCTTCGTCCGAAGGGTCTCCAGGCTGAGCCTCTCGGGCCTCTTCGGAAGCTTGTGAAGGCTTCGAAGGGTCAGCATGAAGACGCAGCGGGGCGGGACCTCACCTGATACCTAGCGAAGAGCTGCACACAACCTCGCAAGAAGTGACCTAGGCAGTAATCTGCGCGCATCAGTCGCCTTGTAGTTGGTCGGAGGGCGAAGAGTACGCACCGTCCCAATACTGCTCGCCGTTTCCATACTTTTCCGGGGCGGCATCTTTCAAATTTGATAGGTGCTTGTCAATTCTCGGCAGGTGTTTCGATAGCAAGAGACTTCGAGGACACATGGAGATACCCCCATAGACATATAAGAGTTCCGTGGCTGGCAGGAACAGATGGCGGTTTTGAGATTCGAATTTGCGCACCTTGCGATTAGCAAGTTTCTAAAGTATCGATGATTCAGCACAGTCACAGGAGCATACAAGCCCAGACCCCGCGGATGGCTCACCTCAATCGGTAGAGATTTGCCAGCAAGCTTCTTGGTGAGATGCGGTACCTGCTTGAATAGCTTTTCCGCCTCGTCAACGGACGCATTCTCGAAACCATCTTCCGCGAGTTCCAACAAGCAAGCGGCCGCCGAGCTGAAAGACGGACGATCTGTCAGCGAGATCTGAAGGACACGAAAGTCAGCGCGACTGCGCTCTCACAATGTATAGACTGCTCTGGACCAATTTGACTCATCCTTCAGGATAGCATAGCAGTCCAAGGCGCCTTTGAAATTACACATCATCATAAAGTTGAGAGCGTAATCCCACTACGAGCTGTCAGCTGGAAGCCGGTCGGCTAGCGATCGACTGACCAGGCACATGTGTTGAAGCTGGATATACTCCAGAGGCAGGTCCAAAGCCCGTTGAAGGTTTCGATTGGCTAGCTCTGGCTCGCATTGAGCGGTGTGCAGCCGAGCCTGGAAGTACAGGAAGAAAATACCATCAGGGTACCTGAAACGCTATCAGAGGGAATATTTAAAGGACTGAGTGTTCACTGACCGCCTTGTATTGTACGCCAAGATATTCCGAGCCAGCGGAACATCGGTCTGTACGGGGCTACAAATGATTCATGTCAGTCCTAAATCAAGTCGCCGGAAAAGCCACTCACATTAAAGTGGAAATAACGAGATGGAAAGCAAGCAATATCATGTCACAGACGGGTCTCCTGAGACCTTCGTTCTTTTCGTCGTATGCTGGCTTGTCCGCGTCTTTTGACCATCCTCCGGCTGACATCAATGTCTTCAGAGCGACTTTTTGGTCCCCCGCATAGCCGAAGACTTCAGCGATCTTGTGGGAGTCAGCTCAAGAGATAAGCAAGACGTGAGCGATATTTACCTTCAAGACCTTTCCAGGGAGCAGACTGAGCATGAGAGAGCTGGTACCGGTGCCAAGGAGCACTCCCTGGACATGTATCAGGGTTGCTGTCCGTTCGCATGGGACTTACCGATCGGAAATCCATATCAATATCCTCGTCGAATCCGTTCTTATCAGATTCCTCCAAAAACATCTGTAAGTTCCGGTAGATCCCATGCGCTGTCCGCATGTTGAGCCTGTCAATCAGGTGTCAATATCACCACGCAGAGAAGAAATTGTAGCGACTGACGCTTCCCTGACCAGTCCGAGCCAATCGCCTCCCGCGACGATGGCCAACATCGCCTTCAATAATGACGTTTCCGCGTACACCAATTCGGCATGAAGTTGCAAAGGAGTCATCTCTTTTATCCGCTGCAATCCTGCGCCTGATCGCACGAGTCCGCCAATTCGAGAAACGAGGGAGTCAGAAGGACGACGTAGGGTTGAGGCGACTGTCGATGTGGTCTTGCAAAGCTCCAGCGCATTGGCAAGGTCATTGGAGTCGAAAGTCATCATACCCTGGAAAGTGAGAATCAGCGTGTGACCCTGCCCTGGAACGAGCGTGGAATGAGCATGTACATACCTTCAAGCCGTTGATGATGCCATGAGCTGACATGAGGTACAGATGACTTCCTTCTGGATCCTTGTCAAAACACATCTCCTCCGCCTCCTTCATATGAGAAGTTAAAAACAAAGTCAAGACTTCTCTACATATATCCAGGTCCTTGGCCAGCTCTTTGTCTTGCGAAAAGCTCGTGATATCGCTGAGTTTGGTTGAAGCTCTCTTCCGGACCCTGGTCTCTGGATTGACAGCTTTAAATCTCCGTATGGTCGATCTGCCCGTTCCAGCAACATCGCTTGAAGATGCCACAGCTCCTTTCGTGACGTTTGTCTTGTCAAGCGTTGGATCCACACGTTCTGGCACCTCTTCATCCTCTTCTTCTACCTCGCTCAGACCATCAGGTGGCGTCGCAAATGCCTCATTGTCATCATCCTCATCAGATGACGATTCTTCGGCTGCGCCTGCCAATTCCCACTGTGACCACATGGACGGTGTCCTCTTTCTCTCAGGTCGAGGTTCCCTTCTCGTATTGACAGCGCTGTCGTCGTGCTCTGACAGAGGCGATTGCACGATACCGGATGACGGTGATTCAGGTATCAATTGACCATGTTCGTCCACTTTGTCACTTCCTAGCCTGAGCTTTTCTAACCCATTGGCAAGCTGATCAGGGGGTGCTGCGCCCTTGCCATTGAGGTTGGAAAATTTGCGAGTCGTCGATGACGGTCCGACGATATCTCTCGTTGGTGTCGTTGTGCCTGAAGCAGTAGGAGATGAGATTTGAGAAGGAGTTCTAGAAGATTTATCGGGTGAAGTGTGGGTGATGAGAGAGGATGACGAGAACAAGGATGAAAGACGCCTCCTCCCGCCCCTACGAGTGAAGCATCGAATCAGTGACCGTCCTCTAGTTTGTGGATACTTGAACCCCCGACTCACTTCAAAGACATCTTCCGCTTCGACTTGGTCGTATCTGCATCATTCGCAACACTGTTCGCTTCTGATACAGCTCTGGATCTTGGAGGCTTGTCTCCCCTCACGCTTGGACTCCGAGGAGACAGCACATTATCGTTGGAGCCCGCGTCATTCCCATCCTTCTTCTTTCTACTAAGTGATACTCGTCGAAATACCGACGACATGACGGGACAGATGGAAATGGTTTGAAGAAAGGAGGAAGGGATATGGGATGACCTAAGGGGATTGTTATTTTCGTCGGCTCGGCTAGTGCTAGGTTTCCCCAAGGAATGCCTCGCTCTCGTCACGCCGGACAAGGGATCCTTAGTCCAGAGGGTGCCCTTTGGTTCCCTACTGAGCTCGACTATACTCCTCGTTTGCAATGTCAACGGATTGAGTCTCAATGAAATGATGGACTCGCCAAGCGGTGACTCATAACACGGGATCCCAATCTCTCACGAGGCGAAAATAAAAATGCTCTGATTGAGCCCGGCGGCCCGGCGGCCGAAGCTTGGACTGAGCAGGACACGTGACGATGCCAACAGGGTTGATCAGCTGCAGGTCGAACAGGCAAGCAAATGCTTCGCTCGAGGGGCGCTCCATCTGTAGGTATGATACATGATGTAAAGTTAAGATATCCCAAAATCGACCGACCCGGTCAAACCTCCTGCATCGAAGGCTGTGTCTTGTTATCCGACACCTTGCTCAAAGGTTGCAGGTCCAGGGCCTCTGAACCCTTCTCTTCGTCGTCAGGGTTGTCCACTACAGGGGAAGGCTCCTGTCCCTCCTTGACCCCCTTGTCACCCTTCATATGACTTTTGCCGATCGTACCCATGCCTCTCAACGCTACGACCGCGATACCCAGAGCGGCAAAGCTCATTCCTGCGCCTAACCAGAATGCGGCGTGTAGTCCATGCACAAACGCGACATTGGAGGATTTGCCCTGTGCAAGAGATTTTGACTGATATACCGAGGCAACGACAGATGTAAGGGCGAGTCCGAAAGCACCTCCGAGTTGGACGAGTGTCTGGAACAGACCTGAGAGGGAATGAGCTCGCCTCACATTGATGGTATACCAAACTCACCTCCCGCTAGAGATTGCTCTTCAGGCAATGCGAGTCGAGATACAAATAGTTGGCCTGTTGCCATGAGACTACGCTCATTGGTAGCACTGCCCATTGCATGAGGGGGTAGCCAGACTCACAAGTCTGCTCCAACGACTGTCGACCACATAGCATTGAATGGGTCTGTAAAGGTCGTTAGCTGATTGGAGTTTAAAACGCCAAAAAAGCGATACGTACGACCCCAGTATGAGCCATCCACCGGCGCAGTGGCAAACAAGACATTAGATACCCTACCTCGGCTTCAGTCCATGTTCATGCCAAGAAGGCGCCTCACTCACCCTGTCAACAGGATGCCGACGCAAACCAAGAGCTGGGTAGGCACTCGGGCGATCACAATACCCACAAAGGCATTACACAAGATACCCATTATAGGCATGGGTAAGAACCGGACCAGGGCTTGTAATGGGCTCAGCTCTTGAGCCTGCTGGTAGAACAATGTGGCGTGGAAAGATAGGGCCTGTCCGGGCAAGTGAGCGCACGCCTGGCAATGGATGATGAGACCGCTCACGGTGAAACCCATCCATGACACACAGCCGATCATGTAGACAGCTGCAAGTCGACCATTCGCTCGGGTCCACAATTGAAGTCGCATCAAAGGCGGACGAGTAGACTTTGATGTGATATACTTCTCCCAGAAGAAGAAAGCAACGAGCATGAAAATGGATATGACAAGCAAGGCGATGATGTCTGCAGGTGAGTGAGTACGACTGTACGACCGTCGAGGGCAGCTAAAAACTCACAAGGCGTCTTCCATCCTAGCGGAGCACCCTCGCCGTCGGAGATGACAAACTGCAACAGGATCAACCCGACGGTGACGAGTGCCGCCCCGACCCAATCTAATCGTTTATCCGTAGTAGTGATGACATCGGTTGGGAATGTAAAGAGACCAAGAGTGAATACGACGAATGCGATCCCGGCTGTGACCCAAAGAACGGCTCGCCATGTGGTGCTAGGTGATCGTTAGTGAATGTATTCAGTGAAAAGCATGCAGAACGGCTAAAACGGCTATGACGCAACACTCACGAAGCATAAGTCACGAGGAGTCCACCCAGTGTCATGCCCAGGCCAGCTCCTACGGGTGCGCCAGCAGCAAAAGTAGCAAATGCAGTAGCTCTAGCCCGCCCTTCGAAATTCGAGGCGATGATTCCGACAGCAGCGGGAATACTGTAATGGATCAGATTCTGAGAACGTTTCATGAGGCACACGATTCACCTCATGGCTGATCCAGATCCGGCGAGAGCTCGAGTTACTACCAGCCCCGCTCCATCCTTCATCCATCCTCCAACTAGTGTCCATAGCGTGTACCATCCAATACCAACCAGGAAAACGAGTTTCCGGCCGTGAATATCTGCCATGCGTCCGGCCAGCAACAGGAAGCAACCATCTAGATTAAGAAAAAGTTCGTCAGTTGGAAGCCAATGGACAACGGACAATCACTACTCACTGGTTAGAGAGAATGCCGAGATTACCCATTGTAAATCCCCGTCCGTCATACCTAGATCCCTCTGAATGGTAGGTAACGCAATATTCAAAGCGACACTCCCACCCGCTGAGAGAAACACAGCAGATGTAGCCGCTGCAGCGATGACTATCCGTCTCGTTGTGGACAGCTTGGGTGCAACGTCGCCCAACGGTGGTTCTCCAATCGGTACAACGGTACTCCTGTCGGTCACATCCGACTGTCCATCATGCGGTTGGTGGTGCAAAGTGGACGGCGCATGCCCTGACTTGTATTCTAATCCATCCACATCTTCAGCCGTGGTCGCCAATGGCTCTATAGATCTAGGAGGGATGAAGGACTCTTCAGCTGCTAACAGCTCGACAAGTGGCAGTGGTTCCGAGCGGATCGAGTCGGCCGGCGCGCTCATGGGTATTTTATCGTTAGGTGAGCGTTTGCTTTGGGTCTCGTTGAGCGGAACGAGATTGAGCTGAACCGTTCAGACCGAAGCTGATTCTCCGACAGTCCAAGGGAGAAAAGCCTATGTACAATGAGTCGAATAGTGTTCAAGACAGGAAGCGTATCAACAGACAATCATGAATAAAAAAAGGTTCACCAACTAGTCGTTCATGAATTGTCCCGCACGTTTCCGGCGCATCTCTCTCGGCGCATCTGATAAAAGATCGGCCGAGAAAGCAAGATGACGTGGCATTAAATAAAGCGGGTGAATCACAGGACCCCGGTGATGGCATATCCTACCCCTTGCAACCTTGTATCGGTCTGCCGACTACAGTCAACATGTCCACCAATCAGAAGACATCAGCAGGGCACGATGCGAAGAGGCGCAAGTTTACACCTAGACCAGCTAGATCAGCGGAAGAGAGACTACCGACATTGTATCGCGGATTGACGGATCAGGTCAATGATGGGCATTTCCAAAACGCCATCAAGACGTGTCGAAAGAGTGGGTGGGAGAGTCCGTCTCAGACCGTCGTCAGCTTAAAAGACACTCTGCTGCAAATGCCTGCACAGTTCTTCCAGACCTACTTTCAGTATGGCGCTGACCTCGCTACAGTTCTCAGTCTTGATCCGAAATCTCAGGCTGCATTTCAGACACTGTTATTCTTGCACCTCCAGACGGACGACTATACCTCTGCATTGGACCTCGTCAATGCCACTTCGAAGGCTCAAGATGAATCAACTCTACAGTTTGAGAGGGCCTATTGCCTATACCGACTTCACAGGGAGAAAGAGGCCCTAAGTATGCTGGAGAAGGGGTCTAAGGGGAGGAAAGAGCTGCATCTCGAGGCGCAAATTGTGAGTGGTACATTGATTCTGCTGCGCCAGGCTCGCGAGAGCCATGAGGAACGAATGAGCAGGGTATCAGAGCAAAGTTTAGCTGATCTCGGCTGTAGAGGTACCGACTCGGGGAATACGACCAAGCTCAACATGTCTATGACGATTTGCTAGCGGGATGTGACTCGGTCAGCTGATCGTTTCGCACGCGAGCTCCTCGTGCTGAACCTTCACAGTCCTCTCCAGAGCACGATGATATCATGACGAATATCTCCGCCACAGCGGCTCACCGAGACTTTCACGATCACGCTTATCACTCTCAACTATCGGCGCCGCGTCCAGCTCATACTGCGGACAGCACGCTCCCAACTCATGTCCCTGCAGAAGGCGAGCTCGAGAGCTACGTTCCAAGTCTTCCGGCAGGCTGGGCAAAAGGAGGCTCTCAACCTTCGAAAGGCACGACAAGCACGTCTGTGCCAAAGAAGCAAGATGCGAAGAAGGAGCCAACGAAAAAGAGGACACACCGGTTACCCCAGGGGGCAGTGGAGGGCAAGCCATTCACCGAGGATGTGAGTGGTCTAGAATCCTTTCGAGGGGTAGAGCTGATACATATGTCTCTCTCTCCCCCCCTGTGTCTCCCCTTGTGTTCGACAACAACGGGTAATCTCTTGATGATGTTGATATGTGCCCCGGATCGCTTGCCACGTCGTGACCTCAACAGCCTGACCGATGGCTACCTATGCGCCAACGAGCTACATTCCTCGCGGCTCAGAGCAAGAAGAAGGGCAATATGACGAGTATGGGAACAGGTATAACCCAAGGGAGTAGTGCATCTGCAGGTGGCGGGGGTAGTGGTGGTGGTGGAGGTGGAAAGAAGAAGAAGGGGAAGAAATAAGGGCAAGGCATGCTTCTGTATCCTGGATCTGATCGAGAGTGAGGGAGGATTGTGCATCCCACATGCCGTACTGGCTAGCATGTTATAGGTCGGGCAGGACACCAGTCCGGCGTGACATGTAATGAATCCCCCGATTTTTCCCATTTTTGATCCCGGTGTCCTGTTGGAATCCTGGAAATTTTCTCGGAAATCCTCCAAGCGCGACTGATTTTTTGAGGGTTCAGAGTGGACTCGCCGAAAATTTTTGGGTCAATGGGCAATCCTGAATCTTGCTGCGATGTGTGAATCAATTGTCAGTAGACACACACACACACACGGCTCCAGATGCATGCATGGAACTTGAGCTTGCATGGATGATCCTCCATTGTCCATGCATCCCTCCTACTTGCATGCAATCGATCTCACACTACCCCGAACCCCCCTTTCTTCCACCCCGTTTGCACCCAGGTGATCCGTGCACGCTACCCGTCTCAGTGTCCGAACCCTGAGATTTGGAATTTGCCGCGATGGTAATAGTAATGATGATATGGTAATATATATAATAAAATGATTTGATTTCGCCATAAAAGGAATTAATTTTTGGGTGGCTACCATTACTTTGGGATTGGTGGACTGGATATTGCTAGACTGCTTTGACATTCGACATCGATTCAACCTTTTCTCAACCTCGAGCTATCACCACCATATCGCGGAGGGGCAAGCATTGCAATTTGGTAAGAGATCGGGACCGTAGACACGCCCCCTTCAGCTTGACACCGTTTGAGCTTTCGGCTCCGCAGTGCAGCGGCGGTAGGCACGGAGGAGAAGGGGGGGGTGGGACAGAGTAAGGGTTATCTTTTCTGTGAGTAGGCGATGAATCAACCCTGTCCCACCTTCAGCCCCCGAGGTGTACTCGACATCCCTCTCTCTCTCTCTCTCTTTCAAAAAGGAGGATTGGTACAATCTCATTCCCTCTTGACCATCTCGCTGACACACTCACTACTCAGTCCAGCACAAATTGCTCACCTCCATCGTGAGTCTCACACCTCTCGAATCTGTTCCCGCTCCGGACAATTCCACTTTGTCTTTCCACTCGACGCTCTAAATTTCCTCCTGACCCTCTTACATCTCTCTCCCAGAGGGAGGTAGTTCCCCTCCTCCATTCCAGGTTCCCCTTCTTGCCCTTTCCTGCAACCCCTATGCATATCCGCTCACAGCGCCAAGCAGTGCACGCATCCACCTTCACGTTTCACGAATAGAATTGCATCATGCCTGACATGTCTGCCTACAGCTCGTCTCGTGCTGCAAGGTGAGTCAACGCTTCCCCCATCTCTCGTGACCGGCTCTGTCACTTCTGCTGACTCGATACAGGCCTGAAGTCCCGACACACTCTTCCACCCATTCCCCCACCACGTCCACATCGTCATCTCATCATTCGGAGCAAATTTCGGCTTCTCGGAGGGGCACCGTTGACTTGGACGCAATGGTGAGTTGGCATTTGCTCCTTTTGCTAGCATTTACTTACGCTTTGGCTCCAGAAGGATGACTCACGATCCCGACGATCATCTCCCACCTCAAACTCCACTGCTGATCACTTTGCCGTCACGATGCGGGGCATGTCGAAACTGTCATTCTCACCCACCCATGTGGAAACGCCGGTCGTAAAGGTGATTGTCATATGGCAATGTCTCGCGAAAGCTGACGTGTCTTAAGACTCCAGTCAAGCATTTCGGCCAGTTCGGTAACATCGGAGATGGCTGCAGATCTCGCGGTCAGTCTAGCTCTACATCGCATTCAATCTTAACTGACGTTCATCCTTCAGACGAAGTGCCGATCGTTCAGTCTTCAGCGTCCTCTATCATTTCTAAGGACTCTGCAGGTCGCGAGATCTCACCTTTCTCCTCCACTTATTCCGCTTCTAGCCCTCCCACTTCAGTGGCTCCTTCCATCGCCTCCCACTCGGCAGTCGCACCTCAGCCTCCAGTCTTTGGACTTCCCTTCTTCCCTGGGGACAAGAGCTTGCAGAATGAAAGCGCAGCGGAGATCGGTCGATACTTGATGGTATGCCATCAGATCTTGAGTCTCTCACTAACATCCTCAGATTTCTCAGATCCCCAAAGAGGTCACACCGTCTGAGATCCGCATCAAGATCGGAGTACGTCCCATCAATGCTCGTCGGCCTCTATGACTGACCTTTGCAGGCCATTGTAGAATACAAAGCAATCATTGTCAAGCATCTTCAGACCCGGGGAGTGGTATGTCGTGCCCTTGTGGAGGTGAATTTCGCTGAACTTCTACCAGGCAGTCGTCACTTTCTGGGATCCGCGTCAAGCCCTGCAACTCTATCAGCGTCTTCACGCTAAGCCTATGAGTTTCATCTACAAGCCTGAGCCCGTCCACCTGCAATGCATGAGGATCGAGAAACAAGTTGCAGCAGAGGTAAGTTCTCACCGACAGCTTCCATTAAGCCCATAGATGATGGCGAATGTGAACGAGCCTGGAGATTGGGAAGCTCCACTTTCCTGCGTCTCCCTCGAAGTCGTTGGAGAGTATGTCGTCAGCCTTGAGGCCATCACCGTGAGCTCCTCCGTCCTTCTTACTCGAATTCAAGCTCACATAACCACAGCGCGTTCTCGACTCCTTCGGAACTACTATGTGGGTGCAAGCTCTCGGCAGCCGAGTGAGTCGAAAAGCTCCCTGTATGCAACGAGCTCCCTTACACTGACGCCCGACGCAGCGCTTCCTCGCCGAGTTTTACGACTCCCGACACGCTGCACTGGCTGTCCGAAGTCTCGATCAGTTTCCAGTGTACGCATCTCACATCACAGCTATTCTTCTCTCCGAAGAGACACGAGGGACCGGCGCCAGTACCGCAACGCCGCCTCCATCGTCAAGGTCGCGTTCGTGGTCTGCTACTCCCCAACTCATAGGCGCTCATGAGCAACAACAACGTGCAAGCTTTTCGACCCCTCAACACCTTTCAGGTCATGACGTCTTCTGGTCTCCTGCAACGGATCACTCCAGCACTTTGATGTCCAGCTACGGGACACCCGTAACGCCGTCCACCAACACTTCGCCTAGTCCTGGCAGCTGGGGCAGAACCTTCGAGCCTTACGGAGCAGAGACTCCCAGCTCTGCTTCAAGGCACAGATCTCTGCCTCCACCCGTCAAGATCACCCCAGGCTACAGCGCAAGCCCTGGCTGGTCTTCGCCTTATGGTGGATCTCAGGAGTTTGGTCGTCGACCTTCGGGTTTTGATGGGCTCAGCTCTGACAGAGTACCACCGCAGTGGGAGCTCATGGATCGGAAGCGGGTCCCAGAGCAAAATGTAGTGAAGAGAGAGCGAATTTTGTCTGGTGAGTTTTCCCATACATGGAGACGCGGCTGCTAACCGGAGTACTAGGGCTTGATCCCCGAACGACAGTGATGATCAAGGACGTGCCTGTGAGTTCTGGGAATCGCCATCCAAGCTCATCAAATCAGAACAAGCTCTCGCGCAACGAACTCATTGGCATTCTCAATGATGTGAGTGTATCACCCTGCAATACAGCAGGGCTGACCGGGCATACAGGTCGTCCCTGGAGGCTTCGACTTCGTGTACCTTCGCTTCGACTTTAAAAATCACTGCAACGTGAGTGACGGACCCCAATCCGCCCTGGTGTACTGACCATCTACAGGTTGGCTATGCGTTTGTCAACTTTGTCTCCGTCAAGAGTCTTTACGAATTTCATGTTGCCAAAGTCGGCAAGCGATGGAATCTGTTCTCGAGCGAGAAGGTTCTGCAGGTGAGTTGAATACATACAGCTTAGCGGCTCACGATCTGCAGATCTGCTACGCTACCATCCAGTAAGTACTGCATAATCGGTCTCGTGAGCGAAGCTCATGGATGCAGGGGTAAACAAGCTCTCATCAACAAGTTCAGGTAAGCCGTAGTTTTATCGCTTCACAAGGGCTGACAATCGAATCAGGAACTCTGCGGTCATGGATGTCATCGAGGAATGGCGACCTCAGATCTTCTAGTGGGTGCTACCCCTGCCACATACGTGCTGATCCCCCCACCTTAGCTCGAGTGGAACGCGACAAGGGCTTCCAGTGAGCTGGCTGATTTTGTATATCTCAATTTCGCAAGCTTACGAGACGTTAGGAGCCATTCCCCGAATCCGATAATCCAGCTCAGAGATACAGGTCCACTGCAGCTCGTCTCTTTTCGCTGAGCAGTGAGCTTTGACAGAAGTCTTGCCTCATCCTGACTTCCGTCAGACCCTAGCGTTCCTCACCCTCACGACACCTCGGAGCAGTATTCATACGATTTTATCCATGCCGCACACGGCACCGGATTCTAGGCTTGTTACCTATTGGTCCGCCATTGCATCGTCGACCTTGCCAGCCTCCTGCCATGCCTCTTTCATCCTCCCTTCTCAAACTCTCATCCCATTGCTCTGCGCCTTGGTGTCGACCCTGGCTCTCTGCGCAACTAGCACTTCTTTACTTCTTCCCTTTGTTTGTCTTCTCTCTTCCAGCTCTGCTTTAGGTCGCACGACTTCATCCACCGTGAGACTCGACTCGGCATTTTGGTGACACCCCCGCATGATCCAGGCGCTCTAAAGAGCGCGCAACGCCAGCATCCTACATGGTGGCGACGACTTCACTCCGATTCACGTCATGACCCTCTCAACGTCCTTCTTTCGGTTTTTCATGATAACAGAAGCCCTTCAACAAGGCCAACGCCCTTTCTCGACAACCTCTTGACGCGACACCACGAATCCACGACTCCCCCTTGACACGTCAACATCTTCTCATTTGTACACATCGCCGCAAACACGCAATCATCGCATCGCTTCCTCTCCAGTACACCATCACACCTGCATGATCAACATTCCCATTTCATCGCTTTTCACCTGCAATATATCACAACGCACCTCACCTCCAAGCTCTGCATTCCTCTTCTTTTCTCCTGTAGATGATAGACGGCACACTGAGCCCTTTCTCTCACCACACACTCTCTCGCATTCCACTGCACGCTCGTTTGACCACGCCTTATCGGTCGAGCGGGCCATCATTCATGTCGGTCTCCTCTACGTTAAAAAGACAAACAATCATCAGGTCGTTTTCATGCATCATCATCGTTCATGTGCAAAAAGGGGGTTGAGATGGGCCATTGATTTCTAGATAAGATGCATCCGTCACCTCGGCAATCCGTGCCAACCGTCTAAGTATCTATGTATCCCGACAATTCTATGTCTGTGCCAAATACTTGTCCATCACGGCCTGTCTGATCTTCTTCTCGGGTGCCCTGCCTCCAGTCCACAATTCAAATTGTTTGAACCCTTGCAGACATAGAATCTCAACCCCTGAGACAGCTTTCCATCCAGAGGTTGAGGCTAAGCTTAACAGAGCGGTCTGATGAGGTTTGTACGCCAAGTCGATAGCGATTCCCGGGGCGGCATCAGATGTACAGAGACCTTTCGGTAGCTGAATCCCTGTACCCTCGGCATGAGACAAGCATAGGGAATCACCAGGGACAGTCGAAATGATGATCTTTGGTCTTGAGGGAAGATTGTCCAGTGTGTCGATGGTCTCAATGTCGAATGATTCAGGGAAACTCGATGCGACCTTTTGAGCATTTGCAAGCGTCCGATTGAATAACAAGATTCGAGGCTTCGAAGATAGTCTGGCGAGTGCATAGATCGCAGCTCGAGAAGTCCCACCTGCACCGATGACCAGAGCTGTGGATCGCTCTCCAGTAGATAGAGTCAAGTTGGATTCGACCGCCTTATGAATCGCTTGCCAATCGGTGTTATGACCTTGAAGCTGTCTCTTGCCATCGACAGTAAGGGATACGATGGTGTTGACTGCTCCGATGATTTTGGCATGTTCCGAGATCATGTCCAAAGTTGGTATGATGTCGAGTTTCAAGGGGATCGTAACGGATGCTCCGCCAAACTCGGGTGAGGAAATGATGTCAATGATCCCTTGATCAACTTGGGCAGCTTCGTGCTTCGAGTAGACATGAGGGAGACCCAAAGCTTGGAACCCGGTATTATGCAATGTTGGCGAGACAGATGCACCGATGGGCGATCCAAAGAGGTAGTACTGACGAGGCTGGATCATCCCTAGAAGTCCTCGGGCAGTATTGATTTGTACGACCGATAACTGACCAGGGGCTGCTCGGGAAGGTAAGAGGGGATGAGTGACGGGTGTCAAAGTAGGATTCAGGATCCGAGACATTTGACCCGCAGCTCCCATATTGATGGCTAGCAATGGTTTCTCAGGATGATCCGCTGCAAACGTAGCTAGAGCGAGATTATCCGCTGTAGACTTGGCCATACCGACGAGCTTGACAACATCTCCGTATTTCGCACAGAGATCGTACTTGGCTCTCAGGGCTGGCGAGTCCCAAGCCATCTCTCCACTCCAGTCGTGCCAGGACGCCACGATGTGGGTCACTCCTTTCGAAGCGACGAGCTGGTCGAGAGTCTTGACGGGCCAACAAATCTCAATGTCGACAAACTCGCAGCCCGCTCGGAGACCCAAATTGACCAGGTTCACATATCCTTCGAGGTTGTCAGGCGCATGAAGTCCTCCTTGATCCTTGCTTCGGACCGAATAGACAATAGGCAAAGGCGTTGCTAAGCGAAGCATCGACAATTGCTTCGCCACGTACTCTTCAGTCGCTCTGCCGGACGCCAACAGATCCACTCGGAGCTCGACGGCATCGGCACCCTCGGTCAGTTCATCCATATCCGTCAATGCCGGAGTGATATCGGGGAACGTCAGAGAAAGGAACGAAGAGAATCGTCCAGATCCAAGGTTAGGTCGATTTGTCGCCAGCCCTGAGATAAAATTGAAAAACCTTGCAATCTCTCGCCTCATAGCTGAATGATGGTCGTCTTGCGATTGATCACTTAGCGGAGCAAGAGTGTTGAAAAATTCGTGTGACGAGCATTCTCTGTACCACGGGGCTCGTCTCTGGGAAACCTCAGCGAAGCCCTCTCCCCAGTTCGGTCGAGCTGCCGTTGAGCCGATCGAGTCGAGGTACCCCTCAATATCACCCATCTCTCGAGTGACGTGGACTACACGTCCGCCATTCGCGATGTGCTTTGCGAGGATTTGCCTAGCTTCCGGCGTCTCGACAATTCCACCTCCAAGAGAGATGATATGGTTGCCTCGCTTCTCCTTGACGAATGCATGTAGAAGCTTCGTCTCTGTGGCTCGGAACTCGGACCATCCATGAGTCTCGACGTATTGAGATACAGAGAGCTTTGTATGCTCTCCAAAGACGTCATCGGCATCGGTGTATTCGCCGCCGAGAGCTTCAGCAGCCAGTTTGCCGATATAGGTCTTCCCGGCTCCTCGCATTCCGATCAAGAAGATGGGGTGTTGAGGGGTACTCTGATGACTTTTTGAGGTGGAGGCATGCTGCAGCTCTACACCATTTGTTTGCAGCCCCATCTGGGTGGGATCAGTCCGGTGAATACTCGACCGGTTGAGCTCACCTTGTTCTGAAGATCATCGAAGAAGTTTGGCCAGGTCTTTTCAACACACCTCTTCTCCTCAAGGACAGTATTCGGAATGACGGATGACAGGACGGCAAATGCCATGCCAACACGATGATCGTCATAACAATGCACCGATGCACCCGATGTCAAAGTGGAGAGTTGCTTGCCGTAGATGATGATGCCATCATCAAACTCGTCCGTCTCCACGCCAAACTTGGCAAGTTGAGTTCGCATAGCTTCGATACGGTTGCACTCTTTGACCCGCTGGTTGGCAATACCGTAAATCCTGCTCGTGACTGGGCGTGAGCCTGCGACTTCTCTCTCGGCATTACAGGGCTGAGCAGCGACGGCAGCGAGGACAGAAGCAGTGAGGAAAGCATCTGTCATTGGCTCCATATCGACGTTGCCAAGGGCCTTCAAATGCCCAACAGGAGGGCCAGTAACGGTGGTCGACGATGCAGTCTGTTCGACCTTGCATCCCATGGGCTCCAAGACTTCTTTAGCAAATCTCGCATCACCTTGAAGAGACGAACTTCCAATGGTCGAGATGGTACATGTCGTGCCTGTGATGGCAGCGATAGCCAAAGGATATGTGGCGCTCGAAGCGTCGGATTCGACGTTGTAAGTCGAAGGATTGACATAGACCCCTTTGGGAATACGATAGATATCGGAATCTGGTTGACGTTCTACGCTAATTCCAAATTCCTTCATCATCGCAATCGTCATGTCGATGTATGGTTGGGAGATGACTTGACCACCAGTAAGCTCGAGGGTTATAGGTTCCTTAGCATAAGGTGCACAGAGAAGGATAGAAGAGACGTATTGACTGGACACTGTTGCCGCCAATCGGATGTGTCCACCTTGCAGTCCGTTCGGGGCAATGCGCAATGGAGGACAGCTCTCGCCTTCGACGTAGTCAATCTTGGCTCCGTTCTCGCGGAGAGCATCGACGAGGGGTCCGATGGGTCTCTGTTTCATTCTAGCGTTGCCAGTGATGATGGTGGTCGGTGCATCGGGTGATGTCGCTGAGACCACAGTGCAGACCGTAGCGAGGAATCGCATGGCGGTACCGGCATTTTGCAGGTATAACTCTTTACCGCCAGCCGGAGTGGTGAGTGAACCCTCACCGCCCTCAACGACAACGGTATCTCCGCCATCCTCCCAGGAGAAGACAGCGCCCTGCTCGTGTGTTAGTACTTATCGTGAATGAGGATGCAGCTCTCACCTTGAGCTCTGACAACGCATTCATCATGACTGCAGTATCATCTGAGTGCAACAGATTTCGGATGCGGCACGTTCCTTTGCCAAGAGCGGCGAGAATGAGAGCACGATTTGAGATACTCTTGCTACCCGGGGTGGCCATGACCACGGGAGACTTGGTAGGAGTGCCAGAGACAACGCTGGCAGCTTCGCACAACACTCTCCGGAGCACATCATCGTCCACGTTTGAGGCCTTCTCCTCAAATGTCTTGCCAATCCTCGATAACAGGACCACCTTTTTCTGACTACCTGAATTTTTTTTGTCGACTTTCATAATGTCCAGCAGGCGCTCCACTGTGAGACCAGAAGCAGCGGGAATCGAAGCGATTCGCCTGTCGGACAAAGAGACGGGTAGACCATACGCTTTGAGACACCTTGTCAATCGTCCCACGGCAACCTGAGATAAGACACCGAGAGATCTGGCAACTTCGGCTTCCAAGATCATGCCGACCGAAACGCATTCTCCATGCAACATTGTAGGTGTCAACACGGCTTCTATGGCGTGCCCAATGGTGTGACCAAAGTTGACAAGATTCCTCAACCCAGTCTCTCGCTCATCGATGGTCACGATGTGTGCTTTGACGTGGATCGAGCCGGAAACTACTCGGAGGAGGAGTGATTGAGCCGCGGAACGATCTTTGGCAAATCGACCGGCGGTGGATTCAGGTTTCGAGGAGGCCGCGAGGGAGATCTCAGTCGCACTAGACTCCAACGCCGCAAAGTCTTCTTCGACCCAGATGGCTGCAGTCTGTGGGTTATTATTGTTAAACAGCTCCATACAGCGACGATAGAGGGACGACGCACCTTGATTACCTCCGCCATACCGTTGGATACTTCCCTCGACGGCAAGGAGGTGAGGAATGCCAAGTCGACGAAGATGCAAGAAGGCTGCCAGAAGGATCCAATCAGATTCTTTCCAGCTGGAGTATCAATGGCCGTCTTTCCTCCGACGGAAGAATCCACCATGGCGAGCAGTGTCGTAGGGATCTGCACAAACTTGATTCCACGCATGCTGAGGGACCAGGTCAGACTATGACTCCCATTCCACCTGGATTTGTTTCGATACTCACAAAGTCGCAGCGACGAATCCAGTCAAGTCTCCTATGACACCACCCCCAAAGGCCAGAATCACTGTGTCCCTGACACATTTCTCCCCCAACATCCAATCTTCAATCTCAGCTTTGACCTTTCGGCTTTTCGCTCCTTCTCCAGGAGACACTTGGTAGACCAGGAATCTAGACTTTGAACCAAGAGAACGAGATACATTATTGAATTCCTCTTCGAGTTGGGAGAGGTACAATGCTGCGAGATTAGTATCGGTCACCAGGACATAGGTCGAAGAGGGGAGTTTAGTGAGAATGGTATGGAAGATGTAAGGGAGGAGATGAAAGCCGACGTGGATTGACTCAGAACCCAAGATAGAGATTTTCGAAACCTCTGCCTGAGTATCGGCAGAGGCTGACATGGTGAGAGCGAGCTTCCTTCTGACTTGCCTGTGCAGAAGCTCCAAGGGGAATGATGATCTATTTGTTCATCTGTCCCGAAATTTCAGACCGAAAGATATCTCGACTCGGGTGATTTAGATGATGAGGCGGAGATCAATGACAACTCCGCTGTCTCTCCACTCCTGTAAGTAGTCCGAGGAGCTGTACTCATATGTATGCAAGGGGCCTCGGGAGGATCTCTACCAAGTCCTGATGAAGCTACAGTGCTTGAACTTCTTACGGACCTCTCAATTCACAGGATCTCCTCGACGTATCTTTGGCAGCAAGACCTTTCGCCAAACATCCTTCACCTCTGTGCCACAATCAGCTTGCCGCCAAACCGATACTGTGATTGTAGACAAGGGCCATAGCGGAGAGATCGCAGGACTCACGGATCGGGCTTTTGCCTGGAAAGCTTCGAGCGACCTGATCCCAGTTCACTGACGTCTTCTGACCGTTCGTTACCATTATGAGCATGATGAGCTATGGACCACGGATCAGCTCACGTCCAGTATATAGTTGACGAGAGCAATCTTTTGTTGATTCGTCCACGATGGCGAGGTGGATTTTGACCATTCTTTTCCGGCGATAAGTTGAGTCTTGATCACTTTTCGCCAAAGATCCTTGTTCTCTGAAAGGGTGGCATCAGCATCACGGGTCGGGCCGGGCTCCAATGCAAGCCAGCATTTTCCGGGGGATCACTCACTGGACAGTGTTTGCCCGACTGTGCTTGAGATCTCATCCCAATCTCTCGCGTTCAGCTTTGCAGTCTTCAAAGGCTTGAGTACTTCTTTAGATTCCACAATTTCCGCTCACCTCGAGAACGAGCTTCGCCAGAAGATTTTTGTCGTAAGTGCCTGGAGCACTTGAAGCGCTGATTTTCTCGTCGTCACTCCTCGCTGCTGTAACACCTGGCCTCGAGTGGGGTTTGTCGTAAGGCTTCTGATGTCTAGTATGGACTGAGTCAGACTTCCTGATGACTTGCATAATGGCTTTCGTATTTCAGAAGTAGCCTCTGAAGAGCGTTTCACAGAGGTGATCTTCGACCCCGATGATATCGGTATGTAGGAAGAAGAAAGTGAAGTGAGGTGACGATGACGAGAATGGTTGTTGAAGTGCTGTCATGCTGCCGATGGTAGTAAGGTATTTCGTCTGTCTACACGTACAAAGGGGACGCTAACCTACAGATCTCATTGTCGTCGGGGAGACCGTCGTCAAGTCATGGTGTGATAGCGCCAGAAGTGGCATCGCCACTGTTGCCCTCACACACGAGGTGCATAGAGCGATCCATGCATCCTGACGAGAGTATCGTCGTGGTCGTCGTCATGTCACTTGCCAGCAGCTGCATCCCTCTCCTCACTCTATCATCTCATCTCCAGATCTCTTATTCCTCTGTTCAGGTGCTTTTCAGTGAGCAGAGCTATAACGCGGCAGACTGTCGGTCGCCTATCTGTCAAGCTCGTCCATCTACCATGCCAAAGACCACTCACCACAACAAACCCGGCTCGAGGAAATCTGGCTCAGCAACAAAGCCCACCTTTACGAAAGTGACGAAGGCAGCACGAGAGGGAGCGCCGGCACCAGCTCCCAACGAGTCGACCCAAGAGCCAACTCCGGAGATCCCAAAAGACCTCTTTCTCCAGATCATCGTTGCCAAACTCAATACTTCCAAGACATGCGATTGGTTCGAGCTGTCAAAAGTCGTGAATGCAATGTGTACGTCGCCGCCGATGAAGGGCGCAAAGGCCAAGAAAGGGAAGAGAGGGAACGGGGAGGAGTGAAATGGAGAGCAGCTCCATGACATCTATCATAATGTGAGCCTCCTCCCTCCGTCATGATCAAGCTCACGTCAGCACAGGTCATCCTTCCCGGACTCAAGAGTGGGAAGGTAGTATGGGCAGAAAGTGAGACCTCTCTTACTCCTACCAATCTTCGAGAAACACCCACTTGCATATCGGACCATGCAGAGACCAAACCCCCCTTCAAGAGTCAGATAGCCAAACGACGGGCCTCGACCCTTTCGGTGGATGACGCAATCGCACCGATGAAGAAGACTCGAAAGACCACGAAAGCAATGGTAGGATTGCCTGATATCCCCGATACTCCCGACAGTATCTGCGCACGCTTTAAGAGGTCTTCGCGAAAGAGTATCTCGTACCGTGAGGATCTCCTCACGGACGATGAATTCAGTGGCATCGAGGATGATGAGGAAGATCCAGATGGAGCGTCTGGGACTGGCGACTCAATGGATGAGAGTGTGGAGCAGTGAGACAAAGCAGCAAGTAGAGGAGACAGCCCCGGAGGGAGAAAGCAGACTTCGGAACAGTTATAGGAGCAGGAGAGCCTGGGTGATTGATTCAACGCGATAGGACAGGAAGATTTGGGCCAGATGAAACAGAGAAGGATCAGGCAAGACGGGCTCGAATGTTCAGTCACCCGGCATTAGAAAGCATTGCATGTCGTCACGCCTAGCTCAAAGCTGCGTAAGTATATCATGCATGTACTGTATTATATTTCATCAACGTCATCCGCCATCAGATCTTCCTCGGGAAAGTCTCCAGTTGTGATTTTCTCTGGCCTGACAAAGATGGCATGTTTAGGTGAACAGGAGAAATATCGCTTGCCTTCGACTCTGAGGAGACATTCATCAGCCCAAATTGCTTCTAAAGAGGTCTTCGGCTGCTGGCTCGCGAGCCAGTGATGAAGCACTCACTCCCCATCTCCTTTGCCGACCGGTTCATCCAGCTCTACTCCGATCCAGACACCTCCTTTGCCAATCTCTGCTATGCCTACGAACCGGACCGTTCCTATGCGGTCCATGTTACCACCCTCTCCGGCCACTTGACATCTTGATCCGACCGATACGTTCTCAGGTAGCGCATGAGATGGAGGTGGAGGATGTGACAGGTTCTCGGGAACGGGAGCGAATCGGCCCATCTTGTTGGCTTTGAGATGAGCGAGGACGGTATCTGAAAAGACCTGTTCAGCATTTATGGCTTTCATGGCTCCTACTTCCGGAGAGAATGGGTGCTTCTAAGAATGATGAAGAGACTCCTGATACATACCTGGTCTCGACTCGTATTCCTCATTGCTGAGCTCAAACTTGTTCACCCCAGAGACATCGGAGAACTCTCCAGGCCGGGCGTTTGGGTCCAGATTATCGACCTACATGCAGTCTCGTCAGATCGTGCCCCGAGCGAAGCCACTGCCGTCGCTGCGCCGCGCCCACCTTGAGATGATAGCCATCCTTCACGCCGTAGGAATCCAATGACCGGTTCTGGTCGTCAAGGGATTGAGGCTGACCAGCGGACGATGAATGGGATACAGACAGACGTTGGAACTGAGGTGAGATACCTGTGATGGAGTAAAGCTTCTCCTGCCGATCATATAGTGATCAGCCATGTTGTGATCGACAAGCGTTGATGTATCAAGCCAATGATGTACTTCAACTCACTTGCAACTCGCTGACAACTAATGATGACTCGAATCGACGCTCAGAGTACGTATCCGGTGACGATACGAATATGTTGATGAGCGGCATGAAGGACGATAGGCACAAAGTCAAGCCTATAGCTACTACGTTAGGGGTTGAACAGCGTTGGAAGCTGGGATCTCGTCGCGGCTGTCGCGTCGACCTGAATTTTGGGTCGCCAAGAAGATGGACAAAACCAAAACGTGGCACATGACGAATATGGATTTGTGTGCAAGTTTAGTCTCAGACCGTCTCCAAAGCCCGTGTAGTCTGGAGAGGACAACGACGAGGTGAGGATGAAGAAATGACATGCATTCTACTTGCCGTGCCTCATGCAATGCCGCCAATAGTGACAAGCTGTGCGAAAAAGTCAGCTCGAGTCGCCGTAAGACCTATGTCTGCATTTACCTTTTCAACCATGTACTCATCCAGTCCGCCTCTTCCTCCTTCCCTTCCAAAACCACTCTGCTTGACGCCTCCAAATGGTATGCAAGCTTGAGAAATCATGCCCGTATTGACAGCCACCATCCCCACTTCGAGCCTCTCTGCGACTCTCCAGACTCTCGATATGTCTTTGGTGAAGAAGTATCCAGCAAGACCAACCTCGGTATCATTCGCTCGAGTGACGACATCTTCCTCCTGCTCAAACTTGAAAAGAGCAGCCAGAGGTCCAAATGTCTCTTCAGATGCCACCGCACATTCTCGAGGTACGTCTGCAAGGACGGTAGGAGAATAAAAGAAGCTGCCTTCGGGAGCGTCTGGCCTCGAGCCGCCCACTAGGATTCGGGCGCCCTTCTCGACTGCGTCGTTTACATGTCGCTCCACTTTGGCAACTCCAGCTTCGGTGATGAGTGGACCGATAGTGACACCTTCCTCAGACGGATCTCCGACCTTGAAAGCTTTGACTCGGTCGGTCAGGCGGGATGCAAATTCGTTGTACACCTTGGCATGGACAAAAATTCGGTTCTGAATGTCAACAGTGATCACTAGGACCTAACTCACCGCACAGACACAGGTTTGGCCTGCTCCTCGGAATTTGCTGGTAATAACACCTTCGATGGCGAGATCTAGATCGGCGTCATCAAATACAATGAATCTGAAAAACAGTCAGCGGGAAGCCTTTGTCGTGTTTTTTCTCTCTCTCGACTGACGCTGCATTGCCTCCCAATTCCATCGACATCTTCTTTAGCGTTGAGCTACATTGCTTCATCAAGAGCCTTCCGACGGGTGTGGAGCCCGTGAAAGAGATTTTGGATACCAATGGGCTGAACGAGAATGAGCTAGAAAGCCTGTCAAACTCTGCTGACTCACTTTGTTGTCAATTCCAGACCACATGCTTGCTCTCTCTCTCCCTTCGCCACAGTGACCACATTCACCACACCGGCCGGGATCCCGACCCTTTCAGCTAGAGCACAAATCGCCAGTGCGCTCAAGGGCGTCTCAGCAGGCGCCTTAATTACGATCGTGCAGCCCGCAGCGAGAGCAGGAGCGGCTTTTCGTGTGATCATGGCATTTGGAAAGTTCCTATTTTCATAAGCGAGTTTCTCAGGGAAAGCCACATACCACGGTGTGATCATTCCACATACCCCAATAGGTTGCTTGATGACTGTGTTTCGCGTCCCTGGGAACACTGCCGGCACAGTGTGGCCATATGCTCTGCACATCAGTCATGACACTGTGAGCTTAGGCCCTCACCTGACGGCCTCGGCTGCGAACCACGAAATATACGAAGCTCCATAAGTGATCTCAGTCTTAGCCTCCGCCAAGGGCTTCCCGTTCTCTTTTGTCAGAATCAAGGCAAGGTCGTCGACGTTAGCCATGATGGCGCTATACCACGCGAGCAGGAGGGTCTGTCTCTTGTAAGCCGTTTCAGCTGACCAACTCTTTATTGTTGATTTGGCATGTTCCTACGAGACACTTCAGCAGAGCAGAAGGGTGTACCTGACAAACTGACAATAGCCTTTCTGACTTGACTCTGTGGCATGTTAGGGACGTCGACAAGCGTCTTTCCAGTCGCTGGATTCGTGACTGTGAAGGTCTCCCCGTCATCTGCATCTACCCATTGACCATTGACGTATGCTTTGCTCTGTAAGAGCTCGGGATCCTTTAATAGGGACTGAGATTGTATCAGACGGAATACAATCTCATCATGCTGACGACTCACTCTGAGATTCTCGGCGGCCATCGTGTCAGGTGTTCGGAGGGCAGTGATGTTGCGAGTCAACAGTTTGCGTACAGGATGCAATGAGTCATGGACATGTCGTCGCTTCGGCATGCTAAGCGACGCTTACCCGGGCAAGATCAGAGCTCCACCGTGGGAGAATATTGAATATCCGCCAAGCTGGTCGAGTTGACATTATTCACTATTGCGAGTGCGGTACATTCCTGTGAGAAGGGGAAGATGAAGGTAGCAGTCACCGGTAGGTCCCGTAACAAGTGCTTTGGAGACTCATCTTACGCGCATCATAGGAGCCAGTGGTCTTTTGGGCCGAGCGGTCTTTCAGTATTTCGAGCAACAAGGCGCAGACGGTAAGAGCGATGTGAAACGTTCCCACTCATTATGCGCAGTGATTCGCCTGGCATACTCGAGAGCGTCGGACGGCTACACGAAACTTGATCTTCTGGATCAGAAGGCGGTAGAGGACTTCTTCAATGGGCATCAGGTGGACGGTGCGTGGGTATCTTACCAAATTTGATCGATTCAAATGCTGATCCTTTTTGACGACAGTGGTTGTTCATTGTGCGGCTTCGCTTTTTCAGGGCACGGTAGAGATGCTGAAATGAAGCATCTTGATAGGCGCTGCAGAACGTCGACCTGACGTAGTCGAGGCGGACCCTGCCAAAGCTGAACAAGTGAGTCCCGTCGAGATGATCTACACTTCGATGACTGATCCGCTCACCAGACCAATGTTGCGGTGCCAAGGCAATTGGCTCAGCTAGCATCCAAGCAAGGGTTTAGATTGTTTTACATTTCGACAGACTATGTGTTTAACGGTACAAAGTGAGTCGGTGGACCCCTTGAGTGCTCGTGCACCTGCCCGCTCATCGTACGATACAGACCCCCATACGAGGTCAACGATGAGCCTGACCCGCTCCAATCTTACGGTCAACAGAAACGTGCTGGGGAAGTTGCTGTCCTTGCAGAACGCGAATCTGGCGCTCAATCTACAGTCTTGCGGGTCCCTATACTCTACGGGAAGACGACGTACAATGCCGAATCGGCAGTCAATATCATTGTAGATGGTGTGTTTTCCTCTGAACCTGATTTGGCTAAGAGAACTTTTTAGTCGTCCTTGATCAATCTGGAAAAGAGTACAAGATGGATGATCGTCAAGTCCGATTCCCGACCAATGTAGAGGATATCGCTAGAGTTTTATACGACTTGTCAAGTAGGTGACGGGCACATCGAGGGTAGAGGGCGACTGATGTTTTCCCCCAGAGCTTGACAAATCTCTTCCTCCCATCTTGCACTACGCTTCGCCGGCTCCAGCTCTCACCAAGTACAATATGACGGAAATCATCGGCAAACATCTTGGCGTATCAATTGACCACGTCAAAGCAGATAAAGAGAAACCTGTCGTCAAGCCAGGTCAGACTCAACGTCCTGAAAATACTCAATTGAGCACGAAGGCTCTCGTGGACATTGGAATCGATACAAGAGAGGATAAGAGCTTCGATGATTGGTGGAAAGCCTATGCAGGCGAGCTGAAGGCGAAACAATAAAAATAGACAACACATCATGGTAATATGCATCCCTGTGCAGGGAGTGAAGCTCTCTATCGCGTTCTGCCTATAAACAAGCCTCTCGAATTCGCGCTTAGGCTTTTGACCTTCGCTTCTCCGTGACCTTCTTGCCCTTTGGTATGCGTACCGGGCCACTACTCGCTAGGGGTGACTTGACTGATTTCTCAACTTCGGCTGGGGCAACTTTGATCCCCTTGGTTTTGAGTAAATGTTTCCGCTTGCCCTCTGACGATAAGATCAGCGTCTGCAGAGTAGAGCGGAGAGCGTTACTTACCCGCAATGTAGGCTGCATCCTCCGCCTCGTTGAACGCAGACCCATTGGCAGCTCCGTCATCATCGATGGTGATGTCTGCGCCTGCAGCATCGACAGCAGTATCATTCTTCTGAGATTTTGTCCTCTTCTCCACCCTGAATTTGGCGACAAAGAATCCGTCCATGTTGTGTTTATGAGGATAGAACTAGTAATGATGAGCATCTTCGGATATTGACATCATTTCGGACCTACCCTTCTTGTGAGGCTGACACTCGGGTGGAAAGTCTTGCCTTCAAAGCTCTTGAAACCCTCTACACCAAATTCAAGACCTGTTTCGACGAGATGACAATTTGGTCGTTTCTTCAAGGCATAATCGACGACCGCTTCGTCTTCATCCACAGTCACAGAGCAAGTAGAATAGACGACGTATCCACCTGTAGACGATGTAGGCGAGCAGGAGTCTAAGGCGCAGAGAATGAGTTGTTTCTGCAATTGAGACAGAAGTTGGAAGTCTCGCTCGCTCTGCAGTCTCAAGGGTAAGCAAGATGTCTGAATCAACTACTGAGAAAAACAGGACACTGACCTTGTTGACCTTCACACTGCCATCTTTGCTAATCACTCCTGTGCCAGAGCACGGCGCATCCAATAGCACTCTGTCGAATCCGCCCATGACCTTTGGAAACTCTCGCGCGTCGTAATTGCAGACTACGACGTTCTTGCATCCCATACGGTGGACGTTGGCCGTGAGAGACTTTGTCCGGGCTTTGTTGGAATCATTGGCAAAGACCACTCCTGTATTCTGAAGTAAAGCAGAGATGTATGTTGTTTTACCACCTGGAGCTGAAGCCATATCAAGGACTCGTTCGTTTGGCTGAGGAGAGAGGGCAATGACGGGAAGGAAGGATGAAGCAGATTGAAGCATGTAGTGTCCAGCGAGATACTCCGGCGTAGCACCTGAAGATGAGTAAAATCAGCAGATGCTGTGGGCCTAACACTCGGCGCTACCAACCTATAGGGACGGGTGATTCAAAGACCGTCAAACCGACTTTGCTCCACTTGGCTATTGGTTCTAAATTCACACCACGACCCATGAGTGCCTGAGCAAGGTCCCTACGCCTAGTACGCAGCGTGTTGGCACGTATAGATACTGGTCTAGGAGATTCGTTCGCTTCGAAGAAAGCGAGCGCCTGATATCATGTCAGTCAGGATCTGCAAGTATATCCAGTGCATTGAACTCACCTCGTCTGCCGGGAACAGCTTCATTAGCTTCTCGACCAAGAACAGATTGTATCCAAAGTACGTTGCAATATCGTGCTGGAGCTGGACCAGGTGATCCGATCGTGATCTACAAAGTCGTTAGCAACGGGCTTAGCTCGAACGCTGCGAGATGGCAAAGCTCACTTTCCAGGCACGCCTTGAGCCTTTTCACCCTTTCCCATACAGACTCCCACTAACCACCTCATCCTAGCTTCGACATCGCGGAGACTCGTCCCGTGCTCAACGTCTTCGTATTCACCACCTCGGTCAACGGCCGGCAGTGTGAATCCCTCGTTCTCAATATCATCCTCCAGATTCGTCGTGATCCCATCACGGCCCTCTTCATCCTCGTCCTCATCATCTCCTATTGCCACTCTCTCGTCCTCATCGGCCATGTCGATGTCATCGTCCTCGCCGTCATCTGACGATGCAAACGCGGAGTCCTCCTCCTCCTCCTCCTCGTCATCTTCACCGAGATCGAATTCGTCTTCCGGCATGTCATCTTCGTCCATATCAGAATCAGCGTCAGAGGGCGCATCATCCAGATCGAACTCGTGCAAGCCAGGGGGGAGCTGCTCGTCCTCGTCCTGATGGGATTCCTTTCAGTGGATCTCCTTGTGCAAGAGACCGACGTACGACATCTAAATCGTCCTCTGAATCGCTGAAAACTAGCTCTTTGGCTGGGCCTCGCTGCAGGGCGTGAGCTCTGATAATCTCGTAAACCGTGCATTCATCTCACCTCAATGTCCTCCTCCTCGCTTCTTAGATTGGTACGTCAGTCCATCCGACAAAAAAGCTCTCTCGTCCACTCACGACTCCTTCCCACGCTTCTTTATAGACTTGACCTTGACGGTCTCTTCATCGTCCTCACTCTCTGACAGCTCGCTACATGACGTGAGCGACTACCCAAAAGACGCGCAAAGATGACGCACCCTGGCCGCATGGCATCCTCAATATCACTGTCTTCATCGACTTTGTCCACCTGTCTTTTCGTGACTCGCCCGCCTTTCGCTTTTGCGACCTTGACCTTCTTCGAAGATTTCAACGAGCCAAGATTCGGAGCTGACGATGAAGCCTTTTTCTTCCCTTTATGTCTTGAGCTTCTATCTCCTCCTGATCCAGGCAGAGGCGTGGGGTTCGCTTGCTTAAGCTTCGCTCTGCGTCCCATATTGAAAACAGTATAGCTAGCCTTCCAGATGCAATTGAACTGGTTCAGTAGTTGGTGCTCCTGAAATTTTCAGAACTCTGGTCTGTAAAGTGGAGGTCGCCGGTTATCAGCGATGAGTTGGGCTATGACGTGGCAATCTGCTCGGATGATCACTGCTGACCTCTTAAGGAACGTCCAGATACCTATACAATACGTCTCATAAATCATCATAAAGGCTCGACAGACATTCATGGAGTCTTCTCCTATTCCAAGGTCGACGCCGGATCTGGTCATGCCGCCTGATAACATCGAAGGGTCAGGCGGTAGACCTGCTAGCCCAGGCACAGGAGCTGGTCCAGGGGATGAAGCTCAAGACGGCACTCCTGTAGCTGGACCGTCAACTCCTCCGCCGGCTGCGCCAGTACCCAAGCGACCAGCCAGGAGAGCTCCGAGGGTGAGTTTGAAGCACTCAAGTCTCCGTACTTATCTGATCGCCCGTGTAGCCTAAAGCCGAGCATTCTACAGCTTATACAACTGCCTGGGTTCCTGGATTGTAGGTTACGGCTGTGACTCTCGCCAAACGTTGGGCCTGACGAACGATAGGTTCAATATCAAGAATCCTGCTGGAGACTATCTTCAACGCGAGTCCAACGTCGACGTCTTTAGACAAGTGAGCGTGGCTAGGGCCAGAAGGGAGAAGGAGGAACTTGAGACAGAACGCCAGAAGGTGGCAGAAGGAGAGTCAGCAGAGCAACAGGAAGAGGACAAGCCAGAGGAGGTGAGCCGGGAGCGCTCTTAGTCTTTTGAGACGCTAAATGATCATCGCAGACAAATCCTCTGACCAATATCCTTGTCATTCATCCTGGCTCTCGAAATCTGAGGATAGGCCGAGCCTCCGACTTTTATCCACACGAAATACCGAATTGCATCGCTAGGCCTAGTTCCGCGGTGAATAGAGGGCGAGATCCTCCTGTACTGGGCAGCAGAGCAAAACGCATAGCTCAGGAGCATCTAGAGAAGAGGGATCCGAAAAAGAAGAAAGAAGTGAATGGAGCTGCAAACGGCGGGGACGATGCAGAGGGTAATTGGGTCGATCCGGTGAATCCTACCCAATTTGTCATCGGTCGCAGTCTGATAATTTTCAGGTCGATCAAGGTATTGGTTATGCCAGAGACTATCTTAGAGAAAAGCTTCGAGCCAATCGACTGCAAACCGATTGGCGAGAAGGCTCCCGAGTCAAAGCTGCCAACAACAGGGTAAAACCGGAACCAATACCGGAGCACAACGATCCGTATAGGATAGAATGGACAGAGACGGAGAGCAAGAATTACTTTATAGGAGAAGAGGTGAATTTTAAAGCCTACGCGATGATATGTCGAACGATTGACTTTTCAGGCTCTTCGATTACCACCAGACTCTGGATTCAAAGTTCGGTATCCGATCCTTCGACGAGGTCTGAACAGGCGGGATTGGACAAATCATCAGTTGCTCCTCGATGACATAGGGACGATCATCGAGGATGCACTTCGTAAAGAGATGAATATCACTCCAAAGGATTATCATGTGCGTCATCAAGATTCCACTGCCGCAACATCACATTTACTCCTTGACAGAAATTCTCCGTTGTCTTCATCGTTCCAGATCATGGTGATCGTTTCTATGTACAGGAAATGACAGCGCTTTTCCTCGGCGTCATGGGCTTCAAAGAGATTGCCGTGCATCAGGTATGTGTGCGGGACAGGAAGCTTGATCATCTGACCGTTGCTGATAGGAAGCGTACGCCGCCATCTTTGCGGCCGGAATGTCTACAGCCTGTGTTGTCGATATTGGCGCAGAGGTCACTTCGGTTACATGCGTCGATGAGGGTAATTTGATTTCGGATACGAGGTCAGCTACGGGACATGGTGCCAGTTGTCCTTCAAGCTGAAACTCTCACAGGGTCAACCTCGCTTATGGAGGTGACGACATTACATCTGCCCTTGTCAACCTCTTGCAGAGGTCATCGTTCCCATACCGAGACCTCGATCTGGGACGACCACAAGAATGGCGAATGATGGATAACCTGAAAATGAAGATCTGCACGTTGGAGGAGGTAAGGACTTTTGTTGCTTGGACCCTGAGCTATCCTGACGATCCATAGCATCTCGTCGCCAATACACCTTGGGACTTCTACGTCCTGAAACCGCAGGGAATGACGGATAAGTACGTGTTCAGGACCTACGACGAAAACATTTTGGCGCCTTTGGTATGTCTGGACCTCGTCTTGCGAACAGCCATTATTGACTATATTTCAGTGCTTCTTCGACACTCGTATGGTGGGTATTGGTAACATTCTTGGCACTCACCTGACATCTCCTCAGATCGATTTCGAAGAAAAAGAAGACAACGGTTTACTCCAGCCATGGATCAGACCCGCCTTGGTCGACGACGAGCTACTCTCATCCTATGGCGAACCTGTGCGTCTCGCTCTATGGTTCAGTGCTAATGCCCATAGACCGGAGCGATGAGATCCTGTACCAATCACTTGAGACCGGCCCCACCGACGGTCGCAGAGGTATTGGCCGTCGCCAACGGGAGCCCAGAGAGATCCGACGTGACACCCGCCAATGGATCTCCTGTGAAACCAAGCGGATCTCAAGATGCTGACCCCGTTGTCAAAGGATCCGACACACCGAGCGTCCAGGTGGAGACGAATGGTATTGCAACAGCAACACAGGAGGGGACAGAATCTGAGGTACTTCAGCAAGAGTCTGAGGAGCCTTTGATCGAATACAACATCGTCGAGGAGGCTTCAAAGGTGCCACTTGATGCTGCTCTTGCCGCGTCGATCGCCCTGGCGGGTGCAACGGAGAATAAGATCAAGGCGGCTGCCGCCTCCATACTCTTGATAGGCGGCTCGTCAGCTCTAAAAGGTCTTGGAGCATTCATTGCTGATCGGTAAGTCACAGCTGCGACATGCACGGCCATGCTGAGAACCCTCCAGTTTGCCATCGCTGTTGCGAGCTCGACATCTCCCGATTCAAGACGTGTCGATCGTGCCTCCGCCAAGAGGCTTGAACCCACGCTTTGTCTCCTGGAAGGGTGCCTGTGTCATGTGTAACCTTGAGTCATTGAGCGATATGTGGGTCCGGAGAGACGAGTGGGAGGCAATTCAAGCTAGAGCTCTCAAGGATAGATACTTGTTCTTGTAGCCGTGCATTGTCGAATGACCCGAATTCATCGTAGTTTGCCGTTCGTACGTAATTTTCGATCGTTTGCCGAAAGACTTGGACTGGAGATCGTTAACCAGCTGGTTAGCTGTTTCATATTGATCTATGGATCACGCAGTTCATCATGCCCCTTCCCAGAACACTGCCGGGGACAGAAGCGCAAGAAGGAGTAGAGTATGAGGAGGATTGGCTGCCAAAAGATTTCAAGCCGATGACTGTCGGCCAGCTGATGTGGTATAAGATGAAAAACATGCCCATGGTCAACGTCGGTGAGTTGTGGTGACGAGTGCAAGGCGGACATGCCGCAGCCCTTCTTCGTGAGAGGTGATATCTGACTCAACGTCGCTCTCTGCAGGCTTAGCAGGTGTCATTGGATCCTTCGGAATGGCGTCGTATTGGTTTCGGATGGGTAATTCCGCTCGACTCAATTATTGGTTGAGATGGAGAGTCGGGTGAGTGAAGCGGATTGGACAATTGAGGTCATCTCGAGGGGCTGCACAGGCGCTTTCGAGTGCCGACGTCTCACCGATGTATCTTGCGCAAAACGTTTCGTGGCAGTCTCATTCTCCCAGCAAATCCTTGTAGCGAGCCCGATACTAACATGTTCCTAGGATGCAAATCTTTACATTTGGCTGGATCATCTACTATGGTGGAATGGCGTTCACGGCGGAGAGACAGACTCAGACGTACTACAAGCAGATGGTCATGCTGGGTGAGCTTGATTCTCGAACACATCAAAGCAGAGTCATACGTCCATCTTCAGGCCGTTGCCGCGTCTTGACAGGCATGAAGTGCTCCCATCCGAGCTGTACTGACGGAGCTCGTAGGTGATCTGCCGCCCGATACCAAGATCCCGAAAGCTAGCAACGACTTATTTGCGAAGAAGGACGATTGGCGGAAAGCCATCATGAATCCCTCTGCGTTTGAAAAACCGAAGCAGACAGCGGCGACCTCATCTGCGCCTGACGTGCCTCAAACGGATGTGGATCAGTATCCTAAAGCTGTATCTGAACGCATGACAACAGCCGATTTCAAATCCAAAATACAGCAGCGACAGCAAGCTGCTGCTCCCTCTGCGAACGACTCGGATGCATTCGCGGCGAGGTTGGAAGGCGCTATCCGTGCTCAGGCGGAAGAGGATGAGATGAGAGGCAAAGGAAAGCTGAAAGGCGCGCAGAGCGTGACCGGTCGTGGAGAACTGCTGAGACGTCGCGGGAGAGAGATGGCGGCTCAGAAAGAGGAGAAAGCGGCACGAGATAATGCAGCTCGGGAGGCTGAAAATGAGACCGAGGTGGAAGACAGCGAGAGGATCTAGCTGAGTGCTGTCTGTACCGCTGGGGTTCATGATATAGAGAAGTCTAAGACTTCCACTGCCCTCTGTACTACTAGTCTCAACATTCATACAATTGTTCATGCATTTTGCCCTGGCTTTGGATTCCCACTGTTGCTAACGTCCTGAATTCCGGTTGCCCGGTGGAGGTTGACCAGCTTGATTCAGTCTCCAATTGCAGCTTGACGCCTTTACCCAATTCTCGTCTCGCATACATTGCCGATTACAGTATGCACCCTCTCAGTCGCTATGCTCGAGCAAAGCCAGATTTCAAGCGGCTGGGGGACAGATGCCCAGAGCTGGCACCTTTGTAAGTGATCGGAAGACATGTCATCGTGTCGCTGTCCAGCACTGTTGAGCTTTGATCTCAGATTAGCTGAGCTGATGCTCTTTTCAGTGTCAAAGCTTCTGAGACTGGATATGCAGCCATCGACTTTGCTGATCCCGCTGCATTAAGAGCGTTGACGAAAGCCTTGTTGAAGCATGACTGGGATCTGGACGTTGATTTGAGAGACGACCGACTCTGTCCAACTGTGAGCTTTCCATCTGAGCATCGGGACAGCAGCTGACACATACTTAGATCTCGAACCGGTACGCGCAATCCACGGACTCATATGTCAGGAACCATGCTAAACGCTTACTCAGGCTTGATTATGCTTTGTCCGTGTTGGACCTCGAACCGTTTCTCAATTGTATCCCGGGTTCAAGCAGTACCTCGAAAGGCCCTTCGGTGAGCTTGATTGTCTTATCGGTTGGTATTGAATCGTTCAAAAGCAGCCTGATAGAGGACATCAGCTCAGAATCCTCGACATGTAAGTAGGAGGATTCTGGTCTCGAGGTCTCGAGCTGATCGTGATTTAGTGGAACAGGACACATCGCGGTATATCCACTCTTACTGCATCGATTGCGTTCCGACGCAGCCATTACAGGCACCGGTGAGACAGGCACTTCCTCTAGGGGTTGTTCATATGACTGATAGACGAGTGACAGACGTCAACGATATCTCGTTGCAACACGCTCAATCAATCTTGGAGCGCAATCAGATCTCCAAAGAGTCCATCAAGCTCTTGAGAGCCGATTCGAATGGAGACATACTGTTTGCGCTTCGTGACCAGTCTCATGACATCGTTATGTGCAACCCTCCTTTCTACGCTTCAGAAGAGGAGATGAAGCAGAATACGGAGTTGAAGAATCCATCCAACAATGCTGTGAGTGCGAGCCAGAGCCTCAGAAGACTACACGTATACTAGTTGACTAGATCTCGCAGGTTGTGACTGCAGCTGCCAACGAGTCTATCTGTCCCGGTGGCGAGGTCGACTTTGTTAGCCGAATGATTTCCGAGTCAACTAGGTTGTCAGACAAGGCACAGTGAGCTGACCCGCGGGAATTGGGCCCTGAACATGCCTGCAGATGGTTCACAAGCCTTATTGGCAAATACTCATCTCTGACTCCCCTGGTAGATTTGATTAAGTCCTTCAAGGTGAGGACGATCTCTGTAGGCGTGAAGGAAGACAGCACTGATACCGTCAGATCGACAACTACTTCATCAAATCTATCAAGCAAGCCAAGACAAGTCGGTGGATCATCGGGTGGTCATACAGCGAGATCAGGCTCCCTGATGTCGGTCTCATGCTCGTTGATGTCGCTTTCTGGCTGATCATCTCCACTAGTCATTGACTCTACCGGAGACGATAATGCCCAATACATCTTATGCTCGTCTATTACCGGCTCCAAATCGACTCACCCATAGGCCTCTCCAGCCGCCACTTGCCATTGAGCTTCTCCGCGAAACTATGATGCCCGTCCTCTTGGAGTGTCAACTCGATCCAAATTCCAGTGCTCAGGCGGAAGAACAAGAAGATGGTACCCTGAATCTTTCTCCGAGAGGCAATACGTGGTCACGGGCTGCTCGACGTCAGGCCGCCAGGGAGAATGCTCAAAACAGCATGGCCATCGATGAAAAGGCCCCGCAGGTCGCAGGACCGGTCATACGGATGAGGCTCTCTTTCTTACCACCAACTCCTCTAACCTCCGAGGGTACGCAAACACAACTTACCGACAGGGCAACGGGGGACTCTTCACATGCAATAGATGATGCTTCCAGCGAGCCAGCGCCGGCTTCAACTGCGAATGGAGACTCGACCGGGACAACCTCACAAGGTGCGACTCTCGCTCTAGATTGGCTACAAGGCAAAGATAGAGCGCTGTTCGAATCCTTCTGGAAGTTTTTACTGACCAAAGGCAATCTGTTGGGCAAGCAGGGGGGGTCAGAGACTGCTGGAGGAGAGAAACGATCTGCGGCGGGACCAGACTCTCATGCGGGTCGCGACGCAGGTAGCGGCGGCAACAGAGGCGGCTTCAGAGGTCGGATACGGATCGGCTTTGCAGCTCGAGGAACCAGAGGAGGCGGTGGAAGCAGAGGGAGGGGTGAAGGCAGGGATTCTGGCTGGGGGAGAGATCAGGGATGAGGCGACTGCCTGGAGACGTAAATGAGTATAATTTTTGTGCAGTAAGGACTACTGCCGAATGCAAGCACAACATACTTCTCATCTCATACATTGTGTCGTTTACTTCGTCGACGGAGCTATAGTCACTATGCACGGAATAGGTGATATTCAGACTGTGTCGAGGTGACCAGGTTTTGAAGGAGCAGAGAGATGGAGGGACAAAAAGGGAGGGATGTCGATCCAGATGCAGGAAAGAAAAAGAAAGATGAAGCGGGAAACCCAGAACGACGATAGGAGGAAATAGACTGTTGTACACAAGGTTAGTGTGCAAGACGGGCTGTGATGCGAAAGTAAAAATGAGGTCCTGTTCCTTTGACTCCATGAACACCCATCACACTCGAACGCCGAGTCGGCACCATTATTTTGCCTGAGTCGGTGCTGGACGATCTCCACCAGAAGGTGCGGCTCCACCTCTTCCTCTTCCACCGCGACCACGTCCAGCGTTCTGGCCTCTCTCACCAGCTCCGCCTTCCCTTTGTTGTTGGCCCTGACCGTCTCGACCCGAGTTTGGGCCACGTCCCACTCTCTCGGCACCACTGGCTCCGCCTCGACCACCCGTGGCTCCGGCTCCTCCCTTGGGTCTACGCTCGTCCTTCTCCTTTCTCGGACCAAAGTTCAGAATTCGACCATTCTCCATCTTGACTCCGCCTTCTCCTCCTTGACTAACGGACAGAGATGCAGCAATGGCGCGACGAGCACCGTCGACCTTTGCAAACTCGACAAAGGCACAGGCCTTCTCCCTGACAATCTCAATATTCTTGACTTCCCCGAAACGCGATGCGGTGGCGCGAATGGCGGCCTCGTCGGTCTGGTCACCGCCTGCCTGGTTCTCGCTGTTCCAACCGGGGAGCTGACAATTGTTAGCTGATAGGCCTCAGAAGGCACTCACTTTGACAAAGCAATGAGGGGTAGGGGCGTTCATTGCATTGACGTAGTATGGGTGCTTGCCCTCGTGGTTGTTGTTTTGCTTCGATCCATTGGCAGAGCTGGTAGTCTGAGCGGGAGCGGAAGCAGACTCCTCCTTCTTGGCAGCGGGAGCTGGCGCAGCGGCCGCAGGGGCAGCCGATGAGCTGGCAGCAGCGCTAGAGGTGGAAGCACCACCCCAGGCTTTCGGTGCAGAGGATCCACCGGCTGCGGCCATGGATGCCCAGGTCTTGGGGGCAGCAGGTTTGGCGGGAGCTGCGGGAGGTTGAGCAGCAGTGGAGCCGTTCGCTTTGGGTGCAGCTGCCTGAGCAGCAGGAGCAGGAGGCGCAGGTGTATCAGCTGGCTTGGCAGTCTCCTCGACTGGCGCTGGAGGAGCAGTAGTTACTGGCTCTTGCACAGCAGCAGATGGTTCACTTGGAGCCTTGTCGACATCGGGGACGGAAGCGACTACTGCCTCAGTAGGGACAGCTTTAGGGTCAGGGTGAGCAGGAGCTTGTTCAGGCTTGGGAGTAGAAGACTGTGTGACGTGCTTCTCGGAAGACTCGGGAGTGGGAGGGTGGTTGAAAGTGGGGACAGGGACAGGAGCGGAGTGGCTTTCGGGAGCTCCAGCGGGGACTTCGACCGCAGCATCTTGATCCGCGGGATCCTCGAGCTCGTCCTCCTCTTCTTCCTCTTTAAGGTATCGGAAAATATCGTTGAGGACGAAGTAGCCATTGGGTTGTTCAGCGAGGAAGAAGGTCTGAGTGAATTTGCGCCATGGACCGGCGTTGTTTGACATTTCACCGATGACAAGGAGAATGATGCCGCCTCCAGCAGAGGATTGGGAGTCGATAGAATGAATGAACACTTTGCAGTTCTCGTAGCCGATAGCCGCGATGCGTTCGTGAATCTCCTGCGTGGCACGTAAGCTGACGCCAGGAATTATTAAGCCGACGCTAGCTCACTTGCTGACCGAGAGCAACCTGGGCCTCCTCGCCCTCTTCTCCATGGATGAAGGTAGACCGCTTATTGTAAAAACAGTGAAGTCGATGAGGCTGCTTGTTCACGAAGTTGCTGACGCATTGTCAGTCTGCGATCAATCTGGCCAATCCTTCGAGCTCACTAGTACTGAGGGACAAACTGCCAACCGACATCATTGGGTTGAATTTTCTGATTTCCAGAACCGGATTCAGATGTGGGTGCAGCGTGCCCGTTGGGCTGGGTGATAGCTGCCATTATGGGTGAAGGTGGTCGTCTGGGAAACTGTGTCAGCTGCAGTTCGGTCCTGGAGAGGTCGGAGCCGCCCGAAGCAAGCAATTGGAGAAGGTATCAACTGACTGAGAGCAGAAAACTGTTGACGGAACGGATCTCTTCTACAGCGACAATGCTTTCAAAGTCGAGGGGTCTACGGAAGATGTGAGGATTGACGGATGACAAGGGGTGAACGAGCTATGAACGAGCGGTAGCTTCTGGGCAAGCGGATGTTGTCGCTGTAAAACAAGCTTGTAGGTTTCAGTGATCCTCTTTCTAGTCTCTGACCAAGTGTGAGCTCGCCGCGATGCGTGTTGGAGCAAGGCAAAGGTCGACAGGGGGGAATGAGGATGTGACAGCAGCAACACGAGAGGATTTCAACCGTCGAATCACTGGAACGTATGAAGCCCGGCGTTTTATTCGGGAATTTCAGATTGTGGCGTTGATCATCTCACCTCCTTACAACGCGACTGAGAGACAAGCCCGTGTACTGTAATCATTAGCCATATCCCATCTCTGATAGCGACAAGGAACACATCAGCTTTGATCAGGAGGTCCAGAGCTCACAGCACACTGAATCGAACGACTTGAAACGCACTGTTGACTGGTTTCAAGATGACGGCGGCGCTCCAGCAGGAGCTCACTCAGCTTCATTCATTGGTCGATGGACCCCCGTCCAGTGCGCCAGAAATCAGTCAGAGGTTAGCTAAGCTAAAGGTGAGCTGCGAACCTAGGAGATCGGGCTCATGTTCTTCTAGGTTCACTTCGCTCAATCTGGTCTCCTGTTCGCCTCTCCAGACTCAGATCGTCACGAGCTCGCCCTGACCCGTAAGCATTTAATGACATCGGCTCTTGGCCTCCCGGCTGACTTGACTTCGTCACTAGGCTCTGTGCTGGAGATAGGAGCTTTCCACGCTCTTCGCTCAGGTAACATCAAATCCTACCTCTCTTACGATTCTCTTCTCCTGCCATTCTACGACAACGCTCAACTAGATGCATCTCCAAATCGACCGATTATCCTCGGCCTGAGGCTTCTATACTGGCTCAGCGAGGGTGATCTGACGGCCTTTCACACCATGCTGGAGACTTTGGACCCCGAACAGCTTCAGGATGTCTTCATCAAGCTCGCTGTAGACTTGTGGGCTCCTCAACTCTACGCCTAGGTTGAGCTGACATCCGTTGCAGAGAAAGATGGCTCATGGAGGGATCTTACAACAAGGTCTATCGTGCGCGTGATCGCGTACCTCGGCCTGAATTCGGCTTTCTCCTCGAACGTCTGATGGGTCAAGTCAGATCTCAGATCGCAGCTACTGTTGAAACTTCGTATACTTCTTTACCACTCTCCAACGCCGCGACGCTGCTGTTCTACAAGTCTGGCGAGACATCTCAATTGGTAGAATTCGCCACACAAGTGAGCAGAGTCAACCACCTGGATCCAACCAGGATTTTCTGACTGACCGTTCTGATTCAGCGCGGATGGGAGCTCTCTCATTCCACTTCCACCTTCACCTTCCCTCTGTCCCCCAAACCCGACATCGCCATCGCCGCTGCCAAGTTTAGCGATCCGAACGCCTCTGCTCAGACATTGGACATTTTGCAGGGCAAGGGCGTGAAGAAGGGTACACCGATGACGCGAATGGTGGGACCCAGCCTGAGACTGGCTCAGCAATTGGAGGCGGTGGTGTAAGGTGGTGAGAACAAAGAAAGTGCATTGCATGTACATTGTATTTCCGAGCATGAAATGATGCAGCATGATATGTCGCAGCTGAATACGGCGCACAGAATGCGGAGCACAGACCATTTCGGCGCTAGCTGATGCTTCGTGAATAGTCGTCACTGATGCCCATCGCCGTTTAACGCTGATCCACATTACTACCAGACGACTCCTCTGTCCGTGGAGCGGTATCTGTGCCACCGGCCTGAACATCTCCTTTGCGTTCAAGATCAGCCATTGCACGCGCTTCTGCTTTCCATCGAGCATTGTCCATTGTCCTCTGCTCAAGCTCGGCTTTCTTCAGAGCCTTCAAACGGGCATGTTCATCTTTCTCTCGTGTCTGTCCCGATCGACCATTTGTTGCTGTGGGTTCAGAGGTCGAGGAGATAGCCTTGTCGCGAGACTCGAACGTGACCGTTACTGGACCCTGCTCGTTTCCGGGTCAGCTCAGGGAACAGAGTGATGATGATTGGAAAGGAGATCAGACGCACATCGTTGACCAGAGAGACCTGCATCATGGCTCCGAACTCTCCATCTGTACCAGTCAATCAGCATTCTAAGAGAGTGGCGGATTGACGAGAGGACAGCCTAACCCTTGATTCTGTCGGCAACGTAGGATCGCCTTATCTCTTCAAGAAACGAGCTGTAAAAAGACCGGCTGCTCGACCCAGGCTGGATCATCAGGTCTGGGTTTGATGTCCTGCACTCACCATTGATTCGTGGAAATCTTCCAACGTGATGAGCTCAGGCGTGATCACACAATCCGCTCACCAGGTTTCATGCCTTTGAAATTGGCAAAGAGGGTGAATTGGGAGACTGGGCGAATCCCAAGAGTCAGATGCTGAATCGCCCTCCACGTAGAGAACGACATACCGCAAAGGACCTCGCCTTCGACGTCCATAACACTCCGCTTCCATGGACCAGAGTCATTGTCCCCCGGGAAGAGCTTCGCCCCAAGGATCTTCTTGATGATGAACGATGAGTCCGTAGCTTGATCATCTGAACGAGGCAGTCGGCTCAGCAAGAGTATGGATATCGTGAGTTGACATAGTGTCATGGTAGCAGCAAGTCCACAAATTGTCGTGATCGGAGTAGTTAGACCCGCACTCACACCTGTCCACGCCGACCAGAACAAGCAATCCCTTTCCAATCTGGGAGATGACCTTCCCGTCCACTGGTCCCGACTGTGAGCTCTTGCGCCATAGCACAGACTGTCAGCCGGGCTGGAAACTCACCAGCTACCGAAGCTGAGATTACTCGCTGCACTACCGCCTTCATACCCCCCTGCGGTGGTGTTCTGCAGTCTAAGACGTATGGTGCTGTAATGTTCAACATATCGCAGACCGTGATTTCCGTCCGTCGGGTCCGAACTGATAAGATCGCTTGTGGAATTTCCCCACATACTAGCTACATCTATGCATATATAACATGTGTTAAAGCATCGCCGACTACATGTAGAGGCCCCAGAAATGGAACGTGCAAAGGGGAATCATCGTGGTGTATTATATGTGAAATAGCTGCCCGGTGTCAATCCAGAAAATCGTACCTTGTCGTTGAATCTAATCGTCATGAGCCGCACTAGGTCGTACGACCTGTGCAGCCATCCCTGACAGGGGCATGGCCCTCTCCATCCCCCGAAAGACTTGCTCATCGGCGTCACTCTCTTCCTCTTCGTCCTTCTCTGCAGCGGCTCCATCCCCTTCCCCATACTCTTTTCCAGAAGCTGCACGCCTCATCTCCCACTCTCTTCCCCACGCTTCCATCTCTTCTTCGTCGTGTTGGGCCTTCCTGGCCCCCCATCTCTCCTGCACATCATCCACGTCGCCCAAATCGTCCAATGTCGGCATGTTTCGAAGGAAGTCTCCTCCTACATGACTCGCTTTCTCATTAAGAGTCGTGTCACCCAAAGTCGAAACTGAGCCCGGTAGAGAGACGTAACCAATCGCTTGATCGATGATTCGTACCAATTTCAACATGCTTCGTTTATCTTCCACAGCCAAGGTCTCGAAATGTACAGCGCCGTATTGCTCGACCAGTTCCACCATTGCACGATTGAGCGCCTTCATCTTGGGATTGGGTCGAGTGTCTATGTCGAGCGAGTCGAGCAGGTATTCCAAATCCCGGCACTCAGTGTAGTACCTCAAGTCGAAAGCTGGCAATGCAACGTTCAGCCTGTGCCCGGACACAGTGCAGTTTGGACTCACGCAATTCGCCATAGGTGGACAGCAGGTCGATCTTTGATAAAACATTCACATGCGGTAATTCAAGCTGTAACGTGGCTCGCAGCGCCAACAACGCCACAGAGATGAACTTGCTCGCGTCCGTAATATAGTGAGCATCGGAAAGGTGAACGGCCACGAGCTGGCGAGGATGAGCCTCAGATCTCGCTCCACCAAACTCACTCTATGATCCATCTTTGTCAATCGCTCAATCACTCTCTTGAAACTATCGTGATTCGTCCACAGTTCAACTTGTCCAGGCGTATCGAAAATCACATAACCAGGCACCAGAGTTCCTTCTTGCAGCAACAGCTCATCCAGTCGATCCACCAACCAGTCCAGATTGGCTTCAAGATACTCGGCGACATAAAGCATGGCACCATTTGGTCCGAGGCCATATTCACGCATTACACTCTCGAGGGAGATGAGATCGGTGATGTTGACTGAGCAGGGGTAAGAAGGGGAGGGAGTAGCGGGATCGAGATTGACGACGTGGCAGGGTCGACCAAGAGCAGTGAGGAACTGAGGATCAGCGATTGAGCAGTGCACATAGCCACTCTCACACTCACCTGCTGCATCCCATGGGCGTAAGTACTCTTGCCGGCACCAGGAGGTCCAATGATGACCTGACCGAAAGCTATTCCATGTCGCTTGCCCTGGCGAGAGGGAGTAGAAGGAGAAGAGATGGCTCCGGACATGACAGGTCGCGAAGCAGAATCAGGAGTCGAGCCAAATTCTGAAACTTCTGTCGCCGAAGATGTTCCGAGCCCAAGTGCGCGGAGCGTGTCCGAGTGAGAAGTCGTTGAATCTGGTTGGTCGAGATGAGCCAAGGAGTCAATAAACGCCGCTAGGGACGAGGTGCGAGGCGGAGTGGTAAAGGTGGCTGGAAATTTGGCACTTGATGGAGACGAGGGGGAGGGAGGTGCTGGGAACTCGGCTACGAAAGACGGTACCGCAGACAGTATCGGCTGGTCTGCTGTGCTGGGCCGCGAAGCAAATCGAGGAGATGAGAAAGGCGAATGGATGGGAGAGATGGTTTTGCCCGTCCGAGAAAATGTGATGACCTTGCCCGTGTCTGGAGAATGTCTGTGAGACTCCAGCCCGGGTGATGGTGGTCTAGGTGGTCGGATAGGCGTACCGGTAGATCCAGAGTGGGCAGAGCGATGGGATTGAGTGGTCAGGACCGATTGAGTGCTGGCACCGGATAGATTCGACTTGTGTCCGAAGTAGCCTGCCCGCTCTTTCCTTGGTGTGGGAGCCCCAAACGTTCCTGGTGACAGCGCGGGAGGAAGGTTAGAGATAGAAGAGGATGGAGTAATGCTGATCAGTCCTTCGTCTCGGCGATTACCGGTTAGCGGATTTTCGGGCGAGTGTGGCGCTTCATTTCGGAAAGGTGGAATAGGGGGTCCTATTGGAGTCAGCGGAAGGTTCCTCGAGGCGATACGATAACTCACCAGGAGCGGTTGCTGTCGATTTATCATTCGCAGTCTTCTGTCGTACCTGAACGGCCGCATCCGCAACCTCGGATCTGCGAATTGACTCGGCTGAATGCGGTATAGAGTGGCTGTCCCCACTGCTACGGATAGCAACATCGTGATCTCTCATGACCGGTGTAGTGATCTCCGTATGCGCCGTCAGGCCAGTTCCATGCGTTCCAGATGTTTTTCCTGTCCCTCCGGTCCCGTTGGTGCCTGCGCTCGCATCCGAAGGTCGACGGAGATCCTGTTGTCGAACAGGCGACGTGAGAACCGCATCCGAGCGATTCGCCAGCGAAGGCAGCTCGATGCCTAGGCCTGCGTTACCTTGATCCAGACTGCCAAGTCTATCCCCCATGATGGAATCAGATGAGATCTCAGGCGAGGGGAATGAGTCGCTAGCGTCTTTGGGCGTCCGAAAGAACAAGCCCTGCGATTGAAATCAGTTGGATTTTCGCGGCTTGGACTCACCGCAAAGTCGCGATCGTCCATCATGTGTGAAGGACTCGGCGTATTATCCGGGCTGTTATCCCTCGGATTTTCAGGCGTCCTCGCCATCAGTCGCTCTCCGTGGTGTGATTCCTCCACATTGTCATGACCACGGCTCGACAATGTGCCTTGCTGATCGAACGGGTGAGTGTAATCAGCCGTGGGCGTAGTCATACCCGACTCGAGATCGCGATTCCAGCCCTCAGACGCAGATGTGTAAATCGTCGCTTTGGACTGTGCTGTTGTACTGGTATCTGTACGAAGCATGTTAGGCGGATCAGGTGGTAAAGGAATGGAGAGAAAGTCGCGGCCTGCGACATGGGTGGCGGCAACAGGAGTAGCTGCCTGAGGAGAGGGGCTGAAAACCGGTGGCGCCAAGATGGGTATACCACGATTGTCCCTTGAGGGAGTGATCCAAGACGACTCTGACATCTCGAGCGCAGGCAAAGCACGGCTTGGTAGTATTGCAGCGTTCCGTCCCAGCTCGGGAGTTTCCTCTCTGTCCCGGGACGGTGAAACCTTGGCCAGCGGCGCCTGCTCCTCCGTAGTCGATACGCTACCAGCTCGACGTCGATTGACAATTTCTTCCAGAGCTGTCTGCTTTCGCTGTCCGGATGCGGTCAAAGGAAGAGCCGCAGCCCTAGAGGGGGATGTATCGTCAAGAGCGATGGGCGCCGGCGGGGATATCGGACCAGTGTTATGAAGTGGAGCTGGCAGATGTGCTGGCACGGGATTCGAATGCCAAGAAGCTCTTTCATTCCGCTTATGAGCCGGCTTTTGCGACCCAATAGATCCATTTCTCGGTTGAGCAGCGGGGCTAGCGAATGCCTTTCTGGTTTTGGCGATTTGATGCTGCTTGACGAGCAAAGCTCGAGCGGGAGAGAGGAGCGTGTCGCGGGCAGGTGACATGGCTTCGCTCCGATATGACGGGGGCGTACGATACGTAACTGCCGAATCTCGGTCGCCCTCATGTCGACCTCGTCCAGGCGTTTGCCTAGCCGGTGAAAAGCCTGAGACTGAGCGCATTTCAGGTGACATGGCTTTGCCAACTTCAGCACTGAGGTCAGAGAATGGAGCCAATTCTAGCGTAGGCGATTGGTTACCAGTCGGTAAATCAGGGAGAGCCTTGTAAATGTTTGCGGAACTTGAACGTTGACTCGCGGTCAATGGCGGGAGGGAAGAGGGATGAGGTGATACTGTCACTGACAAGTCTAGTGGTCGGGGCGCTCTCTGACGGAATGAGGGTTCGCCTGTGAACGAATTGCCTGATCTTGCAGTACTGAAAGCCTCTAGATTGGTCGGACGTCTGGGATTGACCGGAGGAGCTCGATAAGCACTGGTACCAGGCCCGATAACGATGACTCCTTCCTCGTTATTGCGGACCCTTTCGCTCGTTCTTGGGTGCTGCAGTCGTAAGGTTCGTGGAGGCGGTCCCGAGGGCAGTGGAGGCAGTGGCTCCGCCATGGATTCTCGAGCAATTTGACTTAGGTCTGGTGATGACCGAGTATGCGTGTGCCCTCGAAGTCCTCTCAATCCACCATATCGATGAGAGGGATACTTCGCAGGGAAAAAATCCTCGCCTGCTGTCTGAGGTCCAGCTCGGTCGGCGTATCGAGTCGACGACATCTGAGATAGTCGAGGCAATCGATTAGGACGACGGACATCCTCCTCTGATGCCGACGGATGGATAGTCGGTCGTTCTCTGGATGAGTATCGCCTGAACAATGATGATATTGAGTTGCGCCTCCTACCACCATCCTGCTCCATAGACTGCCGCTTCTCATGCTCTTTGGAACGGATTCGAGCATTTCCTATGATTGGCGCGCCCGGTCTTGCCTTTTGATCCCCGAATGACATGCTTCGACCTCCCCGATGCACATAATCCGCCCAGCCTTCTCGCTCTCTAAGCCTTCTCTTACCGTCCTCCACGACTCCCCAATCGTCTCTGGATAGAAAGCTTGATCGATCGTCCGTTTCTGCCCGCCCGGGACTTGTCGGGGGAGTGATAACCAGCGGAGTGAGAGCTGGACGAGGGAAAACAAGCCGATCACAGACAGTCGGAGTCATCCAATGTTTAGTCTCTGAGTCCTGGCGCCGATGTCGAGAGCTTCGAGCGGGAGCAGAGACCGTCCTTGCTCTACTCCCTACCCAATCGGCACTGGGATCAAGAGGGTCCGGGTTATCTGAGGGACGTTGCCTTGCTTCGCGAGCCAAAGGAGAGAACAAGAGTTTCTGAGCAGCGAGGCCCGTGGGTACAGACGAGTCTGTGGGTAGACGCATTCCAGAAAGTGAAGCAGCATGATCGTTGTGCTGTCCGGGGGTTTGCAGTTGTGTCGCTAGAGGACGTTGTGGAAATGCCTTTGCAGGGATAGTGCTTGGGAAGCGGTATGTACGATTCGGGCCATTGTTCCCGGAAGGTAGCGAGAGCGGTGAGTGGAGGTAGCTCATTAAAGCACTCTGCTTTGAGGGAGGGGCGTGCGGGGAGGCTCCTATGTCCGAATCAGTGAGTCGGGATGGTCCAGAGTCTCTAGAGTACGGGATCAACCATTCGTCGGCTTCACTTCTGCGCGTAGACTTGGGCCGAAGCTTCGTGAATGGATCGACCATACTGACGACTAAAGACGATCGGGAACCTACATGATCGGGAGTAGAGCGTCGGGCAGTATGAAACGAAGTAGAGGACGAGGCCTCAAGCGAGTAGAAAGGCATTGGTGAGGGATGTGAATAGACAGTCGACGCGACGAGATGATGGGATTGAGATCCGAAGGTGTATTCAATTTCATATGCGATTCATTGGAGACCGAATCGTTGTCAAGATCATTTTTGGACGTTGAGAGATCGTCAACAAGGTCATGGATGCGGGTAGATCGTTTCCATGGATGTTGGAGCGTGGTGGAGAGGAGCAGCCAATAGGTTAAATGAAATTATTATCGGAACATGAGAAATCCGGGTGATCTTGAAGCGGGATAAGAGCGGAAGTAGAGCGTGGCGTACGGGGTATGTGGAGAGATAGAAGGAGGAAGGGCACGTAAGATGTCAGCGCTGGACTTGTGTTGAGCAAGTTCGGACAATGAAGTCCTCCGCTATAGGAATATGCAGCTTGAGAGGGCTGGACAGACGATGAGGGAATAGGATGGATCCGCTGAATCCAGGAGGGGTAAAGGTCTACTAGCTCAAGCTTTTTTTTTAGGAGTGGGAACCTTTTACTTCATCAGGGACGAGACGTCGGCCCTGGCAGAAGGTGGCTATGCGAACTTGGGGTAGACGCATGCAGGATTGGTTTGGATAGGCGACAGACAGGATGGTGATGGGGATGTTACGGACTGAAAGATGAAAGCAGACTCACGGTATACTCCGCCGAACTCGGTGCAGCAACCTAGCGGTTGCTGATGTCGCTAGTCTACCCCTCACAGCTTTAGTCGACCATCTCGTGGACTCTGTTTGCCAGATCACTCATATGGGAGTCGAGTGACAACAACAAGAGATTGATGTCGATGATCGAGATGATGAGATGATGGACCCAGCAGTGACGTCGAGGAAATCTCCCCCCTGAGAGGAATGTGCGCACTGACCTTCACACAAAGTCGTTATTGTGGCACTAGGTATGGGAACATTCAACGATGGACAGGACAATCCAAACTTCCACTCCCCAACGACCTCATCTCTCACCACAATTCCATCATATCCATTGCCCCCTACACACACACATGACCTCTCTGAGTATGTTCACATATCATGACGACAGATGATGATATTCACCCGAGGGCTTTGTCGAACTTTAAGAATGCTTTAAATGTCGCCCCCTTAATATAATGATCGGATGAATCAGAGCACACCAGGCCTCTCAACCTGCAATGCAATTGGCGGGAATTCTGGTGGAGCAGAGACCGACAAATTATACTCTCGCCATGACGAAGGGTTGCATCTATGAGCTTGTCCTAGCCTGTCTCGGACGATCTGTGCCGGATGTTCTGGAATCCCAGGTTCATATTTTCTCAGTAACTCGCGTGCCTTCAACGCGGGCCAAGGAACCAATTTTAGCGTGCAGCCATCTAGATTTCCCAAGGGTAAGTCTAAAGCGCTGAGTCCCGAGTCGGATCGCTCCATAAGGATGGCAGGCACGATTCTTCTGCTGAGTCACGTGCAACGGGGTAAGCTCTCTACCGACAAGTTTTAGTGGGTCTAATAAGCTGTCGTTGAACCAGCTTCCTTGGTAGAAATTCATGAGTTCTCACTCCCGAATCACAATTATCAGGCTGCTCGCAATGACGTGCAAGCGCTTGCTCGTGGGTGCCACAGAGGTCTTGTTTATAGTCAAGTGTACGCGATCGCGACCAAGCTGAGAGGAAAACACCGATACGAAACGGTAAAACCACCTGCAAGATACAAGGTCGATTCTCCAGAATTCACCGCTAGCACTGCGACCCATTACCGGTGAAGGAGTCTGACTGACTTGACTGATGCTCGAAAGCGCATTCTGTAGCCCGGAACATGGCCCTTCTCTCAGGATCACATGAATGACCGTTTCGCCGAGATTGATGGAAAACGGTCGACTGTGTGTGGGTGCAGAACTGCATCCTGCATCCGGCTCTCCGCTCAGGCTACCATTCAGGTTAGCGGGATCTGCGCTGCGAAGCACGGCGTGTGACCACACGCTGAGGCCGTCTCCTTCTTCCTCAGGCCGGGCGATAATAATCAAATTTCATTTCACTCTCGCTCGTACGGCAGGCAGATCATACCCCCGATGTCAAATTTTCCCTTCAGGCGGTGCAAGCCTGGTTTGGTGTAAGGAGTGGGGGGTCCACATGAGGATGCCCAAACGTACCTCTTCGGTGTCTGCTCTCACAGGTTTCTGCACGAAGAGGAGACCCGGATGCAAAAATGGCTCGATCCTTAACCTGCACCTGGACCGTTGCCCCCGAGACAACAAGGATGAAAAGAGGCGGAAAAAATGGGTCCACGATGCGGATATGCGATTTTGACCATGTGGGATGTACCGGCCGGAAGAAATACGGTACAAAAGATCCTTGATCTTACACCTCGATTGACTGAGATGATCTCGATGAGTCCAGTCGTCCATGGCATCGGGACAGCTGAAATCTCTGCCCGATGACGATGCATGATGCAAAAAGTACAAAACCGGATAGCCTCGGAGTGTTTGAGACCGTGTACAAGGCCACTAGCCAATCGGATTGCTTGCATTACACACTTTTCTTTTTTTCAATGGCCCACGCGTCGAATGCTCCCCCTCTACAGATATATTGCCCGACCACAGCCAGCAGTTCACCTCTGGCGTCAAGGGCTGACCTCGAACGTACTCTTTGTTTTTTTTTCCTCTCTCTCCCCCTCCCTCCCCCTGGGTATTTGCACGTTCAAACAAATGAGGGTCTCTACAACAAACGTGCTATTTAGGGATTCAACGCTGTGCATGATCATGATCTCTCGAGTTAATTTAGGACACGATGGGACTCATTGGGGTCGATCCCTCCACTTTGCTTCAGGCACTGAATGCAAAACTTCTTCCGCCTCTAGAGCGGGATAGCTCAATTATTATGAATAATTTTGGGTGCGCCAGCTAGGTAACGAAAGGAAAACGTGGATGAGAGAGAGAGAGAGCGAGAGAGGAGGAGGAGGAAGAAGCGACGGGGGGATCTGAATCCAGCGGATCAAAATCGAATCCTTGCAAAGCAAAAACCAACCAACCATGTTGACAATAAGGAGGTTCAGAGACCATCTGGTGCAAGTCTTCAACATGTTGGCGATGAGGCGATCCAGGACACGGTCACTGCAGCGAGTGCCATTCATTTCGCACGTCTTGTTCGTGGCACTGCTCGTTTTTGGACCAAACCATTGTCCAACGTTCCTTGCTGGCGCGTTACTCGCTCTGCATGCCGTGTTTATGGGCATCAACCTGAGGTGGGTTCGAGGGCATTAAAGGGCGAAGCTGACCCTCAGGTCCGTCTATGGAGCCTTTTCAGCATGGAGGGGAGTCAAGATCCAATCTTCCATCGATTGGCATTCAAAATATTTGGACGACGTGCGGGACAATGAGACTGCGCTCGCTTTCGAGGACGTGTCGCATCTGATCATCATCCCGACTTACTGCGAGTCCATCGAGATATTGCGAGAGACGTTGTATCTTCTCTCGACACATCGACTTGCAGCGGCGACCTATCACCCCGTGCTCGCCTTTGAAGCGCGAGAGACCGGAGCCGTGTCCAAGGCTCTGGCTCTTGTCCAAGAGTTCTCGCATCGTTTCGCCTGCATTGGATACACGATTCACCCAGCGGATACACCTGGAGAGGCGCGTGGGAAGAGCTCCAACCTCGCATGGTCAATACGACAAGCCTGGCAGGAGATGGAGTCGAGCCCAGTGTTGAAGGGCAAGATTGACAAAGTCGTCGTGACTTGTATGGACAGTGATAGTGAGGAAGCGTCATTGCTGTGCTGACGAAAAGCTGCACTTGCCGGCGACTACTTCGAAGCTATCAGCTGCAAATATGCCCTTCGCCCGGAGCAGGAGAGGTGAGTGACAAGCTTCAGGCCACAGCTGAGGTCAGGCCCCTTGTATACTACATCCCCCCCATTGCGTTCGACCGGAATGCGCACGAGGTCCCGTCTGCCGTTCGTCTCACCGATACAATGTGGTCAATGTGAGCGCTTCGAAATGAGAGCCGTGTTGATCGCGCCCAGAGCCGGCACTAGTGCAATTTTCCCAGAATCAACGACAAAGATTCCGACATCGGCATATTCCTTGTCTCTGAGTCTTCTGGCGAATGTCGGGTTCCACGATACCGGCCCGGAAGCGGTGAGAGCAGTCCCGACGGAGTCCAAAGCTGACGACCGACCAGATTGGCGAGGACATGCACATGTACATCAAATGTCTGTTCGCGACGGGCGGACGGCTCCTTCCAGAAACCATCTATTCCCCAGCGTCGCAACTCGATGTCGTGTCGTCACACGTCGTCGGTTGGAGAGGGTACTGGAATGCCCATGTCGCACGGTATCAGCAAGCCCTTCGGCATATGTGGGGAAGCTGTCAGTAGGATTTCAGACGCGTGAGCTGACCTTTCAGTGGATTCGCTGTACGCTGCAAGAATGTTGATGACTGGGGATTTTGTGGCGCATCGGCTTGAACCGTCCTTTGTCACTCAAAACACCGTCTTCACATATGACTCCTTTGACAACCTTGCGCCTCACCGACTGGGTCGAAGATTGTCTTTGTTGTTGCCGATGGAGACGGTCGAAGAAGTCGATGGGGAGTCCGACTCGGAAGATCTGTCAGATTCGACTCCAGACCTTTCGGATTCTAGCCCTGAATCCAGACCGACCATGGCCAGTTCCGCTACTAGTTTGTTCGAGCTCGCTTCACCATTAATCGAGACGAAGCCTCAGGCTGAAGTCCCAGAAGAGACCAGTACGCGATGGTTACCGTTCATGTCGCTAGCATTGAGATTATACGAGGCTCATTTCCTGATGGGGTGGGTCATAGTTTCAGCCATCAAAGCTGATCAATCAGTCACATCGCTCTTCTCGTCGTTCATCGAGCGCTCTTCCCAGTTCCTGAAAATTTACATCCATTCTTGCAATGGAGTGTCAATATCACCGACCGGTATCGCGGCATCAGCCCGATATTTCTGCTCATCGGACTTTTCCGTGAGTCTGTCTCACTGTCGCGTCAACTAAAACTGACGACGATAGTCTATGAGTTGTACATCAATGAGACGGTGACTGGTCGATGGAAACGAGCAGGCGACCGTTTAGGCATTCAATCGACGGATCAGCGGTCAAAAAGGATGTTGAGAAGCCTATTAGAGTGAGTCAGCGGCAAATTGGCGTTCGTTCCTGACTTGTCTCTCAGTGTCGCGTTCGTGCCGATTGCCACCGTGCTGGCAGTTGTTCCCTTATTTCACGCCCAATTCTTGCACCTCTTCACGGAACGTTTAGAATATAGAGTATCTCTTAAGCCGATACGAGAGGCGATAGAGATGGTGTGAGAAAGTAGAATGTGAAGACGCGGGCATCCATCCTATAAAATGACTTGGAGGGGGGGGGAAGTGAGAATGATAAACTTTCGGGTGACAGCCGATGGCCGAGGAAAGGAACCCATCCGATGGGGATGAGGTCAGCAATTGAATGTCAAAACAAAGCAAGGGGGATATGCGTTGTCCTAACCTCTTTGAATCCTCGGGCGTCTCTGTATACCCTCCCTCCCCCCGCGCCCCCCATAAACGTAGTCAGGCTTGACATACCACACACTGCATCCTCATGAACATTTTTTGTTGAATGCATTCAAAACATACCACGCTGACAATATATCTGTATCTATATATATATACATACCCTTCCGAAGCGGAATTATTTGAGGCCGATGCCTTGCAGCGCGGGCGCCGGCTCTGTGCTGGGAGATGAAGGGATCGACTGCTCCTGAACAGGCTCAGATGTGCTGTAGATGATCATAAAGTTTGACGAAGAATCTCATTGGAAAGTCGAAATGCGTCATTTCCCTTCCACCCGAAACTCGATATACATCTATCGGAGCACTTGGAAATCGCTCGAGACATCAACGCATCATAAAGTGAAGGATTTGGGCCGCAGGAAGCGCCATCAGTCTACTCTGTCTTTGACTTGAAGCCCTTGAACAATCTCAAAGCCGTCGCTTTCTCCTGCTGCCACCTGATGGTTCCATCGGGTCAGCCGATAAATTCGAACATCAGATGTCAACTCACATGATAGTTAGGACGAAAGAACCACACAGTATACCCAGAGCAATCATCCTGAGTTTGGATTCCAGATCGACTCTCCAGTCTCGCATCTCAAAACCTCGTCGAAGCACCAATCCTGAGCCCGTGATGACGATGGATGTCACTGATTTGGGTACAAGATCGACCAACCTGAACGCTGGGACTCGCTTCTTGACATGAAGCAGGGCGTAGATGATTCGGATTCCCATACTGAGACACGATGCAGCGATAATGATCTGTTCGACCCCGCCCATCGGTCCCACACTAAGCATGCGAGACATGTGCTGTCCGAAGTGCGTCCTCGTTGCTGCTGCTATGATGCCAACAAACGCTGCTGAACTGAAGAACATCCACGTTGCTTGTAGAGACACTTCCTTAGGGGTGGCAGTCGCCGTGTGGAACGCCTCGAGAACGCCATTGAGCGCCATGAGCGGAATGTACCATTCTAGGTACCTTCGCAGAATGAAAGGGGCGGAAGTGACCAGGTAGCGATGCGGCAAGAGGAGGACTGCGGTTGGGGGGAATAGAGGAGGGATGAAAGCTGGGCAGAGGAAGAGGATGTGGGCCACAATGTGTGTGACGAAGACGATGAGCTCCCGGGATTCTGGGACTGTTGATAGCGGATTGGATGAGAAGTGTAGGAGGAGAGTCTCTTCGAGCGGTTGAAAAGCCAGTCTGGCGACGAGGGATCCTGGTTCAATCAGCAAGACATCAGGAAGGTCTGACTTGCCATAATTCATAGCGACAGCATAGCCTCCTTGATCTCTGAGAGTGCACAATCGACTGACAGCAATCCTGTCCAGTTCGGTGAGGAAATGCTTGATGAAGCTCTGCCTGGTATTGGCAATAGCAAGTGAGAGAGCGGTAGAGTCGAATCGTGGTACTGCGCTAGACACTGATGAGCACACACCTGGGCTAATGACTTACTTGTTCCCTGACATGAGAATCCTGGACCACGCCAGTTCAGATGAACTATACGCCGAAATGTATCGAGCCACCAGCCAAGTTGCACCTGCCAATTGACCGAGAGCAAAGCCGAGCAAGGCTCTCTGAGGCAAGACGAGCAGGCTGAGGAATGTGGCCACTGCCTTGACTATCGCCATTCCACCGTGTGCACTGACCCTGACACTCAGTCTTGGAGGGCTCGAAGTCAATGTCCGAATGTACATCGGCTCGATAGCTAGCTCGAGCAAAACAGCGAGGACGTATAATCCGAGAGAAAGGTGAAAGTCGGTCTGAGAGGTGGTCTCCGAACCTGACATGTAGAGGTAGATAGTGATGAGGGCCGCGGTGATAGGCATCGCAAAGAAGAATGGAACGCTTGCGAGCCGTAGCTTTTGATCCAGATCTGCCTGTGCGGGTTCTGTGACACCTTTGCTTCTCTTCGTCACTCTGTCGGCGTCCTTCTCATCCATCGAGGTCGCATCAGATTTCCTCAACAAAGCATTGCGGATGCCTTCTCTGGACAGAAATTCGATGGTACTCGTGATGAGGTCGAACTGGATCGCGGCCGTCCCAAAGACTTCGGGCGAAGCTAGTCGCACGAGCGATTGGTTCAGTCCAAATGTCACGATTCGGGTCAAGAATTGGAGAAGGAATAGAGATCCACCAGTCTTCAGCGTTGTAGATAGGGATTCGGCAGATGCTTTCGAAACTGGTGGCAGAGTCTCCTCCTCTTCCTTTTTGGGGCTCTTCGCTGTCTCAGCGGGAGCGGGCGTGGACATGATGCGTCCAACTTGACTAGAGGGAGGTTCAATGTCAAGATATCCCACAACGTGGAGCTGGAAAGTGGGGGATCTAGATTTCGGTCATAAAAATCGTAAACCGGCAATCTCTGTTGTTCATCCTACCTCGAATGATCAGAAGCTCGGCGTCTATTCGTACAGGTGTCCACAAAACCATGACCACCTGAAGAGCTCTGCCGGCTGTCTTTTTGTGTCGCTCAGATTCAGAGTCCCGTGTGCGCCTCGTTCACATCGCTTAGATCAACATGCCTCGAGCACGTCGATCCGCACGTCCACCTTCTCGACGGTCATCCAAACTTGGGGCTATAGAGACGCGTTTTCACCTCTTCACATATGCTCTGTGAGCCGATTTTCCGAGTCTCGTACTCATCTGGTCAAGCTGAGCAAGCCTTCAGATCCCGCATTCCACCCAATCGGTTGCCCCTGCTTGCACTGTACGCTTATGCCGTAGTGCGCGCGTGCGAGGCCGGATGGATCGACCGAGAAGCGACCGGCAAGGCTGGCCAGGCTGTTGTTGGGGTCTTGTCCATGGGTAATTCACATTATATCTCATCCGTCTGCAACAATAACACTGATGCTGTGGTCCAGTAACGGGCCTTCTACTCTCATACAATTTCTCCAACTCTGTCAGCAAGTGGGAACAAGGCAAAAAAGTCTGGGTAGACGTCAGGACCACCATTCGAGATGCCGTTAGAACTGTGAGGATCTCAACCTTCTGTGCTTTGAAAAGAGCTCACACGCACCAGATCTCAATATCGGAACCAAGTTCAAGCGCTCCCTCGCCATCCGTGACAATGTCGAGCGTCGACGACCTCGATGATTTGTCCGAAGAACGAGATTCGGAGGATAAATCTGGCCCCGAAGTCAGGTCATTACGACGGTCCAATCGTCAAGGTTCAAGGCAGGCGTCCTCGCCATCGTCCACATCCAGCAAGATGCTTCGGACGTCCCCTACACCGATGCGCGGCGTGACCGCTGGCGTACAATCGGGGGCCGAAGAGAAGGTTCACGAGCTTACCGGACTATTCCTCGGTTTTGCGTTCGCCCTCCAGTGAGTTTTGCCCTCCCGATCTGTGTTGACTGCAGGCATCATCTACACAACACCCGCCCACTGCCTCAACCTCCTCTGTGTGACCTGCTTCCTCCAGCGTATTTGACATCTTTGAAGCGGACCGAAGCTCGTGTCCGATTTGCCGACGAAAACGCGGTGCCTCAGCCAGACTCAGACGACTGTGCGCTCTCAGACTCTGCGTCTCCCATCTCACATTTGAACGATCCATTCCGGCCGGGTTTAAAGCGTAGAGGGACAGGTCCAACCACTCGAGCTCAAATGAAAGCCGCCGGTGCTGACGAGTGGGACCTGTCGACCCTAGCTGGTTCGGCGACCTCGGTACTGTCCAAAGTTTCGAACAGTTCGAATCCGGACGACGATAAAATCTTCAAACAACAACTCTCTCAGCTCAACATACCCCGCACACCCTCGCCGCTCCTATCGTCCGAAAAGAACTATGAGTACGGCTTCAAGACTCCTACCTCTCCTGCGCCAACATCTCCGGCTCTGAGCAATACAACCCCTAGACCCAAGAGCAATCTCACTGCGCCGAACCCTCCAAATCTCCCGCTAGCATTGTTACGACTTATGGAATCATACTCGATTGGTTTGGCGACCGTCTCACGCGGAAAGGGAGGCTGGAGCGAATCGAAGCGTGATCGACTTTTAGGCGAGGTGAAGAGTTTAGCCCACTTGCTTGGCGAGGCGGAGAGGCTCTCCTCAAGTGGGTTAGGGCTGCTATAGCATTTCTTTCTGACGTGTTTTCTGATAGATCCACCACCTCTCCCATTGTCTCTTCACTTGGCTCATCTTCTTTTGATCTACATCGCCGCCCTTCCTTGTTCTCTTCTGTGCAATGTGGGAGGACCGCTTGTCATAGTCATCACAATTCTGGCTGGATGGTGTCTGTTCGGCCTCGAGGCGTTGGTCAAGGAAGTCGGTGGGGTCTATGGTATATCGGGTGAGTCGATGGAAGACTCGTATCGTTTCTAAATGCTTCTGCGCAGAGAACCATCACCCGCTGCAAGAGTACGCTCAGCAAATCCTCATAGAGTCCCTCGAGATATACTCGTCATTCTTGCGATACTATCGCTCCCGCCTCATCTCACGCTTAGGTGAAGAAGACTTGGAGGTGTGTGAGTTAGACCGAAGGTTCAGACGATCCACTTGCGAGATCGAAGAGTGGACGCCTAGCTTCGCGGTGTAAGTTCTAGTTTGATGTGCATGACATTACGACGCGACATAGGTCGCCTCCTAGATCCTGTTGTAGATGACAAGCATTCATTCCCCTAATGATATTCGATGCCACCCTGCCTCGGCGGTCTCCGCAACTCCACCGCGAAAGTTCAGGTCTGACGACCACTAACGTAACGATTGGTTTCACCTTGTGAACCTCACACGGTCCACTCTACGTCTCGCAGGCAGACACTCGCGTCCTCAACCCTGCCTCTGATCCCCAACTCCTGTCCTTGTTGCCCCTCTTGATTCCGTATTCCACATCTCACACCTAAAATGTCAGCTCGAGCTGTGAGTTCATCTAGACTCCCAACCCGCCAGCCATGTACTCGCGCTCATGATCATTTCGAAGATTGTCAAGTCAGTCTTGTCGGGTGACACTGTAGTCTTGAGACCCAAAGAAGCGCCCGCAAGAGGCACATCGGCTAAAGAACGGTAAGTGCAGCATATGACCCCTTCCGAGATGCACAGTATTCTGACTCCCTTGGCATCTCAGTGTCCTCCATATTGCTGGTATTCAAGCCCCCCGACTAGGATCCACAACTCGTGAAGATGAAGTATGTCTCTTGCATGCGGCGTCGTCTCACCTCGCTGATAATGTCCGCTCCCCCTTCATCCTTTCCCTCCCCCTCAGCCATTCTCATACGGTGCTCGAGAATATCTTCGAGCTTTGCTGGTCGGCAAAGAAGTAGCCTTCGCCATTACACACACTGTCGATGCTTCATCTCAGCGTGGAGCTCCCGGACAAGTGGGTATACATTCTCCGTTGAAGCTGAATGCCAGTCTGCCGAACGTGAATTCGCAAACATCTTCACGGCTCCTCCTGGACCTGGCCAGCCACCACAAGACGTCTCTCTTCAAATACTCGCGAATGGGTGGGCCAAGGTTCGAGACGGTGTCGGTGAAGGAGACGAGGCAGTCAGGTTCGTTACATCCCTGCCGAGTGCTTTCGACCCTGACATTCCCCTTAGACGACTCGGAGCAGAAGAAGCCAAACGAAGAGAAGGTCTTCGTGCCGCCGAGTCTCAAGCCAAATCAGAGGGCAAAGGCCTGTGGGCAGAACAACCGGAAAGCGTATGTCTAGTTGTAGAGATAGGCTAATGGCCTCATAGCAGCGCACGGTCTCTTTTCAAATGCCTCAAGATCCCTTGACCTTCATTGCTGAGCACAAGGATAGGGATATCGACGGTGAGCTCTCCTGCCTGTGATTAGGATCCAAGCTCATTTCAGAATAGCCATCGTTGAGCAAGTGCGAGATGGAACTCAGATGAGGGTCCGGTTGATCCTCGACGACCACACTCACCAATATATAAATCTTGTCAGTAAACAAGCTCAATGCTCAAGCAACTCGTCGCTGACACTTAGCTCAGGTCATTGCTGGAGCCAAGAGCCCTCGCGCTTCAAATTCTAGGGATGGCGACTCATCTTCAGCAGAGCCATGGGGAGAGGAGGTGTGTTCAGCACCTTTAGCCCATTTTGACCTGTTCCCAGGCCAAGTACTTCACGGAAGTGAGACTCCTTCAAAGACCCATCAAAGTCCGCCTCCTTTCAGCTCCTGCTTCTCTTGGTGCTTCGCCATTGAATGCTGGTCCGACGCCTGCCGCAGCCTCCACCACGTTGAAAGGCTTCGGCAACGGTGGCTTGCCCGCTCCTTCTGCAGGGGGAGCTTCGGTCATCATTGGCACAGCGTGAGTCATGGCCGTGACGTCCATGACTTAATGCGCTCAGCATTCATCCCAATGGCAACATTGCCGAGTTTCTCGTTGGCGCGGGCTTGGCGAAAGTTATTGATGTGAGTCTCGTAACGCTATCGAACATACTCATCTGATTCCTTCTAGTGGCACGCGGGGATTCTCGGACCACATGGAGGACTTGACAGGTTAAGAGCAGCAGAAAGGACAGCCAAGGAAAAGCGGCTGGGGCTCTGGGAAGGCTACGGGGCTTCGAGACCAGCTTCCAATGGCGTCAACGGCCATTCTAGTGCCCCTGTAGCGACCACCAAGGGTTCTGACTTTGACGCCGTCGTCATTAGAGTGTGGAACTCCGATCAGATCAGCATTGTGGCAAAGGGCGATGCCGGCGAAAAAGAGAGGCGGGTTCAGTTGGCTTCTGTCAGAGGACCAAGGTGGGCTGCTAGATTCCCCCTTTCGATTTTACTCACGTAGATTGAAGAGGTACCGAAGCTAAGCAAGCCTATTGGGCCAGCGAAGCGAAGGAGTGAGTGACCGGTCCAGCATGCGGGTCGGCTCACACATGCCCGGCAGATTCGTTCGAAAGCGCCTCATCGGCAAGATTGTTCACGTTCACGTTGATTACATCAAGCCGAAAGATGGAGAATACGACGAGCGAGAGTGTGTCACTATCACTTATGGTGGTGCCAATAAGTGGGTGACAGCATTCGCGCTGCAAGGCAAAGCTCATGCACATCCAGCAACATTGCCGAGCAATTGATCGAAAAGGGCCTGGCGACGGTCCTCAGACACAAGCGCGATGATGAAGATCGCTCATCGCAACTCGACAAGTTGATTGTTGCTGAACAGACGTGCGTGATTCCTCCACTCCAGTATTGAGATACTGACACCGATGCACAGTGCTGCTACCGAGGCACGAGGTCTGCATTCCTCCAAAGATGTCTCGCTTCCCAGAATCGTTGATGCGTCAGAGAATGCGAACCGGGCCACGTCATACTTGTCCACCTGGAAGAGAGCGGGACGTCACAATGCAGTCGTGAGTCTTGAGTTCTCGTTGTATGTTCACTGCTGATTGTGCGTAGGTCGACTTTGTGTCCGCTGGATCCCGCTTCAAGATGTTGCTACCCAAGGAGAATACCAAAATCACTCTAGTTTTGGCTGGTGAGTATCCTGGCTCGATGTTTCGCGCAGCTGACCATGGCGTGCAGGTATCCGAGCTCCTCGTACTGCCCGCAATGCTTCCGAAAAGTCTGAGCCGTACGGTCAAGAGTCGCTCAAGTTCGCCTCGCGATATATGCAACGCGATGTAGAGATTGGTTAGCCTTGCGCGCTTACCCATGGGACGATCTGACGAAAATCTTAGCCTTCGACAGTGTCGACAAACAGGGAGGATTCATCGGCTCTATGTATTCTGGGGGCATCAATGTAGCTGTAGAGCTCGTCAAAGAGGGGTGAGCATCGGAGTGCCAAGTCTGATACTGATTTACTTCCTAGTCTCGCGTCCGTCCACACCTACTCGGCAGAGAGTCTCCCCTTCGGAAAGGAGCTCATGAGCGCCGAGGAAGAAGCGAAGAATGCGCGAAAAGGGGTCAGTCGACACTGCACTGCTGACTATCCTCATTGTTGACGGAAGCCCAGATCTGGTCCGACTACGCTGGAGAATCTGCACAGGAGGCTCCACAAGACGCGACTGGTGCTCTCGTAGCCGAGTACCTAGACGTCTATGTCTCTGCAGTCAAAGACAGCGAGCCATTTGGTTTTTCCGTTCAAGTCTTGAATGACAACAGTGCGTGTCTGAGCCGTCCTGGGCTGATCTTGTCAGGTGTTGCCTCACTTGAGAAGCTCATGTCCGACTTTTCTCTCCATCACCGCACGCCTACCGCCGCAAGCCCCGCTGGTTTCTCGCCTAAGACGGGTGATCTTGTATCCGCCAAATTCAGCGAAGACAATCAATGGTATCGGGCCAAAGTGAAGCGATCTAGCGCTTTGAAGAAAGAGGCAGTGCTGTGGTTCATCGATTACGGAAACGAGGAGACTTTGCCATTCGCTCGTATCCGACCTTTAGACAGTAAATTCAAGAGTCTGCCGGGTCAAGCAAAGGAAGCGAGACTCAGGTGAGAAGTTGCGTCGCGGTGATCGACAGCTGATCATGGTGTAGTTTCGTCAAGGTCGTGTCGAAAGACAGCGAATACGGGCCGGAAGCATGGAGACGATTCGGTCAACTGACCGAGGTGAGACAAAACCTATGTAGCAGGTACTTAACGTGATCCAGGGCCGCAAGCTGGTCGCGAATGTCGATCACCGCGAAGGCAACTTGTTACACTTGAGACTTATTGATCCTTCTGATCCGAACGCTGCGGACGATCCGCTCGCCTGTCTGAACGCGGACATGATCAGAGAGGGCAAGTCTCGGCGTGGGCATCGCTGATTCGTCTCAGGTCTCGCTACCCTTGACAAATCTTGCCGATACCTCGCTGCCTACCCTCAAGTCGTTGAGAAGCTTAAACAGGGTGAGTGACTTCTCTAAAGACGACACGATGGCTGATCCGGCCCAGCGACGGAGGGAGCAAAGGCTGATCGCTTGGGTATCTTTGAGTGAGCTTATGGCGCATTGTTCTGTCGGTTGAATACTAAAAGACATTGCAGGTTTGGGGACGTCAGCGAAGACTAGATTTGAAGCCTTTTGGAAAGGCCAATTTGACTATCTGAATCCTTCAAACCTTGGACGGAATGCACTACAGCACCAAGCTCTCATCTGTCATCGCATCTGCATGCAACACTGCATTTGTCTATTGCCTCTTCAATCTTCCGCTTCTTTGAATGCTTGATCTTGATAATGTCGTCCCAGCACCCGTTTGGTGAAAGCACCAAAGGTCTCGCCATCCGGTCCTATCACGTCATCTACATCAGGCCTGTATGTGAGAGCGTGTCAGAATCAGCCTTTAGGCGCGAGGCTTCTGCTTACTGCAAGAAAAAGGCGAAAGTCTCTCTGGAGATGTACTGAGCCTGTGGTGAACCTCCCGAAGAACCGCTGACGAAATGAGGCGTAGCGGCTAGCCTATGGGAAGTCAGGATTTCCAAGGCTTCGCCTGTTTGAAATGCTAAGCTCATAAGAGAGATCAGCAAAAGACCGTTCAAGGATCTCACGCGCGCACCTAAACAATGCTGTGGTATAGCCACTTTGACAGGATCGGGCCTCGGAGTGCCCGTTCGGTGTCTAGGATATATCCAGAGACCTGCAGTCGGAGTTGGCGCAGACACGATCTGAGGGGAACCCGTCTCTGTCGACAGATACATCGCAGAGCCTGTCAAAAGGTCATCATTGGAATAGAGATGCTGATAGTTGGCAATATGAGGGGACGGGGAGCGAAACACTCACACAGCCCAGTGAGGAGCGAATGGTCCACATGAGTTCCGCAAAGTGCATCATTAGCTATCCTCTGACCATCGGATGGAGAGTCGGATGATGTTGTTGATGACGATGATGATGATGAAGCAGTTTCGGGGAAATAGTGTAGCAGTCGAGCCTGTGCAGTGTGAGCTGGATCCAAACTTCCGGTCAGGGATTCACCTTGTTGGTCTTTGAATTCGCAATGAGCGATTGGACAGTACTCTTGCTACCTGAAGCAACGTTCGACGCCACTGTCATACTGTAAATCAGCTCATGTCTTTGCATCCGAGGCGTTTCCTTCGCTGACCAAAGCTTTCACAAGCCGTTGCGAGAGCACATCCAACTTCGAAGATCAATGCTCCGAGTCTGCTCACAAGATCAGACTACATCGCTCGGGCAAGAGACTGACTCACGCTTTGAAGGTCTTTTCAAAGTCTTCTAAACCAGGTACGTCTCTAGGCCAGACGTTGCCCGCATAATACCTGGGGACGGATTTAGTTCGCCGTTTTGGAACAATACCTTACTCTGGATGAGCCTGCCTTTGAGCGTCGCTCACATTGGGCACGTCCAGCATAGGATTGGCGTAGTATGACCCCTTTTGGGTATCGGGGCGCTTGCCACAGGGTCAATTTCGAACCAGAGATGCTATTTTGCCCACCCCGTTCATCACCTCCTTCCCATGACTCCATCCAAAAGAATACGATGTCTCTGGCCTAACGAGTGATTCGCGGACGTCCTCCGAAGCCGTTGCAAATACCTGAGCGAGGCGAAACAGCTTCTCACGTAAAGCTGTGAATTGTTCAGGCAGATCTGAGGGATATGAGCGCGAGAGTGAGAAGGAATGCTCGTCCTTGTGATCGGACTTGGACTTGCCGTCAACCAAGATAATGCCGAGGCAACCTTCATCGGACCCGAACGCTTGTTGAATGTCTTCTGCAGCGGTATGCGGACTGCTTCGTAGAATCTGATAGGAGATACGAACAGGTTCAATCGACATGATAACGGCTTCCTAATGGAATCGTTCAGGGGACAGGAGGGTAGCTTCGTTGTAGCGGCGAGTTGTATGTAAATATCGATACTTTACAGTACGTGAACATGATCCGAATGCCGGATCGGAATTCAACGGACCATTTGCCGCTCAAAAGGCGCTCAGATCCAGGGCTTATGGGAGGCTTGTGAGTGATAGTCGCGTCCCGGATGCTCAACCAAGACGCATGCATGTGCTGAGTATACTCGTTCAAACGCAGACTGGCTCTCGACGAAACCTTCGCCCATCTAGGCGATCTCGGACTCCCTACCGTCGCAGATCGCAGGGCTGCCAAATGCCGCGGTCTCCGTGGCGGCAGAACAAATGGGTGACTGGATGACATCGACAACTATAATGCTCACTCTGATACGGGATGCTTGCATTTCAGCTCTCATGACAAGCGGAAGCTCGCGGTCTTTCACTTTCACTTTCTGATAAGCTGTTGTCGAATCGCGATGATTCATGAAATGAGTCAGTCCCGGAGAATGATCTCGAAGGCCGAAGGGCCGTAGAGTGTGGAGGATTGTCTGTGAGAAAAGAGACATGCATCTCCACATTTGGAGCCATCTCGCCGAGCATTCTGCCCGAATCAGTGTATAAGATGTCTAAACGTTTCCGCTTGCAGCCAAATCTCCGGTGGAAGATACCTCATCAAGGTTACCGTCAGCCATTCTCATGGTCTCGAGTGTGGCGTTTGTTGAGTCGGAGAAGGCAGAACAACGACACTTGAAGTGTTCACTCTCATTCGTTATCGACTTATTGTAAGTCTGAAGGAATGAAGGCAGCTTTGGCTTCCCTTCCAAGAGCTTTGCATGTACGGATAGACACGCTCTCATCTTTGTGAACAGTGTCCTCTCTTGCCCCGTAAGCTCCCGACTATTCGTCGGTCCATCTTGGAAGTCATTGAATGAACAGAGTAGCAGATTCAATTGGTCAGCCGTAGGAGCACCACTGTACGCGAATCTGGCAGCGCTGTCCCTCAGGATTGGTGAGAGCTCTTTCTTTGATTCTTCCGGGATGGATAGCAGAGTGTCCGTGATCTCGCCTACCGACTTGGACTGTCTCGGATCTTCATCATCGTCACCTGCTGATCCGTTTCGAGACTCGTCATGAGCCAGTATCCAAGCTTGATTCATCCCTGTAAGGATCCCCCAATTGTCAACAAAACACTTGGTAGCGACTGCCAAATCGAAGACATCCGTGTACGTAGTCGAGTGGGTTCGTGGCGCATTCGGGGCCATGGCGGGGACCACGACGATTAGGGAAGATAAGGTAAGTGCAAGACATGAATACTTCGGTGTGAAGGGTCGATCCTTATAGCCCCACTGTTATGTCTCTCTCTTCCCGTCCTCCTTTCACCCAGCTGGAACGCCTGATGTGACCACTTAGGAAGGCAGACTGGAGACAGCTTGAAAACGAACGATATTACACGCGGTATGCATCGCCTTGTCGCCGCCTGAAACGCGATACGGATACACATTGGCCATCATACCAGCCTCTGAAGTACATCCCGACCTGATCCGACCATTACCTATTCTCCGTCGAAGTCTCCTGAAGACTGCTCATGTTCATTCGCGAAGCCGTGCTCAGCGGCTGCGCTTGTGCGCTTTGCCTGTTGCGCTTGTGCGCTTTGCTTGTTTGTGGCATCTGCCTGGCTACAGTACGCTGAGGTTGTAGAGTATAACAACTCCCGGTCGAGTCTTCAGACCTCATGTCATTACCCTCAGGGTGATCATTCTTCCTTATCAAAGGGTGAGAGAAGCGAATCCTTTCAACGGGAGCTCCTCGGTTCTGGACCATGCGTGACGCCAGCCAGCTTGAGAGCCTGTGAGCCTGTGGTGAAAGGTTGCGTGGGAAAATGTGAGGCTGGATGAGTGAGTGATTGACGCGATCGAAAGCGCCCCTCAAACATTGTTCAAGATGAATCGTCTGTGTCTGATCAGATCACTTGCCCGGCCCGCGGAAATGGTCAATGCCCATTCCAAGAACGGCCGCTCATCCTGAATAATCTGTACTCATCAAGCTCGTTCACGACCGCCCGCGGGAAGACCACGGCTCGTGATCAATTACGTGGCGTCAGCAAGGTATGTAAACCTTGATTACTTACATCTAAACAGCGGCAGTTCACATTGGAGCTACTATATACCGCAGAAGCGCATATCACGAGGCTTTATCGAGTGTGTATCAGTATTACTGTATGCTATCCCGCAGGAAGTTTTTAGGACACTAATTGAAATCTGTGTCGGTTTTCCTTGGCTTGGCATTTTTTTGGGCTTGACACTGTACGAATCGGCGGCAGTGCGAATGTCGCCACATCTCATTCATTCCACCCTACCCCGCCTCATCCAAGGCACATACCATGCGTTGATGGAAAGATCTACCTTTGGTCCCGTGCTTTTAGCAACACCCTTTTTCTAGTATCTATGCGACGTTTCAGCTAGTCGGTTGCCTGGTCGGCTGGTGGTGGTGGGTGATCAGACAAAGTAGAGAAGGGAGCTAGTGCCCCACCTCCTCCTCCTCCTAGATCTTGGCCCTGGGCATCCTTTCGTCCCCGTCTCATCCCGCTTCTCATGGCAAGGTGATGAGTAGGGCGCGGGGCGGCGCGACTCCATGTGAAAGAAAGCTCGAGCGAACAATGATAGGATCCTGAGCAATGCGTGGTCTCCACTGCTCTCTACACACGGGATTCGACGGGCCGGCGACGATCCGGAATTCGCAGATCCTTTTACATCCAAAATCAAAAAATGAGTTACGTGGCTCCACACAACTGTATCTTCCGAGACAGGTGGTTCGAGCATATCTATTGTATCTTGACACTTCTTTCTGGCTCAATTCTCCCTTCCCTCCCTTTGCTCTCTCAGGCGGCTCGTGTCTCGACTCAGATTGCCGTCTTTGTCTCCAATACAGTACAGTAGATTCACATACCTAAGGGGGAGGAGATTGAGAGTAAGCGAAAACGAAGATCATCTGACTTTTCGAAACCTGTGGTGAAAAAATTGGCTCCATACCTGGGGAAAGCTTAATCAACCTTACACCTTCGGGATGTTTAGAGTCTGTGTGTGTGTGCGCTGTCTCTGCCCCTCTCTCTCTCTCTCTCTGTGTGTGTGTGTGTGTGTGTGTGCTTTGGCAAGTCTGTAACTCATGGATAGTATCACCCGGTCTATTGAATGAATGGCACTCAATGGCCTTTTTATTGACTCGCTTGTCACAACACTGATAGATTCTTATCCTCTCTCTCTTCCTGTCTTGAGCCCCTCATCACACTCCCTTCATGGCTCCACGTCAATCATCAGCTAGAAAGATGAGGTCCAAAGGTCGACGAACGACTTCAGGTACTACTGGTCTGCGTGACACTGGCCTATGGTCCCATTTCAGCTTTCACATGCCAAAGCTCACCACGTTGGACAAGGTCAACCAATCGGGCAGTCTGCCACTGGAGGCGTCGACGACTTTCACACCGATACCCCTACCCCTGGCTCTTGGGTCCGGAACCCAGAGCAACGTCCTTGGCCTATCAGGGATGTGCAGCGCCGTCGATGTGGCAGCATGCCACTCGACTCCCCATGGACGAATACATGACAATATCAACCATGTTGATCAGGCCGTAACGAAGATTCAATACCATCAAGATCTCACAGAATTCCCATTTCCTCCCCAAATGATAGCCCCCTTCCCTTCCTCTCCATCTGGTACAGCCCTCGCTCCATCGTCCGGGCAGGGACACGCTCAAACACCTTCGATTCAAATCACCAATCTCTTATCTGAATGGGAGGCTTTCACTCCATCTTCTGCCTCGTCGTCGTCGTCCTCTTCCTCCTCCTCCTCCTCTCCTGGTATCAACCCTGAATTCGCATCTCAGACGGATTTCGAAACGCTCGTCTCACCCGAGCCTGCCCTCCCTCTATCTGACCTGATACGCGAAGAGTACATCGAGATTCAGACTTCTCCTCCTCAGGTCGAGCTCAGCCTCAAATCCAGCCCAAGACTTCCTCAGCTTGGATTAAGAGCACTGCACTACGATGTCAATAACGATGGGTTCCGAATCCCACCTCCCATGATTCAGATCTCCCCCTTTTCATCCGTCCAAGAACCGTGTAGCCCGCTCTTCTCGCTGTCTAGATCCGCTTCCAGCCCAGCATCCCCTTCGGCATCGTTAACGTCTCCAGCATGTCAGATCACAGCCGTCGGTAGCCATCAGCTGTCATGGTCGGCCGCATTGGCCGAAGCCTGTATACGGAACGGAGGCAGGTGTTTTAGCGTACCCAATCAGAGATCAATGCAGTCCCAAGAGGATTTGGAATGGAACTTGGTTGGACTGTGTCCGAAACCTTCCTCTCATCCTCAATCGCGTTCACTCCCTGCGATAATCGATCTCGATCTTCCACCTTCCACTGGTATCCCTCAACCAGCTTTGATCGATATCTTCTCCCCAGAGTACCAATTAAGCAATGTCACCAATAAGGACCTTGTCCCTGTCCCTGTCGCAGGAAACTTCAAATACCCAGTGCCACCTCCCACTTCCCGCAGCGCATCTTCCCCAGCTCGACACCAGACCCTTGGCTCCTTAGCGACGATCAACGGGCAAAACGACCTGACCCTCACAGCATCTGCTCGATACCTCGACGGCCACCGGTTACCACTGGAACTGACGTCCCGATATCTCCTTCAAGATGAACTCGGATCCGGTGGCTTCGGCTTCGTTTGCTCCGCACTGGTGATCGACCGTGAATTTGACGGTATGGAAGTAGGCTCGGAAGTGGCAGTCAAATTCATCTTCAAGGACAAGTTGGGTTACGATACGTGGGGTGCTTGGCCTGTCGAAGCTAGTATCTTGGCACAATGCGATCATCCAGGTATTATAGGATTCTACGAGTTGCTAGAAGATGACAAGTTCTTTTACCTCGTGAGTTGCCGCGGCACCAGACACACACACACACTTGCGAGCACCTAGGGCTGACACTTTCCCATTCACAGATCCAAGAACTTCATGGCGATCCATGGGATCCATGTCATACCCTCGAACACCCCCATGCGGCGGTCCAGGCGTCCTCCGTCCCTCCAGCGCCTCTCGATCACTCAAATACCCCAGACGTGACTTCTTGCCCATCGGTTCTAGTCAATGCCAAGCCTGAATTGCTCAAATCACCGACCGCATACGAGCCGGACGTCAATACCTCCTTGCTTCAGAGGCCGATGATGGGTCGTAGAGCCAGCCATGATCTGTTCGAAGCTGTGGAACATCAGCGATTCAATGAGTTGGAGGCGAGGTACATCTTCAGGCAGATTGGTGAGTCGTCTGAAAAGGGGGTTGGTGACAGTGCGGGAGAAAGGGCTCTGACAAGGTCCTTTCCAGTCGACGCGGTTGGGTATCTTCACCATCGAAACATTTATCATCGAGATCTGAAGGACGAGAACATTGTCATTGATCGGAATCTACAGGTGAGTAGTAGTGTTTTCGGAAGAGCTCGATCATAGACTGGCAAGTAGCTCACTTGCCTCAGATCAAGATTGTCGACTTTGGCAGCGCGGTTTACGAGGACAGGTTATGTCCACCAGTCTTGTATGACCAATTCCGAGGGACGATAGCATATGCCTCAGCGGGTGAGCATGCTTGATTCGTCCCTTTGAACACCGGCGCTGATACAATCTTCGCCCTCAAGAGGTCCTCTCTGGCCAGTCATATCGTGCAGGTCCGACAGACATTTGGTGTCTTGGTATCCTTCTCGGTATACTATTCACTGGCGAATCCCCCTTTCCCGATCCGTCCTACGCCAGACGAGGTAAAATTAAAACGAGACGGCAAATGCCTCCTGGCCCGTACGACCTGATGAAGAGGTGTTTGGTTGTCAAACCAGAATTCAGAATCACGATACATGGTGTGAGGGAACATGAGTGGATCGTGGGAACTCCCAGAAAGGCGCTGGTTTTGCTTTAGTTTAGTTTTGGGACAAGAGAGGGACATTTCATTAGATTTTTGGTTTCTGCTCGAAGCGCGAATGACTTGTTGATACGATTCCGATGAGTGTTATGGAGTCGCTTCATGTTTGGCTCATATAGCACATATGATTTTGTCATGTATGTGACGATGATGATGATGCCACCATCGATCGATGCGAGATGGGGGCTACCGGACGAGGTGGGGTGATTCCATGGGAGATCGTGAGTTTCAAGGCCGCATTGAAACACTTGTCAGATTCATTGAAAGTTCTGAAGCTGGATCGAGCACACCTAGAGATTTGGAAGAGCTTTGAGGAAGAAGAGGCCTTTCAGTAGAGCTTTGAGTCAGGCGTCAGGTTTCATTACTGGTAGGTCACATCACATTCCGCTCACGGGCGGCGGTGACCGCCTATAAGGATGTGACAGAGTCTCTCCTATCATTGGAGGTCCCCCAATGCACTGAGTGCCCAAACGATGCACATCGAAACCTTGGATTTCAGACCAGGCTCTAATAGTGTCGCGATGCATTGCGATTCTACAATGACTGAAACGCTTTTTTTGCTGACCCTTCAAAAAAAAGGGGGCCAAGTAGATACCCAATGTACAAGATTGTAGTTAATTGTACAGGTACAGGGTATCAGAACAAAGTTTGATACAATCCCCACCGTTCAAAGACTATCGAGTAGGATGAACCCTTGCCTCTTGGCGGTGAGGATGACAAGTGAATGTGACGCCTTGCTCAGAGTGCAGAGGGCTCGGAATTATACTAGATGATACAGATTATAAGGATTTGGGCTTGGAGTCCATTAGCCGGCAGTCGAGCCGACGGAGGCCAAGCCGCGTAGCGTGAGAATATGTTTCTCCTTCATTCGTGGGAGGTTGAATGCCTTTTATCGGCCACGGGTCAATGGTAGTGACTTGGGCAGTCTTCCCAAAAGAGCCATGAGCAGAAGAAGGATTGTCCATATTTAAAACAATAAAATGGGGGTCGTAAGGGGGGAGAAAAAAAAAAGGCCCAAAAAGGAGTCACGAGGTTGCGAAATTCAAAGCAGGCCACCCTACTTGTATTCGGCGCCGGCAACGATGAGGTTGCCTAATCTCGCGACGACTTCGTTGAAGACCAAGAGGTTTCCAAGGGTTGTGGCGGTATTGCTGTCCTCTGGTGAAGTACCGTTAACAGTCATAGTGGCGGCAGCAGGGAGAACTGTCCCGTTCGTCGAGATGCCCAAGGCATTGACGGAAAGGGTAGATCCAGAGTGAGAAGCGGATGAAGTGAGAGTGGAAGCGGACGAGCTAGTGGTCGACGTGGTAGAAGTCGAAGGTGTCGTAGAAGAGGTGGAGGTGGTTGTTGGTGTGGTTGAAGAGGAAGATGAAGGAGGAGGAGGTGGAGAGTAGGTCGATGTAGTGGTTGGTGCTTGCCAAGTCGAGGTGGTAGTGGGCGGCGCTTGCCAGGTAGTTGTAGGTGTAGGCGTTGGTGAAGGTGAAGGAGAGGGAGAAGGTTGGTTTCCACCACCACCACCACCTGAACCATCGTTGTACCACCAATCAACATAGATCACTCCCACGGAAGTGTCGGCAAAGTGTTCGAACAGTCCCTGACTGAGATCGAGACCTCCATAAGGGCAAGACGGGCATTCGTCTGCGATCTGAGCGACGGCAGTATTTCCATTGTACGAGATGGTGATCATCTTTCCACATTGTGGTCCAGGGTATCCACCTCCATATTGATCTGAATTGAGTGCGACAATGTAATCTGAGGGTTGGTTGTACCATCCACAGGCTCCCAATCCTACAGCGTAGTAGGTCGCTCGCATGCCATCAAAAGCGCGTTCAGACAATGTCTCATTGTGATTTCGAGTGGCGGGTTGTTGAACTTGTGCGCGGAAAGGTTGAGGTCGAGCAGAGATGGAAGGGAGGAGCGAGACGAGGGAAGAGAGGAGGAGGGCAGTAGAGAAGAGCATGGTCTTGGAAGTCCAGTGAGTGCCAGGATTGGCGATGTCGTGTGGCCTCGGTCAGTTGGCCACTGGTGTGTGTATATCCTACGAAGAGGAGAGAGAGTGTGATCTGCGTCGATTCGCAGCAATGAGTCGGTTTGGTCGTCGCCTTCTAGTGAGAGGTTGGGCTGTGAGTCGAGAGAGAATGACAACACAACACACGCAAAGGGGGGGCTAGGGTTGAAAGGGTTGAGTCCTTTCAAAACCTCCTTTTAACAAGTCAGTCAGCGCTTGGACCTCATGACGTCTCTAAAGGTCCTGGAAACTCACACAATTGGCGCGCGCGGGGACCTTTTTCTTGGGTGAGGAGGTGGCTGAAACGCAACGTCGGTTGATTGACCTTTTTGGTGAGCTTGGGTTGAGGTATAGATAGATAGACGGGTGGGTCAGTATGGGGCATAGATTCACATCTCGATGCACTCTCCATTCTATATGAACCCCCCCCGCGCTACCCGACCGGCCACTATGACCCATGAATTTGTCCCCAGAAATCGAGTGGCTGGCCATTTTTGAGGGTGTCTGCGATGATCTTCCATTGAAAAAAGAGAGTCTGGACCCCATTGTCTGGAACGGATGATTTAGACATAATAAAAATAAAAATCTCATCGGATGGGACAACACGCGTAATGTGGCGGAAAACAGCGCATGGGGAGACAGAGAGAGACGGGGGGCATGAAACACTTCCGAAAAGGTTTTTGAGGGGACTGAACAACAAAAAAGGTACCACCGAACCCGTGGCGGCGGCGGCGGCGGCTCTTGACTTGTGAGCGAAAGGTTTCGGGTGAACATTGCTTAAAATTTTCGAGGGGACTGACTGACTGGCTGACTGACTGCTCTCTGCTCACACGACTATCCGTATCTCTCTCTCCTCTCATTCTGACTGAGAGCCGTCCCTGCCGCCGCCGCTGCTGCTGCTGCCCCCCACATGGCTGACTGACCCCTCGCACTTTCTCAGAGAACGGGGAGATTCGCAATATAGGCTGAAATAGAAATCTCTTCATATCTCGTGGTCCAGATCTCTCTCTCTCTCTCACACACACACACACGGGAAGCATTCAAATGTGTATATTGCTAATCAATCGTGATGGTCTAGATTATGCTGCTTGGATTTCCCCACTGCCGCCGCGCCTCGAGATACTTGTTCGGGCCCAGGATATAGCTTCCGAATAGCTTGGATGTTCTTCCCCACTGGATGAGCCGCTATATCCCCAATGTTCGCCATCTTACGTTCCAAGACTCTCAGCATCTTCTCGGCTATATCTGTATATTCCTCTTTGGCCCAAATGTTGAACAGCTCCATCGGATCAGCTTGACAATCGAATAATTCCCATTCTTGAGTCTCTCCGCCCGTACGCGTACCGGGTAAATCATACCCTAGATTATACCAGAAGATAAGCTTGTATCGTTTCGACCGGACACCATAATGTGCCTGCGGGGGGCGAGTGAGCAAGGAAAAAAAAAGAAAAGCGGCGCTGGACACTCACATAGATGTTATGAGGTATATCTCCGTGCATCCAATAACGATGGTACGCCACTGCCCATTCATCTTGAGGCGGAGACACTCCACGCAGCATCGGTAGGAACGTCTCTCCTTGCATATAGGACGGTTGAGGGATGCCAGCGAAATCTAACCACGTGGCGGCAAAATCCACATTGGAGATGATGTCGTTGCAGACGGAGCCTGGTTTGATCCCTGATCAGGACGGTCAGCGAGGACTGCGTGCGGACCGATCCTCCCTCACCTGGACCCTGGATGAGGAATGGCATCTGATGTCAGATGGCATCTGGCTAGACACACGCCCACCTGGAAGCTCTCCTCATAGATAAAGCGCTTGTCGAACCAGCCATGGTCACTAAGAACTCATCAGTCTCAACGATCCGTCACTTCACTTACCCCAAGAAGAACCCTTGGTCAGACGTGTAGATGACCATCGTATTGTCAGTAAGACCCTCCTTGTCCAGCGTCTCGAGTAAACGGCCAACACTGTCGTCCACGGATCTAAGCGCATGAGTGATGCATCACCGAGAGTGTTCAAGATGGGCGGTGGTTTGAGATGGCCAGCTCACTGTATAGTCCTGAGGTACCTCTGCATATACCTCTGGTATTTGAATTCTGCAAGCTCCTTCTGACTCTTGAAGGTGAATCTCTCCCCTGTGTTCCGATCAACCAAGACCAGACCCTTCAGATGGTCGTCATCGGGGAAGGGGACTTGTTTCAATCCACCTGTGTCGCATGAGCACCATGCTGTACGATTCAGTGGACCCACCCGCTACGCCCCAGTCTTCGCTCTGACAGAACCCGACGCTCTCCCCACCTTCGGGCTGGCTCAGACCTAGATCCTCGTACGTCATGTTCACCTTGACCTTGTTACTCGCGGCTCCCGCCGCAGCGGCTCGATTGGCGTAGTCGTCATCGTACGTTGTCGGGACTTTGATAGGATCAGAGTAGAGATGAGCATGTTTAGGATGGCACACCCATTCTCTGGGTGTACATGAATTGGACTGGACATCTGGCCAATGGGAGGAGACAAAACTCACCTATGTGGCGCCTTGTGATGACACATGACGAAGAATGGCCTGTCCTTGTCCCTCTGTTCTATGAAGTTGATGGTCTTGTCCGTGATAAGATCGGTCACGTATCCCTTTTCGATATGTCTACCTTTTGGCGTGATGAAGTCTGGGTCGAAATAAACCCCTTGACCAGGTATGACTTCCCAGTAATCGAATCCACTCGGTTCGTGAGATTTTCCCTCACCCAGATGCCATTTCCCAATGATGGCAGTCTGGTAGTCTCCATAAGTCCCTGTGATCGTGATCAAACCAGGGGTCCCTGAGTACACTAAAGGAGGCAAATAAGACTTACTAAGCTGCTTGGCTACATTTGGAAGGTTGTTATCGATGGCCGATTCCAACGTTTGAACCATATTGATGTGATTGTGCACACCCGTCAAGATGGTAGCTCGAGAGGGTGTACAGATGGAATTGGTCACATAGCAGTGATTGAACAACATTCCATTCTGCGCAATAGAGTCAAGGTGTGGTGTGTGATTCAATCCATGACCATAGGCTGAAATGGCTTTCGCAGCGTGGTCGTCACTTCGCAACAGGTCAGCAAGCTTGCTAGGAGGGGAGGCATCACAAGGCATGAACTGACGCCATGATGAATAGGATGTTGGGACGACCAGGCATCTTGCCGATCGTACTGGCCTCGGTCACCTTCATGTGCGTATGACAGGGCTTCTCAAACCACTAATTTCGCCGAAGCCTAGACTGCTGATGGTCCAGAATGGGGTCGCACTTCAGTTCCGACGACATCTCGGAGCAATCGGTTCATGAACCGGTCAAAGCCGAATGACGGACGGATGGTCCACGTGGCGTCATGTAAAGGTCGTTTTTGGTGCTATTGACGGCCAATCTTCTCTATGAAAATCTGCTCAGAGAGAGGACTCGCGGTCCCTCATACGCGGACATCGTTCTGTCGGGCTATGCGCCCCACTAGCTAGTGCCGCTTGACGTCTGTCGATGTCGGTCCAGTGGAACATGTCCTTTCCACTTCACGATGGTTTTATTATGAAGGAGTCCTCTGTATTGATTATATCGAGACCGGGATGATTGTGGTGTATTTTCATTGCTCGTTTCACACGCTGACATTGTGTCTGGCCATGAGGATCTACTGCACGGTTATGTGGTACTCGTCACTGGGTCGTTACGGACACGCGACGGATGTGGAACGTGCGGATCTGTTCGTTCTGGAAGATGAGGAGTGTACTGTCATGCAACACGCCTCCTCTCAACCGCGTCTCCTTGAACTTAGATTCGTCAGAAAAGCGACTTTCAGGCTGTGACTTGTAACTCTATGCCTTCCATATGTGACTGCAAGATACCTGCCACTGCAGGAAGCAGCCGCTCTGCTGCCTGACTCCATACCCCCGAAGACGGGTCGCCGAATAAGCGGAATCACGGAAATTTCGCCGGGCCGCATTCGACCCGAAAGGTGGGGGGGCGTGCTATGGCTGTCGTGGGAGACAATGGTCCCTATAATCAACATACATGTACAGAACCAGCCATGCGAGATCCAATCACAGTGGCAAGTCCAGATGGTCGAATCTGTCTGAAGCTTGCTACGCCAGGCTCGACGCTATGCTACACGGTGTCCGTTGACGAGCATCAAGTGCTCTTACCGTCGACCATCAGTATCCAGCTAAAAGGCTGGGACACGAACCACAATGTCACACTTGGCTCGAGTGAGAGGTCCTCGATCCATGAGACGTACCCCTTCTTTGGCTCACGGTCCACCGCTATCAATCATGCGAATCGAACGACTGTCAAAGCCTCCATTGATGAAGAAGAATTCGAGGTCGACATACATGTAGCGAATGATGGCGTTGCTATTCGATTGAGGATACCAGCCAGAAGAGGTCGACACATCCGTGGCGATTCGAGCTCTTGGCATGTCCCTGGAAACACAGTGGTGTGGTACGGCGCCTTATTACCAGACTACGAGAGTCCCCAGCACGAGACGACTCTGGAGAACCTGCCAGAAGGCAACCTTGGATTCCCTCTCACTGCGCAGTTGCCGAGTGGACACTATGTGACATTGACGGAAGCCGACGTTCAAGACTATGGAGATCTAGCAGTCGCTAGAGGGTCTGACGGAGCACTGTATGGGTCGTTATACGCCGATCCCTCGGGCTGGACTACGGACGAGGAGATCACCCAACCGTGGCGTGTGACGATCATCGCGAGAGATTTGACCGGATTGGTCAATACAACGCTCGTACAGAATCTCAATCCTGGTCCTGACTCTTCTCTTGCTTCGGCAGACTGGATACAACCCGGTAGATCGGCATGGCAATGGTTAGCCAGTGGAGACCCCGTCCTTGAAGAACAGCATCAATGGGTCGATTGGACTTCCGAGTTAGGATTTGAGTATTATCTAGTGGATGAGGGTTGGAAGGATTGGCCAAATTCCTGGGAGAACCTCAAGGAGACTGTGGAGTATGCCAAGGGAAAGGAAGTGGACGTTTGGATCTGGGTTCACAGTAACCTCGTTACAGATGTTGAAGAACGTCAGACCTATTTCCGAAAAGCTGTGGATGCGGGTGTCGTAGGCGTCAAAATTGATTTTCCTCCTCCCTCGAATCGGACGATATCAAATTGGTACCATGAGACGGCGCGAGATGCTGCATCACACCAACTCATGGTCGATTTTCATGGTGCCACCAAACCGTCAGGCCTTGAAAGGACATGGCCAAATGTGTTGACGAGGGAAGGAGTCCGAGGACACGAATGGCATGTCACGCGGTACAACCGAGTTCTCGACTCGGATCACGATGTCATTCTCCCTTTTACGCGATACATTGCTGGACACGGGGATTACACGCCCACGGTATTTGAACCAAAGGAGCTGGTGGGGAATACATGGGCTCACGAATTGGCTCAAGCTATCATTTTCACTTCCCCGTTCCTGTGCTTTGGCGGATCACCAGAGACGTACCTTTCAAACCCTGCCTTGGACGTATTGAAAGCCATTCGACCGGTCTGGGACGAAACCTTAGTCTTGCCTGGCAGTCGGCCCGGAACGCTCGTCGCGGAAGCCCGTCGACAGGGCGAGGAATGGCTTGTGGGCATCCTCAATGGCGCTGAGAGAAACACAGTCACCTTGCGCCTGGACGACTTTCTAAGTCATGGTCGTCATTGGAAGAGTACGCTATTGAGAGAGCATCAGAGTAGACCAGATGCCTTTGATCGACAGGACGTGATCATGTCACCGGAGAACAAGCTGGACATCACGATGGGGCCAAGGAGCGGTTTCGTAGCTTGGTTTAGGCCTCAAGAGCGGACTTAGAGGATGATACAGCGCTGTGCATGTACTGTTCAATGCCAAGCTGGCAGAATTGACACTTCGGCCGAATGGTCAGGAAAAGATGTTCTACTTTCTTTTATCAGATAACGAAAAATCGGGCCGGAATTTCTGAAGCGGTAAGGTAGTCTTGGCAAGTATGACAGACACCACGCATACATGTAGTCCAAATGAAGGGTATGCTAGCACCTGGGATGACACTGGAGGAACAGGGATAGCATGCTTCGGCCGACGAGAGACTGTCAGAGCTTTCGTTATGGGAAGAGTCTCGAGATAACACTCTGCAGAACGGCTCACTCTAGCCTCTTCATCGTCTGACCTCTCCTCACGTTAACGAGCCAGGACACACACGCAGACCATGCCTGCTGCGCTGAGTTTCCGAGATTCTGCTGGGGACAGTCGATCTACCTTGAACATTATGCCAGTCACTCTCAGTCAGACGGACGATCCAGAGGTCACCAAGCAACAACCGGACGTGAAACCATTACCCGTATCGTCTTCATTGACCAGCGGCTCCACAACGACCGTCAACGATGGACCGGTCATTCAGACCAAGAGCAAAGGTGTCGTAGAAATGGAGAATCTCATCGGCAGACTCTCTCCTTTCCTCCTCATTATCATCTATGGCTCATTCATGCTTCTTTCGTATACTTTATCGTTAAGTAAGTCTCACGAGTTTTTTTATCCATCTCTTTTCTCTGACCTTTTGCCCCAGATCAATACACTGCCAGCTACTTTCTGAACATTGCCACGTCTGAATCTTTCAATCAACACTCCCTCCAGGCATCCGTGACGACCATCGCGGCCGTCTTTCAAGCTATGGCTCAACCTCCCATCGCAAAAATGGCCGATGCATTTGGCCGAGTTCCTGCTGAAGCGGCCTGTGTGATCCTATACGTCCTTGGAAACGTCATCATTGCGTCGTCAAGGAGTATCGTCGATTACGCTGTCGGAGACTGTATCTACCAGTTGGGAATCACTGGATTATTCCTCTTGCAGAATATCATCATTGCTGATATCTCCAGTCTGAGAAATCGATGTAAGTGCATGGGCGTAGCGTTGGCGGCAAGCAGGTAGGCAGCGCAGGCGTGAGCTAAAGGAGGTTCCAGACTTTTGGACCATTTTCCCGTCGATTCCTCAAGTCATCAATGCGTTTGTATCTGCAAATATCGTCGATAGTCTGTTGAACAGAGGTCCTAACACGACGCAATGGCGATGGGGATTCGGTATGTGCTTTTATGCGCAACGAAGGCGAACGCTGATGGGGTTCCAAGGTATATTCACCATTCTTATTCCTGTCGTTGCGATCCCCATCCTCGTGACCTTGTGGTGGGGAACGCGTTCATCCAAAGGCGAACGAACAGCTGCAGAGACGTCATCTGCCGGACCAAAGCGACCGATCCGGAAACACCTCTGGCGAGGAGCTGTATCCCTCTTTTGGCAGCTCGACTTCATGGGCTTGCTCCTCTTCGTCGTCGGCTTTGGACTCTTGTTCGTCACGTTGACGCTCGCCAATTCGCAGACAGCTCATTGGTCTGATGCCCACTCCATCGTCCAGTTGGTTATCGGAGCCATTGTGATCGTGGCTTTCGTCCTCTGGGAAAGGTATTACGCTCCCCATCCCCTGCTTCCATTCGCTTTGCTCAAGCGCAAGACAGTCATCGGATGCTGTCTGATCGCGCTTTGGCATCCGATGGCCGGAACGATCTCCGCTGGCTACCTGACAACATTCCTACAAGTCGCTGCTGGTCAATCCGTCATCTCTACACAGCGTATCACGTCGTTCCCCGCGGTCGCAGGCTGGATCTGCGCGATTGTCGGAGCGTGGGTCGCTCGTCGATTCAGGGTCCTGAAACCTATCATCATCGCCGGAGCTGCCATTGAGACTTTGGCTATTGGTCTGATGATCCGATATAGGACAAGCACCAACACACAAGCCGAGCTGGCTGTCGTTCAGCTCATCCGTGGCGCCGCGAACGGCTTGATCCCGTACCCCGTTCAAGCATTGATTCAGGCTTCGGCGCCACATGAGCACCTCGGAGCAATCACTGCTGGTTGGTTGGTGGTGTATTACCTTGCGGTGAGCCAGGGAAAAAATAGGGATCCATGCAAGCGGTTGACGATGGTGACCAGGGAGGTATAGGCTCTGCCATTGGCGGTGCCATGTGGACGAACATTGTTCCCAGAAAATTGGGCCAATACCTAGGTGGCAACGATACCCTCATCGAGATGGCATATGCCAATCCGTTTGGATATGCTGCTCAGTTTCCGATGGGAACGACTGAACGGACGGCAATATCGAGAGCACAAGATGAGGCGCAAGTGAGTCGGTGTATGTATCAGAGCTGATCGCTCGAAAGCGTACTATGGTCATTGTCGGTACCATTGTCGCGTTCATTGGCCTAGTAACTTCGATCTTCATGCTTGACAACTGGAAGTTGACTGATGAGCAGTCACTGAAGGAGTCGGAGGACTTGGTCGAAGAAGGAGTGCAGGCTTCCAGGTTTAAGAAGCGCAATGCCGCGTAAAGAGTGGTTGGTAAGCCAGCCGATAGAAGGAGCAGCCTCGCCAAGCTGCCGAAATCGATGATATGCATCGAGTCGATATAAAACCGTTCAGCTTGTCATCCATTGCACCACCTCCATCCCCATTGGCTCTGAGGTGCAGGCCCAACGGCAGGGTCACCATTGCCTCCGTCTTTGGAGTGTTCGCCGATGAAAGCATAGCTTTGTCGGCCAGTGATGTGCCGGACCGGGCATCGGAAGACCAAAAATGCAGGGCAAGCGCGATCCGCCGCATCGCAGTTGTTGAGACACGGCAGCAGCTCGTCATAGTCGTAAGTGTATGGGACACCATTATCTCGTGGAGAACTCGAGTTTCGAGTCAACGTCTGAGGCGTAATGTCTTGGCTTGGATTCGGCGAAGCGCTACCAGCGCAATGAGGCAGGACAGCTCTGCATAACCAATTTCGGTACGCAGCATAGCAGTCGGCACAGGATGAAACGTGGGAATAGAGATCTCGTCCACACGCTGTCGTCTTGAGCGACGTTGAAAAGGATTGGAGCGAGGACGTCAGAAGGGCAGTGATGTTCTCGGGATATGAGCGGAGAGGCATCGCCACCGGAATATCTGAGCCGGGCAGGGTTGTAGTCGTTTCGTTTGCCTCGAGCGGTGTGGTATAGCCCACTGAAGGACAGATATCGGTCGGAAGAGCCAATTGACAGGGAAATGAAGCTGTGGAAGTGAATGAGTGACTATCCATACAGCGGCGAAACAGCTCACAATCTTTCGTCGCGAACCACATGGGTCGTGTGAGAACACCGGAATCATCCACCGCCCAAGCTGTATAATTTGTATCTGCCAATAGGTTTCCTACGACCCACATGGTTCTATAACCTTCCCGATCACCAATATTGACCCATTGGGTCAAGGCGTCAATAATCATGTTCTCGCTCGCAGCGATATGGCCGGTAGAAGCATTTGCTCTGCGAATAGCAGCAAGCGAGTAATCGAGTCCATCACCTGTCGGAGATGACGCAGTCGGGACAATGATGAGGTTGAGATTGCCTTGTGGCGATCTGGCGGATGGAGGAGCGAGAGGGAGTTGCGCGGGCGGAAGGGTGTAGTTCGGGTACGTTGGTTGAGCACGTGGATCAGAGATGAGAAGAGGAGAGAAGAGAAGGACAGCGTTGGAGGTGGTATCGCCTAGAAAGAGGAAGGACGAGGTGACAGTACGAATGGGGCCTTGCAAACAATGTCTCAGCAGCAGCAAAATTGTAAACCGTATAACTCACCTGAAGCTGAGACTTCAACTTCGATGATCACATTGCCATTCTCATTAGATAGTCCGTTTACCGAGCCGTTGGCCTGTACGTTGAAGCCCACGAGACAGCTAATCGTCTCCGACCCGTCACTGGTCCAATTGGCATAACCCAAATTCCACTCCAAGCTCCAAGTATCTCCGTTCCGATTGACCAGATTCCCCTGATCTGGCGATCCGCCTGATCCTGTATCTTCCAATGCTTTGTGACTTATCGCAAAGGTCGGTGGAGAAGCCGTGGAGACTATAATCTCGGGAATGATTGAGGTGTTGATACCGAGGGAGAGGACATTGAATGTGAGAGACTGGGTGTCTGACGGTAAGTCAAGGATGACAGATGGATCGGACACGTTCAATGATGGGAGGATGGTCACTGATGGAGCGCGATCTATCGATACAGTCGGTGTCTGAGCAGCTATAGTCGGCAAAAAGATCGTCCAAAGAAAGATGACGAGCGTTCCGTACAGCGCGAAGCCGCACGACCGAGTGCGAAACGACAATACGGTCGATAACATGGGGAGATGAGAGGATCCTCTCATGGATTCCGCAAATGTAGCGTAGCTTGTGAAGCCATTGTGTAATCACAGTGAGATCCTGGATGATGATCTCCAAACTGCAGAGAGGTATGAACATGCCCCGGACGGATGCAATGCTGCAACCGCACGCGTTCCCCGATATTACAGTCACGTGACTACTGTTGTCACAGTTGCAGCCTCAATTGCAGCTCGTTCGGGCAGTCGACCTGATTGCATTGATGCTTCATACTGTTCATCCTCCTCAGCCACTCACGCGGGCGCGTATGAAGTAGCCTTGACAGCGGTCTTGTCTCTACACACTAGCTGAGACCATCGCTTGCTCAGTCCATCTTGTCGGCTGTACATAGAGGCATCCTTTCGATTACCATCTTGGTCGAAAGAAGCAAAGGTAGGAAGAAGCGAGTCCCAATCTGCGCCTTCCGCCTCCTTCCCTTTGCCCAAACACGTTGTCTTGCAGGGAGCAGGAGGTCTATCTTGCTCAAGATCACACAAGGAGATCGGGAAACCGGGCGGGGGAAAGGCGATTGATTGAGGAGCAAAGATGGGACGATCACATCCTCCCAAAACTATTCAAGTCATCTTACCTCCAACGACCTCTACGACTAGTACGACCACCGCTTCGTCTTCGAAAACAACTCTCTCTGCTTCGACCAGAACCGATCATCCTTCACTTCAAGTCTTGATACTTGCTCAGGAGATTGCGAGGGAAAGAGGACAACATTTCGATCTTGGATCCTTTCTCACGCCATCTCAGAGGAAAGAATATCATCGATTAGTCCATGGGGTTGAAGGGGAGGATGCGCTTGAGGCTCCAAACTCGCCAGTAAATGGACAAGGAGGTGGTGGTGAAGGACAGGTGGATGGAGACGTGACCTTGGAAGAAGATACAGATCAAAGTACCAGGAAGACCGCCTTCGATCACGTTGGAGAAGTGACAGGTCCATCTCAAAATTCCACTCCTCTCCCAACGTCCGGTACACCTGCACCTGAACCGTCCCAACCTATGGCTGCTGTCGATGCACCACCAACGCCTACCTCCACGGCTCTTACCGAGACTATCGCTGCGAAACGAGCACGCATCCAGGGCATGAATATTCACTGGACTCAACGACGGAAAAAGTTGCAAGAACTCGCCAAGCTAGAATCTGAAGGAATTACAGAGCTCCCATTATCGCCTCAGGAGAAGCCTCCACCCTTACCTGAGATCGGTCTCGCTTCTTCTTTCGCCGTGCCATCGGGAAAAGGTAAAGAGGTGGATAAGGGATCCATCCAAGCTAGCGTGTCTTATTGGTGAGTTGACACAACACAACAGAGGTGTTTTTGTCGACTGACTAATTCTCTAGGAATCATCTGCTGACTGTTGCACGGAAGGAGCGAGGGCCACAATGGGACTACAACACTCAGTCATATCACGTCGATCGCTCTTCGTCCGACTACTACACGCACATGAACAAAGCTCCCGCAATCTCAGAGCCTGTCCAGACCTCCGAGCCGAACAAGGGAGAGCCATCCAACAGCCGGCAGAACCCGATGACCAACGGGTACCATGATCAAGCTGTCAAGATGGAAGGCGATCTCGCGAAGAGGATGTACGAGCAACGGAGATCCAATTCGATATCGCAGCAACCTCCGCCCACTCAAGCCTATCCATCTGATGCCGCTCATCCTCCTCGATCGCAAGCCTTCCCCGCTGCTTCGCCGTCCACAACTCACACTCCTCATCTTCCACCGCAATATCAACCATCTCCAGTCCGACCTCCTGCTCCTAACCCTCCGCAAACACCTCATCACGCTCAATCTGGCGGTCTGAATCCGGCCAACCTGAATCTTCCACCAGATTACCAAAGACGTATATCTCAACAGTCAAATTCTACACCACAACCGCAGACAGCTGTGCCTCAATCACACCCCATCAACCCCTCGCAGATGCAATTCACGCCTCAGCAACTCGCTCAGATTGCCCAAATGAGTGCGGCGGGAGGACCAGGAGGTATGAACTTGAACCCTGCCCTGCTCCAACAGCTTCAGGCGCAAGCACACATGCAGAGTCAGGGAAGCCAGAACCAAAGCCAAGGAGGGATCAATCTAGCTCAGATGCAACAACAGCTGGCGCGCGCCAATCAGATGGCTCAGCAACCTGGCACAGGGCAAAATGGATATCCACAACCTCAACAGGGACAACCACAGCCATCTCAATCACAAGGCCAGCCAAATCCAATGTTACAGCTCCAGCAATTACAACTTGCCCAACTCGCTGCTGCTCAGAATCAGGGTCAGAATCACCAAGGCGGGAACATGACAATTGGTCAGAACGCTCAAGCTATGCGGGGTGTCAATCCTGCCATGTTGGCCAATCGCGCAAACATGCAAAATGCGGCTCAGAGTCAGGCTCGAAATGGTGGTGGTATCAACCCGGCTCAAATGGGTGGAATGGGACAGTTCGCCTATGGTCAAGGACAACCTGGCATCGGAATGAATGGTATCAAAGGGAACGATGGACTTGCGAATGGGGCCACAGGCCAGAATGTCATGTTGGGCGGTGGAGGCAACAACTGGCAGGATTTGAATACGTAGGAGCAGGCGTGGTACTGGCCATGCAACAAAGTATCTTGGGTCAGGCAGTGCTGGTCGGTTTTGAAGGGACAGAGCCGACGGTCAATCTCGCTAGGACCCTTCGAGCATACAGTCCAGGCAAGAAAGCAAATTCGGAGACTTGTCTTCGTTATTGATGATTAAAGGATCCCAAACTGTAATGTGTTTCATGACCGGAAAGGAGATCTTTTCAACTTCTCCCCTCATACTCGTAGGTCGGAGGTCAATGCTGGGACAAAGGGTACTGAGAGTATAAAAAGCACAGAAAAGAGACTTGCCCTACTCCCCTTCCGTCCCCTCTCTCACAGCATTGAGCGAAAGCACTTCTGAACGTGAAATCTGACGAATTTCCGCCCGAGCAACGATGGCTGACAGTAATCATATGGCTGGCGCTGATGCCAGTGCGAGCAATGCATCCTCGATCATTTTCACCCAAGAGAGCATCGAAAACAAGTTTTATACATTAATGGGACAAGCAGAAGATTTAGGAGTGCCGCCCCCGGCTCTCATGGAGCATCTGAAGACGGTCTTCGGAAAAACGATCGAACCGACCGAAGTCGAATGTGAGTGGTCAGATTTCACACCGCACATCAGATTCGCCCCTGGAGCCATTGACTGACGTGGGCCAGCGCTTGTGGATCGTCCCGCTACCGTATACGATACTGAGACTGGGACAATGTAACCAAGTACCTGCTTGATCATCCGAAGACCGCAAATGAGAAGAACCGCAAGCTGACGGAATTGATAGCCGCCAGCGCCGAGTCCGCTGGGACGTTTGCGACGGCCGCCCAAAGTGGCGCATGACCCTGCCACAAAGATAGTTAGATGGTTTGATATCAGGTGGAAAGTCTCTTCTGCAGCTTTCATAACCAGTGTCCGGGAATCACGGCACAAAGTAGGAATGTCCCGAATGCATGCAGTTAAAGCACCTGCCCGCATTCGCTCGAATGCCCAAGGATGAATGTACAGAGAAAAAAATTATTATAATGCCTCGATGTTGAATTCTATGTCACAACACTTCCCCTCCTTCTCTTCCGATGACTTCTGGTCTGCCTTTGTTTTATGATTGTTGTATTTGTCACCCCCGTTCAGACGTCCATTTGTTTTCTATTTGATTCTTGCCATGCCGATTGCAGCTTGTGGGGAATTTATTCCCTCTTCCAGTGCACCCAAAACTTTTCTTGCGAGTGCCCTCTGCCAATGCGTGTGAGCTGTTCATTGGAATTGTGTCATGAGATGTGTTCGATTGATTCGTGTGATTTGTTCTTCGTGTTGTTGGTTTCGTTGTATGTTTCGTGTATATGTCTCCTGAGTCCGCTGATGCCGTCGTCTCCTCTGATGTCCCGCAAAACGACCTACGCGGTCGGAGGAGCAGAGACTCGTCGCGAGAGAGGAGCTCCGAAAAGCTGGCCAATTTTAGCTTCCAAGAGCGGAGGATAAAGTGCCCTGATATCGTGAGCTTGGATGCAAAGAAGCTGCGGAGGATAGCTCACATGCGACAGACGGCGGCATCGTCATCTTCAGCATTGACTAGATCGCTGGCCAGTTTTGCTTTCTGACTCTTTCGAAGCGCTGGGTGCTGATTTGAGAGTCAGTGTACTGGTCACACCACGGACACACGTTGAGAGTTCTCGCGATGAGTCCAACGACTTCGCTTCGACCTTCAACGAGACTCTTCCGCCGCAGTCTTCTGATGAGATCCTCCATGTGGGTGACCTCGCTAGGGTGTGGTTTGGACAAGGCTAGCTTGTCCATAATGGCTTGAGAACCGTCACCGTTGAGATGAGCCACAATGTCGACAGCGGGTAGAGAGGCCAATTTGGCGAGATCGAGATCGTCGAGTGAAATCTGGGTCAATTGCCTCACGACCATTTGTGGCTTGGGTACTGGTTCAGGCGGTGTGGTCACGGGTGAGGGCTGTGAAAGGCCTGAAAGAGGACCAAGATCGGGACAAGAAGGAATAAATGGCGTCACCGCAGCTGTATCAATCTTCATTCTGCCCTTGAGCATATCCCGACGGATAGAGTTGGCTTTGAGGTTGAGATGTTGGCGGTTCTTGATACAGGCTCGGACTTCGGCAGGTGACAGGCGCGACAGAAGCAAAGGCATGATCGATCCGGCTTCAGCATCATCAAACTGTCGAAGCGCTTCGTGGATGAGGGCTTTTTCGCGCTCGGTCAAGGTCGAGTCGGGGGATTTAGCATCCACGTTGGTCTCTACGATTCTACCAGGTTGATTTGCCTCCTGATCCTTCTTGCCATGCTCCTGGGCGATCTGGGAGCCATTGACATTACTGAAGATGGCGTGGGCATGGCCAACGGCCTCATTGATGACCTTGTTAAGCTCGTCCTCGTTATGCAAGATGGAGACGATGCGCAAGTCCTGGGACACTAACGCTTCCACCGTAGGCTCGATCAAAGCGTCAGAGAGGTGTCGCTCGCGAATATGGGTCCGCACACGCGGAGTGACACGCTTCATCAGCGTTTTGTGGCGAGTGGTAGGACTCTGCGAGCAAATATCGTCGGTGAAGCCCGTCGCCTGCAGACTTTAGCCTCGGAGACTGGAACAAGTGATGACTACGTACTGTCTTCGACTCGACCTGAGCCTTTTGATGGGCAAAGTTGTTTTCAGGTAGGCATACCAGTGGTCGCCTGGGCGATGCGGACGGTCGTCCGTAAGCGGAAGGCTGTTCTCGCTTGATACGCTCTGCAATCTTGTCCGGACGCAACTTGCGGGGCTCGTGAAGCGTGACAGCGATGATTTGACGTCCGACACTCTGCCCATTCATCATCTCAATAGCGCGCATCGCTGAACGGTGAATTCAGTACTCCGACAATGGCAGCTCACCTTCTTCGGGAGTGAAGAATGATACGAAGCCGTATCCTCGACTCCGATTCGAATCATCTCGCATGACTCTTGCACTGATGATGCGACCAACCTGAAGACATGAGGAAGACCTCTTACGTGGACCTCACATTTGAGAAGAGCTCGCCGAGGAATTCGGAGTTGATATCTGGGTCGAGATTCTGGTCACGTCAGTGGCAGGGAGATTGTCCGAGCTCCCACCTTGACAAACACATTGGAGTAGTCCACCAGACCCGATGCGCTAGTCGAACCCGGCCCATACATGGGTGCGGGTCTGATATGCTGCCCAGGTCCTGGCTAGTGTCAGCTGGATTCATAAGTCGAATGATGACTCACCGTGTGCGATATATTGCCCGTCGTCAGACACGAGTCCAGTGGCTCTAATTCCACCTTCCGGCGCCTCATCAAAAGTCACGCTCCATTTCCTAGGCCTTGACAAACTTTGAAAACTGCTGACGCTGCTTCGAGCCAGAGACAATTTGCGGGCACTATATCCTGGCGTCATGGGCAACGCGATGGAAGGCAGAGCATTAGGACTGCCGAGCGCAGGAGGCGAAGCATTGAATTTTGGGAAGGGAACGTGTTCGGGTGGTCGAGGCATATCTGTTTGAGAGATAGTAAATGGGTTGTGGGAGGACCAGGGCGGAGTGTAAGAAGTTTGAGGCGGAGTGTGAGGGAAGAGGACTTGATGAGCTAGTCCGGGGTGATTATGGACCGGTGGGATCTGCATGATACCTGAGTGAAGGGTATTGCCAGACCTATTGTCGAATGAGGCTGCGGAGATGTGTTTCATGTCTTCGGATATAGGGAGTGGGGATGGTTCAACATGAGAAGGACTGTAGGCCGAAGGCAGGTTCAGAGAGGTAGGAAATGGGAACCCAAAGGGAGCTTCGCTGGTGATGGCGCTGGGCAAAAAAGTGAGCTTGACTGCGAGACAACCCTTAGACTGGCTCACATTTGCCAACCCTTGATCAGACTTGCAGATTCGCCAAATCCCAAGTCGAAGCGTCTAGCTTCCTCCTCAAACCAAAATTCGACCCTTGCACCCCAGCTAGGCAACGCCGGCACGCCATCAGGGTACGGCTCAGCCCAGACTTGGACTGATCGCATGGTTCCCCAAGGTCGAAGAGCTTCGAATACTTCCCCTGGACTGGGGCAAAGGGCAGACGTGTTGGATGACTGCAGATTGGAGTGGACCGAGGGGACATGGTGAATTGGACGGAGGTGTCGTGCTGGCGACTCGGAAAGTGGGACGAGCTGAGGGACCGGGTACGACGATACGGTGACGCCTCGCGTTGCGAAGAGCGGGTGAGTGTGAAGGATCGCTAGTGCTTTCTCGGCTGTTATGTGAGCAACGGGAACACCCAGGCGCTGCTCACCATTGTGGGTTTGGGTAAACTCGACTGAACCTATGCATACAATCAGCTCGGCCTACCCTTTGAACGCCCACTCACCAGCTCGCGGCATCCAGTCATAGTACGCATCGGGTTTGAGACGCAGTTGCGGAGGAACAGATTGAGCTAGCGTGATTCGGAACGGGAGACATTCCTGCAATGCTTGAACAATGTCCTTCTCGGGTAGCTCAGGAGGGACGTGATCGATATAGAGTGTGCAGGCTGGCTACGAGTTCGCGTGGACGGTCAGTCATGTCTCCCTGACATCGCAATGAGGAGGGCTTTTGACGACTCACGAGGTGGGGATGAGGGCGTGTCGATTGGGTAGCAATGTCTACTCGTGGGAAGCTTTGACTCATCATGGGTTTCCCATGTTGGGTCGCTGAATCGAAAGATCCCCTATGACCGAGAAAGGCACCAGGTTGACCGGACATGGGCAAACGTGCGCGGTATGGTGCTTGACCAGATGGGTCAAAGGATCTTCGTCGTTGATCAACCATGAGTCCAAGGTGTTGTTGTGGTGGTGGTGGTAGTGGTGGCTGTTGAAGATGTGAGGGAGGGTGAGAAGGATGAGATTTGAGAGGTGGAAAAGGCATTGAAGGAGGTCGTGTCATGGCTGAGGCGAATACTGCAAGGGTCCAAGGTCAGGCAGGAAATGAAGTGACGCCCGCGCAGAGGTATGTCGTGACCTTGATCTATCCTACCTGCGGGTGAAAAGTAAGACCTAGGCCTGAGGCCTGACCTGACTCTTTTCCACACTCACTCCACGTAGATCTCCTGTTCCCGCTTGTCACAACTGATGGTGGGGAGGAGGATGAGTCGTGCTCTGAGGACGTGACTCGTATCTCGACGAATTAGCTTTAGGCTCGCGAGATGGTCCTATAGGTCAATGATGATGATGATGGTGGTGCGTCGAATGGGCAAGTCGCCGTAAATCTTACCCTTGTGTGAATCAATGAGAAGGAAAAAGAGAAAAGGCGAACAGAGGGTCTCGTGACTTTTGATCAGTGATATGATCATGTCAGGAAGGGCTCCGCATGAAGCCTTCCGGGATGAGACAGAGTTATCTTATTGAGACGGAATTCGACCCCCGTCCAATACGAGACAGAGAGGTCGATGAGATGAGACGTGAGACCTGGGGCTCGTCAAGTTGTTCATGATCTAAACGCAACATCATCACCGCTTCCACCACCCGGGACCACTCCGAGAAGATTTAATCCACAGAATTGAGGGTCACGAGGGGCGTAAAAGGTCAGTTGATCACGAGGTCCAAGCGCAACAAAAGGGATTAATAGAAAATTCCATCGTACCCTATCTCTCTTTACTGCCAAGAAGTCAATGGATCCAATGACTAGACACTCACATCCATCTATCCATCCATCTATGCATCCATCCATCCGGCCATCCATGCAGGCTCAAGCTATGTCCGTTCTCTATCTATGCTCTCGCAACTGCTCATAGGATGTTCAATCTGTATCGTTTCAAGGTTTCGGGCTTCGGAGGCATATGACAACCCATCATTCCGTCATCCAGTGTGGCGTGACGTCGCTAATGTGGCGGCACACTGATGAAGAGGGAAGAATATACATGTGAAGACATGCCGAGAGGATGTATTGGTTACACATATGATGAACAACAACACCAGTCGCTCGCACATAACGATCATGACTGAACTCATTGACCAGACTTGACAAGCGGATTCCCATCCATATCGAAGTGATCCGCATACTCTTTCAATATGACCACTTTGGCAGCCCGAGAGAGGTTCTGCTCCACTCTTTCCTTCTCATAACGCGCCAGTAGTGCCTCTGTGTGAGGCTCGATGTTTTCCTTTGGCTCCCTGCAGCAGGTCAGTGTAGGGTCAGACTCCTATGACTCACCAGGTGCTGTCTTCCACAGGATAATTGAGCCATTTGACGAGGCTGACAAAGTTTCTTGTGCCGTCCTTGTTGCGAGAAATCGCTTTTCGGCTATAGGCCACACATAAGTCATGCAGAAATAGGAGAGTCACGAAAACTCACCCAATGATCTTCTCCACCAGGAACACATTCGCATCGTCTTCGGTGGTAATAACACGTTGTCGTGCTCTGCACATGTTAGTGTGACGCGAGCATGCTTTATCATCCACCTTAATACACAGTCTCGTCTGATACATCGCTCATTTGACCCTTTCGTGATATTCTGCTCAGCGACTCCTTTGACGACCGACTCAAGACAATCTGGACAGCTCCAATCACCGGCAGGGGCAGGTTGATCATCTGCAAGACCAGCACACGTCCAGTGCGCACTGATGGTCAGTCACAGTCTTTGACGGTTACACTCACAAGCCATCACACTGTGCAGCGGGACGAGAACGATCAGCGACGCTTCTGCGGTGACCAGACTTGACGTACGATGTTACACTGAATCGCTTGCTATATGGAAGATGAGCTTGGATGAGAAACACGCGCTGCTAGACTGGACCCACTAGAGTTCCAACCGCCGTATTGGTTCCTTTCTTCGGCCAGATACCCTGGCCTCGAGCCTTCCCATCGCTTTCTGCCAGTCTCCTCCCATTCAGCTTCAGCTTTGGTGCTAGAGTCCGTCGACGCTTGGCACTGTGAGTGGTCTCAGCGGTTTGAGATGGCTTTGCAGTGATCTTGGAGGCTTTGTGCGAGATGTGAGTATCCCCTCCTGCTCCCTGCTGTGATCTCTCCTTTGCTGCGCCGATGCTGGACCTGGTCGACATACGTTGCGAGCGTGAGACAGCAGAGAAGATCGAGCCCGCGCGAGAAGAAATCGTATATGATCGTGTGCTCGAGGCGTGAAGGGATCTGGGTGTAAACGTATTGCAAGGGCTATTCAACCGTGCAGGTGGAGCCATGGCAAGTCGCCTAGATTGAGTTTCATTATTTGCTGCTGCCGCACCGCGCTCGTCAGGCTCGATCTCGGTGGTTACTTTTGCCGATGATCCCGCAGTCACCCGATCCTCGATGTCAGGCAGTGAGTCGCTCACGAACCGATGCTTCTCTTCGATCGCCTTGGGATCGATGCATGATTGAAGAGGCGAATTCTCCGAATCTTTCCTCACGACTGACAAGAGGTCTGATCTTGAGACGCTGTGTTCCAGAGACTTCTCAAAGAGAGGCTCGTCTAGTCCAGGAAGTTCCATGTTCTCCAGCCTCGGTGTCTGTTCCGCGTGCGTCTGATTCAGACATTCGACCTGGTTGCTGAGACCTCGTATGCGGGCGACCGTCTGTATTAACAGGTCTAGCTGCTCTTGTTGTCGGGCTTGGTTTTGCACGATGAGGCCGAGCTTTTCTTCGAGAGCGGTTGTTTGAATGCCTAGCATTTTGGAGATTGCAGTTTCCATCCTCGTTTCCGGACTGGTGGCGTGCTTATCGAGCATCGTGTGAATGGCTGTAAGCCTGGCGGACGGAGGAACGTATGGTTCTTCCTCAACATGCAGGGAGTTGTTCTTTGATGCGACGCAAGGGGACGAGTAAGAGTCCAGATATCTTGGGCTATACTCCACGCCCCTTGGTGAGATGAGGTTCGGGTCCTCGTGATCACTCGACATGTTCTGGTGAAGCTTTGTTGGTGTGAGCTGAGACAAACTATACGGGGAAGGATCAACTGCCCAGTGAGTCTCGTTGGTCGTCTTGTGACCAGGGGGTGGTTCCGGTGAGGCGAAGAGATCAATGAGATCTTGATGAGTCGTATTTGTACCGCTGTTGTTGCCCGAAGCTTGGACAATGTGATTGTCGAGTGGAAAGGGAGAAGAAGACACGTGTCGAAGACATCCGTCGAGGCATTCAGTCTGAGCCATCGTCGCGAGGTTCTGAAGTACCATATCGAACGGAGTGTGTTCCCGAATCGAAGGTAGCAGCCCGGGTGGTGGTCCAGAAACGTCTTTGAGGGTTTGACTCTAGCATCATTCAGATCAGATTGTGTCAGCTCGAAACGGCCTCATAGCTCATACACCGCACTCACGCTTTGACCGAACGTCCTGTTGGAGGAAGGAGCGAGTGCACCGAAGTCGAACCTAATTGACCATACGAGGTTCATACTCCTGCTTTCTGCTCTCTGGATCTACGCCGCTCTCACCGGCTGCAGGTCTCCACAGTCTACCTGTGAGTGCGAGATAGTGTTGCAAAAGGTATTGACGAAGAGATACACAGGAAACATTTCGTCAACATTGCCTCGCTTAAAAATGCCGCCGACAAGAGCAATCTCCGTGATACCGGCGCCATCGCATAGACTTTATGCTTGTTTCAGAGATAGCGTCGGCGGTTGAGAGTCGTCTAGTGACTTTGATAAAGTCTCATCCATTCCGCGAAGACAGGTTCCTATTCTCTGTTCCAAACGATACAAGGAACGCTTCATGCATCGTCCAATATACCTATCATGCGTAGGGACATATCAATCAATCGTATAGCCTAGATACAGGCTGACAAGACACTAATCTGCCCATGCCTTCATGCCTCTGTCAGGCCGTCTTCCCATCAATCCATCAGTACATCATCCATTCGTCCAGTCGCATGGACATCCTCATCTTCATTCGACGATCCGTGCAGACTCTCCACCTTTACTGCCCAGTATGACCATATCCCCCCGTCAGCAAGTTCACTGCCGACTCCCTCCTAGCAGCCTTAGCCACACTGGGTCGACCCATTTCTCCATCCACGTCGTCTCTCGAGAACGAATCCTCAGAGGACATTTCACTCTGCGTCGACAAAATCTCTTCATCACCTTGATTCGCCTTTGAAGACGACGAGGGCGGGATGGTCCAGTCCATGACGGCAGGATGTGATTTTGTGGGCGTCAAGTTCTCATCTTTGCGAGGGGCCGATTGATCCCCCTGACTGAGACGACTCGATTTGGCCGTCTCAGGCGGTGTGTGAGCAGTGTCCCCTGGTCCGTAACCTCCTGCTAGAAGCCAAGCCGCGAGTCTTGATTCAGGAGTTACTTCGATATCCCCCTCGGGTCGCTGAGGGACTTGAAGATGACTCAGAATAGCCGAAAGGAGCATTCGGCATTCTTGGACCGAGGTGGCGTGGTCTAGAAGTCCGCGTAGAGGAATCAGTCGGTCCATAGGGATCGATGGGGCGGATGGGTCGGTTGACCTCAGGGAAGAGTCCGGAAGCATATCTGTCGCGTGAGAGGTAGCGCTACCAGCGATGATATCATGGCCTCCAATAGAGCTATGACCTATGATGGTATCCACCTCTTCTCGCTGCTCAATTGAACGTCGTCCGCGCTCACTCGATGAGCTTTGGTGATCCGCTTCGTCCATATCGGCACCCTCATCGGCGGTCTTGAAACTATGTGCGTCAGATGTAGCTGTGGGTACTCGGTCCATCTGCACGCCGCCCGGCGTGTTTGTCGCCCTAGGATCGATGGAGAGCTGTGTCGGGACTCTGGAGCGATTCAATTGCTCTCCAGACGGGTCATTGATCAGATTGCCACTATTAGGCTCCACAGGTGTCGTAGGCCCGATCTTCTCATCCTCCAATGCAGGCCCAATTCGAGTGACTCGAGTCGGTTTCAGATCAGCCAGACCCACTTGATCTGCTAGATCTCCACCGGAGGCTGAGCCCGACACACGGGACACGACTGTGCGGCGCGGCGTCTCGTTCAGATCATCGCGGTCGGTTGGCCCAGTCTCGATCGCTGCGATGGCGCCCATGCCAGCAGCTCCAGTGACTCCAGCTGCAAGAGCGGCTACGCCGTTTGCGTCGGATTTCTTGCGTGGCAATCGTTGGGATTTGGGCGGAACGGGAGGCTCGTCGATGGGCTGGATCGGCTGACCCAAAGTCGGGGGAGGACCCCGATTAGAAGACATTGCGGCGGCCGATTTGACACGTTTCGGCACGCGAGGTGCTGAGGGAATCTCCTCCGTACTTGCACTCGACGCTTCTGGCGAACAATGAGCCATGTCTTTGTGATTCGAGGACAACTCACTGTCATCGTCTTTCTTGCCTCCAGTGATCTTCGACATGAAACTCTTGAACGACTTGCCGCTTTTTCCAGTTGGAGGAGGTTCGGCGACCGGTACTCGAGTGGTCGAGATGGGGGGAGGTGTATTGCTCAAAAAGTCTGCCAGTTCTCTGGCTTCGGATCGAGGTTTCCGCTTCAGTCTCCCAGAGCCTTCGTCTCCATCATCGTCTATCAAAGTCTCTCTCCCTGGTCGATTGGTACTTGGCTTGGTGGGCGATTCATTACGGTCACCGAGGCCGGAGGTAGATTGCAGAGAGGGCGAGAAAGAACTCGGCGCAAAGGATGCGAATGAGGCGCTCTGAGTCAGGGACGAGTCTCGGGTCTGAGACGAGGGGACGCCGCTTGAGCCAGACCGGTCCATGAGTGATGTCTCGCGGGGAGGTGGAGTCGCAAGGACAACAGCAGGAGCTGTCCGCTGAGTTGCGCCGATCGAAGATTGACGGGAATGAATTCTGGGTGGGGTTTCGGAATCGAGAAGCTCCTTGAGAGATTCTTTCTTCGATTTCGAGCCAAAAGGATCCTCTTCATCATCGCCCTCGTGAATCGTGCCGGCACCCCTGGCAACTAGCTTGGCAGTGGACCCAGAGGAAGCTCGGGATCGCGAAGACGCTCCCCGAGGCGTTTTCTGACCGCCCATGACGGGCATCGAATCGGACTTCGATACTGAAGGACCGGGCGGATTTGAAGGATGCGAGGAGCTTGTTGCTTGCGGTCGGCGGAAAGGAGATGGGGATGCTACCTTTCGACCGGAGCTCTGTACGGAGTCAACAATAGACACAGAGACCGCGCTGTGACCAACCTCAAATGTCTTGAGACGGCTAGGCGTCAAGCTGACTTTCATGGTCTGTCCACTCTTGACTAACGCATCAAACTCGTCTTGTTCCTGTTGAGGTGACCGTTGATTGACAGTTTCCTCGTCGAGTGCTTCGTGAAATGCCCCGAGCATGGACCGAGTGTTGACGCTCAAAACGCTCGGAGCTCTCTCGTGGCCTTGAGGCGAGTCATGACTCTTCTTTGTCGCGGCTGAGACTTTGCGTCCGAGATTCGCGAATCTTCCCGAATCGCTCGATGATCGAACATCCTGGGCCGGAGGGAGCGATGTTTTCTTAAAAGTCGGCGAAGACTTGGCAACTGGCGACACGAGAGATGTCTTGGAGGCTCGAGGTGAAGTGTTTGACAGGTTTGGCGACTGTCTCCCGGCGTATTCGGCGGAAGAGAGCCGAGCACTACGCTTTGATCGGGGTCCACTCGATCGAATAGCATTTTCGATGACATCTTTGACTGAGGACGCCATCAGCACGGCCTCAAAGAGTGTTTACACTCACCCTTCATGCGCTTGAAGAAACCATACATGGTCTCATCTTCGTACAATGTCGTCAGCAGATCCTGAACGCCAGCAGTTGCGACACTGGAATCTCTTGCGACTACACTGGATAATCGGTTCAGAAGATGTTCGCAGACGTGCCTGAATATAGACCGTCAGCTTGATCGAAGCCATCAAGTACACGGTCAAATGCTCACTCTACGATAGCGGTAAGCCAAAGACCAGATGGATCGATCGTCATTGACGAGACCTCTCCTCCTGCAGCTTTCCACGCTGCTAAAGCGGCAGCTTCCTCCGTGTCCGTGTATGAACCTTCCTTAGCCAGAGTCTGACCTTGTCAGGTGCGTTGCGCAACCGTCAGGATTAAGCTCACGGAATACAAGGCCACACGTATCCGCATGAGATCTACGGCCTCCCTTTCTGGAAACTTTGCCTCTGACCTCTCCTTGATCTCCGTCAACCCACGACCTTTACCATTCGGTGGGAACCCCTTGACACCGTGAGAATTCTGCTCGATCCAACTCCTCAGTTCCATCTCAGCCTCACCGACAGCCGACCGGCCCAGTGATCGAGGACCTGTCGATTCTCCAGCCGTCTTATCCCCTGAAAATACAGCCGGGATACCGGTCCCTCGTAGATCTGATGGGTTGAGACTTTGGGAGGAGATGATGAGCGACGTCATGAGCTCGTCCAGGAAGAGGTTGATATGGTACAGAGTAGACTCCGAGAGTGTCGTAGGCCGTAGATCAGACACCATGGCGTTGGCTGATTGAGCAGAGAGGAATGGCATGGGTCGACTGGATGATGAAGCTGGTTGTGAGAGTCAGCGGAAAGAGGCGGCGATGAAAGCTAGGAACGAACTCACCGGACATGGTGGATGACCGGTGTCGCTGTATAGGCCTACCTCGCCACGCTGACGATTGAATAGTTCAGAATGTATGACCCTCGGCGTGCTGATATGTCGCAAAGGGACAGCCGATGGTCTATTTCAACCAAACTTGACGACTGCGAGTGAGGAATGTCCAACGCGGTGCCTTTGACGGGAGTGATAGATCGGAATGCACCTGCAGTCCGTCTCCACACACACCCCTCAGATACGCTATTATAGACAGACAGCTGATCAAGACTAGAGGGCTAGACGAAGAAAGCTCAATTCTAAGAAGATGAACATGGAAAATGTCCCCAGGTTATCCCTGCGGTTGAGCGCGAACCGTGCACCTGTGGTATAGCTTATTGAATTCTGAAACACGCAATCCACGTGGCGTATCCCAATCTGCTTACGTACATCACTTGACATGAGAGCAGATGATCTTCAAAGCGTTTCTTTTTTTTTCTTGGGAGTCGAGCTCAAAGTATCCCCTCTGTGGACGGGGTTCATCCATCTCGCAATTCTAGGAGGGTGATGCCGTGCAGTCATGGTGTCAGGTAGACTACCACCTCTGCCGCACCTCTCATGGTTCGCTACGCATTTTCCCCGGGCCCAATTCGTCAGGACTGGCTTCGGTATCGACAGAACATGGTCAGGACGAGTCGCATTGGTCAATAAGCACTTGTGCGATAAATTCGTCAAGGCTCTGAAGATTAGAGAAAATGAGGTGATAGTGGATGTCTTTGCGGGACATGGCGCCATGACGAGATCATTGTTGGCAGGCGGAGATGAAGTTGGATCAAGCCAGAGATGGGAACAGGCTGCCAAAAGCTTGTTAGCCGTCGATTACACCACGGCGCGTAAAGGTGGCACTGTAAAGAGCCCTTTGCTTCCCTTTGCATGGCTCGAGGACCGGGAAGCGATACCGAAAATACTGGAGAATCTTAAGAACGTGCCCTCAGAAGTCCCTGGAGATTCTTCCGCCGAAAATGCACCAGGCCCGACTGTCAAGCCTCGCCTAGTCGTTGCTTTCGAACCATCTGCATCTCTCCTCATACGAGGCCTGGGAGTGCCCGAAGAGTACCTCAGAGCGGAAGGAAATTTGTTGTTGGAGCGTGAAGGCAAGGGTCCCGAACGGCTGTATCAATCAACTTGTGATCCCAGGTTACGAATTGTCTGCGGGCAACCTTACTATTGGAACAATTTACCCGCGGTTATTGAACACGAGGATATTGCGGAAGACCTGGTAGCATCAGGCACCATCAAGATCGACACTGACTCTCCGGACAAAGCTAGAGAACACTGGCAAAATCACACGCCGCATCTCACCCTGGTCATTCAACCGTCGCATAAACCATTCGGCGAATCCCTCGTGTCACAGTGGATCGCCTCAGTCATCGGTGCCGCGGAAGGAGAGCCAACATGGATTTGGAAATGGGGCAGAGTGAGACTGGCCGTGCTGGTGTCGAAGACCATGTATGATGTGAGTGAAATGTGCTCCCCATATGACAGATTCTGACGCCTTGTTTTTAGCGAATGATGGCCCAACCTGGCGAATTGTCCAACAGCAAACTCTCCATCTTGACACACGCATTATACGACGTCAAGCCTCTTCCTCCCCGCCATCATTCCCCAAACGTCCTCAACAAGGGACGAAAAGTCAAGGATGAGCTCAGATTCCTCCCCTCACAATCAGCACGAGAAGGGGATTTACAAGCCTACTACGACGCCATGGACCTCTCTCGCGATGAGACTTGGCCCCTTGATTTCAACCCCAGCCCATGGGGCGAATCGTACAGCTCAAAGGTCCCCCTGGAACGACCAGACGTGCTGGGTCTACTATTGGAGCCAAAGGTTGAAACGGTCATTACGTCCACACAGAGGTACACTTGGGAATACGTGCTTCGAAAATGTATGGCGAAGCCACTCCATCCGATAAGTCGGGCCATACACGCAATTGGATTCGGTGCGGATAAATTGATCCCTTTGATTGAGAGCGTGAGCTCAGAATACAAGGGGGATCCTGTCGGACCCAAGGAGGTTGCACGCGATATGAGCATTGCGCAGTGGGCTAGAGTTGTAGATGTGGTCGATAAGTGGAAATATAAACCTGTTGTGAGTCGGATTGATCCATAAAACCTCCCACAGCACTGACTCGCATGCCCATCTACAGGAGGCCTCAAGCTTGGCACATGTTGTATTAAAATCTGGGCGAGGGGGAGATGATGATTAGAGCATTGGCGGCGTTGAGATGGTCAGGCATTGATACAAACGTGATTCTCTTTCGGGGGCTTGATCGACTGAGACACATATCTATTACCCCATTCTACGATCTACTGGCATATTTATCACCTTTGAGCATATGTACAACAATATCATGCATGCATTCACAACCGTGCCCTTGGCACATTACATCTCTGGATGATCCTTGATCCACTGACGAATACCCGTACTTCCCATTTTAAGCTCTTTCAACACTGCCTCATCTTCCACTTTGCTCAGGTCCCGCCTCCCGGCGTGATGCTCTGAGGAGATGACATCGACGATGTAGACTTTGAGTTCTGGTAACTGCTTGCCCTTCCTCAGATCATTGACCATCTTGCCTCCACTGACTGTCTCTTGACTGACGAGCAAGATCTGGATATCCCTATCCCACGCTGTAGGTCCGAATGGATCTTCAATCTCCACCACGTCCATGATGACCCGGTGCCCTTCCTTTTGGACCCTGTCCGGATCCGCTTTGCGCACCAGCCCAAGTCTGGAAAGAAATGTCTCAATCACTGTTATTCGTTCATCGATCGGCTGAATGAGATCGGCATTGGACTTTGAAGAAAGCTTCGAATCGGCCATGACCCCAACGATGAGTCGAGTGGAAGATAGGAAAGTGGCCAGCTGGAGAAGAAGCTTGTGAGCAGCGTGAAGGTGATCAAAGGTCCCTCCAAGGGCTACTGTCTGGTGTGAAGACGCTGCAGGTGGATGGAGGCTGGGAACCCCATTAGGTAGGTCCATGGATGTTTTCAGTATGACAGCATTCGTCGGCAGGTGAGCATGGACCGGCAAGTAATCAAAATCTGCAAAGAAGTAATGTTACCTGTGCCCTGGAGAGGCTTTAGACATACCTTGAAGCTTGACGACCTGGGTATTCTCAACGTCGAGCATGAGATCTCCAAGCTCTCCCTCAAAGAGTACCTCCACATCCATCGAGACCCGCTCACAGCTCCACTGGGCAGCTACGAGCGCGCTGTATACCTTGCCCAGGAAGGCTTGAAAGACACCAAAATTGGCATCGGGATTCAACTTGAGCACGTTGAATAGTTGCTGATGCGAGTCGATAGTGAATGAAGAGGCTGTCTCCAGATCAAATGGGAGGTACGGGGTGGAAAAGATGACTGTGAAATGTTTGGACAGTGTTCGAGTGAGAACATCGTGGATGATGGGTAAGAGGACATCGGGTTGGTTCAGGATTGCAGGGGTGAAGGGGAGTAGAAGTACCGTGCGATCTTTTCCAGGAGAGAGATCGTCCATCGTGGTCAAATTCTCTTCAGAACATTCAAGGCGGTATTGTCCTCATGCCGGCCCACATTGCCCAATATAGTCCTATACAGTTGATCTGAAGTGAACCCAAACCCAGCCTCTAGAGACAGATGGGATGTCCGGCCCACGGAGCGGATCCGACAGGGTCTTCCGGATCCGAAAACATAGGTGCCACATCGGCGTTATAACCTTTATCCGCCCAAAAACGCTGACTCGACCAGTTTGGGATGATTCATTCAAAAGGGTAGCAGAGCTAGACCGGGAGTCGTCTTGATCATCAACCTCATACTTCGAAACCCATAAACCAGAGATAAGTGAGTGGTCATTGCTGGTTTTCCGTGAGAGAATCAGAGGCTGGAGATACAGGAAGGGGAAGGAGGGTATCCAGTGACAATGATTGGCCGTCGTCGATGCTTTGGCGGCCGTTGGAGCAGCTTAGAAATCAGCCCGACCATCTCGCCCCCATATTGATTCACAATGTGAATGACTCAGTGCTGACACTCTCATAGTCTGTCAAAATGGGTCGACGTCCCGCTCGTTGCTACCGATACTGCAAGAACAAGCCGTGAGTGCTAATGCATCGGGAACCTGGAAGACACGGGCACGACGTGCTGATTCATCCATTCATCAGCTTCCCTAAATCACGATACAACCGTGGAGTTCCCGAAGCCAAGATCAAGATCTATGACTTGGGACGAAAGCGAGCCTCTGTCGATGACTTCCCCTTCTGCTGCCATCTCGTTTCCGACGAATACGAACAACTTTCCTCAGAAGCCCTTGAAGCCGCTCGAATTTGTGCCAACAAGTACATTGTCAAGACGGCTGGAAAGGATGCTTTCCACATGAGAGTTCGAGTTCACCCATTCCACATCATCCGAATCAACAAGATGTTGTCCTGTGCCGGTGCCGATAGGTAAGTTCCACAGGCGCGCGTTGGTCAGGGTGGATCGCCTGCTTACCAATTTTTTACAGACTGCAACAGGGTATGCGTGGAGCTTGGGGTAAACCATACGGTTCCGTCGCTCGTGTCAACATGTTCGTCGCGCTATATACAGTTGTTTGTTGCCTCGCGCTGACCTCTCTCTTCAGTGGACAAGTCATCATGTCTATCCGATGCAAGGACTCTCACCGATCTGTCATCATCGAGGCTCTCCGACGTGCTCGATACAAGTTCCCTGGAAGGCAGAAGATTGTCATCTCCAAGAAGTGGGGTTTCACCTCGCTCGACAGAGCCGACTACGCCGCTCTCAAGAAGGAGAAGTTGGTCATCAACGACGGTGCTTACGTTCAGGTTAGACATCGCATCATTCTTTCCCTTTACGAAAACGCTAACCCCTGTTCATAGTTCATCAAGCCCAAGGGTCCCCTTCTCCAGAACCTCCGGACTGCCGCTCGTGCCACTTAGGCAATCAAATCAACGTTCAGCAGTTTGGTGATTGTGTTGTAATCCCTTGTTGGTAGAATTCTGAGCGTCATGCATCGGGGTCACCACAAATCTGCTTGGGCGTGGTGTGGCTCGGGAGCTGCTGTGTTCGAAGTAGATATCGGGACGTGGAAGGAGAGAAGTGCGCTCTGATGCTTTGACTCTAAGGTGATGCCTAGCTTGCGAGCCTTTGAAACCAACTCGTGAATAACCCTACTGGGCACACAGGCGATGTTCTCCATTGCAACATTCAGCACTAATCTCTTGTCGGCCCAATGAATCCCCTGGCGTTCGGCAGCATTTGGCACACTCCTTCGCTCCCAAAATCTCGTGATATACAGGTGTGCATGCCATCAAAATGCCCCCATCCAAAAGACTCGAGCAATCTAAGCAACGAGCTTGATGACACCTCCAGCCTCCTTTATCTTCTTCTCTGCTGATCTAGAGACGAATCGAGTTTTGACGATGAAAGGTTTGTCAATGCGGCCTTTACCCAGCTGTTGAGGAGAATGTGAGCGGGAGAGAGAAGTAGGCAATATTGCGAAGACTCACCAGCTTGAATTTACCCAAGTGTTGGAGGTCGATGACGGGGACAGTTCCCTCCGGAGCCTCAACTTGAGCCTCGGGGAGTGAGATGAGCTGGACGAGAGGATCAGTAACATGAAGTTTTGATGCCCAAAAAACGCTCTCACTTTGTCAATGTTGATAGTGGGTCTGTATTGTTGGTTTCGGAGGAGGTGGTAGTGTCTCATACCGACTTTTCCAAAGTAACCAGGATGGTACTGGATTGAGCGTTTAGCATGTACCCTAGTTCAAGCATTCCGAACACCATCTCTCCGCACATCTCAACTACCAAGACCCATCCCAGGCGGATGTCGAGAATCCTGCACCCTCGAAGCCTGGAGGCCAGACTAATCCAGCATCCGCAATGCACTCCTCCATTCCATCTCCATAACCACGGACTCCATCCTACCTCCACTAGCCACTTCGACTCACCTTGTCAAAGTTGGTTCGGTGGTGGTGCTGACCACCAGCGAGACCTCGACCTCCCGGATGCTTCCTGTGCTTTCCCACACGACCATGACCGGCCGAGACGTGTCCTCGGTGTTTTCGAGTGTTGGAGAATCGGGTAGGCATCTGGGTGAGGGACGGCGCAAAGTCAGCTGCAGTTCAATATCGATATCGAGTGAAGGGAGAAGAGGCAGTATCCAGAGACCATCAACTTCTCGTACAGAAACTCACGTTGAACCGATACCTTGAAGTACAGAAACAACTCTATGCTCCTCTGAACCTTTAATTCAATCGACCTTGACTGACAGATAGGAGGGAGGGCTCTGCGGTCGGTGAAATGGCCAATCACCGGGGAAGCAGGAGTGTGGCAGAACCTGGGTCATTGTCGATGTCGGCGATAACCATTCGCGTTTCTTGCCACCAGGCTTATCTCCGAAAAACGCGATGAGGATTCTCTCGTCATCGATTTTCGGATCCGAAGAGTACCGCGAGACCTCTGTTGCATCGTCCCAAGGCATTACATATTGATAGCCCCGGATCCGGTCCTTGCGCTCCTTATAGATCATTCAGCTTTGCTCTCCTTGACTCGCCAAGATACCCTCCAATAGACCATTCGCAAAGCTAAAAGCCCAGCAGGGTGTTCCTTCTGAGACCAAGGTCGGTTCATGGATAAACAACAATAAGATGGATTCCCCACGAGGGGAAGCATACGATCCAGACTCAGACTCAGATGCTAGCTCTGGACGGTTGACACCAGACTCCCAAAGAGGTCGCACCTCTGGGCCCTCTGCTGGGGCACAGCCGCAGCGAAATGCTCATGCCAACGAAGATGATGAGGCTGGATCCGATTCTGGAGAGGACTCGATGGCAGACCCCGTCGAAGTAGATTGGGACAAGATTATACCTCAACTAAGGCGGAATGTCATGTCGAGAAGCAAGAAGAGAAGAGAAAAGTTCTTTCAAGACTATCTCAAGATCTCGGATAATGGTAAGTCTTCAAGTCGTTAAGCCCATACTGAGCAGTCAGATCCACCGGCCCAGCATATCCCTGCCATCGTTACTATCCTGCTCAGCTGTCTCTCCCTTTTGGACTCCATATCACATGTAGAGCTGCTAGTCGGGGTGTTGTTGCACCTGGCGAAGCGGGATCAAGATCTCCCAGAAGGGAGAGATACAAAGCTCAAACTTGGGGAGAAGCTTGCCAAGTGGACCAGTGTAGAAGTCGGCAAGCTTTCCCCAACTCAGAGGTGAGTTGCTGTCAAGCAGGCAGAACCTATCAGTCATACTGACAACGCCCAGCGCGGTACCGATCGCTCTTCTGCCCTATGTCTCCCTCCTCACTGGACTACTGCAAACTCTGACCATTCCAGAGGAAAGTCGGTCAAGGTCAATCATGGATCTCGCAATTGTGATGGATGCTATAGAGTCGCAGATGGATTGTCAAAAACCAACAAACCAGGACAAGAAGGTGTCAAAACACGCTAGACGTCTCGTTGGTCGACTTTGCCGATTGACCCCGCTGATTCTGGACAATATTCTCAAGTCCACAGCGGATCCGCCTCGATTGATCGCCCTTCTCGGTATCATCATCGACGAGGTGCTTTCTACCGCCCCAGCAGAAGTCGAACAGCGTAAAGACGCCATTGTCGCTTTCTACTCGACTCATGTCCTCGGGTCTAAGACCGTTGTCCCTCGGTATCGAGCTGTGGCACTCTCATCCTTCCTATCCAAACATGTCGATCTATCAACATTGACAGAAAAGTTGCTCCCCACCGCAGAGCGAATGTTATTACGCTCCCCTGAGATCGCTCTACCCACGACTGCTGCTCTACTCAGATCGACATGCCTGGACATCTCCTCTCTCCTCCCTGCCAAGCTGCTCCCCGCAGTACTATCAGCCTCAAAGTCTTCCAATGCCGATACTCGACTCAAAGCGATTGACCTCTTCTATGCGATCTGCAATCACTGCCAGGATGATGCAAAACTAGAGAAGGTCGTGATGGAGGTCATGACGCTGCCAAAGACTGGAAAGACTGGTAGCCCAGAACACCGAGTCGCGTTGTTCAACATGATCCATTCTGTCAAGCCATCCGAAAAGGTTTCAATTGTCGTTCTGGAGACTGTCGTGCCGCTCTTGGCTAAAGAGACAAACGAACCGGCTCTGCAAGCGACATGTCAGGCCATTGAACCGCATCTGGCGATCATTCTGTCTTCCGAGATGAAAGGCCTTGACGCAACAATCACGATGCTTGCCAAAGAGCTCAACTCCTCCCGATTACCAACGAAGCGAGCAGTGTCAGATTGCGTTGGGAAAGCCATCTTGTCTGCGACCGCGAAGGATCGCCATCTCTCATCTTCAGGCCAGCAGCTGGTCGGAATTCTTGCGGCCGCATTGGATGCCAATCTGGAAAGTGCAGCCTCAAATCCCCCCACCAATGTAGCAGGCTATTTAGAGGGCTATGTCGCCATCGCCCTCGCCTTTGGAGCACTGTCCGGCATCGAGACTGCAAAGAAACTGAGCCAGAGTTCTGGCCTCGCGAATGCCTTGACACTATCCCCAAAGCCATCTTTCCTGCTGAACGATAAAATTTGGATCAAGTTACCGTCATCTCTCGACTCTTCTTGGTTGTTGAAAGCTCTGATGTCAATCGTCGAGACCAAAGGCCCGGCTCTCAAGGCCGATGTGTCCAGGTGAGTGCGTCGATACTGTGATCCGGTCGGAGCCAACGAGTTTGAACTAGCGTGATCGGGCAAGCGCTGGTATATCTGTTGCTGGATCACAAAGAGTCGTCTGTCCGGAGGGAAGCACTGAGGGCTATCGAATCCTGTACGCGAACTCAGCCTCTTGCCCTAGGGAAGATCCTTGCAAATGCCTTGCAAGCTCGGATATACACGCATCACGCCTCCTTTAGTTCTATCCGAATCATCAGCGACGAGGAACCATCTTCAACCTTATTTTCTCGTCGAATCGGCAAGGTTCTCGATGCAATCTTCTCCAGCCCGTTGGCGGGGGATGACAGGTCCATTCGCGACGAACTCGCGCTTCGGTATCTGACACTTGCACATCACGTTGTCATCACCGAGAACGCCCAGACGTCCTGGATCAGCTTAGTGCAGAAGATCGGGGTCGATCCAGCAGTCTTGGTAGTTGACCGAAGTGATGAGATTCTCGAGCAAATTTGGAGTGCCTTGAGCGTCCCAGTCAAGGTGAGACATCAGCCGCCTCTCACATTGACCAAGATCTTGCAGGATACCGGCATTGCACAAGCGGCATTCAGGAGTTTGACTACACTCGTCTTTTTGTGCCCCGCCATCTATATCGATGTCATCATGGCCCGCATCCGCTTCGATCTGGATGAGTCCTCCCTCGAATTTATCGGATTGGAAGAACGAGGTATCTGGGCTACTCCACCTGATCAAGTCTTCGTAGATGGTAAGAGCTTGACTGACCGAATCATTCTCTGATCTGCCACAGTTCTATCGAGCAAGAAGGATGTCGCGGAGAACAAGAATCGGAAAGACTATGCGACAGATAAATGGGAGCAAGAGGTCCGAGACGCCTTAGCCAGAAAGAAAACTTTGGTCGGCGCGAATCTTTCCAAAGCCGACAAGGCCGCCGTCACCGCTCAGATGAACAAGGAGGCTGAGGTTCGGACGCAGATTTTGTTGGCCCAAGGCAGGTTGCGCGAAGGTGTACAGCTCGTGTCTAGCCTGGCGGCTTCAAATTCTGAGGGAATGAAGCGATACGTTGGAGAAATGTTGAAGCTACTCATACGGAGTGTCTATGGACCGGGTAATTTCTTAATGGATGAGCAGGTCTTCAGCGTGGTCCTGGTGCGTCACTTCCGATAGGCTATGGCTGACAATGGTAGCAACTCGGAGCCATGGCCAGTGATCGGCTGGGAGAATACAGACGTCTCCTCGTCGGAGCGATTCTGCGAGCGTATGGCGTCCCTTTGATCCCTGAAGATTACCTGCATGAAGATCTTGCTGGTGAGTCGATGTCCCAGAAGGGACCCACCTGACGTCAGATCTCATCATTCGACTGATGCATCAAACGCGATTCTTGAGCGAGCAGTCACCGCTTGACAGCACAACATTTGGCTTGTGCAGTATCTTGTTTGCGAAAATCGTTGACAGTGGTGGATGTGGCACACAATCAGTGCAGAGCGACGAAGCGCAGGAGCAATTGACACTGGTGTGTTCTCGTTTCGACAATGTTTTATCTGACAACTCTAGGTCGTCAATATTATCGGTACTTGCTGTGGAGAGTGTAGGTACTCGCTCTGCTTCTCCACTGATGAGCCGCAGTTGCGGACAATTCGTATCCTCGCCTGGACACCATCAAACAGCTCGTCCAAATCATCAACACCTATCCCAAACTCGGTCGAGATGCTTCAGCTTCGCTCGTCGATCTCGGAGATGCTATCCGTGAAGTGGCGACTGAGGCTGAAATCAAAGCGTTGATTGCTGGAACATTGTCGAAGGACTCCAACGTCCGTAATGCAGCGTTGCAAGCACTACAGGTGAGGCATATTGAGAAGCTCATGTAGTGCCTGCTGAATCTGGATAGCCCGTCGATTTGACCGATCTTGATTACTCCGAGGAGCTGTACATCGCGGCTCACGATTCAGACGAGCAGAATGCGAATCTCGCAGCGCATCTTTGGGAGGACAACGGTTTGGATATTCCGGAAACTTACCTGGCGTCACTGTTGGGCTACCTGGGTGAGCTCGCAGAGGATACTCGCCCGCAAAAGCTGATGTCCGCACAGCACATGAGACCGCGGCGGTGAGGATGAGTTGTGCGACCGCTATCGCGGACGCTGCAGAACAACATCCGTCGCAGTTGGAGCCATCCGTGCAACGGCTACAGGAGTTGTATAGTGATAAAGCTCGTCTACTGCAGCCTGAATATGATCGCTTTGTGAGTCAAGGCATCCGGCACCTGCTTAACAATTTGGTAGGGTATGGTCATCCCAGAGACTGTGAACCGAGCAGATCCTTGGGAAGCCCGTGTCGCCATTGCCACTGCTTTACGAAATCTCGCGCCAATGATTCCCCAGAATCTTGTTGCTTCATTGTTCGACTTCTTCATCTCTGGTGAAGCTCTCGGCGATAGGCATTCTGAAGTCCGCAAGACGATGCTCGAGGCCGCCATTTCCACTGTCGACTTACATGGCGCCAAGGAAATCACGAGTCTGATGAAGATGTTCGAAGAACATTTGGGCAAGTCGAACCCATCGACAGATACTGGAGACAACATCAAGGAGGCCGTGGTTATCGTGAGTCTGCCGAGTCGAGGTCACGAGACTGACATACCCTATCAGCTCTTCGGACGTCTTGCTGGTCATCTCGACGCGAATGACTCCCGTATCCCTCAAGTCGTCGATCGTCTGGTCGAGGCCCTTAATACACCGTCTGAATCTGTCCAAGCAGCCGTTGCGGATTGTCTGCCTGCGCTCGTATCGGGAATGGGCGAGGACGTCGAGTTCCTCGTCGATAAGCTGTTCTCGACACTTACAACTGGACCCAAGTATGCCGGTAGACGAGGAGCCGCTTACGGTCTGGCTGGTGTGGTCAAAGGTCGTGGCTTGAGCGTGTTGAAAGAGTTTGACTTGATGGACAAGCTGAAAGAGGCTGCAGAAGACAAATCAGCCTATCAACTTCGGCAAGGTGCCGCTTTTGCTTTCGAGACGTTATCCGCCACCCTAGGCAAGACGTTTGAGCCATACATTATCTCAATCATCCCATTGATGTTGACCTTGTTCGGAGATGGGAATTCCGACGTGCGAGAAGCGACACAGGATGCTGCAAAAGTCATCATGTCGAGAATATCTGGACATTGCGTCAAGCTCATGCTTCCAACCCTGCTCGGTGGATTGGAGGAGAAGCAATGGAGGACGAAGAAAGGATCTATCGAGCTTCTTGGGTGAGCGCAAGAAGCTGCGTCGGGGTTATTCTTAGCTGATACTCTCGTCCAGATCTATGGCGTTCTGTGCCCCACGTCAACTGTCCCTCTCGCTTCCAACGATCATTCCTCAGCTGACCAGTGTCATCAACGACTCACATGCACAAGTCAAATCAGCTGCTAATGCCAGTCTGAAGCGATTCGGAGAGGTCTTGAGCAACCCTGAAATCAAGTCCATCTTGAACACGTTAATGAAAGCCTTGGCCGATCCCGCAGCGAAGACCAATTCAGCTTTGTCGTCGTTACTTAAAACATCCTTCGAACATTACCTCGATGCCCCATCTTTGGCGATGGTGATGCCGATCGTCGATCGTGGACTGCGTCAGAGATCGTCTGACACGAAGCGACGTGCTGTTCAGATTGTCGGAAATATGTGAGTCGATCTGAGTGTTCCGTCATTGACAAACTTAAGGGCTTCCCTTACCGAATCACGAGATCTTATTCCCTACCTTGACGAACTCATGCCTTTGGTTCATGAGGTCCTCGTGGATCCCGTTCCAGAAGCGAGAGCCACCGCTGCAAAATCTCTGGGAACTCTGATCGAAAGATTGGGAGAACCTAACTTCCCCAACCTCGTCAGCCGGCTGTTACAGATGCTCAAAACCGACACAAGCGGTGTCGACAGACAGGGTGCTGCTCAAGGTCTTTCCGAGGTCTTGTCTGGACTAGGTATGGAGCGTCTTGAGGCCCTCCTCCCGGAAATCATCAGCAGTACTTCCAGCCCTCGCCCCTACGTTCGAGAAGGATTCATCTCACTGTTGGTCTACTTGCCTGCGACATTCGGGCATCGTTTTGCCCCTCACCTTGGAAGGGTTATTCCGCCGATTCTGAATGGCCTGGCGGATGATTCCGAATATGGTGAGTTGGAATTCGCCAATGCGGGCGGGCGGCTAACAACGTCCAGTCCGCGAGGCATCGATGCGAGCCGGCAAGATGATCATCGCGAATTATTCGTCCAAGGCTATCGACCTGCTGTTACCAGAATTGGAGAAGGGCATGCTGGATCCATCTTGGCGTATCAGGGTCAGTCTTTGGCGATCAATGTCTTGCGGATTCGCTGATCTCCGCCCAGCAACCTTCCATAGCACTCACTGGAGAACTGCTGTACAAGGTCACGGGCATCAGTGGCAAGGTCGAATTGGAAGAAGACGAGGTTCCAGCACAGGGTGCCGACAATGCTCGAATGGCACTCTCAGAATCACTTGGACCGGAGCGTCGGGACAGAGTTTTGGCTACGCTTTACATTGTCCGTCAAGATTCTGTTGCCAATGTTCGTCAAGCTTCAATTCATATATGGAAGTCATTGGTGCAGAGTGAGTCCCCATCGAAGCGCTGCAAAGTTTCGATGCTGAACAGCAATCAGATACACCCCGTACCACGCGAGAAATCCTACCGGTTCTCATGCAATTGCTCATGACCTTGCTCGGCAGTCCAGAGCCAGAGCAGCAAGAGACTGCATCGCGTACTCTTGGCGAGCTTTGTCGGAAGAACGGAGAACGCATCTTTGGCGAAATCATGCCAATCCTGCAAAAGGCAATCACATCGAGCGAAGATCGTACCAAGGAGGGCGCTTGTCTCGCATTCGCAGATGTCATGTGCGTCGCTTGTCGTTCAAAGGCTTATCGGTTGCTGATTGTTCACAGGGCCGCCTCTAACAAGGACGTCCTTGCAGACCACGAAGATGCCATCATCTCGGCGGTCCGCATTGCCTTGGTCGACCCTTCATCCGATGTCCGTGCCGCCGCAGCCAGAACTTTCGACACGATGCAGCATTACCTTGGCGCAAAGGCCATCGATCAGACCATTCCAACGTTGTTGGCTGCAATGCGAGATCCTGGCGAGACCTCTGAGACTGCCCTGAAGGCATTGAAGGAAGTCATGAGTGTGAGTACTTGCTGTCGCGGCTGGTGATGATGACACTTGGCTCCAGGTTCGCGCGAACAGCGTATTCCCGGTACTGGTTCCGACACTTATTGCTCAGCCGATTTCGGCGTTCAACGCTCGTGCTCTCGGCGCCTTGGTGCAAGTTGCTGGGACGGCTCTCAATCGTCGTCTCGACTCTGTCCTGGGCGCTTTGGTCGAATCTCTAGAGGCTGGACCGTCTGAAGATACGAGGAAAGACCTCGACTTTGCAGTCGAATCACTTCTGGCTTCTGTGACAGATTCTGATGGTATTCATCTTTTGGAAATGCTTCTGCTTGGATGGTGAGTACGAGTGGCCGGATCTCTATTTCCGGACTTGCACTGACAAGCCCTAGGGTCCGTGATGCAAAGGCCATTCGCCGCGCAAGCGGCTGTAAACTGCTGGCCACCATGTGTGCTGTCAACTCGTCCGACACGTCAGATTATCGAGTCGACTGGATTCGCAATCTTGTGTCGCTGTTCGACGACAAGAACGACGATGTGGTCACGGCCGCTTGGGAAGGTCTTGAAGCGTTCGTGAAGACCGTCGATAAGGATGAGCTCGAAGATCTAGTCGTACCTCTGCGTCGTACCATCGAATCGCTCGGACCGAAAGAACACAAGGTGCCTGGATTCTCGAGGTCTAAGGGTGTCCAATCTATTGTGCCCATCCTTTTGGCCGGTGTACTGAGTGGTACGCAAGAACAACGAGAGCAAGCTGCTTTGGGTATTGGAGATCTAGTACAACGCACCACGGAGGCAGCCATCAAACCATACATCATTCAGCTTACCGGTCCGCTCATTCGAGTCATTTCGAGTCAATCTATACCTCCTCAGATCAAAGCGGGAATGTAAGTGTAGTCGTCGGTTCACATTCAGAGTGGGGTTGCTGACAATCAATTCAGTCTTATCGCTCTCACCATCTTGCTCGAAGAAGTGCCACAGCTCGTCCGACCTTTCCACCCACAGCTCACTCGAACATTTGTCAAATCGACCTCGGACCCATCGCTCAACGTCCGGAACCGTGCTGCGACAGGTCTTGGCGAATTGATGAAACATCAAACGAGAGTGGATCCCTTAATCACAGAATTGATCACGGGTATCAAAGCCAGCGAAAAGGACGTGGCTGCATCTATGGTCGCAGCTCTTGGGGCTGTATGTCAAAGTGCCGGAAAAAATTTGGGAGAAGCAGCAAGGGCCAGCATTGTCGACTTGATCGAAGATGGCTTCTTGCAGAGTCCTTCAGGTAGGTGCTGCCACTCAACGTCAATTCGAAACTCTTTCTCACTCCCTTGGCAGAAACTTATAGTATGGCCATCGGAAAAGTCGTTGCGGGTCTAGCGGCCACGAACGCAGAGCATATTCGATCGATCGTCGAGTAAGTCGAAATGAGAACACTGATTTGCGAGGCTGACCCGGCTCGCAGCACTTTCCTTGCTGCTCCTACCCCTCCGACGCCCCAAGTCAGTATCGCCATCCGCTCAGTGCTCGAGGATTGCCCCGAAGCATTCTTTACCCTCGATGTCGTATCTGAAATCGTCAGCAAGGTCTCAGCCTCCATCGCTTCGGATTCGGCCGCCGTTGCTCGACCGGGCAGGGACGCTAGAGACATCATGAAGGGCAACAAGAGATATGCTGCTGATTCGGATGTGCAGGCGGCTTTCAAGTAGAGGAGGCGAGGAAAGGGAATTCCCGCTAATGATCACGATGTTGTCTTTATAATCTTGCTCCCATCAATAGGCATGCATGCAGAATGTACATGCTCGGAGATGGAAATAGTCGAGATCGAGATGATCCCTCAGATCCTCAAAGCCGAAGTCATCATTCTCCGCTTGGGAGAAGGCTGGCGCCAATTCATGTCGACCGCCGTGGGAGTCTGTAAACAATCAGTATACCAAGCCCACCGCCATCTCATGCTCACATTGCTAGCCCATGCCGTGTCCGGGGAGTCCTCCATTCCCTCATCCAGCACTTCCATGGTCTGTCGTGTCCTTTTCAAGCCAATAGGAATGGTGTTGATCATACCTGTGCTCGAAGCCAAGCGGGCCAGTCGTTGACGGGCAGCATTTTTCTTCTCGACCGTCTCTTCCAGTGCAAGGACGCTGTAGGAGTAGGTAAACCTCACGCCCTTTGCCATCGTGCCTCACTGTAAGCGAAGCTTGTCATTGTCCGGTTGGTACATCCAAGCGTTCTTGAACGATTTGTATGCTTGGTCAAGATCTCCCCTACGGATAAGTCAGCTTATGCACTATTTGCGGACCCACCCATCGGTATATGAGCGGCCTTTCCGAACCCAGGAACGTAATCTGCTACCGCGTTCTTCCTCAGTCATGTACTCGATCAGTGTACCCTTCGTCGTGTCCGCAGGGTCCAACAGCCCATCCGTGGCAGTTTCTGCCGCTCGACAGCGATCGTACTGCTTCAGACTCAGCAGATTCTTGCTCCAAAGAGGACACCACGTACGAATGCCCTCGCCTCATCAAGAGTCATCCCACCAGCCTTCGTGAACGCGTCGTCGATTGGATGAGTAGATTTACCCTTGGCAACATGTGACATGTCGTAATCGGGGTTCTCCTTGCTATGACCGACTGGACGAGTAGATGCGCTCATGGTGGTTCTTCTTGGAAGACCGGTGGTCATCGTGCGCGAGACGTTGGCGGAGATGGACGGTCGCAGCACCCCAGACCTGTTTACCGAACCCGAAGAGGAGCCGAGAGACCCAAATGTCGTCGACCGGAGCGGCGCAAGGGCTGATCGTTGGGGAGACAGTCCCAGTGAGGTTGCTGATCTTTGCATAGAGGCGAGGGATGCTCTCGCACCAGGAAGAGCTGTGGAAGGCCGGGCAGCGGGAGGGGCGACAGAGACGCGACGAGCCGCTTGGAAGTGTTCAGCTTCGTGAGACGGAGCAGTCAGACACTCACTGCGCTCGTTGGTGGACACCGCGTTTTCGACTTGGCTCGCCTTTGACGCAAACCTGAGAGCAAAGTCAGTCGACGATTCTCCTCACGTCTTGAAACTCACGTCAACGTATTGATGGTGTCCTTGGTGAATTTGTTTCCCGGTGCCAAGCAGCATATCAGCAACCCGGCGGCAGTACCACCAAGGGCGTCTTAAAGCATCAGTCATTTGTTGCCGATCTCAACTCACCTTGCAGAATCCTCGTAAGCTTGCAGTCTCTATATGGTATCCTTGAGGCATTTGTGTTGATTGCATCCACTACCGTTTTCAGGGTAGATAGCGATTTGTTGATCGCAGAGCTCTTGATCATCAGTTCGCATCCTCCGGCGCCAAGATTTACCTCTCGCATACGTTCTGCATCGTTGCCAGTCAGGTTGTTGTTCTCTGATCCCGCAAGATCAGTCAACTGAAGGGTGTCAGCGCAAACTATCTACCGGACGACGTCGTGCTCACGCAGATTTTGCTCTGCTGGGTCGATCCATCTTCCCACTCCATGTGTACGTAAAGAGTCAAGATGGCATGTGATCGAGATGAGCCGTGATTGAGATTGGTAGATGCGACCTTTCGTGTCGCTGCGGCAATACTGCAGGAGGTGCATCAGAAGGGGGTCCGTCGCTGCGAGGCGCATTGATACCCACTTGTACAAGTCTCTGAACTCTTCGGGACTGGAGACCACCGTGGTTTGCATATTGGCGACGGTATTGTTGCCTTTGCCATCGGTCCGCAGGTCAAGTTTGCGTCTCTGTTCAGCTTTTGGCCCTGAATTGCTCCAACGACGGTTGCCACTATTGCCTGAGCCATTGCTAGCATCTTGAAGATCGTAAACCTCGTCCTTGAGGATTTCCTGGAGAGGTTCAGCTGTGACATTGGATGGATCTTAATTGACGTACGACGAATGAGAATGAGATGACTGTGGTCCGGTCGTCCAACTCCTCGACTCGGTCGAACAAAGCCTTTAGGGTTCAGCTCGATTGATGGCTCGAGCTTACCTGCACAGCACGGGGGATAATGCCTGGATCGGAGTCGGTCCCCTGCATTGTCTGCGACACAAGGTCAGTTTCAAGGCTGCCGGACGGATTCCGATGACTCACATGAGTCTTTCCAGAGCCCGTGACTCCGTAGCAGAAAGCAGTCGCGTTCTGGTGGACTCTCAGCATCTCTTCGGTGAAGTATGGTCAAGCTCACTGTTCCCTCCAGAACTTTGTCAAGTCTGATAAAACTGTTCAGCGACGATTTCTCGTCCAACATTTATCACTCACAAAGGCTCTACGTGCTCAAAAACACTGCTCTGAGTGCTGTCCGTATCATGACAGTGAGACAAGCTGAGGAATTAGATTAATTTACCGCATTTGCTTACGCATCCTGTACTCACGGATAGGTGAATGCTCTGCCTTTCTCACTGATCGCTACTATCGTGCGATTCGATGGCAGCGATAATGAGTCCTCCCGCCATGGTCCATCACTAGGTTTATGTGGTCGTATCCGAACATGAACTTGAATGTTTGATTTCCTCATGTTTGTACAATATGCCGTCCGAGTCGGGGTCGAAGTAGGACAACAGCGATCTGGTCCTATGATCGCCTCCCAAGTTGCTTGGTCGCGCTCCTATCGACCAAGTCAGACCCAGCAGCGAGGTCGATGTCGAGGTCTAAGATCAAACATTGTTGATGAGCCCATGGCACAGTGTATTTCAACCCTTCTCCTGATCGGTCCTCAACAGAAAACACGGAAGCAAAATATAGAGCAATAATAAAAGTCAGTCGCGACTGGGAGATCAACAACAACACAATTCATTACTTTCTCTGCACTGACCATGGCCACAGTACAGTCAATGCCAGGAGGCTCAGACCTTCATCATGCCGTTGATAAGTGAGCAAGACTGGAGATAGCTTTGCTGACCTCGGCTAGGCTCGTATCTGGGTCCTCAGACCCCTTCAATATTATGGAGCATCGAGAAATCTTCCAGCGACGAGCTCTGGAAGATGTGACCATCAACAGCAACGATTCGGCGATGATGATGAACCCTCACAACCCGCTGCTATTGAAGGAAGAGTCTGAAGCGGAGAAGGTGGGTAGATCACCAAGATGCAATTGGCAAGCATGTCGGCTGATCCCGTCCAGGCTACATTTCGAAAACTCAAATACACGTACATTGAGCAAGGGGCAAAGGTCAACTTTGTGATGAATATCACGGGAGACGAGCCAATGGGTCTTCAGCCAGGAGAAAATGAGGGACTGCGTGAGCTGAAAGCATTGTCTGGGTCTCAGTCGTTGATCATTATGGCAGAGATCACCAACAAAGAGAAGAAGGCGGCATTGAAAGCCGTCAAGGACGAAGTACACGGTGTACGGGACGAAGCTATTTCGCTGGCAAAGGACAACGCCTTGCGTGAGTTGAGGCAAAATATGGTTGCTCTTCAGCTCATCCCTATTCAGGTCACGAGCGAGTCTCGTCGCAAGTATCAGAGGCTCAGGCTTTGCAGAAAAAGATCAGGGACATGGAGCTGGAGCTCGCAAGAATAAAGGCCAACTATCCGTCCGGCAAGGCAAGTCAAACGTCTCTTCTGGGTGCCGAGCGCTGATGACACAAATCGTATAGCGCGTGACCATAGCTCAAGCTCAGGACATCCTTGAACAGCAAACGGAGGAGATGCAGAAATTGATAACGGATACCGAAGAGGCCAATAAGAAGCGGGACGAGGTTAGAGAACAGGTGTCCTCTGCTTCGAAGGATGTAAGCGGGCAAGGCTTGTGCGTCTATACTAACGGCGAGCAGCTCCAGCGCCTCATGAAGGACAAGGAGAGAGAAGAGGCCCGAGCTCTAGAGGTTCAGAGCGGACGCGAGGCCGGAGACACAAAGGTCGATGAGCAATGCAGATGGCAAGTGTTCCCTTGGAGCAATCTCTTATCCACCGCAGGCTTATGTCCTCGATCACATTCTATAAATCTTTGATGGGAATACGGAACGTCAAGGCTGTATCCGAGTACCAACTCCACCTGGAGTACGCCGTGCCAAGCACCACGGAGGGTGATTCGGTGGTCCTCCTACTCAACTTTGACTCCCTATCCAAACGACTGGCAGGCGCAGAGGTGAGTGGGTTTCAGACTCCTTCAAGCTCATGGTGCAATCAGATCATGGGGAGTGACGCAGACATTTCTGAGCCTGTCAATGTGGCTGTGGCGACCAACGACATCCCAGGCTTGATAGCAGACGTGTTGGTGCTTGTTCGCCAGACGGTCTGAAGTGACTTGAGGATCGATGTGTATGATACATGAGATGGCTGTAGGTCTGTGACAATGTATAGCTATGGAGCTCGGTGGATCAGGCGACTTCTTGCTCTTTACTGGCAGCAAACCCGTGTCCTGGTTTCTCAAGTCAGGAATCTGTAATGGAGGGCAGAGGGCGCTTACCAAATCCCATTGAGATAGCGAAGTCCGTCGTCCGATGTTGAGAGGCTGGATCTTGAGGCGCGACCCAGAACTCATCAATGATGGGGATTTGGAGCAGATTCATCTGAGTGCCGTCAGCTCTACGTTTTGTCTCATCACATTCCCGTACATACCTTTGGTGTGATGACGAGCATTGTATTCGTCTTGACCTCCATCCAATCACTTCTCTCGAAGGTCAAGGGTTCAGACGCGATGAGTATAATGCTCTCCCTCTTATCCGCTTTTGTCATTCTGTACATTCCTCCATCTTGTATCTCGTCGAAAGACGTTCCAGATGAGAAAAAGAGTGACGACGCTTCGGATGTTCGCGAGCTGATATACCGAGTCGCAACGACGGTGTGACCGTCCGACACGACGAAGTTGAGCAGGCTTGGGCTGGTCTGGAAGGGGACGGGTCAGGATGAATGTTTGAAAGCCCAGACACGCACCACTTCGGCGTCCTTGAGTAACATATTCAGGGTTTTGATGGTCTCCATCATGGCGTCCCTCAGCTCAACATGTGTGAAGAATCGAGCGTGTGGGTCTTTGAGCTGGATACTTCAGTAAAACTCTAAACCAATAGCGCCTACTTTCGAGAGAAAAAGCATGAAAGCCCATTCCGAGTCTGAGCAGTCAGCAGACGATCACCGAGGATTTCTGACTCACCGGTGTAACCTGCAGGGTACAAGAACAGCTCTTCTGGAAGTGAAGACTGCAGAGCTCGCTTGATCTTGGTGAAGCCAGATATCTACGATCTTCAGTATTATGTCATGCTTCAGACAGGATAACGCACTTCACCATTGTGCATCCACTACGGAATCGTTCAGGAGGTGATCTTGCAGCGAGGCACTCACCATGAGCTTGCCGAAGAGCCAAGGATGGCAATTGTCTTCGCTCGCTATGACGCTTGTGAGTCGGAAAGCATCCGGCAGCCGAAAGGACTTACGAGCCCCGGGCATGGTTGAAGCTCGTACGTGCGCACTGTCGGCAGGACTCAGCGTAATGGTCTAGCTCTAGCCGTGTTGCAAGCTCACAAGATCAAAGGACTTCTGATCTTCTCTGCGAGTCGCTCGAGATTCGCATTGCTCCACGCCTAGGAGGATCCGTCAGGCCGCAGCTCTCGATGGCTAGTGAGACTTACAGGAGAGATGGATTTGAAAATGCACGGTCTTTCGTTCTCCAGCTCTCGCTCTTTTGCTCGATCAGCCAACAGCTGCTGAGCATCCGCATCATCCCCTTCAAAGACGCCGCTTGATCCGGTGGGATGCATGGGAGAAGAGGCTTCGGCTCGTTGAGCCACTCCATTGCTCAGCGAAGGATTCTCACTCGGTGACTTTGGCGATGTAGTTTCAGGATAAGGATCCTTCTCTTGACACGGTGTTTGTAGGGGATCATACCACCCGATACCGAATCCATCAGCCTGGCGGCGAGTCAGTGACGGCTGGAGCAGAAGAGTAAAAACTCACATTCATAGGTCGACTCGATGGAAATCGCAACTTGGACTCGAAAGCCTGGTTCGTAATGGAATGACGGGGTCTAGTCACCAAATGGGACAGCTGAATGGGCTCATGGCCCTTGTAGACAATCTGCAAGCCGACTTTAGCAGATGTACATGGCTCGATGCAAGGGAGAGATTTGGTAGACGACGATCGCTTCAACGCGAAAGAGACAGCCAGACTTACAAAGCGGCACATCCTCTTACAGGAACTGAAGTTGAAGGATGGTAGAGGTCCGGGTATAGGTCATAAGCCCATATTTGCGAGCTTGACTGGCGTGTCCTGCAAGGCTCAGTCGGGAGCGGAGTGTTGGAGTGAAAGGATAGGTGAATGACGTGTCTTCGTTATCGCTCCAGTAGTCTCTCAGAGGCCTTTTGGGCCGTTCATACCCTTGACGCGACGTTCCCGAGACTTTCAAGCTGCAGCTATGGTATGAATGTGGTATGGATCAGACAGTCTCCGAAGTCCCGCCGGAATTCAACGTCGTTAACTTTTTGAGAGATTGAGATGATACAGCGACTGTTATAAAGATCACACCAAACGAACATGTATTTCGATCTCTATCTGCCATTCCCCATCCCTCGATCCAATGACATCCCAAAGAAGAAGAAGGACAAGTCAAAGGGCAAAGGCAAAGCTGAAGATTCCAGTGCCGCCGAGTCGGTACCCCAGAGCTGCTGGGCTGGATTGGAAGAAGGCGAGAGGGAAGGATTCGCAAGGTCCATGGCATTGTCTGGACATCGTAAGTGGGACACTCAATAGTATGTTCTCACTCTTCATTAGTCGGATACTCGATTGTCGGCTGTACGGTCAACCCTTCGACCTCTGCCTTAGCTCACGTATCGCCTTTCTTGAGAGCTTTACCATACCCCCAACTTGATCCTCGTTCTCGCGAGGATGGCAAGAGCGGACAGTCGAGTAATCAAGGTCTCACCATGGTCCAAGTCTCAAGACTACACTTACATTTGGACGATTCAAGGACGCACTGCCTGGTGAGTCTTTAAACTGCAAGTTTCACTGATACGTGCAGACTGGGGCCAATTCGGCGGTCCTCAAAGAATACGATATCATCTCCGTCCAGCCTTTGACCGAGAAGGCTTTCCAGCTAGTCTGCACCGACCTCTGTCTACCTGGCCCCAACCAAGTCTCAATTATCACTCTGCCATTGCATGAACGACCATATCATTTCAGATTGAATCGGAAGCAAGTCCGACAAGCGCAACGGAATGGTGTCATGGTGAGTTACGATACCGCCTCAAGCTCACGCAGACAGTTCGAAATCCTTTACTCTGCTGCACTATCTCCTTCATCAGCCAGTCGCGAGACGGCTAGAAGATATCGCCAGAATTTCCTGTCCAATGCCAAGGAGCTCGTCCGGATCACGGGTGGAAAAGGCATAATTCTTTCCTCTGGACCTGGTGGAGGAGATGACAGTATGCGCGGACCGTTGGATTTGGTCAACCTGTGAGATCATTATGTTCCGCCATTGATGCTAACACCGTACAGAGGGACGATGTTGGGTATGCCTGCCAACCTCGCCAAGGACGCGGTATCTGCAAACCCCAAGCGAGTATTGCTGAATGCCCGTGAGTGGATTTCAAGCAGTCTTCCGCTGATTATCACAGAGGCCAGACGGACATTCAAAGGTGTCATGACCATGCCCAAGATGGTTGACCCGCCAGAGCCGAGCGCTGCGCTAGTTGAGGCAGAAGGCAGGGCAAAACGTCAGTCCGACACTGGTCAGCTCCAAGAAGCCAAGCGTGTCAAGATCGCTTGAAGCTATATGTTGCAAATGCGATGCATGACAAGATGAGGACACGGCAATATGCACAAATGTCTATTTGTCTAGTATGGCACAAATCGTCACACTGAGATCAGGCTGATCCACTCGGCTGAGTCATCCAGCCCCCGACCATTTCCATGGCTTTAGCGTCACCCTTGGCGATGATGTCTCCTTCAGCGCCACCGATGACACTGGCGACGAGTTCCCAGGGATCCTTGCCTCCGCCCCATTTCAGAATCTTCTCCTTGAACTCTTCGCCCCCTCTTCGACTGATGTTGTCTTCAAGCGAATGGCTGAACAGTGTGTGCCAGATCTTGCCTGCAATTGCTCGATCGAACAAATACGAGTAGTATGTCGCTCCATACGATTGCAGGTGTCCGAATTGAGGTTGCCAAGCTGTCCCTTCGACGAATGGCACGACCCCGACAGTGTTGGTTAGATCCTTCAAGATTGCAGTGGAGTCGAGTGAGCCAGTATCCGAAGGCGAGATGGTATGATATTGCTGATCCAAGATTGACAAGAGGATCTGTTGATGAGTCTCCAAGGCCGAGAGGGAGTCTTTGAGTTTCAGATGTTGTCTCAACAGATCGTGCGGGAGTGGCTCTCCAGTTTGGTGGTGTGCGGCGAACAGTGACAGGACTCGTGGTGAGGACACAAAATACTCCATGAGGATAGAAGGGAGTTCACAAAAGTCGGTCGCAACACGCGTTCCCGACACATTGTGAAAGTCGGTCCTGCCGATCATGGCTAGAAAGTCAGCGACAAAAGTAACCCAAGACTCACAGTGCATGGCGTGTCCGAGCTCATGGAACAATGTTTCGAGCTCTTGCCAAGACAATAAGGCAGGTCTCGTGTCCTCTCCCAGGCCGAAATCGCAGGTCAAGACTGCGACCGGAAGTTGATATCGTCCTTCTTTCCCTCTCATCGTCTCTCCAAACACCTCCAAGCCTTGGCCGTAAGGCGCGTCCCATTCTTCAGGCAACCCATCTCCAGCAGCGTCATCGTCATCGACCCGTCTAGCGCAGCGTACAGTGTAATGCGCAGCTGGGGCAGTTTTGCCTTCCCTAGCGAACAGATCACAGTAGATCGTCCCGACTCGGCCTTCTTTCTCGTCGATCACATCCAGACGCCTGACCCAAGGGTGCCAAGACTCGCCAGGCGACATGGCGACAGGTTTGAATGAGATACCGTACAGCTGCGTGAACAGTCTCGATGCGCCGAGAAGGGCTGATCCAACGGTAAAATACTGCGAGATGGAGTTCATTGATTTCGATGACAAGCTCGACATGTATTTCTCAGTGTAGTAGTCCCTGTCCCAGGCAGACAAGGCGGGTAGATGGGCAGTATGAGGATTCTCCTCCGGATAGTGATTTCCAGTCAACGAGCTCGCTTTGAGTCTTTGTAGAGCTGCGATGTCGGTCAAAGCTGCCGGCCTGTGGTGCTGGGCCAGGGAGTTGAGGAAACCCATGACCTGAGCTGGATTGCGTGCCATCTTGTCCACCAGAATTGCGTCCGCCCATGACTCCTTGCCAAGTACGCCTGCGAGCGTCGCCCGTTCCCTCAACATGGCCTCGAGTGTCTCGACCTTTTGCGCATCGTATCTCTGATTCCCGATGTACACCTGACGCCTCAACTCGCCGTCACGCGCGAAACGAAGAATCATATGGCTCTGCCATGATCCAGGTTCGATGACCGCTTCGTTCTCTCCGGCGAATGTGAGATTGGTGATGAACTGGGCTCCCATCCCAGCCAGGACTTTGTCGGCGTTCGGTATGTGGATGGGTGGTCCGGATGAAGGCCCCGCTTGGGCGTTGTGCGATACATCTCGACTCATAGCGAGAAGCCGGTTGGAGTGGTCCACAAACTTGGCTCGTTGACGAGGTGAGAGGTGTATGCCAAACTTTTCAAAATCGCTCTCAAAGGTTTTGGCGATGGATCTCTCGGATTGGGATAAAGGGTCTGCAAAGTCATGGGCGAGGCAGGCTCGTAAGGACTCATCGTGTCAGCTCTTCGAAAGGCGGGAAAAGCTCACTTGATACATCTTCTCATCCACATTCAGCATGTTCATGTACCCATTCAGACGATCGCTGGCCTCCTCAGCGGCTTGCACCCATTTTGGATCGGGATGCAAATGTCGGACCTTTTCGCAGAGGTCAATGACACCGCATAGCGTATCGCTCAGGCGGTCGAAATTCTTCACCACCAGTCGAAGTTCTCTACCCGTAGGATCCATCGGAGCATTTTGTATACGCTGCTGCAGTGCTCTGCACAGGACCAGAGCTCGTTCAGTCAGCGGTCGAAGTCGCTTTGGTGAAGTCAGAGGAGGGAATTGGAATAGACCAGTGGTCGATGAGGATGGATCAGTCGTTTGGTGATTCGGGGCGTCAAAGTGAGCCTTCAACAGTTCATCATCGGCCGTTGTTGGTGTAGAAGGATAGATAGGTCGAGGTGATGACGAGGCGAATGGTGGGAAATGGTCAGAGGTGTCGTGTGCCAGTGCCGTTAAAGGGGCACTCCGTGGTAGACTTGTATCGGGGCCGGCTCTGGCTATAGACGAAGCTGTTCTGACCAGTCGCCGACGAACGGCGATCGTCGAGGGGCCTGCCCTGGCTGCTGGAAGATACATTCGAGCAACGGACGAAGTCCCCGCACGAGCGATCATGCTGAGAGATCCAGTCGATGCAATAGTCTGAAATGAACAAAAGGCAGTCTCACAGTGCCGGGCAACGGGGTCAGGCGAGGACCGCGATGGGCAGCGGAGAGAATCGATCTCTCTCGGATCGGTACCTCAGCCGCACGACACCAGAACGGGACGAGGAGATGATGTTACAAAGGAGCGAGAGGCTGGGTTTGAGACCGGCTTGATTGTTGATGGAAATTGGTCAAAAGTGACGAAAACGACCGGCGGCTATTTAAGCGGTCAGGCGACCTGAATGCATGCTAGGCAGCTTCATCCCCTGCCAGCCAGTCCACAAAGACTCTTAGCAGCCATTGCCCCTCATGCGTATGACGATAGAAGTGGCCTGCGTCCTCCAGCTCCCTCATCACTAGCGCCCCGGTAGACAACATAGCCCGGTGGTCCTCTCCCCATTTAGCATACGTCTCCCGGCTGGTGAATTCATCGTTCGCCCCGTATGCTAACCAAGTATTTGCATGGCGGCGTGAATCTGGCCCAGAATTCGAGGATGTCATGAGCGCTTCTAGGGATTTGCTGAATGACTGATTTGGGATGGGAACAAAAGGTAGAGCGAGCAGTGTGAAGATGGACAATGGAGGCGACACGAGCAGTACGGAGGAAAGTAAACCTATGGCAGAGCTTCGAGGAGGGGTTACGACGGTCCAGCTACCCCAGGAGTAGCCCTACACTACGTCAGCGATGCAGGAGGGCAAGCAGAGATAAGCCGGTCAATGGTCGTAGCCGGCCTGCACTGCCTGTAGTTGAAGGACGGAGGACTCGACTGACTCACCATTCTCCTATAGTCCTTCAGAACGGAGAATTGCTCAAATGCCCAATCTTCCAAAGCCTCCAGATCTCGCTCATTCGTCCGATTGCTCAACCCTAGCAGACCTAGAGATCCTTGGGATACACCGACGCCGCGGACATTCCACGTCAACAGTGCAGTCTGTAGATTTGGCATACCCCTCGCGAGAGAAATTCGAGTCAACGATGCTCCTGCCTCAAGTCCCGAGTCGTCAATGTGTTGGCCAGAGATGGAAGTGACTAGATGTTGCGATATGACCCTTGAGCCCAGCTTTTCAATAATCTTTCGAAGGGAGAGAAAGGAAAACGAAACTCACGGATCGAGGCAGCTACCACCGAGCTTACCCCACGGATGACAGGCTACGATGAGTCTCTGAACTGCTCTGGACTTGAGCCACGCATTGAGCTTGGTAGACTGCTCGTTTGACGGATGACCGACATCGACAGGTCGAGATCGAGCTGAGGCAGAGAACGGGACAGGGCAGTACTCTATCTCGACCGCAGCTGCTGGCGAAGAGATCACGTCTGAAAGGTAGAGACGAGCCTCAAGGGCGATACCCGGTGAAGATGATGGCAATAAGACGTGCAAGTGAGGATACATGAAGCACAGGACAGCTGGACACATGAACGAAGGCGTGAATAGTTGTGGCGGCACCATTGTTGTGGCGGAAATACATAATATGTAGATTCACGCTCCGGTCTCTAGTGGAAGGGTAAACTACGATCGTGGCAGCCTGAGCCGTCCCGCGCCCCTCTTTGATCTCCTATCGAAGCAATGATCCGGCCGTGAGATGTGTGGTGAAAGAGTGCTTGGTCTAGGCCCCTTGGGAGCAATTGCCCGTCTCGCCAGGTCGATCGGGTGGTCAACGTAATTCACTTGATTTCGAAGCCTCAGACCGTACGGTTGCGGCCTTGAAACGGCAGACGGCTGGGATTTGGGTAGACGACTTCCGTTCACCTCCTTCTGAGCAATCGGATGAGGTTTTTTTGGATTGATCATGGTGCCAATGCCATTCGCTCTGCTTATTTATCTCAGTAAAAAAGATCATTTGGAGCGAATCAGGCCTACGGGGCTTTCATTACGAAGGGTCTCTGATCGCTCGTGAAGATCGGAGTAGGGTGTTCCGCAACAATGAAAGATGGTTTTGATGCAAGGGAGTCATGAAGACCTCGCACTGGCGTAGGTGTGCTTAACAGACTGTCGATTTCTATAGCAGGATTAGGATCGTCCCGGGGTCGCGTCCGAGAGGGATGAGGTGGATTGATCGGCGACACTGGGATTGATCGACGGTGACCGAGGGCTGGGATAGCTATGTTGATCGGGTTCAGACCATATTGCCCCCGCAGGATCTTGAATATCTCTGCTCGTTCGGTTCTAGCTTCTACCTCGATTTCATCGAGTTTGTCGAAGACCTGGTTGAACAACGAGCGCATGGAATCTGCCATGGAATCTTGCTTCGTTTCTACCCTTGCAAGGCTGCTTATCACTTCAAGCGTGCATTCTTCTAGATCTTGATCGAGCCTTGCGTCTGAGGACCTTTGTTGCTGTTGCCCAGGAATATCACGAGTCTCGTACCCTCAGATCACGTCAGTACTTTCAACCTTGATCGAGGGCGGGAAATGAGTACGTACAGTGATTTCGGACCATTCTTGAGAGATTGCAAGTCTGATGTAGGAGGGGCGGACAAAAACGACTGGACTTATGCTCTCAGCCCAAAGCCCTCAATGCTCAACAAGCTTCAAGAAGGAAAGAGGATTAAGTAAGAACGAGGAAAAGGCAAGGCGAATGGAGTTTTGAACTGTGAGCGCTAGGATCGCTCGCAGTGGCGAAAGGTTCCCGAGGCCAGAGCACGTCAGCTTCCCACTCTCAGAGCCTCATTGAACGGCTGTCCGTTTCTTGATCTGGATATCATCACTGGGCAGGATGTAATGGCTAGCATGGTCATTCGACAATGTAGCGGCTTTATTTTATGTTTTCTGAAAGCTGAAGGTGGAAATCCAGGTTCGTGCCAAAGTCGCGTCGCCGGCGGCGATTGATCAAATCGCGGGCGTCTGAGAATATGAATAGTAGCAGCGGTAGTTCATCAAACACTGAGAGATGAGGCATCGTCCAGAGTATGCATGACACTTCACGAAGCTACAAGCTAAAGGCTACAGAAAAATAGGAATAACGATACAAATTGTTTTGGCTGAGACGTGTTTGACGCGTCGGACTCCGTCAATTGAATGGGTATGGAGCGTGTTCGAGTCCTTTCTTCTCCCTCAATCGCTTTGATCGTCGAAGACTGTCGGTCTGGACGCTCTTATTGTCCGTCTTTCTCCTTTTCGAGCAGGTTTCAACCGGTTTGCGAGCTGGTATCCTGAGAATGATTTTGCCAACGGCGGCGCGGCTGTCTTTTTCGATTTCTCGGTGAGGTCGGCGTTTCCATAGACAAGACTGGCATCCTGGGTGGCTCGGGTAGGACATGGGCTTTGATTTCGCTCTCTATAGGTCGATCTTACCCAAGCAGGCGAGCTTTCTGGAGTCGATCGGACTCGCTTCGCTGGAGTGATGGGACGTTGAAGCATCGCGGACTGGTCCTCGGGTCCGACATACGAATAATCATTATTGGCGGGCCACATCTGTCCAGAAGGGGCGTAGACGGCCGAAGTGTGCTCGTAGAGTCTCTATCAAGGTTTTTTAGACGTTGAATCAAACGCGAACATGGGATCTACTCACTTGATCGGGCGGGGAGGGGGACGAGGGCTGCCAAGTTGGCGACGCAATGACGGGCGAACATGGGGCCCATGAAGGTGAGTCCAACGAAGAAGTGATGCTTGAATCGTATGAGCCGGCATACGGATTCATTGAAGGGGTAGGAAGCGAAATGGTTGGTTCGTATGGATCGCAAAAGGCTCTAATGGTGATCCTATCGCGGAGATTAGCCATGATGGCGAAACCCGTTATGGCGGAGGTGATACAGTAGTGTCCTTTGAGGTGATTTCGGGACCGTTTAGAGAAGATTTCCCCTTGTTCCACAGCCAGGTGTACTTTTGAGGGGAAGAAGATATCGAGGACAGCGAGATGTGAGAAGGACAGAGAGAGAACATCCCCCAAGTACAAGGAAACCCCTCCTCATATACCTCCTCGAACCTGCTCGCTCGCCACTTTGCACCGAGTCATGTGAGGGAAAAGATCACGTGACTTTTCTTCCACTCGCGCGGCATTATCTCCGCGTTGGCTGTGTGTTTCACCGACCAGTACCACTCGTTTGCGACTTTGAATGGACGACGAAGGGCAGTTGGACGATTGGTCTGGACAAGGCTGAATGACCTATACGATTATCGATATGCCTTCCGTCACTAGTGCATCGAGTGAGCGAGAGGACGGATCGGTTTTTCACGCATCACAAGGAACTGACCACTCAAGGCTCCGACAAGTACTCTGTGATTCTGCCGACGTACAATGAACGAAAGAACTTGCCTATCATAACGTGGCTCCTAGCCAAGACATTTACCGATGCGTGCGTCTCACTTCTTTTCCACATCACTCATACTGCGCAGTGGGCTTGCATGGGAGATCATCGTCGTAGACGACGCGAGCCCAGATGGGACAGAAGAGGTAGCAAAGCAACTGGCAAAGGTGTACGGAGAGGATCATGTGGTGAGATAGCTGACTGGAGCAACATATACTGATATGGGAGATTCTCAAACCGAGAGCTGGCAAGCTTGGCCTGGGGTGAGCTAGATGTGATGACCTGTGACCGACATTTCTCTTAGGACCGCCTACGTTCACGGTCTCAACTTTTGTACCGGTACATTCGTGATCATCATGGACGCAGACTTTTCCCACCACGTGAGTACTAAGACGTAAGTAAGCTCATACTGCTTAGCCCAAGTTCATACCCGAATTCATCAAGTAAGCGCTCGTCATTAGGAGCAGTGCTGATGAGCTAGACAACAAAAATTGCACAACCTAGACATTGTCACTGGTACACGTTACTCTTCTCATCCTTCTCCGAATCCATCTTCAACGGCTCCACGCATAGGTTTAGGTCCAGGAGGAGTGTATGGTTGGGATCTGAAGAGAAAGTTGGTCTCAAGAGGTGCCAATTTTTTGGCCGACACAGTGTTGAACCCTGGTGTGACCGATTTGACTGGTAGCTTCCGGTGGGTTTGACAAGATTCTGCGCTGACGGAAAAAGATTGTACCGCACACCCGTCATCAAAGATATCATCTCTCGCTGTACGTCCAAGGGTTACGTCTTCCAAATGGAGATCATTGTTCGGGCGAGATCACTGGGTTACACTGTCGGCGAAGTGCCCATCACGTTCGTTGATCGGATATACGGCGAGTCAAAATTGGGTGGATCAGAGATTGTACAATATGCCAAGGGCGTCGGACAGCTATGGTGGGGCGTGTAGAGTGTCATATATGCTCGTATAGAAATTGTACAACTATCTCGTCGAAATGATGTCGTCTACCTCTGGCATGCCATCCTCTGCTATACTCCCAACAGCGATAGTGCGAGCCAAGTCACGAGAAGTTCTCCTCTCCGGTCCATCTAGGAAAGCGCCATATGAGTCGCGTCCATCGTGCCCCATCCCTTCGACCCGTCCCTCCATCATGGGATTCAATACACTGCCTCCGGGCGTACTGGCTCCACCTCCTGGTACCTGCTGCCCTCGAGCTCCTCGCCAGCTCCACCTCGACTCGTTACTTTCCCAGCTGCCTTTCCGTCTCACTGCTCGAACGCTAGCGTCTCCGTCTGCGACACCACGACCGGTACGCATAGACATCCCTCCGTACAAGCTCAAGGCATGGGTCGAAGGAGGATTCGAGTCGATCATGGAGGGTGGTCGATCCATCGCCGAGGTCTCAGGTGCGAATGTGACGCTTGGACTGGTCGCGAGAGCAGACGATCTGGCGGCGGGATTTGACAAATCGCGTAGGCGAACTGAAGCGGGCCCAGGTATCGGAACCTGGTTAGGATTCGGGGACAGTTGACCCGTCGCAAAGGTACTCGAGGCCAAGGTCAAGGTGGAGGCGTTGGGGTCCGGTGGTGACGAAGGATGTGGGTTATCACGGGGATGAGGATGCGAGTGTCTCGGTGCTTGAACATAGTCAAGGGAAGGAGGGACATCGTCAAGAGGACTTGTCGGACCTTCAACTCGTCGTAGGGGAGAAGAGGGACCCGCGACAGGCGCAGGTGTCGGTGAAGGTGCTGATGTCGGAGCAGGAGGTACAGTGGCGATGTGCGCAGGAGGAGGCTCGGCATCGATGCTGAGTATAGTTGTCGGCTTTGTACTTGCGCTATCTCTTCGACTGCGATCCACGCGATCCACATCAGATGAGTTGGTCGAATCTGTAGCGGAATACTGTGACCTTCTGAACGAAGCTCCATAAGTCCCAAAAGCGCCTGGCGAAAGGAGAGAGGCTGAGGCCGAACGTGAGATGACGGAAGTTGAAGGAGCCGGAGAAGCAGGGTGAGAAGGTGGGAAAGGCCGTATGGAAGCATCCTCATCTGCTCCACTCCAACGTTGTGAGGAATCATCGGCGAATGATATCCTGGGCCTCGTAGACGTTTCTGAACGAAGGGACGGTGTTCGCGAACGACTCACGAACGACATGGATTGTGAGTCCAACGTCGAATCTCTCGGCATAGGCACGGGAATCGAAGGATAGGGATTGTTGGCTTCTCGTATCCGCATTCGCTCGGAATCCGCTATAGAATGAGGATATCGTCTCAGCGAGACAGATTCAGAATGCGTGAGGCGGCCTGAATCATCGCGACTGAGAGGTGAGAACAATCGTGTTGGAGACGGAGGTTCGGTATGGGCTACAGGGAGAGAGACGAATCGACCGCGGGGGGTGGTCGTGATGCCTGGGAGGGTGGAGGAGTTCCCAGTTCTGGGAGACGAAGACGAGGTTGATTCGTTGGTATGATGAGGGAAGCCTTCATGTTTTTTGCCTAGTTTTCTGGAGATCCATTCGAATATGGGCTTCTTATTCGCGCCTGCGTTGGTGTCCCTGTGAGATTTGGAGTGAGCATTCGCGTACTGCTCTGCGTCCGATAGCTTGTGTTCAGAAGCTCGTCGCGTCGCAGAGGGTCGGGATGTTGAGTTCGAAGCGGTGTCTCGCTTTTTTGACCCCGGGCCACCAGCTTTGGATGCATTGTTGTGGACCTGGGCAGGAGACGTCGACGGAGGGTTCAGAACAGTGGTCCGAGTCTTGCCTTCTTTTGGACTCGTCTCGGGTGCCATAGCGTGTAAGTTGTTTGCTACAACATGGTCGGAGGTTATGGTACAGGATTTGAACATTTTGCGCTGCAGCGGCGAACCGCCTCACAACCCGAAGTCTCGGGCGAAGATATTTGATTCCGCAAGAGTGCATCATTAGTCTACATGGGCCACTTGTATCTCTAGTGAACAGCGCCTCCCTCTGGAGCATCTGAATTCTCCTTGTGAATCTCGATACCCGGTCGAGCTCCCAAGGCCGACTTGATGTATCCGTAAATGACGAATTGAGAGCTGACCAGTCCGGCGGTCATAGCTGATGGGAGTCAGTATCAAGTATATGGAGGTTGCTGCTCACCCATTCTTGGTCCTAATCCCGACCAGATACCTCTGAATCCAACTTCCTTGGCTAAAGCGCCCAATCTGTACAACATGGATCCTTTCGGTCCGTGTCCTCGGTTAATCTGAGATAACAGTGTGTCTGCGGGCTTTGACGTGGTCAGAATGCTGTTGGACCGCTGGACCTCACATGTGACAGGATAGCAGCGGCTACACCAGCGGTGATACCTGAGGTCAAAGTGATTCCCATAGTTGCAGTGGCAGAGAGGTTTTTTCGAGTCTCGGGGTCTAATCTGTTGTACAGAAACTCGGTACATCGTTCGTTGACGGCGAATTGACCTGATCAGTGGTTCAGCATGCATCTCCCTGTACTTGACCTACCGACAGCGAATGGGACCTGTTTGAATAGGATAGGGATGAATCCAGCGTAAAGACCTCCGATACCTTCGGTCGAGGCAATCTTGGTGAGACCAGAGACCAGTCCAGTGGCGTACTACGAAGAGATATCAGCTGGAGATTTAACCAGTGCTACCTTTGGATTCGAAACCAGTCGAATACGAGTGGCCTCCAAGGGTGTCAAGAGGATATCAGCGAAGAATCTAATGGTGTCAGCAGAGAACGATTCGCTCCAGCTTACTCGGCAATGGTGGCTCCTCCCAGGTAAATTGCCGTCCTGTTCTCCACGGCAGCTTCACGAGATCCAACCATCTCGACGAGATATTTTTTCTGATGAATCAGACGTGGAGCTCAACGTCATGCAGACTTACAGACGCTTCATACTGTTAACTCTGTCAGCTCATAATGCTCCATGGACAGACTCACTCCGGCAAATTTGGCACCACCTTGGAAGAAATATCCAGCCGCAGTCGGTCCGAACCCAGTGAGTAGCTACGCTGAATCAGTATGAAGCCTCTATACCGGCTGGCCTACCCCAGCAGGTCCTTCAGCCGCTATGATGCCTCTTCCAACCGTGAGAAATCCTTGGCCTTTGAAAGCCGGGTCGATCTGTATACGCGTCTTGACGACGTCGACGGCTGTGTACGTTAGCTCTACCGCGCTGTAGTTTGGTCCTCACGAGTGAATCCAGCATGAGTGCTATTTGTGGGTCAGTCTTACGTTCATCCATCCCGATTAGGCGGGATGGGACTTACACCGTTGCACATAGGGCTCCAGACATGAAAAAGATGCCATAATCCTTGGCTGTAAAGTTGGGAGTCAACGGAGCTACACCCGTGGCTTGAGCCACAGATTGAGCTGAGGGAGCCATCGCTGAGATCACAGAAGCTGTTTCGTTGACTGCACGTTAGAGATATCAAACTTGTGAATGTCCGACATGCGAATGTCTATAGTGTTTTTCATTTTGCCCGAGGCTCGGAATGTCCTCCACCGATATGACGTCAAAATACATGACAACCGACGCCACGTGCCGGCTCAGATCTGAAGTGCAAGTTGGCAGGAGGTGTAATGAGGGCAGAAGCCCAGCGGTAGGTCGGGCAGGTCTCATGCAAAGACGACAGACATGCTCGATGAAGAGAGCTCAGACTTGGGCTCAACACTGACCAGCTGAAATGGCACACAGCTGCTGACAGCAACCGCCCCTCGTCAATCGTATCATCCCGGTGACATGCATGTACATCCAATGAAGCCAGTCATCGTGAGCATGTGACCTACTCTACAACAGTCCTAATATCTCGGCACGACCTCTCTCGTCGATCGCTTGTAGTGGTAATACCCATTCCCAGGTGTTGGCAGTCCTCGACCACGTCCACCACTTGCCTTCGTGGCGTATCCATCCCAAGCGTCTTTGGGCCAATTGCAAAGATATACGCTGGATTATTTCAGTGTTTGCTCCCGGAGGGAGGGCACAACTCACATAATGAGGCAGATAGCAGCTGTCAAACCCATCCAGATCTGGGGGGATCAGCAAGTCAACCATAACTTGAGTCGGGTGGTGCCGCACTCACTGCTGAGCCCAAATGGACTTCCAAAGGGACCACCTCAAACGTCCGATGGGCGATACTCCATCCGTAGATTGACAAGAGCCAAGCAGTGACCACAACGATCATAGCGAGATTCTGGGACACCCTCTCAGCTTGAAATCCCCCGGGACCTCGCCTCACCGCTGAGAAAATGAAAAACACTCGATTGCCTACGAACCGTAGGGCTCGAGATTCATGGACAAACAAGAGCGGAAGGATAGCCAAGGTGGTAAAGAAGACAGGGATGATACCTGCATATCAACCTAGACCCTAGAGCTTCCTCACTCACCAATGGCCCAGAGAATCATGGCGCCAGTGAGAGCTCGATTGACTCCTGGCGCGTACCTGGGACATCAGTCACGGCGCAAATGCAAAGCGTTCATAACTCACTCATAGCCTACTGTATCGGGGAGACAAAAGGTCGGACTGCACCATCCAAATGAACCGAATGTCGTATCTCCATCAGGACTCGGCAGCCTCAAGAAATTGATAGATGAGATGAACGGGGATGAGAACGTGACGAGGATGCTGGGCTCATGCGAGTCAGTCGAGGAAAGACTGGCACGACATCGCACTCACACCAGTACCAGCGCAGCAAAAGTAAAGGTAAACAGGATGATCACATGCGCACCGTACGGGACTCGCTCAGCGATGAATGTCGGCATGATCTGTCCTTCGAGAGGATGTTTGTGGGGACACGAGAGACTCAGGACGAAGCGCAAGAGTTCAGCTAGCTGTTGTTATACCTCTTGAGACCTAGTATACAATAGAGGTCATACTACATGCATTCGAACAAAGAAGTGAAGTATCTTCATCACATAAAATAATGTCATCAACGAAACAATGTTGAACGATCCAAGCAGTGTCGTTTATTGTCCATCATGGCCCGTCCTTTGAACCTCTGCATTCCTTTCGCTCAACCTTCCCATCGAGTCGCTCATTCTACCCAAAGGTCAGGCTTGTCTCCCCATCGTCTCAACTTGAGATGCAGCTCCTTCACCTCCCCGTCCAAGGGAAAGGACCATGTTGCGAGTTGCCCAACAGCGGTGATCTCACCTTCTGTCAATTCTTGAATGTCAAGATCGATTCTGGCGGGTTGACCAGCTCGCCATTCGCCCTCGGGCTGACCCACCATACGACTCTTGCCGTCTCCTTCTACACCGAGATAATGGACAAATGGGAGAAAAATCACTGCCGAGCCGGACCCTGTGCCTGATGACGTCTCGATGATCAGGTCGAAAGCAGTCGAACCCATGTCGAATGAGAATGACTTGATACGACCAGTCACGGATACGGGATAAGGTCTGCACCACGCGTCGATACCGCGAGTGCCAAGCATGTACAGTTGTTGCAGCGTCTGTGGACTGCTCGCTTTTAGGTCGTCATTGCCGTCCAGTTCGTCAAAGGAGAATACCGACAAGTCCTCCTGATTCCAACCATCTCCAAATTCATGCGAGTTGGTCGGTTCATAGTCCCACAGAGTCCAGGAGAGAGCGTTGTCTCCATCGCATCCGTTCAATAACTCATCGAGCGCCTTGGCCGGCTCTCGGTAGTCCTTCCTGCTGTCTTTGCCTCGGAGTATGCCAAGCCACTTTGACTTTTTCATATCGAACGGCGACCCCAGTTCGCCAATCAATGTAGGGTATCTCGCGCCGAGTAGCCCCACGTCTAGCGCATCGCTCTTAAGCTCCGCAAACTGGTTGCGAAGATTTCCGCGGAGGGCCGAGGCTCCGGACTTCGCTGCACCAAGCATGCCGACTTGACCACGGTGCATCCCAACAGTATCCGCGTTGAATTTGGGACGCCTCTTGGATAGCATGGTAAGACCGTCATAGAAGTGCGATGAGACTACCAGTCGACCATTCGTGATGCTGTTGTCGAGTTGAGGTGGCCGATCAAAGATAGCTGGATGGATAAACGAGATGGCATCTGGGTGTGATTTGCGAATGCGAGAGATGAAATCAATGTACCATGGCTTCCAGAAATCAGTCATAAAGTCTTGGCCGTCCAACTTGAAGTAGTCAGACTTGGTCTTGCCAGTACTTCGATCCCAGACGCCGTGACCAGCCCAAGGGCATCCAGCCAGTCCACGCTCGTCCCAAAAGTTCCATTCGCTACCCCACTTGTAGCCCCATCGCTCTTCAGCGGTTTTTGCCTCTTCACGGGTGAGCCACAGTCCCTCGGGGGGTGGCGTATGCGTGACATTGCCGAGACGCTTGAGGCCAAGTGACGTGAAATCGTCCATGGCGATGTTGTCGACCGTTTCTCCGACACCGAGGCGGAAACCTTGGATCGGAGTGGGAGATCGACCTTTGCGGAACTCTTGGCTTGGTGGGATTTCCTCAAGATTTGGGATATCGATGAACCCTTCGTGAGGCTCGTTGAGCGTATCCCACCCAATGACACAGGTGTCCAAAACATCGTGGAGTCGATCGGCGAGACTGGGAGTGAGCGGACGATACAGTAGGTTGACTCACTGCCCATACGCGGCGATAAAGTGTCCGCGAGCCCATTCTCCAGCGGGCAGGCCGTCGATAGTGCATTTCGGCGCAAAGGCTTTCGAGGCGAAGAACATGGTAAGACAATGTCGCGCGGCGAGGCGATTGGCATTCGAGTTCCAGATCACTGTTTGTTAGTCAAGGCTAGGAGGATCATCGTACTATCAGGGTATTCTCCTGTGCTTTCTTCTCCGTTGAATCCATGCTTCAGAAATTCCGAATGGAGGACAGCAGAGCCAGTGGAATGGATCCGGCGAGGGTTGATGCCAAAAGCTTCAAGGACCCAATAAGGTGCTCCGGACCCTCCGACGAAGCGAGAAAAGACATCTTGATGGGGCGAGATAACTAGTTTGGTCAGTAGAGTAGGCGTTTGCAAATACGTACAGACTCTGAAGCCAAACGACTTGCACTTCTGGAGCAACCGGACGAGATAGTCTATGTACTTTTCGTCATACTTGCCGCTGTGTATGCGTCAGCACGATTCGAGGGCGGGACGCACGGTCCTGCATGTTCGAGAGCTTCCCAAGTCACGATGAGTCGGACGGTGGTAAAGCCCCAAGATTGAAGTCGGCGCAGGTGTGTCTATGGAGGTCGATATTCCATTCCAATACCGACAGAACTCACTTCTGCCTCCTTTTCAGGCAGTGGTCTGTCCACGAACCATCCGTCATATCCTCCTTTCTCTGCGTCCGAGTAGAAACCATACTCCTCGCCTAGCGCACTGTGAATCCCAGCTTGATGCTTCCGGCTGGCGTCACGATCCGACCGAGTCGACTCGGAAGGTTCAAAACGTCCAGAATGGCATGGATACTTCGAACTGCTGGATAGATTCACGCCTCTGAGCAGGATCGAACGAGGGGTTGAACTGTTCGCATCGGACGGAATGAGGAAATTGGCATCGGCAGTATCGATACGATGTGTTCCAAGCACAGATGTAGGAAGCGCTGAGCTCATAGTAGCTGGGTGATGATGTTGCATCAGCGCTGAGACGCCAGTGCCGTCGACCGCTGGTGATAGCTGTGGAATGTACAGACAGATAGCATTGACATATAAACTATGCTATTGTTCAATGACCTGATTACTGGCCGACGATCGGCCAAACCTTATTATCTCCGGCACAGCCGCCCCCCGAGTGACGTAGCACGCACATGACCTACAACGCTGCCATCTGCTTGGAATCACCCATCACCCAAACCCCCCTCATGCGCTTACCACTGCTATCAGCTATAGCAGCACTATTCACCTCTGTACCCGTGACTTCTAGCAGCAACATCACTCGCTCAGCCTCCAGTATGGTCCTCGAGACGGGTAAAATGAATGGTGAGAAATGTCATCGGCGGCGTTTACAACTGATGTATCCTCGAGATAGTCCTCCACGGCCCTCTTCAACCTCTGACTCGATCTGGTGATTCGACTCACCCGGCTGGATTCATGAGAGATGGAACGTGTTGGGGTCTAAGCTCTTCCGATGATCCAGGTCAACATTATGTCGGAGCTGTGGTCAGCAAAGAGTTTCTAGAATTCAGCAAAGCCAGAGGTAGGTGGTGGGCGTGTCACTGCGCAGTGACGAGCCGGTGACACTCATACAGGGAACGATCTGACCAATCGAACACCCTACTTCCCCGGGCTGAAAGACGGATGCAAGTGGTGTCTTTGTGTGGCTAGGTGGAAGGAGGCCTTCATGGCTTCATCGGAAATGGGAGACAAGATCGTACCAAAGTGAGCGACAGATCATAGTTGCTGGCTCAGCTGACTCGGGTCTAGGGTGATACTTGATGCGACGGCATATGATACTCTCAAGCAGGTCAAGATTGAGGATCTGAAGAAGTTTGAATTCAAAGATCACCAAAGGGCAGAGCTGTGACGTGGGCATAACTGTACTGTATCATTAGACCATTCTCGATGCACCATTGCGATACATCTGTGGAGAACGAGCACACGCCCGTAGGTCTGGATGTATGATAGTCTGAACGCATACATACCTCACTGCCGTATTTGCCTGTCCACCTAAGCATGAAACCCCTGCACCTGTGAGATATCATCGAGGTCAGGGGCGATTAATTGGTTGTTCACTCTTGACCCTCTCCTATCGTCTCAAACCACTTGATGTGATCAAGAAGCTACGGAACGTAGGCTCTCTGTGACCCTGTAGACGTTGAACATGTCCATGACAGGAGAGAACTGAGGTGGGTCGTGGATAAAAGAAGAAAGGAGAAATGAGAAAAAGTTTGGGTCGAGGTGGACTCTCCAGCGATCACGTGGCAGTTTAGACCGCGCCGTTATGTCGGGCAAAAGGTTGTCGGCATAACTGCAACCCCAGCCCCCCTTCACCTGTGACATGGACGTCAACGCCCATGAGCTCGCTCTTCTTCTCCTCCTCGTCTTCTCTCCCTTCTCTCTCTTCCACCGCCATCGATGACCCACATCTCGAGCTCACCGTCACTCCTTCCGCATCTGCATTCTATGCCGGAGAGGTATTCACAGCGACCATTACCTTTCGCAATACGCGTAAATCCCATACTGTCGAAGACGTACCTATAGGATCTCGTGTCGTCTCAGCCGTGAGACCTCAACCGATTCTTGAGCCTCGACAACACGAGCCGACGCGACCATTACCACCCAGGCAAAAACAAATCGGTCTCCATCTCTCTTCTGCGCCTCCTCCTCCTCCTCCTCCTGCCGCCAATGCCATCGCTGGACCTTCTAAACCCCGGGACCTCCATCGGCCTCTTCATCTGTCTCCTAATCTTCCTGACGATTCTCCATATAGCCCAGGTGCTAACCCTTCGACTCGAGCGGGTTGGCCGACGTTTCGAAGCCCAGATCAAGCTTCTAGAGGTCACTCTCGTCGAGCTAAAAGTCTCGCTCTGGGAAAGGGGCAATTGAGCCCTCAACAACTCGTCTGGGCCCTAGGCGAACGATCTAGGACGCCACCACCTCTGCCGCGCAGACCAAATGGACAGAATCATATTCCAGACGCTCATCCTCATTCGCGAAAACAATCTCTGGCCAGTCCTATCTCCGCACCGGTGAACGGGGAGGATCAATTTGATTCACTTCCCAACGTACTGGAGGAATCCTCCGTGATCGATCTCACTCCACTCAGTCCTCCTCCTATCCATCCTCGCTCCCGCTTGCAACAGCCTCGGACAACAACCATCCTGTGGGCTTACACCCGGCTCAAAGCAACATTCCACCCTTCCAATGCCTATATCCCACCAGACCCACTCTTGCCTCTTCGATCACTCATGCTCCACCAGCCAGTAGGCTCAGGATCTCTGCTCGACGCTCCGTCCAAACCATCCAGATGGCAGCCGAGTTTCGGTACAGGCGCTATAGGCTCGTCTACTCGTCCATCGTTGACGGGAAGTCTCTTTGGTTTGGCCAAGGACTTGGTCTCGGGCGGAGCAGGAGGAAGCTTGGAGGAAGAGCGAAAACGAGTATGGAATCTGAAGGATCTGCCAGTACTTGAGACCCATCGGAGTCTTCTAGGTGTTGATATCCAGCTCAAAGAAGGAGAATCAAAGTCTTGTGAGTAAGGCGCTCATTGCGTCGATGCTGAGGAGGTCAGTCACGTACTCCCTCTCCCTGCCAAAAGTCCTCCCGCCGTCTCATCGAGGCAAAGCATTTCGATTCGCTTATGATCTGGTCGTCTCTCTGTCAGTAGGTCTGCCGGGAAAGCGACAAAAGACGTCAGAGATATTGGTCCCAGTCCGAGTGTGGGCTCACGTCTCGGGTGAGTTCGATGCCCAAGATGCTGGCTCTGACCTCTCTAGTCGCGGACAATATACCCATGTACGATATCTTAAAGCCGGTCATGGGCGCTCAAGAGGGTGTCGTAGCCACGCCATCGGATAAAAAGGGCGTATCTGAAGACAGGTCCTTGGAGGCATACGCAAAGGGTCTACTTGATGGCCCAATCGTATCCCCTTCGGAGGTATCTGCTACACGCCCTTTGGAGCAAGCGCACTGTGGCGAAGCGGTAGAGGTCCTCAGTAGACATTCACCAAAATGTAGGTCTGGACTCTCACAAAGCATAGCTGATCTTTAAGCAACCTATGATATTGCAAAAGATGGACAACCTGTAGCTACGTTGACTTTGACCAAGACTGTCTTCCGTCTCGGGGAAAGCGTCGTCGGTTTAGTCATGTTCAACGGAAAAAACGAAAGGCGCGTCCTCAGAGTGAGTTGACACGATGGAGCCCACTCCTGACCCCTCTGCTGTTCTCTGCTTTTCTCGAATCACACGAGATCATTCCTGAGACTCTTCGACCTGACTGCTACTCGCCCGACCTATCTCGGCTCCACGCCGATTTTCACACTGCCTACGCCATCAATACCAAACAAATGGCATTCTCACTGGACATTCCATCCGATGCTACCCCAGCTTTCGGTCTACTGACAGGTTCTGGTGGTGACCCCGGTGGGTTGGAATGGAGAGTCAGATTATCAATGTGCGTTTCGACGAAAGGTGTCCATTTGGTCCCGATAGCCAAGGCGACCGGCGCCGCAGCCGAGGGACAGGTCTCGACTGCTTCATCGAGCATCGCTCCGTTGGTACCTGTGAAACGGGATACAGACGTGTGGAGAGAACAAGAGACTGAAATTATAGAATGTGATATCCCCATCAGGGTACTAGCGGGCAATACTGCATTCTTAGTGAGACCGAGCACACAAATCATATAGCATATGAATCCTATCATTTTTGAGTCAGCACAATGATCACCGATCACTAGCAGCCATGAAACGGAGAAGGATAGTAGAATCAGAGAACCTGGAAACAGCATAGCTAAGATGTCGAGAGACACGTTTGCTAATGCAGATGGCACTTCCTATTGTATACTCAGGATGGAATCGTCATAAACGGGTGATTGAGGGGCTGAGACCGAGAGGGGGTCGAAGGAGTGCCGTTTGAACGGGCAAGCAGACTCACCGCTGATGATGAACTTCTCTGTCACTTGGAGAGGACGACATCAAAAGAGAGAGTTGCGAAGGATTTCTTCAAAATTTGGTCTCTGGCCTTTACTTTCCCACGCTCGACAATACAGCGAAATGCTTAAATCACCCTTGTTTTCAACTCACTCAGCAGTCCTCGTCTTGACGTTTGACCACATCTACACGCCAGACACCCAACCATCCACTCACACGACCATAGCACTCGTCGTATTCTGGCCTTAATCTACACACCGAACCTCGAAGCGTGTCTCGTCGAGGTCTGCAGCCCCGGCAAGGTCGGCGGCAAATTTGGCCAACCTTTAACGCTCGAGTGCTTTGAGACTTGCCGATTCTCTCACGCCTAAGTCTCTCCGATCTATAAGAATGGCGCCTTCCACCCCTTCGACGCCTCTTCATGGCTCTGGTCGATCAAACGGCAGTGAATCTGGCTCACCTGCCCCTACAGCAGCCGCTCCAGGCTCTTACACATTAGACGTGAGCCACAGCACGTCCCATTTTCTGACCATCTCCAGGACGTGACACCAGGTGTCAAGATTTTTGTCCTGAAACCCCTCGCCAACGGCGCAGAAGAGCAACGAAAGGCCGAGATCTTGTCAACGAGGGATAAGCCGAAACCATCCGCATACGCTCCGAAACCTGCTCCGGATGCTCCTCCGCCAGATCCACGAGATGATACAGAGTACTATGTTCACTACGTTGAATTCAACAAACGTCTCGATGAGTGGGTCGGAGGCAGTCGTCTGGTCCTTGATAAAGAGATGGAATGGCCAAAAGTGAAAGAAGATGAAAAGAAGAAGAAGGCTACCCCGACAGCCACACCCCAGGCCGGCGGTAGTGGTGGCGCTCCTAGTCCCAGACCTACTACCCTACTACGGAAAGCTACAATCAAGGCTGCCACGGCTGCTGCGACAAAGGGAACCAGTGGGAAGGATCTACCGATGGGTCGGGCTTCATCTCTCGGTCGAAAGTCCAGAGTCAAAGAGGAAGAAGAAAATAATGACGAGGCACCACCAGCGCCGCTGCCCCCGGCGGATGAAGAAGTCGCAGTGGAAGGTGTGGAATTGACACCTCCTTCCAATCCCCAAGCTGCACCTAGGGTGTTTTCAAAAAAACAGGAGATTGAAAAGCTGAGAACGTCTGGATCCATGACTCAAAGTCATTCCGAGATTTCTCGCGTCAAGAACCTCGACAAGCTACAGATTGGGAAACACGAGGTGGAAGCTTGGTACTTTTCACCATACCCCATCGAGTACGCACATCTGCCCATGCTGTATATCTGCGAGTTCTGTCTCCTCTACTACCCTACGCTCACTCAACTCGCCCGTCATCGTGCCAAATGTACACTGTTACATCCGCCTGGAAACGAAATCTATCGACACGAAAACATCTCCTTTTTCGAGATCGACGGAAGACGTCAACGGTCATGGTGTCGGAATCTCTGTCTACTGTGTAAATGCTTCTTGGACCACAAGACATTATACTACGATGTGGACCCATTCCTGTTTTACTGTATGACCCTAAAAGACGACTATGGTCATCATCTCATTGGGTTCTTCTCGAAAGAGAAGGAATGTCCGGAGGGATACAACGTCGCTTGTATCCTGACATTGCCTCAACATCAGAGGAAAGGATATGGCAAGCTTCTCATCCAATTCTCGTACGAATTATCCAAAGTCGAGGGTAAACTGGGCAGTCCAGAGAAACCCTTGTCGGATCTGGGTCTTTTATCTTATCGAGCATACTGGCAGGAAGAAATCGTCAAGTTATTGGTCAACAGTGATGAAGAGATCAGTCTGGATGAGATTGCAAACAAGACGTCCATCACTCATGGAGATATCATGCATACGTGAGTGTCTTGCGGCGACGCTCTGACTGACCCACGAAACCGAACCAGATGTCAAGCCCTTCAGATGATCAAATATTACAAGGGTCAACACATCATTCATCTCACCGACGCGGTACTGGAACAACATACCAAGACGATGAGCAAGCAAAAACAGTCTATAGATCCGAGTGCTCTACGTTGGAAGCCGTGAGTGACTAGAGTCGGCGTTTAGGCTAACATCATCGCCTTCACAGACCGGTATTCAGTCGAGCTCAACTTGCATTTGGATTCTAAGAGTCACGAGAGAGAGTGTTGTATGTTCATGTTGTAGCACTATGTATGCATCTTGGGCTAAGCTGGGCCGGCGGTCGGTGTGATATGATTGACGGTGAATGTCACGCAGATACACCGCGTGGGACCATAGCATACAGTGTGTTAAATTAAATCCCTTAGGGTGAAGATGATGTCACAGTTTGTGATCGGCGCGAGAGCACAGTGGTAACCGTACTTAGACAGTCCGGGCGGCGCATATGCATGAACAAGGCAGCGGATTTTCAACTATTTAGCGCCATGCTAGAGGTCGATCGCACTTCGTATGGGACAGAACCAAGGTAGGTGGGTGCTTGATCACGGAGAACAGGGATATGGGAGCAGCTGAAATGGTAGGAGCTCATGGGTGTGTCGGCAGCATACGTTTTTGTTAAGCGTCTCTGCCACTATGAAAGCTGTGAATGACATGTGGCACAGGACTGATACAATGTATACAATGTTCCGGTCAAAGTCCTTGAGGGGATGATGGATGCGCTTCCTCCACTGCGTATCCGGAGCAATCCTTGTCACCTTGAGAGCAAATATCCTCCTCTGATCTCCAGGAACAACAACCTGGTGGCTCGGTTGGGCGGTGCCCCCCCTTCCAGGTTTATTATTATACACTTTTCAATGCAATAATAATCAATACAACCTTTCGGGACCAGAATAAAATGGTCGACGCATACCGAGCAAGCACAAGTGGAGCATTTTGATCTTGAGGACATATATCTCAGCATCATGCTCATAGGCAGACTCATTCATCCATAATCATCATCATCACCTAGCTATCATACTGTCCGCATCAGACCCTCCCTTGAGTGAGTCACTCACTACCATCACCACGCGGAAGTGTATTTGTTGTTCCCCCCCTCTCCCCGCTGCGTCAGACACTAGCTACTGCGACCTGCGTCATTTTTTATTTTTCTCCCCTCCCCTCCACCCAGAAACCTGCGACTACCCGGTCTTCTCTCATCATCATTTTTCTCTTATACTTGATTCCATCCCTGGTCCCCATTGTCATGTTCGACACGGCTCACTGACTCGCATTCATAGCATACCTCCCGCACCATCATGCCATCCCTCTTTGTCAAAGGGGGCAGGAGAGGATCCTTGAGCCTGGCCAACGGGTCAGAGAAAGAAAAGCAACAGCATATTAATAATGTCGGCGGTCGGAAATCCATGGACGGGGATTCCACTGCTGCAGGTCATCATGCTCCTTCTGCTTTTCATCCAGGTGCAAAGCTGAAGACTTTGTTGGGTAAGAAGACGAGCAAACAACACTTGGATGCTTCTTCAGAGACCAGCTCTCAACCGAACGGTCATTCATCGACCCAACCGAACGGATCAAGTTCAACCACGTCACCCGCATCACCTGTCGCACGACAGTCAAACCCCTCAGTCGCCGAAGCGAGACGATCGTCTCTATCCCAGACTCTCTCCCCGGAGAGTGCTCAAAGCTCCTCAAACGGCACTTGGCAAGCCTCCTATCCCACCGTCGTGGACGATTCGTACGCCGATATCAGCCCAGATGGACATCTAGTCAATGGCGGTACATCGACATCGCCAAAAAGTCCCGTGACGGCCAGTGAGAACGCAACGAGGAGATTAGAGGGCAAAACAAGGGGACACGAAGCAGGCGACGAGCAGGACAACGACGAAGAGAATGATGCCTTGACATCATGGCCAGCTATCAAACCCTCCAGCCCATCGACATCCTCGAGCCCATCGGTCAATGCCATGACCTCGCCGAAATCAGCCACAACACCATCTCTCGCCTCACCTCTAGCCACCACACCTTCCAACTCCTCCCCTTTGACTCCCGCTACGCCTCCCCCCAAGCCGACAATCAGATCTCGACCCGATATGCCCCTCCGAAAATCCACACTCATCTCCTCTCCACCCATGCCCCAACCCATCAAAAACCTACCGACACTTGTTGGACTGCTCGAACTTGGCTCAGGCATCCCAGGGAACGGTAACATGCCTAGAACACCTGGCTGGGGAGGATTGATGTCTCCTCGATTCCCGGGTACGCCAGGTACAGGCGCGGGCTTCCCGTGGTCCTTACCGAGTGTTCCTACCGCCTCACAGGCTAAAGACAAGCCAACGACAGATGAGGAGGCACGAAAAATGAGACGGGCAATGGTGAGGCTAATCATTTCCGTAACGTTGTTGACGCCAGCCTTCCCTGCTTCGAGAACCATCGGTTCTCCCCGCACATGACGGTGGCGATGTCGGTGCGGATGACGATGACGATACCGAGGATGAATCGGAGCCCGAGATGGAGCACATGGACGGCGATTCAGAAGACGAGACTGAACAAGCTTCCGAGTCATCTCCGTCATCGTTCCACCATCGACTCAAAGGCAAAGGAAAGGGCAAAGTCAAGGAACGGGCCAGAGCCAGCACAGGCGTATCCTCCTTGGCTACGTCAGTTGTCAGAGAAGAAGGTAAGTGTCACATGTGCCTGCTCAGCTGATACCTCAGACACGTCTCCGGGCGTTGGTATCATCACCACACCGCGTGCAGTGGCGACAAAGACCGACTTCAAGTCCTGGGCTCTGCCTACACCTGGCGCGACCGCCGATCATTCCGCGCCATGGGCCAAATTCTCCGCCGAGACGCCAGCGGCGCCGACACCTGCATTCTCATTTGGTAGGGCACCCATGTCGACTGAGCGAACAGTCAAGCCAGATGAGGACGGGTACTTTTCGCCGCACTACAGTCAATCGCAATCTGCTGCTTCGGGAGCTCCTGCAGCAGCGGCAGCTGCTGCTGCGGGACCTGCGCAGGAGGGTGTCTCAAGTAATGCTCCTGATACACGACGAGACTCCATCGACGCTTCGAGTATAACTGCTTCCGCCGAGGACTCTGAAGAAACCGCCGAAGTCGCAACTGCGCCATCAACCAGTTCTCGACCATCCTTCTATTCTCGACCATCTCGATCCATGGTCAATCTTTCGACTGAGAATTCAGCACATACGCCAGAAACTGGATCAGCACTCATTCCTACTCGCTCACGCGAGCGACCTCACCCGACCCAAATCAAGATACCAGCCCGACTCACTCGACTCGAGGCCGTACTCACCCCTGGGTCTGAATGGAAGAGGGCGCCGCCTACTCCGGCCGCTGGCTTCAATGGCTATCTTGCTTCACGAGGACTAGACAAGAATGGAGGGCCGCTCATAGCCTCCCCCTCAATGTCAAGGTCCTCGTCCGCCCAGCGTCAACTCACGAGAAGATTGTCCGCGGACGACCTCACGATCTCTCCGCCTAGATACACTCCGCCAGAGCCCGGTGTATGGATCCCGAAGCCACGAGAGGAGGAAGGCCGAGAGCAATTACCCAAATACTGGTGTGCGGTGAGTTGCAGGATCATTCGAACAGCTTCTGATGCCATTAGGTACATATGGAAGGCCAGCTCACTCGGAAGAATGAGTTCTCCGCTCCTGGTGTCCAGGCCCGAGATCGGTCTTGGAAGAAGATGTACTTCATCGTCAGAGGCACATCCTTGATCGTCTATCGCTTCGACCCTCATCGATTTCCTCTCAAGGCCGAGGCCGGTCCCCTCGTCGAGAACGTCTCTGAAGCCGAGTCTAAAGAGCATCTTCACGTACATGTCCCTGGAGAGGTCAAGACGGCGGTGACTGTACCGATCAATGGCATCCCGCCCGCTGCCGCAAGGCGTAACGATACCCGACGAGCCTCTCTGCCAGGCTCAGAGTCAGGTGCATCTGGATCTAGCATCGCCGAACGACGGATGTCCGTATCCTCTACCACCTCGGTCGCTTCGGAAGAGAAGGATGCGCAGCTATTCCCCAATCGTGCTCGCTCAGCTTCAACTCAGTCCGGCTCGAGCGCACACAGCGGCACCACGCCGATCTCCTCCCACTTCAGGGAGAACCAGTTGATCAAGCAGTATACCCTACAGAACGCGGAGAGCGGTCTCGCGGCGGATTATCTCAAACGACGAAACGTGGTCCGTGTACGGGCGGAAGGGGAACAATTCTTACTACAGACAGACTCGGCCAGGGATGTGGTCGACTGGATAGAGGTGGGTGATCAATTTTTTTTTTATCCGACTTGACGACTGACCCGCTTCAGGCTCTTCAAGCAGGGACCAACGTCGCTTTGGACCTGGACGATCGTCCCATGCCCAAGATTATCACACTTCCCCGACGTCGACGGAGAAGAATACCTGGAGCCCCTGGAGCAACGGCTGCAGCGCCTGTTGTTCCTGCCACGGTCGCGGCATCCGTGGGAGCTGCCACGGGACCAGATACAGCTGCTGCTAATGTTGCCGCTGTCATTGCTGCTGAGAGGGCGTCGGGGAATCCCACCTCGAACAGAAGTCAGATGGAGAGAATGTTGGTGGAGGATCAAGCTGCCGTCACAGCAGCCTAGCTTTTTTAGATATCTCAACTGCAAAGTTTATATAGATGGCAAAGTTGTTCTTTCTGATCCTGTTTTGTAGCCAAACGACACGACAAGTAAGAAATTGTATCGTACATGCTATATCATGATGGTCTTCGCGGTCTTTACAACTTTTCCCATCGCTTAGGATGTATTTTCTTTCCTACGTTGGCCATGTTGCTTCTTCCTTGACCAAAGACGACGACCCACCATCCCCAGATCGCTACGAGAGTGTTACCTATACCGGTCACTTTTCCCAGTCCACCGATAGGTGCGTTCCAAGCGATGACACTCATGGTACTTGTCAGACCGACGATGATGGCCAAGAGGGGCCAGCGAGACGGACTGGGAGGCGTATAAGAAGGCACGAGGGTCAAAAAGACCAACAGGGCAAGAGACACGAGTCCAAGGGCGAGTGTAAGTGCGAGAAAGGATTCCAAAGGGGTGAGGGTATCGTAGTGGTCCCTTTCGAGATTGGCGATACCGGGTCCAGGCGCTGGCGTCTGAGAGAAGAACACCAGAATTCGAGGAAACAGTAGGAGTGGAAGAGCAAGTATCGTGAACCTGGAAGCTAGTGTATCAGTACGCACAAAAAAGGATATATGAAGACTTGATTGACGTACCATCCAGCCGCTACGAGACCCCAGACAGAGACGTTATCCAAATTGCCCTCTTGTAGGTGTACAGCTGCTTTCGCCTTGTCCTCTGCTGCGCGGTACGCTGCGCCAAGTCCACCAGGAGCCGTATCGGGATGGCGGGGTGGAATCCGAGGCTTGAGAGTGGATGAACCGACGGGTTGGAGCTCTATCCCTTCGTCTGACATGATCAGTGTGATTCTTACGCAGAAGTCTTCTTGGTATGATTGATCTCCAACGTTGTGGTTCAAAAAAACCAGGTGAATTGACGGTTCGTCATTGCCAGCTCAGCAGCTGTCATCGAGGCGGAGGTCGCCGAAGAATGTTAATGCGCAGATAATGGCCGCGGCCGATGATCTTTGATCTTTTGTTGAAATGCCTCGCTAATTCAATCTTTTGGACTCTCAAGACACGCTCTGACGATAGCGCGCAGAAGTTGAGAGCGGACAACATGAACTCGTATCCCTCCGAGGTGAGCAATATACCATAATCTTGACTGAAACCGTTTGTGCAGTTCCTATGTCATCCCCAGCCTCTCATGTTTGTAGCTGGCCTCTTGGACCCGTCAACATCATTATCAACAACAACAATTACGATCCCAACGAATACGAGAGACAGAGCGGCTTCTACCTCCAGTGCAGCTGGACCAAGCTCTAGGAGACCATCTGAAAATGACTCCTTTTCGAGCATGATGACCAGCACGACAACCCTCGAACCTAACACGACATCGATAGAGCTCTCGCCGGGATCCACACCCGCCGATACACCTGCTACTTCCAGTACATCTTTACCCTTCTCACCGCCTGTCCAGCCTGAAGACGCAAAGGAGACTACTGTCTTAGATTCATCTCCTCAGGACAAAGACTTTAAGAGACTTTTGGAAGATCTCAGAGGTGCTCTCAGTGGTATGCAACAGAAAGGGAAAGTTTGGCTGCCGGTCAAAGAGAGAAAAGACTTCAGAATAATCCTCGTGGATAAGGTGAGAGAACGCCAATCTATGCCTTCCCCCTCTTCCCCATGCTGACTCAGATCTGTAGAACGTCCGACTGCCCATCAGAAAAGTATCTACAACATCTACCAACGATCCACAATCATCGCCTCGCTCACCTTTATCCCCTCTTACCCCTTCTTCTCCTCTGTACCCCGACGGACTGATAGCTCCGGTATGGGTCAGGAAACATGCTGAGCTCGTTCCTTCGGTATTCGTCCTCTTCTTAAGACTCTACGAAGCGCCAGATCCGAGTGATCCGAATGCAAGAACCACGGAACAAGAAATGGACAATGTCCTCGTCGGAGAGATAGGGGACCGTAGAAGGAGGTTAGGCGAGAGAGGGATAAAATTGACCGTCGTGCTCATGGCTAGCACCGAAGCTCTAGGTGAGTTGGCCCATCATGCAGTGAACGCAAAGGGCTCACATAAACAGATTCTCCAAACCTTGACGCTCGACTTTCATACCTTCGTCGCGCGAGCGCATTGTCATCCAAAGCTTCCCTGTTCGTCCTTACGCCCGTTCCAGCGGATCAACTACCAGACTTTGTCCAGTCCCTACAGGATGCCCTATATGATTCCGCTATGGAGTACTATTCGAATCACATGAAACGTGTCCGAAGGAAAAAGGCCCGTTTGCCCGCCAACCAGTATGGGGCGTTACTCGGAGCAGATCGAGGGAGAGCTTTGGGAAGTCAGGGCTGGGGCGTGCGTTACGATTGGAAAGCTGGCTGGTTTGCCGAGGTCAAGGGAGAGACAGAGGTCGCTAGAAGGTAGACGACTAATGCTGGATCAGGAGCTGATCTCCTCAGGCATTACGAAGACTGCTGGAACGAGCTGGCGAGGATGTTTGCATCGACCCAGACTCTCCCTCCGCGCACAAAAAGATGGGCCGAGGCCAAAGTATTGGCTGATTGTGTAGCTGTAAAAGTAGGCGGAGTGCCAATGGGACATTTCTGACCGAGACAGATCTGCAAACTCATATTGTACGAAGGAGGTGGTCCCAAAGTTCTCGGACCATTCTTCGTCCACCTCAAACGTTTTGGTGACCTCTCTCGGGGCTGGGGAATCGGAGAAGACACCTTCGAGTTCTGGTCCTGGATCGCGAGACAGTGAGCAGGAGCCTTGAAAACGCTCTCTGATGCCAGATACCGGATCTTTGCCGAATTACTCGAGTTCGCCGTGCAGAATGGTCAGCAAGTCTCTACGTTTCCTCCCATATCACCCGACATGGCGATGCCGGAACTTGTGCCAGGCAAATCAGGTGTCAATCCACTCCAGATCCTCCAGCCCCCTGCTTTCTATTTCTACATGGCTGCTTCTTGTACCTTACAACGTCATGAACGCTTCCTGGTCGCGAAGGCTGCAGAGGTGAGCTCTCCTCCCTTGGCATCCACGCTGAAACATCCAGGAGGATGCCATGCAATCTGAAGCCGGAGCAGCCTCTGGCTACGTATCTGCCGCTCCAGGCTATAGCAATGAAAAGAAGGTTGATCATGCAGGGTTGACCGTCGAGGTATGTCCTGGTAGATAAGGAAAAAGAGCTCATAGTCTCAGCTTCTCACCAAAGCATACACACTGGTTTTGGCTCAGACTCCGCCGCAAATCCGTATAGCGGCCTACCTCGCGTTCAGGATAGCTGAGACACATGTGCGAGCGGGTCAATACGATTCAGCGATGAAGTGAGTTATTCTCTTTGGGCTTCGCTTAACCATAGATACTTTGACGAGCTGTCACTCCAAGACCAATGGGAACCCATCGTGAAGCAGACGCGTGCGCTGTGGTACGAGTCTGCTCAGCGAACTGGAAATGTAGAAGCTGCTGCGAGGCTTTTGATCGAGATGATCTGTCCTGGTTAGTCGCGCTCGACTCAGTGATCCTGACATGCAGGGAGTGGTCTGCCATCAAGCGAGAGGTCAACACTACAAGATGACTTACTGTCAGTTCTCAGAGTGAGTAATTCTCACGAGCGTGTCATTTATCGCAGACAACGGCTCCAGCCAATGGCCCCTTCAGCATGACCATGCCATCTGAATCAGCGCTTTGTGAGTGCTTGCGAAGAATTGCACTCAATTACAGTGGACGTATCTGCTGCATTCTGGACCGACGAAGTCCAGCTCCCCGGCTCGGCATCGTATCAATTCTGCCTATCTTGTCCAGAGTCCGTCGACATATCTTCTCTTTCGTTCGATCGGCTCGTCTTGTCTTTCTCTGATCGACCAGACGTGACTATCAAATCGGTGCCAGGTGTCGAGCGACCGATGACGCAGGTGGTAGACTTGGCGTCTAGCGAGGACACTCGAGCTGCATTGAGATGGTCCCCTGGGTCTCGAGTGATCATAAATGGAGAGCTAGACGGACTTGCCGGGAGCGTATCGGTAGGTGCGCATCGCGGATGAAGCTCAATCCAGATATCAAACGTCCTCTTGGTCCTGAAAGAAGGCCCTTGGGAGATCGACTTGCAGTTCCGACCGCCCTTCCCCACACAATGGCACACAGCCAAAGGATCAATTGCACCAGCACATGATCTCTCTTCCTTCGTCTCGTAAGTTCAGAGCAGAATCTTCGCTAATCGACAGATTCGTCACCCGCCCATACGACATCTCCATGGAGGTCAATCATCATCCATCCGCATTTGTCGATGAATCACTACCTGTCCTGGTTCGTGTAACAAACAAGGATGATCGACGAGTCGAGGCCAAATTGTCTGTCTTCCTCCAGCCAGCAGAGGAAGAAGATGGTGAGCCTCGCTGGAGGGAGAGGGCCCTACTGACATCAGGCTCATTCATTACGTATCTTGGCGAAACGTCTAAATCATTGTTTGAGGACCTTCAGCTCGGTACGCTGCAGCCTGGAGCTTCCATCGAAAAATCTATCACGCTTCAATCCCCTCACCCATCGACGAAAATAATAGACTTTTCCCTGCATACGATCGATTCGTCAAATCCTTCAATCTGGACGAGCGATAATGAGGACTCGATACAAGAGACCACCTACACAGCCGTCATCCCTGTTCTGCCACCGTTTGAAATGATGACCAGGATAGACACTACTCCGAGCTTGAATGGAGATCCGCAGGCATGGACCATAGTCATCTCGGCCATCTTGACTTGTCCCATACCTAGAAGAGTATACGTACACGGGATATCGTTGGCCAAAGGAGAGGTAAGATCAGCGCTCCGCGCAGAGCTGATCTATAGCTTGAAATTGTCTCCTCGTCGCTCGGCAAGGACACGTTCCCACAAGGTCAGTGATTTCCCTGCAATATGTGCTGAATCTCCTAGCGTGGGATCAAGTAACCTCTTACGCCGTGTACGCCAAATTTCAGACCACTCTGCCCTCTTTGAAACCTCCTGCGTATCTCGTCTGCTCCTGGAAAAGGTATTTGTACAATTCAAGACACATGCTGACCTTCCAGCGACGAAAAAGCGGCGTTGATAGAGACGCGCTTACCCCTACCTCTCCTGAACCCTCCTTCGCCAGGCTCGGGAATCTCCGCAAGAATTGCACCGCCAACCGTTGTTCATCTCAACCAACCATTCTCCATCTCTGTCAATCTCACCAACATGCACAGGACACTTGCCTCCTCTCTCAACATTGAAATCTCAACAGGAGAAAACTTTGTATGGCGCGGTAACCGGATCATCCGTCTTCCTGATCTCTTGCCCGAGGAGAAGACTACGGTCGACATGGAACTCGTTGCTGTCGGTGCCACAGGATGGTGCACTTTGCCCAAGATCACTATTTGGGAAGAAGATTCTAGCCCTGGCGAGGCTGGAACAGGACTCGAAGTACGTCTAGTTGATGGTCGGAATGGATCGGAGATCAGGGAGGGCTTGCAGGTCTTTGTGAGACCGTAGAGCATGTTCATGTGGTCGCATGGAAACAATGTCATTTAATGCATTGGGTCGTCATGTTGGCGGCCATTGCTTCGCAGCGTCCGTCAAGGGAACATACTGGGTATAAGGGACGAGTCTGGATGCAAGACTCACCCTCACGCCAAACAACTTGGTCTGCGTCACTTGTCCGGTCTCGGATTTGTCAATTTGCCAAATGTCTCGGAGGGTCAGCAAGAAAAAGAAGAGAAGAGATCACCTTGAGAGTGCTCGCCAACGGGTATGAACATTCTGCCTGGCTTTGCAAGCTAAAAGGTTCAGCGCCTCTGATGATATGTATACTCACCTGATCGATCAGAGCTACTGGGATTTCCGGTGCTGCGGCGCCCACGTGTATAATGGCGAACGGTGCTGAGAGTCAGTGGTGTAGGTATGAGGGCAGTCTTACCGTGTTCTGGTGACCCTATGTTCACTCCTTAAGTCCCTGTGCGCCTTCAATGCTTTTTCACTCACTCACCTTGCCTGCCGTCTCCACAGATGATCTGCACTTTCCCATTACCCGATCCAAGGGGTACGCCATCCTTCCTCAGATTCTCCAAGGACATGTCGACTAGCCCTTGAATGTGGTCGACTCCAATAACACTCGCACGTGGTGCGATTCGATGAAAGACGGCCGTGACTGGTTATGCAACGGACGTCAGGGGCCCGAGACTCGTCGCTGATACAGAGGATCGGCGGAATTCACGGTATCCTGATCCACTGCCAACGTCCAGTATTGAACCTGCCCCGTCTTCCGGCAAGTACGACAAGAGATTCTCCACAGCATGCGCGTGCATATGTGGTGCTGAGATGGTGGCTCCGTAGCCTATCCGCCTGCGGAACGGATTTTAGCTTCCTCAGAATCAGATGTAAGCGGGGTAATTGACATACTGGGGCGAATCTTCATAGGCGTCTCGCATATGGAAGACATAATTCGCCCTATCGACTTTACGCATGGCCTGAAGAAACTATCAGTCACTGGAGCGAGAGAGAGAGAGAGCAAAATCGGATGTTCTTCACCTCAGCCACCTGTGCAGAGTGAATCAAGCCATTCCGTTCCATATTCGTTATCAGCTAGATAGTGTCAGTACATCGAGCATGGGACCGCGGTACCTCGTTGTTGGTCCGCCCGCCGCTCTGCCAGGCCATATTGAAGACAGATCGCCGACCGATCAGCTTGTGGCAAGCGAGCGCTAGTGGCCTGATTATCACGTTCAGGACAGTCTCAGCTGAAGCCCGGCTCTGGAATCAGGCTGACCGTCACCAGATATGATACACGGCGGCTATGGCATCGCGGCCGCTTGTTCTCGTCACGTGATTATCTTCGGATGATCCGAGAAACAAGCATAATTTAAGCGACGCTTTCAATTTTTCTTTTTCGCGGAGTAACAACGGTACGAAGACATTTTCGATGTCAGAGGATGGAGGACGAGTGAGTATTCATCTGTTGATCGCCTGCAGACAAACGGACAACATCAGCAGCGGAACCGGTCGGTTGTCATCCATGTCAGGGGCGAGAAGATGGATTGGTCTCGGTTGACACGTTCGTTCTTGTAAATAATATCTCATCTCACTTCTCATCACGCGACCATCATCATCATCATGCTTAAAGCGGATCCTGGGATCGAGACTGCCCTCAGTACGGTCGGTGCCGTCTGTTGGACAGTGCAAATTATACCCCAAGTCATCAAGTCGTATCGCACCAAATCTACCCTTGGTCTATCGGCTGGACTGATGGCGTGAGCTCTACTTGAGCTTGACATTGTCGAGTGTAGTGCCTCGTGTCGGCTGACTCCGAATTTTCCAGCGTCTGGGCACTCGCTTCATACCCCTTTTCAGCCTACCTCGTCTCTCAGCGACTCCCTATTCCACTTCAAGTCCAGCCTCATGCCTTTGGATTCCTCTGTGGTATCTCGTGGATGCAATGCCTGTACTACGGATATGGGTACTCCAAGCTGAAAGCATCTCTTTCTTTTCTCTTATTTTTGGTCGTCTGGGCCGGGTTCGAAACGGGATCAGTGTATGGCTTATGGGTATGTCACTCACCTCACGAACAGGACTGATAAGTTTTTAAGGCAGCAGAAAGGCATCACATTGACGCTCCGTCCAAAGTATACGGATACGTCAGCGCAGTTATGATTGCAGGTGCACTCGCTCCACAATACATTGAAATCTATCGACTCAAACAAGTCATTGGCATTTCGTTGACCTTTATGACGATTGATATCCTCGGCGGAGTCTTTTCATTCCTCAGCTTGTTCTTCCGGGACAAAATTGATATAGCCGCATCTGTGAGTCTGTGTCTTGGAGGCCATGATCTAAAACAGATAGGTATCTTATGGTCTGGTGGTTGTTCTCGATGGCATCGTGGTGATCCTTGCGTTCATCTTGAATCCCATCGCCAAACGTAGAGAACAGCAAGCGGCAGAACAAGCGCAGGTGACTCTCAACATGGACACGCCGACAACAACGACCACATCCTCGGGCAAAGAGGCGACGGAAACATCCCACGCTCACAGGACGGTCAGTCGCGATTCGATCATTCATGAGGCTCCACAGCATTTCAAATGGCCTGAAAACGACGGACGATCGAGCACCGCGGTCCAGGAGAAGCATGGAGAAGAACTTGTATGACAGCCATCGCAATCTCAGCTTGTTTGACATTCTCATCACATTGTCACCCGCATCGAATACCCTCGCATTGTACTCCGTTCTCACCCTCCCGTCATCGTGCATCTATAGCATCTTCAAGCCTTGTATTGATACTGTCAACGTCTCCAAAGCTCAATAAGCCATAATCTACATGTCACAACCTCTCCGTTACACAATTTCATTGCCGCCCATTCCTATACCATGCATATCATTGCAGATCGTTACAATCGTGTGCAGTCGTAGTACCCCACATGTGATCTCCGGTCGTGCCGGTCGCCAATTAAGAATAGAACTCTGCAATCGATCAACCACCACTTCGCTAAGCCACACTCACTCTTGTTGATCTGATGGATCAGCATGTTGATGCTGAACGTGGCCACTCCATCGAAGAGCAGCAAGTTCAACTCGTTCTCGAACTGTGCTTGAAGCAGATCCTCCATTCTTATTTCCTCGCGGGTCGAACCCCTGCTGACGGGTATCGACACTGTCGAGGAATGCAGTTCAAGCGCAAAGACTCCCACTTCGTCCGATGCGATGATGATATTGACCTCGTTAAAGACGTTAGGTGAGAGCTGATTGATTCCGAGCAGGATGCCTGAAGCAATCAGCCAGGTCTGGATCGAGACGTCTCACCTCGTTCGTACAAATCAGCCGCAGTATACTTGTACGAGCCGAATTGAGATCGCTTGCCAGACTTTGCTTCCGCCCTTTGGTGGAAGTATTGCTTTGACAAGAACGTAGGTTTCTTCTTGCTGAGATGTCAGTCTTTGTCCGCTAAACTCAGCTCACCCCTTCTGCAGACTGGCCAAGGACGAGTCGATGAACTGATGATAGCTCTTGATCTGCTCTTCGAACCCTTGATGCTTCCTCCACATGTCCTCATGGGCTCGTTCCATGGCCACAGCATTCTGACGCTGCATCTTTCGCAAATGATGCTTCTGACGGATGTCCCCGGCGATGGAATCCAACAGGTCGGCAAACGCGTTTTCCCGGGTCAGACGGCCAGCACGTTCGAGCTTCATGCAGAACTCAATGGCGCGGACCTTGACTTCGTGGAACGGCAGCCTATCACTCAGCAATGAGCATCACACTCCCACTCACGATCGAATGCTCTCAATCTGGTAGCTCGCCTCAACGGGCGTGCTAGGTAGTTCTTTCCGAGCCCTCTTGCCTTCATCCCGAGCCATGTCCGCATACACAAGCTCTAGCCAGACAGTCTCGTGAACCTCGGTAGGACTATTGACTAAGACCTCAAAGAGCGTTTTGCCGGTCTGTACCCGGAGGACCGCGAGCACGTGTCGCTTGGCCTGTACCCAGTCTTCCTTCTCCTGTTCTTCCGGTCCACCGGCTAGCCTTGTCAGCATAGACAGCCAGTTAGACTCACGCTGCACCTCTGCAAGCCGATTGTTGACATTCAAAGACACCACTGCCTCGCTTCGATCATAATTGATGGGGGGACCCTCAAGCTCCCCAAGGACGGCTACGAGCGGGTCGTTCTGTTTGCCACCATACTAAGACCATGTCAGATACATTGACTGACCCTACTCACGAAAGCAGCGATGTTCTTGATCAGAGTGCTGAGCATGCCATAGATTTCGTTTCTCGTAATCATGATTGGTTTGGCCTCAACAGTCGACTCGAGCAGATCATCCGCCTGATAGAAGCTTTCCAGCGGTTCGACAGAGGCGACTGCATGCTGTGAGCTTCTCGCACCCCCCAGAAGCCTGCTTAGCTCACCATCCAGGACCCAGTCTCTGAAGGATATGCCCTCTGACCGGATGAACTCTTGCAGCGGGGTCCGCACAAAGTGATCTTTGGAAGAGGTGAAATCCTGCGCCGCGACATGGGTGATGAGGTTGGCGATTGCAGCGAGGTTGCGTCGCTCCTGAGCGCCAATCCCATGTTCGACGATTCCGAATGATTCGGGAGCGCTGTTCGTTCAGTTCGAGAGTCGATGGACTACTCACATGATGGCAGGCAAGATGAAAGGGAACACTACGGCTCTGGCCACAATGGGCGTGAGGAGCTCATCGCTGACGTCGGGAAATTTGACCTGCATCTTGTGAGCCCAATAATCACTCAGACCCCAGGGCTTACCCTGAGCGCCAGAAGCGCCTCGCGAGCAAGCAGTCTGACAGTGTATGGTAGGTGTGCGGTGCTTTGATATACGGTCTCAAGCATGCGCTTTGTCAAGTGTCGAAGCTCCTGCAGGTCTGCGGAGTATGAGCTTGACACTGCGCGACTCGCACTCACGCTGGATGTAGAAAGCTCTGGTTGACTCATCGGTCTGCAGAATTTGATTCCCATCAAGATTCCTTGGCTTCATTGAGCCCATACCAGTTCGACTTTCTTCCTCGTTGATGAGTCGCTGGTAGATCTGCGCCAAATCAGTCAACATCACCATTGCTCCGAGAAACAGTCCGTTCACCTCGACTGGGTCTGTTGACAGATCAAGATCTTGAGCTTGCATCACCCTCGCCACATGTTCGCCGAGGACGCCTTGTAAAAGTGGCGTTATTGCTTCGCGTGTATATTGCATGGCCACCGAAGTGATGGCGAAACGTGCATCTGCCAGTTCCTCCAGAGATGTCGATCGGAGGATCTCTTCGTGCACAGCGAGCTAGATCGATGTCAGTAAGGCGTCTAGGAACACTCCTCACCTGTAACAATTTGGCAAATAGGAACATTTCTCTCGTTTCTTGCCCGTAAGAGAACAGGACCAACGTCACGCTTTCGACCAAGACCCGTTCTTGCTCCGCATCTTCTCTCCTCATCAAGTCGTACAACAACCTAGAGATGTATTCTCCCCTGGTTTGGAGCAAGAAGAAAAGATACTCGAACAGTTCTAGCTTCCGTTGAGAAGATCGATCCATGTGCGCGTGGGTCGTGAATGGATCTCGGGTAGTCGAATCTTTCCAACCTTCGTGCGACACGCTCTGCTCTCCTGGTCCTCTTGCACTCCTTTTGGCATGTACAAGCTCCTCGAATGTCATCTTGTTCTTGAGAATCAGAGCGATTTTCGTGTCCAGCTCCTTGACCTCAGTCTCGAGCATCTGGTTCTCTCGGATCAAGCGAACAACCTCTCGCCGCAAATTCTCCGTGTGAATCTGGCGTTGATAGTCTGTGTCTCGATCGTCGAGGAGGTGCATGTAATTTTGGATGGTGGGCACGTCAACTCCTCGTCCGGTCAAAAGTCGATCGTACATTAACCGCTCCGCTCGACCTCGCCATAACGATTGTATCTTGATCACTTGATCGACATTTGTGTGAAGGTACGAGGTCCTGATCCAGAGCCTTCGCCGAGCGAGGAAACCACGAATAAGAGATTGAAGAAAGACCAGAGCGCCTTGCGTGTGTGGATCCTGCAAATACTCTCTCCACTCGTTGTATTCTTGTCGTGCTAGGTAGCCACGAGCACAAGCTTGGAAGCCAATGACATCGGGCTGAACAAACTCAAGCTTCTTCTTTTGCTCCGTATTCTGCTTTTTGGCCAACCTGGTGCGGAGGAACGATTGCAGGCCTCCGATGTTTCCAGCCATTTCCACCTTGGAGAGTGCTTTCTGCATGCTTTGATGTGATTGCTTCGCCAGACGTGCGCGAGCCGCCGCTTGGAGCAACGACAGGACAGGCATAGCCTCCTGAACGTGTTCGACGTAGGCTTGCTTCTTCCGACGGGCGAGCACGCCACGAGCAGTTGACTGAATGGCCACGATATACGCTGAAGCATCGTCCAGCTTTTCTTCCCTGGCCTTCTGCTTTCGTCGAGCGAGTGCCCCTCGGATTTGACTTTGTACAGCAATGTGGATGCCGACCATGGCATCGAGGATATCTAACAAGCTCCCGTCACGTTGCCGGATTAGGTGTCCTCGACACATTGCCTGCAGCTGAACGATTGACTGGCGGGTCGCCGCCTCGGAGCAGGAGGTCCTGACTCTGCTTCTCGCGGCGCAGGCAAGATGACGGCGGCAGGCTGATTGTATACCAGTGATGGCCTCAGTCGAACTGTATAAGGTTTTCTGAGCCTGTTTGTGGCGAGTATGGGCGAGCTTTGCCCGAGCATGTGCTTGTATGCCAATGATCGATGTTGCAGCTCTGCTCAAGTCACGGTACTGCCTGGTCAAGCGGATTACCGCAAGGTGACGTCTGGCAGCCGACTGCAAATCTGAGGCCCAGTCGTACAGATCTTCCTCCGCCTCGCGCTGCGCTATCAGACGTGAGCGGCACATTGCACCGCGCGCTCGAGCTTGGAATCGGACAATGACCGGCATGGCGAGATCCAGGTGATATTTTGTCCGGTTGGCGCGGGCTCTCGCCAGTTGACCTCGGAGATGCTGTTGAAGTTTGACAATAGATGGTGCGCATCCGAGTAGTTCGCGATCTCGACCTGCGGACAATGAGAGACTTTATGTGCTCCTACTCACGCTCTTCTTCCGTCTCTTCGGGCTCCTCCGGTGCCCAGCTGGCCTCCTTCGCAAGTGTCTTGCGAGCGTCTCCAAAATTCGGCATTGCGACGCCTTGTATGCCTTTTTGAGTTTTTGCGAGCTGCTCATCTGCGGCATGATGAGCCGATGCTTGGGACTCTTGACCCACCTGTGAACTCGAATTGACCGACGAGATCACCGATCCGCTCGGCGAGGCCTTGGCGCGAGAGAAGATGACTGTCGTAAGCACTAGCCCGCTTTTACAAATCACCTCAGCACGTGAATACAGAAGATAACCTTTGGTATATTCTTCTTCTCGTACAGATCAATTGGATCAAACGTGAAAACCTGGCAGTGAGTGACGATTGTGTCGCTCTAACCCACCTGAGGCATGCCGACTGTCCGAATGAACTTCATGAAATGGTCAATATTATCGACCTGCTTGTATCGATGCTTGCTGTCTGTCCAAATTTTCTTGACCACCTGTTCGCCTTGAAAGACCCGTGCAAGCTTGGCCAGAACCACGCCGTCTCTCAACCCTTCGTCCATCTCAGTAACACCGAACCCAGTCTCTTCGCCCAGACATCCCTCGATCCACTGTTGAGCCTCTCCAATATGACAGAGATATTCATACGACGCGAGGGTATGACGCTGCTTGTCCATCCAATTGCTTTGCATCAGCCGACGTGAAGGTAAAGGCGCAGGGGCCAGTGTAGTGGAGGACGCAGATGGTGGTAAGGCGGCTCGTGAGAGACGTAATCGATTGGACATGCCTGGCAACTGGTCAGGTTCTGTCGTGTCCTACGAGAACTCACCCGTGACTGCCTCGCCATCATCTGTGCCCTTCGCTGGCAAGCTCCCGACCGCGTTCATTAGACCCTTCATCTCGTCGCCCGCCACTTCCGCTCGAGGCTTAAGAGTCTTTGAGGTAGGGGTGATGGTGTTCGGCAGATATGAGCGGCGCTTCGTGCTCGGCGTGTGAATTGTGCCTTGTGGTGTCGAAGGGACATTATCGAGAGTCGAGGGTTGCAAGACGTCGCCAGCTTTGTTCGGTGGTGGCGATGCAGAGGTGTCGCCAAGGGAGGAAGGAAGGATGATGGAATCTCTCCCGAGGTTTGATGGTTGTCGGCGAACAACCTTGACTGGCTCCAGCGTCTCCGGTCCGCCTTCGCCAGAGGCGATCCTAGGTAAATGTCGACCTAGCCGACGTCGATCACTAGAGCTTATCGATCCATACTTGTCTTTCGAGGAGAGGGAGGAGGAGGCTGGCGGCGTTGAGGAAGCTGAGAGACCAGAGGGGACGTATCGTGATTTAGCCGGGGAGCCAATGGGCAGCTGCGAAGCTCGTGAGATTGACGCTGGACTAAAGGCAGCAGTGCTGGGCTTCGTAGGCGTCTCCGCATCTGCTGGTGGAGTAAAGAGAGATCCAAACGGCGAAGGTCTGCTCGACGTCTGAGGCGTAGCAGGGGTCGCGATCGATGAACTAGCTGGAGTATCACTGAGTTGAGCCGCATCTCCAGACTGTCCCTTTCTTCGCGCTTCCAATCTCTTCAACGCATTTGCTCTTGCCTGAGCCAGGGTATCCTCCACCGCCTGAGACCTGCCAGGTGTCGCACTTGTCACCTCTGAGGAGGGTTCCGCAGGCTGTGGCATCATGGAAAGGGGCCGAGCGGGAGTGACAGTCGCCGCTGGAGTCGATTTTCCCGAGTCGAAGCTGACTGTGTGCCTCTTAGCGGCCATATTACTTCGCATGGAATGTTCGGCGCCAGAGGACGGGCCTAAAGATTCACCGAAGCCAAGCCCGATAGAGGCAGACTCCTTTGATCTGTCTTCGAATCCGGCTAACATTTGCTTAACATTACGTCTGATCGGTGTCGATGGAGGAGATCCGAGCGCAGTCGGGCTAAGGATGGATTTACTGGGTGAACCCAGAAGAGAGCTACTTCCGACGCTACCTCGACGCGGTGAAGATGTCCGTTCCAGTATTCTTGTTTGGTAGGAGAAGATTGATGGGGACACTGTCACGCCTTTGGCAGGCGAAGGAGGAGTGTCGGTCGGCATGATATGTGTGTGGCAAAGGGAGATCAGGCGGGGGTCGAGTCGGTAAGTATCGGAAGGAAGGTAAGTCGATGGCCGTGTGGCGGACTAAGGTCTAGATGGTCATCGCTATCGTCAGTGTCGACAATCCTTTGGTGTCGTCGCCGCCCACGACCGAGTTGTGATTGAATCAATTACAACTGACAGGCAGTCAGTTCGTGTTTGAGAGTGAAGGTCGTTTCAGATTTCAAGAAAAAGGTCAGACGCGTGTAGTATCAGGATTTGATTCCGTCGTTCAAAGCACGGAGAGTCAAAGGGATCTCCGCTCCATACACCCCAGCCCGGTGGAGGCGAGATAATTTTTTGCGATTCACTGTCCACAACCATTCCATTACCACACCTGTCCCGTTGTTCAAGTCTTCGGCACCATGGGAAAGCACGACAAGAAGACAGGTAAAGGGCGGTTGGACAAGTTTTATAAGCTTGCCAAAGAGCAAGGCTATAGAGCGCGTTCCGCCTTGTGAGTGACCACCGTCGAGCTAGATCTGACCACTTTCCTCAGCAAGCTCATCCACCTCAATCGAAAATACGATCTCCTATCCAAAGCGAGATGCGCCATCGATCTGTGTGCAGCTCCTGGAGGATGGCTACAGGTGGCTGAGAAATACATGCCAAAGGGTTCACTTATCGTCGGTGTAGACTTGAACCCTATTCGACCTCTTCCTCACGTTTCAACTTTTGTCTCTGATATCACGACTCCGCACTGTCGACAACAGCTCAAGCAGCATCTGCATGATTGGAAAGCCGACTTGGTCATGCACGATGGAGCTCCGAATGTCGGTTCAGCCTGGGTCCAAGATGCTTTCACGCAAAATGAGCTGGTCCTACAAAGTCTCAAGTTGGCCACCGAGTTCCTAGCAAAAGACGGCAATTTCGTCACCAAGGTCTTCAGGAGTCAAGACTACAACGCATTGCTTTGGGTGTTTGGACAGTTGTTCAAGACCGTAGAAGCAACAAAGCCTCCATCATCTAGGTGAGGATCACATCTTCGGACCACACTCATGGTATCCAGAAACGTCTCTGCGGAAATTTTCGTCGTGTGCCAAGGTTTCATGGCTCCAAAGCATATAGACCCAAAGTTCTTAGATCCAAAGCATGTCTTCAAAGATATTGCTCCACTCCCAACCTCGATCACAGGCGCATCATCGGACTCCACTGCTCAAGCATCCTCTTCACAGCTGCCACAACCCAACAGCCACGCTCACGCCAACGTCTTCATGCCCGAGAAGAAGCGACGAGCGAGAGAAGGTTACGCAGATGGAGATTATACTCTGTTCCACAAGGCTAGAGCGGAGGACTTCATCCGAGGAACAGACCCAGTGTCTCTGCTGGGAACGCTGAATCAGATCGAGTTTGTCTCTGACGAGGAGAAGGGGTGAGTGGTCGCGCGATGAAAAACGACTGAAGTCTAGATGGCTGAAATCACGCCACACGACATCTGACGTTGTAGCAAACTTTGCGGATCTAAAAGTCTTGGGCAAGGGCGACTTCAAGTTGTTGATGAAATGGAGGTTAGCAATCCGCCTGGAGTACGGCATCGATGTCAAAGCGGATCAGACGGCCGATGTTACGGAGGAGGTTGTAGTGGAGCCCTTGGACGAGGAAGAGCAGATCTCCGAGGAGGTGAATTCGTCCTTTAATGTTTCTTGCTGACTTGCAGATGAAACGCATGGCCGAGGCCAAGACCAATCGACAAAAGAAGGACCGCAAACGGGCCAACGAGAAGAAAGCCAGGGAGCTGCTCAAACTGCAATTGAACATGACTGCCCCAACGGATCTCGATGACGAGGATAGGGCCTTGGCGGGAGGTGAAGAAATGTTTGACCTCGGAGAAGGCGAACGCGATGCCAAGCGCAAGGGGGTCAAGGACATTCATGATCAGCTCGAAGACGAAGATGGCATGAGTGACGAAGACGACGAGGCGACCACTACGCTCGACGATGAAGACGATCAAGTGCTCGACTTAGAAGACGAACGGGAGGCAAAACTTCACGGACTCGAGGATCAGCTCGACGGCTTATACGACGAGTACAAGGAGCGAATGGCGGTACGAGATGCAAAGTGGAAAGTCAAGCAAGCGCGGATGAAGGACAGGAATTTCGATGCTTGGCATGGTATACAGGAAGGAGGATCTGACTCGGAAGATGAAAAGTCTCGAAAGAAGGTCTTCCGGATGGGCAAAGAGGTGATCGAAGAGGATGAGCAAGACAGCGAGGAGGGTGGGTGGGACAAGGTGGCAGCTCGGAAAGCTGCAGATGGGGATGAGCTGGATTCGAGTGATGAGGAGTCAGACGAAGAGCTACAACCGATCAAGAAGGTCAAGACGGGAGTGAGGTTTGAGCAGGTAGCAGGACCATCGAGGCACACGCGTCCCACGACGTCCGGACTCGTCACTACGCTTCGTGAAACTCAAGACCGTGCTACTCTGAGTCGACAAGCTCAGCTATGGTTCGATCAATCCGTCTTCAAGGGCATGGGTGATTTAGCGGCACTGGACGGTCCAGAGGAGTCAGGGAAGAGTGAGGACGAAGACATGGACGAGGATGAGGACATCGATATGGATGAGAGTGAGGATCAGGATGACGTAGAGAACGAGGAAGACGATGAAGAGGACGAGGACTTAGACTTTGAAATCGTGCCTCAGGAACCCGAGGACGACGGGCCTACATGGGATGTGGATGATGAGGACCAGGACGAAGTGAAGAGGAAAATCATCAAGGGTGAGTCATTCTCATCTGCTTTCGGCATGATGTCTGATTACTCTTTTGCAGAGAAAGGTCTTCTCACTGCCGAGGCTGTATCGCTAGCTACGGCTCTCGTGAATCGCGAAAAGACGGTCAATCAGCTCGTCGACGAGGGATTCAATCGTCTCTCCACATTCAACAAGGACGGACTCCCGTCTTGGTTCTTGGATGATGAATCCAAATATTACAAAGCAAACATTCCCATCACAAAAGAGGCTGTCGCTGCTCTCCGCGACCGACAACGTGCGCTGGATGCTCGTCCAATCAAAAAGGTTGCCGAAGCCAAAGCTCGTAAAAAGTTCAAGGCCGTTCAACGACTTGAAAAGGCCAGGAAAAAGGCTGATGGCGTCATGGAAGCTGAAGATCTCAACGAAGGTGAAAAGGCTAGACAGGTCGGAAAGATGATAGGAAGAGCACACGGAAAGGACAAGAAGGCTCAAAAGAAGCTTGTCGTGGCCAAGGGTGTCAATAGAGGAGTTAAAGGTCGACCGCGTGGCGTTAAGGGGAAGTACAAGATTGTAGACGCGAGGATGCGGAAGGAGGTCAGGGCTGAGAAGAGGATCAAGAAGGCTTCGAAGAAGAGGCATTGAGTCCTGTCTTTCACAGGTTGGAAGGCCATGTATGTACAATAATGCTTTGTATGTTTCGATGAGAAAAGGCTGAACACATGTTCGGAAGCATTTTCGTTGGACCTGTCTGCCCTTTGGACTCATGTCACTTCGAACTATACATTCGTTCGCTCAGGGGCCCATGGATCGGATTACTCACATGTGCATGGAGTATAGGCTCGACTTATAGAACATGACCCTGGACCAGTAGCTCACACTCATCTTTCCTGACTCGTCCTTGCACAGCTATGCAAACGGATGTTCCCAGAGGGAACCATTGATCGACCAGCCCCGTAACGAGGAATGTGAAAACGAGTTTTTATCAAACCAAACCAAGAGTTGACCAGCTCAGTCTCCCAATTTCGATCCATGTAGCAATGCCCGCTCACGTCATGGAGCTCTCTCACCGCAAGCATGGGTTGACACATTTTCCTTCGCTCATGATGGACATCTGAATCGATAAGCATAGAAGGTTTCGACTCGCCCAGTCGGCAACGGGCAAAAGGTTGATTCACCCACTTGTTGGGCCGAGGCCGTGGATCTGTACCTGCTTCTTTCGCCCGCTAACGGTGCATGGGGCTCAACATACCCGTGGATGAGACACGGTCTCCCCGCCTCTCAATGGATCAAGGAAGATCAAACCTGCTCAAACTGAACAAGGGGACGAATTCACAAAACTTGATCTCGGGTGACCTAATGGATCCTTGTTGCCTTTTCGTCTCTTGATCTCGTCTCTTCGCTCATTCTTCATTTACTCGGCAGGCTACAGGGATTTGAGACGCTTCAGTCCTTGGACATTGGTGAAAACGGTGTTTGAAGCACCCGGCCGTCCCAGCTCTGCGCGACTGGCACCTTCGACTTCGACATTGGGTCACCCTTCGACGCACTCACGTGGTGCCTCAGTTGATCTGCATAGTCATTGACGATCTTTGCCTCATCTCGCTTCATCTCATCTTGGCGTGACTACATACTGGGCCTCTTTCATTTCACCCACCCTACATTCCGCTATGACGGAGCCAGTAGATCCTCCCACGCCATCGCCTCCAAGAGCAAGGCATTCTCGACGCAAAGGTCAGACTCGATTCGAGAAGGAAGCTGCAGCGACAGGCGGTAAAGCAGCGGCGGATCAACCTGGAGATCCAAAAGTTATTGGCCCGTGGCGGATCGGCCGAACAATAGGCAAAGGCGCCAGCGGTGAGTTGTGAACCCGTGCTTGTGGATCCAGGCTGAACCAGGTAAACAGGTCGAGTGAAGATCGCCAAGCATTCAAGAACGGGCCAGTATGCCGCCATTAAGATTGTTCCGAAGCATGCGCTCTTATTCTCTTCACGCATGTCGATCGCGGACGCTGGCAACAAGCACGACAAGGCTGTCTTGGGCATCGAGCGGGAAATTGTAATTATGAAACTCATCGACCACCCCAACGTCATGGCCTTGTACGACGTATGGGAGACGGCAAAAGAGCTGTAAGTGTAGTATTGGTGATCTGGACGGTGCTGATGTCTGCTCTCCAGGTACCTGGTGCTCGAGTATGTGGAAGGGGGCGAATTATTCGACTACCTCGTTTCCCAGGGCAGATTACCACCGGACGAGGCGTCTCGCTACTTTCAGCAGATCATCGCGGGTGTCGACTATTGTCATCGATTCAATATCTGTCATCGGGATCTCAAGCCGGAGAACCTGCTTTTAGACCGCGAGAGAAACATCAAGATTGCAGATTTCGGCATGGCAGCACTTGAGCCCAGCGACAAGCTGCTCGAAACTTCATGTGGCAGTCCGCATTATGCCAGTCCAGAGATCGTAGCGGTGGGTGACAGCGATTGTCATCAAGAGACCTGACAGCCTCAGGGGATGTCCTATCATGGAGCTGCGAGCGACATCTGGTCATGCGGAGTCATCCTCTTTGCCTTGTTGACTGGACGACTCCCTTTCGACGACGAGAATATTCGTCTGCTCCTTCAAAAAGTCAAGAATGGCAAATTCGTCATGCCTAGTGAATTGCCGCCTGACGCTAAAGATCTCATCACTCGCATGTTGGTCGTTGACCCAGAGAAACGTATCACGGTGGGTGATGTCTCAAACGTGATGAGGGGATTCGCAATTGATGCCGTCACAGATGGCCGAGATTAGCTCCCATCCCTTTTGTCAACGTAAACAGGATACCGATTCGGGTCGTAGACTCCGAGTCGTCGATCCGCCTCGCTTGGAACAGATTGCTCGACCCGTCAAGTCTGATAAGGAAATCGACCGGGACATCTTGAGAAATCTCAAAACATTGTGGTGTGGATCCTCTGAGCGAGCCATCGTCAAAGCTTTGTTGACTCCTGAGTGGGTTCTGGCGCATTTATCTTAGCGGTACACTGAGTGAGACCTTAGAAAAACATGGGAAAAGGCATTCTATTATCTTCTCTTGCAATATCGCAACAAACATCTTGAAAACTTCAACCCTGATCCCGATCATCACCGATCTTCAACAGGAGATTGTGAGTCTGTCTGACTAGTAATGAGGACCAGTCTCTGACCCGATCGATCAGTGTCCGAAACCGCTCCTCGTTCTGATCAAGCGAGACTGACAGTGGCGAAGAAGCAAGCGACCGTGGAGAACACGAGAGATCGATCGAACGGTCCAACGTCTCCGTACCGGGCAAGTCGTCCGGCGCCAGCGTCACCGAACGGCGGTCCCCGAGTAGCTGGACCGAGACCTCCATCCCCTCGCCCAGGTTCTAAACCGGCCTCTCCAAATCCCGTTACAGCAGCGGTGTCCAGCGACTCAAAGACCGCTGCAGCAACACCTCGCATACTGCTTCAACGTCCTACGCCGGAACCCGAAGACGGCAGACTGGCATCGGAAAGGCCTCCCGCCGGTCTTGGCTTGACAATGCCCAGTCCCGCCGATGTCCAGGAGTCTCCCGCATCCACCGCAGGATCGATGCCCCAACAGATGACGGGGCCATCCGGTAATATAGCAGTGCCTCAAGTCCAAGACGCCGCTCTTCAGAAATTTTTCCACGACATTGCAGAGCAGCTACAACTGATTGGATCAACTTCACCGAGATCATCCATCGTCGTGGACCCTCTCCCTTCACCTGCATTGAGCCTTGGTGAGGGCAGTGCTCCTAACACACCGATCGCTACGCCGCTGCCGTTCGAAGTGCCAAAGCTTGCCAAGACTGGCGATGTAGCAAGTAAGCCAAAAAGACCAGGATACGAGAGGGCTCTCACGGATGAGAACGTAACAACCTCGAGGAATGCAGCCGATGCTGGAAGGCGACGATCGTACCTTGGCGATGCGTCCAACAGGGAAAACAGCATGGCAGGGCCGAGTGTGGCTCGCGAACGACACTCCATGATCAATGGTCCTGCCAAGTCTGTCGAGACGGGGAGAGCAGAGCAGAGACGAAAGTCTAAACGTGCGTGACTGGCGCTTGATCTCTGCTGATCGATGCTTTAGCACCCCCACTTGACTTTTCCAACTCGCCGAAAGCCTTGCAAGCGGAATACATGTTATCGCCTACAGCGTCTCCGTATCTAGGAACCCCTAATGTCCCGTCTGCACCGCCATCACCACTTGTGGCTGGACCATCTCACGAGATCAAGCAGTCCTGGTTCTCAAATCTCTTCAGCTGGAAACCTGCGGTGGGTCGGTGACATGACTGCATTTCTGATAGATCCAGGTCTTCACCCTGATGTCTGAGGACGAGTGCATCTCCACAAGAAATGAATGCGTCCGTCTGCTCGAATCGTTTGGAGTCAGTGTCAGGCTCGAGGATGCAGAGAGCTGGGGTGTCTTAAAGTGCAAAGTGGAGGAGATCCGAGGCGAGTGGCTCTGAATCCCTACGAGCGGTTTTTGGTCTTTTGGTCTGACGATTTTGCAGACGTGACCGGTATTATCATCTCAAAGCCTGTTCGTTTCCGAATCGAGTTCCTCCCTCATGCCTCTTGGTCGAATGGCACGGGTTCGTTGGCATCGCAGGCATCCAACGCTGCCGCCCATTCTCCGTCGAGTTCCAGTCACAGAATAACAGATGGGAGAAGAACTTCTTCGAATCCCGTCTCCGCCGTTTCGGCCAAAGCCGCCACCACGACAAGCATGACTTTAGTCCAGGAGAAAGGAGCCTTGAGCTCGTTCAAGGCAGTGTACGGGAGACTGAGGGCGGAATGGAGGTAGGTCCTCAGCTTTGAAGACAGCCATACTGACCGAGCCCGCGTTGCCAGACTGGACACACTCAGATCACCCGCAGTAACGAGTAATTCTCGTTTCGCATCTTCTCCACTAGCCTCTCCAGCTTTGACTTCTGATACAGCTCAGGCGACGTGGTCATGAGATGTAGACAGCAATAGGAACACATATCACATCATATTGTCTCGCTAATCATGCATCCCTCCATTACAGAGCATGAGTGCCACAGTGACGTATTTCTCATCTCCGTTTGATCGGAGATTCCAGTCGATCTCGATGTTATCGGTCGATCGATTCGTGTCATCCAACAATTCTTGTTAGCGTGTAGAAACTGAGACGGCTCGTGACGTCGTCTTTTAAAGCAAATGGATGGGGAGGGGGGCAAATCATCATGAACCTAGATGGAGTCCCGTTCAATCAGCCTTTGATATCTTTGATCCACTCACTTGTCACTGAAGACTGACTGCTGACATCCCTCGACGAGCATACCATGCCTTCCCCCAGCGACAGAAAAAGAGTCCTCGTCGTAGGCGCAGGAGCATCTGGCATGTCATGTGCAGACAGTCTGGCAAAGCATCCAGATAAATTCGAGGTCACGTTGATTGGTGAGAGTGACCAGAGGCAGGCGAATCTCATGCTGATCATCCACGTCAGACGCCCAAGGATACTGTGGAGGTCAAGCATTCTCTATTCCGATCGATGAGAATCGATACGGATCATCATGGATGAATCAAGGTGTTCAAGGTGGATCATATATCTACCAACATACCTTTCGTATGTTTGAGAAGCAAGGCTATGAAGCCAAGCCGTGAGTCCCTTCAAGAGTGATTTCTGCTGATGGACACTCTAGAGTGGATCTCCAAGTCTCTTTCGGTAAGGGCGACAAGGTGGGTTCATGTCCTCTGTCACATCTCCTGACCATTCAGTTCTGGACCAACCTGTTCCCCACCAAGCTTGTCGACAAGCACCAAAAGGACATTGCTCGATTTGATACGGCGCTCAAGTGGATGAGAAGGGGAGAAGTCTTCTTCGCTATCATTCCCATCAAGGTCACTCTGAAGCTCTGGGGACTCAGCGATGAATTCATAAACTACATGATATATCCAGCGTGAGTAAAGAAGAGAGAGAACATTTGTTGACAGTGCACACAGCCTGGCGCTGTTCCTCGGCACTGGCAATGCTACTCCGGACTTGCCTACCGTCATGATGGAGAGGCTCTATACTTCACCGACCTATGGAATGTGGTATAAAGTAGACAAGAAGAGTCTATCATCGAACCTCCCGCCAATGGTGGTTTTCCCAGAGTCTACCGATTTCTATACCAAGTGGCAGAAAGATCTCGAGTCCAAGAATGTAGATGTGCGACTCAACACAGAGCTGATCTCGGTCGATCAACGCAAGCCCGACGTCCGAGTTCATCTACGCCAGAGACGACAACAGGAAGATCTTCATAATCCGAACGATGCGGATCAGGACATTCCAGCCGTGGAAGAGACTTTCGACGAAATAGTCTTTTGCTGTTTGGCGGATACTGCTAAGCGGGTTCTTGGCAAATCTGCCACTTGGAGCGAGAAGAGGGTCTTGGGCAACACGAAATGGAGCGACGATGTCACGGTGACCCACAATGTGAGCCAGCCCAATTGAAAGCAGTCTGCTGACCTCTCAGGATCTGGACTACATGAAAAAATACTACACCATGGACTTTGACACTAGTGAAGCTGTCCAGGAGGTCGGAGGTAGGGATGACAGCGATCGTTACAAGAAAGGTCAACACGAGTTCAATCCGTGAGGAAGAGAAAGCTCGATTATACGCTGATCTCACAGTATGTACCTTATCAAGCAACTACCAGACGACCCGCGCAAGCTGGAGATGTGTTTTGACTGTTCAAACTTCCAGTATCAATTGAAAGATGCGCAAAAACCACAGGATCAGCATATCTTCCAGACAATCTTCCTCAATAATAAGCATAAGCACATGTGGCAAAAGGACGAGATCAAGAAGGACAAGATCAGTGAGCTGGTTTTACCATCATGCGCCTAGCTGACCATCCATTTGCAGTCCGTGAGGATTGGTGGCATCAGTTGTGCCACTCCTGGACACACTATGCTTTCGTTGTGCCATTCGTGTGGCTTCTCAATCGTGGCTCGAATCACACCACATTTGCAGGTGCTTGGACTCTGGTCAATGCACATGAAGTGGCCGTGATTTCGGGAATGGTGAGTACTCCCTGTCAGTAAATTGGAGAGATGCTCATGGGAATTCAGGCCGCAGCGTACAAGCTCGGAGCAGACTATCCGGTTGAGCTTTACGAGAACGACTTTGCCAAGTTGTGCTTCAGGCTGTATCTGCTTCTGGCCCATGGCAAAAGGCTGAAGAAGGAGAGGACCAGCTGAAAGCTCGCTCAGACTCGGTGGACAGAGATCGAGAAGGGCTCGACTGAAAGCTGGGTTGAAACAAGCTGTTGTAACATATGTAGCTGCGTAAGTAGACAGACATCAGATGTGACTAGAATGTAGTGATTGAATGTCGGCGCAGCGTCAGGTTTTCCCTGGCAAGATCTGGCTCGGAAACAAGCTCTACATAGGGGAAAAGAAGCAAAACATAAAACATACATATGGGCTGAGGAAAGTCAGGTGGGGTCATGGAGCGATGCCACTAAAGCAAGAGCAGCGCTGGCTTTCAAGCGCTACAGAGCGCATCTCACATGTTCGCCTCACATGTTGGGGGAGATAGATCCGGAAGCTGTTGCTGATGATGTGGCGCTCGCTCCAGCGGAAGACACGATAGATCCACTTCTGGTGTCCGAGGCGAATGGATTCCACTGAATACCATTGATAAGCTGTTGAGAGGTGGCACTGCCACTGGGAGCTGCCGAAGCGCTGGCACTGAGGCTAGCAGCGCTGGCCGTATTGACACTGATGCTCGCCATGGAACTTGTGCTGATACCGGTACTGATGGTCAAGCTCGTATCGGTACTAACGCTTGCACTTTGCGTCGAAGTCACGTCGGTGTATGTCATGCTCGGGTCGGGGGCGTTTTCGGCAGGGAGGACGTACCACGCTAATCGGAGTGGAGGACCAGCCAATGTTCAGTACCGTACTGGCTAACGCACACCAGAACTCACCTTGATTATCATTGTTTGTCTGACAAGTGTAGAGCTGGACTCCATTGACACCTTCGTCCAAGCATTGCGTGGAGTTCATCACTGCGATGTAATTGTCGTTGGTAAAATACCATCTGGTAGCCCATGGCGTCAGCCTTACACTTTGAATGAACATAAATCAACGCTTACGTCTGTTCTGGCAGGTTTGTGCTTGTCTTCTGAAGTGTCACTTCACCATGATCTACCAGATCCTTCGCGTCCAGCGCGAGCGAGACATCCGCCGCAAGCGTGATGAGCGTTTGACCACGATTGACATTCCAGGTTGTGGCGGATTTACAAGGGAGGGACTGAACCGCCATACCTTCTTTGGGCGATGCGATATTGCCTCCTACAATGGACAGGCAGAGATTGTCGCGGTACGAAATGATAAGTTGATTGTATACTCCTCCTCCGCTGCCACCAGATTGCCCAACGGAGGAGACTGAGGCTGAAGGCGCGGCTGCGGGCGCTGACATACTGGCGGGAGGAGGCATCGCATAAGACTGGGTAAAGAAGAGGGTTACGACAGTGAAGAGATAACGAAAGATGGGTATCTTTGACATCTTGCCTTAGGTGTCAGATTCAAGTTATCGGACTTGGAAACGAGTGTAACGCTTGAATGAATGAGTAAGATAGGAAATGGTTGATGAAATGCTGGGCTTGCTTCCTGAGCGAGACAATCGAATAAAAGAACGGATCAGAGGTGCGTTATAAGTATCTCGTAGTGGCTCTTTGCGATACCTCACGATTCACAAGGACGGTCCTTGCTGATGACGGAGAGAATGAGACATCAATCGGGAGGATCAGCGAGCTACACGCTCGGGGTTCAGTTATCAAGCTGATATCTCTCATCTGTCACCCCTGAAGGTCTAGAGCCTTTCTGATAGTCCGCCGGTCCATTATCGGTCAACATCACACACTGATTTCAAGGGGGGAATGTACTCTGCTCCGACCATCCTTTATGCACTTCTGAGCGTTTGAGTTTCGACCTTTTGGGACAAAGGGTGATATCTCGAAGGAAGAAGGCGAACTTATCAGGGGTCATTGGATTCAAGACGGGTTAGATGAGTCAGTCAGTCTCTTGACCACTCCATCTTCAGCAGTCTTGCTCACTTCAGAAGTTGGGGCAGGACGACTTGAGCGCGGCTTGAGGCGACTTACCATCGAAGATATGGTCCTTTCGCCACTCCCACGTGTTTTCGGTAAAGTTGCAATTGATCGGCTCAAGTTCTATGAGTCCGTCAGAATGATGATTTTGCCTTTGATTGGTGTTGAACTACTCACGTCGCGTAAGAAAGCAAGATGGTCAACGCTTCGAGCTCACAGAAGAATATATGGGTGGCAGCGAGTGACGGAGACTTTGATAGGGTCAAGGTCAGTACATATATTGAATCACGTTGTCCGCTCGTCCTGGTTCTGACAGTGGACGATTGACTACCCAGGAGCTGATCGAAGATGGGTTCTCGCCGAACGAAAAAGATCATAATTCGTACACGCCAATGTCAGCTCGCTCCTGAGCAAAGTGTAGAGTCAAAAAGCTGACTAAAAGCTTTTTCAACAAGGCACGCGGCGGCATCTTACGCCCATCTCGAGCTATTCGAATACCTCTTATCGAAAGGAGGCAATATCAATCTTCCTGATGAAGATGGAGAGACGCCGTTGTTCACTGTCGAGACGATGGAGGCTGCCAGATTCTTAGTGGAGAAAGGAGCGGATGTCAATTGGGAGAATGAAGAGGGTCTAGTGGTGTGTTTCTTATCCGTCCCCCAGGATTTCCCCAAACCAAAGAGGTGGACGCTTACCCTTCGCTCTCACTTCATCCCAGGCTGCAGATAGCTTGGAGGAGGATCATCCAGAAATAGCACATTACCTTCGATCGTTATCATCTGGAGATGGGGAAGATGGTGCGGTCTCAGTGATCGACGGACAAGGAGCCAACAACGTCGCCATCGATCAATTTGCAGACTTGCATTCCTCGGCATTAATGGCGGAAGCTCAGGCAGTCATGGAGCAAGCTGCTAGAGATGGTGTGGAACCGGATGAACAGCTCAGAGCGATCATCCAGAGGCATGTTGATGCTGGGAGAGCCTTAGGTGCGGCGACTGGAGGAGATGCAACACCACAGCAGACTCCAGGAGATGAAGATGCTAGCAAGAGAACGAGGACAGGCGACGAGCAGTAACTGGAGCGGTGATGCGGCCGAAAAAAACATGGACCATACCCTCGCCATGCAATGTCTATGCCCAAACTCTAATGCATTCATCAAAGAAAAATCATGTATGTCGCAGCCTGTGTATTAAAGATCGTATCATATCGTGTCCGTGCCATCGGTTTCTCATTTTCGCCACGTCTAGTCTAGCTCGGCTCCGGGCCTTTCCTCACACTCACGCCTCGCACAGCCCTTCAAGAGCCTCAACCACTTCCTCCGGACATGTTACATGCCAGCTGGCCAAAGTCTTCTTCGCCGGTGGTCCAACCGTTGTTGCAAAGATAACCTCGGGAGTCAAGTGGAGCTCCACATCGGGAAGCTGCTCAGCATCCTCAGGATCGAGACTTGAGGTCACAGCGACAGGTGGCTTGAGCATCAAGGGTTGACCTGGGCCCGAACCGCCAGGGGGGAAGACCGTCCGAAGCGATCGGAACATGTCTTCGTCAGTCTGGACAAACAAGAATCAGCTCTGATCGATCGTGCAGGAATCGAGTCCCACCTTGTCATCTCCCGCGCAAAAGATGAAATCAGCGTCGGGGTTCTCATACATCAATCTCCGCACGATCTCTCCCTTGTTGACGGCAAGAGGTCGGACTTCAAGATTTTTCTTGCCAACGAGAACTGTAGCAGTCAAGGTATGCTCATACGGTCTCACTCACCCTCGACTGGTCGGCGTGGCGCCAAGCTGCTCTCCAACAAGTCTAGAGCTTGTTTACACTGGAACTCGCTAAGTGACATCAGATACTGATCGAACAGGGTGAAGACGACTAGCTCACCCAAAGTCTGGATCCGAATTCCGATAGTGCCAAGTAATGGAAGCTTTCTTGACTTCAATCGTACTTCCCGTCGTACGCTGAGTGGTGTCAGCCAAAGTCATGAGTCGCAGTCCAGATTCGATCTTACCTCCATGTAGTACCTGAAAATCTCCTCGACCTCGCTCATCCAGCTCATGTCCAGAGTCTCCGTCATATTGGAGAACTCGTCGGCCCCAGGGGCGCGAACGAAACTTCCGTGCTCAGCGGACAGACCGAGACCCTCAACATCGCCCCAATGCTCCATGAGGAAGTCGCCATCTCGTCCAGAAATGAGATAGACGATGTTCCGGGGGTCGGCGGCGACGGCTGAAATGGCTCGGCGAGTACGCTCAGTGGGAATGGCGTGAGAGGGAACTTTGACGATGGGCGTAAGGGTACCCTGCGGCACGTGTGAGTCGAGCACTTGACAAGGGATCACTGGGGCTCACGTCGTAATCAAACAGCATCAACCTCTTCTTGGCCTTCTTGTAAGCCTTTTTCATCACGCCTAGATCCAGAGCAGGCGTCTGATGCGCCGTATGATCTCCTCCAACGTTTTCCAGAAGCTGGGTGAGAATCGTCGCAGCCCAAGTATGACTCGTTGAACCCGAGATACTGCTGTAGAGCTGAGCGTGTCGTTCCTCCTTCTCCTCCTGTGACATTCTCAAAGCTTTGTCGATGGCTTCTGCCACGCCGAGCAAGTCATGAGGGTTAATTTGGAGAGCCGACTGGAAAGAAGTCGCTGTGCCCATAAATTCGGACAAGACGAGAGGCGACTTGAACGTTTTGTCCTGGCAGAGGATGAACTCCATGGACGTCGTGTTCATACCGTCTCGAAGAGAGGTTATCAAGGCCAGATCGGCGACGGACAACAGGGCAAAGTATTCCTCTCGTTCAATCGCTTGGTGACTGGACGGATGTCAGCTTGCCACTCGAAGAAGATCAGGGAGCTCACTAGTGGTGGACTGGGGTAAAATCAAGACCGCCGTAGGTGCCGTTGATGTGACTAACCAATTCAGCAGTCTTTCGCTCAAGCTGAGGTGTTTCTGACAGAGCAGGCGTGGTTACTTGAATGAGGACCACTTTTCCGCGCCACTCGGGATATACCTCCAAAAGCTTTTCAAACGCCTGAAGCTTGTTGTAGACTCCCTTGGCAGGATCCAGTTTTTCACGACCGATGATGATCTTCTTGTCCTTGTAGAGCGTTTTGAGAGCTTCCATCTTGGGCGCCACACCGGGCGAGTCGCGATCATGGGAGACACGCTTGATGTCAATGCCGATCGGGCAGTGAGTGACGGCGGTGAAGGATCCGTTTGCCTCGACACCTCCCTGCGCAGACTCGTATCCGCAGACTCTTATGCACGTCGAGACAAAGTGTCGGGAGTAGGCGTAAGTCTGGAAAGAGATGACGTTGGCTCCGAGCATTCCATCGAGGATCTCGCGGCGTTCTGAGACGGAATGTCAGACTTCTGACCGTTTGGGTCAGACTCACTTGGGATACATCTGAAAATCTCGGACGATGGCCAGGGAGTGTGCATGAACATTCCAATCATGATCTCTGCCGTTTGATGGGGATTTCGGAGATGTTGACCCAACGCCGATCCAACATGACCGAAAAATCCACCCGGCTTATCCAAACTCTGTCCACCTCGGAAGTCGTGAGACCTAGGAGTGGACTGACTGCTCTCCCAATCCATCCCCTTGGGTTGTCCATTGCCAATGGCCGGGGACGGGCTGTGAAAGTGTTGAGTCCAGCTCTGATGAGGTTGTTGATAGTTTCCAAGCGCCTCTCTGATCATTTTGGGGGCGAGCAAGAGATGATAATCGTGGACAATGATGAGGTCTCCGGGTTGGTAGATTTCCGCGACTCGGGATGCGAAGAGGGCGTTCGCCCGGTGGTAGTGGATGAAGAGGGGATCAGGGGAGGGAACAGTGGCAGTCGAGTCGAGCCAGAGGAGATAGTGGAAGAGCGGCCAGAGGGCTAGGATTCGTCAGTCCTGACTCTGGCTAGCATCACTCACTTTTCTTGCAAAATCCTTCATAGTGACCTTTGGACACGTCAGGTGGAAGGAAGACCGGCACGTAGTGCAGTTTCCCCCTATCGTCCGCAGCGGCTTCGACTTCGGTGAATCTGTTGAGTTCACTTTCAATCTCCTGCCTTTCTGCATCATTAAATTCTCCATTGAAGACTTTGAGCGGTTGCTCGACAGGTGTTTTGAATCCATTAAAATCTCCATTTTCAGCATGGTCACCGTTGGCATGGCCTTGTTCTGTAGGAAGGAGGTGAGGAAGAGTGGGTACAGGATCCAAGGTGGGTGTTGGACCTGATTGTGTCTGGAGCAAGACCTCTCCTGTCCAGGCGACGACGAACTGTTCATGCGTTTGAGAAAGACTGCGAATGCCAGAGATCATAGCTGTATGAGCTGTCCTGGCATGGATCCTCCATTGTGCATCGTGGGACTCGGTGGTCACTTCTTGCTCTTCGGGCTTGAACTCAGCGGCAGCGGAAGGTAGGTGGGTCGAACCGCCCAAGATAGGTGTCGACTGGGGTACAGCACGTGTGATCTCAACGGGGAGGTGATGACAGACGTGGATGATCCGACCTGAGAGAGCGACATCTTTTGCACGTAACGAGGCTTCTAGACGTGAAACCTGAGCTCGAATCTCTTCCAGACTGGGCAAGGGTTCCGGGGTTGGATCAGGCAAGGTTGAATCGGTGATGTCCATGGTGATGACGAATAGTTGGACAAGGTTGCAGTATAGACGGAGTCGTTTCTGGAGGATTTGTACGCTATAAGACCTCCAAGGGAATGATCGTGAACGCTTCGGAAGAACCTCGGTGCCTTTTCGGTTGAGGTGAGAATGTCGTCAAGCAGGCTGTGTTCAGTACGAGTGAAGAGCGTCCTTTGTGACAAGCACGGAGCACAGAGCTGGTGGTGGCCGGAGGAACGACGTCAAAAGAGAGAGATAGCTTGTCGACGAATATTGATCTGCGGCTGCTCTTAAGAACCGTGACTGAGATGCCCTTTTCCCCCTCTCCCCAAGGTGGTCGTGGTGTGTTGCGGAATGGGGATGATGACCTGTTTTCCTTTTTTTTGGGCTTCCTCCCCAATGACTTCAGGAGGATGTAGGTGGATGATATAGACGAGCTAGCTGCCTTCTGATAGTGAGCTGTGGTTCCGATGTCCTCAGCAAGTAAGGGAAGCCAGACTAAAGCAGGAGCGGTTGATGCTGGCTGAGCAGTCGAGGGAGGAGGTATTGAAATGGAATGGGATGTGCAGCAGCAACAGCAGCAGCAAGTCATACCATTTTCTTTTTTCCATTCAAAATTAAAATATGAAAATGAGAGAGAACCAATTACGTCGTTTTGTGGGGGTGCAGTGCAGGCAAAAACGTTCAATTAGCCCCCCCCCATCTACGGGAGATCACTGGAATCAACTCATACATACATACAGCCAGATGGGCCAGAGTCTTGACGGAATGGCATTGCAGCTTTCCACCTTCCACATACAGTCGACTCAACTATCATGTAGTAGTCCATGCATGCCAGGCCTTACATATGCCCCTCTCTCTCTATCTCTCGCCTGAACTCTTCCTCACGAGGGGTGAATGACGGTTGAGAACGCGTCAGGTACGTGTTGAGGCGAGTATCATTACGTCATGATTACCTTTATTACTCATGGTCATTTTTGCATGGCGTAACAATCGCAGGCGTCCCTCAAAGGTGGCATTGCCACATGATTATGGAGGTGCAGCTATGGTGGCGCGTGTCCTGTGTCCGTATCATTCACAGCGACTTCAATCGATGAGGATGGTACAAAGAAATGCCCAGTGCTGTAGCGCTTGAGCAGTCGATGGATCTCCGCTCGCCCTTGCCCTTGCACCCAAATGATCTGAAACGGAATTTGTGAACAATAGACTCCCAGCCAGATCAAGGGGGCATCCTTTGTATGTACTGTACAGCTCTTTGACTTTACCCGATGCGTGCTACCTTTGATATCGATGACAAAGGAGTGTATCCCCTCTGGTCCATGGAAGGATGATATTGAAGTGAGATCGTTGCCAAATTCGGACAATGCTGGAATGGGGCAAGCACTGTCGACGAGGTGACAAAAGGTCAATCCCAAAACTCAAGGTAGTCATGTCTTTCCTCGAGCGACAACATCATTGTCTTCCTTGACTTGGTCGTCCGGTGAACCGACACAATGGTGGCACCTGTCAATCCACACGAGTCAATCGGATTGTTCCCATTCGGCATGACGGGACTCTTCGATCCTCGTGCAAGTGGGATCCCTTCAGAGCTCGCCAGGTTGTTCGAGGCTCCTGCCTTGGATACGAACAATGGGTTCATGTATCGTGTACCTCCAGTCGTTCCCTCTGCTCGTGTCGAAGATGCAGAGTATGAAGAGGTAGACAAGAGAGATGAAGCCAGTCAAGAGCTAGAGTGAGTGAAGTCTTTGTCCCTCAGAATGGAAGTCGAGAGGAGGAGGCAGGGGTCCTTTGGGGAGACACACCTTACTTCGTATTGTCCGGGGCGACGGACAATGAACAGCAAGCGATGAGTAGCTGAAGTACATTGTCATCGCTTGGCCGAGAGTCAGCCTCAAGCGACCGAGAGGAACAAAAGCGACTTGTGTGCACTACTTGACATCAGCACCTCGTCAGTCTTATCCCCTCCGACAATCTCCTCCCCGCGACATTGTTCTTGTGTCAACCGTCTCTTGCTCGTCTAGCATTCTCTCAACACCCTCTCTTAGCCGCAGCTGACACCCTATCCAGCGCCAATATCCTCGCTGAGCGACTACGCACTCTCAAAGGGCGGCTTCAAGGGGATTCAACCGACACATTACAGACGCAAGCAGCTCCTCAAGCTCCTCAATTAAGAGGAATCTTGTCACCAGGTCGTTCAGCAGCTCGTCCTGAAGCTTATCACCCGCCTCAACTTCCACAAGAAGACCAGAACTCTTCCTACTTTCTCTCACCCGATCGTCATCTTCATCAACTTCGACGTTTCCCACCGACCGAGGAGCTGGGCCCGTCCGATAGTATCAGCATGTATCGACCGCATCGGGCTCCTAGTGCTCGCTCGGTCCGACGAGGGGGAACGAATGTCGATGGCGAGGAAGGTCACATGGATCCCTATCCATATACGTCTGAGCTGCAGCACCTCGGTCAAAACGAAGGCGGGAGCGTGACAAGTGGGGATGGAGGAATGACGATGCAGACCCCTCGATCTATGGGATATCTCGATCAAGCGACAGCTCCTCCTACCAGTAACTGGACGACCGGTACTCTGTGAGTGGGGCACCGGAACCCTCCTTTCTTTTGTTTGAGACTCTCTAGCAGAGAAAGTTCCACTGACTCAGGCTAAGCGCCGGGAACATGTACAACATGCGAGAGCGACTGCTCAAAGAGGCTGAGCTTCAGCATCACACTAACGATGATCAGATCCAGAAACAGTTGGCCAGTACGGCCGAGCTGGCAGCCACCCTTGTCAAGCTGGAGAAAGCAGAAGAGCAACTTCGAACACTCCAGGCGACATTGTTCGCCGAACAGGTCGCCCGGACCCAAATCGAACGAGAGGCGGAACAGAGTCGAGAAGATATGAAAGACTGCAAGGATGAGCTGGCGAGTGCTATCAGAGCTCTCAGACGGGCCAGAGATGAAGGACAAAGGGGCGACGAAGAGCGAAAGAGGCTCCAGCGATGTTTCGAAACGACCAAGAACCAGTGAGTTGCCAACATGTTTCCGGTCGTTAACGATGTCAGGCTACACAAGTATCATGAGGAGCTCAAGGTTCGCGATGCTAGAGCCAAGGGAAGAGAAGAAGGTCGGGCAGAGGTATGACGCTCCTATGAATCGACATCAGTACTGAACTGAGACCTGTCAGGCGTGGAAGGAAGCTGAGATGTGGATGGGCGGGTCCCCTCCCATTCCTGTCGAGCCTATACAAAGTATTCCACCCGCCGTGTTTCGACAGACTCCAATAATGAATGGGAACCAGGCCTTAGCGCCACCACCACAACAACAACAGCAGCAGCATCAGCAGCAAGCGTACCAGCAGCAAACAGGACAGTACACCTCCCCACCTCAGCAGTATGTTCCTCAGCCTGGCGAGTCGATGGGCCCGCAAGCACAATATCAGCCCATGGTCATGCCACAACAAGGGGCACAGATGGGCCCGCCACATCTGGACCACCAATCGTTTGCTGAACCTCCTCAACAGTCTCAGCACACTTTGCAGAAGATGCAGCCTCACCACTCAAATGTGACTGGTCAAGCTCAACAATCAGGCTATCCTGCGGCCCCCGTACAGCCCCAGCATACTCCGCAGACTCTGCAACCCCAGCATACTGCCCAACAAAGTTACAGTGGGGGGCTCCCGGAGAAAATCATGCACACCATGGCTAGGCCCATCACACCGCCACATCTGGTAGGAGTGGCAGTTCCGGTGACGGATCCCGCCTCTATCCCCAGGCCTACACCTCAGATGCCGGAAGGTGGCCAGTGGCAGCCTTTGGGACAGCATCCGGGTCAGCCTACGTCCAGCGCTCATCACGCTGGAAGCAGAAGTGTCCCTCATCAGTATACGACTTTACCACCTCACCAGCCAGCAAGGGCGGGAACAGTGATCCACTCGAATAATCGACCTGGACCTCATCCCAACTCGGCGCCACGCCAGTCCAGTAGACGAGAACGATCACACTCAGTGAATGGCCATGTTGCAGTACCGGATTTCATCCAAAGACCTCATCCAGCAGACTCATACCTCGACAGAGCAGACCACGATCCCCGCATCAAGTCTTTGCTCAGTGGCGCTCAGAGCAAAACCATCCACACTTCCGAGTACCCTACATCTGCCCGTACTGGAGAGGCTCCACCTCAAGCTCTGGATTCAGCATCCCTAGATAAACCGCTCCCCAAACCGTTCCAGCAATCAGTCTTGAGCAAGTCGCAGTCGACCCGTCGACCTTCAGCCAGCACCCAGAGACCCAATCGAAGGTTGAGTCTCACCGAGGGCTTGCATCCTCTCTCTCCAGCTCATCCTTCTCATCGAGGAGATCAGCACCATGATGGTGATCGCTATCCTGCTTTCCCAGTCAACGGGACAGCTCGTGGACATTCTATGCCGTCAAGCATTGGCTCATTCAATCCTGCAAATTATGCGCTGCCTGCGTGAGTGTGGCGGCGCTTCCGACACGGTTCTCCCCACTAAAGACCCCCTTAGCTCTGTGGACCCGTCCATGCTGCAGACACCGCAGTCCACTGCACGACACCAGTCAGTCAGACAGACTCCTCATAATTCTGTCAGATCACGTAGCTGGATGGCTGGCGCGTTGCGTAATGACGCTGAGCTTGATATCGGCGACCTTTCCAAGATCCTCGAGGAAAGCGATAATCCCCCACACGCCCATGCTCATACCCGTGCCCAGCATCCCAGGCAGGGCGACAGGGAGCCATCAAGGCAGGCTTTTGAGACACCTCGGCCTGCCGAGCTCAAGAGTCCGAGGAACGTGATGGACTCGATTGTCATGGTGAGTGCGCAGTCGTCAATCGAGGCATCACCAACATCCCAACTCAGCGAAACATGCCTACTCAAGACCAGCAACAGGTGCCACGGAAAGCTCCATCTATGACTCCGATGAGGAACCAGCCAAGAGTGAGTCATGCTCCCTGACGCACAGGCTGAGACTGTCAGCCGGTCATGCCAAGTCTGCTCAGTGGAAACAAAGCCAGATCCGAAGCCCCAGGTGTATCGAACGGTCGTCATGGCCACGGGCAGTACACAGGGCGATCGACTCCAGCTCTCCACGACCCTCGTGGACCTGATGAGCCACCTCATTCCCATTCTCTCTTCCTTCCACCCGGTATGATGAACCGGACAAGGTCCGCAGAGTCGGATGATATCCCTCAACGACATTCGGCACTGGGTCTTGAGGGACTGGATGAAGTGCCGTCTGGTCGGTCGAACGCTGTGTTCAGCCGACACGGCCGTGAACAAGGTGAAGCCAGGTATCCAGAGTCTCAAGGAACCGCCATGTCAAGGATCCGAGCACCCACCGTAGGTTCATTGCCTCCTCCTCCGAAACGAGGAGCTTGGTATCATTGAGCCAGTGAAAGAGAGACAATGACTGAGTTGTACATGTTTTCCTTCCCCCCAATTTATTATATCATTCTTCAACGATGTACCCTGTAGATCACGATTCAGCCTCCGGTGCGTCCTTTCACACTGATCGTTAGCCCTCTTGACTGACTTCGCAATTGTTCTGATGTCTTACCAGTCTTCGCGATCCAACAACCTCTCCGCTCGTCCCAGTGTGGCCCCCTCCTTTGTATCCGAGGGAGTTTATCAGGCCGATCACACCGGGGCCCTTGACAATTTCGGCTCAGGCCCCATAGGTCCACAAGAGACAAGGCCTCGTCTTACCTCCGCTTCCGATGCGAACTCCCAGACATTCACTCACTATCGTTCCGCTTCGGATGGAGATGCTCTCAAGCAGATCCGAGACCGATTGATGGAGTCGGATCCCAACACAATCTCCGTACCCCAACCTCAGACGGTGCACCCAGTCTCACCACATCGAGTGCCTCTTCCGAAATCAAGGTCTCAGGCTCCGACCGCATACGAGATGCAGTCCCCGAAAGGATCATCCTTATTGTCGCCAAAGTCTCAGAGGAACGGCAGAAACGGCCACAGACGATCAGAAAGTCATCAAACATTTGGCACTTTACAGACCATGCCGAGTGTCAGTATCATCGATTTCGCTCTGACCCACCCGCTCCCATCTTCCAAGGGCGGTAGCAGTCCCAAAACTGGCGTAAGAGCTGCAGGTGTGGGTTGTCTGACGTGTTTGTTAGACCGAGTTCGACAATGATAAGATCAAGGAAATTCACCACTCCAAAATGAACGTCAAAAGAAAACCAGTACCCGGCCCAGGTCCCGTCCCAGATCCCAGGAAGATCCCCTTACCTGCATCTAGACCACCTACTAGAGCGAGAGCATCTAGTAAGGAGCCAATCAAGTGAGATGCCGAATCTGCAGCTGATGTAAGCCATCCTCCCGGTTCAGCTTACGCCCGCACTGAAGGTACCATTGAGGAGGTCACCGAGGAAGAAAGTGGCAGGGAGAATAAGGGCAAAGGGCGAAGGTGGTGAAGAAGGGCCTTCCTGGAAGAAGGGGAGACTTTGTAGAATCCCACCATTCGTGTGCCTGACCCATGATCTTGAGCGGGACCCTTGTGAACTATCAAAGATGGGAGGAAGTCTTGCATTTGATGTAACTGCCACACAAGCAAAAACTGCCACAAATGATGACCTCTCACTCGCGAGGTGAGAGACCGTGCCAGCAGTACATTGAGACTCTTCAACATTGACCGCGACGGCCATGGAAAGCGTCGACAGAATACGCCGGGCATCACGAACCATAGATCTGGAAGCCATCGATCACAATGTTAAGAAGCACATCGATGCCCAATTTCCAAGCTTGGACTCGCTCCTCGCTCAACATGGGCAATCTCAGGCCGAAGCTGGTCCCAGTCAACCGATGAAGCGTACAGATAGTCGACGCAGTGCGAAGGATAGGCATAAGCGAGGCTTGGAGGATGAGATCTCATACTGGCAGGCTAAGAAGAGAGCCGCTGACGCCGAGGTCAGAATACTGAGTGTTGTTGAAGACCTACTGACACCTCTTTCTTTCGCCCAGCTTGCAACTACGACCTCAACCCTACCTGACATGCTTCATGCCGCCCAGGAAAGACTTCAAAAGCTTCTGGAATCCGCACAGTCTCTCTCCATTCAGCGCTACGCCCTCGCTGATAAGCTGGGCAATCTCATAGCGGAGCTACAGAGCTCCGCCGAGACAGACGGCTCCTCTCGCGAAGAGGACAACAGAAGCGGAAATCGAAAACAAAGTGTTTTGGAGCAGATGGAGAGTATGTCCTCGGAGCTGGCTCGCCTAGAAGCTGGTTTAGCCTGGGCTACAATACTAGAACAAGTGGTAGTCATGAGGTCAGCACACAATACTCACAGTGGAGGATGTGGCCTCAGGCTGACCTGTCTCCAGTGAACAGATCCTGTCACCTCAAACGCATCATCCGTCTCCATTAGGAGCATTACCCATATATCAAAAGCTGGATTCTCTGGTGCAGAGGATGGAAGAGATTCTACCCCCGGATATGGGCCTTCTCAGAATCATCGTGCAGACGAGGGATACCACATGGAACGCCTTGAAAGACATCATGTCACAGTGAGTCAAAGTCCGTTCCACTGTCGTCCGCCTAGCTGACGCCAATTCTAGGGATCTTCTGAAAGCATGCGAAGCGCTCAAATGGCCTCTGAGAGTCGACTACGCATCTGTGTCTCCAGCAGAGAGGAGAGCATTTGAGCGGTCTTATCAAGACCTTTTGGTTCTCCAGGCCGAGTAAGTCCGAACAACACAGCATTTAGCTGATCCACGATTCTCAGAGGCGAGGCAATGGGTAGATTGCCTGTTTTATCCCCACATTGGTCTTCTGGGACAGGCCTGTACCCTCTGCAAGCTATGATCCAGCCTATCGCTCTGAGATTCAAATATCATTTTCAGGGTTCACGGAATACCAATCGAGTAGACAAGGCGAGTGTGCTCATCACAAACCGAACTATCAGCTGACTGATCCGGCAGCCCGAATGGGCATTCTCCAATATCCTTGATCAAATCTACGAGCACCAGTCCTTTTTAGAGGATTATCTACAGCCTTTGACCGCTCGAGCTGGCTTCCCAGACGTGGACGTGAAGGTGCGACAGAAGGCTTTGCCTGATCCTTGAACTCGGCTGACACTTTGTCTAGTCTGAATTCACCATGTTACTCTTTCCGATCCTTTTGGGCATGCTGCGGTCCCGCATACCAAAGCTCCTCGATCATCCCGCTCTTCTGGCTCATACGATCTATCAAACAGTAGTCTTTGATGACTCAATTAGGGAAGGTGGATTCGATTTAGAAGCAGTATCATTACACGAGAAGAGCAAGACGATCCCATCCTGGGAGGGTCTGGCCGGCGTTCTGCTCAAGGACGAGGGTTGGTTTCAGCAATGGCTCAACGGTGAAAAAAAGTGTACGTACTCACCGACGTACAATCCAGGCTAGATGCTAATCGACAATGTAGTCGCCGAAAGCCAGCTGAAGGAGATCCTTGCATCTCCCGAGGCATGGACCATCACGGACGAGGTCGCAGAAGAGGATGTCGAGCAAGTTGAGGCGGGTATGAGACCGACAACAAGTGCTCGACAGGTTAAAGCATTGTTTGAGCAGATCACAGGTGCGAGAGTTCGAAGTACCATGAACAGTTCTGACGACGATTCCCTCAGATCGATATGCTCCTCTTCCGTCGCTTGACTATCGACTGCCATTTTTGACCACGATCCAGTTGCCAATCCTGGTTTCATATCATTCCAGGATCGCAGGCTCTCTTGACGCATTCGAAACGCTCTCATCTGCTTTTGCCCGTGTTGTGCCTGGCGCGCTGTCGGGCAATACCCGAGCTGGAGTTCACATAGAACCGGCCAAATTGACTGGTGGCAGTAATGGTCTTGACAGGTTGTGCAAAGCGTATGTTAGTGCGGCTTGGGTTCTCAATGCGTTGAGAGTATGGGCGGACGATTCGGTGAGTTTTGAATCATCTGGCATTTCATCTAATGGTATTGCCAGTTCTTCGTAGAAATGTCTGGCGAATTGAAAGACTCTGTCCATCTCCGGTGGAAGCTTCACAACGATCAATACCTCCCAGCAGAATTTAAGAGCTCTGCCAGTGTCAGTCATATTGGCGCCAGCATCTTCGACACGGTACTCGACAAGTTGGCCAGCACACAGCAACGTGCCGAAGATATGATTGTCTGTCACGTCACAGTCGAAGTGCAGAACGAGCTAAAGGAGCATTTAAAGCGGTACGTACCAGAGACCCTAGCCTCGTGTCACTGACAGAGGATTCTAGACGCTGGGATCAGACCTCCTTGACGGATGACCCCGCCCCTGACCTCAGCCTGGTGAATGCGTTGTCGACCTATTCGAGTCATGTCTCGGCTGTGCGCGTCAACTTATCGTCGCTCGTTGCATCACGAATTTATCGCAGAATAGTGGGTCACCTCTCGAATCACATCTCGCAACGAGCAGTGTACTCTGGTTGGTCAAAATTCTCCACTTTTGGAGGTCAAGATTTTCTGCATGAAATTCAGGACTGGGTGCAGACATCTTCGTCTGCCATGCTGGGGTCTAATCAATCAACCGAGGACGAACTATTGGTTTCAAGTGCTATCGAGTACCCTTGGCAAACATTGATGGATGCTGGACGACTACTGAGTTTACCAGAGGACGACGGCAAGGGCACTGCAACATTTGCGCAAGCCATGGCGGCCGCTTGGTCAGATGGAGAGGAGAGTAGAGTCTTGTTCTGCCAGCGTGCAGGTACAAGTCAGATGGGCAGTCAAGAGATGCAGGGGATCCTGAGGCGCAGGGTAGAGTGTTGGCGATGAACCTCTGTCGCAAGGCGCTGAGACAGTGCGACTTTCCTTGACACCATCGCTATGCATTGACACTCCATGCTGACATCATACATTACATTCAGTAATCAGTACCTGCGGGGCGGTGGTGGTGGACCACCGTAGCGATTGCCGGCTAGGTCTCATTAGTGCCCAATCACCAGATGAGCGCAGATCACATACGAGGCGGGTAGCCTTGGGTCCTAACTGGAGGAACAGTAGGTGCACCGACACCCAGACCATCTCCAGAAATGTTATTGAACAGTGACATGATGTCATCAGCGCGGAAGACAGGACCTGCAATAGCTTCAGCTGGATGCGAAGTTAAGCCAGGCACTCACCATTGAATGATCGAGCAGACGGCAGAGAATCGATAAACCAGGCCAGAGGCTTGGTTAGACCTGATCGATCGAAGTGATCGTTCGCGATCGGTATTGGCGGGCCTCTAGGAGGGAGAGGACCTGGATGGGATATGGGGAGAGGTAGCCCACCATAAGGTGGAACGGAACCGCCACCCCGGGCATGGGGCGCCCCTTGCTGTGGAGGCAAAGAGGAGCGATCGTCGTATCGTCCAGTACTTGGCATCCTTTCTCTTTCTGGTAAGGGGTACCTCCTTGGCGGAGGGGGTGAAGCAGTCGGCCTATAACGCTTAGCAGAAGGTGATTGTGACCTGTCGACGGAGCCTCTAGGTCGACCTTGGGCACGCGGAGGATCAGAGGTGGGAAAGGGCCGTTTAACAGGTGGAGACGGCACGCCTGCGGTATCAAGGTTGACAGCAGGAGGAGGCAGCGAAACCGGCGCAGGCGGAGGATGGTGAGAGCCGGTCAATGGCATCCCTGGAATCGGTCCTCCGGTAGAAGGTGCTGGTGGCGGGGCACCCTGGAGCCGTTTACCAAAACCTAGATCTCGAAGAGCGACTTGGTCGATGCCATTGTATACGAAGCGTTGCGCGAAGCGTTTGAGAGGTGAATCTGTGATTGTCAGCGATCCAGCTTTTCAGCAAAGATCTCACCATTAGGAAAAACCTCTGCAAATCGACTCTCTAACTTGTGAACACCGGCCAAATCGCCGTAGAGATACTCATATCTTGCCCAAGTGTCCCACAGTGGTCGCGCTTTGGCGGCGGGAATCTTGCTGGCGGATCGCTCAAAGAGTGCCCGGGCATCTGTGGTGGCTCAGCCTGAATCTGCTTATCCACTACAAGACGTGACTTACTTGAATCGTCATTGATAGAAAGCAAGAACTGAAGATATCGCACGACGTAATCAACATCCTCAGAGAAAAGCTTGAAGCCAAGCTCGAAAATCCGGATGGCGACTGCGGAGTCTTTATTTGAGTGATATTCCAGCATAGCTGCGTCTCGTCAGCTCTTTGCGAATGTGCTCTGCTATCTCACCCGATGCCTCGAAAGTGTGCCACGTCACATGTGGCGATTTTCTAGCTTTACCAAAGACGCCTCGAGCCGCTTTGAGCCCCTAGACGCAATCTCAGTCGCTTCCCGAGATCTTAATGACATACCTCGGCTCTTTGAGCGAATCTCATGTACATGATCCAAACGACGCTCGCCGCCGTCGCAAGATCGGCGACGTCCTTGCCCCTCTGCTCCGCAACGTGCTTACCCCGAGCTTCGCGTTCATCAATGAGTCGAGTGACTTCCGCCAAACCATCATCGCCGTTAATCGCATCATCGTCGGTCGGCTTGGAGATCTCTGGGCCTCTTGCCCGATCCACTTCGGCAGCCACCAATTCCTTCAATTCGTCAATTTCAGGATTCAGCCGGTTGATAAGCGCTTCGTAGACCTCGTGACAAGTCGCAAAATTGCCTCTGTCCTCTTCCAAGTCCGCCAAGGTGAAGGTGAGAAGGTAGCTGCACGGACAAGCTTCAACACCAGCTTGCAGGACCTCGGCAGCCTCGTCCTTTTTGCCTGCCGTGATGTGCCAATTTGCAGCGTAATGCCTTAACATTTCAGCACATAGTCTTTCAAATTCACTCGATACGCACCACAGCTCGGGGAAATGCCTCATGTCGCCGAGACATTGTCGGAAAGCGTACTTGATCCTGTGATTTAAGACTGCCTGATCCTCGATCACCAGCGGATTGCTCTCCTCCCACCGGAGATACGACTTCCAGGCGTTGACCGTGGATCGGTCTTGATCTGAAAACGTGGGATGTGGTGGCAGTGCCGGATGAGGCAGACCCTCTGTCAAGGCTCGCAGCTCTCGTAATGCTGTCCGAGCGGTCATGTATGCAGGGGATCGCTCAGCCAAGAACTTTTTGGCCTGGAAAGAGTGTGAGTTTGAAATGCTTGAAATGTCTGGGCTCACTGTCAACTTGTTCAAGCCAGATTCGAAAGCATCATATGCTTTCCAAAGTATCTCGACGTTGTTGAGAGGTATACAGACTGCGCGTTGGTAAATTTTCCTTAGACTGTCCATCTGCTGTTGAGTTTCCCATGTGTTCTTCGGCTAGCAGCTCGTCAGCAATTTGTGAGCTACAGTGAGTGTAGACATACATTTGGCTCAGAGACAAAACTGATGTATTCCTGCCATATTTCGCCACTTTCCCTGTCGGTTCCGCATTGCTGCAAGGCGAATTCATATGCTTTTGAGATTGTCGTCCTGATCTGTTCGACATCTGCGGCGCCCTCGGTGATAGGATTTTGCCGACGTATGTAGTGCAGATAAGCCTCTACAACGGAGTCAGGAGGCGAGTCGAGGCCATGACTCGGTAAACTCACTCCATATACTGACGTCCGCCGCCGCGGTCATCTCCCCATTCGTACCTTTCAAGGCACGGGCAAATAGACTTTCCACTTCGGAGAAGTTTGAGAGGGACAGCTCTAGGTTGATCATGAGGAGAAGCGGCTGCACCTGAAGATTCTCAGCGCGGGCGTCTCTAGAGGAACGAATCCTTACTGCTGAAGCCTCAACCTTGGAGAGCGCAGTATACCAAGCCCGGGCATCTATGATCTCCGACCGCTGTACCGAGAAGGTGAAGAGCTCAAGGAGGGTTCGGGAGTTCTTAGGATCTAGAATTTATTAGAGTAGCCCTGTCAAATCAGATCTTAGCCATGCTCACCATGCCTCCATGCTGAGATTAAATCTGGATTCTCGACTATGCTACTGGATTGTATCGAGAGGTTGGCAGGAAGGTCTGCTTGGATCTTGGGATCTTCCAGAGACTGAAATGGTGTCTGAGAAGGTAACAATGCAGCGTCTTGTGCGAATTGTTGGTCCGCAGAGATCACGGAGTCCAAGGCACCCCACTGCTCTTCCTGAGACGGTTCCGATTTAGATTGATCAGGTCCATGTTGTGCGGCAGGTGGTGCTACCGAATCGACCGGGATAGACTTCATTTCACTCTCGGCTACGACTCCACCGGTGGCTGCGGGTTGGACACTGGACGTCGCCTCGACCGGCGCATCGACGTCTGTAGCAGGCAAGATTGGGATGGCCTCATTTTTAACCACTTTCTGAATGGCCTCCTGAGCTTCGTGGGCTACCGCGCTCGACTGCATATCGATCGCGTGGGCAGCGTCCGCATCAGGCTGTTCGACTTGGGGTAGGCTTTGTGCTGCGGAATGCTCTACATCGTTGATCTTGTCTGCATCTGGATTGGACACTATGACACTGACCGAGGGCTGAGCAGTCTCCATTGATGATGTGTCACGAGGCGGAGCCGGTGGCATTGTACCTTCTAATACGCTCTCCAAAGCCTCGGCAGTTCTTAGAGGGTCCTGATCTGCTGCATCTGAAGCGGAAGCCAGAGCCTCAGATTCTCCTTGAGCCGCATCAGCACCATTGGACGAGGCTTGGACTGCAAGAGCCGCGTCTGCTAAATCTCCTTCAATGTCGGTGAGGGTCTTTAGCTGTTGAACGATCGCAACGGGATCCATAGGCGCTTCGTTCGGTTCCATGCTTCGAATGTTTGTCTCTGTGATGATCAACTTAGGTATATCATGCACCCAAGGGCATCCTCTGAAGCGCAAAAGTAGGTTATGTGTAGGGACAAAGAGATTTGAGCTGCTTGCCGAGTGACATTCACGCCACGTGTCTGAAATTGCCACGTCATGTATCTCACCCTCATCGCCAAACCCTTCTAGCTTCTGTGCTCTCTTGCTTTCAAACAGCTCAACAGCGTCAACGCATAGCAAAGAGGTGGAATACATCGAGGAGTGAGTCCGAGTCCCCGCTTGACATCTTGCCTTTCTTTGCAACACTCGAAATGATTAGACCAATTCCTAAATAATCTGTCAATCCACGGACTAGGCTCCGGCCTCTGTCGAATAAACGATAATGAGCAGTTTATGATCCACTCTATATCACTTCCAGAAGCATTTGTCGAAGAAGATCCAAGTTCTACCTGCTGACCTTATCTTTGACTAGAGCTTCGAAGTCCGGCTCGGCTTCGAGGAGAGCACGGTAGAGCCTGCGCTTGCAGCTCGCTCAGTATGTCGTCCGGTATCAATCAGCCGAATCGTATAGATTCCTGGGTTCTGGAAGACGGAGAGAAGCTGTGCGTAGTTGTGTTAGGAATCTTAAAGGCTCATGTTAAACCAGATTGACCATCACTGAGGATCCCAAAATCCCAAATGCGGCGACCGTTCTGCTGAAAAAGCAAGATCATACCATGGCCAACATGATTCGAGGGTCAGTCATCTGTCTTGAGATGCTCGAACACGCTTAACAAGCGATATTTAGGCAACTGCTTCTTGATCCCTCCGTTCTTTTTGCCGGCTACAAGGTCCCGCACCCCCTCGAGACCGATGTCATTATCAAGATTCAAACGGATGAACGATCAAATCCTGCCGACGCGCTAAAGAGGGCATGTACCCTGCTCATACAGCAGACACTCGAGGTCAAGAAGCAGTTCATGGAGCAAGCGAGAAACGCAGAAATGGGTCTCGGTCTAGGAGCAGAAGCTCAACCTACAAATATGGGTTATGATCCCTATGGAGACGGACTCGCATCTGGCGCTGCACGGACAGCAGACGGGGGTGACGCTTATGACTTTTAGAATGGCCCGAGGTGCTCAGGTGTTAGGTCAGAATCCAATTGTATCTTCTTGTTGTATGCATCAGAACTTCATGGATATAGAACAGATGTGTTGTAGCAGTGTGTTTGCATGACGTGGCAAGGCTTCGAGCATTTATCACCGGTTTCCCACGCTCGCCTCCTTCGATCGGTCTTCACCTCACGGGTCTCATGTCTGGCCGTTGCTCAAGTGATCGATACCTGACTACTTGAAGATTCGTCTAGAACATGGAAGTTGATCAGCCAGTCTCAGCGTCATCCGGAGTTGTCGCTTCAGGAGCGGAGAAGAAACCGAGATTCGAGGTGAAAAAGGTGTGCTTCTCACATCCACATGCCTTGTCCAGAGCTGACCGACTATCAGTGGAATGCCGTCGCGTTATGGGCATGGGGTGGGCGGTTCAAAACATCTCTGTGATCATGACTGAAAGCTTGCAGACATCGTGGTGGATAATTGCGCCATCTGCAGAAATCATATCATGGACCTGTGTCAGTAGACACCGTTACAATCCACGGACTGAGCTTACTCTATCGTCCAGGTATCGAATGTCAAGCGAATCAAGGAGCAGAGAGCGAAGGTGATCCAGCCTCTTCCTTAATCGAAGGTCAACTTTTGCTGACCTCCCTTAGGCTGTACTGTCGCCTGGGGTATTTGTAATGTGCGCTGCGCCCCTGAGCCGCTTACCCAAGTAACTCGCTCACTCTTCTCAGCATGCCTTTCACTTCCATTGCATCTCAAGGTGGTTGAAGACGCGACATGGTGAGACTGGCGGCGATTGGACAATTGTCAGATCTAGCTGACGTGACACAAATCTTAGTGTGCCCCCTTGACAAGTGAGCTGAATGATGAGCCGTTCAATGCCGGGACTGACCGACTCCCTTAGTCGACAATGGGAACTACAAAAGTATGGTCGATAGCTTTGCAGACCTCTGGCCGCTTGCAGCACAGAATTTTGCCCGTGTAATATAGATACTCCTGTACTATTGGACTTCACGCTCTGGATGATGCACAACTTGTGCTATGATTTACTCTGACGATTGATGCCAGCCACAGATTGACACCACTCGCCTCTCTCAAACCGGCCTTCTCCTCTTTCGACCGCCTCGCCGAGCTTCCTCACGCTCTCTTGCAAGACCTCGCAGATCTTTATCCTGAGTGTCCGTTCGTGTCCGTCTGCCAAACGCCCAGCCTCCCTTGTCCTCCGCTGCTCTTGCCCCGAAGGTGACGAACCCTGCTTCTCCCACACACCTCCTACACCCACTGTCCCCTGCTGGTTCCCGGCGAGCCGCCGCCACTCGTCTATTAAGGGTCTGATACGATCGGTCACTGGTTGACCGTAGGTCACCGTCACTTTGCCACCTCGGCGAGGCAGCCATTTCGGGACGCTTCTGGGCTCGGGCATGACAGTATCAAATCCTGCTCGTATGTTAGGCATACAGCCGCGGGAGGAGTCAACTGCAACTCACCTGAGATCCACATGGGGATTATTTCTGGCAAGGTTTTGGAGTCCATCAGGATCCTGCTCCTAAGTGGGCTTTTAGCCCCCGCGCAAAATGAGGCGGGGTCAGCCCTTCACTCACACGCCCCACTTGAATCTAATCAGTCCTCCCTCAGGGTTGATATTGCGCTGGTTCACCTTTCCCTCCGGAAAGATGTGCAACTGTATTCTCAGAGAATAGTCGAGAAGCCACAACGTACCCAGCCTCCACTCTGAAGGATTTTGATAGCCTCGTCCACGGCAGGTTGGAATATGCCTCCTCCACGTTCAGTATCCAGCACTTGACCCCAGGCGAAAAACTTGCGGAGAAAGGCGTTTGTGAACATTATATCTCTCGCTGTTATCAGATTCACCGTCAGCAAATGGTTTCCCTCCCCCCTAAGATCTTCCAGCTACTCACCACCGAGTGTCCAGCGAGAGTTTCGTGACACGCTTGATGGAGACGCGAAGGGCATGTATGTGGTGATTGGCATTGAAGCCCAAGCCTGTAGCTACTAAGCCAAGACCCCTGCAGATAAGGTAATTGAACTTGCCATGGGGTCATCCACGACTGAATTATGGTTACAGACTGAGAATGTCAGAAATGTCTTTTGCCAAAATAGTCCCACCGGTCAAAATGCCCTGTGTTCCAAGGTCTGTCGACTCTCCCACTCCGTAAAGAGCCTTTCCTTTCCCCTTGATATCCAGCTGGGCGTCCCGGGCCTTCAACGCTTCTAGCAATATCGGTAATCCCTGGACGTTGAAAGAGGTGGTACGGGCTCGAGCAACAGCCCTGAAGAGCAGTGCCGTTGCGGAGAGCGTTAGCCCCGATATAAGCGTCGGGGCCATTGTAAACCAGTTCCAGGAGGCTGCGACCCGAGGCGGACAGCTTGCCTGTACGAACGACCCTCAGGTAAGCGACAAACGTGGGCTTTCTGAATGCTCAAACTTGACATTTCGAAGATCAATCGAAAACTCCGATGATCGGCGGTCACTGAGTATGCGTATCTTAGGATGTATGCAATGTTCATAATTATGGGACCCATGCGAGAATACAACAGCTAAAAGGTCGAATAAGAGCAGGCTCAGTCTCGCAAGTACTGTGCCCAGTCGTGAATACGATCGAAAACCACGGTCAGATAGGATGTATCGTTGAGCAATGCTTCAAATTGTTTGATGGCATCCTCCTCTGAGAGGTCTAGCATGAATTTTTCTTGTACCTGGGTCGAAGATTAGACCGATACATGCAAATGCACTCACTTTCCATACAGCCTTGTCCGGCTCGAGACGAATGTCTTGAATACCTGCATCGACCATGAGTGCCACGAGATTCAAGATCAAATTGGCATTCTTTCGTAAACCAATGAAGGCGGTATAGCACAAACTCTGGAACCGGGCATAATGAGTTGAGCTTGTCCCGCCCATCGCGTCAACCATCTCTTTGCAGACCTTGACGGGAGGCGGATAAGGCTTCGGATCACGTCCGAGAATGTACCCAAAATCGACTACGAAGATCAGCCATCGGTCAAGAGTCTAGGGCATACCGTGGAAGAAATGACCTGGAGAATAGGTCAGTCCAGGAGACAGCGACAAGAGACAACTCACCATCAGGAGCAAGCATAAGGTTGTCTAGATGGCGATCACCGACACCAAGCACATAGGTGAGGACGGAATAGCCGGCACAACTCCGGATGAAAGTATCCAGAACGCTAGCTTCGATGCCATAGGAACCCAAAGCACCATCATCTGCGTGCTCAATCCGCAGGTAGTTTTGCAAATTGCCGTGCTCAGCCATGATTGCGGATAGACTTTTGCTTGGCACGAATTGTATCATCCCCTCTGCAACGGAAGTCGCCAACACATTGTAAGGGCTGAGGCGGAGATCGAGATTTTCCTTCCTGAGGAGTCGGTCCATCAGGGTGAAGAGCTGAATGACGAGCTGATCTTGTCGTAAGTCATCGCCATTCTTGAATATGATGGCGTAGTCGTGGTGAATGACTGCAATTCCGTCGGCGTTCTCGTCCTCTGATGTCCGGTTGGGATCGGTCGTTTCAAACCATAGCAGAAGGGGAAACAAATTGGATTTGAAAACAAGTGACTTTTCGGGGACCAAAGAAGTCACCGATATCCGGGCATTCAGAGGGAGTGGTAAGGGGCCGGATAGTGGGTTCAACCCGTGTTTCGGGTCCGAGATGTAGGATTGAAGCTTTTCGATCTTTCTCGTTCTCGAGTCCTTCGACGCTCGCATCTCCTTGGCGCGCGCAGATAGCGTTTCGACCAGCTCGCCCTGTCGTCGAAGCACATCCCGCTGTGCTTTACCTGCCTCAGTCTTGCCATCAGCGGAATCATAAGGTCAGACTCACCTCTGAGAGTTTTTTCATATATCGGAATGCCACCTTCGCGTACATCTTTCCAACCGTACCTCTATCTTCGCATTCGATCATGAGATACCAGTGAAACGCAGTGCCAAATATCGGATTTGCAACGCTCCGATCGATCAGGAACTGTGATAGACCGCAGTCCTCATCTTCCATGAGAGCGGCATCGCGTTTCCGTTGCGAGACCCGACCATGTCGCAGCATCAAGTTGAGAGCGGCTGTATGCTCAAACTTAAGAGCCTGAACAAGTTGCAGTAGATACAAGACCAGTTCCTGAAATGGTCAGCGGGCTTAGCACGCTGCCACTCACCTCATCATCCGATCTCTCCAGCCGACGCACTGCGAAGGCCCTGACTCGTCTATCCGAGAAACCGGGACCCAGCAATTCCAGGGCATCGTCCACGCCAATCTCCTGACCCCAGAGGGGCAAGAGCTTTTCGACTGCTTGCTTGGCTTCCATAGGATCCGACCAAGTGACACACTTTAGGAATTTGGTGAGGGATCGAGGTGATCGGAAGAGAGAGAACCGGAACTTCCATAGCAGATCCTTATCGACAGGAGACAGTGATGCAGTCGGAGGGAGTTGAAAGATTTCCTGGGGTCGTCAGAGCCCGAGTTCATCCAGGTGCTGCTCACATTCAAGCGATCCCGATCGGCAGGACCAGGTTTCAAGTCTTTGCCCTCGTCACCTAGCCGCTGACTTCGAAGCAATTTGCGGTGCTTGATTTCTACAGGATTCTCTCGCCATGTATCGGGGTCGTATATTCTCCAAAGATATTGGTCACTTGCCAGGAGGTCGGGTGGGAGAGCCGAGGGGTTTGGATTTCCTTGCGTAGGTGGAGCAAGGACAGGCTGAGGAGGCAGAGTTGCCGGTGATTCCTGTGACGATATAAGCAAATATTTTCCGATGCTCGAGCTTGCCTGTTCAGAGAAGACGACGGGGAAGTCAAATTTCGGCAGATCCACGTATAAGTAGACTTTGGCAGACTTGCTTGCCTCAGCCTGAGAGAATCAACTATGCTTGTCGAAGGGTGCTTACCGAATGAACCTTCTCCACTTGCCGGAATGCCAGACGATCCAACCAGTCCACCTTGGGAATGTCCCCTCGCTCATAGTCTTTCACAAGCTTCATACGTCAGCTGATCAAAGAGCTAGCCACCTACCCCTTCAAGTCGGCCCATCTCATCCGACTCTTCGCTTGAGAACTGTTCACTGGGGGTAGATGTCTCCAAGCTTGGATCTGCTTCCGTGCCTAGATGAAGAAACAGACGCTGCTGCCCACGCTTCAAGGTCCTGAACCGCGACATCAGTACTCTCCAGCCACTCCATGACCCACCGCTTCGAGTTGAACATGGACATGGTAGACCCACCCACTGGCACAGGTTTGCCGGCACCGCGCACATCCCAGATGGTAAAGGCGATCTGAGCTGTCAGAAGCAGCGATTGGTATGTGATGGGCAGGGTAATCGCTTGGTTCCACCTGCGACTCAGTCTCAGCCTTATTTTGACGACCCACGTATATGTTCGCGGGAAGTCCTTCCAAGCAGTCCGGTATGGTAATGTTGCGGCCTTGCCGTCCATCCACAGCCGACATGTGACATAGAGATCTGAGAGCCCTCTACTTGGGATGAGCCAAGTGAGAGAACAGAGCTTTTTTCTCACTCTGAGCTCAAGCCTTCGTGATCTAGCTCTGGGTCATCCAAGATCTCTGAGTAGCTACTTTTGGGCAGATCGCCTTCCAATGACGCGCTGTGATAGGTATCAGCGAGGAGGTAAATGGACCACGGCGAGGTATTTATGATCACATTTTGAGGGTGACTGGAGCTTTGAGATCACACAGTCTAGCGAATGAGAAGTCCTTGTCCCTTGAAGACGATGCGCCTTGCATAGTCTCCAAAGTCATCTCATTTTCGATTATCGTTCAGATACAAGGTACCATACAGAGAAGCAGAGTAGCTACGTGCAATAACAATCATGACGTGGCATAATTGAAAGGTCACATCTCCGTTCCATCGCTGATTGATTTTTTCAAAAGTTCAAAACCCATCCAGTATCTTTCATTCACCCAATCCTTCAACGATGCCGGCGTCACAGCTCACGCAGCTCAAGTCGGCACTGTCTACAGCTGGTCTGAATCGTAAATCAACCTCTAAGAAGGATAAAAAGGCTTTCAAAAAGGGTGGATCGCGAGAAACAGACAGAGCAAAGACTTTGGCTAGGCTGGAAAGCATTCAGAAGAGCTTGAACAAGTTTGATGAACTGGAGACAAGGGTGAGTCGTTGCGTGGGAGAGCCCTGCTGAAAGATGCACAGTCCAAATATGATGTTGGTGGCAGGAATATCAAGGGAGTTACTGGGAGACCCAGCGCCAGCAAGCAAGCGGGACTAGAGCAGGTGCGAACCAATATGCCTGCCCTCGCTAACGGGACAATAGCGTCGAAAGACTCTGCTTCCCGAGCATCAGCAGCGTGGTCATCGGGGAACTTTTCGGGATCGTAGATTCGGAGAATCGGATCCGACCATGTCAGTTGAGGATCGGATGCTGGAGAGGTATACGAGGGAACGGCAACGTGGTCAAGGTAGAAAGGGGATCTTCAATTTGGAAGACGATGATGCGGACCCCTTTGATGATCTTGGTGACGGAAATGCCCTCGGAGGCCTGACTCACGGTGGAAGAAGCGTTTCAGATCTGCAGGGCGACGATTTTGAGATTCAGGGATTGGGCAGTGGAGATGAGAACGAGGAGATGCAACCTCGAAGGATAGATCGTGGACCTCGGAGAGACGAGGATGCTGAGGATGAGGAGGTGAGCCGCATTAATTAGGACCTTATCTGACCTTTAGCCTGAGCGGAAAAGGACAAAGGCCGAGATCATGTCTGAGGTCATTGCCAAGAGCAAGTCCTACAAGGTGAGGCTCCCGCTCGCATTTGCACACAAATCTGAGACTGACGTCGTCCAGCTCGAGAGACAACAGCAAAAGGAACAAGATACCGATCTGCGAAATGAGCTTGACGAGGACATTGACGATCTCCGCGAATTACTACAGCAGGAAGCACCTGAGGCGGGACCTTCGAGACCGCGACCACTTTCAACATCCCAAGCTGCTCCTGATACAGAGTACGATCAGTTCGTGAGGACCTTGGCATTTGATGCTCGATCAAAGCCGAAAAACCGGACGAAGACAGAGGAGGAGACGGCTGCGGAAGAGGCTGAGACTTTGCGAAAGGCAGAAGCCAGGAGGCTCAAACGAATGCGTGGAGAGGATGATGATGAAGGAGATGATAATGACGCTAAGCAGAAGAGACGAGGAGAAGGTGACGATCTTGATGACGATTTCATGGACGATGACGAGCTCCTGGGACCGGGATTGACACGAGAAGCCATCGAGGACATGGAGCTTCAAGGTTCTGGTACCAACGAAGACGAAAGTGACGAAGAGGACGATTCGGCGGCACAGGAGCTCGGCAACGAAGAGGACGAAGGCGATTCAGATGAGGACGACGATGATCCTGAGGATATTGGAGCCTCGGACATGAGTGACCTCGACGAAACAGGAGAAAGCGGTGAAGGGCAGCCCAAGAGCCTCGTGGCGACTCGCACCGTCAAGCGAAAGTCTAAAAAGAGGTCATCAGAGGTCCCATTCACCTTTCCATGTCCGGCAACAGTGGAAGAATTGGAGGACATTATGGACGCACTCGATGATTCCGCTCTGGCCACTGTCGTCCACCGCATCCGAGCGTGTCATCACCCCAGTCTAGGCGAAGGTAACAAGGGCAAATTGCAAACCTTCTTCGGCGTAATCATTGATTACACTCTACTCCTGGCTGCACAGACACCGCCGGCTTTCAAGTCAATAGAGTCGCTGATGCCTCACATCATCGGTCTCTTGAAGCTCAACCCCGTTACAGCTGCTCATCACCTTGTCGCAAAACTTGATCTCATGCACAAGAATCTCGTTCAGGGCCTGGCGAAGGGTGCTGAATCCTCGGATGCCAAAACATGGCCAGGCGTCCCAGAGTTGGTCCTGCTTCGGGTGATTGGAACGGTCTGGTCGACGAGTGACTTCTCCCACCCTGTTGTAGCACCTGCCATGCTGCTCATGGGGCAGTACTTGTCCCAATCACGAATACGGCAAATCAGTGACGTCTCTTCAGGACTGTTCCTCTGCACAATTATCGCACAGGTGAGCCAGGAGACAGGTGTCTCTCTGACCTTCAGTACGAGAGCCTATCGAAGCGACACGTGCCGGAAGTTTGCAATTTCTTGTCCTCATCGCTGCAGTCATTGTTTCCCCGGAAGAAATCTGCAGCTGTTCCGCTCGCTGTCACCAGACCGAGCTTGCGAATCTCGGAGCCTTCGGAGATCGAGGTCGTTCCAGAGACAGATCTTGCCCGCCTTCTTTGGGACACGGGAGAGGGAGCCAAGGTAGCAGCGGCAGCCTTGACACTGCGGCTGGTCATTGCTTTTGCCGAGCTCAACGCAGGATCCTTGGCCTTTATCGAGGCCTATGATCCCATCAGTCGCCAGCTAGCTTCGTGCAAGGTTTCCAAGCTTTCTGAAAGTCTTCAAGTGAGTTTCTTCTTGCCGCGATTCTGACCAACAGAAACTGCATCGAGACACACTCGCATCGCTTACTCGCATGCTCGACTTCGCCCGGTCAAGTCGCCAACCACTCTCGCTTCAAGCTCATAAGCCCATCCCGATCGCTTCGTTTGCTCCCAAATTCGAAGACGACTTTGCTCCAGGTCGACATTATGATCCTGATGTGGAGCGCAATGCCTCGAAAAAGGTCAAGGCGCTGTACAAGAAGGAACGTAGCGGTGCCATTCGCGAGTTGCGCAAGGACAACCGCTTCTTGGCTGGCGAGAAGGCACGAGAGCAAGCCGAGAAAGACCGCGACTATAATGCTAGAATGCGCAAAGTGGAGGGGTCGATCACCTTTGAGCGAGCAGAAGAGAAGGAGATGGAGAGGGAAAAGGCACGAGAGAAGCGCAGAGCCGGAAGAAAGTAAATGCAATGGAATGTCCTTGATCATTCGTATAAGCTACCTGAACCGAACACGCCGCGAGGTCCCCCCGTCTTGACACGAGCCCTGTCCATGACACCATTGGCTTGAGACTCCTTTGCCTTGCCACCGCAGGCACAACCACAAATATTGCATCCGCCTGGTTTTGGCTTGCGAGCATCCTCGAGCTGTAAACGAAGTTCGCGAATCTGGGCCTCGAGCTCAAATTGTTGCAATCGCCAAGCTTTGCGAGCGTTCCCTAATTGATCACTATCTGAGCTCTCGCTGGGAGTGAGACCAAACGAAGCTTCACTAGGCGTCAGAGGTCCGGCCGATTTGACAGGCGATGAGGCACCGGATGACAAGCCTTCGCTATAAGGTGCCAGGTAATCCGAAGCGAATCCGTTGGAAAAATTCATGGACACTGGACGTAGTTCGAGACGCGGTTTAGCGAGTTCTTCACCAAGTAGACGAGGCGGTTCCTTTGACCGCTCCTTCTTTTTCTTGGGAGGCGAAGCTCGCCGTGTTGGCAGCGGTTTGTCCAACATTGGAGAAGAGGCCGTAGAATCGATAATGCTTGCAACCCCACTCCCACTCCGAAGAGATATCGTTTCGCCAGATTCTTCAGTAGGCAACCGAGATTTAGTGGGGAAAGAGGGATGAGCCACGACATGTAGACTAGAGTTGAGAGGTGGTGTTGGGAGTTTTGGCAAGGTAGCGCCTGGTTCCAAACCCGTCGCCTTATCCTTGTTAAATAGTTTCATGAGACCAGACTTTTTGTTCTTGACACGATTCGGTGGAGATGAAGGGATATTTGAATCACCCTTTACAGACAAGACGTTGACAATCTTGTGAGCTGTCCCCGTTCGCTTGTGACTCTTTTGCTTCTCCCGCTCTTGCGCCTGTTCAAGGGATATCAAGCCGAAACCGGGAGAAACGCTGCCAGCCGTTGGCATTCGTGATGTCGTGAAATGGGAGGGGTCGATGGACCCAGTATTTGGGCGCTGGGGAGAGTTTGCTTTCGCAATCGGCAATAACGTCTCCTCAGAGACATCTCGAGCCAAATGACCGTGATCGCCCAACTGGGTCGGTGAGGTGGATCCGCTGAACGGCGGCTTGAGCTTCGGGGTGACCAGATGATCGGATGTAATGGTGGATGAGGTCTGATTGGACGCCAACGAGGCGCCCGAGGTCGAGGGAAACAGTTGTACACCCTTTCCAAAGAGATTGATGGGTCTTCGTGCAGAAGTCTCCGGCGCCGTGCTAGTCGTGGTCATCGTCGATCCCGTGGGTGAAGTCTGACGGGATTTGTTCGTGCTCCGTGTTTTAGCGGCTTGAATCATTCTTGTTATGCCATGCGAACCAGAGACAGACGCCGTCGCGGTATCGTCAAAATCGGTCCATGGTACCTCGGAATATTTGCGAACAGTGGGACCAGACACCATGGACATCCTCGCTCGATTATCGAATTCTTCCTCATCGCTCTCATAATCGCTGTCTGCAAAGACGCCCAGCCCACGAGTAGAAGGTAAAACCTGTGCGTGTGTTTGATGACTGACACGACTATCGCGTCGAGAGTAGAGGGATGGAGATGAGGCTAAAGAGCTGATATCGGTCATAGTAGGAGGTGTACCGAACGACTGGGTAGCCAATGCGCGAGCTCTGAGGAATCGACTGATCGATGTACGTCGAGTCGATGGACTGAGAGGAGAGTAAGTGTCTGGCATGATAGTCCACTTCGACTCAATTCAAGCCACCAGAACTCACGCTGCAGAATGAATTGTGTGTTCTTGTATTGTCTTGATGGATTCAAGCAGATCAAGTCAGATGATTCAGATAGGAAATGGATCATGACTGGGCTGGTCAATTCCATTAATGTCAATACGTGGATGGACCTGTCGATATACAGGACGCGTTAGATCAGGCAGATACATTATCGTGAGAGCGGATGGACAGCAAGGGACGCGAAGGCATGGAACGAGAAGAGACGCGGAAGTAGCAGATGAAGGCAAGACGAAGGCAAGGGATGCAATGATCGAGTTCCGCTCAATTTAAGCTCTGACCAAGGGGAAAAAATATGGGTATGTAGCGCGGGATGCTGAGTCCCTAAGTGCGGGTGACTCGTCATGCTTGTTGTTCTGTGCCAACAGGTCTGTCTACCCAGAAGAAAATATGCATTGCTCTTGTCTATTTCAGTACCGATCCTCCCATAAGTGTCTACACCTTAACCGAAGTAAAACCACGCTTAGGGAGGTCTCAAGCCTTTGGCTTTCGGCAAACCCAAAGCATCATAGGGCTGGGTGAAGTCAGCCAAATGTGAATCAACGATCGACTCACGTGAAGAGCTTTGTCTGCCCTCCAGCAACCAAGGCAGCTTGTGCCTTGATCAAACTCTCTCCGACATCGTATGTACCCTTGGGAACAAAGCCGACCTTTTCGATACCCCAGAGCATGTTTTGAGTGAAGAAACGTCCGACGCGAGACATGCGGAAGACAGTGAACACTGGCATGTCAGAGGGGATGTCAAGGCTATACAACTCACTATCCCATGTTGTCTGAGCTTTCAGGGGGTTACCTTCGAGGGGATAATACCACTTGACAGCGTCCTCTCCTACATAATCAGCAAAGCCAATGGACACGAGGCTCACGGTCAGCGAGGTCTTCCTCGTGCAGAAGCTCGAAGCCCACGGATTTCAAAGCCTTCCGAGCGGCTTCGATGGTTCTCATTTCTGCGATACCATCTCCAAGCTAAATTATCAGGGACAGAGACGAGCAGACTACCCACCTCAATTCCATGTTGGATTTCCTTGTGTCTGGGGATAGAAGGATCAAAGGCATCGGTCATGCACCATTCATACACTCCGAACTGAGAATTCAGAACGTCATCGAGGACACACACTCACCACACCGCCAGGCTTCAGACACTTGAGGATCTCACCATAGATTCCCTCAAAGGTCGGAGCGTGACATGTAGCCTCGATAGCATAAACTCAAGGTTAGCTCGGGCCTTAGGGGTCCGAGCTCACTGGCATCGAAGCTGTTTTCGCCAAATTGTTGACTGAGGGTCATGAAGTCTGCTTTGACGAACGAGACTTTGTCGCTCAATCCGGCTTTAGCAGTCTTCTTGCGAGCGCGTTCCAGTTGAAAGTCATTGTTGTTGACTCCAACAATGTTGGCGTCGGAGAATCGCGCAATCTCCCTCGCAGGACCCCCGACCCCACAGCCAACGTCCAAAACTCGCATGCCAGGCTTCAAGTGCATCATGTGCGCCAGATAATGTTCATGACGGGCGAGCTGGCTAGGTCAGTCCTCGCTCTCGCTCTTGCTAGTGCCCATACCGCTTGCAAAAAGGCTTCGCCCTTGTAGAATCGGCAGAAGTGGAAGGATTCCGCTGTCATGGCTTCCTTAGCGTCCAGTCTACCAATCTACAGCACGACTTACCCCAGCCATATTCATACAGCTCAGTGGCTCCATCATAGTATCCTGGACAGAACAATCAGAAAGGCTACGAGGCACATGAGACTCACCGTTTACAAGCTCAGCATAGTCGCCCAACCTGCTATCCCTGTGCGCATCGTTGTCCTTTGCAGCATCCTTTTGCCAGTATTTTTTGGTGTAGGCATCGACACGGTCGGCTTTTCTAGACTCGACAGGCATGTTATGGATAAATGAGCGTTCGCTCAATGAATGATATCCAGTCAACAACAGCAGCGGTAATGAGCAGGACGAGCAACCAAATCCCCGTCTTCCTTGAAATGGTACGACCGAAAAGAAAAAAAAAGGCTGGGGACAAGGTCCAAACGCGCGCCTCCACGTGGTCCGCGAATGGGACGATACCGAGCATCATTGTTATTATACATGGCTTATGTAGATTACTCTGCAGAAATGTCCCTGCCGAACGTGTACATGCCCTCAATGACACCAAGTACACTGAGAAATTGCATGAGAAGCTTTTGACTAGACACACGATCAGTTACATCCGGATGAGATCACACTCACGCTCTGGCCGTGGTCGGTGAAGGAGATACGGAGCACTCCATGAGTTGAATGGCAACAAAGCGGACTGACGTCAGCGTACATCAATCCCCATTTGACCTCACCTTTCTGCACCAGAGAAGGTCCATTGATGGCAACCTGAGAAGTCAGGGATGCAGATCTCATACGACTCACGCTCTCAACCGGCAGACTATTGAGTCCATCCAATAATTCTCGGGCGATATCCTCGGCCGCCTCCGCCATTTGCAGACCTGCGAGTCCCCCAACACCAGTCATTGGCATTTGCGTGAGCAATGCGAGCTGCTGAAACAGAGACTCTCGCGTTTGAAGCAGGACCAGCCGAACAAGATGTTGAGTGACGAGGATGTTTCCCTGCAATTAGCCCGGTAAGAGGCAGACGACCCACCTGCATTACTGTGAAGCTATTCAGTGCATGGGGTGTCTCGCCGGGATCCTGGAAAAAGTCGAGAACACGTTCATGAAGTTCGGTCTCCCAGTCGTGATCCGGACTAGTCTCAAAAGATATATTCTTGCTTCGTAGCTTGAGCGGGGGAGCGACATCCAAGGCGGTCTGAATGACTTTTTCTCTGAGCTCGTTGACATTGGACAAATCAGCCAAGATGCTATCGACCGTAGGTGGCGCCTTGCGCCTTTGTAATAAGAGAGCATCATTTAGTATCCTGCAACGTCAGCCATGTCCGGCAGTCTGCGGCGCACCGAAAGAGATTTGTGGCTATGTTGAATCCGGTGATGAGCGGCGTCTTACCGAAAGGTTGCGGGAGGATGCCAGCTGGCGTGATCTGTTCGTCGTCGACCTCGGACGGTAGCATCAGGTTCTGAGAATCAGTTCAGCTCATGGAGCATTAACATACGGCTGCATCCTCCAGCCTCAAGCATATTGTCCGCGCGCGAAGACAGGCGGTACTTTTATCGGCCTGGAAGAGAAGCTGGAAATAAGCTATGCTGGGCATTTTTTTTTTAGCTTACCCAGTAGATGCGTCTTCGCATCTCACACTCGATAGGATCCAAAGACTCATAGCTCTGACGTTAGCTGAGCTGGGATTGTTGTGTTTACTAACAGATTCCTCGTTGAGTCTCAACGCAAGCGCCAGTTGGTTCGCCTGGGCCGTGCAGATAACGTGTGCGGTGTTGTTACCGAGGAGGAGGTGCACGATACCCTCACTGACGGTCAATCACAGTCTCGGCATACACTCACAGATAGCAGATGACCACGTATGTACTGAGAACGGGTCCAGGATCCTAGCTGTCAGTCGCGTCTGCCATCATGACTCACGTCAAAGATATAGGATATCTTGACCCTCGCCACTTTGACGCATCGTCTAGCTAGTGACTCGACTTCACTCTTGTCTAGATTGACAAGGCTTCTGGGTATCTGGACCAATGTAGAAGCGATTATCGTCAGGGTGAGGGCAAAAAATATCGTATCCGTCTTGTCGAGTCGGAGGGCAAGATTGTGAAGGAAGGTCGGTCGATGTAAACAGGGAGTGAGAGGATATACCTGACGGGATGAGCTACGTCCAGATGACTCAGACTTACATAATTGAAAAACAGCCCGATGATATGATCAATCACATGGGGAGCGGCTACCTGATCCAAGTTTTCCGGCAAGGTGGAGGTACTGAGCGATGGCGAGACCGCGAGTATCGGATATGAGGGTGATGTGAAATCGATGGAAGATGGTCTGGAGCTCAGGAGACGCTCTGCTGTATTACTCACGGGAAGGCAGCCTCGGCAGCGTCAGGAACAGTAGGTACGACGGGGAGATTGGGAACGGTAGGAGCGATATCCGGAGCACTGGCAGCAGGAGGCCTGGGGTTGGGAACTGGTGTAGGTTCACCGTTCGGAAAGCCATGGACAGCATCTGAAATAGCACTCAAGTCCCTGAACTATCAGGTCTGGATCGCCAGGCTAGACCTACACAGGAGCCGGGCCCTTTCGGCGTGTCACTTTGACCCGAATGCACTCGAGTGCGAACCGGCGGCATCTCGCGCATGGTAAGTTGGCAATATCGGGATGATCGGGAGGCACCAATGGCGATGGTTCACATCGTCGCCTTGCCGTCAGACACACCCAAACGAGCTGTACACTCACTTTCCCTTTCGACAAGCTTCGCAGCCTGGGTAAGTCAGTATCTGAAAATCTCCTTGGTCAAACAAGCGTCTCACTGGTCAATCCTGAAGATCCGTTGGCCCGGGAATTAGATTGTCTCCTGCCATCATTCCAAGTTGACGAATTCGGAGGACCAGAAGAAGATTTCGGAGGTCGACTGTCATCACTCGATGTACCATCGAAACTCAGTCTAGATCGTTTTCGATTGTCATTACTGTCTCTCCTTGGGAGTGAGTCGGCTATTGGATTAAACGGCGGTGGAGAGCCATGAAATAATTGATGAGGCGAAGATGGAAATGAAGGTGCACGAATGGAGTCGAATGACCCTCTTTGGAGTGAGCCCTTGTCGCTGGACATTGACCCCCGAAGGCTATCCATGGTGGATGATGTGATTGCTGCTGCTGCTGCTGCTGCTGATGGTGATGGTGATGGTGGTGTGAGCAGCTGCTCCTCTTTTCCCCTCCGGTTAGTCCAATTATTACTGCTTTTTCATTAATTTACGTTATTGATCACAACCACGTGGTGACACTCTGGGACGCCGGACTCCAGTCGGAGAGGATGAGGATTCTGCATGCATGCATACAACAAATCATCGCTGTACCGGCCTGAAGCCATTTGGAGCATAACTCTGACGCAGATTAGACGGCCCAGGCCCGCTAGGTCGTACGTTATATGCAGTTGTGTTCGTGGTCGTGCTCGTGGTCGGGGTGCTACGGCCATAGACCGTGTTGCCGCTATTATACGCTCTGAGAGGTGTGGACGGTGGCTTGACCTGAGCGGAGGACGATCCTGCTGGCTGAGTGCGGCTCGTAGTATTGTCACGAAGAGCGCGCGGTCTACGAGGATCCAGTGTACCTCGGATAGAAGGCGCCGACGTCGGGATGACACTTTGGGCGAGCTTATGTGCATTGATCCTTCCAGCGAGCTCCACTGGTGTGGTCTGCCCAGCCAATTTCGCAAGGGAGTTGAGCAGTTGATCGGCTGCCTGTTAGCCAGATTCCCAGACGGGGAGACTCACCAGCAAGAAGCTCTCGCTCTGTGGGGCTGTTCAAATTCGCCCTGACACGATAAGCTTGCCATTCTTGGAGCTCCTCGATCAAACTGGAGTTATCCTCCAGAGATTGATCCACAGACTCAATCTGCTCCTCGGTCGAGCCCCACCAGCCGGTGTTGGCCGGAGGCTCGGGACATGCCCATCTCCGGTGCCACGCCCTCTCGTATGCTGCGTCAATGGTGGACGTGAAGCCAAGCCCAACTGTATGGACGCTATCGTACGTGGGCGCGAAGCTCGGCGTCCATCCATTGACTATGGGGGTGACTGTGGTTCAGCTTTGTTCTCATCATTATGAGCTCACCTCCACGGACAATACTTCCAAATCCTCCCGTAGCTCGCTTCTGCTTCCATTCGCCCATCTTAAGGCTGGCTTTCCTAACCAGAGATTCGGACAATGTGCGTGTTGGTCGGCTGGCACTAGCTAGAGTTGATTGAACAGTCATCGGCATCGCACTTCCAAAGGAATCTCCCCGGGCAGCCAGCGTCTCGAGCACAGTCGTCCCAATGTTGAGTCTGCGACTCATGGCATCCTCTACACGCAGATCCGCCGGGGAGGAGAAATACTCTCCTTGTGGTGTCTTTTGCATCAAACCCCATCGCGTTGTTGACCCAGTATCCAGGTGTTCCTCCGGCTGAATGCGACGCATGAGGTTGTATATGGCGACACAAAACGTATAGATGACGTGCGGCGGATAATGGGAACTCAGGGATGGGACGGGATGGTCGAAACGTTCGAGCGGTGGCATGGGGTTGGGGTACGAGCAAGGGACAAGAAGATTCTCGCAGAAGATATGCAAGAGTTTCTGGAAGTCAGCAAGACTGGTCTGAGACTTGATTCTTACGACTAGAGCCTCCCACGTCAGGGTGTCCTGCTTGAAAACATGACCAAGAGTATTTTCCTCTGACTCCTTGAAGTCTGGTGGTAGCCTCAGGCTTAAGATTTTGTTCATCGGTGCAGGCAGGTGGACGGCCATTCTGTAAGATCAGCCAAGCTGTAAAGGGGGATAATTTACTGAGCAATAATGAGGGCGAGTGCAGCCCGGAGCTCTGCGCTGAGCCTTGTTCCGGATGCAGGAGCAGCCTCTTCCTTGGCTTCTACTGGTGTTTGGAGATTTTCTTCCGTGACTTGAACCTTTTCCGGGCTGCTTGCCTTCTCAGGGGACGACTTGGTGGATAGCTTCAGGGTGATCTTTTGACGTTTGGCATCCGGATCACCCTCGACCTGAGGTGGAGGGATTACAGGGGATGGTGAGTCGCGTTTCCTCTTGGCGCCGGGCGAAGTCGAGGCTGCTTACATCAGTGCCACGTCTCTATCACTGATTCACCTCGCGCCGCTCTGGCTACACCCCTAGTCTCCCTGGCCATCGTTGCAGAAGGATGCGTTAAAATCCAGGATGTTAGACGTGATCAATTCAGAACAACAACAATTCGTGAATGAACCGGAGTTTTTAAAGACGCCAAAGTGGCGATAGGCAAAGATTCGGCATGGATTAGGTCAAGACACTGTGGGATGGATCCTCTTGCGTCGGGCTCGCCTCGACGATGATGAGGCTGAGTTCGCAAGACATGGAGGCCACCGATGCCAGTGTGGCTGATGCCCATTAAAAGCATGCCCTATTTGGTCATTAGCTGCTATCAATTCGTCCGCAGTGAGCAATAGTGGCATTGCGCCATTCATACAACAAAAATAGCTACTCGAAAGGGTTGGTCCTCCCAGCCTGATCATCTGCGCCTTCCGCATGGCCGCCATCAAGGTCATCGCCCCATGCACACAGCGCATGCCACCACTTCTCCCCACCACCATGAGCTCGTTCGTCTACCTGAACCGGCGCACCTCCACGCCAAGCAGGTCCTGCATACCCGTAGGCAGTGTCTACCCCAGGTGATGATCCAGCAGAGGAGATGGAGTCCCGAGGAAAAGGGTCGAGACCAGCGTCACGGTATGGCTGGTTGCTGTAGGGATCATTGTAGGGTTTCGGTTGAGTCGTTGGTAGCTGCACATAAGTAACTGCTCAACGTGTGTGCTTCTCACCGAAGGATGCTTCCCAGTGATGTTCTCCATCAAACCCCTCAGGGACTGTCTCTCCACAACTGAGAATGGTCTTGACAAGAAACCAGATGACGTAGACTGCGGAGACGGTGGTAATTGCTTTGAAAGCCGAGCGGCTCGGCGTCGAGCAGCATCCCTAGCGGCGAACCGGGCCAGAGTCTACACCCATCAGCGACGTCATGGAGGTTCATCGACTCACATCTGCGACACGTCTTTCCTCCTCTGCGTTCTCATTCCCAGGAGGATAAGTGTCATCCTTGATCTCATCCTGACCCATCTCTGGATCCCACGCTCTCTCCTTGCCCTTGGCAGAGCGTGGTATACCGAGGTCTTGCTCGTGATCTTGTGTCATGGACACCCTGGAGGCTAGTTGAGGAGTCGTCTCTGCTGAATATTGCCGACTAGGTGTCGAGGATCCAGATGATTCGCTCGTCGGTCTTTTACCATAGACAACAGTCCCATTCCGAGTTACGGTGGTGACGGCATTGCCAAACGGAGGATTGACTTCATCGGCCAACGGTGTGTAGGCGCGAGAGCTTGGCATAACTCGCGCACACTCGGTGAAGACAGCGATTTGTAGACCTCCAGACCTAACAAGATGGTAAAATCTTAGCTCGCCGTATACTGCAGGAACCAATAAATGTCAACACGCCGTGAGTGTCGTCGTTCAAGACAGTCTCAGCCTTGAGGGGGTTGCAAAGAGGGGCGAGACGTCGAGGAAGGGTGATAAACGGGGGGAATTGCTTCCGCAGCCAGAAACCACGTGGCGTTGATCAACGCCCACTACTCATCTCTCATTGCAATGAATGCCTTTGCTTCGCTACAGCACATCTTGCATCATGTCTGGGATAGTATCCATCGATATAGAGCATCTGAAGAAGGGCGAGGTGAATCTTGGAGTGAGTCGACCGTGTAGTGTTGTTCCTGATCTCAGACGTCCATCATGGCGGTCCAATTTGACGGAGGAGTGGTCATTGGTGCTGATTCACGAACCACAACCGGAGCATACATTGTGAGTATGCATCTGGAGAGTGATGGAACATTCACATGATGAGTCCACGGACATGTTCAGTGGTGCTCTGTTGTGTCTTTCACGACACTGTCTCATTAGCTATTTGGGCATTATTGGCTTCGCGCTGACGCGTGCGCCGCGGCGCCCTTCCTGCAGGCCAATCGAGTCACCGACAAGCTCACACACATCCACGATCGAATCTATTGCTGTCGTTCTGGATCAGCAGCAGACACTCAAGCTGTTGCCGATGCCGTTCACCAGCACTGCCAGGTTTACACTGCCGTCTACGGAGGACCTCCGCCGGTAGCCACTGTGGCCGCCATGTTTGAAAAGCTATGTTACGAGAACAAGGATCAGTTGACAGCTGGTATCATCGTTGCTGGATGGGATGAGGAAGGAGGAGGCGTGTTCAACATTCCCGTCGGAGGAGGCATCTTCCAACAGCCTTGGGCTATTGGAGGTGAGTATCGGCGTGGGGGAAAGAACGCTTATGCGCAGGTTCCGGATCGACTTATGTGTATGGTTATTGCGACGCGACCTACAAAGAGGGTTGGAATGAGGCAGAGACAGTCGAATTTGTCCGCAATAGTGAGTACCACGAAATCAACTCGGCTGAGAATTTCCAGCCCTTGCCCTCGCCATGTCTAGGGATGGCTCATCGGGTGGAACCATTCGTATGTGTGTCATCACCAAGGATAAGGTGGAGAGACATTTCGTTCCGGGCAACAAGCTCCCCCGATTCTGGGAGGGGAAGGAGGTGTTGGCTCAGGCTCCTAAGCCGAGCATTGCAGTGGCATGACATGTATGCATTGGAGACATGACAAATCAAACGCTCAGTCCCGGCGGTTATCGAGTCGGGGAATGCGGACTTGGCGAGTCGAAATATTGATTTCCGATATCCCATAAAATGTTGCGAAGGACTTGATCATCCTGTCATTGTCTCTCAAATCAACCTTTCCGAACACGCTCACCGGGCTCAGCTGGAAGGACAGTAACACACAGGAGACGTGTGCGATTCCTTGCATTGGCTCAACAATTGCTGCCTCTGACAACGTCGTGTTCCCTCAGCATCTATCCGTATCATATTGTGCGTCCTGTCCAGTCGAACTCAACAACCTCAGATCGGGATCATCCACCAGCCTTGATCAGTATGCCTATTCTCGGTCTGACTGTCCCTGGACCAGCTCATCCTCCTCACTTCTCCCTTGAACGTCTTATCCGTCCCAACATCCTCTCCTTGGAGCCATATCGCTGCGCTCGTGATGACTACTCCGAAGGTGTACTTCTCGATGCGAATGAAAACGCGATGGGATCCGTCCTGCCTAAGAAGCTTGATCCAGTCGCAGCTCAAACTTTAGAACACGTTCAAGGCGATCTGAATCGATATCCATCACCGACGCATGACGATCTCAAACGCAAGATTGCCAAGTTTCGTGGTGTGCCCGATGAGCACTGGGTCTTCCTTGGCGTTGGGTCCGACGAGGTCATCGATCTCTTATTTCGCGTGCTCTGTGTTCCCGGAAAAGACAAGGTCATGACAACTCCACCGACATATGGCATGTACGGAGTCACAGCGCAAGTCAACGATGTGGGGGTGGTCCCAGTGCCATTGACAGCAGATTTCCAATTGGACGAGGCCAAAGTGAGAATAGCAGACAGGCATAAGCTGACATGAAGATGTCGGCCTCTCTCGCTGAAGTCAAGATTCTGTTTGTTTGCTCACCTGGCAACCCAACAGGGACTGTGATTCCTCTCGACGCCATCAAGCGAGTACTGGACAACCCGACATTCACCGGAGTTCTCGTTGTCGACGAGGCGTACATTGATTTTGCCCCGAGCGGGAGCAGTGCAGCTTCTCTCGTCAACGAATACGCCAATGTCTGCGTCACACAAACCTTGAGCAAGAGTTTCGGACTCGCTGCCATCCGGTGGGTCAGGGGAGAAGCGAAGTCACGCTGATGTCAGTCTCGGATATCTTCTGGCCCCACCGCCTTTGGTACAAATCCTCACCAACGCCAAAGCCCCATACAACATTTCCTTGCCTACCGCTTCTTTAGCTCTCAGTGCGGTATCTGACGAGGGACTGGCCGAAATGCAGCGAGTCGCAGCGACACTCAACGACAATCGAGACACCCTGATCAGGGACTTGAGAACGATCCCCCGAATTGGTCGTGTTCTCGGAGGCAATCACGCCAATTTTATCCTGGTTGAAGTCTTAAACAAGGCAGGAGAGCCTGATGTACAGCTAGCGATGGAGGTGTACAAGACTCTGGCGGATAGCCGTGGGGTCGTCGTGCGCTTCAGAGGCAAGGAGCCTGGATGTAAGGGGTGTCTGAGAATCACAGTGGGAACCGAGAAGGAGTGCAAGCTGGTGACAGAGCGATTGAGAGAATTGCTGCAATGAACGCGGTCCATAGATGATAGACAGAGCATCTCAAATGTACATACTCAGCGACACGGTGGTACTGAAGACAGACCTGCTGAAGACTTCAGCACCTTGCCCGGGATCATATACGCCAACGAGCGGGCTGGTTTCAAAATTGCATTTAGAGAAAAAAAAAAGGTCCCATGCGAACCGTACCCGCGTCCGGGGCCTGGCAGGGGCTTTCATTTCTACAAGTCACGAACTCATCTCGCCCCCTCTGATCACTTGTACTTGCTCAACATCCATCCTCACTTCCTCTACGTACCTTCCTGGGTATCCCATTGGAGATATGGCCTCTTGTGACATCTTGCAATAAACATCCGTCTTCCCACCAACATCTTGCCTGTTTCAACAACAATAGACGAACGACAACGAACATTTGACTCCGGCCTGACGACATCTCTCAAATCGATCGATCACCCAGCTACCTTTCACCCACGCTAGATAAAGCGTTTCCTCCGCAGCGAACGATCTGTGGTACGAACACCATACTCAGCTCTACGCTGAATCAGCTTGAGCAGAGCGCTCCCTCCTGCTCCCCCTCCCCTCTACTTGATTGCCCGGTCGTCGGCTGCTTTGACTCCCTTTGAAGTGGACCGAGCGTTCCCCCTCGACTCCATCATTCCTCGCACTTTCACGATACCCTACCACTTCTCTCATCAATCGAATCTCACTTGCCTCAGTCACATGCCTTCTACTTCTACCTGCAACTCATAGATGGACTCCTTGTCATCCACATAAACTCGGTTCACCATGGGTGCCGGTTGCTGTAAACCAGAGGCAAGTCTTGGTCTGTCGCCCGACAAGCTCGTGCTGACATTTGCCCAGGCCATCGACTTTGATGGCGAGGTCACCTTGTTCCATTTCTACTTGTTGCGAAGTGTCGGCAAGGGAGCGTTCGGCAAGGTGAGGAAGGGGTGTCATCCATATCGGCCCCGCAAAGCAGTATCCTACCCTATTTAACACTATCTCTCAGGTTCGAGTCGTTCAGCATAAGCAATCTAAGACCCTGTATGCGCTGAAATACATCAACAAGGCGAAATGCGTCAAGATGCGGGCTGTGGCAAACATTGTGCAGGAGAGACGGCTGCTGGAGGAGGTGAGCATGACCCATCCGCCTCGGCTGACCGTCAGATTGATCATCCATTTGTCGTCAACTTGCGATACGCCTTCCAAGACGATGAGAATTGCTTTTTTGTCCTCGACCTCATGCTTGGCGGTGATCTGAGGTGTATGTGTCCACCAGATGTCTAAGCGCCATCACTGACAAAACCCTTCAGTCCATCTTGATCGTACAGGCTCCATCTCAGAGGAGGTGGTTCGCTTTTACACTGCCGAGCTCGCACTTGCCATCGACTATCTCCACTCAAAGCGCATTGTCCACCGTGATCTCAAACCGGACAACGTCCTTCTCGATGAACGAGGACACGCTCACATTACCGATTTCAACATTGCCGTCCATTTTTCAGAACGTCGCCTCTTAACAGGCGTTGCTGGGAGTATGGCCTACATGGGTATGTTCTTGCTCTCTTTCATTGCTAACATCAGCCCCTGAGGTCTTGACAAAACGGGGCTATTGGGCGCCGGTGGATCTGTGGTCATTGGGCATCCTCGCCTACGAGTTGCTGTTTGGCAAGCGGCCATTCCGAGGCCGGACAAATACGGCTTTGACAAACTCGATCCTACACGAACCTTTGACATGGCCAGATGATGCTCCGACCAAATGCTCGTCCGAGTGCATGCATGCTATACGAGGAGTGAGTTCGATCCGTGGAGCGTCACTGATGCTAGTTACTCGAACGCGATCCCAACAAAAGACTAGGATACCGTGGCGGGTTGGAATCCATCAAAACGCATCCTTGGTTCGCCGGTATCGATTGGGAAGCGTTGTACAATAAGCAAGTGGTACCTCCCTTTGAACCAGACGTGAGTGACCCTGATGTCGCCACAACTGACAAGCAGTCCAAAAAAGCAAACTTTGACGCTACCCATGAGCTGGAAGAATTGTTACTCGAGGAAAATCCTCTCAAAGCACGCAAGCGTAAAGAGGGTCAGGATGTCGAGCAGATGAGCCCAGAGATGCGCATGATGGAGGAACAGTGAGTTGAAGAACATCGCAACGGGCTGACGTCCCAGCTTCAAAGTGTTTGATTTCTCCAAAGGTCAGCGCAAATCGTACTATGTGCAACCTCCCGCAGGACCACCACCCTCAGTATTCCCATCTCCCAGCCGGCCAGCGACTCCGAGTGATCGGATAGGCATAGTCAGCCGATCGGGCCTAGATGTGGAGGGGCAGATCGCAGACGGAGGTGGCATTTCCAAGATGAGGGAGAACGGGACCGTTTCCTCGTGAGTCGGAGGAACGAAAGCAGTCGAGCTGATCAGCAGCGAAAACATCCCTCTCGCTAGTCGACCTCCTGTCGGAGCAGCTATATAGTGTCACTATGCATACACCTAATCTTGCACCTAATGCCATGTCTTGATGATGTTGTCGAGATCCTGTTGTGGGGCTGCCCCTGGATACACTCTCAGCCTTTCCAAGCGTCGCTTTCGAAATGTGTTTTTGGGCAGCATGCCAGATACCGCTTTCCTTATGATCTGTGAAGGTCAGCTTGGATACGACCGCCGACTATCTCACGTCCTCCGGTCTCCGTTCTCGCATTCGTGTGATCGGCACAGTCTTCAATCCGCCTGGATATCCTGAATGATGATAGTAGACCTTGTCTGTGGGCTTGTTCCCTGTCAGAGCGACTTTAAGGGCATCTGATACGACGACATAGTCTCCAGCATCGACTGAAGAGCATGTCAGGCGGGTCATCTGGATGCCGACTCACCACCAGGGTCATAAGTCGGTTTATGCTTCCCCATCAAGACCAAAGCTATCCTCGCCGCGAATTTTCCCAGAACCCGACCATCTGCAGATGCGTGATGCCATACTCGATGTAGAGCCAGAGCAGTCTATGGAATGAGCTTGCATTCGTCAGGGCTGGACTCACCTGACCCTGTCGATACGACATGATGCCTTGATGCAAGTAGGGGATGGGTTGCAGAGGATCGAGTTGATAGAATGTGTTGATGAGATTTGGGAAATTTCAATCAGTTAGCATTATTACTCAATTTTGCACTTGTATTATTCATTATTATGGCTAGATGGTATGATATTGTTATCTGCATCGCCAGGAGGGCAGATGAAAGACAGTATCTCCATGGTACTCTGATGCATGTGTATATGAAAGCTACAGTGACGGATGGGGGAACGCTCATCTAGTTGATCTAAATACGACTACAGCTACAAAGGCGATGGGGAGACTTATCATTTGAGGCCAGGAGAGGGACGACGTCGCAGGTCTGATCGGCTTGAACATTCTGGCAGCTTCATACAATGCCAACAGCAGCATCACTACCGACATGGGCCACATCACATTCAATACCAAGCGTTCAAAAGCCGAACGTTGGCGATCTGGTGGGCGATCAAATAGGATGGAGACAAAGTGTTGCAAGCGAGATCGTTCTAACTTTGCCTGAAGGAGAGGTTGTTCGATAGGTGGATGAGACCGTTGTCGTTGTAATTTGGAGGCGGGTATCCAAGTTCCATGCAGGCCATAAGGGACCCGTTGTGGAAGCTCAATACGGCACACCACAGACTCCAGACCTTCTGCCATGTTCTTGGCGTCTATGATCCACAGTTCGGATCCTTCATCTGGCAACGGCGTTCCATCTTGACCGAGATTACTTTCATCGTAGACTACTCATCAGCTAGGTGACTGGAGCGCACTCACTGTAAGTGACCAAGTAGCCATCATCCTCTGTCTTGGCATCTGTTCTAGGGACAAATTGGCATTCTTGAGCATATAAGCCCTCGGGCAAAGCAAAGACCTCGATTGGCCCTCTGATGCCTTGTTTCCACTGTTGCAAGATCTCCAGCGTGGTCCGGGAATCAGCGGGAGAGTCGCCGGAAATCTTCCCACGTCGTATCAGGTCCTCCACGTTGACCTTGACCAAGCAGTCCACTTTAGCTGCGCCACCGAGTCGCTCATCGAATGATCCCGACTGCATGGTGCAGCCATATACATATCGGCTGGCAGACATGGACAGATGGGTGGGCATGGTGGGAAATTCGAAAGGTATAGCCATGAGGGAAAACGAGTGACTGATACGTCCACTGTCAACCGATTCCTTGTTCAGGTAGGCTTGAGGGATCCCAAATTGATAATAGTGCAGCTGCACGACATCTTGACCCCTTTCAGCGGCGGGAATATCAATGGCGCCAGCTGCGTATACCAACTTGGCGCTTTTGAATCGACAAGCCAGCATGTTGATTGCCACACCATCTGCTGTAGGCTCGTCCCAGGCATTCGCAGTGTGAAAAATGAGACAAGGTTCGCTCTCGGTAAAGCGGATGGGCTCCTGCGGTGTCGCCGCGGATCGTAGAAGCCGTGGAAAGATGACGAATTCAGATGGGAGAGACCGATCAAAATGAATCAATGGCAGAAGGGAGAGCAGATTGGTAGGAGCGAGAGTGAGCGGGAGGTTGAGGAGGATCGTATGCGTCCGAGTCGCCGCAAAATCATGCATCCTTGGAGGTCAGCATGAGCGGCGAAAAATGCTTACATTTTCGCCCGACCAATATCTACTCCCTGCTTCCAAACAAGATGCTGACCCGAGGAGTCGATGACGGAGTATCTAGCATGCGGGGCCTCAAACATTTGCGTCGAGTAAAATAACAACGTTCCGTCCACTGGGTCCACACGAGGATGAGCTGTCATCCAATCCTGATCATGAGCTAATGCAATGTGTATGGAATATTCACCTCTTGTATGCGACTCAAAGCGAACCTTTTCCACCATGGACCACGCCACGATTTAAGACTCTCTCCAGACCTATCCAAGAGTCGATCCCAGCCCACCGTCTCCAGCTCTGGAACTCGCACTTCTAGCGGCGGTCCTGATTCGCAGGTTGCTAGCAGCCGATGATCTGACTCGGCAGACGTTGTTCCCCACCAAAACACGCTAGTGTTCGCCACGCTGAGCACTCCTAGCCTGGCTCTGAGTGCCAGAAAGAAGGACTGTAAGATGGCTGCGACAATTCGATGGAGTGAGGATAGCGGCGAGATGAGAAGGGCGATCGAAGGTATAGGTGATCGCAAGAGTAGCAACGTCATCTTCAGCAACGAGGTTGCCAAGTGGCGATTCGTGTAAAGCGGGACACCTTCAGGGGTAAAGTAAACGCCATGGAGCATGCCATCTCCGTCGAACCAGTGATAATGCCGTCCCTTCTCTGGAGGGTGTATCGGATTGCCTCCATTGCGAATATATTGTCCTCCGATGAATTCGGGAGGGATGACGCCTTGGACCTTACAGGGAAAGGAGATAAATTCAGTCTCGACGGGTGCAAAATTGCCCTTCAGGAAAGGATGGATGTCTGATGAGGGAGGTACAGTACCAGCATTCTGAGACTGGTCTCGAGTCTTCATGCCCGTCCATGGATAGCGATGTGGTCAATAATGTGACTAGAAGTCACAATGGACTGAAAGGAGGCAAAAGGGAGATGTCATTAGCCACCACGTGGCTCTATTCCTCTATTTTCCCAAAATTCGCTGCCTGACCCCCTGACTCTCTCTCTCCTCCTGACTCTCAACACACATTCTCGCCATCCACTCTCCTGGCACCTTGTTTTGGCTATGAGGTAGGCTCAGCCGCGACTACAAGTACTTATCTGCCCAGTCAATACGTCCACGTCCCGAAAACTGAGCTCGACGAGTCTCAAATCAGAGAGTTGGAGGAATATGAAATCTCACAGGGTCCCCTTTCCGTCCTTCAGCAGGCAGTCCGTAATCAATCGCAAGTCTTGATATCACTGAGGAACAACAAGAAGCTGTTGGCAAGAGTCAAAGCATTTGATAGACACGCCAACATGGTCTTGGAGAATGTCAAAGAGGTGAGCATCTTGTCTATTTGAGCATTTCTGATGTTAGATGTGGACAGAAACACCGAAAGGCAAGGGAAAGAATCCCATCAACAAGGACAGGTTCATCTCGTGAGTCGTCTTGATCATACTTGTGCTGAAGTTTCAGCAAAATGTTCTTGAGAGGCGATTCTGTCATTCTAGGTGAGTGAACCTCACCTCTGACTCTCAGCTAACAAACAGTGCTCCGGAATGCTGCTTGAGCAGATGAGCAGGAATTCACAGAGGGCAGTTCGATGCGTACACAGACAACGATGTATTTACAGAATGATCATATGCCTTGTCGGTCTACTGGAGTTACAGGTCCAAAGGGTCCCTCTCACACGAGAATTCCCTCTCCTTTTGACGACTGGGAGAACTCGATCACTGCCTGAACTGCCTTCATATCTGTACAAAGCCTCAGCGTTTAATGGGCAGCGTCTCGACTCACCGAGACGATCTCCGAGATTGATACTTGTCAATGCCTTGAGACTAAGATCATCCTTGACGCTTCCAATGATCTCCACATATGTATCTGCAATGTGCATGTCCTGAGGTTTAGCGAATCTTCCCCCTGTGATGGCTCACCCGACCGAGATGTACGCCTATCTGGAGATATGTCAGGATCTATCGGGCTGGTGCCGACCTTGCTTCGCTCACCTGGCCTCCGTCTGAAGCCTCAACCGTCGCTGTGCTGCCTACAATCTTCACCACTTTGGCTGGAAGTCGTACAGTTTGACCCCTGTATTTCGCCAGCAAACTGGCGTTGATGCGGGCTGAGCTAGTATCAGTCATGATCAGGATCCCCGCTCACTCACGTTCTGGAGCGAGAGGCGCCATTGTGCAGGGAAAGATATCAAGTCGAGAGAGACACAAGGAAGACGCAGAGAGGCCGAGACGCGCCCTGTATCGGTCACCTAATGTTTTTGTCACGTGGTGCGTCTTTAAAATTTCTGAACTAGCAGAAAGCTTCTCCACAGACATACTCTACCTAGCTAGCTATCAGCGGGGCAGACATGGTCTCGTTCCAGTAAGTACAGCACACGGAGCGAACCTGACAGTCTCAGATGCGATGGATGCGCCGACACTGTCAAGAAACCCAAGCTCGATCAGCACCGTCAGCGGTGTTGGGCTAGCTTTACATGTTTAGGTGCGTAGGCTTTGAGTCAATCATGCTTACCGTGTAGACTGCTCGCAAACGTTCAACAATCAAGACTACAAGTAAGAAACGAGGCTTATTTCGCATACTTATCTTTCAGAAAGCATACATCGTGCATCTCCGAGGCCGAAAAGTATCAGGGCGCTCTATACAGAGGTCCAAAGAAGGTGATCGCTGGACCCAGTAAATTGGTTTCTGACTTCTCTCAGGGCGGTGCTCAAGCCAACGGAGAGCGTCCGGTCAAGTCAAAAGCACCACAGGAGCCAGTCAAAGAGTCGATGGCCTCCACCTGTGCTTCTCCCTTACCCTCCCAATCTTCCATACATCCAGATCGACTCTCACAATTCGATGCTGGACCCGCACATGACTTTTCCAATGCTGGTCCAAGTCGAGGTCGAGGAGGGTTCCGAGGTCGAGGCGGACCTCAGGCAAGAGGTAGAGGTGGATATCACGGACACAGTCTGGTCAGCGGGGAGAATAAGCTAGGCCCGAAAGACGGTATGCGAACTTGGGGATCGCCAGCGGTCACGCCAAAGGAGACCACTCCAGAGCCTTCAGCCTCTACGGCTCGCGAGAAGCGTCCCAGAGACACGACTTCCACGCCGGTCGAAAAGAAGAAAAAGACGAAGAGAGATGAGAGCCCGTCTTCTGCAAGGACTGCTCAACAGGACAATAATGATCCCAAGCTGATCAAACGTCTTCGCAAAAAGGCGGCAAAGCTCGGTGAGAAAGGCGGCAAAATGAACCTCGACGAGTTCACTCGTAAATTGATGGAGGGCAAGCAAGAGACAATGGACTTGACGCAGTTGTTGCAGCACGCGTCTGTACATAACGATGGGACTCGATGGGTTTTGGAGATCTGACGTGTATGCATTACGTAGCTTTTACAACAGGACTCTCTGCGTCTTCCCGTATAGATGTCAATTCTGATGCCGCCTCCAAGGAGGCTGGACTAACAGGCTTCTTACGATCAATCTTCATCCGAGACGCCAAAGACTTGGCTGCTCTTTGAGCCTCTGCGTTGAAAGCGCCGCCACCGTCCGCCCCTTTTGACCTCCTCCATCCATCAAAGTCAATCAATGCCTGCATGCAACCCCATTCGACAATCTTGCGGTCCAACCACTTTAAAGAGACAGGTTTGGTGAGGAAATCGTTGCAACCTGCCGCTAGAGCTCCGACTCGATCGCTCTGTAAGGATGACGCAGTGAGGGCAACGATGATGACAGAGGACCGGAGCGGTGTTGAAGGGGTCTCCGTACTCGTCGAACGCTGAATATCGCCTGTCGGGGTCGTGGGGAATATGCCGATATTATTGGTCTTCTCCAGCTTTCGAATCTCTTTGGTTGCCTCTATACCATCCATGACGGGCAACTGAATATCCATCAGGATCAGATGAAAGCCACCCGTGCGCCAACGCTCAACAGCCTCAAGACCGGTCTTAGCAGTATCGTGTTTGATCTGTTTTTTCCGAAGGAACATGCTCAGAATGTTTTGATTGATCGGGTTATCTACTTGTCAGCTGCCTGTTCTGAGAGAGTACTTACCTTCAACAATGAGCACCTTGATCGGAGGCACAATGGCATCCTTGGGTGCAGGTGTTTTCTTAGGAGTGAGATTCTTCGGGGAGCCCACAGAGGTTTGCGACAATTTGCGCTGCGTCATAGTGGCCGATCTCTCTCGTCCGTTGACTGGAATGGTCTCACTACCCTGCGTGGGCAGCGTGCGCCTGCGAACAGACTGACTCGACTCGCTCGCTGGTGTCTTTGACTCGGGCGACGCCGGCGAGTCCTCCACCTTGGAACCAGATGGTGTGCGTCTCGCGATCTGACGTCGACGCAGTGGGTCCGAGGAGGGTCGAGAAGTAAGCAATGGCTTACGGTCATTACTAGGTAGAGGTTCAAAGTACATGCCATACGGGCGTCCATCCGGCGTCTGCATGACGAGCGTTCCAGGACTGTTGTGCGTGAAATACTCGTGTGCTGGAGTAGCAACCACATCGCCCCCAGTTGGAATGGAGAGATGCAATCTGCTTAATGCATCGGCGGTCTCAAGGGAGCCTCGGCGGCTGTATGGTTGAGATGGGGCACAGGAAGCAGCGAGAAGTGTCATCAGAAGTCGCCGAGGTCCGACTGGCTTCGGAATGACGATCACGGGAATCGGTGACCGAGAGGCAAGGTTCTGCGCGGATGCAAATCGTGCAATACTGGTGGCATGGACAATGAAAGGCTTGCCTTGAGAGTCAAAATCAGTCGATGGATAAGATGACTGGGGTAGAGTCGCGAAATCGGGTGCAAGGTTGGATATTTCGAGCTGAAGCCGGGCCAAGTCGTCGTCAATGAGGATGATATCGGGATTGGCTCCATCCGACGCCTCCTGCAGTCCCCATTGGCTGATGAGGTTCATACAATTCTTGAAGAAGATGCTAGTAGCGAAAGCGCATAGGGTGATAGTTTTGCCGCGAAGGCGACTTTCTGTGCTGGTGGCCTGATTTGCCTGGACAGGCGACATGGGAATTTGAAGTGACACCACGTGCTCATTCGGGGTACTCTCGTCTCCCAAAGTCGCTTTCGTAGACTGGATCATCGCCTGACAGAAAGGTGATTCTGCCACGGGACCTCGAGGCATCGATGGTTTTGGAGAATGAGATAGTCTGAAGACAAATGCTGTCTCTGTTACGGTTAATCCCATCTCGACCACATCCGCGGGCGAAGCACATGCGAGCATTTGCCTCACAATCTGGCGTCAACATCTACACCCCTGTCTGTATGCTCACATGCGTCACAAGCAAGCTGGCACCTTGGATATCGCCATGCGCGAGCCTCCCATCTGAGGCATCTGAGATGACCAAGTCGACACCTCCTTGAGCAGCTTGACCACTAAGGATGTCGCCGACTCTCTGAAGCATCTCGCCCACAATGAAAGTCCTCAGATCTGGAGTGACTTGCGATTCCCCATCGCATGCATCGGCATTAGCGCAGAGATAGTTGAGATTGCGAAGGGTTGAGAGCAGGGCCCCGAGACTGGCCGCGGGGACATCGACCTGATTGGTCTCATGCCTGGGGGTCAAGTGGAGCAGGAGTTGGGCAGCAGACTGGATAGTGTCGGCTGTCAGCTCATTGAGCGCATTCAAAGCGGATGGATTCTGTCGACGAGCAAAAGGGTATTGGAGGAACGGGTCTGGCGCGGAATTGGTTCGAGCAATCGCTGGGGCTGCGGGCCCGAAATCGAATTTTTTGGGCTCCAACGACAACTCGGCATCTACCACGGTACTACTTGATGGATCTGTATTGGACCGGCTGTGTAGACCGGTCAACTGTGACTTTGGCGAAGGAGGATTGGCCATCTTCGCGCGGAAGTCGGAAGGTTATAGTTAATGGGAATGACGATCCCTTTCAGCTGTAAAGTTCGAGATCGGCCTTCATCTGTGTCGCATGTGGTGAAAAGTGTGGGTGTGAGGTCCCTATACTATGGGTTTTGAGGCATGAACTGTTGGATCCAAGGCTGACTCAAAAGCCTTGACCGCTCTGTCGAGGGAAGGTGTGGTTAGCTGAGCAGAGAGGAGGATCTGAAGATCGAACCGGGGACGTAAGCATTTTATTGAAAGCGGAGATCACCGCTGGAATTTCACGTCCCGGCCCCCGGATGGCCGCAAGCAAGCAATCTCCAGCGAACAGAGGCTGCTGGACTGGCTCAGACGCTCGACATTCCTCTTTGTGATAGCCGTTCCATGGATATTGACGGCCGCATGGCTCTCCGTCATCAGATCGCGTCTATACGAGGGAATGTGACTCATCATGCCAATGGAGTCTCACGTACAATAGGACATCTGGAGTGTTTCAGCGCTCAGACCCAATAGCGGTCGCCTTGGTGTTCCCTTTCACACTCATACACCATGTTAACACCACACCACACCATGCATCTCCTGATCCTTTACTACGTTCATCTTTTCGCTCCTCACCTCCTCATCTATCCCTCTTTCGTCCAGATACATCTCTTCGCGCCGCCGCTCCTTTGTTCAGACTACCTCCCTTTGACACCGTCCTGTCCGTCCTGCTCGATACCTCACCGCTCGACCCTTTGTCCGACCGCATTTCTACCACTTTGTCCTCCTTTTGTGTAGGCCATTTGAACTGTCTAGGCTTGTCTTGTTACCGAGCTCCCTCTCTCTCTTTCTGTTGTCTCTTGTCTACCCATCTCATCATACAAGATCGTCAACCAATTATCAAGCATGTCCAGCTCCAAAAGACCCACAGAACAAGTATCGCAGAACCAGCAAACCAACCCACAGGAGAAGACGACAAAGGGTTCGACTGCATCCGCACCTCGTAAAGTCAAATTCAACGTCGGTGAGTTTGGCCCCTGGGCATCGACTCTTTGTCTGAACCTCCCGAGGCCACGCATACCAAGTACTCGATGTCATCGGCGAAGGTGCATACGGCGTAGTCATCTCAGCTCTTCATCGACCATCAGGGACCAAGGTGGCCATCAAGAAGATAGCTCCCTTTGACCATTCCATGTTTGCTCTTCGTACGCTACGGGAGCTAAAGCTACTCAAATACTTTGCAGAAGAAGGGGTCAGCGAAAACGTAAGGGTCTCGCAACCACCTAGCTGATGTCAGATAATCACCGTGCTCGACATCATCAAACCAGTCTCGTATGAAAGCTTCAACGAAGGCAAGTCGACCATGACGACGTCTGCTGACTATCACAGTCTACCTCGTTCAGGAACTCCTGGAGACCGACCTCCACCGTGTCATTCGCACCCAGGACCTCAGCGACGACCACTGTCAATACTTTCTCTATCAAACTTGTCGAGCCTTGAAAGCATTACACACTGCAGACAGTGAGAGCCATTCGCGCAATGGTCACTGACCTTCAGTCATACATCGCGATCTCAAACCTTCCAATCTCTTGCTCAATGCGAATTGCGACCTCAAGGTCTGCGACTTCGGACTGGCCAGGAGTAGCCAGGCGGCCTCACCTGATCAACAAGGTTTCATGACGGAATGTGAGGAGCACCCATCGTCGTGTCTGACGATCAGATGTCGCCACCCGCTGGTATCGGGCGCCCGAAGTCATGCTTTCCTTTCGGATGTACACCAAGGTGAGCTCGTTCTTACGGCTATGCTGATGCAAAGTCTATCGATGTGTGGTCGGTAGGCTGCATTCTTGCGGAAATGGTCAGCGGCCGCCCATTGTTTCCTGGCAAAGACTAGTTGAGTGGTCTGAGGAGACCAAACTGAGCGCTGCCGCAGTCATAATCAACTATCCCTCATCCTTGACGTGCTTGGCACGCCTACTATTGACGAGTTCTACGCCATAACGTCGCGAAGATCGAAAGAGTACATCCGGACATTGCCGTGGGTTTGAGAGCAACGATCAGATTCTCATGTCGCAGTTTTCGTAAGAAGAAGACATTCGAGTCCCTGTATCCCCAAGCAAATCCGCACGCTATCGACTTCCTCAAAAAGACTCTGACATGTGAGTCGAGAGGCCGACTCGTTTGAACCAGATACTAATTCGTGCATAGTTGATCCTCGTAAACGATACATGGTGGAAGATTGTCTGACCCATGCCTATCTGGACGCTTACCATGATCCTGAAGATGAACCGGCTGCCAAACCTCTGCCTGGAGACTTTTTCGACTTTGACCATCCCAAAGAGGAGATCAACCGTGAAAAGCTCAAGCAGATACTGTACGACGAGATCATGGACTTTCAGCCAATGTAGTAGTAATAGCGGAATGATCAATGAGCATGCATCGACGTGTGATTTCGGTTTCTGCCGTTTTCGGTCAAAGCCGCCATCGGGCGTGTCGGACCTCGCCGGAAATCCCGGCAGAGCTGGGCCAGATCGAGAGATGGGGGGGGGGGAAGACTTCTCCCTTTTCACCTGATTCTTATCTATACCTCATCTTATAAGTGCTGTCACTTGAACAGTTTGCTCTGATTTACTCTCACTATGGACTCTGCGTTCGCCATTCCTGGTGACCTGGTCTCGTCAGGCATGAGTTTTTCACAGAATGAGCCATTGCCCAAGGCCAAGGATATGACTCATCATCTCAATACCATCTCGCGCAATCGGACGACGAGCAGTCTCAAACAATTGTACAAATATATGACTACTCCAGGCATGATCACGCTGGGTGGAGGGATCCCATCGCCAGAGTATTTCCCTTTCGAGTCGATCTCTGCCACAGTTCAAGCGCCGGACACTCTGCCACTCAACCCTCCCCGCAGGCCCGCGAAAAAGTCGATGCTCTCTTGGATCTTCGGGCCAAAGACCAGCTCATTCACTATCCCAAAATACGTGCAGAATGCAGATGCAAGAACCATCCAGCTCGCGACCTCGCTCCAATATCAGCAGGCTACTGGACCTCCCGCCTTGCCACTGTTCTTGAGGGAATATGTCGCCAAGGTCTACCAGCCGGCTTACGCCGATTGGGATGTCCTAATCAATTGTGGGGCGACCGATGCCTGGAGCAAGATTTGCTTCATGCTTTTGGAGATGGGAGATGCTGTTCTGGTGGAAGAGTGGACCTACCCCGGCGCCGAGAACACGATGCTACCTCTGGAGACCGAGCTGGTCCCGATCAAGATGGACGGTCAAGGGCTGTTGCCCGACCACCTGGAGCAGGTCCTCGGCGGCTGGAACGAGGAGGAGCGAGGCAAGAGACAGCCTCGTGTGCTCTACACAGTGCCAACTGGACAGAACCCCACTGGCGCCACCATGATGGGGGAGAGGAAGAAGCAAATCTACGACATTTGCTGCAAATATGGTGAGTGAGAGTCACGCTCGTCGCTGATATCAGATGTCATCATCTGCGAGGATGAGCCCTATTTCTGCCTCTACACGGGCGAATGGAAGCCTGAGTCGCAATCGCGAGCGAGTGCCAAGCACGATGAGACTCTCGAAGGTCCTAAGGGCGCGGACGCCTTCATCAAGGCCTTGCCACCTACATATTTGCGTTACGATACTGAGGGTCGTGTCATCCGTATGGACGTGAGTCTCTGCCAACCTACCGTTTGCTGACGTATAAGACATTCTCCAAAACTTCATGCCCTGGATCCCGACTCGGTTGGTTTACATCCTCGCCTCTTTTTATTGAGCGCCTGACCCGCGCTACTGAGGCATCAACTCAGGCCCCGAGTGGCTTTGTCACTGCAATGACATCGACTCTAGTCACGAAGTGGGGCTTCGATGGCTACATCCGCTGGCTCAGAGGCATTAAGGCCACTTATAACATGCGCAAGACCTGGCTCTGTGACGCTTTCGAAGATGTCTTCCATCTCGAGTTTGACGATAGCTTGGACAAGAACAACGTCATGGTTCGAGACATCTTTGGCGGAATGAGCCGAGGTGTCACATGTTACGCCAAGGCCCCTTCCTCCAGGACTGCGACCATCCGAGAAAAGCAGGTTTCGGCGCTGAAGACCAAGACACCACTCGTCTCGTTCATTCCCCCATCAGGTGAGCCCTTTTGTGAATACACTGATGCTGACCCCGTCCGCTAGCCGGAATGTTTGTATTCCTTGCTGTACACTTTGACGAGCATCCCGACTACAAGTCGCTTCGATCTCAGGGAGAAAACGCTGTCCGTGTTCTCAGCGAGCGTCTGTGGATCGATCTCGCGGAGAACCTGGTCCTCTTCGCTCCCGGATGGACCTTTGATGCCAACGGTCCCCACGCGATCGGAGGAGATGGATATGGATACTATCGATTGTCCTTCTCCATCGCGACATACGAGCAGATGCACGAAGCGGTCGAAAAGTTCGCCAAAGTGCTGACCAAGTTTTTCAAGGTGTAGGATTTGTCGAGATGCACTCTTCACAAAGCAGCCCATTGGGGGGGGGAAGTTGATGGTCTTTGTATTCAGAGATGTTTGATATTTAGAGGTCATGTATGGTGTAAAGGTGCTTGCGCACGGTTCGCTCCCTTGTGGAAAAATAGATCCTCAAATGTGATCGACACCTTGTCTCCTGACTTGCATCCTTGTCCTTGAGTTTGGGATCATGAGCGTTCTTCATTGCAACTGGATCGCTTGTCGAATCACGTTGGACAGAGGACAGGCCGTGGTGACTACTTGCTCTCGTGAGCACTTATGACAGGGTCCTTGATCTGACATGTAGACATCTTCTGTGGTGTGTTCCGGGTTGATGGTGTAGTCTCACAGCAGTCAACTGCGCCAACGAGCTATTCACCCAGCAACTGGTTTGTCCGGCCTGCCGACAAGTGCTTGGAGAGTCAGTGACGAGACCTGAAATTACTGTTGATATACAGGGGCGATGTAGTGGTGCGGCATCACATGACTCTGCTCAGCTCACCACAGGCGACTTTGCTTGATCCCGATGATGCGTACCGATCGGTGAGAAGATGTCCGTGAAAGGGTGCTAACTGGGAAGTAGACTGTCCTGGCTGGGCTTTCTCCTGCAACTGTTCTGGATATCGCAGCTCATGCCATGAGCTTCTGGACGTATCAGACAAATCAGGAGACGTGGGCCGAGTCAAGTTCGCATGGCTTACACGCCCAGTGCCTATCAAGCACTTCTCAACAAGAAGAAGGATGCGAAGCTGGCGGCCATGGATGAAACCCTCCGAAAAGGTGGGACATAACTGTGAGATCCAATGTTGATGAACAGCTCAGATGCAGCTAGAGGGTTGGTGTCGTTCCGTCTTCACACGCGCTGATAGGAGAGCCCTGACTCTCAGACGCTCCAGCGAGCCTTGGGCCAGGAAAGATATGCTGGATCGAGCTTTTCAGGTGTGTGATAGCAGCTTCGTCCGTCTGATGAGAAAGCCACGTCCGACTGGGTCGGAAGCGAGCGATGCTATCGGGATTCGCTTAGGACCGAAGCAGAGTCACAGATCCGGCACCCACATCGCACGGCCCCAGCTACAACCGCAGCAGGAACGTCAGCTCCACGAGCTGCAAGCTGCGTCAGAGACCAGCTTGTCGCGATGGGCTTATCAGCCTGCTGCAGCTAAGAGGTTTTGAAGACTGGCAGCGTCACTATTTATGACGGGTTTCCGCGGGTACACGTACGTAACCGAGACTCGGTGATCGAGAACTAGACCGGGACGAGAGTTAGTTTCATGTATTCATCATCGGACCGCAATCATGGTCTCAGAGTCGCAGCGTCCACCACTATACACCATTCCCATTGACCAGCGGCCTCCCCACGGCCCTCTATTCTCCAAAGTCTTCTTCCCGCTCGTCTTCAACGTTGCACAGATCTGTATCAATTCCACACATTTCCTGGCTTTGCCGCTCTTACTCATTCCCTTTGGGATCGGTCGTCGATGGTTCAGAAATGTCATCGACTACACCAAGGATGGTTACGGGAGACTCAGTGAGCTTCAAGTTCGGCGGCATGCTGACGTGGGCATAGTTATTCTGATTACGGTGCTCTTTGGACCAACCACCTTCGTCATCACGAGCGACGCGCCAGTCTCCAATCTTGTCGAGCACGACGATCATGGTCGCCTGATCAGACTGGTTCTACCAGATCGCCTTGTTATAGTTGGTAACCATCAGACCTACCTCGATTGGATGTATATATGGATACTCGCATGCTACTCAGGGAATGCCAGTGGGATTATCATCCTTCTCAAGGCGAGTCTGAAAAAAGTGCCTGTGGTCGGCTGGGGGATGGTGAGGCACCTGTCCTCGGTCTCGCTGATAGTAGCGATTCTTCCGCTTCATCTTCTTGGAGCGATCCTGGGCGGCGGACAAGGCAAATCTTACCAGGGCCTTACAGAATCTGGCAAAGCAAGCTCGATTGAATACCCCCGATGAGACTACGGGTCTCGTCAGGAGCCGACGCGAGCCCTTGTGGTTGCTCATTTTCCCCGAGGGCACAATCACCAGCGATGAGGAACGCGCCAAAAGTGTGCGCTATGCAAAGAAGGAGGGCGTTGTAAGCAATTGCTCATGCTTTTCCTTCTGACTCTTAGGACGATTTCAAAACACTCTTGCATCCTCGATCTACGGGTCTCTTGTTCTGTCTCCGTACTCTGCTACCTGAGATCCCAGATCTTCAAATGCTGGATCTTACTATCGGCTATCCGGGAGTACCATATGGGAAATACCCCCAGGAGTGGTATGGATTGGCGTCCACCTTCTTCCGCTCTGTGCCTCCTCCCACCGTCCACATCCACATGCACCTGTACAGTGACCTCGCTTCGCCGTCTGGACCTATACCATCACTCCACGGGGAATCTGCAGAGATTCCACCGAGTGAAAGTCGAGACTTTGAACTCTGGATGAGAAAGCTGTGGACAGACAAGGAGAAGCGTATGGAGGGATTCTACCGTGACCAGCATTTCGAAGGCAGTGAGGCGTTGAGCGTACCGGTCAGGCAGCTGTAAGTGGACCAAAATACTACTTGCTGATAACCTAGCAAATGGTATCACAATATCGCGGCCTTCGGGGCAGGGGGGATAGTTTCTGTTGGGGCGATTGCAGCGGTGGCATACGGCATAGCCAAAGTTGTGAAATAACATGTACTGTTCTGTCTTTGATCGAGCAACCTTCTCGCCTTGGGCCGTTTCGTCGTCTATGCCGCATCATTCGCCGCTGGGGCGCTTGACTGTCCGCGGCAATTCCAAAGGGCTACCGCGGGCGAGCGTACCCAGACGGGTGCACAAGTCGTCAACCTGGGGGGACATTGACCGAGCGGTCACAGGGGTGTCGTCCACTGTTGGAGGGCAGGCATAGTTCTGTAAGGCCTTCCCTAAAGCACGTTGACTTGGGGATAGACGTAATGAGGTGGAACGTCCCTGAAGCTGCCCTGGTTCACGGTGATCCGTCGGAAGAATAGAAGGGACAGAACCTCGACGCCCCCCAGATGACTGATCTTTGTCCTGCCAGATAAAGCGTCTTGGTCGCTCGCTGTTTGCCCTAGCTCTTGGAGGGGGGCTCCGATGACGTGAGCAACCCTGGTCCCGAGGAAGCCTCTCCTCGTCTGTCAGACCGGGTTGTCGGCCACGGTAGTGTGTTGGACGCGCAAAGGGGAACTCAGAGGTAGAGATTGCCGCGCTGTCCTCCCATGGCGTCTCAGAATCTTCAAAGACTTCCAAACGCAATGGTGGACCCGAATGCTCCGCCCGTGGCGCAGCAATAGCGAATGTCAGACTTCGCTCCGATTCGGTATCAGAGACGGCCACGCTTGCTCTGCGAAGGATCGATGTTGGATTTTGCGAGTTGGCGGGCGCGGATGGCGAAGGGGGGAGTGATGGTGGGTGCTGAAGGCTGGCTGTCAGAAGGGAGACTGGCATGACTGAGGCAATGCTAATGGTCTGTGTGGAATGATGAGGTGAGGAGTGAGGACCATGTATGTCTAAGAGTGGGCTCTTACGAGGCTGGCAGCCATATATAAATAGCAGTTATCCACCTTCCTTCTCGGAACATTTCATTGAGGGTTGTGAGCAGCTGACAGATCTGACTTCTGACGTCATCCGCTATTTACCGGCAGCGGGAATTATGCGGGCGGATCTTCCGCTCCGGGGGGAGGGGCGAAAACGATTTCTTTGGCAGTGCCACTTTGTGCTGAACGTCCAACACCTGTCAGTATGATCAAGCTAGGACAAAGGATCGGCGGCGTTGTACAGAGCTCACTCCATTCATGGACATGCTCGGCTAGTAGCCAACAAGTACGCTGACAGGCTTTGGATCCGTACTCTACGTCCCATTAGCCCCACGTAGCTTGCGCGATGACGCACATCTCGTCAAAGATAACGAGATCCACCCATCCAAGCTCGATCCCTCATCACTCCAATCATATGTCTGCAACGCCATTTAATACCCCTGTTCCACCTCATGTTGGGGCCTCTCAGTCCCGTCGCATGATTCATGGAGGAAAATCAGATGGTCCTCACCTCAGCATCCACCAGAGCTTGGAAAGTATTGGCAGACGCCTAGCCGATAATCTGATGTTGGGGGAGGAGCAATCTACACAGCCAACGAACTTGATAGCGCCCAGCTACGAGTGAGCAACCATCACAACATCTCAAACTCATACTCTGCAGGCGTCGTTTCAGCCTCCGTAACGGGGACCTGCAGTGAGCGCTCCAGAATTTGTCTTTCGCTAATCCAAAGTGACAGACTGCTGGCCGGCAAGGCCCCTGATAAGTGAGGCGCTGATTTTCGGAAAGGATCCTGACCCAAATCTCAGACAGAATGTCCCCCTCACCGCTAGACAAATGAAGCCACTCCACGACACAGGGCATGAACGCTGTACCGCAATCATGGCCCCCAAAGTCGAGACGTCAGGGAGAGGTGTCGCGCTGGAAGGGGGCTCAGAAAGACTGCCAAGGTGATTTGAGCATCGGCATTGTATGGGTTCAGGCGAGGCTCACCAACCGTATATACACGAAAGATCTCGAGATCTCAGTCTCGACAACCGTGAATGCTTGAATGCATGGCTCGATCACAGGCTCGTCTCTCTGATCCCATATTCAGCAGATACGCGTCAACGTATTTTTCCAGCCTCAGATGAAACATCTTCACATGTTCTTGTGAAGAATCTGGCCGATATTGAAGGATAGAAAATCTCAGGTGTCTGTCTCAGCATATGAACTAATTAACGAAGATTCCACACTAGGGACTCGAGTCCTTCCAGATCACGGAGATTGTTCAGACCTCGCCGTTGCAGTATTTCAATCAGTACAGGCCATAGACTGGCAGCTTGTCTCGAGGCCCGATTACACGTGCAACAGCTGCCTGGCTGCACGTCATACCCACGCTTTTGCCACGTGACCGCATGACGCTTTTAATACATCTGTACTATCTTGGCATCCCTTCAACGGGCTGTGTATCAAACATCTCCTTCAGCATCCACCCGAAGCATAGGCCATCGCTTGGTTCTCATCATGCCACCTACAGAGTCCTCTCCTCTGCTCACCTCTGAAAGACAGTCGTCTGCAAGGCGAATCCATTTCTTCTCATCCTCAAAGCATCTCGTCTTCGGGTCATGGCTCAATCTTTTGATTGTCGCCGTGCCTTTGTGCATCGTTGCGGACGTTCTGAAATGGCCTGCAGCCGCCAGGTTCTCAACAAGCTTTCTGGCAATCGTGCCCTTGGCCAAGGTATGTCAACAAATGAGCGATAGTCACGCTTATCGGCTCACAGCTGCTTGGAGACGCAACTGAGCAATTGTCCATGGAGTGTGGGCAAACGTTGGGGGGCTTGTTGAATGCCACGTACGACCCTGAGCACCCTGGTATCGCTGACCTTCACCAGCTTTGGAAACGCTGTCGAGTTGATTGTTGCCATTGCTGCCTTGCTTCAGAGTGAGTCGTTGTTGACCTTGGCACCAAGCTCATTGTCAGATGAACTGCGTCTGGTCCAAACTTCCTTGCTGGGAAGCGTCCTTTCCAACCTCCTGCTCGTCCTTGGCATGAGCTTCTTTGCGTAAGAAGCTGACACCGGAACATTGCTGATGAGTAGCTCGGGCTTTTACTACCATGAATCAACGTTTCAGATGACCGCGGCGCAAGCGAGTTCCTCGTTGATGACTCTTGCGTGTATCACCTTGATCCTGCCAGCAGCTTGTGAGAGATATCCTTAGAAGGCCAATCTCATATCAGACCACGCTTCCGAGACGGGAAACTTGTCCTTCGTTGAAGATTCAACCGAATCCGGCACTTCACACGGGCTTCTCATCCTGTCTCGAGGGACAGCGATCATCCTACTTCTCACTTATATCGGATATCTCATCTTCCAGCTGCGCACTCATTCACAGTTATTCGAAGCTGAGGATTCTGGGGAAGAGGAGACCCCAGCGATGGATATGTGGAGTGCTGGCATTTGGCTCCTAATCATCACAGTCATCACGGCATTTTGCGCCGATATCCTCGTCGGGAGCATTGACGAGACAGCTCAAGCCTGGCACATCCCGAAGAGGTGAGTTCTGTGAAAAGAGCCTAGAATCTCACTGCAGATTCATTGGTCTGATTCTCCTCCCCTTGGTCGGCAATGCTGCCGAGCACGTCACGTCCGTGTGGATGGCTACTAAGAACAAGATGGAGCTGGTTATTGTGCGCTTCGACCCAGTTATTGAGCTGACTCTAGGGTGTGAGCGTGGGCTCCAGCATTCAGATCGCTGCAGGCATGATTCCTCTCCTTGTCATCATTGCATGGCCCCTCAATAAGGAGTTAACTTTGTTCTTCGCCAACTTTGAGACGATCGTACTGTTCGTGTCGGTCATGCTTGTCAACCTCTTGCTGCAAGATGGTCGATCCAACTACATGGAAGGAATGATGCGTGAGTCATCCACAGAGACACTCATCTGACCCTTAGTTCTCTCTCTATATGGAGTCATTGCCCTCAGCTACGTCGTGTCTTAGTCGATCCCCTCGGCCCGCCCTGCATTCATTATGATGATAGCTGCTACCTCTCAAAACACGTAAAAATATGAAATATGAATATGATTCTGCTATACTCCCTTACATTCATTTGTATCCTTCCTCAGACATGCCTTGGCAGAAGACATTGTGAGAGGCTTCATGCTCATGTGTTCTGATAGTTCAGTGCCTTGCCTGAGTGCGGAAAGGGCATGCACCTCATCCAGCGCGAGGTGCTGCAAGCGTGCCAGGATGGTCTGAAGGACATCAAAATTGGGATATTCACACTATCATGCCTTCATACTTCCGCTGGCCTGACGGTGAGATCAGCAATCGACCCGGAACTGATGAGGTTGCAGGTGAATGAGAACTTTGATCCGTGCGTGCTTTCAACATGTTCGAATTGATATAGACGCAGGGCCGTGAGACGAGGTATGATCCAGGTTGAATAGCAACTTACCAGTAGACATGGACATGGCACTCGATAGAATTGTGCCCGAATCCTTCCCCTGGGAGCACACTGACGAAGGCCCGGAGTACGCAAGTAGCCCCCTTCCCAGGTTACTGACGCTACAGTGATTCTGTATCGCATCTCAAAACTTCCATTGTCGGCAACTCGGTGACCATTCCAATCAGCAATGGGCGCCTTGTCCTAGGTCAATGGCAATCCATCTACCTGTGCGAGTTCAGGGAGAGCGGCGGATTCGGACAGAATGGACAAGGCCGCAAAGTAGTTGCGACTATTCTGTGAGCACGCCAAACGAAAGCATACGCTGACTCCGAGACCATGAGGCAAGCGATTTCGTGATGCATGGTCGTGATTATTCATCGTTACAAGTCGAACCTGACATCGAGAGAGCCATGTCACTTCCTTTTCTTAACGGTCGCCGTGGCCTCCCATTCGACTCGTTTCCTCCCCTCCCAGCTCTCTCGCAACCATTCTTCACATTCCGTCTGCGTCGAGCCGGGATGATCAAGCTGCCATGCCACGACGTTTTCGGTGATGATCTGCAGAATTGGACCAGGCTTTAAGCTGAGCACTTCCTGTATTCGTTTGCCCTAAGGACATCAGTAAGATTCGAATGTCGACCTCACATCTAAAAGGGGCCGTCGACCGATCTCTGGCTCCAAGTCAAGCTCTCTCACGCGGTCTTCGAATGCGAGGAATCTCGTCAAGATGCCATCTGACTTATCGTCCCATGCTCCAGACCACTCTTCCATCACCGCCATTACAGCTGACCAGCATAGAGTCCTATGCCACAACGGTTGAACACTAGGATGTCTCAGGGTCAAGCCTAAGGTTGACCGGGAAGTTGCGTCCAGACTGTCGGCAACTATTTTGGCTCCAATGAAAAGCTTGGTCACCCCGTCGCGAGTTTCGTTGGACAGCTGGCTTGTGAGCAAAGTGTCTATGGAGAGCGCTGACCTTTAATCCTTCACCAATCACGCTGGCCACGGCAGGTGTGGGCTTTTTTCCTTGTACGACCAGGTCTCGAAACGGGTACAAAGCTGCGGCAAGCCAGAGAATCTCATCCGGTTCCACCTTCAAGCGGGGAAGAACAGCGCTCAGGACCATGCCGGCAGTCAGGGCGTCGCTACGAGGAGGATCCACAGCGCATGTGAAGATGGACGAGTGCAGGTTCAGGCGGTCGATCAGGGTCAGACCTCGTAGAGGTGTCTTTTGCATGATCTTGAGCGTTTCGCTTCCTATGCGCTCTTTGGACACCTTGGAACGGAGCTCTACCTGAACGCGTATCAGTTTGAGCAGCAAGAATGAATCAGCTTGCCTTTATGTCATCCCTATCAATAGCCCTCATCACTTCGTCCTCAATGACGAGATCAAAACGGCTCGCAAACCTGACACAGCGCACCACTCGTAAGGGGTCGTCCACGAACGTCTGACGAGGCGGCAGAGGAGTCCGAGCGATTCGGTTTCGTAAATCAGCCAGGCCGTAGCCTGTCCAGTCTTCCACCTGACGCGTGTGCACATTGTAGAACAAGGCGTTAATGGTAAGATCTCGGCGTTGGGCATCCTCTAAAGGGGTGCCCAATCGCTGCGATTAGGGCTCTGTCATCGACGATTTCATCCTCACAACTTCTGTGGGTATCCGACTATCTGCATATGTCTCGCTCCGGAGGCCTACAAAGTCGCATTCAAGGTCCATGATACGAGTCGTTCCAGTTTCCAGGTGTTTGCTCTGCTCAGGATTCGCTGCAACCTTCCCGACAGTCCCTGTCGAGATGTCTCGCGCTCTCAGATGCTCGACAAAATTCAGGGCAAACTGATAGCCCGAAGCAGTAGACAGGGCCACATCGAGGTCGGACGAGGGAAGCCGAAGAAGCTGAATCCATGATCAGCAAGAACTGGACAGCTGCTACAGCACAAACCTTGTCTCTGACCCACCCTCCTGCGATTCGGCATTCCACCACAGGTTTCAAAGACTGGGAAAACTCGTCGAGGTGTTTGACGAACAGGGATTCTTTCGGGTCAAGCTCGATCGCAGAGTCGGCATGGGTCACGGAGCTAGTCATGATGCTCAAGGGTCTGTTGAAGCTGATCTTGTGAAGACCCCTTCGAAGGGCCATGCAGACTTCACTCACGGGATCACCAAGAAGAGATCAAGAGCGAACAAGGGGCTCAGAAAATAATAAGAAATGTTACCGAATCAACCCGACGATTGGATCTTGCTGGCTCTTGTCCTTCACACTCAACCCACTCTCCACCTTGACATCGTCCAGCCATGAACAATGACTCCCTGGCACTTGCGCTGGACCGCTTCTCATTCTATGCCAAAGATGCTATGCTGAGTCTCACTCAAGTGAGCTGCATCAGTGAACACCTCCTGCTAACCTCCGCTCGCAGTGCATATGCAAACCGTGAGCAATATAACTCAGAGCCGTGCTGACACGTCTCAAGAGACGCTACACTGAAAATCAATGGTCGTTCCTACAAGATAGAAAAGCTCCTAGGAGAAGGAGGATTCTCCTTTGTCTACTTGGTCCAAGATACCTCATCAGGACGCAAGTTCGCCCTGAAGAAAATACTCATCACGTCCGGCCCCGAAGGCGTAGCTGAAGCGATGAAGGAGGTCGAGGCATACCGGAGATTCAGACATCCGAACATCATCAAGATACTGGACTCTGCGGTAGTCCAGGATCCGGCGGGGGAAGGCAAAATCATCTATCTGCAAGTCGGCATTGATGAGTTTGCTAATTTCTCAGCTTCCTCCCGTATTATTCGCAGGGGAATCTGCAAGATACCATGACCAGGTCGTCCATAAGTGGGGAACCCTTGTCAGATCAGCGAATCCTCCAGATCTTCCTGCAAACTTGTATGGCGTGAGTGCTTCGTTGGGACGATGCTTAGGGGCTAGAGTTGAGGCGATGCATCGGTACCGGCTGCCTTCAACTTCCGCATACCCACCTGCTCAAAGCAATAGCGGTGAACTTGACCCGGTCTTCGATGGCGATGAGGATTTGCAAGGCGCGGACGCCGGCGAGATGATACCATACGCACATCGGGACATCAAACCAGGGTGCGTCCCGCTCGATGTCTGCTTCTGATCGGTAGGAATATCATGCTAGCGGATGATGGCTCCGCAATATTGATGGACTTTGGCTCCACGGTCAAGTAAAGCCACAACCTGATTCATGAGCTGATGACAGGGCGCGCATACCTATCGAGACTAGGCAGCAGGCATTGCTTCAGCAAGTATGTCAAGCCGTATACCTGCGCTGATGATACAAGGATCTCGCCGGAGAGCAGTCGACTATGCCGTACAGAGCCCCGGAGCTTTTTGACGTCAGAACGGGAACGACGTTGGACGAGAAAGTGGACATTTGGGCACGTTGTTGCGTATTTAAGCTTGGCTGATAATGCTCTAGTCGCTGGGCTGCACCCTGTTCGCAATTCGATATGGACGATCACCCTTTGAGATTGACGGCAGCTCGATAGCCATGGCGGCAGGTAGTGGAAGGTATACTCATCCGCCAGGGGCGAGCCGGATTCTGGTTGGTCTCATTGACAAGATTCTTGTGGTGGACCCAACCCACCGGCCCGACATAGAAGGAGTGAGCTCTTTTAAGTCGCGCCCAGCATCCTGCCTGACTTGAGCCAGGTAATTGCATTGACCAAAAAAGCAATACAGGAGATGACATAGATTATCTCCACACGCTTCGATGGAGTCTCGATACTGGAAGAGGGGCTTCGTAACCCAACGGTGTGAGCCTCATTGGCCACAAGGGAAGCGGTGGAATAAGGTACATGGTCGGTCTTGGCGGACGAGGAACCGGACCAGCGAAGTGAAATTGCCTCTAAATGGTCATCACCCAGTCCACTATGCATTTACTGCTTACCAGGATCGGTCGTTGGCTCCCCGTCCAACCATCCCGAGTCACACCTACAGGGATCGGGACGAAGATGATAAAGTCGTTTGACATGCGACTTGGTGTACGACAGGCTTCCGCCTTCGACCGCTTCTTGGCTCGGGAAGCGTCTTCGAGCCTGCGATCGTAGTGTAATCTGCTCTCTTTGTCAAAGAGGCATTCGTACGCCTCTGACCATCAGATGAGACGGACCTTGCGACCCACCTTGCAGCATTTGAAAAGCTGTGTTTGCAATAGGTTCCTTCAGTCTATCAGGATGAACTCGCAATGCCTGTTGCAAGTACGCGCGGCGGACTGACGCGGGTAAGAAGGTCAGCTTGCCCTCGCAACCAAGCCGTGAATTACGCAGCCCGTCAAATAACAACTTGGCGAGGCAGATCGAAGTAGCACGCTTACTTTCTTCGCGGCTGGCGTTGCTCGAAACACCCAAGATGTCATAGTAATTCGGAGAACTCGCCATAGTCGTTCGCAGAAAGAGCTGTCGGTGCAAGATACTAGGGTGTCGCTCTGGTTCCTGTTTGAGTGTTTGGTTTCGTACAACTTTCGACTTCATAAACATACAAAAAAAGAGTAGTAACGAATTTAGACGATGAATGAAACTCGAGCAGGAAGAGGAAAAGACAGGTGACGAGGTGATGACATGGCTGTGTGTGTGCTTGGACGTGTACAAAATAGTGACGGCTACTCCCAAAGGAATGACCTCTGACCTGAATCCAAATGGACTTCTCCCTGATCCCTTTTAGTCTCCGACTGCTCCAACGCCTCGCAATGAAGACGAAGCTAGATCTTAGCTAGCAACATTTTGGAGGACTCACTTCGGCTACCTGGCGCTCCAATGATCCGATTTTCAGCATGGCGACATTCGCTAGCGAGTGATAATCGATGCCGCCCGATGGCGGCATGCGAGATTCGACTGCTTGATTCTCTCCATCGGCAGCTTGGCCGTTTGCCGAGAGTTGGCGCTCTAGGCGACTGCGACCATATCAGTCTGGACTCGCCATCCCCATACATACAGCAAGAGCTCCGCCCTTGCCTTCGACTCGCTCAGCGTTGAGGAAAGAACTCCGTTCAGCTATCTCAATGAGCGTTCGCCCGTCTCACAATTGACCAAGGGTGCCCACCTGGTGATATCGAGTCTCCCACGTCTTCGCCTGAGCTTCGGCCTCCTTGCGTCGTTTGACGTCAGAATCCCTGGCAGAAATATTCAGCGCAAGCTTCCGCGTAGACGGACGGTACGCACCATAAACGTTGCGAATCAGTCAGTTGCTTGTTGCGAGTCTCGTAGTCGCCGATACGGAGAACTTTCGGTCGCATTTCCAGAGCTTCGTTCTCTATTTTCGCGCGTCTGAAGCACAATTAGAGGGGTCACTGTCCATTTCGCTCACTCGTTCTTCTCCAAGGCTAGCTCATCGCTCTGCCGCTTCACGATCGCCCATGCTTCCGAGAGCTCGCTACGGAGTCGCACAGCTTCCGCCTGTTCTGCCTTTCGTTCGTCTCGCATCGAGCCGAGCCGATCCCGCAATTGGCCCTGCCACTTGACATGCTTCTGATGTGCCTTGGTAGCCGAATGATGTTGCGCAGCGAGTTCGGTATTCAAGGTCTCTATCGTCTTACTCTGATCCTTGAGACGCATAGCCTGTGAAAGTCAACTGTGAACTTGCATGCCCCAGTATTCACCATGCCATTAATTTCTGCCTCCTCGAAGTCAAAGCGAAGAGTCTCTTGATGTAGACGTCCGATATCTATTGTCAGCGAAGACACATGAAGCGGAACCTACGGGACAAATACTGATCTTGAAGTTGCTGACTGTGACGCTGCTCGGCCCGCAGCAGATCAACCTCTCGACAAAGGCGAGAGACATCTCCCTCCTCTTGCCCACCGCTCGGATGTGAGGGTTGGCCTATACCTCTTTTGTGCTCCTCGGTCATATCTGCCCGACTTTCCTCGATCGTGAGCAGCTCGGCGTGGGCTAGGGCGTGAGCGCGGGCGGTGAATTCTGAGGGGTCCACCTTGTCCCATCGAGACTTGTCCTCCAGCTCCGCTGTCGACGTATGCTCGACTAAGGATGGATGAAGTTGGAACTTGCAAAGCAGAGGGCCTGCCCTTTCTGCGAGGCTGTGGATGGGCCACACCTCAGGCCACGGCACGTTGTATATGGGCTCTATCTGCTTGCCCTGTATGTACGGGACAGGGTCCCGCACGAAAGCAAGTATATTCGAGGGCCAAGCGTTGTAAACTGTTGCGAGAAACATTCTCACGGCGGCATGAGGCTGAAGGTGGCTGGGTAAGTCGATCTGATAATCCTGGTGAAGCACTTTCCAAGTTGTCGACTCTATAGGACGAGGAGTGGACGTCGTCCCCTCACGGCCTGCTCTCGTGCCATCGACGAAGGGCCGATCGCGCCAGTTGACTGCTCGACCCAGCACTACCATGAGAAGAGGCACACTGTTTGTGAGTGAAGCCAAGGCGTACGGTATAACCAGGGTGAACAAGCGGAGCACGATAGCGAAAACTTGATTGCTAACGTCATAAAGCAGACTGTCAAGAAGGCTCCTGAGAGCAGAGTGCTTGGCTAGTGTCGAGAAGATATTTCGATTACTGGGTTGAGATACGATATCAAGAAGCATCACGCAAATGTCTAGCCTTGATTCTGGATCCAGACGAAGGGATCGCTCGCAGTATGCGAGGAAGGCCTGCAATATCCGTCAATTGTGTCCATCGCCTAGCTCATACCTCTGCGTCGTACTGAGCCAACTCCCTGAATACGCGACTCATCCTTGGCTGCTGTGCAATCCGAAGATCTTTGAACCACCGCTCTGCGGCTGAGGGCTCGTCCATGAGACTAGCGACACAGAACATGATGATGTCGTCCTGAGGCGCGCCAGGGGCCTGAGCCCAATCCAGCAGCTGAGCTGACCATTTAGAAGCTGATGGAAATTTGGAGGCAACTTGCAGGACGGCGTCTCGCTCGGTTGGATGCCTGTCGAGGAAGGCCGTTAGAGCCCGGTAGCATTTGTCAACCTCTGAGGAATTCGAGGGTGTAGGTGGCCCCGGGACATCTTGCAGACTACTTGCGCTAGATAGCCGCTGGACATCTTCCAGGAGGGGGACAAGGTCAGCTGATAAGGAACAGTCACAGTCACTTACAAAGATCTATGCTATCTGCCATGCTTTGCAGATGGAAAGATGGAGATATCGAGGCAGACTACGGCGTCGTTCACTCTTCATCAGCGAGCTAGATGGCATGATGTGAAACCTTTGTCACGTGACACGCTGGCCCGCCGCAGTGTGAAATTAAAATCATTCGCTGGCTGGCAATCTACCTCTTCGTCCTTCATCAATCATCCCTCCTGGTGGTAGCGCTAGACGTCGATTTCCGCCCCTGGCGCTCATCTCAAAGATGAGCTTCACAAATAAAGTGACCAATCAGGTCATGCACAACAACCTTCGTTACACTATATCACGAAAATGGGGAGTTCGAAGGGACATCAAGCGACGAGAATTGTTTGCCCAATCCGAAGCCGAAAGGCAAGCCTACTTGTTCATCGCTCGTAATACCACTCTCCCAGCCCAGATCCGATACAAGGCCCAATTGAGTCTCAACGCGTTGACTGATACGCATGCCTCATCAACAGAGATAAGTAATCGTTGCGTGGAGACGGGCAGAGGTAGAGGTACGTTCTTTTTGCATCGGACTCCGGAAGCGAGCTTCGCTTATACCAACGGCTTAGGGGTGCTTGGAAGATATGGTCTTTGTCGAGTATGCACGCTGTCTACGAGATAGGTGATGACGAGCTGACGTGGTTGCCAGATAGCTTTCCGTTTGCGCGCTTTATCCGGAGATTTACCTGGGGTCACAAAAGCAACTTGGTAATCGACCGATTCGAGAAGACGTGTTGTACTGCTATTGCATACGCCCTCGTACAAATATGTGCCTACACTGGGACCGCATGTATGCCCACAAAAAAACGATCCAGGTCTTGTCGCGTATCACTTCGTCATATCATCCTCGCCTTTGACCTTGGTCGCAACGAGAGTCTCAGTGGAGGCTTTGAACATCATCGTGCTCGAGTTTCTTGTCCGCTTTGTCTGCGTGGAGTGACGAACAACAGCAGCACCTTCGAAGATCCTGCGTTTGCGCTGAACTTTCGTCGTTGAGGTTTCCTTGTGTTCAATGGATGATATAGCAGCGGTATCGATCTCGGGGACCGCTTCGAGCTTGACTTCTGGTCCAGTAGGCGACTTGTCTTCAGGGGTAGGCCTCTCCTTGAGATCCACGGCGAAGACTACCGCCTGACACCATCCGCCCATAGGGCCCCATTTGTCTTGCAAGAATGTTTGCACCTCGTCATAAGCCTGTGCTGACATTGCCTTGTTCCTGAGACGGTGAGGAAACGAAGGGTGTCGTGAAGCTACTGCGAGCATGTGCGTGTCGATTGGTATTATGGATGACTGCTATCAGCAAGCAGTCAGATGCCATGATTCTCACCTTGTCCAAGCTCATAAGGAGCACGCAGTCTGCAACTTTGCGACCCACTCCCATGAGTTGTATCAATTCGTCTCTGGCTAGTCCCACATCTGCCGCTCGTAAATCACGCAACCCAGCCTCGATCACTCCGGGCTGACTGCCGTACCTCGCACGGAGGGTTTCCAGTGTGCTCTCTAGAAATCTTGCACGATAACCGAAGCCCATATTTCGGAGCTGATGTTCCAATTCCGACCCGAATTCGTGAGCAGCAGGGAAGAGGTGATAGCTTAGTGTTCCATCATCCATATCGTCTATCACAACTGGTCTGCCGAATGTGTGGGTCAGGCGATGTAAGAGTGATGTAATCCGGGGAATGTGGTTATTAGTCGAGGTTATAAACCTAGGCGACTGATCAGTCTGCACGCAACTGTGTTACTCACGCAATCAGACATTCCCACGGATCCTGTCGGAGGACTCGCACACCTTGAGCACGAGACCCCACTTCCGCCACCCCGAACAGCTTCGGGTCCCTCTTACGCCAATCTGCAAAGAGATCCTCTAAGCTCGGATGACGCTCCAATTGGAAGTAGTCCATAATCCACGGTAGATCAACATCATCATTAGGGCGAGTCTGATTAGCAGGATAGAGTGATGTGTACCACAGATCCGTCTCCGTTTGTCGCATGAAGAGTACTCGCGGCGGATCATCGACAGCCCGCGAGAATTCCTCCCTACAGCCCCCAGTGTCCGATGCCAGTATTCTGCGATGCCAAAGAAATGATTGACCGACTGGCAAAGTGTTGGCTAGATTGAGGTTATTGGGACTGATGCGCAGGCGTGACCAGCCTGAAGGAAATTGTGCTCTCATGCTGGCGTTTCAAATGGTTAACAATGAAAGCGACGGCGACGATGGAATCGTGTAAAAAGCCAGGAGAAAGAAAAAAAGGTCCGATGGAGCGGGGTGGAGGTGGTACAGTAGAAATGTTGAAATCAACTCATTCAAACTTCATTCCTCCTACTCTTGCTGCGTAGTTCATTTCTCGTCTTGATGATATACTTCAACTCGTTCAAAGACCCTTCGTGCCCCTTTCTTTTGGTCTACTTGTCAATCGGCCCTGGTATCCCCGCGAGGACTGCGAGCTCCATGATCGTGTGCAACCACTGTGGCACTTCTATGGACGGTGTAGATGGACCTTGCACTGGCTGCAGCGGTAAAGGGATTGGTAAGTTCAGTACTGACCGGACGTGAAATCCTTCTCACTCCTGTATCCGTAGCGATAACCAGTCCGTTGCAGACCGGATCATCAGAGTCTCGCAACTCCGACAGATGGGCCAATAAGTGGGTCAAAGCCTCAGATCAGTTGTTGCTGATCCCCGTAGTTATACGGACAGCCCGAATTCCAAGGAAAATCGTGGCTCTAGCAGTCCTGGGACCTGCATGAACACACGCAATGCCGTCGTGCCCCCCTCGGCCTCCTTCGACGTCCTCTGCCCAGACAACGGCCAGATTAAACTCACCCGAGGTAGGTGGTCCCGTCTTGACAGCTCAGACCAGATAGTTCATGGCTGTTTGTTGGATCCCAAGATCGTCTTGCCGCAATGCTCGAACTGCAACTCATCAATTCCTGCCGGCAAAAAGCTATTTGTACCTCCGTGAGCAAATCTTCAGCCATGTAGTACTGCGCTGATCGGTGATTGAAGATCCAGATCTGGTTCTACTTTTTGCAGATTGTGTTACTCGACTTTGTTTAGCCTTGGAGTTTGCCATCTCTGTAAGGCTGCAGTGCTTGGGGACAAAGAGGAGGGATTCGGAGGCCGGCATGTCAAAGGGCTGAATGCAAAGATTTGGCACGCCAGATGCTTTGCTTGCGTCCGTGAGTCAAGCTCTATCGACTCAGCTGAAAATCCAAGATTGCGCTATCAATTTGTTCGACATCGACCATGTTGTGCTTGAAGACCAACCACAGTGTCGAAGCTGTGCAACTGTTTTTGTCCCTCCCGTCGCTCCTACTGAGAATCGGGCGAGACGTTACATTCGCCCCGGTGAAATGAGAGTCCAAAGGGATCTAAGCGAACCACCTACAACCATCCGGACGCATGTGTCAGCTACCATGAGACCGGAGCAGGCAACACTTCGATCGCCGGTACAGCAGAGGTCTTCCTTCCAGACAGTCATGGCTATTCAGGCAAAAGCGGGACTGGTCAGGCAGATGCAGCAGGTTTTTGAGCGTGGCGGCACACAGAGGTGAGGCGTGGTGACTTAGCCGCACTATGATTTCGGTACAGTACAGTTGCTGTGCCCTATTGGTCCTGTGAGACGAGAGTGGCATGTACAGTATGGAGTAGAGCAGCGCATCGTTATCCGGAATTGATATTCAGGTGGCCTGCCTGCAGCCGCCTCTCTGCATAACCCATGTCATAAGGTCATCCGGCAATGGCCGGCACTCTACCGGACCTAGACCCAGCCTGAGCTTCTCCTTACGACAGGCTATTAGACATTCGGGGCGGCGCGATATGATTGCCTGTATAAGTAAAGTAGGCAGAGCAGTCAGCTATGGAACGATCATCAATTTGAGCTTCGCTGAGGAAACTCCATACCGACGCTTCATGCAGTAGGCTCTTAGACTCTGGTTCCTCACATTGAGATTACCCTGCGGCTCTATAGGCAGAACATTAGCGCATCAAAAGCCGGGTTCACGAATGAAGAACGACAGGAGCCCTCAAATACTGCATCCCGTTACATTCCTGAGGAAGGCGCCGCCCCATACATGATTGGACATTCGAGATAAGATGGTCGACACGTGGTCTGTTATTTGCTAAATCTAGAGAGGTCCTCCATTCGGAGGATCAAGTCCCTAAGTAATTACCTCTACAGGGATAAGGCACGTTCCAACGGCGGTCATTGTCATTCGCCCCGAGTAGAGCTCAGTGATAGCAGATGTCGATTTTGACCGCTGCACGGTCAGTATTGGCCGAATTACATGAAAAGGGCGTGTACAAAGTAAGTATCAGAAAGACGCATTGATGGCGATTGGAAAAACGTCATGATTCCGGAGTAAGATCAAGTTAGGTGAATTTGCAAATCTTGTTGCAAAACCAAGCAGCTTGTTACGATTCGCTCAGAAGTATCCTAAGACCAACTCATCCTTTATTCATGTGTGACTTTCACAAAGATACACATACACTGCCTTTCTATCTTCCTATATCCTTCCAGCGTGCAACCTGCATGCAGATCCGGATGCTACCCAATAATCCCGAAACAGAAGATCATGGTGCAACTTGCATGCAGCCCAGTCAAATCTTTCCCAGCGCGCAACTGACCCGCAGATCTTGGAGTGTCTACATAATAGGTATACAGGATCTTCCAGGACTATCCAAGCAGGTACTTGGTAGTTTTTCTTTCCTCCTCAGACAAGGTTTCTCATCTTATTTCAACCTCGTTTCAAGTGCTTCCCAACTCGGTACGATTCGTGACGATTTGTTAAAACCCAGAGTGCGCTTATTAACGGCACTGACTCATCTTCTACTTGTTAAGCTCCTCACGAAACACAGTCGAAACGTCAGAGACCGTCGTCATGCGCGCCAATTTGATTGATGACCGACTATTGGGTGCAATTTCCGAAAATGTGTCCTCTTCATTCTTCATCAATCTGAATTTTTGTCGAAATGATCAACTTGGCATGTCTGCCCAGACGGTCCTTCTTATTCTGTATGACTATTACGATTTGGCAATGATCCCCTTCGTTTCACCTCACCATTTAACATTATAGCTCGTCCACCTCTTTCTGCCCTTCTCCGGTCCTGAACCTCTTCTGAACCTCATTCGTCCAATTTGTGATCAATCCAGGACTTCATTATCGATTTGAGAGTTTCCAAGACCTATTGGTGCATAAATTGCTCAATCTGCCCGAAATATACAAAGCAGACACTTTTTGACAGATCGCCCCAAGGGTTTATAAATGCTTGTCTGTTACACATTGATCCCGTTCAGTCTCGGGAGCCGACACCTTCGCTATTCCGTTCTCTTCATATCAATACGTCTTCATAGAATCAGACGATCCGTAGCCCGGCGTTTAGTTGGATTACTTATACATTGACAGTGGACTCCAATCATTCCAAATCAGACTGTCAATTGGTCCCCTTCGCGGTCCTACATTGTCGCCTACCGTTTAAGAAGCCACGTCTCTGCTCCACAGGACTCGGTAAGTCTTAAAAAGTGTCCGGAGACACTCAGCACCACGCGGAAGAGAAATTTGGATATCGTTCACTTACCTGCGTTCTCTTTAATTCTTTTGACACAACAACCCGGCTTGTCGCAGCGTCATTGCCGTATCTTTCGATCACAAGCCTCCGCCAGCTTCTGCATCATGACTTCGGAGCTTCGTCAGCCGTCCAGACCTCTCAGAGTCAATCTGTGCAGCCACCTTCATCTCTGAGATCCTCTCATACTTGGCCAAATATTGTCAATCTAAAAGAAAGAGAAGTTCGTGCCAATTAGACAAAGATCCCAGACAGATGTCTTTCAGCGTACAACTTGCATGAAGAAACAGGTAGTGCGTACATTACATTGTGCGTACATAGTGTCGGAATTGATCTCGTGACCTGAACGCGACTAGCAAACAACCTCTCTTCTCCTCTATTCCTTTCTTTATACTTCATTCTACCTCTATGCAACTCGGTCAACATTGAGCATCCACCGCTCAAACTCGACACATAGGGCGTGCCGAATTCATGTCAATCCGACAGTTTCAGTAGAACCCTCACTCTTTGATATCAACGGATCATACTGCCACAATTACTACGTTTGCACTCCTACCTGCCATTCAATAAATCACAGTCACAATTACTCCCCTAGTCCCCCTGCTTCAGTTGTGGTCATCGTCTCAGACAGTGTCTTCCATGTCACAATAAGAGGATGTCAGGAACCGACCAATTGCGAATCATCATTGAGCTTGCGCATTGTGAGACTCATGAACCCTCATCGATGAATCCTCTATCACCGAGCGTGAGTTCTCTATGTGAAGTCATGCTTTGGCCCCGCTGAATCACAAGTCGACAGACCCCGCCTTGCGGTGATTTTAGAACAGTAATTAAACAAGCAATGAGTTTTGTTTGTTTTCGATTTTGCTGATAGGGTGTTACGGGCGGGGCTTACCCAATAGAAGAGGGGCAAGTACCGTTTGTGATAAGCGCACCTTCTATTAGAAAGGGATGGCTTTCGTGTACGGACGGCTGGGTCTTGCAGCTGGGTGCAGAGTACAGCTGCAAGAGTAGTTGGAAGTGATAGTGATTGAGATGCAATGAGGTTGAGGTGAGGTGGTGAAGAAATTGAAAGGGATTGTAACAAAGCTGAGTATACTGAGAATTGTTCTCTGAGGGAAGAGAAGCCTTCAAACCACCTCCTTATATAGTTTTTGGAAGGCCCTATGGACCCACTATGTAGACACTACAAGATCTGCTTGCAACTTGTACGCTGGGAAAAGATCGATATGGGATCTGCGTGTAAGTTGCATGCTGGGAAAGATCTATATGGGATCTGCGTGTAAGTTGCGCGCTGGGAAAGTATAGTAAAGATAGAAAAGGCTGTGTGTGTGGATCTTTGTGTGTATCACACGTGAAGGATGAGTTGGTGTCAGCATACGTCTGAGCGTATCGTAACATAGGGACACTACTTCTCCTTCTGCTGTTTTGTATTCTCTTCGTCATCATCATTTAATCATTGTCGACTTTGAGCGTTGGATGCTCAATATTGACCGAGTTGCATATAGAGGTATACAAGGAAAGTAGTGGGAAAGATGAATTGATGGCGAGATCCAAAAAAAAGAAGCAAATACTGATGATTCCGACACATCACACACTCTACACTACATTGCCCTTCGGTCAACGCCAGATACAAAACGTCAGACATATTCCTGGGCGAACTCCTCCATTCTTTTATCTCACCATCAACTCATCTTTCTCACTAGTTATCATCACCCCATACTTCCGTATGCAACTCGGTCAAAAGTGAGGATCCAATGCTTAGACGCGACAAAAACAACGCATGTACCTTGTAGATCAGCGCCCTTGATGTTCGTCGCGATAAGACCTTCCTCATATTCCAATCAAATTACTCTACATGTCCCTGCTGTTCACCTTGTCACGATTTCTCTCTTTTCGGTGATCGTTCTCCTGAAGGAGTGTGTCCCGTGAAAAGAGCTCTATCGCCGAGGTCGTGAACCACATCAGTATCCAGAAGTCGAAACCATTCGCTCAGGCAACAGTGTAGGGTTCCCGTCAAATCTAACGAATCATTGCGAACGCATCGTGGCGGAGGATCAGCCTTTTCTGTCGCACTCTTTTTACTTGTGTTTCTTTCACACCGTACGGCAAGTGCCATTGTGTTACGCTGGGCTCTTTGGGGCACCCCAAGAATCGAATTGAAGCAGCTCTCAACTGGAGATTTTATCTTACTTTCTGCTCACGTTTTCGACTCTTATGAGCTTCCTTACTTCTTGATCCTCCATTAGCTTCTCGCACCCGCGCCTGTCTTCGCGCTATGATGATGACTGCTCGAATTCAAAAGCCAAAGTTCGCTCAGGATGTCGCGCATTTTGCAACATTTTGCAAAAAGAACAAAATTCTGCCACGTTCTCCGTAAAGTTGAGCGGGCATTCATTCGTTGGTCGGTAGTCACGGCGAGCGTGGTCCGAAACTGCGAGGCCCACAGAACACGCGGCGAAGAACAATTAATGGGTTGAAGCATTCATCGAGAATGCAGAGAGGCCTGATGGATGGCGTGCAAGATGTTGGGAAAGCCGAGTCAGGGTTCCCATGGCTGTATCTGGGCAGAACAATCTGCTGCGATCGTTCTAGTGTGGCATAACGAACATGTCTGCCAAAATAATGAGATGCTCATGTCAATCGTAATTTCAAAGCAAACACTAAGTTGCGGATCATCTGTCACTGTCTAATAACAACAATCAAGTCAGGGAAGGGCGATCATGAAACAGTCCAAAATGGCTTAAGTCTGCTGCAGTTGCAAACAATTGAGAAAACCCTATCAATCTGGTCGTCAGCAACCCTAGCGATGACTTTGATTCATTCTCTGACGGCTCCAAGCTCTTGCTTGACTCTGTGACTTTGAATACCTTGCCAACCGGTCTCAATATTGTGACTGGTCGGCAGGCTCTGTAGCCTTGTCATTCCCTAGAGCCAGGCCAATTGTTTCCTAACAAGGAAGAGGCAAAGGCTGTGGTGACACTCAACTCGCTTCAGCAAGGTCACGCATCATGCACTGTGGTTGAATCGACCTCAAAAGTCCTCATTATGAAATGTGCCGGGAGAAAGCAAGGTTGCATGTATTGAGTATACCTAAGGTTGCTCCTGGCGGTCCATACAAGACCAAGACCTCTATGCTCACCACACCTGCTCTGTGAGCAAGATACCCAACCGCCACATGTCCAAGCAGACCTGGTTCCTCAAATGGGCGGCCAATCAGAGCAATCACGTCATATCATCAACCAAGCCAAAAGAGCTGTCCCTCAACCTCAATCAACACTATGGTATTCAGCCTTTGTATCAAGGGGCGTGGAGAGCAAAGGCCAAGATCAATGATGGTCTGACCGACACCCATCATGACGCATTTTGTCGCTTGGCAAATGTAAAGAAGTGCCGATGCATTTTCAGGTCTGGTCCATACAAAAAGCTCGGAGCACTTTACCAATCAACTCAACCATATTAAGCAAGAGACTGCGCCCACCATGAAGTATATCAATGATATAGACCACAAGACAAGGGCAAAATACGCTTTTGCTACCCCTCGCTTTGGCTATGGGTTCTCCCCCCATTATTGGACCCCCCTTAGTAGAGAACTTCAATCTTGGATCGCTGGTCTATCTAAGGCTATCTGCGGCTGCTATATATATCCTTCGCCGATCCTTCACCTGTCAATCAAGACTCATGCCAAGATCCTGTCTTTCGGTGATCCACTCTGTGTCAGATTTCGTTGGCTGAGGAATGAGGAATAGGATAATTCTTGACGAAGGCAGGCGAGACGAGGCGAGGGCTTCTGATATTCGGCTAGGATACTCGAATAAAGGTAGGACGAAGGCTAGTGTCGAAGGACCAGAGAGAGGTTGGCTGCAAAAGGTAATCGAGGCGTAGTTTGGCGAACTCAAGGCTATCAAAGGCAACTGGAGGCGAGCTAAGGCGACCGAAGGCAAAGGGCGGCAATGGGATGCAAGATCTAGTAATATTGAACTTCAATCTTGGATCGCTGGTCTATCTAAGGCTATCTGCGGGCCGATCCTTCACCTGTCAATCAATACTCATGCCAAGATCCTGTCCTTCGGTGATCCACTCTGCTTTTCTTGCCGAGCTTTTTGATTAGATAGTGAAGTGAAGGTGAGCCTCGGCGAATATCTTGACGAGCCGTTGAAGTTGAGGCGAGATATCGGTATTTCGGGGTTATGACCTTGTGGCGTTCTGACACTCTGCTTTTCTCGCCGAGCTTTTCGATTAGATAGTGAAGTGAAGGCGAGCCTCGGCGAATATCTTGGCGAGCCGTTGAAGTTGAGGCGAGATATCGGTATTTCGGGGTTATGACCTTGTGGCGTTCTGACATATGGTTCCCAAGGGAAATGGGAGATATCGAATGGTCACCGACTATCGCCATTTGAACGGCAAAACCGTAGCCGACGTTTGTCCTCTTCCCCTAATATTGGAGACTTTTGCCGACATGGCCGAATCAGTCTGGTTTACCAAGCTCAATCTCATCAGTGCATATCAGCTATTACGCCTCGAAGAAGATAGCGAGCATCTCTCGGCCTTCCGAATGCAATATGGGATGTTCCAGTCCAGGGTAGTCAGAGATGGACTGAAGAACGCTCCTGCGGTCTTTCAGCACTTCCTGAATGATGTGTTCCAAGACCTTTTGGGAAAAGGAGTGGTTGTATACATCGACGACATCACCATCCATGCAAAGACACAGGAAGAACTTCGACAGTTGACTCTTCAAGTATTTCAAAGGATCAGGAAAGCCAAATTATATGTTAGAGCAGAGAAATGTGACTTCGAAAAGAAGGAAATCAAGTTCTTGGGATTCATGGTCTCCAACAAGGGGCTCAGGACTAGTCCGGTGGCTGTGCAAGCCGTCAATGACTTTCCTCCTCCAACGACACTCACCGAATCTCGCCGATTTATTGGAATGATTGGCTATTACTGCAAGTTTATCGCCGACTTTTCTCGCATCGCCCAACCTATCACCAAGCTTACCCAAGATAGCGAAGATTTCGTCTGGGGTCCCGATCAACAAGAAGCTTTCATTCGACTGAAGACAGCACTCACTTCCGCCCCAATACTGGCTCATTTCCGACCTGATCTCCCTGCAATCATGCAAACCGATGCTTCGGCTTTCGGTTGGGGCTTCATCATATCACAGGTTCATCCCGAGGACGAATTGAAGCATCCAGTCTTTATTGAGTCCGGCCAGTTTTCGGGATCGGAGCTCAATTACACCACCGGGGAGAAGGAGCTTCTGGCCATCGTGGAAGGGTTTCGAAGAAGACGCCATAACCTTCTTCCTATCCACACTACCGTCATTACGGATCATCACAACCTCACTTACTTCATGAAACCCCGGCAGTTATCTCCCCGCCAACCACGATGGGTGACGGAGATCTCCCCTTTCAACTTCACCATCGTATATCGACCAGGACGTCAAGGAGAAGTACCGGATGCTTTGTCGAGAAATGGCCATCCTGGGAGGGGAGGTACAGCTGTGATTCCAGATAACTTCATTCAAGCTCTTCCTCGCTTTGGAGAAAGTACGCAGTCGAGATCTACTCATATGCGAGCTTTTCAACCTCCTCCTCAGACTAGAGACTATTGGATGACGGACAACGACTTGCTTCAAGGCCAATCAATGGACGAAGATATAGTCGAAATAAGGGAAGAAATGATGGGACTGGTTCCTCTTGGATATCAATTTGGCGTTTTGGAGTTAGAAAGTGTGGCAAATCTTCGGCGCAAGTCTCAAATGAACGGCTTCACCGAGGCGACTTGGTCAACTCAAGGATTCCTTTGCTTTGATGGCCAAACTTATGTTCCAAATTACGGCGATCTTCGGCTCACTATCCTCAGGTCTCGACATGAATCTCCTCTTGCAGGACATCCTGGAACGGCAAACACACACGAGCTGGTCAAAAGGGACTACATTTGGTCTGGTATTTGCCAAGATGTCGAAGACTATGTGGCAGGGCGCAGTGTCTGTCAGACTGCCAAGGCGGTTCACCACGCACCCTATGGCTTGCTCAAAACCTTGGAAGTAGCTCGACGCCCCCTGGCAGCATATATCAATGGACTTTGTGGAGCCTTTGCCGCATTCTAAAGGCTATGACTCGATACTGGTGGTCGTGGATAGACATTCTAAATGGGCGGCATTTATTGCAACCACTACGACTCTGTCTTTGGTGGACCTAGCTCTATTGGTGTTTGACAAGATTCTCTCCTTCCATGGCTTCCCGGAATCCATTGTCTCTGATCGTGGCCCAAAGTTCATCTCGCAATTCTGGAATAGTCTAATGAAAAGGTTTGGAACAAAGGTCAACTTATCAACTGGATATCACCCTGAAACCGACGGTCAAACCGAACGGACAAACCAAGCTTTGGAATGTTATCTTTGAATCTTCACAAGCTACAATCAAGACGACTGGTCAGAGCTCCTTGGACAAGCAAGCTTCGCATACAATAATACTGTCCACAGCGCTATCAAACAGACTCCCTTCTTTGTCAACCATGGGATCCATCCTCGTTGGGTAACAGAGTTACATTCAAGCCGAAAGAAGGACTCGCCCAAAGTTTCGACAATAGTCGCCAACATGGAGGAACTTCACGCCAAATGTAGCCGACTTATTGAAGTAGCAAACGAAGCCTACGCCAAATTCGCCGATAGGAACCAAATACCTGGCCCATCTTTCCAAGCGGGAGACCTTGTAAGACTAAGTCTCAAGAACATCAGGACAACCCGGCCCATGAAGAAGCTCGATGTCAAGTTTGGAGGACCATACAAAGTAGTAGAACCGGTTGGAACTCACAGTTATCGACTTAAGCTCCCTGCCTCCCTTCGACGCATACATCCAGTCTTTCACGTCAGCTTTTTGGAGCCTTTCAAATCACCTAGGTTTGAAGGACAGGCAAAAACTCGCCCACCAGTGGTGGAAGCCGAAGACAACAGCTACGAGGTCAAGGAAATCGTCAACTCTCGCCGAACAAGAGGCGTATTCATGTACAAGGTGGCCTGGGCCGGCTACGAAGGGACTAGTGAAGAAACAGGCTGGGAACCAGTATCGAATATCCTACCTGGAGCCGAAGAGGCAGTAGAACAGTTCCACCAAAAGTATCCGAAGAAGCCAAGACCTTGACGCAAGATATGGACATTCATAATCGATACCCACATCACCTCCCCGACATACCCCTCTTTCTCTTCTTTCCACTTCCCTGATCCTCGTCATCACTCTCCTCCAACTGCTCGATGTCATCCTCCGAATCGCTTTGTTCTACCCCCAAAGCAACCTTAAGCCCTTCGACCGCCCTCTTCAACGTCTTCCTCCTCATCCTATTCACCTCCGTGCTTGCCAAAGCAGCTAGCTCACCCAAATGTACCAAAGCTTTACTGGACGCCTTTGGAATTTGGGCAGAACCACTAGCCCGGGTCAAAGGTGATCCAGCATGACCAGAGTGGAAGGAACAATGATCCGAAGTACAAGACTTGCACTTCATGGTGGCTTTCCCTTCCCTCTGGAAGCAGGGCAAGTCATCAAGTCTAAACATCAGCATGGACCTGCATCAACACTTACTGGCATCGTTCACATCGACTCGACCCTCTATGCTCCACCATTCCCACCACTACACTTCCATTCGGCTTATACTTTCTCTTTACATTGTCAATACTATTACATCTCAAGCTCACTTACTTCCAAAGTCAACCGATTCCGGAGGGAGCCTTTCACCGGAGTCCTCTTCTCGTCCATCTTCTCGTCCACATTCATCGATGCTCCTTGTTCCACATCGACGATCGGAGTAGTTGGCACTTCCGCAGCAAAAGGTTGTTCCTCTACCGCAAGCGGTAGTGGTCCAATGGTTGCCAATGGGCTCGACTGCTCCATGTCATTGGATGGAGGGGCTAGCGTCAGCATTATTCTTCTTGGTTCTCACAATCTGGAGTAAACAGCGCCCGCAATGGCGACCGCAACGGCGACCCTCTCGAAGAAGACGACGCTTGACCCGTCGCCCCTACGTCCTCCACCGTCGTCTCCTCACCCCCACCGCTCGCCTGCTCCCCTTTCCCCCGCCACTGAAACCGGTACTGGTTGATTTCGCATTTGGACTGATCCATTAGACAGCACAATCAAGAGAAACTCACGACGCCTAGACTGTCTGCCGCCCAATGCAGCCGAAGGCATTCTTTTTGCGGCGTTGTTTCCGTTGGTCATCGTCAAATGTTAGAGGTCGAATGTCAAGAATGGCTATCCACGACGACTGCATGACGAGAGGTTGTCAAGCTACGGAAACAAGGCTAAGCTGAGGCTACCTTTGGTCGCGAGGACGCGACCATTTTGTAAGAAGGGATGGACTGTCAGGACGCCACAAGGTCATAACCCCGAAATACCGATATCTCGCCTCAACTTCAACGGCTCGTCAAGATATTCGCCGAGGCTCGCCTTCACTTCACTATCTAATCAAAAGCTCGGCGAGAAAAGCAGAGTGGATCACCGAAAGACAGGATCTTGGCATGAGTATTGATTGACAGGTGAAGGATCGGCGAAGGATATATATAGCAGCCGCAGATAGCCTTAGATAGACCAGCGATCCAAGATTGAAGTTCAATACTACTAGATCTTGCATCCCATTGCCGCCCTTTGCCTTCAGTCGCCTGAGCTCGCCTTAGCTCGCCTCCAGTTGCCTTTGATAGCCTTGAGTTCGCCGAACTACGCCTCGATTACCTTTCGCAGCCAACCTCTCTCTGGTCCTTCGACACTAGCCTTCGTCCTACCTTTATTCGAGTATCCTAGCCGAATATCAGAAGCCCTCGCCTCGTCTCGCCTGCCTTCGTCAAGAATTATCCTATTCCTCATTACTCAGCCAACGAAATCTGACAGTATGTAAGGAAGACTTTTACAGACTGCCAGTTCTTCTTCCCTAAGGATCAAATTAGCCTAGGTTACTTTTTACTACTCTTCTTCTTCTTCATCTTTTCATGCAGTAATCCAGCAGACCTCACTATTGCTATCCCTCTACCCCGGCTTGCCTGATGCTTCCAAGCCATTCCTAGCCATCCAACCAATCCCAAATTTACAAGCCAACCACTGAACCGAACTTAAGCTCGACTAAACGACTATTATCTGCCTGTCTTTGAATTTGAGGTCTTCCAGAACAGGGTTGCAACAGGCCTGCAGAGCAATCAGCATGCTGTGATAAGCCGTTATATGATATAACAGCCCATAAAGGCATAGAGCATTGCTCAGAGCGCGATGGTTTGGATCAAAATGCACTCACCGCCTGTTTCCGTTGCCATACTCCTTCAGTTGATACTGCACCGCTCTATAGGGTGCCAATGTAGCATTGCTATTACTAAAAGCTGCATCACCCAAGAAGAACTTCCCCTCTGGAACTTTGACGTCTGTCGCAATTACTGTCAGATTTCGTTGGCTAAGGAGTACGGAATAGAACGATTCGCGGCGGGTATAGGCAAACAGAGGCGAGACAGGACAGTCAGTCCAGACGTCGGGAGGGCAGGCTGCATCAGAACGACCCTACCGCCTAACTGATCTGTAATGTCGAGGACCCTTTCGTGACACAGCCCATTTTGGAGCTCTGTTTCTCATGACCCAGCCCATTAGATAACCCTCTCAGGTAGCGAGTTGGCCGGAGAAATGTATACATTCCCTTCTCAGGCTTCACCGGACCGTCGGGCTCGCCAAAGCTTGTTTTAAGCGGCCTTCACTCGCTTGCAACAAGGCCCGAGCGGTCTCGGCACTGCAATCCCGTAAATACGCCAGAGCCGCTACTTTGACACTTCCATCAGAATTACGGAGAATTGCGTCTACCGCTTCATCGTCCGCTAAGGCATCGCGCTTGATCTCGTATTCTTCAGAGGCCGTTGCAACGATGGCTCGGAATACTCGGCGGGCTCTCACGACTAGCTTGTGATTAGCAGTTTTCAGGTCGACCATCTAAAGAATCCGTCAGCAGCTCTAAGACCCATGTGACACACCAGATTGCCATACGTCTTTCCCGTACGGATCATAACACCCGTGCTGATCATGTTCAAGAGCTGCAACCGGTTAGCCATGACAGCTTATCAATTCTCACCAATTTAGTTGCCGTTCCTGCTTTCATTCTCGTGCTTCCAGTGACGACCTCCGGTCCAACGATGCACTCGACGACTTCCTCGCAATTGCCCTCTTGACGAAAAGCACTGTTCTCAACACAAGCGATACCAACTGTGAGACATCCAGTAGAATTTGCGTGCTCGAGAGCTCCCAGGACGTACGGCGTCCGTCCCGATGCAGCGATGCCAATGACAGTGTCTTGCTTCGATAATGGCGGATCCAGTGTAGCTAGAGCCTCTTGGCCTTGTTGACGCGAGTCTTCGGCATCCTCGACTGATTTTCGGAGAGCCTGATCGCCGCCGGCAATCAGTCTGTTTTATTGTCAGCCTTGTTCCTCACTAGCTCGTACGTACCCGATATAAGATTCGACTGGTGCTGAGTAGGTTGGTGGACTGCTACGTCAAAAACCTGTCCGGAATCGGTCATACGCACATCTCAGAAGCATCGAGAACGCCTAGTCGGCCACTCGTTCCGGCGCCCAGCTGAATGACACGGCCACCTCTAGCAAGTCTGCTCGTAATCTGGTCAATCACGCGTGCTATTGTGTCTATATGTAGGGAGACAGCTTTGGCAACTTTCAGATCCTCGTTGTTGATCATCCCTCAAAGAGTCAGCCAGGCGGGAGGAGACATGCCTTACTGCAAAGCTCGATCGTGGATACAGCATCGATGTGCACTGTGGCAGGGTTGCGCGACTCTGTGGCCAACATTTCCAGATCCACATGTTGATCATCAACCGCTTGATTCATGGTCATTGCGTTCCTTTACCTCAACGCGCGAATGGGACAATGTTTCCGTTGAACATACACCAATCAACTCACTCACGTTCGGCAAATGTGACCTCCGAAACGTAGTTGGGCGGATAAGCCGATCCTCTGATTACCACGTGACAGAATGACGTGTCAGAAATCTGGCTTTTTGATATCTCCAATTCCGTTTGTGGCCGTTTAAAGCACTGTTGCGCGCGCTGCTCGCCGCCAGCTTGCGCCTCGTGCCCCCCCTTAGCCCCCCCTTCCCCCCCTCCCCTAACCTCCCCCCTCTCCCCCTCGGGTGCTCTGCCTGTGGCTGTGGTCCCCATGCTCTCGCCTGCTGCCACATCACCTTAGTCTCATCTGCCGCCGTGGTCTCTCTCCTCCTTCAATCTCGGTCCTCACGCCCTCATCCATCCATTCATACATACACCCATCCATCCATCCGAATCTTCATCTGTGCATATAGTCCTCGCTCACCAACGTTTGTAGATCGACGGTGCCAGAGGGATCCACCGCTCCCCCCTTTGCCCCCTGGAACCGGCTAATACTCTCCCGCTCAGCCGCCCTATATCGCGATCCTATCCTTATATCCCCCCTCTCGCTGACACATCCCTCGATCTACCGGTCAGGTGAATCAAATCGACTACTCTACACCTCCATCATGCAAGTTGAGGGTCCTGGGGGCATGATCAATCCCAGCGCTGGGGTGCATTCTGCTTATCAACGTTCATCTGAGAATGACATGACACGTCAAGGCTCAGGTGGATTACCATCAGATGGGTACGTACCACTTCTAAATGTGTCTTCGCGCGTTTGCTGACTGTGTCTCAAGTAACAGCATGTATCCCTATCCTGCTTTTCAACCCAACCTGCATTCTCAAAGCATCAATCTGCCGGCTCCGTTCCCGGGTGCTTCTTCCTCGTCATCGTCTGCCTCCCTAGGCATGTCGGTATCACCTCCGCGGTGGGTGACTGGAGGAAACGCTGGCTGGGGTGGTCCACCACCAATGTATGGCGGCTCGGGTAGCTACGTAGGTAGCATTGGAGCTCTCGGCACGAGCTTTGGACAGGAACGAGACCGCGAGCTTGAAGCAAGATATGTTAGAGACTTCGCATGCTGCGGACGGCAGCTGAACGGATTGCACGAGCTACTTGAGCAGTGAGTCACCACAACTCATCGGTCTTTATCTAACCTGGACCAGTTATGAGGAGGAACACGCCAATCTTGGTCCAAGCGCCCGCATGGCAGCAGTCAACGCAGCATCTCATACGCCTCAAAATCGAATGGACTCGGTCCAGAGCGCTTCCTCTGTATCGACGATGAGCCCTGCTGTCGTCACTCCGATGCAAACAAGTTACTCTCAGAACGAACCGCCGACAGCACCAGGCATGGTTGACATCGAAATGGATGGGCCCGGTCATCATTCCGTCCAAACCGCATTTCCCAAGTCACAACATCCGCGAGCAGCTGCCGTTTCAAGACCTTCAGGAGTGTCCATCAGCGCTCCTGCTAGCCCTTGGGCTGGGGCGTTCCGACCACAAGGAGGAAGTACACCCCCTCACTGCTTACCGCCGAGCCTCCTCTCCTCCGGCCCACCTCATACCGCCTCCAGCACCCCAACCCCGGAGCAACAGATGAAAGCGCTCAAGAAAGCTCAACGGAAGGTGGAACGGATGGCGTCCCGCGACGATCCTTCCGCGAGTGATGCAGAAGGCGAGAAGAAGTTTCCTTGCCCTGTGGAAGGCTGCGGGAAAGTGTATAAGCAGGCTAATGGTCTCAAGTATCATCTGACCAAAAGTGTCAACGGTCACGGGCACGTAAATCTCGCGGCAATGGGAGGTCTAGCTCCGTTTTTGAGCGACAGAGGGCCCGAGTGAGCATCGGATGAAGACACGACGAAAATGAGTTGGAAGAAGAAAGGGTTTCCTGGCTTTTATGTTGTACAGAGCCATGCATCATTATATCGTAACTGTTCACGTTCAGGCGATCAAATCAGTCCTTGGCGGAAGGCACAAACCCCCTGCCTCGTGTCCATCGCGGACCCAAGTGCACGCGAAATTCCTGACAAGTCAGCACGCTGATTCACTGAGAACTCACGGCCATCTGGACGCCAAGCAACTTTAGCAGTCGACATTGTTCGCTAGAGAGAACATCGCCTTCACGGCATACCACATGTGGCTCTTTCAGGGACGGCACGCCTCGAAGCAAGCAACTGGAAAGACCTAGGTTGCGCAATTGAGGTTCCATGGAATGAGGGAAGGGATCACCACTCGGTGGGTCGGTGAATGGCGATAGAATGGGACCTGGGTTGAATCAGCACGCATCTACCTCGAGCGGGTGGTATAGACCAACCGGCAGGAAGCACCACTTCGCGGTCTGCATTATCCCCCATGCGTGCAAATTCCTTTCGAGACCAGGAATCAAACCATTCTCTAGTCTCTTCCACATCCCACGAGGTCAGAAACAAGCCCATCGACCCTTTTATAGACTGGAAGGTTAGCAGGTGACTGGTCGTCCTCACGCTCACTTCTGCGATCTGTGAAAGGCCTGGCTCATGCTCGGTATCTACGGATTCTCCCAATGCCTTTGCCATGACCCTGCCGCGTCCGAAAAAGAATCGACCCGTTCCCCTCCATTGGACCCGGAGTTCCTTGAGGGCATCGTTGCGGATGTTGCCTAGATCAAAGAGCCAGACATGATCGTAGGTGTCGATTTGAGCCCGTAGTTCATTGCCAAGCGCAAGTTTCGACTCTTTCGTTGTCCTCAACGGTGTTTTAGTGAGAGAAGTCACCTTAGATCTCTTCGATTTGGGCATCGCGAGGGCTGCTGAGATGTTATAGATAGATAGCTAGCTGGCCGACGAGTGGTTGTGGTACATGCAAACTTCTGGTACCATACGGTGGAAAATTATTTTAACTTTTCGAAGCTTGCCACGTGACTGAACACCGACAGGACTTGCCTTTTCTGGAAATTATCGTTCGACGTCGAAAAGGGGCGACAAGCAACTTTCACTTGCTCGTCACCACATTCATCATCATCTTTCCGACACCTTACGCCGCTGTGCGAGATTGAATCCATCTCAGCTCAAGATGCCTCACGCTGCGACGAACACTATCGACTCTGACATCGTGGCGTTCGCCAACAGTAATCCGCCTCCTCCCTACCCTGGTTCAAATCAGTACGATTTGACGCCCACTCCTTACACCCAAAATCGACCTCGATTGCCCGAAGAGAGAAGAAACTTGCACCTCACGGCTCGTAGGTCGCGTCGTCGAGTAGCTGCACATCATATGCTGAAATCACGAGCAGTTCCCGAAGACGCCAAGATCGTCAAATTCCAGACCATCGTTCGCGAAGGCAAGGAGATTGTTGTCGGCAGAATCAAAGTGCCGACCGTGAGTTTGCTCCCTCTGGTCGCGCTGACTATGAGAAGACCGGACCTAACGCTCACGCTTTCATCTTACGCCGTTATGACACAAATGCCGTTTCTCTGACCACGATGTTCAAGGTCGCGTTTCCCGGCGCAACCGATGAAGAGGAGAGGCGAGAGATGGACTGGGTGCGTGGACGACGCGTCGAAAGATGCTGATGGTGCTTCAGGTGCGGTCCTCGTATGACATTCGCGACACGAACGGGGGTAGAGGCTGTGATGCAGTCCGCTTGGCTGGTCAATGGTGAGAAGTCCGCCAGAATTTTCCTGAAAAGTACAGGGTTAGCCGCCATCTTGCCATTCACCTCGCACCCGCTTACAACATCTCTGAGCTCGTTGCGGTGAGTGTGATCGATCTCTATTCGCTCAAACCAAGGCTCTCGCTCGCGCTGTCCCTGATCCCAACGTCGCCTACCGGAAATCCCAGAGGTCCCAAGCCGCCGCTGAGGAGATGTCGCGTCAAAAACCAGAAGTCTCTGCTCGTACCAACACCGTTGTTCCTTCCATGTCCAACGAGTCCGCGTCTCCAGCGCCAAAGCGTCAAAGACGCCAGAGCGCCCAGCCTGTCTCAGATGCCGTAGATACTGACGCAGGCAGTCGCCACTTGACGCTCGAAGCCGTAACTACGGTGACTGCCCCTACGGGTGCTCAGGTTGATATGGAGGCTGAAATCCAATCAGCCAAGCAACTCGTGATGGATCTCAAGCGCGAACTCAATCTTCGAGCCGCTGCTGGAGAGGAGCTTGAGGACCAAGGAGCAGATGTTGCTGAAGGTAGCCGGGGCACAAAGAGGAGCAAGGGATCGGACGAGGGTGTTGCTATCTCTGGTGGAGCTGGAAAGGACCGAATCATCCGACGATCTAAAAGGGTCGAACAGACTGGTGTCGCTCAGACCGCTCGTCAAGTCGCATGGGGGGCACTGATTTTTGGCTTGGGAGTTGGTGCAGCGCTGTAAGTTTCGTTTACCTGTTTCTTATGCCCCGCTCATATATCTCTCAGTTCATTGCCTCAGTTGGCCGCTCAGTTCCTGTAGACTGTACGCTAGCTTATAGCTATATACTTCCATAGGTAGTAGACTCTTATTCTGATCACGCGTTTGATAATGACAGGTAGAAATATATACCCTTCGTATTTGTAGGTATGACGAGATGAGGATACACAAGAAGAGGAGACCGATGCATACAACATGCCATCTATTCAGTCACGCTCTGCCTTCGACCTGATACAGTGCGACTCCGCACCGAGATCGCCAAGGCTCCTTCTGCTTCATCCTCCATCACCTGGCTTGGACGGCGACCGCGAATCAGATCTTGGCTCCCCATGGGATACACAGCGCTATCATTCATGACGCACTCCTCGTCCTCATCGTCCGACAAGGTTTCATTCCAGTCGACTTCGTCCTGGCTTATCCGTCCGGAATAATCTGGTAGGACGGGAGGCCTCATACGGGACTCCCATGAAGATGTGGGAGTGACACGAGCTGCAACAGTCTCCACATCCGCATGTTGGACCGACGACGAAGAACTGGCGTCATCCACGGAGGATGTGCTAGGTCTGGCATCTGAAATCGAGATGGTTGGCGTAATCGGACTCTCGCTATCACCATTACGAAGGCGTGATCGCTGGCGACTTGACCTACTTTGACTATTCGTTCGGGACAAAAGGCGCGAAAACTTTCCAGTAATACCAGAGGTCGCCGTATGACCATCCGTTGTCCGACTATTCACAGCTTCGACATCACTTGATCTGCGAATCAAACGATTCTGCTCGTTGAGTAGACTGAAGGGAGAGGGAGGATCTGTAGAGTCGACTGAAGACTTAACATTGGTGGGAAGCTGAAGTAGTTGCGAAGAGTGGGACCGATGGATTGCAGGCGATTGCTTATCCCGAGGGTCCTGAGAAGAGAGACTCCGAGCAGGAGCAACGGAATCCGATCGACTGGGATCCCTCGTCCGGCGGTGGTTTCGGAGGGATAGTCGCCGAGAGATAGCGCCTGGTGATACTGCATGGATCGTTGAGCGATTAGCAAAAGGCGTGGCGGGGGTTGCTGTAGAAGAGTCTTCCCCAAAGCTCCGACTACGTGACCGTCCCACGTTGCTGAATAGTTGTAGCCTGTTTGAGATGTTGCGAATGCCCTTTCGGAACTTGTCACGAAAGCTACTCGATTTGATGACCACAGCGGCAACCTCATCACTAGATACAGTGACGAAACTCTGAACGTGCGGATCTGTAGACGCAAGCCAAGTCGTGGGCTCTGGCAAGCCACGCAACGTGAAGGGATGACGCTGCCATCAGCAAAGACAGCTCGGACACGCTCACTTTGGCTTGTTCCAGGGTGATGCGTTTGGCGGGGTCTTTCTCTAATAATCGATGCAGCAAGTTTAGACACTCGTGAGACTCGGGGGACTCGGCTACTCCGTCGCTGCACATGAGCCGGGGGTACTGGATTTTGGCATGCGGTATCGCCTGCATGAGGAGGTACTCATTGGCGGCATCGAAAGGTGTGCGGCCATATGACAAGCAGTAGAGGGTCACGCCGAGCGCCCACACGTCGATTGCGTTGGTTATTGGGTGGCGAGAGGCGGACGATGGAGAATCGCCTAGATCAACGACAAGGGAGTTGTCCTCGGTCCCGGAGAAGCACATTTCAGGAGCAAAGAATGCTGGCGATCCGGCCGTCTTCGCCAGCTCAATATCGTCAACATACTCCTCCCCTTCCGGGCCTGATTGAGCCGAGGCGGTTCGCAGAGCCTCCGAGAAATGCGAACATCCAAAGTCGGAAATCTTAACTGTACCGTCTGCGGACCTCAGCAAATTTGATGGCTTGATGTCCCGATGTATGATACCCTGGTGATGTACTTCGTGCAAAATGAGAACCGCGCAATCCCATGGAAACTCACAGTACTCCAGGCCCAGTAAGGTGTCACGGAAGACGTTCCGTGTCTCCTCTAATGAGAGGGCTGGATGCCCGTCTGATGTCCTCCACTGTACTTCGCCCCCTTCACAGTATTCCATGATCATGAACAATTTACTGGACTCTGGGTCATCGATTATCTCCTTCATCTTCACAACATTTGGATGGTTGACCTTCTTGAAGATGGCTATTTCTTTGCGGATCCTGGAAAATAAGCCTTACTTCACGCCGAGGAAGACTCACTCGCTCTCGTTAACCATATTTGCGCCCTCACCATTGCCTTTTTGCCTTGAGAGCCCACCCAATCGTCGCTTCTTTGAGGACCGGTCGACAATCTTTATGGCCTAAATCCCGTGAGATCCTGGGGATTCTATTGACTTACATAGAAAGCCCGTTCGTGCTCTGCGTCGCTGTCTTCTAGACCGTTTTCTGCCGAGATATCTTCGCCTAGGCGGACCCTCCCGTGCGTACCATGTCCAATCTCATGCCTGACCTGGTCAAAGGTGAGTGCTCAAAGGCGATTGACACCCACGAGGTACTGATTAATCATTTTTCTCCCAGTCTCTGGGTCGCGATCCAGGCGAAGCTGAGGAGTCTCGATGCTGACGATGAGTTCGGTTCCCATTCTTGCCAACTCACACGTCGACGACCTCTTCATCTGACCTCGGACTCAGGGCGGCACTGTCTACTGGCGGACGATGCATTCCATTTGAATGCTTCTCTTTGCCGGAATTCCGTCGCAACAAAGAGTTGGAAGCCCGCGAAAGGCTCAGATGAGAGTCCAAGAGTGGAGAAGCTCTCAAACGAGGTGATACTGACCTCGGAGAGGGAACAAGTCCAGCTTGTCGTGCAGGATGAGATTTGCTTCTCTCCAGATTGGAACTCGACGCGATGGAATCGGCGTGCGGCGCGTTAAGAGCGAGGATCAACGAGTCCTCAGCCTCTGGCGGTCGAAGTAGGTCTCCCATCTCGCCTGAGGAGATCAGCAGCTCGAAATGAGTCGGACGACTGAGGGTATGCTCGAGATAAGCGGAAATGTGTACAGAGATACAAGAGAGGTTACGATGTAAGCACTGGAGTATACGGCGGTGAACTCCGATTATAATGTGATTATGCAACAAAATCATTCATGGCCATACCGAAAGACTTTGTGAGAGCTTATTAAGTCATGAAGAAGAAGACGAATAAAGAATTTCAGCAGGTAGTCTAGTACTCGCCCTCCTCCTCGTCAGGATCGACCGAATCGAGGCCGACCTCTTCGTAGTCCTTCTCGAGGGCGGCGAGATCTTCTCGGGCTTCTGAGAACTCTCCTTCCTCCATACCCTCGCCCACGTACTGCAATGGTGTTAGCGATGTCTAGCATGGGTTCGATTTGCTTCTCACCCAGTGAACAAATGCACGCTTGGAGTAAAGCAGGTCGAATTTGTTGTCAAGACGAGCCCAAGCAGTGGCAATCCTGAAACTTGAGCGCGCTTCTTACTACTTCACTCACGAGGTAGTGTTGGAAAGCATACAGAGAGACCTTGAAACCTTCGCCAAGTCGCCACCAGGCACCAAGGCGGGAGGCTCGTTGCAGATTCCGAGCTTCATCATCAGCATGTGCCGGCAATTATCTCTCACCTTGAAACCGGTAGGACACCAGTCAACGAACTGAATTGTTCGCTTCGTCCGCACGTTGGCAACAGCGGCGTTGACATCCTTGGGCACGACATCCCCTCGGTAGAGCAAGCAGCATGCCCTGGACGTCAGACACATTCTATATTTGACCTACATGTATTTGCCCTGTCGGGGATCACACTTGACCATCTGGTTGTTCGACTCGAAACACGAGATCGTCATCTCAGAAACAGAGTTCGATTCGTGGAAGGCTAGCATTGTCAGCGGGGAACGACAGCGCGACCGGCGCACCCTTTTCAGCGGAAATGACCGGAGCGTAAGTGGCAAGAGGGAAATGAATTCGAGGAAAGCTAAGCACCATCGATTAGCGCCCTCCTTACGAGTGAGAATGGGCAAGCCGGAAATGGGTCATGCACTCACGGGACCAGATTGGTCTGGAATTCGTTCAAATCAACATTGAGCGAGCCATCAAATCGCAGGGATGCAGTGATAGACGAAACAACCTGTGCAATGAGACGATTGAGGTTGGTGTAGGATGGTGCCGAGATTCCCAAGTTCCGTCGGCAGATGTCGTAGATACTGCGCGTCAACGAGCACTCAATTGTGACACTCACGCCTCATTGTCGACCATGAAGGAACAGTCAGAATGCTCCAGAGTGGTATGAGTAGTCAACACAGAGTTGTATGGCTCGACAACCGAGGTGGACATCTTCGGGGCAGGGTAAACTGAAAATTCGAGCTTGGACTTCTTTCCATAGTCGGTTGAGAGACGCTCCATGAGCAGAGCACCGAACCCGGAACCGGTACCACCTCCGAAAGAGTGGAAAACGAAGAATCCTTGGAGACCGGAACAATTGTCCGCAAGTCTTCTCACTTGTTCGAGAACAGTGTCCACGAGATCCTTTCCAATCGTGTAGTGACCTCGGGCGTCTGAATTGTGATTTAGCGAAGAGTGGCAGCGAGAAGTTGTTTCATGCTTACAGTTGTTCGCTGCATCCTCTTTGCCCGTGATCATGGTCTCAGGGTGGAAGAGGCTTCGGTAAGTTCCGGTGCGGACCTCATCAATGACATTGGGTTCGAGATCCACCTGCAGATCAGATAATCGTTCGGGCAGTGCGACCCACGTAAAGGGATCTGGGCACATGTTTGCCTGCTCCAGTCTCAGAGAAGAAGGTAGAAAATCCGTCATCGTTTCCCGCAGGGGAACCTTCAGTCACCCTTCCATCCGGCTGAAAACTCGTCAGCAGGTGAGATGTACGAGGTATAGAGTTGGCGGAGGTATTGTCCTCGCAGTAGCCACACTCACGGTCAGACCGTGCTCTATGGTGTACAGTTCCCAGCACGCGTTTCCAATCTGGACACCTAAGTTATGTGAGTTGACCGTGACGGGGTCCAAGCGTCCCAAACGTACCCGCTTGTCCTACGTGAATCTGGGCGTGGATCAGCGATTGAAGTTCGGGTCAAGAAAGAAACTCACTGAGATAACCTCTCGCATTGTCGATTGAGCCAGTAAGTTGAATGGAGGAGCTATGGGGGCATGTGTCAGATGAGAGAATCAAAAGGTATGTTTGGTGGAGTAGATATCGAGGCATGTTGTGAAATTTTCAGGCTCACTAGTTTTGACCTACTTTAAGCCAGTTGTATGTGCTGTCAGAGTCTTCACTTGTCACAATCAGAATGTGACTGTCTCTTGTCGGTGTGTTGACAGCAGACGAGAGTGATAATGCCGAAGGAATGAAGGAAGGAAAGGTGGTGGGTGGGTGAGTTGAACGACGGGAAAACGATTGTTGGGGTTTCAACGCGTCTTTCCGACCACGCGACGGCCACGATTCTTATTCAATCCCACCTTTTACAAGAACTGTGTGTGTGGCACTTATACATGCATTACTTCTCAACATCTATCGATGAGCCAGCGACGCCAGTCATTCAGGACTCGTTGTCGCTTGGCATCGTCCTGCTCATCAATTCCCACCTTGAGCATGACTGCTGCATCAGTTCCGCGTTATGCATCGATGAGCTCACTGTGTTCGTAACCCTCAAAGATCTCTACCTGTTTGTCCTGATGAGGCAGCCTCTCAAATAGTCGCAAAGTACCGGACGGAGATGTGACACGATCGGAGGATCCATGAACGAGTCGAATAGCTATTGATTCAGAGAGGTCAATTTGTTTAGGACTGTAGTGCAGGAATTTCCAAGACTCACGGGCGTTGATCTTCTCAGCTGAAGCGTCCAATTCAGCCATCGCATCTAGCAACATGAACGCCGTGGCCACACGGACATAGCCATGATAGCAGAGTGCTGAGATAAGCGACATTGCATTACAGACTTACGGTCCGCGAAAAAGTCTTCTTCCACACGCGGATCATCAGATACCTTGCCTGAAGTCAGGCAAAGACCGAAGGAAAATCTCACCTCGCAGCGACTTCGCCAGCGGCAGCGGACCAGCAACGTAACGAAGACAGCGCCCGATGTACTCCGTAACTTTCCACGGTCGCGACTCGGCGGATACTGGCGCTTAGCAGAGTATTGATCAAGGCCTACCTGATACCATGGGGCATAGAACGTAAGCGCCTGCTATCTGTATTCGGGTCTCGTCATTGCTCGCTGCCTTCGCAGTCGACGTAGTGGGCGGATATTGCGACAGATAATATAGCCTAGGGTCAGCTGGATTTCAGTGTTCACCCATACACTGTCCATCCTCCAAGGGAGCTTCCACTCAGGAAGACCTTCCTTTGCTCAAGACCTTCAGTAATGTCGTGTCTCACCAGGTCCGTGAGTACGCAATGCAAAGCGGAGGAAAGAATACGGGGAGCAGGGATATATGAGTGTACACTGGAGTCAGCAGCCGGCACAGCCTCTGACCCACCCAGTGGATCGTCCGTACTAGATTGTCAGCCCGACTGAGGTTTTGTATGATACTCACAGACGGCAAATCTGGAATGACAACACGAAAGCCAGCTCGAAGGAAGTGTCTAATATGCGGAGCGTAACGTAGTCCATAGTCGCTGAGGCCATGTATGAGGACCAGGTCTTTTCCGCGACCCCTCCCTTCTTCCTCCCACCCGTCCTGATCAGGTTCAGGCATCTCCCAAATGCTGTACGATAGCCAATTTTCGGACGATCTGAGCGTCTCTGGCCCTAGATCGACTATCTCAGAGTCCAAAGCTCTGACTGGAACCTCGTCGGCGATGAAGACTCGGCGGTAGGAGTGCTTGAGCTTTGGATCATTGAGCAAGTCCTTCACGGGAGGGTGGTGTCCGATGTTCCACCTTCCGTAAGCTGCAATGATCAGCGACGACGCCTAGACGTGTCTCTCACTGAGGTCTGTAGGCTGGTATAGACCTGCCCCTTTCAAGTATGGCTCCACGACATCCCATAGGGGGCTCATTGTTCGTGATCTATAGTTGCAAACACCATTTGACCAGATTCCTTGTAATGACGAGCGTTGAATGAACTCCGGAAGCAAAAATGTGGGGAGATTAACCGGGGGCCAGCAATTGTTTCAGTTATTGGTGTATCTTGCAATCAAGACGCTGTGCAGATTTTCGAGATAGCAAGGATACTTCAGACATTGTCACCACCGACATTTGGAAGGCCTAACGACTCTCCCCTGTGAGTGGACTTTGCTGATTCGCTGCATGAGTCTATCCATTCCCTCAGTGCGGTAGAATTTTCGGAGAAATTTTGACTCGTCTCGCTAGCGTCGCTAGGCGAACAAAGGGGCAAGCGGACGGGAATCCCATTTTGTTTGAGCAGATCATCCAAATCTCAAACCCTCATACGAGGAACTGGAATCGTCCGTGACAGACTGCAGACCTTCTCATTGCCTTCGAAGCTCTCGCTACAATCTTTTGAGCTGACAATACTCGTTTTTGGCTCAGGAGAAAGTCTAGACATAGACGGTGGATCCTCGGTCCAGCGGTTACATCCCTTGTCAAAATCTTTCCGAGGCTTCTGCGGGCGACATTGTGAGTACGGGCAGCTCACTTTCCTATATAACATATCTTCACTGTCCAAAGCTCTTGGATGAACAGAGAATCATGGTCAACGCTGACTCCCCTTTCGCCAGTCATTTTCGGCCCCCAATCATTCCCATCCGTCGGCCCGTGTCTGGGTCTCATCCAGGCGTAGCATTTCCTAGGGCAGACTTCAAGCACTCTCTCGAACGCTGGAGCAGAAAAGCGTCTGTCATGAACTCAAGCGGGGAGGCGAGGGCAGCGCTGCCTCAGCCACAAAACTTGCTCTTCATTGAGCCTCACGTCTCTAAACAACTTCCAACAAATGCTCCAGTCGGCGGCAAGTTAGGCCAGCAAGAGACCACACTGCCCCATGTACATTCCGAAGCTTCCGAGTACTATGGTGGCAATCAAGTCTGGAGCCGAGCGCGGACATTCAGCAATGTGAGGTGTGATGAAATCCCTCGCTGACCCATCAGGCAGGCGTTTCTGGAGCGAACAAGACCAGACCGCTGCAGATGGAAGGCGAGACAATCATGAGGAATCGTCGACTCTCTCATGGTAAGATTGAATAAGCCTTGCTGGCTGACGTGCAGATGAGATCACACCCTCCGCTCCCAGACGTTTTCTGATCGATGTAGAAGAGACAATACGCATTGTCTTAGAGCAGGAAGATACAGATCAGAAGTGAGTCTCGTTTTCAGGTGACCGTGCTGATGCGAAGCTTCCAAATCTCCATATACGACTCGGGTCCGAAACTACTATCTCTTGGTACGGCGAGCTCCAATGCTCACAAGACATTTGACATCCGAGTGAGATATATCATAGCGACCCTGCTGATGGAAGGGTACATACATGCTGTCAAACCTGTTGCAAGAGCTCGCTCTCGCCCGCGATTATGGAAGAAAGCGCATTGTGCTAGATGAGGCACGCTTGGCGGAGAATCCGGTGGACCGACTGTCTCGAATGATCAAAAACTCCTTCTGGAACGCCTTGACCAGACGAATCGATGCCCAAGGACTTGAAGTGGCTTGCGCGGATCCGAAGAACCGCAGTCGCGAAATGCGCGCCTTGATCTACGTTCCATATGGGGAAGACGAGATTGCAGAGTATTACCGGAAAATGTGAGCGTTACGTCTGCCGAGCTGACCTTAGTGCTCGTGACAAACCAAATCTGAACCTTTCAATCCAAATCTTGCCCGAAAAGTGCGACGATCCCGCCTACGTTCAGACTCTGAATGAAAAACCCGGCATCTTGGCGCTCGCGATGGGTCGCAAACAGGACCCGACCACCGGACAGACCCAGCTGGAGCCACTTCCTTTCGTGGTCCCGGGTGCAAGATTCAACGAAAAATATGGCTGGGACAGCGTGAGTCGAGACTCCAATTTTGCTGACTTGGAAGTATTTCATGGCTTTAGGGCTCTTGGTTGACGGAAAGCTCGATCTCGCTCTCAGTATCGTCGAGCATTGCATCTTCGAGATCAGATATTATAACAAGGTTCTCAACGGTAACAGAACCTACGTGAGTGGCATGAAAAGACTCCGACTGATTGCAGTATCTATGCCGTTCCCAACCACCTTTCCTCACGGATTTGGCTCTCCAGCTTTTCAATCAATTGGACCGAAGCAAGCCTGAGCAGAACAAAGCGTGGCTCAAGCGGGCCATTCAATCCGCGATCAAAGAATATCACGCCTATTGGATGGTCGAACCAGCCCTCGACATCGAATCTGGACTATCACGCTATCGCCCAGTCGGTCAGGGAATACCTCCTGAAACTGAGGCTTCACACTTCACCCATATCTTGCAGCCATTTGCTCAGCGACTTGGCATCTCCGTCAATGAATACATTGACGGCTACAACGATAGATCAATTATCGAGCCTGAACTTGACGAGTACTTCCAGCACGATCGTGGCGTCCGAGAGTCTGGTCATGATACTACGTACAGGTTGGAGAAGAAGTGCGCGGACTTGGCAACGGTCGATTTGAACTCTCTCCTCTACAAGGTGGGTACGATGCACCGCGTCGAGCTGATAGTAGTATGAAATGGACATTGCTCAGGCCATCGACCACGTCTTTGATGGGGAACTGCTGCTTGAGGAAGAATTTGAGCTGTCCCCGTGGCCCATGACTGCAGACGCGTTCAAGAAGCCGCGAGTGTCCTCGACCTCCAAGATTCAGACCAGTGCGATGTGGCTCGAACGCGCACAGGCGCGTCAGGATACGATGGATCGCTTGTGTTGGAACGAAGGAATGGGGATGTACTTTGATTACGATACGAAGACGCACAAGCAGACTCGTTACGAATCTGTGACATCTTTATGGCCTCTGTGGGCTGGCTGTGCGTCGGAAGAGCAAGCACATCATATCGTGACGCAAGCTCTGCCAAAGTTTGAGGTTGCTGGAGGTCTCGTATCTGGAACAGAAGAATCTCGAGGAGTGATTTCCCTCGATCGCCCAAATCGTCAGTGGGGTGAGTCTTGAACCAATGACTCAGACTGACAGAAGACTATCCCTATGCCTGGCCTCCACATCAGATCATGGCTTGGGTCGGTCTGGAGCGATATGGCTACCTCGAGCATTCGGCTCGGCTTGCGTATCGCTGGATTTATATGTGAGGGAAGACAGACGGTGTGGAACTGATCGCAGGATGACTCTATCTTTCGTCGACTTCAATGGCATTGTGCCGGAAAAGTTCGACGCTGTGGAATTGAGTCACATGGTTGACGCTGAATAGTGAGAAATGGCGTGGAGACTTCGCTGAACTTCAGCGGCAATCAAGGGACTGATTTCCGTTATGTCCCTCGTGAGGGCTTCGGCTGGATGAATGGTGAGTGTGACCGCATGATGAACGTGACTAATCGGAAGCCGCCTATCAAGTTGGGCTTCAGTGTCTCACCACGGGTATGCGACGAGCAGTGGCCGCGTGTGTTCCGCCTTGGGTATTCTTCCAGCTTCCCGCGCCAGATTTCTCATCGGCGAAGAAGAAGAGGGCAGAACGTGAGGTAAGGGATAGAGAGGCGGCAGCCGCTGGACAGGGAGGCGAGCCGAAAAAGTCCATACATCACGAGCCACCCACACTCGAACAAAGTGTAGCCATGTTGAAGTTGGAGGCGCAACGATTCTGATACGAGGATGGCAGCAACGGCGTCCATGAACTGGCGACATCAGGAAGAGGGGTGAGATTCTCGACGTTTTTTTCCGCCTGTAATTCATATGCATTCAGTCGATCGTGTGATCGTCAGAGAAGGTACTGAGTCAGATAACTCCCTCCATCCGCAACTCCGTTATATTTGATGAACTGTATCCCAGCTCTCCAAGTATATCGTCGGTGTGCTGACCGAGCCAGGGTGGCGGCCGATAGGCCTAGCTGTCAATGAGGCGTTCGACTTACACGCTCACCTCTAGCTTTCCCCCGTCGAACGAGGTCGGAGCTGAGCAGAGCTTGATGGGTCCAGCGCGAGGATGCTGAGAGTTAGGGTTCCTCATCCTCGGACATCTCACATTGATCTCTTCGACTATTTTGCGTGCTATCGCTTGAGGATGCGCGAACGTCTGGGCGATGTTGTTGATTGGCCTGTCATGAGCGAAGTCGGCCGACTTTTACGCACGCAAACGGGATGCTATTGTCAGCCATGTCTATAGGGATTTCGCCCTCACCCTTTCCCGGTGAGATCATCGCACCACTCCTGCGTGGTTTTTGAGCTCAATGCATCTGTAATGAGGCGAACCATGTCATCTCGATTCTTGACTCTGTTCGCATTTGTCTTGAACATCGGATCCTCAACCCATATCTTGCGATCCAGCACGGCGCATAGCGTGGAGAATTGCTTGTCGTTACCGCCCGCCAGCATGATGTAGGTATCCTTTGTAGGGAAGACTTGATAAGGCACGATGGATGGGTGCGAAGTCCCCCATCTGGTAGCCTCCCTACCATCAATCAAGTAATTTGAGGCAATATTGGCGAGAGACGCAATCTATTCACGTCAGCAGTCATCATGCGCCCGCCTCACTTGGGACTCGAACAGACTGCACTCGACCAACGAGCCCCTGCCAGTCCTGGCTCGACGTAGGAGAGCAGCGAGTATCCCGGATTGAGCGAAGTGCCCAGTCAACAAGTCGGTCACTGCCACTCCGACCTACGGTTAATATGATGGAAACATTTCACGCCTCACCTTGACTGGAGATCCCCCTTGCTCGCCGGTGATATGCATCAGTCCAGCCTCTGCCTCTATGACGACATCGTAGCCTGGGGACTGAGCATACGGGCCTGTCGATCCATATCCTTGACGTTGAGCCAAGTCTCGCAATTGAGCTCACCTGTGATTGAACAGTAGATGAGCTTTGGATTGAGGCCGGACAGGGTCCCGTATCCTAATCCAAGGCTATCAAGCTTGCCGGGAACGCTGCCGTCAGCAGATCTGGAGAAGATGGCTACCTCACTAATTCTCCACGAAGACATCTGCCTCTTTGACAAGCTTGTGAGCTATACGCCTGCCTTCCGCATGCTTGACGTTGAGCGTGAGGCTGTTTTCAGCCTGACTCGACCAACTGCAACATACGAGCGCTTATTCCTATTGGCCTGCAAGAAATAGGCTGACTCTGGAGGTAGATCCGGTCTAGGTGCATCGTCAAGTAGCGGGGCCGCCGGCGGGAGCCAGGATCGAGTATCATCACCAGACAAGGGGTTCTCCACCTGGATTCAGCTGAGGGTGACGGCCACGTCGCCTACCTTGATCACGTCGGCTAGAAGGTCAGTGGTGCGCCTCAAGGGGATGAATTACCTCCCAGGTCGGCCTGAGAACGATCAGCCCGAGTTTAGCGGAACCAGCTCACCAACATCATTGTGGTCACCGGCCCTGCCAACACCTATATTGATCAGTACTCTTCACCAAGGCTGATTGATGACTGACACGGGTGAAATCGACAACCTTGATGCCCGACAGGGGCCTATCAGCCACAGTTGTCGTTGACCTCGTCAACGACCGGCATTGTCGAGCGAGGTTGAGTCGCTGCATCCGCAAGTCTGGTATAGAATGGTGAACATACCATATCTGTGCTTTGTCCGGGAAATGTCCGTTACCCGGAAATGGCTCGAGGCGCGACAGGCTCTATATGCATACAACAATGGATGGTACAATGACAGCGGATAGATAGCGAGGTCCTATGACTTGGTCCTCGCCGGCAGAAACTTCACAGGGTGTCGTTTGAGAAACGACCACGGTGGAGATACCAACTGCAAGTTCATCAGATTTGAACCTGTTCTGGATGTGTGGCCCACCAGTACAAGGAGCAGAAGCCCTGCGCCAAAGATCTCAATGGACAAGAGGACCGATCCCGCAATATAAGAAGCGATGAAGCACACAGCCTGAGATTGTAAGCTGGTCGCGCATGGTCAACTGGCTCGGATCAACCATACTGAGAGGATGGCCAGGTATATCTGACTGGCGGTTGAGATGAGATCTTGAGATTGTGGATCCTACAAGCTGTGTCAGACAGCTTACGCTACTTTCTCCCATCACTCACGATGCTAGTCCCTTCTATCCACTCCAGGACGGCGGGTGGTAATATGGCTGACATTGGTTCAATGGCTAGCCTGGAAAGAAAGACACCTTGGACGTGTCCACGCGGAGTTGAGGGAATGAAAAGCAGCCGTGAAGCCGCCGAGAGGTGCCACATCCAGTTGAATCGCCGATCGACAGTTCTTTTTTAAATTCCCTTACCGGTAACTACAGTCTCCGCCTAATTACGTCATTTTTGGCCATTTCAGCGAATATACCTTACTCCAACTTCCCTAAACCGGATTCCGGGGCTTTTGCAGTCAACTCTCTCCTAGAGAGGAAGACCACCCATATATGGGATTGTCTCGCTCTTCCCGTCTTTCTCTCTCTCTCTCTCATCTCTCAGTCACATCTTCCCATCTTCTCTCTCACTCTCTATCACACGTACAACTAGTCTCGGGACTGTTGGCCAGTGACAGAGACAGAGAGACAGTCAGTCCAAGACCGCCCCTGCCCAAGAGCTCTTTTTCACCACGTCCGCCACTATTGGATCCACGAGTGGTCGAGGAGAATCTCATTCACCCCTCGATCAGCTCATCGCCCATCCCATCACTACTCTTTTCGGCGGCAAGACAGAGACGTCTACACCGTCCTCTCCCACGTCTCCGGGTGCACCCATCGTTCGCAAACCCCTCACAGCAGGAGAGACAGATCTAGCCTACCTACCAGAGTTGTACAAGCCCAAAGGAGATCCATATCCGATCAATATGACCACCCTAGAGGAGCATCACGAACCGGGGACCGTCGAGAATCACGAGCAGGAACTTGCAACGAAGACTCAGGACCTTTCGCTTGCCGATCATGAGGTCGACGGAGAGGCGATTCCTAACGGAGATGCGACCCATGAACATGACGCCGAGGATGACGGAGATGACGGAGATGACAGGCATATCAACGGCGACGCAACCTCTGTCCACACAGCAAGGTCCCGCCCCAAGTAGGTCTTTCAAGTTGAGTACCCCTGCTGACTTTACGTAGTGTAGAGGAACCTTCTCGTTCTTACGTCAAGCCCATTCCTATCGTCACCACCTATGAGCCTGATATCCCTGAAACCACCTCCGTTAAACATAGATCGGTCGCGGGATCTGTCAAGGCGCCTACCCAGAGAGGTACCTCCATGCGAGCCAACTCAGTTCGAGCTCCAACCAAGGCGGAGACCATTCGATCGCCTTCTCGTGCCGCATCGGTTCGTCCCACTTCTATTCGAAAGGCCGAGTCAGTCCGATCCCTGGGACCGCCTGCCTCGGTCAAGCCTTCCGTCAGAGGCTCACAGCGGTACTCTCACCTTGCTGAAGGTGCGATTGGAGGCGCAGCCGTCGGAGAAGTCGTCTCATCTGAGCGGCAGCGGGAGCTTCAACAAGCTGGCGAGCAGAATCATCGCGGCGTCGCACTCACCGATAACGGTCCAATTATGGGCAATCATCGACCAACTTCGCCTTTTGGCTACCGTCCTCAACCGAACATCATGAGTGTAACCGAAGACGGTAGAGAAAGCCGATTTGATGGTCGTGACAGCCGACAGGGCTTGGTCAACCGAAGCGGAACCGTCGTCAGCCGTGCCAACACGGTCGGACGCAGTGGAACACTCTCGCGAGCTGCCAACGGTGGTACTGTCGGCGGCAGGCGCGGCGCTTTCGGACGAGGTGCTGGTGCCAGTATTGGAACCCAACCTGAAGAGGTCCTCGGTAGAGAGTAAGTCTGCAACAGGTTTCGAGCTAATGGCAGTGACATCCACACGCGGGCGGAGCTGAGCGAGCGAATCCTCGATGACCAGACTCTTCGACGATTGTCGACCATGGGTGAGCCCGAAAGCGTTGATTTTGCTAAATTGTAGAACGCAAGGACGCCAAGCGACTCTCGCGCGTGATTAAGAATGAAGGGAAGGCTGAGGCGATGGCTGTCAAAGGATCTATTAAGGAATTGGAAAGGTTGTCGAAGCTTCAGAGAGAGGCCGCTGCCGCCGAGCGACACTCTCAACAGCGTCTTGCCAAGTGGACTACCAAGGAGCACAAGGCCCGACTCCGATTCCTAAAGGAAAAGGAGCGCTACGAGCGAATCGAGGGTGATCTCCGAAACGCGGAGAATGACTACGAGGAGCGTCGGGACCATGCAGCGGGTTTGACTGCACAAGTCGCAGAGGTGAGTTTGCCAAATGCGACCTCCGGCTGATCGCTTCAGAAAACTCAGGAGCTGGACGACCTCCGTGGGCAAAAGGCTGCGGACGACGTGAGTCACATATTAGAGACATGGACTGACATGTCAGCGAGAAAGAGCGGTCAAGCTCCTCGCGCTCAAGAATCCCGCTCACAGCTAGATCTGTCTGTCATCTTGTTTTCCTATGTCCTGTTAGATACCATGTTAAGCCTCACTTGGATAGGGATACCTTTGCTGCGACTGATTGATAATAACAATAATTACACACATGAATGCTTCATTATCGATACATGCCCAAAATGGAGAAACCAAGAGATTTGTCTACCATACACGTAGTGTTCTGAAGTGACGTGACGTGATATTTCTACATTGATCTACTCTGAACACTGCCCATGCCAATCAGAGGGCTGCCCACTCCAGTCCGCATACGTCAAGGGCACAACGTTGCCAGCTGATAACGGTGTCGGATAGGAGTAAGATCCATCTGAGAAGCGATGGTCGGGTGTCCAGGGGTAAGCCGATACAGTCTCCAAGTACGGTACAGTATAAGGTGCCCAAGTCTGACAAGCACTGGCTGGCCTGGCCAGCTCATCGATGGGATTCAGGTCGAGGCCAAGGGCGCTGTTGTTCTGCAACCTGGGCTCTATGCTGCCCTCAGAGTGTCGACGAACATCGCGGATGACCGGCGCATTGTTGGGTGTGGCAAAAGGATCGTCGAGGCTATGTCTCCTGGTTCTGAGCTTGGCTGCCTGCTCGGCAGCTTCTCGGGCAGCGGCTTCTCTCCATCGAGCAGCTCCTCGTGATCGAGTCGTGCCAGAGAAGACACATGGAAGCTTCTTGTTGATGCATCGGGTACATGGTTGGCCACCGGAGCATTTGGCTTTTCGGATCCGGCACTTTTCACAGGCTTGGGCGGTCCTTGAACGTTTCTTGATCTGTGTCGCTGCGGGAAGGGGTGGCCCTACTGGCAGAAGACCAGGAGTAGGAAGATAGTAGTCCATGGTAGTAGACTCGCTCGCTCGCCTTGGGAGGAGAAGAGGCGGCGTAGTCTCCTTGTCCAGCGGCAAAGCGGACGATATGGAGGACGCCGGTGACCCGTAAAGTGAGTGGGGCTGTCCGAACAGGACGGAAGGAGCGGCTGCGTGCAGACTTGCAGTGTTGTAGGCTCTTTCGGTAGTCGGAGTGGCAGTCAAGGGGAGAGCATGGCCACCAACTGGGGCGGGGGTGGTAGCATAGGTGGTGTATGGAGTGAGGTTCTCCATATGGGTGTAAGGTGTCATGGGATGTGAATAACCGTAGGAACCCGGTGTCGAGCTAGGATAGCCATACCAGTTGGCTTGAGGCATTGTATATGCGGGAGAGAAGACTAGTACCGGAGGTGACGATGAAGAGTTGGGTGATGATTTGGAGACTGAGACCCCCGGGGTCTCTAAAGGTGGATAACTAGCATCCATGGCGGCAAGAGTGATATGGAAGAGGAAGACTGAGTAGTGGGAGCAATGGTCAGATGACAGGGGGACCTCGTTCGACTTTATAGACAAGCCCAGTCTCGTATCAAACGCGAGCGCGTGAACTCTGATTGTGTCACTTTGGTTGTTCGGGACTAATCGACTACTGGACAAAGGGTGTCACTGTTCAGTACATTTCATTTACGACAATCAAATTCCCAGTTCGGTGAGAATCCGAGACAGTTTATTACTCTCAAACGTCAAGATGCATCTCTCTCTCTCCGTGTGGCTCTTGGGCTGCGCTGCCTCCCACTCTGTCCTCCCGTTGTGGCGCCGTTATCTAGACTGGTTTGGGCCCTCTTGCAGTCGGGTGATGTGCTGTATAAACTGTTTGAAAGGGGGTTTTGGACCGAAATCTTATCGCGGATACGCTGCCGGCAGATGGACTAGGCGAGTAACCGCGTACCTTGGGCGCCTCCCCCGCACAGTCGCCAGTGAGTCAATTTATGATGCGTCACGCCAGACTCTGTTGATCCCTGAGGGAACTTTCCAAAGTGAGTGGTATGAGACCAACCTGTTCTGTCGAAGTAAAAGTGTACGGAGCGATGGCCGAGAGAAACTGTGCCATGGAAGTCATGCATTATAGTTAAGTGTAAGCGAAGTAGGCAGTTTTATCTCGTACCCGATCAGGTACCCTCTTTTTTTCCTCTCTAGTAATTTTTCCTTCCAAGGTAGAGCGACAGAGCGACAGACACCTATTGCAGCTGATCCCGCCGCCCTCTTGCTCCTCTCTCTCTCTCTGTTCTGTATGCTCGGCTTGAATCCCATTTAGCTCAGGAATTTTTTCCAGTCATTCATTCGGTTTCGTTCGCCTTTGATCCGCTGATCGCAACAGATCCCAAAAAGACGCAGGAGATCCAAGGGGGGGGGGGGGGGCTTCTGTGGCAGCTGCCGAATTTACGCCCTGTTTTTCCTTTTTTTCCTTTTCTTTTTCTTATAAACTTGTTCTTTCTGGATTCATTGAATTCTTCGTCGTTTAAGATTCAGACGTAGAAGATCAGTAGTCAGAGTGGGTATGCGTAGTCAGAAAACTCTGCACTGGCTCACTGCGGTCCCTGGAATAGTCAGCAAGCGTCTTTTGCTTATTCTGGCCGTGGTCAAGGGGGGATATCAGAGGATTTGGGTGGGGGTGAGCCGAGGAATGATATGAATCGATAATGGAACCTTGTTGCTTTCGTCAGAATCACATGAAGAGGCGTTCGCGTCAGGTCCTACCCGCATCATCATGACAAGCCACTTACTGTATCGATTGTCGGGATGACTATGGTCATCATTCTAGCTGACCTCGGTATGGGAGGGGGCCGGCAGCTGTCCAGGCATCTCTAGTAATATGCATATTACAGCTTTCATACATGCGTTACTGAGCTCTTTTCATTCCCCCGACGATCCATAGCCTTCTTTGCCTGCAGGGCAGTCAAGGCCGCTATGACAGTACATTGAGCGTGCGCGCGGGTGTGCCATGAACAGAACTCACCTCCAATTCCACTGCCATCTTTCGCCAAGCCCAGACTTATTCGTTTCTCACCAGATTCCCCCAGAATCAATCTCAGAGCGTCACGTACTCTCGTCTCGAAATTGGGTAGAAATTCGGCCACACTCCGGAGTCAATCACAATTCCGTTGGTAACTCTCACCTTCCATCCATTCCCACGTCGACTCCTCGATCTGGCTCGGCCCGGGATCCATCGTTGCCAGTATGTAAAACGACGGCGGCGACAGCACATGCTGCCAATGAACTAGCTCTCGTCGCGACCACTCGACATGCCCAGCGCACAATCTCGATACAAGTCTCCGTCACATGGTCTGCCTCTACGCCAAGGTCCTGCAGAATGATCCTTTTGATCTCGGCATTGTCCTTGGCGCCTTCCACTTTTGAAACGAAAGCTGTGTCATATCCGTAGTGGGTGTTGAGCACGGGACTGGAGAATCCGTCGAACAACAGCCCAGAATCGATGAAATGGAGCAAGATATTCCGTGAGACCTCGCCCAGATCTGAATGTCAGCGATAATTGCGCCAACTCCGACTTACACATCCCAGAGACCATCTTCTCAAACATTTGCTTGCGTCTGAGCGTCAGGTGAAGCCCCGGATTCTGCTCACGGATTGATGCTCTCCCGGTCCACCTTGTTGTCGAATATTGATATCGGCAAAGTAGTGCGCTAATGGCTCAGTTCACGTAGGACGAATGGACCGCACCTTGTTGTCCATCGCTCCCCACTCCGTGTTGAGCACCATATACTTGCCTGCATGCTCTCCTCCTCTCTCAGCTTCCTGAATTTTCTCCTGTCCAAGCTTTTTCACGGTCTTGACCTCGTCGATGAATGCACCATTAGTGCCAGTCCCGAAAATGGCTCCTATTAGAGCCGGACCGTTTTGATATGACCGAGAGAGCAAGGTTCCAACGGTCTGTGGGTCGGGTCAGTCAGGAACAGGGCGGTCCCTCACGTCATTAACCAGGGCGCTACATTGAACGTGGATATGCTTCCTGTCGAACGCATCCTGTAGTAGTTTGACAACATCGTGCCCGATAGCATTCTGAGCGGCAAACCCCTTTGTCCAGGTCAACAGCTTGCCAGCATTGATGGCGGTCTGTTCGACTGGGAAACTGTCACATCAGTGACAATACCACGTATTCTCCTTACCTGAAGGTGAAACCAAGATGCAATGGGCCTTCCGTTCCAATCTCTGAGCCGATCTCTGTCAAGAAATTGTCCACCGAATCTGCGATGTAGTCTACAGAAGTGAGTATAGCGCACGAGACCAGACCCACCGAACAATATCACAGCTTGGCCCTTCTTTAACTCGTCTGACACTTTGTACTTTTGTTGTTTGATTTCGAAACGATGTTGACCCAGCAAGCGCACTTCGCAGACACGCCTGCGAGTCAGCGAAGCATTTGAGAGACCTCTCACAGATTGGTTCCACCGAGGTCAAGAGCCAAAAACGTGCTAGTCAGGGTCGTGAGTTTTGCTATGTAGTCGTCGAAGAGACCTCACCCTTCCTCCGTGCCATCAGGGACGCCGGTCACGAAGCTTGGCACCATGGCCATATCTTGTCCATACTCGGCGAGTCCCTCTTCGAACTCATCTCGGAAGCGACGGACAATAGCTTTGAGTTTGTCCTCGTGAAGAATGAAATACGGCTCGTAATGTTTGCACAAATCAGGAAGGGACATGACGCAAGGCGTCTAGTTTTGCGTAGGCAGTGGTTGCTTGCTCGTCCGACACCAAAGGAGGAAAGCTTCGACTAGGAGGCTGGCTTGACAGTGCCAATATCCAGAGCAGTGGAATTTCAGGAGAACACAGGGAGAGCGATTGCAGAGACGCACGAGAACTGGTGACTGATAAATTGAACAAGGAAAGACTTGTTCCAGAGATTCGTTGCTGACACTTTTTGGCCGAAGGAGCCTATTTTATCATTATTTTCTGGGAATTTTGCTGCATCGGGCAGAGTAGGTCCATCCATTCATTCCATCATTCAATAGTTCAATGACCAGCAAAACGCATACATACATGGAGGGTGGATATCCAACAGCGACCACATCTGGCGCAAATCACTCGGCATATTGTCGCAGATCAAGCGTGAGAGACTTGGACGTATTGTCCTCCTGATCTCGGTACACGCCCACAAGACCGTCTGCCCGTTGATATCTGACGTCAGTCGCTGAATTCTGTGGCTTCGACTCACAAGTTGGGCTTGAGAGAAATGATGAGAAATTGCACCTGACTTTCAGCTTGAGCTCGCACGTAGCGAGCCAATTTGGAGACGTTTGTCGCATCAAGAGCTGCGTCAACTTCATCGAGAACGAAGAAAGGGGCAGGATGGAAACTGTGAATGGCAAACAGTAGCGCCAAGGCGGCCATGGTTTTCTCTCCACCCGATAATTGCTCCGTCTCTATGAAGGGCTTGCCTGGAGGCATGACGTTGTATTTGACCCCGCTAAGGTAAGGTTCCTGAGATCAGTCCTGCTCATTGAGCTTCAACCCACGTCGGCGTCCTCCAAGGACAGGAAAGCCACACCTCCCGTCCCTTTTGAATCGGTTTTGGTCAGATCTTTGTAAATCGAATCGATGCAATTTGACATGTGTCGAAACGCCGCGTTGAATAGATCGCATCTGATCGTCAGCTTTACTCGACGGAGAGGTCACCTTTTCTTCTTCAATTCTTGGAAGTGGTCACGCGCCCTTTTCGTCTCTTGTCGTGTGAGCTCAGCCTCCTTCTCTGCCTCGCTCAGATTCCCCTCGACATCCGCCAATCTGAGATGAGCACAGAGCTTGTTCGTCAATCGTACCTGTCAAGCGCCTTCAGATTTGGCACCGTTCTTTCCAGTTCAGCTTTCGATCGACCAATCTCCTCCTCGAGCTCTTTGCCAAAATCTTCTTGGTCGTTCTGCTGGGTCAGTCGGGGCAGGACGTAGACAGGTCTCACCTCTCGATCTTCCTCGTCAAGTCCTCGGAAGTCAGGCTCGATCCCATAGTCCTCGGTGACCACAGGTCTCTGCGTGTCTTCATCCGTGTCCATGCTGAGGTCCGTATCCGCAGCATCGAGAGGTACCTTGTCTAGGCGACCGCGGACCAGAGGGAGCTCAATGTTCTCCAGTCGACATCGCTTGTAGATGGCATGTCGATCCGAAGCTGACTTTGAGATCTCGTCGTTCCAGCCAGCGATATTGCGTAGTGCCTTGTCGAGGAGTCGAGACATCTCCCTGGAGCTTTCGCGAACCCGGTCCACCTTTTGCAAAGCCTGTTCGCTACCTTGCACCGCTGCCTCCAGCTTGCTGCGCGCTTGTCTGATCGTTTGACGGATTTGTTCGAGCTCCTTTTGGATCGTTGCCTTCTCTCGCTCCAACTCCTCCAGCCTTTGTCGGGATTTTTCCGCAAAGCTTTCTAAAGAGGAGAGGCGATTCTCGGTGTTGTCGAGCTGCGTAGCCTCGAAGTCGATCCTGTGCATGTTTCAGCATGCCTCATGACACTTTGCTCACTGATGTTTCACTCGGGCTTTCTGTGCGGCGAACGCAGCCATCGCTTCACTCTCCGCCTGAGCTATCTTGAGTTGGACATCTTCGTATTCGCGAATATTCTGAACACCAATCTTGGCACACAGGGCCTGGAAGACCTTGTCGTCTGCATCTTGGACCACCCGCAACACCTTGTCCAGCTTCACCTGAGTTGCTCTCAAAGACTTCCGCGCCTTCTCCTCCTCAGGAACTCCGTTCTTGATGATGGTTCTGAGGTTGTCTTGCTCGGCTTTGAGATCTTGCAGCCGGATGGTGACAGCTGACACGCTTTCTGAAACGACCTTGATCTCGGCGTCCAATCTCGCAAGTCGATCCAGTAGCGCGTCGTCGTCTTTGGCGCTCGATGCTGACTTTTGCAGATCCCGAAGTTGCTGTAGGTAGGACTCCTTCGCCTTCTGCAGATCTAACGATCAGCTCTGGGAGATTCTTTGCTCACTTTCAACATCGCTATCATTGAACTTGCGTGAGGAGCCTGAGCTGGTGCCTCCAGTGATGAGACCACTTTTGTGGATCACCGTACCATCCAGAGTTACGGCTAATCTTCAGAAATGTACAGTTGGAGGCACTCACCTTTGACCTCTTGATGCTTCTCGTAGCAAACGTATCTTGCCACCTCCATGGTGTCACATATCAACGAGCTTGAACAGGCATGCTGCATGGCCCTTTCCACGGCGGGCTCGAACTCGATACAATCAATGGCGAGTCGAGCTCCCTTCGTAAAGTTGCGGAACTTCTCTTGCACAGGCTTTGTCTGAATCGTATCCAGAGGGATGAATGTCGCCTGGCCGGCACGCTGGTTACGCATGTATTCAATGCAGTCGATGGCGGTCTGCTCATGCTCGACCACGATAGCATCTACATGTCGGCCTAGTATTGTCGCCACAGCGGTGTCGTATTTGCGAGCGGTTGGTTTGCAGAGCTCAATGACACGACCGTGCACCCCTTTCGATCAGAAATGCAACCTCGACGACGTCACTCACCAGGAAAGATACGTTTGAGATTGTTGATCACTTCACGCATCTTTTTCTCGCGCTCGCTCTCTCGCTTGTCTGCACCTGCGGATAGGAGTTTTCCAAACACATCCTGCAGTTTCTCGTTGAGTTCTGTCTCCTTGATGCTGTGGCGTCAGCGGTGGCACCTTGATCGTAGCTCACTTGATTCGCTGTCTTTCAGCCACCGCTTGGTCCAATCTGGCCTTGTCCGATTCTCGATCATTCCTGAGATTGTCCAAACGCGCTTGGAGCTGACGGTGAGCGGGGGCATTTGGCAATTCTCACCTCTCTCTGATGTGATGATGTTTGCTGAACTTCTTCATTTAGGCTCGACAGTCGCCTGTCCGCTTGCTGCATCCTGTCCTCTGCCATCGCCACAGCATCTCTCAGCGTCTTCTCCTCGCGCTGCAAAGTCTCCACTTGACGGCGCTCAGACACTGCGACCAAATTGGCGGCAGAACGTCTGAGTTGTCAGCTCGAAAAGCGAAGCGGCACGCACAGTTTCTGATACTCCGCGAGATCCTCGCCGGATAGGGAGCCCGCTGCCCGAAGATTTTTGCGTTGAGATTCTGCAGATGAGCGCTGAGTGGAGGCTGAAACCCACCGGCAGCCTCCTTCATCCTGTCTTCGATGTCCCGCTGCCCTTTGCGCAATTCTTCGAGGCCTTGTTGCTGTCGCTCGCGATCCTGAGCGACGCGGTCGGCAATCTTTTGGGCTTCCGTCATCTTTTTCGTGCTGTGTTCAATCTGTGCGTCGACTGCCACGAGCTCAGGTTTCTGCCAGTCAGCGAATGTATTGAATCTCTGATTCTACCTTGTCCTCCAGGGCTTTCTCGCCTTCCTTGACGGCTTTCTCTCTCTTCTTGACTTTCAGCTGAGCTTCGCCATGAGCGGATCGAGCCTGATTCAGGTTGTCCTCTCCTCGTTGCTGCGGGTCAGCAAGTTACAGGAGGGCAACGGTCTCACCACCTCATCTCGCAGCTCGGACAATCTCTCAGTGGCAGACTCCACCTCTTTGGTCCGCGAATTGATCTCCTGGGTCAGGTGATAAAGTCTCCAGAGGAACAGCTTCTTGACCGCCGCATCCTATCGTCAGTGCGGAACGAATGACACCTCACATGTCGATTCTGCAGCCGCTCCCACTGTTGGAGGTCTTCCTTCTGTTCCTTGAAGTGTTTGGCCTCCGTAATCAACGTACGCTTCCTGGAGTAGTTGGCGCTCGACGCATCTGCAGCCTTCAATTGCTCCACCCTCGCCAGCTCATAATCTTTCTCGTAGTCCAGCGAGCTATCATTAGCACAGAGGAGAGAGGGGAAGCTCACCCGCTAATCCTGTCAATGAGGTTGGCGAGGACTCGGCTATCCTGAATGGCGATATTCTCAACGTCACCTTGAAAGACGAGAAAGTTTTTTGCCTTGGTCAGGATGTTGAACTTCTCCAGCTGTGCATTGTATGCCTTCCAAGACACGTCCTTGCCGTTGAGCGTGTAAGAAGACTGTCCTGATGGTGCAATGCTTCCAGTCAGAGACCATTCCGTGCAGAGGCTCACCTTCGCCTGAAATGCCAATCCTTGCCGGTCGCATCCTCATAGGTGGCAGTCACATGGGCGGTGCGAGCTTGCATACCATCTTGAGTGAGTGATGGCTCTTGGTCATCCACATCCATGCCATTTTCTGCGCTGTGTCTACCACGGTATACGAGATCCCGTAGCTGGGTCGATCGCAATTGAGCCGACTTGACACCTAGGACAAACGAGATAGCATCCATCAAGTTGGACTTGCCGGCACCATTTGGACCAATCACACAGATGAAGGGAGAATCACCGAAGTCTATGAGTTGTGTGCCCTTGTAAGACTTGAAGTTGTACAACTCCAAGGATTTAAGAGGCATGGTGAGTGGGTGGTTGTGCGGTGGTTATGAATCAAAAAGGAGACGCGTTCCTCAATGTTCAACTTTTTGGTCAATCGCGGTCGCGCGTGGTTGACCGGACCCGAAAAGTCAAAAGACAAGAAAGCGGGGGGATCAATCAAAGAATTGTCCCCTCGGACCGGAAAGCCGAAGTGATCATCAATCATACATTGTACTCCATACACTATGCCCAAGGACGAAGATGATGGTGGATCGGTCGATGGGGAGGGATCTCGTAATGGCAGGAAGGGGATCATTAGCAGAGTCAATCGTGAGTGTCCATCCAATTGTCCTCTCACAATCGTTAGGCGCATGCAACCACTGCAGGCGGATGAAGATGCGATGTGTCGGAGGAGACGATCCGCCGTGTAAGCGCTGCCGTCATGCTGGCCTCGACTGCGTCTTGGAACGACCAGAGAAAGTGGTAGAGCCGGCAGGAGATGAGTGAGCCAATTCCACGGAATTTGAGCTGACCGGCAGACGGTTGCGGTCCCTCGAGCATCAAGTGTCCTCCATCAACAGCACACTGACAGACTTGGTCAGACTGCTTCAGCCTGCTCTGCCGAGATCGCTGGAGCCTCGTCCTTCCACTTCAAGTCCTGCTTGGCATAGTCAACCGGATTGGTCCTCACTTCACTCGGCGAGGCCATCTGATTCCGTGCCAACGCCAGAGCAGATCATTGGAGTGAAGAGAAACCCCTCGCCTTCCCTTCCGCCATCTCGCGCCATGTCCGTGGGGCCAGAAGACGTTCTGGGTGAGGGAATATCCCGACCGCTGGAAGCGATGTCAAACATGGCTGGATTGGTCGAAGCTGCCATGGAGCGAGCGAGGGAAGAGCATGTTACAACCATTCAGCCCTCGGGGAAAATCAAACGGGCTCGATTTGCTTCTCCGGAACCTCGAGGCCCGAGCATCATTGAACATGCCTCTACGGGAAAGTCGGAACCTGTCATACATGTGCATGCTTACCCAGACGCTGTTGCGGATGGCCTAGTGTCCGAGGAAGAGGGTCGGGAGATGATGCAAATGTGAAGGTCCTGCCACTTGCGAGGCTGACGACAGATTCTTCAGTGGTTGCTCAGACTTTATGCCTTGTTTCGACCCCAATATGGATACATGGGAGTCGTGAGTGTAGTGGATCATCGTATGCTGATGCCGCAGCCTTCGTCGGCGTTCACCCTTTTGCATCACTACCATCATCATGATTGGGGCCCGTGTTCGAGATGGTGGCGGTGGGTTTGTCACAATGTCGAGGCTGACGGACTAGGGCCACCAAGCGATACCCAACTTGCGTGTCGTGCTCATGCTCAGCGTATCGCATCCGGTACACTGTTTGCACGTGTTCCACGAGTAGAGGCAGTGCAGGCAATGAGTGGGTATGGGGCGATTGATGCAGCTGATGCCAGGCCTGCTTGCGACTTTTTCTGATCGAGGCTGGCTACCTGGTGGGCACGCAGTCCGATTGGCGCTAGACATGGGTCTCGATCAGGCCTTTGGTCAGCTTCTGCGGACCGGCATGGGTTTAGGAAAATCCAGGCCACAGCTCGAAACTGAGAGACATCTCGTTGTTCAATCTCGTGTATGGTTCTGCGTGAGTATTCTATTCCGCTGTGATTTGATTCCTGAACTGAACTTGTCAGCTGTATCTCTTCGAGCATCAGTGCGTCGGTTCAATAATTTTTCGCTGACAATAGAATGGCGTACGGAAATGGACGGCCAGCCATCCTCCGTGAGGACGAGTCTATCAAGTCGTGTCGTCGTCTCCTCGAGCATCCATTGTCCATCGCTTCGGATGCAAGACTGGTTTCAATGGTCGAGCTCACGGCTCTACGAGGTGAATCAGCGGTAGAAGATCTCGCTGACATTAGCGCCTCTCCATTCCGAGATCATTTCGTCGCTGCACAGCTCTGCCACCGAATCCATTCTCAATTATCTGATCGCAGCCAACAACGACTTTGAAGCGTGGGAGAAGGACTGGCTAGTCACGTTCAGTAAGTATGGCGATGCACAAGACGCTAATCATATAGTGTCGCGTCAAGATGCCGATAGCTTCGTTTACGAGTCCTGTGGGTACTGAGTGAACCATGTGGCTGACGTGCAAGTGGCAATTCAGCGACAATACGCCGAGTGAGCAGCCTGTTTCCACTCACGGCTCACACCAGACTCTTCGCCAATTCTCAACTCTTGCGAGATATCCGTGAACCACAAGATGTCTTCAAGCTGGGCATGAATGCACAGGCCTTTGCGATTCAATCAATCCGTAACGCTGAGAGATGCATCGAGATCTGCCTGCGGAATGACCAGGTGAGTTTCAGACCAGGTCCCCATGTTGAGTCTCAGTACCGCCATCGACTCAAATATGCCGTGCACTATACTCGTGAGTCCTCAATCTCTGTCACGCTGATCGTAGACGTTTGCGCTGCTTTTGCTGCGTCCTTTCTGATGCGGATCACCCGACTCTTTCCCGACGAAGTGGATTTTGAGAAGACCATGCGAGACGTCAAAGAGCTGGCGGATCTATTGTCAGAAAGTGAGTGATGCTGCGAATTACATATCTGATATTTAGTCCCGGCGCCACGTTATGGTCGCTCACTCAAGCTCTTGCTGCGGCGCGCGAGGCGACGATTGCCTGCTGAAAAGGCGACCCTGCTGCCGTTCCCTTCACTGTCTCCGTCTGACAGTGCTGGCGTGGCGAGCGGGGATCTAGATACAATCTTTGGGCAAGGCATTCCTCTGTGAGTCCACACAGATGTAAAACGTACTAATGATGTAAGATTTCTCGACGATCAAAGCCTTGGAGCCCCATCAGCACCCGCCGAAGCCCCATATGCCGGAATGGAGGATTTCTTCCTTCCAACCGATTTCGACACCCAATTGGTAAACCTGACAGGAACCCCTCAGGCAGATTCGGGTCCCTGGTGGTGAGCTGCGGATCTGCAGCTTTGTTACGGGGTTTCCTCAGCACAGATTTTGACGGAAGCATGACATTTATGACAGGATGGGTTTATTACTAGTAACATGCAATGCATGGATCACGAGAATCCTTGCGGAAACAGCTGCTCCCATAGCTCATCTAGCTCCCCATTCTGCAGCTGCTCGAGTATATTGAGGTCTAATTCGGGCGTCAATGCTCTTTTCTCGCCGTGTGAGGACTGCTCAGAACTCTTCAGGCTCTCGAGTCCCTCTGCAAATTCTGCAAGAACGTCCGTCAATTTCCCCGCCTGTCTCCAAGTCACTTCAAGCTCCTTCATTGCGGCGAGGCATTTTTGAATGTCCCCAACGGTTCTTTCTCGCTCGCTTGGTTGTTGACGCCCGGTATAGACACTGATGAGCAGAACGAGTGAAGCGATCCATACGGGGAGCATAAAGTGAACGGTGAGAATTCTGCCTGGCAGAAGACCGGATCCGCGACCCCGTCGCATGACGGTATCGACAATGCTGCATATAGAACGTGCTGCGTTCGAGCAAATGGCCAGAGCAGGTAATCCGACGGATTCGGCCTTTTTCGGTGAAGGGATGAATGGACGATGAACGAGAATCTGGCAAAAGTAGTAGTGAACATACAGCACTGCGCTTTGTTCGAACAAGCCGTGATCGGCTCTGGTCGGGTCCCATCGCAATCCGTCTGGCACCGCGTCTGCCCATGCGTTCAGGGCCGAGTCCAATTCGACCACAGTCGATCTCTGAGCTGCGCTATCGGCTCCGTGTTCAGGAAGCTTGTTGATGGCGTAAATCGTTCGTAGAGCGGCTCCTATAATGTGGTCCAGCTTGAGCGTATGAACGAAAGCGGCAACTTTGGGCACACCCGCATGTGCTGGCTGCACAAAGTCTCCGGACCAATACTCATCGTCAACGGCAATGGGGTAGTCGGCGTCGAAATCTGTATCCTGTATAGCCACAGATCGGCCAATTGCCGCGCAGTTCAACCTGTCGATGTGATAAAGACACCAGAACGCTCGATTGAACAGGATCCGTTCGACCGGGTCCGCATGCAAGAGGGTCGATCGCACATGAATTCCAATCTCTTGAGCGGCTCTGAGACCGAATCCGGAGACGAGATAGGTGAGATGGGGCACAGCGCTGCCGAGCAGGAAACAACAGGTGAGGACTTGACATTGGAAATCGAACAATGTCGGCCCTTGCAAAATGCTGTGTCCCATGCTGAACATGGTTCGCAAGTATTTCCAGCCGGCCGAGTATCGTAAAGTTCCGTCTCTGTCAAAGCGGAGACGATCTCTTCCCTCCTCAGACAGCGCTTCATCCCGCGGCCAATAGACTTCTGGGTTGTCGACAAATCTGGCGCCATTGGCAAAGACCATCAAGCACACTTTCGCAAAGCCGTGATTGGATCTCCACAGTCCCGAGTGATATTGTCTCTCAAAGACTGGTTTGCTGAGAAGAGGGAGGTGGAAATTGACGTGAGCAAAGTAGGCGTCTATGAGCTCGCGGGCCAGTAAGGCCGACGGCCAAATGGACTCGTCAAGACTTCTGACTGTGTCTTGAGCAACGACGAGCTCCCATTCGGGGATCATCCAGTACTCGTCTCGTTTGAGCTGTTTGATACCATCGATCCCATTCCGACCAGTCACACTGAAACGCATTTCGTTGACCTGCACGATAAGGTGAGAGACGGAAGCCTTGCCATGGAAGCGCCAAGGGGTTTCCCGGAGATCAAGTTTGTTCATCGCTTGCGACATGGCGATATGTATTCTGGCTGCTTCCAAGTCGTCGGGAGGTGTGGATGGTGGCCTTCTGGGATCTCGCTCGTACGACTGCCAAGGCGAAGGACCGAGAACACGAGAAGGAGGTGAAGGGACCCCACTGACGTTCGTAGGAAGCTTGATCGGCTTAGTCGCAGGCCAAGGCGGTATCTGTAGTCGACGTAGAGATTCTTGATGGTCCGCAAGGTCGAATTCCTCGCGATCAGGCCGCGGACCAACCGTGTAGTCCCAATTCACATCGGGCTGGATTTGTCGCAGGATGGCCTCAAGACGCCCCGCTCTCTGCTCGATGGCTTCCATGTAGCCTTTTGGTGGGCCACGACGCTTAGCGCTTTCCACATAAGTGCAGTCGAATCCGTTCTCCTCGCAATTTGCACATTCTTGAAGGATCAGGGTCGACAAGTATGTGGTGACTCACTGCTGGCCACCAGGCTATTCATTGGTCCATCGCAACGGATCTTCTTCCTCCGACATCTATCACATGCCCTCAGAACTTTCCGCTTCTTCTCAAAGTGCCTCTCAGGTGTGACACTACTCGACGCCGACGCGATATTGGAAGCCATGTCAGAGGTCGTATACAGATGATATCTTGGCGCATGCTACGAGGGCTAATAACAAAAATGACGCCAGGCCGAGAAGGGCCCGAAAACCGAGCCACGTGTCGATTATACGTGTTACATACAACAAGAAATAAGTCTCACCAACCATGCGACCGATAAGAAGTATCTGTGGAACCATGTCTCCGGCTCAGTCTCCTTCTCCGCTCTTCTGCTCCATCTCCAGCTCCCTCGGTCGATCGACGCACCATCGGTGGAGCTTCAGAGGTCAAATTCGCAGACGATTTTGCCCGATTGACCTCGTCGCCTACCCTCGTCAGGGGGCGAAGAAAGCCTCCTGCGAGGACATTCTTCCTGGGGCTGGTCGATACACGCGGTGCAGAGGACTTTTCTCGCTCTAGAATCAGATCTATGGGAGACAAGAGGTCAATATGTTGGGAGGATTTGTCATTTTCATGAAAGACTGACTTCTTCTAAGCGATTCCGACATCTCCCGCATGATGATGGCCCTTCGTCGTGTGGTCGGGGAATCAGGCACTATGACGCCTCGTTCATCGGTCCGCGCTGGACCTTGAGGTACTGCTTGTCTCTTGGCGAGATTGTCGAGCTTCTGTCTTGTGGCCGAGGTCGCGAGGAAATCATCATCGGTGGCCTCGTCGAAGGAATCTGCGCCGGACCGGGAAGTCACGCTGATGCCGCTTTGAAGTGGCACAGCAATGGCAGATTTGCTCCTCAAGAGGCTGGGTGCAGCTGGCGATCGAGCGAGCGCAGTGAGGTCGCCATGCGTCGGACATGAGCGCAGAGCGGATGAGCCAGGTGCTGATGTCTAGAAGACGGCTTTTCAGCTTTTAATCCAACCATGTACCCTTACCAAGTCCACCATACTACCACCTGACTTGAGCATCCCACTCAGCAATCCTTGACTCGACCTTCCGAATATGGCTTGTTTCGCAAACATTTCTCGCTTCTTCTGTGCCTCCTCTTCCTCTGTTGACTTGACGCTTTTAGGTTCCTCGGGTTCGTCCGACCAGTCGTCTTCATCATCTGGGGGTTGTTGAAATTTGACCGGTTGACGTTTTCGTTGTCTGCCTTTTGCTGCAGATGAGGCTTTCCGACGAGCTGGAGGTCGAGGCAGCTCCTCCACCCGCGCGTCTTCCTCGCTCGAGTCCTTTGTCGGACTCGAAGGTAAGAAGAATTTCCCTCGAGGCTTAGAGTCGCGGTCATCTTGCCAATTGCTCCGAGCGCCCAATAATGTGCCCGTAGCGAGACTCCCGCCTAGACTGCCTACACGACTGGGCACGGGGGTGGGTTCGACCAGACGTATCTCAACATTGGCTACGGGGGTATCCGGTAGTGAAAGAGTTGGCACATTGTTACGTTTCGCTTCGGACACCCAGTCCTTGAAGCTGTCCTTTTCAAGCAAGAGGTTTAGTGCTTGACCAAAGGACGGGGGCGATCGAGCCAGCTTGGACGGTTCTTCCAAGTCTGGCGTACGGATGGAGATAGAGCTGGCGGTGGTGATGGAAGATGAAGAGGATGCGTGACGGTTGTGAACTGGCCGACGAGCCCAATGTCTGAGGTAGATAGATCAGGAAAACCGCCGAGGATTCGAGAAGAAGGGGGAAAAAAACGGGATGTAGCTCACCGCCAGGCTAGATTTTCTAGTCGGGACCCATCTTTGACGAGCTCCGCTGCCTTTGTGATGGCGCCCCAGACATCTCCAATCGTTGTGCTCTCGCCAGGCTCTCCCAAACTGAGAGCGGCGCCTAGCTCGAGCGCAGGAGGCGCCAAGGTCAACAATGGTACAGTCATACTAAATTAAACGTGCATTGAGGTGGCGAGCAAAGGGAGAGTGTCATGCTCCGAACCGAATCCGACGACAAAGCGTGTCCAGTCGGCCCAGATGGGGCAGCGACAGATGCCCACAGGATGTCCAAATCGATCAAGGAAGGATGTAGGATGGCAGAGTCGACCAAGTCGTCTACGCGAATGAGATCCGATAGAGTTTTATTATTTTTTCTCCTTACCTGCCGGTCTCTGCGCCGGCAAAGCGGACCTGGTGGCCTGCGTGGCCAAACACCTCACGTGGAGTTAGTGGGACGAGCAGAGTCATAGGTGACCACGTCTGTACATCCGATGCAAGAGCACACTCCTCTTGCTTGCTGGCTTTTCGATGGCTAGCATCGGCTCATAGATCTCCTTACTGAGCCCCGGCTTTCTGAGCATCCAGGCCAGTGGCGAACTCTTTAGAATTTTGAAAATAACCATCAATGCATATGTTGTTCATAAGTCATACCGCAGCTTTACATATTTTCTACAGGCGTAACATGACTCATCTCTCAGCTCTCGTCATCGCCTTTGGTGAATATAGCCGGCGACGGTGCATCCGGCTGCACGAATAGGCAACATATAAAGTTGACTGCAGAAGCAAAGAGCATAAATACCCACCACAATCTTCCGCCGAGAATGCCCCGGTCAACGGATATGGCGAAAAGCTAGAACAGGATGAGCCCCCCAAATGGGCACGCTTATGCTTCGACTCACCGCACTGATCAGTGATGGACCGATGACTCTTGACATGCATCCGACGGCGGTGGCAATTCCGTTGACGGCACCAAGCGCTGTACGATCGGGCGCGGAGAAGTTGATGAGGACCATGAGCAGACTGCTCGTCATGCCACAGAAAGTCACGTAGCTTAGCAGGAGGTTGACACAAATGGTGACGGTCCAGCTTCTCTCCTCCGCATACGCCAAGGAGCCGGCTTCGTTTGGCACTGGCGTTTCGACTGCCACTAGGATTGGCCGAAGAAGTGGAAGCAGGACCCAGACCAGTATCCATCCAAAGGTCAATAGCTTGTAGGCAGTAGCTAAGCCAAAATAGCGCCGTATACGTGTGAGGAACAAGAGCTGGCAAGCGATAGACCAAAATCCGTTCAATGCAAGTGCACTGCCAATCGCGGCGGCTGACATATTCAAGCCACTGCATGGTCAGACTCTCCAACAATCAATAGAACACTCACTTGTTCCTGTCGAAGAAGAAAAGCAGCGAGGCGGCGGACCAGGCGCCATTGACAAACGAATTGAGGAACATTGTCAGTGAGAGGATCTGCACAGGTCGATAGCCCATGAGGCTTCGGAAACCCCATCGTTGAGGCTCCAGAACGGCTAGGCCCGGACCATCGACACCCTGTGGCATTTTAGCCAACAACATCTCAGTCGAAGGCGTGTCGTCGCCAACTAGAGTCTCAGTGTCGGATACGCTGGTCGAAGACGAGGAATGACGTTTATGTGTCGGCGAGAAGACGCGCATGGAGAACATTGAACCGGTGGGACCGGGCAGGGTCTCGCGATAGCAGAACGTGCCAAACAAAAGACCGAGAAGAGTCATAAAAGTGCACACTAGACAGGCTTTGACTGTGAGCAGTGGCCAGGAGGGGGTCCGCTTACGAAAGAGGTATGGAAAGTGCTTGAAAATGGGAAAGCCGCCAAAGACACTAGGAAACCTTTCGAATGGGTGCGAAAGGGTTCCGCCGATCGAGTTGCTACATTATCAGCGTGATCTGTTATCCATCCATTCACTTACCCAATCATGGAGCCCACTGTCCATGTAAGGCCATAGAGGGCAAAAGCTTCGGTCGAGTTGGACTCGTCCGTAATGTCGCCAAGACTGGCTTTGATGACGGCGACATTGCCATTGAGTGCACCAGAGATGGCTCTGGCGGCTATCATCATCCAGAACCTTGTGGATAGTCCACTGATACGTCAGGATGATCCATAATGAGGTCTACTTACAATAGCGTCCCGGAGATCGCCACACCTGTGAGACCTAGTAAGATGACTGGTTTGCGTCCGATGCGACTACGGGTGTCAGGGGTCAATGACAGCTGAAGAGCTCACTCTGATAGTTTTGCCCAATGATATACTGTAAAGAATTGAACGAATGCAAATGTGGATTCCTGAGAGATGAGCCAGTGACGAGGTCAACTCACCACCAAGCCTGAATAAAATCCGACCTTGTCGCTATTGTCCGTGACACCGAGCTCAAGACACCTGAGTGTATGTATCAGGAAATGCTCTGCATCGTATTGAAACTTACATCTGGTTGATGAACGGGAAGATGACTGATGACTATGAGACCATAGGCCTATATATGTATAGATGCTCACCTGTATATGTGACTGAATCGAGTCGTCAGCATGCATGCATGCATTTCTTCTCTCGCGCGCGAGACGATGACTCGAACTCACTCGGCTCTGCCAACCTGGTCAGTATCAAGATGGCGACCTGTATCTTGAGCTGATGGGAGAATCGAGCCATGTTGGGCGATGGGTCATTGATTGACCTCTCACAGAGATTCAAGTCCAATAGAAGCCCAGACGAACAATGGGAATGAGAATAATGATGATCACCTCCCTCCCAGCAGCAACTCGTGACCCATCGAAAGTGGGAATATGAAATGCCTCATGAGTCAATGCTAGGTGGGGGGAAATGTCACGATTTTCGGTCTGGTCCGAAGGAGAAAAAAAAAAGATCAATCGCCCTGACGTCAGGGGGCCCAGACAGTAACGAACTAGCTTGTGGACTCGAGATGACATGCAGACTGCATGAAACGATGGTGAATTTTTATTTTTGTAGGGCATGAAAGAAATGGTCATTAGATGAGATATATTGTAGGTGCCAGACGTTAACCATGTAATCATAAAAAGGAGCCGGAAAATGCAGTAAGAGAAGAACAGTCCCCCGTCCCAGGTCGTTCGTTTTGAAAGTCGCTCTAGAAATCTTCAATGGGAGCGGGTCCAAGGATCCTCTCATTCTCCACCCTCTCCCTCTCTCTGACTCCCTTTCGCTTCTTCAAGTCACGGACTGACAAGCCATACCCTTCCAGAGTGGGCACGAGGGTCTCCGAGTCCTTCATGGCCAGAATCTCGTGGTAGGATCCGATGACTTGACCGCGGATGAGTACTTGTGGGAGATCTGGCGTGTCCAAGAGCCGCTGCAGGAGTGGGACAAAGACGTGATGATCTCTTCGCTGGTCGACATCGACGATCAGGGGTTCGGGATAGATTCGGTACGAGTGCAGGATCTTCCTGATCTCTCGGTGCCAAGGATCTCGCATCTTGCCAAAGAGGACAAGAGGATAGACAGTGTTCACGTGCTCCACCAGGAGATCGAGATCGTCTCGGGCATTTTCGTGACTGGGATCAAAGTCTAGCACTGTGCTGGGGTCGATGGGTCGCTCTGGGTTGAGATCTGGCAGACTGTTGGCGGTTGTCGATGTGACAAACTGTGTGCACGTCAGTCTCTTGCAGTCTCTGAGCCAAGACTCACCGAGATCAAGGCTGCGAGCTCCTCGTAAGTGTTTTGAAAGGCAAGATGAGGTCTGACGCGAGTGGGGACCCGTTGGATTCGCGCTTCTTCCATAAAAACGTAGCTCTGTTGCTGGACGACCGGTGCAACAGCCGGGGTCGTTGACATGACATGGTTGAGGTAAACGACACAAAAGACAAAGGCGCAAAAGCTGAAAAGTGCCAGCGGACGCAGACGTCTAGGTACACGGAGGATGCGGGCGGCAGTGGTAGTGTAGGGATTGGAGATGGTATACACCCGCTAGAGGACAAAATCGTTTTCAGCGGAGCGGCCCCAATGAAATGGTCAAGACTCACGCGAGATGCCTCCAAAGGATGGCCTTTGGGTGTTCGAGGAGGGGATTGGTCTGCGACGCGCTTGATCGATCGATGAGGGAGGAGAGGGATCGAGAGCTTGTCCATCATGAGAGGAGATGGCATGGACGCAAAGGACTTGAGGTGGGCATGTTGAGATATACCCGGTGAAGTCGCTTTGAATTCTGGGGTCTGGAGGATGGTATCGGTCGGTGAGGGTTGCTGATCGAGAGCGGGAGTCGATCTGAGCAAAGGGGTGGAAGGGAGAGATGAGGATGGAAACGGTCTTCGATGCGTTGCGCTCTCGATTGAGACAGATTCGAGCTCGCTCATATTGTCAGAGAATGAGGATGAGGGCGGGGCGGATGGTATGTTTAATGGATATAAGGCCGGGGTTCCGATGGACTGATAAAGGTGTGTCGTGAGCAGAGCTTTCTACTCACCAACAGGGGTCCGACCTACCATCAGAGTTCTAGCCCCTTTCTTTTTCCTTTTGACGCAAAGGATATACCTGCTGATACGGAGGACGGTCGTTGATGTCTCAATTCGACTGTCAGCAGATTCTTTGCTGTTGGCTGATGAAATGAAACGAATGAAATGAAGAGTGGCAGATAGATGCTATGAGACTTCAAATTTCCATAATGTCGGAAAGGAGAGAACGGGGGCCAGCTGACTGTGTCTGTGTCTGTGTGTAGTCGTTTTTATAAATACGCATTCAAAGATCTCCAGAAGCGATCGTCCATGAGGAAGGAGATACTGGTCAGGCTTAGGGTCAATGTGCCTGAGGAGAGGTGGTACCGAGCCACCTGGTCCCGATAAACTCAGGAAAATGGATCTCTCCTTGCTTTTTTTTTTTTCGAAACCCTGCTGACCTCCTCCGTCCACCACTCGGTACATTCTCTCCGTACAGGGAAGGTTTCCGTGAGTGCATCCATCCCTCTGGACAGATAGCACAGGAACCCAGGATCGATTGTCTCGCATAAAAATAAAATTTAAGGGGGCGACGAGGCAGGATCTGGCCAAGGGAGCAGTGGGCGGCGTCCATACATCGGGAGTGCTTTAACGTCATATCTCGTTCAGGAGGCCCGGTATGTACCCAGGAAAGACGATTGGAATCGAAAAATAGATAGAATAGCTCTTCCGTGGGATTCAGGGGGGGGGGGGGGTTTCCTCCCTGACCCTCTTGTCTCTGGAAATCTTTTTGGGCTCATTTTTTTCCCAAGGAATTGAACCCGAGCGAACAAGCGCCATTTTTGTCAACGGGAACAGCGCCCAAAAAAAAAGAGATATACGGTACATCACCAGATTCTTCGTTATTAGCTTACCCGATGGGCGGCGTATACGTTATGGTACATTGCGTTATGCGGGACTGAATAGATAGGGAGAGAGGGTTGGAGATCGTACATTAGCGTCACCGATATCACTCGGCGAGGATCCTGATGCATGGTATACAGCAGAGCAGAGCGAGTCAAGGGCGAAAACGTGCATAATCTTCCGTCACTTTTTTTTTTTTCTCTTCCCTCCTCTCCCCTATGACCCACACGACGCCCACTCTCCCATTGGACCCCTCCCTCATCTCCCCCCTTTGCTATAATCACTCTTCGCTATGCATGGGCGACTCGGGACATCTCTGGACGAGAAGCGAGACAAGGTACACGACCCATACGTCTCAGCAGCGCCATCACGGCCGCCACCATCACAGGCGAGTCCTCGAGTGGACACACGGACAACCATATCCTCCGCTCAAGATGAGACACTCTATGCCTCCAGTCTACAATCCACCGTGTCATCAGGAGCAGGATCAGGTTCAGGACCAGGACCAAGATCACGCACCAACAGAGAGCGCGTACTGGGTCTGGTTCAGCAAGATGATACTACCGCCCTTGCGACTGGAAGCAAATTATTCTTACCCCCCAATGTAGCGGAAATCTTACCATGCGGTAAACAGTTTGCGGCTTGGCAGACTACCGTCCCGGCGACTGAACCGAACTGTGAAATCAGCAAGGGCGGCGGGGAAGTGAACCACGGTGGCAATAATGGTGGTGGTGGTGATGGTGGTGTTGGTGGTGTTGGTGGAACCTGGCAAGGAACCAAGAAAGTTACACACAGTTTGTACAGAGGCGTTTACAGGGTCGGTTGGGAACGTGAGGTTTTGGACCTGTGAGCGACTCATTGGGTGAGACCACCAGTCACTGATATGGGAACAGAGAAGCTCGTATGCATGAATCCCTAGCAGAACTTGTAGGCGGTCACACCTTTGCCCGTCCAGATACATCGCCCAAAACGGTGCTAGACGTGAGTGGCACATGCTGATAACTGGTACTGACGCCAAGTTGGGTACAGGATCAGGCCATTGGTGTATCTCACAAGCTTCAGTATGGACGGAAGCCGATTTTATCGGAGTGGACGTTGTACCATGTCAACAGGCTCTGACTGGACGTCTGTCTTCGCTTGCTCATAGGATAACCTGGTCACAGGCCGATTTGTGAGCAGACTCGAAGGCTTTCGACTCGCTAATCCCCTCGTAGTCTGACTTCGTTGCCTTACGATGCCGGAGTATTCGATTACGTTCACATCCGCTTTGTGGGTCTTGGCGTTCCAGAGCCCAAATGGGGGGATCTACTGGAGGAAGCTACACGAGTTTTAGCCAAGGGAGGAACTCTGGAAATTGTCGAGATGGCCTACACCCTTGGGACAACATCTCATCCTTCCCTGATCAACTCGTTTGCCTCTCTCCTGCTGGCAGACTTGATCCAGCCCTTTCCATCTCACCCGATCAAATTCTACCTTCCTACCATCGGCATGTCGCCTACTCCATGCTTTGAACAGAGCTGGGATCATGCCCCAGGAGCTATCGGTGATGCGGTCATGACTTGGGTTCGAAGCGCATTGGATTACAAGGGGACGGCATTGGTCAAGGATCGAGGGAATGAAAGGCTGTTAGGGGCGTTGAGCAAGGCAGATGAAGACAAGTGGGTGCGAGCGGATGATATGCCATCGGGTGGGGCCAGTCTCACCGCTTGGGCGATCATCAAGCGATGAGCATGCAGAAGGGTCTAACACCCTCAACCACCCCAGCCGAACCAAGACCTCGATGGTCCAAATTTGCTTTGAAGGTATTGGGCTTCCGTGTCCATGGCCTGGGTGATTCGCGTTGTGCTTTCAGGCATGCTTGTGTACGGGGCGAAGCTTGCGAGACGTTCTGTTGCAATTTTGCAGGTCGACTTGTTGACTTCGTTGTTCGCCTCAGTCGTGGCCGGCAAGTCTGTCACTCGTTGTCGAAGCTGCATCTTGATGCCTTCATACTCGCTGAACATCATATCTTTCATATGCCGCTTCGTTAGCTCATCGGCATTCGAGAAGTCTTGTGAATCTAACATCCTGTCGGCCCAGGGGTCAAAGCTTGTGACGACACTGTAGTCGATAGAGTCGCCAGCGATTTGATTTCTTGCAGAGGCACCCAACCTGAGCATGATAGTTGGTCAGTTGAATCGGCCGATACGTAGCATCCCTCTCAACTCACCGTTGCACCAAGTCAGCCGAGACACCGCTTGGCACGGTCTGAGGTTGCTGTTGAGAAGATAATCCCTGTTGGGACATTTGTGGCAGCATTGCATTTCCTGCCCGGTCAGCCATGTGTTCGGCTGCGAGCCGGATGACAGTCGGTGGTGCATCTGGATCTATCTCATCAGTCACGAGTTCCCTGGAGAAGGACTCACTGCTGGCAGTCAGCATGTCGGAGAACCACTTGATTCGCTCGTCACGCGTCCTTGCGACTCCTGTTGACAGAGGTTCAAGGCCATATCGGGAAGCCCATGGATCGCTCGAGGACTCAGCTGAGGTCCCGAACATGGACTCACGTTTCACGATCGATGACTATTTGGTCCGTCCGTGTACCATTACCCCCGATCTGTATCGTGAAGGCGGTACCATCCGCAGTGGTGATGGTGTATGTGTCCGACTTGACTTGACTTGTATCCACCTCCACTAGCAGAGTCTTGTCGGCCCGTTGGATGACCCTCATGTCCGTCCGTTGAGAATTCGCTGAAACTTCTGTACCCTGTCCCAGATTAGGTCTTGATGGAGCGATGAGTGATTGTGGGCCGCCAGAGGACAAGGTAGACGGTACGGTGCCACCACTCGAGGGGATGGTCTGAGAACCCTCTGCAAGCTTGTCAGCGCATAGGAGCCAAACTGACCGAGACGCTCACGCGATTGAAGGAACTGCTGGTAGTCGGCTTGTCTCTGTGCTTCGCTCATGGCTTGTGGCGTTGATGGATTGTTGTAGTGGTTTGAAGGAATATAAGGACTGTAAGGTGCGACGGATGGCGAATAGTGTGAAGGTGGCGCGGGTTGTGATTGGGTCTGGGTCGAAGTAATTGGCGCCTCCTTCTTACTTGAAAACGGCCACCACCAGGAGGAAGAAGAAGACGACTTGGTATCACTCGAAGGTGTAACTTGACTCTGGACTGATGGAGTCTGACCGCTGTAAGCTGTCGTGGTCAGACCACGCGTTGGATCATACTCCGTTTGCCGATTGAAACCCTCAAAATGCGATGGTTGAGTGTTACCATGCCACTGTGCTTGGACAGGGTGCAGTTGTCGAAACCCATTGAAACTGCTGGGGTTGAATCCAGAGAAGGTACTACCAGCGGATACAGACATGTTGTGGATATTGTGATCGATAAGATTAAGGTGGTGAGGTAGAGTGACAGAGTACAATACCAGTATCTCACTGCTTGGAGGAGTAGACCGACTCTCCAGTTTCAAACTGAAAGGAGGTGTCGTATCGATGGCGGGCAAAAGGAGAGAAATGGGGGGAAAATTTCACTGTAAGCTGTCATAGGTGGGAAAAAGGCAAGGCATAGACCAGCTCTCATAGCTACGACAAAACTCGACAGGGGTTACCTGGGCTATCCATGTACTCTACCTCACCGCTGGACTCTCTGTGCCACACACCCACTCATGTATTTGCTTCCGTGCTGATCTCGCGAATGCTTTTTATATTACGCTCAGACTCCCTCCCAGTTTGATGTTCTCTCTTAACATTGTACCACTCCTCACTTGATCACTTCGCACGATATTCATCATGGCCGACAACTCCATTCTATACATCAGTGATCTCTATTGGGTGAGTGATAAACGACGTACGTCGTCGATCTGATATATCCCATCCAGTGGACCAACGCCGATCACATTGTCGAGGCGGCAGCAAAGGCCGGCATCAAGCTCGCCCGAACGGACATTACATTCGCAGAGCACAAAGTCAATGGCAAATCGAAAGGGTGAGTGTGGCATTGTATTCTATTCGGGACGAATCTATCTGATGGAGACAGAAATGTCCTGGTTGAATGCCACTCCATTCATAACTCTGTCAAGCTCTTTAATTGGTTCAGACACAAGTATGTCTTCCCCGCATCTCTTGCTCATCCACCACTGCACAGTGACTTTCACGGCAAGCGACTCGTCCCTTCATACTACTCGCCCCAGCCCGGGCCCAAACAACATTTCCACTCTTACGGTCCTCGACCAGCCACTGGAACCCAAGCCCTCCTCGCTCATGGGCCCACCAACGCACACGGCGGAATCAACTTCAACCGAGTCCGACCCAACGTGCGATCTGGTGTAGCTCTCAAGCACACCCTTCGTGAGTCGGGGAGCGCCAATGAGTTCCCCGCTAAATACACCAGAGCCCCTCGCACAGCCTTTCGTCCCCGGAGGTTACGAGTCGAGTGAGTCGTTTCCGTTCTCCCTTGCACTGACGTCAGTGTACCACTACGCTTAGATTGTAACCTCTTCCTTTCATATATACCCGTCTCCTGTTGTACTTCCATTCGCTGCCTCCTGGCTGTCTTCTTCCTTTGACAGGATCCACAACGATCAGACTGTCCCATCACAGGCATTTAAGACGCGGACAAGAACTCAGCTTTTGCGGGTCCACTCCTCACGAATAATATCACCATGAGAGTCTTACAATTAGCCCTCTTAGGAGCTGCAGCCGTTCTAGCACAAGAGCCCAGCGGCTCTCCTCTGTGAGTACTCGGCGATAACCAGGCTGAAGCGTACAGCGTCGATGTTCCAGATGAGATCGCGAACGCGACGACGACCGCCAAAGACCTGCCCCCACCGACAGAAGGCATCGTCGGTGCTGGAGTATCGGGTGCATCGTTCACTTCCGCTGCTGATTCAAACTCCACCACTTCTGTGGACCCCGCTGCCAGCACCGCCGCTGAGGCTGGCACTGCCTCTGTAGTCACACCCTCCGGCAGTGATCCTAGCGGCTCCGCATCTGCATCTGCATCGGGTGCAGCGTCCCCGATGGCTTCACTCGACATGTTCACACTCGTTGGCCCGGCGATGATGATCGTGGGAGCAGTTGGCGCAGGCTTCGCCGTGATCTAGATGCATCACTGAAACAACGCAGTGTATTTATTTGTACAAGAGTACCTGAACCTTTGTCAGTACATCATGCAATACTTGAGACTCACCATTCGAAATCGAAATTGTTCTGTTGATCACACCAACATTTCCCTCTTGTGTGCGCCTCACCTTGTGGACAATGTTGAAAAGGCTCATGACGATATCCAATGTCCTGAAACCAATGTAGTTGAGACTTGTTGGCGAACAGAGCAGCGGCGATGGAGTGAATGGGCGCATCTCCCCACCGCTCGTAGTAGAAGCCTCCCTTCTTATCCAAAAAGTCAAAGTAGTCGAGATAAGCTTGAGATCGATAAAAGTTGAGGTCACCGATCTCGAAATTGCTCCAGACTGTCGTCAGCTCTTTTTGGTTTAGCTTGACTCACAATGACACTTATTGTACGTCTCGCCTCCATCCTGACTGAGGAACCCCATGGCGTTGTCAGCTGCTACGTACTCGGGGTGCAGCGCGATAAATTCTAATGTGTGAGCATGGGGGTCCGCATCAGATCACCCACCCTTGACGCTATCCCATAATGTTGGAATCGTCTCAATGTATTCGTACAAGGACAGCGTGAATCCATAGACCTTCTTCTCATTCTGCATAACGAGGAAAGGATCGTAGTCTGGAGGATGAGCGCAATTGTCGATCTGTACTCACTCAGATCACAGAAGTATTTCACAGAGGGTCTATGAATGAGTACAGACACCTCCAACGCCTGAACTCACTCTATACGCCAATAGTAATCGTACTTGGCCAGCAGTTCATGGCGGAAGAAGTTCTGAAAATGCTCAGCAAAGGGACACCTTCTAACACTCACGCCTGACTGGAATCGACACATATTCCTATACGGGACCGAATGACCGTAAATGACTTTTTTCCGTATCATCTCCTCCCTAGCAGCCTTGGCTTTCTCCTCGTCGATCCTGAGAAAACATCAGCGGACTCCTCGTGCTGGTGGAGATGATGCTCTTACCAGTCGGGCTGGAACCAAACATCGGCCGGAATCAAGCCGTAATAGCAGTTCGAGGATGTCAATGATTGTGTATACCTGCAAGTCGCAAGTTAGCCCCTGTCCGTTCGCCTTGGCGCACCGCTTGAATTCTTCGCTGAATTCCTGGAGCTGTCAGCACGGATAAACTCGATCATGTCCTACCTCTTCGTTGAGAAAGACGTAATCATACTTTGCCCAGTGGTTGAACCGATCTTCCATCTGTCGAATGGATTCCAACAGAGGCCAAAGGTCGGAATTACGAGCTTGGCATGGAGTCAGTTGTCGGCAACTGATTGTCTGGGCATCATGAGCTCACCCAGAACGACAAAGACTGCATTGGCTCTTGGTCTAGAGCTTAGATCAGCTCCTCTGAGGTCGTCTGCAGTCGGTAATTGGATAGAGACATCGGGAACCGCAGACTCTGGTGGCAGACCCGATATGATTTCGTTGCTCGAAGTTTGAGGTAAAAAGCGGTAGGGAGAAGTGGTTGCGCGGTAAGTGGGGTGGATCGAAAGCAGGAGGTGGATCGAGACCTGCCCTTTTAGCTCTGAGACGTAATGGTCAATGCTCACTATACATCCTATTGCAATCCCTATATATCTCCACTTGGGCATTAACATGATTCACTCTTCTTCACGATGCCGCGTCTCCGGCTCTGCTGAGCTTTTGCAAGTCGGTGGTAAGCAGTATCTCCACTAGATGCCCTGTTGCTTGAATCCTTCACTTTGTGGAGTCTCTGGCCATCGATTGAATGGAGATGATTGCCAGCTGGTGAGAAGGAGGCTCTAAATCAGATTTCACGCAGCATGTGAATGGGGTAGCTCAGTCGTCTTCGATTCTCCCCCCGCCCTTTCTATATGGAGCTCGAGCGATGCATTTAAGGCAATGGCAAGGGAGAAAGGAGCTGCGACCGTGGAAAAGTCAATTCAGGGTGCCCCTCCATTTCGGTATCATTAGGAGAGTTTTCCTAATCTCAGCGAGGATTATTAGGGGCAGGTGTTGATTCGCTCATTGCGGCTAAGCTGATGTTTGATTTCGCCTTGAGCAGCGCCTTGTTCTCAACTCGTGTGCGTGTGTGAGCGTGCCGACAAGACATAGAAAAAGAGAGAGAGAGAGAGAGAGAGGGAGAGTGTGTGCGGCGTGTGATATATGAAAGGACAAGTGATAGCATGTGTGACACGCCCTACGGTTTGTTTCCCCCCACCACCCTTGCTAAACTCTGGAGGTGAGTGACTAACCTGACAGCGTCACTCTCATTCACATCCTGAATACACAGGGGTTCGGATATGCCAACACTCTCATCTCGCCTGCTTGCTGTAGTTCAAATGCTCGTCCGTGTCTGCTCCATATGCATAAGCTTGAGGCTGAATATCAAAGGTGACAATACCACCACTGTTTGACATGTCACATTAGACGTGTTTGCTTTCTTTTCTTTTTTTTGGGCTCTCCACTTTCTTCTTCTCCTTTCGCCCTCCACGCCGCCCGCCCTATCGTTGTGAATTTCTTCTTCTCAGGGCCATCCGCCGCGTCGTATTGAGGGATTGGTGCAGAGGTTCAGAGCGGAGGAGGGGAGCGAGGGAGGGGGGGAAAGCAACAGCGTCTTCATTACAGTAGAGAGAGGCTACTGAACAAGCGCAGAGGCCAAAAGAGATGAGAGGGGCGCCAAATCGGCTCCCCTGCTCTCTCTTTCCCCCTCCCCCTCCCCTCCCATCCACGGTGACAGGGTTCATAGCCACAACAACGCCAGGCTTCGAGTTGTTTACCATCCGATCAGGATTGACCTGTATACACAACAGGTTATATGCTCATGCACAATTGACACATCCATTCTGTAAACTTGACATTGTCCTTTCTATCCCTATCGACAAGCATTCCTGGGCAATCCATAGATAGGACACATTCCTCGTTCGTCAATCCATACAACTTGTCTCTGACCGTGAGTAAGACCTTTTGCAGATCAGGGCCATCAATCGAATCTTCGCAATTTGTCTCAATGTCTGTGTGTCTGTCGCATCAGCTGACCCAATTGTCATTTTCTTCCGACTCGATCAGATGCCTCGTATTCCCGTCAGGACTACACCCTATCACACTCTGCCGCGGTGCACGAGACATTACAAGTCGAAACGTGATCTGATCCTTCGAGCACTCGGCAAAGCATCATTCATCAATGGATCTCAATTCGTCATTGCTTGGATATCACCCAAGGGCGAAGTCGATGTCTATGCGTCTGAATTACTCCAAACATCCGTCTCCAACAAGGAGGGCGGTATCCTGTGTCGTAAAGAGCTCGATCGTGAAGCGACGAGGGTCAAAGGGGAGATGGGTCGTCGATGGGAGGACATTCGTCGTTTAGAAGAAAGCGGTGAAGCCCCCAGTATGGAAGACGACGAGGCCCAAGATGAAACCTTTGAAGAGGACGATATGGACGTGGACCCAGATAGGACCATGGTCGACGATGATGATTCGATGAAGAAGACTCTCCAAGGGTTGGGATTGACCGCACCGCGACCCAACACGCCTGCGTCCTCGATGCACACCCTCACATTAGCTCCAGACGCGACCGAGAACTATTACACGTCTCGTTTTGCAGCTCTTCAACAGGCGACTTGTAAACTCGTGGTCAAGGCTTGGATCAAGGTCATCGAGCCTAAAAAGCAGATGAAATTCCCGTACAACAAGGGCGAGGAGCTCAAACCGCTTTGGTGGCCTGAGGGAGTTCGACATCGCGAACCGGATCATTTGAGCAAGACTGAACGTCTCACGCTGTTGACCAGTATTGTGCGGTCGCCATTGGTCACTGTCTCCCGACTCGAACTCTCCACCGCTGAAGCTGCTGCCTTTATCTCACGGCCTAGGCTTGCGGTCCTCCGAGAAGTTTACCTCGTAGCGAAGGAGGAAGAGAGAAAGAGGAAAGAGGGTGACTTATCACCGGATCTGGTCGTACAACTGCCCAACATTCCCATCTCCCCATCGGACGTATCTCCAGAAGCTAGCTCTGAAAAGCGAAGTCACGCTCAATTCGAAGCGAGCATATCAATGGCCGATAAAGAGAACGTCCCTTCAGTCGTCCACCAAAAACGACTCAAAACCCAACCCTTGCCTCGACTGGCCCCACTTGTCGCGTCACAATCCAATACTAGCTTCTTTGAACAGCCTGCATTCTACGCTCAGAACGTTCAACCCTATCTCTCACCGTATCCTTCCGAGTTTGGCTATGCTGGATCCGATTATGGACGATCACCGAATCCAGAAATGGGCATGATTGATCGATCAACTTACCCCTCTCATCCTGGTCATCTCGCACCGCTCTTGAATCACTCCCATACACATTCTCCTGTCGACTCTCCAGCCTTCCCTCAGAGCGCAACATTGGCGCCACCAAATTCTGCTTCTGCGTTCTACACGCGAGGCAGCAATGGACCGAGTTATATGCAACAACAGCAGGTTGAGTACCTGCAAAGTCATGCCCCAGGATACGACTATGGTTCACCGTATTTGGCGGACAATGCGTGGGAGGGAAGCTTTGCTCAACCAGTCTAGACATACATGCTGTTGTACATAAAACATTGATGAATAACGAACTGTCATGATCTCATGGGTCCAACACTGACAGCCAGCTTCCAAGGCGCATTGCGCTGGACAGTAGAAGATGAGCCTCGCTCCAGAGCCGTCGCCAATCCAAATTGGATATAACGCAGAAAGGCCTGGCGTCGACTTTCAGGCCACGACGCATCCTCGACCGTCTCATCTGCCATTCTCTCTGGTTGCCCTCGTCTGCAGAGTAGCGACAGATAGGCAGCCACGAGGGTGTCACTCCATCCCACTGGAAATCGACATTGGGGCAATCGGACCAGGTGAAAGCCCAGGACGACATGTGCGCCAGGGACGAATGTCAAAGACAAGATTGAATCACTCTCTGCGCCCCGTCGCTCGATGCATTCCAATTTGGCCCATGATTCCTGAAGGCGAGCAGCGAGTCCGACGAGTTCACTGATAGGGATCGATGTGCGGAGATCTCCAGGACATACCTCTCGCAGTATCCGAGGTTGAGCAAGTCGGAAGAAAGCTTCTTGACGCTTGAACAGTGCCCTGGAGGCGTTGTAGACGACTGAGGGGGCCGATTCCGCCAGCTGTCGAAGCGCATACTCTGATACGATCACCGTATGGACGCGGGGGAAAATTCGGTGACCTGGAACTCGTTCGACCAGTCGCAGCACCTGCTCTGTCGTATCATGAGACGGCACCTCATCGATCTTTACGATTTCCACGAGGGACAAGAGCTCGATACGGTTCTCGGTCGCTCGAAGAAAAGAGGCGAACGAGGCGTCGGACGAAAAGACTAGATCCGAGTACAGTAGGGATTGTAACTGACGATGATGTTCGGTGGAAAGCTGGAGAAGCGTCGCTAGGCTGTGGAGAGATCTGTCAGAAGCCAAGTGTCTGGCGACGATAGGTAGGATATCAATGGGCAGATGAGCGTCTTCAGGCCAATCATTCATTAGAAGGTGGTGGTGGTGTAACAAACTCGGATCAACGGAGAAATCCCGCCGGCGTCTGGAAGGCCGGTGTCGCCTTTTTGTGAATACAACCTATATGGCGGTCGATCTCATCCTTTTGCTTATCTTTCCGTGTTCCACCACCTACAATGATCTTATAGTCGCTTGGCCTGCCTGCTTCTCACCTTTGGATCTCCCCTATCTCCCTCCCTCCCCCCTCCGATGCCATGGTCCCAGTTGAGACACTCTCCCGCAACTTTGGCTACCTCAGCATCTGCTGCTGGCTTTGCGCACAGCTGCCGCAGGTCGTCAAAAACTATAGGCTCAAATCATGCGAGGGGCTGTCACTTCCGTTTCTTGTGACCTGGCTCCTGGGTGATGTCGGGAACCTCGTGGGATGTGTCTTGACAGATCAATTACCCTTCCAAACCTACCTGGCAGCCTACTTTTGCCTTGTCGATCTCTCGCTGCTCTATCAATTCTTCTACTATCGTGCCAAATTCCAAATACACCATCCTGCCGCCCTCACCTCTCGAGATAGTTATATTTTCACTCCTGGAATCACTCAATCTCTCATATTACCTCCAGCTCCTCCCTCCTCCCCACATCTACGCACCACGACCTTGCCTGATGGTCGTCCGAGAAGGCACGTGAGGACATACACTGAACCAATTTACAGTCGGACGGATGAGCATGCCGCAGTGTATGCTGCCGTCCTTGACGTCGCTCGAGCTGCCAAGCGAGCGAGTAGGACACGGAGTAGATCACGGCGGCCGAACAGTCAGATGCACGATTCCATCATGTCGGATGCTTCGGGTCGATCCTCCTCGACTATCGAATCCCTGCGACACATGTCTGCTTCTTCTCCGAATCTGGTGGATACTCGTGGACGGAATATGAGACGGACGGCGGGAATCACCATGTCGGCTGCTCATCCTGAGGATCAAGATCCACCCCGGGAAGGTGGCGCCACTCGTGATCCAAGTAGAAGCATCAGTGTGGCTCGAAATTCCGAGGATAGAAATCGAGGTCGACGGAAAGCAGGCGTGGCCTTCATGGCTCTTGGCTGCCTGTTCACATTGCGGCAATTGTCCTCAGTATCCGATGGCATAGTCCTTATACAACATCCCGATCATCCTCCACCACCCCCACCGCCTAGCTTTCAGCATGTCGTTGGTCGACTGTCTGCGTGGGCCTGCACCACTTTATACCTTTCTTCTCGTCTCCCTCAAATCTGGAAGAATGTGGGTCAGCGTGCAATTGGACGTTGCTGATGATATAGTTCACACGGCGGTCTGTCGAGGGACTCTCCATGTACTTGTTCCTCTTCGCATTTCTGGGGAACACTTTCTATGTGATCTCTATCCTCGTCAACCCTGGCGCGAGCAATCCATCCGAAAGTACACACTATCTTCTGGAGGCCTTGCCGTGAGCCGTCTACGCGGTAGAATTTCGCTGAATAATTAGCTATCTGATGGGCTCTGGAGGGACCCTTCTCTTCGATATCACTATACTGAGCCAATCCCTCATCTACGGATCCGCTCCACCGTCCGACAACACACCCTATCAGCGCTCACGTCGCCTGTTCGATCGGAGACGGTGGCATCACGAAGAGGGTCCCGAGCGTCAGCCACTGCTGCCTGGCGATGCGGATACCAGAGATCGGAGCATTAGCCCAGACGTCGCGCTACGGAGTCATTCACACAAGTCGAGACCCTGATTGGCGCGATGCATGATAATACTAGCAACAGACTGGCAGCTCTCTGGCCTCATACAAGCTCTCTCGAATCGTAGTGCCTAACAACATGAGACAATCCCCACATTGGATTCCTCTCAAGTCCACCTCGAGCAACTCGAGCAAGTCACTGTCGATTGGCAAATCTTTGGCAACCTCTTGAACTCTTTCCCGCCATGTAGATTCGATATGGGGACGTTGAGTACAGGATGCGCTATGCTGATCCGCATGGCAAGTCTTGGAGAGGATTTGGTCCAAACCTTCCTGCCTTGCGCGCTGCAGATTCTCCAGCCTGGCAGCCGCATGCTTGCCCATCAGTTGCCTCGTCTCTGCTGACCATTGACTCGAAGGGATACGTACGGCCGACTTGGAGGCCAACCGAGCAAGATCGGTGAATTTGAAAAAGCTCGCCGTCGCATATGTCTCCAGCGGTTGAGATTCGATGAAATGGTACATCCTGTCCCTGGCCGCATTGAGCGCTTTAGCAGATTGGTAGCCTAGAGCAGCGCGAATGACTCGTCCAGTGATGTCCAAGGATCCGAGAGCTCCCTCATGTGGCGTAGCAAATGTGCCACGAGGATAGATGAGGGTGAGGAATGCGGCGAGAATAGTCGAAGTCTCCGGGACCATCCAGGTGTACGGTGTCGTCGTTGGCGTAGGAGCGGTCACTGGGTCTTTGGGCGGCAGGTGAGGTGGCGCATCACCCTCGATCGATGCGCGTATATGAGAAGCGATTATTTTGGACAGGTTGAGAAGGCCTCCGAGAGCGGATGGAGCCTGTGCTGGAATATTGGGATGAGGAGGACCAGCTGATGTATTGGAGAGTCTCCAGACGGGAATGAAACCGTAGCTGGGGAGGAGGGGGGCTCTCAGCTTCTATTGCATTGCTCCCTACTCACTAGATGTGGAAGAAGACGGTCTCTTGTTCGAGCAGCTTTTTGTGCACCAAGAACCGTTTGCCGTCGGCCGTTTCGAGTTCGATATCCCCAATCTGACCATTCAACAAGGGTGCAAGGAAGAAGTCGACATCGCGATGAGGTAGAGCCGTATAGGCTGGTGCAGGAGATTCGGGGACAGGAGGTACGAGCAGGTCATCGTTGAGATCCTTCGTTGATTGGAACATGCTGCTGTAGTAGCTCGATCCGCCAGAGTTCAGTATGCAAGAACAGAGGCAAGGAGGACCGGGAGAGAAAGAGAAAAGCGAAACTCATATTATAAGCCTCTCTTGTTCTCGCCTCTCTCTGTTGTCAATCACAAAGGAGGGGCTGGTCGACTCTCCCTTTTACCAGATTCTGAAAAGAAATGTCACGGTCGATGGTCAAGCGACAGGAGGTGCGCCGGGAAAGGAAAAGGTGGGATGGGGGTTGGAGATTCGGCGACGATTGGCGTAAAGGATAGAAGATCTGCATTATAGCTACAAAAGTGAGAGACGACGAAACAAGCTTTTTACTCGACCTTGATAGGCCGCCGTGTCCTCTTTGCGGCCTGTTCTCGGGTCATTTCTGTGCCAAGGATCTTGTCCCAGTTGGTGCTGCCATCGAGTCAGCGAAGTGTGCCAGAATGACATTCATTTGACTCACAAGAATGGCTGGGAGAAGTTTGTCTTGATACCATAGGCCTGATGATGTATGTCATGGTAGTCGGAGTTGTTGGCGAACAGGAATTGGAACGGATCCCACCAGAGTTTGTAACCCGAGTGATCGTCGACGGTCTTGACCTCGGATATGACAAAGAATACGATGGCCTGGCGCATCGTCATGCCAGACAGATAGTGAGATACGGCAGCACCGATGGTGTCAAAGACGAGTCCCTCCAAAGGGTGGTTGTACAGCGCACCAAAGGCATATGGCACATAGAGTCGATGGTGGACCGAGTGGAAATTACGGTAGAGGAATGTCGAGGTATGACATGCTCGATGCCAAAAGTACTCCCAGGTATCCATGATGAAGCTATGTAAAGGTCAGAAGGAGCCACACATGTGGTTCATGAAAACTCACAAGGCCCAAAGGAGCTGAACTGTTGGTATTCCCCACCAGTACACCCATTGCACCAACGACTGACCGTGTCGCTTGAGTATATCTTCTCCTGATCGACCACAAATGACAAAGACGACTCTGGCCACGTAGGGCGCTAGCCACGCCATCTTGGCCATGTGATCCACGTAAACTTCGCGCCTGAGAATGTCCTCTTCCTTTTCAAACCATAATATCCCTAGACCGGTTTGGATGGCATGTTGCACTAAGACCGCTTTGACCACCTCGGAGACGGTGACCTTATTCCGGGACAGCACTTCTGGTGACTCGTGAATCCTCTTTGACTCAAAGTATGGCCATTTGGCCGTATCGAGGTAGTGAAATAAGAGTGACCAGACCCAGTATCCGATGATCGGGGCTGCCAGTGAGAGCCACTTATCTGCTATAAAGGGAAGGACAGAGGCTCGAGATGTGTGGTAAAAAGGGGGTTGAAAGTGGATCGGGGTGATGGTGGCGACGAGAGTCGAGTTGATGGGTGGTAATAACAGTGACATGGTCCTAGGATGGAGGAGAAGGGGGACCGACCAATCCAACAATGATACGATCGTCACGAGGCAAGGATGTTTATCAGTGTTCGTGGTCGATCTTGATGAGAGAGTGTGTCAAAACAAGTTTTCAAAACTCAGCACACCTCGGGGAACTTGGGTTGAAGACGGGAACAACAATATCAGAAGAAAGATATCTAGATCTCCTGTGGAGTGCCACGTCATAGATTTTCCACGTGGTTGTCCGGCTGCATCGTTGTCCTGATTGAACCTGGATGCCCTGGAGCACCTTGAACACCACCAGGTGTACCCAGTTCCTCTAAGGTGAGTCCTTATTCCCGCTATGATGTGCTATAGTAAAAGGTGTGAGCTCCCTTGCTATGACTCTTGACCGCAACTGTTCTCATTCTGAGGCGTTGAATTCTTCACCAATCTCTGAAAGATCACCAGAGATTAGAGTAAAGGCAAAACGTACAGTCATCTATACCGGGGCCAAACTGTCAAGGTCCATTTGGGCCTTTGGACAGCGCCCCGGGGCCTGGGACTCTTGGTCGTTGTACTCTCACGCAGATTCAAAGAGCAACGGTATATCCTGGGATAAAGCAAGAGCTTTTGATCGGCTCTCATTCGAGTGTTTCGAGGCCGCCTAATCTTCATAAGATCAAAGGAGAATCGGGGGCACTCTAGATGAACATTCCCATCTGGGGTGGATGTGAAACCGCGAAGAGATACTCTCTCACGTTGGGATCTTACCATCCGGTGACTCAGTCTCACGATTGAGTTACGCTTTAACTCGGAACGAGCGGTACGGTTGTGTAGTCTTGGGGAGCTGGGATCGCTACATTCTGAGAGACCTTTTGTGTCCACTGAGCGGGAAATGGGCGCTGACCATCTCATAGGTGGAACCGTATGCATTTTCTAGTCTGCCGCCTCTGAGGCTCGCTGCTCTGGCATCTCCTCCTCCTTGACGGCGGTTAGGATACAAGTATTGACGATGGTGAGGACGAGATTGCAGATGAAGACAGTGTGCAAGGCATGCTGGTACGCGGCCACTGCTGCGTCTCGGTACACTGGCTCGAGATCACGGATGGACGATGCGGAGTGTCTGATCAGCTGAATGATCTGAGGGATGATTAGTGCTGCTCCGTTCAACCCACCCTGACCCACCTCCTGTTTTCTCGGCCCCTGGATACTATTTGTCAGATCTTTGGCCACGATCGCCTGAATGATGGCTTGACTTAATGACACGCCGAACACCTGACCGACCATTCTGAACATGTAGGTCATACTCGTCGCCACTGCCGTTTCGCCTTTTCCTTGCCTCACGACGTCGGTCATGAGAGCAACGAGTGAGGTAGTCAGGATGGCCCCGTAACCAAAGGCAGATGGCATCTGAGCCACCCAAAACATCCAACCTGGACTCTTGGTCGACCATGTGAACATCAATACGCCTGTGAGGACGAGCAGTAAAGCATGAAATATACTGAGCCACCAATATTTCCCTGTACGACGCATAACCCAACCGACTTCCAGACTGCCAAGACCGAGCAGAAGGGTGTAGGGTGTGAGGTGAGCTCCAGCTTGAGAAGCCGAGGCGAGGAGGACGGTCGAGCAGTAAAGAGGTATATTAAACATGATGGAAAACATATTGGTCACCATGACCAAGCTGGAAAGACAAACCGCAGCGGGAGTGCGTCGCGTCAGGAAAGATAGAGGGAGTAAAGGCTCGACAGCCCAGAACCCTTCGACCAACACGAATGAGACGATGAGGACCGCAGCGGCGATCAACAGACCGTAGATTTTCGGGTCGCTCCATGCAAAATTTGTGCCGTCGGATTTGGAGGATGACGTTTTAAGAGAAATACCAATGAGAAGCGTCCCGACTGCAGAGACCAGCGTCAAGCTGCCCAACCAATCCAGTCGCTTGAGCGGATTGCCCTTGTCATTTGAAGATGTTGGCGGTCTTGGAACTTTGAATTGAGTGACCAGCATGATGGCCGCAATGGCCAGAAATGGTAATTGGAGGTAGAAAGCCCATCGCCAACCAAGTTTGTCGTTGATAATGCCTCCTGCTGGTGCTCCTACAGCTGCGCCAGTAGCGAAAAAGATGTTTCCATATCCTTGGAATAGACCTCTCCGTCGCAGTCCCACGAGGTCCGTCACCACGATGACAGATACGCTCTGGAGTCCTCCGCCACCCATACCGGCGACAACTCGAGCGACAATCAGCCAAGCCATAGATGGAGCCAGGCCACATCCTGCAGTTCCAAGGACGAATAGTGTCAAGCCGATACACAAGGCGGTCTTGCGTCCTAGTAGATCGGACAATCTACCATAGATTGGCGTAAAGCAACACAATGATAAGAGATAGGATGTGCCGATCCATTGAGCTTGATTTGAGACTTGAAAGAAAGATCCGATAGGCGTGAGCAGTGTCGCAACGAGCGTACTATCGAGTGAGACGAAAAATGTCAAGCTCCACACTGATACGCAGACAATTCGAAATCGCCAGGCAGTCAGACCAAGCAGATTATGGTGAGGTTTAGGGAGCAGAGGTTCTGTCTCTGGCGTCTCCGCCATGGCGTGAGTTCGAGCCACTAGCCTTCGATGAGAGGCTTAGCACTCTGTCACGCTCAACGCATGCGGATCTCTCTTCCCAGATACTGGTAGGATCCAGTCCAAAACAAATCAGGATTAGAGGGCTCGATACGCACCGAGAACCGAGACCCGGACCCTCGGCCACTACTGATCATGATCAAAAGCTTGAATCTGTCGGCGAACGCCACCTGGAAGCCATAGACCTGCAGGAGAGGCAAAAGTCCATGGCTAGATACTTCACCCTCATCATCGTTCGAACTGACGAAACGTGGACCGACGCGAAGGAGACAGAGATCTCGAGATGGAGGTAGATCACGAGCGGGTAGTCCACGAGGACGAAGTGATGGAGTTTGAGGAAGAAGAGGTCATTCACGCCGGTGGAGGCGGTGGCGATGAGGATGAGGTGATGGATGCTGATGATGGCGTTGAAGACGATGAAGGGATGGAAGACGAAGAGATGGAACCTGAACCAGTGGTCCACGTTGAAACGGTCGAGATTCATGCAGAGCTTCCTTCAGCTCCTGCTACTCCAGGTGATACAGTTCAAGTCGAGGTAGAGCCATCGACGACTCGAGTGGAATCCCTTTCAGCTGCCCCTCCTTTGGCTTCAGGGGTCGACGATGCGTTTGAATTGCCAGCGACCACTGGGGCTGACATGGATCAAGGTTCTGAGCCAGCTCACAATCATCCTGATTCTGGCATCAAACACCAACCAGAGGTTGTACCTGAATCCGAGATACCTCACGACATGGTCGCATCAACATCACGCTCGCCTCAATATCACATCTCCCCGACCCACAGTCCTGCAGCAGCAGATGAGGAAGACGAATACGATCAAGCCGAAGACGACGATGATTATCCCTACCCTACAGACATTCACACGCTTCCAGCTATCACCCTCCATTTACCGGATGGCGACCGCTCGCTCTTCTACGCAGGCGAATCGAAATCATTAGCTTGGCTGCAGGGCAAAGAGATGGATTTCATAGAGGCGAGTCTAGCAGACGTGTGGGCGGCGATACGGGCAGAGATGGCTAGAGAAGGCCTTATAAAGTCAGGCGAGTTGGTCATTGCGGAAAAACAGATGGATTTGAAGATGGGCGAGGTGAGCGGTGTTGGATTTTTTTTGGCATAGTAAATTATGCTCACTGATGCCTCACAGGATGATCTGAATCTACAAAGTATCACCCTGCTGGAACTCGCTCAACTGCATCATGGTTGTGGACTCTCACCACCCCTTGAGCTCTTCGTGTCCTTCGAGCCTGGCCGGTTTTATCAACGCTTCACAGCGATCCAAAAGGAGGTTTCTGCTCAAGCCAAGGAATCGGACGAATCTGTTGATGGGAAGAGCGAGCCAGACGCGAACGGTCCAATTCCACGCAGTGTACCTCAATCAACAGTGAAAGCGGAAGGTCGCGAGACATTAGTGGATCAGTCTAAGAGAGGAAATCCAGCCGAGTTCAGGCAAGCGAGACCAGGTCAGTATCTCAATTTTGTATATAGGCTGACAAGGAGCAGCTCAAGCAGAGTATGGTGGATCGCAGATCGTAGGCCACGATGATGAGCACCCTCATGCTGTCTGGGCGAATAGCAAACGTACGTGACCAGGCTTTGAAACTTACTGATCCTCCCAGCTATACTACCAATGCACGTAAGCAACTCGAGGCGCATCATCGCGGACAGGGTTGCTTCGGATGACGGCGGTGAGTGAGATTTCAGATCTACGATATCCCTCCTCTGATGCTCGGTCTCCAGACGTGAAAGGAGGCGATGATGAAGGGAGAGTCGGTGGCGAGTATGATCAAGGTGAGCTCGCCCTTTCAATTGAATTTTAGCTTACTATGCAGACGGCGACGAAGACCACAACGAACGTGACACAGAGAGTGATTCTGAAGAATACCAACAGGCCATGTCTATCGCGCACGAAGCCCCCGCGGACCAGCTCCTACACCAAGGGGCACTTGATGTCCATGCTATGCCTGTCCACCCTGTCGACGAGATATCTGAGGTGGATGATCCGGACGATGAGCACCCACTGGACGAACTTGATCTCATGAAGGCTCGCGGTGAGGTCAGAACATCAGCCGAAGACAGTCTTTCTCCCATCGTATCGGTGGACAAGGACGGCGCAATCACACCCATTGCCACTTCAGAGCTATTCACATCGGATCGAGCGGCCGTCCCGACACCTCTCGCGCAGAGCACCGTTGTGGACGATCCACTGGAGACCGAGTACCCGGTAGCTCCTACGCCGCTCGAACAGGTAGACGAAATCACTGAAGACATCGACTCGTCTGTTCCTGCAACTGCCAGCTCGGCGCTGGACGATGCACTGGCGGCCAAAGAGGTGGCTCAGCAGGAGCTAGACGATGCCAATGATGCGCTCGCAGAGGCCGAGGCAGAAGTCGCGCAGCAGAAAGAGAATCTGGGAGTGAAAGCAGTCGATGATGAGGGTGTCGATGTTGGTGATGAGAGAGAAATCTTAGAACCGGTGGAGAGGGCAGATATTGATGATGATGACGACGACGACGACGACGAGGAGGACGGCTTCGAAGACGAGGGTATCGACGTCTCTGATCCGATGGTGATTCCGAAGGATACCAGTGTCAATGTCTTGGATTCGCAGCCGGTGGCACTCGCCCCTGATGAGTCAGTGCCATACGAGTCTGCCAATGGCAGTCCGTTGGCGACGGAGTACCAGGAGGACGAGTATGACACTGACGAGGATGATGTTGATGATGAGGACGATGGCATAGATGGGATAACAAATAATCTCGTCAAGAAATCAGACGAACCCAGTGAGTTCTGCCACCTCGACGGACAGGGGTTGGTGCTCATACTTCCTGCAGCACCGCTTCCTTCTGCCAGCACAACGCTTGACGGTGACAGTCCAGCCGGAAGTGCATTGGAAGATCATAGAGACCTTGATGATCCTTCTCTGGTCACTGCAGAAGAAGACGACTTGGAGGAGGATGTTGACCCGAATGCCTTTAGACCTGTCCTTGACGATGCGTCGTCTGGAACCAAACGGGCATACGAGGAGGCAATGGTGGACAGGTTCAACAAGAAGTTCAGAGGGTCTGATGATTCCAGTGGTGAGTCTCGGACGGGTTCTGTGGACATTTTGGCTGATACTTTTCAGTGTGAGCGGTGGTTCGTGTGTCTCGACAGATTCCGAGAATGATCCACCTATCTGTCCAACTCCGTCCTCAACTTATCTTCCTTGGCGCTCTTTATTGCCTGTCGCATGCCAGCACTCTTTTCCACGACAACGATTGCTCTTCCGCCCCTTTGCACGACCTGACGATACTCGACATTATCACCCGCCGACCCGACAGCTGTTGTATATACTCAAGATCTGACCGAACCCTCGCATCGTGCAGCAGGACCCGCCGTCTTGCGATGGGCGCAAGGGACTTGCAATGACACCTAAGGTACGTGATTTTCTCTTCCACTGACTGATCGGGCTCGGTGGCATGGGCCATGCCGTACACTTTACATACTTGCATGCAACGGATGAGTTATCCGCCAGACTTAAATTGGCTCCACGGGGAGGAGTGAATTGTATCTGCAACGGCCAACCGGGCTATTCAGCGGGTAACCTGCACCTGGTCAGTCGAGGACGCTCTCACATCGGCCATCCTTTTAAGATCTGATAGCCGACCAAGGGTGGTTGTTTCCTCAGCCACGACCCGCTCACCGGGAGGTCAAGTCAAACAAACGCCACGCGGTGGAGGAAATTAGAATGCAAAAGTGGTGACGTAGTGAGCCCAAAATTGATTTTCCCATTGGCCCATTTGAGATTCATCCCATCTCGGATTCACGAGACAGCGAATCCTGTGTCGACAATCAATTTGGTACGTTTACCACCTTATAAGTCACAGACGAGTGGGGTCCACCAAGTAGAAATCTCTGGGAAAAACAGGCAGGTGAGTTGGTTGGCATGAGAGTGTGTTCAGCGAAGGATGATCCGATGGTCTATCTCTCCCCACCCGTACTCCACTTCTTTTGACCATGATCTCGCTTGGAGTGCTGTTCCCCGCGACAGTCTTCGCTTAGAAGAGTGTAGTATCGCTCTGCATATGGTGTATGAGAAGAGGTCCGTTGAGCGGTTCATTCTGCTTGAGATTTGACGTCCAACAAGACGTCTCTCATCGACCTCGTACGCGACGACATTGCCTCTCCGCAACATCCTCGATACAACCGGCCATCTTCTCGCAAGCTGACCGCGTCCCATACCAAACCCAAAGCTGACATTTTGGTTCCTCCCCCAGCAAGCAAAGACATCATGGCGTCTACTCTTCGCTCGAGCTTCCTTCGGGCGGCTCCTCTACGCAGGGCTCCTTGCGTTTCTGCAACATCGATTAGACCCCTGGCCTCCTTTACCTTTAGACCACCTGTCCCTGTCCCTCAGGCGAGTCAGAAACCTGCTCAACCTACTGGCGCCAAAAGCATCGTCACGACCCCAGTGGTCAAGATTGAGGCTTCTGCACCGTTGGGTGATGGAGGGGTGGAGGAAGCTCCTCATCATGGTATCAATGTGGATCGACCTGTTCGAATGGATACGTGAGTTTATCGTCCATACTTTGCTGGATGTTTTGCTGACCAATGACGCTACTTTACTCTCTCGCCCCTATGACCCAACCTCCCTTTGAACACTCTTGTGCTACTCGGAACAACTCGCACTTTTGCGGGGACCATTACCTACCTTTGGACGCGCCCCTTGCTCTCCCATCATCGCCTCGCTAAACGTCAATTGCCATCCTTTCCATGTTTCGTCATCGCCCGGTTTGCCCCGCTCTCCGGACACACCTCGCTTGACGACGACGACGACACGCGGGGTGTCTTGGGACGAAATTTTTGACTCATCTACATTCTTCATTCTTCTTCTCTCAACACTAAACAACACTTGAACCGACACTCATTCACATTAATCCCCCATCGCCTCAAAACAAACGGTTCACGTTTGAATCTAATCGCTCACAAATACCCTGTGACGCTCTTGTCATCCTTGACACACATCTTCCTGCCTGGGGGTCCTCCTGAACGACCCCTGTCATCCTCCTTTCACGTCTGCTGTGCCCCACACCACATTGGCCCCCTTTGTTCTAACACTTCTTTCTTCCTCCCTCTATCCATCGGCTCGTCATCTATCCCTTGGACGCTCATCTCTCTGCTCTCTCTCTCTCTCTCTCGATTCGGCCGATCGGGTATCTTACCCCCTTTGTCATCTTGACCACTCGCTCGTTCATCTTCATCTCCAAACGCTTTTCTTTCCATCTTTCTATCGGTCGCTTTTTGCCTTGTACCCCTTCCTCAAACCGCTTCTGCCTCCAATTGAATCTGCCAAATACCGTCTTCCTTCATTCTCACCATGCACCCCGACCTACGCACCATCTCTCATCTTCCACCCCTTCCTCCTCTTCTCTCAACCCCTCGCCCTATCATGAAATGCCGGCATTTCACGACTGCATCTGCTCACGTGCAACGACTGGCTCGAAACCCTTCCCATACTCGCTCGTTGTTCACCACATCTCCACTGTATCCCGTCCATACGCCTCCCAAACCATATCCTCCGATGATCCCCCATCGCACCATCGCCACAACTGCCTCTGCGCCGGACGCCATGTTCAGCCATCCGCCTCCTGAGCCAGGTTCAGACTTCAACGTGGTCATGATCGGTGCAGGTGTAAGTTGTGGTCCTTTTCCTTTGTCCTTTGAACTGATCGGCTTGGATCAGAACATCATGTTTGGTTCCGATGAAGGACCCTGGAAGTGAGCTTGATTGCTTATCCGACCGTCATCACTTATCATGCTTTTAGCCACTCTTTCCGATTCGAGCACAAACTCGGACCCCGACTCAAGGTTGTTGCTCTGATCGACCCCTCCACCGCACGAGCCGACAAGGTCCTGGAAGGCAAACGACAGAGTTTCGTCGAATCTGCCTACAAGGACACCAAGGTGTTCAAGACAATCGAAGACTACCATGCTTCGGTCCAGTCTAAGCACTCGCCCACTCCTCAGTGCGTACTTGAGCGAGCTGTAGAGACAAACTGACCCTGTTCTAGCGCTATCGTGGTCGGATGCCCTCCCGCTTACCGAGGAGGTACGACCAAGGGAACTGATCTCGAGCTTCACCTCATCAAATTGTTCCCCAAGACTGCCTACTTCATTGAGAAGGTAGGTCAAGATGTATGGATTTGGCTCATTTCTACAGCCCGTCGGAACTGGCACGGTCAAAGCTGCCAAAGAGGTCACTCAGGAACTCATCTCCAACGGTAATATTGTTTCCGTCGGATACATGTTGCGATATTTGCGATGTGTCCAAAAGATGAAGCAAATCATCCACGACAATAACTTGACTATCATGGCCACCAACGCGCGATACGTGAGACGATACTCTTTGACCAAAATGCTGACCCTCAGTCCGCCGCTTACGAGGCCATCGCCAAACCCGCCTGGTGGAACAAGGCTATCGATATGGGACCCGTCATTGAGCAAGGAACTCACTTCTGCGATCTCTCCCGATACTTTGGTGGGGACGTTGACATCAACACTGTCAAGTGAGTCTGTCAGGCCGAGCATTTGGCTCATTCTCTCAGTGCACTGTCTGTCGAATTCTACGAGAAGCCCGGAAAATTGAGCAAGATTCCCATCGACGAGTCCAAGATTCCCCCAGAGCTCCGAATCCCTCGATTGACCACTGCTCACTGGTGAGTCGTAAGGCAGCGAAGTTGAGAAACTGACCTGTCCAAGGAAATACGAGAACGGAGCTGTAGGCTCACTCACCCACGCCGTCGCCCTTCAAGGTCACGCCTACGCCTGTGAACTTGAAGTCTGGGCCGATGGATACCACATGAGATTGGTGGACCCGTACCAAGCACCTACCCTCTTTGTTCGGTAAGTCAGTGGAGGCAGAGTACGATCTGACCCTGCACAGCCGGCCTGGAGACGATCACGAGGAGCGACACGTTTACACTGATGACGATCCATTCTTCTCTGAAGTCTCGAGCTTCATTGATGCTATTGAGGGAGGACCCGACCCTCACATTCTCAGTTCCTTTGAAGATGCCACCAAGACTTATGAGTGAGTGTCTATTGGCTCTCGATCGGAGAGGTGAGCCTAACTCGTCATAACAGATTGACTTGGGCCATCCGACTTGCATCTGAGGCTTCTCGAGCCCCTATGCCCCAAGCTTAAGCTTAAGAGACACTGAGGTGGACTATGTGTGTGTGTGTCACAAGAAAGACGAGATTGAGAGCAGCGTATGCGCCAAATGTATATAGATGCAGGATGGCTGGAAAGGTTATTATCTGCTAAGCGTCTCAGTTTTCTCACCGAAACGTCTGAGGATTACTGTAAATGGAAAATTCCCAGAGTTTTGGATTTGTGCAGTGTTCTATTTCATCAGATGCGCATGAGAAGAGAGTAAGACAAAGAAGAAGCCAAGATGGAGAGAGAATGGATGGTGTTCACAGGAAGGAGGCGACGGCGGGGGGGGGGGGGGGGGGGGAGGAAAAAGACCGAGGGAGAGAGACACACAGAGACACGACTGCGCTGCCGAGATACCGCTTGCGTTGTCAGCGTCCCTTTGTCCCTTTCTCTCTCCTTCCCTCCCCCGTCCCTCTCCCCCCTTGTGCACACACCCCCACCGCGTATGGCTAGTTGGATCAATCTACTACTTAGCCTGTCATCGCTCTCTCTTGTGCACTTCTTGACCTCTCTACAACAACACTTATCACTGCGTCAACCAGATCTCATCCACTACCTGTCCGAACCTCACCATGCTTTTCAGACTATCCTGGGTCGCCGTGTTGGCCACGGCCGTTATGGCTCAACTCCAAGTCGACACGCCAGTGAGTCAGCATAAAGCCTTGTACTGTCATCATCCAAGAACATCCACTGACGATCGGATGTGCTACCCTTAGCCATCCTTGATTCAATGCCAACCCGTTCAACTCAGCTGGAGCGGCGGTACAGGACCTTACTTTTTGGCCATCCTTCCAGGCGGTCAATCGGAAGCTGCTGCGGTGAGCGGCTTCACGGTTCACATCGATGTCGAATACATGCTGATAGTCCCCCTTCTGACAGCTTGAGAACCTTCCCAACGCTGATAACTCGCCAGCCACTTGGCTCGTCAATATCGCGTCGGGAACTAATGTGTGAGTCGATGATCTGGTCGTCAACCATCCAGCCAGCCGGCTCTGGAGCGATATCGCACGGACGCGTCTTGCATCTTGGCAACCGAGCAGTGCAATACGCTGCTCTGCGCTTTGATGCCGCTACAGCTTCGTCGCACACTGCTGATACGGCTCCTGTTTCCAGGACCATCCGAGTGACCGACAGCACTGGTCAACAGCAATACTCTTTCCCTCGCACCATCCTCGCAGGAACCAGTTCAGAGTGTCTCGGCAGGTGAGTGGACCCCCAATGACATGGTCATCTTGTAATCCTCTGTCCCCTCACTCACCCTACTTCTCCCTCCTTCCCTTCTAGCGATGCATCGGTCTCTGTTGGCGGAACAACCTCTGCTTCTGCCACTGGCGGCGGTAGCGATGGCTCGTCTAGTCCCACTGCGTCGGCCACCTCGGGATCAGGCTCACCCACTTCGTCGTCTGGTTCTGGTGCTTCCGCCGCATCCTCCGCTGCTGCTCAGACTTCCGGAGCTGCCCTGCCTGGAACTCAAGTCACTGGTATCATGTTCACCGTTGTCGGTCTCTTGACCGCTGCCTTTGGTGTCACTGTCTAAGCGCCGTCAATTCCAATCGATAGACGCGCCTCAGCAGTCGGACCGACCATGAAATAAGCCAACTCACCCAAATCAGCCGATGCTTTCGTCACCAACGTACATCCTGGTGGCTATTCCCATTTGCATATCCCCCCGCGCAAACTTGTTGTTTCGATTCAAGTGTACGCCAGCCCGCACTCCTTCCTCCCCCTTGTAGAGCCTCGCCGTTTTCCCCCTTTTAATCTCATTGTAGCTTGATGCATCGTTTCATTGAGATTACGTGTTTGGCACCATTGGCCTCTGCGACCGGAATACATGAGCATGTGACCAGGCTCCGATGCGATGATCCTCGTACGAGAGCAGGACGAAAATGAGCTCGGTGTCAACATGGCTCTGGTCACATGAGATCGTCTCCCGCAATTTGACGTTGTTCATTCGGGCGATGCCTTCTGCGTTCCTCATCTTGGCTTTTAGCGGTCTTCGTTGGCCCGCTCTATTACGCTTGGGTTCATACCTAGCTGGTTGATTGATTGAAGTGCTTTGTTTTGTGACCATATCGGGATCACGAGACGCGATCGTTCAGCCAGGTCTGAATCGCAAGCGTTGTACGGGTGTCCATGGTGCATATTGTCGTTCATCGTCACTCACCGAGGTATACATATAAATGGTCGCTCTTGGATCCTCTTATCCGTCCATCAGCTTGAAGCTCAACTTCTCACTTTCACCACATCTTTCATTCACTCCGCGTTGAGCGCCATTGTTCTCACGTCGACAAGACACTTTGACAACCCTTTTTCCTTTCCTATCTTATCTATACTCTTCAGAGCATCTCATTCCACCATGCGCTGCGCGTTCATCGTCTCTCTTCTCGCTACGTCGACCACTTACCTCGTCTCGGCATCGCCTATTCCGGCGCCTGCCCCAGCCCCTGCTCCCGCACCCAACGGTGGAGATGCATACACTGGAGCTGCAGGCTCAGCCACTGGCGGAGATGCCTGGGCTTGGAACACCGATGGAGGTCTCGTCGGGCTAGACAACAACAATGCCGGCAATGGTGGTAAAGCGACCAGTGGATCAGCTTTCGGAGGTGACACTTTCCAGTGAGTCGCGTTTTTCAAGGTGTGAGGAAGGGAAGTTGTGGCTGAAGGCTCAAGTAGACCCGGTGCCAATGCTGGTAATGCTTACTCTGGTGTTGGAGGAAACACGGATGGAGGTGACGCGTGAGTTCTGCGTGCGCGCATGGTGTCTCGACAGCATGCAGCTCAGCATACTGACTTTCTTGTCAGCCGAATTGTCAACCCTGATTCCAACTACCACAATGGGCTCGGAATTTTCAAGCGATTCGGACGATACTATGACGGATATGACCGATACGATGGCCTCGCGGACGGTCTCTTGGATGGCGTCTCGGTCGGTCAGATCGGTAACGGTAACGGGGGTAATGGCGGTGAGTGTAAACACATCTTGGTGGGGTCACTCGCTGATGCCTCTCTCCGCCAGGTGACTCTTCCTCTGGCGACGCTGTCGGAGGAACCGCTTGGTCTACTCAGTAGATGACTACGATCTCTCTCTCTCTCTCTCTTGAAGGCTATTCGAGAGCAGTGCTATCCGAGTTGCCATGAGAGAGATTGTCTGAGCATAGAGTCGTTTGTGGTTTCTCTTCTTATTCCATTTCTTCTTTCTTGGGGTGCTTTTAGTAGAACCCATTTGTTCTTTATCTCTCTGTCGACATCATACATCCGGTCGCTTGGACAAGACGAGGGATCGGAGGACTGGATTGAGATTATTCTATCGTCATCACTCTCTGTTGGACATTCATAGGTTTGTATACGATCAAGATGCCTTTCATTTGCATTATTTTATCTTATCAATGATCAAAACACTTTTTGGTCGGTGACCATTTTGCTCCGATGCATCGCCAATTTCGGCGATAAGTCCAGAGGGTGCCACATTCACCGCTTCAAGTCAGTGGTAGCCTTTCGGCGTTAAGGAAATTACCGAGTGTCTTTGCTTTGCCTCCCCCCCTGCCCACCCAAGTCTTCGCTGGACGCCAGAGCATAGGAATCAGAGAGACTTGGGTTCCACAGAAGAGGCTTTTGACTCTTTACATTGAATTCGTGAGTATCGAGCATCTTTGCTACACGTCCCAAGCTCTATCCCTCGAGAGATCCACATTGCTCCTGGGAACAATTCCTTTTGATATCTGAGCTGACGTTTTTGGTTTACCTCTTCGTCAACGCTGTCTCATACGACTTTTCTGTCACCACCTCCTACTTGGACCCTCTGCTTTGCATTGACAATACGCCCAACCAATACAGACCATGTCGGCTGTTCAGTGCTTTGGCAAGAAAAAGGTGAGCCCAGGAATCTGTGACCGCCGACGTCGCTCACACCCGACACAGACTGCCACCGCCGTTGCCCATGTCACTCCTGGTCGAGGCCAGGTGCGACTGCACGGTTCCCCCATCTCCGTCGTCGAACCGTGAGTGTTGGGGATCTCTTCGGTCGTTCAGATTTGGGTGCGATGCCGCTGTGACGTGTGGATGCAAGCGGGAGGGAGTCAAGGCGTCAGGCGAGCGGGATTTTGGACCATTTGGAGTAATCATCGAGGCTACGACACACGCCCACGCCTGCGAGCAATTCAGAGCGCTTCAGAACAAGTCCTCTTGTTTTCGCTATCCGGAGGGGTGTCGCATGATGCTCCTTGCACCTCCATCTATCTACGTCACACTCATCACCCTTTTCCCCCCTTTGTTTAGACCCTGCATGGAGATTCTGAACACCGCTGACGCTGACCCATCACCATCAGCTCCATGCTCCGATACAAAATCTACGAGCCCATCCTCGTTGTTGGACCTGAGAAGCTCGCCAACCTTGACATCCGAATCCGAGTGAAGGGTGGTGGACAAGTTTCTCAACTCTACGCTATCCGACAGGCCATTGCCAAGGGAATCGTCGCGTGAGTCCTCGTAGACATGGACATGGAGAGAGCGAAGGCATCTCGCTGACAACTTGCGCGCGCGCTTAGCTTCTACGCCAAGAACGAAGATGCCGCTTCTGCTCTTGAATTGAAAAAGACGTTGATCACTTACGACCGAACTCTTCTCGTTGCCGATCCCAGACGGATGGAACCAAAGAAGTTTGGAGGTCGTGGTGCCCGTGCGAGGAGACAGAAGGTGTGTACAGTGCACGCGGCAATCCCAAAAGCATACAAAATCGCTGACGCTCCGGTCAGTCTTACCGTTAATCGGTGGCTATACCTGGGCCTCATTGTTGCTGGGATCATGGATTGGGCCTCAAAATACATATTCCTCAACGTGGCGAGATGTATTTCATGATCGCACAATGGTACGGCAGCGGAACTGTGGGGCTGTGTGTACGATCGCGTCGTCAGAATCGCGAGCTTCGTACACCGTATTGAGTCGTTGCGCCAGAGATCTGCTCAAAACACTCTAGGGTGCAGACTTCAACTCCCGGCGAGCCGAGCCCTCGACCTCCATAGCTGCGGGCCTACCTGCATTCCCCCACACCCTGATCATCATGCGCGGTATCCGCAACCCTACTGTTGAGGTGGCATTGCTCATGCCCTCCATGAGTTATGACAAGTATTACAAAATGTGGCCCACTGAAATCAAGTCTCTGACAAATTGATCCCGTTTCTCCCCCCTCTGTGTGTTTGAGAGTTCAGTGATTTTTCAGAATGATAAAAAAGACGCGTATTGTTGTGTGTGTCATGTCAAGACCTCGTCAGGAGGGAGACAGCATAGCGACGGCGCTGGCGACGGCTGCAACGATAACGATGAACATCATCGCCGCCATCATCACCATTACCCACACCATCACTGCTGCGCATCACTCGTTCATAGCACCGTCAGCTGCTCATTCGACCTCTATTTGAAGTAGACTACTCGTTTTGTCAACACACACACAAACACAAAGAGCTCTGACCTCAGATCACACATTACGCTCGTCTTTCGCATCTCCGAGACTACCTTCATAAATCATCAACCACTATGGGGCCCAAACGTTCGGCTCCGCCCACGCCCAATGGCAGCTCAATGGTATCACCGGCTCGAAGCACTCGCAGTACAAGTAGAAGTGTGCGGGGTGCGGGCGATGAGGACGATTGGGAGTCTCAAAGTGTCCAGAGGCAAGTAGCTTGTGTCGGTCGAGAAAGAATGCCAGGCTCGTGCTGACGTGAAGGTTCTCGTCTTCTCTCCTTCCGTCTCACCTTTGCCAACTGGGTACGCTCTTCTTTCTGCTCACAGTCAGACTACCAATGGAGCATTTAAAGTGCCCAATGCTCGAACTGGACGGACCAATCGCCACCTCGTCGGGCTAAAAGATACCAGCGTCAAGTGAGCTATGCCCTCACCTTGAGCCAAGAGCTGACTCATTGCAGTATCGCCGCAGCCTTCCATGCTGCTCAGACCGGGCAGATCCCCACGCCAACATCCGAACGAAGCTTTGCCCCTCCTCCAGCATCCAAATCGAAAGCAGCTTCTCAGAGAGCTAACAACGGTCGAGCGAAATCGCCCATCGAACAAGTAGCCTCTTCAGCTAGGGCTCTGAAACCCGTTCGATACTTTCTCAGACCACCAGGTGAAGAGGGTGAAGAGGACGATCCGTCCTTTGAATCGTACAGGTCAACGGACACGAGTTACGACTATCAACAGGAAGAAGCGTACGTTCGAGCTGCACAACAGCAACAAGAGGCAGCGAAGCAAGGCCGACGCGTAAATGACGGAAGGAAACGTCATCGTGGAGATGAAGGAGACATGCCATACCGTCCAGGTGAGGACGATTGGCAAGGTAATTCAGAGGATTCAGGAGAAGAAGAAGGAGGGGGAGAAGGGATAGTCAAGAATGGGGGATTAGAAGGTCGCGCGGAGACTCGGGGACAGAGGAAGGAGCGAGGAGAAGGATACCTAGGGAATGGGTCAGGGATACAACCGAGAACAAGGAGGAGTCACCACGCGGATGAAGATGACAGGGTCGACGATGATTATAGGGAACAGACGCCCGTCAATCACTTCCCATTAAATCACCACGGCGCAAATCGTCATCTTCGATCTCCAACACCTGTCCAAGCGCTTGCTCGAGCTTTCAGTCCTCATCCCCGTAGTCCGACACCTCAATTCGCTCGACGTAAACGTCAACCCTCCTCCGCTCGCACTGTTGTCACCAATCTCCTCCACGGAATGGTGATAGCGTTACAAACCATTGTCGAACTCGTGGTCTCGACGCTATCGTTGTTGCTCGTCCATCCGCTCAGATCTGCAGCAGCGATGATGAAGAGCGTCTTACGTAGAGCGAAAGAAGATTGGTGGAAATGGTTGAGCGCAATGCTAGCTCTCTCTCTAGCTCTGCGCATGCTCAACTCGCCCTGGTGGAGAGGAACCACAGGAGTGTCTCCGGTACCATCTGGATCGCTGAGCGAGCTCGCAGACCGACTGCATCATCTCGAAAGAGCAGTGTCCCTCCTCTCTGACTCGGCAAATCTCTTAGCGGACGCCGAACATGTTGGCAAGGAAGTAGATACATCTTTGATCCGTCGCATCGCTCAACTGGAATCTACCATATCATCGGGTCAAAAGGATCCCTTAGCGGATGCTGCAATCAAGCATTTGAAACAGTGCATCTTCACTCTGCAAACAGATCTCAACGACCTTTCGAGCCGCATAGGGAAGACAGAGACACACTTCAAACGACTGAACAGCCTCGAGACTGACGTCCAAGCGCTCAACGCCCGAGTTGACGGTGTGGAGAAAGACGTCAGGTCGGCTCTGGATGATGGACGACTTCGCAAGTCATTGGACAGGATTCTACCCGACTTCATGCCTGTGAAGCGCAATGCCCGTGGGACAGTCGACATTGAACCATCCTTCTGGGTCGAAATGCGCAAGGTCTTGGCCGGCAAGAGTGATGTGGAGGAGATGATAAGGAAAGCTCTAAAGTCGGGGAGCAATCCTAGTCAACCGCCTCGAGATCCTCTAGCTAGATCTGATGAAGACCTCGACGCGTGGGGCGAGAAGCTGTTCCAGCGTAAGACAGCCGAAGGAGTCATGCTCTCTCGAAGCGATTTCCTCTCAGTCTTGGATACGGAAATCGCCAACTTGCGGCATTTGATCGACAATCTACCTCGTCAAAAGCAATCCGTGATTCAATCTTCCAGAGGAGAGGACATGACGTCTGTTCTTCAAGACTTGATCGACGCTGCGTTGCTCAAGTACTCCAAGGATACTTTGGCCAGGCCAGACTTTGCCCTCTTCTCCGCTGGAGGAAGGATCGTACCATCCATCACGTCCGACACTTTAGTCATGCGCGAGCCTTCTACCCTGGGTCGATGGGTCATGGGTCAAAAAGCGATCGAAGGCCGAAGTCCTGCCACTGCCTTGCATCCCGATACATCTGTAGGATCCTGTTGGCCATTCAAGGGGTCTCAAGGTCAACTGGGAGTCTTGCTGAATAGCCGAGTGGTGGTTACCGATCTGACAGTTGAACACGCCGCCTCAGAGCTCGCTCTGGACATCACCACGGCGCCGAAGGACGTTCAAGTGGTGAGTCGAGACCGATCGGGGGCAAGACTGACAATTGACAGTGGGGAGTCGTGGAAGGCTCAGAGAACAAGGCCAAAGTCGAGAGATATCTGGAATCTCATCCGAACTCCGAGTGGGTCTAGTGTACTACAAAGCGAATCCTTTTTCTGATCTGTCCAGCTTCAATACGTCTGATCAGATCCTTCTCGGTTCCTTCACTTACGATCCATCCTCTCCGTCTCATATTCAAACGTTCCCCGTCGAACCTGCCGTCGTGGATCTAGGTATCGATGTTGGAATCGTCATTTTCAGGATTCAGTCGAACTGGGGAGCTGAGTTTACATGCTTGTATAGGGTGAGTGGGGCCTCTGTCGCAAATGATGCGTGTGTGCTGACAATCACCAGATACGGGTCCACGGAGAGGTCGCGACGTAAAGAATAACATCCGGAAAGCGGGGAAAAGATTTGCAGTATGAGCTCAATCTTCAACAGTATCATCTGTGTATAATCTGCAGATTGTGCAGCCACATGACGACCGACGAGCACAAACCTGCAGAAACTAGGTTTTGACCATTCTAGTAGTCTGCTCATGGCCCAGTGACGATAAATGTCGGACGGTAGAGCCATTCGAGGTTTAGGGTTCAATGGTGGGGACGACGATCACACACGTCGTGTGCGAGCTTCTTATTTCTTGGTCATCTCGCACGTTTTGACCTGCGACGAGTCGCTTGTTCCTTGCCCCTCTCTCCGTCCTCCTCCTCCTCCTCCTCCTTCTTCGGCCCCTCATTCTTCTCGTGGTCCTCGTCTTCTCTTTCACGTTTGACACCACGGGGGCCGGCCGTGCGACTGGCTGATCCTGTACTGCCTTTCGAAGCCCCCTTGGGCTTTCCCTCTTGCACCTTCCACTTATCCCATAGTTCCATATACACCCCGTCTGACCAGCACCTGTTTTCGAATGATCTGAACACCTCTGCTCCGTCTAATTTCCCTTGATCATATACTTTACCCGTACGCGGTATCACTTGAAGTCGTTCACCGGTCGCCCGTTTGACTTGATAAGTCGCTTTCGAATTGTCGTCTCCTTCTTCTTCTTTTCCTTTGACATCTGGTCCCTCTCCAGCAGCAAAGTACTTTTTGCCTCCTTTTCTGAGGGCATATCTGAGAGACCTGGTCCTGCCCATCATGATGAACTTCCTGGCAATGTCCATACTGCATATCACGTCAACAAAGTAGAAAAAACGGTGCAAGATATAGGTTCGACTGACCCTACGAAATCCTTCATCTCCTTGTATCGTTCAAAGATCTGCCATATCTCCTTCGCGCTCTTCTCAGCTACTTCCTTGTCTTTGTATCGCCAGAACGCCTTGATAGCTGTCGAATAAGGAGGCGTGGTGAATACTCCCATTTCATTTCGCTGGGCTTTGTAGTTGGCTGGCGTGTATGTTGCGGAGCTGGAAGCGGAAGAAGAGGAGCACGAGGGCAAGGAGGGGGGCGAGGCTGCTGATCCTGAAGATGTCATTAGGCTGCGCTTGAGGATGGAAAGATTGAGACGCATGAGCTTGGAGAAGGAGTTGCACGATGACAGCTATGACGATCGAATCAGAGATCGGTGGACTTGACAAGTGGAGGGCGTGGCGGACGAGAGACCCATTCGGCGGTCGGTCGTCGGTCGACGGTCGTCGCCCGTCGTTTTTGACCAATTCTTGCCGGCGCTTTTGGCATCCTGAAATTCTCCTGATCCAGGCAAGCTCGAAGCTTCATACTTGGCAGACTACATAAACAGCTATGGCGTGAGCTACCTACCAAGTTTCAGAGCTTAGACTTCAATGGATGCATGCAAAAGAGAGTGATCTTGATTTTGACATTTGAGCCATTCTGCCAACTTCACCGAGTCAAAGAGACAGCATAAGAATTTAATGTCTAATAAAACGCGAGATAAGATTTTTATTTTGTAATCAACACCAGACGTATTACACTTGCTTTTCCTAATCTGCTTGAATTCACTCAAAAGTGGCTCAACCATACAAAACTTCATCACCCTCCTTCACATGCATGCAGAGCTGAGTAAGAGCTGAAACTTAGTAGGTAGCTAGTGCCACAGTATCTGAAGTACCTTGCCAAGTCTCAATGTCTCAGAAGGTCTGCAGACTGAGAATTCCGGTATGGACCAAAAACGACAGGCGACGACCGACGACCGACCGCCGAATATTGGCGGAACAAGCATGTCATACACATGTAGCTTTTGTTTCCTGGAACCCATCACTCGCCATGGTGATCGGCGTTGTATGGTGTTGCATATGCAAGTCTAGGAGCATCGGACCTAAGCTCGGCCGATCATGCGATCTGGAATAGATCCATTAGAAAGGCAACATATACATGTACAGCGGAAAAATCCCCAAAAGAGCTCAGTATATCCAATTCAGAGCGCCTAGTCCCAGTCCGATGAGCCCCATTCTTACAGCTAGGTTCTCTCCTGCAAGATGGCTAACTTTAGCTATAGCTCCCTCCTGTCTACTGGGAGCTTCGAACAGCGGGGAATTGATCAAAGCCTTCTCCGCGAGGGCCATCTCCTGGTCATACTCGCTGTCGGCGAGCAGCGCCGTCTCTGAGCAGGGTGAAGAAGGCTCGGAGCCAGAAGAGCGCCTGATGTTGATTGATGCCGGAAGAGGTAACGAGATGGACCTTTCCTTCTTGCCGACGATGTAGTCCGTCAAGGTACCCGTGGCGCCTGATACCATGTGCGAGAGCCAGATGAAGACGATAGTAGAGAGAACGACGTTGAGAGGTCGCCAAGAAGTCCCTGGGATCACCATGAGGATGGCATGGGTGTCCGAAGCTAGGAAGCCATGGAACTGGAGAGTGAAAGTCTCGAGCGAACATTGACCGATGAAACAGAACACGCCAGAGGTGTAGGAACGAAGAGTGGGAGTAAGGTTTCTCAGGACGACAAAGGCAATGATGGGGATGATGGAGATGTAGGGGTGGTAGGCATTGTAGTCGTATTTTTGATGATGGAGCTCAAAGTAAGCGTACCACCCGAGAGCAAGGAAGGATACTCCAGCGGAGAGATACCGGGCGATGTTGAACCATGCCCTCTCGGTGATCTTGGCTTCCTGCGCTTTGATGTATATGAAAGCGCTGAGCATGCCACACCAGACGATCAGGAGGTCCAATACGAGTCGGAAGGACCACTCCTTCGCGTCCCAATTGTGCCGGAATGCGACGTTGAGGATGGCGAAAACGTCGTTCATGATCCATGGCGAGTGCTTGATCAACAGTGTCATCAAGCTAGCTGAAGCCAACAGTTTGGTGAGGAGGAACCAAGTGCGTTGATTGTAAGCGCATCCGACGGCCATAGTGGCGTAAATAGTCAAATACCACCATGAAACTAGCGGAGCAAAGTAGTAGAAGAGATAATCAGTGTCCATGACGTAGGGCAGGACGATAGACAATAGGTTGAGTCGGACGAGCACGGTGGCCACGCGACGGAAGCCAAAGTCGGCCTTCTTGTAATCTAAAGAGTGTGTCAGGGAGAGAATCCGTTGGGTCAGATTCCTCGGCCTGCTCACAGAAGAAGAAATGGCCATCTGTGGTGAGTCAGCATGTTGATCTGATGCCTGGAAAAGCTACTCACATCCCGTCATGAAGAGGTATGCTGCGACCATGACCCGGATTGGGTTGTAGATACTGGACACCTTTGAGGCGCCGAAAAAGTGATAGATGAGAATTGCAACTGGGACAGTCAGTCGAACTCCTGAAGAGTTCTGATCACGCACTCTGCATCCACCCCTTCCACTCATCGGTAATGTCACGGTGTAGGAATCCCCCATCTTTCCCTTTCCGCATGGTCGCGAGACCCACTAACAGTGCGCCGAGCATCCAACCGCCAACGACGTACGAATCGTAAACTTTGTTCTCCTTGAGGAAGATGGGTGTGCGATCGGCCAAAAAGAGATAGACACAGGCGAGACCGAATGAGCATAGCGCGTCAGAGATTGAGGCTGGCGGCAGCAACGCAGAGAGCCGGGAAGTCGGAGCTGCAGCAGGGTCAGCACTGAGTCGAATTCTTCTAACTCACCCAGATGCTGCTTAAGAACCGTACCGAGTGGACCGTACAGGGCAAGAATCAAGAGGAGAATACCTTGCACCGGTGTGACCCAGTTGTATCGCTTGCAGCACGTTCCCGACGGAGTTCCCTGTCGAATCACATCGTTGCACCTCCAGCCCAGTAGAACTTCTGCCTGTCTATCCGCCATGGCGTTCGTATGGTGGATCCCATCTATGGACTCGTCCTCGTGCGCCATCGCCAACGTCGCCCATGAGACGGCGATGGGAGCAGGATCCGGACGCGACATGATTTTGGCGAGATGAGCGTGCATCTTCCTGGCTCTAGCATGACGCAATGTCTTGCCTCTACCATTAGTGAGCATGCGCTCAACGGGGTCCACAGTGGGCATGAAAATCGTGGCGTCGGCAATGGGGAATGATGGAACAACACTGCGAGCTATGCGTCTGTTGGATCCGTGTCCATAGATCGAGTCCGTATCTGACACGTCGACGGGCTCGAGGGTCATATCAGGTTGTTCGATGAGCTCGACGATGGGTCCTGAAACTGATGGCAGACCAAGATCGACACCGGGATCTTCGAATGTCCCTGACTCGACTTGAAACGTCGTGGCGTCCCATGGATTGATCAGCGGTCGTCCTGGTGAGCCCTGAATGGAGGTGAGATTGCAAAAGACGTTATCGACTTCCTCAGCCCATCTGGTCATCCACTGATCACCCAGGAGCCTCATCTGATGAAGTCCAGAACTGATGACGAGGAGTGAGACTGGCGGTTGGTCAGACTGACCCGAGACGAGATCGGTGATGGCCGACGTGTTCAGAAATTGGTCCCTGCAAAGCACTGTCAGGAAGGGGCAGGGAGGGGGGTCAGCAGTCCCTCGCCTCACCACCAGAACTCCATCGTCAAGGTGTTGTCTCCATCCTCCAGTGTATACAGTTGATTCGAGTGCTTATAATTGGGCTCGATGATTTGACGATTTGGTCCGTAGATCTTTCTTAAAAACCCTCCAAACAAGGTACGAATGGTAGAGTCTCCAATGAAGACTATACGCCGCTTGTTCTCGCCAAATTCTTCTAGCTCGAGATCCCGAGCATTTGAAGGTGCCATAGTCAGGCATTGGAGGTAGTCGTCAGGTTTGAGTGGGGCATGGTAGCAGCCTGGTGAGTCGTCAGTCAACGTGCTGAGGTATACTGTGGATCACCTTCTGGTTGCCATTGCGTGTGGGTCTCAGGATCAGACCATGACCCTCTAGCGAGGAGGGAGCCACATCTATGCGCATCGTGACCGTCTTTTGGACCATAAGCTTGTGTAAAAACGTGTCCGGCTCACCTAAGAAGAGCCATCGGCCAAAGTTACCCAGCACGATCGCACCCAACAATGTGCCACAAGCATATGAATACCAGCCAGCACCAGCACGCGGAGGAGATACCATGATTCTTGCGAGAGTATCGACCGGGTCAATTCAGCAGGATAAGAGGCGACACGAAGATCAAATCAGTGCCTTTTGTGTGCTCGATCTCGCTCGATTTGGAGCCAACGGGGGAATCCAAGTGCGTACACGCAATCTGATCATCAGCAAGTCGCCCCAAACGACCGAACATAGCAGGAGCCTGGAATCTGATACATGTTTTTGTCTCTCCTGCGCCCGCCCAATCATACGACTCTGTGCTTGTAAGCCAGCTTGCTCGCCCACTCCTGCATCGTCGAGAGTCCGCGCTGACGAGGCTGAGTTCAATGTGACGATGAGACGACACAAGCCTCCCCTAAACCCCGACAGAGACAATGGTAAGACGATCAACATCGATAAATGTCGATCACTTCAAAATGCGATTTGGCAGCCTTGTTTCAAGTGGCAGTCAAAAAATCGATCATAATACTGCTTGTGGCAAATTTACACGGCAAATGTGGCGGAACGATCGCCCAAAACTTTGAAAGGCGTTATAAGCTTGACCTCGAAGCAATTATAGAGATGGCTCGCTCTCTCCAATGCCTTACAGCTTACTCCTTGGCGATGCACATCGATGGGATAACTCTTCGAGCTGCGCAAACCGTAAGAAACACATCGGGAACAAGGTACTGGCCGATCGTAGAGGTCTTGGGATACAAAACTGTGGCCGGATCGAGAACTCGTAAGGCGAAGTGCGTGCTACACGGAGCGATCAGGAGGCCCACAGGAGCTCAAGACTAAGGTGATAGGATGGAAATCATCGTCAAGGTTATGGTATCGGGCGCAGAGACGGCTTCATAGACCTGCACCCTCCAACAGCCCCCCACAGAAGTTAAAAGCCGATACCGCAAAAAGAGAGAGAGGCGCGAGCCAGTCGTCTGCTGATTTGAGGGTTTTATATTTGTGTAAAACCCAAAGCTAGATTGCCGAAAGTCTCGCGTAGCTCAGTGGTACGTTGCACTTTGTTATATCGAGTTCTTGGTGGCTGACGATCAACAGGTAGAGCTTTGAGCTTATGTGGAGATCGTTTTAGACGCCTGTCATACCCTCTCAAAGGTCGAGAGTTCAACCCTCTCCGTGAGAACTTGCTTTTTGCATCCTTTTCTTCTTTTTGGAACCTCGTCTTGTCTTGTAGCTGCGTTCTGTGTCGAGAAAGAGCTCGAAAACGACGACTTTGGGACGAATGGCTTTCGGGCTGAGTCCAGCAGCACGGCAATCGGCAAGTACAGAGAATATTAGCTTACGTAATGCCAGGGCTGCCATAGTGCCACAATCAGTTGCAGTCCGAAAATATGCTCAAAACTCGACTGATTGCATTCATCGACACAAGTCTCTCTCGTTGTGAAGGCCGCTTGCGCGATGATGAGCATCTCAAGGGCTGCTCCGGCTCTGGCTCGTGTGAGTTGATTGTAGGGTTAGGCTGCGACCGTGCTGATTCTCCCTCAGAATATCTGGTCCGCCCGACCCATACCCATCGCTGGACCCAGCAGATGTCGTGCCATCCATACCCTTCCGGTCGCTCGCGCATCCCTCGCTAGCTCTGTCCGAGTCCCCACCCCCGAATCAGATGTAATCGAGTTCGATGCGGAGCATCAGCAGGATTTAGCGAGTGCGAAAGAGCAACTCGATGAGGCATTCACGCAACGTGCTGGTGAGTGAAACGTCATTGAACTCCTTCGCTGACGCCCTCGTCAGCCATCCTGCATCGCGCGCCAATGGGACCCCTCGACCCTATCCTCCTCCCCCTCTCCTCTCTCGCCTCCGCGAATCCTTCAGCTGCTGATGGATCAGTGAGTCGGCTCAGTTCGCCTTGTTGTCCCGCTGACATCCCCACCCCAAGGGCATGGCAATAGCGCTGCCCCGCGATATCTTTTCCGAGCGAATACGTCGAGACATCCTACATCGCTGCGTGGTCTGGTTCCGATCCGCCATGCGTCAGGGAACACACAGAACGAAAGGTCGTTCAGAGGTCGCGTATTCCGGTCGGAAATTGCGGCCACAAAAGGGTAGTGGAAAGGCTCGTCTGGGAGATGCGTCGAATCCCATAAGTGCGTCTCGTGACCTAGCATCGACTTTGCTCACACACTATCACAGTCAGGGGAGGTGCCCATGCGTTCCCTAAAAGAAATAGAAATTACACACAACTATTACCACGGAAGATCCGAGCTATGGGCATGCGTATAGCTTTGACGATGAAGTTGGAAATGGGTCTTTTGCGATGCGTCAAAAATCTCAACGAAGGTGGATGGACAAAGACCAAGGAGGCTATGATGGCACTCCACGGCAGCGCTTCGAGCGAGACTTCGATCGGATTCGACTCTGGTAAAGCCGACTCCAAAGCCCTGTCGATCCTCTTTGTTTACCCTCACACCAAACCCGCCTCTGATGTCAAATCGTTCGCCCTGCCTCTTCGGAATGTTCCCGGTGTCGAGATCATGTCGACCGACGAGGTGCAGGTATATCATATCCTGAAACACCGATGGCTGGTCCTCGAAGCTGGAGCCGTTGACATTCTCGCCCTCCAAAAAGGACAACCTAGGTTCTCTGAGGACGTACCCGAATGGGAGACCACAGATCTCGCAGTCGGGATCGAAGAAGCACAATCGACTCGCCTTCGCGGTCGTCGTGTCAACCGTCCGAGACGATGGTTGGTACATCGATGGAGGAAAGTCCGAGGTGCCAAGTCTATGCGCAAAGTCTTTGGGATGCGGCAGGCCACAGCCGTGGAGAGAGAGTCCAAGATGACTTGGGACAAAATCGCGAAATTGGGAGTGCATCCCGTGACACCTGACATGGTGACCATGGCAATCGCTTCAAAGTATGTAAGGGATGACAGGAGGATCCGGAAAATTGTACCGTGAAATTGCGTAATGCATGCCTGTGTGCCCATGTGATAATCATATCTAGCCAGATCGACTCAGCGCGCCGCCCCTGACGCGGAGGCCTGTGGCTTTCCTTTCGGTTTGGTAGGCGAGTCCAGGTCGCCATCTTCCCCTTCTTCATCCAGCAGCCCTCGTCTTTCGCCGCGGTGGCCACCACCGCCCAATCCCCTTCGTTCCTTCTCTTGATCCTCGTTGTCTGACCCATCACTGACACTACCGGCTTCCCACAGCACGTCGTCTCGCTTTGCCGAGACATGCTCACCAAGCCCGTCAATGTCGTCTTCCTCGCCTTTTGACGGCGTTGACTTGTGGCTTGTCGCAGAGACAGTCCGCATCTGAGGCCGTAACCGGATCGATGTCGCCGGCTCGGTCGAGACGGTGTATGGATCCGTTGCGGCTTTAGCAGAGGATTTCAATGAGAGGAGAACAACGCCGGTGATCAGAATGGCTATTGAGACAAAGACGGCGCCAAGGACCTGACGCATCAGACGAGACATCACCGGCAAAACCTACCCATCTGGCGTACTGCCTGGCTTGATCGAAAAAGACCAGAGCGTTGATGAACCTGTCATCAGCTGAGTTCCGATCTGGGGAAACTCACCCGAAGACCGTATATCCCGCATAAAAGAGCGGTACCACGACGACTGTGTCGGCGCAGACCAGTGCTCTATTGAGGCAGACTATCTGCAGGATCGCGGAGATGATCACCAATAACAAGGTGATCAGGGCGGAGGGGTGGACAAGCTAAGAATGAGCATACCTTTTGGAATGAAGTGCTCACTGGATGTCCGGGCAAAGAAAACGTCTTCACTGTCACCTTTGTAAAAACCAAGCACATGCCCGCCAGACTGCCTCCAGCGACAGCCCAGCCTATTCCCTGAAGCCACGTTATCCTTGCATCGTCGGTCCGCTGAAAGATTATCTCTAATCTTTTGATCGCACTGGTCTCTATGGCGTTCCAGCTGTGGAAAAGACGCAGGAATACGTTCTTGAACGCATTCTGAGGCTTCGCTCTTGATGTGACTGGCAACTCCGTCGTGGGTGAAGGAAGCGGAGAGAAGGACGCTCGAGAAGCGAGCAATGAGGCTAGGAAATGGGACACGAGATACGTCAGGGCTGTGAAGGCGATGAGTAGTGCGAAGTAGGATAACCAGGCTGCTCTTGTCCATAGATCGTTGAGTGTCTCAATGTCGATTGTTTGCGAGAGTCCATGGTTGATGGAGGAGAAGATCATGATGAGGATGACGCCGAGGACAATGACAACGGTTCCACGGATGTCTGTAGCGGTGACGGCTGATGGTAAGTTTCGTCCGCGTCTGAATCGACTTACGGGTCCCAACTAGCCAGTTGGCGAAAAGGAAATTGAATATGAGGGAGGAAGAACCTAGCGGTGCGACCCAATCTGGGCGTAGATAACGGAGAGCGAGAGGGGAGCCGACTTGGGGGAGAATCAGTCTACGCAACAGGTAAGGCATTGTGACATACCGAGCTGAGATATTCTGCGACTATGTCAGAGGGCTGATTTATCAACCGGACTCAATGCTCACATATACGTTCCCATTCCTGCCAGCCACAACTACAAGGATGCGTGGGTAAGCCTAGTCAAGGTTCTGCTGGTGAGAATACTCGCCAATCTCAGATAATCCTTCTTGCGCTCTCTCCTCGGAATGGCCTGCTGACGCATATGATCCAACTTCGTTAAGTTTAATCCAAAAGCATTAAGGACAGACGCTATCAGCACAATGACCAGGCCAAGTAGCGTATTCTGGGCTTCGTCAGTGTCGCTCTCTAAAGGCGAAGTGGGATCTCACGAGGACATAGCTCCCCTCGTTCGTTACTTGACCCGCTAACGGATCTATGATGGTCCCACTATCTCCAGGTATCTGATCTCCTGTATCCCATGGCTCTCCATCGCCCCATTGATCCCATGTACTGTTGATAGCAGTCGCTATAGCGTCCAAAGCCGAAGAAGTAAATGTTGCAAGTGTGTCTCCGTTTCCGTCTTCACCAAACGGATCATAGCTGGGAGTCGGATCCATCGCTATTATTCCAGGTTCGAGGAGGATGAGGAGAGAGATGAAAGGCTGCGAGCTTTATCGTTATAGGCTGCTGCTGGGCATGCTTGCCTTGCACATAGGCTAGTTGTACAGACGTAATGATGGATGGAATCCCGAGCCCGAATCTGAAATTACACAGGTTGAGAAAGTGGCGGACCTGACCGAGAAAGGCAAGTGGCAACAGATACTAACTAGTATTGCCCGACGGCGGAGGGACAAGGTGACAGATAATGACTTGGTCGAAATCAGAGCATGAGAGGCGAGACTTCGTGAGCACATACTTACGCTCTACATGCAACACTAGTATGGCCGTGTCTAAGACATGAAGGACCTACATGATGAAACAGCTGATCTCTGTCTGATCTTAGAATTACATCCTTTTACTCGGAAGCCGATAGCTCTTGGAGTCTCGTCATCATGCCGTGTTTCATGCTAAGCACCAGTGCATCGTTCATGGCGTCTATCTGAGCATTCCAAGTCAGCTGCGGCAACCTTCCCGCACTTAACCACCTTGCGCTCTTTAGGACTCCCTCTGCAAGAGAATGCAGTCTCGACGATACCAGACGTGGCACATTTCGCCATTTCCGAGTCTCGAAATTTATACTTGACTTTCGCGATGTATATGGCGCCTGTGCTTCGTTAGCATGTCTCATGCCCTCGCTTACCTTCATCCTCTGGATCATCTACTTGATCCATCTTCCACATCATCGCAGGTCGGTCCTCGGGTGGAATCGAATGGTAGACCACATTCCAGATTCTAACAGGATGCTCCAGCGCCACCGGAGGGAGAGAAGCGTCAAGCTCGAAACGAAGGGCGGGGTGCTTGAGCGTCTCGATCTGCTGTGCTGAAAGACTTGGATTATTGTCAAATGGCATGGGAATGTGCTTCTGACCATCTTTACCAAGCTCGAGCTGGTTCCCTCGGGAGGGCTCGAGGTGATGGATAAATTTGCGGATGATCCTGCCTGGTGATTTGAATGAGGCTCGGGCCATCATGGAATCTTGTTCGTCTTCCGTCTCGGACGCCTCATTCACGTTGTTCTGCACATTTTCCAGCTTGTGTTTCCGATGAGAGTCCCGGTAGGCCCTGGCGACCATTGACTCCATGTAATGGGCTGGTCTACCGTACAAGTCTTGCAGAGGGGTTTCGGTCCCGAGGAGGCACCATGTCCCGAGTACGAAGCTTCCTAGATCAACCTGCCCTCTTCATCTCTCTGAGGGGCTCTACCGACTGCTTCTTCGGCGTCGCAGGCGAGTGACAACTTGAGCCGCTTAGCAGCTGAAATATTGTCCTTGTAGCTCTTGGGCTCGATCGATCGAATTATGGCACTGCCACTCGTACGCTGCAGGGGCACCGCATATGAGAAAGCGGCAAATGGGCCGGCGAGGCCTCTTCGTAGACTCTCGAGATGGGTCCATGATTCGAATTGGAAGGTGTTGAGATCAACGTACAGACATCACAAGCTGTCCTCCTTCATCCAAGAATTGAGTGGCGATGCCACGCTCGGATCGCCACGGAAAGTCCCGTCAACCGGATAACCGGACTTGTTTTCGATCGATACAAAATATCTTGGCTCCTTTGACATTGCTTTTGGAAGATAGTCCATTCACCTTGAGTTGGTCTTTGCAGTGCTGCACATCCTCTTGAGAGCATCTTGTTGGGGGATGGAAACCGCTGGTCCGGATTGATCTCCCCGCCATCCCCTTCGTGAACACCTGTCCGACTGCACATCAATCCTGCAATTCCGACACCAGAAGCTTTAAAACTTGTGCAGCTCTGATCCTACCAGTCTGAGGGTGAGGGGCATTCCGGCCCTCGACTCTACGACGTCCCCGCTCACGATGGTCAAATTCAAGACTGAGCCGTCAGAACCTCTCAGCGTCTCTCCTCGGCGACTTCGACAGCGTCCTGCCCGTATCTCAACAACTTCGACCCTAACGACAGAGCTTGGTGATTCAAATGGGGTAGTCCAGGTCAAAGAGGAGATGATGGGGGACGAGGGACTCTTGATCAAACGGGAGCATGAGGCGGACACCTCGACTTACCGGCCTGAGGAGAACAAACGAAGGAGGAAAAGCAACGTCCGAATGCAGGAGGAAGTGATTAAACAGGACATCCAGCTGGACGAAAGCAGCGGCGGAGCTGGAAAATCAGGGGGACTGACTGAGTGTAATGGCAGAGCCAAAGACACCCTTGCCGAGCTGCTATCTTGGAGAGAAGAAATACACGCGGATCAAGTCGAGAGCGTAGACCAGCCAGTCAAGTCCAAAGGCAAACGTGCTGCCAAAGCAGCAGAGGCCAATGTTGAGAAACGGGACAAGAGGTGAGCTAAGCGCATCTTTCAGTTACGACGGCGAGCTAATTCCCGTCAGATTCAGAATCAAGTGGGTGGAATTGCTAATCTCCTAACACGGGATCTTCACTAACAGCTCAGAGCACCGCAGGCTACGCTACAACGAGGTGAGTAAGGCCCTCCTGCATTCGGATAGTCGCTGAGATAGCAACAGCCGAGCGAGTCAAAGCTCAGCGGATGGTGCGTCATCACGATCCTGATGTGATGATTCAGCTCAAAGGCTCTCCAGTTCATGCTTGATCGACAGAAATTGGATGATCTGCAGGAGAAATTCCAAGTTGTAAGCTCCAATACGGACGGCGTCATTTCACGGACTGATCAATTTAGCTTGGTTCAACGGGCAATGTCTATGTGAGCAGTAGTCACCATCGATTTAGTGAAACTTATAGATCAGACGGTCATGATCGAGGCCCAGCCATCTTGCGACTGCCCAGACTTTCAAAAGGGTAATGCACCTTGCAAACACGTCATCTTCGTTTTGTGAGTCTTTACGAGCCGCACGAGCATGTGTTGACAGACGTGATTCAGTTTGAAAGTCTTGAAGGTCCCGGAAGACTCCTCCTTATGGTTCCAACGATCCCTGCTGGTGATTTGATCCTGCATCGATCCTCTCAACTAACGAGTGCAGACTGGCGAGTTGCGAACCATCTTCTCCGCGGCACCGTTGTCTCCTACAGACACAGTGTCTGTCTCTCTAACCGTGCGAAACGCCTATTTGAAGGCTACGGGTCTTCCAGGAGCCGCAGGCGGCCAGGACATCGCAGATGGCGAAGATTCGGAAGTCGACTCAGCTCCTATCCGGAAGATCATCTCTGTAGGAGAGGACTGCCCTGTGTGAGCTTCTTAACCAAATTAATCCGGCTGATACGGCAGGTGTTATGAGGAAATGACCGAGGAGGATGACCGGAAGAAGCGCTTGGTCTATGATGATGCTCCGCAGGGCTGCGGCAAGGGCAAGTCGGCCTGGCCATGGTTTCTCTGATCCTCCTCAGCTCTGCACAAAATCTGCTTCAATACTTGGGCGAACACCCGAGTGAGTCCATGAGCCCATTGTCTACTCGTATAGGCTCATTAGCCGTTTCAGCGGGACCGCGGCGGCGTTACATGTGTCTGGTGTCGAGGCGTTTGGCCAAGTGCAGCTGGTACTCAGATCACATCGGGGTCGGTCGGGGTGCAGGTCACGGCCAGTGGATAGTGAGTCAGAGCCCAAGCGTGGCCATTGCTATGCTGACAGAACGCCCAGCCTCAACATGGCTGATATCGCTGGGATCAGTCGAATCCGGGATACCAGGTGAGACTGAAGGACTATCGCTTTGACTGACCAGATCAGTACCTATCATTTCCCTTGGCGAAGAACATACCATGAGGATCGGTAATGCAATACCGATCCTTTGGACGAGACGACCGTGCCATAACCTGGTGGTCCTTCCCTTGTTCGCAACTGCTCTGCTTTCGCTTCTGTATCATATAATCTTAAGCTCTGGACTGTACATATATTTTGGAGCATATTCTGATCACATGCCATGTATCTACTCCAGGATCGCCACGAGTCGATCACTCTGTCCAGCTAGCGGGCAAACTTTTCCACTTTTCGACAGCCAGTTTCAATTCGCGCTCCTCTCCCTCAACATATTTACGAGCCATCCTTGACAAAGGACCAACCGGTGACATTTTCTCACTTCGAGACATGCCCTGGAGCCGCGCGTTGAGTATCCCGATGACTCTCCGAATTGCCATCTTACAAGTGACGCTGGTGGTCTGCTGGTGCTCTTTGATTCCTTCTTGGTCTCCCCAGACTGACAAGGACCGAGACAACAGACTCTCCTTGCAGATCGAGGTCGGGTCGACTTTGACTGCATCGGCCGGCGAGACGGACATGTACACTTGGCTCCACATAGCCTGAGTGATCTTGCCGGACTGCCGGTGAACGCCCATCAACCCTGGGGGGTCCAGAGAAGGAAATCTGATGTATTCAGAACCGCAATGCTCGGAAGCGTCTGGCTCGGCGAGATAGGCGAGTACTGACAGACAGATACCGTGAAGTTGAGGGCTGCCACCAATGTCCTCAAGATCGAAATGAATGAGGCCATGTCTCTCGGCATCGAGGTATCCCCATTCTGTCAGTAGCTGACTTGAGCTCAGACTTGGTCCGTAAGAGTTGAAAATCTCCTCGCCTAAATGCACCATGGGAACTTCGACAAGCAGGTCGACCGTGTCTACCTCCTCGTGTAGCCTGCGAATCGCATTGCCAGAGAGGTGGTCGAGTCGATAAGGTCTACCCGAGGTATTGAAACGATCATGGGAGCAGGTCCTCAAAGAGCCGCATGTCCCGCAAACAAAGTCGTCGGAGGAGAGCGATGTGTGAGATGATTCAGAGTGGTTGAGCAAATCGGCAAAAGGGCACAGAGCCAGAGTATGATACACGTCGATGACGAAAGCTCGAGACGAGACCAGGCAAAAACAATGAATGTAGTCGATAAAAGGGCTGCGTGCTGGATGACTCGCTGTGGGAGGAAGAAGTTTGGCGTACAATTCATAGAAGGATTCCAAATCGGTCTTGGTAGAGTCAGTGAACAGAGAAGTAATCCAACATACCAGTCCTTTGCCCCGGATCCTCTGCCGTCTCAGGCTTCGATCAACGTCTGAGCCTCGCAGAATCTCCAAGGCTACCTGACCATCCCGACCACAGAGCTCTTTGACGTCCCAGCATATCGGTAAGCGCAACGTGTCTCTCGGCAAACTCTGAATGTATTCGTAGAATCGCGACTCCCTTCCTAGCCGAAACTCGTGTAAGAGGGCAAGCGCGAGGAACCATACTGAGTGAGTCGACCTAGGATCGTAAGTTGGGGTCGAGGTTGGCAGCTTGAGGGATGTCGTTCTCAGTGACAGGATTGCGGTTTTTGGAATGCGACATACTATCGGATGGTCAATCCGAAGGTTCAAAACCTCTCGAAAGGACTCACAGACATGGAATTCTGCCAGATCATCTGTAGCCAGTAGACCCCATCCTGAAGTTTCCGACTCTTTGACCTTCACATGATCAGAGACTTCGATCCCTTGGGCCCTCAACCAATGCCATAAAGTGTCTGGTGATGGAGGAGGCTCCGTCGTGAAGAGCCCATGAGACGATTTTGGGATCTCAACAAGGCCGTCAGACTCTAAGCGGTCTTCCTCCCCATCAGATCCGTAGTCACGTATGGATTTCAGTCCGGCCAAGGCATCAGACATGGGGTCCCGCCCCGTCCCGAACCATTCAGTGCAAGGAGAGCATATCAACCAGTCATGACGACTGTACTTCATTATTTCCACGTGGCCTGAAACCTCAATAGCCTATGATCAGATCCCTAGATCTCTCCCGGTTGGGGGCTTATGTCCGTGAAGAGTCACGCGAGCAGTCTATGCTCATAATCACTCCACCTGCTGGATGATTTGGTCTCAGTACTCGAGAGCTATGTGCACATTCCTCAGCGTGGTTCGAGTCGGAATGAGATCCCTTCCAGCAGGCCTATGCCATGTGATCGCTTCTGAAGCGTAGTAACAAGCGCGCAGAGACCTGCTCTCGGTCCGACCACGGCCCGATCTCAGTGACTACCCTGCTCTCTGCCGATTCATGATGAAATTCCCTGCGATAATACCTTCATATTCATGTTACTGGTCCGCCTGCTCGTCGCAGCTCTGAATCCAAATCTTATGGGATCTGTTCGGTCCGAGGGGTGGAGTCGAGAGAATTGTGGGACTGCCGTTAAAGAGGCGCAGAATAAATGAGATCTTGACGTCAGTCGTAAACAATTTTTTTTGGGTCTACTCTGGGGGCGATGTATCGATTCAAGTCCATGACATGCTTCATCCGGTTTTGCAGATTCACGGACAAATAATACTTACGGCGCTACTACGGACTCATAAGTATCAAACGTTCAGAGCTCCATCCTCTTTTCCCCTTCATGCATCGATCTTAACCATTCATACAATTTTGTGGCACCCATCATGGACTCGCCACACGACAGTCATACCGAAGTGACCTTGTCTAGCGGGCAACGGCCCAAATCCATTGGGCGATTCAATCTGGCTAATCATTTCCAGAAGAGAGGCTTGTTGATTGCCGTCAATTGTGCCGCAGGTCTCTCTATCCTATTCTTTGGATATGGTGAGTGGAAGGGAGGATCGGAGACGACTCCCCTGCTGATACAGTGTAGACCAGTCAGTATAGCCGGGTCTTCAGAAGTCGAGCACTGACGCAGATATACAGAGGAATGATGGGTGGAGTCAACAATGCTCAAGACTACATTCAAGTCATGAAGCTGGGTTACACCAAGATTGAAGATGGAGAACCCACACCAGTCATCACCAACACTCTTCTGCAAGGCGGAATCGTCAGTGTCTATTATCTCGGAACGCTAGTCGGGGCGCTTGCAGGAGGCTGGATCGGAGAGAGGATTGGACGTATTCGAACCATCGCTTTGGGTGCCGCTTGGGGTGTGCTAGGAGCTTCGCTTCAGTGCAGCGCCCAGAACCACAACTGGATGATCTGCGCCAGATTGATTAATGGATGGGGCACTGGAATCCTCAATTCCATTGTGCCTGTGTGGGCTACTGAGACCGCCACGCATACTTCCCGAGGCCAATTCATTGCAATTGAATTCACTTTGAATATCTTTGGTGTGGTCCTGGCTTATTGGATGGAATAGTAAGCCAGCTATGAATGTCACCAGCGATGTCGCTGAAACGGCTGTTCCAGTGGATTGTCATACATTGATGGCGGACGATCGCCCTTCCGATGGCGTTTCCCAGTCGGTTTCCAAATCGTCAGTAGTTTTGCTTCTATCGGGATGCGAATTTAACTCACAACAATGCAGATCCTCTTGCTCCTGCTGTTCGCAATCATCTGGTTCTTCCCTGAGTCACCACGATGGCTCGTCAAGGTTGGCAGAGACGAAGAAGCACGCTGGATCCTTGGCCGACTTCGAGGAGAGCACGGAGACGACGAGGGGGTTGCCGATGCCGAATTTCAGGAGATCAAAGCCGTGAATGCGATGGAGAAGTCGGATCAATATCCTACCAGTTATCTCTCTATGCTTATTGGACGAGGCTCAGGCAAGCTGCACATTGGTCGACGAGTCCAGCTAGTCATCTGGCTTCAGATCATCCAGGAATGGGTTGGGATTGCGGGTGTCACGATCTGTAAGCCTAGGGAGTGGTTTTTTCTTAGCTCTGACACCCTCTTTAGATGCCCCGACTATCTTCAGGCTTTCCGGATTCAATGCCAATAAGAGCCAGTGGATCAGTGGTTTAAACAATATCTTTTACATGGTCAGTGTCATCCTTCACAGCAAGAATGTGCCAGGATCTTGTAGCTTCGCTAACATTCAACAGTTCTCAACCCTGATCTGTGTCTTCACCCTAGATCGGATAGGCAGACGAGCCACACTATTCTGGGGATCGGCTGCTCAGGGTATCGCCATGTTCCTCTGTGGCGGCTTCACGAGAATTGTTCTGGACGCGTCTGCCAACGGCGATCAATCGAGAGCCAACTCGTTCGGCATTGCGGCAGCTGCTATGATCTTCATATTCACCTTCGTCTTCGGGGCTACTTGGTTGACCGTTCCGTGGCTGTATCCTGCCGAAATTTTCCCCCTAGCCGTGAGAGCCAAGGGTAATGCTTGGGGTGTTGTGGGCTGGTCGATAGGGAATGGATGGTTGGTGCGTGTATACCTGTCAATCGAAAGAGTGTTGGCTCGAATACTGAGCATTTTGTTTAGACTCTGCTTCTTCCTGTTTGCTTCGCAAAGATCGAAGAGAAGACGTTCTACCTATTCGGCATTGGTGAGTACCTGAGCATGTCTTAGTCGTCATCCGACTGAGGTCTTCAGCCAACGCACTGAGCATCCCAATCGTATGGGCACTGTATCCCGAGAGTAATCAACGAACGCTCGAAGAAATGGTACGATCCTCATCCCGCTAGCGTTTCGTGGCACTGACCCTCTCCCAGGATCTCCTTTTCGCAGCTGATCAGCCCTGGAACTGGACTGCAGAGGCGAACTACGCCAAACTGAAGGCGGAGCATCCTGAAATAGTACACCACGCCAAGAAGGGCGACAATGTAATGAGCTCCATGGATAGTCAGAGATCAATGGTGGAGAGCGCATGAGAGGCCTTTTGAGTATGCTCTTTAGTATAATACCTTGCGCTCATGTATCCTCTCGGAACAACATGATCATGAGACGCCTCTGATCCGGACTGTGGCACATGTACTTACGAACACCCACATGACGCGACATGCCACAGATTCTGTTTCAGGTCACTTTCTCACGCTGGCGGGGGTTCTCAAGGGGAGGTGGTGATCTCCGCGCATCAGTCATCATGGGTCTTCGGAACTAGTCTACAAGGCAGCTAACGAGCCCCATGCATGGCCTTTGATACCCTCTAGCACAGGCCTCAGTTTGTGAAGTCATAAGCATGATCAGCTCTCCATTGTGTGAGAGCGAAATCGCATCGGACTAGGCCGCCGAATTGCCGATCGGTTATATAAGCGCAAGCGGGGCACGAGAAGAGAAGGAGAGCAGCCGACTCGGACGAAAGACGTGCTTGGCTTCCTTATCAGTTGTCATTTTATTGCTGCCTGGCCATCGTCACTGTTTTCAGACTGTCACGCAGATATCTTCTCGAGAGCTTCAGGCTCATGAATTCGGGCCGCAGATCCTTCGCAGAAATGTCATCAGGAGAATCTAGTTCTTCCAGAATAGATTACTCCAGGCTCTTGAGCTGGGAAGCCAAGCATAGAGCAAGATCGGGTATCAAAATGTTGAGACCTTACATGTCTATACCTGGCATGATCAGCGTGAGTCTAGGAGTAGGCTTCTACACTGCAATCTCTCAATGCGATTTCGCAGTTTGGCGGTGGCTATCCTCACGCCTCGACATGGCCAGTCAATGGAATGACTCTCTCACTGCCGTTCTCCGGGGAATCAGTCTTCGTGCCTGGCTATCAGAGTGAGAGAACGTCTGGTTCTATGTATAATCAACGCTCATGGCTCCCAGCGAACAGTCCTGATGGTCTGCTACCCCTGGCATCGTACAGCCCTCCTCCCAAAACTTCAACGCTGCAGCCTCACCTCGCTGCCGAGCTACAGTACTCTCAGACTTTCGGCCAAGTGCACTTCATCTCATGGCTGAAGGAGCACATCGCAAGGATCCACAATCCACCTTATGCAAAATATGAGGACTATACCATCTTGAATACTGCGGGCAATACCGATGGAGTAGACGCTGTGCTGCGGACATGCATGGACAAAGGGGATCACGTATTGGTCGAGGAATTCGGTAAGTGCTCAGAGAGAGGGCCTGGACTGAGCTCGCAGCTTATCCGGGCACCCTGAGTCATTGCGAGAGTCTTGGCCTGCCTGCGATCGGAGTGCCAATGGACAGCGATGGCATTGTGCCGTCAGCTCTGGAGGACATGATGAGCAGATGGGACGAGAACGAACGGGGAGGCAAACGACCAAAATTCCTGCTGGTGGTCCCGTGAGTTCCGCCGCACTTGCGTGCGTCAAGCTGAACCGATTTAGGACGTGCTCGAACCCTGCAGGTGCAACCATCCCGGCTGAGAGGAAGAGAGAGATCTATACTATCTGCCGGAAATGGGGTCTCATGATCATTGAGGATGATCCATGTGAGCCATATCGCAGAGGGATCGGGCTGATTCCCCAGACTACTTCCTTCAGATCAGACCCAATGGAGTAGACAGTCCTCCTTGCACTAGCTTCCTGTCGATGGACATAGATGGCCGTGTCATTCGGCTTGACTCCTTCTCGAAAATCGTGGCTCCTGGCTCAAGATGTGGCTTCATCACCGGCCCGACCGAGCTCGTGACGCATATCATGTACTCACGGGAGTGTTCAACAGTGGGTTGACAAGTATATTTGAAGCTCACAGCTATTCAGCAATTACCAAGTGGATTCTCCATCGCCATTATTTCCTCAATTCTCCAAGCGTGGGGCGGGCACGAGGGGTACGAGAAAAATTACCTGCCCTACATCTCCAGTATGTCATACCCCGTACTTTGAAGGCTTACCATAGGCGTCTACTCTAAGAGAGCCATCCTGATGTCGAATCTTATCTCCAAACACGTACCTGCGAAGGCGGCGACTGCTCCCCCGCCATCTGGAGGCATGTTTCTGTGGCTCCGACTACACTTAGAGGATCATCCGGATATAAGCGATACGTCAGTCTCCCTCGAAGATCTGGCCGAAAGGGTGTTCCAAAGCCTCATAGAAGCCAAGGTCTTGACTGTTCCCAGCAAGTTCTTCAAGGCGCCTGGAAAGAGCTGGACGCGGGACGAAGAGGCCAAGAGGATCTTCCTCCGGTTGAGCTTTGCGACCGCTACCGAAGAGGAAATAACGGAAGGTGTTCAGAGGATCGGGCGTGCATTGACAAAGGAATGGCGCATATAGACAATCGAGGTCAGTGTGTTCTTGGAACGTTGCGCGCACGCTGAGACTCAAGCAAGCGCAATGCAAAATCACTTTCAGCATCCACATCATGCATGCCCCGATGGCTTTATCTCCATCATATGCACTGCCGCTGGAAAGCACTGATTGTCCTTTGTCATTTTCAGCCTCATCCCGTCGATGATCATCCTTTGTCAAAGAATGAGAGTCACTCTTTTGATTCACCGGAGAGAGATTTGGAATCGCTCTTTTCACCCAAGAGTTGACGTTTGAAGTCCTTGTTCGAGGTGGCGACCAGAGGCGGAGCTGCAGCGTTTCCAGTGCTTTCCATCGCGCGATACTGACAGCGACATCTTGCCTATTCGACTCACCCTCCCTTGCAACAGTCTACTTCGCATAATTCCGAAATCTACAGACGTGAGTCTAGCTACGAGAAATGCACTGACGAGCCTATAATAGCTACCATAATCATGTCTCTTCATCGATATGTCGTTCCGCCTCCCCTCGCACTGGCAATCGAGCCCGCTCCACCTCCCAAGCCTCATAAGGACCACAAGCCTGACTCTAAGGATTCCAAGGATCCTCAGAAGGACGACAAACCAGCTGCAGCCGGTAAGGCGGGAGGCACAAATGATGAGGACAAGCACAAGAACCAGATTGCAGAGGCTGGCGTCAAGGCGGGAGATATTGACAAAGAGGAAAAGCCCAAGGCTCCTCTGCAGACACCGACGCCGGAAGATTCTCCCGTTGTTCCTCCTTCACCAGGCTCAATGATTCCTGAGCCCGGTACTCCCAGGCTGGGTGCCGAGCCGCCCAAAGATGTAGCGCCTGTCCCCGGGCCGAGGGAGGCAGTCAAGCCTGCTGGCCAACAGGAGATGCCAAAAGATCGCCTGTCCGAGGAGGTCAAGAGTCCTACCACAGAAGATCAGCAAGAGGTCGAACAGCATATCAAAGTCGAGCCTTTGTGGTTACTTACACCTGCACCCCATCGACCTCTTCGGACCCGTCTCCAGCTCAATCCCGACAAACCATACCCTCCGATCAACACTGATCCGCGCGGCGCTTACTTCAAGTACGCTCGCGGAGTTCAAGCTGAATGGATTTTGATCGACGTGACGAAGGATGGTTGGCTAGTCGATCAGTGGCGCGAGAAGCCAGAACGAGAGGCTTTGGCAAGGTTGAAAGGCGAAGCTGACAAGCAAAGAGACCGAGAGGTCGAGGCGCTTGAAAGGAGGAGCAAGATTCGGCAGGTGCCGAAGACTAGCGAGGAGATCCTTCTTCATCTATGGAATGATTTAGCAGAGGCGCCAAGCTACGAAGTGGGCAGTCCCGCTGGTGAACAGGTGACTAACAAATGATATCAGATCGTGGCGGACGAATTCTGGGCACGATATGACTGGAACGATCCGGACGCTGCCCTTCATCAGGAAGACATCAAGCGACCACTGACGAAGGAGCAGAGGTCCAAGCTCTCTGCCAGCCCAAAAGAGGGTGACGAAGATGATATCGAAGCGAAATCTGGGGCCGCAAATTGCCCTGATGCGGAGACCTCTGAGCCATCGGTGCCATGGACTTGTGCCGGACTAGAGGAAGTTCTCGCCACGGTAGGCATTCAATGTGCGTACAAGACCGAGGTGAGCATGTATCAGGTCCCAGATCGGCTGAAAGCTGAACGTCCGTCGATAGAAACCGCTCTCACGGCATTGGGCAGAACCTGCCGGTGCATACATGTTGATGGCCCATGGCTTCTTCATGCTCAGAGTGGAAAGCCATCTCCAATGGAAGACCGAAGAGGCTGCGAATCACTTTGAAGTTCTCAAGACTTCTCACCATGATAGAGTCTTCGGCGAAATGGTCAAAGCCCAGCAGATGCAGGACAGGAAGAAGAAGGAGGCAGCGTATTATGAACGGAAGATGGCGGAAAAGAAAAAGGCAGAGGAGGAAGCTGCCAATGCCAAAGCTGAAGGCAGGGAACCGTCTGCAAAGGTGGAGCTAGGCAAGGATAAGAAGAAGGACCTTGGAGAGGAGCCAGATTCACCTGCGTCGAATGTGAAGGTCAGGGATGGTATCCCCGTCAATCATGAACGAGAGACAAAGGAGAAGGAGGTGGACGATGGGTCGGCCCAGGCAGAAAGAAAGAACGAGAACGTGATAGTGGCTATCCCTGTCAAGTCTAAGGTCAGCCCAAACAAGGACGACAAGCATGATCAAGACATTGTGGCTGTGGCACCTGGGAAAGCGAGGGAGGCGCAGGACGACCAGGTTCAGAAAAAGGACGCTGAACCAGATGCAGAAAAGAAAGACAAGGCCAAGAAAGATCTCAAGGGCGATAAGAAGGCTGGTGGAGCCCATCATCGCCCTGGTGTACCCCCGAAACTCTCTGCAGAGGACGCCAAGTTGCTCAAAGAGATGATTCACGGTATCGGCGGCGTGCCGGACTCTCTCGCGATGGAGGACATTCATTTAGCATTCAAAGCCATTGAGAAGGCTGCTGAAAGGACCAAAGCGGATGAGAAGAACAAAGCTGTCGGTGGTCCGCTGATCTGGACATGGCAAGAACCTTGTGAGAAGTGGAGGTGGAGAAACTTTGAAGCTGGCTTGTCGAATGTCGCTCCAGGAGGCTGGGAAGAGAGAGACTGGAAGGTGTTTGCTGATGGGAGAGGTTGTGAGGATTTCGATACGGAGGAGGGATGGGCTGAGGAGGATGAAAGGGATGTGCACGATTGGTCGTGTTAAGAGGTTGTCATCCGAGTGGAGCAGACGCGTCGAACCACGTTCTCTCAACACCAGTAGATTTTATGCACTATGTATGATCATTACACGGGGCCACACAGCGAGACCGGACGAAAATGCTCGTCCAAATCTCCTGTACAGGGTCATTTGGCTAGATTTTCTGTTGATTCCACTTGGCAATCAAAGAATTGACCGATTGCCGTTTCTCCGGACTGCCTCGTCCGTTCTGAGATGGCTCCTGAATAGGACCTTGTCCCTGTGATGAACTTTCCGGCGTCTTCTCCTCGACCGGCACCAAATTCTGTTGTGCTTGAGACTCGTCGACTTTCTGCGAGGTTGGTTTCGTCGCCACCACGGGCTTAGGCTTGGTCGCCGGCTTCTCCTTGATTGCTGCTGGTGGGGATTTCTGAGTCGCAGTCACGGAGGCGGAACGCCCAAGATCGGGTTTTGTCATTGGCTTTGGTGGTTTTACCTTTGGTGAGGTGGGAGATAGCGCCTCTGCAGTCATAGGTGACCCAGAAGACTTTGAGAATGACCCAGAATACTGTCTCAGGGCCTGAGGCTTGGCAGCCACTTGTGGTCTTGGAGCTTGGCTGGCACTGGTTGAGATTGTAGGTTTCTGCTTGACTGGTGAAAGCCCAGGAGGCTTGCCATTCATCGTCTCGAATCTGGAAACCATACTCGTGATCGATCCTTCCCTCGATTGAGCCGGTCGAGAGTCAGATGTCGATGGTGTAGGACCTCCGGTATTAGTCTCTCTTTGGCCCGGCATCATTGGATTGGGATGTGGCCTGCTGCTGGGGCTGAAGGCACCCGCGTGGGGCTCGATCGGCGAAGACTGCTGTTGAGTCTTACTAGGGGAAGAGCCTCGCCTCTCCAGGGCTGCTGGTCTCTGATCCGACTCTTCGACCTGAGACGGCTGTCGCAGCGGTACACGCTCAGATGACGGGAATCGCTGCCATCGTTGGGCCGATGCACTCTCTGGACCGGCCTCATCGTCAGATGAGTTCACCCGATTTACATCATCCATAGAGCCGACATTTGCTTGAACCGAAGTCGAGTTCATCGCTGCCACATTCCGGCTCGTTTGGCCTTCGGGCGCATTATCCCTCATGTGGAATGTTGAAGACGCTCGCGAGATCAGCAAGGGCCGCATCGATGATCCGCCCATCGTGTCGCCGTCTCCCGTCATCAGATCCTCGGGCGAAGAGGTGGAGGAGACCGGTTCTTTGCCTGGTCTCTGAGTATCATCGCCAGATAGGGACGCATAACCCTCCACGTTTGACTCGCCCATGCCCCAGGTATTCTGTGCGTCAACGGACGGCGAGAGAAGATCTTCGTACGCAAAGGCTGTTCCAGTCACATGAGTGGATCGAGGCTGTGGCGCTGCGCCCTCCTGCCGATGGTTTCTCTGTGCGGGCGAGAGATCTCCACCAGTCATATTGCCTATCATTGACGGTTTTCTGAAAGAGCTCGGTCGAGGAGTCTCCTCAAGTGGCGAGATGAGGTTCGAAGACTGTCGCGTAGAATCGCCGCCGATCAACGGTTCCGCAGCTTCTAGACTCTCGATTGACGGGAATCTCGTATCGAAATTCGCCTCGCCACCATCGGTCGGTGCCGCAGAGTTAGGTGATCGGCTCAAGTTGGACACCCTTGGTGGCGAGGCGGTACGGGGTGCTCCGAACGTCACTGGGAACGATGCTGTGGGGGATGTTTTGCTAGAGGAGAACGAGTCTCCAAATCCGAGTCTACTTGAGCCGGATTTCGAGTCCTGCAATGGCGACTTCAGCGAGCCGAATGAATCGCTGAACCCGGACCCGGCTTTAGACGGCTGGAGACTGGCAGGCATTCCAAAGGCGTCAACTCTCCTAGCCGACGGGTTTAGAGCATCGCGCTCGCCAGTCACTTGGACCTTATTGACAGAGTACTGAGGCTCCGCGACGACCGCGGGACTCTGAGCTTGTGGCAAAGGTGGCGTGAAGCTTGTGGAGGGGTACGGCGACATTGCCGGTGGTCTGGGAAGTGCGCCAATAGTCTGAATCTGATTTTGACTAGGCTCTTTCGTGGGTCTCCCTCTCCTTTGCGGTTGTATATTGGGCATGAGGCTAGGTTGCGTCGGTTGAGAAGCTGTCTCGGACGGTGAAGTGAAGTCTAGTAGGTTTGCAGAATTCGATTCAGACTGGACAGGCGAACGAGTTTGAGGTGCGCCAGGGATAGATCTGGATGGAATAGGCTAGGGATCATCAGCTCAGGATGACCTCGGGGAGACTTGCATAATCTACGTATGGCCGAGTACCACTCATGTCATGGGCGACTCGGAGTACCTCAAATACTGTCGGCCGTCGACTTGGCTGTTCGACCAACATTGACGCTGAACAGAGATCAGTATAATCCGGTGAGGAACACTGACCAATCAGGTGTTGGACTTTTGGTGAATACACAGGGTATTGAGGAAATGTATACTTGGCGTTGACGATCGCCAACGTGCCATGATCCTCGAATGGCGTCGTATAGTAGCACAACTTGTAAAGCAAGACTCCCAGAGCCCACACGTCTAACCCAGGGTGAGTATTCACATCTCTTGCGTCCTGATCTCGCTCACCGCTCGGTAATCCGACAGCGTATCCGAGCATCGGTTCCACCATCTCAGGACTACGATATTGCAAAGTGGTGTGAGCGTCAAGGTCCATGGCAAGGGCGTCGGCTTCGATCTTTGAGGTCGGGGGACGAGAGGCAGGATACGTTGTAGATCCAAAATCACACAACTTGAACGTAAATGGAGAAGGTCGCTGCGGTAGCGGTGGACTGGAGGAGGGTGCAGCCAAGACATTTTCAATCTGATCCACCGTAAGCTTGGCCGAGGAGTAGCAGACACACCTTGAGATCACGGTGTACTAGTGGCTTGGGTAAAGCGTGCATGGCTGCGACTGCCTGAGGACCGCGTCAGATCGGCGACCCACACCTTTTGCCTACCTCGCAGACGTCCGTAAAGATGTTGAGGATCTCGATTTCCTTCAATCTATCCCTCAGCCTTCTGTTCAGCAGGTCAATAATTCCTCCGCCTATAAGTCGGTTAATTTCATCCCTTGTATCTCTGCTCACCCGCTGCAAATTCCATCAAGATGAAAACCTCGTGAGTTCCATCAGGCAGATCCTTGTGTGCTGAACCGAGATACTGGACAAGATAAGGGTTGACCGGCAAAGCTTTCTGCGAGTGGTCTAAGTATCCTGAGAGTGACTTTTAGCAACTAGACTCACCATGACTTCAATCTCCTTCTTGACCTCAATCCAGTACTTCTCATCTTGGAACGCTATCCTTTTCAAACACTGTTGAGTGTATCCTCTGCTGTCTCGCGAGTCCCGAGATCCAGACTTGACAGGCGGATATATCGGCTTGTCCGAGCTTGTCAGATAGACATGGGCATATCCACCCTCCGAGAGGTACTTTTCTATCCGGACGGAAGAATCTCCAATGACGACTATCTGACCAGGCGCAAGGGTCCCCTTGTGTCGTGCGGGGGGAAGTTGAGCGGGCTGCTGAGGATACGATCCTCCAGCTCCTGGTGGAGTTGGGAAGGCCATCTGTCTCTGAGCCTGCATTTGGGGAGATTGAGCAGCTTGAGAAGAGTAGCGCGGTGACGAATACCCATTGGACGAGGGTGGAGGCGGAGAAAAGGTGTAGGGCTGCCTCGAAGCGACAGAGATTGGGGCACGTCGATACGAATCATTGGGAGGAGGAGGTGAAGTGTAGCCGGAGGGGGGAGAAGCGTAGGCTGACCCCTGGTACATGTTGAATGCGAGATGAGGGTTCGAGAAAAGTAGATGCAAATAGATCTCAAGCCTCCAGGGGTTCTAACCTTGGCGCTGGGAAGGGCGGCTTGGACAATGGTGCTCGGGGGTTCAAGAGCGGTCGCAAGCCATAGGCGCGAGACACAGACTTGAATCGAGACTCTCAGACACTCTGCAAGTCTATGAACGGTTGTAAAGCCTGAGCAAATCCAAGTCTCTTCCACTTGACAGAAAGTGAATTCAATCGTCATTGAGTTCCGATTCCACAAAGCACGTGGGGAGGACCTCCGAGGCTCGGCATTGTTGGAGGAGCTGAAATGCTGATAATTATTAGCAGATCGTATGAGTAGCGCGTCTTGCTCTGCTTCACGACGTGACACATCGATCTAGGATGGGCGAGACCAGCATCAGAAGAGATGACAGAGTGACGGAGGAAACGACAGTGTTTGGCCTCATTCACGAGCTTCAGGAAACTATAACTCAGTCCATCGATACCGCCCTGTCTTGGGACCAGCTAAACTCCCCACCTATCAACTACACTCTGGTCAGACCGCTGGTCCATCGATTAGTACATGGCTCACATGAGCTGACTGAGGATGATGCTGGTCTCTCAGTCAATAATCCGATCACCGGGGAGGGATTCAAACGACCCCTTGCGAGCCAGCTTCTGTCCGTCTCTCGAGCGGATGGTGAAGAGTCTGGGAAGAGTGCGACTGGCAAGAGTCGATCAGTACATCGAGATCTGGTACCTCCAGGACGTAATTTGTTCGCTCTCATGACTAACAGGTGCGCTCAACAATGCTACAGGCTGAACGGATAGCTCATGCTCTCCTTAGACTCCAATTCCTCAACCTTTGTGCCGCGGATCTCAGTGCAGCACCACTGCAATCTTCTCGAGCGAATTTTTGCGAGCTTCTAGCGAGTGAGTCAGCCATGATCAAGCATTGATGTCCGAATAATCGACTTGTGCTGATGGTCTTCAGTGAAGATCCTCCGCGCTACATTCCATGACGGTGAAGAGGCGGAGTACGTCGGGGAGCTGGTCATGGCGTTCTCAGCGTTCGATGGAGCTCCCAGTGAAGTCATCAAGTCTCTCGGAGACGAGAAGGTTGAATTGGAGCATGTCAAAACCAGTGCTCTAGAGGTCAGTACATCGAGCTAAACCGACTACCGCATCACTGATATCCCATTTCCTCCAGCTTGCAATCGTATCCAAGGCCAAACACTTCCTGTCCCAATCCTTGATCCAGCACCTCATGAACGAGATATATCACGGCAACCTTGTCTATTCGCCTCACAACTCCTCGAAATTGATAGACGACTCGTACGTTTCTGAAAGGAATCGTGACCGTCGATCTCAATCAGCTTCACGTTCGCCTCGTTTCGGTCCTTCAGCTTCTCCTACTCGTCCAGGACACACCCCGATCACTGACCAGGCTTCGGGGCCTGTTCTGGAAGAACTCGCAGAAGTGTACATCTATGATCCTCATCGAGCAGGGTGGCTGGATCATCATCGACTCAGGGTGCCAAAGTGGAGGAAGTGGCTCGAGGTATTGGAATTCGCTATTCTGCTGGCGTTATTTGTAACGACTCTTGCTTGTAAGTGAAAAACTGAAAAGTCGACACAATAGATGCTGACTCTGCAGTCAAACGATTGGATCGACCGAATGTCGTTGAGATTGTCAACTTTGTGTATACCCTCGGCTTCATGCTGGACGAATTCGCAGCATCGAAAGAACATGGATGGACTGGTGTGCATTTCTGATTCCAGTAAGAGATGGATTTCACTCACCACCTCCCGACCAGTTTATTTAGCCAACGTGAGTACGAATCCCGGTGCATCAGGTTGAGCTGAGACACTTGTGTCCCAGGCGTGGAATGCCTTTGACATGACATACGTGAGTCGCACTGAGTTTCCAGTGCCCTGTGCTCACATCCCCTAGATTGCTATATTCGTTATGTACCTAGCTCTGCGGATATTTGCCCTTGTCTCACATTCTCCGCAAAGCTCGGAATTGGCATTTGACATCCTAGCGATCGGCGCATGTGTCCTCTTCCCGCGGCTCATGTTCTTCTTGATCAAGGACAACGTCGTCATACTCGCGGTGAGTCAACGCGGGTGGGCGCAATTGGAGAGATCTAATCTGTCTCTAGCTCAAAGCGATGATCGCTCGATTTATAGGGTTCATGGCGCTCGTCAGTGAGTGTTCTGGACGTCACTCTTGAGTCAACGTTCATCCAAGTCCCAGTCGTCGCTTTCAGCGGAATTTGCTTCTGTCTCTGGACCCTTGGCAGAGGGACTTGGACCGTCAAGCAGATTACCTGGCTCATGCTGTGAGTGTGGGCTCTCGATCAGCATGATTAGGATAGACGCTGATGATCCGGCAGACAGATTTGGGTGAGAGTGCTTGTCTCAGCAACACAAAGCGTCGCTGATTCCACCGCCACGCTCAGTTTGGATCTTCATACCTCGGTGAGGCGTACAACTCGATTCCACACGGACCGTATACTCATGAGGTATATGTAGGCTTTAGCGCGTCTGAGTCATTCCATCCCTTGTTTGGTCCCATCATTCTCATCTCATACGCGTAAGTCAGCTCGCGAGATGGTTTATGCCTCCATTCAACATGACTCAGGGCCCTATGTAACACTCTTCTCATCACTATCCTGATCTCCATCTTGTCAAACCAATTTGCGGAGATCAACGCGAATGCTCAAGAAGAGGTCAGATACATTTCTGCTCTCTGCAACGCGATATTGAATTGACGATCGCGGTAGCATCTCTATCAACGAGTAGTCAAGACTGTCGAGGGAGTGAAATCTGATTTTGTCTTTTCGTACCTTCCGCCTATCAATTTGGTTGCTTTCGTTCTTCTTGCGCCGCTCAGCAGAATATGCAAACCGCGGACGTTGCATCGCATCAACGTCTTTGCTATCCGATGTACAGTGAGTGATGCCGGTGCTTTTGCCGTAAGGCCCCCCGACGAATATACCTGCTGATAATCTGTCCACAGTCTTTTCCAATCCTGATGGCCATATCAGGATACGAGAGATGGTCTTACCGGTCCAAGCGTATTCACCTGTATGGTGGAATAGACCACTCTCACTCTCCAGGTTTCCTTGAGTGCGTCATTGATACCTGTGAAAGCGGTCGTGGTAGAGCTGACATCATCCTACAGTACATTCCTTGGACCTTCATCCGAAGCTCAACTTTTGTCAGTCTTTGAGTGTTTACCTCCAAAATCTTACGCTCGGTCGAGGTCCCCGGGAGCGCCGGAAACGTCAACAGCACGACCGCCGCAGCCTCGTGTGGACGGCTCGATCATTCAGGAGAGCCCACTTGCCAGACTCTTCGGTCATTTCCCGTCATTCGTGGACTCTGGCGGCGGAAGTTCTGACGCGAAGGGCAGGAATGAAACATCTCACAATCTCAAGGACGAGATCGAACAAGTCCGCGAGAGTCAGTTGAGGATCGAAGAGCTGTTGGCCAAATTCGTTTCCTCAACCAACGGGCAAAGCTAGTAGGAGGACGATCAAACCCAATATCGCCTTGCATCGACCAGTCGTCATGTAAGTCTATGTATCCCATGATCATATATACAACAACACGGCTGTGAATCACATCGAGCCTTATCTATTCCGTCAATAGTCAGGCCGCAGATACCTTGGCGTCCAATTTAGCCACATCGAAGCCCATGAATCCATTGGTCTTGATCGTACCGCGGTTCCAGACTGAGATGTAGGCCCAAATGGCCCATTTCTTGAGCCACCAGCCCCAACCCTCCGGATCTGACCTCTTCTTCAAATTCTCGCCCATCTTGGCTGACATTTTTCTCACCCCGTCCAAACGAACCGCTCTGATCTTTTCGAAGTGCTTGAAAATCGCTTCCGGACCTTTAGCCCAGTTCTCCTCGTCACCCAGCAGTCTACCCAAGAATGCAGCGTCCTCAAAGGCCATAGCTGTGCCTTGACCGTTTGGTGGCATGGCATGAGCAGCATCGCCGATCAAGCCGACTCTTCCACGAGACCATGCGGGCAAGATGGGAAGGCGGAATGGGACCCAAAGCTGTACATGTTTTTCGTCCATATTGTCCAAGAGAGATCGGATGGGTTCCGTCTTGATATTCGCGTAATCCTCTCTAGCGAGGCGAGCAGCTTCGCCTGAACGTTTGAACTCTTCCCATCCCTCGCGACCTTTGTCTGCGGTAACGGTTGTATTGACTCCCCAAGCCACCTTGTCACCTTTGGGCCCGACTAGAAAGGCACCGAGAAAGCCGGAAGGAGAGATAATCGTCGCTGGAAACTCGTAGTCTGGTCGAGGAGTGATGACTGTTGATCGAGGGACAAAGCCATTGACAACGATGGTCTTGCTGAACTCTGGGATTGGCGCTTTATCCAGTAGGACGTGTTTACGAGCTTGCGAGTGAATACCGTCTGCACCGATGAGAATGTCTCCTATGCCACCGTCTCGTCAGCAGTTTACTCGCCCCCCCCCCACCCCCCCCCCCCCCCCGGGACCGTGAAATCACCCTCAAACTTACCGTTCACTTGTGTTCCATCTTCAAATTCCACGTTGACTCCCTTTGAATCCTGCTTGATTTCTTTTGCCTTCTTCCCGAATAGGGTCTCCACGCCTCGAGCCTTGCACTCTTCCAGTAGAAGCTTGTGCAGCTCAGTTCGCATGATCCTAACGGCTGCAAATCCGTCCTTCTTCTCGTCTCCAACCTGAAGAGTTCCGTAAAAGTACCCCGAATCGTCGTTCATTCCCATGCGCTCATAGACGTATCCCAAGGCTTTGACTTTTGGATAGATCTCCTGACCGCCACAGACCGACAGCGCACTCAAAGCGTTCGCCGCAAGCGTGATGGATCCACCGCTCTGTTGAGGACTGGGACGGATCTCAAAGACAGTCGCTCTGATACCTTGCCTGGCGAGTGACAAAGCGAGAGCTGGTCCACCGATCCCAGCTCCCATGATGAGGACATGATTCGGCGGCATGGCAAGGGTGGGTGTGCGTTGGTAATTATGGGATGATGTCAGGAGCCTTGGCGAGTCGGCAAGTCTTGGGCTGGCTAATTTTCTGTGTCGTCGACTTCAAGGCGTGTCCACAAGGACCAAAAGGGGGGGAGTCTGGTCCTTTTATAATATTGTATGATCCCCACTCGGTACCGAGGTCACCAACGTGGTCATCCACGTCTCGGGCAAATCTCGATGATCGAGAGTGTTTTGGAATCTGAGTCCCTTCCCCGACGCATCGTATAGGCTAACTTCCCCTTCTTCCCTTCCCTTCCCCTGCCCTTGCTCCTGTGATCTCGGTGTATATCTCGACGGTACCACTTGGTAACCATTCTCCGAGATGCATTCCAAACAAACTACGTCATCGCCGAAGTCCCCGAAAATCTATGGATGATCATTGTTAGAATGTAATTGTTCAGACATCCTAATCCTGTCCTTTCGATGCAAGGCTTATCGACCGTCCTGGGAGTGGGCATAGACATTGTGTCATTGCCTAGGATCCAAGAGGTGATTCGGAGACGAGGAGCGGATGCATTCGTGAAGAAGATTTGCTCCAGTGCAGAGTTGGACGCTTGGAAGAGCAAGGCAAGGGGTGATGCAGATCAACTCCGGTTCCTCAGTTCCAGGCGAGTCCAGTGTACCGTCGTTCGTCGTCGTCTTGGTAATGGGATCTGACGCGTTCCTTACAATAGGTGGGCGGTCAAAGAAGCTGCTCATAAAGCTTTGTCGGGAACACATCGGCCTGATTCTGGTTTATCGCTTAAATCTTACTCGTTGAGTCACGGACCAAATGGAGCACCTCTCCTTTCCCTCCATCCTGCTAGTTCCGTCCATATCCTCGCTCCCTCGGTTTCTAGGCAATACCTCGAATCAAATCTGTACCCGCCGACTCTGACATTGACGTTGCTACCCAGTATCAGTCATGACGCAGGACTAGTCACGGCCATCGTGATTGCTGGACTAAAGGAAAGTGATTAGAAGCACCTTTCAAAACAATCTCAGAGGCAGTCGTTTGGCGTTCTTGCGCAGAGGGCTCTGTGAACGATGCAACATCGAGGCGCGCATAACAGCGAGGTCGAAGCCAGATTTAGACACAACAACACTCCCCAGCTCAAGCAACACGGTCCACACACCACTGCCCGCTGCATTCAAAGGTTCCGCAAGAGACCGCACCTACAGACGAGTTGGCATGCACGCATATGGGTAGAGAGAGGGGCAAGAAGAGGGGGATCAAGACGCGCAGGGATCTATTCGGGCTATATAGAGTCAACAGAGCACCTGGCTAGACTATCAGTAGCGTCGATAGCCTGATGAAGCGCGTGTCAGTTTTGTGCGCATGCTGTTAGAGTGATCGCCTCACCATGTCCTAGAGGAGTTGGAGACTGGGCTCGTTGACTGTATTGCCCTTGTGTTTGCTGCTGCTGCTGCATCATACGCTCATGCGTGTGATTCCCACCAAAAGCATGAACTGGCGATTGGGCACTCGGTTGACCATGATGGTTCGTCGAAGCCATCTGTCTTCGGCCATGAGTCAGGTAAGCATCTTCAACACTTTGTGCGAAGTGTTGATGTCCCTGAGGCTGCTGCTCTTGCACATTGCTATCGAACTTTCTCGCGATCCCAAGGTTCGGCAGCATGCCATTACTGAACTCGTGTTCTCGATGTGATCGACCTTGAGCGTGTTGCTGCGGCTGCTGCTGCTGTTGGTGGTGGTGGTGGTGCTGCTGCTGCTGAGAAGGACCCTGCCATCGAGGATCGAAAGCCAAATTGGCTCCGCCTCGACCTGATCCCGGTCCAGATCCCCAAGCTCCATCGGGATCTCCGAATCCTCCGTACCCCGAGCTCGGCGCGTTGCTCGTCCCTGTCATTTGTGGACCCAGACCATGGTGAGGTCTATGACTCTCCCCGACACTGGACAGACTGCCTTTGCCCCACATGCTCGCTTCTCCAGGCCGGTCATCCGTTCCCATACGGAGAGCGAATGGACTCTGATCCCTCGATATCGAGGGTCGACTGGAAGGCCGGGCAAAGTCGAATCGGGATGTTGTGCGTTTCCCTTCAGCCGGCTCCTCAGAATGTGAGTTGGACGGTCCCGCCAGAGCTTCGGGAATGACTTCTGACGAAGCATCGAATGGTGAGAAAAGTCCAGAGACACCATTGATCTCGGTTCTCGGCGGTGGTGAAGGATCTAACACGTCCGGAGCTAGAATTCCAAGTTGAGCCAGACCAAAGAGAGTCTTGCCAAAAGCTGATGGGGTGTAATCGAATTCCTGAGCCTGTCGTTGTGTCTCTTCGTCGATGCTGAGAACGAATTCGAATGCCGGGTCCGAAGCGGGAAACGGAAACATCCGAGGTTCCTCGTATGGCGAATGAATGCAGATGGGATCGGAAGTAAGTGGGGGCGGTAGTGGTGGACCATCTGTGAGACGTGACGGTGTCTGAGGTGCTGGACTACTAGACGACGGTCCAGCTTCTGACTCTGCCGAAACAGAACCATCCTGTAAATCGTCCGGGAGCTGGGAATCGCCTTGGGTATCCAGAGCTGGTCTAAGCAGACCAGGCGGTGGTCCAGCTTTGGAGTTGGGGAGTGGTATCGGAGTGATTTGATTGGTCAAAGCTGTCGGAGCTAGAGGGAGGTTCTTCCTCTTTGGCGACGTGTGAGCGCTGCTCGTGTTCCCAGATTGCGTAGAATCTGAACTCTTGCCGCGGGCCATCTTGGTGGAAGACGCTTTGCTCCGTTTATCTTTCGGAGCAGGATTGACAGGTGACGGTGTGGGGAGAGGAAAAGCGGCATTGTTATTGAGTGATAAAGCGACAGAAGGCGTTTTGACGGGACGAGAAGAGCCAATAGGAGCAGCAGCGGTCATTTTGCCATTCGCGACGGGCCGAGCCACCGCGCCTTTCGCCCATCCTGCAGAATTCGGCAGACCAGAGGCTGACAGTAGTCAGTACATAATCAGGCCAATGCGCAATCCGGCCTCACCACCGATGACATCCTCCAACGTTGCTGGTTTCGAGATTGGCGCTGTTTTACTTAATGACGATGCTCTAGCTCGAGCTTCCTGTTGTCTGGCATCATACTCTGCCGGCCGAGTGAGACTGAAAAGCAAGCGTCAGCGTTTATCACTGAGATCAGACCAAACACCTACGCGATCTCCATGTCATCCTTTGTAAAGCAATCACTGTCACCTCCCCACTCGTGCAGATTTTGGCAAGAAGGATTGTCACACTTCTGACCTTTGAGAAAGGCGTCGCAGTACCGACAAGTCGCATAGGTGGCTTTCAATGTGCGTCCTGGCGGTCCTTGCGGAGCGGCTATTCCATCCAGAGCTGATATAGCTCTCGCCGCGTCTTCTCGCCTGACGTAGACAATGTATATGCCTGTCGATGTGGATGGGTCATCGGGTGTCAGGGTATGCACGGCTGTAGAGGAGAGTGTCGTCCGATCACGAAGGTATATCCGACTGATTTTGCCATATTGACCAAAGTAGTCGCCTGAACGCAATATCGGTATAGACTGGAGAGCATCAATTCGAAAGTCTACTTGATCAGGTGATAAGCTGAACTCACCTCATCGCCCGGCGCTGGTAATTTCATGCCGACGACATACACTGTGTTCTTCATGACTATTCTGACGTTGAGTAAATGCCTTCGGCCCATACTCGTCAACTGCTTGATCGTCTTGGCTCTCCGGGTCTTCTTCTCTTTTGCCCGTTTGACCCTGAGCACAAGGTATGAGCACGATTGTCACGAAAGGTGCAAAACTCACTCGTCCCAGTCGACGGGCTGAAAGACGACCGCCTTGGCATCATATGGTCTCCTACAGCCTGGACAACGAGCATCGGATCCCAGCAGTTTGTTGTAACAAAACTGACAGATCTGAACATGAAAGATGAGGATCAGTACGAATAAGGAACACACGCATGCATGGCATGCATGGCGAACGGTCCAACTCACCTGCATACCACATTGACATGGTTTGAAGTTCAAATCTGAAAGATCCAGCGGCTCTGCACAGAGCAGACAGTCCGGGTCGTCCTTAAGGGATCGATATATCAGCAACGATTCTCGCGACGGGTCGGAAGAGGCAGCTTTCGGAAAGACAGCTCCGACCTTGGAAAGTGATCTCCTCCGTTATGACCTCTCAGATCCATTCTGACCTCGAGGTTTCTCCGTTGATCGTTTCTACTCACCTCGTCATCAGACCATACGACATCCTGAAGACCCTTCAAAGTGTCTCGACTGACACCTCCGACGGATCCGCTGGCGACATTTCCGGAAGTTGACGAAACTCTGACGCCCCCTAAACTCGCCAGAGGTTGTTGGCCAGTGGTTGGGTTCACAGGTAAAGGATGTATGGAGCTGCTGGGCATGGCTGAGGTGGAAGTACGAAGTGAAATTCGCGTCGGAATGCAGACCTCAAGGGGGATACAGCTTCAATGCCTTGCAAAGCGCGGAGACAGGTGGTCCAGGATGGTGTGGGTACGGGCGGCGTGATCGTGACCTGTTTCTCCTGTCTTTCCTGGGCCGGGACGAAAGCCGAGACGACGATGACCAGAAGGTGAGGCCGGGAGGTGGGTATGCTTCAAATCAAAAATGCTCAAGAGAGAGCTTCACACATGATCAACCTATAACAGCAGCAACTTCCCATTTTTGATCCAAGGAAGGGGCACGAGAGAGGGAGGGACGGAATCAAATTTTAAGGAGCTTTCAATTTGCCACCCAAATCACCAAAAGCTCACACTCGAAGGAAGGTTCTTGCATCACCCTTTGTGCGTACACGACAGCATGTCCGACCTCAAGACGTACCTCGCTTCAAGGTACATGTCTGGGCCGAAAGCTGATGCGATTCTTGCTCGCTCAACGGATCCCAGTGTCAAGAAGAAGAGGAAGAAGATCAAGAATGAAGATTATATCGGAGGATCGTCCGTTCGACCAGGCGAAAGCAGCAGCGGCGCAATCGTGGCTTCAGGTTTAGGGATAAGAGATGAGGATGAATGGCGGACTAGAGATGATGATGAGATTGATTTCGATGGGGAGGATGCGCCGGGTGAGTGACGTTACATACTTTGTACATCTTGACGGGGTTCGCGAGCCTAGCTGACTCTTACCTGTAGTCCTTGGTAAAGACATTGCTACATTTAAAAAGTCGAAGAATCAATGGGCTACGGTTGGAGCGTCAACGATACCTGTCGCTGGACCTTCGCGTACGAATGGGACTTCTGGTGACGATTCAATGACAGAAGTCAAACAGGAACCGATGGATGAACCTGGCACAGCGACTGCTGCAGCTGCATTACCCGCCGTTCAGATGACCAAACGTCGTGGAGGATTAAGGACAGCAGCCCAACTCAGAGAAGAGGAAGAAGCGCTTCAGGCTGCTGAGAGATCGCCTTCACCCATCGACGAGAAGCCTGGGGAGAGCAGCTCAGGTGCTGGAGCTCGACCGGACCCGACTCAAACCATTCATCGTGATGCTTCTGGTCGGATCATAGACGTGGAGAAACTCAAGGAAGAGGAGAAAAAGAGAGTCGAAGAGGAGAAGAGGAAAGAGAGGGAGAAAGAGGAATGGACAAAAGGTATGACACAGAGGAAGGAGAGGGAAGAGAGGGCGAGAGAAGAGTTGGAGATGAGGGACAAGGATGTCTCGAGGTGAGGATTCCACATTGCTTGAAAACCCATGCGATCACAGCTGAAGAAGCGGTGACAGGTTCGCGGACGATGCCAAAATGAACAAGGAGTTGAAAGAAGTAGAGCGATGGAATGATCCAGCCTCAGAGTTCTTAACTGTGAGAGTAGAGCCTCTTTAGATGGGACCTAAGCTGACGCTCAATGATCCCTATAGAAAAAGAAGAAGAAGCAAAAAGGTCCTAGGAGACCAAAGTGTCAATTCTCAATGATCCCCAACCGATTTAATATAGCTCCAGGGTTCAGATGGGACGGTGTAGGTGAGTTTGAAACGTCTACCTGTCGTGGCTCGACCTTTACCAAGCTTATCCGCGTATAGATCGTAGCAATGGATTCGAAAAGAAATTCTTCCAGTATCAAAATGCTGCCGCAAGGCGGACTTATGAGAGCAATCAATGGAGCATGGAGGATATGTAAGGGTGGAGCGAGTATGTGTCGGGCAATAGTAAGGGCATAGAATGCGTGGCGGATCGAGCGGGCTAGAGACGAAGGTAAAAGCATTCATGAATTTTACGCCTCACGAGCAAGAATGCGATGAGAGCTATGTGACATGTTCTGCTCCTTTCATCACAAGGAGACCACTGCTGGGCAAGTTGCTGAGCCAAGCACGGCTGAATCGTCTTGGAATCTGTTAATATCCTATCCTGCCTGGCGCCCATGAAAACACTACTGCTGAGCCAGATAATTGCCAATGCGTCCTATTTTCTCCGATTTTATCCCAATGACCCGCTTCTCATCCCTTTCCTTTCCTCCTGCCATCTTCAGTGACCCAGTTTTTTGGGAGATTCGATATCGCTCAGGCTGCTGCTACTGCTTTACTGGCCTCATCAAGGGTCTTTCTCACTTCTTGCCTCAAATAGTCTCTTCTCCTCTTCCTTTTCCCCTTCTTGTGACTTCTCGACCATCCCCACTCCGATGCTGCCTTCCCTCGCTCGAGTAGTCCTCCGTTCAAGGGCTCCGGTCGTATCTGCGAGACATGTCGGACCGGTAGCGACTAGACTGATGAGTGAGTGACATGTCTATGGAACAAGCTTCTATGTGCGGACAAGAGCACATGGTGGACCAGGAGAGGGTCACCCTACCAAGCTATCTCTGTCCAACGAAGACTTTGCATACTCTTCCTGGCAAGCTTTCCTCGACGGACTTCTAGCCTCGCGAACATGAACTTCGCTCGCTGACGCTCGTCTATTGCTCTCTCAGCCGTCCGATTCGCCTCTGGATCTGGCTCTCACCCACATGAAACGGAATCGTTCGAGCAGTTCAACGCACGATACGCAGGTTTTTTTGAATCATGCAATGACCTGTTTGAACTTCAACGAGGATTGAACAACTGTTTCGCATACGATCTCGTCCCTACAGTCGAAGTCATCCAAGCCGCTTTGAAATGTGCCAGAAAGGTTAACGATTACGCTACGGCCGTCAGAATTCTGGAAGGTCTTTCGGTCAAGGTTGAGAACAAGGGACAGTATCAGCAGTATTTGGACGAGTTGAAACCTTTGCTTGAGGAATTGGGTAAGTGAGCGAGCGAGCGAGCGTTGGTCGGGAGACCCTCGAGGATCCTCGCATCCTGAGCAGAACAAGCGGCTTCACTTCATGATCCCTCAAACCCCAAACCTACCAGAAGTTCTTTTCCGTGCTGTGCTGCCCTTCCTCTTGTTCCCCCTGGCCGCAACCCTTGCTGACCCTATACCCCACAGGTATCAACAGCAAGGAGGATCTCTACGGTCAAAAGTCATAAGCGTCAAACCATGGTTGATCGCTAGAAGTAATGTGAAATATGGTTCAAGGTCAAATACCTCCTAACCCTCTGGCATGCATCAACAGTAGCATTAACCAGCGCAGTCTTGGCCCATGGTAGCTCAAACCGTCTTTACTGACTGAACCTCCGAACCAGATGCGCTAATTTTACCAGCTCCTCTTTCGCTCGAGTTCTCATCCGCATTTCACATGCATGTTCTCTCAGCAGAGGAGATGGGTATCGAGCAAAAGATAAGATTGGCAAAAATGTCCATTTCAAGACAAGCGCTGCGCCTCCCATCTTCCACTCGAATGGACCCCTCTCCAGCCTTCGTCCACGAGCCTACCATACACGCTCGTCAGCGTGAAGACTCGAGACACTTCCCCCTCCTCCTCTTCTCCATCTCCGTTCAGTCAAAAGTCGAGAACGTAAAGAATACAGCAGAAAACCTTGGGCTCGCCCATCGGATCGAGTACGAATCGACCTCGTCAAGTCTGTTCAAGCTCGGTTGATCGAATGAAATTGGGCGTCGGAAGACTGGGCAGCTTTGGCTTCATCGACTAATTGATGGAAGGGATCAGCAACTGTCCAGACCACGATTGAGAGTCATGGACGAGGCTACTCACACTCTTTAGCAGATTTGACATCTTCCCATCCGGTGACGGGCTGTCCGTTGGCATCGACGACTTGGTTGGTCTCGGTATTGAAAGCTGAGTGAGGCGGAGAACGCGGGGTTTTCGGTGTAACGAATAGGATGCGAAGACAGATCAGAGTGTGGGAGGACATGGCATGGATTACAGATGAGTATGGTGAAGGGGAGGAGAGACCAGTAAGCAGGCAGGCAGGCAGGTAAGCAGTCGTCAGCTGCTAAGCTTCTGTGGGGGAGGATCCCAAGTCGTCACACTGGTACCGGCCAGGAGCAAGACTCACTAGCACCCTCGGGGAGTTGAGGCAACTTGGAGTAATCAGCCATGTTGAAAGGTAAGATATGCGCTTGTAGAGATAAACTGTTAAGAAATGCAGGAATGTTCAAGTGCGAGAGACCAAGTGATATGTAGAGAAAGACGATGCACAGATAAATGACAGCCTTATATACCTTTTTGACACCCTCTACATCAAGGCGTCCGCGGCGGTCTACGGTGCATGTCCTGCTTTGTGGAGCCAGACAATCTAGCGCATTCTACACTGCCCCCAAGTAGGTCCATAGTCCACGAAGACAAAGGAGAGAGAAAGAGAGAGAGGGTAAGTCAAAGGAGGATCGAGCTAGTATGCAACAAGGGGTCATTACGTTGCAAGGGGGTATGAGGAAACATCTTGGATGAGTGCTGCGCAGCGCCTATCTGAAGTCGACTAGATTGAGAACGAGTACTATCCGTTGGAATCACAGCACGCTTCAAGGGATGAGCGGTCACAGGATGGCATGGCATGGGATGGGCGATGAGTTGGATCAACTGGCACCTTTACACTCAGTGCATATCCAGGCGGGCTGGGAAGATCGAGCGTGGGGGATTGAGACGCTTGGGAACAAGATAGAGGCTGTGAACATCCTTTGAGCTTGTAGATGATGCTGTTGTTTCGTCGAGCGCTCTAATCGAAGCTGTCCAGCTTACCACTTTGATAAGCAAGGATGGCTGTTTCAGGATCCGTTCCGGCTCGGATCAGGTATCTTCATCCGTAAGATGAGCACCAACCGGGGAAGGATGATCCGATCCAATTCCAAATACGATCAGCATGAGTAGTCAGTCATCCCATAGCGCAGGGAGATAGTCAGCCAACCTGTTGAAATCGGCATTTGCCTGCGATAACCGCCGCCCCACTTGAGATCCATATATCATTCATGTACATTGATTATACCTGTCGAGCCAGCCCGCTCGACTCTGCTTCAGCCTTTTGGCTGCTTTGGCTCCACATGGCGTGTATCAGCTTCGGCCCAAGAATCGACCAAGCTGCCAATGATCCAGACGTTGATCATGAAGAACACTAAACCACTCGCCCACAATTGGAGATGGACACTTTGAGCGAGGAATTCGAGTCTATACGCCGTGGATAGCCATAAAGCCTGTCCACCGACCCAAGCGCTGAGAAGGACAGCCGTGCGTCTGGCGCTCAAACGAAGATGGGGTATGACGGATGGCAGAAGCGGGATAAACCATGTAAAGTACTGCATGATTTATGAATAAGGTCATCGCCGTTCGCCTAGCTTTAGAGCTAGGATTGGGGCTCACCTGGGACGTGCAAACTTTGTTGAATGCTATGAATGTCACGGTCTGTAGGAAGATTGCGAACTCCAGACTTGTCTTCTGAGTAAGATAGAGACCGATGAACGTGGCCAGACCCATCTGCGGTACAAACGAAGCGAGCGGATGTTGTGAGAATGCCGAGAGGGCGGACAGTATGGAGGAAGAAGTTGGGGTAGACATGCTCGATTCTGAAATGGACAGATAGATGGGATAGTAGTATGGGGAAAAGTTGTGTCTATGGTCGAGTCTTGATAAGTGATACAGAAAAGTCTGGTCGAGAAACGGCTGACCCCAGCTGAATGCGAACGAATGATGAGCTATCTTTCACTACGAAAGAACGAGAGGTAGCTCACATAGACCATAGAGGCAGATTGATCACCAGCATGCTGAACAATGTCCACGTTCCAAAGAGCCAGATCTCTGAGGCGAACCATCCTCGATGCCTCTTGGCGAGATGTGCCCAAATGGCCGGAGCATAGATGACAGGGTAGATCTTCCAGCTAATAGAGCTGGCGTAAAGCAGCGCAGCGACCTTTTCCCAGCGTGACGAGGGGTTCTCTCGCTGTTTAAATGTGGTGACACTGTTCTGCACAAGCGCCGAAACGGTACAGATGACTAAGAGGACGATGATTGCTTCTGGAGATCCTCGTGTGGTGATGTTCACGACTAGTGGGTTGAGCGTCCACAGTGCATGGACTAGGCCCTTGCTTGGACGACAGTGGGATGGTCGAGAGAGCAGTACGACGGGAATTGACAACGACAAAAGTGTCAGGAACGCCTTTCCCAGGAGAGGATGTATCAGAGCTGGCGATAGAACAAGAGGTAGCAGTGGAGTGTATCGGAACGTCTGTCGAGCGTACGGACTGCCGAGAAACCTCGAGCATGAGCAAGAGGACATGAAGGAGGTCACCCTCAAAACCCAAAAAAAAAGTCGACTCACTCCCCGATCTTGAGATTCAGAGCATCAACTATCCATCCCTGTGCTCTTGCTGGGTCACCATCGTCTACGCTCCTCCCCCTCCTTCTCCCTCCATTGACTATCAGCCTCGCACCGTCAATGACGACCCTCCAATCTACATCGGTGTATTTGAGTCCACCAAATTGCTCAGGATGAGAATCGACATGGTGAGCGTAGAGGATCAATACGAGATGGATGAAGAGGGAGAGTGTCAGGATAGATAGGTTAGATGAGAAGCGCATCAGATCATGATGAGTTTGAGCAGTGTTGAAGCCCGATCCGACCTCATCGGATCCGACCTGTTCGGATAGCTAGCTGGTCTCCCACGGTGATCCTCAGCCGGATGAAACATGTGAGCCACGTGGATGTGGCACTCAAGGGGTTAAAAATTGTTTCACAAGGGCGTGCCAAAGGTAAAAGGGGGGGTCAGGGGCTGAGGGTCAGACCCACCCAGAAGAAGAGAGAAAAAACAAAAAGGAAAATCAAAACATCATCAACGAAAAAAAGTCGCGCGCCTCAAAGAGATCAACAACCAACATCTCCTTCTCTCTTCTCATCCGCCCCCCAACGCTCTCTCTCTCTCTCTATGCCGCATGCATAATGACTATTGGTGGCGGCATCGCCCTGGTGCTCAAAGTCCCTCCTCCTCCTCCTCCTCTTCAACGCTGTTGCAGCCCTTATGTCTGTGTGTTGATGCCCCTTTGCCAAGAATAGCCACAATGAAACGTAGGGAGATAGAGTGAGAGTGGTATTCGGGCGGGAGTATGATGCCACTAGGCCAGAACGTTTGGACTTTTCTATACTGCCCTTCAACTCTCTCTCTTTCTCATTCATCCATTCATTCATTCATCCACTCGCATACCCAAGTACCAGCTAGACTGCTGTGTATCATCACCTTGGACATCCTCACGACTTGCGTCCCTCCAGACCGACGACCAACGACCAACTCATTCACACTCGTTTGACACGACTCTCAAAAGCATCATCGCACCGGAGTCCTCGAGAGTCCTCGGCTGCGCAAACCCATTGTAACGAATTTCACCAATCATCTCACCCCCGAGGAAACAGACCACATAGACAGGTACAACGAACGAAAAGGTCTAGATCTCATTTCGCACACATCATGACCCACTTGATCAACCTATTGCCCACGCTGGCACTGTTGGCCATGGGTTTGACGGGTCTGGAGAACGCTCCGGTGAGTGAGCAAGGACTGAAGGATGTGGGCGATCGGGCCTCCAGTCACAGGGGGGATCCTCCACAACGCAGCCTATCACAGACTCGAGCGGTATCTGACTGACACTGCGCTCGACGCCCTTTTCAGACCACCGCCCTCGCCCACGTTCAGCGCTCACCTCAAGACCTTCACCGACACCTTGCCACTAGACAACGTCTGACCGGTAACATTGGCGCCAAGGAGAGACGAAAGGGATCCATTCGTCAGAGCAAACGAGGCGCAACCTGTCGACCCCGAGTAGACGCGGCAGCATCTGCTCTCGTCTCGGCCGCCGAGTCTCCCTCTGCGTCCCCCGTTCCGGCCTCTGCGTCCCCTTCGCCCTCTGCCACCCAGGTTGCATCTGCGGCTGCACAGAATGTCAACGTCAACGCTGCCGTTCAATCGCCTTCACCTACTCAAGCTCCTGCAGCTTCGACCGCAGCATCGTCTGCTGATTCTGCTGCTTCCACTGGATCCAACGGCAACCTCTTTGCTATCGGGGCAAGTGTCGCCGTCTCCATCGGCGCCTCCCCCTCTCAAGGTGTGAGCGTTGGGGTTAGCGTTGGAGTCGGTGGTAATGCCGGAGTGACTGGCGGATGGAAGAATCAAGGATCTAAATTTGGAGCTGCATGGCCGAACGGAAATTGGGCTCAAAGCACTGATCCAAACTACGTCGGGAACTATATCGGATCTAGAACGGCATGGTACTACACCTGGTCACCTTCGAACGTTGGATCAGCAGACTCCCTCGGATTAGAGTTCGTGCCCATGCTTTGGGGTCCAGCTCAGGTCTCTGATTTCTGGAGCACTCAAGGATCTTGGCCTTCGTCCGTCAAGAATGCTCTGTTCTTCAACGAACCCAACGAGGTATCTCAATGTAATATCGATGCTGGAAGCTCTGTCCAATACTGGATGAACGAAATGGTACCCTTGAGAAGCAACAAGGGAATCGCTATCGGTGGTGCGGCAACGACAAACGCCCCTAGTGGGTTGCAATGGGTACAGGATATCATCTCGTTGTGTCAGCAGGATGGAAATTCGCAGGCGGATTGCACGCCAGAGTGAGTCCCTAGATTGGAGAAACGAGGCGAAATCCGACGCGCATCGCATCCTATTCCTGACTCTTGACTGACATGACATCTTCCAAGCTTCGTGCCCATCCACTGGTACAGTACCGACCTGAACGAATTCCAACAGTACGTCCAAAACTTTAACCAACAGACCGGACTAGACATCTGGGTCACCGAAGTGGGTCAACATTCTTTGATCTCCGGAGCTGCGCTGACAACCACGCGTCTCAGTATGCTTGTCAATCATTCACTGATGCTCCTCAATGCGACAACGGACAGAGTGAGTGGCTTGCGACCGTCCATCGTTGCACTACAGCTAAACCGCCTCGTGTTTTTTCAGCCTGGCAATTGCACCAAGCCATGGCTGCTTGGTTCGACACGCAAGACTATGTCAAGCGATACTCTCCCTTCGGTATGATGGAGAACATGCAAGGCGTGAATCAAGACAACGCGTTGATGAACCCAAGTGGTTCCATCACGGATCTCGGAAGCTGGGTGAGTGGCATCGGGAACATCGTCTACCATCTGCAGTTTTTTGCGCCTCGATATCGTCCGCGGAAAATGTCTAGGCTGACACTCCCGTCTCACAGTATATCTGGAGTGCCTAGAGAACCACTCCATGACACCTTTCTTTCGTCCAGCCTTGCCTTGCCTTTCTTTCGTCTTTGCTTCTTGCCGTTTATTTTTCTTCTCGCTCTCTCGTAGATCTTTCTCTGTTTTCCAAGCATCTTATCATACCCATAACCATATCCGCTCTCATCTCTTTGGACCATCTCTCCATACCATGCCCTCTTTTTCAAGAACCCCTATACCATATTTTGCTGTCTCTTTTGAAATGCAACTCAGAACCCCAGGTGGGACCCGCCGAGTAGATATCAATAGATCTTGCCAGTCGCAGCTGCGTTTCATTAAAAGGCGAAAAACACTAATGATCGGTTCATTTGTTCTATTGGAATCAGCGACAATAACCCCGTGGCGATGACATCATTATCTCAATGAACGCCCCTTCGGGGGGGGAGAAGCAAGGCGCAGCCCACCGCCGTCAACGGCTTGGCGCAGTATGGATGATAATATTTTTCATTTGATGCTGTGCTCCACTCTATTCAGTGACGATCGTTCTAGGGCGCCGCCGCTGTCTGACATCAGATCTTATTTATATATATATATATTATATCCTTCTCTACCTCGTCCTGTTCGATCTCGACAACTGGTGACCATCTGAGACCATTAGGAGGATCCAGAGACAAAGGACAAGGTCAAACCTTTCTTCTCTCTCTCTCTAGAGGCCAAGACATCGCAGATACCTCGTTTACAACAAACGCTCACTAGCTTTTCTCTGCTCAACACCCATCTACTTGACTCCCATCATGCTGCTATCGCTCGCTCTTGTCGCTCTGGCAGGACTCTTACCATCAGTATCAGCTTATGGATACTGCGGTTACGGCTATTACAGTAAGTCGTCAAGGGAGTGCGAAGATTGTAGGTGGCTGATCCGTCTCTAGATGACTATGACTGTAACAATGGTCTATCCATCGGTGCAAGAATCGGCATAGGTAAGTTCACCATTGGCCAACCTCGCGGGGCTAGCTGACCGACCTCACAGGTATCGGTATCGCCGTCGGTGTCCTCTTGCTCTTTGCCCTATGTTCATACTGGCGAAGAAAGTGAGTTATCCCCAACCTTTTATCGCCACCGGCGAAAGCGATGCTCATGCTCCTCCTCAGGCAACTCCGCAGACAATTCAACAAATATCGTCCCCCGACCTTGCCATTTACCAATAACAACAATAGCAACAATAACAACAGCTCCAACCCATACGCCAACAACCCTCCTCCCCCTGCTCAGGCTGGATCATATTATGCCAACGGCAATCAAGGTAGCAATTGGCAGAACAACCAATACGGCAACAACCCTCCCCCACCTGCCAATGTCTATCAACCCAGTATGGCTGGAGCCTATGGCTCTGGTGCAAAAGAAATGTCGAGCACCGGTGGACGCGTGACTACGCCTGCGGCACAGGGGCATGAACACGGATACGAGTGGGAGCAGGCGAGGGAAGCTGAGAGACAGGAGAGGGAGCAAGCGAATGTGCAGTCGCCTCCCGGCTACGACGTCGCATCGAGTGAGTCGGCCAACAACCTCTCTCACACTGAGTCTTGCTAATGGATGTTCAGACACCACCGGATCAACCCACTACGCTCCACCTTCTGGTCCACCTCCTAAGCGGGATCAATAAGTTGTGACATTGGTAGATCAGGAACAGCAAGAGTGCAAACATAATACGGTTGTCAAGAGGGGTGTCAGCAGAGAATCCAGAACAGACAGTGTAACAATATCAACTAGACACGCAGAACGAAGAGAGAGCAAGATTATAGTTTCATGCAAGGTGTAAAAACGCTGTCACATTTCCTCAGATTCTGTGCTGCTGCGCACCAAAAGCTCCTCTAAAGAACTCCAATCTAGGCCGCATGCTATGCTCATCGTACTCCGGTAAGAGCTGCGTCGCAAACACAGTTGAGATACCTAGATGAAGATTTGTCGCCCATGCGACGTTGGCCATCCCATCCCATGTCAATGTCCCAGCCGGAACATTCTGTCCATCTTCAGTGACCAGCATAACGCCAGCAAGGCTATAGTTGACGGCCGTGGCGTCCTTCAGCTCCAACTGCTTTGCAAATTCTCCTGCTTGAGCTCTGAACCCCTCGAGGGCCTGACCCTCCAGGCCGGATCTGTACAACATAGCTCTAGTCTTGACGTCCAATAATCGAGGTTGAGAACAAGTCAAATCCAGCATGATCTTGCCTACATCGTTCAGACTACAGGTCAATCCATTAACAGCGTCCATAGCTGAGCGTAATAGCCCATCTACCCGCTCGACCATTTCAAGTTGTCGCTCCAACACGTCTTGACGATTAGCAGGAAGGTACGTCGTTGAATCGAGAGCCAGGACATCAAACACTTTCTCCTTCATGTAAGATTGAAACGATTGACCAGACACACTCTCAATGATGACTTGGAGGAAATGAACTTCGTGTCCATAGTTCCACCCATCCCCAGGCTCATGGATAAGAGGTCTCCAACACAGCTTGATAATGGGTTTCGTATCTTCCGGCCAGACTGGCCGTTCAGGTGATCCTGGTACCGCGTGTGTCTCCCACGAAGTAGCAAGAGGATGATCTTCTCCCATGATACCCGTGGAATTGGTCAAGAAATGTCGAAGGGTCAAGGATCGTCCAGCTGGGCGGGTGGTATAGCCCCGAGGGTTGGAGTTGGTGAGAGTGATGGAAGCTGCGTCATCTGAACGGGACAGGTAGATCAATGGCATGTCCTTGAACTCCGGGACATGCCGTTCGATTGGTTCGTCGAGATCGATCAATCCAGCTTGGACGAGCTGCATCGCAGCGATGTGAGTCAAGAACTTGCCAGCAGAATAGAGTGAAAATGTCGTCTCGAGGTTAAGAGGAGGAGACCCAGTAGCGAGCTTCTGTCGGCCAAAGAAGCTAGCATACGTCGTTTCACCTGAGCCCTCAATCGTCCATCCATCAGGCTCTCATCCTTGCGACTTTTGGACGCGATCCCACTCACCCTTGTCATCCCATATGACCCCGGCTAAACCCAAGATCGCTTCAGGATCCTTGGCGGACGTAGCTGCCTGTGAGACCGCCTCGAAGGACTTCATGCGGGATGCAAGCTCCGACATGGCCACTGTCATCTTGTTCTCTGTACCAAGTGAGCGAGCTCACCCGCTCTCTTGACACTCCGTCGTTTGCACTACACAAGTTGAACGGCGAAGAGATCTCGCTCATCCGATGGATCCCGGAGGCAAGCTCACGCGACTGCTTTTTCTCCAGTGGCGGACGTACAGTACACTACATGCATATATACATTTGTCTGTTCAAGGGATCTCAGACCTCCATCGTACTTGTGTCATCTTGTACAAAGTGAAGGTCGCTTCTTAGACGTTCTCGCGAGGAGTGGATGCGCAAGTGGCCGGAGGGTTGTCACAGACCATGGTGATACCCTTCTGGGGACCACAAGGGTAAAGGTAATCGGGACCACTGGAAAAGGTGAAAGTGACCTGATCTACTCCGTCATCCAGCTTGCCTTCCCAGTGACAGCCGACCTCCTGTAGGTACAAGAATGTGTCAGCGGTGGTTACTGTATCATTCGAGGACTTGATAGGAGGAGGTATGACCTCACCTCTTTCTCAGCGACTCCAGGAACACCGACATGGTAATCGAGGGTCGGGTAAGGTGTACCGTCGTCTTTGAGTTGAAGGGTCATCCCCCCGCCGCACGAGGATCCAGTCCTGATGCAGGCTCCATCCACGGCATTAATGCGGACGGTACGATCAGCCATGGCGGCCGAAGACACAAGGAGGGTGAACAAGAGCGTGTAGAGGTTTGACAACATGATGAAGGGTCTTATGGTACAGTAGTAGTCTAGCCTTTAGATTGACTTGACGAAGCCGATACTGTGTCTGGAGGCGAGGGGAAAAGCAGGACAAGGCGTATTCGGAGAATGCCTTATATACTCACAGTATGACTGTCCATCTTTGCTAGCTCCACAAACTATTCCCAGGATCGACACTCATCAACCCCTCTAAAACCTCCTTCAGACTGTGAGAATTCCCCTGACACCTGACAGTATTTCAAAGGGAGGATCGCCGATCAAATGTAAGGGGTGGTGAGAACGCCAATCTTGGGGCCCTGGCCGAGAGCTGTGACGTCAGGCGAGGGAAGCAGCATATCTTGGCGCGTATCAGAGTCTCAATGACCACAGGGCATGCATAGCCCGCAGCTACCTGACTGTATGCTTCTGGTCATCCGACGAGGCAATTCCAGGATACCGCAAATAGATTCAAAGTGGCAGCGCCACAGCCACCAACCCCTCGATATGAGCTTGGCAACGTTGCCGAAGCAGCTATCTGCTCTGGTCAAGGGGATATGGTTTCAGGAACCGAGATGCTATCATGACGCTCTCTGCCTGTTTGGTAACTGCCGCAAGGACGCGTGATAGAAGAACAACTCCAAGCTTTCACCCAAAAACAATCCCTCAACCGACGAAATTAAAGGCATTATGGTCTTTAAACATCGGGATGGGCTCGGTGGGGCATGGCCCTGCTGCCTGGAAAGGTCAAAGCGGATGGCGAGGCCAAGGCGAGCAGGGCGGGCAGCTGGAGTATCGGATACTGAGATTATCGTGCTCGGAAGGTACTATTGTGCATGTAGATGGGTTCATCCCAAAACAGAAACCCTTCCAATCCCAACCGATACGCGACCCGAGGATTCAGGGCCTAAGAGGTGTCGATCATTCCTCTCCTGCATCATCGCCCCCCTCGCCGCCTTCGTCCTCTTCCTCATCTTCATCCCCTTCATCCTCCTCCTCATGCTCCTCATCGTCATCATCATCTGCCATTCTCGACCCTCCTTCCCCCGATTTCCCCTCCAACATCGCTGCTTCGAAATCCTCGATCGCCTGGAAGCAAATCGAATCAGGAGCCGGTTCGTCATTGTCTCGAATGTGAGTGAATTTTATACGAGTGAGAGCTTTAATCAAGGCGTATGCAGCTGGCTTGTACCAGCCATCGTGAGCCTAAGAATAGGGATGAATTAGCCGATGATGTCAAAACGCACTTGAAAGATCGACTCACTGCACACTTGTCACCGACCAATGCGGGGTCATCAATGTACTTCCGGATGAGTGGATCAGTGATATCGCAGAGTTGGAAATCAGGCACGTCTCGTTGGAGGATCTTGCCGTCGAAAATGTAATCTTGACTGAAGTTACATTAGACCACGCGAAGAAGACGAAGAAAGATGCGCGAGGGGGCTCACTCTGGATCAAAGGGCGGCCTCTTGCCTTCCGCTATCAATCTCTCCTGCTGTGCCTCCCATTGACTTTTTCTCTCGGCTTGAGTCGTGATGTTGGAACCAGTCTTGGCCTTCCCGCCATCCTCCTCGTCATCGTCGTCAGGCGGTGGAGAGTGATATGCGTGTCCTCGTGGACCGATGCGGGTGACATTGAGGTAGAAATAGATCCGTTGATAGCTAAAAGCAACGGTGAGATCCAGGACAGCAGAGAAAAAACAAGAGAGGACTTACAGTCTCGCTTCAACATGGTGCCTTGGGTCGTACCCATATCGTACCAAGCATTTCCAAAATGGACCAGCGCCAAAGGTGTACACAAATGCAGGGAAGTATGCCTTAGATCTGCATTACAGACTGATCAGTCGCAAGTCCGAAATCCCTCCCACGGTCAAACCCACAAGATTATCACCCGCCTATCCGCCTCACTGAATTGTCTCAACAGGACATGTCGAAGCCACACGGGCCTCTCAGCCAGAAGCTTCATAAGGTCGTCAACCATCTGTCGCCTTGTCAAATCAGTGAAAGCAGCTCACGTTCCTCATCTTCTCCATGATTCTCTGATCCGCTTTTTTCAACTTATCCATTAAACCTTTTACGGGTTCCTTCGGGACATTCTTGCTGTTATGACCAATAATAGGGATGGTATACGCGACGTGCCTTGCGCGATTAACGTATCGCTGTTTCGTCTCGCCAGTTCGCTTATCTTCGTAGTCTTCGACGTAGGCCTGAGTGTGATTCTTGTAACTGCACGAGCAGTCAGCCCAGGCTCGGGCTGAAAGGTGACAGGCCCAAGTCAGCTGTACTCACTTCCAAATCAATGGGACTCGACGATCACTGAACACTGGTAGAGCTTGTAAGTCTAGCAGCGAACGATACAGCTGTGTTGTGCCAGAGCTGCCTTCCATAGGATCGTCCCCATCCTGACCACTCGGTGAGACTGGTTCGACAAAGGTCTCGTCCAAAGGAGGTACAGAATACTCCAGGATAGCGTCGTCTGATAATAAAAGTCAGTACAGCAAGACGTCCAACACACAATCTAGATCTCTCATGGCGCCAATTATCTGGGCTGTGCGACCTTGTTGATCCGGCGTGTAGTGCCAATCTCCCATGGCTGTATCATATGAGCTCTCGAGAAGTCAAGAGAGCTCACATTTGAAACGGATAGTCTGGGTCAAAGGCCCCACAACTTCAGCTGTAAAGATGCCATTCTCCGTCCCTTCTCTCTGCTTTCCTTTCCTTGACGGACTTGTAGTAGTTCGGGCTCCATGCTCTGTGTCTCTCTCTTGAGGTCTCCTCTTTTTCCTGACCACTTTCAAGAGCAACTTCTGTGAAGGCACTTTGAGACCTTTGACGGGGATAGCGTACAAGTCTCCGGGTTTGTACCTCATATCGATGGATCTAGCCTCGACAGTCTTCTCCGTAGAGTTGAGGCATGTATTTATGTCCTCCTGAGTGATGATTTTGAGGATAGCGCTCGGATGGGAGACTGGTCCGAGGTATTCGATAGAAGCGAAGGGCTGCTTTGGGTAGGTATGGAACGGCGCCACTGAAGCGGCTAAAGCGCCCATGATCGAGCTTCCAGCTTGGCCTTCACCCGTCTCGACAGGCGTATCAATGTCCATTGGAACGGAAGAAGGGCCTGAAGCGGACATGTCACACCAGCAAGTGAGGTTTAGAATACTTGTCAACAGATGGAGGACAGATTGATATTTTGACCAGCTACCGATAGGGAAATGCCGAGCGAAGCGACACAGACATCCAAAGATGGCGACCACTATCCTCTTAGAAGCTCTGTGCAATGCAGCAGAACGCTCACTCCCACCAGAGATCACGTTCACAAGCAGTCCCCTGATGATATCCGGTTGAAGGTTTCATAAATCCCTCGGAACTCGCGTCAGAAAATCGCCCGAAGAAATCAATTCAAGCTTGCGATCCCACTTTCATCTACCTGATTATTCCTATATTCGTCACCATCTTACTCGATCAAAGCTATCCATCCACTCTATTCACTGGTACTCGAGTCATGATACGGACCATAGCTACCCAATGATACCCTAAACGTATCCTGCACCCGTACACCGACTCCAGAATCAAAGGTCCAATCTGAAACCTCTTTCAAAATGAAGGTGAGTCCTTGGTCCGGGATGCCCTTTGCTCTTTGGTCCCACCAAACACAATGTGAACTGATGCATCCACCCATGACAGTACCTCTTGGGCTTTCTAGAGGGCATATCTGATGGTCCAGACCTCGCGGATCCGGAGTTTCAACAATTGCTCGTCGATGTACAAGCTGGCAAGGTGAGTGCCTGCTCGTCCACCCGAATCGGGATTCCGGGGCTACATTTCCATTACGAGTTGGGCGATCTACATCGTGATGAGACGTGCAAGGAATGCTCAGGCTTCAGGTCCTACCATATCACCAGCTCTTTTCTTGAGCTATGCACTGATCTGCGCTTCAGACTCAGCCCAAATCCGCCGATGCATTCTACGAGTCCCTCGAGAAGATCATCAATGAGCTCAAAAGTACCGTGAGTTTGGCGGGGTGGCACCTGATCCCGAGGGACAACTGACATGGGTTCCTACTAGCCTGAATCCTTGCCATTCCAAAAGCCAGTCACGAGACGTGATGCCCCTGACTACTATGAAGGTGAGTTACAACAAAGACATCAGTGCTCGTGTGACGCTCGCTCACCGTTTGTCCAGTCATCAAGAAGCCCATGGATTTATCGACCATGCTCAGAAACATCAAGGGTCACAAGTATAAGTCAAAGGCCGAATTTGCTGCCGATCTCAACTTGATATGGGACAACTGTGCGCTATACAATCATGAGGTGGGTGTCAGCGTTCAGTGGGTGTCCCATGCCATCTTATCAATGCTCCTATCAGGGTCATCCCATTCGAATCGGTGCTCGGTTCATGAAGCAAAAGGCCGATCACCATCTAGAGTTCCTAGCAGACAAGAACGAAGCACCTCAGCAGACCTTCATCCTCCCTACTTTGTCCGGCTCTGGGATCTCAGTGGCCGCTCGGCAGATTGCAGCCGCGGGACCTCACGCCCCCTCTCAACCTTCTCCACTTCGAGAGGCTTCTCAAGCTCCTGCAGCGGACGAAGATGCTCGAGGTGAAATCGTGGATAGCACACAGGGCGATAGTGCTGCGTCACAGTCCTTTCGAGCAGAGGCCGGAGCGGGGCCGCAATCCAATACCGCCACGCAAGAACAATCTTCTTCTCAAGGGCAAGAAGAAGCGGAGGGTGAGACTCGAAAGGAGGCGTCCGTGCTGACTCCGTGTATAGCGTCAAGCAGTCGTCGAGATCCCAATCTCTTCTCGTCGACGGATTCACGCCTCGGTGTTGGCCGAGCGAGTAGCATCGGTCGGATCGTGAGTCGCACTGAGCCGACAGCGAGACTGACCCATCGACACAGACTCAGGCCAGCTGGCCAAAGCTCCAGACCAACCTCGACACCGCGCCGGCCCTCATCCGGACGTCGAACACGATGAACCAATTTTTCCCCATCTCCTCCACTCATCTTCCTGGACCATCCTTTTCCGACAAGGGCAAGGCCAAAGAGGTGCTCACAGCATCTACACCTCCGGCATGGTATCCATCTACTGGGCGACCCGATCCCGCAGATGCTAGTCCACTCGAAGGCCACTGGTGGACAGCCATCATCAAGGACGAGGCATTTGTTGGTGGCATGCCTGCTACCCCGGTGATGGCGCACTCTGTGTCGCCCAAAGTAGCCCGCATAAGAGCGAAAAAGCGGCGAAGGGTCTCGGAATATGCTAGTGAAGATCGGAATGGCTTGGACTTCACCAATCAAGGTCATCGAGGCGGCACACCAGCATTGGAATCTCCAAGACCGGTCAAACTGGAATCCCTTGTTCATCGAAGCGTGGATAGACTTATCGAAGCGAGAAAATTGATGAATCAGATTCAGGACTTTCAGCGGATAGAGCTAGAGGGCGGTATTCTGCCGCCCATCCAGCGCTTCGATGAAAAGCTGGAGAGGGAACGGCGGAGGGAAGAAAGGGCCGAACGGAGGGCGAGGGAGAAAGTGGAAAGGATGGAGGCCCGGAAGAGGGCATCGAATGGGGGTGAGATGGGCGAAGAAGAGGCCGTCATGAATATAAGACGCTCAACCGCGGGTTTACTGGCGCATGCTGGATTCGAGGGTGAGTCACCGAACAAAACCTCAGAAGGAGCATATTTGCTCATGTTCACCTCCCTGTCGCAGGAGCCAACGAGATAGCACTAGATACTGTCACTCGATTAGTGATTGACCATATCCGGAGCCTTGGACGGACATTCCGCTTGTTCCTCGATGGTTCATCACACGATCTGACTTCAGAGGTGGGGTCTGAAAACCTTTTTTGGACATATCCTGATCATCACAGCAAATGACACTGCATGTTTTGCATGAGAACGGCCAGATACAGCTACAAGATCTAGAAGCGCATATCAAGGATGATATCGAGCGAGAAGGCGTCAAGGTGGCAGAGATGACGAGAAAAGTCAAGCAAGGGTACAAGGATGTGGTGAGCGTGTTTCAGGCGTGACGCCATCATATGACAGCTGATCACGGTGTGTAGACTGCGGCGCCTGTGGTGCATGACGATATGATGTTTGCAGAGGATGGGGAAATGCTGCTCGAGTGAGTGGACGCGATCTGTTGGGTGAAGCGATAGCTCACGTAGTGCAGCGGGAACTTTGCCGAAGAGCTGGGAGAGGATTTCCTTGGACTTCGCGAGATGGGCATTGACAAGGAGTTTGGTCTGTCAAGCCTCACAGTGCCTTCGAGCTTGTTTCATGGTCGACGGAAACGGGTCGCGAATGCTGATCAGTATGGGTGAGTATCGAGTGCCAATTGCGGAATCAGAGTCTCTGATGCGCTCTCTCAGTTCCAAGCAAGCCGACTACGACTATCCTCCACCTCCACCCTTTGTGCCTCTCGCTCCATCTGCTATCTCGGCACAACTTCCCGCACTGCTCCACGCCTTTTACGCGTCCCGGCTGGAGAGTGGTTTGGGCATACAGGAAGATGACCCTTTTGATCATGTTCATTCGCAGATCGGATCTATGGGTCAGATAGTTGTCAAGAGTATCGGCGTCAAGAAGAAACGACCAGAAGAGGTGGAAAAGGCTGATCAGCAAGAGGAGGCGAAAAAGGTCAAGCCGAAAAAGCCGCCGTGAGTGCATTGCGGGAGCGAGAGAGAACTCAGTTGACCATGTCTGTAGGAAAGTAGGTGTGGGCAAGGGTAACTGGAGTGAGTGTTCGAGTCTCAGTCTCACACAATGCACCGTCGCTGACTCCGACCTTTTTTCAGTCCGACCGCCGAAACACGAGCGAGATCGTCGGGCTGCGGAAAAGAGGGCAGCACTGGAGAGACAAAAGCAATTGGCCAGCCAAGGGAATGGGGATGGAGTCATCACCATGACGGAGGATGTCAACGGTATCGCGGCTGCGGGTGACGATGATGCAGAGGGAGAGGAGGAGTAGGGTGTATAAGCCCAGAGTCACCTATCACTAACCCTGTGTAGTTGTCTGTCCCACTACCAATATATGTTGCATCTTCCACATGTCGCACCCCAAATTCATCCAAAAAAACAGTGCGCTCGGCGGGCTATAGGAGCTTTTTTTCTTGGTGCCTGGGATCCGTTGTTGAGGAATGTTGGATCCCGTCAGTTGGGTTCGTCGCTCAGCGTTTGAGAGAGAGAGAGGGAGACCCGGCCCGATCTCAACCGAATGTTATGCCGACACCAGGAGAGCCTAGGTGATAAACAAATGCGCCACAGGATGTGTTTTTGATTTGTGCAGCGCGCGCGTCGCAACACCGCTTGTCAGTGTAACACGGCAACAGCCTCAAAAGTGTATATATCATAGCTTCCGCACCGCACTGTGTAACTGGGTTGTGGCTTTTTTGTTTCCCTCTCTCTCACAAGGTCACTACTGCAGGTACTCCGCCCCCGGACTTTTGGGAGGTGGTGAGCAGATCAGGGTAAGTAGGCAGTTGAGGGTGGATGGTGTGGGTGGAATATTAAGCTTGCTTGCTTGTAGGCAGCCTGAAGAGATGTTGGCGCTCCCCTCTGCCACGCACTGCGCTGATATACAGGCTATAAAGGGAAATTATTCTTATTCGACGTGCGGGCTCTCTACGCGCGTCGCTGTTCTCTGAGGATCGGGGGGGAAAGGCAGAATAGGGACAAAAGAGAGAGAGAGCACTTTTACGTGTGGCTTCAGAAAAGACAGCGTCAGAGGATATCGGGACTATTCCATATGTATCGCTCCGTGCCGTCCCCTCTCTTCCCCTCTCGTCGTTGACAGGTGTGTGACCTTCGCGGGACGTGATCGCATTTTGTGTCATTGTTATTCCATTGTCACCAAGACACTCAAACGATTCGGCTATCGACTGACAAAAGAGTGTATAGCTGTGTACCAAAAAAGGGGACGTGGTTGGTTTGGAGCATTCCTTCACCAGGCTTAGGGCAAAGGCGACCTGTAGTCGCTGATTGCTTTGCGATACTAGACAGGGGGGGACAGGAAAAGCAAATACTTCTCCCAAAGGACTGCCACATAGGAGGAAGGTGGGGACAACAATAATGTCTGCTACTACTAGTTCATCGTCTCCGCGCCGTTCACCTGCACCACCACCTCCACCACCTTCAAAGGATCACCATCAACAACTGTATACATCCTACTCATCCTCGAAAATACCAAGATCAGGAGCTGGAGGGACATCATCGTCCACATACATCAATGCTGATCTCGCAAGTGCATTACGCGAATCAGTAATCGTTCGTCATCCCCATCATCATCATCATCTTCCTTCTTCTTCCTCTTCCTCCTCCACCTCGCCGTTACAATATACCAGTACAATCCCTGCGAGTCAATCCCAATTTTCGTTGGCTGGAGGAGCACCTGCCGTTCAACACGCCTCGTACTCACCTCCCATCATCGATTTCTCATCTTCACCACCACCTCCAGTCTCCATCTTGAGGGAGGATTCAAGTTATAATCTCAATCAAAGCAGTACCATCACAGCGGTCGGTGCGGTCGGATCGGGTGGTTCAAGTCATCACCTTTCTGCCTCTACCTCTACCGCTCAACCCTTACGCTCAAAGACATCTTCGGCATCTCTCAACCCGCCTTCTAAGCCTCCTCCACCTTCGCCTCGATCGAGAAAAGTATCTTCTAGGTCATCGACCTATCAAAGCCCCTCCATACCTCCATCCTCCTCCTCCTCCGTCAACATGGCTCAACCTCAACTTCCTTCACAGCGCGTCATCTCCTCTGCGAATCCATTCGAACAAGACGAGATCGAACCTCCACCCATTAATGCGTCTCGTAAGAACTCTGCACCGACACCTGCGGTCTCGTCCGGCAACACAACAGGTGTAGGAGCAGGCGCCAACGCAACGACTAGGGTCAAATATACAAGGGCACAAACGGCACTAGCAGGGTGAGTTCTGTTCAAACTGGCTTGAACTTTCTAGCTGGGCTGGTTGGTTCTCGTTTTCATCATACCTCCTCCTCCTCCTCCTCCGCCTCTTCCATTCCACTTCCCATATCGCCCGCTTCTTTTCCCCGCTTGAGTCTTTTGTTGTCATCCAGGGTATCATTGCTATCGTGATGTTTGGGCCGATCGTCACCGGTTCCAGAGGTCATGTGGCCAAAGTGACATTGGGGGTGGGAAAAGAAAAATCCACTGGACCCGCCGCTTGCCGTCGTGTTGTGTGCTTCGGCGCTATACTTCGTGCTCCAGGTGATCCCGTCTCTTCATTCTCTCCAGATTCACGACACTTTACGTCCCGTCACCTCTGAAGACCCTTCGGACGCTGTTGCTGTCACCCTCCAAGTTGTATATCCTCAAAGGAAGGTCGTCTTGGTACACCATTCCAGACGTCAGAGAATAAAGGATCTTTTGTCCAGGGAGCTGGACTCGACAGGAGCGGTATTTGACTACGGCGTCTTCCAGATTTGGAAAAATCTCCTTGAAGGGGGTGATAGCCCTCTCCTCATTGTCATCACTTTAGATCCCTTCATTCTATTCGTTTCGGACCTCTCGCGAGACGAGCGTTTGTCTAGAGCCCACGCGCGGGAATCCTCCCTCGCCCCTCCGTCATCGTCTTCTAGGCGCGAGCTTTGCAGACCAGGCTCTGTCCCTCCATACCCCATTCACGAGCCTGCTCAGTGGACCAATCACACCCTAGCACGATGATGCTGACTCAACATTCCCCTGCCCTGCCCAATCATCGATTCACCCTCTTGGACAGCAGCGGTACCACTACAACCAATGCTCCCCCGTCTCCTCATCGCACAAGGGTCAGACGATCCATGTCGTCTGGATCATACGATGCGCAGGGTAGGGAGTTGACGGCCGGGCAACGTCGAGCCGCAGAGGATAAGAAGGGGAGCAGACACGCAGATGTGATCGATACATGGGATCCAACGGGTCTGGGTAGTGCGAGTGAGTGCCAGTGTGGTTTCAGATTGGACAGTCCTTACCATTCGTTGCTCTCCTTGTGGTACAGTGTGGCATCAGTGAGTCACTCTGCTGCCCTCTATTCCTCTGCAATCCGCTGATAGATCCTTAGTCAAGGACCATACGATGCAGCGGCTCCATCCCGTAATCTCAATCTGCCCACCTCCCGAGCACCGATGCAAGCGTTCAACGGCAACGACAGACCCGTTCAATCTCCCCCCCGCGCTCCATCCACAGTCACTCTGGCTGCTCAGCCAGTCCCGCCAGCCAAGGATTCCGAGACTGGCGCAATACCAACGGCAGAGAGAACTTCGCGACGAACTGGATCAGCTGTACGACAGAGCGTTGCCACTCGCCGAACCAGTGGAGGTCTGACTGGGCAATATTCTACCAGTGTACCAGCCTCTGGAGGCTACTTTCCCGATGTCGACGAGCCCAATGACGAAGCTAGTGTGCTGAGGAAAGAGAGACAGGCACAGAGGGATCAGAAGAGGCGAGCACTGAAAGCTGCGTGGGGCATCGATACGCGTGAGTGTGGCCAACCGCGAGGTCGCGTTTAAGCTGAACGAAATGCAGCCGAGCCCTTCGAAGACTTTGGCGGGTCACCAGGGGAGGAGGGCGAAATCAACCGTGAGTGCCGCCACGGAACTTGATCGATCGCCCGCATCGTCTGACTTTTTCCCAGTGACCGATGAGTCCCTCCCCTCCGAGCCTAGTGCCTCTGTCCCTCGGGTCCGGTCACCCGGTCTTCGCCTCGGGGCTCTTGGTGGGCCAAGGACTCCACCGATCAAGGATGACCTCTCACCGGTCAGCGATAAAGGTGCTGGCCTCGCCAACATCCCGGCCTCCGGATCTGTTCCTGCGTATGGGCCTGGAGGTGTCAAACGGACCAAGAGTCTGATGCAAAAGATCAAAGGAATGGTGCGTACAAGATCAGGCTCCGTGGAAGCTGCGGGTCCGTATGGATCAGTCATTCGTTCTGGCGATGGACCTAATCGGCCAGGCGGTGGCAATCTGGGATTAGATCATCGTTCTCAATCGATGAGTGCGGGACTCGGGGGTGTGAGACCTGCGATGAGTCCAGGTTGGGATGGACCGGATGTCCTAGAGGAGGAGGAAATGGTGGATGAGCCTGAGGGCGGTGGACAGGACATTGGGCGGAGAGGCTATGCGAATGAGGATGTGTTTGGGGCAGCAGAGACTCGGGGAAGAGGGGACTTAGGTCCCGGAGATAGTCTGGGTCTATCGGGAAGGCGATGATGCTTTTCCCTGATCGGCAACGCTGTCAGCCCACAGATACGCTGTGATCCCTCGATCCGCTTGGCTCTACCCATTTGCCTTCGCAGCCCTGGACACACTGGTCCTTTCGGCTCAATGAGCCCGTCCTCGTTCTCCTACGTGTCCACGCTGCCTGCCCGACTCGCTCTTGCGCCTTGAATCTACACATTCAGCAAAGGCATGCCCGCTGACACTGTCTCTGCTTTTCCCTCTCTTCCCCGCTCGCTCTCGATTCGACTCCTATAGCGCGATGGCGGTCCTCGAGTTCCGAACCGATCCCACTCACCAAACTCAGCATCTATCAACTCCACTCGAGATCTCAATGGTCAAGCAGAAACTGCGGGTGCAGGATACAACAAGCGATCAACCTTTTTCGGTCGGTCTGGAAAACTGTCCCCTCAAAGGACCTCTCCTCTTGGCGTCCCACTGGATGATCCTACTCGGGCCCAATCCATGTACGAAGAAGGCGATCTATTGGGGGAGGAAAGTGAGCTGGTGCCTTCTGAATCGACGGCTAGTGGATTCGTCTTGGTGGAATCGCCAAACTCAAAGGCGAGAGCTGCGAAAGCATTACAGCGTGAACAGCAGCAACAACAACAGCAGCAGCAGCAGCAGCAGTCGACCATCACGCGAGCTGGCGGTGTCCCCACAATGCAATCCGAGCCTATGATGTCGACGACTCTCGCACCTCCCCCAATACCGAATGGGAAATCCTCTCATGGATCAAACATCGTGCATTCAGATACCATGGCCAGTGTGAGCTACGGCATACCACCGATGAACCGAGTCAAAGGCCTACCCACGCCTCCCATTGGACCCGTCATTCCTGATTTCGAGGATCTCGTGATATCGCGTACGAAATCGCGGACAAGAGCCGTTTCTGCTTCGGAGAGTTCGAGAGAGCTCAGCGTACCGGATGACTCTGGACCGGGTGTCAAGAGAAAGACGAGTGTGGTGAAGAAACTGAGGGAGAAGATCATGTAAGGGCGAGGGGAAGAGGAGGCTCAGGATCATAGATCGGGTAGGCGAATGGCCTGGCGAGGTCAAGCGAAGCTGGGGGAGATAATGGCGAGCTAGGGATCGGGCATTTGGACACTGTATTCTTCTCTTCTTTTTCTTCATCCCCTCTCAAAACGGAATCACAAAGTATATCACTCTAGACGACTTGGACGACCGTTTCCCGCTTTTTGCGACCTCATTCTCTTACGTGTGTATGAATGATTATTATGATTGAAAGCCGGTGAAAGATTCGATAAGATGTAGATGGCCTAGAGAGCTAATTAGATCCAAGGAAAGGCGGAGGCAGATGGGGCAGGGAGCGAAAAATGTTTGATAAGTGGTATGGTCCACAGACTCAAGACGCTGATCGCTAGTCTCCTCGCGATTCGCCCGATCCCCGCATCCCCGAAAACATTCCGAGGACGCGACATGAATTTCTGCGAGGCTCAATTTTGGTCAAACACGTCCGTCTACGAGTCTTTCTTTGACTTTATAAAAGTATGGACAGACCGTGGTCCATCCTGTCTTCTGTCTCGATCAGATCTGTCTCCCTTATCTCCCTTTTGACGCTCGCCCTCCCCACTACCTTTGCGTCGCGCTCGTCTGATGACCTCTCACTCGTCAAGCGTCAAAGTTTAGGCTTCAATACGTCTTTCGGTGACAATGGTGGATCGTTCAGTTCGGACTTGCCTATCGCATGTGTCGAAGGCTGTTTACCAAATCTTGTCAACTTCCTGTAAGTCGACTTCCCCCCGACTCGTTGACCCATCGATCCCTGCCATTTGTTTGCCCAAGACGAGTAGAGATCTTTCCATTGCTGATCATCGAGACGCCTCACAGGGGCTGTACAACGCTCAACGCCTCTGACACGACTGCGGGCGAGCCGACCGCATCTGACTATTGCAGCTGGCTATGTGGATCCTCCAATTACACTGGATTCACTCAATGTCTCAACTGTGTCATTGCCAATGGGGAGCAGGACGTGACGCTGAATGATGTCAATGAAAAGCTGAGACAGGCGAATGAAGTGAGCACCTTTATTCCCATAATGATCATGGATTAGCTTGCATTGAGCGAGCGATCGATCACAGCGGCATCCGCGGTACGCGGGACGCTGACATCGTTGTTGGTCTCTCCCAGAAATGCTCCAAAACCATCTCCTCCACTATCTCTCAGATCACTGCTAGTCCCACGACAACGTGAGTTTGGTTGCCGCCCTTTCCTTTTCTTTCCTTCCTGCAGACAGGCTGAAATGAATGACTCACGTCTTGCATGTCTCCAGTGCCGCGACGTTCACCACCTTCACCGAGAACACCGTCACTTTCCCCACGTGGACAGGTCTACAGAGCTTTGTAGCTGCTCAATCGACACCTGATCCTTTAGGTACAGGGTCGACGAGTCTGCCAGTGTCCAGTGTTTCTGAATCAAGCAGGGCATCGGGTGCATCAACCACCTTGTCTTCCTCCATGACGGTGAGTCTTGCCCTCCTTTCCATTGTCTGAAAGGGATCGGTCTTACATCTTCTTCTGTCAGAATCAGAGCCACAACCAAGGTGCCACATCTTCCGCCGCGGCAGCTTCGGCTTCGGCATCTGGTGCAGCCATATCTGCTGTGACCAATGATCATCTCGCTTGGGTTCAGAGCGGTGCACTAGCTGTCACGATCTGTATCCTCATAGTTTGACATCATGTCCATTCAGCGTCCTATAGACCCATGAGCCCCCCCCACGATATAATGAATCAGGTAGTCTGTCCTAGACTACAGATGTTGAACGTAGCCATATTTCTGGTCGATTGAGAGAGCGGACCTAGTGAATAGGCTCTAAGTGTGCCTCCTCGTTCTATCAGGGTGGCATGAGACACACCCTGAGCCGCTGTAGAGACCTACTTTCTGCGAGCTCAAGATGCGGCAGACCCGAGTTCTGGTATCGGGCCCGATCAGGTGCATTGGAGCTCTTGAGGTCGACTTGAGCGATTGAGTCCTCAGGTAAGATTTAGATGATAGGTGTCTTCACGACTATGCCAGTCACCACGCCACGCCAATTCCTCATGGGAGACGCGTCGAAAGTGGCAAGGTATCACTGATGGTCCGGCACATCCTGGTCCTACCCTACCAGAGTCATATACTTGTGCCTGCAACAGATGCAGTCAGTCCCCATTGTACGCTGTGTCAGCACTGCTTCATGTCTGCTCCAACCTCTACATCCCATAGATTAGATTGTGATCTTCGACGCCACGACGTGGCGGGACATTAGCAACTTTTGCTTGCCACAGCTTTGGAATGACGCCGTACCTGAGATTTTTGCCACAATCAAAAGTTTCTATTTTTGGGGGGTTGTAAAATGACTTTCCCTCTTTCGTCCCAGATCTCTCCTTCAGTCTCCCCGTCTTTTCGTCTTCGCCTGCACAGCTGCCAATAGACTATATACAGTTGCACCTTCTGGGTCAAGGGCACTAGCTTACTTCTCTATTCATAGCACCACATTCAACACTTGGTTCTGATCCTGGAGATTAACACACATACCGGCGTGTGTCTGGAGATAGATCATCTTCCTGGCCTTGGCAAACGAGAGCCCACGAGGATCATTCGGGTCACCAGCTGATCACACATTTTTTTTTTCCTTTTCACTCCCCTCCTTCTTCATTCCCACCAGTGGTATCGATCACAAGTCTTGTCGGACGGCAGGATACATTCCTGCCTATTCCCTCCTCCCCCTCGACCTCCCGGCTGTCCATTCAACCCCCACAATGCATACCCGACTGTTCCTCCTTTTCACTCTCCTGGCCCCCCTACTCACCGCCGCCCGTCCCGATGATGTATACCTCCAACGAATGATTGTCAAGAGACAGGATGCAACGGATGATGGAGGTGCCAGTCCCTCTGCATCCCCTACTCCCGATGCTACAGACACTGAGGACCAACCTACGGATACTGTAGCAGCTTCCACGACGGAAGCGCCCGCAGCATCTACTACGGATCCTGCTGCGCCTAGCGCCTCTGCCAGTACGATTGGCCAACCACTAGGAGGAGCAGGACAAGGAGAGAGTATACCTGCTACTTGTGCGAGCTGTTCCTCGTCTTACGATAATGTCATGTGAGTGGGGCATTTGCTTTCTCGATCATGATGTAAGAATTTGCGGCGTCGTGCTGATCATTCGCCTTCTGTAGTGCTTGTCTCACCAACGGAAACTCGGATTCGTGCTCGCCAGTGTGCGGAAATTACACCAGCACCGTCAATTGCATCTCATGTCTCGTCTCCAATGGCCAACCGGATGTCGATCAATCCGCCGCTCAGCAGGTCGTTTGGAACCTCGAAGCGAGTTGTCAAGCTCTTGGAGTGACAGTACAGAGTATCACCATCACTGCTTACCCTACCACGACGTGAGTGTTCCCTACATCTCCGAACAAGATCAACGCAGGGAGGCTCGGCTCTCCTTCGTCCAGTGCCATCTGCTGGAATCCTTTCACCGCCTTTTCTCTCGCTTGGCGCTATGCTGACTGGTTTTCTAGTGGCTCATTCTTCACTCCCTCTGGGCAAGCTACCGTACCTACCAATACCAAGTCCACCAAATCCGTCAGTCACTCCGGTATCACAGTGTACAACACCTACCGTACCAAAGCTCTCGGATCAATATCGACAAGTTATGCCGTCAACCCCGTGAGTTTTTGGTCCAAGTTCAGCTTTTCCAAATCGATCATGCTGACCCTTCTTGTCAGACCATCGTCCTATCTACCTCTGGTCTGGGTTCACGTCAAGCTCAATTGCCAGTTTCCGCCTTGCAATTACTGACTATGGGGTTGACGACGATTCTAGGGCTAGGGATTGGACATTATGTAGCTTTGTTCTAGATGGATTATCCGTGTATGTATCATTCACTTCAGCGAGGCTTCTTGCAAGTCACTTTGCGTTTCTGAGCTGCCAAGGGACTGTCACAGGATCGTTGTGCACAATCAGCAGTTCTGTAGCGCCCCGGCCCAAGAGGACAATACCCTTTGACTGCCACGTGCAGGAGGTGGAGGTGGTCCGAGCGCGACTAACTTTTGACACGCCGAGATTTTGTACTCAACGTCCAATACATTTCACCTTCTCTCACCGCCTGTACTCCTTGATCAGTACAAGTTGACACGCTCTAGCTATGGCTGGTTCTTCGAGACAGCACCCAAAGTCCCCGATATCGTCAGCACGACACCTCCTCTCAGCTTATATGAATAGTTCCACATCGCATTACCTGCACGCAGATGCTCAGCTGTAAGTGTCCTCTTGGTACTCATGCGGACCAAGTCTCCCCATCAGATTCTCCGGAGGGACAACTCAATCTGCGTTCTCAGAACCACCTCTCCAGTCCAATTTGACGCCCACGATGTCCACTCCGGAACCTGTTGAAAGAGACTTGCCATCACAGATCTCTTCGAGTCAGCATGAAGCTTGGAGTCCTGAAGCCTCGCGACTACCCATACAGGACTCGCGCAAGATCGAGAAGAAGCGTTCTCCAGAGGCAAACGAGGATCTCAACGTTCGAGACGGTGTGGAGAAAAGGATCAAGATTGAGAGAGTGTCGAAGGGATTACTTGAACACGAGGAAGGGGATCTGAAGTCAGAGCTGGCGAACTTCACAACAAAATCCAGCGGAGTCCGATCGAGGACGAACGGACGAAGCACCATGCCGAGACGGCCACCTGCGGATCCTCAGCTCCTCAGCACCGAAGACGAGGCGCCAGCCGAGCATCTCAGAGACCTCACCAGCACTCACCTGCAGATTCGCGGCAGACCCCCGACCCAGAAAGAGATCTTGTCCTGCCTCACAGACTTCTTCGGGCATAAGCTCAAGTGGGATGAACTCAGCCACAAGAACTTCGAGTTGGACGAGGTCAGGGAGTACTACGCGGAGCAACATGCGAGAAAGCATGACATCACCCTCGACAACTTTCTCAGCAATGACAGCGGCGCGGTGGCTTTCCGAAAGGCTTTGATAAGGGAGTATCGGGTTTCTAAGGACAGGCTAAACCCTCAAGGTATCGATCTGCGAGCGGACGCTCAGGAGCGAACTTGTGAGCCAGAGTGCGATCGACAGACTGACTTGATCATGCGAAGATACAGAACTCAAGATCCATCGTCAGAATGCAGAACTATCAAAAGACCTGTTCGACGGGGCGTACGATTGCAATCGAGGGGCTGTTCACCTCAGAGCTGCAAGGTACTTCCAGCGACTCGCACAGAATCTCCAGGTGATCCACGAGTCGGACCAAGATCTGCACGTGTACACTCGAGGCATAAGGGTCTTGGTATTGGAAGATCTGCCAGAGTACTCGACGATGATGCGCATCGCGGAAGTCTCGGACCTGCTCACAGCTGATTGGGTATTTGCTCACGTCACACACCTGGTCTTTGCCGGAAGTGCCTCGTTAAGACTCATTCAGCTCACTGTCAAGTTGGACGACGCGGAGATTGGCCAATACTTCCAAGCCCTAGGTCATATGTGTAATCCCGAAACCTTCTGTGGAGAGTACGATTTTGGAGCAATAAGTAATGATCTGATCAAAGAGGCCTTGGGCCTGCTCAGAAAATCGTGGAAAAGACTCAAGACCTGTACGACCCACCGAGCGCTGGACGAGCTACCTTGGACACTGGCCGGCACCGAACATCGTGTCTTCTATCACAGCTCCTCGTTCCCTTTTTCAGCGACTAATGCCACCGCCAAATCTCACTGGATCAAGCACAGCGTAGCGCGGGTGTTGGTCAATGCTGTGACAGAACATGACTCAAACAAGGAAGAAGCCCAGACCCGATGGATTGTCAGCCTCCCTCCAATGACCGATGCGGAGGAAGCTTCCCTCAGGGAGAATCTCTGCGAACTTCAAGATGAAATCAACAAAGCTGGCCTTTTTCTAAGTGAGTAGCTGACATTTCTAGCTTTAGTCCGCCCTCACTCTCAGACCAGAAGTGAGGAGCATCCCTGTGGGACATTCAATGAAGGACCCTATTCTCAAGTGGGATGATGTGCTCAAGATGAACATCCGAGAGGAGGAGCAAGTCGAGTGCCACGATTGTGGTTGGAATCAAAACCGGTGATGTTGAGAATTCTGGCCCTGGTGCCAGTCGCGAGCAGAAACAGACTGAATTGACACTGAAAGTCTGTTTTGACGATGAAGATAGTCCGTCTCTAGTCAGGATGGAGGTTCAGCCACTGAGGCCAGTCAGTCGGGCACGTTGACGTTGTAGGGAGAATGCAGGATTCTAAAATAGCATGCACTCATTCAAAATGTCTACTGTCGTCGCACACGATCACACACCGGACATTATCCGTCCTCTGATGCGGATCCTGCGGGGAGGACCGCTTTCACAGCCTCGATCTTCAGCTTAGAGTCATTCACTCTGTGCCCAAGTTTCGATTTCTTGAACCCATTCACTTGAAAGCGTGGCAGAAGAGCAGATGAAGGTGTCACAGGCGCCTCTCGTGGTCCAGGGAGAGAACCGAAACCTTGCATGGCACTGGAAGCCTGCCTTTGCCAGTGAGCCACTTCGTCGCTTTTGGCCCATTGAGCCGCATGTTCAGCCGCCGAGCTGGGATCGTCCTTGAATTGGAGGAGATATGCTTGTAAAGCCGCCATGGAGACCTCGAGCCCTTCGTTTCCTCCAACAGCGTCAGATCGGCCGATTGGGAAGACGCCATGTACGAAAGTATCAGCGAGAGAGTCTAGTTGGGGTTGAGAGGTCATGCAGACTTTCGACTTCTCAGTAGTCGAATAAGGTGACGCGGGATTCTCGACCTTGATGCTGAGGTCGTCCACGACCTTATCGTCAATGTCGTTGACGACTTGCCCGGTCGGATACTCCCCCAAGGGGTAAAAGTGTTGGAACAGAGCTCTCGCCTGTGTAGGCATAGCGTTGGCGAACGAGACTTTGACGTCGAATCGACCTGCCCGACTGAGCGCGGGGTCTAGTCTCTCAAGGTGATTGCTGGGAGTGAGATGTCAGCCTGGGTTTATCTTTGGCTTAGTCTAGGACTCACGTTGATGCAATGAGGATGCAGCCCTCCTTCATGATAATCAGCATGACGATGATAAAACCTGCAGAAGCCACGATCGGCGCCTACCTGACTCGACACGCCGTCGATTGCGTTGAGAAGGCCTGCAAGCGAGACCGTCGACGGAGCAAGATCATGTGAGCCTCCCAGCATTGGAGTGAGGTGAGCTGAGCTTTGACCTTGTTGATCTCCTCGGATCGAGTCGAGTGGAGGGACTACATTGCCCTCTTCATCTTCGACCATGAGCCTGTCCTTGACTCCATCTCGACCAAAGACACAATCACTGGGCTAGGGCATCAGTGCGAAACACGAAGAAATATCCCGTGATCTGCCCACATGTCTTCGATCAGAATGATAGATCGGGGAGCGCAGTCTCTCAAGAGCTTGTTGAGCTATTCGAATGAATCAGAACACAGGGATATACTCGGGCAAACCAGAGCCTACCTTAGCATCGTCCATGCTGTGATCATCACGATCAGCAACGGCTATCATGAACACTCCTGGGTGAACCCACCCTCGCTGACCAGGATTGATAGCGTAGATATCGAGAGACAGCTTGCTGGCCAAAGCGGTCGCTATCGGAAGATTAGTTGGTGGACGCCAGTTGTTGCTGCTCACTGAGAGTTGTCTTGCCCGCGCCGGGGGAGCCATGGAAAAGATACCCTCGCCTGTGTGGTATACCTGACTTTGGTCAGCGGCTGCATGGTCAGACTTCCCGGAGCGCTTCTCACCCCTCGCTCCGTACCATTTCATCTCTTTGTCAGAGAAGAACGCTTTCATATCTTTGAGCATGTGCTCTTTGATGTTACCGGGCAGGAGAACTGATGACCAAGGTCGATGAGGTCTGGAGACCGGCAGCTGCCAATTAGGGTTAATCCGTCTGTGTCAAGCTTGGTCAGTCACATCATTGACGATGAGGAAGAAAGGATGGGCTCACTTTGGATGGAAGATATGGATCTCCTTCTCTTGCTTAGCGTGTAAGGCGTCGTGGGCTGCAACTAAGAACGCTCGAAGTGCATTGTTCTGGAACGCATAAGTTCTGCATTGAAGTACTTAGGTCATCTTGTCACTGTTCCATGGTGGTCACCAACCTGATCCTGAAGTGATCTTTGTTGTGCAGCGAACTTCGTGCAAACTTGCCAGAATGCCGATTGATCCAGATCGATGACCCCTCATGATGAATCGCGATCGTCTTGCCTGTCGCAAAGAAAAGTAAGCGATGGGAATATGCGGAAGAATAAAGAGGTGACTCGCCATACGTTGGTAGAATCTGACCGATGACAGTTGATGTGGTCCATGTAGCTGTAGTCGTCATACCAGAGACCAGTTTGTTCTTCGCGTTCCTACCATTCGAGATGTCTGCAGTGGTGAGCTGAAAATGGTGCATTTGCCGCTGAGCCTCGGGATCTTGAGCTAGCCAAGCCATGATCCATTTGAAGGCGTCATCTTCCGCTGAAATGTAAGCCGTAGGAAAGAGGACTGCACCAGGTTGGGATCAGCCAGTCTACCCTGAATAATAGATTTGGGGACTGACAGTCGTCAAACTTGAATTGGAGCCAGGATATGACATGCTTTAACAGTCGAGTCAGAAAAGGAATCAAGAGCATCCCCAATCCGACGGGTAGGATGCTCTCAGTGGACAGGTAGGGCCTGATCAGTCGCATCGTCCCGTTCGGAACGAGATGAGGTAGCAAGCGTTGAAACTCCATCGTAATGAGCAGCAGGGAGAAGCACGTCAGATGACAACAGTCAGTCAGCGTTGGGGATAATGGTGGTCAGAGCCCCCGTGTGCGCAGAGGCTGATCAATACGAGTCCATCCCAATGACCAACTCGCTACGCTCTATGATCGTCTGGCGCTGCGTGCACACACAAAGGAGATCAGTTCTGAAAGGGAGAGGGTCGTCTATACTTTTTGATTCCGTTTCCGTCTCCATGACGTAAGCACCTACAAGGGCCCACGCGACTGTGACGTCGTCAGCAGCGCAACTCTATCTCTGTCCGAACATCCGCATATCATTCTCAGACCCCATCTCACAACGCGACTCAGTATCTACGTTCATAAAGATACCAACCAGTCATCATGTGTGAGTTGACAGCACTAAACGCTGCAACGGATGAGAGTTACTTTTGACCTCGCTGCCATCTTCTGCAACACCTGCATGCCTTATCCGCGCTTGATGGAATACAAGCTGACGATGTGCGCGCTCTCCCTTAGCCGGCATCCTTGATCAAGCCAAAGCAGCCGCCACGTCGGCTTACGAAACTGGATCGAATCTAGCCCAGCAAGCAGCCGCTGCGACATCAGACCTCGCCAACCAGGCTGCCAACTCAGAGACTGGCAAGTCTGTCACTGCTCAGGCTCACAACCTCGGAGCTCAAGCTCAAGCGGCTCTTTCAGGAGCAGCTGTCAAGGCTGGGGAGTTGTCAGGCGTAGCTCATCAACAAGCTCATAATCTTGCTCCTGGAGTCGTTCCTGCGCCAGAAGCTGGAGTCGACAAGTCTTCTGACCTCGAACCTGAGAAGCCAGCGGATCGTCAAGAACTACAAAAATTGCTGCAGAGAAGACCTACAGCCGAGGAGCTGAAGAGACAGGGAATCTTGAAAGGTGAGTGTGACCAAGGGTATTCGCTGTAACGCCGACAACCGAGCCCAACGGCCTTGTGCGAAGGGCTTAGGCGCAGCGCCTACGAATCTCCTACAGCGACCGCATACTAACGCCGCATTCAGGTGACCCAGGTGACAGTCTCGCCGGCAAGCGAGCTGATCTGGAGCGATCTATGCTTGAGGTGAGTTCTTAAGCCACAAGCCATGTTAGCTTGATGTTGAAGCGAGCCTCTCAGGACAAACTAGAAAAGGACATCGCCGCAAGACCGACCGAGGAAGAGCTTGTCAAGAAAGGTATCCTATCTCGTACGTCTATGTATAGCGCGCCCGCGCATGAGCTGACTTGCGATCAAGCGACCGACGAGAAGCCCCCTGCCGATTTCAAGTGAACGAGTCAGTCCCATTGCCGGGCCGAGTTCTGTGCTTTTTGAAAGCGATTCCCCGAAATAAAAGAGAAGGAATCTATGAGGGGAGTTTGCATGTCAGCAAGAATGAATCAATGGATGACAGACACCCTTGTCGGGGGCCGATGGTCTCCTTCAGAGTGCACATTCGCTATGACTGCCTGTCCAAATGAGCCGAATTGAGGTCGTGACATACCCCAGTGACATTTGGCCGTGGATTACCGTGGAAGGCATTTGGGCGCTATTTTCTCTTTCCCCGCCTTTTTTGAATTCATCCGGGAATCACAATGTTGGGGGAATGAATTCGGATCCATACACTGCACATCTCGATACACTGGAATTCGTCCAGTCGTGTAAACATTCGGTGGGATCTTCGATTCGAGGACAGGATCGACACATAGGCCAGTACAACGCAACGTCCTGCTGCTATAAATTGTTTTTCATCTACACCGGACAGTTACGCGGCGAGCTGCGGACGATAATAAGGCTTGGCCAATATTATTACCTGCTGCAATGTCATCCGAATTTGACCGGACATCAACGATGACTTCACAGTCGTCTCAGAGCGTTCCGATGGTGACTGTACCAGCACCAATACCCGCTCAGAACGGACACGCCGTTCAATCGTCTTCTGTGCCCCCATTTTTCGCCCCTCTCGAGCCTCTTGATTTAGACAAGGCTCTCAGACCGATTGGAATTCATAACGAACAGAATACATGCTTCCTGAACTCGGTCTTCCAATCGGTGAGTGAGCACCTCTAGGAAGAGGCTCAGCATGAGGATGCTGATCCATGTATTCTTCGTAGCTTATGGCGACGCAACCGTTGATATCTGTACTGAATTCAGATCCAGAAAATGGTCTCGTTAGAGCACCCCTAAACGCCCTTCGTCGCCCACTCGTCTCTAGCGAGTTGATCCCTTCACTCCTCCCCGAGGCTCTGGAGCCTCCACTTTACAATCTTCTTCCCGTCGCTCGTGCTTTCCTTGTTGCCCTACAAAAAGGATGGCGGATGAAAGACCTAAAGGGCGGAACGATAGGATATGAAGAATTCAACTCGGACAGGAGCATGAGACTGAACTATCTTTTACGGGAGATGGCGAGAAAGTATGACCAATACGACGATTACACACAACAGGACGCGCATGAGTTGATGAGACACTTGTTGGACAGTATGGAGATGGAAGAAAAGGATGTCATCAAGATTGCTCAACCTGTCCCTCCTTCCCAATCCAGCACCCAGCGCCGCGGAAGAGATGGTATATCTCCATTGCCGTCACCTCTGCCTTCAAGATCATCGTCACCTGTCAGAGGTCCCCAGATCACCGTGACGGATGATCCTTCGGAAGCACCGCTGGCCTCGACCTCTACTTCCTCCTTGCGGCCGGAGACCATCCCTGAAAGCCAACGCTTGATTCCCTTTGTCGATGTCCTGTTTGGAGGCTCGTTGGCTAGTGTTATCGTCTGTGAGAAATGCCGAGCGGTGGGTTAGGACCTTGTCATTCATTCTACTGGTGCTAAATCCACGTCCAGGTCTCCCATACTTATGAGCCTTTCCTGGATATATCGCTGAGTCTCAAACGTGCGTCAGCCGAGAGGACAAGAAAGGTGAGTCTGCTTGTCAGTGTTCCTCTGTGTATTTGCTGACACCTTTCTGAAGCGAGACCGATTCAAGGCAGCTCTAGGACTCAAGTCTAGAGGTACATACGCTAAGACTGCCACCGACATGTCAGCTATCGCTTCGGAATCCGAGCTGTCGGATGGGGAGCGGGAGCAAGAGGAGGCTGAGAGAGATCGACGGAAGAGCATGGACGATCGACCAAAACAGCTCGGAAGTGAAAGCAGCGGCAGTCGCGGTAACTCACTCAAATTCGGACTCAAGACGAAACCAAGCTTCTCATGGCGTAGGAAAGGTTCTCGATCAAGCGAGCCTCGGACCAGTGTCACTACATCACCGGTTTTGGAGACCACCAAGGTCGTTAGCCCGCCGCCACAGCCCATTGCTGCAAAGAGCGCTCCGTCCTCACCCCGTCTCAGCACGAGCTCGGACCGGGCACACGGACCGAGCCTGACGAAAGCCCAGATGGCTTATTTGCGACGGTTGCTCGCTGATCCCTTGGCGACACAGGATCATGATCCGCTTGCAAAGCTCAAAGCTGCCAATAGTGGCGAGGAATTGCCGGCTCCTCCGACCCCGCCTCGAACGGCCATAGAGCAGAGTCTGGCCGCTTTCACCTCGGTCGAGGTTCTGGAGGGAGAAAACGGGTACGCCTGCAAGAGATGCTGGAAGATCAAAGCAGGCAAATACAAGTCCAAGCATGGGCCTACTGCCGGAGGCGAGGACTCAGCTACCACATCGCCAGCTCTGGTTGCATCCCGAATCTCCTCGCCGCCAGTGTCTATCGCCGCGGATACCAGCGCCGGATCTCTCGAGCACCTCTCAGCCCCTCAATCTCAGTCAGGACATGGAGTGAGCAGGGCTTTGTCCTCCGCGTCACGCTCTTCGGCTGGTCGCAGCGGTCGAACGCCATCACCCTTGCGCGAGCATACCGAAGCTTCGACGTACGGGTCCATCGAGCTCGCCTCTGTCAAATCAAACGATTACTCGATCGTGGAGTCATCTATTTCTGTCGAGACACAGACATCAGGCGAACCAGATCTGGAATCTGATGGTTTATCCAATACATCCTCCTCATCCGAAGACGACTACTCCCACCTTGACACCACTGTACCAACTGCGAGACCGAGCATGCCCGCGAGGAAAAAGTCTTCGCATTTCATCATGCGACGGGCGTTTAAGCGATACCTCATCGCTAAGGCACCCGAAGTATTGATCCTACACGTCAAGCGGTTCAAGCAGTCGCAAAAGGCAATCATGGCGTTTACAAACTTTTACGATTTGAAAAAGTGAGCCCAGCCCGCAGACCGAAGCTCGTAGAACTGATATATATTTCCGACAGGATTGATGACTACGCGTCCTTCCCCGAACTGCTAGACCTCTCGCCATATATGGCTCCAAACCGGAATGACTACAAGATGGTCCAGACGCCGTACGGACCGAGAGCGCCTTTCATGGACTGGCCATCGCCCGATCACGGTCCACATGCCGAGCCCGTCATGTACAAACTCTACGGTACGTTAATGTTACTGTGAGACATGGTCAACAGCTGACACCACTGCAGCTGTGGTCGTACACATGGGTACCATCAATGAGGGTCACTACATTGCATACGTCCTCGTCGATCCACTGCCCATGTTTGGCAAGACAGCAGAGGAACTCAACGTCGCTGGAGTCACGAACGGAATGAATTCAGTATCACTGAACGGAGATCGCCCAGTAAATGGGCACAGTAGGTCACCACCTCCCCTGCGAGTGGATAGGCGGGTCTGGTGTTATTGCTCCGAGTGAGCTTTCTGCGTATACATGAGCGTGCCGAGCTGACTCCAGTAGCACATCGGTACGACTGGCATCAGTGGATGAAGTCCTTCAAGCCAGTGCTTACCTTTGCTTTGTAAGTGCACATGCCGTACTCTGGTCGCTCGGAGCTGACGTCTGTGCAGTATGAGAAAGTCGCGTAGTTGTATGATGGGATGTCATGATCCTCAGGGTTGTCCGAGAGACTCGTCTGCTGTCATTTCCACTCCATCTTGATGATCCTTGCCTCTCCGCGACCCTATCGCCCTATCACCCCTGACCATCCCAGCCGGGACGGGAGGCATAGTCAATTCCCAGAACTCGGATGCGCGAGTATCTTGCCTCCCTTTCAGGTACATCTTGCTTCAGACTGCGACGCGCTCAAGGCATCCTTTCACAAACCTCCTTTCTAACAAAGACCCCGTTCAAGTCCATCGCTCCGAATGTACTGGGGAGAACGATATTTTCCCACTGAAGGCAAAGAGCTTACTGGTCAGTATACTATCATCATGTCGGACATCAGTGACCCAACATCATCAGGCGACGCATCGACCCTTGAAGGTCGGGTGACTAATTGGCAAGATCAACAGTCGGTGACAGAAGAGCCTATCACGCTGCAAGACACTATCAATTCCTTGAAACGATGGCGTGTGGTTGCAGAGGAGCACTCTCTGCCTGCCACTGCGGAAGCAAGGATCTTTGTCCGAACACAGATATTGAGGTGCATCGACAACGCTATTGAAGGTATTATAAGGTCTCATAGATCTTTTCTCACTGACTGGACCCGAATCTCAAGGATGCTGAGCCAAGGTGACCGTCAAATGGTCAAGCGCATCCTTGACAAAGAGCAAGCAGTGGAGCTTGATGAACGTAGCAAGACATTCATCGAGGATTTACTCCCGGAAAGGCGGGACAGACTAGACCTGAGAAAAAGTCTGAACGCTTTTTGGGAAAATCAAACCATGCTCAACACATGGGTAACTGATGATTTCTATACCTCCCAGAAACAGTTCGCGGATGGCATGCGAAAGTTGGAGAATGCAGATTTTGCTTTTGGGCGAAGGGAAGCGAGCGACGACTACGATGATTCTCTGAAGCAAGCCTCCGCCATTGGGGACACATCGGATGCGAAGAGCCAAAAAGCTAGGTTAGTGAGAGATCGGACTCGGCAACTGGTGAAATTGTACCGGCAACACAGTCAGGGAAGCTTTGACGAGAGTATGTCTTATCTCAACTACACCCTGCTGGATCTGTCCAAACATAATGTCGATACTCAGATGGGATGGAAGTTGGTTCAACTTGTAGACCATACGGCCCTGGTCGGTGACCCTGATAGCGAACAGGACACTGATCTTGGTTGGTCCATCGGTGAGCTGTCGCTACCTAGCGTATCACCGGGTTTTGTGCAGGATCCTGATCAACCAATCAGGTGATTGGGGTATTCAGTCGCTCTCGAATATAGGCGTCGAGTTTCGCGAATTGTACACCACTACAGTCAATGCGCCAAGAACCGAAGAGGCGACGACGGCCGCGCGTCACGAGCTGGCAAAAGGTATCTTGGACTCTGTTAATAGACACGTCCAGAATCCGGATTCGGATACACCTACAGGTCTTCCAAACCCTGGCGATTACGAGACGCTGGTACTCCGATTGGAAGGAGTGATCACCAAAGCCAAAGCAACATTCCCAGACGGCTCCATCATGTGGTCAGCTCCGAATTTCGTGGATCAAATCGGTTTAGCAGGAGTGGAGGGTGCCGAGGACTGGGTACCAATGGAGTAGATCCCATATAATGGTGAGATGTCACTCGCCACGCCCTTTCTACTGTAGCCTCATATTCCTCGGTCTTGCCGAGCTAGACTCCGGAGACTCAAGCATATCTACTGCCTACCAGACCTTACTATCGTGGGCGCATGTCTGGTGGTCGCTGCACTCACTCCTTTCTACTGCCACGCCTGCCGGATGATCATCATGATGATGCGTTTCTTAGCTCAACGGCTCCAAAACTGACCAAGTGGCGTGGTCACTTGGGGTCGCATGCCAAAGTACCTCTACTGAGGCCGCAAGCGTGGCATGTTCATTTGGAAACGATGATCCAGGCTTTCAGACTCCTTCACTCATCACCTCCCGGCCGCCAACGGCGAGTAAATTGGCCTCACACCACCTCCCAAGCAGGTAGTTTCAGAGTGAGACATTCGTGAGGTGAGTCCAGATCTTGGTAGCCTTCCTTCCGACTCAAGCTACGGCTTCTGATCATACTCAATCGCATCGTTGCCCCCACCCCATCCCCTCTTCATCCACTTTCCTTCTATGCTCAACGAGGCTAAGACCTTTGCATAGGTGCCTCCGTGTGGCTATATGTCCTTTGTGTCAAATTTCGTCCCTCCTTGATAGGCTGGAATTGTTGGATCGAAGGCTCCTTTCAGACTGACTTTGGATCTCAGTGTCGAGACGCGGATGCTACTATCCCCTGGCGACCATGCTCGCATTTCCCCATCGCCCAGGGTCTTTCTTACCGCAGCGCAACCGTCTCGTCCCCTTTCTGACCATACAGTAACGAAAACATCAGCTCACAGATAAGACGATGCAGACCGACTCTGAATCGGGAAATGCCGCTCAGGGGGCACAGTCAACACATACTCAGCGTCCATCACAAACAGATGCTTGTGAGTTCGCCAAGTGGACGATCAACACGATGGAGGGCTGGCTCGACGATGTCGCTTCGCTTGATCTCAGCGCAAGAGGGAGAAGCCTCAGAAGATACGCTAAACACGTTCAAACAGCCATCGAGGACACCATCACTTTGATTGACCGTGCGATAGACTCCTATGTGGACATGAAGACTGAATTTCTGTCTACTCTGATTGAGTTGCGAGAGCGAATGACATCGAAATTGCGGGACGATTTTCCCACTGAACTTGAACAAGCTGCAGACTTTCTTCTCTCTGAAGACACGGCCATTCAGCAGTCACTGTTGGCCTCCATGGGGGACTCGAAGGCGGATATTATCGCAGTGGCTAAGACTTCCAAGGAAGCTCCATCTGAACTGATTGTCTGGCAAGAGCGAGAGTACAATCAGGCTCTCAAGGCATACACCATTGCGAGCGAGAATTTGACAAAGCTCTCGAAAGCATCTGTGAACGGCTCTCAACCGGGGCAGGAGCTGAAGGCCGATAAGAACGAAAGTAGCTCATCGAATGGAGGCCAGATAAAACGTCGCAAGACCCACCGCAGTTCTGAATACGCCATGAAACGGGAAGAAGAGCAAAGGAATCTTGACCGTTACCACACCATGAGTCTTCAAAATTTTGGTGCAGCTACTGACGAGGCTAGCCAGTACGGCTACCATCCATATGGCCGAGAGGTAGCCATTGGGTGGCAATTGTACAATCTTGTGCGAAGTATGGCTCAAGGACGCTCAGAGCCTGTCAGAGACTCCTTGAATGGTCTGTATTGTATCCAGCAGCCCTGCATCGTTACTGACCAATCGTACTCCCTAGGCGTTGACTTCGAGCCCCTCTTCGAGGCTGTCAGTCAGAGATTTAGAACGAAGTACCGAGCCTGGAGTGAGAAGAGCAAGTCGAGTCAAGAGGACGCCGACGATGCACGGCGTCAGCTGACCCGGAGCATCATCACCATCCTGAAGACTGAGTTACCTGAACTTTGCGATGACTTACCGGGAGATACGACGGAGATTGGCCTCGATAGGATCTTACAGAGCTCGACAGCTATGGGTCAGGGTAGATATATGATTCACAACGTTCCGCAATTTGTCGAGAGGCTCGGCATGAGTGTTCTCAACTCATTTGCCCCTAACGTTCAGGAAAATGGAGGGAGTGAGGCGGAAGCGTTCAAAGAATAAGCGGGAGCTCCTTTGGATACACGTCTTCGAGCTTTGAGTCGCATAACATTTTTTCTTTTCATTGGAGATGCAGTCCATACATGCAGCTCCAGCGACATAGTGCACGTGCAATAGGTAGTGCGAGCCAAGAAGACTACAAAAGGCGGCGTAGAGTGTCAAGGATTCCGAAATCCGCCACGTTCGGGAGTGGAAGACGTACGTCCCTGTATGATGTACTACATACTGAGCCAATCTGCCAAGAACCTGGGGACTTTCCCCGTGGAGCTGTGCACAGCTCGTCAGCTATAAGAGGCTTGAAGCAAGCCATAGCCTGCAGGTCAAGGTTGCTATTCTGACTTCTCAAGCATAGACACGCCGCTCGCTCTCATCGTGAAGTTACGCCATGATTAGCCACGCCCACCAAACAACATTGAAGGCTCGATATGCTCTCATGGTCAGTCAATGAACAGATGACTGCCTCAGAGTTGATCATCGCCTTAGACCTCCCATGTTCTCCTGTGGGCCACAGCTTTCGTCTTGAATCTCGCCCTGTCCGACGACATAGCTCTCATTGTCATCCATTCTGCGCTCGGATTCGCCATGTTGATCTATGTCCCTGCAACGCTAATCATCACCTATCAAGACCGGATGTCGACGCACAGGATCCCGTTCGATCACGCAGGGGGGGGGGAAGTCGCCTATCTGGCAGTCCAAATGGCTGGATGGCTGACTGCATTCATATGGGGTGTTCTCATCGTTGCGATTGATGATCGATGCCATAACTGGAATGTCGATCCCCGATATGGCTGGTTCGAACCACGGCCCTGCATCACCATGGTTGCGGTTAGCGTGCTGGCAGCGGTAGAGGTCGCTATCTCCACTGCCTTGCTCGTGATGGTCATCAAGCTGGTTCGACGTCTTCCGGACAAACCGAAGAAGCAAGGCTTCCGGTTATCGATGAACCAACTGCTGCGAGGATCGACGAATGCCAAGCTCGGGGAGAAGGAAGCTTCTCGATAGATTCACATGACCAATCTCCGGTGATGACATCAGCGTCTAGATCATGCCTCAATTCCTCGTGTGACACCATATAACTTCGACCAACTAAGGTGTTATCATGTCTTCTTCATCCCTTCTGCCACGAGCGATAGCCAAGACTTCGGCCTGAAATCGGTTGATTCGGCTTGAAATCGGTTGATTTTCAGGCGAGATCCCGCAGATCTGACTCAAAAACAAAAATACTGGAATGATAATAAATAACTAACAAACATAATTTTGGCGTAGCGATGCCGCAGCGTCCAAGCTTGAGCTCGTACATGTGTCTCTCTCACTCGAACATACAGCTTACAGCGTGAAGGCTTAACGAGCAGGTAGACAAAGTTCTTCCTGGACGACAGGTCGTGGTCGTGAAATTGACATTCCAAACTCGGCCACCCTAACGTCGTTTTGCCTCCTATCGATCTATCGGCTTCATCGCAGAGGCGTCAGCTATGGCCCCCGTTCATCCTCGCATCTTAATATGCAGATATGCCTTTATGGTGAGTAAGACCTTATCTGAGAACTCGAATGACATCCAGGCTTTTCAATTCGTTAATTGGGCAATCACTTTCAGTCTAAGCCTTGCCCTGGCTAGAGACTTTGTGTTGTTTATAGTCCTAGCTCTCGTGGGACTGGTCATGTTCATCTATGTTCCCTACGCCTTACATATCACCTACCGCGACAAGCATGTCGGCGTCCAAGGATTCGACCATGCTGGTGGGGAAGTCGCATTTGTCGTGGTAGCTGGAGTTGGATGGTTGATTGCTTGCGGTGTCGATATCCTTCTCACTGTCTTATTGGGAGTCTGTCAGGATGAGGAGGACTACTATCTTCCGACATCAACCAATCAATGTGGTGTCGGAGTCGCCCTTGCCGTCCTTACTGGTCTCCAGACCATCATAATGATCCTCTGGCTGTGGATGATTGTCTTCATCGTGTACAAATCGCCTAATACCTTGAGATCGGAGGCTTATCGAACATCCGTCAATTGGCTACTACGCGGAGCATCCTCACCGCAGAGAGGACCAGAAATTACGTCGATGGCAGAGGAGGCTCCTCGGCCAGTAATGAGGCAAGGATCCGGAACGGTAGCTGCGTCAGCCACTGCGCCGTCACTGCAGCCCTCGTCTTACGAAGGAGCGATACGGCCTGCAGATGTGGGACCTTCGTCTTCCGCTCCCAGCGCTCAGTCACCAAATCGGGCGGCGAACGCACAGACTCAGTGGGAGGACAAAGACGACGCATCCTCCGATTCCCGCATCAACAGCATACACGGTGTCGATTAGCCTGGTCATTCATGTCAATAAAGTATAATTCGGCGAGGGGCCATTCAGTGATCGATCATGCATGTCGTGAACTGATGAGATCTCGCCTCCGGGGTCCTGCAGATGCAACAATGGCATCCATTCACTCCAGGCCTTCCGCTTGCATTCTCTAGTCTTTTCGCCTCAATTTCAGCTCGGGTCGCTCAGTTGCGAGGGTCTCGATAGTGGTAGGACTCTCGGTGGTGGTCTCAACTCCGACGTGATGAGAGGCTACGGAAGAACCTCTCTGCAGCTGTCGGACTTGCGGTTCTGACCCGCCTAACCGGATCCCTGCCTGAGAGGAAGCAGACGCTTCATCACTGGGCAATGGGCGGCTTCCGTATAGAGCCTGTAAGATGGTCAGCAGTTGTCGAGACTGAGACACAGGCAGCCTGACCGGGCGCTCCTCGTCAGACTCATCGCTGGGTTTCTTAGCGGGCATATCATCACCGAGTCCGTTGAAGGTCGCCTGGGGAATTTGATGAGTTATTGGCGTCTTTCGAGTTTGCTGTGTCTTTGTGCCGACAAGCACTCACGTTCGAGACTTCGCTGACAGAAAGTGACTGCAAATTCAACAGGGTCATTGGGATCATGATCTCACATTCCAGTTCGTAAACGCCCTCGTTTCAGCGATTTGCTCAGAAGCTTTGGCGATCTGCCGCGATCGCTTGGAGTTTCGAGCTTCATCCGCTTCCTAGCATAGGGGGCGACAAAGATCAGAAAGCATAGACATCTAGGCATCTGCGATAGCATCATCACTCACCGCAGCGGTCGCCCAAACCCACTTTCTGGTCGATTGATCCCACTTTTACAGTGAAGTCCCGTCCTCTGTCAGTCTAAATCCACAAGGGAGATCCTCTTTGTTGATGCTGCTCATTGAACTCATGATGATCAATAGTGAATGTGGGGGGCCTCAGTCCGTCACTTTTTGCCAACGAGGCGATTGATCGGTAAGCCTTCTTATACCACAGAATTCGCAGTACGGAGGGATGATAGGGCTCAGGAGTGGTGGGCCTGGACTTCGGTCTTGTACATTTTCCTGTCGCAGTCGACCTTTGTCAGAAGAGTACGGTCAAGGGGTACTGAGAGTCTCCAAGGCGAGATTGATGGAAGGAGCGTACAGATCTGACGCGTCAGCGGACCTCCATGTGAGCCCTGACGTGCGCTGAGACAGAAAAAGGGTCGGTGTTTGCCATGGGTATGAAAGGAAATCACATAGTGTCATACATCCTTGATGCCTGGGTCAGGCTGCAAAATGGAGTAAATGAGTGTCCAGGATAGGCTTGGATAGCGGTAGGGCATGGGGAACACATCGATGGTGATAGGAGCCGTTTAAGAGGTAGATTGGGTCCTCTTCCTATGCGGCGCTGAAGAGATCGCCTACATGGACGGACTGACGGCCGATCTTTGCAAATTCACTTCTTGCCGAAATCATGGGGACTCGCTCACGGCTGCTGGTCCAGAGGCATGCCGGTCGTCTGACTTGGATCGAGGCGCAGCCGCCTGGGCACAGATCGGCATCTAGACGAGCTTGCCTCCGGCTCCTGACACCATGCCTACCACTCCTCTCGCCGCCTTTCCCCCAAAGTCCCGTCCAGAATTACGAGCGGCAAGTAAGGAGATAGCGAGGCAAGAGGCTACAAATGCCGTGCTAGGTTGAGGATCAGTCATATAGAGCTGCCTGGAGACGGCGGACAGCGCCTGATGAAGCCTGCATGGTCATGGACGACAGACCCACAATTTGTAGAATGTCACTCGGGATACCTGCCGCTCCTCCTCTGAGGTCCGCGATGATGCGAAGATTGCTTGTGAACATCAGTCATAGCCCAGACACTGACAAAACGCTTCACCCACACCTGAGGTTGGGAAGAGCCATAGCGCTCCGTGTCTGTCAATCGTATTCGGGATGCAGGTATGATTGAGAAGCTTTCTCGGAATTCCGGGTCGGATTTCAGGATTCTCTGAGCATCATAACAGAGTCATTTCACTATTCTACCTCTGAAGTTGGCTCATGTTCAAGAAGCGGACGAGACCTGCAGGGGTCAGAGGGAAGGATACAGCAGAGAACGAGGATGAAGGCCAAAAAATGGAAGACTCCTCAACTGCCGGCGAGGATGGGGAAGATGGGTGAGACCCGCAATCATTACTCAGACCTTGTGCTCAAAGGCTTTTTATTCACCCAGGTTGAGTGTCGATGAGCTCATCATGCTGCGGAAGCTTCGGAAATCAAAGCAGGGAATCGATCTCGAAAAGCTGAACAGAGGAGAACACAGGCATAGGAAGAAGAATGAGGATGCTGGGCTGCAGAGATACGGCTTACAGACGAGGGACGAGGATGTGGACGAGTAGGTCATAAAGTGAAGCGGCGACGGCTGATGGTGCCGAAAGGGAACTGGAGGATGAGAAGGAGAGGGCAAAGAGATTGGTCAGGAGCAACAATTTCACTCAACAGACGAATGCTTTGGACGTGGATAAGCACATGTGGGAAGGGCCATGTTACTGGGGAGCGAAGGACTGACGCTCGACAGGATGGCGTACATCGAGGAAGGTATCGCCAAACGGAAGGGAAACACTGCAAAGGAGGGAGAAGAGATACCGAAACCTTACGATCCTCAGGCAGAGCTGTATAGGATTCCGGAACGTTTCAAATCACTCCCTTCGATCAAGACAGAGGACGAAGAGGGCAACTTGACTAATTCATTGGGAATGCTCAGCGCCATCCCGGAAGTCGATTTGGGCATGGAGTGAGTCCTCAAGCGCTTCTCTTGTCAGCTTCTTGGATTGACACACTTGCGTCACTCAGCAACCGTCTGAGAAATATTGAGGAGACAGAGAAAGCAAAGCGAGAGATGATGGAGCAACGAAAGACGGCCGCACGCCACAAGCCTGAGGAGGACGACTTTTCTGCTGCTCGATGTGAGTGAATCAAAGTATATTCTCCATACTTGGCTGACATGAGCCAGTCTTCCGATCCAAACTCAGGACGGCTTCCGATATCTATGCCGCGGAGGACGCAAAGCGTGATGCTGCAGCTGCTCAGAATGCCCAGAATCAAGCCAGGAACTACAGAGAACCAAGACATGAGTCTGCGACGGATGAGCAGGTATATGAGAGGTTCAAGAAGAGGTGAGTCCAGCTAAACTTTGTTCAAGCGGTTCTGGCCCTCGCCTAGAGCTGAATCAAACCTGTGCAGGATGAAGAAGTAGATTGTGCAGAAAGAAGAGACGCTTGCACCTAGACGTCATTGACATTATGTTGTACCAAGATAGCCTAATCTTCTATGCAAATGCAGCATCTTCACCAATCATCTCTCATCCTCCGAGCTCATTAATCCACTTTGACCTGTCATAACCGGCCGTATATTTTCTCCCAACTCAAAATGACGCCAAGCACTCGCTGATTTTTGCGATCGAGTCATTTTGTAATTTTCAGCAGCTGGACACTTCTTGATCTACTATATCATTGACAAGCTGAGCATTGCTGCGGCTGTCAAGACAACAGGTGGTGGAGGCTATAGTAGCCCGTGGTAGATTCATTGCTTCGGGATAACCGTTGACACCGTTTCGATGAGCAGAGATGCTCTATCTACGTCGGCGTCGGCCGCAACATTGACAAGCTTGCCCGACCGACCGAGCGAGAGGACGCCTTTGGTCGGCTCAGACTCGAAGCGCAGCAGGGGCGTGAGCTGGGAGAACGATAGTCAAGATGATGGAGATGCCTCGGACAGAGGACGAGAAGTGGAGGTCTATGTTCCAGGAGACAGTAGCTTCAGTCAGACGGTAAGCGATTCAGGTTGCGCCAAAAGCCTCTGGGGTGTGTGTACCATCGGACTGATCCTCTTTGAACTTCAGGTGCTCAACTGTCTGGGTGACTTAATAGGTCAGGGGATCCTCGCGTGTCCCTTGGCTTTCGCGTACTCAGGCTGGGTCTTCGGTCCTGTCATGTTGATAGGTTTTGGAGGGATAACCTTGTACACGTGAGACCGCATCTACCTTGGAACAACAGGGCATTCGAGCTGATAAGTTCTAATGATTAGACTCAAGCTTCTCTTGCGTGTCATTGAAAAAGACCGTCGACTTCGGAGCTATACCGATGTCATAGGTTATTGCCTGGGCTCAAAAGGTCAAGCTATCGTCTCCGTCCTATTTGCGCTAGATTGCATGATCTGGTTGTCAGTCAAGAAATACTACCTGTGATGCCATTGGACTGATGCGCATTTCAGGATCGCCCTACTCATCGTCTTCGCGGATTCTTTCCATGTCCTCGTCCCCAGCATTTCCAGCACGCAGTGGAAGCTGCTATCGTTAATTCTGTGAGGAACTCAGGGATCTTGTAAGCGTCGCTTACGCATCACAGCACAATTCCCCTGTCATACTTACCCCTGCGGTATATATCTCTGGCTTCGTTCCTCGGCGTGACCGGAACGTGGTCACTAGTTGGCATCTTGGTGTTCTCCGGGGCTACTACGTACGTCGACTGAGATCTGGACAGCTCCCGGCTGATTTCCGCCGCCCTAGCCCCCATGGACCCGGGTCTTTGCGAGACCCAGCGCATACCGACATTCTGCCTGCTCATGGCGTGATCAAGCTGGGTACAGCCATTGGATTGTTCATTTCAGGAGTATGTGGAAGGTCCTTCATTTCAGGTGACTCTGCCTGATGTCTCACCAGTTCGGCGGTCATAGCCTGGTCCCAACCTTGATCCATGACATGAAGAACCCCAAGCGAGCCGACCACATGTGCCACCTTGCGTATGCCATCTGTCTAGTCGTCTACGTCCTGGTCGCCGTGGTGGGGTACCTCATGTACGGCGCGAATGTCTCAGATCAGGTGAGAGGTCAGGGGAAAGAATCATCACTGACTGTGGACTTCAGGTCACTAAAGATCTAGTCAAGGCCCCTGGATTCTCCCCCCTTTTGAACCAATTTGCTGTTCTCGCCACAGCCGTCAACGCGGTCACCAAGCTACCTCTAGGCTTTCGACCAGTGAGCTTCTCGGTCATTTAGCTGAGTATCTGACACGCGCCCAGCTCGCAGACATGTCATTCACAATGCTTGGCCTTCATCCAACCATTTTGATACCTCGTGTGGCACCTACCCCTCGTTACACCGAACCCAGCACTCCCACCGTTGAGGGTTCCGAAGATTCTCCTTTCATGAACAGTGATGGATTGAACAGTGGCATCAGCTTACATGCACCCCTGCCGATCATAGATGACCACGGCCAACACAACCACCGCGAACGCCTAAAGCTGATTGCGCGAACTTTGATTCAATTCGCTCTACCCGTCCTCCCAGTGATAGCCGCCATTGTCCTGCCGTCGTTCGAATCCCTCCTCAGCTTTCTTGGAAGCGGCTTCGCAGTTGTCATCTCGATTTTACTGCCTATTGCCGCCAAAGCCTCTGTCTATGGATGGCGGAAGCACGAAGTCGCTGTTTTCGCTTTCAGCGCGATCGCCGGGACCATTGGAGTGATTTGTACGTTCGCACCAGACAAGAGTATGTAGTATCGCGCAATGGCCAGACCATCTGAGGCGCGACCGGCTAATGGGGCCTCTCACTGTGTATAACGCTCCGCATGCATGTATCCAACGTTCGCGGCTTACCCGTACCGCTTACGCCACAAGGTCGGCCCGAGTCCGGAAGCACGTTTTGAGCCGAAATGCTTGTATTATTGTATGTTCGATTTCCTTCAACTTCTCAGTGATGCATAGCATGGACAGCTCACCTTTCCCAACTGGTCATGATCTACAGGACCCTGTCTGTGTGTTGTGAGTTATTCGTCTGCTCAGCGTACTCTCACGACACCCCGTGAGTTGACGCTCGTTGCTGACGTCTCCTGACAGCTGTGGGTCATCACCTGGATCATCCGCTCTTTATCAACAGGCTACTCAGTCCGTTGGTCGGGCGCTCGCCAATGCTAGAATACCATTAGTCTATGGAGGAGGCGTCCGAGGCCTCATGGGTGTGTGATGGTTGATATGCCCATTCTGCAAAGCTGATGATTCCCCGTGCTGATAGGTAGCGTTTCCCAATCGGCTCTAGATGCGGGCGGATTCGTCCATGGGATCGTCCCTCGAGCCTTGACCGAACGAAACATGTCGAACAGTCGAATAGCTTCGAAAGAGTCCTCTAAGGAGGCTGAAAAGAGAGGAGGCGAACCGAGGAACACTGAAGGCAGTGGTAAAGAAGTATTAAAGGGGGACAATGAACGGTTTACCTCGGAGATCGTGGAGAGCATGCACGAGGCGAGTGGAAACCCCTCACTTGTGATTGCAGATGCTGATGTATGACTGAAGAGAAAGCTGAGAATGTCGCAAGTCGCTGCTGGTGGATTTGTCGTCCTGCCTGGTGGATACGGAACGTTTGAGGAGATGATGGAGATGATAACCTGGAATCAGGTGTGTTTATCGTGTGAACCCTGACTCCGATTCAGTGCTGACGATCTACAGCTAGGTATACATATGAAACCTGTCATCGTTCTTAACAGTGAGCTCGGCTAAGACTGGTGCCAGCAGGACTGATACTCATTACTAGTCAACAACATCTTCACACCTCTGCGCACCTTGCTGCAGAACGCCGTCGAAGCTGGGTTCATTCAACCCCAGAATCTGGCTTTAGTTCAGATCTTAGATCTACCAGGAGGCGCACAAGCAAACTCGGACGAAAGGCAGGCGGACGCATGGGGACCAGCAACGATCACAGCGCTGAAAGAGTGGTCAGTCTCAGTGAGTCGCGCTCGAGCACGCAGCGAACGCAACACTAATACCTAGGGGTTCAATAGGACGATGCGGGCTATGGTCTCAAATGGGATCAGCCAGGCAATTCTTCAGCAGAAATGCGTGCGAAAGAGAATGTATGACAATAGAACCACCCACCTATGCATCAAGTTCGCTGATGCAGTCTCGCAGGCTGCCGAGTCACAAAAAGAGGAAACGTTTTCGCTATTTACCACCATGCGATTCACTTCCGTTGATGTCAACCGTCCGACGCTGCCGGTCACAAAAGAACAGATACCGCTACTCGGCCTCCACTTCCATCGTCTGAGAAAGGCATTCAGGTTCTTTGCCGAACGCGATGGGCCACATGTCTGGGCACAATGTCCAAGTGATGATTGCATGTGGCAAGCATTAAGTGAGGCTCTGACACGTCGCGAGGAGCAGCAGCAGGGGGACTGGAGGGTGGGTCAGACGGGTGATGGCATCTTAACCTTCCTTCAGATCCGACTGCTTATCAGCCGTGCTGGCAAGATCGAGGTGCAGATAGTGGCTGCTCCTGCGAATGCCGGTAGGTGCATCCTCCCCAAGGGTTGCCAAGTTGAGTGAAGCCAGGGCCCTTCCAGCCGCTACCAGCCAGAGAGAGGGGTCACGTTGTGCGGCCCTTGATATTGGATCCGGAGACGAGTCCGCGCAGGGGAGAGACCCCTCAGTCAAGGGATCTCAGATTATTCAAAACCACGAAGCGGGGCATCTACGACGACGCTTCCAAACGAGCAGGTACGAAGAAGATTTTTCAAGTCTCTGACCTCCATTCAGAATCAGCCAGACCGGACCTTGACCACCCAGAGGTCCTGCTACATACGTCGATTCATTTGCTGGAGACGGCCACTTCGAACATAGCCATCGAGGTGCCGACTGCAAGTGGAACCAAATGGATCACACCACGCCTCCAAGATGATGATCGACCCTTCCTCGACGGAGTGATGCGGCAGCATCTGCTTGCAACCGGCGTCATCGAGGTAGGTGACTTGACGGTGGATGCCTGGCACGAGGCGAAGCGGAAAGGATATAGGATCATTGGCTTCAACGGACTCCGGCAAGTGACCTATCTCTTCACAATTACTCTGATATGGGTTTAGAGGCGTCTGGGAGGCAGAACCAGCTTGATTGCAATCCAGCGGATCTCCATATGGTCCATGTTGTTGGGCTACTGCTTTTATCAAGTGATAGCCTCTCTCGCAGAATCAAGTCCGCTCCAAGCTGCCTTTTGCGCTAGAGCTTCTTTTGTCCGGGTCCTCGCTTTGACAAGTCGCTCCAGCCGTCCGATATCTTCCACCTCATCATAATTCTGCGCCTTCACTGTGGACGCTCCATTAGACTCGGTATTGTTGGAGGGCCCAACCAGCTCTTTCCGCAGAATGGTAATCTCCTCGTCGAGTACAGATAGAGCTTGACGTAGATCCGTCAACTGGATGAGTTTCATTAGATCCGTAACAGCCGTCTTTGCTGTCAGGCCGATATGTTGGAATCGTATGGGTCCAATCATGTCTCCTCCATACCATCTACACACCACGACTAGAATATCGATAGCGGCTTCTTCTTTGAGTATACGAAGGATTCGATCTCCTCCGAATTTCTCCCCGTCATCGTTGTATATCTCCAGTAGCTGAGACAGCATTCAGCAGACGTCTCTCAGAACGGACCACCACTTACCTGAAAATCGTCTTCACCCTGAGTTCCATCTTTGCTTTCTTTGAGACACACAGACCGTAGGGCCCACATGCGATGATCCGGCTCTCTTGCCCTCTCTTTGCCTTTCAAACTGACGACTCTGCCTTCGCCATTCTCGAACGCTCCTTCATCATCCTTCATAACCAGTTCACCAACCTCGAGGGGGACATTTATCTCTCGCACAAGCCTCCTGCATTCTTTCGCCAGCGACGCCTCGGAAGTGATATGAGATTGAGCTGTGAAAGCGGTGGCGAATGCGAGGAAGGTCGAAGATGAGTAGTGAAGTGGTGGTGAATGGGTTCGGAGAGGGGCAGGTTCATCAGGATGCAGCCACGAGTGAAGCGTAGGTGGTCTGGCAGTACGTGCCTTCTTTGACGGACCGGACTCGTCCTTCTCTCCATTTGAGCCTACAGGAGAGGCTCCTCGCTTCTCTCCGGACATCCTTAGTCCCTTGTCCTGCCCGTTGTGCTCCAGGGCTCAAGATCCAATGCAGCTCTAGGGCATCTCAAACTACCTTACCACGCCGGGTCTCGGCAAATAAAATCCAATCTGAAAAAGCAACGTCATTCCTATCCCAGCTACACACCCGTCGACCGACCTCTTCACTCCTCTTCCCAGTCTATTTCCGCTCGTTCGTGTTGTCTTGAGCAGCTTACTCGTAACTCGTCCGTCTTCAACTGTCTTCATGTCCGCTCAATCAGGTATCAAGGTGCCGGACGAGCTCAAGACTGCGTTCTCGTCCGCGCAGAGCGAGGGCAGTGAGACCCGAGCTCTGGTATTCATCATTGACGGGGGTGAGGATCTTTGAAGCCAAGATGCCTAGAGTCTTTTGGACTGACGCTATCGTCTTCACAGAATCTTACAAGGTGCATGAGACTGTCAAGACTAAGGGCTCTTTCAAGGACGATGTGACGCAGCTTGCGGGTACTCTCCCCACTCCCAAGACTCCTGCCAGCTTTGCCTACCGTCTGGACTCTAAAGATTTGGGCAAATGGGAATGGATGATGATCACCTTTGTCCCTGACGATGCTGGAGTGAGTAGGATTTGGGATCCGTCAAGATTGAGGCTGACATGAGCTGCAGGTACGAGCCAAGATGCTTCAAGCATCTTCCAAGCCTGGACTCATGAAGGCACTGGGCGCCAACAACTTCAAGCACGACTGGTCTGCGACTTCCATTGTGAGTGAAGTAAAGGGCTATGAAGCTGATGACATAGAACGATTTGACACCTGGAGCTCTCTCTGCCCACTTGAATCACCTTGCTTCTCCGCCTCCACTGTCTGCGGCCGAAGCTGCCTTGGCAGAAGTGAGAGAAGCTGAAGCTGAAGAAGCTCGTCGTACTGCCCTGGACCCCGAGGCGGAGGCCAGACGCCGCAAAGCCATTGCCGGCCTAGGAGGCAAATTCAAGTGGAATGATGGAGTTGCAGATGCCCTGGACAAGGTCGGAGAAAGGAGTGATGATGGTTGGATCGTGACATTGGTGAGGACCGAACCCCCGCTTATCCACCGATGCACTGACGTTTCGAAGGAAATTCCAAGCAATGATGCTGGAGCTGTCTCTCTCCTTCGATCCGAAGCTTGTCCACCTTCGAAGCTGGCCTCAATGTTGCCTGAAAAGTCCCCGTGCTACACGTTCTACTCTTATCCGACTCCTCCACCACCTCCGTCCGCTACTCCTGCTCCGAAACCCTCTCAGCCTATGGCAGAGCCTAGGGACGTCTTCAGAGGTACAGTCGGCGGAGCCCGACCTGTTCAGGCTTCTTGGGCGCCCGCTTCAGCGGACTCAGCGAAGGAAGGCGAATCTGCGCCAGAAGCGTCAAAGGCCGAGAGCAACGTCGATGAAGAGGCTAAAGACGCGACTGTTGAATCGCCAGTGGAGAAGCCCTCGGACGAGGGCGACGAAGCCTCCAGCGTCAAGAACCTTAGCATCTCTCCGATCGAGACTTCGGCCTCCCCTCAGAAAGGCAAAGGACGGATACTCTTCCTGTATACCTGCCCATCGAGCAGTCCCATCAAGTTCAGAATGGTGTACTCCAGCGGAGTCAGAGGCATGCAGCAAGACGCAGCGGACAAGGCAGGTATAGAGATCAGCGGCAAGGTGTGTTCACGGCTCATTGTCTTCTCGGCTACATGCTGACGTGGCTCGAGATTGAGACGTCTGATCTTTCCGACCTCACCGAGAGTTACTTGAAAGAGAACCTGGCTCCCTCCAAGCCTACTCATTCGTCATCTTTACCTACACCCAAAAAGACCGCCATGGCAGGTGCCACACCTACACCATTTGGAGGAGCCTTTGGTCGACCTCGACCACCAACCGTCAAGACTGGCTCTGCCTCATCAGCTTCTCAAATTCCTCTGCCTTCTTCAGAAGTCTCTACTCCCGCGGGAGACTCGGAAGATGGCGGTGACAATATCCGAAAGGCCTTCGACGCATTTGGACCCAGAGTCGGCGCTGGAGGCGGTGGTGGTGGCTTCGCAAGGCCGAAACCTGCAGGTCGGAGGTGATGATCCCGTGCTGATGAAAGGAGTAGAGAAGGTTCGGTCACATGTAGGGAATGATATTGAAGAAATCCGCAATTGTGTAATGAATCGCTGCCCATCACTTCTATAATCAATCTCCTCCACGTGGCTCCGCTCATCGCGTTTCTTGATTTTGACATTGAGCAGGCTTTACACGGTCAAGGTCTCCAAAGCCGAGAGCTGCTACGTCTTCCCTCGGACAACGAGGCGGCCCCTGGGAGATCATGACGACGGTGAGAGCTTCGATTCCCATCCTATGACATTGAGGTGGACTGACCTTTTTGTTCAGGATCACTTTGCCATTCCCCAAACAATTCTTCGTCATTTCGACCTCGCCTCGTCCCTGTATACTGAAGATGGAGCATCGATCAGTAGCTCTAGACGGGCCTCGTATCCCAATCGGGAGCTGTTCTTTGATCGGCTTCTGACTTTCGCCAACCTGGACGGTGAATCATAGCTGAGATGGACTACACTGAATCGGTGCTCACTTTTGCTGCCTTAGGACCATCCATGTATCCCGCTACGAGCCCTGCAGACCTACGCCGACTCCTACATGCCATTCATACTTCCCATCAGGATCGGCTAAAGCAAGATTGTTATTTCTACTACCTCTTGCGCGATTACGATGATGCTTCGATTGTCGCTGGCCCTCCTGCATCACAAGCTGAGGGCAATTCAAACTTTGAGATGCAGCTGGACGAAGGGGATCAAGAATCGAGTGATGGATCAGAGAGCCGAGCAGAGTCCTTTGCGAAGCACAGATGTATACCTAGGACATGGAGAGTCTTCATGGATGGGTATTGGGCCCTGGATCATGGTCAATGGGAGGTGAGCGTCCGGCAACTGCACGGGGAGACTCAGCTGAATGTCAACCAATAGTCCGCTGTCAAATGTCTGTCCGATCCGTCTGTGTCAGAGCTCAACTTTGTTCCTCAAATTGTCCATGCTCTTGCCACTCTGGTCTCGCCGCCCTCCAAAAGCATGAGCTTGCTCCGTTCCTTCCTTACTACAGCCTCTCTCCAATTGCAGAGTCCAGAGGAGAGGGATATAAAGGTGTTAGCATTGGCGTCCGCTGGATCTATTTTGGAATCGTTCAGGTACATCAGGGAGCAAGAGCGTGAAGAGCGGAGGAGGATGCGTGAACGAGTCTGGACTTGGATGCTTGGAGCGTCTCAAGTTCCATGTGGAGATGGGCAGCACGGCGTCCACCCTAAAGTCCTAAAGCAACTCCTCCATCTGCCCTTGGATCCCGAAGAACACGCACATCTGGTACACTTCGTCTCGCACCCTCCCAGAACCATTTCCGCAGGCGCTCTCTCTGCTTTGCATGACCTCGTGACCCTTCGACTAGTTCACCAAGGTCGATATGCCGAAGCTCTACAACTCGACAAGGAGTCTGCTGGAACCGCGGGCACCGATGTAGAACGACAGAGAAGGAGAGAAATGGTCAGAGAATTCATCAGTATACTCCCTGCAGTCCAAAGACGTGCACTCGCCATCGACGTGGACAAGGGTCAACATTCGCACGATGAGGTCCCTAACGGCGATGTTGTCGAGATCGAGGACATTGACATGGGTTCATGGGTCAACATCGACTCGCCGACCAACGAGACCGCCAATGGAGTCTCAGCAGCTACACCTAAAGCCAAACCATCCATTTCGTATCTTGGTGTCGGTGGGCCCAGCACGACTTCACCAGGTGGGGAATCGCCTCGAGCGCGACCACAATCCCCTTTCACTGGCCCACCACGTTTCGCCTCCGTTCACAGTCGAGCGGTCTCACCAGCTCCATTCCATCGTGTATTGTCAGGGTCACCTTTTGCTCTACCCTCAAGCCGAGTCGCATCTCGGCATGGAAGCCCTGCACCTGCGCACAGACGAATTATCAATGACGATGATGCGCCTATGGATTCTGCATCGCCAAGACCTCGGAATATCTCCTTCGGTTCTGTTTCTAGGCAGAGTATCAGCGACGTGTCGATGCCTCGACGAACCATGGCTGAACAGCTTAGTCACTCGCACGTCGCTGACCAGGCCATGGAAGAGACCCCTCAGGATGCCTTGATGGAGCGAGAGGCGGAGTCGGAGCCTGCCAATGACAATGCGCTGGAGCATGTAGAAGGGCCCGTACCTGCAGCATCTGAGGAAGAACCGGACCGCGAACCCGAAGCGAGGGCGTCCAGGAGCAGCAGGCGGGTAAGAAAGGATAAAGAGCAGCAGGACCAGGAGGTCTCGGCAGCTCCACGGGCTGAGGCTGGCCTCTCAAGTCGTGATGGCGAGCAAACTCCTCCTGTTGCTTCTCCACCACCTTCGCCACCGTCTCACCGCACCCGATCACACGACTCGCCATCATCTGCTCGATCCATCGACGATCTACCTCCACGATCGACCCGAGCTCGGCGGACAAACAATCGGACAAGTATGCCCGGGGCATTTGACCCTCGAAGGGAGGAACCCACGATCCCCGAGCACCAGGTCCTGCCGCCAACACCGGCCCCGACCAAAAGTAGACGTGGCCCTGCTTCGCGCTCACACACCGATGCGGAACCGCCTCGAATGCGAATCACACGTTCTTCATCGCGTGCAGAGCTGGATCTAGACAGCCAAGATCATGCGGCTCCCAAACGACAACGACGCAACGTTCGCGAGACAAGCATTGCCAGCGCTCGATCGGATGTCAGTCAGACGCCGGGTGGGGCGAGAGGGGGCAGTCTTGTCAGGCGGTCTACGCGAACTAGAGGAGACAATGACGGACTCAGTGAGGTCAGGGCATCTCGTACCGGTCGATCTAGATCTGCTGTGACTCCTGCCAGTGACAGAGCAGCGAGCCCTACCCCATCCAATGCCACGTCGATCAGCAGAGGACAATTGACGGCGGCAGTGCCAAGACGCGGCGTGAGCAGGGAAGCGAGTACAGAGGCAGGTAGACCGGCGGCGACAACCCGAAGATCGACACGGAAGAAATGAGGGGAACGAGGCCGAGCCTGGCCTATCATCGCATGCTGTTGACTACTTTGTGATGCATATGCCAATGCCACGATCATCTAAAGGTCATATCCAGACGAATGCCGAAGACGCAACAAGCAACACAGAGACGAGAGGTCCCATGATTGATGGCACATCGAAACGGGGAAGCGAAGCGCCTGTCTTGTTCGCTTGTTCAGCTTGGGCAGCACCGCTCTGGCTGGCCGAAGCGCTTGCTGAGAGGGAGGTGGCCGCTTTGGAGCCCATTGTGACAACGGCAGATGCTTTGCGTGAGGTCGTGGATGTGGGCACGGTGCCGAGGCCAGAGATGACTGTGGTCGGTGAGGGCCTGGCGTCGGATTGGGTACTTCTGGTATACTTTCAGTGCGATCTCTCATCGCGATGTCGACCACTACTCACGGCGACTGAGTCTGAGCCTGAGCCTGAGCCTGAGCATGAGTCGTAGTCGTGGCACTTGCAGCCGGAGCTGACACTCGTCAATCCAATTCTCGACCCAAATTATACGCCAGGCTCCCGTCCAGCTAACTCACAATCTGATGCCGCAGAGTCAGATTCTGCAGAGCTGGGCGTAGCGGATGCCGCCTGACTGTCATCTCCGTCATCCGTCGCTGATGCCGACGCACTAGAGTATGCGCTTGAGGGTCCACTTTGATCGCTGAGGCATGAATCGTCGTCACTAGGTTGTACCTCGATATTCTGGACATAGGCCACGGCTCCATCTGAATCTGTTACTTGGAATATCAAGGTATCTCCAGAAGCCACATTGACCGTCCAAGAAGTGCTATCATCACTGTCGACGTGGATGGTGGTGAGCCAACTGGTCCCGACGTAGTAGCCTCCAATCCCGATCGCGAGGTCTACGGGAGGCTAAGCGGGGGTGAGCGCAGGTTGACACCAATCGACCGGATTCTAATCTGTGAGGCACACGGAGCTGGACAGGACTGCTCACGTTGGTATTTGTCCACGAGACAGTCGCGGACGAGCATTGGACCACATTGTCTGCAGATACTGTGATGTTGTTCACTGCAGCTGGCTCAGCCCACATGTCATGAGCCAAAAAAAAAAGCGCGACTTACCTGGTGCACCGGCATAACTGTCGAAGTCTCGTCGGTGCCACTTGCTACCAAGCACCAATGGTAGCAGGAAGAGACTGGCGATGTGAGAAGCGGACATGACTGGACGATAGTCTTGAATTGACTCAGAGATGAAGACGATTGTGTAGAGTATACAATATGAGCGCTGTCGCACCACTCCCCTTCTACGTTTTATTACCTTACAGCCAGCGGGAAAAATCACAGAAAATCATACGCGACCTGAAACCACACCCCTTTTTCACGAAAAAGGGAGGAGAAGGGGGCATTTTGACGACGCGTGAATGGGTGGCGCTCTTGCTGTGGACGATCATCTTGGGTTGCAACTTGACAGGCTATAATCCAGGAACACTCCCGGGGCTCAGCATATCATGCTTGCTCCCTGGACCATTTCGCCCTCGCCCGACTTCGCTTCACACAGGGGAACTGAGCACGTGAGTGATGAAGATGACAAAACGATTGACAGTAACATCCCGATCAACGATATGGTTAACAAAGAGTTGGCAGGCAATGTTGCAAGTCAGACTGCGTGGTCATGCATCATTCCCCCTCGATACTTCCTCTTGGCAGTCTCGTCATATAATCTGCATGTAAGCTCATAGCCAGAGCGGCGGCATAAGGGATCTTGGGAACACTGTAATGCTTTTCAAACCCATCAACTGCTAGCTGCGGCAGCGTAGACGTGTGGCAAATGGCTTCAGTAATATCCCAAAACCCTTCCCGCTCAAGGACCATCTCAGGCCGCGATCACCTCCGGAGATCTGGCTGCGAAAGAGGCACGATGGCAGACTTCCGCGGTCCGATTGGGACAGTTTTTGGGCAGATCTCAATGGTGCGGTAGCTCATGATGCCTGCCACATTGCCACCCATTTTCGAATGATCCATTGTCATTTCTATAATTCGATCGGGACTGTCTCCACTTGCTATTTACCTATTCCAGAACTGTCCTGTAGAGGCGTCTTCAAGCTGTCATCCCTCGTAGAGCCTTTCGGTGAGTCTGTATTGGCTGCACTCATACCCTGCTTTAGTATCACTGACCGTTCGCCCGCGTAGTCCTCCCCTTTCTCCTTGCACGTTCACTCACGGTGTCGTTCTTCAACCCTTTCAGGCGGGCTCAGGCCGAGAATGACGCCGGGCAGATCACAGTGCAGGTGAAATGGGGACGAGATAGGTGGGTAGGCCTTTTTTTGAATGATCCCAATCAGGTCGTCAGCTACGGATAGTCTGGATGCTGATCTGTGTCTTTTTGTCCCTTCCGAAGATACAACATTCCCATCCCTCAGCCTTCTCTTACGCCTTTGTCTAAGCTTCTCGCCACGCTCTCTACCCAGACATCGATACCGATAGATTCGATCAAGTTGATATACAAGGGAGCTGTGCTCAAAGATCAATCTTTGACCATCGCTTCCTACGGCATTAAGGATGGATCGACGCTCGTCCTAGTCGGTAAGGACGGTTCAGCTCCCGGTTTGGAGCCGCCTAAACCTACGACGAATGCTACTGGACCTATCCGAGGCAAAGTGAAGCAACCAGAGACGACAACAGAATCAGTCCTGACGGAGTGGATAAGCAATCTCGTCAAGTCGACTCTGGAACCTCTCCAGCCATTCATCATCACGTTCATATCGTACACGTCTCCAAACGCTACCAATCGTCCTAGTCAGATCCCGAAATTCGAAGTCTTGCAGAAGGAGCATGCTAGACTGTCAGAGATTTTATTGAGAGGACTGCTGGATCTGGACGGGGTGGAGATCCCAAGTGGGTGGACAGAGGCCAGAAAGGAGAGAAAGGAAGGCGTCAAAAAAGTTCAAGCGGAACTAAACAAGGTGGACGAAGCCTGGGGAGAGAGGAAAAAGCTGGGTCACTAGATTGGCCAGAGCATCTCATGTAGTGTCCTCAACGCCTATCATGGTATGTGCATGAGGGTATATCTATGATGAAAGGTATACAAATGCGTCACAGAGAATCGTCGTGTCAAGAAGAATGATAAAATGCTCAGTACCTGTGGATACCCAAGATCAAGCCCTTGATGTCAGATCAGCGATTCTTGCGGGCACAGCGATGCTCCAATGACGGCAAAGTCACTCACATCTTGTAAACCATCTTGCCCTTTGACTCCTGATCGCCGTCCACTTCATACTCTATCTCAATGTCCAAATCTCGGTTATTCCTGGCATTGGGAGCACATGATAATGTGCCTCGGATCAGGTCGTTCTCCTGTAGCACGTTTGAGCAAGGTCCCAACGATACAACCTCCGAACTCACGGAAACGGTCAAGGTAGTGGGGGTGTAGAAAACTGTCTGCTTCCAATGTGTGTACTGAATGACTATGAGCATACGCCGCATATCAAAAAGAAGTACAATCTCACCTTGGCGTGAGGTCCAGTGCTAAATTGTATCGGCTTGTGGCAAGCTGAGAAAGCAATGTCAAACCAGGCGAGGAAAGCATGTACGTCTGATGCGTGTGAGCTCATATTGGGCACGTTTTGTCACCAAGCTCACAGTCGTTGCGGGAAGCTTTGAGCTCGAAAGGCACCTTGAAGGTCAGATCCTCCTTCTTCGCGGTCCGGATATCGATATGTTTGATGGCACAGGGTTGAGTAGCGACCGAGTTGAGCTCAACACAGTCGACAAGGGGTTCCTTCAGGGCAATGTCCTTGATGCAAGAGTAGTCGAAGCCGTAAACATCGTCCCAGACTTAGAGAGGCTTAGCGAGGATCACCCCAGACTTGACTCACAATTGATCTTCTCCTCTTTGTACGCTTCATCCTCGATCGCAGCGAGGAAGATGGAAGCTTTGTCGGGGAACAACAAACCATCTGAAGCCTGATGAAGCGATGTCAGAGAGGTTCCAAGGCTTAAGGCAATGATACGAACTAGGTATTTGTCCCTCGCGAGGAGGACAGTGTCGAGCATGGATTCGTACAGCAAGAAGTATCCCATCCACTATGGGCTCCTCAGCATCGACCAAGGCCACACGAAATGGTGCTTACCTCGGAGATGATTATGTCGACTTTGTCGACGGGTAATGTCACGTCCTCGAGTTTGCCTTTGACAAGGACGATCTCTAAAAGGGTCAAAGTCAGCCATCTGTCGCGGATGTATTGTCGTCTGGATACTTACGCTCCTCTGTGAAACCGTTTGCTCTGACGATCTTCTCAGCTTGGTCCAGAATGTTTGACATGTCAATTCCAATGACCAGCTTAGCCCCGGCTTTTGAGGCAAACATGGACAAAATACCAGTTCCACATCCGACCTGGATCAAGCGTGAGCTATGCACCTTGAAAAGTACCCGCAGGCTCACATCGAGCACTGTCTTGCCCTTGAACAAGTGAGGGTTCTGCATGATAGCATTGCGGTAAGACAGTGTCCGGACGGTGTCTTTGAGCATTTCCTCGTGGATACCTGGAGATTTATGTCAGTTGGTGGTCATTGCAGAAGATACGAGTCGCTCACCGAAATGAGCGTAACTGAGAAGACGAATGTTTCCATCAGTATGCCTTGCATATGCCCCTCAGTCGATCTCACCTGTCTGCGTAGCTAGACATGAGGTGTCAGCTGAAAAAAGCATCAGGTGTAAGAGCTCACTAGTCCTTGCTCGTCATCTGGTCAACGGGAGGCAAACCTTGAGTGGCAGGGGCATCAACGCCCTTGGCAGCAGAATTGGGATGAGCCATGGTGCAGCAGCAGTGCGATGGGAGCCTTTGACTGAATCAGAGGACTGTGTGTGCTTGATCGCGAATCTCAGCAGGTCTCGCAGCTGCAAGATGTGTATATGCTGAACGTCCGGCTGAATCTTGGACTGCAAAATTCCAACTTTTTTTGAAAAGACAATGACGTGGATTTGATTTCATTCCCAAGCAACGAAGTGATAAGGCTGGTGGGAGTTGCTGCTGTCTTGTGATTACTTGAAGACTTGTTGTCGAGCCTCAGCAGGTAACGCTGCTCTCTGTGCGAGCAGAGGACTGCATCGCTAGTAAAGTGAAGATAGGAGTGCACATCTCTCTGACTCCATGGTCTTATTCTTCACGTCTCGAGGTTGGTGACAATCGCGTCGATGCGAAGTCTTCTGCTGAGCTGCATCTGGTAGCGGTAGATCCGCCAGTCACAATCTACATGTATGTTCTGTGAATCCCGCAACACGACGCAGAGACTGAGTGAGCTTCGCATAGGGGAAGAGACAAAGTTGAGAGTCGGTCAAATCTATCCAGCGGATTCAGACAATCGCTGAAGCCTCTAATGTAGATGAAGAGCTCCTCAAATACGGCCTACCAACTGATGTCTGGTTCCACGTAGAGTGAGTGGCGGCATACATTGAAGATGTTCACATGACCCACTAGCAAGCTATCCTCGGCTCACGTCTATTTGCGCCAATCGGACTCTCAACCCCATGGCACTTGGGACAAGTTGCCAATAGCGCTTGTGAATGATGCGGCTCAACTGGTCAAAGCGAATAGCATAGAAGGTGGGTGCGAACGGCAATCGAGGGGAGGACCGGATATCCTGATTGATTGTCATGCAGGCAACAAAAAGGACAACATCACCGTATGTCTCGCCTGAATCCAGCATGAAACAAACGCCTCGTCTGACATCCCAGATCATCTATACTCCCTTCACCAATCTCAAAGTGAGCTGCCTGATGGTGTATGTGAGAGTGGGCGCCGCAGCTAATGCTTGCTGTCAGAAAACGGGAGACATGGCAGTCGGACAGGTTTCTTTCCATTCCGACAAGCTGGTCAAGCGAGGTGAGCTGGAAGCTCGGTCGAAATGCTGATCTACCTCAGTTCACGTTGCCGCTCGAGAGAATGCCATTGTGAATCGACTGAACAAGACAAAGGTGGAGAAGGTCGTGGACCATGAGGCTGAAAAGCAAGAGAGATTGAGAGAGGAAGGAAGACGGAAAAAGGCCGAAGCGATCGAACGGGTTAGTTGCGACGCCGGCGTACACTAAGAGGAGTCGAGCTGACGATTGTTTAATTTTCAGAAAGCCAAAGAGATGGAACAGAAAAAGACGTGGGAGGAAGAGAAGAAACAGCGGACATATGAAGGCATGTTCACTCAAGAAGCCTTTGACGAGTACCAAGCTGGTAAAAGTGACGATGATGATGATGATTTCATGTAATGAGTACCAGGGATGATTGCGTTTGATTTAGTCTTCGGCCGATCGGGCCAGAGGGAGAGCACGCCATTGTACACACCCTGTTTATAGATGGTGAAGGTAGGGTGCTTGTGTATGTCAGACGAATCAGGGACCTCGATTAGTGTGTGTGGCAAGGACTCCGCCACATTCCTCTCTGGAGTTGACCAAACTGAATTCGCCACTAGAAATGACAACGCAGTCGAGCTCCGGGATGGCGTCAAAGCTCAAAGTTCATTATATCTCATGAGCCCCTGTCCGCCGTGACGTTGCTCTCCCGCGAGGATGAAGTTCGGATCGCATCGAGAGCTGAGCATGCTCGTATCGCAAGCTCTTCTAAAACAGCCAGGGCACACATTGCCGTTGCCACCAATGTCTCAGCTAATGACCTGGTGACCGAACGGTATCTTTATCCCTGTGTTTACTCCATTTTCCTTTCCGTACCCCCAGCCCTTTCAAGCGACAATTTTCCTTGGCTCAATTGACGATAACGATGATGATTATGACCGAATGGTCCACCGGATCCTTTCTCGACCGTCGTCAACTATCGAATCAACTCGACTCAACCGCAATGACTTATTGTCCCCCTAGTTCGCATCTTCCATCGTCTTCTTTCTCGACTTGCCCCGTCTTCTTATATGCGGTGCGAAAATACAGTCTCCTTCCTTTCCTTTCCGTCTGCATTGGAAACAAGGCTGCGATTCATCGCATTTGAGTTTTCTCGCTCGGCACGGATAACAGGATATCGGTTGTCGACGACCACGTCCTGGACCTCTGCCGAGATCGAAACGAGCTCTCGCGGGGTCTTTATCGGGATCGAGCGATGAACTTGCTGCCCTCTGCCGTGGATATGAAGAAAAATCTTGTTCAGAGCTACCCATGACCATTGATGGTTTCGTCAGCTCTTCATGAGTGAGATTAGCGGTTCTCAAGCGACTGGTCGACGCCACTGCACTCGCAGGCGAAGGGGATAGTTGGAGTCTGCTACTGGTAGGCGCTTTCCCCGGCGAATTCTTGCTTCCCGATCTCCGAGGAGAAGGTGCTATTGATGACTCGTCAGGATTACAGTCCTGTTATCCAGCAACACGCTTACCCCAGTCATCAAGTTCGGCAATCTCCTCCCTCTCTCTACGTGAGGTGATCTCCTCGAGCTGGTCCTCGCCATGTAACGAGTTGCCACACACGTCTTGATAACTCTCTTGGTCGAAGGTCCTTCGAAGCTGTTGGTGCCGGCGATTGCCAAGGCGCCGTGGCTGGCTGTCATGTTCGCCGTGGTAAGGCGGCGGATGAATTTTGGACAACGATTGTGATCCGCCTGGATGGTCTTGTCTGCAGAATCGTGTATAAAGCTCCTCAAACCGTTCACTGCCTGATCCGGGAGTCCCAGCATCCTGAGCTGTTGACCTCGCCCAGCCGTCCTGTCCCCCTGCTGGTGGAAACCTCTGCTCCAGTCCTGAGAGGCGCGAGGACCCTGGCAGTTGGATTCTGTCGGGGGGAACATGGTCATCTTCTGTACCGGATCTGACGGCGGACCCAGATCCTTGCCGTCTCTCGCGGGAACTGGTCCACTGAAGGACAGCACCATACAGCGTTTCTTTCGGCTGCTCCAAGTCATCCGTCGCCAAAAAATCAGTTCGGCTTCCGTGCGTGCGATGCTAATCATTCGAGTCTGAACCTGCGGGACCAGGGAGGCCGTCAGTGCGTGCGAAAGAGCCTTGGCTGCGGTAATTGACGTGTCGCGGACGTCCCTGAGAAACCGACTCTGTCTCGCCCCCCGTCAATGTATCGGGATGAATCAAGAGATTCAAACCTATTCTCCTCTGCGATCTGATGGGTGGTCTGATCTGTTGTGTGAAGTTCGAAGCAGATGGTAGTGCGATAGACGGTCGTTGTATGTGTTCATCATCGTCGAGTAGGCTTCGACCTCCTGACGGCGTGGAGAGTCGGTGCCGTTGAGAAGACCTGTGTCTTGCAGGGGCTCTTCGGTCACCGTCGCTTGGTGGCATGGGTCGTGAAGAAGGAGATCTGAAGAGATTGATGCCAGAAGTGTAGCACGGTCACTTGAAAGATGACCTCTCTTCTTGTCAGCTGTCACAGACCCCCAAATCGCGCCAGAGGTGACGGACGCTAGCCCACTGCCTTTCGCAGAGAAGGGGGTGGCGAGTCTGGAATTGTTGGCGAGAAAAGGAGGAAGTTGGGATGAAAGCGGGTTGATACCAAGCACGTAGCTCCAGGTGTACATGGACGATCCCAAAGAATGACATGGGCTCTCTGAAGAGTTGTAAGCGGCGGATCAGGGGGAAGAATAGTTCACGCGTCCAATGTGACTTCGTTTAATACAGTAAGAATGTAGCGACCATGATCATTTTCAACCGTCTTCCAGCTGACACGACTGTCCAGTCATTGGCCGATAGCATCGCCGATGCAGATCTCTGAGCGGTGAAGAGACTGCTTGCCACAGGTACAGTCGAGTTGACGCGCTGTCATGGATGAACATAGTCCTAAAGGAAGGGGAATGGATCAGTTGAAGGATGTGTGTGAGAGGGAAAATTTTCCTTCAATCCATCGTTTTCTTCGCTGAATATTGTACAGTATTCAACCGTCAACAGACTGCGATGGTGAGCTCATCTAATCATGGACATTCACAGGCAGGTCTTGCATCTTACTTGGACGCATGCGAGATAGCAACCTACAAGCTGGACAAGAAGGAAACGAGCCTCTTACGTTAGTATGATGCCGGATCGAGCGGCCCCACATTCCGACCTTTGCGAGCTATGTGCGGCGGTACAAAATAGCGCCGTTGAGGTGGGTAGGAAAGACGTTGGTCAGAATACGTTGGTGTCACTTGTCTGTCCAAGAAGAGTCTCAAAGTCAGCTTTGCAGATCTAGCACTTGCCCAGACAGATAGATACTGTCCAAACATTGCCAAACAGAACACGGCGCGCCTGATTTCTCTTTATAACTTTCCTCTGGTTCCTTGCCGCTTCATTTCTACAAGAAGACACTTCACAGAGGAATGGAGTTTGTGAGGGCACCTGCAGGTTGCGACATCTCTAAAACCTTGGATCGCCTCCGCAAGGTTCGAAGGACTGCAATGTGCTTTCCGGGCCGTTCAAGCTCTTCCACGTCCGCCGGCTTATATATAGCCGGGCAGTTCCTCAATGATCTATAAAAGGGAGTGGATGACCCTAGAAGCTCTCTGCGCGCCGCATGGCTGACTTTCTGACGTGATGCATCGAAATGTCAACCCATGAGACATTCCTTACCCAACACTGCGCCGCCACTGAGTTCTTTCCCTGAGAAATGTTGATTCGCTGCGTACCAGCTTCACGATCTGCAACCTGATGATGTGTGGGAATGGGACCTCCGCGCGGACTTGTCATCTCCTGAAGGCGTATTATTTCTGTTCCTGACACGGTTTTCGTCATGTCCGTGTGCTGGTTGGACGGCTTATCGACAGCATTACACGCCATCATCAAATGGTACCGAACAATCGGCTCGATGCGATATATCGCCGTACGCCTTTATCGTGGTCTTTCAAATGAAGCATGTTTGCACACCACCTCAGCGCAAGTCATATAGACTTGCCGCACACAGATTCATGCATATATATAGTCACATGTTGGAGACGTCGTCTCTCCTCTTCCAAAACAGTCTACACCATGAACAGACTCAAGATTGCCATTTGTCACGCTCTTCTCCTGGCCGGCTGTATCCAAGGCCTACACATCAATCGAAAATGGGCTGATGATACTAGACCAATTCTGACATCCAAAAGGGATGGCGAGGCTCCTAGATGCTCAACAAATGCCGAATGTTTGAAGCTCGGGCTACCTGTGCTCAAGCCCAGTCCTAGACGTTTCGCTGCTCGGAGCGGAGCTTCAAGCACCACGTGAGCTTTCCTCATAGACTTCTTGCCCTTCCATAGTACGGAACTAACGACGTCCAGAACTACTGTGCCCGTCATTGCCTACAACGCTGGCTCTGTGCCCAACAGGAAGCGCAATCTGGCGGCAGCGTCAGATGCTACTGCTCCGCCAGCCGACAGCCTCGGTTACTTGAGCAGCTTGCTAATGCCAGACGGTCTCTTTGAGTCATTCACTCAGGTTGGTAGTGTACCATCAGCTCTGCCGGGTACATCCACCAATAAATCTTTTCATAGGATCTGTCCGCAGCCCTCCAAATTCAGGTGGATGTGACGTCGGGCACTGTGCAGAACGTCATCGTCCCAGGCAACACCCAATACCCTTATCTGTGTGCAACGCAGGGGCCAGACAGCAATGACAACACAATGGGAGAGTCAGGATCATACAAGTGAGTGGAGACAGAAAGTCCAAGGCTTGGACGGACGAAGGATTACCACTGACAGCCATATAGTTATCTCTTTCTCACTCAGTGCTCCAATGGCGATCCCGATCAGGGTCCCCCCGGCTCCAATAACTGCGCTTCCACTGGATCTCCAAGCCAAGATGAGACAGAAACGAAGACAGTAAGCGGGCCCCTGATCAAGATGTAAGGTCTCACATTCTCAGTTCACCGTGAATACCGCAACGGGCGAGCTCACTATGACATGGACCAATCCATTGGGAACCACTCCCTCGACATTTCAGCCCAGCTTGTACATGGATGACAGTGCAGGTTTCATTGGCTGGGTCAGCGATGACTCAGCCTTCCACAATCAATTTGGGGACTCAGCGACAGAAATCCTAAGCGCCCTGCATACTGATGACAGGTCTGCTGAGCTGACCTCCCATAAAAGCAAATCTTCGTGCCCTTGGCGTAGAACGAGGGGCTTTTGAAAGCCCGCTGATTAGGAATCTCAACTGTCATCTATAATCTTGTCATTCCGGAGCGGTGTAGGCGTCGGGTTATGTGAGGACAGTGATATGCAATGAGTCATCTGTCAGGACCAATACCAAACGACTGGGCATTCTGACCTGTCACATTGACTCAGACCCCCAGACGAGCCCAAGACATCCTGTCGTTACCGCGACTGATTTTCATTTTTGGTTGGGGGGTTCTTTTTCGAGCGGAAATCTGTTATGACACAGCCGAACGAACATACGTAGCCCCCTTCCCTGGCGTTGCAGGACGTTGAACGGCAGGTGCCTGATTCGCTTCACCTGGCCGACCTTTTGGACCTTGTTTATCACAGCCATGCAGCCAGACCTACGTGTGTCAGTATCTTGGTGGGATACAACCCATTGGATCATCAGATACCTCAACGGTCCTTGTCTCAGTTTAGCATCACCCACAGGTTCATCTTTAGGGCCTGGCACACGTCTGGGCGTCAGCCGTATTGTGTCGTGAGGGCAATTTTCGTGCCGAGCAGTAGACCGGTGAGATGGGTCGCAGACATTTTTTCTAACATGAGATATTGCGAGTTGGCCATCGCTTTCTCCTATACGCTCTGTTTCACTCTTTGAGATGGACAGAGCAATTCATACTCAACTTTCACCGCTCCCCGCATAAAAGTCCAATTCTCCATGGGATGCTCCAGGATTCGATTGATCAAGGCTTCTTCCTCGCGCAGGCGCGAGACTGAAGATGGGCCAGGACGTCCATTCCCATCATCGCTCGTAATGCTGCCTCGACTACTTGCAATCATCGACGAAAGCGACGGCTGAATATCGGGGGAGATGCGGCAATACCGCCCGCCAACAGCCTTGGGTATATCGGTAACACCCTTTCCGAAGGTACCTATTGCGAATACCCACAGGTTGGTCTAGTCCACAATCCGAAGCGAACCTCACAAATCACGCTCTGTAGGCTCATTTTAGGCACAATCTCCAAGCATGGGTGAGCGATGCCATGCGTGGCAATCTCGTCCGCTTGTGGCGTACCAGGATATTTTGTGTATCGCAGGCCGCTTGCATGTCAGTCACTGCGTCTTGCTTTAGGACTACAACATTTTCTCTAGTCAGACCCATCCTAAGCGACCATCTGTGCCTGGCGTCAGGGCTGCCTTCTGTTCTTCACCAGGTTGAGGACTGGGTCGAGGGTCCGATGAAGGCGATGTCTTGTCATGAACAGGTCGAAGGCTTCTTAGCGATTCCAAACCTGCCTTGGAGACCCGCCGACCTGGCTGTAAAGTCGTTCGATCCGCCGGCGCCCTGACACTTTTGAGCGCGCGGCCCATACCCAGGCAGTTCACTCACCTTCGATGATGAACCCATTGGCCGTTTTTTCTCACTTCTCTCTCGTCAGCGGCTGGAAGATGGGCATCACTGTTGTCCGTGTCGTCATCTTCATACATGGAGACTTTCCGTGGATATGTGTCGAGACTTTGAGCCCAAGCCGGCGGCAAACTTTCTCTGCCATATCTCGCCGAATACTTTGCAGAAGGTTGATCCGACTCAGTTTGGTCCTCCTCAGCCCGAGTTCCCCTCGCAGACTTCCCGCTTGAGACCTCACCATGGACGCCACCAGACTGCTTGAGACCAAGCTCAGATTCTTCAAATTGCATGAGCTCGGCCACGAAACCGATGTTCGGCGAGATGCCTTTCCGGCGTTCAGCAACGTAAGCATAGGATGTTTTGAGTGTCCAAGCGTTGGCGTGGATGAGATATGCGAGAACCACCGTTACGGACCGAGACTTTCCGGCTTTGCAGTGAACGTAGGTCGGAGCGGAATGGAGTCGGGCGTCGTCCAGAAAGTCACACGCTTCTCGAAGACCTCGCGCCACGCCAGACTCCTCGACAATGTCTTTCATGGGTATGCGGTGATACCGCTCAAATGTCTGACGCAAGCCCAAACCCTCATCGTCGTCGCATTCGAGAGCCACGTTAAGGATCCGCTTGACTCCGACCTTGGTGAGTTCTTTGACATTGGACTCGGTGGTAAGCTCGGGGCCAAGGAAGAGGAAACCAGGTAGAATAGTCGAGACGTCAAAGGGCGACAGAGCACGGGCAGTAGTCGTTGCCGTGAAGGGTGAAGAGGGACCCGCGAATGCTGTCTGCGGAGGTGCAGGATAGAAGCCCCCGTTGGGTCGGGCAGTCTCGGATCGACTGGACGAAAATGACGCTTCGACATCGCGAAAAGAGCTTGGAGAGGGAGGAAGCTTTGATTGAGCGTGGCAAAGGGTTTGCAGTGAATTTGTGATTGGGGGCACGGGGGATCTCGGATCGGTCGCCGAGGTCCAGCCTGGAGCTGAGGTGGATATTGACGACAAAGCATTGCGATCCTGTGGTGGGGTGGTAGCGTCGAACGACCCAACAGTGGCTGACCGAAGGGGTGGGGGATCTAGGTTCAAGGAGAGTTTAGGAGGCCGACGCGACGTCCCAGGTTTTATACTTAACGAAGGAAGATTTCGTCGAGCTCGAGTATTGTTCAAAGAGGGCAGAGACGGATGATGTTTGAGGGTGGGAGGGAAGGGTTGTGATGAAGGTGAGACTGGCGGGGGAACAGGAGTGTGGGATACGGGAGCGGTCTGAGGTGGTGAGGATATGCTGGCTCGTTTGTCATTCTCTCCCGAGACGAGTCGTTCGCTCGCTTCCGATGACGATAAGATAGCTTCCCAGCCTCCTTTGAGGACTCGGACGCGACCTCGTGGGACGAGCACCTCCAGGATCTTGCACAACACAGAGGCCATCTCCTCTGGGTCCGACTGACCGATGACAACCATGTCCAGGTGGGCGTCCAGGTCCACTCGATCCCATCGTTGTTTGCCAGACGGAGTCGAGACGAACGATCCTAGAGATTGCCAAGAGGTTTTCTGGGCGGATTGTCGTCTGAATCGTTTGAACAAGAGGGAAGGGATCGACATGTTACAACTTGATCGGAGGTGAGACTCGAGGAACGTTCCCAGCGGTCTCGTATCAATGACGAGGAGCTGCGGAGAGGTGTCTATCGCGATCAAGAGGTCTGCCGTAGAGATCCTGTTCGATTCGGGGAGACTAGGTATATCAGGTGTATTCCGACCGCTGGACTCTGCACCCGAGTCAGAGCCGAGTGGAGAGTCAAATGGTCTAGCGAGGAGGTTTTGTTGGATCGTATTTCGGAGGAGAGAGAGGTCTTGGAGGTCGTTGGAGAGATTCGATTCGGCTCCTTCGCTGTATGTCGATACAGCTGTCGTGGGTGGCTCAAGGGAGGCAGAACGGATCGGATCAGGTTTCAGGTCCAGAGGGGTAGGTCGCCGACGAGGCTTGGGTTTGGGCACATTTCCCATATGTAAGGGTGAAGGAGAAGGATCTCTAAGATAGGGTAGTCGCGAGCTGCCATTGTCGTCCGAGTCTGGTGAATGAGACGTATAGGATGAGATCACGGATCGACCTGTCGAAGGCGGAGAAACGACCGGACCGTGCCGTGAGGGCCCAGCCGATGATGAGGGTCCAGGCATATCAGATCGATCTGTCGGAGAATAGGTCACTTCGTTCATGGTCAAACTGATTAGACCTTAAGGATCTGGTTCTATAGCAGTACCATGGCCTCTAAACGTCGGCGTTTGTCATGCGGACTACCAGCTGAAAGAGATGGCGCACTGCACGCACTCCAAGGCCACGGACAAAGGGAGAAGGTGTCTGCCCCTCGACGAATATCGCGTCACGGCCGTCAACTCGCTCAGGATGACAGCAAAAGGGACGCAGATGGAAGTATGAGACCTGTCGAGATCAAAGGAAGAATCCAGATATTGAACAAGAAATCAAGAACCATACCACCGCTCGTCCTCCTGTTTTTCAGGTTCTCGGCGCGGCAAAAGGACGCGAATCCGCGATACGGTATTACAACCGGATTCATTATGATGTGCTTACAAAGTCTCACGGAGCCAGCTTGGAGATATCAGCTGAGCGCGCAGTCCCGTTCAATATCATCTCTGCGAGTAGGCATCCTGTACCTGGTCCAAAGGTGATACCCCAACAGGTCAGACTAGGGGATTTGTCAGTATCCTCGGTCCGGCCTAGCGGAGACGGCCGACTCACCCAGATCCTACATAGACTCCCTCGACACCTCTGACTTTACCAATCAATGGTCTCCCTCTGTCCGCTATGGGCAGATAACACGCTTGCTCCGCTTGTACTTCGACACCTCCTTCTTCGCTGAACACGGAGGACAGCGCGGCGGCTTCACGCTTAAGCTTCTCGATGGATATAGGTGAGGGTTTGACCTCTGCCGCAGTGGCTGGCAGCGGCTCAGAATCTCCAGCACCGCATCTTTTGATGATCAGCGTGAGGACGGGGACAGGAGACAACGCACATATAAGTCGTTCCGTCTGGTCTGGCATAGACTTCAGGTTCCGCCACACTGTCGTCCTCCAATCGCATATTGGTGAAGAGGCAGTGGGGTGTGAGCTGTTCCTTGGTCTTGAGGACGATACTGTGGGCTCTGTGACCAGAAACACCGAGTCTCCTCCCAATTTGATTGCCTAAGAGATCTATAGCGACTTGTCCTGTCCACGGTCCAGCCGTAATGACCACGACATCTGCCGGTAAAACTTCTTCCTCTCCAGACTGCAATCTGACCTTGACACCTGTCGGGGAAAAGGTGGAAGAGCCTGATTCATTACTGCTCATGCATAATGAGACCGCTGTGCCGATGACGATAGAAGTATTAGGCGCTTGAGTGAATTGATCCGCTATGAATGTGGTGAAGAGTCTAGGGTGAACTTGAGCAGTCGTGGAATGTGTTCCTAATGATCGAGACATATGGACAAGACCCTGCGGGAGCCATTTGACTGGAGTTTGACGTTTAGCAGTACGTGTCGCGTCCGTCTCGATGGACTGGAGGGAGCATCAGAGGAGACCATCACAGGAACACCTTACCAATGTGTCTACCGTACGGTATCCCCACTTTTCAGCTCCGCCGTACTGTTTTGCCAATTTGGCATGAAGATCGAAGCTCAGCGCAGCGAGACCTGATCATCAGCTATGGCTCATGAAAGGATCAACGCACTGGACGTCGCTGAACCGTGCCAATCTTTCGCTAAGAATCCACCACTGTATCCTGAGGCAGCAGCGGCGATCTTCGTGCCTTCGACAATGGTGATCTTGGTATCTGGAGACCGAGAAGTCGATTGAGATAGATAGTAGGCGGTGGTTGAGCCGGCGATTCCACCGCCAATGATGACAATGTTCTTTGGCATGGTGCGTGTAGGCAGATGCAAGGATGCGCGATGCAGACCATTCATTGGCAAAGCCAATGAATAGACGAGCTCTTGATCGGACAACCTCCACCAGGGACATAGTGCCACACTTGAGATAACGCCGATTCCCACCGTATCGGCGTTATAGTCCCCATAAGGGCTCGTGACGCACGCTGGCTGGCTGGCAGCGAGAGAGTCCTCAGCCGGTTGGACCCGCCACGACGATCTGTATAACATTATTGGACAACCTCAATATTGAACTTCGCCCAAGATGTGGATGCTTGTGGGTGTTGAGCTTTGGAACAGCTGGCTGACAGTGCAGAATTGGTTCTGGGACATCCTCTCGCAGCTAGGTATGTTCGTTCCATACCGTCCTGTCTAATGATCAACTCGTACTGACCCTTGCCGCAGGGCTGACACACAAGAGTACGCGAATGACACCATATATCATACTGACACGTCAGGTGCAAAGCTCCTGTTCCTTGGTCTCGACAATGCTGGAAAGACGGTGAGCTCAGCGGGTTTTGTAATGTGTCGCTGAGACAGGCCTCAGACCCTCCTGCACATGTTGAAGAATGACAGGTTGGCCACACTTCAACCGACTCTTCATCCGAGTGAGCAATGATACATTGCCTGACAGAGAATTTGCAGCTGATACCCTTTTTCCAGCCTCTGAAGAATTGGCTATTGGCAACGTCAAATTCACGACGTACGATCTTGGAGGACATATGCAAGCTCGTCGGCTGTGGCGAGATTACTTCCCAGAGGTTGATGGAATCGTCTTCCTGGTGGATTCAGCAGATACTGAACGGTTCCCAGAGAGCAAAGTCGAGCTCGACTCGTTGTGTGAGTGAAAGTGATGTACGACGTGACGGCGGTCATTCGAGCTTGATCTTCCGATCTGAATTTGGCTGACTTTGAGCCCTCTGTCTTCCCCCAACCCGTCACCCCGCCTCTGCCCGTATGCCGGACTGCGCTCCTCTCCGCAATGGAATTCGCCCCTTGTCTTCAACGCCTCTCGTCTTGCTTGCTCTGGCTCACACAGTGGGCATTGAGTCCCTCGCCACCGTCCCTTTCCTGATTCTCGGCAACAAGATCGACGCGGTCGGTGCTGTCTCGGAGGAAGAATTGAGGCACCAACTCGGAATGTTCCAGACGACCGGCAAGGTGGGCAATCAGTTCTCCTCACACTTCGACTGACAACGTCATAGGGCAAGATTCCTCTCAAAGATATCCGCCCGATCGAAGTCTTCATGTGTTCAGTAGTTATGAGGCAAGGTTACGGAGAGGGATTCCGATGGTTATCCCAATACGTGAGTGCATGCGGTAAGAAACGACATGGTTCTGACGTCTCTGCAGATTTGAGACTTAGAGTGCCAATGCCTTTCATATTTTTTAATGCCGCGGACGACACCCTCTCTCTTGCCTCTCCCTATCTGCATGTTACAGCGTTTCTTTGAGCATCGTTCTAGAGCCAAACAAACGTCGTGACCTGCTTCAGGGACTCATCCTTGGCTGCCATCTTCCACTCCTGTCCCTTTTCGCCCCCTACTTGCCAGATCTCCACCCCTCCGGCATCTTTTCCGGCCAAAGCCATGAACTTGCCATCGGGAGAGATCATCATACCTCGAATGTGATCGCACTCTGTACGGACCCAAGAAGTGTGACCGACCTTCGTCCCAGATTCGTCAAGTAGAACGATGGCGATGGCGTCTCCTTTGACTTCCTCGCCGTCGTATGACGAGTCGCTCTCCTTGATGTGTTTCTCGAGTCTGTTGCTTGCGTATAATGTTCCAGGGTACTTTGGATGATTCAATAGCTCGGCAGCACCGAGGAATTTTCGGTACTTTGGGGCAACGGTCGGAGGGGCAATGTTGTCGTGGAAGATGGGCAAGGAAGAGGGATCAGCGATCTTAAAGCTGAAGATGGTCTGATCAAGCTCTCCGAGCACATAGAGGTGTTTCTCTGAGCGTGCCTCAGCAAAGACGACCTCGTCATTCGTTCAGCTCACCATCGACCGAGACGACTCCGTGACGCGGTCCAGAACCTTTGGGACACTGGAAATGACCGACGATTTTGAGTCCAGATTCTGTAGAGTTGTCCCTTTTGACGATCCATACTCTGTCACTTCCTAGATCAGGCGCGAACAATTGATCATTGGGTCCTTCAATGACTTGATGGGGGTGAGAAGAATCCTGACGATCGGGATTGGGAGCTTCGATATCTTTGTACATGTACGGGAAGTGGAGTGGTTTAAGGGTCGAGGAGGTGTCGAGAGCGTAGGTCGAGGTGGTAGGGATGAGGTGTGCGTTGCCTCCCATGTACTGAAAGCGTGAGTACTGTCCTTTCCGTTTCGTCCACTCACGTTGCCTACGACAATTCCTGATCCATCTTTCAATGTGTGGACTGTCATGAAAAGGGTTGGTATCAGCATCCTGTCTAGGTCTTGGCGGTGAAGACCTCCTCACCGTAAGCTGGAGATCCTTGCAAGTCATACGTTCCAGTGACTTTTAGTTCCTCCTCTACAAGATCAAGGGAGACAGCTTGCCCCTTTTCGATCTCCGCAATGGTGTAGAATGCCTGACCAGAAGGCGTTTTGAGCTTGGGGGAAGATACGCCAGGATCAATCCATGAAGGTGCTTCTGGCACTTTGGAGTTGGAATGAACCTTGATTTTGGCAGTACTAGGGTCGAACGAGGCGTAAGTGATGTGATTGCCGTAGCCTCCGAGCAAGAGGTTGTACACCATGTTGAGTTGGATGTCTTGGGATGAACGATACGAGCGAGAGATATCGTGAAGGATTCAGGATGACACCCGGTGACGGTGAACCCTTTGACTCAGGGTGGGGGGGAGTGGAGGTAACAGGCGGGGATTGGCGGAATTTCATTGGCAAGTGGCACGCTGGGGGTACACTATTGCCTTTCACACCGGATGGATGTGTGATGCATGTATGCTGATGATCTACAAGCACTTCAACAGCTTCCAAGCTGCGTCAAGATGTCAAGGACCACTCTCTACCTATCTCAGGTGTCCTCTTATTAGCCTAAGCTTGCAATCCCCTTATGGAAGGTATCGGAGGCAGGCGGAGTCAAGGCCAGGCCACACGTCAGAACTTCGGTGTATTGCCTTGAGAGTCAAATGGACTACAAGGCGAGGGAGTTTGGGCTGTTTGCACGTCTGGAGAACCACTTTGACGTCCTCGTCTGGGAGGCTGACCAACAATGCCAAACCCCTGGATCCATCCCCCCCTGAGTCACCATCTCCTTGGCTCTTCCTACACCTGACTTGCTCAATTCTCAACACCCATTGATTCGCTCATCCATCTACGCATTGAATGGGTGAGAATGTCAGGTCCACTCAATCACACGTACGAGGAGGCATGAAGACAGGCGTACGTCTTCCTCAGGTTCCATAAAGAGTTACAAGTCCACCACTCTACCTGCAACATTATCGATCACCTCAACGACGCCTCATGTCAGAACACCCTACAGTATGCACTGTCCCGCGTGTTACTTCTTTCTGCCTGTGCATCTCCACTACTCCACCTCCTGTCCACGAATACATTATTCTAAACAGTCTGGCCCTCATCGATGATCCTCAGCCACTGACACGTCCTGTTCTAAGATTAACAGGTACCACTATGATGTGTACGAAATCAACTTCCACCCCCTGAAAGGTACGCCTGCACGCCATTTCTTAAATGTTGCCACCCCCTCAGCCGCCTCTCACCACTTATTATCATTATTTATGACATACTCCATTCTCTTCCTCCTCTGCGTGCGTCACTGCGCTCGCTCCCCGGACACCTTTTCATTCCCGCTGAATGCATGCAGTGATCAATTGCCGCGATTGATTAGATTAAGATTAATCTCGTATATGAGCTAGATAGAGCATGGCAGCCAGCTAGGCGAACAACGACGACAGACCGGGTTGGAAGGGAAGGTGGAGTGTGCCTGAGATCCGGGATTGAACTTGCCCAAACGGGCATAGCTTGAATTCTGGTACACGGCGTTCGTGCTGATCATGTCCCACGTTGATTTTTTCGCTATGGTCCCCGAGGTAGACCAGCCCATATCGGGACAAGTCAGTGGAGCAAGGAAGACTGTTACGCTAAGTCGTTAGTGACTGGAGTGATATCAGATGCCGGAAACTAGCTAGCATTCTTGGGTCGTCATCTCCCATCGAGATCAACGATCGACAATTGTCGAATTGTGGCACCGCCGCCGCATCGTCTGTGGCATCAGAGCTTCCTGTCACTCGCTTGCTCGTGTCTTCAATTGATCATACATGTACATGTAAATATACAACGCGTCTATTCGAGTGTTTAAAAGGAATTGTCCGTTGTTGTTGTTCTACTACTGAGCCATGCCAGGGAACAAGACTCGCAGATCACTCGAGCTAGGTTGTTTGCTCAAAGTCTCATGGACATGAGGTAATTGATGAGGCTGTTGGTCGTATCCCCCAGGACCAGGTAGAGTCGCATAGCTTCCACTGGATACCGCGGGACTCGGTAAAGCTTGTTCGGAAGAATGTAGATTCAGACCTGTAGGCGTGCCTACACCGATCCCAGCACCACTGCCACTTCCGGGCCAAAAGGCTCCCCCAGTACTTCCGGTCGAATCACGTCCGTGATGCAGGGTAGTGGGAGCGTATGGCGAGTGAGAAGTCGGTGAGAGGTTGACATATTCATGGTGCTTCTCCTCAGATGGGGTGCGGGTAAAGTGGTCAGTCGGGGAAGGATTGATCGAATGAGGATGACTCATTTGAGGCGTTTGTGGCGCTGGAATGTAATTTGGGTCGTAAGATGAGGTGGACGAGGAGTTGGAGGCAAGAGTAGGAACAGAACCACTCGAAATGGCAGAGTACGGCTCGCTGTAGTTGACACCATAGTTTGTAGGTGGGAGGGGAGCTTGATCGCTCAAGATGGGTGTGCTCGAGGCAGATCCAGAAGAAGAAAAAGGATAGCTGGCAGACTGGCATCCAATGAATTAGCCACAATGCCCAAAACGCTCCCGCGACAACTCACGTATTTGCCAATGATCTTTTTCAATGCCGGTCCCAGAATTTCCCAAGGGAACACCTTGACATCCTTTTCAATATTCCTCGGTTTAGGGTTCGGGAAGCCCATGATCGTCTTGAAGAATTCTTCACTTCCAGCCTTGTTCTTTGACACTGTTATGGGTCTGAATCCCTCAAGGTTCCTCCTGATACGATTCTTCTCCTCGACTGTGAATCGAGTGCCGACAAGCGCTTCCAGCAAGTAGATCGTGTCCACCGAAGTGACGTAACACGCATTCTTGTCTTCACGGAAGATGCAAGAGATGATGATGGATTGCTGTTGTTGAGGGTACTCGGCCTGGGGAAGCGGCCGGAATGCGGCGGAGATGGTGGTACCATCCTGCCGTCTCCAGAACTGGACCAATCGGCGTCTGCCCATCCACTCGTCCTCGGTCCTGTGGGGGAGAGCTATCAGCATGACGCCAGCGGGCGGGCGACATTGAGTCAACTCACCATCCCTTTGCCATGGCATCGAGATCTCCGACTAGCTCGAGGCTGGCCTTGTTCCCGCCTGCCAAGATGTACGGGTTGGCAGCTGCAGGGATAGGCGCGACGACCTGAGTGGCTCGCATCAAGCTCGGTTGGGGAGCGTTGAAATCATTTGTGGGTGCCGGGCCTTGCGCAAGGTAAGGGGACGCGTAGGCAGTGTCGTAAGTCTTCTGCATTTGAGGATACTGGGGGATATCGGGGGACTCGAGTTTGATGATTCCATTGTTGGAGACGGCACGTCGGTGAAGCAAGTGGTTGGGAGAGGGACGGTGGCTCTCGAGAGCTTCGCCTGCTCGCTTCAGTGGGTTGCCAGCGGGCGTGTAGTTGGAGTAGACGGGAGCTAAGAGTGAGATGTAAGCACGGTGCATGTGTGAGGATGTCTCAACTCACCCTTTGAGTTGATCGAGGTGTAGGTGTATTCACCGACGGAGATGGTCTCGAGGACAGTGGAACCTCCAGCCAATACTTGAAGGTGGATAGGGACCCTGTTGGATCTGCCCATGAGACCGACGGGACCTGTACTCTGCCAGCTTGGAACATTGGCTTGGAGTTGACACATCTGACCGCCGAGACTGAGGTTGGCGGAGAGAATGTGGACCTTGGTCGGGACGGGATGATTTCCAAACACCAGGCGCATAGCTCGACCTCGAGACGATGAGGACGAGGATGAGCCAGCGCCATCGGGAGAAGTCGAGGCGTCTGAAGGAGGAGGACTCGGTGGGAAGTGGACATGACACTTGACGGTGATGGGGGATCCATGAGTACCTTCGGGAGGACCGTACTCATGGACTGTCACGTGAGTCTCCTCGATGGGAGTGAGATCGAACATTGGTTCGTGGGTTGGTAGTGTGTTGGCACTGAGTAAGAGTGGAGAAGCAGTTGTCAATCCGTCGAATTGTTGTGTGAGGGCCGGTGACATGTACGCGGGTTGTTGCCTCGGTGCGGCTTGGAAAGCTGAAGCGTAAGGGACAGCTGGACTATTGTTGAGGAATGGTGAATCCGGAGCTGGTGAACCTTGAAGTCCGTGGAGAGGAAGGCTCATAGGCGTGGTAGGTGTTCCAGGTGACGAATTGTATTGGAGGACAGGTTGACGATAGATGGGAGTCGGAGTGACTGGGACAGATGCTGGATTGAAGTAACCCGAGATTTGAGATGTCTGTGGCGGATAGGATCCATGATTCGGGTAAGGATTAAAGGTCGAAGGACCAGCGTAGGGTGTGTGCATCATGACTGAGGAGGGCGTGTGTGAGCTGTTGAACTAGAGAGTCTGAACCCGTTAAGTGAGACTTACTGAAAGATTAGGGGGGAAGTGGAACCGAGAGACCGGAAGAGTAATGCAATGGAAAGAGGATCCAGCCAAAACAAAAAAGACCTTGATGTCAGCGATCTTGAACGAGTGTGTTGTTCTCCAGAGAACAACAACGACGATCTCCAAAGGCCAAGCAGGAATGGAATGCAGGCCAAAGATGAGACACTGGAGAGACAAGAGACAACGAGAGACGAGAGGGGGGGGGATAATATATCGTCGATCCCCTCTGTAGTCCCAAGTTCATCCATGATATCCTCTTTCGGATACAATCCCAACTACTTTCGACGGCCTCGGCCACTGATACGATCATTGAATTGAAGCTTGTTCCTAAAAGAAACGCCTCTCTAGCATTCCATCTTTGGACGAAAAGCCAACGAGGTGGGTGGCAGTAGGTTGATGGTGGTGGTGGGTGGTGGGTGGTGGAGAAGCAGGGGAGGCGTCCTGTGTGAGAGCCCAACGAGAGATGTCCACGCATGCTTCAGTCATAGCCAAGGGCGTGCTGAGACAATAATTTTTTTAGATCATTGACCCATTTCCGGCCGATGAATCCATATTTAAGCTTTTTGGGGGGGGTGGCCCAGGTGGCGGCTCTGTCCCTCTGCCCTCCGCCTCTGCTCTTCCCCTTTGCCGGCTTAGTGACGGCATCCCTTCAGGTATAATTCTTTTAAAGCTGCCGGTTCCGGATCCGGGAATTATGTCAAGATAGCGTAATCAATTCCGTTTCGATTAGTAGAGAAGAAGGAGGAGGAGGAAGAAGAAAAAGAAAGAATAATTGAAAAAACTCTAATGCTTAAATTTCCCACCAACCACGAACAGCCGCCACACTTGAAGATCGAACCACAATCACACACTCACTCACTCACCAGAACGGGGGCTGAATGGGCAGATCAATCAACAGCGATCGTTGATCGGTTCGCAACAAGAACCTTGTGTCGGTTTCGGGGATATCGTCTTCTTCGAGGTGAATGCGAGAATACCGAAAAGAGATCCAATTGGTGGTGATCTTCCTCGGTGGCTGAATGGTTAGATGGATGATCTACTAAAGTCAGCGGCGAACCGTAGAAGGAAGGCGCAGAGGCGACATTTGAGGCGGGGATCGACAAAGACTTGGCGATGTGAGAATGACTGAAAGTGAAAGCAGGAGAGAGATCGGTAGGACACGACACGACAGGACAGGAGTTGGCTGGATATGAGACGATAAACTCACCTCGCTGCACGATGATCTAGTATCGCTTTCGAGCAAAGCCAGTGAGGGGTCGACGCTGTGATGCACAGACGCGATGTGTTGTATTGTCTCTTCCAAGTGCTCCGTTTTTTCCTCAGACCCCCTTTTCAAGTGTCTCTCTTATTTGGGGGTTGGGGATCCCTTGGAGCGAGGAGCCAGACCAGATCAAAGCCGTTACTGCTGAAGTGACAGCCTCTGCTCGCCTCGACGTTGCCAAAACGTGGAGAGCAGGATCTATAGTCGTTTCCAGCCTAGGTATTATGCGAGACAAAGGTGAGACGGGTCGGGGGCAGGTTGACTTGAAAGGTGGCGAGTGAATGTATAGAGTAGAGAGAATCTTGTAGATCCTGGCTGGCTAATCAAGTGCAACGACCATGGAAAGAAAACACATGCATGCATGCTTGTCCTTGTTTGTGCACATCTGAAACACACATCACGTCGTGGAAGCGCACGGATGTATGAGAGGAGGAGAGAGACAGAGGGGGAATGGGCTGGAACCCAAAAGCGCACTTCAGTAGGTGACTCGTCAGGTGATCACATGCATTTTTGATGCGCTCCTCGCCTGGAGAAGGGGGGGGGGGGGGTATTTTGTGGCAGGTGATCAATCAGCTTCATTTTGCCCCGCTGACCAAATATGGAAACAATCCACTTCGAGAGCTTTGACAGCCTTTGCCCTTCGCTATGTTGCCATCTGGAATCTGGGCTGGACCTCAATGTGACGCTAGAGTAAGAGCGTGCCAAGACTTTGCCATTTGAAGGATATTCCATCTCGTCGTTCGCGTGATTTGCTCGAGGATCCTTCATCGACTTTGAGCATGCAATCCACGCAGCACGGTAGCATTGTCAGGATGGGTAGTCGAAACATACTCCACGGCATACACAGCACGGAGGCATACTCAAGATGAGCCGTCGACGGGCTCTACTGCATACAACGCCGTGTCCAACCGTCATCGGACTAGGACCCGCCGCCCATATGGCCTCCTCCTCACACGTGACTCGACGTGAATTGCCATTCTTGGGAATTTATCGGAACAGGTCGCGGAAATGGCCATTCCGATCGGGGTCTCCCCCTTCTCCCTCTCTCTCGTGACAATCAGTCCGCCTTACTGCGTTACAAAGTACCTTGAGCTAATGCCATCCATTCATTGAGCAGTGACGGATGCATGGCATTCTCCAGCGAGGCCGAATTTTTTGGATGTGTAGTAGAAGTATCAATGCTAAAGAGCGGCGGCGGAATGACGAGGAAGAATGAAAAGTTTACAAATGGACCAATTATCAAAACTTCTTACCATGCACCACCATTTTACATCATTCCCATACCGGGCATACCACCCATTCCTCCCATACCTGGCATGCCACCCGCACCCTTCTCCTCAGGAGCGTCGACGACACAAGCTTCACTCGTAGTCAAGAGACTGGCGACTCCCGAAGCGTCGACCAAAGCCGTCCGGACGACCTTGAATGGGTCCAGGATACCGGCAGAGATCATATCGCGGTATTGGGATGTTTGAGCATCGTATCCCCAGTTGAACTTTTCAGGGGTTCCATACTCTGAGAGAAGTTTTCCAACGACTACTGAGCCCTCTTCACCTGCGTTCTCGACGATCGTCCTCGCTGGGCGGGTGATAGCTTGACGAATGATGGAGACTCCGAGCTTCTGGTCAAAGTTATCCACGTTCAATGAGTCAAGGTGGGCAGATGCTTTCTGAGGAGGAGGGTTAGGACCGGCGCGTATCACAGGTGTCATGACTCACCAGCAAAGCGGTTCCACCTCCTGGGACAATACCCTCCTCGACGGCAGCTCGAGTAGCGTTCAAAGCGTCGTCATATCTGTCCTTCTTCTCTCCAACTTCAACTTCACTGCTTCCCCCGACCTTGATCACGGCGACACCTCCACCAAGCTTGGCTAATCGTTCCTGAAGCTTGGTCTTGTCGTAATCGGAAGTGGTGGAGTCATTGATGACGCCTCTGATCTGCTCCAACCGATCCTGAATGGCGGCCTTGTCTCCTTCTCCGTTCAAGATGATAGTGTCCTCCTTGGTGAGGACGACAGACCCAGTAGTTCCAAAGAGATCAGGGGTGGCTTTGTCGACCTTGATATCAAGTTCATCCGTAAAGACGGTACCTCCAGTCAAGATGGCAATGTCTCCAAGGATGGACTTTCGGTTGTCACCGAATCCAGGGGCTTTGCAAGCTGCCACTTGGACTTGTCCACGGAGTTTGTTGAGAATGATAGCGGCGAGAGCCTCTCCGTCGACATCCTCAGCGATGATGAGCAGAGGTCGACGGGTCTGAGCAGCGATTTCCAAGGCCGGGAGAATGTCCTGGAGAGCAGAGATCTTCTTCTCGGACAAGAGAATGAATGGCTTTTCGAATTCTACTCGTTGATTTTTGGTGTCGGTGATCATGTAAGGGGACAAGAATCCACGGTCAAATCGCATTCCCTCAGTGATCTCAATCTCGTCTTCGATCGTTCGGCCCTCTTTGACGGTAATGACACCTTCCTTGCCGACTTTCTCCATAGCTTGAGCGATGATGCCTCCAACGTGCGCATCACCATTGGCAGAGATGGTAGCGACCTGTGAGCACGAGCGAGGAGAGAATGGGGAGGGAAGAGAAAAAGGCGGAAGAGTGTTCGTCGAGACAAATCAACGGCAGTATGGGGCAACAGTATGGGAGAAAAGGGAGGTTAAAGCGAGAGACAATACGTCAGCACCTCGGAGCCTTCTGTGCCCGACGCAACCCACCTGAGCGATCTCCTCGCTGGTTGTGATTGACCTCTTCTGACTTTCCAAGACCTCTAAGATTTTGTCTACCGCCTTTTGAGCCCCACGTCTCAGGTCCATAGGGTTACAGCCGGCCGCAACGTTCTTCACACCTTCACTGTAGATGGCTCTAGCAAGGACAGTGGCGGTGGTCGTTCCATCTCCGGCGGTGTCGTTCGTCTTGGATGCAACATCTTGAACAAGTCTATTTGGCGACGCGCCACCGTCAGCACGAGCAGGTCACAACACACACTGCACATCCAGAAAGAAGAAAGGCAGGCTCACTTGGCTCCGAGGTTCTCGACTGGGTCTTTAAGGGTGATGGCCTTTGCGACGGAAACACCATCCTTGGTAATCTTAGGTCCGCCAAAGCTTTGTCCTGGAGAAGAGAATGGACATAGAGGCGTCAGCGAACAGTTGACACCAACCTCCAAGCAGGAGTGGACTTACCAATGATCACTGTTCTTCCCTTTGGTCCGAGAGTCGCAGAAACAGCCTTGGCGAGGATATCGACACCTCTCAGCATGCCTTGTCTGGCATCATTACCAAAGTGTACTTCCTTCGCTGCGTAACCTCGACGTTGAAGAGCAGTCGCTCGAGAGGAGCTCAACAACCGAGCAGGTCGAGGAAGAGCAGATCGTGATCTGAGAGCGTTCATGATGATCAATGTGTCCGTGAGATACTGCGATGAGAAGACTGATTGAGAATGAAGCAGCAACAGCAGCAGCAAGGAGCAACAGCTAATGAATGACCAGCCGATTTTCCTCAAAATATTTCTAGAAAAAAAAGAAAAAAAGTTGATACCCGGGTGAACTCAATGAGGATTCGACCGTGAGAAAGTTGCGCTTAACAACGGGTGGCGCGGCTGAGACTCGCACTATTAATTTGATTCCGTTGCCCTTCTTCTTTAATAATTTCCAGAGAAATCCAAAAAAGAAAGAGCTGAAATCCTCAGCATTCGTTGGATCAAGACGTTTTTCTTTCGTGACCCATAAGCAAGTGAGGGAGAAGTGGTTGACTAGTGTGTACCATCCAGCTGAACAATCAGTAGTATCAGGAGGGAACCTAAGATCGATATGGTGAGCTTGACTCCCTCCTGTTCAGACAACTATCCGCTGACCCGAGTCCAAACAGTCCGCTACTTTCAAATCCATCCGATCCGTTCAACCCCTCCTTGACAGGGTGCTCGTCCAGAGATTCAAAGCGGAGACCGTGAGTTTGTCAGGATTCTAAGAACCATGGGATGGTGTGGCTTTCTCCACAGAGAATGAGCCGTATGGTCTAGACAATGGGGGTTTCGGAGGGTCAGGCCTTGCGTTCGTTTAGGCATCAGTTCGAACCCGTTTGGTGTTACACTCGCATCGACCAGATACACCCTCACACACCCGTTCAATACCTCTTTTCACCGCTCGTATCGGCTCACGTTGACGTTGCTTTCTGATTCAGAAAACTTCATCTGGTCTCTTTCTCCCATCTTCCGCTACTCAATCCCCTCTTCCTGAAGCTACAGTCATCGCAGTAGGACCAGGATCACCAGACAAATCTGGAGTCGTTCAACCCGTCAGCGTGTCAGTCGGAGATAGAGTCTTGTTGCCCGGTTGGGGTGGAAACCCGATCAAAGTGGGAGAAGAGGTGAGTGTCTTGATCGAGCGTGGCGAGCGAGGCGAACGCAGCGAGCTTGCCGACCGGGGGTTCCACATGTATCTCGCCACGATGCAGAGGGAGAGAGGCGAGGCGTCGGCGAGCTCTCCGAAAGCCTTCAAGCTGCATCAAACGATCTCTTTCCTTCAGGCCTTGCTTGGCTCACCCCGTCTCCACATTTCTTCTTCTTCTCTCCAAATTACGACCACCCCCGCAAGGTTTGCAGACATGGAAGCTGACTCCGTCTATCCAGGAGTACCACCTTTTCAAAGATGCCGAGATTCTAGCCAAGATCAACGAGTAGGCTATTCAGGGCCAAGGGTAGATGAGGGAGGAATAGGTCGATTTGGGTCATTGATAGAGGTACAGCGAGGTTCGTTGCCCCCTCAATGGACGATTAGAGGTTGGAGCGTCAGAGCACGTTACGCTAGCCTTTTTTTTAGGGAGTGCTTCTTGTAGGTGGACACAGACGGACTGCATGAAAAATCGCATCACTACTCCCTATCACCTCTGCCATCCGACCTGACTGAAAGACGTAAACTGAGCTTGCACTGTGATTTCTCGAATCTGGACTAAGCAACACAAACAATTGACATGACACGATTTCATTTCCCCGGGAGAAAAACAAGAAAATGCTATGGGAGTTTCTAGAATGAGGCTTTGGTCTGCCGGAGACATATCATGGTCCTTTCCTGGACTCCTGCGGTCGTGAGTCGTAGCCTATGCCCCGTGTTGCTCCATGAGGACCTCCCGGAAAAGCCTGAAAACGAACAAACTAGTAATGACAACACGGTTGACTGGGTCTTGAACGGAGCGTACGACAGGATGATGGAGTGGGGGAGGCGTCGTTCAAGTGTGTCGTAATTCCGAAAATATGTCCATCTCGTCGGGTCGCCTCTGTTACGCTCGCCGCGCTCGCTCGCCCCTACACCAATCCCATGACGCAGACACATCCGGCCCACAATAGGTCCAACATTTCCCTCCCACTTTCACTCAAGCCGACTCCACGCCACTCTTCGTACCCTGTTGGTCCCCACGCACTAGGACCATGACATAATCCCAATCTGTCCAGACCTTCCAGGACGAATTCGACTCCGGATGATCTAGAATGACAGACTGCAAGGACAGTAGGGAAGTTACGTCCTTCAAGCATGGACAATGCCCCGCCCAATGGATCGGACACTATCCCGCTGCTGGCGGTCGATTTCGGAGGCATGACGGATGGAGGCGGTGCTGTGATACCGAAGAATCCAGAGGGCGCAGTAGATCCTGGAGATAGAGTTGCTGGATCGACATGGAGGACGAGGGAGGCTTTCGAGAATGGAGTCGTGGGGAAAGGACTGTGATCCGTAGATTCCAAGGGGGAGGGCAGACTGGAATGAGTGGATCGAGTAGAGAAGGAAGAATGATCGGTCGAAGACAGGACGTCTGATCGAGACCTCAATTCGTCCAGATCAATGACACGGGCGACCACTCGATAGCTCTTGAAGGGCAGAGGATGAAGTGTATCTGCAGGATGGGAGTGAGAAGGCTTGCCATCAGGCTCCAGTGTTCCAGGCCATGCGTCCTTATCTTTGTCTTTCTCCTTTCGGAAAGCAGACTGGTCCCGGGACGTACGCCGCTTGAGCAATTTCTGAAACTTGGGAATACTCGTGGTCGTCTTCGTGTGACCCGATTCGCTCTTGTCCGCGCGAGGCGTAGTCTCCGATGCGTGATTCGAATGCGAGGACAGTGACGAATTTGCAGTCGTTGGTCGAGTTACATCCTCGTTTTCCGAATTGAACGGCACGTACCAGACCAGTAACGCAGACCTTGCACCGGCCCTCGCATGACTGGGCTGATTCTCATATGGTTTCGTCTCGACTGGTATAACCATGGCGACAGCCTCGTCCGGCACGCTGGTCCAAGCTTGACCCATGGCGTGCGAGCCACGCACGTCGTCCAATGTCAGAGACTCGAAAGCAGGCGAGGTAGAAGCGCTTAAACCAGAGTGTGAATGCGCCGAATGACTCTCCCGATTCGAACTGGTAGGTGATGTCCCGGCCAGAGTCTCCAAGTCAGGTACCGTCTGTCGATGTTGACCAACTGAAAACGCCATTCCGGCAAGTGGCGAGGTCATGGGCGAGATGTCGGCGACAGTGCGTAGGGGAGTCGACCGACTGGACCCAGGAATCCCCGTCGCCGAATGACTGGAAGCTCCTGTGGCAGGATGAGAATGCGAATGAGAGTGTGAATGGATAGGTCCAGCGGGGCGATGACGTCCAGGAGACCAACTTGCGCTCTGCTTCTTCTCCCGCTCCTTCTCATCACGCTGAGCCTTACGCTCATCATTGCCCACGCTGGAGACTGTAGCCTTGATGGCACGTCTGATCTTGCCTCCAATCGACTTGGATCCCTTCTCGCGACTCTCACTGGGTCTGCGTTCTCGACTTGTGCTTCGTCGAGGCACGGAAGCAGGGGTAGATCCTGTCACCTCGGTTTTTTCGTCGTTGATCGATCGCTTCTTCTTGGGCGATCCGAACCCTGCCAAAGTACCGACCGAAAGGGGGAGCGAAGCAGAGATGAAGGACGCTTTCGGCGTTGTAGTGGAATCAGAGCTATCCATGCGACTCTTGCGTCGAAACTCGTCATACTCAGCGACATCGGACAACTTTTTCTGAATTTGCCTGGGAGATCGAACGTGTGATTGCTTGAGTCCGCCCTCATCACAGTGAGCCGATCGAGACGTCAAGACGTATTGAGCCAACGGATGAGTCGATGGTCGGGTCAATTCGTATTCCCTAGGACCAGCCTTTCGGACTTGCCACACGCTACTCGTCTGGTTGGATCGAATCTCGCCGGACGCGTAGAGCTCGTACTTGCCAGCGCCGTCGCAGTCCCATACAGAACGAAGCGAGCTCTCTAATGGGTCGTGATCGGACGATCCAGAGGCACTGGATTGAGCCGAGCCTGAGCGCTGAAGGGCCGACGAGCTGTGGGCTCCAGGGACAGCTCTAAACGTCCATCTCCCCCTTCGCCCGCCATATTCGTCATCGAATTCACCAACGAATTTAGCGAAAGTATCATCACCCTCGCCTCGAGCGAGGTCTAGTGTCGGTGGAGCCTTGGGACCAGATCGCTTGAAATCGGCAGAGACATCCTTTTTGGCCTTTTCCCCAATATCTGCTCCCATCTGTGCGGAGGATCCAGCGAGGATGAAATCGATATCAAATTCGGCAATGTCGACGGGTGCTGGGGGATGTAGTGAAGGAGGTAGAGGATGAGGTAAAGGCTCAGCTTGGAGGTTCCGAGAGGTCAAGAGGTGATTGGCGCGGTGCAATGCGAGGGTGGAGGGCAATAATCGAGGACCAGGATCGGAGAGCGGTAGAAGTGGAGGCAAGGGGCGTACAGGAGCTCGCAGCGTATTCTTCTCGTCAGCTCGCGGTGTATTTGGCAAGACTCACTCTTCGCGACATATTTTCCAGATCCGGTTCCTCCTCTTCCATGTCGTCAAATTGGCCTTCTCCGGGACTAGCTGACAACTGCGAAGCTCGCCGTATCATTCCACCGGGGATATCTACGGGTAGACTTCCCCGACGACCATCAGGCAGATCCACCTGACTGGACGACGAATCTGGCGCTAGGTAGGTTACGATCCCAGGTCCAATGTCCGATCGCATCTCCATGGCCCGATTGGCAGCTTGCATTTTCTCCCACAAGACCAAACTGGCTCGACGGAGATGAATACTTCCAGCAGCGTTGGCTGAACTGGATTTCCCCATTTGAGAGCTGATGCCATGAGCTGAGCCTATACTGAGACGTTGCCTGGCTCTGCGGCCGTCTTCGCCGTACGTTGCATCGTAGAACAGTTTACGCTGTCTCTCAGCTTCTGCAACTTCAGCCTGCTGGAAGACGTCCAGGTTCTCCTTCTGAGAGCGAGTCGATACGACAGAGACGGGGCGAGAGGGAGGCAAGTCGACATTGACGTTGGTAGGAGATGGTCCAATGGAGCCAAATTTGAATCCCTCTGTGGGCAACGAAGGGCTCAATTTTGGGGGAGCATCGTCATTATCGACGCTGCCTCGCGGTGGGATGAGAACGGGGTTGAATGTTTTTGATCTGTTCCATCCGTCAAAGTCTAACTGAGGCATCGATCCTCGTCGCGTGTAATCTGGCATAACGCGCGTGCCGTTGAGCGTGACTATAGACTGCTGGCCATCTGACGTGCGGTGACGAAGATGTACGCGCGGATTTCCGTCACTCGTGGTGGGTCGAGAGGTTTGACCGGAGGCGTAATGTTTGGTCGGAGATGGAGGAGCGAGTGAAGGGTTTGAAGGGGTGAGGGAAGATCGGCGCCTGTCGACGATAAAGAGTGGTTGAGGTTGACGTGAAGAAGAGCTCTGACCGAATGCGGGAGGTGCCCGAGAGGCGTAGAATGACGAAGAGGGTGAGATGCCATGTATGGGACGCGATTGGGTGAGGGTAGAATTTGAGCTCGTGGCTGAACCACGCCTTGGCTCAATCTCAATGGGACTGATGGGATGATTGGGAGGGAGAGAGGGGCTGAAACCCTTGGTACGGATTGGCGGGGCAGGTAGATTGGTATGAGTCAAGACTCTCGGTGAGCCTGGTGCGACGGGGGAGATGACGTGAAGACCCAGCGGTGTGAGGGATGTCCGACGTGGATGTTGCGTGTGGATGTATTCCGACGGATGGGTCACGGAAGTGATGCGAGGTGTCGCGGGCGCTGAGGAAGGAGAAGGAGGTGACCATGGTCTGGAAAAAGGGAATCAGCGCAAACCCTTGATCTGGCGTCGAATAGAACGACGACGAGGAGGAGGACTCACTCTTGACCACTTCGTCTTCTGATGCTCTGGTCTAATCTCGTATCGGAAACGGCTGCGGGGAATTGATCGCCAGACGGGTCGTATCCTAGTCCTGATGCACCCATGAACCTTCTCCTTCCCATCTCGCTGGACTCTCCATCCACGTCTGTAGTGTCCAATGGATCGACAGACTTCAAGCCACCACCTCCACCACCATCTCCTCCTTCTACTGCTGCTGCTGTTGCATTCCCCGCGGCGTCCATCGTCGCGATGACTGGGTGATCTATAGACATAATGTGAGATGAGTGACAATGGCGTCCATGCGGGCAGCGATCAAGGATCCGTTCCGTCCCTTTGTTACGCGTCACCTCTTTCTTGTCCTCTGAGATCAAAGGGAAGTCAAGTGTATGACGCTAGGAGGGCTGACGGATCAAAGAGAGAATGTGGAATCCATCGGTCGTGCGGATTGATTGATGTTGCAGGCCAGTGTTTGGAATGAAGGAATGAAGGATCAGATGATTGACGGATGGACGGATGGATGGATCTACGTCTGATTTGAGCAGATGAAGGTGTTTCCGAGGATTTCCAAAGTCCTGGATCTATAAACCCATATTCCAATATGGTGTGATCGGGTGAAGTATCGTCTGACGAGGGTACTGGGAGGAGGGGATGTGCCGCGGAAAAATGGGTACTATTGCTGGGAGAGCGAGCGACCGAGCGAGCAGGAGAGACAGAGAGACAGAGAGACACAGAGAGAGAGAGAGAGAGGGATATCAGCCGTCGTCCCACTTGTGATAGAGTTGTCTATCCTGTCCTATCTTTGGACGACGGTTAAGAAGGCGGAGCGTAGAGAACTGGACGGTAATGAGAGGTGTAGTAGGTCTTGTGGCTTGACCTTGGAGAAAAAAAAAAGCGAGAGCGAGAGCGAGAGAGCGAGAGTGTGTGGGGGGTGTGAGGATATAGGCAGAAATAGGAGGGGACGAGCCGAGGCTCTCAGCGCGAGGAGAAAAAGGCGTTTCTAGTGATCGACAAGAGTGAATGAAGGGGGGGAGGCTAGCGTCTGGATGGTGATATCGACACGTGAGGCGCGAAGGTTGTGGCCCAGCAGTCTTATTCTGTTGGGTCGTTGTGATTATGGTACAATGGATTGAAGGTCAAGTGTGCGTTGCAAGAAGGATTCATGTTACAATGCTCAATCGAAAAGCACAACGTGGGAAGGAGAAGGGGCGGCGAGGGAGGGCATTCGGCAGTGAGCGAGCGACAGCGGCGAGCATCCGTGCACACAGACATACATACATCACACACATACACATACATACACACACTTACATACATGCTGCCTCGTGGCCCGATGAGGCAGAACAGGAGAGGCAGACATTACATAAACTCGTCTTTTTTTTACCCTCTCCTTTTCTACCTTAGCCCACCGAAAAAAAAAGGTACGACTTTCTCAAGACCGAAGTGTTCTGCCTCGCCGCTGCAGCGCCTCGAATACTTTCCCTCTCCTCTTTCGCCCCTTGACCTGCTTCGTCCCTTAAATCTTTTCGTTCCTGGACTAAGTGACCCATGTTGGACCTAAAAGGCCAAGCCATGTGGTGATAGTCCTAACTAGTGACCGCCACATGCTACGCTGGACACACACACTGTGTTGGTTTGGCTGTGCGAGATCTACAGAGGCACGTGGCGCGGAGCGCACATCAATTCGGATCTTGACAACGGGGTGACACTTCCACCAGCATACAGTTTCACACCAGCTGCATATTCATCACATCACAGAAAAAGAGTGAGAAGATCTATCGAGCCAGCGATAAACGTGGATGTGCGACGTGAGATCCTCCACCTCCCCTTGGCCCTCCAGGAGCTTCATCAGAACAATCCGGTCGGGACAGCGCTCATAGGCATGACACTACCTCCTCCACCTTGCACAGTCGAAACCCCCTCCACTCCAGATGTGAATCCATCTTGCATAGTCCAACCGGACGTATTCCCATCACCATCCGCAGTCCACGAATAAGCATTGGTATAGCTGTATTGCTCGTTGTCATGGTATGTGTCCCCTTGTCCGTCGCCAGAATCTGAAGACCAAGAGAAGAATTGATTCCACCAGTGAGGTCGTTGCCTCTGCTTCTCGCCCTCACCACCGGGTTGAACACCTGTGCCAGCGCCGCTACCACTGCCACTGCCGCTGCCACTGCCACTGGGCTGAGGTCCAAGTCCGGTCTCGAGTCCACTAGGCTGAGCAGTCAAGCCGTTCTCAGCACCGCTTGGCTGAGGGTTGAGGCTGGTGTCGCCCCCGCTGGGTTGAGGATCGAACCCGGCATCCGAGCCGCTAGGGCCAGGCAGGGCAGCCGAGCCCTCAGGTGCTGATGGGGCAAGACCGCCTGCCGAGGCCTCCATCTGTGAGAATGGCGCAGCGAGGGCCACTGCAGGACAGATCTCAGTGCGTGGATTACGGCGCACAGACTCACCAGACCCCACAAGCAGTACAAGAGCAGAAATGAATCGACTGTATACCATCTCGAATGGGATAGGTAAGAGAGAGAACAGTCGTCTGAGACGGGGTTCTTATACCTGGAGAGCACTACGATGCGGTGTTCTGGACCTTCGATGCCTTTGGATTATTGTCACATTCTCCCGTACCGCAGTCAAAGGAGGATGACAGGAGATGGAGGAGAGGATTGAGGCTGGCTCAATAAGTGGTCAATCTCTCCCCGACTCAGGAAGGGGCAACACCAGTCAAAGGGAGGTCGAGATGATGCGATAGCACGCGATACCCATGTTCACGTAGATGGACAGATCGCAGACCGAACCTCTTCCCGGCAGGAGTTGATTCTCAGTAACACTGATCGTTGCCTTGCCTTTGGTCAATAAGTCTGCCATGCCGATGCGTTTACAATCTCTTTAAATGCGGTCTTGAATACATACTCTGCCGATTCGACCACTCCCCCTTTCCGTCATGTCACCAATCATCCAGTCCTGCCAACTTTCGACCCAGAGCCGTCAGACGCGGTTCTTGCAACTGCTTAACCTTGAGATGGCCGAACGTGGGATGATCCTCTGGCGGTTCTCTCCGATTGGCAGTGAATGTGATTGGGTCATGAGTCGTCTCCTTCTTCTCATCCCATGCAAGTCGACGTTTGGCCTTGAGCTCAGGAGTAACCATTCGTGCAGGTTTATAGCAGACATCTGGAGCTATCAGCAAGGCCCTGACCGAGGCAAGTTCTCACACGATGCTAAGCGGGGGTTGGTGGAGGTCGGCGTAGCGCCGTAATGGACTGTCCGCTGTGATCAAATGGTCAAATTCAAATCTAACCTTGCTGTCGAGAGTCAGAGTCCACTCACGCTGTCCCATAGTAACAGGTCGCCAGGATCTGCACAGACCTTGTGCCATTCACATCCGTGATCTAACAGCCACTGGATCTGTTCAGGCGTATGATCATGACGATCGTGCTTGTTCCATCCTCCAATATGTTCATCAAAGGCCCGCCACAATTCTTTATACAGGGCCGAAGAGCCTTTGAGAACCTACCGTACCGTCTCAGCTCATGCCTTGCAATGAGACACACACACACAGTCACTCACCATCAAACCTCCATCCTCTGGACCATTGGGCAGGATGTTGACAATGCCTTGGAGACAGTGGAATCCAGTGACCAGTGGCGATTGATCGACATGTGCCCAAGCTTTGAAATCTTCTTCAGGACGATCCGGAAGTGGCAGAGAGAAGTTAAACCCGTCTATGCAAGGGTTGGAAAAGGCAAGATAAGAAGAGGCCAGGGCGGCTTTAGCTTTTGACCTTACCATACGACACGACCAGTTCGTCGGTCCCCCAGATCTCCGCAAAGACGTTTACGACCGCTGGGTCCTGTCTAAGAGGGTCAAATAAATACCTTCGCGTGGCACACCCACTTCACATCCCAAACGAACTGCTCGTGGCCCGATCCGTACGCATAGATGAGACCACCCTTGTAGAAATACGGCATACGTTCCGCGACCCAAGTCGATCGATCATGTCGATCAAATCCAAGGTCAAAGGATTCCAGAAATTCATAAGCTCCATCCTCGTACTGCTTTGCTTTGCCCGTCGACAGAACACCTTTGACCACACACCAGCCTAGGGCAAATCGAGGTGAGATGAGCTTATGAACCTCAAACTACGCCCGTCTAGGACTCAGGCACCCACCTTCTCGTTTCAGTTGGTCCTTCCATTCCAGATCCCTCTCTGTACCTCCCAATAGCTTGATAGAGCCTTGTACACTGTCGACCAGTTGAGTCTTGAGTTGGATAGGCATCTCAAGTGGTGAGTCAAGCTGATTCTGGGCGGATAAATTGGGAGGACCCTGCGAAAGATATAAGAGAGACAGACGTCGGTCCTGTCGGCTTTTGAGTGGTTCATTTCGTTACATTTATAGCTCGTTCAATGAGATCCGCCGACCGAAAGCATATGGTCCAGTCCTTCTCGGAACAAGTATTGAACCGCAAAAGTCAATGGGGAAAAGACGGCCGAGAAGAGCATCTCATCCGTGCCACATTTCAAGGATAAAAATCAGTCACGCGTGTTCTCATCACGTGATGCCTCGCATAGTCTCTCACGCTTGCGAGGGAATGGCCCTCGGCATGTATAGATCGATATCTTGCTGCGCGCGAGAGAGTGTGCCATGAAAGGCTAGGTGAACAGGGGCAGAAAGCGAAAGCACTCGACTCTTCGCCTGCGCAGCTTGCACTCCAGGAATCTGGCAAATTATTGATTTGGGTTTGAGAAGTGAAAAAAAATGAGTCCGAGCTTCCGAGCAGCGCACGGTGTTCTAACCCGAACGTGGCGCGAGATCCAAGCATACGTTCGAACCCCCGGTCGAGTACCCGGATGAGACTTTGATAGCGTTCACGTTTGAGCCTATCAGCAGCTTAGTCAGCGATGCCATGCTCACATGGGGGCTGGCTGACTGTCGACCGAGGAACATGATGATGGTGATGATCATGAAAATTTGGGCATGGAACCTCTCTTGTTCGGCTAGGGCACCCCCGTTTGCTCACATTTACTCACTCAGCCCTTCTCACAGCTGTCGAATGTGAATCAATCTTGACCATTCGATGGACCTTCCTCGACCAGCGAGTTACGGTTCGTATAAGAAGAAGAGAGAATGTCTTTCCTACGCGATATGAATCGCCATAACATCTTGGCAATGATACTAGTGTCCATCGGGGCACTCCTCTTTGTGAGCTTTTGGCACCTGTCATTCCACTTCGGGGCTTGACCAATTGGATTGATATTCTTGACGACAGGGTGTCGATAATGGATGGTGGGGTACTGCCCAAGGATCTCCGACGTTTCTGAAAGACTATGGTCAATGTGCAGTTGTGGACGGGGTGGAGTCATGTAAATTCTCCACACGCCAATTGTCGGCTGGGAGTTCTGTCCAATCCGCTGGGATCAGTGAGAATGAGAATGACTCTCTCTCTCACATTCTCATGAATGGGATGAAACGGACTGACACACATCATCAGTGGTTGGATCACTCATTGCGTCTCCCATCAACAATCGATTGGGACGAAAATGGTCTCTGTTCCTCACTGCCATCATCTCCCTCATTGGCGTCATCATCCAAATGACAAGTGCACTTTCTGTGCCCATTGCGACTCGGGATCAATTCACTCAATTTGTCGTCGGCAAATCCATCACGTCCATCTCCATGGGTCTGGTCGCCAACATAGTCCCGATCTACCTATCGGAGACGTCGCCTGCTTCGGCGAGAGGATTCGGTATCAGCATGTACCAAAACGTCCAGATCATCGGTGTCATTGCTGCGTCTGGGGCCGTATACGCCACGGCCAATCGTCGAAACGTGTCGGCTTACTTGATTCCCATCGGTCTCCAGGCGATTGCTCCCAGTCTGATGATCCTGTCGACACCTTGGATCCCAGAATCACCAAGATGGCTCGTATGGAAGGGGTACGTTGGACGCAATGCACCCCATGCCATGCTGATTGATATGTACAAACTCAGGCGTATGCGTAAAGGTGCGAAAGCAGCGAGCAAGTTGTTCGGGTCTTCAGATCCCAATTTTGACCCGGTGGAATACTGTCAAAAACTTCTCGTGGCATTTGAAGAAGATCGATTGAATGCAAAACAAGCTGGATGGGCAGATCTATTGTCCGGTCCAGACTTACGACGCGCTCTCATCGCCATTGGTGTACAATGTCTTCAGCAAGCCCAAGGTTCATCCTATATGAACAATTACATTGTCCCCTTCCTTCAAGATACAGGCGTGAAGAATGTCTTTCCAGTCATCATGGGTCTCAATTGTCTCTACTATGTGTCCTTGCTGTCAGGTCACTTTTTACCCGATATGGTCGGTCGACGGATCGTCCTCATGGCCACTTCGGCGTTCTGTGGCACTTGCCTGCTCAGTGTGGCCAGTATCACCACAGCCGCAGGTGGATCCCCCCCTACATCCTCCATGCAGAGAGCGAGTATCGCTTTGATCTTTTTGTGGAACTTTGGCTTTGGGGTGCAATCGCCGTTGATCTGGATCACCACGGCTGAAGCTGCACCGACTCGAAATAGGGAACGCGTCTTGGCTTCAGCCACCTTCTTCGGCTTCGGTATCTCTCTCCTCATCGCCAGTGTCTCGCCTTTCATCCAAGATGAAGATGCCGGTAATTTGGGAAGCAAGATTGGTTTCTTATGGGGTACCTTCAGTCTCGTGAATCTCGTTTGGGTGTACTTGGTCGTACCGGAGATGAAGGGCTTGTCATTGGAACAGCTGGATTATCTGTATGCCAACAATACGCCAACAAGGCAGTTCAAAGGTTTCAAATTCACCGATGATATCTTGGCGAGATTCGAGAGGGAACAGGAGGCAAAGGAGGACACAGGAGGATCGGAAACACCCAACTCACTGGACGAGATAACGGTAGCGAAAAAGGATATGGGAGGGGTGTGAGTGTGTGCGGACCATCTTTCCGAATCAACGTGCAAGGGAAAAAGAAATGCATCCCCCTGTTTGATCGTGTATCACAATCTTTGGATTCTACTGCGATGTAGTGATCAAATCGTCCCAAAGAAGTGCCAAGTCCAGCTCCGCTCCCAGTGCTGTAGACTGAATGGGGTAATCTTGGGCCTGTGCAAGCTGTGGGATGGGCGCGTTGATGGGATGAGATCCGAGTGTGAACTCTTTATATCCGGAAGATGTCGGAGGCAATTCTACACCTTCTTGAAGTGGCCAATCACCGATCCCGGATGGATGTTGACCTTTGACAATGTCCAATATGGCTTCTTTCGTCAGGTTGATATCGCTTCGTTGACCGGATCGAATTTGAGATTCCATAATGAGCAAATGATCGATGAGCGCCGCTCCACGAGTGGCGATACCTGATTGATCGTCCAATCCTCGTAGACGATTGATCAATCGATGAAGGACCGTCTTTCGTTCCATCATCAGTGTGGGATTATCTGATCGATGGATCAATTCTAGAGCCAAGATCAGGCCCGCAGCGACCATCATGACGGTGACGTTCCAAATGAGGTAAAAGATGGGTGGGAGACCCGCTTCGGCTATCGACAAGATCGTCTCGGCAGCTTCGATGCAGACCGTTTTGGATATCGCATAGTCTGTGAGCGTGAGTGATTTCACGTAATATAGTCGATGAATTTGATATGAGCGATAAGCCAAAGTCATATTAATCAATCGTGCTTGGACGAGACCGACATCGATCGTCCCTGGAATTCGTTGATGATTATTAAAATCGAGCTCGGGTGGTAAAGAATGCCGCAGATTCAAAATGGCTTCGGATCCTTTGAGAACCGTATCATAGTCTGGATCTTCGTTGGGTCCAAGGTGTCCATAGACATCGTAGATGATTCGAGCGGATCGATAACATGCCAAGCGGAAATGAGGGACGACATGTGGCACATTGATGTCATACGTTTCCGGCAGAGCCGAAGGCATGGCAGTATTGAAGGAATACGGCGTGTAGACTTCATAAGGACATGAGCATGACGTCCGTGAAAGCAACTCGACTCACTGCTGTAACGGAGGTAAGGGAGAAATGCCCAATCTCCTTCGACACTATTCCACCATAATCGCCTACCGAGTTCCTTGCGAATTTCTCGGTCGGTCCATTCTTCCTGTCGTGATCCAAGTAAGTGCAGATTGATGGCTTTGCCATAGGATCGCGAGAGATCCGTCAACGATTGGTGAAGTCGGGTGTTCCTCGATAGATGGAAGCCCGGTCCCAAGACTGAGAGCATTTGACAGAGAGTGAAACTCGGTTCCGTGAGTAGGTTACACCGACAAGCGGTGGCAATCGCAGCGTTGAACCAAGTCCCAGCCCAATGCCTCATCTGAATCGGTGTCAAACCTCTCAGACTTGCCTGCCGCTCGTCCATAAAGTAGGCTGATATACTCAAAATGGCAAACATGAGTCCAAGCCAAATATCGTCCTTTAAATCCATCCTATCGGCTCTTGACCAGAATTCGTTATATTCTGCCCAAAAGGTTGGAGGATGAATCACGCCAATCGTCCACGAGACTTCTTCAAAGTAATACGTGATAAAGGATCGCGTTTGAGGTTGAGAAGGTAATTGAGATAGACTGTAGTCGAAAGATTGAGGTTGATACCATTGATTCCGATCGGTCGGTGAGGGTGGAGACCCTTTCCCATTTTTAGAGATCAAAGAAGCTCCTAACCATCGAGTCGTCTCGCCTATGCCCAACGCAGCTTCTTCCATGGCACTCGTCAGTCGGCCTTGGTCAAAATCGGATCCTCGGTGTTGCAGTGCACTTCCCGGTCGACTAAAGATTCCTGGTTCATCGTCATTTGCTCCGCTTGACCGTCTCCTCTCCTGTTCATCTTGGCTGTGTCGTGCACGTGATGGGGCGGCAGTAGCGTGAAGACCGATACCAGAAGCAGATGGTATACTCTTGACGTCGCTAGAGCTACTTGCAGAATTATCTCGAGGTTGTATACCGACCCTACCGCCCCCGCCGCTGCCGCCCCCGCCGCTTGCAAGGTGGCTAGGGCCGCCGCCAACAGTCGCTCTCTCTTTTTCCAAGAAGACTATGCGTCTTCTCAATTCGTTGATCTCCAGAGACAGACGCTGTAACGATAGCGTCCTCTCTGTCGATAATCCAGTAACGACTGCTCCTTTGACGACCACTGCTTCGCGTCGACATTGGTCTGCTTCGCCTCGGCTGATACATGCTCTGCAAGGTTGTTCCTTGTCGCATTTGATCTTCCTTCTCGTACATTCAAGGCATGATTGAGGCGCTCGCTGTGTCGTTCGAGGCGCCGTGGTCGTTGGCGAGATGGAAGGTCTACTTCCACTCGCAACGGATGCAGAGTCACCGGTCCTCGGTCTCTTATGTTTCAACGCCGCCGCCGACGAAGATGACGAAGAGGAGGCTTGGGCTGCAGCCGACGATGTGCTCGGCCTTTCTGACATGACTGTGAGTGTGTCTGAATACTTGGAATCGGATCATGCGAAAGGTCTTGGAAGAAGTGACCAGAAAGTCAAGAGCGCATCGAAATGCTTTCAGTGTGAAGGTGTTCGGTGTCGGTGTCGGTGCGTCAACGTGCAGGAGCTCGGTGTTGGTCCGAACGACACATGTGTAGTATGTACTAGAGGTCCCACTTCTTTCTTTTTAGGGATTTTGGGTCCATTATATTATAATCAATGCTACTACTACTGCTGCTGCTGCTCTTGTGTCCTGCCCCCGCGCCCTGTAGCTACATCTGGGATGGGTGGACACGAGACCAAAACTTTAAATTTACCCCCTTCAAGCACGAGCAAGGGCACAAAGAGGAACGTCTCTGTTTTTTTTTCTGGGTGTTCACGTACCTCCTCCACTCTTTCTCTTCCCAGAGCGAGGAGAGGCGCGTGAACCGTCAAGCCTGCGGAATGTTGTCCTTTTCATTTACGATCGGTGTTCACCGACGCCCCTTGCTCCTGTGGGAACGAGAAAGTCAGTAGTTGCGCAGAGAGGGGGGGAAGGATCTGTGTGCATATTCCCAAGGTCAGATCGAAGGCGGGACCTCGACGGGAGCAACCTTGGAGCAAGTTTTACAGAGCGAAGGAGCAGAGGCGGGAACTGATGGAACTGAAAGCTCCTCGCCCCCCACTTTTGGTTTTTTTGCAGTCTCCCATTTGGTCTCTTGTCGAGATCCGATGGAGTGGACATTCTGACATCAGCAAGCATGATAAGCCGATTCCTGAGAAAACGTGTTCGGACTATCATCGAGCCAAAACCCTCCTCTTTCCTTCCCCCTGACCCTTGGCCAAACTGACAATTTAGTACCATAAAAAATGGGCGGAATGCACGCGATCTGATTCTGTCTTATATAATGAAAAGCTCTTTGTAGACACGACGATCTCTCTCTCAACCAACATTCTCACTCACACGCTACCCGGAATTCAATTCCACCAAGGTCCATCGTCTCCCAATCCACCACGTTACGGCACTTCTTCGATCAGAATGAGGGAAATAAAAAAGAATCAGCCTGTTGGGTCTGGAAATTCTTGTAAATCGCTCAATCGCAAGGACTGGCCGGGGTTCCGGTCCGATATGCCCAGTCTGTCATTGGCCATAGATAAATTCAAACATTTCTCGACCCGGATCTTCTACCGGATCCACTCCCGTTCGTATCGTTGTGGAGGAGTCGAGCATGTGCAAGTTCGATCGCAAGTTGCGCCGAGTGGCGATCTCCTTTCGGCAGAAAATGCGCCAAGGGGCAGATGACATGCGCAAGTGCGGTTCTCGGACTCAAAAAGAAAACAGGAACAACCAAATGGGCGTGCCCACCCACTATTATTAGCCACTCCACGCCACTCCACCCCATGGTCAGTGGCGAGTGTCAAGGGGTCCGATGAATCATGTCAGACAGGATGTGTCATGGACACAGGTGCCTCGGCAGGAATGTCTAATGGACCCCGCGTGTCTGAATCTCCCAGCGCATGTATATCGCCTCGGCAGGAGTACTTGGTGGACTCCGCTATCCTCAATCATAACGTGCATGTATATGTGTATCTCTCATTATATCGGAACAAAATAAAACGATAGGGATTTAACATCATTTTTCTCGCTGTGATGAAGATCAGATCCAGTACATTGATATACGACCACCTTAAGCCGACGAAGTCATGCTGGGCATGGCGGATCCAGACGACGTTGACATGCCCATGGGCATGGACATGGTCATTGGGGAGGTGATGTTCAAGGGCATGGACATGTTCATCATTCCCATGGGGAGGGTAGAGTTGAGCATGGTCCTGTTTTGAGCGCTCTCGGTGATGTTCCAGGGAAGAGTGCCGTCTAAAATGGAGAGTGATCAGCCCTTTCTCTACGTACGGAGACAAGTAAACCCTTGTTTGAACTCACTCATGGTGACGGTGTAGTTCTTGTAAGCGCACTCCTTGTCCATCAACGAAACGAGTGTGGCGTTCTGGGGAATGTTGAGCGTGATGTTGGGGTCAAGCTTCATGGTGACATTGACGACGGAGATGTTGGCGATGGCGGGGAAGGCCTCGACGACGAGATCGACAGCTCCAAAGATACACTCGTTGCAGAGAATGTTGGGGTTAATCTCCTTGACGAGTTGAACAGCGGTCGAGTTCTTGCCCATGAGAGCGGCCTCAATCCAGCTGACGGTAATGTTGTGGTTGAAGTAGGCGGAAAGCTGGGTCAACAACGAGGTCACACAGAATGTACCGTTGGTCGAGTTGTAAACGGATGAAGTGACGGGAATGGGTGGGTTGCCGAGGAATCCACCGTAAGACATGTTGGTGTAAGGGTTCATGCTGATGACACGCCATACGCATCAGCTACTGTACGGTTGGTGTGTTGCGGAGAATCTGAAGAACAAAGGAGACAACTCACGTCTTGAGACACAAGACATCTCTGACCAAGGGGTAAAGGCCGAAAGCCGTCGTAACGACTGAGTCTGACAATGACTCGTTCTTCAAATCTCCAGAGCATCCAGAAAGGATGACTTGAGAAGCGTTGTAGAGAGTGGCGTTACTGCAAACATCGGAAGGTCCACAGATATCAGTCATAAAGTTGTCAAGGACGGGGACGATCGAGGCGTTGGGAGAGGTGATGACTGGGGGGATCCAGAGAAGGTCAGCATGTATGAGATGATGGGATGCTTTCGAGCTCGAAAAATAAACGTACGAGGGAGGAGATCGGCGGTCCTGAAGCATGAAGCGAAGGACCCAGAGGTGAAGACTTCAAAGATGGACTTTTGGCAAGATTCAGAGAAGCTAGGAGTGGGCAGAAGACGATCAGCTCTTGACCTGGCTCCACAGCCAAGAGACTCACTGCAAAGGTCCAATCTGCATCGGGAGACCGAGCTGTGCATAAGCACTACCAGAGGCCGCCAGAAGGGCCATTCCAACGTGAGATGTTCGCATACTGAAGTGAATTTATCGATGTGAGGACAGGTCCAGACGAAGAGTAAACGTTACAGAGAAATGATGCATAGTCGAGTAGGTAAAGAAAGACGTATACACTATATATACGTACACACCCAGAGCCATGAAGTCACTGGGTATTGGAACTGCGTCGATCTTGTGCTTGGGAGGGGGGGTCGTCACTCTCCCCCTTGCGGTCTTTCGCCCACGTATCGCTGCACACACCCGAGGGAGGTGGGGTTGGTGGTGGGAAGCAGGAGGGAGCAAGAGGAAGCAGAGGAGGAGAGACATTCAGAGCTCCAAAGCATAAATTTCTCATTCGGGTACGTCATTTCCCCGGGGAACGGGGATGAGGCGCGAGCAGCAGCGGGAGCAGAGTAGTTCAGGTCGGTCTGGAATTTCCGACAGGCTCATGCATGCAGACATACAGAAGAAAGCTGCATTCGTCATAGCCCCATCTATGCCCAGCTTAAGGAGGGACATATGAGCAAAAAGGCGATGCAGCTTCAAGTTCACCGGTAGAATTCCGTGGGAATGAACCGGACGACGGCCCCCCTAGGAATATATTGGGGTCTAATAGAGAAGAAATTATGATGTCCAAGACTGGAACTGTGTCCCAAAAAAATAAAAGCGCTAAACTACTGCTGTCGCTCGAGGTAATGTACATCGCTGACAGATCTCAGCTTTTCAGCAGCTTGTTCAGGCGTCAAGTCTCGCTATGCAAGGCAAGGGCATCAGTCTCTGCAGGGGTCGAAGCACAGCCCATAATTTTAAGATCAACTTACCTGCGCTTCGCCAAGCATCTCAAAGCCGACCAAGAACTTTCTGACACTTGCACTTCGGAGTAGAGGAGGATAGAAGTGGAAATGGATCGAAGCTGATGAGTCCGGCTTAGAAGCAAGGGGAGGCAGAGGTGCTTGATGGATGCCCATGGAATAAGGGAATGGACAACTGAATTTGAGAGTCAGCATGCATGTACTGATATAACCCACTCACGAGAACAAATTGTCGAATCGCACTAGGACACGCTTGAGTACCTTTGCAAGACCTCTGGTCTCTTCCGGGGTGAGACCACACAGACTTGAAATGTGGCGCTTGTAAGGCAGCACTGTATGGGCGGCGCACGTCATGTCAACGAAGCCTCGCTTCTCCTTGGCGGTTCTGCTCACATAGTATCTCGTACGGCCATGTAGCCCAGAAAGGCACTACCGCGACCCAACCACTGTCCTCGTCGATCTCCACCACCCTTTCCTTCCTCTTGACCTCTTCCCAAGCATACGACACGAGCAGGGATGGTCTACCATCCGGTCCTCGTGGATGATCCGCCGGTGGTTCAGGAGCAGTCTGGGCGTGTTTCTCCAGGTGATACAGGGTCGTAGCGGGTTCATCGGGGACATAGGAAAGTGACCAGACTTGACCATGTGGATGAGGCGCACTGGCTCCCATCATTGCCCCTCGATTCTAAAGAGAAAAAATGGAGAGTCGTCTCAGTGCCAGTTTGCTCGTCGTTTTGGGTTTCGCTTGAATTCGCGTCCCTTCGCTATCGTTTCGGCTCACCTCAAAGATCTGTACGTGACCCTCGGCTTCATCACCTCCACCCGTGGATCTCAACATGGCTCCTTCCTCCTCGTAGATGCCTCTCCAGCCTTCGACAACATGTACGATATCCTCCTCATCCATCCTCGCCAACGTCAGGTCATGGCGTGGGTGAAAGCAAATGACTTTACATCGACCTCGCACAGGACGAGATTCGAAGAATGAAGCTGTTGGATTGGAAGAGTCGGAAGAGTCGGACGAAGGATGTATGTCCGGCATGGAAGGTAAAGGATCAGATAGGAGGGCGGGAAAATCATTCTCAAAGACCTAGGAAGCGCCCAACTGTCAGACCACGAAGTTTCTCGCGAATGTTCGTCTCCACAACTCACAAATGTCTCGGTGTATTTGGGATTACGGTCACCTCCTGATCTCGCGTTTCCAGGACACAAATAACATTCGGGATCGTAAGCTGGCAGTTTTGTCAAGACAGGCGCTTCAGTCTGACCCTGTGAGGAAGAAGGGGCAGAGGGCCCGACAGTCAGCGATCCTTTCAGATTGAGAAGGCACAGAGCTAGGTCACAGCGTGCGGGGGGAAGAGAGGCCCACACTCACCTTCCAAGGTCGCTTTGTGCGATGTGGGGAAACGAGCACATGCTTGCCAAGCAGTGGGTTGTCTACAGCATCAAGGTATCAGGAATGGTGCCAAATGGGGCATATGTCTCGAGCAGCACGAGTCTCGAAGAATTGTACTCACATCTACGATGCGGATGTTCATTCGGTTCAAACGTCACGGTGGGATGGGCAGTGCCATTAACACCGTTCGAAAGAGTCATTTTTCCAGCGAGTTTTTGGTTGATTCTCCTTCCAGGCTCCGTCTTGAGCCTTTCAGTCTGTAGATATATAGCAGTCGACTCTGAAGTTTCAAAGAAAAACAGAGGAGACGGGTGGGGATGATCCTCCTTCTCGGTCAAACTAGGGATCGGACCGTGGGGTGTTTTTCAGCGGAGGGGCAATGACGAGATGGACGATGGACACAGTGTCGGTCAGACAAGTCTAGCTGTAGGTATCCTTTCCAGGTATCGAGCTCACTGATAACTATCGACAGAGGAGATCTGAATGGCTATGTACAAGATGGTTTGGGGGGGAGGGTAGGAGGAGATGAAATCTAGCTAAACCCAGCAATCTCGGTCCGCCGATTTTACTCCGCCGTGAGTGTGAGTGTGGGTGGTGTGGGTGGTATCAAATATCTGATTCTTTTTTCTGGCTTTTGAAATTCCCGATCTCAGATCAAATTCCCGTTAGTCGGTCGGGGAGGGAGGGGGCGTAGACTCGGTTCGGATGGCGTGCATTGTTATTACATGGGATTCTGTATACTACTAGGATCACTAAACGGGATTCAAAAAGAATTGTCCACTATATGAGCACGAAACAAGTGAGAGAGTGAATGGTAATGAGTGAGCCATGTGCAGTGGATGGGGAAAGATATGGACAATGAATATATCGTGCAGGGAAAGGAGATCAAAAGAACTTGAAAGGGGGAAACGTTTGTAGAGTCTCATTCAGAAGTCAGATCTCTAGGGCGAAGGCAGGGATATGGACAGAGGCCAGAAAAATAGTACACTTTCTTGCTGTCCGTTCTGACGTAGATGTACTGTTGCGCCAAATTAGACCATCAAGAAAACAGGAAAGGATCGACCAACTGACAGTTGGTCGTGCGTGACGCTGACGGTCGTACATGACCCAAGGGTGGTCACCATACAACGATTAGGAGAGAAAGGGCGAGGCGAAGCGAGGCGGAGATCGATATTCTCAGTGTAGGGCGGTGGTGGTGTGGGTGGATAAGACAGGGTGAAGAATAGGGAGTCGCGGGGGAAAGCATTCGACGGTCGGTGGTTAAAATGCCAGAGCGTGCGTGGCGGTCTAGCACTCCAGAGTGCCGCCTATTTGCCCCAGCCCCACCAGCTCGACTTCTTCTTCTCTGGCGCGGGATTGTATTCCTTTTGCATTTCTCGGAGAAGGACCTCGAAAGCTTTGCCTGAGGAGAGAGGGGTCAGGGTACCAGTCACGGCTGACGCTGGCTGGACCTGGAACTCACCGACGTTCTTATTATCCTTGGCACTAGATTCGATGAAAGAAGCATGCAGCTTCTTGGCCAGAGCTTCACCTTCGGCAAATGTCACTCGTCTGAGGCGATCTCATCAGCGTCGATCGATCTCAGTGCGATGCGGCCTGGCTGACCTTTCGCTGCCGCTCAAGTCGACCTTTTGGCCGACAACTACACAAGGCACTTTTTCCACCCCTGCAAAATCGAGAATCTTGTCGTGCACAGTTTGGATCATCTCGAAACTCTGTCGAGAGTTGATAGAATACACCAAAAGATATCCATGAACACCGACGGCGTATTTAGACGGGAAGAGGGTATATTCGTCCTGAAAGGCGGGTGAGATCGATTCACAGTGCCTGTGCTCACCTGTCCAGCACTATCTATGACCTCGCAATCGTATTCTACTCCTTCAAAGTTGATGATCTTGTGGCTCGTCGCCTCAATAGTAGGGAAATACGATTCGTTGTAGGTCGGCGGGGCGATCCATTGCTGGGTCAGGGAGGTTTTGCCTGAATCAAAGAGTGTCATAAATCGCTGCAATTTCTGGCCTCACTGGCACTCACCGACGTTGGGAGACCCCATCACCACTACCTTACGCTTGAGAGATCCGGATGAACTCATATTGTGTAAGGATCGTTTAGGGTATGGAGTGGATGAACCGAGGTCGAAATGGTCAGTCTCGGCGGATAATGCGTATTCGAGGGCAGGCGGCGGTGCACACAGCCGGACGCCTTGATGAAGTGCTTGGGGTGTACGACTAGCTTGAACACGAGCGTTCCAAGGTTCGTAACCTGTGTCAAGGCCTGAAAAGTATGTCGAGGAAGGAGGAGTCGCCGGGGATGTCGTTGGAGATTCAAGAGGAGATGAGGAAGATGAGTTGTTTCGAGGGGAGAATAGAGGTGGAAGAGAAGGCACGAGAGTGGTGAGATACGGGAGTGGTGAAGAAGAAGAAGAAGATGCTGGTGGTTGTGGTGGTGGTTGGTGTTGTCTGTTCATGTAGAAAGAGAGGTGATGAACACCAGCGGATGTCAGCGTTTGTCAAAAGACGAGTTTCGTATTTTCCACTGGAACCAAACAAATACACCCCTGGGATCAGGGTCACAAAGTGATTCGCAAGGACCAGGAGGAGATGTGGGGAGCCGTAGCCTGATTGGTATGATGAGGGGAGGGGGGCAATTGTGGTCCAAAGTGAGTGAAAGGTGGACGATGGACGAGGCCCGTCGCGACTTTCAGACGAGGATGACAAAGGAGCAAGGGGAGGTGGAAAGGCCTAGGAAAGGTGGAGCGACAAAGGATGGGGGAACTGGAGGAACGATATACCTAGATCAGGGGGAGTCAAAGAAGGAGGGACGGCTGATCGAGGAGACAAGCTAGAGAGGATAGTGGTTGTAATAGTGGAGTCCCCCGCGTACGCACTAAGCGACTCGACGACTCGATGACAGTGAGAACGGAGCAGTAGGATCACCTCTTCTGGGCCCTAAATGGGGTACTGGATGCAGCCCGAAAGGGGTTGGATGACAGTGCAACACTGGGTGATGTGAGAGTCAAGAAGACATGATTGACTCTTGCCACTTGACACTATCTAATGATTCAGCATGAGAGAAATGGGACAGTGTGGTCCCCTTTTTGGGTGGATGACGGTTGTCCACTTCCGAACATCTCGCTTCTGGAGACATGAAGACCCTCAATTACATGGTATTCCCCCCCTTCGGATGTAAAGGATGGAAAGATCGGAAAAGGAAGGGGATGGAAAGGATTCCGAGTGTTTCAAAGGAATGTGTGGAACAGGAAGCGGAGTGAGATTCCCGTAGGAAAACATCTGAAATGGATGAATGATAGGATGCGAATGGACAGAGCAGCGAGGGGATGCCAGGATGGTTGGATGAACACCCAGGATGATCCCATGACGCTGTCTCCACCAACTCTATCGGCAATCCAACGAATCGAGCCGGAGCAGTGAAAGGGTGATGATGATGAGGAGGAGAAGGGGAACTGGTACGAGGTATGAGGGCGAGAGAGAAGCAGCCAGGTCTTGCGATCTTCCAGTAGGACACATGCTGGCTCGCGACTCACAGCTCGCACTCACCAGGACTGAATGGGTCCACCCGCGGCGCAGAAAGTCTGGAACTCTGAACGAACCCGACCTATGACGATCAGGTCCGGAGCCCACTGGCGCGTGTAGTCTTCAAAGCTTGAAGGACTCCAGAAGACGCTGGGTTCTGGACCATACGATGGACGTTCCAAGTTTGTTCGTTGACCCGAATTCCCTAACGTTCCAGCGAATCGATTGGGAGTATAATCTTCAGGTGTGGTGGTGTGCTCCCAATGGGAAAGTCAAAGTAAAGTCCCTTAGAGGAAGTGCGTAGGTTTCTAATTTCTCGTCCGAGACTCCCGATTCAGCCTTGAGGAATTATCAGAGCAACAAGAATCGGATGGATAGGATGTTCGTAGGATCCATGAATCCCGACTTTAAGATCTCTCTTATGGGTCTGACTGTATTCCTCGATGGCCGGTATGATGATCTAGATCTCGTCTCCTAAAGAGCTGGCAGCTCTCACTGTGAACTCCTCCTCAGACTCGCGCCGGTTGCGGTTATGCAGTCTGGCAAATAATTTCCAATTCTGGTGGACTTCTGCTCAGGTATTTTCGAATTCCGGGAAACTGGAGGAGGTCGCCCTTCAGGTGGTTCAGGATGGAAGGACAGCGGGCTTCTATCACTCTCACACTGTGTACACGGTGGAGTCTCCCTGGCATGCATCGTCTAGCCACGATATTCTCTGTGACGCCGCAAGACATCAATGGAGTCCATATCCAGTCCATTAGTATCAGGCTAAAATTGGGTTGAGAAGAGAGTTGGTGCATGGTGTTGGCTGGGACAGAGTGTGGCTTGGCTCTTGGGAGAGAGAATGATGGTGAGAGGACGCTCGGGGAAGGAGTAAGAAGCACAGACTAGAGAGGCAGAAGAGGTACATCATGCAGGGTCTAGGCCTTGGGTCAAGCATCAAGCACAGACGCCACAACGATTGCCTCTAATCATTCTGTGAACTAGCATCGAGGTTCACATGTCTCCGAACTAGTACAGCGAGTATACATATCCAGTTCACCTGGTCCTCATCAGCCTTGCAGCGGGTCAACATGAAGCTTCGCATCCTTGCGCACATGATTCCCCCACGCATCACCTAGGGTCCCTTCACATGTGCCACAGGTGTGGAAGTGTTTGGTCGACCATGCATGTCTCCGTCGATTGTCAGGGATCACCTAAAGAGTTGAGGGCAGCTAGCTCTAGCTCGATGCATTCTTGAAGCGTCCCTTGACCCTCTAGCTCGCACAACGTGGTCAGTTCCAGAGCAAGGTGCCCCTGCCATTCCCCACTCCGGCTCTCTTTCGGGAACCGGCAAACAGCGCCGCCGAATGCATTCCCGGATCTTGCAATGCCATTATTCCCCACCTTCCACGAACGCGCCAGCGACTAAACGAAAGGCGCCTGTCGATCCTTTCAATCGTTTGATGATCAGCTCCTTGACAATCTTTGGACACAGATTAGTGAGGATCGCACCAGATCGTCCTTTCTTTCATTGCTCCACCTCGAAAATCTATAAGACTCCAGTGTCCTGGCCCCCTCGTCTCCTTCCCCTGCGCCTCAACCCTGATAGAGCATATCTCTCAACCATGTCAGCGCATTACGATTTCAAGCCCCCTGCCTCTGCTGAAGAGTACAAGAACCAATGGACATCCTCATTTGAAAAGTGCAAGTCTATCCTTGAATCGATCGAGTCATCCTCGTCAGCCAAAGACGAAGAAGACCCCCAAGCCATTCTCGAGACGCTCAATTCCTTTGCTGTCATTCACCAAGCTGGTTCGAGCGATGCCGGTCTGTTCGTCGCTGTGCATCCCGATAAGGAGATGAGAGATGAAGCTGAGAAAGCAAAGAAGGAATGGAGTAAATTAGGAACGGACATTGGGATGAGTCGAAAAGCCTTTGAAGCAGTCAAAAGGTGTCAGACGAGCGGACAGGTCAAAGACAAGCGAACGAACTTTTGGATCGAAAAGATGTTGAAAGCTTACAAGAGGGATGGAGTAGACAAGGACGACGAGACCAGAGCCAAAGTCAAGAAATTAAGGGAGGAGATCGATTCATTGTTGATCCAGTTTGACAAGAATCTCGCGGATGACAGTCGACACATCTTTTTCAAGCCTGAACAGCTCGAGGGTTTACCGGAGGACTATCTCAAAGCTCATCCTGCGGACGACAGTGGTAAAGTAAAAATCACGACCAACTACCCGGACTATGTCCCCTTTATGCGATATTGTAAAGATTCGTCGGCCAAAGAAGAACTGTATAATACTTATATGTGTCGCGGACATCCACAGAACGGTCCAGTCCTCGTTGACATGTTCAACAAGCGACACGAGCTCGCGTCTCTTTTGGGTTTCAAGAACCACGCGGATCACAAGTTGTCCAAGGAGATGGTGGAGAACGGAGCCAACGTTCAAGAATTTATCGACAAGATTAGTTCTCTCGCCGATGAGAGGATGCATCGAGATTTGAAGGAAATGGCCGAAGTGGGAGGTTACCCAGACGAGAAATCGATTCCTCCCTGGGAACATCAATACCTTTTCAACAAGGTCAAGACTGAAAGATACGCTTTCGATCCATCCGAAGCCAGACATTACTTCCCATTCGGACGCGTTCGAGATGGTCTCATGGCGAGCATGCAAAAGCTCTTCGGGGTCAAATTTGAGAAATGCTCAAACGTTCCCGTTTGGCATCCAGACGTCACAGCCTACGAATTGAAAGATGCAAAATCTGGTCAACTGATCGGACGATTCTACCTCGACCTTCACCCCAGAGACAACAAGTACAAGCACGCCGCCGAGTTCGATATCCGATATGGAAGTCGAGATATCTTACCTGAATCAGCTCTCGTTTGCAACTTTGTCCAAGGGGACGACGCTTTGATGGAACATTCCGAAGTCCAAACCTTCTTCCACGAATTCGGTCACTTGTTACATCATCTCTTTGCCTCAGGTCAACAGTGGGTGGAACTTGCCGGTATTACATGCGATTGGGACTTTGTCGAAGCTCCAAGCCAAATGCTCGAAGAATGGTCATATGATCCCGAAACCTTGAAGTCGTTCGCCATTTCCAACAATACCGGCGAGACAATTTCTGACGATATGATCAAAGCTCTCCGACACAGTCGAACGGCTAGTCGAGGTGTTCAAGTCAGGAGACAAATGTCTCTCGCTGCCTTGTCCCTGTACGTTCATCAACTGGACAAGAACACCATTGCCAATCCTGAAGATGTGGACAAGGCGGCTCAGCACAATGATTCAGCTTATGGACCTCACGACACTGTACCTGGAACTCATTTCGCTTATGCTTTCGGACACTTGGGCGGATACTCCACAGCATACTATTGTTACATGTGGTCTCAAGTCATCGCTCTGGATCTATTCGATCAATTCAAGAAGAATGGATTGTATGATCCTCAGACCGCTCAGGCTTACCGTACAAAAGTGTTGGCAGCTGGAGGACAGGATAATGCAAAGAGCTTCGTGGCGGAGTTCCTTGGTCGACAGTACAGCTTTGACGCCATGCAAGCGTACTTGGATGAGTAGACAAGGCTGGAACGGACCTGAGGTCATGTAGTAGTGTATACCTAGTCATATGCCTCTGAGACACTTCGGAAAAAAATAGTGCCGCGGTGTCCCAGGTTCAGTAGTCAATAGCACGGTCGAGTGCGACGATGATACATATACACAAATACACAGTTCCCTCACACTCACCTCACCTGGCCTGAGACCATATCTCCAGCTCAGGACATAACGATCGGATTGATTCTTGCCGATATCCCGTCTCCGTCACGAACCTAATTTTGCCCTGGTCCATCCGACGCCTCACCACAGGCTTGAATCGTGACTTGTCGGAAGACCACCATAGTTTCCCCCACCAATACTCCAAATGCTCCTTGGATCCACCGTTGAAATGTATCGCGATGGGGATCTGCCCTGTCAACGAGTGATGTCCTAATGGCGGGTAAAGACTCCAAGGGAGGATCTCAGATCCTTCATCATCGACCATGTCGTAGAATATAGAGGGATCTGGGGGATATCGAGTCCCGAGAAACTGCATGTTGTGGAAGTCGTCGTGTGCCGGCCAAAAGAGTCGATTATAGTAGTCTAGCTTGACTTTTCGATCCGCTAGCCAAATGTTGAATGCCCCTATGTGGAGCATCAGCACCAAGGTTTCGGAGCGAGGTGAACTTACCTTGATCATCGTACCAATAATACTCTTCGCTCTCCATGTACTGTGTGAGATTGTTGTAGAACTCTCTCATCTTGTGAAGCCGGCCAATGATAGTACCAGAATTGGCGTGTTTGGGCAAAAGCTCGCTGTGCGGATGATTAGAGTGTCTAGCATATGGATCGTCAAGGAGTCACTCACAGTGGGTTCAGATCGTGAGGATTCTCATCCTCCAGATAGAGCTCGGGTAACACAGGAGACGCTGGAACGTCTCTACAATCGTGCTGCACAGTGTCAAAACAGTATTCTTCCCTTAGCACGGCCCACTTACACTTTCTGGAGAATTCGGGAAACAATTCTTCTCCGCAGCGACCAATATATCCTCATCATACTCCAGAAATCTCCTCGCCATGACTCTCGGTGAGAGCTGTAGCCAGACATCCCATGAATCCATCATGAAGATTAAATCATCTTCCTTGATTCCAGCGGTATATTTGGGAGAGTTGAGAATATCTCTGAGGCCTGAACGGCGTCGTCTCAGTCCAGACAGCGGGATCATTGCATTCTTGGAAACTCACCAAATGGCTTGTGCTTCTGGTATTGTTCTTGAACATCCCAATTGAATATGATAGGTTGCCATCCGCTCGCTATGGCACCTTGAATCGCTCGACAAAATCGAGGCGACTCATGTGCTCCGGCAGAGTTTATAGGTAAGAACAAGAACACGCGAGGCAAGTCCTTATCTGGAGGATAGAGAGATGAGGCACTGGAAGAGAAAGGTGACGCCGGGTTCAGAGGGTAAAAGGGAAGTGGTGGCCTTTGAGATTCTGAAGGGTCGATAATGTAATCGTCGGCCGGTCTGAAAGAGGAGGAGGAACCTAGGCCAATATAAGAGGAATCACCAAAATTGTACACTGCGGTGAGGAAGAGTACAGCCAGGACGACTATGAGACATATGAGATATCGACGGGTCGAGAGTGCTGCCATGCGGTTGGTCCAGGAGGACGGTAGGGAAGTCATTGTTTACAATTTCCAATGAGGCCACCTGGTCCGAAGAAGGTAGTGACGGGGGAAACACACGCGTCACTTGGTCTGTCAAGAACCCAGTTTTGGTGGTTGGGGCCTATGCCTCCGCGTCCTTTGGGTCAGGCTCTCGGTTTCTACAATCTTCCGCTTGGGCGTGTGCTCATTCGGGCCTTGTCCATGTTGGAGATCAAGGTGGATCAGGATTTTTGGGGTCGGAGTCACCTCCCTCGCAACCCAAGAAACGGATGATAATGATGAATTGCAGAGGACAAAGGAATGAGTTATGTCAAGGATTCCCCTCGCCCTTGATAGTCGCCTTAGACCATAAGTATCGGATGGTGGTACAGGTGCATATCACATGGGAAACAAGCATTCCAGGGGGGATTTGTGATCGGAGATTACAGGAACTCCGAAGGTGATGAACGGTGGCACAGCCCGGCCGATATGGATTAGAACCACATGAAATGTTGTCTCGTACTTCGCCCTGGAGGACTGTTGAGTGAAGGAAAGCAGCAGAGACAGGTACTCAACACTGCCGAAGGAGCCCCGAAACCTGGAAAAGATTGATGACGGCGAGAGGGTTGTGCGATGGGAATTTTGAAGACAGAGCCGAAGCGAAAGTACTCGAGCTTCGGAGACGTTGGCCCTGGAGTGGCCTGCGGGCGGCTCGCAGGGCTTCGCGTGTCTCATATTTCGACAACGTTACGGGCACAAGTTCCATGTTGTCTTGCTGTCTGAGAACGGGCTTGGACAAAGCCAGGCAAACGCTCGTGTACTTAAAGCAAGGCGACTTGGACCTACAAATGAGAGGGAGGTAGAAATGATGTCCTCGTTCTCGTCCTACTTGCGAGGCTCAGTCATAGAGACACAAGTCCTTCGATCATTGTCCTACTGGCTATGATCTTTATTGGAGCCGGTCTGATAATGCCCAATTGCAATCGGAAGCCTCCCGAGACCCGGTAGAACCTTATGGCAACTCACCCTAATTCATTACTGCGCAAACTTACGGTTTGAGAGGTTTCGATATGGGGGAGGCAAATGCCTTCCAAGCTGACTAATTGCTATCAAAGCCCTCTGAAGGCCCTGAGGCAGACAGAATCCAAGTCGGAAGACTCTAGTGCGAGCATGGAGCGAGCTGTGAGCGAGACAACGCCAGAAAATGGTTAAGTGGAGATGCCACATTGCCACATGACTTCAGCATTCCAGAGAGTGAAGATCCTAATTTTCTCCATTCTTCTCATCTGCGTCTCCGAGGATGCCTGAAGATGATGAGGTGACTGCACGACTTCTCGTTCCCTCTGACAATGATTCCGGGCCCAGAAGACGCCTGAGTGTGGACCGAAGGCTCCAAGTGCACGACTCCGCCAATGCCACAGATCGATGGCCCAAGAGTTCTATGAAGAAACGTGATAGAACTCTATCATTGTCAATATGTGCTGCAGTGTAGGTCATCTCGCTGTCAAGACATCCAGACGAACGGTCATTGACAGTATATTGCAGGGTACTGATGGCCACTCTCGTATTCTGGACTCGCTCTTCCGCGATCCGTCCGCTACGACCCGTAGTTCCTCCTGGACAACATCCCATTGGTGTCCTGATGGATCAAGCCGAGAAAACGTTTAAGGATTTGATTGCCAAGCAGAGCGGGAGCTTTGATCAGGCGGTGCTAGAATACAACAGAAGATACCGCAGGAGACCGCCCAAAGGATTCGACAAGTGGTGGGAGTTCGCGGTGAACAGGAGCTTCGTTTTGATCGACGGTGAGTTTCCAAAACGACGTGTCGCTGAACCTGTTTCAGAATTCGACAGTAGGCCGATTGACATTTCCAGGTTGCTGACATTGTAGCTATCCATCGGGATCTGGAGCCTTTCTGGGGTCTATCGGCGGAACAAATTGAAGACCGTCGGAAGGAGTTCACGGCCATGTCACGAGAAAAGACACTCCTGTCCCTCGAGATCCGAGGTGGACGTATCAATTTTGCAGATCCACCGGAAGGTGTCGAGAAAATCTGGTGAGTGCCCGGGTTCAAGGAGCAATGTAGTCTCAGCAATGTAGTCTCATGAGACTCATCGTGTGCCAGGGACCACCACGGAGACATGAGAGAATTGTTTGCAGCCTTCATCGATCAACTTCCCGACATGAACGTGCTTATCAATCGGAGCGATTTCCCCTTTGTTTTCGTATCCTGGGAGGAGCGGCAGCGGCTTGTGGAGCTCGGAAGGAGAGGCGAGGGTGAGTTGATGCAACGATCAGGTCCTGATTGAGTCCAGTCGCGGACGATGCAGATGAGATAGGCCCAGATCCGATTGCAGTGGCCGCGGGGAAAGGATTCGGATTTGAAGACCTTCGTTCTGCCTGCTCGCCCGAATCTGAGGCAAGGTCCTTCGAACTCGACGCACTGGGCGGTGTATCCTATCCATTAGGGCCCATGGAGGATTCGTTTCGGCTTTCTCCTTCCCAAGGCGGCCTGATTTATAATTTTTCCCTCGCCTCAGATCCATGTCATAACGTCGCTGTGCGAAATCAAAATGGCAACTTTCTTCGTCCAGTCTGTCGGCCACGCTGTGTTCGGAACCGTCTGTACCCAATCTTTTCATGGTCCAAATATCGTGCCGGGTCCGATATTACCATCCCTTCCAAATATCGCTGGCAGGAGACTCCAGATGATCCCCTCGAATGGGATAAGATGAAGAACAAAGTCTTCTGGAGAGGCTCTTTCACCGGGCGGCCTGGGTCCAATGAAGCTGGACGGATGTTCCGAACGCAGCGGATCAGATTGATTGCTTGGCTTCAGGATGTTTGGGACAACGTCTCCATACTGGCTCGCAACAACGACGGACAATACGAGATGGCGCAGATGGCCGTTCGCAAAGCCGCCCCTCGTTGGACCGACATTGGTCTAGTTGGCAACGAGCCTTGGTTTACGGATAAAAACCTGGAGGAGATGCATATCAAACCCGCCAAAGGAGTCTCCAGCGATGAGCGATCGACTTTTAAGCTCCTGCTAGATATCGATGGCTGGGGTTGGTCTGCTAGGTTCCGCTCCCTACTTCTATCGCCGGGGTGAGTAAAATAACCTGGATACTAGCTGATCAAAGTAGGGCGACAATGAAGACGACTGTGTACCACGAGATCGTCTCAGATTGGCTAGTGCCTTGGTACCATTTCATACCCGTCAGCTACGACTACTCGGACATGTTTACTATCATCGCATACTTCTTCGGCATCCAGGAATCGGGTCAGAAGCATCACCAAGACGAGCTGAAAGCGATCGCAGACAGGAGTCGAGAGTGGGCTGAAAAGCAGTTAAAGTGGGAGCATATGGAAGTGAGTTAGAACGATATGCAGCAACCCTGCTGAGGCCTTCAGGTGTACTTGTACCGCCTCTTCTTAGAGTGGGGTCGGCTGACTTCGGTGGATCGAACCACCATGGATTATGTTGCATAGGGCAATTTTGGGATTTTCGGTCATTCATATCGCTCGGTTTCAGAACGTGTCCACTGACACATGCATAGATGCAATGAGAGTGACGTGTATGCCTTGCGATACAGTCTGACGGTCGGGGTCCGTCGTTTCACATCGAACAGAGCTATCTGTCCATATGTATACGGACATCACCATCGCACTTCCATCTTGCCCGCTCTGGCTATCTGGCGTATACCCTTGAAAGGCTTGTAGTTGACATCTCCAGATACTTTGAGCTGATCAACCTTGAGACCAGAGTATGAGTGATTCGGGATTGTGAAGGCGATGTCAAATGCGGGAGAAGGTGTGGAATGCGTCTCGCTGACATGCATGAGTGAGAATTTTGGTCGAAACGCTCACCTCGACGTGAAGGATCCGGTCAATGTTGGTGGTCTTTCGGTCGAGACTAGCGATGAAATCGTCCATTTCATTACCTGTTGGCAGAGGATCAACGAAAAGGTCATGAACTGCAAAGCGGACCACTCGCCTGGGTATGCGGGTCGAATTCCCAGGTTCCGCCACCTACATAACCATCTCCAACTTCACTCTTTGTACCTAACACCGGTGCCCCAGGTCCATGCGCATCTCCTCCTCCTGCCCGCTTATCGCCAGTAGCTGTTGCACTGACGCCGTTGGTTCCATAACCAAGGAAGATGGAGACAACGATATCCTGTATTGGTCGATGATTCGTCCGAGAAGTAAGGGTGAGGGAGAACTGGCCTGCAGAGTCGTCAGCTTGATCAGTGACGACGTAGGTCCAACGTACCACCGCCGTTCTCTTCGATTGACATTTTGGGAACGAGCTGTAGAGGCAATTGTACGCGCATCGGAGGGACTTGAAACTCCAAAAGCTTGAATCGACCATCAGGTGGAATGAAAGACAAGACACCATTTTTCTCCCATTTACTGTACCTAGAGCAGGGTAAGTGAAATTTTCAAGCTTTTTGCTCACCGTATACAAGGGTGAAACGAGCAATTGCTGATGAGTTTGGGATTGGAAAACGTCAATAGGAGATCGGGGTTACCGGATAGCCTAGATTTCGCATTGACTCGGCCCCAGACGCTTGAGGAGAGTACAGAGCCGCGACTAGAGCGGCCGACGTAAGAATCTCCATTCACAGTTGTGCAGTGGGCACAGGAGCGACTCACCGGTCGACGATGGCTTCCATCGATTCTTCAATGTCAAAGTAGATCTCGTTGTTGGCATGACGGATATTCTGCCGTCTCCAAGGAATGGGGGCGGTAAATGGGGAGGTGGGTGATTGAATGCTTTGACCAGGTGTCAGATGGTCCATACAAGACTCAGGAATGCCTACCCAGATACTCCAGCGACGTTGAGAATCTTTCGGACCAATGTAGGCGGAAGGACTATATCCTTGAGCATCGCCGTTTCCGTCGTCATTGGATGGCCTTCATCAAGCATCTCCTCGATGAGCTAAGGGGATGAAAGGTCAGATTATGCTGACACTTGGGCCACTTCCCGGACTGACCATGTAAACCACCTCAAAGTTCTCCTTGATTGAATTTTCCGTGATATCCCCTAGGTAATCTTCGAGGGTTGCCAAAAAACTAGACAGGAAAGAGAATGCAAACAGGGGGTTTACTAGAGCCTTCAGCTTTGAAGTCTTTTCAATATCCTCGAGCCAGCCAGGCCGACACACACGATAGCATACTCACATTCCTCCGATATAGGTACCAAAAACTTTAAGCCTTCCCGCTCTAACCAGCATAATCCGGTACCCAGCTCTCGACCGTCATTGTCAATGGCGTTCACCCCGATCACTGAATCGAGCACCTTTGATCTGGCGATGGACTGCTTGCGGAGATGATTGAACGTATCGATGTGGATGGAAGGGTAGGTAGGTGGATGCAATGAAAAGTGAGAAGTGATCAGAGGTTTCCTTTTGCGAGCGAGTATCATCAGTTCGTAGATCTTACGAGCACAACTCGGGCAGACCACTCACCCTATGGGATCCAAGATGATGAGACCGTCTATTCGCGTCATCATGAGTCCATCGTTTGAGCTGCAATGGCCAATCGAGAGATTCCAAGTAATTGACATAGTCGCGGCCTGACGCTTTACCCGTCATGTCATCGTTCGTGCTCCCGCGGGGCCCCACATCTATTGACCTCAAAATTTCAGATACAGATCCCTTCGAGATGCCATCCATGGTACGTTCATTTGACTTCCAAGAGCTCCATCTCAGGCCCAGAGTAATCATGTCGCATGTCTACAGCTTCATAGCTCCTTCGTCCGCACCTGCGACTCTCTTTGACGTTTCGATCTCCTCTGATCCCAGTGCGTCCTCCTCATCTTCCTCGTCCTCCCTCACATCCATCGCTGTCAATCACGCCTCGCACGCTCCTATAGGAAGTGTAAAGAGGATATGCAAGACATCGGATGGGTCGGTGAGTGTCTCAATAGCCCTTCAGCATAATGATGTACTCACTTTTTCAGATTGTACTTGCCGACGATGCCTATCGTTTATCTGTGCTCTCCGCTCGACCAGAGGAGGTCGATTGGGAACCAGAGGTTATCACCCAGCATGAAGTCAGTCATCGTAAGGGAGACCTCTGGTCAGGCTTGATACCAGTATCCAGGTGAGCTATTCATCTCTCTGACGCACCCAATTCCGCTGATATACCCCCAGTGGCTTCATCTCATCACTGTCTAGCGGAAAAATCACATACAATGGCCTAGACTCCGCCCTCGCTGGCGAATCTTCAAACTCCCATATCGTTGATGGACATGTGCTTGCCCTCGCATCACCTCGACCAAGTTCGAACACCTTTGCACTAGCAGGCAAGGAAATAGACGTGTCCATCCGAGATGTGGAACGAACATTCGCTTCTTCCTCGCGATCCCAGAATGGCGAGGGAGGAAGCAGTAAGAAGCGAAAGACGGAACTTGTTGAGGGCGAGATATGGCGAGCGAAGAATGTGCGTGACCATACTATACCCAATCCAGAATCTCCAATATCTCAAGCTGAACCCATCTATAGATGCCGAATAATTCTCTCCAGCTCCGTCCTCCCGTTCATCACTTGTGTCTCGCTTATCTCCCTCTCCCCTCTGGCTCAGAGTCAGGCGACAGTACCCACCTTGTGAGCGGCACAAAAGCTGGAACGTTACGACGCTACGATACGCGCCAACGGAAGCCTGTGTCAGAGCACAAATTGGCCCGAGAAGGAGGAATAGGCGCTATAGCGCCAGTCAATGAACAGTGAGTATCTTGTGTGGGGATTCGCAGCCGCCCTGCCTGACTTCGGGACAGTGAGGTCTTCTTTGCGGACAGAGGCAACTTTGTTGGATGTGCAGATCTGAGAACAGGCAAATTGATGTACTCGTACCCGGGTCTGACATCCTCGGCTCATCATCTGGTCTATCTCAATGGGAGTCCGGTTCACCCTACTTCGGACGATAATAGCTACGACGAAGTTGGGCACACCCTTCGAGAAGGTCTGTTAGCCAGCATATCACCCGACGCTACGCTCCGACTCTTGTCCACGGTACCGCCCCGAGAGCCTGCATCCAAGGGGAATCCTCAAGGCGGTAAAGCCAAAGTCGTCGGCGTGGCAGGTGGCGTAGGATTGGGAAGTTTCATATATACTGGATTTAAGTACCGTCCGGTCGTGCAGGAAGAGGGGAACGAAGAGAGCGAGCGAGCAGGAGGGAGTGAAGAGGGTGATGAGGATGTTTGGAACGACATGGACACTGCCGACAGCGACGAGGATGAGGACGAAGAGGGGTAGAGAAGATGCGTTGTTGTGCGAATGCGACACAATTGAATAAATAATGATTGTGATTGCCCAAGACTGATCGATTCCAGATTTGAGATCGACCCTATATTGCTGCGCGGGGCAGATCTCCCTTCAATGATCTGCTGCTTCGTCCATGTCGTGATTGCGGGCTTCGTCTTCGGCAGTCTCCTCCGCTTGATCAGCCTGCTGCCTTGTCTGCCAGTTTCGGCTCGCAACCTCTCCGATAGCGCTGCCTCGTCCGGCAAATCCGACTCGGAAAATTGGACGTCCTGTTTGTCCCAATCCTGATCCAGATCCCATCACAGTAGGACGAATCCCACTTCCACCGGCCGATCGATGCGACGCGAAAGACGGACTATCATCCCATGGATTCGGGACCGGACGAGGTGGGCGCTCTTGAGAGAATTCACTTTGAGAAGTCGTTGTATCGGCAGGAGGATCAGTTGCCACTGAGGCTGGTTCATCACTCCGCGAAGCGTCTCCTAGGACCAGAACGCCAGTGTGATACCCACCAGCCGCGACGCAAAAGGCGAATGTCTTCGGTCCATCCTTCTCATCCCCTGGAAAGATGGCTCGCTGAGGCTCTTGAATCGATCTCAAAGTGGTTCCATTTCCCATCTGACCATGATCGGCTCCACCCCAAGACCAGACTTCTCCCCCTTCTGTCAAGGCCACTTCATGATGATCCCCTGAGACGACCTGGATGATCCTTTTGCCGACGAGGCCTCTGATCTCTTTTGGAATCAACAGCTGAGGCTCATGCTCAAAGGCCGGATCAAACCTGATATGATTTATCGTTGTTCGGCAGTAAGACGTGATCGAAAGATATTGAGCACTGATGTGGATGATAGTCGGACCAGATAAGTGAGGCATCTACACGTTAGGTGCAATGGATGCCTTGACGACTCACAAAAAGCCACGTTCTCCCATGCCTTCCATCCGACTTCAGCTTGTGGTACCAGACCTCGCCATTCGCTTTCAGCGCTACAATTGAGTCTATGGCACTGGCTATTTTCGTAACAATCTCCAATTCCTCTCGACGCTTCAGATCCGTCATCTTCTCCCATTGTTGCCATTCGATCTCAAGAGCTTTCAATTTTGCATAAGGCTCTTCGGATCCTTTCGGAGGATCGTCAAATTCGGTCAAATCACGTCGTGGCCGCAGTGGAATTGGTGGTAAATCTGAAACAACTTCGCCAACTTTGCCCCATCTCTGATCTTGCCTGCCACTTCCATCCAGGGACGAGAATGCGCTTGGAGTTAGTTGATCCTCCGGAGTCAAGCTCTGACTGTAGGCCGCGGTGAACGGCGACCAGAAGAAGATGTCGCCTTTGGATGTCAAGCAGGCAGAATGATTCCACGACGCAGCCAATTGTATAATGTGCTTTATCGTTCCGCTTGAACCTGAATTGGCCGGCGCAGTGAGCACGCTCGCTGTGTGGTGATAAGCCTTAAAAGGTCAACTACGCCCCTTTGCGTGCGAGGCTCACCAGTCCCCATGCTCGCATTTCCCATATCAAATTATCGGAGTCGAGACACAACAGATGCGTTCTAGAGGTACAAATGCTCTCAACCTTGCATGGCAGAGGCAGTCGTGTTGGTCGAGTCGCCTGAGCATGTCGATTCTCCCAAGTTCGAGCGTAAAATGCGGGCGATGAACCGTCTAGTTGACCTGAGTAGATAAGCATTAAGATTTGCCATTCCTCGGTGAGGACAGTGAAAGTCGCGAAGTGAAAGTCGCGAACTCACCCCAAACCCAGACACCCCCATCGGCATCTCGGGCAGTGAAGCTGTACCCGCCAGCTTCTATATTGACGATTCGTGGAGGTTTCAGGTCCGTAAGATCATCCGCTGGCAAGCTGGGAAAGGTAACTTTGAGGGGAGAGTTTACGTGCCGCAAATTTCTCCTGACATTACCCTCAATCGCCGCCAGGTCGACACCTTAAAGCACACTGAGTCAGCTCACTGGAGAATGCCATCTTGTAGCAGTCCCGTTGGCGTACCCAATCGTCCGTTGTCTGTTGATCCCCAAACATTGACCTCGGGAGAGCTCAATCCAGCGTATACCCTTTTAGACCAACCCGAGTTCTCGGCCGGGGAAGCGAGTAACGAAGGGGGAAACGTGTAGTCTCGTATGATCAACCGATACCACAGCGTCTCATCGGTCTACATGAGGCTGGTCAGTCTTAATGATTCCTGGGAAGGAGGAGTCACTCCGATCTCACCGCTAGGGTATTGAGCTGTTTGTTGACCCTGGATAAGGCAACAACGTCTTTTGCGGGGAGATACGGAAGCAATTGCTGCAGAATGACTTCATTGGGAAGACTCTGAAGACTCGCAGTGCTATCGAGACGACCTTTGCCCTCGCCTGAGTTCATGTTGGATCGCTTCTGCGCACACTGAGAATGTGCGAGGACTCAAAGGACGACGAGTGGCAAGAAATAGCAAAAGTCCCAAGTTTGGGCTTCCGCGTCGTTGCCAACGTGTGGCACTAGCTTGGCCTGGCTGGATGTCACATCGAGCGGCTGCCAGACAGGTTAGCAAGGCAGGGACTGGTATTGTGTTGGCAGATAAAGGCGAGGAAGGGACCTCATCCATGCTTTCGTGACGCGTAATCTTTACGGATCAGCACTCTGCGTGGTCTTGAGTATCGGCCTCCGAACTCAGCCTCCGTTGCGATTACGCCAAATATTCACAGTTGTATTGCGACTGCTGCCACTCAACCAAGTATGAAACGTGGAAAACCACGTGGCAACCTAGGTCGATTGGCGGAGACCCTGAATCATCCCCTTCACCATACTTGGACCACTACTGTCCTACTGTCCAGGCTAGATGAAGCACTACAGACCCCATCTATTGACTCGGTTGCTGCATACACCATGCCGGAATCTCGGCCGAAATGCGGGGTGCTTTTCTGGTTGCCAATCGAATTATTCCCGTTTCTAGAAACCTCAAATCACATGGTCAGGCAAACCTTAAATCCAGATCCAGACGGTGCCCGGCGGCGATCTGTATAGTCGGACGCCGCTTCAAATGTCAATGGACTCTCACCTGTGAACTCGCCTTCTCCCTTCGGCTGACCTGGCTCTTAAGTCCGCCGTCAACGGGATGGGAGTATCTCTTACCCTATAATGATGTCCATTGCGGTCGTTTCCACCTCCGCACACTAGTTTGTGTAATGTACCTTACTCAGCCGCTGACGACTCGTATCTACTGACAAGGTTTCGTGACTAGTACGAGTCTCGACAGGCTGACCGCCTCGCAGCGCCGTGCGGGAAGATGTTCGGGGTTCTGGGTAAACTGGCTGATTGACATCGGAGAAGCGGAATGATTCTCCTTAGCTTGGTTCGTGAGGGTGGGGGGCAATGTATAGTTATATAAAGGGTGGGTTTGCGTGTCGTTCTTCTTGCATCATGACACTCATCATGTCGCAGCTCTTACATGCCCTGGCTGCCCTCCTCACTGTCTCTTTGGTGGCTGCGGGCCCATGCGACATTTACAATGCTGGTGGCTATCCTTGTGTTGCCGCACACAGTACCACTCGATCCCTATTGAACAGCTACAACGGGCCACTGTATCAGGTCACCCGTGGATCTGATGGGAAGAGTACCAATATCTACCCTCTGTCGACTGGAGGCGTGGCGAACGCAGCAACTCAAGATTCGTTTTGTAAACTGACGACTTGTCTCATCACGGTCATCTACGACCAATCCGGCAAAGGGAACGACCTCTCAGCCGCTCCGTCGGGAGGTGCAGCATCGGGTCCTGTATCGGGCGGATACGACTTTGTCGCTTCAGCCATCGGCGCACGCGTCAAGGTCGGAGGTCACGAAGCTTACGGAGTCTTCACGACCCTGGCCACGGGATATCGAAGAGACAACACCAATGGTATCGCTACGGGGAACCAACCTGAGGGTATCTATGCTGTAGTGGATGGAACGCATTACAATGGGAACTGCTGTTGGGACTATGGCAATGCAGAGACCAATAATCGAGACAATGGAGCGACACATATGGAAGCACTATACTTTGGTTCCGCTAGAGGAACAGCTGCCGGGACGGGTAATGGACCTTGGATTCAAGCGGATCTTGAGAACGGTCTCTTTGCAGGCAACCAATCTGGTTCTGTGAATCCCAACAGCCCCAGTATCAATTACCGCTTCACGACAGGTATCGTCAAGGGTGCTCAGTCGAACCTCTGGTCTATCAGAGGTGGCAATGCTCAGTCTGGCAGTCTAAGTACTTTCTTCAGAGGGCCTCGACCTGCTGGATACTACCCCATGAACAAGGAAGGAGCTATCATCCTCGGTATCGGAGGAGACAACAGTGATGGAGCTCAAGGAACTTTCTACGAAGGCGTCATGACCACTGGATTCCCCTCGGATGAGGTTGAGAACCAAGTCCAAGCGAATATCGTTGCGGCAGGATACGCCACGACGAACGAATATTCTGGCCCTGCATTGACTGTGGGATCCGCTGTATCGCTCCAAGCCTCGGGTCTAAGTGGACAACAGTACATTGGTCATAACGGGTCCAGCGTATCCATCATGCCAGTTTCATCCTCCAGCAGCGAGACTCAAAAGCAAGACGTCACATTCACTGTGAGGAGTGGAAACAATGGCCATTGTTTCTCTTTTGAAGCAGTCAACTCGCCAGGATCTTTCATTCGTCACTATGCCTATCAGCTGTACGTCGACAACAGTGATAATCAACAACGATCCCCATCTACTTTTGCCGACGATTCGACATTCTGTCCCGAACCTGGTTTCACAGGATCAGGTTCCGCCTTCAGATCGTGGAGTTACCCTACTCGATTCTTTAGAAGAGTTTCTGACGGCGATGTCTACATTGGAACGCAAGGCGGACCCTTCGCTTGGGACAGTGCGACCAATTTTGTCCAACAGGCTACCTTCACGGCTCGGAACGGCCTTGCATGAACTGCTTCAGGTCAACAGTGGCATACGAAGAGCAGACGAAAATCGAAGATTGCGAGACAAAGCTGAGCGCTATGCATTGCTGTATCTGGCGGCATTATCTGATTCATCCATCGCAACTTCTACGTGGACAGTGTCTACTTGCGATTCGGGCTGACTGACTGTGTGACCCGCCTCTTCCAGGCGCTCGAAACAGAACCATAATGATCCTTTACAGCGTGCTGACGACCGCTCTGACACACTCTCATGCGTCCTCCTTTCACAAGTCACGTTCGGACGGTCAAATCTCGCGATCCTTTGACCTTGCAGGGTCAAGTTTCTGTGTGGTAAATTCCAAGGCCTATAGCTAAGAGATACCAAGGCCCAATCATCGAGCTGACCACCGGTGTTGAGCTTCAAATTTGCACGCACAACTGTAAGACTCAAACAGTGACCTCGCTGGCTGCATCTAAACGACTTACCTGAAATGGCGTACTGGTACATGACGACCTCGCGACGGAGTTGGGAATCCAGCGCTACCGCCTCGGCTCCCGGTGTAGACACTGGAGAGACGGCACTGCCGTCTGCAGAGAGTCATAACTCTCTACCTGAACGATGGGCTCTACTGTTCAAGCAAGAGACACGAGACGCGTTCAATGTTGGAGATGAAGAAACCAAAAGCAAGGTGTCAAAGACAAGGCATGAGATTCAAGCGACGTACAGCTCTCTAACAGACGGTAAAAAGAGCGGGATTCTGACGGGTGAGGACCGTCTTTTGCTAGCAACTCTCGCGGCCAAAGAGACGTTGGCCAGCTTTCTCGGACGGTCGCTGAAACCAAAGGAGTTTGAGAGCAACGCAGGACAGTTAGAGGCAATCGTAACGAGGATCCATGAGGCTAAGGTCAGAAGCGACTCTATGAAGTCCGCGGGAAGTCTCAGCCAGTCTACGCCGTCCCTGGGTGAAGATAAATCAGAACCTGGCCGTTGACATCCCTGGTAAATGATGCCAATATGTTTGGTCAATTTACAGGACAATCCAGTTTCGATGTCACAACAGCGTGCAGAGTTGCATGCGGAAACACTAGTAGATATGCCTGCAGTCTAAGGACGACCGCTATATATACGTCTATGCGTGATCGTCTAGATCTCCAGCGCCAACGCTTGGCCTGAGCAGTGTCAGCAGAGTTCTCCAGCGGGAGCAAGCCTGACCCACCATATCAGTCTCGCCTGCAGATCCTCGGCACCTTTGTCTGAGGTCGATACCCCTTCATGATTAGACGTCACGGAATGGTGCTATACCTAAATTAGCATCTGTCACTGACGAGTGTGACGACTCACCAGACCCAATGTCACCTTGATAGCTGGTACGCCAGGTTTATACACCTCCAATTCTTCTTCTTCGCCGCCTTCGTCCCGCCGTATCAATCGCAAGATGTTCCGCGCAGCTACTTCGCCCATCCAATAGGCGGTATGCCCGGCTTGAATCGCCGAGGTCTCCGCACAGTCTCCAATGGCGAAGATGTGCCCGAGTTCCTCCTCTTCGAACACATCCGCAAATTCTCCACTCGGTCGAGCTGAGCCAGAGGATGATGGAGGGGATGGTGGTGGTACTGGACGGAGGGTGATATTACTTAGGCGATCTAGGGTGTTGGCTCGGGAAGTGACTGGACGAGTAGGTCTGGGTGAGACTTGGAGATGGGGTGTGACACGGATACGACCAGTGGTGGGTGAGATGGATGATGGTGAGAGCGCGGCAAGGATCTGAGAGTGTGGTTTCTGACCGGTGCAGAAGAGCTGAGCAAAGGTGAGCGGAAGCTGAGGAAGCCAGACTCACCACGAGATCCGCGTCGAATTGCCGTCCCTTGTCCGTGAGCAAGTGCTTCACCTTGCCATCATAATGTTCGGCGTGATCCGGCGCAGTCATGACCCTTTCACCAAGGACGACATTTACACCGAGCGTGGCCAGACGCTCTACAACTACATGACATCAACTACAGCCTTGAAATTGCGACTCACTGGCGATGTGCATCTCGACAGGGTATATCGGCATCAGACGTGTGCGTGAGTGAAGCAAAGTAACGTTTTTGTGCGGATACAAATCTTTCAGATCGGTCGCATACTCTGCCGTCCGTCAGTGTCAGTAGCGTGTGCGGCCACTCACGTATGCCTAGAGCACCACCTCCAACGATTAGAACCGTATTGGCAGATTTGAGCTCCTCGGCCTGACGTTGCATCCACGCTATCCCTCCCTTTTTCGTACCGAGTCCATGACTCGGTGGGTGTTCTTGAATGTGCCTGGGGGCGACAGGGTACTCGCTCCATACGTTGACTGGATCTGGCATCCCACTACCCAGCGCATAGATGCAATAGTCGAAATGGATGGTTTCTTCAGGTCCATCAAAGCAACCATAAGTGAGATTGGACCGTATTGACGCAATGGATTCGCTAGAGCCTCTGCGTGTAGACGCATTTGGTCGAACGAAGGACACAGACCGAGTGGTCAGAGACGTAATCGATCCTTGTATAAAAGAGTGGCCGTATCCTTCAGAGTCGGAGGAAGACGAGGATGACGAGGCTGAGGACGGGATGGCAGTGGAAGAAAGGGATGCGAGGGCAGATTGAGGTGACATGGGTGGAGTCAAGGGTCTGGATGGTGAACCGCAAATATCTTTGGCCTTCGCCGAGGTCGGTGTGGCTGGTGGGACATCGAGAAGATTGGTGTATGGTATGAATCCCTTGGCGGCGTGTTTAGCCAGGATAGTATATCTCGGAAAGACGTAAACGTCTAAGCACATAGATGAGGATGTCAGCACTATGTCAAAGGAAGAGGCGGGGATGGCTCACGATTGAAATGAGAGTTTCTATCGATGACCACCAGTCTCCAACCCTCCGGCAGATTTTGAGCCAAGACTCTAGCTGCTCTAGCACCTCCGTATGAAGCTCCGAGGACAACGACTGTCCGTGTAGATGAAGACGGAGAAGAAGAAGCAGTAGCTCCAAAGGTGGGAGCAGCAGGAGTGATCATCGCGCTGACACGCCAGCTGAGAGGTAAGCGAGCGAGTCGAGCGTGTGTGTCTGCGAACCAGAGAGACCAAACGTCAAGCGAAGACAAAAGAAGTGAAGAAAGATAGATGGATGATTGATGGAATTGTCTTGGCTGAGGTGAGGGTTTATCTGATAAAAAAGAAAATCGGGGGGTTCGCACTGCGTCACCACGTTTTTTCGGGTGGAAAACCCGAAACCACGTGTGACCAACATTCCATTGGCGTATTAGGCGCCGATACAACCTATACATGATATATGATATGGAAGAGCCAGAGAGCAGATCCAATCTACGGCTGGTCCCTCAAGCCTTGCCCTCACGTTTCTTCCTTCGCTCAATAGCGCGCCTCTTGCTTTCGAGCTTTTCTTTCTAGATCGATGTGTCAGCCATAACGTCCGACAGGGATCTGGTCTGATTCCTGCTCACCTCTTCTGCCTGTTGACGATTGGAGTATTGCATCTTTTCGTACAGTTTGGCCTTTTTGTTACTCATCATAATCTTGCGAAGATCCTCTTCTCCTTTTCCTGCACTGACGGCCTTGGTGGCTTTGCCAGACTTGCTGTGGACCTTGGTAGCTTCCTTCAATTGAGTTTCAAATGCCGCATGAGACGTGCCATTGCGTTCAGCTTCAAGTTCTGCAGCGTGTCGCAGAGTCGAGTCGGAGGGGTTCGTGGCAGCAGCGAGTAGAGCAGGCGGGTATCTCGGTGTCTTTCCCTCATCTTCAGCTTCTGACTCATCTGCCACCTCCTCCTCCTCGTCCTCATCCTCGTCCTCGTCTTCGTCCTCGGCCCCCACACTGTCCACCGCCACAGCATCTCCATGCTCCTCCAGCCAAGGTCTGGCCAATTCTCCCTCACCGTCCCATGGGCTCAGATGTGGTGGCAAGAGCTTGCCAGGAGCATAATCCTCCGCTGAGAGTATCTTGCTCCTGTTGATACAGTCTGCGACCCATTGAGGTTGGACCCATGTTACCTTTCTTCCACGCTCCGTTTCTCGCATTTGCTCCACAGTCATTGGACGATCAATCACCACGTGAGTGACGCCTTCGGCGAGAGGAGAGTCCAGAGTGGGGGCTTGAAGTGCCGTGATGACCTTGCCACCAGTCGCTCGGATGACAAATTCCCATGTCCGTGCGGAGATCTCGCGGGACAGGTAGAATGTGAAAGGGGAGAATAGGAGCGTTTTCGACGAGGAAGGTTCGGCGGAGGCCAGGATGGAGGAGAAAGTTGTCAGGGGGGCCTGAGCGACATCTTCGTTGTCCTCTTTGCTGGGTCGTTCCACGAATTGCTCTTCCTCATCATCTTTTCCCTCCTGGGCTGTTTCATCCATGTCGACGTCATCAGCCGTTCCTTCCGTGCTCTTGATCCCCTTGATCGCTCGCTTGACCTCCTTCTTGCTGACCTTTGAGCTGGCCTCAGCGGGCGCATCCTCCTTCTTCTCGACCAGCCGCAAGGCTCCAACGGATTCACCCTTAGCATCTAGCTCTGTATCTAACGGCGGCGGGTAGACGAGGTTCTCCTCGGTGTATAATTTGTACAGCACGAACGAGATCAGTGTTCGGTATAGGTCCAGGAAAGTCAGGAGAATTCGGAAGTCGACATCGTGCGGGACATGTTGTTGAAATTCGTAGCCTTCCAACCAGCGAACTCTTACAGGGTCACCACCTTGTCCAGGTGCATCCACCTCATAGTAGATTCCCTTGACACCGAGAAAGACGTATTTCAAGGATTGAGTTTTGATCGCCCAGAGCTGTCATTAGTGAGCGATGCCCGATAGGACGGTACCTACCTTCCATTCTGAGATCAACTTCCCGCATTCCGAAATGACCTCGGGCGGCACAAGCGTCTTTCCAGGGATAGGATTAGTAGGGAGGGTGGAGAACAAGTGAACGAGATTCAGGGGATCTTGCAAGTCTTGCAATGCCAAGGTGAACGTGGGATATCTGCCTAGTTTAGTGTCTCGTCTAGCCATGAAGCTTGGCTCACCTCTCTTTGACCAAATGATCCAAGCGAGCGACAGGCTTAGCATCCTCCAAATTCTTGGCCAATGCCCATTCTCCTCTTCCGAGAGCCCTGGCAAGCTTCTTTGCGAAAGCTTTGTGTTCCCTGAATCGAACGAGCAGAGGTTCATGAAGCAGATATTGGACGTCCTTTGCGTAATAGAACGATGCAGGAGCAGAAGAGCCCTTGTTTGCTCGTTTCTTATGCAGAGGCTCTCGAGGATAGATGCCTGAGCGTGGCTTATCAGCATTGCTATGCTAAGGGTACGCTCATGCACAACTAACCTTTCAAAATACATAACCGTCGAAAATCTGACAGGGAGATCTGAAGCTTCTTGAGAGCCTGATTTCGAGTGATGTAATTCTTTGCCCTGTCGAGCTGATCAGTCCGGTTTGATTCCCCCCAGCATTCCACACTTACGCTCCCTTCTCTCCTCTCTTCTGGATCTTGGCCATCGTGATGAGGTCTCGTGAGATGTGTAGAGTGTGGTCTTGGTGGACTACAATCTTTCCAAAAAAAATCTTCAACGGTTGTGGGGCTCCGAAGTCAAATGAATATTTTAAAATGCGGTTGTTTTTGTTTCATTTTGTCCAAAGAGGCGGATAACTTTGATTTGCAGGTGTGATCATATGTGTGATCATCAAGCTCTCAATGGCAATGACCAATGCCTAAGCCATGTCCCGTCTGTGGCTCAAAGAAATGGAGAAAGGACGCTGTATCAGGCTCAGCGATATGTGAGGACGGCCATGTCTTCCAGGTGAGCTGTTCCTTCTATGATGACGACTCTGCGGAGCTGAGCGCTGGTCGCAGGACTTCCGGTCGGAAAACCTCGTCGTGGAGAGCTCTGCGTATGCGCTTCAACGCCGAAGTCTCAAGAAAGGTCCCAGAAGGAACAAGAGGAGAGAAAAGGGTGATGTAAACCGGAAATGTGAGCTGAGCTCATCGTCCAACTGAATCTGAGAGCTGACACCAACTAGACTACTGGGGTGACGATGCGGAGTATCTCAAGATTCAGGCATTACAGCTCCTCCTGCGGCTTCAAGTTCAAGCTTTAAAGCCAATGTGGTCTCTACCTGACGCCTTTGAGGTTAGCTTCCTTGGTTTCTCGATTTTCGATTTTCCTTAGCTCACAATCCCTTCAGCAAGTTGTCAAAGAGCTCTGGGCATACCAGCTGGCCATCGCACCTTTGCCATCTCTCCCAACAGACTTGGGGAACAAAGCAAACGGCAGGACCGGTGGTCAAGAGGACGAGAGAATCTTAGGCGATGATGCGAAGTCTGTGGGTTCTGAGAACGACAGTGCCACAGAGGGGGAATCAGAGCTCGATACCGAAGTGGACGATGCGGCACTCGAAGCCGAGATGATGGCTCAACTCTCTTCCGACTCGTCGTTCGAGAGTGATGTCTCGCATAATACAAGACGGGGCAGGTCGACTCAGAAGCACCGGTGGAAGCGGAGAAGAGGGCTGCAGATCCAAGATACCCTGGTCACTCTTGGAGTGGCGTTCTGGATCTTGCGGATACCTTTGCTAAGCGCGGATCTGGAAAGGTGGGATCTCGTTCGTGAGACATTTCACTGACTCATCATCAGTCTGATCAACCTGAATCGGATACCGTACATCGATTATGGGTACACGAACTTAATACCTGAGAATATGAAGAGCCACATGAACAGGGAGCTCAGGCAGGCCCTGTCTCCGCGTGTGAGTTTCCAGTCTGCTCCTTTTTTGGTCTGATCTGTCGCAGTCTTCACCTCGCCCTGTCTTGCTCCACAAGCATTGCTCAGTCTTTGCCCGAGTCCTGATCCGCCACTTTCATGTCGTCATACCGGAAGCGAACATCTCGCTGCTAGCCTGGCGCCTTCTCTACACCCTTGGCGGAACGCCGACCACCTACTGCCAGGTTATGAACCTTCTCGCTCTGCTCGACGTAAACCTCTATTTGACGTTTCGAAGAGCTACGAAAGTGATTCGAAAATCCTCTCAGACGGCAAGACCTGATACGCCAGATATAACATACGAGAGGCGATCGCTTTACGATGACGTGTGGTTACCAGAGGTCTCTGTCGCTTCAGCATTGATCATAGTCATGAAAATGACATATGGCTTGGATGATGCCTTGAGGTCAGTACCACGGTAGCACTAACTCTGATCATTACACAGACCCGTCATGACGTGGACCGATCCCGTTGTTGGCTTGCCGCACCATGAGGAGTGGATCAAGGAGCTCGAAGGTCTGCTGGCTTCAGCTTCGCTGAGCGGCGAGTCCAACCAACAAACGAGACCGTAAGAACAGGGAGCTGGGGAAGATCTCAAGCTCACGAATCACAGTGACTTCACCGCCATGGACGTCGACGAGATTGATCGGTATCTCGACGTCAGTCAGAATATACTTCTGAAGGATCACGAAATGCCAGAAGGTGAGTGTTGAACGTTCGGACCCGACTCACTCGGGCAGACCCCATGTTCCCCTTACCGCTTTCCAAGAATGCCTTGCCCGACCTCGCCCCACATCCCGGTATCTTCCGTCATTGGACTCAAGGGGACCTTACAGAACCGTCGAGTGCGCCTACAAACGTGCCCAACAAGGACTTGCCTCTTCTTCCGGCTGAACAACTCAGGATGTACGATGCGGACGACCTTGCGGGAACCCTACCGAGGTCATACGACGTCCTCTTACAGAGTTGCGCAGCTATCACCGGAGTTGATTCGTGTCATCTGGCAAAATGTGTACAGGTTTTTGAACGACGACTGGAGCGGATTCGGGCTGAACGCGTGGCGAGGGAGCATTTGCATTCTCGAGCAAAGTCTCTGTCGCGACGGAACAGCGGTGTAGGTCAGCCGCGCAGATCTGTATCTTCGGCAGACTTGCGAGGAACTAGCACAGAGATAGATAACGGTTCGGCCTCGGCCATGTAGGCTGCATGTAAACTGCTGTTCTTAATATATCGAATACTGGGGTTCCGGCGATAAAATCGCTCAGATTGAAGCCTCGGTGCCCGATACCTTGGCCTGCTGATATGCCGTAACATTGACGTTTTTGGCTGGGATCTACCGCCAAGCCGATTCTTTTTTCTGACATACATACCTTCCCTCGCCTCGTCGCTCATCGCATCTATAAGAACCAAGTTGCTGGTTCGATATCCTTGACATTCCTCACTGAGACCCAAACCACTTGTGAAGAGAGACAATCATCACCGAAGCACCATGCCAGCGACAACATACCACGGTCCTATCAATCCTCATCCTGGCAATGGAGAGGCCTCCATCATCATCTTTGGTTATGTGCCTTCGTTAGGACTCGCCATCGCCGGTATCGTCTTATGGGCGTTGGTCATTGCCGCTCAAACTTGGTTCACTATCGTTCAGAAAGGCTACAGAACCTTCCATCTCCTGCTCCTCATCGGATCGGTAGGTTTACAAGTCGCCTGATGAAAATGTCCGTCTTGACGCCATCCTAGTTGATGGAACTAGGAGGATATGCCAGTCGGGCGTATGCTCACTTTCATCCCTTTCTAATCTCCACCTTTATATCTCAATACTTTTTGATCGTGGTAGTGGGTATATGGAATTGTTGGCTATTGAACACTGACACCGTCCGTACCTCTAGGCGCCAGTCCTCTTCTCTGCCGCAACTTACCTCTCCTTGACTTATGTCATCAATGCCTTTCCAGGCAGTGACTCACTGCTCGTCGTATCGAGAAAGGTGGTTTTGGGCTGTGAGCATCCATTCGAGTGACATTCAGGCATAGCTGACCCATCGCGCAGTCTTCGTCACTGTCGATGTTGTCTGCAGTAAGATTGCGAGGTCCATGTCCAGTCTTCCAGAGCTCATTCCCCTCAGCTGTCATCCAGGTCTTGGGATCAGCTCTCATCGGTACCTCCGAGTCCGCAGCCGCTCAAGGCAACAGCTCTGCTGTGACTCCAACCCAGGCAAACGATATACTCCTGGCTGGTCTCGCGGTCCAGGTAGGCCAGCCGCCTTAGCCATTTCTTCCCCTTCATTGACGGTCCCTTAGACCTTCTCATTCCTTTGCTTTTTGACAGTCTTGTCCGTTGCGAGCTACAGGGCCAACAACTCAAAGTTCACACTTACCAGCGGCTCGCTCGCTGAGCGTAAACGACTGAGACTTTTCCTCTGGGTCATTGTCTTTGCCGCCGACTTGATACTCCTCCGAACGACGTATCGTCTGGCCGAAACTGCACAAGGTGAGTGGGGCGTCGGGGTCAAATGCGACATCTTTGGCTTGTGGGCTGAGCATACCATTAGGCTTCTTTGGGACGGCAGCGACGAGTGAGGTCCTCTATGGATGTCTCGAGAGTTTGCCCATCATCCTCGCCTTGATGACCTGGTCATTCCTGCCTCCCTCCAAGCTCGCAAAGCCAAGACGTGAAGAGAAGCAGGAAGTTCAGACGGGCTCCACGGAAGAGAAGAAGCGCGGTGGCAGGTTCGAGCGAGGCGAGTCGTCGGCAGTTTAGACATTGAACCTTTGTACTGTTCCTATACAATCATGCATCCAGTTCTCGTTGAAAGGCACGAGCTGGCGAGAGAGCCTCCTCTGTCTTTGAGATGTTATTGGGATGAGTCGCGCAAGGATTAGCGGATCTTGATAGGGATCATCATCGTTGACGCCGCAGAAGCTTTAGGACATGAAAGAGTCCCATTGGGGCGAGAAGGGATCCACGGCGAGATTGACACTCCTGACTTACTGCGGCCCGCAGATCGCCGAGAGATGTGTGTTGATACGATTCAAAGCCTTCGCGATCAGCTCAATTGTGTATGGAAGATGATTCCTGATCCACGCAGCCTGACTAGCCTTTGAGGTGAGACAGTAGAGATCCATGGCGGAAGGAGGGCTCGCATCATGGACATGCAGATTCTGCGTGCTCACTGAAGCGACACCTGTCGATTGTCTTTCCCAAGCCTTTTGGTTCTGGGAGCATGCCCCGGCCCCTATTCCCGCGGCATCACTTTTGATGCTGCACGTCACGGCGAACTTCGGAGCATGAAACCACGGAGCTCCATGGAAGGATGCCCGACAGTCAAGAGCACCTGCTTCACCACGACAAGATGATACAATGAATCCCTGACCACCCTTTCGGAGTCACGGTCACGAACGACACAGTGAATTGTCATGAACGAGCGACGTCAACGGTATATCCTTCCTACACCGAGTCTGAGCGTGACCACGTATCGGGTGGGAATGGCTCTATACTGCCCGCAACTCAGAATTCAGGGTGCGAAGGGGTTGAGAAAGGATTTGACCCTCAGCCAGACCTCGAGACATTTTCAGAGACCGCGACGAGGACGACGATGATGAACCGCGCGCCGCTCCAAGGCCTGCCCGATGTGGATGGTCTAAGACTCGTCGCCGGACGCTGAAGGAACATGAGAGGAGGATGCTGCCCTTGAGCCACCATCCACTGACAGCAATCCGCCTGGCCACAAGATCTCGGATTTTGAGAGGACTGAATCGGATCACGGCCAAGTGAACCAGCACAGCGAGGCGCAATTATAGACCGCCCTATTCGCCTCGTGCCACTCGATGCATAGTACATCACACCGGACCACTCTACTTGTGCGTAGACTTGATCTTGAAACCACGCGACTACGAGATCAGCACGAATTCCAGCACCCAGACCCACCTTTCGTCGACCACGGGCTCGCTCGAACTTCCTTCCCTTGCTAGCAATGTATGGCTTGCCTCCCTTGAGGGGTCCACCAAAGTGTTTGACGGCCTCCCTGACGTTCCTCTTTCCTCTCAGCAAGACGGTGTTGCTTCCGGTAGGTGCCCTTGTGGCCAATTGGTCGAGGGTCAAGCATTCTCCTCCAGCGGCAGTCAATCGTTCACGGGCAGAGGTGGAGAATCGGAGGGCAGCAACGGAAAGTTTTGGGACAACGGGGAGTCGTTCGTCATCGAGGACGGTTCCGACAACAACGACGGTTTTGGCATTGTCAGGGTTCGACTTTTCAGTGTCCTTGACAATTTTGGAGATGGAAATGGGAGGTCGGTTGATCTATCCATCAGCCTGATGTCCCCTTGATTCTTCCTCACCTTGCTCATAAACAGTCGCTTGAGGATGACTTTGTTGAACCTAGAGTCTGTCCTTCGGGCCAAGAATCGGTAAAGCTAGGCGTCAGCGGATGTCAGAGCGCTTGTCTCACCTTGACCAAGAGCAAGAGGTACGGGTCCTCAGACTTGGGAGCCTGACGGTTACCCTTCTTGACGTGATGTCTTCGGATGTCGATACCCATCGTGTCGAGCTAGGTGGTGACCTTGATGGATACAGACTGGCGCTTGAAAAGATGCAGAGGTCAAGGCCGGAGGAGAAGTGCATAACGCCGATAGAATTGCCGGCTGAAATGGTGTGGCACAGAATCAATGGTCGGATATAAGATTTCTGGATTTTATCGCCGATACCGACGACTTTTGTCTTATTTACCCCTAAAGCCGAGAGCGCCGCGAGATCCAAAGCCCTTCCGTGAGTACCGTACGACAACTGTACACAGCACCCCTATAATAACTATAATAATCATCCTGACTGGCAGCGAAGCAACACATGCATATGCAAATTGTTCGGCTGAATGGTGCCGCGCTGAACAAAGTCCAGAAGCGTTACTCTTTCCCGGCACGCATACATTGAAGCATCGCTCGGAACGTTAATGGTATCCTTCATGCTTTCGTTCGGCGCGATGCTTGAGCCCTGCAATTAAGTACCCCATAAGCACTCGGCATCAATTCTTCCAGAATATGGCTTTTGTACTCGCCGACAGTCCCGTACCATGTTTGCCTATTGCATGAATAGATCTGCTCACCTCCCGTTGGGATCTAGCTGTGATCGCCCCCGGTGAGGAAAAAGCCTTTCCTTTGCGCCACAAGCCTCGACGAGTCCATCACATCCCACGTGGTACCGTGGGAGACCGTTCAACGCCGAGATCTGGTCTCCTCTCTTGTTGAAAGATGAAAGATAGATAGATCTCTTCTTATACCTCCGGGTCATCCTGCGAGGTCACGAACAACACACAGCGCCTACTTGATGCCAACGTCCACACACAATGGTATCCTCGAGTGCAATCGCAAAGCATGAGATTCCTCCACGGAACGAGGACGAGTGGGCCGAGGTGCTCGCCATGTGAGTCATTTTGCTTCCCCCCCGCTCTGCTGACTGTACCATAGTTATGGCAAAGATAGAGACTCATCCAAGCTTCAGCCTGCCTACAGACGCACAGATAATGGTACTCTCGAGCGAGAATGTAACCCCAGGCCTATCATCCATCACGCCGACATTGATGAATCATTCGAGGCCGAAGCGACGACCGGCGGCCGCCCGCCTTTTCCCCGTCCACCGGTCAAGCCCTCTCGATCCTTCGGAGGACTTTCAGAGCGTCCCGGATCATCCAGCGGGAGTGCGAGGTCGACCGTCAGTGGAGAGCAGCCGACCATGGCCCTTGGTATCATCAGCGCGCTCGGCGCTCCACCGAAAAAGATCAATAAATTCTCGGGTACACCAGATTGGGATACCGAGCAGGAGCGATTGAGAATGAGACGGCATTACGAGCATCATGGTTGGTTGCCCGGACCCCTCCCAAGTGAATCGAAACGGCTGTTGAAGAAGAGGGCTATGTGAGTTCTGACAGTCGGCATCGCTGACCCCAGTCTTCGACTCGGTATCGGCGCGAGCAGCACTCCCGAGGATGACCGGGAAAGACGTTCGGTCATTGCAAAATATTCCGAAATGGCACAAGACGTGAGCGACTTGGCACCACTCCGCTGATAAAAGATCTTTCAATGTCCCTATGCCGCTGTCAACATTCACGGATGCTTTGCGCAGCTCACATTTGGTGCAAACGTAGGTCACCGTGTCCTTCAAAGCTGACCTCAAGCCCGGCGATGCAATGACCACCACCGAGCTCGATGTAGCCGTCTGTGGTCACGCCTTGATCCATCCCAATGTTCGCACGACTGTCGTCTCGGATCTTTCGACCGATTGGCGCTTTGCCCAAAATCCCGTGGTTCAGCAAATGGGGTTCAAGTTCTATGCCGCCGCACCGCTTAGATGTTCCTGGAAGGATACCGAGATTGACATTGCCACCCTGTGCATTTACGATACCAAGCCAAGGGAAACATTTGACGCGCGGGAACAAACGATGCTCGTCAACTTGGCCAACATGCTGGTGTACCAGCTGACGACTTTGGTGAGGGTACCGCGAGATCCCGCTGACCCTATCAGGAGGGCCAAGCCTCGGCGAAACGAACGAAAGCCATGTATGAACAGAGCTTTAACTTTCTTCGCCGAAGCATTCTTCCCGACGAGGCAAAACGTTCGATGGAAAAGAAGAAAAGGCCCAAGCAGGACACCAAGCGCTCACAACTCAGCAAGAGCCCCCGCCCACGCCACATTAGCCTGGGTGAAAGCGCCGAGCCGCTCTTCGCTTCAAAGAATGGCCCTCGAGACAGTCGCAATGCCAAGACTCTTGCCGCCATGTCTGAATCGGCTTTGTTCAACGATTCAGCCTCTACCCTTCGCAACATTCTCCATGCAGATCACGTCAGCATTGTCGATCTCTCCGACTACACCCTATTTATCCGCCGTGTCAACGATCTGGCAGGCAAAAAGGCAGGCAAGAGCCGCGAAGTCATCATTTCCGACTTTCTCGCCGGCAAGCCTTGGCCTAGCGACTATGAACCGGTAATCCATCACACTCCCAAGGGCAACCAGACCGGCGTTAACATTCTCGGTTCAGACTCTGATGGCTTGACGTGCAATTGGCAAGATCCAGACAGCGTGCGTACCGTACGTGACTTTGCCGAGTCGTGGATAAAGGATCGTCATTTCTGGTGGGACCGGGAAGATGACGACGACGAGCTCAACAACAGGGTCATGCGATTGATGCCGGCCGAGGCAAACACTACCTTGGCCACCGCATTCATCACTTACGATGGACGACTACGTTTCGCCATGTTTGCGTCGTGGAAATCTAATCCGTCCGCATTTGCCGACAGCAACATTGCGAGTTTGCCATTCACATACATCCTTGGCGGATGCACTGCCGCGGCGCTGGCAATTCGAAAGATTCGATCCCTCGAGCACAGTCAAATATCTTACAGCAATCTCCAAGCACACGAGCTGCGCACCCCGCTGCACCAGATTCTCGCCGTTACTCAACTCCTCCGATCCTCCATGAATGATCTCGCCGATGCCCCTCAGCAGATGCAAAGTGGCAGCTTGACGACGATGGAACAGGTTAGAGACCTGTTGCCCCTGCTCGACGCCATCGATACATCTGGCAAGACACTTCACGGCATTGTCGACAACATCCTCTCCTTCCTCGACCTCAAGAGTAAGGACAATATGCTGGCGCCAACAACCCCGGCATTACTCTCGTCCCCCTCGGGGGCGGCGCAAACGATAGAGGCCATGTTTGAGGAACTGATTCACGAGACGAGCGAAGAGGATGTCCGGTCTCGCCAGGCGAACAGTCAACCGCTGTCCCACGTCGAGACAGTCTTCGAAATCTCCCCCTCATCGCTTGGTCGGCACGTCACCGAGGATTCTGGCGGAGCGCTACGCCGTGCGTTGGGCAAGATTCTCGCCAACGCGTACAAGTTTATTGATGGCAATGGTGTCGTCGAAATATACGTCAAAAACGTCGAAGAAGAGTGTCCTAATGGTTGTGAGGAACTCGCTCTTTCGAAGAAAATCAGCATCGAGATTCGCGACAATGGTCGGGGCATGGACCCCGAATTTGTCCGGAACAAGCTCGGTGAGCCATGGGCAAAGGAGGACCAATACACGACGGGCAGTGGTCTCTCTGTGCATCTCGCCTACCGCATCATCGATTTGATGGGTGGAGACATGGAGATCTCTTCGGCACCAGGGCACGGGTGTATCGTTCATATCCAAGTGGCACTGCCACTGCGGCAAGAAGGTTCTCCGCATCAAAAGTTCCCGTCTTTGGAGCAGGTTGACACGGATCATGACGCAGCAGGCCGCAAGGTCGCTCTCATCGGCTTTGACGATCCGCACCATCATCTCGGCGGTCACAACAAGTTGGAGACGGCACTCGCAAGGCAGCTTACCAATTTCGGCGCTCACATCGTTCCTCCGGCCGAAGCCGAGCTCATCATTGCCAATGGTCATTTGGAGGAGTCTGCAGTTCGAGGTCGCGCCCTACTGGACTCCACCCCAGCGACTCATTTTGTATTCTACGTCACTGACGGACACGAGCCCCACCCGCTATTGGCCGACCTCTTCGCCTCGAAATCTGTGCGTCGATACCAGAAGCCCATCACACCATCCCTTATCCGAGAGGCCCTCTTCCCCGGTCAGAGCAAATTCCAGCACGTCATCGCGTCCTCCGCCCTGTCTCGGGGCCGCCCAAGCATTCCCCGATCGGACACATCTGACAGCGGTGATCGAGAGGTGGTTCAGCCCGGCAAGACTGTTCCCGAGACGCGACTCAAAGCGCACTTTGAGCCGGCTGAATCGCCAGCCAATGGCACCACCTTGTGCCCCATCGTGGCCAAGCTGTGCTCGTTCTGGAAGCCGAAGAATGTGCCCGTGGAGGACGCCGTGGCTTGCTTGTCTTTAGGCGACTATATCAACTCCCATAGACGCACTTCTATCAATCGAACACCTTCCCTTGGCGGATCCTCCAACGCAGCATCTTCTGCTGGCTCGCTCCCCGAGACTCCTGGCGCATGCTCCGAGGCTGACCCGGCAGAAGCCAGCGCGACTGGCTCCCCCGTGGACGAGGTGGCGCCGCCTGTTGACATACCGAAGGTTCTGGTAGTTGAAGACAATCGGATCAATCGGAAAATCCTGGTCAAGCTGTTGTCCTCCAAGACTGTGAGTGGCGATAAGGATTCGGCTGATCGTACGTAGCCCATCGAGGTGGTCGAGGCGGCCGATGGACAAGAGGCTGTTGACCTATTTCGAGAGTTTGACGGTCCGGCGATCGTGCTTCTCGACATCAACATGTGGGCGGAAAGGAAAGTTTGTCTTTGCTGATATCAGGCCTAAAATGGACGGCTTCCAAGCGTCCTTTGAGATGCGTGAGATTGAGCGCAAGACGAAACGAAGAAAGAGTCAGATTATCGCCGTGACGGCACTCGCCGGCGAGGCTGAAAAGCATAAAGGACTGGTAGAGTAAGTCAGAACTTCAAGGGCCCCGCCCGCTAAATGTCAGGTGCGGTATGGACACGTGGATGACCAAACCCTGTGGCAAGGTCGCGATACATAGGGCAATAGACGATGCGAAGGAGGCTCTGGGTCTAGGGAACAAGGAGATTGGGTTGGGTATCAATGTGGTATAAGTGGGCTTTTCCGGAATGGTTGTAATCTTTTGTTGTTGCTATGTATAGCTCTGGGTGGATTGGCTCCAGATGTGGCAGCTGCGTGGGGTCATCAGGTGTGGGATCTGGTGAATGGGCATGTGAGTGCTTGGGATTTGTCCAATCAACCCTCTGCGACTTCGGATTCTCGGCACACTTTGCGACAAGGATACGCTGCCGTCTCATCTCACGGCCTCGCAATGCGAAGGGGTGGTCCACATCGCTCAGGATACCTCGCTGAAAGCTTGAAAAGTCGATCGACCTGAAACAGCAGACGATACGCCAGACTGTCACAAAGACTGTTTCCTCTTTGCTTCTAGATTTTTGTCAGCTTTCATCTGCCCCCATTCACCGCCTTTGACGAGTCGCGAGGAAAGCACACAACGCCCTCCCTGAGACGATCGCTCTAGGCCTCGCTCGACAAGATCATAGACACACGAAAGAGCTGCTGGGTCGAGAGACCCGGAGTGAACACTACCGTGTCAGAGCTGGCGCACGTCACAGGCAAAAACCTATTAGATGATGACATTATCATGATACACATTACCAAACTAAACGTCAGCCGATTTCTGCCCCGTCTGGACTCACCATAAGTAGCCGGAACCACACCCTCTCTCCCACTCGCTGGATCCCTCGCATACCACCACTCGTGACTTTGAACATCATCCAATATAATCACCCTCTGTCCCGCCTTCATACTCATCTCCCCAGGTTGAAGTTCTGGGCCCTCGAAATCGTATCGCATGGTCGTCTCGCGTCCCTCGTCCTCGTCGGCGTAGCTGGATGCATCGGATTCCCGCCGCTCCCTGTCAATGACGACTGGGCCACTGGGCGCAAGCGACTGCTCTAATGCCGCCTGCACATTGTCAAACACGTGTTGATGAGTTGACGATACGTCACTGTCCCTGTCCTTTTCAAACATTTCCTTTGGCGGCGGTCGATTACGCTCGCGTCGACGTTTGAGGCAGGCAAAGAGGAAGAAGAGGAGAATAAACAAGAGGATGAATCCCGTGGCCATGGCAATGGCAACGAGGACCACCAAACCCGTGGCCAAAAAGTGTTGCACGGAGAAGGAGAACGAGGGAGAGGACCAAAAGAGCGTCGAAGCAGTACCCAGTGTCCCCGCTGAAGTTGTCCCGACGAGATACGGTATCATTGTTGATCCATCGTATAATGCTGATGTGACATTGCCCTGGTTGTCAATGACCAAGTCGCCAGAGACCATTAGCATGCGATCGTTTTCGATTCCCCCCGAGGTGGCATACTCTTTTGACAGCGGGACGAACGCCAGCTGAGAGACGATCGACCCGGGAAGCAGGGACGAGTTTTGCTGGGCCCACGACTCGCCATTCCATTGTTGAAGATATGGCTCGTTGTCAGAGCCGAAGCCTGCGGCGAAAATATTACTGGCATTCTTGTCGTCCACGGCGACAGCCAACGCGGGCCCAGGCAATGTTCCAAGACCCGTCCAAGTCGAATTATCGAACGAGTAGCTGGCAACAAACGACACGTCACCCGAGGGCAGGACAAATGAACCCGCAATGATGACCGAGTCAAACTTTTCACCAGCAAAGTCAATGGCCCTCACTTCCCCACTCTGCAGACCTTGACCCGGTGTCGACCATTGTGCCTGCTGAGCGTCCCAGAGGCAAACCGCACTGCATCCGAGAGATCCAGCGTTGGTGAACGATCCCGCCACGACCACCGTATTTGTATCCATTCGTGTGCGAATTGCGTTGACCGAGACGGTTCCAGAGCCAGAGAGTTGCGACATGCCACCAGTATGCCATTTTTGATCCGACAGACTATACACGACGAGGTTTGACCCCACTCCAGTGACATTGACGTCAGTGCCGCCGATGTAGAGATCCGTTCCGATCACATTGAGCGCCTTGACGAGGCCACTGACAGATGGCGATGGTCCAGTCAACTGGGAATCGGCATAAAATCCGACACCAGAAACCGATCCAGCGGAAAAGTTCCCCCCGATGATGGTCACCAGCTCGCTAGCGTTGGACCAAAAAGCACCGGCGAGGATGGCAGGCGCCGCTGCCGTCGTGATCGGAATACTTGGCGCATCGGCTCTCTCATGGAGCCTTCGACGGATCGCAAAGGGATCGGCAAAACGGGTGAAGAACGATGTGGAGATGTGGGCAGTGGATCGCTTTGCCGGGCTGGCCTTACTCAACGTCCCGGTCGAAGCGAAATTGACATTGGCGAGGGAAGAAATGGTAGGCCCATTGGATCCTGTCGACAGCATTGCGATTCCATTGACGGCGTTGGCCGAGGATCCAGAGACTCTTCCCGCTAGCACTGTGTTCTCGCCACTAGCGACTGCGGTCGAAACATTTCCAAAAATCACCCCCGACGTGTTCCACTGAGATTGGTTCGTCTCCCATACCGCCAGGCCCCCTGTGGTCACGCTGTTACCCGAACTATTGACTGCTGTGAAGTTGCCGAGAACGACGAGGTTGGACCCAGAGACAACCAAGTCGGTGACAGGACCGTTGACTCCTCCGACCGACGACCAGCTCTGAGAGTCAGTATCCCACTTGGCCAGACCTTGCAAAGGCGTGCCGCCAGTCGCTGTAGCGGAGAAATTTCCTCCAAAGTAAATATCATTCCCCATGACGGCTGCTGCGTAGACGACCCCGTTGAGACCTTGATCCGCTAACGCATACGATTTGGTTCCATCGACAGCGACGACATTGCTGTAATTACCGCCGACCGTAAAGTTGCCACCGATATAGACCAAATTGCCACTCTGGACGATCGTGTTGATGGCAAATTCGTTTGACTCGCTCGACATGTTCAGGGCCATGTCAAGGGCAAACCCGAGGCGCGAGACCGATGTCTCGGAGGTGTTTGGCATGACGCTCGCCGCGTTGACTGCTGAAACATACTCGTAGACGCCGAAGGACACGGACACCGTTGTGTTGGTCATGCCCTTGGTCCCGTTGACAGCCTGACCTGCTGCCCTCGATGTCCCATTGCTAATATTGGTAAGATACAGGTCGACCGCTTCGGCAACTAGTATGTAGTTATCGCCCTGCACCGGCGCGGGATCGGCCGCCAATGACAGCGTAATGGTCGGACTGAACGAGCTGCTGGTCATGTCCACAGGCCCGGTGTAAATGAGCGTAAACGTGTCCTGCTCGACTGCCTCGGAGATGGTAGTCGTGTAAGTGAGGCCGCCCTCGACCGGCAAGACCTGTATCTCCACGGTTGTCCTGCCATCGCAGTCGCCTAGCGCTGTGCACCCGGGAATAACCATGTAAATGTCGTAGAACGCGGCGGCCCCGACAAAGGGGTAAAACGTTACAGACGGTCGGGTGGTTGAACCCGTCGGCACAGACGTCGTCACGTAGTAGACGTCAATGGCTGGTGCCGACTCTCTGTACACCTGAGTGGTCCAATTTCCAGTGTGCTGAGCCGAAGACGAGTTGCTGGGGCCGGGACACAATGGCTTGTTGGTGTTGGTCACGGCGGATCCAAAGGCGCCTGACGTCAGCTCTATTATCACATCGTCTCACCATCTGACAGCAGTTGGACACTGCTCAAACCGGCGCCTTGTCCCTGCCATTGTTTAAGATGAATTTTGAGCCCTGTTAGACTTAATGCGCCGCTGGTGAATGCAAAGTCCTGCGCTGACACGCTGGGATCGGTAGACAGAGGGCAGTTATCCGTACATGTCTGATTGTTGCCTGAAGCATCTTGATAGGTGAGCTCGATGACCGTGTCGTCGGGCGCGGCATTGATCCTGTCGTCAGCGATTGCCTTGGCGGACGACTCACGAAAAGACAGTTGTTCCTCTTCCCTCCACCAGCCCGTTAACCAATCTCGCCCCCGTCGCCCTCAGATAGTTGTATCCGACCACATCCACCTCAGCCTGTGAATTGTCCGCTGCAAGCCAAATGGCCTCGCCTGGGCATAACAGCACGTACGGATCGGAATATAAATGCTGCGTCGTCGTGGGAGCAGCCGTCACACTGATTTGATTGTACGGGTCGATATACCCGGTGAAGGGATAAGTGAGCGGCGTGAGGTAACCCGAGTGTCCCACAGTCAAGACGCTAGATGGTGCGGCTGGGATAGAAGTGATGTTGCCGAGGGTGGCATTGTTGGAAGTGTTGGAGGCAAAGGATGTGGTGAAGTTGCCTCCAAAATAGAGTGACCCGTTACTACTTGCCGAGATGGCATTGACGGGTCCGTTGAGCGAAGTGAATGGCACGGTCGACCAAGCGGACGACGAGGTGGACCAGAGAGCGACATGATCGGTAAAGTCACCCCCGGCCCAGACCTGCGACTGCGCCGAGTCACAGAACAACGTGTTGACGGGTCCATCGAGACCGTCTGAAAGGGCGGAAAAGGAATTCGAGGTGAAGGAATAGGAGGCAATGTTGGTCGCTGAGACACTCTCCACCGATGTAAAAGTACCGGCGAGGTACAAAGTGTTGGTGGAGTTGATCAAACAGACGGAGGATATGCTTCCACCAGCGTTTGTACTGCCCAAGACATGATAAGAACCATCTGCCTCTCGCATGAAAAGTGTATCAGCAGTGGTCGAAAAGGAGTGCGCTGAAGCATTGAGAGCAAAGGGAGAAGCATCGGACCAAAAGTCGAGTCCTGCGAATGACCCTCCTAATCCTACACTGCCCATCCGACTAAAGTCGACGGAGGGGAGTGAGCTGGCCATGGCGACGGATAGCGTAGGAGGGGTTGGAAATCGAGTCGCTGATTGAGAATGGAAAGATGTCTATAGCATGGTGCGTGCGATATTGATTGATTTTGGTGTTTGTGTCCGTTGGGATGATGATTAATGAAACGGTCACGTCTCGAGTTGCGCGGGTCTTGACTGTGTGACAGAGAGGCCTTGTCTGAGTCGACTTGAGAAGGGTACAGAATGAGTGTCGTTCAAAGGAATGAATACGAAGAGCAGCAAGATTGTTGGTTGTCGACAATAGGACAGGACAGGGGAGGCAGGCGAGTAGATGTTGAATTGGAGTGGTGATGATCCCTTTGGATGGGACACGGGTCTTTTTTTTAAAATTGGTTTTCTACACGCGTCTTTCGATGAAACAAACCTGGACTACTACTACCTACTACTGGCTACTTATGAGGGGAGTACAGAAGTTCCCGCTGCTGTCAAAAACGAACGCATAGATATCATCCGCGCGGCTTTGGGAGAGGGTATCTGCGGATGAGGCATGTCCCTATAGATCTCTAACCACAACGTGTCTACATGGCACCCGATCCCGACAATTATTATTGTTTGGTTATTAAAAGTGGCAAAAGGTTTCAGGGTTGATACTGGAGGATGCAAGCTCTTTTGCCACGTCATTAAGCTTGCCCCCCTTTGGGTGGCCCGGTATGTATTTACCCGGTCACTTCTTTCAATCTTTCAATTCTTATCGTTGACACACCCCATGTCGAGCCCTTCGAAAGTGTATAGAGATAGAGACACGGGGCACGAGTCGGACGATGACGATGTGGACGGACTCGATGGTGAGTCAGAGTGATCGGAGCTCTAGGCTGAATATATGGAGATGTCCTCGCCTCGTTCAATGCGCCGAGCCCAGCGAGACCCACCGCTGGACCGTCCAAATCGCGTACCTCTTCTTCGCTTGGGCCAATGATAGAAAAGGAGGACGACGACGACGGCGAAGATTTCGACGAATCCCTAGCGCAAGGTATGGAATCGCTCTTGCTTCAATTGGCCGGCTCCAACCCACCCGGTCCGATGCCAGATAAAGCCACAAAGACAGGACCAATCGAGACCCCATCGCCGCCGCCCCGACCTTGGGAAGGAGGGATGAGTCCAGAGGAAGAAGAAAAAGCCTGGCAAAAGGCCATCGAGATGATGTTATCGGGTGAAGGTTTGGAAGCGCTAGGTCTGGACAAGAACCAAAATGCCGAAGCGGGTCCCAGTCAGCCTCCAACTCCAGCTTCAGCCTCAGCTCCTGCTCCTGCTCCTGCTCGTCCCCCCAACCCAAGCTTCGATGACACAATCCGACAAACCATGGAACAGCTCAAATCTGCAGGTTCAAACACCAAAACATCCGACGACGCCACATTAGCCGCTCTTCTTGCTCAGCTCGGTTCGGACCCCTCTGCTCTGGATGGATTAGGCGACGGCGATGACGAGCTCGGTGGTCTATTAGACGGAATGATGGCTCAGTTGATGACCCGTGAAGTGCTCGAGGACCCCATGGTGGAGCTCGCCTCAAAAGTGAGTAGTGCTCGGATCCTGTCCCCGCTGATCTCAGTACCCCGGATACCTCGCTTCTCCACCTGCTGGAGTCACCCCGTCCGAGTTGGAAAAGTATCGCAAACAGTCTGCCCTTGTCGATACAATCGTCAAGACATTCAAAAAACCAGACTTCAACGACGACAAGGACGGGAGAGAGATAGCACGACTCGTGGGAGAGATGCAGGATCTCGGTGGACCGCCAAAAGAGATCATGGGAGATTTACCCGAGGGCTTTGTGAGTATCCATCCTGCAGCGGCTGAACTAATGACAGGACCTTGGAGCCTTGGGCGGGGACGAAGCATGCACCATCATGTAATTACATACTACTCTGCATCGCCATACATCCGAACGCTGTCGATCAGCTTGGGCACGTCCATATCCACTCACGCAATGTTCATCGCTTGAAGCTCCTGGAACAATAGCTTTGCCGCGTAGGGGATGTACACTTGAGAAATCTGTGTCGAATTTCGACAGACTGAGCAGTGAAACTCTTGCTTTTTGAGATTGGCAATGGCCATGAGTCCACACTGCGGGTCAGCGAGCGTCTACTGACAAAAGGCTCACCTGATCACACACGTGGATCCTAAAACCGTCCGATGAATCGTACATTCGCTCCTTGAGGAACCCAGCAATGCCGTGAGAGATCATACAATCACGCTGCACGTATAAGTGTCGCTCGGCTGCGCATCGCTTCGTCGCTCACCTCCATTTCCCCGAACCGCAAACCTCCATCCCTACTCCTACCCTCCACGGGCTGCCGCGTCAAGATCTGCAAAGGCCCTCTCGCTCTCGCATGAATCTTGTCTTCCACCATATGCTTTAATCGTTGATAATATGTCGGTCCAAAGTAGATCTGAGCCTGGAGTTTCCTCCCCGTGTGACCATGATACATCACTTCCAAACCTCGGCTTTGGAATCCCCTCGCGCGGAGCATCTTGGACACAGCTTCGACCGTCACCGCGTCGTGGAACGGGGTCGCGTCTCCCTCTTGACCAATCTGAGTGGCCAATTTTGACATGAGACATTCGACCAAGTGACCGATTGTCATTCGAGACGGGATAGCATGGGGGTTGATGATGATATCCGGAGTGATGCCCTCCGCACTAAACGGCATGTCCTCTTGTCGGTAGGTAATTCCAATCGTACCCTTTTGACCATGTCGTGAGGCAAACTTGTCTCCGATCTGAGGCACACGAGTCGATCGAATACGAATCTTGACAAACTTGTTGCCCTCTCCGTTGGTCGAAATCATGACCTGATCCACAACACCTTGCTCGGTGGATTTGAGAGGCGTCGACACATCTCGCTTTTGATGTAACTGGGTGCGTTGTCCCAACTCCTCACTGTCAGGCGGTAACGGGGCCGTCTTGCCAATAATTATATCGTCGCCATTGACGTTGGTCGCCGGTGCGATCAACCCATCGGCATCGAGTTTGGCATACCGATCACTCGATCCATGCTTCATCCTCAATGTATCGCTTCGATCAGGCTTTTCAATCGTCTCTGTTTTCTCTAGTCCCTTGGTCTGCTCTGTATCCGTGTAGGATCGATAATACAACGATCTGAACAGACCGCGGTCGATAGAACTCTGATTCATAATGACGGAATCTTCCTGATTGTATCCCGAGTAGCACATGATGGCGACAATGGCATTTTGTCCTGCTGGCAGGTCGGAGAATTTGAGATACTTCATCGATTGCGTCGTAGCGAGCGGTTTCTGGGGGTAATATAGCACATTGGCCATCGTGTCCATGCGCAGTTGATAGTTTGTCAGATGAATGCCCATGGCTTGTTTGCCCATGGCCGATTGATACGTGTTTCGAGGCGATTGATTGTGATCAGGGAAAGGAATGATGGATCCACAAACGCCGAGAATCATCGAAGGGTGGATCTCCATGTGCGTGTAGTTCTGAGACCAATTGGTGCTCTTGACTCGAGCCGCAGGGTCAAACGATTCCATATTGTGAGCCGCTCGCGCCTTGACCAGCTCCTCTCTGCCCGTCATGACCCGCGCATTGTCGAGATCCTCGGCCGACATGGCTATGAGAATCGTTTCCTCTTCTGCCGCGTCGACATATTCCACGACACCCGTGCTGAGCAACTCGTCAAATGCCTCACGACCGCCATTAGGGTTGGCCGCCCCATCCTCGGACAACATGGCGTCCTCTATTCTGTCCACATCGGCTTTGGTCAGTTTGAGCGTCTGTGTTGCCTCGTCGACGATGAACAATGGCCGACACACCCTCCCAGCGTCCGTACACAGTCTGAGCTCGCGCTCTCGAATGTCTCGCACGATGGACACTTCGTCCTTTAGCTGACCCCCTCGACGCATCTGCAAGAGGTTCTGGTGCAATGTCGGCGCATCGCGATGGATTCCCATCCACACACCATTGACGAACACCTTGGTCGCTGTCGGCGCGGCGATGTATTCTGACTGATCTTCCAAACCCCATTCCTCCAAGAATTCCATGATAGGGGCAGAGGGCGAACCAACCGACACGTACGACATGAGAGCCATGTTTTTGACCAGTCCACATGCAGCACCTTCCGGCGTCTCGGCGGGACACACCATGCCCCAGTGTGTATTGTGCAACTGTCGCGGCTTGGTGGCCTTGCTTCCTCGATCAATCGGTGTGTTGGAGCGACGCAAATGGGACAGAGTGGAGGCGTAGGTGTACCGGTTGAGTACCTGGGACACACCCACACGATGTGTGTTGGATCCCGTGGGCCAGTTGCCCGTACTGATGGCTGTACGAAACCCATTCGTGATGATGTCTGGTTTGATAGCAGTAGTCAAGGAAAACTCTTTGTTGGTGGAGATGCACTAAAGTCAGCTCGGTATGCCGCCCTCTTGCTCACCTTTTGCAACTCATCCCTGATCCGCTTGGTGAACCTGTAGAACAATTGTCGGAACAGGTTCGCCAACAGCGGACCCGCCAGATCTATCCGCTTGTTCCCAAAGTGATCCCTGTCGTCCAGCTCTCGCCTCCCTAATGTCGCCTGACACAGTCTTGACACCATGTGTCCGAGGAAATACGCCTTTTTCGACTCGAAGCCTTCGCTGGTTGACACGTGCGGCAGTAGCTCCATCTGTAACACGTCGAATGCCGCTCGCATACGCTGCGCCCTGGTCCCTCCCTCGTTCTGTCCTCGTCGACCAATGAAATCCAACGCGCCGTCTCGATCCTGCACCGCGAACGCATCCTCGATACTCGGTTGCAGCATCTCCAACATGGCCGTGTCGTCTTCGTCGAAACAGATGTGATTGAGCACATCCCGATCCGGAACGATCCCTAGGGCCCTGAATACAATGACGAGAGGGATATCCACTTTGATCTTTGGTATCTTCACTTTGATAGTCGGTCCGCCTCCTGTCATGCCTCCTTTCCGATCTCCTCGGGGATACAACCTCACCTCCATTTCTGAAATTTTGGCCGTCTTTTCAACCTGACTCGTGACTGTGGAGTAGAAGGTGAAGCCAGACGTCGTGGCCTTTTTGAACGTGTAGACATTGTTGAAAGCCATACGTTCTTGACCAATGAGCACCTTTTCCGATCCCTTGACGACGAAGTAGCCACCAGAATCGTAAGAACATTCGCCGACTTTGGCGTACTGGTCGGATGGAAGTTTGTCGAGAATACAGTGGGTAGATCCGACCATAATGGGGAGCTGCCATGAGTTCAGAGCCTACTGGTCATCTCACCTTGCCTATAAAGATCTTCTCTGACGCCGTCCCTATCTCATTCCCATACTCATCCACTGCCGGTTGCCAATCGGCTTCTATCGGGTCCTCACTCCCTCCAGCCGTCAACACGCGACGTGACACGTCGATATACAGCGCAGACGAGTACGTCAAATTCCTCAATCTCGCCTCGTTGGGAAACAGTGCCTGCGTATGACCGTCCGCCTCTGTCATGGTCGGACGAGCGAGATAAATCTGCCCAAACTCAATCTCATGTCGCCGCTGCTTGTCAGCTTTGAGGTCTAGCGGTCATCTCACCGTTTCGTCATTCGCCAAGCCCGTATACTGGTCGTGCTGATCCAGCGTCAACAATCTCCGTTCATCGACAATCTCCTGCATAGTATTGTCGACAAACTCGTTGAACGACGCCGTCTGTTGCCTGACCAATCCATTCTCGCCGATATACCCAGAGATGACCGTCCAATAATCTTCATAACTCAGTAATTGGGAGTTATCATACTCCTCCTCCTCCGCCCCGCCGTACTCTGGTGACCCATACCCGTTGGACGGACCGGCTTCCATGGTGTATGGCGGACGCGGTAGAGACGTTGAATGCAAAGGGGATCCCAAGGTGGCAAGGATGGATGAATATCGCCGAAATGTGCTTGTGGCAGCTTTGACCGGGCGGCGAGTTCCGCTGTGTGTCTGGCTAGATTTTCAGAATTTTAGCAGGCAGGCATGCATGCATCTGTTGAACATCACACGATGGCAGGTCTCAGCAAGAAGGAAGCTAGAAAGCAGAGTAAGGGCAAGGGCAAGGCCAGGGCGGTACCGATGGCAAAGACGAAGAAGTTGGAGTCTGAAGAGGAGTGGATCAGCGAGATTCAGGAGCTGGACTCGCTCGACTCCGAGGATATCGACAGCGAGGATGATGAGGAGAATGAGGGAGTCAGTGAGAAGGGACTGGCCAGGTTGATGGAGCTGGTCAGCGAGGAGGACTTGGACGAGTTCGATAAGGCTCGTCTGGGAATGGCGGACGAAGATGAGGAGGACGAAGAGGAGGATGAGGGAGATGAGGACGAAGATGAGGAAGACGAGGAAGATGAGGAAGACGAGGAAGACGAGGAAGACGAGGAAGACGAGGAAGACGAGGAAGACGAGGAAGACGAGGAAGACGAGGAAGATGAGGAAGACGAGGAAGATGAGGAGGATGAGGAGGATGCCGATGAAGCTGCCATCCAGGTATTTGTGGCTCGTCCCGCCAGCACTGACACCCCTTAGAGCGCTGCCGTCGCCGCCCCCGTGGATCTCGAAGAGGTCGACTCGGACGCATCCATGGAAGACGCCATACCTGTTCAAAAGGTCCTCACGAACAACAAGGTGAGTCAGACTTGGTCTTACTCCGCTGACCTATAGCCCGGTATGAAGCTCCTAAGAGAGCAGATCAATGTGACTTTGCTTCCTTGGAAAGAGCACTTGACGTTGTCCAGCAAAGCCACGGTCGATGTCGACCCGTCTGATGGTGAGATTCTTTCTGGTGGGGCTGGGGCTGACGTCAAGACCTGCAACGCGAGATGGCATTGTACGTCTCGTTTGAAGACTCCTGCTGACCTGTAGCTACAAGATCGCCCTTGATCAAGTCCCGATCGCTCGCAAGCTCTGTTCTAAGCATGATATCCCCTTTTCCCGACCCAATGATTATTACGCCGAGATGGTCAAATCAGATGAACACATGGAACGAGTCAGGACCAAATTGGTCGAGGAGGCGTAAGTGAAGTTTACCTCACTCCCGCTAACTTTCTGCAGCACTCACATCAAAAAGTCTGAAGCTGCGAAAAAGCAGCGAGACTTGAAAAAGTTTGGCAAGCAGATTCAACAGGAGAAACTCAAGCAACGCGAAATGGACAAGAAGAGCTTTACAGAGCGTATGCACGGGATCAAGAGGAGTGAGTGTGTGGCGTAGAGCTTGACTGAAAATGGTCAGAACGCAAGGACGGGATGGAATTGGGTGATGAAGACGACGAGTTTGGTATTCAAGTGGACGAGGCGGTCGATGAGGATACTGGCAGGTCCAATGGTCGTGCTGGGGGTCAAAAGGGCAAGGTGGGTGCAAAAGGCTGTCGACACGGTTGACCGCCTTCAGATGCCTCGCCGCGCTCGGGATGCTAAATATTCCCTCGGGGGTGGAGGTCGGAGGTCGAAACAAAACACAAAGGAGAGTTCGAACGATTTCCCGGGCTGGAATTCGACCGGTGGCAAGGGTGGCAAGAAGGGAAAGCCCAAGGGTGGATCGGCAAAGAACAGACCTGGCAAAGCGAGACGAAGGGCGGGCAAGTAGCCCAGAGGGGGGTGGGGGGTTCTCATCTATGCATAGCGTAGCGTGACATGCCATCACCATTGCTGGCTTTCCAACCTACCCTTCTACTCACCCACTTGAAGGTTTCGAGAAGCTCAAGTCTTCTTAGCTCCCTTCATCGGTCGGACCATACATTGTCCGTCGACTTTCCAAGAGTCGGAGTCCATGCCCATTTTTTTGAAACGTCTGCTGAGGTTCAAATTTGAATGTCCGCCTAGGTAATGGCGACGTATAAGAATACAGAGTGGTCTTCCTTTCCATGTAGCGACTATCTTCAAGTGGCAAGACAGACCCACACACGCATCATCAACAACACACGCCGCCCAGGATCTTCGAAGTGTGCCACGACGCCACTTTCTGCAAAGTGCCAAGCCCGAAACTACCATAAGGGATCCACCGATCTCGACGCATTATCTCATCATCAGGTCAAAGAAATTTCAACTCCTGCAATTGATAACCTTCTTGGGACTGGCTAGACATCCCATCCAGACCGCTCATCACTCCACTTTCTCTCGCCGCCATTCTCTCAACCGTCACTCCAAAGCCCTTCCTCCCCAATCCATTCCCGCCAGCCAATCCCATTCGTTGCATCCCCCCAAAAGCCAAAAAAATTCCCATCGGGAAAAGCCTATTTGGGACCCACTTCGACTTGAAAAGCAAAAAAGGGCTCATCCACTCACTCAGTCAACTGAATCAGCTTTCCTCAATCTTTCTCAATCTCACAGCGCTGTGTCTAAGCTCATATCATTGCATGGTCAACAACAATCGCTCTGATCAACCTCAATCCATGCTCGTCTCACCACATCATCAACCCCTGTTCAACCCACAACATCATGCCAGCGCACACGTTGTTGCTGGTCTCAACGCACCTTCCTATACATCATCTCGACATGTCTCTAGCTTTGGGGGAGCCCATTTCTGTGCTTCACCTGTAGAACAGGTTCAACAGGTTCAACATGGTCAACCGAGTCAATCGCCTTCCTCCTGCTCGAGGCCGATGTTAAGACCCACTCAATATTGTTCTGCACCCCCTTCATCCTGCTCCACGCCGACGGGTCACCCTACCCTCACTTCAGGACCAAGTATTCAGCCGCACGCTCAAGGCACTCCTATCCCTTCTACCCACTCACATCCTTCCTCACCAACATGTTCACTCTCTCCTCGATCATTCTTCTCAAAATGCCCTGGATCATTGAAACGCTCCACCACGATGCCTCAGAAGAAACCCACTCGTTCAACCCTGGAGAAGCGATCTGCCGTTCAACTCTCCCTAGAGCTCAAAGTAGAAAAAGCGAAAGGCTTCCTCGTCATCCCTCTTGGCCGACCTCCACCCCCCGCTCCTCCTAGTAGTCCAATTCTTGCCCCTGCTGCTCCCCTCGACGCCTACAAGCTCGAAGCCCTGGGTCAGTCTCAATGGGATGAAATCAGTTCGGCTCCAGTGATCCCCGAGATCATGCCAACGGACTATTTCGGGGGATGGGAGACCAAGCTGGACGCTCAGGAATGGGTCGAACATCCAGCTCAGTCCATGGATGTTGACCTTCACTAGCCCGAGCAGGGATTTCGGTTGTATTTAGCACTCGTTGGGTTTACGCGACGGCATCCACCATATGTAGCACTAGCTCACATCTATTCATATGCATCATGTCATTTATATCTATCTATGTCGATCTAGCTGCGGTACTGTTCTGTCAGTGGTATAGAAGACTGACACTTACACTTCCATTGATGGTCACGTAGTCCTGACGTCCGTCAACTCACACCTCGTGCTCTTACTCACATGACTGAAATCACAGGTCCACACTTTTACCTCCTCACTGCCACAGCCTAGATCTACCACTATCTCAATGTCCTCTTGGTTCAATACCTCTTTAGCCCGGGTCTCGTCGATGTCTTGCTCCGGCTCGCCGTTGGTTAACACTTTGAAAGGGGTGGTATCTGTCATTGAGGACGGAGGCTGGAACGCGACAGAGACAGACGTAGGAGAGATGGTCGACTCGGCATCAGGCGAGTACCCGCTGATCGTGAGTGACTATCTCTGACGTACACTTACACAGCGCAGAGGATACGTCCCCAGTTGGCATCTATGATCAGAGGCCTTGTGGTGGATATTTTGACTCACCCTCGCCATACATTGCCGTTTTAACCAAAGGAGACGAGGCGATCGTTCGAGCGACTTTCGTGGCCATCTCGTATGTCGCCGCACCCTGACATCAACTACGAATTGGAGAGTTTGTACCCACCTTGACCCGGACCGTCACAAATTTGGTGGCCCCTTCACCATCCCTTACGACCAACTGGGCCAACTCCTCGGCCAATGACCTCAGCTCGTCTCTGAAAATCTTGTATCCAGCCGGATCCGTTTTCTCGTCCAGCTCGACAGCCGACTGAGACGCGGCACCATTTGCAAAGCATAAAATCGTATCATTCGTCGACATATCCCCATCGACAGTGATTGAGTTGAAGCTTCGATCGACGGCATATTGCAGAGCGCTCTGTAAGGTCTTTGGCTCTACAGCGGCGTCCGTCGCAATGACGCCCAGGAGCGTTGCGTGAGGCGGAGGTGGCGGACCCATGGATGGAGCGATCATTCCTGCACCCTTGTCGATCCCGACCATCCGGATCGTCTGACCATTGAGCTGGAACTCCCTCGTCCGTAACTTGGGAAACGTGTCCGTCGTCATAAATGCCAGGGCCAGATTAGACCAAGACTCAGAAGTCGACTCGAGATTAGAAGTAAGCGTAGGAATAGCGTGTTCAATGTTTTCAATCGGGACTTGTTGGCCAATGACCCCAGTCGACATGACCAGCGTCCCTTCATTAGACTGCAATCCCTCTGTGACTCCTTTTGACATTCTCCAAGCGTTCTCCAATCCTTGCTTTCCAGTGACCGCATTGGCACATCCAGAATTCATGATCAGTCCTCCAGCCCGTCCGCCAGAGGAATGCAACAGGTCCGCCGTCACAGTCACCGGCGCAGCTTTGAAAACGTTCCGCGTCATGCATGCCGCTGCAGAGGTTGGTCGATTCGATGTCGAAGCGAGTAGGCCTAGATCCAAAGCCCCCTTGACCTTTTTGATCCCTGCGTGAGTTGAGGCCACGGCGAAGGCCTTGGGAAAGGCCTCAGCAGGATAGATTCGAACATGATGGTCCTTGTTTGGCGTGGCCAGAGACGCAGAAATGTGAAAGGAGCGAGAGGATACGGCTCTCAGCGAGCTGGAGGGCGTCGGTGGCATAGTATCTCGCCTCCTGTTGCGAAGTTGTCATGGACCAGACAGCTCTCATGGTCTCGCGGTCGGTATGGCGACGATCTTATCGTCGCGGCGATCGCCGCCGTCTGCGTAAGATTTACGAGAGGCAAGAAAGCTTGACTGAATTGTGTACGATTGACTTACTACTTCCTCTTGATCTGGGGCTCAGAGAGATTACGCCCGCTCAAATTTCATCACTTTCTCAGATCTGATAGTCACTCGTACCGTCCGGTGAAAGGTCCAATCCAAAACCTCGGACTTGCCAGAGCCAGAGAAACCCTTGTGCTCACACTCGTCCTCGCAAGCATGTCGACCGTCTTCTACCGATGGGGTGCTAGCAAGGATGAATCCCGAGTCACTTTCGACGGGACTCACATCTCCGTCTTTGACCTCAAGAGGGAGATCATACTTGCTAATCGAATGGGCAATGGAAAAGATTTCGATATAGGAGTATACGATAATGTCACTGGCGAAGGCAAGTCACCTTTTGCGTGCAAGTTCTCATGCTGACTCCTTGTTGCAGAGTTCAAAGATGACAATCATCAAATCCCGCGATCCTCATCTCTCATTGCGAGGCGTTTACCGTCTTCCGCCAAAGGCAGAGGGAATGCACAGAATTATATTGTCGGAACGGCCCTAGGGGAATCCCTCACTGGCGATCACCGGATCGAAGCGCATGCTCGGGATGCCATGCTAGCGAAGCAGAACAAGGGCGTGAGGGGGACTTCGGGAATGTACGGAAGTATGAGCAAACGATTCGACGGGAAGGATGATAAAGGGACACCTGCACCTGCTGTCAATGTTACTACGGGGGACGCAGAGGAAGATGCGAGAATCAAGGCAATGTTTCAACAGCAAGAGGATGCCTGGGAGCAGGATCTCGATGACATGTCACAGTGGGTCAGCTCATCCGAATGCCTGCTTAACTTCTCAGACAACCCCGTGCAGCCGCTCAATTCAGACAACGCCAACGGCCAAACGCAACTGCTTCGAGCTCAAAATTTGATTATAGCTTGCCACCAGACAAGGAGCCCCCACCGGGATACATATGTTACAGATGTGGACAAAAAGGTGGGATGCATGGCCGCGCACGAGAGCTCTGTTAATGCGCATTCGCCCCACTTGCAGGCCATTGGATCCAAAACTGTCCTGAGAATGACAATCCCGAAGCTCAAGACCGCAAGCGGTTTACTCGAGTCACAGGTATTCCCCGGAGTCTATTACGTACGGTCGACACGCCGCTTGGTGGCGAAGGATCATCCGGAGGCGCCATGTTGACTGCCGATGGAGGTTTCGTCAAGGCCATACCCGATGCGTGAGCCAGATTAGAATAGTCGGTTCTGACCTTGAAGCCGTCTATGGCAGAGACAAACCGCTCAAAAGCCCCGAGCTCTCAACAGTCAAGACGTTCGAGATCAACAACCGCTGGACGAGTCACTCACTTGCCAAATATGCAAAAAGCTCGTCTGGGAAGCTGTCCGGGCACCATGCTGCGACAATGCATTCTGTGAAGAGTGCATCACGACGTATCTGCTGGATCATTCTTTCGAGTGCCCGGCGTGCGAGAGCAAGATTGCAAGTCTGGACAAGTTGCGTGCGGATCCAGAGCTTAGAGAGAGAGTGCGTGGGTATGTGGACGGCGAGATTGAAAGGAGTAAGAAGGAGGAGCGGGAGAGTCGAGAGCAGGATGGGGAGGAGGATGGTGAAGAGGACGGAGAAGAGGGAGCTATCACCTCTAAGGACGGCGCTGGCACCCGCGGAGACGTCGCCCCTGCCGAGCCTATAGCTCCGACACCCATGTTCGATCCTGTCCGGATGCAGGAAATGCTCAATCCCGCGGTCATGCAAAAGTACACCGGCGAGGTGAGTAGGACAGATTTTGCACAGCTGACAGTTTAGGTCAACAAGATGATGATCAACCCAAAACTTACTCCACAAGCACGGATGCTACTCCAAGCTCAACTGAACGCAGTCAAGACGACCGTTATGCAAATGCAATTGATGGGAATGGTGCCGAATCCCGTCGGAACGAGCAACGGTATGAACATGGGCAACGGCATGAACATGGGCAACGGCATGAATATGGGCAACGGCATGGACGGCATGATGAATCCCATGATGGGCATGGACATGAATATGGGTATTGGTATGGGCATGTCAATGGGAATGGGAATGAACGACATGAACATGAACATGGCTATGAACGGTATGAACGGTCCGATGGGCGGAATGAACCCTCCAATGGGATTCAACAACCAGGGTATGCCGTTCAGAGGACGTGGTGGTGGTGGTGGTGGTGGTGGAGGGTTCAGAGGGAGAGGCAGAGGGCAAGGCTTTCGTGGAGGTTTCAGTGGAGGGATGAAGAGACCTGCGGATGATGCGGGCATGGAAGGGATGGGAGGAATGGACAAGATGCAGAGGGTGGGTTGATGAGAATCTTTGTACATGAGTTGGTATTTCAGCACAGCATCAGCTTGTATCTTTGTTGCAGATGACCAACACGGACACGTCTCGATTATGCTCTCGCACGGTAGACTCTTGCTGACAATGACATTGCGTGAAAAAGTCACGGCTGTCGGAGGAGCTGAGGTTTGCTGTCAACGCGACTGATTTTCACTTTCCGTGTAATAACTTTTGTCTCCAACCTTTGGTGTCAGGCCATTGGAGACGATCGCATGGACATGCGGCCAGCATACATACGACCCTATACGCCTCGACAGAGCGTCGTGTGCTTCAATAAGACTCGGCTGAAAGACTGCTGATCACATCGAAGGAGGGTTGTCACTTGGAGAATGTTGAATCAACCTATCTATCCTCAACATTACAATTGCCATCATTCAACCTGCCATGGAACGATCCATTCGTCGCTTGCACATCTTCCGTCTAGGTCTATCCTGAACTAGTACCCATTCTATACGCTTGCCATATTCTCATCACGCCGCATCTGCACTCCCTCGAGAGGCTGAGCTATATGTCTCATCGAAGGGTTCTACGATGAAACAGAGATCTACTCCCTCTTGGCGCTTCATTGGAATGGTCACACTTCTCTTGATCGCACCAACAACGATGTCAGCCGAGAGTTACCAGCTGGTCCCAAGGTGAGCAGGAGTCATGACACTCACTGACCTTGAGATGGGGTGCAGCCTCGGCATATGTCTCGTCCCCACCGTCAGTCTTGATTCAAGGCGGCAAGGTCGATTCGACCGATTTCTCATCGTACGCATCTGGCGTCAATTCGGCGGATCTCATCACCATCCCTCTCGACGCTTCTTTCGATGTGACCTCTCCTCCGGTGTCTCAACTCAGCTTCGCCAGTGCAGGCCCACCGTATGCCTTCCACACCCTCTCTACGGGAGATGAGAATTCTTCTCTGCTCTTTGGCGGAGACTCCGGCGGGTCTGAGCCGGTCGAGACTAGCGCAACATCTGTTTGGCTTTTGAACAGCACAGGCTTCACTCATGAGCCTGAAGCCTGGGGAAGCCAGCCCATACGCAGAATCTATCATTCGGCTGTGTCATCCGGAGGTACGGTCTACATCACTGGCGGTCTCAAGAACGATGGATCTGGGCAAGCGTTCAGTGATACCTACGCATTCGACTCCAGCTCTCAGGTCTTTACTCCCATGCCTCCACTACCCTCCGGACTGTACCATCATACGACTGCCCTGCTACCTAATGGTACCCTACTTGTTGTTGGAGGTGTCGCTATATCTACTCTCACCGGTAATCCAAGCGCCATCGACATGTCCACAGTTTATACTTTCGATACGATCGCCGATGGGTCGGTCTGGGAAGAGAGAAGTCTTGTTGGGAACCCTCCGACTGGACGTCGAGGCGCCACTCTGGTTCTCAATGACGCTGGTGATCAAGCATTTCTGTATGGCGGAGCCGATGCCGGCTTAAGCCAAGCGATGGCGGACGGGTGGAAGTTGGACCTGACGGGCTGCACATGGTCACAGGTCTTGAGCAGTGATGGTTGGTCATCCTAAATGGTCTAAAGCTGATGACAATTCCAGATGTATCCGGGCGATTCGATCATAATGCACTGAACGTGGGAGGAGATCAAGTGCTGATTGTTGGAGGTATGCCCACTTTGACAGATTCCAGCTCATCCCCTAAGGCTATGGCACTGATGGACCTGCCGAGCCTGGTATCCACATTTTCAACCTTCAGTCAAACACCTGGCAGCAGAGCTTCGCAACGTCATCTGGGGAGCATGCGACGTCGCTTGGCCCCACCACCAGTACACTGTCATCCTCTGCAGCGATCACTGTGTACACTTCGGATGGGCAACAAATCACTGCCACCCAGAGTGTATCGGAGGACACGATCATGTCAAGTAAGTCTATCCTTGTGTTCCTCGACTAAATCCTGGCAGCCCCTATCTCAACATCAGTCAAACCCACCGGCTCCGAGTCCTCATCCGGTCCAGAGCACTTGACGCTGTCGCAACAAGTCGCAATTGGTCTATCTGCGGCGGGCGTCCTTTTGATAGCAGGGGCAATCGCTCTCCTCCTGGCACGCAAGAAGCGGAACCGCCAGCGACAGCGCTTCGGTTCAGGCTACGATCCATCCGAGAAGAGAGGAGGTCTAGAGATCGGCGCAAATGCTGACGGAGACCCACCCTCCTGGCGTCGAAAAGCCCTCAACTCGAGTGTGGTGTTTGCCAACAAATTTGGCAGTCTCGCACGGACAAGAGGGGAAAAGTATGTGGTTCTTGCAGATCCTGGTAGACGAGAGTCGCTGCGTGGCCGGGATGGAGTCATGCTGTATGGTCCCAGAAGCCCGGCCAAGTCAGGTGCCCTCAAGTACAGCCCTTCAAAAATCCGTCGAGACATGCTCGAAGACGAGGACTCGAGGCGGTTTGCATCGATTCCGGAGGAGGATTGGGTAGCACCAGACAGTGCGAGCGATTGGCGACCGGCGGAAAGTCTCTTGGGCAGTAGAGGGCATTCTCTTTCTGAGGAGGGAGCTGATCCCTTCGGGCGAAGCTTACCTATACGAGCGGTCATCCAAGAAGGTCCCGTACCCACACCGACAAGCTCGCGGACAGACTTTGACACAGATCCCTTTGACGACCATCTGGGGCATCCTTCTCATGACTTTGATCTCGAATCCGACGAGAGACTCCTGCTGGCGCCCCCATCTCGTCGACCACGGCCACTCTCTGATCAATCGGTCCCTCGATCGTACGGATCCAGATCAACTTCAGCGTCCGATCCCGAAGAAGGCATTATCACTCACGCTCAATTTGGTCGCCAACAACAATCCACTCTGGTCTCGCCTGACCTCTCCTCGATGCCCGTACGTCGAACTCGTTCATTCTTCCAGCGAATGGCTCAAGGAGGTGTTCCCTTCCTGTCAAGGCACTCGTCTTTGGCTGAGACCGAGGCTCCCGTCCCAGTCTCAAGACTACAGAGAACTCGCTTAGCCAGTATAGATGATGGTGATGACGACGAGTTGGCACCGCCACGCACCTACTTTCACCACTATGATGGCAGCATGGCAAGCCTCGGCAGCTTCAACTCTGTCCGATCGATGCGTGACATGGTCATCGTGCAGAGGCAGGGGTCCAACTCGTCGGCCGAAGACGTGGTGATTGAGCGCATGGATGGGGACACGCCGCCTGGTCATTTGTACCATCATCGACATGGTACGTCATTGACAAGTCTGGCAACAAGGGACATCGGGGAGACAACACTGCGGTCGGTCTCGACCATCAGCGCTCAGGTTGATTTTGGAGATCAGGCGCCAGACTTGACCTTCTCCCTTGATACTGTTCGACCCCGATCACCCTCCCCAGAGAGGAGTACATCAGTTGACTCGCACACTTCAGCCACCACGTTTGGGACACCTGTGTCGTCCCCTCGCAGAGAAGAAGAGAACAATGACCAAACATCTGCTCATGAAGCCGAGTCGACACCGCGTGATCCTTTCGTCGACTCGATCGGTCCTCCCGCTAGTCCCTATGGCACGCGTCGTCCCGTGAGAGACTTGGTGAATTCTATCAACCGACGAGGAGGATCTACTCCCATGTCACTGTTCTCTCCTGCATCCCAGTACTCTCCGATAGCCCCAGTACCGCCTACGCCTCCCGCACAGGCCTCCGAGGCATCCAGGTCACGGTTCACAGACAGGACGTCTGTCAATTCTCGTTTCGCCTCTCCGAAAGCCACCCCGGCGAATCAGCCTGAGACAAAACCGCTACGCCAAGGCGGATCCGTCAGGTCTGGAGCCTCCGGCAGATCAGGACGACCCAAGACGATCTACGAGGCGGTCAAGAGGGAAAGGCTTTCAGTCTCTAATCCAGATTCGAGCCCTTGAATGAAGTGTATCTGGAGTCTTGTGTGTATTCGTACATGCTTTCACGTTGATAATGATACGAATGGTGGTCTTGTATCCGACAATGCTTTTGTATGCTACATTATGCGTCACTCATCTCTAACCTCGAGTCTACTCATCAATTTCTCGCTCAATTCTCTCTCTTCTCTTGTCGGACTGCCCCGTCTACTTCTCTGACGATGCGCGTACACATTTGCGGGTTTGGTTTGAAGTGCCTGAGCTGCCAGTGTCTGCAAGGCGGGTGCGGCGGGCGTCGGCGTAGTTGAGCGTGAGGGCGGACGTGATGTCGAGATCTGAGATAACATCGAGAGGCCGACCACCGATCCATTGGGCGAAGATGATCCCATATCGGATGGTTTTCGAGGCAGTGGTGAGAACCCTCTGACAGGTGACAAGGCGCGTTCTGGCGAAAGCCTTCGCTCAGGTAATACTGTCCGCGTGAACGGTGGAGAATCTGGATGTTCCTGAAGAGCCGACATCTCCTCGGCCACACGCTTCTTGGCCATCCATTTCTGACGCAGGACTGTCCACTCTTCTGATCGTCCCAGAGAACCGGGGACGAATGACCCTCGACCTCGGTCTGGAGAATCTGGCCACGTCTCGGACGGCAAGATCACTTCGTCTGTCCGTTCACTTGTCTGGACCTCGTGAGATTCCGGAGGCGAAGAAGTGAAGACGACTTTGATGGACCGAGAGACAAAATATGCTTTCTTCACTGGGTGCTCGGGTGTAGACGTTTGATGATTGATACCTATCCGGTGATGTCGGGTAGTCGAAGAGCCTTCTTCCAGCGGGTCCTGCTCATCTGGCAGACACGCGAACTGGACCTGGATCGAGAATCGTAATGATCCCTTTTGTGACGTATCGCTCGATCTCCCATCGACGAAAGTCCTCTCCCTGGCCAACAATCTCCCGCCGATGGGCAGCCGTCTCAGGTCATAAGGTAGGACGAAGACACGTACGGCGGATTTTGCAGTTTTGATGAGGATCTGAAGCTGTCCAAACGATGCAATTTTGAAACCTGGGTGTATTGGTGGAGGTGGTAGCTCTGAGCTCAAGGTGTGCGAGGCTGAGTATCGATCAAAGAGATGATGCTCGAGGTCTATCGTGCCAACCCAAGGGGTTTGTATGGCGCCTTTCCCTTTCCCGCTATCTTCAATGTCATAGTACGTGGCCTGAAAGGGTATACTTTCGGCTTTTGGATATCTGAGCTCTGGCGGACAGTCCTTGCCTTTACCTATCGCTCCGAGATGGAGTGAGAACCCGGACGATGATGTTGAAGGCACGGAATGTGGGGCGTGTGCGTGAGACATGCGAGAGTGAAGCAACGAGAGTGTATACGAGCCAAGAAGCGGGTGAGATCTTGAGAGAGGTGGTGAACATGTCATAGAGGAGGGCGACCGAGGAGAGGGTGATGGAGAAGGGGAGGGCGAAGTGGTAGGGGCAATGCTCATATTGGACAGACCTGACCGACGCCGATCACTAGGGATGGCTCGAGGCTTGGCACGATCTTGACCGTGAGATGTCTTGCGATGAGGTGAGGGCGAGGGAATACGAGAGGGTGAGTAGAGAGGAGGATTGGAAAGGGGGGACGACCGGTGAGGTGAGGCTGAACGGAAGTAAGGAGTGGGATCAACGAATGGGACTCACTCGAGTAGGATGAGCCCGCCATACTGGGCGAGGGAGAAGGCGACGGTCCGATCATCGTGTGATATTCTTGATCCATTCGAGGCAGAAGAGAGAAAGAGTTGAGAGATTGTCAAATCGAGTCGGGACAATGACGGCGTTGTGACGACCCAAGCGGGTGGACAGGGTTGGGGTATATTCCGAGTGGCCAGTGGCGATGGCCTATTTGTGATTAGGAGCTGAAACTGAAGGGCGAATGACCTCTGAAAGCACTACAGATCGTGTAATTAGGCCATGCTGTGGCCTACTCCCTCTTCCGTCGTCGTCCTCGTGAATGTTGCTGAGGTCGTGCTCATCATCATGAGCTCCTCAGATATCACCCGACTCGAAACAGCAATTCGGCTACGATGAGGTCAACATGGAAATCCCAAAAGTGGCTGCCGTAATGGAAAGTGGCACCGGATCTATATATGAAACACAAGGACAGTGAAATCGAGGTTGGGTTTTTGGAGTTGGAGAACGCTGAGATGCATGATATTCTGTACAAGCTACTGGCGAGTCTCACTATGCGTCATGAACAGTACCTCGCAAGTCGCCCACGGGAAAAGATACGGTGACGGACCAACGCCCCGAACTACGCTATAGGTGGCGCAATGGTTCACCAAATGTGCATGCGATATCCTACCACCTATACTTGTCCGCAACACCTACACGGACACGCCTCAGCTACCGAGGAGAACTTGACATGAGGCTGAGCTGCGGCCCGTTCTTTGAGGGACAACCTTCCCCACACTTGGGCGATCAAGGTGTTTGGATGGGTTGGGTTCAGAACAAGTTTGTTGAGGAGCTCGTCCTCGGCACAGCTGTCTTTGGATGGATCGGTCAGGCGCTGATTCTCTGCCATGTACAGCCTTTTCGCGCTTCCCCCTCCGATATTCTCCAGTCCAACAAATTCAAACGAATAGTCATCATCTCCCAGCTGACGAACAGCTTCTGTCATTTGGCTGACCCTTGTCTCGATGCACCGGAGGGTCCGCAAGTCTCCAATGGCTCGATACAAAGGTCGAAAAATCACACGATGAGATGGACAATAGACAGTTGGAAAATCCTCTTCAGTGACATTGTGACAAGTGATGGATTCTAAATCCCAGCTTTGATCCAACACTCGCACAATCTCGGAGATTCCAAATCTTGCCGTTTTGTTTTCCGCTATCCAGCGGTCTACTTCCTCCGGTGTCGCCGCATCCAGGTGCGCCTCAGGGTCTATAGGTGGATCCATGACAAGGTAGCCGGGAAACACTGGTCGTTGAAAGTAGATACAGAGATGGAGAGGATTTATGATCTTGATGAGGGATCTGATCTTGCGCCAAGCTTGATCGTGCGAGGAGTCAGAGTAGTAATCCAGAGCCAATTTCCAAGCGAGAGGACCTTTAACGGAGAGATGTGTCACGTTTGGAAAGAGCTTGTGGTGCGTTTGGGCCAACAATCTACCGTCAGATTTGGCACCATCGAAGCATGGCTTGTGCGCTTTGATCAATGCCTCGAGTGCTGGCGGGTCTTCAATAGTGAGGTATCGACAGGTCTTCAGAAGACGACATTTGCTATGCGACGATGTGCATGAGTCTAGGCCCTCGGGGGGATCTCCTGACGGGCACACTGGCTAGATCAGTATCGATTCGTCTCATCTGCGTGCATACCCCTGTGGAAGACCCTGCAGAGGGTGTCCGCGTTCTGAGAGTGCAGCACAAGACGCTCATAGTCCAAGACTGGAAGAAACAAATTGAAGAAGCTTTGATTTGCGGACAGCAGCTGGGCGGCCACGCCTTTCAGTCCATGTTCTTGAAGGTGATCACGAAAGTACAGCAGAGCGTCATGAGTCAGGTGGACCCTATTCTGACTCGTAGGCGCAACAGCGCACTTGCGACGTTTGACGGCGATCGTAGCCTCACCCAATCGGTCGCTTGTTCGCCTGCGCTTGTTTGGCGAATTCCTTCCTTCCTGCATGAGGCCTGTGTTTGACAAGATTCAATAAGCGTAATGAGACGTGGATCAGTCACAAGTGTCAGGAAGGGGCGGAGTGGAGTAATGAAGGACAATTTCCAGGTCTCACGCACTACGTGCCCATTGACGCTCGAGCCTCCCTGTCCATCGCGATGAATGGTTTTCAATACGGTCATGTTCCAGTACTGTCATTATAATCGTATCCTAGTCGGGCTCGATGCCTCCTTCGACTATCCACTCTAATGCTTCTCAGACTTGGTCTCAGTCTCAACCTTCTTCTTCTTCTTGTCCTTCTTGGGACCTCCAATGAGCCAGCCAAGACCGACGATACCGCCCATAATATACAGTCCTCTTCTCTCTTCGTCATTAAGCTCTCGTTCTGGTGCCCGATATTGCCCATCTTTATCGGTCCCGCCTTCACTTCGTTCCGAGGACTTGTTGTTCTCCTCCAGAGATTCGGAACTCTCGACGGCTGTAGGGTCCGCAGACTCGTGGATAGCGTGAGAAGGCCCGCCAGCGTGATGTGTCGACGCAGAAGCGACAGTCATGACTTTTGGCCCAGAGTTGGAGGACTGCTCCTCTTTGGGCTTGGCCGCTGTCTTAAAATTGTCCGGCTCGAGAGGCTGGAGAAGATCAGCTGGAACCACTGGATCATTGGCCGACTCACGATTGTTTGCTCATGCGACGGCTCTGGTCTCGGATCGGGCATTTTCACATTCAAGCCTTTGCTCTCGCCTGCAGATTTGGTCTTGGGTAGGCCAGGGGCAGTGGTCACCTCTTCTGGACTAGGCTTCTCGGCTTTTGGCGCTTCCGACTTCTGAGAAGACACGCTGGGGCCCGTAGACACGACGTGATCATCTAATACTGTCGAGTGTTCTGGAGTCGACTTTTTAGCTGCCGGGCGGACTACCGAAGTTGAGAATAATCGAGGACTGGCAGTGGACATTCTGAAGGAGGAAGGAGGCGGCATAGCCATCTTGGACACACGTGGAGCAGCTGGCGTTGTCATCTGAGGAGGACCGGGGGCAGTAGCTCTCGACGGAGTAGTCCCGGATCCCTTGAGTCGATAGATGGGAGTAGGAGTGACTGGCTCAGGAGCTTTTGCCATGGTTTTTGGCGTCATCTCAGGAGCTTTAGCCTTGGCTGGGGTCACTGGTGTAGGCGTCTTTGACTTTGAGACTGGCGTCGAAGCGGGAGCGGTGGGTTTTGCGATGACTTGAGAGCTGGAAGGTACGCTCTTTGGAGCGGTGAGGGGTGCTGTCTTGCTAAGAATCTGGGACGATTGCGAGGTCGAGGTCGAGGACGAGGAAGCAGCAGGCATGGCTTTGCCTGCCATGGTGAGACGTTCGACAAGGTCGGCTCTGGACGAGTCAGCGCGACATGGATAGACCGCTGCTCACTTTTTACCCGTCTGGGGCAATCCTCTCATCTTTAGCTCCTGTTTCAACGTCACGACAGTCTCTTTTCCCCATTCCCTCTCTGAGACTTTGACAGATTTCGCAATGAGGGTTGAGAAATTGGCCGTCTGAGGTAGTGGAGGGACCATCTGAGCTTGAGTCTGAGCCGTAGCTCTCAACGAGCTGTTGGATTTGGTGGCTCGAAGGAGCCCGTTGGAGACTTTGCGCCTGAGCATGATGCTGGATGGAATTGGTCGAAGGTAAAGTCGAGAATGAAGCGATGAGCTGAAGAGTGTCTTTTGGAGCATTCTGGATCCTGATCTCATGTTTATGTCGCTGTGTTGTGAGCTGTATCGGGTGGTGATATGGGTTCAATGGATGGGGCATGCTCGGAATGAAGGAGCAATTCCATGACGGATCGTTACGGCATCACACGTGGCACCAACGTTGGGAAGATTGAGGGATGTATGCCGCTATGGTAGGGATGGAGAGGCGAATGTGAAGCGTTTGGGCATGCATGGCAGCTGCAGCACGCATCGTCAAGCTTGCGAGATCAGCCGACGCGCGCCGGGGAGGGGAGGGGGGAAAGGGGCAGCGACTGTATGATAGACCGTGTTGACCTTCTTCAAGCTACCTCTACTGCCACGTTCCGCTTTACGGATTTCGGTGAAGAAACAATTGGCCTGGGATGGATGCATTGTCCGCTGCGATTCCTCTGGATGACTCGCCAGCTCGAGCCAATGCCCTAGTCATGACCATGGATCATCTGGTAGATCTTCTCTCTGCCATCGTGCATCGACTCCATGCAGCACTGACGACCTTGCTCTTGTTCATCGTCTCCCTGGGACCTATCCCTCGTCATGTCGGATTCGTCATGGATGGTAATAGACGATATGCAAAGGGTAGAGGAAGGAGGGTAGCGGAGGGTCACTCAGATGGATTCGATGCGCTCAAGAGAGTCAGTATATCCGACCCCTAAAAATTTGCTGAAAGTAGGGCAGACACTCGAGATATGTCTCAGGCTACGCATACGAGCCGTCTCAATCTATGCCTTTTCAATAGACAACTTCAAGAGGGACGAGAAAGAAGTTGAGGCTCTGTTCAGACTGGCCAAGACAAAGTTGATGGAACTGTGTCAGCACGAGTGAGTCAAATGTCGAGCCTCGTGAGAATACTCTGAGCGTATCCAGTGAACTCCTCAACGCCTACGGGATCCGATTGCGATGGATAGGCCGAAGGGACATGTTCCCGCCAGATATGACCGAGTGTATATTAAAGATGGAGCAAATGACAGAGCACAACACGGCGTATGCTCAAAAGACTCCGGGGCAGAGTCAGTGGCTGACTCATATGGTAGTGGAGTCCTCAATGTGTGCAGTCCCTACACTTCTCGGGACGAGATGACGACTGCGATGCGGCACGTTGTGGACGGGGAAATGAGGTGGGACGAAGATGGCTCATTTGAACTCACTCTCTGCAGCACGTTCAACTCGAAGGACATCTTCAACCACCTAGAGACGACCGAATCCATTCGACAGTTGAATCACGATGCCGGGACCGAAGGGCTTGATGATGGGAGGCTGGATATTCTGGTCCGAACCTCGAATGTCAAGCGTTTGAGCGACTTTATGATGTGGCAGGCGAGTCGTGCGGCCGGCCGTTTCCCACACTGCATTCTGATCCAAGACTTTAGGCCTCTGAAGACACTCAGCTACACTTTGTCCAGTCGAAATGGCCAGAGTTCAGTCTTACAGATTTCTTGCCCATTCTGCTCGGTTGGCAGCAAAAGAAGTGGCTGCGATCAATACGACGGACATTGTCAATCTCATGAGTGGTGCACGTATGCATATGCTTTGTTATGACCGGGACATGGAGTCTTCCTCAATCTTGCTCCTCAATCACACCGTCCATCCTCCGGCCCATCCTTCCATCTCTCGTTCAAACTCTTCCAAGCACAATCAAATGACTCCTTCCCCAGCTTCTCGTTCACCTCGTTGTGTCTTTCACACAACCATCGGCTCAACCCTTCTCGCCCGCTGACGTCTGGTGGGTTTTCCTTGACTTTTTCCTGAAAATCCTCGGCACATGGTACACATGGATACAGCAGCGATAAGGAGGATAAGAGATTCCGCATCTGTGTCTGAGTCGATGTCGGGGCCGAGACAGGATAATAAGCAGCGGTAGTATGCAAGAATGTCCATGTTGATCGACCCAGTGCTTCCGTATCAGCCGGACAATCCTTCCGTGACGGTTTGCCTGAAGACCGCGACGCCACCTTGCCTCCTCCCATTATAGCTGCAAATCCGGCCATTCCACCCGCAGTTCCATGACTCTCTACCGTCTCGCCCTTCTTCTTCACTTTGAGCTTTGCCCAGTCCTGCCACGAGTTGCAGACTTTACAAGGCTTGCCATCGGGTCCCAGTATCAAACCAGGTGGCAGGTTTGGATGAGTCTCTTTGGTCGTTCGAAGGGGTTCAGTAATCCTCGAGGGACCAGCTTGATCCCCAAAATCCATGGTTTGATTGCTCAATGAGATGATCAGGTCGATAGCCAGCAGCACTGACTGACTCATCATGATGATCGCGCTGCCCAGAAATTTTGCTTCCGTTCAATGTCCTAGTACGCGCGAAATCCAAAGATGCGACTCTCGTCTATAACTCGCATTCTTTCAATAACTCTTCATCTGTCTCGACGTTGGACTTGGACTTGGCCTCGCGGACTGTCTCCTAGGACCTCCCATATTGAGGCTCTAGTGTTGCTTTCACCGCTTCGAGCCTGCTCATAGGCGTTGCGAGTGTCTTGTAGCTCCTTTCTCCTTTTGTCCACTTCTGTCCGGCAATCCCAGCCAATCTACCCATGTCAGGACGGTAGAGTAGAAGGCCTCTGCACGATGGCTCCGCCTCCCGTCAACTCATCATCCCTCTTTACGACCAGGAATGCTGCCCCTTCCGGTCCGAAAGCCTTGAGACCGAGCAGTCTTCCAGCACGACCCGAAGCGGCGACTACTCGCGATGTTGGACCCAGTACATCCACACCTAATAGCTCCGGGAGTAAAGTGTCGATAGCTTTCCCTTCCCTTCCTGCGAAGCCCATAGCGACGCCATCACGCCATCAACCTCTCGATCTGGATCACCGGAGCAATGGACATGCTCACTCCGCATCTCGGGTCAATGGATCTTCTTCATCATACGCTGAATCCAGTCGGCGTGGATCGTCTTATCCCAAAGAGCCATCGAGGTACAGGTACGAGGACGATTGGGATCGCGATTATCATGATCGCGATCATCATCGTGGTCGAGGTAGAGAGAGGGATTGTCGTAGGTATTCTCCGTCGCCTTCGCGTACTCCGAGTCCTCGCAAGTCTTCTCGACCTAATTCTCCGTTGAGGAGTCGGTACAGGGACGACGATCTCTATTCTCCACCTCGCCGGGCTGCAGATCAACTCAAAGGCCGAGACAAGGGCAAAGACTCGGGACATAAACGGGACCTTACACCTCCGAGAGCTCCCGTATCGTTCCCTATACCAAAACATACTCTTGAGCGAGCCCGACCGCCTCACCTCGAAAGAGCCCTACCACCTCATCTCGACTTCAAGATTGCAGCTCGGAGCGATGCCTCACAGCCTCATAGTCCGCCACGAGGGCGGAGACGGTCTTCCTCGCCCCCGTCTCAGCCTCCGCCGCCTTTGCAAAGACCTCCATCACCGCCCTCACCTCGCCAACAACCATTACGGTCACGCCCTAGCTCGCCTCCCCCTTCGCCGCCGCCGAGATCCCCTCTAAGTCAACCTCCATCCCCTCCTCCACGATCCCCAGAGCCCCCACCGCTGAGCTCCCGGCCAAGATCCCCGTCGAGAGCAGTTGCTTCTTCATCCCGTATAATCCGGGATCTGCCTCCTCATCGTGATCTCGAGAGCGTTGCCCCTTCCATTATGGCAAAGAGAATTTCGAGCCCCCCACAGCCCCTGCCATGGCAAATTCCTGCTTTCTCCGAAAGACGCGAAGGTCTCGGCAATTTCCTCATCTTACAGCATCCTTCCTTCTCAGGCTCCAAGAGCGGGAAAGAGGTCAAAAAGAGGTTCGATGGCATGGAAGAAGGCCAAATTGTGTCTGTGTCAGACCCCAGAGCAGAACTGAGTGAAGAGGCACGGAAGCGTGGTAGAGGTACTGCGAAGCAGAAGGAACTATTTACGGAGCTGCAGTACGAGGTGAGTTTCCTGGCAGAGCTCTGGCTGACTGTTAGTGGGATGATCACTCTGTCGGTCTAAAGCCTCCACCTCCTCCCACAGCTGTTCTCATTACCGACCTCAATCCCCTGACTACAGTCGACCAGATCAGCAAGCATCTTAGACCGTATGGCCGCATACGCGAGATCGATTCCAAGATGGATCCAAAATCCGGGATGCAGCTGGGTATATGCTGGGTCAAGTTTGATGGTCCGACATCTGGCCGTCCGGGGACAGCGCACGATGTGGCTGTAAATGTGGTCAAGTCATGTCAGGGGCAGAGGATAGGTCTATCAGGGAACGAAAAGATTTCAGTCGTGCTTGATGGGCGAGGATTGAGAGCGGTAAAGGCTATCAAAGCGGAGATGACGAAACGCTATCCTCCAAGGCAACCCGTGATTGCTGTCAAGACCTCACCGGCTCCGACTCCTGCCGGCACGTCGTCGCGCACACCTGTTAGTGGTGGAGCGACCCCTCGGGTCGAGCCCTTGCGCAAGGTTCCGACCAGTGGACAGGCCACATCATCCCCCGCGACTCGCAACTTTGTCACTGGACCACTGTCCCGCGCTCGAGATGCCACTGCACCATGGAATAACCGTCAACCTTATCGCCCGCCGTCGACGCTCTCTCGTCCACCCGGTCTACCTGCTCGTCCGGCCCCACAGAGTTACAATCTTGCATCCTCCTTCATAGACGCGCCCTTTGATCCGCGAGACCGTGCTCCTCGGGATCGTCCACGATACGACTCGTACCGATACTCGGACCGGGGCCGACGGTCAAGATCAAGATCAAGATCTCGCTCACGGTCCCGTTCACGCTCTCGAAGTCGACACGCTCGCTCGTGCTCCACCTGTCCATCTGAGTCGGACAGCGACAATGAGGGGATACATTATCGGCGTAGAGGACGATCGCCATCGCCGCGTGGTCGAAATCGCATTGCTCGACGCAAAGATAGCTCCGAACGCAAAGCCAATGAAGCCGCTGTCGCCAAAGTGCAAAATGCCATTGCTTCCAACGGCCATGCCTACATACTGATCGAAACTACATCGCTACCCTACAAATCAGTGACGGAGGAGCATCTAAGGGATCATTTCAGAATGTTCAAGCCGTCTCAAGTGAGTGCTCCGCACGGATCTTCATACTAAAGACCAGGTCCTTTCCTCTACTCAAGGATGGATTGTCTTGTTCTCTGACAGTTTCTCTGCACAAAGAGCCAAGATTTTGGACAATACCATCTTTCAGGGGCATCGGTTGGTCCTCCATTTTCGTTCGCCAGCTGTACAGCAGTCGCCAGTCAAGGAGGTGGCCGCTGTGCCGACTCCGAACGTCTCTAGCACTGGGAGGGCATCTTGGAAATTCTTGACGATCACCAAGAAGAATCGACCCGCCCCGGCGAAACCCCTGCCTGTTGTGCAGCGCAGAAGACGACCTTCCTTTTCTTCCACTAGCTCTGAAGAATCCGACGCACCAGTCCGCAGAGCACGGTCAGGATCGATCTCCAGCGTCTCTGAGCTTTCCGATGCCATCCCGACTCGGCCGAAGATGGTCATCAAGAGCCCAGAGTCTGATGCCGAAGTCTCTCTTGTCATCCCTCCAGCTAGCGATACGGCGACACCGTCCGACATGGCCCAAGATGAGCCGACACTCAAGGGCAAGAAGCGTCCCGGTAAATCGACGGCCAAAAAGTCCAAAAAGGCCCGTATTGCCTCTCCCTCTGGATCTCCCGAAGGCACGCCGGTACCCGAGATCAAGGTGGATATGGGTATAGATCCGTCGCCTGTCACTGTGACAGATATCCATATCCCTCCCGTCGCCAAAGCTGTCAAGCCCAAGAAGCCGGCCAAGTCTGCCATTGACAAATTGCTGGAATCGGGGGTTGTCGAAGATCACGAAGATGCATACTGGCTCGGCATGGCTCTCGCAGCAGCCCATGAAGGGGTCGTGCCGGATCTTTCAGATGACGAGGATGAACTATTTGAAGAGAAGCACCCACTGTATCACACTTCGGGCGCATGGCGAGCGGAAGGTTGGAAAAAGATCCCTCAAGTTGCCAAGTCGTCCTATCTGCCTCAACGAAATCAAGCTCAAGTATCTGTTGAGGACGCTTCGGCCTCCAATGCCGGATTGACATCGGGACGTACGGCCCGCGTGACAGGTCGACGATTGGCTCACGACATGGAGACGACCCGAAAGACGACTATCGCAAGTACGGCTGAATCCGACTTGTTCGCATTTAACCAGCTTCGGATCCGGAAGAAACAGCTTCGATTCGCTAGATCAGCCATCGAAGGGTACGGACTGTATGCCATGGAAACGATCCAACCCGGAGAAATGGTATGCGAATATGTTGGCGAGATATGTCGAAGTGCCGTGGCGGAGATCAGGGAACAGAGATACCTTAAACAAGGGATTGGAAGTTCCTACTTGTTCAGGATTGACGGGGACATGATCTGCGATGCGACCTTCCGTGGATCTGTCAGGTACGCGGAGCATCTTTTATGGCAGACTGATACTGACTCGGTGACTCTCTCTAGCCGGTTGATCAACCACTCGTGTGACCCAACGGCAAATGCCAAAATCATCTCGATCAATGGGCATTCAAAGGTCAGTTAGACACCACAGCCGTTTCTTCCGAGTTGACCCTTACCCCTCCTAGATCGTCATCTATGCCAAAAGTACACTTCAACCGGGCGAGGAGGTGAGTCAAGCAACGGTAGACTGTCTTGACTGATTCTCTGCAGATTCTATACGACTACAAATTCCCACTGGAATCTGATCCTGCGCTTCGGGTCCCTTGTCTGTGTGGAGCCAAAACTTGTCGAGGATGGTTGAATTAGGGAAAGGCGCCAGAGGGGCTGAGACGTTGTCTCGCCAGCCAGCACATGCCATTTTAACATTTCGTTGTATATACTGGAGTATGTCATCTACAGTCTCTCTTGTCAGCCGGGAAAACCTCCACAGGTCAAATTCTGCTTGGGTGTGCTGCAGCTGCGATAAGTACTGCTTGCCGTGGAAGTCGCGAGGCGAGAGAAAATCAACGTCGGGGGTCCGGGAGAGTGTGACCGAAAATGCATTAAGATAAGTGTAAGGGTAGACACAAGACCGAGGACGGGACATATGCCAGGACGATGAAGATGAACTATGAGGAGGGCGGGAGGTGGGACTCAAAAGTCTGCTGAGAGGCATACTGCACACGCTCATCCCTCTCTCGGCAGTGTCCCGTCGACGCCATTCTTTACTCGATTTCCTGCAGTTTCTACCCCTTCCATGGTACTGTCCTCTGTCGCTGCGCTGCCATTCGAGACGCCATTTGAAGCTCCATTGACAGTTGCAACAGCCTTCAAAGCGGGTATCCTATCGTACATGTCTTGACCAGATTCCAACCTTTCTTTTCCTTTTCCTTTCCCAATCGTCGTGTCTTCCGGTGGTAATTCTTCCAAAGCGCCATTCATTAATTCTCTCGCTTGAACACCTTCCGCCGTGTCTTTGCCCAGTTGCCTTTCGTCACCTGGTGAACCTGGTCTGGGCCAGAAAGAATGTTTGAAAAAGTTGGAAGGATCGAACATGGCCTTGACACGTCCCAGTCGAGGATAATTTTCTCCAAAGACCCCAGCGACATCGGCTTCTTTAGAAGATTGCAGGAACTGAGCGGAGCGGTTGCTTGCGTCAGCGCGAATCTCACACCAATCACACTACTCACACATGGCAGTGGTCCGCCAGGTGAATGTGGATGGATAACCTCATTGATCCACTCTTCAGCAGTGGTTACGCATTTATTGTCCTCTTTCAAAGGCTCAGTATGAGCCCATTGATGGAGTGCGGCGACTGTAAAGGCCCCTTGTCGATGAGATTGAGGGTAACAGGAGTCCTTAATGCCTGAAGAGACGCTCCCGCCAGTGTATTCGAATAACCAGGCTGAAGAACGATCAGCGATACCGTCAGGCCTTTTGAGCACTGTGACTCACTGCAACCATCTGGGACCAGACTGAATCGTGCGCATGTGTTGTCAATGACCTCGTCGTCGAGTCCCATCAACATGTCGCTCTTGATGTACCTGTAGGCCAAGTCAGTGGAATTCCTCAGAGGCTCATCGACGACTCACCACTTCTTCCCCTTTCCGCCCTTCAGGATCTCCTCCACGGCGAGCTGTTGCCTCTCAAAAGTCCTCTCCGAGAAATCCTGGAACAAACATCTTCCACCCTCCCAAGAGCTGATGGCTTGCAAGTAGGCTTCTCCTTCCGCTTTGGTCCCTGAGCAACATAGCTGGAAGACGACGATTGCAGGAGCTCCAGGTGGACCAGCAGTCATGATGATATTGGTGTACTGAGACTTAGGTGATCCTTTCAGGACGTCTCGGACATGCCGAAGAAGGGATGGTGTCGTCTGTCGGTCGAAAACACTGCCGCCGTTAACGCCGCACACAGTCCATGCTGCCCACTCACTAGATGAGATTCCCCGCGTACACACTTGGCAAATAATGCGCTTTGGCTCGGAAACGCGTGATGATTCCCATAATGGATCCTGCGCCACGTAGAGCCCACCATAGGTCATTCGGGTCCTCGTCCTTCTTCCATTGCCCTGCATGCTTGCCTCCTTCTCCAACCCAGACAATCCGGCCGTCTGCCAACACAATCTCCGCCTCGACCACATTGTCCATCGCGAGACCGTACTGCCGACCCATGAAACCGAATCCGCCGAGCATGAACTGTCCTGAACCGACGGGGAAAGCGGATGTCGGGACATGGAAGGCACCGTAAGGCGTTCTTGCTGTGGTCATGTCGAGCTGTTTCGAGTTGATACCTGCTCCAAACGTCACAATGGTGTATTCTGGCGGATTTGGATTCGTGTTCAGACCCAATGATGGAGATGTCGTTGAGAACGTGGATGAGGACGGTGTCTCGGGACCAAATGGTGGAGTGACAAATGGATGAGAAGTGGCTGTGGTTGGAGATGGATTCACATAGGTGACCCTGGCGCCGGTTGTCCCATTATGTGAGTTGGATCTTGAAGATGATGTCGAAGGCGAGATGACTGAAGGAGAAGGGTCCTTGCCCTCTCCAGATCTGTGATCCGAATCAAGTGATGTGGCTGGCGTCGGGTGACTTCCACTGCGACTCGCGCTAGGTCTGCTCGAATTGCTTCCAGACCCAGATCCAGACGGCGAAGCAGATGAACAAGGAGCCTGGGCTTCCTGTGTCGGATCACTGAGACTGCGATTCGCACGATCTATGGTGTCCATTCGTCGTTTGCTATCGTGACCTTCTTGTCCCTCATCTTGGGATCCTCGCTTAAGACCTGACGCTTCGGGCGAGGGCAGTGGATTAGAGGGGTTGGTGGTGGATAACGAGGGTCGTTTGGGGACATTGGGGGTGACATTGTCTCCGTGAGAAGCGTCAAGTCGAAGCTTTGAGAAGGACTCTTCGAGGGGTATGGTATCGCCAGGTTTGTGAACGGTAATCTCGTTCATCTTTTCCAAGTCGATGATGACGTGCCCGGCAACCTGGGGAACTCAGCTGCTACATCCGGTGAATGAGTAAGTTTCAGACCTACACTCCATCCGTGAACACCCGTTCCACCGGCTTTGACACTGATCTCCAGGCCATTCTGTCGACAGTACTTGATGACTCTGGGAGATGGACGTGATGAGCTCGGGTTGATTCGCTTCTCAGCCTCTTAATAACAACTCACTGGCTGACATCCTCCGCGTTGAGCGGCTGGACTAATGCAACCGCTGGACTCTTGACTGCTCCATTGAAAATCACGATGCCCCGTTTGAATCTGCAACCCATCCTTATCAAATCACGCCTACAATCGCGCCAGATGGGACTCACTGATCATCCTCTCTGCCCCAGACTTGAGGTCCAGACTGAGTTGTAGTCGTTCCAAGCGTTTCTCTGAGTTCTGCAATGATTCGCCCTGAGGTCATACCCGAAGCGAGAGGTGTGGCAGGTCGACCTGTGAATGGATATTTGGATGTCTCGGGTGAAGAAGGGTTGAGTGTGGCCATATCTTGATTTACTGTCATGTTTGGGGCTATTCACGAGGGCCAAGAGAAAGTAGCTATGCTCTATGACGTGTACACATACTCCGAAAGGAAGGTGATGTAAAGGTTTATACGGTCGGTCCCAAATAGGACAGAGAGAGCTTTCCTCCGTGATGTTCCGGTGGTGGAAAGCCAAGGGGTTGGATGGGCGAATGTCCTCGTGGGCAAGTAGATAAAGTCAAGCGAGGTTTGGGAGTGACCACTGTCAAGGTGATCCAGTCACTCCTCGTCGCTGCTATAAGAAGAAATGTCGCCAGAGAGAGAGAGAAAGGCCAGATGATGGTATAAGATGAAAATGTTGTCAAGTTGTGAGGAGAGCATGGCCTCATAGAGATGACATCTGCGAGTTCCCCTTTTGGGCAGCTGCTGCTTTTTCGGCAATCGCCGCCGCTGCTGGACAAATTATTGAGATTCCAGCAACCACTGAAAGGGAGAGGTTCCTGAGCAGGAGGGATGAGCTGACTTCGTCACAGGATGCTAGGCAGAGACAATGCATGCTGAGCGGTTGATATGACTCGAAGACTTATCTCTCATGTCGCTGCTCAGTTTTGCCCCCTTTTGCAGGCTACCATCCCCATCAGCAGTATATCCCCAGTGCCACACTCATAACGCCGCTGGCTGCCACCTCCCCCTACCTGGCCCTCCCTCCTCTCTCGGATCCGAAGTGGGTCCAACCCAACCGCGTACCAGCTGCCTTTTCTTGTCGTTCTCCACACCTCTTTCATTCTCTAGGACAATCGACCCTAGCATTCTAAGCTCGGACCGACTTTCATTGCATGTCTCACACACCAACAGGGCAACCGGGTAATGCCCCTCTACCACCAAATTCAACGACAGCGACTGCCACTCAAGACAAGAAGCCTACGCTCACAGGAGTGAGAATCAAACAGCGTAAAGGACAAGCCAAAGCGACAGCCAAGTTTGAACCAGAGGGCGAGTGGTGCAGGACCTTTGGAAACCAAAAGACTAACGTCATGTTTGTGTGTTGCAGCCTTCCGAGACGCTCTTCTGCTCCACCTAGCTCTCCTCCCTTCACCTTTGACCACGGATGCACTCGTCGCGAAACTCGTTCAAGCTGGATCCACATTAGAGTTTCTGAAATATTACGAACAGCTCTTTGAGCTCCTGTTTGTCGGAGGTCTTCTTCAACCAGGTGGATCATACCTTGACGACAAACGCTCCCCAGTTTACATCCTGAAAGATGTCAACGATGGAGAGTCTGCCACCGGCGACGATTCGTGGAAGGATAGCGTCAAGGGTGTCGTTGAAACGCTTAAAAAGGTGATTCAGAGGTACAAGTACCTTCAGAAACCTCTCGAAGAGAACTTTTTACCCGATCTGTTCGGATACTTGCCAAAGTGGGATCCTGCACAGAGAGCCAAATTGGCAGAAGCGACCGCTCTGCTCATTCTTGACCTTCAAATCTCTCCTCGATGCTTGTCTTCTTTGACGAAAGAACACGTCGTCAAGGATGAAGTGGCTTTGGACTTCCTCACCGCCTTTTCTAGACACTACTTGGCCAGGCAAAACGTGGAGCATTTGGGACTCACTCTCAGACGAAGTGGACTTAAAGATATCCTCCTCGTCTTTCCTTTCCAGACACGGGATAGGAAACATCTGGAAGATCACTTCAAGAAGGAGAATCTGCCTCAGGTCAATGAATGGTATGCCAAGCTCGCCATGGGAGAAGCCAAGGACGAGACGGTTCTCAACATTGAGAGGATGATCACAGAGGAAGAGGGCAATGAGCAGGTGGGATTGCATTGTCTGCAACTCGATACTGAACCCAGGCAGATCATTGAATACCTCAAGACTCAAAAGTCGGACAACTCTGCGAATGATGCGCAAATTACAGAGTGGATCTGGCAAGCATTAATGAAGACGGTCGATTGGACCGCTCGTCCGGACCAGATTGATCAGACTGTCGTCCAGCACGTTCAGGTGGGTCCGGACTCTTCTGCGAAAGATGCGCAGCTGAAGCGATTTCCAGGCTCATGCACCCATCATCGAAGCATTCTGCAATGGCGCCAAGGCCGAAGTCGGTCTCATCAACGCTGTTCAAGTATACTGCTACACCGATACTCGGATTATCAAGTCTTTCCCATCCATCCTCAAGGTCTTGTACAACACAGATTGTATTTCTGATCAAGCCATCATATACTGGCATCAAAAGGGAGCCAAACCCCAAGGAAAGCAGCACTTTCTCAAGGCGACGGAGGGATTGGTCAAGGTAGGTGCTAGCGGTTGTAGCTTCGGGTCTGTGCTGATACTTTCTTGCAGTTCCTCGAAGAACAAGACGACTCGGAGGAGGAAGAGTAGGCTTGTTAGTATGGCCTCACGCCTCGGTCGATTCATCATCATGTTCAGAATGTATGACCTCTTTTGCATGGGCAAATGAAGCAAAGCGGCAGTGCGCGTTCGGGCATTTTTTGTTGATTTTTCTGAATGGCAGCAGTTGCGTCATTTGGACGATCCAAATAGCAGTTCAGCTTTAATCATTGACTGAGTCCCCCATGGAACGTTGAGGAAGATCGTCAGGGAGCTCTTGAGCTCATACCTGGACCCGGATCAGCATGTCTTCCAGTCAGCCTGGGAGGTCGAGTGACCCTATACACTCTCTGCCTTCCCAAGGAGATGGTATCCATGCTGGAGGATCATCGTCCACACCACAGGTCACTCACCAGCCTTCTCCTGGTATAACGGCTTTGGAGACGCACAAGATTCCTCATATTCTTCATCGTCGATTCATTGGACCTATGCCGGAAGTGGCGGCTCACTCGGATATGGCGGTCGAGCGTCGAAGACGGTTCAGGGAGCTTCGACGAGGAGCTATTCGGAGATTGAATGGAAGAGCTAAAGGTGATGCGGAGATGGGCTTGGTCTCGGAAAGGGAACATGCAGAGATCAGACGGAAGATCTCAAGTATCTTGCGGAGAGCGAAGGGACAGCGTAGACGTGGGACTGACGATCTCGATGATACTAGCTCGGATGAAGATGAAGAGGAGCCAGATACCAAGCACCGACATGGACTTCATCGACCTAAGAGGAGAAAAGCCAAGACGAAGCGGAAAGATGTATGGATAGGAGACAGTTTTGACATTGGGAGAGAGTTTCGTCGAGACTCAGGATCAGAATCCACCACGGAAGCTGGGACCTCAAGGACGACTACTTCTAGACGAGAATCAACAAACTCAATCCGCGATTCCGAGGAGCCCTCCTTGGCACCTCCTCGACCGACATTCAACTCACAGACGACTCAAGAGTCATTCGTCACTGCAAGGACAGAGTTAAGCACATCATCACTATCTTCTTCTTCTTCTTCTTCTTCTTCTTCTTCTTCTTCTTCTTCTTCTTCTTCGACACCGCTGCCGACTGGAAACCTCGTATCTCGGTTGAAAACGGATGAACCTGTGGACATGCTCCGTTCGACTGCCGACCATGTCCCCAATGGCAGTCTTAATTCTGTTCCGACGCAGAGTGATCCCGACCTCTCAAAGCGCGTCTCGGGCTCGTCTTCTACGTATCCACTCGTCGGCAGCCCCTTCCAGCAGACGAGATCCCTTTCGTCACCGAGATCGCTCAAGGGAAAGGAGAAAGCTTCGATGAGCGGGAATCCTGAACAGACCAACGGCGGACTAGGCAACATTCTCAAGAGCGCTATGAGAACGACAAGTCGTCAGAATCTGCGAGGCGCTGAAAGTGCTTCATCCAAATCGACTCGTTTCTTATCCTTCGACGATAATGAGAGCTACGTCTCCGCTCCAGACACCTTGAAGGCCAAAGGTCAATCCGGGCCAAAAAGTGTACAATTTCCTGTCAATCACGCTCGTCACTTTTCGGAAGGTGAACGCAAAGGTCCGACTCGAAGGGGCAATCAGAAGCCTGCAGACCCTACCAAGGTCCTCATGCGGCATGGCGAGGGCGCAGAAGGGACCAGCGCGGGAGCAGTGGAAGAGGCTCTGGGCAGTGCAGGAATGGGATCCTCGACCAAGTCAGAACACACAGGTCGAGCGGAAGCGCACAGTTCGGAGGAGAGTGATGATGATGATGAGGGCCTAATCCCTGGTCAAGTCATTATGCAGGGTGAGTCCAAAGCGGGATTTCAGGACCGAGCTCACGGATGCAGATCGCATGCTGGTCAAAGTCGGATATCACAGAGATGAAGGACTGGCTCGATTTACCGAGTCTAGTCAAGTGAGTCGTGCTAGATACTCAGGCATCTTTGATACTCATCCTATCGTGTCAGAGGCGCAGTCCGTGCTCTCGCATGGAGCCTTTCGAGGAGTATCTCGTAGCGTGGCGAAAAGGACGAGTGGAGCTCTACCAGGATTACGTGAGGTGGTTTCCCCCGAAAGGCTCGCTGACGACCCTTTTAGAGCAACCCGATACAAGCTCGGCTCAGTGGACACTCCAAGCGACTCTGCTTCATCGTCCCACTCCTACCCAACCGTACCAGTCTGAGTGTCTTCAACGAAACAGACTTGACCATCTGCCTCGCCACGTCCGCTGGAAAACTGGAAGCAGACCTTGAGCACAATCTGAGGTCCTACAGTACCCGAGCTCGATCTTCGACGTACAAGAACCGCGTCAAACAGTCAAAACAGGCACATTGGCTCCGTAGTGGTAAACGGGGTACTCACCTGTTTATCATGAAACTGACACATCGATCTCGAGCGCTCGATTGGTTTTGGGAGATCTGGAGAGAGTTAGGTGGAGAACTCCCGCCAAGGTTTGATATTGCCATTCCGTCCTTTCAAACATCGGTTCGCGTGGCTATACCGACAAGCGAAGACGATGATATGGTGGGAAGCAAGCGGGTCAGAGAGGCTCTCAGTCCAGACAGTACGATACACCAATGTGTGGACATGGCCAAGGATGCCTTGCACCTTGATAGTCTGTTGGAGGAACAAAGACTGCAGGGACAAGAGGATCACACGCGGCTGGAGCTGGTCTGGAGATCGACTGATGGAGCCCTGGAATGGATACGTGAGCGGACAACCTTGCTGGGTCATAAACGAGATTGGTCAGTCTTGGCAGGTCTAGCATTATCTGGGGTGAGTTATCGTGAAGGACTGGGGGACTTCGACTCATCATATTAGGTGGAAATGAACCCTCGCCAGCTCCAGATCCGTCAAGCTAGACATCAGTATCAAACGCTTCGTTTGGAGGACGGGACTGTCCTAGAGGAGCCTCCAGGTGTGGAAGGTTATCTCACACGGGCCAGGAATGGCAAGGCGAGTCGAGCCGACATCTACATCACGACTCACGACGGTAGGACGACCTTTGCTTGATCCCGGACTCGAGAGCTGAAATCGCATTCCCCCCTCAGGCCAGGTAATCGTCTCCAAGCCATCTTCGAGTTCCGCTCCCCTTCGCCCAGGCCCAGAATCCTCAACACCGCTTGACCTATTTCACGATGTTTACGGCGAGTTTCACGCATCTGAACAGGCTCGTCTAGCGCATATCGTGGAGAGTTCAGAAGGATGTATCGACTTCAGATCCATCAAGACGGTTCGACTGTTGGAAGAGGCAGACTCTGAGGTTGACTTGTCATCCCGGAGCCGACATGCGGACGGAGATACTCAAGCCTTGTCAACTACGGCCTCAAACATGCACGAATGTCGACGACAGAGAAGCTTTGAAGTCGTTGTGGATAGAGGTGGAGAGATCGTCCTCGAAGCGAGGACTCGTCAAAATGCAAAGGAATGGGTTGAGAGGTTGAATGATCTCAAGGAATTTTGGAAGAGACGCCAGCGAGTCGAGTGAGTTGTGGGCCGAGTTGGAGAAAAATTCAAGAATGACTTGCTGACCCGCTTCTCTTCTCAGCGCCAGACTGCGTATGGACGTCGTCAAACTACAATCTGCGAATGCGATCGAAGCTCTGTTGTCAAATAACTCGGATCATCGGCTAGGGGATATTTGGAGCTGGTGTATTTTGGATGGGTGTCGCTCTGTCACGCTGTCCGGAAGGGTCTTCATGAAGAAAGGGAGGTTGGAAAAGTTCAGGTGAGCGTAGGATGAGTTGAAAGCGTCTGACCTTGTGTGTAGGGCCAAGTTTCTCGTGCTATGTGGTGGAGGCTTGGTCACGTTTAAAGTGAAGAGCAAGATCGCCTTTCAAACGAGAAAGAGGCACTATACTTTGTTCGGAGCATACGTGAGTGATCCCCACTCAAGTATCTACACCTGCGCTTATATTCGCCTCTCACTCCATTAGGTCTACTCTGGTCTGCTTGCGCTCGACGAATTGCGCGAGGATAACTCGGAGACCCTGAGTGGAGGTCGTGCGAGGGTATATCAGGATGGACTCCAGGTGAGAGACTCTGAGGGCGGTTCTAGGTGCTCTCTTTTTCGCCGTTTCAGTCGCTCATCAGAATCTTTGACAGACTTCTGACGCGGTGGAAGACACGACGTTCTGTGTCCGATTAGCTTACCCACGCACTATCACATGGACGAAAGACGTAGATCCATGGGCGACCGAGATCGTCAAGGATGAATCGAGATCTAGATCGTTTGAACCGCCTAAACTCAGTACAAAACCTCCTGGGATGCTCGTCTTTCGAGCGAGATCAAAGGTGAGTGGAGGGGGTTTTGCGGCAAGCACAGCGCTGCATATCCGGAGGCTTCATTGGGCGGCGGCGAGGTTCAGATATTGATGACTTTTGTTGCCTGCCCTATTTCTAGCTCGAGAGAGATCGGTGGGTTTGGGCTATAAACGCTGAGATGGAAAGACATACGAGATCTCGACCAGAGTATGAACGTGCCATGCGAGGAGTCGGATGTTTAACGTGAGGAGAACGTTTAAGAGCTGGCAGTGTGAAGTCTAGGTACGCAAGGGAGCTTTTGGGTCACAGCGGTAGTTTAATAAAAGCAGCAAGTGTGCTGTGTGTATCATGACAGTTGTACGGAAGGGTCCAAATCATGATGACACGTTAATGCATTTGAGCAAACAGACATTATACATATGCAATGAACAGGTATGGGTGTATTGTCCATTTTGAGGCATCCGAAAGCTACATATCTCCGACGGGAGAGGGGAGACGACGTCGAGAATGAACGAAGAGGGATCTAAATTAGGGAAGGGATTAATGGGAGAAGTGTTCGCTGTATAATGTCCAATGGAGGCCCATCACTCTGCCTCTCAAGAAGCCTTCCCGAATGCCATCTCGTCTTCTGACCCTCTATAGCATGCTTACGATGGTGCCAAGGGACACGATGACCATGCTTGCGACAGCTCCAGCTTGGCTGTAGCTGAATGGTGCCACACCTCGCATAGCAGCTCCAGAAGTCTTGGCGGCAGATTCTGTACCGACGCTAGCGGAGGCTCCGGAAGACTTGGAAGCTGATCCATTGGCACCTCCAGCTCCGGCTGCAGCCGCTGAAATGGAAGGACCTGAATCTGATGTGGTGGAAGCAGCTGAAGCAGAGGTCGATGAGGCGGCCGACGACGATGATGTTGACGAAGAGGTCGCTGAAGCACCACTGACTGAACCTCCAGCGACACTCATAGCTGCTGCTGAACCGTTATTGTTTGCTGAATTCTGATACCAGTCAAAACCGAATGCCTCGGCGACATTTTCCACTTTCCAATCGTTTGATTTCATCAAAGGATAAGAGTATTCAAAGTTGGCCACGGTATTGGGGTTGGTCTCGTGTTCCAAAATCAGGAGACCAGGCGATTTAGAACCGGTGATCCATTGTTCCATTTGAGCTTGAACAGAGGAATTGGTATAGGCAGGGTCGTGTCCGATAGCCCAGTCTCCAGAGTCTACAAGAGGCACGAGTGTGTGTGATCAGCGCGTGTGCAGGTCATGAGCCAAGAGAGAGGGAGTGTGTGTGTAAACTTACCCTGGTTCCATGGGACCGTCTTGAGTCCAAAGACACCACTTGCGATGGCTCTGACTCGATTATCGACATCACCGTAAGGTGGTCTCCAGTACATCGGGATTCGACCTCCAGTGAGATCGGAAATGATCTGCATCGTCCATCCAAACTCGGCGAGCAGCGCCTCATTACTAAGTGTGGTCACTAGACAAGGTCTGTCAGGCGAAGAACACGGGTTGGGTTCACATCACAGGCGTAGATGAGCTCACTATACAAATGAGTCCATGTGTGGACGGCAATGTGACCGCCCATATTGAATGCAGATTGCATAGTGAGGGGGCTAGCACGCGAAGGTAAAAGGTCAGAAACTGATTGTTTTTTCCCCACGCAAGGAACTTTTGACTCACTTGGAAAGAATGTTACTGCCAATCATGAAATGCGTGACGTGACTGGCAATGTTGTTTTCCTGGAGGTAGGCATAAAGTGTGGGGGACTCATCGGTGGGACCATCGTCGAAGGAGATCTGATAAGTGTCAGTCGCATTCGAGCCTGGAGATCGATCGCTCGAAACCTACCGCGATGACACCGTCTGGTGGGTTCACCAGATCCGTCGATGTCGTACATTGATAAGTGAACGAACAAATGGTTGAATCTGAAGGGGATTCTCCATCTGCATAAGTAGGATACCCGTTATTAGGGTTGGAGACGGAGACGTTGGGAAGTTGAATAGAAGCCAATTTGTTCAGCCATGATTGAGGTAAGCTGGACACGGGAGGTGTAGCCCATCCTGGAGGATAAGAGTTTTGAAAGTCTGCAGGCAGGCAAATCAGAGTCAAATCACTATTCCATCTGCCCTCAAAATGGAGTAGTCCTGCCACTCACTTGGATCATTGGGGTTGGGCGGATCTCGTTTGAACAACTCATGGACCGGTGAATCTCTCGGTTGGAACCAATCACCTTGGACGATTCGAGGTGATGGTGGATGTGCCAGTGAAGAGCTAGAAAGCACAGCAGCCGCGAGGGCCAATGGGTAGATCATCTCACTCGGAATGGAGATCGGCGGATCAGGGGCGGCGTGAAAGCTGGGCGGCGGGGCGGGATTGTGCAATATAGAGAGAGCTAGAGCCAGGGGGTCGACGTTCTATTATGGTGATTCAAGTGTGTATATTCGTCACTTGTTTTCCTTTTCTCAATTTGTTTGCTTTGATTTTGATCTAGAAGACAAAGAGGACCCTGCGAATGAGCTCCGTGCGACCGGACGGGAACCGGAATGTCACAGAAACCCACTACAGATGTAACAGTTTACCAGACAAATGCGAGAAGGAGAGAGGTGAAGGATGGACGGGGTGAGGAGAGTGGTGAGTTGAAGAACGGTTAATTCTATGTATATATGTTGCAACAAGTATATGCGACTCTCTCTCTCTTGCACACACCACACGGTGACCCCCACGTCTCTACTCCTTTTTTTTTCTCCCAACAGATGGGCTGTGCTCCCTTTTTTTCGGGCGGCGTTTCTCGAAAATGCTTGGCTCGCTCAATGCTATACACTCTCAACTCAGTGTATCCAGCCTACTCCATGTACAGTGTCTGGCAAGAGGAGGTCCATTCAGAGTCACTGCCATGTCCTCAAGCATCGCCATGTTCATCCCTTGTCCCTCGGGTTCATCCAGCCACTGACTGGGTCAACATACAATAAGTCATTTGAGGCTGGCTTGGCTTTTTTCTGTTTATATCCTCATTGTGTGCCTGACTCCCACCGCCGGTCATTTCTCGGCGATCAGATGTTTAAGCTTATATCTCACGTGGGCTGGGAAGAAGGAACAGTGACGTGGATTAAATCAACAAGCTTGCAACTTCAATTTCGGCAGATTCGCCGTGGTGCGGGCATGTCCGACTGAAGCGCGGGGTTCCGGATGAAGGAAGGGCCAATCAATCTGCTGCTGCTGCTTCTGCTGCTTCTGCTGCTTACCTACATCAAACACAACACATCATGGGCAGTGCTCTGTCTAGACCCGCCATCCAGCTGAAAGTATCGGATGAGGAGAAGCAGGTGGACGGGAATGACGACGGTGCCCCGCGACAGATGACATGGACCCAGTGGTTGTTCGGGAGTGGTGCATTTCCTAACCAGCATTCCTCCCCGACCCCCACCTCCTTCACCACCACCTCCTCCTCCTCCTCTCATCGCTCCCATGCCGACGACGAGTTCAAATCTATATACACGAAGGAGTGGCATTGGCGTCAGGAGGAACATCTGGAAGCAGGTGAAGACGATCACGATGCGGTTGAACCATGGTTACCAGTGGTCGATCCCGAGACGCAACAACGACGATTGACATACTGGAAGGGGATCCTTCACTCCCTTGACAAGATTGAACCTTCACGTCTATCCAGGGAAGAACGCGTCAACTATGGTGTATACAAATACCAGATCGAAACGTTTGTCGATCAGATCGTCTACAAAGAATACGAAAAACCTCTGAATGGGGATACCGCCTTTTGGTCCAATCAAGCGTATGTAGCCAGAATGGATTTCACCCATCGAGGGGATTACGACAACTACCTTCTTCAAATGGACCAGCTGCCTAGGTACTTTGATCAACAGATCGACAACATGCGAGCGGGTCTCAAGAGGGGATTCACCGCACCCAAAATCACCCTGGAAGGTCGAGATGCGACCATCTTATCCGTCACGGGCGCGACGGGTCAAGACAATCTCTATTATACGCCATTCAAAAAGATGCCTTCCTCCATCTCGGCAAAGGATCAAGAAATGCTTCGAAATAATGCCTTGTCCAAAATTGAACACATTGTCCTGCCTACCTATCACAAACTCTTGACTTATTTCCAAAACGAGTACTATCCCAATGCTCGAGAGGATCTAGCGGCAGAGGACCTTCCCAATGGTAAGGCTTACTATCAGTCCAAGATCAAGGAATTCACCACGACGACATTGACGCCGAAGGAGATCCACCAGATCGGTCTCCAAGAAATCGATCGGATCAACAAGGAGATGCAACAAGTCATCAAAGATGCAAACTTTCACGGAACATTTGACGAATTCCTCGATTTCCTCCGCAAAGATCCTCAATTCTACGCCAAAACACCAGACGACCTACTGAAGGACGCAGCGTGGATCGCCAAAGAATTTGACGGGGTGGCTTCGAAATTCTTTGGTCGATTACCAAGAGAACGATTCGCCATTATCCCCGTTCCACCTGATGTCGCTCCTTTCTACACTTCGGGTCGTGGCGGACCAGGTGTCTACCTCGTCAACACGTACGATCTACCCTCGAGAGCTCTATACTCCCTTCCCGCATTGACCCTGCACGAATCGGCTCCTGGGCACTGTTTCCAGATGTCGCTCGTCAAAGAGCACGAGTTGCCTCATTTCCGAAGTGCCTACATTTCGGCCTATGGTGAAGGATGGGCACTGTATTGTGAACATCTCGGATCAGAGATGGGCATCTATCACACACCTTATCAAGTGTTCGGCATGCTGAGTTATCAAGCTTGGCGAGCTGCGAGATTGGTAGTGGATACCGGGGTCCATGCCATGGGATGGACGAGAGAACAAGCTCAAGATTACGTCAAGAACAACACGGCCTTGTCAGCTCACGAAGTGGAGACGGAAGTGGATCGTTACATCTCCTGGCCTGGTCAAGCTTTGGCATATTACCTAGGTATGTTGGAGATCAAACAGGCCAGAGCACATGCAGAGGAAAAGCTGGGGGACAAGTTTGACATCAGGGCGTTCCATGATGCCTTGTTACAGACTGGGTCAATCCCTCTCCCATTGTTGAAAGAGTACATGGCGAGGTGGGTGAAGGATGGAGGCAAGTCACCATATGAGGTATAGGCAGAGAACGTATGTAGATAGCTGGTAAACTTTGGTCATCGTCTCTCTCCCTGGAGATGTGTATGCAGTAGCGAGGAATGATTGTGTAATTGTTCAGACTCGCACGATGACATAGACTGTACAATGGGCCTGTGCAACGAAAATGCCGCTTCATTCGGTGTTGAACACGGTGAACCTTCGGTGAGACGCTACTGGGACTCGGCATCGATTTTCCCGCCCCGAAGGCAGGCAGACGTACGACTCTTCTCCGTCGGGCACCGGGCACGAGATCTGTCATTCAAGCCGGAATGATGGCGGATGCGTAAAAAACACACCGATTCATGGCAATGGCGATCAGCTCGGACAAGGCCAGACAGGGCGTCTACATATATAAAAGGGGAGGGTAATGAGTCAATGAGCCACTCCTCGACATTTAAGCAAGCAAATCACTCTTCCAGCTGCCCTCTATCGTCCGTTTTACCACTGCCAGACGATGCACATTGCCATTCTCGGAGCTTCGCGAGGTTGCGCCAACTTTGCAGCCTTTGAACTCCTCCAAATGGATCCAGATAACAGGCTCACCCTTCTGCTCCGTAAACCCGATGCGATCCATCTCGATCCATTATTAGGCCCGTACGTCAATAACGGTCGGATCCACGTCTTCAAAGGTGACGCAACGGTCGAATCGGACGTCGCAAAGTTGTTCAAGGGGCCACCAGTGGACCTCGTCGTCTCGGGCATCGGTGAGTCAGTAGCTGGTGGACCCCCTTTCCTCCCCTCTCTTTCTCCAAAATCTTTCGGATTCAGCCTTGCTGATACGAAGTGTCGATTCTTCTTTAGGCGGCGTCCCGAGCATTGGCCTGTCTGGCATCAAAATGGCATCACCCATCTGTACCAACGCTGGGATCGCGCTCGCCAATACCTTGTCCCATGTCCCTGAACCCAAACCTAGAGTGGTGATTATCTCTTCGATGGGTATGGGAGGAACACATCATTACATGCCTCTCCTTCATCGAGTGAGTCAGTCACCGAAAGGGTCTATACAGTATACGTGATTCATCAGCTGATATTTCGGTTGTTCGATCAAGATCATATACCCTTGGTTATTGCACGACCCGCATCAGGATAAAGAGGCCTATGAACAGATCCTCAAACGAGCATCACGGGGATGGGAAACGCCCGAACTCGACCTCACAATCGGCGATGAGGTATTGAGCGAAAAGGCCTACGAGGGAATACCGGAAGACGTGTTTGATCAGTTGATCATTGTCCGACCGGCTTGGCTCGTCGATGGACCAGTAACAGATCAAATGCGAGCTGCGGAGGATCTCAATACTTGGACAGCTAGGCGATCTGACGTCGGTAGGTTCATCGCCAGGGAATGTACGCAGAGCGAGAGTGTATGGGTCAACCGAGGGGTCATTGTGGGCTTCTAGGCGGAGCGGAGTACTGCGTGTCTCATACATAGAATAGAATGATCAGATGTTGTATCGTGATTCGAGTGATTCATCAAATGTACTCATCATACTCCTTGCATTGCGTCCTTGCATGGTGTTGGTGAGATGCTCTGGCTACAAAGATTACTCGTCATATGATCGTGAACAGTATTCTACATGTAAAAAGTGGGAAGATTCAGCACATGGCGTCATTCTCATTGGGGCCTGCTCTCCCTTCCGCCGGATTCCCCTCGCTCAGCTTGACCCCTTGATGCTAGAAGCGTTCTGACAGGAGCGACTGGAGACCCCTCGCCCTCACTCGCGCCGGTAACGACCTCCACACCCCGCGATCCATTTGATTCCACCTCCTCAAAACGCGGTGGAGGGATCCGAGCGCCACCGCTTTCCTGCGCACCGATATGTACTCTGGTCAAATCGATTCCCTCATGGGCGCTTAAGAATCTCATTTGATCCGGTGTGAATCCAGCTCTAGGAGCGTCGTAAGAGGTCCGGAAGGAGGGACTGCCCCCTATGGTACTGTGTCGTCCGTGAGAACCTGACGAGTCGGTCGAGTGACGCGAATCGAGTGGGCGAAGGAGAAGTGACTGAGACGAATTGCGAGGTTGCGAGTGTGAGTCGACATGAGCACGTGTGGTCGTAACGGCTGGTCTGGGGACCGCCAATTGAGTCATCTCTGGTACATCGGTGGAACGTTGAGTCGGTTGAGATTTGCCGCCGAAACGAGGCATGGTGAAGAATCGTCTGAAACCGCTGCTGGGTTGACTAGCTTCCTTCTGATTTGTTGGCACACGCTCGATTGTTCCGCGCTCGACATCGGAGCCTTGGGTCGAAGAGACAGTAGCTTCCAGGTAAGAAGGTGCCGGTCCTCGACTGAGACTGGTAGATGTCACGGTGCGCATGAGGGATCCAATGATACTGCCTCCGGTTGGGAGCTGGTGATCTGCGCTCTCGCCGGAGTTGGGAATGCGATTTTGTCGATACAGCTCTTCGGCCAAATTGGATGATTGTCTGTGTGGACGGAAAGCGTCAGCACATGATGCGATCTGTTGATCCTAGGTCTTCTCGAGACGCACCTGGCCAAGACCAACTCTTGCTCTCCCGCTTGAATCGAATACCTGGGTAGACTGCGGACACTTGCTCCGCTCTCTTGTCTTGACAGATACTGTCGGGGTCGGACGGCGGGCATACGACGGACGGGAGGAGGATCATTTCGGTGTTTTCGATGCCACAAGACGTACTGCATGCGTATTTGTCAGTGAGTGCGTATTTCGTGATGGGGGGTCCCCTCCTCGCACGTGTGCTCGCACTCACGAGAATACCAGCAATGATACCTGCGCCGACTAGGAAAGCCAAAGGGACAATAATCGTCAGACCGCTCATGGGTCCTCCAGACTCTGTCAAGCTTGTACTGGAGGCCGAAGATGAAGGCGAGGAGGAGGCAGACGGGGAGGAGGAGTCGACCTGTTGCCTCCTTGTCGGTGGTAAGACATCGTGAGGGAGAGAAGGCCAAGTGGGAGAGGATGGAGCGGGGAAAGCTTGGCACGTCGAGAGGTAAAATAGGCCGATGAGTGAGAATGTTGTGAGTTGAATCCGTGACATGATGATGAGCAGGTGGTGGATGTAACTGCAAGGAGTAGCTGGGTGGTCGATGTACAGACAGCGATGAGGACGTTGATGGTGATGGTGATGAGGTGTAATGTTATATCACCACTCGGTTCGAGCTGTGTAATAAGTAAACCTCAAAGGGGATGTGAAAGTCAAAGGTCAAAGGAGAGGGGTTAAGTCTGGGCGGCGCGGTGGTGAGCAGATACAAGCGATCGCAGGCAGATGGCGATGCCCGAGATGCGCGAAAGGGACGGGAGACCTCGTGTTTAAGAGGTGTGTCTCAAGGATGAAGGATGGTGTTGGTGATGAATGAGATTTGGTGATTCGTTGACCATTGAACTTATATTTCATCTCTCCCTCCCTCTCTCCCTCTCTCTCTTCTCACGATCCAAATCCAACCATCTCATGAATGCCCTGCCCGGCCCAAAATCTTACGATCGGATCCCAGTCCAGTCATTCTCTCCACGACTGCATGATGCTAAGAGCTTTTTGCCGCCGCCCAGCTCTGTGACTCTGCGAGTGTGAGAGTGACGTAAACCCATTGTGCATCCCAAAGCTTCTGGCCGTACTAGTCTTTTGCCGTTCGATCGCTACAGTCAGCCCATTCACCGACGTTGTGAGTCAATCCTGTAGATCTCTCTCTCTCTCTCTGTGTGTGTGTGTCTGGCGGATCAGCACAGCAAGTGTGTCAATTAGATGCCGAGCGAAAGAGCCAAGGCTTGTGGGAGAGAGAGCGAGAGAGAGGCGATGAGCTGCTGCTGCTCACGTCACTTTGCTGAGTCATATAGCCCCTTCTTAATAATAATCACTCAATTCTCTGAATACAAGCTAAATGAGGCGTGTAATCGAGGCACAAAATTAGAATTTTGCTTGCCGTTGCAGATCATTTCGGCCGGCCGTGGGCCAACGACATCCCATCGTCGTTCTGGACCAAATCGTACACGACCCTCGTCATCTACAGAATGACAGGGCTCAGCCCCAGTCGTATACATGCGTGTCGTACACAGAAACGTTCAAATGCAGCACAGACCTGGTTGTATCAATGTATGCCATCACACGTCGTCCGGGCCAAGCGTCTCTTTCCATCTCTGAGACGAAGCATTCAGCTCAAAATTCCGTACAATCTGATTCAGACTCACCCTGTGGTCAAGGGTCGTAAAGTCATCAAGCGTGGCAATCCTGCACAGCTGACGTGCGAAACGTCAACAAGCGATCCGTCTCCACGTCTAAGCGCGCTACTTACATATGCCCCAAGTTTGTACAATTGTCTGTCGGGCTTATAGCGCGTAGTTGTTTGGTATTCTGCATTGACACCTGCAGTCCGATACGCTCGGATCTGAGTCCAGTCCGGGTCAGCTATTGACCTACGGCCATTGAATCAGCGCAGCTCACCTTCAGGCCCTCTCCAGGGTTCATGGCAAAATTACGACTCAGATCGTCAATGTGGATGGTCTGTAGATCAGATCAGTCAAGCTACGGCTTCGACGGAGCCATCTGTCTCACGTTCTTGGCTGACCATTGGGGGTAATTTGCCCAAAAGTAGGCGAGCGGCTTGACTCTGAGAACAGTCGTCAGCAGCCCGCTCAAAGCCCCGCGGATCACAAACCACTCACTCATGCTTGAACGGTTGGCCATCGCGTAATGTGAAGACCTGGACTTTTGAATGAGCTTGTCACCAGTGGTAGATCCCAACTTATCCAGCTCACCGGGAACATGGTCGAACGATCAGATACAAAGCTGATCTTGTAGCTCTTATCACCGCCGATCACGCCGAGCTCTGCCAACTTGCTTTCGAGCCACCGCCAGTGGGTCTGGCTCCAGATGACGATGTCGTAATATGGATAGACTCTAGCTCGGCGTTAGTCTACAGTCCTTAGCTGAGCGCGCGCCCTACACGAACCGCTCGAGGAAGTCATGTAAGCCAGGTCGAGCGCACTCCTCGGGAGGCAGCGATCCCGCCAAGAGGGGTTTGCTATCGACCATGGCTTTGACGCTTGAGCGACCGCACACTCAAGCCTAGACTTACTGTAATCCAGATCAAGGACGAGCAGCTTCTTCCCAGGTCTTGGCTCATTCATGACCTAACGGGGATCAGACTGAATGTACGAGGAAGTGCACATACAGTGATCGGGACCCGTTGAATGATGGATTCGATCATCCGCTTATTCCTTGGATCCGCTGCCGGAGCAGTATAAGTGCCAGCCTTGAACTCTCCGTAAGACACATCGAAATCGTCCTCGAGCTATAGTCTGTCAGTGTCCATGCCTTTGGAACAACATGACTATACGGGACGTACCGCCGCTTTGAGCCCCGCTGGATCTTTAAACGTGTCTGATTCAGGTGTCCCAATCAACGTAAATTTGCAATCCTTCTTCACGCCAAGCGACCCGAATCGTCTCGAATCGGTCTCCGTCCCAAGCTTGCCTTTGGACAATCCGATGATTTTCTGACGTACCGGTGGAACTTGAGTCAGTCGATGAATCTGTTCGCGGAAATCGTACACCCTGTAGCGTGGGGTTGTCAGCGAGCAAATTGAAACACTAAGGATTGTAGACGGGACTGACATATCATTGGAGGCAACTTTGATCTCGAAGAGCTTGCCACTCCAGCTCATCTTGAGATCCCACCATTCTTCATTGGTTTCCGGCATGAGCGTCTCCGGAAGTGGGACAGCGACCACTATCTCTTCCTGTCCTCGTCTCGCTCCGGCGGTACCGTCGCCGGCCGCAGCTGCGGTGATGGTAGAGGAGGAGGGGAGCTTGAAAGATGAGCTACCCTCTCCTACGTCATTGCGTTCCATGTCACCATCCTGGCTGCCCGTAATAGGAGAATCAAACGACGGTTGATTTGCATCGCTTTCTACCTTTGTACTCTTTAACAGTGAGGGTGATGATGATGAGGAGGAGGTGATTGCCACGTCTGGCGACGGCGAAGCTCGGAATGTCTTTGAGGGGGTACTGGTAGAAGTATCTGGAAGGGCCGAGGTGGTAGGCGCTGGGGACTCGGATGGATCTCGATCATTGGACATTGTGACTAGTAGAGTAAGGGTTGAGCAGCGTATCAGCGAATGGTACTGATGTCGGAAACAGGTGCCCTCATCGAGGATCAGTTCAGGCCAAGAGAGATAGTTGCGATCCAAGAAGAGGCACTATCTCCGCCAAACGTCGTTGTTCTTTTGTCGGTATCGACGACAATGACCTGCGTTGTAGAAAGGAGAGATACAGAGAGAGCATTCCAACGCGAGCCAAGACCGAAGTCACGAGGTCACTTTCCCACGGTGGCAGCCGGCTATTCGTTTCATCACTGATGATCTTTAGAGTAGTGGCATGGTCAGTCATTCCACAACGACGAGATGGAGAATGATCAATCATTGAACACGATCAGACCTTCTGATCCATCCGTAGAAGCCCAGATTCAAGCTCTGGATCTACTTTCTGCAAGGCTCAAGCGCTTAACAGATCAGACGAGATGGCCTGCAAGGGTTCCTCTGAATGCGAAAGCGAGTTTGGGAGGTCAGGTCGTACATACAAACGATGTCAAGGTCAATATCGGAGCGGGATACTGGGTCGGTATGACGGCTCAGGAGGCTTCCGAATGGGTCCAGAGGCGAAAAACAGGTGAGCTCAAGCTCGGGCAGTCCAGTGCTACGTTATTGACCCGCTGTTACTATGAAGATATGTTGTTTGAACACGCTAGGAGAATGGAGGGAAGACCAAATGTATCTGGTCAGAGACACACGACGATATCTTCTGGTCCTCTTTCTTCCTCTCTGCCGCTCTCCCTGCCACTTCAGCTCAACCCAATCTTTTCGACATCCATCGCTGGACCATACAAAGCTAGGTCATCTCCACCGCCCGCAAGTTTACCGACCGGTCAGACTACGGGACGGTTGGATCCCGTTGGCCGGATGACAGTCGTCAATGATAAAGACAATGACGAGGAAGAGGCAGAAGGAGATTCTCTCAGCGGTTCGACCTTGGGGTCGGCGCCAAACAGTGGCTCTGGACAGGGTGGAATCCTTGCCGATGTTGTACAAGATTTCGTCGAGGCTCAGAAGTTACAAGCTGGTACCAGGAGGGATGGACAAGAATCAGTGGTACGTTCAATCTCCGCGCGGTGGCTCTCTTCGAGTGTCACCTCATCCTTTCTACTGATGACTCTGAGTTATAGCTCGTCAATGAGGAAGGGCTACCGATACATGAGATCCGTGAAGGGTTAGACGGATCAACGTTAGGTGATCCACCGCCGTCGATGATCGGAGGTGATCCCTTGCCAGACTTTCCGCCGCCAGAGGAGAAGGAAGATTACTGGTCCGAAGATGCCAAGGCGCGCCGTGCGGCTCTCAGAAGAAAAGTCTTCAATGAGGGAACAGATTCGGACGATGATTCCGATGCCGACACAGCTCTGGCTAAGGAACAAGTCACACCTGATGCCTCTGCCAAGCCGTCACCGTCACTCTCTCCTGGACCGCACTCTCCTGCTCGCCCATCCCTCGTACCTACTCCCTCAGCATCTACACCAGGCCCTACCAGATCCATACTAAAGCCTCAAGTTCGAAAGAAATCAGTGACGTTTGACGATTCTGTGCCTCTACCATCACCAGATTCACCCGACTCCAAGACAATCCATGCTGGTGGAATGGGCTTTCCATTACCAATCCATGATGTCAGTGATGAAAGGACCTATGGAGAATTCCAAGTCGCACCTGTACCCATGCTGAATCAGCCGACTGCTCCGAAAAAGGGAACAAGTGGGACCGGGGCATTCGCAGGGTTCAGACCTGGCTTCTTGTCTTCTCGTAAACCGATTGTAGCACAGTCAGCTGCGGGAGAGGTCGCTGAACCTGTGGGGCAGACTCCCAAACCGAAGCAGAGTTTGTTCGCTCAAAGAAGGGCGGCAAAAACTTCCCATGCTGAAGAGAGCCGCGGGGCCGAACCATCAGGGTCCAACCTCCCCCTCATGTCGAAAACACCGGGCATGATGTCGGTCAAGAACACGGTTGTGGAGAAGGCACCAGTACCGAGCGTACAGCCTGTTCAATCGTTGGCCTCATCCTCGGGGACGACTCTGAGCCCTGGATCAACCAGCCATTCGAGGACGGCAGAAGTGACGCATGTCGGTGACGACAGCGACGCTCCCATCGAGGATATGGACGATGAAGAAGACATAGAGGAGGATGAATACGATCTGGACGATGCCCTACTCGCTAGGGAGATCGCACTAGATTATCATCGCCGTCAACAGCCCATTCGACCTCGATCTGAACATGACGAGGATACGTACGACTTCGATCACCAAGTGGAGCACCATGATGAAAATGATGATGATGATGGGGGGGAGGAAGGAGCCGGAGTCATGCTGGCTCTACCGTCCATCTCGAATGGACGCATCATCAACCCTTCACCGGACGAATTGAGGAAATATGTGCGTGTGGGAAGGTTGGAGAATGGGAACCTTGTCCTTGCTCCAGGTGAAGAAGGATGGAGTGATGATGAAGATGGGGATGCGAAAGCGAGGCGGGAGGAAGTCAAGAGACAATTATTGGGTCAATCTGGACCTACCCAACAATCCTCCAATGTGACAGGACGACCGCCGCCCGCGATTCCGCCGACTAGCCGGCGCACCGTTCGTGAGAAGGAGGATAATATGGGGATGCCCCCTGCCGTTCGAACTGTCAAGGAGACCCAATCGATCGAGCGAAATCGTACGGTTGAAGAAGAGACTGCAGCGCCGAAGAAAATGTCGAGATTCAAAGCGGCGAGATTGGGTCTCGACGTCTAGACTGGCGACTGACTGTATGCGCACACAATTCGTTGGATTGTGAACAATACACCATATCATCTGTACTCATACATCGTCACTGTCATACTGTATGTATACAATTAACAACTCTCTCATTCTATTCATGCAGCCCCTGCACTCGGTGCGAAGAGTTTATCGAGACCCTGTTCGACTTCTGTTATTTTCCCCAAAAGGATCTTGATAGCCTCAGGGATGAGCTCTTCGGGATTGTACTGTCCAGTTGACTCGACGTTGACTAAAGGAAAGGCGACGAGCGTCAGGTTTGATGGAATAGAAAAAGGAGACAAAGAAGGAAAAAAAGAGACGAAAAACCCACATAAGAAATGATCTCGTATCCTTGTCAATTGGACCAAATCCTGAAACTCTGGATGACGCAAAACTTCCCTGGAGACTGTATCTTTTCTAGGGTTCTTGACCACACATTGAGGGTGACCCGAGGCGTCGTCCTCAATGTCAATGACACCTGGCGGAAAGCATTTTTGGAATTTCTCCTGATGCTCCGGTGGAATCGGCGAACGAATGATGATCTGAGGTAGGAGACGATATGAAGCGGTGGCTAGAAAAAAACCAATAAAGGTTGACATTAGATTAACATGTGGATCTTGAGAGAGTCTTTAAAATTCTCACCGACTGGAGACCATTTGGCGTGATTCATGCCTACGCCCTTCCGAGCAAAACAGTGAAAGTCGACCACCTAACAGACGTGCTGCATCGTCAGTGGTGTCAAACGTTGAGCTGCAACGACCGACTCGCCTGCTTCGGACGTAATTTGACCAGCAGAATATCGGGATCCACAGGCGCAGGCTTCGGAACACCATTGACACCGAATTTATCCGATTGAGCACCTTGAGGAACCCATTCGAGCATGCCTGGGAAAACGGGTGTCAATCAAGGATTCTAAAAAGGGGAATCCGGTCTGAATCTCACCAGAATACACATTCGAATCGTAGTATAGCTTCCTGGGGTCTGTCTCTCCTCTACTTGCATCTTTATTCCGATCACACCGGACCCGAAGATCAAAGATCAACGTATCGTTCTCGCTCGGCTTATCTGGGTTCTCTGAAGAGTGACGAGTCAGATGTAAGCACAGCACTCTCAGATAAAGATGAAGTAGGAGAGATCTTGGACTCACTCGTGTACTGAACTTTCCTGGGATCAACTTTCAACGGTAATAAACCCAAACGGTGACAGAGCACCTCATCCTGCATGATTGACGTATTGTTCCACACATAAACACTGTCGATAGCCACTGTCGGGACCTGCAAGTAGCATGATCAGCCACCGTGATCGCCTTTTGAATGCCTCCACAATTGCTCAGTTGCTCACCTCCGCGATCATGACTCTTCTCAAGGCATTGGCAATGGAGGCATCTACGCCAATCAAGTCGAATTCAACAGTCGAAGGCGTGAGTCGTTGAACCGAGACGACCAAGTTCTGACAGCCACGCAGATCAGTCCGAGTCACAAGTTCCAAAAGTACATCCCACGCACCTCTTTAAATCGCTGCAAGTTCCATGAATGGTCTTCTCCTGGATAATGACCTGGAAACTCGGATCCAGCGACCTGAAGGAACGACCTATCAGCAATGGTCGGGAATCCGGTCCCTTCTGACAGCGCAGTATGTTCCCGCCGTATGTTACCCACCTGACCAATCCGTTCAGGTAGAACTTGGACATGCCTCCTTGTATCATCGTTGGATCTCGGCATGACTGTCTAAGACCTCGCCTTGAGTCTTGTATCTATACTTTGACTTGCTACCTTGCTCAACCGCTGAGCATTTCAATCGAACCTCTCGCCCAAAAAAAAAAAAAGTCGGCAGGCGGTGATCACCGCTGAGAAATGATCAAGTCCTGCTGATAGCATATGCCACGTCATTGGCTGTATGCCGTAAGGACCTGTAGAAAGTTGTCGTAGATTCCAGCTCAACGTCAATGCGAAGCTGAGATTTTTGAGCATAAATAATATCGGTTTCTGATCTCGTACCTGCACCTGGAAGAAGACTTGCTGGCCTATTGATCGCCCAAATCAGAGACCATGCCCGACCTCAACGAACTCTTGCGGTGGTCAATTGCCAATTCGACACCTCCTACATCTGGAGCCCAAGGCGATGGAACCACTGGTGCTGAACAACCACCCCTCTCACTCCGATTCAATCCAGCATCTGAAACGCCCTCACCTGGATCTTCCGCCTTGCATCCTTCTGATCCACAGTACGGTACATCATCATACGGTGGTCAGAATGCAGAAGACCACCCTGCCCATTCGACAAACACCCCTGCGGCAAACCCTGCACTCAACTCTGAAATACTCGAGGCTATCATGGGGAAATCAGATAGCACAGTGATGAAGGAGAAGATGGCTTTCGCCCTGGATGAAAGTAACGATGTGGATCAACGTGTAGAGGCATTGGACGATTTCGAGATGGTAAGTTTGGACCTTTTTTTAGAGCCTCTGTGTATGATTGTGTGTGTGTTTGGAAGATTGACTGACCGATCCATCTGACATAGCTCATTGAACACCTCGATAACGCCAACAATATGGCCGTCTTGAAACTCTGGGAACCGATATTGTCTCTTTTGTCCTCTCCACACGAGACCATCGTAGCGCATGCCTGCTGGATCATCGGTACAGCCGTACAGAACAATATCAAAGCTCAGTCTGCAGTGAGTTCCTCAGCTAGCCCATGCAGCTTTTGCTGACCTTTCCCCCCCCCCCCCCCCCTCTTAGCTCTACGCTCACAATGCCTTGTCTCAAATTTTGACAGTCATATCCCCTTCCAGTTCCCATAGTCCCGCTACTCGATCCCGCGCGACCTACGCATTATCCTCGGCGTTGAAACATTGGCCATTGGCTTCCTCAGCACTCTCTGCGTCCTCCAGTAGAGGGTATCAAACCTTGAAAGAAGGAATCAGGGATCCAGAACCCGTCGTCAGGAAGAAGATGCAGTTCCTCATAGGGACTCTGGTCATGCAGTCGGGAGAACAATACTCTGGAGAATTGCCAAAGGAAGTAGCAGAAATCTTGAAAGAGCAAGGCCAAACTACGGATGGAAACGCTAGAGAGTCGCTCGTTGAGGGTTTAAAGCGAGAAGGCATATTCGTCACAGTCTTAGAGGCTTTGAAGTCGCAAAAGGGAGGAGATGTCGAATTCGAAGAGAATGCCATGCGGGCTCTTGTCAATGCGACGGAGAAGGGTGGGCTAGATACGAGTGAGAAGGAGCAAGTCAAGCAAATTTGGGAATCTTGGGGCAAAGATGGTCGTGAAGAGAGAGGATTAGGAGGCAATGAGGGGGATGACATGGCCAAGATTCTCGCATAGAAGAAGCTTAGATACTGCCATAACAGAATATACATATCGCGTATTATAATGTAAAACGATTAGCAGACGGAGAAGTCACCTGAGTTTCGAGCCTAGACGAGACACGAAACGACGTTCTAGCATTCCTATCGCCGCTCCCTGAGTATGAAGACAACCGCGCCAACCAATAAGATGGCGAAACCAGCCACGAAAGCAAAGAGAACCAACACGTCCCTTGACCCACATCAGCATATGCATCTCGCCTGCAGACCGCATGTTGACTCACCGGTAATAATGACTCAGATCAAATCCGAACAGTGTCTGCATAATGACCACCGCATTGATCTCGATCGGCACACCTTCCAGAACGTCCTACCGTAGAGTGAGATTGAAATCGTGGTTATGAACTCACGATAATCATCAAACCTGATCCGACTTCATTGACTGACAAAGCTTCGAGCGTATAGCCAAGGGTTGAGAAGTACCTCAGCCATCGAAGCACCGGCGGGATTTGGTGAATGTTGACGAAGAAGCTGTGCAGTGTCAGGAAACGGAGTATGATGAGAGAGATGTCTTACCCAGCATATGTCATCAGGAAGAGATTGCAGAGCGACGACAATAGGATAGCGATACCTCCTTGGCGGAAGACGCATGCGAGGAGGAAGTTCTGAGACGATCATGAGCTCCTCGTAGTTCAACAAGGTGAGGATCTAGCTCACAAATAGAGTGGTTGCCAGGGAATACTCTACCAAGATTAACAGATACTTGAAGAATCGCGCGGCACTGTGAGCTAGTCCCACCACTACGCTAATGTCAGTGATCATTTAAATCTAGGTCTGTATACGTACTGAAGTACACGATGATGCTACGAGTGCACTGTCAGCTCTGAAGGGTAAGGCACACCTTTCAGCTCACCCAACAATGATAGTGGGAATCAGTCGAAGAGGAATGACATCAAAGATGACCCTAGTCAAGAGCCAAGATTGGGGACTGCGGGGAGTCAGTCAAGGATCATCCATGAAACAGCTCACGAGTAGAAAGATCCCGCTCGTTCACGGAGGAAGAGACCTCGAACTTCGACAAGATTATACAATGCGCTGAGAAATGATTGTGAGCCAAGACCGTAAAAAAGGCGGAGAGAGCTCACCTTAGCGACGTAAATGCGATCAAAGATCCAAGGAAGAACAGACTTCCCACTCGATTCTGGAACCCAGCAATCGTCAAGCTGACTTTGTAGTATAGACCTCCTGCGAATACGCCGAGAATACATGACATGACCCAATGAGCGATCAACAATGTCTTGTCCCTGAGGAGGATCAGCACTTTGGAAGCCGAGGCAGAAACGGACGCTTACCGTCTAAGATTCTTCCACTCTCTTCCACTTAGGACCTCCACCTGCGTCAAGAAAGTCGTCGCGCAGTGTGTACGAGGCCACCATGATGTCTTTTCCACGGACAAGGGCTCGCCATCGGGATGCTTAGGGAGGCTTTCAGCCTGGAGAGCAGGAGTCACCAGGTCCTTCTCGACGGAGGAGTCTGTGTGGCTTTGGGCTCCGGAACTGGACAATGACTTCTCGTTACCTTGAAGACTCGATGATTCTTGATCTGAGCCGTTGTCCGCACTTTGCCGCACGACAGCAGATGGTCCACTGACTAGACCATCAGTTGGGCCACTAGCAATTTCCAGCAAGTGATCCGCAACGTTATATCCTGCGGGACAAGGTCGACCTTGCCGAGCGAAGAACAGAGCAGGTTGATCGCCTCCTGGTCCGAAGTATAGCTGTTTTCCATTGGCGAGGAGGACGACCTGGCTGAAGGCACGGTAAAGTGCAGAACTCGGCTGATGAATGCTTGCAATGATGGTTGTCTGGCTGTCTCCTTCAGCGAGCTGCTTTAATAAACTGACGAGTCGAGAAGCGGAGACCGAGTCCAAACCTGAGGTAGGTTCGTCCAGAACGAGGACGTCCGGCGCAGCGACGAGCTCGATTCCGATGGAAACACGTCGCATCTCTCCACCAGAGATCCCTCTGTGTTCTGTCGATCCGACACGAGTATGTGCGACGTGCTCGAGACCTAGTTGTTGAAGGACAGTGTTGGCTCTTTCGATCTTGACAGATTCAGGTACAGACTCGGGTAGCCGTAATTGCGCGGCAAAGATCAACGTCTCAAGCACAGTAGACGTGGGCGACAAAACGTCAGACTAGTAATTGTCAGCGACGAAGTAACACCACAACGTGTGACGAACCTGATCGACGTATCCAATCTTGATCCTGCCGCCTCCAGACTTGGCAAATTTGACCGAGCCCTGAACATTACCAGCCTTTCTCTTTCCAGCCAGAATATCTACTAGGGTCGACTTTCCAGCTCCGCTCGGACCAAGGATACAGGCGAAGCCACCGACAGGCAAATCTCCGCAAGAATCCGAGAGAACGATCTTGCCTCCAGCCGGTCCGAGTCCATCACCCCTTTCAGAGGATGCTGCGGTACTGTTGCCAGCCGATCCCGAGCCTTTCGCCCAAGTGACGAGTCGATCCCAATGTGATACTCCCGCAGCTTTGACCTCGTAAGTGACGCCACTCCATGCGACCCTTGCTCCAGCATTCTTCGGGATCTGTCCGTCATGAGTCATGTTTTTCCTTGCCTTCCTCTGAATCATCCAAGCCCAGATAAGCAAAACAATGATGACAAGAAGCAAGACGCCAACAACTGCTAGGCCAGCAATGACTCCTCCACTCAATTTCGTGGCATACGAGACCGCTTCCGAGATGCCGAGTGCTTGATCGATGACATATTGCTGTACACATTCACCGAATGAGCAGCTCGATAGCCCCAGACCGCTGGGGCCAAAGAAGCTCTCCAGAAAAGGCGTCAAAAAGGTGCAATTTCCATAATCGGTACCGGAGCAGTCGACTGTGAGCGGTCCCACAAGGGTGTCGATCTTACTGGACAAATCTTTGCACAGCGTAGCGTCCGTGAGACAAGTGCAATTCAAGGTCGAACATGTCCAGGTCGATCCATTCCTCCCTGCACTACCAGGTGTTGTCACTTGGTCACATTGACTGGCTTGGCAATAGAATTGCTCCACTCCATCGTACCATAATTGAGCATAGCCATGTGAATCACCTCCCATGAGTTTGGCGGCGTCAAGAGTGGTTAGACCTCCAGGTGTGCGTGATGCGTTCAGTGTCCTGGTGATGGAGAGGGTCCATGAGCCTGCATAGAGCTGATGAAGGATAGAAGTGGTGACATCGCAGAACATCTGCGATGAGGAATAGGTGACAGGGGAGGACGAGCATGTTAGGGAGGTATTGAGGGTCGAGTCGGCGACTGTATTGGAGGAGTTGAGGTATTTGGAGAGTGAGGACTGGCAGGATGTTGCGGAGCTACACACTGTAGGTGAAAGGGGGTGTCAATAGATAGACCCATAGACATCAGTGTGTGTTATGAAGCCTCACCTGTACACGTAGGTCCGCTCCAACCGTCTGCGCATTGACAGGTCTGACTTGATAGATTCGCCAATGTCGACCCACGGGCTATGCTTGCCGCTGATCCTGGATCGTACAAGCTGCCTCCACACATTGGCACTGAGCAGTCATTATTGCTCGATGAGTCGACGTTGAAGCCTGGTGGGCATAGACATGATGATCCTGACAGTGTTCCATATTGGGAACAGGTCTGAGCCTCGACTGCGCTCGACAAGAGCAGCAAAAGCGATGTGAAGAAGAACATGAGTGAGGTAGGTGAGATAGGATCTAGCGACGTAGCACGGTAGCCACCATGACCCTCTCTCTCTTACGCTACTGTTCCAAGGTGTAGGAGTCCTGACCTGATCTGAGTGAGATGATTGAAATGATACAGGTCAGTGGGGCCGTTGGATGTGAATAGCAGCAGGTTGAAGCTGGATCGACACCAAATCTTATTATTTTTGAGCGAGAGGCGGGAGGCGCCGGGGCCCGGACCACGGGGAAGAACTCTACTGGCCACCCCGATCACAGAGAGAGAGATCCTAATGGAATCAAGCCACGGGGATTAGAAATTATCATTTCTAATGCACTTTTCTAATCGGCCTAGCTTGTGTGATCGGACCTCGCTCGGACCCTTTCGACAAACATGCGACCATCAGACCCACATGCGAACTGCTCGCCTGCTCCAGATCTCTTATGAGCACTCTGTCTCTTCTGACCTCTCATATCGTGTATTCCCGCCTGTTCAGCGTTGCTACTTACCTCTTATCATTTCGTCCCTGTACCTCACTGGCCCCTGCGTAAGACAGGGCTGGCTCTCCTCATCTCTCATACGATACTGATATGTCATCCAACTTTGAGTCAGCTGCTCGACCTGGTTCGAACTCAACCCGACCCATTTTCCGCAGAGGTCCCTCCGACATGCTTCGCATCCCGCAATATCTGTCTCACTCTCGTGGAAGCATTCACTCGAAACGGGGGCACCGCATGCCCTCCACCAGTCAATGCTCAGGTCGACCTCAACGACGATTCTGGGGACAGCGAAGCCACCTGTCGCCTTCCGAGCAAACCCCTGCCTTTAATCTATCTGGTCGCTCGTCAAGATCTACACGATATCTGGGCCCTCCTCTCATCACGTCCGCTGACCCTGTATGATGTGACTTGGGTGGAGGACTGTGTTCGAGAAGCCCAGATCTTACCCCTGAAAGAGTATGCTCTAGACCTCTCCGCTCTCATCAAGGACATTGCGCCTGATCAAGCCAATGGTGAAGACCAAGATGCCCACATTCAACCATCAGAGCAAAACCAAGACCATACTTCGCCAAAGCGCTCTCGAGCTTCGTCGACTGAATCCATAGGAGAAGGCTCCCGCGACGTTCACGTCTCAGTGCCCCAGCCCATAGCCCTAGCTCCAGATCGCTCTTCCAGCCAAGAAACAAATCAATCTAGCTCTTTCCTCAGCGCAGGGAGAAGATATAGAGCGCGAAATGGCCAATGGAATGGAGACTCAAGGTCCAGCACTCGAGATCGAGTTAGAGCAGACACTTCGAGTTCACAAACCCGCTCACAAAGCTTTGACAATTGCTCACTCTTCACTTCGACTGACGAACGACGATTGCCGAGTGCTCAAACCAAACGTAAACGGACGAGGCGCTTTATCCCTCGACCTGACATTACCTCTACCTATAAGAGGACACCGTCGCCGGACCTCGCAGAAGAGGGCAACACTCCACAGCAAGATACCCGGCTTCTTCTACCTTGTGGCCCACTCCTCCTGCATACATCACAGAGCGGTACATCAGTCAATCTCGATGAACGACTTGTTTTGCCGTTCAACGACACAGGGGGTGATTCGGGCGAAGAGACCTCAGCGACTCTCGGGTCCTCTCATTCGGCCAGCAGGTGTTCATCGTCAAGCAAGAGTCAGGTACCAATGCGACGGATCAAGAAAGATCAAGGTGACGATGGTGAGCACATTAGAGGCCGAAGGGATGTCAACGCGCATTCAATCAACGATGACGGACAAGAGGACTCGGCGAGCTTAGCTCCTACATCGAGATGATTCGGAAGAAGTGGAAGAACCAGTGGAAGTCAAGTCGGTCGATCGGCTCCTGCCATGATAAGCCACGAAGCTCGTGCTGCCGTTCAGCTCAGGCCGAAACACAGGCACTGAGGACCTGGAATCAGATGTACGGATGGGAAGACGATGATCATGTCAGCGAAGAATCGGATGATGATGACTGTAAATATTGGGTTGTTATACTGGACGGAGTTGGGTATGCAAGATCATGTATGTCCAAGATGTATACTTCTACAAGCGCAAGCCTACCACGATTCTTCCCATTTCAACTCCGTCAAAAATACGACGCCAGACCCGATACTTGAGTGCGAGACAACAGAACAACCCCCTGCTGTTTACGAGACTCTGAAGGAGAGAGAAAGACGAGAGAAAGACCCGACGACCCTAGGACTCCCCTGCCCTCAGCACCACTATCTTTTCCTATACGTCGAGTCATGATGCAGATCCGTCGTAGACTCGCTCGAACTTAGACCGTCGATTGACAAGGCCGCTCCGGACCCTCCTATGGGTGCCTTTACACCGTTTCCGCCGAATATCTCATCATCATCATAATCGTCTTCCTCCGATCCTGCAAATGGTGATCCTTCCGGCGAAGCATTCAGATTTCGGCGCTGGAACGCAGGGATCGGCGCAAGCGTTTGGGAATTCGACAATGAGCTGGAGCCTCCGTACGAAGGTATATGTTGAGATGATTGAGATCGACGAGATGGTGGAGGAGGCGGAGCAGGTTTCCTACCACCGGGTCGAGACGGAGCAGCTCGTTCTTCCATCTTGTCCTGGGAGGAAGGTCTTTGAGCATTCATTGAGATGGAAGCAGTTTGCCATTGCTCCGCGTCGGAGAAACCATGCTCCAATTCAGAATCTGAGGTATTGAGGTTCATGGTGCTGAATGAGGATTCAGGAACAGCAGTAGTCGTAGCTGCTCGAGCTCTTGATCGACCATTGGGGCGAGACGCGAGAGCAGGAGTCACGTATTCCTCGACATAGGCTGAAGGGAATAAACCATGTCGGCCATGACACTCTCCATTCCACCAATCATCGTTGACCTTCTCCAACACTTCGATCATGTCTTCCTTTTTGAACTTCAGCTCGTCCGCTGCTGAGCCAGTGAAGTCGTACAACGCCTTAACCCAATGTCCTTCGGCGTGAGATTGTAGGGGCGCAGTATTGTTCCGCCTGAACGCAGGCGGTCGGTCCGTTGATTCGCTGAATGTCACACCTGACAGTGATGATCTCGAGCGAGACCGACCCGTGTACGTCGATGGGGAAGCGGGCATATCCTCGTCGTCCGAGTACAACTCGCGCCGATTATCTCCATCATATCGATCTCTATCCTTGTCTCTTCCCGAGACACTCTTGCGTTTCGATGTCCCTCCAACGAGGGTCAAGTTGGCCAGACTGCCGGTTTTCTTGCCGAAAGAGCCCAAGGCTCCGAGCATGGATTTGCGGCCACCTTTCAAAGAAGAAGCGTTCGAATGAGATCGGGAACGATTGGTGCTAGGCTCATCCTCATCGTCCGATGGAACATTAGAGGAACGTCCGTAGGATTTTCCCTTGCCAGCAGACATGGCTGACGCATTGGATTTTGCTCGCGACCGAGATGTGACGGGGACAGTGACAGCGCTGTCATTTGTCAGAGAATCGCTCAGAGTACACCCACATACCCTTTTGGCCACGAATTTCTCAATTCCTCCATAATCTCCTTGCATCTCGTAAAATACTCCAGTTCTGCTTCCATCAATTCGCACAGATCTGCCCATTGCGGGTCCACCTGCTGTTCAATGACGACCATGCGGACCTGGCATTCTTCTTGCATCTCTTCGCTACATAAGATGTCAGCGAGCGACGATTTGGGCAGAACGCAGGGACTTACAATCGCTCTCTAGCGACATCCACTTCAAACTCCAAGGCCCTGGTATCCTTCTTGCTGTTCTGAGCTTTACTAATAGCTGCGTCCAGTGCGAGCCTGAGAGAGTCTAAGCTCGAGTACGATGTCGCTCGCTATCACCTTCTAGAGTCGAGCTTTTTGCGCATCGTCTTGTATTCGTTCACGACTTCAAAAGCATTTTCTGACCCACCATCAGCACAACGCCACAATTCGAAAAGAGGGTGCTCACCCATTCCAGCGATATACGTCTCGCCCAATCTACCCGTGAAGTCCTCCTGGGCCTACAGCATGGCAAATGAGCCTATCGTATCTGCTGAAAGAGCGGGTCCAGCTCACCGCAGCTAGCTTTGACCTCGCTCGACCATATTTGACCAATCCTTCTCCCCACGTGCCGCCCAATTCAGAGCCTACATCTGTCATCACCAGGCCCAGCGCTTCTGTGTGCAGGATCTTGTCCTTGGCAGAGGACGATGGAGGGTATGGGTCCCCCGTCGGCTTGGCCTTGGTCAATTGGTTGAAGAATGGCATAGCCGTGCCGTGTAGCCTGGAGGACAAAAGTCAGGACCCATACATTCAGAATGCAATACTTCGGACAGGCCCGAACGATGGTGATTTGAGCTCACCTTTCAATAGCGAGCTTCTTTGGATCAATCTCTCTTTCCAGCTGCTGAAGTTCGGCTGGCAAAGCCGTCTTCTCGCTGTTGAACACCTGTTGAAGAGGGCAAGCACAGCATCAGCAAACAGGTTGATGGAGAGAGAGGCGGCGACGGTCGCAGTCGACATACCTTTTCGTTGGTCCATTGTGTTACTTTGCCGAGCTGTGGTTCAGAAGTGTCAGTCAGGAACTTGAAGCATCCAGTCTCTCTCCCTAATCACCTGCTTCAACGCCTTGCGCTGCATTGTATCCTGATCACTCAACAGGAGGAAGAGGTAGAGTGATCACTATGGGAAATGAGCCAAGATCTTCTTCTGCGGTAGCATTTTACCTGTCTCGGGATCCTCCACCTTTTTAAGGGAAATCCCGCCGTTTTTCGGGCCGCTCAGAGTGGGGCTCCTCCAGTCTCACACTCCATTCATTCTTATCTCTCTCTCTTGTTCAAGGAGATACATTCTCGCCTGGGACTGCAGAGAGAAAGAGAGAGAGAGAGAGATAGACGCCTCAAGGCCACTCGCTCAACAAGCTGGAGCTGAACCTGAGGACCGGACAGTTCAGGACGAGATCCTGCCTTCCTGGTCCCTTGATCAGATCCCCCTTCGAACTCTGAATGGATCCGCTACCCGACTGAAGGCTCTCCACACAGCTCTTGGTTTCAGAGCATCTCGACCATTATCTGATGACGTGCAAGTTGCATCATACGCCCTTTGGAAGGCCAACATATACTGACGTACTAAAGGACAGAATCGCATCATTCTCTCTGTGAAATGTCAATCAGGATACGTACTGTTGCCTCATTCTCGGTCAATCGCCTTTTCCACATACCTCGACACTCCCCGCAACATACGTGACGCAGACAAGGTCCTACACTACGTTCGAAACGCGCTGTCTGAAGTGCTCGCTCCGCTCCGACACCTCCTTTCTATCTGTCCCCCATAGCTGTGTCGTCGACTGGAGGAGACAATACATATCCACAGGAAGAGATATCACAGCCTACTCTCTGCTATCGTCCCCCTTGGTCCTATTCAATCCCCTCAATCCCATTACGTCGTTCTCCTCTTCCTAGACCTGCATACTCTCGGCAGTCATTCAATCAGTTCTGAACCACCTCGAAGCCTCCAAAGCCTGTCTGAAGGCAGTTCCTTCATCATCTCTCAGCCTCTCCCTGGTATCAGTCAGACGACCCCATCGACACGTCGCCTGCCGACCTCAGGACCCCCTTCATTTCATTGCTGCTCGGCTTTCCACTGTATACGTTCACAGGCAATTCCCACAGCCCCGTGTAGTTGATACGAACATAATTCGCTCAAGAACTGTTCTCCGACATGGTTCAGGACGCAGTGCCGAGCCCATACGTGGCGGCGCAGTCTAAAGAATTATCTTATGTCGTTGTTTCCGGCGGCACAGGAGCCAATTCTATCATCTCAGCTTTTGGACCCTCACCCGCTTTCGTCCTTCCAGTCTCAGATGACGGTGGATCGTCCTCGGAGATCCTTCGATGCTTTGGAGGGCCTTCCATCGGTGACATCCGTGAGCTCCCAGTCCCCAACCCTTGATAGCATGCACTTTCCTGACGCTGGTCTGTCGTTTCCAGGTTCTCGACTTATCCGTTTAATTCCTATCCCACCTGATACAAAGATTCGAGCTGAGAAAGAGCTCATTGCAATCTACAACCTCATGGCGTTTCGCTTTCCCGCAGAAGCGTCAGAGAAATCAGTCCGGGAATTGTGGATGGAAATCGTGGAAGGCCGAAGCGATTTGTGGAAGGACATCGGGGAAGACAAGAAAGAGTGTATCAGAGGTAAGTGTGCGTCTGTGAGTGATGTCCGGGGATGCTAAAGATTATCGCCCTAGCCTTTTTGGTTCACTTTCAGACTCTTTGCCTGAGGAGAGCTCATAAGCGGTTCTCGTTTCGCAATTTCTCCCTTGGCAACGGGTTTCTTACTGGTGCGCGAGACTTATTTGCCAGTCTACCCAGCGCAATCTTCCTATTCAAGTCGATCGCCAGCGTGAATGTGAGCAAGCAAGAAGTGGCTGACCTCCAATCACGTTAGGCTGACGATGGCATTTCAGGCCGGAGCGCAAGTGATCCCAGCCATCAATACCAATCGTGAGTCTGCAAATTGAAAACTTGGAACTTGCTCGCATAGCCCAGGCTAACCATTCGACGCAGAGACTGTGACCATTGCGGCTCAGCTCGCCAATGCCGCCACGCTAGTTGGCCAATGCACTATCTCCCATCCTACTCCTCCCATCACACCAATAGCCACTACCCCAAGCACCCCTCTTGTGTCCCCTATTCCTGCGAGGCAAGGTCCATTCACGCAAAGCGATCTCTCAGCGATGAGTATCTCTTCACCGCTCACAGCTACATCTCAATCGAACAGTACTACCGGAGCTCGCTCACCCACGATGAGCATGCGCTCAGTAAGAAAGGATTCACGAACGTTTGATACCGCTCTGGCGAATGCCATTGTCGAGGAGTTTGCCGGTGGAAATATAAGTTATAGAAAAGGAGAGGGAGAGATTCCACTAGAGGCCAAAATTGAGAAGGTTTTCTATATCAACTTGTATGGCCAGGTGAGCCTTATAGGAAACTTGTGTACAGCTGACAACTGTCGTGGTAAGGAAATCTTCCCGGAGCCGAATCCAGAATACCTAGACGCCTTGACCCAGAGAGATGTCTTGGTGTATTCCTGTGGATCACTCTGGACAAGTATCGTACCGTGTCTTAATCTCAGAGGACTAGCCACTGCCATTGCTGCTTCCAAATCTCTCAAAGCCAAAGTTGTCCTGCGTGAGTTTGCGAAAAAACTTTATTCATAGCTCATACGGCAGTCAACACTATCAATGATCGGGAAACCCTGTCTTACACCGCTTGGGACTATCTTCAAGCTCTTCTATCCTCATTACGAAGATATGATGAGCGGGCTCATTGGCAGTCAAACAAGTTGATCTCCCATGTTGTATATCTAGAAGGATCAAAGGTCGAGCTGGACGAGCGTCCTATAGAGGTGAGCTCGATGAGCTAAGGCCCATTGAAACACCGAGCTCATGTCCTTTCGTCCTTCACCCAGTCCAACGGTATCAAGATCATCCGCATTCCTCAATCTGTACATCATAGTCCATCAGGAGAGACACCAATGTTCACCAACCATCTTGTCGAGTGGGCCATGGACAAGGTCAGATCAGACATTTCTCATTAGACATCCTGAGCATGCATTGCAACTACTTCTCCCGAGTCATGCCGTCAAGCTGGAATAGAGATACATGCTTCTGCCTACGGTTTGGCGTTCAGACATACAAGCTACGTTTGAAACAGTTGAGTCCTGGGCTGTCATGTCGCCAGGCTTTGATCCGGCCCATCCCTGCTACCCTATCATTCGATAGTACTGCCGAGACCTCAAGCAAGTCTGCCAGCCATTGCGCCTCCGCGACCGCGACCACGGGGACTAGGTGATGGTGTGCCTCTGCTATGTATCCAGTCCCTGCCTCGGATTCCCTGTCCGCGGGACGACAGAGGGCTCGGTTTTGACCTCGTCATCTCTTCTCCTCTTCGCAACATATCGTCCAGTGTTGCGTCAGGATTAGAATTGAACAGGCGATTCGTCTCGTCGAGTTGCTGCGCCAACCAGTCAGCTGTAGCTCATAAGATGGCCTCGATATGTCACTGTCACTGACATTGAAAAATCTTATGCGACCCTGCTTGGACATGCCTGCTGCACAATTCTGCAGCAGCGTCGTCAATAGTCGTTTTTCTAGCTGCCTAGAACATCTCGCTTACCTTTTGCCATAGGAACGGGTCCTGCACGACAATTGGGCTTTCAATCCATTTGATAGGTTGGATACCAAGATCGCCTTTGCCCATAAATCTCTCGCTATCTTGCATCTCTACCTTCTCCGCTTGCAAGACCTTATGAATCTCATCCATGGACCAACCGTCACCTTTCATCGCCTGGATCTTGGCCTCGCGCAAGCTAGGCATCGAGCCGAATGTAGCAGCCCGTTTCGCAATGCCACCTTGGAGAATGGAGATGATTTTCTCTTGGTAATTCATCTTTCCACCTGGGTCCGATGGCTTGACGCCCTGAGAAAAGAAGGAAAAGAATCCTCTGATCGCTTGTGCTGCAGTCAAATTCGGAGTCGCTGAAGTCCAGTCTTTGGGTGGAGTGGGCTCAAAACCAACGTGTGCCTTGATGCCTTGATCTTTGCCCCAGCCGACCCAGACAATGTCCTCATCCAGTGTCGCCGAATCCTCGGGGACCGGTGCAACGACTGAGGCTTGGAGATTCGGAAGCGTACCCAGATGCTGAAGATACGCGATTGCCATCAGAGTCAAACAATAAGATGACATGGTCGAAGGTCCGTTCGCTCCAGAGGCATCGTTGAGTGAGTATGCCGCCGCCCAGCGTTTCAACGCGTAAATCATCGGCCGAAGAACGTACGGCGAGATGAGGCAATAATGAAGTATCAATGATGAATTGAACCTGAAGCTGGTCAGTGTACGGTTTTGCATCTCACTCACCATCCGCCCAGATCATTGACATTGATGTCGCAGTCCCAGACTTTTCGGGAGATACCACCTCTGTCTGTAAATTTGACTATAGGGGTGGAGGCGGCGTGAATGCAATATATGTTGATCATGCCTAGCTCTCCTATGACATCGTGAAGCCTTCTGAGATTGTAAACAGGTGGAAGGGCCTGGATCGGAGCTCGGACCATCCGAGATTGATTCTGGGTCGGATTCAAACGAGTCTCGCTACCGACACGCCAGAGAGACGGTTCATCTGAATCGGTAAGCAGAATTCAATCCTGAGGGCTCCAACTCACAGCCGTACGGCATATCGTGATCCTGGCGGAAAGGATATTCTCAGCTTCTATGCTGTTCAAACGAGATGATGTAGCTCACGAGGATAACGAGATCAAGGTCGCCCGATTGCCCAGTCTCTCCACCCCAGCTGACACTCCCAAAGACGTCGACCTCGAATCTGGGCTCTGATCTCGGCTGAGATTTGAAATCGAGTCTGAGGTTGATGCGACGAGTCAGACTATCCAGTAGTGATCTGATGTGTTTACGAGTATCTGGACTCGGCTCTGTGGCTTTCCAAGCGCGCAGGACAGACGATTCCAACGCGTCTGTCTTTGCTTTGAGCAGAATCTCTGATGGAATATTGATACGAGGTGATGGTACGGACAGGAGCCGACGATATGCCGATTTGACAATCTCCTGGTTGGCATTATTCGATGCCGAGGCGAAGCTGCTGGAGACTGAGTTGAACGTCATTTCGGGTTGCAAATCGTCTGAGACTGAAGCACGGAGATTCCGAACGACTATTTCGTTATGGGATGAGGGAGGCGTGAGGTCTACCAAGCTGAACGAGTCGCAAGGTTGCTCTGGCGTGTTGATCGCCCGTGAATCGGCTGTGTCCGAGTCGAGGTCCACCAAGATTTCAGCGCAAGGAATCTCTCCTGCGCCGAGACGTGAAGCAAGTCGTCTTGATCGAGACTGCACTGGAGACTGACTGCGGCCCTTGTGTCGCTTTGTCGGTGATTCCTGCTCTACAAGCGCATCATCTGAAGATTCTCTTGTTCGACGATCTTTTGTAAAGTTAGTTGACAAGCTCTGGCTGATTTCGCCCCCAGGAGTGTCACGTTCTTCGTAGATATCGCCGTCCTGCTGAGGATGGCGCGCTGCAATATCTCTCTCGCGTTCAATCTGCTGGGCGCTCTTTCCCCAAAAGATCTTGGGGAGTAAAGGGAAAGGATGAAATTTGATCTTTGTCTTGAAGAAGTCTATCAATTTCGAGACAGGGGTGATCTCTATGTCGCCGATCAAGTCTGGAGGTGTCCCTGTAGAACCTGATGGCGGATGTGCAGGGTTATGCTTGGATCCGAAAACCGGCGCGAAAGCTCTGAACCCAAGGGATGAGGCTCTGTTAGGCGTTGAAGAAGCGACAAGACGATCGGCAGCTAGCTTATTGCCTGAAGCAAGAGGTTGACATTTGACTGGGTGGTAAGGGGTCGACGAGAGTGTATGAGATCGAGATGTTCTCCGGCCCTGCTTGTTTGCGGGATATACAGCTTGACTTGCGGGAGGCGAATGCTCAGAATTCGAAGGTCCTGCCCGAAGCTCCGTTTCAGTCTCTATCGGACCGACGTCTACCAATCGTTCAACTTTGACGGTCCGAGCCTCGGGGGAATTGACCGGCTGCTCGTCCAAAGGTCTGCGAGCCGGCTTTGCTGGTCGAAGCACAAGGACACTACCGTCCCGCAAGTGAATTAAGGAAGGTTTTGTCCAGTCCGGTGGTTCCCCAATGTCAGATCCGAGTAGATGACAAGTGGTAGATGACGAGGACTTGATGGATAGACTGCCAAGATCAGGTATAACCTGCTTTTCCTTCTTTGAGATTTGTCGGGCCGCCGCTTCCTCGATCACGAGATGATCGAGTTCGTCCTGTGCTTCTAGGAGAGTAGGAGGCAGAGCAGAAGACCAGAGGGAGATGAGGGACGGGGACGGAGGACGAGGAGAAGATGAGGAGGACCTGGATTGAACAGTATCCTCCAGGTCTGGCGAATCCAACATTTCGCCGCGGTCGAATTCTGAAACGCGAGGGTTAAGCGGAGAGCGCCGCTGTCAGATCGACGGGTAATATGTGGCAGCCTTTGGTCTTCCCAAGAGACACAAGATGACGAGGACCGCTAGCAAGACGATTGGATGAGAGGAGGTCGATCCAGGAATGTTCAGGACCTACAGAGAGTATTGCAATGGAAGGTCACCTGCACGCGCCCAAAACTATCTTTACTCTGAGATCGGAAGACGCACGGCCTCTTTCAAGACCCCGAGTCTGTGCGCAGCGAAGACCTGCTGATACAACTCTGCATGACTACTATATGACAACAAGAAACGCCAATCGGAAAGGACCGTATGAGCTATCAGTGGGAGATGTATTGGAACACATATGAGACCTCTGGAAGTCCAAGCTCGGCGCGAAGGAGATCGTCGTGCATCTGCCCGAGCTGCGAATTGGGATAATGATTCCACCTGGGAGTCTGTCAGCTTCCAGCTCGGATGGCGTTCGGACAACTGACGTGCTGGAATCTCCGTAAAGAAGTGCAGGCGCCTTCACGAACTGCTTGCCGTCGCGACACCGCTTGCATTTATACGTGTCGTGAGTGTCGCATAACGTCTCAGTGTTGAACTTGAACAATTGCCGCAAGTCGTCTTGGGTGAAGTGGCGCGCAGTGTCTTCCGCCTCGTCCACAACGCAGGCAGAAAGATTCTGCTTCTGACATCTGAGTTACTGAGTCAGATCTATTCCGCCGAAACGGAGAGCACGCACTGTCGCTGAAAGATCTTTTCTTCGATCGTCCCAGTCGTTTGAAAGCGGTAAACAAAGCCTGAGCCAGTCAGCGTTGATAACGCCTGCAGATTCCACAGCCAGGCTCACACTCCTTCTTCTGACCATCTCGCCAGACACGGGCTAGAGCCTGCTGGTCACTCGCGGGATTCCAATCCTGGAATCACATGTCAGCCCCTTGCCAAACTCCCCTGAGTCCAACTCACGGGATCGAATAATATCAACCGATTAGCTCCAATCAGGTTGATACCGCAGCCACCAGCCTTTGAACTGAGAAGGAAGACAAAGTCTGTACTTTCGGGGTCGTTGAAGCGCTCGACGATCTTCGAACGCTTCGGTACGCTCATAGAGCCATCGAGACGTACACAGCCGTATCTGGAAAGGGTCAGGGATACAGTCCCCTGAAGGGTTGTGGACGTACTTCTTGTTGCGGCACAGTCGCTCCATGAGATCTAGAGTTTGGGTGGCGTTACTGATCAAGACGATCTTGTCGTTTGTATATTGCTTGATGTGAGCGAGCATTCTGCAATCAGCCCACGCTCGCTCAGCGGTCTCACCGCTCGAGAACCACGAATTTTCCGGAGTAGGAACAGTTGACGCTTCTATCCCTTCCTTTACCTTGGTAATCATCCGGTAGCACCTCCTCACTACCGGGCAGGTCTTCGGGCAGCTGCAATAGGTCCGGATGGTTGACAAGCTTCCTGAGGAGTCCAATGGCCTTGAGCGGTTGTGAATCTTTCCCTCGAAGTAGCCGCTGTACGTCCTTCGAATTGACGAAGACATTGTACAGCTTCGCCTGGAGCGGGCTGGGTCGACAAAAGACGACGTGCTCATATTTCACAGGAACTAAGAGCGAGAATCAGCGCCTGTCTTGGTCAGATGTGAGAGAGACGACTAACGATACTTTGACAGAATGTCGTTCGTTCGCCTGATGATGAAGCGATTCACCAATCCACCAAGCTCTTTCAGTTTGGCGTCGCTCTCCTCTTTCTCCTTGTCCGTCGCATCGGCGTCTCGTCCACGCAAGATTTTGTTCTCAAAGTTGCGCTTGAAGTCGAGTTTGGAGCCAAGATACTCGGGATTGGCAAAATTGAGCAGGGCAAAGTATTCCGAGAGATCATTCTGAATCGGTGTGCCGGTCAGAATGACGCGGCGCTGAACATTCAGTGTGGTCAAATGCGCAAAAGTTTGGGTGTCTACGGGTTGTCAGGCATGTTAATGTCATCAAGGTGACTCACCGGTATTCTTCAACCGGTGACCTTCATCGGCCAAGAGGAGTCCAATTGGAGCGTCTCGCAATTCATCCTTGAGGGATCGAAGGGTCTCATAGGATACGATCATGACTGGTGATTACCGTCAGGGCTCAATGTATGCAACGAGGACCAACCTGGAAGGGTGACCGCCCGGCCTCGAGCGTTCACCCATCGTCGCACTGCAGGAATAAGCTCTGCTTTGCCTCCTTTTCCGTCTACGACCAGAGGATTCAGTGCGCCGGGTCCGAGCCATTTCACTGTGAGAGCAAGTCAACCTGGGGCGTCATCATGAGCTCTATCCACTTACCCAGCTCATTGGCCCAGTTGCCGACCAGCGAAGTCGGGCAAGCTACGATTGCCTTTTCGCACGTCGGTTTCCCCGCTACAGGTGATTGCTTGAGCAAAGTCCATAAGAGGGTGATGCATTGCAGCGTCTTGCCTGGCGCAGGTTCAGTACGAAGGCTCCATCGGCACGGGTACTCACCCAAGCCCATTTCGTCCGCCATGATGCAACCCCACGCCTTGTCGGCCAGCATACCGGTCGTGCATTTGTACAGGAACTATTGGGATCAGTCATATCATCCGAGATCGAAGCTCACTTTGACGCCCTCGATTTGATGCGGTCGTAATGTCTTCGACAGCCTAGGGTCGATGACAACCGGTACCTTGACTTCCTTCTTCGCCTTTGCGTCTTCGATGCCCAGGATCGCCTTGAGGCTCTTATGAGGTCCTCGGGCTTGCTCCTCCTGCTTTTTCTTCTCCAATTCAGCTTTAGCAGCATCAATCTCCTCCTCTGTTGGTCTATCATCAATAGTCGGGTCGTATAATACAATGGCATGATCTGCCATGGGATCATGTAACGGCCGAGGTGCAAGCGACGGGTGTGGCCGCGCACCGAGAGAGGCGTGAGAGAGGGTGTGTACTATCCGTTCGGATGTCTTTGCGTTGATCATCACGGGGATCGAGAATCTGAAGAGGCAAGATATCAGCACCTTGTTCCACTTCGAAGTCTGTGTCCTACCCCTTCTTGAATACCCCATCCTTATCCTTAGGAGCAAAAACTGGGAACTTTCGATTACACCATTTGCCCATGCCGCCTAGTACACCATCTTCCCCGTACTCCTTGTTGCCCATCGCATATTTGGTCTTCTTATTGGCTCCTCCATCGGCATCTCCATCTCTTCCGTCGTCATCTCCACCTCCTTGTTCCTTGTAAGATACAGCTTTGCGTTTCCTAGCTGGGAGGTTGGAGTCGCGTCGTGGAGCCAAAGGTGTAGGTGTTTTGAATTGCTTCGCTTTGAAGATCCCGAATCCTCCGGACGTTGCTGATGTAGGTTGAGGGTCTCCAGCATTCTGACTCTTGGGCATGCGCCTCAACATGGTGATCTACACGTCGAAGTAGATACACTGCCAAGAAGACATGAAGAACAAAATGAACAATGGGATCGAATCTGTTGTGGCCCGGAAAAGAAAAAACTCGCGGTCCAGTCAACCATCAGCTTACGTAAACAAAATGACTCGCAGACGTCACGAGGGGCGAACCTGCTGCTGCTGCCCTGCTTGCTCAGAACAGTTGTTGAACGCTCTCTGGAACTCGAGTTTCTGTATATATAGAGGCAGTACAGACTGCATATCATCAGACATAATGGCCGATCCACCTTCCCCTGACCGAAGCAAGATTCCTTCTGCCATCTCTGCGTCTCGTCCTCAAGTGCCGGACGAGCATCAGCCCGTGGCTCCCCACCAGGAAACGTCTCCACATGCGGAAGAGCAAGAACAGCAGCACGATTACACGGAGAATGCACCCCAAGCCGTGGTCAACGCGATTGCAATGGAGAGGGCAAGGGAGGAGAAGGAGGCTCCGCCAGATATGATGGTCGGCAGTTTGCAAAGCTGGGCAGGAGGAGATGACGGTAAGACTTTCTTTTTTTCCGCTCACATCTTGTTCCCTACATCGCTGAGTACATTTTGACAGATGGTGGCATCTTTCCATCCTCTATCACCAGAACGCCATTCCGAGCTGGATCTCGAAGAGCTTCTATTGCCTCTCGCAGGTCCGGGTCTTACGGTCAGCGTCCCTCTTTCTCCTACAATCGGAGATCAAACTCCCAGCTTAACCTCCCATCTCCCTCGTCCGGCGTCTTTCATGTTGATTCAGAAGACGACGAGCCGGGTCCGAGTAATCGTCCTGCGAGGACTCTAGGCTCGTCTTTCGCCTCTTTTCAATCCAACTTGCCTCGGCCGAAAATCTCAACGCCTCGACGGCAGGAATCTAAGAGGAGATCGCGAAAGTCCTCAACAGCTCAAGGCGGATATTTCTCATATCAACCTGATCGTCCCACGGCGGAGAGTCCAGAAGAACAAGGCACGTCGCCGACTGGTCCACTGAGTCCAGCCAGGGCCTCTACAGCTTTCGGCAAGATCGCTTCCTATATCGGTTTCAACAGACACGAGCATGATGAAGAGGCGGGATTGACACCTGGACGAAGGAGGCGATCAGGCTCAGACTTCTCGGAACGCGATTCGAGGCCTTCATCTAGATCCGGAGAGAGATCACTTTCGCCCAGTTCGAGTGAAGGCTGGGGGTACAGGGACGAAGAGGACGACTTTTCCGATAGGGCTTCAGGCGAAGAAGGGTACACCTCTTCGTTGGCCGATGATACATCACTTCCGCCCCAATCACGGCCACAATCCCCACATCTGCCTCTCATACCAAACTCTACGGATGCTGTGTTTGGAGAATCTGGACGTGGAGTGGACTATGAAGAGCCCAAAGACTTTGTCAGCGTCGAAGTTCCGTCTAGACAGACCATCCTCCTTCCAGATGAGGACTTATCCATTCGTTTCACCGGTTATCGCACTGATCAGCTACGTCGCTTCATCTGGCTCGCAGGGTGTGTCTGTACCTTTGGTGGGCTTGGTCTACTCGGACGGTGGACCCCCTCGATCTGGGTAAAGTTTTGCGGTCGCGAAGTGTCTTTCGAAGATGCAAAACAAGGTGCATGGGTCATGGTGGAGACTCCATATGGCGACTTACACATCATCCCTTTGCAAATAATTCCTTACCCTTATCCTCTCTCGACGGTATTCCCACAACATGTGCCACCAGGGACTGCAGCATCCCGCGATGGCTCGATCCGTGGTCCAAGCAGCTCTACCGGACTGCCAGCTCCCCCAACTCATGCTTTGGCTGGTGAACCGCCAGGAGGTGTGGGCGCTGCAAAGGATTTGACGATGGACGTGGAACGAGGCAAGACGACTTGGGAGGAGACGATGGGTTTCCTCAAAATTATGGAGTATCGGTACACTAGATTCGCCCTCGAACCCGGCACCGGCCGTTGGGCGATGATCAGAGACTGGCGAGACCCTCGCTGGACTTCAGCGCGGACAGTTGCGCAAGGGTTGGACGATAACACTCGAATTCAGCGACGTTTGCTGATGGGCTCAAACGTCATCGACATTGCGAGCAAGTCCATCTGGTCTTTACTCGTCGATGAGGTTCTCCACCCTTTCTACGTCTTTCAAATCGCATCGATTATCTTATGGTCATTCGACGACTACTATTATTATGCCTTTGCCATCGCCCTCATCAGTATATCCAGTATTTTGAACACGCTTATCGAGACGAAGCGTACAATTGAGCGCATGCGGGAGATGTCCAAGTTCAATTGCGATGTCAGGATCCTCGTTGATGGAGAGTGTGAGTGGAGGCTCTGGTTTGGCTGTAATCTGACATCTACCAGGGATCACAACTGACTGCTCGGAAATGGTACCGGGTGACATTTTCGACGCTTCGGACCCCACATTGACCGTATTTCCCTGTGACGCGCTTCTCCTCTCAGGAGACGCCATCGTGAACGAATCCATGCTCACTGGCGAGTCTGTTCCGGTTTCAAAGATCCCAGTGAAGGACGAAAGTCTACGTGCCATGTCTCGCGAAGCCAAGCAAGGATCATCCGAGGTCGCAAGCGACATGGCGAAGCACTACCTGTTTTCTGGGACTAAGATAATCCGGGTTCGAGCAGGTGGCAAACCGCCTTGGGCACCGAAGAGCGAAGAGCCGGTCGCCTTGGCCATGGTGACTCGTACAGGCTTCGACACGACCAAGGGGGCTTTGGTCCGCTCCATGCTCTTTCCCAAGCCCATGGGCTTCAAATTTTACCGAGACTCTATGCGATTCATTGGAGTTTTGACGATCATTGCTGGATTTGGATTCGCAGTTTCTGCCGTCCAGTTCATCCGAATTGGCATTGCTTGGCACACCATCATGTTGAGAGCCTTGGATCTTATCACTATTGTTGTGCCTCCTGCTTTGCCCGCCACTCTCACCATCGGTACCACCTTTGCCATTGACCGTCTCCGGAAGAACAGCATCTTTTGCATTTCGCCAAATCGTGTCAACATCGGTGGCAAGATCAATGTCTGCTGCTTTGACAAGACAGGAACATTGACAGAAGACGGTCTGGATGTCCTCGGCGCTCGAACAGTAGATTTACAAGATCGTCGATTCTCCGAATTGCACAGCGAGGTGTCGGAGATCCCAAACAAAGGCGGGTCCAGCGGCAAAACCCCCCTTCTGCATGCTCTGGCGACATGTCATGCTCTGAAACTTATTGATGGAGAAGTCATCGGTGATCCTTTGGACATCAAGATGTTTGAATACACTGAATGGACCCTAGACGAGGGCCAATCTCGACCGGTCACGACTAAAGGTGGCGGAGGGGAGCGGCCCCTCGCACTTGTCCAAACGGTTGTCAGACCACCTGGATCCCAAAAGTGGAGAGTCGAGGATGCAATGAAGACTGGAGTCAAGCACGCTCACTTTCTCGAACTCGGTGTCATTAGGACATTCGACTTTGTATCTGCGCTTCGAAGAATGAGTGTCATTGTCAAAAAATTGAAGTCGAACAGCATGGAGGTCTACGTCAAGGGCGCTCCCGAAGTCATGCCGGAGATATGTGATCCGTCATCTTGTGAGTCAGCCACAAACATCTTTCACTCACCCATTAGTTCCTCTCGATTACGATGACATGCTGTCATACTATACCAGAAATGGTTTCCGAGTCATTGCGATTGCGGGCAAATCCATCGAGGGACTCACTTGGCTCAAGGCTCAACGTATGAGGCGCGAAGGGGCTGAATCTGACCTACAATTCCTCGGCTTTATCGTTTTCGAGAACAAGCTCAAACCTGGAACCGCACCAAACATCCACATTCTTCGAGCTGCGCATTTAGCGTGCCGTATGGTTACGGGTGATAATGTTCGAACCGCCATCAGTGTAGCTAGGGAATGCGGACTAGTGTCGCATTCGGCCAGTGTATACATTCCGACATTCATTCCGGGGACTGGGACGGCAGATGGTGCACGAATCAACTGGTCGAGTGTAGACGACGATGACCAGTGTTTGGACGAATTCACCTTGCGACCTGTAATTGCCCAGACTGATGGTTTCGCATTGGAGACTGGCGAGATGGAACTAAATGATTATCAATTGGCCGTGACGGGTGATGTTTTCAAATGGATGCTAGAGTATGCAGAGCCAGAGACAATGGAACGGGTGAGGCGATTTTTAGTTCTCCTGGGAGTTGTCGCGCTTATTTCGTGCCAGATGCTCACCAAAGGCGTCATTTTCGCTCGAATGTCTCCCGATGAAAAGGCGGAACTAGTTGAACGATTGCAAGCACTCGGATACACGGTCGCGTTTTGCGGAGATGGCGCAAACGACTGTGGTGCTCTGAAAGCTGCCGACGTCGGTGTATCTTTGTCGGAAGCAGAAGCCTCGGTCGCTGCACCCTTCACTAGTCGATCTCCAGACATATCCTGTATGGTCGACGTTATCAAGGAGGGTCGAGCTGCCTTGGTCACCAGTTTCAGCTGCTTCAAATACATGGCTTTGTATTCTATGATTCAATTTACGACCATCACTCTACTGTACTCGTTCGCTTCGAGTCTGGGTGATTTCCAGTGAGTCTGAATGTTCTCTGACAGCTGGGCCCAGGAATTGACGTTCCGCAGATTCTTATACATTGATCTATTCGTCATCATTCCGGTGGCAGTTGCCATGGGGCGGACACTGCCATACCCAAAAATTCACCCCAAGCGCCCTACAGCCAGCTTGGTGTCCCGGAAGGTTCTTACCAGCATCATCGGACAGATCGTCATCAATGGACTGTTCCAGATCATAGTGTTCATCTGGGTCAGGCGGGAGCCATGGTGAGGCTCTTTTCTGAAGTCTGTCTGCGCGAGAAGCTGACTCTTGTCAGGTACACTGCACCTGATGAGAACAAAGACAAGCTCGAAACGTTCAACTACGAGAACACGACTTTGTTCCTTGTCTCTTGTTTCCAGTATATCCTGGTAGCAGGCGTCTTCAGTGTCGGTCCGCCGTATCGTAAACCAATCTACACGAATCGTGAGTCCCGCGTTACTTCAGGTTCTGATTCGTACGCTAAACTTGGACCAGTGTCATTGGTCCTCTGCCTACTTGGTCTTGGAGCGTTCAGCACCTATGTCCTCGTCGCCCCCGCCAAGACTATCGCTTTGATTCTCGACATCATTGAGATCCCCATGCAATTCAAGATTGAGCTCTTAATCATCGTCACTGCCAATATAGCTATCGCCTTTGCATTTGAGAGCTACGCCGAGAAACCGATCACTCGATTGATTGTTCAGTTCCGCCGGATGACGAGAAGTCGAAGGAGTCGAAAGGACAGACGGGCAGGGACTGAGAATCAATACACAATCATTGATGGTCATAACAGAGATAGATGAGTGGTACACACTATTGTATGCATACACTACATCATGTCCCTTTTTCTGATCAAAGGATCCAGGAATGCTACTAGGGATGAAGGAAACGGACGCGAGACAGAAAAGGACATTTCCATTCCCTTTGTCAACCTGCAGACCACTCGTCCTTCTGAAAACATCATACCGACGAATAGTCTGCATACGTCGGACTGTTTATCGTCTGATGAGATACTGACATGATGACTGACGCGTCTTACCTGGAGATCGGGAGAGTTTGCGATCCAAGTGCCTCGTCAAATCATGCCTCCGCCTCCGTTCACTCATCCCTTCTGTCCTGACCTTTGATCGATAGCTTTGAAGGGACGCGATAAAGGCCGTACTTTGTCCAGCACCGAGCTTACAAGTGGAGCGCAAGAAGGATCAGCGACTGAGCCTTTCTAATCTCATGTCTCTTCCCTTCGTGACCACGCATTCTCACACTCGCTCCATTTCGGACTCGTTACTAGATTTGGCCCTGCCATCCGTCTCTTCTTTTCATTCGAGGGCTGTATATTCACCATGACCAGGTCAGCATACGTTGATTCTGTACGACTGAAGAATCAGCACTGACATTGAGCAGTCTCGCAAACTACACCATTGACGATGCGCAATGGGCGACACCACCACTCTTGCTGGGCCCAGGATGGAACATGCTCCGGACCAACGGCTCGAATCAATTCATTAATCAGACGCAAGTGGACATGATTACACCGCATCTGCATGAATTCTGGAACCATTCCTTAAGCTGGACGACTACAGAGGGCGCAAACACGACCATCGTCTTCAATGGTGAGCATTGATCCCGCCCCTGCATTGCGACAAGAGCTCATGGCAAATTGACAGGTACTGACATTTGGGCGTATGGAATGTCTGGACCTGATCAAGGCCCTTACATTGCTTTGATGGATAATGAAGTAGTGGGGCGATTCACCGCTTTGGCCGAGGAGACAGACTTTCATTACCTCCTTTACGCGGCGCATGGACTTGACGGGACGAAAGAACACCACTTGACTCTCAGCAACGCTCAAGCGGGTACGAGTCTGGCTTTCGACGTGGCTTTGGTAACTCCTGCACAGGTCAATTCAGTGCCAAGGTGAGTCGATCATCCTGTCCGGGACTCTCTATCCCTGACCTATTCTACCAGTGCCTTGCCCAGCACCGCTGCCACATCTTCGTCCACTAAATCGCTCGTCATACCCACTCTCCAACTCCAGCCGCCGACGATGGACCAAATGATAGCTGCAGAGGAAGCCAGACTAGCAAAAGAATGGGATCCAGCCGACCTCGCTCAACTGGCTATCCCCTACACCTTTCACTGGAGCCCTTCGGCATACTTTGTGGTCGTTGCTTCTGCTCTCGTCGGACTTTTGACAATTGCCTTTGTCGCCATGTTCGTCCTCCGCGTATGGAAAGCGCGGCGACGCAAGTTGAGGAGCGAGAAAGTCGGCACGAGTTATTTGACTCATCGAAAGCCCAGACCTACCACCCGAATCATTGAAGCGCTGAAAAGAGGAAAGATTTCGAATCCTATCCCCAGTGACGACGGGCAGAGTGATTATTCGACCAAGAAAGCTGGATCAAGCGATGGTTACAGGGAGGATTCCGCGCACATGTGGTGAAAAGGACAGAGAACTGTGTTTGGGTGCACGCTCGTGTGTCGTGGCTCTTATAAGATTCTTCTGATACTTTGTATTCTGATACCCCTCATGCTGCATGCTGTGTCTCTCATCGAACAGATTTATACAAAGTGAAGCGCATCTACATGTTCAAGCAGAATCATCGTCTTCCTACAAAGAGGATGGGGGCCGCAAGTTCAAGGGATCGGAAGACATATGCCCTGCGACTGGGGCAGAGTTCTGCGTCCTCAAAGACCTGTTTATCCATGACTGAAAATGACGTTCAGCGAGAGGCCAAGATTCTCACTTGCCATTCTGTCTTCTCCTATGACAGCACCATAAAGCGCCATCCGCTCTTCTTCCGTGTATTCAAGCAGAAAGGCCTGCACACTGCCACACTTGTGAATCACATAGGCAGCACTGAAAGAGTTGAAGTGAAGCCTTTGCGCAAGCCATTGTATCTGCTCTTCCTGACCATAGTCAGCTTGAAAATGCACCCCACGCTCACCTCATTTGAGTCGAGCCAGTCTCTGTTTTCCCCGAGCTCCATTGCATCTGCACTTCCAATCCTCCTGCCCAATTCAGCTACCTCGGCGTTCAAGAGGGTAAGCAGGGCATTCGCTACTTCTGCAGAGCCATTCGTTGCCACGATCACTTCCACTCTGCCCTTGGACTTGTGATCGCTTGGCTTCATGGTTCTTGATTGGAGAGTTTCGCGAACATTGGGCAGCTTTTCGATCAAAGCTGGTGTGAGAGGATCCGCCCCTTCGCCGTCAACACCAGGACTGAATCTCCTGTTTCGAAGCACGTCAAAAACCAGCAAGACTCGGTCGAAATAATCACAGGCGGAATCAATAGCCTTCACGAGCATCTCAAACTTGTCAGAGATGACTTGAATAGGCCGAAAGATCACAGACGTCTTGGCTGACAAAATGAGATCTGCACCATGATACGGCAGATCAGAGTCCATCAGTCGGAACCCGGCTTTCTCGAGCTGAGACGTCAGGGGTCGATCTTGAAGCAGATCAAGAGATGCCAGTGCTGTCACCGTGGGCTGACTAGTAGCCTGTCTCGTTTTGACCATCTTGTCATACCAAGCAGGGTTTCGAAGATGCTTGTTCTCACGCCAATTGCTCTTTTTGACAGGAACTCGCTTCACAGCAGGCATCGGTGCGAGGACAGAAGGCGCTGGTCGCGACTTTGTTCTTCCGAGGCCAATTGGGTCCAGCTTTCGCTCTTTGATGTCGCTTCCTCCACTCTTGAGCATGTTCTTGATCTTGTCCTCGATCACAGCATCATCGTCTTCTGTGTCTTGTTGGGCCATCGCTGACAATCGAGATTTGACAATATCCTCCAATGAGCCACCATCTTGAAGCACGACTCGACTACTTCTGGCCTTCTTGACGATCTCGGTATTTGAGGATACTGCAAGTGGGATGTTCCATTCCGCCATAATCTTCGATCCGCTTGCGCTGGCTACTGGCATGTATGTCGGGACCTTCATTTCCGAGGTTTTGATAGGTGATCCAGATATAGCTTCTTCAATAAGATCCATGTGTTCAGTTTCGGATTCAAAGCCATCATCGATTGCGATCACATCGTCCATGTTGCAGTTGACGACAACCTTCGGATCACCTTCTACCTCAATCGGGTCTCGCTGACAGCCGACCGGAGTCACAACCGGTGAGTCGGGTTTGTTGAAGTCAGCAAGCGCAGGATTTAGCAGCTCTGAAATCCAGTCCCCAGCGACGAGAATGCCTTTGATCTCGTTGATCGTCGTCTCTCCTTCGATAGGCGTGCATTGAGCAGATGTCATCAGCGTCGAAAGATCGATACGAGGCAAGCGTCTGGCACCAAGTCAGCTCATTGAGCAAAAGGTGAGCGCTTACAACTTAGGAGGACCAATCGCATGCGTCGTCTTCAGACTGGGTTCGGCGTCGAATAGGTCTCTGACTGTGTTTGGCAGAGATCTTCCGGGATGTTGGGTCGAATGCGGACTCAGGCTTCCGAGACCCGTTTGGTCGCTCAGGCGGTGACTCTGTGCAGAGATTGATTTTCCGGCCGTGGTACCTACGGGGGGTGGCTGCTCGGTCGAGGCTGCGAGATTACTCGTCCCAGTATTTATTGCTTGTGAGGTCTCCTTGACATGCAGGATTCTGCGACGTTTAGCGGGCTGTTCCTCTATTGGCTCGACAGGCTGCGACGGAGCTACCTGCGTGGTCCAAGAGGGCCCTTGACGGTTTTGTGTCGCGGCTGTGTCACGAGGCTTGGACGGAGCTATAGGCGACCGGCAGCTGGCTGCGATGCTTCGCGAAGAGTCTTGGTTTAGTGCGACGCGCTCCTGTGGTCGATTCGAGGCAATGTTTCCCCGGGTAAGCTGCATCCTTGGCGGGCCAGCTGCGCGTAACTTCGATGTGACGACGGTCGATGAATCTCCGTTCTCAAGATCTTGCCTCCATGCGCTGGGGGAAGAACGACCCCGTATCCCGCTTGTTCCAAGTTCTCGTTTGACCAATTCACCTGCGCGTATGTCCGCTTCTGAGGCTTCAATCTGACTCAAGGCCATTATGTGCATTTCTGTGAAATCAGATCAGATAGAAATGATAACAACACTTACCTGTATTCAGAGCTTTCTCGGTCTCGACCATACGAGTCGTGCGCCAGGGATTCGTATTGACGTTCAAGCGAACATGATCACCGGGCTCAAGGACGTATTGACTGTGCACTCCCTCAATGGGCGTTGTCACGGCGGGCGGAATCGATGCTGAGCGATTCAGCCACGATGAGGAGTACGAATATCACCACGACTCACCGTCGATGTGGATACTGGTCATGCTTAGACCGAAATCTGAACGACCAGCGTCGTCGGAGAGGGCTAGCGGAATCAGTCCCTCTTTTGGCAACGTCGAGATGGTCGGAAAACCTGTCGTGATGGCCTCAAACGAGGTCATACTGAACGCCGATCTAGTCGTCGAAGCTAGGATAGGTGGCGTCATTGGCCGTGCTTCCAGCTGAAGTTCAATGAGAAGCGCCTATCAGGTGTTGTGGAGCACCTCACGTCAACGGACTGTTGTTTCTGCTTGACAAAACTCTGCCAGAGTTCCGGCCCATCTTTCCCCTTCGAGGCTATCATTGCGGTCAATAGTGCTCGTTTTGATTCGTTCGACCAGTTCTTCATAGCCAAACTGAGCTCGGAGGAGATGTTTCGGTGAACATCTCTTGTGTGCGCTATGGTTAATCCGTGCCTTGCAGGAGGACTGGAGACACTTACAAGGCGTCATCTACAGTCACCAAAGTTCCCAGGTATTTGTCAATCCTCAGTGGTGATAGGACTTGAAAACCGCTGTCATCGCGAACTAGGTGCTCCAAGCGAGCAGGGGTTCTTCGTTTCCGGCCTTTCGAGGGGCCGAAGACTTTTGGCGTTTCTCGAAGAGCTTTCCGCGAAAGGGCCTGTCGACCAGGGCTGAGAGGCTGAAAGTCTGTAGCTTCTGACAAGAGTCAGCTTCGCATCATGAGAATTCCAATGTTCTGAGTTCTTACTTGATGCCTGTGTCTTCAGTCTCGCTCGCTCATATCGTCCATCCTCGAAGCATTGGTGCAAGTGTTGCGCGTCCGTCATTCTGGTGTCTACCTCGGCCTTTGCTACCAGTTGACAACCCTGGATGAAGTTCTCGAGCAGATCGGAAGAAGAGTCATCTTCGAGACCGGGTAGCAGGGTATTCGAGATGCTTCCAGAGACAGGGATGATTTCGAGGTCCTCGATGACCTTTACATGCACACATGAGCATGAAACCTATGCACTGATATATGTCGCTTACGTCGAGCACCAGCTGTTCAGTCAAAGGTATGTATGGATATCGTATCGCGTCCTGAATCTGGTTGCTCAAACAATGAGGCGGATGAGTTGTCGAGTGAGATCCTGTGAGAGTCATCTTGACCTAGACCTTGCGTCCAGAGAGCTAGCTCATGAGTATGTTTGCGGACTTGAAGATGGCTAAGATACAGTTAGAAGATGAAATCAGGATGCAGATGTAGAGCCCATGTATGAAGCGACCGGAATGGGAGGACCGTGCGCTATATCCCTACCACGAAGCTGCGTCACCGACGATCCGAACCTGACACGACTGGATACCAGGCTTTGGGCCAATACTTGCTCACGACGAGTAGACTTTATCTAGTCTCCGTCTGTCCAGGTCATCCTCTGCCTATAACCTGCGCTTCAACCGACTCCATAGCCAAAATCGGTCAGCAATTGCTCATTTCCTCTTTCTTTGAGCCAGTCTAATGCCTCGTTAATCTTGGAAACCTCGGTCCAGTTTCCTCTATCTTTCCCCAACCTGAAGTCAGAAGTCATTGGTTGTGCATCCTCCGCCAACGGTTCTGGAGTGATCCGAACCCGCAGAGCCAGCCATTGCCACGATTTGATCTCAGTGATCCATTCTTGCAAATCTAAGCGACTCCCCATAGCATACATTATGCCCGGATGACCAGTCTTCGCGAAGCCCACAAGAGACAGCTTCGAGGAGAGATGCTGCAAGTCTTTGCGCTTTGAAGGGGCCAGCAGGTGATGCGATGTGAGCAAGGCGTGATGTAATCGGTCATCGGAACTCAAGTCTGGATCTTTCAGCACAGGCGACCGGGGAGGCGATGGTGAGTAAGGCGCAAGCAGAGGTAGAAAGTGCTCCGTAAGAAGCTGATAGACTGGATAACTAGAGACTGATTGAGTCCCGCTCACCATCCCTGGACTCACTCGTCTGCGGCTTGCCAATCCTTTAGACGCTCCGCTGTCCATGACCTCCATTCCTCAGCCTCATCCTTGCCAATGTCGCCGCGTATCTCAACTTGTAGCGACGAGGGACTTGGATATTCCTGCTGAATACGTAGTTGTAGAGAGAGCTTGCTGTCCTTGCTGTCGATAGTCAGGACACGAGGCCAATCATCTTGATCGGTGGTGGTCAACTCCTCAGCCGGCAGCAAGGATGCTCTGATGAGCTCAATTTCATCGTCCAGCTGGGTGTGCAGGTCAATCATCTCATCCTGTGATACAAACGCATGTGTCGAGACCTTCGTCAGGTCACACACTGCGTCTTCGTGGATGATGAGGAGTTGCAGATTTCATTGGCCTCATCTTACGGTCAATGCATTTTCGGTTGACACGTCATTCCATCAATCCGTGCCGGGGAAAGCCTCGGTCTGCTTCGTCTTGACCATACCTCGACTTTTGAGACACAAGTCGACATGGTTCGCTCGACAACGATATTCAGAGTCTCCGATGCTCTCCCCCTGGCCGCTAGTGTGGACGATGAGAACGTGCGCTTCATTCGGGAGAACACCTCAGCTGATCCCCTCCATAGACTGAGAAAGCCTTAACGGAATACAAGCAGCAGTCAAAGCTTGTGTTCAGGAGGTTGAATGCCAATTCTGAACCAGCATGTTCAATAGAATCTGGGCAATATACCTTACAGTAAGCTCGAAGTTGGATTCTGTCTGACCTGCGTGTAGCTATCTCATCGTCGACAAAGTCATTTACATGTGTATTTGTGATTCGAGCTATCCTCGAAAACTGGCATTTTCATACCTGGACGAGCTGTCTAAGGAGTTCCAGAACAGCTACGGTGACAAGATTGACAGCGTAACTAGACCATACGCATTCATGGGATTCGGTGAGCTCCCTGAGGGGCCAATTCGAGACTGACACTTCCCAGACACATTCATTTCCAAAACTACTCGACTGTATCGTGACTCGCGTACTTTGACTCAAGGGGGAGGGCCTACAGCTGGGCCCAGCAGTCAACTGGATCAGCTCAATGAGAATTTGAAGGACGTCACAAGGATCATGACGAAGAATATGGAGGATCTATTATGGCGAGGAGACAGTCTTGATCGTGAGTCAAGGATCCCGGCCGGAAGCTGACACTCTATAGGCATGTCCCACCTCTCTACATCACTACGGGCCGAGTCCGTAAAGTACCGTAAAGCAGCCAGGAACATCAATTTACAGGCGCTGTTGCGGAAATGGGCGCCGGTCGGCGGTATAGGATTCTTCTTCATCCTCTTTGCGTGGTGGAGGTTCTTCTAAGATCGACGTAAGATCGACGAAAACGAATGACATGCATGTAACGATCGTACAATGGATCAGATGTCTAGATATCCTCTAGCTCGCACGAGCAGACGAGTCAATGATTGTCGTGCTCGTCGCCAACCACCTCCAAAAATCACAGTCACTACCAGCATCATTAGCGCGAAAGTGCCTAGATCCACTGCTGCGCGTCTCAAGCCGGCCAACAAAGCCCACACGACTCTGATGGGCAATCCTGCACGCCGCTTGCGCCGAACTGTCGTTGCCGTATCTCCTGTCCGTATATTGCTCCTCCTCAGACGGTCCGCCTCATCTTCCAGCTCATCCACTTCGTCTTCCTCTGTCAGAAACGACAGCCATGTCCGACGCCGATCTTCTTTGCGTAGCAACATGGCTTGTGATCGCTCGAGAGTGGATAGACGCTCATGTAGAGCAGTGAGAGATAATTGTATGGATTGTAGAGCGTGTGTGACGTTGATTGGAGGTGCAGGTGAGAAGGTCGAGGCAGATCCGGGTCGAGGAATGAAGTTAGAGTTGGGATTCGGGAAGTAAGGATCCGGTGTCATGGGTGGAGGAACGAGCGGAGAATACTGACGAAATGGCACACCAGAAGATGAAGCTCGACCCATTGGACTCGGTGGGACCGAAGGCATCGGTGCAAATGGTGCGGCTGCGATTCCTCGGATAGCTGGACGATTGAGATCCCTTGCTTTCTCGCTCTCACGGAGACTGTGAGCTCGAGAAGCCGTGCCGGGACGCAAAGCTGAAATACTCTGCTCAGATGGAGGTGCGGGACTCTGCAGCAGATTTAGGAGCGACCGATGAGACGAGTTGAGAGCCGAAGGAGGGATGATTTCCGGGGGCACGTCGGGGATGGGCATAGTTGGATCGGGAGGGTGTAGAATATAAGATGGGCCTGTTTGAAGCGGAGAATCAGGAGGAGAAGCTTGAGAAGAGTGATATGAGGATGTAGAGGATGATGGTGATGAAGGACGATTAGGAAATACTCCGAACGATTCAATCTCCTCTGTGAATTGTATTGTCGAAGGATCGGGATGCTTTCGCAATATCTGAAGAGAACTCAGAGATCACTCGGATGATGATCCTCACCTTCAACAAAGCGCCCACGTAGCTGCGCTTCGCGGCGACCGTATCAACACCCTTCTGCTTGTTCCACGAGTCCCTGATAGATCCGTCAGGTTACACTCAATGCCCTATTATGTGTCTGATAACTCACCATTTTGCTCGACCTAGCATGTCGAGTAGCCCCGGCCGAGGTATGCGGATATCTCCTTCAGTAGCTAAGGCGACCATTGAGCATCAAGAATCCAACGGGCAGCTGGCGACCTCACCCTGCTTGTAAAGAGCATACAAGGCAAGCTTTTCCTCGTAGCTGGTCTGGACCGGACCGCCTTTCGGCAGACTACGAAAATTCAGCCACAACACTAACCGTTGATCAAATTGACAAGCTGACCTCTGGACGATGTCGACAGCCCGATGGAACTGACTGAGCAGGAAGAGATCAGATCACTCGCATTAGTTGTGTGCACGACTCACGCGTCAATCCCGGTGGCCATGGCTTATCTGTTTGACCGGCGCTTGGGAAGCCCCTCAACCGCTCCCAAGACGCCAGCAACTAGGTCGAATGGTCTTTGATGACCAGTATCGTGACTCGTTGAGGCTGCACCAGATTTCCATGGGACATATGATGTGGAACTATCTATCTGCAGCAGTTCACGTCAAACATTGAACCGGCTCGAAGCTTGGAAATTCAGCCGATGAGTGATATATTACGTAACTGAAAATTTCTGGAAATCTTTGACCCGAAGTTCATCTTGACCCCCTTGCACAACGACCCATAACATCTAGACGAGCCTAGAGGCGGGGAGGGAGCGACTTTGCTCCAACTGAATCGGACGGAAAATGGATATCGCTCATCCTGTATCCACTGAGGTCACCTCACTGGCTTTCTCCTTCCTCACAGCGGAGGAGATCCGCTCGATATCAGTCACGAAGATTGACAATCCTATTTTGTTGGACAATTTCAACTTGCCAACCAAGGGAGGTCTGTACGATCCTAAGCTGGGACCCATGAGCGCAAAAGACGTGTAAGTCCTGAATGACCAATAGAAGCTTACAGGGAAGCTGCGAGACATGCCATCTTTCATACTTTGCTTGTCCAGGGCATTTCGGCCATATCGACCTGCCGGTTCCTCTCTACCACCCCCTGTTCATGACCACTGTCTATCGCCTTCTACAATCGACTTGCCTCTACTGTCACCATTTCAAGATGCCCGAGATGATGGTCCAGCAATACATTGCAAGGATACAGCTCTTGAATGCCGGTCTTTTCAAAGAATCCCATGACGTCGCGCATCTGATGCCCAAGACCCAGCAGGCAGATGAAGATGAGGAAGGAGGTGGTGGAGGAGGCGCGACCATGGTCCCGGTGGAGACTGCAGCGGAGCATATCGTGAAGTTGGACGACTTTGTCCGATATGCCCTTCATCAAGCAAAGAAACACGGCGCTGAGAAGGACAATTACCGAGACGGAGTGGTATATGAGGAGAGGAGAGCACTTTTGGAAGAGGTGCTCAAAGGTGATAGCTCGAGATCCTGGCGTACAAAGTGTTCGAGATGTAGAGCGTGAGTGTGGCCCTACTTCATCTAGCTTACTTCAGTGTCAATCCCACATACCGCAAAGAGAGAACCGTCAAGATAATCGAACTGGAACTCGACAACAAGCAAAAGCTCACCAACACGCACCTTGGCGTCAAGCGGCGGGAAGTTTTGAGTGATGGTCGAGGATTGTTCAAGAAGGACAAGTCGAATCGGGCCCAGAACGGCGATGACGAGTCCAGCAGCGAAAGTGGATCCGAAGCTAAGGAGGACGACGAGATGGAGGAGAATTTTGACGAGGAGGAAGAGGAGGAGGAGGAAGAAGATGACGAAGACATCCTCAATCGTGTGACTGTCGCAAAAACAGCAAGTGGCAAGGTCAAGGGAGCAAAGGGTCGAAATGAGCGGGTCATGTCTCCTGGCGAAGTCAGAGCGCACCTCAGAGTCCTGTTCCAAAAGGAGTCGAAACTCTGCCATTTGCTATACGGGCGGCACGGCGGAACTCTTCGTTCTCGGGGAAATCTCTCTCCAACAGCACTGGCTGACATGTTCTTCGTGGATGTCTTGTCCGTTACTCCGACTCGGTTCCGGCCACCAGCTAAGATGGGCGACGACCTGTTTGAAAATCCACAGAATTCTCTCCTGTCAGCTGTCATCACGACGTGCAAGCGAATTCAGGATCTTAACCATCGCTTAATAGAGCATGCCAAAGCGGAAAGGGGAGATGAGGTCCTCGAGGTCATAGACAAAGTGGAAGGCGGGCGGTTATTCGAACTCTTACTTGAATCTCTCATCAAGCTGCAGCACGATGTCAACAGTTTCATGGACAGTACGAAGAATCCAACGGTAATGGCTCAGGGAAAACTTCCACACCAGGGTATCAAACAGCTCCTGGAGAAGAAAGAGGGTCTGTTCAGGAAACACATGATGGTAAGCCAGTAGTAAGGTTGTGCGTTGACGAGCCAGGGCAAACGTGTCAATTACGCCGCCCGATCCGTCATTTCTCCCGACATCAACATCGAGACCAATGAAATCGGGATACCACCAGTATTCGCTCGCAAACTCACCTATCCCGAGCCGGTCACTGCCCAAAATGTCGCTGAACTTCGTCAGCTGGTCATAAATGGCCCCCGGCAGCATCCTGGAGCATCTATGGTACAAATGGAAGACGGTACGAGAGTGTCGCTCGACCGCACCACTTTAGAGCAGAGGACAGCCATCGCGAACCAATTGGCGACTCCGCAATCCGAAGCTCATGCATCAAGCAGTCTAGGGCCCGCTGCTCGCAACAAGAAAGTGTTCAGGCATATTCGGGATGGCGACATTGTCATCTTGAATAGACAGCCTACTCTCCATAAGCCAAGTATGATGTGTCACAAGGTCAAGGTGCTGCTCGGAGAGAAGACAATCAGGATGCACTACGCCAATTGGTGAGTGGCTTCGTGTGTGCACCGTCTGACGTTCAGCAACTCCTATAACGCCGACTTTGACGGCGACGAGATGAACATTCACTTTCCACGTGGGTCCAGAATAGCCGGCTCATCTGACGTGCAGAAAATGAAGTGGCTCGTGCGGAGGCTTTGATGATCGCGAACACCGACAATCAATACCTCGTGCCGACATCGGGAAAACCTCTCCGTGGTCTCATTCAAGATCATGTAGTTGCAGCGGTGCACATGTGCAGCAAATCCTCGTTCTTCACACGCGAGCAGTATTTCCAGCTCATTTACGGTGCTTTGAGAACAGAGGACGATTACACAGGTGGTGGACGCATTTTGACGGTCGCACCTGCTATCTGGAAGCCACGACCCATGTGGACAGGCAAGCAGATTGTGAGTTATGCTGATGGAATACAGCTAATATCAGGTCTCGACCATTCTTCTCAACTTGACACCTCCTAATGCTAGAGGTCTGAATTTGACATCTCGAAATAAGATCGACCATGCTCTTTGGGGGAGGGAGAAAAACGTAGACCCAAACATGTCAGAGGAAAAGACGATCTTTGTCGACGGACATTTGGTCTGTGGAGTTCTCGACAAGTCCCAATTTGGTGCTTCCGATTTTGGTCTGGTCCATTCAGTCCACGAGTTGTACGGTCCCATGATTGCAAATCGACTCCTCGGTATCTTGTCAAGGCTATTCACGAAGTATCTCCAGCATGACGCTTTTTCCTGCCGAATGGACGATTTGACACTCACGGCGGAAGGCGAAAAGCTGCGACAGGATATCCTGGATAAGGCTTCCGACCTGGGGACGAAGACGAGCATCAAATATGTCGGTTTGCCGGAGGATTCCCAGCTGGATAAGGAGACACAGCACAACCTTGATGTCCGGCTCGAGGAGACTCTCCGAGATGATAATCTGATGGCTGGTCTAGATGCTGTCATGCAGTCAGCTTTCAACAAGACAACCTCACAGATCAACAACGACGTCTTGCCGAAATATCTCGTTCGACCATTCCCCGACAACAACATGCAAATGATGACCATCTCCGGAGCCAAAGGATCCAAGGTCAATGCCTCGCAGATCTCGACATTACTTGGACAGCAAGCCCTAGAAGGACGACGTGTACCGACCATGGTATCTGGTAAGACATTACCGTCCTTCCGTGCCTTCGACACTAGTGCTCGAGCCGGTGGATACGTTGCCAATCGATTCTTAACCGGTATCCGACCTCAGGAGTACTATTTCCACTGCATGGCGGGCCGCGAAGGACTGATCGACACGGCTGTCAAGACCAGTCGATCCGGCTATCTTCAACGATGTCTCATCAAGCATCTGGAAGGGGTCAAGGTACATTATGATCACACTGTCCGGGACTCAGATCTGTCGGTCCTGCAATTCCTCTATGGCGAAGATGCCCTCGATGTCACTCGCTCAAGACACCTTCAGTCATTCGACTTCGCAGCCCAGAACCACGATTCTCTCATCAATCGCTACAAGCCGGGAGCGGTTTTGGGCAAGGTCGTTACAGACGAGGCCGTCGATCATATGAAGAAGGCATTGAAGAAACCTGAGAAATACGAACCCGCGCTGTCGAAATTCTCACCAAGCCGATACCTGGGCAGCATGTCCGAGACGTTTGCCAAGCAAGTCAGGGATTACACTCACGAGAACAAAGCCGGTCTTATCTCAAGAAAGGGTCAGAGTTCCAACTCGAGTGTCATTTCGGAGAAAGAGTTCGTCTCGTTGGCTAGATCAAGATACATGAGAGGTCTCGTCGACCCTGGGGAGGCAGTGGGACTATTAGCATCTCAAGGGTGAGACCACTGGTGGTGTCATGACTAATCTCGCAGTGTTGGAGAACCCTCGACGCAAATGACGCTGAACACGTTCCATTTGGCTGGTCATGGCGCAGCGAATGTTACACTCGGTATCCCCCGTTTACGAGAAATCGTCATGACCGCTTCGACACATCCGATGACACCGACCATGAAGCTGCCGATACGCGAGACTATCGGCGATGGAGACGTCGAGGCTTTTGTCAAGCAGGTTTCAAGACTGACCTTGTCTCAAGTTGTAGACAAAGTCACCGTCACGGAGCGTTTGAGTGGTCGATCTGACACCGATGCAAGATTACGGAAATACACAGTGTTGCTGGAGTTCTACCCCAAGGAAGAATACTCTGAGGAATACGAGATTTCTGCCCTTCAGATCCACGAAGCTCTAGCTTTCAACTTTTCGGTCAAGCTGAAGAAGGAGATCTTGAATGAGATGAGGATCACTTCCAAGGCTCTGTCACAAGATATGGCGGTTGGAGTCGGGATGAGAGTCCGTGAAGGCGAAGATGAAGGCTTAGGTGCTCGACGAGGTCGCGATGACGAGCTGGATGACGATGACATGGACGCGTATCAAGCCAAACGTACAGCTCAAGCTAGGCAACATGAGTACGAGGAGGATGATAGGAACGAGCAGGTGGAGGATCTCGAAGACTATGTCGAGAGACAGTTTGAAGATGATGATGAAGAGGACGTTGATGCTGGAGAAAAGGCTGAGACGGACGCTAGAGGGGACGCTCTGCTGGAAGCATTCAAGAAGGGGAGCAAGTACGCCACAGATCTGCACTTCGATTCTCATAAAGGCAAATCCGCTCAGTTTGAGCTCGAGGTGAGCGACCGCTTCGAAGTTGATGCTGACCTTTAGTTCCCGGCAAACACTCCAAAATTGCTTCTTGTCGATATTGTCGAGCGCGCATGTCGATCTGCTGTCATTCATGAAGTGCCTGACATTGGTCGCTGCATGAAAGTCTTCGATGACAAGGGAGAGTTTACAGTGAGTTGGTCTAGCCTGACGCATACTGACCCATAGCGCTCGCTCATCACTGAGGGTTCAAACCTTACCGGAATGCACGCTCTTGCCGACGAGCTTGTCGATCTCGATCGGATAGGCTCAAACGATATTGCAGCACTGCTTCAGACATATGGGGTCGAAGCGGCAAGAAGAGCTATCATCGACGAAGTGTCCGCCGTGTTTGGCGCATATGGAATCGCTGTTGATTACAGACATCTGACAGTGATTGCGGATTACATGGTGAGCCGCACTATCATATCGCTTACTGATCCTTCAGACCCATGCGGGAGGCTATCGACCATTCAATCGATCTGGAATATCCAAGAAATCCTCACCTCTTCTCAAAGCTTCCTTCGAAACTACCGTTCAATTCCTTAGTGAAGCCGTGCTGCACGGTGACTTTGACGATCTCACCAGTCCAGCTGCGAAGATTGTCATGGGTCAACCCAGTACTAGTGGAACAGGGAGCTTTGATATCCGTGCACCGAGGAGGATGGTGCTGGCGTGAGCGTGATTTAGTGGACTTCAGCCATATCTGTGTAATGCATCGCAACCGGAGAGCCCGAACAGCTTACGTAGCTTGTTTGGTATCGAAGTATCACGTGACTATATTTGCACCGTAACAGCAATGAGTGGTCCAGCCCACTCGACCGAATGGATGGGACATGTCTAACATCATATTTCTGTCATGTACAACATACAAAGTGCTATGGATCATTGTATGTGTCATCTTACGGTATGCGTTCACAGAGGCGGAGGAGGCAGGGCGCAAAGGCTGGCTGGCTGGTCTTTGTCCGATCGAAAGAAAGAGCAATTATGATGATGATGGCTTTTCATAGGCGTTTTGTTGAAGAATCTCCAGGGAGCAACGAGATACACTGGAACGAATCCACAGAGAGAGAGAGACATGAAGCACTTTACGAGTAAGTTGTTGGATGCAGACTGCGTCCACTCAACGCATCAACAGATTCGAAACGTCCATGACCGGATCCTTTCCTCTCCGAGTCCACCCCGTGCCTTTACGATTGTTGGATTGATTCACTCAACGCTCTCTGCCTCCTTTCATCTTTGGATCATTTGGGACAGAAAGACAAACATCTTCCATGGGCATGATGGACCACTGATTATATCTCATCTCATCGCATCGCACACAAACTATTCCATTTTTGGGCTTCCCGCGATATTCACTTAACGCCCTGAAGCGGTGCACGACGCCCTTCATCATGCACTTCACGTTCTTCGCGTTCATACTGGCTGTCCTCGGTATCGCTGTAAACGCACAGCATACGACCTCGACCGTCTCAGCGACAAAGACTGCTTCTTCCTCGTCTGCGTCAACTCGCGATCAAATTGTGACGACCACAATCACCTCGGTGACCCCCTCCGCATCAGCACGTAATGCCAGTACGAACGTTTTCACTTTGACTCTGACTATTCCTATGCCTGAGACGAATCACACACTTCTGAATGGTACCATGGCAAACGGAACAACCTCCGGCAATAGCACAGTTTGGCACGAGGGCGACGATTGGATCCCCTTCCATATAGTCATCGATCCCGCCTACGGTATTCTTGGGGCTCTACTGATCATCAGCGGAGTTCCAGTTGCCATCTTGGGTGGGAAGAACAGATGGTGAGGGTGAAAAGAGACTTTCCCTAACCACACAGGTCTTCTCTGGCCATCTGCTCGGGGTATGCGCTCATGCTTTTCACACTCGTGATGATCTTGCGGTTCGGGTGAGCGAACGCTCCAATGATATCAGCTAATACGCAGCGTTCAACCCGATCTGCAACCTCCTTCTCCTTCACCACCTACGACGACCATGCGAGGTCTCTTCCTTCTCGCTGGTGTCATTGCTTCGTGCATCGGTGCAGGTCTCGGCGTTTTCCTCTACAAATTCGCAAGATACGGGATCTCAGCCGCTGGAGGGTTTACGTTCGCCTGGTATCTTCTCGCGACGAAGTCCGGAGGACTCGTTCACGGAGTTCTCGATCGATGGTGTCTTCTCGGCGGCATCACCGTAGCGTGCTTCATCGCTAGTCTGCCGTCCAAGCTCACCGATATTATGATGCTTGTCAGCACCGCTTGGATAGGAGCTACCACTGTTACTCTTGGGATCGACTGTTACAGTCGAGCCGGTTTGAAAGAGGTGAGACGAATTCTGGGAACAGGCACTCACGGCCAGTTCTACATATACAACCTCGGCTTCGGGAGCTTGTTCCCTAAACTGGGCGGGGCCAAATACCCCCTGACCCAGACGATGCAGATTGAACTGGGCATCCTTGCCGCTATCGTCCTCGTTGGCGCCGCCATCCAGACCCGCGTTTTGAACATCCTTCAAAAGCGGATGCGCAAGATCAAGGAGGAGGAAGAAGCCCAGATCGAGGCTGAAGAGATCTCCAGAGCCGCAGAGAGGTTCAAGAACGTCGATGCGGAGCTCGAAGAATGGGAGGAGAAGCACGGGAAGAACAGTAGCAAGTCAACTGGGGAGAGCACGATTGCATTGCCGGAACTCGAGAAAGGTGACCTTGATGACACTCCACTTGGGCTCTTACCAGCCTCGCATCACAACAGTGGACCGAGCACCGCTTGGAATTCGGTCGAAGAGTTTGTTTCTGCACCGGAGGAGGATCTGCAAAACAAGTTGAAGCTCCTGGAAGACGTGAAAAAAGCAAGAGAAAGCATTCGGGGTTCTCTCGACAATCTAAATCGAGCATCCAGTCGAATTTCCATGGACGCCACGCGGTCAAGGCGGGTCTCTACAGCTTCTACTCAGGTTCTGGGTGAGCCTTCGATGCCTGGTATGACGCGGCATGGATCTAGTGCATCGCTTCTCGACAGGCCCAGACCTGGCTCACAATGTGCCGAAGATGAAGTTGCAACCTCTCACCTGATGGCTCGTAACAGGTCCAGCGGATCCGTGCTCGACCGTCCGCGACCCGGTTCACAGATGACGATGGATTTCGACCCCTCAAGCATTCCTCGCATTCAATCCAGCTCGTCGCTTCTGGAGAGATCCGCTTGTCCTAAGACTTTAGCCATTGCTGAAAAGCCGATCCAACCGCGAACCACGGCTTCTCAGCCCAGTCGACCTGTATCCGTTGCGCAGAGCATTCCAATGACATCACCATCAGCCTCGAGCACATCGCACCAGACTGATTGGGAACGGTACAAATCGACTCGTTCCATACAGACGGTTGGAGACCATCGTACTTCCATATCCGCAGACTATGGCAAGCTGTCTCGTCCGCCGTCAAACATTGCGGCGTCCAAAGCCGAGTTCGACCGGATGGCAATGCCACCTCCATCAGCGCCTCTCCGCCGATCCGCCAGCGCACAGCCTCAAGGCGACCGAGAGATGCTCAATACTGATTGGGCCCCCGGTCAGATCACTGGTTCGGCAACTCTCCCATCAAGGCCCTCAGCGATGACGATGCCTCGAACAATGACTTATGAGCAGCTTAGCGAGCGACACCGCAAACGGATCTCCGAGCTGCAAAATCCCGTCACTTCGGCCATGACTCAAGAGGTCCAAGCTGCTGAGGCGAGGTCTCGATGGGAGAAACATCAAAAGGCTGAGAGGGAGGAGATGAAGAGGCGGGAGGCGGAGAAGCGTGAAAGTCTCCGCGATCCTCGACGAGAGTCCCGGGAAGCCCTGAAAAACACTGCTCAATGGCGAGACAGCGTACAGTCTGGTCTTGACCAACGAGGGCTGCCGGTTCAGCAGCAGCGACCAGATCGCAAGCGGACCAACTCATCGTACAGCATTGTGAATTGATGGGATTGAGGCGGCATACATACCACTATAATAGACTCACGACGATTATGATTGCATGCAGCATGTCCGTATGACAGATGAACAGACATCCTACACATGACGCCAAAATATCTACCAGCCAGATCTAATGTTTTCATTCCCTCTCCTTTGATCCAAATTCATGATTCGCTCTCTATAACGCATGGCAGTTCTGAGGGGGCGTAAGAGACCTAACAGATCTTGCTGAGCAAGATGGTGGAGCCAGGTGCTGTCCATGATAGGAGTACAGGTCCCTCAACTCTACCGTTCGCGTCCTCGTCCATCAGCGCTCGACCGGCTTCGTCTACGGTACTCACCACTTTCCCAGCGGCTTTTGACGATGAGCCAGAGACTGGGGTCATCCCTACATTCCTATCAAGGGTCAAGAACACGTTTGCATCGTCTAGTGCGCCGGTGTCATCCAGTGCGAATATCAACAAGACTTTGGACAAAGCCAAGGATGTCGTTACGCGCACACCGCTTATCAAAGTGGACTCCAGTGGATCTACGACTCAGACGGAAGCTCAGGCCATAGCTGAAGCTGCCAAAGCCCGGTCAACGCAGACTCGAAAATCATCAATGGACGATCAACCAGTTTCATCAAACCTTCGACCACCCATGCACTCTGCCAGTAGCTCTGTATCTCTCACTCCGTCCGTCGCTTCTAGCACCAGACGCTTGGCACCGCCGGGCGAATGGAGGCCTACCACAGCTACTACTGCGCAGGTGTCTGTATCTCCCATCACCAGTGTCACTACGACTGTCCAAGCTTCAGGTCACAAGACGTCTTCACCTCCCATTCGCGAACGGCGGCCTTCAATCTCGAGTCCCCAATCGGCTCGAGCATCAAAAGCGCACTTTGGTCTGCAGGCAGCCATGGCCCAGCGCGCTGCGAGTCCTCATCACTATCATCCTGGTCGCCCTGCGAGTGTCCTTGGCCCTACCGGCGCCAGGCTTCGACGCTCATCCATAGCGACCCTTCCGGATTCCCCATCCTCCATCTCGCTCTCCGCAATGATAGCTGCAAATGCGGAGCTCAGTCAGAACTTCTCGAATGTCCCTGGTTTCGCTCTAGGCGGAGACGATACCAGGAGCGTCAAGAGCTTGGGACTCGTCAAAAAGTCTCATAGCGTGAGCAGACTGATCCGGCGGATGAGGGGAGAAGGCTTAAGCAAGCATTATTGGATGGCGGATGAGCACTGCAAGGAATGCTACGACTGCAAATCTGTGAGTCTGCAGGCTGCGGCGATATGCTGAAGGCAGATCTTCACTACATGGCGCAGGAAGCATCACTGTCGGATCTGTGGGCAAATCTTCTGCAGTCGCTGTGCATCCAATATCATAGGAGCCCGACGTTTTGGTCAGGATGGCGCGGTTCGAGTCTGTAATCTCTGCTTAAAGATCATGGAGGAGTATAAGGACGATGATGATGACGATCGCCGTTCGATCAATTCCATATCGACGTCTTTCCGACCGGCGAGCATCTCTGACCGGGCCTTTCTCGACGCTGCAATATCGCCAGAATTCGGACCTTACTCAAAGTCCCCTTTTGCCGCCAGCCAGCTCTTCTCCTCGCAGCCCAATGAGAACCTTGGTGCAATCTATGAGAGCGTGCCGGAACGTTTCAGCAGACCGCTTACTCCGGCTGACCTGGAGGGAGACTCTGACGAGGAGGATATGTGGACGTCTCGCCCTCAGACCGCCGCTCCTTTTCGACGACCCATGGATGAAGACGCCAAGCATAGCGAGCACCAGCGAGAATCATCAGATCCTTCCTCAGTTGTCTGCTCTCGAAATTTGTCGGCGCCCCAGGGTCTGACCCGGAATGACTCTAGCGGTCCGCCAAGTCGAGACGAGGTGGTTCGAGGTCACGGACGTCGAGTGGCCTTCCCGCGGACCGAGACAATCTCCACGGACGGCGGGGATGGTACGGATTCTGCGCCTTTAATTGGACTTCGGACGAGACTGAGCTCACGAGCCAGTCAAGGTGGACTAACAGCTCTTCTTGACCCCGAAAAGGGCGAAGGTCTCTGGCGTGCAAGGTCACACTCGTTTGCCCACCGCCAAGAGGCTCTATCAGGAGCTAGCCTCCGGCATTTCATGCTCATTCTAGAACAAGCCATCGAGAGGGCCAAATTGCCTAATCCCGGCGAATGGCACCGAGTGCTCAGCAAACTCTTACTCAAGGTATCTAGCAACCTAGATCCCAATGTCCGAGCTGGAGATTCAATCGATGTTCGAGCCTATGTAAAGATCAAGAAAGTCCCGGGCGGGAAGATTAGCGATTCAGACTATGTTGACGGTATCGTCATAACTAAAAATGTCGCTCATAAAGCCATGCCACGACGTCTAGTCAACCCTCGAATCATGGTTGTCACCTTTCCGCTGGACTACCATCGGATTGACAATCAGTTCATGTCCCTGGATCCCATCCTGGCGCAGGAAAAGGACTATCTCCGGCTATTGACGCGGCGTATCGTCGATGTCCGGCCGCATATCGTTCTTGTGCAGCGTTCAGCGTCCCGTATAGCCCTTGACTATCTATTGGAGGCGAACATCGCCGTTGCTAGGAGCGTCAAATTGTCCGCTATCCACCAAGTGGCAAGGTGTACTCAGGCCGATGTCGTCGCATCCATGGACCGTCTTGCCCTGGAACCTCGCCTGGGACGTTGTGCCGAATTCCAGATCCAGTCCTTTGAGCACGACCTCATCCCAGGCAGGCGCAAAACTCTCATGCGCTTTGAAGGCTGCCATAGGGATTTAGGCTGTACCATCATCTTACGAGGGGGAGACCTGGATACCTTGAAGAGGGCAAAAATTGTAACCGATTTCATGGCGCTAGTAGTCTGCCATCTGAAAATGGAGATCACCCTTTTCAACGATGAGCACAACACTCTCCCTCCGAGCCCTCCGCTTTCGCCCGAGTATCTCGATCTATTGTCCACTTTGGATCCCCAGGTGGAAGCGTATCAGGATCGGCAAGCGGAAAAGGATGAAGATGCTCAAAAGACCAGGGACATCGCACTGACACTTCAGCCATACCTGCGGACTGTCTTGTCCGCGTCTGCTGCCATTCGCTTTCCGCCGCCCGCTCCTCTCGCTCGCATGGCAGCACTTGACCAGAAACTGCACGCGTTACGTAGGAGCCTGGAAGAGGCAGTGGCTGCGAAAATCCTGGAGGAGGAGCAGAAGAAGGAGACTGAGGAGCCCGACCAGTCTTCTGCTATATCTACGATGCCCAGAGATGCGGCCAAAGATCCATACCGCGTTCTCAACAACCCGGAAGAAGTCCAGCGACAATCCGCCATCGCTCAAGTCGCCTACGAGCATGCTGAACAGTACAAGCTGTGGCGTTGGTATACTAAGAGACATTCGCCTTCACTCCGTCCTGAGGATTTTCAAGGCATGCTGTACCTGTATTCTTCGGGCTGCGAAGGCGCCGACAAACCCTGCGTAGATCCTATCGTTCAGGCGATCAATTACTATCAGGAAGACGACTTGACGGTAGGTCAGTACCTTGAGGGCATGGCTGCGGATGCTATCAAGCGTTGTTCCAACAAGAACTGTGATCGGCTTCAACTGTTCCACTACCGTCTTTTGGTACATGGCACTCGTCGTCTCCAAATCGCTATGGATCAATTCCCCTGCCCTTCTCCGGGCCATGAAGAGTCGATCATCACGTGGAGCTATTGTCGCATCTGCGCGGATCCCTCACCGACTACGATCTTGAGGGAGGAGACATGGAAACTGTCTTGGGGAACGTATCTCGAACACTGCTTCTATCCACCTGAGATGTCTGCGGGCTTCAAATGCCCGCATGATGCTTTCCGAGACCAGATCAGATATTTCGCCCATCGTAATCTAGCCATACGGATCCATAACGAGCAAATCGATCTGTACGAACCGGTGCGACCTTCTATCTCACTTCAGTCGAGAGCGGAGACCAAGGTTTTACTCAAGAACCAGGAGTACGAGAGCGCTCTCCAGAAGAACACTGCATTTTTCGACTCTGTCTTGTTCAGGCTCAGAACATTCGATTGCGACATCGTGCAGCCTGAGAAAGTGAGCTGAATGCCCCGAGCAGAAACTGATGCGCTGCAGGTCGCCTTGTTGAAAGCAGCACTAGAAGGGATGCTCGCCCGTGCCGTTGCTGACCGAGAAGAAATGGTCAACTTGTTAAATCGGACATACAAACTTACGGAGCTGACAGACGTCCTCGCGCTCAACATGGTCCTACGCGTTCTGCAAGACAAGGTCGTTCAATGGGACCAGGATTTTGCAGACATCGAGAAGGCTTTCATGCCATCCGAAAAGGATCTCAGGCGGATGACGGCAACGCATTTGAAGAGGCTATTTGCAAATCAAGACGCATTTGGATCACTGAATGTCGCGGGCATGACAGTTTCGGAGGCCGATGAGAAAGAGTCCAAGACCGAGGAGAGTGCGAATGAGAACGAAAAGGACGAAAATGCCGACACCAGTACTCCAATGGCAGCCCCTTGCCGCGATCTGGACGGAGCACCGCCAGACAGCGGCGAAGTGACGCCGCTTGTCGGACTTTTCGAGCCTGCCCCGGAACCTACTCCGTCCGACGCTCCTGTGGGATCTAGAGACTACGACAGTGACTCCACAATTTCTGCCTTGAAGCGAGATTCGCCAAGGCGAACAAGAGTGCCTTCCATTGACATCTCCGTGGTGCATGATACAGACTTTGTATCGCGGTTGCCTCGACGGGCGCAGCCAACTGCTAGGTGAGCTTGACTAGCTGAGTCTACTGACGGGAGCAGCGTGGCCGATATGATGAAGCGATTCTCGGAGACTGCCGATGCTTCATCTTCGAACCGTCCCTGGCCAGGTCGCATGCACAACCACCAGTTGGGAAGCGAGAGCGAAGCGGATAGCGTCGCACCGCGTCCAAAGTTGCGTCGCGGACGGACAGAGCAAACCTTCACTCGCCACAAGGAGGCAGCTCGACTTGGGGCCATGTCAGACAACGACAAGAGCTATGCCGCGAATGCGTCCCGAATTCCGTCTGTTCAAGGACGTAAATTCGATGCAGAGCCATGGGGCTCATCTCGCCCTCGTCCGTCGCTCACTGCTCCACCTACTCCTCCCAGATCTGGTCGCGCGTCGCCTAATCTGCAGCCGCCGACGACATCTCGAGCCTCGATCAAGGGCAAGAGCCCGAGATCAGGGGATTCCGTATCGTCGGGTCGCGCGTCCCCTGCGCCCATGATGATCAAGACCGCCACAAGACGGTCTTTTGCCACTTCGAACCGAGTCACATCGATTGCGAGACACTTTGACCGGATCTCGCGAGAAGCTGAACGCGAACGACAGAAGCGTTTGTCAGCTGTGCGAGGCAAACGAGCTCGACCGGTCAGCGTAACCAAAGCCAAAGTTCAAGTGTTCTCCAATCTCCGAGATGCGTTCAAAGATGAATCAGACACCGATTCATCCAATGCGGGTGACGAAGAAGATGAAGGTGAAGGCTCTCCCGGCAGTGATGGCGAATCGACAGGGGGCGGGTCCCCTGAAAGGCATTCAAATCCCTCTCGAAGATCATCCACTCGACGAAGATCAACTGCCGGCAAAGCTGATATCCCGGAGATGACACCCGTGAATCCATCGAGCTCCCTGGAGACCATGGACTCAGCCTCGTCAGATGCTCTGCCTGTATCTGCGTCATCGTCGATGGGAGAGGGTCTGAGCGAAGCCAAATCGGAGATGTCTTTCACTGAACGCCTTCAAATCGAGCTGCCGACTTTCGAAACCAGCGCTCCATTGCCCAGCGTGCCTGTCACTCCTCAGATGTCTACTGACACGGCAGAGGACAACAAGTCTGCCATCTCGTTCTCCCAGGTCTCTGACGGCGAACTCACGTCTGGAGGCGAGAGGTCTTCCATCTTGAAGACCCTCACCGGACTCTGGGCCTTCCGCGCCGGCGACTACAGTCCATTGGAATATCCATTGTGAGCCCTCCCAAATGAATTTTGTCTGACAATGAGATCCGCTGCCGAACATGTGTTCGCCGATTCAAAGGTCATTGTTCGAGAAAACGAGCCGACAAGTATTATTGCGTTCACACTCAGCTCCAAGACCTACCGGGACAAGATGCGGAACAACATTTTTGAACGAGGCACTCGCAAGCTGGAGTCGTTCATGCCTGAGGATACGGGAGAAAAGTCAACGTGGGACATCGTCTCGATGGATGACGCTCTCGAAGGAGAAGATACCGCGCGATCAGATGAAGGCTCGCATTTGAAATACGGTGAGAATGATCATCCTGTGATGAAGCTGACCCGCAGACTTTGAGTCTGGCTCTTCGACGATTTTCTGCCGCATATTCTTCGCAGAAAAGTTCTCCCAACTGCGCGAGGCCTGCGAATGCGAGACGAGTTTTGTGGAATCGCTGTCGCGCTGCGTGCAGTTCGATGCATCCGGAGGTAAATCCGGCTCTGCCTTTCTCAAGACCAAAGACGATCGATTTATCGCGAAGGAAATCTCTCGTCTAGAGATGGACGCATTGACAAAGTTTGCACCAGCATACTTTGATTACACCCGGAACGCCATCAACGGCCAACGTCCCAGTGCACTGGCCAAGATATACGGGTTTTTCAAAATCGGATATCGGAACGGCGTGACAGGTCGGTCCATGCGGATGAACGTCTTGGTCATGGAGAACCTTTTCTACGAGCGAAGGTTTTCAAAGATTTATGATTTGAAAGGAAGCACACGAAACCGTCTCATCGTGCCGACCGGCCGAGTCAACGAAGTCTTGCTCGATGAGAATCTGATGGAGATTGCTTATAAGCATCCTCTTTACCTTCGAGAGCATTCAAAGAGGATACTGCGTTCCGCACTGTTCAACGACACTCTATTCTTGTCGAACCTGAACGTGATGGATTATTCGTTGGTCGTTGGAGTCGATAGTGAACGACATGAACTGGTGGTCGGAATCGTAGATTACATTCGAACATTTACATGGTGAGTCAGCTCTCATTCGCAGCATTGTTGACGATGTACAGGGACAAGAAGCTGGAATCTTGGGTCAAGGACTCGGCTTTCCTCGGCGGAGGAGGCAAAGGTGAACCGACGATCGTGACGCCGAAGCAATGTAAGCAAATGTATGACAATCCTCACTGATCCCACGCAGATAAGAATCGGTTTAGAACGGCCATGGAGAAAAGCTACTTTCCTTCTGTCCCGGATAGGTGGAGTAAGCTGGGTGTAGAGGAGATGGCCAACGAGGAAGACGCCACTTAGGAAAGAAAGAAGAGTTGTTTGACGAGAGAGACAGTGTACAACAGCCTAGAGAGATACATCTGATGCCCCCGTTATGCCTTTAATGTCGTCTATCAATCTAGATTTCTTGTAGAAACTACTGTACAACCGAACCCTGAATTGGGCAAAATGACATTATGATCGTCCCATTTGCTCTCTTTCTTCTGCCTCTCTCATCATATCTGTACAGATCAATCAGTGTCCGTGTCCGTGTCCGTGGGGCAGCGTTGCGGAACGACGACACTCACCTCCCCAGATCGAGTTTGAAGCTTCTCCATCGTAATCTAAGGGCACTTCGTCCAGGGATGAGTCCCGGCTGTGGAAATTCAGTCAGCAATGTCATTCAGCGCCACCGGGCCGTCATACCTTCTGTAATGCGCGTCGTCGGATGATAGCATGCTGGCATTCGAGCTCTGTCGACTGAGCGACGGCCTCGTAGCCACCACTCCCAAGGATGCGCCATGTCGGTGCTGACCCCACGTATCTCGAGCCAGGGATGAGTTTCCAGCTTCTGGCGAAGATACACGTGATGAGTCCCGTGAGGAAGATGGTGACTGGCTCCGCTCTCGCTCTCGGTCGAAAGGATCATCTTGATGCCCTTCCTCTGGTGGTGATAATGGCATCGGATCGAGAACGATGGCTGGAATACCATTAGACTCAAACTTGAGTGTCCGTCGAGAATTCAGGAAACGACGACGCCAGTAGATTGTCCGTAGCAGTCCTCGCACGCGGTCAAGGTTGACCAAATCAGTGACCCGCTCCTTCTTTTCCCGCCTCGCGAGCAAGTCGTCGAGTCTGACGTGGACTCAGCGATACCATACGTGTTCCGTGTATGATACACTCACAGCAAAGCTTTCTCATCGTCAATGAGTCTGTAATGCGCGAGCATCATCAACATGTTTGTGAAGCTGATCCCCCGACCCTTCTCCTCTGTGATCCTGGCTTCGTGGAATAGTCGAGCGAAGGTTTGTCTTCGATCGTGGACCTGAGCATAATCGATTTGCTTGATCTTCGATTGAACAATTCCCATGTCGACGGCTTGTCTGACACCCGTAACGACTAGGAGCCTACCCGCAGCTTTGGCAACCGGATCAGGCACAGCTCCACGCATCAAATTAGGGATGCTGTATTCTACAGGGTACAGTCGGACTTCCCATATTCCACGTAGGCGCTACAAAGTCAGATACAAGGGAACTAGACAGCTTACCGAGAAGAAGCGGACGAAATCCTTGCGACGTATGTAGCCTGTCCGCTCGGTGTCGAATTCCGCCCAGAGCTTTTTGAATGACCCTGCGGCGTGTTGTCAGCTCAATAGACCTCATCCAACCACCATTCTTACTCATTTCCTCCCGATTGAGGGAGGCATGTCCCGGCATCTGATAGACGTATCTAAAAGACTCGACCACCACACCAGTGAACATGTTGGCGAAGATATACCTTGTTCATGAGCAGTGTGCGGCTGAAGATTGACTCACATGCTTAGAATGTTCCAGCTGATGAACAAGCCGTATGCCCATGCTGCACTGCCGCAATCTGAGTCGAGGTAGTTCGAGCTCTCAGTACAACGAGGCACAGAGAGAGTGCTGTCAAAATGATCAGCACTGGACCCATCCACACGGTTCGCAGCCCTACTAATCGTGCATGTAGCCATTCCAGCCTTCGCTGAGCCGATGTCAGCAACATGCCTACACGACAGACGTACCCTGTCGACATGAAAGCCAGCATCACTAGAGAATTGCTGAACCGATAATAATTTTGAAATCTCGTACCCGCATTGTTTCCCATCTTAGTCAGACCAAAGACTTCCAGAAACATCATGCCGAAGAAGATGAAGAAAGTGGCCCATAGTAGAAAAAGGTTGCCGATCGCAGGGAGACTCGCGCTGCAGACGCGTAAGGAAGGGCGAGATTAGACATCACAACAGACTCACACAGATGTCTTGAACAATTGATTCAACGAATCAATTCGCTGTACGAGCTTGAAAGGAATCGCGACCAAAAAGAGCTTTTGCAATTGTGTGCCCCATTCTGAGCCGGGAGTACCCGCTGCCTCGGCTTGCAGGGCTGGTATGGTGGTCGCGAAACTCCCGACGACAACAACAAAGTCGTAAAGATTCCACCCATTCGCCCGAAAGCTCTTGAGGCCAAGACCATAGAATCGCACCAGCAGATCGACAGCGTACAATACAGTCATGAAGATGAAGATCCAGTCTTGTGGTGGTTTAGTGTTAGGCTGGAAAGCTTCTACACGACACCTGATCCCACTCACCAAGCTGTAAATCCGTGATGATATTATTTGAGAAGTCCTCCATGCTGCGTCATTGTGAGCCAAGACACCCTAGTCAGGCGGACCTCGAAGGAAAGCTCACGAAAGCAGCACAATGTGAATGCAATAGATGATTGTAAAGCTTCTAGTCCAGAATCCGTGTTTTTGCGTGGCTCGTTGGCAGCACCAAGCCCGCAGACCATATCGCGGGACATCATTGGGTAACTGAGAAGGGGTCTGAGCTTTGATGAACTTCTGCATGTCGACCCAATGCCGCTGTTCTCGAGTGAGCAGTGCATCTCCCGATCGAGTACTGAAATTGCCAATGATGACGCTAAAGTAAACGTCAGTCTCGGCCTCTTACGTTCACTCCATTAGCAGACATGGGACTTGCCTCAAAAATAGAGTCAAAATGACCACGGCTCCAAATAGATTGAAGAGTACGAAGAAGATGGCATTCCACTGCGAAGCATTGTTCTGAGATTGCTTGCCTATGCCGACAATGGCCATTGCTGATTCCATCACGTCGATCCATCCCTCCAAGGAGACGATCTCAAAGAGAATCAATATCGACTCCCTGAATGAGTCAAAAGCCCATATACTCTCGTCGAGTGTCGGATTGGCCCATACCCGTGGCATGAGGAACGGAATAGATTCGTCTATTGGCGCAAACATGTATTCTCCAACGCAGTCAGTGATGCCCGTAGCGTTCGGGTCGTTGCACGAGAATAAAGTGCCCGAAAAGATGTTGAGTCTGCAGAGCTCAGGACTGCTCAAACCAAGCGAGACTCACCCCCAGACGGCAAACGGAATCAAGTACAGGGCCATAAGGATGGAAGCATCCAATAACTTCATCGCCCCGGCAAAGAGGAGAATGTGTAGGGTTTCTCTCATCCTGCTGAACAGAGTGATAAGGCGAAGCGCCCTGAATGCCTTGAGAGACCGAGTGAGTCGACTAAGACCACCAATATAGATTAACGAAGTTGTGGTGTTGACCAGGAGTGTGATTAAAATCAAAAAATCCATAACGTTCCAAAGGGATAACAAGTAGGCATTTGGTGCGAAGATGAACCCATCGGCAATGATCTTGATACCAGCTTCGACGATGAATACCATTCCGAGCGCGACTTCCGCCAAGTCGAACCAGGTATCTCTTCGAACGCCTCTATCGGAGTAGTATTGCTTTCGGTACTCCGGCGTAGCGACTGCTGCTACGGAGATACTCGCGACAATCATACAGAAGATGATCAACTTGAGAACCAGTTCATAAATGGGCTTGACGGGTCTGCCAAAAATACGATCTCCATGCGCAGGTGAGACGCAGGCCTGGCAGAACTTGCGTATAGGATTGCTCTGCTTGAATATCCATAAACTTTGATCGTATGTGGGGTGAGCATTGATGAAGTCTGCCTGTTGATTACGACGCTCTCTCAAGGCGTCTGCATGTTCATCTTCGGAAGGCCCAGCACTCATGGGAGGCAACAAATCGCTCCTGAGGAAGTCGTCAAAGACGATCCATTTCTCTAGCACCTACAGTCCTCGGTCATCATCTTCACCGTCATCGATGCCGTGGGATCGTATCCCAAGTCTGCGGAGCGGAATCGCTTCGGTCTTATCTCCACGACCGAAGAGGCGATTGATAGCTTGTTTCGCAGTCTTGAGCTGGTCACGTTGAGCCTGCCGGCGATTAGCCTTCCAATTCAGTGGCCCGGACCTACTGGATCGGTCCCTAGACCAACATCAGGTCCGATGGTGGGTTTGATCGGCAAGACCAGGTTTGCGGGTAGGGCATCGACCTTGACGCTGGACCCCTTAGATTCAAGGTATCGATATGGGTTCAATCTGTCGATCCAGCTTGTTTTCACATGTGCAGGCTCCGCGCGACGGATGAATGCTTCCATCTGGCGTTTTCGTTTCTGCTCTTCGGCAACAGCAAAGTTCTGAAAGGGTTCAGCGCGATTGAATCGATGATGATGTCTTACCTCGTTGATTACGGCAATGAACATTTGCAGAACGATGGCTAGAGTGTCAGGCCTATAGCGCCGCATCATGCTCACCATACGCAAACAAGATCCAAGCGCACCAGAATAATGCTCCAAGCCACCTCTGTTTGAACGGGATCTCCGCCTCCATGACGGCGTAGAGTAATGCTGTCCAATTTTCACTCGAAAAAACCTTTGAATATCAGCGCAAGCCAAGATGTCAACCTGCCTGGTAAGCCCCAAGGAATGCGTTGAAGGTTTGGGAGATGGTGATGATGTCATCTGCAGGTACGTCTCCTCGGAATAATTGCATGGCCTGTAGAGTCGTCAGCTTCGTCGACACGACGAAGGATTAGAGCCTACTGCCAGAGCAGCGATGAGGTTGATCAGCATGAGAAAGATGACCATATTCCAGAGCCCAGCAAAAGAACCAAACACATTGTTCTGCATGTCAGGTTGAGGCCAGGGTATTAATGACACTCACCAGTAACGGCCTCATGCGAGGGAAGGCCAGAATGACGCGATACCATCTCAGTAGTTGAAAGACGGTGAGCCACTGATAGATGCTAGAATTCGCAATGGCTGGAATCTGAATGATAGAACATGCAATGGCGAGAAACAGATCGTAAGAATTTCGAGCTTTGAAAAGGAAGGACTTCCAATCTGGAAAGTGACCCGCTATGCGGATCGCGATCTCCACGTCAAAGGCGAATGTAAATGCCAGTTCGAGATTGTCTGTGGCGGGTGTGAGTAGCATATTCCGGCGCACGACGTACTGAGCAGAGTGAGAAATTGAGGTGATGAATGAGATGTCTTGCAGGCCTGTGCGATTAGGCTCGCTAAAATGAGAACGACCCAGAACATTTCGGTCGTGTTATATATACTCAAGATGGTGCCTGTAGCTTTCTTCAACTTGGTATCTGATTCGCTCCACTTGGGTTCCGCATCGACAGAAGCGCTATGGGTCAGCTTCGCTTTTTCTTTTCGACTCACTCGACCGCTCCAAAAGCAGATTTCTTCGTCTCTGCGCGGATATCCTGGAAAGTGTTGACGACGACCGCTGTGAGCAGATTCAAGAACCAGAAGTTGAGCACAAGGACTGCGACAATAAAGTACAGGCATGATCCAAAGTAGTCGGAATCCATCGCAGCGTACATGATAGGTGCCCAGCCATTGACTATGATGTCAGTCCTAGGGCGGGTCTCATGCAACATACCGACTGTGATCGTGACGACTTGAACTAATGCCGCGAAGACATTGTCAAAGCTCATGGAATCACCCTCAGGGTTGAAGGTGGCAGTCTAAAAGAGTCAGTCAGCCAAGACCCGTTACCGATACCCACGATGCACGTCTGATCCAGAGGACAAACGAAACCTTTTGCAGCTCCACCGGCCGACGTGTTGTCAATGGTGATGTAGGGTGCCGGTTGCAGTGACGACTCGATATAGCCGCCACATTGTTGAGTCAACTGGATCTCGTGTGTTGTGTTCTGCGGATCGGGAAGTACACAGATTCGTCGGAAAGATCCACGAAAACTCTGTACGCCAATGATGGAGAAGATTGTAAATGCAAAAATGAGAAAGAATCCCACGGTGATGAGCATGGGTACAGCACGTTTGAGTGAATGTAGGATGGTTGTTGTACCCGTCGTAATGACCAGTAGTCGACCAGCTCGAAGAACACTCAGTGCTCTAAAAATGTAAATGTGTCGAGTATCTGTCGCTTCTACCTTGAGCAGAGCGAGGACAAACATGATCCAGAACGAGACTACAGCCATCATGTCGATTCGGTGCCACGAATGTCGAAGATATGGTCGACCCTGAGCTGATAAAGCCTTTTGCCTGGCCACTGCTTTTTGAAACGGTGCTTCCAGCGAAATGGTATTAGGCTTTCGAACTTTCGGAATGGGATCCGAGGGGACTCGCCAAGACTTGTTGGAAGTCTTGCGAGACGTTGACCGGGATAAGTTGTGTTGCGCACGGGTAAATCTGCGAGAGACAAGTGGAACCAATCCATCTTCGTCAAAGAGGACCTGTCGAAGCGATGTTTCAGGATCGATCAGGAGACCAGTGACGAGGATCCGGGCAAACATCTCAAGCCTGAGAAGGTGTCAAACAGATATCGTTAGGCGGTAGAGGGACTCACGTGAAAACGACAAACAGCGCAAAGATGGCATAATCCTCCCAGGATTGAAAGTAGCCGTCATCCGCTCGAGGTGAGTACAGAGCTTCTGAACCTTGGATACATAAGAAAATGACATTGAGCACGATGAGCAGGAGGATGAAGGGTTCAGTGTAGCTGCGCCATGAGTTTGGCTCATTCGTGCAGGACTTACGGGTAGTTGAGAAACGAGTGCATTGCCGTCCGTATCGGGCTTCGAGGTCCAAAGATACCAAGTGTTTTGCCTCTAAGAGGTCCTTCCGGTGGTTTGGGTCCGATTGAAGCAGAGTCCAGATCAGTGACAGGGAATCCAGTATCCTCCTTCCTATCATCCTTTCGATCGTCTTCATATTCCTCATCTTCATCTGGCAATCTACTCATTCCCTCATGGTTTATCCCTCCGGTATTGACAACGCGTATACTGGCTTTTCGGATCGTTTTGGAAACGCTTCTCAGGGTAGGATTTCGACTGACAACGTCTGCGACTCTCGCTCCCACTCCAATAGTCCTAGGGTGCCCCTGATCATCGTACACTCTGCTGTGTTGACGACGCTGTGACGATCCAGGAACAGGCGGAGCAGATGTCAACCTCTGTCTGTCGATATCGCCCATTCCTTCTTCATCCTCTGGTGGTGTATCATGTCCTGCCCTTGTTCCGTGTTCGAGCGATGAATCCGATTGGAATGGGTGAAAGTAAGGTCGAGGGTTACTTCCTCGGTCCTCCGGGTGGAAATAGTACGAAGGATATTGGGTCGAAGTGCTCGTGTCTTGCCTGTTCAGGGGTGGATAGGTACCTGCTGTACTCGTAAATGGTCCAGAGCGAGATGTAGATGCCTCATAGAAATTCCTAGATCCCAAAGCATACTCTTCTTCAGGCGCCATCAGTTCAACTCTTGAGCTCGTCATGTCCAAGTCGGTGCCACGTCCAGGAGGAAGCCCCCTTCCAGAGGGCAGAGGTGCTCCATGATCCAAGCCTAGAGACGAGCTGGAGGATCCGGGACTCGAACTCAGGCCCAAGCCATGTACGACGAGACCTGATCCTTGACCTTGTTGTCCTCGTATCGCTTGACTTGGACCTGCACGCAGTCCCCCGAGCATATCATCTGATCGTTCTCTACTCCAGCTGTGCCGCTTCGATAAGCCATCAAATCCAGGACCAATGGGGGAGATTGGCGAAGCAGAGGGGGAAGGCGTCCTAGATGTTGACAAGACAACAGACGTGAGAGAGTCTCTCCTTTGAATTGGCGGATCATTGGAATGTGAAGTCGATGGATAAGACATGCTGAATGCGAGGTCCACCGCTGGTAGACCAGCTGGGCTGTGCTGGACAGGTTCAACAACCCCGAAGGCTACACTCCACTATCACTGATCCAAAGGACTCCGCGCAGATGTCAAATGATCAGTGAGACCAGTCTCAAGCATGACTGTGAAGCAATTTGGTACACTATGATTGATGTGATGTGAAGCACAATGTCAAATGTGGTGGATCGATCTTGGCAACGGCAACATTGATTTTTCCAGTCCAGTACGCGCGGAATGTTTCCCAGTGGAAAAATCAAAACGTCGTAGATACTTACTCGCAGCAGCAAAGTCAAGTCAACACATCACATGAAAGCTGCATGAGGGTCGGAAACTGGCTATATGGACATGGACGCTAGTGGAAAGCATGAATCGAGAAAGAAAGGGGAAGAAAATATGCTCTGGCATATTCGTCTAAGTTTTGGAGAGTCACGAGATGGGCATTAGGTGGGGAGGTTTGAGAAGAATAGCGAGTCCTAGGATACAAAGATCACGAGCGAGGTCGTGATCGTCAATGTGAGAGACTGCAGAACATTGTCCATCAAATCATTCAGTCGTAACGGATTTGGCAAGGTTTCGAGGGAAATCGACGTCTACACCGTTCATAACGGCGAGATCTGGTGAATGTCTTAGCACCATGCTGGTGTTGGTGAGGTAGTTTCACTCACGGTACGATAGCAATTGGAGAGGAATGACGTTGATCAGTCCCTGCAGACAGTCCACGGTTTGAGGCACTCGGAAGGTCTTGAACTCGCTCGAGACCGAGTTGTCGTCCTCATTGCAGATAATGACTGGGAGATGTGTGAGCTCTGTACGAGGAATATTTAGCCCAAAGCTCACTCGGGCGCCCCTTTCGAGCGGTGACTTGGGCCAAGGCAGATTGCACCTTGGGGTACAGCGAATCCTTAGTCATAATGAAGATGACGCTTGGCAATGTCAGCGCGCCCCGCCCGGGAAGGTGCACCGCAAAGGACTCACGGAAGGTGTTCATCGACAAGTGCGAGAGGCCCGTGCTTCAACTCTCCAGCAAGAATCTATACCATCACATCAACACTGTCCAGTCGCCCTCCCACGCCAAACTCACCCCTTCACTATGCATGTAGGACACTTCCTTGATTTTCAAAGCACCCTCAAGGCATGTGGCGTCTGGGAATGACTGTTAGCTGCTGCCTAATCCGTTCGATCTCGCAATCTCACATTGGTATCCTCTCCCCATAATCAACAAGCTCTTCTCCTTGCCGAGCATCTCCTTGGCCATCTGTTGCAAGACCTTGTCCATTTCGAGGACGCTTCGGATCTGTTTGGGAATATGGTAAAGTCCCTCTATGATCTGTTGGCGACGAGCTGTCTTGGAGATGGAATCATCCGAGAGCTGTACGGCAATCATGACCAACGCAACGTATTGCGAAGTGTACGCCTTGGTAGATGCAACACCTATTTCAGGTCCGGCCTGGACATCGTCAATTTAGCGGTCATATGTGTACTCACGTTGATGTGCACACCACTGTGAGTTTCTCGCGAGAGTGTAGACTGAGGAGGGAATTAGCTTCCGCGAGCAATCTGGCATGGTGGAAAGCTCACTCCTACGGCGTTGACAACACCCAGACAAAGAGCGCCACGCTCAAGACAGTATCTCATGGCCAGGATCGTGTCGGCAGTCTCTCCAGACTGAGACACAAAGATGGCGACATCATCCCTGAACACTGGAGTTCGACGATCCAAAAAGTCGGAAGCCAACTCCACGGCGACGGGGATATCGGTCAATTCCTCGAATACAGGTCTGACAGCGATACAAGAGTGATAACTCGTTCCGCAAGCGACGAACAAAAGTCGTCTGCATCGTCGAATGACAGGCAGGTACGCTTTGAGACCTCCAAGCATGACGGTGTGAGTGTCAAAGTTGACTCGACCACGCATAGTGTTGACGACCGACTCGGGCTGCTCGTAGATTTCCTTCTGCATGAAGTGGTCGTATTGACCCTTCATGATTTCAGCGAGTTCAATCTCAAGGTGTTCAATTGCTCGGACAGAGGAGAGTCCGTCGTCTCGTCGAAGCCGATGGATATGAAGCTCTGAGAGGTATGTCAGCCGCGGTAAGAGATCGCTCTTCTCACCTCCTTCAGCGATGTGAGCAATGTCATCATCCTCGAGGTACAAAACCCTCTTGGTGTGCTCAATAACAGCACTTGCATCTGAGGCCACAAAGTATTCGATTGGCTGAGGCATGCCGTCCTCGGAGAGGAAAGCGCGAGATTGAGATCTGCGGATCTTGGGGCCTTGTGGAGCGTGGCCGTTTGGCGCAACGCTGGGGACGCTGAGCAAACCACCAGTAGCTGGATCCTCAACTGGTAGGTGTCAGGCATACCGTCATCGACAGGGAACGAATCAGACCTACCTCGATCATCGCTCGACAGCTCGACATCGACAAAATCGACCTTGAGCTTTCGATCCGTCTTAACTCCGATGAGGAGAGGAGAACCACGTCGTGCGGCCACGATCTCGTCCGGGAAGTGGGTCGACTTGAAGACGAAGGCGAATGATCCCTCCTGCGCACGACGTCAGCGCTTATCACTGAACGAAATATGCCGCTCACCAGCTCTTTGATGACAGTCTTGATGAGCTCTGTGAAGTTGAGCCGCTTGTTAGGCTGACTGTCCCAGACGTATTTACACAAGACGGCCACAGCCTCGGTGTCGGTGTCCGTGTGGAAGTGGTACCCTCGCTTCTCCAAGACGACCTTGAGTTCCTTGTGATTGGTAATGATACCATTGTGAACCAAGCTGAACTCGGTCATGGGGTCGCTGACGTGAGGGTGACAGTTGAGAGGACTGGGAACACCATGTGTAGCCCATCGAGTATGAGCCATAGACGTCTGCGACAGGAAGATTTTGCTCATGTCGACGGACTTGACGATTCCGCCCGCGACGACAATACTGTTACCATTGGCATGACCATTAGCATCGGATTTGAGGGGTGAGACGCCATCCTGAGCCTCTGCAGAGTCCTCGCCGTTGGCCAAGGATGCGGAGGCTGCGTGTCCGTTGGTCTGGTTGGGCGAAGCAGAAGCCTCCTTGATGTGTTTTCGGAGAGCAGCGACTTTGCCAACCTCCTTGAATAGGAGAATGGGAGCTTCAGGCGAGTCACCGTCTATACCGATACCTAGGAATGGGTGAGCCTATGTCCACAGCCACAGTGCCGTACCTGCACTGTCATATCCTCGGTATTCAAGTCTTGCCAAGCCATTGCATAAGACGTCACAGATGTATTGTCTGTCCTTCTCGACGAGGAAGGAGCAGTAGGCAAAGATTCCTGAGCGAGACCTTGAGCGCACATCGTCGGATTGGACAGGTCAACTCACCACACATTGTGAAGAGATTGAAACGACTCGGATTTTGGGGAGAGAGGGACTCGTGTTAGATTCTGAGAAGAGCGTCAGTGCTGTGTAATGGTGAATGATCAAAGGATGGACGAGTGAGAGACGAGGATGGGACAATTGGATAAGGGTATAAGGACTGAGAAGTCCAGCTGACAGGAGAGTGACGGTCCCAGGAGGATGTGACGCGAGTCCCGTCCGAGGTGCTCGTTGAAAGGTATCTGCGCAAGGCAGACTCTGTGGAACTCACGATTGATTCCCAGTGTCTTGGGGATGGATGAGCGTGCACAGTCGGACCTTCAAAAGTGAAATCAGACGTGCCAAAGACTATCCTGACGGGAGCTTTGTTGACTGGTCACAGGTGTCTTGTGATTGTTAGAGTCAAATTTGAATCGAATACCAAGACCAATGGTCTCAGATGCCGCTCAAAACAAAAGCTTGGGGGGTGGAGGGAGGCAAATTGTGTGTGGTCCCGGGGCGGTCCACAGGGAGTGCGAAAAAGCAGAGTGGCTGGACGAAGGAGGTATCTGATCCCTGTCAGATATATACGGTGTCCCGAGTTGGTTGGTTGGTCTCTGACCTGTATATATATCTGTCAAAGAATGGGAACAGTAGTGTGGTGTGTTGTTTCGCTTGGGTCATCATACATCGCTTTCCCCTATTTTTACGCGCGCTTCCGACTTTCCCACGGTTGCAGGCCAAAAGGCTCCCCCAACCTTAAATGCCCTTGATAACAAAGAAAGAAATTGCCGATCACAGACTCTGAAACGGAAAGGACGATGTTATATGCATAACCCGTTCTGTTTTTTTACCACGTCATGACCACATACCACGTGCTACCGGTTAATGCCGTGCTCCGAGTCTCGACGTTCGTACATGTATCCTGCGCGTAGGAGACCGCAATGATCTAGAGGACCAAGGATGGATGACCCTCCCACAGCGTCGTATGAGCCAAAGAGCCCACACATAACATCACCTAGTATATCAACTGCACCTCCTGCATTCCCAGACGAATCAATCTTACCTCCGGGACCCACCATGAGCGATCCAGCATCCAGCTCAAACTCATCCAGGGACGTGTCACCGCCGAAGGACACTGCGTCTATGACCGTTTCGACGAATGTCTCTGGACCCTCGTCAGCTCTACGGCGAACGCTCTCTTCCGGCAGTGGTGATGCGTCTCGGGAGGCTAAGCGGCTTCGATTCACGACTCTACCGGATGAAGAGAAAGGAATGGGTTTAGGCTTGAGCGATGCAGGTGGTTCGGGGGATGGTTCGAGCAAACATGGATCCAATAGTCTTGGGCTGTATGGTGCTTCAGAACCTGGCACCCCAAACTTTTTAGAGACGTGAGTTTATGGTGTCCCCTGGGCGGGAGCCTAGCTCACGCGCGTAGAGCGGATCAGATTCGTCGGACATTATCCCTCGCCTCTCTAGATCGTCTAATGACCTTGTCAGCCAGTTCTGATCGAGATAAAATTCTGGCTGGGGTATCGCGAGCAGGGAAGGATCTAGTCTGGAGGCGGAAAGACGAGAAACAATTGTTTCCTCGAGATGTCGAGCGAGCTCTGGTGTTGACGATCAAGAGGGGTCTCCGTGAGTTAGCCTCTCGTATGGAACGAAATGCTGATCTCTTGTCTCAGGATCTTTCATCTTGGCGTTTTCCGTTCGAGCAGGAGTCAACTTGCTTTTGGTCATCTTTCGGAGCTTTCGACGGAAACGACTACGCTTGGCAATGATCCGGCATGCCTTGTTTGGCGCAGAATCATTTCGCTTCGGTGCAATGATAGGTACGCTCGAAAATCAGTAGTCCCTCTGATTCAACTCCACACCAGGCACATTCACTTTCCTCAACACCCTCACACTGCATCTTCTTCGCTTGACGCCTCCGTTATCCTACCTCAGACGCAGATGGAAACATGGATTTCTCTCTCGCCCGTCATTCGGACCACCAGAAAGAGAAGGTCCAGAAGGTGAAAGGCGCTGGCAAGCTGCCGCTGCGGGAGCGGTGGGAAGTTTGGGTCTGCTATGGGAGACGCGCAGTCGCCGTCGCGGCGTTGCTCAGCAGTGAGACCCTCGCTTCATCTCACCGTTTCGTCGCTCACCCTGGCAGGATGTTTGTGCGTGGTCTTCAAGGCGCATACAATCAATACACCCCACAGTATGGTATTCACATTCCGCACGGCGATACGTTGCTCTTCGGGTTGTGCTGCGGTCAAATCATGTATGCGTGGCTCATGAACCCAGAAACAATGCCAGCGGAATACAATAATTGGTGAGGAGGTCTTGACAAGGGCACGGCTGACGTCGCTAGGATTCAACACGCTTCACGGGTACCTAAATTTGCCGTTCTCGCCAACAGGACAGCCGTCAATACCAAGACCGTCGACACTAGTCTGATTCAGCAAGCCATATCCGCCAAGGTATCGATCACTTTCAAGGTTGGCTCGCTGACCCTCCTCTCAGAGCACAACCCAAAGGAACAGAGAGATTTTGTATAAGTACATAGAGCAGCTCAAATCCGGCTTCAAGCCGCCTTCTGCTGTCCCATGGTGAGTTCAGACTGAGTTCAGACCTTGTCAACCCGACGGTCTGACGAATCCCATAGCGAGCTGGTCCACCCCACAGTCACATCATGCCCCGAAGCCAACATCCGCCGATTCTTTGATGTTTTCGTTAGTCCTGTCTCAACCAGCCAGACTCTGACCCTTTGTAGCGCTTCATGCTTCCCGTGTACTCCGCGCTACACCTCATACCGATGCTCGTTCTTCGACGTCATCACTTCAAGCGCGATCCTCTGCGTATGCTCGCTAGAGTTATATGGGGTATCACGCGAAGTTGCTCCTTCCTTGGGATTTTCGTCGTCATCTTTCATTGTAGGTTGGACCTCACTCCCTTGAGCCTGACGCTTTGGCCAGCCTGGATGTGTATCCGATATCAGACCATTCACCAGAAATTGGGCGGAAAATGGCTTCAGGAACTCATGAAGCGCAAGCAAATGTTTTGGTTCTTTGGGTTCAGTACCTGCTTGAGCTTGTTCGTTGAGGAAAAGGTGTGTACTGAGCACCTGCCTGGAACGGTATGCTGACGTGGTCTTTCAGAAACGTCGTGCAGAGCTTGGTGGGTCTTTTTCACGTGTGCCTTGACTGATGACCGACCAGCCATGTATGTATTGCCTCGAGCGTTGGAATCCGCTTGGTCGAGCGCCAGGAAGCGAGCCTGGGTACCCATCGTCCCCTTTGGAGAAACGATTCTTGGAGCTGCAGCCATGGCCATGGTGATGGATGCATACAAGGTGAGTTGGACCAAGAAGACAGCATGGAAGTGGTTGACGATACCTCGCAGCACAGACCAGAAGCTCTGTCAGGAATCGTCAAGAGGTTAATGTATCAACTTGTGGGACCAGTATAGGTAGAATTCGGGCAGAGACATCGGAGCGATTTCGAGATATCGAGAGCATGCATGTAGACAGTACTAGGGCTAGGAATGACCATGACTCATCGTACATCTGCAATGATCTCCGCTATCTAGACAGTGGGCTTGGTGCCGGGCTCAAAGGTGTAGGTCAAGCTGCAATTTGTCAGCGGTGCGATTCCGATCAACTGTCCTGCTCTGTACTCACCCGCACTTTCCGCAAGCTTGCCTGTCCTTGTGCCACGCCATGAAGACACCAGCACCACAGGTAGGAGCGGGGCCTATTTGAGTCGGTCAACAAGATGAACTCGGACGACATCGACCCGCAACACTCACATTCCCTTCGGAGACGCTGGATTTTGCCGTCGGATCCGACCTTGTAGTACTTGAGGATGGCCATCTTGACCTTCTTCCTCTTGTGCTTGATCTTCTTGGGGGTGGTCTTTGCGCATGATGTCAGCTGACATCCTAGCTCCGATCAATGAGAATCTTCACTCACGTAGTTCTTCTTCTTCCTCTTCTTGGCCATACCTCCTCGCAATCTCAAGACGAGGTGAAGAGTAGACTCCTTCTGGATGTTGTAGTCGGAGAGAGTTCGTCCATCTTCCAACTGCTTTCCAGCAAAGATCAATCGTTGTTGATCAGGGGGAATTCCTTCCTTGTCCTGGATCTTAGACTTGACATTGTCGATAGTGTCAGAGGATTCAACCTCGAGCGTGATGGTCTTGCCCGTGAGGCTTCAGGGAGGACCAAAGCGTCAGCACAGTGCCACCAGGTCTGCGAAAGAGGTATGTCTCCTCTCTCTTCCCTCGTGACTCACGTCTTGACGAAGATCTGCATCTTGCGAGCTGGTCTATGCGTGTGATCGCAATCCTCGAGCAGCTGAAGAAGAAAGAGAAGAAAGAGGACCAGGTGCGGCAGCGATGGCAAAAATTCATTCGGGACTTCGGCGTTTCGGAGCGCTGTAACCTATATCGCCGAATGCATAGATGATATGTGGCACATTTCTGCACCCGTCGCCACTAGCTACACGCGGTACACCCAATCCAACCCATTTATTATTACAACTGAGTGTGAGAGCTTTGGCCTTTCAACCTTGTTCTTCCAACCCCTCTCCATCGCATCCTCTCTTCCAACCTATCCTCTCCCTTCTCACGCTCACTCTCCTCCTCCTCCTCCCTCCTCTCACACGTATCCGCTGCCGAACTCACTCTTTGATCCATACCTCAAAAGAGCTCGACTCGGTCCCTTCAATCGCCACTCTCAACTACCTTCCCGGCCTCGACTTCCCAACTTGCTGTTCCTCCTTTGAGTCTTCTCTATCTTCATTCTCAGCTACTCCGACATGGCTGACGCAACTGGTGAGTTGTCAAAATCTGTTTTCCCTCTTCTCTTCACAATCTTTCATCCTAAATTCGGTGACCTCTGCTAACATTATCGCTCTTGCTCCCACCATTTCTCCGCCTCTTCACCAATCCCACTCTCACTCATAATGCCCGTCCTACCTCCTCCGCCCCCTCAAGACTCAACATCCCCGGTCAAGGAGGAAAACGTCTCGCCCAAGACTTCCGCACCTCCCGCCGCTGGCAATGAGAACCAACTCACTCTCCGGTCTCTCGTCAGCACCAAAGAAGCCGGTATCATTATCGGCAAGGCCGGAGCGACCATTGCCAGTATTCGTGAGAAGACAGGTGTGAAGGCTGGAGTCTCCAAAGTTGTTCCTGGTGTTCAAGACAGAGTCTTTTCTGCCACTGGAGAAGTTGAGAGCATTGCCAATGCCTATGGAGAGATCGCTACGCTGCTCCTGGAAACCCCATTGTCCGATTCCTATCTCCCAGCACCGCCTTCAGGATCCTTCACCTCTATCCGTTTGTTGATCTCTCACAACCTCATGGGAACCGTCATTGGTCGACAGGGCCTCAAAATCAAGCAGATTCAGGACACTTCAGGCGCTCGAATGGTTGCTTCAAAGGAAATGCTCCCTCAATCTACTGAACGAGTCGTAGAGGTTCAAGGAGCCGTAGACGCCATCAAGACTGCCATCCTGGAGATCTCAAAGTGCTTGTTGGAAGATTGGGAGCGAGGTCAAGGCACTGTGCAATACCATCCCGGAGCGGCTGGCGATGCCGGTGTATTGGCAGGTGGTCTGGGTGCTCAGACCGTCACTGGTCCAACAGGAGGAATCAGGAGGACCAGCTTGGGAACTGGACTTGGCGGACCGGGTGGGCCTGGTGGACCGGGTGGGCCTGGAAATGGATTCAATGCCCGACGACCAAGTGGGGCCGCTGGTAATGCAAACACCGGAGAACCCAGAAGAGTTAGCGGGGATCTAGCCGCCAACGACCCGAATCTCCGGACTCAAAACATCTCAATTCCCAGCGATATGGTTGGCTGCATCATGTGAGTGACCGGGAGGAGTACAACTGAGCTCGCTACTGACGTGTACACCAGCGGTCGTGGTGGATCCAAAATCACTGAAATCCGACGCCTTTCTGGCTCCCGTATCTCCATCGCTAAAGTCCCGCATGACGATTCTGGCGAGCGCATGTTCACCATTGTCGGAACTCAGCAAGCTACTGAACGAGCCTTGATGCTTCTTTATTCACAGGTTGGTTGCACATGTATCTCACCTGTTCAGTCAGCTGAAGCTCTCCACAGCTCGAATCTGAGAAAGTTCGACGTACAAGCCAACCTGGCGAACCCGCTGCAGTCTAGATGCACGCGCGGGTCCATGGCAAACATGTACATCTTGGTGAAACTCTTCTATGAGCAAACGCATCGGCTTTCTCTCTCTCACACTCAACTCATGATCCTCTCCTGCGACCGCAATTTCCCCTTTCCTCAATATCAAAACCCCTTTTCCCACTTGACCTGTTCTCCCCTTTCCAACCCAAAAACTGTGCCTATCCAGCATTTAAACCATCTCCACCCTCCACTTTCGCCTTCCCATCCCTTTTGTCTTTCTGGCATGACCACATGTTCACGTCATCAGGCGATCTGGGCTTATGAGTTGTCCTTCATATCCAAAGTGACCAGCTCATTCATAGACCAGCCGACAAAACACAAAAAAGGTCCTTAAAATCATATGCGTATCTACGTAGACATGATATGCGCTGTATAAACATGGCCCGAACCCGGAGTCAGAAGATCGTGAAGTGCTAGTCTGAAGGAAGATTCAATGATCGAACGAGATTGAAGAGGGAGTCACGGAATTCGACCCTTGTTCACCGCTTGAAACCTTTTGGGCGAGATCTTGATCTTGATCCTGACCCCGACCCAGATCCTGACCTCGACCTTGACCCTTTTCTCTCTGAGCCTGTCTCTAAGTCCCTATTGGTATTGTCTTTACGTCGAAATATTCTCTTTGCCCACCAATGCTTTTCAGTAATCTCACTAATGATGTCTTTATCAGTAGGGACCCAATGGAGGTCCGGTTTCCAACTATCGTCCAAAAGTTCATGCTTGAAATAAGGGATAGGTTTCCCTAGACCGTAACCTGAATCGACGAGTTGTCTAGGGTCCACGCGACGTGAGAAATAGTTTGTACGTTGATCAATGTGGTAAAAGCCCAGGAAGAAACTGCAAGGGAGGAACGCCGCGACCGTCATGAAAGGAGATTCAGTCTTCAATGCGATGGCTGGAAAGGTTGAATACACAACATGGCCAATGGTCCGGGCAGTCAGGAGGGGTGAAGCCGCGCGAGACGAGAGGTGGAGAAGGGAGGAACGAGTATGACATCAACGGGAACACCCTCACACGATGACGCGCGTCATCACTCACTCAGTGTCATCAACAACTGCATCAATACCGTCGCGGCCAGTAATCGAATCTTGACAACTTGCCATACTTTACCATCAGTTTCTTTGAACTCTTCAACGTAGAGGATGATATTTTGGTGCTGAGTTTAGAGCTCAGCTAGAAGGCCGTAGGCCTTGACTGAAGACTCACGACTATACTGTAGACCCAGAAGACCAAAGTGGCAGCGATCACCACCAGAGGCGCTAAGGGTGTGTAAATGAGTCTTAGGTGTCAGTCAGCATTGCGCCGTGGATATTGACAAGGTAGCTCACGCGACACCCATTGCGAACAGCTGCAACCAGGCTTAGTGTCTCAGGTGTGACTCGAGTACTCACGACATGCGAATACTCGATCGCTTGGAAAGGTTATCCCTGCACCCGTATCGAAGGATGACGACTCACCAAGCTGAAAATCATCAAGACATCACCCTAAGCAGAGCTAAAGAGCCTCTCACCTCGAAGTTTCTCGGCTGTGCAATCTCCTTCAATTGCGTCGGCCGACGCTGGTCTGCATTAATTCTTGGGAATTTCATCAGCTTCCCGTGCCCCGAGCGGACCAATGAATAAACGCACAGCTGCCACGCTTTCAAAAGCAACCGAGGGAGCTGGATGAGCTGAAGGATGACAACGGCACATCGAACGCTAGAACGAGGCTTGGTCAGCCTACATCATACTCTTTGTTCATTGCCGTACGGGTACCAAGAGAGCCAATAAGAGCTCTCAGAGATGTACACTTTTGTAATCTGGGTCGGGACGTCGCCAAGTCCAGCCACGATTTCAGACCAAGTTTTGACCCCAATTTGGTCTCGTATAGTGAGGTAAGTCTCCCAGATTACTCCGAACAGCGAGAATACGACAAAGCTGGAGAACTAGAGTGGCATCAGCACAACTTACTTTCACGGGAGGTGGGAGACCGTCGACCTACAAGTTGAAAGGCAAACAAGGACTTGATGACATGCTTGTCTAGTTCTCCACGACTGAGCGCTCCTGACCATTTATCCAGCCAGCGAATGGCATATGGTAGGACGTATGCGAATGCCGCCGCGACAGCGGGAGGCAGAACTCCTGCAAGCGCAGTAAAAATAACTTTGGTGAAGGTATTTGTGTCTCGCAAATCGCCGAGCCAATCGACGTTGTCAGCAACCTATTATAGGATCCATAGTCAGCCATAAGTCATGCAAACAAGTCGCATGGCTCACCGTGTCGACATTCGCGAGGACAGTGATGAACATCAGTGGTACGGTGTATATTGCGAAAATGATAGAGAGCGCAATGTATCCAGAGATCGTATGTGATCGCCGGGCTTGCTTGTCATAGCTGAGATTATTCCAGACCTGGGACTAATCAGCGCTGTGAACGCCTGACCTCATCGACACACAATGTTGTCAGGTCTGGGTGCCTGCCGACATGACATGAGCAACTCGGAACATGCAAGGGCAAGATAAACGCCCGCTCACCCGGTCAACGCGGAAACCAAATTCTGCCGCTCTACGACGCACTTCGTCATCCGCGAGAACTTCAAACGCCCGCTTCGAGCTAACAAACGTCACGAAGGCTGCATACTGTCAGTAAAACTTCAAGTCGCAACCCGCTGCACTCACCAGACGTGATGACTGTCTCGATCGGTGTATCATCGCTTGATTCGATGAGCGTATTGGCATCTCTCTGCTTGACGGTGATCTGTGCTTCTTTTACATGTAGATCGTCTCTGCGAATATGATAGGTCAGCTAGATTGACGCAGCCGCAATACGCTCGTGACTGACGCTTTCTTCTCCAGCTCGTTCTCAATTTCGTGTGTACTCTGATAGTTCATCAGTACACGGTCGACCTCGTCCCTTTACCTTGGTCTTCCCGATGAACCGATGCAGGCAATTGGCGTACAGGTGTCGAGTCGGATCCTTAGCCAGATTGACTAAGGTGAAGAGTGACCTTTCGATCCGAGGATAATGCGTCTTTTTGACTTCTGCAATCATCCTAGACAAGTCCTCCAAGATCTTGTGATTCAGAACCACGGTGCATTTCTTCGTGCCATCCTTGTTCGTAAGTCCAGTACCATTTTCTCGCTCTCGTTCCGGTATACCTAGCATTCTGCAAATTCGATCTTTTGCCTGGATGATCGTTACGTCTGATTTGGTCTTTTTGCCATCGCGCTTCTGGGGATCGATCCGAAAATCAGTAAGGAGTATAGTCCGAAATGCAATGTGCGATTGATTTCTGCCATCTCGTTAAGCCGTGTATCCGCAGCAGACCCAGGGTGGATTGAGACTCACTTGTCGACCCAGAAATGTAAAAGCTGACCATGGTACCACGAATGACCGATTACTTCAGAAAGCAAGTCAGGGCATCCCTGAGAAAGAGGACATACCAAAAGCAAGAACAAGGCTCGAAGTCACCCATTCGAAGACTATGTGGACCGATAGAGTATTGCCCTGAATTCCAGCAGCGGTGAACTTCTGCAGATTGTCTAAGACGTCCGTGGCATTCTGTGCGCCACCACTAGTGACCTGGGAGGCGGTAGACGATGCAACTTGTCCCGCAGTAACGTTGTTCAAGTCTCCCCCAGTGCTCAGGTAGTAATTTGCGAGTGCCAGTGGGACAGCTACGAAAATCGACAAGCTTAGAAAAAGCCAGCGCAGCATGCGAAGGTACTGCAGGTATGTGACTGCGTCCATTCCCACTAGCTTGAGCATTCTGCATTCAGACTCAGCGGCAATCGCGGCGTCCAGGGTCTCACTCATGATCATGCCTCTCGAGAGGCTTGCCGCGGAAAGGCTGCCAGAACTCTTTCCAGAAGATCGGCAGTAGGCAATTGAACCATGAGAACAGTCCCTCTTCTTTGTCAATCTGGGCGAGGAGTGTCAGTCCGACCACCCCAAGTCTGAGTTTAGGCCCACACTGACCTTCGGAACCCTTGGGGGCAGGAGACCTCTGTACTTCTCCTCTGGCTCATCTCCCGCTTTCTCCGACTTCACAGGATCCTCTTTTGCATTCTTGTGTCTCTCGCGAAACGCGATCAGCTTGTTCTCGATGTGTTTGATGCGGGGTAACCAAATTATTGCCCAGGCTTTGCCTTTCGTGCTCATGCTTTTCCGCCGGCCAAGGGAGTACAAAGTGATGATCATGATCTGAGGGACGAGAGAATCGTGAGCTTACGAGCAGTCCAGATCTATATGGAATTGGCACCAGCTCACCCCAGCCATCAAGGTCAGACCCCAGGCTGCCAAGACAGAGGTGCCCGAAACGTTGAAATGGTCTTCAGCCTCTTCAATTAAAGCGGTGCTATCGACCACTCCATCTCCTCCGGCGCCATTGGACGGCCTGGGATCTGTTTCCTGCCGAATCCAGAGGAGATGGTCATGTCTAGGTATCATCAGTCTTGCTCGAGTAGTCGCGATGGGTCAATGCACCAAGTGCTGTATCATCAACATGGTGAGTCGCTCAGATTAGCGGTTCGACATCAAGTGTCGTGAGGTAATATGCAAGCAGCAGATTGCTAGAGCCAAAGACCCTCGTACAAGGTTGTTTCAGTGGGACCCGTTAGGCGTAATGCTTGAAAGGATTGATCAAAGGTGGTATCAAAGGTGGAGTCGTGCAGCTGGCTTGTCTGTGCAAGCGACCACGAATTATGGCCCAGCATCACAGATTTCTTCGCTTGCCTGATGGATAGGATCTCAACAGGGCATAATCAAGAGCAGCTGAACACGCCGTCTACACGAGTCAAGACGAAGAAGAACGGATAACTTTGGGCTTAACCATGAATGATCCGGTTATTTACGCCGGAGGTCGGAGACCGTATCAAAGTTCCACCCCCAACACTTTTGGATTTCATCTTCGTCCACTGTCAAGCTTACGGTGACACATATTGGGACTATTTGGAGATTCTGATCATCAAGAGGTGAACTTCGGAGTCTATTGGACACCCTAATTCCTCGCCAAGGTCATCGCAGATTGGCCCTCGAGCCATAGCTACCCTCGCAGCTCCAAGAGCTTCCCCCTCGCTTTCGCCATCGGAATCATGTTAATCTGAGCGAAGCTGTGGGTCATTCGCTACGGCCGCCTGGGTCATTAGACACTATAGATCTTCAATATGAACACTCTCAGTCGTCTTGATAATCACCTCTCCTCTTATTTTATCAGCACACCACCGCCTCGGTCTCCTTCCCGGCGCAGTTCATCGCATTCCCCGTCGTCTCCTAGTCTAACACGATCCTCCTCAAGTCGCCACCACAGTGCTTCCGGCGCTCGCTCACCCTCTGGCCCAAGGGGCAGACGACGTGGTCGTCGTCCGAAACCCACCACCTCGAATGTCAAAGTTCCTCCTCCCTCCACTCCAGTCCTCCTCCGCATCCTATTAGCTTTATGGTCCATACTCTTGTCATTTTGGCAATCTCTGGTCGGCGAGATTCGTGCAGAGAGGCTCCAGCGCAAACGGGCTGCTAGGCTACTACAGCATCTCACAGGTGCCGCTGCAGCGCCTGCAGAGCAGAAAGAACGGGATGATGGGTCTGGCAGTGATTCAGAGGCAGCCAGTAGTGAAGATGAACCGTGGATCGATCCTGTCACGAGAGCGCCAGAGACAACGCTTCATGAGAATGACTCTAGCTCCGCCTTGTTCGCTGGTGACAATTCTTCAGAGCCTTTCACCTTTCGACTCCCGTCGGCCGAGAAGAAAGAGGGCGAATCTTCCACATCAAATCCTTCGAATGGCCAGCTGACCTCCATCCTCGACAACCCCATACTCTCCAGCCCAGGTAGCCGCTCGAAACAAGCTCGACTCTTGCCGAATCCAATGTCGACCTCTCTCCTTGATCCGTCCGTTCCCGTTGTTCCCGCCTCCCAAACCATAATGACGAGAGGATCATTATCAAAATATCCACCGAGGCCACATCAGACCCCCTTCCATTTGCAGAAGACCTTGATCTTGGACTTGGATGAGACTCTGATACATTCAACCGCTCGTCCTTTATCATATGCTGCCAGTGCGGGAGGAGGATTGCTTGGACTGAGTTTTGGAGGACTGTTTGGCAAAGGCAGAAGGAGAGAAGGGCATACTGTTGAAGTCGTTCTGAGGGGCCGCAGTACAACGTATCATGTCTACAAGCGACCATACGTTGATCACTTTCTCAAAAAGGTTCGTCGCAACTCTCACTCCTACCTTGTTACCGTACTCACACTTGATTCAGGTCGCGTCGTGGTATACGCTCGTCATATTCACCGCTTCCATGCCTGAGTACGCAGATCCCGTCATCGACTGGCTAGATGGAGGCAGGGGTTTATTCGCCAAAAGACTGTATCGCGAAGACTGTTGTCTCACTCAGCCAGGATCATACGTCAAAGATCTGTCCCTAGTAGAACCGGATCTAAGTCGAGTCTGTTTCATGGACAACTCGCCAATAAGTTATATGTGGAACAAGGGTGAGTTGTGCTCATGTTACAGGCACGCAGAGTTGCTGAACGACCACAGCCAACGCTCTGCCTGTCGAAGGTTGGACATCAGACCCAAACGATGAGGCTCTACTACATTGTATTCCGGTCCTTGACAGTCTGCGCTTTGTCAATGATGTTAGGCGGGTCCTGGGCATCCGCGGATTCTGGTAAACATGCATTTGTATTCCTAAGCGGTTCAGACTAGGCGACGTTGGTCAGATTGACAGGCATGTTGGCTGATCGCAGATTCCTTTCCGTGGCCTTTGGTCCATTTTTTGGCGCCGCACGAGAGGGGGGGGGGGGGGGGTTTACGTGTCAGCTCCCATAGCGACTACTATAGGCGCTTGATAGTCGAGTCAGTACGCCTGATACGAAGGAATTGAGGACTTTGCCCGTGCTCCGGTCACCAGATAATCCCGAATACGCATCTGGGCTGGAAGCTTCTGAGCTAGAAGCTGACGCTATCCTCGATTTCATTTGCGCCCTTTGATCCTCGTAAGTCGCAAGCTCCCTGCGCCAATGGTGACATTGTCCCGATACTGTCTCGCTGACTCTGTCCGACGATGTAGAGAAGGAACGTGGAGTGCACCCATCCGTATCCAGACTATCGAGGTCAGACATACCTTTCAACCACGCTGCCGTTGCCGCTTTCGAACTTTGCGCAGGGCTCAAAGACGAGTCCGGGATGGAGAATCGGACGCTTTGCTGGAAGGTACCAGTCTTGCCACCTGTCGAGGCCATTGAAGATGGGCCGCTAGATAAGCTGTTCCGATCTTCACTGGAGGTATTCTTCTCTCTTATCTGGCGAAGACGCTCGTGCTCCCATTCGTTGATAGCAGACCGAGCTTCGTCAAATGGATCAGACAGGATGGTGTGTGAGGAGGTTATTGGCGAATGCTGAACGTCGTCTCCGTCATAGCTGACTGTGCGTTTCGAATCAGAGCCTTGATTGCTGTCGAAGGTGAGGGAAGAGACGTCGTCGCTCCGACTGGCAGCTTTGAGAGATAGGCTGTCATTGCTTAGGGTCGTCCGACGGCTGTCCCGATATCTGTCCCAGCTAGCCGCTATACTAGTGGCCTCTGAAAATGCATCGATCCCTGTCTGTGAGCCGATGGAGCTTCTTCTCTCGAGCGACTCGCGACTGTCGGGCCGTCTGGTGTCGCAGCTCTTGAATGAACCCGAATTGCTGTCACTGTCGTCGTGTTTAGATGAAAGATACGAAGTCAAAGCAGGAGACTCGGGTGTGTGCTCTGAGAGGTGTCAGGGGAGGAATTTCGCACTTTCAACGTTAGCACTTACCGATTGTGATTGTCGCAGTGGCGTTGGAAGATGGAATCACGCTTTGTAGGTAGCTGTTGAGAGAGATACCATAGGGATTGCTGAATCCAGACTACGAGACAGACATGAAAATATTGGATGCTGCTGCAGATTTTGGTCGTCCACGAACCCGGCGCGCAAAGATTGCAGCTGTCGCAAGCCTACAGATTTGTACAGCTCAGACTGGAGCTTTATATGTCTGCTCGGCCTTCAGATCGATCGGCGTGAAGGACCAGCGTTACTCAATCACTCTGAGGCTACAGTCGTTGTAGCCTCATCTCCCCTGCTTTATCCGGGCGGTCCAATGTCTAGACGGCTTAAGCATCGAGGGGTCATCAAAGAAAGGATGATGTCCTTTCTCCACAGCCTAGTGTCGTGTCTGTATGCCTATTACTGGAGGTGCCCAAGTGCGTTATAGCAAGGAGCGGGCTCTATCACTTCCCTCGTTAACCACGGACCGGTATCAACGGGCAGTCAGGCGCCACTGATCTGTGCCACATACATGACGGACTCGAGTCAATCTCCGTGAATCAATGCCGTAATGTCAATCGAGCATCCAAAGATTTTTGGAACATACTTTGGTCTAGAGACCCTGTCTGTCGATCATTGCTGAGACTACCGAGATGACAGACAGGCAAAGGAAGCGCAGAAAGCAAGGACTGGCAGCCAAGAATGGTCATGTCAAGACTACGACCCATGGAACCACCCTCAGAGGTGAATCTCGACTATTCGCACCATTCCGGGCTCTCGGATTCGTCACAAACCATGTCCCATTCTCAATGTTTGTACATACTCCCAAGGGGGCTCTGGCGACACCAACAGTCAACCTGGTGACCAGTGTGGGGAGAAGCTGGATGATGTGGGATATGGAAAGAATGACGCTGGTTTTTGTCGGTCAGTGCTCTAGCAGCCCAAAGGAAAGAGAGGCGTATTTGACCTTAACCTCAGGACCCGAGTCTGGCGGAGAGATCAAGAGCCTTGTACAGACTGGGACAGAGGTGTTTGCTGCTGTTGGGTCTCGAGTTCTCAAATATCACCGTGGAAAGCAGGTGAGAGTCGCGAAAGCAACATTCGAAGCTAACGCGGATCGTCAGACTGGGGTATTCAAAGCTCCTGCTGAAGTCAATCTGGCTAGCATACAGATTCTCGGCGATCAGCTGCTGGCTCTGCGAGAAGATGGGACAGGCCTGTATATCTTCGATCTTGCCTCGGGCTGTGAGTGAATCTCCTCGCTCGCTAATCACTGGCTGACAATGGAATTGCAGCGGTTGCCAACGAGCTTCAATTCCATCCCGCCTTCCAAGCGACCGTCTTTCTGCACCCTTCTACCTACTTGAACAAGATTCTGATCGGTGGGAAGACAGGAGAGCTTCAGCTCTGGAACGTCAGGACATGGTGAGCTTAACAATAATGAGGCTCGCTGTTTCCCGCTGGCCGTGCTGACTTGGTCACAGCTCACTCATCCATACGTTCGCACCTGCCTCACCTTCATCACACTCTCCAGTCACAGCCTTGGTACAGGCCCCAGCCGTCGATGTTGTAGGCGTCGGGCATCTCGATGGATCTATCAGAATTCTCGATATACGTCAGGGAGACCTGGTCATGCAGCTGAAAGTGGACGATGGGAGCGTGACTGGTCTGGCATTCCGGATGGGTGAGTCGAACGATCATCATGTGCGTGTGTTGGCTGATGAATTCAGATGGTCCGCCTATACTTGCAAGTTCCTCATCCGCAGGCTCTATAGCCTTTTGGGACTTGTCCAAGGGGGGTAGAGTGATTCATGTCCAACGACGAGCTCACGAGAGGGGTATCTCGGGTTTGGAATGGGTGCCAGGTCAGCCTCTGTTGATCAGTTCCAGCGGGGACAACAGCATAAAGGTTTGTCACTGACTATCAAGACTGTCAATTGCTGATTTCGGAACAGCAATGGCTTTTCGACTCTCCGACGTCCGTACCTCGACTATTGAAATTCCGTGGTGGCCACCATGCACCCCCCTCATGGATTAGATACCATGGAGAGGATGGGAAGGACATCTTGACTGCTGGCCGAGACAGATCGTTGAGAAATACCAGCGTTGTCCGGGACTCCAGAAGTCATGAGCTATCGCAGGGTAGGGAATCCCATGGGTTTGCTAGGGCTTCGGCTGACTCCCTGACAGGGCAATCTCTGATTAAGAAATCCAGAGGACTTGGTATTTCGGCCGACGAGCTCAAGCTGCCGCCGATCACAGCCATGTCTTCCTCGTCCACGCGATCAAAGGATTGGGACGACATTCTTACTGCTCATGCAGAGGAGACGTCCGCTCGGACCTGGAGGGCAATGGATAAAAAGATGGGCACTGGAAATTTCGAAATGGAGCATGGTGTCATCCAGGTGAGAGCATTTCTTAGACAAATATGCACTGGCTGAAAAAGTGTAGGCTGTATGCGTCACTGCGTGCGGGAATTTCGGATTGGCAGGGTCCTCAGCAGGCGAGATCAAGATGTGGAATATGCAATCAGGGAAGGAAAGGCGGTCTTTCGGACTCACAGGGGAGCCCCGAGGCGACACACGCCCAGGCATCATTGCATCTGCCAAAGGCAAGGCGAAAGAAAAGGCCAGAGCTCCGGTCAGGTCGATTCAAGCCGTCACCGGAATCGCCACCGATGCGTTGAATACAACCGTCATTGCCAGTACGCTGGAGGGGAAGCTTTATGTGAGTCTGGGTCCCAGAATTGATGATGATTTGCATTGCCTGACATCTCCCAGTTCTTCGACTTTCACTCCACAAAGCTTGGGGCTGAGCTACAGCTGCCATCTTCCATCACAGCTCTTGGTGTTCATCGAGATAGTGGTATACTGAGCGCCATCTGTGACGATCTCGTCGTCCGATTGGTAGACATTGAAACAAGGAGGGTCGTCCGAGAGCTCAGAGGATTCAAAGGCAGAATACTGGATCTCGTCAGTCAAGATGGGCTTAATAGAGAGTCGAATGATGCTAACGTCTCCCAGGCTTTCTCGCCTGATTCAAGGTGGCTCATTACTACGTCAATTGACTCGATCGTGCGGACTTATGATATCCCTACCGGAAGTTTAGTGGACGCTTTCCGGACGGAAAGTATCGCCACGAGTCTGACTTTTTCTCCCACTGGCGACTTTCTGGCGACGGCGCATGTGGATAGTCTGGGTGTCCATTTATGGTGAGCCTGGCTCGCTCACATGCGTGTGGCATCGCACGCTGACTTGACGCAGGGCAAATAAGGCTCAGTTCTCCGATGTTGCTTTCAGTCATATCAACGATGAGGACGATGTGCAAGCAGTGGCGCTGCCTTCGGTGCAGGTTGTAGACGATCTTTCACGTGGGTAGCAGTGCACAAGCCGTGGGCTGGACCAGTCTCACTTTGATTTAGGTCTCGAAGGCTTTGAGCCGATAGGTGCACCGGAGCCTACGGATATCTATACATCACCGGAGCAGCTCACGGAAGGACTGTTGACTCTTTCGTTGATGCCGCGATCAAGGTGGCAGACACTATTGAATCTCGACACCATCCGGGTTTGTCGCGTCGATCTCTGGAGAACTTGAGTAGCGGCTGACATTCCACTCAGGCCCGCAACAAGCCCAAAGAGCCACCAAAAGCACCCGAAAAGGCGCCATTCTTCCTGCCAACTGTCGCTGGTCTCGAGACTCGATTCGATTTGAGTTCTGCACAACCGGATGAGGCATCGTCTTCAACCCAAAAGATTTCCACCTTTGGCTCCTTCATCGACAGTGATTTCACTAGGCGACTGATGCTGGAGCCAGAGGACTCGAACTGTAAGTTGAAGCAGCATCTATCGGGTTCCTGCGCTGACCATCTGGTCTTCCAGACTCTGCCTTCTTCGAGTTCGCCAAAGCTCTATCACCTTCGGCCCTTGATCTCGAGATCCGCTCGTTGTCCTCGATAGAGCATTTGTCTCGGTTCTTACACGCTCTGACTGCGCGTCTCAAGTCTCACAGGGATTTCGAAGCAGTTCAAGCCCTGCTCAGTGTCCTCTTGACCGTGTCCGCAGATCTTCTTATCGCCAACGAAGAATTGTGTGATCAGCTGGTGACACTGAGAGAGGAACAAGGTAAAGAGAGTGCCAGATTACGAGAGTTAGTGGGCTACACCATGGGCACTCTAAGCTTTTTGCGAGGGGCATAATGCATCTGTGTCTTGCTACAACGAAAGTACAACAATTTATACATTGACTGAGAGACAAAATACTGATTGGTTACTCCTCTGTATCCTGATAATTCGCCATTGGATCCTCGTAAGTCGACCGCGAGAGTCGATATGCCTCTGAATACGAACGTAAGCTAGATTCTTCAGACGCTTAGCTTTGCGAACTTACCGAGTTCCTCCTGAGTGACATCGGTCTTTGACTTTTTGGTATTTTGCCAAGCTTCATCGTCTCCCATTTTCTTCCTCTTTTTCTCTTCATCCAGTGCCTTTTTCAGAGCAGCCTGATCTATGGCCACTTCTTCGTTCACATCGACCCTCTTGGCGTAATTCGGAAGCTCTTTACTCTTGCCATTGGGTCTTGACGTCGAAGCTTCTGCGTGCTCCTCCACCAACGTCTTCTCAGGCTCCTTATTGCTAGAGAACGGTTGACTCGATGAAGCTAGCAGAGCAGCTGCGGAAGATGAAGCGGCTGCTGATTTTCCAGCTTCTCCAGTACAGTAGGAGCCGGGAGCTGGATCGATGCGTGAGCATTATTGCCGTCACGGGGATCGTCCGTAACTCACTGGTAGAATGGCAACAAGCGTATCCCCATCTTCCACCATCGCGATCATAGAAGGATCCCCAAATAGCAGTATGATTGTTGTCGTACTCGTCTTCAACATACTTCGATCGAGCTTTTGCCTTCTCCATGCCCTTGATGACCTTGCCTGACCTCGAGTACTCCACATCTGCTCGATGTCAGCCGCGGCACCGGTGAATTGAAGACAAAGGCTTACAATGCTCCGTTTGACCATTTAACAGTTCTTTAGGCATCCTCTCCAGATGCTCTTCTCCTCCGTACTTGGCCAAGATGGATACCTTGCTGGAGTCCTTGAGGACCTCCTTCTTCTCCTGGAATTCTCGGTGCAGAAGCTCTCCCGCTGTTGGATTGGCCTGCATGTGTACATTGTTGCCTCGCTGTGAAGATTGCCAAGCGAACAGCTGAAGCTTTTGCATGTTCGTCGCTTCTCCAGAGTATCGTAAAAAGTTGTCACCGGCAAATTTGAGCTAGACAGAATCAGAAAAGAGGGTTGATTCCATTCGACAGTACTCACGTCCTCTGGCCTAACACCTGCTTCAGGAGCGTCTCGCATAGATCTCGTCTTCGGATCATAATAGGCGGAGTCTGGATCCAGGTTCATCAAGTACTTGGCGGTATCTTCTCGGATACGCAAATTTCTGACTGTGATTCGAGTCTTGGTGTCCAGTTTTTGACCAACTTGGTCCGCAGCGTCCGCGTACTTGTCTTCATCCACCTCGTCCTCGTCACTACTTCCGAAATCCTCATCGTCCTCCTTCTTCTGCTTTGCCACCTTTTTGACCGCTGCCAAATCAGTCGACGTCTGAGCATCAATTTCCTCCTCTCTGATCTTTTGTCTGGCAGCCTCCGTAGCCTCGTATTCCTCCATGATCGTTCGATAACTCGACGAGTCGTAACCGTTCCATCGGTCTCGTTTAGCATCGTAATCCCTTCCCACATCTTGTGCTACATCATCCGCCTGGATATCCTTGCCGGTGAATTTGGCTCCTCGCTTTCTCGGCCTCTCTACGCAATCTTGACGCTTATGAGTCATGGATCCACAATTCTCGCAAGCGCCCTTCCTGTACTTTTTGGCGGCGGGTCCAGCTTTCGCCCCTCGATCATACCAGTCATCTAAACCAGTCTTTTCTTTCGGCTGATATCTTTGATGGGCAAGAGACGGAGCTCCTGTATCGGCATACCATGGTGCTCGAGTGATGTATTCGGGGATATGCGGATTGATACTCTTTCCCTCTGCGTCCACAGCCGCTGGGGCTGTTCCAGCTTTACGAGCTGCATCAAGATCCTTCTGACGTCGAAAGTCCTCTCGAGAGAGCTTGTTGGCTCCAGTGGCGACTGAAAAAAGAATCAATGCCAATTGTTGGAGCAGTCTCATTGCTGCTTACCTGTACTTGCCATGTCGCCAGAGGTCTTGAACTTTGCAGAAGTGGAAGACAGGCAGGCAACCGCTATCGAGTAAATGCATCTGCAGCTCAGGTGCAGCTAGCTGAGCGGCGACTACCGCCACACGGAAACAAAACGCCGAAATGCCGGAACCTTTGCTGGAAGAGATTTATAACTGAACCAAGTTGAAGCCAACTCACATCTTAAGAGCTCATCCATCGCCACTGCCCTGCAACTTACAGCGGAACACTGCAGAGCACTCACTGCTCGCTTGGAACCATGTGGAGACCAGCTACAAAAGGCGTGAGCGGGACAAACGACGTAAGTCATTTTTGCAACCTGTTGCCCCTTGTATTGCTAATCGCTCAATGTCCACAGGTACCGCTTGGTAACAAACGTCGATTCGGCCTACCAGAAGAAGCTCCTCCAGCAGGCGGACCTCCTCGTGATGCTGGCAGACCTCCCGCTTCTGATATTCAGTACTTCAATGGTCGAAGTGATCGAGATAGGGGCAGAGACGAGAGGGACGATTACAGACGCGACGACAGATACGAACGTGATCGTGGTGGTGACTATGGTCGAGGAGGGGATGATCATCGCCGAGACGATCGCGACAGATACGGAGGTGGTGGAGATTCAGGGCGCGAAAGGAGTCGTTGGGACGATGACCGGGGGCGCGAGCCTGAGAGGGGTAGAGATCCCGCACCTGTAGATGGTAAGTCGTCGAGCTTTAGACACTCGCTGGCAGCCTGTGTTAAAATTGAAATCTACAGACGGCCCCCGAAAGCGAAGATCACGATGGGGTGACGAGTCCAGCAAGGTGGAGGTCCCGGGTATGCCCGTCGCTCTGACTGGAAAAGTCTCTCAAACTGAACTGGATAACTACGCCATTCACGTTCGCTTGGAAGAGATCAACCGAAAGCTGAGGACGGGTGATGTTGTTCCTCCAGAACGCGAAAGGTCTCCGTCTCCTCGACCTCAATACGATGCGTATGGTCGAAGGACAAACACTCGAGACATTCGATATCGCAAAAAGCTCGAAGACGAAAGGTTGAGACTCGTCGATCGAGCTATGAAATCCGATCCCAATTTCCGTCCTCCTGCCGATGTTGCTGCTGCTCGTCGAGGTAATCGACCTCAGGACAAGGTGTACATTCCAGTCAAGGAGTTCCCCGAGATCAACTTCTTCGGTCTGCTCGTCGGACCCCGTGGAAACTCGCTGAAGCGGATGGAGAGAGAGTCCGGCGCGAAGATCAGTATCCGAGGAAAGGGAAGTGTCAAGGACGGTAAAGGTCGACCAGATGCTTTCTCCCATGATGAGGACGATGAGCTGCATTGTCTTGTGATGGCGGATGACGAGGAGAAAGTCAAGGCCTGTGTTGCTCTGATCAACAAGGTCATCGAGACCGCCGCCTCGACACCCGAGGGTCAAAATGATCACAAGAGGAATCAGCTTCGAGAACTCGCATCATTGAACGGAACATTGCGTGATGACGAGAACCAGCTTTGTCAGAATTGCGGAGAAAAAGGTTTGTCGAGTCGATGGATCATGTTGCTGTTCACTGACTTTTTATAGGCCATCGTCGATGGGAATGCCCCCAACAGCGAATGTACAACGCCAACGTCATCTGTCGATTGTGCGGTGGTGCTGGACACATGGCGCGAGACTGCCGTGGTAGGGGAGATCCCAATCTGGCGCAGAACAAGCAGACTGCATTCGACTCAGAATACTCTGCGCTCATGGCCGAGCTCGGAGAAGGTGGACAAGCCGGCGCAGCTGGCCGACCTGCTGCTGCTGTGCAACAACCGGAGCAGAGGATACCTCCTTGGAGAATCCCAGAGAACTGGAATACAAACAGTAAGTAGCGCGGTCTCCGTTAAAAATGCTCAGCTCAATCTCCTTGTAGACTTCCGTGGTGTCGGACAAGCACCACCCCACATGGGTTTCCAACAGGGCTATTCTCAAAACGCTGGTTACGGATATGGAGGCTATGTTGCAGAATCTGGCTACTCACAGGCTCCCCAAGCTGGTGCAGATCCATACGCTTCGTACGTTTCCCCTTCATCATCGGGAATGCACGACCTGACTCGCCCTCTCAGATACTATGCCTCTATGGGTCAGACTGCTGGAGCCTAATCCTACTTACGTGGACATGATGGATCGAGCTCACATCTGCCTCTCACTCTAACGACTTGCGCCCAAACACATCCGACCCACCCATCCAGTCGGGCAGTGTTGCTGTGAAGTAATACAACGAGTATTTATTGTAACAAAAGGACGAGACTTCCGACCGACGAGTGTACCACTCTGATGCCTCTGGCTGTGGTGCCCACAGTTCCTTGTCGTGTCTCGGCTGATGTATGCTTGTGGTTCTGACGAGGGATTGTGACCAGCTTGCCGCCTCGCAGTGTCCCTCTCGACCGAGATTCTGGGAACACTAGTCGTCAAATCCGCACCAAGTTACGGTTTCAGGAAAGGCAGGATTGTCTGTCAGCTGCGAAACCAGTCTCTCAAGGTAAACAGATGTCTGAGTAATCTGCATTGCTCATGAACGAGATCCGCAACAATAACCTAATGCGAGCTGCAACGCGCCAGGCGGGGGAGGTAGGCCGCCTTATCCCGAGATGTACGTGTATGTGGAGGCAGGGCGAGTCTGTGCCGTGCTCGTTGATTGGCAGGGGATTTCTCCTTTCCTCAGTCCATCTGATCGATGATGCTAAGCCCACTTCAGCGTGAGTGCATTCGAGCATTCCGTGACTGCCGTATGAATGCCATGCATCGGCTTCCGAGCAACATGTGATTACCGGGCTTCGGGATGACGTCGTTCCATCCCGAGATTTCCGAAAGGTCGGCACTGGCGTCTCTTTCCATTCAACAAGATCCTTCGAGTACCTCTCCCGTCCTGGCTTGACAATGGGTCCCAGCTCGAAACCTTTTGGGAATCCTCCTCAGAAGCCTACATTCCCTATACACAATCTCAACGTCCACTTCCCCCAGTCTGACATTGATGATCTCCGATCTCGTCTGAACAATGCCAGACCACTACGGACGACATGGGAGAACTCATTCACGGATGCTGCTTTAGGAATCAGACAGGATTGGATGGATCAAGCTATAGCATACTGGAGGAACAAGTATGACTGGTGCGCTTACCCTTCCCTCGTTTTCAATACAAAGCCATTCATTTGACCATTTGACTCATTAGGCGCGAGGTGGAAGAGAAGATCAACAAGTATCCTAATTATATGGCGAGCCTGAAAGCCAGGGAACATGAACAGTCTATTCATTTCACAGCTTTATTCTCTGAGAAGACAGATGCTGTACCTGTTTTGATGCTTCACGGATGGCCAGGTGAGACACTAGACGAAGAGAAAGGCGGCTCCTTGAGCCTGAGCCTGAATGCTCGATGTGACTGAGCTGACGCGCCTCCGTTTTCGTCTCAAAGGATCCTTCCTCGAGTTCCAGCCGCTCATGGATGACCTCGTCTCCAACTATTCTCCCTCTGATCTTCCCATACATCTCATTTGCCCCTCGCATACTGGGTATGGTCTTTCTGGTCCCCCACCTCGTCATGATAAATTCACAAAGCGCGATGCGGCGGAACTCTACGACGGGTTGATGAGAGGTCTAGGCTTCGATTCTTACGTCGTTCAAGCTGGAGACTTTGGAGCCCTCATAGCGAGATTGATGGCCGAAAACTTTGACGGATGTAAAGGTGAGTGCCTCGAGTGGCTTGATCAATCTTCATCAACGGGGCGGTCGAATTGAAACGGTGTTTTTCGCTCGCAGCTATCCACTTGAACAGACTGCATCTTGAACGACCTGAGACTCGAGATATCGCACCGACAACGAAAGAAGAGGAGAAAGCAGTAGCTGAAGCCAAAGAATGGAACCTTTATGAAGCGGCATATAAGCGTGAACAAGTCACCAAACCAGCTACCATTGGGATAGTAGCTTCATCAGATCCAGTGGCCATGCTGGCATGGTGGGTAACACCTCTCTATCCTTCGAATCAGACTGATGGGGCACACCGTCTCAGGATCGGCGAAAAATTCCTCGCTTGGTCGGACGAAACTCCTTCGCTCGACATGATCTTGTCCAACGTCACGCTCTATTGGCTCACAGAATCGTTTCCAACGGGTCTATGGGCGTACAATGACGATCACCCGCCAGTCGCCGTCAAAGGTACTAGCCCACATAACAAGCACGAGAAACCCGTAGGCTACAGTCTCTTTCCAAAGGATCACGAAACGTATCCCGAGTCATATGTCAAGAAGGCGATGAATCTCGTGTGGTTCAGACAGCATGACAAGGTGAGATTGATGTTTCCATGCCACGGGACAGCAGCTCATCCATTGGCACAGGGAGGCCATTTTGCCGCTCTCGAGTGTCCAAAAGTACTGCTGCAAGATCTACTAGACTTTGTGAAAGAAGTCTGGAGCAATCATTAATTGACGCTTGGTGCGGTGGGTGAAATGCATGTGTGTACACAGAGAAATCCTTCATGACTATCGAGACGTGTATGAACAACAAGCATAGAAACCGATGCGTTGAAATCAATCAGACCCTTCCCAGCTACGCATCTTTTGGCTCGTCGGCTGTAGCACGGAACCCGCCCCAGACGACCGCTAACAAGTCTAAAACACCTCGTCAACCTTGCTTCGATGAATACAGAATCCCTGGATCGCAGAATGAGCATCAGAGACCAATCTCTACTTTTCCCTATACTCACGGGCGTGACCCATTCCTTACAGCCACACTGAACACCAGCCCAGTCAAAATTGCCCAGCTTGACACCACACTTCTCGTTGGGACAGACGATCTTGCCGGAGATGTCTCCCTTTTGAAGTATAGGTTCCATCCAAGTAAGCTGTAGAGCGAGTATCAGTTGTGTTCCACCAACGAGAGCCACTACTCACGGGCTCAACAAAGTATCCCGAACATTTCGGGTTGACAAGAATAGGCGGGCCCGAGGGTCCAGGTACACCGATGCTGCCTCTTCGATCGCTCAGACTTGTTCGCCTTCCCAGACCTTCCGCAGGTGTCATGGCCAAAGTGGACAACCGTCGACCAGACGCAGTCGACCTATCAGATGCCCGTCTTTCGCCTGCGCCAATGGATTTCGATCGTCCCAAAGCCACCGGCGAAGAGGGTGATTCCGGCGCCGGGGAAGCAGGAGCAGGTGAGGCAGAGAGTCGCGGCACAGAATCAGCGCTCTTCGTCAAGACGGGCCCTGGGGGCGGAGCAGGACTTTCACGCTCCGGTGAAGACGCTGGACTGGCATTGAAAGGAGAGGTGAGGTCTGACATGCTGATTTTACGCGTTCGAAGAGCTTGGAGGTGAGGTGGGAGTCGGTTGGCGAGCTGATCAGCCGTGAGATATGATCGAGAATTGCTTGAAGAATCGCTGGAAGGGAATGGCTTGGAGGATTTGGAATCGGTACTCGACTCTGATGGGTCGGGATCGCGAACATCTCCATTTGGCCCGGTTCCCGTCTTTGGATAGGGCAGACCACCGGGAGAAGGTACGCCGGGACTGACACGCTCCTTGTCCTTATCGATACTTGATATTTGAGCAGGTGATGGATGGGCCGAGGTCATACTGAGGCTCATGGATGGCTGACGTGATCGTGTGGCTCCTGGTTTCCCAGTCAGGGGATTGATGACCTCAGAGATGATTGAAGGCCGACGACTTGTGGGTTGCGAAGGATTTTTGGACGGATCGACACTGGTGAAACCTGAGCCGAAGGAGAACGAGGAGCGATGAGGGTTGAGCGACGCCTCACTAGGAGTTCGAGGTCGAGATGTGGGGGCTTGGTCGAGAATGTGGTCCATCATATGCTCCCGTACTGCTAGCTCTCGCCTACAGCCCATCAGCGACGTCACCTTGAGAACAGGGAATACCTCACCTGCATGCTTTGCATCTGATTTTCCGGCGACCCCGAGTGCCTGCTGGTGTAGCTGGACGACTCAATGTAGGAGTAGCGGGATACTTGGCCATCTTATCCATGGCAGGAGCTCCACCATTCCCATCTGCGTCTGATCAGCATCCCAGCCGCCCAATGGTCGGAGCCTTCGGCTCACTCATGAACTCATTGGTCGTTCGCTCCATGTAATACTGCCTCGTTGAGCGATCACGTAGTGACACTCTACCGTCGGCATTGTGGAACAGGCCTAGCTGGTACCAGAATGTATCAGAGGGACTGCGGCGAAAGTATTAGTGTTACGTTTTGGCGTTTGCTAAGTGCACCCACGAGACTACCGGCCTCTTTTCCTGAATGAGCTCAACCGCCTCGACGGGCCCGATATTGAGGACTCTCATAAGGTAGGCCGCAGCGACGGTAGCACTACGACTCATTCCCGCCTGGCAATGAACGAGCACGCTTCCAGGTTTGGTGATTCCGGCTCTTGGGTCGATCAGTTTGCTCCTCGTGGTTGGGGTATTGCTTCTCCCTTCGTTGATCGCTTTGATCTCCTCTGCTCCTGGGAGCTCTTCCCCTGCCTCATTCTGCTCCGCACGCTGCTTCTTATCCATGGCATCATTGATCCACGCAACACAGGATGGGAGATGGGATAGAATATCCGTATCGGCGTGGTCATCAATTTCCAAGGGGTACACTGAGAATTCGTTGGAGAATTCCAGAGAAGGTCGGAGACAGGAGAGGATGTTTGTCTAAAAGCACGAGTCAGAGATTGTTCGCAAACATCAGCAAAGAGTCTTACAATACCGCGTTCCTCCAGACCAGGCGCATCCATGGCTGCTACCAGGTCACCAACCCATAAGCCAGGGACTATTTCTTGTAGATGTACTATATCTTCCTGGTCTTGATCGTCTCTCTGCTGACCGTGACCGTACCCGTACCCATATCCATAACCATCTTCGTCATCGTCATAGTCGCCGTTGCCGTTGTCTTCTTCTTCATCCTGCCATGCTTGGTTACTCTGAGCAAGATACGCAGCCTCTTCCGCGTCGTCTTCCCACGCGCGGGCGACTGCAATCTGTTGAAGCTTCTTCGCTGCTGCTTCGAGGGACCCAGTCTGCTCTACGGATCTACACACGAAGGTCAGCACCTTGCGAGCATGTACGCTCATAGGCAACAGTATATCAGGAACGGAATGACGTATGGTTAACCGACAGGAAGGAGCGTCGACCAACATGGCTCATGCTCACTTGTACACGTCTGTGATAGCGTCATCATCCGATTTAGCAGAGTCGGAGGGCGCTGGATCGTCCTGGTACGAGCGAGTAGAGCTGGTTCGCCCTGGCAATCGAGGCCGAATGGGTCCGGCTTTCTGATCCGGTTGAAGAGTCATGTGGACCGGCTAGCAAGTGATGGATGGCCAGCGACAAGCTCGGTCTCTGCTACTCAGAGAGACGAGTCTACAAATACCGTTTCCATATGCAGTGGGTTTGGTGATAAATAGCAGCAGACACGATTCCAGATCGCAGTGAGGGATCCAAGAGACTGGCAAGTGTAGGTGTAACAAAGGAGAGAGAGAGAGAGAGAGAGATCTATGTCGCGCGTGCCTCTCTTTTTCATTTTCACTCTCATCCCGGTAGAAAAGGGGGTTAAATATAACCTTTGGGTCAATGGTGAGTATGACTAGGGGATAACTGCATCCAGTCGCAGCTCTGGTAGAGAATCAGCGTAGAATCTAGGCAAGCAACTGATTGCCAGCATGAAGAGCGAGAAGGTCGAGGTACGATCTGGACAGATCTTGAGCTGAGGACCACACTGCGGGAAGCAAACATAAGACAGGAGGGAGCCAATTCTAATGGTTGCATGCAATTTTGTCTCGCACCATTTCACCCATCTTACACACCCTCTGCAACAGAGTCAGTGTCTCCTCACGACACGGCATGTTTGCACTCACGAGCAAGAGCAGCGTTGAAGCGGTTGACTTTCGATGAGGCGGACAGGTCGACTGTACCAGGGTTCAGTGACTGTTGTCCGAGAGGAGCAGCATGAAACTCACTTGTCTTGTCACCAAAGTCGACGACTAGGCCACCGAGAACAGCGGGATTGACCTGATGATAGCGTCAACGCACCATTCGATGAAAGATGCAAAAGGGGACGGCAGAACAGACTGCTTTTTCTTCTGCAACGATAGAGACAATCGACCCACCTTGTTCTGGATCTTAATCTTCTTTCCCTTTGCAATCTCCGTGGCTTTCAGAGCCTTGTCCAACCTAGACATGGCAGAGCTGTCCAAGGGCTCGGCAGAAGTGACAATGACCTCCAGTTCTCCGCGGTAAGCGGCCATCAGACTTCCAAAGTCGTCAAAAACCTTTGGCGCCGAGGCCAGACGTCCATTTTCAGAGAGGACAGTGAGGAGGTTGAGAAGCATAGGAGAGGAGGAAGAGCCGACAAGCTCCTTGAGGACGAGGGATCGTTCTGTGGATGACAGGGTAGGATTGCCTAGGTGCCAGAGGTGTCAGCATCATCAGACAAGCGTTCGGTGAGATGGATAGCTTTAAACTCACGGACGAAAGCATCGATTTTGCTGTCCGACTTCATCTTCTTGTCAAAAGACTCAACATCCTTCGCCAACTGCTCCAAGTCCTTGGAAGACTTCTTCAAGGCGGCGACGTAGGCAGAAGTAGCATAAGTTCCCGTCAAAGAGTTGAGCTGGATAGGGGGCTGCAAGGAGTGATGTGAGCGAAGTGATCCCATGAAGCATTCTCAGACACAAGAAGCCACGAAGTGTTGGGTCTCTCCTCGACTTTCTCCAGTGAGGTGATGCCGAGCCTAGTCCACCGTTGCCTGCTGCTCAAGCATTTCATTTCTCCTTGCTCAACGACATCTCCATCTCCGTCTTCCGTGTACTCTTCTCCATTCCTTCCGGCCCAAATATGCTTGGGTCCCCAGACTCACCTTGACATCTTTAGCTGTCGCATAACCCCTTCTCAGGACGGTCCTCATTGCGCTCGCCATTGTGGATCTGTATGGGGTGTTCGTCGATGAAGACTCGCTGAACCTGCGCTACGCTGTGGGGAGCAGATGGAGAGCTGCAAGGAGCCGGCGTTTTAAGGAAATTGACCGCGTGTGGCACTTTTTTCCGGGGGATCCCACAAGGGGGTTGGTGGCAAAACGTTTGGCTACAGGTCTCCCGTAGAGATGAGTACACTACTATGCATAGCAAGATGAGAATCGTTTAGCCCTGTTGACGGTGGGTGAATGCTATGTCTATGGTGATATTTCCATCAGCAGCGATGCGTGCCCTCTGACTCGATGCTTCATATGCTACCTTCTTGTTCCGCCAGGCAGTACAAGAGGGGTGTGTCTGCCCGGCGGAAGCCGAATCTACGAATTGAACGTTGAAAATGTCGTGCTCAACGTGAGAGCTTGATAGTCAGAAACGACTTGTGAAGCAATTCGAATATCATTCTATCTTATTACAGCGAACACTGTCAATGGAAGCGTCACATCGGTGGCATACAGCTATCATTGCTTTGCCCGTTCACGAGTCCGTCCGCTCTTAATATATGCATCGCCACAACCACTAGCTCGCTTCATCGGCCGATCACTTGACCCGTCAAAGAACAACATTCTCCAGACCGTTTGGCTACCCAATCCTCGACATGAACGAGCCGACGCTTACATTACCCTTGTTCAATACATCAGGTGGCTATGCGCCTAGTCCTGGATCTCCATTCTCAGATTCATACGAGAATGTCTTTTCTGCAAGTGATTCGTCCACTTCTTACCGACACAACGGGAGATCGCTCGTAAATCAACTCCACGCATCTCGTCATGGTAAGCTGCACAAATCCACCAGAAAGATGCAAGATGCTAGATGCTGACTGGTGAACTCTCCCTTCAGCCTTAGATAACACCTTTTCTCTTCCCAGCTCAACGGCCGCAGGCCCATCCCAACCGTCTCCCAGTTCGGGCTCTTTTGTTGACTCAGACTTTGGCTCATTCTACGACCCCTCAGCCTATCTTCAGACCAGTCCGGCCGCGCCACCTGTTACTTGCTTGCCTCACGCTGGACCATCTAAGGTATCCAAGAAGACGTCGCCACCTATGGGAAGCAGGGCTTTCGGTTCGGATGCCAATGTACTGTCCATTAATTGGAATGGAGACTCACCGGGAACCGGTCAAGCGAGTCTTGGTCACGATACTCTCTCACCATCAACTGTCATGGCGGACGACATGCTCCAGCTTGAAGATGACGATGCAAAAGCTGAACGGGGTGATGAGGAGAGTCGCAGTGGAGGTCTAGAGGAAGCGAGTCCAGGAGAAGATCAGGAAGGAGCAGGTGGAGAAGGCGGTATAGAGGATAGCGAAGAACCGCTTTACGTCAATGCCAAACAGTATCACCGCATACTCGTGCGTCGGGCTGCCAGGCAGAGACTGGAAGAGCTCAACAGGTTGGCGAGATCTCGAAAAGTAAGTCTGGGTCTGCGACGGTGTTAGACGGAATGAGACTGTGTCTGAAGACTTTCCCTCGTCTCTAGCCTTATCTACACGAATCGCGACATCGGCATGCTTGCAATCGTCCACGGGGAAAGGGAGGGAGGTTCCTGACGGCGGAGGAGATTGATGCATTGAAGAAGGACGAGGCCGGCAGTGCAGCTGTATGATAGAAAGGGGGACACGCGTGTGTGTCAAGCATCGCTGCTGTGCCTTGGCGTCTGACGGCTGCAGTCATGTTGTTCATTCCGCCATGTTGTATTGGGGAAGAACTGCCCGAGGTAGATGTAAAAGCATAGGTTGAGACTGCCACGTCCCATCTCGCATGGTGGAGGTGGTCCAGTAAATTCTGACAGCTCTATTATTGCTTCATTCAATCTCCATTGAGCCTTGCGTCCGACCTCGACACATTGACCGACCAGCGGTCTGCCCCGGACAGGGTAGACTCAGTCGCGTGTCGGGAGCAAGATGCCGGGATCCCCTACTGAAAGGGGCAGAGTGGTGACGCTGGGTGGGTCATCGCTTTCGTGTGTTTCCACTCTAAGCACAAGAGAGGAAGATCAAATGAACTCTGAGCTGACGAAGGGTGACCTATCCAGAGTCATTCATCATCGATACCTTCAAACGGATTGATGACGATGGAGTCGAGCACCCGGTCAACAGGCCAAACGAAGTGCGCTAAGCTCGAACAGGTTGATCTGACTGACTTTTGTACGAAGATTGGAGGCGCCGGACCATATGGTGAGTACATCGAAGTAGCGCCCTAACAGACCAAACAAAACTGACGAGCTACCTGACCAGCTCTCGTCGGATCTCGTATGTTTCTTCCTGCGGACATGCTGGGCATGATACTGGACTATGAATCATCTTCTTTCCCCGATCACATGGCGAGTCAATTACAAACCTACGGCGAAGAGATGTGGTTGTTCAGGGAGAGACAGGACAACATGGCAACGACCAAAGCTGTGAACAAGTACTACAAAGAAACCAGGCTGTGCGTTGTCCTACGGTCGCATTGGAGCGCGTACCTGCCCCATAACGCCAGATGACCTGACATTCACTCAGATTTGAATACCTCAACACACCGATCCTCAATACGCCCAACAGCTTAGTCAAAACTCGTCTAGCTCGACCTCCACCTCAAATTATCCATTTTGTATCGCTCGTGAATCGAGCTCTGGTGGTCCTCTCCGAAGTGGAAGATCTCCGCGAGGACGGATGGGATCCAAAGCTATTCTGGGAGCCTGAACCCGTGAGGTACTGACAGTCTGCGTCCTCGATGGCTTCCGTTGTCGAGGTCTTGGCGGCTGATACATGTCCCTTTACCATGTTGCAGACCACTTGCCATCCGCAGTACCTCGATCTCATCCTGACGATTGGATCTCAAGTGGATATCCTCAGGTACGAGAACCTGTCCCTACAGAGCCATCCAAGCTTGGTCAATTGATCTTTCGTCTAGCCCAAATCACGCCGAAGCATTCAATCTCCTTTCGATGGAGGAACCCGAAGATGTAACGACCGAGACCGTCAGACACTTGGTTGAGAAAGCAACCTTGCAACTCTCTCGTTGCCGTCCAAAGATTGCTACAGTTGTCAGAGCCGGATCCCTAGGATGCTGCTACGTCGAGACGGTAGCCAATTGGGAACAAAGCGAGATTGCTTGGATCCCGGCGTATTGGCAAACACAGAATCCAGATGACGGTTGTCTCTCTCCCTCCTCGGATACTCCTGTTCACACCATTACGTCCGTGCTTCACAAGTCTACGGATGATAAAGGCAAGGGCAGAGAACAAGACACACTTTCATTGGGTCGTGACGTCAGGCATCCTCGAGTGGTTGATCCCACCGGCGCAGGCAACGCTTTCATGGGCGGGCTCGCAGCAGCTTTCAGCCTAGGGTGTGATATCGAAGAAGGTGCGTCAACCTCCGACCAGTCGTCCCTGTGCCTTGTCTGGTAGCATACTGATTCCCGACGTCGTCCATCCACACAGCCTGTATCTGGGCGAGTGTGGCAGCCTCATTCACGATCGAGCAACATGGTTTACCTCACATCAAAAACGTTGGCGGAAAAGAATTATGGAACGGTGATGCCCCAATGGACAGGGTGGAAAAGCTTTCTAAAAGGCTTGCATGGGATCAAGCGGTATAGAGTGTCCATAGATGATCGTTGGGCGAGAGTGCAGAGCTAAGGCGGGTGGCAAGAGTCAGAATGACATTACGTAATTCCAGTCCACTGGTCCGAGCCCCCGGGAAAAATTTCCGGCCATCGATGTGCCAACACCTATCTACTTATCCATTTCATCTGAAAACCTGAGAGAGCAACATGAGCGCGCCAGTCCCACGTCTTAGAGGACATCTCCTAAGATCTGCCGCGTCACTGGCTGGAGCATCATCCCGGATTGGGGAACCATCAGTCTCCAAGAATTGTTCCTGTGGTCGCTTCGTTGGAAGTTCAACCATTCCTGCTCGCTCAATCGGTCGATCTCTTTTAGTTTCTGCGTTTGATGCAGGCAGGAACTGCCACGCAAGGGCCTACTCAACAGATTCAATCGGGAAGGCTGGTCCCGATGCTTCAAGCTCACTGTAGGTGTCGCATTCGCCAGTCGTGTGACCTTTGCTCATGCAGTCCAAACAGTGCCGGCTCCAGTACTTCTTCGTCAAATTTCCAAGACGCCAGATATCAACACTTCCAAGCCAGTCTTGCGAATATCGACGCTAACAATCAGTCCCGCGCACGGGTCTTCAAAGGAGTTCATTCGCGTCGGGACAGAGCCAAAGGCACCACTCCCCAAGAGGCTAAAGCCTTGAATCAAGTCATCGCTGGGTTATACCGAGAGCTCGAAAGGCTTGGAGGACCCCTCAGACCAGGCTCGAACCCCGTCACCGATCCCTTCAGTCACAATCTCGCCGACTCTCCTCGAAGTGGTGATTCCCTTCGATCGATGATTGGCGTTCCGCGTTTCGCGAAGCGCACAGATGACGGGCTTGGAGGAGCCGAGCTCGCCAAATTAAGATCTGAGATCGACATGCTCAAGGAAGATATGAGCACGTTGTCTTCAGAGCAAGACTTGGTCGAATGGGCCGAACGTCACGTTTTCACACCTTCAGAAGTCTCCGATGGTGAAGAACTTGGATACCCGAGACGTTATCCGCATATGCTCGCGTACTTGATGCGAATCACAAGGGAAATTTACAGGAACCCCTCACTCGCCCTTGCCTTCTTTCAACACGCTCAGACCCTCTCACTTGAATCGTACATGTCTGGATGTCTTACCTCGGCATATAACGAGCTCATCAGAACTCGATGGCAATGTTTCAGGGACCTTGAAGGTGTAGATCAAGCTCTCAAGGAGATGGAAACGAGTGGTGTCTCGTGGAACTTTCATACTCGACAGTTGGTCGAGAGCGTTTGCAATTCTGTCAGCTCAACGCCATTCAGCACAGAGAGGGGAGAAGAAGAATCGATATGGAAAGAATTCGTGATGAAAAGATGGAGAACGCTGGAAGCGAGACTCGATGCTGATTCCAATGCAAGTGAAGGAATGTGGGACAGAATGGCAGAAGCCAAACGCATGGAGAGAGGTCTCAACCTGGACAGCGAACGAGCTCGAGAACGCTACGGATCAAGCGACAATCGGCAGAAAGGTGGCATCATTCCTCAATCACAACGACGGCCAGAGAGGCGATCTTCTGAAAGTCTCTCCCACAACTCGGTCTACCAGGATGAATGGCAGGCTGGCCATGATGAGGATGCCCCTCATCGCGCTTATGGTTAGATCATTGGTGCTTCATGTAGATTGGCGCCTTCCTTCACATCGCCTTGTCTCGTTAACGTCACGTCATGTCATATGCTTTTGTATCTATACAACAGGTGTTTGTGTGTAATTCCTCCGTTTTTTTGCGGTTGCATCCGTGACAGTGTTCCATACACATAAGTCTTGCTTCCTCTGTCCCTTTCAGCCAGTGTGCCAATGATTGCTCTCCCCGATTTCATTGACCTGCCTCGAATCTGGCTTGCGAGGATGCAAATAATCTCTCCTGTAGTGCCAACAGCTCCTCCTGAGACATGCCGTTGGTATCTGGTGCAGATCGTTGACGTTCCTAAGGGTTGTCGAGTGAGCAGTGATCTTCCCCGGTTTCTATCCCTCTGACACACCTTTTGACTCTGCTTGAAGGCCTTGTTAGACTCCTCCACTTCCTCGATGAAGCCCTCAAATCCCAATTGCTGGCATGTCGGATATCAATAATTCGACTGATGAACGAAAGTGTCGCCTGGGACCTACCTTGAGCGCCTCTGTAACGTGTTCCGGGGAGATTGTCTTCTTCGTACTCTCTTCACAGACAGTGTTCGCTTGAGTTGAGATCAATTTGACCCATTCTATCACACGAGACTCTCATCAGCCAATTGAGACGAGACCGAGACCGAGACCCGATGGCTCGTCATGACTCACCTACACAACATTCCACAATAATCTCTTTGGCCTCCTTTGAACATGACATGTCGGGCGGAAGCATCTCTTCAGGATTGTCAGTCAAGCAAGGACTGGCTGCGAATGGTATGAATCTCACCAGTAATCAATTTGAACACTGTAGCTTTAGGTAGCCCGACATCATCATCCGCCTCCTTATCTGACATTGTCTGAAGCAAGATTCCCAAGTGCCCCAGGTCCGTAGGTGATGATCAAGAAGGCGAGCGAGCGTCGTCTTGCTCCGCGCTTTGTCTGTCTCCTCGAAAATTTGCTTCCGTCGGCTTCTTGACAATGGAAACGTTGAAATGCTCTATCAACTCATACACCATCCATTGCAAGCTTCGAGATGGCTAATTCGACCGTCAGGGGCGCTTTGTCAGTCCACGGAGGGAACCCTCAGGTACGTGTGCATCATACTTTCATCCAATCTTGCGTCACCCAGCAACTGATGGCAATACCCCACTCAGTTCTTAATTGAAAAGGTCATTCGAGCGAGGATCTACGATAGCTTGTACTGGAAAGAGCACTGCTTTGCCCTCACAGGTGAGTGAGTGGGGCCTCTTGAGATGACTCGGAATACTCTCTTGCACTCATATCACTTGGATGCTCAGGGGACTTCGCCAATCACTGTCGCAATTGCTGACGCCTTCCCCTTGGTTAGCCGAATCAATCATTGACAAAGCCTTGGAATGCAAAGCCATTGGAGGAGTACATGATCGTCAGACCCCCACAGCCTTCATGTGTCTCACTCTCAAACTGTTACAATTGCAGCCAGAAAAGGAGATCTTGATCGAATATCTATTAGCAGAGGAGTTCAAGTGAGTCGAGAGTTGGTTCACCCACAGATAGATCTAATGGCTCTTAGATACTTACGAGCCCTTGCCGCCTTCTACATTCGTCTCACGTTTCGGAGCATGGACATCTACGAGCTTCTGGAGCCTCTCATGAAGGATTTTAGAAAGCTGAGAGTGCACCATGTCGGTCAGTCATGAGGATAGCCTCGGGCAGGCCTCTCCAACTTCAAACTGAGATCTCCCCTTTTTTTTCCAGGCGGCTACTCCCTTACATATTTTGACGAGTTTATCGATGACCTCTTGACGAAAGAACGAGTCTGCGACATCATATTACCCCGATTGACACAGAGATCCGTATTGGAAGAGACAGAGGGTCTCCCACCACGTAAATCGCTTCTGGTGAGCTACTCCTTGTGGTCCAAGCCTCGAGAAAAGATGGCAGAACTCTGATCATGGACTCAGGATGAAGAAGATCAGCGACCCAAGCGAGAATTGTCCCGCACTCCATCTCGTACGCCTGAATCTAGAGAATCTTCTCCAGATTTACGGAGGACTCGTCGGCGTTCCGGTTCTGTGTCCTCTATGGATTCAGACGATGGAAGATTTGTTTCTCGATCGCCTTCCCGTAGCCGTAGTGGAAGTTTGTCTTTCGACGGAGAAGAAGGCGATACGCGAGGCAGATACGTCAGTAGGAGCCCAAGTATATCTCCCGACAGGATATTAGAGGCCATGGGAGAAGAGAGATTAGATGGAGACGTTTGAAGAGGGACAAGCTGTCTCGCGAGATTCGCCACATTGTTGTTTTATACCACATAGTGTACATCATTCTCTTGCATCATACATTGTCATTAAGAAGAGTCATCTACTTGTACTTGCATCGAATTCCCTCGTCATCGACGGGGAGCACCAAATCTCCCTCGCTCGTGACCCATTCTAGCTTCAAGCTCGACCACTTTGTCCTCTAGTCGACCAGCATTGTTGTCTATTGAGTTGAGCGCTCTTAAATGAGCGCCCAGGATGGCTGACAGTTGATTGACAGGATCCTCAGTGCCGTCTCCACTGGCCGGTGCGTGCGTCATTGACAGAGAATTGACTTCTTCAATCATGGACGAGAGATTACGGGAAATGTCGTCCAGTTGTTTGTTGAGATCCTCGGCAAGAGTATACCTTGTACACGAGTCAGCACTGCCAATCTGCGTCCCTTTTAGATAGCGTAGACACTCACGACTTTTCTCTCTCCTGATCTGCGGGCAGTCGAGCTGCCAGTGGCTTTGTCGAGTCCGTAGTGAAAGCATTGATCTCCCTTTCGTAATGGGTCATCATGGCATCCAATTGCTTCTGCTGAGACTCGAAGAGGTCCAGAGCCTTGTCCACGGAGGCTTGATTTTGCTGCGCTTCGAAGACCTGTCTGTGCAATGCGGTGATCTGAAATCATTGTCAGGGCACATGTACTCGGGCCGAAACCCTGGCACTGACTTGAGCACCATTTCTCAATAAGACCTTGTCCCATTCTCTCACTTCCCCTGCTTGTCTCTCAAATTCTTTGACCTGAGCATCGAGATCCTTTGACCAACCTTCGACGATATCTTCCATCGTCTTGCCTCTGAGAAGATTCGGAGCGGGCTCCGTTGTTGTGGCGGTGGATGTGGGACCTGGACCAGTAGCAGTGGAGGCTGCAGCAGGCAAAGAGCCAGCCGGAGCCGGGACAGAGCTCGTGGCGGATTTGCTAGCCTCAGCGGGTTTAGCTCCGAACAAGGATCCAGCAGCGGGCGCGGGCGCGGGCGCGGGCGCGGTATTGGTGTCCGCGGTCTTGCTCGCTGCATTGCCAGTGGCGGGCGGCGCAAAGCTTCCGAAACTGAATCCTCCTGCAGGTTTCGTAGGCTCCGCCGCCTTCTTTTCCGGCTCTTTGCCTTTATCTTTGCTTTCCGTTGTCGCCGTAGTAGCGGTGGAAGGAGCAAAGCTGAATCCAGAAGTAGCCGGAGCTTTTGATGCCTGGGGACCAGCTACCTTTTCGGCAGGAGTCGCAGATGATCCTCCTCCCAGATTGCCAAAGCTGAATCCAGAGGCGGGAGCAGAGGGCGCAGCTGGGGGAGGAGCAGCGGCCTTCTCCTTGTCCGTCGTCGGTGTAACCGAAGACGTTCCAAAGTTACCGAAGCTGAAGACCTGTTTTGGTGGTTCAGAACTGGAAGAGGCAGCTGGCGCTGATTCTTTGGACGCCTTGTCAGTAACTGATGGGGCAGGAGCGCCAAAGCTGAACCCTCCTGAAGGCTTTGCAGTTTCCGCAGTCGTCGAACCCGATGCTGGAGCCGCTGCCGGTTTAGGTGCTCCAAAGCTGAATCCTCCAGGTGCGGGTGCTGTCGGCGCTACCGGTTTAGAAGCGTCTCCTGCACCTTCTGCAGGTTTGGCACCGAACAAGCTGCCTCCTCCAAATAGGCTGCCTCCGGAAGAGCTACTTGTAGCAGGAGCCGCATTGGTGGATTTACTGGCATCATTTCCCCCTGCTGGAGCGCCAAAAAGAGATGGGGCTTTCGAGGTTTCACCATTTGTGCCACTAGCTGAGGCGGCTGGCTTTGCGCCGAAAGAGAACAAGCTACCTCCAGCTGGAGGAGCAGCGGTCGGTGTAGATGTTCCAGATGCAGCTGGAGCAGTAGCAGTGGCAGGTGCCGGCGTTGCAGGCTTGGCTCCAAACAAGCTTGTAGATGCCGCCCCTCCGGTCGCACTGCCTTCCGCTGGTTTCGCACCGAAGAGCGATCCAGTGTTTGCAGAAGCTGCATTACCAGTCGCTGGCGTTGATGTCCCAGATGACGAGGATGGGTTGCCGAAAAGACTTGCGCCAGGCGTCGTCGTTGAAGAAGTAGCAGCAGGTTTCGGGGCGAACAGACTGCCAGAACCAGAAGGGGGAGGCGCAGCGGGAGTAGTCGATTGTCCAAACCCACCAAATGTAGGTTTAGAGTTGGGTGTAGAGGTACCACTACTGGCAGCGGGAGCTGCCGCGGCTCCAAAGCCGCCAAAGGAGAATCCTCCAGAGGGCGGTGCAGGAGTCGTGGAAGACGGTGCTGTCGCCGCCGCTGTCCCTGTTGATGGAGGGTTCGCAGAATTCTGTGCTGGTGCACCGAAAGAAAATGGTGAGGAAGTTCCCGTGTTTGCAGTATTCGAAGAGGTGCCGCCCGATCCACCGAAAAGGCTACCGCCTGAATTGCCAAAGCCTGATCCTCCAAACGCACTTCCGCTGGCTTGACCTGACGGCTGACTTGTGCTCCCAAACAAGCTGCCGGAAGAGGCCTGAGGTGTAGATGATGAACCGAAGAGGGAGGTGGTTGGTTGTGTGGTGCTTGTCGCAGGCTGAGAGCCGGAAGCAGCTGTGATAATGTCAGATGCCTGATCTTCTGACGTGAGAGTCCAGACCCACGAGTCTGGCCGAAACTGAATGGTTTGGCGTCTGTGAGTTTGGTCAGTCTCTGGGTCTGAATCCTCAGCTGCTGTCCACTCACTGTTTCCGCTCTGCCCGAAACCAGCGAAACCAGCTCAAATCAGAGTCAGAGGCGCTTGCACGCAAATTGAACGTGCATGACTCACACATCTTGGTCTTACGTCTCACGCCGCTCACGGATGATCAGAACTTGGTTGAACATAGACCTTCAGACTGGTCTTCGAGGATCCTTCAATAACCCCGCCAACGCCTAATTTTCTGTAAAGGAATAGGCGTAAATCTTCGCCCATTGATATTTTCTTTGGAATCTCTTCTGAGCTGAAGGGTTTGTTGTAACTATCCACACCTCTCATCGCTAAGTATGTCAGGCATCGCAGTGAGTGACCATCTGTGCTTCCCTCGGCCAATGAGATATTATGCTGAGTTGTCTGATTAGCCTGTCAACCCAAAACCTTTCCTGCAGGAACTGACGGGAAAGATCGTCAACGTCAGGCTGAAGTGGGGTTTGGAATACAGGGGATTCTTAGTGTCGACCGATAGTTACATGAATCTGCAGGTGAGTGAGCTTCTCGAGGGAGGGCGAATCCCCTTGATAATGGCAGAAAAACCAACTTCGTGTAACATCGCGTGGAGCGTCTGAGCTGATGTGACCAATTCAGCTGAATCAAGCTGAGGAGATTGAGAATGGAAAGTCCAACGGTGCTCTAGGAGAGATCTTCATACGGTGCAACAATGTCCTTTTCATACGGTGAGTATGCGTGTGGAGAGTCAATCAGAGACTATCAGCTGACCGAGAGTCCCTTTTTTCTTCCTGCTCGCTCTCCGGCGTATCTGCTCCGTTCCCTGAACCTCTACATCGTTCTCCATTTCCGTCCACGGCAATCAAACTCGCAGCGAGTCCAAGGAGCAGACAACAAAGATGGACGAGGATTGAGCCCATCACAATGGCGAACGAGGGGATGGATTCTAGTGCATGGATGCGCACATGATTGCGACGGCTACAGCTGTGATGAAAGAACATTGTATACATCAAATCACCCACGCCCCTTCACGACAATCTGCCAGGGCTAACATGGCATTCAGTCGCAAATGCCTATAAAAAATTGCTACCAGTTCAACTCCCAACTGGGTTCCTTCGTTTACTCTGGTTTCATATGTGCGGGGTTGATGTGCGTTGCGGCAAGCATATCGGCGAGGCTGGAAAGCAATTATGAGTGCAATTCTTATAGGCCAGCCTTGACTTGCACTCACTCGTCTGTCGCCTTGACGGTGGTAGCGGGCAAGAAGTCTGTTTCTTCGCCCTTTGCAACACCGTCGAGCGGCTCCCCAGCCTTGTCTTCGTCCTCTTTCTCCGATTCGGACTTGGCTTCCTCCTCAGACTCTTCTTCCTCCTCGTCCTCGTCAACCTCTTCCATGTCATCCACTGAGTGAATGAGCACATTAGCCAAAGAGAAAGACGCAAAGTCTCCTGGCAAACTCACATTCGTCCAATGCGTCCTCGTTGCCATGCAGCGCCAGGGCCTTTTTCAACTCCTCGACGCAGTCGTCGTCTTCGCTAAATCTATTGCCGTTAAGTTCCAAGACCTTTAGATCCTTCAGATGTTGAGCGATAGCTTCCGTCAATAGCTCCACTGTCCGCTTGTCGAACTCTCCATACTGAAGCTTGAGCTCCTCCATTTTTGGGTTGCTGCCCAGGCTCAAGCTCTTAGCGAGAGCGATACCGCCTGAAGATCCGAGGAGACAATCGGAAAGATTCAAATGTCGTAGATTTGGCCATTTCGAAAGTTGCTTCACGATCGATCTAGTGCCCGTCTTGGTAGCCGTGTTATCTTGGAGATCCAAGAGCTCAAGATCTGGATTCTTGCTCAATCCTTTGGCGAGCGAAGCGATCCCTTCCATCCTGATTCCATTCTGAGGCATCTTGATCTCTCTCAATTTTCCATGCTTTTCAAATGCCTCTGCCCAAGCGTCCGCGCTCCCATTCTCCAATCTATTCCGACCGCAGACAATCGTCCGTAGAGAACTCTCTTTACCTTCCTGTCGACACTTGTCGGCATTCTCGCTGACTGCTTTCGCGATAACTTCGCCCCCCATCGGTCCTAGCCCGTTATTGTTCAGCTTGAAGATCGAGAACGAAGTGTTGGATCGCAGGAAGTTCGTCAACGAGTCGGCACAACGACCTCCAAAAGCATTATCTGATAGATCAATTTCCACCAGGGACGTATGGTCTGTGAGGGAGTCACAGAGGGCAGAGACAGCTTGTGGAATTTCAGATATCAATCGACCGGTGAAGATATCTGCGAGGTCGACGACCTACAACGAGTGCTCAGTATCTGATGATGATAATAGCCTCAGAGCTCACCTTGAGAGTCTTCTTAGTCTTCAATACCTCGGCTATAGCCTGACATGCCTCGACCCCAAGACTGTTTCCACCCAGATGAACCTCTTCAACCCCATCCAGATCCTTCAATTGGGTGAGGTAAGGCTCGAGCTCCTCGGCAGTGTTTGCTTTGAGATTCTTGCCGAGGATGGAGAAGACTTTGGAACTAGAGGTGCTCGCTACTGGTTCGCTCATCCTGCAGATGAGTTTGTGCTCAGTCGGTAGGAGGAGATGTTGATGAGGAAGGGCAGACTAAATTTGGTCAAGCAGGCTAGGAGATATGATGAAACACGGTCTCGATTGTGGCAATTTTGTTATGGCATTTTCTTCCCATTGGCACGGTGCACAAAGAGATAAATGTCAAGACGGCAGAGCGAAACACAGATCAGACGACAACCTGGAGTCAGTCGGGATGCCTTCCACGGGGCAAGGTCATTTAAGCAGTGTATCTGTGTACTGAGCCAGTCCACCAACCTAGGTGACTTACGGCCTGAGGAGGCAGAGCGCGATGGGAAACCAAAATGCATCCTGCTCTTGCACTAGACAACTCTGTCACATTCCATCAGGTCTCATACCTCATCTCTCTGAGACTTTAAGCTTTACAAGCGATGCCTCGTCAATAGGATTGTCGCGCACCGAAAGTCTGAATCCTCACCAGTATTGGCACCCAACCACCCGTCTGTACTTGGAACCGTCTATGTCCTACACCTCTCAAGAAGCCACTGATCGCTCCACTGTGTGCAGTCACGGAAATGATACTGGACGGATCATCCGCAAACACTTCGCTGTATCCCTCTAAGACTCTTCGAGTCAATTCGGCATCGTCTTCCTCATATTTTCCATCCCAAATCTCGTCCGCCTCGGTGAAACCATCATCAAAGGTCCATCCAGCTGGAAGGCGATTATCAACCAGAAAATTCCTTGGCCCAGTAGTCCTCAGGACTCACGATAGACCTTTTCGATGACGGATCGAGGACTCCGCTGATCGCAAGTATGATCGCATACTCGTTCCCTGAACTTCTCTTTAATCTATACCGAGGCAATTAGATCAACTTGGCCAACTGGCCGTAACAGAGAGAGCAACGCTCACTTTCGGTACCATCCCCTTGTTCAACAGAATATCCTCCCAGGTGATCTGTAGCGTCGTCGCTGACCTTTGGAACGGGCTTGAATAGAGTTTCTGAGGCAACGGCATTCCATGTTCAAGTTCTTTCTTGAGAGCTGAATTCATAGTCCTCGCTTGACCGATACCTTTTTCAGTCAGGAGAGGATCTGGACCCTGAATGGAGCGGGGGATCAGATGAATGCCTCGACCTATGCTTGGTCCTTACCCAGACCGATTCGCCGTCTGAATGATCGGAGGAATGATAGAGATCATAACGTGTAGAGCGTCGAAGAGGTCGTGATCGGTAGCGCAAGGGAAGAACGGACTCTTCAGCTTCCCGCCCGCAACTACAGCAACCAAATTGCCCACCTCCGGTCTTTTGAGCCCAGTGACTGTCCCATGCTGCAGTGCCATATTTGGATTCCGCCTGCGAACCAATATCAGCATTGTGAGGTGAGAGAGCTACATGGAGGGAAACTAACCCTGTTATGGAAGCCTTCTCCATGTCGAGCTACAGATGGATTGATCAGCCTCGCCAGACTCCCTTTGATCCTCGCCGGTTCTGAGTGGATCAATTCTACAACTCACCATAATAGATCAACTTGTAAGTAGTATGCTCGTCCGACTCCTCATTGAGCTGCTTCAACTTTCTAAAGATTCATTTAGACCTCTTACGCAATGTCCTCCTCCGAACACTTAAGCAACCCACTTTACCAGATTCTGCCACCTTTCCGGAGATTTATCGACCAACCCAAAGCCATCGCCTAAAAGGTCGTAACCCGTTGCATCGTGCAATGGGTCGCTTTGAACAAAGACACCGGGGACCACAGACCAACTTTTGATCTTCTTCAGGGTCTTGCCTCCGTATTCGTCGGATTGCGATACCACCATAATCGAAAGTCTAACTACACAACCCTTCAGCAATCCACTTATGTTCCGTTAGCGAGAGGGCCCTCCACTAGGTGGCTTACCTTGTGTTCTAGCAGTGTTCAGCAATCTTTTCGAAAGTGTCGTACTCCTGGCTTTATCCAATGTAGGTGGAATGGGCCCACAGACGAAGCACTGAGGAATCCGATCGACCACGGCTTAATCTCTTTGGAGTCAACCCAACCGGGAGACAAATGAACTCCCACCTGTTGAGCGAAGTTGAGCAGATAGCCTGCAAAAAGAACCAAAGGACTCGTCTGCTATGGGCTACTCGATGTTCTGTACCTTTCTGGATTCCCCAAGGACGAATGAGATACTTAAGAGAACGTCAACGGGTTTAGTTGAATGGATGCAAGGATCTGCGAGACTCTCGGTCCGAATCCCCCGGTTGAGCGGACCCGAATCCTCGACACGTGCCGCGGTGGAGAGCAATGTAAATGCATACAAGGACGAAGAAGCAAAGATCAAAGCTGGGGATAGTTGTTTGAAATGCGATGAGAGACAAGTGAAAACACCATCTATGCTTTGTATACTGTCCATGGAAAAGGTGAACAATAGATTCGATGGGGGCATTGTGAGGTTAGAAGGAAAAGATACCAGATCCTGTCCTTCGAGATCCTCCAAGTGGGTTCGTCACCACGGCTGAGACAAAGAGACCGACGGTTAGACCGATCGCAACGGAAACGAGCTGTTCTGCGACTTGGAATCCGTCCGAGTAAGCATTTGAATTGCCGCTAGTGGATTCTTGGGCAAAACTGGAGAGCGCATCAGCAATCAAGACTACGTAGTACTGCACGATTGTCCGCTCACTTGAAGATACCTCCATTGGCAAGACCAGATGGCAACTGGAACAAGATACCGACGACGGTGACTGGGAAGTTGGCTCCGCGAGCGAGTCGACCATAGAGACTGCCCAACGTTCCCACGACGAAAGCGCCAATGGCAGATGACATATCAGCTCGGCCGGGGAAAGCTAGCGAGGAGAAATGGTTGGCACACCAGCCGCTTGCTGCGATCGCGACCATGATGGGCTTCAAAGGATGTCAGTACCACATTACGAGTAGGGAGGTATCGAGCGAAGCACTCACCAATTCCTTGGCAAGGAGAGGCTGTTGATTCCTCAGTGCAAGTGCCATGGAGAACCCTGGACAACATAGGAACCCTGACGAATCGATTCAGTTTGACTATCGACGCATTCGCGAAGTCCGAACCTACACCAATATGGAGAAGGAGTCGCCCGGTACCAAGGGGCATCGGCATGGGCAGACTCGCAGTACAGTTGACTACCGCCCTTGACCTGGACAGAGGATATCAGTTCGTGTTTTATGAAAAAGAGCTTGTAAGGCGAAGTCATAGGGGGCGGCCGCCGACTCACCGCGTCGCCTGTGAACTTTGTCCAAAACTCTGCTCCTATCGACAGACCGAAGCCCAGGAATAGAGAGTAGATGACACCTGGGAAGATCGTCAGCTTTTCTGTGGGGCGGGGTTCTCAGACAGTAGATAATCACTGTAACCGATACGGACGGAGCCGGAAACGATGTTGCGTGATGCCAATTCGAGAGAGCCAGTCAGGACAATATATCCCTATGATTCATGAGCGTTGCAACTGATAGAGCTTGGCCGACATACAGGGAGAATCAATACGACGCCGCCAGAGACCAATGCGGTGTAACAAAATTTGCCAGTTGATGCCAGAGCCGCAGCCAGGAAGGAGATAAGAGTTGCGATAGCGATCTCGAATCTAAAAAAAAACGCTGGGTCAGACACCACCACCCCCTGCAGACAGCACGACATACACATTGCTGAAGAGATCATTCCTCGCCGACAGCATTTGCGCAGCGATCAAAAGCATTCCGAGTGGCATCGACATGAGGGCATCAATGAATGACCTATGAAAACCGCCAGTCAGAATTTGACTGCAACCTATGGCTGTCACGCTCACCCGTGGTAGGCAATGACACAGATGAACGCCGAGCACGTAGAGGCAATGATGAGCGTCTGCCACCAGTTGTAATAGACTTTTGAAGTCATGAGAATGTCCAAATCTTTACTGGCTTGATCGACAGAGATCCGGTCATGAATGACATCCCAGTAGAGATTGTGAGTGGCCAAGACTTTGCCGAGATCGATACCCGCAGACTGCTTCAAGAATTTGGTCTCGGACGTATGTGTCGCTTCGTCATTGAAAGAGATCATCATCACATTTGGTAGACAAATGACTTGAGCGTTGATTTCGAGCACTCTCGCTGTAGCTTGAATTTGTGTCTCGAGACGATGAGACGGTGATCCAAACCTTCGGGAGAGCGTAAGCGTATTGGACAACTATCGAGACCAGACTCTCAACCCACATCATCAAAGCTCGAGCGAGCTTGAGGATGAATTGCTGTCTTGCCAATACAGCGGCAACATGTTGGACGATCTAAGCAAGATTCATTCAGTATCTGCACGACCGAGAGTGACTCACAAAGATTTCCTGCTTCTTTCTCGCCTTCTTTGCCTTGTGCTTCTTTCGTCTCTCCCTGTCCCAATCTCTCTTTCGCTTCTCTTCTTCAGTCAACGGCTTGTCCATGTAATTCCCGAAGAATTCTCCGGGAGGGGTAGTCAGGGGGGTCTTCGCAGCGATCCACTTTTCTGCTGATTTCAACGCATGACCAGGAGCCGAGATGGCTGCTCCAGGCAGCTTTCCGAGTCCATGCGAATCAAAAGCCTTGGGTCTCCTCCCTTCTTTGCGATAGGAAGCATTGCCAGAACCATCCTCGCCATTCACCAGAGCGTCTGAACTCGACCGGGTTCGTGATTTTTCCTCGGGACTCGTCGCACCAGATACGGCAGTGGACGAATGGACAGATCCAGGTCGAGAATTGTTTCTGGTGGAAGCAGCGGATGCGGGTCGCCAGTGGGTACGTGAGGGAGCTTGAAGGGGACTCTCATCAGCTTCTGGCAACGAAAATCTCTCCAGCTGGAAACCCGATCGCCTAGCGGCAGGTACGAGGGCAGAAGCCGCCGGAGTCGCTACACCAGAGACATTGGCCACGCTTGCAATGAGCGCGCCGACAACTCCAGCTCCAGACTTGGCGGCATCAGGTCGATCTGCGTCCTCAATCTTTTCCACCACCTCGTTCTTCGCCGATCTGAAGTAGTCGAGGAGGCGAGTCGAACCTGGCGTTGTCTGCCCTGAATTTTGGCCAACATAGGACGACGAGTTGGTATTCGGGGGCACGAAGGGAGAGTAAGTTTGTCCCTCGGGTCTGATCTCATCCGATGCGACGGTCTCGAGGGGGGATCGGATGACGCCTTCTTCTCCGTGACTGGGCGAGATGATCTTTTCGAGCTCTCCCATAGCTTTCTTCTCCCCTTGAGGATGAGTGGCTGGTTTCTGCCGCTTTGGACTGTCACCGTCGCTACTGTCTTCATCCTCTGATGTAGCTCGAGATGAAGCGACAGAGGGTGCTGCGGAGGTTGCAGCTGAAGTTGCTTCCGAGTCACCTCCGTGGGTCTGGTTGTACAATTGTAACAAGGAAGAGAGGACAGAATTGCCTCCACCGCCGGGCAAGCCCTGCAGACCTCCGCTGAGTCGACGAGGGAGATGTGGCTGTCGATTGTTGTTGTCCCAATCTTCTGCTCTTTCGGTCTCACGCTGAGTCTTTCTACGGCCCAGGCCAGATTTCTCCTGGTCGGATCGCATGTCCTCCGATCGTCCACCTTGTCTCTCTTGAGATGGACGATTCTCCCCTCGGCGAGCTCTTTCGTCCGCTCCAAACGCCGCGTGTACCATTCCTCCTGTCTTGACCCGCCTTCTGAGAGTTCCCCACTTGCTCGTGTGAGCTCGGACAAGATTGGTGGCTTCGGATTGATTCTCCCTCTGTTCATTTTGTCGACCGGGCAGTCCATCCGTTTCGCCGAGAGGAATGTATTCTCCCGGCACCCAATCTTCTCCCCGATATTCCAGCAATCTCTGCAAAGTAGCTCCTTCTTCCGTCTCACGTGCAACCGACGGGTTTGAAGGAGATGTCACTCTACCCAGATCCATCGGAGGGTCAACGTCCAGACGATAGTCATAATCGTCATCGTCTTCTCCACCTCTGTTGGTATTTCTCAGCTCCCTCGGCGGACGTCTCCTCTGCATCGTCTTGGTCTTGTGTCTTTGTAGAGCACTATCAATTTTCTCGAGGTTGGAGGCGGATAATCCCTGAGGCGAGCTTGGCGCAGGAGGTCGAAGGGGTTCCATGCCCACAGAATTTATCCGATGTTTACTATTGAATTGGACATGTCTGTCCATTCTGGTAGGTCTAGCCTCGCCAGGATGTTGGAGCACAGAGCCCCCAGGTGTATAAGTAGGTGAAGGTGATTGTGTCTCGGTATGCGATATCACATTCTGGGATGGGAGGTCGAGCGGTGGTAACCTTGGAGGCGATCTGGAGGGAGCTTGTGGCACCCTCGCCTCGGACGAAGATGCAGAGGATGGTTCTGAGGATGAGTTCTGAGTGGTGGAGAATGGATTGTCGGGTATAGACATGATGAAGCGTCAAGGAATGGGAGACAATTCTATCGATACAGTAGGAGTCAGAGGGGGACGTTTTGAATTTTGTCGCCTCGAGCGATCAAAACATGAATAATAACGATAAGTGGAGCAAAATGGCCGAGCGTCTGTCCCTATACGAGACTCTGGTCTGGTCAGCGATATGCACGGTTGATAGAGACTCTCACACAAGATGAAGAATACGTTCTCACGCGTGACAGTGGAGCGGCTGGTTGAACGGACGGGATCTTTGATAGCTTCCCCAAAATCCCAGTCCCCGAGTCTCGGTCGAATACAATGATGATGGGTGTTTTTGTTGATGTAATCGACACAAAATGCGCGGGTCGAAGGAAGAGATAACGATTGGGAAGGTTGGAGACAGAGATGAAGAGACGAATACAGTTGATGTACAAGGATGAACGGCGGGTTGATGAGACAATGAGGTACAGAGCACTTGGACCTGCTTGGACGTGTTTCCAAAAATTGTGACTATATAGCCAAGTGGACTTAGTGAGGAGTGGGTCGAGATCGTCCCTCCCCGGATGATCAACCGGGCGTTGGAGTAAGTAGTTGATACAAAAAAGAATTTTCTATTTCTGGGCAGATGTCCTAATGAGCAGCGTGTCGACGTCACCCCCTCCCCCTCTCAGCTTTTCTACTTGCACCGATTCATCACAGCCTCAATCAGCGGGTCAACTACAGCAGCAGCAGCAGCAGCAGCAGCAGCAGCTACATCATATGCCGTACATAGTCAATGACAGGTCAATTCATGTGAATGACTGCGTCCGTCCATACATCTCAGGGTGAAGGGTTGAAATTGCCCTGAAGTTCCCCCCCTCTTTATCTCACCTCATTATTGCGCATTTGCAGTCGGGCCGATGGGGTGTGAGATGAGGGGAAGCCAAGGCTTCAAGGAGGCTGATGCCTGGGTCTAACTTGGCGTTCTTGGAGGGGAGCCATAGCGGAAAAAAGAATCCCCATGATAGATGCCGAGCGTCTCAGCCTGTTCGAATTCCCATAATCCACTGTATGGTCTCCAGACTGTTTCATCTGACTCTGATCATGCCGATCACGCCAATTCTCAGGAAGAGATAGAGAGGCAGATGACTTAGGGGGCCTTATGTCTCAGATGATAGTTGAGAAGGTCTTGAGAAGGCTCGATTAGCAGGAGAAGGTTAATACGAGATGCCGTCGGGTTCAAGGGGAGTTTCACAAAATCGGTTTGTAAGCGATGCTCGACCACTCGATCACCGGCACGCTACGCACGACCATGCAGACTGGCAGGACCCTGCCACAGAACAACGACACTCATATCGGGGCGTAGTTGGCCCTGCTCAGCTCATATTCCTTACGCTGCCCCTCCTGCGAGCAGGTAAGGATAAGCGTATCTGTATCATGACCTCGCGCCCCTGCTTTGTCCTAAAAGTGCGAGCATATTGTGCAAATGAAGAGAAATGGCTTTGACAGCAGCTTCTTACTTCGTATTCCATATGATGTTGATGTATACGTGTCGTCCCGTTATATGCCTCCAGCACTTCATTCAGCAGCTGGCACCCAAGTCTTATGCCCTTCCCTTCACGTCAGCGTCGAGGTGCCACGCGCCACCATCTTCACTCGCTGGAACTGAAATCCCCCATTTTCGACACGTCTCGCTTCAAGTGAACGAGTGATTTCAGTGTTTACACAGTTTCAAACACCATCTGGACGAAGGGTAAAAATGTGGTTAAGCGACACGCAAAGTAAGCCTAAGATCTGCCCTTCAGCAGGTTCAAATCTCAGGGGCGCCCCTATACAGAGCTTAGCTGATCTTCCTTGTTACTCCTCTAACTTTCAGAAATTGGCATTGCCCTAGTCGCCTTTGGTATCTTCTTTCAGTTCCTCGGTGTGTTTCCAAGGTGCCGCATGTGATTGGTCTTTCGCGCTGATATCGGTATATAGGTATCATCCTCCTGTTCGATGGACCGTTACTAGCGCTGGGCAATGTAAGTCAATTTGCTGCGCTTGAAGAGGATGAGTGACAATGTCACCTTTTCCATTTTCGAAAACCCTCCGTCTCGCCTTCCAAGCTCGCGGTCGCTGATTTATCACCTCTATCCGTCTAGATCCTCTTCTTATCCGGTCTACCGCTTATCATTGGTCCTACCAAGACATTCTACTTCTTCTCTAGGAGAGAGAAATGGAGAGGGACACTCTGTTTCTTCGGGGGAATGTGAGTTGACTAGAAAAGGGGGCACAAAGCTCGAAGTAGAGGGTCTCCAGCTGACGGAGTTCAACCAGCTTGCTGGTATTTATCAAGTGGCCAGTCACAGGTATCTGCGTTGAGTTCATCGGGTTCGTCGGCTTGTTCGGGTAGGTCATCATCGAATTGTCACGTGTCTCTCCCCGTAGAACATGGCTGACGGTATCTCATTGAAACAGCTCCTTCTTCCCTGTCATTCTTCAAGCGTTGAGGCAGACTCCCATCATCGGAACTTTCTTGTCCCTACCGTACATCCGGCAGGTCAGCGCACACTCTCCTGTTGTCGTTTCACTAAGCTGATTTTGTACCGTTATCAGGCAGCCGATAAGCTAGCGGGGGTCCGGCAAAGTGCAGTCTGATAGGCGATGAGATGCGAAACCATCAGCTTCCGCTGACCGAGCTCTGACGGTCGATCGCACAGAAGAGGCCGACAGACTGGTCCGTAGTATGCCACAGCACAAATGTACAACCGAAATACATGACAGATGGGCAGAAACGCTACGAACAATGCGGCCGAGAGCCAATGTGTGTATGACAGTGCGAATCAATGTGATAGACGTCGATAAACGTCAACGTCGACAGACCTTGAGCGATGTCTCCTCCATCATTTCCTTGACGAGTCGCTCTGCCACAATGGCCTAAACGCATCGTCACGAAAGCCATCATCTTCCTCTGATCGATGGTCACTACCAATGACATTGGACTGGGCGTTCGCCTGGTTTTGACTCGGAGGTTGACCCTGACTTTGGGATTTTGGCGGAGGGATACTGAATCCAATGTCTTTCCGAACTCCACTAGATCTAGGACTTGTACCGTTGCGATCGAGAGGTAGGTTTTGTTGAGTGGTGGTCGAATTGGACGGAGAAACAGAGCCAAAAGCGTCATTCCATGATGATGCCGGTGCAGGAGGGATGGTCGAGGTATTTGGTGAGAGGGAAGTCGGAGGGATAGGTCGATAAGGCGCTTTGACAGGATTCAGCGTTTGGGCGAGCTTGTTCTGAACAGAGAGTGAGCATAGAGACAGCGAAAATTTCACATCACATCTATATCGCGATGCGGTTTACCAACTCACCTGTAGCTCTTGAAGATCGTTTCCTCGTTCGACGTGCAGACCACCCCGCATCGTCGCCACGAGGTCTTCCATGGACGCCATGGTGGAGCCGGTCTGTAAGGAAAGGGGAGGCTGAGGGATGAGGGGATAATCAGGAGGGGGGGCCTTCTTCTCTGACCAAAACAAGGCGGAGAAATCTGACAGTCCTGTTCACTTGTTGTCAAGGGGCAATGAGAGATATCCAGGCCTTTTCGGAGGATATCGCAATGACTAGTAGTCTTCGGATCCGTCGGCGAAGGGCCTTTCAGGAAAGGTGTCCCCCTCGAGGCGGTTGGTCCGGGGGAGGGGGAGGGAGTGCAAGAATTATTGACCGGCCGTCGGGGTGACAGGGAGACCAAATCAGGAATATCCAGCGGATACCTCGCTACAGAAATGGGAATCCGAGGGATGTGATCGGGTTCTTGGGCTCAGCTGGATGACAATGTGCTGACAATGAATTCTGGAGAAGAAAGAAGATACCAAGAGAACTCGGTGCGGCTTCTTTTTCCAAAAAGATATCGATATCGGGGCGGGGTCCTCGGGAAATATCAACTTTCCAACAAACAGCGGGCAACGTTGTTGTCTCGGGGACCACCAGCGAGCAGGAAAAGGTCAGCGGGGATGGGTCGAAAACGAGGAAGGGATGGGCTACGAGGTGTCGTGGCGAGACCGTGTCACCACAGTGTGTTGGTAAACCGAGACAGGCCAAAAGGGACAAAGGAACGTGCAAGAAATTCCAGATCACCACCGCCGTCCAGGCCTCGCGGGGGCGAACGGCAAATAAATGCCGGAAGTTATCCGGCCTCCTCTCTTTTTGCTTCGCTTTGGAATGGAGAGGATGAGTGAGTGCGGCGGGATGATGGACGTGATTCAAGATCTGTTGATGATGAGATAGAGTGAGGATGAGCGAGACGGATCGAGAGGGTGGACCGAAAGAGAGAAGCAATCGTCGGTCGGTGGGTGGGTGGCGGCAACAAGATCCGAAATGTGTCGAGGTGGCGACATTCAAAACTTTTTTTATGAAATTTCACCGATCGGGGATCCCGGGAAAGAAAGAAAAGATAAGGTGCGAATCCATCCCCGGTAGTGTTGATGCATTGTTATGCTATTATGAAATACAAAAGATGGTTTTGACTGCGCCTGTCACGCAGCTGCAGGTGTCGGCTCAAGGTATCGGAAGGACATGGCTTGTCTATCGAGTGAATGCAAACGTCTCAATTCTAGCAAGAGGCGGAACATCTAAAAGTTTGATCAGACAGCAGTCTCTGAGCCGACTTTCACTCACGTATGCCTGCATATCGACCCATGACCAATGATCCAAAGCAAATCTCTGTCCCGCCTCACCTATCTTTCGAGCAAGATACTACAAGGATGAGCGACCGTAAGTCGAGTGACGCGAGATGAGCCACACAAAGCTCAACTCACATCGTGTCCCTTGGATTCATCTATCTCCCCATTCTCACTCAATGGGCCAACGAAAAATCCCATAATGTCGTACATGTCGCTGTAATCAGCTTTGAGCGGGATGTAGTGGTACCATGGAGCTGTGATGAGTCAGCATAGCCTACCCTGCCGATCAGCCACAAACACGCACTGAGCCATTCCTGCATAACATATTCAGCCACATGGTTTCATCAGATACACTCTCACTCAACTCACCATGTGCCACTCTGGGAACATTGTAAACTTCAGAACTGGGCTCCCAGTGGTCAATAAGCGATGGAACCGCGAAGACCATCCATTGCCATCGACATCGAGCGCATATCGGTAAACGGCAGCCTTGTCTGGCCAGACTTTGGCGCCGAAATCGATTGTGTTGGAGATCTCCTTGCACAGCTCAACAGTAGGGCACTGCCGACAATCAGCAACGAAGAGAATCTAATGGACACACCGTAACCTACCTGTATTGGCTTCCCAGACAGCTTGACATCTGCATATGCTTGACTGAGGCTCTTTTCCCATCTTCTGACCATATCGAATCCCCCATTACCATCAGGCATCATGACCTCCCTGGCCTGTTGATCCCACCATACATCCCCGCCTTTCGGACCATTCACCATGAGGTGTAATCTGAGTCGATGGCTGTCTTTCCAATCTCGATACTTGTCATATCCTCCGGTAGTGGATCCACGCCAGAACAAACGATGGTCGTGTTTTTCCTCCCAGTGACCCAAGTACGGTAGGTCGTGATCTGTAATGTTGGTGTATCCCTCCATGGGCGTTGTTTGGAACGAAGCGTCCGAAGGGAACTTGGAGAGAACCATGATGGGTTTGAGTATAGATGGTGATCGGACGTCATAGTCGATACTGCACGAGATCTCAGAGCTGTATCATGTATACATGGATGGAGGTCTTTTGCTTACTGCATCGCACCGTGAAGCCGCTTGAGCTCCGGGTAGTCGCAAAAGTCCATAGTAGGAAGGTGGTCATGAATGAAGGATTTAGCTGGGTACAAGCTCAGTCAGAACAGAGACAGCTCGATATCGTACACTCACGTCGTATGTCGTTGGTCGCGTTTTCAGACCCCGGTCGGACGTTCGCAGGCGAGTCCATCGGGCAGGCTTTCTACACCAGTCGGTCAGAGTTTGCAGTTGGGCTCAAAGTAGCATCTTCACTCACGAACCAACCCGTGGCCGTTGTCCGCTTGGGATCCTCAAGCAATGTGATTTCCTCTTCTGTAAAGTCTGGGAATCGGATCAGTTTTCCCTCAGTGAAGTGTCATTTCGGTGATTCGAGACCCACGCTTTCCCTCTCTAACCAGCTCCATTGCTTTATCTCTCTGGTCTCGACCGAGAACGACGCTGCCAGTATCGTGATCGCTGCCAGTCACTTTCAGGTTGAAGTCTGCCGGCAGCCAGTCCGTGAAGCCCTGGACCAGTGTCTTTATATGTCTCGGTCTCGCACTCCAAGCTCTTTCCCCGCTCAAGTCAACCTTCTTCTTGGTGACCTGGATCGTGTAGGTGAATTTCCCTCCCTCCAACTCTTTACTCCGCTTCACAAAGGTTTCCGGTTTCAAAGCATGATGAGGGAGGAGATCCTTCATCATCTGGTCATAATTATCCACGATCTTGATGCCCTTTTCTTGACAGAATGCGAACCAGGCGTCGAATCCAGCTGGAGGATCGAGAAGGTACCGCTTCTTGTACTCTTTTGCAGCTTCTCCTAGAGTCTTTGATTGGGACGATAACAGGTCAAACCATCGAGTCTCGGCTCGTTCCATCAATTCGTATATCGGGTGCTCTCTCCGTTGCCCAATGATACTGGGCTTGAGAACAGCCATTCCCTTCTTATCAAACGTCAAACTACTCTTTCTCCCTCTTCTACCGCCAGGAACAGCATATCCAAGGGGTAGTGGTGGTATACGTTCTATCCCTAATCCATGCCGTATCCCGAACCAATACAAGAGGAAAAAGATGAACATGAGATAGAGGATCTTTTTCGGTTTGCGAACGGGAATGTTGTGTCTACTAAAACCACTGGACTGACCGGGACCAGAGGACAGAGTGAAGCCATTCTGACGACCAGACATGGATGGATGAGGGGTATGTGTAGGACGAGATAGTTTAGAGGGGCTACCTCCAGGAGGAGAAGGTCGAGGCGTCCGCGGCATCGTGATGAACAGCTATGCGGCTCGCACTGCGGCTGATCAGATCATATAGAGCCCTGGAGTTTGATCTAAGATCTAGGCGGGCCAAGTGTTACTATACTCAATGGTGAAGTGGCTATCGCATGTACAAGCAGCTGCGTTCCTTCGAGCCGGGTCATCGATAAAAATCCATCAACCACGTGGCCACCAGTCACTTTCATTTTTGCTTCCGCTTTACCTTGGGGTTGGGAGTCTCGGCTTTCACCGGAATGTACCGGCCCGAAAATGCATCACTGACCTACCTACATCTTGGCTTCTTTCCGGACGTACATGTACAACCAAAAATCTATCTCTTTGGGTACGAGGTCATTGACAGCGTTCCACACTGCTGTCATTCAACATTGTTCTAGCGTCTCGCCGACCTGTATATAATTGTGCCTGGCGAAGAACCTTTGTTCCTTTTACGAGACGACCCATTACACTAGACCGGCGTAGAATCATGTCAACCTCGACGGGATTGAAAAAGGGAGAATTTATCGCCAGCCTAGACTGTGGGACGACGTGAGTCGATGACAAGCTTGCATATAGTCTTGATCTTCTGATCAACTTCACCAAAGATCCACACGCTTTATAATCTTTGACGAATATGCCAAGATTGTCGCTGTTCATCAAACTGAATTTGAACAGATCACACCCCATGCAGGATGGCATGAACAGCGTCCGGAGGATCTTGTGACGGCTACAAAGACCTGTATCAGGAGAGCGGTAGAGAAACTGGAGGAGAAGGGATGGGATAAGAGCAGTATCAAGGGGATGGGTGAGTCGATTCAACATCCCTTTTTTGCAATTGCTCTGCATGCTATGATAATTTATAGCTGACATTGTCGTGCTTTGTTCACTTTTTCAGGCATCACCAATCAGCGTGAGACGACTGTCTGTTGGTCAAGGACGACCGGCAAATCATTATGCAACTGTATAGTCTGGGACGACACCCGAACGACCAGTGTCGTCCGAGCCTTCACCCATAAACTGGAAGAAGAGGGCATTGAGATAGATGAGGAAGTCGATGTGGACGTCGAAATCTCGCACGTCGAGCATGCGGCTGCAGCAGACGGAGACACGATGGGTAATGGCGTCCGAGAAGAGGCATTCGCAGAGCATGGCGAGATACAGCACGGAGGAGGTGGAAGAGTCATGAACATGATGGGGAAAGCCATGCAGAATCTGGGACTGGGCGGCAGAGGGAAGCCTGTCATTGCCAAGAGCAGGAGAAAAGGAATGGATGGACTGGTGGACATGTGAGTGAGACGTCGAGCTGCGTTCTGGGCAGAGTCTCTGATACTGATGTCTACGGCCGAGCAGAACTGGAATCCCCTTATCGACCTACTTTTCAGCTGTAAAGCTGCGATGGATGCTGGATCACTATCTGGAAGTGCGCGAAGCTCACGAGTCAGACGATCTGATGTTTGGGACCGTGGACTCGTGGCTGGTCTATGTGAGTTGGCGATGCTCAGAAGAGCCTGAAAACGAGCCTGACTTGATCAGAATTTAACTGGAGCAGTGGAAGGCGGAATTCACATAATGGATGTGACAAACGCTTCCAGATCACTCCTCATGTCCATTCAAGATCTTACTTGGCACCCTCCTCTACTTCGATTTTTCGAATTCCGCCCGTCCATTCTCCCACGTATCGTCTCATCATCCGAGGTCTACGCCAAGATATCCTCAGAGGCAGAAACGCCCCTGACAGGCATTCCAATAGCCGGTATCGTGGGAGACCAACAGGCTGCGCTAGTAGGCAACAAGTGTCTCAAGCGCGGAGAGGCGAAAAATACCTATGGAACTGGTCAGTATCTGTGAAGAGCAGCTCTCGATGCCATGCACTCACCCATGCGCAGGGAGCTTCGTACTCTTCAATACTGGCGAAAAGGTCGTCAGGAGTCAAAGTGGACTCATCTCCACCGTGGCATTTCAGACTGGACCTCACGCGAGGCCGGTCTACGCTTTGGAGGGACCAATAGCCGTCGCGGGATCAGCCATCAAATGGTGAGTTCCAGCACTCTGTGGTCTGTTTATTTTGGCTGATCCCCATCAAGGCTTCGAGACAATGTTAATCTCATCAATGACGCATCCGAGATGGACAAACTTGCAGGATCGGTGGACCATACCGGCGGAGTCTACTTCGTGACTGGGTTTAGTGGACTGTTAGCGCCGTGCGTCGTATCTCTAGCCTGACTCTGAAAGCAATAGCTGACCTGTGCACGGTTAGGTATTGGGACCAGGAGGCGGTGAGTTGATTGTTGCTCCCGTTGACTCTCAAGGATTGACAAAATCATCTGAACCTCCAGACAGGTGCATTGATAGGCCTGACCTCTTACACCACTTCTGCACACATCGCCAGAGCGACTCTCGAAGCGATGTGTTTCCAGACGCGCGCCGTTTTGGATGTGATCGAGAAGGAGAGTCGGCAGAAACTAGACACGCTTAAGGTTGATGGTCAGTAGCCACGGGGACTCCAATGTGCATTATCTGATGGATCCAACAGGAGGAGTGACGAATTCAGATCTGGCGATGCAGATCCAAGCGGACGTGAGTCACCTCCCTTCAAGATAGTCACATTGTGCTAGCTGACTGGTTTCTCGCTGCAGATTGGCAATTTCAAAGTCTCTCGACCCGCCATGCGAGAATCTACAGCTCTTGGTTCAGCGCTTCTCGCTGCTCACGCGTTAGGACTGTTCGGATGGGATCTCAATCGCCCAGAGACCCTCTCCAAAGTCAACACGGCAGGAGTGGATGTCTTTGAACCTCGACTTACGGATCAAGAGCGGACCAGGATGTACTATGGCTGGGACAAAGCTGTGGAGAGGGTGAGGAGCTGGTACACTATACAGGAGGAAGATGAGGCGGAGCAGAGGTTCGAGAAGGAGAGTGGGCTGCAGTAGGGATGGTTATTCCCAGAGCTAGCACTTGATTATGACAGATGTTCTGGATCTCACGTCGGAGGAACTTCATTGGATCCTAGCGCGACCTCCTTGCAGACAGAAAAGTCTGCATCGATAGCATTATAAACTGAGACCTGGATCCATGAAACTAGAATGAACAGGTACAGCGTATGTTACGAAGGGAGAATGGAGAGAAGGTCAGGACACAGGTAGAAAACCCTTCAACAGAGGCTTATCGGAGTAGTCTTGTTCGCATGGTGTCTCGAGCTGTGCCGATACTGCACATCAGCAGTGGTCGATATGTAGGGGTCATACCCCTCCTACTAAGCGAACACACATCCTCATACTGGACTCGCTCTGCCCGTAGCAGGACTAGTGGATCCAGGTGGGAAACCCGTCGCATCGATCGTTCCGAATGCCGGATCGTCCTTGAGAGCCTGTCTCAGACCGAGGTTGACTGACCGATCCGTCTGATGAGTCTGTGCACGACTCAAAGGATCAGTGATGTGGTCTATGCGATGTTGAGGGACTGAGAAAGAGGTTCGTCGACTCCGGGTATCGAGCTCGATGGATCGAGTGCCCAGATCTGATTGTCGCCAGTGCGGTGGTTGTGTATGGATCTACCAGTGGGTCAGCAAATGTGGTATCAAGTTTGCAGCATATCGTTCCCCGGATTAGACACTGTGTGTCTGGTGAGGCGAGGGACTCACCTGCATTTTCTTCCTGTCCTTCTCAACTGGGTCCTCACTGAAAAGCGCAAACCTCATCAGTTCCGAGCATGTCCCATCCGCTGAATACATACAGACACTGGATATTTTCATCAGCCGAAAATTCGGTCTGATGAGCTGCAGGGTCCAAAGCTGGACTCACATCGCAACTGCCGTTGACGCTGCAACCTCCTCGCAGCCGAAGTGGGTCAAACATGAAGCGGATGGTCTGGAAAGAGCGGGATGAACGAGTCGAGCAGGAAGAGTCTGTAGCTTCAACTGACGGGCCTGCGGAGTGAAATTAGCTCGACGACAGCATTATGATCACAATGATTGCCATAGATGTGATGCGTAACTACAACCCGTGAAAGGAGGTTGTGGCAAAGGTGGGATGCGAACGGTTTGACTGAGAGAGGAGTTGCTCACGCATAGGGTCTCGAGCTCTGGGCTGATGCGTGACTAGATTCGCCTCGTTGTACAACCTGCTAAGCGATCAGTCCCATTATATGCCTCACCTATGGGTCAGGGGGTTGCTCCACTCAACTTACCAGTTGGGTAATGGAGGATGACCGGACATGATTTGAGTGCTTAGAAACGCTTCGGCGGACTTTGAATAGTCAAGGACTAGCAAGTCAAAAGCTGAGCTTCAGCCGAGGCGTGTTAATGAATAATGATGCCTGTCACTGCCCAACAGCAGACTCGAGGTGGCCAAATGATACGGGAGAGATCTGTGAATCCAAAAGCGTTGGTCGATAAATTACATTTAACGCGCTAGAGACCGTCGATCGGACTTGCGAATATTGCTATAAAATTAGGTTCCGAGGGTCTGTGGGGCGACACGTGATGACGCAATCGAACAGGTGCACAAGAGCATTCATGAGGTATAGACGAGTACGTCTGTCACTGTCGCTTTCGGCCTATTGGTGTTCATGACAGATCTCCAGACAACATCAGATATCCTCTGGAAGGTCTACCTTAGGGTAACCCTCGTTCATATGATCCTGATTCGCATCAGATCAGCATGAAGCTCTTTCCGGCACCCGTTTCGGCCAGAACCACAATCACTCACATATCGTCGATAGTGGACCTTTCGACCGGCCTGTTCAATCTCTTCCATCTCCTCCTTCGTCAGATCTGGAAGATCCTCTGTTGCCGCCATCTTTTTGATGTTTTCCGGGTTACCAGAAGTCGTGACGGCAACGACGTTCTTGCCGATCGTCCAGAGGTAGAGGACTGCAGCTTCGTCCACCTTTTTGCCTGTCTCTTTGGACATTTTCTCCGCAATACGAGTCAGGATGGGCTTGATAGGTCCGCCCGTTGGGTGAGAAACAATAGGCTGAAGAGGACCATAGGCTTGAGTGACAATATTGTATTTCTCTTGAACTTTGATGACAGGGTCCAGGTGTGTCACCACATAAGGGTGGTACTCCAGTTCTAGGAGACGGTTTCCCTTAGATACGATACCTTATTGGGTTGGGTACTCACGATTGCATACTGGCTTGATCTTTGCTACTTCCATAATGGCCTCGATGTCCTGAGGTCGGAAGTTTGAGAAGCCAAGCGAGCATCCCTTGAGTGTTCCGTCCTCGACCAAAGCTTCCAGGTGTTGCCAGAACTTGGCAACATCACCGTCTTTGACAACTTTGGGCCAGTGAATGAGGATCAGGTTGGGTATGAATCCAAGAAGGTCGATGCTTTCCTTGACGTTTTCTCGGATGCTCTCAAGGTTGTTCTGAACCTCTGGCATGGGGAGAATGAAAAGCAACGAAGATGGTAGGAGAGGGGGAGGAGGGGGGAAAAGAGGACGCTCGTCAATCCCACCACATGACAAGATCTATCTTCAGCTACTCACTGGACCCAGAGACTGCAAGGAGTCAGCATCTCGTCATACAAGGCACGAGGCTCACTTTTGGTTGTAACCCAGACATCCTCAGGCTTAAGACCAGCCTCCTTGATAGCTTCTCCAGTCTCCTTTTCGGTACCGTACAGCTGAGCCGTATCGATATGCAGGACACCAGCCTTCAAAGCCAAGACACCCAGATCGATGGCTTTACGTCCAGATTTCTGGATACCCTGGGTACCGTTTCCCCAGCCCACCGCGGGGATCTTCTTTCCATCACTGAGTGAGATTGTTCGGACCATGTTGCGATGTGCGAGAAAATAGATGGTCGGTACGAGGATGCAATACGTAGGTATCAATGATAGTCAGAATGCTCAATGGGTCAGCAATAATTGGGCGGCTCCATACGAAAAGTGACGGAAAATCCGGGTGGAGGCAAAAGTGGAGGGAGAGGTCAATGACGCATGAAAAGGCATTCCTGCTTGAAGCACCATATCGTTGCATGGGGATTGAACATGCACAAAATCTGAAGCGAAACGAAGACCTGCGGCTCTCCGTACTGTCGTTCTCAGAAGCCCGACATTCCACTGTAGCCTCCGCTTCCGCCTCCTGCTCCGCCATAGCTTGAATTGTAGGAAGACGTCCCCGCATCGTGAGAGTGAGAATGCGTATGAGAGTACGAACAGGTGTTCGAATCCGAATGACCCCCATGAGCTGGCGCAACTGCTGCGCCTACTCCGGCATCGCCAAGGGAATGATGCGAGTGCCCTCCATGATGACCGAGGTGCCCGGTGCCGCCCGGCGCCGACTGTGAGGTCTGATGGGGGGTCGGAGGGGCAACCGCTGCCGGAGGCAAGTGCAGCGTGGGGACGTGTGTTGGAGGGCCTTGAGCTTGAGCAGGAGCAGGAGCAGTCGTTTGAGTGGTATGAGACACTTGAGCTGTCTGCACCGTTTGGCCACCTTGAGTGGAGTGATCTCTCGAATTGGTATGCTGGCCCAGGTCCGGCTGTCCTGTCTGTACATTCCGATTGGGTTCTTTGTGGCTAGAATCTAGTGGCAAGCTCGCATCGGGCATATCTGCAGCCTCATGGATGCCTGTAGAATCAGGTGCATCGGCGAGCGGAGGCATACCTGCGTCGGTGCTTTCAACTCCGCCGCTGGCTCGGTTCCTGGACGGTGTCTCTTAGCAGACATCATCCAGCTTGGATGGTCCCCGAGACGCTCACTTCTTCTTCTTCTTGGGCTGGTCAAGATGATTAGGCCAGCGACATAGATGCTAATCCTGTGAACTCACCATCAGCTTCACCTTCAGCCGAGCGAGAAGCCCTTGTGACTTAGGCTTGGGAGTCTCGCTTGGATCCTCTGCGAGGCCGTGAGCGATGACCGTATCCGAAGGATTCGATCTGGACTTACTCGGGTCATGGCTCATGTACTGGATCATGTCTTTAGTGAAGCTCTTGTGTAGACTGAATTAGTCCTCGTTGGAGAAGCTATTCGGCGGCAATGAGGGTCATGAGGAGGCAATCACAGCTCAATAAGCGAGTCTACAATACTTGTTGGCCGAGGCATCCTTTGGCGTTGAACGGGAGTCTCGCTTCATCGTGTGAATACAGCGGAAGCAACAAGTTGATGCTTGAATTGACAACCTGATCCTGTTAAAGCGGCTTGCACTGATTGTCTCAAGAAAGGCAGGCATCTCCCGATACTCCTCCTCTGCGTCGATCTCCCTCTATCCTTGGTTTTGACACCGCCCACATCCCTTCCGCGGCCTTTATGGCGGTCTCCTGTAGCTCCGCCTCCTTCGCAAGTCTCGCTTCCCGGTTAGTCTTAGACCTAGCATATCCATGGTGGCACTTCGGGCAGTATACTGTCCATCCGCTTCTTCGGGAGTTGCAGAATGCGCGGAGAGGCTTCCTCAAGGGATGACAACCGGAAGCCAATAGCAGAAGTGCAGCCGTAAGTTGACTTCAGCGCCATATCTGACCGCCTTTGGTCAGGACCCGAGCTCTCCAAAACTCAATTGTCTCAGTATGAGGTTGAAGTGCCACGTACTGGCTGCATAGACTCGCATGCCTTCCTCTGCCACTTGAACGTTACACCAATCAATGTATTCGCCAACGACCGCCACGAAGAGGCTTATTGCAAGTTCCGGTCCGGCAATCCCATAATGACAAAATAGTAGTAGATCCTCCAAACCAACGCTGGCGCGTGCAGATCTACGTTACTATACTCAAATACCCGATTGGAGAGTCCACTGCTGATCATCACATTCTTCTTTCCAGCATCATGAAGCTTCTGCCGACTCCTCCTGCGGATGCTACAAAGTGAGCCTCAATACCTGCTTCCGTTCGTCGTGCATGACCGGCCGGGCCCCTTCCCCTTTTCCCCCCCAGTCCCCACTCTACCTATCGTCTGATTGTTCTCTGACAGCTGCCTGTAGATTCTGCAACTTTATCACTGGGTCTCCGACGCCGTTCCAGGCCGTTGCCAATTTGAGCGCACGGCTCGTCGAGTCAGGCTTCAAACCGATCTCTGAGCGGTTGCTGAATTCTGCCGAGCTGGCCAACGGTGGAAAGTATTTCTACACTCGAAATCAGTCATCCCTCGTCGCGTTCACCCTCCCCAAGAACCCATCGCCTACCACTGCTATCTCCATCGTGGCTGGACACACTGACAGTCCATGCTTAAAGATCCGTCCCGTGAGCAAGCGGGAGACTCATGGATACCTTCAAATCGGCGTCGAAACGTATGGTGGAGGTACATGGCCAACATGGTTTGATCGAGACTTGGGACTAGCTGGTCGAGTCATCGTAGCTCAGGACGATGGCAAATTCGTCTCAAAGCTTATCAACCTCCACAGACCCTTGATGCGTATTCCCAACTTGGCTCCGCATCTCGACCGGACTCTCATCGATGAGATGAAAATCAACAAGGAGACCAATATTCGACCGATTGCGGGTTTGGCAGCCGAGATATTGAACGAGAAGAAGGACAAGGCGGAGACTAGCAATGGCGAGAAAAAGTCTGGTATGCAAGAGAGGCATGATCCCATGCTGCTCAAGATGATTGCCGAGGAGCTTGATTGTGGGGTAGAACACATTCAAGACTTTGAATTGTGAGTGATGGCCGAGCTCAACAGGCTCTGACCTCTGGTAGATCCTTGTACGATGTCCAGCCCGCTCAGGTCGGTGGCATGTCAAACGAATTCATCTTTGCGGCTCGAATGGATAATCTCATGACAAGGTGCGCGATCATCGACTGAATCTACTGTAGCTCACTCACACTTCCTCAGCTATTCTGCCATCGAAGCCCTTTGCGAGCACGCGACGACATCCAAAACGGACGATGACAATGTTCACGCTGTCATCGTCTTCGACAACGAAGAGGTCAGACTGAAAATACAGTATCAAGCTAACTTGGCTCAGATCGGCAGTATTTCCAATCATGGTGCCGAATCCAACATCTTGCCTAGCTTCGTCGAGCGAATCGTTGCTATGCCTGAATTCGCCGAGATCGGGTATCAGCGGATGCTGGCGCATAGTTTCCTCATCTCTGCGGACATGGGTCACGCAGTGAGTTGCAGACCAGCGTTGGGGGTTTTGGACATCGTTGAGGCATCTTTCCTCGCAGTTGCATCCCAACTACAGCGACAAGTACGAGCTGAACAACTCGCCAAAAATGAACGCTGGTCCAGTCATTAAAACCAACGCGAATGGTCGATACACATCGACTGCTCAGACCACCTTCCTTCTCCGACAAGTCGCCAAGAAGGTCGGCGTTCCTCTGCAAGATTACGAAGTCAGGAACGATTCGGTGAGCCGCGCATTGTGACTTCAATTACTCATCTTACAGAGCTGCGGCTCAACGATCGGGCCCCACCTGTCTACCTATCTACGCACTGTCGACATCGGTCTAGCCACGTTGGCCATGCACTCTATCCGAGAGACGGCAGGATCGGCCGATGTACGAATGTACATTGACTTGTTCAAGGGTTTCTTTGACCACTTCGCGGAGATCGACAAGGCTCTGAAAGTGGACTAGTCAATTGTTCAGCCGAAATGCGCGTGGACAATCCACGAGTCAAAAGTGCAGTCTAGTCATGCATACATACAAAGTTTGGAGGGCATCCGTCCACCGTCCCTAACCTGACAATTCCCGCCATTTCTAAGTGGTCGGTATTGCCTCACACCTAAGCTTTGGCCTCCTTCTTGGCCTTTTTGGCAGCTTTCCTAGCCGCACGCTCTTCGGCTGTCTCTTCGCGCTCAACACCAGATTCGTCGACCTTGATCTTTTTCTTCTTCTGTAACTCTCGTTAGCATCTCGGACTTCTGCTGATGAGGCTTCACTGACCTTTTTCTCCCCGTCGACGCTGCCTTCAACCTTGACCTCGGCAGCACCTTCGCTCTTCCTCTTTCTCTTCTTCTCGACCTCTTCCTCGCCATCCATCTTCACCTCCGCAATCTGAGCTGGCTGGGTCGGTAGTAATCCGGCCTCGCTGCCGCTCGGAGCACCGCCATCCGCCGCATTGTAGTCCACATATCCTTTCTTCCAGTTCTCCGGAGTGACACCCTCGATGGCTTTACCATACTTGTCCAACTCGCCCTTTTGGATCATCTTCTTCTTCTCCTGAGCTTTAGGTCCCAAACCCCATCGTCGAGGGTAGAGATCTCTGTTCATGATGCACCGTTTGACTTTAGCGACGACACCGTGGTCACAGGATGCAAGGTCAACAGTGGACATCATGGCGATTCCAATAGCGATGGCTTCTCCTTTCGTCGTCATCAAGACAACCTCTTCGTGAACATCGATGTCGGCTTCGTATCGCAGAAGACCGGGGATCATGAGCTTGGCTCCATAGCAGACGGCGTTGACAGCAGAGTCCTTGACGACTATACGTTTGAAGTTGGTGAGGAGGGATTCGAGAGGGCGGATCACTCGGCGGAGGTAGGATTCTGTGGCAAATGTCAGCTGTGATACCAAAGCATGGAGGGACTCACCATCACGCGTATTGTCGTAAAGCCATTGAGCGTCCAGAACATCGTGCATGGTGACAATGTCATCATTCTCTCCAGTGATACCACTTCGAACTCGTCTCAGTTCCTGCATATGGGCACCGACACCAAGGAGCAATCCGAGATGGACACATAGCGTTCGAATGTAGGTTCCAGCTTCGCAAGAGACCCAAAAGACAGCAAGATTTCTCTGATTGTCAAACTCCAGCAATTTTGACTCGTAGATGGTTCGGACTCGAAGTTGTCGCTTGACAGCGGAGATCAAGGGAGGTCGCTGAAACAAGGCACCGGTCAAAGTCTCCAAAGCTCTCGGCAAAGCCTTTTCGTCGGGAAGTGTATCGTGAAATCGAACAACACAGACGTATTCCTTTCCTGCGCCTTGTTGTGACTTGACCAATCGTGTCGCTCGGTCGATACAGACGATCAGACAACCGGTGACTTTGGGGTCAAGGGTTCCGGAATGTCCAGTTTTCTCGACTCTCAAAATCCGTTTCAGCCAAGCTACGACTTCGTGAGAGGATGGGTTGGATGGTTTGTCGAGGTTCATCACACCAGATCTGGAGTGCCTGTCAGCCTTGAACATTCGGATGGGTTGCTGCAGAATGACCCACTTGATGTAAGTCTGCAGATCTCGCTTGAGAGGGGAGACACCCTAAGCCAAATGTGAGTATTCTGCAGTGTTTATTGCCAAATGCCTGGACTCACGGTGGGAATGGGAGTGAAGTGAGAGGATCTGACCAGAAGTTTGTCGTAATTTTTAAGAAGCAGAGGCCATTGTGAAGTATCTAGTCGAGCATAAGCATCTGTACATCTCGAACAAATTTTGACAGAAACTTACCCAGAGTCGGGGTGACAGCTTCGCTTTTGATGGCAAAGTCGCCTTCCTGTTGGAGCTCTGCGACCTTGCCAGCGGCCAAAGTTGATTTTGAAGAAGATGCCATGGTCAACTTCAATCCAGCTCGAGGTAGAGTTGTTCACGGGCTTTACTAGTCTCTCTATCACGGTCTACGATTTTTTGAGCGTTGGCCACATGAGGACTTGGGGAGGTCCGATTCGGCGGCGGTTGCCGGAAATTTCAGAGGCGAAATGCCGAGTGTGGCACATATCATTCGTGGTTGCAGCTCTGGGGTACATTTGATCAACCCTGTGCTCCCTTCTGTATCATCAACCAGCTTGGTATGGGATCTGATAGTGAGCTCGACGATATGACTGGGAAGGCTCGGAGTAGTCTGCGCCCAGTCATGAAGTGTTCACATGCAGTTTTTCTTGACGGGAGCGCATCATCCGGAAACTGCCCAATTCACGACTCGCCGGAGGAAGGTACTGGCAGGACTTGATCGGCGCTCCCATCTCTCTACCTGATGCGATTCAGAAGTACACCTCCGATGAAGTTTGGTACATGCCACAACACAGCGCATTCATCATGGGGTTGTGTATGCGCTTGTGATATATCACCCGAACGGAGATTGCCGCGCCAGAACACAGCGGCCATGACCGACCGACAGATCTGCAGATTCCACCTCAGGTATGCGCTACACTCGCTGCAGGCTGGGCAGTGTTCGGATTGGACTATTGACACGATGGGACAAACAAAGCCTGAATACCTCCAACGTAAGACCTTACTCATGACTGTAGCACGTCCTATGCTAAGCCAGCTTAGCCTATACATCGGCTGCACCATCGCACTATCTTCGTCACAAGAATGGCTGGCCACATTTCATCACCTTTGTACTGAGCTTCTCTAGCGACGATGCACCTTCGATGCCATTCCTGAGGAAGAGACTGGAAGATATGCAGGTCAGGTATCCGGATACCAGACTGTCACTGGTTGAAAGACCCCGACCCGAGTCGCATACACTCTACTGGAGTCCTGTTAGCTGGCATCAACAAGATGATGCATGGCCAATCAATCACATCTTACAGGAGCTCGACTCTGCTCCAGCCTCTTCTCTGGACGCTTATCGAATCGCTATCCATCTGGCCGAACAACGATCGCTGGTCGATTGTCCTCTATTCGTTGTCCATCGCCTGGTCGGCCCTAGACAGACATTCATCTGCTTATCGGTATCTCATACGCTCACTGATGGCATCGGAGCCAGCAACATGTTACGTGCCATCATTGAACCGGAATTAGAGCAGTTTTCAGATGAATCTCAAAAGGGATTCTTCAATGGCAACCTCGGCAAGCCTCCGCAGGTGGCGCCCTTGAAGCCCTACGAGCCGTTCAAGCCGGACATCAAAGGGGAAAACCGTGACGATTTGGCTAAGAAGGATGCTCCCATATGGCCGGCGTCAGCCGATGATTTCAAGATACACCCATCTTCAGATCTGCCATCGCAATTCGTGGACGTACACTTCTCCGCAGATACAATCAAATCGCTTTCAACAAAGGCAAAAAGTGTGCAGATAGCCACACTCAATACCGTTTTCCTGTCTACCTTCGTCATGGCTGTCATAGAGGTCATGGGCATCAAAGACAGACGCCTCCAGTCTGTCGTACCCGTCTCGTTCCGGAAGAAAGCCGAGAATCCGCTTTTCTTTGGCTCGTTCACCACCGCCCTGGACATCATCACCCATTGCACTCCGAAGACGTCCACTTGGAGCTTTATTAGGGAGTTCAGCGTACCTGCCAATAAGCAGGTAGCGGAGGCGATAGAAGCACGACAGAAGCCCAAGGTGGATGACGATCGGAAAACCAAGAGTCCTGTGTTCGATGCGGAATCTGCGATGCAACGAGACCTCGATAGGTTAAAATCGGATGCCGCTTATATGGACAGCATCGTTTGGAGTAATTTGGCAAGATTGAGTTGGCTAGATAATGTTCATGGTTGTAACGACGTGCTATGGGGTCAGAGCACTGCCATGTTCTTCGCCCCGATCTGTATGAGTGTAGTGGGATGGAAAGGAGGAATGAGGAGCGTCTGTGGCTTCAAGGAGGGGTCCGGTTTCACCAGTGAGCAGGTGGCGACCATCATCGCTCGATGGGAGGAGATAGTACAGGAGGCTGTCGATGCCGACGTGAAGGGCGATGTTTTGGATGTTCCATGAGCATATGATCAGTATGGTAGTCGTCCCGGAGGATCTTTTGGTGAACCGCATGCATGATAATAGTATCACTGCCACTATCACGCCCGTTGACGATGCTGCAGTTCGTATGCGTGCCAATCATTCAACCCTGTCAGGATGAAGATCAGTCAATGCTGTCCAACACTGTATCTCTCCTGTCTTTCAAACGATTGCTGGTCCCTTGTGCATGCAGCTTGAATCACCCAGTGCCTTGAAACCAGTATCTTCTCGATGGATGGTACGTCGACTCTCGGGGTACTGCAGACAAAGGCTCCCTTTGGACCCTTAAAAGGTAAAGGACAGTCTCGATGACTGGACTGATACCCGCTCAGCTGCCTTTGGGCCTTCGTCGTCTCATTCATCCCCAAGTACCGAATCGACGCTTCGAGCCTCAGCTCCCATCGCCACACCCGAGGTAGAAGGCGGCTGGCTGTGTTGCTTTGGAGTGAGTTCTACATGGTGCGAGGACGGTCAGTAATAGCTGATGATACCTGTCAGAGATGGCGAGACAAGACTCAAGCGTCAGTACACAATTCTTCCTGCCCAGGTCGTTCGCCGCGCTGTCACCGCAATCAGAGGGAGAATTACTACTAAAGATCTGGAAAACCCACCTTGCCATTGCAAAGCCGTCATTGCGAATCCTCACGACCTCTCCCTCCGTACACACGATCCCAAGCTGGAAGTAAGACCGCGGTGGCAGTGTTGGCGTTCCAAAGGAGGATCAAGCGTCGAACCAGTCTTCTCAGGATGGTCGCCAGCGACGATCAAGCAGAAGAAGCAATTCTGGAGGTCCCGAAACGCCGCCAGAGCACGTCTCGTGTTCGCACCCAGGTACTCTACTCCTGAAAACCGTCAAAGGCCGGAAGGAGCTCCAATCCAGGCATCTGAAGCTGAGCAGATAGCTGTGGGATGGAGAAGCCACCGACGGATGCTCGCTTCTTTCCAGTCGGGAGGATATCCTATTCTTCGAGATTCAGCGGCGTACCGGCTCCCACTTCCCAGCGATCCCGATCTACCTCGCTGGATGGATAAATACAGAACAGTGTACTCAAGTGTCAGCCTTGAAGCGGGGGTTTCGGCGTCAACAGGAAGGGAACACCGACTCAGTCAACTGCCGCAACCACCTACTCAGCCGATTGACATCCCGGTCAGACGACAGACGGCGCTAAATATTTGGCGTCGATGATCACCTTTTGCAATGAACGCATCCGTTGTTTCACTATATTCCGGACAGTAGGTAACATGTGTCGACTGCTGGGCCTTATCACACCCTTTCATGTGACATGCAGGCTTCATGAAAATGATCTTACACCACACGTCAGACGCGTCCCGAAGGAAGTTCTGGGCTGATTTTTTAGCGTCCCGTAAATTGCCTGGCTATCTACCGCTTGCACCAATCGTAACCAATGTACTGACGCCTCTGCCCTCGACAATCCATCAGAATGATACGGTAGCCGCTCCATATCTTGGTCGACCTTTTCGAGATGCTTCTCTCTTCCCTTGCCCTAGTCTTCCTTCCCATCGTCCTCGCCGCGAGAGGGAGGGCCTGCTTGCCTTCCGGAGATGAGAGAGCCATCAATGAGGCTTTTCAGCAGGGTACGTAGGGCAATATGGGGACCAAGGGAATGATTCTATCACCCGAATGAGAGCCCAAAGTTGATTCTTTCCCCAGGCGGCTCAGCCACACAGGTGGTACTCTGTGCTGGGTCAACCCATCTGCTCAATGATACAATCAGGTTCACTTCGTCTCGGCAGACTCTGACCACCGAAGGGAATCCGAAGGGTAGAGACAGAGCCATGTTGGTGGTCAAGGGAGAAGACCAAGCTGTCGCCATCAAGTGAGCTCGAAGGGCAGCCGAGGCATCACTGGGGCTGTTCTTTTTCATGCTGACATTTTTTGTCCAGGGCAGACTGTGCAGACTGCTCATTCGCAACAATACGGTCACTTATCATAGACGGTAACCGACCGGAGATGCTTCGCGTTGTTAAAGGCGGAGCCTTAATAGAGATAGGCAATGCGGAGACGCAGACAGTGAGGGATTGCAGGCTGTACGAACCTAGGTGAGTAGCCATCCGATCAACCCAGGCACGATCTGATGGCTAATGATCAACCAGAGGATGGAGTTGTCTGCACGTGCGGGAAGGTGATAGATTGAATTGCAGAAAAGCTCGGATAGTAGCGAATGATATCGTGAGTGTCGCCGTCAGCTTTGAAAGTGACTTGGGGTGACCTGTTCGTTCAGGGACCTTGCGGAGAGGAATGGGACGATGAATATGACGGCGAGGACGAGACAAATCCTGTAAATGGGAATCCGAGGGCTGATGGGATCAGTCTGGCATGCCAAGACTCGTATGTCGAACGAAATGTAGGTCTCTTAGGTCTCAGAAACATGTACAAGATCGGCAGAAACTAATCGGCCGGCTTTATCCCAGGTGGTGACGGACGCGACGGATGGCGCTATCGTGATCTTTGGTTCGTCTGGTTCTGAGATCCGAGACAATCAAATCTTCACTCGTACTCGTGTTCTGCTAGGAGGTATCAACTTGGTCGACTATGACCCGTACAAAGGCGATTACTTCGGGGTCAAGGTCCATCACAATGCCATTCACGCCCACGGAGGATATCTCAAAGCTGGCATCGTCATTGGCCCTTCAGCTTGGTCAGACGATACCAATAACGTGGTTCATTCCGCTTGGGTCACGGATAATACATTCCATGGCGGACATTTTGGATATGCCATGGTCGTAGCTTCTGCCGAGAGGTTCACTGTTCTACGAAATGAGTTGGGAGACGATGTAGGATTTGGAGGAGCCATTGGAGTCAGGTGTCCAAAATCTCCACCAAATGCGCCGCCAATGCCCTTCTTACTGGACAAGGCCAGTGCAGAAGGCAACTTTCAGGATGAATTTGTCAATGGTATGGTACAACACGGTGAGTAGCGTATCCAACGAGGAGCCTCACCTCTCGCTTACGCGTCATCATTTTCTAGTCATCTGCCTCGACCCCCCGCCAATCGATGGAGTCCCTTACAAACCCTGGAGACTACGCGATTCACCCCACGCCAAGAAACGATCTGATCTTGATGATGGACAGAAAGCAATCACGGAGACGACCTTGGAATCATCTTTCGATTCAAGGCTGGCAGAAGCTGTCGTGCTGTATCAGCAACGAGTCATGACCCGATTGAATGGGTTAAACGATAAATTAGAACGACACAATCGACCTGCAGATTCGGACGTGACTGCTGGCGAACCAGCCATCAGTGAAAGGGGCAAGACTGGGATTCGAGCGATCGATGGCTTAGAGCGCAAGATGGGAGTGTATGAGAGTCAAGAGAAGAGCTTGCAGAACGAACTGGACGCTTTGGGGAGAGAAATCAATGATTTGAGTAAGAGATTCCGGAAAGCAACGGTACGTCATGCTCGGAATGTCTAGCTTCTCGACTGACCGTTGCGCGCCTTTTGCCTGCCTACCTTGACCTCTCAGGCCGATCACAAACCGATCCTGAGCGAATTATTTAACTCCGTCAACCTCTTGCCAATGAGCCAGCATCTGAGACAACGTCAACCTGCCAAGCAGGCTTTCATTTCATGGGATGCTTTCAGCAAGCTGGGCCCCGTCGGTATTATGCTGGGTTCTGGGACACTTTTGATCTTTGTACTGTTCTTGGTGAGACGGCTGCGACGGAGATCTACCAGATCATCAAAAGACAAAACTTTTTGAGCAATCAAGATTACCTTATAGACAGACATCTTGCAATAAACATTCTCTTTTCACTAGTATGCATCTATTGACTAGGATATACATGTTGAATTGCGGGTGAGCTGTGACAGCCAAGGCATGCTGAGTGATATTCGTCGCCAAGTGTACAGTAGAAATGTCTATGAGAGAAAGATGGCCAGATCAAGGGGCACCTGGTGTGGATCTAGGAGTGTACAAAACATTCGTAGGAACGAAACAATGTCCATCTTCTCGGACCAGTGTGATGGGCACGGGGCCTCGGATGGGTCCAGTGGGTTCAGAAGCAGCCATGACTTCGGGGCTATGAACAATTTTGCCGCGTCAGCGATGGTGGCTATTCGTTCAACGCGACTCACCATCGAACTTCAGTGTGTTCCGCCATTTGATCCCCATAAAAGACTTTGAAGTCTGAAGAGCCTCGTTCGGGCTTCGGTACAAAGTTGCGGCCGTATCTATGCTGTGTCAAAACGGACAGATAGTATTACCCAGGCGAAAACTCACATGGTAATCAGTGGCAAGTTTGTCAAGGTGGTGTAGGTCTGATGCGGTGCATGACCAGGCAGGGGATCCGACCCAGCCTGACCAGGAGGCAAGTATCGGATAATCTCCGGGAACGGAGTGTACGGGGTAGGAGCGTTAGTAGCTTGAGGTGGCACATAGAATGTGTATGTCTTCTGCTCCGTCGAGACGATGCTCCATACGCATGTCTCACCCACGTCAAGTGTCCACATGGAACGAGGCAGGTCGGGCGAGAGAGATGATTTGCCATGGAAACCGAAGGACGGCGCTCCATTACTACTGCTAGCCAAGGTCTCCCACGAGGTCGACGTCGAGTCGGTCGATTGACGCTTTTTGTGTGTCGGTCGAACAAGGGGTCCTCGGTTGCTGGAGCCGGCTCGTTGGCGCCGCATAGGCCCTCCATCCATAGGCAAGGGTACATCACCGTGACCGATATTCGGCGACACCAAAGATGTGGATGAGGGTTTACGCGAATGAGCTCCGAAATACTCGAGAGAGGAGGAGGTGCTGACAGGACTCGAAGGCGTTGAAGGTAATGTACCATTCGATAGATGAGGAGTCATCGGTAGAACCCCAAACCGCTGCTGAGGCGTTGACGGCACGCTGGCGGGCCGACCTACGCTTCCACGGGATGGCGGAGTCGGTATGGAAGACCATCGTCTCGGGTGATTGACGTATCGCTCCTGGATCATGTCTTGATCGCAAGCCAGCCAGAAACCTCCATAGCGAGGATCACGAGACAACTGCATCATTGTGTCGGGTCGATAGACTTCAAAGGCGCACTTCTGAAGTTGAGCGACCAAATCTCCACCAAGTTCGCCATCTGGGTAACAGCCGCTCAGTTCCGAGCTGGAGCCGTCTCCACCGACAACGTCCGCGTCTTGGTCGACACGACGAATGATGAGGATCGGTGTACATCGGCCGGTCTGGATAGATTGCAATATGACTAGAGAATTGTACCTGATAGCCGGCGGGTTAGGCCCAACTGTAAGAGCGTTTGCTGGGGCCGATGGCCACCCAGGCTGCAAGGGGAGATTGTAGCTTTGCGTCGCTGGTTTCCTGGGATCGGCACACCAGATGATCCAAGATTCCCAGGCATTGGCACTGGCAGTGAATGACTGCCATGCAGATCCAGCGTTCAGCGGCATAGGAGGCTGGGCTCCGGTGGCCGGTCGCCCGTCTGACCCAAGAACAGTCGTGTTGTCTTGCTGAATGGAAAGATACCGCGTTGATGTGGTCTGCGATTTGACCCTGTTGAATAAAGCGACTGTAGATCCATGTTGGACGAGCAGTTCTCCTGACTTGGAAGACGCCTTCTTCTTGCTAGGCTTGGAGATGACCTTGATCTCCTTGCTCTCAAACGTGCCGACGACCTCTGCCGTGTCAATATCCTCCAGCGTCCCTCTGGTATGTCCCCAGCCATTGGGCCCAGCATGGTGTTTCAAGGGTGCTCGAATGGTAACAACAGCCTTTACTTCCTTGCGCTTGCTATCGCTATCCGTGATGTGTAGATTTTTGCCCGCGACGTGACCCATGAAGGGCTTGTCGTCGGGAACAATGGCCTGAGTGTTGATTTTTTCGTCGAGATTGTGTCCGTCAATCGTACTCCAGCTGACAGTCGACTCCTTGGGTGGTGTTTCGCCAGCAAGAGCGATATGCAACCGAGGTGGTAGAGCCGTAGCAACTGGGCAACCATCTGATGTTCTCGGCCACCAACCTGTTCCATATAGTGTCGCTTGTGGATGAGGACACAGGAATCGCTTTTCCGTCCCGTAGGACTTTTGACCCACTTTCGGACTGGAAATGACGATTTTTCGCTCGCCGTGAGCGAGTCGACTTGGAGCAGAGAGGTAGCCTCTAATTGCAGCCTTTATCTCGTCCTCGTTCAGCGGAGCTGCTGGAGATCTTCCGCCCGATGCGCCATTGGGTGGTGAGCCAGAAGGCCATACCATGGACTGCGACAAGCCAGAAGGACCTTGTACAGATGAGTTCCTGGGTCGAGATGGACCTGTGTTAGTCATATTCTGCCATTCGTCGTGCCAGTCGTGTCCATCGGTGGAACTGGCGGAAGATGTCGAGCCTCGACTCTCCATCAAGAGGTTGGTGAAGAGTTTTGGTTGATTACCAGATAGATCATGCGGTGCGAATTGATGAGGGTTTATCGTATTGGGCGGTTGGGCACTCGGTGGAGGAACGAAGTGTGGATGGAAGAAATTGCCCGCAGCCATGAGAGACTGAAACCAGTCATCTCTTTGTTGAGCCTCCAAGATATTGTCGCTACCTGAAAACGGTAGCTGACCTGCTGAAAAATTCGGATCTGGAGGTTGATACGGATTGAATCCGTTGAAGCCATACTGCATGCCTGGTGTAATCAAGCGGTCACCGGTATGGATGGAAGATGCGTCCAATGTCATGCCAGACGGGGGTGCGGAGGATTGAGCGGAAGGGAAGTGGATTTGTGGATGCTGGAAAGAAGGTCCGGAAGTGTCCAGGTTCAGAGATGGCCGGAAGCCGGCATTTTGCGAGGTCGATGATTCACCATACTGCCCGTAGCCTGAACCGCCTGGCCCAGGGTAGTAGGAGCCACCTGAAGAGGTATCGAGACCGAGGCCTTGCTCCTCATTCTCACGTCGGGAAGGATACGAGAACACGGACTGCACAGGCGTATCCTTATCAGCCTCGAGATCATCTCCCCGGCGCCGTTCACTCACCCCTTGCCAGTCTCCAGACATGGAGGCTGCGCTGGGAATAGGGGCTAGAGCTGAGATCGAGTACACCCTCTTACGACCTGTATGAGTTTCTAAGGGCGACGAACGTCTGTTCACGGCGCTGCGGGACCGTTGATCGGAGAACCCCGATAAGTCGGAAGTAAGGAGCCTGGGTCGCGGTCTTAAGTTCGAAGGTAAAGCCGAAGTGCTGTTTGGCCTCTGTTGAGATGGAATCTGGAAGGATAGAGGCGCGACCTGAGGTGCTTGATTTTGGCTTCGACGTTCAGACAGAGAAACCTGGTCCAAATACGTTTGAAGAATGGAAATGTCGATGTTGGGATTTTGACTGTGGGACATGATGAGCTGATGGACTTGGGAACGAGAGTGGATGCTTCGTAGTATAGGCAATGTGAGACGGGAAAACTCGAGAAGGAGAAAATAGTATGGAAAGGCTGGGTGAGGTGCTTATGACCAGAGCAACTCTCTAATCCCCTCTCAGAATACACCAGGCACTTCGCAAGGTTGGGTGAAGGGACCTCGGATTCAGAGGCAGATTCAGTTCAAGTAGACAACAGAGTCAGTGGGAAACGGAGTCAATCGCCTGAGGGCAAGGATTGCTGGCCGAGGAACGAAGTACTAGGTGTTCTGAAGAGGTAAGAAGTGGAAAAGGAAGAGCAGGGGCGAGGGAAGAGGCTGAATGCGATCGGCTCCAGCAGGGTGGAGGGGAAGAGTGATCTACGGTAGCGATCAGGAGGTAGACAGGTAGAACAAACGTCTGAAGCTATAGTAGCCGACAAAGAGATACCTTGCCGCTGGTGAGCGGCCCCGTGTCAAGACACAAAGAATCTTGGGTGACTGTAGACTCCTTTCTCCTCGTCACCTCCCTTCGTGACAGCAGAACACTGGGGTGACATGAGGGATCGACAAGAGGGTCTTGACAGAACAAGACTCAAACGCTCAATCCGCACGCCTCCTTTGACGAGAAGAAGGGGCAAAGCTAGGGGACAGACTGAAAGTGGCCCCTTTGTCCCCGAAGCCCGGTGAAGATGGATTTGCAAGAGAGGTGGAAGTATTCGGAGAGCGACACACCCGCACTCACCTGAATCTATGTTCCCACCAGAAACAAGAAGGTTCCTTCGGACTATTGTGCTCGCTGATCCGGGTTTAATGACTCTGAAATAGAGTGAGTCACGCCAGTCCAGAGTAAGGAGGAAGTGTATCTTTTGAACGCCGAGCTGTGCCGTTGAGCCGGTATTTCAGAGCGGAACACTGCTGAGCAGTGCTTGAACCAAATAGGTCCAGGAGAACGATGAAGAACTCGATGTTGATGGACCGCCCCGTGCCGCGCTGTCGACCAGTCCTATGACTTTGCCCTACAGGCCGTGTATGTGATGTATGATGGTCACACAGAGATGGTTCGTCCGTGTCGCCAATCCATCAAAAATACAAAACTCACCCAAAGAAAAAAAAAATGGGATTAGGACTCGAGATTGGGGGAGAAAAATAAAATTGGGTAGTCACCTAATTTCAAGGTGCAACCTGCACAGTCTTGCCGCTGGGCCTGGCTGGCTGGCTGGCTGGCCTTGCCTGGCTGATGGGTGCTGAGCAGAGTCGAATGTCCGTAATGCTAGCAAATCGACAAGGCAGAAAGGAGCAGACCGTGTCGTTGCCCGACCACTCTCATCTGCCACTCTATCTCGACATTCTGATCATCACATGCATAAAAAGCTGAGCCCTGAGTAATGCGGCCTGCACATGCTATAGCTCTGTGGAGTAATTCAATCATCTCAAGGATGTCCCTCTTCGGCCCGATCGTCTGCGACCGGGACACGAGACGATCAGTAGTAGACACTCGCGAATCGGAAGAAACAGGACCATCCATACTTGTGGAGTTCCGAGTGGCAACACTATGGTCATCGAGCTGACACGCCTTCCCTTTTGCCAAGGCTTCATCTATCTGCGGTATCCAGAGCGGAGGATGACGACGACGACAACGACGACGACGACAACGAATCCTATCAGAGAGGCAAGGTGGCGACCACGAAGTCTTGCCCTTTCTAGTCGTATCGGGTCGACAGACATGGACGCCAATGATGGTGAGTGCGGATTTGGGCATCGTCAGGCTGCACGACTGCCTCATCTCTCCGTCATCAAGTTGTGTTGCTTATGTCCGTCGACAGGGGCGGATGAGGAACATCTAGGACATATGTGAAGCGTCGCTTCTAAGCGGGATTGCGCGCTTCTTTTTTGCGTTTTCTTTGGCATTCTGCACTGCGGATTGCATATTTTTCCATCCCTCTGCTGATCAATTAATAGCTTGACAGTGTATAACGACTACCGACTTCGATAGCGAGGAGAAAGGAAAGTCCTAATAAGATAGAGAGACGAACGCCACAGCTTGAACCTTGGGGCTTTTCCCCCTTGAGATCCTGCAGTCAAAAATCTATTTCGGATAGTCGCACGGCCGAACGGAGGCGTTTCTCACCCAAGTTGGCAATCGCTCGCCGGAAGACTTGCAGTATTACACCCCAGGAGGAAGTGGTATACTCAGACGTGTCTGGACTTGTGCGGCCGGCCGTGACGTAGGGCTGCATGCATCTGGAAAGTAGATGTCTCAATAGTGTTTGCATCAATCTGTACAGATAACACTTTGCCATTCATCCGATCTTTCAAGCTTCTCAGTCGATCATTCCTTTGTATCCAGATCCTTTGATGTCCGCAGACGAGCTACTTCTCGGTCTACGGACACAGATGGTGATCACGCAAGCGCGTCATTCCTCCTTCTGTTCTCCAACCTGTTCCTTCTCCTGTCCCTTCGCCTCTTTGCCTTCCGAGCTGCTCTTTGTGGCATGCTGGACCCACATCCTGACGAAAAAGACCCAGTAGATGAAGAGAAGGGTTCCCGCCACACCATGGGGCCAAATTTCTTGTAGACCTCCACCTTGAGCGAATTTCAGGTATCCCCGGTAGACCTCAATAATGACACCGACTGTGAGTTGAGAAAGACCCGTATAGCCCATATAAGGTCGTCCAAACGTGTATCCTGCAAAGGCGGCGTACATCAACCAGTGATGAAACGAGTTCATAGCTGCAAAGATCCTCCACGAACCGCCATCAGGGCAAATGACGCATCGAGCGTAAGTCAGGTAAGGGGTAGTAGGGTGATGAAAGCCCCAGTGCCAATCCATCTCGTAACCCAAGAGCGTGACGAGAACGACATCGGTGTATTCGTAAAACTTGGAATAATGGTATATGTATCCTGCATCCGGGAGGTTGCCGGCAATCCACGTCGGCCATTTCGATTCGGGGACAAGAGATGTAAACACGAGACAGAGGCAAATACAGGAGTAAATGCTGGCGTGGACCTTGAGGAGACTCTTGGCGATAGTGGACTTGCCTTGTCGTGCCACAAAGGCCGCCAGACCACGTTGAATCGTCGCAAGGATGACGGTGGTTGTGACAATGGACCTGAGATCCAACAGGGGCATGTCTGGTCGCGTACGAGGTGCGTCATCGCCTTTGTAGCCCCACTCCTGGAAGCAGGTCGATTCGAGATAGTGTGCAATCTTCGACATGGCAATGACAGGAGGATGAATACACTGTGGAGTCCGTTGTCGTGCTGAGAAATGCAAGAGGTGTTGAAGTACAGAAGGAAAAGAGAAAGTTTTCCGCCTCGCAATATCTTCTGATAGTGCCACTCTGGCGCGGGTTACGACGCTTCTGCGGCCCCTGGGCAGGAAATGAGCTGTAGTCGGTGCAACTCTGCGCTATCATCGTTCCTCAAAGAGGTCTCAACGACGTAACATCAGACTGGCGAACTTTGCACATGTTCAATCGTCGCACGTCATACATGCCCCAATTGTAGTCCGAGACTACATATACAGACCGAGGAAGACTACAAAATCTATGCAGATCTTGTGCAAAAACGTCAGCAAGTAGCCTACGGCACGTCGAACACTCTCACCTCCTGGCCTTTTTCTGGGCACGAAGGGAAGCGATGTGGGTCTTCTTCTCCTCGGCACGCTGAGCAACCTTGGCCTTGTACTCGGCGATAGACTCCTTCTGAGCCTCGGTTCGTCGCTTCTTCAAGGACTGGAGGTGACGTTTGCGTTGGAGACGCATGGGGGTGACAAGACGCTGAGCGAGAGTGAGCATGAATTTAAATGCAGAGTCTGAGAGACCTCACCTGAATCTTGGGGGATTTGGTGTAGGTTTTTCCGCTGGCTCGGGTGACCTCTCGCTTGATGACGAAAGCTCGGACGTCGTCCTTTTTGTCGAGGTTGAAGAACTTCCTGATTCGCGTAGCTCGCTTAGGTCCAAGTCGCTTGGGAAGGGTAACGTCGGTCAAACCGGGAAGTTCCTGCTCTCCTTGCTTGACAATGATGGTAGCAAGAACTCCAATGTCGTTTCCGACGATGCATCCTCGGACGGACTGATTGATCGTCAGTCGGACATATCCGCGATCCACTGTCGTCAACGACCCACCTTCCTCTTTCGCTCTCCAGTTCGTCGGGGTCGGTAGCAAGAGTGGCCTGAGTGAATCGTAAGCTAAACTGAATTCACCCATGTTTTCATTTAAGCTTACCCTTGCTGAGCAGGAGCTTAGTTCGGTGCTGCAAGAGAACACCCTGCTTCATGGGGAATCCCTATAAAGACGGTGTCAATCCAAACTCCTTGCCAATTCTCCTTCCTACACACCTGCTTGTCGTTTCCTCCAGTGATCCTCAAGACGTATCCCTTCCACTCATCTCCGAGCGAATCGACAGCAATGTCCTGTCCCATTCTCTGCTCCATGAAGCATCGGCTGGGAAGCAAGTCAGCGATCTGTACGTCTACCTGTGTTGAAAACTAGGGCATCGAGCCCTCAGCCTTTAAATCACTCACACTTTACGCTCATCGTCAAAGTCGAACAATTTCTGAGCCCCAGTAGCGGGGTTGGCGACGTTGAGTTTCATTTTGACAGAATACAGATGCTCGTTGTTCTCTCAAGCTGCTCGATACTTGAACAGTCAACTTGAGAAGGACGACGAAAGGTGAGTTGTCGAGTCTTCAAAATGATCAAGCTTGTAGGAATTTGGTGCCCAAGGAGATTTTGGTCAGAGCCACGAGCGAAATCGGCGTTTCGAAGGAAAATCCCGAATGTGGCAAACTCAAGGTGGCACACGCCCAACCAAGTGGCACCGTCAGCAAGCATGCATGGCGAGGGCGAGCAAGCCTTAAACCAATGCAATTGGGCTATCAGTCCGACCACTATGTATCAGTAGCTCGAAGGTAGCCATCGAAGTCAGATGCCAGTCAGTATATAGGATCCCTCGTAGATTTGAGCGAGGTGGTTACCGACCTGGAGGGATCACTGAAATCATACTTGGTCGAGAAACGCGGGCCATATCGTATGCATGATCATCTGGCTCGAGTGACCCGAACACCCCTTTCAGTCTGCTGCTTCATCGCTCTCTTGCTCGCCATCGCAATATCTGCTCGGCGCCGCACTTACTACTACACGTCCAAGCTGTCGGCGTTTCGCGGCGTTTCAATTGCCCGTCTATGAAAAACAAATTGGTGGCACCGAAATCCTCTCCCTCACGAACAATTCGAGGTTTTCGTCCCTTCGAGCCCGACGTCTCTTTTGCCCTTCAAGACTTATCCTCAACCTCACAGGTCATTCTTCAAGATGGGACGGTGAGTAGATGTCTTTCAGTGTCTAGGATGGAAATGCCTTTGGCCCTGGCTCCCGACTGCGCCAGAACGTTCCCTGCTAGGAATGTTCCAGCCTCGGATCGTTCAAGCGTTCCTCTCCTCCTTGAAAGACGCTCCTTTACAGCCTTTGCTGACAGCCCGACCTCCAGAATGCACTCAAAAGGAAAGGGTATCTCCGCCTCTGCTCTCCCCTACCGACGATCTCAGCCCTCCTGGTCCAAGGCCACCCCCGAGGAGGTCTGTGACCAAATCTTCAAATTCGCTCGAAGAGGTTTGACCCCTTCTCAAATCGGTGTCATCCTCAGAGACAGCCATGGAATCCCTCAGGTCAAATTCGTCACTGGAAACAAGATCCTGAGAATCCTCAAGACTAACGGTGAGTCGGACGTTTGGAAATGGAATGAGTTCGGCGGAGGGACGGGACCGCATATATCGCGTATCGGGTTTTAGGATGGGGGCGAGTGCCCGAAGGAATCACTTGCTCCCTCTGAATTAGCTTGAAACCCAATACTGCTTGCGGTAAATGCTGATACATGCCTCTCAGGTCTTGCCCCATCCCTTCCTGAGGACTTGTACTGTCTCATCAAGAAGGCCGTCTCTGTCCGAAAGCACCTGGAGCGAAACCGAGCTGACAAGGCTGCCAAATTGTGGGTGTCGGCCTCGTTGTCTCCGCATAAGTGGTTCTGGTGCTGTGCCGACGGGCAATGCTTCGAGCGCCATGACAGGCATTGATGCAGTTGGATCATTCGCTGATTCATCCCTTTTAGCCAAATGATTCTCATCGAGTCCCGTATTCACCGTCTCGCCCGATACTATATCAAAACCCAGCAGGTTCCTCCTACTTTCAAGTACGAAGCCGCCACCGCTTCCACATTGGTCGCCTAAGGTGGAACAGCAGACTTTGAAGAGAGGAGAGCGGGATGAGCTGCATTGCATAAGGTTGTGCCATGCATCTCGTTGTGATTTTCGCCACCGCATCTGGGATAGATGAAATGTGTGCAAGATGTACTTGACTAGATCTGGTGTTTCAGCTCCGCTCCGACCTCGCCGATGCTTCGAATATAAGATGTGGTGTTCTACCCGGTGTGGAACTCAAGTCATGGCTGCAGCCTCTTGAGGCGTGAGGTTATCTCCTTGGACTGTATCCGGAGATGCCAGATCTACAGGAACATTGATCGATATCGGCGATGCGTCTCGCTTATACTTCGCTCTGTCCAGCTGATGTTGAGCCGACGTCATCTCGCGGCGTTCGAGGAGCTGCAGGAAAGCTTTCCGGTGGAAGTAATTCAGCGCTCCAATGGCCTGTCTTCCGATCTATGGAAACTCGGTCAGGCTGATTTGAGATGGATTTTAGGCACTTACATTGTATTGCTGAAGGTTCTGTAGTACCTCAATAGCAGCCTCTCTGACACCGGGCCATCGGTGGAATAGCCCGTTGGCGATAGGTAGTAAGCCACCCCAATGGCTCGGAAGGATGGTAAGAAGCTTCAGAGCCAGTGTTAAACTGGAACAGTAGGGATCGGGCTAAATACTGGACTTACCTCGACAACCTGCTCGTACGACCTGATTCCGGCAGCGAGGCATGAGAAGATGGCTTCCGCCTCTCCGTCCGTCATGTTCTTGATCAGACGAAGACGCGCGATCTGGTGCTGGACATCAAATCCAATGGCGCGAGTCTTCATATGTCTGGCCCAATCCTGGATTAGGGCGTCAGCGATTGTGCGAGACCAGGATCATGCTTTTAGCTCACCTTCGCACATAATTTGTAGCTCCGTGTCTTCTTCCAAGCTTCTATACGATGAACGTTGCTTCTCATCTCCCTCGATTTTGACGCCTCATCTGCAAACACTGTCCCGCTTCCCAATTGCCCTTCGCTGTAGGTGATACTCCGGTATCCTATTCGAGTTTGACCAGTGTGAATGAACTCATGATACGACGCGAGGCGAACGAAACGGGAGATATAGTCTATGAATCGCTGTCGGATGTGCGCTTCTCCAAAATGCGCAGCCATGGCGGATTGGATCTGAAAAGATCAGCAGAGCTTTCATTATGTTTTCACACCCACATCCTCCATGAACTGATTGTCGACGCAATCCGGCCTACTGTGCTCTTTCATCTTAGCTGCCGGAGTGCCCGCCTGAGGATCATCCTCAACTTTGACGATGCTCCCCGTCAGACTAGTATCACTTGATCGAGCGCTTTTCATGCTTCCCATCAGATGATTCGCGGTTGCTGCGCCACCATTCTGCAGATTTTTGCTGACAGTGACCTTTCCAGTCTCAAGGTTGCACAAGACATCCCAGGTCCCCGGTAAGTCTTCAAATCGGGGGTTGCATACGCCTGCAACATAGCCGCTGAATTCTTCCAGAACATCCAAGGAGGCCAGATTGGCATAGGGGAAAGCATTTGCAGTGACCCCTCGGAGTACTTGTCCTGATCCCGATACCAGGGCACAGGCAGCCAGGACCATTCGTGCAACTTGGTTCGCCGGATGACCGTAGCCTAGGAAGACGACTCGTTTGTTCGCCAGTAGTGCATTGAGGATCAAGATGATAGGGTGAGTTTGCGGACCATTTGTGTGGAGATAGGGGTGAAAAGGCGGCGGGAATGCATGGGCATGAGAAAACGCCTGCACAAGCTCAATGACGGAATACTGATGTACGAGTCAGCGCATGTTCCAGAGCACCAGAACCACGTACATCTCCCACGTCCTCCTCAAACACAGCCATGGGTATCCGAATGGGCACGGAGATCTTCTGGAAGCGGGCTTCGGTCTCGAAGAAGTGTGTATCTCTCGGAACACCCTTCCTCCTGGAGTCAACGACGTCTGGCATCAATATACCGTCCCCAGATGTCGGCGTCGATATCGGCCGCAGGGAGCTCGTACTCGCACTGCCATGACGTATCGGTAAAGCCGGGCGACTTGTCCTCTTTGAGCCCAGACTCGAGCGAACAGCGGCTTGCTGTGATTGGTCACGATGAGACGATGTGGACCCCTCGGATTCATTCTCGAAGAATTCCCGAGTGCCAGATGTGGGTTCTGGCACGAATTTGTCCTCGAATAGATCTCTTCTCTCCGTATTGCGCAAAAGAATGCGTTCGTTGCGGGATAGTCTGGGCATATGAGACCTGGGTATAGCGTTGGCAGCATCGTACAGCCTGGCGAGTATCTCGGGTGACGGGGATATGAAGTATTCCTCCAGGGCGAGCAGCAGTAGGGGCTGAAGGATAATAATCAGCGACCTGGGAAGAGAGAATGACGGACCTTGTATATGCCAATATATGGATTCGGCGTACATATGGCCAAAGCTTTGACCATCGCTCCTCTCCTCACGCTCTTGTCCTCCTTCATCCTGACACAATTAAGAACGTATAGTAGACCTCCCCCGGCAACGCCTCGCTTCGGTTTTAGGTCAGACGGTCCAGATTCGCTGATGGAAGCTTGTATGCTCGATGAAGTGGCAGATAGAGGCCTTCCAGATGGTGAGGATATCTCGTGAGCCAACATTGGAGCAACGGCTGAAGAAGGCGTTTGACCAAGGTAGAAGATTGTCCAATCTTCAGGCCGTAGATGGGCTCCATCCGGTAACATTAGCTCTGCAAGTCGACTGATCAGACAGGCAAGATCAACATCATCCTCTTGACGATTGGGACGCGAACACGCTCACTGCTCATCTGTACCTGTCGGATATGGATATTGATGCGCTAATGTTGCACCTGCATCAATGTCAAATTCTGCCAGTAGGCAAAAGTGAACTGCATCCTCCACTTGATCCTCTCCCAGGTCTTCGGCAGGTAGATGCGCCAGCTCAGACTCCGGATCCCTCTCTGTGGACGTGACTGTGAAATCCGATCTGGCTCCTGGAGTTTCTGGAGGATGTGACGGCATTGGAGAATGGGACGATTGGCTTCGGGAATGTGTTGTTGACGAGGACATATTGACGTGTTGTCCGAGGCATTACTGTCGATAAGGGGAGAACTAGATCTTGGAAAGAGACCTTCTATACTACCTGGGTACCTCGCACGTCTCTCGTCCCGCTCGCCGTGATCTCGAACCGTCCAGCAATGTATGTGATTGTAGTTATGGTCAACAAAAAGGCATTTCAACTCGGATGCGCGCGTGTCCTGAAACTCGCTGTACCTGGAATACGGACCTGTCTACATCGTATATCGTATTCTGTCTCCGGATTCGCAGGTGTCATGCATGTATGGAGCGAGACTGACCTTTTGCATACAGCCAGCGGCTGTTGAAATGCTAGGCTCTCTCGAACTGCATTTCGGAGGCTGCGAGCGCGCTTAGTCAAAACTCAAGCTCGTAAGCCTGATTGCTACAGATCAGCGCAAAGCCGGCCCGAATAGCTGCAGCATTGTTCCTCTCGCGACTCAGATCTCGACGAATCCTCGACGCGGAAGATGAGGCCTAATCACGAGGCTGATAGACTGCCTGGGCCATCGTCGCTCCCTAGCAGGATAGGTGGACCCAGTCGAGCACCTCCACCCGGATATCTGCTGCCTTCGCCCCTCGAGTCCATCACAAATCTCCTGCCTTCATTTGGTTCTCCGAAATCGTCTTCAGCTTCATCAACACCAACTAATTCATCTAGCTGGCCCTTCGCATCCGGATCAAAGGATCCCAGCAAACCCTCCAAGATCGATGAGCTGCTACAGAATCCAGCCGCGGTCGGCTTGCTCTCCGCGGTCGCCGCCCTAGGCATTGCTGGTGGAGGATGGTACGGTTACCGCGTACTTTGGAAGCGGGTGAGGAACGTCAACGATGTGACAGGTCCAATGCTTGAGAAGCAGAGGTGGATCAAGGGAGTGGTGACCAGTGTAGGGGATGGTGGTCAGTGGATATCGTTTCGTTTGCGGGAGGCCCCAGCTAAGCCGAATCTTGCAGACAACTTTCGAGTCTTCCACACACCTGGTCCGTTTTACCGGTGGCCATTCAAGCTGCGCTCAGTCCCGTCGACTTCGAAAGGTAAGGCAGGCAGACCACCCTCCTCCCCGAAGTGGCTCATGCTGACCAAACTTCAGAGCTCAAAGACCAGACCTTGCACATACGAATCGCGGCAGTGGACGCACCAGAAAACGCGCACTTCGGCAACCCTGCTCAACCGTACGCCAAAGAGTCATGGGACTGGATGAAACAGCTTGTAACGGGCAAGCGGGTCCGTGTTCAGCTCATACGCAAAGACCAATATCTCCGCATTGTGAGTCGTGTCCAGCCAGACAGTGCTCGGCTGATCCCCTGGCGAAAGGTCGGTGTACCATACCTGTCGAGATTCATTCTCCCCGACAAGCCCATCCCGCTGTTGATGCTAAAAGAAGGCATGGGAGTGGTCTACGAGTCCGCAGGAGCGGAGTATGGTCCATGGTCAGTGGATTATCTGAAGCAGTTGGAAGCGGAGGCGAGGTGAGATTGATCTCTGGGCTGGACGGTGTTGGGAGAGACTGACCCTTCGCCATAGACGTGCAAAGAAAGGCATGTGGGGCCTCAAGGGCAAGTTTGAACATCCTGCAGACTATAAGAAGAGGATGAAGATAGGTGGGGATGAGCCCGTCGTGACAGCATCGCCTAGAACGAGGAGAAAGAAGAATGCCAGCTGGCTCGGACGCTTGTTGTTCTGGAAGTGATCTGTCAGTGTTATCAAGTCACGACCTTTGTGATGATCTAATGAGGCTTCGGTCAAGCCGATGTATGCATCGTCCCCCTCAAACCCATGAGCCTTGCTGTGAGGTAGTGTTCATTCAGCACCTTTGCCATGTCCGCTTCTCCGGCATTGACGACATGGGTTATTCCGCGACTTTCCTTTCAGCTCTCTTCAGCTCTCTTCAATAACAACCCTTTCATGATCCTCTCAACTGGCTGTCTCACACAAAGACGATGATTCTGCGGTATCTCAACGAGCTTTGAATCAAGATCTTGTACTGTCAGTATGTCGTCCAGCGACAGCGGACTCGGCAATGCGATTCGTATGAGCACGACGTCAACTTCATCCGCAGGACCGTCTTCATCGCGAGCATCATCTAGACCTAGCTCACGTCTAAATCATCGGAGCCCAGATCCTCCTGCCAGAAAGCTTAGAATTGATTCGAATGAGGAGATCAGGCTGTCACAGGAGGATTCTGTTCGTGAGTTCACCTTTCGCTTGTCTCGTGAACCCACTAACTTTTGATCCTGTGTCTAGTGTTCAAAGGGCCCGAGGATGATGATGCTGAGCCGGACGAGATTGCAACCAGCCATGACGCACCGCTACTCGCAGGACGGCAGAGGGACGTCTCGAGGGATGAGCTCGACGAGTTGACACTGGCAGAGGGCCCAAGTTCAGCTGGAAGAGGAACTTTGCTGGATGGAATAGCCAATGTGAGCAGATCCAAGCATCGGACGCACGAGTTATTGACCCTGAGCAGATGGCAAACTCTATAATCGGTGCCGGTATCGTGGGGTGAGAGCAACCATCAACGAACACTAAGCCATTCACAGGCTCCCGTATGCAATTGCGCAAGCTGGCTTTGTGATGGGCATATTTCTGCTCGTTGCCCTAGGGGCAGTGACCGACTGGTGCTTGCTATACGATTGCTCATTCATGCTTGAGCTTATGGAACTGCTCAGGACCATTCGTTTGGTTGTTGTCAACGCCAAACTGAGCGGAAGAAACTCGTACACCGAAGTCATGCACCATTGTTTCGGTCGGACAGGGTCAAATGCCGTATCCTTCTTCCAGTTCGCTTTTGCCTTTGGAGGGTAAGCCCAAAGCTTGCGCCAGCTGACCGCTCACCTAACACTCAGCATGTGCGCCTTCAACGTCATCATGTGAGTGGAATGGATGTCCTCTCTGCAACTTCGTTGAGAGACTCGGCAGAGGCGATACTATTCCCCATGTCATTGCCATGGTCATCCCCTCATCCTCTCAACATGCCATATTGCGACTCTTGGTAGACCGCAGAATGGTCATATTTCTTGTCACAATACTAGTGTCATTTCCGTTGAGTCTCCACCGAGACATTGTCAAGTTATCCAAGAGCTCAAGCTTTGGTGAGCTGGAAGGTCCCTATACCAAAGTTTAGGTGCTGAAAGGTTCACAGCTGTTGTCTCGATGGGTGTCATTGTCGCCTCTGTCATCATACGTGGTCTTACTATCAGTCCCGAGCTTCGAGGTGCACCACTGAGCGGGCTGTCGCTCGTCCGACCTGGAGTCTTCGAAGCTATCGGCGTCATCTCATTCGCGGTGAGACGGCTTGATTCTTGTCCAATATCCGCGCTCAAATTCGCGGTAGTTCGTGTGTCATCACAACACCATGTTCATATACCAAAGCATAGATACCCCTACACTAGATAGGTCGGTCTGGCGCGATCTTCATCCTTCGAGACCTATGACTGACTATCGAGTCATTGCAGATTCACCAAAGTTGTACATGTGTCGACTGGCTTTAGCGTTTTCTGCTGCCTTCTCATGGCCGTCGTTGGCTATCTGGTCTTCACGGACAAGACCCAAGGAAATATCCTGAACAACTTCAGTCCTGACGATTTTGTCATCAACATCGCCCGCTTCTGCTTTGGCGCAAACATGTCCACGACTCGTGAGTGGATTGTGCATTTCTCCACTGAGACAGCCCTAGTTCCCCTGGAGAATTATGTCTGTCGCGAGGTCATTGAAGAGTATTTCTTCGGAGGACGACCTTTCTCGTACACACGACACGTTGTCTTCACCTCATTGATCGTTTTCAGCGCCATGACCGGTGAGAGGATTGCACACGGCGTGCTCTGACCATGCACCAGTCTCGTTGCTCACATGCGATCTCGGAGTGGTTTTGGAGATAGCAGGAGGCCTCAGTGCTACTGCACTCGCTTTTATAGTGAGCCTCAGATATGTTTCGTGCCGCTAACCCTCGTCTCAGTTCCCAGCATCCGCCTATATCACTCTTGTCGGAGGAAAATGGTTCTCGCGTCAAAAGCTTCCGGCCTGTTTGACCGCGTCCTTCGGTGTCGTCGTGCTGGTACTCAATCTTGCAATAACGATTGGCCATGCTTTCAGTGACGAGCGCAGAGGGAAGCAATGTGACTGATGAATCATGAAGGCAGCTACGCCGCGTAAAGCACCGGCGTCATTGCATTGCGCGACCCTACGTGGCTTCTTATAGACGGCCCTGTTTGCTCCCTTGGAGCAGCCGTGCCGCATGCCACGGGGGCATGCCCGACCTTCACGGTGCTTGGGACGGCAACCGCAGAATATGAGCGTAGCGAAGAAGAGTGGAGCATAGAACAAGGGTGACAAGATCATCGAAAGCATGCAAGATGTCAGGTCCTTGCGTCGCTGCCAGACAGTCACTTCACACATGTGTCGCAGCATGCGGGATCGTCGCATGTTACCTTACGATACAACTGTGCAGATTTCACATGAGAGCTTTCAAAATCTCATCTTTCGCACATCAATGCATACATTGGTGGCAGAATCGGACAGCTGTGCTGTACCTAGGTGAATGAGTTGGTTCCTGGAGTTGCGCCAAAGTAACCGGACTCCGGTACCTTGAGCAACAAACAACCGTATTCTCCTTCGCAACCTGCATTGTTGACAGTGTTTCCCCACCAGTCGATCGAAAGACCTCCCTTGGGAATTTCAAGGGCAAAGAAGATGATGACTGCGCTGACTGCAATACCCGTGGGGAAAGCCGAGGCAAGAACATAATTGTACTTGGCCCAGAATTCTGTATACCTTGGTCGGATATATTTGAACGAGAAGAGCGTGACGTAGAGGAAAGGCAACATGTAAGAGACGTTATAAGGCGCCAAATAGTAGATTGGTCCTTGACAAAAGATGACCGGGTGGACTTGTCGAAGCAAAGCCCATCGCGGATACTTCTTCCGGAGTGCCCAATAGACAAGAACGAGAATAACACCAGCAGGGAAACCAAGCAGCATCAGGTTGTATCGTTTCCCCTTTCCGAACAGTCTCTTGGGCGAGAGAGTACCCCAGAAGACTGCGGCTGTGAAGTACTGCTCTTGTCCAGGGCAGGTGAAGTTGAAGGCTGCATCCTTGGTGCACACGTCTCTGAATGACATGGCAAAGTTGAAGATGCTAGCGCTGACGATGGAGTACACCATGGTGGCCCACATCTGACCGGTGAAAGTGTGCCACGGTGGCAGTTTTGAGTAGTGGGCCAGTTTCAGATCGTTGCTGAAGGCCATCGCTTGGTAGCAGGAGATATATCCGTACGTTTTGTAGTACATGAGGGCGTTCGCGTTGCCGGAGACAAAGGCACCGCCAACAAACTCGGCGATCACATTTGTGGGAACAGGAATGCCAGTGACAGCTTGGATGACACCTGTTTCGTCCGGCGTCAGAATGTCATATTATGCCATGATGATCGCGGCGACTCACCGACTGGAATCAGAGTGATCAGAGTGACGACGATACCAAACACGAGTACGACAGGGGATGTCTGGGTAGGATAGATACCTACTCCAATCATACCGATGGCGGCAAAGACCAGAAGAACGATGGCGTATACCCATTCAGGGACGTCGACGTAGTTTTGGCGCATCAAACGACAATGAATATCCTCGTCGAGAGCCTCGTCTTCCTCCGCGCCCTTACGGAAGGGCTTCCGAACGGCTCTCCAGAAGCCCTGGAAAGCGCGACCAAGCTCGTGTCGATGAAAGAGGCAGATGTAGACGATGGCTTAAAACTCTTTCAGCGATCCGTGCGAGGAATGTGGCGCCACAACGCTTAGGCTTGAAACTCACTGGCAGAGTACATCACAAAGTAAAAGATGTACGCAACAATGGTTCCAGCGCTCATCCAGGGTTCAGAGTAATCCTGGTAAGCTGCGAGGTCCAGACTTGCATGGTCGTTTAAGACCTTGGACACGTTGTATAAGCCCCCAGTGTTGTCAAAGGTGTCAGGGGCATTGATTGGCAGGTAAGCGGTGTTCCATTTGTTCGGAAACCAGATGGCAATGACACTGTAGACCATCAGCCGTATTGCTAAGCCCATAGCTGTGGCTTACATGAGACATCCAATGATGGTGGAGATGGCAAGGTTTCCCACCGTGAACAAGGGAATCGCCAATGGCACGTAGCCAGTCGCCGAATAGGTAATATTGTAGTCCCAAGTTGGCCAGGCTGGACATGATCAGGCATTGCGCTGAACTGCGAGCCGATTTCAGAGCTCACGATTGAATCCCATTCCCCCGTTGAATCCGCATATAGCATCCAATTTTATGTTATTGGGGGCTATCCAAGTGATCCAGCTGAACGCTGATAAAGAGGTCCATATGAAACCGGGGAAGAAGAAGTAAATCGCCATCGCCCCGAAGGCGATCAAGAAGAACCGCTCTCGTGATATCCTCCAGACTCCGAACGGTCCTCTGACAGGCTCGTTCTTCTCGGTGTGGAAGGCCTTGATCAGCGCCAGATTACTCAGAGTGCCAGGCCAAATGGCAAACGACGGCCAGACGAGGAAACGTCGAGTCAGACCTATGAGCCATCAGATACCATCAAGGACAACGTCTCAAGAGCCACTCACCAGCCATACCGTACCCGACAAAATTGGTGCCGATGGTGTTGAGGAACTGGTATCCTCTTGACTTGGCGAATGACTGATTGAAGAATTGTGGCAGATATTGCACCGGGACAATGTCGACGGTGTATGGCGACGTCATACTGACATTGCACATTCTAGGGACACATCAGCTGGGAGCGAGTAGACAAAAGACTCAGACCCACAGAGTGATCAGCATGTGCTCCTTGCGGCTGAAAGGACCAGGGTTCAGGCTGAAGTTATAGCCGAATAAGTGGAATTGAGCCTGGGGAGTGATCTTTTCCAGAAACTTTCCAGCGGGGTCTGATCAACGTCCATCAGTATTCTCCTGATACCTTTCCCCCTGCCACTCTACTCACATGCAAGTAGCTGTCCTACACTGACTCCAACGTATACCGGAGGTTGACGGAAGGCGAAAAGCGTGTCGATGAATGACCCAGCAGCTGCGAACACAGTGCCAATGATCCAGACTCGGAAGGTCAAGCACGGCAACATCGGGTCGTCTGTCGTCTCAGTGTTCGCCCGAACCTCAAGGTATGGTGAATTCTCAGTCGCAAGCAGGCACTCCATTTTAGCTTCTCGGATGAGTCTGGTGTGCGGAGCGGGATCTGCCACGATGGTCTCATAATTCGTGACAAAGTCTTCTAAGATGTTCAAGGCTTCTTGGGGGAAGTTTTGGTCGTTCTTGTGCATCTTGAAGAGCTCAGAGGCGATCTGACAAGACGTTGAGAGCCATTCAAGGTCTGATTCTTTGTCGCCTTGAAACTTACCCCATAGGCGTATGGCAATTCCATACAGCTGAGTTTCGTTTCCATATCCGCCACGTCGCCCTCCGTCATTTCCAGGTCACTGACAGAGACTCAGCTCGAGCACAAGATCATACGCTGTAAGACTGACTTCTTGACGTTGGCCTCCTCGCCAGCCTTGAGACTGTCAGTGACCGTTGCCGCGGATACTTCCAGCGAGTGGTCATCACTGGGATACTTGTGGTCTCCATTAGCGCGAACATTCTTGTCGTCACCATCATCCACCGAGAGAGGTGATTTGGCTGCCTTTGCGCCGTCAATTTCTTGAAGCTCCATGGTGGACAGAATCAAGGTAGAGATGCGAACATAACAAATGACTGACCTGAGACCGGACCTGGGATTCGCTCGCCCACCCTCCGCTCCGCACTCCACTTGTCTTTGTGTCAGAACTCTTGCTCCTGATTCGTGACTCAGAAATTTCGGTTGCATATGCTACTTGTCTGAAATTGGAAGTATAACCTCGTGTAGTCTGAAAATTTTCCTCCAATCTAGCTCAACTCGCCGCTTCTTCTGCGCACTCGGGAGTTCAGGATGCTTATCTATCGATTGACGTAGACGTCGAATCCCCCTACGACCATCTTGGCAAATGTCTATATCGGGAGAACAGAGCTCGGGAGTTTTTTTTTGAACCTTCATTGCCTCATCATGATTATTAGATTTTGCAGCCCTTGATCTGGCATTGTCGGAGCGAAGCAGGGGCGGCTGTTGTACAGACCACATAGGCTCATCTTGCCGCTGAGGTTTCACGTAAACAAGATGACTCGCGTGTTCTTTGAGTCAGGAAAATGGCTCGCATTCTGGCAGTGAAACGGACGAATCGCAGCACGCAGTCGCGCCGGCGAAAACACATGCGGTTTCAGCATGCAACACGACCGAAACCTGCTCAACATCAACATGGACCACTGATTCATATGCCGTCGATGAGGTCTCCATTAGGCGGAAGCCACGATTCAGGGCGTTGGTGCACGGATTTTGCACTTATCCAATTGTATCAGGTTAGTACATAGGCGAGCCGCAATGTTGGCGGCATTTTCGGTTCCCGATTCAAACGTCAAAATCGGAGGTTTGGACAGCATGAATCAATGCTAACATATCGCTGAATGTCGCTTCAATGCCAAGCTGACACTGCACGACTGCATGAAGACGCGTAACCCTAACGCCTAACCGTGATGTCGCTTCAAAAAGTCCGTGATGTAGAAATGATTGTCCAGGCTCAATATCTTGCCCAAGTGCGGATGTATCTGAGCATGGAATGTGTCGTAAGGATAAGCTTCGCCGTCTGTGACAGAGCAATGTCAGATCCAATCGCAGAAGGACGAGTATCTCTTACCCAGCGTAAATATGGGCTGGTTCTTTCTATCGAGATTCTCGCAGGTCACGGCCGAAACTGGGTCGGAGTCAAGATTGACCCCGGATAATGTGCTCACTCTTGTAGAAATGCTGCGAGTCGATGAAGTAGTGATCGCCTTTCTCAGCGCCATTGATGGAGCTCAAGAGTGTCGCTCGTGAAGACTATGGACCTAGGTCAGTCCAAAGAAGGGGCACAAGTCCCTTCCGAAACAGCCTCACATTGTTCTGTATAACCATATCTGCAAGACCACTACCAGGTAATGCTGTGGGCCACATCATGAGATCACGATCCATGTAAGGCAGATTGCCAATGCTAGGTGAAGGGTCAGGATGCGATGCGTGACCTTATCTCGTGACTTACGAAGCGTACAGAACACCATCACCATCGACCCAATCATTGGTTTTGGTTGGAGTAGGCACGGCGGGGGGTTTGGTCGGCGAGGCGCCAGTGCTTTCTATAGTTCGCCACGTATTATCGGGCTCCAGAGGTTTGATTTTTGGCATCTCCTTCGGGGTTTGAGTGCCATTGCTCGTCAAGTTGAAATGAGCGACCTCATTCTCCAGACCAGCCCTTTCTTGTTCCAAGGTCGCTTCGGGCGAGTTGACATTTGAATCCGCTCTGCCGTTCGAGGCCGAATCTCTCGGCTTGTCTCTAGCGTGCTTATTCACCTTTGAACGACTCCGCCCTAGAGGGTCTTTACCACCTCCGAGTTGCACCTTTTCTGTCACCTCTGCCAGTCTCTCTCGGACTTTTCGAGCCATAGAAATCTTGTCGTCCTCTTCAATTTTGACCCTCAGGCGTACTTTATGAGCACGATTGATGATGGCCCCTTTGATGAAGCCAAGCAAGAATCGGGTATCTCCCATCCATCTTAGACTCTCCGTCCCAATATCCAGGTCGACAAAGAGCCCGATTGATATGGAGAAGAATGCCCAGCGAAGTTTCATGGAAGGAAGGAACAGAACTGAGATGAGATCAATAGGTAGTGGCTGCCCCTTTATAGCAGTGAGGCAGGCGAGCTCCACATTAAATGTGTCCTTGACGCCGTACAGATTGAGGAACAGAGAATTTGCAGATCCTTACGACACGTCAGAAGGCGAGCCAAAGTAAGCCATCCCTCTACTCACCAGCTGGGATGGCTGCAATGGGTATTTGCAGAGCCGCTCTGGCGTCAGATCTCGCTGCCAAGCCGTTGAAAGCTTCATGAATCAGGCCATCTCCAGAGACCATAGCGATGACACTGGACGCATTCAGCTTGACCTGGTATATATACCAGCCAGAAAAACTGACTCGTACTTCAACTCCATGGTCTTGGTGATCTCCTCGGCGTGCCTGCTATGAGTGGTCTCTTGCATTCAGATGAGCCCTGTTGCTCGGCAAGCTCGGACTCACCTATCATCTCGACTTTGCAGCCCGCAGCCTCAAGTATGGGCAGGACTACCGTCTTGACTGTCGAACGAGCCTTGCCTTTGCCTCCAACAGGATTTACCAGTAGGAGTATCCGTCGATGTGGCTTGGCGTCTGGGAGGAATGACACCTTCAACTACCGGGCTTGGGAGTATACCCGGGTCCGACTCACCGCCATAAGCCGATGCCATTGTAGACTCTACCCATACTCGAGCTTCGTCGCTGTTGATTGGCTCTACCAAGACGTGCAACTTGCTGAGTCTCAAATGACGTCCTTTGGCGATCAGGACATGGATATCGAGACGTTGGTTTCCGGGTTCCTGAGCTTGAGCCGACTGAGCAAGCTTGACACGGAGCACGTTGCGAACAGCTGAAGAGAGCAGCTTCTTGGGTGCTAGAGAGATTCGCCTCGTCAGACTTGAGGAAGCAATGTACGTGCAGACATCTACTCCATCAAGGAGCACTTACGTCTGCCATCAGAGGAAAGCTGTAGGACCTCAAAGACTCCATCCTCGATCGTGATAAGACCACGCCTGTTGTTGTGCAGGATGACTGGAAGGTCTTGATGCCTCGACATCTCTGCTTGCTCGCGAAAGTCAGACGTGAAAGGGGTTGTTCGGTCACAAAGTTTGGGTCGAGCTTTGTTCAAAAGGCCAAAACATCGTCATGGCGGCCGGGGCAACCTTTGGCTCGAAAAGTGGAGGCATCCGAAGTTTCAGGTCACTGCATTGCATGAGCATCTGTTATCACTCCTTTCATCCCTCATCCATCGCTGAACGATGTAGCATGTCTGACGAGCCCGATGCGAGCAAGGAGTACGGAGCAGACTCTCTCACTCGGGACATAACGACCAATCCTGGATCAGGGTATTTCCATCTCTCGACGAGCTCGACAAAGGCTCAATTCTCAGCTCTATCTGCTTCATACCCGCTCAAGCTACTCTCGCCTAAGCCTTTGCCATCTCAGCCTCGGGCGATCGGCGTGCTTTACACTCTTGCCTATGGAGGGGGACTCGTAGCTGGTGATACCGTCTCGTTGAGGGGTAATGTGGATAAGGACGGTGGCCTCGTGATGCTCACTCAAGGCAGTACAAAGGTGTTCAAGCATCGACCTGGAATCAGGCCGTCGTCCCTCCGAGAGCGATATCCCACAGGCTCGTCACGGTCAACGCCCGACGGCCGAAATGTAGGGAGGACGCGTCAAAGACTTCACATCACCCTCCGATCTGGGTCATTCTTGATGCTGTTGCCGGATTCTGTGTCCCCATTTACAGGATCACAATATGCTCAATCCCAGCGCTTTGTCCTCCCGTCAGACGACACAGCTTCGGTCCTAGTCTTAGACTGGGTCAACTCCGGTCGCGGTCAACGCTCCGGTCATGCAAATGGATTGATGAATGGCCTGCAACAGAACCAAGCTCCGTCGTCCGAAATATGGTCCATGGATGAATACATCTCGACCAACGAAGTCACCCACCGAGACAAGATATTGATGAGGGAGAAGATGGTGTTGAATAACGCTAATAGATCGATGAATGGCACGTCGATCGCGACTCGTCTTTCGCCATATCATGTGTACGGCACGGTCCTAATCCTTGGACCGCATTTCGCTCCTCTCATCGCACATCTAGTGGCTATGTGCGACGCGACCCGGCAGTTCAAGATGAGCAGACCTGTAGACATTCTTTGGAGCTTCAGTCCGATTCAAGACGGCAAGGGTGGGGTCTTGAGAATAGCCGGAAAAGAAGTCGAAGACGTCAGGCGATGGTTGAAGGAGGCTTTCCAGGCTGGCGGTATCAGAGATCTCGTCGGAGAAGGCCTGTGGACGCGTATCATATAGATAAATAGAGTCAATCGTATACAGCCATGTAGTGCATAATGAACAGCGATCATATGATGTCCCAGATATTACAACCCCCCACTGACGTATCTATCCGACTCATTCCTATCAGCCCCAGTCCCTCTGCTTCGCTAGAACCGTCTATGCTACAAGTTGCCCACAGTCGCTGAGCTCTCCACAAATTGGTATGCCACTTCTTGGTCAATCGTGTGGATTGTCGACACCTTCTGCTTGTCCGAGTATACGCCGTAGAATTTGTCAGCGTGTGCGAGCATTTCAGCCCGGAAAGTGGTCGTAATGAATTGAGCGTTCTCAGACAACGTGTGGATCATGTCTGGCTAGGAGTCAGCGCTGTCGAAATCAAACCCAAGACCGGCTTACTGGCTACAGCTGTACGATACTGGGCGTCGAGGGCCGCATCAATCTCATCAAAGAGGTAGAATGGCGCTGGATCGCATTTTTGGATGGCGAAGACTGTAAGGTGTCAGAATCACATTGGGTCAATATCCCGAGACTCACGCGTTGCTAGAGCCACCAGTGTCTTTTGACCACCAGACAGCTGCTGAATACGTTGACCCTCATCTTCCTTGGAATTGAAAGACACCTGCGGCAATGTCAGAACCAGTCACCAAAGGCTGAGCTCACCTTGATCGAGACGCCAGTGTAGTTGTCAATCTCTGTCTTCTCTCGAGCTGCCCCGGTGTCCATAGAGTCTTGGGTCTCTTCATCCTGCAGGTCGTTGAGAGCCTCTTCATCTCTTCGATTCGGAGCTGACTCACCTGAGCCCCGCCGAGACGCTTTTGCATGATCAGTTGTCCTCTCCCAGCCGGTACCAGCGTCTCAAATACTTCCTCAAAGTATTGCGAGACTTGCTTGAATGTTCGCTCGATGGCTTCATCTTTACGCTGGTCCAGAGTCTCGATAAGCTCCTGGATGGAATCTGCCGAGGCGTCCAGCTTCTGTCGACGTTTCAGAAGATCATCCCGTTGCTTCGTGAAATTGTTGTATTGCTCAAAAGCCTTCTTGTTGACATGTGCAAACTTTTTCAACTTGTCATTGCATTTGTGTAGGAGCTTGACGATCTGAATGCTAGTGAGCGACAAGCGACCTTCTCAGAGACAAGACCCACCTTGTTCGAATCCGTCTCGGTATATTTGGTAAAAGCCTCGTCAGGGAGCACACCCAGATCACGAATGTAATTTGAGCACTCCTCCTTTCGATTCACGAGCGTCTGGCGTTTGACGAGGTATCGATCCGCGTTTTTCTGGATCCGCATTATCGCCCTCGTGCTCTCCATCTGCTGGTTCTGCACTTCTTCTAAATCTGCAGTGACTTTGGCAATTTCGGCCTGCAGATCCTCCCCCTCCTTCTCGGATTCTGCAACAATCATTCAGGCCGACCTCAACGACAAACAAGATTTGACTCACCTTGAACCTGCTCCGAGATTTTCTGGATTGACCTGACGAGACCCTTGAGTTCGCTCTTTTTCAAATCGACTTCTCCAGCTTGGAGTACACCCGCTCCAGCATCACCCTCAAGATCATCTAGGGAGCCTCTGAGATCGTCTCGACGTCGACGAAGATTTTCTGTGAGCTCAATCTCGAGGCCGCTCCTCTCGGTGTCGACCTGAAAGCTATGAGCATCCGCAAAAGGGTCTGTCAAGGCCATGCTCACCTTTTGTCTGGCTTCTGTGGCCCTTATCAATGCGGTCTTCTGAGCGTCTGCTTCCTTTGTCAAACGATCCAGTGTCTTCTGTTCGTCTGCAGTCAGATTTTGACGCATCGGTGTCTTGATCTCTTCCTCGTAAGATAATCTCTTTGCCGCCGCATCTCTCAGCTCGCTCTCCGCGCTGCTCAACACTCCTTCCAAGCGGGAAACTCGACCACGAGCCTGCTCTTCCTGTCTCGATATCCACTGCGCCTGAGCAGAGACCATGCTCCGTCCATCATGCATCTGCTGACGTCGTGCCTCGATGACCTGGATTTTTCCCATGGTGGTCGAGACTTGTTGCTCGAGTTTCGCAATGCCCTCCTTGACTTCGGCGAGGCGCGTCGAATCAGTCTCGTACACCTCGCGCCATTTCTTGAGGTTCTTGACTGCGTCCAGACGTGATCGACGGACATCGTGGTATCCTCCGGTCAGGGAACCCTTGCGATCCGCCCGATCACCTTCCACAGTGACAGCATTCAGCCCATGGCTTCGAGTGTATTGAGCCGCGGTCGGAAGGTCGTCACAGATGATTGTCCGACCAAAGACCTGGTTTAAATCAGCGACCACGAACGACGCATGCTCACCTGTTCGAATGCCATGACATATGCTCGATCAAACTTGAGTTTACTGATCATCGGTATGGCGTCGTTGGCCTTTGGATAAGTGATGTTGTGGCTCTTGAGTCGGTTCAGAGGCATGAATGTTACTCGTCCAGCTTTCTCCTTGTTCATTACTTCGAGAAGTTTTGACACCGTGTCGTCATTATCTACAACGACGTGGAACAAGCTGGAATCGCATCAGCCTCGTCATCGAGTCTCACCTACCTCGTGCCGCCAGTGACTTCGACTGCAGTTTTGTACTTGTCCGAGACTTCAAAGAGATCATACAGAGGCCCGTAGACTCCAGTCAGACCAAGTCTCTGGGCAATGTGAGAGACAGCGCGTAGACCCAAAGCCGTGTCCTTAGCCAGTCAATACTCTGACGCGTTGAACCCGACTCACCTTGTCCATCATGCCGTTCAGTGTCCGCTCGTGAGACTGCATCTGCTCTCTCGCATTGGTCACCGTCTGGCCCAGCTTGGCATCCTCTCGCCATAGGTCCCTGTGAAGGAGTTAATGCCGCCGAACAACAGCTGACTGACTTTCGCTGCTCTTGCATTTCATCCAATTTGGCCTTGAGCTGAGTGGACTCCTCGCCCATCTTTGCCATAGACTCCCGATTCTCGCCGTCCGTCCTACGTTGCTCCTCGGCCCGAGCGAGCAGATCTCGCAGGCCATCCTTTGCCTCCGCGACGTCTTTCTCGAGGTCCGACACTCGCTTCTGCTGTGCTTTCTCGTGGCCCTTGAGCGCTTTGATTTCGTCCGTCAAAAACTTGTCTCGAGCCGCTTGAGTGGTGAATTGTCGGGATCTGCCTTGTTTGGCGTACAGCACCTGAAGTTGTGAAGACGTTTTGTCCAATCTGATGCCGAGTGTCAGTGTGAAGGCACCAGAGGAAAGATATCCCGACTCACGCGTCTTTAGCCTCGCGCTCTTCTACCTGCCTCTCCTCGAGATCCGACAGCAATGCCTCCAGTCGCTCGGAAGCACTTTCGATCCTGTCTTCAAGTTGTTCCAGCTCTTCCGCAATGTCTTTCCGGCGTTGTTCCCCGCCTTCATTAGCTTGGGCGTAATCGTTCAGGACGCATTCGATCTCTGTTTTGGCTCGGACGAGATCCGCCATTTCAGACTCGTACTGGCGCAGGGCGAGTGAGACGGCTGAAAGGGAGTGTTTTGCCGCCGTTAATGCCTCCTCGTGTTGCTGAACGGTGATCAGCGATCGGACAAGTGAGATGAGACCCACCTGGACAATAGCCTCTCTCTGATTGAACTCCTTACGAGTTTGCTTGCTGTTCAGAACATCGCTCTGTCGTTCCTCCTCTATTCGCTCAAGATTTTCGGTCACCTCTTCCAGCTCTCTCTGATACAGAGCGTACTCCAGACATCGCCGATCCTTATCGCTTGTCTGATACTCCTGTAGTTCAGATTTTTCCTCTTCAAGCTCCGCCAGTCGCTTCTCGATGTAAGACAAGAGCTCGATGATCTTCTCGCGCTTGTCATCTGAATTGGTCAGACAGGACGAATAGCAATACCCGTCTCCAAACTCACCGGTGTCGTCCATGATTTTGACCGACTCTTCCCTCTTCTGCTCGTACACCTGTGTTCCCGCGACATCCTTCAGCAGCTGTAACCTCTGAGCTTCAGACATGTTGGTGAGTCCAGCAATCTGTAGACGGTGAGCGGAATTGTATGGCGGAGCAATAGCTAACCTTTCCCTGTGGCACGATGTAATAAGGATTCGATTTGGAGAATCCCGCACTTTCCAACAAGTTCATCACCTCGGCTCGACTAGCACTCTTCTTGTCGAGAGAATATTCATCCTTCTTCAGTCCAATTGTACGTCTGAGATACAGCTCTGAGGACGCATTCGGGAATCTGCCATCGGAATCTGCGAGCGAGTGAGAAACGGATAGCGAGCCTTGCGCTCACTGTCAAAGACGATTTCGACGTAGGCAGAAAGGGTCGTGTGTGTGCTGGTTCGTTGTTCAAAGAGCAATCTTTGCCGTTCTTCTCTACTGAGCATAGTATACTGATCGGAGAGGACGAATCGAATGGCTTCGAGCATGTCAGTGTCTCGATACTTTAACCAAAACGACAAAGCTCACCTGAGAAAAAGTTGGATTTACCACTACCATTCCTGCCCATGACTACATTGTGTCGGGGTCTGAAGGGAGGTCAGCGGGGTCGAGATACATCATACGCTGCCCAGCTTACGAGAACGGTTCGACAGCAGTGTTGTCCCGGTACGACTTGAAGCCTGATCGCAAATCAGCTGAGGTTGCTGGCTTGATTGCTTGTTGGCCGAATCGCTCACCTTGAATCGTTATGCTTTTGATGTACTGCGTTCAAGGTAAACATGTTAAAGCATTCTAGAAGAAGCCCAACAAGCATGTTCTACTCACCATCCTGGCTTGACCTCCCTCTGCATGAAGCTGTATACCACCGTCTCACAGCAGCAGTCGGAGCAAGACGTTTGGAATCACAGAATATAATAGGATCGGTTGAGTGGACCTCGACGCGACTTTTGGCAAGGAGAAATAATGTTCGGTTTTCCGAGAAAACGCGTGAGACAACGGAAACAAAATAGTTTATTGCACGTGGCACCTGTCTACCTACAACTATCTCTTGGAATTGAGATCTACAGCATATGTATGAACACCTCCATGTATATTGGCCCTAAAGACGAGGTATCTCCCATCCGGCGAGAAGTTGACATTTGGCTCTAGTCGGTAATCCTGATGCCGCATATCGACCAGCTTCTCACTGTCGAGCCAGCCGGCATGGATGAGGCTCGCATCCTGTACGGTGACGCCATCCTGGTCGTTGAAGTCATCTTTCGGTCTGAAGAGATATAGCCATCTCCCATTCTTGGACCTTGCCACCATGTTCTCCGCACCTCCATCACCTGCGAACAATGAATCGTCGGCGGAACTGTGAAAATGCACAGACCACTCATTCCGCTCTAGATGATACCATGTCCTCTTACCAGTGGATACCTCGTACCCAGCGACGAAAAAGTCTTGACCTTTAGGCGTCTGAAGATCGTACCATATGGTTCTTCCATCTGCAGACCACCATTCGTGTCCTGCAATCTCCATATTCATGTTTCGTCGATGTATACACGTCGGTAGAGCTTCGCCGAGAAGCTGGTCAACTCGGATCGTCCATAGCCGGTCAAGTCGATGCCATGGACCCTCGTGGCAGAACATGAGGAGAGCCGGATCAGTCGGAGAGAAGAGTAAATGATTCAGCCAATCAGTGGACTTGTAGACGTCCCTTCGTTCTCCAGTACGAGTGTCCACAACGAACAAGGTCATGGGGATCTTTGCCTCGAATCGCCTGGTCATATGGTAGCCTTTCGCCTCGTGGTACGTCATTGGTCGACCGTCAGAATGGACAGCTTGGTAGTCAGCTTGATCGAACCGAGGATCTCGCGACATGAAAGGTCGATGGGCGTCCGATACTGTCTCTGGATCCGTTTCCACGCACCCCAGGAGCGTCTCGTCGGCGTTTATGCTTTGTACTTCTCCGCTGGAGATCTTGGCTATGTGCCGAGAGTTGCCACTATCAATGTCGACCGCCATAATGTTTTGTCCGCATCCTCTCGCGACCTGGTAATAGGCGGTCCGAGTCGACCGCCCGACGAAGAGAAAGTTGAAAGGCTCGTCGATCCTCACAACTTCTGTCAGATCTAGGGCATCCTCATGAATGGCGACTTTTGACAAGCCAGTAGGCTTTGATATGACCAGATAGTCACCCTGAGGTGTATACCCATTGACATTGAAGTAAAGGGATGAGGATCCCTCAACTTTGGACAATCTGACAATTCGATAACCAGTCTCCTCCTCGATCCATTCTCGTGGCGCATTTGTCGACATATTGTTTGATACAAGCATCCACACCTTCCCGTCTCAAGGTGCCGTGACATCTATCGGACTATCCAATAGAGCGAGGCTACGGTCCGAGTAAACGCGATCCGCCGGAGAGGACCCGGCACACTCACGGGCCGCCCCAAAATAGCCTTGACCAAGACAATCTCCGAGTCTATTAAGGTTTTCATTACATGGGGCAACATTATACCGCCCCGGTAATGTACCGAATCCCATCAAGATGTACATATATCGCGACTGGATACCCCGCCATGCCCCGCAGTCTAGAATCTCATCCCACCTGATCTCAAGCCATCATGCCCACAGTCCGTCGAGGTTATCTGCGTACCATCGCCAGCAACTTCAATCCATATTTGGCGTTCTGCACCATCATTCTCGGTATCTCATCATGCAATCAAGCATTCGAGACCAACGCAATCGGTACAACTCAGGCTATGCCGTACTTTGCGCGACAATTTGGAGTATGTGACGCCGCAGGGAAGTGCCAGCTGCCTACCAATTACCTTGCCCTCTTGAATGGTCAGTCCCCTCCAATGATACCCCAACAAGGGTACTGACACCTCTTAGCCATTCCAGCTGCCACTCAGGCCCTTGGAGTCCTCTGCGCCGGACTACTCATGAACATCGTCGGTCGGAGATGGTCCAACTTTCTCATGTGCGCTTGGGCAATAATGGGCGCCGTCCTGATGGTCACCGCGAAAAATCGTGCCCACCTCATGGCCGCTCGTTTGATCAATTACATGTATTACGGCGCAGGTCAATTGATCAATAGTACTTATTGTGCGGAGCTGGTCCCGGAGCAGATCAGAGGTATTGCAGTCGGAGCGTTCTACGTGTCATTTGTGAGGTGACAATGGATTGGCGCCAAAGATCATCACTGAGTTGTCGTCTCCAGACTTTCGCTGCGCTCGTCATGTCTGGGGTTTTGGTAGGCACAGCGACGATTCAGAGCAATGCCTCATGGCAGATCCCTGTGAGTGGACCTGTTGATGGTCTTCAGCTCGGCTGATCAAATGTAGTTCGCTCTCTGGTTCCCCATGCCGATAATCTGCTGCATCGCTACTTACTGGCTGGTAGAATCGCCCAGATACCTCTTGATGAAAGGCAAAGACGACCAAGCTCGAGAGGCTCTGAAACGACTCCGAGTCGATAATTCTGATCATGTGATCGGCGAAGAGCTCATGACGATCAAGTTGGCTCTGGAAGTCGAAGGGGCAGGTGGCAAATGGCGAGACTTGATTCGAGGGACGAATCTTCGTCGAACGTTATTGTGTTCCATCATCGCACCTGCGAGCTCGGCTTCTGGAAACAGTTTTACATCATCCTATGGACCCATATTCATCTCGACCCTACACTCCATCAGCGCTTACGATTTCAATCTCATTGGATCTGTCATTGGCTTCCTTGGTTGTGTCGTTGTGATGGTCTACATGGATAAATTCGGACGTCGACCTTTAATCATCACCAGTGCTTTAGCTCAATCTGCCTTCCTCCTAGCAATGGCCTCGACAGGTCTTCAGAAGCCCAAAGTCACGCAAGCAGGTACAAACTTCATCGTCGCCTGCGTCTTGCTCTTCAACACATCTTTCCATACAGGGTACGCATCTACCATCCACGCCATTCTTGCCGAATTGCCCGAACAGACAGTCCGAGCCAAAACACAACTAGTCGCTCAGATCACCAATGTCTCGATAGGTGTTGGCGTCTCTTATGCTACGCCATACATGTTCCGAGCGGATGCCGCCAATCTCGGACCTAAAGTCGGATTCGTCTTCCTCCCCATCAACCTGTTCGTAGCTGCTTTCGTCTACTTTGGTCTACCAGAGCTCAAGGGTAGATCGTTGGAAGAGATCGACTTGCTGTTCATGCTCAAGATTGGTGCCAGACAAAGTGTCTCCTGGAAGCCTGAGAATACGGCGGCAGGATTGATGGAATTGATCCCAGAGGCAAAGACGGGACACCTGGAGGAGATTGAAGATAAGCCGGTAGTGGCGCACATCGAAGGTGGCACTGCCAAGATGGTATGACCGGGTCCAAGACGCTTATACCTATTCTAGCTAAGGGCAGGCGGAGACCAAAAGTTTGTAGAAACCCATCAGATAGATCCATGAGGATGCCTGTGTCGCCTTTTCTTTGCTCTAGTAACCATACTCTAGGCAGCATTGGCTGTTGATAAAGCCTAGGCGTAAGATGTACATACCCCCGCCCGATGTCAGATTTCCCGAAATCACGGCGCGGCGCGGTCTGCAGATGAATTTGCTCTTTGGATGTCTCGCTCTACAGAGGTGGTCTCAACATTCCTGAGGCGATCGTTCAGCTTGAGAGTTTTGAACTGCTCCTCGCGACATGTGTTGAGCTCTCACAGCCGTCTCAGATCATTGACCATGGACGCCAGCCGCAGCAACGGTATTGGCTCGTGAGTAGGCTGTCGGCGTATCCGGCACTGTATACTACTGCTGATTCGTTCAGCTCTGTCCCTGCCAGAGGTCGGGACAAGACATTTGACAGGTATTTTGACGAGCATTTCGGTCATGATAGCAGTGAAGATGTCGACATCGCCGATCTGAGAAGGTACAGTGTGCCTGCCATGTTACCAACCGCTGACGGCTCAGAGCTGCATGGGCGACTTGGAAGACTGCTCCACCAGCAGGTATGAACAGGCCCGAAGGTACACACAGACGAAAGGAGGAGGAGGAAGATGAAGAGCTCGCTAGGTGATTCGATATTGAGACAGCGACCTGCTGACTCGGTAGAGCTATCGCCATGTCGGTTCAGGATCAAGGTCCATCTCGTCAGAATGCTCCCATCGACTTGACCGAAGATAGCGATGACGAGGATATTCAGCGAGTACTGGCGATGAGCACTGAAGAGGAGAGATCAGCGAAGAGAGCTAAAAGGGATGAGACGCCAGAAGAGGAACGAAGGATGTTGGCAGAGTGAGCTTCTCAGCCGCAGACTACTATCGTCGAGTTGAAGCTGGTCCTAGGGCAATGGCGGCATCCCTTCAACCCGTCACCCCGGGTATGAGAGACGCTTCAGCCGAGGCAGGTACCTCTGAGGAACGAGCAAGATTGGCCGATGCTTCGCCCACGGACTCGAGCATCCCTTCGTCGACCACTGAACCAAGAACGGCGAGTGGGTCGCCTGCTCGTCTTGTTCACCCTAGGTCGCCAGCGCCTCGGCTCCAGGCAAATGGCGTCCTTGGGGACCGCGCTCAGATGGAGAAGGAACGTCTCGCCCGACAAGCTGCGAGAGAAGCTCAGACTCAACCTCAAGCATCATCATCCCGGTCCACAGCGCCGCCCAAAGTTCACGTTTCTTCCAATCTTCGCACGTTCGCTGACCTGAGCAATTCATCGAGTGCATCGTCGAGTTCAACTCCGACCGCTGCTTATTCTAATACACAATCTGCCGATCCGCATCACCCTCTACAATCAGCCGGTTCACTGCCCCGAGACGCCGCGGGCGAGTACTACCCGAATGGCGAGATGAGGCATTCTGCTCTCACCATTGGTCAACCGTCAAAGCAAAAGACATTCAGCCCGAAGCAAGTAATGGGCGATGTGAGTGATCGAGATAAGTCTAAGCTAAATCTATGATGAGACCTCCCAGATCTCCTTGATCATCATGTCGAGTTATGTGGTAGACGACGCATGGATCGAAACATTCCTTCCTCCGGCGGACGAGGTGCCGCGAGTGGTTATCAGACCTCATCCCCAGGAAAACCACCCGGCTTGGAATGGCAAGGTTCGGGCGGAAGAAACAGGCGGAGTGGCCTGCTACCCTCTCATGGTCGGTGGTCTTGGGTGAGTGCATCGGACCATTGGTATGGCGGGCTGACGGAATGTGTCAGCTCCGCGCACATGAAATTCTTTTGGGTGAGCTACACGGTCTGCGATCATACTCATCGTGTCAGATATTCTACAAGACAGGTCGACTCCGTGTAGTCATATCCACGGGGAACTTGGTGCACTACGACTGGGAATGGATTGAGAATGTGCGTTCTCAACAGGAGGGAACGGCTTACCCTTTTTCAGACCATCTTCATTCAAGATATCCTGCCGATCAAAGAACCCAGAGAGACTTCTTCAGCCTCTGTGAAGATGAACGACTTTGCCGCGCGATTTTGCTGGCTTTTCACACATCTTAAGGTGCACAAAGCCGTTCGTCATCTCATCGCGAATCACGAAAGGGGATCAGATATACCCCTGGATCCTGCCGATGGATTCGAGTGTCTAAACAAATGGGACTGGAGTAAAGTTCGAGTCCAGCTTCTCATGTCTGTCCCGGGGACGTACACTGGTAGCCAGGTGGACGACTTCGGACTATGCCGCCTAGGCAAGATATTGCATCAGCAGGGCTGGGTGCCACAGAAGAATGAGGATGTCAAGGTGGAATTCCAGGTGAACTAGGAGTCTGTCTATCATCATCTGACCTACAGGGATCATCCCTGGGTGCATACACGCTAGACTGGTTGGACCTGTTCTATCAGTACTGTCGAGGCAAGACAACGAGCAGTTTGTTGAATCGTCCCAAAGCCATTGCCTGGCCTCCGATCAAAATCCTCTTCCCATCGCTCGCCACAGTCGATGCCAGCATCTTAGGTCGAGATGTGAGCCAGCCGCTTCCTCCGCCAAGAACGAGCCTGACTTGAAACTAGGGTGGGGGCACGATGTTCTGTGGCAAAGGAATGAACTCTTTGACGAGACCCCTATTCCACGATGCCAATTCGAAGCGGGGTGGAGTTCTCATGCATGCCAAGGTGGGCCAAATGTCTATCTATGCAGTGCCGCTGACCCGCCACAAAGGTCCTCATTGGGGTATTTGAGCCCAGGCAGGACAACTTGGGCTTTGTAAAGGCATCGCCGAGCAGTTCCAAGCGCAAAGCCAGTGAGATGGAAAACGAATCTGCAGACGTCGGCGGGTGGGTCTATGTAGGCAGTCACAACTTTTCACCGGCCGCTTGGGTCAGTCCATTCTGCTTGGGTCGAACAGGACAAGGACTGACGTTTCAATAACTCTGAAAGGGCCGACCAAATCTCAAGAAGAATCCTCCAAGTTTGACGATTGCGAATTACGAACTCGGCATCGTCTTCCCTCTTCGTATGTTGCAAAGACAACCTGAGCGGCCCCAGCTGACTGTACTTCACAGCTCGAACGGATACGCAGAAAGCCGCCGATGCCATTGCTCCTCATGTCCGGCCACCTCGACCTTATGCTAATAATGATGTCCCCTGGGTCAGTACGATCCATCCATCAACATGCAGCTCTGACGCCTGTTCAGGACCAAAATATCCGAGCGCAGAATAATGATTAGTCTCTTGAGGAAAGCCCAGACCGTCCTTCTTCGCTGTCGGGCGATACTTATGCCTAGGCTCGTGGCATTTCCTTGTGGCCCCATCGACGTCACGACACGTCTGGATGCACATAATCATCATGCGCTATCGTGTCTCCGGACGGCAACCCCTACAACACGGGTTTCCGCGTAAGCTGATTGTCTGGTTCCCGCCGTTTCCGGTCGGTTCCGATGAGAAAGTGCACAGCCTCTGTGTCTCTTTCCGATATCAAAGCTGCATCGCTCATCACATCACTACCTCGATCTCGACGCCCCAACATTGCTCTCCTCCAAGATCCCACCGTGTTCGAAGGAAATGTCTGACTGTAAGACAATCTAAACGACCGCTCTTCGTTCTCGACTCGCTTGTCAATGCACAGGCTCCTACGCTCCAGTCCTCGTGTCCTGGCTCGTGCAGTCGGATGCATCGACGAAGTAGGATTGCCTGATGCCCTGTGTACCATCGACCTTCGTATAAAATGACTCTTTGGGGCGAAAGGTGGCTGCAAAAGGAGTTCGCATCCGCGTTGAGACATTATGCACGCTTGTCTTCAGAGCCGTGCTGATCCCATCTTGTTCCGACGTTTGAGGCCGGCCTGAGAGCTCCAGACTGATCTCAGTCGCGAATGGAGCGGCACGCGAGTCCTGATCGGGGGCAGCTTCCACTCCGCTCAAGCTTCCGTCACCTCTGGTCAAGTACTCAAATTTGAGCCACAAGTTTTCGCTCTGCGACATGACCGCTGTGATGATATCTGCGTGACGTGTAAGGTGGGGTGATGTATGAGATAATTATTGATGTACGAGGTAATTACAGGATTTAGGAAGTGAGATACTCAGCTCTTTATAGGGAATGTGATCAACGTGATGCTGATTTGCCTTACCCCGTGCCAGAGTCGAAATGGGCGATTAGGACATACGGTCAAAAGAAGAGATGGGATAGACTGGCAGTCTCATTACTGGAGACCAGCCACATATTGAGGCGAAGTGGTCTGAATGGTCGACCATTTCCCCGTGAACCATAGTTTGAGGCCTCCACTTCAAGGGTGAGATGAGGATGATCGAATCAAGCATGAAAGGACACGTGAGACAACATTCGATTAATCGCCTCTTCTGCTGACGACCCATCTGATTCGTTGTTGTTCCAGGTCATATAGTCAGGGATAACGAGGTGATGACCCATTAGCTTGTGAAAGGACAGTACCACTTGCTGGGTGACGCATGGTCGTTTCGCGGGATGGGCAAATAGTGTGATATTCGTGCAAAGGTCGTCAAATCATCGTGATATGCTACAAAAAGGATCGTACTTCACTCCCAAGCTTTCTTCGCTCTCTCTCGTTTCGCCTGCGGTCAGCTGTCAGTTGTGTCTGAAAGCGTCTCTGTCTCTCTCTCTCTCTCTCTGTTCTTCTCTCCTCCGAAAAGCCCTCGACTCACCCTCTTCTCTTCTCTAATCTTTACCTTCTCCTCCAACTTGCCACTCCTCTCCAACGCCTTTTCTTTACCCTCTTCCACTCTCCGCTTCTTCTTCTTCGATACGTTCCCAGCGTGTTTCTTGGAGGACGGTACGACCTGACCTTGAGGTGTGATCATGGTCGCTGGCAGACGCTTGTTCTTTGCCAATTTCGCAGGGAGGGTAGAGGAGGTAGCCGCAGCGACGGCAGGTGGGACAGTAGCATTGGGTTCATTCTGGAATCTGGAGGAGGACGATAATGATGAGGATGATCCCCCTACTTGCGTCGCTGGCATGGCCGACAGCTGTATGTATGAGTGTGTGCTATGGTTAACGTATGGCCGCCCAAAAATGCGTGATAGTGATTTTTGGCTTAATTTCCAAACCTCGGTAGTGTGTGCCTCACCGTGGAACGGAGAGGGTTTATCTAACCGGGGAGAGGGGGTCTAATAGGAGGGTATTTTCTAATGCTGCCACAGGGGCCTTTCAGCATTTCCTAATGGAATTTAGCCCCCCCCTCCTTCCTAATGCCGCCGGTTATTTGTGGTTGGAAATTGAAAGAATTTTTTGGGGGCGCGGGGGGTTTTAAGGGTTTATTAGATGCCACGTTTTTTGGGAAGAAGAGAAAAGAAAAAAAAGTTGGTGGAAGATCACACCTGGCTGGCTGCTTGCTGCTCAACGACTCTTTACATATCTATCTTTCCAAGTATCATCCCTCTCTTCCTCTTTCTCTCCTTGATTATCCTCACTCCATCCACTCTCGATCCCCCAAGTCATACCTACAATCCGACGCTAGATCATCGCTTAGGTACCGGACGACCCTCCTTATTTGGACGCGTCCCTAAGCTACATTTCCCCCGTGCTCCGTCGATCACTGGGTGATTCTCGCCGCCTTGTTGGGTTGATCTCTTCCCTGGAGTAGGAGCGTAAGTCACTGGAGTGATCATCAACCTTTCTCGTCACTCTCTACACACAAAACCCTGTTGTGTGAGTTGCTCCTTTGTCACTTGTCTCTTCCTTCCTTTGTCACTGGTGTCTTCCCTCCCTTATCAGAGAATATCTCGTCGTCGGCGCAAGTGGTGCCCCTTTGTTCCAACAGGGACTGATCATCGTGTGGTACGCCCATCGATGCGCACCCGGGAAGTCTATAAAGCCGAGCTGCTGTATCGTTCAGGGCCGGCCCAGAAGAGGTGACCGGTCTTGAGATCTTGACCACTTGTTTTCTACCCAGCTTTGTCGCTCCACCAATTCACGATCCGTGCTTCCTTGTCTTGGAGTTTCCTCTTGATTTCCTTAGCGCCAAGAGGATCGCAACCAAGTCCACTCATCCTTCCATTACATTCGATCTGCTCCCCCCTGTTGCATTCCAACCAGCTTGTACCTCATCTCTTCATCTGGCTGACCCTCCCCAACAGCCCACTATCCCACCATGTCCTCAACCCTCCGTCAACGAGGTGCTTCCCCTTCCCAGGGTCAGGTCGAAAAGGCTCGAATCCTCAAAGAGACTGAGGAGAAGGAGCTGTCTGAAGGCCAGAAATTCATCGTCCCCAACTTCACCGTCAAGCAATTGTTGGATGCCATCCCAGCCCACTGCTTCAAGCGATCTGCTATCAGATCCTCCTTGTACATTGTTCAGGACGCGATCGCGATCGCCGCCCTGGTCTATGGTGCCTACCACATTGACTCCTTCCTCGGACGATTCAACCTCTCCAACGTCGCCTTCCACGCCGCGCGTGCAGCATTGTACATTGCCTACACTGTCGTTACTGGATTTTTCGGAACCGGTATCTGGGTCATCGCTCACGAGTGTGGTCATCAAGGATTCTCCTCGTCTCGAAACATCAACTTTGTTGTCGGTTGGGTCCTTCACTCGGCTCTTTTGGTCCCTTTCCACTCGTGGAGAATCTCGGTGCGTCCTGTCCAGATCCACGGCGTTTCACTGCTCATCCTCTCCAGCATGCCCGTCACCATGCCGCTACTGGCCACATGACCCGAGATGAGGTCTTTGTTCCCAAGACCCGAAAGCAGCTCGGTCTCCCAGAGCTTGCCGAGGAAGGCGAGGTCCGGGGCCTGAGGTTAGTTGAATTTTCCGTTCTCCCCTGTACCTGTCTAACAGTCGCAGCGTTTCTGAATCCCGTCAAGCCGAGTTCCGGGAGGCTCTCGATGACTCTCCCCTCGTTCTGATCATCAAGATGATTCTCAGACAGACTCTCGGATGGCCATTGTACCTCTTCATGAATGCGACTGGACAGGAGCACTACCCCGCTGGAACCAACCGTGAGTTGTCCGCATCTTGCTGAGATTAAGCTCACTTTGCGCCGCAGACTTCACCCCATCTTCTATCATCTTCAAGCCCAGCCAATACTCTCAGGTCTTGATGTCTGATCTCGGTTGCATCCTTATGCTGGGTGCCCTTGGATACTGGGCGTTCCAGCGCAGTGTTCTGGAGGTCGTCGCCATTTACGGTATCCCTTACCTTTGGGTCAACAAGTAAGTTCTGATCCGTACACAGATGTTAGATTTTTGTCTCACAACCTTTACCCAGCTGGCTCGTTGCGATCACCTTCTTGCAGCACACAGATGCTCAACTACCCCATTACTCTCCCGAGAAATGGACTTTTGCCCGGGGAGCTCTTGCTACCATTGACCGGAACTTCTTCGGATTCGTCGGACCCTACATCCTCCATGGAATCGCGGAGACTCATGTCTGCCACCACATTTGCTCCAAAATTCCTCACTACAACGCCTGGGAGGCCACTCAGGCTTTGAAGGAGTTCCTTGGTGTTCACTACTACAAGTCAGAGGAGAACTTTTTGGTCTCATTCTGGAAAAGCTCAAGGGATTGCCAGGTGGGTAGCATTGCTAGACACCATTGATCGTTGTGGCTCACTTTTTCTTTGCTTAGTTCGTCGAAGACGAGGGAGATGTTCTTTTCTTCAAGAACGCTTCTGGTGTAGCTGCCCGTGTTGCCGTTGAGGAGGAGAACCAATTCTCCGACTCTGGTGTCGACATGGGAGAGACTAGATAAATTAGATTCACGGCCATGCGTTTACCATGACTGATAGACGGGGCCGCGCAAACGTCGGCGGAAGGAGTCTGAGCGACTGGAATGATTCTTGACTTTTCTCTCCTACCTACCGATCTTCCATTCCTTCCTTACTCATTGCGCAGGGTATGTCATATGCGACCCTGACCGTCCTCTCTTTTTATGTCATACCCATCCCGCTCGTTTTGCTTTTCTTTTTTTTCCGACATGACACTCTTTCCGTTCTCCCACTACCCGTAGAGATATGCATCGAGGTGCGAAAGAAAGCTCCGGGGGTCGGGGGGCTCAAGCTGTACCCCGGATCGCCTGAGGAGATTTCGGTTCTTTACTTGTGGCGCTGCGATGTCTGAAGCCCTTGACGAGTCTGAACTGGGACTCAACGATATGTAGAAGAAGAAGAAGAAGAAGAAGAAGAATGATTTCCTGCGACACAGTTGCCTTCCCATAGTCGCTGCGTGCTGGTAACGCCGCTGTGTGCTGCCAAGGCAAGGCATGCATGCATGCATGCATGCATCCATGCTCTTAATCTTCCGTTCTTACTCATGTACAACAAAAAAATATGTATCAATCCGATGAGCCCCCGCCTATCGTGAATGGAAGAGGTGGACTTTCTTTTCCAGGGATACAATATCGCAGACGAAATGAGGCTATCTGAGGGCCTGGCGAGAATCTGAGCTGAGATGCTTCGCGTCCATTAAGTTGATGATCTACAACCAGAGTGTAGGGATGTCTTTCGGTATCATGCCAGAAAGCTTTTTTGTGAATGTATAAATGATACAGGTCGTGTTTGGTATATCATGGCGATTGTACCGTCATTGAGTTCCCCTTACGCTTACGCGCGACCGGGCTCGCTCGGAAAGTCTATAGCTTGAGCAGACCCGAACGATATTGATCGGGCACTCGGAGCCGAGGTAGCTGCCGCTGACGGCAGCGCCCGTCATCGGATTCGTCGTCGGACCCGTCGTCGGAGGAGAAAGTTGGGATGAGGGCGTATCGCAGCTGCGATTGGTGTAGGATACAGGATGCGAAGGCAGGATGTATAGGGACACATTGTACGCTGACGACACAATGACAGACGTGGCGATCTATGTATCGTGAGACCCTTGAGCGCACTGAAGGTGGAGAGGTCAGCTCAGGTGAGTCCGGCCGGATGGCGTATTCCCTCGACGCTATTGCCTACTCACCAAAGTACATTGTCCTCCTGTGTTTGTCTTGACTGTACATTTGCACTTTGGCGCATCGCACACACATGGCTTTTCCTCCTGCCATGATAGTGGTGTATGGTAAGCGTAAGCGTAGACACGCTTGATAGCGTCTTCAGGGTGTGTCGGATGATTGTGGGGATGAGGGTGGAATTTATGTACCAGGTTTGGGTTCTGAGGCGCCGGATCTCGAGTACTGTGGAGACACATGGTGGGGGTGGGAGGTGTTTGAGGATTGGACAGTGGTGGAGAAGGTGTGGAAGAAGAGGAGAAAGAGGCAGACGGAGCGGAGGAAGTGGAAGACAACTGTACGGACGTCGTCTTGGGCAAATATGCTTGATTTCGACGTTTCTGACTGAGCAACCTCTCAGTCAGAGCTGTCGAAGAGCGGCGACGTCGGCGGCGATAGGTTGGAATATGAATCTTGCGATGTTCAGTTCAGCGCTGGCTCTCTAAGATGACCAACGGTAGATAGGATGGCGGTATGCGATTGCAAAGTATCCTAGAAAGAATATGATCCACCGATATGTATTTATAGAGAGAGGGTTGATCAAACGCCAACAGCTGGATCGGATTCCAGACTCTTTGGGCCGTATCAACCAGTTGGAGTCAAGATATCTCTGCTGCTCGTCCCCAAAACACGGAGGATCACAAAGGAGGTCAAGTGATGGTCGAGTTGAAGGAAAAGGGTCTGGACCCACGCGTCGGGTGATGACGGGGACGAGATCGTTTGATATCGAGGATGTCAAGAACTCGTAATAGTCCTTGCGAGACTGGTATCGATGTCGAGAGGTTCTGAGCAGCACCCCCCGACGGGATTGGATGAGATCGACCTCAGCGACTTGAGACGGCGAGCTGGCGGCGAAATCCAACTTTCCAGTCCGCACGGAGACTTTGCGGGTCTGGACCTTTGGCGAGAGATATCAAGTCGGTCGTAAGGTGGATCAAAAGGTTGGTCCTCGTCGACTATCGCTGTTTCAGCGAGTGTGATCTCGATAAGAGATTCGCTAGCTGTCCAATTGGATGTGAGATATCAATACGATGAGGAGGAGAAAGGGATGAGAGAGGACAGGATTGAGTCCCCAAGATGGTTGATCGTCGCTTTCTCTGGACCTCCTTTTTGATATACCCTGGCCTTGTAATGGAGGAACTTTGCTCGGCCTCGGCTTGGTATCGTCCTTTGGGATGTCGGCGATGCCGATGCTGGATCAAGATGCACGAGGGCTGACTGGGTGATGATATGAAATGGGATGTAAGTATGGTAGTTGACCAGTCGATGGTGTTGATGATGAAGAAGTCGGCGATGGACGAGGGTATTTTTGTGAGCCAGATGACCTATTTGTCCCCGAGGTTCCAGACCTCTTGCTTCTAAAAGTCTGTGATGGCTCAAAGAAGCACAGCCCAAAGGAACGGGGTGTGTATGTGTGTGTGTGTGTGTGTGTGTGTGTTTCTTCTCTCTTACTCCGATGAGCTAGAACCCGCTACACCTTCCTTTGACTATTCAAAGTAGTCCAGGTACACTGATGATGGCACTGTATGGTCGTTGTCAAGTAGCGATACAGCGATGGTCGTCCAGAGTTCATTTCACACCCACACTCTGCCTCTTGCCATCGATGATCTGAACCACGGGTGAGATGTTCGGCCGAGGTGGTAGTCAGTGATCGTTGCTCGTGATTGAGAATCGTGGTCGTGAGCCGTGGAGCTGATGATGGTGTATGTAGTCTTTGATTGGGTCGTGATGCCAAAATTCTGAGAGAGAGGTGAATTCAGACACACGCTTGGAGGACGTTTGGACGGTAGGTTGATTTCGAGGCGACTGGGATGGTGAGACAGTTGAATCCCCCGATATATCAAGGGCGGCCTCGTAGGGCCAGACTTAATTGACACTGAGCGCCTTTACCCCCTTTTCTCACAACCGCAGCAAGATAGGTCCAATGTTGAAGGAGTAGAGCACGAGGAATGTGAAATGAACCGGGGGTTCTGGAAGCTGACAATGATGTCGGGTTTAGTTTCGTGGCTGACCTAGACGATAAAGTCCACGGTCTGTCTCTCAACAGTTGTTCCTTGCTGACTGGCTGACTGGCTGACTACTTGTCCTTGTGCTTGTCCCGTCTGCTGACGAGGGTTTTGGGTACGTTTTGCGGCCTTTCCCAGGCCCCTCTGAAAAGATCGCTTAACCAGCGCAGCACAGCAAGATTGCGTCTTGGGGTCCTCGGAGTCCTGGGGTACCTGGCAGTCCGTGATGGAGAATTGTGTAAAACCCAAAAGGAGCGTGGGTGAGAAAGAGAGAGAGCGAGAGATAGTCGATCCGTGCGTCAAGCAGCTGCTGCAAGGTGTGAGAGCGTGTTTCCGTATCCTGTGATGTCGAACTGACGACGACAGAATCACTCTTGATCCTTGAGCCCAGCCAAAACATTTGCACCTCCACCCTTCTGTCGCCGACCGACGCCGACTTTATCCAGAGCTTCATTACATCGGGCCGTTCTCTCACGCCCTCCGTTCCCCCGCCTCCTTCCCTGCGTCTCGGCCACTTCTCCCAAACGAAACTACATGATGGGTATATTCCACTTCTCTTGCTCGCCCATAACCCTGTACCTTTCCCGTTGTTGAAACCTGGCCCGGCTGGACTTTTTCAAAGTCTGGCCCCCGAGACGCTCATTGAGCTTCTGGTGTGATTAGAGGTTTCCGAAAGAAATCAGAGACAAAGACTATCAAACGTCGGCGCAAGGCTGGACCGTCAGAAAGGTGAAAAAACTCCCCCTTTTGGTGAAAGCTTTCAGGAAAAACTAGTGTCCAGAACTTTTACCTGTCCTCCGCTCGTGATGCTCTCCCTTATTAACCTCCTAACGATCCCGCGACTCCACGGTTCAATAATGTCAGCGGCAAAAAGCTTGTGCATCTTTGGACCTGAAATGGTGGTTTTGAAAAGACCCTCTTTTCGCCCCGTGGATGCTGAGCACATCTGTCATACTGCCCGTCCTGGTCTATGCGCCAGCGTCTGCCTGGTAGATACCACATCTGACGATGATGATGACAATTGGCCCACGTAGTCAGCTGCTGCTGCCATTGCCACTAAGGGGTTTCCCCTTCTGAATCAATGGTCAGCCGCAAAGTCATTCCTCATTCTCCGCACGCCAAGACACCTGTTTCGTACGCCAGACACGTCAAGCCCACGCCGCCTAGAAGTACGGTAGTACCGTACTACGTCTAGGATGGCGCAAGAATCTGATACTTCAGTTCTCTACCCTTATAGGGTGAGGATGGAGGGGGCGGGGGCCGGGGGCCGGGAGCCGGGAGTATCCAAGGCGAGGGGGGAAGATCTCAAGCCCAAAAAGAGGGGGATCGAGAAGGTGTTTATGCGGGGAAATTAGGGTTCTGAGTGATATTGGGGTTACATGTCATATGTTTGGTGAGAAGGGTGTAATGGGCCGTGTATATGTTTGGCGTCGGCCATCATATCGAGGCATTAGCCCGTGAAGTGATGCGTCTGCAAACGACAGTGCATGCACTACTGTACTTCCACTTGCCATATCTTATGTCGGCCGAGGGGCCGTTGTCTATCTTTGCGTTAAGGTGCCAATGCAAGTGAACAACGAGCACTGGGCATCACCGACACACGTATGCCAGTATTTCCAATTGGACATTTTGAACAATTTTGGATGTTTAAACTCGGGCGAGACTGACATGATGAGGTGCTTCAGCTTCCAGATTGACTAGTATGCAGTCTACGCCACTGGAAAATCGCCTCTTGGACAGGTTCGGGCAAACCTTGGCAGGAACCGTATAGACCACGTCGTCGAGGTACAGTTTAGTGCAGCGTTGCACTAGGACCAGCAAAGTCGAAGGGGGTCCCTTGGGATTTGGCGGACGCCACGCTTCTCGCCCTTTCGCTCGTCGCTCGTCGTCGTACATGGATATGCAAGTGATCAGGGTCATACTATGGAGAAAAATATAATGGGCCAGTCTCGAAGAGGGTTGGATAAGTAATGGTAGAGTCCAAAAGGAGAAAAGAAAATCGGGAAAAGGAGAAAGATGAACAGCGAGATGTCTGGAAAGATGAATGGCCGAACAACGTATGCGAAAGACGTATGGATGAAAGGCTGAGAAAAGGCCCGATATATAACGACGCTGCGGGAGACGGAGACACAGCAACAAAAGTAGTCCATCAGACGAGAGAGAGAGAGAGAGAGAGAGAAGCGATTCGGACCAAACGATGTGCAGAGAAGAACGATCTTCCAGCGTAAGATGAGGAAATGCCGGATCATGACGAGCACCATCTATACCATCTATGCCTTGATGCCTACGGGAGAAGACTCGACTTGACTAGTCGCGATGACACTAGCGAATGAGACGCTAGGTCTTTTGGTAGGGGAAGTAGTAGACGTAGCGGCAGCGGTCGCCGATGCCGATGCTTTGGGAGTCGAATCTTCAGATTCGGTCCTCTCAGCTTCTTTTAAAGCTGAAGGAAGATCCTCTCGGGAGATGATGACCGCTCCCGTCTCGGGATCCTCCTCCATTGTCACGTTCTATCATCGAACATGAGCTATGATGCCTTTTTTTTTTTTCTGCCTTGACACAATGCCCGACACTTACCACCTCTTCAGGAGCCTGCTTTTCCTTCTCGATTCTCGGAGGCGCAGGCATGCTCAAGACTTGAGCTGCCGTCTTGCTCCAATTCCCAGTATCTACTGCAGGACTGTTGTTCGCCCCTGTGTGAGGTGTAGACTTGGATCCAGAGACACTGCCAGTCTGATTCGTCGATCCTGCACCGCCGCCTAGAGCCGGAAACTCGTCCGCTTGAGGTACACGTTGATGGTGGTTGGCAGCGGAACCAACGGGCATCTTTCTATCTCCTGAGGTACTTCGTCCTGGTCCGCCTGCCCCAGCCCCAACCGCAGCTGCGCCGCCGAGAGGAGCACGCCCGCCATTACGTCGAGGATGACCGTTCCCATGGAAGGAGACGTTTGAAGGGGCTGGAGAGTGTGATCGAGAATTAAAGCCCGAGACGGATACGTGAACTCGTTGAACGCCGGGTTGAGATGCCGATCTGATGATGGAAGGCATGGGTGAACCTACAGGTTTGGCAGGGAGCGAAGGATTCTTTTCGATTATACTTGTTTCATTGTTGGACAAGTCGGGTGTCGTGAGACTGCTAGTGAGATTGGAAGTGATGGTGGTAGTCTGAGTGACTGGACCGTCCGCACTGACTGACTGAATGGACGAGCTTTCTCCAGTAATAGCGGGAGGCGCAGGGCCGTTGGGTACTGATTGTCCATTTTCAGCTACTTGAGCCAGACTAGCAGGAAGAGATTGTCGATGAGCGGGATGAGGAGAGACTTGCTGATGCATGGGATGGATCTGCTGTTGATGCATGAAGTTGAGTTGCTGTTGTTGCCGAAGAGCTGGGTCGAAAGGAGCGCTAAAGCTCATCGTACCTCCACTTCGCATACCTCGCTGTCGACTCAGGGGTGGAAGAGGAGGAATGATACCTCGAATGACGTCCGGATGGCGGCCTGGGCGAGAGCGCATGTCAGCCAGTCGGAAGAAAGAAAGAAAATAGAGTGCATGGCTCGCATCACTCACAATCATTGCCCTGCTCGTCGAGGTGTGGAAATTTGCACAATTCACCGTTCCTGCATTTACCTTGTGCGAAGAAGGCGCAAGGCGGAGGATTTCCATCTTTCCAAGTGCCCATGTTAGGTGCCGGTCCACTGTTGGGTCCAGCTCCAGGACCACGGAACGGTCTCGGTCCACCCGAGAATGAAGGTTTCTTTCCATGTCCTCCGAAAGCTTTGCCTGCGAACTGAGGTTGACCGAAACTCTGTCGTCTGCCTGGTCCAGCGGCATAGTTTCCATTAGGAATTTGGAAAGGTTGACCGTAAGCCCCGGGAGCAAAGTTTGAAGATGGAGGAGGAGATCCAGCTGCAAAGAATTGATCGGCTGGCGGGATGGAAGGGAGAGAACCAGATAACATGGAAGGTGACAGAGGCGATAGAGACATGCCATATGGATGGGGTTGTTGGGGAGATGTCATTCCGCCAGGAATGAAGATCGGAGCACCGTTAGGGTGAGGCGGTTGAAGGTGGAGTTGAATGGGTTGGTGATTGGACGCATCGGGGTTGACGGGAGAACTAGAAGATGGAGATTCTTCCTGGGCAGCAGCGACTCGTGAAGCGTTTTGACCCTCTGTCTGCTCAACAGAGGGAGGTGACGATGTAGAATTGGAAGCTTCGCCATCCGTGGCGGCGTTGCCAGCCGGTGTGGCGGAATCCAAAGTCTCAGATTCTTCCTCGTTGTTAACGATTGAAGAAGGTTGAGCTTGGGATAAAGGGTCGTGAGGTTGCATGTTTCCGGCTTGGAATCGGTGTTGGTGCTGCTGTTGCTGTTGTTGTTGGTATTCGGGAGCGTATCCATAAGCTTGTTGCATTCCACCGTAACCTTCGAAGCCGTTCATGGTCTGCATTTGATGCTGAGGGAAAAATGGCATAGGTCTCGAGCCGAGTCCACTGGGACCTCCAAGACCAGCTGTAGGTCCAGAAGAAGGATGGAAGAAGACACAAGCACTTCCATACTTGCAATTTGGGAAATTTCGACAGGGAATCGTCTTGGCCACATCGGCAGGAGGCAAGTGTCCGACCCCATTGGCATTCCCATTCGCATTCGCAGATCCATTACCGACTGGACTACCTCCGTTGGCTGCATGGGGATGATGCGGATGATGTCCATGTGGACTGGCACCGGGACCAGCACCAGCACCGCCGCCGCCAACACCTCCTCCAGGTGATCTCTTGAAACCATCTTGAGGAGGATAGTATCCATAATAGTCAGGCCCAGCACCCATTTGAGGTTGACCATATGCACCCGCTGCTCCGGACCCAGCAGGACCACCGAGATGTCCACCACCATTCATCCCTGGCATACCGTACATTCCTCCGATGATCATGCCAGGGTATAAGATACTCATCATGTAGCCGTCGTTGGTGACTCCTGGTGGGGGGACAATGGCGCCGGCACTCAAAAGCTCCCTGACTACATCCGGGTGATTGTTTCGAACGGCGAGGACGATGGGCGTACATCCAGTGGTGACGTCCAAGGTCTCCAGCGGTTCCAAAGATTGGGATAAGAGAGATCGAACAAGATCCAATTGACCAGTCGCACAGGCTTGGTGGAGGTCCGAGGGAGATCCAGTCGAGCCAGTCGACAAGGAACCGTTATTTTGACCATCTGCCTCGGGAGTCTCAAGAGACAAGCCAGCAACTGAAGTCTCTACAGCATTGACATCTGTTCCGTTCGTCTCCGTGGCGATACCGTCCGGTGATACAACTCCATTCTGCGCATGCTCTCGCAGCTCTCCAGCAGCAACAGCAGCCACATTCAAATCGGATCCTTGATCAAGATGACCATTCGGTAATTTCGCCTTGACAATTGGCTCGTCGGCTCGAGGCGTAGAATCGGAAATGGACATGATTGCAGGGACTTGGCGAGGTAAGGAGGTCGAGCCTATAGAGTCGGAGCTCGGACGGAACAGAAGTCTGTATCCGAGTTGTCTCCGAGAGCACTGCTGCCGCTCTTGAAATGATCCCACTACCTAGTCCAAAATCAATATCGATCCACCCTCGTCGAAAAAATGTGTGAAACCGAAATTTGGAAAGAGCCGAAACGAACGATCTGATGGTTTGTACCGTACCTAGGAGGGAAAGAGATTGAGAGGGAAGCGGTAGAAGGAAGACAACAGTGGAGCCCAAATACTAGAAGATGATTCGCTTCGAAAGTCGGCTTAGTAGATAGAGCACACCAAATTCAACAACGACCTTGAAAAGGCGTCCTGTCTCTTTCGCTGGGCTGGAATGGGGAAATGCCTGAAAAAAAGTTTCGACCCGTCAAAGAGAAAAAAAAATGAGGGTGTCATTCTTGGGATCTAGTCACGTAAGCGGGTACTCTCGATGGCTAATGTGAGCTTCATTGGGACAGGTCTCTTTGCATCACGTTACAAGCATCACACACTATGCTGATGAAGAATGGAGGAAGGGACACTGTGGCTCTACTCAGGTCAGGCTGCTGAGCATCCTTTAGCCGAAAAAAATTCCGAAAGAGAAAGAACAGACGACTTCGTTATATCTCCTCCACTCATGCCTCCCTTCGCGCGCGCGCGTCCAACCTACTGCTTCTTAGCATTGGCAGCCATCATGTTGAGGGCTAAGTAGAGCGAATCAGCCTTACATTCAGAAACCCCCAAGGCGACTCCCACACTCACCAGATCCAGCTTTGAACCATCCCCATTGGCCTTCGTTGATAGAGCTAGTCACCTTGATCTTCTCCTTTCCACCATCCTTGTGGGTGATTTCAACATCGAGATCCTGTCCAGGTTTGAAGCTGTTCAATCCGAGGATGGAGATCTTGTCAGTTCCAGAGATTTTGTCATAGTCCGCAGGGTTCTTGAACCAGAGAGGAAGCATGCCTTGCTTTTTCAAGTTGGTCTCGTGGATTCGGGCAAACGATCGGCAAATGACAGCTCGACCCCCAAGGAATCGAGGTTCAAGTGCGGCGTGCTCTCGAGAAGATCCTTCACCGTAGTTTTCGTCTCCGACGACAACCCATGGGATGCCCGCATCTCGGTAAGAGGCGGCGACGGTAGGGACGGGGCCGAAAGATCCATCCTGTTGGTTCAAGACGTTGTTGGCCTCGCCGTTATCAGCATTGATAGCTCCAATCAACATGTTCTCTGCCACCCCGTCAGCCCATTGCCATCTACATGTGTCCATCCTTTGACTCACGCGAAATGTTCTCCAAGTGACCTCGGTACTTAAGCCATGGTCCCCCAGCAGAGATATGGTCGGTAGTGCACTTGCCCTTGGCCTTGATAAGAACAGGGGCTTCAATGATGTCTTTTCCGTCCCAAGGCTTGAAGGGCTTGAGAAGTTGCAATCGGTCAGAGGAAGGTGAGACAGCGACGTTGACTGAAGCGCCATCCTTGGGAGGAGCCTGGAAAGTGTTTTGACCTGGGTCGTATCCCTTGGCGGGGAGCTCGTAGCCCTTGGGCTCCGAGAATTTGAACTCTTTGCCATCGGATCCCTTGAGTGAATCGGTGAGAGGGTTGAAGCTCAAGTCTCCAGCAAAGACCATGGCAGTAACGAGATCAGGGGAAGTGACGAAGGCATGAGTGGCAGGGTTTGCGTCGTTTCGCCCGGTGAAGTTTCGGTTGTAGGATGTGACGATAGAGTTGGCTTCGCCCTTCTTGACGTCTTTTCGGTCCCACTGTCCGATACAAGGTCCACAAGCGTTGGCCAAGACGACACCTCCGATTTTCTCGAATGACTCGATGAATCCATCTCGCTCGATCGTGGCTCGGACTTGCTCAGATCCAGGGGTAATGGTGAACTGAGACTTTGCCTTGAGACCGTGCGAAGCAGCCTCGTTGGCAATGTGGGCGGATCGGCTCATGTCTTCGTAGGACGAGTTGGTGCAGGACCCAATGAGACCGACTTTAAGCTCGGATGGCCACGAGTTCTTCTTGACTTCCGAGGCGAATTTGGAGATGGGAGTGGCGAGATCAGGAGTGAAAGGTCCGTTAATGTGGGGTTCGAGGGTGCTCAGGTCCTATGGGCAATGAGTGTCATGTCGCAGATCGATGCTCACAATTTCAATCCTCTGGTCATACTCGCAATCCTTATCGGGTTGCAAGTTGTGTTGGAAGTCTTCGGCATATCGAGCAATGGCACTTCGGTTGGTGGCCTCGAGGTAGCTGCTCATTCGCTTGTTGAAGGGGAAGAGTGAGGTGGTGGCACCGATTTCGGCTCCCATGTTACAGATGGTGGCCATACCGGTACAAGAGAGAGACTCGACACCAGGTCCGTGGTATTCGATGATGGCACCGGTTCCTCCCTTGACAGTGAGAATTCCGGCGACCTTGAGAATGACGTCTGTTTAGGTGGGGGTTTGTCAGCCGCCCTTCGTGCGCTCTGGCAGTCTCACTGACCTTTGGGAGTTGTCCATCCGCCCATTTTTCCGTCAAGGTACACACCGATGACCTTGGGTGCTTTAAGTTCCCAAGGAATGTTGGCCATGACATCGACTGCATCGGCACCACCAACACCACAAGCGACCATTCCGAGACCACCAGCGTTGGGTGTGTGAGAATCAGTTCCAATCATCATAAGACCGGGGACAGCATAGTTCTCGAGAATAATCTGGTGGCTAGGGGCGTGGTCAGTCGATGGGAAGGTGGATTTCGCATGGGCCACTCACATGATACCACTTCCTGGTTTCCAGAAACCGATTCCGTATTTCGCACAGGCAGTAGCCAAGAAGTCATAGACCTCCTTGTTGATGTCGATAGCCCTAGCGAGATCCTTCTCACCTCCAACTTGAGCTTGGATCAAGTGATCACAGTGCACAGACGTGGGGACGGCAGTTTGAGGAAGTCCAGCGGACATGAACTGGAGAATAGCCATCTGGATACAAAGTGAGCGGGTCGTCGATGCACGAGAGCGGTAGCATGTCTCACCTGGGCAGTCGCATCTTGGCATGCTACGCGCTGGATAGTCAGAATGTCAGTACACGCCCAGCTGCAGCCAGACTTGGGCTAGACTCACGTCCGGCCTGAGTTTGAGGTACGAGACACCTCGCTCGATCTCCTGCTCGTGGGGGTTGTCCAAATGACCGTAGACGATTTTCTCAGCATAAGTCAGAGGTCGGTTGAGTCTGTCAAGATGTTGAGAATTAGCTCTGAGTCCTGTGCACGCCTTGTTCCCGCCAAATCACTCGATCTCGCCATGGGAAAAAGGCGAACTGTGTATTTCTCACCTTGACCGGACGACGTTGAGGTTGTCTTCCATCTTTTGGTAATTTATGTACTTTCCCTTTTCAAGGTTGCTCATGGCAACTTTTTGACTTCCAATCTTTGAAGCGGCCGTCGCCAGTCCCCTCTTGTTCAGAGAGACATGTCGAGGCATACCTCGAAGAGAGGAAGCAGCAATCAGTCGAGCCGACGTCATGGTGAAATAATGGTGGTGTCCAGCTCAGAGGTATCGATGGTAAACGTCAATGCCGAGTCCCTTTAAACTTCTAGACCCCTGCAGTCTAGGTATTGCTTGATGGAAGTGTGAATGAACAGCGATGCGTTAGATGTATATTACCAACGACAGGCAGTCAAGAGGGAGGATGGCGAGTAGTTTTGAAAGATGCTCTCTCTATTTTCAATACCATCAGCCAATGGGAGAGACTGCATTAGGGCCGCGTTTTGCCGAAAATACACTGTGTTATAACCGAGAGTGATAAGCAGCGAGTGACGTGGCATATGGTCGTTGTCGGGATTATTCGACCGATGAACCATGACTGTGGCAACACGACCGTGGCAAACTCGTGGCAAGTGGGATCCATATGCCTCCTGCCCAGGGGTGTTGCAGGTACTCAGACGGCCGAACGTTAGACGTCAAGTGCGTGTATCACATCCAATAGGTACTCCAATGACGATGAGATCTACATATTTGGTGCGCACTGTTTTCAATTCGGCATTCATTCGAGTACTATACATATACTGCTTGACTCTCGAGGGAGAAAACGCACCAGAGCATGACAGTCGGTCACCTCAGGTCCACTGTGCAAGCGAGCGAAAATCATAGCCCATCACAACCTCCATCCAAACAAGGGTCGGCGTAAAAGCCGAAGCAGGACAAGCCATTGGGGTTGTTGAATCCGATGATGTTATCTGTTAGGTGAAGGAAGAGGCAAGCAAGATCAGTTCGCCATCGCTATCGCCGTCGTGATGATGCCACACAACACCCACTGATGTTTATGCCTGTCGATCCATAATTGCCTGCGTCATTCTTACAAGTGGCGTAGAAGGAGTCGCCAGAGTATTCAAAGTCATTACAAGATCCTCCGAAACCGCCACTGAGAGGAGCTGGTCATCAACCAGATCACAGTACAGGGTATAGCCCGGGTGCGGGAACTCACTTGTATTGGCCCACCAGCTGACCGTTGTGATTGCCTAGACACTGATCCAAACTGATGGAATACTGTTTGCCCTCACATTGGGCGATCAGGGTGCCATCTCCATCACCGCCGCCCCAACTGGAACAAGATTGAGCGAAACCTCCATCTGCAGAGACGAGGGCGGAACCGATGAGAGCAGTAAGGAGGACAGATTGTGTGAACCTCAGCATGTTGTAGTTATTCTTGAGAGAAAGATTGCGATGGAATGCGTGAAGACAGGTAAAGACGTAGAGTATCAAAGAGATGATGAATGGCCGCGTCGATGAGATATATATATATTCTTTCTGTAGAACCGAGCCAGTAACTCATGGGGGTAGAACTCCGCAGATGGTCGCTGACGCTCTGCATATCCGAAGTCTTCAGCTCCACAAACATGTCACGGTACCCGAACCAGGTCAGGCCGACAACATGATGAATTCAAGTGGAAATCCCGCCCCAAAGGTCATCCGTCGCAAGCAGCCCCACGCCAAATACATACTGTATCGTAATTTTCCGGTATCGGACTCGTGGTAACCGTATGGCCGGGCCGCCCGAAAAATGGTGCATCACTGGCATGATGATTTCTCGAATGTGCGGCTCTCGTTTATCGTCTACACCGATCAGGTAGATCTGGAGTCCTGCAGGTACATTGTAACGTGGAACGAAGGTGCGACTCTTTCCGTTTCACGGATACGTCGTTCAATTCTCATGAGTTTACGAACCCCGATGACCGAGTTCTCAGAATGGTACCCTCAGCGACAGCCACCGGCGGGCCGACTGTTCGGCCATAACTTGCTTTCTATCGATCATCGATCGAGATCTTCAGGGATTCCCGTCAGACCTTGATACTGCCAATTTGGACGCAGAAAAAAAAGGAGAATGTGGGCTTGAGGGAAGATCGCCGGGAACCCCGGCGCACATGATACGATACCGCAGCTCCCGGGCTCCACGCCCCGTCTGCTTTTACTTGTGGCATTTTAGCTCGACTGTGACAACTTGCCACGACCTTCTGTTGTCCTATCGCCGTTGTCTCCGGGAATGCCAAATCCGAAGTGCGACTGACCACCGTCTCGTGTGGAGCGAACAATCAATGAATCATCCGCTAAGAGCGGGGATCCGAAACGAGACTGACGGCAAAGCCACCTACCTGCCTGAGAAAGCCAACTGCTCGAGTCCATATTTTCGTATGCGCTATGATGAGAGGAGGTCGGACCATCCAGATACCGCGACATGCTCACTTCGTCGGACAGTTCCGGGAGGCATGCAGCGATTACAGCCAGCAGGTCACGATATACAGACATACATCTACACTATTGGGTGGACGTCATCTATGAGGCCGATTTGGCGAATCTGCTGTGCTCTCTCAACCTATAGCAAAGTCAGGACGATCAGCGTCGTCTTCCTGAGTGATCGATGATCCATCTCGGAGCTCACCTCTGCCCGTATCTTTCGAAGAGGAATGGGATACCGCCCAAAAGCGCCGCTATACAACCCAAGAGGGTGCATGCCCACTGGATTCCGAGGTTGTGGAACATTGGCCTGGTCACGAGGGGTATGGCAGCGCCGAAAAGGGAACGCTGAAATGTATTGGCGGCGATTGCAGAGACGGCATTCTGATGATGACAAATTCAGCTCATGTGTAGACCTCACAATGGAATCTTCTGTTCATCGACTTACCTTGGTGTACCCGTCAATGAGGTAATTGATCCCAGACTGAAGATACATCAACATAGAGGTCCTGAAATGAAGGCTGCACGACTCACTTGGAAGATGAGCAGAAAACTCATACCGACCACTGTGAGTCCAATCAGACTGGGGAAAAAATTGATCCTAGGATAACTCGTCCAGCCCATGATGAAGAAGCCGATGGGAAAGCAGACACTTCCAATCATCATGGGTGGTAAACGTTTCTCTGGAGGTGCTTTACCACCGTGAGTGTCCATATACCTCGCAAAGATGATTTTGGCGTAGCCCATATTGATAGCCGCTGCCAGGATTGTCCCGACCAAAGTAGCGAGATTTGGTAATGCTGCAGGTACTGGATCCCACCCTCTGTTCTCTTCAAAAATGATGGGAATCGCGGCAAATAGGCCATACAGGATACCATAAGAGAAGCCGTTGTACCTAAAAGAGTCATGATCAGTCTTTGATCGGAAAGGAGGGGGTAATATGACTCACGTAGTGACCAAGAGGACCATCGGCTCCTTGGCTAACATTTGGAGGGGCAAAGAGAGTGTTTTGTGGACAAAAGTCGAAAGAGAGTGATCAACCTCCTCTGCTTTCGCATGGAGTGCCCATCTGCCAGTTTCGAGTCGAAGTCGCTTGGCTTTGTTGGACAGAAGAATGGCGGATGATGTTTCTGGAAGGAACAAGACGTCCAAGCAGACGACAGTCATGGTCAGGATGACACAGAGATATTCTGTCCATCTCCAGGTGAGATAGGATTCTGAGATGGCTGCCCCTATGACGGGTGCTAGAGTCGGTCCGCCTACGATACAAAGCGAGTAGATGACAATTGCGCTACCTCTATCCCGTTGGCTCCTGCGCACGACAATCAGGCCTTCGTCTTGCCGGAGATGAGATGTTGCCTTCGTGACACTCACCAAAAGTCTGCCAGTGCTCCTCCAACGATGGTGACGGGTGAACTTGACATGACGCCTCCAAAGAATCGAGTGATGAAGATTGTTTGCAAATTCGAAGCCGTGGCAGTTGCGGCGCTAAAACAAGCAAAGATGAACATGGGTAGGATGATGGTGGGCCTTCGTCCGAACAGTTCAGAAGAGGGACCGAAGATAATTGGACCAATGGCGAATCCCAAGAGGTACAACGAGAGACCCAGCAAGGCGACCTCATCTCCGATGTGGAACTGTCTGGCGATATAAGGTGAAGAGGCGGAAAAGATGGAAGATGCGAAAGTCGCGCACATGGTGTTGACACCTAACAGCAAAGTAGTTCGAATCTTCTTTCCCTTTGGCCAATTCATAGGATTGCTCGTGTCTTCTGGTGAATCCCATCCGACAACATCGTTCTCCCATTCTCTGGTCTTAGGATCTGAGGATGACATCGAATTGGATTCTTTGCGACGCTTCAGGCCCTGCTTCTCGTTGTTCGGATTCTTAGAAGGACCATCAGACCGCAACTGAGAGTCTTCGCCTCTCTCTACGTCTCTGGTGTCTGCATTCGGCGGTGTTGGATCTTCGGCGTCTGCACCGTGGTGCAGAGTGGTTGATGACGATGTCGCATCGCGGCTGGCCATCGTGAGGGTGTTTGAGGTGTGAATCTCAGTGATGGCTGCGATGCCAGCCGGGACCAGTGATTCAAAAGCTAGCTATCGAGTCGTTGGTCGTCAGTCTAATCGATACAGTCACGATCACGAGAGAGAGAGACTTCTTTATATATGTAGGTGTTGGCTGGCTCTGACTCCCTCGGCCGATCGTCGGAATCATTTGATGCTTTGTCAGATGCCGAATGTGCCGGGCGAAGAGCGAGAGAGGGGGAGCGGGTGCCTTGCGTCATGTGGGATTTGGGCGTGAGAATGGCGTGGGATCTGCGTGAGATGGGTAGGTGAAATGCGGGTCTGATTGAGACTTTCCTCAATCAATTGCTTCAGATCGGCCAGGCGAACGGCAAAAGAGGATGTTTCCAAGTGAGCGGAGGTGGGTGCATCTGGGTCGTTGGATAGAGGTATACACCATCTCGCACACTGCCCGAAGAAGTCTATTTTTGAGACGCTTGAATCTGTGCTGAGTCAGGATTTACCAAATAAGGAGCGTCACCTCCTATGAGACTGAACGGTGTCGTGACCGGCGTAGTCATCGCGAAAGGAGGGTCCCTCCGGTTTGGACGTGGGCAGCTTGAGCCATGTTGATCCCGTGATCTCACAGACCGGTATCGAGAGCGCTGTGTTTCCACCTCTCAATCATGGACGTTGGTCCCTTATCCTGCATCGGGAGCAACGAGGGGCTGCAGGAACTTTGGGCGTTGTGCCACGTTGAAGACTCAAGACTTGTCGAAGATGACTGGTCGCTCACCTTACCTTGACACTGCGTGTGTGTATGGTGCACATACACACACAACGTCTTGCAACCCAGAGGATCATGCCCTCAAGCATTTTCACCACCTGAGCAGAGCTTACTTACTCACTCCGCTGATATATGGGATCATTTGGCCCTCATGCTGGGGACGTAATCCACCCCATCTCAGATGTGACCAGATCATGACTGGCGTTTCGCTATTACCCGACCATCCCACGCCTGGAGGAGACACTCTACCCCCGCCAAGCGCACTCGGGAGAACGCGGACCATGATTCCACACGGAAGCGAGGAACTTCTACGATAGCTTCACGCTTCGTACCTCGACCTTAACACGAGGCTGAAAGGTACTATTCCCGCCCTTAAACACCACACCACACAAGCGAATATCGCTGGGGGAGGTCCCATTTGGATCATCGGCCGTATACTGACACAGACCCGTGCCTATCGGGATGAAACGGCATAGTGCGCGATGAAAGCTGGTGGCTCAAGGTAACGATGGGCTTGTTCGACACTTTACCACCACGGCTAGGTCGTCCTCCACCTGCTTCACTCCCTCTTCTAACCACCCTTGCATCATTCGTCGTCTCTCTCTCTCTCTCACATCGCTCAATGGTGCACTCTGGTTTCGTGTTGTGTCTCAAGAGCTCTGGTTCGACATAATCATTGGGCATCAAGCATAGACTTGCTACCTTGGGTCTCCTCCTTCTGCACCCCTTCGTATAACGTCCAGGATTCACACCTAGTCTACTCAGTCGTCTTCAGCGATCGGGGCCAGTCCATTATCTTGGTCTTGGTCTTCTCTCTGCCTGCTCTTACGATCCGGTTGCTTTGCTCTTCTCAACGCCTCGTCTCCGTTTCCAGTCTCGTCAGTTTCACCTCTTCTCATTGTATTCTTCGATATTCCGAATCACCTGCTGTATTTCTGGGCCATATACGCTAAGCGTATCCAACTGCTCGCCTGTCATAAAGGATCGAAACCACTATTGCTATCGTCCCTGCCTGGGTCTTGTCCCAACGGGTGAGTCAATGTGTACCTTAGCCCCGGTTTCTCCTACTCCAACCCCCTCCCTTTAACATCATAATCCTGTCAGATGCTCATCACTCAGCTACTCATCCCCAAAAGTTTCTGTAGGAGTTTCGGGAAATCTCGTACATCATCATCACTCCAAACCTCTCACACACACTCTCTCTCTCTCCTTGACTCCCCTTTTCTCATTTGCTACTTGTCAACGCGTTCGCCATGCTGATTCCATCTTCCAGTCTCCCCATCCCATGTCATCTTGTGTGAACTCAGCCTCACCTCCACCTCCCAATCTCACCTCGGCCATCCAGACAACGCACTTGTTATATACAACGTCACCTTCCCCTTCGTACCTCCCCCTCGAGGATATCATCGACTATTCGTCCTTTCCATGTGAGTGTCAGAGGTATGATCATGTGGCGATGTGGCACCGAGACAACAACGAGGGGCCACCATCACCTTTCCTGAGTTGTTGCTCTTCTCTGCACACTTGCCTCACCGTTCCGTAGCCCGTCCTCGTTTGCTGACGCTAGCTCTCACCTTCCTCCAGTCCTCGACAACGTGCAGGACGAACTCAGCATGGATCACTTATTCAGTCAGGTACCTCAACAAGGGGAGAATCGGTCGTCTCACAATCTTCCTCCACCACCACATGAGCCCATCACCTCGACCCGGAATTCTCAAGTACCGTATCAGGGCGGACAGTCACCAACAGAGTCAAAAGCGGACGATCAGGATGTCCCCATGGGAGTGGTAGAAGGTGGGTCAGAACGGGGATCATTATCAGGCTCGACTCCTTATCAACACCTCTCGTCAGCACGTGAACAGACTTATCCGTCTGCCCTACCCATCCCTATCGGCGGCAACCTACCACTGCCACCTCCCCCATCAGTTCCATACGACCTTGGTCCCTACGCCAACATGTACGGATACACGCCAATGGTCGTCTCAGAGACTAGTCATCCTCAGCCAATGATGTTCCATCCGTACAGATGTGAGCTGAGCCTTCTGTTATACCCGGAGAATAAGCAGCTCACCTTGTCTCCACAGTCGATGGCTACCGCTCGCCGCCTCGTTGGGCAAACTCACCGGAGCACCACTCCCCTCAATCCATCTCACCACCTGGATCATCTCATTCGCCCATGAACCATCCGGCGTTGTCGCAGTCCGGTTCACCCATCCAAGCAGGTTCACCACCACTTGTCTCTCCAACGTCCGGGCTCGGCTCCATGTCAGATGTATCTCCAGGATCAGCCGTCTGGGCATACAATCTCCCTCAAGCCGCTGGATCCGTAGGATCTCTAGGCGGCTACGTTAATACTCCCCTGACGAGCATCTCGGCACTTCCCAACATGCCTTCCGGCAGTCCTCCCGGCTCAACAACAGGAAGCATCACCAGAATGTTTGCTGGAATGCCATATTATTCTGCCGCTACAGGCGCCACACCTCCCAAATCTGCGCTCCTGTTATCTGGTGCACATCCTGCTCGTCCAAAGGTACACAAGAAGAGCGGATCTACCAGTCGGAGAGACAAAGAGTTTTCCAAAAGTGTCAGCAAGCCAGAGATCGATAGCGATGTTGGGGGAGACGAAGTCGAGCAAGATGATCAGATCCCTCCAATTGGAAAGAGCATCTTCACACCGTACGTTCTTCCCTGTCTTCCACCCGTCCGTGGCGCCTGACTTCATCCGCAGAGAGGACCTGCGAAGTCCCAACCTCACTGAAGAGGTACGAAAAGCGAGAATCAAGAGCGAGCAGGTGAGCTCGTCCGTGGTGCGCATCCACCTCGCTTTCCCACATCGTTATCTGAGCCGCTGGACACATACACACGAACACACATTCTCTCTTTTTGGTTAGCGATGAATTTGGTCAGAAGAGCTAACGAATGGTACACAGAGACGTCGGGATGAGCTCCGTGATGGATTTACGAGGTTGAGAGAGGCTCTACCCGCAAGCAATCAAAGACCTTCAAAGAGTAGTATCCTGGATCGAGGTGAGTATAGCGAACGAAACGAGCCAATGGGATGCCATTGATGCTTTTGTGGACCGCCTCAGCCGTGGCACACATCCAACAGGTTGAGTCTGCCAATCATTACCTCATGAATCAGCTCGACGAAGCCACCAAGGACACGAAAAAGCTGCAAGAGTGAGTTAGATTGTGGAGTGTGGCACCTCCGATCGAGCTCACGGGTCCCTTGTAGATCCAATGCAGAGCTTGTTCGAGCTCTGGCTGCCAGTACTCAAACGCGGGCGCCGTCCAGTCCTGGTTCCTCCGCCCCCAGATGAGATGACGAAAGAGCGGATGAGGGTGAGTGAATAGATATTGCTCGCGAACGCTTAATCCTAGCTTAATCGAGTCGTAATCCAGGCTACAGCAACAGACCTCGAATTCGTCATATCACAACCCCCCCGCCTCATCGCATGTGCATTCATCTTTCTTTCTACGAATCAATGGCATTTACACCGAAGCCCTGTACTTATCGATTCTCGATCTTATACAACCGCTTGACGATCTCTTGACGACCTCTTGACGACCGCTTGACGACATCATGAACTGTACGACTCCCGCGACGCCTAATGACTGTCCACGATCTTCTGAAAACTAAGCATTTGCATGGGCACGATGATGGATGCAACAACGATAACTGAACACGTCCGACACTCTTACGAAAAGCCTTCATACTTCCAAAGATAGCGAGAGCCCACTGGAATTGTGGTCTCGGTGCTCTCCAATGATTGATCGCCTGCCGAGATCATGACGAGATTGGATCTTATCCGGAACCGACCCTATCGATTCCTCCGCTTCGTTTGTGGATGGAAGCACAGAAAGCATTCCGAGATAGCGCTGGAGTGAGGCCTTCTCGAGAGTACCTTGTACCCAGCAAAAGGCTCAAATATTGAATCTCGATAAGCCTCTCTCATTTTCTCACCGTACGTTGCTAGACAATTTGCTCGCATGTGCATCTGATGGCACGAGTGGACCGTAGGTGGATAGAAGACTCTGTCTTCGGACCCTGCTTTTGTGTACAGCATAGTGCCCTTCGTAGTCAGTCATGCCTTATCTGATTTGGATCTCCCCTTCTCAGCCTCCCACATCCGCTCCCCCTTTCGTGTCGTACCATTCTAAACTCTGTACCCCCCCTGTACTTGATCTGGCTCACGCAACTCTCGGACCTACAATCGCGTCTGACACTCTTAATGCCTAATGCCATTGTCATACATGCGAAATATCCTTCCTATTCAATGCTATGAGAACCGTTCTTCAGTGAATCCGAGTCGCTCCAGTCGTAGTCGGACACGTTGATGATATACCTCACAATACCATCTAAACGCTACCAGGACGCTTCATCTGCAAAGAGGTTGAGTCGATCAGCGAGGGAAGAAGTTTGAGTGGCCCTTGTGACTCACAAAGTCAACGAGGAGATCGAGACAGACCATATCCTCATCATCGACAGTGAAGCCTCGAACGGCGACGGAGAATTTGGCTGAGAGGGCGCAAAGAGATGATCAGCGATTGAACCGCTATGGGCGGTGGTTGTTGACTCACCTTTAGGGATCTCTTTAGGCAGTTCGACAGTTTGCGATACGGAGTACGGTCCCTTTTGGACTGGACATTGGACAGTCGCGTTGGCGTTCTTGCTGCGATGGATAGGATAGAGATCAGCTGAGGGCGCTTGCGCATGAATCGATTCTAAGAAAGCCAACACTCACGCTTCTTCACAGACATCGAATTCCTTCTGTAGTAATTTGATGAGACCCAACTTGACCGTCACATCGACATAGGCTCCGTCCTAGAACAGGAAGATATCAGGATCTCGATCGATCAACGGGAGGCTGATCCATATCCAAAGACTGACCTCGATGACTTGGAGGACTTCGGCATCGACAGTCACTGTCAAGTTCTTTCCGGGAACAGGAGGATCAGGTGAGACTTTAATGCTCTTCAATTGGCTACAGAACAAAGTTATCAGTTTATGGTCAGATCTGAGATAATAGAGGGAAGGAGATCGTGAAAACGTGCCGAGCGTGTCAGCCAACTGACTCACACTACATCCGCTGCTGTCCCGCAATTTGTCCATGTCCAGGAATCCATGATACTAATCGGCCCATCCTTGCTCATCTGCGAATGCATTCTGGCCTCTTCTCCCGATTGCGAAGATACCAAAGAATTGGCATAGCTAAAGATGTCGGTGGCGAAGGAGGCGTTGATAGACGGTAGAAGGGCCAAGGGGAGAAGAGAGAAGGATGAGAGCTTCATCGTGGATCGCTAGCTAGATTCTATACGCAGACTCTTTAGCTTGGGATACCAATTGATGTAAGAATGGATGAAGATGCGATGAAGGCTGATCGAGTGGAACGAGCCAGATAATGAATGAGACGCTCTCGAGTCCCGTTCTCAGTTCCCATTTTGACATCATGTCTGATTTAAAAATTACCGCTTTCGGATGATCAACCCCCGAATCCGCTGATAACCGACGACACACCGCTCGCGTTCAAGTTTGGTCTGTCGCCAGAATTCCAGCTGGATGCATCAATTGAGATGTCAGAGAGACTATGGCGTCAAGCAGTTGTCAGCTCGAGACTCAGGATAGAGCTAAGGCTGTTAAGATCGACAGGCGCAACGAGATCACATCCTCGTCTTCCTCAGCGTGATGCTCAGTCTCTAGAACGACATGAAGATCAACGATGGTATTCATCTTCATCTCCATCCGTTGCATCTCCGGAGAATACCTCTTCAATACCGCAGGATATGACGCGGCCTTTGAAACGTAATCCATATCGACTTGTCCCTCTCAAAACGTTCCTGGTCTCATTCGCACCTCTCCACGTCTCAGGTTGGCGGCTGGTCAATCTGTCCTCGAGCACGAGCACAAGCACGAGCACCAGCACGAACACTATCTCGCAGCAGAGCAGTCCAAATGATCATTCGGGGATCGTCGAAAAGGGAGTAGGAACATTGGAGGGCAAGAAGTTGGTCAGGATATTTGGTCTAGGTCGTGAGACGTATGGCAAAGCAGTGGACATATCAGCCAATGTTATCCAAGCAGCCATAGCTGAGCAAGTGAGTGACTTCCGTCGGGATTTTAAACGCAGTTCACCCTGCTAAATCGCGAATACCTCTCATAGCATCATCCGTCGATGACACTTTGTCCACTGATTGACTACGCCAACACGTACGCTGTCGATCTGCCTAGTGACACTGAACATGTACTGGAAATCACGACGTATACCCACACGCCTCTGCCCGAGAGCAGGGCGGACGATAACGCAACCGGAGGACGGCGGAAGCCTCAACCGGGCGTTACGGGAAAGGATCTCAGACTCGCAGAAGAGATCGAGAGACTGGTCCCCGGTCTCGGGTTGTAGCGAGTCTAGAGCTCTGTCGAGTCCGATAGGCAAAACAGACCTCAAATCGCACCGGGCCGGCAGGCGGGCATGATATCGTCCAGCGTCACTCTACGCAGAGGCAATCAGACGTCACAAAGGCGTCCCTGGTCACTAGCCTGCCTCTGCGGCGTGGTCGATCCCCGTACGTGGCGCAGAGAACCTCACAGAGTCAATAGCCATACATGAAGGTAGTCAGTTGAAAGGGAGGAAAAATCGAAAGGGGCGGGGTTTACATGATGGTCCATCGTTCAGAGTCGGTCCTGTAGCGGTCAATGTATTGAAGAGAGTGTTCTCCATGGTCCTTGTAGGTCAAGTCCATCGGTGTATTTTGGGTGTCGACCCAATTGGCGGTGCTGAGTGACAAATACGGTTTAAGTAGCAAACTATTCGCGATGCCACGTCAGTGACCTTGATCCGAGTTTCAGACTCACCTTTGAAGTGTACTCCGCTGCCTTCTTCTCGAATCCTTTTCGGTCGGTTCGATACTGATCTGCCTGAACGAGGGAGGTCAGGAGGGGGCCTGTTGCGCAAGGTAACCCGATCCGACTCACTATGGAAGTGACAAGTGGGTCATCAGGATTCGGCGTAACCAAGAGATCGTAGATGGAGACAAGCACTGTGCAGTATGAGCTCAGTAGCTGGCGCATGAGATGATAAGCTCACCATGAGACATTTTGGTGGATGGTTTCCACTGATCAGACTTGAGGATACCGAGACAGAGACTAGGGATGTATCAGCGAAGCGCACTTCCCACGGCTTCAGCGCTCTCACCTTCCTTCGCTGTCTACATTCGGGTGATACATTTTCGTCCTGAATTTGGCCTAGCAGACGAAGATGGATCAGTTTGGACAGGTCAAGAAAATAGAGGCTGGACTTACCATTGGAGGTTTGAACGGGTACTCCAACGTGAACTCGACAGCCAGTACGAATTTACCTCCGGCATAGGGTGTGTGCTTCTGCAGAAACGGATAGTTTGAATCATGGTCTCCCGCAAATGCTCTTAGAAGGCCACTCACCGGCCCATGGAAGATGACTCGCCAAAGCTGAACATTGTCTTCATCAGGTTGGATCTCGATGTTCTCTAGAGGCTCGTTCATGAGCTCATTGAGCTCCTGAAATGAAAACAAAAACTATCAGCGGACGTTCACTTCAGGCACATGATCTACGCAGAGCAAGTCGAGACATGACACCCGAGACATGAGGTCGCCATGTTGCCTTTTCACTCTCACCCGGGGTCAACCGACACGCTCCCCAAGCGAAGAATCGCGATGACCTAGATGGGATTTGAGCTCACCTTTGCGATCCTTCGAGTAGACACGTTGGACATGGTGCAAGGGAGGCCGGAGAAGTGAGAGAAGAGAAAACTTGAGCCAGCTAGCGAGAGACTCGTTGGACTGACACTGATATGTCTGCTGGAATGTGGATGTAATGTGTTTAGGTGATGCGTGCGCTCAGAGTTAGAAAAAAAAAAAGACCGAAAAGCGTTGTGTGACGTTGGAGCTAATGAAGTCACGAGGCCGGGATCGCGTGGAATGTCTGTTATCAGGAAAAGAAAATAGATCACTGAAATGAACACGTCAGGAAGCACCTGTCACTCGCCAGCTTCGGTGATAAGCTGGTGCCACACCAACGGAAAGGCGGAATTTATCTTAACGCCGACACTTCCCCCCTTGCCTTCTATGCCCCGTCACTGTACGCACACTGCAGCCAGAAGAAGCATTGAATGCGTTGAAGCCTGGCAAGGGATTTTGCTCTTCTAGACATCAAGCAATATGGTAAGTCTGCATGCTCGAACGCAGAGTAAGGCGAAGCATGGACGCTGACTGGATGATTCCCTCGTGACTACTCTGTACCTCTCTTTCCCATCTTGCCTATCAACGCTCTGTACTGCCCCCCTCGCCGTTGCTACCCATCACCGAACCCGCCAATTCTATAACTTCTTCAATCAACAGGGTCGAGTCAGGACAAAAACCGTCAAGCGAGCTTCGCGAGTGCTCATTGAGAAGTACTACCCCCGACTCACGTTGGACTTCCAGTGAGTGTCATGTGCTGCTGGCTTTGGTGGATTGGATGTGAGCGGATCTTCAAGAGAGAGAGCGTGTGTGTGGGAAACGAAATCCAAGCACGGGGTGCAAAGTGGACTATGCAAGAGGACGATGGAGGTAGTCACGCTTTTGGGGTTCTTCGGCAGAATCGCGTCGTCTTGATGACAGGGATACTCGTGATCTCAAAGTCTGTAAAGGAGGATCGCAAGGTCACACTGCTTCCCTGTTCCTGGACACAGACCTGTAATGTTTTTGTACTGACCATACGCCAGCACCAACAAGCGTCTCCTCGATGAAGTCGCTTCCGTCCCCTCCAAGAGGCTGAGGAACAAGATCGCTGGATGTGAGTGGTCACTGGCGCAGGAGAGAGATCGCGGGCATTTGGACTAATCCATCGCGTTCAGTCACCACCCACTTGATGAAGCGTATCCAAAAGGGACCTGTCCGTGGTATCTCTTTCCGATTGCAAGAGGAGGAACGAGAGAGAAAGGATCAGTGAGTGACACGAGCAAGACAAGTCACCTCTCGGGCTGACCGCCTCGCCTCGCCCCCGCCTTGATCAGATACGTTCCCGAAGTCTCTGCTCTCGCTGCCAATCCCGACATCCCTACCCAGGTCGACCCCGAGACCAAGGACTTGCTCAAGTCTCTCGGAATGGACAGCATCCCCGTCGATGTCCAGGCCGTCTCTTCGTTTGTTCCCCGAGAGAGGAAGACTCGTTTCGTCCCTGGTGCCGGACGAGCTTAGGGTATCACGAGGTGTATGTAGTTCTGCACGATGGATCGATATGCCTGAACGGATAGGAATGTGCTCTGGTGCACTGCAGGGTCTGCCAGCACAGTTTCTGGCCATTGCTCAATACTTCACGAGGCTTGGGTCCTGTTCATTTTCCTCTACTATCGACATGCTGAAATTCTTATTACTGACTCTCATCATCGACAAGCAAGTCTCGCATCTTCTGCGCAACGTCTACCAGTCAAATTTCTCATCTACGAGCTTCACCACCGCGCCCTGTCCAGCATGACGCATCACGACCCTTCTCGCCTCGTTGGAGAATTCTTTGGGTCCGCAAACAAAGACCATTGTTCCTCTCTTGCTCAACTGCTTTTCGAGGATGTCTTCGATGTCAAGACGTTCAGTTAAGGAGACATGCGTTTCGATCATTCCCCATCCCAACTCTAAAGTAGACTCATACAATAAGTGCTCGACAGCGTCCACCAGGGCTTGAGTCCTGACGCCCCAGTAGAGTGTGACGGATCGGAGGGGCAGAATGCGAGTGTCATATCGTCGCAAGTCTCGAAGGAGGGGTAGAAAAGCTGTGATGCCCACTCCACCAATCAGGAACAAGACATTAGGGTAACGGTCTGCACCGTAAGCCACGTCGGAGATATGATGGCCAGAAGCACCATATGAGCCCTCGACAAAAGCGGGGATTCCGCTAGGAATACAGCCTAAGGAGAGGGTTGAGAGGGGTACCGAGACGCTAGAGAGAAGCCTCGTTAAGCCAGATTGATTCCGCACGAACAGGGTGATACCAGTCGAGCGCTGCGGCGGATCTTGATGGAGGCTGGCCTCGTTGTGAGCGGGAGACTTTGCCAGCGTGTTGGTAGAGGACGACCTGAATGGGTGTATGCCGTGGTCGTCTGATGAGCCGACTTCCAAGGCCTTTTCGGCATCTGTGTTCTGCTCAATCGCTGAAGCCAAGGCCCCAGATCGGATACCGAGTCCAGCTCTCATCGAGCTAGCCACGGAGAATGGATGATTCTCCCAGACCCGCCAAGTCAGAGTCGGAAAGTACACATAGACATGGCCATGAGCTTTGATACCAGGTATATAGATCCGCAAATAGTCGTCGTCAATTTGATAAATGATCGCTCGCTTCAGACCGAATCTACCAAACTTGAAGAATCTGACGAGTCGATCAAATGCCCATACGGCAATAGCTGTGTACAGCCATGTGTCGTATCCCCATTGATGGGAGAAACGGTAGATGATGTGGTACCAGCATCCGACGATGGCGATGATAGATAGGAGGATGTGAGTGATCAGGAAGACCTCATAGGCTCGTTGACGGATGGCTCGGATGGAACATGGTAAGAGGAGGGACATGACGAGTGTGCCAACGATCCCCCATATCCAGTAGTCCAGCTTCGACTCCGCCTCATACGTTCCATCTGCAACCTTGAACTGAAGGTACATGGCGGAATGCAAGCATGCTTCGAGCGTCGCTAGGACCGCGACGACCTTGTGCAGGAGGAGAAAAGTCGAATGGGACCAATTCGTCAAGGACAATAGAATGTTATTTCGACCAGCAAAGAGGATCAAGAGAGGTACATTGGCGAATGACAAGACGCCCGCTCGATTAGCAACGTAAGTCGAGATCTCCATCCTGGAGCTCGGGAACCATGCGTTGGGTTGTTTTGAGCGGTATCCTGCTGCGGAGAGGATGATATTCATACCGATAATGTAAAGCATGAAGAGGCTTTGACCGCGGGTAGGGACATTGACAGGTCCGATCCAGGGAAGAGTCACGGGTCGAGCGAGCAGAGGTGCGTCAAATAGATGGGCTCGGAGCTTGTTTTCAAGGGAAGCGGGGTACGGTAACCAGCTCAAAGCAGAAATGGCGATGGGAATGGCTGCACAGGTCACAAGGAGGATGATCCTGATTTCCGAGTCACGATCAGCCGAAACTGATTCCAACGGACACGCGCCGCTCACCCGTATCTTGCATGCGTCTCTTCGATCGTCTCGAACTGGGCCGCTGCGTTGTAGTTCATCACGTACGTTTCCTCGTCAACGAGGACCGGGAGGGTCGTTACTTCTTCCGCACCGTCGCCAAGAGTGACGTTTGGCGCCGTCGAGAGGGAAGCAAGGGACTGAGAGAATGTCAAATTGGGGATAGGCTGGTTCACAGCACGACCCAGCATCCATCTCTTCCACCAATCTTCCACTTGGTCCACTGCCGTTTCGTCCTCACAGTGCGTTTCGATACAGTAAGCGACGGACTGCAGGTAAGGCACGTTGGAAGCGATACACTCCACCGAAGGGCTTTCGTTGTCTCCAGCTCGTTTCTTCATGCCCATACTCGTGTCGTGTGGGTGTTCGCCATGATGAGACACGGTGTCGTCGCAGATGAGTCCATTGGTAGAGATGGAATCTCGACAGGCTGAGGCGCACCATGGATGATACATGTTGATACCGTAACCGATGAAGCCGTAGCCCGTCCGACCAGCAGTGACATGGGCGAGAGCGTAATCTGCAAAGAGTATGGCACAGGCGCTCGAGATGAGCATGGCAGGTGAGTTCTCTTGCGAGGATGTTTTGTAGTTGTTTTTTTGGATGAGGTTAGTGAGAAGAATGGTGAGTAAGAGGGAAATACAAGACGATACATCTCTCAACGCGTCTTGAAAGCCCCCCTTCTCAGTCAGAGTGTCTTGGCATTGAGCATCCAGTCTCTGATGTCTGGTCAGCATAACCAATGTTCACGAAGCGGGGGGCAACATGATGGTGTAGGCCAATGGCTAAATGGCGCGGAGAATGAGCCACTTTGAATGCTGGATTTTTGATTCCGTCATAGGGTGTCAAGGTCCGAAGGGATCGATTAGGAAAAGAAAGATGGTATTAGGATTGTTGGGGTTTTGTAATAACAATAACTAATCAGATGTTCCGAACGAGGGTGAGCCCTGGTGATGTCATTGGTCAGCTGAAGTGATTCCAGCATCTGTCTGTCTTGCCATTCGCGTTTATTGCCTCTTGATTCTACACATCACTCATCCCGTCAATCATCTTGTCACTACACAGATTCTTCACACCTCACTTCAGTATGATGACTCCAGCTGCTTCACGAGTGGCCCCTACTCTGAGGCTCAACCTCGTACGTTGATGCTTTCTCGCGATTCAACACTCGCTGACAACATCCATCCATCAGGTCCACACTCGCAACCTACACCGTCAGGCCATCTCTGTACGACCTACACGATCGACCGTCATCCGACCCGCTCAATTCAGGAGCTATGCGGAGGGTGCCAATTCGGGTGCTTCTAACAATACCCAAATGTTTGTCATTCTCGGCGCCATTGCTGCCCTTGGAGGAGGTATCTATTACATGGTCAAACCCATCAGTGATGCTGCCTACGCCGCGAAGGGTGCAGTAAAGACTGTTCAGGACACTGCTGGATCAGCTGTGAGCTCTCGTCAACACCGGGATTGACCTATATGTTAACGGGCAGGCCCAGGGAGACGCAACTAGCGTCATTGCTCGCGCCGTCCTGCCTCCATCCGCATTGGCAGTGTATGACAAACTGGCATCTCAGCCGGGTGGTCTGAACGGACTCTTATCAAGTTTGAAGGACAAGGATCTACAAGGAGTCATTGACGAGGTCAAGAAGGTGAGTTGGGCTGTTTCAATGCGAAGAAAACGTGATTGAGCTGATGCGCCGAGGGTAGATCGGCGGAGATGATGTCAAACGGGTCGTCGAGAAGGTCGAAGCAAAGGTCAAAGATGCCAAGGGCAATGTCCAAAATGTCGACTGGAAAGCTCTCGCCAAAGAGCTTAAGAAGGAGTTGCCGAAAGAGCAGCAAAACTTGGTCGACGTGAGTTGAATAGCATCTTGCCTCGTTTGCTGACACTTGCCAGCTCCTCATTGGTTATGTCCCCGACAAATCCGACATTGATGGCATGATCAACAAGGTCAAATCTGAAGCTGCGGATCAACTCAAGCAGCTCGAAGCCGCGTCGAACAAGATCTGGAAAGAGGTCGAAAAGGCAAAGAAGGAAGGCAAGGGACAAGCCGACGCACTCATCAAGGGATTCAAGTCGGGTGAGAAGCCTGCTCTGTGCACGGAACCCCGTCGCTGACAGAATCTTAGCTACCCCTGACGATCTTGATGACCTGGTCAAACAGCTCAAGGAGGCCGCCAAGAAGGCGGGTCTACCAGCGGACCAGATTGAATCTTGGCTCAAATCCAAGGCTGATGAGAAGAACATTGATCCCGAGCAGCTGGTAAGTGTTGTCTTCCCGTCTTAAGCGATATGGCTCCCCTAACTCTCTTTTCAGAGCAAGCAGCTCCAGAGTAAACTCAAGACGGCTGAAAAGTTCTTGCCTGGCCAACCCAAAGATCTCGTCAAGCAGGTCGACCAGATCAGTCCTTCAGCCGCCAAGCTATTGCAGCAGGCTATGGAGCAGGCTGGAATTATGAAGGCCTAAGTGGACATTGCAACATCGTCTAATAGGGTCAGGGTACAGCACGGATCGGCGAACAAACATAGCTAGCAATGTATAACACAAAGTGCAAATGGTGTACAATCTGCGCGCTATGCTATGCTTACTGCATTGGCTCCTGTCAGACCAGATCGCGGTGGTCGCTGCCGATCTCGTCCTTGATTTCCTAATCCATTCCATTCGCCACCCCGGGACCTGTTGTTTGACCATTCGTTTTGAGCTCGTGGAGCACGACATGATGGCCGACTGCTGCTGTCTTGGATCTGATCCGATGATCAACTCTCTATTCTGCTCTTCATGCTGTTGTCTCAACTCACCCCATCCTTGACTCTCTTCCGCCTACCTCCTCTGACTCGCACGCCATCTTGAACTTCCGTTCGACTCTCTTCATGCCTCTCAGACCCCCTTTTCCGCTTCTGTCCAGAGGTCCCGGTTTCCCTCTGGTCGAGACCGTTGCCGCCGTGCCCATTTCCTCCGGTCTCGCCATCCGCCTCCAATTCTGCCTCCTTTTCAGCTTTTCTTGCTCTCTGTCCACCGACTCTTTCATTCCTTTCTTTGATCTTGTCCTTCCTCCCTTTGCTCTTGCCTCCTCCGCCAGCGGTCAACTCTACGTTTATCCGCCTATTGGCAAGCATAGAATGATGCAACTTGAGACATGCTTGAAGTTCAGCAGACGTGGCCAATTCGAGAAACGCGATACCTCTCGATTGAGCTGGTGATTTCGGTGTAGATTTAGTTGTCAAGAGTCGAACGGCGGGTTTGTGTCCTGCAAGCAGAGGAGGTTAATTAGCATGTCTCGTTTCAAGAGGATTCTGGAAACACAAGAAGACTCACCGACGGCTTCTGTGAAGTGATCCTGAATCGTTTCTTTGGAGGTCTTAAAGTCTAGATTACCTGCTGTGCTTCAGTACCAATGCCACCTGCCTCAATGATCAGTGTCATCTCACCAATAAACAGAATGAATCTCTGCTTGATGTCCTTCTTCGTCTTGACCTGCTCCCCATCCTCATCTTCATCCCAGGCCGTCTTCGCCTTTTTCTTGCCTTTGCCTCCGGCAGATACCTTCTCCTTGATCGGTCCATCCGTCTCTGTCGGTAGCGCCTTCCCCTTCCCCTTTACTACGCCGGTACCTGTCGAACTACCTGGCTCATCGACCACATCATCTCCCACGACCTCATCCACGACCTCATCCACGTCCTCTATTAAGTCCTGCTCTGGGACATCTTCCGGGATAGTCTCTCCCCTTTTCTTAGCCTTTTGCTTCGCTTTGAAAGCTTGCGACTTTTGCTGCTTCCTAGACAGATGAGATGACATCGCAGATGCTGAAGACTCTTTGATGATGGATGGTTGGGCCTCAAAGACTTCGCAAACTTTCCACAAGAATCAATGAAACGCTGAGATTCGGTCATCGCCGCTGTATAGCCACGTGATCATCCTTCTACGACGTACAGTGCAGACGCGGGTGAGAATCGGAGCCGCTCCGATTTGATGACTGCCCAAACTTTCGTTCAACAACCCCTTTGCACCAGTCAAAAGATAAAGATATAGCTCGTTGAACATACCTCAAGCAAGGTGAGCAGACTGGATATTGCGGTCATTCAGGTCCAGCTTGATCTCTTCCGCATCTCATCAGTTGCTTGTGGGGTTTTTGGGCACCTGATCGGGAGCGTCTCGGGCCAAGGACTTGATACGATCATCACCATAGTCCGAACTGCCTGATAGAGCTCGATAAGCTTGATTCGGGCTTGGGAATCAGCGGCCTTGATTGTGATCTAATATCTTGGCTTCATGTTGCTACTGCTTTCCCCCCCCCCCCCCTTTTTTTTTTGTGATGTCTATCGCGGCCGCTAACCATCCTTTCCGGCGCTCCCCCCTCCCCCACTCACAGCATATTCACCATGTCGCTTCGAACACCCGTAATGCGAGCGAATCAGCTCCTACGTCTGCCTGTCATGCCATTGCGACCTCGAGGACCAACAGTTGGAAGACGATTCAATTCGACCCAGTCCACTAAAAGTAACCCCAAGGTGGTGAGTGCGCAATGTTGCCGACTCCATTCATCCTCTGAATAACTGCTGCCCTTCCGGGCAGTACGCCTCCTGTTGATTGATCCCCCTGCTTCTGGAAAACTCTTTACGCTGACATGCTCTCTGACTTTTCCGCCTGCAGCCTCCTCCCTCTCCACCTCGAGCGTCTGCGTCACCGTACGCCCTCGCTGTGGTTGGTCTGTCTGGTCTCGGGTTGGCTTACTACTTCTTCGGTACCGATGGATCAGCTCGTCAGACCGGTCGAGAACTTGACTCGAAAGCTCGAGGGGCGCTAGCAGCTGTCGAGGGCAAAGTGGGCATGAGACGTGGACAAGAGGATTACCAAAAGGTCTACAACAGAATCGCAGGCATGTTGGAGGAAGAGAGCTACGATGGTGAGCTTGACGTACTCATTGACGGTGGCACAGCTGACCGAGGCCCTTCAAGATGGTTCCCTTGCACCGGTCTTCATTCGATTGGCTTGGCACGCTTCGGGCACGTACGACAAGGACGACAAGACTGGTGGCTCCAACTACGCAACCATGCGATTCGAGCCCGAGTCAAAGCACGGCGCGAACAATGGTCTGGTGGGTGACAAGCGATGCCAGGTCATTCAAGTACATGGCGACTGACGGCTTTTGTATCTCAGAACATTGCCAGAGATCACATGGAACAGGTCAAAAAGGAGTTCCCTTGGATCTCATACGGTGATCTCTGGACTCTCGGAGGTGTCTGTGCCGTCCAGGAATCAGGAGGACCTACCGTCCCTTGGAGACCTGGTCGAATCGATGGATTCTCACATCATGTCACTCCCGATGGCCGATTGCCAGATGCCAGTAAGGCCGAGGACCACCTCAGGCAGATCTTTTACCGAATGGGGTGAGCCTGGCCGCCAATACAGGTGAGATGAAGCTCACTTTCTTCCAGCTTCAACGATCAGGAAATCGTTGCTTTGTCAGGAGCTCATGCCATGGGTCGATGCCACACTGGTGAGGCGCAAATATACACCAGAATCAAACTGACTTGTCCAGACCGTTCTGGATTCGAGGGACCTTGGACTTTCTCTCCTGTGACCTTTTCCAATGAGGTCAGCTTAGCTTGTTCTTTGTTGGGCCCCTGAGCTGATCCATGTACCAGTACTTCAAACTTCTCCTCGATGAACCATGGGTCTGGCGAAAATGGTTCGTGCTCTCCAATGTAGTGCTACGCTTGACTGACGGTCGTCCAGGAAGGGTCCTGCCCAGTACGAAGACAAGAAGACCAAGACTCTGATGATGCTTCCGTGAGCTGCTCGCTGCTTCACCATGCGTCCCTACTGATGCAATATTCGCAGCACCGATATGGCACTGATCAAAGACAAATCTTTCCGAAAGTACGCTGAAAAGTACGCCAAGTCTGAGGACGAGTTCTTCAAAGAGTGAGCGCAGATCACCCCTCGAATGACGCTGAAACCATTTAGCTTCTCCGCCGTCTTTGCCAAGCTTTTGGAACTTGGAGTGCCCACTTCTCAATTCGCTGGCGAGCCTTGGCAAATGAGGACCCAGTAAATTTGTGAAACACTTTGCTAAAAGATGTGCATAGAGATAGTAGATTGCTAGAACCTTGCATTGGGGCATGAACATGAATAGCCTGCAGCCCAAGCATGTTGAGTGACAGGGATCGTACAGTCCAGGTGATGCCTGAACATGCTTTACGTGTCGTCCCCAAATGATATGGCTAGCTCTACACAGAAGCGGTGGCTAAGGGGGTTTTACATAAAACTGTCGGAACCGGAGAAACTGCTGACCACATCGTCTCTTGTCTGCCCTTCATCAATTTCAGTCTGTTCAGTCTGTTCAGTGATATCATGCCATGTAGCCAGTCCACCGGTCCACTTCCAAAGTGCGACTGCCATCTTGTGCCCGTCACAAGGAATCGAAGCCCATCGACGAGTCAGCTGAGGTGGTGCGTCAATTACCATCTTGAACCATTGGACCACAAGCCTTCATGATACGGAGTCGGGAAAGCGTTGAGTGGACCTCGAGGACCGTACATTTCAAAGCCGGCGTTGCCCGGGAGACCCAGCCCAGCGGCGGCTCTGGCTCTCGTTTCATTATCTCCCATAACCCAGTTCTCATAGCAGAACGGGATTGAGCTGTCCACGCCCGATATTTGCGACGGGATACCCTCGCTAGTCATTGACCGTCCCGAAGGCATTGTCCGAGGTCCGGGGACCTGGACCGAACCCTGTACATAACCAAACGATGGATGGAAGATCGGATTCCAAAGTGGCGGTGCCATGTATGGCGCCACGGCAGATCGATGGTGATCGGTGAATGAAGGTTGCATCGGCATCGAGACGCCGGTAGAGGAGTTGAGGCATTGGTCATGGACCTGTGGGTATGTGTGTCCAGGCTGAGGGTGATGACTCTGCGATTGAGATGAAGAAGTCGTGTGAGGCAAGACTCGTTGAGAAGACCCTCGAAGGGACGGCGACACAGATTGACTTGGAAGGGTATCATTTACACCAGCCTCCCTATCTCCTCGAACGCGACCCATGTTGGTTAGCATTTGGCGTGAGAGCGCAGGATACACCCATCGAAAGGCTCCGGCATCATTTTGATCTCCAATCACGCCTCTTGCCGCGTCGAAAGAAGGAGCTTGACTGGCAGGGGCACCACCAATGATAAACTCGGAAGTAAATCCCAAAGCACGATGCAGAGCTGTGCTTTCTGGATCTGCGTTCGATCCGGGTAAGGTGTTCGTCATGGGTCTCATAGCAGGAGCCTCGCTGTTGACAACTTCAAAATCGCTGGACCTAGCAAGTGGTTGCTGACCGGCATTTCCCTCATCCTTGCTTCGGTCTTCACAATCTCGCCCAGAGCCCCACTCATTTGGCTGAGCCTCCCGTGGAGCGTCGAGAGAGTGATTGGCACCATGTTGAGGGATAGAGTCTCCTTGTAACCCTGATGCAGGCCTCGTGACTTTTGATTTCTGTCGATGCTGTAGAGAGCCATCCTCACACGTACAGCCAAAAAAGACGTCAACCGTCGTTTCATCTTCGACCGATCCGAGCGGCTCTTCGAATGACCTCCCGTCTTTCTCATGGTCGGAGTTTCCCACTGCTAAATTGACACTCGTACCTGTGATGTCTTGTGTCCTCGGCTGGGCTGCGATCCCCTTTGGCTGGGTAGACCCTGTCATGAAAATGGTACGGGATGGTGGGGTGTGCGTTGATCGGATAAACGGCTGCTCAGCCCCCTCGGACGCATCACTGGGTGGGGTCATGACCTCGACCTCGGCCGCTGCGCCGGCAGCTTCACCTTCCTGATCGTTTTCTTTGGCTTCCTGCAAATTCACTCCGACAGCCTCTGCAATCGCGTTCAACATGCCTGCGAATTCGTTCAGTCGGTCAGATGTCTTGTTGTACGCCTCCATCTGGATCTTGGTGATTTCAGTTGTGTCCGCAATGATGGGTAGGGTCACACTGCTGACTGGAGCGAGCTTGCCGCCAACCTTTAGATCCATGACAAAATCAAGTAACTTGAGTCCGAGGGATTCGTCAAGTTTGACTTTTTCATCCCACATGATATGAAGAAGTCGAGTCGAGGCTGGGCTATGATCTTTTTCTTGGAGCAATTCGTTGATGTACATGGGTGTCTCGATCCGAGACAGGGGGATCATCTCCATTTTGTCCGTGGCGTCAGCTTCGAGGCTCTCGGCTCCTGAATCGCATTGCGAGCCACAGGTGAAGGAGTGCTGGAAGGCTTGGGACTCTCTCCCTCTTGGAAAGGTGCTGTCTTCGATGGCATCTGCAGCGGGCTCAATAGTCGGTGGTGTGTCCCCATCCTTGATGACACCAAGTCCCGGTGCGCCAATGACCAAGCCATCGAAAAGCTCCTTGAGCTCATCAGCGCTAGAGTGGGCGAAACCAATCGCTTCGTTTTGGATTCGAGCTAGTTCGGTGCGCACGTTGGAAGGCTGTCCGGGAGCCAAGTGAGCTCTCTGGACAACAGGCGAGATTGCTGAGAGGTAGTCAGTCAGTGATCCAAGGGCTGTCTCACCATGCTTCCAGTCGATCTCATTCCCAGCAGCCTCGTGGAAACTCTCTGTCTCCACAAGGGATACAATGGGATCCTCTTGTCCTTCTCGCTGGAGTGACTGCCCGATACGTGTGTGGTCTTCCTCTGATCCGTCGTAGAATGCGTGAGGGCATTGTTCTAGGGCACCTCTATCTTGACCGGCTCCCTCTACTCCCAGCCTATGCCCGTCTTCTGTTTGAGAGTCCTCTTCGGTGTCATAGCCATGGTCACCCTCTTGACCCGCCTCGTCATCGCTCTCTGTGACAGCGTCGAGCTCGGTGTCTTGCCCTTGATCCGCATTCTGACTGTTTAGCGTGAGCGCCTTTTGCTCGAGGATGGGTTCCTCAGTCTGACTGTGATATTTTACACGAACCCAGCCATTGTCGAGCAGAAGCTCATGTGCAGATAGACATCGACCATATCTCCGACTGGCTTCGTTCTCGACTGGACGAAGCGAATACGGCCTGGTTTTGAGATTCTTCACATGAAGGATCCAGATCTCCACTGGGTGCCCCCTTAGAATGGCTCGGGCTGAACTCACGTGCTCCTACATGTCTTTTGTCAGTATATACAGCGCTTGAGGAGTTCTACTCTTCACGTGCAAGAGGAGACTTGAGCGACTCACAACGACACTCTCTCGAGTGTGCCAAGTCTCGTGTCGGACGTAGCCAAGCGACGGAATGGCAATCTCATAGATGACGAGATTGAGGGAATTATGCAAGTACTGTTCTGCGAGTGCATAGTTCCAGCATGCGTCGAGGGCCTTGGGCTTCAGTGCCTCGACGGTGAGGTCGCGGAGTGACCTTTCTGTTCTGCGGAAGTAATCATGAACGAGGATAGGCTCCGGTGGAACTACTAGACACAGTCATTGCAGGCCTTCGACTGGTCTGTCTACACACCTTGGAATGGATGGGTGATACTGCGTCGTGATCTCGACTTCGTACCACTGCGATTGGGCGACTGAGTGATACCATGATGGCCAGTGGCGAGGTCCCTCAAAGAGACCCTTCGCTTATCGTGGCTCTTTGCCGGAGACCACCCACGTGATGTCATGATGGAAGACGTTACTCGTCCAATGAGGAGGAGGATGACCTCGCACGAGCTTGTGAGTAGCTACTACACCGGAGACTTCGGAGTGCTTCCAGGAGAATGAAAGGGTGTGAAGTATGAATTGACGAAGAGAGAGCGTGGGAGTGGGGTTCAGTGACCCTTAAAAGCGGTAGACGGGATCATTCTGATACAGATGACGTAAGCGAATACCCCTGAAGGCGCCGCCCTGGTCGGGGCAAGCATCGCTATGGAAGGACCGGATGATCATGGGTCATCATGCTATACATGTTTTCGCATCAGGTAATAAGAGGTACAGGAACCCGGACAGTCTTCCCCAGAATATCGCTAGAAGCGCAAGAAGACATCACCAGTGTCGCTTGTGGCGAGGAGTCGACTGTACTTGGGCTTCGAGGGCTTCTCGAGGTCACTGTAGCTTTGCCGAGGTCAGCTTATGTAGCAAGTGATCGGAAAACACTCACGAGACATCCTTTTCATTGTCATAGTCCACGAAACCAATGACCATCTCTCCTGGACCATGTCTCTCTCGTCGAAGAATCTCAGCTGTCTTGTTCCCTTGCGCCTTCACGCCGATATCACCTGTATGTGTAGCTGCTTTGAACCAGCCTTGATAAGTTCCAGCAGAAGTGATATGGACATCGCCAGTATGTGTCTGAGCTCTGGTCGATGTCTCGCAATGCTCGGGTTGATGGATGACAAGCTTGATATCTCCCGTAGCGGTCTCGGCGTGCACGAACGGAGCATCAGGGCTAGGAGGCCCATGAGGAGGAGGAGGAGGAGGGGGAGGGGTGTGTGGTCGGTGAGGAGGTGGAGTAGGCCGTCTTGGCTCCCTAGGGGATCTTTTGTGCTTTCTGTCGCTCCAGTCATCGTGGTCAGACCTTGAGAAATCCAGCAGCCCTCTTCTGAAGCGTCTCCACCACGGTCCATTGGGATCATACTCTTCATCCTCATCCTCGTCCTCATCCTCGTCCTCATCCTCGTCCGCGTCTCCGCCATCCTCGACGGCCTCCTCGATTCGGGTGCCGCGGTAGACTGGTGTCTCGTGCTCGTCAATAGGCTGAGTATCTTTCTTTTCCTTTCCGTGAGGATCCGTAACGTACACCTCGGCGTTGATATCACCCGAGACGGAATGAAGGTTGATCCCTTTGGTGACATTGAATTTACCATGGATATCTCCAGAGACCACGTGAATGTCAATGACCTCGGCAGCAAGGTTGATAGGAGCACTGTCCGCGCTCATGGATTCGATAATGACGGTGGAGAGCTTCAAATGGGAGGCAGAGCTTTCGGCGAATTGGATGTCCACTTCAACCTCCCCGCTAAATTTGAGAGCAGGGACCAAGGTGAAGGTATCGGGGAGTGAGAGGACCACGAGGTGCTCAATGCCGTCGGTCTGAGAAGCGAAGAGATGCGTGAGCTGGAGATCTTTCGGTGTCTGCTATTGAGCTCACGGGAACAGTCAATACGTGCACGTCCTTGGACGATCGGACCATGATATCCTCATGTTTGAAATACTCTCCCTTATCTCGTCCTCGGATGAATGTTTGAAATGTAAGCGTGGGCTCATCTGTTCCTCCAGTGATGGTCATAGCCAGGGGTGTTCTCTCGTCTGGAATGTCAAAGGCGAGCAGATGCTTAGGATCTTTGGGATCAATGTCTTTTAGGGAGATTTGGAACGAAGCGATTTCGTAGGCTCCAAAATCTTCAAAGTCGGTATAGCGATAGTGGTGTTCTTCCAACTTGAGCAGTCGTCAACGCATGCCGAATCTGCAGCTTCATCATCTGGGCTCACATGGTCACTGGTCGGACTAGATGGGCCCTGAGCCATTGGGCTATCCATCTCCATCCAATCCCATTCCCCTACGTCCCCATTCAAGTGATGACGGTGCACACCATATGGTCCATCACGATCGAAATCCCGGTCCGACCACAACCGACGTGCGAAATGGAGCAAGAGCCAAGTAATCAGAGCGAAGCTGAAGAACTTTCTCCATGCGCGTCTCCGTCTGGCTTTATGTAGTCTCTCGAGATCCTCTACGCTGGCGACAAGTTGATACTCTTTCTCGTTGTACAACTGGGTACCCGCGGTAGATACCTTGTCATCGGTGTATTTGGGTAGGAGAGGTTGTGTCGACATGGCCCAAGATGAAGCTGAGATCCCAGTACTGCTTCTAATGTGCCTCCTCTCTCCTGGCCTCTATATAGTGACGACAAGTATGATCAGACGCTGACGGCGACGCTGACGGTAGCGTGAATGCCCCGACTTTTCGGATGATAGCTTGCGCAAGCGTTTTGATTAGATCCGATGATACGGAGAAAACGTGATCTGGGAGGAGTATTTTCCCCTTTGGGTAAATACTATATGGAGGAGGGAAGACACGTGAAGAAGCTGCCCCGCATATTGGTTCAATCCTATCATCCACTTCTACTGTAACTCGCATGTCCAAAGACGATGAGCTGGAGAAAGTATGAAAGCCGTCCATTCCTGGCACTGATCCGACCTGACCTAGTGGGAATTGACTATGGACCTAGTGGCCTTACTGTTGAATCCTGATAACACCAGCCTCTCGTTTGGGTGCGGATTCCCAGCTTCCACCTCATCATCTCCACTGTACATCTGCAGCAGTACTGTCTTCCTGATCTTGTCCGAACGATTCGGCATCGATCCGTGAAGTGTAAAGTAGTGGAAGAAGAGGACGTCTCCAGGTTGAGCAGGCAGTGGTGTGGCTGATTCGATGGGGTGAGCGGCGAGGTAGTCGTTCTGATCTTGTCCACTTGTGTTTGACATTCTTCCAATCTCGTTAGAGCCAGGGATGACGCGTAGACAGCCCATCTCATCCGTTGCTTCCGAGACATGAATGATCGCAGCTATCATGGAGTCTTTGATCGTAGGGAAATACGTCCAGTCTTGGTGCATGGGGAACGGTGCACCCTTCTCGGAAGGTTTCTGGAAAAGTTTGGAATGATGTAAGACGATGTCTTCTCCTAATATGGCTTTGGAGACCTGGAGGAATTTCGGATGATAGAATGCTTTCATCCAGTGAGCAGAGTATTGTTGAACATTATGGGTATGAAGGACAACCTTGTCATTCCCGCCTAACCGCTTCATCTCTGGTCCAGTCCACGTCGCATTGATGTCCTCATTGGCGCTGGAGATCTGCTGTACGATCCGGTCGAAATCGACCTCGAGGTCTGCCAGCTCTTCGGGCGAAAAGACACCTTTGGCAAAGTAATATCCCTGGCGCTGGAATGTGGAGGCAATGTCTGAGGCAACGTGACCGTTACCGTTCACGCCGTTTGTAGGATGTTCGTGCGCCATGACTTGGACAGGTACTCTCGAGATTTAATCTCAGTATAGCGATACACTCTGGGCGTCTTTATATGGGCAGGTGTGACCAAAGCTCGTTCCGTTGACCCCGCTTAGAGGTTTCCCCCCACCCGCGCCCCGGCTGCGCCGGCTTAAGGCGGCAACCGCCGACCCGATGATTCGCTACCATACCAGCGGGTCCTGTATCGTCTGTGCAGTCAGCAAGCATATTAAGGCAAGTGGAACTTGCATTCTAGCCGAAGCATGCCACCTCCGTCCCTTCACGCTCTAAGACAATACGCTATCACTCCCAGTCCATCATCGTCCTTCCCGGCCTCTGTTCTCCTCTTCTCCAACCCATCATGTATCGTCATCTTTGACGCGTATCCAAAAGCGAAATACCACTTTTTGGTCCTGCCTCGATATCCATACCATCTTTCTTCTTCTCAAGCCAGCTCATCAAAAGTCCAACTTGACCACCTTGACAATATCAAAAGTCTACTCAAGGCCCCGAGAGATGTTCGGAAGGCAGTCCTCGATTCTATGGGTGAAACGGCGAGGGAGGTTGAAGAAATGATCAAAGATGAAATGATCAAGACGGAGGGATTCGAATGGGGAGTCAATATGGGATTTCACTCGATTCCATCGATGAAGTGGGTCTCATACATTCTCATGCATTCAGTGACTCCCCTCACGTCACTATCCATTCAGACACCTTCACCTTCATGTCATCTCTGATGACTTTATATCACCCTCCCTCAAGACGAAGCGACATGTCAACTCCTTTAGGCCGGATTTGAAGTTTCTCTTACCACTTCAAGAGGTTCAAATGTGGATTGAAGATGAACAGACGTTGTCAAAGCGTATACAAGTGAGCGAAGACGCAAAATTCGTTAGCTATACTGAGCCTTCTCACCAGAGTCTGAATACCGCCGACGAGATCCTCAAGATCCCTCTTGCCTGCCATCTGTGTGGAGAGAGCTTCCCCAATATGCCAGCTATCAAGTCGCACTACGACCAGGAGTTTGCAAAGCGAAGACGCAAGCGTGGGTCCTAGGCAACCTGACAAGATACCAGCGAAATCCCTAGAGTCTCATGCGATGTAGCCTTGTCTTGGCTGAACAGGTGTTTTGGTCCTCAATCAGACGTTCAAATGATGCTACAGTGGCTTTTTTCCCCTCTCACTCCTTCCTGTTGCTTCGAACCACCTCCCTGTCTACTAATCCAACATCAGGATTTGACACCGAAGTTTCCAGATTCGCCGTGATCTTTTCCAGGTCCAGATCGACCACAGAGATCCCCTGTACACGTTGTGCCAGCGTCTGAGCTATCCATCGGGTCGAGTTCCAATAGATTGTCTGCCTCTCCAATCCTTTTTGTAGTGTCATCACGCTTTCCTTGGCAACACTGACGAGCAATGCTCGCGATAGCTCATTCTGTCTGTCTCGCTCCGCCAAAATAGCGGATGAGTGATTGTTTGGTTCCAAGGGGTAGAAGGTGTGTCCCAGTCGTCGGTCCAGGCCCTGATCATCCTTTGACGAGCCAGATGTTGAACCAAGCAATTCGATCTCTGCGGTCAGAGCGGGATCAGATGCCGTCGGAACCATGTCACCCTTCACTCACCCCTGACATAGTAGCTCGCAGCGACGAACAACGATTGATTTGCCAGCTCTAGCGGAATGTACGCCCACGGATTAACGATGTCACACAGTACTAGTATCTCTCCGATGATTCTGGCAGAATTGCTCCAGACTGCCGAAAGAGGCATCCCATGAAGTTGAACGGCAAGTGACATGCCTCGGAAAGGGCCAGATGATGTACGCGGCCGATCTGACTCCAGTAAGCTTTGAGAGACCTGGAATACTTTAACGAGGATTGGGCAAGGCAGATGAAACTTACCAAAACTGTGTGAACCCACAGATGAAGCCAGACATATACAGTAGCTCTGTTCGCGCGACTGTGCAGCTGTAGGCTGCAAGGAGGTTCTCAGCTGGAATCACTGCAATGATCGACATGACTCGCTTGTTGACATTCCAAACCATGTCCTCTGGCAGAGAAGCATACTCATCCATGAGCTCGGTCAAGTACCTCTGCAGGGTAGCATTCCATTCGCTCGAATCTGTGGTGGGATGATCGCGATTCAAGAGGTTGATGAGTGCTCCAAATCGGTAGAACAGTCGGGTGGAGTAGAGAAAAGGTGATCGTTCAACGAGCTGAGTGGATCCAGTGTTGATAGGGAGGTACATTTGTTCGGGTATATCCTCTTCTGTCGGATACGTCTGAGTGATACTGTCGTGTGGGAAAGTCGTCTGTCGTCCGACTTCAAAACAGAGCGAATAGTCAAGCATCAGGACTGCCCAGAATAGCAACCTGTTGCGGCGTTTCTCTTCTGCAGGTCGTTCAGAATGATCAACCTGACAGAGAGCGTTAGCAAATACTGCCTAGCCTTGCGGGATGTACTACTGACCAGGTGCAAACCGAGGTCGATACTCATCCGAGCGGCGATCCCGACCATGATCCACAGCTCGGATTCCGAGTCTATGACCAGTGAACAATGCCCAGATGAGATGACTCACTGTTGCCGGCTCCGCTCCAGGCCAACGCACAGACTCCTGCAATGGTATCCAAACTCGGCACGGCGAACATTTTACCAAGCATCGATTTGGCCCTCTCGCCAAAGACGTTGCCATATTCGCAGGGCTCCAAGCCAGGTCGAGCGATATACGGACTGTTGGAGAATCTGGGGAAATATGAACATGGTATACCGAAGAGTCACGTACCTTGCGACGAAGCCAGCGATACTGTTGAACAGGAATACGGATCCCGTGTCGGTTTCCAGTTGTTGCAGCAAAGACGTGCTATCCAGATACGGAAAACAACACTCGTAGTGAGTGGAAAAGATCTGCAAGATGTGCCGCATGATCGGTTTCACGGGCATTCCATTGGGCTCAAAGATGTCGATTCCAGGGTCAAAGTCTTGTAAATCGTTGATTGGAGAGACATTCTGTGACGTCGTGCTCTGTCGATCAATCTTGACTTTAAGGGTGATTTTCCGGAGGCCTGGAAATTGAGTCAGCAGGCGAAGTACGGCTTGATCTGTACTTCCTCACCTGGGGCGATAGCAGTCTTTCCATGAGGTCTCCACCAGGTGATTTTGACAATCTGATCGTCTGCTTTCGGTTTCTGTTTATCATGTTTGCCCGGTGGATGCACAACAGGCTGGCCTGGAGGCGTATTTTCCGTCGAGGACAGTCCCGACATTTCTACAGAAGGCAGTCTCGAGCTGAAGGCCCAGACCAATTGTTGAGGGTCGACAGTAGGAGGTACATTGATGGGAGTAATGTGTGCGTTCAACCCTTGAGGTTGGGGCTGAAGTTGATCAGCCGAGTTGGTTGGATGAGGCGTAGGAGCTGGTAAAGGCCGATCATTGACTTGTTGAGAGAGTGGATAGGTGAACGTGTCCCATATTGAATCGTTTGACCAGAACTCTGTCTTGTCTTTGGACAGTGGAGGATAGACCATCATAGCCGGGTCTTGTGCCGGTCTCACGGCACTGGTATCACGCACTGTAGAATTTTATTAGCGGCAGGGTCTACGAAAAGCGTCGAAAAAGCATGTCACTGACTCTGACTGGAGGGGCCGGCTCCGTAGGCGTTCGGCGGCTCATTCCAATGAAATGAATCAGGTTGACCATAGGTCTCGTTGGAAAGTGACGGAGCATTCGCGACGTGGGCTGCAACATTGTGTCGAGCCGCATCATAAAGAGGCGGTTGAGATGACGGCTGTTGACCTTGATGTGCACTGCTAGATGAAGATGCAGTCGCCTGTGATCGACCCGTCGAGCTGGTATGATTCTTGCCTCTTGCTGATCTGCCATCTACCTCTGGCCATGTACATTGGACCTGTTTCTCTATACAATTCTGACATGGACCAGGGGGTCGAGTCCCACATTTTGATCGCTTCGCACGGCACTGCAATAGCAAGAGCAAGGGAATGTGAGACTGATGTACGATATAGGTATAGACTCTCGACCTACCGGTAAACATGCCATGCGCGATCTTGGTATCTTGTTCGGTCGAGCATAGGACGGTTCGCCTCTTCCTGTACCGCGATTGTCCTGATCACGGTCATCTGGGAACACCAGTTTCATCCTGCAGCCATGGTTTCTAGGGGAGCTTCTGCTGGGAGACTCCGGTCATCATCCATCGGCAAGCTGTCGAATGCCAAATAATGATCGCATGCCCGGTTGGGATCCCTTCGGATCAGATCTGATTTCGGTCAAGCGATCAATTACGTAAACTACATTGGGACGATCGTTCTCCTGCGGTCACACGTGCTGATGCCGTGGGAATGTAGCTTTCAGTGGGGCTCCGTGATCCGTTACCGGTGTTTGGAGCGTTTGAACCGAACCGAGTTACGAAAAAAAAGACAAGACGATGAATTGGCCGAATGAGGGAATAAAATGGAATTAAATTCCAGCCATTATGTCTATTCGCTTCGGTGAACAGCAGCAGCCTTCCCGCAATCGGGACAGTCGGTTGTCTTCATACTTGAGGGGGGGGGGGATTTGCAGCAAGATACCGTTCTCAGGGCTGCTGCGACTGCCCCTGCCGTTGTCGCTGCATCTCTTGGGCGGCCCGCTTCTTCCGCTGAGCTCCTGCAGCCACCCCTCCCCTCCCTCCCCCCTTTTTCACTTATCAGATCAATGACGACGCTCATACAACTCAAATTGAAGACTGGCCACTGTCCTCCGTCTCTCAATTTATATATATTTTTTGGCTCTTGTCTCACACGGAACTGAAGATCAATTTCGGGTAAGACGAGAACATGAATCAGAATAGCCATGTCTCTGCAAAGCGCACAGTAAACTCTGCCGTGAGAGCTCGGGAGACGAGAAAGATACCTCGTTCGGTCAGTACATAAAGTGGGAACAGACTCCATGTTTACTCTTTTCGAGATGTTCTTCTCGATGGTCACCTTTGCTTAAAGCGAGCTAGAGACTTGACTAGTGAGCGGGATATACAAGAAGCCCTCAACAACAAATTAAGACACCAGTTCATGTCTTATCCAACGTACACGGGCCTCAATCCTTCTCTCCTCTCATCTCTGCGGAAAACGGCTACAGAACTCTCGCACACTGACGAGGACAAAATTTGTGTGGCATAGGAAATCATTCCACACCCAGATTCGTAACAGTCTGTGGCTCATCATGTCCTCCCCTCTACTCGGAACCCCTCGCGTCATGCCTAGAGCACGCTCCGGCAGAAGGCTACAACAAGTCTTCGTCTATGGTGGTATCTGCTTCTGTATCTTCCTCCTCGTCCATCGCCTCCGGGAAAGCGATCGGGAACAGCTGGTTCAACCAATGTCTATCATCTCTCCCTACGCCTTTGCCCCGAGAAACTGGAATGCTCAGTCGTATCTCCATTACAGCCCAGATTCAGCGGTTGACTTCCATCACGGGTGGTCAGAATCCGCACCGTCATCACCATTATCATCCTCACAGAAGAAGGAATCCCTACCTGACGTCCATCTTCTCTTGCCTGTAAACAAAGTTGCCGCTAGACGAGGTGATCGATTCTGCAAGACCGCCATTGGAGCCATCATGACGGGATACAAGCCATTCGTTTACAATTGGGGTGGCGAAGCAGCGAACATTGGGAAGACTCATAGGCAAAAGGTTTCTGGTCAGTGAAGAGACTCTTCGTTGCCAACTTTGAGTATATCCCTGATGTTCGTCCGACCGTAGTGCTTCGAGACATCCTCAGGACCACCGCCACCGGTTGGCGCGAAGACGACCTTATCTTCGTCATCGACGCCCTTGACGTCTGGCTTCAACTTCCCCCTGCAGACGTCGCGAGACGGTTTGCTCAATTCGATCAGGACCTGGTCTATGTTGGCGCCGAAAAGCACTGCGCTCCCAATCCATGGGACTCGGTGAGTGTTTGAGGCACTTTCCCGATCGAATTCTTTCGACACTGACTTTTGGCTCAAGCCCGAATGCCGGAACGCACCTGAAAGCCCACTTCCTAAGAATCTCTGGGACCTCAAAACGATGAAGCCAGCTAGCAACGAGCAGTGACTAGTTTTACTTAGTCCTTTCTGCAATGATGCTGATACCGCCTTTCCCCCTCAGCTCTTCTCTCGCTCGTCATGCCAACAGCGGTACCATCCTCGGTCGCAAAGACAGGATGGCAGAGACTCTGACTGAACTCGCCAGTATCCTAGAAGCAGAGGATTACGGGTACGCTGGAGACCAAGGTGGGCCTAGAAAATCGCGAGCCGACGGAAAAGTGCTGACTTGGTGTCACAGCGTCCTTCAACCAATTGCTTGGCAAAGGCGGTCGACGACTGGGTGTCGACTACTACCATCGATTATTCTGGCCTTCGGCCGCCGACGATCAAAACATGCACTTCATCAACACCCCGGTGCATCCTGATCACCATCTTCTCAGAGGGCCAGACGATCTCCACTCCGTAACAGGAGCGCCGATAAATCCACGAGACGATATCATCCCTTGGGACTCGTACCCCGCTATGGGTCACCATCAGTTGACCGGTCAGGTCCCAATTGCCCTTCACTTTAACGGATACCGGTAAGAAGCAGGCTTCGCCCGTCGTTTTAGCGAGGTCACCGCTGACTCTGGGGGGCAGAGGGAAAGATCTTGTCAATGAGTGGTGGGGAATACCATGGTACAGTGCGGAACGATTCCGAGCGATGGCAAAGGAAAAGATGGCAGATGCCACCATCTCCGTCATGAAGCGAGATGGAACGATTAGCGAAGACATACCGATCCGGGATATCTGTTGGGATCTGACAAAGGACTTCTTTGACGGAATGCCAGATAACTGGGTCGACCCGACTGGCAAACTGGTCCGGTCTGGGAAAATCGACGAGTCGTTGCACGAGGAAGATGTTGACGAGACGGTTTAGATTGTGAACCGTCTGGATTGTAGGCCTGTGGGGAAATAGACACCCACAATCAGGCCAGATAGACAGCATATCTAAAGGGGACATTTCTTTTGCTCTCATTGCATGTTTTCTTGCAAGATCACATGAAGCATGTGTAGTGAGAGGGGGGGAAGTTGCGTCAAATGACTTGATTGTAAAAGCCGGCTCAAAGATAAAAGAGAAATCTCGCCATGACGCTGGGAGATTCGCAAGCAGCAGGTAAGGCGGACTTAATCGGCATGCATTCTGCCTTGTTCATAGGTGCCTTCTCCGCAAGGCACCTTCTCCTTGAGGAACTTGCCCCTACAGGGTCAAAAATCCCGGAAAACTCCGAGGCATCACGGCTTGGTGCAGGTCGGTACGAGCGCTTGGGACCAGGAGCTTTCGATGCGTCGAGCCGACAGCGGAGTCGCATCGATCGCATGGTATCAGCTGTTCGCTCAGCTTGAAGGTCGCAGGCTGGCCAAAGCACGTTCCCAGGCAGTGTTGGAAAACTATTTATCCGTGATGTGAAACTCAGTCCCTCCAGAATGATCCCATTTGCCAGCCTGGTACTGGTCTAGCCAGTACACGGCCTCGATTACCAACCCTTTCATCGCCATGTTCTGCTCTGTCGACTGAGACAAGATGCCAGATGGTATCCACACCTTTCGATACGAGATATTCTCGCATCAAGGCGTAATTCAGACCGACCTGAGCTACACCATGCGAGTCGTCCGAGAGGCATATCTTGCCTCCATGTGAAACGATGAGCTGTGGGGGCAACGATCAGAGAGGTACCTCCCGCCCAGGGCGGTCACTCACGCCAAGAACATCTTCTGAAGGGTAGGAACTTGTCCATCCTTTCCTGAGCGCCGCGGAATTGGCTTCAAATAGTCCTCCGTAATCTGTGACATATCGTACATTCCGTTCAATCTTGGATCTTAAGGCAGGCTCGAGCGAGCAAAGCGATATACCAGGCGTATATAATGAGCAGAGGTCGAAATGCCCCACGACTTCTGGCTGCAGTCCCTGTAGCATCTGGAATTGGGCGTCAAAGTAGGCGTGAAGAAAGGGCAAAAACAGCGCGACTTGAGCGCCGGAGGCGGGTGTTTGATCTTCTTGATATAATGGGGTACCGTGCGTTCTCTTGTAGCTCTCTGAGATCGCTCGCTGCCAAGTAGCCTTGTCGAAATCGATCGGTATTCCATGAACATGGTGGACGCTCCCTACGATGTAGTCTATCCTGGGATCCTCGATCAAAGACTGAACTTTCTCCAGGTCCAGAGAAGTGATATGCTCAGACTCCATACCCGTCAATAGGGTTATCTGAGCAGCATATGTCCCCTTGAGCGCGGTCGCCTCACGGAGGAAGGATGCAAAGGTTTGATCAAGGTCTTCAGGGGTCAGGCCAGACTTTGTAGAATGTCTTCAGCCAAAGACATCATTGTCTCCTGGTTACGAGGCACGCAGAGAGCGCTCACCTCTTCAGGGTACAGGTCCTCCGTCCTGCACCTCGGCACATGCTCTGAGAGTCCATACAGCTCAAACCCCTGGGAGATGGCCTCCTGGACGATTTGCTCCAAATTGTCCTTGGCATGCCGACAGAATTGGCCAGAGTGCGAATGGTGCGAGTGCGGCATGGAGCCTCTGATGCCTAGGTCAGATAGCTCGAGATGATCCACGAGATTCCAGAATCCCTGGTCAGTCAAGCAGCAGAGTACAATCGAGAATGATCATGACAAGGGTATCACGGGGTATTTCGGTAAATTCGGGCACGTCGGTCTGTCGGTCCGCAACGTCCAAATGGTCCCCCCCCCATCTCTTGCATCTCTTCTACTCACAGCGACCGGACGAATCCGTCAACACAGGCTCATTCGACTCCTAATCACCACTTAAAAATGTCTGACAAGATTGTCAATTCTGTCCCATACCCTTTCACACTGCCAGACCCTCTACCAAAAGGTCAACCCTTTAACCCTTCGGTGCTTGAGAACAGCCGAGGCGCCAGACCATCTGTCCAGGCCTCGAGACTGAGAGAGCTCTTCCAACAAGGATACAGATCACGAGATAAGGCGTTGACATTCGTGTTGTCTTATGATGGGCTTTCGTCGAGGCTGATTGAGGAAGCTGGGTTCCAAGCCATCTTTCTAGGTGGATATGCCATGTCGGCATCGGCGGGACTACCTGACGCCGGGTATATCGCTTTCGGAGAGGTTTCACAGAAGATCGCGGAGGTAGCCAGGCAAGTGAGCCACAACACAGGAAGCAGGTACTGGTATCATGCTGAGCTATGTATGACAAGGTGTCCATACCCATCATGGTGGACGGAGATACTGGCTATGGATCTCCTCTCAACGTGTACCGAACTGTTCAAGGTTTCGCCCAAGCTGGGGCAGCAGGTATCATGGTAGAGGATCAGACTTGGCCAAAGCGTGAGAGCTGGTATCCCTGCTGCACATGTCGTGGGTTGACACGCATCTCATAGGCTGCGGACATACGAAGGGAAAATCTGTTGTCCCTCGAGCTGAGGCATATGCGCGAATGCAAGCGGCCATAGACGCCCGAAACGAAGGCATCGACATCGTCATTCTCGCACGAACTGATGCCCTGATAGAAGGCTGGGACGAGGCCATTGCCCGAGCCCTCAAGTTCAAGGGTGAGGAAAAGGCTTGAAGGTACCACCAGAGTTGTCCCGCTAACCGTTCATACTCAGAGATGGGTGCGGATGCCATCTTCATCGAAGCACTTCCCGACAGAGCAGCGATGCAAAAAGCCAACGAGATTGTCAAAGCGCCCATGATGGCCAACATCATCCAAGGAGCTTTGACTGAGAACTTATCTGGAAAAGATTTGGCCGGGATAGGATTCGCAGCAATCGCTTATGCGACCACCTTGGTCGCTGCCCAATTAAAGAGCGTCAGGGAAGCCTTGGAAGACCTGAAGAAGGCCATGCCCGTGGGTCCAGCTCCCGTCATCGAGTCGTTCGATGTGATTTGTCAAGGCGTCGGGTTTGGAAAATACTGGGAGATGGAGAAGAGATATGCGCCAGAAAACTTCCAGGAGTAAGGAAAGCAGGCCAAATCGACCGAATGGCGACATTGTCCGATGGTCGAGCCTGGCTGCACTATAGATAGCAATGCCCGCATGATCCATGACCCATCTAGTTGTCTATGTGTTGCCCTATCTAAGCTCAATGTCTGCTATCGCCACTCCACGCGTCTCCGTTAAGCGCTCTGTCTCAGTTCTTGCTTCTTCTCTTCCGAGCCTTGCACGTCCAGCTGCATCATGACGACATCTAACCACTGACCAAACTTGAGCCCGACCTCCTTGAACACCCCAACATCCCGAAAGCCAAATTTCCGATGAAGCTGAATCGATCCCTGGTTCCTTGAGTCTCCAATGACAGCAAGTATAGACAGGAAGCCACATGCCTTCGCTTCGTGTATGAGTCTGTCCATCAAAGACGCTCCGACGCCTTGTCCTCGAGCTGAGGGAGAGATGTAGACAGAGTCCTCGCAGCAATACCGATAAGCAGATCTCATCCGGAATTGCGCGACGTAGGCGTAGCCCACAATGACAAGAGTGTCTCCAGGAGTCGAACCATCCTCACGGGATTCAGCGACATGAGGAAGCTCGGCGACGATGAAAGGCCATTTCGAATTTTGGATATCTCTGACTATCTCTGTCATCTCCTCAAATGTCGGAACATCCTCTGCAAACGTCCCAGTGCCGTTCCTCACGCTCTCAGAGTATATCTCATGGACCGCAGGGATATCCTCAGGTCTTGCGGTCCGAATGGTCACCCTAGAAGGTCCAGCAGCGGTCATCTTGGGGAGAGTACATGGACAGATACAGATACACAACTCGAGACTTTTCGTGCAGCTAATAAATGATCGCCCACCTGAAACAAATTGATACAAACTCGCGGAGATCGCCGCCGCCCTCCTCGGAGAGCGCGACAAAGCGATAGCGCGGATTCCTTCCACCACCTTTGTCCGATCTGTACTTTCTAAGTATGCGGCTGTTACTGACTCGGATATGATCAGAAGATGAGTATGTACCTATGAGATATCAATGAGTCTCTGAGATGGACGTCGCGACGTTCTTCTCCAGGCTCTTGCAGCCTCCGAAAGAATCGCATCGGAACCGCGACGAGGATGATATCCGTGACTTCGACGAGGCATGGACGACGATCAAGGTGAGACGGTGTCTGGGAGCGATGCAAAATTCCAAGCTGATTATGATTCACTCAGGATATCCTAGAACAACCCAACGAACGCCAGATCATCAAGTGAGTGGCCCGCTCAACTGATATCCACGTCCGGGCTCATCAGCCGTTCGAAGGGGTATTCACAGTACGGAAGTTCCCGGTAGACTCCAACATATAGTCGATGCTCTAGTCTATGAAGCGAACCGGATGGATGAAGAGTGAGACAGGGTTCTGATGCTGAGCGACAGCTCACAATCGATACAGCACTACTGGAGCTTGCCTCGAATATTTCTTCAAAAATGATTTGCTGGCTCATCTCGAGAGGTTATGTGAGAACGACAGACCGCACGGGATCAAAGGTGAGTCCTGGTCTGTATTGGTGACCGCACTCCTGACTCTTTCTCTCTCGCTCTTTCCCTCCCACAGTGGAGGTTGTCAAATTCATCAATAATCTCGTCGTCTTGCTTTCCGAGCGTTTCCTAGTTCACAATGCCGTCCACCGACCTCTGCGTAGGCTACTCCGGTCGTGTATTGGCGGAGAACAGGAGGACAAGGTTGATGGGAACGCCAGAGTATTTGGAGCGGCTTCTTATGCTATGGCAAGGGAGGATTCGGAGGAAGAAGATGTGCTGGAAGGTGATCTAGTAGATCTCATGTGTGTCCTTTGCTCCCGGATGAGAGCGTAGTGAGTCGGTTTGCGATGTCCGTTCTGCTCGCTCGTCCTGATCGACTCATAGTCCGCCCCTTCTTTTGATCTTTTTCCATGACAAAGGTTGGCTTCAACCGCACACATCTTCAGGTGCACCTCCCATGGATCACTCCAGATTACCGACGTCCTCGCTCGATGGCAACGGACCTATCCGTCCAGCTCCGACGACAGACAGGGCGACATCCCATTTCGAGTTCCTGCTTTTCTCCTATCTTCTTCGTTTCGCCCATCGAGAAGGGCGCGTAGGCGATCTAGCTCGCGCAGGGCTTTTGTTCCTATTCGACATTGCGTTCTTAACTCCCTCTGAAGAAGGAGGTGAGAATCTCCACATCACCGATCTCAATGGCGAAGATCCACTCCAGGAATCAAGAAATGCCCTGGGAGAATTCATCCTCGATGGAGACTTTGCAGACGTTATCTGTGCTGGCATAGGAGCCATCTATTCAATCTTACCCACCAAATTACGAATCCCATCCTTGGCCGACCAGGCGGTCATAGAGGAGACGATGACTGCTTCTACTTCAGGGGGCATGCACCTTGGAGGGGGGCATGCCGGCTCGCTTCACCCATCCAATCTAGATCTCAACGTCGACCTTGCGCTGCCATCTACTTCCGACGTCATGGTCAGAGACAAGATTGATCTGTTGCTCAAGCTCTTTGGCTTCTTGCAAGATATCGTCTTTCGGTGCAATGCTCCGCTCGCTCACGCCAGTCCCGATACAAGTGCAGTTGAAGCAGCTCATATACTCGGCCCCGCCATTTGTGAAGCCAGCTTGGACGCCATCCGATCATCCTTCATCGAAACGATCATTTACCCCTCTATACTCGAATCCTCGCCTAGCGATGGCAGCTCGGTGGCCGTGATGACTTATATAGATGTCTTGCTCGCCAACCTGGATGAAGGGCCTCTATTGACGACTTTGCTGGACGCTCTCCTGGACTCGAATGATTCTGCCGCGCCTAGGAAGAAAGGAGCGAGGAATCAATCGACAGACGCGTTGAAGACGGAGTACTTTGTGGACGAAGGTCGCTTCACGCTGAAGGATCTTCTCCTGGATAATCTTCGCTCGACAGATTGGACATCATCCACCACAGCGTTTCGTCTACTGCAGACTCTACTGGGGGATCACTGTCGACAAACTGTCTCACAGCTCTTAACCATTGTCAGGGATCCAGCTGCAACGACTCTCGCCCGGCGGCCAATACCAGGAGCACCTTCCTCAGACCCTTTCCTGAGTAACGCCGTCTCGGATACGTTTCTGCCCTCGCCCGTCAACTCTGTCGACGTTCACCTGCAAGAAGTCGAGCTGTACGGATCCCTCATCTCGCGCATCGATCCGCTGCAGACTTCAACGGAACTCACAGCGGGCTATGCGGGATACCTAGTGGATATCAACAACGCTCTCCAGGCTGACCCATGTCTGACGATATCCTTGAATCCCTTGAGTTTTGGCGAGGACGAAGAAAAGCCTCTTGTCCATGTCGGTAGATTCGATGACGAGCCCAATCAACATCGATTAAATCCGAATGATCCGATGATCAAGTCCATTTTTTCCAGCTTTGGCGCGTTTTTCTGTCAGATGCCAGACGTCAACGTCGCTCTCACTGGGACCCTTGCAGCTCTAGCCTTGTGCCCGAATCGTTCCTTGGCGGGATGGCTTTTGTACGATGTCAAAAGGGACGCGGATCCGTGGTGGAAAACCCGGGCCAGAGGCATAACGGACGAGAACGACGCAGCGTCTGATGTCTCTGAAGATGATCTGATCGCTCGCAAATTCGAATCTGGGGATCATGGCGACGGCGGTGATCTCTTCGCGCCATCTCGGAACAATCTGGACCTTCCGGCGCTCTACCAAATCTTTAGAGATCTCGTACGACAAGTCAATCGGTTTCGACTTGACATTCAGGATTTCGATCGATTGCTCGCTGAACGTCGGCAAGGTCTTTTATTCGCTGACCATCTGGACGAAGCCATGAATATCATGCTCGATGTGGAGCCTACTGCGTTTGGATTACCCTCAGCAGCTCTTTCGTCTAGTGTTGCTTCGCCTGTGCCCAAACGCCCAAAAGCTGGGCCGTTAAGTGGCGGACTGGGTGGGGCTCTAAAATCCTTCCTGACTCCTAAACGCAAGACGTCCCCATTGAACTACACGCCAGGACATGGCGGAACACCGAGCTCACTCCGAGAAGCTGCATCTAGGATCAACGCGTCTCCATTCAGAACGCACTACGAAGCGACTTCTCTCTTGACGCTGGAAACTTCTACTTCGCCAGGCATAGCGTCGGGCCCGTGGTCACCTGGCAGGGGGCCAGTCACGCCTGATGGCTCGGGATCTCGACCACGATCATCATTGGGACGTATGACCAACGCGACTTGGGATGATTCAGGGCCGAATGATAACAACAATGTCCCGAGGCTGTCTCCTTCGCCTGGAGCCGAGCATGCATCACCAAGCAGAACGCGGGTCACCTTGTCCTCAGTCTTGGATAATTGTGTCATCTTAGAGGAGTTCCTAAAGGAAATTGTAGCTGTAATCACTGCCAGAAGGGCTTTGGGCGTAGATCAAGTAGGATTTGTATGACTAGGAATGAGATGAATTCCACCATAGTGTCATCTTCACACAGTGGCGTGTGGTGACCACAGACTGCGACAGAGCTCAGTCGCTCTGCTTCTCAAATCAGCTCGACAACAGTACATGCATGACGAGTTTGCATGCGCGCCCCCAATGCGTCATTTGAGAGCAATGCCTCGCGCCTCACGGTGTCCAGATCTACCACGGAACTCAGCTGGGCTGGTTCCCACAGTATCACTGCAGACTCACCTTGACCGTTTGATCAACACTCCCTGTGGCAATCACATTAATTCTCCTCGGCTCTGTCGTTATATTCGCTTTGGGATCTCCATTCTGAACGCTCGCATCGCCACCGATCACGGCTCTGCCCCAAGTCATACAGGTCACAAAATGAGCATGAGCATCGACCGTTTTGACGCAACGCCCATTCGTCAGGTCCCAGACCTTGATCGTCTTGTCGTCAGAGGCTGATAGGAGGTGTTTGCCCATCGGATGGAAGACCAAAGCTCGGATCCAATTGTCGTGGCCATTCTGAGCACAGAGTAAGCATTGCTGCTGTCTGCTTCGTGGACTGCTCTCTTCCTCATTCGCTCACAAAGGTATAGAGACATTGGCCGGATTGAGTATCCCATAGTTTGATCGTCTTGTCCCTGGAGCCAGTAGCTGAATATGAGCCAGGTGTCTTGGCGCGAGCGTCCGCTGCTGTTGACTTGATATAAGTCAGCTTGGGTATTGGGTAGACGAGACGAGACGAGACGAGACGAGACGACGGACCTGCAATCCCGCCAGCTCGCGGATAGCAGCATGCGCAGCGGTCGGAGCGAAAACTGCACATTCCACTACATGCTCGTGACCCCTGAACTCCATTTTTGACTCCCCAGAGGCGAAATCCCAGAGGCGTGATGTCTACGGTTAGGTCAGCTCATCTCGCTCCTTGACCCTGAAGCCTCACCTGATCGCTTGAGCTCGATAACAGCCATCGTCCGTCTTCTGAGGGTACCACCTCCCGTACCCATTCCACATGTCCCGTCAACGTTTTGACGCAATACCTGAGACCTGGAGTTAGCTGATAAAACGCCAGATGGCTATAGGATCGCACACACCCGCTCGCCACTTCCCATATCCTGATGGACTTGTCACGACTCGCCGATACCAACTTTTCTCCGTCGGGTGTGAAGCGGACCGTCGAAACGGAATGGTCGTGACCATGTAGAGTTTTGGTATTATTGTACTCGTTCGCCGGATCCCAAAGCTTTATTGTCAGATCAGAGGAACAGGTCACTGAAGCGAAGTCAGTTCTACCCAAAGTAGTACCCTCGACTCACCCATCAATGTTCCTTTTGGACTATACTCTACGTCCGTCACGGCTTTCGTATGACCTTTCACTGTGCGTTCGAATTCTCCACCCTCCCAATCCCAGATCTTCACACTTGCATCTTCACTGGCACTAGCTAAGACGGTCCATGTCGGGTGAAACGCCACGCGAGTGATAGGCGCTCGATGTGATGTCAATGAATGTCTCGCAGGAGCACGGGGAAGGAATGGAGCGGAAGATGAGGATGCGGATGCTGAGGCTCTGGTTGGTGATGCTAGTTCGGCTAGCAAGGCAGCATTCCGAGATTCAAGATCCATAATCTGGGGACAAGGATACGGGATTAGCTCAGCTTCGTAGCCTAGCAGCTATAGACCAGTTGAGCTCTTGCTCACTTTTTTCTGGAGCCGTATGACACTTGTCCACTTTTTCTCAAGCAGCCCGACCCATCTCGCTTTCGGATCATCGACTTCAAAGTCGGGAGTCTCAGACTCCCGCTTCAGAGCTTCGTAGGTCTCCTGCATGCCTGACGAATGCAGGTAGGACAACATAGCTCGGTGACTATGGTCGAGTCAGCTGAAAAGAGCAGGAGCACGATATCATGGATCGGATCGCATGACGAGATAAAGGAAAGGTGAGGTGGGGATTGCTCCAGAGGCGGGATGGACAAAGAGGCTTCGAGCGGCACTCACAGCTCATCTTTTTGACGTTCGGATAGGAGGCTCGACATGTCGAGCCAAGCCTCCTCGTGTGATGGTGGCTAGAGAGTAGGCTTCCGGGCACTTGAACCCCACAGCGGACTGCTCGGGCGAGGTACGGTATCCGGCTGTCGGAGAGGTCTCGTAATGGGTGATTCCGATTTGAACGGTGATTGCGACGCGATGCAGGAACAACTTCACCAGTCCGGAGGTCAACAGCAGGGCTCGAGGTCTCGTATAGCAAGCGAGCAAGTCAGGTCGTGCGAGTCACTTGTTCTGGGTCAAGGTACAAAGGTGTAACAGATACTTCAAACATGATCCCAATCAATAAAATTCAACCGCCGTCGACCCGCGACGAACCAAATGAAATGCCGCGTCCAAGGATCAATAATAACCTTTCCTTCCTGCTCCTCGGATCTTGAGTTACGCATGTACTGAGCTCAGCTCAGATACGACTCGGGAATCAGAGATGGACCTTGCGAAGACCAAATGGGACTTTCATCGGTGCTCGCTTCCATCCGAGGGCGTTTTGCTCGTGGAGTTTGACCGGTAAGCCTTGGAGCATGATCCGACACATTTCACCTCTCTGACCGGTGATGCACAGGGCACCAGTGAACGCCTTTCATGACGAGTAGGGTAGCGTATCTTCGATATATGAGGTCCTTGAGACTGACCTGGGAGCTCCAGAATGTGGACAGAGCTCCGACATGTAATGCATCACGCTTCCTTAAATCCTGGAGTCAGATGTGTCGTGCTCGCCTCAAAACTGAACAAGGGCTTCACAGCTGGGCTAGATAGTGAGCACCCACCTCGAGGCACGCAAGGGCCAGGTGAAAGCTTGAAGGAACACTCACATTTCACAGTCAAGGATCAGCTGGCTGCAATGCAGAATTATCCCAAGGATCCCGGACGACAAGCTCTTGTCCTTCTTGATCACTTGAGGGTGCGTCTTGAAGTCAAACATCCTTGATCCCTCACTTTGACTCATCGAGAGACCAGGATTTCCAAGATGCCATATCATCCCTGGCAGAGTGTAGAGCCCCGGTAATCGCTGCCCTACACGGAATCTGCTTTGGACTTGGTCTGGATATTGCGTCCGCATGCGACATCCGCCTAGCCGCGGAGAATACAACATTCAGGATCGCCGTAGGTCATTTTAGGGAGCCTGGCCCGATCGAACGATGCTCAACAGGCATGGCTCTTATTTAGGAGGTCGACGTTGGCCTAGCAGCGGATATTGGTACGCTTCAGCGATTTCCAAAGATCATAGGCAACGACTCGAAGGCTAGAGAGCTAGCTTTGACAGCCAGATCATTTGGAGCGCACGAAGCGAAGGAATTTGGATTCCTTAGCAAAGTGGTCAAGGGCGATAGAGAAGCTGTGACGAGTGGGTCATCGAGTCACGGGCGGGCGACAGAACCGCTTACGATCGTCCCGCTCAGAAGCTGCACTGGAGGTGGCCAAGCAGATAGCTGAGAAGAGCCCGATAGCGGTCCTGAGTACCAAGCACCTGATGAATCGTGAGTCGGGAATGGCGGTGCTCGCTGAGATTCCTTAGACGCTCGAGATCATTCGTGCGTCCACGTGAAGCGGCGTGGGCGACCTAACGCTCACCTCATGCTAGGGTCCGAGAAGGATTGGAATATACTCAAGCATGGAACATGTGAGTCTGACTGAGCGCGGATGGTAACGTGTACTGACCCAAATGCTCAGGGGCATGCTGCAGACCGAGGTTTGTATATATGAAAGACATGCCACACATGACTGACAGCTTGACGCAGGATGTGTCCAATGCCATGAAGGGAGTTCTCAGCAAGAAGCAAGCTCGATTCGCACCTGTACCCTTAATCCAACGTGTGAAAGCCAAGTTGTGAGCACGGTCAAAATCGGCCCCAAGTTGTATACAATGCAAATGCAGTTTGTATGCTATATCCGCTATACCTAATTACACTAATGATCGCTAGCCTGTGCGTTTTGGGGCGTTGGGGAATTCGGCGTAGGAATGGTCTGCAAGACAGAGTCTTGGATGTCCACGGTCTCTCCTGTTGCAGCATCTCCCGCCTCTCCAGTGTGCGCCTCGTCGGCAGCAGCGACGCGCAGCGGCTTCTGACCGGACGGACCTTCGCTACTAGGCGACTGCGCTGCCTTGGAGGAGGCGGCCTTGGGTATTGCCCGTCTTCTCCAAGCTTCGACATATGCCTGACCTCCAGTGAAGGGTCCTTGCGTCACGGCGTCAGGGTGCAACTCTGTACCCCATCTCGTCTTCCTAGGGTTTTTCCACTTTATCCTCGTTGACACAACTCGTTCTCCACGTTGAGTCGCTGACAGATGTGCATCCAACGCTTTATTCTCTTTCATGTGTGCTCGAGTCTGGGGCATATCAGTCACGACATCCTTTCCAACAAGCGTGACAGAAGACTTACAAATGGATCGATATTAAATTCTGCACCATAGTGCCTTGCTTCTAGCTCAGCCGCCAAGGTGGACATTTCGTGCATCGCTCGAAGCTCGACAAATTGCTTCGTTGCTTCCGTATATGCCGCAGAGTAAAGGTAACCATGAGACTCGATAAGATTCAGAACGAAGGCAACAACGCTGGTGAGGGCATCAGCTCTAGTCAGAAGGGCGTTTAAGAAGGGCTCTTCTCACTTCTCGACTGTGGGATAGGCACCTCGTTGTCTCAATGTCTTCCAAGCAGTACCCGTGACACCCTTGTCCATTTCTACGGTCCGCATCTCCACCAACGAGACGGGTCGCATCGCTTCAAAGGGGAAGTCTTTGAAGAACTGAAGTCTTAGCCTGTCTTCAGGGTAAACGATCTTCCTGGGTTTCGTCACGATCCTCGCTCCATACTTGGGTTGTTTTTTGCTGAGACGTTCAATTTGGAGTGCTACGGGGCATATCAATACGAGCTTTCTCAAATCACTGAATTTCAATGACCGTTAAACTTCAGACCCTGAGATGGGATGGGTCGCCCTTCAACAGTCGTGTTGGAACCAGAAGCACGACCGTCATTGATATGTAGTGGTGGTCTTGGTCTAGATTCGTACGGCGGCAGCGTAGGGGGAGGATTGGCCATGGCAGCAGCGTACCATGTTGGCTGTTTCGATATATGCTCAGATTTGATCAATCTACCGACCAATTCTGGTATTTGCTGTGGGATCCTACGCATAATGAATGCTTATCGAAGAGTGACAGGCGAAAGAAAGTCCTCGAGGACAGGAATCCTGAATATCGAGGGGCACAAAATCTGGGATAAAAGGTTGCTATAAATTCAAGCCAAGATAAATATTCAAAGGGCACGTACCCGTCCATCCACCGTTCGGGCAGCGCGCGATCCGTCGTCGCATCATACATATCATCTCCAGGCAGGGCCGCGTCTTCGAAATGTCGCTGAACGCTCAACGAAAGCAGGAGAAGGATTACACGGAAGACGTCAAGAGTCTGGTGCCAATAGCCGAGGACTTAGCCAAGGTGAGCTGGATAATGATAATGTCACTGTACTCGGCTGACACATTGGCCAGTCTGGAAAGTTGCAGGATGCAATCGATCAGATCACAGCGCTGGAGAAGCAGACGCGAAATGCTAGTCTAAATGCTCGCTGAAAACGGTTCAAGACTGACTTGCTCTTCAGGCCGCGGACATGTCTTCCACTGCGACTCTGCTCGTCTTGATCGCTCGACTGTCTTATCAAGCGGGTTCACTCGATACGCTCAATACTCAGCTCACTGTCATGTCAAAGAAGCATGGTCAGCTGAAAGAGGCCGTAGTGAGAATGGTGGATGAGGCTATGAAGTGGTTGCCGGAATTGAAAGCGAAGAAAGATGCTGGAGAGTATAAGGCCGGCAAGGATAGATGGTTGGAACTCCTCGACACCCTGAGGGACATTACCGAGGGCAAGGTGAGTGTTCGGACGGGGACCTGAAGACAATCTCATGCCATTCCTCAGATCTACCTTGAATTGGCTCGAGCACGATTGACAGCCATGTTGGCGAGTTACCATGAATTCCTCGCCGCCTCTGCTCCAGAAGCATCCAGTCAGTTGACAGCCTTCTAAAATGAACGCGTTCAGCTGACCCTCACTAGGCTCCAAAACTCCATCCTCATCCACCTCTTACGATCTGCCCAGCAAAGGGGATGCCAAAGCCGATCCAGTGACGAAGCGGGATCACCTGGACCGAGCAGCGGATCTCATGTCGGATATTCAGGTCGAGACGTACAGCAGTATGGACAAGGGGGAGAAGACCAACTTGTGAGGATAGCTCACACATGAGAGAGCCACGACTGATGCTGCTGATCAGTATCTTGGAGCAAATGAGATTGGAGAGTCTGAGGGGGAATTGGGTCAGAGTTAGAGTTGGATCGAGGAAGGTCAACAGGGTATTTCTGAAAGAGCCGGATAGTGCGGTGAGTACTTTGTCATTGCCAGAGAAGAACTCAATCTTATAAATATTTCAGGATCTCAAGTTGAGGTACTTTGATCTCCTTGTCGAATTGGCGCTGCAGGACGAAGCATATCTGGAAGCATGTAATGCTTATCAAGAGGTATGGGACACAGAAGAGGTGAAGAAAGATGAGGCCCGGACCATGAACGTGAGGCGGCACATGCTTGGACAGCTCCCTGACGAATGTTTAGGTCATTGAGAATATCATGATCTACGTCATTCTAGCCCCATATGACAATGAGCAATCTGATATGCTGCATAAGCTCTATGCAGATCCCGCTCTGCAAAAGTCCCCTGTCTATTTGTGAGTTGGGGCAATCGTCATTCATCCGTCATCTGATGCTTGTTCGTAGTGATCTCGTCAAATGTTTCATCACCAACGAGTTGATGCGCTGGCCAGGGATTGAATCGATTTATGGTCCCACACTGCGCCAATCTCCAGTCTTTGCGTCTGGGTCTGAATTGGGGAGGAAGACTGGAATCAAAGCGGATGAAGACAAATCCCGTGATAATGGACTGAGCCCAGGCGATCACCGCTGGGAAGAGCTGCACAAGCGCGTTGTCGAGCATGTGAGCACTTTGCGCCGGGCGGATGACAATGAATGCGTCCAGTCAAAGCAGAGACTGACCTTCTTGGATTTCATTTAGAACATTCGAGTCATCTCCAAATACTACACCAAAATCACCATGTCTCGGTTGACGGAATTACTCGATTTACCTCCCATCAGCGCCGAGAGGACGCTCTGCAAGCTCGTGACTGACAAGACCATTTATGCTCGAATCGATAGACCCAAAGGCATCGTATCGTTCAAGCCGAGACAGTCTGTCAATGCGACGCTAAACAGCTGGAGCGAAGATGTCGGCAAGGTCTTGAACTTGGTAGAGAAGACAAGTCATTTGGTTTCCAAGGTGAGTTTTGTTGTTGTGGAGGCGGCTTCAGCTCGTAACATGTGCCTTTGTTGGATTGACCCCTCGCTTCTAGGAGTACGCCATGCACGAAGCCAGTCAAGGCAAAAAGGTGGCCGCTAAATGAGCAAACGGTCGGCAGGATGGATGAAAGAGTATTGCGAAGAGACGATATTGGCATTGCATGAAATGAGCCGTTTGAACATGTACTTTGCCCACAAGATGCATACAATGTGACCCCCGGTTCTGCATAGATGCCCAAGATATGACGTGAGAACGCACGCCCCTGAGCCCGATAAAATGTATGACGGCAAGAAAGATTCTACAAGATTGGGTGGAAATGCTAGAGATTGTGATGATGATGATTGGGATGATGGCGATATGAGCTGGATTAATGAGTGTTCCAGCGTTTTTGTCTTTGGGAGACATGTAGGATTGAATACGACGGTGAAAAAGGAGAGGGATCTGAATGAAAATGGAGGGGGATTTCGAGGAGATGAAACGAATACAACCAGACTTCTAACCTTCACCAAAAAACCGTGATCCCACCGTGTGTTGTTGTTGTTGTTGATGCGTTGACAATGATGTGTTGATGATCCTCGTTGCCGATGGACGCTTCTTTCATCATTTTTTAGGTTTTCCAAAATTTCTCAAATGATCCCATCGACTCTTCTTTTCTCCTTCTGGATCGACGACGTGTCCGCCCATCCAATCATTTTCAATCATCATGTATTGTTGAGGTTGTTGTTCTTCGTCATCCGAATCATCACCATCGTGAGGTCCAGTGAATCGATTTGAAAAGACGGAAATATATGGCGAGGAACCAGTGGTGGAGGGTACAATGGTTCCGCCTGCTCCTGCGCCATTCGAAAAGCCCGAGGTGATGGAGGGTGTACGAGCAGCCGCAGCAGCACCAACGCTGCCTAGCGATTGCATCGGTGATGCTAGGCCAGCGTATCGGCTAGGGTTCAGAGTCGTCAAAGGGGTCAGACCGGAGAATGAGGCAGAGCCTAAACGCGAGGCTGCGGGAGACAGTGATCGAGTGGATCGAATGATGGACGGCGCAAGTACTGAAGATGGCTTCGAAGATGGTTGATGATGTGTCGAGGAGGAACCCAGTGGGAATGACAATTTTCGAACGGAACGAGCGAGAGGAGATTGCGATGAAGGGTTATTGAGTGGCAAAGGTGACGAGATGCCAGGGTATTGATCAGCGTAGGATTCGTCGACAGCCTCTCCGTTGTCTTGTGGGGCATCTGCAGGCCCGCCGGGACGCTGGGATCCCGCATCAAGCCAAGCGTCTGTAGACATGGGTGATCCTGCTCTGGCCGCATTGGCATGGACCCGTCGTCGATGATGTTGAGAGCGACGAGAGTGCGTCGACGCTGACGAAGGGAACGTATGCGCTGGGCCAGCGGTGAGCGCAGCCATTCGTTCCTTGTACGCTGCTGCCCGCTTGTCGTAAATGAGGTTGATTGACGCAGATTGGGGCGCATCAGCGGGGAACAAGCTGGAACCGTAGCCTGAAGTAGGGCGGCGTGGCGTCAACGAAAGTCAATAGACGGGCCTCTAACTCACTTCTTCTGCCAAAGCTGTGTAATGAGGAAGGTCGCTGCCGTCCTTCCGAGCCAAACTCAGACGGCACTCGCGATACACCGTCACTGAGTGCACTGAAAAAGCTGTCCCGGTCGGAACCACCATCTTCACTCCCAATATACTTCTTCTTCTCTCTTTCCGCAAAGACCTCTTCCATCGCATGACTCTCTCCATACGCCGCAAGTTGTGCCGCGAGAGATCTCGATGAATCGAGCGAGTCTGGCAACTGAGCAATCTGCAAAATATCACTCTCAGTCTGCTTGATCAATTCACGAGCTTCTGCCGAAGTGGAGGCTTGTCGACGAGGTTGGGGGTGAACGACATCGTGCTCCGGTACCGGCGGGAATCCGCCTTGTCCTCCTAGAGACAAGGTCGAAGGCGGTGTCAGGGACGTGCCAGCTGTCGATTGACCGTAAGAATACCCCATGCCTGAATTTGAAGTCGAACTTGATGAGACGCTCTTTCCCCTGGCTCGGCTTTCGACGTTGTACAAACTGGATGTTGAGGGCGCAGGAGGCGAGGAGCTCTTGATGCTTCCTACCCGTTTGTGAAGAGGCGGTGACGACCCGAGATCCTCGGAACTGGCAAGTGACATTCGGAGGGATGGGGGCGTGACGATACGGGTGGATTCTGTGCCCCCAGCAGTCGACAGCGATGCACCTCGATACCTTCCAAACCGAGTCCATGATCGATATGAACTTTGCCTGCGTACGGGTGCGATGTCTTCCTGCGATATGATCTCGACAAATCTGGATCGAGGCGGGGTGGGCTTTTTGAGCTGCACAGGCATGTTTTCTAGGTGCGCCTCGGGCTCCATGGCATCCTCGTCAGCTTCCAGCAGTTTGGTCATCGATGATGCAGGCGGCTGCACATTCTGGTCGGCCGATGGGCCCTCCTCCTCGATGATGTCTGCTGGTCTGGTACGGTCGCCTCGCTCCGTCTCCTCTGAGGTGGCGCGACGAGCATCCCGGTCTCCCCGTTCAGTGTCCGTTGTGGCAATATCAGTATCAGAGTTATCATGCCCGTCCAGCCGCGCCGCCACCTGAGAGGGCAGAACAGAGGAAGCGGAAAGGTATCCTTGGCGAACCTCGTCCGCCAGATCCTCATCAGGTGTGTGGATGACTTCCACGGTCGCTGATCCCGATTCGTCCACTGGCGATTGGACCACGACAACAGGCGTCGATGGACGATCCGAAGTCGATGTCGAGCTCGTCAGATCCATATCGAGAGGTTCGGCGAATCGAATATAGTGAGCGTAATCGAACAATGAGGCATCTTCCGCGTCGTGGTATTCATCATCCTCGTCCTCCTCGATATCAGCATCTGCGCCTCCTTCTGTCCTGGTACCAGAATCTTGACTCTGTTTGCCTTCTGCTTCCCCGACTGCGCCAGATCTCTCCGCCAGCTTGATAGTCTCTGTCTCTGCCTGGTCCCCCTCCAGAGTCACATCCTTCTCCTCCGACACTCGATGGATCTTGAGAATGTTGTCGCGAGCAGGGGCATTGTCCGATTTGGTCGGTGACTTTGGATCAGATCGCTTGCGAGATCTTGTGCTTCGCCGTCTCAGTATACCAGACGCAACCTTTCTCAGGTCGACACCTTCGGCCCACCCCATGATCCGACCACCGCTTTGGGATCGCGGGACGGATTGGTTTGGAGAGCCAAAATTTGCCAAACGACTGGGTAGAGTCGCCGAACGAGGTTTGGAAGTGGCAGTTTGGACATGAGTCGGTCCTTCGGCCGTCATCGATAAGTGAAGAGGACTGGACGGAGTCGATGGCTGTCGTGAAGAGCTGGTCCCAGTACCACTTGGTGAGGTGATGGTTGTTTGCGAAGCAGACTTGACGACTTCTGATTTGGACCTGCGCAAGTTGACAGACGGTGAATCTGAATCAGACGATTGAGCCCATTCATTTGCCAAAGGACTAGGTGCTGCCATTCCACTACCCTTTCGACTGGTGGTATGACGTCTTTCTGGTAGATTGATGGGCGACAATCGGCTCTCTGAAATGTCTGATGCAAGTGTGGATATGGAGGGCGAAGGCGAAGAAGGGAGTGGGATCATGGCGGGATCAATTGTCAACGACGAGAACGTAGGGAGTTCCAGTTCGGAGCTGAAAAAGCTCGACTTGTGAGCCGGTGCAGAGTTCGGCAAGGTCACATCGAGGCCTGAAAAGACGCTCTGGTCATCGTCTCCTCGAACGCTCTTGCCTTCTCGCATACTCAGGTCCAGGGAAGCTCGCCGCAGTTTCTCAATACCTTCGTCAACTTCCTCGGGCAACAATGGTCTCGCTCTGGATTCACTACGTTGAGGTGGACTGGGACTGCGCGATGGGGGTGAGTGACCACGACGGAAGAGGTGGAGCAAGGCGTGTTTTGACATGTACTTGTGACCATATTTTCTGACACGTTGAGTTTCGGGCGAGACATTGTAATCGTTTGAACGATGTCGACCTCGAAAGTAGCCAGAAGAAGGAGGAGATCGCGATGCGGATGAGAAGACAGAGTTGGGAGATGTAGGACTGGTCGCTCCCACATGCGCCGAGTCTCCATTCTGAGGATGATGATGGTGATCCCTCTTGAAGGCTTGACGTATGGCTTGACCTGGATGAGCAGCTTTCTCCAAGATGGACGGAAGGGAGGGTCGACGAGAAGAGCCGAACAGTGTGGATGTGCTGCGGGATGGAGGTGGCCCGAGGGACGAGCGTGAAGGCGAGGGTCCCAACAAGGATTTGGAAGGAGAAGATGCAAGATTTGATGACGATGGGTCTCGTTCTGGGGGATCAGGGAATATGGACCCCAGTCCCAAGGTCGTGGTGGATTGACCAGAGTATCCAGAAAGGCCGCTTGGCTCGCGATTTAACATTGATCCATCTGGACCATACGTTGCCACTGGCGAGGTCGGCGGGGAGAATGCTTTTGGCGAGTTGAGAGAGTTTGCTTCTGGGTCAGGTTGATTTTCGACGCCTTTGGTGTTGATTCGTAAACCTTCCAGAGGCTGCAAGGAAGATGAGGCCGATAAATTTGGTCGCTGCTGCTGAGACGCAGCCGAAGCTGAACGACTAGGTCGACCTCGGAACAAGGCCTCGAAAGACTGCTTGACTTTGATAGCAGCGGTACTGGGAGCTTCAGAAGCGTTGCTTGAGAAGCTGAAAGCTCGTTCCTTGCCCTTGCGTGAACCAAACGAACTGAGTCGTTCTCTGACCTCGAGAGAGGAGTCATTCCGATTCAGATTCGCTAGGCTGGCCGATGTACTTGGTGATCCAGATTCCAACGGTTCTACGGAGTCCTCTCCTCCTAAAGACGAGAGTCTGGCGTGCGATTCCTGAGCTTGCAAGTGCTCCCAGACACGAAGGACCCGAATGACATCGGTGTGTCGGTTGATTTCTGCGAGGGTTTCAGGCGTCATGCCATTCTTATCTTGCTTATCGGGGATAGCCCCACAAGTGAGGAGAATCTGAGCGATAGGAGCGTGACCGTTGGCAGCGGCGAAATGAAGTGGTGTGGAGCCTGTAGATTCAAGGTCAGGGCTGTAGCTCTCGGGCAAAACGGTGCTCCGACTCACCAGCTGCGCCGACACTTGGCGCATTGCTCCTCTTGCCGTCCGAATACCTTCTAGGTAATCTCGGAGCATTAACATCTGCTCCCCGTTCGATGAGCATCCTGACGACGCTGACGCTTCCACCTGAGCACGCTGCGTGGAGTGGTAAGACGCCATGGAGCACCGAGTTGACGGGTTGACCGTGAGTCAGGGCGTAGTGGACCAAACCGACATTGCCCGCTGCGGCAGCACTATGTAGCTCTAGATTTGGATCTGGTGGTGGGTAAGATGGCCATTCAGAGGCAGCAAGAGTAGAATGCCGACGAGAAATGAGTGGGCGAGTGAAGGAGCCCGGAGCGAGGGCAGAGTGCCGACGAAGGGGAGCGGGTGAACGATGGAGGGGTGAATGAGGAGACGAAGAGGAAGGGGGAAGAGTCGAGCGTCGCGTGGAGGTTGAGCGAGAGTGGGGTGAGTGCATCGAGAATCGAATGTAGAGAGTGATGTGGAGGAGGAAGAGAGGAATAAAGAGTCAGCAATGTTCTACGATATGCGAAGATGTGGATGAATGAGGTGACCGAAGATGACATGGGGTGAATTGCACACGCCCCGAGGTTTGCATGCCAGGGAGGAAGATTCAACACAGTGTGGGAGCAAGGATCGATTTTGTGTCCAAAGGACTCCTCCCCTCTTCCTTTCGGTGTTATTGTCGGGTCATTCAAACCCCCCCATATGTAGGTTGAACATGACACCCAGCGGGGTAAGTACCCCCTTCGTCATACTCCATCCCATCTCGCTGACTCATTTTTCCGGACCATGCGACCGCCTTCATACACCCGGACAACCCTTTCTTGAGCAGCTTGTGCCATCACTACTCCAGCTCTGTGGAGAAGAGCCCCGGCGGGGAAGCCGGGTGACACCAAAGGTGGGAGAGGGAGGGGGGAACCACCACTTCCATAACTCACAATTCAACACCACGTCATACTTGGCCTCTACGTCTTCCAATCTTGTAGAAGCAGGCATGGTAGCTCCCTCCTCTACCAGGAATACAACGCAGTGATAGACCTTGACCCCGCTTTTTCTTCAACCGAGCAGTAATATCGTATAGACCATCCAGTGGAATAGAGAGCGCGGGAGAGAGAGAGAGAGTGTGTGTGTATGTGTGAGAGTGCGCGCGGATTTTAAATCTAGGTTCTTCCCATGAATTCCGGTAACGGGGGGGGGGGGGGGGGGAAAGAGCAGCAGCAGTACGACCAGCAGTAGAGCCTGAGGAACAAGTCTCCTCGCGTCGAAGTGGCACCGACAGCAAGGGGCCAGTTGGGATATGAATCCAAAGTCACTGTACACCTGAGATAGGATCCGCTGCTAGAGCGATGTGTAATCGTTGAATCCCAACATGAGGTGAATGGGGGGTGTAATACTAGTCAAGTGGAGGATGAGCGTGACATTGTATGTAAACCACCCAGGGGCGCTCTTCTCAATAGAGTTGTAAAAGAATTTTATTATACTGCTTTGGGGCGGGGGTACCCTCGCCCTGCTTCTTCGGTCTTTTTTTTACCTTTCTCTTCCCTTGAGTCTGCCAAAGATCTCGCCGATCCTCCGTGAACGGGACAGAGGGATCACACTGGATCTTCATGACTTCGCTGCCGAACGACTGGCGGTACAGACACGAATCTCAAGGTATCAGCACGAGGAATGTTGCCAGTGCGAGCCGAGATGCACCCAAAAGCATCCGGCAAACAAGTACTAAGAATCTTTCGGCTGCTCAACGTGGCATAGATACATATGATGGTGTGGGATCGGCTGTAGCTTTTCCGAACGGCCATCGACGGCCTGTCTGTCCACACTACAAACTCCCCTACCCCGTGCCGACCTTCGATCTCTGGTGAAGATATATGGTAGTATCACGACCATCGGACTCACACCCTATTAATAGAAGAAAAAAAAAGGAGATCCAAACCTCTCACATTCATTTTCCACAAGCAAATGACTCATGGTGGCGCCTCAATAGTATCTGTGCCCCCCCCCCCCATTCTGGCAATTCCACTTTGAATCGTTGTGGTTTGTGGCATTTGACTATCCTCACGATCATGGCCACTAGTTGAGTTTGTGCTCGAGAAAGACGGACACCTCCAGGAGGTGTAGGATTGGACCCGTCACGTGTGGTTGGGGTTAGTCACCAGTCCCAAGGGACAACGAGATCTGTCGAGAGTTCATGGAGGAGTGAACAACGTCCGAGCCGTCATCTGCACCTCTGCGCTCTCCTCGTATCTCTCAAGTGACCCGCTGCATCCTCCCTCTCCTATTTCCTTTCACCGTGTCGGTTGAGAAGCAGTGGAGGCTGTCACAGTCGAGCTAACGGTCCCCGTCTGAGCGGGGCGGGGTAAGAAGGGTGTTATGGTTAAGGGAGTGGAGTCCGAAATAAGCGGTGCATTCGTCATTCCTCATGAAATGCCAAGCGACAACTCTGATTCAACCCAAAAAAAAGAACATCTGAACCTACGATAATCAACTCCACCACTTGGAGAGTGTCGCTTGAGATGGATCATATGTCTGCCAGTGTCATCTCACCGACATTCAAGCATTGTTGAGCGTGTCCGTGGGCGTATGCTCGGTGAGGTCGGTCGAAGACACCACCCAGAGCATCTATCTCTACGACCTCCTCGATACCCTTTGGACATGAGAACGTGAACACACTGTCCAGCATCATGCAGACTCTGAAACGAGGTTTGAGCAAGCTCAATAGAAAAGATGAAAGTGTCGAATTGAAACGGGACAGATTCGTCGTCGCTCATTTCATGGTGAGTCGTCTGTCTGTAATGCGAGGTCGATGTCGGTGACGAATGAGCCCACCCCCTCCGCTGGCAGCTAGGCAACACTTGGCGGTGGACTCCCACAGATTGGGAAGAGACCTTTGAGCTAGCGGAGGATACCAGCATGTGAGGGAGGGCCTCCCTGAATGAGGACCCAGTGAAGCAGCCTGGTCTTGCTGACCGTCTGCTGCTCTTTCTCGCCCCAGAGATGGATTCGCGCTGAACCTCGGAAGCGAAGCCTGGCAATATGAACAAGCGCATCTTGCTTACTCGTGTCTGGCTGCGAGAGGTCCCTCCAAAAGCACTGGAAGACCATTCAAAGCCTTCTTGTCTCTCGACATGAATGTCTTGTCTTCAGGGACTGAGAAGCACGGGATGGATCTCTTGGAAGCAGTGTACGAAATGATGATACAAGATGGATATCTGAGATGGAGAGGTGGTCCAGTATTAAGCACGTTTGGAGGACACGAAGCCAGGTTCGGTGATTGGGGCTGGCCGGGGTTCATAGAGAGGCTGAATGAGAGATTGGACGGAAAGGTAAACTCATACGTGATGAGTTCAGAAGCTGATGACTAGATCATGTTCATCCCTGCCTTCTTCATGCCTCCGAAGGATTTCCTCACTCTTCCCTATGTGGATGGTGCATTCAACTGGAACAGTGCATGGTGTGTTGATGGTATGAGAGGTCGTCGTTGACAATCTTCAGGCCACAAGGAGACCATTCTGCCAATGTAGTGGAAGACGAGGCTTTTTGCGAGGACGTGAGTCGTTCTTTGTATCCCTGAGGCGAAGATCTGGCTCACTCAAAGCCCATCTCCTTCCAGGTCAAACCTTACATGGCAGCTGTATCTCCGCTCTTCTTTACTCATTATGGGTCGTCGGGTGAATGGGCTTTCAACAAGTGAGAAACTCCCAGTGGAGCTCGCTTGTTACTGACGGACGCTACAGGAACTTCATCTGTGAGCTCAACTGTCTTACAGCCTGCCCTCGGCATCCGAGCCATTATGTCCGAACCGCAGCTTACGCCTAGTCTCCAGACCGCTCGGATGACCTCTTGTACCCATGGCGGTGGCACGCTCTGCTCTCGCTACCACCGAACAAATCGCCCAACATCATCCAAATCATCTCCTGGAACGATCACGGCGAGTCTCATGCCATCGCGCCCGTGAGGCATAATCAGCCAGGTTCAGAAGAATGGACAAAGGATATGCCTCATGAGGCTTTTCGAGAGATGACCAGGTACTTTGTTCGCCGTTGGCGGGATGGCTTGGGAGAAGTGGAAGAATTCGCACCGCAGAGTAAGGGAGACCTGGAGAGCACAGTCAAAGTCTGGGGCTGGTGGCGGTGTCATTCGAAAGATCTTAAGGCAAGCGATGATCCAGTTGGGGAACCAGTTCATGCAGACTGGGTGAGTGTGCCGCTCTCCCCCCGCGGGTTCCAAGCGATTGATCGTCCACCGACTACACCTCTAGGCCCGAGATTTACTCAACTTTCTGATCGTCGTGCCTGAGACCTCATCCCCTTTCCACATGGTCGTACATAATGGCCCAAACCCTCAACCTCATCATCTCGAGTCGGGAAAGGCAAACCTCATCACAATTCCCTTCGTTCCTGGTCTTGTGGGCTTTGAGGTGATGGAAGGATCCACAGATGTGATCATCTCGGCATCAGGCAAAGAGATAGCGGATCAGATCCAGAAGTATAATTTCAACATGTGGGGCGGGTCGTGGGAGGTAAAAGTCGGTGTAAGACCATCTTGATGTATGAAGTGATATGTGGTCAACGTGAGTCTGACCGACCTGGTTCTGTCAGACCGCTTCTAAGGAATGGAGCGCGACGCCGCCCAAAGTTGTTCGGATCCGAATTTCCCGCTGGCACATGTGAGATCGACGCCAGCCCGAAGTTGTGACTCCTCGATGGTTCTGTAGAGCGTTCATTCACTCCGTCGTGCTCTACTCTCGACCCATCCACGCGGCACATTGCCCCCTTAGCTCAGTTCGCTTCGTCATGCCTCCCCTGCCTGACCTCTCCACCGCCACTGTCCTCATTACCGGAGGCACGTCGGGGGTAGGCCGAGCACTCGCTGAGCGATTCGCAAAATCAGGGAGTAGAGTCTTTGTAACGTCTCGTCGACCTCCTCCAGACCCGTCCACTGTCAAGTTGGATAACGGAGGGACCATCACGACGATTCAAAGTGATGTCTCTAAATCGTCGGAACGTGAAAGTTTATACGAATATGTGAGAGAGCATCTACCTCGACTCAATATCCTGATCAACAATGCTGGGATCGCTAGACCTGTTCCGATGTCACAAGATGGTCCAGGAATCTCCTGGACTGAACGTCAGCTAGAAATCGACACAGTCGTCAGTGGACCTATCCATCTCACCTCATTACTCGTCCCGCTCATGTTGGAGAATGAGACAGAGGGCCAAGTGATCAATGTGACGTCTGGGACTGCCTTCTTTCCCAATCCCTCCGCGCCGCTATACGCAGCTTGTAAAGCTGCTGCTAGGTCGTATACTATCACTCTGCGATTCGCACTTCGCGAGACAAAGATTGGCGTGACGGAGATCATCCCGCCAATGATTGAAACGGGTCTCGACGGGAGTAAAGGTGGCATTCAACTATCCGACTTTATGGACGGTATTTGGCCAAAAGTCTTGCAAGGCGATGAGGAAGTTGTGTATGGTATCACGGATTCTGATCTGGTCAAGGAGGCGAGAGACATTCAGGACAAGTGTTTCGGACAGATGAAGCAGTACTTGATGGATATCGACCACTATGGGAAGACGGAGGCGAAGTAGGCTAGGCTTTGGGCGTTAATTGTAAGGTAGGGGTGTGATGCTGAATGACAGCTGAGAGTGAGAGGCAACAGGCCGCAGATACATGTATGATATACCGTCCAAAAGGCGCAAACAATTGTCCGAGGAAACAACTCTATAACGAAATCTCAAATCTTACACACTTATCCAAGCTACACGTCGCGACCGCTCGTTCACTGGGCGTGATACGGCCCTCCTATCTGGCTCATTCTTTGCCTGAAAGGATTCCCATTGGACTCATTTGTGCTCGCTGAATCTCTGGTTCCTTTGGAGCTGATGGGACTCGGTAGTCCATTCTCGTTGAATAGATCGAGGCTCCTGTCCCACTGTCTGCCTTCCCATGGGTTATCGAACCCGCGTTGATTCGCCTGATGCGCATTCACATCGTTTGGATCCATTTCGTGATGGCGGACTGCGGGTTCCGTGAAGGATCGAGTGGGTCTCGTCTTGACAATGGTCGAGGGCATAGAAGGGATCGTACCGCTATTGGCGAGTGGATCAAATTCACCATCATAAGCGTCGTAATGATCTGGAGTCATGTCTGAATGATCGACCACTTCATTCGATTCATCGAATGGATTGCCACTCATTTGACGAGATGGTAGAGGACGAGGTGCTAGAGGTGGTGGAAGAGGTTGAGAGACAGATCTCGAGGAATGAGGCTCATGATAATGGTGATCTCTGGTATGCGCGCTGTACGTCTGTGAACGACGTTTATTTCGTCGATCTTTACGGTTTGAGCCTTGACCATGTTCGTCCTGAATCAACCCATCAGCAGCTGGCTGGGTGTATGAAAGGGAGCACGCTTTGACTCACCTCGTCATCATCATCATCGTCTAACAATCGTCCATAATCTCCATGATCGGCCCGTGTATCCATGCCATACATTTCGACTTCGTTGGACCGACTAGGACCAGCTTGAGGAACCTCAATAATGACAGTTTTATGAGTCCCCCATTCGACCGTCAAGACATTCTGGAGAGCTCCTCTGGCACTCTAAGATGCAAGAACATTAGCGAGACATTTTCAGGGGCAGGCAGACAACAAGGCCAGGTGATCTGCCTGCCAAGAGACCGAAGCGAAAGGAATCCGGAGACTCACCTCGCTGGGTATGAGGTTGTTGAGACGTTTCTTGAGGAATGACATTGGAAGTTGTTATATACGTGTTCGAGAGAATGGGTTGTCATGTAATAATAAATAGAAGGTACCTCACAGCCAGAAGCCAGAACCCCCCCCCCCCCCCCCCTCCCCCCGAGACAAACACCGCCGTGCGTCGCCTCGCAAGAACTCCCCTTTCTGGGTTTGGAACTTTCTAATGCGCATTAGTAAATGGACTTTTAACGTAATAGGCCATAATCCTAAATGGGGGGAGACTCATGTCCGGTGGTGGCCGGTGGAGGTCGGCCAGCGTCATTCTTGTCACTACACGTCCTGTCTACGGTTCATGTTGAAGTATCATAGCCTGACATCGAGGTGTACACAGCTACGAAGAGCATTCTCAGTCTACAAACAGTGAGCTGTCTTTCTTCGCCACCCGACGTTTCTAGTGGCTCACACGATGTCAGACTCAACATGAAGGTGCGATGAGATTGTAGTTGACAATGGAGGGGGACTTGTGACTGAACCATCCATTCTGCCTATAGGTCACTCCGGTCCAAGCGAGATCTGATAACTGGATGTACCTCGTGATGGATGAGGCGACGAACGAAGCGGCCGTAGTGGACCCATACAATGCCGAGAAGATCTCTGAACAGGCAAAAGAGGCCGGCGTCAAGGCGAGTTATTGGACTCAAGGACCTTGATGACATGCTCAGTGGTGCTCACCTGAAAGTCCCCCTCCAGGTCACCATGCTTCTGACGACTCATCACCATGATGATCATTCTGGTGGAAACCTGAAATTCGTCAGCTTTGGTGTCACTTTGTCCTGGGGCGACGGGCCTTCGATCTGACACCCTTTTAGCTCTCACTTCATCCTGGAATCAAGGCGTACGGTGGATCAGATAAAGCGCCAGGGACGAACCACATTGTCAAAGATGGAGACAGTTTGAAGCTGGGACAGAACATCTCCATCAAGTATGTCGAGGAGGTGCGACAAGATTAGGCCTGATGATGTAGAGCCCTTCACACGCCGTGTCATACTCAAGACTCAATCTGCTTCTTCTTACACGACAAGAAAACGGACCAGAAGGGAGTGTTCACAGGGTGAGCGAGCTTCTAAGCCTGACGAACAACTTTGACCATAACTGATGATCGATCTCGCCTTGTTCCGTCTTCCATTATGAACCGGATCCCCGTACCGTCTTGCCCCCTTCATCAGCGACACCCTCTTCCTTGCTGGATGTGGTCGATTCTTCGAAGGCACTCCTGAGGAAATGCACAAGGCTCTGTCTTACCTCGGGCAACTGCCAAGCGATACAGTGGTCTACAACGGTCATGAATACACAGCTGGCTCTGCTAGATTCGGTCTGTCTGTCGAACCTGACAATGCTCGCTTACAAGCGTGAGTCAAGACTGTCCAAAGATCCTCATAGACCAGGTGCTGACTCAGCCATTACCAGCCTCGCGAAGAGCGCCACTCAGGACTCTTGCACCACGGGCAAATCCACCATTGGCGATGAGAAGGAATGGAACGTGTTCATGCGGGTAGACACCCACGAAGCAAAGTGAGTGTGACCAGTGTCATCTAGGCTGGGGAAGGGCCGACCGTGACCAACTTGGACCCGATGCATACAGGACTGACCGTGGAATGTTTGTTCAGGAAAGCGACTGGCGAGTCCGATCCAGTCGCTGTAGTCGGCAAACTGCGAGAGATGAAGAACAAGGCCTAGATGAAGCATTTCAAAAGCCATTGTAGGACCATCTGTGTCAAGTCGAGTCTCAGTCGTTGGAGATCCAGTGTCTCGCATTGCCATGTATGCTCAATGTCACTGTACTGGTCCTGGTACGGACGGTAGAACGTTCAGGCACGGCGGATGAATTCGCGGTACAATTCTCCCTTGCTCCGTTGAAATGTCCGCCCGTGTCTCGCATTCAGTTTGGTCATCCTCGCTAGCCCTCCTCCTCCACTTTGCACCAGGTCTTTCCCTTGCTGAACGCTGCACAGCTGCTCAGGACCTTGTCTGACGAGCCTCATTGCGATCGTTCGTGATCTGTTCGGAAAGTAAAAACAAGGTGTCAACCGTCCGACAAGCGCTCAGACACCACCTCCTTGAGGAATCTCACCATCATGTCGTCTTACACACCTCGAAAGACAGATTACGCAGGATGGCGATTGAAAGTTTCTGAAGACTCGCACGGTCAGCATAAATGGGTGTACCTGCCCGAGGGCGAAGCGAGGGATGCTTGGCCGCAGAACAAGATTGACAAATACTGGTTGGGTCTGGAGGTAGTAAGTGATCGCTAGAAGATCCCGAATGAGGTCTCTCTGAGCTTCAGATTCGAAAGGGCTTACATGATCATCATAGGACGCACCGAAGCTCAAAAAGGCCAAGACGCCCCTTGAAGCTGCTCGAAATGGAGCGAAATTCTTCAAACAGCTTCAAAGTGAAGATGGACATTGGGCAGCCGAGTATGGTGGTGAGTGTGTGGAAGGCTCAAGACACTTTGTCGTTCTTGCAATGTGGCTGATACAGCCGCACACAGGTCCACTGTTCCTCACTCCTGGTCTCGTCATCGCCATGCATGTCACTCGACAGACATTCAAACAGGAAGAGAGGACTGAAATGATCAGGTACCTGTTGAATAGGCGGAAACCTGATGGGGGTTGGGGTTTGTAAGTACGAGGGCGCACGAGGATACATACGACATTGACTGACACTAGTGACTGTGCAGACACACTGCTGCGCCGGCAACGGCATACGGTACCGTCATGAACTACGTAACGCTTCGATTGTTAGGCATGGGACCGGATGAAGGGCCAATGGCTGAGATTCGAGGATTGATCCATCGGATGGGTAGGTCAACGACGGCGGAGGAATCCGTAGCGCAGCCAGCTGAATGATTTTACGCAGGAGGTGCTGTTCGGGTACCGAGCTGGGCGAAACTCTGGTTGAGTGTCCTCGGGGCGTACGAATGGGACGGGGTGGGATCTGTCCCTCCTGAGCTCTGGTAGGTTGTCACTGTGTCATTGGTACTCTCTTACCGTTCTCAGGCTTCTGCCCGACTGGGTACCGTTTGCTCCGTCTCGATTCGTGAGTATGTCTCGACAGTTCGGACGCTCACTTTCACCAAAAGTGGATTCACGTCCGCATGACATGTGAGCGCTGTTATCGCGACCCCCAAGCTCTCCAGCTGACGATAATAGTCACTCCAATGAGTTACCTATGTGGATCTCGATACGTCGGTCAGCTGGACCCGTTGGTCCTTGCTCTACGAGAAGTAAGCCATGATTCAATCCGACAACAAACTCTTTCTCACTCCTTGACTGCCGCTAGGAGCTCTACATTACACCTTACGAATCGATACACTGGTCACGACACCGTAACGACATTCACGAAGCTGATATCTACAACCCTCATTCGTTTATCCTGAACACCTTGCACACCTTCTTGGGCTACTATGAGTCTGCTCTCCGCCTCCCCGGTGTGTCTTCCATCCTCCCTATCCGCCAGAAAGCTCTGGCAGCGGCGTATCAACAAGTCGTCTACGAAGATGAAAATACAACATATCAGACTCTCGGTCCCGTCTCCAAATCGTTCAATCTGGTTGTCAGGTACACTGTCGATGGTCCCGAATCTGAGGCGTTCAAGATGCACCTATCGCGCGTTCGAGACTTTTTATGGCTCAGTCGCGATGGCATGTTCATGACTGGTACTAATGGAAGTCAATTATGGGACTTGGCATTCTTCGGTCAGGCCATGGTCGAGACTGGTCTGGCAGAAGAAGAGGAGAACAAGGAATGTGTTCTGGGGATGTTGGACTGGTTGGACAAAGCGCAGATCAGGGATAATCCAAAATGGTACAAAGTGGCTCATCGGCATCGTACAAAGGGAGCTTGGGCATTCTCGACGCCTGAACAGGGCTACACCGTGAGTGATTCATATCAAAACTCATCGGAGACCTGACAGATTGCCAAGGTCTCCGATTGCGTATCAGAGGGTTTGAAAGCCGTCATGGGCATTCAGAACCTCGATTACGCTCCGAAGACGGTGTCTCTGGACAGGATGAGGGACGCGATCGACACCATCCTATCGATGCAGAATGCCAATGGTGGCTATGCGTCCTACGAGCTGAAACGAGGCAGCGATAAGATGGAATATTTGAATGCCGCCGAGGTGTTTGGTGAGTCAATCTGATTGTCGGGCAACTGCCTAACGGCTGTATCCAGGCAGTATCATGGTCGACTATCTCTATCCTGAATGCACCACGTCGGCCTTGTCGGCGCTCAAATACTTTTCGCAGCTGGATCCGACGTACCGGACGAACGATGTAGCGTGGGTGTACCGATCACTGTGATTTTTTTCTGATGCTTTGCAGCCGCACCATTGACAAGGCGATCCACTGGTTGCATTCCGTTCAGAGACCCGACGGATCGTGGTATGGCTCATGGTGAGTGGCCGTCGACATGCTTTTCAAACCCAAAAAAAGAACGCTTCAAAGTTGACGCTACGATTTTATTTTTTGGGCTTTTCAGGGGAGTGTGTTTCACCTACGCCACCATGTTTGCTCTGGAATCACTGGGGATCGCTGGAGAGACGTATGAGAATTCTACACGAGTCAAGAAAGCGTGCGAGTTCCTCATCTCAAAGCAAAAGGAGGATGGAGGGTGGGGAGAAACATACATGGTGAGTGAGAGCCACTACACCCGTGGAGATGATTTGAATTCATATGCCATTTTTAGTCCTGCGTGACGTTGGAATACTGTCAACATGAAATGTCTCAGGTCGTCATGACTTCCTGGGCTATCCTCGCGCTCATTTACGGCAAATGCCCCAACAAGGATGTCATCAAGCGTGGTATACGCCTTCTCATGGAGCGACAAAAGCCAGATGGTCGATGGGAGAGAGAGGATACAGAAGGTATCTTCAATAAGAATTGTGCTATTGATTACACTGGTGAGAGGACCCGGCCGATGTTTTTGGGTCGACCACCACCACCGCTGCTGACATCACTTTCTTGGCGACCCACCCACCAGTCTTCCAATTCGTCTTCCCGATCTGGGCTTTGGGCAGGGCAGATAAATATCTGAACGAGTGAGGCAGGTCGGGGGGGTTGAACCTCATAGACGGGTTATGCTATGTACTGTGTATTTTAGCCCAGTCCTTTCCAAATGCCAAGCTGACGCCACGTTTTCTTTTTGCCACTTGACCTGTTTTTGATTACGTGCCTCGGCGCTTTTTTGGTCTCACAACAACGTTTATAGCAATATCGAAGACGTTTGACGAGGCGTCCTGTGTTGACGTCTCTTCTTTTTTCTTTTTTGGCTAAAGGCAGCAGCGGCCATGAGCAAGCTATGAAAGATACTGAGAGCGAGGAGGCTGAGGCGCTGCTGGCCTTGTAGAGAACTAAAAGGGGATCAGTCATGCCAAGCAATCCAGCACCAGCAGTGTGAGGAGAGTAAGGCGGGTACTGGCCCCGGAACTGGACGGCTAGAATGAAGCGCATAGAGACACGAGAGATCAAGGGGTCAGCTGGACCTGGAAGTATAGAAGAGGCATGGCGAGATCAGTCACTATGGACCCACTTATCTGTTGAAGAAGCTGTCATTCACGATTGTACATTGAGGAGACACCAGAGCAGGCTTTTGATTTGGTCGATGATGCTGTTATTATCGACGGTGATCTCTTTGGCCTGTGTGCTTGGAGTCGAATCCCTCCCGACCTGGATAGATTCGAGGTGGTCTACGGTCAAGGAATGTATAACGGACCTCAAGGTCGTTTCATGCGACGATTTCGATTGTGGATTGGAAGGATATCATCGGATAGATTCGTTTTTAAATTTGTCAGAGAACACGACGGGTGAGTTGGGGGGAGGGGAAACTCTAGCCTTCACTGTCGCAAGGTCGCGCTGAATACCTCGATATCCCCACAGTATGGAACTATGTGTTTTACAAATCAGAGTTGGATCAAGATCCTGGAAATTGCATTACGGACCTTCGGGTCGTACCGGAGGGAGAAGATTGCCCAACGGCACCATACTGGAAGTGTGAGTCTTGTCGTTCGAGGTCCTCCTAGGCCAGTGCCTTCCATGTTTGTTGACTCTTGCTGGCTCTTTCTCCAGCCTGCGGCGTGTCGGCCCATCATGGCGTGACCTCCACTGGTGGACCTACCATTTGGGCTCAATATGAACCTGGAGCTCAGTACGCGGGTGAAGTGGTTGATCTCGTCGTGCTTCGACCGGGCCAATACCCCGACAAGACTGAAGATTTCATTCGACAACCTGTCAACTTGGGTCTGGGCTCCAGAGCGGCAAGTGCGAGCTATCCTCAATGGGTCGAATACGAATCCATATCATCCGGTTGGGTCTGGCTTGTGAGTACCTGATGCCTGTGCCTGGAAGCGTGATGATGAACCGGACTGATTCTGCTCTGCTTTAGGAATACACTAAAGCTGGTGTAAGACCACCCATCACTGGTGTCAAGATCGTCGCTTGTCCGGAAGATTCCACTGCCGCGGAATGTGGACGAGATCTCATCGCCCAAGGTTGGAATCGACGCGATCTAGATCTCAACGGGCCAACAGTGAATGGAAGTCATATCTTTCTCTTCACTTCCACTGGAGCGTCAGAGGACGGTTCATGTGTGACTGGTCTTCAGCTGGTTGACGCGATCGAGGACGACTCAGATGGTGTCAACGTCAAGTGGGTTAGAAGATGACTCGCAAGCAGAAAAGCCTTGTACTGATCGCGAGCTGCAGCGATGGCACAGATGGGGCTACACGTTACCTTGGCGTCACGCGAGGCAAGAATACCTGCTTGACCAGCGTCGTCCCTGTCGCTTCTTCGCAAGTATTTCCCAGGCCATACTACCAGATCGTGCAAGATGCCCATGGCAACCCTGCAGACTTCAACGAGGGGGCCACAAATGCCGTCCCCATCTACGTCTACACCTCGTCGGAGACAGAATTGAACCCTCCTTCCGCTCCCACACTATCCTTCAACTCGACCGGATCCTTCAGAATCGCGCACTTCTCTGACCTGCATCATTCTGATATCGCTCCTATATGCTTGGACGAACCTTTTGAATTTCGAGCCAATTGCACCGAGCAATTCTCATTCACCTTTATGGAACGAGCTTTGGATCTCACCCGACCTGATCTGGTGATCATCAATGGCGATCTGTTTGCCCGAAACAAGCGGCAAAAGGATGACATCACGTATCCTCTATTGACTCAAGGTGCTCTGTTGAAGGCCGTTTATCCTATCTTGAACCGGAGTCTACCGTTCGCAGTGACATGGGGGAATCACGATGCTGAGGGCAGTCTACTGCGTGAAGAGCTTCAGAGAGAAATGTCCAGGCTACCAGGATACGTCGGTTCCAACGTTGCTTCACTGGACGGACAAGGCAATTATCAATTGGATATCCTGGATCGGGACGGTGACTCAAAGATGAAATTATGGTTCTTCGACTCGAGGAGCTACACGTATTTCCCCCTCAACGGTTCGACCACAGGTCAATCTGGTGGAGTCCACAGAAACCAGGTGGAATGGTTCGAGCGGGAATCCAGAGGACTCGAGATGAACGGCATGGCATTCTTCCACATACCCCTCGGGCAAATGAGCGGATCGTTGGGGTTGAACAGTTCTGCCGAACTTGGAGTTCACTCCGAAGATGTCTGTTCCCAAGGACACGAATGTTCCAATACACCGGACCTCGCGGATAATGATACGGGCTTTTTCGATGCGATTGTCAATGGGAATCATATCAAGGCCACGTTCTCAGGACACGATCACAGTAACGATTTCAGTACAAGCGTCAAAGGTGTCACTTTCACTTATGATGGCTCGGCTGGGTATACTGCGTACAGCACAGGGAATGATCCGAGTGAGTTTATTCTTTAAGGGGGTTGGTGTACGGGCTGACTGATTTCCTGCGTTCTTGCGTTCTTGCGGCTCCAGACTACAATCGCGAAATGAGAGTCATCGATATTGTCTCATGGGGAGAGTCAGCGACAACCTATAAAGTCATCGACGATATCCTCAAGGGCACCGTTCATCGAAACACCTCGGAACCCATCTTGACACTGTATTGAAGATTTTCAATCCATCTCGGACCATTGAGGATCTCACATCGTATCCCAAGACCACAAGGCTCGTTGTTGTACATCTATACTTTTGGGACGATCCTGTAACGATCACATGGTAGTATAATAATAACAAAGTATCGAAGAAGCGGATGAATGCATGCATCGCATCCTTAACTACGTAAACAGTTGGCAAAGGCGAAATAAGTCATAAGATCGTTCGTTTCAAAAAACGCAAGAGCACAAACACACAACCGCACACACACACACACGTTCGATAGAAATCCCATTTCAATAGTATTTTGAGTCCACGAGCATTACTCACGGCGCCAAGGATACTGAGAAGGCGCTTATCAGACAAGTTTCCGTCGCTTGACCGATCGGTGCCCACAGATTGAATGAGTAACTTTCCCCAAATACAAGGTCGTAAAAGACATGAAAAGAATAGTCTTGCCATCTCGACTCGGTTTAATAGGCCTCGTCCAATTAAATTCGATTATCCAAGAGAGATCCAAGAGATGAGAATTCAAGATGGTCCTTATTGGACCCAATCTGCACTGTATTCTGAGCTGTTCCTCTTATGACCTTTGACATGGTGACTGATCTTTGGCGGACCAGCAGTCACCAGTGGTCCAAGTCGAGAAGTCTCATCTTCAGTTGATAGGTCCCCATTTGGAGGTGATCGAGATCGTTCCCATTGCTTGAGCTCTTTGGTAAACTGCGAGATCTCACAGTCAGCTCAGATTCCCTTCCACTTGACCGTCAAACTCACCTTGTCAAAAGCCATTGAAGCTTCTTCGCTGCTTCCTGCGCTTCCCCTTCGTCCATTGGCAATGTGCTCATCCTCATCTTCACTGTTTGAATGATACCCTGACGCTCCGCCCATCTCCAACAACGTGTTGATCCTCTGTTGAGCTTGTGATAGATCCTCTCGCAGCGCTTCAACCTCGCGTTCTGCATCCTCACATCGCATTCGCAAGACATCAACTTCTCGTTCCCTCGCAGCAAGGACATCGCGAGACGCAGAGAGCTCAGCTTGGAGTGCCGAGTGTTGATTCTGGAGCTTTTCGAGCCGTCTTGTAAGCTCTGGATCGGCTAGAGCAGCTGCTGAAGAGGGGGTCGAGCGTCCAGAAGCCTCTCTGGTCCTGGCTCCCGCCTCGGAAGATCGTCCAGTCAGATGGTCAATCTCAGCTTGAAGCGTCTTGTTGGAGTCTTTTTGCTTGTTCAGCTCGTCCTAATACAATCGTCAGCTGGCTCATGCGAACTTGTCTCCAGCTCACCTTCATACGCTTGAGCATCTTCTCGGTACCCTTGACGTATCTCACAGCCGTCTGGTAGTCCCCTTCCAAAGCCGCCATCTTTTCCTTGTGTTGATTCTCCAACTCGGCCATCTTGCGCTCAGCTTCCATGACGCGTCGATCGGAATCAACAGGTGGACTGGGACTTCGAGCCGACATGGCTGTGGGACTTCGAGCATCCTTCATTCTTTCTATGAGTCGGCCAAGAGACTCAACCTTGTCCTCAGCTTCGTGACATCGACGTGTGAGGTCGTCAATCTCCCTCTGAGCATTGTCGCATGCGCGCGTCCTTTCTCGCAGTTGAGATTCCAGTTCACTTCGGCTCGAAGACTCGCCATTGGCGAGATCCATATCGTCGACTGCGATTCCGTGATCAGACACTGAGAAATCATCATTAGCATCACACACTTTCCAGCGGGCCGTTCCACACTTACGCAGATTCCTCAACATGCTACACTTTGTCTCCATCTCAGTCACTGCCAGATCCCTGTCCTTCAATTCTGCATCCTTCGAAGCTTGCATGTCCCTGTATCGAGCCAACTCCTCTTGAGCTTTGAGCAACTTGGTCCGATGACCACGCAAGTCCGCACGTAGTGTCTGATGAGCGCTTTCGAGGTCCCTCGACTTTTGACGGTGATGCGACACTCCAGATTCAGCTGCATCCAATCGTTGGCCAGCCTCTTTGAGCATCTTTCGGAGCGAATTGCCCTCTTCTTCCAATGCTCGGATCTGTTCTTGATGTCCTCGGTTCGTCCGACTCTCACTTGCTTGCAAGTCGCGATGCGATTCGAGAAGCTGGCCGAGTTGAGAAGTCGTAGTCAAGCGGAGAGACTCGGCCTCATCCCTTGATTTATGATAAGCAGCCTCGATTTCGGCCAAGCGTTCGACCGCGGATTCAGCTTCTTTGGTCTTGATTTCCAACTCAGATCTTGTCGAAGATAGCTCCTCTTCAAGTAAGCGGACACGCTCATTCGCCCGAGAGTGCAGCTCCTCCATCTCTGACGTCCTGGCTCCAGAAGCTGTAATCGCCAGTTGGGCTTCTTCTATGACTTTGAGATGCGCATCCCTAGCGTGGATTGCCTCGTCGAGCTGATGTTGCAGTTGATCGCGTTCCGCCTCACGTTGCTGAGCCACAGATGACAAGTTGGCTAGCTTTTCCGTATGCTCTCTCAGACCACTTTCTGCGGATCTCATGCGGTGCTGAGTCTCGTCCAACTCTTCCATTGCCGCTCGATGAGCTTCCTCGGCGTCTTCAGCTCGTCGTAATGTCTCCGACTCGCGCTGAACAGCGGCGGAGTGCAAGTCTCTAGATGCAGACGAGTCACTGAGAGCTCGCTGGAGCTCTCGGTGAGAGTTGGCATGATCCGCATGAAGATGACCGAGTTGGCGTTCGAGCTCGTTTATTCGTTCTTTTTCTATGCGAGCGAGTTCGATAGGGGAATTGGACTCGAGTGTCGCAAGCTTTGCACGGAGGAAAGCGGCTTCCTGCAGAGCACCGCGTCGGAGTCGATCAGCTTCCACTGCTCGTTCAGACGCGACGGTCATTTGCGCCACCATCTCAGTCTGTGTTTATCAGCACAAAGGCTTCCCACGAGCTTGACTTACCTGTATAGCCGCTTTCTCCTTCTTGAGTCTTACCAGGGCATCTGCGAGCTTCCGCACAATCTCTGGGTCATGATCACTACCATCATTATTGGGCAGGTCAAGATCCTCCGTTTCATCATCGACAAAACCTTGATGTATGGCTCGACCAATAATGACTTTGAGTGCCGCCTCTCGCTTTCGACCGGCTTCAATCTCCCCATCCTTCGCTTTGATCTCGCGCATAAAGTCGCCTTGACCAGACAGAGAACCTGGTCGACCAGAGGCACTGGTCGGCGACCGACCATAGTAGAACGCGTCGGGAGGCGGGGCAGGTCTGACATCGCCGTCAGATGTCCGAAGACGTGGTGACGGTGATCGTGTACCTAGAATCGAGGAATTGAATCCTGATCTAGGCTGGGGCGGGGAGGAAGAGCTCATTCCGGGGGACGTAGAGGAAGGGACGGGTAGATTTGCTTGCTGATTTGGACTAGAAGGACCGACGTTGGTTGGGGACATGGCACGGCGGTACTCCTCGTCACCTTCTCGTCGTGGCCGTTGGGGTGGAGGCGCTCGATGCGGCGCCATGGGCTGGGGCGATCCAGTCGTCATCTGCTCTGCAGGTACAGACGTAGGAGTCACGATGGGAGCCAAGAGTGGCGGTTGGCTCTGAGGTGGAGGAGCAGGGTGAGATGATTCTGATGATGCTTGGGATTGCCCGTGATCTGTAGAGCTCGATGGTCCATTCTGCATCTGTCTGGAAGCAAGTGGTACCGTTGACTGTGGGGGCGAGGCGGCCTTGTCAGGCATGTGCTGATGGCTAGAAACTTCAGACACGCGAGCTTTGACCTGACGTGGGGGAACGTTGTCAGGCGGGTATTTGATCTTGGCTGGGAGCCAGTCAGTGAAGTTTCAGTTTGACAACAGTCTAGCTTACTAGTGTCCAAGATATGAATCAAAGACGGATCATCTCTTGACTGGGCAGATGACGCATTGGCTTCTCCGCCGACAACAAACACCTTGCCGTGAGCAGCGACCATCGCGTGTCCAGATCGAGGAGATGGACAAGGTCCCATGTTCTGGAACATGTACCAACGTTGGTCTATCGAGCCCAGTCAGTTTTGTCCACAACACTGCCGAGCCATCTCACTAGTGATCCTGAAGGCTGCGAGATCGCCTAGATCCTTGCCGTTGACATCTCTCCCACCAATGATGTAAATGACATCGTCGACAATCGCTGCAGCATGTCCCTCTCGAGGCACTGGGATGTATCCTATACACGAGAGCTCTGTCCAGGCTCCAGTTGCAATGTCAAAGCACCACGTATCGTTATAGTGGTACATTCCATCGGTACCTCCAAAGAGGTACAACTTGCCCTGATGAGCCGTAAGAATATGTCCCGTACGTCGAGGTGGTGGTGGCGTTGTGTACTGGATTGATTCCCAACGATGCGGACCTCCCGACACGCCGACTGAGTGAGAGTGAGCTTGCTTCCCGCAAATCATGTGCAAGCTCACGCTGCATGATATCGTACGCCCAGAGATCATTCATGAAAGAACCCTCGGCCTGACCTCCAAAGACGAAGAACCTGGAGTCCAGCATGGACACTGCGTGACCGTACCGTCCTACCGGTCCTGGTGAGATGGGAACGCTCGTCCATTCTTGTGTCCCTGATCCTCGCGTCAGCCTCCGGGGAACTGCGCAGATACGCGAAGCCACCCACTCAGATCAAGAATGTATAATCCCTCGTCCTGCGCATCCTCTGGTCTGACTTTTGTATCTCCTCCCCAGACAAGCATAATTTTGTCGGCAATTGCACTGGCATGACCGACTCGGGGTATCGGCGCTTCGCCTTTGATGCGAACCAGAGAGGTCGTACAATCCCTCACATCGATACTCCACAGATCATTCTTAACGTTTTCATGGACCAGTCCACCGAACAGCAACAAGTGACCTGAATGAGACGGGAAGGCAGGCACAGATAGTCCGTACCGAGGGAAAGGCGACTGAGGCAGGGTAGGAGGATCAGTCTCGGGTGTATACAGCCGGATGGGTCTGGTGGACCAAGGATACGAAGAGGATGGAGCTTGTGAGTGTGGTCGAGTTTGCATGGAAGCTGAAGCTGGACCTGAACCTGCTCCAGGAGCTAGAGATTGACCTGGTGGCGCTGATCCGGAATGAGGAATACCATTCTGTATTCCGTTTCCGTGATAATTGGCAAGGGAGGACGTGGAGAAAGACTGAGGAGGTCCATTGGGATGGTTCTGGACTTGTCCGTAAGGATGTCCTGGTGACCCATTCATGCCATTTGGTGTTCCTTGATTCTGAGCAAGCGTCAGTCTTCACTCAAAAGTCGACTGATGGGGACAACTGACAGGATTCGAGGTCATCCTTCGACCGTTTTGTTGAGGTGGTGTGGACCCATTAGGCATTGGACCGTGATTCCCTCGAGATGGACCATTGACGCTGGCACTGTTTGGCGTATGCGCAATGGAGGATTTGCGAGGACGGCCCATGATAGAAGAAGACGCAAAACCGTCAGCACTGACTATGTGGCTCGCAGGTCTGATGTCAAGAATCGAGTATCAAAGAAGAGCGAACATGAGAGATGGACGTCTCTGGCGATCCTTCAGACCAGATATCACTGTAACCCTCTCTCTCTCTCTCCATCTCATTCCATCGCATTTGGACCAAACTTCGCGTCGTCCAGTGAAAAAAAACAATCGTCTCGCCCCGTCCTCGCGTAGTCAAATGTCTCACATTCGATTGAAATTGGACATCATAGTGACCCGAACACGGGGACGGTCGTCCCGATATAGAGCGAGTGTGAAGAGTTCAAAGGCCATATTTTCACACTCACGATGGACTTGTCATGCCGTCTCTTTCACCCAGATCCTTCTCTTTGGACTGTTTCCGCTTGAATAACGACATGACGATGGATTCAGCGGTTCATCCGGCAGTTCCAAGGTAGAGTTTGACTTGAATGGACGAGATGAGGGCGTTCTCCAAGATGACACCCAATCTGATGATGATGATGTTGACGAAACTTGCTCCTGTGGGTCGCGAAAGGATCTGTCAAAGAAGTGAAGTGACACTTTTTCTGTTGGCTCGAAGGGCACGGAGGCGTTAAAGTTCGTGAAAGCCGACTTTTGGTTTGCTCTCTCGTCTTGAGCAGTCGTAGATGGTCGAAGTGTTCTCCGTGTCCGAGTAAGTCGACAGAAAGACAGATCGAGAGCAGCAGATAATGAAAGGAATTGGGTCGTCGGTCGTTTGCTTGTATATCCAAGATGCCAAAGGGGGAGAGAGTGAGAGGCGGGGGGAGGGGGGATCAATGCGGGCTTGATTATCGATATTGCCCCTTGGAATAAGGAAGGTAGAGGTGATCGACTGGAGAGATGAGGTTGAGAAGACCACTCCAGACGTGACACCCTCGCCTCCACTATCTGTACGGACGCTGTGTACGACAGAAAACAATGTCAAAGGCTCAATCCAATATATCTATCATGAAAGCGCTCTTTCAATTGTTTCCGGTCTCTCATCCTGCAGTCAGTCGCGTCCAAGCTCAATCATTCCCCCGCCATATCGAGGCGACACGTGAATTTTTGTATTTGATTCCGAATGTGGCACATTATACAACATTTGGTGGTCTGCACTCTAAGGGGTCTCTACTTCCTCATGCAGCCAATCACCTACCTCCTCCCAGTATCCTTTAGCTAAATACGTATCGTTATGCTCCCCATCCAGCTCTTTCCATCTCTTCTTCCCGTCCCCTCGAATCCTATACAACTCTTGCATTTGCGCAGGAGGAACGAGGGCGTCTCTCTTTCCGGAAAGGAAGAGCATGGGCAGGGAGGGAGGAATGTGAGGCAAGGATAGAGTCGCGTCCCACTGTTCGGTCAACAGGAGGGGGAGTAGGAATTTAGGGAGTTGAGGGAGGACGAGAGGGACCAAATTTGGGAGGGAGAGGAATGTATTTTCAATGATGATACCGGAGAGCTTTTTGAAGCGTGTGAACTCGAGTATAAGGGGATCGAGGCGTGAGCCGACTTACCAAGTCTGAGTATTTGTACCCTGTGTATAAGCATACGGCGCCGCCTATAGATTGGCCGTAGGCCTAGGATGATATTAGCGACATTCTTTGTTTTATGATGGCGCTTGTCTTACCACAAGCTTGGTGGACCCAAGAATCGGATGAGCCCGGATGTAGTCGAATGCTGCCTGAGTCATGTCAGTCGCTCATCCACACATACAGGAGTTGCTCACATCAACGTCCTTCCGGATCCCCATCTCTGAGGCTGATCCTTCAGATAGCCCGTATCTGTGCAAAGCATAAGCCTGCCTTCGCCCACAACGCTCAGATGTCAGCTCACCCTCTGTAGCTCAGCATAAAGACGTTGCACTTGTAGTCCGCGTTGAACTTTCTCGCTATTGGTACACGATGTCCAACATTCCCAGCATTCGCATGAAACAAGATGATCGTCGGGCGTGATTTGGCGTACTGTAGATACAACTGCTCAGCGCATGTATCGCTTGCTTGAAGCGTAGACGATTCGCACCTCTATGGCCTCATCTTGACCCATCTCTTCTGTCCAATCTGCCACTTCTTTCTCCGCAATCTCCTTCCTGGCACTTGGTGATGCCATTTTGAGATCTTCCGTTGAGATTTGTTTCCGTCTCGCAGGGATCACATAAGCCCGAATCTTGACTCCATCAGATGTCGTCAGTTTGACATCCTCGTAAGGTAGAGCTACATCCTTCGGCGTAGGAACGACTGAGGGGGGAAAGTCAGCGGTGTGCGTGAGTTCGCCTGCACAGTACGGGCAACGAGGAAAAGAGCTTGAGAGGCACATAGTCTGCTCTTGGGGGGTGTTACGGCCTGTTCAACGTACTCTTCCTTGAGCCTTCCGGCACATACGAAGGATAGATCAATTTGCACTGATACAGGTACAATCCTGTCGCTGCGATAGTCGATCCAGCGAGTCCGAAGCCAGCTGCGTACTGGTGTTCAAGAGGTCAAATGAGTTTACTGTGAACGACTCTGACCTACTTTAAAGCACGTATATAGCGTGTCTGTACTGAGCAAGTCGCCCAACGGCCAAGCCAGCGACATCTTGCGCTATAGATTGCTTGCTTAGAGAACGATTGAATTGCTCTACATCAATGACAAACGGCTCTGGAGCCCCGGACACATCGTGAAACCTTTTTCGATCCCCCCTATAACTCTTTGCCGCCAGTCCATACAAAAGTCCTCACCTTCTCTTTGACTATCGACTCTGCACATCTTACACAAAGCTCTGGATACTGCACACGAGGTACTCCTTGCCGATCGGAATAGCTTTGAAGCTCCGAGCTCAGCCATTGCCGTGGGATAGATAACGTCTCTGGCCTTCTGTAATCTATAACCCGATTTTCTCTCCTGCCCACAAAGTCAGTCATTCAAGATGGGTGGCGGAGACTTGAATATGAAAAAGTCATGGCACCCCGTGCTCTTGGTCAATCAAGAGCGCGTGTGGAAGGCCGAGAAAGCAGCGGTGAGCTGAAAGAGTTCTAGGACGTGATGATGTGACTGACCATGCACAGAACGAGGAGAAGAAAAAGCTTGCTCAGCTCAGGAAGGAACAGGAAGAAGAGAGGCAACTTGCTGAACTCCAACGGCTGCAAGAACAAGCGACTGGAAAGAAGAGGGTCGAAAAACTTGACTGGCTGTATGCCGCTCCGTCCAATGAGGGCGGAGCGTTGGGCAATGCGAAGATCAGTCAGAGCCAGATGGAGGATTATCTCTTGGGAAAGAGGAGGGTCGATGAAGCCCTAGCAGGGCAGGATAAGAACGTGAGTTTGTGATGGGAGACCAAAAGAGGATCGAGCAATTGGCTGAAGATCTTGCTCCTTGTGTTCAGGTCGGCAACATGGACAAGGAATTCATTGCGGTTCAAAATGCCAACTCTGCTCGAGATACCGCTGCGAAGATTCGAGAAGACCCTCTGTTGGCTATCAAAAGACAAGAAGAAGCTGCTCTCAAGGCGCTTCGTAATCGTCCTGACATTCGGAGACAGCTCAAAGCCGCTGCAGCGAAGGAACAAGGTGAAAGTAAGGAAGAGCGTCGAGCGAGGCGGAAAGCTGAAAAGGAAGAGAGGAGGCAAGAGAGGCATGAACGAAGGAGGCGAAGAGGTCATCACGATCACGAGGATGACTCGCCGAGGTCAGACTACAGTGACGAGAGGAGCGGCGATAGGGCCGGTAGGAGGAGAAGGGAAGATCGGTATCGGGACAGAGATTATTCCCCTAGCCCACGGAGATACAGTGATCGTCGAGATCGAGATGAGGAACCACCACGACGGGGGGATCGGTACCGTGACGAGGAGAGATACAGGGAACGGGGACGATCGCGATCTCGATCGCCAAGGAGATATCGCGATGAGTACGATTCTCCACCTCGACGACGTGACCGGGAGGAACCAAACAGAAGCAGGTCAGATCGACGCGTCGTGGACGAGGAGGAACTGCAAAATGGCGGTGGATCGCGGGTCAACGGTCACTCGAATGGTCATGGAGACCAGCGCTCGCATGGATTTGAAGATGGACGAATCAACGGTCACTCGAATGGGCACGATAACAGTCACTCGAACGGACAAACCAACGGTCATTCTCGCCGGACTCACTCCTCTCGTCCCTCAGCTCTCGACATGGCAGATCGACCGACCTCATCCCGTCCTCTGGTCCCATATAATGGCTCAGCACACTCTCAATCGCTCGATGAGATGCGCGCAGCTAGACTGGCTGCCATGACGGCATCAGCTACGGATCTGCAATCGTCTCGGGATAAATCCCTCGCCATGCGTGCTGAGCAAGATCGCAAAGAGGCTGAGAAGGATGAACGTTTGCGAGTGAAATATGGACAGGACGTTGCCAATGCTGGTTTCTTTAAAGCTCAAGGCGAGATGGGCCTCGGAGAGAGTTTGCAACGACGCGGAGGCAAGGGATTGCAACGAGAGAGGGATTTCTGAGGGATAAAAAAAATCTCTGGACTGGACCAGACTAGCTCCCTTTGGACGAGGCATTTTCTACACGAGATGGATCGATTGGGTACTGGATCTATGAAGATGTTATGGTCTGGACTAGGACCATGTTGGCCTACGCGACAAAAGAAACAAAGAGTCACGGAGGCGAGCTACATGATGACAATCTCTTGGAGTTAGCCGCCTAAACAATTGATTGCCAATATGGCGGGGGGAGATAAGGATTGGGAGGATTGTTTTTTTTCTGAGACGACTCGGACCAACTCACTCCGTAGAGAGAGAGAGAGATTAGGCGAAGTACCGTAGCATCTAGTACGGTGTCTAGATTGCAACGGGACCACTGTTTGCATGTGTTATCTGTCTCTTCGAGTTGATTGACTTCTGGCCCCTCTTGCATATATATTAAGCCCCCAAGGGGAGTCAGGCGGCGGTGTGTCGTCATTATTATCTTTTGAAATTCAAGCGACTGCCACAAAAATCCCCCGCCAAATGACCTCTATCTCCACTTTGTCTCCTCCTCCACCACCAGCAGCGAGAGCGAGAGCAGCAGCAGCAGCAGCGACACAACATCATCATCCTCCATTCCAGTTCAGACTCACCAAACCACCAAAGGTCAAACCATCTCCGACACCTCATCAGATCTCCTCTTCATCCTCCTCCTCCTCTTCGTCGTCCAGCTCATCACCACCTCGGAGTAAATCATTTATCATGCCGAATCCGGAGAGCATCATTCATCCAAAGGCAGTCGCTGTGATCACAGGCGCAGCGTGAGTCTTTGGCGTCCTGTATTCTCAGCGGAGACTAACGAGCTGACTGTGTCATCATTTTGACTGCTCCTCTCACCCCTGCCTGCTGTTGCTCCTCGCCATTCATCACCTTGCGGATCACATCTCATCATTACACGTCCTGGCTTCGCTTTGCTCTTTGCAGTTCCGGAATAGGCTTGGCATGTGCTCATTTCTATGCCAAAGCAGGCATGTCGGTCGTCCTGGTGGATATCAACGAAACGGCTTTGAAGTCTGCCGAACAGAATATCAAGCAGGTCCCAGGTGTTGGCGAAGTCTTTTCCATGGTTGTTGACGTTAGTATTGTTGAACAAGTGGAGGGCTTGCGCGAGAAAGTCCTTGACGTCTTTGGAGAGGTCAGTAGAATTCCTAAGATTGAGATCCTTCTCGACTGACGCTGTTCAGGTCCATGTCCTCCAGAACAATGCAGGTCTCGGACGACCTACACCTGCTTTCTCCCTAGATAGAAGTTTAGCCGACCTTCAAAAGGATTGGGATACAGTTCTCAACACGAACTTTAGAGGGATCCTCAATGTCGCTCAGGCTTTCGCGCCTCACATGGCCAGGCAAGAGAACGATTCAGTCATCATCAACACCGGAAGCAAACAAGGCATCACTTGTCCTCCGTGAGTGGACAGTCTACATAGTGCGACACAGTTGGTCGCGTGCTCACTTTTTTTGGGCCAACAGTGGTAATGCGGGTTACAATGTCAGCAAAGCCGCCGTCAAGACCTTTACAGAGCAGCGTGCGTTATTCTCGTACTGAACACAAGTTGACACTTGGTCCAGTCGCTCATGAACTCCGAAACACTGCGCCTGGCAACTGCTCAGCGCATCTCTTTGTGTGAGTCTTCTCAGACAGACCCTGCCTCGGCCATCAATCTCATGACAATAAAGGCCTGGATGGGTGCATACTGGTCTCACGGGAGCCGCAAAAGGAGGTTCTAAGCCTTCTGGCGCTTGGACACCTGAGCAAACGGTCGATTACATGACCCACAAGATCTTTGAAGAAGGAGACTTTTATGTCATTTGCCCGGATAACGAGACATCTTCTGTGGGTCATACTCATCTTCGTCAGCAAGTCCCGCAACACACGACTGAACTCCTCTCAGGCAATGGACCAAGCTAGGATCATGTGGAGTCTCGGTGATATAATTGAGAACCGACCCGCGCTGTCACGATGGCACCCTGAATGTGAGCACTCGCGAGAACAGACAGTACACTTGCTGACTGTTTCAACCAGTCTCTGCCAACTTTGAAGATTTCATGGCTGCCCGCCTTGGTCTCGGTGGCAGGAGTAGGAGTCGAGGTCGAGCCGTGGACCGAGTTTCAACCCCTCAACCTGGGTTATTTGAGTAGCCCGAGGCCCAAGCTCGGTCTGGACAGTATGGAAGTGAAGTTGTGGGTGGTGGGAGATGGGGAATGGGAAGAATACACGCGAGATTCGACTAAAACCAAACGTGGGCGCTTTAGAGTTGAAGAATTTCACAGACAAATGTAGCCAGAAAGAATCACCAACTTGCATATGATGCGATTCAGACAAGATGCCGTGTTGATCCGCTGCTCTCTGCCTGCCTCTGCCACTCCTGAATTCGCTCGTAGAGCTCCAATTCTTCCGCTTCTATCTCTATTAATCGTTCGTCCAGAGCCTTTCGCTTGGCTTGATACATGACCAGCATTTCCTCGTTGGTGCGCTTCTTGATTGGGGACCAAGCTTTGAGTGTCTTGACAGTGGCATGAGTGAATCTCTTCCAGAGTGATTGATTCGGTTGCTCGGAGGGGTTGACCGGTGTACTCGGCATCTGAGTATCGACAGGTAGATTTGATGGGCTCAATGGAATCGTGTTCGGAGTCAGGCGAGGTTTTGGAGGATCGAAAATGTCTCTCTTGAGCATTCGAAGGGAATTGGCAGAGAATTGAAGGATTGAACCTGCGACCATACCTGAAAAGCCTCCTCTGACAGCTCGTCTCGGACCGCCTGATGTGGGATCAGAAGACGCACGCGGATATTCCGCAAATTACTTACCTATGATCCATACGGCCCCTCCACCTACTAACCCGCCTGTCAATCCCGAATCGAGGACTCTCTGTGTCCTCGTCTGCCACCTGGTCAACTCCAGTGTCGGGTCATTCAAATCGGGAAGTTTGCCTTGTCTTTTTGCTGATATTTGCTGATTCAGGATGGCGTGTGTAGATGAGACTTCGTAGCGAGTCAAAAAGGGTGAGATGATGTATTCTCGGAGGCCTAACGAGGAGATCAGATGAGATCAGCATCCGGCGTTCAGAGGACTTGCTTGGCGAGCCGAGCCGAGCCGCCAGCTCACCGTAGAACGTCGAACTGGCCATGAACCATCGACCGCCCATAGTAGCTGATGCTGAGAAAGGATTGCGTTCATTGAACATCCCGATAGAGGCGCCGGCAGCAGCTCCAGTTGCGGCTGAGAGCATAGGTCAGCTCAAAGCTGCAGTCTCAGAGATGATCGTCTTCCAAGAAGATTCAAGTTACGCACTCAGGACGGTCACAGCAGCAGCTACGAACAACGGAGTGGTATCGTCCTGAATCCATGGTTCAGATTGAGCGGCTCTAGATGGTCCAGAGTCTGCCATGGTAGCTGTGCTCGCCATCGCCATCCTGGTATGGTCTGCCTAAAGAGTATGTTGCACCCGACTTTGACGGGGGGTACCACCAACTTTTTTCTGAGTTGTCTGAAAATTCCCCAAAGTGGCAATTGCAATTATTGGATTGGAAAGACGCGAAAGACGTGTTTACAATCAACCTTCATCATTTATCGTTGTTGTTCAACGACTGGAACGAGGTTGGAAACCATCGATGAGCTGGATTGAGGTGACGAAGATCCTGCGAACCGCTTGATCGAGTCAAAGGCTCACAGACGTTAAGGAACTGCTATCATTGCGCCGGCATTCTTTCTTCCAACTCGCTCCCTGATTCATTTCTGTCAACATGGCAGCCCTTCAAGGCTTGTTAGACTCGCCTTCAGGCAATTCTACCGTCATGGCTGGTGGAAAGACCTTACCCGATGTATCACTTGGGTCCATCGGATCTAGTTTTCGCTCCGAAGATCAAGATGTCGGTCGAAGGGCGTTCAGAACCCCAGCATCCAAAGGTCAGTTAAGTGTCGGGACATTCAGGTCCATCGAGCATCTGTCTGTCTGATTGACACCGCTTGCGACTCTCTAGCTCCGAACCTCCCAGCGATCATATCCCCAGAGACTTCTCATTCTGCTTCTCTCGCCACTCCCTCTCCCCAACATCCTCCGTCCTCTGCTCTGTTGACTCTTTCGCCGAATCAACAACGTCAACCGATGATCCGGAAATCGAGTTCAAATTCTGAACTACGACGACCCGATTCCGCCTCGAGACGCCCACGAGTCCTCAGTCGAATGTCTATGGAATCTGCGAACTCAGAAGACAGAATAGCGGCAGGACGGTACGAAGGCATGGAAGATGAGGACGAAGATGAGGATGTGACGCCAGGGACGGCCGCTGGAATCCTGAGTACTCTATCCATCAACGTCAGTCCTGCCAAGAAGAGGGGCGGAGTGGAAGGGAAAGGTGGCAAGCAACGAGGAGGAAGACATAGTATTGGCCCGGGAGACGTCTCTGGAACGGGACCTCTGACATTGAGAGACCAAGAGCAGGTAATTCGTGCTGTATCTCGAATGAGGAAGCCAAGCTGATAGTTACGCAGCAATTGAACGCCGCGAAGAAGGACATTTTCAACCTTCAACTCGAGAATCACTTCCTCAAAGAGCGACTGTCCAATATGGCTCCGGATCATATCGAGGCTGCATTGAAAGAAAACGTCAAGCTCAAGCTCGAGATCCTCAATTTATCCAAAGACATGAAGAGGTTGAAAAAGCTGTTATTGCATCAAGATAAGGATCTGGCCGAAGCCCAACGAGAGAGGGAGGGCGGCGATCGAGGTGCGAAAAGTCGCGAAGCAGAGATACGCGAGTTGGAGGATATGTACCAGAGGGAAAAGGAGCGTCGGAAAGCGGCTGAAGATCAATTGGCTGGCGGTGGAGGGGAAATGGACGAGTTGAGAGCCACTATTGATGATCAGGCCCAAGAGATGGAACGATTGCGTGATGAGGCGGACCGCGCTAAAGAGGAGCTGGACGAGCTAAAAGTTAATCTGGGCGACAGTCCTGCATCAAGTCGAGATAGGGAGGCGAGGATGATTGCGAGGTTGGAAGAAGTCAGTGCCTGCTCACGGCCAGAAGCTTGTCGATTACTCACACACCTTCAGGAGAATGCCCAGCTGCAGGCAGACGTCGAAGCTCTGCAATCAGAAGCGCCTCGAGGAGGAGCCGATGTGGAGGAGCTGGAGAATGTGAGTTCAGAAATGGGGCAAACGGTTTCGTGCTGACATTATTGAAGCGAATTAATGAGCTTCGAGATCAACTCGCTGCCGCTCAATTGGATTTGGATCGCAGAGATCAAGAGTTCGAACAGCTCAACGAGGAGTTGGATTCCAAAGTGAAGGGTCACGAACAAGAGATCGAACAGCTCAATGAGGAGTTGGATTCCAAAGCGAAGGGTTACGAACAAGAGATCGAACAACTCAATGAGGAGTTGGAATCCAAAGCGAAGGGTCACGAACAAGAGATCGAACAAGTCGAAGCAGAGTGGAGAAACGAGGTCCTGGAAGCGAGATCGCAAGCCGAGGAGCTCAAAGATGCGAGTGACTCAAACAGAATGGAATTATAGGGCTGACACTCTATCCGTCCAGGCCCTTGAGATCCGCGAACAAGATGTCAAGGAACTCCGAGAGATCTTACAGGAGCGTGAGGAAGATCTTGCTGCTGCAATCGAGCAAGTCGAAGAGCTCAAAGCTGCTCGAGCCGAGACTCATGACCGACTGGAGGATACTCTTAGGAATATTGAGATGGACAATGCTGAGAAGGATGCGGATCTCCAAGCGGCAAACAGAGAAGTCGAAGAGGTTAGTGCTGAGGCATGGTGTTATTTGGCAATTGACTCTTGCCAGCTCGGCCAGCGTATATTCGACCTTGAAGACGCCGTTGAGCAATTCCGAGCGTCTGAAGACAATCTTCGAGCCGAACTCCAAGGTGCCGATGAGGCATTCGAGAACTCCAAAACGCAATACGAGACGTTTATCGCCGCGCTCAAGGAGGCTCGTAAGAAGCTGCAAGGTGAACGAGATGATGCAATCGCCGATGCAAGGGAGGCAGAAGATCGAGCGATGAACGAAAGAGAAAAATGGAGGTCTGAGAGTCGGGCAGAAGTACAAGACCTGCGCAAGCGACTGTCGCAAAGCGAAGAGGTGAGTCGGCCCAATGACCTGGCGGTTACTAATAGTGTCGCAGCTCGGAGCCCAGCTTCAGTCTGAACTTGATGCTGCTCAGGACATAGTGACTCGACGAGATAGAGAACTCGAGTCTGTACAGAGAACCGTTCAATCATTGGAGGACGAACGAGATCGACGAATGAGCGAAGGCAGAGACTCGGTTCGACTACAGGGTGACATCTCTCAAATGAGACGGGATCTCTCGGCTGCTCAGGACGAATTAGAGCAAGCGAGAAGCGATCTTGCAAGGACTGAAGAGAGAATGAGACAGAGAGATGTCGAGAAGGGTCAGATGGTCAGTCGACTCGATCTGTACAGCGGAGTGATGATCTCACCGCAATAAATAGCTCGATAAGCAGCGAGATCTGGAGAACAGACTCGCATCGGAGCGGCAGGGCCGACTCAACATGTCTGACAAGCTCGATCTCGCCAACAAGGCGAGTTATCTGTGCTTCGCCTCGTCTTCATACCTGACCTTGAATAGAACGCACGCCAGCACGAACGCGATGCCAACAGTCTTCGGGAGCGATTGGAGGAGCTCGAACCCATGTTGACGGAGACTCAACAAGAGAGATTCCAACTTCAGCGACAGTCTGAGCAACAACGACAGGAGCGCAGCGATTTGTTGCTCAAAGTACTGAAAGATATCAACCGGTTCTTGGGTACGGAGGTGGGTTAGAAACTGCTCGTTCTCATGACTGACCGCTTGTATCAGGACCAAGAAACTCCTGCCAACTTTGGCGTGTTCCGAGATACGCTCTTGACCAGACTTCGGGCCATGACTGGAGCTAAGTCTGATTGGGAGAAACGAATCAAGGAGTCCGAGGCGTCGATGGATCAAAAGATGAAGTGGGCATGACGATTCTATGTAATGGGGGGCCGGACTGACGAGTTCTCTTTTAGCAATCTGAAACGGCAGTTGGAGGCAAAATGGAGAGCTATTGACAGCTTTGAAGCTGCTATCAAAAAGCTTGAAGCGACGCGATTGCAGTGGAAGAACAAGTACGCTGCCAAGGCTGGCGAACTTGAAGCGGCAAAGGTAAGTCCGCCCGGCCGAAGGTCTGAAGCCTTACTGACCTCATTCTGCTTCTTCAGGCTCAAAATGCCGAATTGGCTCATCAACTATCCGGCTCGAAACCTGCTGAATCACCTGGTGGATCATCGGCTGCTCTCCGAAGTCTTACGGAGCGAGCACAGGCCGCCGAGAAACGTTCTCAGAACCTGGCAAATCAGCTCTCCCATCTCGAAGCCAAGCTCGCCGAAGTTCAGGCAAAGGCTGGTCAAGCGGAGGATCGATGGGCCGCTCGAGTCAAAGAGTATGAGAACAGATTACGCATTGCAGGTGAAAAGATCAAGACGGAGAAACAGGGTGGAAAGGAGAGAGCTAGGCAATTGGAGGATCAAGTCAGGTGGGTCACAGCGATAGTAGTCTGGCCGAAATATTTAAAGCTGACGCTTCATGATCAGGGAGCTTGAGAAACATGTCGATGCTGCTAGAAAGAGGAATCTGCGAGCCGAAGGTGTGGTGGCTTCTGCTGCTCATCTCATACCGGATCCTTGAGCGATGGACCGAGGGATACCAGATGATTCTTTATCTAATGTGTAATGCGTATCGTATGAACATTTGCCTGGGAACCACCGCACAAAGGGTCGTTCCACTGGACCCAATGTGATGGTGCATGTACAATACAAGCTTTTCTGTCGAAGGTGGATTAGAACGCCGCGGCGCTCACCAGCTTTGTGAGCTCTAAAATTGAGGGTGATATCAGCGAAAAGCTGGATGAGTTGAGAAAGAGACTCACGGTTCAATTCTACACTCTCCTTGACGACTCCCGCCTTGACATCATTATCTCCGTTCTTTGGAACAACAGCGACATCTCCTTCGACTTTCCAACCTATACTTTCAGACCAACTTGAGAGGTCTGAAGATGACAGGTTGATCCAGTTGGACAGGCGGGCGATGGGGACTCGAGAGAAACATGAAGCGATAGAAGTGGCGATGAGGATACGGAGAGATGATTCAAGGTGAGGTTGTTGAGGGAGATATTGTTGCCGCAGGACTGAACAGTTCGGCGGGATCAGCGCTAGTTCGATATGGGAGGAAGCCGCGGGGGCGCGGAGGCAGGGTGAGAGGATGAGGTAGGCAGTCTACTCACTCTGAGCTCCCTCTTCATCTCCATTCAGAGTCTTCCAAAAGGCTGTGAACTGGCAAGTACGCAAAAGAGTGTGAAGCTCCTGTAACAACGGCATGACAGTGATCAAGGATTGCTCGTCTGATTCAATATCGTGAAGGATGGCCTGGAATGAACAATGAGCTGTTTTGTCCTCACACAGATGAGCAGCAAGGGTTCAGCTCACCGCTGGCTCGCGTAAGAGCGATAAGCAAAGGTTGAAGTCGGGACCATGAACGGTAGCTGACAATGACTTCAACAAGATGTTGATGATGACTTCAGGGTTGCTCATTTGCGGGTTGAACTGGTACCTATGGTTTGAATCAGTTATTAAGTGAAGGTTTACTTGGAACTTGCGACCACATACAGCTTTAAGATGGCCAAGTTCGCCAGAAGATCGTATTCTCCATCTTTGATCTGAGATGACAAGTACTCCTCCATGTACGGAAGATTGGATGGGTTGTAACGATCTATGAAGATGGATATGTCAATCCTCAACTCCAGTCCATAGCAAAGTGAGTCTGTGACTTACCAACGCCATGGATCAGCTCGTGAATCACCTCCTGACGACTATCTGGTGAGTGCCATTGTTTCAGACTCTTCTGAGGCACAGCCTGAGTAGCGTCGACCATGGGTGAGATTGAGGTTTCTGTAGGAGCAGCTGAACGATATATAATGAGCGAAATGCAGAGGAGAATGCAACACGAACAACTTTTGTCAGAACTACCGATTGACATGACGTGGCAAAAATGTGGCCAGAGCCGCTTGATAATAGACGCGCCGCCGCGGTGTTTCAGGTTTGTTGAAGCGAGCGAGATACGCTTCACGACGACGGCGAGGGCGTCCCATGACATTATTGAACAGGACTCATACCACCGAAAACCGGCATTGAGGCTGCGCGCGATGGACACGTCATGACGACTGTCGAAGCTCCCATCGGAGCTAAAGTCCAAGTGACTGCTGGTGTGGGATATGTTAGATGGACCGGTGCGAATCCAGGATTCGCAGCTGGAAAATGGGTCGGTGTGGAATTGTGAGGGTTTCTGAAGGTTTGGTCTGAGTCGAGCGTCCTGATCTTTGAGCGATCTAGACTCGAGCCCTCAGGAAAGAATGACGGATCTGTACAAGGTCAAAGATACTTTGATTGCAAGCCTAAACATGGTGTCTTTGTGCGTCCAAGTCAGGTCCAGATTCTCGAGCTGCCAAGGACGTCCACCGTGAGCTGAACCCGAGACGAAGTCAACTCAGCGCTCAGTTTGTTCTCAGTCTCGAGCTGGCAGTCGACTAGGAGATACAGGCAGTGGATCAATATCCAGTATTCAGAGCAGAGCGACGTCGCCTCAAAAGACATCAGCTTCTGGACTGCGTCCGACATCGGGAGCGAACACGCCTCAACCCCTAGATTCTCGCCGCTTGAGTACGAGCTCTGCAACTGCTCAAGGCACTCGACTGGCTCCAAGCGCTATGAAGCGGCCGCCTTCTGTCGCGGAGAGACACCAATCGGGATTAGCTGAGCACAGCAGACCTCCATCCGTCCTCGGAGCCTCGCCGAGACCACCTACTTCATATCGAGCTCAGAGTCCGCAAGTTCCGCCGCCTCCTCAGTCTCCTAACATCAGCCAGGTGGAAATGCCACCGCCTCCACCTCCAAATCCTCAGAAATTTCCCTCACAGAACTCAATGATGGCAGACCGAGCAAGTGGGACCACCTCCCGAGCCATTTCAGCATCACATTCCCCAGTCTTACCTGCGACCGCGTCGCCTGTTCGACCTGAAACGCCTCTACCGGGGGGCAGAATATCTCCTTTCAAGACTGAGACCTCTGTCGCCACCCCGTTCGGACAGAAGAGAGAGCTCGAAGAACTCAGGATCAAGGTTCGGATCCTGGAGAACAGACGGACAGAGGATCAAGAAAAGATTCGAAGCCTAGAAGCTCATGTTGGAGAGGCAGACGCGCTACGAGCAGCCAGAGTCAAGCTGCAAGGTGAGACTGGGCCTCCGGATCGCTCTGACGACCCGCTTTCAAGCCAAATTTCAAGAATTGCAGACTTCCCTCGTTGCAGCTCAGAGACTTTCGAAAGACCTTCAATCGGAGAATGCGCATCTGAAAACCCGAGCGGCGGATGCGACCGATCAGCTGGAGATGGCAGCGTTAGATAGAGAGGTAGCAGAAGAGAAGGCAGAGGCTGCGGAAAACGAGGTGAACAAGTTGACAGAGAGACTCGCCGAGCTCGAGATGGAGATTGCGGTTCTCAAAGAGGAGAATGGTAAGCTTATGAAAATTGCTCGCGCGCTAGCTCTGGCTCACGGGTCTCTCAGCCGAGTACGAAAAACCCGTCGCGGGTCTTGATGGCGAGAAGACCTCACTCGCTTATCTTCAACTTGAGAAGCACAACGAGCGGTTGAAAGAGGCTCTGATCAGGTGAGTTACTAGGTGAGACAGTCTAGCTCACTCGTTTCCAGACTTCGGGACGTCTCCTCAGATACTGATCGAGAGCAAAAGTCAAAGATACAAGATCTCGAGAAGGAGCTTTCGTCCTACGAGGGTCTCATCAGTGAGTGGCCTGATGCCATGGGCTGTCCTTGACGGACTAGGCCGATTTGAAATGTCCGAAGCGAAGCTTGGGAATGCGGAAGCACAGATCGAGGATCTCAAGTTACAGCTTGATGATGCGTTGGGTGCTGAAGACATGCTGGAGCAGTTGACGGATCGCAATCTGCAGATGAGCGAGGTCAGCAGCAGTCGCGTGTCGCTTCAAAGGGCAGGACTGACATGAATCAGCGCATGGAGGAAATGAGGGCCACGATCGAAGACCTCGAGGCACTCAAAGATCTGAATGACGAGCTGGAGGAGAATCACGTCGAAGCAGAGAAGCAACTGAATGCTGAGATTGGTGAGGATTTGTTGGGAAAGATACGAGAGCTCATCTTGCCTGTATAGACACATTGACTGGTCAGCTACGGGACGAGCGCACGAGATCTGGCGATCTTGATGGCGTCATTCTGGACATGTCTTCAACAATCAATCAGTTCCGAGACCTCGTCGGAGATCTCCAATCGTGAGTATGCAAGGCTATGGGTGATGAACACAATTCACGCGGCTCCGCAGTGAGATCGACGAGCTACGAATGCAACAAGCGAGTCAAGAGAACGAATCGAGCACAACGTTCAAAGAGGCTCAGGCACTCATGAACCTCAATCTGAAGCTCCAGTCCTCGGCTGCCAAAACCCAGAGTAAAACCATCGAATTGGACTTGAAACAACTCGAAGCCGCTCAGCTCGCAGAGCACTTGAAGATTGTGACTGCATATCTCCCCGAACCCTACACGCAGACAGAAGCCGACTCGACCCATCTATACTTGTTTTTCCTCCGCATGACCTCAAAGACAGAGATGATCATCTCGACCATCTCGGCCATCCATGGACTACCATCATCGCTTCACAGCGCGTCTTCGGAGACCTTAGTGGGCGTCTGCGAGCTTCGTGGCAAGCTGAGACACTTCGGTAATCTCAACCGGAGGTTCTCGGCTGTCATGCTTCGGTCGCCCTCAGACGCCTGGACAGGCTATGGCAAACTGCTTACTGAAGTTGCAGGCGTGGAAGCCAAAGTCGATACATGGATCAGCATGATCCGACACGACGCGTTCAGCGAGGGTGATTGTGCGAGAGATCTTGGAAGCTTGATCGCACAATTTGATCATTTGGCGGACACGGCCTTCAACCGTCCCGAGCTCGATGTTCCAGAACAGCAATTGGGCCTGGCATTCAGCTTCGATTACGACTTGGACAATTTTGCTGCTGCCGTTGGCTTTGCCCGGCAAGCCATCGTTGGCTTGACCAAAGAGGAGGGTGAGTCGAAATGGGCACAACGCGGCTGACACGGGTCAAGACAATGTAATTGATGAAGGGGTATCATCTCTGGCTACCGCAGTATACGAACCTGTTCAACAGATCTTGGACCTCGTCAGGAGCGTCAAAGTCCCTTCAGGGTGAGTCGTATCCCTATGAGGGATACAGCGTACTTATCTGCCTTTCAGCAAATTGGTCAGCGAGATCCAGACAGTCCTACACGTTGACTCGGCACTATCACCTGATGTCACTGTCGCCCTTTCATCGATATCCAATTCCGTCTCGAATGCCGTCGATCTGGCTGTTCAGCTAGCTCAGCGGATTGGCGCACACGTCGCTTCCTTGAGAGCGACCAAGGAGCCCCTGCGACTGGCTGATATCGAGACATTCCTGGACGAAGTGACTGCGGAATCGTCCAAGGCTAATGAGGCTCCTCCTTGGGAGCTCATCAGCATGTTTGTGCAGCGCATAGGAGCGGAAATTGGTGCTCTGTTGCCCAAGGTCCGGAGCGCCATCAAGTCTGAGCAGGTTGTGCCGAGTGAGCCATAGCATCCCGTGCCGTGTCCACCGCTGACTTCCACATAGTGGATATTCCCGCGCCTTGGCTCGCGCGCGTGGCAGCCATCAGAGATGCAGCATCGTTCAACGCGGATACTGAGCGAAAAGTTGTGCGACTTTCTGAAGAGCTCAAAGATATGCTAAGGGAGATCAAACTAAGAGTAAGTCAACTTGTCCAGCATTTTGCAGGTTGTTGTTAAGACTTGCTTCAGGACCAAAGTCTACAAGAGAGTGGTGTAAAGATTGAGACTCTAGAGCGACGAATAGAGGCTGGTCGACGGCAGGCCGAGCAGATCATCGAATTGGAGAACGATGTTGCCAAGGCGAAGAAACAGGAGAAAGTCTACGAAGACGCCATTGATCAACTGCAAAAGGATCTCGATGTTCTCGAAGCCGAAAATGCTCAATTGGGCAAGAGGCAGGCAGGTGATACACGACAAGCAACGGGGTCGTACCCTGAGCCGCTGCATCTCGGTGCGGTTGGTGTTGAGGCGTCGCAACTCGCCGAGCAGGTCAGTCTTCATGGAGGCGTTAGGCGTGTTCTGACGCGAATGATTAGGTCGAAAATCTTCGCAACGCCTTGCGGTATCTGCGGTCAGAGAACGCATTGCTCAAGTCGAAGGACTTATACCGCGGCCTTCATCTCCTTCCTGCTCTACATTATACCCCTGAAGACCCGTTACCTGAGCTTGAGCAATCGTCCCCCGGATCCCCATTGTCTGAGACTTCTACTTCTTACCCTGTCACCCCAACGAGGCAATCACTGGAAGCAGAGTCAAAACTCCTCTTCCGCGAGATTGCAGACTTCCAAGCGAGTTCAAAGATTGTCGATATCTCACGAGCTGGGAAGAAGGGCTGGCACAGGCGGAAAAGTGGTCCAGAGGAGCAGGTATGGAGTTGGAAGCTCAAAGAGAAAAGGTTACGAGAACGGGTTGAGGATTTGGCACAGAGGACCAAAGTACTGGATCACTACCGATGATGAGGAGATCGCATCTGACGACATCTTACGAGTAGTGAAGACATGTCAATTGTAGCTTGGAACTTTTGACTGAAATGAGAACACCTCTTAAGGTATGGTCCATCATGATAATACACTATCTCCCGCTCGGCATCCATCTATTTGAACAAGAATTGGCAACTGTATACCTTTTCATCTGCGTCCCAATGCTCCCAGACTGATTCGGGGTCTTCCTCCTGTTCGACCATCTCTTTAGCCGGTATGGCGAATGCTATCGTTTCGTATGGTTCCGCGGCGAGCTATGCTGAAGTCAGCTTGGCTGAGTGTAAGGAATTCCGAGAGGTACGTACGACGAGATACTGTAAAGCTCGATTTGGTATCTCTCGACGCTGCTCGAAAGCCGACATGAACCTCCGCCGTGGTCTCTCTCCAGCTTTGATCTCGGGTAATGAGACGGTGAATAAGAGACCCATCCGTTGATTTGTAGGTTCGCGAATCTTGATGATTTTATAACCTTGAGGTCCAGGATCAGCTCATCAGAGTCTTCAAAGATAGGCATGCGTCATGTATACACTCACCCGGTCTCCCAATCTTCACAAACACTTTCTTCCTGATGGTAGGCGCCTGGGGAACCTGAGTCTGCAGTTCTAAATCTTTGTTCTCCCTCGCCGCTCGTCTAGCCAAATTAGTCTGATGTTTCTTCCCCTGCGTGTGAGCAAGGTAAGATCCTTCATTGACGTGCAGTGTGAGACATAGACGACATTCCAATGTACCGAGATGCGTTCGAAGGATATATGGGTCCTGATAGCGCCCTTATCAGCCAGTTTACAGGGGAAACATCGTCACAAGAAAACTCACTTTGGCGAGATCGATAGTCTCCAATGCCAACTTCCGTAATCTTTCCCTCCGATCAATGGCAGTCTCAGCAGCTCCAGCTGACACCATAGGTCAGATGAAAGTGCGGTAACAAGCTTTTCACACTTCTGACTCACCGACTCCTCCTGAACCCTTGTTCGCACCTGCTCGATTCTGAAAGAAAACAGTATCAGTGACTGCTTCACATCTCGACCTGAAGCGCCAGACACACTTGATAATCTGGAAAGAAGGACGTTCCATCAGCTTCCATCCATCTTACTACATAGGTTGGTAGTGGAACTCACCCATCCTGACGTTTGTTTCTCCAAATCAGTAACCTACAATTGCATGAAGCTGAAGAAGTTGAAGAGCCAGCGAAAAGAATGTCACAAGCCACGTGGTCAAGCGGCAAGAACCATCGATGTATTATCATCAAGGCACATCGCTGAAATTTCAAGTGGTCAAGTCACTGAATTGAGCGATACGTCTATACGACATGTCGCTGTTCTCGTCTGCATTCGATGATGGTCCATCATTTGGTGCAGGACCCTCACGCTCCCCAAAGAGCGTTCAACAGGCATCTTCGAAGGGCGTAACTGGGCGACAGCAGGAGACAAAGACCAAAGCTCGACCATCCACGGGTCAGTCTCATCAAAACGAGAGCAGCAGCCACAGAGATCGTAACCAACAACAGGCATCGAGGGGATCACGGCCGTCAGAAGTGAGGGATCAGAAGAAGAAGAAGTTGAAGGGCAATGCAAAGCCACAGTCTGGGCAAGCGGGTGCCATGGACAGAATCGAGGAGACCAAGCGGAACTTGGAAAAGCTCATGACTCGGCTGGATGGCGGCATCAGGGAGGACAAGGAGGATGCCAGACCAATGGGTTCAGGTAATGGGAACAAGAAGAGAAAGAAAGCTGTAGAAAAAGAGAGACAGGATCATGACGCCTCATCCTCACTGCCCAAAACAAAGCATCCCTCGGCGGGCTCTGGATCCACTCCCAAGCGTGCCAAGGTCAACCCTGGCAAGGTGACCCCCGGCCAGACGACGAGCGGATCGGTCTCAGGACAAACTACCAAAAAGTCTGAACCGGGAGTTCAAGGCCTTACTAAGATGCAGAAGGGTATGCAGACAAAATTGGAAGAGGCGAGATTCAGGTGAGACTGGAGCGAAGCGATAGGAAAGTCTAACTAGGTCGCAGATGGATAAACGAACAACTATACTCGAATTCATCCAGTGACGCTGTGGAGATGATGAAGAAGGACCCGAAGGTCTTCTCAGATGTGTGTTAGAGCTCTCAGCCATTCATGCTAACGTTGTTTGCTAGTATCATTCTACGCATCGGATTCTGACGGCCGCTTGGCCGACACCGCCCTTACCTTATATACTCGAGAAGCTCACTCCGTTACCGGCCAAAACCGTCATTATCGACCTTGGCTGTGGAGATGCCTCTCTGGCTCAAGAGCTGGTCCCCAGAGGCAAAACTGTTCTAAGCTTTGACCTAGTCGGAGATTCGAGGCTAGTCGGAGTGAACGGAGAAAGATCCTCGAGTACAGGTGGCTGGGTGGTAGAAGCGGATTTTCTGAATCATATACCCCTGCCTGGCCGTTCGGGAAGACAGGGCAGTCCTTCCGAGAGTCGGAGCGAGGTCGTCGATGTTGCCGTCTGCTGTCTGAGCTTGATGGGGACGAATTGGGTTGGAGGAATCTACGAAGTCTGTCGTGTGCTCAAGCAGGGGTGAGTAATCGCACATGTCGAAAGGGGATCATATGATGCAGAGGTACTTTCCACATCGCCGAGGTGACATCAAGACTCGTGTCCAATCAAGATTTCGTGGATAAAATCTCGTCGTTCGGGTTTGAGCTTGTCGAAATGGTGGGCCCTGTACCCGTTCTTTGAGCTGATGAGTTCCAGAGTTCGCCGAGTACACATTTCACCTTGTTCGAGTTTACAAAGACGACCGCCGTTCCATACGGACCTGTAAAGGGCGAAGTTGGTTGGAGCGAAAGGGTATCAGAGGGAGAGAGCATCATGAAGGGATGCGTGTACAAGAAGCGATAGTCTTGATGGGCAATGTATGCAATTATGTACCATGGGTCATGAAAAAATGCTAGGTATCATCATGCTCGTTCGCGCAAAGCAGCGAGTTAAACATCTCAGTCATCAATGACGATCACATCGTCTGAAGCCGTTGCCCGAGTCCTGCTGGAACCAACAGCAGCCCCTACCACACCTGTCCTGGGTCTCTTCGGCGCTCGTTCCCCTCGCCTCGGACGACTAGACGTTCCTCCAGCCTCGCCATCACTGTCACTATCGACCAGATTGATTGCAGCACTCGCAGATCCAGTGCCGTTCGCTAAGCTTGTGTCCCTACCGGAAGTCTCCTGGCCGTCGTCTGAGGAAAATGGATTCGATCGTCTTGTTCCGGCGACTTGAGCTGGAGGAACCGAGGTTGATGAGTTCGGACGTGAGATGGGATGGGGCCGCTGCGCAGGCATGGGATTTGGTTTTGAGGATGAGCTGGTGGTTGGTGGAGGTGGATTTTTGGGTAGAGCATACCTTGAGCCAATTAGCTTAAAGGTGCACCTCGATCAGCCATTCTCACTGCTTCACCCAGTCTCTGGCGTTCTGGTCATGCTTCGCTTTGTTTTTCTTATATTCCTGGGCGATGGCAGGTACAAGCGGATCGGACGGGTTTGGGTCGGTGAGAAGGGATGAGAGGGACAGGATCACTTTGTAGAGGGAAAGAGCAGGGGACCAAGCAGTCTTGAGAAGCTGGGAAGATCATCAGTGAGGCTTATTCAATGTGGCTTAAGCTCACGTCGAGGCCTACACCAAGGGTCAGCTGAGGAGAACAATGCAGCTAGCTCCGGTCACACTCACAAATGGCCCCGCTACTAGCGACATTGCAGTGGTACACCTTGGTAATGAAATGCAGATGCGGAGGGGAGAATCTACGTATCGTCAGGTGGATCCTCGTCAGGACTCCTTCTGATGGGCTTACGGATAATCATCTGGTATTCGTATATCCACTTCGAACACACCTCCCTCGTATGGGGATCCTTGGGGACCCGGAATGGTAGCTTTCCAAGCGAAGATGTTGGACTCGTTGGGCACGAGCGTGATGTTGCCTAGATTCTCTTTTGACAGGTCTGCGATCTGTACAGAGCTCGTGTCAGGTGACGGGCCCACCGGCAGCCTCGTTCAACTCACCTCGCGCTTGATCCTCTTCGCTGCCATCTGGAGTGAAATGAGTCAGCATCAGTGGAACCAGAACAGCTGACAACTGTGCAGAATTATGGATCATGATACTCACAGAGTTGGCAGAGGCTCCTCCCACTCGCTTAGTGGACATCGTAGCCTGGGCTCCAGCCCCAGATCAGTGACAAATTCGCCAAGGTTGAATAGGCCCGATGAGTCAATAGCGGGGAGAAGTAGAATGCGGCAGTGTTGGCCGCAGTGAGCTGTTTTCCGCCGCTGAACTGTATCTATGTTAATGAGAACCTCACCAGACTAAGGACGATGGTGAAAATCGTGGATTGTGAAGCAGAGATGAGTTGACCGGTAGATACTACAAAGTTGGACTGGAAGAAGTTTTGGAAACTCGGAAAAAGCGTGACGACGGAAGAGTCGGGTGGCAACGAAGGGACACAGCCAATGGGCTGCCTCTTTAGTCTCGAAGGCACCCAATCGAGGAGTCCTACGTATTGGATCTCATTCAATCTGCCTTTTGTGGGCTCAGGCAACGCCCTACTACCCAAGATGCATTCACGTTGACTGCCCAAGCTATGAATGTAGGACGCGAATGTGGCGATTCGCGCGTTCATACGTCGAGCAGCATGGTATGTCCAAGCGTTCACGCAGCGATCGATCCTCCTGGCTAATATCGGGACTGGACCATTCGGGAGTAGATTTGGAAGTGCTCTCATGTCATGTGATTCACCGAAAGCCTTGAGACGCATGAATGGGCTTGCAGTGTTCAGTTTTCAGCCTAGACGTCTGGTAGAAATTATCCTTTTCGGTCGGAGTGATTTTCCGTTGAGCCGGCACGATCTCTCGCCATTGTACTCGCAGTCCTCGACGCTATCCTGTATTCTATTGCAGTTCACCTACGATTATTTCCCGTCACAATGGCTATGGCTGCGACTTCCAACCCCATTGTGACCTACCCGCTCCGCCTCGACGCGAACCTCGCTGAGGGCAGTACGAGTGGAGGTCGCTCGGGTCAAGGTGGAGAGATCTCGGCGTTCCGATGTGAGTTGTGCATCGATCAGCAGCGAGCCATTTCGAGCTGAATTCAAACTGCCCAGATACTTTCAAGCCGGGCTCCGTATCTGATATCCCGGGATACGTGACTCATCATCGAAATGGCACGAAGGAGGTGATGTTTGATATCGCGGTGAGACAAGATTGTTTGCATGCTCAACTAATCACCCCAAACTAGAACGGCGGCCAACAGGTCTTTGATGTCCGCGAGGAGCCTGGCAAGTCGAGGGAGTGTGTCTTGGTCTTCGATGCTCAGGCGGGAGTGGGTGATGAACGCTTGGGATTGGCACTGACTTGGCCGCCAGGGATACGTCCTAAGACTACTACCCACCACTTACCACCTCACACTCAATCGCAACGCATCGTCAACGACTCGACCGAACACCGGCACATCTCAAGTCTCCTCTGCATCGACCGGATCCTCTGCATCTGTGCCGTTGTCTGGTCAGCGCAGGCCCGAGCCTGGCAATGACGTCTTTGGCGATACCACTCCTAGGCCAAGCAAAAAGCCTCGACCCTCGGAGCCTTCAGCGTCGCAATCGAAAGGATCGAATGGAGACCCTTTGGCATTCGCATTGACTCCGCCTAGCAACGCGAGGAGATCTGGCAAAGGGGGAACCAAAAAGGCAACGGCCAATGTCAAAGCTAAGAAAGGCAAAATCGGAGCAAAACCCAACAAGAGTGTCAAAGCTCCTCCAGTGCCCGATGGGAAGTTCAAGTCGGCGGAGATCATTGAAGACTCGGAGGAGGAGTATGACTTGGGAGAAGGGCAAAGCGATGCTCAGGAGCCAGAGGACAATGACGACGACGAGTTTGCTCGGATGGTGGGCGAATCGTTGGCAGAGCCAGATGAGCAACCTCTCCCAGAGCCGTTGATTGAAAGGAGATATGAGGATGAGGAAAGTACCAGCGACGAGGGAGAAGAGAGTGATGACGATGAGCTCGGAGGCGCGAGGCTGGTCGGCAACAATGGGGCTCGTGAGTGGATACAATGGAATTCGTCTCAGTGCTGATAAACCTGTAGCAATGAACAATGGCGAATCTGAGTGGCTATGAGCGCGCGGCAATCTGGGAGCATTGATGGCAATGAGACTCGACGGTACAACTCATATGAGGTGGACTGCCCGCCACATGCAAGAACACCGAGGCAAGGCGGCAGCGAAAGTGCCGGACGTAGCGCCGACCTAAGCAAGGCGGTTTTGCGCTTCATTGAACAATGGTGGAGCTGGGCGGGACAATCCGAGTGCAGCATACCAGTCCCATACCTCTCACGGAAGCTAGTCCTGTCGAACAAATAGCCCACAGATACGCATCAGCCCAGCTGTATCACGCGGACGAAGCCTATAACACGCGATCACGACATCGAACCCCCCTGAGGGCAATGCAGAATCACCTTCCTTCATAGGGTTGCGTCAAGGTACTCTTTGGGTCGAAGGAGGAGTCTGTATGTCGAATCGAAGGCTGGGCAATCCCATCGCGATGCTGTATCATCATGTTGATCTCGTCCGAGGCACAATTCGTTTGGACCCTGTTCGGAACTTTGCTTCATGCATTGTTTGACAGATTTGGATGTCCAGTTAGGTCCTGCTTTTCTGAACTTGTTTCTGCAAAGGTTATCCACGGTGCATGCCACAATTCGAATCGTGGGTGATCCCCGCGGCCTGCCGGCGCAAGATCTGTCCCACTAATTGCGAGACGTGCGTGACAAGCTCCACAGTGGTTTCCCACTTCGTCCGCCCGAAATAGAATCAGATGGGGCCACAATGCAATTCGGGAATCGGCGACCCGGCGATGCTGCCACAGATACCATACATATATTGATTCAGATCTAGGTCCACGGATGTCTTAATTGACCTTCCGACTATCTCGGACCTCCACCAACTCCTCCCATCATGCCAGCTGAACACATTCGTGTAGCAGTCGTCGGCTTAGGTGACTTTTCCGAGCTGAGCGTTGAACTCATTGGCTCACTGGTATTAGGTGTTGCGGGTCTGGCCGCAACGAAGAATCTCCTTGAAGCCGGTCTACAGGTAACAGCTTTTGAGCGTAACGAGTATGTTGGAGGTTTGTGGAAATTCAACGACAGCCCGGATCAGCTTTCAGTCCTCAAGTGTGAGTGCTCGACGTGTTGAAGACTCTGAATCGCATAGCTACGCACCCCAATGGCTCCAAGCATTTCGTGAGTGCTGATTATACCGAGCACACTGACCGAAGCTTGCCTACTCTGATTTTCCATTACCTGCTGGTAAGAAGACCTTTAGGAACGGAGACGCTGATGGCAGATACTCCGACGTATCCGTCTGCGAGCGTCATCCACGAGTGGTTGAATGATTATGCGAAATACTTTGACCTTGCCGATCACTTCCGCCTTGGGACCACGATCTCAAGGATAGATCAGGTCGACCACAAATTTGAACTCCACTGGTCAAAAGGAACAGAGGAGCACCGGGAGCGATTCGATCGGGTCTTGATCACTACTGGTCCGTTTCAAAGACCTCGCTGGCCTTCAATCGATGGTTTGGACAGTTCACATCCGAAAGTGCTTCACGGTCACGCATATAAGACGTTTGTCGAACCTCGTTAGAATGTACTGAGACCGAATCACAGGCCTGAGCCGTTTCGAGGGAAGAGTGTCGTGGTTCTCGGTAGCGGTAATTCAGCGTGTGACATCTGCACCGAGTTGATCGGTGTCGCCGGAAAGGTATACGTATCGGTGCGGTCGGGTAATCGTATTGTAAGTTTGTATGGAGTCTTCAGTCTTTCCTGACATTGCGACAGTTCAAGGTCACAGAGCCTCCAATCGACCGCATATTCACCCGACGTCTATTCTACAAAGGAGGTTCAGTCGAGAACACCGAATACGAATCTCAAGCCCGAGCCACTGCAGCGGCAGGCATGGACGCAGCATTCAAGAAACACTGGCCAGATTACGATCTGGAAAGTCTTCGCATGCTCCCTGCTCCGTCAAATGTTCACTCGATTCCTGGCCTCAACCCTCACTTCATTCCCGCCCTTGCAAGTGGCGAGATTACGCCAATTGCTGGGGTCAAGTCCATCGTTCCCGGAAAGATTATCACCGCGGAGGACGTAGAGATATCCTGTGATTATGTTATCTGTGCCACAGGAGGAACATTCGACTATTCCATCCTGTCACCGTCGATCGATCCAACCAATTCAAAGACCTCGGCTTGGGACGAATGTCCGCGTGCAGAGGGTCTGAAGATACCTCGTTTGTATCAAGGCATTTTTCACCCAGACGTTCCGGGATTGGCTTTCATTGGTCCGTACGAGTCACCGAGTCTTGCAAATCCGGCCGATTATGATCTCATGTCGAGCGCAATCGCACAGATTTGGGCTGAGAACCATTCACTCCCTTCAAAGGACGACATGGCGGCCTGGTGTGACAAGTGCTACGAATATCAGTTGAAGCTCGTGGCAGAGCACAAACTGCCCCGGCCCAGACTCTGGAAGTCTGAGCTGGAGAGATGGCTCAATAACGCTGCTGGGAATGGCATGAACGAAGCCTTTGCGAATCCCGACTCCGCATTACACCAAACAGATCCGGAGCTGTGGGACCTGTGTATGGATGGAGTTCCGAATCCGTACGTCTATCGCCTGTTACCGGGAAGAGAAGGGGCTAGGAAGGCGTGGCCTGGAGCGAGGGACGCTATTTTTTGGGCCAACGGGCAAGGAACCCCTCCAGTCATATGATCAGATGCGAGTACTGGCCAGGTTTCAGTCGGTCAGCAACGCATTTCAGGGAAGCGTTCAAGGCTAGCTAGCTCCTTTGTAGTCACCAGCGCGTATTGTCATCTCCTGAAATGAGCAAGGGTAAGCGGGATTCAGTTTCCAGCTGTGTCCCGAAATCGCAAAGACGTTTAGATCAACATGCAGGATGCCCCTCGGCTTGCATATCATCTACTGAGGAGCCACGAGGCATGCCATCTTCTTGTCAATTTTTAGTCATTCAAATACGCCAGCAATGCGTCAAAGCTATGGGGTCGACCCAAGAACTCGGCCACAAAGTTCTTGGCCCTATCCTGGCCTCCAGCTGAGAGGACCGTTTTGCGATATCTCTGTGCTGTCGATGGATCATAAAGTCCCTTTTCGGCAAATTGTGTGAACAGATCGAGTGAGATCACTTGAGACCACCTGTAGCAATAATACGCTGCGGAGTAGGCGGAAAGATGTGTGAATTGGAAAGCCTGATGTGTATCTGGGACATATTTGTGTGGACCATAGCGATCGACACAGATCTGCGTCGACTTATCAATGTCGTCAATCGAATCCAGAGGGTACTTGTCCAACTGATGGAGACGCAGTGCTAACGCTGCCAACGAAATTGACTTGGCGATCGTTGAAGCGCGTCCAGCCCGACGACTTTGTCCAAGCCCTCGGATCACCTCGTCGGGGATCGTTTGTCCCTGAGCGGAGACAGCGAATGACTTCAGGGTCTCAGGATCATAAGCCCACTCCTCCAGCATTTGACTCGGTGCCTCGATAAAGTCCCAATCACAGGATATCCCAGCTATTTTTGTCCATCTCTGACCAGAGGCAAATATATGGTGCAACAAGTGACCAAATTCGTGGAAGAAGGTCTTGACATTGACGTGCTCCATCAGGGCGTCTTCCCCTTGGACGAAATTGCAGACCAAACTAGCTTCCGGCAAGATGTCTCGAGATCCACATCGAATGGTGAACATGCCTGCGTGTTTGTACTTGTTGTCTCTAGGGTGGAGGTCGAGGTAAAAGCGACCAAGCACTCGCCCTTGGGCTAAGAGCTCGTACGCTACGACATCTTCATGCCATACTGGAACGTCTGTGCGTTTTTCGAACTTGACGTTGAAGAGCTTCTCCATACTTGCCAAAACTCCGTCTCGGACTCTGCCAAAAGGGAAGTACTGGCGAGCGGAAGAGGCATCGAATCCGTATTTCGTGTTCTGAACTTTGATTGCGAGATACTGAGCATCCCAAGCGGGTACTGCTTTCGGTTCAGCGTAACCTCCGACTTCTGCCAATTCTTCGAGATCGCGATTCAATCGTTCCCTCGATAGACTATCTATCCTGTCGATAAAGTCTTGCGCATTGGTCCCGTTCTCTACCATTTCAGGCTCCAGTCGATGATCTGCGTGATTCGCAAAACCGAGTAGCGAAGCGAGTTCTTGTCGCTTGGTGAATAGGTCCAGCATCACTTGGCCATTTTGTGGATATCCTCTGTTGGCATTCGCTCGGTACAGCGCTTCCCTAGCTTTGGAATCACGACTGTAATTGAGGAACGGTATCAGATCTGGTCTGTTGGTGGTGATCTTGACTTTCCCATCTGTTCCGACGGGGTGCCGTTTGATAAAGTCTTCTGGTAATCCGTCAAGTTGCTCCGGATCGACGAATATCTCTCGACTATCCTGAGCGAGGTTTTTGTCAAATTGAGTTTTGAGACTGTCAATCTCCTCCTTGATCCGCTTGATCGTTTCCTTGGTCGCGTCATCCTTATCCACTCCCTCTCTACGGTACTCTTTGAGCATCTTGTCCATCCAAAAGTGCGTAATGTCATCCTGGATCCGACCACTGGTCTGACTGGCATTTACCGCTTCATATGCTGACTTGCTCATACCCAGCTCGGTGATGAGCTTTTTGAACTCTGTTTCAGACTTTTGAGCCTCTTCTCGTACGTCCTCGTCTGGATGTACGGACCCGAACAATGTAGCATCCCCAACACCTGCCAGAACAAGGACCCAAAAGGCGTTTAGACTTTCGAGAATGGCTTCGGGATCCTTCTGAAACGAATCAGGAGAGGATTCAATGTGTCCCAGGATTGATCGTGCCTCGTCTGCTGCTGAGGTCCACCTCTTCCTGTAATCTGACGCGTCGCTAAAGATCTCAAAATCGTAACGGGGCGGCATATTGAGAATCGCTGTACCTAAAGTTTAGGGTATGAAATCCAAGCGTAGAGGAAGTACGGCGGCCCGACGCTCGATATGTAATAAAGGAGACGAACCGAAGCCCACTGTACTCCACTTGACCTTGCGCAGTAGCTACGGGCGATTCAACTTCGCCTCACGTCCCCGAGCGTGAACGTCTTAAGTCGAGAATGGATAATGAGAGTTGCCAGGTCGCGTCCAGCTGCGAGATCCCCGAGTAGAAAGACCTGACCGAGATCCGAAGCCGAGGACTGCTCTATTTCTGGAGTAGGCGTGAATCTGTAGTCGGAGCTCCAGTCTCCGATGTACAGCGGTCGTGGCCCTATAATGATGAAGAGGAACATGTCGAGGATGCCTTCAGCCAGATTGACGCACTCGGGGCTGCGTTTCACTCCGGAAGCTCATGGTTTCATACAACGACCGACGTAAATATCTCATATGCGAATCGAAGTGCCGCATTTTGGCAGTTTTCACAGAGGGTAGAAGAAAGGACAATTAGACTGATTGAGATTGGGACGCTGTCATGGGAATTGATGCATGGAGATCAATGGGCAAACCAGTCAAAGCTTTCAACAGCATCGAGACCAGCATATCCTTTGCTGGCCTGCTGTACAAGCCCCATGAAAGACAGCAACTCATCTGGGGAGTTATCTGTGAGCTCTGACTCGTCTTCTGCCGTCCAAGTAGAAGACTCGTGTGGGTCCCAATGAGAGGAAGTGGGCAAATTCGGACTGCTGGAGCTTGTCGATGTGAGGGAAGTGCGAAGTGCAATGGAGATGCTAGGAAGGGAGTTCAGCGATTCTGGCCAAGTCGTCAACCCTGTCCGAGGCGGTTCAGACACGGTGGTTCTGGTCGCCGGACTGAGGACTGCAGCTGCGTCCAATGGTGTCCACTCGAGGTCTGGTCGTTCAGGTGCGATTGGAACCCACTCTAGATCCAGTTGTACGCGATGGGGAGTAAATTGGTGTAATTCGGATGATGGGTCACTGGGGATGGTGGTACTGATTGGAGGGAGGGGTGTCAGGAATGGGATGCATGTAGACAACGCCTCACCTCTGCATCGCTTGCTTATCCTCTTCAGTCAGCAACGAGGTGAAACCCGAATGCCCGACCCTCGCACATGCTTCCACTCTGAGATAGGCAGCTGTTGCGTCGACGATGGCCAGAATTCTTAGAAGGTCCAGCAGCTGTCGAAGCGCTTTGGCATAGATGTCGTCGGTAGGCTTAGTCTGACTGTTGGGGCACGACAGGCGAGGCGGGTCGGATAGCAGAGCTGAGCCGTTCAGCTTCATCTTCAGACACCTGACTCACATTCGACCGCCTCATAGGCTACACGAGCCATGTACGGATCCGCGTTGATACCCAGTTGGACGGTGTCCAGTGCCATACCCGCCACTGCGGAGGCATGACGGATGCGATCTTTCAAGGCATCGTTTGGACTGTATATGGGCCATCTTGCACTCAAGTGCAGCTTTGCTCGGGCCAATATCAAAAAACAGCTATGCCGAAGAATGTGCAGAAGTTGAAACATGGGTCGTCTAGGGCTATGTATGTAGAGGTTGTCTTCGGTGTACGCGAGGTGAGGCGGCAGGGTCGCTATGAGGATTTTTGCATCGCCTTCGAGTGTAGCGACTCGATCTAAGAGCTCAGACAGAGATGCCGCAGATGTTGCAATTGACGTGTCGAGATCGATCACTCGTCGGCGCATCTCGGCGGTCTGGATGAGATGCGCAGAGATACCCAGGTGTGAGTGATTAGGGCACTCGTTGTGTCGGAGATCTGTCCCAGTATTGGAGTATGGCTCGCTCGCTGTCCTGACGTGGATATCTCTGAGAAAACAAGTCTCGTCCAAAGGTAGAGGGATACGATAGGAGGCGCTGTTGATATTGTATAGCACTGGGCCATTGTCGGTCAACGTGCAGTCGAGGTAAAAGACGGACCAAGCGAGACGTCTGAGTGATTCTGGCTTGAGTAAAGGGTTGAGAATGTCTGTTCGGTTCGATGGAGATGTCTGTGGGTAGGTGTCGTCAAAGTTGGCAAGGTGTAATTGATGCATCATCCTGGGGCAAGGGTGAGGCTCTGTCTCGATACTTGACCCCACCCACCTTGTAGCCATACCCAAGAGCACGTCGGCCGACGCAAATCTCCCCCTGGCGTACTCGTACGCTCTCGCCAACAGTACACTCATGAGGTCCATCGCGCCATATCCAGTAAATGCTTGCGATTGTAATACCGTGAAACCGAGGCTGAACACCTCGTCGGCCTTTAGGATTCGCTTTTCGGGCTCGTTCATAGAGTAGTCATCGAACAGAAAAGTGAGGGCGAGAACGAGATGGACAAGGGGAACAGGCACTCGATGTAGGTCCACGAGATAAGTCAGGCTGGGTTCGTGAAGGAAAGTCAACAAGCTGTGCTCTGGACGTAAGAGCGGTGTTCAGCTCAAAATACGATTGATTGATCAGACTCACGATGGACAGTCGCAAAGTATTTTCGGACCAACAGTCGCATAGATACCTCGTCGTTGATGAGTTTCTCCAGCGTCAGAGGCGCTGTCCTCGAAGCTGATACCGGTAGACCCGTTCGGGAAAGAGATTGAGAATTGGACGGTGATCGAGTACTGGCATTGTCGTCCCTGCTTGGACGAGATGTCGACTTTGGCGTGGTACTTGGACTGGTCGGAGTACCAGAAAAGATAAATGGGCTGGGTCGTGAACGTGGTGCAGGCTTATTGCGAATATTTTCCCGGTCTTCTGGGAATTCGCAAGGGATACATAATTTGGCGCATCGTGCGCATGAGTCTCGACTCGCCGCGCCCTCGCATCTTACCTAAAGGGTGCAATCATTTCGTTAGTCATCATATCGTTTCTGCGGAGAGCAACTCCCAACTGACCTTGCGGTCTCGACACGCAGAACATGCCGCTAATATCCTGAAGCGTTTCTTGGGAGGTTCGTCGACTGTCCAAAGACATTCCGAGCCGTGAGTCTGGCACTGTCCGCAGATCGGTCTCTCTTCATCGCATTTGATCTTTTGGATGATCAATCGTCAGGTAGGTGCCCCCGCTCTTACTGTCTTTCCCTAACAAAAATTGGCTCACCCGCCGACCACGACATGTCTTGCAGCCTGTTGACGATCTTCGCTCCACTGCACGATCTTGCTCGTCCATGGCTCAGCTGTCTGTCTCACGGTGTGTGTACGATGATCGTCAAGCGACTGATAAAAAGTGACGCTCGCCCATCTCACCCGCTATACCTTTCTTCGGACCGGATTTCGCCCGATCAACAAAGAAACCCGGGATGCCCGGCTCGCTCGATCCGAAACGCCGCTCTGGGGCGACACCGTACATTGGCTTTGAACACACAAACTGCTTCGAAGCATATGGAAACGAGCAGAGGTATAGATCTCAGTGTAGCTGGATGAACTTCGAGGATTCATATGGATGGCTCATGGATCATCTAGGCCAAATCTTGGTCAATTCTTGACGAGGTCGCTGACATGATCCAAGGATCGCGTGACGTCAGACTGTACGGAAGTTGAAAGGGACTTGCATGCTCAGCAGTCGCCTACTATCTCTCTCTCTCTCCTTCACTGAGCCCATGTTATTGACCAGAACTGCATTACCTTCATTCAGACTCGTTACAGCGACCCGTTTACCTTTGTCGACCTCACGACTTTTCACTACGACTGCCATCAAGATGGGATCAGACGATAAGATTATCACCGCGTTCAAGGTACGTGTCATCTAGCCGTCATCTGGATCCTAATAGCTTGACACTGAACGAACATTGATTCACAGGAACTCACCAACATTAAGCCCCAGGAGCAGAATCTTCCAGGCAAAGATGTCAACATGGACCCCTATGCGGAGTTCACCAAGCTTGAGTGTTGGGATGATGAAGGAAAGCCATATTTGAAGGAAGTAAGCGGTGATGAGGTGGAAATCGGGAGCCTGGAAAGCTGATAGGTGCAGTACCAAGGTTCTGGAAAGCTCAAGGGAAAGACGGCCATCGTGACGGGAGGTACGACTTTAATGTTCCCTCGTAGGGACATACTGACGATACATCAAGGTGATTCGGGAATCGGACGTGCAGCAGCTCAAATGTTTGCTCGAGAAGGTGCCGACGTGACAATCGTCTACCTGCCCCATGAAGAGGAAGAGTGAGTCTCGCGACAGGGGAAGAAGACATGCCCTTACTTGTGTCTCATAGTGCACAACGAACGAAGAAAGCTATCGAAGCTGACGGAGCCAAATGCCTCTGCGTTCCTTTCGACCTGATGAAGGCTGAGAATTGCAAGAGTGTGGTCGACAAGCATATCGAAGCGTACGGCAAGCTCGATATCCTTGTCAACAATGCCAGCAAGCAGATCATGGAGAAGGATCTGGCGGACATTGACGTGAGTCGAGTGTGGAAGGATGCCCACGAGCTGAAATATCTGGCTTAGCTCGAAAATGTAGAGAGCACTTTCCGAAGTAACATTCTTGGCATGTTTGCCTTGACCAAGTGAGGGGGCAGCGACAAGATGCGACGACCTCTATGTTACTGATTCGGCTTGCCCAGATTCGCCCTTCCTCACCTCAAACGAGGATCGTCCATTATCAACTCGTCCTCCGTCACTGCTTTCAAAGGCTCGGCCGCGATGACCGATTATTCGTCCACCAAGGGCGCAATCGTGACCTTTACTCGATCTCTTGCACTTCAATTGGCTCCAAAGGGAATCCGAGTCAACGCAGTGTGTCCTGGACCCGTGTGGACGCCCCTCCAGCCCGCGAGCCGACCCAGTGAGCAAATGGAGGATTTCAGTGTTGGAACTCTGCCTCTCCACGGCAGAGCGAACATGCCCTCGGAGATGGGTCCTGCCTATGGTGAGTCGCTGGCCCACTTGCTCACTCGTTGATGCGTCTAGTGTTTTTGGCCAGCGCCGATTCCAACGCCATGACTGGTCAGATGATGCACCTGGTGAGCCATCAAGATGACCCCGTGTGATCCGCGCTGATCGCTGCTGGCAGAACAATGGCCAATGGATCGGTTAGAGATTGAGCAAGAGGTTTCAACGTCAGGATGTCCCTTTTGTACGAGACTTGTAGCATATGCTCAGACAAATGCAGGCAAATGTACGCCTCTCGATACGAGCTCATCTGACCTCAGAATGCCGCGTCTTGTCGGTTTCTCGAAAACTCGAAGGGATGCGAGTACGCAATGTATTCACATTGAAGTCATCCTTCGATAGAAATGTCATTATCATGGCGTCGACTGATAGCGAGCCCACGCAGATCCTCAATTGGCTGGAACTCGCGAAGCTGTCATGCATGAAAGCGCCTTCACGCAGGCTCTGCGAAGACCGCTGCCATTTGCTCCTTCGTAGCCTTTGGCCGCCTCTCTGCAGACCGGATAGATTCGTTGACTCCGAGCTCTGTCTCTGGTGTGACACGAAGGCCTGACAAATCAGTCATACGACCGGATACTTTCACTCACGGAACGATCCTGACTCATCTTGCTCTCCTTGTACCACATTCCTTCTGAGGAAGAGAGCGACCTCTTTCCACTCTGATATCCTCTTTGCGATTTCCTCTGTGCTGATGTGTGTTGATGAGCTGGAAGCGGCGGCTTTAGGTTCCGGTGGATGTTCATTACATGGGCACGGCTCCTCTTCTGGTTTGGCGGATGGATCAGAAATATGAGCAGGAGGTGTGAGTGTAGGCGAAGCGAATGTCATCCGGATGGGGGACATGAATTGAGATCGATGAATGGGGTCATCTAGAAAAGGGGGGGGTCAGTCTGACAGAAAACTCCGATGGAGCTGGAAAAAGAGGATGGCAGACGTACCTTGGAAAGTCGTTCTTGCCGCTCGTATGATCTGCCTGTAAGCTGATCTAGCTGGACCAGCGAGACTAGAGGGGAAAGACATGGTGAGTTGGGTATATATGAGTGTTCAGGTTGCAACGCTTTCAACTTTTGACACGAGACCAACGCGGAAATCAGATCAATCTCCATACCACGTGCCTAGGGAACTGCATGCTGTCAGATATGTCACCTCCCTTAGGACATCACATCTATGCTGGTGTCTCAACTATCTATCATGCCCACTGTGAGCCCTCTATCAACTTGGCCTACGGTAGCCATTCCCCTCGCCGGTCGATTTACTCAATCGCTCGATACCGGCTAAACGTGCGCGAGTCAAATAGGGTCGAAGCTATTGGCATCAGGTATCAAAATTCCTCGGGAGTATTCTACGTTACGTGTGACTGAGGTTTTTGAGGTCTGATCGTCTTCCCGGGCAATGGGCTGAGATCACCATTGTCCCTGTCACGTATCGCCTGGACTGTATCCATCTCTTCTAGCTCGCTCGCTCGCTCGCGGGATCAAAGCCAGGGGATCGATCCTTCGCTCTCCGTCGAATGCAATCGATCATTGCTGTGCTGTGTCTTTGATGTTTTGCACAATTGCTCCTGCCCGATAGTCGCTTCCACTTGGTGCTCAAACGCCACGATGTCCCCGTGCAACGATATCGCTGCAGGGGCGGGGAGAACCTACCCCTCCCGGGTGATTCGCCGATGAAAGTAGCCAAGCAAAAGCAGCCCTAAAAGCATCCGTGATAATCGGAAAGAGTGGCAACGTACGATCACGGAGGCAAAAAGGAGAGACAAGCAAAGAAAAAAAAGACACTGGTTGAAAGAGAGTAACACGAAAAGCCACACCGGGGGGCGGGGGGGATGTGCCAATTGAGCTTTTAGCGCTTGGTCACCGAGAACGTGTCCCGCCTTTGCGTTATAGACGTCGTCGTTGGTTCTCCAGGAACGAGTCTAAAATGCTCTCGTGTCTCTGACATTTCTCCCGCCAATGACCCGATCATTGAGTGTGAAAAAGGTGCGATGGACCTTGATTCTACCCGCATCGTGCACTATCTCCTGGTGATTGGTGATTTGGTGGTGGTCGGTTATCGGTGGCAGGCACCAGCTGACTACTCGATCTGATGTCCAGGCTGTGTCCTCTACCATAGCCGCCTCTCCGTAATTTTTTCCTTCTTTTCTCCATGAGACGATCAGGATTGCGCAGTCCAGCCGCAACGGGGGGGGGGGGGGGGGGGGGAAAGTGCAAACTATACAAAAACATGATACAGAGATGTGCTCATAAGCCTCCTTGTCTTCTGACTCGTGTCCTTAAAGAACGATCTCCCATCGATGCACCAAATCGATCTACACCACCGATACCAGCGATAACTTGTGGTCTTTTTTTTGTCTTTTTTGGGTCATCACTCTGCTTAGGGACTACTGGGCGAGCGTCAAAAAGAGGCCAATTATAGCACCTAGACCAAGCCTTAATCGTCATCATCACCCACACATTCCCAACTCTGTTTAAACTTTTTCTTTCTTGGTCTGCGGTTTGGTGCTTGCGGCAGAAGTTTCCTGGCTGCGATCGCAACGCAACGTAGACGTCAGACGTTGACCCGAGGAATTTTGCCCGGGCCAGACATCATCGTTTACGGGACGAAAAAAGGTTCTGGCGATCGTCGAGCTGGAAAAGAAAACGAGGCAGAGGAGGTTGCAACACATCGTCGTTGATTGAGATACAACCAACTTGGTCGAGAAGAACGACATCTAGCAAGGCGAGCTGCCCAACTACCAGGCTGGCAAGATATCCACCTTCCGGATCCGCCTCGAATTAATCCCTACCCAATAAACTCTAGCGCGACTTTTTGACAAACCGCTCGATTCTCATTGGTCGATCTGAGATTGTCAGCTGCTGAAAGCATCACCATCACCATGCGAGGTCTTCTATACACCAGTCTGGGACTCGTTGTCTCTGCGTTGAATGTGGCGGGCTCCTCATTCACTGGCCAAAAACAATGCGACAGTGTGAGTGATAATGATCATACCTGGAGTGTTTTTTGGTGTGGCTCGTCCAGACCGGTTCGTGGCGATCGTCTTTGCTGACATCTGTCATCCAGAATATTTGTATCACCGGTCTGAGAGACAGTTCAAACGGAACTCAGACATGTGAGCACTCACATTAGTCGATGCACGTCGATTGCATACTGATGCTTGGTCCTCAGGGACTCTGGCTGGCCCAGAAGGCAAGGACTTGGGCAGTAGTCAAGTCGGTTGGATGGCCATGTGAGCGTCTAGAGCTGGGATCGACCGATGAATGAAGGCTGATGCACCCCTTGACAGTGGATTCGGCACAAAGATGGGTCAGTCATCTACAATCGTGGATGATTGAGGGATTACCTGCTGATCATCCCCATAGCCAACTCTCAGATGGTCATTCTGTGGCCTAACAGCGATGGCTCAATCACCATGTCTCAGCGAAATGCTACAGGCCACAATATGCCAAAGGGTGAGCGATGATATGCCTTCAAACCACTCATATCTCTCCCGTCGTCAGTCGTTCAGTCGCCCCCTAGAGCTGCCAACTTGATGAAATCTGAATCCTTCTCAAACTCCACCTCGACCTCGTTCACCTTCACCATCCCGTCCTCATCTGATAGCGACGCGAACAATACTCAACTCATTTACGCCATGAGCGACCATAATCCCGGCTCATCTTCTCCATCTGCCAACATTGTCCAACACAACAAAAATGGCAATATGCAATTCAACCTCTTGGCAACGTACAATCCCAATGAGGGCAATTCAGGCTCTTCCTCGTCCTCGTCATCGTCATCGCCAAGTACTGCCGTTTACGCCCATGCGGCCTTTGGTGCACTCGCCGCCATGTTGTTCCTTCCTCTCGGTGCACTGGTCCCTCGATGGGCTAGAGCATTCACGGTGAAACGGTGGTGGTTCCCTGCGCATGGGGCCCTGAATGGAATCTTGGGCTTGACCTGTGTGGTGGTGGCTTTTGCCATCGCTGCCGCGTCCTTTGATGATGGTGTTCTGGGGTCTACGCATACAGTGAGTAGAGAAAGACCTGTCCAAGCGCGCCGCTCGTAGAAACACGTTGAACTCAGACTCTTGTTCTTAGAAATGTGGTCTGGCGCTCCTTATTCTGGTCATCTTCCAATCACTCCTCGGCAGTGCCACTCACTGGCTCAAGCACAGACTCATTGAGAAATCCAAGATCGCTTGGAGACGAGGTCCATTGAACTTTGTACACATGATAACGGGTATCGCCATTATCGCTCTTGGCTGGGTCACAGTGTATCAGGGTGAGCGCGAGCGGAAGCACGGCTGCGGGCTCGTCGCGACGGACGAAGAATGGATACTGATTTTTTTTGCCTTTGCCTTTTAGGTCTCTTCAGTATGTGGTCCAGTTCATACGATTCGGCCCCTGGAAATGGCTGGAAGATCGCCTTTTGGGTCCTCATGGCTGTCCCTGCTGCGTTGTACGTCATTGGACTCGCGTTCATCCCTCGTCAACTCAAGTTGGAGCACGAGTTACACAATGGTACTACCAAGGAGATTGGTACGCCGACCGAAGAGAAAGGCAGGACATCGATCGGAAGGAGGTTCTCCCCTGCCGCTTAGAGGATCTCTCCATCTATCTCTATATACGCAGTTGAAAGTCTGTATACCCTATGATGACGACCGAGATTGAGATGAATCATAGCATAATAGTGTAATGTAGCCCAGCCACGGTGCCACATCATCAAAGTCAAAAACGCGTCGCCCCCCCAACTACGACGCGTCGCCTGAGTGATTAATGTTTCAAACGTTGGAATCCGCAGAAAAAAAATTAAAAGAACAAAAGGCCCTGGATCGGCGGACGAGTTGCCAGAGAGGCAGATACATCTCGTGAACACAATTCGATAGAGAAGCTGGGTGGAGATATTCTTAGCCCCGGAAGTCCGCATCATCTGACCTCTTCCTCCTCCTCCTCAACATCATCTGCTTCTCTGCGCGCCGACAGAAACCAAGGTAGATCGACCACGCGGAACACTTTCGTTTTTGTTTTCGTGTACTCGACCGTACCTGGTCCCAACCAGCTTGGCATCCTCTTCTCTTGTCGGTGGAACGCTCATGTCGATTCGGCGTCAAGACTCGTGGCTATGAGAGGGACCACGATGCAGGTCTAAGGACGACATCCCTCTCGCCGCGGTGTCTCCGTGCTTTGATGATTGTTGGTGATTTCAGACTTGGGAGTTGGTGAGTCTAAAGCCTCGCCCCCCGAGGCCATAGAAGGTCAATGCACACTTCATGTCCCTTTCGGACAAACTCGAACACACACACACTCCTCTTGCATTTCTTTCATTCCTGTTCATCCTCACCTCGCTGACCTCTACGCCCCCCTCTTCAGACCTCACCATCTGCTTTCTCCCAACTCCTCACGCTCTTTACACGATCATCACACTCTTTCACAATACAAAACGCCCTTGAACGAATATCTCTACCGTCTTCCCCTTTCACGACTCAATCTTGTCCTTTCAACACATAGCTCCATCACGTTAACGCGATACCTCTCACAACCATGTATGCCTCGGATAACGCACCACAAGCTGGAGGAAGGGCCAAAAAGGTCGCGGCGGCACGTGAAAAGGTAAAACTCGACCGGTACTCAGCTGTTCAGAATGCTGACTACCTTCCCACTTCCAGCTCAATGCTTTTCGAGCGTCACGTTCCTCTGGATCATCCGCTTCTTCATATTCCTCTTCCTCGCCTAATCTATCTTCTCAACCTTCCTTTCCGGATCCTTTGACCACAGACATAACTGCCAATATCCTTGGCAAATCTGGGGACAGGGGACCGCCTTGCGAGAACGCGGAGGACGAGGAGCATACGCGACTCAAGAAACCACGGAGCAGAGGCAGTTTGACCACCGACCATCGTCGACGTCTCTCTGGACATACTCGCACTCATTCGAGGCAGCTTTCGTCCGTTTCTGGAAACACCACTTCATTCGGCTTGGCCCGGGGAAATGTCATTGACCTGTTCGATCACGCTTTGACATTTGGGTCCGATCTCCCTCCGTTCCCCACAGGCTCGTCGTCTGAACAGACTGTGCCTACACCTGTGACGCCTGTCTTCAGCGACGGGATTGACGCCTTTCCACCAAACAGCTCTGATGAAGACCGAGGAGCAGTGAAGGATCGCCTCTCAAGCTTTTCATTCGGTGCCAAACCTCCTGCGCATGCTCTGCGCTCATTGTCGTCTCCCCAACCTCCTCCCTCCGTTCGACGTCTCGCCTCTCCATCTGCATCGCCTAGCTCATCACCCACTCGGCCTCTAACCACACCGTCTGCCCATGGTCCAAGTCTGCTCTTAACACGTCCAACTCCCCTCGCCTCTTCGTTGTCCCCTTCAATGGGTACTTCTCGTTCCGAGGGACCACTCAGTCCCTCGTCCACCCCAGCACGATCAAGACGCCATTCTCATACTCGCTCCAGCTCTATCTCACTCCCTAATCTGAAACTCGCCTCTCGACCACCATCCCTCGGCATCCCTTCATCCCCTTCGTTCCCCACTTCCCCAGCTTCACCCAATACCCTCATTCGATCCCAGCCGAATCCCAACATCCAAGGTACCCGACTAAAGTTTGAGCCCTCTGGACGAGGCGCAGAGGCCGAAAAGGAGAAGGAGGATTATCGACGAAAGGCCTTGGAAAAGCTCACTGGGTCACCAGTGATTCCAGATGAACCCGCCTCAGTCTTTGGTATGGAAATAGCATTGCCTGATCTTGATGACGAGGACACGGCTTCCATCGCTAGTCCTGTTCGACCGTTTTCCGGTGTCGGATCGTTCAGCTTTGGTAGACCCGCGTCGTCTTCCTACACACCGGGCCTCGAATGGCCAGTCGGACAGGATGATCATTCCCCAGCAGAGATGCGGTGGTCAACTTTCAACCTCGGATCGGACAAGGAGGAAGGACTAGGCTTTGATCTGCCGCTTGCCACGTCATTCTCGACGCCAGCAGTCAGCAGTATAGAGCCGATTGGTATGCCCTCTCGGCCCAGTTTACAGCGCAATCTGTCTGTCTTGGCGGAGGTAGAGGAACCAGAGGAAGAGGACGAACCTGTCAAGGCGGAGATTTGTGCCTCGCCTGAAATGGACGTTCCCTCTTCGGTATTAGAATCGACTCATACTACACCAAAGGAAGCTCCAAGGCAACAACAAGCGGAGCCAACGCCCATCGTCGCTCCAACTCCTTCTCGACTTCGGCAGCTTCAACTGCTGTCGAATCATTCATCAGGATCGAATGCTGAATCAACGCCCTCGGCACACAGCTCCACCGGTCAAGGCTCTCAAGTGACTCCTGGATCTCCTACCAAAGTGTACGGTACCATTGGTCGAGGGAGACCGCGTCCCCTTGCACTGAACAGCAGCGCCTCTGCAGACACCATTGAGGCTTCAAATGCTCTGTCTCCCGTCAGGATGACTCCGCAAAACGCCTCGCGACGCGGCGCTACTCGTGGTGGCCGGTCTAGGGGCAGTTCCATTTCGTACGTCAGAGACGAGTCGACTTCGTCCAGCGTCTCTGCAACGGCCTCCACTGCATATCCTGCGTCGTCCAGCAGTCTCTCTCGCGATTGGTCTGATGGATCGTCTGGAGATAGTAAGATAAAGAACGCCTTCTCCTCACAAGCCTCCGTAGAGTGGTCTCCTTCACTCGTCGGATCTCCACCACTGTCATTCGGACGGTTTTCTGGGTGGGGCAATATGCCTAGATCGGGACCCAGTCGACCGTGCCCCAGGCCCAAAAGTATTGCAAGTCTTGGCGCGGATAGCAAAGGTGCAGGAAGGATACTGGGAGAGGTGGATGAAGCAGAGGAGGATGACCTGCGATGTCAGGTTCCGCCATCTGCTGTGGATGATGATGCGCCAGCCGTGATCCGCCGGTCGCCAAGATCCTTCGACCCTGGGCTCGGGCTCACTGGGTCTCACTCGACGTCCCTATGGCCTCGATCCGATATCATCCTGGGCCCTAACGCTGGGTCCTCGTTCTCGTGGCGCGACCCTCAGCTCGAATTGGAAATGGAGAGGGACGCTCTGCGTGAGGACGTTGATATTTGGAAAGCTAGGTGTCAGGGTCTTGAGGAGAGACTCGAGTTGGAGAAAAAGGAAGTGGTCTTGCTCAGAGAACGCGTCAGGAAGCGTGAGTGGTGGTAGTCGTTGTCAGCGGATTTTGCTGACGTATGATAATAGTTGGCGACCGTCTCTCAGCTGTTCAATCGTCACATCCTTCATCCCATTCGCCCGCTCGAGACTCTCACGACTCGTCACTGTTGACGGAGATGCGGACTCAATTGTTCACTCTGACAGCTCAATTGGAGCAAGAACGACGTGAGAAACAAGCAGCGATGAGCAGGGCCGAGACCTTGCAGTCGCAATTGTCTACCACGCATGCCAAGCCTTCACTCTTGCTTCAACCTGTCCCAAGATTACCACTTGCCATCGTAACGCCAGCTACGCCACTCGACCCAAAGTGTCCTCCCCTGGTACCTCAGACCACAAACTTCACGCCCTTTGCCGACCCTATAGCTCGACATGTCCCTTCACCTGCACCTACTTCTCCTGCCTCTTCACCCGTCGCAGCGTGGACTCTACCACCATTGCCAATCGCCCTTCCGCCCGTAGATCCGCTGAATGACATGTCCGAGTCGCCATTGGGATCTGCCTCTGACGCCCATTCTCCAGGCGATGCCAATCTTTATCGAATGCGAGCTTGGGGTTTCCCTTCTGCTACGAAGGCTGCATCCAGTTCAAAATCGCGTCGAAACAGAGATTCCTTCTTTGGTCTGTCCAATCCGCTACAGAGGAACTCTGTCGATCATGGAGGTGGTGATCAAGGACTAGATTTACCGCCCATCGATCTGAGTCTAGCAGTAGGCGAGGCCGAGCGGGATACCGAGCGTCTTGACCGAGGTGCAGGATCCCAGCCATCCGACAGTCAAGTAAGGGAGTCTCCCAGGCCCAGGGTGCCTCAAAGTACATCGGCAACCTCGTCAGTTTCATCCTCAGTATCATTCTTTTCTGGCTATTTGCCTAAATTTTCGTCTCCCCCCATGGGCAATCGTCAAGACCAGAACCCAAGTCAGCATCAGCAGCAGCAGCAGCGGTCTATGATTATGAAGGGCAAGGATGATGTCAAGCCAGTAGCTCCTCCCTGTATTTCGACCGCACCTCAGAAGCTCGACTTCAGACCTGGCTGTCGATGTTGTGTGGGAGAGGTGATGGAGCTGTAAGGGGAGGATGAGCAGTCGTGCGCTGTGTGCTGCATCTCAGGTATGAGCTGTGTCTACCTTGAACTTTTTTTTAATCATATCATGTATCATCGTCATCACATCATCCCCATTCATACCAACGCATTGCCGCCACCCAAAGAAACGAAAAGGCCAAGCAGCTCGGAGGGAGGGAGTTCGGGTGCAGAGAGGAAAATATAATTACTCAAAGTGGTTATTTTTTCCCCTCCCCTCCCCGGCTATACCCCAGAGTCAGTCAGCTACTTCATGTCATTTTCTCATTGCTGCCTCTGCTGCTGCTGCTGAGTTCAGTCTCTCACCCGTGACAGCTCGAATCTCTCGTGCAGGTCACTACGAGTAGGCTCGGGTACACAACACATCTCATCAGGTTTCATACTGGGGCGAGGGGAGAATCGTTCGTACAAAGATACGGGGGAAAGGCGAAAGAAATCTATATCGGGCTTCTTCTTCTTCTCCTCCTCGTACGACGTGCGAGAGCACACCGAGGTCGACTCTCCATCCGTTCTTGATCTTTCGCACGATCTTGATCCCTCGATAAACTCTCGAATCCACTCATCTACCATCATGTCATTGGCTAGTCCGACGAATACTCAGCCAGCTGGGTGGTATACTCAACAATAGTGAGTTTCTACCTTTTTTGATTGGCAAGCCAAAGAAAAATGAGGGGAAGAGGGGGGAAAGTAAAGGCGGCCGCGCCGTTTTGGCCATTCGGGTGGTGTTCGCTCTCTTCTTCTTCTTCTCTATCACATCACTAAGAATAGATCTTTGCTAACGGGCGGCGGCGTCGTTCATCCAATTCGATCCTGTCCTATTCTTTGCATCGGCACTCCTGTCAATCACCTGTACATATCCTTCCTCCTCCACCTTGACCCCGGCTGCTCGCTCAATGGCCACTCCCTCCACTCCTCGCAGTGCTGGCGCTTTCCGATCATCTCGACTTCGAGCTCCCTCCCTCTTACCCCAGGCGAGATTCACTGCGCTTCCCGTACAGCAGACCTTGGTCATTGATTCAGTGAGACGTGCAGGAGTCAACGGAGAGAACAAGGAGGATGGATCAACGACCAAACGAAGAGAGACCATCTTTGGTCCAGATGTAGGGGAAGACGATGAACCTGGTTGGACCAAACCTGAAGAAGGGGCTAGAGTCGATGTGGATGTAGTCAAGGGATGGGTGGAGAAGGCCAAATCTGAAGAGGTGAGTTGGACGCAACCGCTTGATGTTCGTTGGTCTCATTACTCACGGTAATTCAAGGGTCTTCACTCAACCACCACTCTACAAGCCTTGGTCAATCTGAAACGACCCACTCTCCTCCTTCAACATCTCGAAGCCGATCGACGAACGTCGATTGACAGCCATCCTGGCGGGGAAATCACGTCAGCCAATGATTCACGGGTGTCCGTCGCCTCACCCGTTCCGACCTCGAATCAACCTCTTCAACAACCTCTTCACGTGCTCAAATTCAACTATGATGCCACGACGCCATTGGTCAACATCACCTTGTCCATCTGTCCCGCTCCACCTCCTGCCATCGAATCGCCTGACGGCAAGTCCATCCCTTCATTGGCAGAAGAGGAACCTCGAGTCATTTACACAGGGACCCATCAAGGAGGTTTCAACCAAGTGTTTAATCTGGCCCCTGAATCAGCTCTGGATCTCTCATCCGCCATCGCACCTGCTCCTGGATCCCACGCCGAATCGCAAATCAGTCTAGATAAGAACCTCGTCTCGGATCCAACCCGAACATCAACCGATATCGAAACGGGAATGCAAACGATCAGTCTCTCAGGCGCTGGTCAACCTGATCTCGCGACTGTTCCCGAGGTGCCAAGCCAAGCGAACGGTAATGCCAGAGAAAGGGCCAATAGCTCAGGAAGGCGGTTTGGATTGTTCGGCAGGAGAAACCGTCAGACTGATCCAGAAACTGGCGGAATCGAAATGGAGAACAGGGAAGATGAGAGAGCAGAGGAGAATCAAGATCTAGACAAGGGACTGAGATTGTTGATCCGTCTCGAAGGTGTCGGAGCAGAGGGTGGGTACGACTGGCGGGCATGACGAGGCTTCTCTCTGATCCTTCTCTAGGTGCTCCGCTCAAGCGACGTAACGCTCAACTCACGCACATTCTCATTTCTGGCATGTGGTCACCTGATACTGCTTCCACCAATCCGATTGGTCAGCACAAGCAAGTATGGGTCGTCAAGGTCGTCCGAAGAGAGGCTTTGGTAAGCGCTCCGCAGGACGACGCAGTAAGCTGACTTGCATCTCTCGCCCAGATTGGCGCCCACACATTCCTCCTTAAAGAAATTTATGGTCTCTCTGCTACGCATCAATCATCGACACCTGCGTCGTACCCTCCCTCTGGAACGGATCAAGATCCATACAGCTCGACGCCTAACGAATGTATCGTCTGTCTGACATCGCCTCGAGACGTCGTCCTCCTGCCTTGTCGTCACTTGGTCGTCTGTCGCGAGTGTGCTGTCGGGATGGTTGAGTTTGGTGCTGGTGGAAAAGTTGCCAGACGAGAGGAAGCGCCTGCAGATGGAGATGCCGCGGGTGGTGAAGGGACAGGTACAGCTGGAGCTCCAGCTACCGGAGGTGGATCGACCCAACCGCCTGTCGCTGGAGGAACGACTGCCACCGGTCGCGAGAGGAGAAAGAAGAAGGCGAAAGGATGGTATTGTCCCGTCTGCCGACAGCGTGAGTCAAAGCCAAATTACTCCTTCATGTATGCTAATCGCTGGACTCTTCAGCCTATACTTCACTCTTGCGTCTCGCGCTACCCGCTTCTGACAAGCCAGAGACTGGAGCAGAATTGGCTAGGGCCCCCAGTCGAGCTCACTCGATCCGGTCGGTCAGAACTACACATACGATCCCTCCCACGCTTCCTGCAGGCGCAGAGGCCATGTTGGAGAAGCTTCGACCGAGTGATGCACAGGACGACGACGAGGAGGATGGAGACGAGCATCACGGCGAGGGATCTCGACCTCAATTCGTCGTCGGAGAGGACGAAGACAAGGCTATCGTGGGACATGAGGAGAATGTTGCAGAGTTGAGAAAGTCGGAGGAGAATAAAGGGTGGAAGGAGCACAGCGCGGTATGATGAGAGCGGCCGACTTTGTCTCAAATATCTTCATTTCACCCTCACACCCTCGTCTCCATTTTTCACGCTTCTTATTCTGGATAGGTATCGTCAATTGGGTTGTACGTTTCAGTAAGATGCAGTTGTGTTGAATCAATATGGGCACGAGCTGAACATGATTTCATTTGGGCCAAAATGTTTCTCAGCAAGAAGAAGCCTTCTTTATTTTGTAAATTTGAACCTTGCTCCGTACGACTGACTCGATTAGTCTCTCAACAATCACCTGCTCAGCTTTCCGCATCGATATCAAGCTTGAGGCATCTTCTGGGATGACATTCGTCCTACCTGGTGATGTGATCCCCACAGCGACCTCCCAAACGTCCTTTGGTCCAGGGCTGGCTCCTCTCGATACATCTAACCAAGCTGGACCATCTCGAGCTCGAGGCCAGTTCACTTCTTCGACATCGTCCGAAGGGAATTCCACCGAGTCTGCTAGAGTCGTCGCTACGAAGGCTGGGACTCTGGTGTCTAGTGATGGAAAGGGGAAGAAAGGTGGCGTATGGATTGAAAGCAATTCGAGACGGGTAAGTTTTGCTTGCTTGAGATCTTGTAGACGCCAGGGACCTATTTACTGAGAGTGGACGATCTGACCCACCCCTGAAACCCAGTATACTCCCGCTTCGCGCGATCTCGTATTGGGCACGATCATCGCTCGACATGCAGATGGATACAGGGTAGATATAGGCTCGGCGAGCATGGCATCCTTGGATGCGTTGGCTTTTGAGGGCGCTACCAAGAGGAGTAAACCGAATCTCAAGGTGGGTTTGATCGAACGTTGGTGGCGGGGGCTTCGTGCTCTGAGGGGACGCTCGCGCTGACTCTGACCGCCAACATAGGTCGGAACACTTATCTACGCTCGTGTATCACTCGCTTCGAGAGATATGGAACCGGAATTGGAATGCTTTGACCCAGCTACGGGTAAATCTGATGGGTTTGGAGAATTGAAAGAGGGTCTCGTGGTGGATTGTTCATTACAATTGTGTAGGCGGTGAGTCAGACGGCGGTCTTCAAAGCACTCGAATCTAGCGAAGACGCCACCACCACGACGCCGCAAGGGCTCACGCTCTGCAGCCTGTTGACACCCAAGAACCCTCTCCTTCCTATACTGGCGTCTGTCATCCCTTTTGAGATCGCCATTGGACTCAATGGACGAATATGGTTCAAATCGAGTTCTATAGATGAGACGATCGCACTGCAGCGGGTCATACAGGGTATAGACGATGGATCGCTAGCAGAGACAAAGGGAGAATTAGAAAAGGCTTTGAAAGCTTACATGGCATAGAGAAGCATGTTGCATGAACTGCAACTGTATAAATGGGCAGAAGTTCCCCATTCGTGGAGCACCAAGACTTCATCTGTCTTGTCGGTCACTGGGGGAATGCTCCTGCATCGATCGATGTCGAGAATCCTTGGCCTCGATCGATCGACCGGGAATCTGATGGTCGCTCAAAGGTACTTACTGGGGACTGGTTTGACAGCTTGTGGTCGTGTGTTCAAGGTCAACATCGAATTGATCAGATCAGGCTCAAAATACATGCAGTCATCAGAGTAGCAGCATCATTCAGCTCTATCCATGCCCGAAGAGCTGTTGTGGAATCACAGCTATGTACCACCTTCGACTGACCGTATCTGACCCCATCTGTTCTTCACGCCATGACCCTCGCCATTCACATTCAAAGGCTACCTTTGACGCTTCAGTCTGTACCTTGACAACCATCGATACATTGACAGGATGGAGTAGGCACTGATGCGTCGTTTGCTAGGGGGCAACCTGATGGATATAAACTATATAAACTGCTCTCAGACGGTGTCAACGCCAGTCGCTAACCAACCTTCCACTCGCGCCGAAGTCTCTCTCAAACAACCCATCTACAACACCTTTAATCAACACTTCTACAATGTCCAAGAACCAAGTTGCCGGAGGGTGAGTCGACTTCATGATCCTCATGCCACTCGCTGGACGGCAGCGCGTCCCAGCCAAATCTCTTTCCTTCCGCCACGTCTTCCTCACCCTTCTCGTCCCATGCTGAACTCGTCATATCAGCCACAAGGCAGCCATCAACAACGATTCCGTCCCAGAAGAATCCAAGGAGAACTCGAAAAGGTACCGGCTGGACAGACAGACATATTTCCTGGCTCATTCTCATGCTGACGTACCCTCTTAATTATCAGAGTTCTCGAGGAGATGGAGCAATCGGGTGAGGTAGAGGAGGACTCGGGAAACAAATCCAAGAACGAGGTGAGTCCGGGCGGGTGGGGTGAACTCAGCTGACCACGATCGACCTCAGAACAACGTCATTGGTGGACACAAAGCCACTCTGAAGAACCCCAATGTGGGTGAAGAGGCCAAAGAGCATTCTCGCGAAGTGAGTCAAATCTTGGGATCACCTTGGACTCAGCGCTGACCGTTGACAGGTGCTGAAAGAGCACGGCGTAGAGGTTGAAGAGTATAGCCAGTCAGGGGAGGAGACGTTCGTTAGGGGAACGTAATACGACAGAGTTAGTTTGGTATGCAGTGATGCATGATTAAGGAGAGGACTAGATGAGCTCCTTCCATTGCTTATCCCACCGGGGCTCCCCTGATCTCTCGAAACAGGGTTCTACTTCACTCAGAAGATCTCGCTAGCATCCAGTCGAGAAGACTGACGCTCGGAAGTGTTTACGGACCGCAATGAATGCAGACAGACTACTGAGCAGCTCCTAGATCTTACTGACTCGATGGAGCAACCTCTATGTGAAGACGGACATTCTCATCGAGTACACTGGAGTCACCGACTTGAATGTTTGTTGAGAACCTCCGAGGGGGCACTTGAACTGCATATGAGGCGGTGTACACCGGTACTAGCGTGTTCTGCATTGATGATGCAGATCACATCGCCGGTCCACCGTCCCGGTATGGAGTTGGGAGATGATCAGTGTGGCACGCCACGGACAGATGGATGGGTAGGGATCTGCAAAAAAAGACGCACGTTCGTTCCTGGCGGTGATCTGCAGTGTGATTCAAATTATTACCCGGCGGCTCCTCACTGCTCAAATTATCATCAGTCTTCGGGTGGCCCCACCCAAGGAGGCTAGAGAAAGGCGCTGATCGGTCATTTCGGGCATTGAGAGGGGCCATCAAGACACCTTGATCACCTACCCGAGGCACGTTGCCTAGCTGTGGTGTCGGTGGCGGTCTCTTCCGCCATTCTCTACGCAATGTAGATCCCCCAAGAGCTCCATGAATATCGAGTCCTTAGGAGATCGCTGTCAACCCTGTGAGACTAGGCTAGTGACTTGGATTCAATTTTGTTCGGGGATGGAATCTGGGTCGTCTTGCTCCAGCAATCACTTTCGGGCACGACGGTCAATCTGGTCTTCACTCCAAGGAATGGTCCGACCTGTAGAGGCTGCCACTCCACAGGTCAGACGCATCAACTATGGAGGTCTCAAAAGATATAAGAAGGCGACATGTTCAACGTCTTCCTTCCTTCCTCATCAACCAACTCACCTTCACAACTTCACATCCACACAACCACTGAAAATTAAACAAACTCACACACAAACTCTTCATCATGTTGTCCATTGTCAGCCTTGCCGTCCTCGCCAGTACGGCTCTCGCCAAACCCATCATGCTCCCCACTTACAACGCCTCGGAGATCTTTGGAGGCAAAGGAATGCGACCCAGTTACAACTACACCGGGCTTCCTCCTCATGAGCAAGGTTTCCAACAAGGTGCCTATGGACCGGCTGCCCATCCTCTGGAGGCTCGACAGGGAGCATCTGGCTGGGGATCCAACGGTGCGGGAGGTTGTTCAGTCTCTCGCGAACTGGCCACCAACCCGACTAACGCTGCATCTGGCGATGGTGACCCTCACCAGAACTACTGGCACGTCCAGCTCAGCGAACCTATCAGCTGTGGAGGCGGTGGATGCTCAGTCGACGAGACGCAGACCAAGTCTTTGACCATCGGCTTCTCTATCGGAACGAACAGTAACTTCAAACCTGGTGGTAACGCCGTCTGGTTCCAGCCATCATTCTCAGTACAAGAGCAATGGCAAACTGGTAACCAATACCAATGTGATGGTAACCCAAACGGACGAGTCGCTATCTGGCAGAACGTTGCCCACACGGCAGTAAGTGCAATACCAACCAACCTCTCGAAAAGCAAGTCATTGACCTCTTTCCTACAGTACAGTGTAGCCAACACTCCTTCCGGTAACTGTGGAGAATCGAACAGCGACTACGACACTTACGTCAACATCTACCGAGCCCCAAATCAGCAGAACCAGGGAGGTGGATTCTACTGCGTCCGAGATGATGGATCTGGCTACGTCCGCAACCAAGGTGACGGATACTGGGAGGGAGGATGTGCCGGTGGCCCTCAGCCCTACTGCGGAAACGGTCAATCTCCTTAGATGATGTGTCATGTGATTTTGACATCTCGCAATGTACCACAGTACGAAAGATAGATATGTTCGCAGAAATATACGCAGAATGAATAAATGTCATGATTCCGAGTTATGATTCCGAATCCAACAAAAAGTGAACACCATCCTTGCAGGATGGAGATGGCATTTGAGGGTATGGCAATCAACAGTGGCACGACAGTATGCTGAAGATATCCGAACGAGAGGCCGCCTCTCATTCGTCTTAACTGCTCACTGAACAAGATCTGCCGTACTCTACCGTATCCATACGTACCGCAAGAGTGGCACCTCCAACCCTTCGATCGCCACAATTGTGCTAGAGACCTCCATCGTGAGACCATGCATTCCCGTCGACGGTTCTCCACCGTTTGCCCTGGATGCTGCTTCCGAACAGAGGGAATCCTCGACGCGCCCCCATAAATTTGCGCCGATACCTCGGGAGATTCATGTCAAGGACGGATGCCAACGTGCCAGCAGTGGGCGAGAGTGAGTCAGATTTCTCGCCGGCCAAGCCTCACTTCCCTGGCAAAGTGGGACTTCGTCAAAGTGGCGAAGCAGACTGCCGTGAATGTCGTCGTCTGACAAGCCCCGGCGGGGATCCTGCGTTGCACGTGTTTCAAGACTGCCAGAGGACTCTCACAAGACGCACGGAGGTGAGTCAATTGTCACGGGGAGTCAATTTTTTTCCTCTCCTTAACAAGGATAGAATGGGGCACAAGGCAAGCAAGAGCAGGTCGAATCCAGCTGCGCATGTCAAAGCTGTGAAGTGAGTTGGATGTATAGACTCTGCAGACTTATAAAGGGCATACAATCGATGTCTCTTGCCGTTCGAGGACCTATGTACCTGCTACAATCGAAGCCAGCTCTGAGAATCTGATCGATATACAGCATCTCGATTCATGGAGATCTTTCCTCCTCACCAGGCCTCCAGTCGAGAAAATGTCTGCGCACACGTTCTTGCGTTATGGTTGGCAACCTCGTGAGCGAATCAGGAAACGAGTCAACTGTCATGTGGGTGTGGCATCTCGGTCTGAATGGGACGGACGAATTAACTCCTCGCTCAATCCCACGATTTGGATCATGAAACATTCGACCAAGGATCCTGCAAAGAGTCACCACTTTTCAATAGCTCCCCGTGACTCCTTGCTTGTTCTGCAGGATCCTGCTACCTCTCCTGCACCCTGCACATCTGCTTCGTCCGCCAACCTGACTTTTTTTTGAAAGCTATCCGGCGAGCGCCGCCTCCCGTGACGTCGTGTTGCTCATGGACCCTGGTTCCGCTTTGCTATATCCCATTCATCCCATTCATCTCCTTCACGATACCTCTCATTGTCCGATGGTTGAAGGGCAGCGAGAGAGAGCGAGCAGATCACGAGGGCTATCCTTTGCGTGAATTCTCTAGAAACGAGTTGCAGGGGCAGGAAGTTATAAGGTCACGCATTCCGGCAAGAACACCATGGACACACTCTCCATCTTTCCTTCCCACTTCCCAACTACATCCAACTCTTATTCTATTCACGTATAGACTTTGCTCGTTACGAAAAACACTCTGGATCCGTCGCTTCATCATGGCCGCAGATCTCAGATCATTTCTTGGAGGATTTGCTGCTTGCCTCGTTGTTGTGGTAGGCATCCTCCTCCACTCTTTCATCTTTGATCCTCGCCCGTACGTCTGGTCCTTCGTGACTGGGGCGGGATCAGTCATCTGCGGGTATAGCTTCGTGAAGTACTGTGAGTCATGATGATGAAGACTAGTGTGAATGGTAAAGCTGAGACCTTTGTAGATGCTGCTAAGAAGGCGGAGGCCATCTTGCAGTCCGAAGCGAAACCTATCGTCCTTGTCCAACCTCGGATCATCCATGGCGAACACGCAGTACTGATATCTGGATGGATCAGTGTGAGGAGACAATTCGCCCCAAAAGACGGATTCTGGTCACTGTACTCCTCCAGCAGATTCACGAGCTCGGATTACTCCATCCTAGAAAAGGAGACGTCCTCCATCGCTGGCACCAGTGTCAAGGGCAACACTGGCACTGAGGCCGCGAGGATGATTGGTTCATACCGAACCATTGCAGAGCTCAAAGGACAGGAGAAGTCCCAGAATGCCAACGATCTCTACTATGCCGAGATCAAGGGCAGGACGTTGTCACTTTACGAGGACGAAACGATGACTACGCGCATCACCCAGGTTTCTCTGAAATCACGGACTGTCTCTATCGAAAACAAGCGCGGCGCTTTCGATGGCAAAGACAGTCAGATGTTCAACAAGAGAAACATGATCGTGCTCAAATCTGTCGAGTCTTCGTCCTCGTCCTCGGAGAGCGACAGTGATGAGTCTGCATCAAAGTCTGGCCCCAAGAAAGACTTTGATGGTTCGACCATCTACTTGGGCGGATGTACATCGTTGTCGGCGTAAGCTACTGCGTGTATGCTCTTCGTGCAGATCCTGATGCCCAAATCTCTCAGCTTCGAGGACTGGTACCTGGCCTTGGTGCACGTCTGTAAAAACGGTGCGGACGCGATGCAAGTCTTCAACCTCAGCGACTGGCAGAGGCTGGCCAAAATGGTCGACACTGAGACCGATGTCGGTCAGTCGAGGTGGCTGAATGCATTCGTGGGTCGAGTATTCTATGGATGGTACAAAACGAGGGCATTAGAAGAGGTGAGCGCTTCGCCATGCGATTCCTGTGCCTGACTCTCCTTAGGCCGTTCTCGCAAAGTTGTCGAACAAGATCGCCCGACTAGATCCGAATCCTTACCTGAAGGATATTGCGGTGACAGAGTTCAATATCGGGACCACACCTCCTTGGTGAGTTGAAATGTCTTCCAGAGTACTAGTCGGATTATCGCTCACGATCCCCTTCAAGGTTCTCGAATCCTGTGCTAAAAGCCACTGATAGTGATGGCTCGGTGTCTTTCGTCGTGAAGGTCCGGTATCAGCCCAATCTCGACGAGCCTAACGGCGCCTTGAGAATAACTGGGTCTGCAACCTTTCCGGTCCGGCTTTATGTGAAAGACTTTAACCCGACCATCACTATCTCGGCGACGCTGCAATACTTGGAAGGCGACATGGAATTCCTTATCAAAGGTCCGCCTTCCAACAGAGTCTGGTACGGGTTCATCACCCCACCGAAGCTGCAATTAGATATTGCACCTCATGGGACGACCCTTCGGGCGATCGGCAACGTAAGCGCAGTGAAAAACATAGCCAACAAATTTATCCTCGACGCGGTGAGTCATGATCATGCGGACATGCCAGGCCTGCGTGCTGATCAGCCTATCTAGCTCGTCAAATCCGTCGTCTTGCCGAACATGGACGATACGGCCTTTTTCGATACGGCCAATGAACCAATTCGAGGCGGAATCTTTTCCTACCTGGCGAGAGAGATCCCATCCCATCCTCTCAGTGAGCCCGTGATTCCGCCAGTCTCCACCTCGTCGTCGCTTCAGCAAAAAGCAGAGCTGCTGAGGAAACGATTCGGCAAGTCCAGAGCCACCTTACCCGCCAATGGTAATGTGGAGGAGGTTATTCCAAGAGTCGACTCAGCGCCCGCGGATATGGTGCGACCGACATCCAGGTCGATGACCAAGGCTTCCAGTCGGATGTTTGGTTGGACGGCGAAGTCGAGGTCCAGGTCCAGGGAAGAGGCTGTCGTGGAGGATGATCGCAAAACTGTCAAGTCTGTAGCGACGACCCTGACTATGGAGAGATCGCCAGCTCAACCCGAGGCGACTTCCTCCGAGGTCTCCCTCCAGTCGACAGAGTCAGCTCCGACGGTTTTCACGGCCACTGCAATCACCCACGAGCCACTCTCTCGTTCTTCTTCCAACGAGTCGTCATCATCGAAGTCCCTCCAAAAAGTCATGTCGGGCATCATGCGCGTCTCGTCGAAAGAGGGTAAGCCGAGGCCCGTCTCACCCCCGAAGCCGAAAACAGCACCGACCCCGCCTCTGAAGCCAGAAGAGGACTCCCCAGAGCGTCCAACTGCTTCCCTGTTCTCGGCTCTTCGATCCAGGGACAAGAGTCAGCCTCTCTCCTCGCAGGCGAATTCGGTGATGCAGACTGGATTGGCGTCTTGGAGGGATATGAGGGCTCGTCGGGCGGAAAAGCACGGGCACGCGGCTGAAAAGCCGCCTGCCTTGTATCGACCTCTGGACGCGGACGAGGTCGCTATGGCGGCTCACACTCGGACAGGAAGCTCCTCTGGGTCCCTCGAGCGGACAGTGTCGCCAACTATGACACTGCAGGAGCGATTGAATGCCACCGTGCAGGCGACTTCGGCCATCCCCGTGCAGCAATCCTCGTCTTCGACTTCGAACACCGCCAATCGGGATCGAGCATCGTCTTCCGCCTCGAATTCCCGAGGTAATCGACCCTCTCTGGTTGGATCCCCATCTCAGAAACCAGCTCAAGCATCTACCTCGCTTCCAACGGGTGGTTGGACGCTGGAATCTTCGGGTCCGACAACGGACGTCACGATGCCGATACTGCCAGACCCGAGGGGGGATTCTCAACGGCCTCCTCAGAGCTCACCGGCCTCCAGCACGGTCTCTAAGCAGCCATCCGCTGGCAAAAGCATGATTGTCCCGAGGGTTCCGAAGCGGCCGGGCCAGGTCGTGGGGATCGGGTCGTTTGGTGAAGGCAAGGTGACCCGGAGATTTTCGGCAGGCGATGAGGGCGTTGAGGATGGTGGTGGTGGAGGCAAGCCTGGTGTCCAGAGGTCTATAGCGGACGACGCGAAGTCTGAGAAAGGAGGCGAGGAGAAGCAGGTGGGCTTCACAAGCATCTCACATCCCTGACAGACTCTCAGGCGTCTGTGGATGGGATCTCCGCGACGACCCAGACTATCACAACCACAACGGCTGCGACGACTCAGACAAAGTCAGCAAGTGTTCCGCTGCCCAAGTCGAGCCAAATTCAGCCTTCTGAGGACTCCAGGGATGAGGTAGAATCGATACCGGCGAGGGACAGTGAGACCTCGGCATCAGAGTCGATCAACGCAACTACAGGCGCCACCTCAGCTCCATCTGTCTCTCCCGCCATGCCGTCAACACCTCCTCAACCGAGTCATGAGGATCTTGAGAGCTCCTCAGCTGAGACAGGGACATCAGGAAACATTGCCAGATCGCCCGAAGACTCTGGCTCGAGCCAGTTCAATGGTATGGAGGGTACCTTGGATGACCCGCCTCTCCAATCACCCGCCGAACAGAATTTACGGCGGTTAGTCCGTGAATCAACCGCAGAGCCGTGACGGGATTTTGGCTGGGTATCGATCGTCGGAACGGGATAATCCCCTGCATTCCTATGCTTGTACTAGTCTAAAATTATCTAGTTGTATCTTCTTACATGGAGCTTGGAACTGGTTGCGTGAACCTTGTCCTGCAGTCTTATCCCGTTCGTCCGGAGATTTGGACCTGACGCCACAGTGAGATTGAGTGGTCTAATTTTGGATTTCTGCATCGGGATGATGCATGTCTTGCGCAGCTCAATGTTCGACAGCGATCCGCGAAAGAGCTTGATGAGAGGACGGTAACGCACTCAAGTTGGTCAAGGAGGCATAGCAGCAGGGGATACATCTCCGTGACGAGAAGACAGCAGCGGGTATTTGAGCAATCAACGATGTCTGTCGCTCCATCGTCTAGGACGTCTTCGACGTACGAGACTGTAGTGATTTCCCTCGTTGCGTTTGGGTTGATCGGTCTGGGCTCATTATCCTTGGTCATACGGAAGAAGAGGCAGAGGGACTTTCTGGCCGGTGTAGAAGCTGGTCGGACCATGAGGATCCCGACTCGTGAGTTGTTCCGTTGACGGCAGGCTATCGACAACGGACTGATTTGCATCAGGATCCAATAACGCTCGATGGGTCCAGCTGTCGAACGGTCAAATGGTGGAAATGCAGAACAATAGCTCGATTGAGAATCCCAAAGAAGGGTTCGTCGGACGACAGCCAGAGATTTGGGATTCAAAGCTGGAGACAGACGATCTCGAGGAACCCGTGGACGAGAAGACGACGACGTTGTCATCGAGCATCGGCCTCACCTTGAGAGCTAATTCTGTCGATGGTTGGAATGTAGGTCAATCTGTTGGGCTCGTAGGCCGCTGCTTACGCTTACGTCGTATCATGGTGATCTCTAGCCCATGTCTGTCGTTATACCCGACTTCAAACTGCCTCAGCCCCGTACTCTGACCCCCAATTCCATGTCGACTCGTACGCCACAGCAAAACGGAACGACAGAATCAGATATAGAGCTTAACCTTCTCCTTCTCATGCCGGACGAATCGACCCTGTCCAACCTACAAGACATTCCACCTGGTCACGATTTGGATATGGGAGAAAAAATCCCACCCATCATGATTGCTTCAACGAGGATGCCGGTATCGGTGACTGCTGCAGGTCAGGCTCAATGGAACCGTATTTGTAGGGATATCGATAAGAGAGCACCGCCCAGGGTCGATGCCTCTCGGCCAAGCGAAATCAGGTACGAGCGGGCGGATGGCTTTAGGCGATGAAGGTGACCAAGGGCAATACAATACGTACATAGAACATTATCACTGTAGCATCGTTAAACCACATCTCAACTGTATCATCGTAATGTCATAGTAGGTTCTCCACAAAGGAGCCCTCGGAACTTCAATCGTCATCGTCGTCGATGAGCTCCGCCTCAGAATCGTCACCGTCGTCATGGCCATACAAGGCTTTTCGCTTTTCAGCAGCATCACATAGCTTTTGCAATCGAGGATCGTCCTAAATTTTCGAAAGGTTTAGTCAGCCAGGGTTCCCTTCTTCTTTACCTCCATCCCTCACCTTAAGATCGTGCCTTGCCAGCTTCTCTTTACATCCGCTGACGGGACAATTGATCGTACTCGCGGCCGCCCGAGCCCTTTGCTGGTCAAACATTTCAAGTATCGCCTGTCTGGAAAACGAGTGTTTACAGGTGACACTAAGGGGGGGGCTCAGTGTGGATCTTCGATAAGAACAATGCCAGGTCACTACGAACCTGGTGACAGCCTCCTTGAAGGGCAGTAGCGTGATCGGGCACCTGTATGTTTGAACCATACTGCCCATCTCAAAGTCTTCGTCTGACTCATCTCCGTCCTCTTTAGGAAGGTAGAATGTAATTGGCGGTCCACCTTCCTCATGATTAATTTCCTGCATATATGTCAGCGAACGTCTATGGTCTTTGCCAGATCAGACCAATTCACCCAGATCAGAGCGCGGAAGGATTGGTAGTCTTCAGATTCTTTGACTGCAATGGGTTTCAGCTCTCCTGCTGTGAGATAAACGGTGGAGCCTCACACTTTGCTCTCGCCGTCTTGGCCTCGTACTGCGCGGACAGCTCTGCACATCTGTTCTCGTAGTAACTGTCCGCGTCGACCTGATTTTCATGAATCGTTGACCGCGCTGCCCAAGATCAGTCCACTCACAAGCTCCTCATTTGCCCTGAGCTTCAATGACATCTCCCCAAGCACATCGTGCTGGATCTGGATGAGCTGTCTCTGTTCGAGATTCCGCAGAAAATTCTTCTCAATGCTCTTGATCATCTATATTCACTCTAGTCAGGCTAGATCACCGGAAAATCGCGAACTTACATCATCGTCCTCGCTGCACTCTTCAATTTCTCTTGCCAAATCTCGCGCTCGTTCCAATCCTTCGTTGATTTCCACGATCACCTGCGTCAAATCTGCCTGAAGTTTGATGATCTATACCATAAGATCAGCTCTATGATACTCACAATCGTCAGAATCGCACACACCTTGTTGATTAACGCCGTAGATTTGACGATGGGGCGGTTCACAAAGGTTGCATTTGTCCATCCTGCTTCAACTAAGATACGAGGTTTGGCTTGCCGCTCTGACTCTTCCTCGTCACTCTCTGTCTCGCCGTTTGGCCGAGGAGACCTTTGAGATGGTTCGTTCTGCCGCCTTGTCCTCGATGAGGATGCTACTGCGTTGGCCATGGTGAATGCAATTTCAACACTGGTAGAAAGTAGATTCTCGACACAGCGAGCGAGCCGCGCGCCGATCATGCGATCGAGGACAAAGTCACGTGATTGTCACACGCGACGCGTTTCCGACATTGACCAGAGTTGACGAATGTTCAACCACTTGAATATCCATTCATCGTTCGTTGAGGGTCAGTCATCGATATCACTTGCTTATTGATCGCACAATCATGTCTGGACTACTCACAACTGGGTTTTGTGAACTCATACATACCAGCGCATCAGATCCTAAAGATGTCATCCCAATCGTCCAGATTCTCAACATCAAAAAAATCAGTGGTCAAGGTCAAGACAAGGACAGATATCGGTGAGTAGAGCGCTGAGAGCTGAAGTATAGTGCATTGCTGAAAGAAGGTCAGTGTGATCATATCCGATGGCAAATACTTCACCCAGGGAATGCTAGCGACGCAGAACAATCCCCTCGTCGAGTCAAAGCAGATTGACAAAAACACTGTCGTCAAGCTCACTCAATTTGCGTCTAACTCTGTCCAAGGTAGAAAGTGAGTGATCAATGCCGATACGTACGAATGCTGACTGACCTCTCCTCTCCAGACTCATCATCATTCTCGCTCTGGAACCCGTAGAATACAACGGCGATAAGATTGGTAACCCTACAAATTTGGAAAAGGCCGAGATCAGCTCTGCAACGCATACCAACGGAGGTGCACCACCTCCAAATGGCGCTTCTGGAGGGGCTTCAGCTCCTCTGAGGGCTGCTCCAAGTCGAGCCGCGCAGGGTGGAAGGGACGTTGGACCCCTGTTCCCCATTGAGCGATTAAGTCCGTACCAGAACAAGTGGGTGGCAACGGAAACACTGTCTCGGAATTAACCTGACTGCTTGCTGTCTAGGTGGACTATCAAAGCTCGAGTTACTGCAAAATCAGAGATCAAACATTGGTCCAACCAGAGGGGAGATGGAAAGCTGTTCAATGTCACCTTCATGGATGAGACGGTGTGTCTGATCATCTCGACCTGACTAATGCTCAATCAGGGAGAGATTCGAGCGACAGGCTTCAATGAGACCGTCGACACATTCTACGAGATGCTGCAGGAGGGCAAGGTGAAGAGATGCGGGTAGTGATATTGTTCGGCTCTGACACCAATAGGTGTACTTTGTATCCCGCGCCAGAGTCAACATCGCAAAGAAGCAGTTCAACAATGTCAATAATGACTATGAGATCGCTTTCGAAAGAGACACCGAGATTGAGGCTGTGAGTAGGATGGCAGAGTTGGAAGCGCGTGGCTGACCTCAGCAGTGTGATGACGAGTCGGTTCCGAAAATGAAGTACAATTTCACTAGCATAGGTGATCTAGAAAGTCTTCAGAAGGACGAGATGTGCGGTGAGTGTTCAGGACTTGGGTTCTGGCCGTGCCAAACTGACTTTCTCAGATGTCATCGGCATCGTCAAGGAGGTCCACGAGCTTGGCTCGGTCACTTCCAAAGCAACCAACAAACCATTCGCCAAACGAGACATTCAACTTGTTGATCAATCTGGTCAATCTGTCCGTCTAACATTGTGGGGAAAACAAGCGGAGAACTTTGAGCACAAGGATGAACCCGTCATTGCCTTCAAGGGCGTAAAAGTCGGAGATTTTGGAGGTCGATCACTGTCCATGTTCTCATCAGCTACCATGTCTTTGGAACCCGATATCCCAGAAGCTCATCAATTGCGCGGATGGTGAGTCATCCTTTACTCCTAATACAAGCACAGCTGAGATTCTCCAGGTTTGAGGCGGAAGGACGCAATAAACAGTTCACTGCTTACACCAACACCAACGTCACACGGACAGAGAACGCCGTAGCCAACCCGTCCGAGTTGAAGACCATCGGCCAAGTCAAGGACGAACAACTAGGCATGAACGACAAGACAGAGTACTTTTCGACCTCGGCAACTGTTGCATTCATTAAGCAAGAGACATTTGCGTATCCCGCTTGTGCCAATCCTGATGGCTGCAACAAGAAGGTGATGGACAGTGGATCAGGATGGGTGTGTGAGAAATGCGAAAGGACGTGGGAGAACCCGATCTGGAGGTGAGTGGTATCGCTCGATTCGGACCGAGAGACAGCGCTGACAGCACTAGATACATCCTCCAGATGAATATCATGGATCACGTTGGGAGTATCTGGATCACCGGGTTCAACGAGGTCGCTGAGCAAATCATGGGTATCCCAGCAAATGATCTCACGGGCCTGAAGGTGCGTCTCTGAGCAACTCAGAGCTTTGGTCTGACATACTCTGCAGGAAGGAGGAGACGAGTCCAAATTCGGCTCCTATTTCCAAAAAGCTGTTGGTCAGACATTTACTTTCCAGATGATGGCCAAGCAGGACTCCTTCAACGTGAGCATCTGTGATCAACGTGCTTTGAGCTTGCGCTGAAAAAGTCTATCAGGACCAACCGCGAGTACGATATCAATGCCGTCGAGTCTCAGAACCGGACTTTGTCTCCGAGTCGGCTCGGCTTGTACAGCAGATCAATCTCATGGGCTAGAGCTCAGTGGTTAATGACTTCGAAAACCGGAGGCTGGCGCCTGTAGGGACCTGCTATTGTACAGATATACTATGTATAGGTGTTCGCAAGAGGATCAGCTGCTTAGATCTGACCCTGCCCACACGCATGCTGTTGTTGAGCATCGAACTCTCGGTACGGAGGCCATGCAGGGGGCTTCGGACAAATTTCCGTCGGACCGAGATTTGATCGAGGTTTGTCGTCATCGATATTGAGAATATTGACATCCGTCTCCATCGCTGCGTCCCATCCACTTTTTGAAGGGCGATATCTGTGCATCATGTCTGACCAGGGCGGTAGACATGGCAAAGCGGGGTCCATCATCAACAGGATACTCCCGTTCACCTTTGCCATAACCCTCGGACCCAGCGTCACTGCGTCAACAGCCCTATTCATTGTGGTGAGTTCAGACTGTGTCTTGAGCCCGCGATTCTGAATGGGCCTTGCTAATGGCATACTGTGGACTCAGCGCGCATTGATGTGCAGGCATGTGGCTTATCAACAACATGATGTTCCGCTACCGAGCCCCGATGCTGAGCTGTGTGGAAATCCGGTTGTTGGCGCGTGGACAGCTAGTGTCATGACGGGTTTGGCAGTCTTGGACGGGATAGTCTGTAGGTCGAGAGATACGAAGAGGGGGACTGGACACTGGCTGATCGAAATCTTCACATCTCTCAGCCTTCCTCTCCACTTCCTACGTTCGTAATCTCGCGGACAAATACGGTCGACGTCCACTGCTGTACACCCTACCTATCTTAGCGATGATAGCGACTTCATCTCTCATCGTCGCCTACCTCGTCCCCAATCCCATCTTACCTTGGATTCTCCTCGCTCTCAACGGGATCTTCATCACGGCTTCTACAAAATCTCTATTCGTTCCTACTCTTCTAGTCTCCGATGTAGCTGATGACGAACAACGGACGCGATACTTTTCCCGATTGGAAGCTGTCAGTCTCCTGGGTCCCGGCACTGGTTTCATACTTTCTGCCTTGACTTCACGATACAGCTCTATCACCTTGCTGCCTTATTATCTTGCACTCGGTTTCCAATTCTCAGCGTCGGTCTACGCATTCTTCTGTATACCAGAGACAAAAGACATGGGCGATGACGCCGACTCGGATTCAGGAGACCAAAGTCAGGATCACCATCACCGTCATCGCGATAGTGGTCTACCTGAAGCTGTGGAGGAAGTGGTCGAAGCTGTGGTGGACCCTATCAAGCCTTTGGGCTTGCTGTTGCCCCATCGTGATAGGGAGACTGGCAAGTTTGAATGGCGCTTGACGCTTTTGACAGTCGCTCTACTGTGCAACACTATTGGAGTAAGCAATGGGGACCTGTAGAACCTATATGGTGACTGCTTGCTGACTCTTGACTGTCTAGATCGTCTTCATTCCCACGGCATCTCTCCTTTACCTCAGTGACAAGTTTGGATTCCAGCCTGAGCAGGTAGGGGAACTCGAAGATCGTCCTGGGGGTCCAGCTGATCCGCTCACAGAACGGATGGATTCTCGCCTATCTTGCCCTGTCAAAATTCGTCTTTGTGCTCCTACTGTTCCCTCTCATCCAAAAGGGAGGTCGGAAACTGTATCACGCCTTTCTAGAACGAAGAACAAGAAATGTCTCAACGTCCACCGAAAGATCGAGATTGATTCAAAGACAGAGCTACAAGAAGAGGGAAGCCAGTAGCGAAGCCAATCACTTCGATGTCAGTGAATTGCTGATCCGCCAGGATGTCTGATGGCTGATCCCAAGGGTCCAGATTATTCTTCTATTTTTCTCCGTCGGCCTAGATGCGCTTGCCTTGATTATGGTTTCCTTGGCAAACACCCCGAAACAAGCCATAATCAGTGAGTGTTCCAAGTTCCGCACCCTGCAGCCGTTAACGTCTATACAGGCTATGCCTTTCTCGCCCTGGGATCAGGCGATCAACCGACGTTCAAGTCTGTCTTTGTCAGTCTCGTCCCCGAGGACATGGGCGGCGAAGCCCTGGCTGCTTTGGACATGGTCTGGAATGCCGCGAGATTGCTGTCACCATTGATTCTAGGCACCATATACGCTGTCGTTCTAGAAAAGGGTATGCCGCAAGTCTTGTTCCTTGTCGCCGGGGTAAGTACCGAAATTTGACACAAGCCTTCCTTCCCCAAGCTGATGATCGTGAAAATACCGCAGGCGTTCTGTGCGGCTGCAGGAGCATTTATCATCCCCTTGGTAATCATAGGCAGGAAACAGCCCTAGTAATGTATGTTGTTCGGACATGATCTCGATCGTGGCAGGTTTTCTTGAGTCATGTTTGCTTACTAAAAAGACCAAGACCGGGTTCCCGCATCTTCCGCCCGTACATTTATTTACGCGGCACTTCCTACTTATAAACTGATTGGTTTTCATCCAATCCATACATCCCTACCATCTCGTCCAGACCCGCCGAATCAGATCTCGAGAATATCTCTCAACCGTCTGAACATGCTCTCTGCGGAAACCACGATCAACGCCCCTCCACACGTAGTCCGAGAAGTAGTGAGTCGTCCGCCACAAATTCCTTTCTTTGCTGACATCCCGGTCGCTTCCAGTTTCTTGACTTCGAGAGGATACCGACATGGCACAACCAAAGACCATTCTTCGAGTCAATACAAGTCACAGGTCCCTCACGTTTGAATGGCTCTGAATGTCAGAAAGGTGACAAGATGGCCGTCAAGATACCAGGTATGAATTTCACGCCCACTGTTCAGGTGAGTCTTGACACGCCTTGATATTCGCCATCCTCCGAGACTGACGTCTGTCCCTGCAGGAGAATGAACCAGAAAACTTTCGATGGCTCGGATCACTCCCATACATCCTCACCGGCCCACACGATTTCTTCTTCCGCCCTGATCCTTCTGGAGATGCCAACAAGACATTGTTCAGACAAGAGGAGAACTTTACCGGTCTCTTGAGCTTCATGTTCGATAATCCGAATAGCACGAGGGGCAAAGGCACGATTGAAGGCTGGCAACGATTCAATGAGGATATTAAGAAGGAGGCAGAAAGGGTGTGGGCCGACAAGCAGGGTGCCGTTGCTTAACCCGAAGGTAACGATACAAAATATTCATCATCGGGTATCACTTGGTGCCTTACATGTTGTAGTACTATCTAATCAGAATAGATGCGAGAATATGTATCGAAGTACCATCGTCGGATCCGTCACGGGTCTGAAGGTTATGAGGATTTGGAAACATTGGACTTCACGACAGACTTTGCTTAATCAATACCACACACTCAGTGTACAGCATGCATCCGCGTACATGACACAAGCGAAAGAACAACATACAAGTCAATCATGCCGCAGAAAGCCCATCCACGCAAGTCTAACCGCTCACATGATCTTCCACTTGCCCATTCTTTCGGTCAAGGCCTTGATGATCTCCTCCTTGATCTCAGCCGCAATTCTGTCCTGGTCCTCGGCAGATAATGCCCCACTTTCCGCAATCTCCGACTTGAGCTGAGCCGGATTGACCCGAAACGGATTGAATGTGACTTCACGTCCATTTCCAAGGGCGATAGTCCGGATGGCATCTTCCTCATCTTCAAATTCTGAAGGGGCGCTAGCGGATGATATAGGTAGAGTCTCACTGCCGCCTATCGATTGGCGGAACATAAGGGAAGGAGCTCGACGTACTCCCTTGCTGGATTTTTGTGATGGCTTGGACCGAGTAGATCTTGACGTAGACTTGGCCAGTACCCGAGCTTCGTACTCGTCTGCATCAGGTAGATCGCTTTCGTCCTCTGATGAGATGTCGCTCGCCGCTGATTCTGATTCATAGTCGTCCTGAGGTGTTACTTTTGACGATGAACCGAGTTTCAAGTTGGCAGTCAAAGGTAGGGAAGGATTGAATGGATGGTTCTGTGGTAGGGACTGTGCGAGAGAGGTCAGTCGTCGGTGTCAGTAACAAAATTTGATCACTTACGCTAGGTCCAGCTTTCGGTTTGAGCGAAGTGGATGCAGACGGCTTAGGACGGGAGGACCCAGTCCGCCTGCTGGTACTATTGTTGGAAGCTGAAGAGGGGGCCAAGGGAATACGATTGGTGGATGGAGTCTGTGCTCTCCTCGCTGTCATATAACATCAGCCAGATTCTACTCAGTATGCACGATATCCAGTCCACCTCACCCGTCTTGGACCCTCGAATCGGCGTCGAATCAACAGAGTGGTTGGTTCCCCGTTTCCTTTTAAAGCATCTCGTCAGTCTCACCCTTCATGGTGTGCCAAAATCATCCCAAAGCTCACCTCTTGCCTTTGTCACCTTCATTCAACGCTTTATCTCTGGTCTCCGCTTCTTGCTCCTTTTCCCTGGCATCTATCCGGTCCTTGGCTATACGCTGCATCGTCTCTTTCCATCCTCCTCCCCAATGTTTGGACAGTTGATCCAGGGTCATGTTTCGCAATTCCCGAGGGATCTTCAACATCTCTGTCTCTTGTCGAATGAGAAAGGACTCCAATGTCGCGCTGAGAGAATCACGAAATCGATTGGTTCGGTCTGCCACTGCGAGCGAATATGCAGTCAGTCAAATGGTACATGTGCAGCTGTTTGCCATCTCCTCCTCGCGCGCTCTACTCACCCTCCAGGTCAAAGTTGTCCAGTAAGGATTGTTTTTCCGATTCAGAATACTTTGATGGCGGTTTCCTCGATGACCCCTTGGCTGGCGTCAAAGCTATGATAGGGACTTGCACTTTTATCGACATATTGGCCAGATCTCTGCGGTGGACCGTGACAATCGATGCGTAGCAGAAGTCTTGCCCGTACTAGACGAAATATCTCGAGATGAAGAGAGTAAGGATAGTGGATAGTGATGTGCATTTGTTTGGCTCTCCAAAAAGTCAATCGCGTCGGGGAAATTTGCTTCCGTGGGTTTGCATCCAGTGATCCCACCGAGTGCTCTAGCAGATGGCATGGATGCAATGCGATCATGAACCACTAAGCTTCATATATACAGCTCGTCAGCCCCTCCGTTATAACACGTATAAACAATCATAATCATTACGTTCGTTATTTACAGTCGTGGTGCCCCTTGAATTCCATCCTCCGGCGACCTCTCCGCAACATCCACTTCCCGTCAAAGGGTATGCTACATCTCCTGAACACCCGATCCTTTACATGCCCCACCAATCACCCTCCGACCTCCCTCCAAGCTCGATCTCATGAGCCACATCAGATCATCCCCGCCATGCCACGATGCCGATCAACATCGGGCAATGGCGTATTGTTCCTGCTTCTCGAGATACTGGCTTGAGGAAACAGCTGAGCCGACAAAGGCGTCGATCGTCCGCTCTTCGATCCATTATGAACGTGATGAATTAACGGCGTCGACCTCCCGCTCCTGCTTTCGAGCCCAATTGGCTGTCTTGTGAGGTCAGTGCCTAGACCTCCGAAACCCGGTTCCAAGAGCTCTAGAATCCCGGGTAAGAGGCTGTTCTGACGACACAGAAGGACGAGCTCCTTGCCAGTCTGGACAGGTCCACTATTCGAGCTCTCCATTGGAGCAGCTTTGCTGAAAACGGTCTCCGAGGTCTTGACGACATTCTTAAACGATGCCAGTTGAGCTTCCTTCTCGCCAGTATCTTGCGATGCATACGCCAGGCTGACGGATCCAGATCGGCTCTTCCTCAGTTTCTGTGGAGACGCGCCATTCTCATGCGATGGCGCCGGCTCATGAAATGCCAGCGCATCTTGTAGAACTGCCAATGCCATCTTCTCTGCCGCGTACCGAAGCCGCTCTTTAATAGTCACGGGCACTCTGAGACTAGCCTGTTTAACAAGAGCCACCTGTCTCGGTAGATGATTAGCCCATCTCGCAAACGTCTCGGAGTGGGCAAGAGAGAAGCAGTATTTCCGACGATCTCCCGGCGGTGTTGTGAACTCCACCTTGAAAGTGTGCCGCATGAAGCCTCGTTCGATGGTGATCGTCTTGCCTGTCTCCATGGATGCGTAAAATATACTGATCGCTGAGTCAGAAACTTGCCATCCCAATCGTTTCACTCACGCATTGAGACCTCGACGGTCGAAGACGATCGATGTTTGTCCAAGAGCTTTGCCTCTGAAGACGAAACTGGCCTCAGCACTCTGGTCAAAGGCAAGTACAGGAGGGTCGAATTCCAGTCCATCACCATGGAGATGAATCTCGAAATCGGGATCGATATCCGGCAGCGTGACACGAACAGGCTTAGACCAAACATTGAAAGGTAGTTTGCTGATGAGCGGACTCGTTTCGACCTCAACACCAGCATCTAGATGGTCGTGAGTATTCAAAGCTTGAGGCATGATGTTGCGAGTGATCGCGAAATAGATATCTTCCAGCAGGGCAGCAGGAACCAAACGGTGCGGATCATTCGATCGAAAACGTTTGACGAAATCGTCAAGTTTCAGGCATGTGCCCGGTTTCCCAAAGCCATAAATGCCATGATGATCATCGTGAAGTTCCATGATGGCAAATACTAGCTCGATGGCCAGTTCCCGAGAATACGGCAGTAGCGTCTGGTTGGCATCAAAGTGATACTTGGCGAAATTCCGCAGGAGCAACTGAAAAGCGTCTGAATCAAGAGGCGATCTTAGCGTCATGAGGAAATGTCGCAATGCAACATCGATCCTGGTTTTGAAAATGTGGCAGTGTTGGAGGTAAGCTCTGAGAACCCGCTCGTCATTCGCGAGGTAAATACCCAGTTGCTCTCGATCAATGTGAGGAGTGTTGAAGAGAATCAGGGCGATAGATGTGGTATTTGCACGACCCTCCGAAGCATTAACCAGATTTTTTACGGCGAGAAAAGGATCTTCAGCGAATCGGTCAACAAAGTGGTCCAGCAAGTGACGTTGGGGTGAACTCGAGGGAGAACCTTCAAATGCTGAAATACGAACTCGATTGAGCGGGACGACCGACTTGACGACAAATTCCATGTCGAGGTTAGCCGTCAGACTCCGAGTGAGAAGCGGTTTGGCAACGACGAGAATGTCGTTGAACAGTAGAAGGAATCGATCTTTGACCGTCTACATGATGTCAGGGGATTCCAATGCAAGAGCCCTGGTACTCACGTGTGAATTGACCACCTGCAATACTTGATGAGCCAGAAGGAGCTTTCGAGGTGGGTCGTCCAGTAGATCTGGTCGCGAAGGATCATCAGAGCTCAAAGTGAGCAAGTCATCAAGTCGCTTCATTTTCTGCACCACGTCGTCCGCATGTGCGTGCTGAGATGACTTGATATCGGTATCATCCATCCGCGGGGTCGAAGTCCCCGGCCGGGCAGTAGCTTGAGTAAATCTCGTGAGCCTTGATCCTTCCTCGCTAAGCTCCGGCACTACAGAGACCGAGGGTGACGCTGAGCGATGCTGATGTTGTAGAGAGACTGAGCGAACGTCAATTTTCGGAGCTGGAGGTGGAGCAAAGGGATCCATAGCTGTCGATGGGTCGGATGAACTTGATGCAGAGCGATTGGTCGATTCTTGGGGCAAGGGTTCGGATCTGCCCGACTCTATCGCAGAGCTACCTTGTCTCGACATGCCACTAGCAGAGCTTCGAGGCGAGATCTGCTGTCCAAATGCTTTGGCCAGCCAGCTGCGTTTACCATAGCTTTCTTCGGATTCTCTGCGAGATCCCACATCGGGACTGGTCGAAGCTGACACGATGGAATCCAGGTACCCGTGACTTATTGATGGACGATCATTCCTACTAGTGGCAGGAAGATCGTTTCTTGCCGCGATCTGAGGCGACGTCTCAGGTGTCGGGTCCGTTGACATGCCTTCCCAATTGGCTATGCCAGGGAATGGTGACATCTTGGCGTTGTAAATTCGAGGATCGTTGAGATCTGCTCTAGGCATGAATGAGGTTTGAGAAGGGTTCTCAAGCTGATGCTGGAGCAGGCTGGTATGGGCCGAGTCCGCTTGAGATGGCAAAGAAGGAGAGAGCGAGCTGATGGAAGCTTGATGACGAACCGGGTCGATAGCCGCGATATTTGGAGATCCACGTGACATTGACCTTGTAGCACTTGCTGATCCAGGGGACATTGACGACTCTGATCGCCGTCGGGTACAGGTCTGGACTACGGACAGCGAATTGGGACTCATCGGTTCACCCGTCATGGAGCTGCTTGCTGACGATCTCGACTGGCTTCGTTTGCGGATGGCTGTTCCGATCTTGCGTCCGATCTTCGCAGACATGCTTCCCGACTTTTTATGGTAAAGGACATCGAAGGGCACTGCTCGATCTTCGGGACCTCCAAGTTCCTCCCATGACATTGTGCTGTCGCGAATGGAAGACGCATTCGGCGGGACTTGGGAGTCTCTCGTCTCGATCGATGAAGCGATGGACGCTGTGCTGTGATTGTCCTTGGGGGGTACCTGCGGGGGAACACCATTTGAGAGGCGATTGCCAAGCGGGCTGTGCTGCAGAGGTGAATCCACGGGACCGCCTGCAGCGAGGTCAGTCCTGAACTCGCCTAATTACTCACCGACCGCCTCGCGACCTGGAGTTCCCCAATCACTACCGCTGTTCTCCTCTACCTCGCTGGGCCAATTCTCTCCGCTTCTTGATCTCACTCCCACAGGTCCAGTTGTAGATCCTCGGCCCATAATAAACATCATGGAGCCCAAAACATCCCGCGACATGATGGACTCCCCTGGTGAGACACTCCCAGCTAGAGCCAGGTCCATCGAGGTAGAATCGTGTGGTAGCCCACGTCTAGGAGTGGTGTACTGTGGGGTTGCAGTCCCCATCTCCCCGTTTAAGAGCCCATTAAACCGGCCGATAGGGTCGTTGTCAGGTGTATGAGGTTGATCTTGCATTGCTGCTGTCCGTTCCTGTATGACAGCTGGTGTCCCTTTTGCTGTCCGAGTGGAAAGACTTCGAGATAGATGCGAGTCATATTGAAAAGGTTCATCCGCGGAGCGCATCGTCCCGCGTGAGGCGGGCCGATCGGGAGCCGAAAGCAGACCGTTGTCACCATCAGGAGGAGCCAACATGGCCGCTGCTTCTTGTACAGGCGATGTTCTTGACACAATGGGTAGAGTCTCAGTGAGATCCTCGTCGTCCCGAGGCTGGCCATCACCATCATCCTCCTCGCTCTCGGCATCCGTTGTAGACTGTGAGGCCTCGGCAGCTGCTCTTCGTTGCTCCCACAGTTTCCTGACTTGTTCCTCCTCCTTTTCTCTCGCTGCCCGGCGTTCAGCCAATCGCTCAACCATTCTCCTTCCGACTGCACTCCGCCTTTCCTCGCCCATGTTGGACGACGATACGGTAAAGCTCCTTTTTAGCCTTGGACGAGCCTCCGGGCTGTCGGGTTGTAGTACCTCGACAGGACTTGCGATGGCAGGCTGCGGTGTAGGTTGAGGCATTCCAAGGAATCTGGGAGCTCCAACCGTGCCTGCTCTCTGTAGGGGAGCTCCACCCTGAACAAGAGGTGTCGGAGCCCGACCTTCACCATCCGAAGGCGTGTCCCTACCTCCAGTCAGCTTCGACATGGCTTGAGCACGAGCAGCAGCTGAATTGGACCGTTGAAGATTTCGCAGATCACCAAGTGTGGGAAGTGGGCTCGGGGTATGACGACCGACACTAGGTCCTGGGGTTGTATCCGACAGTCCAGCGGTGAGATAGGGGCTAGGGGGGAGAGGAAGGGGAACAGGGGAGAGAGATGGAAGGTAAGATTGAGCCAATTGCATGGCTGCCCAGTCGGGTGGCATTGTAGAAGATGAAGGTGTGGCGGCGTGGTAACCTGTACCCATTTGACCAAAGGTCATTTGCGGTGGTGTCGGAATATGGTAAGAGGACGAGGATGAACCTGACCTTTGTAAACCAGGAGTCGAGTAATTTCCGCCGTACATATCTGCGTGACTGAAATACTGAGCGACTGGCGAAGGCGACAGAACTTCCTGATCGTCAGGAGGATCATTTTCAAGGGATGATGGATGTGTTTCCGACCAGACGTGTTCCACTGCGTCATTCAGAGTCGATGCGTCATTCTGGACCGCTGCACACCTTTCTCCAGCCTCTTGACCGCTGTTCAGAGGCAAACGATCAGGTCTCCTTCCATCTGATTTTCTCGGCAATGAAGCAGCTCGTTTCAGCTTGGCAACAGCTTGGGACCTGACTTGACTGGCATCTTCAGGTGAGGCAGGTCTGCCACTACGGGACCCTGGTTTGGACGCATGAGATTGAATCGGAGAGGCGGAGAACATCTCGCAAAAGGTCACAGGAGAAGGTTAGGCTCAGTGGGAGGGGGATATATTCGAATTCGTCCTTTCGTCCACGCACAGTCGTTATATGCCGTTCATGATTGGAAGGAGAACAATTGGCACGCGTATCCAGTACAAAGAGAGAGAGAGAGAGAGCCAGTCCAGTTCCTCCAAAATTGGCTCTGATGTGTCGTAGAGGACCTCAATGAGCTATGCGTGAGGTCGATGAGAGCATAAGCCTCCAATCGCAGATCATCTAGAAGGGCGTGAGTGAGTGAATGAATGACTGAGTGAATAGAAATCTTTGGTAGCACAGCGCCTCGCAATTACGGTGAGCACGGCCTAAAATTTGCTTCCGCTCTCGTGATTTGATTCCGTCGAGAGCCTGGAACTGCTACTGCTGCTATTGCTACTGCTACTGCAAACGAAAGTCTGCAGCTCAGAGCAAGGAGACCGACAGCTCGAGAGCCTGGGATGATCAATCTTACTCCTCTCTCGGCCTCGGCTTCGTCGTCCTCATCCTCTGAGCCATTATGCTACCTGTTAGAACTGGACGAAGCTCGAATCCTGCTGGACCTGGGACAGAGAGACTTTCGAGCAAGTGCAATCAGAGGCGATTGGTCGTATGAGGAGAAGGTAAGAGAGTGAGTGTGTCTGTTTTAGTCTGAATTCGCTGCTTGCTCACGCTTGCGGTCTAGACTCGCACCAACAATCTCGCTGGTCCTTCTCTCTCATTCGCCAACGACCTACCTATCCTTGTACCCGTATGCGAGAGCAAGATGGGGATTGACGTGCCCTGTATACGCGACACAACCGACTGTAGAGATGGGTCGTGTCGTATGCCTTGCGGAAGTCTTGTCCTGGAGGTCAGAACACGCCATAGAGGATAGTTCAGCAGCCTCGTCGGGAGGGATGAATGGCGAGTCGGAATCTGAGCTTAGGACCAACGGAAAGGGCAAGGAACCTCTCAGAGGTCCGTTCATTCCGACAGTAGAGGAGATCCACGAAGCCTTTGACTCGATCAATGCGACGAGATACAATCAGCCTCTACATCTAGGCGGTAAATAGGATTAATGCTTCGTCAGCAAACACCACTGATCCTCTTTAGGTGAGCTCTCCCATCTCCTGCTCACTCCTTTCCCATCGGGTCATACGCTTGGAGGTACCTTGTTCAAGCTACGATCACCAACATCGGGCACAGTCCTGTACGCTGTCGGTATCAACCATACGAGCGAGCGACACTTGGACGGAATGGTCGGAGGGCAAGGGGGTGCCTCAGGTTATTCAGAAGGGGTTACTAGGCCAGACCTGCTGATTATCGAAGGAGGAAGAGCCGATATAGTCAATGCGAAGCGGAGAGATCGCGAAAGCGCCTTCTTGGATCTCATCACCTCGACCCTTCAATCAAATCATTCGGTCCTGATCCCTTCTGATCCGTCTCCTCGCCTGATGGAAACGCTCGTTTTGCTAGATCAACACTGGTCATTCAAGCTTCAACCATTGCCTGGTCAAAGTCGTCCTCCAAATCAGCTTTGGCCATACCCGTTATGCGTCGTGAGCCGTACTGCTCAAGACATGTTGGCATTTGCGCGAAGCCTTATAGAGTGGATGGGAGGTGTGTTGAGGGATAGTGGAGGAGAGGATGTATTAGAGGGCGGCAGAAAAGGCAGAAGGCGTGGCAAGAAAACGAACGGAGCCATGGGATCTGACTACGGTGTATTGGACTTTAGGTATGTCGTCCACCTGACAGCAAACTGCTCTCAGCGGCGCTTGACGATTCCTAGGCATATCCAATTTTACTCTTCGCCGACAGAATTGATGCACGCTCATCCGCTCATGCGGCCAAAAGTTGTGTTGGCGATTCCTCCCACACTCTCTCACGGACCTTCCCGGTGGCTCTTCACCGCCATGGCTGGGACTGAAGGCAATGTGGTGCTTCTGACCAGTCGAGGCGAGGAGAACACCCTGGCTCGTGATATTTACAACATCTGGGCGGCGGGTCAGGATGCTACGGCTCTGTGGGGCAGAGGAAGAGTCGGTCATCTTCAGGATCTGATCGGCAACATGCAGCTAGAGGTGAGCTCATATATCATTGGCAATGTCTCGTAACTGATTGGCCCAGATGGATACAAAAGTGCCATTGTCCGGTGCCGAACTTGAGGCCCACCTCGAAGCTGAGAGGGAGCAGAAGGAAAAGGAAGCTGCTCATCAAGCTGCCCTGGCCAGATCTCGGCGAATGCTGGAAGCAGACGACCTGGACACCGACTCCGAGTCTGGCTCAGATGACGATGAATTCGGAGGTACCGAAGGCATGCTCATCACTCGTCCCACAGAAGCAGAGACAGAGGATAAGATGCAAATGTCATTCGATATCTTCGTCAAGGGTCAACAGATGCGAGTCGGCAGGGGCAACCAAGCGGGAGAGATGACAAGATTTCGAATGTTCCCACATCTAGAGAAGAAGGGTCGGAAAGTCGATGCGTTCGGTGAAGGTATCGATGTCGGTTCATGGATCCGTCGAGGCAAAGAGATCGAAGAGGAGGGCGAGACGCAGGAAGTGAGGGACGCAAAAAAGCGCAAGATCGAGGAAGAGGAAAAGAAGGTAAGGAGATGGACACTGTTGGTGCGCTCGAGCTCAGTCTGAACCAGAAGGAACCGCCCGAGCCGCCCTCCAAGTTTGTTAACGAGATCGTGACTGTTTCACTGCATGCGTCAGTATTTTTCGTCGACATGGACGGGCTGCACGATGGTCAGGCCATCAAGACGATCATCGGAGATCTCCAACCGCGAAAGATTGTGGGCATCTATTTCATGTTAAAAAAACTCTTCGCTCATCAGTGTCCAGATACTCGTGCGGTCGTCGAAAGAGACTACGTTTGACCTCATCAAATCTTTGGGTTCGACGAAAGCTACAAAGGACATTTTCGCTCCCTCAACCGGTGAACAAGTTGTCGTCGGAGAGCAAGTCGCCAGCTTTTCCGTCATGCTCGGAGACTCCATTTCTTCGACTTTGGGTTCGAAGTGGTCGAGGGTGAGTCCTGTCGCAACAGCTCGGAGCTGAATATGTCAGTATGAGGATTACGAGGTTGCGGTCATTGATGGCAATATTATCTTTGCCACTGGATCTACGGTCCCGACTCTAGAGGCTTCTTTCGTCCCTGTCCCTCCTGTCGTCAAGGAAGTCAAAGTTGAGACGGACACCATCACGAACGAACCCGCGGCAGCTACCGATGGTGATGGGGAAATGGCAACAGTCAAGTTGGAACCAGAGCCAGCACCGGAAGAGGCCGCCGATATGGAGGCAATCCAAACTTCAAGCAAAGCCTCATTACCCCTTCTCACAGTCCCGTCATCCATATTTGTTGGTGATCTTCGTCTAGCGATCCTCAAATCTCGCCTTGGATCCCTAGCTCCACCCATACCAGCTGAATTTGCAGGAGAAGGAGTCCTAATCTGTGGTCCAGGTGTTCTCCAAGGGGATGCTGCTAAAGCAGGAAGTATAGTTGCCGTGCGAAAGTTGTCAGAGGGGAATATTGTCCTGGAGGGTGGAATAGGCAGGACATATGACGATGTCAAGAAAGAGCTGTATAGGGGCTTTGCACAGGTCGTCGCTGCTTGACCTCGTGAGCATCAGCATCATCATGCATTCATCATCATGTTGCATCCCATCGGACCCCCCCAAATCGGCGGTTCTCAGCGTTTCCGTCGGAATTCCTGAGACTGTAAAAGACCGTTCGTCGGAAATTTTTTGCATTACTATCGTTGCGCTTGCTGGGGTGTCGAATCGATCCAAGTTGGGACTAGACGACGACGTGAAACATGCCGAAAGCTTCCAAGAAGCCCGCCGACTTCAAGGTGAGCGTCGCGTAGTCGTATCGAACTGATTCATCGCCCAGAAAGCCAAGGTCAAGCTCGGTAAGGGCAAGCAACAAGCCTCCAATGCGACAGATACATCCTTCAAGGCTAGAAGTAAGCGCGGCTCTTGCAGACCAGCAGATACAGCTATGCTTACTTATATATGTCGAATAGCCATCGCGCTTCCTGGGCAACGTCTTGATCGAGCTTTTGCGACTCCCGATGAGCCAGTCACTGCTCAAGGCTTGACCCTGGATGAAGTGATATTGCGATTGAGGCATCCCAATGCCGGTGTTCGTAGGGACGCTCTGGGTGGTATCAAGGAGATCTTGGTGGTACAGCCTGCTAGAGATGTCGGCAAGGTTCTGAGGGCTTTAGGGGGAGTCATTTCAGACGATGTAAGCATCCCGTGCCGTACATCTCGCGGAAATTGCTGATAGGCCGCTAAAGGATTCTGGAGTGAGAAAGACCTTGTTGAGTCTGGTCGGCTGGTACCTTTCACTTCAAGATGAGGTCTGTCTCAATCTACAGACTAGAATATTCGCGTCCTGACTCCATGACGCAGTCCTCTCTTACACCACATATCCCTCTACTTCTACTCCATACATCTTCTGGTTTATCACACATTTTCCCCGAGATCCGACTGGATGCTTGCAAATTGGTCCATATACTATTGGACCACGTCCCTTCGCACGTAGTTGGATCATGGCCAGATTGTCCGGCAGGGTCAAACAACATTCTAGAAGGATTACGTTTAGCCCTTGGTCTGCAGGGAGACACAGGAACGACGATGAGCAAGACAGGTTCTGAGGGTCGATTGACAGCTTTGGAGACTCTGCTCGCCTTCCTCAAGTTTGCTCTTCGTAGAACAATGGATGTCCAAGACCCTAGTTCTAGCTTCGCAGGACCGGCTCCTATAAGGAACTCAAGTTTGCAGTCCCTCAAAGGGAAAGAGAGGGAGGTCGTGGGCCAGGTCTTCTCACCCGGAGAGTATGGCTATCTTGCCGGTACCCACAACTGGGCAGAGTCTTCTTCTTCTACTTTTTGGGACATGTCTGGTCTTGGAGTGCAGGGGTCTGGGGAAGATGAGCAGCAAATCACCCAATTGACTGTAGGTTGCCACCAGCTTCCCTCATGAAACGAGCTGATGAGTCCCACAGACCCTTTACGACCAGCTCGCTCCGCTACTCGTATCAACATTCATGGAATCTGCCCCGGTGGCTTTCGCACCAAATCGATCAAATGCGACATCTGTTGACCAGACAGCAACGTCCCTATGTCTCGTTTCTGCATCACTCACAGTCCACCTTGCCGGTGCCATTCGTCGCGATTCAGGCTCAGACCGAGCTATCAGACAAACGGTCTTCGCATTCATCCGGCGAATGACACCTTACTTCCCCTTTCCCTCAGGCAGGGCAGCTGCCTCGACTACTCTGAATGGCTTAACCCATGGTTTCGAGATGTCCCTTGCGTTCGCTTCTCTCGTCACTTTGCTGTTACCTGCCACACCAGTCATGACGCTGCCACGATCTCTGGCTTCACAAGGCTGGGTCGGAAGGGTGCAGCTAATCAATGAAGCTTGGTCAAAGATCCAATTGTCAAGTGCAGTCACTTCCTCGGGTACAGGCGACATTTCAGAAGAATGGGCCATCGGCGAGGTTGCAGATTGGATAAGCACCTGTCTCGTGAGTCTCTCAGCATGCCGCTAGCCATAGCTAACAGCCACAGGCAACCACTCAAGATGTCACCACCGCACCGCTCTCGTCAGCCGCTTTTCGAGCTCTGCTGCCCATCATTTCTGACCTGATCATTCTCCGACAAAAGCGGGTCCAGACTGAAGATCTGTCCGTTCCTGAACCCTCTTCTCTCGTAGGAGAACCTTTCATATCGCATCTTTTGCGATCTTCATCATCAAGTGCGACCAGAACAGCGGGAGACGAAAATTTGATCGACCTGGTGCTAATTCATGAGGATCTTCAGTCGAGCGTTCCCTTCTTCCTTGATCTGGGCTCTCCATTGAGACATCTCATCAAGATCTGGCTAGAATCTCTGCCGAAGACCCTGTGGGAGATCGGTCACAAGAATGATACCGCTACAACAAACATCCTGGAGTTCCTCTTGCGGATCGGTCTGCGGGGCAGAGAATCGTTCGTGGCGCCGTACAGCCTGGTTCCTCACACCGTGAGTCGGGCGAGTGACCACATCAATCACCTCCAGCTGACGAGGAGTAGATCTTTCAGGAAGTCAGTGCCAAGCTGGCATCATTCTTTCACATTTCTCACCCTACCAGGGGTCACATTGCTGGCCCTTGGATCCGCTTACCAAATGCCTGGACGAGGAAATTGGCACTCGACGTAGCCAGGGTGTGGACGCCATACGAGGCGGATTTAGGTAGAGCGGTGGACTTGGCCGTCAAGGGCACTGATTGGGAGAGATATTGGCGGAAGTGACTGTAGCGTAGACAAGATGCCATGGTTGATGCAAACAAGCCAGAGTCTTGGCTAGCATCCAGTTCTTTTGTTGCCACTGATGTGCCACGCCGGGTGGGTCGTCGCGTTGAATTCAGCTGGTCTCGCTTTGATTTCGAATCTGTTCATCGACCACGCGAATCACGCATCTCGCTGACTGATCATGACGACCAGCATCACAGTGAGCAACAAGAGATCAAATGGACACCAATTCAGTGTTACTGACGCCCTGCAGGATGCCAGGTTCACCTCCCTCCATTTCACCCCCGGCCACCTACTGTCCCTCTCGATAGACGATGAACCAGAAACAGGATGGTCCGTCATGCCTGGATATGACCAGACTCTTCCTATCCCTTATCACTTGGAGCCTCCGCGTTTAGATGCAGATGAAACCCTGCCTAGTCAATTACATCCCTCTTATCCATTTGGTCGTCCGCCAACGGTCGGTAAACCACTGCGACCTTGGATGTCTGGACCTGGGAATCTGCTTGGGACGATAGGGGAGATGGACGGCAGTTCTGGCCTAGGGAGAGCAGGTATGATAGGATCATTTGGGAGGGGAGATGCGTGGGACGAGTTGGCGATGCGCGGCATCATAGAGGTTGAACAGAGGAAAGAGGTTCCTCCCGGCATGGCGGTGAGTCGCTTAGAAGGGGCTAGATGCATTCTGAGCATGGAAAATTGTCTCCAGGGCGCGAAGAGACCTCCATCACCACCATCACCCTCCTTGCATCCTTCACTGGTTCCCGGTCCTAGATCATTCCACCTCCGTAATCATCTCGCTCGTCAGCGACAGGCATCTCCTTCTGCACCAGTTGATCCGTTTGACGCCCCTGTCCCGAATGAGACCTTTGTGGGGGAAGAACAGGATCCTCCAGCCCCAGAGGAAGGACAAGCCATTCCTCAAGGCGGAGCAGCTGGGAATGTCGGTGGGACAGCTACTCAGGCTCAGGGAGCCACTCAACGGGAAGGTACACAGAATCGACCGGAGAGGGGTCAGACACAGAGAAGTCAAACGACAGGCGAGGATGATGGGTAGCTTTGGGCAGCGAATGCCTTCACGACCGGATGACATATTACGCCCTTGCATGATGACCATTCTACTAGCAGGAGAGGGCGCTCGCGTCACCAGAGGCGGACGTTTTCTTGGTACTGATCCTATCTGTCTCTTGACTTCTCACAGCTCGGTCGACGCATCGACATTGAGGATTAAAGCCTGATAGTATCTTGTGAACTCCACGATGGCATCGGCATCCTGTCGTGTGTGGTCAACCATTCGCTCTAGCTAGCCGGCAAGGCTCGGACAGGACACGTACCACTTTTTCGTTGATGGTGTGCGCCTATGAGAACATGAGCGGTCATCCTGACGACTGAATTTTACTCACTCCTTGCGAGTCATCATCTGGGAAGTACCGGAATCGATAAATGTTGCGCGTGAGATCCCAATACCTACGGAAAGAGCAAGGAACGTCAGTTCATGAGAGCAGCCCGAGAACAGTGGATCGCCAACCTCCTGGTGTCGGTATTCTATGGAATGAGTCAGACTTCGTCCCACACGCCTGGGCAGACTTACACCAGTGCCCATGAATGGCGCCACAACAAGCTGATCGTCTTCCTCGAGGTGTACCATGGACCCATCCTCACTGACTTCCGCTCGACTGGCCCACATACCTCGACTTGTGCCTGCGAATACACGCCAAGCGGCATTATCCATAGACGTCGGGGTGATCGGGGCGGGTCCGTGTGGGACTTCGTAAGCATCGGAGAGATATACTGTGCCTCTTGTTTCGCCCTTGGGGTGATACTCTTGACCCCACGCAGAGAGGGTCAGGTCGAGCTGTTCGGCAATGGGTCGCAGGGTCTGAATGATATGTTTCTGGACGTCTTTAACCGAGGAGTGGATGTTTATTCGGTGATTCACCATGACTTCGGAGACTTCTGGCTGGGAGCAAAGTAGTTCAGTATACAACTGCAGAAGACGGTCCGATCCTCCTCACCAATGCATTGATTTTGAATCCGGCGTGCATTATGTCTGAACACCGACAAGGTGAGCATCCGCGTGATCAATCTGAGAGCAGCACTGACCTGCTGCCTGAGTCGTGGAGATGATAGCTTCGGCCATCTTGCCTTGACCTTTGCCTTCGGGTTTTGTACCCAATCCATGTTCGATGATATCCTGGGGTAGCCTTTTAAACGCCTTCATACTGCCTTGTGATTTGGCGACGCTCCTCTTGAGCGGCCTGGGGATCTCAGGGGCATACCGAGAGGCGCATTGGAGGTATCCCCAGATGGGACTCGACTGCTCGAGCATAGGCTGATGTGGGTTTTTCTCAAGCTCTGCAATGAGCAGCGATGTAAGTCCGATATTGGTATGCTTTGGCGGAATTGACGAATGGCCCCCAAGAGTCGAGACTGTCATGTTGAGGCTGATGGTCAAAACATTAGCATTATCAATCGCTGTAGGAATGGGGCTCACTTGTGCTTGCCCTTCTCCGCTACGGCTGGCAAAGCGAAGCGACGACCCCAATTATAGCTTAGACCGGAGCCTTCATCGACGAGCAAGGCCATAGAGTCCCTGCCATAGGTCTCCAGAAGCCAGTCACGGATAGCAGGCGCTCCTCTTTGGCCTCCTCGCTCTTCGTCGTGTCCGAAACCGAGGACGACGGTTCGTCGAGGTTTGAAATCAGAGGTCTCAAGCAAGAGCTCAATCGCGGCGCTGAAGAAGCATGAGCGCAATCTCCATTACAAGCGCTCTCTACTCACAGGATGGATGTCAATCCCGACTTGTCGTCCGAGCTCCCTCGGCCCCAAATGTACTTGCCGTCGTACACTCCTTCGAACGGTGGCTGCTGCCACTGATACAACGTCTCCGGAAGCACCGGTACAACATCTTGAGGGGTTGTCAGCAGAAAAGGGCAGCGCTGTTGAAGGCTCTCACCTTGATGAGCCGTAAGCATGAGAGGCTGAAGCGAGGTGTCGCTGCCTATCCATTCATACACCAGCCCAATCGTGTCGACTTTGGTCAGCTTGAGGTGCTCGTGGCTATGATTATAAGCTAACGACATCATAGTTTTGCCAAACTTACACTAGAGGATACGACTGCTCGAGGTCTTTCCAGCCCCAAAGTCAGCATCCTCCCATCAAAGCTGATGTATGTTCACCCACATCTATGCAGATCGTGAAATATTTCCCACTTGGGATCTTCGCCAGGTTCGCCCATTTCATCGAAAACAAAAGTTGGAATGCGGATGACCCCCTGATGCCATTTGATAATACGGTCCTTGAACGATCGGACAGAAGAGGTGTTGTGTTGGTCCAATGATGGCATCAATGGGTCTGCTTGGTCACAAGAGCCCCCTTTCGCATCGACCCGGAGACTTGCAATCGACGAAATAGTTGCTGACAAGATAGATAAGGGGCTCGGCGTTAGGAGAGCAACGAGGGCAAAGAGCGACAACACTAGAGCGAGGGAGCGCTTTGACGTTGTCCCTCGGGTGCTAGACCCGTGAGGAAGCAGCGGCGCTGTATCCGTCTTGCTCATGGTCGCAATCAGTGTCAAACTGTATAAAAGATAACGGTGTCCGAACAGATTCGGACCACACATTCGGGATCTTCACTGCCGCTTTCGGATCTGGCCGAGAAGGGACATTCGGCGATCGCCGCGTCAACGTGTGATGGGATGGATGCATGCACATGATATATAGATCACCGTGAGTTTGATTGCAATGCTTGGCTGACCTTCTCTTCATTCGCTTTGGCTCGCTCCAAACCGACCCCTGGAGATAGAGCACTCGTCCACAGGAAAGTAGCTTTGGCCCTTTCTCTTGGATTGTTGGCAAGCTGAGGATCGCTCGGAACGGGTGTATCGGGCAGCATGGTATCGTAGGAACCAGCGAGTCGCATCACCTCCGACCGACGGGCTGTGATGATTCTCAGAGATGCGACTAAGAGAGAGACACTGGCAGCTCACCTTGACTCAGGTCCATGCCCTTGGCCCACCAGTTGTGTTCCGGATGACGGCTGCCATGAATAGGTGTGCCGACCAAACTATTCTGGCCAAATAAGCCAAGAAAAGATTGATCGTTGACAGGCGGTTGAGGGGCAGGGAGCTTAATAACAGACTCCAGCCAGGCAGCCTCCGCGTCTGCTTCGTTCATGTCGCCAAGGCCAGGCACACCTCTGGGACCGAATCTACCTCTTCCTCCTCCTCGTCCTCCTCGCGCGCCACCTCTACCACCTCCTCCACCGCCTCGGAACGGTCCGCCCCGGTTCGAACCGCCAGTGAAAGATCGTGGCGGGCCACCCTGTTTGAAGCCCCCACGCACGCCGGTGCCCGGCGCGCCACCCCTCAAAGGGCCGGCATTAGGGCTGAACTGATTCGGGGGCCCCGCTCGATGATTGTTCGGTCGGGATCCACCTCTCGACCCACGCGGATCGTAACCTCCTTGCCTCTGTCGCTCTGGGCCTGGCGCACCTCTTTCTCGATGTTGTTGAGCGGGATGAGGATTCTGAGGCGGTGTCAAAAACAGATCGTCTGCCACTCTATCCACGAGCCTCTTTCGAGGCTGAGAATTTTGCCCAGGCGGATGCAGTGCGGGAGGCGCCGGTTCCGCAAAGGGGTCAGCGGCGATGTTGTCGGGGACATCGAAGAATGCGTCTGGTCGACGTCTCATGGGATCGTTGCCTGCATCTGCTGAGTGCTTGTCGGAATTCTCCTGCCTTTGGATTTGGCGCTGAGTCTCCTTACGAGCGGACGACCTGATCTTGTGGGGAGCAAAGGTGTCAGCTTCGAGCGAAATGCCAGCTAGATATATTCACTCTGCTCTCTTCTATGCCACTGCTTGATAATGTGTCGATGTCATGCTTCGCAGCTGCGGGCAGAGACAGACCATCTAAAGGAGGAGGCGCAGAGCGATCGTCCTCAGCATTTTGTGGGATGGTGGAGGAGAAGGCAGCTTCGCCCCATCTCGCACTGAGGGCAGCTCGGGAGCTGCTAGGACCAATTATTATCCTAGTTCCCGGGAATCCGCTGGTTATCCTTAGAGGCATGGTGCTCAGAGTGTTACTGGCGATCACTAGGGGAGATGAACCACAGAGTGTGAGTGTTGAATGAGACCTGAAATTCGGGATAAAGTCGAATGAAAATAATCGAGAGATATTTAATATTTTCAAGGACAGCTGCTTCATATCGAGTGCAAGAGGTCTCCGGCGGACTCAAGGTGGTGAACAGCATCGAAGCGCTTCATAAAAGACAATAGTTGGCGTGACGGTAGACTGCCAAGATGTCCACAGAAGACTATGATGGTGAGTTACGAGCTCTTATCACGCTTCAGAGTCCGCTAACCCCCCTCCTTCAGAGTTTGGTAACTATATCGGAGGCGACCTGGAATCAGATGACGAGTCAGATATCGATGTCGCGCCCGCAGCGCCAGCGCCAGCGTATGGCGCCGGCCCCTCTGCTCAAGCTTCTAGCAGCTATGCACCGTTAGAAGGGCTGGAGGATGAGGATGAGGATATGGCAGAGGATACAGGCATGGAAATGACTCTACATGGTGTCGATGGTCAGTTGGGAGACAGTGTTTCCTGTCCAAGAGCTCGACTGATCAGAGCAACAGGAATATCAGCGAATCAGGTGGTTCTTCATGAGGACAAGACATACTACCCCTCAGCTTCCGAAGTGTACGGGGAGGATGTGGAGACCATGGTCCAAGAGGAGGATCTTCAACCCTTGTCAGAGCCTATCATAGCACCTGTGAAGAACAGGAGCTTCACCGTGCAGGAAAAAGGTCTACCAACGACTAGATTCGACCGCAAGTGAGCGACAGACGCCGCCGCTTCAGATGTGTCATGCTGATAAAATCCAGCTTCATGATCGACCTCATGGCATATCCTTCAATGATCCGCAATGTCATGGTTGGAGGGCACATACACCACGGAAAGACAGCCCTGATGGACATGCTGGTGTTTGAGACACATCAGTTGACTTGGAATGCCGATGAACCAGTGAATAGCTTCTCAGCTTCGGTTCCAGGCACGCTCTAACATTTGTCATAGACTCGATACACTGACACTCACACCCTCACTCGCTCCCGCGGCATCTCCATCAAAGACGGTCCGATGTCTCTTGTCCTGCCGAATTCCAAAGGCAAATCATCTCTCGTCAACTTCATCGACACTCCTGGTCATGCTAACTTTGTCGACGAAGTGGCGTGTGCGGCTAGATTAGTGGACGGTGTCATTGTGGTGGTGGACGTTGTGGAGGGCGTAATGCACGGAACAGAGCAGATCATTCGTCATGCCCTGCAGGAGAGATTAAAGATGGTCTTGGTTGTCAACAAGATGGATAGATTGATATTGGAGTTACGGTTACCGCCGAGTGAAGCATTCTTCAAGATCAAACATACCATTGAAGAGGTCAACTCGTTCATCGCGTGAGTACCTGCATACAGACATGAGAGAGGACCGACTGCTGAATTCTTGTTCAAAGGTCCATCGACAACGATGACTCACTTCGTCTATCCCCGGAACGAGGAAACGTCGCCTTTGCATCTACTCAGATGGGATGGTCTTTCACTTTGAGAACATTCGCATCCATGTACGCAGATACCTTCGGCAAGTTCAACATCGACGATTTTGCCGCTAGGTTATGGGGTAATATCTTTTTCGATGAGCAACGACGCAAGTTCACACGCAAAGCTGCCGACGTGGAGTCGCCCCGATCGTTCGTCCATTTCATCCTTGAACCATTATACAAGCTCTATACTCAGGTTAGTCCATGCTCCCGTAGCATGGCGCAGCTGACGATTCCGACGAGCAGGTCCTGAGCGCCGACTCTGCTACCTTGAAGGACACCTTAGGAGAAATGGGTATCACCTTGAAGTCTGCTGTCTACAAGATGGACACGAGACCACTATTGAAAGTCGTTCTCGAGGCCTTTTTTGGATCTTCACTTGGATTGGTGGACATGATCACAGAGTTTATCCCTTCGCCAGTGGACAATGCTGAGCAAAAGGTGACAATGCCTGATCACATCCGTTGCTGTGCTAATTCCTGTAGGTCCGGTCAACATACACTGGTCCCTTGAAGACCGATATTGCCGACTCTCTCCTCAAGTGCGATCCCGAAGGGCCGACTGTAATTCATATCACTAAGCTTTTTCACACCACCGACGCTCAGGAGTTCAGGGCCTTCGGTAGGGTCATGAGCGGTACTGTTCGAGTCGGTCAGCCGGTGAAGGTGCTAGGAGAAGGCTATTCGTTGGAGGATGAGGAAGATATGGTCAACGCGACGGTGGACGCTATTATGTTGGACGAGTCTAGGTAGGTTCTCAAAAGCGATCCTGCAGTGATATTTGCTGATCATGCGAAGATATACCGTGGATGTGGAGCGTGCTGGAGCTGGTAACATTGTTCTTCTGTCTGGGGTTGATGCGTCCATAACCAAGACTGCCACGATTGTCGCCAGGGATATTGAGGACGACCTGTACATCTTCAAACCCATCCGCCATATGACGCAGTCGGTTCTCAAAATTGCTGTTGAGCCTATTGCCCCGTCAGAATTACCGAAAATGTTGGACGGACTCAGAAAGGTCAACAAATCGTATCCTCTGTTGGTGACGAAGGTGGAAGAATCAGGGGAGCATATCATCCTTGGAACTGGAGAATTATATCTTGATTGCGTCTTACATGACCTCCGACGTCTTTTCTCCGAGATCGAGATCAAGGTCTCCGATCCAGTCACCAAATTCTGCGAGACTGTGGTCGAGACATCCGCACTCAAGTGTTATGCTGAAACACCGAACAAGAAGTGAGCTTCTTCTACCCGTGATGCCGAATATGACATTGACTCTGCATGTAGGAACAAAATCACAATGATCTCCGAACCTCTTGAAAGTGGCATTGCCAATGACATTGAGGCCGGTCGAGTCACCATGCAGATGACCAACAAGGAGCGTGGCAAATTCTTCGAAAGCAATTACCAGTGGGATCTGCTTGCCTCCCGGAATATCTGGGCGTTTGGTCCGGAGGACAACGGGCCGAACATCTTGGTCAATGATACTCTGCCATCCGAGGTGAGTCCATGAGCATTCTCCTTGACGCTATCTAACTCAAATCAGGTCGACACGAAATTATTGACGAGTGTGAGGGAATCAGTCAAGCAGGGTTTCCAGTGGGGAACGAGGGAAGGACCTCTGTGTGACGAACGTGAGTCTCTTCTCCCTCTTCATCCCCGAGTTCCCACAGTGTATTGATATCCTCGTTCTAGCCATTCGAGGTGTCAAATTCCGTGTTTTGGACGCTAGTCTAGCCGACGAGCCCATCTATCGAGGCGGTGGTCAAATCATCCCCACTGCTCGACGTGTTTGCTATTCCTCCTTCCTTCTCGTGAGTCTTGTGACAGAGAGGAGTGATCAGCCTCTCACTCGCTCGCTTAGGCCACACCACGCCTTCTCGAACCAATGTACTACGTCGAAGTCCAGGCACCGGCCGATTGCGTTGCGGCGGTGTACACGGTCTTGTCTCGCCGTAGAGGTCACGTCACCCGTGATCTGCCCAAGCCCGGTTCACCGCTGTATACTGTCAAAGCCTTCATTCCCGTATTGGATGCCAACGGATTCGAGACGGATCTTCGAACAGCGACTCTCGGTCAAGCATTCTGTCAAATGACATTCGATCATTGGCAGACTGTCCCTGGAGATCCGACTGACACCTCCATCCAACTTCGACCACTGGAACCAGCTACCGGTCAATCCCTGGCGAGAGATCTTGTTCTCAAAACGAGAAGGCGGAAGGGTCTCAGTGACTCCATCGCCGTGAGCAAGTATTTGGAGGACGAGGTGAGTAAAGGCGAACTCTCAGAGACGGAATGTGCCGCTGATCGATCTCTGTAGACTATCATTGCCATCAGCGCTTCCGGCAACGCGGATCTCTTGAGCTAAGAGACGTGCAGCTGAGAGGTGCGAGGGATCGTCATGATGGTATCATAGTCTAATCAGTCTGACAATGACGACTATGCGCCGACGTAGCACAGGATGCCTGTATGCATGCTGTGATTGACGAATCTATGCACGATCAATAGAAGGCAACTGTATGTAGCAAAACATGCGGATGCTTTTCTGAGTGCCTGGCGAGGATATCGTCCATTTCTTCGTCGAGATCGTTTGCTCTTTCGATCTGAAGATACGACTTTAGCTCGTCACAGGCTTGCGAAAGTACCAGCACCTACAGTCTGAGCGAGTTCAAGAATGGACTGCCCCGCAATAGCGGCCTCCTCGGGATTATCCTTGATCTCAAAGTTGATCACATGTATCGGCTTGTTGAATTCGCCTCCTCGGGCCAAGAGATCTGAGAAGGATCAGCTGGCCAGAATTGGAACTCCATCTGTGCTCACCGTCACAGACTGCATCGTAGCACCTCTCTTCGCATGTGATGACGACGTCGGCCAAGACTGCTTTCTGCTCTTGCCACTTCTCAGGGGCGAATTTGACCTTCCGATTTCGGTCTAGCATGGGCAGAAGACCATTCCGCATGTATCTATGACATGCATTGTTAGCGGTGTCTAGCTGTTTGCAGGCCATGAATGTCGGACGAACAAATTTGGATCCTTTGATTCCAAATCCTTGTAGATAGCGTCATAAGGTGTACCGAAACGATACACATTCGGCCGATCGATAGATGGACCAGGCAGACGGACAGCTGATCCTGTACCTGCAGACATGACTCGAACGGCGGCTTTACTGATGACACGGGTAGGTCTCAGCCAAAAGGACCGGAAAAAAACGCTCAGCTTACCTCAACACCATGTGCGCTTCCATAGATCGATTCTGAGGCCTGAGTCAGTGCTCAGACTCCGGCTAATTGAGCAGATGGACTCACGTTGTTACTAGCACAGACTACGCAGAACAGAGGGCGATTTACGCCCCTGGATTGATTCTCGCCATCCACCATCGCGCCATTCATCTTCGTCTCCGCTACGGGGATGATCCCAGAAGCACCCGGTGGTGGTGTCGAGTAAGGTGGAGGGGTCTGCGTCGACCCTGGAGGAGGTGTAGGATGACCCCTTTGCTTCGAAGGGCCAGGATAACGGTTCTGAGCCCTTGGGTCTGTCCCTCTGCCCCTACTGTCCATTGCGGGCGGAGGAGGAAAGTTGTTTCCAGAGGCAGGAGGAGGCGGACGCGCATATCTAGGATCAACACCAGAGTTCATGATAGCAGCATGATTCTGAACGGTGGATGGTCCAGGACCAGCCCCTCGACCAGGATACATGTTCCCAGAAGTTTGCGATCCCCCATAATGCTCGTTGGCGTTGTATCCATTCGTTGGTACTGGATATCCTGGATTCGGGGGTGTTATTGATGGACCAGCGGATCCCGGTCCATATGCTCTACGACGGGGATCCATCGCCCCTTTCTATGTAGCTATTGACCCTCAGTGATACAGTCGCTATCTTTCCCAGTATCCACGGACGACAAGGCCCACGGTATTGCTCGTCGGTGAGGTAGGCAGAGGTGAAGAGTGAGTGAGTTATAATAAGTTGCGAATGCACATTTTTGTGTTCGGTGCTGAGTGAAATTTAAGTCTGACCAAGGCGTGTGTCAAGATATCATCTCGACGTTTCGCCATCGTTCCTTCTCTCAGCATAGTCAGCTTCGCTGGGATCTGGCGCTCTTATAGATTGCTACTCACAGGCTCTGGATGCAGGACTCACATACTATCTCGTAAATGACAGACACGACACTTCCTTGAGGATTTCTAGACAACCCGTGTCGGAACATCCTGTCAACATGCCCTCGACTTATGTCTCCCACCAGCTCGTAGCTGCACACCTACCTCCGCCCCCCTCTCTACCACTCTCCATACCAGAGCTACGTATCACGACTCGACGATCGTTTCCCGGACGAGAAGAGACGGATCAACCGCTGCATCCAGCTCACGCACTTTCGACATCCTACAATCCGGATCTCAACGTCTTAGCCAGGGTCATCCACAATGGTCATCGGCTCGAATTGCGGCCGTTCGACATCGTCAAGTTGAAGAGTCAGGTCAGAGACGAGAGTGGGACGGACACCCTGCAGATACTATTCCCTGAGCCTCTTCGAGCTCTCAGCGAAGGCACCATCATCCTCTCGAATGCTGATCGCAAGGTCTACATTATTGTCGTTTCCGAAAGCAACACCGTATATCGATTGTCTTTCCCTTTGGGTCGCTTCAAGTCGGAACGAGGAGCGCGATTCATCTTCATGACGACTGGAGGAGTCGAATGGTGCGAGGAGTTTGATGTCCCGGAGGACGTGATCAGCCAGGCCGGAGGTGTATGCCCTGTAGCAATAGTCGATTCTGAGACGGTTGTTCTGGGTGGAGCAGATGGCGGCATCATACGTGTCATTCGGTCCCTTAGTAAGTTGCAACCTCGTAATCATCAATGACACCTGTCTGCAGACACCTGGACCGCCACCCACCATCGCGTTTCTTCTAGATTCCGCCTGCCTTCTCTCTTCTCCTCCGCTTCATCTGACGATCAGGTTCTTTCCTTTGCGCAGTATGACGGCGAAGTAGAATCAACCTTTTACGCCCTTTCACGAGATGGGAAGCTTCGAGTCTGGAGCCTCGACACTGGTGCGCTCGTGAAAACAATTGACGTGCAAAGTGCAATCAGTACGAGCAAACAAGTAATCCTTGCTGGTCAGACCGGCGCCTCGACCTCTCAGATCATTCAAGACGCTTCAGAAGTGAACCTCATTCGCATCATCGAAACGCCGAACGCATCTTCTCCGTACTCACATGTCATCGTCGTCTTTGTCGGCTCGCCCGGGAGCTCAACGTCTGCAGGAACGTTTGCAGTGTACCGTGTATCTAGGTCAAGTAACGACTTCTTCATCGTGGGTGAGAGGATCAGCTCACACAACACGACGGGTGGGACGTTGAGAAACTTTGACATTGTGCCGCCATCTGCAGTCAAAGACTTGGACACCGGTTGGACCTTATGGACCACTTGGGACATCAAGGGCAGTATCATCTGCGAGTCCATTACCATGGATGATCTTTTCCAATTCACCACTTATGCCGAACCGTCTGATCCGCCATATTTGCTGTATGAATGGCAGACTGCGTCACCTCATCCTGATACCGACAACATGGATGCGGCATACTTTGACAATATACTCAGTTTGGACCCACCCGATCCAACTCTGCCTCTGGAGCATCCAGACATACCCGAAACCTTCATCCGGCACCTCTTTTATCCCGGTCGTTTCTCGAGCTTGTCCTTGTCTACCGCTCTAGAGGAGTACTGCGCCAGACTTTCAGAGTATCAAGACTGGCCTCAGCTAAATAACTCATACTCTTGTCTCTCTCGCAAAATGGCAGCTATTGTAGGCTGCACGATAGCTATGGACACCCACCCTCAGACGGGAGCACCTGCCGTCGACATCTTTCGACGAGATACAAAGCTCGAATGGCTCGGTGTCTGGTCCCGAGTCAGAGAGCTCGACAAGCACGCTCGATGGCCCGTCGGCAATGCCGTCGTGGACGATCAACAGATAGTCATATGCCGCGAGAGTGTGTTGGTGCCCATCAGCATGGACACTGCAGAATTGATCGCCAAGTTCGCCTCGGACGACGAGGTCTTGTCAGAGCTGTCTGAATCGGCCTTAGCGGTCTATCCCCTTATTGACGCCTCCACATCCCGAACTCACACCTTGGTGGTCGCAGCGGCAGGCGAGCAGCTACTATCAACACTGGCTGATTTACCGACTGAAGACGGGCTATCCAACTGTCTGGATGCATTTTTCGCTCAACTTGACTTGATCCTCAGCTCCTCTTTGCAATCTCCTGTCGAACAAATTGCAGACGATCTCTGGGACGAGTTCTTGGATGCATGTTTGACAGAAGAGGAACGCACAAACACCCGGCGCGTGCTGTCAGAATGTGACGACTTGGAGCAAGGTCTGGTCTCGCTGCTCGACATCCTTACCGACCTCTCCGCTTCAGCAATCGGCTCATCCCAAGATAATCTGGCTTTCGCTGGTCTCGGTAACTCCATCATCACTTCGACGATCATCTCTGTCATCGATGTCCGCTACACTCTTGTTAGGTACTTAGTCTTGGTCGCCATATTTCATCTTGTCGAGTCAGACTTGACTCCAGACACCCAGGAAGGCGAAAGCATAATTGCCATCCTTGCTCGCTCACTAGCGCTGTATCACCGATATCGAGCGCTAAGCTGGCTGTCGGAGCAGACAGCTGAAGAAGCTCGGCAGTACGCCAGAGATGGACTACAAGCGAAACGCAAGCCAAATTCCGGTGACATGCTGACAGATGGTTTCGGGGGTCTTCAAGTGGGTGACGAACGCTCCACGACAGATACAGATGGCTTTGAAGTCGACTATTCTGTCATCCACTCTCTCTTGGCCCACCAGAAGCCTCAGACTGTTCAAGACGAGGTCGTCGACCTTATTGCGGATGGGGCTTCTTCATTCCTCTCAAGCTTGCATGTGATCTCACCGGATATGACGGACAACGAATCACGTCCGGGAGATGTGAAATTGGGGTATCTTATACTTATCGATAATCAACCTACGGCTGCCCGAGCATTCACCGATCTATACCCACTCTCAGCTGGCATGGCGTATGTCAAGGGCAGAGCGTGTCTGGAACTCGGAGACAGTCAAGAGGCGTCGAGACTTTTGCGGCTAGCCTCTGTCGATGTTGATACCGAGGCGCTCGCGAATATACTTCCGCCGGCCGAAAATGAAGACCGCCTGACCAGCTTCTATCGACATGTCACTTCGCTGTTCGAAGAGCATGGTTTGGATGACTTTGTTGTCACCTTTGGTGAAATGGCTTTGAACTCGACAGGCGAAGATGACCTCAAAGACATCCGAACAAAGGTCTTCCTGGCTAATTTGTCACTCAAGGCGTACGAAGACGCGTATGTGGTTCTGAATGGCGCTTCCAACATGGACCTGTGAGTCTTTATAGCCATTCATGGGTTCATGACTGATACGAGATCAATAAGGCGGAAGGATTTTCTCGGTCAACTCATCTCACATATGTGCGAAGCCAATGAGATCGGTCGACTCAACGCACTCGGCTTTGTTGGACTCCAACAGGAGGTGGAAAAGCTTATCCGCTTCAAAGCTCGTCACTCGGATCCGGTTCGATATCCGAATTACTACAAAGTCTTGTACTCCTGGCATGTGTCACGAGGAGACTATCGCAGTGCTGGAGAGATCATGTACCTTCAAGCAAGACGACTCGACACGGATCCTGGGAAGAGCTCCAGTCCTCTCTCCGATCTCGCCGTCATGCAAGCGAGATCATATCTCGCATCCATAAACTGCATGTCAATGGTCGACAAGACACAGGCTTGGATCGCTATACCTGCCCCACGTACAGCTCCCAAGCGGGAAGCGAAGCGACGTCGGGTGACATCGTACATCCCGGAATCTGCCATGGGCAAAGACAAGCATCGGATGGAACTGATCACGCTAGCGGATATCAAGGCCGAGTATTCGGCCGTTCTCGCCAAGCTCCATCTGGCCAATATAGTCGACGACATCTTTGCTGATGGGCATATTACAATCGGCCCAAGCGAGCTCGTTGGCTTACTTGTTCAACACGCCATGTTCGATCTTGCGCTTTCCTCAGCGGCATCACTCGAAGTAGATATGACCGACGTCTTTGTGGCTCTGGCATCTCGTTGTGTTCAGCTGTCCCGGTCATCGACTCTCTCAGGCGGCGTCGAAGCTAGATCCATCGCTTTCCTGTTCTCGTCACCCATCACTTCTCGTCTCCGAGGTCCAGCCCCAGCTTTGGCGTTACGGTATCTCCAAGTCGCACTGACCCGATACGACTCGACAAAGTCTCAGTGGAAGTACCGAGAAGCGGTGGCCGAGACTTTCTTTGAGATGAATCTGGACAAGCGGAATGGCTGGCAGATGCCCGTCTGGCTCGTAGATTGGGAAATGAATCGGAATGCAGAAGGATGGATAGGAAAGGCTGTCAAGTGGGGCTGGATCGAAGAAGCGATTGATTGGTCGATGCAGCATCTAGCAAGCGTAAGGCGATCCCTTTAAACATTCATACCAAACTAATCATCACATAGATGGATGCGCCGGAATTGTTACCTGGGAAACGGGCCGGTGTCGCCTACACACCATTTAACTTGTTCGATCGGGTCATCGCCGCTGCGTCGGAGAGCTCTGGAAAGGATGATGCGAGGGTGCAGGAGAAGTCGCAAAGATTGCGTGCAGCGCTTAAATCACGTGTAGCAGGACTGAAGAAGGTGAAATGAGACAATTGATGGACGACATGCAGCGATGACAATCGGCTTTGAGCATCCCATTGCAAGCTATCCGTGCTCTCGCTGGCAGTTAGGTTAGTGAGTCGACTGCGTCGATTCCGATTCCTCACTGCCTGGCGCGTCGCCATACTAGGCGTGTGGATCGTCTCGTCCTCGGGACCTAGTGTGATTTTGGGCGTAGCCTCGCAGTAACTCGGCTTTCTGGATGGCTTGAGGCTGCGCGGCCCTACTGGGTGGCGAAAGAAGGGGACAGAGAATCCAAGCGGTCAAGTTTTCCACATACCATCTCACGCCACAGGACCTGTTTCGCACCCTGATGGCTGTCGTAGCTGCTGTATGGACCGTGGCACAAATTAGGCTCGAGGCTTAAGAGCCTCGGGGAATTTCTGCTCGACACGAGCGACTACTGAAAGTCACCTCTTCGCGACACACTCTCATCCGCTGAGGACTAGCCTCAGATGTAGTTAGGGTAATCGGTTCCACCAGCTCGAACGCGGTTTATCTGAATCGGGAACGATTAGTTTCCTTTCGCCATTCATCGAACAGCCTGATTGATTGTGTTCTTTCGCCACTGACGTTCGTCGCTCAGATATATCTGGTGTCTAGCCATCTGAACGGGTATATAGCACATATCTCAACATGTGCACCCAGTCGGAAGTTTCGGACGAATATCCTTACGGCCCGGTGGGAAAACGGTCTGTTACTGAGAGCGGACTAATAGGAGCCTCAAGAAGCCCCACCAGAGGCCATGGGCCGTTTCTCATGGCCGCCACCCATGGGAAACGCCTCGAATAGTCGACGGAATACGGTGATAGAACGATCTAACCAACAAGCGACTTGTGCACAATGACGCAGAGGCTTGGTAAGGAATGTTCATCCGGCATGCGTAATGGCCAAGTAGGCACAGAAGGCACGGCAGAAATAGACGATGAATCCAGTGAAAGAAGAAGGCAAAGGGGACGGGAAAAAAAAATCAACCCAAGAGGCGCTCTCTTGGAGGCTTTTCTTTTCTTTTCTTTCGCTTCCACCACTTTGAGGAATCCAAGTCGTGGACGCGAATCGTTGAGACGCTGGCTTTGTCGGCAGGGTTTGCGGCATGCTAAAAAGCTACAAGCCCAAAAATCTCGCGACGGAGAAACCTCGCTGACGGCGGAATTCTTAATCTGGGCTAGTGATGTCTGAGGAATTGACCGAGGTCACAACTCGGGTTCGAGGTATGGTTCCGAGAAGTGGCTGGCTGGGCACGGGCATCTTTGTGATTCGGTTATTCTTGATTGGACTACGGGTGTCTGTCTCCCTGTGTATCATATGGGAAGATCGATCGCAAAGGTATTGGATATCCTGCATAGGGAAATTGTCGATCTGCATGATGCTGTATGATCAGGACTACGACGTGATGATCGACGCTAAGGAGACCCTGGAGCAGATGCCGAGAGAGAGACCCCAAGGGCGGGTACCAGGAATCTGGTGACCGAGATGAATGATAATTGCCCTGGCGTTGAGATCTGTGGAGAAATCGTCCAACGTACGAAGCGTCGATCCTTCCCCGTACTCTCACGATCTTGTTTTCAAATGAGATTGCCAACGGGCAAAATCTCTTGACGCGTTCTGAGGCATGTCAGCAGTGTTGTGTATGTGTTGTCGAGGGCCAATTGTCTGTGTGATCCCAAAAAAAAGAGAGTAACAAAACAAGTGCCACGCCGCCACAATTCAAAGGAATTGCCAATCTGTTTATGTTTGCCCCTCCCCCCCTCACCCCCCTTTCCTTTGTGTCGTGCCTGAAGATCTCTTATCAAGAATTTTTGGAGGGAAAACTGTTCGGTCAGCCATCTTGCATTATCTCTATCAGATTTCCATATTCGCCCTTCTTTGATCGTCCTGAACATCCAGCCATCTGTCACAAGAATATTCATTCCTACCTACCATGATGGTAGAGGCGCATGTAATTCCATGTCTGGCTCGGCAGCAGAGCGGCCAAGGGTCGAAATTAATACCTGGAACGGTTATGTGCCACGATGAGAAGAATCAATTCCGACGAGGGTTTTTTATGGGTGTGCTCGCCCATTGACATACGGTCGCACCATCCTGGCAAGCGCCCCCAAGCAGCCACATGTACAGTTTGCAGCTCTCGGAAAAGATAGACGGGGGTGTAGATGCAATACGTATGCCTTGTCCAAGCAAAAGGGGTGACGGGCAACCGGGATCTGTAGCCTTTGATATCGTCCGGTCCGACCACGGTGACCAGTCAGCCTCGCAACAGACTTGATTTAATCAAAGCAATAAACTTCGCTTCCCCAGTTTATCCAGCTGCAGCATTCTCCCCTTGTTCATTTTATCGACTGGCAAACCTTGTTTGACTCGTCATCATCCCACTCGCCTGTCGTTCAACATCAGAGAAATCATTATTTGTTTGCAGCGTCCCCATGTCCAGGTGAGTTTCAACTCGTGTGGTGTTTGAGGTCCGACATTGAATCTTTGTGCTCTGATTCAGGACATTGCCTCTCCAGCCTTTTGGCTACTCACCAGGACCGATGGATCCTCTCGCTATGGTTCACAACCGATACCCTCCATTGGACAGTAGCTCCGAGTCCTCCAATTCTCCGGACTCGCTCTATTCTGCCGAGTCCCCCACAGTGCCATCCGTCAGTGCCCTGCACCTGAGACTTGGCAATCAAGCCATAGACTATGAAGATGAAGTGGAGGAACGAGATGAGGAGGATTATGAGCAATTATTACGGGAGAGCGAGCAACCTGGGTTTGACTTTGCCAGTCCGGCCGACACAGAGTGGTCAGATAATCGGGGTTGTTCACCGAGTCCGAAAGGATCTCCGACTCGCAAGTTATCCATCATTTCCAACTCCTCCCCTAGAGGCTCCATTTCTGGTCCTCGTGAATCTTTGCTCAAGACCGCCCTCATGCAGCAACGACGGTCTTCAACTCCCTCAGTCCTGGATTTTCAAGATATGAGACGGCGAAGCTCGACCAGATCCCTTACGCCCTCATCTATGCCACGCCGTCGTTCGAGCGCAGTCTCGACCAACAGCAGCGTCTTGGACCCTATGGAGGAGGCGCGAATGAGGAACATTGCTGCGATCAGTCAGCTCAGTCGGCGATTCTCAGAAGTCGTCGAAGTCACTCAAGGAGCAGACGTCTATGGTGACACGTTCCACGCTAGAGATCGGCTTCAGTCTCAATGGTCAGCCAGCAGTATTTCCTCCATGACCGACTCGGAGATCATGACAGAATCTTACGCACCTACTCCCGATATGCCTCCAGTCCAGGGACTGATCTCCAACTATCCTCTGGCCTCTGTTGCCATCGTCAACCACAACGAACCCCCCTCTACCAGTCAAACCAGTCAATCGGCCTTCTCTGAACACCTTTCACCCGCTATTCCTCCTCGAATGCTACACCCTGAAGCTGCCAGGGCCGCCATTCTGACACCCCCAGCTCCTCCTCAGCCAGCCACAATGTGGAGGGAACGGAACAGGCCGATGCTGCAGCGTAATGCGACAGCTGGCGAATATCAATTTCCTCCACGATTACCACAGGCTCCGGTCGGAACCTCGAGGCCAAAGACTCTCAGTCGTTCAGTTTCGGCGCCCTTTTTTGGATCCGCAGACAGGGACAGGCCTTATGCTCATGCACTGGCACTCCATGCTGCCGGTGCATTCCCTGTGGCTCGACCCGAACCAATAGGAGCTACACCATTAAGGGCGTCGCTGAGACGGGACAGTATCGCCTCTATTGTCTCCGATGTCAGCGCGCCCGAATCCAGACGGCCAAGTTTGAAGGCATATGCGGGGATGAACGAGCAGAGGAGGTTCTCGACCGACTTCCAGGCCTCGAATCTCGAACGGGAGTCCCGGACACCTGTGCCAACCACCAATATTTCCCCCAGGCGGATATCCAACACCCCCCTTCCGGTTGGCTGGCCAGTAAGACGGCGCAAGTCGTCCAGCATCGATCTGCGTCGCGAATCATTAGATCGACGAGCGAGTTTAGCCGGCTCTTTACCTGGACAGGAGACTCTTCTCGGCCAACGATTCCCAAGGAAAGCCTCGACCGGTAACGGCCAGCTAGCCGTGGTCGTTTCGCGAAAGAATAGTACCGGGTCCAGTCGTAAATCCAGCACGGATCGCAGAGCCAGCCTGGCATCCAGTCGCAAATCCAGTGTCGTCAGCGTCGGCGAGTATGGATACTTGGCAACTGAGATTCAAGTCGAAACGGGAATCCCTCCCGTTCCTGCTATTCCACTGAAGCTGGACGGCAAACGTCTTGGACCTTCTTTCACAATAGCTATGCCAGAAAGGAACGATACGGCTTGGTTGATGTCTACACCACCCTCCGACGAGGTGATCACACCGATGGCTCGGCCCAAGTTCAATGCTCTCAATAGCTTCCTCGGTCAAAGCATGATAACACCCGAGGAGCAATCGATCGATCCCATGGAGACCAGTAGCGAGAACACGCCAAAAATGGACTCGCAGAGAAAGAATATTCTTGATCGACCTCGGCCGATCGGACACCCAGAGTACATGGATCATCGTGCTTTGCCTCGTCGATCCGCGTCTTCGAGACTTTCGTCTCCACAGCAGGATTCTCCCAAGGCGGCAACAGCTTCTCCCTCTTCTCGTCGATTCGCCGAAACCGCTTCGCCGAGAGCCCCCGTCAAATCGATCCTCAAAACTGGTGGAGTCACACGGAAGCCCGTTCCGATCATCAACTTTGATGCTGAAGATGCTGGACTCCGCGCGGACATCTATCATCAATCAAAACGACGTGGAGCCATGGAACATTTCCAGAACAACAATGTCTACACATTGCAACCGGCAGACATTGGCGCTGGAGATGGAAATCCCATGCGCAAGCGATCTTCGAGTCTTACACATATACCCCCCTTAGTTGCGTCCCCACGGCCGATATTCAAACGGAGCGGTACGGGAGCTCTGGGCAAAAGGGGAGATGCCAGCAGTCCGACTTTGTCTGTTGATCAAGGCAAGCAGGGGCCAACGCGGTCTAATTCGAGTTCTCATTTTGGGAGGTTGTTCAAGTGGTAATCACAATTTTATAGTACAGCATACACGGATGAAGACAGGACACTCAGATCTAATTGTAGCTTAAATCTTGTATCATGAATCCAATTCGTGCTAGCAAGGGCATCGGCCAGTTGGCATACAGCGCAGCTGAGACGTTTCCATACTGTTACTAATTTTTTGATGCTGGTACGTAGCTGACCGGTGTTGTTGAGGGAATACATTAGACAGTCAACTAGACCCCGCTGCAGCGGCTCTCTCCCATGAAGCCCCAAAATTAACCACAAGGAATCACTGCAAGGAGAGCAAGGACATGACTGATCTAGCCTAAGAGCCCTACTAAAGGTTCTTGTCGGTCTTGACATCTTCCCCATCGTAGCCCCTTTCGACAACACCCTCAAACTGAGAGCCAGGGATTGCGTGTCCAGTTCCCATTCTGATTTAGTGGTCAATGGTCGTCTGACAATACGATGCCCTCCATGAAGACGACTTACTTAGAGGTGTCGAAGCCATTCCTCTCTAGATACTCTCGGAACTGAAGCATTGAGTCAGTCTACGTGTCCCAGGCACTGGAATGATGATGAGGCTCACCTCAACGTCCTCATCCTTCATTGCGTCCACTCTAATATTCGGGATGAAGAAGAAGGTAATCAAGGCAGAGACGATAGCGAGTCCGGATCCGATCCAGAAGGGACCCTGGAGGTGAGTGATTCAGCCGAACAGCTCCAAAGACATTCGAAGACCCTCACAGTCACGGAAATGGTGCCCTTCTTCTCAGCAAAGTCGTTAATGATGTTTTGGAAGGTGTAAGTGCCGATGAAACCTCCAACTGTTCACAGGGTCAGCAAGGCGAGTAATGAGTACACGACCCAGAAACTTCACCTTTGCCGATCGCAGCGGCGATTCCGTAGAGTTGACCTCGAGCAGCAGTGGGTCCGATTGCCTTACTGGCGAGTAGACCAAGGTTGTTTCCAGGTCCGACCTCTCCCCAACTGAGGAAGAGTCTGTAAAGGGGTTAGGAGGTTCTCCTTATGCGAGAAAGCTACTGACCCGTAGAGAATGGCGAAACCAGCAATGTGATTGGGGACAAGTCTGTCGCCCTGGTCAGCGACTGGACAAGATCTGAGTGATCGACTCTACCTACTTCGTGAAAGTTCCGGAAAGTATGAAGCCGAAAATGGCTTGCATGACCAATCCGAAGATCATGCAGTATTTGGGCCCGAGGTAGTCGACGATCAGTGCCCCAAACAAGGTACCGGGAACGTAGAAAAAGTTGATGAGGCATCCCCATCCGACGTTCTGCTTAAGTGTGGCATTGGGAATGACTTCATTGGTGATAGTTGAGGCATAGCTGAACACGTGAGTGAACGAGAACACGAACACGCAGATTATATGGGACTCACATTCCAAAGGGATAAGTGATCCAGTCATAAATGAACCAAGTGATCGAGACGGCAAGCAATTTGACCCAATATCTCTTGATGATGAGCCAGTATGGGATCCGGGTGTGTTGCATGCTGTTCCTAGCGTACGCCTCTGGCTCTTTCATTCGGAGTCGGAACCAAAGCAAGAAGAGAGGGGGGACGATACCGACACCAAGTGTGATTCGCCATACAGCTCGCAAGTGATCTTCACCAAAAATCCATATGCAGACCAGACAGACGAAATAAGAGATGGTGAAAGCGAAATCGAGCATGGTGTTGGTGGCTGACCGACAGACAAGACGTTAATTCTTCTTCCCGAGCGCACACTTCGAGCCTTATGCCCAACTCACCCAAGACAAACAACTTCTGTTGCGACTTTTTGCTGATTTGGGGGTCTTCGGTTCCCTCTGCAGCAGCGACAGATCCAGTTGGGTACTCTCCACCGATGCCGACACCGACAAGGAATCGGTATGCGATAAGTGCGTCAATGAGAGCTTCGGGAGTACCGCCAGCTCCCTTTGCACCAGCTTGAAGAGCAGAGAAAACAAAGACGATCATGGTGCATGCCAGCATTCCGAACTGTGAATCATTAGTTCCAAGTTGATTCGCCCGCCTGTTACAGCATGTGAGGGTAGGAGTTTATTCACCTTGCGTCCGATCTTGTCACTGATGTAGCCGAAAGTGAGCTGCCCAAAGATAATGCCAGCGAATGCCATGGAACTAAGCAACTGAGACTTGTTGTTGCCCTTGAATGCCTCGGGGTACAGGTAAGTCTTCAGGATCAGCTTGGCCGGACCGATGGCAGAGTTGGCGTATCTGAAAGCATGGATCCGATCAGCTTTGCCCCGACACATGCCACTGCCCTCCCCGACTCACCCATCAGAAAACAAGGAGGCGCCCTTTTCGCAACGACGAGGTCAGTACAATGACTGGAAGAGCCTATCATGCTCAAAGAGCTCACCGATGCGAAGATACTGCCAACGCAACGCAAAATCAGGTCAACATGATCCACTCAGAACGAGATCGCGCGACTCACGTTCCGACTTTGCCCAGGCCGAGCTTTCGCTCGACAACGGTGACTTCCTGAGCAGCATTGTCACCAGTGGTGGGCTCGAGATCGACCTCCTTGCGACTCCAAGGCAATCGCATGGTGGTGGGAAATGCGCTAGAGCAGAGGCTTGGGAGAGACGAGAGTGGCACTAGGCGGTTATTCCTCTAGAGCCTTGTGGACAACGGTCGATTGTATATGCCCTTCACTTTCGATGAGAAGAGGAAGAAGAAATCAGGATTGCGCTACGTACCCGGTCCCCCTTGCTTCTTATACTATCGTGTGGGGCTGACACACAGGTGACCTGACCCAAGTCTATCGCATCAAGCGACGGTTTGAAAAAAGACCCCACCCACTCTCAGCCATACGCTGTTCTTCCGGACCTGAACTCTTTTTTTTTTCAAAAAGCTGCCACCTCTTTACCAAAAGAAGCAGAAAATCCACTTGGGACGAGAGAGAGATGCTGGATCACCTGCGCCGTTGAGCTCGTCTGACCATATGCGCTGTCCCTCCCTCTCTTTCTCTCCGCGCTCTCTCTCACCGCGCTCGCGTTTCTCGATCTCAACGCTGGCTTGCTGATTCTGCTCGCCCGACCTAACCGGTATGGCATTCCCAAATGTTACGACATGATCCGGGCCACACATGCCAATTGCCGAGCCCAGTCAAACGGATCCTCTTCCAGAAATAGAAAATGTAGACGTAAAAGGGCAGATCACACACGTTCGTCCATTTCCCATGGATCTGGGTGCCTATCTTCCTAAGTAAATACGGTCCAGCAGGCACGTTCGTACACTACCTCATGCCCGAATGACTGCGTTTCACTGTATTTAGGCCTGTTGTCCCGCTTTAAACATCGCCTCCACGTCACGCGATCACACGCTCCACCCAAGGAGCTATGAACGATGCCTTCTGCACGTTTATGGAGCCTGACGTTTCGCCGTTCCTGATCTTCGACAGACCAAGCAATCGTAAAATTTCACTCTGATCGACGCTGGATTCGACAGCCAGGTAGCCAGGTAGTGGCTCCAACAGGAGAGGAACCTGATCCAATTCACCAAGGGACAGGAGCAGTTTGGCCAATCTGATGCGAGGTTGGAGACTCGAGGGGTCTTGATGGATGCGCTTGTCAAGAAGCTGTTTGGTGCCATCGATATCGCTTTGAAGGAGACCATGAGACACCATAATATCCGTTACAGTGTCTTTGGGATCATCGGCTTTCAGTCTGTCTGAAGTCAATGACGAGAGCTCCGAGATGCAAGCTTCGATCAGATCTTCATCTGCCGATACCAGCGCGATCGCCAGCAACGTTGTGACCACTGATATGGCGGGTGTCTCAGAAGATAGGCTAAGACACAATGATCAATTCCGCAACATTGACAGACCAAAATCACACTCACCATTCCAACAGATGCGATTTGGCCGCCTCCCTCGCCTCTTCACCTCCTAGGCCCCAAAGTGTCCTGGCAAGCAGCACAGCAACAATCTCTTTCAAAGAGATTTCTCCTGCCTCTGTAGAGCATGTCTCTGCTTCGCTCATCGCACGCTCGAATGCGGATAGAGATTGGTCCGGATCGCCAAGCCAAGAATGGCTCAGGGCTTGTCCCACCAGGCACTGGATACGTATCTTGACCAGCTCGGCATCTATCCACGAGCCCGACGCGGGTTGTGAAGTGGCCAGTTCAAGCGCATCCGAATAGCTCTTCAGAGCAGACTCATATTGACGTGAGACCAATTTGACCCTTCCTAGGTTGACCAGTGCCACGAGGTACTTTTGCTCCACCTCTGGAGATTCTGTGACTTCGAATTCGTGCTCGAGGATGCGGGTCGCTGACTCAAAAGCCGACATACTTTCGTCAATGAGACCCAGACGCTCGCAGACGAGACCAAAGAGGTTATTTGCAGACGAGTCTTCTGGTCGTTGATGGACGTAATGACGTAGCGCAAACGCAGTCGAATGGAGGATAGACAATGGCGGCGGATTTGTGGATCGCAAGAAGGGCTCAAATGCGAGCGAGGCTGAAGCGAGGTCCGCTTCAAGCTGTAAGATGATCAGTCACAGATAGGCTTTATATACTGACTAATGAACCAGCTGAGAGCGTGACTGCATGCGCGAATAATGCCTGCGCTTGTGGCTTGTCTCCCTGCTGGACCGCGATAAGTCCCTGACCCAACCAAGCACGAGCATAATCGGGATCCGTGATTTGAGCCCTGAGGAAGCACTGAGAAGCCAGATCGACGTCCGCGAGACGGAAATAAAGATAACCAAGATTCGTCCAGACAATTGGGTCCTGCGTGGTAATGAGCATGATATCACCGAAGAAATCATACTCACCTTGGTGTATAGCTCGAGCGAGACGACAAAAGCGTGCTGAGCGACTTCCTCTCCACCTTCTTCGCACAATACCGCCAAAGCATTCCACAATCGTTCATCACCCGCGTCCCGATCGAGAGCGTTTCGGACATGTCCGATGGCAGTCTTGATACATGTCTTCTTGTCCTCTACGCTCACATGGCGGGACAGAGCGTGAAGCGCTGTTCCAAGGTCGTACAAGGCCATAGTCACCACTCTCGGTTCGTTCTTCAATAACCATGCGCGATAGGTGAAAGCGAAGACTGATATCCACCGTGCGAGATGGTAAGGCTGAGAAGCCTGGAGGAAGCTTTCGGGTGTTGGCAGGCCGCTGATGACGGCCCTCTTATCGTTATCGTCTTCCACCAGCAGCTCCAGTACTCTCTCCATGACTTGACAGTCATCCTCAGCGATGTGATCCAGTTCGAAAGCAGCATCCCCGATGACTTTCCAGGCCCAAGGACGATGACCGGATCTTGTCTCAAGGACATTGCATGCCAGCTCGATGGCGTGAAGGAATGCTCGTCTTGATCTCTCGCGATACCCAGCTGATAGGGCTTCGCGCCCAAGCGAGAGATACGCTTCCGACATTTTAGCCATGACACCAACCTCTCCAGTCATCGATGCTGTGACCTTTTCAAATGCCTCAATGGCAACTTCGAACGACCCGAGCTGAGCGTGAATATCGCCAATATCGTACCAGGCGATCCAAGCCGATGGGTCGATTTCCAGAGCCTTTTCTAGCGCTTTAAGACCAGCCATCTGTCGACCGCACTTGGCATAGGATTCGCCGAGCTGAATCCACGTTGTTGAGTCGTCCGGATCAGTTCTGAGAGCAATCTGAAATGCTTGAGCCGCTTTGGCGTAATTACGATAATGCTACGACGGTCAAATAAGCGCAGAAAGCATGAAACGCACCATCTCCGTCGAGCCTAACGCTTTCCAAGCCCAACCATTCCTTGGAGCAAGTCGGCCTTTGGCACCTGTGACATCGCCTCCCTTCACTCCTTCGACACCGCCTTCACCTTCCATGACTCTATTGGCTACCAAACGGACCAATGCCCACTCATCATCGTCCGCATAACCCTTGGCGAGCCGTTGAGCAGCTTCGACTTCGGTGGCGTCGAGCTCAAAGGCCTTTTGAAAGCATTTGAGTGCCCGCTCGTCATCTGGAGGCGTGGCCGCCAGGTATGCGACACCGAGTGATGTGTACGCCGGCGCAAAAGTTGGCAACGCCCGAATCGAAGCCATGAACCAGTCCTCGGCATGAGACCTACTTTCGTCGTCTGGTGTGTGGATAAGCTTAAAAAAGGAGTCTGAAGACTTGACGTACCTCCTATCATCCACTCTGTCTGTCCAAGACGGTACCATGCCCGAGCTCTTGGGAAAGCCTCATCATCCTTGTGGGTCTCCTCCCATCGCGAATCTCGTAGTTCAACGACCTCTTCCAGGACGGTTCTACCTTGTTCCAGTCGACCCTCGTTGACAAGACACCAGGCGACCTCTTCCTTCGCAGCGACCAATTGACCCGCATCCGTCGCGCCACCATCTACGATTGTCTGGAAATATTCTCGGGCCTGAGACCATTTCAGAGCCGTTTGGCAGATCTGACCTCGCGCAAATCTAGCTTCGGCGTTGGACGGCTCGACATTGAGAACACCGTTCAGCAGTCGCGTGGCTCGAGAATGGTGTTTCGGTGGGAAATAAGGTACAAGAGCGACTCCAAGGTTTGTATCGAGTGATAAGCGTGCCCTGCAGAAGGACCTGTGAGTCTATGTGCTGCCAAATCTCATCGTTACTCACTTTGAAAAGCTGACGCCTCTCTCAGCTTCCGACTCTTTCAGCAAGATCCTCGCTCTCTCTGCGAACGCCACGGCATTGGCCCAATCCTCCTCTTGCGTCGAGATACGAGCCATGACTCGATGAACAAATACTGACCGCTGAAGCTTCTCCAATAGCTTCTGTAAAGCTTGTCAGTAACACGCGTAGAGGGGACATGCAAGGAGCACTGACCGTCATAGATGCCACCAACTCGTCTCGCTCTTCTTGATCGACATCTTCGTTCAGCGTCCCTGCCCTCTGCGCAACTCGACGCAGCTTTCTCCTCTCTCGCGCATTGATCTTTTTTCCTCGTCCCCATCTCCTCTTCTTCTGAGTCTCTGGTTCCGGCACCGGTGTCTCGCTCGCAGCTCCCTCCTCTTCCTCCGATTGTGGTAAAGGAAGTTTGAACCATCGGCAATAGTCATCGATAAAGTCAGTCATGGGAGATTCAGGGAAAGCAGTGGCAAATTTATGCAGGAGCTCGAGATCGTAGACTTCACAGAGTCAGCGAACCATCGTATTTGTGACGCACAGATGCTAGGTTCATCAGTGCCCTCTATGACCCAGGTCCAAGCTTCCTCCGCCCCCTGATTGGCCACAGCCAGCAAAATAAAGCCCTTGGCTAGTCCATCTGCTCTCGATAGAGCTTCCGCTTTAGTCGGCTGAACGGGCTCGTCGGACAGCGCGAAAAGCGGTGGAACAGCGAAAGCATCTCCTGATACTGGTGGTAGAGGCGCTGGCCTAGACTTGCCCTTGGCCTTGCTTGGTTTTGCATCCTTTGCCGGGGTATCCTCGCTACAGAATAAGGCTTCAGTACGAAGTGACGGGAATGCTGCGCATGACTTACGACAGACAACCCACAAGCTTTCTCCAGTATTCAAATTCCTTCACCTCGACATCTCTCCGAACGCTCTCCTCGACTCCAGCATGACTTCCAACTTCTCGTAACAGAGTGACCAAATCCGAGCCGAGTTTGCCGCCCAATACTTGTCCTTCGACATTTTTGCGCACCTCTTTCTCTGGTCCAGCTCCAAGTCTCGTTCTCCCAGCTTTGACCTGAGCTTCAACGGTCTGATGTACCAAACCTTGCGAACGAATTAAGAGGTTGAGCAGGAGAGGTAGTGATGAGAGGAGATGGGAGACGTGAGGAAGGGTTTTGGGGAGTGTCGGTAGGACTGCGAACGATTTGGGTGGGTATATCGGCATAGGAAACGGGGTGAACGATCCTGCAGGAGGAGGCAGAGATTGAAGAAAAGGCACGAGAGGCGAGGAAGGAAGAAACAGATGAAGGAGATTGTAGAGCTGCACAGAACCAAAAAAAATGGTCAGTCATGCATGGAATAGGCAACGGTCAACTCACATCAGTCTCCGGTCCATGCTGATGTCTCAACTCTAAGAGTTCCTGAAGTGTTGCGAGGCATGCATCTGCATCGCCGCTGAAAGTACGAGTCAGCCATGATCCATAATATTCGTATGATGATGACGCTCACTCGTCATACGCTCGCTGGACGATGACTTCGAGAAATCTGGCCACCTTGTCCCACTGCTTTTCTTTCTCATACAGCTTCCTCAGCCCGACGGTTGCGAGCTTGTTGTCCGGTTGGAGCTTATAGGCATGTATATAGCACTGGCGCGCGAGTCAGCAACATCTACCGACGGCATCACGATCCGCTTCGAACATACCTTTTCAGCCTCATCTTTGCGATCGAGGTGCGTCAAGGCAAGTCCACGGAATACGAGGCTATCGGACTGTGAGCATCCTGTCTATACTGATACTCCAAGGAGCACAGAGCATAGAGCGGCTGAAGCCCCCCTTCAGCCAACTCACATGCCTGCCGCTTCTTCGTCCTTTCCACTGAGCCCCTTTAGACATTCGGTGGCTTCATAAACTGCAGCTTGATAGTCTCCATTTTCGATCAACCCTCTGATAGACTTGAGGGCCTTTTTGGTGCTCATCGAGTTGTCCGCCGCCGATACTTCCTCCTCAAAGCACAAAATCTAACAGCTCTTCTCCGTCGTCGTCCGGCCGTAATGGATGGATGGATGAATGAATGGTCGATCGATTTTTGGGTATTTTTGGATTTTCCCTCTGGTTGTACTTTAAATTTCCATTCATTCACTCGGGTCCTTCTGAAGCTGCTCTTATCTCTCAGGACCACCTCTGGATTAGTCGACCAGAGCTCGCAGCTGGCCCCCATGGCCTACACCATTCTACCTCTCTCAGTGTAACTTGACCCCTTGCTGGCCTCCTATCCCATCTTGGACCCACACCACGCGACTCCTCCCCTTCGGCGTTTCCCAACGAGCCGAATAATCAATCATAATAAAACGACCTCTTCTCTCTCTCCATATCAGAGCGATCCTTTGAACCGAGACCAGCGTCGCCACTTCTCTGCTACTCCCCCCCATCCCTCATCCCATAGTCTCCACAACGAAATCCAAGCGAGCACCGATTCACTCCTTTGGACCCCACCCTTTCACCGTCTACCACAGGACTAACCAAGTATTTGCGCTGGGAGATCTCTCGGACGATCGTCGTTTTCCAAGGGAAAAGCCGCGTCGGTTCAAATCAAACATACGTTTTTGCTGGTTGCTGCTGCTTGTTTCTTTTCGATCGGAGTTACATGAGTCCTGGGATTGTGACGAGGCAAGGCATCGTATCATATCAACAGGTCATCAGCATTTGCAAGCATCGCGATCAGCTGGAAGCTGGACCCCTTCTCAGCCTTCGAATTGATAATTGGGCATTCAAGGCCGACCTCTGCGATCATCTGATTTACATTTGATCACTTCACTCCTCGTCTGGATTCCCTCAAATCCCTCATTCATACACCGACCAAGCGACAACTCACTGCCTAGCTCTTGTTTTACGATACCCAAGGGCAGTGGGCATATATTCCTCGCAGTCGCTTGGTCCCAAACAGTCTCTCATCTGCCTTAAACGATCAAACTTGGCGCGCACGTTGTTATTCACCTGCTTCTGCTTCGTCAACCATGCCGGTCGTCGCTTTAAGCTCTCACAACCTTCACCGGGAGCCGAGGCAAAGTCTACCTCACCTCCCTTCTCTCTCATCCCCTCGATTAGGAGCCACACTGGATCTGACTGAACCTGCCCCAGCTCCCGCGGATGTTCCGACACCTGCCAAATCTCAGTCACTCGAACCGGGCAATAATGACCTCGGCATTGCATTTCAGCCACCTACACCCGTGTCCATACCCACCAACACTCAGTCCCAAGATGACCAGTCACCTCAAACGGAAGCTGGACCATCGACAGGCTCAGGATCTCGTGCTATCCCTCCACCTCCTAATCCTAGACGACATCGATCAGGGATCCTCATGTCTCGTATGCGAGCCTTGTCCGGGGGACATCCTGGATCTCGCGATTTGGGAATGACATTGAGCAAGAGCTATGGTGATCTCAGTATGATATCTGCTGCAGGTCAGCTCGCTACGCCGGACGACGAAAAGGACGAGGAAGAGGTATTGGGGAGCGAGCATGGACATCGAGAATGGAAGCGAGCTACAAGCGAAAGTCTAGCGGCACCAGATGATGAGTTAACCATGTGGGATAACAGGTGAGTCTCCCTTCACAATCTGAGCCTTTGACTGATCATTCATGCTAGTGCTCGATTCTACCACCACATTCATTCCCGTCCAGCATCTCGTACAGGGTCCAGAGCTACCTCTCCAGCTCGATCTCCATCCATCAGCTCAGTTTCCAATGACATTCAGTCATCTCCTAAACAATCTCCCATCTTTGTCCGTCGCTCTGTCAATCTTCAACCCATGACTGACGCCTTGCCTCCTCATTCGTCTCAACAGGCCGTCACCAGCGCCTTATCACCTCATCAAACATTCTTACATTCTCATCTACCTCCCACCTTTCCAGAAAGTCTGCATTCGTCTGGTCTTCTGGTGCCTGACAATCGCCCGCATAGCATGGTCATCCTCACTCCTACAACTCAGGAATGGAGGGAATTGAAGGAACTCAGACGGTTGGAGATTGGAGACGACGACCTGAGGGATGAGGATGACTCCAGCGATAGTGGACAGTTGAGTCGGCGGAACAGTCTCAAAATGGACGGTTCGTTGCTCAGACGGACACTATCAGCAGACTATCTCGGAGAGGAAAAACACCACCAGCGGGATCCTGGAGCATCGCCAGAGAGGCCAACAGTGCCCGTGCCCTTATCTCCAAAGACTCCTGGCAACACCACACTCTCTACGCATCCGTCTATGGAGGAAGTGGACCCTGATCAACCTCTTGTCATCACTACTGATGAGGAGAGTCCCATTCGATTCAATTCTATAGGCAAGCGACCTTCTTTGACGGTTATCCGAGGGATCGAGCGGCCTACAGTCGCCAGAGCGAAGACGAAGCGAGAGAGGGAGCGGGAAAAGTTGTTCAAGGACTTGGATGGTCAACTCGAAGCGGATCGCATGTCTGATTCCGATAGTCGTGCTGATTCTGGACGGAACGGTGGCGTCCAGGAGATCGGACTGGGGAGTCTTGGGTCTCGTCCGAGTTCCTCTGGAAGTTTGGCAGAGAGTCCAACCGGTACGAGAGATAGTCTGGCTAAAACTACATCCCAAGATGGTCTCTCGTCAAGTCATGTGTCACCCTCTCAGCCGTTGAGACCGTCTCCACTCCATGCGTACCCCCTCACGGCCGATATGAATCGATCATCCTCTGGTTCTGGTGATGGTGAATCGAGCGGCAATCCACTTGTGGACACCCCGTCGTCTTTAGCCCCCACCACTAACATTCAGTCCCCTTCGCCCAATTCTCAAGCACACAATCTCGAGACAATCAGAGATTATGCTAGGAGTCTCGTCTCGCCTCGTCCGCGACTGCCCAACGTCATTCGGTCAGGTCAATCCACGCCATCGCCTCCACCAGGTTCTCCGCGACCGAGTCGTCGGAGGGATACCGCTCACAGAATTTCTCTTGTCGCGGGTCGAGTCGTGCAGCCTTTCGCCGTCCCTTCGTCTACTGCTTTACCTGCTGGGCATGTCCCTGCACCCGCACCACATCTTCAGTCCTTTTCTCCATTCCGAAGTCCAAACCTAGGCCCATCAACACCAAAGGGTCTCTTCCCGCCGACGTTCAGCCGACTCGACTCGAACATTTCCCTCGCACCTAGCATTGGAGCACCCAGCGAATGTGGTACCCCCACGAGTGAGACCGCCGGTGGACTAGGTGGACGTGGCATCGACGACTATGTGATCCTCAAAGAAGCGGGAAAGGGGGCTTATGGGCTCGTCATGCGTGCCAAGGTCAAGGGACCAAAGGGCGAGCCTGTGGGAGACGAAGTCATCATCAAGTATATCATCAAAGCGCGTATATTGGCGGATTGTTGGAAAAAGCATAAAGTCTTGGGACCTATTCCAGTGGAAATTCATGTCATGGATCAACTCCGTCATCTGCTGTATAACCCTCCTATACGGCCTCATCCTTGGGATCCGACGAGAGAGAGAAAGGACCCTCCGACGCCCATGAGGACGCCGAATCCGGACCTAGATGACAGCTTGCCCAATACGCCCGAGTCGCCGGGGTCGGAGTCGTCCTCCTCCTTCGGCGTCTATAGTCCGGCGCAGAGACATATCGCGAGCGAGATCAAGCATTTACCAGAACGTGGCCACCCTAACATTGCCAAGCTTCTCGATTTCTTTGAAGACAAGGAGTTTTACTACTGTGAGTGGCTCGTGGCTGAGATGCCAGGGAGCTAATCTAATCTTTTTTCTTCTTATTTTCAAGTGGTTATGCCTCGTTTTGGGACTGGTTTGGACCTTTTCGATCGAGTCGAGAACAGTCCAGATGGTCTGAGTCCGTTTGAGATTCGATCTCTGATCGGTCAGCTGGCGGACGCCATCCGCTTCCTACATTCGAACGGGATCGTTCACCGAGATATCAAGGATGAAAATGTCATTCTTGACGGTCATGGACGATGTCAACTTATCGATTTTGGTTCTGCAGCTCATTGGAGACCTGGCAAGCGATGGGATACGTTTTCCGGAACGTTGCATTATGCTTCACCAGAGATTCTCAGAGGTGAAATGTACGGTGGGAAAGAACAGGATGTTTGGGCTTTGGGTGTAGTAGGATACGTCTTGCTGGTGGGGGAGACACCGTTCAGTGAATTACCGGACGAAGTTCTCCAAGGTCTGAGTAACAGTTCGAATGCCGAAGCGGCGTTATCGACACGATGTGCGAACGATGAGGAAGAAGGACTAGAAGCCGATGGAGGAGGAAGATTGGCAGATGCGGCCGATCTCGTGAGGCAATGTCTGGCCATGGAATTGGCGAATAGACCTTCGGCAGAAGTCGTATGTCAACATCGATACTTGAGAGGAGAAGGAGGTTGGACGGGAAAGAGAGGATGGGTCGCCATGGGATGGAAATAGATCGTTTGTTCGGGGAGTAACGGGGCCTTCGCCAAGTCTGGGGAAAAGACGGCGTCGTGGTTGTCTTTTCTAATTCGCATTTACACAAATGATCCTTAAAGAGTGGTAGGGACAAGCAGTCAGTTAGAGACGCAGGCATCTGTTTTGCCCTCATCCACACCTTTTGTTTGCATTAGCATGAGAATCTCGTGTAACACTGGTCTGGTAGAAGTGTGTGGCGCAGCACCAAGCAGGGCTCCTGCCTCCTTGTGAGATGTCACTAAACGCACTGCATCCATGCTAAGAAGATTGTTGCATGACACCATGACATACGTGTCTATCATACTTGAGCGAGTGGTTCTTTCCTTCAAGACCGTGCCAGTCCCATCGGTCGACCTGGTAGCCCTGCCTCTAGTACCTAGGTCTCTCATCATACCCTCCCCTGGGAGGAACGCGATCATCACGCCTGGCATCAGGTCGTTCACTACGGTAGTATCTGCGGTCAATGAAAAATGGTCAAGAAGGGGTGCACAGCAATTTGTCCGGGAGAAACTTACGGATCGCCACCTCCAGCACGAGGAGGGGGTCCTCGAGAGTAGTCGTCGTATCTGATTCCAACGTGAGCTGTAGATATTCCGTATGAGAAAGTGGTGCAGCTTACCGGTCACGTCGATCATAATCATCTCGGCGACCGTAATCGCCTCGAGGACGATCATAGTAGTCGTCTCTTCGGCCTCCATAGTCTCGGCGGTCATAGTCCCTTCGGTCGTCTACCAAATATGCGTGAGCTATTGCGGGAAGCCGACATTCGGATACACTCACAGTAGTCCCTGGGGGGCGGTCCTCGATCGGCGTATCGCGAGTCGTAAGACCTCGGCTGGTAAGGTCGGTCTTGGTACCCGTATCCTCCTCGAGGTCCAATGTCAACCTTGACACCGTGGTATCGACCAGGCGTGGGGGTACGGGCTCTGCCTCGTCGAGCCTAGAGTGAAATGAAAGGGTTAAGAGACATATACTGGTGATGGAGAGTCGTCCACTCACATGAGCGATGGTCAAGCTCTTGCCTTCAAAGTTCATTCCGTTCAGGGCTGCAATGGCAGCTTCGGCCTCTTCAGCAGTCGTCATTTTGACGAATCCGAATCCTCGAGATTCCTCTGTGAAGCGTGTGAGACGTGTTTGCCGCGGGATGCGCAGGCAGACGAACGAGTGTGGGGGTCAAGCATCACCGAGGCAGATTCGACCTGGACACAGTAGTAAGTTCGGCCCTTCTCTTTCTTGGTTAAATAACGCTCACTTTGCCGTGCTTTGAGAAAAGGCTTTCAAGCATGGGAACATCGACACTTCGTGAGAGACCACTGACGTGCAAGTTGCTACCAGTATTGGCAGCATCTGATTCTCTGAAGATCTCCGTCAGATAACGATTCGGAAAGAGAGTCTCATTGACCCCACCTCGTAGGTCTCTCGGCATCTCCATTCCTTGCAGGAGACCTAGATCTGTCTCTGTCTCTTCGAGGAGATCGACCGTTGGTGTCTTCGCGTCGAGGGGAGCCGTAGCCGTCACCTCCTGAAGGTGCATCGGTTCGCCATGCTGTAATGAGAGAGAAAGCGAAAAAAAGAAAGAAGAGGAAAGAAACGCGTATTGTCAGTCCGAAATGTCGTACAAGGGTCGTCAGAGCCGAAGAGAGGGGCAGTAAAAGGAAACGGGCTCGATGAGAATGCGAAACGGAATCGGGCAAGGCCGACAAGCGGACAATCATGCGATCACTGGAAGCTGGAAGCAGAAGTGGGCAAAGGTGCGGAGTCTCTTCGAATGAGAGTGGTAGCTAGCAGGACGCGCGATCTCGCCGTGTGCTGTTTATGTGGGTGTAGTGCATGCGATGCTGAGACAAGGATTGACCGAGGTCATGGTGTCGTGTCGCACGAAGCAAGAAGATATGAAAGATCCCGTCCCGTGATAAATTCGCAGACGAAATATGTACGCTGGACTCGACAGGTCTCGATGTCGAGGATATGCGATAACTAGGAGATGGGAAGTTGATGAACAAGACTACGCGGTATGACCGGGATTACCGCTCCACGAGCATCCTCGCGATACCGTCTTCGCTTTTCGGTGAGGATTGATGTAGTAATAGGTCTGATTGAAACCGGAGAGACGACTGAAGAAGACGGACACTGAGAGAGGCGACATACCGTCATTAGGGTCCGACATTGTTAACTGTTCTTTCGTGTCGGAGTTTTGGGGGTCAGTGTTGGGTGAGTTGCTCTGAGGTAGAGATGAGCCCAACAAGGACCCCATGAAGCGCGGGGCCATTCAGACACTGGTCGGCGATATAGTTAAAACGCCGATCGGTTGATTGCAATGTGGCACTTCTGGCTACCCCCCCCCCCACTTGCGGCTTGTTTCCCGATGGGATGGGTAATCAGCCAAAATAAATAATGAAAATGGAAAGGGGCAATTGATCAAGATCTTCATTCAGTCAGAACTTCAGTTTGATCATTGGGACCAGGTCCGTAACAAGACTTGTGGAAGGACACTCGAGACTTTCGCCATGACTCAGCAATCAGCTCTCTACCCAATCCTATGGGCATGCACGTGAGTCAACCGTCTCTATCACACTATCATTGATGACCACCACCATCTGACTCCCTCATTCAGGTCATCATGGTATTTCGGATTTCACCTGTCCGAATTGAACTTTCCAAGTGCTTCCCTGATGTGTACTGAGGTGGAGAAAGGTATCTTTGGTCTTCAAAATTGCCTCGATATCACCATATACCGATACGGATTGATCACGGCTCTGTTCACGGTTGGAGGTTTGGTAGGCAGTCTGGCCAGTTCGTGGTTGGTTCAGAGTAGAGGCGTCAAAGGTGGAATCACCATCACAGCATGGTTGAATGTCGTCGGAGCGCTCGCCATGGCATTCGCACCTAACTGGATCGTTCTAGCTTTGGGACGGTGAGTTGACAACCATATGGCGTCTTCTATAGAGCGTCAAAGGTCCGCTTGCTCTACCGTTGACTGATCACCTGGCCTGCTCGTACAGATTTATCGTTGGTCTCTCTAGCGGCGCTGCGATCTGCCTCGTTCCTCCTTTCCTCGCTCTCATTGCGAAATCTTCACCATCCCTCCGTAATCGATCAGGTCAAATTGGAACGCTCAACCAAATGGGAATCGTCATTGGTCTCTTTACAGCTCAAGTGGCAGGGCTGGCTCTCACGGGCAAGGCAAGTTTTGATTCCTCCAGCTTGGGCATGAGCAACATACTGACGCACATCCACTATACAGAAAGGAAACATTCCCGGGAAATGGAGATACATCGTCGTACTCTCTGGCATTGTCGCTCTGCTACAAGTCTTCGCCGCTTCGGTCGTCCAGTCGCCCAGTACAGACGAACAGAAACGTTCTCCGTCCGTTGCAAGGGCAGCCGATCCCGAGGCTGACGAGGGTGAGTCGACAGCAAGCAATCCATAAAACCAGATATAGGCTGTGCTGATGTCTCATGCATTCCAGGCTCTCCCCTTCTCGATGCTCAACCCAGTTCCAGCTCTGACAAACAAATGTCGATCCGGGAGCTCTTGTCAAACTCGTCGACTCGAGGTCCTACGATCCTCTGTGCTGCCATTTTAGGTCTTCAACAACTCTCCGGTGTCAACGGTGGGTCTTCATATCCCCATTTGTCGGACCTCGAACGCTGACGCCCCCCACTCCAGCTGTCATGTTCTATTCTACTCCCGTTCTGAAGCCTATCCTGCCTACGGCCGCGGGTCTCATCGGCCTCCAGATCACAGGTATCAACGCACTCATGACTGTCGTCGCCATCTTCCTCGTTGACGTGAGTGATGCCTCAATGATTGATCTCCATTCAGTCGCTGACTGTGTCGCTCAGCGCCTTGGACGCCGACCTCTGTTGCTCGCTTCGGCAGGTATGATGGCCATCTGCAGTGCCTTGTTGGCGCACGGCCTCGACAGCTCGATGAATGTGCTCAGTGCAACTGCCATCATTCTCTTCATCGTCAGTCGAGCCCACTCTGATTTGATTAAGCCAGGCGATCGTAGCTCACCCACATTGCAATCTAGGTCGGCTTCTCATTCGGTCTCGGACCTATCCCATTCATCCTCGTCTCAGAGATGGTCCCTTCGCCCGTGAGTCTTCGTCTTCGTTTTCGTCTTGCTCAACCACCACACTTTTGTTTGCATCCAAATTGACATCCCGTCATTACTCAGGGTATCCCCGCTCTCGCTTCCTTGTCACTGTCTTTGAATTGGGTGGCCAACTTCTTCATCGCCATGTTCTTCCTCCCTCTTCGAGATGCACTCGCCTCACCACCCAAGAATGGAGGTACCGAGAGAGAAGGCGTCGGCAGAGTCTTTTACGTCTTTACCGCCGTCTGCACATTGATATTCATCATTGTGTGGAGGGGTCTAGGCGCTAAGCAGAGAGGAGAGTAGAGCCTAAGGGCAGCGAGTGCGATTCAATCGTACGAATCTCCACTTCGGCATTCTTACAGGGTAATCTAGTCATCGACATCATCTTTCGGTCATCATCATCACTAGCTGAACTATGCATATCGGTCTGCTTGGCGTCGACATGCCGACGGGACCTCACAACGACCCTAGACTAGATGTAGCCATTTGTGCCTAGGCTGCGTTGTGAGGCGTCCGAGATTCAGCAGCTGTGAATGCTATCCAGACGCGGCTAGCAATACCCCGAACTGCCCAAGACGTCTAAGCGATAAAACAGACTGTTTTCTTCTCAGACTCGGAACACCACTGTATCTTTTTTGACCTCTGCTCCACCAGCAGCTGCAAATCCAGTACCTTGAAAGCCCGGTCGTCAACTTTATTACTCCTTACGGTCTCTCGGAATACTCCCGTGCTTGAACTCACCTTCCTTGCCTAACGGAACCATGTCGGCCGATCCGATCGTAGCTTCACATACAGGACACCGTCGAGTAGGTTTGACGATTGTATCGGCGCAGGTCTTACAGATGACATGACCGCAGACTTGCTCTTCCTTTCCCTTTTCCTTTTTCGACTTTTTCTTCTTGGGTCCATCCTCTTGATGTGAATCGAGAGCGACAGATGCGGACGATGCTGGTGGTAAAGTGGATTTAAGGAGGATCGAAGAAGTAGAGTTGGAAAGTTCTTTCGTACAGGATGGACAGATCGGTTTCGAAGTGGAGGCGGGGGGATACGTGAGGATCACGGGTAGTAGTGTTTTCCGGCTGTTTCCCCGAGGACGGGGGCGGGTCAGATCAGATCACTGATGATGGACGAAAGGTGACCGTGACCTTTTCGCTCTCGCTAGTACTCACGCCATTGGATGAGGTCCATCTTTTCCCACTTGACACACCGTCTGTAACTTTATATCCTTCAATGCTGGAGCTTTAGCCTCTGGAGCCATGGAAGGTAACCAATAAGCTGGTAATTTTGCTTTACGAGATTCAGCCAATTCCGCTTCGATCTTTGCCAAAGCTTTCTCTTCAGCTTTGAGCGAAGCGTCCTCCATGGCGGATTGATTGAATGTGAACCGTCCAGTTGTTCCAGCTTTGACGCCATCATTCGTCTTGTTGGAGCTTGAACCGATACCTGAGCCAATAGCATTCGCACCCACACCCAGGCCCATGCCTCTTTCGAAATCGGCCACCACCCTCGCTCTTGCTTTTGCTCTAGCTTCTTCTCTCTCCTTTTCCTCCAACAGAGCCAATCGTTCCAGCTCCCTCTTTTGAACTTCGATTCCTGCTTTCTGAGAAATCAAATTCCCGATAGCACACTCTCGACAGTACACATGCCCTTTCCCACATGCCACCGGGTCCGTCACCGTGGACAAACAGAGATTGCACGAGTCTAAAGGTTTGAACGATTCACCACCGATCCGCTTGGCAGCGTTGGGTTGACGTAGTAGTGAGCGTTCATAGTATGTCAAATTGGCTTGGGTCGTGTTGTTCCTGGCGTCTAGGAAGGAGGAACCAAAGGTCAGCAAAGTCGGCCCGATGCAGTGAGAGCATCCATGAAGCGGCTCCTTGTAGCTAGAGCCTACAGCACTCACGGGACCGAACCATCGCGAAAATCCTATTTGACGAATCCAAACCGCCATCCAGCTGCTGACAACCTCGACAACGACCGATGGACAGCTCTTACGTAATCATTCTCAGGTTGATCCCCCTTTGGACGTTTTGTGCTCAGGAGACAAACTAATGAATCTGATTCAGCCGATCAGTATCCTTGGTCTGGACGGGATTGACATTGGAACGTAATGTTGAAGCTTTTTGGAGGCGGCTCAGACCAGCTGGTATCGTATCAAAAGGGGGATCACAGTCTCTCTTAGTCTCTCAAGAGAGCATCATTGGGCAAATAGCCAGATCTACATTATCTGTCTCCGCCTGCGTCCTGATGAGGAAGGGACCTCTCTGAGAGCGTTACATTCTGTATGCAGACATGTCCAGGTTGGGACTGCGCGGATGATTGAGCGAGACAAGTGCCCGGTATGTTGAGGTGAACGCGTCCTTCAGATTGCCACGAATGGACGATACTTCGTCATATTTGGATCGGCACAAGAGACAGACGCCATGGGAACGATGACGATGACTATGGCCGGTGGAAATGCCATCTCGCACCTGACTGGAGCTGTACAGACGTATATCCACTCCGCCTTGGCTCTGAGCGGCTCACAGTTCTATCAGAGCGAGAGGGAGCTTGAGCGGCCAATTTTGTTGAGGGGCCTTCACACTCGTCATCGAGGCACAGATCTTGGCACCGCCACTGCAACTACTTTCCGGCGCCATGAAGGGATCTCTTTTAACTGGACATGCACCTGTTTTAATATGACAGAGCCCTGAACATGACAACCCCCGACCTGACATTGACCTGTGCACTGCAAGAGTATACAGGTCTCCCGTTCTAAATCCACTGATCTGTTAAGGGGTCTGCATACCTCGTGGCAGTAATCCTAGGTGGCGGACTAATTATTTAGGCGATTGCGACCTGGCTCCGAAGGAGAATGATTGGCTGGACTTTCCGAAGTAGCGCGTCCCCCCTTCCTCCTCTCGCGCCGAGTCAGTCAAGCGCCGAGTCAAGAGAACCTGGACTCTCCCTTGAAATCTATCCGGGGCAAGGGGAAGGTGTCCAGACGAAACGAGGGACCAGACGGGACAGGTCCACGGGCCATTGGGGAGGGTTAACGCGGGAAGCTGTTAAAGGAGAGTTATGTAATCAATTTTCTAATGGGGGAGGGGTTGAAGGAAAGACACCTCCCGATCCCCCCTGCCCTGTTTCTGAGACATTTGACCATGTTCCCGCAGAGTACTGTTGAGACGGGGAGAACGGGACTGTCATCATTTGACCGCGGGGCCGGACAAGGAAAGAAAGATATTCCATTTTTTGGCGGATGCATTGGGAAAAAATGATTATTCGTAGACAGACACACAAATGCCTTCAGTTGGCTATGCGACTCAGCAGCCATTTCGTACTATACGAGAGAGAGGTGTCTGATGGATCGCCTACCGAGTGAGACATCGGAGTGGATGAATTCAGTGGAAGGAAAAGAGGAATAAAAAACGATGACAAGCAAGACGGGAGCGGCAAAAGGGTTTCAGAGACATCCCATCATTATTCACTCGGTCCTCGTTCTCGTCCTCTCTCTTGGACGGGATTGATTTTCATTTCATTCTCGGGATTGAGGCGCAGAGTGAGATGAGTAGGAGTAGCAGCAGCAGCAGCAGCTTGACCGCCACATCCCACCAGAGACATGAGTATGAGCCGAGAGACAGAGAAGGGGGGAAAGGTGGTGAGGGAGAGAGATCCCGCATATTTTTTTAACCTTTTTTCTTCCTATTTCCTTTCTCTGAACATTATGAGACACTCGCTGTGAGAGAGTGTGGCACCCAACGTCTGAGATCCCGTCCTGTGGCCCGTGGCCCGTCTTCGTCGTAGGCGCTGTCTTAGCTGCTGCACCTTGCTGCACCTTACACTGCTTCCCGTGTTCGAAATAGGATAATGCTAATGTGAACTCATCTCACCTGAACACTGTGTCAATCAAGGCACCTTACGAGTCTCAGACACAGAGGAGCCGGGAAGAGGGCGAGGAGGGGGGAAGCTCGGGGTTGATCTGCCGTGGTCCGCACATTGTCTCTCACCCCCCCTTTCTGCTTGGGTACGTACACCTCACCTCAATCATTCCCGGGCGGTGGACACCTCCTCCCCCCCTCACGTCCTTTTTACATATCTTGACGACCATCAAATTGAACATGAGTCCCCTCTTTTTTTCACCCCATCGCTCTTCAAATCTCTCTTCATCGCTCATCTCTTACTTCAACTCCATACCTCAACCCTTCTTTCTATCAACCACCAACCACCTACCTCCCTCTATCAATCACAATGAAGGCCTCTACCCTCTTCGTCGCTGCCATCTCTGCCGTCGGCATGGTCTCTGCTTCTCCCGTCGCTGAGAACGAGTCCACTCACCAACTCGAGGCCAGGGAGACCCGATCCAGCCAAGGATGGTACTCTTACGGTTGCTACATGGGTGAGTAGAGCGAGATACATTCATCTCTGTGGCCCATTCTTCTGTCTGTCTGTCACATTCATCCATGGTCATCATCCTCCTCCGCATCATCATCATCATCACCCCCCCCCCACATTCCTGCCTGCCCACGAGGGTCCGAGCACCGCACCTATATATAACCCTTTTTTGAGATCTCATCCTATGCGGTCATACACCGCTTTGACACACACCCCCCCCCCCCCCCCTTTGTGAGATCCTGTCTGGTGCCTGTCTCTACAATCGGCACGATGAGTGCCTCGTCCATACCTATCCACCTTGTGCCTAGTCGCTGCTCCTCATGTGATCACTGCCTCGACCATTCCTCGGACCCGTCGCTGACCCTCCTCGTTCCTCGATCAGACTGCTACAACGGCATGAACCGATTCCTCCCCCACGTTGCCTACTGGAACAACCCCGCCAACGACCCTGACACCTGTATCGCCGCCTGCCAGGACGCCGGATACACTTACGCCGGTCTCCAATGGGGTGTCCAATGCTTCTGTGGAAACTCCCTCAACGGATCTCCTCCCACCGCCTCCACCGACTGCTTCGAGAGGGTGAGTCAGACCCCCTTGTGTGTCGTCCCATAACTCTGTGCTGACCCTTGCCTCTCCTCTCCCAGTGCACTGGATCCGCTGACCACGCTGGTGCCCACTGTGGAGGTGCTTGCCGAAACAACATCTGGTCCGCTTTCGAGAAGCCAGGCCACTAAGCCACTCGAAACCTTTTTTCTTCTCGCGGATATAGATACCACCCCCCACCCACCATGGACTTTCAAATCTCAACCATCCGACCTCCCTCTCAAGTATTCTCATCCTCCTATTCGCTTTTTCTCTTTTGACTTGGATTAAACGGATCAAGACGTGGCTATTATAATCTCTTGAGCCCTCTCCCCAAAGTCATCCCCCCAACCGACCCTTCTTCACACTCGTTACACGTCTCTGGGTCGTCAGTCAAGCAGGAGGCCTCGAAACCCTTCTTGACACACACCTCGACACTCGTTACACCATTCGCTTCGTTTTGCCTATCTTCTTTTCCTCCCTTTCTTCCGTCTCGGGTCTTCTGATATAGTATATTAGTTGTGGCAGGGTCACACACACACAAAAGATGTTCATATAGCCGTTGGTATGGGTCGATAGGATCATCGTTGGGGGAACATGGCAGCAGACCTAAGTCTTCAGCTTGACCTCCATGTAGATCTTCATAGCTCTTCTCTATGACTGTTTATGGATATTTTTATTCTACACAGAGCGTCTCTAGCTGGCTGGATGGCTGCAATGGACGAGACCAATCCGCATGTTGCCAAGGACAGCTGCACACTCGTTGGTTAGAGGCGTCGAAACGGCACTTCCTTGATCGACACAACGAGCCAGAGTTGCTGAATTCTCACGTCGACTTGTCCAGTGGGCAGATTCCAGGACCCAGCCTCGCCTCGCAAGTCGATACATGCATTGGGGGCATAGATGACCAGAGTTCGGACCACCACGCCTCTCTTTTTCCTTTTTTCGTTCCAGCCAAAATTATAACAAACCCTCTTATTATCTGACCTATCGCTCGCATCGCTGACCTTTCATCTCATTTGCACTCGGAAGCCTCTCGAATCCAGGGCGACAGGTTCTGATACATCACTTACACCAACTCTCTCCCTCTCTCTCTCCCTCCACCACTGCCCTGTGCCACGACAACCGCAAGCTCCGTCCTTCGCCATGGTCTACGAAGCCACGGTCTCTGCACCTGTCAACATTGCTTGTATCAAGTGAGTTGTGGAGCTGTGATACGGAGCGGGAGGAGGAAGGAACAAGTCTTGTACACGTTCTCAACTGTCCGATTGGCGTCTGGCTCGAAAGTCAGCGGCTCAACCCTGTCCCGGCTGAATCAGCAGCCAAAGTCCATCTCTCATTCTCCTCATGGCTCTCCCTCAGCCTCTCCGCACACTTCCTCGCCCATCCCATCATGCCTCCAATCAGTCCCACCTGAGCTCTCAGATTACAGACTCTGCTTACAATCTTCTTCTTTCGTATGTCAAACTGACTCCCTCGTTCCCCTTTCTAGGTACTGGGGCAAACGCGATACAAAGCTCATCATCCCTACGAACTCGTCCCTGTCCATCACGCTCTCTCAAGATCATTTACGATCCACGACGACTTGCCGGGCTGATCCACGGTTCGAACGAGGCGATAGACTTTGGTTGAATGGAAAGGAAGAAGTCATAAAGGAGAATGGGAGGACTTGGGTGTGTATCGAAGAACTCAGACGGTGGAGGAGAGCAATGGAAGAGAAGGATAAGAAACTGCCAGAGGTGAGTGCGAGCGAACACGGCGAGGGGATCAACAGGCCTCGGCCTGGAGACAGATTTTTTTTCTCAACTTGGTCTGCGAGCAAGCCAGCACACAGACGAGTGACACCATGTTCCGCTCTCTACATTCGCCATTTTTGTGTATCTCACTGAACACCGCTCGCCTGCATTCGGCCCCGCCCCGCCGCAACTCGCTGACACTTATTTATCGCTCAGCTCTCCGAGATGCCCCTTCGCATTGCGTCCTACAACAATTTCCCCACAGCTGCCGGCTTAGCATCCTCTGCATCTGGCCTCGCAGCACTTGTTTCATCCCTCTCGACTCTGTTTTCCCTTCCCCAAACGCCATCTCAACTCAGTCTCATCGCTCGTCAAGGATCAGGATCAGCCTGTCGCTCTCTCTTCGGTGGATTCGTAGCTTGGCGAGAAGGTTTGGCCTCTGACGGTTCCGATTCCATGGCTCAACAAGTCGCGCCTGAGACTCATTGGCCCGAAATGCAAGCTCTCATCTGCGTCGTCTCAGATCAGAAAAAGGCTACGTCCTCTACGGCTGGAATGCAAGCGACTGTCGAGACGTCTGCTCTGTTCCGCCAACGTCTTCAAGTCGTCCCGTCGCGCATGGACGCCATTGAATCAGCTATTAAACAAAAGGATTTTGAATCATTCGCAAAGATCACCATGGCGGATAGCAATACCTTTCACGCCTGTTGTCTCGATACGACTCCACCCATCTTTTATATGAACGATGTCTCTCGATCCATCATACAACTCATCGAACAGCTCAACAAGGCGAATGGGAAACCTCTCGCAGCGTACACATTTGATGCTGGACCCAACGCAGTGATTTACACGCTTGACAAGTACATGCCAGTCGTCATCAAGGCTGTTCAGCGGTTCTTCCCTCCTGCTCAGGATCTCGAAGATCGATTGAATGTCATGCCCGCAGTGGAGAAGGCCGGTTTTCCAATGATGTTTGACGAAAGCAAGGTCGTCAAGTGGGAGAAGGGAGCTGTAAAGGGCTTGATCCACACGACAGTGGGTGATGGACCGAGGGTTATGGCAAGAGAGGAAGGGCTGTTGAATGAAGTAGGCGAGCCAAAGGTGCTGGCGTAGACTGCGGGGCAGGAGCGGCAGATGGCTTATATGGTCCTTGAGTCCTTGAACAAGACGTCTGCTCAGTCGGGCGGTACTAGTGACCTCAGGTTTTGAATAGAGGCATCATAAGTGCACAAAACATAGTACAATATGAATAATAGAACGCACATGATGGCATTACATCGCCGAGTGATTGTTTGCATGTCGAAGACTCGTGGCAGGCCCCTCGCACGGGTCTTCTACTGCCACCTCATGACATGTCCATCCTTGCCTTCCAGTCTCGCAGCTTTCACACGTTCAATCTTGTTTCTTAGAGCCGGTTCAGTCCATGGCAAAGGATAGCTGGAATGGAGCTCAAGTTTCGGTGCAGCGGGTGGATTCAACGGCATGAGCGAGGTTTCACCTGTCGACAGCCCAGAGAAAGTATGTCTGTCGTGACCAGCGTAGCGAGGTGAGGCGAGGCGAGGCGAGGAATGGGCCAGGCGAAAGTGGCGGGACGCGAAGCAGGGATCGGCAGGACATAGTGTGCCATCAAGCGCAGAGGTGATCCATCAGTCGATTGACTCGTATCATGATATGCACAAGTCTACTCACCCTTGCCGTAGTAGAGCCGTCAATCTACGAATAGAGAAATTGATACCGAACGTGATCATCTCGAGTCAAGCGCTGAACGAGAGCAAGATGTTCCAGACGATAGTCAGAGAGTGAAAGAGGCAAGAGGTAAGTAAGTAAGAGCAGACAGACAGTTCGTATCATGTGGACCCCACAGCTCCACTAAGAGTCATGGCGGATCCCTCCCTCCCTTGGTCCAATGGGTTTTGTGCTGCGTATCTTTCCCTTCTGCTCTTTCACTCCTCTCTCTCTCTCTTTTTGTGTTGAGGTTTCATAGACTGGCATCCCTTCATGCGAACAACCTTTTTCTTACCGTGTATATACAGTGTAGGTGATTGGAGGAGGGGAGGAAAGATGGCCAAAGGAAGGCGGCGGATGTTCCATGTATGATATTTCTGTCTGTCGCGTGTGCCCCTCAAAGGTGATGAAGACATGGGTCTGAAGGTCTCTGACAATTCGGTCCGGTCTGCATCAGATAATCTGCCACATACTGTAAAAATGTACGCTGGTCGCTAGTCTTGATCTATCTTAGCACGACATCGTCTCGTTCACATTGGATATCTTTCCTGTCGACTATCATGCACTCAGCCGACGTCCGCAGATAGATCGGCGAGATTGCAAGTACGGACAGACGCGGAAAGATCAGCGAAACTTTAACAAAAATCCTTTGCAGCTCCTGAGCATCATGATTCTGCCAAACAAGAGCTCAGCGGTTGTAGAAGCATTCAAGCTATGCTCGGGGCGGAGCTTGACAAGAGCCACCGAGATCTTAGCCTCGATGAGATTACAGTTCTTCGGGATCAGCTCCGTACTCGCGAGGCGACTGATTTCTCCACCTGAATCTCGGGTGAGAATGGAGAGATGCAGCGGCAGGCGGATAGGTTTACAGAAGTGTACCTTACTTGGAGTCAGTCTATATACATGGTCCCGAGCAGCGAGTCAGGAGATGGCATCCCTCTTCCCTCATCACTCATCATGTTCTAAACCGTGCCATCGCTCGTTGATCATAGTCGCGTGGAACAGAGGAAATCGAGATAGTCGACTGTTCATCCCCTCTGTTTCTCCTCGTGATCGTGAGGGAGATTGAGCTCTCGCTGTACCCTTTTCACCTCGTCTAAATTGCCGGTATACTGCGAACGTCACTGTATCAGCGGTCACAGTTCTCAAGAGATTCACGCCCTGTCTAGAACCCACCTTGCCCTTGTCGTCCGAGAGCTTGACGCAATCCTTTCCGTCAATCTGACTCAGTTTGATCACCATGTTGAGCGGTTTTGAGATTTGAGATGGATTGGACGCCTTGCGGAAATCGTTTGTCAAAAACGTCCCAATCCCAAAGGAGGCTGCGATACGTGTCAGCTGATTCTCGCGCGCCAGCATTCCCCATCAACTCACCACCCATATCTAATTCATCACATAGCTTCTGAAGCTCTATAGCCTTGTCCACGTCCAACCCATCACTGAAGATGATCCTTTTGCCAACTGCTATCCGTCCATCCTCCCTCTTTGAGCCAGCTCTTGATTCCACCTCCTTCCAAGCATCCCTGGCGAGACTGACAAACGTCCTTGGGTTGCCTGAGTCCTGTCGTAGAGTCCCCCATCTCATTGCGCGTTCAGGATTAGACGTAAAGTCGACGAAAAAGGCTCTGGCCGTAAAGGTATCGGTGAGCATGGTCAATGGTGGTGGAGTAGCATGTGCTGCGTACACTGGATACAGGAGAGACGTGAGCCGGGTATCTCCACCATGCGACTCACCTTGCTCCCACATGTCCATAGCTCGACCATTGGATCCTTTGTACCCGTACAGCGCTCCAATCGCCATGATCCATTCGTGTGCGATCGTTCCAGCAGGCTTCAGACCGTATTTCAAGGCAAAATAAACCTAAGAGTCATCTTCAGTATCTTCTCATACCAGTGCGATCGCGTGAAAGTACCCACGTTGCTTGTCCCTGCAAGGGCTCCACCCTTCCCTCCCCCCTTCTGCCACTCTTCGTAACCATCCATCAACCCTCTCATGACAATATCCTGAGCATGAAAGCTCCTCCGGCGCCGTGTCCCGAATTCTGAAAACACGAGCGGTGTCACTCCCCCTGGAGGAGACAAGAGGTCAAGGGCTTTCCGTCTGGCTTGCTCTGAGGGGGCGCCAGAATGATGTCAGCTTTGCTCACCTGCCCAGCTGATTGCGACCTACCTCGTTGATCGTCCATATTCCAATCTGTGTCATCGAATTTAAAGTATCCTTCGCTCACTGAACTCTTGTGTCAACGCTAGATGGTGCTGCGCAAAGCAAACGACCCACAAATGGACATGATGGGAACCTCGTATAATATGCAATCTCTCCACGGGCCTTCGATCTGAATACTGATCTCCCCACTTCCATTTTCACTTTTGGGATGAAACTGCATTTTGACTTGATGTTCTGGGTCGAGAGATATACGAGACAAGTAGTCAAGGTATGAGTCCGGGAAGTAAGGACAGGCATTGGCGAAAGCTGATCGTTCAGATGATCTCAGGCGCAGGGTGGAAAGTCCTATGGTATGGGGCAGTCAGCACGCGATGACGGAGGACATTGAGATGCTTTCATCAGAAGACAGGAGTCTGTCTAGTCACTTTGATCGTCTTCACTCACTATTCACCCTTTCCTGCGCCCAATTGAATGTCGTACGGCTGAATAGCATCTCAGGAGATCGGTTGGTGAAGCGTATGACGACATGGGCATCTGGCATATGCTGAAGGACAGCATACTGCATCGTGAACTTGGCTCAACGTCAATACTCCAATCATACTCTCGAGAGGATCCAGTAGATGCCGACTTAAAAGCCAGACTCACCTTGTACAGATCCGTATCGAGAATACTGAATGGGATCTCGACATCCTCCGCCGGGGCGCCAAGCGTGTCGTGTGATGACATGTTGAGAGCTGCCAATCAGGCAGAGATATCAACGAAAGGACTTCGAATCTTCTCAAGAGTGACTTCTACCCATTCCAAGCTCGCAGACCTGTCTGTTTTACTGTCCTTGAGCTCTATATCGGTGCTCGAGTCAATTATCGACTATTGATGAGTCCGAGGATGGTCCACCTCCACCTGGTGTGAAATTAAATGATCCTACCGATAATTACAAGCTTCTTCGGAACGGCAAAATTGGGTCTCTGGCATCAATTGTTATGGACATCGCTGGGCAGATTGGACGAGAGCAAGTGACCCAGATAGAACGACACAGACGACTGGCAGGAGATTTCAAGCGTCTCTTGACTACGCAACGACCAGATTCTATTCCTCAGAGTCTTAAGAGTGAGTCTTGCATGCCTAGCGATGGCTACATGCTCACTTCCTACACTCCAGATGATATAGCTACAACGAAGCGATGTTGGCGAGCAGACGCCTAGCTACCTCATGCTTGACATGTGGACCGACGAGGATACTGATCCCGCATGCCGAGTCATCGAGGCAGGCGATCCTCCGGGATACTCTGTTACGCAGACGGAATTGGGTCCAGGTCCATGGAGAAGATGACAAGGGCAAAATGCCTATCCGATCGCTTCATTCTGCCAGTTCAGGTTCAGGATCAAGACGTTTAGCTTCGGCTGCGGCGGCTGCTAGAATCGTCTCTGAGGAAGAAGAGGATGAGCTGGAGATGAACAATGTGTGGAAATTTGAGTTGGAGTTGGAGCGCGAGCGTGCTTCTTTCCACGGTCGATTTCCCCGACGTGAACGGTTGGATCAAAGCTTGAACTCGCCGCGAGTCAAGGAAGCTCACAGGAACCCGAATCCTCCGCATCATGCCTCTGGGTCAACCTTTAAAGAGGACTGGGAAGTGGACGATCAGCCTGTCGTCGTCTCCAGCGATACTGTATCATTGAGATCGGCGACCAATCATGTCCGTCGCCACGATCCATTCCGACACACGGACAGCTCGACATCAACCGAACCATGGATCAGGGGACGCCAGTCACAGCGTTCAACAATACGCGCAGATCTTCGCGCTACACCAGATCATTCATCCGATAGGCAGTCGATCGAGCATGACAGACCACCGGACTTGCATGTTCAAGAAACCAATTCCTCTCGCCAATTTTTCGATTCTGACCCTTTCCTCCATAAACCTTGGTCAGAGTCAATGAAAGAGGTGCACGACACACATCAAAGGGATGATTTATCGCTCCGCTCTCCATCCACCTCTACCGCCAAGGTACTTCAGCCCATGTCTGAGACAGCACTAGCGAATTTACGGGTCTCGCTCAAGAAGGATCGCAACGCTTACAACAATCTTGTCAATTCGGATCCTGTCAAGGCTTTAGTGAGGCTTCCGACGCTTCCGGTCCACTTTGCAGAGACTTTCGACATGAATCACCCGCTGAGTAGGACAGCTTTTGACATGGATCGTTTATTCCAACTACTGGAGCGCAAACAGACGAAAGGAACCAGATTGTCGAGAGTCGTATCCAGAGATCAAGCGCAGGCATCGATTGAATGGCTTTGTGGGTCGACCTCCGACTCGGTAGTCCCGCACTTCACAAAGGTTGAAGATGCAGACCCTGCATCTGTCGAGTCAATCGTTCTTCGGACACAACGTGGTGTCAGGTTTCGGCATGTCTTGCATTTGTGCCATTGGTTGGAGCGAGAGGATTTGGCAGTGCCTTTATTCACGCAGGTCTATGGTCCACTGCTTGCCGCAGGCCCCTGGCTAGATGGAAAGCACTTTCAATTGGGGAAGAGGCCGGTTGCCACCGCGGCGCTGATCCTCGACCTTGCCCAGTTCCTGAAATCGGAACAATATTGGGACTACATGATTTCGCTGTTCGCGCATCGAGATTATCCAGAGCAACCATCCAATGTTCCGATGGAATATTGGACTCCTCATTTGTTGTCAAAGGTCATGCTTGCCTATACGAAGCAAAATAAATCGTCCGCGGTCGTCGCCTTATGGCAGGAGTATCAATCACATGGTAGACCCAAACCAACTCGATCGACCGTCTATGAACGGTTGATGACTGCTCATTTGCGATTGGGTAACATGCGCCAAGTGCGTAAGTACCAGAAATTGAGCAAAGATGAGGGCTTCAACCACTTGGAGGACGAATTATCGCAGGCTACGCATCTCGCACAAGCTCAACGACAGTATGGGATGGACCTCAATCTTGAAGCGCAGGTCCTGGACGTCGTCAAGGCTGCAGAAAGCCGAAAAGTTGTCAAGGCTGCAGAAAGCCGAAAGCAGACAACACGTGCCAAGGATAAGCGGTCAGAGCTGGTGCGACGTCTGTCTGCCACCGCCATCAACGAGTTGGTACAGCTTCGTTTAGATTCTCAAGATACTCAGGGGGCCGCCAACTTGTTACACCACTTCAGCCTCCCCATCCTGCCTCGTCTCAACTCGGCCAAGGATACTTCACCGGAACGCAAGTTTGGCTTCAAACCTACTAGAAAGACTTTCGTCCTAGCATTCGAGGTATTCTCTCAATTGCGCCAAGATGAAGAAGCTGAAAAATGTTGGCGAATGATTGTCGAGGACAGGTTATGCCCAATTCTGACCGATTCGCACATTGCACGCTTTACTCGACATATGAGTCGATGTGGCAGAATTCAGGAGGCTTTTGATCAAATTCGGCGCCGATTACGACGCGGCAAAGGCGATCATCAACCCTCGGTCGAAGAGCAAGGTCCATCCATGTTGCCAGCAAAGGGGTTTGAGATTGGTACAAGGACGATGAATGCCTTGCTCTACGGAATGGGTCAGCAATTGAAAGTGGAAGGACTCGTCAAAGTCATTGCGCTCATGCAAGATCATCACATCGACATGGACGCCGAATCTGTCCGATGGATTCTTCGTTGCCTGTCTTTGCCTTATTCTGGTCAATCGGATGATCACAACAACCTCGCCGAGGCCCTGTCCCTCATCTTGAGACATGCGAAAATCCCCGAGGATGCTGCCAAAGACTTGGAATCAGCCATGTCCCGTGCCATGAGCAAATACAACGAGACTCTCGCAACGGCCTCTGATCCGGTTGCCGGATTGGATTTTCAAACTTCTGGCTTGGGTCTCCGGCTGGTCGTCTCTGCGCACGAGCAAGAAGCTCACAAGATTGAAGTTCAACCCGTCATCAAGGACCTCACTGCCAAGTGGCTCACGTCGGATTCGACCGCCTTTGCTTATCGATTAGAGTTTGAAGCCATGACAGATGATCAAGTTGGTGGTGTGTCTTCTGCCCGAGCATTATGGGATCAGCTCGTTTCCAGAGGCTACCGGATGAACCCTCGTCACTTGTTGGGTCTCATCAAAGGTTACGTTTCGGCCGGAAAGATGGACGCCGCGACCGCTGTAGTCGATATGGCTCGACAATCGAATCTCCCCCTCACGCGAGCCATGTTAGTTGCTCTGATGAACGGCTGGGGCGATCGCCGAGAGATATCGAAAGCTGGAGAAGTTTTCGAACAGATCCGTCTTCTCGGTCAATCTCATCCAACCCAAGGGATAGATGAACACTCCATCTGTGCCATGATCAAGATTTATTCTCGGGCTCATCGACGAAACGAAGCTCGGGCGTTGATTCACAACGATCTGCTACCGAGATACCCTAAACTCGACGATGTTTCGGTTCTGGTAGTGGGAAGACATTACTTGTCGGCGAATCAACCGAGTACGGCAGTCAAATTTGTCCACCATTACAGGCCGGAAGGCGAACTCGACCGTCGAATTGCGACATTATTGGACGAGTGCGCTCAAAAGTTGAGACAATTGATCGAGTCGAAACGGGCAACACGGAAGGACCGAGAAGCTTATGAAATGATCACTCAGATGTTGCGCAGGACACCATCGATACCATCCGGACGACAAGACAAAGACGATCCCTAAGCATGAGCTGTCGCTTTTAACATCAGACGACCGGACCAAGATCTGAGATCGCCTTGAGCAGGAAGTCGAGATTATTTCAGACCATCACGTAGCATTCCTACATCGCAGACATTTCTGCATTATAGCATTACATCAATCGCACAATATTCCCTCATGCATTGCCATCATGTCGTGTCATGGTCGGTCTCTTGCCTCGTGTCTCGTTGCGGTCGTGCTATGCTTCATTATATGGACAGAGATGACACTGGTAGTGCTGGATCTAGCACTCAAGCCATCAATTGGACTTGAAAGACTGACGAGAAGGTGTTCGCAGGATCTTGAGATTTCCGTTCTCATCCTGCTGCCATTGCACATCGCTGTGATGATGTCAGTGTCCGGGTCAAGATTGAATGCTGATCTACTCACCGCAATTGACTTCGTGAGATTTTTCGCTTATGTTTGCTTTTCACATCTTCATCTCCTTGATCTCTCAGAGAGACCATAGTGGCCTGATTTAGCGCCGAATGGATCTTGTCCCTTGCTATCGGTGTTTTCAGAGCTTTCGGCGGCGCCATTTCTATCGTTGATCGACTGTCCATCAAGACATTCGGGGACACGCCGTTGTCGCTCGTCGTTCTTCTCATAGTGCTCGAGGTTCTCGACCGGCTATTAGGGTCCACACGCGGATCCGTACTGGCGCTAAGAGATGCCGACGTAGCGGCGAGAGAGGTCTGACTCGAGGCAATAGCTGCCGACCTCGCACTTTTGACAGAACTCGGTTGATCGCTCGGCGGACCGAAAATCAATGTCGGATAGATCTCCTTGGCAAGTTGTCGGACTAGAATGGCTTCATCTTGATGCACTAGACGATCCACGATCCTGGCTAGATCGAAGCGAGCCACGAGCGTCGCTCGGTCCGGATGATTGTCGCAGACAACCCTCGTCAGACGTAAGAGGTTGAGCTTGACCACGGCTTTGCTGGGATGAGATAAGGACTCCGACAAGCGACGGAAGAATGGTGTCGTCGAGATTGCAGACGTCACAGATGTCGATAGACGCAGTATCTTTAAGAGGCTGGAAGAACCGATCAGCGTCTTCTGACTAGAGAGCCTTTCGACTCACGGATCAAGGATCCCTTCGAAAGAGACGCCTGTGGCCTGTACAAAGGCTTGTACGATCGACTCGGAGGCAGATTTATCTAGGATGACATCTTCGACCCTCGCGGTCTCGTCCGACATCCTGAGTTGATATCAGATACGGCATATCAACTCCTGGTCAGCACAGACTTACCACGCCAGCAGCGCGTCCAAAGCACTGACACGCCAATAGGGATCTTCCAGCAAGTCGAGATACACTGCTCAAGTGTAAGCATAGCTTGAGCCTGGTCGGCCTCAACGCACACTTGATGCCATGATTCTGCCAAAGCAATCGGCGCGAGACTTTGCCAGCATTTGCAATGTCGCACAAGATGGGTAGAGCGAATTGCTTTAATGGCGATTTGCTTTGGATCACCTTCTTGAGAAGAGGAATGATACCGCTGGAAGCAGCTTCTTCTTGACGGGCTTTCGACAATCGGGTCATGCTGTAAATAGTTTGGAAGATGTGAGAGCAGATCTCCTAAGACTATGTTAACAAGTACGGTGAACGACGAGGTCTGACTGACATTGGCATGGGCGCCTTTGATATTGCTGCCTAGCAAAGACACCAAGACCTCCATAGCATTGGAATTTTGCAGAATCTCGATCAATTGAGGACTGGTAGAGAGATGCTTGATGGCCTTAATTGCGGTTGCGAGCAGCTTGCGCGGCAGCGCCTCGCTTGCTTTCAGCAAACCTTGCAACGATTAGACACGGCTAGACCCTACTGGAAAGACAGCTCACGTATCATGACAGTCCTAGATGCAAAGGCATCGCGCACGCGGCCGTCCGCCTGTGCCACTTGACAGAACAGCAGCAGCACATTGACAGCTCGCGTTGAGGGTTCATCGCCTTCAATTTCCTTGTCCTTGAGAATGGCGAGCAAGGCGCTGGAGAGCGGATCAAGGATACCCTCTCGGACGAACATCCTGCAAAAGTCATTGCGCGGAGTTGGTGACTGCGGAGGTCAATCAGCTGATATCGTCAGTGAGGAGTTACCTGAAGGTCAAAGACGCTCCCAATCCCCTCCAACGATGATAGGATCAGAAATTTGTTTTCCGCGTAGTCTTCGTCCAGCAGCTCGACCAGTATCCTGAGGCCTCGGCATCTGGTGGCACGTCAGCCGACTCATCGTTTTCACGAGGAGAACTGACGAAATGAACATCTGCAGAGTCAGGGCAGACTGGGTCAATTGTTGGATGAACGAAGAGGCTTCGATTCGTGTTTCGAGGGCATATTTCTTGGACGTGTATGGCTGAGGGTATCACTGACTGTCGGCTGATTGCTGAACTCACGAGAATCACGGGAATGCCACCAATCAAACAAAAGGCTTCGAGAGCGTCCACATCATTAATGACGACCTGGAATGATAAGTGATCTTTTCAATGACAGTACTGAGACAGAACTCACAAAATTCACAATCTTGAGTACCCGCACGACCACTTCACGGCTCAAGCGCGACTCGAGAAGTTCCAATACGCTGAAAACTTATAAGGACGAATCCAGGCTATTGTAGTTAACTCACGCCATCATTCCGTGACTCGAGACAAAATGTCCTTCTAGTCCCATGCCTGACGATCCCTCGAACATAGCCAGCTGAGTGCCAGTCAGTATCTGTTCTCATAGCCAAGGATAAGCCTCACAAGCTCATCACATGCTTGCTGTAAGTCCGAGGCTGGAGTCGACGGCTCTAAGACATCCACAATTCTGTTGACGCTGGCGCACAAAGTGGCTTTTTTGTCCCGGAGCAGTTGCACCTCTAGATTGTCCTCGCCTCCGGAGAAGTCATCCTCGATTTCAGCGAATGGATCATGGTCATCGTCATCGGTGGACCAAGAGTGGTTTGCTCTTTTGACCATTTGCAGCGAATTCGTGGTGCTTTTGCCTGGTAGAACTTGAGCGCATAATCGTCAAGCTCTGCTCACCAAGGGTTGAATGGACCTGAGAGGCATCGAACATGTCCTCATAGTTTTCATCGTCCATTTCGGTATATTTTGCCAATTCCTTCTGACTCTCCGTCAAATCAGCTTTGCTTCGAAGCGAGTTTTGACGAGACCCCATGGGTGATAACGCGGGGCGAGGAGACTGAGTGCTCGACAGCCCAGAAGTGGAAGGTGACAAAGTCGCCGGAGTGGTTTTAATTTTGCTCGGTGTAGACTGGCTTCGCTGAGGAGGCAAAGGAGGAGGAGGCATGGACCTAGCAGTGACAGTCGCAGATGCTATTTGAGCTTTCGAAATACCTGGCCTTGGCGTCAGAGAACTGTGAAGCTTTTTCACAGATTGAAGATCGTCAGGATGCAATATCCCTCGCTTCGGGTTGTGCTTGATCTACCGAGTCAGCAATGCACCAAGATCTTACTCACCTTGAGACTCGCTAATTTGCTCTGAAGAGCAGCATCCGCTTCGAATGTGGCGAGATCGGAATAATCCTCGATATCGCCCTCGGAGACGATGCGAGAGGACGTCGAGGCGCTTAGCTTGGTTGAGAGTGGCCGGACGTCAGGAGGTGAATGCCGGGAAGGTGATGGTTTCAGGGTCTTTTGATCCCTTTCCTCGGATGTCAGGGCTTCATCTCGGTGTGCTGGGCGACGATCAGTGACCCATAGCATGCGGCATCAACTTACGATTCAGTCTCGAAAGCGAGATATCAGCAGCAAAATCGTCATCCCAAGTCTCTCCTTGGACCTCCCGCTGTCTTTGCATAACATTGCTAACGTGCTGAGTTTTTTGGACCAAGCCCGTCGATGGATTGCTTGAGCCATGAGCCGGTGACGGATTGGAGGAGCCGGATGCTTGTGCCGCTACTGACTCATTTGAAGATCTCGATGACATTGCCGGGAAGCCAAAAATGTTGAGAGGAGGGCCAATATCCCCTCGGGATCGATTGACGGTCCGTTTTGAGGGGTTGGATGTAGAAGCGGGCAATCGTCTTACTGTTCCTAGGGCCTTTGGGGACGCTGAGGCAAAGTCAGACCTGAGGCAAGCAGTAACAGCTCACCATTGAGCGCTTCGTTCCATTCCTGAACCCTCTGAACGGCTTCATCGTACACCGTCATGGGCTTTTTTGGCCTTATCGTCTCCCCGCCGGCAGCTTCTCGCTTCGTACTATTACTGCTTCGGCGCAGAGAGTCAGCTTGTGAGAAGGCTCGAATACCGCTTTGCTTGGGAGATCTCGCTGGTGATGCTGGGATTGACTGAGTCTGTAACGGCGCCGTTGAAACGACTTCCAGATTTCTCCTCGCCGACTGCATCCAAGGGTGCCTCAATAGCTTTTTTGCAGTAATTCGTAGGTTGGGATCCTTCTGAAAGCAATGATATAGGAAATCCTTTACCACCTAGAGAGAAACATCAGACAATAAGACTCATGGACGTATCGGTCATACTCACTGGGCTTGCTCCGTCAGGAATCTTGACGCTTTCATCCTGTACAATCCTCCATAAGGCCTGCATCGGAGCCAGATTTCCATACGGCGGCTTCCCCTCGAGCAATTCCACGACCACGCAACCGACACTCCATATATCACTGGCCGTACTGGCTCCGCTCTGCTCGATAACTTCAGGAGCCATCCAGTATGGTGACCCGACAACCTCGTGATCTCCTCCGTCTACTACCGGTCCAGCTGCGCGTGAGCTGACGCCGAAATCCGCCAGCTTGACGCTTCCATCCTTGTTCGTGAGAATGTTCGCTCCCTTGATATCTCGATGGATGACTCCTTGTTCGTGTAGGTACAAGAGACCTTCGAGGACTTGAGAGATGTAGACCGCGACTAGAGATTCCGGGAATTTACCAAACTTCTTCAAGATGGTCTGAAGTGAGCCATTCTCGCAGTACTCTAGAACAATGAATAGATTCTCCTTGTCTTGAGCAAAGCCTTTGTATTTCACGATGTTAGGATGATTCAAGTTTTTGAGCAAGTCGATTTCAGACATGATATCTGGCAAGGCAGAAGGTGAGAGAGTGACCAAGGAAATGGACTTGATGGCGACCGTTTCTCCAGTAAGGAAGTTGAGGGCCCTATAAACTGACCCGCTGGCACCCCGACCCAGCAAATCTCCCAGCTGATAGTTGGACATCTGTACCGCGGCGGTCGTCATTTCGAGAGGAGATACGGAATGACCTGACCAACGGTATGAGCCAAGAATGACGGTATTTCCACAGGCACGGAGCTTGATGTGAGGTCGTGGTTGATCTTACTGATCATGTGTTTACGGAGGAAAGCCTCGTAGCCCTGACTCTTCTGCTATCTTGTATAGCGCAAAGAGACCCGGGCAGCAGTCATCTCAGTGATCATCGTCTGGGATGATCATGAATCTGCGGTTGTTTTATGAAAATGGCTGCACTTTTGCAACCTGAAACATACATATTGCATCGCCGGCGGGCGGACGCGTTCAGGTCACGTGATCCAGAAGACGGTGTCGGAGATGTCATTGATTTTCGGGTCCTTCTATCTTGCCTGGCATCACACGACACTTGTCTGTTATAGATCGTGGGGCAGAGTCAAGACTCGTCTTACGGATAGGCCTCATCAGGTCTCTATATGGGAGATTAGGTATCTTCGTATGGCCGAACTCTTCTTTATGGCTGTTCATGTCTTTCATTCCTCATGAACGGCGGCAGGCTCTGTCAACGGCTTTGAGGATCAGCTCAGTAGCTTGAGGGACCTAGACATGCAGGAGACTTTGAACGCTATGCCAAAGTCGAATTACAAAAGTCTAGAGGACTGACAACAGCGTCTAACTCTCAGAAAGTTGTTGGTTGTATTTTTTGGTGTCAGCTGCCGCCATCATTCTTTGTGCGCTTGCTTCCTGAAGGAACTGGCATTCAGAAAGGATTCGCTGGATCTGTAGGGATCTGTAGGGGGAGAAACAAATGCACAGAATAAAGCAGCTTCCGGTGCTGCCGCGCAAGAAGTCCAAGTCGGTATCGCAAGTACCATGAAGAGGAATGGACAGGTCCAGGCTTCCCCGATCCTCTGCGGTTCTTGGGAAAGTCATAGTGACACCATCATACCGGTGGAAGCAGGTCAACACGCCATACACGGGATCTCGATGGAGGAAGGAAAGGATCTGTCTTCTGAAAACGACCGTAGAGTGACGTGAGCAGCCGCATCGTATTCCGAGGGTCACCCTATCACGCTGTAATATTCTGGTGTCGACATCCTAGACTGCGATCACATCATGCATTCATCAATCATCATCCGTCCGACCGATATCTGTCAATGCAGCAGCGATGGCCGGCGGGAAGCGAAATGATGTCAAGCTGGTACCGAATCTCTCCGCGACCCTATGGATGGCCGTTTCGCAGGCTTACGCAGCTGTCAGCAGTTGTCGCCTTAGTACGATGAAAGGTCCTCACCATGAATCATCGGTGATATGCGCGCCGAGCTCTCCTCCGTCGCAGTCTTTTCGCCGCGATTAACACTGGAAGCTCGTGCGGCAAGCTCCTTCTCAAAACCTATAGCGGTCGACCGTAGGCGAACAAAGGCCTCTAAGGTCGCAGGCAGGACCTGCTGAACATGGCCATAAAGGTCCTCCTCTGCGGATGCCACCATTAAGGTAGTGAGGACTTGCTTGGGATCAGGGGGTGGCCTTTGCTCTGCGCAGATTCGTAACTCACTATCGATGATCCACAGTGTCTTCGAAATCTCTGGTAAAGCCGCTGTGACCTGTCTATCCGCCCAAACGCGACCCGCCCAGTCATTCATGCCATCCAACCACCCTCTGGCCTCTGTGATGACTTGCGCGCCCACCTGCGTGCCCTCTATGCGACCTATTACCTGTTCGGTTGCGCCCTTCACTTGACCCACAGCTTTCGCTTCCATCGCCTTTGCGATCTCCTCAGCACGCACCACAGCTTGTGATGCAGCAGGATGATTCTGAGGCGGGCCGTCAAGAACATGTTGAAGAGTCGAGGCTATTGTCGACCGCTGTTTTACGGCTGGCCGAAAAATATCTGCCGACTTCAAAGCGATGGTGTGGGAGTCTCGAATTGGTCGCGGCTGTACGGCGGGTGCAGTCGATGAGGCTGTCGAACCTCCTCGAATGCTCAACGTCTGGTGGGCTGATCCTAAATGAAGTAACAGTGCTTGCCATAGCTCGTGGGTCAAGACTGGCTGCTTGGAGATGTCTGCAAAGATCGCTTTGCGTCGAGCGGAATCACGAGAGATTCGAACGAGTTCCATGAGAGTGAAGTGCGAATAGTATGCGTCTGAGGATCCTAGCGCTGTCAAGAGATACCGATCGGGCGAGAGGGGGCTCTTCACCGCGAAGGATGAAAAGTCCAGGGGCTGAGTAATGTACGCATTGATCATGGTCGTAACGGGTCGCATGATGAGCAACGACGTAGCGGTGAGGAACTGAAGGTGAAGGCAGAGCTGCCAATTCACGGCGGCATGACTCGATCGCACAAAGTTGATGATGAATGGTCTGGAATGGGTCAGTTTTTGCTGCAATCAACGAAGACGGAGACTGACTTCAACAATCCCGCCGAGTGTGTATACAGCATGGTCCAGACGGACCGCCTCAGAGACGTATAAGATACGTAGAATAGCGCTGTGACGGCAGCAGCCTGTGAGACAGTCCCGCTGGGTTTTACAAGTCCGTGGCCAGCGAACGATGCAAAGCCTTGACTGAGACTATTGCGTGCAGCAAGGTGCAGTGGCATCTGAAACCAGTGTGAACGATGTGCTAGCCTCGCGCAGCTCTACTTACTTTTCGAGAGGGCCATTCAGTCTTGATCCGTCGTCCCACTATGTCACCAATGGCAAGACAGATATATACCAAGACATGGCCAAAGAGGAGGAAAATGAATCGCTCATTGAGATGGAGAGGATGCCTCCTGAGCAAGTTTCAGTCACGAGTCAAATGGCAATGTACATGTCGTATCTCACTGAGTGGGTGATAGGATGCCCAGTGCTTTTGATGGCGCGATGGCTTGCACCGATTGACAGTAGAGAAATGTGAAGGCTGAAGCGAAAATGACATATGATGCGATGAGGCGGAGGGATGATACTGCAGTGACGGATGTGGAGAAGAGCGCCGCTGGTCGGACACTAGACCTGGATAGAGTCTTGGGAGGATCTGCAGGGTATCAGGTCGGCAGTCGAAGGCGGACTCACGTCTGAGCTGGTTACTGTAAGCTTGGAGTAGGGGGTACAGCGAAATGGGAAATCCCAGTACGCCGAAGAGGATCCCAATACAGAAGCCGTTTGTGTGCCCTATTCCGAAGCTGAATGAGGTTCCTGAAGCTCAAAATACAGTACGCACCTGTCACAAACAACGTCGCTGAACCCGTGACTAGCCCAGACCATACACTCGCTCTCCACATGAGACTGAACCATCTTCGGGCCAGGAAGCGCTGCACCAATCGTCAGGCGCGCATGAAGATACATCTGACTCTCTTTGCTCACTCTGTATTGAGATTCGATCCTCGCAAGCGCCTGTATCACGCAGAACGCTTCAGCTTGTGTACATCTCATCAACGTCATCAAAACTCACGGGAACGGGCGGTTTTGAGGACTGTATTGTTGACATGGCCCGTCAATGATCCACGTCTGGGCTTCGTGCGGGAGCAATCGATCTCTACCACAGAAGAACTGGACCGGCGTCTTCCAGATGGTGAGGACCGAGAGCGAGGGGTTCGACACTTACAGCCAGTGCAGTATGAGGTTTTTAGAGTGACTTTGTGATGCGCAAAGTTGATTTCGACCATAAAAATCCTCCTCTAAGACGCGAATGATTTGACCCGAGGGTAGATGCATATGGCGTGAAACGAAGCTCTATGAATGTCCGTTCGCTGGACTTCTAAATCAGACATATATGGCACGATAGAGAAGATACAAAGCGTGATGAAGTCGTGCGAGACGTACTTCACCATCAGTTACTTAGCAATTGCTTGCTTCTCGTCGATAGGTATTGGAGATTTTGCCTGGTCTAGTTTGATTTTGGAGTCTTTCGAGCTCCGTTCAGACGGTGTCTTTGCTTTCACAATGGGAAACCAGGCATCCCCGTCAAAAGCATACGTATCTGGTGAAGTCTTGATGGCGAGGGAAAGATCTAAGCAATTCGGTCAATAGCGGTACTAGTGGGCACGGGCCAAACTCACAGATCGCAGCTGCGAAGATGAGCAATGAGCCATAGCCAGTCATGAGGTGCCAGATGCCATGACCTGTGGACATGAACGTTCAGCGCAATCCGTCGAGTCATTGAAAGCACGCACCGTCTAGCCATATGGCGTAAGGATACAGAGCATCCCGAGTGCTTCTGAATTCACTGCAAAAGATGTTGTCCAAGTTCCAGATGCCAAAGCCGATAGCGAAAATAAGAGAACCTTTCAACAAGGTTTTTCCGATCAGCTTGCGACTAGGATGTGTTGAGGGAATTCGCCGAAGAAGTACTGCGTTACGGGTGACCGCAGAAAGGAGTATGAACGCAAAGGCGACTTGGTGATAGATGGGATTGGGAAGATATATGCTGGATCAGTGGGCATCAGTGCCGGAACGGGCCCATTTCAGATCATCCCACTCACTAAGAAAAGGTGACGAACAGGCACCAAGCGATAACCAGTAATGGTCCAAAGATACCAAACAAGAAATCGAAGGTCGGTCGAGTGTCCCACACAAGATAGGTTGCAAATGACACGACGTAAATCTAAATGAAATGATCAGCGGCATCCGATATTTCCAAAGAGGAAGGACTCCTACCATCGGCAGCTCATCTAGTAACTGCCATTCCCACCGTAAGCTCGCATGGAACCCAAAACTCCCGATGCCAATCAAGCTGAGGCCCAAGTACAGCAAAGAATAACGTTTCGCTACCCCTCCTCTGACTGTCGCAATTGCGCCATAGATGCCTGCGCTGATCACAGGCACGTTGGTGATGGTGTTGATGAATTCGGCGACATATGGTGTATGCTCGTAGTTGATCTCACACCTGTCCAAGTAGTCAGAGAGCGTGTGGACCAGACAGAACACACCAGTCAATGGAGCTTGTATGTTTCCCCCAATCTATTAAAAGGATCAGCCGCAATCCGTCTCGGCTTTCCAGATCCAAACTCACATCCATGAGTGGCCTGTCCACGCCGGAGCCCGTCAAAAGCGCCCATGGCGAATCAGGGGGGATAGATGTCTTATTATGCTATCTCGGCGCAGTCTTTATAGAGGTCCATTCAATGGAGCGACCGATTGTCCCCTCGCGTTCCAGCTTAGCAAAGGTCTACGTAGTCTGGCTGGACCTTTATATGTATCAACCTTTTTCGGCTCGCGGCGGCCGGCAAGCGCGTCGACGGAGCCGGTGTAGGGTATGGGTACAGTAAGCGATCGTCGCCGAGCTCTCCCGACCGGTCTAAGTGTCTGGTAGAGCGACTATGCCATGGCTTGAACAAGTCCTTGTCACCATTTTGCAGCAGGTCAGTCTCCCGCAGCAGTCCATCACATGAGACAAGAGCGGAAAATAGCGCAGGATTACGCAATCTCTGTGTGGATCTTGTGGCTCCTGGAATTGTGGCAACGCACAGACATGACGACCTTTCAAAGCACACTGCAGGCTCGAACCGGGATCATCGAGGCAGCCTGGGTCAGATCTGACCACAGATCGAGATATTCCGGACGAAGATGACCATTGAGCTTCATCGGCAGCGAATTTCATGGTGAGAAACCTATCCCCTACAATTTCGGGCAATTTGGTGTCGTGCACGAAGCACATGCCAAATCGCTTGTATGGATACTGCCTGTACATTGCTGCTTGGAAATGCCGCGTGTGACTTGATGGCTCAACTTGAGTTCAAGACGAGCTCTGACTGAGTGGCTGACCATAGCCCACCGAGGCTAAGCATGAGGAGGACAATGAAATACAGCATTCCAATTTACATTTGCAAGGCAGAGACGCATAGTTCATCGTTCACGCAAGACCAAGTAGCCCGGAGCTCGGATGTGAGTGTATGTGTTGCTTGCCTTACGCCGCACATTAATGGTGATGACTATTGAACGCTGTACTTGGCGCTTCACTGTTTGCTCATGCCACTACCTGTCACGCTCAAATTCGAGTCAATGGGACTCGCGAACAATCTTAGGCTATCATACGGCCAAAAGCTGGATGCCCGATCCCCCCGAAGGCGTGAAGACCCAGCAACTGGATGGGAGCTGTCGGTAAGCGACAAGAATCATTCGAAAATGATTGGTCTTTAGAGAATGCCACAGCCTGTCGGAACAGCCATATTCACGCAACGCCACCGATTTTTTTCCAGCACTGGTCTCAGCGCCTCCCGGCCTCTGAGAACGCAGAACTCATGGCTACCGCACCGTACCGGGTCCCTCGCTATCCAACGACCATGAGTGCCGACGGCGCAAAGCCTGGAGGCAAGCATGCAAGACCGAAATGCCGCTGAGCGTGATATGGCTGTTTGAGCCCATTTCTGATTCGGGGGCTGTGAATCCTAATTGACGCAAATCTCAGCTACAAAGAAGATCGACCACAAATAAGCTGCCCTGCCATCTTACTGCTCGTGGAAGCTTCCTGAGGATCTGTGCGGCCCGATCGACTCTATTCATCATGCTAGGCTCATATCTCGTCACATGGCTACTCTTACAGTGCTTGGCACTCGGTGCTGTCATCCCGTCCCCGCTGTCGGGCACCCAGTATGGTGTCGTTGACAAGAGCTGCCCTTGCGGATATGTCCTTACAGAATATGGTAATGCCTACTACCCATACTACAAGCTAGTAACGTTCGACTCTCTGCCGGTCGGGCCGCTCAAGTCTGCCAATGGTCTCGAGTCATTAGGCTTCGATATCAGCGATGAGATCTATATTGGCGGCACTGGGCCAGGCAACACCACCTCTGTAGGACACTACTACAACATTCACATCGCAAAGCAGAGCAAGGCCAAAGACGCGAGCCATATCATGCAACTCATCGTTCCTGGAGGTCAACGTGCGCCGGGAAATCTGAGCGGTGCCGAGATACATAGTTCTCAAGCGTTCACTGGAGGCGTGTTCACTGCCGAAATGCAGATGAGTGGGATCGTGGGAACCGATCAATCAATGGTAGGTACCAAAAGCTTTGCCGGCTGACTCAATCAAGTTCACCTATCACGCTGCTGATAACTCGGATGACGGCCCTCAGGACGAACAAGACATCGAGATTTTGGCTGCGTACTTGTTCAAAGCTGGAAAGAATGGCACGCCCCCAGGTGTCGAGCTCACAAATTGGGATGTGAGTCGGTTATGAAATACAGCCTACATGCTGATTGTCACCAGCCTACCGACCCTGAGAACGAGAAACATTCCGATACTATCGTGCCCTTCCCTCAGGATCCCACCAAATCCTTTCACAATTATACCATCGCTTGGTTGAACCAGACAACCCAGTATTATTTTGATAAGACCTTGCTCAAGTCCCCGAAAGGCTATTGTGAGTTCTTGAGATGGTACGAGGAAGACTGCGCTCAACGACAGCGCAGATTCTTACCACCCTTCATATCTTTACTTGAACAATTGGTCGGACGCCGACCCGGAGTTCACCCTCGGACCGCCTAAAAAAACTGTCATCCAGCAGGGTGGGTGGAGAAGGCTCGATTGTCAGCGACTGACAACTTCTCGTAGTGAAAAGTATATCCATGTACTATCACACAGCTGCGCAGCCCGGCATACTAGCAGGCTGTTCAATGAACCAGGCCTGCCTTGTTTGACGAGGCGTAAGAATACAGGAAGAGTAAATATCAGGTAGTGGCTGTCACAGCATGGCGCTTCAGCATTGCACAAACATAAAGAGCCGAGGATGATTCTGACCCAGAGCCGCGGATGTGTTCACAGCTACATCACTACTACATCCAGTTCCGACCCAAATATTGTTACTTCATTCTGATTGCGTATATCTCTCTATCTTACATTTCAAGAGTGGCACACCATAGTCGTCTCGCAGGTAATCAAGTCGAATCGCTAAACACCAACTGCGAGCTCGATTCTAGTCTCCTCAGCCTTTTGATCAACGATAGAATGCTGTACAGCAGTGGTGTCCTCGAAAGCTTTGACACATTAACCCTATTCCGAATGGCTTCGCTCACCTGACACTGGAGTGGACCTGAACTTTCGGGCAGAAACGTTGTTGGAGAACAAGACGTCAAGTTCGCCAAAAGTCCGGCCTTTTGTCTCCGGTAGGCGAAAGTAGCAATATGCACAGCCAAGTGCGTTCGTGCCGAGGTAGAAGAATCCCGCTTTCGCTCCCCAATCTGAATGCGTTGTCAGCCAAACAATCAACTTGGGCATCGAGCCACTCACTCCAGTCCGCCACGCCAAGCATGCGTGGATTGAGTTGCTGGACGATGACTCCGGCGACAAGATAACAGCCCCGAGCGAGAATGATCGTCTGTTGTCTGACGCGAGAGGAAGGCAGCTCGGCAACTATGGTGTAGCAAGCAGGTCCGACCGTGCAAGCGAAGACGAGGGTGAGAAGGAGTAGGAGGACTCCAATAGCCCAGGTGACGTTGGTAGTCTGCTTGATACAGCCCATGATCCCGGTGATACCAAGAACGATGGCCATTCCTGCGCAGCCTGCAATGTATAATGGTCTCCTACCGATATAGATCATCGTTACCCAAGTGACGAGCGTCCCAAAGACAATCATAGCGTTGTTTCCGAGGTTGATATCGAATGCCTGATCAGCGTTCATTCCAGCTGTCTGCAAGAACTGGGTAGTGTAATTGACGATCGGCTGTCCACAAGAATATTGAATAGTCCAAACCATGCAAGCTATCTCCGTCCGGCGACGATTGGACTTTCTGAAGCAGTCCGCGAACCCGGACCCAGCGACTTCTTCCCGTTCAAGCTCATTGGTGTATTCGATCAACGCGATGTAATCATCCAATCCCTCATCGGTCCAAGAGCCTTCAGCAGCCAGACGCCAGAGTGAACGTCGGGCTTCTTCAATCTTGCCATTCTTGACGAGCCACCAAGGGCCTGTGGAGCAAACATAAGACAATAATGGATTTGGAATATACATAGACTCACCTTCTGGAGCGAAACATACCGCCACAAATAGTGGCAAAGGCCAGATCCACTACACACAGGCGTTAACCTGGATCTCAAGTCACATCAAGCACTTACTTGGAGCGCGTAAGGGAGTCGCCAACTCCATTGCCCTTCTATGTTGAGAGTACCCCGAACGACCCCAGCACCAAGCGTCAGGCCGATGCCCCAGCACATATTGACGTAGGATGCGAGGTATGCCCTCAAGGCGATCGGACAGATCTCAGCCGCATACGCGGTCGTCAATGTCTCTGTAAAGTGCCAATGAGCAGCATGTCCACCGACGTCATCCGAGACTCACGGAACATTCCCCACGCCAAGCCCATCAGAATTTCGCCGGCGAAGAGGATCTCGAGGCTCGTTGCGAAAACTGGAGCAAAAATGGTGACTGCCATTATGAACATTCCGATCAAGTATGTCGGTCTGGATCCGTATCGGTTTTGTAAAATACCAGTCATGCCTAGGCCGACAATCTCCCCGATGAGAGCGGCATTGTTGATAGCAGCTTGCCAATTGGCGGGGATGTACAAATGTCCATCCCCGTCTCTCTGTCCGAATCTTTCAAGAAAGGCGGGATTGCCCCAAAAGGAATTGATGCTGTCGGCGCATCAGTCCGTCTTCTCACCATATGCATCACTTACATGATCACATCGAACCCCTCCATGACCAGCGCAGTTGAAAGGACCACACTCCAGGCGGCCGCTTTCCAATATTTGCGAAGCACAGCTCCGAATTTCATTGATCTTTCCGCCTCAGTAGCTAGCCGTGCACGTTCCACCCTTTCAAGGTTGAAGTTGCCGGCGAGGTGACCCCTTAGGATACCATCGTAATGCTTCTCCTCTTCCATGGTGATCGCCTTTCCTGACTAGATTTCAATAGGGAATAAGATGATCGGTGGTGGCGAAGGGCTGGACACTGGCTCAGCGATTTCACGCCTCTTCTCAAAGAGCACAAAATCTTAGATCGGCAGGAATGCTTCCCAGAAAGGCTCTTGCCCCCTTCGCTCATATATGGTGATCGCGAATCCGGGGCCTCGCCGGGGCCGCCGCCAACCCCCGATCCATCGGCGAAATTAAACCGAGCTCGGGTCGCCGATGAAATCGGGCATCCTGCAGCGGGTGCGCCAAGGAGGCGGTGAGTCGGGCTCGCCCTAGACAGCACGGAAGGATTGCCGGGAAATAGCAGATGCTTATTATTGTCGCCGGTCTTGCGACGCCGCCTGCACCAGCAAAGGAAACCTTGGGCAGAACAGAGCGCGGCTCGGCGCGAGTGTTGCCGATAGACTATAGGACCAGACTGATAGGCCATGCACCCGGCTACCAGAACCTACACTTACAAGACTTTGCATGTACCCTCTGATGCATTCTCAGGACCCGTCAACCCATGAATGTACATCTGACTCTTGAAGACCCATACCTAGCAACCAGCTCAGATCGTCTTCCATCAGCTGATCGGCATAGGGCAGATCAAATGTCGGATCCATCGCAACCATTGGAGGACCAGAAGGCGACATGGCCGATAACTGGTTGAACGGCAGCAGGAGCCCATCTTCAGGGCGCCGGTCGCTCGAGCTGTCCTCGTTCCGATTCGATGGTACTGGTTGTCTATTGTCCTCGGTGTATACCCTCGCACGAGCTACGGCCGACTGTAGGAGAGAGGCAGCTCTCGCTCCAGACACTGGACTCATCAGCGCATTCTTCCTCACACCTGCCTTTTCGCAATACCGCCGCAAGAGTCTCTATATCTTGTGAAAGCTGACCAAGGTCGAGTACGTGGGGAAGCAGGGACGCCAGACGAATGGCGATACGCGTGATGACTACCAAGCAGAGATCTGATGGTCAGCGGGGAGGAGCTGGCATCGACTTACGGCAATAGTTGTTGGCTGAGACAGAGTCAATTGGACATCTTACTCCAGCTCACCATAGATGAGCCGATCAGCCTGTCCATCAGCAATGCTTCACCAGCCTTGGCGTACCTCTGAGCTCCGGACGACTCGAGCGATGACTACAAAGGCAGTCTCAAGACCATTGCGGAGCCATTCTTGACGCTCCTGGGACTCGTTGACGATATCTGCCGGTGCTCGAAAGTCTGCTAGGATGCAGGACAGGGCCATGACCCTGGGATCAGAGCTACGCTCTGTTCAGACACCCACCTAGCGTAGAGTGTGGTAGTCGTAACTGGATTCAGCAGGGCCCTAGGATTTCACGTACTGTCAGCAAGATACGGAGAATCTATCGGTGCGCCAATGTCCGCTGCACGTCAGCCTGGGTCCAAGCATCAACTCGCCATAGTGCTTTGTCCATTTCGACTCCCATACGGATAATTGGGCCAAAAATTCTCGCAACTCGTAATCTAAGGCGGCTTTGGATTGTCCCGAAGAGTACGTGTGGTTCAAGGGCTCTATCACATTAGCGACTCGAGCGAGCAAAACGTTCTCACGACGAAGGATTTGCAACTCGCACGCGGCGACCAATGTACTGTCCGACGGCAGGGACAAGGGATGCTCCAGGTAAGCTGTGGCGAGCGCGACCAGGTCGTCTTGTTTATCGAGGCTCTGCCGCTTGGCATAGTTGTAGGCGGTCCTGGGAGTCAGTAGAGCTTGGGAGTAAAGCCCACTCGAGAACCATTTTGGTCACCTGGAGGAGCGTAAGTCTCGCCGGTAAGGACAAGGAGACCTACACACAGCCAGACCCGCGCCCCAATTATGGTCCATCGATGACAGTCCAGGTTAGGTGAACCTGACTCCGTGATAGTCTGCCCTAGAGTGTTGTAGAGCTCTTTTTCGACCCTGCGGGATCAGATACATCGGTCTCTGCATGACTCACGCCAAACTCAGAGCCAACTCTGTGTTCATAAGCTGCATTGAGTATACGACGACCCACGGGTGACCCGCCAAGGATTCTCAATCCAAGACGCGAAGATGACTGATCATTAGCAGTTCAATCTCGGTTAGCTCACCCAATGCCTGGATAGTTCGCAAATTGAGATCGGATTCGAAGATTAAGTCGCGGACTGAGATGGGTCAGATGAGCATGTATTACGACTTGCTGAATGATTCTGCATGAGCTCTTAGGCGACCTTGTAGGACGCTAGGTCCGCCTGAAATGATAGGTCAGTCAGGTTATGTGGCTAGACTAACTTTTCGCATCGTTGATCCGCTGAGCAACAAATAGAATCACTGCCAGAGACAAAGGCGAATCTTTTGCGAGGCTTCAATCAGCAGAAAGGCTCGGTCCCCGACCCACCTCGACCAAGTGTCGTATTCGGGATCGTAGATGGGCATGGAGGCATGACAACCGGCGAAAAACCTGACACGTCAGTGTCATCCTACAGGGAGTCTCACGATAGGTATAGCGATTTCCCGATCTCTTCTGAACAGATATTCGCTTGGACAGGATCCAATCCTCGACGTCCTGCCGATGTTTCGGTGGATTGTCGTCTTCGCTTGCGGTTTGTCGAAGAAGCGACTGCATCCTCCGGCAATCGTGCAGAGACCAGGCAATCTCTATCGTTGTCGAATAGCTTGCTCATGTAATGACTCGCTTCCACATCCTCCGTGCCACTGTCTTCAACAACACTGACCGAGTTGTTCGTCAAAGGTCCTAGTGTATATGTATATGGCTGCTGGTAGATGGAGGATGAGGTATGAATTATGGATTGACCAGCAGTTGCATGATTGTCACGGGCTGAACCTCAGCAAGAGCGACTCCTTCAAAGGATTCACTAATGTTCATAGAGGCTGAAGGGTGCTGGTGTCTCAGCATGCCAAGTATCTCGGTGACTTGAGTCTGCAGTTGACGGACATCCTGCTCCAAAGACGATACACGCCTAAGTGAAGTCAGACCAGCTGGAATCATCTTGCACTTGCTCTGCGGCCAGTCTTGGCTTGAAAGGGAGAGGTGCCGCTTCTCCGACCGTGCATGCTAGTGACATACTTTTACATCGCTGACAAGGGGGATGTTCCCTGCCGACGCATTTGATCTTCATTCGCCGGCATCCGTCCTGAAGATCAGACAATCTCGAGGATCATGCGGGCTTACACAGGCGCCTTGGAAGGAAAACAGGTCAGATGAAAAGGCGGCTTCTATACTCACGTGCAGACACGACAGTCATCTCATCTGAACTACCCATACTCATGAGATTGGTCAACAGTATCACTGGTGTAAACTTCCTAACTGACCGGTTAAGCGCGGGGCACATCTCGGGTCATCGGAAGCCGGTCCGAGATCGGTTTCCGAGATACACCTAATGCATGCTGATCTTCAGAAGTCTCGCACATATGTGCTCTGGCAGCTTTACAAGCAAAGCTCTATCGCTGGAGTCCCAATTTACCTCTGCCTCCATGCTGACAGGATATAGAACCTGCACTGAGACTTTTCTGCTGCCGAGGTTTGACATGGGCAAGCTCATGGTTGTTGGACCGCCTCGGCGCCAAACGGAGATGAAAGCTTCCGCCTCACCGCTCGCTGCAGAGGACCACATGCCCAGAGCAAGCCACTCATCATGCCATTTGGGAAGTCCAAGCGGCCAGAATGGCTTGAAATACGGGATTCTACTGCGATATTCCTTGTAGACTTGCATACCCTCCGCGACGAGTTGATGCTGAGATGCGGACAGTAGGTCAAGTCGGCCACTGAGATGTATCCGGCCCAAAAGACTGTTCACCACGGTCAAGGCGTTGATCTCGTCGCTCCAGTCTGGTTGAGGATATGCCCATGTCGCGCTTTGTTCCGGGATGACAGCCGTAGGGCACGCAGCGGCAATAGCCGCATATCGAACTGGATCCTGCTGGTCGCTGGTCGATTGAAGCGTGTGAACGGAAAGCATGGCATAGTCTAGCCGTTGTCCACCACTAGAGCAGTTCTCGATGACAAGTTCGGGATATCGATCCAGAGTCTGCTTCACCCACGCGAGGTATGCGAGACAATGCTCAGCTTGACCCTCGGCCGAGCTTCCGTTTGCCGTATCGGTCCCGAGGGAAGTCTGGATGTTGTAATCAAACTTGAAGTATTTGACGTGACATGTCTCGATGAGACGAGACACTACCTCATCCATGTGCTGTCTAACAAGAGGATGCTTGTAGTTGAGTTGATATCGGCCTTTCTCTACAACGCGTTGGCCATTGCGTTGGAAGAATGCCTCGAGAGGGAGCTTAGAGGCGAGCGGACTCTTCACGCCGATGACTTCGGGTTCCAACCAGAGACCGGGCTTGAGCCCTTTCTTTTCAATCTCTCCAATCAGCCATGAGAAGCCTTTTGGGAAACGCTTCGTAGAGGGCACCCATTCTCCGACCCCATCCCACCAGTCGGAATCATCGGCGTACCAACCAGCGTCGATGACGAAATATTCTGCTCCAGCATCCACGACTGGTTGTATCAACGCGAGAATCTTCTCCTCATTTGGGTCACCCAGAAGACAGTTCATGTAGTCATTGAAGATGACGGGCAGGTCGGTGTGATCCTTATGCGGTCGGATGATGGTCCGGCGATAAGCCGTTAACGCAGACATGGCCTCTTCGAAATCCCCATTGACGCAAGCCAATGCCGTGGGACAGGTGGTGTGACTCGATCCAGGCTGAAGGACGAGACTCCATCCGCGTGTTGAACCAGCGGTCGCTAAGTAGACGTTGTCTCGGAAATCGCCGATCTCCCATGTCCAGGCTGCGTTGCTCTCGACTTGCCACATCCAGGTGTGCCCGGGACCATGTAACGCACCCATATTCAGATGACCCTGAGTCGAGAAAGTCGAGTCGTTGGACAACGAAAAGTTGGCGAGAGAGGCGTCCTTCGGGTCAGGTATGTCGTAGATGCCGAAATCGTCGATCCCGAGGCTCGAAAGAGTTTGAGTGTCCCACTGAGCTTCCCTGAACCAAGTATTACGAGCGTAGGACACGCTGTACTTGTGCCACCATGATGGGCATCGAGCCATGGCTGGAACCACAAGACTCGAAACTTGATAAAGGTCATGTGGCTTGTGAGAGTCATTTTGAATGGTGACATGGGATCTGAGCACAGGTATCCCATTGTAGATCTGGAGATGCGAGTTCACTGACACACCGGTCTCTGAATCCTTCAGGACCACGTCGAGTGATTTGGATAGATCATCGGATCGCAATTCATGGGATTCATAACGGAGGTTGAGACTGTCGGTACTTCCGATGAGTGATGTAGACGTCTTGTAGCTGGCGTTACCGTGGCAATCGACTCGTACCTGGGTCAAGGGAAGTAGCGAGTGATCGAAGCGACGTTTAGGAAATGATTCAAGATTGATCTTCCCGGACAACGGCTCGATGCTCTGCAGAAGGACTTGCCCGACATCATCCACATGAATGTTCACGCGGAGCTGATCGCTCTCCAGAGTCAGCTTCTGTGCCTTCATCGGTCAGAGTTGGAAATATGCACGCAAAGTGGAGGTGGGACGGACGGCTTTAATATAGTCCGTTGACGCCGATGTCGGGTGTCCGAGTGAGGGAGCGGGGCCCGGAATTTGATGTGACAGAGAACACAGGTGATACCGTCTTTTTTGACGATGCAGCCGTACGCATCTGGCGTACAGGCTGGCTGAGGGAAGGTGTCTGGCATTCAGAACAAAGGGATCCTGTCTATCCATGCATGGCTTTCACACCATTGAACAGATCAGAAGTGAGAAAAATCGGAGGCCGTAGAGGTTCCCCTGACTTCGAGTCCATACTCTACAACGTCTTCCAAATGAAGGTGGAGGATTACTGACACAAATGACTCTGAAGGTCTCAAAGTACGCTCGACTCTGTCTGTCTTCCATGGCATCTGGGCTTTGTTCCACATTGATACAGCTACAGAGTGTTGGACGTGAAAGGCGGAAGTTCTTCGGCGCGTCGCTAGAACTGGAGAAGGCCAGCAGCTTCGCAGCTCGTCTGACGTCGTCGTCTACTCCATTTGTCTCGCTCTCTGCTCATATGATCCTCTGAAACAGAGCTATAAAGACAAGCGAGGTGTAGAACAGTTCATGGTTGTGGAGGAACAATTCGGCGATCTGATGGCTGTTGCCCCACTTTGGTCAGGAACGCCACGCCTGTTCCCCCACTCCGGACGACATCTACATGCCTTCGTTCGCTCTCTTCTAGTCACGGATCCAGCTTTTTACAGCTCCCTTGTCGACCATGAGGAGTCCAGCGAGCAATGAGACTACACCTCTCCGAGTGGTCCCAAGACCTACACGCGTCACAACGGGAGAGACAGTTCTGCGTCTCTCCGGCGACTTTTCAATCGACATTGACAACTCGAGCAGCTTGAAGAGCAGTATTCCCAGAGATCTGGAGCAAGCGATACACCACACCACTGCTACACTACACAAGAACCGCCATCGGTATCTATCTCCACAACGTGGAGCGGAGTTTTTGATTTCTGGCACTCAACATACTGAGATTCAAAAGTTGATCCTATCTCTTAATGGGAATGGAAAGCCGCGAAGTATTGCGCACGACGCTGTACTTCCAGTGGAAGATCGAGTAGCAGCTGAGCGATACGAGCTGGAACTGGCCACCGATGGATCTGCACATATCGAAGCGGACACTTCACTTGGCCTGTATCGAGGGCTCACGACGTTTCAACAACTATTCTTTTACTCCGGAGGCAAAGATGGCTTCCAGTACACTCCTCATGCACCGATCAATATCGAAGACCAGCCAGCATTCGGCTGGCGAGCGGTCCTGCTCGATACGTCAAGAAATTGGTTTGGAGAGGAGGCTCTGCTTAAAATGTTGGACACCATGGCGCTGATCAAAGTGAGTCTACAGGCGAGACGTTGGTGCTGATCAGTCACTCAGATGAACGTATTTCATTGGTGTGTTTCGCCCCTACAATATGGTATAGCTTAACTCGTTGAATTTAGGCATATCACCGACTCCAATTCCTGGCCATTAGGCTTGGACGACTTCCCAGAGCTTGCCGGGAAGGGGGCTTATAGTCCTGAGGAGGTCTATCAACAAAAGCAGATACAAAAGATCGTCCTGTACGCGAATGCGGTAGGCCAAGCTCTTGAAGTTAAACCAGACTTGAGACCTGACTGATCACTCATAGAGAGGAATTGATGTGGTACCGGAAATCGACATGCCTGGTCACACGGCAATCATTGCCGAGTCACATCCCGAGCTCATCGCAGGATATCAGCGCACACCATTCGTCAAATACGCCCATCAACCTCCAGCAGGACAGCTTCGGTTCGCGGACGATAAAGTGACAGAGTGGACCAAAGGACTATTGCAATCTGCCGTTACCGTGTTCAGCAGTCCGTACTTTGGAACTGGCGGAGATGAGCTCAACACCACGTGTATGGTGAGTCGATCTCACAGAAACACCCACCGACTGTCTCTTAGATGGAAGATGAGGAGACTGCCACAACACTCAAAAGCAAAGGGTGGACGCTCGAGAAGGCTCTGGACAATTTCACTGAACAGACTCACGCCGTGGTAAGAGCGAACAAGAAGACGCCTTTGGTCTGGCAGGAAATGGCGGGTTTGCAATACTGCTAGCGATTGCGAGGGAGCTTAATATGAGGACAGGTTCTGACTCACGGCGATCTCCCATCGGTGAAAAAAGATACGCTGGTGTCCATCTGGATAGACAGCAAGGATGCCGCCAAGGTCCTCGCAAAGGGTTTCAGAATCGTGCACGCCGCAGCCGATTACTTCTATCTTGTGAGCGGGCATGCCAGCTGTCGCGACATGCCTCTTTGACACTGCTCAGGATCAAGGACAAGGTGGGTGGTTAGGTGAGGAAGGAGGCGGAGACTCGTGGCAAGGACCGTACAAGTCTTGGCAGAAGATGTACTCGTGGGTCTTTGCCGCTGTAGCCCCCCAGAAATAAAAATGTTGAGGTTCCGAACAGGTTTGACCCGTACAAAGATGTCGAGGAAGGCAAACGCAAGCTGGTCATGGGTGGACAGTGCTCGCTTTGGGCAGAGCAGACGGACGAGACAAACTTGGAGACTGTTCTCTGGCCTCGAGCAGCTGCAGTAGCCGAGTTATTCTGGACAGGCGCTGGTGCAGAGGGCTACCCAAGGAGTGAGTGCCCGTATCGAAGGACTAAACGTAGCGGCTGATCTGGCGTCACAGGCTCTGTCGAGGCCTTCCCTAGGATGCACGATGTACGATTCAGGATGGTGGATAGGGGCGTGCGCGCTATTCCTCTGCAGCCATACTGGTCTGCCTTACGTCCAGGTGAGTGGTGACTCGAAGACTGAGACCTGGCAATTAATAGTCGTCCAAGGCACGACCAACAAGTAGACTAGACACTTGGGACCGATCGGATGCAACAGTCAGTCCTGCGCGGTCGGACAACGTAATTGCATTGCAAGCGGCCAGTTGACCTAATGTTTTTTCCTTTCTACGACGACAAGGTCGCCGCATATTCCTGATTGACCACATTGTCCCACATGCTTCTCACAGTGATTCCATTTTTCCAACTTCCATCTCCCGTCCAGTCGTTCCAGACATTGAGCTGGATAGTCTTGCTTTCTCCCTTCTGCAACCAAAACGCATTTTCGGACCAAAAACCTTGCACTTGATGGGCCGAGTAATCCAACGTGACCCATGCAGCGATGGCTTTGGTGGCGGTCACTGTGAAGGATCCGTCAGAGCCTTGAGTCAATGTCAATCCTGGGTCCTGAAGCGCAGAATTGACGAGATAAGCTGGGTGATACCAAGATGTATGCGTCATGCCGTTACCGGCATCGACGGACAGACGCATGATCGCATCTGAAACGTTGGCTTGGGTTTTGAGAGTTTTGACGACATCGCTCCAATTGAGTACCATAGTTGAGTTTACAGGCTCCACGCGGACGTTGACGGTGGAGACTGTACCGTTGGTACTGGATGTGGAGTTGGAGATAGGGGATCCAGATGCAGAAGCCGAGATGGTCGCAGTCATCGAGCCAGGAGTAATACCAGAGGAATTGCCTGTGGCGCAAACCAAGGCAGAGGTGACGGCGATGCTCGCACTCGAAACCACTGAGGTGGATCCCGCTGCAACGGAAGTGCCGGACACGTTCGCTCGGCGCTGAAGAGACGCACTAACCATTCCACTGGCAGAAGAACTCGATGCCACAGATCCGCCTCCTATGCTGCTAGTAGATGGAGTCACAGTCACTGATGTGCTAGAAGATGTAGACGTGGCGGTACCAGCGGACATATTGGAGCCTGCCTGGTTCAGGCTGATGTTGACGGCATCTCCAGCCCACGTGAACCATTCGTACGTCACAACACCCTCGACAGCGGTGAATTGATCCGATGTGACCCAAACTTCTAGCGTGTCATCGTCCACGTTATAATAAGGTCGCACGATGACTGGTTTGTAGATGTCCTTGACGGCATATTGCATAACCTTTGCTTTGAGATTCGACGCCACACTTGACCAGGTCGGAGCCACCCAGACGTCGTTGAATTGCCAGTAGAGACTTCCCAGTTGTCTCTCTGGTCCTCCTGATCCTCTTCGGTAGAACGCGATCTCAGTGACATAATAGTCGGCTTGGAAGACCTCCGAGCTCCATATCCAGGCGCTGAGGTAGTTTTGTCAGATCGAGGCTACTGCGCATACACATGTCGCTCACCTGAAGTTCGCTCTGGCATCGGAGATCTCTGGGGCGGGATAGAAGGCGTCCACTGCACTCGTCATCTGTGCGATCCCAAGGATGCTTTGTTCTTCGGGTGTGGCAGTTTGACCAAAGGCTGCGCCACTGTGTCTGTTGTGGTAGACGACGATTGGGTCATCAAAAGACGTGATGTTCGGCCCGGTATTGTCCCATGATTCGATGCCCGGCATGGAGATGAAGCCTGACAGACTATCAGTGGGGACTTTGGACGCGGCGGCAGAACCTCTCACCAAACTCATCGGCAAATCTTCCAACTGGGAGATAAGAAAGATTGAATGCTTGGAGTCCGTCTCCATAGAAATCAGTGTCCGAATACAGGTATTCTGGGCCACTTGAGTTCTTATATCTGGGCAATTGAGGTCTGTCCGAAGAAAAGTTGAGGGACAGATACCCATTGTACGTCGAGGATGGGATATAGCTGATAGACCTAGTGTTGGCATAGACGCATTTGATCAAATTACGCTCGAATGTCTCCTGATAGTCTAGCGTGATGCTACCTGGGTTCGTGGCATTGAAGAAGTATGCAAGCTGGATCGATTCCAACTCGTTGCCTCCTGCCCAGAGCGCTAAACTCGGATGGTGATTGATACGACGGACATTGTAATAAGCCTCAGCTTCGTATACCGCCTCCCATTCTGGCGAGGCAGGATACTCTGCGTCGGTGAATTCGAATTCTGACCACAGAAGAATACCCATCTGATCGGCCAGATCGTAGATCGAGTCGTCGAGATAAGCTCCAGACGACCAGACTCGGAACATATTGAAGTGAGCATCCTGAGCGATCTCGAACAAGTGTTGGACGGTTGAACTGTTGACTCTGGCCCAAAGCACGTCGATCGGAACGAGATTGGCTCCTTTGGCGTAGAACGTCTCACCGTTAATTTCAAAATGCCAATTGGAACCTGGTCGGATACCCAATGCAATATCTTGGTCTGAGATCGGTTGAAGATTGAGGATGATGGTTCTGAATCCTACCTGCTTGGTGACGGAAGCATGGACGCCAGGATTTCCAGATGATGCATCATCATCGCTGCTGTTACTGTCGGACGGAGAGGTGATGGTGACCTTGGCAGTGTAGAGTGTCTGAGTTCCCATTCCGTTAGGCCACCAAAGGTCCACTTTGGAATCATCGATGGCAGTGTGCCCAGTGATGGTCATGTTGTTGGACGTGATATTGCCCAAAGCTCCGGAGAAGATTGTATTACCACTGGCATCAGAGAGGTCAAGCTGTAGACCGCTACCTTGAGCTAGTGGACCGACTACATCGAGGGAAGCATTGAAGATCCAAGGTTGAGATTGATCAGGCGGGAGATTGTTCATCTGGCCTTGGCGGAAGATGTCGATGGCAGCGTTATTAATGTACATTGCATCTTGATCGAGCTGGACGATTGAGATATTGCGCCAAGGTCCCGCAGGAATGAGGTGAGGACTCCAGTCCCATCCGCTGAGGTGTCGTGAGTCATCGATCCTTAGGATCTTAGGTAGATATATGCTCACAAATCGCTCTGCTCTTTCCTCGCCCATGCTTTGCAGGCAAATTCGTTTCCAGGAAGATCATTACATCCATCCGCAAAGTTGGCATCGCCTGATAGCAACCATCAGGGACATCCTCCCATCTGCCTCGACTCACCTGCAGACGGGAATTTCGAACTGTCGCTTATTTCATGGGTAATGTTCTGAGCGGGTCCAAAGTTGATCGAGAGTCGTGTGTCGTTTGCCGAGCACCCTTGCACCACGCTCGACACGTCAAAGATGAACTGTCGATATTGGTTGGCGGTGGTACCGATGAACTGATCGCAGAACGTGATGGTAGTATACGTGTCGAGACCCTCGAAGACCAGTTGCGTTTTGATACCAGAGCTCATGTTCCTGTTAAAAGATTAGGTTTGTGAGCCTTTGCTATACTTACAATCCCGTGATCGCTGGCGAAGTATAAGTCCAATTTGAGTACCTCACCCAAGCTTGTTCATTCTCTTGATAGCCATACGTTGGGTCAAGAACGATGCCCGCTGCTTGAAGGGGCATATAGTTCTGAGAAGGGACGGTGGCAGGGACGTGGATGGAGTCATTCCCAGGAGATGTCAGTGTCCATCCGTCTCCTGAGAGGTCAATGACATTTGACGCTGCTCGAGCGCATCGTATACCGAGCGCCAGTAGACCTAGAGTAGCAGAGAGCATTGTTGCGGACTTGAGGGAGAAGTCAGTGAGGAGCTTGTGATTCAGTATAGTCATGTATTTAAGATGCTCTCAGGGCAGAACCTGTTCTCTTCCCCAACCATGTTCACAATTCTCGCCCGAATCGAGACGATGCCGCTCCATAGGGGTCCCAAACGCCGCGCCCTAGCTCGAAATCCCCACATTGACATGGAGCACACGACGATGTTAGGTCGAATCCTAATTGTTTGCTAAGACAACTGTGAGGTGCAAGTGGAAAGCTTCGGTCAGTCACATTATCAGCCTGATTATAACGAAGGTGCGGCTGTCGCCTAAGTGCGGGCCCGAAGTGTCCTGCTCGCCAAAAGGTGTGCAATTTCCGTGGGACCGCATCTAATGTCCGCGAGGCTGCCGAATGCTTCGCACTAGGCCAAGGTCCAACTATCAGATCGTGCGATACGTTCGTATGTCCCCGACTTCGGGGAAGAGATCTCGGGCGAAAAGGACAACATCTCGGCACGACAAGACTGGACGCGACGCGAGCCCGCCAAACGATTTCTTGATGGCAAGCGCGTTGAAGTGGATACACAAGGCTATGAGATATACATTTGACGACCACTTGAGCTGCTCTAGGTAGAGCCGGTCCCATCTAGCTGCTCCCAGCCAGAGCTTGACGAGCTTGCTCTTTGGCCTCCTCGCTAGTGTTGGGATTGTGGAGTGCGCTGACAATCAGCTCATGTCTTCGGTCAAAGTGACATACGCCTTGTAACCGCCTCTGACGTGATGCTCATGCTCCTGCGCCGCCTTGAGGTCCAATGAAGGATCGCCTTGAGGTAAACCAAGCGGATTGGCATTTACAATCTCGTGAGGATGTTCATTGTGGAAATGACGGTGAGATTGCGCGTCGAGCTCAGAGGGCAACTGCTTTCCCGATTCAACGATGACTTCTGCTGCGTGCCCTTTGGCATCTGCAGAGACCTGTGAGAGGGGGTAATAAGCCATTTGCTCATCGTGTGGAGGGGAAGGCGTTGAAGGACACACCCTATCATTGTGCAGGGCTCTGGGTAGTATTGCGTCAGCCTGTCTCATGTGGTTTCCACCCACGCCTTGTATCCTCCAAGTTGATGATTCTGGTGCGCGGTCGTGTGTTCAGACGCCATATTGAATGACAGACAGCGAGAGTGAGATGAGTAGGATGTGCATGCGTATTGAATGGGTCACCTCCTCCTCTTATATCCGCTTCAAGGGTTGATGGACATTTACCTTGGTACCCACCATACATTGCGTCATCTGATGGCAACAACAGAGTGTGTGTCCTTTCATTCGATTACAGCCGCCACGATGGACAATAGGATTTCCCTCGCTCTGATGGTTGAGCAAAGGTAGAAACATGCACAACTTGGGACTATGCTACAATGTGTAACGCCGCCTAACTCCCAACGGACCATCTACCCAAATGCTCTGGACCAGGTGCCCTGACCGCCCTCCCATCCTGCCACTTTCTCATTGATGATTCTCTGACCCAAATTGCTTATCTCCCTCGTCACGTCTTCCAGTGCCTTGTACTTGCGGTTCTGGACGGCATGGCTACGACACAACATGAGTAAGTATGATTGGACGGGGTGCAGGCGATTGCCGGCGAGCGAGACTCACAATCTCTCGAGGACGAGTAACCCATTGACTTGATCAATTTTGCCTTTGATCTTGCGATCAAGGATGAGCGAGATGACTAGAGCCTCGACTTCGTTCCGTGCAATATTGAGCGTCTGTTGGAATGTAAGCAAAGAGCCCGGGTCTCAAGCCACTATTCACCTTGGCGAGATAGTCAAGCTCTAACCTGGTGTACGGCTTGATAATGTCTATTATGTACTGAGTACGCAAGGAGCGGAGCAGGTCATTGATGAAGAATTGGATGAAAGGGTCACCGGTGATGGTGGCTCGATTGGCTGGAACGAGTTCAGCACAACCGTCTGTCTTCTAGAGCTGAGACTTGCCCTTGAGTATCCGCTCAGCCTCCTGTACGTCTCGCATCTGATAGGCAGACACCAGTCCGGTCATGGCAACGATCTGGGGATCATTCTTATACCTGGCACACATTCGTCAATATCGTGGTGTCAGGCTTGATCGCACGGTTTGGTCTCTTGTGAGTCGAACGGATTGATCTCACTCCCCATGAGCATGTAAGTGAGCACGAGGTATTTGAGAACCTGTATACGCTGTGGCGAACCGGACTCGTCGTATTGCCGGAATGACTCGAACAGATCGGTTGAAGCGTTGTCCCAGGCTCCTGAGCTTGGAATCAGAAGAGGGCATAAAGGCCTGCAGCGACCCACTTACTTTCCATCATCCACATCTTCCCACCGCACTCCCGGATCACGCCCATGATCCTCGGATGTGGTATAGCATTCTTGACCTGCATCGAGGCGTTGTAGATCTCCTGCAAGGCGGTGAGCAGTAACCATGAGGGATAATTTGCCACCCCACCCACCTTGAGCTTTCGTGTCTCTTTCAAATCGCTGTACATTTGGATCTCGATGGCGTACAGCTCAAGTACTGGTAAGCATCAGCGAGCGACCAAAGCTTCAAACGTAAGTGAGCCCACATAAAGAACCCTTGGTCTGGTCCTCAGATCCACTTGAGCTCGAGCTAGGGCCACATGAAGCATGCAGCGATCTCAGTATCTTCGTAGCGTTAGCGTGAACACAGCTCAACGAGCTCACTGGTTGCAGCCGATCGTACTCCTTCCTGTCAAGCCACAGCTTTGCGAGTTTTAAATTGGACTTGGTGGACAGTCGCTGTGAACAGCATGGGTGAGTGTCGTTTCGGGCTCCGGGAAGACATTGAGACTCACCTCGTTCCTCGCCTCGTCACATGCCTCCTTCGTAGCTGAGTAGAAGGATTCGAGCGTATCAAGCGGGACCTCGGGAGCCAAGGCGCCATGCTGATCGTACTTGTTAGCGGGCTCACTTGCCACCCCTGCAGCAACAGCCTTACCTTGCCCTCGCCTCCAACATAATCAAGAATATTGTTGATAGACTTCTCGGCATAGTTTCTCGTGACGTTGCTCTGCGGTCGAGTCAACTGCTGTACCAAGGAAAACGCCTTTCCGCACCTTGGTATAGCTGAGCAGTTCGCGGTAAGTCTTCAACGCCTCGCTTGGTCTCTTCATATGCAGATAATTCATCTTTGTCATCTGTTTCAGACTCTTAAAGCCCCTGTGTCCAGAGTCAGTAAGATCTGTGTGCGTTTAGATAAAGCATACCATTCCCCCTTGTCTGCCTCCTCGTCAACGATCGTCCGGAATGCTTTGAGAGCGCCTTCGGCATCGTCCTCCTTGAGGGCTAAGGAAGATTAGCGGGGAGATTGCAGTGGAGGGGAAGATCCAGCCTACATTTTGCCTTGTAATACTGATTCTCTACATCTCCTCCTTGCTCATCCATGCCTTCGTCATCGTCATCATCATCATAATCAAAATCATACTCTTCATCCGCCGCATCCTTCATCTCAAAGTGAGCAACAAGCTCGACCTCTAAGACTCCCGCTCACCTCCATCATAAACTCATCGTCCGACATGTCTCCAAGCCTGTCTTGACTGGATGTATTCTAAGCTCTACTAGTCGCCCCCGTCGTCGTCGTTGTCACCGTCATGCATGTAACATGGTATGGTCCTCGTCTATGCTTCAGGCATTGAGATAACGGAATCAAATTGCCTGGACGGCATCCGGCAACTACCACCGGGGGAAGGGAAGGGGAGGGGGGCTACATCTGCTGGTGATCCTGCTTCCTTGCATTTCTGATTCTCCCAATCATCTCGACTTCAAGCGACCCACTTGCCACCTTCCCCGGCCTCAGCTTGCAAGGCAGCCTGAGGAGCAGTAGCCTTCGATTAACGGCTCACACTTCAAAATCGCCGAGCTCGCTCGCTCGATGCTGTCAGTCTTCACCTCTGTCACACTCCTCGTCCGACAATCCGTATGACGACCTTACCATATGCGCGTGACGAAGCTTCGACCTCTCACCACCATGCCAACAATCATTTATCCTACTCTCAGGCTGCTCTGGATGAGCATGCTGTAGCTGAATGGGCGAATAACGGCCAGCTAGTGGATGAGCTGAGGGATAACGAAGAAGAGCTGCAGGTGCAGGATGGAGCGGCACTTCAGTACTGGGCTGCAAAGCGGCACAAGGGGGAAAAGAAGAAAGATAAGGCGGATGAGGAGTATGGTGAGTCACACCCCCCGACTACGACTCTTTTGGTGCCAATCCACGCTGATGATCTTCAGTTGGGTGGAGACTCAAATCTCGGATGAAGACCTTCAATGCGGGCATGTTCATCTGCTTAAATATCGGTGTGGATCCGCCAGACGTAGTCAAAACCAATCCTTGCGCAAAGCTGGAATGCTGGCTGGACCCGACTGCGCTGCCTTCGACGAAAGCCATCGAGGCAATTGGGCGGAGTAAGAGGCCACATTGTGCTGGAGGTTCCAAGCCGCTGATAACCTAACCAGACCTACAACAACAATTCGAGACTTTAAATCCCAAAGTCAAATACAAGAGCGTAAGTTGCCCCGATGCGTGTGATTGCTGATCATCGTCAGCACCTTGACCCCTCCATTGAGGAGACCAAGAAACAATGCGTAAACATGCGCAAAGTTGCTAGAGATGAAAGGGTTGTGTTCTACTATAATGGTCACGGAGTGCCAAAGCCCACCCACTCGGGAGAGATATGGGTCTTCAACAAGAGTGAGCTTCATGATATTGGGACAGTATAACCTGGCTGACACCGACAGACTATACGCAATACATTCCTGTCAGTCTATACGACCTACAAGAATGGCTAGGAAGGTGAGGCGAGGCATGAAGGGCTTCTTCCAGCTGATTACCAACTCAGCCCATGCATTTACGTCTGGGAATGCTCTGGTGCCGGCAATATTCTCAACAACTTTGGCAAACAAGCTGAGAAAAAGGACAACGAGGCTAGGAGCGCGGCGGTCAATCAGACACAGAACAGCACACCATCACGACCCGCATCTGATCTACCGGGAACTTCATTCGCCGATGCCATTCATTTGGCGGCCTGTACTGCGTCCCAAGTTTTGCCGATGTCACCGGATCTTCCTGCCGATCTTTTCACTTGCTGTCTGACCTCACCTATCGAAACGTCCTTGAGGCATTTTGTCCTCCAAGACCCTCTCAAGCGAAACATCTCGACCAGCAAGGAGGACCCGAGATCACGTATCACCGTTGACATGGTCATGCGTATACCTGGGGACCTCAAAGATCGACGCACACCGCTAGGCGAGCTGAATTGGATTTTCACCGCCGTCACGGATACGATCGCGTGGTCGTCGTTCCCCAGAGAGGTTTTCAACCGTCTCTTCCGTCAAGACTTATTGGTCGCCGCTCTGTTCCGAAATTTCCTACTGGCCCAGCGAATTATGACAAGCTATCATTGCACTCCCATGTCTATTCCTGAGCTACCATCGACACACAATCATCCCCTCTGGCACTCGTGGGACCTAGCTGTGGATGAGTGCCTCGCACAGCTTCCTGATCTCTTGGATCTGGAAGTAGCAAGAGAAAAGGGCCAGATCACCATTTCACCTTTGAGCACTTACCGTCCATCCACCTTTTTCGCTCAACATCTCCAAGCCTTTGAAGTATGGCTTCAGCACGGTAGCTCTCTCCCTAATCACCTGTCCCATGCCAACAACAAGAAGGGGTTGACCCATCGACCACCGCCCGAGCAGCTGCCCATCGTCCTGCAAGTCTTGTTATCTCAAGCTCATCGTCTCCGCGCTCTGATCCTACTCTCTCGATTCGTTGATCTTGGTCCTTGGGCTGTTCATCTATCCTTATCTATCGGCATATTTCCTTATGTCCAGAAGCTCTTGCAATCTCCAGCTGTGGAACTCAAACCAGTCTTAATCTTTATCTGGGCTCGAATCCTTGCCGTCGACAAGTCTTGTCAGGTCGACTTGTTACGTGACGCCGGGTACAACTACTTTGCCCAAATCCTCTCACCCTACCCATCTACAGGCGTTCCGCTGGTCATTCCCAACGCCAACGAACACCGAGCCATGTGTGCCTTTATTCTGTCCATCTTGTGTCGCAATTTCCGTCCTGGTCAAGCTGCGTGTCTCTCGATCAACGTATTCGACGCGTGTCTGGCTAGACTCCATGAAGATGACTGGTTACTTAAGACTTGGAGTCTGCTGTGTGTCGCTCAGATATGGGCTGACAATGATGATGCCAAAGCATTGTTCATGCAGCAATCGCCGAAGCAGACCCATCAGCAAGACCTTTTGAGTCAGCTCAAATCTTCAGCCGTGGAAGTCCGAGCGGCCGCTCTGTATGCCTTTGGTACTCTGCTTGGAGCGAGCTCTGCGCCTATAGACTCGCCAGATATCAAGGGCGGAGGCGGTACGGGTGCTCAGGTGGGTGTTGAGGAGACAGCTCAATTGGAGATCGAGGCGGGGCTGGCATTTGCCTGTATGATGTCCGTCAAGGAGGACGCTTCACCGCTCGTGCGTAAGGAACTCGTTGTGGTGATTTCTTGTGTCGTCAGAGAGTGGCGAGGATGGCTGGTATGTGCTGCATGGGCATACTTCGAGCAGGAAGCTCTCGCAGTAGCTCTGGATCAAGGTGTTGAAGACTCTCCCGATCTCGTCGGCAAAGCTTTGGAGGAATGGGTCCGATCCGGCGACAAAAAAGTGATGGAGCATCAACACAATCTCACCCTACTGAGCAGCTTCAAAGTTCTATTTGAGACATTGTTGGATTTGTCCGTCGATCCGAATACCGAGGTCGCCCTTATGGCTTCTACGGTCGTGGACTATGTCGTTGCTCTCCTGCTCGATTCGGCTTTCTCAAGAGTTCGAGGCTCAGCAGTACAGAAAATCGTTTCAAGACATAGGAAACAAAGACCGGCTTTGGGACCTCGAGCCATGTCGGCTGCACCTGGAATGTCTGGTCGACTGACTCCTCAGCCGAACGGGACGCGGCCGAATTTGATCCGTGCAGATACGGATACGTCGAACCCTGGTTCCGCATCTTCAACGTTGAAACGAAATAGCTCAGTCGCCAATGCACTTCGGTCTCTGGCTTCCATGACGGGTCTCGTATCTTCTGAATCCCCAAAGTCCGATACATGGACACCCGAATCGTCACCCGAAGTGTCCGTCGCTCCTCCTACACCATCATCTACATCCTACAAATCGCCTTACCCCGATGCTTCGCACGAGCGTATCACTCCAGATTCCAACTTGCACTTGACTCGCGCTGGCTCTGTATCAGCTATTTCCAGGGCTAGAACAGCCATGACGTTGTCCATGTCTGGTATAGATGGTCATAATGACCCCGTAAGCCCAGCGTCCGTACTCAACGCCCTCACGGAGGAAGACATGGAACGACTTCGGCGTCGTAGAGCACACGGAAGTCAAGCCGGTGGAGACGCAGATGGCAAGTTGAATAACAACGGTCTGGCGAGACATGATGATTTGGGCTTGGGTACTGTAGCGAAGGAAGTCAAGGATGATGTCCTGCCTTTGAGATCGGGCTTTTTCGACTGGGCCATGGAGTATTTCAAGGAGCCCCAGATGAAGGTGGGCGTCGGTACGGCTGAGTGGGGCTAATGGTTCCTTAAGGTTCCCGATGCGGACGAACCTGGAAGTACGACTTACAACCAACAGGCCTGGAGGCATATACGAAATGAAAGTGCTTTAGAGCGCGGTCGTTCGTCTGAGGAGTATGCGGGTCAGTCGATATGTCGAGTTTGATTGCCAAGACTGACAGAAATTCTCAGCCCAACATTCATGGGAATCCGAAGCTGGGATCATACATAATGATTCTTGGCCTTTGCAGGTCGCCTTCCACTCCTATGACCCCGTCATGGCCGTCACTGATGACGCGGATGGCATTTGGTGAGTCAGGTAACTGGGGGTGCGGAGGATGAGGACTGACGCAGCACAGTCTATGGGACTGGCAGACGCGCACTCGGATCAACAAGTTTAGCAACACAAACGTTACAGGTAGCTGTATCTCAAGTCTTCATTTCATCAATGAGATGGCGTCTTCTCTGATGCTGACAGCGTCAAGTGGGTTGAAAGCTTGCCTATGAATGACTGGATGCTGATGTCGTGGATCAGCCGAGGGCAGTGTTCGCATCTGGCGTGATTATGATACACCCGGCGAGACTCAGTTGGCGAGCTCTTTTCGTGCGATTTCGGAAACTTTTCCTGTTGGCCAGAGCAGCGGTGTATTGACGGCTTGGCAACAACACCATGGTCATTTGCTGGTCGGAGGAGACATGAAGGTTGTCAGGCTATGGGACGCAACGGTCGAGCGGCACCTCAGGGTGAGGTGGATGATTCCGACAGGCTGCTGATGCCCCTCAGGACATGCCCACACAGGCTGGATCCAATCTCACAGCCATTGCATCTGACGAACCTGACGGTAATGTCTATGTCACTGGATTTGGAGACGGTGTGGTCAGGTTGTTTGACAAACGGATGGAGAGGGCCGATCAAGTTGTTATACATACCTGGAGAAAGCATCACACGTGGATCCAGAGTGTCCATGTTCAGCGCGGTGGTTTAAAAGAGCTCGTCACGGGAAGGTAGGCATCGCTGCCTGATAGAGATGCTGAATAGAATTTCAGTATGAACGGAGAGGTCAGGATATGGGACGTTAGATTCCCCGACGCGCCCTTATACGAGCACGTCGCTCAACCTACGGGTCTCATGGCATTGGCCGTTCATCCCGGCGCGTCAGTCTTTGCAACGTGAGTTGTCGTACTACTGGGCGAGGGGACGCGGATGAGTGGTCATTGACAAAATACACGTCGCAGGACATCTGCACCGACAAGCCAGTCTTACCGCCAGAAACTAGTCATTGAAGGATTCCCTGATCCTGCCAAGCCGAAAATCTTGTCAAAACTTAGCATCCCATCGTCTCCTGCGTACCACATTGGAAATCGGTCACCGGGTTTCATGCCTTCCGCTTCGAGTCTGGTGTTCCATCCGGTAAGCGCTGGCTGCCTTCTCTCCTCGATAGAGTGTAAGCAGTGAGCTAAATCTACGCCTCCAGGTCGAAGATATTATTGCCGTTGCTGGATTCGAAGCTTCCGGGAATATACGGATGCTCAAGTGTCCCATTCCTAGCGGGGTTCTGGCAGATCATACGACGAGCAATGGATTCTGAGCCCCTGTGGACCTTAATTGTGGCATAATACGGATGGCTGAAAGTGTCGCTCGTAATGTTGTATTGTCGGCTGAATATTCGCTCCACAAAGGGCCTCTCCTATCTTTGGATATCTTGATCTTTCGCATAGATCATCGCATGAATTGCGTGACTGGATAGTCGATCCGAACGAGACCAATGTCAAAGGCAAGTTGCCTGCATGATGACGTGTGTTCACATATAAGATATATTCACATATAAGATATAATGAGCGGTCTACAAAAGAACAGCAAGGACGAATGATAATAAGCTAGCTACATGGATCACTGACACCTGACTCTGGGTAAAGACTCCCCGTCGCCTTTAGACGAGCACATGCCTCGTAGAGGTCGGTACCCATTCTTCATTATCCTTCATGTGTCTTTGAACCCCATGAGGTCCCCAAGGTTTATCATAGCCATTCCGGCGTTCATGTTCCTGAGTACACACGATCGAACCATGAGCAAAGGAACGTCGTCGGCGGGACAACAAGTCTCCCGAAACTGTCTGTCAACTCACCAAGATGGCCTCTTCTCCTCTGAGGTAAACGCTATCCACGTCCTTTGCTGATTTCCCTTTGGATTCAGCATCCTTGATCATCCTCACTAGCTCTTCCTTGACTTTTTCACGCTTGAAATAGGCTGTTCGAGGGTACGTCGCCAGTCTCTCTCGAGTGGGTTTGTATTCTGGAATCGAGGTGCGATCCAAAGCTCGTAGAATGACTTGTTCAGCGAGTGTCTGGGAGAGGGAAGGGCGAGAGAGATTCAAGCGTCAGCAAGTGGGCGAGGTGATCATACATTTCAGATGGGGGATGGAGGAAAAGGGGGGGAAAATGTTTGACCCGCATGGAGACGCAGTGATTCAAATCGAATGGTATGGATGATGGAAAATGGTATGGGTGATGGGAAATGGGAATTGACCTAGCTCCGACGCAAATGTCATAGTGGGGCCAGTCGCTGCGACTCACATAATCTCCATCTTCTCTGTTCAGATTAAATGGTACAGCCATATTCAAGTGAGGGTTCGTAATGACCCTAGCGTAGTGTAGGTAATTGGGTGAATGAGAATGAGGCAAGAGACCGTGTGTGATAATGACGTCTCCTGCTTTCGCGACGACATGAGAGAACTTCTCGCACTCCTTCGCGACGTGAGAATAGAGTAAACCAGAAGGGAACGGTGGGTCAAGTCCTTCAGGGTGTTCATAGAGCTTTTCGCAGAGTCCTGGAAAGAATGGGCGAAGATAGGTATAAGTTAGTATCGGTTTGGACGTATAAAGAAAGGATCCCAGAAACGGATCCTGCCACGGGTGACAAGTGGCCAGGCCAGGAGTGATCGGGAGGGTGTCGTAGCTTGGGATAAGATCCACTCACGCTTGATTCCGTCTTCTGCGACACACGTACCCCCACCTCGTTCCGGAATATCGGTAAAGCAGTGAATGATTGTCAAAGCATTGCCGCTCGAGTCGAGGAAGTGTCGGTACCTGAACATTCGGGTCAGCTCGAGATCAATGCATGCCTACAGCACTTCTGTCACGCTCGGGTTCACAACGGCTTTGCATAGCCCGCTACGTTGACGGCCGCCGCCAGCCCACTCACCAGTCATTATCCGTATGCCAACCCCTGTACTCCCTCGGATGGATCGGCTTCTGTTTGGTCCTCTCTTCTGACCCAAAGTTGATGATAAATTGGTCTCCATAGTACCTCTCTCTGACAGGATCGACGACCTCTTCCCCACCTACAATCTCCAACATCTTATCCCAAGCTTTTGGGCAGAACTCTTCACATCGAACTTCACGATGTCGAGGTAATTTTGTGTATTCTTCCTCCCAAGTCGACTTGTCGTGCTCGTCGTAGCCCAATCTGACCCAAAAGTCTTTCATCCATTCGTCAATGTATTGCTGTTTGATGGCTCCTTCGACTTTGAGCCAACCGTGAGTCAAGAAGAATTCCCGTTCTTCGGGTGTCAGATGCTTGTACTCGCGCATGGTGGTGGTGGTGGTGGTGACGGTGAGGGTGGCTACAGTGTTGATCAAGCCGGGTCAAGTGACGTTTTGACACCAAGTATGTGCAATTGGCGGAAAGAGAGTTCTAGGTGTCAGAAGTGGAATGAGAGATCGTTTACGGTCTTGCCCCCCCGATGCTATATATGGGATCGGCTCAAATGTCCATCGGATCAGAGCGAAGTGATCACTCGTCCGGAAATAGCGGGGGGACAGTAGTAGTTTGTATATCCTGGGGGCCATTTCGTTGCCCCACGGCACAAACCGGGATAATTCCGGTCCGAACCGGGACCGGTGTTTTCGGCTGCCGAGTGGGTGGGGAGTTCATGCCGTTCGGGATATCTCAACTTCATATATTATTAGTCAGGAAGCTGGTCAACCAGCAGTCACTGAAAGGCAAGATTGGTGAGCGTCAAGAGAGCAAAGACACTCGTGGTATTGCTGCGACGAACTGTGATATTCCAACTCCTGGGTGCAACCTTGAGCAGGGATCATACTCTTCATGTGAACGTCATCGTTCAGCACAGGAGTTCCATCTTGCACTGATATGCTGCTGCTTTTGTGTCGAGAACATCATCTTCTGACAGACTGAGGAGCTCACCATGTCATACGTCGAAGCTGACAGATACGGGGAAGGCTGATTCGCTCCGTATACCTAGGCGCATGGACCGTGGACATCGCCCCTTTGTCTGTTGTCGCTATTCCATCACATTGGTATCAAGTCGAATCCGCCATCTCAGTTTGATTCTGTTGGACGACGAGCTTGGTCACGTTTGGTCGTCAAGGAGCTGGTGTCTTCATCCCAGCAGCAATCATATAGGAGTCCCTTTGGACCCATCCATGGATCCCTTTCGATCTTCACTGCTGTTCGATGGGATCGAGTGTTAGGGGGAAGGGTGGTCTTCATCAAACGATCTGCCGTGAGGCTACTATACAGGAGACAGAAGGCAAGTGAGCAAGAGCGTGGAACTGTGGTGCTTCAAGAGCTGAGCGGGATTGTATAGTGCTGACAGATCATGCTGATGAGCTGTCTCTGCTCGATCTCGATCTCCAATCCCTTCCCTTCCCCTAACCCCCCCTTTCCCCATCATGCCACCAACCCTTTCAGCTACCTTTGAGAGAGAGCAAACGCCGGACAATACAGAGATCTGCTGGCGTCCCTGATACTTTTGGTATCATTGATCTGATGGTCGCTGAGTACAGGTTGGAGAGCTGAGATGGGACAGAGCGGGGTCAAGGCCATGTGCGTCAGTGTGCTGAGATGCACACACACAGAGAGAGAGAGAGAGAGGAGGGAGGTCAATGCGTCATTGAGCAGGTGTGACAGTGACATTAATATCGTGTCTCTTCATCCTTCATTCTTCTTCTTCTCTTCTCTCTTCTACACACTCTCTCACTCTCTCACTGATACTCTACTCACTCAATCTCGCATCCAACCCCCCTCTTACCTCTCTTGACCCATCTCAAGCGAATATGAGCAACTCATCCTGGTCTGCCCTAGACCCATCCTCTCATAATCATCACCATCCACCTGCTTCAGCTGGTAGATCATATCCTTTTCATCGTCCCCCTTCTCATCCTGTCCAACGCCAGCCGATGCCTCCGCCTACCAAGCATCGAGAAGAGAACCCCTGGGGCAGAGATGCCAAGGGTCAAGTCATCGGTAGTTCAGGTGACGAGGAGCAGGTGAGTCGCTTCGTAGCGCCTCAGCCTAATCTCACTTATCTCTCGTCAGCAGGTAGTCCCACCTCATCACTCACTCACTTCGATCCCAGTGACGCGAGACCATCCCATCTCGCAAGAGGCCTCCGCCTCAGAGAGCACTCACTCCCCTCGCCTCCCTCCTCCTCATTCGAATCAGCTGTCCCCTTCTTCTGGGATCTTCACACCTCGCCCTCACTCCCGAGTCACACACCGTCAGAACCGAGGAGCGTCTTTCAACCCTCATAGCATTCATACCATCCACTCGCACATTGCGCTAGGTCAAGCTCATCCTCAAGTGCATGCATCTTTGCAATCTACATCCACTTATTCTCAAAACCATCCCATGCGCGATGCCACACATCCCATCGGTCCTCCCGTTCGACCTCGCAATGCAAGCCATCAGAACATGATCGTGCCCAAAAAAGCCCGGCAATGGGGTATCAAGACCAGTCAACGATCCTCCGCGCCTTCTTCCGAAATGGATCGGTCTACATCCAAAACGTGCGATTCAGCAAACTGGGATCCAAAAGCTCATGTCGTGGAATGGGCTCAAAGTGTCGACCCATCATCGCCTCATGGCATCGCTGGAGCCGCCGAAACGCCACCTTCCATCTCACCAAAGGTATCAGACACGTCTCCAACGGCTTCGCTCGAAGATGATCGGCCCAGTAGTGGCAGATCTATCATCCCTCCTCAGACCGTCTACCTCTCCGATGAGGGCAGCACCACGACCGCGCCCTCGACCAATCTGCCGACACCTCAAGCGGGCACAGTCATGTCATCCTTGCCACAAGTCGCTCCTGCGCCCATGCCTGACCTCCCCACTGAAGAACGATCCAGTGGTACACCTCCCGAAGTCGTGACGGTCAGCATTAACGGTGATACCGGCTCTGTACCTTACGAATCACCTGCCGAGGGTGGCATCCAACCAGACAGAAGCTCTCGACGAGGACCCAAGCGAAGTGCCCCTCGATACCCAGTCTGGAAAGGAGCTCCCAGCGCAATGTACAGTCCCATATGGGCAGATAGACGATTGTTGATTGAGTGAGCTACCGTGGTTCTCGGGTTTCAGCTCACACCGTATCAGGTTGCCCTTTGCTGTCAAAGCCGACGTGTTGATGCAGGCTATCAGAGAGAATTTCTCGAGATACGGCACGGTGAAACACGCTTTCCATTACGAAAAGCAAGGCGATACGTGTGAAAAGGGCTTTGTGGTCTTCGAGGTGAGCAAAGTCGTCAACATGTCCAGAAACTTTGCTGACCTTGCCCGCAGGCAGCGGAGAGTGTCCAGAGATGTCTTGCAGATCCGGGTTCGCGCGAGCTCATTATCAACTCTCCCTATACTCGCTCGATCGAGACTTTTCCGGTCATACTCGCCTTCCTCCCTCCCGAGGCCATGACCAAGACAGTCTTTGTCCGGTTCGAAGGAGCGCGACACAATGACACCCCTTCCGCCGCCGGCAATAGAACACGATTGCCTGAAAAGGTCACCATAGTGGCCGTACCTTATGTGCCTCGCTTCACGGGTCGCGTGCGATGGCATGCTCTAGTCATGAAGCAAGGGCAGACTGTCAGGGATCTGTGCGAAGAGCTGAAGATTGTCAGAAGGGATGTCAAGTCGGTAGACACTGTCTATCTCGGCAAGAATGTGGCGGAAAAAGACGTACGTGCTTGCCCTCTTAGGTCGAAGCTGATGTAGTGTCAGATCATCCCCCGACTCTGCGATTACTTTGGGGAAGTCTGTTATGATCCAATCCCTCCAACCAACAAGGTTCAAGGGTGGCTCGTCACCATGGGAGGGCCAAATGATGCCAAGCGGCTCATGGATGTGAGTGATCGTGACTTCGCTGGAACTCAACCCCTCAATAGGAACTCGGAAAGATTCCGGGAATTCTTGCGCGATGGGCTCAACCTGGGGAAGTGGGACCCTACAAGCCATCAGAGATGCCTGAATATGCACCTCATTCGTCACCTTTCGGTCAACTAGAGCGATATATCGGCGAACCTATTCAACGAAATCCGTACCGAGGTCTGCCAGGACCACCCTTGGAAATCATGCCTCAGACGGTTCAGCAGTACCCTGCACCTCAAATCGGAGGATCGATCGCCTCTCCTTCGGCCATCTCTCATCATTCACTTCCCCCTCCGATGAACCCGTATCCTCCCCCACCCGTCGACACTCCCGCGTGTGCCACAGTCATGGCCACTGCTTCGATGCACGGTAGTCCAGAGGTATATCACCCATATCTGACGTCTGCAATGGTTCCGACATACCGCGGGCGGCTGCTCGACATTGTCGAGGTCGATGGCATTGTACGATACATTGATCCGGCGGCTGTCTTTGTCGGGCGACTACCGAAGACCCAGGAGACCGATCTCACGCTACACAAAAGATTCAGCAAATACGGACCGATTGTGGGTCTTCGACAGTCAACGTCTCAGGCTAATGCGATACAGGTGGCCATCGAGTACAATCCTTTGCAGAGGGAGTGGTCGCAGTCTACTTATGCGTCTGCGAGAGTACTATTCCAGACTCCGGATGCAGCGAGGCGGGCGATTGTTCATGAGGTGGGTCTTGTGAGGTTTTCACACATTGTAAATTGATCCCTTCCTCAGTCTGGTGCCGTCTCATTCGGATCCTCCATCAAAGTCGAAGAGCGAAGGGTCTTGCCAGTCGACGTCGAGGTGAGCTGTTCGACTCGGACAGAATGAGCTCACACCAACTAGATTCGAGAAATGTTCCTAGACCATCTCAACCGGCCAGTGGATCCTTCCATGGCGTCCCAATACTCGCCTCCGTCAGTGCATAAGCAGAGCCACAGCGTTGCACCTGTAGCTCCTCCGCCCCAGAGGCCGTGGGCCGGGCCTGCCGATACCAGGGTAATGTCTCAAGGCGAATACCTCCATCTCCGCGGCGAGCCTAAGGTTATGTTCGGCTATGGGCCGGCTCCACAGTTTTGGTATAATCAAGCTGCGATCGCCCAACAGCCAATGGCAATTGGAGCGCGCCGATCTCATTCAGCTCACACATCGATACTCCCCCCGACTCCACCCCAGATGCCGAGCGGACAATTGCACGCTGCTCCATCCTTGCCCTTCGCTTCCATTCCACCAAGTCAGATGATCCCTGTGAGTCCGGCTCCTTACAGTTGACAAAATTGCTGATTGCGTTGCTCAGATGATCCAATGTATGGGTCAGAACTACTATCCCTACCCAGTCCCCAATGGAGTCTACACCCCAGACATGTTCCACCCAGCAGGAGCACCCATCCCTCCGCCTATGCCCGTGCCAATTCAGTCATCGCCTCAAAGTCCTGTGGATCACACTTCGCCAATGGAACCCGACAACATCGAACAGCCGCTGAAATCCTCTCCCGATGCGGGACACAGCTCGCCGATCCGTATTAAAGAGTTTGTTATGAAGAACGGCAATTATACTCCAGTTTACGATCCCGAGGACCTCGAGCGGTATTACAAGGACCGAGGTATGACACTTCCCCAAGCGGCGCATCAACAACGTCAGTCAACCGAGGGAGACCAAGGGCGAGGTCAGTCGGAGGAGAGTGGCACAGAAAATGCAGCGAAGGAGACCCGAGTGGAAGGCAGTGCCGAGGACAAAGTAAAGACTACTCACGCTGACTCCTCTCGGACCGGACTTGAGGTTTCTGAAGACATCGTGGACACTCTACCCAACCCCTACGTCCAATTGGTCTCGACGACAGTGCGCCACGCTCATCCCCGAAAAAGGATCCCGCGTATGCTCGATCTACCCTCTCGACCGATGGGCAAGAGCGACAATGTGTCGCAGAGCTCTAGGGATATTTGAGTCTGGGGATGCTTTGCTAGGAAGTATCTGTACGGCAAGATGATTCTCGTTTTCGACAGAGATACCCCTGGCTTCACTCGAACGATTTCGTCTGATATCCGTTTCCACCTGTGTGTATGATATTTTCTTCTACGTTGTACTATGACTTTCTTTTGGATCCCAGCGTGTTGTATGATATTCTCACTCCCCCACCCGTTGTAGAGTATATCACCAGTCCTGCGTCGAGTAGAAGGCTCCCCGTACCTAATGCAACATATCATGGGGACTCAGGATTGACCATGGCCAAGCCGCCACTTGAGTCCGGCGAGTCCGGAAATTCCGGAAAATGACGTCCATCATAACCGGTTGTGGGTGCAGGTAATAACCTTGACGCCACCTGAGATCGCAATGTCCTCACTCGCTCAAACGCTCGTTCGCTCGCAGAGACTCCTACTGATCTCATCACTATCTCTACATCACCATGTGTAAACGTGTGGAGTGTCCAAATGACGGGAAACCAACTTGGTGGGGATGCGGTGAGTCCAGATGTGTTGCGAGATGGCGGAAGGAGAGCTGAAAGCTGGATCTTCCCGGTCAGGTAATCATATCGAGATGGTGAGTACACGGTTGAGGCTCTTTTGTCTTTGGATGAGCCTCGAGCCTTCAACTGTGTCCCTCGAGCTATCTTTGAGCTCGAGTCGGGTCGCTCGCACCGCTCCGCTCCGTTCCCTCGCTAACGCTCGCTCGACTTAGGCTCTCGCGGACGTGCCCGAATCTGCACGATGCACATGCGTTCACGAGCCTGTACCTGGTAAACCGGGAATGTATCAAGTTCACGTAGATGGTGAAGATGCAGGGACCTCGGAAGGAGGACAAGGACGAGAAGAGCGATCGGAGAAAGAAGTCGGAGATGGAAATACCGCCAGGACGGAGATCCAATACGATGTGTAACGGGGAATAATTCACCCGTCACGGGGGTGTAGCGGAATCCCAGAAGAATGCTCAAGTCACAGAAGTCTAGGAGGATCAGTCTTTTTGGTGACCGGTTCGCGGAATCCAAGTCGTTAGGATAGTCTTAGTCGCAGTCCTGAATAAGTCGGTTGGGAAAGTACAGGAAATTGTGCTCATGGAAAGCTAATCAATTACAACATGCCAAAGACATGGGCCCGCAACATTAAGCGTCCATGACCACGTCAGAGCCTCTGGGCTCTTGCCCTTCCTCAACGCCAAAGCCCATCTTGTCCCACTTGCCTTCCCTCGTCACCAGGACCGTATCTGGATCATCTTTGAACAATCTGATATGGCGTAAGAGGTCCAAATGGGATTGCTGGAGGGACGTAGATGAATCCTGAAGGCCAAATAGGATCTTGACAGTCGGGCCATGAGTCAAATCTGGGACCTCTGCAACAGAGCGGAATTCTCAGCAGCTGCTCCAATGATCTTCAAGACGTTGCGCTTTTCAACCAACCTATCCCAGTCTCCCATTCTGCCTGTTCTCTCTTCTTGATTTCTTCAAGATCGATCAGTTCCTTATCCTTCGGCCGTCCTGATCTCCTTTGACCTTCGAGCTCAGAGATACGAGCATCGTGTCGTGCCAGATAGACATCCGTTATGAGTTCTCGGAGCGCAGGGAGGGACAAAGGGTGAGAAGAAGGTAAAGAATGGAGAAAGAAGAGTGGTCTTTCGACTATGGTGGTTCATGGGATCAGATCAGATCGCGACTCTTTTATCCCTCCAACCACACAGCTCACGCTTTTGAGATGATATACTCTGACGGATCTTGGCTCGATGGTCCAACTTGGCGGCTCGTAAGTGGACTCGCTGCAATTGACCAGCTACGAGCAGCGCATCGTTAGGCGGGTCACTAAATTCGACCGCTCACTCACCCTTCCTAGAGCTAGGATGAAGGTTATCTTTCCCCTTGATGGTCTTCTTCGTCAGTCTCCTGTTACCTGGCATGGTGAGTCTAGATCCTGTGGTCGTGCGCTCTCGATGTATACTGAGTTGTGTTCATTTAGACTTGTATGCTTTCCCAAAAATCTTTGTACGAACGGTTTGAAATTTTGATTCCGTCGGAATTACGCGTCACGCCCTGACGAGCAGAATGTTGTACGATGGACCATAACTGGGACAGCTTCGACGTACGGTGCAGTGAGCAGCGTGCTACGACGGGCAGCAGAGTCTCTTTCGACGAGAAGATACGGTTTCGGAGGAAAAGATGCTTGATACCATCTGATACAAAAGCTTGGATCCAGTCTGTGCCCTCCAGCTTGAGCGCCGAGCGGGCATTTCGAGTGGGACATCGTTAGCTTTCATCATAAGGGGGAGGCTCAAGTTGTGTGTCCTCTTCTCGTCATGGCTCAGCCCGGATCGTCCTCCCGACCTGGACTATCATCGACATGTGATCCTACGTCCCTGGCCAAGATTCAGATTCTCTTGGTGCCTATTCAGCTGCCTGGATCCCCCCTATCGTCTCAACAGTTCGACTATTGGTCACATTTATTCAGATCAAGGACTTCACTCCGAAGCGATGATCTCTCCACCTCTCATGCGGCGAGTCTCAATGGCTCAGGACCAAGTGGACCATCTCATGGTGCTGCTAGATCAAGCACGGGGGTATCAGGGCATTCGACAAGCCGGAGCAGGTTCTCACCCAATTCCAATACTGGATCCATCTCCAAGGGACCAGGAGCGGGCTTGGTCAATCATGTTCATTTATCCTACGCTGCCCACCCACCCGCTAGGCATTTATCCAGCTTGAGCCTTCTTCGAATCTCCATGTTCCCATTGATCGTCATTGGCGTAGCGCTAAAGCCAACAAGTGGGGATCTAGGAGAATCCATCGAGGGCTACTCCGTCGATGGAGGTGATACGTCTGGAGGATCAGCTCAGGCAAATGGACAGAGTACAGATGGACATGCTGGTAATACTGGCTCTATGCGCGTTTTCGATGAAGCTGTCCACGCCTTGTTTCCTCCCTCTTCGCCATTCCCACTGGTCAAGCGCCTCGTCCTCGTCCCTCCCAAACATCCGTCACACCTCTCTCGAGGATCAGAGAGCAAACCTGTGCGCCGCCCTGCCGAGTCAAACGATGCGCTCGACCGTAAAGGAAAATTTGTCGAACGTGATGTTCTTGAGGCGCCATGGGACAATGAAGAGACGTGGATCATCAAGTTTCTAGGTGGAGTCGTCGGTGATGTCCTCGGAGAATTGGGAGATCTAGTCACAGCCATGGAAACACCTCAAGGTCTCAAGACGTTATCAGCTACTCTCTTGCCATCCTTGACGTCTAATCCGAGCTCGATCTCGCACCAAACGCTTGAATCACTCGCAGAGGAACCTTCATTCCCCAATGGCGATCGACCGAGACGCCCGAGCACTACAACACCATATCCTGTATCTCACTCCCCGATCGAAGGACTAGGCATCGGTATATCGCTCAAGAGATCCTTGACTCCCGGTGGAAGGCCAACGTCCATCGCTGCTCCCTCTCTACCTCCATTACAGACCAATGCGATCGCTTCATCTTCTCGCGATTCGACCCCTACGACCACCACTTCATCATCATCTAATCCTTTCCGTCGAACGTCAGGCATCCCATCTGCATTCACACGATCTTCATCTGCAGCGTCCCTTGCCCCGCCTGCCAACCCTAACCCTTTCCCTGCCTCTACGTCCAAGTATACCACCGCGTCTCTCGTCGGCCTCGCCGGAGGTCGATTGTTGAAATTGCTCGGAGACATGTATCTCCTAGCGGGTATGTACACAGACGCCGTCAAGTGCTTTGATGATGGTGCCGAGAGGTGCAGAAGCGTCGGGGACGTCCTCTGGGAGGCCCTTGCCAGGGAAGGGCGGGCAGTAGCTGGAATGGGAGAGGCGTGGGAAGGAAGGGATGGCTCGGTGGGTCAACACGTTGCACGAAGAGGGTTACACTAACGCCTGCATTTCTAGGAGATGACTCAACCATTTCCCAACTCGCCCATCCCCATTGAAATCTTGACTCATCTCTTATCGTCCCTCGCTTGTTTGTCCCGTGCGCCACTTCCTTACCCTTCCACCATCCTCTCACCAAGCCCTCAAGCCATCTCGGGGAGTCTGTCGTTCGCCACCCCGTCTTCACCTAATCCTTCCATCGTCGGTACTGGAGAGGGTCTCCTAGCGTACCTCCACACAAGTTTATCGCTTCGAATCAGTCATTTTCTCCTGATCATTTGGGCTTCTTCAGGTTGGGGATCCATCGCTTTATCCTCATTATTCTCACATACTATCCCACGATCATTTCCTCCAAGCTTGTCTCCCGAGGAATCTCGTGATGCCTCTGCTCGTCAACGTCGACACCGATTCCTGTTATCACTCCACCAGAAGTCTCAATTGGATCGACAGGCCATGTTCGCACATGCCGAAGGGGCTCTTCAACCCCATCATCGCGCTCTCACCAAGGCCGAACAGGTCGCCCTCCATACTGAGGTTGTCTGGCTCGCCAGATGGCTCGATCTACCGCGCAAAGAGGCATTTTTCAGTCGAGAATTGGTCAAGCGGATCGGAGAACTGATCGTAGAGAGTCGTGAGGAATCTCGAAGGCGAGGACAAGCGGGATTCTCTCGGACCAAGAGTGCAATACCTCTCAATGATACGAACGGCTCTACCCCAGCCTCGCAGTCTGTCGCGCCACGCCAGCGAGAATCCACAGAGGGAAATCAAAGTGTCATTATGCTCTTCGAACGAGCAATGAACAGCATGGGCCTTGATGTCCTCTCACTCTCCACGTCGGACGGAAAACGGACGACGCTACGACAGACAGGTACGGAGCAAGTTAAACCGCCACGATTTGGATGGCCGGAACTCCAAGTGGAAATGATCAAAGAAGGCATATCCGTTGCCGATAGTTTACCGGATCAAGTTGGAGTCATCAGACTCTGTATGACGGCCCTCAGAGAGCTGCACATGTATCTCAACCCTGGAAGTCAGGGAGTCTTGGCAAAGATGCTTCCTAACGCCTTGGCGGTAGTGAGGCGTAGAGGCATGCCATTGGAGAACCTTCGCTGGTGGTTACCTGGTCTGACGGTTCTCAGCATCGAGCTGACAAAGTGAGTCCTCCCTTCCGAAAGAGCAGATGGAATGCTCATACTTGGAAAAACAGTCTGCCTCCAAATCGTCTGCCATTGGAACATTCTCGAGAAGAGATTGCTACGGATAAGGGAAGAGATCCGTTCCTGTATAATCCCAGACTTCGAGCGGCTGAAGCAGGAAAGGTGAGGCGAGGATTGTTCTGTCGCATTCTGACCATGCCAGACCGTCCTCATCGCGAAGGAACAGACTGATGTGTATGTCACTTTGCGGAATCCATTTGCCTTCAACCTCGAGATTCAAGATATGTCCTTGATGTGAGTGTCAAGATGATCTCTGTGAGTCGTGAGGGAGCGCTGATGCGCCATATTAGCACCGCCGGTATAGAATTTGTGGTCACGCCTCTTTCAGTCAGCCTCGCCCCTCAGTCTATCCAATCGGTCCGAATCGTAGGCATCGCCTCGACGGCTGGTTCCCTCCAGATCAAAGGTGTCAGATTGAGACTCGGCGATGGGTCCGCTTGTGATATCCTTCTACCCGTTGTCGATGACGCAGAGCGGAAGAGAATTGTGAAGCACAAGAGTCGAGCGATGATGGACTTCGCCAAGACGAAGGTGCAAGGTCTAGATGCTAGATACACAGGTACTACGGAGCCCGAGCCCCCGATAACAGATCCTAGCTCCGAGAGATGGCTGGAATGCAGAGTCGTGGATGAGCAACCGCTTGTCTGGATCAAGAAGAGCAGCTTGACACACGGCACAATCATGCTGTACGATGGAGAAGCGTGAGTCGGTTCTGGCATTGTGGGTTTTAATCCGATTTCAGATCTTTCATCCGGCTCACGCTTGAGAACACATCTACTATTCCCGTGGATTTTGTCAAACTCTCGTTTGACGATTCTAGCTCCAGAGCCGCTCGAGCCTTGATATCAGAGGGTGAATTAACACCTCAACATGCGCACGAGCTCGAGTGGGATATACTCCATCGGCCAGTCTTGACGTGGGATGACGATGGCGAGTCGAACATCCCGCCAGGTGGAAGGACAACGATATCGGTCAAATGTCTTGGCAAGGTTGGATGGTGAGTGAGATTGCGTCCGATGGACTCGGCTCACTGTGCTCATAGTACCGACGGGACTATCCGGATTGACTATGGATATCTCAAGCGCTCTGGAGATACATCTTCGGTGCCTAACTCGTTCCAAACGCGACAAATGACCTTCCCAGTCATCTTTACTGTCTATCATACACTTGAACCGCACTCGTTGGACATTGTCCGGTTCGTGCCGCCCAATTCACCGGTAGAGTCCAAAGATACCGAGGTCGTCGGCCTATTTGCAGAGCAGAATGATTACCTCTCACCGCTCCCTACGCCTCGGACTCCGGGGACACCCAGGATCAGAGAGATGGAGAAGGAATCCCTGAAGGAGGTGATGAAGTCTGAAATGGACGCTTCACATTGCCTCTTTGGACTGTATGTCAGTAATGTGTATGGCGTGCCGTTCGAAGTTTCTCTATCGCGAAAAGGGTCAGGCGCTCAGGGTGAGTCCCTATCCCTTTTCAACGCATTTGCAAGAGTGCTCACCCCCCGACAGAAGCACCTCTGACTACGACTCGGCTGGTACCGCCAGGAGCGACTGAGCGGTGAGTCGGACAGAGTTTTGAAATGTGACTGCAGATACTGAGCCTCCTCTCCAGATTGCTTATTCCTCTCCCTCGGCTGTCTCTGCCCTCATCAACGACATCACAACCCATCCCATCACTTTCGGACAGACAATACGTCGTAGATAAATCGACGAGGACGCCCGCGCAGATCCAAGAGGAACGACAATTATTCTGGTACCGAGAAGAACTGCTCAAGACAGTGTCCGCGACCTGGATAGAGGTAAGCTCTTGGACTCAAAGATCAGAACACCATGGGGTCGTTCATTGACCGAGGTCCTTAGCCCGGATCCAAGAGACAAGGCTTCATGTCCCTCAGGGATCAAGTCTTCACCGCTTCATTGCTTGAAGTTTATCGATCTGATGATCTCGAGATTGAGATTGAAATCTCATCTCGGGATGCCGAAAGGTTGATCACTGGAGAGTTCATCGATATAACAGTCAGACTGACGAATCGGCTCGGTGAGCTCCCCACCTCCACGCCTTCCTTAGCAAGAGGTAAACAGAATGGCTGACGCGATAACGTCTTCCCTTCCAGAAATCCCTTACCAGCCTTTTGTCCGCCTAGAGGCTCTTCCGACTTTGAACTCTGAACCTTCCTGGGCTCAATCAACTCCTGCTCGTCGACCTCCATCTGGCGCTCCACCCGTTCATAATCTGAAGAACGTCATTTTGGACGGGTGTCTGGGTCAGGTTCTACCTCTCATACAACCCGGTGAGAGCTCGACACACTCGCTCAGTGCAATCTTCCTCGCTGCGGGTTCTTACTCCTTCCGAGCCGCTGTGGATGAGGTGGTATTCCAAGCCAGAGACAGTGGCGATGAAGTCAAACCCCCTCCAAGAGTCAGGTTCTCTCCCCTCGTCACGGTCAATGTGATGACAGAGTAGTCGACGAGTCCAGCCTTGTCGCATTGCATCTCTTCGTCTCATCAGCCCTCAATGAAGCATATCTCATTATCATGCATTGACTAGTCGTAAAATACTACAAATGTGCAGACTTCGTCTGAAATGCAAGCACATATCCCCAAAAATAATCCTTACAGACCTCTCTAATGCGCAGCAACGTGAACTCGTTTGTACTTTTGCAGACACTGCTTGAGGTGTCCGAACCGTTTGTCGAGATTGGTTGTAGAGTCGGCCACTAGACAAGTGAGCACGACGCTAGCAGAGCTGACGACAACTCACGCCATGTCCCGTTGTTCACAATCAATATTTTCATCTTGCGCTGATATTTCAGTCCGGTTAACAGCTTGGGCGTAATGAGGAAATATTGCCCAGTATCCGAATTGCAAGTGACTTCGACCAATTGATTGTGCACATTGCGTTCGGCTTTCTGGTCCATCCCCTAGATACAGCATCAGTATCTCGTGCGCGTATGACACCGCGGTGTATTCACCTGGTTGATCTCGTCCACCAGAGAGAACGGCGTTCGAGCCATCTCAGACAGGCTCATCAGATACGTCACAGTGGCAAGAGATCGTTCCTACAGTCAAATCAGCGAAATGTTGAAGCGGCACACGTGGATCACCTACTCCGCCGGATTGAAGAGTTCCCGTCAATTGCTGCAGATTATCACCGTCTCGATAAGACACCATGATGTGAATCCCCCAAGCACTGAAATCTCCTTCGACACGATTGAGTTTGACTTCTCCACTGCACCCAACACCTGATTACTCCATTAGACGCAGTCTCACACGGCAGCTCACGTTCAAAGGCAGCAGAGAACTTCCGACTGACCACATCGACAAGCGTGTCGAGAGCGGGATCAAAGTCGGTCTGAAAGCGGTCAATCAATGGTCTCACTCGGCTGGCTCACCAGGATTCTATTGATCTGTCGCTTGAGTATTCTCGACTCTTGTTCCTGCCTCTCTACGGTATCTTTGATGTTGGCCAGCTGAAGCACCTCAGCTCAACTCTTGTTAGATGCTCGGCAGCTCACCTCGTTTGACAGCCGCTCATAACGCTCGATCAGTGTGGGGTCGACAGTCAAGGTCAACTCGAGTCGATTCTCAATCTCGGCAATCTCGTCTTGGATGGCTGACACGGCGGGAATGTCTGCCGGGACCTGGTAGGCGCTCAGTTCGGCTTCCATCCAGGGGAAATCAGGACTCACCGCGATGTCCGCTCTGACTTTAGTGTAGACGTCTCGGGGTGCCGCTCCGAGCATCTGGTTGAATCGGGATAGGAGAGCGCTCGCCGTCGCTCGATGCGTGTCCTTTTTCTTCGTTACTGGAGCGAGTCAGCCCAGGCATATACCGGGACCCTCACAATCGTCCAGTGTAGCGTTCAGCTCTGCGACTTGCTCGTTACCTTCGGTGACTTGTTTTTCAATATCATTGCAGTTGAGCTCGTATTGAGCTAGTGACCACAACGCCTTGCCCCGCTGCAGACACGCCTGCAGCGCCTCTTCATGTGCATCCTGAAACACGGTTCAGTACAGGCTCAAACAGTGTCAGAAAGGCTCACAGTCGCCGTGGCCACCGTCCGCCACACTTTCTTCACGCCCTGAAGTTTCGCGGTCTTGACCTTGCGTCGTTGTTCCTCCGCTGAGGGCTCGGCCTCGAGATCACGCAGTTCCCGCTCGCAAAGTTCTGAAAATGTTTTAGAGAGAATGCTCTTCTTCAGCCCTGTCCGCGCTCACTTTTGTCGGCTTCCGCCTTTTGATAGCTGGAACTTACATCCCTTAGGCTCTTGATTTCCCCTTCTAGTCGTAGCTGTGGTCTTGTCAGATACACTGAGGCCATTTAGAATGTCATCCACTTGCCTGGTCAGCCGTCAAACTATCGCTCTTCACCCTCGCCTTTCCGATCTCCTGTTTGAGCTGATGCAGGGGCCCCTCTCGATCTTGCCTCTCTTGCTTCTTCTGCGCAAGCTCACGTTGATTCTTCTTCAATGCTTCAGCATCAACGGCGTGACTGAAGGCCTTCGGCGCGATGGGCGGTGTCGTGGTGATTTGGAAGTCTTTACGACCGTACAGTGATTGCAATGCACGATTGACGTCGGTCGATGTGACCCACGTGCGGATGCCTGCCGCTGCGACCGCATTGGCGTTGATGCGACCGCCAGGGAGTCGGGTAATGGCCTAAGGGTGTTCAGTTGCGCTTCGCAGCAGCGGGCTCACTGCTTGATGCATGCGCGACGCCAAGACGAGATAGGCTCGCACGGCCGGAGCACATTCGACATAGTCCAAAGCCCACCCTGTGAACCCAAGCTCTTGAAGCTGGATACCAAGTTAGTAAGTCGCGTGCAGGTGGCGTCGAACCTGCCTTTTGGACGTCACAAGGTCGTGTTGGATTCACCAACTCATCGTTGACTTCCACGTACTGCAAAGTCAACCTGACTTTGCCAGCAGGGATCAGGGTCCCGTTGGAGGATCGCCGAGCGGGATAATCGGTATTATTCAATTCGAGTAGGGTGTTGTAGTCATTCCTAGATTCGCAGATAAAACACTGGATCGCTCAGCATGCTGGTCAGCACGTCATTCCTTACCCTTCGCTGAGCTACAGTCGTACAAGCCTCGACCTGCCACGCGACAGCCTTGTCAGTCACGTTGACTGAAATCATTGGCGGTTTGTGAACCGTGGCCTCTAGCTTCATTGCGTTTTTCTCGATCCAGTCTAAAGCGTAATTGATCGATCCGTCAAAGTCTCGGGCGATGGTCTCCCTCTGTCGCTCGATACTGCCAAGCTCTTTCTGCCTGCAGTGTCAGTGTTCAAATCCACTGAATCCTCACCTGGCATCGAGCTGGTCAATCTCGTTGCTCAGGGTCTTGATCTCCCTCTGGAAGGCTTCTTGTCGATCCTCAACAGCATGCAGTTCCTCGCGTGCTTCTTGAAATTTCGCAGCGATTTTACGCTACAACAATGAGTCCCTTGGTCGGTCGTCCAATTGACCCACCTTCTCGGCTATAAGCTGGGTGATTTTCTCGGCGCTGTCCACTCTGGGTTCATCCAGCTTGTCCTGAGCTTTGCGAATCTTCCTCCGCAATTCCTCTTTTCTCCTCGCGACTTCCTTGAGCTTCTCGTTCAAGGCCTTGAGATCGGTCTCATAATTTGAAGGCGATTTCTGGAGAGTATCAGCGTACAAAGCAACCTGGATTTGGCCACTTACGTGGTTGTCTACAGCTTGTTTCTGCGCTGCACATTTTCTGGAATAGTCTTTGAGTTCATCGTTGGTCCTGACCTCTGCAGCATGAGCTTTCTCCTTGAGATTAGCCTGTTTCCTGATTTGTATGAGCGTATGCCTCTACCGACTGACTGCTCACTCTTGTAATTCCAAGAGCGGCACGCGACGTCTGTTGAGTTCAGTCTGCTGCTTCAAAACAGACTTTCTCTCCTTGGCGACCTCCTCAAATCTGTCTGCCGCTGACTTGTGCTCCGATGCAACCTCGAGTAATCTGAGGACCTCGAGCTGTATCATGCTCAACGGAGTTTGCGCTTCACACGATATAACGACCCACTCGTTGTTGTTGATCTGCCCTTTCTCTCAGATTTCTCACATCTGGCTCCATCCGATCCACCTGCTTTTGCAATTCGTCTCTCTTTGCCACGTCTCTGTCCTGGACCTTGAGACGTCAGCCGAGAACAGTGACACGACCCACATCTTCGATGCTCTGTAGCGTGGCGCCCTTGTCTTTGAGCGTCTCATGCCACTTTGTCAGTCGGGGATCTCCAGCGGCTCGCATGGTCTCCTTGAGGACTGTGACAGGGGCCATCTTGGCGAACTCTGCGACTTTGTCCTGGGGCAGAAAGGAGCTAGGTTCCTGGTCAGTCCAAACTCGAGATAGGTAAGAAACACTCCACCATAGATTGTTCGCTTGTACACCAAAAGACGTGACCACATCTGTGACAGCTTTGTGCGTTGAAGCGCGACCTGTTTACAGTCAGGAACGTTCTCAGGTCTAACCCACCATTCATCAACCAGTCCGACTTGTTGTCCTCGCGGTTAAATTTCCGTCTGATCTGGACATTTGGCTCTCCTGTCCGTCCCTTGAGTTCGATCTCCGTCTCCGCCTCCTCGGCTCCCTGCTTGACGAAAGCTTTGAGATCACTCGCTCGACCGATGATCTGGAGGGGCATGAGCATTGTCCTGGAAAGAAAAATGTTTACTCCACTCACCCCGGGCGGGAACCCCAGTCCGACAGCTATACAGGCCGCTATGGAGCTCTTTCCACTCCCATTGGGCCCCAGGATCATATTGAGATGGGGACCAGGTTTGAACTCGACAAAATCGTAGGTCATGAAATTGCGCATCATGATCCGAGTGATAGAGCCAGCGACAAAGCTGAAGCAGTGAGCCTTGACTCGAGACCATGTGCTCACCCCTGAGCATCTCTGTCATATTCAGGTCGAAATCCAAGGTGTGGGCCGTCGTCTTCGCTTTCGGCATCCTCATCCATCACTTCATCCTCCGGATTATCATCTTCACCATTCTCGTCTGGCGACAGCCGCCGGCTGCCGTTCTGTGCTCTATTATGACCATTGATGACTGGCTTGGATCTCCTTTCGCTTGAGTCAGAGGAATCACTCTCTCTTCGCTGGTGTTCCGTTGATGGTCGAGCTCGTTTGACATGGCCGTTGACCTTTGGCGAGATTCCTTCATCCTCAGACTCGCTAAGGGCCAATTTCGCAGAACGCTTGACCGTGGGTCGGCGCACCGCCTGGCTAGGGCCCTCCTCTAAATCTGAGCTCATCTCTCTACTTGAGGCTTGCTCGGGTCTGCAGCCAGGAGTCCTGCAGGCATCAGCCGTGAGATATCTAATGTTGAACATCTGTTCACCGGTCGCGTCCTGGTTTGCCCCCGCGTTTCAACTTTGATTCCGTCGGCGCATCGATCAGCTGAAATGCCCATGGACAGGCAGACAACTGTGATACAAGAGATCGTCTTCTGTTGGCTCGATCTCTGTGAAGAGCGGCATCCAATCATATAGGCAGTCAGAGTTTCTTTTCCGAGGCCCCAAGATTCGATAACCATCTCGAAAGGATCCTGCAAAACCATCATTGGGTCCCTTGTTTTCTACCCTTCGACCTCCTACAGCATGTCAGATTCTGGTCCTGAAAGTCGAGACGAAGCATCCAATGCTGTTGTCGAGTCAGGGCATCATGTATCGCCCCGGCAGAACGGTATGATGACTCATCAGCCCGAGGCTGGTCCGTCTAGACCTCCACCACCACCCTTACCTCCCATGGTCGAGAAGCTCTTTGCGACTGATATTCAGTTGATCAAGCAAGAGTTGCACGATGCGCTGGGCGAAGCGGGTTTGGCTTACTGGAAGACTTTGAATGGATATCTTCTGGGACAAATTGGGAAGTCTGAGCTTGAGGTCATGGTGAGAGGATGGCTGAAAGGATCCAAAGGTGAAAGAAAAAGATGTGGAACCAAACTCGTTCGGCTGACCATGAATCTAGTGCAACTGCATAATCAGTTCATGATGGCCTTATTGTATCATGCTGGAATACCTCATGCCCCGTCTAGCGGTGGGAAGAAGAGGAAAAGAGTAGGACCTGAAGATCCAGACTACGACGTCAACGAATACATCATCGAGCCGAAAGCTAGAGTCCAACAGTGGATGCAAGGTATCGGTGGAAGAGAGCGAGCGAGGATACGAAGAGCTGTCATCGGAAGACAGGGTCAAGATGAGGATACAGCAGGAGAGGCAGACCCCTCATCGAACAAGAACTGGGGAATTCAAGCTGGTGAGAGAGATATCCTGCAGCACTAAAGAGAGACGCGCTGATCTGATCTATGTGATTCAGGCAATACTATGCCTCCTCTCGCAGTGTCAGCAAAGCAATTACCAGCATCTCATCAACTTTCACACCGCCTGTCTCAACTCGCCAAAGCTTATGACTTGAACCTTGCGCCGGATGCTCTCTCAGCCATTGGCGAATTCATGGCGGTGGAACTCGATGCCCATCTCTCGGATATTTTACATGCCTATGTTCACCTCGCAGCTAGGGATCGGATAGGTTCCGATACTCTTCACGTTCCACCTGGTCTCAATCCAGATCTCGATCTTGACGTCAAGGTCGAAGATGGTGGCATGACGAAACCAGATCTCGACAGGCTTAGAGATCTGTTCACTTTAAATCCTGGATTGCACCCGTCCACTTCGCCAGCGTTGTATAAGCTCGCCTCGTCCCTTTCACAAGCCGAAGCAGAGTACAATTCTTCACCTCTCAAACTTGAGCGGAAGCCATCACTTACACCTGAGATCGATGTCACGCCTCAAGTGAATGGTGATCGGGCCGGACCCATGATGAAGAAGCTGGTCAATGATGGACTCGTCAAAGTTGACAATGTCAAGAAGGGGGAGGATGGGGAAGTCGGAGGTAAAAAAGATAAGAAGCATAACCTACATTGGAGGTACGAGGATCCAGCGCTGATACTCAAGGATGTGTTTGGGTAATGGGCTCATGGCTCGTGAGAGGTGTCCTCCGAGGGAAGGCCTAGGCCACATAGCCTCGTCCATGAGTGCATGTATTCATCGGTCCGAGATTTCTTCGCTTGATACACGGACTAGGGTGAGAAGACCTCCATGTGCGACACTCCGCCGGTCATCAACATCATGCATATCTCCTCGCCTGATGACATGTACCTAGTCCGCCCCTATCGATGTCTCCTCCTGCTACCCTGTGCTCCACTACGCCAACCTCCCCCGCGGGGGGGAGACACAATCAGGCCGAGGACTTGGACGCATCTGTGGCCGTGTCTGCCACGTTGGTGGAAGTTGACTCTGCTCCCGCAGTTGACCCGGTTGAAGGGGCTGCGGTGCCAGCAGACGTCGAGGCCTCTGACTGGTCTCCATAGGGATTGAAGTTCCCTTTCATGTATGGTTCTCCATTCTGCCCCTCGGGGTAAGCTATGAGTAACAAGTCCGCTTGATGAGCTAGATAACCTTGCAAGGCGGCCGAGGTACACATCCCGTCCCGCTTCAGACTCACGGTTGAAGTACCCATTACCCATCTTTCCATCTTGAGTTGACATGTTGTGGTTTGAAATGTGCGGCGTGAAATTGAAGTGCAACTTAGAGATCGCTAGACTGTCCGTTGGCCAGTAGGGGACCTTCTTATATTCGTCCTGGAATCAGTCGTGAGAAATGGGGGCAGACCTTTCCTTTCGAGGCTGTGGAGCCTTTTCGAGTCGAGCTCCAACAGCTGAGGGCCCTGTACTCTGTTCAGCCGCAGGGCAATCGCTCGGGCTCCGTGGAAGAAGGGGCTGAACGTGAACACGTTTGGGACTGGGTACCCATCACTGACGCGGGAAGCGTCTTGAGAACCTTTGTATGTCCTCCCCTGCCCAGACCAGCTGCAGCGACCTTCTGCCCGAGAAGAAGGCCGGAAAACAGTCATCAACAAAGGCTCGCTCTGGTTGCACACGCCTTTGTCCCTTGTGACTTTGGGCTACTGCTGCCATATTTGCATCCTTTCATCCTGCATACGCTCAGTAGGAGCACTGATCACTAGACCCGACCTGGGACTTAGATAGAACGCATGCAAGGCGCGAGTCCTGTCATAATTAGCCTCGAGTTGCAGCCGCCTGGGATCCAAAGTGCAGACTTGTTGCTAGTTCTTCATCTCGAGTTCTCTGAGCGTTGGCAACATGACGGCGGTGCCACACTGCTGAATGGGATCGGAGCTGTCTGGCCGTCAGCCATGATATTTTCCGCGCTCGTGCGCACCTGCCCGACTGATACAAACGTAGCCGCTCCTTATATAACTGGAGATGGTGCGAGTCAACGGCTGCACTCTTGCCTTGCCTTGTCCTGAGACAGTGGCGGGAAAGGGTGTGCAAATGCACAACACAACTGCAGCATCTCATGAAGACGGTCAGCCACAACCTCAGTGGCAATCTCCTTTGCTCCAGTAACAGTGACGAGGGAGTGCTGTTCAGAAATAGTTCGACCCGGGCTTTCGAAGTGCTCACACTCCGGCAGACAGTCTTTCAGCGATTCACAAGAAACAGTTCTGTATCAAAGTGATTATATGTGAATATGTATTTAACGAATCGCCGAGACAGGTTTACTCCTCTTCAATGCAACGCACTTCCACACGTGTATCAGGCTTCCTCTTCTCTCGCACACACTTTCCACCTCCGCAGGCCCACTGCGCGCCGCATCTAGAGGGATTGACTCTTCGAAATTGTCCGATCCACCATCGTCCGTCAAAGCCTCCGCTCCTCACCTCCTCCACCAAAGCGACAACATGACATTGCTTTCAACTCCAGGCACAAAAGACGCCAGGTGTTATCTCGCCGTGTCTCGTGACTTCTCTACTCGGTCAATCCTCCGCTCAATCGGTTTCCACTTCGGAGAGCTCTGGATCCGAGCAAGATGACGACGATCAATGCGAAGGTCATGAGGATCCATGTGATCCAGGCAAAGGCTTCTGCAGCGAGGAGCTGGTGGCAGTGGTAGTGTCCGATTTCTCCGGGGACGCCACAGTAAACGCCTCCGCTGAGAGCGGCGGACCAGGCAGCGGCTCCGGCAAGCCAAAAGACCCAACTGTGTGTGTGAGAGAGAGTCGAAGGGCGAGCGAGGAGAGGTGGAAGCATCGTGGCCAGGATTTATTGGGGCGCAGGTGCGAAAGATGTGTGAGGGGGAAAAGGCATCATGGTCAGCGGCTAGCTGGCGCAAAAGTACTTTTGAGGGAGCTCACGTGATGAAGAGCCAGACACCGTGACTGGCAATCGAAGTGAAGATCTCAAAAATTCCCGTGAGGTAAAAGGCGAGGTAGAGAGCCGAGAAGACGACGGTCCACCATGAGGTGAAGACGAGGAATCGAGATCTGTCTCGGATCGAGTGGTTAGGGTAGTTGTCGGCACTGAGAACAGGCAAGTCAGTGGCGGAGCTCAGCTCAAATTGACAGAGGGGGTAGGGAGGGAAGGGATGCCACTGAGGTGCAGCAGGAGGTTGCAGATGGGCGGAGGAGGAGGAGGTAGAGCTGATGCGAAAATGAAGAACTAGAGGCTATCTGCTCACCTGTTGTATTGTCCGACTAGGAGACGGGAAAGAAAGGTCAGGTCAGCATGATTGAACCAAATCCGGCAATTTAAGCGGGGGGGGCGGAATGATGGGCTCTCTCTTCCCTCACCAATATACGCCGTGTCACATCCCTCGATCAAGGAGAAGAGGAGGATGAGTCCAAAGAGGATTGGGTGTCCCCGACGAACAGTAGTGTCCTACATGCATGACAGACAGTGTTGCAAAAAGACGCATGCCCGAGGTAGTGAGGTGGGTGCGGTCATGGGCGGAAGACGGGGTTGGTTGCCAAACGGACGAGTGTATGGAAAGAGTCATTTTCGCCGCCGCCGCACAGAGTGAGCGTAGTGCAAGGGTACCGCAGGTCCGTGTGTTCATACGCAAGGAGAAGAGTGAGTGTGCATGGGAGGGCGTGGGCATGTGTGTCAAAGTGGATTGCGAGCAGATCTCATCGTCAGCCTCAATGTTCTCGGGGACGGCAACCCCGGTGGCTGGTCTTGGGAAGGGGGCAGGATCACTCACGAATGCCATTGTATTTGGGATGTGTCAATGAGTGTTTGCTTTAGGAGGTTGGTGGATGTGGGCAGAGAGTTGTCTAGTCGGATTGAGTGTTGAGCAACACAGATGTAATATATGTATGGATCCAACAGAGAGGTCCACATAACACCACTTCCCCCGAGACTCACTCCGGGGCGTGACCCTCGATTTTTTCTCAGATAGACGTCATGATGATTTTACCATTTCCGGCGAACAGGACACAGCAAGCATCAAGTGTGGCACTTTTTTTCTCTCTCTGGCTCTCTGCTCCTCCCTCGCTCTCTCGCTCTCTGATGGAACCTTTGCCCAGTTGGGTTATAGCAGCATAGGGAGCGGGAGCCAGACAGGGGGGACTATTGGTTCGTCACCCGGCATGTGCAGATCATCATCCATCCCTAGTCTCATCAAATGCCGATATCATAATATGCTAATACAGAGTCTTTTTTTTTCCTTTGGGATGACGATCATCGTGGAAATTCTATGATAATAAAAATGGGTGGATGCTCAAGAAACCACCAATGCCGAGGCTCCTTACACACACCTCTCTTGCACCTTCCACGTATGCCGCCGACGATCATGCTGCTATGGAGCCACTGCCCGTCGTCGACGCGGTCGTCGTGGTGTGGGTGATCACCGATGCCGAGGTAGACACCTGATGCCCACTTGTTCTCCCGAATGCGTAGATCTCACCCAATCTCGCGAGATAATCTCGAACCGCTAAGCGCATTTCGGGCGCTCGATCACGTGAAAGAATGTCCACAATGAGAGGATAGAACGAAGGAACATGGGTTTTGAACTGACACAACGACGTGTGTGTGTCAGCATCACTCATTTCCTTCGGTCCACTGGGGGGGGGGGGGGGGCAGCTCACCGCTTCCGTCTCAAAGTCCACACTACCCAAGATGATATCTGTCACTACAGGCGTCCAAGCACTGACATTCCGAGGTTGAGTCTCGGGATCTAAACCAATGAAATCTTTGATAATCTCGGTACCGAGTCTGGTTCGCGGATCAAGACCGTAAGCACCTCAATGCTTTTCGTGTGGTCACCACTCACGGGACTAATCTCTCCAAGACGTCTGTTCTCGAATTTCGGTGAGCTTCCCTTGGATCCCGATACATCCTCAACAGAACATTGATGAGTGTCGCGGCCGAGCTAGATTCTTGCTTGAGCAAGTTGGGTAATTGCTTCATGAATCCTAGCACGGGTATCAATCGCCAAACACACAATTTTGCGAGACCACCTCGCTCTCACTCACCAACTTTCCATAATTTCATCCTGAGATCTCTGTCGGCGTTGAATCGCCTGGCAAATCTCCAACTGTCGTCCAAAACACCCATAAACCTCAACAAATGTTCCGCCGGGATCGTCGTATAGACATCGTCATTCTGTAACAACTCGTGTGTCGTCTCGATGAGCAAGAGCTGCAAGACGCATTTGACAATGATCTGTTTGAATAATCGTCTCTGATCGGTATATGTGAGGGAGGATGGTAGAGCGTGACGAGATGCAGCGGCGGATTCAAGCGGCGCAGGGGCGACGAATTTCTGGAATGGAGCTGAGAGGTCCACGCGTCAGCTTGTGACACTCTGCTCTCAACGTTGTGCACCAACCATCGCCCTCTTCTATCTCGCCCGCGGGTTCCACTTCCGCATGTAAAGCAGGATCAAACAGCTGACCAGCAGTCGTTGTCTTGAACAGCTCGACGAAAGCAGAGACGATGCTCTCCCATTTCTGAGGGGACAATTTCCGCACATTGGATTCGAGCAGTTGTTGAAAGCACGATGTACCGATACGCGCAAGCGTATCGTTCTCTTTTGGAAAGCGGTCAGTAGACTCCCCATTGAACAAACTTCCATTGCTCACCCTGACAGATGCAGGCAACGAGAATGTCCAATAGACCATCGAGCCACTCTTGAAGTACGCCAAAGTAGAACGTGTACAGGTCAATGAGATCTCTGAGCGCAGTCACGAGCGTCGTTGACAACCAAACCGACATATCTTCTTGAGATTTGAATCTGAATCTCGGGTCTTGATCTGCCATGGTAGGTACGCGGAGGACAGCAAAGATTGGGAAAAGAATTTGAGAAGTGACGGTATTCCAAAATGCAGGTGTGAAGCCTGAACCATGTGTTTTGAGCGTATCAAAGAGGCAGTCGAGCGCCCTGAAGTGAGACGGGTCAGTCGTCCAGACCTTTTTTTTTTCAAGCGTGCGCGACACTTACAATCTCCTGACTTCGAGATCCTCTCCGGTCATGATGATCTCATGGAAAGAGTGCAAAACAGGCAGCCAGTACTTCAACAGAGGATCTTCTCCTCCGTTCATCCTGCCCTTTCCTTTGCCCATATTGGCCGCTGCGACAGCGTCGTCCGTCTCCTCCGACGCAGAAGGTAGTAAACATTCGGGACATTCCAACATTTTGCCGACTAGTCCACGAACCATTTCAATGGCCTGTAATGAAATCTTTTGAAACTTGGACACCTTGCAGAAATCCGTGATGCAAGTCGTGAGATCGGCAAATGAGCCATACTTTACGACGAGGGAGAAATGTTGCTTGTAGACCAACGTGACGAGTTCAAACGCATGTGTGCAGACTCTTTCCGTGACGACTTTGGAAGCTGCTGAAAAGACACCAAACATGGTTCGCCAACCTGATCGAAGATTTTGAACTCGCGCTTGAAGCATCTGTTGCAAGCATTGCAAGACCATTTCTCGAGCATCCGAGTTCTTGTTGTTTGCGATGGTATATTCGAATGGTCGCAGAAAGTCCTTTTGGAATCGGAAATGGGACAGTTCTTCCTTTTCCAAAAAGTTCATGGCCAGTTGTCGGAGAGCGTCGAGGGCAAAGAAGGAAATGTTGGGATTGTTGTGACAGCATACTTGGTTGAAGTGTTCACCGAGGATCAGCCAGATATTAGACCACTCTAATCGGATTCGCCCCATATTGTAGTAGGAGATTTCGACGAGCTTTTGGAGAGAGAACATGCGTGGGTGATCGGAGGATCCAGAAGACTGAATCTCCTCCCACGAGACTTGACTCAGGGCAGAGACGAAATCGACAATGGCAGACTGGAAAATCGTCAGTGAAACATCATGAATAACGTTTCGCTCACCCCGGAGAGATTGTTGGACATTGAAAAGACCTTGTCCGCAGCGACAGTGACCTCGCGAGATCTCGATTCCTCCGCGACTTCCTCTGCCGGCGCCCTGCGCTTGGAAGATTTCTTCCCATTCGGTCTGCTTTGAGGTCAAAGATTGCACTTTGTCAACGATCGATTCCGACTCACTCTCTGCGATTCAGATCCGGAACATCCATGCCACTGCTGATCAATTGCATTCGCTCCAACTGACTGACACAAGTCAAAACTTCTTTCCAGCTCGCCTTGAGGTTGTTCCCATCGGAGACCGCAATCTCTAAGAGACTCTTGATAGCTTCCACGTTTTTGGGCTTCATCTCGGCCACGTTGTTGAGGAATGTGAACTTGGCCAACGTGGTGACAAAGGCGTTCCGCTCGAGATCCATGTCGAAGAGACAGACGATTCGGATGGCGGAGCGTAACCCTGACAGACAGAGATTGACCACGTCCATGTCGTCTGTCTCCTGCAACTGAGCCGAAATACCGGCAAGGAACGGCATCCAAGCCACCTCAAACATGAATCTCACATGTTCCAATCTTGAAGCGGAGAAGAATTGATCGGTAGGTCTAACGACACCTCGTTTCTGTTGTTTGACCATGGCTTTGAGCAAAGCTTCCGTCTTGCTGGACATGTTTTCCGACTGAGCGACATAGGCTTCGCGTTGTAGGTCTCGTCCGATAGCCGTGAAAGAACCTCCGACAACGCCCGAAGCGGCGACTGGAGCAGGTTCCGGCATCTCATCCTTCATCTTGATCTCGTTGGATTGGATCTCGTCGTAGATATCGGTGAGGAATTCCTCGGGTAAATTGTTGCCATCGTTTATACCTCGATTGTTCCGGATAAACTCCTCCTTGGTCATTCTCTTTGCCTTGTAATTCTTGTTGTGGGCATCCGTATTGAGCATGATGATACTGAAGGCGAGGATGTAAGCCGTATCGGCATTGGCAAAGACAGTGTTGGGGTTCCCGCCCATGTAACGTTCCGCGAACTTGAGCATGAATCGATCGATTTTTTGGGATTCACCGGGCAGTCGGAACGATTGAAGATACATTCGAACGGCGTCGGTGAAGTTCATGTCAGAAAAGTCAAGCATATCGACAAAGGCGTGCATTGTAGCGACGTTCTCCTCGTCACTGGAACGTAAGCACTATATCACCAAGAGCTCACTCACCCTTCGCCGAGGTATTCCCCGATCATGGCTTTGCTCAGACCTTCGTTGCCCATCAAGAATCGAGCGACATCTTGAGGGGATTTGCTAGCGATGAAACCATGTTCCACGAGGTACTCTATCCCTCGCTTGGGTTTGAAATTAAATTTCTTCATACCCTCTTGAAGCGTCGTCTTGCGCTGTTTTGCGCTCTCAAATCGCTCCACATCGTCATCTCCTATATCAGGCGTCGCCACTCCGTTCGCTGAGGTCCCACCGGCGGGACTTCGTGCATGAGGATCGGCTGGCCAAGAGGGTATAGGCGTCGGCATGTGGTCCAGATGAGAGGTCGATCCAGCTGTCGAAGAGGACGAGTGATGTCGTCCAAGTCCATCCTCACTGAGTCGGGGTAGATGCCCGGGTTGATGATCATCCGTTGCTCGAGTTGGTGACATGGTGGACCAAGCGACGAGCGATCTCAACGCGGCAACGAGACATTCGAGCGATTGTCGGCGGAGTTTGATCTCGGGTGGTAATCCAGCATAATGGGGCGCATCGACACCGTCTTTCCCGGACAAAGCGGTAGTGGATAAGGAAGGCGGAATGGCAGGTCCACCACTGGATCCGCTCGCTTGTTTCGACGTGCCAGACTGGTTCTGCTCCTCCTTGGAGGGCGGTGCAAAATGCGTCTGTCCGATTTTGGAGACGATATTCATGAGTCGCTCGTAAATGTTATCCAACGCGGCTCGATCGCAGTCGTAATTGATGTAAATCTCCACGAGAGCTTGAGGATCCTGACACAGTCGAATAAAGACGCTGACGATCAGACTCTTTTGACGAATCGTGGAGTGTTTCATCTCGAGAATGGGGATGAAGATCTCATTGAGCAGGACCTCGATTTCTTTCTGAACAGAGAGGTCAGCATTGACGTCAAAAGACCCAAACTCCCACCTTCATCTGCGCTCTCATTGATTTGAGCATGCACCAGAATATCTCCACGCTGAGTTCAAAAACCTGCGTCACGGGGGACACGGCATTCCTTGACAGACTCAGACAGAGGTACTGCTTTGTCGCTTGGAGGAATGGAGTCATCTCCAAAGACGAGTTGGAGGGAATGCAAATCATGGGATTGGTGAAGAGGTCGGCGTGGGACTTGAGAATGGTCAGAATGAGGTGAAGTGAGAGCAGCTTGGATCGCATCGCATGAGAGCGCAGATCGCGTTCGCTACATGAATGTCAATATGGGGAGTGTGGTCCTGATGACCCACCTTTCAGTGACCAACGGCTTCATGCTCAACTTGCACAACGCCCTAAAGACAAGGAAGGCGTCCTTGACGAACAACTCGTCGGTCGGGATAGGCCGTCCCATCGCATCGAGGTTACCTTCTCCTTCATCTGCTGCCGTCTCGCGAATGCCGGTAGGAAGAACATCGCTTGTCTCGAGAGCATCTCCATTCGGTACGGGTATCGAGATCGTCTGGGTGGGTATTCGAGGCGTCGAAGCGGACCCGTCGATCTCTTCTTCTTCGCCAGCGGCGATGTGTGCTGGCGCAGTGGGGATTGAGTCGTTGGGATTGGGCTGGTCAAACGAGTCTCTGGTGGTGTCATCAGTGAATTGTATCTTTGTTCTCCCAACTGGTCGACTCACAAAGTCATTCGCTGAGGAGCCGTTTCAAGACCTGGAGTCTGAGGTGCTGGGGTTCCCGATCTGCTGTCGGCCTCTCGTCTCGCCTCGTTTTCGCCCATCGCACTTCTTGATCCGTTTGTCCCCGGCTGAGCCTTTGAATCTGGTCGAATGACCCGTCCGAACACATGATGGACCATTTGAGTCAGTCCACCCTGAGCGACCACCTGGTTTGCCGTGTCGTTGGAGAGCAAAAAGACGTTGTAGACTGACCGAATGGCTTTGAGCAGTGATGATTGATGGACGAGCATTCCTCTATCTGTGGATAAGACGATGGCCATCAATGCTTTCACGACTTGAAGAGCCACCTGAGGTGGCGAGGTCTCCGTCCAGGAGAGCGTGATAGTGTGTGTGATGAGGTCTGGCAAGGGAGATTGACCGGGTGGTGGACCGTTGGGTTCAGAGAAAAAGGAATGAGAGACGAGTTTGGCCAACAGGTCGAGCGAGGTGATGAGGATGGGTACAGAGGTCGTTTGAGGATTTGAAATGGCCAACCTGAGAGGTTCGAAAATCTCTCGTGGATGAAGGTAAGCTGTGTTTGATCCCTCTCCGCCAGCTTGACACAGATCCAACGCTTTCTGAGCAGCAGCCATGAAGGAGGCTGACTTCTTCGCTTCTTTCGATTGGACCAGGACTTGCAAGGGGGGCGTGATGAGCACTGTGGATAATTGATGACCTGGTCCGTGAGATCTGTGAGATCCGCCGCCGCCGTTGGGATATCCACTGAGTGACAAGGTCGTCGCTGTGGACGATCGTCTCGAGTGACTCCCACCACCAGCACCACCACCACCGACGCCTTGACCACTGGTATTCCTCGATTGAGGGCGGGTCGAAGTGGGCCGAGAGGTCGGTGAGACCAGACCGGAGGGGGAAGGAGACGGAAGCGAAGTGATGGATGGTGCTCGTGGTACAGGAGGAACTCTGGAAGGTGTTCCCTTTCGACTCAGCGAGACTTCCTGAAGGGATTCTGTATCATCTTCCTGACGAGCAGTGGAGATCGATCGAGACATGGGAGGAAGAGGTTTGATAGAGGACGAAGACGAAGGGGATGTCATGGTCTTTGGTGGTGGTGGTGGGGGAGGAGCAGACGGAGTTCTGTCAAGCGAGGGAGACTGTTCGGTTGAGCCCACAGGGGGGTCGGCCGGTACCCTTCCATTCTCTGCACTGACAACTCCACCCTGTCCTCTTCGCTCCTGATCGGATTCCTCGTCCAAGCTGATGACTCGAGGTTTCGTCGTATCTACATCCGAAATACCGAGCCCAACGGGCTGTGCGTCTTCGTCTTGAGATTGGATCCCAGCAACAGCACCAGCAGCAGCAGCTGCTGCTGCTTCTGCTTCTGTCGCATCACGCGAGGGTATCGTGGCCATGTTGCCAGCGGGCCTCAGTCAGAATCCAGAGCAAAGATGGTAAAATGACAGAACACTTGAAAGCCCAGTGTCAACCTGAAAAACGTCCGGTCGCGTTTCTCCTAAAAGTAGCGTGGCACTTTTCGTGGCGGGCGGGGGAGCGGCGGTGTGTGTGAGTAGCAACGAGGTGGAATAGCATGCTAGGTGAGAGGATGGTACAAGTCAAGATCGCCTGCTCGCTGTGACAAAGCCCGTCTGACATGGGTGCTGCAAGCACTGTGGGAGACGAAAGGGGGCACTCTGCACGAGCATTGAAATGATGTTCACCTGCAGAGCGGCAAGCATTGGCACGGAAAAACAACCCAGTCACTATCCGGTGTCTCTTTGAGCTGAACCTAGCCATACATTCCTATCTGTAGCACGTCGGTCTATATCATTATACTCCAAGGTCACACGGTAAGTGGGTGGCAGATGCTCGACACGACGAGATTTTGGTCAATGGCATTGCGCCTCCGACCGATCGAGCAGAGGCGATGCCGCATGAATTCTTACCGACATTCTCTCTCCAGCCAGCGCCGTATGGATGGTTGTCAGATCAACGAAAAGGCTCCCGTCCGAACACTCTGCCTCTCTCATCAGTCATCTCGTTCGCAAAAGTGAACCACTGTCTGGGAGTAATTGGATGTTGGGTGGGTGGTTGCCTGATTCGGCCAGCAGAAAAGGGTTAATCAGACCTTTAAAACAAGGTTCAAGATTAGTAAAAGATGATTTGATTAGTAAATCATTTTCTAATGCCACCCCCCTCCCCCTCCCCCCCCCCCCCCCCCCCCCTCCGCCAGGGCATTACGTCAGACATCCCATGCATCCAACGAGACTTTGCCGAGTGCAGCCATACGCAGATATCCCAAGGCCAAGCAAGAGCGCGAGTAGCGACCGTTCGACAGCAGCACCTGCACCTGCTTGACCACCACACACCACAACCACACCCTCTGATCCCTTCTCTGCATACCACACACAGTCACTTCATCCACCCCATCTCAGCCATGGCTGCACGCTGCTGCTATTCTTGACATCCCCTTCCTCACGTTCGTGCCTTGAGACCCAAAAGGCTTTGCGATTTTTTCGAGGGGACTGGCTGGCTAGAAGTAGCAAGCAGTGGCATCATTTGGATCTCTCTCTGTGTGTTTCTCTCTTTCTCTCACTCTCACTCTCACTCTCACTCTCACTACTATCTCATGGACTTGAGATACATGACATCCTGCATGGCTTGATCACCAGCTCCCTTGGCCTATCCATCGCCAGAGACTGGTGTACAGGATCGTCGCACATTATTATTATATCACACTCTTTTTTTCCTGCGCCGCCTCTCTCTGAACCCTTTTTTCAACTGTTTTCCCCTTTTCTTCTCTCGCACACCGCGCGAGCACGCACAAATTCACAACACAACCGATATACAACCATCGACCCACATTCCCAATTCAAACGTTTTGCTGGGTGCTCGCAGGATCCCATCCCATCCTGGGTCCGAGCAGTGACAGGTCGTCCAAGCAGCCTAGGGTCATAGCTGCATAGACCCTCGCTCGTGATACGAACCGCCAGTCCCGACCCCTCGGCATCGTCATATTTCCTGGGTCTGTCCTTTTTTCGCGAAAAGCCGGTCGGTCACCGCCAAACGTTTGTCCCAACATGGCCAGCGCATTCATGACTCAATTGCAGCCATGGGAGGAGGTGAGTCCGAATCGTGATGAAGAGGCAAGCCCCCATGCTGCTTTTCGTTCACACCAGCATCGCTCTGACCATCCCATCCATCCCCCCAATCTCTTCATGGCATTGTCCGCCCCTAATTATCCCCCCCCCTTCCGTCATGCAGTGTCACATTGCTTGGCAAGTGAACTATAGGCTTTCAAATCGGGCGGAGATAGTGATGACATTTCCCCCCCCATCAACCCGAGAATCCTTTGTCTCTCTATACTGTCACTGTCGATGGACCGCTTGATGCTGACTCCTCCTCTTCCCTTGTCCAGAACCAATCTCCTTCTCCCAAGGACGAGATTGCAAACCCTTACGAGCTAGGTTTATCTCGTTCGAGATCTTCGGGTCTGTCTCGATCCCCTCCGTCTCCTATCGCGTCTGTCAATCTCGCACGACAATTGTCCGGGGAAGTGAACGCTTCACCTCCTCCGTGGACGAGGAGACCTTCCATGTCAAATAACAAACCCGCACGTTCACCCAGTACCGTCTCCAAACGATCACAACAGGTGGATCATTCTCAATCGCCCGTCTCTGTCCCTCCCGTTCCAACGACCTTGCAAACATCGCCTCCTCCACCACCACCACCCGCCGCCGTCCAACCGGCGTCCCTTTCTCCTCAGCAACTGGCCCCTCCTCCATCTCGTCGGCACCCTGGACTCGCCATGACACCGTCCATGAGCGATTCACCGTCGGGATCTTCAGCATCTTTGAATGTGGACGATCTGGGTCTACCGAACCCCGCTTTCCGTCGACGTCCAGGATCCAATCGATCCTCCATGAGTCAATCCAGTCTGACCAGTGAAGAGCTCTGGGCGTTGGAATCCCAGTCCAATGGTCCTGCGGATCTGAGTAATCCCATGCGACAATCATCAGAGAGACCACTCGATACGATCAGGAGAATGAGCAGGTATATGGACAGGCAGTATACCACGGCCATGCCTGGAGACGTGATCTGTGAGTTTTCAGAAAGCTTGTGAAACAGTTCTGAAATCCCACCAGGGCCATCGGCTCCGCCGATAGAGGAGGTCTACACCCCTCCCATCAAGTCCAAGTCATCCACAAGCATCGTCAGTCTAGGCAATAGTAAACGTGGGACACGCCGACGAGCATCTCGTCAAGCGTCGCAGACAAACACGCCTGGATTTGAGGGTCCCAAATCTACCCCAGCCTCACCTGCAGATTACGTCTCTCACTCTGCTCGTTCATCCTCTACGTCTCTCGCGTCTCAGAATGTCAAGGCTCATTCGGCTTTTATGAAGACTCCTCCCGTCTCCTACTACTCTCGCGATTACATGTCAAGTTTGGCACCCAGGGAAGGCGGATATGCAGTAGCTGCTCAGCTGGCCAGCGCAATGTCATCGCCTACCGACGAGGTGACTCGTCAACCGATCTCTCGAGCATCTTCCAGACACGCACCTTTGGCTCCGAGCAGCGGCATGGGCAGGTGGTCCCTCGACGGAGGAGAGGTGAGTAACAAAATCACCCGTCTTGCTGATGTGCTCTGAAGAACTTTGGCCGCCCTTATGCCATGGCTTCCGCTGCGACTACGTCGACCAGCTTTTCCGGTTCTCAACCCATCTCCCCGGAAGATTCGCCTCCTTCCGATATCCACACGTCGCCCCCGCCCCTACCAACAGGTGCTGCTGCGCCAGCTACTTCCACCTCGCCGACACCTATCGACACGTCTCCTACCATCGTCGCTCAATCCAACACTGTACCGGTCCACCCATCTCCCCTCAAAGTCAGCACGGCTAGCCCCGAGCCTGCAGATGCCAGTACAGATACCACGCCGACCACGACGGCGAACCCTACACCGACTGCGACGAAACCGTCTGGAGGCGGCTTTTTGGGTGCAATAGGGTTCAGGAAGAGCATGAAGAATCTCAACAAGGCGTCCAGCAAGGATGACAAGGCTCTTGCTGCGAAAGTGAATCAACAGAGAGCCCAAGCGGCCAGTGAGGCATCTGCAAAGAAGGCGGCAGAAGGCAAAGCGGCCGCAGAGCGCAAAGCGGCCGCAGAGAGCAAAGCAGCTGAGGAGAGCAAAGCTGCCGCAGAGCGTAAAGCAGCTGCAGAGGCGGCCGCCAGAGATGCAGCCAAGAAGAAGAAGGAAGAGGAGGATCGGGAGGCTGAGAGGAAGAGGGTAGCCGCTGCGAGAGAAGAAGCTCGGCGAAAAGAATTGGCGGAGCAGGAACTAAAGAAGAAGGAGATGGCTGCGAAGGAAGAGGCCAAGCGGAAAGAGGAGTCGGCTTTGGCAGAGACGAAGAGGAAAGAACAGGCCGCGAGGGAAGCGGCGTTGGAGAAAGAAGCGGCGGCGAAGCGGAAGGAAGCTGCTGAGAAGGAGGCGCAGAGGAAGAAGGAGGCGGCTGAGAAGGAGGTACAGAGGAAGAAGGAGGCGGCGGAGAAGGAGATCCAGAGGAAGAAGGAGGCGGCCGAGAAGGAAGCTCAGAAGAGGAAAGAGGCGGCTGAGAAGGAGGCTCAGAGGAAAAAGGAAGCGGCAGAGAAACAAGTCCAACGAAACAGGGAAATCGCAGAGAAGGAAGCTGCAAAGCGGAAAGACAAGGAGCAGAAAAAGTCGGATGGAAGATCAAGCAGCTTTTTCAAGCTTCGAGCACCGGCGAGTCTCGGACGGAGCTCGAGAAGTCCCAGTCTGGAGCCTGTCCAGGCGACACCGGCGCAAGCACCAATCGCAGCCCCTCCCGCTCCTACTTCTGCTGGTTCTGGCTCGCAGCCTTTCCCCAAGCTCGTCCAGCAGAGTGCGACTGTCTCCTCTGATGCAGCGCCAAATCCCCCTCGTAAACCTGCCACATCGCTCCCGCTCAACATGCTCACCAAAACGGCTTCGCAACCGCCTCAAGCACCGCCCGCACCGCAACGAACCATGTCTCAGCGCGCGACGTCTGGTCCTCCACCTACGTCGCTGAATAAGCACCGCACAAGCATGTTTGGTACCATCAAGAAGCGGTTCTCCATCTTGACGAGTTCTGACTCGAAAACACCGACAACGCCTGCAAAGGATGCCGCCCCAGCTACACCGAGCAAATCTGCTCAACCTGTTGTCGTTGATCAGGCAGCCGTCAAGGCCCTGCCTGCTGTCCCTCCATCGCCCGTGCCCGTCACGGTGATCGAGGCCTCTCCCGCCGCACCGGGCAGGACGGACGTCTCTGAATTCGGAGCGACTGCTGAACCATTGCGCGAGCTGCCCGCGCGAACGACGTCTCACACCCCGCCTCGACCTGCCGTGGCAACTTTCTCTCCTGCCGACGCTCCGCCTCTCATGGCCACTCCTCCCGGTATCACTCGATCGACACCCCAATCTGCCATCCCAACCTCTTCCTCCCCCCAACTCACACAGACCCTGTCTCGAGACTCTGGCGCTCGGTCCATGGCTGGATCCGTCGGATCCATCAATCGTAGATCATCTGTCAAGGGACCCAGACCCATGCCTTCATCCCCTGAATCCAAGGGCGGCGTCTCAATCCCCAATTCCGATCCTATCCCATCTCGATCTCGGCTCAGCAATCCATTACCCGTGCCATCCCTTCCAGCCGGTGCGTCCCCACCCCAGCTCCAATCTTTCCCTCTGGGCCCCATGGTTCACGCCAGATCGTCCAGTCAGTCGAATGGATCGTCCAATAACCCGTTCCCAGAGATCGTCACGCCCTCTACGCCAGGTGAACAATCTGAATACTCTGTTGGTCATACACACACCACCACCACAGGTACGAGTGTCCGATTGGTATCGCCTTCCGCTACGCCCGAAGAGGATCGAGCGTTATTCTTGTCGAGTTCGGACAATGTCGTTCCGCCTCATGTGGAGGATGGTCACAAGGTCCCGACCAGGGAAAGCTCTGGGGAATCGCTTCAACCGTCCGTCCCTGCGTAATCGAGCTTTGTATTTTTACTTTCATGTTTATTGGAATCCAACATCATAGACTCGCACATCAAGTCGATCCCAAACACGGACAATCCGAATCAATCTCCTGTCTACTATCACCAAAAAGACTCTCTCTGCGAGAGTACTTCTCTAATACCTGGTTTTCTCGTGTAACTTTTCGATATACCTCGTCTCCTATTCGAACCAAGTCGATCTGTAGAGCGTTCGACGTGTGATCCTAGACTTGGTACGGACATTTTGGAATCTCTCTTTCCATATCCAGGGTTCCCCAGCATGCATCGTTGATAATAATGCTTGCACCTGTTCGGGATGAGTTTGCGATCGAAGCCGAGAGATTGATGCTGTTTCAGAAAATTTCCGAAATATTTCGTTCATACATCTGCGACTCTTCGTCTGGTTCGTGAGAGTGCAGCATTACATCCATAGGCACTCTGATAGGTCTTCCCTCTAGTCGACGGCTCATCCAGCCATCGGCGATAGCGACGGTGACGGCCCTGAGGGTAGCTTGTCCACCTTTAGTCAGACACTTCAACATGGTCGGTCCAACTGCTGGAGACATGAGCGTTCAGAATATAGCCACCGATTCGTCGACACAGGACAGCGCTGGACCTAGCCGACCTCGTCAGGTGTATCCTCGTGGTCAAAACCCCAAATTGCGATACGAACCCTTCTATTGGTGGCCTTACAGGACCTATGTGAAGGAGCGTTGGATCGGTCGAGAGTTGCTCGAGGTGATCTCGACGGAATTCAGAGATAGATCGGTGGATTATTATGTGAGTGTTGTGGTCCTGAAATACGAGCGCTCTCGCTCATACTCCCCGGTGACGGCGACAGCGACACGCATTGGAATCTGGTGTGACGACGGTCAATGGAGTCAGGGCAGGACCCAATTTTGTGTTACGGAATGGTGATCGTATAGAGTGAGTTCCAATCCCTGCGTTCCTCTGGAAACTTTGTCTGACGCTCGGCTCAAGCAATACTGTACATCGACACGAACCGCCGATAACGAACGACGAGATACCTATTATCCATCTGGACACTGAAAGGGAATTCGTGGTCATTTCGAAACCCGGTAGCATCGTAAGTCGCCGTCTCTGATCCCCTCATACTGATGCGACATAGCCCGTTCACGCCACTGGAAGGTACTTTCGGAACACCGTACTGGAACTCATGAAGTCGGAGAAAGGCATGACGGTTTATGGTGAGTTGAAAGAGGATTTAGCATAGCGGTTTATGTTGACTGTCCACCCACACCAGCTGTCAACCGCTTGGATCGATTGACATCTGGGCTGATGATCCTGGCATTATCATCTAAGCGGTCCCAGACATTGGCCCTCGAGTTTAGGGATGGAAACGTCAAGAAAGAGTACATCGCGAGAGTCCGTGGCGAGTTTCCAGAGTAGGTCGACGACAAGGTGCCTCCGGGGCACGATGCTCATGCGGTGCCAGGGGCGTCGTCGAGGTCGATCTACCGCTCTTAGGAGTCGACAGGCAGATGGGCCTGGTGATCGTGACGCCAGAGGGCAAGGTGGGTAAAGTGCATGAATGAAGAGCTGAGTCATGTGTCAGGAAGCAAAGACCTTATTCCGTAGACTATCATATGACCCCGAACGGGATGAGAGTGTTGTGCATTGTGAGTGCCCATCTGACGAGAATGTAGCTTACACTCCTCCAGGTCGGCCTTTGACAGGGCGAAGTAGGTCATCCATCCGTCCAGTCGGACTCTCCTGACATACCCCAGCACATCAAATCCGGGTACACCTCCAGTACATTGGCTATCCCATCGCAAATGATCCTCTTTACAGCCACGCATCGATTTGGGGGCCTGAGATGGGCAAAGGCGGCGTCGACCTGGTTCCTCATGATCCCACTGCCAAGGCCCGAGGTCTGGCGGCCCGCGTCGTCGAAGTGAGGCAGGGAGCAGGCGAGTCGAGCGATCTCCACGGACCTCTGGCTTCGACATTGCTCAAGGATGAAGATCGAGATCTGATGAACCTTGACATTACGAGTCCCATTCCCTTGAGCAAACAGGCGAGGGATATCATCGTCAAGCTCAGGCGACTAAAGGATGAATCGGAAGCTTGGGCAAAGTCAGTGGCTACATGATGCTGTGTGATAACTGACTTGGTCGCGAAAGGTGGAACGACGTCGTTTTCCGAGCCAAGGAGGCTCAGGACAAGTTTGAACAGCACGAAGATGAAGAAGCAGAATCGGTCGATGCCAGTGGAAAACCAGCACGACGCAAGAAGAAATCTCATCCTCGACCCGAGACGACAAGAAGTAAGAATCACATAGAACCTCTTCCGCCCGGTGTCCCATCTCCCCTGCGGCGACCGGAATACGTCCCTGAAGGTTTCTGTGAAGAATGTTACGTCCCATTGGCGGATGATCCAGATCCTGAAACATTGTTCATCTATCTACACGCCGTACGGTACACGACGGAAAAATTGGGCGCCTGGCAAACGCCACTACCACGCTGGGCGGGCAGGGACTGGCAAGGTGATTGGAGAGGTTGGTCGGAACATGCTGCTCCGGATGCGTTCGATGTGGTCCAAGGCGATATCAAGGTGAATCTAGAGTCGCCGTTGGTGTAAATGTTGTCCTCTTGAATGATGCGGTATCGTCTTGCCGAGATGTCATGCGTGTGGTGATGATACCGTCCTTTCAATGGTTGATCCTTGAGACGTCCCCTAGCATCCTACAGGCGTCCTTTGTGTAGAGCGTTGGCTAAATCTGGCATCGTATCGAGTGTATTGCACCCAACCCCGGCCGCTGAGTCGATTCCGCCGACTGATGATCCCACGCCATTCGACAGCTCGGAGGGTGTAGGACACGCCTCGACTCTGTGGCAACGCTGACAATGCTGGGCTTTATTACCTGGAGACTTTGCCCTCTGATCCTCTTGCTGACCCTTTGTTCGGGTGAGTCGACTTTGTCTCATACTCCAACTGAAGATTCCATTAGCCTCTGCCAAACCACGTCGAGTCGCAACTCGTATACCCAAACGACCTCCTCCACGTCGATTAGTCGAACACGACCCAAAGTGGGATCATAGATGGATCAAACGCGATGCGCCGGTCGTATGGGCGACGTCGACGCATGACAGCTCGACGGTCTCATACGCGATCTCCAGCGCCATTTCGAGGGGTCCGTCGTCGGTACATGTGTCAGGTGGAGGATCAGTATTCAGCTCGGCTGGAAGCGGTAGTCCAGCTTCCTTCGTGAATGCCCTCGATGGCCAGTCAGCCTCGGCCTCGGCCTCAGCCTCTGGCGGGTCGTCTGCGGATCCTTCGACGTCGACGGGGCCACTGGTATCAGCATCTTTATCAACATCGGCAGCCTCTTCGGGCATCTCATCGGGCATCTCAGCCAGCACAAGTGGGAGCGCTTCGCAGTCTCAATCCTTGTCATCCAGCCTCCCGTCTGCGTCTGCGTCTGCATCCGCCTCGGCGTCTAGCGCGGCAAACTCCTCCCAACTCAGTGGTGAAGGGTGGCACTTCCCCTACACTGCACTGTGGAATGGGACCGCGCCCAATCTGGAGGACGTCAAGCAGGGTGAGTCGTGCAAGCATCACATGTCTGACGATTCGCAGTACGCCTCGCCAATTGCTGGCAGCCCGCCACGAGTATTGCCCTGGTGTATATCGCCCCGGAATGGGTCAGCCATTTGATCACCTATTCTGACGGTGAGCCCATGGCTGGAGAATCGGACCCTTCGAATCTGTACGCTTCGGTGACGCTTTGGAATCCGAACAATGGGTGGTCTTATCAATTCCCAGTCAACATTTACAACGAATCGACGACTGAAGATTTCCCAGGTGGCGTCTGGTGGCATTCTGCATTGAGTCAAGGCTTGGCTGGAATGGCTCAGATGACCCCGATCGTCGGTATGAACTCGGATGGGACGTATACCCAGACGAATGGTAGTCCAGCCTATGCCCTGGCGATGATGACCGGCCGGAAAGTCGACTATTATACGTTTGACGATTACCCTTCGGTGGACGATTTCTACGAGGCATTGTCAAAGGCTAGCTCGACCCCAGTCATCCTCGCCACAAAGTATACGACGGATCCTAGTGTCGATCCGCCTCTCACTGCGAATCACGATTACGCCATCCTGAGCACGAGTGATAAAGGTGCGCAGGGGAGGTATGTCAATGTCAGAAATCCTTGGGGGAAGTATGAGACGTTTCATGTCGAGGCGATCTATTACAATTTCAGTTATCTCTACATGATGGAGGATCAGAGTGAGCTGATCTGGCAGGGCAGTCAGTAAAGGGGCAGGTACCGACATGCATTAAGTACAAAAATGTCCATGGTCGGCTTGGGCGCCTAAGAATCGTTAAAAAGTCATGACATTAGGAGAAAGGGATGTGTCTACAAGCTAATTGGTGACACGTCTAATGACGGTCAAACTTGACCAGACCGGTCAAGTCGTACCATGTTGACTTTGGCCCAGCAATGACATCGCGAACGCCGAGGATGCTAGGCAGGATTGTGAGCTGTGGATCGATGCGAGCTTGTCAACCTACAAGGTGGTGCCATCGGGGAACTGGTCGGCGTGAGGAGTATGCCATCGAACGGATTTATGAGACGTCGTAGCGATATCGATAGACTGGGAGGGGGGCAAGGGGGGACCGAGATCAGACCTCACACTGAAAATCCTCATGACTCACCTCAAAGACGTCCTGACCCTCCCACTGAGGGACGTAATACACCTCATACCCATTTGCACTACCCCCTGTCCAAGTCAAGTCGACTGTCGTATCGGCCTTGACTGAACTGAGAGGCATGGTCCATTTGACAGAGTTCCAAGGGTAGTACTGTTTTCCGTGACCTTGGCCTGGGAGCGGCCCGGGGTCAGCGGAACGATACGCCGAGAGCGGCCTTCAGCTCACCTGGATCCTGCGAGTCTGCAAGAGTGAACAATGGCGCGAGGAGCAACAATGGGAGGTAGAAGAGGGTCAACATGATGGTGTCTGGAAGATCTGTGAGGTGGACAAAAAGTTTCAAGTTGATGTATATAGTCGTCGGACCTGTGCTTCGGCTTTCCAATGCAGTGCAGGGGGATCTCTATAATTAAGGCAGTGGTCGCAGTGAGGTGGGGTGAGGGGGGACAGAGCAATGATGATATGTCTGCGTATACACAGGAGAGGGGTGTGTATGTGGGTGGGCGGAGCTGAAGGGTAAACGTCAGCGAAGAAACTTCTTGACACACAACACTCACCAAAGGCAGGAGAAAGGAGGAGTCCGTCCGTTCCTGTTGATGATGATGATGAGCTCAGCGTCAAACAGAAGCAGGGTTCCCTTCTGTATTGAATATCCCCGTCAGTGTAGATCAAGTGAAGAACGATGAATCCTGTATCAATGCACTCGAGTGTCTTCCAAACATTCTGGCCAGCATCGCTAGGCATTGTTTGTGACACACAAAAGGGTGTCTCTGTCATGTCGCCCATGCTCTTTTTAGCGCTTGGATCAGATTCTTTGGCATAGCGCACATGCCAAGAGCCCTTGAGCATGGTGCATCGATGATTCCATATACGGGTGCGTGCAGAGACTGTCCGGTGGGACGAGGAGAGGATCAGAGATGATGTTCATAGCGAACAGTAGTGCGGATCTTTAGGTGGGCTAAAAAAACCCGGTGCGAATGATATGCTTTCAATCGATGGGGATCCGCCCGTCATGTTTTGTGGTGCGACCGTGATGCAGAAATGGGGGGAGCTGTAGAGTGACGAGTGCGGCCATGTTCACTGCCATATCGATGCATCTATCCATGTCGAGAGTAGTAGGCGATAGCCCGAGCCAGAGACCCATAGCAAAACGCTAATGCACCGCATTCCTCTGACTCACGCCGCTCTGCCGAGACGCAGACATTCCTGACTCTTCTGTCACATCTGCAACATGTCCCAAGGCACCCTGGAGTCCCGTATCAGTGCAGCTGCTGCACGCAATGATGAGCTACTTTCCACGCTGTCGTCGACCGATGGCGCTACCACAGCTGTGCGCCATCAGACACAGCTGATCGCTGACTTGGAAGCCGAGCTCGCCGAATTGAATCGTAATATCAACACGTTGACGAAGAAGCGAGAGAGCGAGCTCAAAGATCACAACAAGTATCAACACTCATTCTTCCGGAAACATGCGCATACAGTCTTTGGGAAGAAGGAAAAGTTCATCGCCACGGCTGAGAAGGAAGAGAAAGAGTACTTTGAAGCATTGAGAGAGGAGACGTTGGCAAAGGAGCAAAAGGATGGGTTGATCAAGCAGATAGAGGATCTCCAGAGGGTCCTAAAGGAGGAACTAGAGCCCGTGGCGAAACGACATGAAGAGGCTCAGAAGGCTCTCGATGAACTATACGATCAACTATTTGACGGACCGACCCCTTCATTCCCCGAGGAGGACGCTTTGGAGCAAAAGGCTTCGACGACTCTCGATGCGTACACTGGGATTAGGGATCGTCTCCTCGGAGAAGACGCTGCGAGGCAGAAACTTGACGAAGCGGGCAAGGCCATGGGTCAGGCTTTGAGGAATATCGAGGATGCTTTGGACGCCTCGACTTGGGATACATGGGGAGGCGGCACTTGGGCTGATATGATGGAGAGAGATAGTCTGGCCCAGACACAAGGCTATGTCTCTAAAGTCCATCAATGTGTGGCAATGGCTATCCGTACGAGTCCCGAAGTCACGCCGCTGCCTAACATGACGATCACCTCGGGACATGTCATGAGCGATATGGTCTTCGACTCCATCTTCACAGACTTGGCTCAACATGACAGAATTGAAAACTCAAAGGTCGAGCTCCGACGCGGTGCAGTCCATCTTGAAGCTCAGATCAAGGCCTCGCAGAGCAGAGTGGAAGGTCTCAAAGCGGATCTGGCCAGAGCAGGAGAGGAGCTGGGAAAAGCGAGAAAGGAACTGCAAGAATGCAGGATGAGAAGCTTCCAAGTGGTTCTGAAGGGTGGGCAGCTGCCGGCATACACAGCGTGAACGGGTCGTAAGGTACATCCAGAGTCATCATGTAGCGAAGTCATTGTCTATGCTTGGCCCACCTTGTCGAGAATTGCCACGGCGGCTTTGTACTCGTCGGTCGCGTTGATACTGTCCTCGGTACCGAGCGCGTCCTGGGGTGCAAAAGAGGGGCAAGACAGGCGGACGTGAGTGTCAGCATGTCAATAGTCGTTACCAAGATCCACCCACGACGAGATCCTTGAGCCCATCTCTGGCCTCTTGGAGGGATTTTTGGGTACGAGGGATCATCTGCTCAGAGTCCTTCAACACGCGTTCCTGTGCATGGTAAGAGGGGCAAACGAGACAAGAGAAAGAAGCAGCTGGGTCAGCTCCGTCGTGTCCATCAGTGTCTCCTCACGGCATTCCTGATGTCTGCGCCATCTGCGCCAGAGTCTCTGAGCTTGGCAAGTACCTTTTCCTGATCAGCGGCTTCTGTCCGATACGTCTGTTCCTCCTTGAACAGTCTAGCGCGGTAAGCTATGGATATACGGCCCTCGTCCCTCACCTGCTGACCACGCCCGTCTTGATCTTGAGCTGCCGCAGTGATGAAGCCGTGTCTGCCATGGTCGAGGTGATATGGAGAGTGTCCTTGCTTCCGATCGGCGCGGGGAAAACCCAAAATAATGAAAATCGCACCGCAGCGCTTTTGTTCGACCCTAAAGCCCGACTTCAAACCAACTCGACACTCCATCTCTGCACCTCCCGCTGATGCCGCTCAGATGACATTGACAGCACGAGCTTTTCCTCGTTCTCAAAACCATCCTCACATTCATCATCCCGCCCCACCCCCATCCTCACGCTCCTTTCGAAACATTCTCCGTCCCTCTATACGACTGAAAACAACACTGTACACGCTCTCCCTCATCATCATCCTATTGGTCATCCTAGCCCTCAATGCCGGTGCTCAGCTGTCCAAACCAGAGGGTATACCTCGACCGACGGATATCTCTCGCAGCGCGATAGACGAGTCTTTATCCGACACGGGAGAAGGGAGAGAAGTGGCCCAAGGGAAAGATGCGCATCTGAGGGAGGGAGAGATTCAGAGGAGTTTTGAAGAGCCAGACTTTGCATTGCTGAGTGGACTACAGCCGAGTCAGATTGGTTGTGATGTCCCGCTCAAGGGGGAAGGCTCAGGCAGTGATGAGGGAGTGTTGGTGTTTTTGGGCATCTTTTCAGCGGCAGGCAATAAGGACCGCAGGGATTTGTGAGTATTGCGAGCGAGCGGCATCTCGCGAGTGTCAAAGGAGACGTCTCTCTGACCCACACTAGGTATCGTCGCGTCATCATACCCGACTTTCCTCCGGACCTCGTCACCGTCAAGTTCATCCTCGCCTCGCCAGCTTTGCCTGAAAACCCACTGTCGAGCGAGGCGGTGACCCGGTCCATGGCCCTGCGAGAAATTCAAGCGGAGATGAGAGAACATGGCGATATGGTCATGCTGCCGGTGCGTCCCTTCCTTGAGTAGCTCGTCTTGACCTCTCAGATCATCGACAACATCGATTCTGGCAAAACCCACGAGTACTTTAAATGGGTCGCGAAACATTACGCAGGCCCAGGCAGAGTCAAGGGCCGGCCGAGATTCGTCATGTGAGTGGTACACCGTGTAGCAGTACTGACATGACCTAGGAAAGCAGACGATGATGTGAGACGCTCAAGACGACGCCCCCTACTGACTTGCAGACCATTCTCGTGATGCCCAATGTCATCTCAGCCTTCAGAAACCTAGACTGCGCGGACAATATCTACTGGGGAACATCTGCAGGTAGATCACACTACTTTTCAGAGTATTTTAGGGGTCTTGCATACGCCATGAGCTGGCCATTGGTGCGTAAAAACATTCAGACAACCGGCTCATGGTTCAGGTATCATGGATCGGCTCCGCGGACATGCCTTATGCCCACGTGATCAAGATTGAGGATGCGAGGACGGGTCAGTGGTTGAGACATCTGGATCCAGTGACGGACCCGATCCACCGGCTGGATATGGGCTGGACGATGGGAGATTGGAATCAGTTGGATATCACAGTGGAGACGATTGCGTTGCGTGAGTGGGGTGCAGGAGGTTATGGGTCTGGGCTGATGCGTCGTTGTGTTTGACTCTCGTCATCTTCCCTATCTCTCTTCGCTCGCTCGCTCGCGCGCAGACTGGGTCAAGCTCGACGAATGGGTCATTGAACAACACCAACATCTCCTCGAGGTCTGGTCATCAGCTGGAAAAGACTATTCTGCCACTTCTGGTGTACCACCCCGAGACAGCATCGCCAAGGGCAAGATCCTTCCAAAAGGCGCTTCGGAAGAACATCAGAGACAAAAGGATCTAGGATGGGATGTCGATGGCAATATCGAAAACTGAGATATTTGTATTACTGCATGCACCAGAGCGAGAGCGAGTTTACAACATGGACACCTGGTGTGTTTTACATGGGCTTGCTGGGGAGTTGAGTCGGGAGAATGCCAAATCTGTCCAGGTCAGCGAGTCCGAGCCATCTCTCTCCTCACCTCTTCTTGATCGTCACACGATGTCTTGAAAACTTGTCATCGGGACTGAAGCGAGCGGGGTGTGCAGACTTGCTGACTTTGCCGTCTTTAGTGATTTTCTTGAGGAAAAAAAGGTCAGTGGGCACGGGGGACGATAACCAACCTTGAGCGTATAGACCCTGCGTGTCAGCCTGACTCATTCAGGTGTGGTCACTAACCTGTTGCCCTGCTCGTCCAGGGTATACATGAGATGCATCGTGCTCGACCTTGCTGAGAGGGTGTGTGTGTGCAAATGGCGACCTAACAGTCAAAAGATTTGACTCTGCAATAGGTAGGCATGAATATTTATTTTGAATGGAATTATGAGCCCCCCCATTTATCCCAAAAAGTTGCTGAATCGCGGCGATGACCGACTTTTCATCGACTCGGCATACCATTGCGTCGTCTTTACTTCAACGACCGACTCGCTCCATTCACTCCCTCGTCCACCATGTCAGACCTTCAGAACCCCTCGTCCGCCCAAGCTGGTACCTCTGCCGAGACGCAACCCCGCCAACCTCTCTGGCTCCGATGTGAAAAGAAACCATTCGAGCATCGTTCAGCGTTAACCCCGACAACCGCCAAGACGCTCATCGACAACAATTTTGAAATCTTTGTGGAACGTGATCCGCAGAGAATCTTTGACGATGAAGAGTTTGAAGCGTGAGTGGGCCCAAGAGCGGAGCATCGCTCACACGTAGCGTCGGCTGCAAGATGGTGCCCAACAATGAATGGCCCAGTGCGCCCCTAGAAGTCCCAATCATCGGTCTCAAAGAACTCCCCCTTTCAACGCAAGTGGACGAGTCGTTCTCCGCTGACTTGCAGTGACCCCCTTCCCCACACGCACATTCAATTCGCCCACTGCTACAAGCATCAAGGTGGCTGGTCCGATGTCCTGAGGCGTTTCGCGCAGGGTGGTGGTACATTGTACGACCTCGAATTCCTAGAAGACCCTCAGACCAAGCGCCGAGTCGCTGCGTTTGGATTCCACGCCGGATTCGCAGGTGCAGCTGCCGGTGCCCTCGCTTTCGCCGCACAACAACAATCTGGAGGTCAAGGCAAGCTAGCTGGGTTGAAACCCTATGCCAATGAGGCCGCCATGGTCAAACACGTTAGCGAGGGGTTGGCAGGGGTCGAAGGAGGCGTCGAAAACGTCAAGGTCCTGGTCATTGGCGCCAAAGGCCGGTGTGGAAGCGGGGCCGTCGACCTGTTCCGAAAGATCGGTATCAAAGAGGACAACATTGTCAAATGGGATATCGAGGAGACGAGTCAAAAGAGTGGGCCCTATCGAGAGATCCTCGACGTGGACATTTTCGTCAACTGCATCTACCTCTCCCAACCCATCCCCAAATTCATCACATCCGAATTCATGGCAAAGGAATCACGTCGTCTCGCGGTCGTCGTTGACGTCTCATGCGACACGACCAACCCTCACAACCCCATTCCCATTTACGATATCAACACGACCTTCCCCGAGCCCACCGTCGAGGTCGACACCCAAGGCGTTGGTAAGCGCTGCACAGTCATCTCGATCGATCATCTGCCCACATTGCTCCCCCGAGAATCGTCCGAGCAGTTCTCGAAAGACCTCTTGCCGTCCTTGCTTCAATTGCCAGAGCGTGCTAGTGCGCCTGTTTGGGTCAACGCGGAGAAGCTGTTCAGGCAGAAACTTGAAGATGCGAGGAGGGATGACGAGGAGAAGGGAGTCAAGGCATAGAGTGAGCGTACATGTCATGTGATGCATGGCTCTCGCATGTCAACGAGAGTGAGAATGAGTAGCCTCGGAATCCCTAAACCAATCAGACTAGACGAGAAATCGGAAAATTCAACGAGAGTAAGAGGTCTACGAGAGAATGAGAATGAGTAGCGTGGGAACCTCTAAACCAATCAGACTAAACCAGAAATCGGAAAATTGACCGTGGTGCTGGGCGGCGCGCCAACACTAACGCATCCAGCTGTTGACACCCTGATCAGCGAGGCAATCTTTCTGTCGTACTCACGTGGATGATGAAACGGGGAAATCGTGAACAGATCTGGCCCTCAGGAAATGACTGAGTGTGTCATGCACCCCCTGCGCGTAAGGATTTCAGCACAGATGTGACTAGAGAAGGACTCACCTTGAGAGAAGCGCTCAAAGTCTCGTCACTCAAGTCATATTCTGCTTGGTCTGCCTCTGCTAGGATCTTCTTACGAGCCTCAAGGAATCGCTCATGCCCATGTCAGCGCTTGATGGTTGAGGTTCACCGGGCCTATTTACCTGACCAACCTGTTGACCTCGTCAGCCAGAGCTAGACCATGATTACTCACTTTGCTCAGCAACGACTGGTCGACTCCTGGTTTTGAACAGTCGGAAGTGTCCTTGTTGGCCTTGGGCGTGTTCTGGTCTTGCGCCTGCAGCTGAACGAGAGATGAGCTCTCAGGGCTGTCCGGTCAACGAGCAAACTCACAATGGTTTTGGCTCGTTTTGCGCTGGATTCCGTCACTGTACCACTGCCATTGATAGGCCTCTTGACGGCAGCAGTTGGGAACGAAGTGGATGAACTGCCGATGGATCCTTGATACGAATAAGAACGGGCGCTACCGGATGGAAGGTTGGGTTCGGTCCGAGATGCAGAGGTCGACCTTGATGACTCATGTGCTGCTTTTGACAAAGTGGTTGGAGCGACATACCTGATGTAAAGGGCTTCAAATTCCTATTTCATGCCGATGCCACAAAAATGTGGGCTATTCAACGCAAGTGGAAGGGATACCTGAAGCTGGGACCTTTGAGCAACGCCTTTATCAAGGTCAAGGAGTGAGTGTGGTCCCACTGCCACTGTGGCTGATTCCACAAAAGGTCAACCGGAACGAGCCATCACAAGCAGCTTTTCGGTGAACCACAAGGAAAGAGCCACGCTGATCACACTTCAGTCGTCAACCCAGCTGGGCGCACGCTTTGTCTTCAAGTTCCTCAAGCTACGAATACCATCCGTGATCTCTTGGCCCAGCGAGACCTCTTGCCGCATGGGTGAGTGTGGCATCCCGTCCCCAGACTGTGGCATCCCGTCCCCAAACTGTGGCATCCTCGTCGCAATCTGACTCCGAGCCAGGAATGCCAGACTATCCGTGAACGGCCACCTAGTCTCACTCGATTGCTCCATCTCTCAAATTGCCACACCTTCGGTCATCAGAATTGTGCCTTTGGTGCTAGGTGGCGGTCGCCCAAAGGATGAAGAAGCACCATCACAAAAATGGTGGAACATGAACAAGAAGGATGGAGGCATTTGCGTCACCAACTACATCCAGGACGACGTTCAGCATCTGCCGGAGAGTATCCTACGACCAATTCGTGACATTATCAATAGATCCGAAGCTGGCCAACCTGTCCATCCGGAAGATCTGCAGAATATGTTATACGAGCTCCCTCCTGCTTGGCTCGAGCTTCAGTCTCAGAACTTTCTCACTTACTTGACGGACGCTGAGGGTACAGCTTACTCGCTTGGGAATTTCAAGGCCGTGGTAGCGAGAAGGGGAGTAGGCGGACTTCTGCTCCACCTCATTGGGGACCCGGCCAGCCCTAAACTCCGCAGGAAGATCGCTACAGGCTCTTTCAACCACGTATATCCCTGGCTTGCCAATGTCTTGGCGCGGAATCCCAGTCTAGTGAAAAGTGAGCGCGCGATGATGCAAAGCTGAAAGATCAAGAAAAGTATCGTCCTCTCTTCAACAACCCAGTGACTTCCATGTAAGTACCACGGCCATGCATACTCGTATCGTTGAGCTATCACAGCCCATCCCTTCCTCCGGCTGGCTCCCAGTCATCGTCTACCTCAGCGGTCACTCCTAACCATGCCTCGTTTCCTTCAGGCCCCTCACTGCCCACCGCAAAGCCTCTCACCACCACTTCATCCTCCTCGACCCTTGCCGGACCCTCAACTGCCATTCAGCCTCCAGTCATGAGTGCGGAAGTCGAGGACGCTATGGATGATCTTCAGGAGCAGTTAGAGAAACAGATGGAGAAGGAAGATGACCCTGTAAACATGGATGACGTGGAAGCGACTATCGAGCTTTGGCAACAGAGATACAACAAACTTGTCGAGGACAAGTACAGGCAGCTCACGAAACAGCTTCGCGCCGGCGCAGGCATGCTCTTGTGAGCGATCGAGAAGAACGGAGCGATCGAGAAGAGCGGAGCTGACAGACTCAGGAATTTTGCAAAGAAATTCACATTCACCATACCCAAAGTCTCCGCCCATCCCGACAAGGCAGCCTATCTAGCTGCCATCGAAGATCGTATCGTGAAGGTGACCTACAACAACGGCCGTGGATATCACCAAGATCTCAAATTGATCAAAAGACGGGTCACCGACTTTTCTGAAAGGTTCCTGGCCGACAAATCCCTGGACCAACTCGCTGCGATACACGGTATCCCTGCTGCCCATGTAACTCCACTGTACCTCGAGAGATGCGGTCTGGCCAATCGAAAACCCAGCAACGAGCGTGCAGTCATATATATCAAGTTGATAGAGGGGAGCAGGGAGCAGTTGACCAAGCTGCGAAACTCGGTACGCGAAGACAACCGGAAATTCACCACTCGTTTCTTCGACTTTCTTCACGAGCCCCTAGAGCCATGGATGGAGGCTCTCCAGTTTCCAGAGAAGAATCCAGACACTCCATTTCTCTATCACATCGGACGTTACTCATCTGGAAAGTTGAGGCGGATGCATTGGGAGCAGGTAGGCTGCAAAGAATACGATGCGTCGCGTGGAGAACGGCCATGGGTTGAAGCAGTAGTCCACGGAGGTGGTTCACGAAAAATCATCTACTACGTCCTCTCTTGCCATGATGACAAGTATGGTATTGAATGGAGCGACAGTATGGTGAGTGACAGGATGAGGGCCGTGACTGAGGAACAGATGTTTGACGAGATGTTGTGGTCAGCCGTTTTCATTGGCCCTGGCCTGACCAATGTGGCATGGCCTGGTACCGACGGCCCGGCCCCTCCGGCGACTCTTGGTGGGGAACTACCAGCCGGCCCCTTCGACAAGGCCCATCGAGACTCAACCGACGGATTCTGGCAGTCCTTGACGAGACAGAGGGCAAAAGACAAGCATGGAATCGAAATCGATGCAGTGACAGCCACCTGCCTCATGGCGCTCAGGTGGAAACGTGAGTCCCAGCTTGAACTCTGCTGATTCCTATACAGCCGCTGTCAATCCCATAACCTTTGTTCGGACTTTCAAAAGCAATCGGATCAGGATCTCAATCATCTTGGGCCTGGATCAGCCTTTCCAGCTCCAGGTTACCCATCGAAACATCCCCAAGAGATCTCCCATTTACATGACCCTCTATCGACTCATGGTCTGTTACGTCGACGAACGCTTGCTTTGTCTCAGACCCGCCGGATTGACCCTCGATGATAAGCAAGTCCCCAGATCACCCGTCGACCTTCACTTCGATACCACGATCAGCGACGTAGGATACGCTACTCGATTCACTCGATCACCCACACCACCCGATGCGCTCTCAGTCTTGATTAAACGAGCGAGACCCTCAAACCACCATCCCGACACTGACATACGATGGAATCTTGTTTTTGCGGACGATCCTTCTCACCATGTCATGTTCTCGCAGACAGTCACAACGGCCCATTACCTCTCGTTCAAGCTACAAAAAGAGGCATCGATGATACTCTGTGGTGACAAGCCGGAACCAATGTCGATGGGACAGCTAGAGGCCATCTCCCTCATCCCAGTGCCAAAGCGAACCACCGCTCGTGAAGAACCCCACGCCAGTGCGAGCACCGACACGATCGACAAGGAGGAAACACCGCCTGAACTCGCCGATCAGTTCTTCGAGGTGAGTTCGCATTCGAGAGCAAGCGACAGGTCACTGATGTAGTCTCAGATCGACAAGAGGACAAATGACATCAAAAAGGTGAGGTACACGATCCCCAAGCCATCTGACCGCCTCGCAGACTGTGGAAGACAGAATGGGAGCAAGATTGCCAGCGCCCTTGTTGACTGTGGACGATGTGGAGGCGGAAGCAAAGGTGAGCCAGCATATGCAACTCAATTCTCATAGCTGAATGTCCATCAGGTTTACATTGATCTGACGATGGAGGAAATTCGTTGGAGGAAGAAAAGATACGAGCTCGAGAATCAGTACAGAGACCGATATATCATTCCAGACAGAGACTACGTCTAGGGATCGAGGCGCCGGTTTGATATACCCCTAATGAAATGTGCAGAAACCCCTTTGAAGTGACTCCTTCAGCGTATGCCAAAAATGTATATAACAGTCACGGACAGATCATAGAAGGATCCGAGGCGGAGGTCACACATCAACCCAGCAACTTCTCCTTTCTCCTGTGTAACTGTTCAGGTCGACTTTCAACATCTGCGCATACGCTTCCCCTCCCACGCATCTTCATCACCGATCCCTCCATGTATGTGTTCCCGTATGTATTCATGACCATGAATCATTCGCGTTCACCGCTGCCACATTTTGATAACGCCGATCGGGAATAAAAATTATACCACTCAAATTTCGCATTTCGCACCACGCCCTTGCCTGTATCTCTGTATACTCTCCTTCACCAATCTCAAAGATCCTACACGATGGTGAGCGGAAGGAATGAATGGGTCACACACGGATCTCAAGGAGCTGACGAATGTCACAGGAGTCAAGCAAAACCCCAGTCCGTCTTGCCAAGGTGATCAAGGTAAGTGTCAGGCTCATTCAAGATGCCTCAAGTCTTTCTACCCGTCCGTTTGCCTCGGCAAGCATTTTGCGCAAGACATGGAGGATGTCAGGACGTCAACAGCTGCTTTGAGGAGGAGAGGAAGTTGATGTGGGACGGGAGCGCCGAGGCATGGAGCAAATCGACCCTCGGGACTGTTCACCCAACATTTTGCCGTCCGATTCTCCCCCAATACTCTCAATCTTCATCCTATCATATCTCGGACTTGACAGATAGCAAGAGATGATGCTGACGTCCCTAATGTTACTCGGTCGAACTGGGAGCCGCGGTGGCGTCACGCAAGTGAGTTTGACGTCTTCTGAAGCTTCTCCGGACATCCACACGCAATCTGGTGGCTTCCAAGACCTTTCTTGGATGTTTAGCCCAACTCGGCGGATTATCCGTCTTGTCCTGATCTTTTCGCCACATTCATCCATTCTGTCCGAGCGTCGCTGATGAGACTTCATAGGTCCGGGTTGAGATGCTCGATCAGCCTGACCGAACCATTGTCCGGAATGTCAAGGGTGAGCTTTCATCGTCCATCTCCACTATTTTATCGTGAACGCTTCGGCCTGTGGGGGTCCAAACCAAACCGCCCAGCGACTTACTGATATGCTTCAAGGGCCGGTCCGTCTCCATGACTTGTTGGCTCTCCTCGAAAGCGAACGAGAGGCTAGGTAAGTCTGCATAAATTTCTTGAACGACCTCGTTGTCTGACGGATTTTATCAGGCGACTCCGTTAATTCTTGTCGGTGTTTCCCCTTTGCATGCTCTCGACTACTGTGAATGTGCGTGCAGAGGCGTGAGCGTAGACGGGATGGAGCATATGGAAGGGGTCAGGCGTGCGTGGAGTGTATTATACTCTGATATCGTTGTGATGAATGACACAACATCACAAAACCGAGATCGGTGCCACAAATCTGTCTGCTCAGGACGACCCCGATTTTCAGTGATGCTCACCCACGCTCCTCCGTTCAGTCATACTTTATCTATGTCCTTCAGTGACCATTAATTGAACGCCACGAAGCTGAATCTGATCCTCTGGCTCCAATCTCATGCATCACATTGTACAAAAGTCAAAAGAGTCCATCTCGAAGCATCTAATTGTCCATGGAGAAGCGTCGATCTAGTGCGAGCCGACATTGCCAGCAATGGCTGCCGCCTGTGTCTCGAGCGCATCGGGATCGATACTTTCAGATTAGCGCGCAATCACGTCCCTCTGCTCACCCATTCAATGTCAGGGCCCACTGTTGTGTTGGGTTCGGTAAGGTATCCAAAATGGCAGTCACCGTGGCTGTGGGCAACACCGGCTCGGTGTAGTTGCTCGGTGCGGCGGGGAGGATTGAGAAAGGTTTGGACTGGAGGTGAGCGGGATCGGCGATATGTGACGTACTTTGGCATACACTTGACTGCTCGGGGGTCAGCCGGGTCGACACCATAAGAGTCAAGACTTACCCGTGCAAACTGGACAAAAACACGAGCGAGAAGCCATCCCTATGTGGTCAGAGCAAAATACCCTCTCTGTCGACCTACCCGGTGGGAATGTCTTCACCCAGCTCGATCTGCAACTCGCCTCCAAAGTTCTTCTGCCCCGTCGGCAGACGCGCCATAGGTACTCGCAAACTATGTCCCGGGTCAGGTGAAAACAGAAGATCCATCTAGTACTCACGCGATGGGGATGAAACCAACCATGATACTCTTGTTGTGATTCAAGAGCTGAGACGGATCAGCTGAGCGCAAGCTGACACCACACTAGCCCTACCTGGATATCAAACGACGGGATACCACTGGCTCCACCGCATATCCAGCTGGAAAACGATCAGCACAACGGGCAAGCAGTCGACTCACGAGACATAGTTGGTCCCGTTGATGATCCACGGGACATCAGGTGTAGGCTGAGATATGGGCCAGAAATTGGACGACACGGCGAGCTGGCCTGACGAAAATGTTAGAGACGGCAGATGGTCCATCGATACCACGCTGGGTCGCCCTTCTTTACCTCCCCAGATCTACTCACCGACGCAGAATGGCAACAACGCCAACAGGGCCGAAGCAAACCACATAGCGCGTCGAGAGTCAGGTGTATTCGCGCGAAAAGGCGTCACGGGGAATGACTTGTCTGGTGGCTTTGATAGATGTCCTGAGAAGGTTGATGAGCGTCAAGATTCACCACCCCTAAAATAACGTGCTTCCTCGCTATCAGACGATGCGTTGTCAATGCTGTGTGATGTTGAAAGTATTTCAATCCATCAGTTGCCCAAAACGAGCGAGAGGCGCGCCCGCTAAGGAAAAAACCGTTGGAGCGAAAAATTTGATTCCGTCGACACAATGGGGGGGAAATGAGTAGTGACGTGGGATTTGCTCAAACAGCATGACGTGGCTTACATTATCAGACATCTGGCCCCTTTGTGGCATCGCAGGTGTGCCCTTCCAGGCTCTCTGGAGGGGTTTGGCAAGCTGCAGTGCAACGGTTAGATTGGAGGACATTCCACTAAGAGCATACCGATCAACTCGACGCACCCTCTTTGAGCACGCGGCGCTCGCCTTCCGAGCGAGAGGAAGCATCCACCAGCACGCTTTGTCAAGTCAGGAGGAGCGTCCTATGAGACAATGCTGCACATCGCTGAGATTTAAGCCCTGCCAAGGGATATGACGACTCGCGTATGCTCGACCCCCTCATGATCCACATTCCACACCATGAAAACCGACGCGCCTCAACCGACATCCTCACCTTCCCTGGAACCTGGTTAACAAAATTCCCTCCCCAGAACACCCTCCTAGCTCCGAGACCGACCAACCGCATTCCCCATGCTCCGGCCCCCCCCATGGTCCCAAAGCCCATGGAACGCCCTTTCCCCAGACTCACGTCGCAATACCCATACGCGAGGCATATGTTCTTCAGCGCACCTCACATGGCAACTACACCAGTGGCGGCAAATCTGTTCGGGACCCCGCATGGTCCACGCCCGTCATGTCACCTCGAGCAGATCTCGCGGTCTCGTCCGAGATTGGGGCGTTAGAGCGTATCGGTACAACGTCCGCATAAACTCTGAGCCTTTTGGTTGTATTGTCCTGTGTGACGCTTCGTGAGAACTCGCTCTCCCCATTTTTGTCCTAAAAATGGCAAACGCCGAGCATTTCGCCTTCCTCCTGTCTCGCCCCATCAGACCTGTATAAATAGCACATGGTGAACGATCTCCAGGAACCGCTCCATGTGGTGTATGATCCCCTTTTCTGATTGCGTGATCCTGCGGTGACTCACCGGCAGCAGCCTCGTATCCCGTTGGACTAAACTCAACTGACGACGCCTTGACAAAACGCTTGGCTCGATCTAGAAATAGTAAAAATTCTCATGATAAGCAGGGTGGGACACACATGGTGTCAGATCGGGCGCAGGTCTCTGGAGTCTTGGGGGGCCAGAAGAAGCCAATCGAGACTCAGTTATCGGTCACTCCGAGATATCCGGGTGCTTGGGTTCCCCCCCCCCCCCCCCCCTGAACCCCCCTCCTCCTCTGATATAAGAAAGGGGTGCTTGTGCTATCTAGATCAGTTTTGCCCCTCCCCCGAAACCCACATTCCCACCCAGTCACACGATGAGCGCTGCTCACACAAACGTTGTCGCAGACGTGATTTCCGGCCCAGTCCCAGCTGAAGCCGTTCCACAAGATCACGATGTCGTTGAAGAACGCAAGGAGGAGAAAAAATATGCTCGTCAGAACAATGACCAGGTCGTCGTTGGCGCTGCCGTGGACCTTCACGACTCTGATGAGCCGACCGATGAGGAATACAAGACGTTGAGAAAGTGAGCATCACCCATGGCCGAGAGCTCTTGCTCACCTTTCCCAAGGGTTCCCGCCGGTATGAAATGGGCTTGCATTGCCATGTGTACGGTCGAACTCGCTGAGCGAGCCTCGTACTACGGTTGTCAGCAAATTTTCGCCAACTTTGTCAACAACCCCCTGCCTGATGGTGGCAACGGTGCCGGAGCCGTCGCCAAGGGTGCCGCCGGTCTGAACCAGAGTGCCGGTGCCTTGGGCATGGGCTCAGTCGCCGCCACTGCCGTCGGTCAAACCTTTACTTTCCTCGCCTACACCATTCCCATTCTTGGAGGTATCCTTTCCGACACTCGATGGGGTCGATTCAAGACTCTCTGCGTGGGTGTCGCCATCGGTGCCCTTTCACACGTTCTCCTGGTCATTCCTGCCATCCCCAAGGTACTTGCCGAGCAACCCGCAAAATCTCACGCCTTCCCCGCCTTCATGATCATCCTCATCATCCTCGCCTTTGCTTCCGGTATGATCAAGCCATGTCTCGGACCGATGCTGTGTGACCAGTCGCCCGTCAAACGACCGACGATCATCACCACGAAAAAGGGCGAGCGAGTCATCCTTGACCCTCAGACCACGATCGCCAGATACTTTTTGATCTTTTACTGGTGTATCAATGTCGGATCCTTCTTTGGTCTCGCTACTTCTTACGCCGAACGATTCGTCGGTTTCTGGCTCGCTTTCCTCACACCCGGTATCGTTTACATGATCGTCCCCGTCGTTCTCGTCATCGCTTCCAAATCTCTCTACAAGGCTCCTCCCCAAGGATCCGTCGTCCTCGAGTCCCTCGCTGTCATGCGAGAGATCTTCCGACGAGGTGGTCTCCGAAAGATTTTCAAGCCCAACGAGTTCTGGATCCTCGCCAAGCCATCTCACATTGCCGAGCAGGATGGTGGAATTGACACCCACAAGGTCTTCTGGGATGACCGATTCGTCGACGAGATCCGACAGTCTTACGCCGCCTCTGCCGTCTTCTTCCTCATTCCCGTCTTCTTGCTCGCTGACGGTGGTATCGGAAACGCTGAGAACGACATGTCCACTGCCATGGTTCTCAACGGTATTCCCAACGATGTGTTTAACAACTTCAACCCCCTTGCCATCATCGTCGCCACTCCCATCCTCACTTACGGACTTTACCCCTTCATGGAGAAGATCGGTTACCCTCTCAAGCCCATGACCCGGATGTGCATTGGTTTCCTGCTCGGAGGTGCCAACATGGTCATCGGTGCCATCGTTCAGAAGAAAATCTATGCTACCTCCCCCTGTGGCGACTTCGCCACCAACTGCCCAGCTGGTGTTTCGACCGTCTCCGTCGCTTGGCTCATCCCGTTGTACACCATCCCCGCCGTCGGAGAGTTGTTCGTCCTCGTCACCTCGTACGAACTCGCCTACACTCGATCTCCCGCTCGAATGAAGGGTCTCGTTTACGCCATCTGTCTCTCCAACTCTGCGGTCGCTGCCATCGTTGGACTCGCCAGTGCCGCTGCCATTGTCGACCCCTACCTCACCAACACCTACATTGTCCTCGCTGCCCTATGTTTCTTCCTCGCTCCATGCTTCCCCATCTTCTTCAAACACCTGGACCAGCCCATGTTTGATTTCCAGGACCGAGAACGAATGGAGGGAAAGCATCAGCAAGATTTCTTCGCCAAGCATGCTCAGCAGGAAGATGGAGAGTTGGCTTACAACTCGAACCATGGTAGAATGGAGGATATCTCTGAAAAGGTGTAGTTAAGTGTAGTCTTGATTTCTTGGTCAACGGCGCGCTCGTAGTCTTTGTAGACATAGTGCATATGCTCTGTCGGATTGATTTTGCCAGACGCGGAATGGTCGTTCCGGATCGCCGCATCGTCCGAACCATCCCCACTTTACATGCACACGCTCATAAAGTGTGGCTATCGACACCGAACCACCTTGACATTGTCCAACATGGGATATCCGCGCACCAGTTATGCGTCCAGTAAGTGCGCAGGAGGGCATGGCTGATGCACAGGGCCTCTTCTCGAGGTGAACGGGGTCAAGGTGGGGGGTCAGGGATCGCACCGCTGACCATCAGCACCGTCTCTCCCAATTCATCGGAGGCACCTATGCCGAGACCAACCTGTCATCCGTCCTGATCAAGGCCCGCTGTGACGATGTCAGGCTCGAAATGTGGTCTGCTCCAGGTCACACCAAGCCCACGTTTGACGAAGCAAAGTCCAAGCTCGATGGAGGTGCGGGCAAGGTCGTCCATCCTGGCGTCAAGTTTGGTCCGAGCTGTGAGGGCCGGGATCTGGGAAGAAGAAACTGATGAACAGATACCAATCACTGGATCAAGATAACCATGACCATTCCCGAAAGCTGGGCTCAACAGCCGGTTGAACTCCATTTTGACCCGTCCTGCGAGGCGATGATCTTTGATCATTCGGGCGATTCTCTCCAAGGTGAGGCACAATTATCATCTCACACCCCCACTGATGTAAGGCATCACGGGTGGGTTCGACTACAATCGTCGAGTCGAATGGATTGTACCCGCCGCCGAAGTCGCCCAAGGCAAGTGTGTGAGGTATATCGAGGTCACAGCGAATGGCATGTTTGGTTTGCAGCCCTCGGATCAAGCCGATGTGAGATTTTGGTCCGGACAAATCACTGACTTTTGAGCCCAATGTCTATTACACGCTCAAAACAGCGGACATTGTCCTCCCCAACATCGAGGCCCAGGCCCTGGCCCACGACTTTGAGATCCTCCAGCAACTCGCCACGACTCTGCCTGAAAAGTCGCCCGTCGGAAACAAAGCCCGAGCCGTCGCGAATGACATTATGAATATGTGGCGAGGTCGCCCTGAAGACGTTGCACGAGGCCGAGAGATGGCGCAGCAAGTCTTTGGCAAAGATTGGGAAGGTCAAGTCTCCGAGAAGCAACAAGATGGGGACGCTTGGGCCATCGGATACTGCCACATTGACACAGCTTGGCTTTGGCCATGGTCCTCGACCAAGCAAAAGATTGCCCGATCGTGGTCCTCCCAGCTCGACCTGATGGATAGATACCCTGAATTCAGGTTCATGGCCACGGCCGCTCAGCACTTTTCATGGCTCGAGGAACTTTATCCAAAGTTGTTCAAACGGGTCCAGGAGAAAGTCAAGTCGGGGCAGTTTGGTAAAGTGAAAGCGACATCGCCCCTGCTGACAAGGAAGAGATCAACGGCGGATGCTGGGTTGAGACGGATGGCAATTTACCCAGCGGCGAGTCTCTCTGCAGGCAATTCCTCTACGGGCAGAGATACTTCAGGTCCAGATTTGGAAAGACTACCGATACGTTGATCCTGCCTGATTCTTGTGAGAGGAGTACCGTAAGAGGAGGTCGAGCTGACTTTAGTCGGATTCGGACCGACTATTCCTCAAATCGCTCGTCTCGGAGGATGTCAATACTATTTCTCCAATCGGGTCGGCCTAATGGCAGTGTGAGCTTAAGACCAAGATACCTCCCCACTGACTCCAGTGACCCCTTCCCGTACACCTCGTTCAATTGGGTCGGCTTGGACGGCTCTCAGCTGCTCTCCCACGTGACGCCCATCACGCGATACGATTCCCTCGCGACCATTGAGGAGATCACTCGCGCTCACTCTGGACACAAGAATCAAGAGTCGTCTCCCGATTCCGTCATTGCGTTTGGACACGGGGACGGTGGTGGTGGGCCACGTCCACTTCTCCTCGAACGTCTTCGACGGGCTCGTGCCGCCGGCCAATTGTCAAATGGGCAGAGTGCAGAGATGCCTCTGGTCAGACAGTGTGCCACACTGTCTGACTTTTTCAAGCATGTCCAAAAGACGACGAGAGATGGGACCGAGCTACCGGATTGGTAGGTGGCGACGATGACACGAAGCTGACTCGCCAAAGGAACGGCGAGCTATACCTTGAAAACATGCGCGGCACATTCACCACGCAGTCCAATACCAAACGAAACTTTAGAAAGTCGGAAAACCTGTTGCGCGAGGCCGAGCTGTTCTCGACCCTGGCTTCGATTCACACGGGCTACTCGTATCCCAAGGAGGTAGGCCATCCGTCATTGGCCTTTTTCCTGACAGCCTAGCGCCTTGACAAGACGTACCAGGCACTCTGCCTCTGCATGTTCCACGACACTCTCCCGGGCAGTTCGATCCGACTCGCAGTGGAAGACTATGATCGCGAATTCGCAAAGATCCAAATGGCAGCGACTGAGATGAAGGACAGTGCCATCCGAGCCCTTCAGAGCAGGACCACTGGATCCACCAAGGCCGTCATCAACACGTTGCCCGGTCTGTCCCGGAGTGAAGTGGTAGAGATCAGCGGAGGCGACTACAAGGTCATCACTGCCGGAGTAGGGGATCTTCACGGCAGAGAAGTGGCGGTCCAAGCGGATCAAGCGGTATCTGGTGGGTCGCCAGCTAGAGCCGGACTCACGCGCAGTCGATTGCATCGAGGGCGAAGCAGTGCTTCAGAACGCCTCGCTACGGGTCAAGATCGCACACGGCAGAATCACAAGCATCTGGGATATCGCCCAAAAGTGAGAGGGACGCACGACGATTGCGCTGACGATCAGGCGCGAGATCCTTTCCCCTGGCTGTACTGCTGGATTCCGACTCCACGAGGATCATCCCGTCGAGGGAGAGTGAGTCAGGCCACATAAAGGTCCATCGCTAACGTCCCAGTGCTTGGCAAATTGACCAATTTGACCTCGACGACTATGATGACCTCGCCTTTTCTTCATGCACCGTTACATGCTCGGGACCGGCCCGAGCTACCGTGGAGTGTCAGTTGAAGATCGGCAAGAGCGATGCGGTCGTGCGCATTTCACTCGACGCCTGTCCGGCTTCCACCGCTGTCAGTGCTCGCAGCCTCCTTCGATTCGACTGCCAGGTCGACTGGCACGAACGACATCAATTGCTTAAATTCACCTTGCCCCTGTCTTTCCATGCGGATTACGCGACGTACGACGCGGCGTTCGGTGTGCATCGACGACCCACGACCAGGAACAACTCGTGGGAGACCGCCAAGTTTGAGGGAACTGGTCACAAATTCGCAGACTACAGCGAGTTCGGTTACGGTGTCGCCATCCTGAACGACTGCAAGTATGGTTATGCCGCTCAGGGGAATCTCCTATCCCTCAGCTTGCTCCGAGGTACGAACTCGCCAGATGGCGAGGCAGATCAAGGAGGTCACCGATTCTCATTCGCCGTCTATCCGCATGAAGGGACTTATGCCGAGAGCGATGTCCAGGTGGTCGCTCATGCGTTCAATAATCCGTTACAAGGTGAGAGGCTTAGATAAATTCTGCTCACACCCTCAGTCGTCAAATCCCCTCTTGTCTCAGACTTTTCGACGCTTCCATTCAGGCTCGAAGGGGCTCGCAACGTCCTCATGGAAAGTATCAAGCGTGGGGAGGACGATTTTGATGCGCATTCATTTGTCGAGCACAAGGGATCCAAGACGGTCATTCTACGTCTTCACGAGCACATGGGAGGTCGGGCGATCACGAAATTGGTCTTGTGAGTGTGTGGCATCATCTGCACAGCCTTTTCTGAAACGCTGTAACAGGAGCAAGATTCAAGTCAGCAAAGCTGAGCTGGTCAACGTCCTCGAGGACAGCTTGGAGGATCTCGACGTCAAGACGGATGAGGAGAGTGAAGAGATTGACCTAGAGTTCAGAAGCTTCGAGATCAAGACTGTAAAGTTGACCCTTGTATGAGTTTGAGTGCCACAATGCAACGCGCCACAGTTGTAAATGTCGGCGTCGCGTCCAGTGCGGGAGGGGGAAACCGTTTGCGGCTATGAGAGCGGAACGAGTATTTACCTGCCTCGTCCACAGCGATCGTCCCTTCTCGCATCTCTCGCCTGATGATCCTATCTGTTTGTGTATCGAGGGAGGATGGAGAAACGTATCAGCGGGTGCATCGCATGTTTATCCGATGCACGATAAGCAAGCAAGCAAGCTGTGCGGGAATTGAAAGACGAGCGGACCAGGCGATGCACAAAGGGAAGTTGCCAATTTGCCCTGGGTTTCAGCCCTATAGCGTAGTGTCAACAGGTCGGACTTAACACGCGAGGAGGATATAAAGGAAGGATAGATATCATCCTTCTTGGTCTCCATACCCCGTATAATCATACTCGCTCTTTTCTCACACCTCGACCACAACCCATACGTATCAACATGAAGTACACCCTCGCAGCTATACTCACGCTGGCTATTTCAGCCGTCGCTGTTCAAGTGACGTTCCCCTCTGAGACGGAAGGATGGGAGACCAACGGTTCTCAGTTGGTCGAATGGAAGGTGAGCAAGTCAACCTCAAGTTTTCGAGCTGACCCAACTCCAGTCCGTTTCTACGGATCCCACGAGCTGTGATATTGAACTCACGACCCCCAACAACAATACGCCCACGACCATTGCCAAAAACGTCTCTGTCGCCGAAGGATCATACATCTACACGCCGAGCTCCCCGCTTCAAGCAGGTAATGGATACAGGCTCAACCTCGTCGCTTCGGGAACCATCTCCATCCTCGCGCAGAGCCCACAGTTCAACGTGACCCAAGGCACGAGGTGAGTAAGGATGTCATGGTTTGCCATTGACGTCTCCAGCACCGTCACACCTACCTCGGGCATGTCGCAAACGTCAACGTCGGCTACTCACACTTCCACCACAACCTCCATGTCTGCATCGGTAAGTCGTCACCTCACAGACCCCCACAAGCTGACCATGGTAGGCTTCTGCGAGTCACACCAGCGGCGCTGCGACCCATCTGACCGCTCCTGTTTCTGGTCTGGCTCTGTTGATACTTGGTGCGGTTGGAGCCATGGCTTGAGACCCCGTCTCACAAGGACAATTTTTTACATCACATACATCAGGACATGCTACAAGTTAATGATTACAAGCCGTCCAGGGGCAACTTGGGGTGCCAATCCCAGACATCCAACATGGGGCAGAGCTCCCTGACGCTGATTGTTTTAAAACCTTCACGTTTGACAATTCTGACAGAACCTCGCCCGAGTCGTTCACTGACGATATTCCTGAACCTCTCCCGACCCGAGTTCCACCAATGATAACCCCACCACTGCTCCAATCTGGATCGCTTCTTCTTTGGCCCGTTCAGGTGCACAGCCACTGGTACCTCGCCAGTCTTGGTATGATGCAGAAGGGACGGGTAGAGCGCCCATGGCGTCACGAGATCGTCTGAAGTGGTCGGATCTGGCGGGTATCGGGTGTTGACAAATTTGACCTGGTCGAGGTCCTCATCGGCAGCCCAAAAGAGTCGAGACCAATAGTCGAGTCGTATCTTCCCCTGACTGAGGAGGACGTTGAAGGCACCTGACGTCAGATGTGAGCCTCAACATGCGCCCACCTTGATCCCCATCAAACTCAAAGTCGTCCCTGTCCAGCACACTGATCAGCTCTGCGTATAGGGTCTTCATGGCATGAAGACGACCGATGATAGACCCTGAATTGGCGTACTGTGGCCGTATGCCGCTAGGACACGTCAGCGTCATCCCCAATGTTCCTCACTTTGGACTGAAGATGCTCAGATCACTCTCGTCGTCCTTGTCATGGTACAGTCCGACGGGTAGCAGGGATGCCGGCGCGCGGAGGCATGTTTCCTGAGAGAGATTTCAGCCCAGTTTACCTCATCGCCATACACTGCTCTTGTCATTCGGCCAACACGACTTCTGAGTCGATGCAATGACGTCCGAATCATATTCCAAGAAGCGACGTGCCATGACTGTCGGAGAAAGCTGAAGCCAAACATCCGAGGCGTCGATCATGACTATCAAGTCATCTTCGGCCATATGCTCAGAGTGTGATGGAGAGGCAAGCAACTTGGCGAGACCTTGCCACATCAGTCTGAGCCAACATTGATCTCTCACCGTGCACCTTGCCGTGGAGAAAATTTATATCTTCCTTGTCCCAGTTGTAGACGATAGGCTCCCAGCCGTTCACAATGGCACTCTCGATACTTCGGCAGAAGCGTTTGTTCTTCTTGGCCGTGGCATGATCCATAGGCATCAGCAAGTGTATCCGAGGAAGGGATCCATTTGAGATGCTAAGAGGTAGGGCCGATCCATTCAGCGTCCGGTATGGCGTCGCTTCGGGCGACCGCAGATGAGTTCTGCCAAGTTCGACACGGTACTCGTACACATGGTAGATGAACAGTGCAGTGACACACAATGGCAGGATCAACACGCGAGGAAGTACATAGAGCAGCTTTTGCGTCCGCAGCAGCATGACTGTCAGTACAGCAGTGAAATCAACGACAAGTGACGAGGACAAAGGCGCCCGCATAAAAGTCCTCGGGGCAGTCTCGCCCGAAGGGAGGTCTAAGTCCCCTTTATGAGCCCCGCGAGCCCTGGGGCCTGATGCCAAGTCCAGGGCGGTACATCCTAGGTCAGGTATCGTGAGACCGAATCAAGCGGAGTATTCCGAAGATACGACATGCGATGGATCAAGGCGTTCATAATTGAGAACGGTCCTTGACGACAGGACGAACGTCTTAAAGCTTCATGCTGATGATCTTACTGATTTGTGGCGGAAATCACGGAAGCAAAAAGCAGGCAATCTGGACCGAAGAGGTGTGTGGCGGAGATTGAAATGAGCTCGTCATGACGGGGTGGTTTGGTCTCTTGGCACAGGCCTGGTGGGCCTGGTGTGGTCGTGTCAGAGGAGCCCGTGGACATTTAGCGAAGACTGATGCCAGTGAAATAGGCTCCTCCCTTCGGCTCTAAGCCCTTCTCTCCGCCTCGGACAGCCAACCCCTTGCTTCCGATCACATGGAATCACATGAGGGAGGATCTGGAAGCCACTTGAATATGCTGGAATCCCATGACCCAGACACCAAAAACCTGAATCTTTTTTGTTCTGACCAATTCGACCCCTCTCGCACCGACAGCCGGGCGTCATTCTCTCAAGTGAATTTGCCACCGAAAAGCTCTGACACCACGCTCCTCACCGAACACTGAAGACATGTCTCATCATCCGCCCGCCGCTTGCCATGATCCGCCAGCTGTGGATCTTTTTCACCGGGAGAAAGAAAAAAGTTTTGAGCAGGTCTTTGTTTGTAGATCGCTCCGAACTTTTTCATGGATCATCGGCGCGTCTTTCGAAACACCGCTCGCTCCTTTGTCACTTTTGGCCCCCCCCCGCCGCCCCGCCCGGTTGAGCCCCCCCGCCGGGAGCTCCGGATATTAAATCATTCCTTGGGGGTGAAGACAGAGAGACACACCAAGAAAAAGGTTTTGGGGGCAAAAAAACAGTCGTCGTGGGTTTGATCGGTTGGGCGATTCTGCCGGGGATCCAAAGCCAGCCAGCCAACTCTGCCACGTGTCAAATTGCCAATTTCGGCGCGCCCCCCTATGTGTCTCCGTCACTGAAAAAAATTTTCATCCTCGACCAGCTTTTTTTTTTTGGGATCCAACATAAAAAGAGCCTTTGTTCTTGACTTCATCGCACCACACCCCTCTCCTCTTCACTCTCAACCTCATTCACATCTTACATTCACACCACACACACACCTCTTGAGCAGTCTCTGGTATCTACACCAGCTGACTCTCCTCCTGAAAAAAAAGGTCGCGCTCAACACTCTCTGGCTGCTATAGACCAGCGACCCGCACACATCTATCCGACCTCACGTCGTCGAGATCACTCAAGCTTCTGTAACCTCCATACCTGAGTGAGTGGCGAGCTCTTTTTATCATACGAACGCCTAGTCTGACCATACGTGACAGAATCATGACCCCCAGCGTCGCTGCACCTACCACCGGACCTATCAAGCCCGGCATGTTTGACATCTCCACCGTTTTCGTCGCCGACAAGGCCAACCGTGACGAAGCCGCCCTCAACCTCGCTGCCTCTACCAAGAAGGAGGGCATCGACTTCCTCGGCTCCATCTCTTTCTCTGATGCCATCATCAAGGTGAGTGCTATTGAGCCATGGTCGCACACCCTGCCCCCCTCCTATCTCTCCTCTCTCTCCCCAAAACGTCCGCTCTTCTTGAAAATTTTTTCAATCCGCTTCGCCGCCCCTCCAATTCAATTTTTGATTCCGCCACTCTTTTGCCACCTTTATCGATATGGCGTGTAATCTACACGTGGCAGTGCCACTGACACCATCCCTCAGGCTCTTGCCGACAAGAAATCCGCTGCGGCTCGTGAAGCTGCTTGCTCTGCCATCTCCACTCTTTGCGAGAACGGAGCTGCTTCCCTCCTCGAACCCTATGTCATCTCCTCCGCCGCCGACAGCCCATTCCCAGCCCTTCTCGAGGCTTTTGCCGACAAACAGGCCGAAGTTCGAGATGCCGCCGTTGCCGCTGTCAAGGCCGTCGTCCAGTCTATGAACCCTTGGGCCACAGGAGTCATTCTCCCTGCGCTTTTGAACCAGATCCGAACCGCTGGAAAGTGGCAGATCAAGACTGGATCGCTCGAGATTATCAACCAGCTCGTCATCTCCGCACCCGAGCAGATGGCTCTTGCCATGCCTGATTTGGTTCCCGTCCTCGCTGAGGCCGTCTGGGACACCAAGACAGATGTCAAGAAGGCCGCCAAGGCGACCTTGCAAAAGGCTGTCGCTCTTGTGCAGAACAAGGATGTGAGTGAAAGGTCGAATTCTCGGAGCTTCAGCTGACCCATCGTGTAGATCGAGAAATTCATCCCCGCTCTCGTCAAATCCCTCCTCAACCCCATTGAGGAGGTTCCCAAGACCATCACCCTCCTTGCTGCCACCACCTTTGTCGCTGAAGTCACAGCACCTACCATCTCCCTTATCGCTCCTCTGTTGATCCGAGGTCTCGATGAGCGAGCCACACCCATCAAGCGAAAGGTCTGTGTCATCGCCGACAACATGTCCAAATTGGTCAACTCTGAATACACTGTCCGACCTTTCCTTCCCCAACTCTTGCCTCGTCTGATCAAGACTGGCGAGACCATTGCCGACCCCGAAGCTCGATCCGTCTGCAACCGAGCCATTGCTACTTTGCGACGAATCGGAAAGGTCCCAGCCGAGTCTGACGGTACCAACCTTCCCGCTCTCAAGGTTGCCGAAGGTCCCGCTCTCGCCACCAACTTTGTCGCCCTCGTCAAGAAGCACGGAGGCGCCACTGTCGAGCAATCCAACCCCGCTCTCTTGTACGCTGGAACCCTCGCTGCTTCCCTCGTCAATGCCCACAACTACGACCAAAAGACCTGGGAGGCCACCCTTCCCAAGTACCTCAACCTCGCTATCCCCCACTACGACTCCATCCCCGCCGTCCTCGAACTCTTGCAGAAGAAGGCCGACGAGGAAGAGTCTGATGACGTCAAGTTTGACGATGAGGAGGAGGGTGAAGACCTCTGCAACATTGAGCAATTCAACTTGGCCTACGGTGCCAAAATTCTGCTCCACCACGCTTCCATGCGTCTGAAGCGAGGACACCGATACGGTCTTTGTGGACGAAATGGTTCCGGAAAGTCGACTCTCATGAACGCCATCATCAACAACCAAGTTGACGGATTTCCTCCTCCCACCGAGGTTCGAACCTGGTACGTTCAACACGACATTGACGGATCCGAGGAGGACATCTCCATCATCGACTGGGTCGCCTCTGACAAGCGACTCAACTGCACCATTGATGAGATCAAGACTACTCTTGACTCTGTCGGATTCGATGAGGGCAAGCAGAAGCACTCTATCGGATCTCTGTCTGGTGGTTGGAAGATGAAGCTCGCTCTTGCCCGAGCCATGCTCTTCAAGGCCGATATCCTTCTCCTCGACGAGCCCACCAATCACTTGGACGTTGTCAACGTCACCTGGCTGATCGACTACCTCACTTCCCTCACCCACTGCACCTCCATCATGGTCTCGCACGACTCTGACTTCCTCAACCGAACGATCACCGACGTCCTCCACTTGAACAACTTCAAGCTCAAGCGATACCCCGGTAACCTCGAGACTTTCGTCAAGCACGTTCCCGAGGCCAAGGCCTACTACCAGCTCGAGGCGTCTGAGGAGTACACCTTCAAGTTCCCCGCTCCTCCTCTTCTCGACGGTGTCAAGACCAAGGAGAAATCCTTGCTCAAGATGCGAGACGTCAGCTTCCAGTACCCTGGATCTCCCGTTCAGCAACTTTACGACATCACCCTCCAAGTGTCTCTCTCCTCCCGTGTAGCCATTCTCGGTCCCAACGGTTCCGGAAAGTCTACCTTGATCAAGCTCCTCACTGGTGAGACCGAGCCCAACAAGGGAGGTCAAGTCTGGAAGCACCCCAACTTGGTCATCGGTTACGTTGCCCAACACGCCTTCCACCACATTGACAACCACCTCGACTCTACTCCCCTCGAGTACATGCTCTGGCGATACCAGACCGGAGAGGATTTGGAAGAGCTCCACAAGGCCAACCGAATCATGACGGAGGAAGAGGAGAAGAAGATGAAGGAGGGATCCACCTACGTCAAGGACGGTGTGAAGCGAATCATCGATGAGATTGTCGCTCGTAAGAAGCTCAAGCAGTCCTACGAGTACGAGGTCACATTCAAGGGCATGTCATCTGCCGAAAACATCTGGCTGCCGCGGACAGAATTGATCGACCGTGGTTTTGAGAAGAAAGTTTTGGAACTCGACACAAGGGAAGCCCAACGTCTCGGATTGATGCGTCCTCTTGTCAGGAGAGAGATTGAGAAGCACTTCGAAGACTTCGGACTCGAGGCAGAATTCACCTCTCACAACTCGATGAGAGGACTGTCCGGAGGCCAAAAAGTCAAGGTCGTTTTGGCTGCTGCCACCTGGAGAAAACCTCACATCATCGTCTTGGACGAACCAACCAACTATTTGGACCGAGAGTCTCTCGCTGCCTTGATTGCTGGTCTCCGGTCGTTCGAAGGTGGTGTGTGCATTATCACACATCAACAGCAGTTCTCCGAGGAGATTTGCAAAGAGGTAAGTTCAAACATTAAAATACATATGTGGATTGTTGCTTACAGCTCTATTAGGTCTGGGCAATGCGTGATGGTCACCTGGAAGCATCTGGACACAACTGGGTCGAGGGACAAGGTTCCGGAGAAAGAATCGACAAGAAGGATGGCGCAGAGGATGAGGAGGTTGAGCTCGACGCCATGGGCAACCCTATCGTCAAAGCAAAGAAAGAGAAGAAGAAGTCTGCTGCTGAGCTGAGAAAGGCCAAGAAGGTTAGTCCCGCCGTTGTCGCAGCATAGTCGATCGATTACTAACTGATATTTAGGACCGTATGGCCAAGCGCAAGGCCGGTATCGAGGTCTTTACGGACGACGAACTCTAAACCATTCGCTCCTCCGTGCGAGATGCTCGTTCCGTCCAACCGTCGATACTGGGCTCTGTAGATGCTTTTCCCGCACTGCAGTGCCGCTCGTTTGGGTCATATAATAATTTTTGTGTACTCTCTCCAAACCGTTAGACGTCTTAGAGTGGTAGACCGTGTTTGTACATTATATCTCGTGTCAGGTCTTCACAGGACTGGCTTCTCTGATGATTTGACGATGCATACCCGTTTCAGACAGACATTTACCTTGTTCACTTGTTCATCGCCGCGAATCATCTGAAGTGCATGCTCTGCATCGGTGCGCCGTCACAAGCGTTGTGTCAGCCTATGCCCTACTGGTATTGACAGGATGAATACGTCCCATGCCCGTCCTCAAGCAACAGCGAACAACGAAGACTTGACCTTGTCCAATCGATCTCGCGCCAGGTCCCTTTCCTCGACCAGACCTCTTACTCTCGTCTGCTCAATCGCTAATTGAACTTCAAATCTTGCGACCTCTGTCTGATGTTCGCTTTCACATCTCGCCAGTTGCCTCTCCAGGTCATACATTCGACCTTTCTGTTCATGATTCTGCGACCTTGCCGCGTCCAAAGCTGTCAGGGCGGCGGACAGCTGATCCTGAAGCTGGTTGAGGTGAGTGTCTTTAACAGCCACAGCACTGGACGGTAGGGCCAATCGCTGACTCGAATTGGACGAAGTGATGGTGATGCTTGGAGTCCTCGATGTCTGTGAGTAGGTCGATTGACCTGAGCTTGACGAAGAATGCGATGACAAGGGGATAGACGAAGGGACTGCGCCGGGTCGCAAAGACGACAAGTACGAGGCCTCCTGTACCCCTGACATTCGCTGTAGTTTTTCGTCCATCTCGAGCAGCGTATGCCTGAGCAGTGCAAGCTCTCTAGCATCTCTTTCAATCTGCTTGTCCTTGGAGATCAAGAGGTCGTGCAAGGAGTCGACAATGGTATGCACTTTGGTATTGGTATTGGCGGGCGGATGTCTCGACTCCTCGGTGGATCGTCTGCCAGGTGAGCTCTTCATATTGGATTCGGGCTTGTTGGAACCAAGCTTGAGCAGACTGCTCAGGCTTGTAAAGCTAGCACTGCGTTTCGCCTTGCCCCCACTGCTCATCGATGGAGACAATTCGAATGAGCTCCGATCCGCTTCGAGGGCGAGATTAGATGATGATTTGGCTCGATGGAAAAGGCCCAAGCCGAAAGAAGGGGACGGTGACATGGCAGACGTGGATGATCGAGGTCGACCGGTGGGCTCGCGGGTGGTAGACTCGCGCGGGGATTGATCCGTCGGTGAGGCTGACAGCGGAGGGGACAGGACATTCATCGAGGACCATCGATCGGGTGGGGACAGAATCTGTGCCGGGTCTACTGCCGGCTTGCTCTCCATCGACGGCCGACCACTGTAGGGCGAGTCTCCCGCTGTCGCGCCTCGAAGATCGATCGGAGACAAGAGTCGTGGATCGTACGGAGAGCATGAAGAGCTGCTCATCGATAGCTCCTCCGAGTCATCTTGCAACATCTTCGCACTCAAATCTCCCCAATTCTTCAACAACCATGCCAAGACAACTTGACTGTCATTGACTAATGCAGAGATCTTGTCACTTTCACTGGCATCGGATCCTCTCCCAACGGGCACAGGACCAAGCCCGCTGATGCCTTTGCCTCGCGGTGCGCAGACCGCAGGACCAAAGATGATGGAAATGGAGTCAATGTTGAGGCGATTGTCTGGGAACAGAGGCAGTTGACCGAGAAAGGCGAGAAGGTACATGAGGAGCGAAAAGTGCGGAGGAGGCAAGAGTTGAAGGAGAAGCTGAGCTGCAGTAATTTGAGCTTCTGGACTGAGTGGTGGTGGTGTTCCTGGCTCCCCTGGCACCGGGTCTGTCGCGCAAAACTTGAGCAGTGCGGGGAATATCGCTTCATCGAGAATGGGCTCGGGTAGATCTCTGACGTAGCGCTTGATCAGTCCGGTGAGGTTGTGTACAGGTTCGCCATCGAGAGGTACCCCATCACCGTATAGAGGTGATGTGTTATATGTATCGATTAGGTGTGATAATCGATGTCCATCGCCGGCGAGGCGGAATATCCCAGGCTGTGACATACCTTGCGGATCAGCGGAGACGCGGTAACGGACTCACCCCTCCGGTAGATCTCCTCGGTCACTGTGAACATCACCAACGGCAGATCATGCTTCTGACCACCGATCAAGGATGTACACCATGAGCCGTTTGGTGCCTCGTTTAGTGCCACGCCAAATACGGGTCCGTCGTCAGTTGAGAGAGACTCGATCAAAGGTGAAGAGGCCTCCTCCGTAACTCCTCGTTTCCCAAAATGCTTCCAGAGTCCAAAGACCCGCTTTCCGCCCCGATCAGAAGACGCGGATCGGGAATGACCTTTGGGCGCATCTGCTTCAGCCGTATTCAACTGTGAACCACTGGTAGATGCCGAACTCGTTCGTCGACCCAATGACCCTCCATTTTCGCCAGGCGGATAAGCTCCAAATCCCTTCTCGTGAGCCGCATCCACCCTTGCCAAGAGTCCGGGTATGTCAATGACATCTTGGAGATCTTTCGGCTCCTTCCCCAGTACCTCGGCGAGCTGATTGATCATCTTGAGTCGGGACGAAATGTGTGGCGGGACAGCCTCTCGTGACTCGGTCGAAGAATCAAACAGATAGGTCTTGATCGCGGGCAGAAGACTCGTGAGCCGAGAAGTCGGACTGATCGTTGGCATCGCTGGAACATCAGCAGTCGCCGGATCGGGGCGCGTAGTGCTGGCGGCTGCGCTCTTGGCTCGACTGCGTCCTTTGATCGGTTTAGGCGCTTTGCCAAGGTTCATTGTGGAGGCCGGATGTCTGAGCTGCCTGCGAGGCGTGAGATGGGGGATCTGTGACTCGTCATCGCTGCCGCTCAAGACTGGCACAGGTCGTCTTCGAGGCGATTGTGGCGCCGGACCCGATGCTCGTCGGACCGGAGGGGATAGACCATTCGAAGGGGTCTTTCGTCGATGGCTCGCCTTGGGCACAGGAAGCGACGAGGGACTATTGGGACTGGAGGCGATGGTAATGGGCGATTGTAGTCTAGGCGAGCCTCTAGCAGTGAGGCCCGGGGATGCTGGCTGAGGGATACGGGAAGCGATCTTCGAATGAATCGTAGCGGGTGGGCCAAGTTTCGGCGTGTCAGGAGCTGTGGTTTCTGTCATTGTTGTTGTACCACTAATCTTTCGACCATTCGGCCCCAGAGGTGAAGGTGGAAGACCCCCAAGGCGAGGAATCTTGCTGGGACTCATTCCTGTTGTTTGAATGACAAGATCATCAGTTAACCCCCTCGGTCAGCGGTGAGAGTTTGCAAAGAGAAGCGAGCAAATGTCAGCGAGATCGATTGACTACAACCTTCAGACGCTGATAAACAACAAGTGGACCCTTTCAGCATACTGGTGCGACATGAGTCTTGCACTCATAAGTCTCAGTACGAGGCTGGCGGGGGTGTCACCCGCGGACGGCCAGGTGCAGACCGGACGCGGACCTCGCCGATATTTTGATCCACGTGACCTGAAAACTGCCACATTTGATTATGCCGAGTCTTCTCTCTCCATTCGATGGTCCGTTGATGCGATCACCAGGTCTATCAGTGCTAATTCCTATCGAGTATCGAGGTGGATCGCTAGTTGACAGCTTGTCATAGAGGGCCAAGATGTCGTCCGAGTACCCTTCGTTCTTCACGAGCGAGGAGATGTCGCTCGTGCAGATCTACATACCCTCAGAGACAGCACACTCCACGATCTCAGAGCTGGCGGAGCTTGGCGTTGTTCAGATCAAGGACGTGAGCAGCTTGTCACATACAGCTTTCTGACATTCCTCTACCCAGCTCAATCCAAGCGTATCGTCTTTCCAAAGACCTTTCACTCCGCGTCTTCGGCGACTTGCGGAAGCAGCCAGGCGGTTGAGACTTTTTGAAGGTCAGATCAAGTCTTTGTCACCGCCGTTGGGGATCCCGCCGCTCAGTGCGATCCCTCCTTTCCCCACTGTTGGACCTCGGGCTCAGAACGCATACGATGAGCTGGAAGAGAGGCTTAAAGAGCACGAGAAGAAGCTGAGCGACATCAATCGATCATTCGAGGAACTCAGCAAGCGTCGTGGTGAATTGGAAGAAAAGTCTAGCGTTCTCAAGGAAACGGCAGGCTTCTTCAACGAGGCAGAGCACCGACACACTGAGATTCGCACTTCATTCGACGATGGCGATGGCACACAGCCACTGTTGGAACACGCGGCGGAGTATGGCACTCTGCCAGGCGATTCCGGTTTGAGCGGGTTCGACCTCGAGTTCGTCTCTGGCACCATCGAAAGAACCCGAATGCCCACATTCGAGCGCATTCTTTGGCGAATCTTGCGTGGTAACCTGTACATGAACTATGCAGGCAAGTCACAGGCTCTCATGCTGAAGCTTTCACTCATATCACCTCAGAGATCGAAGAGCCCTTCGTCGATGCTACGTCCGGGAAGGAAACCGTCAAAGACGTTTTTATCATCTTTGCTCACGGTGCCGAGCTGCTTGGGAAAATTAGAAAGGTCTCCGAATCGATGGGTGCGACGTTGTATACCATCGACTCGTCTCAGGACAAGCGGGCAGACGCGCTTAGAGAAGTCAGCACTCGACTCGAGGACACGGATCAAGTCCTCAACAATATCAATCAGACCCGCCGAGTCGAGCTCAGCAAGATCGCCGAGAACCTCGAGGCATGGAAGGATGCTATTCGTCGAGAAGAAGAGGTGTACAAGACGATGAATCTGCTCAGCTACGATCAAGGTCGAAAAACATTGGTGGCGGAAGCATGGTGCCCGACTCGAGACCTCACCAATATCCAGCTTGGACTTCGACGAGCCATGGAGACGGCGGGCACGTCCGTGCCTGCTATTCTGTCCGAGCTCAGGACTCATCAAACACCCCCAACGTATTTCCAGACGAACAAGGTCACCGAGCCTTTCCAGGCCATGATGGATGCGTATGGTATCCCGACATATCAAGAAATCAGCGCTGGAACCATTGCCGTTGTGACCTTTCCATTCCTTTACGGTCTCATGTTCAGCGATACCTTCCACGGATTCTTGGTCCTGTTGACGGGAGCAGCTCTGATCTTTTACGAGAAAAAGCTCAGTCAGAAGAAATTGGATGAAATGCTCGGAATGCTATTCTTCGGACGGTACAATCTCTTACTCATGGGTATCTTCTCGATGTACGCAGGTTTCATGTACAACGACTTCGCTTCCAAGTCGGTGACTATATGGCAAAGTGGATGGGAATGGCCCGAGGATGCCAATGGAACGGTTGCTGCGGAAAGCACCGGCAAGGTGTATCCCTTTGGGTTGGACCCTGCTTGGAATGGCGCCGTCAACAGCTTGCAGTTTACCAACAGTTTGAAAATGAAGCTCGCCATCGTCATCGGAGTTCTACACGTGAGTGCACTCTAAGGAGGTACAAGATATCGAGTTGACGCCATTCAGATGACCTTTGGTATCTGTCTCCAAGTACCCAATCACATCCGATTCAAGCAACGAATCAGCATCTACGTCGAATTCATCCCCCAGATTCTCTTCCTCTGGTCCATCTTTGGCTACCTGATCGTGCTCATCATCGCCAAGTGGGCTACAGATTGGTCAAAGTCAGCGACCGGCCCACCAGGGCTGCTCAATCTTCTGATCGGAATATTCTTGTCCCCAGGCACGGTTGATCCAGCGACTCAGATGTATCCAGGACAGGCGTTCGTTCAAGTCACTCTACTCTTGATAGCCGTCGCTTGTGTGCCGGTCCACCTTCTTGGCAAACCATACTTCCTCTATCGCGAGCATCAACGGGTCGTAGGTCAAGGCTATCGTGGCCTCACTGGGCAAGAAAACGGACATCCCACCTCGGACGTGGACGAAGATGAAGAGGATGGAGTTGGACAGGCCGTCGCAGATGAAGGCCACGAGGAGCATGTGAGTGTCTGCTGTCGTCTGCTTCTAAACAACCAAAGCCCTGGGATTTTGCCGACATCATGGTACACCAAGTCATCCACACTATTGAGTGAGTCATAAATGTGCCGATATCGTCCTTCGCTTACAAAACTGCAGATTCTGCCTCGGCTGTATCTCCAACACGTGAGTGCTCCCCGCCACATGTCACTCACCTTCTAGTGCCTCCTATCTCCGACTCTGGGCGCTATCGCTGGCTCATTCGCAACTGTCCGACGTTCTGTGGACCATGACCATCGAGAAGGCTTTCCTTTTCGAAGGGGGCATTGTCGTACAAAGCGTTTTCATTTTCTTCATGTTCGCAATGTGGCTCGCCTTGACAGTTTTCATCCTGTGTTGCATGGAAGGGCTCGGATCGTTCCTTCACGCTGTCAGGCTTCACTGGTAAGTTACACGTCGTCATGTCTAGGCTATCGCTGACGCTCTACACGTTCCGCAGGGTCGAATTCAACTCGAAATTCGCCATGTGTACCGGAATCGCATTCCAGCCGCTCTCTTTCGCGTTTGAAGACGATGATGCGGATGCCTAGAAAGTGTCTCACGCATCTCGACCGTCGTCTCATAGACCATGCATAAGATTACCCGTGATACGCGTGCTGCGGCAAGAGCATCGTGGAGCCAACAACCGGGTGCTGACAGGGAGGAACCGATATCTGCTTCTGAGAGAATCGGTCTCAGTCGGACCACCTCGACTCGCTTAGTGTCTCAGGGAGCTGATGAAGCAGCCATTGCATTCCATGTTTGTGGACCGCTTACCAGTCCACAAACAGAGATAGTCATAGACAAGTCCAAATGCCGCTTTCGGAAACCCCAAAAATCGAAATGCCATCATTCGCGAATGGCCCTTATGTTCATTGTCTGTCAAACCCATCATGCTATAACGGTTCTGAAGCCTCGTCTTATCACCATGGCCAAGATCGTGTATACCTTCCGACTGGCTCTTTACACCATCACCCTTCTCCTTGTCTCCTTTCTCGCCGTGTTCATTGGCATTGTTTGCGCTCTGCTCGGACAACGTGTCAACACAAACTATTATGTCGCGAGGTCATTTTGGCTGATAGCGGGGCCTATCATGGGATGGAAGTTCCAGGTCGAAGGGGAAGAGTACTTGTGGAAACAGGATGGAGCTGAGGGATTCAACGGCGTGGCGGGGAAGAATGGACGGTGCGCGGTGATGCTGGGGAACCATCAAAGGTGAGAGCTACACAGTGACGTCGCTCATGAGTAGCTTTGTCGACATTCTCTATCTCGGTCGAATCTTTCCCAAACATGCTGCGATCATGGCGAAGAAAGAGCTCAAATGGCTACCTGGACTAGGATGGTTCAGTAGGTAGTGGAACATTCCGAGGCTTATCGCAGTGCTCTTGTCGGGTACCGTTTTCATCAACCGGTCCAACAACCGAAGCGCTGTAGCGAGTATGCAGATGGCCGGAGAGGATATGATGAGGAAACGAGTGGGTTATATCTCACACGCAGCCTCGCTTAACGCGCAAGATATCGCTCTGGATCTTTCCCGAAGGGACACGGTATCTTTCTGCCGAGAATGACTTGTTGCCTTTCAAGAAAGGCGCGTTCTATCTTGCGGTCCAATGTAGGTGATGGATCCTGATCCGCACTGACATCTCAGCCGAACTTCCCATCATTCCGGTCGTATGCCAAAACTATCACCATCTGTTCGACGGCAAGACTCGTTTCAGGAGCGGGACACTGAAAATCAAAGGTGAGTTTGTTGGAGGATCGTACGGTGCTCATTGCAGTCCTCCCGCCAATATCTACCGTTGGCAAAACCACGGACGATGTACCAGAGCTCATGAATCAGACTCGAGATGCCATGGTGGCTGCTCTACGTGAAATCTCAACGCCTACCGCTACACCTCGATCGTCTTTCTCCCGGAACGACTCGCCGACTCCTCTTCTCCATGGCGATCATGCCAAGACCTACGCCGCTGTAGCCGCTGCAGATCCGGACGAGCGAGTATCAGAAGAGACCCCGCTGAAAGGATCTAAGCGGAGCAAGAGACTTTCGGTCGCGTGAGTCGGAGGGGTCGTATCATCCATCAGTAGCTTATAATGTACGATGTATGCAATCAGTATGGTCACCGATTTCTTCTTACCCGTTGCTGGTGGCGTCGAAGGACATGTGTACTCGCTGGGGATAGAATTGATGAAGCGGGGTCATAAGGTGGGCAAGCCAGTCAGCAGAAGTTTAAATCTAGGTCATCGTCATCACACATCATCATCCGCCACGCACTGGAGTCCGCTACATTTCGACGCTGAAGACGTATTACTTGCCGATCCAACCCATCGCCTCCGAAGCCACATTGCCCAATTACCTGCTCCTATTGCCATACTTGAGAACCATCCTCTTGCGCGAAAAGATCGATCTGATCCATGCGCATGGAAGTCTGTCATCTATGGGGCACGAGGCGATCTATCACGCTCCACTGTTCGGAATAAGGACAGTGTTCACCGACCACTCGCTCTTTGGCTTTGGTGACGCAGTAGGAATCTTGACGAACAAACTGCTAGCGGGAGCTTTGCGCAATGTAGATGCGGCTATTTGTGTCAGTAACACGGGGTGAGCGTGCTGCAAGGGATTCAGCTGACGTGCAGACGGGAGAATACCGTCCTAAGGGGTCAAATCGAGCCTCAACTAGTCTCTGTCATCCCCAATGCGTTGATCCCAGAGAACTTTCGCCCCAATGCACGACCTTCTCTTCCGACGGATCAAAGTGAGTTTGTAGAGTCCGCTTCGCTGACGCCAGTCACCATCGTCGTTATTTCTCGATTGGTCTATCGCAAAGGCATAGACCTGCTGGTGGCATGTGCTCCGCATATCTGCGATCTGTTTCCAGAGGTCAAATTCATCGTCGGTGAGTATGAGCAGGAAAAAGGCTCTCGCTCACTCTAGGCGGTGATGGACCCAAAATGGTCGAATTGGAGCAAATGCGGGAAAAGTATCAGCTTCAAGACCGTATTGAATTGCTCGGAAGCGTGAAGCCATCCGAAGTCTGCAACGTGAGCCTCCTCCTCGGCTCGTCTGAAATTGTCAGGTGCTCACAAGGGGCCAAATCTACCTCAACACGTCTCTCACTGAGGCGTTCGGCATCAGTATCATCGAAGCAGCGTGTGCAGGGCTATTCGTAGTCTCTACGCGAGTAGGGGGTGTTCCAGAGATCCTACCGGGAGACATGATAGAATTTGCCCGAGCAGATGAGGATGGCAAGTCTACGATCCTCGATGAGACTGACGACCAGATGTTGTCCGTGCTCTTTCACAAGCCATTCGAGTCATCAAGTCTGGTGCCCATGATCCTCTTCAGGCTCACGAGCGAGTCATAGGGATGTACGAATGGTCCGATGTGGCGGCCAGAACGGAAGCAGTCTACAATCGGGCACTCGATTCGCCTCCAAAAGACACCTTTGAACGCCTGGCGAGGTGCGTGACCTCTCGGAACCTGCTGATTCGCAGATATCTCAGCTTGGGACCTTTCTTCGGACCGATTCTGTGCTGTATCATGGCCGTGCAGCACTGGTTCTTACTCTTCCTGGATTTGATTCAACCTCGCGACACGGTAGAGCGAGTAGAAACCCAATGGAGCGTGGAAGAGTTTGCAAAGGTTGTCCATAGCTAGGACAAGTCCTGTTCTGGCTAGTCCAACAAAAAGCTTGCCCGTATCCCGTCTACGGAGTGCATTCACGAAGGGACGGCAATGATCCCCCACGGCTCGTCTACCTGTAAGACCTCGCAATCTCTCGGATCGGGCTCTGGTATACCTGTGGAAATTTGCGTTTCGACACAAGCCAGGTCCATGGTTTGGTCCACCACAAGGACAGGATGGTCTGACCGTCAGAAGGACAGCGACACCATTCGACTCACGCCAAATACCCTGGTGATAGCTTATTCCGATCGACGAAGGTACCCGGAAAGCTTTGACTGTCTTTGGATCAGGCCGGTCATCCTTGCCATTCAACGCGACAATGACTAGCATTTCCCCTCCGGGCGGCAAAGCATCCTCGCCCTTACCTCTCCACTGTAGTGTCAGCGCGGGCTGGCCCATCGACTAACCTCGCCTTTACCCATGGGTATGAATGCCTGGCTGGTGCACGGGTGCCTCTCTAGAATCTTGATCGGGAATGGTAGACCCCTCTTCAATCCTTCTTTTGGTGTGGCTCTGAAGACCGACACTGCCGTTTGAGCTGCAGCTTCGACCGGATAAGAATGACTGATGTCTGCCAACCGAGCATACTTTTGCGTCAGGCCATGAGGAGCGGGTTGGAAGTCTAGATCTTTGGGTCGCGTCCGTTCGTTGGGATATTTTCTGATAACTTGACCGTAGGGAGCAAAGCCGGATGCGGTGATCACTTCAGGATGCATGAACCCGTGATCGGAAAGGTCATGTTCTTTGTTTATCGGTGGCATTAGGGGTTCTTGTGTGGCTTCTGTGGTCGCTGTGAATGGAGAGATGCGAATGTGGCAGAACGGCTGGGGCGGCACTATGACTTCGCAGTCATCGACGCTCCCATCTCCAATTTGCTTCATCGTCAGCACAGCTATGAGTCGTGACCTACTGCCTCGATTAACGCATAATCAAGAGGCTACATATTTCAGCACGCGGATGACGACGCTACTCACTCCATCCAAAGTGTAGCAGTAATGATCTGTCCGTCAACCGAAGCCCTTTTCGTATGAACTCACGCCACGTCCCGACGTCATACGATACGCCCTGTGCAGATGTCGCCATAAATGCCCGCAGAGTGCTCAGGTCTGGCTTGTCGTCTTTTCCATTACGTGCTACGACGACCAGATATGCCCCACCGGGAGCAAGGGCGGGTTCACCAAGCGTGCCTTTGCCCATGGGAATGAAAGCTTGGGTGGTGTATTTATGCCTACTCGTTAGTCAGACGATACGCTTGTATTCACCTCTCCAGCATTTTGAGTGGGTGGATAAGCCCATCTTTGATATCTGCCTGCTTTTCTGCGTGTGTGAAACCGATGTACAACCCGCCTTTTTGTAGCTTGCCCTCTGGATAATTATGCTCCACCTTGAGCATCCGATGAACTTTGAAGGCGGTCCCTTGGTTGGCAATGGTGACGTGACTGCCTTTCGGCGCAGAAGTCGGTAGCGAAAAGCCTTGAATGACTTGCCCGTATGGCGCAAAGGCTTCCGGTGTAAGGGGGAGTGCGGGGATGGTGAGAGCAGTGGGCGCAATAGTTTGACCCGGAGCGAAGGGATGGCCATAGACGCGAAGCCGCTTCAAACCCCCATCTCTCCATCAGTCTGGAAAATCCAACGCAGACTCACCTGGGAATGTGGTCAATCTGATGTGGCTAAAGACTGTCGACTCGACACCCCTCTCGATATCAAACCAGTGCTGTCGATGGGGACCCAGAGGCTTTTGCGCCACAATTGTTGTCCAACTAGACTCGTTGGGATCGTCCTGACGGATCAGGAACCGAATACGTGCTACACTCACTGAGTCTGACAAATTCGCCTCAACTTTGCACGCCTGCAAGTCAGGGGAGATGACGACTGACGGACTCACGACAGGATAGTTGCCGGGATGAAACGCCGTGTCCACTTCCACCCATCTGAGGACACCTGGACAGCTCATCTTGATGACGACCCATTCACGGCGCTCTTGACCAGCCAGTACTCCTCCAGGAGCATACTTTCCCCTCCCCACTTGGGATCGTCTTGTCTCCCATCCATCCGACATGTCGAAGCCTCTGCCCGGGAGAAGCAGATTGCCAGGGGGTGAAAAGTTGGCATCTGAGCAGGCGATGATACGCGCGCTGGTTAGAGGAGAGAGAAGGTTGATAGGCTCTGTGCTTGATGGCGGGAGACTTTCATATGGTTCCGGTGCCACTGGATCTCCGTAAGCCCGGAAGCGTGCCTTTTGTCAGCGATGCCGTGGCCGCACCTCACCATACCACCGTCCGGGATCATCCGGACCATGACAGCGCTCCACACGCCTCTGGTCCCGATGTGTGATGCCCTGAAGATGTGTCGCTGGTTGGGACCTAGCTCGACTAGCGGAAGGACCTCTTGCCATCGCTCATCGTTCGGACTGAGGTGGCTAGTAGGCTCTGACAGGCTCAATGCGAAGACTTGACTTGCAGGCGCTTCGTTACCCGAGAAGTGAGATGTGTCGATGTCAAAGTATGTCAAGTGAGACAGTTTCGGTGCGAGCAGTATGATGACCCTTGGGGAACATCAGCTCGGCAGTCAGAGCTCGACTCACCAATCAAAAGTTGGATTGTGTCTCCTGCTCTCCCAGCCATCGTATAACGCGCCGTTGGGTCCAAATTGACCTTTCAGAGACGCTGAGGGCTAAATGTCAGCTTGGTAGACCATCGCTAACTTGCTATACGCTTGATCAGATTGTCCTTGCTGGCGAAAAAATCGTCTGAGCAGGACAATACTTTAGCGCCTAATGCTGCAGAGGATACCTCTGATTGGTGTCAGTCACATTCTGCGTCAGGGCAACTTGCCTGTCAGGAAGGGCAGCAGCTCTCTGTCAAAGTCTTCTGTTGGGATGCGTTCTGCCATATCGGGATACAATGATGCGAAGAAAGTATTACAAGAATAAGAAGACCTTATCGATACCAGTCGGGTCGGAAACCCTTCGGCTCTACCCGGTATCACGTATCCCGAGCTATAACCGTCTAAAACCGCCTACATGCGTATAATGACACAACAGATCGACTGATGGCTACAAATTCATCCCCAATTCCTGACCCATCCACACTCTATGCAGCTCCAAAAACTCATCTCGCGAGGACCAGCACCGCAGAAATCGCAGTGCCAAGTCGTGCCGTCGGTTGGCCGGGGTCGAGGAGAGGCACAAGCCTCGCAGGATGATACGGAGTTAGAGTTGATTAAAGTGCAAGTCGGACAGGGCCACTCGGCGGTAGGAGAGCTCTGCTTGAGCTTCACACGTTGATTGCGCTGAATCGTCTGCGAGTCCGCCGACCCTGACGATTTCACAGCAGCCACGGGGCGAGATAATGGCGTTGGCGTGACGATGACCGGTTCGTCATCGTCGTCATCGTCTCCTGTAAGGTCCACCGCGTCTATTCCGACGCTTTCTTGTTGAGCTTTTCGGACCTCTTCTTCGACCTCTTTAGCGTGTCCTTCGTCTGACGGATGACAAGCCTTGTCGTCGCGCATACGTCTTTCCGCCGCCTAGGAATTAGCGGAGCGCTCGAATGATCGTTCTCACCTCTGCCAGGACCTCTTTCATGCTCTTTCCCGCCACACTTGCGCCACCCAAGACACCACCCTTGCCCATTTTTCTCTGTGTATCGAGTCGTTTCTGAGCAGCTGCGAGACCACGAGCCTTGCCCATGTGTTCTGGGACCTTGAGACCGGACAAGTGATTGCCGTTGCCGTGGAAGCCCTCTCCAGAGTACCCTTTTCGCTTGAGTTCGTAGAATTCCTCCTCGATCTCAGCCAGCAGTTTGTAAAAGGAAGCATCGTGAGGTCCATGTTGAATATGTGTGAGCTCATGGAGCATTACTAAGACCAGTTGATCATACTCGTAGAACGTCGAGGTGTTTCCAGGCGGTCTCAATCGGAGATTGATCCGTTGACCGGCATTCATATTGTTGCCAAGAAGCGAAGGGTTGGATGGGAGGAACTTGACGTCAGGCAAGAGCCTCACAAAAAGCCTCACCTCTGCCAGTGTTCCGACTTTCCAATCTCGCTTCGACATGATAGGCTTAACCTGACTGGCAATCTTCTCCAGCAACGGCCTGACACTCATAAGTGATCGGATATGATCGGGTTACTCACCTCGCTTCATCAGATCGAGGACGGTTGGGAAGGTGCTCATATCTTCCGATGAGAGAACCAGACATGACTTCAAGCTGGCTATGTGAAACGCTTGAGCGATGTTGAACAACAATGGCCACCCATCGTCACGGTAGAGATGATGATTCAGCGCTCACAGAAGGGTCGAGAAGACCAAAGGGGAACTTATGTTTACGTAAGCTGTCTCGACTTCAGGTTGCATAAGGCGCATTGCGGCAGCTGCATCCCTTCACTCTGAGAACGCAGTACCTCAGACTTGACGTGGCCTCAAAGGCTTTCTCGCTCCTCCTTTGAGTCTGGAGTGAGGCCGCCAGGAGGGGGTCTCTCATTGCGGTCAAATCGGACGGACTGACTTCTCGACGGCAACAATCCAAGTCTTGGTGGGATGCATAGGAAGATGACAGGACATGCGCTTGTGTATTGCCGGTCTGTGTCTAGCCATGTCTTACGTCATTTCACGCATTCTTCATCTCCGCCTTGACGTCGTCCCAGTTCGTCGCTCTCGGCAACTCTGTCATCCTGCCATATCAGCTGATGTATCAATCAGAAACCCACTGTAATGTCCGGCCATAGCTACAAATATCAGCACAGCCTGGTAGTATCTCTCACCTTATACCGCCAAGTCGCGAAACTGCACGCAGCTCCTCTGCCATGATCCGATCCGGATCATTCGGGTCAAAGACGAATTCTTTCTGTGTCTGTTAGCTTCACCCGTTTGTACGACACTCACTCCATGGAATTGTAGGACTCGGCCCAGAATGACCGTCGAAGCGATCTTCCCATCGTCCTTCTTGACATCGTACCAGTGTTCCAACCGGCATTCCATGGAGAATGCAGATTCGCCCACATGTGGAGGCTTGACCATCCTACCGAGATGAGCAAAGGACTAGCTCGGTGACGTACTTTGAGTCTCGCTTGGTAAGACCTGAAACCTCCCATTCTTCGACCTCCCGTGGAGCAGCGGCACTGGTCATGTTTGCAGCTTCGACAAATGGCTCCGAGATGATGCTGACGCAAAATTCTTTCAAGTGTTTGATGTTGCTTGCAGTATCTGGAAAAGTCAGAAAGGCTGTCAGACCGAACCATTACCCTTCAATCCATCTGTAGTCTGGGGGTTCGCAGCGACAGAGATCATAATAACGGGGGGACTCGAAGAGACCATGTTGAAGTAGGAGAACGGAGCGAGCTGATGTTGTTGTTGAGCCTCGTCATGCAGGACTGGACTCACGTTGCCGACACCCTTGTCATCCATGCTCGATACCAAAGCGATCGGTCGAGGGACCTGCTGTCAGAAAAGCAATCGTGCCCGGCTCACAATCGCAGAGATCATCATCTATTTGTTGAGCTGCGACTCTAGGTAAACGCGCTCACCTTGTACATGGCGGGTCCTTCCATTTGTTCCGGATCGATAGCTCTCCATCCCTCCTGAGATTTAAACTTGTCTGCACCGGGCTGAAAACACCATTTCAGATTGAAAGACCCTTGCTTCCACATACGAGATCATTAACACCTTGCCCTAGTTTCCAGTTCGGGTCTGGCGTCTGAGTGTAGTGAAGCTCAGCCTTTCGGTCGAAAGGCGGCCGAGAAGCTTCTGCCTCTGTGGTCCCATCAGATGAATCTTGATCGTATGCTCTCACCTTTGAATGGTATATGCGGAGCCATAGTGGTGATGAGTTGATGAAAGAGAGAGAGAGAGAGAGATGAACAAATCCCGGTTTGCTGATACGGCAAATGTCCGGAATTTCCGGACTTGGTGACGTCTGCTCTTCTTACTGACATTTTGACAGTATCTCACAGTCTACTATATCAGTTCTTGCCACTTGAGAGCATCTATCAGGCTACTGCTGACTCCTGAGTGTCCATTCATCGCATTTGATATATGACTCATGGGCAAGATGAATTATGGGCTGTTAAGAGGATCCGGCCGAAAGCGCTCCCAAGTATGATATGTCCATTAGTAGGCGTCTGAGGTCAGACTAATCGCTCTGGGAGATTCTCAGGACATTAACGAGCCTCATGAGCCTACTCCGGCCCCTTAGTCTGGTCAAAGGCTCCAATCTGTGAACACATGGCTGGAGCACCGGCTCATCACAGCAAGCTATGGCAAGCGCCACAATTGGCCATGGCCAACCTCTTCCCCGTCACGTGACCCAACGAGTCGATCGCGAAATGTGCTGCATGTCCTGTTCTACACCTTTGACCTCTTTACCCAATGACAATGTCTGAGCCTACAAACACACCCGCAGCTCCAGATCAGCAGCCCGCTGTGCCGGCTGACGCTGCTCCCGAAGGAGATGCCCCTGCCGGTCCGTCCAAATCCGAGCTCAAAAGACGAGCCAAAGAAGCTGAAAAGGCGAAAAAGGCCGCGGAACGAGCGGCTCGAGAAGAAGAGGAGAAGAAGAAGAGGGAGGCAGAGGCTACCGTAGACAATGCCAGTCAGAACTATGGCAAGCTACCTCTGCATCAGAGTCAGGAGAGATTGGGTGAGCTAGTCTGCGAGGTTCATTGACTGAAGGATCAGGCCGGACTTACCTCAAGTTTGGGAAACTGAGTCAAGAGGATGTTGGCAAGCCTGTCGTTTTCCGGGCTAGATTGCACAACATGCGACCTCAGGGAGCCAAGATCGTCTTTTTGTCGTTCAGACAGCAGACTCACACGCTTCAGGGTGTACTCGTTGCCTCAGGGGACAAGGACGAGCACCAGGTCTCGAAGCAGATGCTGAAATTTGCCCAACTCATTCCGGTGAGCTTGAGGACCGAGAATACAAATGGCTCATCTGCTAGTCTGAATCTCTTGTGGTCGTCGAGGGTGTAATCAAGTCGGCTGAAGTCAAGTCTTGCACTATTCAAAACTTTGAAGTTGGCATTCGCAAGGTGAATCGCAAGTATGGATGAAGGCTGATGCCTTAGCTCTACACTGCGGTCGAAGTCGCTCAACTGCCTTTTTCCATTGATGACGCTTCCAGACCCGAGTCCGACTTCCAAAGGGTCAGTCTAAAGATTAGCCTTTCTCTGACATGTACACAGATGGAGAACGAAGACGTTCAATACTCTCGAGTTTCCTTGCCGACTCGACTCGACAACCGAGTCATGGATCTCCGAGTGAGTCATATCTCGCGAGCACAATCTTACGCCAGACACCTGCCAATCAAGCCATTTTCCGAATCTCCTCTGCCGTCTGTCAAATGTTCCGAGAGCATCTGACATCTGAGGGCTTTGTGGAGATCCACTCGCCAAAGCTACAAGGCGCTGCTACCGAGTCTGGGGCCAGTGTCTTCAAAGTTCAATACTTCAACGGTGAGAAGTCGCATCGACTCCTTTTCTGACCCCAAAGGGACCGCCTTCCTCGCACAGAGTCCTCAATTGGCCAAACAGATGTGTATCGCAGGGGATATGGAGCGAGTCTTTGAGATCGCCCCAGTATTCAGAGCTGAGAACTCGAACACTCACCGACATATGACTGAGTTTGTCGGACTCGATCTGGAGATGGCCATCGAAGAACACTACCACGAGGTTCTCGATGTACTCGATAACTTGTTCTTGACCATTTTCCGTGGACTTCAATCGAACTACTCACACGAGATTGAGACAATCAAAAAACAATTCCCCTGTGATGACTTCCTGTTCTTGGAAAAGACCCTGCGACTCAAATTCAGCGAGGGCATGAAGATGCTTCGTGAAGCCGGAGCTACGGACAGCGAGGGCAATCCCATTGGCGAGATGGATGACATGAGGTGAGTCAGAAGCTGGTCTCAGGACTGATTTGGAAGCACCGAGAACGAGAAGCTTCTCGGTCGATTGGTCCGAGAGAAATACAAGACCGACTACTTCATTCTCGACAAATTCCCCCTTGCCATTCGACCATTTTACACCATGCCTGATCCCGTCGATGTCAACTTGTCCAACTCGTACGACTTCTTCATGCGAGGAGAGGAAATCTTGTCTGGAGCTCAACGTATTCATGATCCCGACTTTTTGGTGGAGCGAATGAAGGTTGCTGGTATCGAGCCTTCGAGCATGCAGGGTTACTTGGATGCCTTCAAATTGGGTGCACCTCCCCACGGAGGTGGAGGTATCGGTGAGTCGATCGTCAACTGTATTGAGCTGACAGTAAAGGGCTGGAACGTGTCGTCATGCTGTTCCTGTGTCTCGAGAACATTCGAAGGGCTTCTTTGTTCCCTCGTGACCCGAAGAGGTTGATGCCGTAGAGTAGTAGACTCAGTGATGCAGCGACTACATCCAAAATTTGCTTCCGCTTTTCCAAGTTGATCCCTCGTTGACCGATACGATGTCAGTCTTCAGCTGTCACGTCCAAACGATGGCGACCAAGGGCATAGGCAAGATCTTGGTGGTAGTGTCCTGTCTCATGCTGCTTCATGGTAAGCATGTCGAGACTCGTCACAGCTGATCGAGCTCAGCGGCATACTCGACATATGAATGTAGATTCGAAGCGTAGAGTCACGATGCTGATACCCGCAGACTTATCGACATTAAAGGCTCTTGGTCATCGAGAGGCGACCACGACTCTGCCTCAATCAGTGCGTCTCGACATCGTTTCCTCATCTGACATGCTCACAGATTGTCGTCGAGGCCGTCTTGTCCCTCTTGCTTTTTGTCCCTTCAATCGCCATCTCGTCCTCACCCTTGAGAGATGTTACATATAGAGGTGAAATGGCGACAAGGCGAGTTTGCTTGTATCATGTGTCGAAAGCTGATATCTCTCTCTTTTAGATCAATAGACGACGCAGATGCCAGGATGGGGTTCTTGGCGTTGTCGCCTCGAGGTAGAGCATTATTCGGGCAGTCTCAAAAAGACTAGATAGTCTATGCATATATGATACAATTCACCCTGCCCCAGGATGCGGCGTTCACTTCTCCCTCAGGACCCACTTCAATCCTCCTCTATTCCTGACTTGCTGACGTTCCTCCTTACTCCAATATTTGTGGTCCTCCTTGATAATCTTCTGCTGAGGCGTCAACCTGTTGTCCCCTTCCCACAACAATTTCCTGGATAGCCGTATCTGACGAGCGTTTTGCGGGACGTCTGGTAATTTTATGGTGGGGAGTGTGTGTCCTTTCGAAATGTCCTCTAAACGGACGTTCCGAGGTAAAGCAGAGCCCATAGCTCTGAGATGGTCATTAGGTGTGGGTTGATTGGCCAAGGGGTGTGAAGGAGCGGGCTGGAGGAGTGGTCTGACGAGAGACTCGAGCTGCGGACGAATCTTGACAAGTCGGGGCATGGCGAGGGGATGCGGAATGGGAATACGATCCAGGCTCGGATCTGATTCAGAGACTCAAAGTCGAAGCGCTGAGATACCTGGGGGTTCAGGGATACAGATCGATAGCGAGCCGAGGTAGGGAAGAGTTTTGCAGGTGTCTGAATGGTTTATCGTGGTGCGCGTCCGAGCTGACGCCGGACAGTACTCTTATTCTGTCGAGCCTTCCGATTGTTTGCCACGCCTGTATCGCTCGCTCGATGGAAATGGTATGGTGTTGTATGGTTTGACAGACGGCGGCCTGCTGAGAGACCTGTACTGTTCGGCGATGAATTTCTCGATGACCGGTCACGTGACTCGGGCGTTACGAGGTTCCATGATCTTTGGTCATCGGGTATTATGTTGGAATTCGTGGTCATTCTGACTAGCTAGTATCTCATCATCTGGACATCGTTTCAGCAAAAAGAGTCAGCAGCAAAGCACTGCTCAGACAGTCTAGCGACACGAGCCATACGTTGACAGCTGGGCTGCATTGCTTGGCCTACTCTACAAATACATCGTGCGGAATGTTGAATTACTCTCCTGTGACGCGGACATTGTTACCGAGTCTGTGAGTGAGGTCGACCACGCAGGAGCTGAACGTGCTTCAGATAGAGACTCCAACAGCCTCTCATCATGGTATATCTTCCAACGCTTATCCTCGGCTTTTTGGTTCTCTCGCTTCTATGCCGGTTCTATCTCTTTCCCTTGTTGTTCTCTCAATTGAGCAACTTTAGGCTTACATCCATATCCCCTCTGTCTGTCAAGGGGCTTGAGTACCGGCTGCGAGACGAAAAGGCTGCAGTGATCCCTACGCTCCGGGTCGAACGAGCAGCTTGGACCTGGGGAGGCTGGAAGGAAGATGGCGCAAAGGGTCTGATAGTCTTAAAGCTGGAGGGAGTGAGCCTACGAGTCAGACACAGGTCCCCGAAAAGGGACGAGCGTAAACCACCTCATCCCAAAACGCGTAAAGTGAGCAGTGAGAAGGGATATCTAGCTGACTTTGTAGCCTCCTGGTCTCCTAAGCCGAAATCTCAATCGATTGCTCTCCATCATCCTTCATTTGTTCCTCCACCACTGGCCATCCTTGGCACGCGTAGTCTCGCTTCAGATTGCCGACTCAAGATTGATCTTCGATGATCTCAGCGGGCTGGAGCTTACAGTCCGAGATATACACCTCGGAGTCAAGGTCCTGTTCGAGGGCAAGGAGCCACAAGACCCCGGAACGCCCGCATCCCCAACTCTCCCCTCCCCATCACAGGATACCGGGCGTGCTTATCCTCTTGCTTCCCCTCCTCCGGAGACTGGCGGTACCAGTCCTCTACTCTCGCCGCATGGGTTTTTCACATCTTTCACGCTCCCTGGGGCACCAAAGCCGGGTGACACACCGCCTTCGAGGATACAGAATGCTCGGCGGACCGCATCCACCCTCCACTCTCGTATGTCGAGTACTGCGAATGCAGTGTGGTCAAGGGCAATAGGACGAGCTCATGGATCCGTCATCTTCATGACCTCTGTCACAGATGTCGCACTAATCCTTCCCTACCTCGACGAGATTGAGGACCACAGATCTGGTCCGAGGCGCCCATCGACGCACCTATCCCACCGAGCTTCGATTCGTTCTTTCAACTCTGAAGTCGGCGAGAAGATGCGCAGGACATCGATGCTGGCATTCATGAAACCCTGCGGCTCTAACGCACCACGTTATGCCCTACCATCGGACGAGAGCGGCTACGAGACGTTGGGTGTGATAGATGAGGCGACGACAGCATCTTTGGCTTTGGGCTTTGGGCCAAAAAAGGGATTACTTGGTGAAGATACTCTTCGGACGAGTCTTGCATTGGGCAAGATTCACACCAGTCTCGGTGCCATGGAAAAGGTCAATGAGCTGGCCAAATCTCACCGAGGCAAATCGGCAAAGGATGAGGCCAAGGATTCCAATGCGAGATGGAGTCCAAAGGGCCTGCCAAGAGTGGGTGCCTTGACGTCCTCTCTCTCTCTCTCTCTGACTATTGCAGATAATTCTTCGTGCGCTAGAGAGCGTTTCAGTCTCTCTCAACCACCTCACAGTCTCCCAGTACCTCGCGGCTAGTGACTCACGGCCCCGCTCTGCATCCTCCTCCGCAACCGACATCTCGGACCTACTAGTTCCTGAAGATGATGTCTACACAGTATCTTTGGAGCTCGATCAATTCTACTGCCAGCTTGACGCTGCCGATTCTTCTACCAATTACTGGACGCACAATGCGTTTGGCGTCAACAGCCACCCCGAATCCAAAGTTCGAGGAGTTGGTTTCAAGCTTGCGTGGGGTACCATCGGACTGCAGTGTATAGCACCGGGCGAGGAAGCCCACGAGAAGTCACAGCTGTTGCAGATGCGTTCTGCCGACTTTGAGGGATGCTCCACGTGGCGACCCAAAGGTTGGTCGAGGGAAGAGCTGCTTTTCGCCGGTGACCCCAATCTGGCTCTCATCGTTGGACGAGGCGGCCTCGCGTCAGTCGACATCGCGGCTGACCTGCCGCTGTTGTGCAGTCTCAAAGAGGCCTGGCTCCGAAACCGGCCACCTACACCAGCAAATACGGGTACGACTGAATCTGTAGAGCTAGAAACCACTTGGGATCTACCACCCAGGGTCCGCCTCGGATTTGATGTTGGTCACACGATGGTCGTCGTTGCAGATCCTACTTCGGAGGACAGTACGACACTTACGATGGCCTCTGAAGGTCTACGGACTAGCTGCTTTACCAGCTTTGCCGACATTGTAGCGAGACGAAATCGCACTGCCTCGAGAGCGGCGTTCAAAGCTGAGGAAGAGCTTCGTTCTAGGCGAGAACAAAACGGACTCGATGAGGATTATTCTCAACCGAGTCCGATGCTCAAGCCGCAATATCGCAGACATTTCAGTCAACCGCCTGCTAAATTACGAGATGACTTTGCGCTCTCTATGCGGGCGGATGCTTCACTGGAGCTCGAACCACTGTCATTCCACTTGACGCTGTCGGGTCAGGATCCTAAGAACCCCACTGTCCATCATCTCGGATCGATTGGCCGACTTCACACGACCCTTGGCGGCGACATTTGGGGGAAACAGAATATTCAGAAGTCTGGAGCCGAGATAGCTCGCTTGATGCCCGATTCGAGATCTTTTGCATTGGATCTAGGAATCGATCAAGGCATCAAGCTGGACATGTGGAACTCGGATGTGGTCGATTCTCTGATCACCATGATCAAAGCCCATCAGCCGTCTCAACCCAAGGATAAGCCTGCGAAAGGTCCTATACTGGCGAAGTTGCCCAGCGGTATTTCTGTTCGTGTCTCCCTTGGTCTCATCAGTCTCTTTGTCGGTCATCCGGATCCTAACCCCGATTGCAAGCTGAATCTGACGCGTGGACTTTGGCTTCAAACCCAGGTGACTCTCGAATATGCTTACTACGGAAATCGAACGCAGACACTGACTTATCGACACCATCTTTCGTCCGCGACTCGAGCCAAACTTCGACTACCGGAGGACATCAAGACTCAAGCTCTTGCTCAATTCACAGAGCGTTCCAGCAAGGACGGTCGCGCGGCCTTGTTCGCCATGTCGTTGACAGGCACGATTGTCAAAGCCATCTTCCACGGCGAGCGATTTGTCAACAAGGGGGGCATTTATCTCTCCCACGAGATACCGCAGTCTCCGAAACCAAAGGAGTCTGAAGCCTTTGTCGGCTGGGAATTCATGCGGCCGAAGCCGAAGACTCATCTCAGTTCTGGACACATCACCAACGCCTTGCCTCCGCTCGACTTGGCCGATTCTGAACAAGCTACGAGACCGCTGTTGAAGACATCTCACTGCAATTTCAACTTCGTCGTCTGTACTGAGAGCCGCGATGCTCCGCTGCAGTACGATCTTAGTGGGCATGTGGATGGAGTCGATATAGTGTCGGATCTCTCGCACGTGTATTGTGCTCTGCTCGCCACTTTGGTGTTCCGTCGCATGGCATCTGCGCTCAAACGAACATCACATGCGCCGAAAGAGCAACCTAAGACGACAGACGCCCTTCGTGTAAGCGTCACTATTTCCCACATCCAAACGTACATTGTCTTCCCAGCCGGGGAACACATGGTCAGCTACTTCAATCTCGTCAAGGTTTACAAGCAAAGGGCTGAGCCCATCAAAGCCAGAATCGAAACGGCGCTGATGTATGTGCCGAGTCCCCGGCAAGCGGGAGCGTTCGAGGAACTTGTCCGTTTACGAGGTCTGGAGGTGACCTTTGATGACTCTGGCCCGAAACCATCGTTCAGAGTGGATGCCGAGGCTCTCCGTGTGCGGATACCTTTCGGATACGTTTTTGCCAAGTTAGTGCTAAACGTTCAACTTGCGGTCAAGAGCATGAAGCTGCTTGTCGAGGATCTTGGCTCCGAAGGCGAATTCCTGTTTGTCCGTCGACCCACCGCAGAAGCTGCCAAGCAAGTACCTCCGATATCGATCAATATCAAGTACCTATCACTGGAAGCCAAGGACAACCCCATAGAGACGAGGTTGAACCTCATCTGGCGTGTGGGCATGAACGAACAGCAGATTCGAAATTCGTGGGAGGATACGTTCGAGCGCAAACAGCAGGTCATGGAAGAGGCAGTGTCTCCATCTGTGGATGACGATGTAGACACTCGACCTGGATCATACAAGCTGTCCAAGAATGCCACAGTCTCATACGAGGAAGCTCGATATCGGCTGGACTGGTTCAAAGCCCAAGAGTGGCGCAAGCGCATTGACAGCGCCATCAAGACGCAGCGTTTGCGAGAGCAAGAGGCACTGCGAACAATGGAGAGCATGGGGCCAGACCGAAAACTGCCCATTCAGATCGCGGGGTCTACCAAGAGCGCTCCACTCTTCCGGGCCGCATTTGAAGGCGTCCAAATGGTCGTCAAGTACCTTGGGTGGTCACGGGATGACACAATCAAATATATGGGCGACGTTTCAGCGCCATTTGACGAAGGCGCGGAATTCTCGCTATTCATACCCCTTCATCTGACTTGGAAAATGACTTCGGCAAGTCTCAAGTTGCGCGATTATCCTCTCGATCTGATCAACATTCCACTGTCTTCGGACGGGAAACCTAGCTGGGAACTCGAAACGCCGTTCATCATTGCCGAAGAGCTACAAGGCGACGACTCGGTGGTGTACATCCCGAGTATGGTCATCCCAGCAGACTGTGGTGCCAGAGGCGCAGCACCATTCCGCTTGCAGATTGCCAAGACGATCATGCCGGTGAAGACGTATTGCCGACCCGTCATCAATATTCTCACCGACCGCACGACCGAGTTCACCTGGGGTAATTCGTATTCTCCCGCCATATCCGATTTCGCGCGCGTGATTGAGTCTCTCAGTCACCCACCACGAGATCCGAGTCCTCGAATCGGATTCTGGGACAAGTTTAGGTTGATCTTGCACTGGAAGGTCACAATCCATTTCTCAGACACTGTGCACCTACACCTGAAAGGTAAGTCTGGGCTCTCAGGCCAAGCTGACGACAGGTTCGAGCGATCCATATGCTACTACAGGCCATGGAGCTGGATTCGCTCTGTCTTGGAGTGGAGGGACCAAGGTGGAGATCAATCAGCCTAATCCGGAGCACGAGACGATTCAAATCACCGCTGAAGAGCTCCTCATAGCCATACCAGAGTAAGTCGAGAATCCCCGCAGCAATGCTTACTTTGTAGTTTGTCGGCCGCACAAGACGATCAAGCGATCGGACGAGACAGTAGTCCGCGCAATAAGAGCCACGAGCAGCAGGACTTGATCGAAAGGAGGTACACAAAGCCTTGTGCTCAGTACCAAAACGGTGTCAGAGTTGGTTTCGGGTTTGTGTTCGAGCGGACTTGTCGCCCGTGGAGCTGCAAGGAGAACTGCGGATCTACCGAGAATCTTTTGCATCGGCAGTGTCGCATCATGGAGTTCAAGAAGCATCAAGACGTCATTCTCCGTTCACCTGCGGCGATCGAACGGGACGACAAGGAGGCTGGGCATCCTACTGACTCGTATGAAGGATTCCGGTCAGACTTCGTTCATTTCTCAGTCTCAAATGTGTCGCCCCTCAACAAGGTTGATCCAAAGGAAAAGGACTCGACGAAATTAACGGGTCTCCACTTCAGCCCTCGAGCCTTCGCACACTTCTTCGCTTGGTGGAAACTGTTCGACTCGGCAACGTCTCTGCCCATCAGACAGGGCAAATTGTTCCCTGACTCCCCACCTCCCTCTAAAAAATTCGGTAAGAGTTTGGGAACTATCAAGTATCGTTTCGACCTAGCGCACGTCTTCGTCTCTCACGTCTACGCCCAAGTTGTGCCAGAACTATGGGCTGAAGGCAAGCATCAGGCTCTAGGAGTTAAAGCTCGATTTGGTCGCTTCAGAGCCGACGCACATCAACGAGCTCAAGAGAAGACTGTGCGACACGAAAAGCTGCACCGGACAACAGTCGTCGTTCACAAGCCATTTTACGCAGCTGATCTTTTGCTGGACGACATCGAACTCAAGGGAATCCGTGCCGACTTTAGGGTAGATGGAACCTCTGGAACAAGCACTCCTAATCCCAACTCTGCTACTGCTCCTCGAGTCACTGAGCTCGGTCCTGAAGCAAAAGGCTGGTTCAACTTTTTCGACTTTATCGACGTGGATCGTAAACCGTTTGATCGGGATCCTGAGCTGGAAATCGTAGACATCGGTGACTGTCCCGAGATATTCTTCTCTAAAAGAGTCAAAGCGAGACAGACACGGCCTGACGACGACCAAAACGAAAATGATTCCGAGAGCGTGAACTCGTCTCAAGACAGTCGACTGGAACTGGAGAGCTCCAAATTCGGGCACGAGCGTTCGCACATTTGCTATCTTGGGGCAGCGGCTGCAGTTGGCCCTACACAGGTTAGAATCACCAAGGCCAGAATTTCTGAACTGGAAGATCTGCGCGAGGCTCTGACTAATGAAGAGATTGTGAGTTTAGCACAGCTTACGGCACTGACAGGCACAGGGCAATGCTAACGACTTGAAAAATGTTTCGAATCGGCTGAATACCCTGTACAAACATCTGGAATATCTGTCTTCGAAGGAAAGCCGACATATGGATGACGACACGTTCCAGACGACTTATGTCCATCCTCTTGACAAGGAAGAACACCGCACGGGAGATATCAGCTTCGAGAACACGGTCCACGTTCATTGTCCTCGTATTATCCTCACGAACACTGCCAGAAACGTAAGCCCGGCACATGAATCTGAGTTGATCTCGCAGCTGCTTTACAAGTATTACTTTTCTAGCCGAGACCGGAAAAGGGAAGAATACACTACATCCCATGCGTAAGCCTTATGACGAAGCGATGACTGATCTATAGCTCGCTACGAGGTGTCAGAGAGAGCATCGCCAAACGGTTGTCTCGAGATCAGAAAGGCTTGTTCGAACACGCCGATGATATTCCCACTTCAACAGAGGATTACGAGGGACTGGAGATCCTCTCGGAACTACAGGACATGCTATGCGGACCAAATTCTGTCAAACGATTCGAAGTTCGTGATCACAACTTGTCCGGAGAGGAAGAACTTCGCCGAAGGTCGATTGGTATACCGGAGGATTGCATGGTGAAACCGCAAAACGACTTTCTCATCCTCAAACCCCAAGTGGGCCTCCGAAGTAACGTGGACCAAGACTCCATCGTCTTGCTCACTATGGAGGAGATCTCGTTCAAGGGGTACAGAGTCATGGACAAGCAATTGTCGGATGTGACCGCAGCGAACGTGCTCGACCGGTGAGTGCTGACGAGATTCTCCCTCTGACTTGCAGGAACTACGTCGCGATGAAAGGTCTTCAAGCATTTTACCCCAGCGAGACAACCATGGGACGCCAACGTGGACCCTTGGGGGTGCCTCGTGGTCTTGACTTTGTTCCTTTGGAAATTTTCCTTGATGTGCGGAGTGAAGCCACCGAGTATGATCGGATCGTGCTCAAATCCGATGCGGCGATCTACTTTGATCGTTTCAATCATTTGCGCATGCCTCGCGGTCTTGACTGGCCCGATGTCAAGGATGATGAAGGCTATTCCATGAACCATTTACGGCGGCATCAAGACTTGTTCACCATCATCGTCCCTCGGCTCAGTGTCGCCGCCACATCCAAACACTACACTGCACTGTACAACGTCGTCACAGACTTGCTGCTTTACGTTGATCCAAAACATCGGCAGCGTTCGGAGCGCATCGACAATTTTATTTATGCTTTCGATCGAAAAGATAGAAATCCGCAAAAACTCATACTGGACCTTTTCACTCTGCAGCAGGAGATCCGTCATCTGGCAGCTCTGGAGCGGGGCTATGCTGCCAATATGGATTTACTGGATGAGTCTGGACGCGAAGAGCTGTTCAAAATCAGGACAGATCAGATGGAGGGCATGGAGCAATTATTCACCGTTTTTGAGGCAATAAGTGTGAATCAAGCGAGGGACGATGCCAAGGCGGCGCTCAAGACTGCCTCACGAATGGATGTTAGGGTCGGCGGCATCGCGTGGCATATGCTCCGAGACGATTTGACGCCGCTGATCAAGCTGGACATTGAAGGAACACTTTATTCCATCGTCAGCAACAAGGACGGCTCGACAGACAACGCTGCTGTGTTTGGTGAGCTTTCCGCCTTGAACAGCAGCCACGAGGCAATGTATCCCGAGGTATTGGCTCGGTATGAACCATCCGGGGCTGGCAGACGAAAAAACGTGAGTCGTCCTGTCGAGCCAAGCTCACTGTAGCGCGACTCCTTCGCTTCCATCTTTATGTCGACAATGGCTGCTGTTGGTGGTATTCAAATCGTTCGTCATCTCGCGGTCAACCTTCATCCGGTCCGTTTCAAGCTGGAAGAAAGACTCGGACACGAGATCGTGGATTACATCTTCAATGATCGAGTCAAGAGACGTCGTCAAAAGGCCGAAGAGAAGCAGAACGGTACCACGAATGGACACAGGGAGAATGGCACCACTACCCCTGGCCCATCGGGTCGCAGAGACGCACAACGCACGCCGTCTGGTATGGAGATGCCACCGTTGAATCGAACCAGATCTCAAGCCTCAATCTTGTCAGAAACGCCTAACGGACGAAGCTCCGAAGATCAGTCTGAGGGCGATCATAAATTCACCATGGTGCCAATGCAGGATGCGGCGGAGATGCGCCGACGAGCCAGTGCGAACAAGACATTTGTCAAGATCGTCTTTGCTGCGACCAGTATCGTTCTCAGCTTCAAGGTGAGGGATGATGCTCAAGGTCAAACACTGACCTGCAGACCGATGAGACCAAAAAACATCGACGGTTCAGTATTCCCGATTGCGTGGACTTCAAGTTTAAAACGCCTGAAATTGTCTACAACAACAAAGTCTGGGGTTACGAGGACGTATTTGAGCATTGGAAACGGGATACCCGGAGCTACGCCTGGTCACAGACTGGTGATTTACTCTCTCAGCTCATCAAAAAGACATCTGTTTTCCGGTCGAAGAAGACATTGAAGCACATTGCGACGCTGCAGCCAGATGCCAGCAAGGACCGGAGCCCTTCGTCACGAGTCTCGTCCATGTCCTCGAAACTGAGGTATCACGTCGAACCCCCGACACCACAGGATGAGATACAAAACTCGTTGTCCTTGGCTGGAGCCATGTCGGGCGAGCAACGAGACGGCTCCAACCCTGTGTCTCGATCGACTTCCCGGACTGACGGGAGCTCTCATGTGATGACCGGAGGTGCCCTTTCATCTCCTCCAGCCACGATCAGCGAATCGGAGAGCTCTGACAGTGAGCGAGAGGATCCTGCTGCGCGTATGGGCCGAACGGTGAAGGGTTTCATCGGAAAGTTGAGATCGAGAACCATGAGACAGGATGGGAGCCAGCCCGGATCATCCGAGGATGTGAGTAAATATCTGTCTAGGCAACAAAACCGCTGACGCCATCCCCAGTTGTCCAGGAGTAGCTCTACAGATCGGCTGCGAAGACATTCAACTCCTCTTTCAAATGCATCTTCACCACATCTTGGACATGTTGTAAGAGATCGTTGATCACTGTGTATACTCTATCACCATAGAAGTCATGGACATTGTACATAGAAGCCAAAATGCAAGCTTATAATTTTGCGTCTGGCGATACGAGTCCTCCTCCTTCGATGGGGATGACTGTTCTAGTGTAGTGTTCAGTGGCATGTCACGTGAAACTTGACTCACCCCGTAACCCATTCTCCGCCTTTTGAGGACAGCCAGAGACAAGCTGCAGCTACGTCCTCTGCCCTTCCGATGCGTTTCATCGGAAGTGATTCTGACAATTCGGTCTCAATACTGTCCAGGGTCGACTGCATCATTCTCGACCTGAAAGGTCCCAAAGCCAACGCATTGACGGTGATGACGGGACCGAGCTTTACAGCGAGATGGCGGGAGAGTCTGCAGAGTCAGTTCGTGAAGCCAAGACGGTGACGTACTGATGCAATGCGGCTTTGGATGCTGAGTAGGCGTATGTCTCAAATACGGGCACATTGATACCGTTGACCGAGCCAATCTTTTTGGTCATTCAGCCGCAGGACGGCGTCTGGTTGACCTACGTTAATGACTCTACTGGGACCATCTTGACCGCTGCCGTGTCGAAGCAGAGGGAGTAGCTTTTGAGTCAGCGTAAAGACACGTTGAACGTTGAGCGTCAAGAGCTTTGTGAATGCCGCATCGGGATAAGTATCCAGTTCGTCGCCCCATGCAGCTCCAGAGTTGTTAACCTGTCATCCCCGTGAGCCCGCGCGCCGATTCTTCTGCTCTTCTTACTAAGATATGGAGAGCTGTAAAAAGTGTCAGTAATGATGAGACTTCAAGTGTTGCTCAGCTCACCCTCCTCCCTTCTTTCAAGCTCCTTGGCCAGCCTGACACATTCTTCATACTTTGACAAATCTGCAGCAATGGCAAGGCATTGTCCTGGACCAACTGCTGAGAGCCGCTTCGCCGTTTCCTCACATGCTTTGGCGTCCCTCGAAGATATGTACACCTATTAAGGGTGAGTAACCATCCCTTTGACAAGCTATGCTTACTTTGGCACCGTTCGCGACGAAGCCAGAGGCAATCTATGGAGAGGATTCAGAAACCACTTTGGGGTGGAAAGGACGGACACACCATCTCGCCGACGCCTCGACCACCACCGGTCACGAGCACGACCTGAGAGGAGTTCAGCAGGTCAACCCGAATCGACTGATCACCTTTCCCCTGACACTGAACAGGCTCTGACTGTCCATGCTCTTGTTAGCTGTGCTGAGAGTAGAGATGGCAATGTTCAAAGACGGTCGAGCAACGGGTCGGGTATCAATGTTCGCTCATAACCGAAGACTCAAATTTTCGTGGCGAGGGGCATGCAAGCAAGGCAGGCATACTCGATACAGTGTGGGTCATTTACGAGTTGAAATCGATAAGATGAGCGTTGATGTACGCAATCTGCTCCTTCCTGTAATCATCCTGGATGACAGAAGCATTGAAGGTCGTGTTCCCACCGCTGAACAACAGCATATTGGCACTCGCCCCGCCCTCCTGGTATTTTGGCCAATAGGTGATTTCTCCTGGACACTGACCATTAGGGTCGGCATAGTGAATAAAGTTGAGCCTATGCAAAGGGGACATGAGTCGCGCCAAACTGATGCACGCACCAGTATTCTAGAGCCAGACTTGAGATAGCTACTCCAGCGGGTCCAGAGTCCCTCTCGTCGACTTGACCAAGGAAGTATTGGGCGTCAAACGTGTGAGAGACTGCGTGCGGCATGAGCTGCGATATCTGCACTCCCAGACATACTTCCTGTCCGGGTACCCGGGTGTGGAGAAGCATCCCATAGCCATGTCCAGGTCTGACACCAGTCATTGGCATTCATCTGCTCCAGCATCCACCTTCGAGCATGTTGGAAAGCGAGATCACCGTACATGGAAGCGATGCGTTTGTATCTACCGATCAGGAAAGACTCTGAAAGGGCGACCTACTGGGGATTCAACCCAAATGTCTGATTCCCTGTGCCATAAGGACTGATCATATGTCAGACAGCTCTTGGAGACTTCCCGCCTTACCATCCTAAAGCAGGCACGTTTGAGTACAGCTCAAGCAAGGTATCGACCGATGCTTGTGACGGATTCACTGGCTCTAGCCACTCGATTTGGTTCACGACCCCTTGCGTACTATTTGTATCGGTCTGTACGAAGATGGTCCCTCTGACAAGGATGAGAATGACTGTCAAGCTTGTGCCACTTACTCGTCTAGATCATCACCGGCCAAAATGGGGATTCTGGCGAACTTGCCCTGGCTGAGCAAATAGGATGGGCGGTCAGGTATGAGATCATAGTCGACATTCGGATCTTGACAGTCAGCGTTCGTATATGCGGCAGGAAGACGTACTCCAGGGGAAACTATGCGCAGTGATCAGCCTGAGACCTCCGTGGATGCTCACCCCAAGGCGAATCTGGGCTCCTCTCGGAGCTGATTCGTGGCGTTTTGTAGAATGACAGCATCGATCGCTCTCAAGCATTGGAAGGTGTCATTCGAATTGGTGCAGTTCGTCGCGTCTAGCAGGGCGGGATAGAGCTCTGGGAATCCCTCGGTCGTAGGTGCCAGTGGATTCGCTGACGGGTACCCGGAGTTCAGAACCTAATCTGCATCAGAAGATCTTCCAGACTATATTCACCCACAATGCCGTTCAATTTGGGAGGGTCTTTGATCAGAGTCATCAGAGAGGCAGCAACGCCTCCTGCAGACTGACCACCGAGTGTGACCTTGCATCTGATCAGTGCCTGCTTACGGTCGGAGCACACCTCACCCTGTTGGGATCGCCGCCGAAGCTCTTGATGTTCTCTTGTACCCAATTAAGAGCCGCGACTACATCTTTCAGTCCAGAGTTTGATGCGTTGTGTGACAGGTATTCTTGTCCGCAGCCAAATCCAAAAGGGCCCAGTCTGTAGTTGGGCGTGACGATTATCATGGGTTGACTCTATCATAGTCAGCTACATTGATAGTTCTGACTCGCTCTTTCGATGGCCGTCTCGAGAAAGTCTGTGAAGTTGAAGGCTCCGGCAGAGCCTTCAATAAACGAACCTCCATACCTGGCAGACTCAGTATTGCTTGGGAAGGTTACACCTGCACTCACAACCACACAAACACAGGTAGTGCATCTGTCCCCGTACATTTGTTCGGCCTCCATACACTCAGGTAAAGACAATCCTCGCTGACATCTGAGCCACTGCTCATACATCCCGGTCGGTACCCAGTCTGGTTGATACTTGATGGCAAAGCGTCGGGAGGTTGAGGCGCTTGGAATCTCAGGTCTCCAAGAGCTGCCTCGTCAATCTCTTACTTATGACTTCAGCTCACGAGGCTTTGCAAATGGGATCCCGAAGAACAAATCGATATCGGCCGATTGCTTCGAACCATACACGGTGACGCTGGGCGTATTGGGGCTTGATGGATAGTATGTCACTGCTGGTTGTTCTCGACCAGAGCAGAGATTTAATCGGCAGAGCAAGGCCGCCGAAACGGCAATCACATGCTTGAGAACCATGATTGTGGTAACCGTAAAGCTATGGTTGGTCGAAGAGATTCGCTCCTGGAACTATGACATCTCCGCTATTTCCGGATTAAACTCATGAGCCAGATTGAGACTAGGGCAACGATCACTTTGAGCGGGTGGGGGTTAATGTCGAAACAGTGAAACGATATCCGCTTATCAGGAGCCGAAGCAACAAGTTGATCATGCATGATGAGTTTCATTCGATAATGATACGAGTTCGAAGCTCTAAGCCCTTCCAGCTCCCTAAAGTGATCCAGAAGTCTTGGCTTGCAGCACGTCATCAGCCTGTAGCATTCTCGGACATCTGTGTCCGGTCAGAGGGAAAATCCTTCGTCAAGCCGACGTGATTTTGTATGTCAGAACCCGAGGATTGACGACGGGAGGGATTTGACCCATGTGTTCGGACTCTACAGCCACTGGGTGAAACTTTCGCAGCGTAGATAGATCAGCAGGCATATCATGGCAGCGGCCGAATTCTTCGAACTCTGTCCCCAGGGTCCGTCTGCGATGGGTATGGATCAGGTATTGATCGTTCATGCCAAATTGACCCCATTGTCATCCTCCTTCTGCCTTCGAAAGCTAGCAACCGGGTCATGGAGACAAAAGTCCCAAATGCTCTCATTGACTAGGATGGCAGCGAGCACAAGCTGGGTTCAATACGCCACAATGGGGTGGTCATTTGATAATCACATTGATATTCCAATGGCGTTATCTAATCGCACATGTCCGAAGATTACGGTGCTCGGGGCGGAAGAGCAGAGGGGTGGGGGAGGAGGCTCCCCCACCCTGTCCTATGTGAGCTCGTCATCGCTGTTCGGGTGAGATAAACCTCCACTTTGGAGATCAAGGAGAGTGGTATGCATCGATACGAGGACATTTTTACATACACACTCTCTCAGCTCTTCGTCACGCAAATCGTTGAAGAAGTCCTTGCAACGATGGCAAGATCAAACGTGGAAGATTATGGGGTCGAGGTCGCCTCGAAGCAAGATGACAAGGTCGATGCGGCTCGATACGATGACCCAGCGTCGATTGTGGATGAAAAGCATTCAGCGGATAGCAGACATGAGATCGGTCTGGATCTGTATCAAGAGGGATATGGAGTTGACACACACGGTCTAGAGGCGAGAAAAGTGTGAGATCTGCTATTCTGTCAAAGAAGGAAAACTCACTGTGACCGATCACAGGCTGAAGAAGATCGATTGGTGGATCTTGCCCATCTTTTGCGCCCTTCAAGGATTCAGCTTTCTGGACAAGACCGCTTTAAACTTTGGTAATCTCTGGGTAAGTATTCTCCCATCGGTCGTGCGCTGACAGTCAAAGGGCATGAAAAAATCGTTGCATGTCGATTCCGCGCAATATGTGAACATTGGTCCATATTCAAGGTTCTACCGAGTGCTGACAGTATATCAGAGTTGGTTCGCCTCGGGATTTTATCTCAGCTACTTGGTTTGTACTTATCCAATGACGCTTGTGCTGCAAAAGTACCACGTACGTCCTATGCGTCTTCGAGGTACACGCTGACCTCGATCAGACCGGTAAAGTCCTCGGCGCACTGGCATTTGTCTGGGGGATAGTCTGCGCTGTGAGTCGGCGAAAATCTTTGCACGCGAGCCGAAATGCTGATCGCCTCAGTGTATGGCTGTGTGTCACAATTTCTCAGGAGCCCTCATGACGAGGATCATCCTCGGTGCTCTAGAATGCGCTGTAAGTGACATTGTCACCCCGAAGGCCTTAGTTTTTCGAGGCTGAGATCTGGTCTAGGTGACACCGGGATTGGGTCTCATGACGCCCATCTGGTGGACGTTGGCCGAACAACCAGTTCGACTGATGACCTGGTACTCGATGAACGGATGGTTTGATATTGTCGGCAGTTTCATCTCATATGGGCTAGGTCACGTCACCGAAACCACAGTCAGGACCTGGCAGTTGATTTTCATCGTGAGTCTGGCCCAATGGACTTCAAGATCAAGCTGACACAACTTGCGCGCAGATTTTTGGGTCTCTGACATCGTTCCTTGGAATCTACATGTTCTTCTACCTGCCTGATTCTCCTGTCACCGCAAAATTCCTGTCCCATGATCAAAAGGTCTTGGCGGTCAAGCGGGTCTCAGAGAACAGGACGGGAGTCAAGAACACGGCTTTCAAGAGACATCAATTCGTAGAGGCGTTCAAGGATCCAAAGTGAGCCCGGGCTGATGCCAAATCTCTGCCGCAGACTAACGACCCGCATCCATCAGGATGTACTTGCTATTTCTCGCCAGCATCTCGGCGCAGATCCCAAATGGCGTCGTCACCAATTTTGGCAGTATCATCATTGTGAGTGTCGCCAAGAGTACGCCCACGCCCATGCCTGATCTCTCGTCCGTTCAGAAATCATTTGGCTTCAACAATCTCCAGACCACTCTTCTGGGCATCCCAGACGACGCGGTCCAAATCATCTCGCTGATTGGATCCGGTTGGGTCGCTTCGCGGTGGAAGAACACGAGAGCCATCATGATGGTTTGTCGATTGGACCTTGATGTCAACGATCACTGACAAACCCTGTGCAGTTCATTGGGAATGCCACCTGTATCGTCGGCACCGCGGTGGTCACTTATGCTCCGAAAGATCAGCGGATCCTTCGTCTAATCTTCTACTACCTGCATTCCTTCCAGTCAGTTGGATTCGCCATGGGTCTCGTTATGATCTCTGCGGTGTGTTCTATCTCAAACGATCAGCCTGTTCAAGCTGACTGTCGACAGAACGTTGCGGGCGAGACCAAGCGAAGAACAATTCAGGGAACCAGTGAGTCCAGTCACTATTCCTCATCATGACCCGACTGAAGCTATCCTGTCCCAGCATTCATCGGCTATTGTATCGGAAACATTGCAGGACCCCATGTCCTCCTCGACAGAGAAGCCAAGGAAGGCTATCCCACCGCCACAAAAGCCATGATGGGTGGGTATTCGGCAAAGACCTTTTTCCACCTCTGTCTTGGATTATACATGTGGTACTGGAACAAACGATGGGATAGAGAAGCTCGCGAGAGAGGAGAGATCATGTCGAATGAGGAGAGATTGCGGCGTGCTGAAGAAGTCGGGATGGTGAGTTCGCACGGGGCAACATTAGTATCAGGTCTGACGTGCTCACACCAGCGTGACGCGACCGAGTTTGAGAACCCATACTTCCGATATGCGTTGTAAATCCAAGTTATATCGTTGACATGACTTATAGAAGACTCGGGGGTGTGAGGATGTGACAGTCTTTCTTTTGTATTTCTCCAATTCTCCAGGGCTCGTCCGGTCACCATCACCGGGCTCCGCTTATATCGTATTGACCATCCCTTGACCGTCTCAATAGAGATATCGCTCTCTGCTACAGATCATCCGCAAAGTCGACTGATCAGAACCAGCATTGATATACCAATTAATGTCGACCCAATCGAGTCTGGCCAAAATCCCGAATATACGGTACTCCCAATGTTCGTTGACAAACTTCAGTGTCGCCAACACAGTAGTCGCAGTGTCATCAGTGTCGCCAACACAGTAGCGCAGTGATGACTCTTAAGACGCCGCTGATGGAGTGTCCGATCACAAGACAATTCAGCATGGGGAGGACTCTGTGCACTGAGTGTACAGCGAATCATTGGTAAATGCGAGATAAGCCTCTATGCATGATTGTCCGTTACGCCTCATCGTTATATGGTGTTCTTGAATCGTCCTTCCTGACTCGCAGATACTCGAGCTCTAAAAGGTGGGCGCCTTCCATCCGAGGTAAGTGAAAGGTCCGGTCGCAGGTCCATCGAAAATCTGGATGGGCTGGTCCTGTTGCACATCGGGATTGATACCGTACGAACCACCGTAGTAGCTGCCGTCTGAGGCTCGCAGTCGAGTGACGCGACCGCTGGCTACCCTGAAAGTGGGATCAGCGGCGGGCCAAATTCAATTGCACGACCTGTCGTGACTCACTCCCAGTATTGGTCGGAATTCATGACATTGTCGTAGTCATACTCGCAGTCTGCGACGATGATAGTGGAACGATTCACAGGGTTCCTCTCCGCCTTGAGACACTGAATAGTCGCTTGATTGTTTGTGAAGAGGATATGACCATAGAAAGAGCCAGCCGAGTTGCCGCTGCAAAGATGGGATCAGGGGCCGTTGCATCATCCTGGAGAGGAAAGGATCAAACTCACAGTCCGTTGTATCCTTTTCTAGACTCTGATCCTTGACAAACTTCGAAACCGAACTGCTGAGTGCTTTGACACTCTCCACAAGGTTGAAGTTCACCATTGGCATTGATTCCGAGGCGGGTTTCGGAGAACGAGCCGTCACTCTGAGTGACATTGGAGTAGAGGTGAATGAAGCCGTTTAGGCCTGTGGTGCGGGGTGTAAGTTGAGAAGCAATGACAAGGGCTCACCAGGCGAGTCAAATGGAGGGGTGTATTGGTACTGGACACATGACAAGGATTCTGATCGTTTGACCCAGTTGAGAGCTGGAGCGGCAGAGGCAAGTGGCGCAATGGCGGCGAGAGCGGCGAAGAGCTTGTACATGACGAAGTTGGGCAGTGGTATGCTTAATCAAAGTAGGATGCTGCGGATGAAGTCTTGAGTTGGGGGGACTTGCATTCATCCCAGGACCCCAGTTATATAGCCTCGAGCCCTCCCCCTATCCCTCCTCCCCCCCCCCTTCATGCAGTAAGTCGTTACTCCAACATGCCAAGTCATGCCCCGAGCTCCGATGCGATGATCCTTTCAGCCCGAAGAGCCACCCCGCAACGCCGCTCGCTCCCTTTAATCCCGAAGAACATGCGGTGCAATGAATGAATGCATTATCATCATCATCATTCAAGTCATCGACATTTCGGGCCAAGGTACTGTGTGACTGACTGCTCTCCAACGGGATAGGCTCTGCTCGACTAGTTGGAAGACAATGAGGAACATCTCTGCGGCTGCCCCGCCTCAAAAAAGGTCTATATACATCATCTTGGCGTCTATACATAGGCATCGCCTCTTTTATTGGTCTAGTTTAACTTGTTCCTGAGTTCAATTCCGACAACCTGACTCTGACAGCATTGGCATGAGCTTCCAACCCTTCCCTCTCGGCCAATGCGACGACCGTCGGACCCAACTTTTGAAGCCCTTCACGCGTCAGCTCTTGAGAGGTGATGTGCTTCTGGAATGAAAGCGTATTGACACCGGAAAATTGACGAGCAAATCCGTTGGTGGGCAGCGTATGATTTGTTCCTGACGCATAATCACCGCATGATTCGGGAGAAAAGGCTCCGACGAATACGCTTCCGGCGTTGTCAATGTCTTTGACAACCGATGGGGCATCTTCGAGGTGAAGAATCAAGTGTTCAGGAGCGTATTCGTTACTGAACTCGACGCCTTGTGCCAGCGAATCCACTTGGACAATGATCGACTTTTTGATCGCTTCTCGGGCAATAGCCACTCGTGGTAAGGCCCTAGCTTGCACGTCAATCTCCTTTTCGATCTTGGCCAAGTGTTCGCTGGTGAGAGAGACAGCGACCAAGACCACTTGAGAATCGGTCCCATGTTCCGCCTGGGACAAGAGATCCGAAGCGACGTAGACAGGGTTGGCAGTGCGATCCGCAATGACCAAAACCTCTGAGGGTCCAGCCGGCATGTCGATGGCTACCAAAGCGTCCGTGTCGTTTTGAACGAGCATTTTCGCCGCAGTGACCCATTGATTCCCGGGACCAAACAGCTTGTCGACCTTTGGCACTTCCGCAGTTCCATAAGCCATCGCTGCGACAGCTTGAGCTCCTCCAGCTTTGAGAATGCAAGTGACACCGGTCAAGCCAGCGACGTAGAGTACTTCGGGGGAGATAGAGCCATCGGGGCGAGGAGGTGTGGCAAGCACAATCTCCTTGCATCCTGCCACTTGTGCAGGGACACCAAGCATGATGGCTGTCGAAGGTAGAATGGCAGTACCTCCTGGAACGTAGAGGCCGACTCGAGTGATAGGTCGGGAAAATCGAGAACAAACGACTCCAGGCATGGTTGTGACCACCAACGGGGCTTTCTCAGCCTGAGCCGAGTGGAAGGTCTTGACGTTCTCATACGCCACATCGATGGCTTGTCGTACGGAAGCAGGAAGGTCAGATTCAGAGGGGACGGCGAATGGTGGTCGGATGACGTTTGAGTCCAGATCGGCCTTGTCAAATTGCTTGGTCATCGACTTTAGACCCGCATCGCCTTCTTTCCGGACCCTCTCGACAATCGGTTTGACCTTGTCGATCATGGCCAAAGAATTAAGCACAGGCCGCAGGAGGAGCTTTGCCCGTTCTTCTTTACTGACCTGAGAGAGGACGGCTGTGCGCATGACGATCGGGGCATCCTCGGTCGTGGACTCGGGAAAGACTTTTGGAACCGGTTCAGTGGGCTTGGAGCCCTCTTTGACCTCCTCTCCGTTGATCTTTTCTGACCATTCAGGCTTGGCATCTCCCCTCCGTCGAGACACTTTGAGTGCCTTTTTATCCAGGGCAGCCTCGATATCTGCCCATCCGACGCCCTTGGAAATACATCGAGTGAGCGCAAAGTAGACCAAGTCGGCAGCTTCGAAAGCTACTTCTTCCTTGGTTTCGGCTCGACACAACTCATCGGCCTCTTCCATGATCTTGCTCCGGAGCAACTTGCCATCTGTGAATAAGCGCTTGGTGTAGCTTCCTTCCGGGGCGTCTTGTAGTCTAGATCTGAGGGTATCTTCCAATTTGGCCACACCGGCCAGATCTCCAAAGCAAGACGATTGAGGGAGATGACAGAAGCCCGAGCCGTTCTGAATCACCTCGAACAGAAGAGCATCGGCATCGCAATCGATTTTGATGGACACCACTTGTTGGGTCGCTCCGCTCGTCTCCCCTTTGCGCCACAAGCCATGCTTTCGAGATTGGTACACTCCTCTGCCAGTTTTGATCGTTTCAGCGATGGACTCCCGAGAAGAGTACACCAGGCCGAGAGGACGACTGGAGTGAGAGAAAGAGGAGACGACGGTGGGGAAGAGTCCGTCTGCGCGATCGGAGGAAATGGTGGAGAGGACTGCATCGGATATGGATAAAGCGACGCTGGATGTCGGGCTCGTGGTCAAGCATGAGGTTGGTATGACAATTGTAGACGGTCGGGCAGAGGAGATTTGCGAGGCGAGATCTCTAGGAGACGGACTAGTTGGCTGGATGTAGACGGCTGTGTCTGTGAGGGAGAGAGATTTGGAGGTGTGCAGGGATGAAGAAATCAAGTAGATACCACTAGCTGATTTAGTGAGGTCCTGAGCTCGTGAGACATCCGATTCGTCGATCTTGAGAATCAAGCGGCCTCTTGAGACAGATCCGGCTATACTTTCAAGCTGAGAGGGGGAGATAATGATCTTTCCCGCTCCAGAGTCCAAGATCTTGATCAAGTCATCGGTGGTGGTTTCACTCGCTTCGACAAAATACGATGCGGTAGGTGGGAGCGTCGGCAGGATGGCTGCGAGCAGCTTTGAAGGGATCAACAGCGGTCCAAGGAGAGACAGAGACGGTATCAATGGACCTGCTGTTGGGTCCAGCAGTGGGATGAATGCTGGAGTTGACATTGGTGGATCAGTCAGAGGTGTTGGCCATGTAAACGAAGTTGTGGTTGGATCCAACTGATTTTTCATGACTCGCAACCAAAAATGACGCGGAAGCAAAACTTCGGAAGTGGAGGTTGGGGGACGATCATGAGCAGGTACTACTGTGAGGTGACATCGCTCTGCTGTCCTTGTTGAGAATCCTGCTAGTTTACAACAAAAAAGATCAAGCTACAATGAATGTACATGATTGTAGGATGTCGAGCAATAAGAAGGCGGAGGGGAGCTACTTGACAGACTCCAATTCTCCTGTTTGATCTTTGTCTTTGCTTTTGCTTTCGCCTTGGTGCCCTTAGCCTTCCCGCTGGCCGATGTCCCTTGTTTGACAGATTTGTCCGATTTGCCATGCTTTACCTTGCCTTTCATTATATCCTTCTTCTGCCGCTTGCCTTTCGGCTTGACCGTCTCCACTGGCGTCGGATCGTCTTCCGGCACAACATCAACATCCATGACGTCTTCCTCTTCCAGCAAAACTTCCGGCTCCGGCTCCGGCTCGATCTTCTGCGATGTGATCTCCTTCCCACCTAACCATCCTCCGTGGACAGCTTCCCGCCAGCCAGGTATCTCAGCCGCCCCATCAGCCGGGACGTCCTCCTCTCCTCCTAACCAAATACCAAGATCTTCGCTCCATACATAACGATGGTCCAAGAGCGCTTGAATCTGCTTGTATTCCTCGATAGAGCAGTAAGGTATGCCAGTATCTGGATGCTTGTATTTCGCAGTCTTTCCACTGAAAGGTGAAATGGTTGGTCGACGGTCTTTTACATGTCTCAGCACGAGCAGAGAACACGCGGCTAAACTCACTGATTGGCCTGCCACGATGCGAAATATACTTGACATCTTGCCAATCTACGTGTGTTCCGAGGATGATGCCCATTTCTTCTGGGAGACCACCCGGGATCTGAGACATGATGAGGTAATTTCGAGCGTACTGTTGGGGGAATCGCTGCTGGCTGAGTTCTAAGTCTACGGGCGGTGCAGGTGTCTTGATTACGGGCGACGGAAGTGTTGTCTTGCTCGGAAGAATCGAGGCTGACGGTCCGTCTAAGGATGACGAGTTGACAGCGGGAGTCGGGGCAGAGGTCGTTGAATCTATGTTTGCCAGACGAGGACCTGGCAACTCAGCTTGACTAAGATTGTCGACGTCTACAGTGGCTGCCTGAGCGCTTTGATTATCTCCCTGGCTAACAGTCGGACCACCGCTGAGATCGCCAGGTGCTGTTTTTTCGGTGGCGATAGGTATAGGTTCCGAAGGAGGCACCTCTTCTATTCGCTCCCCTGCTGTGTCATTGATTTGCGGCTCTGGCTGAGCTGGTTTCGGATCAGAAAGTTGGGTACTCTCTGCTGTGCTCGGATCCGGCTGTAGGCGCGTCTGCTCAGGCGGGAGTGACTGTATCTTCGTCTCCTGCGCTGGAGTCGCAGTGTCCGGAATCACCTCTTCCACCAAAGTTCCAACGGTCCGACTGATGAACGTCCACCTTGGACCCCGGACTCGTTTCCGACCTACTCGCCTCAATTCCCGTCTTTCCTCTTCCCTCTTGACCCAATCTCGCAATGCCTCTCGGTTCCTCTCTTCCTCTTCTAGTGCCGCTGCGATCAGATCCGCCTGTGTCATGGGTCGTACTCCTCGCGCTTCTCCACCCTCGTGCATGGCTTTTCTGCCCTTTCGACCAGACTGTGTCTTTGCCTCGTTTTCTTTTTCTATAATCTTCTCCTCAGTCTTCAACGTCGATGTCCGGAGTGTTGAGCGGATGGCTTCTGACCTTCCTAGACGTTTTTGTTCCCGTTGTTTCTTCCTCAGCGTCAGAACCAACGCACTCGGAGCCATGGTCGAAGGGTCTAGTGTGGGATCCAATTCTATCAATCGTTCGGCTAGGGATGGCCGAGATGGTCCGCCAGAGCTGGATGGTTGCGTAGGGTCGACTTTGAGTTTCTTTGAGTGGGACGAACCGAACGGATCATGAGCCCTAGTTTTGCCTTTCGCCTAGGCATAGCTCAGCGGTCAAACATCTTGATCGACCAACCTTGCGCCGTTCCTCCTTTCGAAGTGCTCGTTCTTCTGCGTCGGAATCCAGCTCAACCTCGTCATCCGTGTCGGCAAAGTCCTCCAAGTAGACATCCCTGATATCCTCTGAACAAGATATAAGATTCTCCCCAGACCATCGAGTGACTCACGCGGGGCTGCAAACTCTTCGTCATCCGCTTCTTCCTTGAATAGCTCGTCCTCATCTTCCTGGTGAGCCTTCTCCAGGAGCTCTCGCATGCTGACAATGATCAGGAATGGGATCGAGCCAAACGACTCACCGGTTGCCCGCAGTACTCCTCTTTGACCTTCCCTGAGCTACCGTCAACGTATCTGACTCGGCCATCGTGTGGGTAAGGCTATCTGGGATCGCATACACGTCGAGGCTCAAGACTCGTCAATGAAACATTATTCCGCGAAGCGGCGACCGCCGAAAAAACATTGCTGAAGACAGTTGAGCGACACCTTCCTTGTGGCAGTGTGGCAGATCAGACAGCGTTGATTGATCCGATCTATACTCAATTTCACCCAGCCAATGCCACTCCATGTCATGTAGACCTCATTCAACGACCATTCGAATATCGTTGCTGACCGGTTGGTCGAAGCGAGACGCTCGTATAACCACAGATCCAACTCTTACGTAAGTATCTCTCACCGCCACACACTCGATCCCAGCTGAAATGCCGATGCGAGGCTTTTTGCAGAGATTTTTTTGGGCAACTCCACCTGGCGAGAATTATTAGCAGGATCCCCTAACCTCCCTTCCCATCTCTTTGATTCTCCAAGACGGGTCTCTAGTAGGACTCGAGAGAGAATTGATCTCATTGCCTTGTCTGTAGAACAGACTCATTCATTGCCTCGGGCTAGAAAGTAGAGAAAAACAGCATCTGTCAAAATGGTATGTTCTCTTCTTCTGTCACCCATGTGTTCGCCGCTGACTGAAATTCCTTCCGACAGGTCAAGTGAGTGCACAAGGAGGAGGAGGGGAAAAGATTGCACCTGAGAATTCAATACTGACCATGCCTCCGCTCTCAGCTTCACCGTTGCAGGTGAGATCGGCCGCCCTTTCGGTGAACGTTTATGCTGACCAATTTCGCCAGAAATCCGGGAGTTGATGGGTCAGTGGGAGCGAAATCGTTTTCCAGGCCAATCGTACTAACTTTGAGTCCCTCAGACCGACCCACCAACATCCGAAACATGTCTGTCATCGCCCACGTCGATCACGGAAAGTCCACTCTTACCGACTCTTTGGTTTCCAAGGCTGGTATTATTGCCGGAAGCAAGGCTGGTGACATGCGATTCACCGACACTCGGTGGGTTGGAGTGGGGGAAGTTTCGGACATACTGACATTATCTAGACAAGATGAAATCGACCGTGGTATCACCATCAAGTCGACTGCTATCTCGATGTATTTCCCTCTTGACAAGGAGTACATTTCCGAGATCAAGCAGAAGACTGATGGAAACGAGTTCTTGATCAACTTGATCGACTCGCCCGGTCACGTCGATTTCTCTTCCGAAGTTACTGCCGCTCTTCGAGTTACCGATGGGTGAGTGGGCGAGCGAGCGAGCGAGCGAGCGAGCGTGGTTTTCACACTGTTCTGACCTCTTTTTCTTAAAGTGCCCTTGTCGTCGTCGACTGTGTTGAAGGTGTCTGTGTCCAGACCGAGACTGTGCTTCGTCAATCTTTGACTGAGCGGGTCCGACCTGTCCTCATTATCAACAAGGTCGACCGAGCTCTTTTGGAACTCCAGATCGAAAAGGAAGACTTGTACCAATCTTTCTGCCGAACGATCGAATCCGTCAACGTCATTGTTTCGACTTACCAGGATGCTGCTCTTGGTGATACTCAGGTCTCCCCTGACCAGGGTACCGTCGCTTTCGGATCCGGATTGCACGGATGGGCCTTCTCTCTCCGAAACTTTGCCGCTCAATACGCCAAGAAGTTTGGTGTCGACAAGGCCAAGCTCTTGGCCAAACTCTGGGGAGACAACTACTTTAACCCAAAGACCAAGAAGTGGACCACCAAGAATGACGGTGGACTCGAGCGATCTTTCAACGTTTTCGTTCTTGACCCCATTTTCCGAATCTTTGATGCCATCATGAACTTCAAGAAGGACGAAATTCCCACTCTTCTCGACAAACTCGAGATCAAGCTCGCTTCCGACGAGAAGGATCTCGAGGGCAAGCCTCTGCTCAAGTGTGTCATGCGAAAGTACTTGCCTGCCGGTGACGCTCTTTTGGAAATGATCTGTATCAACTTGCCCTCTCCCGTTACTGCCCAAAAGTACCGAGTCGAGACACTCTACGAGGGACCTTTGGACGACGAGTCTGCTATCGGTATCCGAGACTGTGATCCCAAGGGACCTTTGATGGTTTACATCTCCAAGATGGTTCCCACCTCTGACAAGGGTCGATTCTACGCTTTCGGACGAGTCTTCTCTGGAACCGTCTCCTCTGGACCCAAGATCCGAATCCAGGGACCCAACTTTGTCCCTGGAAAGAAGGAAGACTCCGTCATCAAGTCGGTTCAGCGAACCGTTTTGATGATGGGACGAACTGTCGAAGCGATCGAGGACTGCCCCGCCGGAAACATTATCGGTCTTGTCGGTATCGATCAATTCTTGCTCAAGTCTGGAACCCTTACCACCTCCGAGACTGCCCACAACTTGAAGGTTATGAAGTTCTCCGTCTCGCCCGTCGTCCAAGTCGCCGTCGAATGCAAGAACGCATCCGACTTGCCCAAGTTGGTCGAAGGTCTCAAGCGATTGTCCAAGTCTGACCCTTGTGTCAAGACCACTGTTGGAGAGAACGGAGAAATCATCGTCGCCGGTGCCGGAGAGTTGCACTTGGAAATCTGTCTCAACGATCTGGAAAACGACCACGCCGGTGTTCCTCTCCGAAAATCCGACCCAGTCGTCGGATACCGAGAGACCGTCCAGATGGAGTCCTCCATGATCGCCTTGTCCAAATCTCAGAACAAGCACAACCGACTCTACGTCAAGGCTGAGCCCATGTCTGAGGAGCTCGCTAGGGACATTGAAGAGGGACGAGTCGCTCCCCGAGATGACCCCAAAACCCGTGCTCGATACCTCGCCGACACTTACGAGTGGGATGTCACCGATGCTCGAAAGATCTGGACTTTCGGACCCGACACTACCGGACCCAACCTGTTCGTCGACGCCTCCAAGGGTGTTCAGTACATGAACGAAATCAAGGACTCGGTCGTCGCTGCCTTCCAATGGGCTACCAAGGAAGGAGGTGTCGCCGAAGAACCCATGAGAAGCATTCGATTCAACATTCTCGACTGTACACTCCACGCCGATGCCATCCACCGAGGAGGTGGACAGATCATCCCCACCGCTCGACGAGTCTGCTACGCTGCTCAGCTCTTGGCTAAGCCCACTCTTCAGGAACCCATGTTCTTGGTCGGTAAGTTTTTGGCTTACAGGGGTCGTACAACACCCTTGGGGAACGCTGATTACGTAAAAATAGAAATTGCTCTTCCGGAATCGGCTCAGGGGGGAGTCTACTCCGTCATGAACGTTCGTCGTGGTCAGGTCTTCAGCGCAGAACAGCGTCCAGGTGAGTTTGGGACTTGCCTAGTTGCCACGAAATGCTTCCAGTCCCGAAAATTTCCCTCCTGTTCGGCAATCGGCAATTTCCGAAATATCCGCCACTTTTCCACCCTCGACCAAAGACTGACTCAGATGCTTAGGTACTCCCATGTACACCCTCAAGGCCTACTTGCCGGTACGTGGATTTCAAGCGCGTAGAGAGCATAGCTCACCCGTCCCTCAGGTCTCTGAGTCGTTCGGTTTCAACGCCGCTCTTCGTGAGGCTACCGGAGGTCAAGCCTTCCCTCAAGCTGTCTTTGACCACTGGTAAGTTTGAGATGAAGCATGTCTGAGTCGTTTGCTAATGGTCTGCTAGGGAGCCCATGGGAGGAGACTGTACCGAGAAGGGCAGCAAGGTGAGTCGCTTGCTTCAAAACCTCGGAACCGCGCCAGATCTTTACACGGACTCCATTAACCTATCCCTGAATACCCGTAAATTTCCTTTACTGACTCTGTCGACAGGTCAACGAGCTCGCCGTCAAGATCCGTACAAGAAAAGCGCTCAAGCCAGATGTGCCTCTCTACGACCACGTGAGTTTGGACAGTCTGAACCCCCTCATGTCGCTTCGGACGAGTTTGATCAACGTCTGGACGATATTCGAGGTTTCAGGCTTTGTTCTTGAGACCCCTTGTGCTGACCAAAACTCTTGAAATCCAGTACTACGACAAACTCTAAGCAGCATCCAGCTTACCCTGTCGTCCCGGTGGTCATCAGGGGCGGTCTGGTCAGTTTCGCGGGCGTGGAGAAGCTCAGAAAGGTCGATTTGCCATATTCTTGGCGAGCTTCGCTCGTCTTTTGTTTTAGTCTCATACATTTCCATGAATCGGATCCTATCATGCCTACCCCGCTACGTCCATAGAGCGTTCGTTTGCTTGTATATCTACGGCCAGAGCCTGCGGAAACGTCAGTAGGGTCGAACGGAAAGCAATCGGATATAGAGTTTCTGCCACAAATCTCCGGGCGAGGTGCGATCACCGGTAGAGCGGTATCTCAACTTCTAGGCATTCATCTTTGCCTGTCTACCATCAGGATGAGCTCCTCTAGTGAGGCAGGGCCATCTAAGACGACTCCAGATCTGTCCCTCAACATTCCGTTGCATGTCAAATACATCCAGAACCTAGATAAAGTAAGGCAATCTCACTTACTTGGCTGATAGAGCCTCCCCAGAACAAGGACCTAGCCTATCATCTCACCGCTCATATTCGACTCAATGGGGTCTACTGGGGTCTGACAGCCCTGGAGATCATGGGTCAAGCCGATGCTCTTGATCGCGATGAAATGATCGAATATGTGCTCAGCTGTTGGGACGATGAAGCGGGTAGGCTTTCAAGCCTCGTAGCTATGTCCGAGACTCTGATAGCCTCTGCAGGAGCGTTTGGTGCGCATACCGAACACGATGCGCACATACACGCGACTTTGTCAGCCATACAGATTCTAGTCATGCAAGATGCTCTCGGCAGAGCTGATGTTGACAGGCTGGAGACTTGTGAGCGCTATTGACCTCGTCCCAACGCTCATTCATCCACAGTCCTCTTGGACCGGGTTCAACCCGATGGCTCAGTCACTGGCGATTCTTTCGGAGAGACAGACACACGCTTCACGCACATCCTTCTCCTCGCACTTACGCTTCTGGGGCGATTGGATAGCCTACGCGCTCTGTACAATGACAAAGGCTTGGATTTGGTCGTGGACAACGTCCGACGTAGTATGAACTTTGACGGGGCGTTTGGATCTCGACCAGGCGCAGAGAGTCATGGGGCGCAGGGTAGGTCGTAGAGCCGTATCGTCACTGACGATCAGTCTGGGTGTGCGTGGGCTCGCTGGCATTGGCAGATCGACTCGATATTGTGGATCCCAATACACTGGGCTGGTGGCTTTCAGAACGTCAGGTTCCCAGTGGTGGTCTGAATGGTAGACCGGAGAAACTGCCAGACGTCTGTTATTCGTGGTGGAATCTCGCTTCCTTGAGTATCATCGGCAAACTTCATTGGATCGATCGAGACAAATTGATCGAGTTTATCCTCGAATCTCAGGACCTGGACTACGGAGGTATAGCGGATCGTCCTGGAGACTGGGTAGACGTCTTCCATACGGTCTTTGGTCTGGCAGGTGGGTCCCAGATTCCTGTCCCTCTTGCTGACTTTAGGTCTCTCGCTCGTCGGATTTCCTGGTCTTCAAGATATTGACCCGGTATTCTGTATGCCTGCCAAGCTCATAGACAAGCTTGGGTTAAGAAAGACGTACACCACGCTACCGCGCATGGACGACAAATATCCAACATCATAATATGCATTATGCATGCTTCGTTCGTATCTAAGCATCATCTCCGCCTCCACCCTGAACAGTGGGCGTAGAGGTTCCAAGCGACATGGCCATGCCTGACTGTCCAGCTTGAGTTTGAGCTATGCGTTGACGTTTCCTCTCAGCCTCAGCCTCCTTCTCTGCCTCGATCCCAGCCACGATCTTCTCGATCTCTGACTGCTCCAGATTCTGGGCTATCAGTACTGGGAACGCACGCTGACCTCACCCTGACCACGCCGAACGATTCCATCACGGAAATCTCGATATTCTTCGCCCCTGTCTGTACGACCTCCAACAATGACTTGATGGTGAGCTTGATGGCCTCGTCATTGCTCAGTTTTTCGGTATAATTCTTCTCCAGGAACTCTCGAACAGTCTTGGAAGCCCGGCCGATGGCGCATGCCTGGCGAGGTAAGCTCCAACATCGACTGCTTCCTCACCTTCCACGCAGAGTAGATTCCTCCAGGATCTGTGGTGTATAGGCGAGGTTTGTCGTCGTTGGGATCAAAGCCAATAATCAACGTTGAGATGCCAAAAGGTCGGACACCACCGGATTGAGTGTATTTCTGACATGAGCTATGGCATTCGTCTCCTCCCAGCTCACCTGCTGGATTCCTGCAACGTGCTTAGTGATGTACTCGATCGAAACTGGGTCCTCCACAGTCAGTCGGTAGGATTGGCACTCGACCCGAGCCTTGTCAATGAGGATTCGACCATCGGCAGTCAAGCCTACATGGTCAGGGTCAGCACTTGCAGTGTGAACAGGAGAGTTCGTACACACCGGCAAAAGCAATACAGACATGGTCATCCAGCATGGCGACCTTTCTGACTGTTCTTGGGTCTTGAAGTTGCAGTGCAGATTTCTTCTCCACTCCAAGAACGGCACAGTGTTCTCCGCGAACTCCAACCTGCGAAGGGTGTCAAGATGCGGATCCAGGTGGTTTAAAGTCCAACTCACGGCACACGTTCCCCGCTTGACCGCTTCCATAGCATAGTCTACCTGGAACAACTAGAACTGACGTCAGCTAGCCATGGGACTTGTGATGTAGGCGGGGACTGACATGCCCGTCAGGCGAGAAGACGGTCAACGCTAGGCGTAGTCAGCTAGGTTCCGGTCGGGCTTACACACCTCGATCGTAAGACCGTGACATGGTAGACAAATGTTCTCTTGAGTCTCTTTGACCTTCTTGCTGCTTTCTTCTCTCTCCTGCTGAGCTGCGTATCCGCTGCTATAGCTCTGCTGACGATGCCTGGATGATAATGAAGATGAGCAAAGCTCAGAGTCCTACGACTTCGACGCGCAAGTCGGTCGGTCTTGGGCAAATTTGCTTCCGCTTTCTCCGGTCTCAGCTGAAATGCTGGTCTCTTCGTTGCTCACTTATGTCCCAGCACCAACCAGAATCTAAAGCATGGCTCAGACAAGACAGCGAACAAAGGGGCAGCGTACACCTAAGAAGGAGGACCTAGATGAAGGTGAGAGCTCAGAGATTTGGAAGAGCACTTCTGATCTACTCAGGCCCGGTACTGGACGAACAAGGTAGGAGCCAAACATGAAGATCCTATCCATCTCTGAATCTCCACGTTCAGAGCAAGAAGATGAGATCGAAAAGCTCAGAACTGCCAACGAAGCGAGCACTAAACATGCGGATACCTCGTTCGACTTAGGCATCATAATAGCCTCTGCCTTGTGGGTGTTTCCTCATCACCGCTGAACTGAAAACTAACCTGTCCAGCCACATCATGGATCTGATGCGCTTTCTCCGAGACGATCAATTAGCCGCCACTGGCCTCTGCGTAGCTCAGCTGGTTATGCTGCCTCTTTCACTGTCCCATAAATGGCTCCCCGCACCGATCTATGACTTTGCAGCGACATACCATACCTACATCGTCTGTGTTCAGCTGGTTGCCCTGGCCTTTTTGGTCGATGTGACGTGGGCGGATGAACCGACCTGGGCGGAGATACTGCGATTCGCGCTTCCCTCTATCAATGCCATCTTTGTAGAGGTTCAACATCGCTCCGCAGTGGCCGCCGAAGAGGCGCTGAAACGTCTCGAGAAGAAAAAATACAATGTCAAGGGTGCATGAATAGAAGATCTGAAACGTTTGTATCACCAGGATGGGATGCCGAGCGATCGGCATCGATCAATGCTCTAGCATTATGTCCGTTCGTGCTTCTGAAGCTGGATGCTCTACCAGAGCGTGCAAGACTACTAGAAGCCGGCGCAGTGTTGACTCGTGATCACAAACGGGGCTGGAGAGGGGCTCGCCGAGACATTTTTGATGAAAATGTACGAAAATCCGTCAACATGGACTATACTTGACAATCGGATCATCCATTGACCCTCTGACAGACATCTTGTCAGTTACTCATCATGTCTGGACAGCAGCAGTCGCCTTCACGCCCCGCAGTTCGAAGGCATTCCTCACAAGTCCGATTCTCACGGGGCGATCGATCGCCCATAGGTACACTCACATCTGAAGAGTCGAGTCAGGGGGATTCGGGCACGCTGCGAGGCAGAGCCCAAGCTCCGTCGCATACTCGAGGACACAGTGATTTCAACGATATCAATACGTATCCTGTCGCCAGCGAGACCAGTCATTCCGGTTACACCAATCCATACTATAACAGCGAAGCGGACGAGACGGAGCTTGACACTCGGTCTCAAAGAGATTCCGCTCAGAGCTCAGAGACCATAGTGGCTGCAGACCACAATCGTGGCGGACTAAGAGATTCTTACACTTCGACCCCTCCTCGGATTCAAACTCGACGTGCGACGAACCCAACTAACATGGTTCCTCCTTCGGACAAGCGGCAAGACATCTCGACGCCTCCCGCCACTATGCGCGGTAATGGACCCATGAACCTACCCACCGGCGGTCGACCGAGCATGGCGACGCCTCCTGCACCCGCTCCGTATGTTGAAGAAATGCTATCACCAAAGTCGATGCCGTCCGAATGGGGTTCGCCTGCGTCCCAATGGCAACCTCAGCCTCCCAGCCCCAGTCCCGCGAGACCACCCTCGGCTTTGAAGCAGACCTCGGCATCCCCCATCCCGACTGGGCCTCCTATTCCTGGCTCTACTGCAGGCTTCATGGGGCAAGGTTTCAGACAGTTTGACCAACCTGGGCCCATCTACGCGCCTCCACCTTTCCCACCATCCACCCCAGCTGCTAGCCATGAACCCATCGCGCCTCAGCAAGGGACTGATCCAGGTTCAGAGCCAAGGTTCTCCCTGCGAGAATGGCAAGAATACCAGCAGCGTCAACAATGGGCTCAAAACGTCGGTCGACACGATTCGGATGAGACACTCACAGGAGGATATCCCGTCAACACTGAGAAACCTTCTGTACCTCGAGGCTCAGAGGCTATGCATCTCGAGCCAGTTGGGCCGAATGAGCAAACTGGGATGAGGCGACGAACAACACGTGAAGTTGAAGGCAATGACGAGGTCCATCACGTCAAGGGCGGAGTATTTTCCCAGCTCCTCCGGCTCGCGGGTCGGAGCAATACGCTGAAGAATCGAAACATGTCAATTGGAGCCAGTAGTCAAGGCACTTCAGGAGAGCTTCCCATCATGGAGAATCTGGGCATCAGATCTCGAGCAAACTCATTCACGTCGACCATCTTCCCCATGGACGAGCTCGAGCCTGATGACCCTCGGGTGACAGGTAAGAAGCCCAAGCCTAAGGATCCAAATTGGGACGACTTGGCGTATGTTCAGACCACGGGAGTGGTTCGCAAGCGTAAAGGCTCCATTCAACTCCATGTAGCGGGTGAGACCAGGGTTCGTTTTGCTTTGGCTGATAGTAGACATTCTCACCCGCCAACAATTCATCTTGAAGCTCGCAAAAGCATTGATGGTATTTGGAGCGCCATCTCATCGGGTCGAATCTCAACTTAATGCCACGGCAAATGTCTTGGAGGTTGACGCCCAGTTTATTCACCTGCCATCGATCGTCATTGCTTCTTTTGGTGATCCTGATACGCGTACATCCGACACGCAATTCATCAAAGCATCTGGCGGTCTAGACCTGGGAAAGCTTCATCGCGTTCACCGGATCTACAGAAAAGTCGTCCATGATGAGCTCGATGCTGCCGACGGTACCAAACAGATTCAAGAACTACTTCGAGCACCCTCCATTTACAACGTGTGGCATCGAATATGCCTGGCCTTCTTTTCTGCTGGAATCGCTGCCCCACTCGCTTTCGGCGGGAGCTTTGTAGATGGGCTTGCAGCGGGATGCTGTGGGATCCTCCTGAGTTTCTGGCAGCTGCATGTCGCGAGTAACAGCTCGATGTATTCCAACATTTTCGAGTGAGTCAAGGAGTCGTACCCGCCGGTTGACGTACCACAGAATCTCAATTGCCACATTCGTTTCCTTCGCTGCTCGAGGTCTGGGTACGACGGGCATCTTTTGTTATCAAGCCGTGGCATCGGCAGGCGTGACTTTGATCCTGCCTGGATATGTCATCTGTGAGTGTTTCCTTCATGATCCTTCTGACGTTTCCTTTAGTATGTGGATCTCTCGAGTTGGCATCCAAGAACATTGTTTCTGGATCAGTGCGAATGGTCTACGCTATCATCTACTCGCTCTTCCTCGTAAGTCTATGCTCGACCAGCATTGCTGACCTTGGAAGGGCTTCGGCATCACGATTGGTTCCGACATCTTCTTTGTCCTTGATCGCAAAGCGCGAGCGGCTCAAAACGCAGCCATAGCAGCTCAATCAAACTTTGTCACCCTCACGGGGTCTTTCATCCCCATGGCAGTCAACAGCTCATTCGCACCGATGATCAACGCCAGCAGTCCCTTGATACCTTTCAACGGGACATTCACATTCTCCAATCAGTCATACTCTGACGTCGACAGCTCACTGCGGTCGGGTCACATCATCTGTGACCGACCAGATGGTCTCCCCTGGTACCGTCAGAACATGCCTCGGATCTACGCCATCGGTCTGGTTCCCATTTTCAGTACCCTCATCGCATTATGGAATATGCAACCGATCAAGAGTCGCCAATTACCCGTCATGGTCGTCATCAGCTGTATCGGTTACCTTACCAATACCCTGGCGAATCACTACATCTTTGACCGAAGCGATGTGGTCTCGGCCATCGGAGCGTTTGTCATCGGGTACGTATGCTGCCCACACTTCGTACCGTCGTGCTGATGCTGCATCAGGATCCTCGGCAATATCTATTCGCGTGTATTTGGCGGAACGGCATTCACCTCCATGGTTCCCGGAGTCTTGTTCCTTGTCCCGGTGAGTTCAGCCAGTCAAGGATCTTCCATTAATCAAACACTTGTTGACCTTGCATCCTTAGTCTGGCATATCTGCAGCAGGAGGTCTGGCCATGACGAACACTGCTGGAAGCGACTCGTACTCTCAGGGTCTGACGATCGGTTTCAGAATGGTTCAAGTAGCCATTGGCATCACAGTACGTCTCTGTGGGATCAATGACCTCAGTACATAGCTGAAGGCAACCTCAGGTCGGACTCTTCGGATCCGGGTTACTGATCTACTCGTTTGGAAGAAAGAAGGGTTCCGCGCTCTTCGCCTTCTAGACCGTTTCTGCGGCTCCCTTCTCACTATGTACCTCTTTACACCAAAAAACGAGATCATATACCCCTGGCTGGCAGGTCCAGTCGATGGACTATTGTTTTTGACGATGACGACGAATGCATCATGGACATTACATGTGATCGCTAACGGCCTACATCAGTGACACGCGCGTGCCTGTCTCCCTGCCATGATCACCGTTACCCATCATCCCATCGCGACCTCCGAGGAATGACCTGTAGCTGATCCCGTGTCAGCGTGTTGAATAAGGGATAAACATACATGTTGGACAGGCGATGATAGTCTGCGGCCGATACGGACGGTCTCGTGGACACCAACGAGTGGAGGAGGTGTTGTTGCTCAATCACGAGCTGAAGAAAGTCAACATTTGACTCAATGATTGTTTTTACCTTTGGGACTGTTGACAGATCGTTCTCTTCGGTTCTGGACTGTGATGCCGATAGACGAGAAACCAGTTCATCGAGCTGAAAATCATCAGTTAGATCCGAAGAACGATCTTGGCAGCTTACTCGACGTGCCGCGTCAGAATCGTGCTCTGCATCCAGCGGGGCAATCTGTTTCCAACCTCTTTTTGCATTGGGTTCGGGCTTGGGCACATGGCCATTCGCCTTTCCTTTGCCTTTCCCCTTCCTTCTGATTTCGGTATGGTCTTCGTTAATCTCTGACCGTTCCAAGTCGCGGACAGACGACTGTACCACCTCAAGATGCGCATTGTACATGATGGCTTGAAGATCAGCACCGGAGAACCCTTCCGTATCATGTGCAATCAGTTCAAGATCGACAGTCTGTACGATGTCCATTTTCCGAGCAACAGTCCTGATAATCTGGTTTGCGTCAATGAATGCCCAATACCGAAATTCACCTCGAGTCTATCTGCGTAGCTTGGCATGTCACAAAGGACGGCTTTGTCTAATCTCCCTGGTCGGAGCAGTGCAGGGTCAATCAAATCAGGACGACTAGAGTTCGAGTAAGCGAGAGGCGAGGTAGCTGTCTCGTACCTGGTGGCTGCGAGCACATAGACCCCTTCAAGACCTTGAGCGCCATCCATCTCAGTCAACAGCTGATTAACTACTCTGTCCGTAACTCCCGTCGAGTCATGTCCTCTATGAAGTCAGAACGGCTACCACCAGGGAGCATGCTCACCGCTTTGGCGCGATCGAATCGAATTCATCGAAGAACAAGATACAAGGCTTGGCTCCAGATGCCCTCTCAAACAGGTCGCGAATGGCTTTCTCGCTCGCGCCAATATACTTGTTAAGTACTTCTGGGCCTTTGACAGAGATGAAATTGAGGCCGCATTCCTTTGCTACGGCGGACGCGAGGAGAGTCTTGCCGCATCCAGGGTACCCGTACAGCAGGAGACTATGCGGGTCAGATTGATCAGAACGCACAAAAGATAACTTACCCTGATCTCAGTCGTAATGGACAATTTTGAAAGATTTGCGCGTATTTGGTAGGCCATTCCAAAGTCTCCCGAAGAACACGCCTTGGCCCCGCCAAGCCTGTGACTCGTTAGCGAAAGTCAGGATGACAAGAACGATGACGCTGACCTCCAATGTCCGACCAAGAAACGGTAGACTGCTGCAATTTGACCCCTTTCAAACTGCTCGGTGAGAAATTTTGCAGTGATGCGGCGAAATCATCCTGGGTGAGATTGTCCTGCACAGCGTCAGACCGTCTCGTCACTGAGACTTGCCTTTTGATCGTCTGACAGACTTCGAATAATAGACTGCTGTACGGCCAAATCAATCAGGTCTTTGAGATCTGCGGGTGAATATCCTTCAGTCTCGCCAGACAAGCCCACAAAATCCAGCTCCTCTGAGTTTGCGGTGGCTGGTACAGCGCTCGCACCAATGGCCAGTCTTCGAGCGGCGACGCTCCCACGGAGTATCTGGTCAAGTCAGTTTGGCGACAGAAGCCCATCAGACGTACCTGCTCACGTCTCGCCTTATCTAAAGGCGGTATTCTGACTTCCTGCCCAAAGATATGCTTTGAGTTCAATAGTGGATGGATCGCGCTCTTATTGGATGCCGTCGCAACGACGAGCAGCCCTCGCGGAATTTGAGCAGTTGCGAACAAGCGGCAAAACGTGTCTGTCAACGACGCAGAGGTGGTCGAGGAATTTAGCTAAGTTATCAGCTATGTGCCGCTGCTGTATGTCTGAGCAGACTCACTTCATTCTGCGGATGTAAAAGATGATCCAGTCCGTCAAATACCAACAAGACTGGCCTACGACGTGTGGCATCCTCGAATATTTGGATTAATTTGTCTTTCAGCTCTGACGTTCGACCATCCAAGTCTAGCGTGGTCACATCATGGTAGATGGGCTCTGATGAAAGGTTTCAGTAAGTCAAGCTACGAATGGTTATCTCAACCTACCAGCCAAGATGTCACGATCAGAAGAAAGTGCTCGGGCCAAGTATCTGACCAGGCTTGTCTTTCCGGAACCTTTCGCACCAGTTACCAGGAGAGGACGTGGAGAGCTAGAATGGAAAGCGCGGCATAGGTACCTTGTTGCGGTGTTGATGATCGTGTCATATCCGATGAGTGGCGCCAGAGGCTCGTTCGCAAGACTACTTCAATGTTAAAGAGCTTGATGTTGACATGGTGCTTACAAGTCCGCATTATAAGAGGTATCTGCCTTTCTTCGGGAGGAGGACGGGGAATTCACTGTCTTTCTGACTCTACTCTGTCCGTAAGAGGAATGCCACGATAGCCGGCGGAATAGTCTCTCACCTGAGCCACGACCATGAGGTCCAAGCTGCGACTGGAGTAGCTGTGGTCACGACATGCCCGTCCGGGACCTCGTCCCATGGTAATAGGTATAACTCCACTCCATCTTCCTCCTCTGATTGGTTCGTGTTCGCCACATCGTCTGAATTCGCCTCCCTGATGACGCTCTTGTCCTTTGCATCCGCCCAGCTTTTCACATTGATGTACAAGAAGCCCTTCCCCCCGCATTGTAATCTCTGACGTACGCGTAAGATCGTGTTCACTGAGGCAAAGGCTAGATTTTGCGATTTGGCTCCTCCAGGTATGCTATTTACCTCCCATTCGGGCGTACCCCAACCGCCTGCAACATTGGAAGGTATGTGTCGTAATCTGACACTCGGTCCTGCGCCGGGCCTCTTGCCTTTACCATCCCTGGTGTTACCAGAATCGGCCGCTCTTTCGGGTTCGATAACTGTCCTTGGATGGTCTGGAGAATTTGGTTCCTTCTTGCGCGGTCGAGGTGCAACGTAGATCTCTGTGTCTGGTCCAATGACCACTGCGGAGTCCTTCCCTGAAGGGCTAGTTTCGTCTCCCGAGAGGTCAGCCGTGAGGCCAAGACGCGAGACTAAGAGGAAGTACCTATACGTATGCGAATCTTAGTGTTACCCAGAACCCACACGTTAACTTCTTGTTTCGGACGAGCTGCTCGAAGTTGACCCAAGAGGTGGTTTTCAAGAAATGAAGCGTGCTCCTCCTGGGGTTCATCATGAGCTCAGTCATCGTAGCTTATGTCTACGGATCTCACAAGGATTTCCCAATCGTCCGAAGACAGAGGCGTGACCGAGACGGATTTGGCTTTCGTTGGTCGATTTATGATGGAGATTTCGACCTGATCGTCCAAGTCTCGTCAGTCAGAGGTCTAGGTCATCGTGCAGACTTTTGAAGCTCACTGTAGTCCCTTCTGCCCAGCCTAGATCCATTGCCACCTCTGGGTCCACCTCGATTGTCCCTATGGACCCCTCTCGCCCTCCTGCACCTGCATTCCCTATACCCGCTAACCCACTACTGAGTGAACTGGCTGAGGCGAGTCCAGACCATCCCAGATACCCTTCTTGCGGTCTCCTGCCACTGCTAGACGAAGAAGAAGCGATAGGTGACAGGTGAAGAATGATACCTTGAGGTCTCTACACGCCTGTCAATGTGAACTCAGACTAAAGGTGGAGACTGACTGACCACTTGTTGTTGTGCCAGGGTAGCATAGAGTGATAGGGGCAGATGAACCAGATTTGAGCGAAGCGAACGATACTTGATCGTGGCTCGTTTGCTCATGACTCAGTCGAAGCCTCAACAACTACGGCTGGCTAGGCGCAGAGGATATGTTCAGAGCTTGAGACAGGATAATGATAACATTGAACTTTTGGACTGACCGGTTATTATAACATCGAATGACCGAGAGTCCCGTGGCGGCGAACGATGATGACTATGCAATGCATGATGATATGACTAGTTGATACAGTCCAATGGTAGTGGTTATACAACTAAGCACACTCCCGTCTTGCTCTATGCTGTCCTTCTGAAGTTCGACTGCATGGTTTCAGCGGTGGAAGCTCCAACTCTGGCTTGATATATCGGCAAGATCCTATCCCACCATTCGGGAAACACCTTCTTCATCATCACCATCGTACTGTCCCTGTACGCGTCCCACGTAGACGTGAATTTGACTAAAATTTCGAGCGTAGCAAAGTTTGGACTTGGGGCACCATCGAGATTCTGTCTCATTTCTTCAAATACCATTGTTTGAGCTTCCTCGAACTGATGAGCTCGACATAGGTTCTCCACTCGGCCATTCCATATCCTCGGGTCTGATGTAAATCCATGATGTTTGGCCCACACCCATACGGATTCAGACGTTTCTCTCCCACCTGAATGCCCTAAAAGATCGAGGACGATGGCCAATGAAGCGGGATAGATCCGACGTGCTTCTTCAGCCGGTAGACGTACACGTCTCTCGGCCAGTTCTGTCCACACTGCAAAGCCGGCATCATGAGCACCGACCCGATTATACGCATCCATGATGGTGTTCAGCATCTCGGTGTTGATCTCGATAACAGGATCCAGCTTATATCGAGTGTAAAGCGCCCCAATGTGAGAAGTAATGTTACGCAGTCGGTTCTCGAGCATTGTATTACTTGAAGCCCCACCTTGAAACAGTTTCCGACTCGTCGTTGCTAGTTGACCGTACCGGTAGATCAAATCTCGGTAAAGCGATTGGGGTGGCGAAAGTCCAGCAAGCTGCATATCAGTCATGATTTGAATGAGTTGCGCCGAAGGAGGACACGGCACTGGGTTATTGTCATCCGCCGGATGGAGATTGCGCATTTCATCCAATACGCGCTTGAATGTTGACGCGGTGAATGATAGTCCAGAGCACTTGAGCAAATCGTTGTAAAATCCGAATGCAATGCGATGGGATGGCGAGCGTGAGATGAGAAGAGGGAGAAGGGCGTTGACGACGGGGCTCGAGAATCGGATTTCTTGCTCAACTGCCTCTCTGAGGATCTCCCTAAGGGTATCGAGATCACACGTTTTTGGCGACAACTGCGCAAACAACATGGTTTGAAAGATGCCCAGAATGTTTTTGACCTCGTCCTCGTCCTTAAAGGCAGGTTCAGGACTGGCCAACCAATTGTTATACACTTCGAGTGCGTCTTTGATAGATGGAGGTTGAGATGCGCAGAGCTGATTGATGAGCATAGACGCTAGCTTTGTGTCTATGATGATCCCATTTCCGCGGGCGATACGATACGCCTGCATGGCCTGGGCTCGTTGATCCAGAACTTCAGGCTCAGCGGTCTTTTCGGACGAGGCAAGCGGTGCTTCAAGAGGCATATTTCGACTGCTATCACCGGAATCACCGAAGATCGCAGACGCCATCACCTGGCGCCAGACGTCCACAGGGCAGACCAGCCCGAGATCCGCCTCAACGGAAGCGATGGACTGAGTGACGGTCGCTGCATCGACTATTTGTGACCCAGAGTGTTGCCTCGGATCGAGCCGGTTTCGTATAATGTCCAACAGCGTATTTGAGGATGGCTGCAATCCGGTATCGATCATTCTTTCTGCTATTTCCAGCAAGTGGGTCGCATTTCCAGAGGCACTCGCCATCTCACACAACGTCTCCCATTGAGCTTTGCGGAGCCCTTCGGGGGATTCCCCGTCCCACCTCGAAGTGATCTGTCGAGCCTGATCCAGACGACCCAGCCGAATGAGGACAGCAGCGAGGTGAGCTTCTGCAAGGGGCTCGAGGATTATGCCAGCACGGTCCAGGTCCTGATGGAGCGCGTCAAACTCCTCACTCAGCCCAGCTGCAGGTCCGTCCCTTTCCAATCGCTGTCGAAAGTCCAATAAGAGGAGCTCATAATCCTCAGCGTCCAGTTCCTTGGTCGATCGGATTCGAGCCACGATTTCCTCCACATGCCCCATCTTTCCTTCCACTGCCAGTCTCAATAATTGACTCCAATCGACATCAGCGGGATCCATCCCGTCCAGAAGATCAAGCGCATCGTCCATGCGTCCTGCTGAACAGTAACCCGAAGCTAGGGCGGAGTGATGATCGGTGGATAGTTTGACCGTGAAGAATGGTTCCAGATCGTGGTATATCCTCAACAACAGCTCCAAAGCTTCGGCTGAATGCTCTTTGAATGTAGCCAAAGCGTACATTCCTTCAAGGAGATCGTCCGAAGAAAAATACTGTCTCTTCTCGGCTGGTAGAGCTGGATCGAGGTTCATAGCGTGGACGACCATGTCGTAAGCTCGTTTCATGGTTGGTAGATGATGATGACGTCCAGCGTCGAGAAACTCTTGTCTGGCCGTCGCGAGTGATAAGACACGTTGCTTACTTTGACCAGATCCAACGCGAAAAATGTCTGAGAAGGCGAGGGAGGGGACGGTAGCGTGGTATGATCGACTGGAGCCGGCACAGGGAGCGGAGACGAGGATCATCGAAGAAGCCTCGACATAATATTCGCCCCTCATTCTTCTGCATCTGGGCGCGAGTCAACATCGTGCAATACAATCTCTTGTCCAGACCGAACTTACGTTGACGATGACAGACTACTGGTGGACCGTATACCGCCATGGCTAGGGTCGAACTGGAATCTCGTTCTAAACGCGATTGCAGCTTGTCTCCGTTTCAATATAGCCCCGGGTAAAGCTCTAGCTCTGATACCCATGATTTTGAATCTGTCTGCCACTGCTCACGATCAGCAGTAGATGTAGCAGGACGCTCTCGATGTCATCTGGGTCGGCGATGGTTGCAATTGCTGGGCTTCAGATCACGTGATGACCTATTATGTATCTTATCCGATCTTCCCGTTTAGATTAACCTTATTTTCCAAAAGTTTTCGGCGATTTAGACCATCAGATTGACCTCTTTCAATCGTATCAAGGACCGATCCAAGACAGGATCTTGCAGCGAGTGACCTGGCTAGCAGCATCGGTGGCCACCACCCATGTCGCTTCCTTCTGTCATTCGATCGTCAGCTCGACGCACTATCTGCAGCGTCTGCGTCGCTTCATCCTCTCGGCACACTCTCGCCTCACCTCCGATTCGCCGATCATTCAGGACAACTTACCGGAGCCTTGCGAACGCAGTGGCATCTACTTTGGACGCCGATGAAGAGCTCCGCAGCTCCTCAAATCTCGACCACACACCCTCTGATCTCCCGGCACGCAAGACCAGTCGGTCTGTTGCCGGGCAAAAGGCCAAGGGAAAGACATTTCAAGCTCCGAAAAGTCGGAAATTCACTGCGTCAGCGTTCTTACCGCCAGCACCACCAACACCACTGGAAGTCGCTCGACGTATACTGGCAAGGTTGCCAGAGTTCTCCAAATCAAAGCGACTTTCAAGCCAAGTCCATGATTATGGCCTGACGTCTGAAGAAGAGAGGGCGTCGATCGACAATTGGGCATGGACATTGGATGATCTCCTCAACTCATGCTCCAATGATGATGCCGAGGCGAAGGCGGCCTTCCAAAGATCAGGCTTCCAATTGGATCGCCTGATTCAGAGTATAGCTTCAGCAGAAGAACAAGGACTGGCGGGATCAAGTCAACAAGCTATCGAACATGCCTTGACGAGGAATTACGTCCAAGCAGCATCTCGCGACGAGGCTGTCAAAACCTCTACTCGAGATCACCTTCGGACGATTTTATCATTGACCGATCTCACTAATATCGCCTTCTCCACAGCCTTTCTCCCTGCGCGTTCGATGCGCCGCCATTTCCATCTTCACTTGGGACCGACCAACTCCGGTAAAACCTATAACGCTCTAAAAGCTTTAGCTCAGGCGAAGTCAGGAGCCTATGCTGGTCCGCTCAGACTACTGGCACACGAGGTTTGGGAGCGATTGAATCAAGGGACGGTTGGAGGACTCGATGGACAAGGAAAAGCGTGCAACCTGTTGACAGGTGAAGATCATCGAGTAGTGGACCCTACATCTCAACTGCTCAGCTGTACGGTGGAGATGCTCCCGCTGAGCAGAGCAGACCCATACGAGGTGGTAGTCATCGATGAGATTCAAATGCTCAAGGATGTCGCAAGAGGCGGTGCTTGGTCCAAAGCTTTGATCGGCGTCAAGGCTAAAGAAATTCATCTGTGTGGTGACGAAACCATGCTGGACATGCTGTCAGGACTCATACCCTCATTGGGAGACACGATGGAGGTTCATAGATACGATCGCCTCACGCCGCTGAAGGTTGCCGACAAGTCGCTCGGTGGAGACTTTGGAAAGTTTGAAAAAGGAGATTGCGCCGTCACATTCAGTCGAAACAATATCTTTGCGGTCAAGAAACAGATTGAACAAGTGGTTAGTCGGAAATGTGCAGTGGTGTATGGTGCTCTTCCGCCAGAGACGAGAGCTGAGCAAGCGAGGAATTTCAATGACCCAAATACACATGAGGAGATCTTAGTCGCTAGTGACGCCGTGGGGATGGGCTTGAATCTGTAGGTCGATCTCGTGTCCATAAGTCACGCTGACTCATTACTTAAAGCAAAATCAAACGCCTGGTGTTCATCAACCTTACGAAATGGAATGGAAGTGCCGAGGTACCCCTGACTCTCACTCAGATCAAGCAGATCGCCGGTCGAGCAGGCCGTTTTGGGACGCGTGATAATGATTCGGACAAGCTGAGGACGGCTTCCAAGTCCCACGAAGACAAGAATGATTACATCGGGCTAGATGACGCTCCCGATGAGGGCGGAGTCGTCACAACGCTTCACGACTCGGATTTACCACTACTTCGCGAGCTTTTGCCTATCCCACTTCAATCTGCTCGTCAAATGGTCATTGACGTTCCTACCGAGATTATCGCTCAGATGGCCACTTTGCTTCCACCTTCCACTAAATTCTCATCCCTTTTACAACACGTGTCAACCTTGGCCGTGGTCCCTCCTAATATGACCACTGGCGCATTGGACCTCTCTCGTGGACCCTCCGAGGTCATTGATGCTTTCGCTAGCCATTTGTCTCTACACGAAATGTCGGTGTTCAATGCGGCACCGGTCAATCTCAAGGATCCAGTCTTGAAACACATTTTGGGGACAACCATCCATTTATACACAAGGACGAACGAAGTGAAACTCAAAGACGTGTTTCGTGCTTCTGAGCTTCCGAAAAAACTCGATGTGATCGAAGCGACCTTGGCCATCTTACCGCCGTTACCCCCTGTTCTCGGAATCGGGCGTTTACCCTTGCTTCCACCGATCGTTATCTCCTCTATCCCATCTCTCGAAACTCTGCACAAGGGTCTAGTCCTCTACTTGTGGCTGTCATTCCGACTTCCGCTCGCCTTTCCTGACCGAGAGGCGGCTGAACAGCTGAAACAAAGGTGTGAAGTGGTCCTCGAAGACTGTATCGAGCGGATCCCAGGCGTCCGTCAGAAAAAGCATTTGGAGCGGACACGCGAAGGAGACAGAGCCGTTGCCAATTGGCGAGCGACATTTGTCGCCCCAAACGGGACGAAAAAGTTTGAAGGCAGTGATCCCAAAGGTGTCCAATGGGTCGAAGAAGCCATTGCTCAACGATTGAAGAATAAAGGAGCTTGGAACGATAGGGGTTCTGCTCCTGACCCCTCCAAATGGCTCAATGAGGTCGATGGTAGGGGACAGGGACAGCCGCCTGCTCCTCCCAGAATCTCTGCTGCTTTCAGGAATCAGAATCTCAAGTATCGCCTTGGCAAATCCCGACATTCTCCCGATTTCAAGGCCCATTCGGGTTGGTATCCGGCGGATCCAGCTGCCCCCAAGAAGACAGCTTCGCATACTCATCTTCTCTCGGAAGCGCCCAAGTCAGAAAAGGCAGGTATGGAGTAGACCACGATGGGGGGCTTTCTGAACTGTACCCAATACGTTGTACTCATAGCATATGCAAATTTCACCGCTTGTTCGTCACTGCTCTAATCTTCTGGACCGGGACTGCATAGGAGAGTAGCCTATACACAAGGGTAGCTGACCGTCGACGGAATCAAATTCTCCTTCGCCTTTCGCGTCACTTTTTGTTGACAAAAACCGTCCAAAGTGGCTGGTCAAAACTGAGAGTGCTGCTCGCTGCTGGGCTGCTGCTGGCTTATCCAACTGCTTGCACTCAAACTCCCCAAACTGGCTGGCTGATCTGACGTATTCGATCGAGGAGGAGGAGAAGAGCAGCAGCGATAAAATACAGATCATACCGAGACATCCATTGTTTTTTGATACATCTTCTTCCGCTCGCTCCTCTCCGAAACATTTCCCTCTCAATCAATCACCTGATCTCTCTCATAAAGTAGATCACTGAGATTACAGTAGCTTTGGTGGTCGAGGAGAACAAGGTCTCGAGTGTCAAGCAACATGGCGTCCTCGAAACATCTCGCTGCGGACTCACTCCCAGCTTGGATACCGCTACATCATTTCAACGAACCGAGGTGGAATTATGCGACAGGTCTGAAGGTCCTCGATTTAAGTCAGGGCAGTCTGTGGCTCTTTGTTGGAATGACAATGTTCAACCCAATCTTTTGGAACATTGTCGCGAGAAATGGTGAGTGTTGGGTCTAAGGGGGAGAGTGAGATGTTGGTATGAAAGAGAAGAGAGGAGTTTGGTCCTGTGATGCCGCAGGTTCCAGGTGCGACTCAGGCAACTGCCTGTCGCTCCATGGAACCCCCGAGCTCTTTGGCTTCTCATCCAGCTGACCTTTTTACCCTTTCCAAGAATACGAGAACAAGACCATCACACGGATTGTCAAGTCTCCATATGTCGGATGCTACATCTTGGCTGGGACCATCTTCACCCTCTCCGCTACGAGAGATAGCATGTGAGTGATTCTCCTATTTCTCTCCGCTCATTCCCGTCCCAGGTACCTCGCGGCCATCAAGGATCAACCCGCCATGGCCTTGTTGAACAACTCTTTGGTCAAGGCCATTGGGTTCGCTACGTTTGCCGCCGGTCAAGTCTTCGTTCTGAGCAGTATGTGGGCTTTGGGAGTCACTGGTGAGTGTCGATAACCTGACATGTCTGGCTGGGCGTTGAGGGGCCGTCTCCATCTGCTTAGGCACATACCTTGGCGACTACTTTGGGATACTGATGTCTAAACGCGTCACTGGATTCCCATTCAACGTCCTCAATGACCCAATGTATGTTGGATCTTTCCTTTCTCATTTGGGAACAGCACTGTGGTACGAGAGTCCATCGGGAATTCTCCTCGCCTTTTGGGTACTGGCAGTCTACATGGTCGCGCTAACTTACGAGGGGTGAGTGAGCGAGGCTCTTCATTGACTGAGGCTGATGTATCCCGCCCCCCAGACCATTTACAGACAAGATTTACTCTAAGAAATCGGGTAAAAAATCCGCTTCTGCAGCTTCGACGCCACGTAAATCTGCCCGGAAATCGATGGTGAAGAAGGACGAAAGTTACGCCGACGCAGTTGCCAATGGAGGTCCTGGAGTTCCTTCGACTCAGGCAAAAGTATCCTCGGGCGTCCAACCTAAACCTGTTGGTTCTGTCGCCGTGACGCCGAGGAAGACGAGGACATCAAAGTCGGACTCCACGAGTCCTCACATGACGAGAAGTCGGACGGGCAACACGCCGGGAGCGAGGAGGGCTGGGAGTGATGAGTAGACAGAGCAAGTGAGGCGGGCGGAGCGAGAGTAATCGATAACGTCAGCGAAGGAGGATTGATGGAGTGAGGCGTTGGATGAGGAACGGAGAAGGAGCAGTTATGGCGGAATGAGGCTAGGACAGCAAGCGAGACCGGAATGTTGAAGCTGGAGGGAGGGGAGACCAGTTCTTAGGATATCATGGACTCTGCCTGCAGAGAAGGTCGAAGGGTCCACGGGAGAAAGGAAGAAAAGAGATCACGATACCCTCTTGGACTTTGATATACCCTTACAAGCCCTAATCTGAGATATACCAACCGATGCTTGATCTACTTCCTACCGTACCTTTTCCTCTTTGTTCAGCTTCGACAGTCTTACCTCACGTTTCCCAGTATGTCGCGGGGACCTCTGAGCTCTCAAGGGATGTGCAGTGGTAGTCTTTGACAGTGAACCACCGGGTGTTTGTCGCCACTCTCCACACGATTTTGCCGCTCGAGTGGAGGTCGACCAGCTAGCTGAAAGGCACACTGCAGTTTTGACACTTTGCACCATGTTTGATCCTGGACCAGATGACTAGGCTTGTCGCAGGGTCGTGATGGCTCGGATATCATCAGCATGGCATCTATATCCAGAGCAGCGCCTCCTCCTGGCTGGTCAATGCCCCTCAGTCGGTCCATAGTGTCCCTCCCCAGGCCCACATCTTCTGAACTTAGATCTAGTATTGTCATACCTACACTCCCTTCCGTCCTCCAAGCACTGCTGCATAACGCCCTCGAAGCGAAAGCATCCAAGATCACAGTATGGATCATGGACCCGGGTACAGGCGGGGTAGGCCTCAGAGTCGAGGACGATGGGACTGGGATTACCAGGTCGTCCTGGGAATATGTAGGAAAGAGAGGCTGGACTGGAAAGACTGCGAAAAACGCAACGAACGGAGGGACTTATGCGTATGGATACAGGGGAGAATGTGAGCAGCTCTAGTAGCCTGGTATGCTGGGTGATAAGCTGAGACCCCTCAGCACTCGCCTCTATCGCTTCGTTGGGGTATTTAGAACTCAATAGTCGAGCTGTCGGGTCCAGCGAGACATATACGAAAATACTCAAGGTCAATTGTCATCTCATCACCCTTCGCTCTGTACTGATCAGGTGCACAGAATGGAAAGGTCATTTATACTGGTAGAGCCTCCAGAGCTCTATCAACACACGGCACAGTGATCACTATCAAGGACATGTATGAAAACGTGAGCCGCGAAAGGCATGTGTCCGCCCTCAGCTCATACCTCTGTAGATCCCCGTCAGGCAGCGCTCTCTCGCTCTCGTCTCCTCAGCATCGCTCGTCAATGGATGTAGAAAGATCGTTGAACTCCTGGCGCTCGTTCACCCTGGAGTCAAGTGGTCACTCTACGAGGATCACGCTATCGGGACGTCAGCGGGACATTCCAAGTCAATCTTGTCACTGCGTGGAGTGAGCCTTCAGGATGATGGTGGAGACTCATGCATGTTCCAGGGAAAGACCAGCGCGGATATATTCCGGTCATTGTATGGCAGCTTTGGCGTCGAGGTAAGTGCTATTGACACCGAACAGAGACTGACTTGGTCTGTAGAGGGTCCAAAATATCCGAGTCTCAGCTGGATTTCGTCGCATAGATGGGTTCATCAGTCTCGGATCAGCAGTAAACAAGGTAAGAAGCGTGCAATCAACGGTCTGCCTTGAGCTCATTGTCGAATAGGCACACCAGAACCTCTGTATGTCTCCTTGTGTGCCCCTGACATAATGGGTAAATACTGATTGACCCAATAGACATCAACGGCTGCCCTCTCGCCCGATGCGATCTCCACCATATCATTGCCAAGCGCTTCTCGAAGAGCAGATTCTCAATCATGACTGCGGATGATGCCTCGGACAGAGAGATGACGAGTAAGTCTTGCCTTGACTGGCCTGAAGGCGCAGAGCTAATTCCGACCCAGGTTCTCGCCGCTCGCCTAGGCGTCTAGAACGACATCCCATCTACGTACTGAATGTTTCTCTTCCGTCCGAGGATCTGGACAATGCTTATGGACCGCAGAAGAACATATTTGGGCACAGGGTGAGTGAAGATCATTGATGTCATTTCACCCGCTGACTGCCGTGTCAGGACGCTGGCTCGGTTCACGCTCTCATTCTTGCCGTCATTGATGAATTCCTCAAGCGACACGAGTTCATCAATTCCAAGACCGCGCCACAGTCACCTGTGGCTTCGATACAGGCTTCCCAGTGTCCCACTAAAGCCTCAGAGGGACCAGCATATTCACCCGAGAAAAAGTCTTCAGTGGCCCCGTCCAGTCGAAGGGGTGCACCCAGTCGAATGTCTCTCAACGACCGGATGGATCGCCTGTTCACGCCTTTACCCGCACCTTGCACACCGTGCGACGACGGCCGGCGATCTGCGCCGCCTCGACCTCTCAAGCGGAGAGCTGATGGATCGCTATCTGTGCCGGAGCCAGATGTGCAAATAGTCCCGAAGGAATGGGTCGATCAGCTTGTTCGAGACACTGATGCTCATGTCTTTGGGTATACGAATCAGCAGCGCGACGACACGCATTATCACCATCGGGTGAGACTGGGGTCGACTTCTCGATTGCTCGAAAGACTTGCTGCGTCGAAGTCTGGTGGACATGCAGCAGAAGACTTCGAGATCACAGCAGAGAGTCTCAGCCATGCCCATGTAATTGGCCAAGTGGATCGAAAGTTTGTTGCGTGCTCCGTCACAGGCCGACTCAAAACGGCATCAAGTGCCACTGGAAATGTTCGACAGATCATGGTCCTCATTGATCAGCATGCCGCGGACGAGCGGGCCTCCGTAGAACCGATCCTCAGCGATCTGTGTCAAGGTTTCATCTCTGGCACCTTGCAGACTGAGTCACTCAAGACTCCGAGTACGATCATTCTCTCCCGAGAGGAGATGCGCACCCTTCGACATCCTGGAGTTGTCACTCTTCTCGAGCGATGGGGCATTCACCTCGACCTCTCTGTGTTCGACCCTGAGACTGTGGACCTGAGTCAGGTCAAAGTGACGCGTGTGCCTGCTGCGCTACTTTCTCGCTTGGGTCGGAAAGAGGGGGGAGAGATGACCCGATTGTTGAGGCAGTACTTGCCCTTCCTAGACGAACAACAAGGAGAGATCGAAGGGACTCTCACTCTCCTGGCAACGGGGACGCATTCGTCAGGTACGACGCCCGTCGACTTCACAGACTGGCGACGAGTTCTACGATGGATGCCCACTGAGATGCTAGATCTGGCCAACTCCAAGGCGTGCCGAAGTAAGTTTGTCACAGAACAGCAGGGGGAACAGGATGCCAAGCTGAGCTCTGTGCTTTTCCAGGCGCCATCATGTTCCAGGATAGTCTCGCGCTTGATCAATGTCAACGTCTTGTCTTTCGACTTGGTCAAACTCGATTTCCTTTCGTTTGTGCTCATGGTCGTCCAAGTCTTGTACCGATCACTCCCATAGAGAGTCATCCGCCCGCCTCTACGAGGACCATCGATTGGGCTCAGTGGGCAGAGAAGCATGTGTAACACTCTGATAATGATAGAAGCATGACCGACTTCGTGTTGTACAACTATATACTACTCTTCATGACCACCTCTTGAACCCCATCCAGTCGATAGGATTTGATCGTCCGCCACATTTAGCCGCAACTATCATGACGTGTTACTCGATCTTCTATTGCCACGTGATTATCACGGGTTAACGGGGGTTGCATCATTTGTTGTCGTCGACCATGGAGGTGAACCTCAAAGAAAGCTCACATGCTTCAACACTTCATCTGCTCTAGCTTCAGTTGTTTGGAACAGCTTCACGCGCAGAAGGTCACGGCTTGAGAGCTCGTGCAAGGGCTGTCAGGGGATCCTGCTCGTCGTTTTGATTACCTGGTGACCGGGCAATTCACACTTGCACGCTAGCGAGCGGCACTGATCACTTCCTCCGATAACAATGACAACCATGTCATCTCAGAGTGAGTCGTTGGCTTCATTGCCCAAGAGACGAGATTATTCACGTGTCTATCTTTCTCAAACTTACGCTCTTGGATTGCAGTGTCTATTGGGCCCGGACCGACTGGCACTTCCACGGCTGGCTCCCTCGTCAACAACAACAGCAACAACAACAGCGGCGGCGGCGGCGGCAACCATGCTCGACCTCAACCGCCACCTGCTGCTCCACCTTCAAAATCAGAGATTGAACGCAAACTATCTTTCAAATCTGCAGCCAAGTCATCATCATCATCATCATCACGTGCGGTGGGAGATTCTCCAAAGAAGAACAAGGTGAGATACAAAAAGAGGATCCCCACTCCCACTATCGATGAAACATCAGATCACCCCTCTTTGAGCTATCGTTTCGCTTAGGAAATGTGTTGGGCTGACGCGTCTACAGCAGAGACAAGCGATTCCTCCGTCTGCGTATCCTCTTTCGGGGAACGATTCCGATACATCTACAGTCTCCCATAACTCCACTCAACCTCAAATGACCTCTCCCACGTTACCCTCGAGCCCACTCATGACTCCCGCTCCAAGCTCTGGTCTCAGTTCCATAGCGGAGCGCGAGAGGAAATCTCGGGCTGCCAGTGGATCAGGTGTAGGCGGAATCGGATCGGCAGGATTTTCCGGCGAAGAGATGGATACTACAGAATTGGAAGACGTAGAGGAGGAAGAAGGAGGCGACGAAGAAGGTGAAGGAGAGGAGAGTGATGGGGTGGATGAAGCGAAAGGAGGAGAATTACAACGAGGTATGGAGGGCGAGCGGATGGTCAAGAGTGGCTTCTTGTACAAGAAGCAGGAGAGGCGCAAGGTGGGTCGGCTAAGCTCCAAGGACGCCCCTGCTCCGTGCTAATGGACCCGCAGGCATGGAAGAAAAAGTGGTTCGTGTTGCGTACTGGCAAATTAGCCTACTACAAGGATGAAAAGGTCAGTGGGCCAACTGCAGCGATGACCCAGCTGACAGCATGGTAGGAATACTCGCTTCGACGAGTCATCGATCTCAAGACTGTGCAAACTGTTGCGCCGGTGACCGTCAAAAAGCATCCGTTCACATTTGGTATCGTGACGCCTAAACGGACCTTCTTCGCCAAGGCTCTGTCCCAAGATGAGATGGATGATTGGGTCAGGACGATCAACAATGCCCGTAGGCGCTTGTCTGAGCGAGAAGAGGAGGACAAATCCCGAAAGGTCAGCGCTGCTACTTCGAACCTCGTTGCGAGTGGTTCTCTTCCTCGACAGGACCGTCGAGCCAGTGTCGACGATCAAGGTACTTATCCCGCCATGACACCAGGAGGAAGCATGACTACATCACCAATCACGATGACGGGAGGAAACTACCTTTCTCAAGCGGGCTCTCCAATCGCCTCGTCATCCACTTCCCCAGCCGTGTCAAAGCCCATGAACATACCCATTCAATCTGGCGAATACAATCTTACCTCCCAAGTGGCACGTTTGAACCTCTCTGGATCCGTCTCACCTACCATTTCCATGGCCCCAAGATTACCATCTCAGCGCGTTGTGTCGGGTGCATCAACTAGACGGGACCCATCCGCTTCTTCCTATGGTAGTTCCGCAGCAGCGCCTCAGGATTATTTCGGTCCAGCGATTGTGAATAATGCCTTGTCAAACTCTGGAACAACGTGGAGCCAACCTGCGCCAAGTTCAGACGAGGAGAGCTTTTCGGATCATCCTCAAAGTTTGGCTGGTACATCGTTATCCGCTCAACCGTCGTTGACCCTCAACATGGGTCATGTTGCGCCTGTCGATCCGAAAAAGATCATCTTACAGGCGTACCTGATGAAGAGGAGTAAAGGACGAGGGAGGAAAGTCTGGAGAAAGCGATGGTTTTACCTGACTTCGCAAGGCTTGACGTACACCAAGTCCCACATGGTGAGCTTCTATCTACCTGCGACATTGCGAAAGAATTCTGAAGCTGATTCATTGCAGGACTCTCGTCCACTCCGGTTCATTCCACTCAGCACTGTCCTTGACGCACTCGAAGTCAACCCCGACGACGACCAAGACCTGTCCGACGAATCAGATTCCGACGCCGGAGATGCGGGTTATGTTTCACCTGTCCTCTCTCGTCAATTCACAGGTTCTCGACGATCACGCAGACCCGATGACACTGCTCGACCCGATAAGCCCGGTATGGGTGAAAACGAACATTTGTTCCGACTCATCACTGCCAAACGGACCTTTGTCCTCTGCGCTCCGTCGGAAGAAGACGAGATCAAATGGTTAGCCGCATTCAGAGCTTTGCTCAACCGGGAGAGGGAGAAGAATAGATTTTCAGCTACTGGCTCGCCTTTGTCTAGTCCCGCTCTCGATACGGGTCCCGGCAGATTCGCCATGGCTCAGCAACAATATCAAAAGGGTCCCAGCGTGGCTCTTTATCCACCTACGCCGTCCACGACGAGTACCGTGCAACTTCGATCACCTTCCGTTTCGGAAGGGACCAATAGTCTTCCTGTCACAGCTACGTCTCAAGGACCGCCCGTGAGTAGCAGTAGTGCATCATACACGAATCCAGGGATGAGAGCTAGAAGTGCAACATATATCGCCAAGGGGGCAGTGGCGGACGTGACTAGGCGATTCCATCCTGAGAAGGAAGGTCAGGCCTGAGGAAGGGGTGGGTTAGGTTTTGTTATGCCCATCGTTGTCGTCCTGAGATCTGGTCTGCTTTTCGTCTTCTTGTATCGAGCGTCACATTTCCTTCGCTACGTATAATGACGATCTTGTCTGTAAGGGAGACTGGCAGATATGCATGCAACACTAGCCAAAACCATACGCCGACAAATATGCTACATAATGTGCTTGTGCTTCTAAATTTTGAACTCTGTCCAGATGACTGGCAGCAAAACAACACAAGCGGTCCAGAACTAGCACGAGAGCGAATCAGCTTGAAAAAAAACCTGGGATTCGAGCAGTCTTTCCACTTACAGTTCGCATAGACAACCACATGAGGTTTGGCACGGCCAGGATGCCAGGTGCTGAGTTCGACTTGCCATCGGGTGCCGGAGGACCTTGCTTGAATAACAAGTAAATGGAGTAGAGTGCCACGGCGAAGAAGTGATAGAATAGAAGGAGTGGTTTGGGAGTGATAGCGGATAAAAGGCCGACCGGTCCAGCGACTTGTTCTCCGCCCAATCCGAGGTATTTGAAACAACCAGCTTGGAGGACACTGAACTCGGGGTCTACGAGACGAATGTTAGCAGTATTCCCAAAAAAGGTGACCACTCACGATCGGCGCCTCCGAAAAGGTCATACAAGGCCATGGACAAAACATTGACGACTCCGGCCAGATGTTTTCGCTCCCAGAACCAATCTCTCAATCCTCCCGCGATTGTCTCCCAATCTTCGAGACCCTCCCGTCCAGGCTTCAAATTTAACCTTCCACCTGGAGCGAGCATGTCCGAGAGAATGACAGCGTCGTTGAATGCTACTGTCATACCTCCTCCGGTAAGGGGATGACGCATATTGTAGGCGTCACCGACCATGATTGCGCCTCGCAGAGAATGGCCAGAAAGGCCTTGCATGGAGGGCGGGAGGAAAGAGTTGGGCATGGTTCGGAGTCGCTGTGTCTCCACGGCCTCTGTCACGGCAGGCTGAACATTGGTGGGTAGGTAAGGTACGTAGTTGTCGATAATGAATCGCTATTTCCCAGGCTCTCAGTCTGAGTCTCTCTATCTCTCTCTCGCCTGGAAACCCTGACTTACCTTTAATGACCCGTCCGCCGCGCTTGGCAGCTTCCCTTTCACGTCAACTAACATCCTCGTCTCCCTGGCTTCGTAGCCAATCTGATAGAGGAGGACAGGTCCACTGGGCGTCAAACAGACTGTACCTCGACGAGGGGCGGGCAGATCGATGTCCTTGACGATGGCGCCAACAAAAGTACTTCGTGTTTGAGTCGGAGGGAGTCTGGACCCTGGGATAGATCTGAACTTGGAGAAACATCCATCGGCGATGATGGTGAGAGGAGCGTAGACCTTTCGCTCGACCGTCTCCATCTCTTCCTTTATGTCTGCATTTCCAGATGATTCCGAACCCGCCTTGGGCACCTTGAACGCTGCATTGACTCCGATGACGTGGGATGAATGATCACAGTAGATGAGATCTTTCACGGTCGCTTCGAGGACGGTACAATTGGGGGCGTCGTCGATACATCTGTTCCGTAGTGACATGATCAATCGACCATGGTGGAACGATCGACCTTCTTTACGTCCAGAAGCGCTTTCGACATGCCATTGAGCCGCAGCAGAGGAAGTGTCGCCATTGAGTTGACCACCATTCGTATAACCATTGGAGTGTCTATGCCTGAGACCAGACCCAGCTTCTCCAGTCGAGAGCCCGTTGTTGACATGTCCATTCGCTCGGATCTCATCATCTCCTCCAGCTTTGCTCCCTTTCCCCGTATTTTTGTCCGTTCCCTCCAAAGTCGGATACGGACAAGCCACTTTCCTCTCGCCTCCGACCCCAGTCGTGATCGTGTATCCCTCTACTGGCGTCGCATCGATCCCTTCCAAAACATTCGCCAGACCAATTTTTGACAAGGCATTCACGCCACCAGGTTGAAGTAGCTCTCCGACAATTCGATCAGGTTCAGACAAGTCTCTTTCGAGTAGTAACACTTTCCGACCTGAATGAGATAAAGCATAAGACAATGCTGAGCCTGCTATACCAGCTCCGATGACGATGATCTCGGGTGAGAGATGGTGCAACTGGGTCAAACATGTCAATAACTCGCAGATCCAAGCGCAACGTGCTCTAGCAATGGCAGGTACACAGCGAAGGGTTCAATCACTCACGTCGTGGTGCGTAGTCCGTCGCCTGGAAGGACCTGCTGTCGATGAAGTGTCGCTGTTGTGGTCCATGATGTTGATCAAGGAATGAATGGTCGAGCAGAACGTAGATTGTAAACGTATTTGATCGTTCGACTTTTGGGGACTGCTTTGGCCGGTGGAATTTTCCCAAAAACAGCAAAAAGAATAACATCATCATTTTGGCAGCAAAAGTGGAGTAGGCGACGATCATCGGCAACAGCAGCGACGACGATGAGCAGCAACAGCAGCAGCTTGATGCATGGATTAATTCAACCACTCGGTATATGACATGCAGGGTAGTGTGCCGCTTCATTCAACCTATGAATCCTCTGGCACTTTACATTTGCCAAATTGAGCCGGTGCACCGCTCGGTTCAAACAGACTTCTGAGCGTTTGGACCGTCGTGAAGATCCCGACGCAGATTCCAAAGATCAAAAGGCCATAGTCCAGGAATCGAGCCGTACGAGTCTTGGCTACGGCTTTCAGGTGAAGCAGTGGAGGATAAATGAAGCAGAGAGGGATGCTGGCACGTCAGAGGGCGCAGAGCACGGAACCACTCACCAGGCGAAAGATCCGACCAATGAGACAAATTTGTCTAGCTCTTTACTTCCAGCCCACGAGATGAGAGAACAACAGACGACTGTACCGGCTCTGAACAGGTTCTTCTGCCACTTGACAGATGTGTTGTGTTTACCCGAACGAGAGAACAAGCCATTTTCCATGATTCGGACAGCTGGGAACAGCTGAAGAGGGATCGATAGCAAGATGGCGATAGAATCTGAGGCGTGTAAGCTGATTCGAACAGCACTGATATCGCAGCTCACATAGGCACTGGACGACTTGGACAAAGACTTGATCTTGAGGCAAGTTGACAATGACCACGGTATTGATGTCACTGCCGTATGCTGCGTATCCGAGGAACCCAAATCCAGCAAAGAGCACAGCGACAACGAACATGACACCCGAGAGAATCTTTGGGAACTTGTGAGGCTCTCTCATGGATTCGGTGATGGGGATGACACTGTGAACGATCAGGCAAGGAAGGTCCAAGGAGGACTCACAGTCCGATACCCTCGAAAGCGAAGACGGCCGTTCCGATCAGCAATGGGAAGGATTGTGAGTTGAACAGGACGACATCAGGGGCGACACCATGTTTGACCAAAGTGGAGATCTCATTTGCGCCGATGTATACCACTGAAAGATTGGGATTAGATCAAGCTGCATCGAGGGCTACCCACGTCCGATCAAGATGAACGCATCTGCAACGAGGGCAGTACCGCTGAGCTTGGTGATATTTCGGATCATTGCCAGGGGCAAAAACACGATGAGCTCGGAGAAAATGAGCCAGCGAGTAGCGACAAAGGTTTTGCAGTCGGTCACGGCGAGAATGAATGCCTGAAGGTTTTGTGCAATGAAGATGATGTACGCTGAGTGGCATGTGAGTTGGGGGTTCGTTGCATAAACTAATGGTACCGCAGCTCACCCGTTACGAAGCCGATTTGGGATATCGCGATGGAAGCCAAGATCGCCAGCCGCATACCGTTACCGTATAGCTCTCCGCCGATGTCTGCAATTGTAAGCTAGTGTCGCTCATGGGTGGGCGGAAGCTTACCTCCGAAGGAGCCCGGGACCACGATATATGTCGAGGTGAGGAGGAGGAAGGACCAGAGAGAGATAGCAGCGATACCAAGCATGACGATGGTTGAAAAGAGGATGCCTCCACTTAGAAAGCTGATGAAGGATGAGCAGTCGCCCCGCTTGATCAACTCCCGGAGCTCACGCTCTGGCCATAAACAAGATACCAGTGCCAACGAATCCCTTGAGCAGCTGACAAGGTGTCAGCGATGTTTTTCACGCTCTGATCATGAGCTCGCTCACCATGAGGACGGCTTGCGACACTGTGGCAGACCCTGTGGGCGGTCCACTTTTTGTCCTCCTGTGCCTCGACTTGCTCCTTCCCCGAAGGAGCGGTGCTCGCTCCCCAACGCTAGCATCTCGAGGGTAGTTCCCAGCCTCGGCTTCATTGACCGCTAAGGTATCTTCATCCTCGTCATCATCATCATCGTCCTCTTCGAGATCTTCTCCGGCCTACACGGAAATAAGTCAACGGCTTTCCAACAGATTCACTGGAGAAACTCACGAAATGCCCGTAGTAGAACAAGAAATCAATGACGTTCCTCATCACCGGTGGCGGCTCCAAACCTTGCTCCTGCGCTCGATTGACGACGAAATTCCGTCTAAATCCACCAGGTTCTTTTATATGCGCCAAAGTTGGATCACCAAGCGAGGTGACTCGGTCGACATCAACACCTGAAAATGAGGCTGATCTCGCCAATCGAGCACGAGCATTATCTTGCTGCCATTTGTACAGCTCATGACTGGGGAAGTGTCAGGTCTGGAACGCGCGAATTGTCTCAGCACTCACGTCACGTCACCTCCGGGAGCGTTGAAAGGGAGAGGGAAATGAGACGATTCATCCGTCGCGCCGTACCCATTACCGTTGGATCCTTCAGCATGTGCTGGACTCGGGCCTCGAGAGGCAGGTCCAGGACCAGGTCCAAGATCACTGTTTGACCCTGAGCCACCTATCTCCGGTTCGACAGGTGATTGTCTCGAGCTCCTCTCTTCGGCAGAAACCAAGTGTCGGCGTAATACTTTGGCCTTTTCCTCTTCAGTGTACTCTGATCCTTCGCCATTGGTGGCTCGAGGTGTCGATTGACCTGAGACACCAGCTAGATCCAATGCACCTGATGGGTTCGACGAGCCGCCGTTGTTCAAAAAGCTGGCCTTGGTCTGATTAGGTGAAGATGAAGCGAATTTGGTCTTGTGATTCAGACTCTCGGTCGATGGTTTGGACAATCTCCTCCCGGCCGGATCATTGGCCGATGTAGCGCGAGACTGATTGGGTATGGAACGTGGTGCGCCAGATGACAACGAGCCTCGAGGTGGGATCTGAGGAACAGGAGGAGGTGTACCGACGTTGAGGGATGCTCCGGGGTCAGCGAGGTGAGGCGAAGTACCAGTAGGTACGGGAGCAATGGGTCGAGGCGATGACATGGTAGCAGGTCACCTGGGGGATGGCGAGCCAAACGAAACACTCGGATCGTCCACAATGAGCGATACAGCCTACCTCGTAGCCTGACTAGGTATATCCTGCTCTTTCACTCGACGTTGATCTACTTGATGCCCTTCCAGGTGATCAACTCGCTTCAATTGAAGTCAGCAATAATCCGAAAGCGTGTCTCCCGAAGGTTTCGGACATCGCCGCCAGTTTTTACCGCAATTCAACCGCTCTAAGCGCACGATGCCACCAGTGTGGCAAAGTGGCAGTCAGTCAGCCAGCAAGCCAGCCAGCGGTGGCTGCAACTAAGCTGTGAATCCGGTGTGGAACTATGAGCGGGGAGAAAAGTGACCAGAGGGGATCCTTCATTCTCCATCTTCGGGAAGGCATCTAACCGTGCCTTTCCTCTGATGTCTCGCCCAAGTTGGCTGGTCAGATGAAGTCCACATGAAGGGAGGATGAGTACGCTGCAGAGGTGAACGATTCTTCCAACTTTCCAGCCAGGGCTGGGAGGGGAGGCCTAGAATCCTCGAACTCATGTCTGCAAAAGGTCTAGGCCTTTGAGCCAACCTTTGATACCGGATCTGAGGTCGGCCGGGTTACTTATCTGGGTCAAAGGATGTCAAAGACGCCTTCGAATGGAGCTTCCGAGAAAAGAACGCTCCTTTACGGAGATGGAGTGGAGGAGAAATGTAACTCCGACACGCTCGCTCTTTTGACCAGATGGACTTCCAGTCTCCATAGGGTAGGGTCAGGACAGTAGATTCCAGACTCGAGAAAGTCAAGGATATAAGTAATGATAGCCTCACTGCCCCCTTTCCCTTTCCCATCTTCCAAATTATCGGTGCATCACACTCTCGCTACAGTAGCCAAACAACCACCACCTCAAAGACACACTCACCTGACAACATGAGCTCTCAAGGTAACGACTCGAATGCTTCCAAAGCAAGTACCAAATTGATTCTCAATATCCCAGAGACCACCGCTTCTAAAGGCTCGACTGAGACTCCGGGACCTCGGTCCACATTGATGTCTCCTGGTGCGAAACCATGGGACGCGAAGTCTCAAAATCCTAGCGTCATGGACGTGGTGAGTTGGTCACTTCCACCTCCTTCCCAGAGAGCCTCTTGTCCCCCTAGACATATTGACACATCGTAGCTTGGCTCCAGCTCTGGGACCACTGAAAGCTCTCAGAAGGACTAAAGAGAGGTGTTATGGCAGATAGATTGCCGAAGGGTCAGCAGGTAAATGCGGCTCATGATACGCATGCATGATGGAGGATGGAGGTCAGACACATTTGACACGCACGAAACGTGCCTCACCAGTGTCTGGCTCCTACCATTCATGAACGAACGGTGATCGCGTGGCTTTCCAGAAAGCATATGGTGCGGCCGGCCTCATCAGCGTAAGAGGCCAAATACGTAGACTGTGGTTTCGCGTAGACGATACATTGAAAAAGCCAAGCATACAGGCTCTTCGAGGATAAGCGCCTGTCGTTGTTTACCAGTCCTTGGTGTCACTCGTGTGAATCTGATTTTTGGCGATTGGCGATCCATTGTTCTCCCTTCAAAAGTGGTGAGATCCAGCGGAGTCTCCAAGTCCGAGAGTCCGACAGACACTGTGAGATAGAGTGAGACTATAAAACACTCGGCAGAGTCATGTTTTTCCTGCCCTTCCAGACTTTCCACCTGATCGCCTCAGAATCCAATCATCTGTCGATATACTGGCCACTACCCCCCGTCAAGATCCCCTTTCAGCACTACATATCATGTCAAACACTAGTGAAGCGCCGCTCTACAAGAGCACTGTGTTCAGTACGACATCTGGTCAATGGCTAGACACGGAACAAGGTCAAACGCTGTACGCGAAGTATTATGATGGATCAGTAGACACCAATGGCCCTATCGCTTATGTGTCGAGTTCTCAGCAGTTCAAGCATTCGACCGCACCTACGCGAACGCGCACCAACTCTTCAGGATCCATCATAATCACCGAGCGGGTAGAGAAGAAGTGACCTGCAGTGATGTTACGAGGGACGGATAAGAGCTCTGTCCCGGCCGAGGATGGTCTTGGCAAGGTCTAGAGAACAATAAGCACCAATGTCCATAAGCATGGACCTTCGACCGAGCCAGGATCGTATATAGAGGTACTGCAGGTCTGGCGAGATCGATGCATTTCTTCTCCTGTAACTGTAACAAGTGACCTGACTGTGAATGATGTGCAGCCGGTTGCAGACTGTAAACTACACTATATCTGCATACTACGCATCACACGAATAAAGGCGCAAAAAATGCTGATTTGTCAACTGATTACATCGTCTCTCGCATGCTCCACTCTTAACACCAAGAGGGTCCTTCCCCCCTCCATCATCTCACAGTGGCAGACCATCTGGTCCCAGAGCAATTTTGACTTTCTTCTTCGGAGCCTTCTTAGGCGTCGGGGTCTCGCCTGACAAAGTCCAGTCCATCAGCATATCTTTGTATGGTACCCGAAACAAAGGAGGCACTACTCACCGTCCGCTTTCCTCTTCTTAGATTTTGATTTCGATCCCGCCCCATTGACTGATGCACCAGTAGCTCCTGATCCACCACCACCACCACCACCACCACCACCGCCGCCGCCGCTATTTGCCGCTGCTCCTGAACCGCCTGCTGATCCACCTTGCGTTTCATCCCCAAAGTCCTCATCTTCATTATTCGCAGGCCGTTTCTTTAGACTGAAGAAATCATCTTCGTCGTCATCCATGTTGCCTCCCAATCCATCTCCAAACTTGGACTTGGTCTTTGAAATGATCGTCGGAACGACATATCCATGAGCTTCAGCTTGTTTCCGCTTAGCAACGGATTCAGCTAGCTCCTCATCGTCCATGAATAACGAGACGATTTCAGATGGCTTGGCAACATCCGTGAGGGATTTCGTACCGACAACGATATCTTGAACGTCCTTTTTTGCTCGAGCAAGTTTGAGAATACGTTCTTCGATCGTTCCTCGGGCAATGAGACGATAGACAGTGACTTGTTTCGTTTGACCGACCCGATGTGCTCGGTCCATGGCCTGAGCGTCATTGGACGGATTCCAATCATGGTCGTCTGAGGAGCGCAATGCGTGTCAGCACAAGTGAGTCGTCCTCTGCTTCCTTCCCGACTCACAGAAAATAACGGTATCCGCAGCTGTGAGATTGATTCCAAGACCACCAGCCCGAGTACTCAAGCAAAAGATGAAATAGTCGGGGCTGCGGTATATCGCGTCAAAACAGGATCTCGTGTCCATGGGATGGCTTGAGATATTTGCAACGCAACTCACTTTGTCTGGAAATTCGTGACCATATCTCTCCTCTCACCAATCGGGCTACTTCCATCCAAGCGGAGGTACTTGTACTGCCTATAGATCAAATACTCTTCCACCAGGTCCATCATTTTTGTCATTTGGAAATACAGCAAAACACGATGACCTTGGCTCTTGAGCACGCGGAGCAAGTCGTCCAATCGAGCGAGTTTTGCAGAATCCACGATGAGTCGCTTGGGCGGCGGGATCTGAAGCGTACTCCATGGTGTCTGTGTCGAAGATCTCGGGATCAACCCATTCGCAGTGAGGGACGGAACGACCTGCTCGAGGTGCCGAGTGGACTGCTTGTCGTTTTTCTCAGAAGGTGTAGGACCGTAGAGCGCTTTGGTGATGATTGGATCGGAGAACACTAGAGCCTCGGTATCGAGATACGATCGATCTGAAATGACGGGCTTGATGAAAGTCGTAACAGCAGGCTCAATGGCGAATCGAGCTTCCCGACGGGAGAGGAAGGAATCATGCCAGCATTCGTTGGTGATATCCGTGAGGGGAGTCAAGCCAGAAACCAGCTCGGTCCGTGGAACTCGCGGAGCTACACGAGCATAGGGATGACGTGTGGATGCGGCGAACGAGGCGTCACTGTAGTCACTCATCAGGGACCGTTTTCTTTCTTTCGCCTTGCCTCCCAAGTCGTTCATGTACTCACTTTTCAAGCTCTCCTTCCTCGACAATCTCCACCTCGTCCTCTGCCCCACGTAAGAGCTTTACCAAAGGATGAGATTTTGCCCTCGTTGCCAGAGCTCCCGGAGACAGATCCAGCAATCGCAGGAACCCGAATTCCCCTTGATCCTCTTTCACGCTGGCATTGATCCAAGCAGGGTTCCAAATGTTCATCAAGGAGTTGACGTATCGCGTATCGGTGCCCGGTATAGGCTGTTCCTCATCGCAAGGTCTGTCCAATGTGCCTCGGGTCCAAATGAGTTTGGGTAACTTGACTTGGATGAGATTCTTCAGTGAATCGGGGCAATAGAGCTGATCGCCTTCCCGGGATAGTGGTCCAGAGTGCGAGAACGAGCCAAAGACATATGGGGAGACGACATCTGCTCGCTCGAACAAGTCCGGATGATTGCAGACTTTTCGGAACTGCATGACGAGGTTCATGAGGTTCTTGGCACCCGCCGAGTCGGTCAAGTTGTTAGCTTGGGCAATGAGATCGGCGATAGAAACGCGTTGACGAAGTGCCTTGTAGATGTTTCGCTGTCGCTGAGACAGATCCACGAGAAGGTCAATCTCAATCTGTGAAACGGACGTGATCAGCTCAACTTCCCGGTCAGAGCGTGGCGCCCTAAGCCCACCTTGTCACCTAGTTCCTTCTGAACATGCTTCTTGACTCGCCTCAGCATGAAAGGCTTGAGTATCATGTGCAAACGTCTCAACTGTTCCGGTTGAAGAGTTCCCGTCCCTCCCCCAGCGGCGTTCTCAATGTCTTTCGAGAACCACTCGCTGAATTCCTCATGCGAATCGAATAGGGAAGGCATGATGAAGTGAAGCAGGGCCCAGAGTTCTGTCTCGCGTGTTAGCCGAGCTTATGACACACTCTATTCAATGACGCAGCTCACCTTGCATGGAGTTTTGAATTGGAGTTCCCGTCAATAACAGTCGATTTCGACAATGTAGCGACAGTAACGATTTCCATCGAGCAGATGACGATGATTTGATGGCTTGTGCTTCGTCCAAGACCATGTATTGCCATCGAGTCGCATGGAAATATTTTTCATCTTGTACAGCCTGATCCCGGAGCGTCAGTCCTCTGAGATCGAGATGAGCTCGGATCACAACTCACGAGTTGATAACTCGTCACGAGGATGTGGAAAGGACTCTCCTCGGTGAAAGTCATATTCTTTCGACTCCAAATCTTTCGCAGCGTCTCTCGGTCCTTCGGAGATCCCCAGTATGGCAATGCCTTGAGGCGGGGTACGAAACGCGCTAGCTCTTGTTGCCAATTATGCAGTGTGGACGCAGGCGCAATGACGAGGAAAGGGCCCCAAAGGTTGTGATGTTCGGCGAGGTAGGCGAGCAGAGATATAGATTGGATGGTCTGGTCGTCATCAGCACAGAGTCGTCATGGAGCAGTGCAAGTCGATGACCGCCGTGTCCCACCTTGCCGAGACCCATTTCGTCCGCCAATATCCCATTGATACCCTGTTCATACAAATTCCCTAACCACGTCAATCCCTTCAACTGATACTCTTTCAATTGAGCCATCAGCATCTTGGGCTGAGTGATCGTTACGCTGTCTTCTGCCAGCGTAGGATTTTGGAAGTTGAGCTCATCCCCGTCCACTGAATGTCGAGTCAGCTGATTCACCCTTCAAGATCGAATCAAGACTCACAGTCCAAAGCCGGCTGTGCTCCACCTCGCGCGTCGTCAAAGGCTTTGGCTTTCTCCCTAGCAGCTTGGACGGCGGCGTGGGCGCCTCGGGCGGCGTGCTGACGGATCGTTTCGTCGTCATCTGCGGTAGAGATATAAGCATCACTCGATTCTCCCCTCCCCGGCATCGTTCATGCTCTGCCGCATCCATTTCTGCTGGCTGGCCGCGCAGTCACACGACTCGCGTCTCGGTCCACTCACCCTCATCATAATCGATATCGGCCAGAGGCTTGCCATCCGCATCCAAGCCGATCTCCCCTCGAGCCAACAATTCATCCCTTTCCACATTCCGCTCGACATCTCCGTCCCGTAACGGTGTGACTTCACCATCCACGCCTTCCGCTTCGGCGGTCTTGATCTTCTTACCGATAAAGTGAGAGTAGAGTTCTGTCTGAGTTAACAAAAAGTTGAGTTTACGTGATTGCCGTTTGGCTTCTCGTGCTTCTTCCTCAGCTTTGGCTCGATCGAGAGCTTCTTTTTCAGCCTTTTTACGTGCTGCCAGTTCATCTTTCTCATTCTTTCGCCAGTAGAGGAGCATCTGGGGCGGAGAAAGCGTCAGCAAGGTACACGCCGGATGAAAGGTGCTGTTCACCTCTTTGACGACTCGTCGCGATTTGGAGATCGTGTCCTTGTTGATCCTCGCGGCGGACTTGTACGTCGGTTTCATGGCTCGTTGGTAGAAGGCATTCCGCATGCAGGCTTGCGCCGTTCGAGAGCAATCTTGCTTGACGTTCGTATCATGGGCTTGATAGACTCGGTACATCTAACAGATGGCGAACGAAGCGCGTGAGAGCAAGGCACAACGAGTCGCAGAGAGACCGGCACCGCAGATGGTGGAGGACAACAGCCGAGCAAGAGGGAGAGAAGGGAGCACACTCATCAGCAGCACTCATCTACACCCAACCAACCGGAACCCACCTTTGGCACATCTCTCACGATGATCTGCCACACTTGCTTCTGCAACTCTTCCACAGCGGCCAATCTAGCCCTAGCTTCAGCTTCGCTGACACCTCTTGGATCTTGATGATTTTTCGGTTCTTCTGGTGCTGCCAGCTGTATGGGTGGTGTCGCAGCACCACCGACGACACCGCCACCACTTCCTGAACCAGTGGCTAGACCGAACAACTCATCCTCCGCTTCTATTCTCCTTAGATCCGATTGAGATGCTCTAGCCCTTGGTCGAGGTCGTGATCCTCCTCCACCTGCTCCACCTGTCGGCCTCTTACTTGGTCTGCGATCATCCGCGATACTGAGAATATCCTCGTCAAGATCTCGTCGAGCTTCGTCATAATATCCGTATCCTCCTGCACCGGGTTCGTCGTCGGAGTATTCCCCTAGGGCACGGTACCTCGCCTCGCGTTCCTCTTCATCTTCCCCGCCTACTCCTCCCCCTGCTCCTCCTCCTCCTCCTCCCCCACCACCGCGCCTTCTCTTACTCTTCGATTTCGATTTACGTGGCCCTCCAAGCAAAGCTGCGATCTCCGCATCGGCCTCTCCGCCACCTCCTTCTATATCTTCCCCTCCACCCATAGTACTTCCATATTCACTTTCTCCATCACCTCGAAGACTTGATCCTGGACCACCACCTCCAGCACCTCCACCTCCTCCCCGTTTGGCTTCCATCATCTCGGCGTACTCTTCCGTCAATGTTTCACCCGCCCGAAGCTTTTTCCAACCTTTTGCAGGACCAGGCTTTCGGCGCAGCGTTCCATCCTTCTTTACTGGCGCAGAGTTTCCCTGTCGTTGAATCTGCCGTTCCCAAATCTCGTCCTGGACAGCCTTGACGTCTTGTTCTGTCAATCCTACCAGGTCGTTCGATTCAACTTTGGCGATGAGTTGAGCGCGAGTAAGTCCACACGGATGGACGATCGTATCGGGTCCTACGGGCTCTGCGTCTTCCAGGTCGATCACTTCGGAGGGAGGTAAACTGCTGCCTCGCGTGTCAGCGAGACCGAGAAGTTCATCTTCGACGGCCGCAGTCTCCTTCTTGACGGGTCGACGACGAGGTGGGCGACGTTTGGTCTTTGTCTCGTTGTCTCCGTTAGTGGACATATCTGGGCGGCCAGGAGAGCGGCTCCGAATCTGGTAGAAAGTGTCAGTAGGCTTCTCGAGAATCAAGCATTCGGAGATGGGAGCAGGTGGCTAGGTCAACTCACGTGCAGGCCCCACTCCTTCTGAATCATGATAGCTTCTTCCACCTCTGCCTCTCTCTTCGCCTGATAATGAGCGAGTACGTCCTCCCAAATGTCCTCGGACCCCTGAAGCAATAGAGAAGGCATCATGCGTCGTACAGATTGATGATTGAAAGCGATCGGCGTCGATGTTACAATGCCGGACCCTCCTGCTGTTGTTGCTGCTGCTGTTGTTCCTCCTCCTCCTCCTCCTCCTCCTCCTTCTTTGACCGGTGCACCATAGATCAGAGCTGCTCCTCCTGCTGACGAAGTGGTCGAAGGGTGCCTATCCATCCCATTGGAGGAATAATAAGACGGTTCGAGAGGTACAGAGGAATGAACCTTCGTCGGACTGACAAGTCGATTTCTGGGTGATTCCACGCGTTCGACGATTCTCTCCCTTCGTCTGCTGATAGGTTCTCTAGACGCCGCACCGTAGGGGTCCAACCGATAAGAATCAGCTCCATAGAGTGGTCTCTCAGATCCTCTGGAGCTCGGACCGGGATGATCGTCGTACAGCGATCGAATGGAATAGTCATCCTTGTATGTCTCGTATCGGCTTGAACGGGATCGTTCGCCTGTACTCCTGTCTATCAAATCAGCTCCAGAGATGGGAGACACGTAAGGCGCGGTATGATAGTTGTATCCAGGGTGTGTGGGACTTGCTCGAGAGTGGTTTGAATGACCAGAATGGATCGAATGGGTGGAATGATGAGAATGATGGGAGTGTCCAGATCGACCCGATAGAGGAGGTTGAGAAGGTCGAGGGGAGAGTCGAGGGGTACTTCCTCCTGGGCCTCCGCCTCCACCACCAGCCGCTGCTGCTGCTGCTGCTGCTGCTGCTGTTGCACCGGCTGCATGATCTGAATCCGCAGACGGATGCCTCGTTGACCGGTTCGGCGGTGGTGGAGAGACATATCTATCCAAAGTCGTTGCGGAGCCTAACATTCGATCGAACGAAGTGGATTGTGACATGGAGGGAGGGTATGGTAGAGGAACGTTTGATCGAGTCGCGGCCGGAGGTGAATTGACGAGGGCGGATAATGACATACGGGACGGTGTAGGTGTGGGTCCAGGTCCTGGTCCGGATCCGCTGAGTCCTTTGTCCATGCTCATTATCGTGCCATTGGAAGTGGACGTACTGAGGGAGATAGATGTGTGAGGATGAGCATGAGGATGAGCCAGAGGATGGTGATGCTTCGTGGTGGTGGTGGTGCTGGAAGAAGAGGAGGTAGGGTGGTGGGATGGTGAAGCAGGTCGTCCGGGTGTAGTTTGGGACATGGTGGTGGAGGGCTTAGCGAATCAGGATAATTGAGCCGTTCCTTCGATGATCACCAGAAAGTGTGAAAGAGACAGACCAGAGAAGATGATAACCAGAAGGAGGGGTGGTTCGTCTCGCAACGTGAATGGGAAGTCGTTCAGACGGCGAGCTTTGAAGGTGATGGTCGAAGTCTAGACCTAAAAAAAAAGTTCAGCTTGTGTTCACGCTCTGCATCCTTCATGGGAGGTCATAACGAGCATTATTAGCAGCATCATGCAGCGGGCAAGCGTGTGTCCAAAGAAACCAAAGTGACTGACTCTGTGACCGTTGCGATGGGTGGGGGTGTGCGAGACACGACTTACTGTATCTTTCTTAGCCTCTGATCCTATTGGATCGTTTCATATCGACCGCGGAGACATGGAATGGCGGCGACGACGACGACGACGGCGGAGAGGTGTATCACGCAGTCCAGCGGCAGTTGAGAGAGAGAGAGAGAGCAAACTACTGGTGATTGAGTGGGATGATATGATATGGATGGACGAGTGCATGAATGGGATGGATGACTCTTTGATTTAAATTACTCCCTCACTCCCTCATCCACCCACACCCCTGACATGCCAATCGATTGATCCCGTCGGAGGACTCAGAGGGCGTGCTGAGATTGTTATGGACCATCACTCATACAGCGTATGGATTGACCACGCAGGGAGTATCTATACACATGCATCGGCATCACCGTATGACATTCTCGCCCCCTTTGCTTCCCTGATGCATTCGATGACTGAATCGCTGCTGCAACCGGACCTATGGGTTGATCTTGCTTGCTTGCCGCTGCTGCTGCTGCCTGCCTGCCTGCGTCTTGCGTCTCTCTTCTCTCTTCTTCTCTCACCTCCACTTCGCGTGGCTATTGATATCAGCATGGAGGGCAGAATAAAATGACACGTCAGAGCTATAGCGGTACATTTTTGGGGTGGGGCAGAGATCTCGAGGCATAATGTGTATATATACGAAAAACGAAGACACGGGTGAGATGGAGAGATGGAGCGGGTCTAGGGGTGTGTAACGTAGAGCGTGGCGAGCGAACAACTTGACAGAGACCAAACCATCACTGTCCGCTGTCTGCCTTGCCCACACCTAAAAACCCTCAGAGAGATTTGATGTATAAAAAATGTCCATGTGTGATTGTGCAGTGTCGGTCCTCCTACTCTGTCCATCCTCTCTCGCTCTCCCTCTCTGACTTGGTCTGCCTCCGCCCTTGTCCATCACGAAAACAGGAGGTTCCACCGTGAGTCCCTCTCCACAACAACGGTAACAATCTAGCAAGTGTCGATGAGAGAGTTTTTCTAAGCGAACAGTAAGTGGTCAGCAGTCGTGTCTGTAGGAATCCCGAGCGAGGGGCGTGCACTGTAGGAATCCCGAGCGAGAGGGTCGGGTCGGGTGCACGCCCCTCGCTCAGCTTCGCTCGTCAACACTCACCGGCACACCGTATCCCGCTTGACTCCAGATAGTCAAGTTAGGATCCGTGTACGCATTCATATGCGCATTGATGTAATTCTGGGTGGGATAGTTGGCAGGATCACATCCAATCTCGCCATCAGACGTTTGATACACTCGCACATAGTCGATCAGGAAATGAGCCGGCCAAGTGAGATCATCAAAGTTGACAGTTTGGAAATTGTTAGACATTCCAAAGTTGATGACCTATGGACGGCGCAGGGCGTCAGCGAAGTAGGTGGATTTGTGGCTAGCAACAAGCGAGCAAAACAAGCGAACGAGCGCAGGTGTGCCACACGTCCTCCTTCTTCCGAGCAGTCAAAACGCCCAACGAAGCACTTGCCCCGCTCGCTCGCTGGCTCGCCAGCTGGCTCGTAATAAACTCACCATAGCCATCGGTTCCTCTGAAATCAATCGCTGCCCAATGCCCATATTCGACCTCGGTCCGACCGCCGCAGCGTTCATGGTCCAACTCTTTTGACCGTCCGCGACCCAAGTAATGTATCCGTCGTTTCGGTTATTCGAGTCGGCATAGTATTCAAAGCCTGCGACGCACCGGCGTCAGCAAGTGCGCGAGCAAGCAATCAGACAAAGGCACGGCGCGGCGCGGGAGCAGTCGAATTAGGACGATTGGGAGGATGATGCCGTTCGAGGCCAGAATAAAATGCCAAGCTCTCGAACCTCGCTGTATGCCCGAAGCTCGCTCAGACTCACCAAAGATCGAGAAGCCTCCCGTTGTCAATTGATAATCATCCCGACTGATATAAGTCAAACTCGAAACAGCTTCTTGGTACACTCCTCCCTTGTACGAGTTCCATTTCGTGATATCCAAATCGTACTGGTCAATCTCCGGAGTCGAATTTCCATATTGGTAATACGCGTCGAAAGGAGCTACTTGAGCAGATTGAGAGGCTTGACCTCTTCCACCGCTGTAGGACAAATCTGTTTGACCCTGAGGTGGTACGCATACGTCAGTCCTTGCTCGGTGCGTATGTGTCTCAAAGCCTGTATTCACCTCGATGATATCGATTTCAGGAACACCTCGTCCGACATTGGTAGAAGGACCTGGGTGATCTTCTCCAGCACACGTACAAGCAGAAGTACGTTGACCAGGCAGGCTGATACCGATTCAGCAAAAGCCCTTTCAAAGGCTTCTTTCTGTCCACTCACTAGGAAATGATGCCTCCCGTGTTGCCCGAAGTCAATGCCAAAGCTGGTCCTTCACCATCCGGCTCTGTTTGGTTCTTCAACGTCCCAATATCACACGAATCATAAGTGTATGGCCACATGCCGTCCGTTGTCGCTCCGTAACCTGGTCTTCCGAGATTTCCCATCATCCAAACACCTGGCCAGAATCCACCGACGGCAGGTGTACCAGGGAGTGAGAGTCGGACTTCAATGTAGACGGATCCACTGAAACACATCTTGTTCCAAGACTGAAGCATTCCAGACTTGAAGTTGAGATCGTGAATAGGCTCCTGTGTCATGGTGATGACCAGAGAACCGTTCGCAGTGGTAATAGCCGAGGGGTCGTACCACTCAAAATCACTGCCCGTCGCGTCAGTTGCGGATGACAGATCGATCAATACCCGCGTCCACTCACCCTGTGGGCCAATAGTGAAGATCGACAGCGGTCCAGTACGGGTCGTCGCCATCGAAAAAGGTTCTTCCGTCCTTGTTGAACTCGTCTGAGAAGACCAGATCATACGTCTTTCCATCGTATCCCTGGTACGTCATCGCAGACTGTGGCGTATCCTCGTCGATCACGGTCGCAAAGTTGGTGATCAACGGAACCTGACCCGAGGCATTGATACCTCCCAGGTTGAAGCCTCCATTGTTACTGAGTGGGTGAGAAGTGTAGAATGTGATGATGGGGTATCCAGCGAACAAGGTGACGATTCCGACGAGGAGAAGGGAGAGACATCCAATGTTGACGACTCCGCGAGAAGTGAAGACTGTTCCAGCGCGATCGTTCTGGAACGGGTGTCAGCAATGGTGCCCCAACGTACGAGGGAGACATGACAACGAAGCAAGTGCGGCGGTGATGATGATGAGAAGAAAGAAGTGATGGGGTGTCGGCGAATGAATGACTCTCCCGCCACCTCGGGCTGACGCCCTCGTTCAGTCAGCCTCGTGGCTTACCTTTCTATCCCTCTTTGGATCAGGATTATGCAGGTAATCATCCGCCTCAGGATTCGAATCTATCCCCGAAGTCCAAGGGGCACCGCCATCATGTCCCGGTGGTGGTCTATCCGAGACGGATTGAGCTGGTGATCCGAGCAGAGCGGCGTTCGGTCCAACGGGCGCCGAGGACGCAGTAGGACCGTAGCGACGAGCGGCGGAGAGCTAGAGGATGTTAGCGAGAGCGATGCGAATCTTGTAGAGCACGAGACAACGACACATGAGGCCAGGAGACGTGCCAAGCGATGGATAGAGAAGGGAACGCAGACCTCGACATGGTATGATGCAGAGCAAGAAACGAATCAATCCCCACCTCGTGTGATAACCTGCTGGGTCCAGCTGGATGTCTCGGCGGTTTGTGCGCAGCCTCGGCGGCGATAAGAGTGGTAGAAGGGGGCATAGAAAGGGACCAGGAGCGATGCCAAGGAGTGATAGAGTGATGGATGGATGGATGGATGGATGGATGGATGAATGACAAGCAAGCCAAGAGAGAGACGAGATCAAGAGCGAGCAAGAGAGAGAGAGAGAACAGCTATCCCAAAGGGTTCAATCGCAAACAACAATTGAACGCTCTCCTTTTCCCTCGCGTCGAAAATCAAAAACATAATCAGGAAAATCGCCAGTCAAGCCATGATGAATGGTAGATAATGAGAGGAAGAGCAATGACAGAGCACAGACAGGCTCAGCCCCAAGAGAAGCGTATGCGATGACCTCTCTCCCCCAGCTGATACGCTTGACGCTTATAATAGATCTCGTCCCTCACACTCACATTTCGATCACTTCCCAACAGTGCACTCTGACTTTCACCTCTTCCTGGCATGCCCACACTGGACGCTCGTGAGCCCGCGCCATATCGATTGTTGGGCGTAGGCATATTGGAGATGGAGTTGAATCGAGAGGGAGAGCCTGGTGTCGAAGGATCAGGTGAGATCCCAGCTAAGAGAGGTCGAGAAGGATTGGGGGAAGGCGTGTGAGGGTTAAAAGAAGTATCGATTCGAGGTGTAGTGGGTCGACTGTTGGCGGCGGCGGCGGCGGGTGCTGCTACTCGTGCTGAATCAGAGAATGGATTGGTGTATTGACCACCACCTCCACTACTGCCACCAGAGCCCTGTTGCTGACGAGAGCCGGCTGGTAGTGGTTGATAGATGGTTTCCTGTTCTTTTTGTTTGGAGGCAGCAGAGGATCCAGTCGCTCGACCAGATGTAGAGAATGCGTAGGGCTGTTGTCGTTGTTGCTGTGGCTGTTGAGTAGATGATGTGAATACTTTTTTGAACATGAGTGAGGGAGGGGGAGGGCGTGTACTAGGGAGAGCGATACACGAACAGGTCTAATGAGAGGCGATGACGGAGGGGGCGAGGGCGAGGGGGGAAGGTAACGGTCTATGAACTGTGCAAGCGAGTGGACGCAGTAGTAGTTTCTCTCAATCCACCCCTTCTTCAGTCCATCATACACTTTGTTGTAAAAAGAAGCAGATAGCAACAGTAAAGTGCAAAATGAGACGTGAACCTATCGAGTCCTAAACAGAGAACAAGGTGAATGAGAAATGACCAGCTGCTGCTGCTGCTCGCTGCTCGCTGCTCGCTGATGTTTGGCTCTCCTCTGCTGCCCTTCCCTCTTTTCCATTTTTTCTTGCCCTTCACCGCCACCCTGGTTAGTTTATACCACGTGGGTTTTATTTACAGTGTCACGCCCAGGACAGCACGAGGGGGAAGGGGGCTGCGTGGCGCGTGTCAAATGTGGCACTTATAGCATCACTCTGCATGCATAGGGTAGTACGCTGGGGATCGAAAGGTTGGAAGGATGTACCACCATGGCTCCTGACGGTCACTTGGAGGAGCGTTGGGTAGAGTCAAGCGACGGCTGAGCCTCCCAGCTGTCTTTGATCCCGCGCCTTGACTTGCGACGGTGGAGACCCCAGTCAAATGAGTATCAGCACCCGCTTGGGTCTCACGAGCTTCGTAAAACGTTCCACCTTCATCTTCATTCTCGTCATCGCTTGTGTATTCTCGCTGGGGTCGATTGTGATAGTAATCGGTCCCCTTGTCGACCCACTCATCATCCTTGATGGTGTACGTCTGATCGAAAGCTCAGCAATTGGGCTAGCGTCCCGTCTCATCGTCAAACTCACAGGCTTGAGTTTGAAAGTTTGGGATGCCTTGAGGTCAGTAATTCGTGGCTCTTCTGGCTCTTCTGGCTCTTCTGGCTCTTCTGGCTCTTCTGGCTCTTTCCCCCCTACGCTCGTCGGATGCGATGTCCTCCAAGTATCACGCTCGGGAACATCGGGCAGATTGACGAAAGTCGTCGTGCATCCATCGGACGACTTATCCCCTCCTGCAGAAGACATGGAGTAAATATACGTTCAGCTTGTGCACTGTAGGCTTCAGTAGTACTGTATATCGTTACAGTATGAGCGGCAAATACGTGTGAAGACTGAAGGAAAAAGAGAGTGACTCAAAGAGCCTTTGAGGGAGACTCATCGTCCCAATCTGAGAGAATGCAAGACCTCTCATCCCGTATGCGATCCTTTGATCACCTTTTTTACCCCCCACAAAATCCATACAAAAGGGATGTTGTGGGACGAAACGTTTCGGTCCACTCCCCCGTCATCGCCTCCTCGTTTCCGACTTTACCAACTTCTGACGACATGTATCTGACTGGGATTGTTCGTTGACTCTGACTTCGTGCTCCAGAGGATTTAAGACGCCTGTACACTGCATGGAGCATAGAGAGAAACGACTACCTTTAGGACTCTCGTCTGAGCAGCAAGATTTCTACGGGCAATAGGTCACACCATCGACCATGCAGGGGGTTCACGGCACCGTCTCAAACGTGGGACTCCGATCGGGGATTCAGAAGACGCTTCCGCATCGATGATACTGAAGACTTTCATTATGTGCATACTCCTTGACGCCCGATGACCTGTTACAAGGGATGGATGAGAGCTCTGTCCTGCCGAGGACGGTCTAGGCAAGGTCTGGAGAACAATAAGGACTATGTTTGATGACAGAGACAGTGGACCAGTCCCTAGTGGTATATAGAGGTATTCCATGTCTAGCGAGATCGATGCATTTCTTTCACTCTACCTGTAACATGACCATTGAGTGCTTTTCCAGGACACACGCACCTGCTCATGCCCCTTGAGCTGATCGTTGGCTCCTCAGCCAGTCTAGTAACGTCTGCAAGATGGTTACATTCGAGGTGCTTGTTGATCCCTTGTGACTTTAAGACAATTTCGATTGCCTAGAACTTTTCGCAGTGGCCTGCTTCTCCTCATCCTCCAGGTGGGATTGCAAACTGTCGATGATACTGTCTATCTCGGAAGTCTTGCCGTTGCTGCGTTAGCGACTCACTCCGGCATGGTACATAAAGCATTGATGGCCTCACCGGATCGTCGACCAAGCCCAGCTTGGCGATTTTCTCAAAGATAGAGTCCAGGGCATCTTTCGCGGATCCCTACGAGTGATTGGACGGTTAGGGTTCTCGGTTGTCTTTCAAAAGGGTGATACTTACCGAGGTTTCATTTGCATCGCTCATGTAGGGCTCGGTGGAAGACCCAGGGTCGGAAACCACATGTTTGTCCACGTTATTTCCACCTTCAGTATCCTTGTGGTGTTGCTCAGACATACTGCTAGTTGTTGCGTCTGTTTGAAAATGGTCAGAGACGAGGCTGTGTATGATTGTGAAAAGCAGTCTTTCAGAAACTTGAAAGAGGAGGAGCGGACGCCTGTCACGTACACTGTTCTTATAGCGCTTGTGTGTCCATCGGACTCTGAACATCATGGCCAGCAGAGGGCTAGGGGGTCAAAGGAGATGCGTCTAGGTGCATGTCACCTCTGACCAAGGTGATTTGTGGTATGAAACATTCCCACGATCCCTGGTTTCACGTCCCGATGTGAACTTGGCGACCCTTGGGGTTCGTCCGAGTCATTCCGAGGTCTGCGTCTCCTTTGAGGTCCTATTGGGACCGGGCCTTGACTCGGAGAAGGTGAGTCACTTCGCGTGCTGCACCAACGGCCATGATTCGGATCGCGAGTCAAATTCGCGCTCATACTACGACTCATTGGCAGGAGACAATCTCCGCCACATTGCACAACTGAGAACGAGGGAGGTCGGACTGTGAGGCTTGTGACATTTTGGGAATGGGTTGACGCCCGTATGGATCAGACACTGCCTAAGTGATCATCATGCATGCTGGGAACAGAAGGAGCTCATGATGGCCGCTTCCCGCTCTGTCAAATCGATGATAAACGGGGAAATTACCCGCTACTCGAGGAGCTACACGGTAGAGACTTCATCTGACGCGGATTTCTCCGTCGCCTGGACTTCCGTCGCTAGTTGCGTCTTGGTGATTTTGGCTTGCTCATCGTCAGACTCGGCGTAATGTACTTCCTCAGTCTCGTTTGCAGGATCTTGACTCTCGCCCCATCCAGTGTATCGACGTCTGATACCCCTCGTGGAGCTCACTGACTCGTCCGAGACGTTACCATCGTCTTCTTCGTCGGTCTCAAAGGGGAACTTGTTGGTGCGGCTACGACTGATAGCTTTTATCGAGGCATCGTCGTCGGCCTCGTCGTCCTTCACGTCCTCATCACCCGAGTCAATGGGACACTGGATAGTATACTCAGCTAGAATGCAGCTGTCCTCCTTGAACTCCTTACTCACTTCGGTGTCTTGCTGCGTGGAGTCAGAGTCAGCCACATGGGGGGGCGATGTGAGCTTGAGACACCCGCTGGGAGGAGCGTGCACTGTTAGCCTTGCTACCTGACTCTGTGCTTGTATCTTGGCCGGACATCTTGGGTAATGCGCTCAAATAATGATGGTATTCTACGTACTGTATCGTCGGCTGGACGTCAAATTTGTATATCGGTGGAAGACTTGCCAGTAGCTATCGGTCAACCGACGGTCTTTATACCTCTTGGGCCTTCCGATCCTCTCACTGTACTCTGGTGCCAGAGCAGTGTGCTCCCATGCTCGCACACTCTGTTTAGGAGATGGTTCCTCATGTAAGGAGACGACCCCTCAACATCCTTTGTGGCGGACGGGCTCCTGGCTGTTCGAGTCCCACCTGCAAGAGTGCAGCGACTGAGGTGATGCCGCCCGCAAGGTGGAGGCTTCTCAATTCGCTGAGTCACGTATCAGACATGGCTGGACCCTTGAAAGGTGTGTATGGATGACATCAAGATGCCTGATGTTCCCGTGGCCGTCGCATACGTCGGTGCAGATATGGTCCACTGCTGACTATCTGCCTTCTGACTATCACTCTCTCACATCAGGCAGGAGACGGAATGCATGAATCGAAGTCAAGATGCTTCCCCATCTGATGGGAACCACACTCGATGGGAACCACACTTCGCTCCACTCAGGCTGCCTAGTTAGCTGAACAACCATGACGACCGCCTTCCTCCCTTAACCCTTGACTTCGGAGTTGCAGCAGACATTCTGCGACCATCTCTGTTGCCGCCCAATTCGATGCTCTCTTCGTGGCTCTTAGAATGTGAGGACCTTTTGTCCTTGTCAAAGAGGGATGAGCCGAACTTGACTGGCGCTGAGGAGCCATTCAGGGAGGCAAGTGAAGCCAAACCACCCAATGACGACTTTGACCTCCTCTTGGAACTATGTTCTTTCTGCTCGCCGGACATTTTCGGTGGGCGGTGCCTCGGACCGGGCCCGGCCTTGGTCGATGAGGCCGTCTCTGTGGGTGTCGATGGGACTGAATTTCAAGGTGCTTCATTATCATCTGATGAGGTCACCCCTTTGGCTTGGGGCCTAAGATCCTCTCGGAGGTTCTTGTTCCCCTCGCTCGTGTATGCATACTCTCCTCGACGAGATTTATCAGCCTTGGAAGTGACAGTAGCCGCTTGGGGAAAAGTCGAAGCTCTGTTGGGAGTACCTGCAGCTGGCTCGAAGGCCGATGTGGCAGTAGAGCCCGGTGGCCTTACCGAGCCAGGGGCAGTGACACTGCGTTCGGGTATTCTGAATGGCTCGGGTGTCCCAGCAATGGAAGGCATATCGTCTTTGCTGTGAGCATCACATTCCCTCTGAAAGAGCAAAACAGGGGCTGCTGAGCTCGATGGCTCTTCGGGCACGGTTGGAGGCGGAACACGGGTTGCGCTAGATGATGTGGTTGCGATCGGAACCCGGCTCGTCTCGTCTGACGTCTTTTCACGCCCAATAACAGTACTCTGCATCTCCTCATTGGCCGTGATGAACTGTGATTTGGTAGATGCGAAGACAAAGGCCTGAGTCTGATCTGGAGCTGTCTCTTCGTTCGTGGTATCATCCTCTGCAGGTAAGTGCAGCGGGGTTGGCATTTCGTGGCTTGCTTGGGCAGAATTCTCCAGACCGGACACCCGCTCAGGCGCAGGAAGGCGTATGGGCTGAGGTGTGTTCTTCAGCTGTGTGGTGAACCCAAGCGGTATGGCGGAGCTTTTGGTCTGCGAGGTCGCACTTGAGACGCTTGTGGCAGCAGCAGCACCCGCAGAAGTGTTTTCTTCTGCCACGTTGGACGGCTGTGGCACAGATCCTTCAGTATCTGGGGGGTGGAGTTGTATGCTTTCTGAATGTCCGGCAGGTTGACCAGTCAGCCGATTGGTGTATGAGCTCAAAATTGTCGGTGCTTGGCGCTCCATTTTGTTGTCATAAGCCTGCGAAAATCGCCTCTTGGGAATCACAGTATCTGGCCCGGAGGACTCGGTGTCGGCCGTCGTCGTTGGATCATGTGTGGCATTGGTTTCGGTGTGCGTGGCTGTGCGTGGCGGAGCTCGAGCGATGGGCGCTGGAACTTCCCACCCGTTCTCAGTCATCGGAACTGGGTCCAGAGCGGGCTGTGAAGTCTTCGCAGTCAGCGTAGACCCGTTATTTTCTTGTTCCACTCGTCCCGGAGCGGGGCCGATCCAGGCTTCGATACGCGAGCCGTTCCAGAACTTGTCAGAGGCGAGAGGCATGCCAAGCCGGTCATACTGTGCCGAGGATTCATCAAAGCGATGCCTCCTTGAGGGATAAGACGTTCTGATCGGAGGGTATTCTTCAGGAGGATAGTATCCTTGGGGCCTAAACTCCTGAGAGGATCCGTATGAGTTCCGGTAATGCGGGACGTAAAGCGGCATATCTTTTTGTTGCAGCTTAGAGCCGATGCAAATCTTTTGTGGACAGGAGGGATATATGGAGCGAGCAAAAGGTCTCGTTCTTAGCAGTGCTCCTCATTATCTCACCACTGTCAGCTGGTGGAGGCTCACTCTCATATAGTCGACTTCAAAAATCTCTTCTCCGGACACAGAGGAAGTGCATTCAAAGGATCTACAAGATGACACAGGTTTCAAGATATTGTAAAGGGGCAACAAATACTCCAGAATAGAAAGGATTGATACCATTCCTCCTCCCCGGTCGAGACCTGCCACGGCTCATGCCCTGTGCGTAGTGCAGGGCTTGAATACGGCGGCAACGCTCGGACCCTCTGTCGTCGCAGCGGAACTCATCGAGCCCTTCCGAACAATGTCAAGGCCTCGCGATCCCCCTGAGCCACTCTCGTCTATAACGTGCATATGAGAATGAGAGCGCAGAAAGAACGACATGTTTGACTGCATCGACTACAGTGCAGTCTCACATATCACAATCATGCCCTTAGGCAGGCCAGCGCGTCTCTGGGATGAAAAGCACTGATTTGGCTTATCAACATTTGCATGATCATCAGGTCAGGAACCATGAACGAGGCTTTCGTGATCGCCCTTTCGAGGGTTTCGTCTGACCAGATGCCTTCGGCACTTCTTGCCCAGCAGCTATGTCTTGACTCTCTTCCCTCTCTGAATCGCGTCTTCTGTGATGATAAGACTTGGTGCTGCTCGAGTGGGCCAAAAGTGCAGTACCAAATTTCACACTCGTCGAATAGTGCCCGCTTTGTTGTTGCAAAAGTGATGCCAGCCTACTGACGGGAGCCGTGGATGTTCTCTCTTCACGATGTCGACGTCGATGATGACGACGCCGACGGTGCTCATGTTCTGATGAATTCTCTGTGAACTTGTGGTCCTTCTCTTCTGCTCCCTCGGCTGCGGTAGCGTCTGGTTCCTCAGATACTTCGTCCTCACTTGATGAGTTCAGTGTCTCTGACTCAGGTGACAGATCCTCGCAGAAGGACTTGCTATCTGCATTGTCTACGCTCCTGAGAGCGTAGCCGACTGGATTGAGAGACACGGCCTTGTCTGCTACAGCCTTGCCCTTGGAGAATCTCGCAGACTTTCTTGCGATGGCCTCAGTATCAGTGGGCTTGGTAAAGACTGTCTTGGCGGAGCCAGGCGACGAGACCGTAAGACGCTCGCTTCCGGCGGGCTGAAGCGTCTGAGATCCTTCTGACCGCGGCTCTACAGTATCGTAGGTTTGGCGCTGCTCCGCGAAAGAGTGCCAAGGAGCCTCCGAGTGAGCCGGAGGCTGAGGTACCGACGGAGGCACAGTCGGTGTCGTAGAGTGTATGCTGCTCTGCCGAGCTTGCGAACTGCATCCACCCTTCTCGTTCCCTTGCTGCGAGTGGGACACAATCTTCTCACTGGCGGCTTTTGCCTGTGTATGGCTGGATGATTTGACGGGCGCCGAATCTTGTTTGTTGTTCTCATTCTCCCTATCTTCAGGCTGGTCTTCAACAGTTGCTTGACGACGAGCAAGCTTCGTGGGTATTGTCAGAGGGGGATCGTCCGGAGTGGATTTACCCTCCGGCGGCGGAAGACGTATGGTCCCTTGGCCACTAGCTCCCGAGGTCTGACCTTCAGAGCTACGGGGTTCAATCGGCTTCTTCTCCAGCGTCGACTCTGTGGCACTGGAGATGACAGGAGCAGTTTTTGGGCTTGCCTTTTCCGTTGACTGCGATGTTGCCTCATTAACTCTCAGCTTCTCCATCTGAGGGCTGAGCGAGTGAGCGGCTAGAGTCCCAGTTCGTGAGTTCCTATAAGAGCTCAAGGCGGGATTCGCTTGCCTCTCCATTGAGCCTGTACCCCGGGTGGAGCTTCGTGTATCTGGTTTTGTGGATGTCGTATCAGCAGTCGTGGCACTTTGCGTGGCGTTGGACAGAGTGTTCTTCGAATCACCATTCTCCCCTGCAGCTCTGGAAGCAGGTACTTTCCAGCCTTTATCTCTGTCCATTCGGACTGGATCCTGACTTGGACCAGTCGTCGAGACTCCCGCTTTGGCAAATGCTGACTTCGTTTCTTCCGTGTCACTCTCTTCGAGCTCCTCCACAATGGGACCGTGCCAGTCGGGATCTGAGTCTGGGATCGCGGATGGGTCGACCACGACCTCCGGAGTACGTACTCGCCTTCTGTAGGTCTTCGGGCGTCGACCAGACGTCCAAGCTCGGGGAGAAGTTATCCGTTCATATGTGTCATATGTATTGTTGACCCCTGAAGACCACACATTTGGTCTAGTGTTATAGTTTGATCGCTCTGCAGCTGGGTCCCACCTATCATGACTAGCTCGACGAAGATAATCATAAGAACCGGAGGAGGTCCTCTTTGAATGCCGGTAGTTTGCCATAAAGTCGCCAAGTAGGTCTTCAGCCCGTCACGATCAATCAAATGCAGAGACTGCCCGATTCTCTGGATCAAAGACATACTTGTTCTGCTTTTAGCGGACAGCAATCATATAGACACGAGAGGTATCCTACTGCGAAAGGCTCCCAATCAATCTGGAGCCGCACGGTCAAAGGAGCGGCCAAGTGATACGTGTCTCGGCCATGGGGCGAATTTCTCACTATTTGCATCCCTTAATACAAAGGATATCTTTTCTCTGCGAATACGTGATGGGTGGTCAATTGTCTTCAGATGTCCGCCACAAAGGCTTCAAGCTTGATACTCACGACTTCACGGGAGGGTCGGTGGCCGTACACCTTTGCTGCGATGACTCATGAGAGATAAGCAATCTGCCCGTAGCCCATGCGCGATCAGCTTAGGGTGGCTATGGAGGACAGGACGATGTACTTCGAACAAACCATCACCCACGGAAGTCCGGAAGGTGCAGGTGGGTCAGAGAACGATGAATCACGTGAACGAGAGCGGCGTGTTCTTTGACAAGTGCCGCCCTCTTAAGCCACTTCAGAAGACGCAGATGACTCTGCTGATGAGATCAATCGTCGTCGAATCACCTGACTCACGCTGAAGGGGATTGTAGGGTTGTCAAATACACAATACCGCAATTTAGGCTGACGCGGATTAGTCATTTGGCACTGCCAGACCATCGACGTGTTTATGCGCATTCGGCACAACCCTAGTGAGGGGGCTGTCGGGCGCTGGCATGGGTTCGTACGAATGCATTCCTCATCACGCTGCTGAGGGAGCTGATGGCGAGAGCTTACGTAATATGTATCGGATCACTCGCGTCGGACTGGTCTCCACTTGAAATGCATGCTCAGCACTATACTATGTCGAGACCGCCGAACGATCCCAACAGCCCTAAAGTCACCGCTGCGTGTCATTGCGGGTCGATCAAGTTGACTTATCCAAAGCCGACCACCCCACTGACGGATTGTCAGTGCTCAATCTGCATCCGTCTTGGCGGTCTCTGGGCCTATTTCACTCAAAGCCAAGTTACGATTGAGATACGACCCGGGTTCCACAGGTCATTTTCCGGCAACCTCATCCCGCCCGAGGGTCTAGATGCTCATTTAGCGAAAGAGCCGAGCGACTTTAGATATGGACTCGGACCTGGAGTCGACACGTATAGCTGGGGTGACAAGGATATCCTTACGTGCCGGTGCAAGACTTGCGGATGTGTGACGCATTGGGTCCCATCGGACAAGTGGGCAGCCGACAAGGTGGGAGTGAACTGTAGGATGCTGGGAAAGGAGTTGTTAGAGACATTCGAGGTGGTGAAATCTCCAGGGCCGGATTGAATGACCGGACCCGGAAAACGATTGAAGGAGAAGCAAAGGCCTCCGCAAGCCAGTCAGTCACATTAGTCACAGTACAGCAGCGTATTTCCTTCGCTGTCCTCGAGTCAAAGTCAACCTGGTGTGAACGCGTTTTGTCAGTCCATTGCGCCGATACCCATGCACCAGTCCATGCACTCGAGATACCATAAATCAAGACCTTGCGCATTCGCTTACGACCTTGATTCTGCTCAGCTGATCAGAACATAAAACCACTCCTGACTCTCGATCGATCCCGTCGACTTGGGCGGGAATTCCTCTCGCCATCCCTGTTCGAGCCATTCTTTCGGCTTTGGCCATGCTGATGCTTCCGACGTCTCGCACTCGTTCCATCATTGTCCCGTGTGTCACCATCTTGGTCGCCGTCAGGCATCATCGGCGAGGCCTCTTCCTGGACAGGCGGAGCGTCCAGCTCTTCGTGTACAGATCCGAGAGTTGTGTCATAGGTCTGAGCCGTGACCGATTCTTCACTATGAGGATGGCGTTTCAGGCTCCGCCCTTTGCCACCATGGCTCTCTGAATTATTGGAATACGAATGTCTACGCGTATGGTGGGATCGATATTGTGAGCTCTTCTCTCGGGTAGGATGTAGGACTGTTCCTTCTTCAGCTCTAGTGGCATCATTACTTGTATCCATCCGGGCGTTTGCGACCTTCAACAACGGATATTCCTCGCCATCTTCTGTCACTGGTTCACCTCCCAGGTCGGTGTCTAGTCTGGCAACCCCCATTGAGTCATAGTAAGCGTCTATGGCCGATTGAGTATGAGTATCGTCGCTTGTCTTGCGTCTGTGAGACTGAAACTTCTCGCTCGGTCCTCGCCTCTCAGTCGACGACCTGTACTCGCTTCTTGCACCGAGGTTGAAGAAATTAGAAGCAGCCTTCTTCGCTTTTGACCACAGGCTGACGCCGCTCGCCTTACGCGGACGGGACGACCTTTTCCACGAGTCGACGAGTTCGTTGCTCCGTCTGCCTGTTTCTGTCCTCTTGGAAGTTTTGATAGCTGCACTCTCGCTTCCCTCGGCAAGATTTTCGTCGTCTTTCGCACCCTGGTCCTCCGTCACGACTTCGCTTTTTCTTGTCGCTCTGGAAGTCTTCGATGGATTCGTGACACGGGTAAACTGGGAATCTCCACGCCTAGATGACTTGCGTTCAGCAAGGTGTCGGGAACGCCGGAGGCTTCCATCAGCCTGTAGTGGGTCCCTGTGCCTCTTCTTCCTGTAAGCTTCCCTGTGAGCTTGGGTCGAATTTCGTGGCTTTGAACCGCCCTCCGCTGGTGATCGCTTTTGGACCTTTCTGACAGAGTCTGTCATGGCACCAAGATCAGGATGACTCGTGTCGATCTCGTCGTGCTGTTTCTCCGTATGCTCATGGGCTGCGTTTGTCACAGCGCTCGTGTCCCTCATGTCGTGACTAAGAGGCATCAGATACGCTTCAACATCCTGTGCCTGCACACCAGGCTCTGAAGAATCTCTTTCGGCCAGAGTGCCATTAAACTCCACATCGAATCGTGCTGTGATTCCTGTCCTTTCGGTCTGCGGAGATCTTTCCTCCCCCTTACGACCATCCTTCTTACCCTTGCGGGACTGGTGTTTTGACTTGTGTTTCGATTTCTCAGCATTTGAATTCGCTGATTCGGCATTGATCGATTCGGAGTGTACATCAGTATCAGGTATCGTAGTCTCAGCGATGATATCGTTAGGAGCATCAATGACTACGGGCGGCGGATGCGCCTCTGATCTCGCGATCTCGGAAGCTCTCCCTCTCTTGCTCCTTTTGCCTTTCCTGTCCTTCTTGCCTCCTGGATTCGAGGCAGCGACGGAGGCTGTGGCATTCTCGATCGTTGCGTCGTCCGTGACCAAAGCTGTGTCAGTCTCCAGTTGGACTTTCATGGATGATGCAGCTTTCAGGTCCGCCCTTCTTCTACGATCAAGCAAAAGAAAGGAATCCGATGGGACGGTCGTGTCCGGTAGGGCAGATGTCAGTGTATCAGCTTCGGTGCTCAAGGTAGTATCAGGTGAACCCGGAGATCCTTCGATATCTGGCTTGATCTTCTCATTCGCCTCTAAAGGACCTGACGGCTCGGTCCTCTGCTTTGCCGATACTGTATTCGGATGGATGGTTTCCGATCCATTTAACGCTGATTCGACTTGTGCAGCAAACTCTGGAGGGACCTGATTCTTCTTCAATATGGACTTGAGTGTCTTGGGTGCCTCGCCAGTCTTTGCAGCCTTGCTTGAATCACCAAAGACCAAGTCTGACGTCTCCGCAGTCTGCTGTTCAGAGATGGCGGGCATGGCGAGATCGATACTGAAGGAATCAGACACTGCAAACGTTATTAGTGTCGAGTCAGATCGATGAACGGACGGATTGACTTACAATCTGTATCGTCGATACCTGCTGCTTCGGAAAGCTTGGGTATCTTGGCTTTGTTTCTGTGCATAAATCTCCCCTCTGGCTCAGCAATTGCCTCCTTCTCCGCAGCGGCAAGTGCCTGCCACTCCTTGGAGTCATTTATGAGCTCTAGACCAGCATCCAGCGAGGCTGCAAGTTCAGACACCGCCGTATCACCTTCTGCGAATGAATCTGTATCCTTTGCTCTATCCAGTGCTTCGAGATTGGCAAAACTCCAGCCCGGTCCAGTGCCGAGATGCGGCAAGTCCGGGTCGCCACCGACCTCCAAGTCTGAGAGATCATCATTCCCTTCGAGGCTCGAAGCCCCGACGATGACGTCCCTGCTAAGGTCAGAAACAGTCTCAAGGTCAATATTGGCCAGATCTTCTGTAGGCAGATCGTCCACCTCATCAGCATTGAACGGCGGCGTCTTCGGGCCTGGTGAAGGAGGCATTGGCGCTTCGGGAGGGGTCTCAGTGCTGCCTCTGGACTCGCCGTCGCCTTTAGGCTTCGCCATGATGTGCGAAACTTCCTATAGTGTAAGACTCGAACTATGCGGGGCGGGGCTTGGCCTGGCGTGCGGTAAAGAGTAAGTTTGCGTTCTTGGGATTCTGACGAAGACGAGGATCACGCGAGGTGATCAGAGTTTTCTTTGCCGCTTTTCAGAGGACGAGAATGTGAGTTCGATGAGTAGTAGACTCCGGTGAATCAAAGGATGTAAGACTGGAACGCGCGAAGGAGAGTAACATTGACCCCGTTGGGGGGATGAATGGTGAGAAAATGATCATGATTGGTCTGGGTTCTTGATGGGAATAGGAGGAATTTCCCAGGCCGCCCGAAGACACGAGCAATCTAGCTGATATAGGTTCAGCAGATTTCTCCAATTCAGTAACAAGCAGTTCCACTCACTCTGCCATGATCGGGACGCACTTTACCTCAATCAGCCTGTCCACATATTCCCGAACGATTAATAGCTTTCACCCATTTCTCATCTCGAGACAGATGCATTGCAATATCGTTACCTCGTAGTGGAGAGCTTGGCGCGTCATTGCCCCTCTTCATCAGCTCTCAAAGCCTCCTCCGCCAACTGCATAGCCTCCCGATCTAATTCGAGCTCCGGGACCTCAGCGACCTGTGCTCCCACAGGCGCTCTAGCCGGCTCAGCATGATCATTCAATATTTTCTCAGCTCTGACACCTCCAGCCACGCCAGCAGGGGGAGGAATAGGATGACCTTCAGGATCCTCAGCCCCACCGTGCCATCCTCCTTGGTCTTCCGCTGCGTCTGTGACTTCGGGTGCGCCGGCGTCCAGTCCTACAGGGTTACGTAGATCTTCTGGGATAGGAGCATCCCCTGATACAGGTTGAACCGGAGGGTGCGCGATGTATGTCGATGCTTGCATGGGAACTTCATTCTGCGGTCCGACCGGAGCGATAGTCTTTTCCTCGGGTGGAGCGTTGGGGTCTTCGAAGACGTTTTTGATGGGCTCAGGAGCCTCCTCCTGGTACACCAATGAGCAGAGATCACAAGACTGACTCGGGTGGACTCACCACCATGGTGGTCGTAAAGTCATGACCGAGACCATCATTGGAACCGACTTTGGCGCTCGTTTGAGCGATAGCAGAATGCTTGTACTGAGACATATTCTCATGGAAGTCGGCGCTGAGAATGGTCAGCTTCCTGCGATGATAGCAGCTCTTCTCTGAGCTCACCATGAAAAGTCCCAAGTTTTGAGCCATTTAGCCCTTTCACACTTGCCCCTTGTCCACGGTCTGGCGTATGTAAGAGGGCTGAAGTGGTTGTAAGACCAAATAACGAGAATGAGCAGTACAGCGGCGATCTGCACGCGTGTTCGAGGTCGTAGGCGAGACGTGATATAGTCGAAGACTGTGCAGAGGAGCAAGACGGCAAAGTAGAGAGCGGGGAGATAGTGGTGCAGGAAGAGCTGTCGCTGCATGAGGAAGAAGGGAAGATAGTGCAGACCCCAAGACATGAGCAGGAAGGCGCATGTCTCGTCGTAGAATGCGGTTTTGGCTAAGAATATATGAGGTGCTGTCCACATTATCGGTCCCAATGAGCTCACGAGCATAGAGGTCTCTGTAGCCTCGCTTCGCCCGGAGGATCAGTAGACCCCGCACCCCAACATAGAGAGCGATGGCGAGTGTAGAAGTCCACCAAACAACAGGATTACCAACGAGATACACTTGGCGATGATCGTGAACCCAGAAGTTCTGGACAGTGTAAGCTAATGACCCAACATGGTGGATGAAACAGCTCACGATGCCTCGCCTCAACCAAGGCCAGTGCTGAGGTCTTGAATCGTATGCGTGTCGATCCGTCAATCCGGCATTCGTACGCCACATGACGGCTTGTAGCTCAAAGAACTTTTCGAAAAAGCTTGGTCGTTGATAGTTGACTTTCTCAGCGTCAAATGCCACTGTACCGTGTGTCAGCTGGATCGACTGTAGGAAGTGAACAGCTTACATTGAGGGTGAGTGTTGGTCTCAATGTACCATAATGAGTTCTCCCAAGTAGGATTTTTGTTGCAAGTCACCTGAGGAACATCAGCTCTTAGCTTTCATTTTGACGCATAAGCTCACCTCTTGCTGCTCAAAGCCCCAATCTGGAAGTTTGACCTTGTGAGAGAAGAGATAGCATCCGGACAGTGCATGTCGCAGGCGGAATTCCGATCGAAGGGTGCGAAGGCGGTGTCTCGCTTGACGATCCCGCTTGCCTCGGGTCTTTGGAGCAATCTCAACGATGAAATCGTCATTGGCATCTCCGGCGAACCTGCCAAAGTCAGTAGAGAGATCTTCCATATATGGCACTTGAGCAGACTCACCCCTCGTACCCGTAACCTGACACTTCATTCTGAAACTCGACATCACTGACTGGCGGCCTGACATCGTGACTGTGAAGTCGCTTGAAGGTCGATGTGTGTTCTAGTCGGATCTTCGATCCGGTAAGGACATAATCAAACGGCAACGTGTCCCAATCATACTGCGCGTCGTCTACGCTGGAGCCATTGGTGATTCGCCAAAGGTTGTTGTCGTCTCGGTGAGGGTAAAGCGTGATCTGTTGTTCTGTCCAAGGTGATCAGCTAGGGCCGGTCCAAAGAACAGAAATGGCTGGCTGACTCACGTTGAGATCCGCCTGGGTACGCATGTGGGTGTGAATGCAGATATCCACCCTGTGTGTGGACGTGTCGAATAGACACGATGGATCCAAAGCCGACGTCTAATGACGTCAGCTGCTGTCCTTCATCCTCAAGAGCATGACTGACCTGCATAAGTGTCCTCCATACCGTGCCCTTGGAGCGTATGCTGGAACTCTGAGCTCATGAACCCATCGCCTTCTCCCGACTGGTTCAAGATCCAGAAATGAATCTGGAACATGAACATGTAGAAAATGATTGGCACCACGATCAGACACATTGCTCTCGCGGCAAAGTGTCGGAACAACATCCTCGGAGTGACCTTGAGGTTCCCAAGAAGCAACCAGAGTTGTCTGAGGGTTCCCAAACCAACAGTGGCGATAGTGAACAATCCTACCCATTTGCAACTCAACGTCGCGCCAAGTCCTAATCCTACCAGAGTGAGGTATCTCCACCAGGGCCGGGTGAAAGCTCTTCCCTCCGCGTCGAGATTGGCAAATCTGACCCAAAAGTACATGGTCAGAGCTGTAAAGAAGACAAGGAATGAATCGAGAAGGATCAAACGAGATTGAGCGATCAGTGCGTTCTCAAATGTAATGAGGAGGGATCCTAGGATGGCAGTGGCGAGGGAGAGTCGAAGCGCTAGAAGGGTCAAGAAGGAGATGGGGATGAGGGCGAGACCAAGGACAGCAGGGAAGAACCGCATGATGACATAGGGAACTTTGGGTCCGAGGTAGTCTCTGTCAGAGGGACGTCAGGATCGTCTAACGAGGATTCATGATAGTCACCCACTTGCCGATATCCTTGAAGTCAAAGTTGCCATCGAATCCCCCGATAAACGCAGCGAGTGTGATTAGCAGTTTGGCGAGAGGTGGATGGACGTCCATGAAGAACCGTTGGCGGATGTACTTGCTGGCGAAACCACCAAAGTGGACCTCGTCAAAACTGGGAAAGGGTGTGTCAACGAAAGCGTCCACACCCACCCAAACAGATTCCCTGAAGATACCACTCACACAACAGACGTAGGATAAGAGAGCCTCCACAATCGAATGAATGCCCCTAGGACGGAGACTATAGCCAAGATGACCCATTCTCTTCTCTTTAAGCCTAGATCCACTTTCCCGACCCTTCTTCGACCTCCAAATGAAGCGACGTCGACGGTGGGCGGCGGATAGAGATCCCGATCTCGAAGTTTCGTATCTGCGTCAGACTCTTTCATCGGTCCAGCACTCCCAGCACGTCTTCCTACGTTCTCATCCATCCCTATGCCTGTACTTTGGGCAGAGGACGAAGCGGCCGTAGGGTCATTCAACGAAGCGTGAGATGCTCGTTGCGAGATAGATCCAGTGGCCGACGAGCGGGTGACTCGAGCTGGTGCAGCGTCGGAAGGACCAGACAAAGTGCGAGGCATGGCCCTGTTAATTGACTAGGGGCCGAATGAAGAGGTATAGAGGCGTTCGAAGCAACCAATAGTGGAGCAAAGAGTTGAGCACTACACCCAAGCTTGAGGGCCACAATTCCAATGACCAGTAGTGATTCTGCTGACTTCCAGCAGCCCTTTTCTCACTTGGTCGTCACGCTATAAGGGCTTGCTGCTCGTGTCGAGCTTGAGGACAAAGGACAAAGCAAGTCGCCAATAGACGTCGCGCAGCTCATCGCCCTTGAGAATCTTGACACGTGTCGCGGAGATCAGTGGGTATCTCCGAAAAGATTGGTAGCGCGTATGGGACGCGAGATATGCATGCTACATTGAATCGACGGACAGATCTAATCTTTCACTTTACTCTCGTCCGGTTTGATACTTGGTGTTGAAGCAGCAGGTCCACTTGTTGACGAAGCGGACGGAGCGCTCGTAGTCGGAGCTGATGTGGCGCCTCCGCCTCCGCTGCCAGCAGCAGCAGCAGCAGCTGGCGTCGGTCCACTGGCCAACCTGGCATCTAAGGCTTTGAGCGCCAATGCGCGTCTTCTCTCTGCTTCTGCACGGGCTGATCCAGGTCCAGGTAACATGGCATAGGATGATGAACTTTGAGCGTCGTCCCAAGCGGGAACGAGCTTGAATCGGGTGGCTAATGAGAAGACGAGATTGCCCAATTTGGCGATATACGGTCTGAGCGGTTCATCAGTCCATGGGTATTGAAAGACATTCGGTAGAATCATAGACACTTACCTAACGGGAGGCGGGAACCAGTACTGGAACGCGAAAGTCTCACTACGATCTCCACGCGAGAGACCATCCTCTGACAATTTGTAGAATCGAAGATAGACCCAAGCGACGAAGAATCCAAATTGAACGAGCATGTAAGGGGAAGGTCCAAGCAGGAAGACGAGGACGTTGGAGATGAGGAGGTAGATACCGGGAAGGGTCTGAGACGCCAAATCAGCAATTGAGACTTATTCAGGAGGACAACGATTTGGACACACCTTGACCCGCACTTTGAACTGCCCAAAGAGCTGTAGCTGGTGTTCCGGAGCGAGCTGAGTAAAAGCCACCAGGAACCCAACTTGAAGCGCCGTCATACCGTGATACGGGACGCCGTACCTGCGAAAGACCCGTGAGCTGTTGTTGTTGGAGAGCAAGATATTCACCACACTCACAAGGAATAATTCTCATCTTGTAGGACGAAATAAGTCAACCAGCTGAAACCAAAGGCGATGACATTGGATGCAAAGATGGTCACGAGGACGAATCGGACAAGTTCACGACCTCCCCAGATGCGCTCGAGATACCGTGCTGCGAGTAGGAGTGATACAGAGGACATGACGAGCTAGGCAAGGGGATCAGTGTGTGTCAGAGGTAGATGCGGTAGATGGAAGAGAATGGAGGAGTAGGTACAAGCGCTAGAATGTCGACCCATCAGATCGTGTCGTGTCGAAGACTGATACTCGGTATCTCGAGGGCTCATCTGAGCGCGACGAACCCGCCGACATGTCAGGATTTTATGCCAGGCGTAATTATTGGTATACCTCTCGTCCGTTCAACGCGCAGAGTAGCCAACGCTACCATGTCGACAACAACTGATTCGCTCGTGAACCCTCGCTCCACTCACCTCGACTATACTCAATTCCACAAATCCACTTGTCACCAACACCCAAGGAAATTTCCAGCTCGTCCCTGGAACCAGGACCAACCAATTAAGATACACTCTCCAGGGTAATCCATGATGCGGTGATTCGATTCTTGACCCCACAGCCGTATTCTCTTCAATGAGGTTCGTCAAGAATATCCCAGCCAAAGTCGTGATGACAAGTGTGAGCGTCAATATGCGCGTTGCGAAAGGAATAGAGTGGAGAAATGGGAGGAATGACACTGCTGGCATGGTGAGAGCGAGTGATTCGAGGGGTCGCAGTCAGCTCGAAGAAGATAGTCTCAGAGGGTACTCTGCCCTCGTTGCTGCTGCTGCTGCTGCTGCTGCTGCCGTGGTGATCGTGGTCGTCGCTGTCGTTGACGTGAAAGTAACTTGCTCGCTGTTCCGCTGCTGCTTGCTGCTGCTGCTGCTGCTAGCTTGTTGAATTTCCGAAAGTGGCACTTTTCTGGGATGGGTGTGGAAATCTTTTTGATTGGGATATGTTGTTGTTGATGTTGTCGTTGCATTCTCTCTCTCTCATTCGGGTGGATATCACACTCGTACAGATCCCCTAGCCGCGAGCACATAGCAGTGGACAGGAGGAGATTACGCACAGGAAGCGGATTCGGATTGCTGCGCGCGACCGTTCACCCCCCGCTCTCTCCTTTGTCGGCCAATATATCGCGACGCGAGAATCCTTGGAGTGGATACGCCACTGGATTCTGTAGGGCGTTCAGGTCGCTCGTCTTGGCCTCTCTTGGTATGACCTGATGAGCCATACTGCAATCTGGGACATGGCGAACGATCCGAAACTCACGTCTGTGGACTTTGATCCAGCGACGTATGATCCGACACGAGATGTGGATGAAGATGAAGAGGAGGACATCGGTGTCCTCGGACCAAAGTGTGAACTCTCAAGTGTAGAGATCAATATCTTGATATACCTCGTGAGTCAGGGCGCTTTGACACATGGGCTCGTTTGAGCGTGTCCACTCGCTGATGCTTCACTCTTGCCCTGCTCTGGTACAGTACCTTGTCGAATCGAACCTCTCACATACTGCCTTTGCCCTCTTATCCGAGTCTCAACTCGCATCCACTTCCCTCTTCCGATACTTTAATCCTCATTATCCTTCGCCTTCAGCACCTATCAACTCCAAAGGCAAAGGCGTCGCTACAAATGGTACGCCAGGTCCGAGCAAATCACCTACCGATTCGCTGTTCGGAAAATCAGATAGGAGGATACCTCGAGGTGAACTCATTAGAAAATTGTGGAAAGCGATCCGATGGGAAGCTGTTGAACGACATGTCCAGCCTAACGGAGTGAGCTTGCAGTCTCCACATAACGAGGATGAAGCTGACAACATTGTAGGATCCGTATCCGAACCAATGTCCCAACCCATTTCATCTCCTCATCCCTCATGTTTGCCCATCTTCATACGCTTCATCTGCGAGTAATCCTCCGCTTCCTCTCCCTTCCGCTCTCACTCTGTCTCCGCTCCCCTCGAAAGCGCCCGAGCCATTCCCTCCGCTGCCAGAGGACGAAGAGGATGATCAACAAGCCATCGCTGGACCTTCATCGAGCAAATCCAAGCAGGAGGAAGGAGCTAGCAGTGTGAAAGGAGGTAAACGGAAGATTCGACGTCTATCCATAGGCTCAGAGAGGAACGACGAGTCGACACGGTCTGCCAGTCCGGCTGTCCCGCCTCCATCGGGTGCGAAGAAGGATAAGAAGAGAGTTCGTGTGAGTGAGGGAAGCGAGGTGGAGTCGCTTCGAGCGACAAGAGGTCGAAACGGGAAAGAATTCACATACGATGGGATGGACGTAGGTGGCAGCCCTCGCAGGATTGACGTCGAAATTGATTTTGGAAAGCGCCAAACGAACGGGACGAAACGTCCATCCAGCAAGAAATCGACATCTCGGATTCATTCGCCGGATAAGCGGAATCGATCACGGCGGAACGGATCTGTGCAAGCAGATGAAGAGATGGACGTGGATGGGGAGGACAAGGTAAAGAATGCAGTGAAGAAGCAAGGACCATTATGGTTGAGTCAGGAGGATATCAGCGTCCATACAGATCATCGGGATATGGTGAGTTATAGCCCTTGATCCTCCGTGAGGAGGGAATCTGACCTCGAGTAGGTCACAGCGCTTGCTTGGAACCCTCGCAATCTCGACGTCCTAGCTACCGGCTCAGGCGACGGATCAGGGAGAATGTGGGATTTCCACAGTGATGCTGAGCCTCGACCACGAACCCTCAGCAATCCACAAAAATCGCTCGTCCTGTCTCACAAGTCGATCGATGCGGGAAGGAAGAGCGTGACGTGTCTGGCATGGCATCCGGACGGAACAGTTGTAGCGACGGGTGAGAATTCGTTGCTCATCATCTGAGCTCTTGACTAATCTATGTTTAGGTTCTCAAGATGGTGTCGGTCGCCTGTTTACGCCCTCGGGTCACCTTCAAGGGATCATGTCCTATGGCCGTGGCATCATCAATGCACTCAAATTCTCACCTTCAGGATCCACCATCCTCGTCGCCAAGACTGATTTCACAGTCTGTCTATTCCTCGTTGGCAACAATTACAACCAAGATATGAAAGCATCCTTTGAATCTCATACGAAAGAAGTCAACGATATCGATTGGCTGGACGATCACGTATTCGCAAGTGGTGGAAACGATCATACCATTTTCGTCTTCCGCACGAACGATCGCAGGCCAAGATACACTCTCAAAGGACATACCGACGACGTGACGAAAATCGCTTGGTCCCCTGTTGCCAAAGATGGACAAGCGGATTCGACCGATCGGCTACTGGCAAGTGTATCGGACGATGGTAATTGTATGATCTGGAAACTGCCAGCGTATCCTGAAGACAGAGGCACGAGTTCTCGGTCCATTTCACCCGTGAAGCCTAGTGCCAGTGCGAGAGACGGCAAGGAAGGCAAAGAAGACGATGACTACTTCGCGGGAAACGCAAGTCTACCAGGGATCGATCACTGTATACAGAAATTGGTCGTCGTGGCGAACAGCGAGAACAGACGGATGGATACGTTACAGTGGAGTCCGAGTTGCAAAGAGGGAAGGATGATCCTCGCTGCGTGAGTGGATACCTGTGGCAGATGGTGTGACACAATGGCTGATAATGGCCCGCAGAGGAGGCCAAGACTCTACTGTCAAGCTGTTCAATGCTCTCACTGGAGAATGCCTACATACTTTGAACGGCTTTGAGTCAGGAACAGGAAGCATCGCATTTTCACCTCTCGCTCAAGGGCTGATCGCCGTCGGCGGCTGGGATGGCAGATTGGGGATCTACAATGTTGGGGTGGGTTGGAGTGGTCCTGATTGCCAGGGTCGTTTGCTGACCCTATGTCGCAGTCTGGAGTTCTCGTGAAAGAGTACGAGATAGAAGAAGATCCGGGCAGGCAATCATCGAGAGAGAAGCCAATGATGGTAAGCTATTGTGGCCTCGACGGAGTTCCCATGGCTGACGCGATGTAGCTCACCATGGCGTGGCGGGAAGACGGGGATCAGCTCGCAGTGGGACTATACAACAAGACGTTGATGACCGTCAACGTTGGAGACCTGGGTCAGGCGAATATTGAGGAATAAGGGACAGCAAGCAGGAACAGTCTCAACGTGGGGCCGCCTGTGCATATCTGTGGACATTGACTGTTGGGGGGATTATGGGTTATAGCTGAGCCACAGCTCCCTTGTACATTAGTGAATGGCAGAAGCAAACAGTGAATAGTGAGGAGCAGGTAGTGAATCAGAAGTGAAGAGGATTTGAGCCCATGCAAAGTGTCTTGAAGTGATATGTACGTCGCGGACACGACTAGCTGCAACTGCCGGATCATGAAATCTTCTCTAGGATGTACGCAGACACACTGGTACTGGGTTCGTAGACTATCCTCTCGCCTGAACCATCCTTGATCGTCCGTTGTCCACTCGTCTCGCGAAGGCTGCGCTTGGCGATAACCTTCCAGCCCTGCCTCGGCGGGTCAGAAGTCCCAGATATAGACATGTCTCCAGCAGAACCTCCTCGGTGAAGATGCTGGAATCGTGTCGTCGAGTACGACACACAAATCCACTTGCCTCCCCTTCTCACGACTGTTAACAGATTCCGACAAAGCACTTCGATAGGTTCTACCGTCCTCGTTGCCCCATCTCCCATCTTCTCAAGCGTCGAATGTCCACAGGATATGGCATCGGCTGTCGACTTGTCAGTGACCAAGTCCCATCCTTCGTCCGGACTGATTGATACCAGTTGTTCTGGGTCCAACACATCGCATTGTTGGAATTCAGCATCATCATCATCATCATCATCATCATCATCATCATCACCAGGCCGATCAGGCCTTTGTAATTCGACATAGTCCACGTCGAGGACTCTGATACCCGGCGCGTCGGCCATGCCATACGTCAGAGCCAGACGTTCCTTGATGGCCCTTTGGACCTCGTTCCCTAGGGACGAGGTTCCACATCCCAGATGCAGGATTTGGATCGTTCTTCTCGAGCTCGATGACGAGGAGGGAGACGATGTCGGCAGATGATCCAGGATCAAGGGGATGATCTCGTCACTCTCCACCAACCATTCAAACTCTGATTCGTGCTTGAATCGAGTGGACCAATAGACCTGACTTGAGAAATCGGGTGGATCATTCGATGACATGAGTGGGGAGTGAGTGAGTGGGAACGTTGAAACAAGTTTCGATAATCGATGGTAGCACTGTATGTGTATGTATGTCTCTGTCATGGAACGCATACATAGGCCATACAGCTGGCACACCACAGCTGTCCATCCCATCCAGACTTGTATGCATACACTGTCCCATCCTCGACCAACTGCCCATGGGCGACTGCTGCCACTCAAACTGCATTGATCGCGTTGAATGACCATCCCTTTGATGCTCAGGTTCATCAACCCAAACAAAGGTCTGTCTGATGTGTTGTTTGACCATCCTTCACTGGAGCATCGTCCATATCACGATAGCCTCACAGCAGACTCATGACTCCAGGACAACGACCACCATCACCAACCTACCCACCCACCTACGTGACTGTCTTTCCAGCGATACTCCGGTTTTGATTTTCTTTTCTTTTGGGAGACACCATAGGCGATATCATGTCATTTCAACCGTTGGATTTTGTCATTCAGCCTCCTGCTGCTTCTCACCGTTCAACTCTGCCTTGTCAGCCCATACCACCCTATCAGCAGGCTGACTGGGTGTCAGAGGTGCAGCAGACTGGCCACATCGCACCTGCCTCGACCACTTCAACGCCTACTCCTCTTGAAGCACTCCCTCAACCCATCCACAAGATGCCCCGTCGCAAAGGTCAGTCATCAGCCAATCGAGGAGGCAAGCGCAAGGCTGGTCCCAAGGCGCGCTCACGGCCCGCGCCAAAGCTCACCATTCGAGTCCCTGCGCTTCCTACGCTCCCAGTGGCTAAAACCTCTCATCCACCGCCTGCATCCACCTCCACCACCGACACGACCACGACGCCCGACGTCGCCACGCCCAGTAGCTCAATCACCCAGCCCCCATCCCGAAGCAAGAAATCCAAGCATCCGATCGAGTATGACATTCCTAGCGTCCCGCTCCAACTTAAGAACACGCGAGGATCTCTCTTACCTGCTCCACCAGGATCCAAGCTCGAAGTGAACGAACTGTTGATTCTCCACCCACCTCAACTGGGACCCGATTCCAACGCGATCCCCATCAACCAGTACACTGCCGCCGCGTCTGCCGGAACGATCACTCGGATCGAAGGGAATCCAGGAGACAAGTACAAAAGCAGATTCGAAATGTACACGTGTCGACTGTGTTCCAAGACGTATGACGGGAAGAACGCTCGAAGTGTTGCGAGACGCCATCTCCAAGACAAACATGGGGTACCACTGGCCTTGCAAAAGAGACGGAGCAGGTGGGACTATGGTGATTTGATCAGTGAGCGAGTCAGATCGCGTGCAAGTGGGCGTAGCTGATAGCATTCGCAGAGCCGGAACGTCCCAAGACGGCTGAAGCCAAAGTCAAATTGCTCGTGTCGAAGCGTCAATGGGCGATTAAGAGTCGGTAAGTTGTCGACCGCTTCATTCCTTCCAACGCCTTGTGCTCGTCAGCTCACGCCACTCCAGCAACCAGACACGTCTCGAACGCACCTTTGCGACCTTTCTGGTTCAGTTCGGGCCCAACGGACTGCTCACACCGTGTGGTCTTCGACTCATCGCTCCAGGTATGAGAGGTCATCTGTCCCCTGCCATCAGGTGCAAGCTCTACCCGGATGGCAATCTCGGCTGGAATCAGATGCCATCGGATCTCGTGCAAGGTATCATGGCTCTTCGAGAATCAGAAGGAAGGATTGACAAGTATGAAGATGAGATCGAAGCTGCTCGAGAGGAAGATCGAAACAAGGGTATTCAATCAGCGTCCAATCGGAAAGTCGGATCGTCACGTCAATCTGCACGATCCCATCCTCAACCATCGTTCCACCCTCCAGCTTATCGTCAAGGCTACGCGTCCTTCTTTGGACCTGGTGAAGAAGGCGAACCTGAGCTTGACATGGATCTCCATGATCCCTGGTACGCTGCTGCCACACACGTCGATGAAGATGCTCTCCAAGCCGCCATTGCTCAGCATTACGACGCAATCGATCCGTCTGTGTCGAATGACTTCCATCAGTCTCAGCACCCGACATCGAGCATGATCCATGGATATCCCGAATTCAAATTCGCCGATCAGTCCCAAATAGGTCAATGGGGTTACGCCGATGAAGACGATGCAATCGACTCGGAGTTAGAAGAGTCAGACGAGGAGGACGAAATGTCGGACCAAGCTCCGTTGGCTCCAGCTCCGCCGAACGAGCCATTCTGGCCGCCACCTGGTCCGCCCTCTGATCTCTACTACCCTCCTCAATTGCCGTATCTGCCGTACAGCTTCACTTCTGCCACTCTGGCGCAACTGGATTTCGTCCACGGTCAGGTATATCCGCCTCATCAGCATGCTCAATTCGGTCAATTCGGCCAACAGCATCAGCAGGCTCAACACGCTCAGCTTGCTGCGACTCGATTGGAGTACCACCCGTCTCAGCGGCGTCTGGTGGAAGAAGAGGTGGAAAATCCTGTCATGGAGAGTCCTGACACATCGATGGAAATCGAGCAGGATATCAGCCACATCCAGGCGCCAGTCGAAGAGGTCGCCGCTGAATCACTTCTCGACCTTCAGTCGACTCCCGCCAAGACTGATCCAGACTATATTCCGAGCTCCATCCTTCGACACGTCTCCAACGACACGCCTCAAGGACCTTCGCCTCTGAAACACTCCCTAACGGATCCTGCGATCCTTCAGTCCCTGCAACCTCGAAAGGGCCCCCACCGATCAGAGTCTGATACCAAACTTGTCTTCACTTCCACTCTCCTTCAACCTCGTCTGCTTGATGCGCCGGAGATCAAGGAGATGCCTAATCGCCCTCGACCTCTTCGTGCCATGTCCCTCATCTCTAAGCCGGACCTGGGGCACACGTCTCGATCCTTGTCATTCACCTCGGATAACCTCGACGACGACCCTTTCGCTATGCCATCTATGCACGCTCCATCCAAGAAGCGCCGATCGACCATCGCTTCGCCGAGTCTCAGTATCAAGAAGAAGAGGGAGGAAGGGTCTACGTTGTCGAGGTCGAATTCAACCCATAGCCTTCTTCGGGAGGGTACGGCCGAATCCAGCGAAGGATCTGAAGAGTCCAACAACTGCCTAGCGGGTATCGAAGGAGCGAGCGCCGAACCATCAGGTCATCATGATCACCTCAACCTCGACACGATCGGATCCCCCCCATCACGGGGCCCCCTCACCAGCCTAAATCGCAACTTTGCGACGTGCATCACGCCCGCTCGATCGCTCAGATCTCCTGTCCGACCTGGATCTCTCAAAGCTCCAGTATCCATTTCTCGCGTTCAATGGCTATTCAGCTCACCGGGAAATGGCGAGACAGCCGCGACTTTGGGTCTGGTCCCGAATTGGCTTGGGGGCGGAGGAGGATTCGGCACGCCAGGATTAAATGGATTGGTCAGTGCTGAGACGCCCGTAGAGAAGGTGCGATCGAGGGCTAGGGTCGAAGAGCTCGATGCTGTGGTCGAATGAACCGCATCACATCGCTCGTGAGCTTGGATGAAAGCCAGAAGACAAAAAGAAAGAAAGAACAGGAGGTCAGATTTAGCGCTCCTTTTGGCTCTTTCACGCGTGTGACTTTTCTTTTGGTGAGATTTGGTGGCACTTTGAAGTCCCCCCTTGTAGCATAATTCTCTGATCATATCAACGATTACAACCCGACTGTAGATACCCTAATACCCCTTGACTCTGCTCCAACGATTCCTCATCTTTAGGTGCATCCTAGTAGCTTGTGTCATGACATTTATATGCAATACCTAGTAACCAATTCTGATGGGCGATTTAATGGTGGTGGGGTAACGATTGTGGCGGTGACCAACCTGACACATCCTCTCATCGCCATCATCATGTGACGGGATTCCGTTCACTCTTTCCTCCCCGTTTTGACTCGTGTTCCCCTTTCCTGACCTAGTATGAATACCTGAAATCTTCATTTTGAAGATCTGTCATATCCGCAAAAGCCTGAAGGTGCATCACCTCGATCCCAGTTCTCAGACCCCTCTTGGTATTTCGCCTGACGAGGATCATCCGCATGATGAGGACATCAACTATGAAGACGACGTAAAGCCCCAAGTGGATGTATAGCGAGTCGTAGTAACTCGGTGCCCAGGCGCGCTGGAAGATTTGAGGTCCGAGAGCGTTGCCTGCGGCCCAGGTGATGACTACAGGCGTCCGTCAGCGAGGCAGGGTGAAGCTGGACCAGCGGCAGAATCGTGCGGCTGATTGGCATCCACGATGCAAGTTGTACGGGCGGCGGGGAGAGCGGAGCGGCTGGGTAACAGCGGTATTCAAGATGGAGGGATTGAGTGAGGAAGGGGTTGATGGGTGAGATGGTTCGCATAGCCTTGCTCGCTTCGCCCCGCTCGGTGCTGGCGCCGCGCCAATTCACAAAACAAACTGGCGAAATGACCAGCCCGGGATCGACATAATCAGCTGCAATTGTATCTTGGACCCCAGTCTCCGTTTTCAAATGCGCAGGATCATCTCCCAGTCTCTTGACTTGTTCGTCGTGTACCGTCTCGGGATCTTTGGTATCGTCGCGGTTCATGCTTGCGGTGTGAGCCCAGTCAGTCAAGTTACGTCTTCAGGGAAGGTGGTCAAGCACGCCCGCAGCTCAAACTCTCATGTGTGCTTATATGCATGGCATCGTTACGCCGCTCGAACCTTGGCGGGCCTGCTGATCCGCCCTGTCGTCCATGTGTACAGGTGTCACACCCGAACTTTCGTTACAGAGTTCTGACCCGTCATGTCGGCGGCCCGTACGAACCCGGTGTGCATCGTATATCCGAGGGAGATCCTCACAAGTTTCACTCAACATTGCGCTGTATCGCGCTAGAGTGGTCAAAGTGAGCGGCGGAGAACAGATGGGGCGTTTAATGAAAGAAATAAGTTTGGGACTAGCCCCGACTAGCCCTCGAGCTCCGTATCTTGCCCCCACTCTTCGTGATGCAGAGAGGCGAGGCATCGAGTGGCTGTGGCGGCGACACGTGAATAGCCGCTTCAATGGTCTGCGTAATGGCAGGATGACGCTAGAGACGCCGTCTGCGCCGACAATGTTCGGGACTGGCAAACATGCGCGGAGAAGCTTCGGGTCAAGGAGGTCTGCACGTCGCCGTGTCAACAGCCCGATGATCCGTGTTCATTTACAGGTGGAGCTCATTTCCGTCGGAGACCCGTTCGCCGCTTGACCATGTTGTATCACCGACCGGGTAGACCTGAGCGAAACGAGGAGACCCAGGTGGAATTTCGATGCATGACCCTCATGGACTGAAGCACTTCCCTACTGATCAGAGCTCCACCCCGAGCAGATCCTTGATCTCGACCTTGTCACCGGTCCTAAAGCTCTCATTGGCAGCGAGTCCGACGGCCATGGCGAGGGCTCCGTCAATCTGGTTCGCGGAGAGTCGGGCAACGGCAGTAGAGGAAGGTTGAGCACCTGGTCGAGGCCCAAAGATTTGGTCAAGCATAGCTTCGTCTCCTCCACCTGCAGCATTTCATGAGCGTTTGCGCAATTCATCGGATACCGAGAAGACTCACCGTGTCCGCCTTTACCCTCTTCAAACGGTACATCTACAGGCTGCTTCCACAGTTCTTGAAGGGTGATCTTCTTGTGCCCTTCCTGCGGTAGAGCATTTTCACCGTGCACCACACCCTCGCTCTTGCCTCCTGCACCGGAGTCAGACATTGGTACAGAGCAATAGCTTTATGATTGCGCTCACCTTTGCTTTGTGGCACCCGGTAAGCCGACTCAACAACCTCGAGCTCCAGTCGACCCTTGTCTCCATTGAACATGACGCGGTATCCTTCCCATGGCTAGTCTCTGTCAGCGTCTGCGCAACAGGAATATGGCCGACTAACAGAATAAGCGGTCAAGTGATAAGTCATGGTTGCGCCAGTATTGTACTTGACGAGCACAGCCATATCATCTTCGATCGTGATATCATCCGCGAAGACGTTCATGTCTCTATGGTAATTGTCTGAGTTGTCATCAGCATTTCATCCTGTTTTATATGCAAAGACTCGCCGACGTGCTCTGCATCCGCGTACAGGGTCTTGAGATCCGCCTGGTCCTCTAGATGAATCGCAAATGGATCATTCTCCGCTTCTTTGCTATCTCTCGCTCGGTAGTAGTCCTTCGCCCAGCCTGATTTCTTGCCATTCTCGGACCCGTAGAAGGCTAAGGACCCCATACCAAAGACAGTCTTCGGCTTGGCATTGATCCAAAAGTTGACAAGATCGAACTGAGGACGATCATTAGCAAGCCTGCCTCGAAGATGATGCGAGGACTCACATGGTGAGAGGACTTGTGGACCATGAGACCTATGTCTGTGTCAGTACATGACGATCTGTTTTTTAGAGGTGACCCACCGCCCGATTTGTCCTTGTACCTGTGCCATCGTCTGAAGTAGTCTGCACCGTGGACTGTGTCCTATCGTAGGTAAGCGAGTTGCTTTTCAGCTTCAACGCTTTTCTCACCAGGAGCCACTCAAAGTGGACGGACTTGACATTTCCAATCTTGCCAGAAGCGATGACTTCCTCAACTTTCCAATGAACAGGGTTGTATCGATAGTTGAAAAGGACTGTATCGTGTTAGCACATAGCAAGCTTTGAGGTGCCGACGTACCCTGCAAAGATCCATTAGTCTCATCAACGGTCTTGAGGATTCGCTGGCATTTCTCGACGCTCCTGCGGTACGTCAGCACTCCGCTTCGTATACGTCCAATACAGGTGTTGTGAAGAGACGCTCACGTTGTCATCGGCTTCTCTGTCAAGACTCTGATACCAGCCTTCAAAGCAGGCACGATGTACAGGTCGTGAGTCGCATCGACGGTGGTGACGACAAGCACGTCGAGCTTGCACTCGTCGATCATCTTTTGAAAGTCATCCTGAGCTTCGTCAGCGTTCATCTCCACTGGTCCAGCCCAATTAGGACGATGTATATCATGATGATGCGCCACTCACCGCATGATACGTCTTCGCCTCTGGCTGTCCCAATTCCTTCAACAACCCTTGATGGACCTTGATTCGCTCAGAGTTGAGATCACATAGCGCGACGATGGTCGAGTCAGGTCTATCAGCCACCGCTCGAGTATACATCTGAGCCCATCAACGCATGCCTTTCATCGACCTTCGCGGCACCTCCACACTATGGTGGAGGTGCGTGGAGGTGCAGGTGGACGGATCCAAACTCACTCTAGCTCGATGACCGGTTCCAACGACGCCTACGCGCCCTCCGACTTGGGTCGTGCCGACCTTGCCAGACATGATGGGAATCTACTGGTTAAAAGCTGGTAAGAGTCTGATGATGCAAAGGTCCAGATGATACCTCGTACACCTGTTGGAAACCGTTCGGTCAAAATGGTGGATTGTTCCGCCGGCGCCGGTTGAAGTCGTTCGGATGTTGGGTCATTGTCGGCCCGCCGGCCCGGTTCTGGAATGTCGCCGATTGGGAGATCTTACAGCGTCATGGATCACTGGCCTTGGCAGACCATGGCCAGCGTTCTGGATGTCGAGCATGGCTGGATAGGAGCTGTCTATAAGTATCTGGGCTAGTCATGAACAGACGGAGATCAGTATGGAAACATGCATTATTACTGGGCTAAATCCAAATGCCCATGGTGCGAGTCTGTCGGCCTAGCAGCTACGAGACTGATGAAGATCTGTAGATAAATGATCCCTGACGTTCAAGATGGACTGTGGGGTCAGTTGTACAAGGAAAAAACAGGAGCACAGTAGTTGGGTCGAATCGAGAGTAACGCCAGGATCTGATCTATAGCAGGCCCGTCCAATGGAGAACGCTCACCTGCCCCAACTACTCTCCTGCTATGATCCCAAATCCAGTCATACCTGTCACCGGTCGCTCGGTCGCATTCAGAACCTGGCAGACGAAGGCAAGAAACGCGCCGGCGCCGGGCGGTGGACTCCTTTTGTGCAGAAAGCCCCTTGGTACACTTTCACCTTCTCTCTGACCTTGAATTGGCCAAGAGTAGAGCACAGCATCAAAGGGGAGCCCTCGACAGAAAGGATCGACTTCAAGCCATGTAAGCTATATAAGCGATGCGTGAGTGTATTGTTTCTTCCTGACTAAACTTACCCCACAAACCATCACTACTGACTTTTGACCACAACAAACAGCTTGCAAGCATGTCAGGTTCGAACCAAAGCGCCGCGTCTACCCAAGCTGCGATGACCAGTGATTTCTCTTTGTTCACTGACGACTTGGTGAAACAATAGTGAGTTGGCCTCCGGACCCCTGACTCCAGAGGTGACGTGTTCAGCGCCAAGGATCGTGCACTCGATCCCTCTGTCGGGACCGAACCGTCTTTACCTGGAGGTCCTGGCCTGGTACTTCGAATTCCCATATCTGTCGTATCTGATACCTTGCGCAACCAACCTACGCAAGACGGCTCCAGAGGTGTATCGTACGACAACAGTACTTTGAAGGCTATACCCGAATGGAAGGCCAACATGCAGACAACTGCTCCTGGAAGCTATGCCCTTCCTTGGATCGAGGTCACTGGGGTCGCGCTAGTCATCGGAAAGGAGAGTCAATGTCCAAGTACTGGTTGCGGAAAGACTGCAAACACCATTTGGGCCTTCAGTACCGGTGCAGAGGCACCTGAAGGACAGCAGGGCAAGGTCGTGGCACTTGAGTCAACGTGTGACACCTGCCCTCCTCCGAGGGATATCAGGCTGACTGGTCCCTCCACCCACATGACCAAGTGGAGGAAGCCAGAAGGCATGACGCCTGTCATGCTCACTCAGTGTTCCACTGACGTGGACGGCAAACAGTGTTTCTATGCCTCAGAATTTGACCATGAACACGATGCATGAGCGGCTTGGAAGGGAACCGCTGCAGCCGAAGAGTCTGCACCCGTAGATGTCCTCATTCCTCGAGACCACCAATCTGATTGCATGCATATCATCCTGGAACGTCTGGCGCTCCAGACACCTCCTATCGAGGCTGTGTATATCGCCTGTAACCCTCATCCAAAGTCCATCAAGGCCGGTCAGCCCAAGCTCTAAGGTCTGGCCTGGACTGGGAAGATGACCGAAGGCTCTCAGTGGGCACCGAACTTTGTAGCTTTGACACACGTCTCTTCTCCGTTGGTACCCTGATACCGCCCCTGAAGGAGAGCCACGAGAACGTTAGGGGAATCAGTACCGAAACCCCCATGGGAGGTCCAAAGCCGCCGTGTCTGTAGATTGCGCAAGCAGTCTCTGTCGTGTCTCTTACCTGCAGGGGTGTCCTCAGTCAATGCGAGATGTGACCCGTCGCTTTCTTGACTCTTGTCGATCAGCTCCCATGTGAGCGCATGCATAGGAAGGGATTCCTTTGGCTCATATCTGGAATATGGCCGATGATCTTGTTCATGATCGAGAGCCGAAGGTATTTAAGGGATCTAAAAGCAGCGATCACAGAAAGGACCTTGAGTCAGTGCTGTGGAGTGAGATACCGCCACATCGCGTTGCAAGCCAGGTTGTGAACCATCCATTCATGAGGGTATTGCGAGTACAAGCGTACATCAAGTGTACGAATCAAGAGGTATCTAGGACAAGATACGATGTACAAGGGTATAACGACAATTCTTAATACGCTTCAAGGACTGTAAGCGGTGTCTACACTGGACGTATTTCTATGTGGCCGGCTGCCATCCGAATTGTGGCTGAAAGGCAAAGGTAGTCGGCATCATGAAGCCGTTCACGGTGTTTGTCATCATATGAGGCAACATAGGCAGGGCATTTGACGTGGACCAGATGCTAGTGCTGCTACCCTCGTTAGTCGATTGATAGGTAGGAGGAGGGAGAAACCCGTCGGGTTGAGGATAGATTGGCGTCTGTTGATTTTGCTGGACAAAGTAGCCGCCGGCCTGGGTGTACATGGGAGTCTGGTTGTATTCTGTCGGAGAGGCGTTCATGAACAGTCTAGGAGATGACGATGGAGGGGTACACCAGCCCGGCTGGTTGTATGGGGTGATAGGCATGTCGGTCTTCATGCGGATGGCGGGGTGAGCAGTCTGTTCGGTATTCATATCGGATGGAAGAGCCCTCTTGTTAGGGCCATTCTTATCAGTGCTGGTGCCATGAGTCTGTTGGAGCTCAATGGAGATATCGCTGACTCCAGACGTGGTCCGTTCGGAAGGGGCAAAGGTGAACCCACGAGCAGCCTCAGAGGACAACGACCAGGAGCTCGACGAGGAGATCGAACTGTCCGTCGCTCTACCCTTTCGAGTTGCCTTGGACCGGGTGCGGCGCCCAACAGTATCGGCGACTGCTCTGAGAGAGCTGATGGATGGCCGTTGGGAAAGGGAATGGTGATCGACTTCGTCGAGGTCCAGGTCCAGAGTGCTGCAATTGGACGAGACCGCTCGACTGGTGCCGTCGGCCTGCTTGACTCTCTTCCTGGGTTGAGCGAGGCTGGCGAGCTAGTCGGATCATCAGTACTCCATCTCAACTCCTCAAGATGGTCCCATGTGCAAGACGCCCGCCCCAGAAGGCGGGTGGCGACGACCCTTCACGACCTGATCAACTCACCTCATGGACCCAATCTCCAACCTTTTCCTCCTCCCTTCGCTCCAGGTATGCTTTCATGTTCTCCACAGCGTCCAGGATGTCCTGATCCGTCTCCTCGCCGCTCTCCACACGCTCCATGAGCTCTTTCATGAGGACTCGAGATTTGTCACAGTATGTGTCTTTTATGTCCGTCCATCCAGCTCGACGGCGCCAATTGGTCAAATCAGAGTCGACTTTCTTTCTATCGACGCCGAGGAGATTCGCTAAGTTGTCTTTCTCGTTTGGTGTGGGATAGGGGGAAGCGAGGTTGTCGAGAAACCAAAAGCGGAGGTGATCGTTGGTAGTCCCTGGAAGAGGCGCTCCAACAAGTATTTGCGGACTGCTAAGGGAGAGATCACTCGGAGGAATGACGTTGTCACGTTCAGGATCGCTTGTTTTAGCCCCTAGTCTTTGAGTAAGCTTATCAAAGCCACCGGAGACCGTTGCCATTGCTCACTATCCATAACACCGCTTATGTTGCGGACTAAGTTCCTGCAAGTCTCCTCCGTCCTGCTCTCCAAGCCGATCACCGCTTTGACCGCGGCGGCGACGTTGGCCGCATACAAGTATGCCTTTTGAACGATATTAGGGGCCAGTCGGCCCTCCCCCTCAATCAACGAGATCCTAGCTCTTAACAACTCCCATTCTTGGGCAAGTTTGGAGACATCATGCGGATCGTCCGTCAATCGCGTCATGGTGTTCTGATGTAATCTGTCTAGAGAGGCTCCAAAGTCGATTTCAATGACCGCATCGTGATCAGCCAGCCCTTTAGTCATCTTGCCAGTATGGGATGCAGAGTGAGGATGATCTGACAATCGAAAGCGGCACGAATCAGAAGCAAGGAAATGCTATTACAATAGAACGGAGCTGAAACCCGAATATTGAAAATCTTCTTTTGTCTCTAAGGCAATCTTCACGATTGATACTCTTCCGGGAGAACAAGACCAATCAAGCAGAATCCTCAGCAGCTATCTCTTCCTCACTTTACAATCAGCATGAGCCACTATGTCCTCGATGAATTGCCCGCCCTAGCCGATTCGCTTCGCGCTATCTGCTCTCCGGTACTGCAGCAGCTCCAACCCTCCCCACTCCGGGTGACCGGGAAGATTCCAGCCCTACATGTACCAGAGATGAGCAGACTACTGCCTCCCGTACTTTTGGAGACCCTGCCAGCCTATCTCAAGAATGCGATCTTCTCGGAGGTCACGAGAAGACTGGAAGAAATGAGAAGCTGTCAACTTCGAATCTTCGGGGAGAGCATGAGCAGGATGCTGTCTTCTGATATCTCACGGCAGCAAGGTCATTCTAAAATGGATGAGGAGCTTGAGAAATCAATGGTCTGCATTATTGAGCGGGTGTACGCTAGCAATGTGGATTCAATCAGAACAACCGTTGCGACTGCGATCGCCTCTTTCAACAAGCAGCCTTCGGGTAGGAAGACAGGGGGATTCAAGAAGGTGGGGGTCCTATGGACCGGCAGAGACTGACTTTCAGGACGCATTGGAGGTGCTTGAGGCTGCTTTCTCTCGTTCAGCTGTTCTCTCACAGCGAGAGTGTTCTCTGGTTGCCAAAGCTGCGGGCATCTCCCATCAACAGGTGAGTCAATAGCTCGCATTGCCTGAATCTCGTTGACCTTACTTACTCTGCTCAGGTCCGCACGTGGGTGAGTCTTTCGGTATATATTCCACTTCTGTTCGCAGCAAATCCTCGTCCACCTCCATCGCTCTGTATCTATGCCTTCACCACCTCGTCCATAACTATTCTCTTTCGCATTTCGCGTGGTCAACCTCCACTTTTCGAAGTTTCACATTCCACATTCCACAGCTGCTTATTGTCCACCATTTGATTCCGAATGTGGCACTCGAATGTGGCACCTGAGCTGACACCGTTTGCCCACAGTTCCAAAACCGAAGGAATCGAAAGCGACAGAGCAAGCGGAACACTTCGATCTCTACCGCGGAGCCAGAAACACCCATCCCTCCCTCCGATCGAATCATCTCATCTCTTCCCAAACGTGGTCGTGCTGCTGCTCCTGCTGGTTCTTCCGGTCGACCAATTCGAAGTTTGCCAAAACGGTTCAAAGAGCCTTCACCCTCTCCCTCACCGAGTATTTCGTCCCTTTCCACCATTGATTCCATTGCTCCATCTGGAGGATTCAATTCTGCTCTTGAGCAATCTTCCGAGCCACCGACCATCTCGTTCGAGGGTTCATCGGTCTTCGACCCGGCTACTGCCTATCACCCACTAGCTGGTCTGGAGCAGACCCTTATGCCATTTGACCTGGACGTCCCCCTGGATCAAGCCTTGCTGCAGGGCCTTGAAGGGATGCAGTTCCCGGCATTCGACCCTGCGGAGCTTGGCGACATGTTGCAGCAAGCGCTTGACGACCCGACTCTCTTGTCCAGCCCTACGTTCACCTCCCCCTCTACCACTTCTCCTGTACCGGATGAAGCTACCAAGGAGGCGATTGACAATATGACTGGACCTGAGCTCTGCGCCATGCTTGAAGGATGGCTATCTCAATCCCACATCACTTCCAATTCGACTCCCGAAGTCGAGGACATGACTCAGCCGGTCCATGGTCTCGCTGATGTCGATATCGACTCGTCATTCGAGCAGTCCATGCCTAGGTCCATCTGGTCTGGCTCGTCTACACCTGAGAAGCATCAGAATCAACCACCATTTGAGATGATACCATCGCCATACCCTGAGATGACGATTTACCCCAACATTATGCCTCAGCAGAACATCCAATATCACCAGTACGCTCAGCCCCTTCCACCGGTTCCTGTACATCAAGCTTGGATACCCAATGTTTTGCCTTTCGACAGCGGTGAAGCGTACTACTCTGGAGGAGGATACATGATGGATGGTCAGGGATACAGCCAGCCTCGGGTCATGGATCAGAACGTGATATTGAGTCAGGGCTAGCGTCGCTTGGCGGGAGGTATGCGTCTCATTAGACAGAGTAGTGGTAGCTGGAAGCGCGGAGGAGCTGCACTGTTTATACCCTCTTGCTTCGTGTCGTTTCGTCTTGGTCTCCTTGTATATCCCATAATAAATACCGCTGGACATAGTTCGGCATGAGCTTGTCCCAGCCATCTGCCTGCATGTAACGAATGGCTATTGCTGCCGTCTGCGCCTGAAACCGATGACTGATCATCGCAGTCAATCTTGTTCGATTTTCTTGGCCCCCATTGACGCGCTTCATAATCATGCAATGCATCCACATGCAAGATCACCACCCATCCACATCCTACGCTAACTACATCTACTCGTCATCCTCAGGCTCCTCCTGGTCAACCTTGAAGTATCGCAGAGAGTAGGTGTCCTTGGCAGTAGCAACGACTCTGGAGGAAGTCGAGCGTCAGCGAGATGAACCAGATACGGGTATGTCCCATGTCCCATGAACGGAAGCCTCCCACTCACCGGAGGAAGTTCTCAAAATTGTTCTTCTTCAAGTGCTTCTTGGTGAGGTACTGTGCGAATGTGAGCTGTTGTCCTGTCCAGGAGAAAGTAGATGACAGCTCACCTTAAGGTATCGCTTGGAGAAGGGGATCTGGGAGGTGAGAACCAGACGGTTGCCTGGGGAGGGTGTTAGTGGGATGGACAAAAGGGTACAGCAGGAGCACAGTGGCGGGGAATTGAGGTCGCACGGACTGGCGGCTGCGCAAGATGACCAGGCAGAAAAGCAGCAGCCGGACTCCACTGCAGCACGGACAAGCTTGACCGGTGGATGCCTTCTTGGACCCTCGCTGCTCTTACGCCCTCGCTCGCTTCGCTCGCTCTGACGCAAAACTTACCCTCTCGTTGCAACTGAATGACATCTCCAAGAGCACCGGCCTTTCCCTCGACCTTGATTCGGTCGTGCAAGAACTTTTCAAACGCCGCAGGGTCGAAAACCTGGTCGTTGGCAGGGACAGAGTAGTCGACGTAGAATTTGTGGATGGGTTTTCCAGCCGGAGCGGCGGAAGTTTTGGTGTTGGCTCGAGGCTGTGATCGTGAAGCATGATCCACAGCAAAAGCGAGGGCCATCACGAGGCGATAGTGTGGCGAGCATAGCGAGATGGATCCACATGAACAACGAAGACAAGGCGAGTGAATGACAAGTAGCCGAACATCATACGGAGACAATCCAACCAGTCAAAAGACAGATAGCAAACAGGAAGAGACGCAGCAGGACAAACACACGTCAGCACATTACACACACTTGCATGACTTCTATCGAGCCATTCAGACGCACCATGTTTGTCTACAGATTCCTTGTGATAGGTCTGCAAAACGGGTGCAATGGGGGGTGATTGATGTATGAAATGGGATGTAGAAATGTGTCGAAAGCGATCCGAAATTTGGGTTCAGGGTTTGGGTCAGAGGGGACGGAAGCAAATTGCGGAGTTTCGATTTGGGTGATAAATGATATTCCCGAGATGTGGCACTGGCGTGGCGGTCTCGAGACGAGCTGCCGGCTAATAGATGCTTCATCTCGCCGTGTGTACCTCGCCATGGGCGGCGCAAAGGGCCTCATTGAGGTGGTCGATGGTTCTGAGATGACTGGAGACGATGTTGGAGCCCACGGCATCCCAAATGAGTTTCATCCAAGCTCTGAACGGGACACAACGGGGGATGAAAGCCCTTCGAGCCGACAGAGATTGGACGTAGAGGATGATGCAGCCAGACAAGCTAGACTGGGTATGCATCGTATTCCTTCATGCTGCAATCGATACTGATGTCAAGTTGACACGTAGGTAAGATCTTCTCTGAGTTGTCAGCGTCTCCGAGAGCCGGTCAAGCGGCATTCACAGCGGTAATAGATCAGGACAGAAGGACATTTGCAGTCCCGCCTAGCGATGGTGAGCTAGGTCGATCCTTTCTCAAGGTCCTCTTCCTCCGCCATACACAGAAGGTCTGATGGAGCTAGCTGGCTCGCTGACACGTGCTCAGCTCTCGCTCGAGTCAAAGCGTTCTTACCGATGTTACAGTCGTCCAACGCCGATCTCCTCGCCAGAGCCCGAAGTGATCCCCAAGCAGTCAATATGGAAGATACAGACGGAGACGACAAGGTCGTGGCGATGGTCAGTCGGGTCTCACCGTGATAAGTCTAGAACGAGGCTGAGCGATACACAGGATCTTGGCCTCGGTGTCTTTGACGTCAATGATCACCAGGGAGGAGATTTTGGACCAGAGGTCGAGCGAGACGATTGGCAAGCGGATGAGGAGTCGGACGAGGATGACGAGGCGTCGGATGCGGGACGTCACCCTCCTGTCCAAACCATGGGGGAGATCACAGCGGACGCAGCGTCTCGAGACGCGCGCTCCTATGCCAATGAAGAGGCTCCTCAACACTCAATTGGGTTCGGTCGAGTTGGTGAAGCTCAGGGCACGGCTGCGCCAAATGCCAGTCACGCAAACCGGCTTATGACAGCAGAGAACGGCGTACCACCTTATCTCGACAGTCATGGTGAGACAGTGGACGGAGCTGTCACCAGTGACGACACTTTCTCGGAGAGCCACTCCTCGACCGAAGACGATTCATCCGATTCTGAAGACGACGGTGAATCCACCGACACCCCAGACCGATGATTGCAGGAACTGGTCTCCTGTGTGTCGTTACTGCGCCTTTGAAGTCAGCTGAAGTCTCTGGCCACATCGTGATCTCTCCTTGCAAACAGTGGGAGGCAAGGCAAACCCCCGCTCAATGTCGATCGGGTCAGGGCCCTATCCCCATCACTCCCCTGAGGATGCTTCGTATGGCAAGACCGGCCTTGGTCCCGAGACTGTTGTATTTATCACTCGCGAGAGAGCGCCTGTGCCGAAGGAAGGTCCGCTTCAAATCTCGCCAACACGCAATTGTTTGACGACGAGGATGCCTCCCGAATTCCCTATCACATCAGAGGGTTGATGATCTTCCGACCGCCCCGCTTGGGTTTTCCATGTGTCTGCTTGATTTGCCTCAGCATATCGCTCGTGCCGAATGAATTGCATACATGCTCGCAGCCTTTTCGCCCAAGCTGCCCGGGGCTGGATTTGGACTGCATTGGTTAAGCCTGGGGAAGACTTCATTGGAGCGCCTCTTGGACTGTTTACTAGTCCCTTGGGTGTATCCATCACGCCCAGCAATCGACAAAGGGGTCACCAGTGTTCCCATTCAAGACATTGTCCAAGTCAGCGTCATGCTGTGCAGCGTTTCGTCCATTATCCCTCATGCATCGGGTTGAAGTGTGTTGCAACACCTCAAACACGTCGCCTTGATGTGATGCGCCTCGACGTATCATTCGCATTGATTCAGAGGGGGCACCTTGTGTCCTGCTTATCAGACCCCCGGGCGTGTTACGCTAGGAGGTCGGTATGATGAGGAACTGTCGATTGAATGAGACCCATACATTCCCGACAAGCTACCGCAATCTCTCCGGTTTACGGCTGTTTCAACCCAAACCGCACACTAGCCCTGTCCGCCACTTCGTTCGAACGGAGAAGAACGTAAACGACCGACCTCTATCTCCGCCTTGATCAAACCAAAACAGCATGTATCCATGACGCGTTCAGAGCCCAGCCCTCAGCGCTCCATCTTCAAACTGCGCCGGATGTAATCGGCTGTAATGCCGGGTAGCTTGGCACGGGGGGAGGCTCGCATTGTTCACACCATGACGGTGGTATATCCTTCCCAAGGTCTCAGCTACAAGTAGATACCTCACAGTGGATCCAGTCTGTAGGCTGTGTATATCTCTATATGGCGTCCCCAGCAGCCAGGTCTCTGAGTACAGATAGATAGCCACCAGTGATACGCTGAATGGGATCGCCAAGGTCTGCCACACGCCACGCGCCACTTTTGGAAAATGGCCAGGCACGGAGCGAAAATTAGTCTCCGTGGTTGAGGAGACAAAAATTCAGTTACGTCATCCCAAACCCCGAAGTTGGTGTGTTCAAAGTTGTCTGAGCTGCGAGTCTGTCACCGTTGTCTCTTCTGTTGTCCTTTGAGTGCTCAACCTGGTATCTTGTCTGTTCGTTATTGCAGAGAGATGGCCAGATCAACGACTACAAGGGCACCAGGCCTCATGGGTCTGGTCAACTCGGCCATACAGAAACGTCAGTCTGAAGATGTCACGCCAGGTGCATCGACAGATCAGATTGGTCCAAGCAAAGGGTTGCCTTCGACCGGTTTGAAACGGAATACACAAGAATGGGAGGATGGACATGCAAAGAAGAGCAAAGAGGGCGAAGAGAGAGGTCACAGGTCAAGACAGGACTCTAGCAGTTCCATCCCGTCCAATGCGACTGGATCGACATCGCATTCATCCCGGCATGGAGACGGTGACGCAGACCTGGAGCAAAGTACAACGGAGCAGACGACGCCTGAATCAGAAGATAAAATCTTCAAACCGACATTGAAAGATGGTCAAGGCGTCTCTGAAGGACCTGAGGAGATGCATGGGAGCCGACCTCCGAGTCGTGGGCGCGATGGCGCCGTCTCTCCTCAACCTCCTCCGGAACTTGGTCCTACGACCTTGTCTTACAAAAGTCAACAAGCCGTCGGAAGTGCCACCGTGGTCAAGGGTAAAGGTCGTGCGCCACCGTCCTCTGAGAACACCAGGGAGATTGATCCGGAGGAAAGGGCCGTACCCAGGGATGAAATGGAGGAGTTGAAGGATGAGATGGGTAACTCGCCCGAACGTCTTCCGGGTGTCAAGAAGGAGGAACCGCCAGGACCGCGAACGGTCATCGAGCTGAATACCCGAACACCTCATCAGCATGTGAGCTAGAATCCATTCCGTTAACAGCTGACCATGTTCAGTATCATCGTCAGTTCCGATCTCTCGGTCAAGGCAAAACGCCTATCCTCAAAATCACACCCGATGGAGAGGGCGAATATCCTCCAGGTGAGACACCCCAACCATCTCGTCAATCCTCCTTTCACCGTCCCAACCGTCAATCGATAGAGGAGAGACCTTCGAACGAAGCAGATGGACACTGGACTTCAGCTCTCGACAAGGCTGCTTCATCCAGTCCCACCTCGACCCCCCAACGTCATCACGACAAAGCGATGAATGCTCGATTCTCCGCATTTAGAGAATCGAGGTTCTCAGAAACGGATGGGGACCACGAGCATGGTGATCCAACCTCGGCGGATGAAGACGAGCCACGAACATCTCGAGAACTGGCCCAAAAACGATGGTCGATGCTGCGAGCCAGAGTCCTGCCATCGAGGCATAACAGTAATGGTCCCACACCTGGCCCTGGCAAAGTCTCTGCTTTGTCCACCACGGCCATCAACACTCTGCCAGTTACAACAGAATTATTTGCTGGACAATTACCCGTCATGATGCTCAAGACCTGGATCGATCGGGATGAAGATGGCAGACGGGCTGTCCCGGTGTTATTGGGAAACATGCGATTCAGAGTCGGAGACAGCGTCGGTGTAGGGGCCGGCAAGGAGACGGGCAAAGAGATGTTCAAGGTCGAGTGCGAATATGGAGATGGGGCCGTCAAATGGGTGAGACATGGTCAAGTTCGACTGTGAGTGACCGTTACTGATCATCTTTCAGGTCATATACCGCGAACTTAGAGACTTCCTATCCCTACATGCCAACTACAAAGCTGCCAACTTCGGAACGTCTGTTGGCGGTCTGAGATCATCACGTCGTGTCGAGATACCCGAGTTTCCCAAAATGAGTAAGTGATGAGGAGGTTCAGTCGCTCATCCGCAGGTATACCCTATTTCAGCAGGTCTCATGGGAAAGATCAAGCGCAGATGGCTAGAGAAGCTCTGCAAAAGTATTTGGTGGAGCTAATTCGGGCAGTGGTGAGCTTCGACCACCTTTACCGCCTGTCAAGCTCACTGAATCTGCTCAGATCTTCCGACCTGAGTCCAACCGACTCTGCCGGTTCTTTGAGCTGTCCGCCTTGACTGTGGCTCTGGCTCCTCATGGTGGATTCCAAGGCAAAGCTGGATTCCTAATGATTCCTGGAAGCAATGCGAGTCGAAGGGCCAATCAGCCTGGCCTCACACCGACGAGTTGGATCCACAATCGATCGCCGAAATGGCTGATCGTCCGAGATTCGTATTTCGTTGCGACCGAAGGGCCAGAGGACGTAAGTGCATTCCCTTCTCGCCTTCAAACACCTGCTGACCTTACGCAGACAGAATTCTACGACGTCTTCATACTCGACCAGGACTTTGCTATCGAACGGCCTAAGCGTGCTTACCGTCATGGTCTCCACCTGGTGACCGGCAAGTCAAGCATCAAGCGCTCGCACAAACACAGCGCGACGGACGAGATCGAGGTGGATCCGGAGAACCCTCTTGCGACTGAGATCGCCATCAATAGCGGTGAAGGCAAGGGACCAAATCCTCATACACTGGGCGATGATGGTCAAGAGAGCTATGCAAGTCAACATACGTTCTTCATTGTCAGCTCGCAGCGAAAATTGAAGCTTCAAGCGAGGAACGCAGTGGGTCGATCGATATATCTCACTCAGCGAGGAGAGTGCTCATTCTTGTTCAGCGCCACATGCACCAATTCATTGTCAGTATGGAGCGGATCGCTGCGCAGTGTATATGGACCAGCAGGAACAGGTTCGACTCATTCGCTCCGCTGCGTGTGAATGTAGCTGCTCAATGGCTTGTCGATGGGGTAAGCTGTCTCGCGATCAGAGGAGCGATTCGGGGCTGACGAGACTCAGCGAGACTACTTCTGGAACTTGAGCCGAGCGATGAACATGGCGAAGGACAGGATCTACATCCACGATTGGTGGCTATCTCCAGAGTTGTACCTTCGTCGACCAGGAGATGAGCGATACCGTCTGGACAACCTTCTGAAGCGAAAGGCTGAGGAGGGTGTCAAGGTTTACGTGATAATCTAGTGAATGTCCTCTGTCATCTTCTCATGACATGGCGCTGACCCGGTCCAGCAACGAGGTGTCTGACAAGACCACTCCTGTCGACTCGCTGTATGCCAAGAAGACCTTGACGGGATTGCACCATAACATCATGGTCCAGCGTTCGCCTAGTCATTTCCAGACTGGAACATTCTACTGGTCACATGTGAGTCTCCAGATACTGATGCGTCACTGATTTGCAGCACGAGAAATTGTGTGTGATCGACGAGACAATCGCATTCATGGGAGGTCTTGACCTGTGAGCTGACCTGCTCTGTGTTGTCTTGCCTAGCTCACGGGGACAGGTGCTACGGTCGATGGGATACCTCCCAGCACGTCCTGACTGACGAGGATCACACCGAGCCAGATGGACCCAATGGACCCGTTTGGCGCGGTAAAGACTACGCCAATGAACGAGTCGCAGAATACGCCAACCTCGATAAACCCTTTGAGGACATGTTTGATCGGACCAAAGTCCCTCGAATGCCATGGCACGACGTGGGCTTGCAGATTGTCGGTCAACCCGCTAGAGATCTGTGCAGGCATTTCACGCAGCGCTGGAACTTGTTGATCCGGACCAAGGTGAGGGCACGGGGACTGGGACTTTGACTGACCGGTGGTAGAATCATACCCGCCGCATGCCATTCCTCTTGCCTCCACCTGATTTCACCGAGGGAGAACTTGGTGATCTCAAGTTGCAAGGGACTTGCGAAGTGCAAATCTGTCGATCCGTTGGGCCTTGGTCCATGGGTACTTTAACGAAGATTGAGCATTCTATCCAGAACGCCTATTGCAAGTGTGAGTGGTGCAAGTCGCATTGGGGGACGGTCTGACGGGTCCTAGCGATTCAATTGTCTGAGCACTTTGTGTACATTGAGAACCAATTCTTCATCACTTCCACCGTTGTCGATGGCATTCAAATCCACAATGGAATCGGCGACGCCTTGGTGGAGCGAATCATTCGAGCCCACAAGGAGAAGACGACGTGGCGAGCGTGTATCGTTATTCCCCTTCTACCTGGCTACACCTATCCTCTAGACTCGGCCGAAGCGTCTTCCGTCCGTATGATCCTGGAGTGTCAAAACAGGACAATCGCTCGGGGTGCCGGGTCAATCTTTTCTCGACTCCGCAAGGAAGGAATCGACCCCGACGAGTACATTACCTTTTTCTCCTTGCGGACATGGAGCAAGTTCAAGTCTGGTGTCTTGACGACGGAACAAGTGTACATTCACGGCAAGACGATGATTGTGGACGATCGATTGGTCTTGTGCGGCAGTGCCAATATCAATGAAAGGTCACAACGAGGTGATCGAGATTCCGAGCTGGTCGCCGTGATCAGGGATACAGACATGATTGACAGGTGAGCCATACCAATCACTCTGGAGATAGGCCCGTGCTGATCTGTTCTCAGCAAAATGGCGGGCAAGCCATACAAGGTCGGAAGGTTCTCACATACTCTTCGAATGCGACTTATGCGAGAGCACGTTGGAATCGATGTCGACTCTATCGAAGAGGATCAACTCATGTCTCGCGAGCCCATCGCGCCTGAGGATGAGATTGAAACTTGGGACCCGGATCATCAACAGCAGGATAAGGATGAGTTGACAGAAGGCATCACGACGGTGTCGAAGAGGACAGCAATGGAACGTATGAGGAGGACGGTGGGGAACGCAATGGCAAGTGGTGAGTGGGCATCTTCGAGATACTCCCAGTCAGGGCTGAGAGCTCCTCAGTCACGAAAGGCATGAGCGAGAATGCGGTGGACAATGTGGGGAGAGCTGCCGACAAGATCATCCATCCCATTGCTGTCGTCAAGGACCATGCGTTTGTCGATCCTCGTAATGACACTCCTGGCGAGAAGAGTGAGCGACAAGACTTTTCGCATGGCGGAGGCAAGACGAAAGGATTTGCAAGCTCGATCGTCCCGACTCTGGAAGAGAAGACCATATTTGATCGTCGACCTTCGGCGACACATGCCAATGGTAAACCGCTATTCGATCTTATTGAAGAGTCGGAGAACCAACAACAGTCTGCTGGACGTCCAGAGGAAGCTGAGGTTCCTGCGGACGCGAAGCAGAACGAGAGTGTCTTGGAGGAGAATGACCCTTCGGCGTCAGCTCATGCCAAGGCGAAAGCTCCAAAAATTCATGGCAACCCTCATGAGAAGGAACTCTTTGGTGTCCCTGCGAACGCTGTCGACGGGGACGATGCCCCTCCCAACGACAATACCTCACGAAGCGAAGGTACTTCAGATGAGAAACGTGCGATTGGCGCTCGACAGACGCTTCGAAAGCACTTGTCGGCCAAGACGGCCATGACACCTTGGTCGATGCCCACGCCAACACCCAAGATCAATCCCAATCGATTCCAGGATCCTCTCGATGAAACGTTCTGGAAAGACATGTGGGTCGCGGTGGCTGTGCACAACACGGAGATCTTCCGTAAAGTGTTCAGGTGTATCCCTGATGATCTCGTCACCACATGGGCTGCATACAAGGCCTTTGCGAATCACGCTGAGAAGCATAACAAGGCGCCAGAGGATGTGGCGGAGAACAAGAACGAAGAGCCCGTCAAGGTCGTTCATGATGGACCCGGTACACACGGATCAGGCGGTGGAGGAAGTGGAGGTGGAGCTGTGGGACAAGGGACAGATGATCCACTCAAGAAGAGTGAGACGAGGGGTGCGGATATCCCAGAAGGAGGAGGAGGAGGAGGAGGAGTAGGAGGAGGAGGCGGAGGCAAAGAAGAGGACGGTCCTACTTCCCGAATGGAAGGGGGACTCATGGGGAAACTCGGTGCAAAGGATACGACGTCTAATGTGGACCCGGGTCAAAAGGTCGACAACCCTTCTGGCTTCGGGGAGAAGAAACCGGATGGAGGCGGAGACGGTGCTGGAGGCGGAGGCGATGCTGGTGAAAGTCTAGGCAAGAGAGTCCCGAGTGGACCTCAAGAACCTTGGGCTCAATGGGAGCGGGAAGAAATGGAAGAATTGCTGAATGAAGTCAGGGGACACTTGGGTGAATTTGATAAACGTGTTCACTATACAAACGCCATCGCTGACACTCCCTCTCTCTCTCCCCCCTCAGTCATTTACCCTCAGAGATTCCTCGAAGTCGAAGATCAGATTGGAAACTTGCTCTTCCAGGTGAGTAGTAATATCTCGCTTCTGATTGGCCAGTTGGCTGCTGTGCAGAAGTGAAGCTGTGCCAAAAAAAGGTCCCCGGCTGACGCCGCCACGTGCCTCTTTTTTTCAGAGCGATAAAATTCTACCTTTACCGATTTTCGATTGACACGGAGAAGCCAAAGTTTTGGGGCACGATTTTGTCTTCAACTACCAACGTCTTGTATCAATATACACGAGAGTATGCGTCTCAATTGACTCGACTCGACTCGGTTATCAATCTCTCTCATCGTATTCCATCTAATTCAATGCTGTAGCCCAATTTCGTTCCCTCTATGTATCGCATACACTTGCCACGCTGTACTCAGCGCCACGTTCCCTCCACGTTCATCCATTCCTTTCAGTGGCGCTTTGCGAGCCACGACGGGATCGATGCGATCCAGCATTGTGTTATCCAGAAGATCCTGACGAACGGCAGATCTTCCGTAGATCTGGGACGCCTTCTGGCTTACCGCGGGTGACTCAACGGGTAGGAGAGGGGGGGTCTAAATGGCTGTATTGGATTCAGTGCCATCACCGTATTTCGTCCATATCGTAAGCACCCTTGTTCATGACGTGAAGGCTGCAACGGATGTCTCAGATCTGCCACCGAGCCATTTCGTGTGAAGGGCGTTCAATCCTCCTCCGCCTCTTCCGCCTCCTCCGCCGAGGACTGATTGGACCCGAAATGTACCTTTTACTCCTCATGGGCCTATTTCCCGGTGGGCACACTTGGGGATGTCTTCCAACACTCGGCCGGGAGCATTTCTACGTGCGCGGCGTCTACATTGGGGTGGAAACACCCTGTACAGGGCCTGTACTACAGGAGGGGGTAAAGGCCAAAATTCCGGCGGCGATGGCGGTTTGACCGACGCTACGCCCTCGTTTCCCGTCCTTGTAGTCTCACTACCGCTATCTGTAAAGCGATGGCGGTAAATGATGTAACGATCTAAGCCGCAAAGTAGAGATCGCATACACGTGCACTAACGGATCTGTAGTACGAGTATCCTTTTGTAATACGCATCGGATGACTGTACAGTACCAAAGGGGATATATTCACAGATTTCACCCCACGATCGTGATGATGATGACGAGGTAAGGCGCTGCGGCATACGCCGATGTAAGAGATACCCGAGACCGCTGGACAGACTCTGGTACGTATCTTTTCGGTCGGCTGTACAGCATTGTGTGAGTGTGTCTCTCTTCGATCATTTTCCCAGCACAGGAATCAAAGTCCCCCGTCCTGATTTCGATCAGGCTTAGAGAGAGAGAGAGAGAGCGCGCGCATTCAGATGCCAAGATGGAGAATTTTTCTCCGAGGCTTTTTTTAGTGTTTGAAAACCATTTTTTACCTATTTACCCTTCAGGTTGAGGTGACATGCTCCCCCATGACAGGAGGGAGGCACAAGTTCTTCGGGGGCGAGAGAACGAGACAAGCCGCCTCGTTTGCGGGATGCATGACACTCGACGTAAAAAAGGCCGCGGCTTACGTCCTCGCGAATAGCGTATACTCCGAGGCAGAACGGAGCGTTGTGATAGCAGCGAAAAAGGCGGTATGACCCACACACACCCACACAATGAACAGTCTATAGAATAAGTCCCATCGTAGGCACTGTCTATATCCTCCTCCATCCCTGCTTCGACTCCACAATGTCCTCGTTTGCTGGCGTTGTAGCTCAAAAAGCCTGGCAGTACAGCCTCGATAGTGAATCTCAAGGTTGGGCCATAAAGGCAGATTTGGTATGTGCCACTCAGGGGGTTTTCCCCACGACGTGAGCACGTTCTGATAAATTTTCTTCTAGGATCACGACGATATCGAAGTGGTCTCCGGCAGCAGCAGCAGCAGCATCAGCAGCAACAGCAACAGCAACAGTGTCATCGACAGCAGCAGTGTTGCCAGTGGCAGTTCCTCGCGATCTAGCTTCCTAGAACGTTTTGTACCCTTTCCTGCACCCGTTGGTCAGGGCAGCAAATGGGCACTCAACGCAGATCACAGTGTGATTTCGTATGTCTCTGGAGACATTGCATCGGACCCCCATGTCACCCTGGTGGAATTAGGCCAAAATACCGATCACTCATCTGAGGATGAAGATGACACTTCTGCGGAGTCGTCTAGAACTGGGTTTTGGGGACTTTTCCATCGCTCGAAGCGATCTCAACGTCAAGTAAAGAGTATTCCACCCCGTCATCGATCTTTCAAGTCTGTGGTCGGTGAAATCAAGTCAATATTCTTCAGTCCGACAGACCCCAACATGTTGGTTGTCAGCACCGAGTCAAGCGTACGGTCTATCGAGAAGAGAGGACAAATCACGTTACTGAATATTGAGCCACATCGAGCGATTTCTGCCTCCCCCGGCCCATACATCACTGCCCCATCAGTCGAGCTGGATCTCACATCGGGTGCCAACATCTTGGATCAAGTGTACGGTGTTTTACCTCCTGGCTCCGAGACATCGAACGTTTTCGCCATCGACGGCGATAAATTTCTCTATATCCCTCGAAATCGGGTGGGTCACTGGCGAGGTGGAGAGCCCAATCGAAATGTAGCCATCTACGATATGGCTGAAAAAGAAATCATTGCTTTCCTTGAAGGAAACAATGACGAGATCGTTTGGATGGGATTCAGTCCTTTCAGAGAATGGATTGTCACCGTTGCCAAGAGTCAATATGTCAGACTTTGGAACCCCTCGGGAGTCGAAATTGAAGTCTGGGACACTGGATTGGAGAACGTCGCTGCTCAATTCTCACCCGATCAACTCTTCATCGTGGTCTCTTGTGCAGATGGAACCGTCATTTCGTTCGCTATTGGAACGGGGGAACAAGTCTGGTACATTCCTCCTTCTGATCACGTCTACACCTCTTTGGAATATTCTCCAGATAGTCAATACCTTGCCCTAGGGTGTGAATCAAATGGACGAGCCAGTATCGTGGACTTGGAATCTCCCGTGAACGAAGATGGGACAAGGGACGTGTTCACCTTTATCCCTGGTCTTCGGGGTGGTCTGTGGCAAGTGGTTGAGCGACACGTCCCGGGATCCATCACGTCACACAATGTCAGATTCATTCACGCCGTGGATTTACACCTCATTCGCGATAACACAGCTCATCTCGTTGGCTTCTCAAGCCGTGATGGGTCTGATTTGCAGATCCTCGATATGGACACTGGTAGATCGTGGCAACTGGGGTCAGAATCGGGTGAACTGGACGAGGAGGAGGATCGAGACCTGCCACCGTCGCTTTCATCGTCTCGACACGACACTCCCGGCCACCAGCACTTCAACACTCGACGCCTGCATCAGAGCCTAGGTTTCGACTTTGCAGAATTCAACGAGGATACAGAGACAGAGACCCAAGCGGAGATGCTTGGATGGGAGTATCTCTCAGAATTAGATCAAATCATGACGATTCATTCGGACGGTGTCCGATATTGGAAATTTGAGTGAATAGTCCTCCCTCTCGCAACATTTTATTAGCTCTTATAGTTTGTACCCATAACTCATCATCTTTTTGTATACCAATTATAGGCCCCTTAACGCAGATGCGCATACATGTTGTCCCTTCCTGTGAATGACCCTGGGTTTGGATTCCAGTAAATTTCGCCACCCACACCACGGGAATTCTTGTCTGCGGCTAACGGCCGAATCCGAAATGGGATCCTTCGGCATCTCCGCGAGTTTGGAGTGGAGGTGTAAAAAAGGTCAGCTTGGACTTAGAGGATACAACCTCTACTTCACAGGCGAAAACTCCGACAGTGACTCGCGAAGCTAGCTCCGTCGTCTCTGCTCATCACTTGCTCGAAGAGAAGATGGGCGGCTAGGAGTCCTACCGTTAGTCATTCTCAGGACAACATTCGGAGCGGGAGCCGGGCGCCCTTGGGTTTTCGTCAAGATCTTATTGACATTGGAACGAAGGCAAGATGGATATAAATGACAAGGAGCTAGTATTGGAATCGGGAACGACTCGCCCGGGCACGCCGCGAGCAGCTCCGCCACTCTCGATAGATCTTCAGCTCCAAGACATGGAGGATGCCGCCAGCCCCACTCCCCTTGAACGAATCAAGAGCTCGACTGTCCCGGATGGAGGGTACGGTTGGGTCATCGTGGGATGTATGCTATGTATCAACGCCGTGACATGGGGTCAGTGTGCATCGATCACAGGCTAAGTATCAGCGCTAATTGCTGACCTTGCGCGCTCAGGTGTCAATACGACCTATGGCGTATATTCCGCCTATTACTTACAACATAACTACTTTGCAGGTGGATCTACACTCCGATACGCATGGGTAGGAGGGCTATGCGTAGCTGTATCATTATCCAGTGGACCACTGGCGAACTATCTAGTCGGCAAATTTGGTTTCAGGACGCCGTTCCTCATAGGTGCGTTTCCGAACGTTTACATCTAGCTGACCACCGTACCTTTAGGCGCGGTATGTGTCTGTGTTGGACAGTGCTGTGCCGGTATCGCCCCAAACTATGGAGTCTTCCTGGTCTGTCAGGGCCTCATCTTTGGCCTCGGCCTTGGCCTTGTATGTGTGGTCATGATAATCCTCCTTGGGTGTCGAGGCTGATGTCAACAGACCATGATCGTCGCTCAACCCCTACTTGCACATTGGTTCGATCGGCGTCTTGCCCTCGCTCAGGTGAGGAGAGATGATGAAGATATCGATGAGACGGTATTTCTGACGGCGCTCATAGGGCATCGCCAACGCAGGCTCAGGAGTCGGAGCTCTGATCCTGTCCAACACTACTCGAGTCGTCTTACAGCGCATCGACGTCAAGTGGTCTCTCGTCATCAATGGTCTGATCTCCATTTCTGTCCTGCTTCCCGCGGCATTCTTGCTGCGAGCACGAGACCAGCACGTCGGCATGAGATCACATCCGTTGAAGATCAGTTATCTGTGGCACCCAGGGTACATGTGGGTCTGTCTTTGGGGAGCGTTCTCCAGTGAGTCGGCGAGCAGCTTCCCAGATACCCGAGGTCATGCTCATGTGATGCGGGTCCACTCAGTCATGGCATACTTTGTCGCCATCTATTCCCTCGCATCCTTCGCGACTTCAGGACTCGGTCTGACCCAAACCCAAGGCGCAGCATTACAGTCCATCCTCGCCGCCGGTCAAGCTATCGGTCGACCCTGCGTCGGCTGGGCACTCGACAAAGGCGGTCGCATCAACATGACTCTCTCAGCATACCTCATCACTGGTCTTTCCTGTCTCGTCATTTGGTTACCTGCCAAATCATTCGGCGTCTTGATCCTCTTTGCCCTCGTTCAGGGCTTGGTCGGAGGTACACTCTGGTCTGCCGCCACACCCCTCACAGCGAAAATCGTGGGCGTCAAGGAACTCCGCTCAGCACTTGGTATACTCTGGTTAGCCCTCGTCATCCCCTCGCTCGTCGCTCAGCCTATCGCCATTGCATTACTCGACCACTCTGAACGTGTTCTTGGACGGAAAGGACCCGAGGCTTATTATATCAGTATAGGGTTCTGTGGTGGAATGGGCATCGCTTCAGCTCTATTGTTGTACCCTGCCAAAAGGTGGATTCAAGGTGATTGGAAGGTGCTCAAGGTGGCCTAGGAGTCTGTGTCAGGTGTCATCTCTGGCCATTCATTTTGTATGCATCGACTCACACGCGCCTATTTCAAACTTGTGGGGGAAATCTCGCTGCGCCTATTTCTGTCCTGAAAATCCCGACAATTCATTTCCGTTTCTGCCGTCTCCTGGAAAACCCACACAAATTGCTGAGGACTCATCTCTCTCGTCTCTCTCTCGAAGATCGTTCTCGCAGCTATCAGCTCGGATTGTATAACCCCCCCAGGGTCGATATCCCAAGTACCTGAAGCGCTGAGAACAACCCATCCACATCCTCTTCATCCACCATGCACCCCATCGCTCAGGTCGCTAGAAGGCAGGCCGCAGCCAGTCTTCATCGTCATGTTGTTCAACGAGGTATGTCCAAGCGCCAGGAGGACAGACTCGAGGGCTTTTGTCGAGTCTCTTGAATGGTTCTCATAAGCTTGACCAATAAGACCCTGTGCTGATTCTCTTCATCAGGCTTTCACATCTCGGCCACTTCCTCTGCCCTCACCAAATTCCAGATGCCCGCCATGTCCCCAACAATGACGGAAGGTGGAATTGCGAGTTGGAAGAAGAAGGAGGGAGACTCGTTTGCGGCTGGAGATGTCTTGGTTGAGATCGAGACGGATAAGGCGACGATCGATGTCGAAGCTCAGGACGATGGTATCTTGGCAAAGATTATCGTGAGCATTCTTCAACATCCAATTCTCTCAAATACATAAATTAAAAACCACTCGTCCAGGAACAAGATGGTGCCAAGGGGATCGCAGTCGGAACACCCATCGCCATCATTGGTGAAGAAGGTGATGATCTCTCTGGAGCCGACAAGCTAGCTTCGGAGCCCTCCAAAGCATCTGCTTCTCAGACCGACCCTCCCAAGAAGGATTCTGGAGCTGAAAAGGCAGACCCGGAGAAGGAGACTAAACCCGGTACTGCTTCTGGTCAAACGACCCCAGCTCTTCAAACACCAAGCGATCAGACAAAGTACGGAAGCGGAGGCGGAACGGATGCACCTAAAGCTCCTGAGAAGCCTGGTTCAGGCGGTGACAAGCCTAAATTCTTTGCATCCCCATTGGCTAGAAAGTTGGCTTTGGAGAAGGGTGTGCCGCTTGGCGAGATCAAGGGGACTGGACCACAGGGACGGATCCTCAAGGTGAGTTGAATCAAAGCTGCTGCCGCCAGTATCGCTGTGTCCGATCAGGGGAGGGGGTCCCTAACGATGCTCATAGGAGGATGTCGAGAAGTTCACTGGCGGTGCTGCGTCTGGATCTGCTCCTGCTTCCTCTGGCAAGGGCTCTGCCTCTTCAGCCCCTGCCGAGTACGAGGACGTTCCTCTCACCAACATGAGACGGACGATCGGGAAGAGACTATTGGAGGCCAAGCAGCAGATCCCTCACTACCAAGTTACCGTGGAGATCAACATGGGTGAGTCGCCCCTGCTGATTACAGCCTTCAGGGAGCTGACGCTTCGCAGACCGTATCAACAAGTTGCGAGAACTGTTCAATAAGGCTGGAGAGGGTAAGACCAAGCTCTCAGTAAACGACTTCAGTAAGTCAAGCTGCTCATCATGCGTGAAATCTCGCTGACCCCTTGACACAGTCGTCAAAGCGTCCGCCTTGGCTCTTGCTGAAGTGCCCGAAGCCAACTCGTCTTGGATGGGAGAGAGCATCCGAAAGTGAGCTGCTGACGATACATGAGAGAGGAGACCCAGCTGACACACCGGCAGATACTCCCGTGCCGATATCTGCGTCGCCGTCGCCACTCCCAACGGTCTCATCACTCCCATCATCAAGGATGTCGGATCCAAGGGCTTAGCTACCATCTCCGCGGAGACTAAATCATTGGCGACCCGAGCTCGTGATGGCAAGCTCAAACCCGAAGAGTACCAAGGAGGTACTTTCACCATCTCCAACTTGGGCATGTTCGGCGTCAACGAGTTCAACGCCATCATCAACCCTCCTCAATCTTGTATTTTGGCCATTGGAACAACGACTCAAAAGCTCGAGTTGGCTCCTGAGGAAGCAAAGGGATTCAAGGCTGTTTCCGTCATGAAGGCGACATTGTCATCCGACCACAGAACAGTCGATGGAGCCGTCGCTGCTAGATGGATGAAGGCGTTCAAAGAATACATGGAACAGCCATTGACATTTATGTTGTAGGTGTCGAGGAAGGAGGAGGAGGATCAGTGGGCGGTTTGGGGCCAAAAGATGGCGGCAGCGGCAGGTGGCGGCCATGAGAAGGACCTGCGCTGCGTTTCAATAGATTATTCTCATTACTTTCCTCTGTGGGAAAACTCTGTGATTGTACCTCTGGAGTCTGGCTGGATAGACTGAAGGGGGGCTTCTTACAAAATGCATGGAGCTAGATTCACTCATAGACGTCGATTGCCCCTCCCCCAAAACAAAACCGGAAGCACCCGCACCCCGGTAAACCCAAAAATGTATTCGGACTTGGATTGATCACTCTTCACGACATCTCTCAGTGTCGCTTCAATCTCTCTCAAACACATGAATAGCTAGTACGAGTATACTCGGCATCTAGGAGATCCAGATAGGAGAGTGCCATCATCTTGCCGGTCTGGGTATTGGCACTCAAGCGCGGCGCCGCTGTGTGACAACGCTCCCCCATCGAACCTGGCATTGAGACAATAACAATTCACCCAACCTCCCAACATGCCTTCTTCCAAGACGAGGCTCCACGCCCCTCGGCCTCATTCCGCCTCAACTTCTATGCCTGATATTACCATTCCTCAGGCGAGGAAGATTGTGGTGGACACGACTGGAGCTCAGATCGTTCAAGAAGAGTCCCCAGAGGTAAGTGCAACCGACCCTTATTGTTGTGGATCCGGGGGCCATGCCTAACGTGAAACTATGTTCAGACTCGTGACTCGAGAGGGATCTATCTTCCTCATTACATCGAAGCTGTATCACACATAGCGATCGATGTGAGTCTTACATACCGCTAGACCGACTGTGGTCCCGGCTGACTCATCCATCCTAACCTCACTCAGATTGGCGGCTCACTCGCGAAAGTCGTATACTTTACTCGGTCCTCCAAACCCATCAGTACAACCCCGCCAGCTAGAGATCCCACCTCACCGTTCTTACCGCCTTCCTCATCATCCCTCTCATCTCCTCCACCACCACCTCTATCTTCCTCTTCTTCATCCTCTACCCTGCCAGGACCTTCGGGGTCATATCACACGACCGCATCCGCAAATGGCGCTTCTCAATCTCTCCCAGAGACGGCACCGCGACGTCCAGCTGTCAATGGGGCTCTGACCCCTGGACTCCTAACCGAAGCCTCCTCCCCGCCCAACCACCATTCCTCACCGCTCAAAGCATCCCTCGCTTCCATTTCCTCACATCCGAAACTCCGCCGGTCTTCACTCCCTGCTCCTCTACCTGGAGGTTTGCTGAATTTTGCCCGGTTCGAAACGTCCGCCATTGAAGAACTCATAAGCTTTCTCAAAGACCTCATTGCGACTTCGGCAGTGGCCAACAGAGTCTCCCTGGAGAAAATGAAGCGCAACGTCAAGGTCATGGCCACAGGAGGCGGTGCTCACATGTACTATGATCTGTTACATTCAGAGCTGGAGGTGGAAGTGCTCCGGGAAGAAGAGATGGAATGTCTGATACTTGGGCTCGGGTTCTTCACTCGAGTCCCGGAAGAAGTCTTCTGGCTAGGCGAGGAATTAGTCTACAAAGTATCACATCCGGAATCGTCGACTTCATCGACCGGCCCGAGACCGCTGTCTATCCCTCCAAATGAACTTCCTCGACCAAGTCCAACACCGCCAACGTACCAAGTCACATTTGCGCCTGCTCCTACAAGCTTGGACGAAGCTATCCCTCACTTCCCATGCCTCGTCGTCAATATCGGTAGTGGTGTCAGCATAGTCAAGTGCGATGCCGATGGTAAATTTGAGCGAGTCAGCGGAACAAGTCTTGGAGGTGGCACTCTGTGGGGTTTGTTGAGTCTCCTCACCGATGCAAAGAGCTTTGACGGTGAGTCGTTCAATACATCCCTGTCATCTTCATGCTGATATCGGCACGTCAGACATGCTTGCGCTATCTGAATTGGGTGACAATGCTGCCGTCGACATGTTGGTAGGAGATATCTATGGCTCCGACTACTCAAAAATCGGATTGAAGTCTTCGACCATCGCCTCGACGTTTGGGAAAGTTTTCCGGCGAGGAGCGACAGCAGACGAGCGAAAGAGAAATCTCAAGCAGGAGGATATAGCAAAGAGTCTGCTCTACGCTGTCAGTAACAATATAGGCCATGTCGCGTGAGCTCCCTCTTTCATTCACTGCGAGATCCTCGAGCTCACAGGCACTCTCACAGATACATGAACGCTGCCAAATACGGTCTTGACCGAGTCTTCTTCGGAGGATGCTTCATCCGAGGTGAGCATCGCGTTGCCGCTCTTTGCTCTAGCTCATGTACGGAACAGGGCATGCAGCGACCATATCCACTCTATCTTATGCTATTCGATTCTGGAGCAAAGGTACGATGAGGGCTTGCTTCTTACGCCACGAGGGCTTCCTGTGAGTCTGAAAATGTGCGATGCGAGGGAAGGCTGACATGAATCAGGGGGGCGATAGGCGCTTGGATCAAAAATGTGGATGGGGCTGCTGGAGCTAATGATCATCCTTTAATAGAAGATGAGGTAGATGATCTCCAACTGACATGAATTCGGTGTCAGCGGGGCAAGATCACTGTGATAGTACAGAGCCTTGCATCGTATACGGTCATCGTCGGAATATCTGGTGTTATCTACGCCAATATGTCGCTTCCCACGGATCCGACGGGATCAAAATTTCTGCGTCCAGCATTGCTTGTATGGCACAAGGACGACTATCTGAGCTTCTGTTCGTAACAGCATTCAGCATTGAGGATGGCATCCAGCAGTATCCTTCTTCCCGGGCAACCTCTGCCGTCCAATTTGACCCAACCGCCATTACCGCAATGCGGACCGGGATGCTATGAATTCGAGGGCAAGATTTTGGCCAGTATCATCGGCAGACCCTATCGAGACGGAGCGGTGAGCTGGGCTGCGAACAGCGAAGCTACGAATCACTGCTGACGGGACGATAGACTGTGGGAGTAAAGGGAAGGGATGATGGAGCCGCTGTTCCTGATGTGGATGCGATAGTGAGCTATAATCTTCTCTCTCGTTTGCCCAGCTGACACCTTCTAGGTCACCGGCACCGTGAGTCTGTCTGCCCATGCATGTGTGCAGCCTCGTGCCCGTGGCTGATGCGTTCTCACTTAGGTCACTCGTATAACCGCTCAACAGGCGCATCTGAACATCTCAACTGTCAACAACCGACCTGTCCCGGAATCGAGTGAAGAATTCGTCGGTGTAGTGAGAATAGCGGATATCCGGTGAGTTTCTTATGGGTTCTTCTGGTGTCCGCACTGCCAAAAATCTTGCTCTGTGCTGACTGACTCACCAGCCTCACCGAGCGAGACAAGATAAAAATGGGTGAATGCTTCAGGCTGGGTGATCTAGTCAAGGCCCGAGTGGTGCGTAGTTCCCAAGCCTTAAAACGACTTTCGTCGATTGACCCGGGAACACCACCCATAGCTATCCCTTGGCGACGCAAGAAGCTATTACCTGAGCACAGCCGCCAACGAATTAGGCGTGGTCTCAGGAACATCAGAGGCAGGTGAGTGCTCCTAGGCCATGAACGATCTGCAGTACACGAAAGACCGAGACTGATGCAACGAAAAATCCTTTCTTCCCTCTCTCCCCAACTCAGGCAATCCCCTCATCCCAGCTTCTTTTCAGGAGATGGAAGACGCAATCACAGGCAGAATGGAGCGTAGAAAAGTCGCCAAACCCGAGGGTGTATGATCAGCACACGCGAGCATTGCATGTGTGGGGGGGAGAGGGGTGGTCAAGCTGCGCGTCTGCCCTCGCCAGTCAGGTGAATGGTCTAGATCGGATCCATTTCGACGTCTCCATGTCTATTTTCAAGGTTCAACAGGACAATTTTGGGCGAATTTACCCTCCGTTCAAACGTTTGTTCGTCGGTAGGATCGCCTTGGTTGGACGTCCCCGCCCTCAACTGCCCGGAGGAGGAGGAGGAGTAGGAAGGAGGAGGATGCGCAGTTCCACGCCCTATGAGCCATGCATATGCAAGGCACCCGTTCAACGCCCCATCCCTTCGCCCGGATCATAAAGTCACATTGTGGATTGTTTTATTAATAGCCGCAAACCCAAAAATCTGATACGTCATAACAGCGTCTGTCTGCGTGATCCAACGTCGGTTCTGTGCTGCTGCTGCGTATGCAATAGTATAATAGCCCAGCTACTCTGTTCCATCCATTCGTCGCTCTCTCCCTCTGCGCCTCCGTTGCTGTGAATCCCTTCATCTACCTCGCTTCCCGACCATGTCTGCCAAGTCACCTCGACCCGGAGCTGATCCCACAGATCACGATGTCCCAGACGAGCACCTCGTCCACAGGGTGAGTCTTGTTGCGTGACGTGACGCGGGAAAGACAGAGACAGAGGGGGGGGGGGGGGGGCTTTTGAGAACGGATGCTGATATCTCTACGTGTTCTCATATCTACAGACCGGTCACTGGCTTCCTCAGGACAAGAGACACCACCACAAGTTCCTGCACGACACCATCTCCCATGTCGACAAGCACCCCAAGCCTTTGCACCCTGTGCTTGAGGAATTCAAGGAGATGGTCGAGCAGGACTCGAGGCTGTACATGTTGTTCAACCTGATGTTTGAGCAAGTGAGTGAACTTCAGAATTTGGCTGCTATGCATACCTGCCTGCACCGACTCTCTTCCACGTGCAACCGCTGACCCAGCCGGTTCCCCCTTCACCCAGCTCCCCGCCAATAAAAAGTACCTCAAAGACCCCACTGGCGATGCTCAAGTTCGAGACTTTAACCACCTCCTTCAACTCATGAACCACGTCTTGACCACCGCTCCCCGATGGACCGTTGCGAAACACAAGGCTGGAATGGTCGGTGTGCCCGTCAATGCTTTGCTCGACTGGCCAATGGGTACCAGAGCTGGATTCACCGTCTTCCAGGACCCCAAGGTCAACGCCATGGTGGGCTCACAGCGGACGATGGCAGCTTCTGATGTTATGTGATTCAATACTGACGCGCCGAGAGTAGATGAAAAAGGTGTTGAACGTCTGGGGAGAGTTCCTCAAATCCCCTGAATCCGCCAAAGTCCTCGATGACCAGCCTGAACACTGGTTCGGCGAGCACGGAGTTTCCTCCCTTGAGGAAGTCGCCAACAAGGCCGCCCGAACATCCCACAAGTTTAACGACATGTTCGTCTGTGATCCTTCTGACAAGTACCACGGCTACAAGTCCTGGGACGACTTTTTCACCCGAGAGCTGAAAGAAGGCATCCGACCCGTCGCCGGTGAAGACAACGACGACATCGTTGCAAACGCTTGTGAATCGAGGTTCTACAAATTGGCTCACAACGTTCACGCCCGAGACAGATTCTGGGTCAAGGGACAGGTGAGTGAAGGCGACGTGACAAGACAATCGACATTGGTGCTGACGTCCGTCCTTCCAGCCCTACTCTGTCAATGACATGCTCGCTTTCGATGAGCTCGCTGAGCAATTTGTCGGTGGAACCATCTACCAAGCCTTCCTCTCCGCTCTCTCCTACCACCGATGGCACTCTCCCGTCACTGGAACCATCAAGAAGGCTTACGTCGTCGATGGAACCTACTTCTCTGAGCCACTCTACGAAGACTTTACCGCCGAGCACGAGGCCGACACCCATGGCGAATGCACTTCCCAAGAGTACATCTCTGCCGTGGCGACCCGAGCTTTGGTCTTTATCGAGGCGGACAACCCAAAGATTGGCCTCATGTGCTTCATCGGTGTGGGTATGACTGAAGTCTCGACCTGTGACATTACTGTCAAGGAGGGACAAAAGGTCAAGAAGGGAGAACAGCTCGGGTGAGTGCGCGAAGGGCTTGCGTGGGCGGTGTGATGACAGCGATGATGAGTGTGTCTTCCATTCGACACCTTGTCATGCTCATCCACGCCTGCGCAAGCTTGTCAATCCGCTTAGCGAGCGAGCTCCCTTTTCCTGACTGACGACAACCAATTTAGCATGTTCCACTTTGGTGGTTCTTCCCACGTTATTCTCTTCCGAAAAGGCGTCAAGGTTTCTGGATTCCCAGATTACACCGAACACAACGTTCCCGTTAGATCCGAACTGTGCAAGGTCTCCGCTTAGGCGTCGTTAGGCTTCAATAATGTAGCATTCATATATCCAGGTAAAGAGAGCCAAGGAACACATGCATACGAAAGTGTTCAGAAATAAAGAGATCTATCTGCTCAGCTCTGCCCCCCTCTCCACCCCCCCAAAAAAGTGGCGACGCCCTCATCAGCGTTCGGTTAAATTTTCTTACGAACACGCAATTGTTGCACGCTATTGTCTACAGATCCAAAGTGGCATCCTATTGTTTAAAATGGGAGGAGAACAATGAGGGAATTCAATCTCATGACACCGCAACCAAAGCCAAGCGACACAAACCCAGTACACACACAGCCCCCCCAGCTACGATGACCGCCTTTGCCTCCTTGAAACGTAGCATTCGACGTATACTCAATCATCTGTTTGAACGATCATCCATGTTCCTGCTCGCTATTATCAGTACCGCCCTTGTGGCAGGTGTGGCACTGGCTGAAACAGGTCAACTCAGACATCGCGCAGTCCAGGGTGGGTGGGACGTTCGTCTCAGAGTACGAAGGGCGGGGAGACTGACCTGAGCCGAGAACAGATAAAGCCATGAGCCGCGGACGGTACCGCGAGGCCGAATGGGTCGAACCCTTGACTGAGCTCAATGGTGAGTTGGGAGATTATACGTAGCGCAGAATCGTAACCATGTTGATCATGTTCCCCCCAGCTCTCAAATTCCACCCACTTTAAATTCCAGCTTCTGACTGCATGGAGCGTATCACTTGGGCTTGTCTGATCACTTAGTCATTTCACTGTATCCATGTCATTCTGCATTTTACTTTACGACACTACAGCGGTCTCGTCTCTGGAAAGGTCAAACGGGGCTCTGTGATTCGTGCTAGAGATCGTTTAGCCCCCGCTCAAAAAGCCATTCCAAGGGGTCGCGCCGCATGGTCTGAGAAGCTGTGGTACAGTGCAGCCCGTCTGGAAGACGTCACACCATTTGGGACCTGACTCAGAGTGCTGATAGCCCCGTGTGACCATGAGCAACGATAAACGATGAGAGCTTGTCTTGACGCCCGTGACGCCATGTGAATGTCCAGCGACTGTGGATGAAAATCTCAAGTTCTCCTCTAACGATCCACGAGGCCTTTGCTGCTAGAGGCGCGATTGAAAAGTCATCGGACGATCCTGATTGGAATCCAAGTCGACCATTCCAGATGGGTCCACGAGGAAAGCTGAGTATCAGGGCAGCGTCGCACTGCTTTGCAGATTGGACCTCAAGCTGCGTTGGGTCTGAGGACATGGTATTTCAAGGTATTGTTCGTCGAGCAGCCAGCATCAATACTGAGCTGTGTAGTTTGGATCTCGAACGATATCCTTTGTCGGTCCAAGTTGTAGTCTGATGTCGAAAGATCCGTTGCGGTACACAGGCCCAGCAGGTTGCAGAGCCAAGGTTTCAGCATCGCTGCATCATCAGTCATGGCGAAAGCTGAGAAATGAAACATCCTCATCCCACGTATGTACAAGCTGCTGGATCACCGTATAGATCTCTACTGAACCCGCTAACCATCTCCACCTGTGACCATTCATGTCCGGAGTAAAGTCCTAATACCAATCGGCTTAGCTTTGCGGGCTGGGCCACTTGGGAGAAAAACGCCACGAGCATGGTTGAATACGGCATGCGTGGCCTCGGGACTGGGATTCCAGAGTAAGAGTAACACGCTTATAAAAGTACGCACTGAGCGGGCGGGCGCCGATGTCAGGCGTGTAAAGGGGGGTTCCTGTCAGCCCATCTGGAGCTACACTAGATATCATGTCATGCATGGATGGTCATCTTTGGCGGCCAGCCTTCGAAGACGGGGGCTGACATGAACGTTTGTCCTGGAATGAAATGATGTCATGAGAAATATAAATACTGCTAGCCGAGGTTCACTGCGAAACGTATTCCATCTTGCAACAATTCTACAACTTGACCTGTACTTCCAGAGTCACAGCTCTCAATCAAGATGCCTGATAACGGATCTGCAGAGTTCTCGGCTTATGGCGCGACCCGCTCGACCGTCAAGGGCGAACCTCTCTCCCCTGAGGAGCTACGAAAGACCGATGCGTACCTCCGAGCTTCTTTGTATCTCTGCTTGGGTATGCTGTACCTGAGGGAGAACCCGTTGCTGGAGGAACCACTCAAGGTAGCGCACATCAAGTCGAGGCTGTAAGGGAACCATAGAATGGAGAGATTCGACCGCTGACATACTCGTGCTCAGGCTTGGTCACTGGGGGAGTGATGCCGGTCAATCCTTCACTTACACTCACTTCAACCGCTTGATCAAGAAATATGACCTGAATGCCATCTTCATCTCTGGACCCGGTGAGTGCGATTTCTGTCCATCAGCAGTGTGACGCTGACATTCTTTCGCTTCAGGACATGGCGCACCCGCTGGGATCTCACAAGCGTGGCTTGAGGGGACTTACGGCGAAGTTTACCCCAGCATGAAGCAGGATCGAGAAGGAATGAAGAAGCTCTTTGGACACTTTTCGTTCCCTGGTGGAGCTGGAAGTCATATGACGCCCGAGGTGAGCGAGACGTAATGCTATCCCAGAGGAGGGCCCTATGCTCACGCTGCCGCCAGGTGCCAGGCTCAATCCACGAAGGAGGCGAGCTGGGTTACTCCATTTCACACGCCTTTGGTGCGGTGTTCGACCACCCTGACATCATTGCTTTGACGATGGTTGGGGATGGAGAGAGTGAGACTGGACCCCTGGCCACTTCCTGGCACAGCACCAAATTTCTGAACCCCATCACCGATGGTGCGGTTCTTCCCGTTCTTCATCTCAATGGGTTAGTACATGTCAGCGAGACGTCCTTTCTAACTTGCTGACGTCGGAATGACAGGTACAAAATCAACAATCCCACTGTCCTCGCTCGAGTCACGCACGAAGAGCTCGAAGCTCTCTTTGTCGGATATGGATGGACACCCTATTTTGTCGAAGGATCCGACCTTACCTCAATGCACCAAGCCATGGCTGCAACGTTGGAAAAGGCTGTCAACGATATCAGAGGGTACCAAAAGCAAGCTCGAGAGTCCGGCAAAGCCTTCCGACCTCGTTGGCCCATGATCGTCCTTCGTAGTCCGAAAGGATGGACAGCACCTCGGGATGTCAATGGGCATTACCTAGAAGGATACTGGAGAGCCCATCAGATCCCCCTGACAGACGTCGCCTCCAACCCAGAACATCTATCCCTGTTGGAGAAATGGATGAGGTCCTATCGACCTGAGGAAGTGTTTAAAGATGGCGCGCTCGTTGATGAACTCAAAGAACTCGCTCCGACCGGCAACTCCAGGATGTCCGCTAATCCAATCACCAACGGTGGTCGGAAGACTGCTCTCAGACGACCAGATTTCACTCAATACGGTCTCGAGGTGCAGCCTGGCAAATCTAAAGCTGGAAGTATGGCCAATATGGCCAAATGGCTTCGCGACGTCTTGATCGAAAACCCCAAGACGATGAGAGTGTTCGGTCCAGACGAGACGGAAAGTAACAAACTGAGCGAGATTTACAAAGCCGGAAAAAAGGTCTGGGTCAACGGCTACCTTCCTGAAGATGAGGATGGAGGCAACTTGGCACTCGAAGGACGAGTGATGGAAATGTTGTCTGAACATACGGTTGAAGGATGGTTGGAAGGATACGTCCTTTCAGGGCGACATGGTCTCCTGAACAGCTACGAGCCGTTCATTCACATCATCGACTCGATGGTAAACCAACACTGCAAATGGCTTGAAAAATGTCTCGAAGTCGAATGGAGACAAAAGGTCCCTTCGCTCAATATTCTCCTCACCGCTACTGTGTGGCGACAGGATCACAATGGATTCACGCACCAGGATCCAGGTTTCCTCGACGTGGTGACCAACAAGTCACCAGAAGTCGTCAGAATCTATTTGCCTCCCGATGGTAACTCCCTTCTCTCCGTCATGGATCACTGTTTGAACAGTGAAAACTATGTCAATGTTATTGTCGCTGACAAGCAAGAACACTTGCAATTCATGGACATGGAGACTGCCGTCGCACACTGTACCAAGGGTGTAGGGATCTGGGAATGGGCATGTGCTCAGCCCGAAGAGGAGCCCGATGTCGTCATGGCATCGTGTGGTGATGTTGTCACAGCGGAAGCTTTGGCCGCGACAGCCCTGCTCAAGGAGCATCTGCCTGATCTCAAAATCCGATTCGTTAACGTTGTCGACCTGTTCAAGCTCATCTCCAACGATGACCACCCACACGGATTGACCGACTCGGCCTTCAATGCCTTGTTCACGGCGGACAAGCCGGTCATTTTCAACTTCCACTCGTACCCTTGGTTGATCCACCGTTTGACGTACCGACGACCTGGATCTCACAATATCCACGTGAGAGGATACAAGGAAAAGGGGAACATTGATACACCTCTCGAATTGGCCATTCGAAATGGGGCCGATAGGTTCAGTCTGGCCATCGCGGCGATCGACAGGATCCCCAAACTTCAGAACAAGGCGAGCATCACGCGAGAGAAACTCCTCAACGCTCAGATCGCGGCGAAGAACGCGGCCTTCAAGGACGGTATTGATCTACCCATCTTTAGCGAGTGGACTTGGGGTCAAAGTCAAAAACTGGAAGGTGGAAAGAGCACATCCTTCATGGAGAAATTGTCCAACCTCCGACCGAGCGCCGGCGAAAAGGCTGGAGCGGTCATCGGGGAGACCGAATAGGGCGGCCGAGGCAGCTTGGCTCTAGCTACTGAGTCATAGATATGCGCGTGCATCAGTCACATGTCAGTGGGCCTTGTGCTTTTGGTGATGGATTCGGATTGTCTGCATGCGCACGAGCATAATGCGGACTGGCAACGCGTCAAGCGCGAAATAGTAAGACTTTTATAGGACCCTATAGGTAAAAAAACGAGGGGAAAAGAGCGAACCGAAATGTCCAGGGCCGAAGAAAGCATGGGTGTCCAGGTCAAGAGGTTTGGAAGGGTTTAAGCCAACGCGAAGACGGCAACGACCAGACCCCAAAAGAGACCTTGACCTGTCGAAGTCGTAGCCAAGGCGGCACCAGTTTTGACGGCAGCCGCAACGGAAGGGATGGTAGCTTGATCGATGGACGCGACGGCGTTACTTGAACCAGCGGCGCCAGCATTGCCAGCAGCGTTTCCACCAGAGTTTGATCCGCTAGTCTTGGTAGCGATCGTAGCTGGGGTAGTGGTCGTAGCGGCTACTGCCCCTCCAACATTGATGGTCGTGGGGGCTTTTCCGTTACTGCTTACGCCTGCTTGAACTGCAGGAGTCTGTTGAGGGGTGATGGTGAAGGAGCAGACATAGGCGGCGTTGGGGTCAGACGAGTCGCTAGCGACGCAGCTGAGTGGCGGCATTCGTCAGTCAAAGATTCTCGATCCCTGATGCTCCTCCCCTCGGTCACTCACTATCCGCCTGGGCATCCAGTAGAGGAGGTTCGGCAATCGTTGATCACGGCACTGGTCGTAGCGGCGGCGGGGCTAGACGAAGCAGGAGGGAATTCGCAAATGTATCCTGCAGATGGGTCGCTCGAGTTGGAGGACACGCATCTGGTTGAGACATGGAGAGCATCAGCACAGAGATAGCGAGCAGGGCGCCGCGACGTCGTCGTTTCCTTTCAACGGCTCTTTCACTCACTGTCCTCCCGGGCAACCTGTATCACGACAGTCGCCGTAATCGGCAACGACGGCAGAGATCAAAGCGAGAGCAACGACCACGAAGAATTTCATGATGATAGGAAGTTGATAGGATGTTTCAAATGAGTGTGAGTGGGATCGTCAAACGAGTGTGAGTGAGTGAGTAATTGAGTGATAGATAGAAGGTCAGATGTCAGATGTCAAAAGATGTCTCTGCATTAAAGAGATCCTCGTCCCCCCTTTCCCCTGTCCCTTTGTGACCTGATTATTTTGTGTGTGTCTGTGTGATGTTGTCCTCGTTCCTTGTTCCTGAAAAGATTACCCAAAGTCTTCCTGAATGGGCGCCCGAGGCATGCAACATATCCCAACAGCGCCCCACCCGCCCGAACAGTCAAATTGTCCAGACATCCAGGGATAACATCAAGCTTGAACAAACAACGAGTATGATCATGAGCGAGCGAGCGCAGAGTAAGAAGAAATGATTCCCAATGTGATCAGACGACGCCTCCATCCCATTTGTGGCGCTTTTTTTCTTTCTTTCTTGTCCATCTACCCCGATGGACGTGTCAGTGAGAGATGTAAACAAATGATCAATCGTGATCGCACGACGCGTAGGGTTACAGGATTTCCATCTAGATGTATGCATTTGCGGTTGGGCGTTGGCTTGGGTATGTATGTGGGATCAGTTGCTGATTGGTTGAAGAGATGATCTCTCATACTCTTGTGAGAGGAAAAGAAAGGAAGAAAGAAAAAGAAGAAGAAATTATCCGGCGAAAAAGAAACGGGTACTACAGAGCAAATTTACACAGAGGAGGTCAGTCATCCCGCTGCCTCTCTCTCTCCTTCTTTTTATTACTTGGTCATGGCGACCAACTTGTCAAACTCGTCCTTGCCTTGGGCCATACACAATGCCCTGAATGCAGAAGCTCCATCCTTGACCAGATCAGCTGGTCGACCATACTCCAGAACGGTTCCACGATCCAGTACCAAGACACGGTCGCTGAAGAAAAGCGAGTCGCGTCAGCTATCAAAAGGTGACGCGTCATTTGCCCGATCAGACTCACTATTGCATGATGGTAGCGAGTCGATGCGCAATGGTGATGATGGTAGTAGCTGCGAAACTCTCCTTTAATGTCTTGGTGATCTTTTCATCCATATCGAAATCAACCGAAGAAGTAGCTGCAAGGGAAAGGCAAGAAAAAAACAAGAGTCAGATGATGACGTTCGAGAACTGACCCGTAACGGTCATGCGGACTCACCCTCGTCCATGACCAAGACTTTGGATTGCTTGAGCAGCGCTCGAGCCAAGCACAAGAGCTGTCTTTGCCCTTGAGAGAAGTTGTTGCCCTCTGTTAGATCACGTCAGCGGGAGAGACACCTGGTCACCTCGTCGTCCGCCTCGACTCACCGACCGCGACAAAGGTATCCAAGTTGGCAAACTGGTTATCTGCCAGATCCGAGGGGTCCAAACTATCTGGGAGCAAGTGGACTCTTCTCAATGCCTCGTAGATCTCAAAGTCGTCTGGAATGTTAAAGTCAGCATCCAGCTTCACGTTGAGAGCGAAACTTGCGCTCACCCCTCGACTGAGTCAAATCCAACGCATCTCTCAGCGTTCCCGAGTTCAAACTTCCATCCTGGACCACCATGTTGATCCTCTTTCTCAACTGCTGAACAGGCATCTTGCCAATATCCCTGCCATCAATGGCAATTCTGCCCGACTTGGCCTCCATAGCTCTGAACAGGGCCAGGGCCAACGTCGATTTACCAGATCCAGTGGATCCAACAATTCCGACCCGCATACCAGGCTCGATCTTGATCGAGACATCGTGCAGAACATCGGGGAGCTCTGGCGCATACGTGACGCAGAGCTTTTCGATGGAGATGGCTCCCTTGTCAGGCCATGAAGGAGGAGGAACGTCTCCTGCTTTGGACTCGGCAGGTGTGGTTTGAATGTAGTGGTTGACTCGTTCGGCACTGACGAACGCCTGTTCGAGGGAACTGTACGTCTCGAGGAGGATATAAAGACCTTGAGAAGTCGCGACGGCGAAGGACAAGACGTAACCAGCTTGAGCGGCACTGACCTCCTGGTTGATAAGGTAGAATCCGGTAGCAGTGACGATGATACTGGCGACACTTCGAATGACCGCTCGAACCCAATTGAAAATGGTGTAATCGGCCAAGGTGACTTCTCGTTCTCGGTTGATTAATGCGACCATGGCGGCACACATGTATTGAGCGGATCCAAACGCTCGGACCATGACAACTCCTTCAATGGTATCGTTGTAGAGGGAAATGAGAGGTGACGCAGCGGTAGCGCTCAATCGTCGGAGATCGGCTCGAAGCTTTCTCAAGACCTTGCTCATCCAGTAGAGAGGGATGGTGAAGAGGATCATGAAGATGAGGAGAGATGGCGCTTGAAGACAGATAATGATGGCGGAAGAAGTCACATCGAGAGTGCTACTCAATGTTCGTCCCAAAGCATCGGCTGACCATCCATCAAGCATCTGCATATCTCGTCCGAAAATGTTGAGCAGTCGTCCAGAAGGCGTCGATTCGAAAAAGCTCAAGGGAGCATCACAGATCGAGTCGAGTGCTTGTCGGTGAATCAGTCGACTTCCACGGTTGTAGAATCCAATGTTACCGACACCGTATAGCCAGACCCAACGGATGGCACCAGTCATGACTCCGGATGAGACGAGAATGGCATAGACGCCGAGGTTGAGGTCGAGATGAGATGGATCAGGATCACTGGACCAAATCTTGAGCCATTGAGCCTGTGCGACATCCATTCCTCTGACGAAGAAGTAGAGAATGATCAAAGTGAGCCAATACCATTTTCCACCGGCAGCTTTGAGGACAAAGAGATAGTGATCCCAGGTGACCGATCCAGTAGCCATGGCTTCCGTCTTGTAGATTTGTCGAGTGGTGGATTTGTCGGCATTCTTCTTCTTGTTTTCCTCATCCTCCTCACCCTCTCGGAACTTGACATCGGGCTCCTCGTCCTCTTCGTCCTCCTCCTGAGGCGGAAGCTGAGCAGCGATAACGTCCATTTTGACTTCTGAGACCGTACCAGACTGGTCAACGGTACCATTGTTCAATGAGACGACAAAGTCGGCGACCGGAAGACAGAGACCGACGTGATGAGTGACGAGGACGACCGTTCGGCCTTTGAGCAGTTTTCCACCAAGACATTCCTGGACAAGGAACCGAGAAGTATGCGCGTCGACAGCGGAAAGAATGTCATCCATGTAGATGGTCTTAGCTCGAGAGTAGAGACATCGAGCCAAGTTGACTCGAGCTCGTTGACCTCCAGACAAGTTGGCTCCTTTCGATCCAACTTCAGTCATGTCGCCATCTTGCATAATGGTCAAATCGCTGAGAAGGGCCGCTTGACGCAAAGTCTCGCGGTATCGTTCCTCCCAGAATGGTTGTCCGAACAGGATGTTGTCTCGCACAGTTCCGTGTTGGATATAGCTCTGTTGAGGAGCATAGGCGATCGAGTCGTTGAGCCAAGTCTCAGTAGTCCAAGAGGTCCGAGTAGTGGTTGGTTGGACAGGAATGTTTGACAGCGCTGATCGAGGCGTCTGGACGAGTCCAGACTCGATGTGGGCCTCACCGAGCAGAGCACGGAGCTAGACATTAGCTGGAGCATAAAAACTGCCAAACTCACGAAGAGCGACTTTCCGGATCCGAGAGGTCCACAGACAAGGGTGAATTGGTTGACGGGAAGTCTGAGCGATACGTTGCGCAGCTTGAAGGTGTTGATTCCACTCTCTGCATCTTCCTTCGTGTCGCCAGATGGCCAAGCAATGGTAGCCTTTTCAAGGACGATCTGTTGGTCGGTCGTGTCCCAGTCGGCATCCTCAATCTCAGTTTGGTTGAGATAAGTCACCAATCGCTGGAGGGCGACCCAAGTGGACAAGAGCTCATTGACGGCGGAAGGCAGACTGGTCAAACTGTCCTTGACTCGGTTGAAACTAGGAGGGGTCAGCATCAAGATCCAATCTGAGTTCCCCGAACTTACACTCCGAGAGCGACGAAAGCGGTAGCGGGCTCCAGAGGTTTGTGAAGGACCTTGGTGTGGAAGAAGAACGTGATCAAGATGGCGGCAATTGGCATCTGGTCAGCCAAAATGTTGAACAAGGTACCAAGGGTGAATCGCCATCTTTGGGAACTAAGCAATGTTAGGATTCACGTCCCGAAACGAAAAGAACCGGACCTACACGACCTCGATATCTCTCAAGCGCTGGATGTTTCTTCGGAAATAGTCCTCAAACGCGTTGAGCTTGATGACCTTGACTCCGAGCAGGAATTCCTTGATAGCTGCCGTTCGAGCGTCTCGATGTCTCGCCCAAGCCTTGTCACAGTGATAGATGTTTTTGGCGACGTAGGTGGACAACGGGGAGGAGAGAGGGACACAGGCGATTCCGACGAAAGCACTGACTCCGAGCATCTGGTACAGGAAGGCAACACCGATGAGGACTGACCTTGGTCTTCAGCACATTTCCTCAGATCGCATCCTTTCGCACTCACGCGAAATGGCACTGTTGGTGACATTGGGCGCAATGGTTGCAATGGAAGCAATGGTGTTGTTGTCAATGGTCAACAAGTTCATGACTTGACTTCGACCCTTGCCGTCCTCTCGATCCTCCTCCGAGGCGAGGTGAGTTTCGACAACGGCAGCATCGGCAGTTCGTAGAATCTTGGAGAAGAGCTGAAATGGGTGAGCATCGAGTCACAAACGGAACGCTTACAATGCTAGCCAGAGTCATTCGGGTTGGCAAATGGAGCAGGTAGTTCTCTCGAACCCTTCGGGAGGTTAGTGTCGATTTGACTAACTCTGCAAATTTACTCACCAGAGGTAAGATCCCAAGAGGACTATCACAGATATCAGCACCTGTCAGCCCCAAAGTCCGGACTCACCTTCAATGGTCTGTCCGAGGAACAAACCCCAGCACATTAACCTGGCGTAACTCTTGTCGGAACCTGCTGGCTCCTGGAACGTATTGATGATTTCGTGCATGGATGCAATCTGGACGTAACTGAAAGCGGTTCGAATACCATCAAGAATCAGAGCTGAAATGGGTGGTTAGCTCGTGACTATGACAAGGACATTGGGAACTCACAGGAGAAAATGACACTTCCTCGTCCAGACCAGGTAGCCTTAAGCAGGGTCCATTCGGTCCACTTGGGAGGAGGGGCCTTCTTAACAGGACCGTCCCCCAGCTTGACTTGACCTTCCTTGCTGTCGACATTCCACATCATGTAGCTGAATCCGGATTGTCGGACATATTGCTCGAGATGTGGAAGATCGGTTCGAGAAAGTTGAACGACTTGCATGGATCTTTTCGCCAGGGGCCAGATCTATGTCCGATTCGCGATTAGCTCTGTCCCTCGCGTAGATCGTCGCAACCCAGCTCTTGACTCACATAGAAGAGACCAATGAAAGCCATGAGAGAACAATTGGACCAATCGAGCACATTCATCTCTGGAGCCGGCTTGATCCCCTTTTCTGTCGCTGGCTCAGCATTGACACCGAACCCAGTCATGAGGATGAGCTGCTGATAGTGGAGTTTAGGACCCCGTCGCATACACCCTCCGACGAAGAGTGTCACAACAAGGGCGATGGTTCGGGCATGCTCAGTGTACCATGGTCCCAGAGAAGGGATGCTTCTGTGGGTGTAGATCGTATACAAGACACCGACCATCGGGTGCAGGATCAGAGGCGTGGAAACGAACACGAAGAGTACTTTGCAAAACGTCCGGTGGAGGCGGAGACGTTTCGGGGGTCCGGTGGCAGTTGGAGGTCTGATGGGGAGGAGAAGAGTGACCAGGAAGAGGAGTCCGACAATGGACTATAGATGGCCAGTCAGAAAAATCTCTCTGACTGATATGTTCTGACTACTTACCACCATGCCCACGCCGATCGCATCTGTGATTAACACGGCAAGATTCGCGACCTTGTCGATTTTTCCAGCAGGTGTCCAGTGAGCTTGGATCCAAAAGAAGAGATGCAGCACTTCGAACGCGATGCAAGCGGGAATACACAGCACCAGGAGGGCCTTGGTAGCCTTGACATGGAGGAGGAACGACCTGAACTTCACAGGTCTGTCCGGCTCATCGATATCAGATGACTTTTCGACGTAAATGCCATTGTCGTGTTGTCGGTCGTCGGTAGGTGGGGGAGAAGACGGGATGAGCGTGTCAGACTCGGATGAGCCTGGCTCGGATCCAGTCCTGGAGCTGGCAGATGCGCGCATCGTTGTTGCGTGCTATCTTTCTTAGCTGATCCAAGAAAAGAGAGACTGAGTCGTCAGTGGACCCTCCCAAAGTTGATTACACAAGAGATGTTGGAAACAACAAAATTGGATGCTCAAATGAGGGGGATCTCACCTAAATTTACCCGCTGGGCGTCTCGCTGTCGCCGACGTGGAAAAAAAAGAAAAAAATCTACGAGTTCGGGGCAAAGAGGCTGATTTTAGTGGACGACATCTCTCTCGGTAGAAATCAGCAGACTGGAAGTGGGGGGGGGGGGGGGGGGGGCAGCGGAGAACGAGAAGAGGCAAGGGGCAAATCGCCGTTTTGGGTTCAGGTGATAAGAGTTGGGGGGGAGGGCCCGAATCGGCAACCCGCTCTTAGGGGGAGGGGGGGTTTGGGCAAAGTGGCGGAAAATGCAACTAATCAAGGTCGAGGAGGTTCATTATGGACATTAAGGAGGTTCACCACGGACATTAGGGTCGAGGCGAGTTCTTGAAGGATGTTTGAAATGATTATCTCCCCCGCCCCCAGTCGACTTGGCGAAAACACTGCACGATTCTTCCATCAATAAAATTCTAGGAGGGCAACCTGTGTCAAGTGTCAACCTGTGTCAAGTGTCAACCTGTGTCAAGTGGTCCTCGTCTATGTGGGTATATTGCTGCCATGAACGGAGATATCAGAGAAAGACTGGAATGGTGTGCCACACACCCCAAAACCCCACATCGGGGCAACACGGTGTGGACAGCCAAAATGTCGATGTACACCCTAAACCCGCCACATACCTGGATCATCGTTCAGGCATCGGCCAAATGACCTCAACATGCTGGCTTAATCCACACGGGGTTTGGCTGTTTGGCCCCAGCAGTCGCTGTGCCCTCTAGCAATGAAAAAGATTTCGGGCCTCACCCAGTTCTCCTGCTGTTTGGAAAAGAAAAAATGCCAGAATTAGCCCATTATTTTGATGTGACGTCAAGTTCTCCCTGGGGACTCCGTATACCCAAAATCTCGCCCGTGTGTAGCGAAAAGATTCCAGCAACAGGGGCAGATCGGCGGGGTCGTGGTACATATATAGCATACTGTCTCTGCTTGGTATCTCTTGTGGTTGTCACCATCTTTTCTGTCGTCTGACCCCAGACAAGCAACGATGGACAAACAGACTTTGGTCAAACCATTTACAGCATCCGGGAGGGAACAGTTGAAGCAAGGATCAGCGGCTACACATGTGGAAGAAGTTCAAAGAGATCATGAGAGAGGCAAGCATCGTGTGCTGAAAGAAAAGGATGCGTGGAAGAAATTGGGATACTCGTGAGATCGTCAACAGTACGAAAGAAGGGTCCACATCTCTGATCCATCCATCCCCTGCTGCTCTGAATTCAGATTCTCAACATGGCGAAAGTGGCAGATCTTGTTCATCATGTTCCTCATTCAGATCTCCATCAATCTGAATGCCAGTCTGTACGCGAACGGAGTGGTGAGTAGACGTTTCCGAGGGTGACATATCTCATCGCCGGATCTGACTGACGTTCGTGATCAAGGGAATGATCTCAGACAAGTTTGGCATCTCGAAACAAGCCGCTCGAGTCCCTCAATTGACCTTTCTTGTCGCTTATGCCTTTGGTTGTAAGTGACTTGTTATTGCAGTCTTTCCATTTTCGGTTTGACGGGACGCTCAGGCGAGCTCTGGGCCCCGTGGTCTGAAGAACTTGGAAGATGGCCTACCCAACAGCTTTCCCTACTCCTCGTGAACATCTGGCAGATCCCCTGTGCGCTAGCGCCAAAGTGGGTCATTGTTGACGTTTGCATACTGACATCGCAGCTATGCCGTGAGACCAACTACTTGACTGCATAGGCTAAAATCCTTAGACTCTCGTTGTCTGCCGATTCCTCGGTGGTCTGTCCACAGCTGGAGGATCAGTGTAGGTCTCGACTCATTCGTCCAACAGCTCACTCCCCGCAGGACACTCGGAGTCGTCGCTGACATGTGGCTCCCGGTGAGTCAGGTATCCCCCGAATCTGACACTGACTGTTTTGACAGGATGATCAAGAATATGCCGTCGCCTTCCTTGTCATGTCCTCTGTCGGAGGAAGTGTCGTCGGAGCCGTCGTCGGAGCGTTCCTCGAGGCTTGGGCCCCGCTCGTCTGGCTATTCTGGACTCAAATGATCGTCGGGTTCTTCGTGCAAGCTCTTCACTTCTTCTTTGTCCCTGAGACACGATCGACCATCTTACTAGACCGAGAGGCAAAAAAGCGTCGTGCGGATGGTGAAGAGAACATCTTCGGACCTAATGAGTGTAAAGAAGACAAGATGACCGTCAAGGATGTTCTTGTCATTTGGGCTAGACCTTTCCACATGCTCTTCACCGTGTGTTTCCGATGATGAAGTTGAAGCTGACCAGGCAGGAGCCTATCGTCGCGTGGTTATCCCTCTTGAGTGGATTCTCCGACTCGCTCATCTTTACCTTCTTGCAAGGTTTCACCCCGGTCTACCAGAAGTGGGGCTTCTCAACCTATCAACTGGGTCTAGCATTCATCCCGTGAGTTGCGTACTACTGGCTCTGCTGATATTTCAGTCTCCTGGTTGGATACTTCCTCTCCTATCTCTCGTTCCTACCTTCTATCCACTACTTCCGACAGAAACGTAGACGATATGGCTCAAAAGCAGTATCACCGGAAAAGCGATTATGGTGGTTGCTTTTCGTCATCTTCTTGGAGCCCATAGGACTGTTCATATTCGCCTGGACGGGTATTGGTCCGAGCTATGGTATACCTTGGATCGCCCCAATGATCGGTTCAGCTCTGGTGGGCATAGCCAATTAGTAAGTTTGATCCTTTTGTCGGAAGCTGAAGACCCCTCAGTGCGATCTATCAGTCAAGTATCGACTATACCGTGGCGGCTTACGGAGGTGAATCTAATTGTCCGAATTGCGCTGACCCTTCCAGCCTATGCTGCTTCTGCGACTGGAGGCAACGATTTCTGTCGAGACTTCCTCTCGGGTATCGCAGCCCTGTATTCGGAGCCGAGTGAGACTAGAGGTGCCATTCTTTCTCTGACCATCTTTTCAGTGTATACCAATATCGGCAACAAATTCCCTCAAGCTTGGGCAGGCACCATCCTAGCCGTGTTCTCTCTCTTCGTGACCACTCCGATCTTTGTCAGTATTGCATTCCATCGTTCCGCCATCAAGCTGACGAAGCGGCCCTCCCCCTTAGTACTTCTACAAGAATGGTGAAAAGATCCGAATGAACAGTAAATTCGCCTCTCGCATTGCGAAAGAGCGAGAAGAGGAGGACGAAGATGATTCCGAACACCAATCAGACGAACGTCAAGGGAGAGATTCAGATGCCACAATGATCGAAGCTGGAGATGGACATCGGCACATTCATATGGAGGGTGCGGATGGAGCTGCTGCAGCTGCCCAGGCACACGATCATCATGATCATCCCGAAGAACGATCTGCGTATCTGTGAGACAGCGAAGCGCGCGCGCCCGCAGCATCGTTAATCATCATCTCGTCCCGATTCCCACATCCCACGAGATCAAGTCAAGTCAAGTCAAAGGCAATTCCGTTCCACTGTAGCGATAGTTCCATTAGTTCGTATAATCCAATCAAGCAAAGCAATGCACCTGATATGTGTCGCGAATACCCTGACCGGCTGGCTCCCTTGCACACATAATCCCGGCGTGCTTGCGTTTTCAAACCTACATACCATACTGTAAGGTACACCGCGGAATAAACTTCCCGCCCGGGGAACAGGCGTGCCTGATATTCCCCGTCCCTGGTGCTTAGCTGTGCGTCACAATCTAGATCTGTTCTTCACGCCAATTACGCCCCGTACACAGCTTCTGTACACAAGGCAGTCAGGCATAACATATTACTGTGAGATCTCGTTTAGACGCAGAATGCAAACGGCCAGAAGTCCTTGCGATTGTTCTCATACATATTGACGACGTCCGGAACTCTGACCTGATACATATTCCACCGCTTATCACATTGCATCATGTTCGCAACTTTTGAAGCATCCTTGATTCTTGTCGGGGCAACGACCGCATTTGCGAAACTCTCCTCGACCATCACTGCCCCTGCTGGTGTCCCCACGGCGAATCTTGACAAGCGCGTGACCTACTCGCCCAATCCTACTGAAACAACATCCCCATACCCGTTGACAGCGTGAGTCGTCTGGAATCGGGGACTGCCCATTTTTGAAAATCTTCTCACGATGAACTCGATCTAAAGCTATCACTTTCCGTACTCAGCTTTGCCTGAACAAGTCAATCCAATCAACTATGGAAGAGGTCCTCAATCTGGATGTAAGTGGAAAGGGAGGCTGTGACAGCAGCGCAAGTGGCTAAAACACTGCCACTTTTCTCTACATAGATAATATCTGCAACCATACGACCGAGGGACCCGATTCCATGTGCCAGACGGCGATTGTCAATTCCATAGCTGGTAGGTTGATACTGGAATCTCGATCTGACAACCAGACTTTTGCATATGGGGCGGTCCTGGACTTGAGTCAAATCAAAGTGTCGGAGACTTTGAGGGAGCCTCCGTGGCATATGTAAGTCAAGTCTCGGGTCAGGCCTATGCTGATGCTTAGTGCTCAAGATCGGGCTATGGAACTAGGATTTTCCCTCCAGGAACGTTTACGGCTTTACAGGTGAGGATTCAAACGATGAGACTGCTGTGCTGTGCTCAAGACATCTCAGTTCATGCGAACACCCGGGTACATCCAAATCGTGGGACTGTTCAATCAGACCGCAGTCGGGTTGACGAATTCCGACGAGGGAGGTGAACTCGATCCCCACGGTGCTGATGGCCTCGGAAACCCCATTGGAGGGTTGGTGTACTCCAAGAGTCTGCCATCTGGAGACAATACGACCTATATGGAGACTCAATCATGGAACAACTTCCTCGACAGCGATAGATTCTGCTTCAAGCTCTGCGACCCCAATTATCAGACAGAATACAACTACTGTCAGAACATTTACGATCTAATCGGCTGCGACTATAACGCCCCTGCCGCATATGAAGAGGGTGTCTTCCTCTCCTGCGACGGTGACATGCAGGACGAGGTTGGCACCTATACATCTGACGGTCAAACCTACACTTGGTCTCAACCGACGTCTCTTCCGCCCGGGTACAATATGCCATACACACCTACCATCCCAGCCTCTTCCAACTGTGTCACTTATCAGTCCACGGACCTATTCCCCACACAATCTCTCGGATACCAGAGCACAAACAACGTCTTTGGCGCCCTTGGACCGACCAGTGCCAGTGCCGCTAGTAGCTCGACAGGATCGGTCAGTGCGTCGAGGGCTACAACATCCTCACAGACCGGTAGCAAGACCAAATCGACTACCGCCTCGGCTTCGACCGCTACCACCAAGACAGGCGCCGCCACACGCCTCACAGCATCTGCACTCCCAATCACCATTGGTCTTGGACTGTTGCTCATGGTCATGAACTGAGTAGGAAGCATGCCCCTCGCCCCTCAGGCATGGTCGCCTCAACGTAACGCTGAGTAATCCTCTGAGTCATAGTATTCTTCACTTGCCACGTTTGGTGACGTATCATCATCGAAGCGATATGCATGCGTTGTGTCGTTCAGCAATCATACTGGCCTGATGTACTGATTTTTGCTCAACTCTTCGATACACCGGTGTAGCGATGTGTGCTGATCCCTTGGATTTGGTAACTGGGTAGACCCAAGACCCCAATGTTCTAGCTTACCTATACAAGTGACTACATTGATCGTCAATCTTTCCGCTTCGCCGGATCGATCTGAGGCCGAAGCAATATTCAGCGGATTGAACTTCTTGCGTCGCCACGATGTACGACCATTGGTCAGAGATGGCGGACCACATGACTATCGTCGATAGCACTGGCGACTCAGCGTACGCTCGCTTCGCAGGAACTCACTATAGAGAGTAGAGCCGCTGATTGCCGAGATCTAGGGTCAGATAGATAGTCTTCGAGCATCTGGTCCTGGTTCAAGGTTCTATTGCCGAGAGATACGGCGAAGCTGACATCTTCAAATGGCTTGTAGATGTTCCATTCTCTTGTGTCGACTCCACTGATGTCGCAGGCAGAAAACTTCGGAGTCTATAGCATGGTTAGACTATGTGAAGTTGGGGCGAGTATCAGGAACGCATCGTTCTGAATGGAGTCTTCACATGTAATCATGTTGACCTTCCGTCCACTCGTCCATGCCGGTAGGAGTTGTCATGACTCAGCGCTGATGAAAGAGAGTGGATCATGTGAAAATCTGAGCACCGGTCGAAGCACGCCGCAGACGTTGGGAGGTCATTTCAATGCATGATAGGGTTGTTGCGAAAAATGTACAGAGCTACCTGTCAGGCAGATGTAAGTTACAATGCACAATTTAGAGACTAGACAGTCAGTACGCGTAGGCCAAATGAAGCACTCACGTCAGCTCCTCCAAGCCCTGGGTGAACGACTGGATGGTAGTGATCAAAGCGCCTTCATCAGTTCCGTCGACGCCTTCGACGAGGAGCACGTATGTGGCACTTCTAGCTGCGACGAATGGCTAGAGGGAGAGGATGAGCCCAGGCTGTCGGACTGGGTACCTACCTTGCCATTGAGCGTGGCCTGGATATAGTCGGCAGTACCATTGGTCACGTCTGCGGTGCCTTCCGATCCGACGTGAAGTTTGGTCGGAGGGTGTCCATCTCCACTGGCCATCGTTGGATCGCCTTGTCGAGCAAAGGTCAACATGCCATCGAGGATCTGCACGTATAAGCCGAGGTAGAGATAGAGACGTGATGACGCACTTTTCTGACTTGATCAGGTTCGAGGTCGAATGGCTTCTTGGACGAGGCGACGCAGAGGAAATCATCTTGGTCAAAGAGAGCTGCTCGACCCACACGGTCCGAGTTGAGGAGACGGTTCTGAAGCAAACCCTTGGGATCACCTCCCTCACCCTGAATCAAAAAGTCAACGTCGTTCGCCCGAGTTTGCAATGTAAAGCTAACCTGTGAGTCGAGCTTTGCAGCGGTCGTGTGGTCCTCGGTCGCTTCCTTGTGACCGGAAGAGCGATTAGGGCCAATGTTCTAGTGAGCCATGTCAGCGCCACAATGACTTATCGGGAGGATACGCCTGGAAGTATCCTCACCAAGTTCTGAGTGGACATGATACCGTATGAGATTGAATGGAAGTCAAGTGAATGGATGCCATACTATGCGCTGTTAGATCCAGCAAATGGGGCTTCACTTCTCGACGTGACGTCAGCCCATGACCATAAAGGAGAAGGAATTGGGCATTCACTATCGATCGTCAGCCAAAAATCGACGATCCCGGCCTGACCATGTGGCAATCTGCTCACGCGGTAAACAGCTCCAGGCTCTATGGCTCTACTACTATTCATCCATTATTTATGACCGGTCCTTCTCCGGACGACCCCTCGATGAAGCGGGCCATTCTCGACGTATCATGACCTCCTCTGCATGCATGGATCCCGCTCAAACTCGCCGGGCTTGATTGACTGACAGTGAGTCGTCGATCGCATCCACCGTGGGAATTCCAGCAAAAAGAACGCGTCCTTGGCATTTGATTCCGGCGGGCTCGATTCGATCCGCTTTGGACGGCTTTTGATCACTACTACTGATCACTACAGCTCAAGGATGATGGATGGAAGGCTGAGCCTTGGCTCGACAGTGCGCCTGACCTCTGGGGCTGAGGCGAGTGAGATGATCCCTACGTCTAGCTAACGTTGCAGATACCACAACTTGGCTTTGGTGTCTATCTGTCTCCACCCGAAGTCACCGAGCGATCGGTTAAATGGGCCATCGAAGCGGGATATCGACACATTGATTCGGCGCAATGGTACTTGTGAGTGGAGGGCGAGAAGGTCGGAGATGCTGATTGCTGATGCATGATAGCAACGAAGAGCAGGTCGGTGAAGCTCTTCGAACCGCCAATGTCCCTCGATCAGATCTTTTCGTGACCACCAAGCTTGGTCACCCGGACCAAATCGAACATCGATTACGAGAGAGTGTGGAGAAGATTCATCCGGGTGCAGACGGTTACGTTGATTTGATGTTGATTCATTCGCCCACTGCTGGTCCTGAAGGTAGGAGAGAACAATGGAAGATCATGGAGAGTTTGGTGAAAGAGGGAAAGATCAAATCGATCGGTGTTTCCAATTAGTGAGATCGCTTTCGAGAAGAGTGCATGCTTACACAAAAGTGGACTCAGACATCTCAAGGAAATGCAGGAGTATGCCAAGATACCTCCCGCAGTGAATCAGATTGAGGTGAGAGAGCACCGTGTGGTATGCACGCAGGAACTAACCAAGACCAGCTACATCCATGGTGCCAGGCAAGTCCTGCTCCTTCATCGCTAGCTACCCCGAAGCTAAAGGCACCACACAGCAAAAGGATATCGTGTCCTACTGCCAAGAGCGAGGGATCGCTCTCGAAGCTTACTCTCCGCTCGTCCAGGGGACTCGATCTTCCGATCCATACCTGACCGCCATTGCCGAAGAGTGCGGAAAGTCTTGGGCTCAGGTCCTGATCCGATGGAGTCTGCAAAGAGGGTAAACAAATCCTGGTCTCCAAGCGCTAACACTGGCACAGCTTCATCCCGCTACCCAAATCCGATACTCGTTCTCGAATCATCGACAACACTGACGTCTTCGACTTTGAGCTCAACGCCACCCAAATGTCCCAACTTGACAGCTTGGATCGCGACGAACATGTATGCATCAACAATACGAATGTACCATAGATGTCTAGAAGAATCGGCTAGCCCTTATGCATCATGCTTCAAAGATCCGCCCGGTGCTAACGTTGAGCTTTGGCATCAGCACCATCCGCATCGAGTCTGCTCACCCTTGTCCATCTTCGACCTTGCCACCACCACTTGAGTAGAATGCTGGGCCACCAGAGGTGCCACAAGACGAGGAAGGGTATTGGATCGTCTGCGACGAGCGATGGATCGACTCGAAGTCGGAGAGGGTTTTCAAATGGCCTCGGACCATTGTCTCGAGGCAGGCAGGCGGGAAGAGAGGGGTGGATCAAGCTGAGGACGGAGGAGTCCGGTATGATCCTGGGAAGATATCGCATGATGAGGTCGTTGTAGATCCATGACCGAGGCAGAGATCTTGGTCTCGGTCGAAGCGTTCCGACGGCGGCATGGTCGTATCGTCCTGCAATGTCATCTAGTGGAAGTAGGATAATAGCGGTATGCACTCGAGCATTGCATTCCAAAGGGTACATCTCGTCGTCCTTGGTTGAATGAATGAAGTCGAAAGAGAAATGTCCTGTCAATCGGCGCTTCTTCCCAGAAGCGGTGAGACCATCCTTCAGCTTAGCTAGCAATGCTCTCGTCCAGAGCTCTGCACGTTGTCCGATGACCTCTGTCGTTGCGTCTTCGTACGTCATGAGCATATCGTTTGAAGGGCAAGTGACAAAAGAAGTGATTTGTCCGTCAATGACTGAGGCGTGTGTGCACCATTCTTACAATGTCAAACTTGCGAGATCGGGTATAGGGACTCACCTTGACCCGTGATGAACTCTTGAAGGACATAGGGATCTCGCTTCGTGATCCTTGTCGTCAAGCTCTCCAGCGCAAGGCGTGTCCGTGTGAGTTTCTCGTCGTCTCTGGCCAAAGGATACAATGTCATATCACCACGATTCTCGTCCAATCCAAGACATTTGATGATGAACCTGGGCTCTTGATCGGTCTGTCCTCGAAAGAATGCGATGGCTTGATCGACGTCTGTAACTTTGGTACCGGCCGGAGTCGGTATCCCTAGGCGAACAAGTAACGATATGAACCGATCCTTGTCATGCAGATCCTCCATAGTCTCTTGGTCCTGGATAAACGTCTCACATACGCCTTTAGTATGCTCTTTGAGAGCCTCAGCGAGCATGGCATCTTGGACGGACGAAGCGACACCAGAGACAGGTATGAAGAGGCTGGCTCTGTGGGACGAAGCGATGGCACAGATAGCAGCTTTGTGCTGCTCAAACGAGGTCGTTGGTGATCGGACAAGATGAAACGAATCGACCGCTTTAGAGAATCGCATGGGACAGAGCTCGCCCCAGCTGTCATCATTAGTCTCCGACACAGCTTCGTAGGTGATCTCACCCGGTCTCCTCTACGCCGATGACCTTCCATCCTGCTCGCTTGAATGCTCGGGCGAGACTTGAGACTCAGCAGCGGACCCAGTGACAAGTACTTACTGAAGACCTTTACTCATTCGTCCTCCGCTTATGATGACGCATCGCTGAGTCTTCGGAGTCTGTTTGAGCCTTGGAGTCAGGCGATCTCGGAGCAAACAGACAGCTACTGCGAGAATGGACACGGGCAAGAGACAGAGAGACAGCAGAGGTACTACCACCCCCGTTACAAAGCTCTGCGCTCGTGTTGGCGCCTGGCGTGGCATCGTCGTTCGTGAGATGTGTTGAGGCAAACTTTGACGACTGAGCCTAATCTGCCTTATCTCCAAGTCTCGCTTCGATTCCGCTTTACTTCCGATCTGACGCGGTTGTGTGCTCATCGCCGCTGTCACACAATGCGACATCTTCCCAATTGACGTGAAGCTATCGTGTGCATGCTGTTTTGTGTATTCTACAGGTAGAGAGTAGATGGACGACGATCTGTCTGCTCGTTGACTCTTTTTGGGTACAAGGTAAGATGGTTCTTTGACGGAAGCAAAATTTCAGACTCTAGGCGACATCTAAGCGGCGACCCTGGTAGCTGTCATCTGATAGGGACTGCTGTCAGTATACTGTATGTGTGCCATTGATGTACGATGCGACTCACGCCGTTGACGACATGGCCAGTGCCATCGATAGGGACGGCTCCGGCAGCGACAGCGGCAGTCTTGACCTTGACGCCTTCGATACCGTTCCTCTTGAGGCTGTCTGCCGTGTCTTTGGGTTGACCCTTGGCAGCGTACTTTTCAGGGTCGGCACCAAGGTCTCCAGCATCGACGTAGGCTTCGAGACCATCTCCGGAGCCGTAACGAGATTTGACAAAGTCTTTGTGGACTTTGAGGATGGATTTGAGCTCGGAGAGAGGGACATCGTTGAGGAATAGACATTTTCCAAACTCGCCGTCGGGGACAGCGAATCGCTGCTTGCCGTCGCGGGTTTTTCTTCCAGCGTCAGCCGTGAAAGATGTGTTAGAACTCACTTGATTGCTTCGGTAGCTGCTTCGATGAGCTGCTCGTCGAATGCTTCGTGATCCATCGAAAGGCCGACCGAGGAGATGAGGTGGAACCATTCGTCTCGCTGGACATCGTTGATCAATCCTCGAGAGTGGGCAAGGGTGATAGAGTAAGCCATGTCGATCTGAGGCAATTAGCATGATTCCGAGAATCAGACGACTCACAGTGATGGCATGTCCGTGTCGCAGAGGAATTCGAGGAGTCAGTTCAAGGGTAGGAGACCAGGTGTGGCCGAATGCGATGACTCTGTCGAGCCCGATCTCGTGAAGGTTGGGCGATTCGAGCTGAGCTCGTGAGACTGATGGCTAGAGTCCCCTTGCTTACCTGCAGCATCGTCTCGATTCCTCGGTGGCAGACCTCGAGACCAGGAGCCTTGACGCTTTCACCTCCATCTTTGTGACCGAAACCAGTCTCAACGAGTTCCTTGCCGTGTTTGACCAACAGCTCCCAGACGGGCTTGTCGCCAACAGAGGCGATCTTGATGAGCTCGGCAAATCCGTTTCGAATCTATGTCGTTAGAAGGGGAGGAACGCCGGGGAATATCTCACCTGGCCAACGGGAAGCGTTCGCAAGAAGGAAAAGTCGAGGAAGGTGTGGAGAGGAGCGTGGTAGGCGCCAAGTCTGGACCTAGTCAGCTATAAACTCAGCCCGCAAACCCACCTGTTCTTTAATTTTCGGTGGTTGACGGCGACCTTGATACTGACGCTAGCGTCGATGAGACCGATCAAGGTCGTGGGGATTCGGATGAAGTTGCTGGTTCGTCGGTAAGAGGCACAAGCGTATCCTGCGACATCGGTAACGAGACCACCTCCGATGACCAAAGTCGGCTCGGTTCTGACGATCCCGAACGAGTCCATGGCATCGACGATCTCGAGCATGGTCTGGACAGTCAGAGTGGGGCCATGATGTAGGAACTCACGTCCATGGTCTTGTTGAGCTCTCCTCCCGCGACGACCTTCCAAGTGATGGGAATGCCATAGTGCTTGAAGTAGGTCTCAATGGTGGATTGATAGATGGGGTGAACGACTGGGAAAGACTGTCAGATACCGTATCGTGCAAAGACGGTGCTAGTCAACCCACTCGTGTCAATGACGATCAAGACTCTTCCCCATTTCTCGTAAATCTCTGCAAGCTTCTTGTTGGCGACATCAAAGACTGGCGAGGTGTAGTGGAAGTTGTACTTGAGTGATTCGTACCCGGTGACGGTGAGTGAGCCATTGGGCTCCTTGGTGAGTGTGGCTTGGAGGTCTGACATGGTGAGAATACAGAGAGTGTGTATGAACGTGAATGCGTGAGTGAGTAAGTGAATGAATGGATCGCGAGGATGGAAGAGACGGTAAACGAGAACCGACAAACGTGCTGACCTGTTTACACTTATATAGGTTATATAGCTATTAGCCGAGGACTCTCTCTCACAACTGGATGAACCTGCGATGGAATGAATAAACCAAGCGATCGATTGAACGGAACGACAAGCGATCGATCGATGACAAGATATGGGCTGCTTCTGGCTCAGGGTCATATACAGTGTGTATGTATGCACATCTATGCACAATTAGGGTGAGGGTGGGCTGCAGAAAGGGGCGAGCGAGAGGGTCGATGGCGCCAGCCCAGAGAAAGCGAAAGAGAGAGAGCACTATTGAAGCGATCACCATCATAAAACTCGTCAACTCCCCTCGATTTCGTATAGGTTCGCGCAATGATCACGCCTTCCGTCGAAAGGGGCAGAGGGGTGGAAGTGGCTTGTATGCATAGAGTGGGAGAGCCAGGAGGGAGTTGGACTGAAGGGCGGATGCAGGTTAGGGCCATTCCTACCGCCGCCGCCGCCGCCGCTTCCCTCCCTTGACACACCCACACCGCTAAAATGATAATCCCCCGCTACGTGGTTTCCAGCTAATCAAATCCCCCCTCTTTTTCTCGCTCAAAGCGGTAAATTTCAAGTTGATTATATCTTATCAGATCGCCGATCGGGCGGGCGGGCTGTCATCAACGATCGTTGTCGCGTATGCTATGCATCGGCGTGGGGACTGTGGCTGTGGCTCATTGACCTTGGCGGATGTCAGCAGCAGCACATACACACTCGCTTGCATAGCCGAAGGTCCCCCTCCGTCACCGACGAAGCGTGAGTGACGTAGTGGGGGGAGGCGGGGATTGACTCATTAGATGATAGGGAGAAGTGTCGTTGACAACCAACAGCCAACCAGCCCAGCGACTGACTCCGAGATGACAACAGCACCGCCAAAATATCATGGTGAGCTGGGTTAGGATGCCATCAGAATCAGCACCAGCAACTGACAGCATGCAGAGCCTGTCCAGGGGACAATCTTCCATGTGAATCATCCACGCCCATATCTGTGTAAGGAGCTCACGAAACTTCAGGGCGACGGTCGTGAAGAAGCTCTACAAAAACACCTCCTCCAGCTGCCCGCGTTGCAATCAGATGCAACAAAACACCTCTCTCTGTTCGACCGCTCTCAGCGAGTCCTCGATGCCATTCACGAGTTTGGAAAGGGAGCGAACAGGTATCTTATGAGTGTCGGAGATACAAAGGGGAAACAGGTGGAAGAGTTGATTGCTAAGCGAAAGCCAAAGGTGAGAGCGGGATCCACCCAAATCAGCACTGACGTTCAGCTCATCCTCGAGGTCGGAACCTATGTTGGATATTCAGGCATCTCATTCTCAAGGGTACGTCCTCGTCAATCCCCGACGAGAAGCTCATCTTTTCCAGCAACTTCTCGAAGCCCATCCAGATGCGACATATCCTGCCGATTGGAGCTCTAGCGGCTCGTCGTCTAACCGTGCCGGATACATCTGTTTGGAGAAGAGCGAGGTGTACGCGAGCACTGCTCAAACCGCCTTTGAACTGGCAGGCGTGGTCAAGGCCATCAAGGTAAGTCCCCTATCTTGTGACCGAAGCTCACCCTTCCAGGTTCTTGTGGGCGGCTCCAGTTCCAGCATCAAGTCTTTGAGAGACGCGCTCGGCCTGTCAAAAGGTCAGGCGTTGGACATGATCTTCCTGGATCACGTCAAGTTCCTCTACTCGACAGACATCAAGCTCTTAGAGTCCGAAGGCTTGATCGACATTGTGAGTCGTCTTTTGCTCGAGTTGTAGATCTGCGCTCAATCCATTCAGGGCACCGTCATCGTCGCCGACAACGTGGTCAAACCAGGAAATCCAGCGTACCTTTCCTGGGTCAGAGCAACGCCCGCTCAAAAGAAGGCTTCGCTCAACAAACCAGCGTTGACGGAACAGCCAGAAACGACACCTAATCCTCCTTCTTCCGAATGGTCAACAGCCTTCAGAGACGGGCCGCTGGACGAGACGAGATGGGCTTTCCCAGAAGCAGAGGGGTACTCAGCCCCTGGAGATCCGAGCCTAGTATACAAGAGCTCCATGCTCGGCGGATGGGATCCTTACACTCAGGAAGAGGATGCGTGCGAAGTATCTGAATGCGTCGGACGCGAGTAGGTGTCACCTCTATGACCATCATCATCATTATCATCATCATGCATGCTACGTCATGAACCCTGTGTTGCGCCACGCCTCGATGCTTCGGGCAAAGTCTCGAGGTTGCAAAGCTCTGAGTTGGCGAAGGGAGGAAGAGGCCTTCTGCGCGTTGGTCGTAGCAATGTCGTATGAGACTGAAGACGGGCTATCCTCGCCGTACTGCCCGTCAGCACCGCATCACCAGGGAGCTCACCGATTGGCGCCATAAAAACAACATTTTTCGGCTAATGTCCTCGTCAGGAATCTGCTCCACTCGCTCTAGCCACTCTGATCGAGGCAACCGCTCGAACGACGTGCCGCTCGACTCTACGCCATCCAGGACAGTGGACCATGTGGTAGGGGATGGATGGACGAGATGATATATCAGGTCCGGTTGCTCCTCATGCACCAGGTCAAGTCTGCCGTCAGCAAAAGTCTAGGCGCTGAGACCCACAGGACACGAGCTGCAACATCGACCGGAAGCCAGTTCACAACCTGATGTCAGCGTCCGTATACAATGATTCCACTCACATCATCAAGCAGAGGCAGACTACGCGTTGTATCAGCCGTTCTCAGCAACAACGGCCATCCCTCAGTCTCGTTCCATACTCCCGTCTTCGAGTTTCCGCATAATTGTCCCAGACGAGCGACGACGATGGAAGAGTGGACATCACGAGCTTTTGCACAGATCTGCTCGGCGATCCATTTAGATCGAGAGTAGCCGATGGGAGTGGCAGTCGAGGGATCCGTTGATGGGGTCTCCGAGATGGATTTCTGATCCGATCTGAGGACAGAGGCGAGCGAGGAGCAGAAGATGAACCGGTTAGGCGAGCCACATCGTAGGTAGAGGGACAGCAGATTGTGGAGACCTATTGTTGGCTTTGCTCCGCCAACTTTCTGGCTCACCTTTGATGCTATCCTCGAACGATTGCAGACTACTTCCGAAATGGACTGGCCAGGCAGCCTAATCCAGTCAGCAACATTGAAAGGACGGGACCGCACGTGTATCACAGAGACCTCGCTGTCAGTAAGCGCGTCCAAAACGGCCGCGTCCAGCCCGAGATCACTGCTCGCTAAATTGGCAACGTGAACGGAGACCGAATCCAGATCATTGTCGCTTCCAACAGCCTTTTGGACCCGTACTCGCGCATCGTCGTCGTTCTCACCTCGAACCAAACAGATGATCCGGTCAAATGCGGAGTCACTCAAGGCATTGAGCACCTCTCTTCCGAGAGAGCCGGTAGCACCAGTGAGCACCTGGTTAGAGCAGTCAGCCCGATTCTTTGGAATAGCTCACCAAAACCCGTGAGAGACCGGCCTTAGGACCCTGGCTTTGGCTGAATGACCCATACTTGTCCGCCCATTCTAGCATGCGAGTGTGCTCATTGAATTCGTACAGGGATACGGAAGTGCCTTGCTGGACGCTGTACATGTATTCGGCGAGACTAGGATGCGAATCTCAGCGATGACACTTTCTGGTAGACTCACGAAGCGATTGTGGATTGCTCAAAGACCACGTTAAGGGGGATCGAGGGCTTCCCGCCAACAAACTGCGCATCAGCACGAGCGAGAGCGCTTCACTCACCTTGATCATCTGTGATCGAAGCCTCGTCGCTTTGAGAGAGTCGATGCCAGAATTGAAGAGGTCCGTATGGATATCCACCGGACTGCCCAGCATCTGCCCCACAGCATCCCGACAAAATTCTTGAATCTCCTCTCTTGTACGCTGCGCTTCCTCATCTGACTCGTCTCGCCATATGCTTGTAATCTCCTGAGCAAACACTTGATCTACCAGTCCTCGCTGGATCGTACCTTTGCTAGCCCTTGGGATCCTGTCGAGTGCTGCTACGCCGCTCAAAAGAAGGCATGCGTCTGGATGGATAGCGGCATAGCTCGGCTGCTCTCGGTTGACCTCGTTCAGTATAGGCTGGAGCTCCGCTATCACTCGGTCCTTAGGCGCATCGGTGAACACGAGCAGTCCCAAACTGGGTCGATTGCTTCCGACAACGATTGCCTCTGCAATCAACTTGGATCGCCTCAAGCGTTCTTCAACGAATCCGGGCGTTGCTTTCTCCCCGTTCGACTGAAGATCAGCACGCATTTAGGCCTCACCTCTCTCACCATCACAATGACATCGTCCCCTCGACCGGCGTACTGCCACACATCTGGCTTTGAAGGATGCGGTCGGTACAGATCGCCTGTAGCGTAACTGTCGTCCGGACGATTTGATTTAGTCTAGCAGTCAGCTACCAACTCGAGGGATCTCTCACTTTGCTCAGCCATTCGTTGCCCACCACAAGTTCGAATAGGCCATCTCGAATTGGACTCGGTTCGAAGCTCAAAGCCTGGCTGTACGCCGAATTATTTCTGAGCCAATCCCACTCCAAGTCATGCTCAAAGTCCCGATACGAACTGAGCAGGACTTGTCATCAGCGAAGAAGTATAGGATGACTCACATCCACATTCGCTACTTCCAAGCCGACTGACCAGACGGATGCCTTGCCTGACCATCTTGTCCCCAGTCTCCTTTTCCAGTGGCGCTCCCCCAGTGCTCACCAAGTCCATTTGCTTGAGCAAGTCAACTCCCGATGAATCGTCGGCCAGAGTGCTGAGGATGTAGGGGACGGAGAGAAACGAATTGACCCGATAGCGTGAAGTTTCGACACCTCGATTACACGCTTCTACAGCGAGGCACACGTTCCTAGATGTGATGGGAACTTCGGATGTGGGGTAGAGATACAGCACACTTCGTGCCATCCAAGCCCGTAGAAGGTCTGACACGCCACCGTGGAACAGGGGTGTCGTCGTGAAGGCTGCCGGCTCGGGAGGTGGACCATGTGGCTCATCTGGTAGCGCGCGACGGGGTAGAGAGGCGGTGCTGACATGATGTTTGTGCGGTATGGGTTTTGGATTACCACTCGTCCCAGAGGAATGGAAGATATGGGAAGTAAGGTGATTGTAGGACGGCAGACGAGAGCAAGGGCGAGGTGCTGTTGGTGAGGGTAACAGCGTCACCCTGGCCGGAGACTCGACCTGTTCTGCGAGCTGCTGATACTTGGAATGGTATAATAGATGATCAGATTTTGTGCTCTCTAACAGCGAAGCGATGGCGGACGGCGAGCATTGAGGTCTAATCATGAGCTTTGCGCGACTGTCCACTCACGCAACAAACAAGACCCCGTATCCAAGTCTCATGAGCGCAATCCATGCCACTAAAAAGTCGAGGTTGCTGGGGCATAATAGACCAATGGTAGGATTGTCAGAAACGGGTTTCATTTCCAAGGCAGTGGTCAGCCCATCGGCCAATCTCGAGATGTACCGATAAGCTTATCATCAGCTCCATTTCCAACATCACTCACAATACCGATCACAGACCCATCCAGGATCTGTCAGACGGGCGAACCCGACGACAGGCTCATCCTCGAATTCGTTGGCTCCCTCGTCAATTAACTGGACAATGCTTGTGATATCGTGCGGATACGACTCATTCTGCTCTCTCGAATATCCAGCTGTGGACACCAGATACGACAAGGTCATGGTCGATGCATCCAACTACATAATTATCCTCGATTCCGATGCCATAGACATTTGCATTTCATCGCGTAGTTGCACCCATCGAAGCGAGAATCATGCATGATTGAACGGAATCAAATACCACGTGTTCATGAATGTTGATGGTCCTTTTACGTCATACCCTTATTTGCCCCCCCCTTCCTTCTCGACCTGCGTTCACCAATTCCCATCAAACAACAGACCATCCGAAACGTCCTTCCAAGATGCCAGCGACGGCGTCAATACGGACAGGCGGGAAGCCGGTAGGCATTCAAGAGCTCTTGACCACCTTTGACGACTACCCTCGCATCGTCAAGGAGAGAGATGCAGCTCGATCCCAGATTGTGGCATCATCGCGAGCTGTCAGCGCCGCAGAAGAGAAACGAGATCAAGCTATCCTGGACTTGGAGAAGGAGAAGGCTGCGAGATCTATGGATGCGTCGAGAGCTGTTCAGGAGAGAAAGGATGCTGAGAAAGCCGTCGAAGCTTCCGTCCGTGGCGAGCTCAAACCGAGGATCACCGAATTGGAAGGTCGTGTGAAGGACCTGACTCAACAACGATCCAAATTGACGGACGAAATATCCACTTTGCGCCGTCAAATGGCCTCTTGGATCTCATCTATGGAGCGACTACACAAAGAGCGCAGCAACGCGGCCGAGCAGGAGAAGAAGGCCGAAGAATCTAGAATGGCGTTGAATGAAAAGCTGAGAGAGTTGGACACGCAAATCCTCGAAGGATTGAAGTTATCTTCCAAGGAGCCTCCGACGCCGGCGTTCGCCTCAGCAGGTTCTCGGGATGGTTCTGTCTCCCGGACGACATTGGCATCAAGGGAGTAAGTCTATGGTGAAGACAGTGGCTGATAAGCAGTTGAGCACTTTGCGGATATCGATAGAGATCCCGTGAATATTTTTCTTGGACATTGTCTAGCCTTGAATGCGCCTCTTGGAGCAAGTGCTAGTTGTATAGTCGTCCCGTACACACTTTCTTATAATACATCAGATGCATTCAGCTGGTATTATCTTGTGCATGCCACGTGAAGCCGTAGCTTTGGCCACCGGGCAGGTGGGGGGCATTCCCCACCCTCAGTGGTGTTGTTCGGTCACGAGGGCAAACCCCACTTTCCTTTTCGACTCTACGGAGATACCATGTCCTCCCTCACCATCCGCCCCTTTCGATCTGGAGACGAGCCCAGTCTTGCCAAGATATGCTGCGAGACTGGCAATAACGGCAAAGACGGGACTGGCCTCCTCTCTGACGATCGACTGTGGGGAGATATATGGGTCTTGCCGTATGTCAAACGAGATCCACAGCTCGCATGGGTGGTCGAAGACTTGGACGGGCAAGTGATTGGGTACACAGTCGGGACAGATGACTCGGACGCTTTCAATCAATGGTACAAGGAGTCATGGTGGCCAGCAGAGTCGAAGAAATACGAACGACCGCCAACTTCTTCCGGAGGGCCATCACGAGAGCAGACCTTTTTCAAGATTGCAGATGAGACGGGATCCACCCCTCTCAACTCGTCACTCCGCGAATACCCCGCACATCTTCACATTGATCTTCTACCTCCAGCTCAGGGCAAAGGGCTTGGACGCAAGATGATCAGAACTCTCCTGCAAGCCATGCAGGACCGAGGCATCAAGGGGGTCCATCTTGGTGCTTCGGCTGAAAATCACTCGGCTTGCGCGTTCTACCAAAAAATTGGCTTTGGGGAGGTTCCTACGCAGGACAAAGGCTCGCGGATCTTCGTGTGGGACTTGACGAAGCCATTGCAATGACGACGGGAGACATGGACTCAGTACTTTATATGTCATTAAGTCGGACGGAGGAGGGATGTTGTTGCTGAACGAGGGGCCCATCCACGGGCAGGTCACCACTACTTCTTGGCGTTGTGACATATGCATAACTTTATAGGAAATGACTAGTGAACGTAGACTGAAATCGGAGGAGAGACTGATCACTGCGCCGGTCTTCACACCGGAGCAGTACATCCGAAAGAAGTCGCTGCGCTGGTTTTGAACGTCGCGATGATGGTTTCGACCTGAGCCGGTCAGACCTGAGCCGAAAACTGGTACTCACACTTCCCCAGATACCCAGACCAGAGGTTGCCAGCGCAGCGATGAAGAAGACGGCGTTGAACCACTTGTACGCGACTCGTTTGGCGCCACCTCCGAACAGACCACGTCTCCAACGAGACGCTGACCACCAGCTATCGTAGCGCTGAACGCCAGAGACGGGCGAATACACTCCATCCTCCTTAGATGCGTCTGCTTGAACGTCGAATGCAAACTGCATGAGAGGAGGAAACGTGTAAGAAAATTGCAGCAGAATGGCGGCACCGATCAGAGCCTGGATGGTTTGAACCTGTGGAATCGCGGTTCCAATGACGAAACTGAGAATCCAGCAGTGAGCCTGTAGCTAGAAAGGTCAGCATCGATGCGGAAACTCTGACCTACAGCCGTCCAATAGAAGAAACCTTTGGTAGACATTAAGGGCGGTCCGCGGAAACACTCTTCAAACAGCAGCCAGTAGATGATTTTGACTCCGATGTTGAGGTATGTTACACTTGCCATGGTGTAGGTCCACAAGCTCAGTCTACACGTCAGATTTTGGTTCAAAGCGGCACTCACCCATTACCGATGCTTTGCCAAACGTACGACGATACACCCTGGTATGCCACCGGCAACGTATACTGACCTTGCAACCCATACACATACGCTCCATAAAGGAGATACATGAAGAGAACAATGCCTTCAGCCAGGGTGAACGACTTCCAGAACTCCCACGGGCGCCGCATTTCATTCATCTGTATATGAGCGATATCCCTCCCGTTTCACTTACAAATTCGACGAATATCATCAGACCCGACCAACCAAAGACCATGTTCATGGCACCATTGACAGAGTTGGAGAGCGGACCAGGCGGGGCTAAAACAGTGGTCGCGATGGGTGCATAAGGTGCGGTAAATCCATATGTCGAGCTAGCTGCTGCGTAGTTTGGCGGTGAATGGGCAATGAAGCCCATGCTCAGGAAGCATACGAAGATGTTCAGGAAGACATTCAAGCTGGAGATATACGACAACTTCCTGAGGGACCGGAATGGTACCGAGTTGACGAAACCGATCACTGCCCAAATGATAATAGAGACAATAAAACAGATGGGCCCAGACGCTCGATTCTGGGTGAGCAACGTCATGGACTGTGCGTTCGCAATGTTGTTGGAGCCGACGATGAAAATGATTTGGGTGATCTGCATCAGAGAGACGAGATAGTGGCCGACCTTGCCGAAGAAGACTTCGAAGAGTTCACCGAAGGTGTGAATTCTGAACTTAGCGATGACCTCATGCTAGACCTACGGATATTTTGTCGAGTCGAGCTGCAGTGTTAGTCGGGACGAATCAAGCTGACTCACCCTGAGATAGAGATTCAGCAGGAGGAAAGAGCCATAATATGCGGCAAGACCGAAGACGAGGTCTCCTTGTGAGCTTATCCCTGCAATTGACTCACAAAGCAGAACTCCACCCACAAACCCAACGGTTGAGAAAGCATATGGAGCGTTCGTTGGCCCAATGACATCCGTGGTGATCTGGCTTCAGCAAAGGGCCTTAGGCTAATCTCACAATGAAGAACATCATTCCCCAAGAAGCAGTTCTGAGCGCTTTTCGGGCATCGTCCTTGTCTTTGGCCCATTGTTCACTGGGGTATCCTCCAAGGGCAGCGACACCGCCCGTAGCAGCCTCCAATTGGGGAACATTCTCATCAATCAACTGATTCTCCGCCGTTTCTGGGCCGAAGCGATTCTCGAAAATGTTGAACCACCAAAGTCGCTTCTTTTCACTATCATCTTCAGCGGCAACCTAGGTACTGTGAACTAACTCTTTGCCTGCTGCCAAGCCATAGGCTCTCCTTTGCTGATTGGCGTGGTAGACCAACTCTTCAATGGGGACTTTGGCAAATCGTCCTATCCGTGTATCGATTGGCTCCGGCACAACTGCTCCGAGCTCGGTTTGCACGGTCCCCGGCAGTTCGGGGCCTGATTTCAATTCAGTCTTCTCCGACATCGAGGAATGGTCAGATCGAAATGGTCAACGGTCTCGCTCAAATATTCATTCGGAGCCCTATCGTGACCCGCTCCTCAGACTTCGGTGTCACATGCATCATTGCTATTTTTATATCATACAGTCAGATCTGTGTTAACTACGGCAAACCTTATCTTCGGAGCTCAGGAATTACCAACAGGCCGGACCGCGTGGGTTCATAGGCGTAATCTATCTCCTGCATAATGAATCTCCGCCCATGCGCCCGTTCCGTCTCCTCCCATATCTTGCGCCAGTCACCAGAGCGCATAGCAGGCACCGACGTGTTACTGACCCGGATTGCTATGGTGTTTGCCCCGGTCTGTAAGAATCGACCTATTTCGAGTTGATATGGCGGATCCCAAAAAGTGCCGGCCTCTTGTCCGTTTATGAGGACAGCCGCGACCACGCCAAGCGGGTCCGCAGCATGTGCCTCGAAAGATTGGTCTCGTCTGGCCGAACGCTTTGGCGTAGGCAACTTCGATGTGTCCAGATAGAGGTACGAGGGTAGCGGCGCTGCCAGCTGTATAGTAGACGTATAAGTGGCAGAGCCGACAAAATCTTCGGAATCGTCCCATTGATGTGGCGCGAAGACCTCCTGCAAATCATGCAGGGGGTGCTCGAGGGACCAGCGTTCGAGAGGAATGGACGGGCCAGAGCTCTGGGTCGAGCCTTTGGACTCATTGCCATCCTTTTGCGACGTGACGTATATAGCAGCTTCGTATGGCGCAAGCTGGCTATGGATCGGGCCTGTGCCAGACTCAAACAAACCATCATGTATATTCCAGCGCTGCCAAGACGAATGTGGTGTTCTTGTCTGTAGACTGACAGAGGATGGTGTTGGAAGGGTGTTGGCGACGAAATAGAGCTCTCCGTCAGCCAACCGCCGATGTACGGCACCGATGCCAGGATGTCCTGTGTGAGCGTCTGGTGGTACAATGGACCTGAGCTTGGAAATCAAGTCTGAAGCAGACAGGTGAATGGCACTCGGTAGTAGATCACTGTCCACGGCAAGAATTTTGATGCCTTGGCTGGCGATGTTCGCCAATGCCTCTAGGTCGTCCTTGGACAAGCGGGTGCAGCCGGTCAGCACAACCACTTTGTGACGTTGGCAGATCACTGCCACATCAAGACCGGCGTCAATCAGGTCATAGTCGTATCCAGCTTGTCGTAGAAGTCTGGGAACCTCTCCAAGTCGCATCGAGCTGGACCGCCAAAGATTATGCTCTTCCTCGTGGGTGAAGTTGGCGTAGGTGTCCTCGTACGGCATCCAGATGCCAATATCTGCTACCGGCTCTCCGTGACGCATGACCTCTGATAGGCGATGGAGATAGGAGAAGAGAGGTCTTGAAGCGTCCTTCCACCAAGCATTCCTGTCGGAGATGGCTCCAGAGGCGTAGAATGCCCACCCAGGCGAGACGACGTTTGTGGGCGAGGAAGGCCAACCATGACCGATGAAATGATTGATTCCACAGAGCACATGGTCATGAGCCTCTCCCTTGAAGTCTAAAGGCCTTGCTTTGAACGAAGGCGAGTTGATCCAGGTCCATGTCTCCGACGAAACCACGTTGATGCCCAGGTGATGAGCGGCAGACGCAGCCCACCGACTTTGCGGGACCGTCAACCACCCCCAACTCTCTCCCTCGATCATGTCGGCATGTCGGAATCCGCTGATACGGGCTGGTGGCTGACCATAGTTCTGAACGCGAAACTTTGTGCCATGTTGACGAGCCCAAGTATGACATACTGCCAAAAAGTTATCTTCGTACACCTCGGATAATGTCCGATAGTAGTCTGCTCGGAAGAGCGCTCCAGAGGGATGCGGAGACCAAAGATGGTAAAGCAATGGTACCGGGTCGTACCCTCGGCGGATCTTGAACTCTTGGACCATATTGGGTGACCAATCAGAGTGATACACCTCTAGACTGTCACAAAACACCGCAGTGACGTTTTTGGAGCCTCCAGCCGCCTTCAAAAACGGGTCTCCGACAGACTCGAGGTGGTGCATCGTCGCCTCGCGAGAGTAGTGATCGAGAGTTGGTCCCTCTGCGCCGTTAGAGGCACGTTTGAGTTGTTGTCCCGTCAAACCGGATGTCGCCACTAGAATAGTCCTCGGGGAGCCGCCGGAGGGAACGCTGACACTATCCCCGACCAGCTCCAGACGTTGAAAGGCAGGGGAGTGCTCCCCCAAGGCCCCATCTGAGATCCACGCGGCAATCAAGCAGTCTCCCGGCCACCTGCCAGGAAGTGATATCGTCTGAGAGTGAGGGCCCACAACCCGAGTTTCGAATCGCAGGCGTTTAGCCGCGTGCTCCGAAGTTACATGAGATCCCCCGAAGGACCATCCACTCCCTATTGTCATGTCGAATCGCATGCCGCGAGCTTGCGCTGCCCGTGAAGCGTACGAGACGAGATCCAGGAAGTGCTGAGATCCGTAAGCTACTGGCTGCTTTGGTGCTATTGGGTAGACGCAGGATAGCTCGACTCCGCCTATGCCGGCTTTGACCATTGCATCCATTTGCTGGTCAATGTCCGCCTTTGTGTTGGTGCATCCAAACCACCACCATCGCACCATCACCCGGGAGGCAGGAGTGGGTTCCGAGAATAGCTGAGCGAGCTCACGACACTCCATCATCGTGGATCAGCAGCTTTTCGTAGAGTGTCGACAAGCAAGAACAATTCAATTCATTTATAACAAGCCTGAAATCGGAAGATGTTTGTGCCGATCCGGCGCCGGCCCGTTCCCTAATCTCTATGCATGTTTCACAATACTGTACTATTTCTCCGAACGGCTCAACGAGAAACAGGCCGAGGCGGATTTACCCCTTCTTCACCCAAGAGCCTATACAGGCAAGACTGCAACAACTGGTTCCACAGCATCGTTCTTCTCGCTGTCATTTGAAAGGTCTTTGGCCGAGGTTTCGGCTTGCCTATCATTATCAGCATACACCTGTCCCTGTAACTAACCCGAATGTGCCGAAAACATCGTAATCATCGATCTCGCCTAGATGAGGAATAGGGAAGAGTGTGGCCAACGACCAGTACAGGAGTCCAGAAATCGTGAATCCCACTGTTGTTAGACAGCACAGGCTCATGTACTCACGAGGGAAGCATAGGTAGTACGCATGCTGAAGTCCGATGGGAATTGAGATGGTTGATACCTCACCCAGGAATCCCGGGAATAGTGGCGCTACGCCCAGTACCCAGGCCACAGGAGCTCTCCAGTTAATGCCACGCCAATACCAATAGATCGAGCTCGAAGAGGCGTCGTACTGGCGACCAAAATCAGCCGGAGACCACGCTTACAGACATACCAGAGACGAGAGCTTCATTTTTTGCTTCCTCACTACAACGTAGTCGAACACCATGACACCGGTCATGGGCCCAAGGAATGTGGCGTACCCGCCCATGACAGAGATGAACACGGTCGCGCCTGATAACAGAGCCCACGGACACATGGGCAGTGCCATGAGTGTGGTGATGTAAGCGCCTCGTCGGATGTTGATGTACCTGGGGAATAGCGACGCCAAGTCGATTCCTCCGGAGATCGCATTGCCTGCAATGTTGATTCCGAACTGAGCAATGAGGAAGGCAAGTGCTGAAGATCTCAGCTCTTTCACCGTTCACAGGACTTACAGGCGAAGAAAACCGCTGCTCTCGCGCCATTTCCTCCGTTGGCTTGAATGGTGCTGAGCAGTCCGTATGGCGTCCATAGCAGGCCCGCTTCGGGATAGAACTGAGCGGCACACGAGGTACAGACGATACCGATGAGACAGGTGAGGATGCTCATGATGGGGACGACAAAGATCTGTGACCATACTTGATCACCGGGTTTGACAGCGAAACGAGTGTAGTCAGACATGTTAAGGATCTGGACATCAACGGAGATCTAATCTCGACGCCTACCCCGGCACAGATGCCACCCATCTGAGAGGAAATCCCGTAGAACATGGCCCAAGCAAGGGCCGCACCTTTTGCGGGCTGTATGCCAGTGTACTCAGTCTGGCTTCCAGACAAGAGTGGTCCGCCACCCCGTGCTCTAGCCACAGACCAGATGAGTAGGGAGGATGCAGTAATACTCGAAGTGATGGCGGCGACGATGAACGGCTTCCGGAATTTTTCGGGCGGGATGTGGAGCAATGGAAACGATAACAGGAGGAAAATGATGAAGCATAGAAAGTCGGCGGAATCCATGTGTGTCGATGCTGGAAATACGTTGCGCATAGCTTCGGTCGTCAGACAGGTCCACGTCTGCGCTCACTGTAGATCGACGGAGCAAGAGAGCCCAGCAGAGTTTTCAGAACCTGTCCACCGAACCACGCTTGAGCTGAAGAGATCAGGCACCTCCTATCTGTGTCACTCACTGGAAGACCATGTAAACGACAGGATGATTCGGTTCGCAAGCTGTAGATAAGCGACTGGATTCGTCATGTTTTCTCACCGGGAACAACGAGCCCCAAAGACCCCAAGTCATTCGATTCCACATGGGGAATCCAACATGCCATCTTGCACCAACCAAACCAGTCAGGACCACACAGGTTGCGACCAAAAGATTCCCAATAACGGCGACAGCCATCGATTGACCTTAGGCATCAGGAATGAAGCTTCAGGAACTTCTCACCGACAGTCAATCCCAGTGACAGCAAGGCAGAACCACCAGACCAGCCAGAGATGTTCACTCCGGTGGTGATCCAGAATCCAACGTAAGACCAAGGTCCCCAAGTCCGTCTTGAGGGTGGTAGAGGCACGTTATCTCTATTCAACTGGACGTGAGCGGGATTTGACAACACAGCCTACCCATCGCGAGGTTTGCCACACCTCAGCCTCCTCCTCGCTTTGTCCCACCAATAGCTTTTGTTTCAGACGCATAACGATAGGGTCGAGTAGATGAGAGATCAAGAGCGATTTGGTCTCCTACCTTATATCTATCTTCCCATTGGACAGTTCTCCGCCAAGGACCGGCGCTTATGTTCGGACAAGACCGGGTCCTTATCTTGATGTTCGGCTTCTCTGCCGAAGATCCAATACTCCCCCACATCCGAATCTATGAAGGGGGTTTTCGTTCGGTACTGACACCACGATAAGCATTCTTGTGCATCTCTACGAACATGGCCCTAAGAATTGGAGTCGATGTTGGAGGTACCAATACGTAGGCCCACGCTGTGAATGTCTTCTGACCTGCGGCAGCGATGCTGTCGTCCTTGACCTTGCGCCGAATGCCGCTCGCCCGGTTTTGGCGTCTTTCAAGGCCCAGACGACGCCAGATGTCACGCTTGGAATTCGAAATGCTGTGATAGGCTGCCTGAAGAAGGCCGATGTCGACTTAGCACGCATACAAGCGGTCTCGATTGGCACAACCTCCTTTGTTAATGCTCTGATCGAGCGTAATCAGTCACGATTGCAAAAGGTTGGCGCGATCAGGCTATGTGGAGCTTATAGCCGTCTTACCCCTCCTTTTTCGGGCTTTCCCGTTGAGCTAAGGGCTATATTGGAAGGCCCTGTCTTCTTCGCTCAAGGAGGTCTGCAGGTAGATGGCTCCGAGATCTCTACCGTTGATGCGGGAGAGATCAAAGACATCTGCCGCGTGCTCCGAGAGCGAGGGGTCGAAACGGTGGCTGTATCCGGCATCTATTCTCCAATCGATCACGAATTCAGACAAGAAGAGCTCGTTCGGGCAATCATTCAGCAGGAGCTGCCGTCGATTTCTGTATCGATCTCGAAAGAGATTGCAAACCTGGGTATGTGTTTGTGAATCGTAAAGCTGATCCGCAGGGCTACTGGAGCGTGAAAATGCCACCATTCTGAACGCATCTCTCTTGCAATACGCTCAAAAAGTCGTCGATGCATTCCTGAAGTCTGCTGAGGCACTTGGACTGGCCTGTCCCGTCTTTCTCACGTCCAATGACGGCACTCTCATGAGTCTCAGAGATGCCATTCAGTACCCTATCAAGACTTTCTCCAGTGGTCCGACTAACTCGATGCGAGGGGCACACTTCCTTGCCAGCTGGGCGAGCGGACAACCCCGCAAAGAGACAGCACTGGTTGTGGACATTGGAGGAACAACCGTGAGCAGAGACTTGTGGGAAAGTCTGACCAAATCAGACAGAAGTCGGCGTGTTACTGTGAGTGGATAAGCTCTCATGCCAAGCTGAGCTCAGCCCGACTGGATTCCCGCGTCAAGCTGGAGCCAAACACGACCTCGTTGGCGTTTCCCTTAACTTTTCGATGCCCCATGTTCATTCGATCGGGCTTGGAGGAGGCTCTCGAATTCGTCGAGATACGACTGGCAAGGTGACAGTTGGGCCAGACTCCGTGGGTTACGAGATCACTGAGTCCAGAGCATTTGGCGGCAGTACATTGACCGCGACCGATATCGTGGTGGCGGCCGGCGTTGCGCCAGATGTCGGCAACCCAGAATTGGTCAAAGACCTGGACTCGGAGCTAAGTCAAGCAGCTCAGCATCGGATGAAAGCGATGCTGGAACTTGTCTTGGACGAGATGAAGACTAGCAGTCAGGAAGTCCCCGTTTACCTTGTCGGTGGAGGCGCAATTCTATCTCCAGAGAGTCTTCGAGGGATCAGTCAAGTCCATCGGTTTCCTCACGCGGATGCTGCGAATGCTGTCGGAGCGGCCGTGGCCCAGGTGAGGCGCGGTATGGATGATCGCTGAGCCCGTCAGGTCTCTGGAGTCATCGATACCTTCAGAGACACGAGCTCAACGCCTGTCAGCGAGGTTCGCCGTCAAGTAGAAGCAGAGGCGATCGCCAAGGCCGTTGCAGCCGGATCGGATCCAAAGACGACCGTGATCGTTGAGAGCGAGGCCATCCCAATTGCATGTGGGTGGATGGGTCGGATGCGGCTGACTCCAGACACTGCTGGTCGTTGTAGATTCTACGTGAAAGCCGCCGGCGATTGGGTCGGGATTGTCGTGACATCCAAGGCAATGATTGGGCGCCACGATGCTCCGACCGTTCCAACGCCAAGTCAGTCGAAGCGATCGGCGGTAGTGGTCAATGATAGCCTGACCTTGCCGGCGAAGGACATACACTGGACCGCTCAGTCTATATTGTCTTATCGGCCCCGTATCGTCTCTAGAGAGTGGATTCTGTCCGAAGTGGATCTTCAGTGGATTGCAACCGGTTGCTACATTCTGGGCTGTGGGGGAGGAGGAAGTCCAGACCACGAGAGCCTGGCCCTTCAGAAAATGATTCGCGAGGGCTGTGTCGTGCGCGTGGTAGATGTAGATTCGATGAAGGACGGCTACTGCCTGTGGGGTGGAGGGATAGGCTCCCCGGAGGTTTCAAGCGAGCGTTTGATGGGAGAGGAGTACAACGAGAGTGTCGTTGAGTTACTTGCATATCTCAAGGTAAGTGAACTAAGGCGCACAAAGCTTATAGCAGATGGACGATTGCGTGGCCCTGGCAGCGCTCGAGATTGGTGGAGGGAATGGGATGATCAACATGATCACGGCCGCCAGCAACAAGCTGAATCTCCCTGTTCTGGATGGTGATTTCATGGTAGGTGACCAGATTGTCTGAGCTGATCCAAGGGTCGTGCCTACCCTACTGGATGGCAGACGACTCCCATTGTGTATGACACTGGCGACCGTGGCGAGATGATGCTCCCCTGCGGTATAGCCTCCGGCGATGGATCTTCCATTGTGAGAAGTCGGCGACTGTCTCGCTAACCCTCAGATCATGACAAAAGCACGTCACTACAAAGACGTTGACTCGATCCTGCGTGCCGGCTGCGTGGAGATGGGCACCCATGCCGGGGGTGCCATGCGCCCTCTGGATAAAGATCAATGTCAGCAGATGATGATCAAGAACACAGTGTCTCAGGCTTGGCGAATTGGCAGAGCAGTGGCATTGGCGAATAAGAGTTCGCAGTTAGGCCGGATTGGTGAAATCCTTGTCGACGCACTGGGCGGCCCGGGGTCCGCAAAAGTTTTATTCTCCGGGAAGATCACCGAAGTCGTTCGTCAGATTCGCAAGGGACATAGCTATGGTGAAGTTGTGATAGATGCGGTGACACTGGACGACGCGAACGAACAGCAACCCAGATATACTGGTCAAGTCAAAAGTGAGTATGGTAAACAGATACCTTGCTTATTTCAGTTCCATTCAAAAACGAAAATCTCTACTGCGAGCATCGAGCCGACGGCAGGACAGAAATCCTAGCGACCGTACCCGATCTCATCGCGGTGATAGACAGTCAATCAGGCTGTGCACTTGGAACCCCTGGTGAGGATTCTATCAAGACAACTTGCTTACCCGTCAGACTACAAATATGGACTCAGGGTGATCGTAGTAGCAGTTGTCGCCGCGCCGCAATGGACGGACACACAGCGGGGAATGGAAATTGGTGGAATCACCTCGTTCGGTTTTGATCTGCCTTATAATCCGGTCGGACGATACGTCAAACCCAAGAGTGTCATCGAGGAATATGGTGACCCCTGATGCATACTACTGATATCGCCATTCGCAAGGGTGAAGCCCGACTAACTGCCTGCAGCCACTTCAAGCTTCAGTTACAACGTTGTCCTCCTGCGCATTCTCGTCATGCCTTCCGTGATACAGATCCTCACTCTCCTTCTCGAGGTAAATAAGACAGTCCCTCTTTGCCTTGGGAACACTGAGTAGAGCAACGCAAGCGATACCGATGAGTCCAGTAAGGAAAGTGAACCAGAACGCGTAATTGGTGTTACCGTTGGCTCGGTTAATGATTGCACCGCCTGTTTCCGTCAGCACAGAACGACCGACACACTCACAGATGAAGGGCCCGATGAAGGTGGAAGTCTGGGATACAGAATTCATCAATGCGAAGAACAGGTACACTTTGGGAGCGGGAGCAACCTCGGCAAGGATGACAGGAGCGTAAGAGAAAAGACCGGGTGTCATGAGACCAAGGAAACCTTGGTAGAACCAGAACTCCCATTCGTTGTGGAAACCAATCTTGGTGGTCCAGATACCAATGACACCCCAGAGACACATGAAAACGATCCATACAGAGGTCCACAGGAACATGTACTTGGGAGGAATGCCGAACCTGCGCTGGATGAAGTCCATTGCCACGTAACCGATGAAGGAAGTGCCGTAGACGACCAAGAAGAGACCAGAGTATTCGAGAGCGGAGAAAGAAATGGCGTTGTTCTGTAAAATGTTGACGATCGAGCCAGTCGTAGAATAGCAATCGACGATCAAGAAATAGCCAAAGATCCAGAAGAAGGTGTGCTTGAGGTATCGGATGGTCTTGGCCGCCTGCCACACCTGAGTCGGTCCGGCAAGATACCATTTGGTGCCATCGGGAAGCTTCTGTCCCGGTCGGAATTTCTGGCACACAAAGTACGGGATACTGACGAGCAACCAGATGGCGGCGAAGAATCCAATGATGGCGGCGTACTGCTCGTACTGCTTCTGGGGGGTCGCACTGCCAATGCCTTGGGAGATACCAATGCCAATGCCGATGCAGATCGCAACACCGAGCGAAGAGCAGGCTTGAAGACGGTTGTTGATGCGAGAACGTTCCATCATGATGGCTTGGTCGTGTTCCTCGGCACTGGATGTGTGAGATCAAAGCTTGACTTGTCTACCTACGTTTTCTGTCCAAGCAAGACTTGTTGTTCCGACTCGATCATCTCAGGCAGGTCACGGACGATACCCGGGAAAGCACCGTTGAAGAACGCCACACAGCAATTGAAGCCTCGAAAGGTAAGTGCGCGCATACAGCCTGGAACTTACAGACTGTTCCCAACACGTACATGGCTGAGTTGGCCTGCCATAGCCTGGGTTTGTCGAGTAGGGCCTCAATAACTTCGACAATGATACCAAGCGAGTTGATGACTATGAGTAGTGAGCCGTCATTCTTAAATGAGACCTACACATCAGGATGTACGGTCTCCAAGTACCATAGTCGGCGTAAGGTCCGATGATAAGCAAGATACAAAGCTGTACCGCAAAGGTGATTCCGTTCAGGTCGAGAATGTACGAAGTTGTCGATGTCTCTTTCCCACCCCAGTGCATTGTGAGTGAAGGAAAGTATGCCTCCAAGAGCTGTTGCTGTTGGGCCGACCCGAAGTTTCCGATACCGGTTCCAGTAATACCGATACCTATGGATTAGCAAGATCCCTGGAGGTGTTCACTTACAGAAGATACAATAAGTCCAGTATTCTAACTTTGTGGTGACTTGTCTAGGACCATCGGTGGTTGGCAGCATGTGAGCTTGTTGCAAGGCAGCCAGACCGGCGCCCCCCTGCTGCTTCTCCAGCACATCATGCTCTGCAATCTGGCTCGCAGCTGCAACTTGCACATCGTCCTTGGTACCCAGGTCATAAGACGGAGGAATGTCTTTGACGCTCTTCTCTGTTTGGCCAGTGATATCGTTGGACATTTTGGTTGGAGAATCTGGGGTATCGCCTGTGGGGAGCATTCGTACCCATGTGTTATAAAGGCTTCCTCACTCGTTATCTCCAGACGCATGCGACTCCAAATGACTTAATCACGTTATCACGAGACACATGTGATGCACAATTCAATTTTGGAAGGGATGGGAACATTGGGAACATTTGAGCTCGATTTAACCCCGTGCCTGATCATAAATAGATACTGCATGCCACAATTAGCTACCTGCCCAATCTGGATCGATTTGCGCGCGGATCTTGCTATTACGACACACGTAGGTCACATGGCTATGCATGGTTGCATGGTAGAAGATCCGCTCAGGCCTGGGGCTTGAAACACCCCCAGGTGGAAAAGTTGTTGTATTGGTACCCAAAGTCGGGTGCGTGGGATATCAAGCCACTGAGGTAGGTTCCGTCGGCCTGATATTGCCAAGTGCACACATCGTAAGGGCAAGGTTCGGTAGTGTTACCACCAAGCAGCTGAGCGACGCCCGCAGTGACCCCGACAGGATGGTGGTAGTCGTTGAAATATGTCTAGAGTCAGCCAGACGATTCCTGAAGAGACCTACGCAGGATGCCAATGCAATTGTCTCGTTGTTCTTGCCTTGATAATCCCCTGGCTGAAAGAAGGCATCTGGCCCGAACCAGGGGCCTTCAACCGTCCGGATGGGCTCAAAGCCGTAACAGGCGGAGAAGAATCTGCCCTGTTGGCTCGGACCTCTGTTTGACACTTACGCTCTCTCAAAAAGCTGCATGCTCATACCATCCGGCTTTTTGACTTCCATCCGCTCATCGTAGGCGGCAGTCATGCCGACGAGGGCACCAATAATGCTGAGGGCTTTGATAGAGAACATTGTGGGTGATGGACTGACTGGGATGGAAAGATATTCTGAATGTGAATGCATGCTGCAGGTCACGACCATGTTATTATATAAGATCGTGGCCTGGAGAAGCGATACATTCAATACGTCTTGTTCGTTGCTAGCGCAATCACACAAATCTTGTCCATCCCTGATGACACTGCTTTGCGTTCAGATCCGAGGGTAATTCCAAAGTTGGACATGGAACGTCGTTTTCCGATGCAGAGGCTCCACTTATCGGAGATAGGATCTTGTGTCTGTGTCTGCTACAAGTGATTGCGAGCATAGCAATCAACGGATATTCCTGATTTTCTCGGTGGAGTGATGCCATTGATCACAGCCCCAGCGGAGGACAATGCGGACTGGTCTGTAGTTCGATCCAACTGACAGCTTTGAGCTGGACCCCAGGCGGCATGATCCCGCTGACGGATATCACCCTCGCCGTATCGTACGTGCTCAATACCGCTCAAGTTCGGTGTCATAATTCCCGTCGCAAAACCCTTCACCGACGAATGCTGGACTTGTTGCCATCGCCTAGTACAAGTTGGCTTGAATAGTATGATTCGCTCACGAGCCTATCTACATGCCGGAGCGACACAGTGGCTGGAGAAAGAGTCGGTTTTGTCATCTTCGTCTGGCCGTATGCAACTCGATGTGCAGACTGATGGTGACACTAGGGGCTTCATTGATGCTGTTCGAGCTGGCAATTGTCTTTGGCCGTCATGGTCCACCGATTCGTGGTGGTGGCGCTGAGGCATGAGTCTCTCGGCGACATACCTCACCCGACCGCGGATCTGGGTGCCGACATCCTGTCCGGCTTTCTTCGATGCGACCCCACATGGGCGGCACCGAAATCTGGCTGATATGTCTAACCTTCTGCTCTAAGCTTCCACGCTAGTGTCATGATACCGTGCCTCTATCGTGGTCGACCAAAGCGAGTCGGTCAGTGGACGGGCTCCCAAATTGCAGACGTGAGTTTTCAGGATCAATATGCTCGCGCCGCCGCAGGATTGAGGCTGATATGGTATACAACGTAACAGAAGACACGGCTGATTTTGTGGCTCATGCGTACAAAAGATGTGGATTAGGCCCATCTCGATCCCAGCTTCGCTATGTTGTCCACTATCGTTGCATCCCTTTTCGCAGCATCTGCTGTTCTGGCGAGCCCGACCACAGCGCCAGCTCAAAATGCTCGTACGTGGGCGACTCCTGGCATCTCCTCCTTTGAAAAGGTTGCCATCACGATCGAGCCAAATTACCAACGTGACTCTTGTGTCTCGGCATCCACCCTGGTTGACGGCCGAGTTTTGTGGATCTGCAGGGATACGATTCCCCTGAAGAACGGAACTCTGGGCACAGTAGCAGGCTTCTATGCGTCGAGTGCCAGTTGGTCAGACCAGCTTCTGCTTGTCGCTCCGAAATTGGATAGCATACCCCCGGAGCAAGGTCAAAAGTTTGTGACCACAGGCTACCAGTACCAGTTGACGCAGTATGGAGGCGATCCCATCACTACTCCTTACCTTCCCTTTGGGTCTGATCTATGCGCTCCAGGAGGAGGATGTGCGAATGGCACCCGGATTATCGAGTGGCCGGATGCGGCCGCTTTCGTTACCCATGTCGCTTTAGATGGCACCACGATTGCATACCTATACACTACATTGGCTGTCCAGGGGTTCGGCGATACCGACAACGAGCCTGCTACCACATTGTACAAGATCACATACACACCCAATCTGGATCGGAATGTCTTGCCCACAGTCGAAATCGTCAATGAACGATTCTTCCCTCGAGTCACTTACAATTATGGGTCATTCGGAGGTGTGATCGGCCAAGACGATGGACTCCTTTATCTCTGGGGCCAGACTTACAACTTTGGAAACGGGAATACGTCCATTGGCCTGGCTCGAGTAGACCTGGCTCACATTGAAGACATGAGCGCCTATCAGTACTATTATCCCGCAAACAACACCTGGTCGTCAAATATCCCGTCCATCTATGATCCTGACGCTAAGGTGGACATTGGCGGATTTGGCCCAACTCAAGGCACATTCTACTATTCTGAGCTCTACCAAAAATATCTCTTTGTCGGTCAGAGTGAACTCTTTGCCATGGAGGTGTCCCTGACCTCCGCCTCGCAACCCGAGGGTCCCTGGACCCCTTACACCGCACCTGTCCATCTACCAGATGGAGACTACATCTCTTACAGTTTCGCCGCCCATCCCGAGATGTCGGTAAACCCCGCCGAGCTCTATGTCTCGTACACGCAGACATTCACCGACAATGGTACAGGAGTCTTTGAACAGCCTCTGTACAAGCTCAATCTTCAGCTATGAGATGTGAACAGCAGCACTTAGCTAGCCTTTAAGGGGAGAAGAATGCGTACTGGTCGTATAATTGACAGCGTGATCATACGCTAGCCGGCCCAGGTATATGCCATAACAATGCATCCCACTAAACCATGACTATCAAGATACTATCAACAAAAAAGCATGTCTAAGGGGCAGCCGAGCCACGTCGGTGTTGGTTTCCGGTGATGTGTTCATCAGCGTTCTGCTCAATGAAGGTGGTGGAGAAGTCCTTGGCCTTGACACGTCGCTCGAACAAGACATCAAGCTCGTAGTAAGATCGGCCCTTGAACTCGGGCAATCGGAAGTAGGTCCACACAACCATGGAGGTGGCAATGGGAGCCCAGAAGAAACCAGTCTTTCCTGCCCACTGATGCTTTCGTCAGCCTCGGACATTCTGGTCTTTTAATGAGCTACTCACGTTCCACTGTCCAGGGTTAAGCATGTAAGGGGTGATGATTCCGGCAATGACTCCAAGGATGTTGTACGCGTTTCGTGAGAGACCGACAGTCTTGTTTCGGAGTCGAGTGGAGGAGGCCTCACCGACAATGCAGTAAGCGAGAGGTCCGATGGTGAAATCGTAAGAGAAGACCCAGATGAGCATCACGGCAGCTTGACCATACTTGGCACCGGTTGCACCAGTCTTGTCGGCAACAATGGAGAGGATACCAATGAGCAATTGACCAGCAGCGAGCCATGACATTCCAGCCAAGAAGAGAGATCGTCGACCGAACTTGGTAATCAAAAACCAGGATCCAACTGTACCGCAGAAAGCTCCGGCAGTGTTGATCAATCCGAGGTTGTAGGACATTTTGTTGGAAACACCAGCCTGCTGGAAGAAGTAGACAGCCCAACCGGCGAAAGGAAGACCACAGAGCTGTTGGCAGGCCCAGGCAACGGTAGAGATCTCAGTACGTCGGAGATCGGTTCCTCGGAAGCAGTCAATGTATCGGGTTCCCTCAGACACATCGACTTCGAGTTGGTTGGTTCGGACCATCATGGCGACGGTGTTTCGGGCACGGTCTCGCATGTCGGCACTGGCAAGTCGTCGGACAGAAGTCTCAGCCTCGTCGAGTCTGCCGTGTCGGACGAGCCACCAAGGAGACTCGGGAGAGAGGTAGATGAGGATGAGGAGGGGAACAGGCCAGGCCCATTGGATGGCGAATGGGAGTCGGTAAGACCATCGGCCAGTCATTCCCTGAATTCCGACCAAGACACCGGCAGAGATGAATTGACCGATAACCCAACAGAGGTTGACGTAAGTTGTCAAATATCCACGAAGAGTAAGAGGGCAGACTTCGGACGAGTAAGCCTCAGCCAAAGTGGAGAATACACCCCAGGGAATACCACAGAGGAACTCTCCGACAAGAAGGACGACTTTGCTGGGTGCGAAGGTGACGATGCCGATGAAGGGGATCATGAGGAAGAGGTTGAGGAGGAGGGACTTTCGGTAACCGAATCGGTCGATCAAGAAAGATCCCCAGAAGATACCCAAAAAGTTACCAACGGTGGATGCCTGACCGATACCAATCTGCCACGGCGCAGGGACCTGGTATTCCTGCTTATCCGGAAGCCACTCTCCATAGTGTTCTCTGAATGCGGGCAGACCCCAGAAGGATCCAAGCAACGCAGTGTCGTAACCCTCCATGACGATAGATAGGGAGGCAGCGGCAGCCCATCCGACAGCCTGACAGATGGGTTAGTCACCGGCAGTACTGGATCCCAGCGCATGACTCACAGCCTTGTAGGTTTTGATGGACTGCCAGACTGTGAGAGAGTGCTCGTACTCTTCGGCTCGCTCGGCTTCCTCCTTCAATTCCGCCCAGGTGACATTGGGCAGACCTGGCACAGCGTCTTTAGGGAGTTCGCCGACCGCTAGGTGAGCAACCTGCTCCTTTTCGTCGTAGATCTTTTCGTCGATGTGAGCGCTCATGATGGATGAGGCAAGTGAAGTCGAAGTGTGAGGATTGCTGTGGGATGTTGTTCTGGAAGGGGTGAGGCCATGTGTATATATATGTCTGTGCACCAGGTTTCTCACATGCTTGTTAGTAGCCGGCAGAGACCGAGACCACGACGCTGTGCCTGGGTCGAGGACGGATTGAATGATTTGCAATGCGCGCGCATCTTTTTTGATCCCCGTGGTTCAGATCTGTGTGGCCCCAGGAGTGCGGGTGGACAACGATTTGAAATTGGAGTGCTTCTTTTTTTACAATTACCAAAGGGACCGTGAGAAATTTGGCCCATTGCCCGCTCTGCTCCTATATGTGCCTGGACCGTTTTAGAAATGTCTCAGAGTGGCTAGGTCATCGTTGTCAAGGGCAGCTCAAGTGAGGAGGGGCACCTCTCAGGCTCTCGAATCTGGGTCAAAATTGCCAACAACTGCGAGAAAAACGGGCTCCAGGTTTAAAAGTAGCATGCCCCACGATCCCCGTTCGATCGCAAATAGTTGTTGGGGATCGAAACTGACACACCTGACGCTCGCCACGTGTCATGGACTCGTCATCTGAGCCCCCTTTCGCAACGCGCATTGCGCAGTATCACGATCCTGCTCTGTTGTCGCTTTCTTGTTCGACCGGTCTCTCTCGTCAGGCATCAGTGGCGAAAGAATTCTGGGACCTCGACATTGTTGAGGGAGGCCAGATGGTTTGACCGGCTGATTGGCGTCATCAGACTAGCTGACTGTACAAGACGATTGTTTTTTTGCTGGATACAGGAGTGGACAGGTCGGTTCGCTGGTCTCGAGATGCTGCGACCCGATTTCGCTGCTCCTCACGGCCTTGTGCTTTCTTCGAGCTCTGATGCATCCTGTTCCGCGCTCTCGGGCCTCTCTACGGCATTGTTCATGACGTGGACCGGTATCGGGGATATCTAACTCAGTATGAAACATTCCATTCCGCAAAGCAAGAAAGCGCAGTACCCAGCAACACTCACTAAGTGAAGAAAATCGTCGTAGTGTTGGATCCGGTTGGACAGGGGGCGACCCGTGACATTGGTGAACTCACTCAGGTCGCCAACAAGCTTCCTCGCCCCCTTGATTAGGTATTCGTGATGAGAACCAACAAGGGGCAAGGTTCCACCAAGACGGCATACTCCCAAGTAGCCTTTGAAAAGGTAGCCGGCGCAGCGCCAGCTAGAAGATTCTCGAGTCAAGCTGTCCTTCTGATGACGAGGAGACGGCAACTTGCAACAAGCTCACATGACCAAAACGCCAAGGTGCGGTCGCTCATGCTCAAATGGCGGAAGCAGATGCTATTGAACCCAACACAGACATCGAGCTCATGACTGTCAGAAACGAAGGTGCCCTTGGCATTCAAACCGAGGCAAAGCGTAGGGACCGCATTGATCTGACTTTCCTTCGTGAACCACGGCCAAGCTAGATGCACTCCCATGGGATTATACTATCACGCTCAAGACCCTCACGTGGCTCGGCCTTACGATTTTGATGATTGATCGATCTCAATCCGGTCATTCCATCAGTGGTCTAAAGGACTGTCTGGTGTGTCCCTGAGCGGATGATCAATTCGCTCCAAAACCGCATGTATGGCAGACTTTGCATCAAGTGTCAAGATGAACCCTCTCATGCCTGGGAGCGTTTCCTCTCGGCTGGATTGAGTGGCATTTTCGTGAGCCGTTGGTAACAAGTATTGGCCCGATTGACGCGGATGAACAAGTCACGGCACCGAAGTCCTTCGTTCGGCTCCATCGCCTATCAATCGAGAACGCTAAACCCGCGGGACAAGTCTGTCTTTCAACACGAACCGTCGCAAATACTGCCTGATGGCAAGCATACGACTATCCTCTGGTAGCTGGTTTTGGATTCGGCACTACGGTTTTGTGCGTGCGTCAGTCAATCTCTCAACTCTACATGGGCAGTTGTGGCAACGGACACACCTGGTACTGGTTGGTGGATGCCGGGTCGGTTAGCGGAGTCGATTATTCCGCAAAGGTATAGACCGCTTCGCCCCTCGCTATACCAAGAAGGATATTGCAATCTCGAGGCAGATCAGCGTCCGATAGATCTCTATTAAATGTGTCTAAGATGTTACGGCCGTGCCATTTGAACCTCATTTGAATGTACGAGCGATATTTAATGCGAAAGTGAATCATCATAAATTCCGTCAAAATATACATGGTGCCACCGGATTATAATTTACCTGGGTTTCAATCGGCAGTATGCCTCAGGCCCCGACCGCATTGCCGATGGCTGCTGCCATGCTCGCATACCACTCTGTAGGGGTGATGTCATCTGACGACCCAGCGTAGTAGTACTCGTATCCTCCGACTCCTCCAAGGTTGGTGTAGTTCATTGCAAGCTCCCCGGCGACCCTCTCAAGCTCTGTGATGTTGCACCAGACGCTAGCATCGATATAGTCTGCTGCGACCAGCCAGACGATCCGTGATGGGTCGTAACCACCATATTTGACTGCTTGGTCGTACACAGCTGTGCTGTTGCAATCCCCGTACCCATTGTAGAATTGGCCATTGTACCAGCTGACAATGTGATTCCCTTGCTCATCGACCGCCATGTCATCCATGATCTGATAGTTGAAGCCAGAGAAGAATTCGGGATTGTATTGTCCCGTCAGATCAACAGCCACCGGTGCCATCGAAATCAAAAAGTCAGAACCGAAGTCTCGGTTGAGGCATTTCAGTAGTCTTAGAATTGTCTCGCCCTTGGCAAACGAGGTCAACGTGTTGGTGCTGGGTTCGATGTCGAGGTCGATACCGCTGAGACTGTAGTTCTTGAGGAAAGTGCGCAGAATTGGATAGTAAAAGTCGAAGTCCTGTTCCATGAGCAGGAACATGTTGGACTCGTAACCTCCGAAACTGGCCAGAACGTTCACGTTGTTCTCCTGCAGAGTGTGAACGTCATCCCAGAACGCAGTTGGCAACCAGGTCGTGTTATCAGGAGCATCGCCTCCCACAGTGAGGTAGGGCGTGTTGTTGTGAATGTCGCAGACGAACAAGAGCAGGTCAGTGATACCAGAATTATTCTGAATCACAGGCAGGAGAGGTAGATAGGGTCCGCCACTGCCACCATCATCTTCGTGAAATTTGCCCCAGTATGCGACGACTCGGTGAGACACCTCCGTAGCATTAACGGTGGTATTGGTACTGGTGTCATTGCACCAGGCAAACGCCGCGGGTAGGACGACCAGGAGGCTGAGGATAGCAGACAGCATGATGAGGGGGTGATGAGGACGGATCTGTTCCGCCTTTCCTTTTATCAATCGTCAAGCAAATTTGAGGGTTATCACGCGACCCAGGAATAACTCGGGGATCTCGATCGGGTTTAATTGATGACCGAAAATAGAGTCGGGTTGGGCCGAAAGGCGGCGACCCATCCGAGCTCCACAGCGGATCTCGTGTCATTCGAGGAATGCCACCAGGTCACACAAAGTGGGGTGGGTGAATCGGGAGATGCGGCACTCACCCAACAAGCGAGCCGGGACCGGCCCCCGACCTCCGGCTCACAGGGCAGTACTCTCTGTGGGCTCTGACGCTCAGAGCTGGGGAATGCCCAGCCATGCGATTTCGCACACGGCAGCGTACGGGCTCATAGATTGAGCCTGAGCCAGAACTAGAAACCGCTCGCTGGCCGGGTAAGGAAGCCTTGTTCTCTCAACCATGCTTTCCCTCATCACCAATGTATACGACACGACACATGAGCGCCTACACTCATGAGACTTGCGATTCACTTAGCCTACCTATTGTACCATGTCCTGAGTCCGGGCATCCTGGTCGTTGAATGTCGAGCAACGCACAACGTCACCTGCAACATATCTGTCACACCTTCCCACTCACGACTGATCCCGTCACCCCGAGCGACTATGATCAAATGACACACAAAAGCTGAGATATGTGAGGGAACGGAACCAAAACATTCGGCGAAAGCCCAGGGGAAGACGGGACGCTGGCCTTGTAGTTCATCATCAAGTTGTATATTCATCGTCTATGAGCTACCCAGCTTGACGGCCTATTCAAGAAGGCCACTATCCAAGTAGGACCCTCGATCCGGATAGGTCTGTCTCTGACAAGATATTGCCTAGACACGCGGGGAGTAGACATCTTCAGTTGGGAGACACCAGGAGACAGACTTATGAGACAAAAACTACAATGCAGCTGAACCTATGTCGACAATCTGGAAGGCGGTCAATCTGACTCGATCCTGTACCGCACTTGTTCTCTGGCTGTGCTCGTACCAAGGACGGTAGAGCGAGCAAATGGTGCGGTCTCGTCGACCAGCAAGATCCGCTCAATTCTCCCGGCATGAGCTGAATAGCGCACGGCTTGATGCCAGCCAAGTGCAGAGCTGAACGGCGGTGCGCAAGGATGGTATGTATCGACGCATACCTCTCGGTCGACCACCAGCATCGCCGTTGCGATATCCTTCAGTAAACCACCAGCATCGCCATTGCGGAGATCCCAGACCGGAAATTCCAAGCACTGGCGTGCGGGAACCGAAAATAACTTTCTCGCACTGCCTGATGGCGCTGCCACAAACACAAACACGATCTACATTTCAGGTGCATTCCAGTCCGGATCACGTATATAAGAGGGAGAGGAATGGGTCGGTAATGAGCAACAGAACAATCCTCCTCCAGACACCATGATCTTCGCTCTACTCTTCACTGCACTCACTGCCAGTGCCGCCCCTACCAAGCGCCAAACAATCGGAACCCAACCTGGGTACCAGATCGAATTCCCCATTCCACAGCAATTCACCAATCCCACGTTGGGTTCGGACCTGTGTCTAGCTACCAACCCTGACGGTGGCTCCGGAGTAGGCGACGGTACTCCTGTCGGCTTTGTCAACTGCCGTTGGACCCAGACGGTCTCCCCTGACCAGCCATTCTATTCTCTCTGGCAGATCCAACCGGGCAATCAGCTGAGTGTGCAACTTGTTGGCACCAACTACTGTCTCGATGCCGGCAGCAACCCTGGTTCGAGTCCTTCTGCTCCTGCCAAGGTCTGGCAGTGCTATCCTGGGCTTGAGCAGCAGCAATTTTACTACACAAACACAGATCACATCGCTGTGACTGGTTCGACCCCTTGTTTGGACTACAGCTTCACCGAAGGGACCAACTTTGTCGGTTGTGGCTCGAATTACGACAACAATGATATTCAGGCCTTCAACCTCGTTCCAATCAATCAAGATACCAGCCCCACCGCCACCACATCTATGGCTCCAAGCTCCACTGCATCGGCGGCCCCTACCGAGAAAGGATACGTGATTAACTGGCTAAACGGTAATGACTTGTCTCAGTGTCTCACTGTCACCAATGGACAGTACTACAACGGCTCTCCGGTCGGCCTTGCGCCTTGTGGTAGTGTTAACGAAGGTCAGCGTTGGGTTTACCATCCATCCGGAGTCACCTCGGTTCGCGCTGCAGGACAGAACTACTGTCTTGACTTTGGAGATGGCGGCGGTTACGACGGTGTCCCCATGAAACTCTGGCAATGCTACCCTGGACTGTTCCAGCAAACCTTGTACTACACTGGGACAAACCATATTGCGGTATACAACGGCAACCAATGTCTTGATGTTGAGGCAGGAACGTCAAACGTGCAAGGCTGGCAATGTAGCGGTGATGATGTGCACCAACTCTGGCAAAATGGGTTCCCCGCGTAAATCATACCACCACGGACAATTCATATACTGTAAGAATGAGTACTGTATCTTCCTTTAATATCAATAATGCAGTCTTCGGTGTTGCGTCTACCTCCCGTCTTTGCAAATGAGACAGGCCTGTCATTAGCCATAGAGCCGTTACCAACCACTGAGGACGCACAGCCCAGACAGCGGCGGCTCAAGTTCCGTGCCCGTCTCCCTATGAAAGACCCACAGTGGGTCCTACCACTTTCTCGAGTTGCGCCTGACAAAACTCCCATGTGCTTCTCTGACTGTCTGGGTCATTCGCCTAACAGCAGTCAGTCTCGCAACACGCTCTCAGCCATACCTTTGGATGAGATGGATGATACTTTCGAGCCCAGGGAACGTAGTATGATCCTGTATCAGCCATCGTGACGTCGGTCGATGTCGCTGCATAGAGCTGAGTCAAGCATCCAAGTGAAGCCGAGTAGAGCGGCATCTACCACTTTGAGTGACTAAACCAATCCAGGAACTCACAAAGGTCCGGACCAACCACATGTTGCGCTGCAAATCGGTCGAGATGTTTCCTGGATCTGCATGATCAGGGCAGCAGGTCCACTACTAGCTCACGAAGGGAGACGGAAATGATGCCATCATCTCGTAGGCGGTTTGCACACTCATTCGCCAGGTGAATGGAGCCGAGTTTACTGCGCTCGCTTAGCGTGTGGAGCATTTCGCAAACATGCCTTTGGCTGTAATGATAGAACGGGCTGACTCGTGAGACTTCTGTGATCGACTCAAAGTCGATGCCTTCTTTTGAACCGAGGAAATGCTAACATGTCAATATCACGAGGTCAATCATGGACTCACGGCCGCGCTAGAGACCCAAACGATCCTCACCGAGTTTGCTGGCGCGGTTTTAGCAGTGGATCGCAATAGCTTCAGTAACGGCTGGGAGAAAGCAAAGTGGCCTATACAATTCGTGCCGAACTGAAGATCGTACCCGTCCTTTGTACGGCTGCCTTTCGGAGGGGTCATAACACCAGCCGAGTTGATCTGAAGTTAGCCGACGTCATTACGACAGATTTACCAGCATGTCGAGACGGTCATGACTCTTTGCAAACTCGAGTCCGGCGCTGTATGATTGGGCAATGTCGCCGAGATCAAGATGGAGGAAGCTTTGTTTGGTGAGTACTCCTCTTGCGGATCGCTCACTGGATATCAGACCGCTTAGTCTCTGCTTTAATGTCCTCAATGGCATTCAAGCATTTTTCCTCAGACCGCGCAGCGGCGTACACTGTGGCTCCACTCTGCAGCAAGTGTTTTGCGGACTGCTTGCCAATACCTGTCTTCGGAGAGTCGGATTATGTACTCGAAGAGAGCTCACATTTGCACCAGTCACGATAGCAACCTTCCCGGTGAGATCCGGAATATCTTCGATGCCCCATGTCGGCGCCGGAACGAAGAAGCCCAGCGCCTTTGTGTCGAACATTTCGAGCATCACTGACGAGTCCGGTGAGATGCGTATATGTGTATGATTGGGCGGATACTAAGTGGTGAGGGTTAAGAACCTGAACCGGACGTGAGCCACGGGTGATCTGATGTCACCTTGAGTCCGTAATTTCCGGGATTTTCAATCAGATTTTGACACTTTCGTCACAAACGCGGGTTTCTCGCCGGGATGATCCACACGCGTGAAGGTCATCGAGCATGCCTCGCAGCAAGATTCCTTTCTACCTCTTTCTACCTCCGAGCGGGCATTGCCCGAATTCAGTGATGACTATCCCATGCAAGATGCAAGATGGCCTTTTACTTACTTGGTCAAAAATGATTTATGTATGTAGTAGTATCTAGAGCTCCAACTCAACCGCCAGAACCTCACCGCGAGGACCAGAGACCCCTCTCTGCGGCAAGCCCCAGACTATCATCGCATCTCTTTCGAGAGTAGAGCGTAGTGCGGGTCTGAGGGGAACCACAATCACGCACAGATCTGCATGACATCATCCTGCCTCATTGACCGCGAGTATCAGGACGTATAAGATCAGAGATTCAGCTGTGATGGCTGCAACGATGGGCCTGGCCTCGACATACTCACGTATACCTCAGTCCCGTAGCTGCAGGGGACTTTTGATAGTTTGATGGTCTTCGACCAACGCTCTTCGTAAAGCGAGGAGCATATCGATGTCAATGCCTCATATTCTTCCTACGTGTAAGGGGTTTACTATCAACAGTGCTCGTAAGTGATATTAATGTACCACATCAGTAAACTTTACGCCCATGCCTTGAAGCTTATTCATCGCATCTTACACTGTACCTTGGACACTCGCCGAAATGATGTGATACAATGATAATGCGAAGCCAACAACGCAGGGTCTCCTAACAGATCACTGGCCTGAGGACCGCCAAATCTCTCCAGGAAATTCTGTGCTATTTTTGGGAACGGTGGATCGACAATAACTCTGGGATTCATTCCAATAGTATGGAAATGTGAAAATTAGCAAATGCCACAGATGTGGGAAGTTGGGGGAGCGTGATTCCGTCGAAATGGTACAGTACCTGTGGACCGAAGAGGAAATTGGGCGGTCGGACCCTTCCCGCAATAGCCCGCGATCACTTCCGGCTTCTGGGAGATTGAGAGAAGCGAGATGTCGCTGGAACATGTTCAAAAGTCATGAACGGGGCTCCCCACGGGACTCACTCTTCCACGTCAGCAATCACTGAGCCAGCACGACCATGTTGCAGGTCGCTATAGTAGCGACTTTGCTAGGTTGTGCCGTTCAAGGCGGTCTGGGACTTGTTACCCCACACTCGGGCATCGAGGATGTGGTTGAACGTGGTTGGGGCCAGGGCTGGGGAGGCGGCGGCCAAGGCAACAGCTGCCCATTTCAAGATGCGAAGCAAGGAGCGCAGCTCATCGAGCTGTTCCAGCTCCAGCCGCTTTGTACGCCAGTGCTGAACGCGCTGGTGGCAACTACTACCAAGACTGTGATCTCTACCCCGACTGTCACAGCATATACGACTGTTTCGTCGGTGTCTTATTCAACTTCGACCCATGTTACTCTGGACGTCAACACAGCATACACACCTGCGACCACGATGTTCACTGTTACAGGTATCGGGACGGTCACAGTGACAGGTGAACCAACCACCACCACTTCCACCCTGATCAGCACGAGCATCGTTTCCTCATCGATTCTGACGACTACCTACACACCTTCGGTCATGACCATCACTCAGACAAGTACCAGCGCTGGAGTCGGTCCTGGATGCCCTGCCACCACAGGCAGCCCAGCGAAGAGAGGTATACGCCATGGCGGCAGAGGCTGGGGTCTGCCTCTAGGCTGGAACTCGTGCGCGGACCAGATCATTCGCGATGCTTGTGAGATTGCCTTGAACCGGCCTATTGGACCGACGTTCACCTCTAGTGTGTACAAGACTGCACCAACGTCAACGACTACCGTGACGCGCACGCGCAGCAGTGTCATCCCGGTGGTTGTCACTTCGACCAGCACAACGACCACCACCCTGGCTTCGACGGTGTTAGATCCGACAGTAACCATGACGACCGTGACCTTTACGCCAACCGCAACCGCCACTGCCTCAACTGTGGTCTTCACTACCATGGTCTCAACATCGACCATCACATCCGCAACCATTGTTTCTACAAGCACGGTAACAAGCACAACCATCTCCTACTCTACCACGTATTCCGGGTCACAAGCTGTGCAAACCAGTGTCGGCGGTCAGTCGAGCTTTACTCCTTCACCAGGCTCTCAATATCTTGTCTGCTCCGGCTATTATCCGATTGTCATTGCTGGTGCCAGCGGAGGTAATCGTACATTCGCGGACGACGGTACCCAGGCTGCTGTACCGGTATACACTGGAGGAAAGGCTGTGATAATCAGCGCCGTTGTTTACCTCGAAGCTTACGCCGGGAATGATGCCTCCGTACAAGCTCCGAATTACCAGTTTGTACCTGGCACCACCGGACAGAGTGGCGGAGCTGGGGGTGGTGGAGGAGCCAGTAACGTGTTCTTCACGACCTCACAAGGCCAGGATTCAGTGCAGGTCATCGTCGCCGGCGGAGGTGGAGGTGCAGGTGAGTCTGCCTCGACCAGTCCAAACGAATGAGACACACTGATGTTAATCAGGATGGAACAACAATGGTGGTGATGCTAGTCTGACCCTCCAGGGTGGATCCAGTACTGGCGCGGGTCCCACGCAGGCGGGCGGGCAGTCCACCTCAGGGGTTCAAGGAACGACTGATGACACCGATTACTACTGCGGCGGAGGCGGAGGGGGCGCCACGACGGACGATAGCAACCGTAGCAACGACAATCAAGGGGACGGCGAAGCGTCGTCCGGAATCGATGACCTGACCGGAGGCACGCCGGCATTTCCCCCTTATCAGAACGCCGGGAGCGATGGAGGGGGCAACGGAGGGGGTGCCGGAGGCTCCTATACGACCGCCTGTCCAGCCGGAAGCAGTCTTCAGTTCCCTCCAGGATCTGATGGCAATGACTGTCAACCTTGTCCGGGAGGCGGAGGTGGTGGTGGTGAGTCTTGCTTTTGTCTTCATTGGAACCCGAGCCCGAATTTTAATCCCGTTTAGGCTTCAACGGAGGAGGAGGCGGCCTGGGTGGGCAGGTTCTATCCTCCGAATCTCAAACTCCGTCCCCCTCAAATGACAACAATCCAGTTAAATACATCCTAACGCCGTATGGTCAAGGCGGTGGCGGAGGCGGATCATATCTCGCGGCAGGCAACACACTTGTGTCGTCATCGTCGAGCTGGCTTGGTCCGGGATTCATCTCCCTGGGGATTGGCTATAACTGAAACTCTGGCCAATCCATTTTGAGTTCCAGCGTAGGGGTTGTCTTTGAGACTGGGGTTTGCAATATGCATGAGTGAATTCTGTTTCTCTCTCCGCGTGGACACATCAGATGGTTTGACGGCCTCGGCCCGAACTCCGGCACCAAACCCGATGCCACGCGCTCGGGCATTTTTTCCCGCCGTCTGACCGACGGGAGAAAGAGATTCCTTACCTCACCGGACCCCGATGAGCCGCAATCATCCTCACGAGGCCCTTCTAAACGAAGCGATTCTTGACGCCCTTGCCTTGCCAAACGCAGACGCACGAGAGGAGCAGATAGTCGAGTCCCATGCTGGATCGTACAAATGGCTCGGGGACCCTGCCGGTCCACTGGACCGCTTCTTAAATGACAGCTCTCAGCGTCTATTCTGGATCTCCGGCAGACCAGGTTCTGGCAAGTCAACCTTGTTGAGATATCTCAAGCATCGCTCGGGCCTGTCCGAGCGCTTGCGAAGATGGGGTGCCGGCCATCGTCTCCATATCGCTAGCTTCTTTTTCTGGGAAAGCGGTCTTGTCTCGCAGCGATCACTCGAAGGCCTTTTCCGTTCTTTGCTTCATCAGCTACTGTCGAGCTGTCCTGCCCTGATCAGACAGGTATTCCATTCGCTGTACGTGGAGATACAATCAGCGACGACTTTGGAACGGGTTCGCAGGCTGGCTGCTTGGGAGATTGAAGATCTCGCAGCCGCATACGATGCTTTCTTGGACATCATTCACCGGCAAGGAGAGCAGAAAGTCTTTCTGCTGCTGGACGGTCTTGATGAGTTTGAGGGCAATCATTCGGAGATCATACGACTGGTGGAGAGCGCTACCCGGCACTCTGATGTCAAGGTGTGCGTCTCGAGTCGGCCATGGAGGATATTCGAGGAAGCCTTCTCGAATGTCGCCCAACTTCGGCTGCAGGATGTGACTCGTAACGACATGCAGCGCTACGTCACCGATCGGCTTGCCGGCCAAGCATCCGACTCTGTAATTGACGCTGTCGTCGAAAAAGCTGAAGGAGTCTTCTTCTGGTCAACGATAGCGTGCAACGAATTGCAATCGAGAACTAAGGGAGCGGCAGTGCGGTCTGAAGATGTGGAGTCTCTTCCCCTTGGCCTCGATGCTCTATATCGCCATCTTCTGACCGAAGCACCCGAGTCCACATGCAAGATGGCTGCAACCTACTTCAGTCTGATATTGGCCCGCGAGGACGTCTGCATGTTCACCCGAAATGACGAGACGGCACTGGTGACGGCATGGGAGCTAGTATTAGCCACTCACCTGGATCACGATCAAGCGACCATGAGGCACATGGACTCGATGGCAAAGGAGACGATCCGCAGTCTGTTGTCAGAGACCATCGCGCAGATACTTGACTCTACTCGCCGGCTCGTGCAGTTCTCGGGCCCCGAAGACGGTTTAGCCCACCAGTCGGTATCGTTCTACCACCGAACAGTCCGGACATGGGTGCGAGGTCCTGACGGTGCAAAACTGCTTCAGTACGCCAAGGATGACCCTCATTCGCTCCTGCTGCGATCAGTTCTGCTATGCTGGAGGATTCCCTCCTCCGGTACCTTGCGAAGACAACGAAACGTGTCCGGATGGTGGTCTCGTATCATGACAGGGTTTACTCACGCACGGCTCGCTTCAGACATCGCTCAGGGCCAGATATTCGATCTCCTCATGTGCCTGAACGAAACCCTTAACGATCTTTACCTGGCTCGTGTCGAGTCCGAGGATCCGCGCGAGGCTCACGCACTGGACAACTGGGCTAGAAGCTGCTTTGGAACCCTGGAGTCCCGAGGGCGAACTCCGTACGAAGACGCCTTTCTTGCCTTGGCGGTGTCCTTTGGTCTCACCAGCTTTGTTGACCGATACCTCAAGGAGGGACGGTATGAGCCTGGCAACGGGTATCCCTTACTCTGCTGGACTACGAGGTATCTGTTCGATCGACAATCATCCATCTATCCACTGACAGATCCGGCCATTGTGCATGCGCTGTTGCGATTTGGTCTGGACCCGAACCAGCGTATGCTGCTGCCGAAGAAGCGTGAGGCCAAAGACGACGAGCCTCCCAATTATCTTGCATCTCCCTGGAAGATGTGTTTAGAGTCGGTTCAACAAGCACTGCGCCGCGGATGGGTGGAACGTTCGCCGCCCGAGAAGTCTCGATGGAAACAAGTCATCGAGCTCTTTCTGGAATACAATGCGGATAGAAACGTAACCGTGCAGACAACTCATAAAGACCGCCGAGAGAAGGGCTCTGTGCTGCTCGATAGACTTGACGCGTGGGCCGGGGATGACTGAGTTCTCGTGAAACAGTCGCGTCGTTGAGAACTAGCTCCCTGCGAATGTATCTGGCTTGTAGGCTAACCATGTATTCTGTATCTGAGTAACAACGCGGCACGCCCATCTCCGGCTCCATCCGCATTCCTCTACGTCTCTGACGATGGCTCCTTGACAGAACGGCCGACCTCACAATCTACCCAGCCATTATGTACACATGGGTCACTGTCACATACGAGTCATGCATGCAGACCCTTACGATGCTGACCGAAGACCGAGTAAGGGCACCGAGCCGCCCTTCGGCAGTTCGATTCTCCCTTCATATAACTGTTCGAATCCTCGTTTTTTGAACCAGCCGAGCTGGACGTCAGCAGGATTGCGAGTATCAGAACCTACTGTCGAGGCACTTTGACTCGCGACAATAACGCTCCTTCCCTCGGCCTGCGCTTGACTTTTCACATGGTTGATCAATGCGGTCCCCTGGCCTTGTCCACGAGACGATGGCTTAGTCGCGATGGCGGAAACCACATAGGCAGCATCCCAGGCCTCTCTCCCACCCATCGCCGGCCAAAAGGCCTTGTATGCTTCGCCGAGCTATCGTCAACCAGAGTCCTTTGATGACTCTTACCTTGGATGATCGCCATTGCTTGACGTAGTCTGGAATCTTGGCCTCGAGTTGAGCCTTGTAAGGGTTCTCCTTGATCACCGACAAGTTGGGTGGAGCGCTTTGCGACTGAGGTGGCGTCACAAACATCACTGACGAAATTGTCTTCTCATCGTCCCCTGTGACATAGACCCTTTTGAGAGCGAGCATCGTTGTCAAGCTTGTCTGATGAGTGAGTCGCAAGGTCTCCCGATCGGCGTCAGCGCAGGCGACCATGAACTTGTCTGTATATTAGTTGGGTCATGTACTCGCATTGCTCACGGTCCGCATATCCATCCAGCAGGACTTCCAAACAAGCATCAAAGTCGGCATCTGCATGTCAGCACTCACAGGGAGCGCGACCTTACCGGTGTGCGCATTGAGCTGTCTCACTCGATTAGCGGTCATGGTGCGTGTAAAAGAAATGGGCATGCAGATCCAGGAAAGCCAATCTTTCTCTTCCAGATCTAGGGTGATCCAGGAGTTCGCCGAATCGGCATGCACCGCAAAATGCAGACACAGCCCACAGGCTAGGATCTTTCATTGAATCTACAGACGGGAACACTTGCGATTCACGCTTGCCTGCACCAGATCCAACCCGTGACTATGAACACCAGCGGAGTCCGATTCATTCAGTATACTGTATTTCTATTTGTCGGTCGGCTAATGAGAGATCATCGGCATGCTGCTCGTGCTGTATTATCGCTCCGAAGGTTCGGCGCTTTTCGCGCACATAAGCACATTAAACTGGTCGACAATTGCATCGTGATTTATCCTCCAGGGTCTGTAGACAGGCTGAAAACCGTTCACCGTCATCCCCGGTAATTTCCTGTGAAAGGACGGCGGGCGCTTGGGCTTCTTTGAATCAGCTATGAGTGAGAGATTGTTTATGGAAGGAGCAGCTTTTTGTAAGTATTGAGGGTGTGAACTGCCCCTTGCAGGGTCCCGAGCAGGTACAATATTATAAATCATGATGATTCAAAAGGGCGCGCCGAATTGTGGTCTGAAAAGCAGATAAATTACAATGGGCTGCAGAGACGTTGTGAGGGATTACCATTTCCGATGGTTCGCGAGGAAAGAGCCAAAAGCCTATTGCGCCCCAATCGGTCTGCTTTCAGCTGCAGCTGACATGATCAAAGCATACCGCCCAGCCGCCCGCGTCCTAGCCCATCTGGTGGGGATGCTTGGTCTTATGTTTTACGCGCATCATTTCCCTCACATACACCAGGATATATGGCATGATACCGTTGGCCGACCCGCCATGATGCATCGTGTCATTTTGAGCTCACAACCACAGCTCACGTGTGCACAGTTGTCCGTTTGTCGAATGAGAATTGGCCAGTGTCAACCCACACTCGAATCGTTGAACTCCTGCCAGCCGGCGCCCCCCCCTTGGTTTGTCAAGTGAAGAGGTGACTTTACACCCCATTCACGGAGGGTCATATTTGGAAGGACTTTCTGCGAGTCATCCAGCATCGAAAACATGCAGATAGGCGTTTGCTCCTGTCAATTGCGTAGATCCACAAAGAGGTCGAGACGAAGATGACGGACACTGTATCGGGTAGATTGCTGCGATTGGCACACCGCCCCTTGAGCGTTTGGGGGACGAGATCCCCAAGCCGCCATCGCGATCCTGCCAACACACTACCGTCGAGAACAGACTTATCCGGCTTGAGGCTCATCATACTTGAGCAGTTGCCTCCTGAAGCGCGAGTCAAGCTGGATAGAGAACAGATCTGTATACCGATGGAGATGCAGACCAGCGCTCCGTGATCGGGCTCCGGTACGGATCCGAATGTCTGCCTGCCAACCCACGGAACCAATGCCTCGGGACCCAACGGCTTGTGGTGCCCTGGGAGTCCATGCAAGCTGAATGGGCTAGATGCTTCACTTCGAGTCTATGTCTCCCCGTGCGTCCCGTCGTCAGCTGTCCGCTCCGAGTCACCGAATGGAATAACACCCAATGCATTCGTCTATCGCGAGGACATCCCTGGCGCTCTACTGGAGACTGAGAAGTCTGACCTCTGTCGGAGATTCCCTAACGGTGCAATCCCTTCCCCTCTAAGCGGGCAGGACCTTGTTCGTCATGAATTCTTCGTCTGCCTGAGCGATCATCTCCCTCCCTCGTGCCCTTTGCTCGTCGGAGTAAAGTTCTTGAGCCTCCTTCTCGAGATATGCGGCGTTGTCCAGTTTGGCTTGATCAGTGTTGACCTGCCAGAGCACGGTGACCCCAACGCATCCGAGAGAGAAAAGGAACCAGAATGCTGCGTTGGTGTTTCCTCCAGCTCGTTTGATGATTGCCGAAGTGATGAACGGGCCGGCAAACGAGCTCGACTTGCCCCAGATGTTGAACATCGCGAAGAACATCATCAGTTTTGGTGCTGGTACAACCTCCGAGATCATGCTAACGGAGTAGGCGCCCCAACATCCGGTGAAGAAGTTCCAAGAGTTGGCGATCCAGAACTCCCAAGTGTGGTGGAAACCGAAATGATGCTGGAACATTCCAAGACCACCGTAGAGGCAAGGGAACAATGTAAAGAAGGCACCGTATCGGAGAGCAGTCTGGATCTTGAATCCGTATCGCTTTTGGAGGAAGTACATGACAACCGTGCCGGATCCCCCTGCAAGATCGGCGACCATCGACATGGCGTTCAATTTCAGTGGGGAATAGTTAATGACCTCATTTTGCATGATTCCGACGATGGTGTACCAGGTTCCCCAAGACTCTTGAAGACAGCACCAGGCGACCAAGTATAACATGCAGTGCTTGAGTTTACGTGCGTGTTGCGTTGCCGACCAAACTTGTTTAGGACCGGCAGTCAGGATATTGCTACCAGCCGGGAGCTGTTGACCAGGTCGTCTCTGCGGGCGGTGTCAACATGAGCAAAGGAATCAAAAGTGCGCGCCTTTACACACCCTCTGAAGTAACAGGTAAGGAAGAGTACAGATGACGGTGATCGCCCCAAAGTAAGCAAGCAAGATGTTGTACGAGCGGATGACGGCGGCATCGGAGCCTGCTCCCAAAGCATAAGAGATTCCGATGGAAATGGCGTAAGTCACGACCACCAAAGCCGATCCCGTGATGTTACACATGTTGTAGAGTTGGGCTCGTTCGTATTGGTCCAATCTCTCATGCTCCTCGGCGGATTTAACGCCTTGTCGAACCTCATTTTCCGATTGGATAATCGTAGGCAAGTCTCGGACGAGAGAAGGGCTTGGGACTTGAGCATGTGCCTCCAGGGAGCGACACTCACAAGGTTGCTTGATAGAACGCGACGGAGATGTTTGCTGCCAGATTTCCAACGAGGTAGATTCCGTTTGCGATCTGCCAGTCCTCTTAAGGGCCCGTCAGCCATGTGACTCATTGACTAAAGGCTGGCTTACTTGGTTCTTTGATTCCAACCAACGCGAATTGCATGATCCAGAGCACGATTTGTGCGCCAGTCAGAATAAACGGTCGCCAGTTACCGTAATCTGCGAAGGGCCCAATCTGCCAATGTCATCAGCTTTCATATCTCCAACGCCATTGTCGCTTACTATGAGGAGGAACACGGCTTGGACTGCAAACATGATTCCGCTGATGTCGAGCAGAAGACTGTTGATGGTGAGGGTTTGTCCGCCCCATTTGACACTGCCGGATGGATTGGCTTGCGATACCAAGGCTTGACGCAAAGCTCCTCCGTTTCCGCCGATCGGAGCACCGTTGTTCGCAAAGTCTGGTACACGCTCAGCATCATCGTCGCCCTTTCGCAAGCTCGAGCCTCACAATACAAGCAGAACGTGATGTACTCCCATCGACTAGTTGGGATTCGTACACCAGTCTTGGGAATGACTTGGGTTTGCTCTATGACCGCCATTCCCGCATTCTGGGTTCCATCTACGATCAGGTCCCGTTCCTCTTGGACCATGTCGTGTTTGACATCCTTTTCATCGTAGCCTACAGCTTGTCCATTCGCGTTCAGCTCAGGAACGGCCCCGGCCTCAGAGTATGGCTGACCGGACATTTGTGTAATGTGCGTGTGATATGTGATCAACTGGTCCTGACAGGGAGATTGGGATCATATTTATATTATCGTTCAGTTGACTCGCCAAACAGGCCGTAGGAAATTTTATCCGTGAGCACAGTTATTCGTGAGCGCATCCAAATTTCCACTCAATCCACCGAGAAGATGTACGTGTCACAACCTCGGACCTATTCTCGACGACTAACCCATGTGCCTTTCTTCCGGCGAGCATGTCGAAGTCCCGCGTACGTCGCAGCTAAAAAGTTTACGTCTCCGATTTCGGAACAATTATCAGGGAGGAGGTAAGCAATAAGCATATCCGAAGCGGAACTGATACGGGCTAGCATGTGCTGGTACACGGCGAAAGCGGCTATGCCAGGCTAAAAATGACACCATATAACCGCTCTGCCAAAAGTACTAGCGGTCCGCAAAATTCAAAATTGCCATTTCGGCAGAAAAGCAGGTCCAGAAGCCGGGACTCGGACCGGAGCCATTCCAAACTGATGCAGATCCCCTTGGAGGCAGTGCCTTGATGTCAGGATGATGCATAGACATTACGATTTTCAACCCGGAGTTCGAGACTCACAAACACGCAGTCGCCCTGGAAATAAATTGGGGACTCTCCATATCCCCTCGATGGGGGAAAATTGGGGCTAATCCTTGTATCACCTTGTACAGATAGGATGTCTCGACAGACGCATCGGTAATAAACGGACTTGACCTTTTACGTTCCGTGGGAAGCATCCTGAGATCAAATTATATAACGTCTGGCAGCAGCATCATGGTTCAGTCTCCAGGCAGGCAATTATGCATAATGCATAGAGGTTTAGCATCTGACATCGTCATTAGTCGGTCAGACCGGGCGTGCATGCCCGCGATACCATGTATAGACGCAAAGGCCTTCTATCGAAGGGTGCTAGTTCTGCATGCATATGGACGGTCTTGAAGTCACGACCCTTCTTCGTCTTCTGGGGTCGATCGAGCTGAGCTGGGTAACGCATTTTCATGATTGCCGGCCAAGTCGTCCATTCTGCTGAATGCTATCCCTTCGTCACAAGCCAGACGCTATGTATTTTCCTGTATGTTAAGCATGTCAGCGGGATGGATGGCATTGACACCGGTGATATTGTGAGCAATGAGCATACTATGGCCAAACTCAGAAGGTGACCGCGGGATGATGGCGTCCCTTCAGTGGCCTCCGCATCTGAATTTGAGTCTGATCGGGCCGGCTCTCGTCTCTGAACCGTTTACCGACATACCCGCTAAATGTATTCGCTGTATCACCGTATTTGGGACTTGCATTCTCCATGTCCTAAAGTACGAGACGTGGCCCCAAGGATGATCTTTTTGACAATCGTGTTGGAGAATTCACGTTTTTCAACCCTCACGCGCGAGGGGTCGGGCGCGACCCCCCTCGGGCCCGGCACGTCCGGGCCGCGTGGATCGGGCCGAATTTCGCGAAAAACACGCTTGGCGCGCATGGAATTTTTGAAAAAACACGCGAGACCCGCGTGGAATTACTTGCGAGTGTGGCGGGAGGCCCTCCAGGCTCGACTTCTCTCTTGTCCACGAATCGTGGATTGACCTTTTTGGACCGCTGAGCGCCAAAAGTGACCGAGTCGCGCCGCGTGGAATTCTTACCCGAAGCGGTGAATTTTGATAGGGATCACACCCCACGGCCGATGCATACCCTCCAGTACCGAGTTCTCTCTATTCCACGATTCGTGGATTGACCTTTTTGGACTCCTGAAATGGCGACTGGGTCGAATATTTCATGCATTGGACCGATCATTGATATCGTTCATCACACATTATGCATGCATTATGTGACCGATACACACCATGAGGATCATGCATAGGGGTCCTAGAACGCTCTCATCTGTCCGAGAGATGCATGGCATACATGGTGACCGAGTCGCAAAGCCCAAAATATAGCATATATCATCGTCACGGCCAACTCATTGTTCTTGTTCCTGCACGGTGATGCATAAGGTGAGACCCCTCACATGTGCTTTGCTTAGCTATCCACGATTCGTGGACCATAGAGAAGGCGGTCTGGCTGAGTGGTTGAGAGCTGCGTACAAGAGCAAGGACAAAGGCCCGCCATCCATACCCGCAGGAACCTGGGGTCGCTGAATGCATATCATGCATGCATGCATGAGGTTGGGGCGCTTCACATGTATTCTGTGAAGCAATCCACGATTCGTGGAGACAGAGAAAGCCGAGCTGAGTGATCAAAAGCTAAGCATCCGACAGTTGCAGCTCGGCTTTCTTCCCTATCCACTAATTGTGGATTGACATTTTGGACTGCTGAGCGATGAACGGCATCAAATTTCGAAAATTGGTGAAGCTCTTCATTCCTCCTTGTCCACGATTTGTGGATTGACATATTTGGACAGCTGAAAAGCTGAAAATAACGGGATCAAATTTCGAAATTTTGCCAATAATACCCCTCAGCGCCGAGTTCTCTCTCGTCCACGATTCGTGGATTGACTTTTTTGGACCGCTGACAGGTTGAAATTGGGACTGATTTTCTTACAAACATACGCATTATGTTGCAGACTACATGTCATCACGCATGCATGTGGCTTTGTTCTCAGACCATGCATATAGCCCGTCACGTTCCGGTATATACTCCGCACAGGCGAGCCTTCTTCTCTGTCCACGATTCGTGGACCATTATCTTGAATAGTACTACCATGCAACTCAGGTGAGTTTTCTTCCTTGTCCACGAATCGTGGACCATCGTCTTGATTTGTCTTACGATGCAATTGAGGGAGCTTTCTTCCCTGTCCACGAATCGTGGAGGGTTGTCTCGACTCGGTGCCACCATGCGCCCCAGGTGACCTTTCTTCCCTGTCCACGAATCGTGGAGGGATGTCTCGATATGATGCCACCATGCGCCTCAGGTGAGCTTTCCTCTCTGTCCACGAATTGTGGATGGTTGTCTCGACACGGTGCCACAATCCACCTCAGGTGAGCTTTCTTTCTTGTCCACAAATCGTGGAGGGTACTCTAGACATGTGCCCACGATGCAGCCCATGCCGCTTTGCTCCCTGTCCACGAATCGTGGATGGCCTCCTTGAATCGTGTTGCAATGTATTCCAGGCCACCCTTCCTCTCTGTCCACGAATCGTGGAGCATTCGAACTTGAAGACTCGTTGCCACGATGCATTCCAGGCCGCCTTTCCTCTCTGTCCACGATTTGTGGAGCATTCGCATGAAGACATTGTACTCCGATGCATGACAGGCCACTCTTCCTCTCTGTCCACGAATCGTGGAGGTCTTTAGTATAAAGCATGTGAATGTACCTCCCATTCCCCTCATCCCCGTTCACATTCTCTACCTCTACACCGCTATTTCTGCCAGGGATAAAAATGAATCGATGAGATGGAGACGCACTCAGACGCGAGGGGCAAGAGAGTATATGTGGCGATGAACCGTGCATCCATCTGTGTCATTGAATCTTCACCGAAGTTCATGACGCATACTGCACGTCACCTGAATTTAAATGCGCCCAATTTCTAGAATGTCCTCAGTACACGTGACCTCAACCCCTCATGATCAAGCACGCGCCAATTATTTCCGGTACCTCGCTTGACTTTTGAAGGTCATTGCTTCAGACAGTAGTCCTCACTCTCATGGCGCAATGAGCCATGAATCAATGCCAGTTTCCGATGGTACCCATACGCTGACCCCATACGCTGACTCTGCTTAGTCATCAAGACACGAGGTGGGCCTTCAGGTACCACTCGTTTAATGCACGCCTACACCCACACACACACACACACCCCTCCCTTTGCGCTAATGACACTCATTGTTTCATGTCCGCACCTGACCACTGACACTTTTTGTGCGGGCCCAGACCGCTTTGCTTGACGACTGCACTCACACACCTGAGCCTCATGGCCTCGACGCCGTCACCATGCACCCTGACGTACCTCGACGACCACACCCCTTTGGTCTAATTTCGTCCAGGGACAATGGTCGCCTCGAGGCAGCCTCGACTCATTGTCTGTAGCGATGGCGACGCTCCACGACCTGGTGACGAGATGTCAGTCGAGCGAGATATATATACTGGACGACCTTTTGACTTTCATCCCCCGCTCTTCTCTTTTGTACTTCTTCTTTCTTCGTCTTGCTTCTTGGATTGCCTTCAACTACCCTCCATGCTCTTTCCTCGCTAGTTTTTGCTGGATCGTTGCTCCAAATGGCTCCGGTGACCTCGACAACCACCCCGAAGAAGGGTTAGGGGGTTAGGGGGTTAGGGGGCTAGGGGGTTAGGGGGTTAGGGGGTTAGGGGGTTAGGGGGTTAGGGGTTAGGGGGTTAGGGGGTTAGGGGGTTAGGGGGTTAGGGGGTTAGGGGGTTAGGGGGTTAGGGG